ACAGTTCTCAGTGCAGGATGCGCGGCCACGACATTGTCCCACGCCTTTTCCAGCAGCTGAACGTCTATTCGCCCTTTGAGGTGCAGCACCAGCGTCAAGTTATACGTGCTGGGACTGAACGATGCTTGCAAGAGCATAGAAAGTTGCATTGCTGTTGGGGCATATATGCTCTCAACATCGCTGCCGACAACAGCGGCCATCTGCAAAACATCCTCAACCGTAGCCACGTCAAGCCCAGCGTTTGTCACCGACGAATCCAACTTAATCCCCGGGATGACCTGGCTTTTGGGCGTTGTTGTGTCAATGGGCTTCTGCAACGCGGGACTGAAGTCGGTCTGCGCTTTTGTGATGCCTGTTGATGGATCTAGAACGCTCACGGCGGATGAGGTTACATCTGAATCCCTGAGGTCAACCGCAGTATCTATACTACCAAGGAGGTTCTCAAATGTGGCAGCCCATTCGATAATGGCGTTCCCGTTCAATACCTCGGTGCGATACTCAAATCCTACCCTGCGAGGATGAGAGGAGACATCGACATGGATGATTAGATCATAGTGGCTTCCTCTTGATGGCGCTTGAACTTCTTGCCATATGAGGGACACATCCTCATGAACAGTTTGCGTAACGTTTCTCTCATGGAACGCAAACTGAACATTCAAGCTCGCGTGCTGACCACCACCTTCTGTTGCTGCAAAACAACGCAAGACATCCTCAACTGACTGCTGGTGCTCCACACACTCCCAGTAGAGTTTCGACATCTCGGCGATATGCCGAGCGATGGTCCTCTCAGGCTTGACTGACACGGGGACCACAACCAGCGACACGCAGTAACCAACAACAGTGGTGAAACGGCGATCGATGGTACGATGGGAGGTAGGGACTCCCAGAAGATATTTCTCTTTGTCAGTCATGCGGCTCAGAAACACCTGAGTGAACGCAAGCCAGCTGATAAACATACTTGTGCTATTTCCGGAGTGTTTCAGCAAGTTTGTGACAGCGGAATCAGGGAGGTCATGCCAGGAGATCTCACTCGCCAGAGACAATAACGAGTTCGACATGCCATGGTGCTCTGCAAATAAAGTAGACGGCCGAAAGCTTTTGCCTAGAGACTTCCACCATGATAGGTCGTGGGCTGTTTTCTCTTCGCCATGCTTGCGAAGAACTTGGGCGAACTGGCTATATTGGGTCACGGGAGGCGGAAGCTGCTTTTTGCATCCACTGCTATAGAGCCCCTGCACTTCGGACAGGAAAATATCAAATGATAGCTCATCTATCACTAAGTGATGGAACTTGAAGACAACCAGCCATTTGTCTGCCTGCGGTGTCAGCTGATACAATGCAGTCCATGCGGGTGAATCCTTCATCAGGTCCATATCGGCGTCACGATTGAGCTCTCTGAGGAAGATGTCTGCCTTCTTCTCATCTAGGCTGCAATTCTCGCTCTTCGCCCACGGGTGAAACACAGTCCGATCTGGCAGCGATCCTTTGGCATAGACGCGGGCCCGAGCACTTGGCAACGCATCAAATTCGTGTTCATATGCGGTATTAAATGCTTCATGGCGGTCATAGGTCGCCTGCACGCACTGCAATAGCAAAGAGGGATCAAGCTCAGCGGAGTCAACCTCATAGGCAAAGGTCAATATATGCATCTGGTTTCCAAACACCATACACGCATTCATCATGCTTTCCTGTCCGATAGTGGGTGTGAAGCACTCCCCAGCCAGACAAGGAGGTGGGAGGGGAGCAGCAGCAGCCGTTGGTGACCCTCCCCGACAGAATCTGGCGATATCTATGATTCGAGGAGCTTCGAGGATCTGACGAAACGATATTTGGCAACTGGTAGCATCGAAGAGGGACTGAGCAAGAAACATGGCGTCCAACGAGGTGAATCCCCAATTGAACAGGCTGTCATTTTTAGGAACCTGCTGCAAAAGGCGCCGATAGACCAAACGCTGGATTTGCTCCTCCATATCATCTATTTGCTGCACGGTGAGCTTTGGTTCCTGTTCATGCTCATATAGGTTCTCGAGGAAAAGCTTGATTTTGTGCAAATCGATCTTTCCATTGCGCGACTGCGGCAAGGCCTCGACTACCAGCACTCGGGGAACCATGTATGCTGGAAAGAGACCCCGGCACACTGCGACGACGGTTTTCTGCACCCTGTGTGCTGAATTTTCCAGTTGAATCTCCTTGTCTGGTGCTCCAAGAGCCTTCGCAGTAGACACGAGGGCGAAAAGACGTGTGTGACCATCGACGGAATGCGCTCGCACAATAACACGACCAACGTGGTGCTGGATGGCATGTTCAATCTCACCAAGCTCCACTCTCTGGTGAGTATGTCAATTAGCAATAAGCTCTTCCTGAGACGTGCTGGGGGAGGGCTTGGAGAAGGATTTGAAAGTGTTGGAAAAGGTGAAAGATGGTGTAAGAGAGGAACTTCCACTACATAGGAGACCCGTGTACAAACACTTGGAATAAAAATAGATGGGTGTGGGAGGAACCATGCCTACCTGGCCATTAATTTTAACTTGGTCGTCATTGCGACCAAGGAGGTAAAATTCACCACTTTGGTCCACATATGCCCGGTCGCCTGTCAAGTACCACGGGCCACGATCAGGGCCATCAAGGCGCTGCACTGTGTCCAGGAAACGGTTCTGTGAAGCAAAGTTACAGTATCCCCGGAAAACTGTTCCACCCTTGACGGCGAGCTCTCCCGAGACTCCTGCCGGCTGTTCGGCACCTGTTGTGTCCACAATGGCAATCGAAGCGTAGCTCGCCGCCTTTCCCACTGAATTGAAATCATCGCCAGGATGAAGGATTTTGAAAGTGATTGATGATGCTTCACATGGTCCTGCACGGTCTTAGCGCGGGCATTCTATATATTTCTGGAATATGTCAATGCCTTACCATACAAGTTCACCAGGTGAACCCTGTTCGCCCAACGGTTGACGAGATCCCGCGAGACCGGCTCACCCGAAACAACCAATTTTTTGATCGAAGGAACCCGAGATGGATCCAAAAGCGAGATCGTGCTGGGAGTAAAGTGTGCGGTGTTGGGATTCATCCGCCGGATCCAACCGTTCAGATCACTCACGAGATTGTCCTGGGAGACTTGTAGCAAACAACCACCGTACAGGATAGTGCTGAGAATATCGATCAGATGCGCATCAAAGGAGCACTGCGAGAATTGCAGCATCCGTGATGCGGGCGTGATCTGCATCTGACTGGCCACCGTCTGCGCCGGCCATAGCAGATTCTGGTGGGTGAGCAAGACTCCTTTAGGCAGACCGGTGCTCCCCGATGTAAACAAGACCGCAGCCACATCTTCGACATGGACTTCCTCGCCAATGTCCCGTAGATCTCGACTGGCAGTCTTATTGGGGATGACATGGATGCTTTTTTCTTGGCTGTTGACGGTCAGCCAGGCTTGGCCTCCGTCCTGCAGCACAGGTGCCTTTTGGCCCTGCAGACAGAGCACCAAAGGGTCTGTTAATTGGGCCAAGAGCTGTTCGATCCGGCCCTGAGGAAGATCCGGATTTATGGGAACGTATACTGCCCCTAGTCGAAGAATGGCAATGATTGCTGCAATCTGAGCTGGGGACCGGGGCAGGAGCACGGCGACGGGCTGACCAGGGCCGACGTGTGCACCCAAGCCTTGGGCGATCTGGCGGGATGACCTTTGCAGTTGCGCATACGTCCAGAATTGAGTTTCCTCAAATTGAACCGAAATAGCTTCAGAGCAAGAATTGGACACGCTATCGAAGGCTGTGGCAATAGGTAGCATGGTTTTGGTAAGTGTAGAGTGTGACAGAAGGGACATGATGCAGCAGGATGTAGTTGAAGATCGGAAGAAGAAACTCGAGCTAGGACCCTCATAGGCGGGCTATCTAGGTAAAATGAACACAGCTCTATCACTCGCACTCCTATCCGATAGTAATGCCGATCAACAGGGGGGGGGGTGGCCACGAGGATTCGATCAATTTATTCTCAGTGGAGTGGTCATCGGCGCAAAGATCGAAGTAAACAGCCACCGCCGATCTCGCTGGCCAAATTGGGGATGCAATTTACAGTACCACATTTCAGTTCAAGCTCCGCTTTCAGAAGTATCAGCTGTTGAATCAAGATGACTTGTCTGATGTCGATGGTCAATGGTACAATACCTGCTAAAGTCTACCGTGCATGATACGCAGGCAGCGTACGAATGTCGATGTATTTTAAAATACATAGTGGTAAGTTACAAATCGTATTCAATACTCTAAACCATACGACCATATTACAACCGTATTACGACCGTACTTTTTGCCTAACGTGTTTACTTACGTGCAAGTCACCGTAGCAAGCTTATCAGTTAATCTTATGTACGACCGCCTGGGTTTCCCCCGCCGACAGGGTCAAGGTCCCCGAAAGGCTAGTAAGTGGGGTAGGGCTTATAGACGGCCCGGCGATAGGCTGCTAGCACCACTTTCTCGTTATAGCTAAGCTGCGGGGTAAATGGGTCTTCAGGTCGTGGAATGAACTCCGGTTGGCGGCAAATATACCATGCAGGGGAAATAGGAAGCTGCCACCTTTTGCACGTGGACTGGGTCTTCGACTGATAGCATACAAGCCTTACCAACGGGCTTGACTAATTATCAGCCTGATCATAGGCAAAAGCAGCGGTGAAAACGGCGAGTCTTTAACTAGCCGCCTGATGTACCTTCCCTACAATTTTCCTTTGCCCCCCCTATAGTTCCATCTTTATCTCAAACACAGAAGTAGTTATCTTTGTCGTTGCGAGAGAATATTCAAATGGAAGCTGAAGGGTTCAAGAAGCTGGTGCAGAAGACGGTAGGCCTTTCAAGTAGAGCTTTGGTGTCTCGTACGTGCTGAAAATCGGTTTATATTGCGAATGGTCAAAGCCAGAAGAAGCTCCGTAGAATTTATGCGTATTGATATCACGCGATTGAATATAGCGATGTTAAATCTCAAGATACTGCTATCGTCCCGCATCCTACCTACTTCGTTCCGTCTTTCATAGCTCGATTAGCCTTCCAACTCACCCGTACTGCGTCCTCGACATGCCGATGCCAATCGTTGGCGTCCAGCACATCCATTGCGCGACGCGTGCTGCCACCAGGCACACACACGTCATTCTTCATCTGAGCCAAGGAGACACCCAGATCGAGATGCGCCATAGATCCCGACCCAATGCAGGACTGCGCGACCAGCCTCGTCGAGATAGACTCCGGTAGCCCTAGACCCTTAGCCGCCTCAACCATGCTGTCCATGAGGTGAAAGAAGTATGCCGGAGCAGACCTGCCGTTTGTTTCAGTGAAGGGTCAAAAAATTAGAGGTGGGATTATCCGTACCCTGAAATAGATGCAACGACATCCAAATGGTTCTCTTGGGACAGAACCACAACGGTGGGTGAGATGGCGCGAAACACTGCCTGGACAAGCTCCATCTCAAGAGGCTGTACATTTTCGCTGGGAAAAAGGCCAGTAGCGCCTTGCGAGACCTTGACCGGTGTGTTCGGCATCGCTCGGACCAAAGGTGTCTCGTGAGGAAGCCAGCTCTGCAGTTGCGCGATTGTGATACCAGGACATAAGGTGATGATCACTGGCAGTGAGTGCCCTCGCTCTCTCTGTCTCTGGATAGCCGGGTACAGCTGCGCGCAGGTGGCCGGAATATCGTAAGGCTTGGGCCCGAGAAAGAGAAGGTGGACTTTTTGCACGTTTCCTTCGTCGATGTCCCAGATGCAAGGGTCACAGTTGTTCCCCGTCACCGTGAGCTCTGGGAATTGCGACCGCAGGGCGTCAACTTGGCTGTCACGACGCCCCGTGAGCACAATCTCATCAAGACGGACGTTGCCGGGGCGTTGCTTAACGACACCATGGGCTAGAGCTTGGCCCAAGGTACCACAGCCGATGATGGTAATCCGAAGCCTTGAAGGCGGAGAAGTGGATTCTGGCATTCGCATTGTGACAGTTGTTTTAAACAGGGCAAAAGTGTCAATATCGAAATTTTCCTGAGAATCTCCGAAGGGGACAATATGATTATCAATTGATCACGGTCCTTGTGGACGATGAGCTGATCGATTGACCTAATGGATACACGGTATGATTCCGCTTATCTGCGGGGTGTGATGTATTGAGTGAAGAATACCCATGCGTTTTGAAACACTGATGGAGTCTCACGCCATGTCCCTCGAGTAAGGTAGTCAGGTCCAGGAGTGGCGTCTGATCTACGTCGTAGCCGGAGCGGTTTCCCAGCTGGAAAGTGTAAAAGGATTAAAACCCCCTGACAGACAGCATCACAAAATCTAGAAACTAGGTCACTGATCATGTCTTCGGCTCTTTGTTGCATCGCTCGCCCCCGAGTCCCCACGCGTTCTCTGGCGCGCATCCATTCTCGAAAGGTTTCCATCCCCGCGGCGTCCCAAGTTAGCCATTCTGAAGGGGCCTCTGTACCTTCCCTGATGGGCTCACATCGCTGGAGATTGCCCGATGTGCAGCCGCTGACGCGCGATGGCTTTCTCGGTATGTTACATGGCCATACTGCGGCGATTCGAGTCCCCGAGTTCGTCAGCCGTCATCATGCGCAGCGCTTCGAAAAGTACCTGCATCCGTTGCTACGTCCGTACTCGCATATAGCGGGCCCTAGCGTGGACAAAGTTGGTCTCGCACAGTTTGAGTTTCAGGCGCAGTCAGCCGAGGACTTTCAAGCCCGAGGTTCCGATGGTTAGTTTATCGCGTGGTTTGCTCTTTGATGATTGATGCTAACGCTGACGTAAATGTCAACAGCTCAAGATCGATACTTCACTCAAGTCGCGCAATTGACGGATTTACATGCACGCATTGCCAAAAATACAGGCGACAATCCATGGGAGCGAATTTTAACGATGCTACAGGAGCTAGTACCGGAGCATGAGGTGCGAGTGGCCCACGAGCCGGACGGACGCCGCTACCATGCAGGTATCTATCGCAGTATCAACAACTCGACTCCGATCCACTGCGACTGGTCTCCCTACGACTCGCTCACTGAGGACTGGGTGATCAATCGGGTGACCCACCAGGCCGTCTTCAATCTGTATCTTGCTCCGATAATTGACGGCGAAACGATTCTGTACGATCGTATCTGGGAGGAAGAGCTGCTCCAGTACCGGGACCCAAACACGTATGGCTACTTCCGCGAGGCAGTAGATGGCTGCGCCACTGTTACCTTGCGGCCGTCCGTCGGGGATCTGTGTCTGTTCAATACGCGCAATCTGCATGAGGTCAAGTCGACAGGATCGGAAATTCATCCCGATGGAGGGCTCTGGCAGCGACCACGATTGACTCTGAGTGCATTCCTGGGACTCCTTCCGGCGGGCGTATTGAGCGCGCGCCCCACCATTATCCTGTGGTCGTAGGCTTTAGCTTGGCAGAGTATTAATTTAAATGTTGCCATGTAATCATTATTGAACACGGTCTCCGTCACGATCCACCTTCCGATAATCCACTTGATAGGTGTGCATGGCCGGCTCGCTTACCAGTTACGGTATAACTGGGCTGTAATAGAGCGCGTACATGCACTACCCCCCGCCCCGTAAGTCTAGGAGTCGGTTATCATAGCGGGGCGGCGGGCCGGAGGCGGATGAAACTTGGGGGCCAAAAGCCTCAGCTTTTAAGCTAACCAAGAATTCGTCTGTGGGCCACGCCTCCATCTCACTTCGCAACCGCTTCTCCGACGGCGATCTGCCCCTACCGTCAGCACTAGCCATTGAGGTCTCGTTTACCCTATAGTGAACCTTGGGGATTGTCTACAGCGTTGGACCAACTGCCAACTGCGGTCCACGCCCCATCGAGTACATATTGCGCAATCACTGTACTATAGAACGCAGACGGTTTTACGTATGGTATAGCGTATGTGTATGTAATACAGAAATGTTTTGCAGTCTGTATTCAAAAACTGGTAATGATGTATAAAAAAGTTCAAGTGTAAAGACATTATCCCTCCCGAGGTACTGATTGATCCTGCATATAGCAGGTTGTTGGATCAACACACTGCCTGTAGTCTCAACTGAAAAGCCAGACATCATGGAGACGACCATTGCCACCATTGATTTTGACCCCTTTAATCATGGTTCGCCGGATGAGAAGAAAGCCGTTGGCACCGCAATTGCCGAGGCTTTTCGTCGTCAAGGATTCTTGAAACTGGTCAACCACGGAATTCCCCGCCATACAATCGAAGAGCTTTTCCAATGGGTATTTCTTCCTTCCCTTTAAGTAATTGTACAGTTCTGCTCACATAGTCAGAGCCAACGCTTCTTTGCCCTCCCCGAGGGTATCAAAGCCAAGGCGCCTCATCCACCCAAGCCGATACCCAATCGGGGATACAGCGGCGTCGGAATGGAAAATACGTCCATTCATGGAAGCCAGGAAGACAGAAAGGTGACATTGATTGACCTGAAGGTAGGCAGCAGATCTCATCTACTGAAACATCCTGCTGTATAGACCTTTCCTGGGACTAAGCCCTCTTCGACCAGGAATGTTTTGACCAAGGGGCGGAAGACGACAATCTCTACGCCAATATTTGGTTGCCCGAAGATGACCTTCCAGGCTTCCGAAGCTTCATGGAGGAGTATTACAGGATTGCATATCGATGCCAGCAGCGCATTCTGACTGCGCTCGAACTCGGGCTTGGGATGGCCCCAAAGACCCTCACGAGTCGTCACAGCCGCGCCGAGAATGAGCTGCGGCTGACACACTATCCCCTGGTGCCGGTTAAGCAGCTTCGCGGTGGCAGCTGCACACGCATCTCCAAGCATACGGACTTTGGGACGATTACCCTGCTGTTCCAAGACGCGGTCGGCGGCCTGGAGATCGAAGATCCGCTGCAGCCAGGGCGGTATCGGCCGATTGAGTCGACCGCGCTGGATGAGATGATTGTGAACCTTGGGGATTGTCTACAGCGTTGGTCCGACGGCCAACTGCGGTCCACGCGCCATCGAGTACATATTGCGCAATCCGACCTAGACGCCGACCCGAACGCCGTCCTTGCGGAGCGCTTCTCCGTCGCCTACTTTGCCAAACCCAATCGCTCGTGCTCCATTCAGTCCCTGGCAGCCGAATGTCCGCCAGGGGAGCAGACAGTGGGCGAGTTTCTGTTGCAGCGATCATCCACCACTTATGGGTATACTCAACTTTAGGTTTGCTCATGCTACATTATGGGTTGAAATATTAGGTGGGGGATGATAGCAATACCCATTGTCTGTATTGGTAATACATGTATCAATGACCGGTTCGAGCAATGAACACGGTTGCTGCATGACTCGGGCCACAGGGGAGAAAGGCCTGGTACCTCCTACTTACCTATCCACAATTGTGGGATCTGGATAGTTATGTGGTCGCAGCATGAATGTAACTTAAGTCAGTCCCTTGCTTCGGCATCACCATGTGCGAGCATGTCTTCTAGAGGTGTTATAATACTGCATATCTCAGGTCTACAGTGGTGTTGCAAGAGTTTGAAACCACCTTATGTACCTTTCTTTACCGCCTGCTTGTTAGAAGCACACTAACGCCCGTTGAGAGAATATGAATGGTGGAACTACTAATTGCCGGCAGAATAAATAGCTCGGTACCTAAAAGGGTTTCAAACTCTTGGAACGCCACTGTATATCAACTAGATTTAGATAACCAATCATGTCTCACGGCGGAATTGGCGCTTGTAGCCGTTATACTTATAGCCTTTCTTCACTCCAGTAACTCAAACAATCTTCCATCCTAGCCAGTAGGTTGTACTGGTACAAAGACATATATACTGGTGGCTACAGCGAGTTGATCTGAATCCAGTCAATCACCTGCACCAACTGCAACAACCTTGCGAAGTCGTGCAGCTGTCCAGGCTCAATCCCAATGCAAATCAGGAATCTGCCCTCTTTTTGGCGTAATGGCTATGATCCGGTTGAGGAAATCGACCTTGAAGATTTACACGCCGACGGCCGCCGCCGGGTACGTGAAAACCTCGCCGCTCGTGAGTACGACTTGCGACAGAGCTGGTTGACGGGGCTGATGCGGGCCATCCGAGCTGTCGACTATCTCGACGAGTCTCAGTTGCCCTATTCATCCAAAAATGCGGCCTACTACACCCCTCTGGCGGAGTATGTCCGCCGGCGCGAATTCGGTCGCACGCTGCGACATCCCGAGATCCTCGTGCCCCTGGTGCTGTCCGGCGTGCTAGAGGCAGTCTCCTGTCTATCAACAGTGGCGGCGCCGCTGTTGATGCAGCGCGTGCTTCAAGAACCTTCAGATCCAGGCCATCTGTTGGCTCTGTTCGGGGTCAGTCTTGTGGCGACGATGGCCGGTCGCAGCAAAGATCAGATTTGCCGAGTGCTGGCGGTTCGCGTCTCATCGATCCTGCAGTTGGCGCTCTTTCGCAAGTGCCTCCGGTTCTCGGGTAGGACGACCTGTACGGAGGGTCGCCTAGTGAGCTGTTCAACTACCGACATGATGCTCCTGCGTAACTACATCCTCAAAATGCACGACATTTGGAGCAGCCCCCTACAATTAATTTTGATCATTCTCTTGGTGCTACGTCTGTTGGGTCTGTCCGCGCTACTGGGTAAGGATCTGATCTCGTTCCAAAATATATTGGAAGCTAAATATTGATGGGTTGAGTGTAGGATACTTCGTAATGGCTTTCCTCTTGCTTTCACAAACTCAAGCCAACGCCAAAGTAGCGAGCGCTTTGGAGAAATACCTTGGCTACGACGAACGACGGATCACGATATTAAGCCAAGCCTTCCAGCGCATCAAAGGAATCAAACTAATGCTGCTCGAGTCGATTATCATGAAGAAAATAGCCGCCATTCGCGAACTGCAGCTTGTGGCGCTAACGCGCCGCCTTCGTCTCGTGTTTTGTTTTTTCATCTCTATCAATCAGATGATTCCCGGCCTCACGGCCCTGGTCTCCTTTATTTCCTACTGGGCCGGCCAACATGCCTTGGATGCTCGGGTAATTTTCCCGGCTCTTACGCTATTTGAGCTGAGTCATGGCCCTGCATCGAAGCTGTCGCTAGCGGTGACACGCCAGTTCTCTATCCTGCCCAGTGTATTCCGTGTGCGAGATATCCTGCGCCAAGAAGAAGTCGACGAACAGAGTTCCGGGGACCCGGGCGATATAGCGATCAGCCTCGACAAAGCCACCATTTCTTACCCTGGCCTTGCAAACAACGCAGAGACCACAGATGAGGCCACTGCATTCCTGCTTGATGCCCTCACCCTTAAAATCCCACGAAGACGCCTCACCTGTATCTATGGACACAGTGGCGCCGGGAAATCCACAATGATAAAAGGGATTGTCGGCGAGTGCGTGGCTCAGCCACCATCATCAGTCAAGGTCTATGGAAGCTGCGCCCTTTGCCGCCAGGATCCATGGATTATGCAAGGGACTGTGCGGGACAACATTTTACTCGGGAAGCCCTATGAGGAGCTTCGATACCGTCAGGTCCTTCGCGACTGCTGTCTTGAAGCCGACCTGACCACGTTCCCCGGTGGCGACCAGGCGTTGGTGGCTGGCAATGGAGCGACCCTGAGTGGTGGACAGCGAGCGCGCATCTCACTCGCCCGCGCCGTGTATAGCCAAGCCGAAATTATCGTGCTTGACGATCCTCTCTCGGCTGTAGACGCCCGCGTTGCGCAATGTCTTTGGAACGATTGCATCCGAAAACTGTCCCAAACGGCCGTCGTTGGTATGTTTACTATCTGCTATACTGTGACCTTCCACTTCCATCCCTTAGCTCTAGCTGACATTGCAAAAAGTAACTCATCAACTCGACCTGCTCCCCCAGTGTGACCATATCCTGGTCTTGGACAAAGGTGTGATCATTGCTCAAGGATCGCCGGGTCAGGTCCTCAAACACCCCTTCTTCAACGGAAGTACCTTGCTGGATGCACCTAAAGAATTGTCTCCCCCGATAAAGGATGAGGCACAATCTGTTGCCCCAGCACCTAACATAGTCAACTCCAACGCAATTGCTCTTGGCAAGGAGGTCAGGGTTAGAGGAAGCGTTGACCGGGGATTATACGGTGTCTATCTCAGACACAGCGGGGGATATCCCTATATCGCTGCTTTGAGCGCGATATTTTGTCTGACGGTGGGTACGCGTATCATAGGAAATATTTGGTTGGCGTGGTGGGTTAGGGACGCTCTGCACTGGGCGCAACACCACTACATGTCCGGGTATATTGGGGTGATGCTATCGCAGGCGGTGTTTGTAGGTATGCAACTGCCTCAATGATGGAACTCGGGCTGTGAATGTCTTGTGTTCATTCGCTGATGACTACAATCTAGCTCTCGTTGGTGTCTATCTGGTTGCCGGAAGCGTTCAAGCCAGCCGACGCATCCACGAAGGTGTTCTGGCACAGCTCTTTAACACGGACATGGATTTCTTTGACCAACAGCCACTTGGGCGGATTATCAATCGCTTATCAGTTGATATAGAGGGTATCGATTTTCGATTGATCAATGCGGCCGATGGCTTGCTTCTCGCAGCTTCTTCGTTGCTAGCGAGTACCATTGTTCTTGCAATGAGCTCGCTGTACTTGATCCTAGCTCTCCTGCCCATTGGGTACATGACCAGTCGCATACAGCTGCTTTATGGAGTGTAAGCTTTATATCTCTTCAAATTCGCTCGTGTCAGTCTGGAATTGCTAACGTGAAGCTTCTGGAGTAGATCTGCACGAGAAGTGCGTCGCTTGTGCTCTGTGCTCGACTCCCCGGTCCTCGCCGTGATAAACGAGGCCATGGGTGCGCGGGCCTCGATCCAAGCGTACTCCGCCATCGAGTTATTTGAGGAGCGGCATCGCGCGGTCCTGTCCAAGGCCATGGCCGGAATCAGCGTCCGCTACGCACTAGAGACGTGGGTGACAGTGCGGGTGGAACTCGTTTCCGTCCTGCTACTTGGTGCAACCTGCGTACTGTGCGGCCTAGGATTGCTTAACGCCGTTCAGGCTGGTCTGACTCTCAGCTTGAGCATCACAATAGCGAAACACCTGGACGCTTTTCTGTGGTCCCTAATTAACCTTGATGTTGAAATGAACTCCATGGAGCGCCTCAATCAGTACCTGATGCTGCCTACCCCAGAGACCAATTCTTCTTCCATCGGACGAGAAATCGCACCCTCCTGGCCGGAGAGTGGCAGCGTGGTATTCTCTGGAGTTGAAGTCACGTATCCTCAAGCTTCGCAACCGTCTCTCCATGGCTTTGATCTCATCATTCCTGCGGGTGCCAAGGTGGGGATCGTAGGCCGAAGCGGTGCGTTAATATATCTCTTATATATCCCGATACCCCAGTGACCTTTGGAACGCCCAGAACTAAGGATTGGCTAACATTCACGCGTCATCCAGGCTCCGGCAAATCGACCATCATCGCGGCACTAACAGGCCTTGTACCACTCACAGCAGGCACTATTCGGATTGATGACGTGGACTTAGCGACGGTCTCACTGCGCCAGCGTCGACGATCTGTTCACGTGCTCGCCCAGGATGCCGTGCTCTTCGATGGCACGCTTCGTGAGAATTTGGATCCCTCTCGGCGCAGCAAGGATGCGGACATGCTTGGGGCATTGTCAGCAGTGGCATGGCACCAGCTCATGGACCAATTTGACGGCGTTGACCGCCGATCAGTGCTGGACCAACACATTTTGGCTGGGGGCACCAATCTATCCGCGGGTCAAGCGCAATTGGTGGCTCTGGCGCGGGCGGTGCTGGCGCGGCCGCGCATCCTGGTGCTCGATGAGGCAACAGCGAATGTTGACCAAAGCACGGATGAGATCATCCAGCGAATCCTGCAGCAGTCCTTCCGGGATAATACGGTCCTCTGTGTGGCGCACCGAGCAACCAGTGTCGCCTGGATGGATTGTGTCATCACCCTGGCGGATGGCCGCAAAGTGGGGTGATTTCTAAGATAATTAGTCAATTGACTGATAGTTGACAACCTCTGAGAGCGCTGATAAGGGGCCAATTTGCTATCTCCCTGATCCCAAGACACTTTTTGGTTATATGTATGACTGATCGGCATTTTCCTCCGCGAATGTAGCGAGTTGCATAGGTATCTGTAATTTACAGCACTCTGTTTATAACGCTTACAATACAAAGACGCCGTTCCATCACGCACTCTTAGACCCCTGGGCAACCCACCTACCTTATATCTCCGAGACCTCGCCATCTTTGTTTTCAAAAATCTTTTCCTATTGTCTCTCGTCTCGGAGACCTTTCAATTCCTGACAATGGGCACCCCTGATAGTTATCTGCCTCCTGCCTTGAGCGCGGAGACTATCACCTCGTTGATCCTATCATTGGACCTCCCTACGCCATGCTCCATTGAGCCCCTGCAGGTTAAAGCCGCCTTTCATTCTATCTATCTTATCCATTTCGCTTCGGCACAATGTATCACGGCACAAGGTATCACAGCACGAGGAAACAAGGATGGCACCGTTACGCTCGTGCTACGCGTCTCTGGACGGCAGCTACCTAGCATCAAGACACGTAACGAGGTGGGCGTTATGACCTGGGTCGGTAAATATACCTCTATTCCTATACCAGCCATCATCCGGTACGATGCGACGGAGAACAACGTGATCGGACATGAGTTCACCCTACTCGAGAAAGCGCCCGGCATTAGCGTCGATCAGATATATACAACACTATCCGACGAGATCAAGAAGCAGATGGTCCACCAACTAACGGATTATCTGATCGAGCTACATGCGCAACCTTGGCATAAGGGGTATGTGGGCGGGCTGACCCTGACACCGACGGGCGAGATTGCCTCTGGACCACCTATCGACGAAAACTTTTGGCAGACTCCTGACCTAGATAAGTACTGGTCTACCTCGGCCGGAGTCAAGAGTACGGAGACACTCGAAAGCCTTAATCCTGTACCAGCCAAGGGGTTCCTTAGCTACACGGAATATACGAATAGCTGCCTCGAGCGGTATATCCACGCGATCGAGGTCCATCCCTCTCTAGAGCCCTACCGCGATTTGGTTCCCCGGATCCACGAGTTTATGGCGCAGTTACAGCGGCCAGACAACCAAGCAGAGCTCAACCGCGTCGCCTATATTATGGCACACAAAGATATGCATTTTGCCAATATTATGTGCGACCCAGACCAGCCAGGGTGTCCAATTACCGCCGTCCTAGACTGGGAGTTCAGCGGGGTGGTTCCTGGCCCAAGATGGAACCCCCCGCGGGCATTCCTATGGAATATGAAATGGGACCCTGACGACAAGGCAGAGCAGACCCGCATGGAGCAATTGTTTGAGCAAATCTGCCGAGAAAAGGGGGCAGAGCATATTTTGGAGCAGACTCAGCTGAATGCAAGGCAAGAGATGATGCAGACAGCGGTCAATCACATTCGAGCCATTATCGAGGTGTGCCCGCGCGGCCAGGCGCAGGACCGCGTAGCCCACTGGCGCTCGGTGGCGGAAGCCGCCATGGAGGGATTTCAGGCGTGACGTGTATGTATGAGGAGAATTACGTATCAATACATACTGTTTTTCATCTGTATTTACTTGTTGTATTGTACTGTACTGTATTGTACTGTATTACGGGTTTGTATAGCCCTAACCCACGCGGGGGGCGAAGGCCTTCTGATATAACTCCGTCTCCCGGGCCCCGATGATTTAGACTAGGGAGTTTCATGTGCCTTGTTCAAATTGGACATGGCCATTCACGGCTCACCTTCATCGGAAAGCGTGTCCAAACCCGCCACGTGGCCTCGACGGCTTCTCCGCGCTGTGCAGACACTGGTACTTCCAACCTTTCTGCAGTACCGCAGCAGCACCGGGAGTAAGCCCTTCCGTCGCACAGCACATCTCGACGGCCTCCGGGGCTTGGGTGCATGGTGTGTAGTAAATTATCACATCCTGTCCGCATTTGAAACTTTTGTAAATTACGGCTATGGTCTGACCCCCGAGGATGGTCATCGGGAACCCTACTGTGCACACCACAATGAAGAGTTCACCCACAATGAGCGCTTCCATCAGCTCCCGTTTATTCGCCTCATCTACTCTGGGTCCGCTCCGGTCTGCATTTTCTTTGTGCTCTCCGGCTTTGTCCTCTCGTACCGGCCCTGGCAGATCCTTCATCGAGATGGAGCGTCTATCCGTCCCGCCGAGCTGTACGAGGTCATCGGTTCATCCGCATTCCGGCGAATGACACGGCTGTTCCTACCCCCGTTGATTGTCAGCTTTTCTACCATGTTGCTGATAGCCGCTGGCGCATGGGATTATCCGGCAGAGGTGGCGGCGGATCGCACTATCATCCGCGCCGAAAGCGAGTTTCATCAACCGCGGCTCGCCGGACTGGGGGACCAGCTGATGAGTTGGGGAGTCATGGTGGTCCGGATGCTGGACTACGGCCATTGGGATGAATATTACCCCCCGTATGATGTGCATCTGTGGACCATTCCCATGGAATATCGCAGCTCGATGCTGCTGTTCCTAATGCTTTTGATCACCGTGCGGTTGCGGTTCCACTATCGGATGGGCATTATGGCCGCGCTTCTGGTTTATAGCTACTTCATCACGCGGTGGGTGACCGTCCTGTTTCTAGCTGGAGCAATTATTGCGGAAACGGTGGTATTGTGTCCAATTCATGAGCACGAGAGCCCTGCTAGCCAAGAGTACCAGAATGGCTCTACCCCCGAGGGATATCAACTTCTCCCACTGCAGGAGACGACAAACGTGAGAAGTGCTCCCTTGGCGTCAACATCCGGTGCAGAGGCCTCCGCCACTGCGACAGACTCCCGGCAACGACGCCTATGCCGACTAGTCCTTTGCACCATCACCATTATCATCGGCCTCTATCTCATGTCGGCTCCGGACTACTGTATCTCGCGTACGCCGGGATACCGCACGCTGGCGGTGCTGATCCCACCGCACGACGAGCGCGACTGGCGCTTCTACCCGTCCGTGGGGGCAATCCTACTTGTTGCGGCGCTGGCACATAGCCCGCGCGATGGGCTACTGGTGCGCGGTCTCGAATCCCGGTTGATCCAGTATTTGGGCCGCATCTCGTACAGTCTGTATCTGGTGCATGGGCCGGTCATGCACGGGGTCGGGTACCGGGTATTCCCGCTGATATGGGCCGCAGTGGGGCGCGATGGCTGGCGAGACCCGGTGGGCTTGGCATTGGGATGGCTGGTAGTCTTTTCTGTTGTGTTTTATATTGCGGATCGGGTTATGGTTGCAGTTGACGAGCCGTGCGTGCGCTTCGGTCGGTGGATGGAGCAACGGATGCTTGCAGCAGCACACTGATCGGGTCGCTTCAGAGGGAGTAAAGCTGAGTGGTGTTTGCTGACTTCACTCCCATCTGGGTTCGGTCTGTTACCAAAAATCACGATCTATGATTTTTCTTCAAGGTATATCAAGCACATACGACCATAGGGTGTGGAGAACAGGGCTTCCCGTCCGCTCAGCCGTACTTAAGCCACACGCCGGCAGGTTAGTAGTTGGGTGGGTGACCACCAGCGAATCCCTGCTGTTGTATGTTTTTTGTTTTTTTACATTTTATTCGGAAATTAACGCAGTGGTCCGGGGCTGTAAGCCAAAAAAAAGGATGTTGCCGGATACAATAAAAGGCACAGAGGCGAAAGCGGTTCAGAAGCGAGGGCACGACTCTCAAAATGCTTCATATTTCAGGAAACCAATAGTTCTATTCCTAGATCAATCGGACCAAGGATCATATCCTCCGGGCCATAAGAGATTATCCGCGAAATCGGACCATCGAATATTTTCGGTTTCAAGACCACCTAGGGGTATGTATCTGTTTGGACAGCTCTCGAGCATAGAACTAGTGTCACCACTGCGCTTGATGATCGCACGCTTGGTGATGGTATGTTCGAGGATGGTATCCATGAAACATCGCTAGGTATAGATGGGCGATGCCGACCAAGATCAGCGGCTAAGAGAAACAGATTTGCAATGACATTGGTAGAGTGGGAAAGGAGTTGTAAGCGAAACGAGCAGTTCGGATTTTCACGGGAAAAGGCTCATCTTCCCTCTGTCCGACATTACAGTAAGTGATGGGTAAATGGTTAGAAGGCAGGCAAGATGCAATGATAGCCACGGAGGCTTCCACAAGACTCCATATCAACGCCGTCGCAATAGTGTCTAACAAGTCTCGATAGCCATCAGAGGTGCGTATAATATTGCATACCTCCTCTATAATCTGATCAGCGCGTCCTCGCGTAATTGTATTGCCGTGAGGAGCATTGGGGTCAGCGGGCTTTGAATGGGCGCCTAAAGCTCCGAGCGCAGCACCTGTCTCGTTGTTAGGCGACCCCGAATGTGGATGACTGTACTTGATGCTTCTGATCTTGGTATATGCAGATTGCAGATGAGGCCAATCGCAAATCCAGGAAGACTGTGTTCAAGTAGAAGTGACGCAAGGAAGAAGGTTGGCAATCGCGGGGTTAAGACCGAGGAGTTGCCCTAACTGGAAATTGGTCAACATTCTCTCGTGGCTCTGGCCCTTTCTACTCTTGCTATAACTCATGCTCTCTTCCCCTGCATGAGGGCTCTTCACAACCTCCAAATGTACCTCCCATTCCTTCTATCCCTTGCGATGGTGGGCTTGGCCCGGTCATCTGGCTGCGGCAGAGACATTCCCTCCGAATTCCCCAGCCCCGGCTCCAGCAAGAGTCTGCATCTGCCAGGAACCGACCGAGAGTACCGACTGTACATCCCGGCCACCTACGACAAGAATCGACCGACTCCGCTGTACTTTTCCTTCCATGGCGCGTCCAAGGACATGCTCGAGCAGGAAGAGCTCTCGCAGTTCTCCAATCCTGAGTTCAACAAGGACGGCATCGCCATCTACCCCAACAGCAAGAATGGCTACTGGCTATCAAACCCCAAAGCTGATACCTCAAGACCAAACGACCTGGACTTCACCAACGACCTCCTGTCGCATATGGAGGAACTGTTGTGCATCGACTCCAGCAGAGTCTACTCCGCTCGCAAATCCAATGGCGGCGGGTTCACCATTGTAATCGCTTGCAACGCTACAGTTGGCAGCCGCTTTGCAGCCTTTGCCTCTGTGAGCGGTGCATACTACGACAACGATGAAACGCCAGGCATAGGGCCGTGTGCGCCCGCCCAGCGCGAGAAAGGCTATCCATTCCTCGAGTTCCACGGCACGATAGACACCACTGCGCCGATTGACGGAAGTACTTCAAAAAATCCCAAGCTGCCTACCATTGACATCTTGGAAGGCTGGGCCGAGCGGAATGGCTGTGGACATGACGCCAAGTGGGCGCAGAATGTGACCGTTTTCGAGAACCCGCTTGTCAAGCATGCTATCTGGGACTGTGATGGTAAGAATGGTATTGTTCAGCACTATCGTGAGGGCGATAATGGTCATTGCTGGCCAAGTACGGTGCCGAATGATGACTACACTAGTCATCCTGATCAGTGTCCGTTGGGGAAGTATGTTTTCAACGCCACTGAGTATATCTTTGATTTCTTTGCTGGATGTCGTCTGGAGGTGTGAGACTTTGGTATTTACTGGTGAACTGAGGCCTTCTATAGACCTACAGCACTCTACTATAGCTTTTATAGAGTATTACCTTGTGTTTTGGTACATCTCAGCTGGAGTGTTCCAGTCTTTAAGAGGTCTGGGTGTCGCGTAAGGATGACGCTCCATGGCATCCCCCTTCAATGTTTGCCTCAAGTATAAATACCGGGAAAATCCCAGATTGTATCCGTATCAGCCAAACTAAGCCTCTGAAAAGTACATTTTATATCTATTGCAAGTCTAACTGGCTATTCCTTATCAATATGTCCACCCCAGCGGAACGCTCGCCCGACGACGACTTCGACGACTCCGGTCTCGAGGGCAACAATATGGCCAATTCCGATGAGCAGCTCGGTAAGTGCTATTCGATGAGTGAGCAGGCTACGGCTGACCTTCTACTCTAGCCTACGACGAAGCCATTGACCCGTCCCATATCATGCCGGAGGACTGCGCCCCGCATAGCCGCACAGCAGTAACCTACAAGGCGAGCCCAGTGCGGATAATCTTCCCGAGGGGCCTTGCTAGATATATACTCTGATTATCTGGTGTCTATGGATCCCGAGGAGGCTTCTGTGTGGATAGACGCCGGGGCTTGTATTCTGCATAGATATTGATCCAACATTAAAACGTTGCCACGACTTGACATAGACCAAAGAATTAGATCCTTCTGATTCTCTTATTTGAGGAGCTTAATAACCATATATACATGAGTGTTTGCGCGTAGTATGCGCTAATTCCATATTGGGAGTGGTGTACCCCTGCAAAGGATATGCAGAAATTAACTCAACAGCACGCGGATCTCCCCAGTGGTTCGGGGGAACAGAGACCGCAGACTCCACTGGTCTTCCTTCTCATCTTCTTCTTCCTCGTCATCCTTATCATCTTCATTCTTGCGTGGCGACTTGCCACTCCGGCCACTGATCACGCTACCGCCAGTCCCCAGACTGACCTGGGTCATGCCCCTGGCCTCATCCGCGGCGATGATCATGCCCTCGATAAACTCAAAGTCGCGGCAGAAGGCCTCCACAGCGTCTTCTGTGACGGATTGAACAAGGGATGCACTCTGGACACGCTTGAGATGGTCTGTGGCGTCCATAAGGGCAGATGGGAGGAAGTCGTCCAGTTGCTGACTAGACATGACCAACGAGTCGGGCTGGAATGCGGGCAAGTTTGTTAGATCCGTGAGTTGAGGTTTCTGCTGCCCTGTCTTCTCCGTCTCAGTATCGAGTTCTGCTTCCTTGCCTGTCTTGGAGAATGGCTCCAAGGCATCCAAAAGGACCTGCAGGCCCGAGGTTTCGAGAAGGAATTGGTGTTGGATATCGAGAAGATTGGTGCGCAGTGTAGATAGGTTTGTGGACAAGGCGGAGCTGTGAGTTTCGCTAGCGAATGCAAATGACGAAATAGTGGCACGGGCTGCGAGAAGGATGTTTGTGCGATAAATAGTCTGCGCGGTGGAGTCCTTGAGCTCGTCGGACGAAGTCCAAGCCAGTGTCCAGAAAGGATCAAATGCGGCGCGGAGAACGGGTGTAAACCGATTCTCGTTGCCGTCGGTCGGCTCCTCTGGCCCAACTGAAGCCTCGTATGTCTTCATGAGCGACATTAATTCTTCCAATGCATCCAATAAGAACTCCGGAGGGGACAAATCTGCAGGTGGGATCATGGCGCCTTGATCAGCTGAAAGGGCGCTGACTTGATCCCGCATCAAAGTCTCAAAATGACCGAATGTAAAATTTTCCAGGGCCTGCATCAAATCCACCAGGTTTGACTGCACACCGACCAGTTTAGAAAACGTCGTGCGGTAGAAAGATAACAGATTGATGACCTTGTAGCAAGTGACAGGGTCATCGTGGCCTTGGATAACCAGCTCAACTCGTTGACGAAGCGACCGAGACACTCCAGTGAGGTCCCGATTGACCAAGTCACTGAGTGCTTTGCGGCCATCGAAAACGGCCTCTTCTTCCTCATCGATCCGAGCCCAGGGCTCACTGTTGAGTCCAGCTTGAATGCCCCGTGCAAGCTCCTCGCCATCCGCAACGAACAACGCCTCTAGAGCTTCGCGTTCCGAAACAGTAGTCGAATGCACCCAGGCAAGCATGTCACCAATATATCGGAGGGGGTCATGTGCTGAGAATTCAATCGGCTTCACGCTGGGATCACCCCCAGTGCCGGCTCCGGCACCACCAGACATAGCATCTGTCAGTGCATAATGGAATGCATCAGAAAGCACGTAGTCACGCGCCTCTGCGAAGAAATCCAGACAGCTGTGGAAAAGACTCGGCCGCTCGGCCAAGACCCGCAAAGCACGACGAATCGAGCTACTAATCCGGGGGTCCTCGAGGTTCAAGGACTGGAACTCTTTCTGAATCCACCGATATAGTTTCTGGTAGGCAGAGTTGAGATGTCTGGTGCTCAGTTCCATGACCTCCAAGCCTAATCGTTGGTTCTCGCCGCCGAGAAGGTGCTCACAGTCGTGGTGCACTTGTTTGACGCGGGCAAGAATGTCGAAGAAGCGTTCGTCAATGGGCTCTTCTGCCGATGTCAAGGTCATCAAATCTTCTTCGGGTACTATGAAGTGCTTGGAGAAGGCGTCCAGCAGCCGCTGCTTCGTCTCGGTGTCCTTCTTCTGTGCCATGAGCGCAGTGGCCTCTTCCAGCACCGGGGTCGTATCCTGCTTGGCTAAGCTGATGTGTTTGCGCATCTCGTCACACGTCTGGTTCAAAGTCGTAATAACGCCGCCGATTCGCCTCAATTGCTGTCACGGCCATCGCATTAGCATCCTGATGCATCGGGGTAGGTATCACGACTCACCTCCGCTACCTTCCCAAAGTCCCGCACAATCTCCCCATTGCAATCGACGACCTCCTTCTGCACATCAAGTCGTAGCTGTCGCCGCGTCTCGGCGGAGTTGTGGATTCGTCGTACACTCAAGGTTTCGAGGGCATCACGGATGTCGGAGTCGGCGTAGGACGCGGAGAGAACGGAGCTCAGGCGGTTGGACAAGGCAGAAGATCGCTGGGTGGGCGGGGATAGCGGTGACTGCGCTGGGGACGAGCCATTGCTGGCACCGGCATGGAAGTAACTCGTCATGGCTGACAAGCAATGGCCCAGTGTCGGAGTGGGGAGAAAGGACAGTCTCGCAACGTGGGTAGACCGCCTTCTTATCGGCATCAACAAAAGATCCCAAACAACTCCACGACTCCCACGAATTCACCAACACCTCCAACACCTCCAATTACACAATGGACCCCTTCGATAGTCAGCTCGCTTCCCCAACCAAAGCCCGCCAAGCTGCTATTCAAGCCAAGGATTGGGCGTACGTGAACTCCTGGCTCAGCCGGCAGTATGCGCCCAAGCCAGTCCCCGCGTTCGAACGCAACGAAGATACCCTCAAAGTTCTCCTGACATTGGCTGCAGCCAATGATGCCGCCGACGAAGAAGCTCTTCTACAACACCGCGCGCGTGAAGAAGCAATCCAATTGTTCAAGCTACGGGAAGAGGCCGAACACAAAGATGCACATGAGCGGCACAAGAACGAGATTCTAGACGAGGTGGAAGTGTGCCTCGATAACAAAGGCAGACATGATCTGGATGACCTGGCGGAGTCAGCGGTCGTTCTGGGCAACACATTGAACCCGGATCCCGGTGATCTCGGCCAGTCGATTGTGGAGATCACGGTGGAAGACTTCGATGCGCAGGAGCAAATGGCCAAGGTGGAAACGCTGCACCGATACCTTCAAAAGGAGCTATCACGGTTACAAACAGAGCTGGAATCCCTCAAGTCCGACAAAGCTTATGAGACTCCATCAGATATCCAAAGCTTGACGTCCGAGTGGACGCGCGGTACAAAGACACTGGCTACGAAAGTTGGGGAATACCAAGACCGCATTGTATCTCTCGAGCGAAACCAGCCTCAAGGCCCCACAATTGAAGAGCTGATGGCTGAAGAAGAGAAAGTCATCCGGTTAAGGGAGACGGTCAAGTCGCTGGAAGCACGGGTGAAGGCCTTCCACGATCTTCCCAAAGATGTATCGGGGGCAAGGGCCAAGTACAAAGAGCTAGAGCGCGAGCTGAGCCAACTTACGCGGCAGCGCGATACGATGTTTGGAAGTTTGGTGGGGCGACGATGAACTATATACTCCAGGAACAAGGTTTTTGTAGATCTATAGCTCGGCGGAAAATTAAGACTCACGCAGAATTCAATTGCTATTGGTTTGTAGCTAACACATAAAGAGCAAATGGTATCGTCAACTCATCGTGAAATCATGATGGCAGCGTAACTTGTGAGAAAGAAACGAGCGTGAAGAGCCAAGGCATCTTAGTTGTTCATGCCGAGGGCATTCTTGACCTTGTCACCACTGTAAAGATGGGTTAGTTTTCGTCCATGAAGGGCGTTCGAGGAAGTATGAAATCTTACACCGAGTTGGTGGCACCGCCGTGGGCCTCGTTATCGTGGGCACGCTGGGTCTTGTCAAAGGCCTCCTGGGGAGCGCTCTTGCTGTCATCACCCTGGGCACCGCGAGTGACACGGTCAGTCGTGTCGGTGACAGTCTCCTTGACCTTGTCCTGGGTGGACTTCATGGAGTCGGGGGTGGCCTCCTCCTTGGCCTCTGTGATGACAGTCAGTATCAGCAGCATGATCAAAGTAGACAAACTGCAAGTCACATACTGGTAGAGAAATCCTTGCGACCGGCGTCAGACATGATGGTGGATTGAAAGTTGATTGGACTTGATGGTATTTGGTTCACTAAAGATGGAGAATGAAAGCTGTTGAGAAAGGAAGGATGAGAAAGTCAGAGAAGAAGGTTTATATATAGATTCTTTTTCACATGGAAATCTTCATGCACGCCAAACAACATGACGTCGCTTTCAAAGGAACAAGTATATTGTTTCAGGTCTGGTTGGACCACCCCAGACTACTGCATGATAAGGAACCTTGCAAGACTCATGGCTACTGGACCGCGAATCAGAACCCCCGCATTTATTTCAGACCGATGACGTTTGGTATGTAAAGGTGTGGCAGCATGGTTTGCTGGGATTGAGCTTTGGGGAGCACCAGCATCTGTGGCGTCTACGATCATGACGTTTGATACGATTAACCGTCGGTCATCCCGTGATGGGGTTGTATAGACATATGATATCCCGATATGGTCTAGCGTATTCTTGCTATAAGAGGAAGGCGGTGTATTTTGTCTAGCAGAACTCCTCACCGCCGGTTCCTCGCCACCCGCTTGCTGCTTGCTGCCCATGGTCTCTACCTGACTCACTATATTATGGTTGTCTCAACTGTTGTTTATGCATTCTAGCGACATGGTTTTTGGTACTCGTTCGGACTGGATTTTTTCAATTTGGTTCTCTACGTTACCCATCTCATCGCCACTTTGATTCATCACCTTCGATCATTCAGATATCGTGATTGTCAATGCTTTCGCTTGATCTCACCGAGCCGGCCTCAAATTGGGACTTCACCGCGGTGCTTGACCTGCTCAGGTCTCCCACTCATGGTGATGCCTCTGCTCCTGTTCGCCGACCCAATCCCACAGCTCCTTCTTACTCTGTGGGTCAGTCAAGCCAGGATGTTGGGGTCGGCGACTGCAGGTCAGGTACAGAGGTAACGCCCAAGCGGAGCTACCCCAAGCTAGGAGATTTTGGGTCTCTTTGGGATCTCCTTGATGGAGACGACCACATGAAGACTACAGCTTTTGGTGATCCCGCACCAGCCTCATCGATCAACTCTCAGCCGTCTTTCGATCGTGCCTCGCCTGTTACTCTTTTTAAGCGGACTCCCCATGATGCATCTTCCAATGGAAGGACCACTCCCGAATCATACCACCCTCTCTCCAAGCTTACCCCCGTGTCAAGTGCCTCGAAACCTCATGTCTCTAAAGATACGATTTCTGGTAGCTCTTCACGTTCATACGTTCAAACCCCTGCGATAACTATCCTCAAACGAGCTACGGACCAGGAGTCCAGTAGCAATAATACGACAACACCATTCCCTCCACGAACACCATCGAAGCCAATTCCCGGCACTAGCGATTTGATCAACACGCCCAGGGCCAAAACCAAAGTCAAGGCTAAGGCTATTGGGAAAGACACCAAGTCTCAATCCGAGTGGGTCTCTGAAAGCAGTGCGAAGGCGGAGTCAGACTCCAGCACCGTCATTTTCGATTCACCAATTACCAAGACGACGGGTGTCCTAGCGTTTATTCCATCGCAGGTGGGCACACAAGACGCACGGACTTGCCAGGATGACACCCCACCATCGTCGTACGACGACCTGGATTTGTTACGGAATCAGGACAACGCCCGGAACATCATCACCACGCCGACGGGGATTCGCGTCCTGCCTGTTGCATACAAGACGGCAACTGACAGGCGAACGGGGTTGATAAACAAGCTCCTCAAGGAATTTCCCGACTATGCCCAGCAGGTGTCGCAGGTAGGACATTCTCCAACCTCAAAAAAGAAAGGTCTTGAGCAACGTCCTGTCCATGTCTTTGTCGACATGTCTAATGTAAGTCCCCTCTCTTCAATTTTGTTCCAGTCGAGCTTACGTTTCTATCAGATCATGGTTGGATTCCACGACTCGGTAAAAGTCTCGCGGAACATCCCCATCTCGACCAGAATTCGCCGCCTTCACATGTCTTTTTCCAACTTCTCTTTGATCATGGAACGAGACCGCCTCACCACGAAGAGAGTCTTGGTAGGCTCAGACCGACTGCCTTCGATTGACGAAGCCGAGAAACTCGGCTACGAGGCCAATATTTTAGACAGGGTCCACAAGAACAAGCACACGACTCCCCGTGCGTCCAAGTTCCGGAAAGGGCCCCAGTATACCAGTGGACCTGAAACGGTCGGTGGAAACCGATGGGTCGAGCAAGGTGTAGACGAAATTCTGCACCTGAAGATCCTGGAAAGCCTGCTGGACACGGACGAACCGGCGACAATCGTGCTGGCGACCGGAGATGCGGCAGAAGCCGAGTACTCTGGTGGATTTATGCGCATGGTGGAGCGCGCGCTGCAGCGTGGCTGGACTGTGGAGCTGGTTAGCTTCTCCCAGGTCACTAGCTACGCGTACCGGAAGAAGGAGTTTAGAGAGAAATGGGGGGATCTTTTCCGAGTGATTGAACTGGATGATTACGTCGAGGAATTATTTGATTAAATTTCCCACGGGTCATTACTCAGACTCCTTAGAATAGCAATCATGAATGAAGGGTTTTTAGGAACGAATGTTGTATCGTTGAAATTTCATTCTGGCTTGGGTTTTCAAGTCACATTATGACGAAGGCGTGGAGATCGGCTTGCGTTGTCTTCGCCCTAAATGGAGGTTTCAATTTCCAGACCAAGCTACGCAAACTGTCAATCCTGTCAAGTTAGTTCAATGGCGAACATTGTAGAGTGTTGAGGTCGCCAACTTAGTTTGCAGAGCCTCGCACTGAGTCAGCCCGGCCCCAACGTCATTGGGCGGCAGGACGGCTGCCTCGTTCCGTCAACATAAATTGTGTGCTGAAGCCAAAAGTCATCACGGCGTTTGAAACTGATCTCTTGCTTCACTCAATCTACTCGTGTCCCCTGGTGCCCCCGATACCAATATCTTCAGGGAAAGGATAAACTTCAGCGTGGGGGCTTGGCGTCGAAATCCTATATCGAAAAGCTTGGGCCCGCTCTCTCAGTTCGCTAAGTTGCAGCCAGAGAAAAGAGCGACCGATCATAAACGATATCTTGGAAACCTAACTTTCCGCTTCACGAAATACCTCCTTCCATCATGGCACAGGTTGTGGAGCAAGATTTCTTCGGCGGGGCCATCCGAGGCGTTGTGCCGCAGCGCTGGATCGATGCAAGGTTAGTAGACACTTTCCCATGTTCAAAATGCTCTGTACATGCCATGATCTGGCCAGTCGAGATATCACCGTGTGTCCAATCACTCAGAAGCCAGCCCATAAGCTCCAACTTCAGACTACGCATGCCACGCAGCATTTTATATCTTCATGATAGCGAACCCCACCAAACCAACATACTGACCACACTGTACAGCGATCTCCGCGAAATCCCAGACCATCAAGAAATCTTTCTCTCACCCGAAACACTCTCCAACCTGATCGTCGAGATCAACCAGCGCGTGAGCAAGGAGGACGCCCTGAGCACTCTCGCCGCGCTCAGCCACCAGCACCCAACACTCGCAGCCACCAGTGGCAATGCCACCAGCGCAACACCCGAAGCACTCGACCAAGCTGCCACTCTGTACCATCTGCATGACCTCTGCGACGAGGGCGATGCTATGCAGATCGTAACCTCGCCACAGCGGGTAAATCTCGCCCGTTTGGGCGCATCTGCACCACCTGGCAGCGTGATCATTGCCTACAGAGGTGTTGTGGAGTTCACTACTGCGTCGCGCAAGCGCGGTGGTGCGCGAACTGCTGATGGGACTAATGCGTCAGCGGCGGATTCGGCGGTTTCCGGGGCGTCGGTTGATGGGGACGCGCCGTTGAGCTCGAGGTTGACGTGTCATTATTTACTTGTGAGGCTTGAGAAGCAAGAGACTGATCTGTTGGTCTTCTTTAATGTGCCGCATGAGGAGTTTGATAAGGGCGGGGATGTGCGGGAACTGTCAAGGGAGGAGAAAGTTGCGGAGGAGACTGTGGCTGCGATGGTTGAGAAGTTGGAGATTCGGGACTGGGGGCTTTTTGTTTGATTGGATGATCCGGTTATGGGATTTGCAATGAATGAGTGATGGTCATGAAGGGATGGCATGGGATATTGGAGCATATGGAAGCAACTGTATCCGCAGGGAGGAACTGGAGCAACTTAAGATGGGAACAGCTCTCTCGGGAGAAGAGCGGATATTAAAATAGGTAGATAGGTAATACCCAGGGAGTCAAGAGCTAGGTAGTCAACGAAATCAAATGAAATACAATAAAGCAATGCAAATGAACCACCTGGGGATAACTACAACCTTGGAAGCATTGTCACAAGGCAGCACGATATACTTCACGAATAAGGGTCCATAACAGACCTCGACCCGGTGTCATACCAGTCTCAACCGACATGAAAATAAAATAGTTGCATTTCAAATATCCACAAGATGAAAATAAATGATCTAGGCACCAACCCAAGTCTAAAAAGCGCCAACATCCAAAGAAATGTAAGAAATCTACATCTCAACCTGAATCCGAGCAAGACTCTTCGTCACTTCGACCATAGCCTTCTTCTGAGGCGACATGCGCGGCTTGGGCTTAATCTGCTCCAAACGATTCTTGCAAGACCCACAACGTTGCCTCTCTGGATCGATACTCTTCGAGTGACGACCATATGTCACGCCGCAGCCCGTGCAAGTCCACACGTACTTCCAATCAATACTGTAGGAGTGTTTTGTCGTCACGTTAATCTGGCCTCCGTAGACGGGGTGGTCTTTCAATGCCTCGGCACATTTCCTGCCCCAGGCTTTGAAGCTGGCGCCGTGCGGGTTATCGGTTACACGGGAGACCATGAAGTTAGCCAGATGGCAGTATTCGTGGGCGAGAGTGTTGATGAGGCGGTATTGATCGTCGATGATCCGCTCGGCGAGCTCGATTGTGGCGTGGTGGACATGTTGTGAGGCTCCTGTTCTCTGGCCGTCTGGTCCTCGGCATTCTACTCGTTCGCTGCGCCATTGTGCCCGGCCTGCTGTCTTCTGGAGGGTCTTGGACCATGTGATTTTTACGCCGCCGGTTTGCCTCGCGAGGCGGTTGACCTCGCCGTCGGAGACGGCAGTGTCCAGAACTTCAAGGAATGTTTCTGCGAAGCTTGCTTTTTTGTTGTTGAAGGACTCTCGGCGTGCTTTGGCTGCACGCTTTGCTTCTGCCTCTGCCTTCTTGATTGCCGTCTTACTGGGTGTTTTGGAAGACTTGGGTGACTTGGGAGATGTGCTTCTCTCGAGAGACACGGAATTGGACTCTGTGCTGATGCTGGAATTTGGGCTGCTGTCTTCCTCGTCTGACATGTCGAAATCCTTGAGTAGTGCAAATACAGTGCTTCCGGCGGATTTCTCTTTGCGAGGTGAGTGCTGGTCGATCCAATGGTTCGTTTCCGTCTGGTTCCAAAAGGCATCGACACTCTCGCGATGGGGTGTTGGCGGAATGCGAATCTTCTCTTTTGTGGGAGACCTAAGACGGTTTCGTGGTGGGCTGGATGGTGGTGTTTCTAGGCTCTTTTCAACCGGCTTTAAGGCTGGAGGTGAGGAGCTCAGGTCTATAATTGAGCTGTGCTGTCTAGTTAGCATGGCCATATCATAGGCAAGGGAAGGGTGTAACTCTTACGGAGAAGTGTCTGTCTCCAACTGAGAAGCTGGCTCATTGTCATCATCCAACACTAGCTTGTTGAGTTTTGTGGATAGATGAAGGTCGTCTTGAAACAGGTGTTTGGGAGTCTCCTTAGGAGTTGGGTGGAGTTTTACGGCGTCGATCTTCGCTTCCGGGGCAAAGGGTTCTTTGAGGGGATTGCCATTCAAATCTTTGGGATCGCTGTCAGAGTTCGGTTTTCTTCCTCTCATGAGTCTCTTTCGAGTGGATTTTGGCGGTGGTGGTGGTGTTGGAGCCTTTTCAGGCTCTGTCTCAGAGTCGGATGTCTCTTGGTAGCTGATGTCTTCATTGTCGCTGACAACAAAGTCGTCCAGTGAGTTAAAGCTATTATCCCCACAGTCACCTTCCTCTTCGGTCTCGGTGTTCATTTCTCTCAGAGGCCTGCGATCTGTTCGGCTTCCCCCGGGCCTTCGCGGCGTGTTTCGGTTTCGTATTGTCGACGAACGTTGCGGAACAGGTTCTATTGATGTTGCAGACGGCTCTGTAAGCCCCTCCTCTATATCGTTCTCTTTATCATAGTCGTCTGTTTCCACTTTGATGCTGGGTCTTTGGCGAGTTCGTTGTAGCGGAAGAAGGAGAGAGTTGATTTGCGTGGTTTTGAGCGTGCGTGTTTTCTTTTGTTTTCGAGGCGAGTTGGATGCTGAGCTTCCGCTTTCGATCGCTGGATCGGGGAATATGTCGAATGTGGTGCCTGATCCCAGCTTGTGTCTTTGCGATGACCCTCGAGAAAGTGTGGGTGTACTGTTGGTACGTCTGGTGTCGGGCGGCTCGGCGGATGTTGGGACTGGGTGTTCGATTCTTTCGCTGGGTGCAACTTTGCGCCGCGCTGCCTCATGAACCAGCGGGTTTGATGTGTTGATTCTGGCCATCTTGGGGTTGTGAGGTATGTGTCGAGATGCGTCGGTTAAAAGATATGTGTTTTTTGGATCAAGGTTTGGCTTGTCCAAGCGACAATGAAGGCTTGAGTGCAATCACGCACCAAAATGCTGCATTGAAGCTGCCTTGTGTGCCAGTTTGAAGTATTTTCCTGGTCTGTGTTGGAACTTCTTCAACCGCTGTGAGCTGTCAACGGCTACTTGTTGGCCCGGCAACCATTTGCCTGCTCAACTTAAACAGAACTATACGGTATGGATTTTGCTGGAGTGCATGAATTGGCATGCGCACAGCTATCTATCGTTTACCTAAGTATATGCAGCTGTCCAATTATTGTCATTACAGGTGGTCCCAATTCATCTCTGCTTGCCCCCGTATATGTGTGTAAATTTCAGGCCCTAATTAATATGCGCAAACAATTGCTGTGAGGGTGAGTGATTCTCATCAGAGATGTGACGGAAAATATCCCATTTCATAGTTTATCGTTTCGGGTCTTTCTTTGGAAAATAAACTTGTGCCAAAAAAAAAAAGTAACAAAAATGCGAAGTAGACTTGTCTACACTGGCAAAAAGTTAACAGGCCCGAGCCGCGGATCGAACGCGGGACCTCGCGCAGGAGTGCTTAGGTTACCCTAAGCGCGAATCATACCACTAGACCACCCGGGCTGTTGTATATATTACTCTTGGAAGTATGATTACTTGAGGATAATTTATTTTAAGGTAATGAACCCAAGTTGGGTGTAGATATCGTTAAACGCGAGGCCGCTATTTAAAGCGGACTATTGTGGACCATGTTCAACCCCTATCGAATGTGTGATGTGAAATAGATCAGGTAGTAATGTTTGAGCATTCGTCGGCATTAAATATGGCAGACAAAAGGGAGTAATATTGATTTGTTGAAATCCGCACCTAGTGAAGTCGGAAGTTCGATATATTTTGCATCTCTATCGTTAGTTCGGCTAGGTGCAATTTACCACAAACAAAAATAACAAACAACCATAGTGAATAGCCAATGGAATTAACATAGAACAATACATCGGCTTGCAAGGCAATTGAAATTATCATCACTATAGTCAAAGGTTAGGCCCAAATCCAACAAGACTACGAAATCCGGCAATCGCAGACAAAGCAAGGCAAGCAATCATCCGTGCATCGAAGTTTCTACCAATAGTTCAAAACCTCCACACATTGCAATTACCAATTTTGCTCAAGGACGGAAATTTCATTTGCAATCCTGATTTTACCCCATCCACCGAGACATAATTCTACCTGGCCACTGCCGTGAAATACATACGAGGGCACCGGCAAGGGACGAAAAGGCGACAATCCGACCATCACGTCAATATCGATGGCGGGTGAACCAAACACCGCGGGAGTCACGGAAGTTCCTAGTCCATGCAAGATGCATCTGTCTCAGATACTAGCTTCGGCTACCCATTGCTACATATCCCACAAGCAGGGACGGCAGTCACCCAAGCCACATACATCACAAAAAGGCGAGTGATTTGGATTTGACCAGGCAGGAACAAGCTTTAAAATCGACCCAACCACCAGATTCACCTCCCTCACATGGTAGCAGGCTGAAACCAGAGGCTGACGCGAGGACGCTGCATGGATCTGCATGTGTAGCGTCGCCTCACTCAAACCTTAAAGCCGAACTGTTTACCGGAGAGGGTAAACCCGGCCGCAGTGCCGTGGAATGGACAGCCCACCGAATAATGCGGATCACACGCGAGAGCCCCTGATCCTTGGATCGACAAGCTCCAGCCGACTGCTGGCTACCGGAGGCCGATCGTTTTGTGGCATGGCAAAAGAATGGGATGATCAGCATCCCCTTGCCGTTGGGTCCCATGTCACAGAGCTGCGAGGTAGGTAAAGAGTCCGGGCCTGAGTCGTTCACTCAGTCCACATTTTGATGTTGAGAAGTCGAAGGATCATTGACTGGCTACAAAAAACAAGTGTGTGTTTATCATTGGACAGGGAGACTTTCTATGAACTCTATCTCCCAAGTCACGATCTGAGCGCGCACGTTGAAAGTTCGCTGTATCGCACATATACCAAAGTCATGTTTTCCATATCTATCGGCCAACCCAGACCACCGAAATGTGAGCTGTAGTCGGCTTTTACATGTTCGCAGGCACCAAATACATTGATTGGCCACCGATCACGTCGATGTGGAGGGGTACGGGTCACCCAAGCACAGCCCCCTGATTACTTGAATGGGGGCAAATGTGAATCGGAGGATCGCCTGCCATTATCAGATGTTGCGGTGGCAATTCGGGTCATTTACTGGTTGAATGTCTTGGCCCCCTTATCCCGGCAATTCAGGGGGCACGCTACCGAAAATCATGGCAATTGGCGAAGTGACGCCGGTGGCACACACAGCCCTGATACCAAGCCACCGACTGATAAAGCAGAATGATCAGGTTCATGAATTGACCCAGCCACACTTAAACCAGAATGGGGGTAGACGGATCGTGTATTGAAAAGGCGGGTCAATACAATAAACTTGCAACACTAGGGCGAATCCGGGCGAGCGGTCGCTGACTAGACCTAGGAGCATCCGAGACAGGTTATTTTTGGAGGATGGTGATTAGCCACGAACCCATGTGAACCCGGTCGGGGAAGGAGTCGAAAGAAACTCTGACACGGAGGGACAAGGCTGGAGATGAAAATGGAAGATCGGCCCGTCCTGCAGTGGATGTATCGTTCGTGTGCTGCACCGGTCCCGCCGTTGGACATGTCTTGAGTACTTACATGTGTACCCTGTCGCCCTGTTGGCACGGAGTAAAGTATTAGGACGAGACAAAGTATGCAGCATAGAGTGGTTACACTCTACATATTCAAGCCGGTCTGTATAGGTTTTCGCAGTCCGTTGCGTATGCAGGAACCAGGGCGATTCCGGCTGGGCCAGTGTGGCCCAGGTTGAGGCTTCTGGCCCGAGAGAGAAGCATGTGGAACAGAGCGAAAAGACTGGGTCAAACGGTGGAGATGGGGCTGGCAGCTCGTTACGCCGTTACCAGTGGTGCGTACGGCACGTAAAACGTGTCACGGATACTGCCCGGTCGCTTGTTTCAGAGCCCGGGGTTGTAATATGCCACGAATATACACAAGGAGGTCAAATCTTTTCTATCGTAGTAGAAACAAACCCGGGCATGTCCTCAACAGAGGACCTCGGAGGATCCATTGGTTTTTTGGTGTTCTAATTTTGGCACCGGAGGTCCAAGTCCGCCGTGGCTAATCCCGATTTTGCTATGTGGTGGCTTCCAGATTAGGGAGCAACAGGTTTGCCAGCGTAGAGTGGGGGGGTTTTGGAGGGCGTTGAGTGGTTCTAAGACCTGGACGCGGGCTTATCAGAGGCCGCGTAGTGCAGCATCCGAGATTAGTTCAACGGTGAAAACGGCGCTAAGCAGTACAATTTGTATCATGGGTGGCGAATTGGGTTTCTAGCGTCAAATTCAGTCATCTCCTATCCAGGAAACACCAGACCCGAATAGAAAAGAAACGAGGACGATCGCTCTTTCAAAGCCGGAGGGGGAAATATTTCCACAGAGCGCGAGTGGTTCCTGTCGCTTGAGAGCCGTGGTTCTTCTCCCGGTGAATGAAAAACAGACCAACCTCCCCAGCACCCAACCTCCAAGATACCGTCAGCACCCAGGTATCCGTACGTACAAAAGTCCAGAGGGCAGAGATACCGAAATCTGCATGGAAACGAGGAATGAAAAATATCGTGCAACGCCATCCCTGCATACCGTAGTGGTAACAATAACAAGGAAGGGGCAAATCAGAGGCGGAAACGGGGTCCCATCTCAGGTATCGGTCACATTATTTGTTACCAGATTACACATGGACGGATCCGGAGTGGGGCGGGTTTCAGGGGCCGCTCAGATTTCCCTTGGAATCCGAGCGTCCTGTGCCTTCATCATTGGCTCGTCAGCGCTGAAGATCGAGTGCCCGTGTACGGTATCGTGGGACAACAACGGTATCGACCAAGCACACCGAGCACCAGCACGCCCCCACCCCCCTGAACTGGGGTGCGGTTGTACCGGTACTTCCGCTACTAAGGGGGGACCCATAGCACGGAAAGTACTCCTACACACACGTACACGTACGGTCGTAAATTAGAGTAGCCAGCAAATTCCCCCGATCCCAAAATAACAGCACAGCCAATATTTTCCCCTTCCTTGGCCTTCTTACTCCCTCCTCTGCCCTTCGTTTGCCTTTTTGTCCATCCATCATCTTGCTTCCTTCCATTCGTTTTAGAGAGGAAGTTTTGGAGCAAGGTTGCTCTTTCCTCGCTGGGGTTTCCAAGGTTGTTACGTTTCGTCTTTCGCTCATTCAACCAGCGCGGAGTTTGACACTCGCCGACTTTCGCCCTTTCTCGGCTTCCATCCCACACGTCGTTACGATCTGCGCCATTCGTTTCTGTGTCCATGCTGCAATAATTCATTCGTCCGGCGCATATAACTTTTTAATACTGTGGACGAGTCGTGGTTGAGGTAAGGGTGCAACGAAAGGGACCTGGATCGCAAGCTGCCCGGCCTGTCCCGGCTTCGACACGGCATTCCGTTGGCTAACCGACCACCCCAGAGCTATCATCAAGCGATCGATTGCGACTCTCTCGACATGTCCGGTTACGCAGGAGGAGGCCATTACGACGATGGCTACGGCCACCCGCCGGCTCATGGCGACTCGTACTACCAGGAAGAACATGCCCAGGGCTACTACGATAACCAGGGCTACAACGATGGCTATTACGACAATGGGTACGGAGCCCAATGAAAGCACTTCGAGCGTGACCTCGCTAACATATGAAGCTACAGTGGTTACTATGGAGACGAAGCCGCCGGCCACGCCCAGGCCCAGGGCCAGGGCCAGGGCCAAGGCTACGCTGACGCGGGCTATTACGACCAGGGCGGCCACCAGGATGGCTACTACGGTGATCAGTACTATGATCAGCCCGGTCACGGCCAAGGCCGCCCTCACGACTCCGAGGAGGACTCGGAGACTTTCAGCGATTTCACCATGAGATCCGAGACCGCTCGTGCGGCAGACATGGACTACTACGGCCGCGGTGACGACCGCTACAACAGCTATGCCGACAGCCAGTACGGCCGCGGTTACGGTGGCTACCGTCCCCCCTCTTCCCAGATTTCATACGGTGGTAACCGATCATCCGGTGCCTCCACCCCCGTCTATGGCATGGATTACGGAAACGCGTTGCCGGCTGGCCAGCGTTCGCGGGAGCCCTACCCTGCCTGGAGCGCAGACGCCCAGATTCCCTTGTCCAAGGAAGAGCTTGAGGACATCTTTATTGACCTCGTCAACAAGTTCGGTTTCCAGCGAGACAGCATGCGTAACATGTACGACCATATGATGACGCTCCTTGACTCGCGTGCCTCTCGCATGACCCCCAACCAGGCGCTTCTATCACTCCACGCCGACTACATTGGTGGTCACAATGCCAACTACCGCCGTTGGTACTTTGCCGCCCATTTGGACCTGGACGATGCTGTTGGCTTCGCGAATATGAAGCTCGGCAAGGCCGATCGCAAGACCAGGAAGGCTCGCAAGGCTGCCCAGAAGGCCGCCAAGAAGAACCCCGAGAATGAGGAAGAGACTCTCGAGGCATTGGAAGGCGACAACAGCCTGGAGGCCGCCGAGTACCGGTGGAAGTCTCGCATGAACCGGATGTCCCAGCACGATCGGGCCCGTCAAATTGCCCTGTATCTGCTCATCTGGGGTGAGGCCAACCAGGTCCGTTTCCTGCCCGAGTGTCTTTGCTTCATTTTCAAGTGCGCCGACGACTATTACGGTTCGCCCGAATGCCAGAACCGGGTTGAGCCCGTTGAGGAGTTCACCTATCTCAATGAGGTTGTCACACCCCTCTACCAGTTCTGCCGTGATCAGGGTTACGAGATCTTGGACGGGAAGTACGTTCGCCGTGAGCATGACCACAACAAGATCATCGGTTACGACGATATGAACCAACTGTTCTGGTACCCTGAGGGTATCGAGCGCATCCACTTCGAGGACAAGACCCGCCTGGTCGATATTCCCACATCGGAGCGCTGGCCCAAGCTGAAGGATGTCGTCTGGAAGAAGGCGTTTTTCAAGACGTACAAGGAGACTCGTTCGTGGTTCCACATGGTCACCAACTTCAACCGTATCTGGGTTCTTCACTTGTGTGCTTTCTGGTTCTTCACCGCTTACAACGCCCCGACTCTCTACACCCCCAACTACCAGCAACAGTGGGACAACAAGCCCCCCCCGGCCAAGTACCTGGCTGCTGTTGGCTTTGGTGGTGCTCTTGCCGCCTTTATCCAGATCTTCGCTACCATTTGCGAATGGTGTTACGTTCCCCGTCGTTGGGCCGGTGCTCAGCATCTGCGAAAGCGTTTCATGTTTCTTCTCGCCGTCTTCATTGCCAACTTGGTCCCAGGTGTTATCATCTTTGGTTTCCTGGACAAGCTCGGCACCAAGAACATTCAGGACATCGTTGGCCTCGCTCTCGGTATCGTACACTTCGTTCTCGCTCTGTTCACGGCGGTCTTCTTCGCGATCCAGCCTCTCGGTGGTCTCTTTGGTAGCTATCTCAGGAAGAATGGCCGCCAGTACGTGGCCAGCCAGACGTTCACTGCCAGTTTCCCCCATCTTCACGGAAACGACATGTGGATGTCTTACGGTCTCTGGGTCTGTGTCTTCGGTGCCAAACTCGCCGAGTCCTACTTCTTCTTGACTCTGTCGTTCAAGGATCCCATTCGTATCTTGTCCCCCATGACCATCTTCGAGTGCACTGGTGTCAAGTACCTGGGCAATATCCTCTGCCACAAGCAGCCGCAGATTCTGCTCGGTCTTATGTTCTTCATGGATTTGACTCTCTTCTTCCTGGATAGTTATCTCTGGTACATTATTTGCAACACCATCTTCTCTGTTGCCCGGTCATTCTATCTCGGTGTCTCCATCTGGTCTCCCTGGAGAAACATCTTCTCGCGCCTTCCCAAGCGTATCTACTCCAAGGTTCTGGCCACCACCGACATGGAAATCAAGTACAAGCCCAAGGTCCTCATCTCGCAAGTGTGGAACGCCATTATCATCTCGATGTACCGTGAGCACCTGTTGGCCATTGACCACGTCCAGAAGCTACTGTACCACCAGGTCCCGTCCGAGCAGGAGGGCAAGCGTACTCTGCGTGCACCGACCTTCTTCGTGTCCCAGGAAGACCAGTCGTTCAAGACCGAGTTCTTCCCTGCTGGCAGCGAGGCTGAGCGTCGTATTTCCTTCTTCGCCCAGTCCTTGTCGACCCCCATGCCCGAGCCTCTACCCGTTGATAACATGCCCACCTTCAGTGTCTTGATCCCTCACTATAGTGAGAAGATCTTGCTCTCTCTGCGTGAGATTATTCGTGAAGATGAGCCATACTCCCGTGTTACTGTCCTGGAATACCTCAAGCAGCTCCACCCTCACGAGTGGGACTGCTTCGTCAAAGACACCAAGATTCTGGCCGATGAGACGTCGCAATTCAACGGTGAATACGGTGAGAAGGGCGAGAAGGATGCTCAGAAGAGCAAGATCGATGACCTGCCCTTCTACTGCATTGGTTTCAAGTCCGCCGCTCCCGAGTACACTCTCCGCACCCGTATCTGGGCGTCCCTTCGCTCGCAGACGCTTTACAGAACGGTCTCTGGCTTCATGAACTACAGCCGCGCCATCAAGTTGCTGTACCGTGTTGAGAACCCCGAGGTTGTCCAGATGTTCGGTGGTAACTCCGAGAAGCTCGAGCGTGAGCTGGAGCGCATGGCCCGCCGCAAGTTCCGTATCTGTGTGTCCATGCAGCGCTACGCCAAGTTCAGCAAGGACGAACGGGAGAACACCGAGTTCCTCCTCCGTGCGTACCCCGACCTCCAGATCGCCTACCTTGACGAGGAGCCTCCCGCGAATGAGGGCGAGGAGCCCCGCCTGTACTCTGCTCTCATTGATGGTCACTGCGAACTGCTCGAAAACAACATGCGCAAGCCCAAGTTCCGTATCCAGCTCTCCGGCAACCCAATTCTCGGTGACGGAAAGTCTGACAACCAAAACCACGCCATCATCTTCTACCGCGGTGAATACATCCAGCTTATCGATGCCAACCAGGACAACTACCTTGAGGAATGTCTTAAGATTCGCAGTGTCCTGGCTGAGTTCGAGGAGTTGACCACTGACAATGTTTCGCCCTACACTCCTGGTATCGCCGCACCCGACAACGACCCGGTCGCCATTCTCGGTGCCCGTGAGTACATCTTCTCCGAGAGCATTGGTGTGCTTGGTGATGTTGCTGCCTCCAAGGAACAAACATTCGGTACTCTGTTCGCGCGTACTCTGGCTCAGATCGGTGGTAAGCTGCATTATGGTCACCCTGATTTCCTGAACGCTACCTTCATGACCACTCGTGGTGGTGTGTCCAAGGCTCAGAAGGGGTTGCACCTGAACGAGGATATCTACGCCGGTATGAACGCAATCCTCCGTGGTGGTCGCATCAAGCATTGCGAGTACTTCCAGTGTGGTAAGGGTCGTGACTTGGGTTTCGGCTCTATTCTGAACTTCACAACCAAGATTGGTACTGGTATGGGTGAACAGATTCTGTCTCGCGAGTACTACTATCTCGGTACTCAGCTGCCTATGGATCGCTTCTTGTCCTTCTACTATGCTCACCCTGGTTTCCATCTTAACAACATGTTCATTATGCTTTCCGTGCAGATGTTCATGATTGTCTTGATCAACCTGGGTGCTCTCAAGCACGAGACAATCACTTGCCGCTTCAACCCCGACTTGCCCATCACGGATCCCCTCCTGCCTACCTACTGTGCCGACTTGGTCCCTGTCATCAACTGGGTCAACCGTTGCGTTGTGTCCATCTTTATTGTGTTCTTTATTTCGTTCGTTCCCCTGGCCGTTCAAGAACTGACTGAGCGGGGCGTCTGGCGCATGGCGACTCGTCTTGCTAAGCACTTCGGTTCGTTCTCTTTCATGTTCGAAGTGTTTGTTTGCCAGATCTATGCCCAATCTGTGCACCAGAACTTGTCTTTCGGTGGTGCTCGCTACATTGGTACCGGTCGTGGTTTCGCCACCGCCCGTATTCCCTTCGGTGTGCTGTACTCTCGTTTCGCTGGTCCCTCGATCTACGCTGGTGCTCGACTGCTCCTGATGCTGTTATTCGCCACCTCCACCGTCTGGACTCCTGCTCTTATCTGGTTCTGGGTCTCCTTGCTTGCTCTGATCATCTCGCCCTTCTTGTTCAACCCCCACCAGTTCGCCTGGAACGACTTCTTCATTGACTACCGTGACTATCTCCGCTGGCTCTCGCGTGGTAACTCGCGCTCTCACGCCTCGTCCTGGATCGGTTTCTGTCGTCTCTCGCGTACCAGAATCACTGGTTACAAGAGAAAGCTTCTGGGTGTTCCTTCAGAGAAGGGCTCCGGAGATGTGCCTCGCGCTCGCATCACGAACATCTTCTTCAGCGAGATCATTGCACCCTTGGTTGTGGTTGCTGTGACCTTCATTCCTTACCTGTACATCAACTCCAGAACGATGTTCAGTAACGAGGTGAAGTACGCTCCCAACGCCATCGCCCGAATCGCCATCATTGCGTTCGCTCCTATTGGTATCAACGCTGGTGTTGCCGCTGTGTTCTTCGGTATGGCATGTTGCATGGGTCCGATCTTCAGCATGTGCTGCAAGAAGTTCGGTTCCGTTCTCGCGGCCATTGCCCACGCTATCGCCGTCATTGCTCTCATGATCTTCTTCATCGTTCTGTTCGTCCTGGAATCCTTCAGCTGGCCCAGAACCGTCTCGGGCATGATTGCGGCCATGGCCATTCAGCGCTTTATTTACAAGTTGATCATCTCCTTGGCTCTGACCCGTGAATTCAAGCATGATCAATCTAACATCGCCTGGTGGACCGGCAAGTGGTACAACATGGGTTGGCACTCATTGTCCCAGCCCGGCCGTGAATTCCTTTGCAAGATTACCGAGCTGGGTTACTTCGCTGCCGATTTCGTTTTGGGTCACATCATTCTGTTCTTCATGCTGCCCGTTCTCGCCATTCCCTACGCCGATAAATTCCACTCAGTGATTCTGTTCTGGCTGCGTCCCAGGTATGTGCTCCGAGCTGCATAATTGTCTGATTTTTTACTGATTTCTCTTTCCAGCCGTCAAATCCGTCCTCCCATCTATTCGCTGAAGCAGTCCAAGCTCCGAAAGAGACGGGTTGTTCGTTTCGCCATTCTCTACTTCTTCATGCTGGTTATTTTCGTTGTCCTCATTGCCGCGCCGCTTGTCATTCGCGATTTGTCGTCCATCAGCCTGAGCATCCGGAAGGCACTCTACGATGCTGTCGGTGTCAAGTCAAGTGGCCTTGGCCTTCTGCAGCCTCTCGACGCTGGCCTGAACGATACACAAACGTACTACACGGGAAGTCATTTGCCCCAAGGCTACAAGTCCCCGCACAACTCCGTCACTCCCACCGGCGGTGACTACAACTTCCAACGCATGATTTGAGGCCTCTAGCCTTCCTGTATGAAAATGGCTTGTACAAAGTTTTGTCACCTTATCGTCATTTTTCCTGCTCTTCGCTGCATTCTTTAAAAACACCGGCGCACCTGTTGATCTTAATGGCTTTTTGTGTGGAACGACTTGTATCTTAGTGGTTCGACCACTACCATGGGGGATTTACCTTCGTTTACCACTCTCATAGCTTGTTTTTCTTTACAAACTCAACGGAATACAATCTGCATTGCTTCAATCTTCATGATTTTTCTTCAACGTAGACCGTTTATTGTTGCTAAGTAGGTCCGTGGTCCGTTTAAAGCAGTGTAGCCTTGTAGTGTACTTGATCCATTCATGGGAACTCGGGTTCGCGCGGTCACGGGCTTCTCACGTGACATTGATTATTCCAACCCGTCCGCGCCCCCCGGCGTCTGTATCCGTCCTCCATTTTCTTGAACACGCTCCTTTTGGTGGTTTTTTTGACCTTTTCTAACCGGAATTTTTTTGCCCGGTGTGCGTGCGCCACGAGCGCCCCAGACAACGCCATTATGGACCTTCAGGAGACGCAACGTCTTCTGTCCGAGTACCTACATGAACTCGCGAACCTCTTCCACCGCGTCCCCGGTTCCGCAATCTTCCTTCGCTACGTGAAATCGAGTTACCAAGATGACCCCATTCGCTCGGCTGTCGAATTGTTTCTCTTTCTCTTCGCCGTGCGCTACTTGCTAGCCCCGAAATACTCGACCAAGCCCGGCGTGGTGCCGTTGACAGAAGACGAGATTGATGACCTCGTAGACGAGTGGACGCCCGAGCCACTTGTGGGAAAGCCTTCTACCTTGGAGGAAATGGAAGTCGATAAGCGGACGGTGATCGTGGGGTAGGATCTTCCCTTTCTTCCGCGGAGGCGGAGCCCTCGGACATCTTGCTAATGAATCCTCGCAGTCCTGTCGGTCCCAAGTCCAAACTTGCTAACGGCCGCACCGTCACGAATCTCAGCTCGTTCAATTTCTATAACTTCAACACCAACGAGGCCCTCAAGGAGTCGGCCATCCAGACCCTCCGGGCCTACGGTGTCGGTCCCTGTGGCCCGCGAGGTTTCTACGGAACCCAGGATGTCCATATGAAGACCGAGGCAGACGTGGCATCGTTCCTCGGCACTGCGGCTTGTATTATGTACTCTCAGGCATTTTCCACCATCTCCAGTGTCATTCCTGCGTTCTCGAAGCGTGGTGACATTATTGTTGCCGATAAGGGTGTCAGCTATGCTATTCGGAAGGGTATTCAGATTTCCCGCAGTATCGTCCGTTGGTATGAGCATAATGACATGGAGGACTTAGAGCGGGTGCTCGCCAAGGTTACCAAGGAGCAAGCACGCAAGCCATTGACTCGGCGGTTCATTATTACCGAGGGCCTTTTCGAGTCTTATGGCGACATGGTGGATCTTCCGAAGATTGTGAGTGATAACCGACAGCGAAAACTTGGTTCGTATCCTGTGCTGACCACCGTTGCAGATCGAGTTGAGACTCAAGTATAAGTTCCGTCTCATCCTCGACGAGACATGGTCGTTCGGTGTCCTAGGCCGCACTGGCCGTGGTATTACCGAGCATCAGAACGTTGACGCAGCCGAGGTCGATATGATCGTGGGGTCACTGGCTGGTCCTCTTGTGGCAGGCGGAGGCTTTTGTGCCGGCTCTGAGGAGATTGTGCACCACCAGCGGATCTCTGCTGCGGCATACACCTTCTCTGCAGCGCTTCCCGCTCTCCTATCCACCACTGCCAGTGCCTGCATCAATCTTCTCCAAAACAACCCTGACACGGTCTCGCAGCTCCGGGAATACGTCAAGGCCATGCGGGCTCAGCTTGATCCTCGCAGTGACTGGGTGTACTGTACCAGTTCGCTTGAGAATCCCATTCTCATCCTGGTTATCAAGTCTGAGGTCGTAGCTTCGAAGAAGCTCTCCTACGAAGATCAACAGTTTTTGCTTCAGGATGTTGTCGACGAGGTAAGTATCAACCGTTCAAACATGCCACATTGTCCGGCCCAATCCCGCTAACCTTTGTACTCGTGTAGTGCCTGGCCAACGGAGTCCTGATCACCCGCCTCAAGACTCTGGAAGACAACTTCCAGCCGAAGCAAGTCGTTCCAGCCGCGCTAAAGGTGTGCGTGACCATCGGCCTGACAAAGAAGGAGATCGAGAAGTCCGGCACGATAATCCGGCACGCGATCACGAAAGTGATGAGCAAGAAGAAGTAGACCCTTCCAGTGCTACTTCCACTCTTCCATTCTCAACGAATGACTTCTCATGCTCAATGACCTCCGGTATCTGCTGGGTTTGAAAACCATCGTCATCAACCATACGCCCTAATGCCTCTTCCTCCCGTGTATTGTTAAGCCGGTTTGCTTGTTGATATGCATCTCTATTGCTCCCCTGTACAGTACTGCCCGCTCACTTCTTTTGCTTCTATGGGCAGTTTCATACTCTTCGGGTGCATGGCTCTAGATTGTTTAATACTATTCTTTTTCTGGCTACAGCTTTGCCTGTGCCAAGTGCATTCATAATTCGTGCATGGTCTCCGCTAATTTTACAATCCCCTAAATTCCCCCCTTTCTCTTGTGGACCGAGAGTCAAGGAAAAGGCTGCTTGTCAATCTCATCCGCAACTGACACGCCTAGCGGAGCCACCTCCTTCATCCCTTGACAAGATTCGTTCGGACAATCGCGGCCACCCTGGCTAGTCTTGTCTGGAAATGGGAACCTCCAGCTAGGGCCAAGTCATCCCAAGGGTCTTCTTCACCCGTGTCTCTTTATAATGTGACCGCAAACCATGGAAGCTAGCACGTTCAATGATAACCCAACAAATGACGACTCCAGTTAGCGCGGTATTCGAGCGGCGTGCGCGGAATGGACCCAGCATTCCACAAACCTGCGGTAGCCCCAGGAGAATTCCCCCGCCTCCTCCGAGAAAGATCTCGCCCATTCGAGCACTCGAGGCCAAGATCTCCCCTTCAACGCGAGTTATTACTCCCCTACGGACTAACCCAAATCAGGGAAATCGCCAGGACTCTTAGCCCAGATCTCATTCCACATGTCACCCCACACTAAATAGTTATGCCTGGATACACCATTGTTTACCTACCAAGGGCCCATGCTCTCCTGGTAGATCAGTAGGCCTTTGAATATAATCTGGTTGATCTGCACGGTCGCCCTCGTGTCCAGGGGAGGGTTTTGTCACTCCTGCTATGGTCGTGATCCACTAACTAGGTTCTAACTTTGGATCGGTGCAATGAAGCGGCTTCATCTGGCGTTAGGCCTGTTCTTTGCTTGTGGCGCTTATGCTGAGTCTCAAGGTAAGAAAATTTCACTTAAAGTCCAATCGAGTCTGATTTGCTGACTGCTACTAGGACAATGTTCTGGAGAAGTGCAGACTCAAACCTCGGAGGTAGTTGTCTGGGTCAACGAACAAGGAGTACCGATTAGCACGGAGACAACCCGTATTGTTCCGACTGCTGTGCCGCAAGGGAATGTTAGTAGGCAGGATTCTATCAATGCCGTTTCATGGATTGAAGTTAATCTATCAATAGCCTGCAGCCGTTCCCCAGGTCTCGATACCGAAGTCGAATCTTGAGGTGAAGGCCAACGTGCCGGCGCCCATTGAACCCAAGAAAGATGAGCCCAAGCAGGATGCGCCAGACCATAAGCCTGTGTCGGGAATTCATAGGGCGAACAGGCCTCATGTTCACCCTAAACATCCTGCGCCTGCACCTCCAGCACCTCTCGTGCCTTTGCCTAAGCTTCCTAAACCTGAGCTCCCCAAAGCTCAACTTCCCAAGCCTCCGCTCCCTCCGCTGCCTCAGCATCCTGTGCTTCCTCTCCAGCCACATCCACCCCATCCGGTACCTCACCCGCATCCCGGCCCCAATGCGGACTCTCATCGCCAATTCGGAATCTCCTACTCACCATATAAGGCGAACCGAGCCTGCAAGAGTCAAGCGGAGGTAAACGAAGACCTCGATAAGCTGTCAGATTACAAGTTCATCCGGATATATGGCACGGACTGCGATCAGACGAAGTTGGTGGTTAACGCGGCCAGAAAGCACAACATGAAAGTTTTCGCAGGAATCTATGATTTGACTGATTTCCCTGCTAGCCTCAAAACATTCGGCGAGGCTGCCACTAGACCCGACGGGAAGAGAGATTGGTCGGTTTTCCACACAATTAGCGTCGGCAATGAACTGGTCAATGGCGGCATGGCCTCACCTGGAGATGTCGTCCACGCTGTCAACCAAGCTCGGACAATCCTCCGTGGCCAGGGATACCAAGGACCCGTTGTAACAGTTGATACATTCTCCGTCCTCCTCAAACACCCAGAGCTATGCAAAGCATCAGACTACTGCGCTGCAAACTGCCACGCCTTCTTCGACGCCACCAAGCACCCGCAAAATGCCGGCCCCTATGCGATAGAACAAGCCCGCAGCGTCTCAGAAGCCGCTGGCGGCAAGCACACTATGATTACCGAGTCCGGATGGCCGCATGCCGGACAATCCAACGGCGCCGCAGTCCCATCACCAGAAAACCAGCGAATCGCAGTTGAAAGTCTACGGAAAAGCTTTGCGCACCGAAGCGACGACCTTGTCCTGTTCACTGCCTTTGATGATCTCTGGAAAGATGATAACCGGTGGACCTTCAACGCAGAGCGATTCTGGGGGATTCATCGTCAATAACGAGTCTCCGAGACTGGCGATTTACTTCTATGATGGCACGTTACTCATGTAGATAGTTTGACTCTCGAGATACATGGAATTGAGAATAGTTTCACAAGCAATGCCGTAGCGTCTTATCTACCTTCGTAGCTTACTCCACTCCACCATTGACTTCGATGACACTGCCGTTCATATAGCTGCTCTGGAACATCCAGATCACTACATCCGCAATTTCATCAGGCCGGCCTAGACGACCCAGAGCGACCTTCTGACCCGCTCGCTGCACTGTTTCTTCTCCCGCAATGACCGACACATTGGTCGCGGTATAGATCTCGCCTGGAGCTACTACATTGACCCGGATCCCCTGAGGACCAAGCTCCATCGCCATCGACTTGGATAAGCCAATAATGCCGGCTTTGGTCGCCGCATAGATCGCCATTCCCGCACGAGGCTGGACACCAACGATGGACGAGACATTCACGACCGAGGACCCAGAGAGCAGGTGAGGAATACACGCTCGACAGACGTTGAAGGTTCCTCCAAGATTGACGCTGATCAGACGCTGGGAGTATTCATCTGTAGTGTCGACGGTGGGAATTTGGATCGGATTGATACCGGCACAGTTGAAGATGTGATCCAATCGGCCATAGCGTGAAACGGTCGCCATCACCCAGGCGTTTACAGACGCTACATTGCTCACGTCTACCTCATTGATGGTGTGGGATTGGGCTGGCCGTTGTTCCACGCACTGGGCTGCTGTTTCGTTCACGGAGGCGAGATCTATGTCTGATAGGGCTAGCGAGGCTCCTTCGCTGGCTAGTTTGATGCTGGTTGCTCGGCCGATGCCGTTGCCTGCACCGGTGATGAGAATAACTTTGCCTGATAGTGGACTGGGTGTCGTCATGGTAGAGTAGATGGTAGGTGATTGTCGGGTGGTGGTGCAGTTTCGTGCGAGGGATACTGATAAGCTCAATGTTCACAGAGCAGTTGATCAACTCACTCTAGCCAGATAAGACCAGACTAAATGCGAGAAGTTGAAAATTACAGCTTGAAGAACATGAACGTGAACTCAGCTATCCACCATTTGGGGTGATTCTCCTGTTTGGCCAACGAGGACATCTCCGTGTTGGAGAAATGCGGGGTGTTGGAGTTGTAGAGTGGCCCGACGTCCACGATAGCGTCTATAGATACTCCAACTTTGCTTTGCGAATGCTTGATGTCTTGGTATTGCTTCGATAGAGTGAATTGATAAGATTAATGGCTCAAAAGCTATGCTATCCATCTTAACGGGCGAACCAAGGAGATTGTCAGTGGGCTTAAACGGCCTCTAGTTCTTTCTTAATCCCTTTACAGGCATTTCGTTAAATGTCTTTTTTGACATCTTTTGATTCCTTTTTCAAGGCATACAGATAGGTCATGACCGCCTATTAAGGTCCTCTTACAATAACTTCTTGGCCCCTTGAAGGTGCGCTTAGAGGCAACGATGAGTTCAAAAGGAAACGCTGTCATGCCTAGTATTATACAGGGTCATATCTATTAAGTCTATACAATTTTGTGGGATGAGAAGAGACTGTGCGGGCAGAACCAATGCCACAACCAGTCAAAACATTCACACACGCGTAAACGGAACTGGACTCCTGTGCCGAGCTTGCTCATCCAGCCTATCCAACCAGCCACCAGGCCCAGCAAGGGCCCGGAAAGCCTTTTGGTTCGGCGGCAGGTTCCAGAAAGAGTCCATGCCAGTATTAGAATTGCGTACCGGGTCCAAGTCACGGAAGCGCTGGCGGACAATATCCTTTAGAAGTCTGCGGGATTTAGAGCTAGGAGCGATGCCGTGGAGATCCATGTCATGCAGGAATGATATCACGGCTGGGAGATCGTTGCAGCCATGCCAGTAGAAGTAGATCATCTCATCGCAGAGCGCAGCAGATGTTCCGAGGACGGAGGATGTGCGGCCCTGGAATTTGATTAAGGAGCGGAATTGACCGATGAGCTGTGATTCCGGGAAATGGGTATTCAGGAGACGGAAAGCGACGAGTAGGGTGTTTGGGTATAGCTTTGCAAGCACCGGAGTGACGGGTACTAGAGCGGGAATGTTGAGAGGACCAGAAGAGGGCTTCAAGTCCTCTGATCCGCCCGTCGTGGAAGGCGTGGAATTGTTCGCACTTCCAGCATCCACGTCTGCTAAGGTCGGCTCCTCCAGATGTTGCAGCATGCCGAAAATGTGCTCCTGGCACTCCTCCCATAATCCCATATCACCTCTACCCTCTTCAATTGCCCCGAAAAGTTCATGTTCAATCCTCGCCGACTCGCGTTGCACGACCATATCAACAGCATCGCTCAGAGTGATCTCAAAATTCTCGCCAGATCCAGAGCCTAGCTCTAAGAAGCCGAGGTCACTGAGGAGAATCTTCTCCGAACCTCCCGATATACCAGAGAACTCTTTCCGAGCATCTCCGCGGGTGGTAGCTCCAGATTTCTCGGGCTTCTTTTTCTTCTCCTTCTCTTTTTCCTTTTTGTCCAACAGAGAATCAAACATCGCAATCAAATCATTGACATTGTTCGGCTTGGGTCGGCGGGAAGATGCCTGCGACTGTTTCTGTTTCGCAGGGGTCGGCGCTGGCTTTTCATGCTTGAGTTGTCCGATCAAATCCGCAAATATCATTTTTTCCGCGTGAGTAATCGTTTGGAGAGGGCGCGACGGGGTTGCTGGCTTTTTGGGTTCGGGATTCGGGGTGGCCGATTCGGCACGCCGGCGCAGAAAACTTCGCCGAGGTGCAGGACGATTGTTTGGCGTCAGGCTTGATGTCGCCTTAGAGGGAATTTCCGAGCTGGCATCGTGTTCATTTGCTGAGCCAGGTTTGTCTCCATCATCGTTCCCGGGAACATTGTTCGCCGAGTATTGACGTTGAAGCCGAGTGAACGGATGACATAGCGATCGTGATAACGGCGCAAGGGTGCGGGTCTGATAAAGAAAAGGTGCTGAGCTTGAACCGGTCGAGAGGAGGAATGCGCGAGAAATATGCGCCGCCATCGAGTCGAGTTGATGCTGCGCAGCTGAGAACCAAAAGTTGATCGGAGCTTTTCCCATTATAGTCACATGACCCCGCGTCTCCCTCACGCGTTCTCCGCGTTTCTCATCCACCCATCGCCAGCATTGTTTTAGATTTCATCATTTACGGGACACCATGGGTAACGAACCAACCGCTGGACTCTCAGAGTTCGAAAAACAGCGACTTGCCAACATTGCGGAGCGAGATGCGCTTTTGAAGCAGTTGAATCTCAAGGCGCAATCCAATGGCATCTTCGGCGCCCCAAAGACCCCTCGGAACGGCACATCAAAACCGAAGAAGCCAACTCCGAAGCGCATCAAGGAGGAGGATTCACCTGCACTGCCCCGACGTCAGTCATCCCGCCTGAAGGGCATTGCGGCCGAAAGCGAGGTCCTCAAGCGCAAGGCCGAAGATGACTATGAAGCGGCCAAAGAGGTTGAACGCGCCAAGAAGATGCGTCGAACCGATGAGTTCACGCAGAGTGACATGTTTATTGCTGGGCAGAAGTTGAGTGGAGACAGTCTTGTTGGTGTGGACGTCATTACGAAAGGTGTCGCAGAGCCATACGTGCGTACGTTTGACGACGACGATATCAAGAAAACGACGGACAAGGACTTGAAGGCCCTGCGGGAGGAGATGAGTGGGCTTCAGCTCTGGGAAGCATGGGACCCGCAGAGTAAGATCTTTTTGGAAATCGTGTGCAAAGTACAACCTACTCACTGATTTGATACAGGAATCAAGATCACTCCGGAGCGAGTCTATGCCATGACTTTCCACCCCTCGGAGACGAAGCCGCTCATTTTCGCTGGAGATAAAATGGGCCATCTCGGTATTCTGGATGCATCGCAGGAGAAGCCAGCCGCGGGCGACGACGACGACGAGGACGATGACCCCGATCCAGTTCTCACTACCCTCAAACCCCACACGCGCACCATTAGCTGCATGATGGTCCACCCTTCTAAGCCCACCCACCTCTACACGGCCAGTTACGACAGTTCAATTCGCGAGTTGGATCTTGAGAAGACGACCTCCGTTGAGAAATACGGACCGGATTCGACAAACATTGACGAGGCCGTCTCTGCTCTCGACATGGCAGGGGACGACCCCAACACATTGTACTGGACTACTTTGAATGGTGGATTTGGTCGCTATGATACGCGCACTCCTCTTTCCGAAAAGACAGTCTCGACCTGGCAGCTTTCCGAAAAGAAAATTGGTGGCTTTACTCTGTGCCCTTCGCAGCCTCATTATTTCTCAACCGCAAGTCTGGATCGGTTTCTGAGAGTGTGGGATCTGCGCAATCTGTCTTTTAACGACCCGACTCCGGTAGCTGAACACGAGAGCCGTCTTTCTGTTTCCCATGCTGCATTCAATGCCGCTGGTCAAATCGCTACCTCCTCATATGACGACACGCTCAAGCTTTATGACCTTGGCGCCAAGGGTCTCTCAAGCTGGAACAAAGGTCACACTCTTTCCGACAAGGAATTCCGCCCTGATACCGTGGTCAGACATAACTGCCAGACTGGTCGTTGGGTTACCATGTAAGTTTATTGACTGCTTATCAATTTCTCAGAAGATAATAATCGTTTTTTTCAGTCTTCGACCCCAGTGGCAGCTAAACCCCCAGTCCCACATTCAACGTTTCTGCATTGGCAACATGAACCGCTTCGTCGACGTCTATAGTGGCTCTGGCGATCAGCTTGCCCAGCTGGGCGGCGAAGGCATCACTGCTGTCCCTGCCGTTGCTGTGTTTCACCGCAGCAAGAACTGGGTTGCTGGTGGCACTGCCAGTGGAAAGGTCTGTCTCTGGATGTAGATATGACTATGTGTGGAAAGTACGGAGTTGCGGCTTTTTGCTGGCTGTGTTTAGCCATTTGCTATCTGATGGCCACTGGCGTTTTGTGGGGATGTCTCAGTTAGCAAGATACTTATCAATATTCTAATTTCTTTGAAAACAATTTACGATGGTCTGCTGTACCTAGGTAATAGCAACCTCTGCAAAGTGATGCCACTAACGAGAACAAGAATCCATTCCGTCTATCAGGAACACATCAAGTGTATATACACGTAGTCCACCCACCCGCATGGACTATGCCAATGCGTATAAGCAGAAGCAGCACAGAGGGAATCGAACAGCGGGCTCAAAACGCTTTTTTAACCCAGAATCCATGTACAGAGGCTCTTTTGCCTTGCTTTTTTTTCTCCAGAGCTGGGTTCGGGGGGAGAGACATGTATGTGTGGATCCTGAAGCACGCACGTAAACTAGAGAGAGGGGGAGGGGTATCAATACCATGACACATGCTGCGAGGACATTGAGAAAGGAGAATTGGCGGCAGGGAGAAGGGAGGATAAGAAAAGGATGCGTGGACTTCATGAACACATTGAGGAGAGGAAGGAAGGAGTCGAATCAAGATGGGAAGACGGTGAAGACGTGCGGTCGATTAGAATTCGTTCCGGAGGTCCTCATGCGAGTTTGCTTGGGACTGATCGCGGTCTTTGGCCTTGCGCCGGGAGGGAGCAGGGACAAAGTCGAAGAAGCGGTATTTGCTGGAAGACTCTTTGGTGACGCTGGATCTGCGAGCTTTGGCATTTTCCGAAAATTCGAGAGAGTAGGTGGATGAATTCTTGGAGCTGCCGGTGCTGTCCCGAGCATCGGACCACCTTGGAATGGAGAAGGGCATGCGAGCTTGGTCCCAGGTGGCTGACGAGGAGCTGGGTGGCGTGTCGTCCTCGTCCGCGGCATAGTCGGTCGATCGACGACCCATAGCAGGCCGCGGGGCAAAAAAGCCGATTGAACCGCGGTGGCCGGAGACTTGTACATTCGTTGCAACGATCGACTCTGCTGCCGGGGTAGCTGGCGTGCTTGAGGTTTCGTCATAGAAAGTCACGGCACGCTCCATTGAGTCCACTAGTTCCTCCCACTTGACCTCGAGGTTTCCATTCGGCCGCTCAGCTTGCTCGGCTTGGTGTAGAACTTCCTCCGTGCGTTCTTGCAAGCGACAGGCCAGCTGGTGGAACTTGGTAAGGAACGGATCCACGTCTTCCAGTTCAGACATCCGGCTCGGAACGATATCGAGCCAGACACGAACCAAGTGTGCATAGCACCGAGCGTGGTCTATCAGGAATGGTAGGCTGGGGAAACCCTCGCGGGAGGTAGCTGGCAAGCGACCAAGAATCTGAACAGGAGTGGTATAGGAAGGCGTGACAACGGGAGCGGGACGATCCGCGGCGATGTTGCAAATTTGATCGACGAATTGCTTAAAATCAGCGCGGTTGCCGACCAAAAACTTGTTCATAGGCTCCATCCACGGTTCCTTGCTACCAAATGTTGTCATATTGGCGAGTCCTTGCAAGGCCTTGGCAATGAGAGTCAAAGTGCGCTGGGCACGAGGACGAGGGTGGTCCTTCAAAATCCCAAACAGTTTGGGGTTCAGGATGGCCGGGCAGAAGAATCGCAGGAACAGGAAACCCGAAACACTACTGTAGGTCACGGAACGCAGGAAATCACCGTAACGATCCTCTGCACATGCCCTGACGTGACGGAAGATGCGCCTCAACTCTGGAGGGCACCTGGAGACAGAGAGCGCGATTGACTTCCAAACGCCCGTCGTAAGAGCAATCAGAGTTCGCCAATTGCGATCCAGGTCCTCAGTGCGTGGTACGCGAGCCGGGTCCACTTCACATTCAGGATCACTCTCGTCAATATCGCGCAGGCGTTCTCCAATCGTCTCTTCCAAGTACTCCTTGCCAAGGCGACGCATGTGCAGGTCGAGCGCTTTGGTGAGGAGCGAGTTGCCTCGGAAGAGAAGATTGGCCTCTACCGTAGCTGTCCTTCCCATATCTCTCACGAGAATTTCACGTTCTTGGCCGCCTTCTCTCGAGTCATTGGAATGAATTCTTGTCGTGTAGCGCAGTCGATTGGCGGTGGATTCCTTGTGAACCCCGTCGATCTCATCTTCGATCAGCGCTGAAATCCAGTCCACCGTTGCTCCTGAGACCTGGTAGATATTCAGAAGCATCTCCGATAGCTGTGTCAATTCAGATGACATCACTTGAGCCATACTAATTGTCAGACCGTTAGTGAATTGATGAAGGAGGTCCTCCATTGGCGCATATTCATCGGTCATCAACACGACAGTCTCATCCATTCGAGCTTTCATGAACATCTCTCCAATTGGCTGATCACGATCGCCCAGAATGGGCCACCACTTTTCTATCTCCACACCAGCATCCAATTCGTCCAGCCGAAGATCGACCCGGCCGCAAACTGAGTCCTTGGCAGAAATTTCGATTTCATCAAGCATGTTTACTGCGTTGACCTCTTGAGTAGACGAATATGACCCAGACGAAATGAGCGTCCAGTCTCTTTGCGTGGGATTGAGGGTCTTGACCATTATGGAAGCCTGAGACAGTACTGGTGGCAGGTCATTAAAAACGAAGTCCTCTCGCCAGAAAGGATTCGATGTGCGATATTTGACAGCAGTCTTGGCGCGGATCTCTCCATCCAGGAGAACTTCGGTGTAATAGTCGCTGGGCTTTAGCGGGGATGAAGGAGCAGAGTAACCGTGGGATCTAGATTGCTTCCGGCTCCGTGGCGTGTCTTCCTTTGTTTGGAATAATTTGGCTTCCGTAATTCTGAGGTGAAGAATTCTTTCGATGCGGAACATGTTGCTGAACGGGGACTTTTCGGAGTTCTCCTTGTCCAGTTCCTCATCTTCCTCTGTAGACGCAGGCCCATAAAGTTCTGGAATAGTGAATGCACGCAGGAGCACGAACCAAACCTCAAAGAGTACGCGCGTTTCGAGGGCGAGATAAATAGGTCGCATGCCCGGATCCAAGACAGGGTGTGCTGTATACTGCGGATATATGGCGATGCAAAACTCATCATCCAAAACTGAAGAATCCAATTGCTGGATAGCACAGCGTGACAATTGGGAAAGTTGGATGCAAGCCACGAGAGTGACGTCGGACTCGGTATAGAGCTTGAAAATACCATTCTCCTGCAAGGTGCAGCTGACACGCTGCCACGAAGAGGATAAAGCTCTGGACTGTCGATACGTAGAGACGCGGCGTGCGGAGACTGGTCGTGCTCCAGATGCTGACGGTTTGTCCCATAGAAGCATCTTTCCGACTTTGATGATGGCCGCATCTTTCTGAGCTGCACTGTCCGAGTTCCGTCGGCGCTCCGGAATCCGGCGTTCTCCAATTACAACTTCTTGAGGCTTGGTCATTTTGTTCTGAACACCTTTGGGACGAATTGGCTGCCAACAGAGTAAAGCAGCAAGCCACGAGTCAAAAGTCTCGTTGACGTGAGGCCTAAGTTGGATCCCAAGTCCAGATGTGAACGTGGATACACTGAGGTAGGTGGTTTGAAGCTCGGAATCGTACAGTGTTCGAACCCGGCAACCGCGCAGATCGGGGATCAAAGTCTTGGCCAAAGCCGGCTCTCCTTTTGCTTGATATATCAGACTTCCGGTCGCAACGTTGATAGCACAATACCCAGAAGTCCAGGCATTAGACGTCCCGGGACTGGTGGTTGCACTACGAAACGAAAGGATACCGTGCATTCTTCCACAAGTGGTCTTCATGAGATGTAGGATCTTTGCGGAGTCAGTATTTGAGAGGGGCGAGGCAAAGGCGGCTTGGTTTTGCGCTGCACCCGTGAGGGAGCTGGATAGATTACTGACTCGCTGACGATATCCAACGAAGCTCGGCGACTGGATCGATGGGAAACCAATGGAAGAAGACGAGTCCTCAGACACTTTCCCCTCTGGCACTTTGGGCTGGGACGAACTGGCAACATTCACTGACCCGACTCGTGTTCGAGTCTTGGATGTAGATGTACTAGATACCATATCGCCTCGCTGTTCTTCCAAAGTCGCGGTTCGTGATCGCGTGCGCTGAGTTCTTCCCTCCACCGACGTCTCTTCTTCGCTTCGTTCGACGGTTCGCGATCCCATCGCGGTCCGGGGTGAGGGCGCACTGTTTGCGGTAAGGGGTTGGGGTTCGGACAGGGGGGAGTGAGCTTCTGGGGTGACGGTTCGAATGGTCGCTTCCCGAAAGTTGTCTGGATAGACCATACCATGGCGATCCAGGGAGGATGATTTCTTGCTCGGTCGTCGTTCCACGGGGCGACTGTGGAGGGCCTGGTGCATCGACCTCCGTTTATACCCGTTGGGATTATCGGACTCCATTCTGCTCGATCGAGGGCTCTTTCAGAGCCGACGTGAGCGCGGTCGAAAGGAGGCCCGCACGGAGGGAAGGGGAATTTAGAGCGCCCGACACAACCTCCCCTCAAAACAGTCGGTATATATACTCCGTGCGCGATGGGAAAGTTGGCAGTCGAGTTTGTCCAGAAAATTGCTAGGAGAACGCATGGAGTCTGGGATGAAGGGGGTTGCGGTTGTCGTACATTCGGTCTGGGCGGGATGAAAGGACAATGGAGGCGCGGGTCACCGTCGTTTGTCTGATGGATGCAGGGTCTGGAGAAAGACGGTGAGCGTCCAGTTCCCCAATCAATCGAAACGCGACAGATGTCGCTGTCGGGCTGAGGTCAGTTATGGCCCGAGGAATCCGGGAGGAATGGGAGAGGGGCGTGATATCATTATTATTGAGTAGGGGAAAGGAGGGAGCAAAGCAGGCGACGAGGGCCCAGAGCGAGGAAAAGCGCGCACACACCTTCATCAGTCCCCTTTGAAATTAAAGGTCTTGAGATATTGCCGTGGGCGTGGGAGGGGGGGTTGGGCGTTTGTGTGCGTCCGTGTTTTGCAGATCCCCCAGCAAATATGGCCGCTTCGGGCGGGTGAGTCTGGGGAGCGCGCAGATAGGGATAGAAGTAGCGTCCAACCAAATGACCCCCGTAGAGCCGTAGAGACCGTATATCCGGAAAGTTGCGGACGTGGTCGTGGGGTGAAGGGTGGTGAAAGGTGAAGGAGAGGGGAGAGGGGACGAGTGGATAGCGGGAGCTGAAGTGACCGCAGTATAAGGAGGACGACCACGACGCGGCTCTCTCGTCTCGCATTGACCGCAAGTCTAGCCTTCACTCATTTCGATTTTCCTATTTTTCTTTTCGGTCCTCGAATTCTCCGATTCTCGGGTTCGCCGTCTCTCTCGGATATCTAGGCCCGATTTGACTCGTTTCTTCCACGGCCAGACGGAAGCCCACTGCGCCCCTCCCGCGAAAAGACGCTGTGATCCTATACCCAGCTTCAGGCCTCAGCGATTAACCGAGAATGCCGAGTGGACTGGCGCATTGCGCTACGGAGAATACTTCCCAGACTCTACTTTAGTGTCGCAGGCTGATGGGGCGTGATATTCAATGCTAAATTGGGCGGCACGCTTGGACTCTAGCGGGCTTGGGCACATCCCTGAATCATGAATCCAACAAGACTTGACCGTCGATCAGACCCAGTCTATTTTACTTTCGCCGTTCGACCCCTGTCCTCTGCATATTTTTAGCATGGCTCTACAGTACAAAAGTACATGTTAGACTCCAAAGTACGGGGAAGCAAGCTTGGAATGGTAGCCGAGTGGATCTGCCGGGTCTAGGTTATCTCGATAATAGACTTACGGAATAGACCCTTGGTTGGTCGTTATATCCGTTTGCCCGTGAGTCTCCAGCGAAAGCAGGCCGATCGTGGGAAAGCCCCGAGAGTGGAGCCGCTTGGGAGCCCGTGGGTTCCCGGTGAGAGAAGTTTGGATAAATGGTGTGTCTGAGTTCGAAGGTGGGAACGGCGGACTTGTACTGCGCTGGAAGTCCGCTATATTTCAAGGAGTTTAGGTCAATCTGCTCGGGGGAAGTTCGATGCTCGGATGATTTCCGAGCCCATCGGGGCCCATTCTAGACGGGCCGCCAGCACACGTTCCGACGCGTCTCATATTCGACCCCGCACACTTACCTGATTCGTCATGAGACCCGGGTCTTTTAACCGCTTTTTTCTCCGCCTATATATCATGCTGCTACAGTACGGTTGGGTAGCTCTATCTATATCGTCCACTAGATCTTATCCGCTCGTACTTTCTTGTTCGATCTAGGCTAATAGTACTTCTCAAGGACCACCGGTGCACTTCTACCTCCGTCCGTCTTTCTGGTCTAAATATATCCATTTTTGAATGAGCCTGAGTCCCTAAAGATCCTTTCAGTAGCAGCACCACCACAGCTGACAGAAAATCCATCGCTCCTTCACCCCATTTATTGTTTTCAATTCAAATCTGCATGGTACTGAGGTATGTCACTTGGTAGTCTGTTCGGAAGTGCTCGCTGTGCGACTTAGTTGAGTTAGTCATGATCTGCGGCTGTGGCCTCAGGCCACCAACTATGTCACCGGGGCGGTGATCACGGAGCTCCGCAGCTATAACGCTATAACCGTTCAAGCGCAGGTGCCTGACCTCGTCATATGGACGCTCACCCGTATATTGAGACCAAAAGCACCGCCTCTCGTTAACGCTGAAGGAACGACATCGCGCGATCGCTTTGGAGTGACGCGAAAGCGGATCCTCAACGTCGCCTTGTCGATAGCCGTCTCCTTCGTAAACCGTTGCGCGATGAACGCTTAGGATCATCTGCATCAGCTTGCGTCTGATTCAATATGATGTCCTCGAACATAATCTCCCGTTTCCTACCTCCTACGGACTCGCCGTCCGTGTACGAAGCCATTCAGCGGCACGATGCTGGCTCCGATTCCTCTGATGTCGAAGACCGCGCGAGTTTGGTGCCCGGAGATGACCGCCGCGAGGGCTTCAGCGACCGAGAGCTGGAGGATGCGCTGGCAGATGCTGGGAATAGCGATTTCTCCAGCCCGGGAGCGGGCTTGATGGGTCATCGAATAACGGAGGCTGATCGATATGGCTCTCCGTCCAAGTCGCGTCGTCGCAAATTATCAAAACCGCGATGGATGCCTCAAGCGTCGTCTGCAGGATACGATTTGGATGACAGGGATGAGGATGTGCCGTTGTCGCTGTTGGTGGAAGGCAACGACGAGGAAGAGCTGAAGGCTCGCTTGCCCCCTCCGCCTCATAGTATGCCCAGTCGCTCCGTCACCCCAAGCCCTCACCCTTCACCCAGCATGACTCGACGCCGCTTTGACGGCTCTCCATCTCACCGAGCAGCGGCTACCGTCTCTGAGAACCAACACCCTCTGGGACGCTGGTTTCTCAGACAACAGCACCCAAGTCTCGCGAACATCGACCCCAAGAAGAAAGCTATGTGGCGGTGGGCGAACGTCGAGGACCTGGACAATTTCCTGAAAAATGTCTACGTCTATTTTCTAGGAAATGGGTTTTGGTCCATCCTGCTCAGTCGAGCTCTGAATCTCTTGTAAGCTTCTCGGAACGTGTTGATTTGATGAAGACGGGCACTGACAGATACAGAACTTTTGCGTTCATCGTGGGATTCACCACATTTCTGACGAACTGCATTGATTACAACCAAGTCCGCGGCAGCAAGGCCTTGGATGAAATTCTCATCCCCAAATGCACGTCCACAATGTCTGGGATGTCCACTTTCCTGCTCTGGCTGTTGACCTTCTTCTGGATTGGCAAGCTATTTCAATACCTGTTGGACATCCGTAGACTCAACCAAATGCACGACTTCTACTTCTACCTGCTTGGAGTCACCGACGACGAGGTCCAGACGATTTCGTGGCAGGAGGTGGTGAGTCGGTTGATGACGCTGCGCGATGCCAATCCAGCAACTGCAGCTGCGGTTTCTGCACGACATCGCAGATTCCTGGGCAGTCAGTCCAAACAACGCATGGATGCCCATGATATTGCGAATCGTTTGATGCGGAAAGAGAATTATATGATCGCTTTGGTCAATAAAGACATTCTGGACCTGACTTTGCCGATCCCTTTCCTCAGGAACCGACAACTGTTCTCTCGAACCCTGGAATGGAATTTGAATCTGTGCATCATGGACTACGTGTTCAATGAACAAGGACAGTTGCGGTCACTGTTCCTAAAGTCTAATCATCGACGAGCTCTCAGTGATGGTCTGCGCCGGCGATTCATCTTCGCCGGCATCATGAACATCTTTGTCGCCCCGTTCATCGTCGTCTACTTCCTCATACATTACTTTTTCACCTACTTCAACGAGTTCAAGAAGAACCCGGGCCAGATTGGGTCCCGTCAGTACACCCCGTTGGCAGAGTGGAAGTTCCGCGAGTTCAACGAACTCTGGCATTTGTTCGAGCGTCGGATCAACATGTCCTATCCGTTTGCCAGTCGATACATTGACCAGTTCCCAAAGGACAAGACTGCCCAGATCGCTCGCTTTGTTGCCTTTGTTTCTGGAGCTTTGGCCTCGGTTCTTGCTCTTGCCTCCGTTATCGACCCTGAACTATTCCTTGGTTTCGAGATTACCCATGATCGTACAGTCCTCTTTTACCTTGGAATTTTCGGTACTGTTTGGGCGTTTGCTCGCGGCTTAGCTCCGGAGGAGACCGACGTCTTTGATCCCGAGTATGCTCTTCGTGAGCTGATCGACTTCACGCATTATTCCCCTTCAACCTGGAAAGGGCGTTTGCATAGTGATGACGTGCGCAAGGAACTCGCAATGCTTTACCAGATGAAGGTCGTCGTCTTCTTGGAGGAGATATTGAGCATGATCTTCACGCCTTTTGTCCTGTGGTTCAGTCTTCCCAAGTGCAGTGACCGGCTGATTGATTTTTTCCGTGAGTTCACCGTACACGTCGATGGGATGGGCTACGTCTGCTCATTTGCGGTGTTCGACTTCAAGAAGGGCGCCAACGACACGTCTCAGGGACAGCGAGGCGCTGGAAAGCAAGACCTGCGGACCGAATACTTCTCCACTAAGGACGGAAAGATGCTCGCGTCCTACTATGGCTTCCTGGATAACTACGGCACCAACAACCAGCCCAACCCGCGGCGCCCATTCCACCCGCCTCCGGGCTTGCCCACGCTGGGATCTAACTCTACGGCCGATGTGGGTGGATATCCTGAGCGATATGATCCTCAGAATCGCACTGGATTTGCAGGTGGACCTTACGGTCCCCAGTCTATCCTCGGCGGTTCCCGATTCAGACCCACGATGCCAGGCGACCAGCGCTCACCCGCTCCATCCATGCTGCTTGACCCGCACCACCAGCCATCTACCTCCGGCTTCCGCCCCGCGCGTAACGGCAATTATCAGCGCTCTCGGCTGGCGCGTCCGATAGAGGATCCCATCGAGGACGACGAGCAGTCCCAGGAAGTTCGGGACTCAACAAATCGTCATCCTGCCACGGCCGGAGCCTCCAGTGGCGGCGTAGGCACAAGCGACAGTAATCTTGGCGATTCATGGCGCATGAACCCACTCCCCAAGGACGATGCCCATGCCGATGAGGAGGATGAGGATGAGAACATCGACGCCATCGCCGGTGGTGCGGGTGTGCTGGGTCTCATTCAGCAGTTCCAGAAGGCCAACACTGAGGGCCGACGAACTAACGTAGGCATCTAGATCATTCGGCGCAAGGGATTGCCTGCGAGCTGTGCTGGAGGGTTACCCAGGGTTGTATCCATCTATGCACATGACACGATATTACGATCAATTCGGAGTTAGATATGGAGCTTTTCATGTTACTTGTTCTTGAATCTCAAATAGAAATTTCATAGTTTTTGCTTCGTGGTGCTTCGTTGAGCTCTGTAGGTTGCAAGGCAGCGTTAGGTATGCGTTAGGTATGCGTTAGGTATCTCGAGTGCTATATACAGTCTTCAGACTTTTGTCGTAGACATGGGGGTGTAAACCGTAGAAGCCATTCCAATACGAAAAGGGTTATTAAGATTTACGAGCCACCCGCCTGCGCAGGGATTGAGATGTAGATATCTAATTATTCTTGCTCAAATAAGTGGCGACCAAGTTGGCGGTTCTACAAATCTTGTTTATTTTCCACCTGTACCTCGGTATGGACGATTAAACATTATATGATCTCACAATATGCCCTCTTCTAATTAACTTGCCTAGTTTTCCGTCACATAAAAGCCTGCCGAACACCTGACATGCTCATGACCATACCGAAAGAAAGCCGCAAAGTTACAGTGAGATGGGTCCCTATGGACTAGTCTAGGCCCGGCAAAAGACCTCGGCCAGCCCGTCGCGTGCTCATGATAGGCGGATTCTCTGGACCCTCGCTGATCCGATCCGATCCAGGAGTCCGCCACTGGTTTGGCGTTCCGAGGGTGGTGATCTAGGCCAGCGGTGGGTATTTGGCGCTGGCTGTAGAAAGTAGAGGGTACAGGGTCCTTGGGGGCTAGTCTGGACGAAGGGTCCGAGAGAGCCGCGGTTTGGCGCTTGCTGGCTTCGATCGAGAACTCGGGCTAAATGGGGCTGGGGCTGTCCTAGGAGATAAAAGATATGAGGCTTAGCGCCAGGTGCTGTCTAGCGCAACATCGTGCAGTGGCAGTGTGTCAGAACAGTGCTATAGATAGCAAGTTCGGGCAGACTGTACATAGTTGGGGCCAAAGGGCCAAAGCCAAGACCAAGTTCCAAGCTCCAAGTTCCGAGTCCCTTCGGCGGTGGATCAGCTCCTCCGCATGTTTAGGGTGGAGTCTCGTGACATCTGAACTCTCTGCTCTTTGCTCTCTGTTCTTTCTCCCTCCGAGCCATTATCATATTTAAACATTCCTTTCCTCCAGGCAGAGAGGGGTGACGGCTCGCCATGTTTCGTGCCCGCCGCTACCGCATCCTGCTCGCTTTTGCGGCGATATTTGTGTTGTCCGTCTTGCATTTCTCCCGGTCGCGCGACTGGAATTACACCGTGATCGAAGACTCCGCCAGGGGCCCCTCGTCCGACCCTGTGCACCCGAATACTCGCCCAGAGACGAAGCCGCTTTCTGCCCCTGCTGAGGACAGCAAGTATCCTCCTTCGGTGCCCAACCTCCATTCTTCTGGCTCCGAGAAGTCCCCAATTGCCCCCCCCGGAGATTCGTCAAAGGCCGATAGCAAGAAGCCATTGGGAGCTGGTTCGAGTAACAATGCTGCTGATAAAGTTCCCAGTAAGGTGAACTTGGATGATTCGACGAAGGCCGACAGTGTTGGCAGTAGCGACAAACAAACGCCTTCGCAACCGGAGACCGGGTCGTCAAGCTCAGGAAACTCGGTCTTTTCGCTGCCCGAGGAGATCGACCATGGCGGCACAGGTAGGGTGTTAGTCGAGCACCCTGAAAAGGGCGTGCCGAGGCGTTGGCAGAAGTTCCCTGAGCAGTTCCCTGTTCCCGCGAGCGAGCTGATCAAGCTGCCAAAGGAGCGCGCCAAGGCGATACCCAAGCTGCAAGCGAAATTCAAGGACGAGTCGACGGTCGACAAACAGGAACGGCTTCAGCAACTGAGCACCATCAAGGCGGAGTTCAAGCACGCGTGGGCAGGATATAAGAAGGCTGCTATGGGTCACGACGAGCTCAAGCCGTTGACAGCTGGATTTGAGGATCCCTTCAATGGCTGGGGCGCGACTCTGGTGGATTCCCTCGATACCCTGTGGATCATGGAGTTGAAGGATGAGTTCTCCGAGGCTGTGGATGCGATCAAGAAGATTGACTTTACCACCTCGGCCAGAGAGGACATTCCCGTCTTTGAGACCGTGATTCGCTACTTGGGTGGTTTGATCGGTGCCTATGATATCTCGGGCCAAAGACATTCTGTGCTCTTGGAGAAAGCAGAGGAGCTTGCCCAGATCTTGATTGGTGCCTTTGACACCCCGAATCGCATGCCGGTTCTATATTACCGTTGGACCCCGTGAGTTATGGAACCATTGCGGTCAGGTTTGCGTGCTAACTCTAGACTGCAGGGACCATGTTGCTCGACCTCACCGAGCTTCAGCCAACGCTGCTCTGGCAGAAATCGGATCATTGTCTTTGGAATTTACCCGTTTGGCTCAATTGACCAAGGAAGACAAGTACTACGATGCCATTGCCCGAATCACGAACGAATTGGAACAGCTGCAAGACAAAACCAATATCCCCGGCCTGTGGCCTCTCCGTGTCAATGCACAGGGCTGTCCCAAGTACACTCCCAGCCGCGACATTGGCACTCCGACGCGCCAGGAGCCTCGCCGGAAGGAACACACTTCCTCTGTACATACTTCCTCATCTACTACCTCTGCCACGTCCACCACAGCCACACAAAAGTCGGTTGTTGCACCAACTGACCTCAGCACTTACCTGAGCTTGATTCAGCGAGATACCTCCACCGACTATTCGCAATCCGAACCTGCAATCTACAACCATGGAGGAAGTCAAGCCCAGGGGGATTTCACGACGGCAGACAAATGTGACGGCGGATTGGAGCTGCCCAACTCACAGCGGGATAACAAGTACGGCCTGGGAGCTTTGGCTGACTCGACATACGAGTACCTGCCCAAGGAGCATTTGCTGCTGGGCGGCGTGAACGACCAGTACAAGAAGATGTATAAGAAAGCGATGGACGCCGCCCGCAAAACTCTCCTGTTCCGACCCATGATGAAGGGCCAACGTGACCTTCGCTTTATGGCGTCTACTAATTCCCTGAACCTCGAAACCAAGGATATGCCTACTTCTAGCCAACTGGTATATGAGAGTTCGCATCTGCACTGTTTCCTCGGAGGCATGGTGGCCGTCGGAGCCAAGGCCTTTGGCATTGAAAGCGATATGGAGCTCGCCTATAAACTGACCGACGGCTGTGTCTGGGCGTATGAGGCGACAAACACCGGGCTTATGCCGGAAAGATTCGGAATTCTGCCCTGCGACAAGGATAAGTCCTGCGAATGGGACGAGGTCCGCTATGAAAAGGAAGCGCAACGACACTCTTCCGTTCTTGACTCCGAGGCGCAGGCCCGCTTTCGCACCGGCGAGAGTGCTTACGGACAGCGTGTGAAGATGAACCCAGATAATAAGCTGCAGGAGTCTGGTGAGAATGGCATGGCTGTTCCCCTTGCCATGCCAGGATCAATGAACCCTCATGATGAGGACCCATTATACAAACGCGATTCGTTTGCGGTCGGGAGAGCAGTCCCGACCCCATCTCCTCTTCCAATGGTCGCAAATAGCCTTGAGAACCGTAATGCGCCTCGCCTCCCCCAACCGCCAGCCTTGTCGCAGACTGAAGGCAACGAGCGACGTGACCGCCTCCCGGCCGGCATGACAAGCATTTCCGCACCAGAGTACTTCCTCCGGCCCGAGGCCATTGAGTCGGTGTTCATCATGTTCCGCCTGACGGGCGACAACTACTGGCGGGTCAAGGGATGGAAGATGTTCGAGGCGATCGTGAAGAACGCCCGCAGCGAACTCGCACACGCCTCGGTCAAGGATGTCACATCGCAGAAGCCCACTCAGAAGGATGCGATGGAGTCGTTCTGGCTGGCGGAGACACTGAAGTATTTTTACCTGCTCTTCAGCGATCCCAGCGTGGTGGATTTGGATAAATACGTATTGTGAGTACATCTGACGTCGATGTGGGACTTCAGGGCTGACTTATTTTTTAGGAATACGGAAGCGCATCCCTTCCTGCGCCCGATTTCATGAGCTATGTTTTTGTTTTTTTTTTGTTTAAAAATGCTATATTGCATAGTGATACCAAAGTGCATATGCTGTTTTTTTTGAATCGTACCTCCATTCCTATAGTCCATTGTCCCACGGTAATCATCGTAGGTTAGTGTAGCGTGGCCCGCAGTGGAACTGAATTCCCCCGCCTCTACGCATTCCAAATCTCCAACTCCTCTACGCAGGACGGGATGAGTGCTCTGACACACCCCCGAAGACGCAGATCTCGCTCGGTGGGAAATGGAGCCCGAGGTTTCGGAGCCTGAGCAGTTCTGGAATGGTAAGCTGTTCCCTGTATGCGCAAGAGAGCTCGAATCTCCGAGAGCGGACATCTCGACGATCTCACGCGAACACCCATTAACGTCCGGCAGAACTCCAAGAAATCGTCTCCAAGCCGTGCGACTCCGAAGACAGCATCGACGACGCTCTGCGAGAGTACTTGAGCTTCTCAACCCAGTACAAAGGTGACACATCGCCCTCCCCTTGCCAAGCGGCCTTCGTTCCCCGCCGTGACGGCCTCCGAAACAACACATGGCTGACAGGATGGGTTTTGGGGTGCAGATGAATACCTCAGCGCAGACTACGATATCTCACGCTGCTCGTATAAGCTCTTTGCTTCGAGCATCTTCGCCGCACACGCGGATTATGTCCGGAGGCAGATTATCTACGGTCTCTTGCAGGTACGGCTTCGGCCCGGAGACTGCTCAAGAACCGCGCTTACGTTCTCCTACAGGAAGATGATCCGAATACCCTCCATCTGATCGCGTCGTTTCTGCTCTTCGACGGTCGGCAAAATGATGTGGCGCTGCAGATGATGAATGGGGAGGGCGCATTTGCGCGACTCCTCGAGTTGATACAGGCGCTGCGGAAGGAGGAGATGGACGGTGGGCCGGGTCTCCACCGGCTTTTGATGGACTTGTTATACGAGATGTCGAGGATTCAACGCGTGAAGATTGAAGATTTGGGTAGGTCTGAGTTGGTGTATGCAAGCCGTGACTGGTAACTGATAAGCCGTGGATAGTGCTTGTGGATGACGACTTCATTCGATGTCTCTTTGATATTATCGAGGATCTCTCCTTTGATGTCACGGATCCTTATCACTATCCTGTGATTCGAGTTCTGGTGAGTGTTGAAACTGCCTTGATCATAGCCAACGCTAATTATCTGTATAGCTGGTGTTGAATGAACAATTCATGATTTCGGCCCACAATCCTGTGGATGAAGAACAATCTTCAGGCCAGTTGACCAACAAAGTCATCAAGATCCTTTCGGCGTATGGAAGTCTGTACAAAACCTTTGGCGAGAATATCATTCTGCTTATCAACCGTGAAGGTATGAGCCAGACACTGCATTCGCACGAGGTTATAACTAATATTGAATAGCGGAAACCTCGTTGCAACTGCTAACGCTCAAGCTTCTCTATCTGATTTTCACTACTCCAAGCACCTATGAATACTTCTTTACCAATGACCTCCATGTCCTGGTGGATATCTTGATACGGAATCTTCTTGACTTGCCTGAAGAGGCCGCTGCCTTGCGACATACCTACCTGCGTGTCCTCTATCCGCTTCTGGCACATACACAGCTGCGACAGCCGCCTCATTATAAGCGAAATGAGTTGAGAAGGTTGCTGAACATCCTCGTTCGAGGCCACGTCTCTTATGGAAGCGAATCCGAGCAAGCAAAGATGCTTCACTTCGAAGAAGTCGATGAAACCACCCGACGACTTGTTGCCAGATGTGCGACGGTTGAGTGGTTACGAGATCCAGAACAACCAGACGAGGCGCCTAGTCAGGATACTCCCACTCAGGCGGTCACTGCCACGATTGATACAGTTCTCGATCAGACTATTCAAGAGTCCCCTATAGATATCGGCGAGTCACTCCAAGTAACTCGCACTCTCTCCCGCGGCAGTAGTATCGGAGACTCCCCTGGTACCGCATCACCCACAAGAATAAACTCGATGGACTCTCGAGGTTCTTCAGAGGCGCCAGTATCCCGCCGGAAACTCAGCGCCGTGCAGCGGCTCGGCATGCATGAACCAGCATCTGCATCCACTCTCAGCGTTCAAGCCGTTGCCTCACTGCATGAGAAACCCGGTATCATCACTCCAAGCCGCAATGACGGCCACACTGACAACGACCTTGCCGCCGACACCCCGATCATCCGCGTGCCAAAGGTCAAACCTGAGCCACCCAAAGCTCGACGTTGGCGAGGCCGGCGTCTAGCCGTTGATGACGAAGATCAACAACAACAACACTCTGCAGGTACCAGCAGTGACCGCAACACAATCCCCGAAGGCGTGGAAGTCAGCCCTACGTCCACGCACACGGCCCCGTCACCGTCATCTACGACACCGTCTTCTCGGGCAGCTCCTGGGGAACGGCGCAATTCCACCAACACTTCACACCTCGTCCCTCCAGTCCCTGTACACGCCCATCGTTCCGCATCAAATCCGCCCCCAGCTGTTCCTCCACCGCGTCGCTCGGGCCAGACGACGCCTTCGTCCAGCCACCAGCGCCAGACACCACCACCAGCTGGAGCAGGCCCTGGACCAGGGAAGCACGGGCAGAAGCCACTCCCGCCAAAAACACGGCGCTGGGGTCGCGGCAAGCAGCATTCACAGACCGACTCGATCGAGAGCGGGACAAGCTGCGGCAGTCTAGCTAAGGAGAACGAAGCAGAGGCCGTGGCCATGAGCACGCTACCTCCGAGCCAACAACCGCAGCCACCAGAGGACGGCGCACTTTCAGACCCATTCTCACCAACCTCGCCCACATCACCCACGCTGCTGGTACCACCGTCCGATAAGCCCGAGGGTGGGAATGCACCGGTGAGCGTGGAAGAGGCAGTGCAGAATGTATCTCTTCACTAGGTGTGTAGATATATAGATGATGATTATGACAATGGCCTAAGACCGAAATGGGTATCCCGAGACAAAGTAGAGCTAGTTCGTAAGACGCTGAATCAGAGTAGAAATACAACGCTGCTTCCATCCAATATAGACGCAACAGAAGAGCGACCTTTGCAAAGGTCCAAGAAAGACGATAGAATACACAGCCTCTTCTCACACCTAAATCTTCAACCCCCACGACCGTCCAACCCCAACAGCCGTATTCCCCACGAAACTCACACACTGCGAAACACCCTCAATTTTCTGCTTAAGCGCCTCCTTATCCTCGAAGCGGCGGTTCACAAACGCCTCCGTCTCACTGAGATCCGGCGTCGGATCACGCGTCATGACCACCTCGGCCGAGGCATAGATAGCAGACAATGCCAAGCGGCGCGAGTACCAGGACGCATCGACTGCGGAATCATCGGACAGAGAAAGGATATCGTTGGAAAGGGCATGTAGCTCAGTCAGGGAGACTGGGATGTTCGAGAGCAGGGACATTTGCGCAAGGGCCTAGAAAGGTTAGCATTTCCGGAATGAAGGAGAATCGATTCCCAGAGGAAAGAAGGGTCCACTCACACCCTGCCACTGGCCCTTAACATCGGAATTCATCTTCAACCTCTCCATAACCAGAATCCTGCATTTCTCCTCCGTGCTGAACGAAGACGCATCCCTACCAGACTTGTCTGCTACACGCCGGAACAACGCACCCTCTTCGACCTTGGCGCGGAGAAGACCACGACGACTAGCGAGCCAGAAAAGGACGAGGTCGAACTCGGCACGCGGGAAGAGCTGCACGGAGACGTCGAGGAAGCCTGCGTCGCGGGCGCCCAAGGCGAGGGCTTCGGCGGAGAAGCCGTGTTCCGGAATGTGGGGGAGGGCGGCGGAGAGGATTGCTATTTGGCTGTTGTTGTATTCGTGGTCTGGCAGGCGGGGGTGGAGGGTTGAGTGGTAGGGACGGATTTGAGGTTGGAGATGGAGATGGTGTGGTTGTGTTCGGGATTGGAGGGGTTGCAGGGATTGAAGGGATTGGCGAACTGGCCGAGTTGAGGATGTGCGGAGGGATTGGAGGGAGATGAGAGCCCTTCGAGGCACAGTACGAGCGAGTGAAGCCATGTTTAAGGTGGAGTTGTAGATGTGAAGTTACGGTACCAAAGTAAAGTAGAAGTGGATCGGATCTGCACGTGCACGAGCACAGACATTTTGCATTCTAACGCAGATCGAGTCCCAATAAAAAGGGAATAAGGGAATCATCGAAAACGAATAAAAACAGACATCTACATGATCTGGTCCTGCGTGAGACCGGTTGGCTCCGCATCTTCCATCATGGCCATGTCCTCAGGTCCCGGGCCTGCGTTCAGGTATTTGACAAAGGTGATGCCCAGAGGGCGACCTCCGTACTGGTAGCCGGTGAACTTGGCTGTGAAGAGTTAGCGACGCTTAAAGTCCATTGAGAGTGGTGAGTCTCACCAATTGCAGTCTCTGCAGTGTCCGGAGTATCGAATTCGACGACACCAGTACCGCGCGAGCGGCCGTTAGGTTCGTACTGGATCTCGGCTCTTTCGACCTTGCCGATAGTTGAGAACAGGTCGATCAGGTCCTCATTGCAGGTGGACCAAGGCAGCTGCTATGATATCAGTGTCTGACCAATAATAAATCTCAATGTCGGTACTTACGTTGCGCACGTAGATAACGGCGCTCTTGTCGCCGCCGGAGGTAGCAAAGTCGGTGAAGGGGTTCGGAGGAACCGAAGCAACAGCAGCGGGAGGAGGAGGAGGACCACCGGCATCGAAGCCACCACCGCCAAAGGCAGGGGGACCGCCGTAGCCACCACGGAATCCACCGCCGAAGCCTCCACGACCAGCGAAGCCTCCACGGCCGCCGAAACCACCTCCACGACCGCCAAAGCCACCGCCGTAGCCACCGCGGCCGCCGAAGCCAGGACCACCACCGGCGAATCGGTCCTCGCGCACCTCGAGGGGACGGCCCTGCCACTCGTATCCGTTGAACTGGGCAATGGCGTTGCGCGCATCATCGGGAGACTCAAAGGCAACGATACCGGATCCCTTGGGACGACCAGTGGGATCGGTGTGCACGTCGGCACGGATAACAGCACCCTGCTGAGCTATAATACAGGGGGTTTAAGTCAATTCGCCAAGCGTTCACACAGAGAGGAGAGGAAACCGTGACTCGGTACAGTCCAATAAATTGGTACTTACCAGCTTGGCGGAACAGATCCTTCAAGTCTTGCCATCCCACATTGAAAGGAAGCTATACATGGACTTGTTAATATGACCTGGTTCATCAAACTTTAGCAAAAGAGGGGGGCTGCGAGGGCAACAAACGTTCGACACATAGAGCTGGCGGCCGCTGCCGCCACCACCACCACCACCACCGCCGCCAGGGGGACCACCGGGACCCCCAAATCCACCACCGAAGCCGCCGCGGCCTCCGAAATCGCCGCGGGGAGGGCCACCGATGAAACGAGGCTCGGCCTCACGATCCTACCAGAATGGTCAACGCAATTCTCACGTGTAGAGGTTCATGCATACTTCGCGAACGTAGACGAGACGACCCATCAGGTTTTGGTTGCTGAGCGTGTTGACAGCATTTTGTGCTTGCTCCCTCGTTGCGTATTCCACAATCCTGTTCGCGCATCAGCAATAGTTCTCGGCGATTGAAGAGGATCCAAACTCACCCGCATCCCTACATTGTCCGGACGGCCAGGCCCAGCCCGTCAACCCAACAGTCCATGCAAAGAAACCAAACCGCGAAAAATCAGGGAGTAGAAAAGGAACCAGCCACTCTACGCATTGGCGCCCACCTTCGACATTCCATTCGGAAGTAGTAAGACATCGGCAAAGAGAACCTCTCCAGCTGTACCCGTTATCAGCACGCCATCTCGCACATCGCATAACAAAGAACTCACCCTGTCGCATAAAATCTTTGAGGTGATGCCACTTGACATCGTAGGACAGATTGCCCACATAGACCCGACGGTCCTGCTGAGACGAATCACGGACGGACTGCATCATATTTTCTTTGGCGACGGTACGATCCTCGAAACGACCCGGGGCGTAACCACTGCGTCCACCGTAAGGAGATCCCGACGGTCCTGCAGCTCCAGAAGCACTCAAGGGAGACCGTGAACGGCGATCACGGCGATAATCGTCACGGCTGCGAGAGCGACTCCGAGGCGAGTACGAGCGACGGCTACGTCGGGGACTGCGAGAAGAACGACGACGGGGGGAACGGGATCTCTCACGCTTCACGCGGTCAGAATCGGGGTATCCGGAAGACATGTAAAAGAAGGAGCGCGATGCGCGCGACAAAAAGGGTAAAAGGTGGGTAGAGAGATATGAGGGGGAGGCTGAGCGCAGGGAAAGAAGGTTCGGGGACAGCGGAGGTTGGGCGGGTCAGGTGACTATGAGACACGCGCAATCGAGGACCCCCGGACGTTACGCTTGGGGACACTGCTCTGGTGGGTTTCGCACACGGCGCATTTTTTGGGAGGAGGCTGGTTTTCCAGGGCTTGAATTCCAAAGACGGTTTGACATCCCCCTTTCATCCCTTATAGAGAGGCGATTCATGGAAAGACATCAGGAGGCGCATGGCGTGGGCCGCCCCCGCACTGACCATCGCGATAATCAAGTCGCGCCTCCGAGCATGACAGAAAGCACAGAAAGGGAACGAGAGCAAGAAACTAAGAGAGAAACAGACTTACTTGATATGGACGATATACGTCAGCTGAAGGGGACAGCCTGTTAGCAGGGAAGAAGAAGAAAGAAGAGTATAAAGGAAGATATTAGGGGGGTAAAAGGAGGAAGGAGAAAGGAAAGCGGGCGGGGAAAGGGAAAAAGAAAGAGTCAGGCGTCAATGGGTTGGGAAGGGCGGTTGATTGGATGGAGGGCTGGAATGGTCGGAAGCTGAGAATGTACCAAGGGGAACGGAGGTAATACAGAATACAGCTGTGTAGGTGAATAGGGAGAACGAGAGAGAACCCACCCATGATTCAGGAGTTGCGCGTGGAGATAAGTGATACTGTTTGGGGGAGAGGGTGGGAAGGAGGAAAGAGGAGCCGTGGAAGTGAAGTTGTTTTGGTTGCGACGAATTCTGATACTCGACTGGAGAGGCCCCCACCGCCCGGACTCTTCTTTGTCCAGTCAAGTCCATCAGGGCCGAGCGAGTTATAGTTGGTACTACTATGCTACCTACTATGACCTAGGGCTTTGGTGCTCTCTCTGGTCCGGGTCGTTACCCCTCATATCTTACATCTTACGGTACTATGTACCCTATACCGAGATCGGGTACCAGAGGTAAGACAGCCCAAGGTACTTTGGTACTCAAGGTACTCACGTACCACATTGCAATCCTGTCCATCCCGGTCTGGCCTACTATGTATGTGGCACCACCACGTATTTTAGTTACTGGGATCAAATGCCACGCATTTGCCTTGCACTCGTGTTTCATTTTCAATTTCATTGCATCTGCGAACTCGACTATCAACGAAAGCGAGGGTGTTTTACACCCTGGGAATCACGAACATAAGAGGAAATCATACCCGGTGACGCCTCCGGAACGAACGCCTGCGGTTAATATTGCTGGCCGCGGTGTAGAGGGGGAAACATGAGGACAGAGAGCGAGAGGACCGGAACGCCTGCAAATCTAGGACGCATTGTAGACAGGGTCGCGGGGGAAAGTGTACATGTACAGTGGAAGGGAAAGAATATAAGAAACAAAAATAGGAACAAAAGAAGGTAAGTGTGGATCATGCCGCCACGTTCGTCGGTGGGAACCGCCCGGGAATCTTCATGTCAAGCGCCACGACGCTGTCCTGCTTCGGACGCGACATGTCCCACATGGGTTTAGTACCGGTACCGGGGCTTTCAGTGACATCCTCCGGTCCATTGGATTGACCTGCACCCAATCCAGCCACCCCCGAATCCTTGGTGTCGACAGATGTGGCCACCGTGGGGTTCGTGTGGTTGGTATAGTCTGTATTGTTGGTGTTGGTCGGTGCCGTGGACACACTTTCGCGGCGAGCCACGTTGGGAGGGGCAGACTGATCGCGGCGTTCCGCCATTGCGACACCGGACATCGCAGCTACCGAGTTGTGATCTCCGTCAGAGCGAATCTCCCGGTTATCGGCTTTCGCGGCTTCGACCTGCTCGTTTTGCCTTTGCTTGGCCATGATGGCAGCAGGGCCGATCCATTCGCCGTAGTAACTGTCATGTTGAAGAACTTTGGGCCGGTTGGCAGGACTGTTCATGGCAGCTTGCGACGAAGCATTGTCGGCATCGCGGGCATAGAAACGGGAGTTATCCTCCAGAGTGCTTCCATCGGGATATGACCCCGCGGCAGCGATCATGTCTCGCCCGGCGGAGCTGTCTCCACTGGATGGAGACAGAGGTGCCTGGAGGTGCCGATCGATTTGCACATCGCTGGGGAAAGCCCCGCCGGGTTGTCGGGAGGCAGAGGTGGGCCGCTCTTGGCCGAGAACCACCGACTCGGCAGAGTACGGGGTTCGGTCGGCCTCGTCGTCCTCCATCACTTCACTGTTCGTGGACATGCCGCTCACGCTCCGCACGTGTCGTCGCACAAAGGCGTTTCGCGCCTCTCCCGTCTTGTTGCTCAGACTCTCGATATCCTCGTACCAAGACATCATAGTCTCGTGGGATTCGGCGCGGAAGACCCACGAGTGGCCTCGGTGCATTGCACCGGTTTGGCGGCCCTTGAGCATAAATTTGTGGGAGCTGGAGTCCTCCTGCGAGTGGGATCCAAGCTTCTGCTCCGGTAAATACAGCGACATGACAGGAGTCTGCCATGCCACGCGATCGGCTGACTTGTACTCGTGCAGGTGAGTCGGCGACAAGACATACCAGCCCGGAGTGTAGCTCTTCAGATACTTGCTCTTGCGCTCCAGCATACCGGCGCGAACCTCGGCTGCGGCCGGGTGGTCTTTGCCATCGTACGTGATGCTCTCTAGGTTCCGCAGAGGTATGCGAGGGTCGACCAGCTCCTCGGTGTTGGCAACGAACTCATTCCACTCGTGATCCTGGGGCATAGAGATCGGCCCGGCCCGAAGCTTCTCCACCGTGTCGTAGGCCTCGTCGGCCTCGCGCTTGAGAATGCTGGCATAGGCATTGTACGCCTTCTGGATCTCGCTCACGACGATCGATTCGAGTTCGCGACCGGAATTCTCCAAGTTCAAGAAAGCTCGATGCAAATAGTTTTCCTCTTCGATCTGTTTCTCAAGCTGGCGCTCGACATTGAGGCGCATCAAGAATGGATCATTTTTACCTGATGTTGCGGACGCGTCGGTATCAACGAGACCCAAGGATTCGTGCAAGTTGCGCACGGCCTTGCGCGTTCCGTCAATCTCCTTCTCGACCGTGTTCTTGAAGTCTCCAGAAAGACTCTTAATTTCCTTCGTCTTCTTCTGCAGGTCGCTTCGCAGACCGGTCAATTGGCTGATGACCTCAATTTCCACCTCGACGGCTTTGTTGGCTTCATGGTATCCTTGGCGGTGGAAGCCCTGAAGAATTTCGGTCGCATCGGCTAGGCCACCGGACTGTAGGAAGCCCGGCGGGATAGACTGGTTATTCATGACATTGGAGGCGGATAAAAATAGCTTCGATCGGGTTTCGTAGGATTTCTGAATCTCCTTGAAGAAGAGAATAAGGTCCTTGAGGATCTTGCGCCAAGCTGCGCGATCAGTCAGTCGGGTCCTGTATCGAGCGGCATTCAAAATATCATACCTTGAAAGCGATTTGCCAGGACCTCGGTCGGGTTGCCGGTTGTCGGGACGGGGACAGCGAAAGCACTGTTCATGTCTTCGGTGCCGTCGGCGTTGTACTTTTCACGGTCGCCCAGGCTCAGACTCCTCACACTGCCGGCGCGCATAGACCGACGACTCCCATTGCGTCGCAAGCTTCCTTTCTTGCTGAGCGAGGCCTTCTTACGTAGGGTACTCGAGCGGGAGGGGGCTCCGGACATCTGCGAAGCGGATCGCTGGATGCCGGGGCCGTCGAGGACGACGGAGCTGCGGTGACTGGCGGTCTCGAAGTCCTCCTTAAAACGGGGGTTATGGGGCGCCGGTGACTGATCGACGGCACCGTGACTGTAGTGAAAGGCGGGGCTGTTGCCGGCGTAGGAGCTGGGCCGGGAGGAGGCACGGAGGGAGCCATATCCGCGGTTCAGCAGGCCGGGGTCATTGGATTGCGAGGGCATGTATGCATCATGCACGGGCGTCTGTGGCCGCGCGGCCATGGCCATGATTGCGGGGGAAACGAGAACGTGGGTGGACGTTAGGGATACACGTTACCCAAAGATGCAAGACCGGAAGATAAAAAATAGCAGGGGAGGTGACCGAGATAAGAATAAAGCTATGGCGTGAAAGTGGTTACCAGGCGAACGGGAGTGTTTTGCGGGGAGTTCGCTCGGTGTAGAACAGGCTTTGGGCGACGACCGTCGAATGAAGATCAATTCAGGGCTCCACACAAAAAACTATCGACAGACGGCGTGTAAAGGGGTTAAAAGATTAAGATTAAAAAGATAGAGTCGAAAAGAGGGAGGGGGGTTGTGCAATAATATGAAGCCACGGTGAATGACGTCTACGAGATACGAGGAAGATCCGAAAGTGATGACGAGCCTGAATTTGGGGGAAGCTTCGGGACCGCCGGCTGTTGAAGAGGGGAACGCAGCTCCTCCAAAGCTAATTTCCGTGAATACTCGCGATGGTTGACGTCGAGGACTTCGGAACTCGACTCCGTAAGACCCTAGGACTTTTTTTCTCTTTTTTTTCCGATCCTTTGTATAGGGGAAGTATACCGCACTGGAAAGGGGTTTCACCTCCTATGTTGTGAAGATTGAGATCAATCTGGCTGCCTGCGTGGCTGACGACAGTGGCTCCGCTCCGCCGAGCCTGCGCAGGTAGTAACATTAGCCCCTGGACGCCCATGTTCGCGAAGACGAGCCATGATCCACACAATCTGTGGCTCAGCCGGGAAAAGGGGGGGAAGTACTTGAGCCTGATCAGCCCTGATCGCTCCGCGAACGCATGACGTCGGAGCTAGGTCTTGAGCTCATTGAGCTCATCAAACATGGCCCTGCTCCTTGCGGTGGCCACGGGGAGGAGTGCACGAGGCCGACGTTTCCGATCTTTGATGCCACCATGACTCAATAAGCTCATTTCCAGCGGGTCGATCAAGTTGTCGCCTCGTTTTTGCCCGATTGGGTCATTTCTGGATACCGACTCCCCTCACTCATGGAGTATACCCACTCGTATGCAACTTCGATATATCTTCAAAGTGTAAACGAACCTCGATGCAGTAGCGTTTTCATGGCATTTGTGTCCTTGGGGACCCGTTATGACGAAGCCTCATCTCCCCGCGGTGCCAAACTCGCGCCGCCTCGTTAGAAGTTGAGCATCCCTGGGACTCAGAATAGCGACCGCGATTGAGAAGTCGTTTACAGTCATCCTTGATGTCAGCATTTCCCTTGTAGACAGATATCCATGCACAAATGAAGAATTGAAGGAGAATCAGGCATGTTTGATGTTCGAGAGTGAGGGTTTGATATACCCACATGATCATTGGCCGCCCTGAGAGAACCCCTCCACATGCTGGGCTCGACCTCCACAATCACTGACCATGATATGTTTTCTGCACTTGGAAATCCGCGATTGGAATCAACTGGGTATACAATGTGCCGTAAACACTGTGCCGTCGAGTATTTAAAGCCTCTAAGCAGCGCAGGCTCTCCGTGAACGACCACGCTACGGAGCACTCGGGAATGTACCCCAGGTCCTACAGCCCACTTTGCACCGTATATCATTTTCATCAGAAGGAAAACTTATTCGGATTGACGTGTCCGGTATGCTAGAGACGCAACATGACAAAGGGGGATAATTTACACAACGCGCCCGGGAAGAGAGGCAAGATCAGAACATCAAAGGAAAGAAACATTTATGATGCAGGGACCGGAGATGTGGGAACCTCGATGCCGTACGCCTCCTTAATCCGCTCTGCGCGGCGCTGCTCGTAGTTCGGGCCGTAGATACCTGGGAAACTATTAGTACCGGAGTAACCGTTCATGATGGTGATAGTGATAACATACCACGCCCCTCGCCCAGCTCGGCGACACTCTGCTCGCCCGCGGTCTGGAAGTTCTTCCGCAATGCTGTGCGGCGATCGTATTCATCAACGTCCTGGTCCTTCTTGGATCCGAAGAGGCTGCCGCCGGTGTATTCAAAGGCGGTCATGAAGGTCGACAGGGCGGCACCGTAACCCACGACGGCGGGGAAGGTGCGGACTGCAGGCGCTCAAAGTCAGCTCTCGTTCTGCAATTGAGACAATCACCGATGCATTGAATTACTCACGTCGAAGGCCGAGGATAGCACCGGAGAAAAAGCCACCGAGGGCAGTGTTGAAGGTGTCTTCCTGCTCGCGCAGGTTGGCCGAGGCGGTCTTAACGAAGGAGTAGGTACCACCCATCGCGGCTAGATAGACACGTAGATTAGCATTGACCATCCTAATATTATTTTTCATGGAATTTCCATACCGAGGACACCGATGGTGCTACCGCTGCGCATGAAGATGCCGAGCGCTCCAACGTTCTGCCTGGCCAGGGTGTTCTGGACAGCAGAGCCAACAAGACCAATGCCACCCGTCAGGGCAGTGGCCTTCATAGCTACTGAGAGCGCATCCTGGGGGTGGTAGCTGTGATCCTCAGACTCGTGGTGCGCCATGGTGGATTGGAGGGATGGAGCTGCGGGTGCAACGGGACGTCGTTCGAAATGGGATTTTGGGGTGCGTTTTGCTAGTGTTCACCGCCATTCTCACCGCCTGACTCGAAACATGGAGCTTCGGGCTCACTTTGAAGGCAAACAGTACTCTTTACGTGCTCCGTGTTTGATTTTTTGTTTGTGTTTTATCGTTTTCTAGCTTTATAGGGGTCCTCTGTGCTCTTTATCGCAATTTGTCCGAACCCTCCCGCTGCAGTCCCTAGGCAGTCGATTCCAAGCTTGCCGCTCGCTGCTGCCCAGTACGGTGGGCTCCCCGCTGTCTCCCCGCTAGCAAGATCACACCGCACGAAATCGAGACCTTTCACCCGCGCGCACGAATTGTCGGTTTCATCTCATGGGTTACTACCCTTGGGGCGTCCCCAGATTTGCTATATCCCTTGAAAGGAGAGCTGCAGGTTCTCTTATCCTGTGACCATAGCACAACTGCGTCATGGCGTATCCACAGAAAGCTGGTGAGCAACGACAAAGAACCCAATCCGAGTCTTACAACTTTGCGAAATAATTTGCTGATGTAGACTATTTTATAATGTAGGGAAGACTGCCCCCCGACTAGCGGAGGATATTCGGTTGTATGATCCAGCGCATCCCCCAGGAACTGGCCGCAACCTGCTCTCCGAAGTACCGCCAGTCTTCCAGGGACGTCATGATGGACCCCGAGACTGGATCTCGTCTGATGCGTGTCAACACAAGTATTTGGTCAAGGCGAATCAAACTTTTCTGGCGCAGGAAGAACAAAAACGAAGACCGGGTGCGTCATCCAAGGTATCTGCCATTTGTTCGAGGTGCCGGTGCCATCTTCAGGTAGTGGTCACTCATAACAGTGGCGGGAATGCCTTTCCACAACAAATAAAGGAGGGCCATATCCATCACTTGGTGTACAGATCAGGAAGGCAGCAAGGCACATCGTCCGTAGAAGTGACAGAGCAAGGGCAGATGGTTGAAACATATCATTATCAATGCTCTCACCTTTCATGTACGGCAATGGTGTCGCTGCGGATTCTGTCGCCCCTCATCAATCCGCAGTTTACTTATCTCTTGACGGATCCAGAGACAATTCGCCAGCGAGCCGAGGAAGCTATTGCAGCTGAACCGGAGCGTCTGGAGGGCATGGCCAAGCCTTTGCCTATCAACATCTTGGACAACCTGCGTCTGTACCTCTCCAACTCTTTACACAACAGTAAACTCAGCAAGGCGATATCTGCAAATAACAAACGGTTCATGATCTCCTTTGGTGTGGATGGTTTACCTTGTCAACAGCTCTTGGAGTTTCTCGGCTTCACGTACCGCGGGGTTTGTGCTGTCCCCTTTGTCCTAACTTGGGAGTCTTTGCTCACATTATTATTAGGATCAAAGTTGGTTACCTCCTCAGCCAGACCCGAAAGCAGATACCCCTTACCAAGACGCGCTTTGTGTGTTCCTGGACGACGTCATTCATGAACTGCTGACATTGATCGACCAACGGCCTTTATCAGAGAGAAAGGGATTTCAATACCCTCGCTTGCCGCCAACCGCATCGGACAGTATCCTCCAAGCATTGGAATCCATGGATTGTCGGTACCACCACATAATTTGTAAAGAAGTGAAACTGACTTTGGAGAAGATCCGAAAGCATCCCGCGCCGAGAAGTTTGAAATGGCCTACGCCCCGTTTGTCTCTCTTCTCCTTGATTTTAAATACTTGCTAACTGTGCTGAAGGTACTACGAAGATCTGGGAGCGGTCGAAGACATGGACACTTCGTTGATCATTGACGCGTACCACCGCCAGGTCTCCTCGGACCCGTCAAGTGCACCTCACTATCTGGAATGTCTCAAGTCCATCGGTATGCTTCGTGGTGGCCAAGACTGGGAGACCATTGACCAGGCTGTCCAGACCGCCTATGCAGAAGGGAAGTACACAGCCAACGATGTGGAAGCAGCATATAAGTATTTCCATCTCACATGGGAGGATTCAACCATCACCGAAGAGAATATTATTGGGAAGTACTACGCATACCTGGGTTCTATTAGCCAGGGTGACCAGGTGTTGGAAGCTGCCCGGCATTTGTGGCGGATTGGACACAGCAGAGGCAGCGAGCGCATCATGGCCGTTTCTGAAGATCGTGAGTGAAATTTGTCACAACTTGTGTGTCTCTACCAGATAGCTTACAGTTGCAAAATAGGCGTTGGTACTGCGGAACAGGCTGAAGTTTTCCTTGGTGTCGACGCAAACACCCCCGATGACTTCATCATCACCATGTATACTGCAAAGGTACGTATGCTGACAACCTCTAGAATGGTTACTTAGTACTTACTAATGCTGCTCTTTTCGTTTGAAATAGCTTAACGATAACCCGGCGTGCAAAGACTTGGCGGACAAGGCAGTCAAGCTTATCGCGGAAGCTCGGGGCTCCATTGGTCTGAAGCATTTCCTTGATACGGGTGAAACGGTGGAGGGAGATATGGACATCGGCGATGCATACCGCTTGCTGCAGATTCCAGACCGGACTGCAGACGCCGACGCCATCATGGCAGCGTACACCATATGCCTCGACGAAAACGCTGGCCAGGCTGAAACCTATCACCGCGCTTTGAGCATCATTGCAAAAGAAATGGACAACGTTGGACTGAAGAACTTGGCTGGTATCTCTACCGAGCCAGATCGTGACCTGTCGGATTGGCCTGTCGGCCTGCAAAACATTGGCAACACCTGCTACCTCAACAGTCTTCTCCAATTCTACTTCTCAGTCCTCCCATTCCGGGATATGGTTCTTGACATCGAGAAACATCAAATGGATTTGAACGATGAAAGGAGCGTGGTACAGAAACAAGTTGGATCTCGAAAGGTGGCCAAGAAAGAAGTCGAGCGCTCGCTCAAGTGTGAGTTGTTCCTACGATGATTCCAATTTTCTGTCGACTCAAGCTGATTACCTGCAGTCCTTGGGGAACTTCGTAACCTGTTTCATGACATGATCAGCTCTCCACGATCTTCTGTCGTCCCCAGCCAGGAGCTTGCACGATTGACTCTAATCGGTCCAGGAGGCGAAGCTGCGATTCGTCGGAGGTCGACGATAGGAAGGTCTTCAAGTTTGGGTGAAATTTCCGGAGCACCTATCATGGGACCTCTCCGGCCCCCTCAGCGTATCGCCGAGGAGCAGAGCGAGCAGCAAGCCTCCGATGTGGAGCAAACGGCTACTACAAATGACGTGAATGTCAACGACTCGCATAGCGATGACACGTTAGTTTCCGAAAACAACGAAAGCAACCAACCGGGTGAAAATGAAGAGACAGTCGTCCTTTCGCCAAAGACGGAGGAACCTGAAGGAGGCGTGGCGCTCGAACCCAGCAACGACACCTCGCCCAACCCCGAACCCCCAAATCGCCCGCCGCCGATACCCCCGCGTCCAGTGCCGGAAGCCGACCGTCAGAAACAGTTGATCGAAGAAGTAGAAATTGGTGCCCAGCAGGATGTCACGGAGGTGATCAACAATGTTCTCTTCCAGAGCCAGTGCGCTATCAAGCCTATTCGAGTCGCTGCCGACGGTGAACAGGTCGATCAGATCAAAGAGTAAGGACTGTCCATGTGAATCGCTAGGCATGTGCTAATATTCCTCTTTCAGTTTGTTCTATGGTCAAACTAGGTCCTATATCTCTACCGAAAACGGAACACGATCCAAGGAAGAACGATGGTGCGATATCAAAGTCGATGTCGCCGGTGGCTCGCGGGATATTTACGCTGCCATCGACGGTGCCTTTGATGCTCAGAAAATCAGTGTGGAGAATACCGAAGCCGAGCAATTCGGATCTATCACTCGACTGCCCCCGATTCTGCAGATCCAGGTTCAACGGGTTCAGTTTGACCCGGTGAAGAAGAGCTCTTTCAAGTCGACGCATCACCTCGATCTCCTGGAGACCATCTACATGGACCGATACATGGATACGTCCAAGCCGGAAATCGTGAATCGCCGTCGCCAGTGCTGGGAATGGAAGAGCGCTCTGAAGTCACTTGAAGCTCGCAAGGCGGAGCTGCTCCGAAAGCAGGTATGTTCAAATACCCACGGCCAAACAATAGTTTAACGCTCGATTCTGGTAAACTGACTTTATGCGTAGGAGGATGATGGGCTCAGTATGTCCCAACTGTTCACCAATGCCAAGGAAGCGCTTGAGGACTTCGAAGAGGTCACTGCAGAGGACCAAATGCAAACCGACTCGCAGCTGTCCTCCGAGTTGGATCTGCTCTCCGAAAGAGCAAACAGCGAACTCCAAGCGATTGCCCAAGAAGCCCAAGACACCCAGGCGATGATCTCCAACCAGTTCGTGGAGTATCAAAACCTTCCGTATCGCCTGTACGCGGTTTTTGTGCACCATGGCTCCGTCTCGTTCGGTCACTATTGGATTTACATCTACGACTTCCGGAAGGACATCTGGCGAAAGTACAACGACGAGTACGTGACCGAGGTCAAGAACCTTGATGAGATCTTCAAGAACACCGATAATTCCAACCCTCCCACCCCCTACTTCCTTGTCTACATCAACGAGAGAATGAAGGATCGTCTCGTCGACCCTGTCTGCCGCGACATCGTCCAGCCTATGCCGGATGCGCCGATCGCCGAGAACCCCACGGAGGTTCCCGCCGCCATGGAGGAGGATGTTCGGACCACACCCCCCGCCTCCGAAGACGTGAACATGGACCCGCCGTCGTATGACGAGGCAGCAGGCGCGAAGGACGTTCCTCAGACCACCATGGATGAGAAACGTCCCGAGGCGCCCTGGTAAAGTCATTTGTTAACAACTCATACACGACTCCAGTGGAATGCTGATAAGCGAGTTATGGAGGGCAGATTTTTCTGTCATCCCATATTTTCTCTTCTAATGCCCCCATTTCTTTTGATGTCCCTGCATGAGCGATAAGACCATTTCTACCATGTATATACGAAAGATACCGTGAACGAAGAATCAGTTAGAGTCTACCTGGTACCTATAGGGGAGAAGCCGTCGGAAGCAGGAACGCCGAGAATCTCCGCCAACCAGAATTAAGGCAGCTAGTGACCAAGATACTGTAGCAGTCATTCCGTTAGAGGACGAATAAAGATAACATAGGTCACAATTATAGTAAAAAGATGAACAACCTAATAACTCTACTTGTTGAGTCTACTAAGAACGTTCCGAAATGGCCGTCGGAAGAGAATACTTAAGTTAACTAAGTTGTTACAGCCGGCAGGCGTAATGAGTCAGCGTCCCTCTCTTCCCCGGAATCTTCCCCACTGCGGGAATACGGGAATAGAGCAGCAGACGCCGTTGTGCCGTGCAAATTGGTGTCATTCGATGGGCATATATAGATGGAATGTAGTACGTCAAGATCCATCATGGTGATTAATTGCTTTTTTCACTTTCTTTCAGCGCAAGCATTAAACAAATCTTAGTGAAATCCACCAACCGAAGCCATAACCGATCGGCTCAAACAGCGTCGGGTGCGGTGCGGGTAAGTGTACTCTATTCCGCGCGATCTTGCCGCTTCCGCATCATAAAAGGGCCTCCGCACGCCTCTTTCGGGACCATTGTTGCGCTCTTTACTGCTAGCTGGATCCGACTCTCTCTGTCTCCCCTCCTATCAGCGTAATCTTTCCTTGCAAATAACAATCATGCCTTCTCAAGTGGCAACATGCCTGCGCATTGCGCGGCAGTTCTCTGCTGATCCGGCCAAGGTTAGAGCTCCCAATATACCGATATGTAATCCGATGCTGACCTAGATACCGCTATAGCACCAGCGCTTCCTCGCGCGCACCTTCTCCAGTTCCGTCCAACGCGCCGCGATCAACAAGGTGTTTGCCTCGGCCGAGGAGGCCACCAAGGACCTGAAGTCAAATTCGACCCTGCTGGCTGGTGGATTCGGGCTTTCGGGCGTGCCGGACACTCTGATCAATGCCGTTCGTGCTAACTCGTCTATCTCTGGGTTGACGGTGGTTAGCAACAATGCTGGTGTGGACGGCTCCGGCCTCGGCCTGCTCCTGCAGTCTAAGCAGATCAAGAAGATGATCGCCAGTTACGTGGGCGAGAACAAGACCTTCGAGCGCATGTACCTTACCGGCGAGATCGAGCTTGAGTTGACCCCCCAGGGAACCCTTGCTGAACGCTGCCGCTCTGGTGGTGCCGGCATTCCCGCCTTCTACACACCTGCGGCCTTTGGCACCGTCGTGCAGACCGGCGACCTGCCTCTGCTTCACAACAGTGACGGCACTGTCGCGCTGTACAGCCAGCCTCGAGACACCAAGGTTTTCGACGGCAAGAGCTATGTCATGGAGGAGGCCATCAAGGGTGACTATGCCTTCGTTAAGGCCTGGAAGGCCGATAAACTGGGCAACTGCCAGTTCCGCTATGCTGCGGCCAACTTCAACGGTGCTATGGGTCGCAATGCTAAGATGACCATCGTCGAGGCTGAGCACATTGTCGAGCCCGGCGAGATCGACCCGGCTGCTATTCACCTGCCCGGCATCTACGTCAAGCGCGTGGTTCAGAGTACTACCGAGAAGAAGATTGAGAAATACACCTTCGCCAAGGAGGAGGGCGCCGATACCTCTGCACTGGGCAAGGGTGACACCGCCAACAAGCGTGAGCGTATTGTTCGCCGCGCTGCTAAGGAGTTCAAGAACGGCATGTACGCCAACCTGGGCATCGGCATGCCTATGCTCGCTCCCAACTTCGTTGATCCTTCTGTCGAGGTCACTCTGCAGTCCGAGAATGGTATCCTCGGCCTCGGCCCCTACCCCAAGAAGGGCGAGGAGGATGCCGATCTGATCAACGCTGGCAAGGAGACCGTGACCCTTAACCCCGGTGCTTCCTGCTTCGGTAGCGACGAGTCCTTCGGCATGATTCGCTCCGGCCGCATTGACCTGACCATCCTGGGTGCTATGCAGGTTAGCGCCAAGGGTGACCTGGCCAACTGTACGTCATATAGTCTCTTTCGACATCATTTCAATTGCTAATATACTCTTATAGGGATGCTCCCCGGCAAGATCAAGGGCTTCGGCGGTGCTATGGACTTGGTGTCCAACCCGTCCGCCACCAAGGTCGTTGTGACCATGGAGCACACCGACAAGAAGGGCAACCCTAAGATTGTCAAGCAGTGCGAGTTCCCGCTGACCGGCCCCGCCTGCGTTAGCCGCATTATCACCGACCTCTGCGTCTTCGACGTTGACTTCACCGACGGTCTTACCTTGGTTGAGATCGCCGACGGTGTCACCGTCGAGGAGGTCAAGGCTAAGACCGAGGCACCGTTCAAGGTCGCCGACGATCTGAAGCCTATGCTGTAAAATGCAGTATAGTCACGCTTTTTGTTTGAATATTTTATGGGAGCATATATCCGGGATTGGCATTGTACATGGGAATTTCGAGCTTGAGGAGTTAATATATCCGGCGAATTGATTCGACGATTTTATGTCTCCAAATCGGAAGTAATGATTTGTATGATGATCAAGTATCTTGTACACTCGAGTAGTAATACAGCAAAGAAACAGCTCAGATATTGGTACATGCCATGCAATCCCATAAAGCCCCAAAAGGAGCCCCAAAAACGCCTCAAATTTAGAAGCTCATTATATAAAAATGCGAGACCCATATCACTGCAACCGCAGAATACCACCGAGTCTCTTCTTTATCCGACCAAACCAATCGCGGTTTGGTGCCTCCTCGAACTCGCGAATGAGATTGTCATAATGATCCGGGTCACTGGCCGGGTATCGGATCTTCTGCGTCAACGGGTAGCGACGCGCAAAGCGATTCTCCAGCAGAGCGGAGAGCGCATTCACTGAGGACTCGGAGATTTCTGCTCTGGGTGCTGGTGTGGACACCGGCGTAGATTGCGGCTGTGTAGACTCGTTTACAGGCTTTGCGATGCGTGATTGGAGGTAATTTTGCACCGAAACAGAGGCCGGACGCACGGCGTCGGAAGGCCAATGTTTGAGGATATGCGCGAGGCGAGTTTGGAGAGAACTGGGGTTGAGGGACTGTGAAGTGTTAGACAAGAAACGCACATAGTGCGGGACTGATCATTCATCGAGGTAGTCCAGGGAGGTGGTAGGTGATCACGTACAGGCTTCGACATGGTTGGTGGTTGACAGCTTGGAAAGTTGATGACCAAAATCCAGAATCGAATTGTCAGCCGGGAAAGTCGGTCGATTCCTGCCTCAGGCATCCGCAACTCCCTGTTGCCTTCGATTCCGGACGTTTCCAACCGTTCGCCTTCTCGACTATCCTTTTTTCTCTTTTCTTCCTACCTAATTTGTTTCCCTCATTTATACTGTTTTCATCCCCGTGCCTCCCGCTCAGCTCGTCATGAGCTCGCAGCGCTATCAACGGGTTCGTATTCCCCTCCGCTGATCCCAATCGCCCCAGTCGCAAGCGTCCCGGCATCATGACTCTTGTTGACTAACATCTTCTAGGTGAATGCCCGTGACGAAGAGGACGGCCCTCACTCCTATCAGATGAACCCTGCTCGATCCGATCTCGCCTCGACCTCTCCGCCGCCCTCATTCCGTTCTCGTTCATCCTCGCCATCATCGAGACGATTACTCCATAACGACCCACTCCGCAACGATGACCAGGAGCTAGCCGACGCCTTCGGAGACGAGGACGATTCTGACGACGACGACGAGCCAGATGACAGGCAGAGGTTGATGCGGGCCAGCCCCGATGGATGGGCGCCACCGGACCATGGACAGACCGCGACGTCTTCGTCGTCGGAATCTAGGAACGATGCGCAAGAACCATCCCAAGGAGCTCCTGGGCTCCCTCGAAGGCAGACGATGATGCCGACTTTCACTACCCCGGGATCAGGGGGCAGTCGATCTGTCGCTCCTTCGAATGACGGGGTCTTTGCCAATCTGGCGGCCAAGCCAGAACGAGGCGAGAAGAACGAGGATTTGCCTCCGGTGAGTTTTAGCATATATGTAGGCGATCAGAATGCCTTACTGATGTGTTGTTTAATATCTAGTCCTATGAAGAGGCCGCCGCCGATGCTACCCCCCCGTACTGGGAAACCACGATTGTGGCGCCCGGCATCGCATCCGATGAAGTATATGTGGACGGGCTGCCCGTTGGTTCCGCCTTCTCATTTGTGTGGAACGCGATGATCTCGATGTCGTTCCAGCTGGTCGGCTTCCTGCTGACTTATCTCCTACACACCACCCACGCCGCCAAAAACGGCAGCCGAGCGGGTCTCGGTCTTACCCTCGTTCAATATGGCTTCTACATGAAGGGCAGTAGTGAGTCCTCTGGCGGTGATGGTGCAGGCGGCGACCAATACGTGCCGCCACCGGATCCCAACAGCCATAGCTTTGATCCCAGCTCGGTTGGTGACAACTCGGGAGGTGATGGAGGGGGCGCTATATCGGCGATCAGTACCAGCGAATGGATATCTTATGTACTCATGATTGTTGGCTGGTTCATTCTGATCCGCGCGGTTAGCGACTTCCTTCGAGCCCGGCGCCACGAGCAACTGGTGCTGCAGAGCCCGGATCGCGGCTTGGGTGTGCCAGTGATTGCAGAGGGCGAGCGGTCCGAGACCGTCGTCTAACTGGGTTTAAGTAATTGGAAGGAATTGGGACCAATCCCCGCGGCGTTGGAGGACGGAGTTTTGTTTAATTTTCTTTTCTGGACATCCCCATCTGGAGCAACTGCCCTCTCTTTTCTTTGTCTGCATTTTCTCTCTCGTTTCATAGCCTTGTAGCTATCATGGAGATACCAAGCGTTGAATATGGCCAACTGAAGAATTGTAGAACTGTAGATGTATGGATCAACGATCAACACCAAGATCAACGTAATCGGACAGCCTGCGCAAGCCGGCCACGTACAACGCCACACCTCAAGGCGGCCCTTTTGTCGCACTTCCCTTGCTTCGCTGATTCAGTGCTAACCATTCAATCCGGGGCTAAGTGACCAGGTGATACAGCAATAGCAGGCTCCCGTCATAGTTCACGCGGGCCCCACTGCCCAAAGGACCCGCCTCTGTTTACTGCCTTGTCACACCTTCCATCCCACCGAGTACTCTTCCTTCAACCCCTTCAACGCCTTGACATTGTAATTCCTTGGGTATACCGGGGCCGGCGCACTGCGGCCGCGCCATGTCTACCGTTGCGACACCTGGCCCCGTCGAGGCACGTTCGCTCTCGTCAATCACCGCCATCGCATCCAACCCCCCCGCCTATCCGCGCAATCCCACCCACGAGAAACACGACCCGCTGGTGCTATACATTGTCAGAGTCCCGGGCAGCCAAGGTGCGTGTATCTCTGTGCCTCGGTTCCATATTTGAACGCCATTTCCCGGGGTTTTCACACCCAAGCTTATCGCGCCTATGTCGTCATGATAAGCCGTTACTGACTGGGTGCCTACTTGAGACAGATATTTTTCTTTCTCCTCTCAAGCCGCCCACGAAATCCAGCGTCTCTGCCGAGGCAATCAATGCGTCTCTATATTATCTCCATGTTGCGACACCCGATGACGATGCGCTGTTGCAGGAAGTCGAGCAGGAGCGGGAAGAGGAAGCTCAGCGGCGGAGGGAGGCCTTGGAGGCGGCTGGCGCAGACGATCCTGTGCAACGCGAATTCCTTCGCATGAATAATGTTCGACGGAAACCAGTTGGTGGTAAGGAGACGGAGCCAGAGAATGATGCGCCTCCGCTGCAGAATAATGCGCCTCTGCCGCCAGCCGCACCGCCAGCATTGCCGCCACGCCGGCCGGTTCCCATGCCTCAAGTTACGACAGAAAACATGTCTTTTGCTGGAACACCGGTTGCTACTGTGCAGCAACCTGGAGGGGAACCTGTACGGGGATTGGCAAGTCCGACAACTCCAAACACGGTCCCGCGGAGGCCTCTGCCACCTGTGCCTCCTACCGAAGAGCCGTGGAATGATCGCGTAGCCGGCGACGACGAACCTAGAAAGCCAAATCGGTGGACCACTTTTGCTGGTCATCGAGGATTGGAAGCTTGGAAGGAGAGATATGAGGCTCTATCTGCGGGCCGGGGCAGTCTTGATTCCGACAGGCCAGCATTGCCGCCTCGCCCGCCGACGCAGGACCGTCAAGGTTCGGCGAATAGAAGCCCAGGAACATCTCCTAATCGACAACGAAGGGGACCACCCGGACCTGGAAACAACTCATGCTTCAATATCACGCTTATCCGACGCGATCCCGCTTCTGGGACGCAATGGAACGTTGCTACGATCACGGCACCGCGCCTGGATCGCAATGCAATTGATATTGAGATATCTACTCCAGGGTATAACCGGTTTAACGGGTCTAACGAGCCTCTCTCACTCGCTAGTCTAGCTGCCAATCTCCCACCGGGCTTGATCCGCACCGCTGAAGCTGCTATGCCACCACCTCTTTCAGTCGAGCAGCCAAGTGATAAGTCGTTAGGTCCACGCAAATTCCACCGCCAGGTCTGCGTCTCAAAGCCTTATGATGAATCTACAGCAGGCGGCCGCAACCCTTCCGATCTCAAAAGCGGCTACTACGTCTTCAACTCGCCCTGGAACGGCACCTGCACATTTGCGAGCAGCGTCAACGGACGCAGTCTGAAATGCAAACACATGATCTCCGGCCCAGGCCACGCACAAATGGGCGAAGGCGAGAATCACGCCGTGACCGTGGCTGAGATCCGTTTCAATACGCCATTCCAAGCGGCCAACCTGCACTACCACACCTCGAGCCGCTCACACCCTCACCATCACTCCTTCGCCCAAAGTCCAACTTTCAATGTACCTCCATCTCCAGACTCACCAATCCACCCAAACCTAGCAGCCTCCAAACGCAACTCCTTCTCCAACCTCCTGAACCCAAACACCTACTCTCGACCGCGAGCCTACTCAGGCCCCAACGCCCCGCACACCGAAGGCTTCAACCCTTCCCAGATCCTGCGGCGAACATCCCTCCGAGCACAGCGTTTCGCGCGCCAGAGCCAGTTTCCGCACCGCCCGCGCCGCAGCACGAGTACCAGCAGTGGTGGGCCGGATTCAGATGAGGACCGGCTCGATCTATCACTTGCGCGAGAGCGAGCGGGCGGTGGGATGCGTGGGAAGAGCGCCAAGCTGGGGAAGTTGATTATTGAAGACGAGGGTATTAAGATGCTGGATCTTGTGGTCGCGGCTTGCATGGCTGTTTGGTGGCGTGGTTACTACCATTGATCCGTTTCCCGTTCTTTATTTTGGCTTTAGCCCGGTGGCATATAAGAGCGAATCTCTCTGCTTTTTGTTCCAAGTTATTTAGCATCAGAGGGTGTTTGCTTTCTGCCATTTCTTTTCTCTCCTTATTGTCAACCCCATATTTCATATTTCTTTAGCTTCATACGGAATTCCATTTTTGGAGGTCTTGGATCTGGCTACAACGATCTATCTATCTGATCCAAAGGTGATACTCAGGGCACAAATGCAAGAGAAATCCAGAGTCAAATCAAGTGTAAAGAAAACCCTCAGCAACCCGAATCCAAGCGATAGAGACAGAGCGCACAGAAACAAGACATGACGCGGTAGAAGAAAGAAGAAAAAGAACATGCGATCGTTCCGGCCTTTCTCTCGGAGGTATCTCTCTGCTAATTTATTATATCGACATGCAAGCGAAAACCGAGTTTGCTGGGGGGTGAATCAGCCGAACCAGGCACAGACAACCAAAATTGCAAAATATCACAGGTTCAATCAATGATGCACAGAATCCATGCCGCGCTGCAGCGAGGACTCCAGGTCATTCGGGAGCCCGCCGCCGGCGGCCGCCTCCTGAGGCTTGGGCTCCTCGGTCTTCCAGCCGCCCTGCTGGTTCTCGGGGATGGGGACATTGGTCTGCTGGGCCATCTGCTGCTGCTGGGCGGCGTGGGCCTGGGACTGCTGGCGAACGGTGGCGCGGAAGCGAACGACCTCGTCGAGGATCATCTTGCGCATCTCCGGGACGTCGTCAACGACCTCGAAGTGGAAGTCAAAGGTGGTTGGGCATGTGGGCTCGTCCGAGGCATCGTGCCAGATGTGCAGGTAGGGGTGCTCCAGGGCCTGCTCAACGGAGATACGCTGCGAGGGATCGAATGCCAGCATCCGGTCCAGAAGGTCCAGCGCGTCGGGGTTGGCTTGCGGGAAGAGACGCTGGAAGGGAATCTTGGGCATGAAGGGCAGGTTGCGCACATATTCCTGGGCACGGGGAGATCCAATACGAGACAGGGTCTCTTCATTGGGAGTTCCCAGGAAGTGCAGAATCTGGTTCAACTGGTCCACGTAGTCACGGCCCTTGAAGAAGGGACGTCCACCCAGGAGCTCGGCGAGAATGCAGCCAACAGACCACACGTCAACTGTGGGTGGGGTTAGATTTTGGCGGCTATATTCGGTGAAGGTCACATACTAGCTTTGGTGTAGCTCTGGAAGCTCAACATGATCTCCGGCGCACGGTACCATCTTGTCGCAACATACTCGGTCATGTAACCGGCGTTCTCCTCCGGGTCGATAGAGAAACCACGGGCGAGACCGAAGTCGCAAATCTTAAGCTCGCAGTCGGCATTCACGAGCAGGTTACCGGGCTTCAGATCACGGTGCAGAACGTTGGCGGAGTGGATGTACTTGAGACCGCACAGGATCTGGTAGATGAAAGACTGGAAATGCGCATCGGTCAAGGGCTGACCGGAGCGAATAATGGCCGCGAGATCACATTCCATCAATTCTGCGGCATGTCAGAAAATGCCCACCGGTATCAGAATATTATTGTAGCGTACCCTCGTAGAGATATGTTTCGTTAAAGTTGTCCGGGCGGGGGATGTCCATATCGTAGAGGCATGTAATCTGAGGGCGCGTGTTAGCGGGGCACGCATCACGAGCGGGGAAGGCAAAAGAATCGATACATTGCGGTGGCCGCGGAAGTGCTGAAGCAGCTTGATCTCTCTCAGTGCACGCTTAGCCAGAATCTTTTTGCTGAAGACGTTGGTGACCTTCTTGACGGCGACGCCTTCGCCGGTCTGGACGTTGGTGGCAGCACTGGAGGAGGACAACAAAGTTAGTTCAGAGCGCCAACGAGGGACACAACGGGGGCGCATCAAGAGACCTACCACACAATGCCGTACGCACCCTGGCCGAGCTCCTTGGTGACATTGTAGTTCTCGTTCACGATGAAGTCCTGGTTGAAGACCTTGAAGACCTTGCGACCTTGCAAATCAGCCATGGCGGCGGTGTTCACGAGGAGAAGCAAGGGAGGAAGGAAGGCGGAAGAAGAGTAACGAGTGAGAAGATCAAAGTGGAATGAAACGAGAGAAGAAAAAGCGTGAAAGGGGAAGTCTCGACTCGACGTGTGATGAGAGACAAAGCCCCGCAGTCCGCAGTCCGCAGTCCGCAGTCCGAGTGATCGGGCGTCCTTAACAACGCCCCAGCAATGAACTCGACTCGATCCGATAGACCCATAAATCAGAAACGGGATTTCCAAAGGATTCCGGATTCTTTCTACGCTCTAGTGGAAGGGCCGTGAACGGTGAAACCCCGAGTCGCTGTCACCCAAGACCTGACACACGTCGCTTTGTTCCCAAGTGGAGCTTCCGAGGTTTCATGATCTTCGATCCAGCCCTACACTCGGAGTTCCCGTTACCTGGGGCCGACTATTGTCTCGTTTACTTACACCACTCGCTGGGGATAGAAAGCTCCATTTCATTATTCGTATCTCGGTAACACATCAGAAACAACACCGGCAGGGATAGTGGAAACGTCCTCCCTTGGTAGCACTTCATTCCAAGCACCCTCCTGACGTTCTCACGGAACTCCATGAGAAGTAAGCAGACGTTCTCATTTCCGGGCAGAACGTGGTGAAATTCTTCAGCCTCCAGCCAGTCTCTCAAATAACTCAGGTCGAAGGACCAATGCGCCCAAGACACGAAAACGGTTTTCATAGAAATTCCAATTTCTCGGAGTTTTCCAACGACTCTCTTCGCATCAAGTGTCCCGTCGTATGAAGATAAAGCTCTGGTTTTCTTTTCATACATCTCTTGCCGCCGAGTTGCCGGTGCAGGGAGGTGCGATGAGGCATGCGCGATGGCACCCTCACTATATCTCGTAAGACAATCGAGCACTCTCGCTCCTTCGAGATCAGCGAGGCCGATTTGGAACACCTCCCGGGAACAAAAGCCGACTTCTAGATCAATATTAACTATCTCCGAAGCCGGCATGCTGTTCTTGCTGTCGAATTTCACCCTCTTTATGACCTTGGCCATTATCTCTGTCACGGGAAACCACTGCACTGAAGCCGCTTTGTCGAACAATTTTCTAAGCTCAGCCATCGCGATTTTGTCTTCGCCGAGGAGGTCTGGCGTCCAGAGAAGAAAGTGTTCACGGCAGAATTTTTAACCCTCCCACGCAAGGCTGATACAGCTGTTATGGCTGCACACTTTCTGGTCAGCATCTGCTTTCAGAAAATGTTTCCTCGGAAACTCATTGAACATAAACCGCCCATGGCAGGGTGCGCACCGGGTTCTGAACCCAATATGCCGGGTCGAACCCGTTTTCCATGTGAAAGAAACACCTGTTTCGATCGAGATTGTCGCGTCATTTGGACACACCTGCGTACCAAGCACTAGTCCGTCAACGACCCTTCTTGGCCCTGGGCACTTGAAGCCGTAGTTGCCGTAGTTTCCTCGGCTTGACCGACCAGCTAAAGGGCAGTAGCAATGAGGTATGAGGCAGCAATATGTTACATGTCTTACCTTTTTTGAGGATGTCTTGGTCCTTTGGCAAGGGGTCCAGCCACGCAGCTGCCGACTCCGTAGTCGGCTCACATGCGACATTCTCAGAATCCTCAGCCTCGACATCCTCGGATTCACTCCCCCGATCTCCTCCTCGGAATTCTCCGAGTCCTGAACTTCGTCGTCCTCGGCTTCACTGCCCCGGTCCCCGTCTCTGGCTTCTTCAGCCTTTGCCAACGGTTCATCCTCGGCTTCGATATTCCCACCAGAGAGCGGATTGAAGACCTGTTGTTCCCATTTAATGATGCTCATTTGTTCCTTCGTTGTTACGTACCTTTAAAGGGCGGCATTCCCCCTCTTGAAAGTGTTGTCGTCGAACATGTAGGTTATAATGGGTTTGAGAGCTAGATGGTGAAAATTTCCTACCCTATATATGAGCAAGACATCGATCGACCTGGAATATGAACCAGTACTTGGTGGGAGAATGCGACTCTGAGTGTCGCATTGCGGCGACTTTTGACGGGAAAGTTTCGCTACAGCCCAGCATCTCAACATACCTGCAGGGCCAACGAGCACGCATATGCTCCGCCAAGGAGTGCTCTTTTACCGCATAGAAGACTGAGCTTGTTGTGCTGCAACCTGGGTGTGGGCATGCCCATGTGGACTGGTTATCCAGGTAGGACGGCTTTGGGAGCTTGTCCCATCCAGGTATTCTTTTCCCCGGACTCGTCTAGAAGAGGAATATGTGGTGCTAGCCTGGGCCGCGCCGGAACGAACGTCTCATACACATGTTTCTTTCTAGAGTGATCTCTAGCACCGGATTCTGAAGTGAACACTTTGGTGCAGTTTCCCTCCTGTGCGCGTGGGCAAGGAAAGTATTCCCGAGTTGATTCATCAACATGGACTCTTTCTGCATGCTTCTGGGCTTCCGATGTGGTAGCAAATTTCGAAGGACATCCTTTCTCTTCTGCGAGGGGGCAGGGAACCTTCAATCCGTCGTGTATCCTCTTAACATGATCTGAGGCAGAGCTGGGCGAGGCAAACGTCTCGAGACATTGAACATCGTCTCTGCGTGGGCAAGGAATTCCTTTCCGAATTGGCTTTCCACTATGAGATGTCGCAACATGATTGTTTGCAGACCGTTTCGTGGTAAACGTCCTATCACAAATGGATGGAGTGGGATGTGGAGGAGTTAATAGCACTAGCCTTTATCTGTAATTACACATAGTGTCATCGTGGTTCACCCTCAAAAGAAACTTGAAGCTTCCTTTCCTTCTAAGCTCAAATTTAGGAATTCTCCTCTGTATTCAAGTTTTAGTTTATGATACTTCTAAAGATTCTTGAAGCTATACAGGGTCTAAATATCGTCATCTAGGGAAGTATCGACCTTCCGGGCTAAGAGTGCCCACTAGACGCTTAAACAAGAAGTGCATGTCTCAACTAGACATCTTTGAGGGGCTCTTTACGACGTCAAGGATTCCCTCAGTCGCCAACACACTGGCAGGCACAACCCCACTGAAGTTGAACGCGGTAAAACGAACAAGCCAATACAAGTGCCACTTTACTGCCAAAAGCTAGTCTACCTTGCATCGACAATGGTTATTGGGCAGGTTGTGAACAACTACGATGCTTTTCTCCAACCAGGGCATGGCAAGCCATCAATACCAGCTATTCGCAATTGTAAATCCCGTGAGACGGTAGAGTATCCGCATTTACTTCATTTCACTTTTCGTAGCTCGGCAATACATATCTCGATCCCAACCCTTACAGGGCATTCACCAACCTCCGTTCTTTGCGAAGTGACTTCAATTTCACCCGCAACTCGTCCAGGGGGACCATTGTGCCATGCTTTTGGCTGGATGGGTCATCTCTATTTCTCACATTCACCGAGCGAGACTCCTTCTCTTGAGCCCCCACCACGAAGATGAAGTTGTATTGGCTGAGTTGACCGTTTCGTATCTTCTTTGCCATCTACAATTTGTTAGTTGAGGTACAAAGTGTTGGGTTAAGAGAGACGTACTGTGTTGCCGCTGATATCGATGTCGACGTTCAGCTTGTCACCTTGGAGGATCTGCTGCAACTCCTCAACGTAGTCGTTGACAGCCGGCATGACCGGCACGATTAGGATCTGGCGAGGGCTGATCCAGAAGGGCCATTTGCCGCCGAAGTGTTCAATCAGGATACCAAGGAAACGCTCGAAGGAACCGATGATGGCACGGTGAATGACAACGGGGCGAGCACGGCCAGAGCCGGGTTCGATGGGCTTGGCCGCCTTCTTCTCCTCGGTCTGCCCAGTCTTCTCCTCAGTCTTTTCAGTCTTCTCGGTCTTCTCGGTCTTCTTGGTCTTCTCGGCCTGGTCGGCCTTCGCTGGCTTGGCCGCGCTTTCATGGGACATATACTCCAGCTGGAAATTGATTGGAGCCTGGTAATCCAGCTGGATGGTGGCACACTGGAATTCGCGCTTAAGAGCGTCGGCAATGGTGATATCAATCTTGGGACCGTAGAAGGCACCGTCACCCTCATCGATGGCCCAGTCATCGCCCTTGAACTTAGTCATGGCCTTCTTCAGTTGTTCCTCGGCCTCGTTCCACGTTTCTAATTCTCCGAGGAATTTTTCTGGGCGTGTAGAGAGCTTGAGTTTAAAACTGAAGCCGAATAGGCCGTAGATTGACTGCAGGAAGTCAAAGAGACCCTCAATCTCGGACATGATCTATGAAGATAAATAAGCCAACGCGTCAAAGTAATACGCCAATCAAAACATACCTGGTCCTGGGTGCAGAAAATGTGGGTGTCATCCTGCTGGAACTTGCGCACACGGGTCAGACCGCTCAGAGCACCGGAGGCCTCATTACGGTGCAGAACACCAAAATCTGCAATTCTCATGGGCAACTCGCGGTAACTACGCTCACGGTGACCGAACAGGACAAAATGTGCCGGGCAGTTCATAGGCTTGAGAGCCCACTCACGCTTCTCAACATCCAACTTGAACATATCGTCCTTGTAGTGAGCCCAGTGACCAGATTGCTTCCAAAGACCAACATCATACATGTTGGGGGTTTGGACCTCTTGGTATCCGCGCTTGCGGTACTCGCTGCGGAGAAGAGATTGGAGGGCGTTGAAAATCTTGGTTCCGGCGGGAAGCAAGAAGGGGCAACCAGGGGAAACCTCGTCGAAGAAGAACAGCTCCTGCTCCTTACCAATTCTTTGGTGGTTTCTGCGTTCCGCTTCTTCGAGGAATTCGATATGCTGTTTCATCCCAAGCTTGTCTGGGAAAGCGACACCACGGATACGCTGCAGGGAGTCGTTGGACTGGTCACCGAGGAAGTAGGCAGAGGAGTTCTGCATGATCTTGAAAGTCTTGATCTTGCCAGTGTTCTGGATGTGAGGACCACGGCACAGATCAACCAACGTACCGCACCGATAGACTGTAGCACTTTCGCCTGCCACGAGTTTGTCGATGTAGTACAGCTTGTATTTGCTGTACGAGAACATCTTTCGGAGGTTTTCTCGTGAGACTAAGAGTCTGTCAAAACTCTGTCTCTCCTTGAAAATTTTTGTAGCCCGATTATCAAGGGGCTTCCAGTCAGCCTCGTGGACGACACGTCTATTCATTATTAGCACTACCCAACCCCAATATGCGCAATGTTTACGTACCCATCAGGCATGGCCATGTCGTAGAAGAACCCCTGAGGAGTAGGGGGGCCGTGGGACAAGAGACAGCCGAATTCGCACTCGCATGCCTCGCCGAGGGCGTGGGCACTGGAGTGCCAGAATACATCACGGGCCTCGGGGTTGCTGAAAGGAAGCAGAAGAACCTTGCAGTCGCCCTCCAGAGGGCGGTTCAGATCCCAGAGCTCTCCATTGACTTTAGCAATAACCACATCGGCGCTCACATCCTTGGGAACATCTCGCAAGAAAGATGCGGGGGTGGTCTCGTAGGCTTTGGCGGGGACGGAGGAGGGGTTGCCGTCGCCGATATCGAGGGTAACGTTGATTTCGGGGTGAGGGCGGTTCTTGGTCTCCTCGAGATGTTGTTGCCAAAGCTCCTCGAAGAGCTCGTTACGCTCGATCAGCCACTGAGGGAGGGCATCGGCAGGAGGGGCGCTCTTCGCTTTGGCGTTGTTTGGCGGGGCAGCGGCGGATTGAGAAGTGCCCTGAGCCTCGTCAGCAGCCCGGACGGGCAAATCCTTGGGGGTGTCAGAAGCCATGGTGAAATCCCTCGAAGTGACAAAATAATTGACAAGCAACGAAAGGAGGGGGATCTCTTGAAACGCACTGTGACTCAGGCGTTGGAAAATGACTCTTTTTCGTGAGGGACGGGCGGTGAGTCATGTGACAACAAACTGCCCTGGCTAGCGACGCTTTACCGCATGAAGTTTCCACCACCCGAAAACTTCTTCGCCCATCACGCTCAATCCCTCAACACATCAACATGTCTTTCCGTGGACGTGGCAATGCCACCGGTGCGAACCGGGGCGGCTTTGGTAGCCGTGGTGGTAAGTGATGTCCTTCCGCGATATTTGACGATCGGGCTCGGAGCTAACGAAATTTTTTTTGATCCAGGTCGTGGAGGCTATCAGACCCAATCATTCGGGCCGCCTGCCCAGGTGTTCGAGATGGGCACTGTCATGCACTCTTGCGAGGGCGAAATGGTCTGCGAGTCGATCAACCCCAAGATCCCCTACTTCAATGCCCCGATCTACCTCGAGAACAAGGTATGCTGTCGCCGGAATTATTCGACAATGACCTAGTCGCATAATGTGGTTCTAACTGTTTCGCAATAGACTCCCATCGGCAAGGTCGACGAGGTTCTCGGTCCCATCAACCAGGTGTACTTCACCGTGAAGCCCCAGGAGGGTATTGTCGCTACTTCCTTCAAGACTGGCGACAAGGTTTTCATCGGCGGTGACAAGCTGCTCCCTCTGGAGAAGTATGTGTTGGCATTGCCCCTTTCACACTTGCGATCGAAACTGACTTGTGATACAGGTTCCTCCCCAAGCCTGCGGCCCCTGCCGGTGCTAAGCCCAAGCGCGCTGGTGGTGCCCGCGGTGGCCGCGGTGGTGCTCCTCGTGGCCGTGGCGGTTTCGGTGGTCGTGGTGGTGGTGGCTTCGGTGGTCGCGGTGGTGCTCCCCGTGGCCGTGGTGGCTTCGGTGGTGGTGGCTTCGGTGGTCGTGGCGGTGGTCGTGGTGGCTCCGGCGGCTTCTCTCGCGGTGGTGGCGGCGGCTTCGGAGGCCGTGGTGCCCGTGGCGGTGGTTTCCGTGGTCGCGGGTGAAACAGATCTTGACCGTTCATACTGTCTCTTTATGGCGTTTGGGGGATTCGGGAGCTTTTTGCAGGAATATTTCCTTTCTTCTTGTGCATCCTGACACAATTGCTGCTTCTCTGCCTTCAGGGCTGCAGAGACTGTAGAATATATCCAGTCAAAAAAAACTGTCTTTATTTATCCAACTCCTTTAAAACTAAAACCAACGTGGAGATAAATAGTGCACTCGGTGTCTGCAGCTTTTTTTATGTGTGGCTAGAGTGTGGCGCAGTCCCACCGCCTTGCACGGGAGTGGCGTTTGACCGCTCAGCGAATCTGTGCGTCCGTCAACACTCGAAGCAGGATTGCTTGTTCTTCGATCCCGCTCCCCCTCTGTACCCCTCACCAGACACATATTACCATATTTCATCACCTTTCATTTGAGCATGTCTCGCAGAACTTCGACCATGGCGTCGAACGGTTCCAACAACGGCCCATCTTCGGGCGACGGAGGTTAGTCCAGTTGATCTGCAGGTCTCTGAAGATGGATGCTTACAGGTTACAGGTCAGGAAAAGCAGAAGATGCTGCTCTCTTCTGAACATGGCCATTTCAGCTTGATCAAGTCAGTATTTGGGACTTCGTTGCTGCCCGGCTCCCAGAACTCCTACTAATGCTGCTGCCAGAGCTCTTCATCTTGCCGATCTTGTCACTGAACTCAATGGTAAGGAGCCCCTGCACCTCTTGAGAGTTACTCTGTGGTTCAAATTGCTAACTGGGATCTCACCAGGTTTCTGCGGAGGCAAGCTCATACCTTTTCGCGAATCGCCGGTCTAGCGCTAACCGCCAGAACAGTCATGTCCGTTTTCTCGTCTATGCGCTATTGTCTCGGCGAACCCACTGAATACGGTGCTATCTGGGCCGCTCTTGGTTTCATGCCATTCGGCCTGTTCTTCGACTTCATGGATGGAAAGATTGCGCGCTGGCGCAAGAAGTCCTCTCTGATGGGCCAGGAGCTCGACTCCCTCGCCGATCTGGTATGATGGCTTCTAGAAGATGTGTACAGAATGGGCTTCTAATCCTTTGGTGTGACTATCATAGATCTCCTTTGGCCTCGCTCCCGCCGCGGCAGCCTTTGCCCTCGGTATCCGTACATCCCTCGACCACTTCTTCCTCGCCTTTTTCGTTCTCTGTGGATTGACCCGCCTGGCTCGGTTTAACGTCACCGTGGCTGTCTTGCCGAAGGATAAGAGCGGCAAGTCAAAATACTTCGAGGGTACTCCCATCCCCACTACCCTAGCCATTGTCTCTCTCATGGCCTACTGGGTTTCCCAAAGCTGGACCCACGAGAACATCCCTTTCGGTCTCCTCGCGGAGGGTACTTTCTTGGAGTTTCACCCGGTCGCGCTCATGTTCGTCATGCATGGCTGTTTGATGGTCAGCAAGACGATTCATATCCCCAAGCCGTGAGCTCTGATCGAACTGGGCTATGTAATGTACTCTTGGAAGAACTGCCAATGCTTGTTTTTTGGACGGGTGGCCGTGAAAATAGGTGAGCAGAGCTGCGGCCTACAAGCAGGCCTGGACACGATCTCATATACTTAATTGAGGATGATTTCAATGGGTCATGGTTTCATAGATGATACAAGTCCGCTGCATAGTCACTTCATGATCCGGAATAGAGTATGTCTACAAAAAATAAGAATCCATCTCCGGATAGAGTAAATACTCTTGAAGCTTGTGAAGCTCCTAATGAAAGGGGAGTGGAATGGGATTATACCCGACGGGTATGAAAAATAGTACACGGAAGAGTTCAATTGCCTCTTCTGTTTGGTTTTGCCTTTCTCGGTTACATATTTACCTCTAGTTGGAATTTTGGAATGATATAAAGACCGTCACAATAATCACAGATGAATATATACCACATGTAGTCCAAATCCAGGCTGATTTCCATGTCCGAGACAAGACTTCTTCTACACCTGGCCAAGGCCCCGAGCACCTCTGCCGACTTTTTCCTTGTCCCACCAGCCCATTGATTTCACGTCTGTGTTACCCAATTTAGAACCCATGTTCTCCTTTCTTGGCCTATATGCCTGAATTCATGTCAGAGTCATTGATCCCACCAGTCCTAGGCTCCAGCCGAGGGATTTCTCCGTGCCTCCCATTCTTCATCTACCGGACCCCAGTCGCGGCGTGCTTCATTGGCACCAGCCATCATGTGAGGGTGGACTCCTGGGAGGTCAAGAGGCGGCTCGCCGTCCGAAGCTACGGGTGATAAGGCGGCCGTTTCTGGCCTCAAACGCGGTCATTTTCGGCGTCAATTTCACTAGTCCTCAGATTCTATCTCTAGTTTGATATGGTATAGACTAATTGGGAGATACACGCGAACAACCTGACAAGTATAAAAACAACATCGGGTTGTCACCCTTCACAACGAGATATATCACATAAAGATTGAAGTGGTTGTTCATGATGTTGTACAGTTAAAGGATAATTAGTCAACAGGAAGAGCATAAGTGCTAGGAATAATGTGTCTTTTCAATCATTTGCTACCCAATTGCTAAATGTATATCGTTCTGGGAGGCCATCCTTTCCAGAATCTGACGATTCAGCTCTTGGAGATTCGTGATCCGCTCTTCCAGGCGGGCGATTTGCTCCCTCAGCGCCGCCATCTCCGGGGACTCAATCTCTGTTGCAAACAATTATCGGGCCGACTCCAAGAACAAGACAGCCGTAGCTAAGCAGCAGAAGACAGGGAGTCAGGCCTGAAACCCCTTTTATCTTATACCTTCTAAATCACTCCCTAGCGTTTTCTTTAGTCATCTTTCTAGATATCTTTTTAAAATGTCTTGTAAAGTATCTGTTCAAATGTCTTTTTGTATGTCTTTTAGACATGTCGAACAGGTGATGATATATCTTCTACTTTTGAAAATAGTCCACTTCTAATCAATATCTCTTTACGGTGATGAAACAAGTTCTTAAATACTCTAGGCCAGTTTCGATATTCAAAAGACGCATCCTGATGTTCCCTCATGAGAAGAGGGTCGGGTCATTCTTCTGGGGATCAGAATGGCGCCCTACAAGGCAAGGCAGAACAGTTCTATTTCCACACCTCGAAGCTTTCTCGCCATGCGACATTCAAAAGTTTCATTGGAAAAGTGCAATGTTCAGCTAGAAGTTTACACACAGTCCATTTAAGCGGCATCCATACAATGCTCTGCAAATAGGGTTAAGCTAGGCAGAGAAACCAAGCTAAACCAAGCTAGCAGATATTGGCTTATTGTCGATCTCAATGTAATGAGCCCTGGATGTTCAATGAAATAGGCAATCGCTTCGCACCCACAGTTTTATCCGTCCGATTTTATACCTGGAACAGCAACAGCTCTACAGACAAAACGGTTTTTATGCATATCCATTCTCGCATTAGGTACAGGCTAATCCATCTTTCCAAAACTCCCACCCCGGAATACGCCTAGAATGAGCAGGATATGTCCCCGCTGAGTCAGTCGCATCCAGCGGACGGGAGACATGAAGAAAATAATCTGTGGACAAGGAAAAAGAAATCATCTAAAAAGAGCGGTCTGCTCATGAGGGCGCGAGCATTGAAAACCGAAATCAAAACGCCTTTTCGGTACAACATCTCCGCCGGAATTCTCCACGCCGAGATGCAATAGTAACAGACTGGCATGCTTTTCTCGGGGAGTTGCAGTGTGGACTCGGATCACATGGTGAGAATCCCCAGACACCAAGGGCAGGGGGCTGGGTCTCATGTATCCAGCACCCATACAGCGTGTCCAGCGATCCAGCAACCCGGCCACAAGGTAGAAAGTAAAAATCACCAAATATGAACATCGAATCGGGTCGAGCCATATGCCTTTCGGATATCATAACTCCGCTAAATAACCCGAGGAAAATGTGACAACGGAAACAGGGCTCTCAAAAAGCAGAGGGGGCCGAAGGGAAGGAAACAATCGAGATGCGAAATGGCTGAGTGGTAACAGGATGAAAGGGAGGAGTCGTGCAGTTTAGTGGTCAGGATTGGTCACCTAGTAGTGGCCTCCGTCGGGGTTGGTCACCTAGGCTGGGGTTAGTGCATTGGCAAATATAATTCAAGAATAGACACGCACCTGCAAGATTCGGCGGGAGAAGTCGTGGTCATCATCGATGCTGCCATTGCTTTGGCGGCGTTGTGCCATGTAGCCACCGTCGAATCGCGAGTCTGTCATGGATGGCGGCTGCGAGTCACGACTGTAGCCACCGGTAGTACCGGGGAATCCTTCCGCCTTTTGCTTCTTGGATCGGTAGAAGAACCAGGCAGCACCTGCCAGAGCGGCCACGCCAACCACGCCAACCACCACACCAGCAGCGATCGCGGCGGTGTTGTGGCTGCTCTTCTGCTGGGCCTCCACGTTATCTGCGCCAAGTCGAGGCTGGCTAGAGCTGGTCACCACGATCGTCTCTCCACTAGCGCCGGTGGAGACAGAAGCTGTTGCCCCGTTGGTCTTGGTGGCGGTCGACTCGGTAGTGCCACTCGTCGTCGATGCGGATACACTGGAAACATCGGTTTCCAGACCGGTTGTGTACACGGAGTAAAAACCATTTCCACCGCCTGTTGAACCGTCAGTAAAGAATACACCACACCCAGAGCAAATTATCACATACACATATCCTGAGGCCAGCCATCGCAGGGCGTGTTGCACTTGTCAGTGGACACCTTGTCGGATGTCGGAGGAAGCTCGTCACCACACAAGCAATTCGAACCCCCTGTCAAGGCAAATACGGCTGAGTTGTAGTCGGAACCGGTGCATCGGTCCTGGCACCATCCAGAACTTTGGAAGGTATATGAGGTTTGATTGCCGAGGCCCTTGCTGCTGCTGTAGCAGCCGACGAGCGTCATAGTCGCTCGCGGTGCCAGATGGTTATCAAAGTTGAAGGCCTTGGCGGCAGCCGAGCTAGCGAGAAGCAGGCTCGAGGCCGTGAGTGTAGTCGACGTGAAGCGCATGGTGAATAGAGAGGAAGAGGTGTCTTCGAGAAAGGTGAAAGAAAGTAACAGCGCTCTAGACACAGTCTGGGCGGAGAATTGACGAAGAACCAGGAACGACCGGCGTAACCCTTGGGAACTTCAAGTGAAATATGGCAATGAACGTGTCCGTCGAGGATTCGGATGTCTCCAACACGTCGTGCGATGGATGTCGGGTCTTCGGAGGAACAGACTCGATGAGCCGCACGAACAAAACAAAGGATCGTAAGGACAGAAAGGCGGGGAGCGAGAGGAATGGGCTATTCACAACGCAGGTGGACAGAGGGTCGTGTTTCACCCCTGACGGCGAGATTTTGTCGGAAGAGCAGCGGGGGCTCTGTCGAGTGACAGCCGGAAGTTCAAGTCGATGAAAAGAGCGATGCCTCGATGGAGGAGTAACGAGTGATGAGTGATGAGAAGGAGAAGGGGAGTCGGGACCGAAGGGGTCTCGTACAGTACAGTAAGGTGAACGGGCGCATGCTCGGTTTGTTTGTCCCGTTCCTTTCCGTAATTTACAGGCCCGTCTTTCGTTCCAATCATAGGCCTGTAATCTATGACTAATCAGGCACCGCGGTGCCGAACCAGGGCGCTTTCCGTCGATCGCTTTCCCCTTTCAACAGAAACGGGCTGAATGTCTCCAGTCACGTCTGCTCCTGATACCCTCTTACTTTCATCCTCTTTGATCGACACCCAAACTGCTTTGCCACATGAAGCTGCCCTGGGGTCTCGGGTAGGCTTATGTCCACTGGAAACTACGGAACGCCGTGACAGCCCCTGAATGAAAGTTTGCGTGTAAGGGTATACGGGCCCGGATGATACTGTACAGTATCATCTCTTGAAATTGCAGTACTGCCCGCAGAATTTTCTGGGGCAAGGCCCCCTCTGGAAATGAAACTCATTAGCGCGTGGAACCAATTTCCCGTGGGGTGTGATGGACCCTGACAAGCGCCCCGACGACCCAAGACTCCCTAGGGCTAGCACTAGGGTCGGCTATACGGAGACTCATGTTTCCAGTCGACTCTTCGGTCGCATGTATAGTGCCCCGTACTCCGTACTCCATACCCAGGTACTCGGACGGCTCTCTCACACGGAACCCCTGACGAGGGTAATACCACGGGTCCCGAGCGGACACTCCCGGCGGGTGGACCAGCACCACAAAATTGAGCTATCTCTCGTACCGTTCCTGTAATAAATGACAAAAGCCACCCCTGGGGCTGTGCCCCCGTCATTGCCCACATACTGTACTTCGTATTGTGAGCTATACAGTGAACACGTTCGTTCATTGCAAAGAACTGTTTACCTGCTCACAATCACCCGTCGATCCAACCCAGGAATGGGCAGCTGGCTACAAACCCTTGTGGTCGGCGATGCGCTGGTTGATCAGCAGGCCCCGCATTCGCCCCAATGGGGCAACTCAGTTGGTGGGCGTCCGAATGACACCATCCTAGCCCTGGTGATGAAGAAGTCTTTCGGGGTCCATGGATGATGCAGCATTGAGAAGCATCAGTCCGAAAGATTCCATGGCCACTCTTCCTTGCCTAGATACTCACCCGTATTTTCGGGTCCTACGATAATACTCGACGAAGCTCCCAAGGCAGCTGCTATATATATCCAAGACACCCCACCCCAGCATAGGAACGGAACAGTTAACCACGGCACAGGAATTGCGCTTGAAAGAAATGACCATGACGTCGAAAATGAAAATAACCCAGCCAGATAAACCCGGTCACTTTCACCGTAACATGTCTGTCTGCAGGGGTCTTCTTGAATCTTAGAAGCTTCCAAGATTGGAAGCTAAAAACAAGACATCCCTCTTTGACTCCTTGAATCGAAGACTGCTCTCACAATATACAAGCGTCGCACCTTGAGAAGCATCTTGGACCTTGGCCAAATTCGTCGCACAAAATAACAACACAACACAACATGTAACACTCAGGTACCATGCATCTACAAGGTCCATCCACGCCACACTTACAGTAGGCACGTCTAGACGTATCTTGACTCACCACACAGTTATTCCTGGAGCGGTGGCGCCCGTTAGCTCAGCTGGGTTCTCCACCTGCCCCCAAAAAAAAAATCACGCCCTTGCGCCATCAGGAACAAAATTGAACACATTGGTGTTTCCAAAGCAGGTTTATGAAATTCCGAAGGGCCTTGATCTGTATCAAAATAAATGTCCGTTTGTGCAGCACTCCGCCACTCGTCGATTTTTTGGGATGTAGAACATGTGAATTTCCGATTCGGAGATCGAATCGAACTACCGCGGTCTAGAACACCGGGACTGGTCCACCTTAACTGGGACCCACGATTAACAAGACCATTTGACAGGTCTACATGCGGGATGTTCGGGTGTACAAAAAAAGTCTCGCGGGGCCGGAGTGTATTCCGTCGTTTTTTACTAATTTACCGGTGGCGAGTTGGTAACTGTTGAATTTTGGTCTGGGCGACGATTTCGACCCGTTGAGTCTAGAACGGGTCGCTATTATTCGGCAAACGAAATGAACGGAATACATACAGTAAAACATGCCTTGTCGCCGTAGTCTTGTCGTGGCTTGAGAGAATGAGAAGAGTAAATTCCAAACAATGAAGTGTCTCGATAACTATCCTCTCAGATCACTCAAATACAAGACTCCCGGTCGACGCTGGTGGAGCTGGTGTTATGGGCCCGGTTACCATGCTTGGAGAGCGCTGGCCGTTGGAACAGCTGTCAAGCCAGTTTGAACCTAGACATGTACAATTTGGAGGCTTTATGCTGATGGACTTGCCTGAGATTGCAGACCCAAAGGATAAGCGAGCCGGCGCAGTAGAGCATGAGTGTTTTCCGTGGGCTGTATTTCACAGCACGGCCCTTGCTAGTTGGTTTGCCTCTTCCATGCTTGCTGAGGGTAGTCAGCTCACACCTAGCTGTATTTCTAGGCGGGGATGTAAGATCGGACGCCTTCATGCACTTGTACAATCTGTAGTCATCTGAGGCTCGCAGACTTGGAAATTGCATGTCCATTCATTAACCAGCTGGCTCCAATATCTTCGATGTTAAGGAGGCGGCACCTATTGTACACCATCCTCAATCCATACTCGGCCTCGCCAGCAACATATACCGGTATTTTTGGCTTCTCCAATGCTAATCCCCTTTGCTTGCCATCCATCATTTTATCGGTGTGCTGTACGCTAATGTTGAAATCAGCTCCTGTGACAGCGCACGCTCGATGGTATCAAAATAGGCTGAACCGTCAACGCGAACTTCTACAGGAGCACATCACGCCCAGAATAGACTGTCAGGTAGCGACAGCTTTCCAGAGTGTCGATGGGAATCGGGAGTGCAGTCGTCAAACTGAGAGCAGTTGAGCGGCTTGGTGGTTGTTGTATTGTAAACGATAGAGGGCAAGGAAGACTGAGGCCAAAGTAAAAAACGTTCCCAGCCGGTTGATAGACCGGTGTGTTTCGTTGCGAGGTGCCGGTAATGCATGGTTGGTAAAGTCCAAACTCGACATTATTATTCGTGGTTCCTGCTTATGATTTTCAGACCAAGGATGTCATTCAAAGCAGCAGTAAGCAGATCCAGCACACGAGCCAAAGGCGACTTCTCATCACGAAGATTACCACCAGGGTTTCGGATGTGACTTGTCCCATTATGAAGCACACGAAAGATATTGTCATACTCGAGGACCTTGTTACTTGCAGACACAGTTTGAACAAACCTTCGCCGAAGCGCCAATTTGTATTCCTGGTTCATGACCGAATAGACTCTCCATGGTTTAATTTATCCTTCAGTGGACAGGGTTTAGCTTGGATTCCTGTGCTAACTACCATGCTTCAGAGCATTGGACAGGTTGTAATGATGTCCAAAAAGTTGATTATGTTGAAGTAAGTCAAAGACATCGCCACCTTCCCACTTTCCTTGCAGACAGCGGTGTAGTTGGCGGCTCACAAATGTTCTGCGGGTTTGGTGACTGAGATCCAGTTGTCAATACAGAGGCAACGCATTCCGTTGTCGTGATAAAGAGGCATGATCTAAACAGACGTAGGCTTATGACGAGAATAAATTCTACAATGCTTGACCTAGTTTCAAGACGAATGGATGAATGATCTATAGTTTCCATTTCACCAGAAAAGCTAGAGAAGTAAAAGCTGAGTATGGGCCTTCAATACCCGAGAATAGGGCACCTTTTCCTATCCAGAAGAAGATATCTGTCGTAGAGGTAGCTAATGAGAAGAACAAAGTACAGTAGTCGCCCCGCAAGACATTTCGTCTTCTAAACTGTTCCTTGGAATGTCTTAAGAATACCCTTGGTGATGTCAATACCGTGACCAGTCGTAGTCGTAAGACACATATCTACACCATCCGGAGAAACCATCCCCAGGACCACCGAGGGGGCGATATTTTCTGACAAATTCAATCAAATACCTTGTGCGATCTTCCAGCCTAATTACCCTGACGGAACAATGGATTTCATAGTGTCTGCAGTCCATCGAGGGGGAGTCCTTATTAACCATTATGCTCGAGCGAGCGTCCACATGAGAACAAAGCATTATTCTTCTTCCAACGTGGCTAGAGCCATGTCCTGATTGAGTGATGTCAATCAAATAGTTGAAATGAAATAGGAGTAGTTGTCGCTCGTCGCACAAAAGAGATATGGATAGCTTTCTGACATTAGTTGGCCACGCTTTAGACCATCTGGCTTTTTAGGACACATACTAGCAATCACCTTTCCACCCAGAGCAACTTGAGTCCGAGGGACGGGAGTTTCGGTAGTGGCCATGGTGGATGATGTGAATATGAAGATGGAGTAAAGGATGCGCAGACGATTGACTTGGGAGGAAATTGTTAACGGGGCATATCCTTTATAATTCCTAAAAAGTCTCGGAAAAGGGTCGCATGTGCCAGCAAAACATGTCATCATAGCCCACTACCGCTCGAGTCTGTGATGGCCCGAGACGGCATTGGAGAAACATTGGTCAAAGTGGAGTTGGTGTCCCCGAGACGGCGCCTCAATACACTTCGACCCCGAAACCCCGCCAGAGAGTTTACCCAGAGCTCAGAGCTCAGATTCAAAGACACATTTGACACATTTGTATCTTCTCTCTCTATTTTGGTTCGGGTCCTTCCACCTCTCCTCCTACTCAGTTAGCACAATGGCTGCGCTGCCTGCCTGGAACCTGCTCAAAGGCCAGACCGCCGCCGTCACCGGTGGCACCACTGGAATCGGTCGCGCGATCGTTCTGGCATACATTACTCAAGGATGTAATGTCGCCGTAAACCACCTGGGCCTTGCCAAGGATGAAGGCCTTCGGCACAGCCTGTTGGAGGAGGTCAAGGCGATCGAGAACAAGGGCATCAAGGCGGGCAAAATCCTGGAGCTCTCCGGCGACGTGACCAAACCGGAGACAAGCACCCGTTTAATCCAGGAGGCTGTGTCGCAATGGGGGAAGTTGGACATTTTTGTCGCCAATGCGGGCGTATTCAAACCGGCGGAGCTCTTGAAGTGAGTTAATGGCTGAATGATGGGATCGCCAGCTATTTGGTTCTTCTCCCGCCCATCAGAGCTTATGGGCTAATAAACATAGGATCGAACAGTCTCTTCTGGACCACACCGTCGACGTCAACGTCAAGGGCACTTTCTACTCATGCCAAGCCGCTGCTCGCCAGATGGTGAAACAAGGACACGGTGGTTCAATCATCGGTGTTTCCTCCGTTAGCGCTCTGCTAGGTGGTGGGTTACAAACTCACTACACTCCGACCAAGGCTGCCATTCTCTCCATGATGCAGTCCATGGCCATCGCTCTTGGCAAAGATAAGATTCGGTGCAATGCCTTGATGCCCGGCACCATTGGAACCTCGCTAGCCGCCCACGATATGGCGAACCCTGCCAAGATGGCCGCCCTTGAGGAGCGTATTCCTCTTGGTCGAATTGGAGATGCGAATGATATGGCAGGTCCGGCGGTTTTTTTGGCTTGTGAAGAGATGAGTCGTTATGTGAACGCAACGGGGTTGCTGGCAGATGGTGGAATGTACAGTAAATTGCAGTAACTATGCTGGCTTTAGTGTTTATCTGATTGCGATTGGTACCAGATAGACAAATCAAGTTGGAATCTGGTCGAGAATGCTTTCATGTCACAATTGCTAAGCGATCGTGTGGTGCGAGAAAATTTGCCGGTCGGTTTTCAATCGAGCTATCCTTTTACTTTATGTAAATTCAGCTTTATCTTCTTTTTTTATTTCCATTTGAATTAATGAAGAACGGGCGTGAGAATTGGAACGAGATCTGGAGGAACAAAGCTCGCGGTGACAGAAAAGCAAACCCTGTTGCGCTACTGTACGCTAATATTCATCCAAGTTCACAGTCAAAAGCTACATTAGTTATTCAACTTTCATCTCTATATACATTTTCTATACTTCTTCATGCCTTGCCGGCCGACCCGCAGATTTCCATCCACTTTATGGTCAGATCGGTCACCTTCTGGATACCCTCCTCGATCAGCTGAGTGTGCGGGATTTTGCCCACTTTCGCGCGAAGGTGATCATAATAGTCATCTAAGACGAGCTTGTTGACATTGATCTTGCTGACACCAGCGGCCACGCACCGCTTCATCAGCTCTGGGGCAAAGCCATTGGTCCCGTGCAAAGCCAACCTGACTCTACCGTTGGCCTGGTTACGAACTTTCTCAAACCTAAACACGCAGGCACTAGTGAATGGGTTAGATCGTCATTTATTTGTGCCTCGTAATAGCGCCCCCCACCTGGCGGTGAGGGTGCGCTGCACCGGTAGGCCCATTTTCAGCGGTAGGCCCAAATTTTCCATTATCCATCGTTTTTCATCATAACCAGCCACCACCATGCCTAACCAGCCCGAAATTCCGGAATCTCGTGTAATCGAGGCCTGCGAAGCCGCCTATGCCCAAAAAAAGCCGAATTTGTCGAAGATCGCCAAGGAATATGGTGTTTCGTATTACGTGCTGCGGGGACGCGTCCGACGGGGTAAACTGGCTCGCACTGCCCAGAAACCGGTCAATAAGGCTCTTCAAGACTATCAGGAGGAAGCTTTGACTCACTGGATATGTGATATACGTGATCGCTATCTCCTAGTGACGCCTGCGCTAGTAGAGGAGATAGCGAATCTCTCGCTAAAGCGTGCGGGTGTCGAACGCGAGCTAGGCAGTACGTGGGTGTATCGCTTCATTAAACGACTTCCTCAAGGCCTTGATCTTGCCCCGGTAAAGCAGAGAACGAAGGAGTATAAGCGGATCTAGGTAGAGGATAGCGGAATGCTAGAACTCTAGTATTCTCGATGGGGGAACGTCGTTAAAAATGCAGCGCCACGGTTGATATATAACGTCGATGAATATGGCTTCCAACCCGGTCGGGGTAAAGCGCAGACGGTAATCGGTGGCCGTATGATGCCTATCCCTGATCTCTGCGAAGCTAAACGTGGCGAAACTATTACCGCCGTCGAATGTATCGCTGCCAATAGTTGGCAGATGGATTCACTGTTTATCTTCAAGGGCTCGACGTATATAGAGACTTGGTATTATGGCAGCGAAGCTCTTCCACCGCGGACGCTCACGGCTATATCTCTAAATGGCTAGATCTCTAATGAATTAGCTGTTGAATAGCTTCAATACTTCCACAAGGCGACGATTAGTCGTACGTTAAAAGGGGAGAAACGTATCTTGTTGTTCGATGGCCATAGTGCCCACTTCACGAAGGAGTTTCTATAGAGATGCGAGGATTATCAGCTTATCTGCTTTGCTTTCGAACCTTATTCAACGCACCTTTGTCAACCGCTTGATGGAAAGCCCTTTTTGAGCTATAAGCAGCACTTCCGAAGAGAGAATAATAACCTCGCGTTCCTCGCGGGTGAGCCTATCGGAAAGGCTGATTTCCTACGATGCATCACGGATGTACGACGACGAGCATTCAACGCACGGATTATTCGTGAATCCTTCAAAGAACGTAGTATTTGGCCACCAAATGGCACACATATCATCGAGAAGCTTGCCAATAGCCAGCTAGAGCTACCAGTGCTCTTAGCGCCTAATCTCCGTACGTATAGGGAATAGACACCATCACCGCCGCCTACATCCTCAAGCGTCGAGAATACACCTCTAAAGAGCATCCAGGCTCTCGAAAAGAACCATAGGAAGCTATCGAAGATAGAAAACCTCACCCCGAAGCAACGGCGAGGCCTACTACGCATCTTCCAGCACAATAAGGTCATCGCGGAACGGGCAGCTCTCTCGAACGACATAATCAGCCAAATGATAGCCGCTCGCGCCCCTCTACGACGGAATTATACTAAGCGGCATATTAAACCACTTGGGCACACTGGTATCCTTAGCGTTCGCGATGCCAATCGGTCAATTATGGATAGGAAGGCAAAAGAGGCTATTCAGGAGAAGAAGCGGCTAGATAAACTACACACGAAGGTCTATGGTAAACCGCCACCAAAACAGCCTACCCAGGAGAGTGAGGCATCTATAGAAGCAGCGAGGGCAGGAGAAGAAGCAGGCGACCTTTTTTACGTAGATCCGAATCCAGCGCAGTGATAATTAGCTGAATAGCATGGAATTGGGCCTACCGCTGAAAATGGGCCTACCGGTGCAGCGCACCCTCACCGCCAGGTGGGGGGCGCTATTACGAGGCACTAATATCACTCCACCTACGTCTCAAAATCCAATTGTGGCCCATGAGGGCCATACTCGCCATGGACATTCTGCAGCGGTGCGCACGAGCAACCCATCGGTGGCCTCGATGGCCCATGGAAAAAATTGGATAATAAGGGGTGAACGAGCTGTCTCCGCAGCCCGGACTAGACCTAGGACTTGCTCAATGTTGTAGGCGATGGCTGCAATAACTCCATACTTTCCGGCTTCCGCATTGCGCAGAATGGTGGTATGGCAATTGGATTCTTTCCAGGACATTCTGGGATGCTGAGACAATCGCACTTTGTGGGATCCAACGCTGTGTAGTAATTTGGAGTTGGAATTGGAGTATAAACATTGTGGCTGGCGGGCTGCTCGAGCTGTTTTCAATGTGGAGCCATGAAGGACGTGTGACACCACTAAGGGAGAAGGGCGGGGAATGACTCCGAGACGAGGCCAGTTCCACCATCGGCGTTGCTCCGAGAGGAAGGAGATGACCCCGCATTGGCTTTTCTTATTCGAACTGTTGAACTTCGGTTTTCTAGTCTTGCTATGAAACAACTGCCAGCCTATGTTTCTTTGTCGCGTCGTGGGAACACTCTATTGCTATCTTACAAAACAGAGTCACCATGCCCAACGCCACTTCCTTCAAGGCCCACGACCCGCGATTCGCCGCAATCGTGGGCCCATCTCCGACAGCAGAGCTTCTAGCAGAGAATAAAGTCTATCCGTTCGCTCACGAGGCCGGGGTATTTTTTCCCGACGCCAACAACCTCTATATTACCAGCAACCGAAGCATTGGCCCGAACGGAAAGCAGACAGTGCAAATTACTCGCGTCGACCTGAGTAAAAGACCCGTCACCTGTGATGAGATTGCTACCGATATTCCTATGGGCAATGGAGGCATCAATTACGGTAAAGACCACGTTCTCTTCTGTGGGCAGGGGTCTATGACCGAGCCAAGCGGACTGTACCGGATGTCTACAACTGCTCCGTACAAATCAGAGTTATTGAAATGTGATTTCAATGGCCGGCCATTCAATTCTATCAATGACGTGGTAGTGCACACGGATGGTTCGATCTGGTTCACCGATCCCATTTATGGCTTTGAGCAGGGTTATCGTCCATCGCCGCGTCTACCCAGCCAGGTCTACCGGTGGCATCCAGATACTGGGGCAATTCGGGCAGTGGCCGATGGTTTTGGGAGACCAAATGGTATCTGCTTCTCTCCGGATGAGCAGGTTGTTTATATCACCGATACGGACCGGGTACATGGAGACGGCACCATCGATGACCAAAGAGTATCATCCATGTTAGTTTAATATGTTTTCCTCTGGTGATCTCGTTGAATCAAAATAGCTGATCTTGCATTTTGATCTAGTTACGCCTTCGACGTGTCCATGATTCACGGGGAGCCATCCCTCACAAACCGGCGGCTCTTCGCTATGGCAGACCAGGGCATTCCAGATGGAGTCAAGTGTGATTTAGAAGGAAACGTATACAGTGGCTGTAGGGATGGAATCAATGTTTGGTCCCCGGGGGGCGTTCTCTTGGGTCGAATCCTCATCGATGGAGGTGTGGCAAACTTCTGCTTCGGGAGAAACGGAGAAATCTTTGCCCTCAATGAACATCGATTGTGGCGAGTTCAGTTGGGAGCGGGAGTAAAGGGGGCATTGCTTGGAGTATAAACTCTTTGCCATATGACTATGTAAAGAAACAAATAACGAATGAAATACACATATTCACAAGGATATCGATTCATGAGGAAAACGAAATACATAAGTGACATAAACCATGCGAGGGCAGCTGCAGCTTAAAGTGACACTTGCCTCTCCCAGATTTGCTGCAGCTCAACCCCCAGAGGTTTGACTGGCCAGCCAGTCCGTTCTCGACAGGCCTCCAGAAGCTTCAGAATAGTCCTTCTGGCATGGCTTTCCTGAGTATATATTCCCGCTGTGGATTTGTTAGCCTTGCTTCTCTGGGATGCAACAAATCACATGCCTATGAATAAAGCTTGCGAAGACATTAAGCAGGACGCATTTTCCTTCAACGTCATCCCAATGCCACATATGTTCTCCACGCAGCGCGTTATTGCATCCAGTCGTTCAATATGTCGCTCCAACCCGCCTAGGTTAGGCTCATGAGAGATTAAGAGAAGATATGATACGCTGAAAAATTGGACCGCGACGGCTGCATGACCAAATTAGTTTGTTTTCACCGGGGGTACATGGAGTTCGTTTAATGATACATACCAAACTCAGGTGGATGGATCAACACTGGCCGAAAACATAATGATTCATCGCGTGACCCAAGCGGCAAAGGAGAGAACTCAACGCTCAGATGTCGTCGCCAGTCTTCTAGCATAGTCCGAAGACGGGTTGCCTCATTGATTTGGTGCTGGATATTTTCCTCGGTTGTCATAGTAGCGCAGTAGCTGATCACCTTCGCGGCAATGTAGATGGAGCGCGTAGCGAGCTCGTGGGGTAATAATGCTGCAGCCATGCATTAATCCGATTAATTATAGCTAAAATTTTAATCTCATACAACAATATTGACAAGATTTGCGGGAACCACGAGCACTCTACTGGATTGGTTGTCCCCGGAATCCACTTGGAGTACTTAGTGTCGATTTTATGGGTAAAGGAAGAGCATGATTTAGAATTAACCAAGAAAATGGCAGAAGAAATTTATGTTCTACGTTTCATTAAATCGCTTTTTATGGAATAGAAAGTCATATAAAGTGGATGTTTTCCATCTCTCGAGTACCTTTTCAATTCGTTCTGTACCTTTGGAAAATGGAATGTAAAGTTGTCTAGAAAGATGTTTAGAGAGGTACCTTGGAAAATATAAATCAAAAGATGTCCAAAATAACGTTTACAGAAACACCCAGTGGGAGATTTAGAAGGACTAAGAGAATAAAGTGTCGAGGCCCATTTGCAATATCTTCTTGGTCCGGCGGTATCTACCCGTCTCCAGTGTATTGCCCAACATGGCTTAGTGCCGACAGAACTTGGGTGGAGTCGAGCTCGCACTGACTCTGGGGTAGTATCTCATCTGTTATCTGCGGAGATGACATGAGTCCAAGCTGGACTAAGCCTGTCTTAGCTCGGTGTATGCTGTCCCAGGCTGATCATTGCCCGAACAGAATTCACGTCATTTGTTCCTGACTCGGAGTACACGGCACTTTGGAGATCAGTTGGTACGCCATAAACTATAATTGGGACGGAGTGGCGGTGGTAGCGGGACCAGCCTCTCCCGGATTGTTTGCACTTCACTGAGGAAACTAAAACACTATTTAACACAAATAACCTAATTTAGCATAGTGTTTTTAAATCACGGTTTTCGTAAAACCTTGTACTATGTCCACCAGCAGACAACATATTCAACGCTTTTTCGAATCCTTTGCAGATGCCCAATTATGGACCGGAGTTCGGGCATTTCCCTGCAAGATTCGGCTTTCATTTGACCGAAGGCGGATGATCTCGCAAAAAAGCTTGACTGAACCCTGCGTGATCCGTCAGGTACGGGTCAGTGCGCTGTACCCCTCTCTTCGACCTCCTGACCCCTGAAACTTCATCTCTTTGCAGGCTCAACAAATAATCGCGTGCACAGGAGCATGATAGAACTAGACGCTCACACGGGCAATGCCCGTGCCAGGCTAAAACTCCGAAGCCGAGCTCGTGATGATTCTCCCAGTAATTAATCCCGGGAGTATCCATGTAACCTTTCAATAATGTAACAATGCCCCCTGTCGATCTGCAGGGGATAATTGGTATATATCCCTTGTTTCGCCGATTCTTAACACTCTGGATTTCCGTGCATCCGTCCAAGAAAGTAGGATAAGGCTGATCAACATGGTGGTCCGCGTCTCCCACGCTCTGTTGGCCCTGGCGGCTCTCGTCCCCGCCGTCGCTGCGCATTCCAGCCAGACGTGCCGAATAGTTCAGCATGACTTCCCCGCTGGCACAAACAAGAATGATCCTCGTGCCGAAGCCGTGAAGCAGGCGTACGTCCGCGAGTGGAATCAGTATTACAAATATGCATTCCCCCGTGACGATCTCCTGCCTCTCACCCACAGCGGCACCAATGACCTGTTCGGTTGGGGTGCCACTGTTGTCGATGGGCTTGATACTGCCATTGTCATGGGCTTGACCGATATCGTCGAAGAGCAGCTGAAGCACATTTATTCAGTTGATTTCACGTAAGTTTGGAAGAGATAAATTATCTGCGCTATTCATTAACCCCGAACAGAAAGTCTGCCTATATCGTCGACTTCTTCGACATAAACATCCGTTATATTGGAGGGTAAGTTTTGCCAATCCTTTCGGACCTTGGAAGAGCGATGGCCTGACAATTCGCAGTCTGTTGTCCTCATATGACTTGCTCAAGAGTGGAAAGTTCCCCAACCCATATGACGAACATCTCGTCGAGGCGCTCCTGTCCCAGGCCAAGTCTCTGGCGACGGCTATCAGCCCTGTATTTGACACCGTGACTGGTCTCCCGGCGTCCCAGATGAACTTGACGACTGGTGAAGTTATCCAGTCCACCAGCACCATCAATGGCACCCAGTACAACAGTACCAACACCGCCCAGGCCGGAACCATGATTCTGGAGTATTACCGTCTATCGGATCTAACTGGCGATGAATCTTTCCGTGAGCATGTATGTTCGCATCCACATGATCAAACAACATCTACCCGGGAACGAGATGCTGATAAACTTTCCGAAACTATAGGCCAAGAAAGCCGAGAACTTCTTGATCAACCCAAGCCCTCCTCCCATCTACCCGGGCCTTGTCGGCACTGAGGTCAATACTGACACGGGCAAGTTCATCACTTTTGATGCTGGCTGGGAAGCTGGCGTAGACAGCTTCATTGAGGTAAGGGTCAATTCTGAATGTCGATGTGTCCATGCGGCTAACCTCCCCTAGTATCTGATCAAGACTTACCAGTACGATCACTCGGATGAGTATGCGCAGCAGATGCGTGACTTCTGGGTTGTCACTGCCGAGTCGACCATCAAGAATATTGCACTGAACCCGTATCACCGCCCCGACCTGACCTTCCTGTCGCAATCTGACACCAACGGCAACCTCATGTGGAGTATGGATGACTACGTTCGTCTAAACCTCTCCCCTAAGTGCTCGTTACTAGCTAACATCTTACTCCTGCTAGGCCTGCTTCGCTGGTGGTAATCTCCTCCTAGGTGGAGCCCGCCTGGGCCGATCCGACATCCTCGACCTGGGAGTCAAGGCGACTGACGGCTGCCACTGGCTATTCAACACCACCTTGACCGGCCTAAACCCCTCAAGTAAGATATCTCAACAGGGAAATTCAGCTCTACCCACTAACTAATCTCCTAGCGTGGGCCTGGTACAACGCCAACGACACAGCCTACGACAGCCAATACAACGACAACGCTACTTACCGCGCCGAAGCCGCCAAGAACGGATACTTCATTGAAGACCCCTCATACCGCGACTACCCCGAGCCGATCGAGAGCATCTTTTACGCGTACCGCATCACGGGCGATACCCGCTGGCAAGACTACAACTGGAAGATCTTCCAGGCTCTGGACACCGAGCGGTCCAAGTCTGTTCCCTACGCTGAGATCTCCAATGTGGATGAGCCCGGTGGTGGGGAGTTGATCAACTATGTTGCCAGGTAATTTTCTAACGCTATGTTGGAGGAAACTTTTACTGATGAATATTTGCAGCTTCTACTTCGCTGAGGTCCTCAAGTATCTCTACCTCTCCTTCACCGAGACTGATGTTATCAGTCTGGACGAGTTTGTTTTCAACACTGAGTGCCACCCTCTGCGCATCAAGGAGCCTTGCGGTGGCTTCACCTAGAGGGTGTGGCTATTCGGAGTGGTCGGAAGATTGTGAATAGTTCAAGATGCTTGTACCGCAAAGTCATCTTTCGGAGGAATGAATACGCTCTATATGATGTTTTCGTTTTCTCAATGTAGGTTTTTGACAATTCGACACGGCATGTCCGCATAACCAAGGTACCTACATGAATGAAATCATCTTCTTGAGCACCTCGCAGGCGCTTTTAGGGGCACTTGTAGGTTATTGGGAGCAAGTCTTCACAAGGCTGCTAAATATTAGACGTAGCTCATGGTATTCTCTCTGTGGTTTATTGAAATGAGTTGTCCATTCGTCTACACGAATTGCGTTTCTCACACGGTACTATAACGCCCCAAGTCTACGCTATAGCACTTATGCTGCACCTGGAGCTAGCCACATCCGGCAGTGCACATAACCTCTATATTGCACACGAGTCGCATACTCCAAGACCCGAGAGAGCTATACAGTGGGAATGCCCATTCCCAACTGGTCTCCGGCTGGAGAATCCAGAGACATTCCCCTCACTTTCCATGACATCAACCGTCTCAATTGACGATGCAATCATCCCAACTTTGCGGAGAAAGCCGCTGAGGTCATTGCCCGAGACTAGGAATGCGAAGGATTCCTGATTGACCAACCAACGCTAGAAAAAGCCCGAGAGCTATACCACGTGGGCCCAGCTACATCTGGAGCCGGCGGACCGGGGGCCGGGGGTGGAGTACATCCCGAACTCCAGCCCACGTGTGCTCATCTTGTTTCAGATATTGATTCACATAATGCGAATCTGTTAACGATGACCACATTCTCCATATCAGAGTATGAGATCATCGCCCCTTTAGTGCCTGGCTACGGGGCCCAGAAGGATGCGCTAGACGGGATCCCGCGACGCGGGTAATCTCCAACAGGAGCAATAAGTCTCGAAAGCACGGGAGGACCTCGTAAGGTTGTATCGGTGCATTAAGGCTCCGTCACTTTTCTCCCCTGCACCGGAGGCAGTATCTCGGGGAACAGTATCGGACTTCAGGTGGGATTCGGTATCACGACCGACCAAGTATCCGCTTTTGACAAATGAAGACCATGCATATCCGCTAACTCACTTGCATCCGAAGCCGGATCACCGCCCGCAGTATGGAGTAAGTAGCAGCGAATAGCGATACTGCCTTGAACCAACAGTAAACTAGGGACATGACTCGCTGAAAGACTGCAGGGGATGATGTCATCGTGCGGATGGAAATCACGTTAACTCGTGGAAAGAAGGTTGAAAGGTGTTGAACTTGGATTGGATATAGACCCACAGGGGCGTTGGTGTGTGCAGGTCTACATTTTGCAGAAGCGCCGGTGGCGATCACACATTATGGTCATTCGTGCGTTGAATGGCATTGTTGGTGGCGTGTTGGTTTTTCAATAAGTATTATCTGCAGCTTATTCTTGTTGTTTACTTTCGAAAGTCAAATGTTGCTAATTAAGGCCCTTTTTTTGGGGTTGGCTTGATGCAACTCAATGCGGGTGTCCCCATTTGTAAACAACCTTGAAATACCCGCCAAGGCACCCGGCATCTCTGTTGTCGGAGTCATGCCACGTTCCTTTTTTTAACCCATTTTTTACGGGAGATAAGCATACTAGACTGAATCGAGTAGATGTTCACATTGGAGATCTGCGGCAAGGCACTGTCCATGAGGCTGTGAATGTAGATCTCAGGATGTGATTGGCTTGTCACAAGTACACAATTCCGATGTCGATACTTGTCAGTTTTCAAGGTCGATGATTATCGGCTTTTTAATAGAAAGGGTCGATGAAGTAAGCCTCTGAGCCATGGATGTGGATAAGTTTTCTCTCCGTCTATTTCTATGAAATACTGCCCAGGTGGGTACAGGCACTTGGTAGAAGCACACATCTGGTGAATGTGTATATCCAACAGTATACAATTAATCCGACAATTGGCCGAGCCAAGTGACAGAAATGAGCATCTGTAGATTTGTGACCCGGGGCGACCACACCGAATCTGCCTTGTGCTCCACAAATAGAACGCCCAGATATGAGGCCATGGACTTGACAACAAACTCGGTAAAAAAAAAAAAAAAAATAAACATGAAACGGACGATCAGCACATGGCCTGGAGCGACGTTCGTTTCATCCATTTTCTTCCCGAAATCCGCACATGCGATAGACGACAAAATGCAAGACGATACAGCTATAAATAAATCCGCGCTAGAAGTAGCGTCCGTGTGTAAGCAAGCTGAAACACACCTCGAGATTGGTCCAGGATACCCGCTCACAAATTAATGTTAAATTACCTCGAATGACCTAGCGGGCGCAGGAATGCATGGGCACTGCATTAGTGCCGCCCCCGATAACCCCCTGCCCACTAGACCGTTCCGGGAGGTTGTACGTAAATTATCGAGCTTGTTCGTTACAAATCCATTACTTCCCGGTACTTTCATATAGTGCCCGTCTTGCGATTTCCAATTTAATTTGGGTCCCCACTCCATCTTTGACGGTCCGTGATCCTTCGACCACATGGTTGTGCAGGGATGTGCATCCTGTGTCCCGAACGCTACGAGGCTAGGGTTAAAGGGGAAATTAGATTGCAGTCATGGTTGATTTGCAGGCATTGTATGGATTGGTTCGAGGTGGTGCTGCTGGATTCGGCCGTCGGCTAGTCTTTCGGATTCCCCGAAATGAAGATGAACGAGTAGACCGTATAATGCAACGCGGATTCAGCCCGTCGTGCTATGGAGCTCTTCACGTTACTCCTTGTCATCAAGCAATTGATCCAGGGATCGATGAATCAGAAATTAGGAACCTCTCGTCTCGATCACATCGCAGATGATGACAGAGCCTGAGAGCTGAGTGACATCGCTCAGTTGTTATTGGTACGTCGGGCCACATGGTATCACACATATACAGTGCAGACACATGGTCGATCTGCATGATCAGGCAGACTCGGTAGTCTGCCTTGCCATTGCTGACAGCCACATGGCCTGATTTCCACTGTAAATGCGAAACATCGCTCCTCATAGGGCCCAACAACCCAAGGACCTGCATGGTGCATGCAACCACGCCCGGATGGACAGGGATATATAGGGGGAACAGCAAGAATATGCATTTAGGCCTACCATGGCCATTCCAATCCGGGTATCTTGCCACACGTGGCGGAGATTACGAGTGGACCAATCCTCATGATCTGCGAAGAATTCATCAAGTGCGGATCCGACTTTGACTATCTCTGCTGCAGCCTACATAACGGTACGGGTTGTCGGATTTTACAAAAGCCGTAGGGCTTGGCGATTTGCGCCGCTCCTTGCCTTTTCGGATGAGTGGAGTGCAAGGTGTTCCCCAGGAAGCATAGCCCAGGCTAGTTAGCATCCGGATACTCTAGGGTATCCGTCAATAGCTTTGCCCGATGCGACTTGGTCTGTTCTTACCCAGTACAAATCCAACAGCGCGAAGCAATCTCCATTTCATCAAATCCTCCATGTGGGAAACACAGATTCCGATCGTTCCACCTTCTCCATTCGCCGGTCCGTGTAGATCGATAATCATTCCCAGGTAATCCTTGGCTGGCATTTAAATGCAGAGCCACGGGGAGAGCCTGGTGTGGAGATCACAGTCGGGGAATTACAAATCTCCAGAATTTCAGCCCGGGCCAACAAAAACGGCCCAAAGGAGAAAGGGGAATAACCTCATAGCCGCCCGTGTGAGAAGGGTTTTGTTGGACCCAGGGTGGACCACTTTTCGCACCAAGCCCAAAGCGGATAATGTACATCCCTGGAAAAGCTATGAGGCTGATGGCGCTTAGTGACTGAGCAGGTTAGCAGCGGAACTAGCAGTGGACCTGGACCAACGGTTAGGGTCCTTTTAAGGTTAGGAGGATCAGGGAATAGATTTGGGTCAGGGTTAGCGCGCCAATCGAGGCCGGAGGTCGGAGGCTTCATTCGACCGACATGGACTTTGCCGGGCAACGATTCAATCGTCCCAACCCACGGGCTGGGACTGGGACTCCAAATCTCAAGTCTCGACTCATGGCTCTTCAGACGAGCTGGAAAAGATAAAGGAAAGATTGTCCCTCGAGCTGATCGGGATAATGTAGTTTTTTCCTGTTTTGGACAGAGCGGAGAACCCGACGGTCAGGGTCGAGTAGCTCACTATTCCCATTTTAGCAGGACCACTTTGCACATATTCGTGTGAGGAGTTGCAAATCCATGCCGCGTGGGCACCGTTTCTGCTGACAACCTTAAGAGGAAGCCGCAGTTGGCTGTTGGAGATGAAGATCCACACGGTCTGAGGTGAGACGACTTCACTAGCGGCCGTCGTGAGAATTCCTAAAAGGATTCGTCAAGACTCGAGTCATGGGAAGTAAAGAGACCTTCCTTTCTGAGCTCGGGACTCGACCCACTCATCATCCCCAAAGCTATCACACTGGGAACACCGTGGACTCATTATCGAACATCTCCAAAAGCCGAGACCAGCAAACGCAGTCACAAGAGCCTCGTTGTGGAGACGCAAGCGATGAGGTGATTCGCTAGCACGGAACTCCTCCGCTCGTATCTTGGTGCTGCCTCAAAACACCGGACAATTTGCGGGGACATTCCGAATGTAGATCAATCCGCGAGGCCGACAGGTCACAATTGAACTGGGGTTTTGGATGAACGGCAAAAGGGCCAAGCAGAAATCATTTCTCGCAGATTGTACGGGGTATTCCCGGGACGCCTTGCACCGTATGCAGTTGACAGCGCAACAGGGTGCCATCACAGAGTAGCCCCCTGCCGTGAGGGTTGGCCCCCGGGGAGCGGCCACGTCTAAAAACAGAACCAACATTCAATCGTGAACTCTGACTCGCGACCACCAAACTCTGCAGAGCATGACGATGATCATAGCCCCCCGTAATCTTCAACCGATGAGACATTGGGGAAATCGTGGCAGGGTCCACCCGTTGTGGACATCTGTGCCGCAGAGATAAAATACCGGTATCTGTACCGCGAGAGCCATGCTGCCAGAGACCCGGGAGTAGAGGCAATCTGCATCTCGTTCTCAAAACTGAGTCTTTCCCTTGAGAGAAATGCCGATCGCATTGGAATCGGTTCCGACCTGATTCAGTGGCACCGGAAGCACTGCACCGAAACCCTGGTCATGACTCGTATCACCTTCTCTAAAAAGGACAAGATTGCAGCCCTCCACGTGAGGGGATACATAGCGCTACACCAAAGAAACGGCTTAAACCACGGACCACGGACCGGGGAAGCGATATTACCGTATGCCCGCCCTAGTTGAGAAGCGGTATAGACCGAGATCAGACAGGGGCGGAACGTGGTTTGATCGAACTGAATCCGCCTGTGCCTCTCAACCAGGGGCCGATTAAACACTGGCCCCCGACTGCGCTACACTTGGAACTGCGTCGACGAGAAAATCGCGTTCATGACCCGACGATCCAGACTAAGATGGGTACTAAGGTTGACTGGGGATGGTTGCACTACTGTACACTTCGCACTGGCTAACTGAATTGGGGCCGGTGGAGCGTGCGAGAGATCCCTCACGTCTCCCCTCAATGTATTCTGACTTCGGCATTGCCATGCCGAAGATTTGCCAACACCCTCCTTTCGAAGTAAGAATGAACGTGAGACTGTTGCCCTTGCACGTCTAACACCATAAGCGTGGCGATTTACTTCGGGTGGGAAGGTGCAGAACGAAGGATTTCTTCCAGAATGTATGAAGAGCATCGAGTGTTTCAGGAATCCTGTGTTTGCCGGGCATCCGACTTGCCGCTAAGATCTCCCAGTATCATAATGCCACGAGGGCCAGGGGGTAGCTATCCCGGTTACTATGCCACTTCGCATGGGGTGCATGAGGCGACCCAGTCATGTGCAGTCGAGCGCAGTCCTTAGCAAGACGAGACAATAGAAGATGCACATTGCGGGTCTCGTGAGAAGAGGCTCGGGGGCGGGAGCGTGCAGCAACCACATGGTTCTATTTTGGAAGCGTGAAGCTATTTTCATATCGACGAAGATCGAGTTCCCAGTGACGTGAAGGGGCTCGGCAAGGGGGCAGAGAAAATCGGTCATTCCCCGTATCCAGTAAAGGATCAGCAGCTGTGAAACAAGCTACGGCAACACCGCCAAGACAGGGCTCAGGGGTCACGTCCCTATGGCTAAGGCGACTACAGTAAGGCGCACTCTCGGACCCCACTAGGCTGACCCGGGGGCTTTCCAGAGTTCAGGCCTTCGGTCCGCCGGGGTGTTCGGATCATCCGACATCGACTCATTGAGATGTGACCCGGCTGAGATGAAAGCATCGGACTCGAGGAACTCGGGAGAAAATCAGTCAATTCCAAGCAATGAAAAATCCATTTCAGCCTCAAGGAACAAAAGTACAAGGCACCTATGCAAGTGCAGTTACACCGGATTCCAACCCATTTACGGAGTACATAGCCCGCACTAGGTACCCAATCGCAGGGTCGTGGGGCGTCAACTTGTCTACATACTCGCCTGGGCATAGCGCACGATCCTGCGAGTTTCCTAAAGCGTGGAGAACCATGACGGGGGCCTTCTCCCCTCCCCGGTGGGGCAAACCCGTTGCGTGCCGTGGGAGCTTGGACTCGAGAGCCCTAGATCCACCGTTTGGATGTCCTGGGTCCCCAACTCTTTCGTGAGAACTTTGTTATGAGAAAAAGAAGAAAGGGCAAAAAAAAAAAGAGAGAGGGTGGGCTATCTCAACCAACACTAAAAGAAATACCCCCATTGGGTGCAAGTCCAATGCAGGCGCCGGATCGGCGCCTCGCGAGCCGTTGACACGGGTCTACTTGGTAGATACGAGTGTAACTAGTATCGTCATTTCACGCCTCAGCCGCACTGCTCGGCAACGCGGTGTAATTTTAGGACGGGCTTATACTTGATCATCCCGAGCGATCAACGCCTCCACGCCCGTGCTTCGTTCCCTTTGATCTAAGGCTAGCCTGTAATTATTTTAATTTGGGATTTTTATTTCTCTGTATTTCTCCATTTTCTCCATTTTCTCCATTTGTGCAATTTATTTTTATTTTTATTTTATTTCATTTAATTTTGGGAAGTCTATTAATCCGCCGGATCTAAAAGTCTCGTCCCCATCCTCTCTATATCAGTCCACCCTCCCTCTTCATCACTGCAGTTTCAGTCTCTGTCCTGTTACCAATTACATCACTTGCCATTCCGTTCCTATATATCTTCCCTCCCTTCCCATCCTTCCATATATGATGGCCCGAAGATCCTCTACTGAACGCAAGTCGACCAACACACTGTCTTCAAAACACACCACCTCTGTTCCCAACTCTCCTGCTGCTTCTTCCTCTCCGTCTCCTGAACCTCACCTCGCTTCCGTGACAACCATGGTCGGCCGCAAGAACGCGCGCCGCAGCTCCGAGGCCGACGACTCCATGGCCATCACCTACACTCCCACAACCCACCGTATCAGCAGAGCCAAGAAGGGAAAGCGCGTACACGCCTGCGAGTTCCCCGGTTGCGATAAGGTATGCGCTTGGTCTTATTATGAAGCGCAATGAAGCTAACTTTCGTCGCACAACAGGTCTTCACTCGCGCCGAGCACCGCAGACGCCATGAACTGAACCACAACCCCGAAGCTTCCTACCAGTGCACAGAGCGTGGCTGCAAGAAGGCTTTCCGTCGGCCGGATCTGCTGGCGCGCCACTTGGAGAGACAGTGAGTAGCTGCTTGGACACCCTGTTATTAGGATCGCGAGGTTAATGATCGGCGACAGTGAGCACGAGTCACAACCGGAACAGTCGCAATGGCCCTCGCAGCACCAGGCCTCCGTCGTCAATGGCTTAACTTCCGTCCCGCGCTGCCTTCCCATAGACAGTGAATCTCTACTCGCCGCCACTCCTCAGCAGTCGAATTCCATGTCGATTGGCTCTCTCGTGGCACCCGGCGTGCACCCGGACCTGGCCAGCGACTGCTCCATGGTGTGGAATGGCATGGACCTCCCTATGCAGCCGCGTCCATCAGCAAACCTTTTTCAGAACCAGCTCCCCGAATCGGCTGATGACAGCCCCTTCTACTCTTCGCCCGCAGAGACCTGCCCCTCGCCTCTCTCTGACGCGACCTTCTCTCTCCCTCCCCACTCCAGCTCCTCCATCTCCTCGGCAGCCCTCTCGGTCATTGACCAGTACCCCAAAAACATCCTGAAGAATGACATTACTGCTTCCCCGCTCCAGATGCACTCGCCGCTGCAGTGGGAGGGCCACGATGTTGTGCCCCCATCGCATCTGGTGTCCATCTCTCTGGAGGACAATCTGATCCAGCCGCCAGTCCAGTGCAACTACCCTTCACCCACCTGGTCCAGCACCGACTGCTTGCCATATGACGAGCAGGTGCAATCACTGGCCCACTTCCAGCCCATGTCTTGGAAGCAGTGGGCCATTTGAAGGGACCCCTTACCATTCAACGCTCGTTCCGTTTGACGACTTATGACAACCACTTCCTTTTCCACTACTAGCTTGCCTCGCGTAAAAGCGGTAATGCGCCCTGAGCCGCCGATCCCCACCGGGGACGAGCACTACCGAACTCCTCCGCCTCATCGGCTAGCGCGGGCATGAGCGCACGACGAGACGTCTGCGACGGGCCTGCGCGAGTTCAATCGCTCTCAAATACCTCAACGCTATTCGCGGGCCGGAGAACACCGGACCCAAATGTCGAGTCGCGAGTCGCGTCCGCGGAGGTTGGGCGGGAACGACTCAGCAGTGGAGAGGTGCTTCCACTTCAGGCAAGCGGCTCCACCTCGCCCGAACGAAAGCATCAAGAGGACTTTTATTCTTTTTTCCGTCTGAGTATCCTAGAAGGTGGGATATAGGCTGGAGTTGTGTTTCTATGATTTTGACGATTATGCGTCTGCATTTTGCTGTATACCCCTCTGGACCTGACTTGATATACGAATACCCCTTTGTACATAACCCCGACTGCACATGCAAACACTACCGTTTTACCTTACTTTCCCGTACCCTAAGGTACTCAAATAACACGTGCGATTAATACCAAATCAATATGCGAAGCGGATCTGGCAGGTTCCCCAAACTACTTTAGCGTACCATGGTTCACTAGATCGCCGCAAACCACGGTCGCATTCCAAATCAACGACATGGAAAACGCATGCGCTATCTCCGACATGGCAAAAGCATGCGCTATCTCGGCTTTTTAAAGAACAAACTTTGACCGTTTGTCTGGACTAGTCCGTCTCGGGGCGGCCCAGCCATGAGTCAAAGGAAGAGAGAAAAACAAAACCCCACCCGAAACCATAACCCGAAACCGAAGGCAAAAGCTCGTGAGCTCGCAATTTCTCAGACGCAGGATCGGCCGATCTTAGGCTTCCGTGCTCGCGCCGAACGGGTCTCGACCCGATCCCCCGTGCCCTAACGAAAAGCCGATTGAACTAAATTAGATTAAATCCAAACCGCCCACGAACCACGTTCCTGTCTGTGGAGCCCCAACATCCCTATGGAGTAAGACGCAACAGCCGAAACTATGTACCCTGGCGGTGGACCAGAACCCTTGTCAACAGGACTGCATAGCGTACCGCACTTCCTACCTCTCTTAGGGCCGCTTAGCAAGGTCAATTGATGATGGCCTATGCCTAGACAAGATACGCCGGTAGGCTCGGCTTCCCTCGCCCCCTATTTTTATCGTTCTGTGTTTTAGTGTATGACTCACGCGGTATATGGCCCGGTTGGCCGCGTCTATGATAGGTTCAGCCGTGCAAGGGCCGGACCGCGCTCCCAACCCGAGACATCGTATCAGGCTCAAATTAACACGGCGAAGGCGCCCGTGTCGATCAGGGGGGTCACGAGGCTCTTTTAAGCGGAGTTGACATGCTCCTGACAACCAAATTTCCTTTCTGGGCGGGTCGATTCTGTAACGAGTTTCGGGTTTGCTTTTTAGGATTGGCGGGCTGTTAGCAAGGTGGGTTGAGACTTGCCTGCTTCGGTGATGATGCGCGCGGGTCTTGCTGCATGCTTGGCGGACGGTGTGGAGGGTACGGATAGATGCGATAAATATCCGAGCCGGTGTGTACTCTCGTTGGGATTCGTTTTGGACTTGTCGATCGTGTCGATCGTTATAGTCGTGCATAGTTCTGGGCTTGGATCGCTCGTGTTGGCTTTTTGTTTGAGCCGCATGAACGGTGACCTCGGTGTTGTCTCCGATTTTCGCCGAAGCAATAGTCGGAATTGCCGTTTGTTTACACCCGAGGTAGATCAGTGAGAATGTACAAGTATTCATTCTCTAAATTACACATGTTTTTAGATGTCAATATCTCGTAATCTTTCATCTCGAAGCGAAGCAACCTTCTCCACAAAACGGCCCTACTGGATTCGTAGCTCATAAGACACAGTCTCACGCAAACTTGCTCTCTACATGTTCCTCGTATTGAATCTGCTCCTTTTGCTCTTCAATCTTTTCAACCGTCATGCGCTTCGTATCTTCCCCGTCAAACAGATACGCTAGCTCCTCAAGGGTAGGACCAGCTGTCTCAATGAAGAAAGAACTAGGCAATGAGGAAGACGATCAACACCCAAATACAGTAATAGATGTAAAACTTCCACCCAATATTCTTCAATCCAATAGGTTTGACGTAGCTACCAAAGATGGAAGCCACTTGAATCGTGAACAAGACGAAAGCCCACGCCTTGGCCCGCGTCTGGAGAGTAACAACCTCGAGGTGGTACGTGACAATAAGGTTCGTCCAGGCAAACGTATAAAAGGCCTGGAAGAAGAAGATACACGCAACCACAATCCGAGCGGCTGCCAATGAATTGTGTTCGAGGTATTGCTAAGCGGCAATGGTCCACACGATGAATGTGACCGGGACGCCGCCAGACCCGGTGAGGAAGAAGAAGCGGCGTCGGAACCGATCAATAATCAAAGTGACGAAGATCGCAACGATTTATTGCCATAGTTTGACTATTCCATTCATGAGGGTGATTTCGTACTGTGTCTTCAAGCCTGTGTCCTTGAAAATCTTTGTGAGATAGTTCGAGACAAGTAAGTTGCCGGAGCTCTGGCTGGATACTGCCGTGGCGAAGCAGAGAAAGATACGCTTGAGATTTGCCCGGGAAGAGAAGAAGTCCTTCCAAATCATGTTTCAAATTGACTCTTTCGGAATGGTCTGATGGTTGTGGTGTTCGATTTGGTGTCACATTTACCGATTATGACACCCTAGAAAGAACGCCAAAGAAGACTGCGTTGCAATTAAAAGACATGTTCGATCAGCGGATGGGTGCTGCTGTCAAATCCCGGATAGATGGCGCTGCTGTATCTTCTAATGATGCTAGAGCACACATATGAAGGGCAATTCAACGCGTGGAGTATTTAGAATGGGTTTATAAATCCTGATCAATTTTCGTTTACCTAAGTTCATCAGCTTGGTAACTCTTGGTTTGCCTTCTACAATGGCTACCGGAAATTGTCAACGTGCGGGTAGCTATGAGACGATACTGACACTAAAGTCCAGCAGAGATAGCTGCACTATTCTAGGCGAGAGTGTCACTCCCTCTCCTTCTCTCTCTCTCTCCTTCTCTCTCTCCCTCACTCCCTCTCTCTGGAAAATCTTGCTGTTTTCTCCGGTCTTGGCCTAACTCGGCAACAACACGGTCTTAAGCGCCGTCAATCCCGATTCTGTCGAGGGCTATGCGCATGGTATGTTGACGCGAGACATGTTGTTTACATTTACTGAACATAAACGGGCCCGATCCCGGACAACAACCCAGGATGGAAGCCCGCCGCGTTTACCGCGGCCGTCGATACGATATCAAGGCTGTTGACATCGAGTCAACGCCTCCTCCAAATGAGGCAGTGACTCTAAAAGAGAACACTGGAGTGTGCGTTGTGATACAATATGTTTGGCATTTGGGAATTGTGCACTGACTGGATGAGAAACAGCTGTGACATTGTCGTCAACCCTCCATCGCAGATGTGCGTTATGGTTCTTCCAGATGGGCCTTCCATGCGTCGACACATCCGACAGGATCACTCTGGGGCTCGCGAGTACTCATGGATATGCTGAACGTATGCTGACTTTCTGTTTACAATACAGTTGTGACACTAGATCGTTGTACTAAAAGACGCGAGGATATAATCGCGGGCCACGACTCTATCAAGCGTTAGATTCTGAACCTAGCTGTGGTCCTAAAAATAAGGTTATTAAATTTTAGTATAACGCACTAGAGCGGATTGCGGAGTACATTAGAGCTTGTTGTATTAAGCATATACTTAGGGAATTGATACAGCGAATCGCCCTGTCTCGTTGTTAGGCGACCCCGAATGTGGATGAGTGTACTTAGTACTTCTAGTCTTCCCCCCTTACTAAAACAACCCCACTGGCTGATTCATTAGGCATCGATACCCTAATTAGGATTAGCTTCATAAATTGCTTACCGGTTTTTTCACCGCTTCTCTCCCTCTCTTGTCCTTACATCCCAATCACCCTTTTAGCAGAGCACACAGCAGAGCACACAGCAGAACACACAGCAGACAGCGTTTGACCGATTAACTAGCGAGAACCATCAGCATCCGAGTATATTCAGCCGTCGCGAGGAGGTCACGGTCGTTAGGGACGTAAGCCTAGCCCTAGTCGCCCACTAGGTCGCGGCGGCTAAATATATTCGAATGCGGATGTTTCTCGCTAAGTTAATCGGTCAAATACTGTCTGCTGTGTGCTCTGCTGTGTGCTCTGCTAAAAGAGGGATTAGGATATAAGGACAAATGAAGGCTAGACTGCATACACGCAGCTGGCAAGCCACGACTGCCATGGCATATCTTCGGCGAGGCTACCAGATTGGCTCAAGTAATGCAGATGCATGAAGAAGTTCTCTACAGGGTCTCTTGCACCTTGAAGCAGAATCAAAAGATTCTATTTTCCAAGGTATTTTCTAAACGTCTTTCAAAACACCTTTAGATTCCCTCTTTCCAAGGTATATTTCTAAATGTCTATTTCAAACCTCCCGGACAGATAGTTATGACCGCCTATTTAGGCCCACTTACACTATCTTCTTGGTCTGGCTGCGTACTAGAATAGGAGGATCAACTGTTTTGTGGAGGTGCAGAAACCCCTCAGTTTTAGACTCGGAAATCGGGGAAAATGTCCTAATCTTATCGCAAACCGGGAAGAGGGGAATGTGAGATGTCATCATAGGCCAGGGTGGCCTTGGAATAGCTTCAACCGAGTTTCGCAGGGGTGTTTTAACTGTTTTACTGTTTTGGCCTCGTTTTCGTTTCGTCAGTCCCCAACTTGAGTCACCGAAGACCGGAGCGTGAAGTCGTTCACGCACATCATCCCACTCGGAACGCGCCAGCCGCAGAGGGTCGACTCCAGCAGAACCGCGCTTTGAATTCTCCACCGACTCCTTTAAAAAGTCGGATCTCCCATCTTATCTGATGTGCTGATTCATCCAGCTTCTGATGGCAGCTGCAGCATGGTGGTATTTGTCGACCTGGACGATGCCTTTGAGCATCACACCTTCTCTCCGGAGAAGCCCTTCCCCAAGCTGATGGCGCAGGCCGCCACAGCAGACTCCGTTGAATTCCCACCCTCACCCACTTGCTCGGATGACGAGCGCGACGCGACCACGCGCGAGGAGCCGGAGAATCCCAACCGGAACGCCTTCTCGGCGGCTTTGAGCTGCTACCCGTACAGTCCCACTCCCCAGTCCCCACCCAACAAGAGACTAACGCGTTTCTGCTCTAGCATCGTCAAGGAAATCGCCCGCGCCGTCGATTTGAATACCCTCCACGCCCTGTCGCGAACATGTCGCCAGTTCCACGTGAATCTAGCGCCATTCCGGCACCAGCTCGTCCGCGAAACCCTCCGCTGCGAGAATGAGTACATCGAGACCGTCGCAGAAATGCTAGACGGCAGAGCCGTCCTCAACGGCAGCGTCAAATCCGTCCTACGGCTACTAAGCCAAGGCAACGGCGAACCGGGACGAATGACGCGAGGGAAGGTGGGCAAGTGCGCGCGCGACATGGTAGGCGAGTGTCGCCGCTGCAACAGGGTCGTATGCAGAGTACGCCAATCGATACATTCGAGACGGAGAGACCAAACCAAACTGACAGTCAATAGAACTGCACGATCAAACCGCCCTCCAAAACGGCGCTCAAGAACCGTATCCGTCGCCTATGCCGAACATGCGGCACTGCCCCGCTCTCCTGCCATCTCTCCAATACACACCCGGAACCAAGTGCTCCAGACCTCTTCAATGACGGTTTGGAATCTGCCGCCTTCGAGGCCTTTGCCCGTGGTTCGTGCGACTGCGACGACCTTGTATGGCTCTGCACGCCGTGCGGCCAAACCCTGCGCAGCAACGACACAACCTACCGGCGCGTATGGGCGTGGCGGACACGATACAGCACATATCTCGGCGGCGGGCTAGGCACCGGCATCGGTGAGGGATGCCAGGGAGTGAAATGCGGACGGGGCGAGGGGTGTCTTGCCGCGCAGGAGATTGAGCTCGAGGTCGATTGCGAAGCGGATGAGGGCTCTAGTGATTCCAGTAGTAGGGGCCACAGTCCTGCGGCCCACCCGCACCATGATGTACTCTCGAATGATAGCCATGATGACGAGGAGCCGGGGTATTTCCGCCAGGAGATTATTGGGCTAGGGGGTAGGGTGAAGCATAAATCGAAGAAGCGGGTTATGGTGGGTGCTTGTGTGGTTGAGTATGAGGATGAGCGCGAGACGGGCGAATATCTTGCCCGAGAGGAAGATGGTTTGCATCGGTCTTGGTGTGGGTGGTGTTCTAGGGTGATTCCGGCGAGGACGGAGGCTCGTGACTGACGGCTTGCATTCTGATGTGCTGTGCATTTTGCATTGTGAGCGACTTTCCTATCTTCATGACCCTGATGATGGTGTATATACCGGACATGCTCCAAAATTTTGGATGAAAAAAAATAGGCATTGTTTAATGATTTTACTGAAAAGCCGATGTACGATCTTGCAGATAGACTTGTGGGAGGGCTAAGTCTGTAGACTTTCAATGTTTATAGGTCGCTAATACCAAACAACTATGCTCAACAGTCTGGTTCAAAGAGTCTTCAACACATAAAACACAATACTCCAGCAATGCGTTGCTTCTCTATGCAGTCATCAATCATACACTTCATTCTTCATCCCCAATTCATATCAAAAAAACAAGGTTGAAAGGCAAAAATAGGTTTAAAACGCAGTGATGGCTCTGAAGAGTCCCTTCAGCTTCGACTGCTCTCTGGGCGGAGACTCCTCGCGTCGATGTCGGCGATGAGTGCGCTCTCGAGGTTCATGGCTGTCGCGCCTCTCACGAGGCTCCTTCTCCTGGCTGCTTCCGTGGCGCCGAGAGCTTTCGTGCTTTCTCTCTTTCTCTCGGCTGACCTTCTCCCGGGGTTTGCTGACCTCGGGCTCAATGACAGATCGGCGACGAGTCTTCTTCTCTTGCCGGGCGGCATCGTCCTCGCGACGAGAGTGTGACCCACTAGACCGTCCGCTAGATCTTCTTTCCTCGTTGGAACCACGGTCGCGGGGTCCGCTGCCGTGGCTGTGAGATGTGGAACCTCTGCGGGACCGTTCAGACGTTGGAGCTGTGGACTTGGACATGGATTTGGAGGTGTTGACGCGCACAAGAGGGCCAGTGTTCTCCGACTGACCATTGCTCATATACCGAAGGAAAGCCTTAGGCTTGGGAGCGGAGGTAGATACCTGTTTCGAAGATGGAGGAGCCTTGACGGGTCGGCTCGACTCTTGATGGGACGCACGACGCTTGGGCTTAGCCTCGACAATCAGTGGTTCCTTCTCCTTCACCGCACGCTCTGAGCGCTTGGGCTTCTCCGAGGGAGAAATTCCACTGCGCGCTTTGTCGGCGGCGACGGCTTCGGACCTTCGCCGGGTTTGTGCCTTGACTCGCTCCTTCTCGTCATGCTGCCGACGAGCCTCTTCCAAAGCCATGGCCCATCGGTTTGTAAACACACCACGCTCGCTCTTCTGGCGTTGGAGCTGATCACGACGTCCGTCGGATGATGTCTTCGAGTATCGTCGCTCACGACCACTAGTGGGCGAGCGCCTCTTGCGCCGGCGTTCTCTAGCGGCCGCATCACCAGCGTCGCCAGTGGGGTCTTCCATGAACTCAGGCTCGGGTTCGTCACGAGGTCCTACAGCAGCTTCCGGGATAGGCTCCGGACCTTCGTCTTCGTGTGCGTTGTTGTCAGCTGCAGGGACTTCTTCCATGGGGGCATCGACAGGTTCTGGGTCAGCTTCAGCTGGAGCCTCTTCAGCAGGGATATCCTTAGTTTGCTCTTCTGGAGGAGCGGGATCCTCTGCTGGTGGCTCCGCTGGAGTTTCTTCAGGTGCTGCAGTCTCCGGAGCAGCAGGCTCGACGGCTACTGGCTCCTCTGGTGCATCAGGGGTAGGGATCTCGCTTGATGTTTCATCAACCTCAGGCGCGGCATCCGCAGGTGTCTCAATGGCTGGTTGCGGTTCCGGTGCATCTTCCACCGGCTCAGGAGCTGCCTCCTCTACAGGAGGCGTGTCTGCACTCTCTGTGGCTGGTGGTTCTTCAGGCGCAGCAGACTCTTCCGCTGGTGGCTCATCAGGTGCTTCTGGAGCCGAATCAGCAACCTCTGATTCTGGGACAGGTTCTTCAGCCGGGGCTTCTGGGGCTGCTGCAGGCTCTTCAGGCACGGGCTCTGCGGGAGCTGGTTCTTCTGCAGCAGGTGGCTCAGACACGGGTTCCTCAGTATGAACAACTTCAGCAGGCACCTCGGCCAGAGCTTCATCCGTTGGGGCCTCTTCAGCAGGAGCTTCGGCTACAGGCTCCTCATTAGTCACTTCCACTTCAGCGGGCTCTTCAGCGGGCTCTTCAGCGGGCTCTTCAGCGGGCTCTTCAGCGGGCTCTTCAGCGGGCTTTGAATCAGCAGGAGGATCGTCAGCGGGCTCGTCAGCGACGGGAGACTCTTTTACAGGCTCCTCCACAGCTGCAGGCTCCTCCGGTGGTGGTGTTGCTTCCTCCTCTTTCATCTCGACGGGCTCCTCGGCTACCTTGGCAGGTGGTTCCTCGGGAGCGGGATCTGGTGCAGGAGTGAGTTCAGCTGGTGCTTCTTCAGGCGCCTTCTCAGCAGCAGGCTCTTCCGCAGGTGGTTCAGAAGAAGATTGCTCCTCTGCAGTCGCTGCTTCCGGTGCATCTTCGGCTTGTGGTTCATGAGCTGATTCCACAGCCGTCTCCTCAGCGGGTGCATCTTCAGAAGGTTCTTCCGCAGCGGGTTCTACAGGGGCTTCTTCGGCAGGAGCTTCTTCCTTCTGTTCCTGCTCGGCTGGTTCGGCGGGTGGTTCAGGCTCGGATTTGGCCTCGGTCTCAGAAGGAACTGGCTCTTCTGCAGTTTCGGCCTTCGGGACTTCTTCAGCCGTTTCCGTAACTGCAGCATCGCCCGAAGCGTTCTGTGCAGCCTCGGGTGCAGGATCCTCAGCCGGCTCTTCAGGTTCTTTGGCGAGTTCAGCTGGTGCTTCCTCCTCTGGTGCAGACTGAGATTCTCCAGAGTCTTCGGTAGCTGCGGGCTCTGCAGTAGCATCATCGGCCTTTGTCGCTGGCTCTTGAGTCTCACTGGCATTCTCTGGTGATTCATCCGGGCCTGGATCGTCGGGTGCAGGAGCTGGATCTGTGGCAGGTTCCGTTGCAGACTCAGGTTTCGCCTCGGAATCAAGAGCATTCCCGGCGGCTTTGGCGGCCTTTTTGGCCTTCTTCTTGTCCTTCTTGCTCTTTTTTGAAGTTTCCGCCGATTCAGGCTCGGGCTCGGGCTCGGGATCGGCCTTGGGCTCAGGGTCAGGCTTTGGAGCACTCTCGGCGGCTTTAACGGCCTTTCCCTTCTTCTTTTTATCCTTTTTCTTTTTTGAAGAAGTCTCTGCCGGCTGAGGCTCGCGCTCTGGCGCGAGCTCCTCCGAAGGCTTCTCTTCCGGGGGAGAAGCCACCTCTGCTGGTGATTGCTCTGGCTCGGTGGAAGCTGGCTGTTCTTCAGGCTGAGCTTCTGCTTCTTTCTCGGGTTCAGCGCCGCCTTCACTCGGTGGGGAGTCTTCCCCTGCTTCTGTCGGAGCTGGGTCGTCTTTGGGAGTTGCGTCCTCGACTGCTTCATCCGGTTTGTTGGGAGCCAGCTCCTCGTTGCTAGCCGGTGAAGATTCGTCAGGTGCAGGCTCTTCATTACTTTCAGCTGAAGCATCGTCGGCCGGAGCATCCTTGCTTTCATTGGCGTCGGCAAGGTCTCCCCAAGCTTCGGCATCCTCTGCAGCCTGCTTGGCGGCTTCCTTCTCAGATTCTACCTCGTCGAGTCCGAGTTCAGGGTCACACTCTGGAAAATCTTCGTCTGCGAAAGGGTTAGTATCCTAACGGTCATGGGTGGAGAGTTACGTTCTACCATTGTTTCCATTGTCGTCGTCTTCCTTTGGTTGGCAGTCATCTGCTGCTGGCTCCGACGCCTCTTCGGTCTTCTCAGGTTCTGCGCTTTCTGCACCGTCTGCAGGCGGCTCTTCAGTGGCGTCCGCCGCAGGAGCTTCGTTCTCGGTACTCGGCGCAGGTTCATCTCCTGCAGAAGCGTCGACGTCCTTGTCTTCTTCTTTGGCATCTTCCCCGGGGCCGTCGGCGGCTTCAGCAGGCTCAGTCGGTGGTGTGGCCTCTGAAGAGTCTGGATATCTCAAGTGAGTAAGTTCCTTACATATCATGCACGATTCCCCTTGAATATATACGCATTTGTCGTATCCCAGGGTTAGACACTTACCTCCATTTTCTGGCGATGCTGGGCTCTCATCCGGAGAGCTGCTTGGTTCCTCTACTGCAGCCTCAGCTGGAGGAGTCTCCTTCTCGGGTTCGGCACTTGGCCTTTTGTCGTCCTGGACCTTGGGCGCCGTCAGATCATTGGTATTGGAAGGTGCAATAGGATAAGTATAATAAGATGAAGTGTTGAAATCAAAGGTTTGATAATGACGCTCCACGGGCTGATACTGGTATGTAGGGAGCTGTTCGTACTTGTAGCTTGCCGACCTCATCTTCAGCACCTACAGCCTCCGAGTCGAGAGCAGGCTGATTAGTGCTGTCTTCAAGCTTGGAGGTTTGAGCAGCGGAGCCGACGGGGAGGCGGTTGTTGTTGTTATTCTTATTCTTCTTCTTTTTGGCCATGGCCTCGGATCAATGACGTATCATATATCAAGGCTGGCGATTGCTGAGTGGCGCGTGATGTGAACAATGGGAGATTGACAAGCCGCTGTCAGGCTGGATGCAAGGGAAACCGGGGCGGCAAGGAAAAAGGAGGAACAAGTAACGGAAGTTTAAGGAACTCGAGACTAGGGCAGGGTACAATGTATCAGAAAACGAAATTGGAAAAGGGCATATGCTTGTTTCTTAGAGGATGTGAAATCGGCATTGGACAGTCAATGTGAGGCAGCGTATAATAGTTCGCCCGCTATCCGAGTGGATGGACAACCACCCACTGCAGGAGCGGTATTGGGACCTGAACGTCATCAATGAACTGCCCGACGGCATGGAAATGCCATTGGACCACGTTGCCTCGGTCTCCACGCGGTGGTGACCGGCATGGGGGAATTTCGTGAGGGCCGGGTGAGAGCAGAACGATCCCCACTTGCAGGAGGAGTTGCAGTAGCAAGCATCCTATGGCGGAATTGGATTGGTACTCGGAAAGTGAAATGGCCCAAAAGGGTCCAGATAGGAAAGGTAGTGCTGCAGCATCATGGAAAATATGGGTCCTAGTGGGGGGCGGGTGCCACCGTTCAATTTTTGTTATTTCTGTTGTTTTTTTCCTGCCAGTACAATACACACACGACAATCGGGGCAAAATGGGAGAATCCGCGTGTGGGTCGTGAGTCAATCGACGGGGTTTCCCAGACCACACCGAATGTGCCTGTTGTGTCCCCAAGAGGAGTGCTCACGGTGCCCGCCGAGTGCGAAAAAGTGATGCAGTCGAACAGCCGATTTCTGCCCAACGCTTCCCGGCAAGTGCGGCAAATAGGATGCAGGCCCTGGCGTCGGTGGGGAGACGAGGGCCGCAAAAGAAGCCCGTTGCTAGAGGAATTGGTCTTCTGTCCAAAAAGTTTCGGCCCAGGCACTAACAGTGGTGAGTCAAAATAGCGAAATGAGGTGGATGGAGTCGCGCAGTGGCCATATTGGCTCCACTTTCGACACCGACACTTCACCAAGCCGACCCTCGCTTTCCTTCGGGGCCAAATGCCTCAGGGGATCCCACGGCAAGGGCGCAGTCGGAATGGAGATCGGACGTTCCATCCTATGCACTGCTGTGCATCGATGCAGAAGCGAAGATGGTGGAACGACAAGAAGGGGGAAGGTGGAATCAGGTGACAGCTCATTCATGATCTTCCGGCCAGTGCTTGTCCACCGCGTCCCTCCATAATTGGGATATCTGATCGCGAAGGCGCTCGTCGCAGTTCTCAAGGTCAGTTTCCGTTATCGTGAGGATTCCCAAAACAGATGCATGCATCGCCGCCCAGTTCGGTTTTCGCGACGGGGCGACGCGATGTTCCCATCGCCTTGGTCGTGTTCCAAAATTGGGTCAACTGACTATCCAACGCCCTGCAGCGGGCCGACTATCCATGCTACGCTTGCGACAATTAATCAATGACACGCAATAGGGAGCTTCACTTTCAATGAAACATATGCAATCATGGGCTGGAAGAGGTGTTGGAATCGAGTCTACTTTCGTAACCATGCCCGATATTAGGTGTGAACTTGATCGAACATCTACAAGTTTGGGGAGTACCATTGACTTTGGCTTTGCCCGAGAGGAACAGGGGGTCTTGGAGCGTACATCATTTGGCTCGGAATGGATCGAATATTTACAGCCTGCTCGTGTGAGCTTAGCTGTGCGCTCTAGACTATCCGTAAAGATATCTGCTCACAACTAGTGCACCTCTGTATCTTGTACTATATCCTCTTCTCCATTTATTCGGGTTTCAAATTCATGGACTTGAGATACAAAGCGTGGGAGCCCGCAGGTCAGGAAATAGTAGCGTCTGCTCAAGACTCAATCAATTGCTCTAATGGTTTCGACTTCTCTAGCTAAAGACAAGAAGTAAAGTAACTTCGAGAGTCTTATTTACCCCGGCCATCTAGAGTGTATTCATTCAATTGATCCCTGAACGTCCTCTCTCCGGTTACGTATACTCTAACTTCGCCATCCAAACAGATGCATCACAAGCTAATCCCCCATCACTCTACCCCGGGGGCTTTCAACGACGACAAACTACCCCCTCAATTCCACAGGGTACATGAACATGCATCCCAAGCACAATCCGCAATCCGCTCCCAGCCGATCACCCCACTAATGCATGCAGCCAACACAAATGACGAATTCATCCAGGACCACAGCAACTCCGAAGCCCCGGTGTAACAACTCGGAAAAAAGCAAGAACGATTCCCGCTCGATCCCGACTCTCCTCTTATCGTGCCGCTGGAGTGTTCTTTTGCTGCTGTACTAGCCTGGCCTGGTTGGCTGCCTTGTCTTGTTTTGGATGCGTGGTTTAGGTGCTTTAGATCCTGCGGGTTGGGCCCCGCTTAGAGAATGGAAGACATGGGTTTGCGGACTGGCTTATTGCATCGGGTGGGGTTACGTGTGTTATGCTGGGGTTTGAGGTGCTTTTGTCGATTCGGCGAGATGGGGCGACATGATGAGGGTGCGTCGTGACCAGTCGATGCTGTGGTGAGGTTTCTAGAATATGCAGATATTACGCGCTTCCTAGTCTGATGCATAAGGTACTGATAAGGTACTGCTATAGACAAATGGAATCGTCACTCTAGTCATTCAACGAGTCATAACAATAGGCTTTATCTCACAGGGGGTATCATAACGACTGCAGAGACAGCACACTCGACACCACAGAAGCAACAAACGCAGTAACGGGATATGGTTGGAATCATCAGAACACCAATGTGCAGGGTGAGGAGCGAATGCGACATCGAAGTGATAGTGTCAGATCAACAGCCTCTTCAAAAGTGTAAAAGATACAGAAACGCCGCAAATGAATGCAAATTCCAGAATGCAGGTTGAGTGCAGATTAACGCATGTGCGCATCCATCTTCACACGCCAGCGAGGTCCGTATACTCTCATCAAGACAATGACCGAGCTGCTGGCTAGAGCCACCAAGCCAAGAATGGTGAAGAGCCAGCCGTTGCCAATACCACTGATGATCGGGGCCGTGACGAGGGATCCTACGCAGGAGAAGATGTTTCGCACGAAGTTGTTCAGGGCCACGCCCTCTGAGGACTTTTTGGGCATGAATTCCGTGAGCATCGTGGTAACCATGCTGAAGATTAACATTGACCCGACGCCGAAGAAGAAGTTGGCGATCATCTAGAATAAATACGTCAGTTATCATCTAATATTGGCAATCGTGAAAAGAACCAACATACCGGTACCAGCCAGAACACACCCTTCTCGACGGTCCAGCCATACCAGATAAGAGCAGCAGGGTACAGGATGGCACCGAGCCAAGCATTTTCACGCATTCGATCTTCTGGTCGGAACACCAGCCTGCCTTTTTCATCGTATCGGTTCGCCTTCTTCGCCTCGCGCTGCATGATGCTGTCCATCCATCGCCCACCGACGAGACTGGACACAAAGTAGCCCAGCGAGTTGGGAATGTAGAGCAAGCCTACGATGATTGTCTTGTAATTATAGGGTGCCCGTCCAAACGAGTTTTCGACGCTGACGTTCAGAACATAGAGCGAGCCGAAGGCAATGCTGGCATAGTATACGGATAGAAGGACCGGGATGTACTGCAGGTAAAGAATGATCTTCAACGGGTCAATGAAGACTACTTTGAGCGTCTTGAGCCATTTTGTCGTGGTTTTCGCCATCTGTTGAGTCGACACTCGACTGAGAGCGCGAGTCGCCGGGGCATCATCGTCATCATCAACTGGGGGAAGCACTGGCTTCTCCAAAACCAAGGTTTCTGGCAGAGAAACAAGGACAAATATGAGAGTAACCGCACCATAGGCTGCGGAGAACCACATGGTACTGCGCCATCCCCAGCGTTGAGCCAGAACACCACCAATGATGGGTGCCAGCAACGGCCCACATAGTGGGCCGAGGTAGAAGATACCCATTGCACGCCCTCTTTCCCGAACCTCCCAAAGGTCCGCGATAGTTCCAGCCCCGACAGCTTGAACCGAGGCGGAAGCGCCACCGCTGAGCATTCGCATCACGATCAGCATAGCAATCGAATCGGAGATGGCACAGAGGCAATTGAACAGCACGAAGAGCGCGAAAGAAGTAAGATAGATGGTGCGTCGTCCCAGTCTTTCACTAAATGAGGACCACCACAGAGGAAAGATCGCCATACTCAGCATGTATAGAGCGATCGACAAGTTCGTGATGGTAGCGGTCGTGTTCAGCTCTTTGGCTACCTGGGAGAGCGAGGCTGCAAGAAATCCATCAGATCTGAACAAGGTAAGTATTGATAGTGACGGAGAGACTTACGGAAGAAAATCGAGCTACCCAAAGGCGCAGCGGCTCCCGCTACTGCGACTATAAAAGTGATGAACCATTTCATCCTTCGCGGGTATGTTTTCGGGTTCTCAATTTCAGCCACCAGGGCGAATTGGCCGAGTAAACCTCTGCGCTTCAGCCGTGGAACTGTGACAGCAGGACCAAGCTCTGTTGATGCGCGCTGTAAGGGCTCGGGCTCGGGCACATTTTTCTCTTCGTCATGATCCATGATGCTGGAGGTATGCGACCGTGAATGATAATCTTCCAGTTCAATTTCATGTCTGGCTGAGCCTATCGAATGTTCATCGGTGCCCGAGCTGGAGGTAGGCAAAGCTGATGCCTCAAAGTCGCCTTTTGCGGCCTCCCCAGACATGAAGAGTCGCGATGTCTTCGATGGAGATCGCAGAAGAGTTCAGTCGAGGACCCCGCGAAATTTAACCGATCAAGATTCGAGGCGGCGAGGCAGCCTCGTAAGACATGGAACAGATAGTCGATCTCTCCTGATTATCAACAGTCTAACGATATGAAACACCACGACCTGGACGATCGGCGAAGCAAATGGTTCATCTGCCAAGGCTCTGAACGAACAGGCCTAAAGGTTATTGCCGAATTAGGAAGAGATAAAGACAATAAGATGGAGGTGGTAAATCCTTTGCGATCCTCGGCGGAGAGAAGGAGAGTGAAAAGGCCGAGGTAATCCTCTCAAGTCGCCGAATATAGAAGGCGTGGACCTGGAGATCGCTGGCTATAGAGTTGCGAACCTGTGAAAAGCAGGAACGATTGCTAAAGAGTACCGAAACGGGCGAGTCGCAAGTCTCGGATTCAGGATCAGCCCCTTCTGATACTTATTTCATATAGCGGAAGATAAAATTCTGGAAGCCAAAGGGGAAATTGCTTGAATCGAGATCTTCGAGGGTTCCACTCGGGCACGAAGAATTTCTGAATGCGGAACGCCGACAAGCACCGACGGGTACCGAAGATAATAGCATTGCTTTTAATTCAAGCATCTACCAGTGGATATTAATCCGACATTGAGGGGTCGGCAAGCCAAGCGAAGCCTTTTGCCTCCAATTCCTGGGCCAGAGATCCACGATCCATACCGAGGAGCCAGTCATCATGCAGAGTGGCCGTGCCGTTCTTCCGTCGGCAAAAGACATTGGCGGACAATCCCGCCAAAAGGGCGTGATCACTCTAGAGCTCGGTGACCTCGATTGTGATAGCTGTCTCGTGTCAAGGGCCAAATGTCGGTCTCGATAGACTCAGTTTGGCTTCATTTAGCCATGACATTGCGCGATCGATATCCATTCGTGAGTTTGGGGGCTCGTGGGGTGAACCGTTTTAGGACTTGGCCTTAGCCATGACCCCAGTAGATATCCGGGATCAATAAACATCGCTGAACACCGGTCCGTCCTAAACGAACCGGACGTAATATCGAAGAACACATCTATAGAGCAGCGTCAAACGAGCTCGAGGTCGAGCTCGGCCCTCCACGTCATGACGCATCGTGGGGTGCTGCGCGGTGATGATTACTAATCTCTATGCTTTGGGGTAAAACGGAAGACCATCGATGTGCCTGGCTTCTTTCTTCATAGAATCAAGTCAAGAGCCGCGTCAATCTTGAATTTATCCCATCATACAATCAAAATGGCAACCAATGTCGACATCAAAGATGTCCAGGCCCATCTGGCCCAGTACCAGGGCGACAGATACGTGGACGGCTGGGCTGCACTATGGGACAAAGGCGGTAATCTGCCCTGGGACAAGGGATTCCCCAATCCCGCGTTGGAAGACGTGCTGGTTCAGCAGAAAGGTACTCTCGGTGGGCCCATCGCCCAGGATGCACAGGGCCAGTCGTACAGACGCAAAGCCCTGGTCCCGGGCTGCGGCAGGGGAGTCGACGTACTGTTGCTTGCTAGCTTCGGCTACGACGCCTACGGTCTCGAGTATAGTGCTGCTGCCGTTGAGGCATGCAGGAAGGAAGAGGCGGAGGAGCACAGCTGGGATCGCGTGCGAGACCAGACGGTCGGGCGCGGGAAGGTTACTTTTGTACAGGGCGACTTTTTTGATGATGCCTGGCTACAGAAGATTGGGGTCGAGTTGAATGGCTTTGATCTCATCTATGACTATACGGTATCGTGATACATTTCTTACATATTTATCTCTGTGTGGATGTGTGTGACATTTCCTTTCTAATCAATTGATATAGTTCTTCTGTGCTCTGAACCCGGCACTTCGTCCCAAGTGGGCACTTCGACACACCCAATTGCTGGCTCCATCCCCGTCGGGCAACTTGATCTGTCTCGAATTCCCTCGTCATAAGGATCCCCAAGCTCCAGGGCCCCCATACTCCTCCTCCTCCTCGGCGTATATGGAGCACCTGAGTCATCCCGGGGAGGAGATCCCTTACGACAATGGTCTTGTCAAGCACGAACCTCTGCGAGGACCGAGCAAAGCCGGCCTAGAAAGAGTGGCATACTTCCAGCCCGAGCGAACGCACCAAATTGGTCAGGGCGAGAACGGAGTGATTCATGACAGAGTTTCTATTTGGCGTCGGCGTAACTAGGCCTGAACCAAGGGGAAACAAACAGAAAAAGATAAAGAAGGCTGGTGACTTGCGCGGGTCTCGAGGCAAAAATTCCAAACAAAGTGTGGGTATCCGTTTAGCAAATGATCTATTTCTATTTCTGCTCGAACAGAGCGTTGTAGTGCTCGCCGAGCCCGTACGAGTGTCGGTAGTACGCCAGCCACAGGACGCGCTTGCGCTTTTCCTCTTCCTCAAAACTGTCCATCTCACCGCACTCGATTTTCTCCAATCTCCCATCTTTCTGCACGACATTGATGTCGACTCCGTATGCCCGCGCAATAGCCTGCAGCTCCAGCTGACCACCCCACTCGGCTGTAAGCTTGATCTTCCGAGTATAGACGTCCAAAGGCTCTTCCATGAATGCCTCAAAGTCTTCCTTGTGTTCCACGATAAAATCAGCCGTGACCGCCCGGACTGCTCGGTAGCCATCATGTTGCGGCGAAGCGACAGTGTCGATACGTGATTGTGTCGTCGGCTGCAGGATGATTCGGCTTGGGTCCGGCCGCAAGCCGACTCCAGACTCGTCGAGCTGCTTGGCAATCGCAGAGTAGAGGCAGTGCCCGTCCGGGGTGACTTCGACTTCCCTCAGGCCTAGTTTTTTAAATACTGCGTCCATGACTTCCTGCTCATTGCCGCGGTAGTTGGTTTGGTTCGCGGCTTCTTCGGCGGCGGCCTCGGCCTGGGCAGCTTGTTCGGCAGCGCGGCGAGCGAGACGGGCTTTTTGGCGGTTGGGTTTCTTGCCACGGGCCGTGGGCTGCTCTGATTCGGGGCTGGGAGAAGGCTCGTCTTGGGCTGGTTGTGTCGTCTTGTCCTCGTTCGATTCTCCATTTGTCGGTGCACCGTCTTCCAGGCTCAAATCTTCGAGGGACTCGATGGCCTCAACTGAATCCCCATTCAAATTTGTGATTTCAGCTTGTTGTTGCTCTGTGAGATCCCGTTGCATCCGCTCGCATTCATCATTGACGCCCTTGCGGGTCTTCTTAGTGGCGGACTTTTTCTTCTGGGTAATCCGCCCTTGAAGGTCCTTCTGCTCCTTGCGGTGTTTGGCGAGGAGTTCGTCCATTATGAAAAACAACACCAATGGGCCTAGTATTAATATCAGGGGCCCGACGCAAGTAAAAGAAAATCGCTGGCCAAGCAACAAACAAGGCGCATTGCAAAGTCGCCCCGCGAAACCCTGACGGCGCAGCCCTAACTTGGATCCCAAGGAGGGATAGCGTTATCGGGGCCGGAGATACCGCTGCGCCGAGAGCCTCGGCTTGTCTGCTCGGTCGTCGGGTATGGTTCAACGGGGAGCTACGAGTGTGAGATCAAAACTATGGGTCCACGCAACTGAGATCGACGTATACTTCATCCTTCACAAGTATGGATTCGCAAAGTCTGTTCAATGTTAAGGTGGGAGCGTCCGTTCATCGTTGCTGACCTCTCTGTTAACTATAACTACAGGGCAAAGTGGTGCTGGTCACCGGCGGAGCCAAAGGTATCGGTCGCATGATCTCGGAGGGTTATGTTGCCAACGGGGCTACGGTCTACATCTCATCGCGCGATGCGAAGGCCTGCGACAAAGCTGTCAACGAGCTCAATGCTCTCGGCAAGGGCAAGGCGCATGCCATTCCCGCCGACTTCTACAAGTATGATGAGGTGAAGAAGCTGGCGGAGGAGCTGGGCAAGCGCGAGAGCAGTCAGTCGACACTGGACAATCTTTGAAACGATTACCTTGCTAATACGTCTGATCATTTTACAGAGCTCCACGTCCTGGTCAACAACTCCGGCTCGAACTGGGGCGCCCCCTACGACGAGTATCCCAGCGAGGCCTTTACCCGCGTTCTCACTCTCAACCTGCACCGCGTCTTCGATCTCACGCAGCTGGTGACTCCCCTCCTGGAGAAGGCGTCTGCTCCGAACGACCCGGCGCGCATCATCAACATTGGCAGTATCGATGGCCTGCGAGTGCCCTCGCTCGAGACCTTCGCCTACAGTTCCAGCAAGGCCGGTCTGCACCATCTCAGCCGTACGCTGGCCAATCACTTGGGCAAGCGAAACATTACGTGAGTCTCCATGTTGGGTCTAGACGGTTTTGCCAAAGTCTAATATGTGTCGCAGCTCCAACACCCTGGCCTGTGGCCCCTTCGAGAGTAAGATGATGGCCGCCACCCTCAAGTCTTTCGGCGAGGCTATTAAGGCTGGCGTGCCTCTGGGCCGCATCGGAACTCCTCAGGATGTGGCTGGTGCTTGCTTGTTCCTGAGTAGCCGTGCAGGCGCATATGTGAACGGCGCCACCATTACGGTGGACGGCGGAAGTGCCATCGCCGCCAAGATCTAAGTGTGCATCCGATCTCAAATTCTAAATGTAGAGAGCCATAGTCTATGAACGGGAATGCCGGTTTCTTTGCATAAGCCAATACTGTAGAGACATTTCGGGGCCCAATGCGGATGGGCCGATCCCCGTTGAGAGTAGTCTGACATGCCAACGACAGGCTGGTCATCACCGCTCTTTGGCCCTGAAAAAGAGCATTTCTTTTCCCCCACCAGATCGTTTCGAAACTAGGTTTGCCAAGAAAGCAAAAGAAAAATTAGTCACGCACCTTAGAAAGGTCGGGGGTATCGCGGAACATTAAAGAAATTGGGTTATGTTATCAAGTCTTATCAGGAGGCAACAGTGTGGACCGGCGACATCATCGTCCCACAGCGTCATCCTCGATGATCGTCCAGACCATCCCACCTTTCTTCCTGCTTCACATATCGACATACCAGATCTTCAGAAAGCCTTCCATCGATAGCTCGAATAGCCTCGTCTAATTGAAGTCGAGACTGTGCCATCCCGCTAGCAAGGATCCCCCCTGCTCACCGATCCCGCCAAGACTGCCAGTGGTGCATTCACCGCCGCTACTTATATCGCGTGTTGCCGTGGTGCATTGTACACCGATATAGAATTCCCGTGAAGTCGGTGTGAACAGACCTGCGTGACGCACAATCGAAGTCTGGATTGATCTTTCTTATCCCTCGACCATGAGCTCGTCAGATTCGGACGGCCGCCAGCGGGCTCCTTCCCTCGATCCGTTCTCGCACCCCGATGTCTACTATGGAAACGAGGACTCGCTGTCCAGGACCAGAGACCGGCGCCGCGCTTTCTCAGTGGTAAGTAGTCACCCTGTTTTCGTGGTTACCCCGCGGACCCTCGGCTAACGTTTATTGTGTGGACAGAGCATCAATAAGGACTACAGCCGTGAAGACATCAATTTGCCTTCGAGACGTGGTAGTCATGGTACGTTCAGCCAACAGACTCCCCCGGGTCCGCACTGCAGTGAATGCTGATAGCTATACTTAGATGAGGCTTCCGGGCAACCCCGCAAGTTCCTCATTAAGGTGGACGAGACTCTCGACTCTCTACTGAAGCAAGAAGACACGGACAGGAACATGCAAATCACAATCGAGGATGTTGGACCGAAGGTACGCTGGCCGTTTGACACTGGTTGGGTAATATGCTGATGATTCTAGGTTCTCTCGGTCGGAACGGCATCCTCGTCAGGGATCAGGCGTGTTGACGTTCGCGGAACCTACATGCTCTCTAACCTCTTGCAGGAGCTTACAATCGCCAAAGACTACGGTCGGAAGGAAATCATCCTCGACGAGGCCCGGCTCAGCGAAAACCCTGTCGCGCGACTCTCCCGTTTGATCAAAAAGTCCTTCTGGGTGGCCCTGACAAGACGCATTGATGGTTCCAATATCGAGGTCGCGGGCAGGGATCCGAAAGACTGGACGGATGACCCTCGGCCCCGGATCTATATCCCACCTGGGGCACCGGAGCAGTTTGAATACTACACGCAGATTGCGAAGGATCACCCCGAACTGCGCTTGGATGTGATCATGCTCGAAGCCAACATCACCCCCGACTATGTCATGAAACTCGGTGACAAGCCGGGATTGCTGGCACTCGCAATGAACAAGACATTCAACGAAGCCACCGGGAAAGAAGATCTCATTGGTGTTCCGTTCGTGGTCCCTGGAGGTCGATTCAACGAATTGTACGGATGGGATAGCTACCTGGAATCCCTCGGACTTATCGTCAGCGACCGCGTTGATCTTGCCAAGGGAATGGTTGTGAATTTCTGCTTCAGCATCAAGCACTACGGAAAGATCCTCAACGCCAACCGGACCTATTATCTCACACGCTCGCAACCTCCGTTCTTGACTGACATGGCTCTGCGAGTATACGAGCGAATCAAGAACGAGCCCGATTCAAAGGAGTTCCTTCGAAATGCTGCTCTCGCTGCTATCAAGGAGTACTACAGTGTCTGGGTTGCAGAGCCACGCCTCGATCCCATCACTGGTCTTTCGAGGTACCGCCCGGAGGGATGGGGCGTCCCACCCGAGACCGAGCCATCCCACTTCACTCACATCCTCATGCCATATGCCGAAAAGCACGGTATGACCTTCAAGCAGTTTGTCAAGGCATACAACTCCCGCGAAGTGATCGAACCCGAATTGGATGAGTACTTCATGCACGACCGCGCCGTGCGCGAGTCTGGCCATGATACAAGCTATCGTCTCGAGCGCGTGTGCGGCAACCTGGCAACAGTCGACCTCAACTCCTTGCTTTACAAGTACGAAGTGGACATCGCCCGCATGATCCGCATCCACTTCAAGGACAAGCTGCACATCCCCGTTGAATTCCGCACACCCGCAACAAAAGATATCGAATTCGAGTCCTCGGCTACCTGGGACCGCCGTGCCCGGAAGCGCAAGCAAGCTATGGACAAGTACCTCTGGAGCGAGGAGAAGGGCATGTTCTTCGACTACAACACCGTCAAGAAAGAACGCCAGGACTACGAAACCGCGACTACATTCTGGTCGATGTGGGCCGGTCTCGCCACACCCGCCCAGGCAGCCGCCCTGGTATCGAAAGCCCTGCCTCGGTTGGAAGCTTTCGGTGGTCTGGTGTCAGGTTCAGAGGAGTCCCGCGGTCCAGTGGGCTTGGAACGACCAAACCGGCAGTGGGATTACCCCTACGGCTGGGCGCCACAGCAGATGCTCGCGTGGACTGGTTTCCTGCGGTACGGCTACCAGGAAGAGGCCGAGCGACTGGCGTACAAATGGCTGTACATGATCACAAAGGCGTTTGTCGACTTCAATGGTGTGGTTGTGGAGAAGTATGATGTGACCCGGCCGATTGACCCACACCGGGTCGATGCCGAGTACGGCAATCAGGGAACCAATTTCAAGGGCGCGCCTCGTGAAGGGTAAGTTTGATGATCTGTCTGGCTATCGGATCCAATGCTAATGTCGATATAACAGGTTTGGTTGGGTTAATGCTAGCTATGTCTACGGATTGGAGATTCTCAACGCGCACATGAGACGCTCTTTGGGAGCTATCACGCCGTATGAGACGTACAAAAAGGCGGTTTTGGCGCAAGATGCTTACTGATTAGAGCATTCTCATGGCTGTATTCTCGTGCCAGGAAACTTTGGCTTTTGGTAGAACCGACAGAAAAGTCGCACCTAGAAATTATTACAGAAAATTGGCTTTACAGTTTGAATGAAGATATATGCGCGACCCAAGATGCGATTAGAATTAGCTGAAGATGGTTGTGACTATACTTTGCCGTCTAGCTATTTTAAAGTCTTCGCAGTCCACGCCAACTTTCATCCAACTAAGGATGCAGGGGAAACACCTGTCAAGGTTTGTAAAGACATCTCTCCGCTGGAGGAACGAACCTATTTTTTACTGGCGGGCCAAAAGAGGCTGCATAAGTCCCCGCAATCCACACCAAGGCAGTTCACCCCCAGGAACCGCGTTGCGAAAATAACCCGGCAGCCATCGGCACGACGCAGGCCCTCCCGGCCAACGTCCGAGAGAGAAGACCAGGGATCCCGAATGCGAAACGACGCCATCGGGTCCTCCGAAGCTGAGATACACCGAGTCAGCCTCAGGTTCGACAAATACACGGGTGGGCGCGCTGGCGGACCCTGGTTTTCCCGAGGCTATTCTCGTGGCTGGATGCCTGGGCTTTGCGGTCTGGCGATACGTATTTTTCTACCGCTGTGCGTTGGTTTTGATTGGTGGTTTCAGATATAGCTAGTTTTTGAGGTTGGGCCTCGGGTTTGATGTCCGTATAGTTCTGTGCCCAGGGGGCTATGGGAATAGAAGAGTCGCCGACTACGGAGGTTTGGGATCAGCTGACGATGCTAGAACATCTAGATGAGTAGATTAGGATTCTTTTACCGATCTACACTGGCCTGTTCCTGTCAGGTGGACGTTTGAAGTGCCTTGAAAATGCGTAGGTAAGCGGTGTCGATGAGCCGAGGTCCAACGAAGACGGTTAGCTTGAGTTATTTCATTGATCATCGGGCGGAGCGTCCGATCTTGGACAAGGGTGATCGCTACAAGGCGCCATCTCTTCCGGTATGAATTCGTGCTATTCCAGCCATTTCAAGTATTGCGGCAAATAATCGAGTCAATGGTGTTCATGTATTGATCGACATAAAACGCGTGGTTTTGTGGATCGAGAAAAGAGCTTTCAGGCAAATATGGAGCTGTGGATACTCAATTTAATTCGCATTCAGAGCCCTTCAGCTAGCTGGCGTTTTCGTGTCCTTCAAGGGTATGTTCGTGCTCGGTGGAGATTCACCGAATACCGGGGCATTACATCTGTGTAATGATGACTCAGGCAAAAAGTGTAATCCGGCAGTTGACTGTTCGATCATATGGAAGCAAATAACTGCCAGAAAAGTAGGACCATCGATAGGGGGCGTTGAGTTTGATCTAATCTAGGGCTAGATAGCTGTACATAGATCGTACTATCCAAGTGTTGTCTTCAAGCCCGTGATCGTCGATGCACGTGAAAGTTGCAGGTATTGTCACGTACAAAACGCACATGTTCGACGACGTCATCGGGATCCTAGGCGTCCCGATGCTTTTGCGTCCTTCAATGCGCCCAACAAAATAAGAATTGCGTTCTATACAACATAAAGTTGAGCTCCTAGCGATGTATTAATGAGCTCCCGAGACAGCAACAGCTCCATAAAGCCAGTGAGTCACCGGTGTGAAGCAGAGAGTAGTGGCAAAGCGCCGAGCCAAAAGGTCCATTAGACCGAGGAACAGAGTCTGGATCCTCTCTCCCGAAGAACCGCACCCGCTTCCGCATTTCGGAGGTCCGAAGCCTGAACATTGGTCGAGTAGCTGTTTTCAATACGGGACACTGCCTAGGCTGCCTGGGATTGGATTCTGCATGTCCCGGTGAGCCGAGAGTTTACCGACCACTGGGTGTTGCGGTGACGCATTCGCAAACTAAATAAGTACCCCCGAGCTTCCTGCTGGCTTGTGATCGGTTTCTATTACTTCAGTTCTTGTTTCCTGCGCCTCTCCCCTCTCTCTCTTCCCTTCTCTTCACTCTCGTCCTTGTCTTGGTTTACAAAAGCTGTGGCAACTGAATATATACACTTTTTGGATCATTTTTGCCGACCACCTGTATTTCTACCCTAAAAGTCATCATGGGTCATTTCGAGGATGAGGACCGCAAGTTTGCGGAGGAAGTCCAGGCCGTCAAGAACTGGTGGAAGGACTCGCGGTGGAGATACACCAAGCGACCCTTCACGGCCGAGCAGATTGTCGCCAAGCGTGGCAACCTGACTATCGACTACCCTTCCGCTGTCCAAGCTAAGAAGCTGTGGAACACTCTGGAAAATAACTTCAAGGTATGCGCTCTCGGCGCGGTATGAAAGACGCCAATGCTAATTAATTCCCTCGTGAACAGACGAAGCAGGCTAGCTTCACCTATGGCTGCCTCGAGCCTACTATGATCACCCAGATGTGCAAGTTCCTTGACACTATCTACGTCTCTGGCTGGCAGAGCTCGTCGACCGCCTCGTCTACCGATGAGCCTTCTCCCGATCTCGCGGACTACCCTATGGTAGGTTAAGCTATATGGAATCGGGGTTGTAATCATATACTTATTGAGAAATAGGACACCGTTCCCCGCAAGGTCAACCAACTCTTCATGGCACAGCTTTTCCACGACCGGAAACAGCGTGAAGAGCGTGTCACCACCCCCAAGGACAAGCGTGGCAATGTCGCCAACGTCGACTACCTGCGTCCCATCATTGCCGATGCCGATACCGGCCACGGTGGTCTGACTGCCGTCATGAAGCTGACCAAGCTGTTCGTTGAGCGCGGTGCTGCTGGTATTCACATCGAGGACCAGGCTCCTGGCACCAAGAAGTGTGGCCACATGGCCGGCAAGGTGCTGGTTCCCATCAGCGAGCACATCAACCGTCTGGTTGCTATCCGTGCCCAGGCCGATATCATGGGCACTGATCTCCTGGCCATTGCCCGTACCGACTCGGAGGCCGCTACCCTCATCACTTCCACCATTGACCACCGCGACCACGCCTTCATTGTCGGCTCCACCAACCCCAACCTGCAGCCCCTGAACGACCTGATGGTTGCCGCCGAGCAGGCCGGCAAGAACGGTGCCGAGCTGCAGGCCATTGAGGACCAATGGACCGCCCAGGCCGGTCTCAAGCTCTTCAGCGAGGCCGTGGTCGACACCATCAATGCCGGTGTTCACGCCGACAAGAACGGCCTGATTCAGCAGTACCTCAAGGCCTCCCAGGGCAAGAGTAACAGCGAAGCTCGCGCCATTGCCAAGGGTATCACTGGCGTTGACATCCACTGGAACTGGGATGCGCCCCGTACCCGTGAGGGCTTCTACCGCTACCAGGGCGGCACCGAGTGCGCCATCAACCGCGCCGTCGCGTACGCGCCTTTCGCGGATCTCATCTGGATGGAGAGCAAGCTGCCTGACTACAAGCAGGCCAAGCAGTTCGCCGACGGCGTGCACGCCGTGTGGCCCGAGCAAAAGTGAGTACCGTCCCCGAAATAGGACGATCATGCGGAAACTAACAATCTCTCCAGGCTCGCCTACAACCTGTCGCCCTCGTTCAACTGGAAGAAGGCCATGCCCCGTGAGGAGCAGGAGACCTACATCAAGCGCCTGGGCGAGCTGGGCTACGCCTGGCAGTTCATCACGCTGGCGGGTCTGCACACGACCGCGCTGATCTCGCACCAGTTCGCCAAGGCGTACGCGAAGAACGGCATGCGTGCCTACGGCGAACTGGTCCAAGAACCCGAGATGGAGCAGGGTGTCGACGTGGTTACCCACCAAAAGTGGAGCGGTGCCAACTACGTGGACAACCTACTTAAGATGGTCTCCGGTGGCGTGAGTAGCACCGCGGCCATGGGTAAGGGTGTGACCGAGGACCAGTTCAAGAACTGAGGGCCATCTTGTAAAATGGTATCACTGCGGCGTTTTCTTGTCTTTTCTTTGTTTTGGTTCTATGACTTGATTCCCGTCGGAGTTGTCCTGTAGGGAGGCCTGACTTGTCATTGCATTGGAAAAATCAGTGCATGAGTAATTTGATGCATGAATGAACTGTATATTTTGAAAGTCTGCCGTGGAGTCTGTAAAGGAGTACGGAGTAGTGAAGAACCACTCGGTCTTGAATAGGCAAGACCCCTGTCAATAGCTAATTTCTGCAGGGCAGGAAGCTATCCCAAAGACGGAGAGTTGACCGGCCAATCGCGTCTGTGGGTCCGTGTGAAGCCGCCGGACCGCGGTCCAGAGCTCAGGGGTGGGAAAATGCCGACGGGCGAACGGCACGTCGGCCAGAGTCGTGGTCGATGCCAGTCGGATAATAGAATCAGAGACTGTTCGTCGAAGGCATGCTGAAGCTTAGTAGACCGTGAAGTGCAAGGGTGGATCGTAGCTGGTCGCGAGTAGAGAGAGAAAGTCGAGAGCGGAGAATGATCGACGCCGACTCGGACAGATAGAAACAGCCGAGCGGCGCATGTGGATGCGGAGAAGCCGCTTGCTTAGAGTTCTTAAATGTCCGCCCTCCCAGCGGCATTCTCTTTCTGACGTAAGGATTCTTTGCTTCATCACACATCTGTCAATATGGGTGTCCAGCTTCCGGAACTACAGTTTACCTCGCTCGAGGAGATCCCCGAGCGCATCTCCACCGCCCGCAAGGCGTTTCTCGAGCACCGCACGCGCGATGTCGAGTTCCGTCTCGTGCAGCTTCGCAAGTTCTACTGGGCGTGAGTGGCATCAAAATGCATCCAGGAAATCTATTTTAACATCTTGACAGCATCAAGGACCACGAGGAGGAGATCATCGAAGCTTGCGCCAAGGACCTGAACAAGCCGCGCTTCGAGACCGAGGTCGCGGAGAGCGGCTGGCTGCTTAACGATGTCGTTTTCACCACCCGCAACCTCCACAAATGGGTCAAGGATGAGAGTGCCCCCGATATCGATCTCGCCTTCAAGTTCATGAATCCTAAGATCAGAAAGGATCCCCTAGGCTGTGTATTGGTCATCGGGTGCGTTTCCCCTCTAACATATGGGTGGTTTGGAGACCGGGGAAGATGGAAACTGACAGTCTGACGCGATTTAGTGCCTTCAACTTCCCCTTCCAGTTGACCCTGGGCCCCGTGATTGGTGCCATCGCCGCTGGCAACACCGTCGTCATCAAGCCGAGCGAGAATGCTCCCCGCAGCGCTGCTGTGATGCAGAAGATTTGCGAGGCCAGTCTTGACCCCTCGTGCTACCAGGTTATCCAGGGAGGCGTCGCTGAGACCCAGGCATTGCTCGCTGAGCGATGGGATAAGATCTTCTTCACCGGCGGTGCCAATGTTGGCCGAATCATTGCTAAGGCTGCTGCCCCCCACCTGACCCCGGTCGTCCTCGAGCTGGGTGGTATCAACCCGGCTATTATCACCAAGAATGCCGATCCGAGACTGGTAGCCCGCCGCTTGCTTTGGGCCAAGCTCATGAATGCAGGCCAGCTCTGCACCTCACAGAACTATCTGCTCGTCGACAAGTCGCTTGTGCCCCAGGTGGTGGAGGAGTTCAAGAAGGCCTACAAGGAGTTCTACCCCCAGGGTGCGAAGGTATCGCCTGACTACTCGCGTATCGTCAACGAAAGTCACTTCCAGCGTCTCAAGTCTATGCTTGACAACACAAAGGGCAAGATCCTCATGGGTGGCACCATGGATGAGAAGGAGCTCTTCATTGAGCCTACCGTTGTCCAGGTGAACTCCGTCGATGACTCGCTGTGCACTCAGGAGAGTTTCGGACCCTTCATCCCCATTCTGCCCGTCGAGGACCTGGATGAGGCCGTCAACCTGGCAAACGGTGTCCAGGCCACCCCGCTTGGTCTCTACCCATTCGGCAACAAGGCCGATGTGGCAAAGAGTAAGCTTCCCCCTTTCTATCTCTTGACTGCAAATCTGACAATTATCTAGTTATTGCTACTACCCGCTCCGGTGGTGTTTCCTGCAATGATGCTGCGTTGCACATTCCTACCCTGCCCTTCGGTGGTGTCGGCGAGAGTGGCTACGGCTCATACCGTGGCCGCTCCAGCTTCGACGTCTGGGTGCACCGTCGTCCCATCACCAGCAGCCCTGGCTGGCTGGAATCCATCCTGTCTATTCGCTACCCGCCTTACGCCGGCAAGCTGTCCAAGTGGAAGGCTGCCAGCACCCTGGCCCCCGACTTTGACCGCAGTGGCAAGAAGGTCACTCTCGGCTGGTTGCGATTCATTCTGACTTTGGGCGGAGGAAGTGCCAAGGCCGGTGCTGGGCGTGCTGCCGTTGTTGCTGCTAGTGAGTAACCCCATTTCCCTTGGATTCATTGTCACAGTCACCCCATTTCTGCCCTATGTTTTTGAGTTTATTTTGTTTTTTTGCCCCGCAATCTTCTCGCCATTGTTCATCTCAATTAGACGAAGAGGACAAATAAGCTTGGAGCCAGGTATTCCAGCAGCCCTATACGGCATATCCCGGGTCCCCTCCGTCATTGAGACCGTTAATTACTCCTGTATACCCATTGAGCAGTCATGTTTCACCACCTTGTCATATATTGGACATTTCCCTCCTTTCATTTTCCTTTCATGTCTCCTTCAACCTACTGGATACCCAGAAAGTCACATACACTGTTAAAACGCTTAATCTTAATGGATTCCCCTTCCTTTGCCTTCTTTCGCCGTCCTTGCGGGACACGGAATACCGAGTCTTGAACTCGTCTAACGTGGTTTCTGTAGTTGCCTATATCGTGATGCAAGCTCTAGAGCGCCGCACATCGAAACTGTGATGGATACCGCTTGTGTTAAATGGGAAATTGGGAAAATAGCTTAACTGGATTTGAATTTAAATTTGCTCATCCTTTTCACCGGCGCCTTTTGGTGGGGCTTTCGTGCTGTCCTTCGGTAATTAAGTCCATTTTAAGTAAATCCATTTTAAGTAAATCCATGTGCTCATCTTTGAAGATCCTCTGAATTGGGCAGGATCCCACGACCCTGGCCGTGTCGTTTATTTTATGATTTGTTAACCGATTACCAGTTGGGACTGACCCTCACCTACATTATTTCCCCCGCCAGGAGCAGGATTATTTTAGACTGGATACAGCCGGGTGCAGAGGCGGACAAGTACAGTAGAGCAGGTGTCAGCCACAGCTTTCTCTACTTAACACATCGTGACCCCTTCCTGATGTGAACTAACACAATTATGTTGCTAAACTTGTCAGTGGCGTTTTCTGCGTTGGTGGAATGACTTACATTGCTTTCAATGATGATAGTACCTACGGACTTGAACTGCCTAATTTGTAAGAAAGGACTCCTTCGTATGCCCTCGGCCCCGGCATTTGAGATCGAGTGGAGGGCTACTCTGAATGACCGGGTCATCACCCGTGATACGGATCAAGACCTGGCTCTACCACCTAGTTCTTATTGGCAGCAGTTAAATGAGAAAGCTGGACGTCTTTTACGCCGGAAATAGTCCGCGACCGACTGGGAAGGTCAGATGATACTTCGGTTGTCGTGTCCGTAAAGGACCGGTCCCAGCGGGATCTTACCAAGCGTTTCAAGAGCATTGACATTGGCTGAACAACGCTAGGGAAACAGTACCCTGAGATATACGATTGGCAGTCTGATGGTTTTGAAAGAAGCAGGTGTGCGTCGCCATGTTGGACGGCCGTTGTGAGAAGCTATCACGCTGGCTACACTGATTGAGACGACGGAGCATGTCAGTAATACCAGACAATAGATTATAAACTATATATGCGGTATAGTTGCTAGCCAATTGATCGATAAATACGATCCAGCGGGAAGAGCTCGCAGCGATGCCAATGCGAGCACCATGTTTCCTAGGCGTGCGCTCGAATATACCAGCCAAAAAATGAGGATAAGGCACATCTCAGTTTTTGGGTTATGGAAATATTCTCTCGGTACAAGTGCCTTGCTTCCATGTTTAAGCCATGACCTAAGCAAGGATATATCGGACACCAAAAGAATGGGCCAGGCCATTGAGAGTGAAACGAGAGAAAAGACCCTCCAGCAGATTTTCTCGGCTCGAGTTGGGAAGATGAAATTCCACCTGCAAAGTAAGCATTTACTGACCAGAAAGAACTAGAGGAATGAATTAACAAATACTCACCCCGCAATATGAATACCGCAGAATATTAGTCCGGCTATGAAAGCAAACACATCAAGTCTGAATTGTTCCCCTACTGAGATTTGTTCATCAAAACGGTCGGGATCATCATCAGGCGTCTCCTCCGAGTTGTCTGCCGGAGTGTCCATCTCCGTCTGCTTGGGTGCTCTTTGGGCGTTGATCTCCTTTGACGACCTTTTGAACTCCCTCCAGAACCTAACTGGGTTTATCAATAGCGCAACAAATGCTGCTCGTTTCCGGTGTCTGTGGCCCTCGTCGGATTCGGCGTCGTCTTTGGCTAACGGCATATGCATCCAATCTCTCTTGTCAGCATTGCGAAGTTGAGATGGCATCTCGTCACTGTCACGGTCATACGGCAGGTGGAATGTGATGAGTGTGTCCACATCCTTGGGTTTATTCCACCAAGCCAAGTACGTAACTAAGGCACATGCCACATAGGCCGCGGTTGAGAGCTCCAGAGGCGAGATGGGCAAGTGATATGCCCTTCTGGCAATGATATTAACCGTCACCCATGTAGTTTGGAGGAGAGTGAAGAGCTTGGAAAGCGGGTCGGATTTGTCTCGATCTTTGATATCGCTTATCTTCAAAGCGGATGGCTTGATGATTCCTGCCTGAATGAGGCCGACAACATTTGCGGCCCGTACTATGTAGACCCAATTGTCCTTGGTCCGTAGAACAAAACCGCCCATCCGAATATAATGCGCTTGGGCCATTTTCCAAAGTCGAAAGACATGTACCGATGACTCCGTATCCTCTGGTGCCAGGGGCCCTAAAATTTCTTCTTCGCTGTCTTTAGTGACTGTAGGCGCGTTTGTCGTCTCCAGTTCCTTCTCATTTTTGTGAGTCGCAATCTTTGTTATGGGCTCCAGCGAGGAAGCTTTCTTATTGCTGAAATATGCCAGTTGAGCCGAGTTGCAGCGCGCAAGAATCAATTTCACCTCCCAATATTCTTCAACTGCCGTATAAGCCATCATTTCTGGTGCCAGCATGGCGACAAACCATGCGAAACTCTTCTTTATACGGCTCGCTCCCATGTGTGAATTACCGTTTTTCTGGTGGTGATTAACATGTAGCGCAGTCCAGGTGCACGCCATAATGGTGGAGAGACATGTCCAGAGAATATCCCATGATGACCGGCTGTCGCCATCGAATTGCCACCCAACCAAAACAGTCGAGTTACTTTGGGCCAGCGCCTGCGTAACCAGGCTAAGGATGAGTAGGATCAACATGTTGTGCAGTGGGCGGTCACGGTTGGGATGGGAGGCGAAGGGCAAGAAATAGAAGATGAGGAGAATGGTCGGAGAGCACTTTTGTTTAGATTCCGAGCTCCATGCTCAAGCCAACGCCCACGCCTCGCAGAATGCAGAAAAAGTTGAGATCAGCACCCACGCTTAGCGTTTGACTGAGAACTGCGTGTGTTGTCGCCATCCCTAAATGAGTTAGCCTGGTGCGGCTGACCTATTACAAAGGCGGCTATTTGCAAGTTTAAAAAATATAAATATATAAAACCCACCGGATTATGATACCTGGGTGAGAGACGTTGTGGAGCGGTGATAGCACAGGCTGCTGGCTGTGCCATCTGCGATGTAGAATAGTTCCCCACTGTGGATCATGTCAAATAAGCTCATCCTTTGAAGCGGCTAGGTTTGGTGCCGTCTTGGTTCGACCACCAGAGATTGTTAAGATACCTTTCCTCGAGCGGTTTCTGTGGAAGCAGGGTGAGGAGGTGTTTGAAATTACAAGAAAATACTTATTTGAACTGAGAATCAATCGAAGAGTGTAGGTGGTCACGCCAGCTTCGGGACGTACTGTATTCCAAGTTTCTCTCCTGCGGCTTGTATTAGTGCCCCTGGAAAGTGGCAAACTTAGCTTTGATTATTATAACGGATTAACTATGATGATACGTCTCTAGTCGGCGCTTATGTGAACGTTGACGTAGGAAAATGACAGGTATAATGACAGCAAGTGACAGTAGTAATTGCTGATTTAGAAGAATTCGAGAGTGTATATAACCTTAGATTTGATTTCAATGGTACATCGTTATTCGTGCCATCACGTTGCAGTGTCTAGATCACGTCTCCCACCAATACATGAGTTGAGCCACCTTGAGTACACATGCAAGTTCACAAAAATCAAGTTATCTCCTATCAGCAACGTCGTTCCACACCGCGTCGACTCACGCATAGATATTTCACCCCTTTGTACGGCTTGATGCTGTCACCGACTCCACGACTGCGGCGTTGATCAATGTTCAAGCTGTCCACCTTGATGCCAGATGGAAGCCACCCTCTCACAGAAAAGGAGACAGCGGCAGACGTCGGCATGAGGCTTGTATTGATTTGGGCTTTCGTTCTGCGAGGCCCGGCACGAGGTGCGGATGAAGGTGCAAAGAACGCAGGAAGCTGGGATGGTGGTTGAGGTTGTGAGGGAGGGGTAGGCGTATGAGGTTTAGAGTGGCTCGGAGATGGGGTTGTCGCTCTGGCAGGTGCGTCTGACAGGCCTTCAGCGAGGCTTTCCCCTTCGCCTTCGCCAGCTTCTTCGAGAAGAGCGGCAGAGCGGGATGATTTCTTGGTTCCCTTCTCCTTCTTCTTCTTTTTCTTTTTCTTTGAGGGATCGCGCCTCCTTCTGGTAGTACTTGCGGATGGGTCGTCGTATGCGTTGGGGGCTTCATAATAGCCTTGCAGAAGGTTTGCATTGGCATCCTCGTCATCCTCGACACTGTCTTCATGGTCCTCATCGACTGATGGATAACCTGCAACGGAACATCGGAGAGTCGCAGTGCCTGAAATGGTCCCAGCTTCACGGTTTGTGGGGACTCGCCATTCGAGGAGACCAGTGCTATGAGAGTACTGTGCGTCACCACGACTCGCCTGCATGTCTGTGATGTGCCGTATGGACTTGGATATCGGAACGCTCACGACTACTTCCTCCAGCACGGGTCCTGTGGAGTTACTGCTTCCGACACCCAAGAAGGAAGGAGTTGATGTCCCTGATCCATTCCGCGTGGCTGTTGACTTCGAGGAACTATGACCGGGGAAGTTGGTATTCAGAGTCAACCTAACCTCGAAATCTGAGCCGGTCGGACCGAGGGATTTGCGGATGTCCACAATGGCCGGTAGAAACAGTTTCTCCATGTGACTTGGCGGTTCGTCTAGATCAGGGTCTACCGGAAGAAGATCGACTTCGTACCCAGCCAGAATGAATCGTCCATCTGGAGGTATGAAGCTAAGTTCGCCGGGCCGCTCTCGCCAGCGAGCAAGTCTAACAGACGGGTGAAATACCGGTAGTTCAATCTTGCGAGCAAGTGATTGCTGACCACCCGGCGCCGATAATGACAGGAGCAAGTCCGGAACTCCCGATATCTTTGCGGTGAATGCAATAGTTCCAGATGCCATAGCGGAAAGCAATCGCCCAGATGGCGCCATGGTCACAGAGAGAGATTCAATGATGTCGACGTATAGCTCGTTTGATGTGTGTCGTACTCCAGGTCGTCGCCAGGGTATTGCGGGGCCCTGAGTTGCGCTAGCAGCGGCGAGTGATTGCTTCAGAGGGTTGACGGTACCTGAGGTCGGTGTCGATGCCCTAAACCGAGAGTAAATGGTCAGAACAGAGAACCTCTTTCCCGATGATTGCCAAGACTTCTTACCCAGGCATGCTTATTCCGCCGAGAAGCTTCCCCATCCACCCGGGCACCTCAACAACCTCTTGCAAAGCATTGAGTTCCGTATTGGATACCAATCCCCCATCGCACATCTCATGCAGCAACTGAGCAACCACATCATAGTTGGCCTGAATCTTGGTCGCAAGCAGTGGCGCGCCTACAAATTCCTCCAATACATCGACCACGCGATGCAGGAATTCCAAGGCCAAGAGTGGCTCGGTGTCCACCTCACTGACGGCGAGAAACAGCAGATTCGATTGGATAATCGAAAAAACCGTCACCGGCGGCGATGCATTAGGAATGTACAGCAAGGAGGGGCGAGGTTCGGCATGAGCGAGGTAGAGGGGCAGGATCGCGGCCGCCGAGGGCGGGCGGGCTCGGTATACACGTTCGACGAGGGGGGCGCTAGATCAGGCTGTCAGTGTAATTCAATGGCAGGTTCACAGAAGGCATACTTGTGCTCGTCATAGATGTAGACGGCATCAATCTCGCCGCTCATGGTGGCTGTTGTCTGAGGCAGGAAGCACCGGAGTTCTATAGCTCGTGGTGAAGCTGGTCATTCTGCCGCCGACTTCCGCTTTAGATTACTTTTGGCTGCGCGTGATTCTCCGCGATTTCTCTCCGCAACTGGTCACCAAATAAGTTATTTGAAGAATTTTTTTTTGCCTCGCCCTCTCTCAGAATAATTGGGCAGCAACTTCACATTTCAGATGGCATCTTCATCAGAAAACTCTGGCTGGGGATCCCAACAAAAGGACCCCAAACAAGCACTGGCGGAAGACAAGTGGGACGACTGCATGTCCTGTCGAATAACCGGTACGTGATCTAATATCAGATATCTTCCAGGGACATGGATAGCTGATGCATGGGAAATAGGCTCTGCTGCATTCATCGGCGCCGGCATTTACAGCTACCACAGCGGGATGACCAACCTCCGCAAACAAGAGAAGAGCATCATGCAGAGCACATCACAATTCAAGATGGGTTCGCGCCGGCTCGGAGTTTCGGCCATCGCTGGAACCCTCGTCGCCATGGGCATCTATCGAGCATTCAACTGATTACTTCATGATGGCCTATTTGGCTTGAACTACACTACGAAGGACAACATGGAGTATTGGGATGGGCGTTGTACACTAGGAAGCATTTCTTCACTTCGAAAATCTTTGAAGAGGTTTGTAATATATTGATTCGTTGTGCTATCATGAGCAGGTAATGATAGCTTCCACACCGGGTATTTCCACACAAAATCTTCTCTCTATATGCTGTATTGAAAAAAAGGTATAAAGGAGGCCATGGGAAGGGGGAAAGGAAAAGACGAAAGAAATTCATGAAAAAGAAAAAGAAATGAAGGGTGAAGTCATGCTTCACTGAGTGAAGCCATATGCAAAAGTCCCCCATCCCAATATGCACCCGAAAAAAGCAGCCCAAGTCCTCCCAACTGCTGCGTGACAATCAGAATAGAAGATTCGTCATTTCGTCGACTTCGTATAGTCAGGAAGAGTCACTCTAGGTGAACCGGCCACGTTTACCACCCCCAAACATGTCGCCTGATAAGTCAAAGAAGTCCGGCACGTTAAATTTCCGCTTGGATCCTATGCTAGCAGGGGACTCTCGAGGGAAGGGGCGGGCGTTTGGACGGGCGAGGTTGTTGTGGCGATGTTGATGTTGATGGCGAGAGTTGCGAGGCAAAACGGAGACACTGACTGGTGCACCGTCTGGCGAAGGAGGGGTAGGGTTGTCGGAAGATTGCATGTCCATTTCAAGGTCTTGACATTGGGGGAATGTCGGGCCAGCGGTGAATGTAAATACTGTCGGTGATCCAAGCGAGGTCTCTTGAGGCGGAGGTGCGGGGTTCGTGGTCTCGGGACGAGGTGCGGGAGCAGGTGCGGAGATGGGAGTGGAGGTAGGTGGTTGTCGAGAAGCGGGCTCGGACGAGGGCGCTTCCTTGCGAGCAGTCGCAGGTGTCGCACTTCGGTCATGCTTATCTGTGTCGGCTCGCTCATCGTCGTCGCTACCTTGAGCAGTTCCATCACACTTCTCAGTTGCCCACTGACGGACCCTCCACCCCTCTCCGTCACCAAGACCAAGATTCTCGCGGTCAAGGAAGTGAAGCAGGTCCTCTACAGCCTCCTGGTAGCCAGCTTGACGGGCCTGAGCTTGTTCGCAGACGGCATTCTTGTATAGGTTGGTGACAGATAACGCAGCCGCTTTGAAGGACTGGAGGAGTTGCTCGGGCGGCTGCGGCCGCGGTGTCGAGCTCGGCAGGGAGGTGTTCAACGACCTCATGGAATCCATAGTGACGAGGGTGATCAGGAATACACTAAGGAAGGTTGTGTATGGAGGGGGTTGTTGTCACGGCGTCGTCAGATGTACTTGGGCGCACTCGAGGCGATGTTGTTCCACGTGATACCCAAACAAAAGAAAAGAAAAGGGTAGGATGAAGCCTGATCCTTATTCCCGAAGCAAGAAAATGGAGTCCGGGAACCGAAGAAAATGTTCCCTAGCTCTGTACTGTTAGGTCGTCACTAGGCCGGAGGGGAACCAAAGGCGTAACCGATGCTGCAGCTGATCGGCTACGGTTTTTGCACTGACCGGGTAACGTGACCCCACTTTCGGAACATTCGTTTTTCCGTCCACCGGACCTCGACTGCTGAGTCAGTCAGCTCCACCCAATCAGAGCGTGTCACTCGCCGCGCCTTCCCATTTGTTCTTCTTCAGCGCGCCTGGAGGCGTTTCTTTCGTTCCAAGTTGCGCTTGATTGTCCCGCTTTCACCCAGCTACCCCTTCCCTTTACATCTCCCCTTATCTCGGCTTTGTTGGATCTCAATTGTTTCTTTTGCGATACTCTCCCAAGCTCGTTCGTCTGCCTCCTTCAGACAATCTTCGCCGACGAGTCGAGACGTGCTTGTGCCTACGTGACGCTTGCGCTTTGCGCGCCGAACGAAAAATATGGCACCGGCAAAAGCTGAATCGCCGTCTCAGACGGATACGCCAATGACCGATGTAAATGATGATACCATCCCGTCCATTCCTGTCGACGCGCCGATGGTACGTGGGACCTACTTCTTGTTTCCGTTTTGTCCTTCAATGTCGCATCGCCCCTCGACCGCGGTGCACCTTGACTACACGTGCCATGAACAATCGCTGATGCTTTTTTCTCTACACAGGCCTACCAAGATACGCCCGACTACACGGTAATGATGTCCTTGAATCCGCGTACAGCCAACATATAGATAGTGGACTGACACTCTTCCTCCGCCGCAGGACTCTGACACAAACCCAAACACTACGGCGAGCAGCGTCGCGGGCGACGCTGTAGTTGATGGTCACAGACGCCGGTCGGAGGCGACTCAGCTGAGAAAGAGTCTTCTGAGCAAGAAACACGGCCGCCTGGATGAATCTAAGGTACGGAGCGCGATGCTTGCACTGTTTCATGCCATATACTAATTTCCAATGAAACGAGCAGGAAAATGATTCAATCCGCCGATTCCGATACCTTCTCGGCCTGACAGATCTGTTCCGCCACTTCATCGAGACCAACCCGAACCCACGCATCAAGGAGATCATCGCCGAAATCGACCGTCAGAACTCGGAGAGTGAGGCAAAGGCACGCAAGGGTTCCTCTCGCGCGGGTGGTGCGGGCGGCGACAGGCGCCGCAGAACCGAGCAAGAGGAGGATGCGGAGCTGTTGCGCGATGAGCGGCAAGGCGGCGAGACAACCACAGTGTTCCGTGATTCGCCTGGTTTCGTCCACGGTGAACTTCGTGATTATCAGATCGCAGGCTTGAATTGGCTTGTCTCGCTCCACGAAAATGGTATCTCGGGTATTCTGGCCGATGAGATGGGATTGGGCAAGACTCTGCAGACAATCTCATTTTTGGGTTATCTGCGTTTCGTCCGTGATATCCCTGGTCCTCATCTGGTTGCCGTGCCTAAGTCAACCCTGGACAACTGGAAGCGCGAGTTCGCCAAGTGGATCCCAGATGTCCAAGTCCTAGTTCTCCAGGGTGATAAGGACGAGCGACAACGTTTGATCAACGAGGAGCTGTTCCAAGATAACTTCGACGTTTGCATCACCAGCTACGAGATGATCCTCCGCGAGAAATCCTCCCTCAAGAAAATCGCCTGGGAATACATCATTATTGATGAGGCTCATCGAATCAAGAACGAGGAGTCTTCACTCTCGCAGATCATTCGTCTTTTCAACTCCCGCAACCGCTTGCTTATCACCGGAACCCCGCTGCAAAACAACCTACACGAACTGTGGGCTTTGCTCAACTTTTTGCTCCCAGACGTGTTCGGTGACTCGGATGCCTTTGACCAGTGGTTCTCTAACCAGGAATCTGACCAGGATACTGTTGTGCAGCAGCTTCATCGCGTTTTACGACCCTTCTTGCTGCGACGTGTGAAGAGCGATGTCGAGAAGAGCTTATTGCCCAAGCAGGAACTCAATCTCTATGTCCCCATGTCCGAGATGCAAAGGAAATGGTACCAAAAGATTCTGGAGAAGGATATTGACGCGGTCAACGGCGCAGCTGGCAAGAAGGAATCCAAGACCCGATTGTTGAACATTGTCATGCAACTACGAAAATGTTGCAACCACCCCTACCTTTTCGAAGGAGCCGAGCCCGGCCCTCCATACACGACCGACGAACATCTTATATACAACGCCGGAAAAATGGCCATTTTGGACAAGCTCTTGAAGCGTATGAAGGAGGATGGCAGTCGAGTACTTATCTTCTCTCAGATGAGTCGTGTTCTGGACATCCTGGAGGATTACTGTGTCTTCCGAGAGTTTGAGTACTGTCGCATTGATGGCACCACAGCTCACGAGGATCGTATCGCTGCCATTGACGATTACAACAAGCCCGGGTCGGAGAAGTTTGTCTTCCTTCTTACAACGCGTGCAGGTGGCCTGGGTATCAACTTGACCACGGCCGATATCGTGGTGCTTTTCGACAGTGACTGGAACCCTCAGGCCGATCTTCAGGCCATGGATCGTGCTCACCGAATTGGCCAGACCAAGCAGGTCAAGGTCTTCAGATTCGTCACGGAGAATGCTATCGAAGAAAAGGTTCTGGAGCGAGCCGCGCAGAAATTGCGTCTGGATCAACTGGTTATCCAGCAAGGCCGTGCTCAGCAGTCAAACAAGGCTGCTTCGAAGGACGATTTGCTTGGCATGATTCAACACGGTGCTGCCGATGTCTTTGGTCCCACGGACACCACTACCAAGGGAGATGATATCTCCCAAAATGATTTCGAAGCTATTCTACGCAAGGGTGAGGAGCGGACGCAGCAGTTGAACAAGAAGTATGAGAAGCTTGGCATCGACGATCTGCAGAAGTTCAGCTCCGAGAGTGCCTATGAGTGGAACGGCCAGGATTTCACGGAGCGTAAGAAGGACATCGGCGTCAATTGGATCAATCCCGCCAAGCGTGAGCGCAAGGAGAAGTTTTACTCTATCGACAAGTACTATCGCCAGGCCCTGGCCACTGGTGGCCGAACCGCTGATACGAAGCCCAAGGTTCCGCGGGCACCCAAGCAACTCACCGTTCATGACTGGCAGTTCTACCCTCCTGGTCTGCAGGAGTTGCAGGAGAGGGAGACGGCCAGTTTCCACAGGGATATCGGCTACAAGGCTCCACTCCCCGAGGGTCCGGAGGAAGAGTTGAGCGAGCGTGAGGCCGAGCGGGATCTCGAGCAGCAGGAGATCGACAATGCCCAGCCTCTCAACGAGGAGGAGCAAGCCGAGAAGGCTCGCATGTCGGAGCTGGGCTTCTCTCACTGGAACCGTCGTGATTTCCAGCAATTTGTCAACGGTTCGGCCAAGTTTGGACGTACCGACTACGTTGGAATTGCTACCGAAGTGGACAGCAAGGAGCCCGACGAAGTTGAGGAGTATGCCAAGGTCTTCTGGCAACGATATACCGAGATCCAGGATTATAACAAGTACCTGAAGGTGATTGAGCAGGGTGAGGAGAAGCTGCAGATGAAGAACCACCAGCGCAAGATGTTGCGCAAGAAATTGGAGATGTACCGCGTGCCTCTGCAGCAGCTCAAGATCAACTACACCGTGTCTACGACCAACAAGAAGGTTTACACCGAGGAGGAGGACCGATTCCTACTGGTGATGCTGGACAAGTACGGCGTCGAGGGCGAAGGTCTGTACGAGAAGATCCGCGACGAGGTCCGGGATTCGCCACTCTTCCGTTTCGACTGGTTCTTCCTCAGCCGTACTCCAGTGGAGATCGGTCGCCGCTGTACCACGCTGCTGAACACCGTGGCCAAGGAATTCGAGACCGACGGCAAGGCCAATGGGGAAGGCAAGGGCCGTGGTCGAGACCGCGACGAGGATGAGGAGAACGATGACGCGGCACCCGTGAAGAAGAAGGCTAAGAATGGCGCCACTGTAAGTGTGGACTCCGGGATCTTTGGGCGATCGTTGACCCCTCCCACTAACTGTTTCAGGCCAAGCAAGTCAAAAACACCAAAGCTGGCAGCAAGGCCGGCTCCAACGCAACCTCGCGAGCGGCCAGCGTGTCAAACGCACCCAAGAGCAAGGGCCGCAAGAAGTGATCTGATCGCATAATTGTATTTCCACAGTACTTTGCTTCGGGGGAGTCGGACGGGATCGGCGTTGGCAGATGATTTACCGTGTACCGAGTACGGGGGAGTGCGTTGGCAAAGAAAGATAGAAAGTAATTCCAAGCCTTATCTGTGCCCCTGCATGTGGCGTATTCGCGTGGGAGATAACCGGGTAATTGTGCGGATTCAGGCTTCGTGACCGACGATCGTCACTTGGTGCATGGAATCCACGCTAAAACAGACAGTCACCGGGCAATGACGAAACGTGCGGATGAGCGATGGCAAGTGACCAATACCGGCTTCATCGACGTAAAACCAGATGGAGTTCCCGATCCAAGCGGGGTTCTCCATGCTTTATATATAGTTCTCTGGTAGCTGCAACAATGTCTATTCTCAAATTCCTCAGGTCCAAACTCTCTCGCAAAGTCCCAACCATGGCACCTACTACCAGAATCAAGATCATCGCCAACCCGCACTATCAGAAGTCGGGGACCAAATCGTACGTGTGTGCAATGCGCAAGTATGGCTTCTCCCCTACCAAGCCTGGCCCGTACTCTTTCGGCATCGCCATGCATCAGACCGGCCGTCAGTACACCGATAAGCCTGTCGGTGGCCGTGTTCGTTCTCGCCGGGAGCTGCAGAAGAAAAGCGCCGACGGTGACCAGGTTGGTCAGGTTAGCGCCGAGGATGTGCAGAACGATGCCATGTACCTGGCACAGGTGGGTATTGGATCGCCGGCGCAGAACTTGAATCTGGACTTTGATACTGGTTCGGCCGATCTCTGGGTGAGTACATGGTCCATTCTCGACATTATTTCACAACTAATGCGAGATGCAGGTCTGGTCGACTGAGCTGCCAGCTGCGACCTTGTCCCAGTACACGAACCACACGGTCTTCGACCCGTCCAAGTCGAGCACCTTCAAGGACAAGAAGGGCTCAACCTGGAAGATCTCCTACGGAGATGGATCATCTGCATCCGGCACGGTGGGCAACGATAATGTCGACATCGGCGGTCTAGTCGTCAAAGGACAGGCCGTCGAGCTTGCAGAAACCATGTCCGCGCAATTTGAAAGCGGTGCCGGGGACGGACTACTCGGTCTGGCGTTCAGCAACATCAACACCGTCAAGCCCCAGCCCGTGAAGACACCCGTCGACAACATGATCACGCAGTCCGACATCCCCAAGTCGGAATCTCTCTTCACGGCCAAGCTAGGTTCGTGGCGTGATGCGAACGAGCCCGATAAGGGAGCGTCTTTCTATACCTTTGGTTTCATTGACCAGGACACCGTCAAAGCCGCTGGCGAGGACATCGTCTACACTCCCGTGGATAAAAGCCAGGGATTCTGGATGTTCAATTCGACCTCTGCGACGGTGAATGGCAAATCGATTGCTCGCGCTGGAAACACGGCTATTGCCGATACGGGCACTACGTTGGCTCTTGTGGATGATTCTACATGCCAGGCTATTTACGATGCGATCCCGGGCGCCGAATACGACAGTAGCAGCCAGGGATGGATCTACCCTAGTAACACGACTGCTGATAACCTCCCCGTCGTCTCGTTTGCTGTCGGTGATAACCACTTTGTTGTTCAGAAGGAGGATCTCGGCTTTGCGGATGCCAAGTCGGGGTATGTGTACGGAGGAATCCAGAGCCGAGGTGATATGACTTTTGATATCCTTGGTGATACGTTCCTGAAGGGGATTTATGCCGTGAGTGACCATCATCTTTATTGTGTGTGAACAAATGCTAATCTGTGTATGGAATAGGTGTTCGATGTCGGCAATACTCGCTTTGGCGCGGTGCAGCGAAAGGAACTTCACCAGAACCTTTCTCCTCCTCCCCAGTAAAGACATTGGGGTATATATGGCACTTGGGAGTTCCAAAGCTTATTACACAGCTTTCCGATTGTGTTTGATTTCCACGCGGGCGGATGGATACCGGTTGGCCGTGTCAAACGGTTCAATGTCTATATTTGTTTGGTTCTAGCTATATAGTTGATACACGCAATCATTCCATATCAATAACCACCTTCCCTGTCTTCCTATAACCAGCCTCAATAGCATCCCCCAACTTGACCACTTCATAATCTGACTCCTTCTGCGCTTCCAGTAGTCCCTGATCAATCCAATCATGCATGGATCTCAGATACTCCGCCGCGTCCTCAACCGGAGGAGCCACCGAATTGCACCCCAGAAGAGACAACTCCTTCCGATAAGCCTGGAACACATCAAATGATAACTTCTTGCTGACATCGCCTCTGGGCGCAGTAATCCACACATAGCGCCCCTTCGCAGCAAGCTGTTCCACAGCCACTGACATCAGCCCCAGATCTCCCACCGTGTCAATCACAACGTCCACACCCTTGCCATCAGTCAACGTAGCGATACGCTCTACAAGCGTAGCAGCAGGGTTGCTTGCAGATAAGATGATATTAGGACTGGAGTCGTTCCGGCGAGCCGCTCTCAAGACTCGTTTGCATCCCATTGCCCGGGCCATCTGCACAGCCGCCGAGCCAACAGCTCCCGTTGCACCGAGCACGAGAACCACATCATTTTCTTTGACTTGGGCCCGACGCAAGCACATCTGCGCAGTGGTGAAAGGTACCCCCACATTCGCAGCCTGAAGGAACGACAAAGAAGCGGGCTTCTCCACCAGCGCGGCCTGCGGTACTAAACAGTATTCGCCGTGAGTACCATCAACCTGGAAGCTGAGGCCCGAGCCACTGGTTCCATAGACACTCTTGCCAATCCATGACTTCTGAGACTCGTCGGCGATATCCACCACTGTTCCTGAATAGTCGCGTCCGGGAACTAAAGGGAATTTTGTGGATGGAAAGAGACCTTGCGCATTCAGTCTGTCGGATGGTTGGATGGAGGCATAGCGGATGCGAACGAGGGCGTGGCCGGGCTTTAACTGGGGAATTGGAAGAGATGAGACTGCCAGTATCGGGGGCGAAGATGTGGAGACGCGTGTTAAGCGGAGGGCTTTCATTGTGTTGGGCTCCATAGAATTGGTTGTTGATCCGATGCTTTGACCGGGTTGGGATTGAGGTTCTTTGCGGGTTTCAGATTCAGTCGCGATGGGGAAGATAACTTATATACTACTTTCTATACGGAATATTTCGGGATATTATTGATGCCCGCGATGACATGGATTATTATTTTGCTACTAATTATCTCTTCTCTTTCAACGCGGTCTCGGCATCGAGGCCTTCCGAACGCGGCGTGCGGACCGTGCGGGCCATGCGGCCGAATAGGCTTATCAATCTGTTCGGACCATAACGTGGGCCAAAACGTGGGCCGCGGATCTTCAGGGTGATGTTAGCGTGGCAAGTCGGAATTTATTAATCTCATCAAGCCGTTCGCCGTTTTCGTGAAAAATGCTCATTATTCACAAGTCTCGGTTTCGGTCTTGTAACCGCCATATAAAAGCAAGTGTCCCAGCTTGTATGATTGAACAGACATGGGTCATGATCTAGGTATGTCATATTGCTCATACTTCGCAGAAATCTTCAACTCACACGAAATTTCAGAAAACCCGGCAGCCGCCGGCACCGTGGCCGACAATACGATGCTAGAACATACCTCCGCCTCTCGACCGGCGTCATCCGACATAGAAGCCAAGCAAGAAACACCGGACTATGGTCCACCGAAGACACCGCTGCATGAAGCAATCTTCGTCATTGTCGTCTGCGCGGCTCAGCTCATGACACAAGCTGGGCTGTCACTTTCCATCGCACCTCTCCAGATCATCAGTGCCAGTTTCAACAGCACCCCGAGAGATCTGACATGGGCATCGGCTGCATACAGCTTGACAGTCGGAACCTTTATCTTTGTCTCTGGAAGACTGGGCGATGTCTACGGACACAAACTTCTATTCGTTATTGGCTTTCTATGGTTTGCACTCTGGTCGCTCCTGGGAGGCTTTTCCGTGTGGTCAAACCCTCGATTCTTCGACTGTTGCCGTGCTTTCCAAGGTATCGGCCCTGCCCTGCTTCTTCCAAATGCAGTCGCCATTCTAGGAAGATCGTATCCTCCCGGTCGCCGCAAGGGAATGGTGTTCTGTCTGTTTGGGGCTGTTGCACCCGGTGGGTTCACATTGGGCGCGACCTTTTCGTCTTTACTTGCTGAACGTCTGTGGTGGCCCTGGGGGTTCTGGATCATGGCGATTGCTTGTGTCATGTTCGCTATCCTGGGATACTTTGTTATTCCTTCCATGGCTCAGGAGCCTCTGCGACCGGACCTTTCGACCTTTGATCGTTTGGACGGGTGGGGGGCTATCACCGGCGTGTCAGGTCTGATCCTGATCAATTTTGCGTGGAACCAGGCCGCCGTCGTCGGATGGGAGATGCCATACACATACGTCCTCTTGATTGTGGGCCTCCTGATTATGGTCTTATTCCTCTTTCTCGAACGCAGAGCCGCCTATCCATTGCTTCCTCGCACAGCATTGAAAGGCGAGGTTGGCTGGGTTCTGGGCTGCATTGCGGCCGGGTGGTCGAGCTTCGGTATACTGGTCTTCTACTACTATGACATTCTGGAAAATATTGAGGGAAACAGTGGACTGCTTGTGACGGCCAAATGGGCTGGAGCATCTGCGTCGGGAGCTTGTGCTGCTGTGATCACAGGCCTTCTTCTTGGTCGCATCCCAGCGAGTATCATCATGTTCATTGCGATGTTGGCCTTCTCAGCAGGCCAAGCACTCTTGGCGTCTATGCCTATCGGGCAGACATACTGGGCTAATGCTTTTGTGATCATGTTGGTCACTCCTTGGGGAATGTAAGTCGCTCCTTCCTTGAGCTTGAAGCGAAGGACAAAGTCTAACGAATAACAGGGACATGTCCTTCCCATCGGGTATTCTCATTTTGAGCAATTCCATGCCGCAGAAAGACCAAGGTGTTGCAGGGTCACTGGTCAATACGGTGGTGAACTATTCGATCTCATTGGGTCTGGGATTTGCCGGGACTGTCGAACGATATGTCAACGACGATAACAAGGATGTACTCAAAGGGTACCGGGGAGCCACATACATGGGCGTTGGTCTTGCAGGACTGGGTACCATCATTGCGACTTGTTTCATGGTGGTGACTTGGACATCATCTAGGAAAGGCTCAGCTTAAGCTGAAATCAACCTTGTATAGAAAAGCATTGTCTATAATTACAATGGAAGTTGAAACTCCATAGCCCACAGAGAATCCAGATCAAGGGGTAGTTGCGACGTGAGTGACGGGCTCATGGCTGCAGTGTCCTGCGGCAGGTGGTCATTTGTGTCGCTCACAGTAGAGTCGGGTGAGGCATCTCGAACTATGTGCTCGAGGGACTCAACGCCCCTCCTTTTCTTGTCCAACGAAGCTCGAACAAGCTGACGGGCCGTTGAGAGAGCTTCTTTGGCCAAATGAGTGTTCAGATGATCAACGATCATTTCCAGGGTGTCCATGGTTTCCACGAGTCTTTCGCAGCTTGTCGGGGTATCCATGACAAGGAGAGCGCAGGCAAATTGGAATACAGTGCCAATAACATTCCACCAAGGCCGGTTCTGGCTAGCTAGCCTCCGTGCTGCTGGTAGGGCGGCTGTTCCCGCGGCAATCACGCGGTCATTATGTCCTTGTTGGAATTTGGAATCCATGACACGGAGCCGGCGGTATATGCCCAATGCAAGGTCTGCACGTAACAGAAGAAGAAAGTCATGGTCGACAGTGACACTGGTTATCATGTCCAAAGAGGAGAATAGCTCTTGCATCATGGGCAGAGCATCCCCGGACAGGTTCGTAGGAACAGCTGCAACCAGGCTGCACAGTTGAAAAGTCAGATCCTTTGCTCCGGTCGTGGGGTGCAGATTCTCGAGAATCTGACCATTCAAGGTGATGATAGATCTTCCATACTCGAATGCAATCAAAATATGAAGGCTGGTTGCGACCCGGGCAACCCGATTAACAATGTTGAACATCTCTGGACTCGGTGCCGCATTACCAGTCGTCTGCATCACGAATTCAGATGCATGGTGCAATCCAGCCGCCTCCACAAGATGCATGACAGTGCAACTGGAAAGCCAAGTCACATGTGGCCTCGCAGTACACCGCATGTAAATGGTTCGCAAAGTCCATGCCGCAATCTGCTCCAAAGAAGGGAAGCGACTGATTACGCAATCTTCCAGGATCTCCTTTGCGTGTAAGATAAACCACATTTCTGTATCCTGATCCAGAGTTCCACTGAATAGTGACGCCATAGCAATGACTCCACTCATCATGGCCTCAAAGACCAAATCTTGGGGTTGTCCATGCCAGTGTTTCTCGCACCGCACATAGAGTTGATCCATATCCAAGAAGCCAAATACGGGATGCACTGTAGCCGTGTAGACTTCAATAAGGCTTCTTGCCGTGTTCCATGGGATTTTCTGGGCAGCCTCACAAGTCACCGCACAAGGCGGTTCCTTGCGAATGCCCGTGTGGTATGCAAACGAGTGCAGACGCGGAATCTTTGTTGCTTGAACCTCCAGGCCGACATAGAGGGGGAAGGCGATAGATGAATACCTCCCGACATATCGAGCTTTTGAGGGCTCGAGGATTCCAGGGAAGAAGGGGGACTCCGTGGGTTGCTTTGGGTGCTCTTGTGGGTATGTCAAGCGGGTCACCTTCCCACCAGGCTGCGGCGACCCATCTGAGGGCACAGGTCGTTTTAAATTGGCTGACTGGGCTCCATTGTCAAATTCACAGTCATATCCGTACCCTTTACAGATATTGCAGGGCAGGTTTCCATCGCATTTCCTCTTGCGGCGTCGGCAAGGGAGACAGGCTTGTTTTGACCGCTGCCGCACTGGGCCGGAAAGTGAGGACGCGTCCTGGCCAAGCCCCTGCTGGTAGCGGGAAGACATGGAGTCACTGGGGAAGAAAATTTGTGGGTCTTATCAGGTCATTATCTCAAGGAATCTGACTTGAAATGTGCTAACAGATTTAAGGTAACGCGAAAGTAGTCGATGACCTCGGATAACTGGGTACGCGCCAAGAACCCGCATAGCGCATAAATGTCGCGACTACAATACTGCGGCGTGTATACTCTTGCTTAGTCAGTCAAGTTATCATCTTACCGGGGTAGATAAACCCACTTTTACGATACGGCAGTGATCTTCAGAGAGTAGGAGGCATTGACTGACATTTGCCTCAAGCCGTTTATTTTTACAATATACTTATGGAATATCCTGAGGAAATCTTGCATCAAATTGGAGTTTTGATGGTCTTTATCCATCGCAACAGTGCTAAATACGCCCGTACACTCCGAGCAAATGACATCTCTCCGAAGAAAAGTGGGAAGTTGTTTCGGGGGAGGGGGGAATTGAGGTTTAAAATGGTTGACTTGCTTCAAAGGCATACGAAAAAATCTTAGGTATATTTGTACGGCAGCTAATGCCTACATTTCAAATTTACATTCACAGATCTCCCCATTTGAGAATCGGCTTGATAATCTTGCCAGCGTGCAAATCCTCCAACGCCTGATCCAGCGAGTCTGTATTGTAAACCTTACCCAGTTTGTCGACTGGGAACTTGCCCTGCTTGTACCATTCGAGGAGTTGAGGGAGAAGCTATGAGAATGGGCATGTTAATCACAGAACAGGCTTTAATCAAAAAAAGCTTTTACTCACCTTCGCCGGCTCCGAGGATCCTTCAACTGCTCCAATCAATCGCTTACAACCAAGCATAATTTCTAACGGGTTGATGGTAAGCGAGCCAGTGGGCGGGGGTACACCCACAAAGACCAGAGTTCCTGCATGGGCCAGGGCTGAGATAGCTGATTGAAGTAGAGGCACAACACCAGTTGTATCAAGGATGTAATCGACGCCGTCGGAGAACATCTCTTTCAGCCCCGCCGCAAGATCAGTGATGCGCTTTGTGTTCAGCGTGTGCGTAGCTCCAAGAGAAGTAGCCAGCTCGAGTTTCGCGTCGACAATATCGACAGCGACGACAGTCTCAACACCCAGAGCACGAGCAGCCATCATCGCAGCTAACCCGACAGCGCCCACCCCAAGTACAACGAATCGAGAGTTGGACTTGGGCTTCAGAACGTTCAAGACGGTACCAGCGCCCGTGAGATAGCCACATCCCAGTGGAGCCAGCGCAGCGAAGTCTGCATCACTAACCGCCGACCCGCTCTTGACGACTGAAGCCTCATTCACAATGGCCAATTTGCTCATTGAAGATTGGCCGAAGAACTGTCCTCGGATGGGCTGGCCTCCGGGGGTAGAGATAGGCGAATCGGCGGCAGATAATCCACGCACACCTCCGAAGTTGATCGCGGTGAAATCACGACAGAATCCTTTGTGTCCATCCTTGCAGGGGCTGCAACTGTCACAAGAGGCAAAGCTAAGGAAAACCTGATCGCCTTCTTTCAAGGACTTATCCTTGACAGCACTGCCAACTCGGCGCACAACACCAGCACCTTCGTGGCCCAAGACGGCTGGATAATCTCCAAGGGGGATTCCACCCTCTTGAACTACGATATCCTAGCATTTAGGTTAGTACGGAAACCTTGGCGGAGTTATTCCGACATTAGCACGGATGCAACATACCGTGTGGCAAAGACCAGTATATTTCATCTCGACGAGGACTTCATTATCCCGCACCTCATCCAAAACAACATCTTGAAGAACGAACGGGGCATGAGGTGCTTCGACCACAAAGGCCTTTGTTGGAATATGTTTCTCGGGAATCATAGTGGGGCTTCAGTATACAACAAAGTTCCAGAGAGGTGGAAAACGTCGATGGTGAGTAACTTGGAGGAATGGAAACGAGATCTGGGGACCGAATTGGACTCTTTTATGACGCTGAGCTCGAGCTGAATTTCCAGTGATTATTCGGTGCTATGCACCTACTTTGCCAGTTATTTCCCCGCAGAATATTATCTCCCCTATTTCCCCGGAGCACCGATATATGAATGGGATTACGATTTCCCCACACCGGGGTTTCCCCACACGAACACCACTTCGGCGTCGGGAATCGGTAGATCGATCGGCAGAACGCTAACACGAGCTGCCGCCGCGTAATTCGGGTTTGGTCTGTCAGCTACGCAAAAGACCAGTGCGGCGAACAAACCTTGTCTCGTTTTCAAGGTTCCAGTGATGAAAGCAAAATTTAATGCCGAATGCGATTCCATGCTGCTATGCACCTGTCCTTTAGTTCGAGCAAAAGAGAAGCCAAAATAAAGAGTTCTATTCCTACAGTCTTCTCAATCAACGTTAATGTACAAGCAGGTATCCTATGTAAATGCCAAAATTATAGTACAGATCACCACATCTTACCCTTCCCCCTCTTAGCCGGTTCTGAAACACCCAGCGGGGTTCGCAAGAACATCTCCATCAAAAGAGCCGCGGCAACGCTGACATTCAAACTATCGATGCGAGCTGGATCGGACTCAACGCCCAGATGAGCGCTGTGCCGGGCACCTGGGATGCTGACAATTGCATCCGCATGCGACTTGATATGCGAGCTCAGCCCGGACCCCTCGCTCCCCATCATGATCACACTGGGAGATTGAGTAATTGGGTGGTTGCCGTTTGGTCCATCGCCAGCGGACAGACGATCCAGGTAGGTGGCACCGGGACCCGGCGCATCGGCCGCATAGAACTTCCATCCGTTACTCTGGGATCGTTGAATGAAATCAACCTCATTCTTGACGTGAAGAAGAGACATGTTCTCTGCTGCGCCGGCAGATGCCTTGATCGTCACAGGCGACAAAGGTGCTGAGTTACGGCCAGCAAAGACAATTGCATCGACTCCGAGATAATAAGCAGATCTTATGATAGCCCCGAGATTGCCAGGGTCCACGACACCATCTAGGAGTAGAGCCACGGGGTATCGATGAGTTTGTTGTCCCGATGGCGAAATTGGAGGATGAAGAATAGAGATGCGATCATCGGTTCCATTAACAGCTGCTTCTTCCCTCGTTTGGGGTGCCAGTTCTACACGAAAATGGCTGTCGGCCAAGGCTTGGACTGGTTGAAAGCCACGAATGGGCAGTTTTGGTAGGGGAGATGCCTCCAGGACACAACCATTATGCGGTCGACCAGCACTCATTTTGTCGAGGATCCGGTCCCAGCCGGCAAAGGCCAACTTGACCTCAATGTTGCTAGAAAGAGCCAGCTTGCGGAGAACCACTTTTGTCGGGCTTAGTTCTTCGCCAGCCGCTTGGTAGAGATAGAGCTTGTATAGTTGGCGCCGGCTGGAGCGCAATGCTGCTTCCACGGCCCCCGTGCCGTAGATGAACTCGGATGCTGGTGACGTATAGGGTATCGAGTCCGGGACTTTAACATTTTCCTTTACCCGCTCCGGGTTGCTAGCAGTAGCCCGGTGACCGCGGGATACTCCGTGAGTACTGACTTTTCGCGAGGGGGGGCTTTGTTTTCCCTGATGACGGTAAACCCAAGTTTCGCGACTCGCTTTTCTCTTTTGACTGCCCGCGATCCTGGCCACGTGGCGGGGTTCGAAAGCTGCCGGTCCGTATAAACTCATCTTGGTCAAAGGGATCCGCAACAGGCCTCATCTCGGACCTTCTCTCAGGCTTCCGCTCGAGCCACCTCCCTTGTCCTTTCGGTTCAAATTGGACATCATCTCTCCTCGCTCTCCGGCGTCCATCCCGGCCCTCAAAAGATCGAGACGGTGAAGTCTCCCCAGGCTGTGACCGGCGAATACCCCGGCCAATGGCAGAATTCAAAGAGGCATGTCGGGTCGGTATTGAGCACTGAAGTGGCTTTATAAGCGATACCCGCCCAGCCACTCTTGATCTCGAAAGACTCCAAATCATCTTGAAGCGTTGAGACGAATTGTTTGCGAGTCGAGGCCTGCGCCAAAAAGATACTCGGATCATATTCACTCCGGTCCCGGAATCCGATAAGATAAGGAGCTCGGAACAACGTTTATCCAGCTGGACGCGCTCCGCGTCGCTGGAGTCTCTTATCACACCGTTTGTTCTGGACTACACTCTATACTCCTGGCCGGTGTTTACCTCCTTATTATCACTCTGCAGGTCTCAAACCCCCGGCCAGTACCATTTTCAGTCCTTAATTTTTCTTCAAATCTTACTCGAACCTCTCATCAGCTTCGCGTTTGATAGAGACCGCTTGCGCGGTTTCTATCAGCGCGTGCTTTTTACTTTTCTGCTGTTCAAACTAACTTCGTCACTATGCGCTGTAGTGGTGCAGAAGGTTTTGAAGAGCCTGATGGCCCTGGCGCCACTGCTGCACAGCTGTTGAGTCAGCTCGAGGAGTCCCGTTCTGATGCAGTACTCACTGCGGGGGATAATGGTCGACAAATTCGAGAATCTCGGGGTCCCGAAGCTTCTCCAGCTAGAGAAGCCCCGTCCTTCGAAATTATACCCCCGGTCATTCTCAACCCGAACGATTACAAATACTTGCCCGGTCACTTTGCGGTGCGCCGTATCTTGGAACTCGATTCAACCACCGAGAAGCCGCTCTACACTGTCCGCCTTCAAAGTGGAGAGCGAGAAACAGTGAGTTTTTATCAATTGCTTTGACTTCCCATGACATGTGACTCTTCGTTTAACCTTTTCTTTTCTTTTTGCAGATGACCCACGACCGATTTATGGATTTAGACAACAGCGCCCAGGCTCTAGAGCAATACAACCCAAACTCGGATTCAGATGACGATCTAATCCTGGTTGACCAGGGGCGGGTCTCTCGCAGGTCCTTTTTGAATGCTGATGGAGCAGCATCTGATGATTCTGACTACGCTGTCACTCCAGTTCACCGCAACCTTCGCCGCCTGACCGTACGTGGGCGATCCTCAGGGTTCTACCAAATTGAACAAAGCTCCAGCGACAAGGACGACAGCGATCAGGAAAGTTCCACCGATGAGCTTACCGAGCCTCAACCACGCATGAGGAACCTGAGACGAGGCGGTGGACGAACGGGAACCCGAGGACTCAGGCGAGGTGCAAGACGGGGCATTGGGAAATCAACTCGCACTTCGTCTTCAGATGACTACTCCCCCCCGGCTAGAGCCACACGTGTCTCGGGGCGTGATAGGAAGTCTCTCCGGAAGAATCTGCGGGAGCGATTCGAGGATGACGTTTCAGAGGCCGCGAGTGACGCTCCCAAGCAGCAAAAATATGCCGGAGCCAGGGAGACCTTCCGTAAGATTTCGCATGACGACGAGTTCCGGCAATGTCACTTTGCATGCTGCGATACCTGCAGTTACTACGAGGATGATCCGCAGAAAGGCCCCTTGGTCTTTTGCCAGGGTTGTAGCGCATCCTATCATCAAACTTGCCTTGGGCCGCGGAGTAGTCGGGAACATCTTGTCACTAAGGTCGATGAAGGTCACTTCATTCTCCAATGTCGCCGTTGTCTTGGCGTTGCTCACAGCAAACACGATATTTCCCCTCATTTGGGCCGCTGTGCTGTGTGTCATGAGGAAGGCCCAATGGCGCAGCCACTGCGAGAGCGTCTTACCTCCAAGGAGGAGCAACAACAACGAATCGCTAATGGTGGTACGGACCCTGTCACCCTGGTTGAAATGGCTCGTGTGGACAACATCGACAACGTCCTGTTCCGATGCACCGGTTGCCATAGAGCCTTCCACGTTGAACATCTTCCACCGATCGATGGTCAAGACCCCTCCGAGAAGTTCTCTGATTATAGCGCTCATTGGCAATGCCGCGACTGCTCCGATGCTCCGGGCGAAATACATGAAATTCTTGCCTGGCGTCTCCTCAACCCCGGATCCATGGGGAATGATGTTCCCCATGCTGAGCTCATCCCGGAGATTGACAAGGAGTACCTAATCAAATGGAAACGCAAGTCATACTTCCGCGTCGTTTGGATGCGTGGTGACTGGGTCTTCTGCGTCAGTAATCCTACCACGCGTCGATCGTTCTACTCCTCAGACAGTGCTCGAAAACCGATCCCGACGACAGAAGAGGCGGTTTCTGAGGATAAACTGCGGGTCGACATCGTCTTTGAGGTGGCATACTTGGACAATACCGCCAAGGAAGACAAATCCAACCCTCGGATGGTCAAAGAGGCGTTTGTCAAATACAAGGGCCTGAACTATGAGGATTCCGTATGGGAGGAACCACCGAGCCCAGTCGAAGAAAACCGGTGGACGGATTTCGAGACTGCGTTCAAAGATTGGCTGGCCCGGGGCGATATCCAGACTCCCGACCGAGACATTCTCGAGGACCAGTTGGCCATTATCCGGACCCAGGATTTCCAGCAAAAGCTGTTGCTGTACACGCAGTCTGACCTGATTACTGGCGGTGACCTCATGGAATACCAAATGGATGGTGTGAACTGGCTTTACTACATGTTTGTGAGACAGCAGAATGCCATTCTGGCGGATGACATGGGCCTTGGAAAGACCATACAGGTCATTGGTCTGCTCGCAACTCTCATTGAAAAGCACGCGTGTTGGCCCTTCTTGATCTGTTGTCCAAATGCGACCGTTCCGAATTGGCGACGTGAAATCAAGAACTGGGCACCGAGCATTCAAGTCGTTACTTATTTCGGCACTCAATATTCACGTCAGATGGCCAGAGACTACGAAATGTTCCCGCGAGGCGGGAGAGATCTCCACTGCCATGTCGTAATCGCTTCATATGAAAGTATGATCGATGACGAGGCGAAAAGAGTCCTGAACAAGGTTCCATGGGCAGGCTTGGTGGTCGACGAAGGACAACGTCTGAAGAACGACAAATCTCAGCTCTACGAGCGGCTTTGTCGTATGAAGTTTGGCTTCAAAGTCCTCCTCACCGGCACTCCCTTACAAAACAACATTCGTGAACTGTTCAACTTGCTCCAGTTCCTCGACCGAGAGAAGAACGCCGAAGCGTTGGAAGAGGAATATAGTATGCTTGACCAGGAGAAAATTCGGACCCTTCATGAAATGATCCGTCCATTCTTCCTTCGTCGTACTAAGGCCGAGGCCTTGCCATTCTTGCCGCCCATGGTTCAAATCATCGTTCCCGTCTCAATGTCTCTTGTGCAAAAGAAACTGTACAAATCGATTCTTGGAAAAAATCCTCAGTTGATCAGGGCCATTGTCAAGAAACAGGCCGGTCAAATCAAGAAGCAAGATCGCCACAACTTGAACAACATCTTGATGCAGCTCCGAAAATGCCTTTGCCACCCGTTCATCTACAACAGAGCCATCGAGGAGTATACCAGCGACGCTGTGTTGGCTCACAGGCACTTGGTGGAAGCCTCGGGGAAGCTTCGGTTGCTAGACCTGATGCTGCCGAAACTACACGAACGTGGACACAGAGTTTTGATCTTCAGCCAGTTTTTGGAGAATCTTGACATCGTTGAAGACTTTCTCTCTGGTCTTGCCTTGAAATACTGTCGTCTGGACGGGAAGCTAGCGGCTAAAGAGAAGCAGCAACAGATCGACAGGTTCAACGAGCCCGACTCTCAATACTTTGCTTTTCTGCTCTCAACTCGATCGGGCGGAGTGGGGATCAATCTTGCCACCGCGGATACTGTCATTATCATGGACCCCGACTTCAATCCCAAGCAAGACATGCAAGCTTTGTCCCGAGCTCATCGAATTGGCCAGCAGAAGACTGTGCTCGTTTTCCACCTGACAACGCGCGCTTCCGTGGAAGAAAAGATCATGCAGAAGGGCAAAAAGAAGCTGGCCCTTGATCATGTTCTAATCGAACGCATGGAAGCCGATGAAGACGAGGAAAATCTAGAATCCATTCTTCAACACGGCGCTGCATCTCTGTTCAGTGATGATGATTCAGCCGACATCCACTATGACTCGCCGTCCATTGACAAACTGCTGGACCGTGGTCAGGTCGAAAAGGCAGAGCATGTTCCTGACAACAATGACTCTGGCTCTGCAGAACAGCCGAAGTTCAATTTTGCACGCGTCTGGCAGAATGATCAAGGCACTTTGGAGGAAGTTGCTGACGAAGCTGAAGCTTCATTTGAGGATGTCAATGCCTGGGAAGAAATTCTCCGTGAGCGTGAACGTGATGCCAATGAAGAGGAAAATCGCAAAGCTGAGGGTCTGGGTCGTGGTAAGCGCAAGCGAGCGACGGTCAACTACCAGACGATCAGAGAAGAAGAAGCAGGCGATCTCGACATTCCCGACTCCTCGCCTGTCAAGCCTCGGAGCAACAATGACAGTGATGTCGAATTCCGGGAGGGCGAGCTAGAAAGCGATTCGGCGGATGACGAGGATATAGCCGTAGATGCCCTGGATATCGATCTGCATAACGGCATGCCTCCGAAACCAGAGGTCCGCCCCTTCAAGCGTGTCCAGCTGCTACCACCTAGTCTCGATGGCACTATGGATTCCGGTCCTCCCATGCCATTCGGATCTAAATGCATTGCATGTAGTGGGTCTCATCTCTTGGGTGCCTGTCCACTAAAGCAGGCGGGTGTCGAGAACTGTCCGCTCTGCGGCCTGGCACATTTTGGAAAGCGCCGGTCCTGTCCACATTTGAAGTCCCCAATTCAGATACAGCGCATGCTGCTGGCACTGTCCAGGAGCAAGGAGGACCCAAAACTTGTGTCCATGGCCACGAAGTACCTACGCGGCATCATCAAAAGCTCCGCGCGGCTCAAGCGCCAGAAAGCTGCAAAGGCTGCGATGACATCAATGACCCCCAACGTTTTTCAACCCACGAAGGCTCCCCACCATCTTACAGCAACCACCCCCAGTTCGTCTCAGACTCCTCCTATGGGTGTCTTCCAACCCATGGGAGCTTCCCACCAACTTCCTACCGCCGCACAGCGTCCCGGATATTCACCGACTCCGATCGACCTCACCGGCCCCGATTCTCCCGCCAGAGCCTCCAACAACAATGTCGATCAGCCTCCACCTCCTCGCTCCAATGTCCCAACCCAGTTGCAGCTTCCTCCTCCTTGAGCCCGCCATCCGCGTTCTATTCCCGTCCGCAATTGATCTTTTAATTTTATGCATACATCATGGCAGACACGGCGCAATGATTTTACGACAGCACAAAGATAGAGCATGGACAGGACAATGATTGTCTCTTAAAAGGCATCATCTGCTTATTTTTTTTATGCGCATCGCGGAGCACAGGTTCACGAGGGGTTTTTGTCCTTTTGGTATGCTTTTCAATATGATACCCCCTGTATTGTTAGATTACATAAGAATCTCAAGACGCTTAGACGTTGATATTTATTCAATAAGATAGTTCTCCCTGGAGTATAATGCAAAAACGCAAGGTACATCTAGCAGAGAGTGGGACGCCCCCATTGACGGAGTACACTTACCCTGCGGCTATTCACGCGATTCCTGGAACGAGCAGGAGCATTTAACAGCATGCTATCCGTGCGTAGACTGCAGGGTGCGTGTTGGGTTCAGAGCTATCGTCCACGCAGGGGTGCATGGGCGAGCCGCGAGCGAACCTGGGGCTAGCAACCCTCGTCGGCAGTCTAGAAGATATTCGCAACCGCTCAACTATGTACACTATTAATATATGATGTAGTTTCAACCGCTAGCACCGTGTCTGCGACATTCTGGTCTCGTATGCCTACTGTTCTTCCTGCTATTCTTCCCGTTGCTGAGTCCCGAGCGGGCCAAAAGTTAGGTCTATCCGGGTCACGGGACCACGCGCCTCAACGACCATCCAGGACCAACTCGATCTATATGGCTATCATAAGTTAGTTATGAGTTACTCAGTGACTTTATCAGCAATATAGGTGCCATATAGCTCAATTGAAGGTTTTCAAGCGCTTCGTGGGAGCAGAGGAACGTTTCCCCCCATAAAGTAGAGCGTAGAGCCAGACCGCATCTCTCATGGTTTTCGACGGCAAGCTATTGTTCTCGGTTTTACAAAGGCTTTGAGAACTGGTTTTCTTTTCAATATGACCGATTCGCACCGCTCAGGAGCCGAGAGCTCTTGAAAAGCTTTTTATCCAATGGGACTGGCTACCTAAATATCAAAGAATGAGTTAGCTCAGCTCCTCTCAAGGGGCAACACGACGGTGCTAACCTTCTTTTCAATACCGTGGCCTTTTCTGAGCAACATGGATGACTGGCTGTTGTCTCATGGATTCCAGCAGAGGTCTGAATGGTCCGAACCTGGAGCAGGACGGCCATTGTTAATTACAGTGCATTTCGGTGGAGACGGGAGACGGCAAAGACATCAAAGGATGTATTTATGACTGCATTCTCATTCCATGGTAGGATTAAAGGTGTATCACAGAGAAAACGTGTAGAAGGAAGAATTGAGATCTCGACTGAAGGCTGACGCAGCTAACCGGCCACTCGCCGGCCATTCAATCTGTTGTTTGAAGGCCCCTTAGAGTTCGCTGCGGTTCTTTTGACTCTGAGGTCTCTCTAGCAACTTCAATTTACAGTATGACAGCCTAGATTAAGCTGTAGAGGCTTTTAGTCACCCATTATTGTGCTCAGGTGAGTGACAGTTTGGAGTTGTGCAATTGTGACCCATTTGTTGCGCTCTTCTAGGATTCATTAGCAAAATCCCTGGTATTCAACACTACATTTCTTGTCGCCCGTGAACACAACCATGTCATTCAATGTTTCTATATCACTGTACCTCAGACAATCCGGAATTTGAGGCTTTTCTGCTATTTCGGTATAGGTGTAACGGTAGTTCAATCAGGGCATTCTTTCAATGCAGAGGGGCGCCATCACCATTCATGTTCGACGTCCACTGCAAAAGTGTCAAGTTTACCGGATTTTTCCGGATTATCAGCACCTTGGGCCCTCCTCTCACTTCGAATCTCTTCTCCTTTCTCCTCCTCTTCCCTCCCCTTTCCCCTCTTCCAACCACTTTCATTCGACACCTTTCTTTCTTGTCTTCGGATATCTTTATTCATTGACACATTTTTATCTGTGTATCCTGTACCAAGGCGAATGCCTGACTGTCTTCATCATGGGCAGCCAGGATCGTCCGTCATTCTTTTGCTCTCGTCCCGATGGGACTTTGACTCCTCTTCTCGCTGTTGACGACCTTCCTCTTTCCCTGTCTGTTCGTAATGTGTCTCGCACTCTGACCCCCGGTGACACCCAGGGTATGACCAGCTGCGGTGTTGCTGCTCCTCGCAGCGATCCTTGGGTTGTTGATGGACCTCCTACTGGATCTCGCGTTGTCAACGACGAGAAGATGAACGATCTCCATGCCCTGCTTTTCAAGATCCTTCGTGAAGAGGAGGTTGGCTGTGAAATTCGTTCTTCTATTCAGGAGATTCTCTTCCGTGGATTTGATACTCAGTCCTCTGTTCCCCTTCCCGCTCCCTCGGCCATCGTTGCTGCTTGTCAGACTCCCCAGGTTGCCCCTCACTTTAGATATGGAGGCAACTTCCAGGGAGGCAATCCTCAGGGAAATCACAAGCATGTAAGTTGTTGCTTCACGAACTGATATCATGATCAAGGTGACTGACCGTCCGTGCAGCCTCACAATAAGAAGCAGTACTGCTCTTACTGGATCCGCCACGGCGAGTGTGACTACTCGCAACAGGGTAAATGAAGTTCCCCTACCTGAACAAGAATTTTACTAACTGACTGAGGTGTAGGTTGTCTGTACAAGCATGAGATGCCCATGGATCTTGTCTTGCTCGACAAGTTGGGTCTACGTGATATCCCTCGTTGGTACCGTGAGAAGTACGGTGTGACCAGTCTGCTGCAGTCCAGCTATAGCAACAATCGTGGCCAGAACCAGTACCAAATCTCCGAGCATGCTCATCAGCTTGTCCACCAGCCTACTCAGCAGCCTGCCCAGCGTTCTCTTGAGTGGAGCCCCTCTGCTGAAACTCCCGACACCCGTGAGCACCGTACTAAGCAGGGCCGTTACAAGTCCCCCAAGTCTCCCCGTGGTCCTGGCTTCCAGTCTGGTAAGAGCCGTGGCAACTATACCAAGGGTCAGGGTCAGGGTCGGGGTCAGCAGCATCACGGCTACATCAATCTTTTTGAGATGACCCCCACCGGCAGTACCACTTCCCCTGAGACGAGTGAGGACTCGTTCATCATGACCAGTGGTCCCCTTGATGCCACTGATGACCGCCGTGCCATGGATGCTTCCCGTTCCCTTGATGCCATTCGTTCCACTGGGGCCACTGGGGCCACTGATGCCCCTCGTGTCTCTGTTCAGCAGGGTCCGGGCCGCGTCTCTTCCCAGGGCTCTCAGTCCCTTCTGGATAAAGAAGGTAGGGCCACCAAGAAGTTTGACCCGACTGCTCAAATGGCTAAGTTGACCACCAATGAGCCCATCGATGGATACCCGAAGAACATTTTCCGCACCAAGTCTCGTCGTCCCTATGAATATGGTGGTGATAGCCAGTTGAAGTCTCCTATTACTAGCAATGCTACTCGTCCCAGCACTGCTGGAAGAGAGCCTGTCATTAAACCCGAGCAGCGCCGCAATCTGTACAGCACCCTTCTGTCGAACAGCGAGCCCATCCACCCTCGCGATATGGAGTTCACCTTTGGGGCCATCGGCGAGCCTGTTCTATACCCCAATCGCGATACCGAGTTTCCTAGCTCCAACGACAGCGCCAGTACTAGCATCTTTGTCGGTAACCAACAGTTCTTCGTGAAGACCGACAAGAAAAAGAATAAGCACTCTGGTCGGTCTGACAATGTCTGAAGACCAACATCTTCGTCAGTCGCCAGTTCTTCTCGAAGACTGACATGAAGATTATTGACAAGAAGAACAACAAGAAGTCTGACAATGTCTAATCATCTGACCCTTTTTTTCTTCCTGCGGCTTAAGCTGCGCTTGTGGTGGGCTCGCTGCCTCAATGGTTGGTAGGTATTACGGGAGACGATGGCGTACAGGAGACGACTTGATATGAGGTGCAAGCTATTGAGAGATCTAGATCCCAAGGGATGAAAGATTTCGGGCAACGTTTACTGATTTTATTCAATGAGTTATGAAATATGATTATTACTATTTATCTCGCTCGCATTCGTAGATCATGTAGGGTAAATAACGGCGAAGGCAGAAGACAAATTTCCAACTATGATCTTGAACTGCTGCAAGAGCCTACAACAGCGCAGAACCTTATGACAGTGGCAGCGAGACGCCAATGGATTGTAATGATATGACTATAGTACAGCGAGAAGAAAAATGAAGCCGATTAGACCTCCTGGAATATGCGCCCGCGCCTCGCAAATGTCGACCACAGTTTTATCCAACACACACCGGAAAAGAGACCATGCAAAGCATATACACCACTCGTCAACACCTTACCGACGAGCAGGTTTCTTGCTCGAACGAGCTCCAACTTTGACAGCAACACGCTCCCGCTCCTCAGCAGCCTGGGCCTTCAATGCTGGGTTGAACTCGGGGAGAGCCTGAACAGCATGCGAGACAACCTTGTTGCCATCGACGATAGCGGGCCGCGCCTTTTCGGCATTGAGACGCTCAGCACGGCGGGCGGCCAATTGTTGGCGGCGCTCTTCGGTCATGTTCCAGGATTCGGGGAATTGAATGCGAGTCTTGGGTTTATGGTGGCGGAGATCAAGGGGGATGTCGGTGTAGGGATCGCCAGTCTTGGCCTCATTGATCAAAGAGTTGACGACATCGGCCAAGTACCGCTTGTTCTGTGCACGAGAGCCAAACTGCTCGGTAGACATCTTGACAATGTCGGTTTGCGGGTTGTAGCGGGTGCCAACCAGCTTCAGGAAGGTCTGGCGCTGGGCCTCGGTGAGGTACTTGGGGGTCAGATCCCGAGAGGCAAGCTCCACGACAACCTTGGGCTCAGCCGGGTGCTTCTCTCCCATGTATGTGGTGTAGCGGAAGCGGAGAATGTGTGTTTCAGGAGGCAGCGTAAATGGTTTGGCCAGCTCTGCAAGAGGAGTCCTCCGTTAGGCATTGGGGCACACGAAAAGGGCGGATTTCAAACTTACTGCTCAGCATTGGCATATCCCATGCCGCAATTCGGGCATATTCTCTGACCTCCCGGTGCAATTCCATCTCAGAATGTGCCATGGCGGTGATTTCATCGTCGTTGATCTCTTCATCACCATCTTCCACCTGAGCGAGTTCGTCGGGATCATCCTCGGCCCAGAAACCGCGCTGCTTGGTCCGGATATCCTCGAATCGCAAATCCTCCTCCTTGTCAATCTGGTTGACTTTCTTATCGAGCTCAGCAAACATAGCTGCGCGCTTTCCAACATCGTTGAATTCGGCCACCATGCGGCGGTTCTCGGCATCGAACTCAGCCCGCTGATCAGGCGCCATCATATCGTACATGGATCGCTCCTCCTTGTTGAGGAGGTCCGGGGAATACTCAGGCGCAGGTGGGAAGTCCTCCGCCTTTAGATCTTTGGGGGGCGGAGGAATGACCGGGTCCTCTGAAACGAATCGGAACGGGGAGACCGAGAAAGACCGCGTAGGGAGGAACCCTGGGCCCCTCCGGGCCAGCACTCGGGCTGAGCGAGTCAATGACCGGGCAGCGCAAGCCATTGTTGCAGGCGTGGAGAGTAGATTGGACGACGGCGCACCTTCGATGTTTTCCACCTCGAAAGTCCGCAAAACGCTAGACCTCTTTAGGATTAGTGTGCCAAATCACGTGCTCGCGGTCAGGATACGCTTGCTATTGTCCATTGCCATTTCAACTGGACATCTTCCCCAACGTTGAATTTGTCCGTCAATAAACATGAAAGTTTGTCTTGTTACGGTCGGGGCGACAGCTTCGTTTGTGAAGCTCGTCCGACAAGTGCTCAGCGAACCGTTCTTGGCGTCGCTCAAACAGCATAACTACACTCACTTGCTGGTCCAGTATGGCAAAGATGGCAAGCCCGTTATGGACGAATTCCTAGAGAACAATCCTGAGGGTAGTGAAGCTCTACATGGGATTGGGATTGGTGGCTTCGACTTCAAGCCGAGCATGACCCCATCGATCATGATGACAGTGCACAATCCCGCCAAAAATCAGGAGCAAGGACTGATGATCAGCCACGCCGGTGAGACTCAATACTTCTAAACTTGTGCGGGGTTGAGTCCTGTTGCTAACTGCTTGATAGGTACTGGCTCTATCCTGGAAGGTCTTCGGGCTGGGGTTACTCTCGTTGTTGTCCCTAACACCGATCTGGCCGATAATCACCAGGAACAACTGGCAATCGAGCTTGACAAGACTGGACATGCAGTGAACTCCTCAGTAGAGTGGGTTTCCGACAGCCGTGATCTTTCGGGTGGTCTTTCTAATGTTGATATAGGGACATCACCTCTGCAGTCGAAAAAGCTGAATCCAAGCGCAACGAGAAACCTGGCACGCATGGCTCGCAAGGCGAGACAGAAGTACAGGTCAGTGGCGCCATGGCCGATCAGCTTGCCACTCTTGACTGAAGTCTTCTTCATCCTTTTTGTATATGATTTGATACCAAAGTTATTAGGCAGTTTTGCCTCTCATGGAACAGTCTGGCATTGGCGATCTTATTCGGGCGTTGATGAAATTATAGGCGTTTCTCAAGGTTCCAAGGTCGGGCTGGGTGTATCATACCTGGTGTGATGTTTTTCAGCAGCATTATGAAGGTCAACATTTTGAGATAATTACATAGGCGTTGCCAAGGTTGTGCTTGATCCACGAATGAAGCTTTAACTAAACTTAGTTCTTGGGCCCTGTGCCTGCAAACTATGTATCGTAAAGTAGATTGGTCGCAAACACACTTTCTAATGTTGCACACACAAGCAAACCAAATACTCTCAGATCCTGGAAATGGTTATGAACCAACACGAATGGAGAATTCCTGTAATGCCCAGAACAAATTCTATTGAATGATCAGGTACTCTAACTCTTTGTATGCTCCAATAACCCATAAAATCAATCTAGTACTTGGATCATCGAATATTAAATACCCAGGTATTGGACAGACTTTGGATGTTATTTGGTCAATTCTGGAAAAACACTTTCCGATAGAATATCGGTTTCCCTCAAAAGTGAGTAAAGGGATCGTGGGTGGATGGGCGGCATCCGCCTCCATCATTGGCCCAAGCTCCTTGTTGACAACCCCCGACGCGCAAACCTTCCACTCCTGACTCGCCGTGAATGAGGTTCAACATTATCGCCAACTACTGCGCCTATATCTGCTCCTTATCCTCTGACAGCGCCTCCCATACCCCGAGTCGCCGATCCTAGGCCGCGGGGCCGTCCCAAACACTTGCGCCCTTAACCCCCGACCTCCTCGATTTCACACGCATCCCCGCAATGGCTGAGGCTACCCTTCACAACGTGCCAATTGTCATTGACAATGGCAGTGGAACTATTCGAGCTGGTTTCGCGGGAGAGGAGATTCCGTCATGTTATTTCCCCTCGTTCGTCGGCCGTCCTAAGCATCCGCGGGTTATGGCCGGTGGCCTGGAGGGCGACTCGTTCATCGGCTCGCGCGCACAGGAACTCCGCGGATTGCTGAAGATTCGGTATCCCCTCGAACATGGAATCGTCACAAATTGGGAGGACATGGAGTCAATCTGGCACTACGTTTACGAGAACGAACTGAAGACTCTCCCCGAAGAGCACCCCGTGCTGCTCACCGAACCGCCGCTGAACCCTCGCGCCAACCGCGACATTGCCGCCCAACTGATGTTTGAGGCATTCAACGTGCCCGCCTTGTACATGTCCATCCAGGCAGTGCTGTCGCTTTACGCATCTGGCCGCACTACCGGTGTGGTCCTGGACTCCGGAGACGGTGTTTCCCACGCCGTGCCCGTGTTTGAAGGTTTCGCCATCCCGAACAGTATCCGGAGAATTGATGTTGCTGGTCGCGATGTCACCGAGCAGATGCAATTACTTTTGAGAAAGGCCGGCCACGTCCTGCACACTAGCGCCGAGAAGGAGGTGGTGCGCATGATAAAGGAGAAGGTCTGCTACGTCTCGCTGGACCCCAAGCGCGAGGAGAAGGAGTGGATGAACAGCTACCACAAATCGGATGCCAAGGCTATGGACTACACTCTGCCTGACGGACACAAGATTAAGGTAAGTCTTGCCCTGCAATTACCAGACAAATACACTTGCTCACGTAATTTTCGTCGCTGCGCAGATCGGCCAAGAACGCTACCGCGCCCCTGAGATCCTCTTCGACCCTGAACTCATTGGACTCGAGTACCCTGGTGTGCATCAGATCGTCCAGGATGCCATCACTCGCACAGATCTTGACCTCCGCAAATCCCTATACCTGAACATTGTGCTTTCCGGTGGATCGACACTGTGCAAGAACTTCCCCGATCGGCTGATGCGCGAGATCAAACGACTGGCTGTTGAGGATATGAAAATCCGTATTTCTGCCCCTGCGGAGCGCAAGTACACCACCTGGATTGGTGGCAGCATTCTTGCCGGTCTCAGCACTTTCAGAAAGGTATGTATCATCTGGGGAGGAAACCTGTATAAGAACTCCAGGCTAACTGATTTTTCATAGATGTGGGTGAGCGCAGATGAATGGCACGAGGACCCCGAAGTTATCTTCAAGCGATTCGCTTAAAGAAAGGGTCCTGTAAATTGCATATACAACTGTGAAACGCCAAAGCCTCAGCCTCAGCCTCCTCCACTCTACCCTTGATGAGAAAGAGAACATTCTCAGACCGAATTCGCTGCCACGCATCACCGTTGTCAATACCGAGCACGGCACACAGCAGCAGCGAAGTGCTAAACAATCACTTCGATACTCTTTGAGTCCGAGTCGTGTATTCCGCGACTTTTGATACCCCTTTACCATCATGTTCCCTCATCCTGTCTATGTCTTGTGATGTGACATATTTGGCACCTTGCCGCTCATATTATTGATATTGTGGAAATAAATTTCTTTCATGTTTTTACTAGGAGTTTCGTGTTCAGAGCAGGATTGTATACCGTTTCAGGGGTAGCCGCATTTGCAAGGGACTTTAGACAGTTCATATCCTTAAACATGATCTTCACTTTGATAATACCTCTCTTCCACAAGCCCCCAATGGTCGGGATTTGACAAGCTGGCGTACCCATTGTATGATTAGACGTAGACGCGACAAACTGCACGCTAACCCGTTTCGGTCTGGTTCTGCCCCCCGAGACCGCCAGAAAAGAAGAAAAGCCCAATCATCGACTACATGCACAACACAACATCCATCACTAAGTACCGCAGAAATGTCCCGCGTATTCTTTGACGTCAGCATCGGGTCGGGTAAGTCGACACTGTATCTGTCTATGTTGATACAAAGGAGCAAGAAATATACTAACCTGCAATGCAATATAGCTCCGGCTGGACAGATCGTTTTCGACCTGTTCGATGACACTGTTCCCCGCACTGCCAGGAACTTCCGGGAGCTCTGCACCGGCCAGAACAACTTCGGTTATCGTGGCTCGATCTTCCACCGCGTGATTCCCAACTTCATGCTCCAGGGTGGTGATTTCACCAAGGGCAATGTACGTACCTTGGAGGGATCTCTAAAACCCCACCCCACTCACTCCATTCCCTCCAATTGATGAATTTGACCTATGGATTGATTGATTGACTTTGTTTGTTCGTTATAGGGAACTGGTGGAAAGTCCATCTATGGTGCCAAGTTCGAGGATGAGAACTTCGTCCACAAGCACGACCAGCCTGGTTTGCTTTCCATGGCCAACGCCGGAAAGAACACCAACGGCTCCCAGTTCTTCATTACTGTGAGTTCTTTCTAATTATCCCTCTCGTTTCCTTCACACGCAGGAATCTTAGTGGTTCGCCATGCTGAACCTGAACCTTCTCATTCCTGACTTCAATACAGACTGTCGCTACCCCCCATCTTGATGGAAAGCACGTTGTCTTTGGACGCGTTGTGTCAGGAATGGATATTGTGCAGAAAATCGAGGCCGAGGGCACTAAGAACGGAAAGCCCAAGTCCATGATCAGAATTGAGAAGTGCGGAACTGTCTAAATTAAGCTACGCTTGTTAGGTTAGAAAGACATAATTGATTCATAACCTAGTCGGTGTAGATATGAAAGCCGACCAGTAACAAATGACCATCTAGAATGACTAGAAAGTATAGTGCATGTTTCTCGTCTCACTTTAATAAGAAAAAAATATAAGTTGGTATTCTCTGTAGTGAAAAGTGCCAGAGCTCTATGCATCCCCGTCACTTTCATCGCCATTCACATAGGGAATCGCTTTGAATACATCAAAGACGCCAGACTCATCCGTAAACTTTTCTGGGCGTCCAAAATAGGTCGGATAGGCAGTATCCCGTGTCGCCCACATCAGAGCACCATGGATCTCACCAGCTGCACGATGATCAATTCTAAAGTCGTACCAGGTGTTGGCCTTTGGGGGGAGAGGACCCCATCCGCCAAATTCAAGAGTAGGTTCTTCCGGACTAAGCTCTGGATAGTAGAAGCTCGCAAGTAGAGTCCCGTCTTGAGCACTTCATTCATCTGCAATATCGATAACATTCTGTTCGATGAAATTGACTTGATGCCAATTCTCTAGTGCCCAATTCTGGCACTGCTCGTTAGAGGCGCCGATGAAATCCGAGTGGAAAGGCTCGCCGTCTAATATAGAGTGAAACTATATTCGTCCCAGTCCCACAGACTGCCACCGTGATATCCCTAATCAACCGCAAGTTGACTTACATGCTTGGCCTCCTCCGCGACACAAAATAGCAAGGTGCGTGTCATGATAAGGGACTGATTTGTCTCTACGGGTTCTTCCAGACGTAAAAGATATAAGTTAGAACAGGCAAGCCTTTGTCAAATTGTACTAAATATCCCGGGGCGGGGGATGTTAACGTCATTGTAGACCTTTCTTCGCCGCTCCCAACCTACGTCCGTACGGCTTTCCTGACATGCTAGAAAGCAAGAAACCGTCACAACAAGCAATACTGAAGCATAATTACTAGTTATCTCGTCTGCTAGTAATTCTGCTTCAGCAGTGCTTGTTGTGACGTTTTTTTTTGCTTTCTACCATGCCAGCCGGTAGGACCATTGAATAGCTTCGCAATATAACCTTCAGAGCTTTTGCGGTATGAATTATCCGCAAACGAGGGAACATAATTACATGCACTTTCTAGTATCAATGTCTCCCTTACAGGATAATTCTCGACATTACGCAAGTAGAACATATGTCATTTTCGTTGGGTAAAAGGAAGCACTCCGGCCTCGGCTGAAATGCGGGGGAAAAACGGCCGCCCGAGAATTGTAACGTGCGATTGGCCAGAGACTCGAGCCAAATGGGCAGGTCGTTATTTCATGGGGTCTGGCAGGGTTCCATGTCCAGCTGGTTGGCTTCTTCGGTGCCGTTATTAGGTTGTCCAACCTCTGGAAATAAGTGCACTAATGAGATCTGCATCAAGCATCTATTGCAGGTGGCTTTCGCATCGTCATCTCTTTATCTCTCCATCAATTGCCTCATGTTTGAGAAGCAGAGACCATCCGATCGGGCAAGAGTTGTCTGTCTGAATTGCCATGCGCGAAAGGTACAACCCACAATCCCACTGTTGGTAAGCCAGGACCAACGAAGTTCTAGGTACGATGTGACCTCGAGGATCAAACAGGTGGAGTCTGCGGCAACTGCAGAAGACGCAGCCAAGTCTGTCGGTCCGTTTTCAACCATTCATTTCCAAGGTCTGCCAATCACTTACAATACCTAGGCGTCGTGGTCGAAGATCCTACGGCACCAGGGGCCTTGGTTCTCCCCCGGCGCACAATGAATCATCCTATTCGCACAATATAAGTACTAGCCTTGAGACATCCGACAAAATTGGCCCATTGTACTCGCCTGTGACGTCGAGTCAGGACACTCAGGATGCATTTCAAATCACCAAGACCTCGGTCGAACCACAGGCCTTCGTCGCCGAGGAATCATTCATGTCTCCCTTGGCACCCCTCCAGGGACATGCAGTACCCGAGTCCGTGGGCACCATGCGTGACCATTTCTCCAAAGAGCTTCTGCGAGCTGTAGGGGCCACATCACTGCCGCCGAAGGCTCAAATCGATGCCTATGCAGACTCCTACTTCCAACACCTCTACCACCGAGCTCCTATCATCGATCGAGCAGATATATCGACAGGCCAACCGTCAATCATCATATCCCAGACAATGTGTGTCATAGGCTCACTCCTTCGATATCCTGGTATCCACTCGCCCCTCGAAGAGAGCGAGGCGTACTACTGCAGAGTGAAAGCCCTGTTGTACATCAACCACGAACCAGACCAGCGAAAGGTCCTAAAGGCACTGTGCATTCTTGCGTTCAGAAATATCACTCCTCCGAAAGTGGTTAGCCTGGACTGTTCATGGCAATGGATCGGAATGGCAACTCGTCTCGCTCATCAAATGGGATTCCATCGTGAGGAGACATACTCTCAGCTTCCGAATCCGGGGAACGCACGTCGGATAATGTGGTTCCTCTTTGTGAGTTTTTATCAACTTGTCTGCTAGATGCCTACTGAGTATATTTGCAGACCGAAGACAAGCTCCAAACTGCCTGTTTCGGCCGGCCCTCGCTATTTGGAGACTCCGAGTTTAACATTCGACCATTGGAGCTTGAGGATTTTGAATTCCAGGATATTCAAGCCGAGCTTTATATCGAGTATACAAAACTCAACGTGATCCTCGGCAGGATCGCTGACCGGCATAGCCGGAAAGGAGAAATTTCACATGAAGAGGTAACGAATCCACTCCATGAATACTTCCATCCTCTAACATACAATACCAGGCAACATCAATCCTCCAATCACTACAACACTGGGTCCATAACCTCCCCACCCAACTCCAATTATACGCCGGCGCCAATCGCCGCTCCTTTCGCCGCGACATCTACGAAGTCCATATAAACTATTTCGTCTGTCTAATAGTCTTCTTCCGCCTATTCGGCCACTGTCTCCCACCCCCAACCGCTTCAACCGCCTCAACCGCCTCCCTGGTCGCGTCGTCCTGCATAGCCCGCCTCTACGAAGAGATCATGTACCGTGATGAGATTAATTACCTGATGCCGATCAATAATTGGTTCCTCATGGTCGGATTTGCACCTCAGATTCAGCATAACTCGACTTGTCATGGGAAAGATCGTCTTTGTGGGGAGGAGTTGCCTATTCTTACCGACGTGTTGCGGCACATGCGGTTGAAGTGGCCGCCGGCCGGGGTTTTATTGGATATTATTGAGCGGTTGTGTAATGTTGAAGTTGGTGGTGGGATGTCAGACAGTGTGGATGTGCAAGATGTGCAAGATGTACAGGCTACGGAAGAGGCTTGGTCAAATCATTTGTCTCATGATCTTTTGAATGATTTGTTTCCTTTCCCTAACGAGCTTAGTCCCAGAATGGGACTTATCAAGGGAGGCGGTGATGAGCAGAGTGACCAAGTGCTGCTGGACAGGATGGTGGAATTTGGTGATGATGATTTGGATTGGATTTTCAATGAGTACCAACTTGCATTTCTAGGTGACCCGCCTGTCTGAAATATCTCTCTGGTACAACGGACGAAATTACTTCCTATTTATCTGATATCGGCTTGTGACCGCTCAAAGTAATCACAAGTGGCTGTCTGTCCCGGATCTTGCTCCCCATGGGAAGAATCGCAAAAGCCTCTGGAACAACCTAGGATCTCCTTCAACTGTCCTAGATTCAGTCGCCATCTGACCAAGAAGAAGTTGTCGCAACTCTTCCTTCGTCAGCTTCAACCGCAGTCCCACTTTCTCCAAGGGTACCGCCTTGTCGGACAACAATCTATAGGACAGAGCACCGTTGCTAAGAATGAGACGCCACGCTTGATCTTGATCCGTGACCTCAACGTCAATAACCAGCGACTCGCTCGCTGCCCTTGGCCCATCAATCTGAACCGAAAGCCCAGAGAACCACTGTTCGATGGTCAACAGCGGACCCATTGCAGGGGTTGCCATATTCACAAATTGATTTCCACTTTTAGTCTCCTGCAGATCCTGAGCCCCAGTAAGATAAAAGTTCCTCCAAGTCGCATTCAAAGAACCGTGTCCCAGTTTAGTAAAGACGGAGGCAAGCAAAGTGCGCGCTCCGACGTGTTTGGGCTCTGCGGCTATGGCATGTCCCAACAGTGTAGCCGCAAAGCGCAGATCACCACGAGAAGCATAGCCCTCCGCCAAAGTGACACACCGGTCAATCCCACCCATACAAGTGATATACCGCTTGCCCTCTTCCACGGGGGGATGTTTCCAGAGGTTGACAGGGTTCCCGTCGAACCAAGTCATGTAGCGTTGGTAGATAGCCTTGACATTGTGATTAAGCGAGCCGTAGTACCCTTGCAGATGCCACGCATTATCGAGAGTCGGGGGCAGTTTCAAGATCTCGGCAATTTCAACACCCGTCAGGCCGTCGTTCATTAGACGTACTGTCTGGTCATGCATGAAGGCGTACATGTCGCGCTGCTCGGTGATCATGCGGTTGATTTCCTCATGGCCCCATGTTGGCCAATGGTGTCCGGCTAGAAGTACGGCGGACTTATCGCCGAATAGAGCGATACTCTCATCGAGGTAATGCGACCATGCCTTGGCATCGCGGACAAGCGCACCGCGCAAAGTGATGATATTGTGCATATTATGCGTGGCGCACTCGGCAATGTAAAGAGCCTGTGTATCTGGGAAGTAGAAGTTGAATTCGGAAGGCGCCTCTGTCCCGGGTACCATTTGGAAGATGATGCGGACGCCGTCGATAGTCTTTTCCTCGCCAGTGGCCGAAACCAAGATGTTGGGCGGAATCAGGGAAGTGGTGCCCTGGGACGTCGCCAGTCCCAATCCGCAGCCAACTTGGCCTTCCGCGCTCCTCGGTAGACTAGAGCCGTACATGTACCTAGCCCGACGGCGCATAGCAGGCCCGACGTAGATGTTTTCGCTCGTGGCTTCTTCCATGAATCCTTCTGGGGCAATGATGGGAATGGTATCCTCCTTGCCCTGGGGCAGGACTCCGGATGCACCGCCGAAATGGTCTATATGAGAATGGGAGTAGATGAGACCAGTGAGAGGTCGTTCACCACGGTGTTTCCTGTACAGGGACAGGGCAGCAGCAGCACATTCATTGGACACCAGAGGATCAATCACAATGACACCCTTGTTTCCCTCCACTAGTGTCATGTTCGAGAGGTCGAAGCCACGCACTTGGTAGATACCCTTTGTAACTTCGAATAGGCCATGGGGATAAGTGAGAAGACCCTGCCGCCACAGCTTCGAATTCACGGTATCCGGACAACTACCCTGTAGAAATGCATAGTCTTGGGCATTCCAGGCCGTGCGCCCAGCCTCGGTCTTAATGGTGCATGGTTCAACAGTGCCCAAGAAGCCCCGCGAAGCATTTTCGAAATCAGACATGGTGGCGATGGATAGAGTTTGTTTTGAAAAAAGAAACGATGGCGTCAGATTACGCAGTTCAAATACACGGGGCTTTTTAAATGGCGTCAATATACCGAGTTTGGGGTATCTCGGCAAGAATCTCGGTAGACATACCGAATATACCGAAGTAGGCTCGGTATCCCCGCATTTTACCCCAGATTTTAAGACGCTGAGGTCCCACGGCCGGGGGTATGTTTTGCAAATGTTTGATTGAATGATTTTGGATGAAATGGATTCCAAAGTAGGCTCAGAGCACGTCGAGATGACCGATCAGTCGGCGGACTCGGCCATTGATGACTTCGGCTTCACGCAACGCGATCACCGGCACATTGTGCACAAAATTGATCGACGACTCATCACTGGTCTGGGATTGCTGTTTGGAGTCAGTTTGGTTGACCGGACCAATCTGGGAAATGCGTCAATCGCTGGGTACGTGACGCAAATGAGGATTTGTCCAAGGCTCCGAGGTTATTGACTGACACATTCCAGTATGCAAAAGGATCTTCACTTGGAAATCGGGTCACGATATGTGCGTTGTCTTTGTCTTTCTTGTCAATACCCTACTGACCTTACAGTCACTCGTCGTCCTCATCTTCTTCATTCCTTATGTCATCTTTCAGCTGCCGGGCTCGATAATCGTCCGTAGACTGGGTCCTAAAGCCTTCCTTGGAGGGATCACGTTTCTGTGGGGCGTTGTGATGATGGTGAGTTCAAACCTCTCTTCCAATTGCATCGTATTGATGGAGGTAGTGTTTCGGGTTTATCCACAACTGGAAGGTGATGCTCGGGCTGCGTGTCATTCTGGGAACGTTTGAGGCAGGCCTTTTCCCCGGTGCAGTTTACCTACTTTCGCTATGGTATACTCGGTGTATGCTCAATCTACCAAACTTCCAAAATTCGTTCGCTAATACTCCCAGATGATGTCCACAAACGCTACTCCTCTTTCTATCTCATAAGTACTGTTGGAGCTTCCCTCACGGGCATCCTCGCCTACGGCATCTCACAAATGGGTGGACTGGGTGGCCTGCAAGCCTGGCAATGGATATTTGTTATCGAAGGTCTTCTCACATGCGTTATCGCTGTCATCGGATACATGCTCCTGGTGAACTTCCCCCAAGATGCACACAAAGCACGCCATTTCCTATCGCAGCGAGAAATCGAGTTTGTTCTTCATCAAATTGACCTAGATCGCCGTGATGCGAAAGAAGAAGCTTTCACATGGTCTGCATTTCTCAGGCCTGCGCTGGACTGGAAAATCTGGGGCTTTGCATTGATTTTCATGTAGGTTGGACTGCCCTGTTCAAATATCGAGATGCTAACATTAGTTGCAGGTGTAGCACTGTCATCGCTTACTCTTTGGCTTTCTTCATGCCAATCATTCTGTCCAGTAGGCTCGGTTTTAGTGTTGGCGAATCGCAGGCCCTCAGCACCCCGCCATACTTCTTTGCGGGTATCCTGATGTATACCGAAGGCTGGTTGGGCGACAAATGGCGGATCCGCAGCCCTCTCATCGTCTACAATTCCCTACAGACCATCGTCGGCCTGTGTCTACTGGAATGGATAACTTCACCTGGGGTACAATACTTTGGTGTCTTCCTCGTTACAGCTGGCTGCAATGCCACCGTTCCCGCCGTCCTTTCGTGGCAGGCAAATAACATCCGAGGCCAGTGGAAGCGAGCCTTTTGCAGTGCTAGTCTGATCACTTCAGGCGGTGTAGGAGGTATTGTTGGAGCGCTTGTTTTTCGGTCTCAGGATGCGCCCAAGTATATTCCTGGGATCATTGCGTCACTTGCGTGAGTCATGACCTTACCCGTGCCCGACAGTACCGTTGGGCTAATTGCTAACGGTGATTCGGTCAGATGCAATGGTGTCATTCTTGCTGTCACCGGGATTCTTGCAATTTATATGCACTCTGCTAATCGGAAGGCTAAGCAGGGTCGCCTGGAAATTGAAGGACTGCAAGGGTTCTACTATACGCTGTGATGGGGGGATATGAATGATCTACCGAAGAATCCACCTCGAGAAATGTCAAAATAATCATCAATTAAATCTTGAATTAAATCATCAATAAAATCTTGGATTAAATCTTGGATTAAATTCAACGTCGAATAAAGAACCTTGTTTAAAGAACAATAGAACCTTGAATGAAATGTAACGAAGCGGTGGCCAACACCGCTTACAGCCGGCTGCGACGGTAAGACGTGGCGGTGGCACAATACCCGGTCCGAGTCCAATGTCGCCATCGACTCCACCGAACAAGGAAGGCGAGAACGCTCACCACAAGATCCACCTGTACAGTCGTTCACGGACTCGCCTGGGGCTTATGAGAGACCATGAGAAATAGAATATTCTTATTTTGTTTCATTTACCTAAAATGATTCTTCGTCTTTCCATTTTATTTTATTTTGTATTGAATCTAGAATAGTAACATTGGGTTCTGCCAAGGCGGCACGCAGTCACTCTAGATGTTCTTTAGAAACCTTCCACTGAAAATAATTAAACCTTTCACAGTCATGATATTCGTTCAAAGCTCATTTCGTACTATATTATATTTAGCTACGCGACTCTGGGCTTTCTTTCTTTCTTTCTTTGGGAGAAAGAGTAGTCGATGAGAAAGTGACACGACCTGTATACGATCTTACACTTCCAACTACAGGGACTAATTCAATTTTTAAGTGACATTCCACTAGAAGGTCTCACCAAGGAATAACATATTCCCTCCAATGTTCTTTAGTATCGGTCTCTTTGAACTTCTCAATGCCACCAACCACGCCGTCTTCACCCACCAGCCAATCACCCATTTCCACTTGTTCAGCCCAATTCTCCAACACTTTGTGTAGATATGAGCTTCGGTCATCCTAAGGTAAATAACCACTATAGCCACTAAATAAATCGGTCTAATATAATTGATCCCCCTCGTCGCCTTCCTCTAACCTAGTATCTTTAAATGAGATACCATTGCTACTTCGAGTAAACCCGTTGCTGCCGATGCTGAATGGCAGTAGAAGTCGACTATTGTTGCTAGATGACCAGCTAGAATGTTTATCGATGGGTTCAATATATAAACTAGAAGGGATATCCTCGGCATTTCCGTCCGGAAACCAGGGCCGAGTCTAGGGTGACTTATTCTCTCCCGCTCCCCTCGAAATAAAAGTAGAGGGAAATAGGCTGCCGGCTAAGCTTTACTATAAAAATCTCTAGGAGCAGACGGTTAAAGCGGCGTTTAGTAAGTGGCTAATTTATAAATTCGACCGGATTTTGGAGTCGGATGCTAGGGGTAATATAACGAAAATTGAGTTAGCGGACAGGAAGAGACGAGAGAAAGCACCTAGCAAAGGAGTCCACTTCTGTAAATGAGGCTTTAATGACTGACTTAGAATATAGGAGAGCTAGCTTGGCTGTGCGCGGTTATAGTTATATATCGAACTTAAAGGAAGTCGAATCTCCATAGCATTAAGTAAATAGGTAAAGGCACTGATAGCCCTCTTAATATCTATTGGGGTATATTAGTGGATCTCCTAAGGAAATTCTCGGAATACAATATCTATTGATGGCTTTCGATGATCCGAATATATTGTTATTTTGCCCTCGTCGATAATATCTAGATAGGCTTGCAGAATATATTATACTAGCCGCTATAGCCACCGTTCCTTATCAGAGCAGATTATATCAGACCAGTCTAGGACAAAGGTAGCGAGCTCGGTTTCTTAATCAAATCTATTTAGCCTATAAGTTCTTTTTCTCTACTAGATTCTAGTAAACCTTAATGGGAATCTCACAGAATGCCGACTTCTTCATCACTCTTCGTTTTTGTCGAGGGATACAACCACACATAACGATCCCCCCCCCATCCGAGATAAGCGTCTATATTAAGTTCATGTTTCCCATGGCGCTCTATTAGGTGATAGAAAAGATAGAAATCCGAATCAGAGTCGAACGTAGTGGCTCTTGCCGACCGCAGGAACCTGATCAAGTTCGGGTTTAGGCGAGATGCGAGATCAAATGGAATCGGGGACGACTCTTCCCACCAGGTCTTGGACGGAAGTGAAGCGACATCTCGTCCGGCACCAATCCACGCACGTTCAAGAATCTGGTTGTGAAGCTGGGCCGATAAATGGGGGTCAAATACAGTAGTAGTCATTGGCATCTTGGCTGGATGGAAAATAGATCACGAGGGGGTGCATAACCAGGTGGACAGCCGCTCAGAAGACATAGGTCTTCCTGAAATTTATGTTGAACGAACTGTGCCCCTTAATCTAATACGGCCCGCTCAATAAATAATATGCACTAAGGTCTTAGCGGTGCGGCCAGAAAAGAGTTTCTCAGTGTATATTGGTCAAGCCAATTTCGAGATTGACTAAGATCTACGGATTGACTAAGATCTACGAAAGAAAAATAGATTAAAAAATTTAAAAAAATTAGAAAGAAACCGAGATGTGAGTCATTGGTCAGTCGACATCATGTTATTTCACGGTTAAGCCCGAAGCTAGAAAGTAGTAGCCACGGTGTAATAGGGGAATCTGAAAGACTAGAGAAACACACAGGAAAATATGTGGGTAGAAGAAAATATGTACATGGGACCCCGATGGACAATGCAAGATACTGAAAGTATCTGGATGACGCGATCGAGCACGTAATGCTTGGTCCATAGAAAAGAGAAATCACCCGGATCCTGGAACCTGGCGTGATACGAATGCAAAACGCCGACCCATGACGATCGGAATTGAGTTATCACAAGAAAATATCACCCTCGGCAGGGGATGTGTTGATGCAAGTCGCGAGAACGGGGGTATCGGGCGACGTAGTAGATATAAAATTAAAATCGCGTCTGGAAGACGATATCGTCCCCTTGGTCTGTAACGAACCCGCGATTAAACGAGATAGATACAGCGAGAGGTGGGAAAGCAAGAACTTTTTTTGGGGTGATCGTGAAAGTCGTGATTGTCGTGATGAGGGTGAGCCGTTTAAGCGGTACCCTTGAGCTTGCCCCAACCCATCTCGAAGCCACGGCGGGCCATGTCGCGAGCACGGTCAGCGACGGAGCCGGTACTGCTGTTGGTGGCGGTGCTGCCGGTAGAGTACTTGCGGCTGAGGCTGTTGCTCGAGTCGTCGCGGTACATCATGTTGCCGGCACCGCCGCGGCCAACGTGGTAGACGGGAGCGGCACGGCGGAGGTCGCGCTCGAGTTCCTCGTCGAAGCTGAAGATGGCGCGCTCGCTTGAGCTGTGGACGTTGCCGGCGCCACCGCGGCCGGAAGTAAAGGTTGACGGGGCACGCGAGTCGAGACGAGTGAGCGAAGCAGGGCCGGTGGCAGTGCGCGAGTCGGTGGTCTTGGTGTTCTTGAGACTAATGACGTTGCCCTGGCCTCCGCGACCAGTGAACACAGCCGGACGGCCGGTGTGAGGCACCGAGGGGTGCGGCTCAATGAGGCGGTAATTTGAAGAAGGCATAGTTGTAGATGCAAAAGTATGTAGCTGCCAGGCAAGCTATAACGAGACCAAGTCCATGTGCAAAAGAAGTGAAGCAAATGAAAATTTTGCTAAATCGCAGAGGATCGTGGACCCCAGCACCACGGCGGGGACCGAGTTATATAGTGTGTTGGGGCTATGGAGTCCATTTGCGACCAATTTTCACCATGTCACCATGGCCAGGCACGACATCCACGGGTCACACGCTGGATGGGAAGTGGGTCTCTGGGTCGCTGTGGGGGATTTTATTTTTTCAATTTTTTTTTTTTGTTCTCCTAAATTTCCTACGGCGTCATGAATGGGGTCAAGCGGCAACGACTCAGGGCCGTTTCGGGCGACGTGAGAGGGCGGACTAAGCAACGTGGGTGCTCCCGCAACAGCCTGTGCCGGGATATCCGGGTATGATTGGACCACATACACCAAAAGGCACCCACTGGACCCACCCGATCCACCCACAAGGCCTGGCCGCTTTAATCGAAAGCCGGCGCTGAGCGCAGTCATCTGACTGGCACCTCATCCAACCATACGGGCCAACACGTAACAGAAACTGCAGTGGGCGCCAATGAACGGCGTCGGCGTTTAAAACAGGAATGAGCGGCGGTTTCCATTACCCCCAGAAAACTCCCGAAAAAACCTCATGCTCCCTGAAAGCGGTTGTCCAGACTCTCGAACAGCCTGGCAACCTGTAATACCGTTCACCGCATCCCCCTTCCCTGACACCTCGTGGCTCGGCTCGGTTTTCTATGCCCATTGTCATATCCCGTGTGACCGTGACTGGTTCACGATGTATTGCATCATCCCGGACTGTCTTTCTATTCTCGGTTTGACGTGGAATTCGTAACCCGATGTCGTGCGATGGCAGCAATGACAATGGCCATTTGGCCCGGGGACCCGTGAGCAGCGCACTCGCCCTCAAGGTAGATCAGATGTATCTACCTTGGTAGGACACGATGGTATCCGTCCAGTTCTCTGTCCAAAGGGCTTGCCGATCTCAGCACGATGACTCCATCGCGATGGGTTTTGCGCGATAAATTTTACCCAATTTTTCTCCTCGGCCTCCGTCGATCCGCTCTAGGGCTACTACTAGTGTCAATTCGCGGTACCTGGGGGCGATCACCTTGAGAACAATTCACGCACCGTGCCTGAAATGCCTAGGATGACGAGGCGTTGCCCCTGCACAATATTCAGCGGTCATTCGAACCGGCTTTGCCACGGGGTGCGCACGTTAGTCTCGTCCGGTTTCCCCTGGATCAGAACGCCTGGTTGCCCCCAAGTTCAAGTTCAGGCAGGGGACGAAACTAAGCCGGAAACGGAAGTCAGAAAAATTCTCCCACTCAGGTGCGCTGACTGGCCGAGAGGCCCGACCACGGTGAATGGTGGCCAATTAGGGTCAGCTGTCGTCAGTGCGCTGTTTCCCCAGATTTTCGACTTCCCCGGACTCCGACAGGACTTGCCTCTGTGGTTGATCCTGCCTTTCTCTAACATCCTAAGATCACGCTGCGCATGCCTCGTCTAGGGCCTGATCAGACCCCATGATATTGCAGGTAGCCCGAGCGTATTTCGGACCATGGAAGACCATGGAAGACGCTGGAAGAGCGCGTTACCTCGGGATCCCCTGGTCTGTACCCGAGAGATCATTTCCGCCTCACCTGACGACAGGGTTCTGTTTCAAGTCCGTAGCCGTCACTGGGTCCTGGGAATATTCTGGACACTTACCCTATTCTCAATCAACTAAGCCTTCGTACTGACATGACACGTCTCTAATGAGAACCGTGGAAAGTGTCCCCCGCACTCCATGGCCAGTATCCCACTCAATGCGGAACGAAGCCATCCCCAAGCGGGATATTATCCGGCCTCCGCACGTCGCACACATCACCTCGGCGCCATCCCCATCGTGTAATCCGTTCCCATAAAAACCCTCATCCATGCTCATGTACCCTGGTGGAGACAGCTGGAGCCAGGCCACCGTCTCTCCCACGTTATTATCTAATGGTGAAGCATGATGACACATGATTACCATCGAGGGCTGGTCTCGACCACCGGGACCGGGTCCTCCTTCCTGTCCGGCCGGCAAGGTGCTTCGATGACGCAAGATGTCTTCATTCTGCCATGGGCATTGCTCATATGTGTCGGCTGTAGCGGAGTTGGTGATCAATTGCGCGATTTACGTGCTCGGATGTTGCGCGACGTAGTATGTATTTGCAATGAGAACTGTGCTTTCCGGAGTTCTGTCAATTGTGACACGTTGGCTAGGGTTTGGAGTCGGGGCTTAGCAATGTGGATTTTCAAACCTACCGGATCCTGTGTCAGGGCATGTGTTATCGGTACTTGGGATCTGGGCGGCTGCCGCTGGGTGATCACCGTTCTGGATAAAATGCTTAGCTTGTGTTGTACGAGGGACTGACTTACGGTCCGGCTGCTATAATCACCCAAACAGAGCCATTGATACAGCTGGACGTTGGCCTCGCCGGGCGGCCATGATTGTCTCTCCAGGCATAATCAAGAGACGTTTGAAGAAACATTGAAAAAGGGAATCAATAGATGTCTAGGATTACTTTCAAAGAAACATTGGCTATCTGGGAGAAGGTTAAAATGGACTTTCGTTTTTCTGTCGATTCTAGCACCATACTTCAGCAGGTACCGAACTCCATTTTTCTTCCACTAACTACAGCCGCAAACAACGCTGACTCCTCCCAATTTCATCTGTCCATCTTGGCGTTTTGACCGAGCAGCCGAACAATACTCACGTGTCTTTGCCTGCAGCAATCTATAGCACTGTATTTTCATGAGACATAAATATTTGACCATGTCTGCATGTCCGTTCTTCGCAGCCTGGATGACAGCAGTTTTACGATCTTTGTTCATTGCATCCATGCTCGCGTGCTTGGCGAATACCAGTAGAGCAATGACAGATTGTCATGGGTTTGTTGTTCGTAGTTCTTCGCCACGTGGGCGAAGCATCCCGTGATATCTGGTTGGCTGAAGTGGCGACAGTATTTCCGTGATTATCTTTTGGGGTTTCTTCTAGATCCAAGTCGATTACATCTTGAGTAATGTGAACAAGACCCAGAATGTCGTCTCCAAACTTTCCTTTCCGAGACTGGATATGTTCAGGTCGAAACTCCGAGAAAGCTCTTAGGGCTTTGATCCCAGCAGTTTGAAGCTCTTTGCGTCGTGGCCGCCGTGATATCAAGCTAACTTTATCGTGTTGGTACTGAGAGAGTTCAAGGTTTGCGCCGATAACAACATTCGCTGCATGATCTTGCCAAATCGATCTGTTGGGTGAATCCTTGCGATTAGTCATTTCAGGTGACCGAGAATCGATACGTTGATATCGTGGTATAGGTTTCGAAGGCGTTGAAGATTATCGTATCAGGCATGAAGCCCTATCTGACCAAATAATACAATTTTACGGAATCAGGATCAAAAGACCCATGTCTGTTTCCAGGACCGCGATGAGAGAAACCAGTTCATACTAGATCTGTTCATAGAGATCAGGCAAAGTGACAACCGACCGATAGAGGGAGCGCACTGACGAATGAAGGTAATGGCACTTCCCGCAGGAGTGTGCTCGCTGCAGTAGATAATATTTGCAGATTTCTAGGTCGAAATGCTTCATACAGATATTGCTGTTGCGTTCACCTACAGATCCCCGAAAACCGCTCCGCCGTTGAGGTCAATGATGCCTGAATGTGAGGAAGACATGACGAATAAGTAAATTTGTGTCAAGCTTGAACTCCCAGTATTTTTATTTAGTGCGTCTATTCAGGAGCCCCTAGTTTTGGGGTTGGGTAGTTAAGCTAGAAGTGATACTTTAGCACTGGCCCGATAAGGCCTAATTTTGCCACGCGTCACCGCCTAAATGCTCCTCGCCATCAAAGCTGCTCGACGTCCTGCGCCCCTCCGTCTAGCAATCTCTCCAACATTGTTCGTCCCGTCGCCTATCGCAAGGGCTTTAACTGAGTCTGAGATACCTTGATAAGCTTCACAATATCCGAAACAAGCCCAGACACCGGTCAAGCGATTCCCATCCCGAACGGGAATTTTCGTCTCGCGCGCAACTGCGGCCAAGTGCTCGCAGAATAAGCCGAGAAGATGCCGAAATATATGTACCCTTTAGTTCCCTATGATCGAGAAACTCAAGCTGACATACTTTGCACTCTTTTGTAGGTGCTACTAGTTCTGATTTTTGCCCCCCGCGAACTCCCCGTGATATCGGCCTGGTTCCGGACCCGGCCAGATCGACAAACCTCATATATCGACCACTTTCCGGAGCACAAGGGCTAGGTAGCTGACATTTGTATTTGACTACAGGCGACTACTGCGATGTCTACCTCACGCACGACTCGATGAGTGTGCGCAAGGCCCATAACTCCGGCCGCAACCACCTCCGAAACGTGGTGGAGTACTACCAGCGTGAGTTTGGAACCTTGGTATACGGGATTCTAGCGAGCAAGACTGACAATGTCACATCCAGAAATCGGTCAAGAGAAAGCCCAGTCGGTCATCGATTCTATCACCTCTTCTTACGCCGCCGAGGGCCAGCCTCTCCCCAATCCCGCCATGGTGCCTGGCGCATTCCCTCCTCCCTTTGGCTTCCCTGGTACGTTCATACACCGCAGCCTGATATCGAAGCACCAACCAAAAACTAATCGCGTATGAAGGTCTTCCAGGACAAGGCCCACCCCCGCCCTTCGGTCTCCACGGCCTTCCACCCCCCGGAGCTCCAGGCGCCCCAGGAATGTTGCCTCGTAAGTCAAACCAAACATAAGCATACAGCCCGTTTAAGCATGGCCGGCAGTCCACTAACAAGGTTCATGACAATCGGACAGCCCCCGGCGGTCTCCCGTTCCCGCCTCCCTTCCCGCACGGCAACGCTACCGGTACTCCTCCCCAAGGAGGCTTCCCTCCTCCGTTGCCCAACATGCCCGGAGGCGCAAATCTTCCCCCCTCCTCCCGGTGGCTTCCCGCCAAACTTCCCGATCCCCCCGCCCGGCATGGCGGGAGGCGCCTTCCCTCCCCCGATGCCTGGCCACGCCGGTGCGTCGAACTCGCCTATTCCCACCGGGCCCCGTGGTTCAGAAGGGTACGCTCCGCCTCCCGGTCGGGGAGACAGGTGGTGATTCCCCAATCGGTGCGGTGTTATGCTCTTAACTTTTTCTTTACGGTTCCCTATATCGACGTCCTCTCATATCGGTTGAGATCTCCAACCTACTCATGATCACGTTGCGTCTTGTCCTTTGGCGTTCTCCCTACAAAAGGGAAATCGTCGCGAAAGAGGGCAAAAGGATCTTCTGCTTCTACGGTGTTATCACGGTGTTGTACAATAGCGTTTTCTGTTTTTCACTTGCACAAGAAACTTACGGTACCGAGAATTCTGTCAAGGACTTGGGTTTCCTTGGACTATAAAAACCCGTCACGGGGTAGGAATGCATAACCAAGAACCCACTGTTTTAAAGAAGCAAATCAAATCTTTCGTATCAAGTTGCCGTTTCTATACCAGTCACATTGAGCATGAAGGAGTAGACAAGATCTCGTTTAAACACTAGGACGGACTACTTTGCGCGTACTATGCCGTACAAAGAAACGCAGACCCAAAGGGTACGCTGGAACGAAAAAAGGAAAATTTATATTCCAAGCCCACGAGAAACCCAAGGCCGATCCCCGTAATCCAAAATGCATCAGAAACGCCAGCTTGTAGTAAGGAAAAGAGAAGTACACGTCGACCGCAAGGGTGGAAATACCTTCCACTAGGGGAGGGAAAAGGTTTGAGACAGAAGGAGAAAGAAAGGAGGGGTGTGTAGAGAAAACATGGTTGAAAAGCCGCTCCCATAGGGAGGATGGGTATAATCACACCCAGGTAAGGTGGATTGAGAAGAGAAGAGGAAGAGGGGACAGTCGACGAAAAGCAGTGGACAGATTCAACAACCAAAAAAATAAGATACCGGACCCAAAAGGATGGCGGATGGAAAGGATCATAGACCATCGCTGCCCGCTAAAAATTGACATATCTTCATCTCAGGAAATTCTGAAAAATAATTCAAGAACTGTTTTGACTTCGCCTAGTGGTCGTAGCCAGCTCCCCGCTGCCATGGGCTGGAATTGTTTTGGGCTCTGAATGTTGGTGCCATGGCAGATACACCGACTGGCGCATCCCCATAGTTACCAGGACGGGGTGACGCTGACCGACCAAAATGGTCGTAGCCAGGCGGGGATCCCCGTTGGGGAGAGCCGTTGCTAGGGAAGAGCGGTACTGACGGATCCACGGGCGAGTGCGGGGGCTGGCCATGGGCACCGTTGTGGGCGACATTCAGGTTGTTGTGGCCGATGTTGGCCCCGTTGCCACTTGAGATGGAAGCAGAGTCGTCGTCGAATGGGTTCTGGTGGTACTGTCCAGACTTGAGGTCGCCGCGAGCGGTGGCACCCAGAGCATCCAGCTCGGTGGTCAGCTGGGTCTGGGACTTGATGAAGGAGCCCCGGTCATCGCGCATGGGCTGGTAACGGGTGTCAGGGTCCTTTGACACAACGGCATAGACTGACGCAATCAAGACGAGAACAAGAAGAACCAGGGCGAACGCTGCATTGTAGACGAAGAAGATGACACCCATGACACCAATCATCATGCCAGGCGGGTTGAAAACATCAGAGAAGACCAGCAGGAAAATCACGTTAAGGAAGTTGACAACGGCAATAGAGATGTTGTAGATGTTGGTCTTCTTGTCCATCCACGGGCGCAGAACGCAGACAGCAATCAGCATACCAGCCTCCAGAATCACAAGGGCGACAGTCTGGACGACCGGAGCGGACTGGCTCAGACCGATGAACATTCCCTTGACGAAAAGATAGCCGAGGTAGGGAACGACAAAGTAGTACGCTGTGGCCCGGTACTGAACATACAGGAAACCCCACTTGTTGAGACAGGAGGGGTCTGAATACAGGATATAAGCCGGGTTTTTGTGCATGGTCACCGAGCGCTTGGCAAGACGAATGACCTTTTGAGCAGCCCAGCCCAATGCGACGAGCAAGGACAGAATCATAACCACGGCCAAAACAACTTCGGCAGCCGAGTCGCGCTGGGTGAACTCCCAGAGGCAGAGAACACACATCTGGGGGAAACCAATCAAAGTCAAACGGAACAAAATCCCGCGAGTGACAACCTTCCAGCCGTTGCGGAAGTCCTGGAACTTGTCACTCTTCATCTTGCCATTCCTGACCAGCAACTCGCAAATTCCCTTGAAGGAAGCGACAATGAGGATAACAACACAGACGAAGACGACGAAGAAAATGAGACCGGTCAAGAAGATGTTTGTTTCCTCGATGTTGGCACGGAAGCCGACACGATCGATACCACGCACAATCAAGAGCTTCTGGCTGGAGCTGGACCGCTTCGACAGGGAGCTCAGTCCCCGGGAGTCAAGTGCGCGCCTCATCATGTTGATTGCAGGGTCAATGAAGTCACGCTTGCGGCGGCGCAGCACCTCCACAGAGGTATCGCCAAGTTGGGAGAGAACGGTGGAGGGAGTACCGCCTGTCGCGCGCTGGTACCAGGTACAGATTGTCTGCAGGAATCCGATGTGGATGATACCCATACTCCACTGGAAATTCTGGGTCCACGACTCCACAATTGGGGGCATATGCACCGAAGTCATACCAATCATGGCCTGAGACTGCATGAATCCGAAGAGAGAGAGCGCGTTTGCCGCAACGTGAGCTGCAGTATTGGAGTGTCCCAATCCAGAGGTAATGGCAGATGCTGCCAGACCCACGCCGGAAATGATAGCAGTCGTCCATGCGACACCCAACTGGTAGACGGTCTTGTTGTTGGAAAGATTGGCTTCCACACAGGCAATCTTCTCTCCGGTATCCTTCCTCTTGATGACAATTTTCACAGTCGCATCGAGATCGGGAACAGTATAGGCAATTCCGGGAATGTTGGAGGCCGTGTCTGAAGGAAGAGGAAGAGAAACGGGACCCAGGTCAATGGGACCAGGGGCCATCGGGCACATACCCATGCCGGAGATATTGCAGGGGTCGACAGTACTCGAGTAGGCCTCGTAACCGTAAGCAGTCAGCGTCATGTCCGCGATGACCTTGCCGGAAATATAGGATACACCATCGAAGCCGATCGTGAGCGTGTTGTTGTTGGGGTAGAAGACGACATTAAAGTAGGTGGCAGTGAAATTGCTAGACTCCATGCACACGTTCAGCGCATTGGACTCCAGCAGCTTCACTGCGGACACCATCGGCGCCAAAAAGGCAACGAAGAAAGTGAGCAATGATAACGACCTCATACTGGCGATCTGCAATCAAGGCCGTCAGGTAGAGAATTCGAAACGGGCGGGAAGGTGACGGGAGAGAAAGAGTGTGAAGGCGATTGTCAGATCGGTACTCCAGAGTACCACGTTGGCAGCCGCCGGATGCGGAAGTGTCCCAGGCGGCGAAGTGGGTGACTAGGGTGGGACCGCTGAAATTCCAAGGTCGCCGTAGATGTGGCAATAGATGTTACCTTTCAAAGGCGTGCGATATTGGGAATGCGATAACTCGGTCGGTTTATTTATGACCTTTCACAGCGTCATCGGGTCTCCGAATCAAACAAGGGGTTTGGTATATGGTCAGTGGAGTTGAATGACAGTACGTGGACGGTATCCGAATGGCGACGAAGCAAATTGCTGCCAGAGTAGAAGCTAGGGCCGGTAAGAAGTGAAAACGGCGAATGGAAGGCGACAAGAGGCGGACTGGTTGGAAAAGGGAGGTAGCGTAGTTGGGTGGAAGAGCGAGCGAAACGGCGACACACACAGTATGGGCCAAGGAGTACCGAAGTACAGGGTTGAGAAGGATGCGAAACGGATCCCTTGAGCAGGGTGCAACAAGTGTACAGGTGTACAAAGAGAAGGGAGTTAAAGATGGGAAGTCCTGGAGCGCTTTGCCTCTCGTGTTTCAGGGACAGACGGCGGGTCCGGGTGGAATGTGGACTGTACCGTAACGGCCCTGTAATTACACCGTAAAGTGACCCCAGTGCGGGTGCCCAGGCCCAATAAATGGAAATTACCTGCGTTCCAGTTTGTTTCCCAGGCCACCGGGTCCTGAGGCGCTTTTCATGTGTACCATGCCCGGAGAGGGGGTCTATATTAAGGCACCCGGGCATGTGGCCCTTGTCATTGTTTGTACCTAGGCCGAGAGTAGGCTCTCGGACTCTCTATATCTACCGCCTAGGTAGGTAGTACCTTAACAAAAGACATAGTTATAGAGTAGACCTGTGCACACGCGTCCTCAAGAGTGGTTCTGGGCCCCGGAAGCGGTTGATGGATCGCGGCGGGTTCTAGCGGGTCATCATTTGCTGAAGAGACTGTATTATCTCATCTGCCCAGAGGGAACTGTGGAGGTGCATCAACTCACCCGCTGTCTGGTTGGTGTGCCAGGTGGACCGCTGCACATCGTTACCCTCGGGGCCACGAGTACCGTTCCCGGGGGCCTTCTTTGCATGGCTCCTTAGGGTACTCCGTACTTCCGTATCTTGTCTGCCTGGCGCACACTGAGCCTAATTTCTTTATACCCCTGAATGGAGCAAGGGGGTAAACAAAAAAAAAAAGTCACGGGCCTTCATTCTTCTCTACAGCATAACAATCTACATGTCTCAAGGATCAGACCCTCAGACGTCAAGTATACCATGGTAAAGACCAAGTCGCTCATGACCACACGTGATGGCCAATCTGTGTCTCACAAGACCACGACTTAAAATTAAAATTAAATCGAGAACGAGAACGAGGATCGTGATCTTCGAGCAGTCGCAATCACATTACTAGGGCTTTAGCGTCTGCACAGCCTCCTTTGCCCACGCATACAATTTTGCATGTAGATTCACCCAAAAATGTTTGGTGTCAGATTTCGGGCGCTAGGAGCTCGACTGGAAACGTCTCCACGTGTGCTCTAGAACGCTTTGCACATCGAGTCCTAGAAGTTTTCGAGCCTGGTTCACTCCTGATCGTCGCGGGGAGAAAGTGGTGATCGAAGCAGATCGGCATGACGTGGGTGTATCCCGTCCAGTCTCCATCCCTAGCACGCCATTGACCCGTGAGCGGGTGCGACTGAGAAGCTGAAGCCGATGCGCGTACGGAGTACTGTATTACGCTGGGCTGTCACGGCTTCCAACGCGAGCCATGGGTCGCACCCTATTTTTGGATCAGGGTTTAATTTCGCGCCATTACGTGGCTCTGAATTGGCCCGTCTATTTTTCCCTTGGCCGTCGCCCCCTCCTGATTCGTCCTCGCTGCGCTTGTCATAAAATCTCTGTTATGCAAATTTTGAGTATTTTCAATGTATTCGTCTAGAGCCTTGGTAGCCGCTTGGCTCGTGTACATTCAACGGACCAATCAGTTTAGAAGATGGTTGCCGCCCGAGTGGACCGCTGTCGAGTGTCTTGCGTGTCTCAACTGGCCCTCGTGGCACTCACTGTTGTAATGCCGACCGTGAAGGTCATTTTTCTCAAGCACAGCGCCGTCTGGCAATTAACAGCCAAGAGCCAATCCCCTGAGACCGAGCCCTTGGCGTGAGACATTACAGTAGTAATGACTAACTACATCGTCGTCCGGCGCTAGAGTGAATCAAATCCCCGCTCCGGGGCCCGGCCAAGGTCGCGGCGTCTAGGCATATGTCTCGCGTATCCGTAGAGCCCGGGGGGGTTCTTGGGCACGTACTTCTGCATGAGAACCGTCCTCGACTTCCGGTACTATGCTCGCTCACGCCATGTGCTCACGAAGAGGTGGGGTGACACAATTTACCTGAAACTCTTAATACCTGATGAGAATCAGGCGGCCAGATGGTGCCTCTTAAACGAGTCCAATCGAACGATGCTTGAATTGCTTCGTGTATAGTCTCTAGCTAACTACGCTCAATTTCGTTAACTAGTTAACTTGCCTACCAGATCGGCGCCTGATAAAAGGGGCACCAAATGCCCTATCAGCACGTGATATGGAGATTCTGCCGAGTCTCACCGATCAGGAAAAAAAAGTAGCAGAATGATTTTCCGCAGCGATAGCCATCTCGAAAATCAAAACACACCGGTCCACGCAGACGAACCAATCCGATTTTCGGGTTTCTCTACTAAGACTTGCCTGACCCGCACTATTTTCTGTGCGCTCAACCGGCAAGATGCCCGGCCCCGTGGACACCGCAAAGTCCATCACGAAGAAGCGCAAGAGAAAGCACGGTGCCAAGTCCGCTGATAATGAGGAAGCACCCCAGCCCGTGAAGGCTCAGGCTAGCCCCAAGGTCTCCTCAAAGAAGGCCGCTGCGCCCTCTAAGCCCGCATCAGACAAGTCGACGAAGAAGCGCAAAGTGAGCCATTCGCCCAGCGACGATGAGGAGAGCGCCGACGAGGTCGAGGAGCAGGAGAATGGGGACGAGAATGAGGACAGCGAGGAGGAGTCTGAGGAGGTCGCCGATGCCGTCGATGAAAAGGTGGATGATGCTACGGACCTCCCGGTCATGGGCGATGTCCGCCTTCCCCAGATGGAGGGCGAGCTGCAAAAGTTCACCGAGCTGAACCTCTCCGAGAAGACTATGAAAGCAATTCAAGATATGGGCTTTGAGACTATGACCGAGATTCAGCAGCGTACCATTCCCCCGCTCCTTGCTGGACGTGATGTCTTGGGTGCGGCGAAGACTGGCTCTGGAAAGACTTTGTCCTTCTTGATTCCCGCAATCGAGATGCTGAGCGCATTGCGCTTCAAACCGAGAAACGGTAAGTCCACTCCCGAGTTCTTTTGCCCCAGGCCCTTTGGAAGATCGCCATACTGATTCTCTCCGCAGGTACTGGTGTTCTCGTCGTCTCTCCTACCCGCGAACTGGCGCTGCAGATCTTCGGTGTTGCCCGTGAACTCATGGCACACCATTCTCAAACCTACGGTATCGTTATTGGTGGCGCCAACCGTCGCGCCGAGGCCGACAAGCTGGCCAAGGGTGTCAACCTGTTGATCGCCACTCCCGGTCGTCTGCTCGATCACCTCCAGAACACTCAGGGCTTCGTCTTCAAGAACTTGAAGACCCTGGTCATTGACGAGGCTGATCGTATCCTCGAGGTCGGTTTCGAGGATGAGATGCGCCAGATTGTGAAGATTCTTCCCACTGAGGAGCGTCAGACTATGCTCTTCTCCGCCACTCAAACTACCAAGGTCGAGGATTTGGCCCGGATATCTCTGCGCCCTGGCCCACTTTATATCAACGTTGACCACCGCAAGGAGCACAGCACAGTGGAGGGGTTGGAGCAAGGCTACGTTATCTGTGAAGCCGATAAACGTTTCCTGCTTCTGTTCTCCTTCCTCAAGCGCAACCTGAAGAAGAAGATCATTGTCTTCTTCTCCAGCTGTAAGTGCGTTAGTTACCACGCAGAGCTTCTGAACTACATTGATCTGCCCGTTTTGGAACTGCACGGCAAGCAAAAGCAGCAAAAGCGGACCAACACCTTCTTCGAGTTCTGTAATGCTAGCCAGGGCACCCTGATCTGTACCGATGTTGCTGCCCGTGGTCTTGATATCCCCGCCGTCGACTGGATCATCCAGTTCGACCCTCCGGATGACCCCCGTGACTACATTCACCGTGTGGGTCGTACTGCCCGTGGTTCCAACGGCAAGGGCCGCAGTTTGATGTTCCTGCAGCCTTCAGAGGTCGGCTTCCTTAAGCATCTCAAGGAGGCGCGCGTGCCCGTCGTCGAGTTCGAGTTCCCCCAGTCAAAGATCGTCAACGTTCAGTCCCAGCTGGAAAAGCTCGTTGGACAAAACTACTATCTAAACAAGGTCAGTACACAACCTACTCACATCACATGAATTATAGCTAATCCTCATATTACAGTCCGCGAAGGATGGATATCGATCATACCTGCAGGCGTACGCCTCCCACTCTCTTCGCTCCGTATTCGACGTGCACAAGTTGGACCTCGTCAAGGTGGCCAAGGGCTTCGGATTCTCGACCCCACCGCGCATTGACATCTCACTGGGTGCCAGCTTGGGCCGTGACAAGAAGCAGGAGCAGCAGGGACGGCGGACGTACGGCAGCCAGCCCAAGAACGGGAAGGGGCTGAAGTTCAAGCGCAAGCACGATGACTAGTGTATGAAAGGAATGTGGTACAAAAAGTAACTGGTCGTCTGCATCTTCATTACCGGCATGGAGTTTACTAGTGTAGATATATCTATTTCAATTTCCCATGACTATTTCTAAATGATTTTCCTCCTGTCCTTTACGCAGTCGACAACAGCTCCGGGGCCAACCTGTCGGCTAGTAGCATCGGATACATAGCGAGAGATGCCAAGGCCGTCTCTCCCTTACCCTATTGCAGAATCTGCCGGAATGCGAGGGCCCTTCAAAGTTTATGCCATGTGGAAAAATCCTTCCACGTGGAGCATGAGAATTTGCCCAGATAGGCAAACACCCCATGTCGGAATTAGATGAGAAGGAAGGGCAGGGCGGCAATCGCACGGCTATACCTGTCAGTCTCCATCGAACTAAATTAGTGCAGCTCGGGCCCTTGCTCTTAGGGCCCTGCGGCTGATTAGGCTCTCACCAAATGGCACCTGTCAAATTTCAAGCCTTGCTAGTGCTGTGAAGGCGAGATGTATCGAGAGCATCGGTCTTCGCGGGTACATAGCGAACCAAAGCCCTAGTGTAGGACCGCAGGGTAGGACGGGCGGGGATAACTTCAGACTTCTTGTCTGGGGCTCAAATAGCAAAGACTTATCCTTGCGGGAGCTAGAATCGCGGGAAGGCAAGACAGCATCAAACCCCCCCTCGCCCCGGTGAAGAAACTATGCGACCTCATCCTCACGCTTTACGGGCGTTCATGTAGGCGCAGAAAGAACGAACTGCACACCTGTAGGTGCGGCCCCGATAGGAATATTTAGTGACATGCAGAAACCCCCTTGCAAATGGCGCGCATGGGGCGTGAATCTCCAGAATTGAAATCGAAATCGAAATCCAATTGCCAGCCTCAGATCAAGCCGTAAAATCGTTTAGAGATGTGACGAAAGTGATGAGTTGGCAGGCGCCAGGGCCAATCACTGGGGCTCCGGACCGGGGTCGTCGGGTCGTCTAGGCGACCAGTCAAGTCGATCCGGTTCTGCATCTCGGCCAACTGATTCCCAGCGGGTCCCACGGAGGGCCGCAGCTGATCCGTGTGCGCCTTGTGTGAAGAGGGGGTGTCAACAGCTGTCAGCGTGTGGGAGTGGTAACGAAGCGGTACCTGGATGGCAAAGGGGAAAGTGATGCCGGGAATAGAGTGTAGAGTGTAGAGCGTAGAGAGTAGAGAATAAAGTGTAGATAGTTAGTTACCAGCCACCCAGCGAACAACCGGGGAAACCGAAGAAGATCCGGGATCCGCAGCCCAATCCACGGTTCCCGTTTGTTTATGGCACATCTTACTTTCAAGTCCAGCCATCCTTTTTTTTTCTTACGGGTTTATTACGCTGCCCATGCTTCATCCCTCGCATGGCCCTCTTCTCTTCTTTCTCTTTCCCCCTTCATCCTCCCCCCCATCCATTTTTTAGCCCAATCGGCGGCGATCTGCGGAGAGGCGCTCGTCCGCCCGCATAGCAACCACCTCACTTATCTTCACCGTTGCTTCTCCCCTTCCTCTTCTCCCCCTCGCCGTAAGGTGTCTGCGCTGGTACGCTGAATCCTCCTAATATTCAAACTCATCCTTCCGAGTTTCTTCTCCCATTCCTCTCCCATCGATCCTCCCTCCCAGCCTCCTCTTCTCCCCCCACCATCGTCAACCCGAAAGCACCCAAGTGGCCACCACCCCATCTCCGGGAAAATCCATCTTTCTCGATCACAGGAGCATGCGATTGTCGGGCTGAGCCAGGCAGCCCGTCTCCACCATGGGGGTCGATACTCGCAGACCACTCCTTCCCGCCCCCACAGAATCCATCATCGATAGCACGGGCGACAGCGCAACACCCACAGATCTGGCCACTGACCTTTCTCGCCGCACAGACAAGACGTCGTACTCGATCCCGGACGACGGCAGCCCTATCACTGTCGCCACTCGGCGCCATCGGGATCACGACGAAAAGGTGTCGCGCTCACATCGTGATTCCCAGACTTCGCTTCTCATCGAGTACTTCGAGGGCGGGAAAGGCCCAGGAGGCGTGTTATCAAGACCCAGTGTGCGAGTGCGGGTGACGCCCTCCGGTGCCAGGAAGGCCAAAGACCGAGACCACATCCAGATCACCGAGTCCGGTGGAAGTCGCAAGCCATCCTACACGCGCCGTATCTCTCTCGCCTCGCCATCGAAACATAAACAACCGGCCGATTCCGCGGTGGATGATCACAGCGCCAGTGACAGCAACTCAGCCGAGGAGGAGAGTCCACAATCTTCACGGCGCCCGCCTGTTGAAATCGAGTTTATGAATCGCGACCAAGGCAGCGAGCTGTCTGCAGTCTCGCGCGACACGAGATACATGCCTCCATCATCGGATATCTCGTCCATGCCTGCCGACAGCATGATCGATGCTCTCTCGTCGGCTGGACCTCGGCGGAAACGAAGCCAGAGTCTCGAGCGCGGTTCACCCCGCGAAGAGAAACAAAAAGGACATTTGAAGGCACCTACCCGGCAACGAAGTCGTAGCTTGAGTACCGAGCGCATCGCGCATCGCGTGGCGGAGAAGCTCAACGAGTCGCCCAAAGAAACCACCGGCAGCAGACACAAGAGCAAGAACAAGAGCAAAAGCGTCGGCAAAGAATATCTTGAGGCTGAGCCGAAGTCATCACGCCGACGACGCCACGAAAAGGCCGAAGAGTACATCACCAGCCCAGAATCGAGCCTTCTGAGCACATCGGCAGTCTCGTCGAATCGCAAATCCGGCGACCAGTATTCTATCCGTTCTGGTGCCTCGAAATCTTCAATCAACAACCCTAGATTACTGGAGACTGTCGAAGATGCCATCCGACGGTTAATTCTACCGGAGTTGAAGGAGCTCAAGAAGGACCAAAAGGTCATGTCCAACAAATCCAAGTTTGATCGGGATATGACCACATCATACTCGTCCACCAGCTCTAGAGATGAATTGGGTCGCCGCCTATCAAAGCACGCGAGTGCCCCGGACGTCATGAAACCCATGGTTGTGTTGAACAAAGGCAGCAAAGACGAAGGAATCATTCTAGCGGGTGAGCCCGCAGCACGGTCCAAAGAGCGCAAGTCGAGCAAAAGTAGCGAGACTTCCGATGCAGCCTGGGTCAAATGGGGTCGTCCCGAGCTCACCGAGCAGGACAGAATTCGCAGACAGAAGAGTAAAGGTCTTCGTGATGCTCAGGCTGCTGGACGAGTTGGCTCAGTCCTGACCCAAGCGGCACTCAAACACCATGACTCCAATTCCAGTCTGGACAAAACCGAACGCAGCGAACGTAGAGATAGTGGCTCCCGCAAGAGTGTTGACAGTTTCAAAAACAACGAGACTGAGCTCGCCTTCCAGAAACACAACATACCGCTCATGCCCATGCACAGTGCAATGGACTCGGAGTTGACTAGAGACTCTTTGCTATCCGAACGCACGGAGAGTCCTATCCCTCGCAAGAACATCTCCCATGGCGAAGTCACCCGCGGGTCGCCGAGACACCTCGCCTCTCCCACCACTCGTACCCCGACTCGAACCCCCTTGGACTCACGTCATGAGCTAGGCATGCGTCATGGGAATCAATCACACCACAACCTCCCCATGCACAGCACCTCAGACCGTGATCTGCGTGACAAGAGCCAGTCTCCTGGAACTGGCTCTGGAGACTGGGCCATTGCCGCTGCCGCTGCCGCCAACCTGCTTGACGCTGCTCAACCTGCACACCGGGCCTCGGACGGCGAACAGTACGGTCGGGCCCTGAGCCCTATCCAGAGCGTTGCGAGTGATCAGACCGAAACTCGTGAGGATCACTATCAAACCAAGCACCACCATCATCTCGAAGGCCAGCGAGGAATGGAACCCCGCCTCTCGATTGACTCCTTATCTTCAGCACCCAGCACCAATCTCGCACGATCTACCCGCAATGATGCCAGTCCCAAGAGTCAAGGTGGGGCTTTCCAAGGCGATGGAGGTCCTGAACTCGGCTACGAACAATCCCGTGGCGTCTCCGGAGAAGACCACGTCTATGGTCCTGACGAGGAGTCCAAGCTTTCGGGTGATTGGGAGGACAGCGATGTTGATTTCATGGACACGATCAAGGAAGGCCAGCATGTCACTGGCGGTGGCGTGGCTGCCAATCCTCAGTTCGTTCATCCAATGGGCGTCGAATCGGCAGTGGCCTCTCTGATGGACCCTTCTGTTCTCGAGTCCCAGTCAACTCACTCTGGCAACCGCTCCCAGACGGAGTTTGCTGAACGAGCCGGCAGCCGAAGCCCCGAAAAGCGTGGAAGCCCTTTGAAGCAAGTACAGGATGCTTCCAGTCCCGACGAGACGTCCTTCCCTCGCCGTATGGGTGTTACATCTCCCCCGCAGAGTGTTACTCAATCTATTGAAGATTTGGAGGAGGCAGGCATGGTAGCCGGTGCCGCTCGTGGAATCCAAAGCCCTCACGCAGATGCCGATTCACGAAGCCAGGAGTCTGAGTCAGAGATCAACACCAACCCATCCATCATTCAAGGTCCGATTGGTGGCGTTGGTCAAGGAAACCAGGACCACTGGGGATATGACTCGCGATCACCACCAGCTGAGATGCCGTACTATGCTCAGTCTAGTGGGGCGAAGGATATGGGCCGCGATGGACAGCGTGGTCTTGATGCAGAGTACTACGAGACTGCCAGAAACATATTTGGTGGCGATGACTACTACCCCGACCCGCAAGCTCAGCAGCTTTTCGGTACGCCTCCCGGGGCCAAGGACGAAGGTTATGTGTCTGCCGCCAATCCCATGTCCCCGAGCATTGGTACTCCCAAGCAAGGTAGCCGTGGTCTTGGTGGCGCGGATGCTGCTGGCGTGGGTGTCTTGGACAGCCCCGCTGAGGCGGATGATCCATTTACTTCTGGACACCAGCGACACTTGAGCGGCTACTCTCACGGCGTCGGCTCCCCAATCTACGACAGTGCCACAGGCCGAGGCATTGAGAGAATTCAGTCAAAGGATATTGTCGCCCTAATGGACCACCTTACTGTGCGCGATGCTCAACGGAATGCAAGAGACACGGAGATTCTGGTTACTTTGGTCCGAAGTGCAGCCGAGATGCGTACTTCCTTTGAAGCGATGAAGAAGTTTATCGCCCAGCAGGACGAAATGCTCCAGGATACCACCGAAAAGGAGCATGACCGAACTTTGAAGGCCCTCGGCGGCCCCCGCCCATTGCCTCCCAGCTCTTCTCGTGCCCGCCAGTTGAACGCAGAGGAAGAAGAACTCCAGTCCAAGCGGAAGAACATTTTCAAGCGTGCACTCAAGGGTCTGAACTTGAAGTCGGGCAATGACCTCACCAAGATTGAGGGCATGCTGGAGCAGTTACTTGAAGAGGTGGAGGCCCTACGAGAGGGGCAAGATATTTCAAGCACTCGCCCTGGAACTCGCCGGGCAAGTACCGACCCCACTGGATTCAACACCGACGACCAGAACGGCGCACCTCTGGGCAGCCGCTCTCCTTACCGAGCAAGCCCGCGGCAGTCCAATGCGGATCCGCGCGTCAGTACTGTGCCCGAGGAGGACGAGGATGATGACGAGGATCTCGAGATCGACGGGGATGACCCCTATGTGACGGCGCACCTGCCTGTGCAACAGCTCCCTCGCCATGAACGTGCTGGGTCCCTGCCTCTTTCCACACCTCCTCGCAAGCCTGTGGCTGCCGGAGCACGGAGCACGGAGACGACCCCCAAGGCCTCTGACAAGGCGGAAAAGGCTCGCAAGCACAAATCGAGCACCTCCTCCATCTTCCCCAAGATCTCCCGCTGGTCCAAGACCACCGCATCTTCCATGGGTGACAACATCCGCAACAGTATCCAGCCTGCTCGCAAGGAGCGTCCGCATTCCGAGATCTCTCGCTCTGGATCGGATCTTGGCCAGGATGCCTACAAGGGCGACTATTATGATCCTCAAGGTGATGACCGCATTCGGTCCACGTACACTCTGGACGATGACCACGAGCGTGAGAACCGGCCCCCGTCTCCATTGGTTCCTTCTCAGGTCTCCGAGAAGCCCAGGTATAGTGTCGACCGTGGCAGTCTCGACTTGCAGCACCCTCAGCCTCGACAGGGTCCCACTGGACGCTATCAGAGCCACCTGGAAACCCAGGCGCAGGCTTATTCTGGCCCGGAGTCACCGGCTTCAGATCACTGGGGCTCAAACCCTAGCCTGCCACCAGTCAATCCGAACCAGCAACGCTTCAGCGGCGGCAGCCGACTGTCTCCCATCTCTGATGCAGGCTACTCAGAGACAAGCTCCCGTCAGACTGGTCCGCCACGACCTCCGAAGGTCAAAGACGACGGGCCATTGATCCCAGAGCGGCCTCCCAAGGTCCCCGAGGACGAAGAGCAGACGTACGGAGACCGCGTTGTTTCACGGGTACATTCCCCACCAACAAGTTTGCATGGTTCCCAAGCTAACACATCAACCCAGACCTCCGCCATCCGCTCCCCACCAACGCGCAAGCCCACAGGCCCGCGCCCCCTCACATCCGGCGGCTCCTACAGCCCCAGCAACATCAAACGGACCCGGTACCGAGGAAGTCCGATGCAGATCGACTACGACGACGATTACTAAGACCGCATTGTGATACCCCAAACCCACGGGTTGTACTTGTGTCTAGCGACTTTTGATTTGTTTTTTTTTCTCGCATTTTCTTGTGTCTTGACGAAGTGTGGCGGCCCCCGCCCTTTACGACAGTGACGACCATGCCTTTCACCCGAACATCTATTACCCTCTCCCATCTACGATCAATGAGCGCAAAAATCTTGAGCTTTCTTTTCTTCTTTTCGTTTGAGCGAGCGCAAGCGTGCTTATGGCTTGCGGCTTTCAGTGTTAATAGGCATTCGGATGGGAGCGGCAGCTCTGTTTGTGGATTCTCTACTTATGATCTCTGTTTATTTCGTGTCTTCGGGAAACAATCTCGATGGGTCTATGTAGATAGTACGATGTAGTGCCAAACATAATTCATCTTCGCAAAGAATTGCTTTTCCGTCGAGCTTGCAATGCACACTCGAACCTTGCAAACTTATTTCCAAGATTCCATCTCCTACAAATGGTAAGCTTCTTGTATGTAAAGGATACTCGTAATTTTTGAACACCCAAGCGCAATACAGAGTATCTCTGACCGGCCCATTCAGAGTGAAAGACTGGATACAGAGGATGATAAGTATACTTTTCAAAACACCAAACGCCGGCACCAAGTAAACACACCGAACCTTAATCCAATGCACCAAGTTCACAGCCGAGTCAAACAACAGAACTTAGTAATCCGAGAAAGGCCGCACAGAAGTAGTCCCCCGCTCCCGAAAGTTCAACGACGCCGTAGCCAAATTGCTATACTCCAACCCATCACTGACAGGAAACTTGCCCGGATAACTCTCCGTAGAACGAGACTTTGACCGCCGATTCATCCGCAGCGTCATTGAATTCGTTGAATCCTCTATCTCCGTCGGGAACGAATGCATACTCGCCTCACGAGCCCCGTCAAATGATGCAGCGGGTGACTTCTGGTACGGCTGCGGTGAAACGAGGACTGGGACCGTGGGCTGCGGGCCTGCCGTTTCGACTTGTTTCTGCGTATACGATTGTGACACGTTTTGAGTGGACCGGTGCATTTCAACGACGGAGATGCGCTGCTTTCCCATGGTGGCGTACTTCTTGACCGTGTCGTAGACGAAGGATTCTCGTGCGTGAGCGTGTCGATCTGGGATGTTGGCCCTTACGGGAAGGCGTGGTTCATACGTGATGGCGTCCATCCGCTCGACGGAGTTCTCGGGGTAGCATTGCAGCAAAGTGGCAGGGATCACGGTGGTGGGTTGGCTCTGCTGAGTATGCGATGGGTTCTCATAAGCATATCGGGGGCCGGACATCACACGGAGGGCCGAGTCTTCGTGCATATGAAAAAAATCCGAGACCGGCGGCGAACGGTAGAAAGAAGTAGGTACGATGCTCAGGATGATGTTGACAGTCAATTTCTCAGTTCGCTCAATGGTGCGCCGGAGAGGTGGGAACTCTTGGCTTGAGTTGTAGAATGGGCGGAGGAGCCAGGAGATGCCGTACACGAGTTGCAGATAGAGGAGAGCTGTCACGAGGGCGACGGTCGTGAAGAGGGCAATGGGGAGGTTGACGTGGGAGTAAGTGTTTCGTTTGGGTACTATCAGCGGCATTTGGACAATTGGAACCTGTGGTTCGAGTGGTTCAATGAATGTGAGAGAGTGTGCAGCTGTGGAGGTGATGGAGTCATAATGCAGGACCAGGAATGGGTGTTGAACTGGTGAAGATACAAAGTGTTGGGAGTGGAAGGTGCGATGAAGTCCGTCCCAACTGCATAGAAACAATCCACTGCATGGCTCTATACTCCCGGGTGGGGCGAACCCAGTCGAGTTCCAAAGTTTCCCGAGCCTCCACCTCCGTCCGCTTCAACACCTCCTCTGCTCTCCCGCCTTATGACGACTCGCCTTGCCGCGCGCACTGTCCGGTCATCCATCATGTCCGTCGCTGCGGAATGTAAACATCTCCGGCCGCGACGATTCGCGCCTCTTGATCCCACTCGGGCATCGGATGCACCGCCGTTGAAGGGGATCGTGTTTGACGTAGATGGGACCTTGTGGTAAGCCCCTCTCTACCCATTGGGATTATTCTTGTTGTCATCTTGTCTTTTTCCGTTATTCTCCATATATTGCATTATCTTCGATTGCACCGGAGGCACCACTCATGTCAATATGGGGGATGTCGGTATACATCAGATTCAAGCCGGGAAACTCATCCAACTTCATTTCCATGTTTTAAACCCCACTAACACAATCCAGTCTACCGCAACATCACATGTTTAATGAAATGAGGTGACTTGCTCATACATACACAGCAGTATCAACATCTAGCCCAGTCTAACACAACCTAGAGAAGCACTCGGAATTGACCGCTCAACCGACATCCTCCACCACATCCGCGATCTCCCGACAGCCGAAGACCAAGCCGCAGCCGTGGCCAAGGTCCAAGGCGTAGAGAGACGAGCCATGCTCGACCAACAGCCCCAGCCCGGTCTGACTCGGCTAATGGACTACCTGCAGTCACGCAGTCTCCGACGGGGGCTGTGTACGCGGAATTTCGAGTATGCAGTACTTTTTGGTCTTCCCTTGTCAGAAAGCTAACTGGAAGCAGAGCACCCGTGCAGTATCTCATTCAGAACTACATGCCGAGTCATGTATTCCTACCCATCATCACGCGGGACACCCCGAATGTCATTCCCAAGCCTGACCCGGCGGGAATCCTGCATATTGCCCGGGAATGGGGATTGACGAATCGCGCAGAGAACATGATTATGGTGAGTATTTACTTCTCTTACAGTATTGTTGATTGTGACTGGAAAGCTGACATGTATGATAGGTCGGAGATAGCATCGATGACATGACATCTGGTCATATGGCAGGTGCAGCAACGGTCTTGCTCGTGAATGAGCGCAATGCTCATCTTCAAGAGCATGCCCATACAGATCTGTGTATCAGCCGGCTGGATGAGTTGGTTGATATCCTTGAACAAGGATTTGTTGGTACTCGTGAGCCCGAGTGATCATTTGGTGATCATTTGGCCTAGAAGAGAGTGAAGTCTCTTGTATTAGACCTTACATTACAAAGTAGCTTGAATGTAGCATTGCAGCAAATACAATTTAATTCTCTAGAGGTTAAGCGTATAGATATTTTACTTGCAAAGGCAGTGCCCACCATGATAGGATAAATGTACAAATGCATTAGGTTCGTGATGTTCTTATTATCCCCGACCACGAAGATCGATATCGATTTCCGTGGTCTATTTGCCTCTACGGGGCTTAAATCCACCACCCCGCCCACGGCCCCTACCACCACCGCCTCCTCTTAGAGGCGGGGGACCACGGTTTCCATTGAAAGGCCGCGGTGGGGGCTTTCCCCGAGACTGCTTAGGGACAAATGTGTTGCTGCCAAACTGTATAGCACCACGACCTCTGCCGCGCGATGGAGGTGGAGGTGGAGGACGTCGGCCACCACGAGGCGGGAAACCGCCATCATCGCTCTCTGAAGATGGATCACGAATCTTGGGTCCTCGGCGGTTTTTGCTGCGTGGTCCGCTGCTGGGCGGAGGAGGCTTCGCGGATATAGGCTTTCTTGAGTTGGGCCCCGTGTTGAGGTTCGTGATGGTATTGGGGTCAATACCACTGAGGGTGAAAGATGAGTTAGGAAGAGGCTTGTGGAGAGACGGACAGTCGCCGATCAAATGGCTTGCGCTGATGCAACGAGCGCATGAGAGAGACACTATCACGCCCGTCGCGGTGGGCTCTTGCGCCATGGGCTTCCACAAGGCACTACAATCAGACTCGACATGGTTTGACGAACCGCACAAGTCACAGGGGACTTCGGCAGTAGAGCCTTTCAAGGGAGACGAGCACTGAGCTTCACTGTGGCCTCTTTCCCGGCATCGAGGACATCTTTGCCATGAGGGGCAGGAGGAACTAGGGTGTGTATTCCACGCACCACAGTGCACGCACTAATCGGTTAGCATGATGTTGTCGAAAATCGTCTGCGGGAGAGATATACCTCTTTTGTCGGACACACCTCAGCCAGGTGCCCTAGGCCTTGACACTCAATGCAGACAACGGGAAGTTGAAGATCAATGTCATTGATATCAAGAGCCCAGTGCACATATCTCGCCTGCGTCTCAAAGTCTTCCTGGTTCAAGTCCACCAAGGCAGTGGGTGCAGTGGGATATTTGCAAGAGAAGCGCTGGAACGCATCTTCCTTGGACACGGCGGGACCAGAATCAGATTTGACAAGCGATCCCTTTGCAATTCCATTGGTCTGGCCATTTGCATCCCCATTCATGCGTGAATTATCTGCAAGCAGAGCCTCTGCTGGAGTGGAGTCATTTGCGTTCTTCGCGCCAAGGTTCAACATGATAGAGTCATCAGCCTCGGAATTTGAAGACACCGAGCCGTCGGATTCACTCCTGGAGTCCACTTCGCCCTCTTCTAGGTCACTGCTTTGCTCGGCCTTGTCCTCTTCCGCCGTGTTGGCCGGAGGGTCGCTCGCTCCAGATGAGGCAGAGGCACTGCGGGTGCGCCAGTATGTACCATTCACGGCGTTGAACTGGTTGGCATTGTCGGTTGGCGCAGTCCCGTTGACCGATTGAGCCTTCCTCTTGCCAAGCGACGTGCGAACGGCCGCTTTCTTTCCCTGGTTCCAGCTGATTGCAGGCGCAGTGCTTCCCGCGTGAGGGTTGGCAGAAACCTGTTTGTTGGGCGCATCTGATTCATCAGAGTTGTCGCCAGACTCCGAGCTAGATCCCGAGCTTGATGTATCATCAGGATCAACCTCCAAGGAGTGTGCGCTGAAAGCAGCGCCGCGGGGGACAAAATCGTTCACGTCGTGGCCTGAGCGGGATCGGCCCCGTCGTTGTTTCTTCGTGGGTCGGGAATCGCCATCGTTGGAGTTGTGGGCAGATGAGTTGTTTGATCGAGGGCGCTGGAGGCCAAACGAGGCTGTCCGAGAATCAGCCTCGTCTCCCGAAGAGTCGGCCATGGTGGACTATGGGGTCGTGTCTAATGAAGACTCCGATGTTCCGCGACTTCATATCGGACGGTAAATTTTACGGTGGACCTTACCGACCACTTGTGCAGGACAGACTTTGGAAGCCGCTTGTTGGGGATTGCCTGCACTAGATATCATGGTCGATGATAATCCCGGCATGATTTCTATACGGTGTTTATTTCACTCATTTAGGGCCAGTATGTAGTGGTAAGAGTTACCGGAGAACAGGGGCCTCAAGCACGCTGCCCTAGCGAGAGTGTGTCTCTATTTTGATTCACGCGCTCGGCTCAACAAACACGAATTACTCCCTAAAGTATACCTAACTAGGTAACTAGCTTCTGCAGGTTCTTCTGCATGCATCTCCTCGACGAATGAGCTTACCACGTACAATCTAGGCTGTGCTGGTCGAACTGCAGCCTGTGTTATCGGTCAACCCACCTGGGCCAAGAGAGGACGGTAAACAATCTAGATCGAAATATTCAAATAGTCCCATGACTTTTGCGATCTTGCCACCTACTCGGCTAGGGCCCAAATATAGACCAGCCCGACGGAGGTTAGTGATGGTACAGTAGTCTCGGCGTGAACCGTCCGTGCTGGAGCTGCATTGCACGTGCCCAGACTCTTCTCTTTCCCCAACGTCCTTTTTTATTTCCAATTGTGTTCAGAACCATCCCGGAATCTCAAACCCCCCTCAGATCCGATTTGAGCTCCTTGACACGATCGCGCAGGGAAAAACAAGACTGCCCCGTGACTCCTGACTCCAAACTCCGGGCCGGCCTTTCTTTCTCCAGTTCTGAGTTCTGGGCCGCGTGCCACCTTCATCCCCACGCTCCTTTTCCAACCTACCGCAACCACCTCTCCAGTCACGCTGGCGACCAATACTACCAAATCCTCCCTGCTGGTCCCCAGAACCATCTCCTTTCCTCACGAGATGGACGGGCCACAGCGGTTATCCCCCAACACCCAGAAGCAGGGCCGCCGGCGACGCTCTAGCAGTCTCATCTACCAGGAACCCGCCGAGTCCATCGAGCACACGAGCGACCAGGCCGCCTTGCCCAACCTCAATGCTAACTGGGTCAATGCCAAGGGTGAGTTGGACTGGTTCCCGAATCCCAGGAACTCCCCCGACCGATCCGGTCCGGACACCGCGGACGGGGAACTATCTGCTGGAACCCATAGAGACATCTGTACTGACTGGAATACTGTCGCGTGAACAGGTGCCTGGACCATTCATTTCGTCCTCATCGCTGCCCTCAAGATCTTCTACGACATTATCCCGGGCGTCTCACAGGAGACCTCGTGGACCCTCACCAACATCAGCTACATGTTCGGCTCCTTCCTCATGTTTCACTGGGTGCGGGGCATCCCCTTCGAGTTCAACGCCGGTGCCTACGACAATCTCAACATGTGGGAGCAGATCGACAACGGCGATCAGTACACCCCGGCCAAAAAGTTCCTGCTCAGCGTGCCCATCATGCTCTTCCTCCTCAGCACCCACTATACACACTACGACGTGACCTATTTCATTATCAACTTCCTGGCCACCCTGGGAGTTGTCATTCCCAAACTGCCTTTTGTAGGTGTCTCCTTTCATCCGCGGGTATTGGACTCCGTGCTAACCCCCCTTCCAGTCGCATCGGTTGCGAATAGGCCTCTTCTCCGACTTACCAGAGGAATAATAGCTATTTCCCGTGGCTCTCCTCTTTTTTTTTCTTTTTTGCTACATTGGCGTATTTTTTTCTGGCCTCCGAGCTCGCTCCTTGTCCTTTTTTCTCTCCTTGTTCGCCCGCTCCCTCACACCGAGGTTTTGCATTGCGTTGATCCACGGAGTTTTGATCCGTCGTTGGCTGCCGCAATTTTCTTTCTCTTTTGGCAAATATGACGAAAACCCCCTTGACCTGCGAGCGACAGAGCCTGGTGCTTCACCTCCCTGTCCTTGTCTAGATCTTACAGTTTTAGAGCCATGAATATCTTATTCTGCACAACTTCTCTCCTTTTACCTGTGTGGCTTTGGCTGGGTACTCCAAGCTCTCCAAGGTTGTAAATTGTAGACTGCTGGAGTAAACATGGGGCCTGTAGGATGCCAACGTCCGAAATCGCGTGCTAAGCATGCACGTGCTAAGCATGCAAGTCATCAGCTTGGTTTGGCTCATGCGGGACCATTGCATCATAGCATGAAGCTGCACTTTCCGTTCGCGTATCCAACATGCAATGATAGTGTCGGTGTTGACTGTGGTGCAACTAGCTCTGTAGTTTTGTTTGTGAATACTAAACAGATCCTCGGGGAATCTTTATCTTATGTCAATTGACTAACTAGAAAACTAACTAGAGATCTTGGATTTGTATATTTGTCGAATGTGTTGCTAGAAAATACTGTTTGTTCCCAAGCTTTACTGGACACGAAGACACTTCTTTATTTTTGACACGAAAACAAGAACGAATGGACCAGAATTCAGATAAATCTCATTCGCATACTACTTTACTCACTCCATCTCTCTATTAGATGCCACGAGACTGTTCAATTGATTGAACCACCAAAACACACAACCTGACTAAGCGGTTATCGATAAGCGCGTCAACGACGCGATCGAACGAAATGTCGGACCATTCTGAGGCCATGGGTCCCCCAGGCGATATGGTGTATCGCAAACCTGCGGTGCTTTCATTCGAGATCATTCAACACACAGGCATTTTCTTTGAGGAGCAGCTATGTATGTTTGCCTCCACCTTGATCAACCGTCGGCTAACCCGACTACAGATACCCAAGCGTTGAACCTCCTATTCAGCACTCTTGCTTCCGGAACATATGCCTCAGAGGCAGTGATAGCCCCATTACCCCAGCATATTGCTCTTGCTGGCACCTTCCTTGTCCACCCGTCGACTACAACCCGTGCCAAAACTGCTGAACAGAAAGAGGCAGCCCATGTTGCGCTACGGCTCCTGCGACTCATCAGTACATTGATTACTCCCCAGGATGCCAGACTTGACCTGGCATTTTGCTTCAAACACACTCAGACCTCGCGATCGGGAAGGCTGCTTTATGCAAACGAGGATTCTTCCCCCGATCTACCCCACGATAAGACCGATTGGCAGAGATTAGGTGTGGCCAACGAGTCCTCACTTTGGTCGCGCGCCGAAGACTTTTGGCATGCCGTTGGATGGGCATTTAATTGCTCGGTACTTCATTCAGAGCGGTGGGAGCATTGGCAAATCTGGCTCCGGTTCATGTGCGATATACTTTTGGATGATTGGAATGTGCGAGTGCAGGAGTATGAAGAGTTTCAGGAGAAGAAACAGAAGGATGGTCAGGAGCCCACAACACCGGAGCAACCCAAAGGCAAAGGGGCTCGGTCAAAGAAGAATGATGGTTTGGACATCTTCCGGGAAAGCATGCTCTTCCGATACATTCATGGGAATAGACATGGACAGAATCGCCGAATCATCCGGGCTATCTTTGCAGATGGTAGCACCGCCTCGGTGAATGAGTTCCGACAGGTGTTTCCCAAGGAATTGAAACACTCCAAGTCGAAAGCACGACCCGAAAAGGCCAAGAAGCGAGACCGCGAAGTCAATTTTGAGCAGGAAGAATACGGCGACTACCTATCTCAAGACGAATCAGATGAAGAGGGCAATGAAACCACAGACCCAAGCATGTCGAATTCCCGCTCTTCCTCTCCCCCGGCAGGCTCTAAGTCCCGGCGAACGAAGCGTACGAGACGAGGCACAAGAAGCGCAGCAGATCCAACCGCCGCCGAGCCGCTCCGAGACTCTGCAGACGCAGTTCAGACCACCTTAACCCATCACGGCGGCGGCGTTTCCACCATGGGTGGGCTAGAGTCACTCGGACTGCGAAAGAGACTTCTCGGACTCTTATCAAGGGTTTCCGAGCGCATTCCGAGCGACTTTATACATTTCTCCGAGCTTTACTACCTTTTTGTCGAAAACATTCGACCCCTACCTCTGCCAATTTTCCAGACATTTGTCAGTCCCTACGTCCTCCCAGAACTCCCGGACGAGCAGCAGACGACCCTTTGTCAAGCGTTACTGCTCTTCATGCTCGAGAGTAGTGCCCCAAACATGCATGACGAGGACCTCAATCAAGACAATATGGAGAACTGCTTCCTCCCGTTTGCAGCGTCAACAGCCAGCATCGTTGATAACGTCAAGGTGTCCATTATTCTCGAGGCATCGATCATCCTACTGGCTAACAGTAACATGCTGACACTGACGCCTTCATTCAAAGAAGCTATTGAGAATGGGATTCTGCGACGGGCTGAAAGGGCTCAGGATGATATGCGGCGCAGTGCCGCAAGCCGGAACATGGAATCACTTGAGTGGTGCTGGTTGGTGGAGAGTGGGGAGAGACTGATGTTCCTGGTTGAGCTACTGGCATCGCGGCCTAGCCAGCAGGCTTCCCAAGGTTGAGGGTTGATAACGATATTCACGACGTCAATGATTATGATTCATATCCAAGCGGACAGTCGTCTATATTTCTATTCTTTATTAAAAAATCAAAAGTTTAATCACTGTGAACATACCCTGCCCTGTCGACTACTTCGCGAGGTTGAAGTGTATGGCTGCAAGGAAGTCAGTGTATAATTCTGCTATCTACAACCTGTGCCATGGCATGAGTAGCCTCAATTGGAAATAACAAATTATAAAAAGAAGCAGTTTCCGGGCGGGAATCATCGCATGAAAAACAATCCACCGCGCCGACGCAAAAAAACGAGAAAAACCCTTCAGGCTGTCGAAGTATCGAAGTAAAATAGCGAGCCAAAAGATAAAGAAACCTCCCCTAAGTTGACTAGGTTGAATAGGTGGGCGAGATCAATATCAAGCGTTTACCGCGGCGGGCGAGGCCCGATAATCTGGCGCCTGGCACCTCCAATACCCAAACCAGGACCACCGCGGTTCTGGTTATCGCCGCCCAGGTAGCCGTACTGATGAACGTCCCAGGACTGACCCGGTCCCGAGCCGGAGGTGGAATCGTGAATGCCATTGCCGGCAGCGGCTTGGGTTTGCTTTTGGTTCTCCTCCCATTCGCGCTGGCGCTCGCGTTCACGCTCCATCTCACGTTCCAGGAGGGACTTCGATGCCCAGCCTCCGGCTTTGGTTTTTTGCTGAGAGGCCATGCGACGGCTGTTCTCGGCGTCGACTTCGGAGGTCGTGGAGTAGTCCTGGGCACGGTGGGTGGCAGGGGCAGGAGCTACGGGGGCAGGATTGGAGGAGAGGTAACGATCCACGCGGTTTGGATCACGGTTAACTGAGTAAGCTGTCGGGTCTGGGAGGGGACGCGGAGGTGGGGGAAGCTCTCTAGCCGGCGGCGTTGGCTGAGATGACTTGACGGGCTCTGGAAGTGGACGAGGAGGCGGAGGCGCTGCTTGTTCTTCAGCTTGCTCGGGTTCTTCCTGCGATGACGGCATGTCCTGGTTCTTGATCCATTCTCCACGGAGCATGCGGCGCTCCTGTTCAAGAGATGAAAGGTTGTAGCTGGGCTTCGGAGGAACGGGGATGGGGCGTCCAGGACGGCCGTTGTTGCGCACTGAAGAGTCTCCGCTCTTCTGGTCTTGAACTCCTTGCCTCTCAGTCTCGTATTGACGCTCGCGCTCCTTGGCAAGCTCTAGTTCACGCTCAAGCTCTTTGATACGGCGGCTCTCTGCTGTCTCTCCGGCCGGCTCGGGTGCGGCAGCGGCAGCCTGGCCAGCTTGGTACTGGCTGAGGAATTGGCCGTTAAGACGAGCATCATTGGCTCGTTTCCGGTCTTGCCGCTCCTGTTCAAATCGCGCCTCGGCTTCTTTCTCCTCAGCAGCTCGGCGCTGTTCCTCTGCTTCCCATTGACGCTTCTCTGCGTCCCACCGCTTCTTCTCTTCTTCCATCTCAAGGCGTTCCTTCTCCCTCATACGAGCCGTTTCCTCTTCCCAGCGTCGCTCTTCCTCGGCCTTAGCCTGAGCCTCCTGCTCTTCGATCTCTCGTTGGCGAGCACGTTCGGCTTCCTCCCTCTCAGCTTCTTGCTGGCGGATTCGGTCTTCCTCTTCCCGCCTGCGCTTCTCTTTCTCGGCAAGACTGGGTACAGCAGGAGATGATGAAGTGATTTGCCGCCGAGCCCCGAATGCAATGCCCTGGTTGCCCTGACTAGCTCCACCCATGTAGCCGTACTGATGGATGTTCCAGGCTGGCGCAGTCGATGACTCATCTCCCTTCTTACTCCAGGAGCTCATGGACCCAGTTCGATCGGCGTCACTGACATTGCTGGATGCACGACCTGATCGGTTGTACAACCCCGGGCTTGACGAACCCGTCGCATTTGGGCTGACCATAGCCCGCTTGCTCTGGGGACCGACAGTTCGAGGAAACTTGTTTGGCTCGAGGGCATTAGCCCGTCGGCTAAATGCAGCGAGGCACTGGAGCACTTGCGCAGGATCCTTAGCTTCGTAGAGATCCACGGTGAGGAAGACGTCGTGAGGGGGAAGGCTGAGAGGTGGCATTTGGCATGCGCGTAGGAAATGGGAGATGTTCTCCATTTGTACAAAGGGCATCGAAGACTGCTTATACTTCACACCGGGTGACACGGCCAGATTGACCAGCCTGATAAGACAAAGGGTCAGTCCGAGTTCCAACTCCATTGACGCCACCAACCATGCGATTGAGACTTACTTGCAGAGTGCCGAGCCATCCTTCAAGCCTTCCAGCAGGTCGCCGGATGGCAGTTTCTCGCGCAGAACCTCCTCAATCCAGTCGCGTACCTCCGCGGCTGCTTGCGGGGTATAGCGGGATAGGCGCATATTGCGCAGGTCTTTGTCAAGAGAAGTTACCGAAGCCATGATCGGCGTTTTATCATTGAAATCCGGTGCGGAGCGTATAGTGTATGCGAGTGAAGGTGGATTGTTGAGTTCAGGTCGAAGAGTATCCCTTTAATCCGGTGCCTGATCGGCCCCAACGGTGGGGAGGGGGTTGGGTATCAGAGTTGAGAAAATGCAGTGCAATTAACCAAGTCGGGGCGAAGAGTGAAATAGGAATCACAGAAAAATTCCGAAGATTCCTGAAGCGAAGAGAGTGAGAGACAGGGAAAGAAGGTGGAATGGAATGTTCGGACTGTTTATTTCGGCTCCGATGACGTTCCTGATCTTCTCCCTTCCCGCGACTTTTTCTCCACGCCTCATCTACTCAGCTTCACATTCTCCCCGCAAAAATGGTGAACAGCCTTTGGTTCAAGTGGAAAAGCCTTCGCCTACCATGGCGCAAAATGTATATTGTCGGTGAGTCGCCCCTGCCATCGTCGGCGCTTTATGCGCCTAGAAATCCCCGGTCTTCGCTGACTACCTACTAGGCCAGGACCTCGCCGGGAACACCTTCTGGGTATTCAAGGACGTGGCAAATGCCAATCGACTACGTCGTATCGTTAAATTTGACCCCAGAGCCCACTTCGACGAGGTCCAAGTGACGCGTGAGTCCCCTTAGGAGGATGCGCACTGGCTTTGCCACCGCAGAATGCATCTTTTATGAAAGGAACGCCACGCTAACTACGACTTGAATCCAATAGCGCAATGGCACCAATGGCTTCGATACCTCCGAGAAAACCCGCCGACCATTGAGGAACAGCGACAAGACCTCATGCGCCAGGCTAATATGAAGAACCTCGCTCGACTCGCCGACGAACGTTGGGCCAGCAAGCCGTCTTTCCTTGATAAACCTCCGACACAACAGCCAAAACCTACACCACAAAACAGCCAAGCTACCGAAAGCACAAAACCGGACAATGCCACCTCAACACAAAATGCATCGTCCCCCGCAGAGCCAACGCCACAACCTGAACCCGTTCCCGAGACAAAACCCAAGAAACCAGAGAATCCATGGGATAAGGCTGTTAACCCAGGAGATGACTGGCAACCCGAGTCATGGACACCTAAATCCCATCGGTGAAAAACGATGTGGGAGAAAAGCTTCATTATCGACATCTGAAATTGACTCGCTGTGATTGGCGGATGGGAACGCACTGGGCAAATGCCACTCCGAGCTCGATCATTCTACTAGGATCAATATTCTGGCCCTGTGGAGTTTCCCAAAATATTTTGGGGAGCATTTGACGCCTCCATGCTCTAATACCCTTTTGTCCCTGATGCCAGGTCTTGAGTATCGAAGATTTGCGCTGGGAAAAGTGCGCAGGCATTTGACCTCAAAGGAAATGTCTTCATGCGCTTTTCCATTGTCTGAGTCACATCAGCTAGTCATGACCTAGCCTCTGTACATTATTCTCGTTCATGTATCGCATATATTGTATACCTATGCCTGGTGTATCTCCAGGTGGATAATTCCTCTCGTCGAATTTAGAGAAATTCCCTGCTCTACATTTACAAGCTCTTCAGGTTCTTAATACGATCTACACCGGAAAGGAAACCGTGATGTTGTGCGGCCCGAAGGCCTTTTTTTGGATTTTCAAGTTTTCTATATGTTCCCTCCCTCCCATCCCAAAACAAACGAGAGAGTAGTAATGAGTTTTTTTTCGTCAGTTTTACACCCCCTTTGCACCATTTCTTTTTTGGAAGATTTTGTAGGGTTGGTTAGTGTGTATCCATGCGTAATGCATCCATCTCCATACGACGTGCGGTTGAAATCCCAATAAAGCAGTAAAATCAAAAGCTCCAGAAAGAACGCAGCAAATCTTTTTTCCGCAGGTTTTCTAGTTTCAACTGTTTTGGATTTTTGTAATTGTTTGCCGATTATTTGAGAAGAGAAAATTCACTGTAAAAAATACAGTGTAAGTCATGAGAAATTCGATGTCCAGTACGGGAACAAGCGATTAGCGTGGAAAAACTTCAAGGAAACTGAACCAGGTCCTCAGATGTAGGCCATTTTCTCCTGTGCACTACCAAGCAACTTGACTATGTGGTCGGGCCTATTCAACTCGAGTGGCTCTCTGGTTTCCTGGCATCTGTAGAAGTATGCTCGCATGTATCTCCGGGCCCGGTCACAGAACTTGTCTGCGAGGAAGGCAGGGGTGGCATAACTGATTGAGCGTGTGCAACGACCCATCATGTAGCAGATACTATGGGTCAGTTCCTGGAGGGAGTCAGCCGGCTTGGGGTCAGCATTCGAGGCGCTAAAGATCTCGTCCCAGATGACGATGTAATGCGCTGGACGGGCTGAACCCTGGAGTGGTGTTTGTGCCTGCAAGTAGAAGTCCCAATAGATAGAGCGAGTGACGCCCCGGTCGACGACCAAGCCATTCTTTGGGCCATCGGTTCTGTCTGCATCCCCGGGCTTGGTTTGGTAGAAGCGCACGTTGTGTCGTTTGCCAGCCACGACGATGGTGACATTCGGCTGTTTATCAGGGTATACGGCCTGGACTGCATCTTTGACGAGCTTGAGTTCTTTGTCCAAGACCATTTTGAACTGAACTTCGCTGACACCATCGCGATAGATCAGAATATTTGCAGGGAATACTTTGTTCTCGTTCTTCCATCTGTGCAGGCGGCCCAGCATCATGCTCTTTAGATGCTCAACTTCCTCCTTGCGGCGCTCCTGCACCCTGACCTCGCCCGGCCATTGTCCCATTGGTGAATCTGTACTAGCCACAATTGTTGCCATACTGGGGAAATTGTCCGGGTCAGTAGGAGATGGGTGAGTCACATCGAGACCAACGACCATGGTATTTCTTGACATAATCAGGCGAGGAGCGGCGCTGAGCGTCTGGTTGACACCACCAAGCTTCAAGTTGACCTTCATGGTGTTGTTTGCCATGTACTGCTGGTCGGCTTTGAAAAACTTGCTGGCGAGACAGCAGTGAGTCAAGACGCCGGCCTTGGTCTCACTGATGTATTTGATGTGGTCGAAGATGCGATCCACGCCGGGAGGAAGCGAGATAACCACAATGTCGACCTGTGCCCTCTGGAGAGTCTTGAATATGCCATTGATTTGTTCAATCCAATCCTTGGGTCTGTCCTCAACCTCGACCAACTCGGGTTCACGCGACAAAGAAGGCCACCTCATGCCCTGTTCCCTTCCTTGTTTGGCGAGAGCCTCAAACGCGCGGACGTGTTCCCCATCTCGTGGCTTCTGATTGTGTTTGTGAAAAACGTAAGCGGCCCAACGATTGATGGTGACAGGCGTGTAGAATTGCTGGCCCTTGAGGTTCCAAGAGCCGAACTTGGGAACCAGCGTCCTCCCTTTTCCATATTTCAGAGTGGGAGCCGAGAGAAGGCGTCCAGGCACAGCGATCATTTCCTTTAAGAATCGCATTCCAAGTTCGTCTGTTTGATTATTCATTCCCATGATCTTCAGACCGTCCTGCGTGATGGACTGGTAGTTCGCGGGCGGCTTGCGGCAGCTGAACGCAATGATATTCTGGCGTTGGATTAACGCCAACTCACCCATGAAGCGCTGTCCATGTGGAACAATGCAGACATCCAAAGGAAGGTAGATCGGTCGCACAAAACTGCCAATATTCACCACAGGCCAGTCATGATACTTAAGGTCCATTTTGTATTCTGCAATGATGATGTTTGTCACATTAGTACCGAACAGAACATAAACGGAGTGGTGTACATACCCGCTTTGAAGTAGTCGGTGACGCTGATGTACTTTCCAGTTTGAAGCCTTTTCCCTTCGCTATCCTGGTTGTACTTGAAGAATTTGACTTCGTCCGCGCTGGCTCCCAGACGTGGTACTACGGGGGGATTTGGGTCGGTGGCCTGCTTGAACTTGGTCTTCGGGTCATATCCGTCACGGTTAGGATAGGCAAGGCCCCAAATGCTCCTCTGCCGATAAACCTCTACCCCGTTTTCCATACGCTTGCAAAGATGAGTTACGTTAACGCGAAGCCGATTGATGTATCGATTCAGCAGGACGATATCATCTCTATGAACCTCCCTGAACTTGAGGAAAATAATTTGCAAGGGACCTTGCAGGAAGAACGAGCTGTGATTGATGCCCAAGTTAACCAGGATGCGATTGTCGCATACTCTCACGCTGGAGTTGAAGCCACGAATACACTCGATGCCGCCCCCGAGATAGCACGCTTGCTTTCTGGTGTCGGTCCAGAAAACCTTGGTGCCATTGGCGCTCTTGATGGTCGCAACGCCTGCGTCTCTGAACGGATGAGCACTCATGAGAATGTTCATAAGTCGAATGGTGCTCAGCTCTGCTGGGGTTTGCTCTCGAAGGGAGGTACTGTCAAGGCTCGTCAACAGTTGCGAGGGTTCACCCAGTTCGCCTCGGCTCAGCACGACGTCGAAGTCTTTTGCACCTCTCAAGTTTGCGTCGACGGTAACTGTCATTGGACTGTGAACTGTTAAGTCTTTCATGGCAACGATTTCCTGGGCGCCATCAGTGGCGGCGTGAGCCTCTCTGACCTCCCGCTTACCCATGAGTTCTATGAAAACTTCCCGACGGAGACGAACATTCTGCGGTTCTGGAATAATCTTCACTCTGTGGGACATCCACTTCGGTGATTTGAACATGGCCTCAAAGAAGTTGGCGCGCACGATGATTTCTGTTCCGTTGCTGCCATACTCAGGGCGAAGAGCGAGTTGTCCCGTCTTGGCCCGCTGACCTCTGTTCTGGGCAATACATTTGTCTTCGAACTTGGTGATTTCCCTGTTGACCTTCGGTTCATACTTGTAAAGGATGCTATATTAGGTCACGTTAGCAGTGTGTCATTGCAGAACATCTTGATGAACTCACATCGGGTCAACGTCCGGCTCTTTTGGGACACTGGGACCACGTCCACCACCGCCTTGGTTGAAGCCACCACCAGATGAAGGGCCTCGAGAACCACCTTGTCCACGGCCGCCTCGGTCTCCGCCGCGATCACCACCGCGATCACCACCGCGGCCTCGGTTGCCGCCTCCATCGGAACGGCCACCATGGATGGGGAGGTTTCGGCCTCCGCGATTGCCAGACATCTTGATTTATTGAAAAAAAAAAAAAAAAAAAGATTCAGAGGATGAAGACTTGACGAAAAGGGAGTGTTTGGAGTCGAAATGATGAAGATGGTTGGGATCAGAGGGAAGTGTGAGTGCGCGGTTTGAGAAGGGAAATGACGAGGTCAGATTCACTGCTTTCTTGAGTCTCGACAGACTCAATATCAGAATCTGGGAAGGACGGGTGGGGAAAGGAGATGGATGTGGGCGGAAATAAGGAAGGACTGTGACGAGATCTGAGAAAGAGGTTTCTTGAGGGAGATTGTTTTTGGGGTTTGTAAGGGTAACTGGAGAATCGTCAGCAACTTTCAATGGTGCCAAGAATGCAATGCCGAAGTGGAGATGTGATAGAGTAAGGAGAGGATGGTGGCAGGAAGGATTGAGGATCGGAATGGACAAACTTTGGATGAAGGTGTGATGAAGAATGGGGAAGATGGGTGAAGAGCAGAACGATCAAACGGTTGGGAATGACAGAAGAAAGATACAGGAGGAGCAAAAAAACTTGAAGGGTTGGGACAGTAATTTCACTGCGCAATAAGGAAAAGATTTGTGAAGACAAATAACACGAACTTGGGATGCTTTACATGCCAAAATTTGAAAGGTCGTGATTCCAGCACAAATGTGAGTGAGACGGGAAAATCGATTAGAGGGGTAAAGAGCAAGATGAGAATGAGAAGGAAATAATGGAACATGAATGGAAGGATGTAGTGTATTTCGTATGCAAAAAAAGCGATTTGCGCGCATGGCGCTGGAAGCTCACTTACCTTTCTCTCAGGGAGAGAGCAACCCGGCAGTATGAAAATTTTTATGCAAAACAGGCTTTTAGTTGGTTTGGGTAAATAAGAAGGAAGGAAGGTTTTAGGTAGGGAAGACGACGTAAGTAGAGGGCCTGCCAGTATGAAAAGTAAGCAAGCAAGTGCAGGCGATATCGGTGCATTCACCGCATGCTAGTGAAAATAGCGGGTTTCAGGGATGCATGATACGCATAGGTCATACCCAGGGAACGGCGAAGTATGAATGTCTTATGCGTCAGAAATAGAACATAACCGTGGAAGTCAAGGATATGAAATCCGTCTCACTCGTCTGTGGAGGATTGTGGCTGTATGTCTAACATGTGGGATGGAAGTACCTGTAAGTGAAAGATGTGGAGTACCAAGTTGTCGTGAAAGTTTAGATAGGACAACCTTTAAGAATTAGCACCAAAAGTGAGAGAGTAGAAGATAAGATGCTGATGATGAATGTCAGTCAGCTGATCAGGGCTCATGTAGAAAAGTAGGTGCAACTTATCCTCCAGAGATAATGTTAAAAACCAAGTGCAAGCACGCCGCAGGTCTTCCATGGTTGGCTGTTGAAAGTAAGAATTGCATGAGACGAAGCTGGAGTTATCGATACACAGTCATATAGGGAGGAGGGTTCAGATGATTTGATGATATTAGACATTCATGTATATGTATGTGTAGACTTCAGAAAAACACTAACATTTTGAAGTATAACACTGAAATCAAAGCTTGAAAAAACAAAGCAACACCAAAAAAAGACCAATAGATATTCCCAATGATATAAAACTCAAAACACCGGCTCAAAGAACAGACAGATCAAAATACAGCAAACATTAAACAATTTAGCAGAAGATGGCTTCGAGAGCGTCGACATCACCACCAGCCTTGCGCACAGCCTTGAGAGCTGCCTCACTCAGCTTGCGGCGTCGGTCCCTAGCTTCTTGCTCCCGACGGGCTTTTGTCTTGGAGCTGCCAGAGGGTGCGACACCGCCAAGGATCTTCTGGCTGTCGTGGGCAGTGAAGTTCACAAAGGAGACGCTCACGGACTTATTGGATCCACGAGGGCTGGTGGATGACTTGGCTGACTTGGGGGCGCTCATGCTCTGACCCGAGATCTTTCGGCTGTGGGTACGGCGGTGGCCCTTGGTGCTCTTTGGTGAGCTGGCTTTGGGGGAGAGAGATGGGGAGCGGGAGATATTTTGGACTCGAGGAGCGGTGTAAGGAGTCATAAACTTTTGTCCATTTGAGTGCATCATGCTTGATGATGAGAAGGAGGATTCGGTGGACATGTCGAATGATGGATCCATCTGGATCATAAGTCCGCCGTGCATCATATCATTCTGGCTGCCGACGCTTTGCATGCGCTGTTGAGGTGCCGTATGATAAGCGGATTGTTGTTGCTGAGCAACCTTACTAGGCATGGCGGACCACCATTGACTTTCGGGGCCCTGGAGATCGGGAGTGAAGGAGAGGGAGGGGTTGAAGGCATCAGATTGCCATGAGGAGATGGACTGAGGATCTGAGGAGTGGGAGGAAGAGAAGATGTCATCTGCGGAGGGAGGGCTGGAGTTGGTCAAAGCCGAGGAGACAGGGTGGCTCATGTACTGTTGCTGGTGGCGTGCAAGCGCACCGGCAGAAGGAGAGGGCATAGAGATAGCGGGGGATTGGTGGAAGAGCTGCGCATCATACTGGGACACTTCTGCAGGTTCTCTAGTGTGGTTCATTGTGTCGGCAGCCATGTTCTCATGCTGAACGATAACGTCGGAAGGTGGGGGAGACAAAGGAAGACGATCTGAGCCACCGAGGTTGAAGCTCTGAACCCTTTGGGCCCAAGCCTCGGGGTATGTCATTCTTCCTTTCTGGATAGAGGAGCGCATCAAACTGGGAGAGAAACTTTGCTTGCGCATGAGCGCACGGCGCTCATTGGGATCGCGATGGCGAATGGATTTGGGAGTGACGAGTGCACTTTTGGAGATAGCCTTGCGCCGGGGAGTAGCGGGAGGAGTAGAGGGAGAAGTAGTAACTCCGGTTGTTCCTGCAGGGCGGGAAGAAACTTCGAAGTTGTTCAAACCGAGGTCTGAGATGGCAGAGGGGTGAACGGTGTCTTGAAAAGCGAACTGATCGACTGACGGGCCGTCGTCCTGCAGGGACCACTCTTTAGTCCAAGGTTGCGGCGATTCACACCTGATAGTGGAGCCGGTGGGGGAGTGATCGCCACCGTCACTCGATAACGAGTCCAGCGAGAAGAGCTGCTCAAGATCGCCGGAGTACGACGAGTCTTTGTTGCCATCGGCTCCAGAGCTCTCCGCGTTGACGTATTGGTTGAATAAGTCATCGAAAGAGTGGTTGTACGGTTGGGCGAACATCTTGCTCTTTGTGTTTTCCGTTTGCGGCCAACGGAGACGAAATGACGTGATTGGGTGACCAAAGATCTAGGACTGGAAGATCCCGGGAGGCAAAGTATGCAGAGCATGCAAAATGGGTGCAAAAGAGTCAAAGAGAAAGTGTTTGACTGTTTGTCAAAGAGAGAAAACACTGCAGAGTATGCAAAGATAGCAAAGCAAACAAACAGATCGCGTCGACTATTTGAATGTCCGAGGACAGCTCCAGCCTCATCTTTTTTGCATACATTCCAATGCCTCCCCGGGATGTGCGAGGAATGTACTATGGATGACCCGGTTGGCTCACGCCCGGCTCCACCGACCTTCAGCGGGATCATTCAGGTCTCCGCTGGACCGGTCAGGCCAATCGTAGGATCCCAAAATATCAGTGGCTGAGAAAGCCGTTGGAGGGTGTTCAGCCCCATAGGAAGCTTCGATGTGGATAGCCACCGGCGGGAATGCAACCCTCCCCTCGCTATGCCCAGAGCAGCGTGAACTCTGAATAGCTCCGAGTGGCGGGTGTGGAGAGAGGCACGGTATGCCAAATCAATCCCCTCCCAAATTCGAGCTCAAATGATGGCATTAGGACATGCTAATCGTGGGTCAGAAAGCTCGCCGAGCCCGAGCCGCCTAAATGACCGGTGGAGGTGCCAGGACAGACGCTCTCACGAGCGGATGAGGCAGTCATCTGGTGCCGATGTATGCGTCATGACCGCGGGTAATTCGATCATCAATCGCCCAAATTAGATTCGAGCGACGGTAGGATCTTCCCCTACCTCTAGTGCCCGCCCTGCCCATTAGGCTCTATCATTTGTCAATGCCATGCGCCCAGATCCGCAGGTCGGGTTTTCCACTACACATTGCCGGGTAGGACTGGAATGTGGGTTGGAATGCAGAGGCTGGGCGGAATGTCACTCCCGCTCCAACAATAGCAGGGAATAGTCTTTTGGAATTCGAGAAGGCCAGATTGACTCTCGTACCTGCTTTGATTAGTATAAAGGTAGATCGGAAAGCTCCGATCTGCAGGAGATCGTCGGTCAGTGCACCGTTTGGCGCCCTCGGGCTGGGAACTTTGTTCTAAAATTATCCTCAGGCACAGAACATCTGACCTGATCACCCTTCAGGCTATGGTCGAATGCAGCGGTCGAAATAATATCGAACCATGCGTGGAAGGAGGGCCGTGGGGGGAGGGGCTGACCCCTGTCAGAGTAATCTTTGGAATCTTCCCATCTGCTACCTTTGGCACAGCAAAGGTACCGTTTGCCAAATCCGGCTGCTGGAGACTGGAGACTGGAGACCTGTCCAGAACAAAGCAGAGTATTCATTCAGAGGTGGGTGTAACTGACACCCTTTCATGTCCACGCGTCGCGGCCCAGGCCCCCTGGTGAGGCGAAAGTATTCGTAGGTAGTCCCAGGCACATGATCTGGTACAAATTTTGCGGCGAGGAAGTGAAAGTGAATGCATGATGTGTGAGAAAATTTGTGGGAAGAGAGACGATGAGGAAGCATGATGGAGCCGAAATAAACAGTCCTATGGACGTGCGCTGTCGTCATAGTTCCCTATTGTATTATCAAAAATAGCCTCGCCGCGCATGTCTGCTCAAGCGCTCCAGTAACCCTAGGATTCAAATGCTACCTTACCTCAATCTCCTAGCTAGAGCAGGAGCTAGAACGAGATATGTGCGAAGGGGACGGCAACCCCTATCTAATTGTTTTCTGTGTGGATGAGCGTTCCTTCCTCGAACACTTCTTGGACTGCCCCAACTAATTACATCGTAAGGCTCTGGACGACTTACAACTTCGCTTCTTCTACCCTTTTGTTCGAATTGTTTTCGCAACTGGGATCCATGCCACAGCGCAAGGAGGCTTTCACAATGTTTTCCGCATCTGGGAAGCCAAGAAGTCACCTTAAGCCTAGAGCCATGCACATCCGAGGGAGCACTATAGGCAAAGAAGTCGATCTTGCCTGGCAGCTAGCAGATATGCCTAGTGACAGAGACACCAACTGAACAACCGTGGGCGTCGAAGCCCAATGGTCAGAACCAATGACGAAACCCCTACGAGACGTGAAGTTCTGGCTTGGCAACTCGAACAGCGATGTCAACGTAGTCCTCACGCTTTCTGTCCAGCGCCAGGGCAAGATCACAGTAGGAAAAATAGGATCTGGGCCGTTCAGCAGATCCGGTCCCTCCCAAAATATGGAGATTGTGCGAACCAGCCATGGTCCCCGAATCACAGCCGAAATAAAGATCCGAGTTTCGAGACGTGTTCCTTCGCGATAACAGGGTCACCGAATCCGATTTCGTATTCTTACACGCTGGGTTAAAGGAGATAGCTAGGGACGTATGGCCTGAAATAGACGAATAGTTTAACTAATTAATTGACCAAACCTCACTTCTGCCTAATTTCTGCCTAATTTCTGCCTCACTCCTGTCTCATTTAAGCCTTATAATTAAGGCGACAGCTGAGTCAGAAGTCACAGAGGCAAACCTGAGGCGAAAGAACTGGAATCAGTCATTCACTACCTTTTTTTAAGGCTTTGTGTCTCCTTAGCCTTGTGTCTGCTTTTGTTTATGCCACTCTAATTATAGTGCTTAAAGAGCCCCTGGTCTCTCTCTGTGCTCTTCTATCTTCTATTTCTCCCACGGCCGCTTTTCCGAGTGAAGCCGACGGTGACTCAACAACCCCTCTGCTCACCCCACACAACGTGGGTTCATCCTCGGGTCTCTATCTTGACTTCTCATCTCTTCCCCTATCTCCCATACTTCCACACAGTCCTCGCAGTCTGGTCTGCGATCGCCTGCCTCTTTGCGACCCCTTGTCGCCCTAGCATTCCCGGGCCGTTTGCATCGCGTCGCGAAAATACCCACGCTCACGCCTCCTCTCACCCTTGACATCATCTGTTATCCAACACCAACAATCGCCTCTTGCCTCCCACCTGATATTCCGCACTGAGAAATCACCTCGATATTTCTCAGTTGACCTACCCAATATCTGCGACATCCGCACCCACTCGCTGAGCAAGGAAGCGCCGTTACCGAAACCACGACCACAGACACTACGAACACCATGTACTCGCTGAATCTTCTTGTCGGGGCTGTCCCCGTCAAGTTTCCTTAGGCGATCACACGTTTCTCGTGTGCCTTCACCATGGATATCTCTCCGTGCCTTGGAGGCTTTCGATGCCACAACCGTGTGCTTTTGACTTACAACTGAACTCTCAATCTCAACCTATACTCCACGAACCTATATCGGATCCTATCCGCCTAGGGAAACCCGTGGTATTTAAGACACTGTACCGACCTTGCAGTCATCCTCGTCAAGATTGAGGAAAGAAATACCGCCAGAATGGCCACCGCCACCAACATCAACAGAGAATCATGGGATTCCCTTACTTCAACTTTGGACAATCTTGATGTGTCTTTCTCTCATGACAGTTGTTACGGATCGGACGAAGTCTCCGTTTCCTCAAACAATACCGCTCCGTTGCAGTCGAGTGTTTCGACCAACGTTGTCAAGTGCGAGGAACCATCCTTGCACCCATTTTTGAAGTCGATCTTGAAAAACTCCTGTGCAGACTTGGAAGATGACACCGAATCTGAATCTGGATACGGATCAGATGAAATCGAAAATGGCTATGACGCTCTCGCGGGAGAAGACGAGGAGGACGATGACATCATGTCCGACTTCTCCGTTTGGGAGAACACTTCTCAGGATGTGCCTGAATCGCGTGAAGATCACACTGATCTCTTTGACGACTCCTTCATCGGGTTCGATTCCATGGTCCGATTTGATGACAATATCCGTTACATTGACTCTCCTGAATTCTCAGATGAGGAGATGTCCGAGAGCCAAATGACATGTCATGAGCAATTCCTTCTCCATATGACGCAAAACTCTCAAGCTGCTCTACATGAGTCCCACGCGGAGGACGAGTTAGACGATGAGTCTAAGAGTGACCACAAAGAATTTATTCGGACGACCACCCACCAGCCAGAAGATTTCCCACGGGAGGCTGTCAACGAGGACCGGGAAATTTTTGTCGCAGAGATGAATTGCATCCACGGGATTGCGAACAACAAATACAAACACTATCTCCGCACCCAGGTTGACAACATTCGACTTGGCCACGAAGCCGAGTCCATGCATCCCGACGACCCGCCTTGCATGTACCTCGATCAAATCCTCGATCATGTCATCGGGGTTTTCCGCAACCTCCTTGCTGTGGATGAACTGAATGAACTCGTCGCACTCCGCGAAGAAGAAATGGGCTTGGCCATTGAACACGGCACCATCCATACTTCGAGCTCAGCGTTGAGCCACCATCTGGCTCTGCTGGACAAGATCGAGCACTTCCTCCTCGACAGGCTGACTAACGGTCGTGTGAACGTATGTCCGGACGAGCTGAGCTTCTTCGCCGGCGGTATTGCGCACGCTCTCGGCACCAAGGATCTCCCTGCAGCGGATTAAGATCCTTATCCAAGCACCCACTGCAACAAAGCAACACTACGACGTTACGATTATGAGAAAAATGGTTTTATTTCGCCTTCGGCAGGTTCAGGCGAAGGAACCAAGTGAAGGATTCAACAGTCAGAAAAGCATTCGGATTTTTTATCGCTCTGCTGATGACCGTCGCCGGTCACATGTGTGGTCACGCTAGCTTTGATATTAAATGATGTGAAAGTTTGCCTTGTCTCATCCGTAGATTAATGTCGTAGTTTAATGTCGTAGATTCACAGACCCCTAGTCTCTTCAATTTAACCAGAACGCCACACTTCAGTCCACAGCCCGGTCTCGCCTATCCAACAACCAAAACCCCATCCCAAACCGCAGTCTCAGTCATCAGGCCGGGGCGGAGCAAATCTACCAAAAATTAATCGGATATACGGAGACCGTAGTACCAAGCATCCCAAGAGTCCCACCCTCGCTTCCCAAAATCTCTCCGCAGTCTAGACTCTCAATTCCACGCACAACCCCCCAATCTTTGAAACCACCTACAGTAATCTTGTCCCCACCCGAATGAAGAGCCCGCGCGTTTCAGATCTACCCCCGAGGTGCCCCATCACTGCCGTACCCTACAGTACCGAACAGCCGTGGACGTAGAACCCAAACCACTTCGTAACACATCTGATGCGCGCCAGCGAATGTTGCCGAGGTAGCGGCAGCCATGGGCTCCGCTGCGCTAGCGGACGTTCGTGTGTCGGAGAATTTATAGTTTCCTTCCTTACGCGGCAGGGATGAGCCGGTGCGGGTCGTTGGGGGTCGTTGGGGTTAATTTTATTGATTGACAGTGTCCACCGATGGGCGAGGTGAGCTACGGGCGGAGACGGTTCCAATCCACTGCTATTGCAGAAATTGGCAAGTGGAGGAAAGGGGTTTGATGTGCTATCATGGCGGGGTGGAGAAGTAAGGAGAGGAGAAGACATATATCCCGAGTGAAGATGTGTAGACTGCGACAGGTATTGGTGAGCAAGCCACTGCCCCAACGTACGATGAAAATAGGTATTCTATAATGCAATGTTCTGTACAAAGTCCCTAGGTAGTCATGCCATGCAGGTCTGGGTAAGTTTATGTCGAGGCTGGGTAGAAGTGACAGGTCGAGTCGCTATGCGAGGAGGACGAGTATCCAGAACGCCGCTGCGCCGGGTCGATCCTAACGGCGCAGGAGCACAGACATGCGCCGGGGCTCGATCCTAGTTTTCGAGATGCGGTGAAGAGAATACAGGTGCTAAGTATGCACTGGGCAATAGCCTCGCTGCGTGCCCGCGGTCGTCCTGGATAGGTCATGCATTTGGCATTGATACTTTGGACACAGACACAAGCCGGTCTGCACTGCGTGGGACACATCGTCCTTATTTCCTTGTCCGAGTCATGCTCTCCGTTCATCCGTAGACATGACTGATTCATGCTTCTCGTCCAAGAAATCACTTAGATAGACCGCACAATGCCAAGTGGAGCCCGAATAGACGCGAAGGATTCTGACAGGGAACGAGAGTGGACCACCGCGTGGTCAATCGGGGTCCTCCAAAGATGGACCTGCGCAAGCCACATACTGTACATACAGTGGTGTTGCAAGAGTTTGAAACCACCTTATGTACCTTTCTTTACCGCCTGCTTGTTAGAAGCACACTAACGCCCGTTGAGAGAATATGAATGGTGGAACTACTAATTGCCGGCAGAATAAATAGCTCGGTACCTAAAAGGGTTTCAAACTCTTGGAACGCCACTGTAGCACTACAGTACTGTACAGTACATAAGTGGGAAGTGCCAATGGGATCTTCAATAAAACCGGGTTCTTCGTGGCGAACGCGCCCATCCAAAGCCCGACGGAACGACACCCCGTATGTCGGGTCGGGGTCGAACTGCCCAGGCGAATGGCACGAATTATACGGATTGCACGGACGGCTGCTGGGATAACATCCCTGTCCCATCCTATAATCTTACGAGATGCGTGCGTTCTAGGAACCAATCGGGACGCCGGCGGGTCAATGAAAAATGTATGCGTCGTGATGGGAACGGATGTATCTCAAGTTGGTTGCACGATGTAGTGTCGGTCTCATCGCCTCAATGATTTGTATTCCCTGCTGCGCATCGCCTCGAGCGGCAGACCCTCCACGCCGCGGAGTTGCGGAGGGACTAGCGGGATACGGGAAGGGAAGCTCATAGACCCGCCAAGTTGCCGATCGTGGACCGGAAGATGGACCATGATGGCAGACTCACAGGTGCATGAATCACGAGGATCTGCGCTATGCATAATATTACCTTTGGGATATGATATCTTATGCTCAGGGGAAGCTCCTTTTGACCGCTTGTTGATGACCCACTCGCGGGGAATTTGCGCCAAAATACACCGTACACAGTGGCATTATCTCCATCGTTACCTTATCTCTGCAGAGCCTGATTTACGCCCATTTTCTGGCGTTTTCTGGATTCCGACCATATCCACCGGGATTCCCCCTTTGTACCTGGGCTGTGGGAATGCAGTGGGCCGCTGTGGTTGGAAGACCGTCTCCATCCGATGGCGGGATCAGATCGGATCAAGGTACCGCGTTCGGCTTTCTTCCCAGCGACCACATTTGAAGGGGGAAAATGGGATGTGCGACGCCATTTGGTCATTGATTTACCGGGGAAATATGTACAGCCGTTGAGACCGTGAGAGTGAAAATGTAGAATTCACGTATGCTAGCTCGATCATGGAGGGGCCTAAAAAAAATGATCGGAGATACCGTTTTTGGGACCTCGTGGGTGAAGCGGATCCATGGAACATGGAACGGGGGCTGAGGAACGTGTGGCTATGGAAAACGGGACTGGATGGAGACCGACCGGATGTGGGGCCCGACTCAAGACTATCGAAGACGAGCCCTCGAAGAGAGCAAAGAGGGGTGGAAGGTATGGAACCGCGATCGAAGAGAGACGAAACACGCAAATCACAACCGGCGACAGGGGTATTGCCAGTGCTCAGCAGCTGCTGAGACGGGAAATGTGCCAATAATCCGCACGAGGTGGGCGTAGTCTCGAAGACTAAACTCACCCCCGGTGGCGTGATTGGAGGAGTTCATCGGTGGGTTTCGTTAGCGCAACTCGCAGGCCGTCGATCGTTGACTTCCTTTTTCCGCCTTGGTCCTCTTGTCCCCCTGTTCTTCAACGCGATAGGCTCGGGTGCGGCCTGAACGTGTCCGGACCAATGTTGGCCACGTCGGCCTCAGGTACTACGGACTCCCGTACGAAAAAGATGACATACAGTCCCTTCAATGAAACCCTGAGACGCGAGTCCCTCGTGCCCAGGGGAAGCTATCCGCTGCGCGAACGTAAGAACATGTAACGATACTCCATCGAAGAACCCTCGGGGCACAATCGGGTTCTCCATAATTTATTCTTCGGTAGTCAACCCCCGAATGCTCGTTCTCCACTCCATCGTGAAGACCAGAATTTACTCCTTTTCACTCTCCGTTTCTGCCTTCTCCGTATCCTTTCCTTTTGCTTCGTTTCGCTCGTTTCGTGCTTTCGTCTTTCCCCCTGATACCCAATGAGCCATCGCATCATTGCTCCGTACGGGTACGTTGGAAACCTTCGTTGAGACGGGAATCGACGCTGCCTGCATCCTGCGAAACACGCCCCGAAAGGCCTCCAACCGCAGCGTCAGCAGAGCAACAAAAACTCGGGAACCTGAAGCTGACGGGAGTACAGGATGATTTGATTTAGTGATTTGATTTCAACCCAGTCCCGCTTCCTGTTCGAGGTGGAGCTGTCCCACGCGGCACAAGAGAACAGTAAATAAGGAACGCTAGAACAGCATAACCCACGTCCCCTGGACCGGGGTCCAGCGCCCCATGATGCAACCTTACAAAGGATCCGATTTCCTGGACACCGGGGCCAAGTCCCGTTCTCGCACCAGCAGCATCTCCAGCGACTCGCAACACCCCCGAGTCAACCTCATGTCTCCCCCCGCCGTTCGACCGCCGCCTGGTTTCGTTTCGTCGGCGGCCGCTTCCGAGATCATCACCTCCGACCAGGAGTTCAACGCTGCCGATTTTGTCGCCGACGACGAGGAACCCGGGTCGGGCGCAAATGCGCTGGTGACCCCCGCCGCGCTCTCTCTCTTGAACAATTTTCTCGATAACCTACTCTTCAACATTCTCGCGGCATCCAAATCGACACAGTTGACTTCGATCCGACCATGTCTGGCCGATGTCTTGAAGCCGCGACTGGCTGGAGAAGTCGTGGCTACCGCGGACGAGGAGCTGAGTGAATACATGGGCGGAGCGGAGGATGAGCAGACCGAATTTCGCGGCGGCCAGCAGCCGGGCGGGGAATTCGACCTGGTACGCTCCTGGAAATTGACGCGCCTACGGTGTATGGTCTACACTCGCCTGGGCGACATGGAAGAGGAGGACGAGGACGAATATATTGCTCAGGAGGGCCTCGGGGAGTGCGACGGAGCCCCCCGCCGTTTCTCCAGCCATGTCGACAACATCACCCCCGCGGCAGCCATTTTCTTGACCTCGATCATCGAGCACATTGGCGAGCGAGCCCTCGTCATTGCGGGCGAAACGGCGCGCTCCCGGCTGTCAGCGAAGCTCAACGACAGTGCGAGTGTCTCAACCGACATGGAAGAAGAGCACAAGACAATCGACCAATTGGTAGTGGAGGACCTTGACATGGAGAAATTGGCCTTGAATGCGACACTGGGCCGTTTGTGGCGCACGTGGAGAAAACGCAGACGCGGCACTACCGTCTCTCGAACCCTGTCTCGGGCGGAGTCTCGGGAGTCTTTCCGGCGTCGCGGCTACTCCCTCGCCAACAGTCGCAAGAGCAGCATTGGAACCATTGAGGAGCCGGTGACTCCCAAGGAGCCTCTCCCGGAAGAGGAACCTACTCCTGTGGACCCGGCAGCGGTGCCTCTGCCGATGGGCGACCACGATGTCCTGGAGATTGAGGTGCCCGGTTACTCGCACGAGCTGGAGGGTGAGGTACAGACTATGGAGGCCATGGTTGCCCACAAGGTGCGACCGCGGAGTTTGATGGTTTTCCCTTCACCTTCGCTTACGCCGAGATCCCCCGGGTCGCGAAACGCGTCTCCTGTGAGTGCCTCGGCCATTGAGAACCCGAAGTCGCTTCGCCATTCTCGCTCCAGGTCATTGCCAAATGCGGCGGCCAGCACACCATGCGAGGTGCAGGAGCCTGTAGAGGACGAACAACCATCCCCGACTTCCAGCGAAAAGGCCAAGATGCTCGAAACCATGTACGAGGATGACGAATCGGCCGAATTTGTGGATGCTGCAGAATCCGCGACTGGCCTTGCTATTTCCACGCCGAGCGAAGAGCCGGAGGTGGCTGAATCTGACGATAAAGCGAGAATGCCGATCGTGCATGAGGAAGAGGAACCAGGTCCGCCAGTCAACGAAACGGTCGCATCTTTGCGATCTGCTAGCCCGGAGGAGGAGATGATCGATCAAATTACCAACACGCGAGTTCCGGTTTCATCCCTAGATGATCGATCAGCCAACGGCCCGGAGGTGATTGAAGGACAAGGGATGTGCGAGAAGCCCCGACCTCCGTCAACGATTCAACGACCACGCCGACAGTCTAGCAGAGATTCTGCACAGTCTAATGCAAAGGCGATCGTTGCAGAGACTAGCGAGCTGGACATGCAATCCGTCGTGGTGGCCCCGCAGACGCAAGGGGCAGAACCCACAACACCCGCTGCCACCATCGAGGCTATCGAATCTCCTAACGACAAAGATGATGCTATCGACGACGATCAGAATAAGTCGGTCATGTCTTCTACCCCTGCGACTCAGCCCGCCGTCGAAGATGTCGCGCCCGAGACGACTCAGGGGCCTTCCGTTTATCCCGAAACCACTCGACCTTCGTCAACTTCTGGAGATAGCGAGCTTTCATCAAGGTCCCGCAGACATAAGCCTACTCCGTTGATTGTCGCAGCCAGCAACCGCAGTTCTGCAGGAGCCGAGCGTGCAGCCGTTCAGCGAATGCCTCCACGCCCATCAACATCCATCTCTTCGGCCCAACCGAAGTCTCGTCGATCAGAGAGCTTTAACAGTTCCCGTGACAAGCGTCCAGTCACAGCTGGCTCGACCACATCCCAAGTGTCTACCAAAATCAAGGGCATCATGGGCCGCCAACCCGGGGATTCCCCTTCGCTCCGTCTTCGCAGCTCGTCCGAGACAAGCCGGGAATCTGGCAGTGGTGACTCTGTGGAAAATGATACCTCGGCAGATCTGGACAAGCTGATCAACAGCGACGAGACAATCCATTTCACGCTGACACCGCGAAGTGTAAGAGAAATGTCTTTCCCCGAATCGGGTCGGCCGTTCCCTCGGTCAGATACCAAGGACACCCATGATCTGGCCGATTTCATCAAAAACACGGGTCCATACGGCGAGGAACCTCACAAGGCTCGGGCCTCTATTTCTTCGAAAGCGACTGGAGAGTTGACGTCTCTCGGACGTGTCAGATCGACCCTCGACTCCCCCAAGAGCATTTCTGTCCCTCCCATATCCCCCATTTCTCCTCGTGTGCCTCCCTCACCCAAGCCTTCCGCATCTCCACAGGCCCGGGATGCCCGCCCTTCCGCCAATTCGACTCGGGAGTTTGCCGAGTTCATCAAGTCGACTGGACCTGTCAGCCCCAGCGGAAGTACATTTACTCCCAGCCCTCCTCCGAGCGTGATGTACCAGCAGGGCAGCTTCGGAGGTGCCAAGACTTCTCGTCCTCCGTCGACCCTGTCAAGCAGCACAAAGAGCACGAGCAATTCAAATCAATCTCGAGCCAAGTCTCGTCTTGTTGAACCCCAGCGTTCGGCCACGTCTGAGCTTATCGACTTCATCCGCGAGGGGCCTTCGCAGCCAGGAACTCACCGTATCCCTCGGACAGTTGCACCATTCCGAAACACGGCTGACTCGGATGACCTGCGCCTCGACTCTGCTCAGCAGGACAAGGGCACCTCTCTTGCCAGTGCCCAAGAAAGCTCTCGCACTGGAGTCCTGGACTCATCTAAGCGCATCCCTAGCCAGCCCAAGGCGAAACCCTCAGCAAGTGATGCTGTGTCAGACGACCCTCGTCCTACTCGCAAGCAGCACCGAGTTCTCGATCCCTACGCTATCCCCGACGACGATGATGAGGAAGAGGACGATATGCTGGAAGACCTCATCAATGCCAAACCACCTCAGCGTCAAGAAGAGAGCTTGATTGATTTCCTGCGAAGCGAGCCTCCGCCCGATTTCCAGCAATCCGCTCCTCAACCGCTGAACATTAACATTCCTCAACAGTCGAGCTCCAACGGGTTCGTGAGCAGCGCATCAGACCTAAAGTCCCGCTTGCGCCGAGGCAACGCAGACAAAGGACCTTCGAACAAGATGTCTCTCAGTTCACTGCGCTCTCAAAACACCCTCAGCAACGGACAATCCCCATCAAACTACGCCGCCAAGATTGGCATGGAACGCAACCCAGGCACGATCCCGTCCGCATCCAACAAGCAGACGGAGACCGGCGCACTGGCAGACTTCCTGCGCAACACCGGCCCCCCCGAGCCTCGAGTTAACATGAACCCCAAGATGAAGGAGGGTTCATTCTCGCGATTCTTCTCTCGGCGCCGGAAGGTCGAGGCCTAAGCCCCGAACACATTTCATGCTTTGAGCGTTTCAAGTCCATCTAACGATCCACATATCTCATGTCCATCGTTTCGATCATTTCCCTCATATTCATCTTTTCGTTTCCCTTGTTTATCTACACATTGTATAAAGGCATGTCCTGTTTATTTATCTCATTGTTTCTCATGGCTACGACCCGGTGGCTTGCCTGTTTCTTCATGTGACCCACTTTCTCTTTCTAATTTCCTTTCTGTGGATGTGATACTCTCCGGCACTGAACGACTAATACGGATCTTTTCCTTTCCTTTTCTTTCTCTCCCGTGGGCCTTGACTGGGATTGTTCTGGTCCCCTTTTGAATTTTGCGAGATACCATGTTTGAAGTACTTGTGCCAGTATCCAAAAGCCTCGACGCTCAGAAACTATTCAAATGTTTCTCAATTTATACTCCTTACTATCAATTCTTCTGTATTATCAGTAGTTATCATCAACAGATGAGACGCTTGCTGTCTGTTGTTAACATTCAGTACTTAAGAAAGGGCGATCTATCATGACTAGGCCACAATGCAAGACTGTGATCTCTTGTTCAGCTTCTGAGGTCCAGTAGTACTTTTCAGTCGAAAGCGCTTTTCTACAAAGTGTAAAATGCCCTGTTAAGAAGAGACGTTTACTACTGGTTTATAGATGTACCTGGGTCCGGAACATCGTTGATCCCGTTGATCCCGACTCCCCTTTCCAGGTGGCATCAACAGCATCAACAGCTCCCTCTGTTTACCACTCCATTTGCCAACCATGGGATCCGCTCCCTTCACAATGAGGTCCGTCCTCGCCTTCTTCCTCCTCGCGATCCAACTCGTGTCCGCCCTGAAATTCGAATTGCCCGCCGGCCACGGCAAGAACGAGCGATGCGTCCGCAACTTCGTGTCCCGCGACCAGCTGGTCGTGGTCACTGCTATCGTGAACGGCCAGAAGGGTGATGGCCAACAGGTCAACATGCACGTATGTGAAATACTCTCTTGAGGGACCCGAGGTTCAAATTGCTGCAATTGGACTGATGGTGTCGGCTCCAACGACACCGAACACGCGACAGCTAACGCTCCCTTTCTGTACAGATCAAGGACGCCATGGGCAATGACCACGGGCGTCCCAAGGATATCGTGGGTGAGGTGCGCCAGGCGTTTACTTCCACCGCGGACACTGCTTTCGATGTGTGCTTGAGCAACCAGCTTGTCGGTCGTGGTAAGTTATCACCTTACGGGTTCGAAGAGCCCTCCGAGGCCGTTTCTATTTAATTAAATGCTAAATTCATCACCCACTCGCAGGTGCCAATGCCAACTCCTTCCGTGAAGTCGAGCTCGACGTCGAGATCGGCGCCGACGCCCGCGACTGGTCCAGCATCCAAGTCCAAGAGAAGCTCAAGCCCGTCGAGACCGACCTCCGCCGCATCGAAGAGATGGTCCAGGATATCGTCACAGAGATGGAGTACCTGCGTGCGCGTGAGCAGCGTCTGCGCGATACCAACGAGAGCACCAACGAGCGAGTGAAGTGGTTTGCTTTTGGCACCATGGGCATGCTGATGGGACTCGGCGCGTGGCAGGTTGTCTACCTGAGGGCTTACTTCCGATCTAAGCACCTTATCTAGGTTGCGGTTGATTTGAAGAGTGGTTGCATTTTGGAGTGTTCGCTTATTTTTCGTTTCTTTTTGGATTTACGAACGAGCGCGTTCGAGAGAATGTTCCCCACTGTTTGTGTACTCTCTCATGTCTTATGGCATTCTGTTCCAACAGTCATGACCTCAATGATACAAAAAATGGGCTCTGCATCTGCTGGGCATTAATTAAGTTGCTATAGATGGGCTATGCATTCTGTTAGATGGGATCGCTCTGCCGCCAAGTGGCCCAGTAGACAACCATCTGCTTAAATCTTGAATGTTTCCTGCATGTAGTACGCCCTTCAAAGGATTCAACAGAGTATTAGCCCAAATGAAGGCCTCAATCAAGCAGTCCGAACATGGCTGTGTAATCTTCCGCGGCCTGGTGGACCGGCGACCCGCAAACACTGCAAACCCCGGCACGTCGGTACATTTTCGGGCCATTACTCTAGATGACATCAAGCCCGCGTCGTGGTGCATGAACGCCTCAATTTCCTTCATCCAAGTTCCAACTACCCCAAGGATAGGTAAAGGATATCAAAATGACCTCTTCGCGACTCATCACCCGCCTCATGCGGCCCTCGCCGTCAAGCTACACCCCGATCTCAGCATTGAACCGCTCCTTCGGCTCTTCGGCTCTGCGCTTCAAAGATGCCAACGATCGCGCCCCTCCCAATGCCCAGGCTCACCGCGAGAACCAGGCCAAGAAGCAGCCGAATCAGTTCGTTCCTAATACTACTTCAACCATGACCAAGGACTATCCGAATGTCGGCCAGAAGCCGTCGCCGCCTGAAATGCTCAACACGGTCGATCCTAACTACCGCCCGGCGGATCCGTACCCTGGCAAGATTGAGCATTTCACTGGTGGACGCCAGGAGAGCGGCGCGCAGAAACCCGAGCTTGGCGTTGGCGAAATGGAGGGTATCACCTTCAAGGTTGAGCCGTTGAAGCGGGTTAACGAGGATGTGACGACCATGCGTGCTCGGTTACTATGTAAGTTTCCCTTACCTGCAGACAGGAGCACACTCTTGGGGAACAGATCTAATCAATCATATCAGACCAGAGCCGGAAGCGTGGAATCCTTGAATCCGACCTTCTTCTCTCAACCTTCGCCGACGTCTACCTGGGAAAAATGAGCCCAGAGCAGCTCCAGGAATACGACCGCTTCCTCGACGAAAATGACTGGGACATCTACTACTGGGCGACGCAAGACCCACCCACCGAAGACTCCTCCGCGCCTGCTGAGGACACTCTGACGGAGACCTGGAAGCGGACTGGCGCCAAGAGCGGCGAGTGGGCTCAGACCGTTGGTGCCTTTAAGGCGGCGTACCGGCCTGTGCCGTCGCGGTGGGATGGTTCGGAGGTTTTGAACCTGTTGAGAGAGCATGTCCGCGATAAGAGCGCGACGGGCTTCGAGTCGGCGAAGAATAAGAAGACTGGTGGCGGTTTGGGACGGATGCCCAATGTTCAGGTGTTTAACTCGTGAGAGTTGGTGCCGTTCTTTCTTACTCTTTTGTACTATACCTGCTTGAGGGCACCTATATATTCGTTGAATTAGATGTATGAAGAAGTGAATGCATACGGTGGTGCAACAGTTGCGAACTAGATGGATGAACTATGTGAATCCGGTTGCTCATTTTATGGTCAAACGGACATCAGGATGTTTGTTGTTTTCAGATGGTCTGAGGTAGATAGATGCAAACTTAACAAACCCGGCATTTAGATAGCCCAGCAATTGTAACTAAGATGCGAAGAATTACTCAATTGAATTACAGGACAAACGCCGTATACGACTCCAGTCTCTTAAATGAGGCTAAGTGTACGTAGCGAATGCAAGGGGTATACTCCCTGTCAGAATGCACTGCGCTGTATGCTGCGGGACGATTACTTCTGCAGCCACGGTTTTAGACCAACAAAAATTGTATACTAGGACTTGTAGATGGAACATTAAATTGGCATAGTATAATTAATGTATTCAATGATGTTTAATGCATCTCGTGTGTCAAGATTGGTATCTAGGGTATACGGAGTATTGTCTGGTCATTGTTGTACACTCCCGGGCAACTGCATTTTTGATGGACCTCGAGTGTACCAAAGTATACGGCAGAAAATCAATCCAGCAAATCCAAGTCGGCCAAACCAATCGAATGTATTAAAGTATAGAGTTGGATGAGTGTCACATGACCTTCGCTTAGTTTAGGGCACGGCGGAACCACACAAGGCGCTGGCCAACCGGGTTAGGGCTTGAGCGGGCACGCAGCGTCTCCTTCCTCTGCGATTTTATCTCCTCAGCGTCAACGACCTACTCCGCCCATCCTTCCCCTTCCATCGTCTCATTCCCATCATGGCTGAGCAGCTGGTTCTTCGCGGCACCCTCGAGGGCCACAATGGCTGGGTTACTTCCCTTGCCACCTCTCTGGAGAAGTAAGAGACCCGAGACCTGCTACCTCGAATTTTCGCCTCGAATACTGTACTGACTTGACTTCGACATTTAGCCCCAACATGCTGCTGTCTGGTTCTCGCGACAAGACCCTGATCATCTGGAACCTTACCCGCGATGAGCAGGCTTACGGTTACCCCAAGCGCAGCCTGGAGGGCCACTCCCACATCGTCTCTGACTGTGTATGCTATTTGCCCCTCCCGTCTCGACCGGATGCAGTGTGAAAGGATTCATTGGACGTGGATACCATGGAATCGGATCAAAGTACCGGGGCAATTGGACTGTTTGGCTGACCGCTGGTCTTTTTTTTGTGCGTATAGGTGATCTCCTCCGACGGTGCCTACGCTCTGTCCTCCTCCTGGGACAAGTCGCTCCGTCTCTGGGAGCTGTCCACCGGCAACACCACCCGCACCTTTGTCGGCCACACCAACGATGTTCTGTCCGTCTCCTTCTCCGCCGACAACCGTCAGATCGTCTCCGGTTCCCGTGACCGCTCCATCAAGCTGTGGAACACCCTCGGTGACTGCAAGTTCACCATCACCGACAAGGGCCACACCGAGTGGGTCTCCTGCGTTCGCTTCAGCCCCAACCCCCAGAACCCCGTCATTGTCTCCGCCGGCTGGGACAAGCTCGTCAAGGTACGATATCAATCTCAATTTCCTTCGAAGCAAGCCCTCGAGACTTGTATTTGCCCTTTATTTCACATGATGTTTGCATAAACGTATTTGCTACTTCAGAGCCCTTACCGGCCATGAGACAATCTTTCACCCAATGCCTGATGTTAAAAAAAAAATCCAACTTTTTGTTGGATGAGGAGGACGCGGAAACCCTTTTTCTTCTGGACTCATTTGCGTTTATGAATCCACCGCTGACAATTTATCCTCAATCTAGGTCTGGGAGCTCGCTTCCTGCCGCCTGCAGACCGACCACATCGGTCACACCGGCTACATCAACACCGTCACCATCTCCCCTGACGGATCCCTCTGCGCCTCCGGTGGCAAGGACGGTACCACCATGCTGTGGGACCTGAACGAGTCCAAGCACCTCTACTCCCTCCACGCCGGTGACGAGATCCACGCTCTTGTCTTCTCCCCCAACCGCTACTGGCTGTGCGCTGCCACCAGCAGCTCCATCACCATCTTCGACCTCGAGAAGAAGAGCAAGGTTGATGAGCTCAAGCCCGAGTACGTCGAGAAGGGCAAGAAGAGCCGTGACCCCGAGTGTATCTCCCTGGCCTGGTCCGCCGACGGCCAGACCCTGTTCGCCGGTTACACCGACAACAAGATCCGTGCCTGGGGTGTTATGTCGCGGGCATAGATGAGTTGATGATGTGCGGGTGAAGGAGCAAGGCCTGTTTTTGATCTATCGCCAAGGGAATCAAAAAAAAGTTCAAAACCAGAACAAGAAGGGCATTGGTTTGGGATGTATGAGCCACGAGCAATGAAGCACTCTCGGTGCCGGGAAATGAGGCCCGACCTGGAGGTTTTCTTACATGCCTAGCTTACTTGATTCACCATTAAAATCGAATGTCTGGAATCTTGTGAAGGCATGTGATGTTCTAATACCACAAGGCATCAAAATGTTTCCTATTTTTCTTCATTCGGGGTTTTTGCGTAGCTGGTTTGAATCTGTATGCCGTAAAATGTAATTTAGACCGCTGACTGTTTCAAGGTGCATGGATACCCTCGAGGCTTGCACTACCCATCTAAAATAGGAGCGCCTCCAAGGAATTTTCCGAAGGTCTCCTTCATCAGCCCATTTACGGAGCCTCGAAAGTTATACGGTCTGCGGGTTTCAAGCAGCCCACTGGTGCCATCTTCCAAGTTATTTGACTCGATATACCGACAAAGATATTGATCAAGATAGCAATCCTCCAAATGTTTTTTAGTAATTCAGTTTCAAAGGGTTACATTTGGTAATGGTGTTGGTGGAATGGTATGGAACAGTACTAGGATAGAACATAAACTGACCATCAATAATCTTAAGAAGTGGCGAGAAATTGGAAATCGCTGCCTTTTTGCTCAACGAGGAGGTCGCGGACTACCTCTAAGAAGGTTCGTTACGATAAACTACGAAGAGGGGACTCGTCTTTCCGTATATAGGAGTTGTGTTCTACATGGTCATAATGTACATCAAGCGCACAGCTCTACATGCACCTATTTCTTGCTAAATCTCTTCAACGCCGCATCCGCCATAGCAACACCGTCCTCGTATCCCAATCCACTAGCGAGCGACTTGGCCTCCGTGTACCGCTGCTTAGCCACATCAGGCTTATTCTGCAGCTCTGCAAGCTCGCCCAGATTGTATGTGGCCGCCACGCAAGTAATATCGCACTCCTCATCGCGGACCGGGGGCTGAATGCGTGCCGCAACATCAAGGGACTTTTGAGCCCATAGCCGCGCAGCCTCGACAGTCTGTTCCCGAGGGATGGCCTGCTGTTGGGAGCGAGGCGAAGCAGGCAGTTGCACCTGGCCAGCCATAGCGCTGGCGACATCGTTCAGAAGGGTCACCTGCTTGCACGATGGCGAGTTACCCTCCGCCACGCGGAGCATTTCCAGTGCGCGCAAATACAACGGCATGGCGAGCTCGTGTCTGTCCTTGGCGGTGTAGGTGGATGCGAGCTCCGCCAGCGCTGTGGCGATCTCGGTCATATTCAACCAAGCGTCACTGTCCGCATCACCGGCACCTCCGCCAACGGGGAGACCCAGCTTCTGTCGGCGGTGCATCTCCTTCAAACACAGCTCCACGGCAGCGACCTGCGCAGCCTCAGCCTTCTTGTCTTCCTGGATATGATCACTGGAGTACAGCTCTGCCAGTTTCATCTCCATGCCGACAACCTTCTTGAGCGCTTTGTCGCGCTGGCGGGTCTCGAATGCCTGCAACTTCTTTAATTCCTCCTCTGTGTCCTGGAGGGCCCCCTCTTTGATGTGAACATTCTCCGGGGTATCCTTTGCCGGAGAAGGTGGTTTCGCATCCTTCTTCTTCTCGGTTGCAGCCTCTACAGCCCGCCCTTCCTCGACCCACTTCATTGTCTCGTTCTTCGTCCGCTCCAGCACCTCAATCGCTGCCTTCACCAAGCCCGCCTTTTCCAACATCAGAGCGACCTGCAGCTTAATCCCCATGACCTCGTCTGAGAAAGGATGCATGCCCATATCAATAGCTCTCCGCAAAGCTTCCTTGTAATGATTCAGCGCCTTAATCGGATTCAGGTCGATCTCGGTGTAGTAGATCGCGGAGCGGAGCGACTCGGCTACTGGCTGCGGAAAGTTGTGGTATTGCGGTTGGACCTGCGTGAGTTCCACGTAGGAAATATAAGCGAACATGCCGATGCCACCGATGACCGATAATATGGCCAGTGGTAGCATGATAGGGTTCTTGCGGAAGATCCCTTTGGAGGCTTCGCGGTAATTCATGCGCAGGCGTTGGGCATAGGTGAGGTGTCGTGCACGAGGGAAATGTGCGTTCCCAAGTGCTCTCGCATTGTTATATCCTGGTTGTGACGTTGGCCGGGTGTTCTGGCTGCATATTGATCGAGTGGCGGTTTGGCGCTGTGCTTGTAGGAGTCGCGGGGCGGCGGCGCTGATGCGCCGCGATGTTGTGCGGAACATTGGCTATGTTTTAAATTTCTCGAGGGGCTCGGTGCGCAATTTCGATTTCCCCTTGAGGTTTGGAGGGGTTCAATGTCGGGAGATAAGGTTGCTGCAGAGTTGAAGACGGGGCTCTCCCGCGGTCGATTTTCTCTTGGCCCAAGCTTCCTCCGCCATATGACGTCGACCGCCTCTGGCATTGTCTTGACCAGCGCATTTTATTTGCACTTTGAGCATAGGATTCTTCAGAGTATCATAAAATCTGCTCAATTTTCGTAGACAATGTGTGGACGCTATGCTTTGGGCGTGGTAAGCCATATTCTCGTCCAGGCTGAGGTGTATGCTGACACGGCAATAGCGCTTGGCGTACATCCAACAGCGCCTTCAGGAGCGAGGGATGCAAGTGGACGAAGTGCCTGACGATGGCGAAGTACGAGAGACATACAATTTTGCCCCCGGTAACATCGGAGCTGTGTACCGTGCAGACATCTCCGAAAAGCACCGCACAGGCCATGGGGAAGACACCGGCGAGGAACAAGACTCAGCACACAGCGAAACCCATGACAAGAGTGACAAAACTGTTGAGCCAACAGTGGATAAAGCCAAGCCCAGATACAAGATCCAAAGCATGAAATGGGGTCTCGTCCCTTTCTGGACCAAGCGGCAACCGGACTACGGTTCTATGATGCGTACGATCAACTGTCGCGACGACTCACTGATCGAAGATCGTGGCATGTGGACAACTATGAAACGGCGCAAGCGATGCATTGTTGTCTGCCAGGGCTTCTATGAATGGCTGAAGAAGGGACCAGGGGGCAAGGAGAAGATCCCACACTTCGTGCGGCGCAAAGACGGCGATTTAATGTGCTTTGCTGGGCTATGGGACTGTGTGTCTTATGAAGGTAAATGACTCCCCATGGCTGTATCTCTGTATAGAGGTGCGAAACTCTGTATAGATGCGTGACACTTACTGGATAACCAGGCTCCGAGGACAAGCTGTATACTTACACTGTTATCACGACATCTTCCAATTCCTACCTGAACTTTCTACATGACCGCATGCCTGTCATTCTTGACCCCGGCACCGAAGAAATGCGCACATGGCTTGATCCCAGCCGGACAACATGGTCGAAGGACCTACAGTCTATCTTGAAGCCGTACGAGGGCGAACTGGAGTGTTATCCAGTCTCGAAGGAGGTCGGCAAAGTCGGGAACAATTCTCCTGATTTCATTGTGCCTGTCAACAGCAAAGACAACAAAAACAACATTGCGAATTTCTTCGCCAATGCCAAAAAGAAAGAGGACACCTCTCCGAAGAAGGAGGCTGCTTCACAGGAGGATACAAAGGTCAAGAATGAAGAGGAGGAACGGTCTGCTACAGAAGGTGTAAAAAGAAAGCATACTCCAGATTCGCCGAGCGTCAAGGATGAGAGTAAGAAACTGAAGTTGCAGCAACCCTCGAAGTCTCCTTCACCGCAAAAACCGAAGACACGGAGTGCCACCCAAAACACACCTATGAAGAAAACTGCAAAGGCAACTGATGGCTCGCAGCGAATTACCAATTTTTTCAAGAAATAAGGATAATCTAATGAAATGATGCAATGGGTTTTAATTCTAGGGCATTTTTCTCCGTCAAGGGTACTTTCAAGAGTAAGTATCATTATTTACTGGAGAATACTATCGTACAAGAGCTGGCTGGTATAAACGACGGGCCTACTGTTTCTCAAGTTCACGCAACCTTTGCACGAGCTTTTCTCTGAGGAATGGACTCAATCCCAAACTGTTTCTCAAAGTCAGCAATAGTTCAATATACAGCGCTTAACCCAGATGAGCATGTCTTACATTCCATCCCGCGTCACAAGTCTGTAGGTACCACTGGCCTGGTAATTTCCATTTCCACCAACGAATTGGCCCTGGCCATCCACCTCGAGACTTCCAAAAATGTCCTCTGGCCTGGGAGGCTGTCAGCGAGTAAACCAAACTTCGTAGCACTGAATGATCTCACCATGCAATTCTTCCATAATCAGGTGGCCGCCTGTTGTCTGAGATGTGAATCCAGCCGCCACGGCCAGCAGATCCCACACCTCCTTGACCACTGGCACCACCAGCCGAGTCGCCCACCTCGGCGCGCCGTCTCCTCGCGCGCTTGCCAGTCAACAATACACCGCCGGAGCTCAAATTCGCTCCCGATGTTGATACCATGACTTGTGCCTGAGATTGTGCATCGGGATCCTCGTGTGCATGTTTCGAGAAGACTTCTTGGAGAATGCTGAGGAACTTGGGATTCTCTGTGACCGAGTCTGTGGTTGGCGGCAGTTTGGAGGTCATTCCAATAGCAAGTTTTGAATTGACTGGCTCGGAGGGTAGCAGTGAGAGGATATGCGGATCATTCGGTCCATCACCGCGGAACACATACTGCGATAAAGTCAATGTATAAACAACCTTGGATTGAATCCAGGGAAAGCCGTACAATGTGAGGGTTCCCTTCCAATGTAGACACTGAGCGAGCCTGGGCCCACCTAGGGAGGTGCATGGCCTGACGACCAAGCGCTCTTGGGGCAAACATTTTCGAAGATCTGATACTGTCGAGATTTGAAAGTATGAATGAAGCAATGCGAAGGGTCAATCGTCATTTGGTTGTCTTGAAGCGGGCGGTCTGGAAGGCGGTGAAAGCTCTCCGCCTCGTCCGCTTTCACAGCTTTTGTTATTGCAGGACCATAAGTCGCGAGATTTGCGCTTGTCAATTGCGGTGTTGGTGCTGGCTAAGTTGGGTGAAGGAGTTGAATTCAGATAATAAGTTGTGGCTTGAACCTGTTCACTGACATATCTCTCTCCACGTCCCATTGAGATCAACTCCTGCGCAGCGTGGTTTGATTGCGCATCGACAACTGCGAATTCCCGCCCTGTATCCGGAAATTTCTCTCAGAGACTGCGATTCCGATCTCATACCCTCCCTTCTGCTGCGTCATAGACTTCCATCGACATGGCAACTCCATCAGCCAAACCCGGCGCAACGCCAACCCACCTCTCTTCTCCGCACCCATCCTCCACAGCGCTCTCCCGATCCATGGCTCATAAATCCCCCTCAACAAGAACTCCGACGGCTTCAGGGCCTGGCCATGCTCACCAGCCGAGCACCTCTTCTCATCAATATGCTACACCTCTTGCTGTCACAAGTGCGGTCGACGACCCGGTCAACTTCAGTTCGCCATCAGCACTGCTCGCTCTCACTGGCTATGCAGGCATCAGTCCATCCCCCGCAGTTCACGACAGTCTTGTTGGATCGGGAATGAATGAGAACGATATCCAGAGCCTAGGGATGCAAGGCATCAAGCTCGGCGTCGCACGAGATAGCGACGAGGAAATGAGACATCGAATTGAAGAAGTGGTTCAATGTCTTCGTGCAGCCGTGGCCGGTAGAGGTATATCTCGCGAAGGTATTGAGCGACTGGGCAAAATCGAAGGGTTCGAATCTATCTGGACGTTCGACAATCTCAACATCGCCGGCAACTTTGTCGACCTCGAGATTGACTTCTATCCTAATGGCTCTGATATTGTTAAGGACGTTCGCTTGCGATATGCCACACCGGAGCACCAGGAAGGCGAGCTACGGGAGGAGGCTACTGCTGTTCTCAAACGAAATCTCGTTCAATCTCCACAGGATGGCGAGACCGGAAAATGGAGGTCGCTCCAAGGGTTCTACGAGAATTTGCAATGGCTTGCAAAACTTGATAAGTTCAGCCAGGAGGTAAATTGCTTTGAAGCTCTGGAGGGTCTCGAGGAGAATCTCAAGCGGGTTTGGGTGGAAGAGGGGAAGAACGGAAAGTACAGCGGTGACTATGAACATCTCTGTGCAGGGACAATCGGGCGCCCAAGCATGCACAAGGGCTCTCGAATCGGCCTTGGCATGGAATATTGGATCGACCAAGCCAAGATCTTGGATGCAAAGAAGCAGAAGAACTCCGATGCAATGGCAATCGATCGACCGCAAGGCCAAGATGCAGATGAGGAGATGCATGACCAGGAGAAGACATGGACTGTCATGATTGAATGTGAAGAGGGATACCCATCTCTCCGCATCTCGAAAGAATGGGTTGGGAACGAGGTGTTTGCGGCCGGCGAGAAGAACGGCGGAGAACCTACAGCTGAAGCCGCCAGATCGGTGAACTGGCTCGATCCTCCCCAAACCATGCGGCTATCGAATGGAGATGACTCTGACCCCATGGCCTTGGACTCCAGCATGCTCGAATCCACGCCCCCTAACCGCCGATTCGTTGCCAAGCTGGAGCCGGCCCTAGACATGCCAATTCTTGCAGCTTCTGAGATCTATAGACATCTTGGCATGCAACTACCACAGGAGTTCAAAATGGTTACATATGATGGCTTGTTGGTTTCGGATGGGTCGCCGCTGTCAACGGATTCTTCGCCTCAACTTGGTCGGAGAAGGCGCAGGATGTCAGTGCAGGCATTTGATTCGAACGGTGACCCATGCACGAAGCAACACAACTACACATTCCAAGCATTTGAGTCTGTTGCAGGACGTGCAATCCGCGAACTCCCCATTTCACATCCTCGGCAGCTCGCCCAAATTCTTCCGGTAATTATTTCTTCTACACAAACGGATGCTTGAATACTGATTTTCTTCAGATGTTCCGTCAATATGCTTTACTGGCGAGTTTAATCCGGAAAATCTTTCACTCTTCTGCGAAGGGAAAGGCAGATCAAACCCGGCCTTCTAAAGCAACACCGACCACACCCCAAGTCCATGTCAGCCAAGACCCGATATTTGTGACCGGCAAAGAGGGGACCATTACCTTGACCAACGATGACCCCAACGAAGAAATGTTGAACAGCCTCTTCGGTAATGGTCCTTCAAACAGCCAAAGTGATGCGGCGTCGACGGTTTGGTCATTCAACAGCGCAAGCAAGAGCCAAAGCCATAGCCATATTTTCAATGACGACGTTAAGGTGGACGTGACGCTACGCACACAACTCGGGCAGGCACCAGCCCTCATATTACTTATTACGGATCCCGGTAAAAATGCCGACAATCTTGTGCTTGAACCAGTGCAGCTTGCAATCTGTGTCGAAGTCGGCCTCAATGGTCGCATTTCGGTGGTGGACTCATCCGGACTCGGCATCGATAACCAAGAGGACGGTGGTGATGACGAGATGCAAGGGACAGAGAGCCCCGGCCCACATCTGCAGGAGATCCACAAAAAGATCGCCAGAGTCCTGGAGATATCGCAAGACCTGGGGATCCTGGTCGAGTGGGTCCTGCGCTGGCAACGGCAGCGGGTGGCAGCGGATGAGGCTTGAGGCCGGAGATACCGGGTAGCCTTAACGGTGTCCAGACTTAAATACCCCGCCAATACCCTCTGGCCGTTCATCACACAATCGCTGCGACACCAAGCCAACAGTTCGCTTTGGCAGTCTAGGGCTTGTTGGGCGCTTCAGGCTGCACTCCGATTGCGGCGTAGTTTATGGCAGAGCCGGTCTTTACGCCAAGGTGATACTATGTGCAATACAAGCAATAGACGAAGTGGCCTCTGGAGGTTTGATCAGTCTTGTCCAGCTTCTGCGGGTAGTCGATCATTGGCTTCGTGCCATGCAAGCGTATGTCATGGCTCGGATGCACCATTGCGGCATCAAGCGATGCATCACAAGGCTATGCACCGAGTCCAGCTTGCAGCTGATCCATATTCAGACTGAGCCTCTTTAGTCGAACAATGCAAGACCGAAGATCAATTCTAGAAACATGCTCCAGCCATCAATACCGGTTGTGACCTCATTCCGTCGAAATCCGGGGTAATTTCCAGATTGCCCACCATTAAGGTTCATCGCATGGACTTGTAAACATGCCCACCTCCGCACCTCCGCAAAGCTTGGAAGGTGAGCTACGTCAGGGCTGAGCGGCATCACATAATCGACACCCTTGATCCCTCGGCGACGACATGACATCGCATCATCGCTTTGACGGAAAGCCCATCAGATAAGGCTGGAATCGTGTGGGGGCTGCACTGGTTTTGCGCCGTTACGTCGGACCCTTGCCGGTTAGTTTGTGACCGGTCAATTAATACGTAAGTACTAGTTATATGAGGCATATATCGCTCAATATCCAGCCGACCCGCCAGATGCGACCAAAAAAGGAGCTCGAGAGGCATTTAGCTGGCCAGACAACCTTTAGGATACTCGAGACGGGCCCGAACCGAAACATCATGCACTGTACTTTGGACTAGGAGGCACTATTACAGCCAGCCGGCGAAATGACCCCACCAGTTGAGCCTTTTCGTGATACCTTCCAGATCACGCCATGACATAGCTGGTTATCACTGGGAAGCGTAGCGGAGCTTGCCCCTCTTTTCTTTTCTTCTTTTTTTTTATTTTCCCCTCCAAACTTCGGTGAGGCTTTTGGGAGGATAACCGTACCGACAAATTCCTACCGTCATGTTTTGCCGGCAGTCAATTCCAATGAAGCACGTTTACAAGGATGATCGAAGTATGCAACTGTCTAATGAGAAGTATAGTTCGGGTGACTCCCACACCACACAGAGAGCTCGGCCGTCGAGACGAGCCACTACAGTCAGCGCCGTGTGTCAGGCCAATGAGAACGAGCCGATAAGCAATCCGCGCACCGTCGATCGATGCTGGGTCCTCAATTACAATTCACAGTCTCCTGGTTTGACACCGGTTCCTGTTCTGTTCCTGTCATTTTCAATGCATGTGCTTTATTAGAATTACACATGTCCGAAAGCTCTGTGCGACGGGCATGTTCTCGACTCGGCCGCTGCCGAGTGGCCTACACCGCCTCGGTGTCTCACTGGGCTATTATTATCCGTGCAGAAAATAGAAATAGAAACTGGAGACTGGAGACTGGGACTGCGCCTTTGCCCCTGTGCTACGGAGTACGCGCATTCCATTATGCTAGTGAGTATGGGTCTCTCTCTAGTCTGGGGTGTAGCTGGGTCTCAATCTCTAGAGTGTATTCTTAGATTCTCGCAGACGGGGCTGAAAGATCGGGAGCTTCTTTCCCTCAAGCCACCGAATCGCCCGTCCGATTCCTAAAACCCCCGATCTTTTGCTGAGCTTCGATTTGTCCGAAGAAAATACGGGAAGATCTAGTCGCCACTTTTCTCTCATTCCTCTTTTCCGGAGAATCCCTGTCTACCTTTTTTTGCCCCGGACTTCCTCGCGTGAACCTACGATTGCCAAATGCGGGTTATTTTACACAGCCGAGAAAGAATCATACATACGCCGTCTTACTGAAACCCAACCCACGGCCGACGTCGGCGCGGTTCTGTGGGCTTGGGCCGAGTGTGATTGGTGAGTTGGAGGGGGTTTCGAGACCTTTTGCCACGCTCCACTTGCGACGACGACGACTGAGACCGATCGCTGAGCCCCCGACATGGCCGGGTTTTCGCGTTCCAAATGGGGTTGCGGATCGCGTATCCTTACTTACCGGTCGTGATCTGTATCTGTATAGCACCGCTCCATGTATGTATAGAATGCAGGTACACTGTACACGGGGAGATGTCCGCGTCTCTAGCCACACTATCCACTCGAGATATCTAGATACACAGATGGATATCTTGATAAGAGACCAGGCACTAGACCGTATCTGGAGCAGCCACACGGACGATAAAGCCGCGCAGGGTGCTGCTGATAACGGATCGCGCGTGTGCAGCAGCTCAGGAACCGGCGAGATTGCGGAGCTCGATCACGTCGCACAGTTCGTGGGGTCGATCGATCTAGTATCCGGAATTTTGACAGACGCGAGAACCTCGATGGAAAAGTGTCAAAGTTTTCCGGGATGGTGTTACTTTTTCTTCTGGTCTAGAATCGTGGTCTATATTATTATACCCTTGCGGCTGATATGCGCCTGGACCAAAGGATCCCGGCGCCGGTTGCTAACAGAAATTACCAACCCGGCGCTTTGATATCGTGTGGTTATCGCCATGTCTATGCAGGGGTAGTACCTCAACGCCGCTGCTGTCGGATCAGACGTTGACGTGTCGGGTAGAAGGATATGACGGTCCCCCGGACTTTTCCCGCTTTGGATAAAAGGAACCTGGACAAGACGTGGGGTGGCATACGGGGAAGAGGCGACGGAGCCGACGACCGGATCTGGGAAGCAGTTACGCATTTCTACCATCTGATAGCGAATGGTTTGAATGGATTGAACGCCATAGCAGCCCTTTTCTCTGCGTTATCGGCCCAACGGGAGCCAAGCGATTGATCATACTAATGGGAGCCATTACAAGCCCCAAATGCTGATTGGATCCGGACCGGAGCCTGGCTATCACGAGAAGGAATAACCTCTAAAAAGCGAAAGTGAGAGTCCATAAGAATGATTTCGGGTGGCGGTCTGCGTGGTATTGATATTACGGCGTAGAGATGCTACTGTACTGAAAATGCGGGAGGGGTCTTGGGACAAGGAAATTCAAAAGGCGGCTAGCAAGTTGGATACGGGAGAGTATTCAACAAGGATATTGCTCGGCGGCAGATCACTGCAAGTTTTCCCAGAAATCTCGGCGGCGACCGGCACCGCACACTGTATGATGCTATAATGATGACACGGGTAGTGGTGGCGTTAAGAAACTCGGCAGATTGGGATTCCACAACCGCACAACCGGGCAACGACGTCCAGGGTTTGTAGTTGTATTTCGAGATCCCAGGAAAATATGGAAAATAAAAAAAAGAAATATAGAATAGCCAAAGTAGCCAAGCAAGAATGAGGATAGTTATGCGCAAGAGAGAAATTTTCGGTTCCCCCGACGACCCCGATTTCGGGCTCGAGAATGTCCCTATTATGAGGCACTTTACATCGTGCGGCGTATGGAAGGAGGGGATGGAATACCGTAACGTAATGACGGCTAACCTGTTTTGGGCAATACGGATCCGCGCTTTCCCTTTTTTCTTTTTATTCACATTTTGCCCTCGTTGATTTTTGCTCTGCATGACTAAATTTAAATCTTTATCTTCCCTCTCTCCTCCCCCACCTTCTTAAAACTCCATCCTTCCCTCTCCTTTGGATTTTCCATCCATCCGTTCTGCGTTTTGCTTATCCTTCGGGATTCGTTCATCCTTTAATTCCAAAACCTCTCCTTGCTTGCTCGCAAGCCGAAAACCTCAATTTTTACACACTCACATACCCATAATCATTCATTATGGTGCGTTCATCTCCACTTGACTCCCCGAGTGACTCACATACTAACGAGCTTGACAGGCTGCTGATTCAACTGTCGTCTCCAACACGGAGAATGTGCGTTTGATTCTTGATGTTTTGGATTTCCACAATGGCCGTTGAGCCGGAGAGGAACCATACTGACTTGCATGGGGGTGTTTAGCTCATGAAGTACATGTCCCTGGACCAGCGTGGTTCTGTCCAGGCTGAGTACGTCTGGATTGATGCCGTCGGTGGTACCCGTTCCAAGACCAAGGTAAGATCACATCCTCATTTCCGACCTCGACACTCGCCAGCGTGGGATGCGTTGAGTCTTATCGCTGCGTCGATAAGCCCTGTGCACGCGATTTTCTTGCACGCGACTGCACCCATCCGCATCACGTGAGAAATGGAGGGGCGTTTTCGATCGTCTACTAACTCGCCCCGCAGACCCTCTCCAAGCCCGTCAAGAGCGTTGACGAGCTCCCCGAATGGAACTTCGACGGTTCCTCGACCGGCCAGGCCCCCGGTGACAACTCCGATGTCTACCTCCGCCCGTGCGCTATCTTCCCCGACCCCTTCCGCCAGGGTGACAACATCCTCGTTCTCTGCGAGACCTGGGACTCTGATGGCAGCCCCAACAAGTTCAACTACCGTCACGAGGCTGCCCGCCTGATGGAGACCCACGCCAAGGAGGAGTTCTGGTTCGGCCTGGAGCAGGAGTACACTCTGCTCGGCACTGACGGCTGGCCCTACGGCTGGCCCCGTGGTGGTTTCCCCGGTTCCCAGGGTCCCTACTACTGCGGTGTCGGTACCGGCAAGGTCTACTGCCGTGACATCGTCGAGGCTCACTACCGTGCCTGCCTGTACGCCGGCGTCAACATCTCCGGTATCAACGCTGAGGTCATGCCCTCCCAGTGGGAGTACCAGGTCGGCCCCTGCCCCGGCATTGACAGTAAGTTTTTTCTATTCGTGCGGTCGACAAGTACGTACCCGTGAAACTAACCAGAACCCTAGTGGGTGACCACCTCTGGATGTCCCGCTTCATCCTCCACCGCGTCGCCGAGGAGTTCGGTGTCCGCATCTCCTTCGAGCCCAAGCCCATCAAGGGTGACTGGAACGGTGCCGGTCTGCACTCCAACGTCTCCACCGCCGCTACTCGTGCCGAGGGTGGCATGAAGGCCATCGAGGCCGCCATGAAGAAGCTCGAGGCCCGCCACGTTGAGCACATTGCTGTCTACGGTGAGGGCAACGAGGAGCGTCTCACCGGTCGCCACGAGACCGGCAACATCGAGAAGTTCTCATATGGTGTCGCCGACCGCGGTGGCAGCATCCGTATCCCCCGCCAGGTCGCCAAGGACGGCAAGGGTTACTTCGAGGACCGCCGCCCCGCTTCGAACGCTGATCCCTACCAGATCACTGGTATCATCGTCGAGACTATGTGTGGTGGCCTCTAAATGGACATTCATAATCATTTGGTCTTAGCGCTCCGATACCCTCTCGGCATCAACTGGGAGTTTGGACCTCGAGAGCGGCCGACTGCGTGAGGGAGCCTTCATAGATTTTCTCTGACCCGTGCCTTTTTTCCATCTCTGCCGTTGCTTCTTTTCTGAACCCTATCCTATCCTTCTCTTCCCTGGCCCTTGGGTCCGCCTCCTGCGTTCATCTTATCTCCCTCGTTGCACTCGCCGAATCTCTTGTTTTGTTTCTTCTCAATCCAACCACCAACCAACCCCTTGGGTTATGTGACACGTACAATAGCATAGAATCATTACATGGATGGAAAATGAACCATCGTTTGAGAACACCACTATTTGGTGAAGACTGTTTTCAACTATTGTCATTCCAGGCCACTCACTGTAAAACAAACCCTCCAGCTATGGCAGCGGTGCAAAGTCATGATCATGAGCGCCCTGCAAGTAATCAAACCCATCGTCCACCCACTCCACACAAGGCACCACGCGCCCCCAGTCAACCTTCCCTTCCAAACTGCGCGGCAATCTAAATTTCTGATTATTCTTATACCAACTCGCAAACTGAATAGAAACCAACATGACCCTCGGGTCATCCGTCCTATTCGGCATACCGGAATGCCACAACCTGAGATCCCGAATAATTAAAGACCCCTTAGGTAAACCAGGCTGAATCCCAGGACTAATCTTCCTCCTCTCATCCAATAGATCCTGCCTGACACCCCCATGCTCCGACCCGCGATCAATGACAGACCGATCAGTATCAGCATGACTCCCCAACCACACCTCCGTCGCTCCATTCTCCGCACTCGTCTCCACAAGATTAACATTCACGCAGAACGCAAACGGCACACGAGGCATGTCGAAATCAATATCGATATGCACTGGCTGGCGCCCACTAGCCTTGAACGCCGTGTTGGCGCTGTAGAACCGCATGGCGGGATTCGGACCAACCATGCATTCGATCACGGATGTCGCGAAGCGATTGGCGATGACGTCTTCGAAGATGTATTCTGCTTCGCAGACGGGCTCTTGTTGGATGTTTCCCGTGTGCGGGCCGAAGTTTCGGTGGGTTTCTGTACGTGCATAGAGGCGTTCGGCTTCGGGGACCATGCGCGCGTTGAGCTTGTCTAGGTGTGCTGGGTGGATGGCATTTTTGAGGACGACGATCCCGTCGTGGTGGAGGGCTTCGATGGACTTTTGGAGGTTGAAGAACCTTGGCAGTACACAGGGACATGCAACATCCATGGAAAGGTACTTTGAAACTCCGGGTTCGCCGGTTCTCTGGCTGTTGAACCTGCCTATCTTGGTGGTGCGGGCCTTTGGTTGGATCAAGGGCCATCTGATGACGATTCTCGTCGCAACCTGATTTGACAGGAAGGGTCGGTGAATTGCATCCTGATATCTGGAAAACAAGGGAATGCACCATCTCTTGTGGAAGAGAACTCCGTTGAAGCCACTGATGTCTTGTTTAGTGAGTGGGATGACACTTTTACTGACGACATCCTGTATGAGTTTACGGAAGAGCTATATTCGCTTGATGGACTGATGTAGACTGCTCTGGGAATCGACCTGTCACGGTTGAAGACGGCAAAGCCCTCGAGAGCTTCATATTTGATCGCATTTCCAAGACCCTGATAAGCCATCTAGCGTGAAAAGAATTCGATGGGCTGATTCTACCTAAATTGCCTTGAGTAATTCTAGTGGGTGATCATAACTCGTTCGCTACGCGCTTCCTGAAGGCATGTTTTAGCACCGAGCTAACACTCCTTCAACCAGCAATAACATTGGTGGAAATAATGCACCAGACAGACCCGCATTTTACGCTGCGGTTATATGAGATTGCGAAATTGAAAAGCTCACAGGACGCTACTGTGACATTGACTGAGTCCACTTCCACTCTAGCGTGCGGGGTTGGAAACACCTGAACGTCAGGATCGACATTACCATTGCAGAAATCGAGGGATCGCCCATGCGACGTTGTAACTGATCAATGCCCCAGCGAAAGTCAGGATGAGTGCTATAAAGTAAATAAACTTGCCGGCATATGCATGGATCGAAACCATTCTTCCCGTTGGAAGCCGCATCCATCATGTTGCCAAAATTATTGTTACTCTCCTTTACGATCCTCCGAGCAGCACAAGCAATTGCTCCATTTAGCTGGAACAATGAAACTTTCCTCCTCCATGGCGAGCCCTACCGAATTATCGGCGGCCAGATGGACCCGCAGCGCATCCCCAATGAGCTGTGGGCTGATCGCCTGGCCAAAGCACGCGCTATGGGCCTGAACACGATCTTTTCCTACATCTTTTGGGACCAACTTGAGCCTACACAAGGTGCATGGGATTTTAGCGGCAATAACGATATCGCAAAATACTTCAGGACCGCCCAGGAACAGGGGTTGAATGTGGTTCTGAGACCGGGCCCGTATATCTGCGGAGAACACGAATGGGGTGGATTCCCCGCATGGCTTAGTGAAGTGCCGGGAATGGTTGTCCGTACCGACAATGAGCCTTTCATGGCCGCTTCCAAATCATACATCGACCGTCTTGCCGAAGATATCGCCGATCTGGGTGTCACCAAGGGAGGACCGATCCTGATGGTCCAGGTCGAGAACGAGTATGGATCCTACGGCAGCAACCACAAGTATGTGGCAGAACTGCGGGACATCATCAAGGAAGCATTTGAATTGCCTCTCTATACCAATGACGGTGGCGAGAAGTCGATGCTCGAAGGAGGTCAGATCCCCGGCGCACTTGCTGAAACGGACGGTGATCCCCAGGTCGGGTTCAAGGCTCGCAATAAATACGTGACTAATCCCAGCAGCTTGGGGCCTGAACTGGATGGAGAGTATTATGTGACGTGGCTCGACCAGTGGGCAAGCAACTACACTCACCAGACCGACGTTGGGAACATCCAAGCGATCCAAAAGGTCCAGTCGGATCTCACTTGGATCTTGAAGAACAATGGCTCATTCAGTATTTACATGTTCCACGGAGGTACAAACTGGGGTTTCCAAAATGGAGCCGATTGGGGCGCCAATCTGGAGCCCATTACCACGAGCTACGACTACGGTGCTCCACTCGACGAGAGTGGCCGAACGAACGAGATCTACAATGCCCTTCGGGAAACTATTGGCAACTATGTTGGCAAGGATACCATCCCGGATACCTTGAAAGAGGAGCCGTTGATTACGATCCCCGAAATCCAATTGAAACCCGCGGCGAATCTATTCGATTATCTCCCGAAGCCCGTCACGAAGAAGTCCCCGGTCAACATGGAAGCTCTCGGCCAGTCGACCGGTCTGACATTGTACCGACATGTCATCACATCACCCATCAATGGTACTCTCGCTCCGGGAGATTACCCTAGAGACCGGGTCCTCGTCTACGTTAATGGAAAACGCGCTGGTGTGATTGATAGTACCTACGAGGTGCCAAACACCGTCCGACTGGCGTTGAAGAAAAATGATGTTCTGGACCTGTTGATCGAGAACTTGGGGCGTGTCAACTACGGTCCCAGGATTGTCGACCAGCGCAAGGGAATCGTGGGCAACGTGACGGTGGGTGGGAACGTGCTCTCCAACTGGCAGATGTATCCCCTTCCACTGGATGCACCACCCATCTCTAGCGCGAAGCACTCCGTGCACTCAACTAGTTCGGGCCCGGCCTTCTTCACCGGCACTTTCGATGTGGATACCGTTGGTGATACCTACCTCGAGCTTCCCGGCTGGACGAAAGGTGTTGTCTGGGTTAATGGCGTCAATTTGGGTCGCTATTGGATCGTGGGACCGCAGCAGACTCTCTACTTGCCCGGTTGCTACCTTCAAAAGAGTGGAAACAAGATCACTGTTCTCGCTCTGGAGCCTACGGGAGATGAGGGTTCTGTGCGCGGTATTACGACACGTAACTGGGGTAACAACCCTGATCCAGATGCTCCGTGATTACCTAGTCATGACATACGACTATCAGTGGAGAGGCTATCTGCTGGTAGGAATTTAGATACAAAAAGAATTAGATCAATAAGATGGGTTTTGAATGAAGCTTTTCTTGTCAAGGTGGAGTTAGATCATAATTTGGGAACGGAGAAATGGTCATGGAACCGAGCTCATGACCTGGTAAGCACCATAAAATCATACAGTTTATTCACGCTCGGGATATTCTTCAGCGAAGATAAATGAAGCAAGCCACGTTTGCGAAGATTTAAACTTTGCGGGGTTGCTTGACGTGTTGTCGGCAAGTTTCGCTGTCGACGGTGACGAAAGCAGGGAACAATGGGGTAGTTTCGGCAGTTTTGCTTCTCAGGAACCTTGCAATTTCTTCAAAGTCAAATGGTGCAGATTGGTAACTCGGCATGAATTGGCCCGAGTTGTGAAAGGCACAGTATAGCGACGTTGCATTGGCGATCCGGCACAGACCTTCCTCCTGGCGATCAACAACGATGTTAAAACGGGCCCGGCCCTGTGAACATGATGATTATCATGCTCGACAATGGCTTCTTTTGTCAGGAACACGTTGATTGCAGGCCTTGCAGTCGGTACGGTTTGTAATGCCGTTGCCGTCCACAGGAACACCTCCGGAGGTGATAGTTGGCATCGATTTGTTCGATCGCCGAGCAACCCGATTGTGAAGCCCCATAGTATTCTGTCGGCCAACACGACTGGCGATTTTACCAATCCCAATGGACTGCTTGGTGGGAATGGCAACCCGACTGTGATGACTCGCAAAGAGGGCGATATGTCTCCTTCGCTTATTGTTGACTTTGGTCAGGATGTAGTTGGCATTGTTACCATCTCGTTTGCCGGGTCGACCAACTCAACCGAAGGCTTCCCTGGTCTGAAACTGGCCTTCTCGGAGACCCAGCAATATTTGACCAACACTAGTGACTTTACTCGGTCCGACAATCTCCCAGCTGTATGTCAAGATGAAGCTTCAAGTCCTCGAGATCTTAACACTGACATATTGGAAAGGGTTCGAAGATTACCAATGGAACTGATCAGGTATGAGCAAAAACTAAAGCTCGGTATGGTTGATGTACTAAGAAGGTATCCAGATTGCTGTTGCAAATGACCCATACACCTGGAGAGATTTAACTGGCTGCCAACACGGCACCAAGGTGTGCTCCGATGGTCTTCACGGATTCCGGTATATGAAGATCTGGCTTGACGCTCTCGAGAGCGATGCGCCTTACACGCAGTCCTACGGCTCCGTCTCGATCTCAAACGTCGAGCTTGAATGGTCCGCGTATATGGGAACCCCCGACACCTTCACCGGATGGTTTGAGTGCTCCGATGAGGATCTTACTCAGTGGTGGTTCGATGGTGTCTACACTACCGACATGGTTACGGATGTCTTCCTTGCCAACGAGACTGATCCCCGGGACTCGGCTTCCCCCACCCTCCAGGGCAAACAGGTCATTTTCGATGGCGCCAAGCGCGATCGTGACCCTTACGATGGAGATTTGGCTGTTTCGGCCCTGACCTCCTACCTTTCCCATGACTTCCCGGAAGCTGCTCGCAATGTCCTTGCTGATTTAGCGGACCATCAGCGCGCCGATGGATGGATTCCTCCTGCCAGCATGTAAGTGTTTGAATCTCTTCTCCATTCTGCGAGCACATTCTAACTACAGAGCCAGTGATAATTACACGCTCGATTTGTATGACTACCCCATGTGGTGGGTGGTGTCAACCGCCGATCTGGTCATGTACACCGGCGACACAGACTTTGCAACTCAATACTACGACGTGATGAAAAAGGTACTGGACGACTACTATGGTCAGAACCTCACCTCCACCGGTGGCCTCCTTGACAAGGAAAACGGCTACGGAGACTACGCCTTCCTGCCCCGTTCCGGTCCTATCACCTACTACAACGCGCTCTACGTGCATGCCCTGAAAGCCGCTGCTCATCTTGCCGACATCCTTGGCAATGGTGCCGACAGCAAGACTTGGATCTCGCGCGCTTCCGAGGTTAGCGCTAAGCTGCTCGCCAGGAACTGGGATCCTGCCGTTGGTGCATTCTTTGACGGAGGGCCTTGCCCTAACGAGCCTGAAGGGACTATTTGCGACGTCCACGCGCAGGATGGTAATGGATTGTCTGTGCTTTCGGGAGCTGTCAATTCCACCATTGCTACCAGTTTGCTTGACTACTATGGCAAGAATACATCGCGTCCCTATGGAAACGCGTTCTACGACAACGACTCTCTCCAAGCAGGCTTCTCAGAACGCGTGTACGCGTTCATTTCGTACTTTGAGCTAGCTGGCCGATTTGCTACAGCGGGCGCTGCAGGTTCGGCCTTTGAAGAGATCAAGCGTCTGTACGGTTGGATGTCAACGCACGACCCCGAGATTACCTTCTGGGAGGGCATTGGGGCAGGTGGATCCCCCTACGAGGAAGGGTTCACGTCCATGGCACATGGCTGGTCGACGGGTATTGTGCCTTTGATGAGCAATTATGTTCTCGGAATTCAGCCCACCGGTCCTGGCTTCAAGACCTGGCAGATCTGCCCTGTGGTTGATGGCGGTGATCTTACCTGGGCTAGAGGTCAGGTTGGTACCCCTCAGGGCCCGATCAAGGTGTCTTGGCAGAAGCAGAGTGATGGAATTTTTGAAATGCAAATTGATACTCCCGAGGATACCACTGGCGTCATCTGTGTTCCGACAAGTGGGTCTAAGAACGCTCAGCTCGTGGTGGACGGAAAGCAGGTCAAGGGCACAACGAACGCATCTACCATTGGGCCGATCGCCACATCTGGAGAGAACTTTAAGGTTCTCAGTGCCAAGGGAGGCTCGCATACTATCTCAGTCAGAGTTTGAGTAGGTTTTTAGTTCTAAATAGTTACTGCCTCTGGCCTACATGCATGTACTGATCTTGATTCATCCATGTCGTGCGCAAGGGAAATATGGTACGTGATGCACAATACTGGCCCTGGCTTCATTCATAGCTGTGTAAATAAATGATAGTTGAAAGACTCAAATTTCCCGGCCTAGCACGGTCTATTTACCTATACCTTCCTGCCCATGCGGGTGAGGCTCGGAGACCGCCGCGGGCCGTATGTACCTAACCATGGAATGGCAACATTCCTTTTTTTTTTTTTTTTCTTCTTCAACAATTCGACTATTTTTCCATTGTGCGTCTAATAAAATGCAAAGCTGCGGTTATCGAGACATCCAATGACCAGACATGTGCTCGTGAGACACAACTAGATAATAGACACGGCGTATTTATCTTCGATCTCCTCTCAGTTCCCCGATCAAGCCCCACTGTCAAGCATAAGCCAGACTCCACCACCGCATGGATATTCCCAGATAAGAAGGATTAGCCAGCCCTAATCAACCACTCGGATGGTGTGATTCGCCAAGCATTTTATCTCCTAGCGCCCAATGGATTTCTTCGGGTGCTCGCTGACTGATTTCCTTCTCAACTGCACGGGAGTATGATGGAGGACCAGACGAACTCGACCAAGGCGGGGAGTCAGTACTTCGTGCACGATGTGGAAGACCCCCTGTCTTCGCAGTCGGCGCCTCCCTTTGGAGCTGCTTCCGATGACGGGCAGATCGTTTCCCAGCATGAACGGTTAGGGCTGGTCCGGGGCCTGTCGCAACGACATGTTCAGATGATCGCTATTGCGGGTGCAATTGTATGTAGAGCAATGCGCACTTCAAAGAATTTGGTTATTGACATGGACTATAGGGCACGGGCCTTTTCTTGGGTCTGGGTGGCTCGATCGCTGCGGGTGGTCCACTGGGCGCCCTGCTGGGCTACGCGTTTGTCGGCGTCGTGGTCTGCTCGATCCAGTTTGCACTGGGTGAAGTCGCCGCCTTGTTACCGGTGACTGGTTCATTCGTGCGCCATGCAGAGGTCCTCGTAGACCCTGCACTGGCATTTGCAATCGGGTGGAATGTCGTGTACGGGTGTTTCATCAGCGTGCCGAGTGAGATTTCCGCCAGCGTGGTGTTGATCCAGTACTGGACGGACATCAATCCAGCCGTGTGGGTGACCATCCTGATCATCGTGTCGGTGGTGGTCGCCATCTCCTTCATCCGCGTGTACGGTGAAGTGGAGTTTGTCTTTGCCATCTTGAAGATCCTCCTGGTCGTATTCGTTGTCATTCTGGGCCTGGTGATCGACCTGGGTGGAGTGCCCGGTGTTCCACGACTGGGATTTCACTACTGGAAAGATCCCGGTCCGTTCGTCGAGAATATCGCCACGGGCTCCTGGGGTCGCTTTCTGGGCTTCTGGGCTGTCATGACCAATGCGGTCTACTCCTTCGCCGGCGTGGAGTCGTTGGCCATGGCCGCTGCTGAAACCAAGAACCCTCGCCAAAACATCCCGAAGGCTTGCAAGCGGGTGTTTGCCCGAGTGTCCATTTTTTATCTTGCCGCCGTTCTAATTGTTGGTATGTTGGTTTCAAGCGCAGATAAACGTCTCAGCAACGAGTCGGGCACTGCTACGCAAAGTCCTTTCGTGATCGCTGCCAGCGACGCGGGCATCAAGGCCATCCCATCCATCGTGAACGCAATATGCTTGACATCCGCATGGTCTGCTTCCAACCAGAGTATTCTGGCAGGAACAAGAACGCTGTATGGTCTGGCGGTCAAAGGCCACGCTCCCAAGATCTTCCTCCGGACCACGAAGTGGGGTATCCCATATATGTGCGTTGCACTACAGGTTCTCTTTTCCTTGCTGTCGTACATGTGTGTGTCCCACAGCGCCATGGATGTCTTTTGGTGGTTTGTGGACTTGACTGCTGCCGGCACGCTGGTCTCCTGGATCACCATTGCACTGAATCACATTCGCCTACTGCAAGCGTTGAAGAAGCAGGGCATTTCGGCAGATCAATTGCCGTGGCATAATCGTATAACACGTGAGTGAACATCTTAAAAGCCGTTTGATCGAATTCATATTGACTCTGTCTTAGGATATACCAGCTGGTTTGCCTTGATTTCTTGTGTTATCATCTTGTTGACTGGAGGATTCACGGTTTTCACAAAAGGGAACTGGGATCCTGCCTCATTTGTGTCTTCATATTTGTGAGTGATCACTCGAGCCCTCGGGAATTTTGTCAGGAACTAATAGCGACCTTAGGGATATCCCCCTCGTCCTTTTGGCATACGGAGGCTACAAACTGATCCGTCGGACTAGAATCATCCCTCTTGATGAGGTCCCTGTTCAACAGGCAATCGACGAAGCCAACGACGACCCTGAGAATGTTCCTATCATGAAGGACAGTATATGGGCGAAAATGAACATTTTCTGGGGATGAGATGCTCGGCTTTCAAAGAGCTGGACGAGTTCATGAACTATTCGTATTCGGGGTATCCTTTCGTTCAAAACAAAGAATCTAATAAATTATCATAATATCTATATCACTTTTCGATCGTGTCCAACCATATATCAGCTATGCCTTTCACTCGAGGTTGGCCTTGCCTCGTCTCGCCCACCCGAACAGGCCTGCTCCCAACCCGTGGAGCCCCCGCTGCTTCACTTCACGGCGACGTGCGAAGTCGATAGTGTTGCCCTCGTCATCCTCCACAGGCTCATCATACCACTTGTCCACATAGCGAAGAAGAAGCTCCATGACCACCGCAGCCAGGATACTCGCAATCAAGATGCCAATCATGACCAGGTTACTCTTGCGGTACTTTTGCCGCCCAGGAGCTTCGTAGTCGCTCTTCCATCCAGAGTACAGCGCATAGGTTGTCAATATGCTGCCGAGGTTGCCCCACCCAGAGACAACGGCCGAGGCAGCTGCAACGCCGACCTCGCCGTGGCGCGGCTGGAAGATCTCTGCAGTCCACGTCATGGTGATAGGCACAGTTGGTCCGAGACCGAAACCAACTATCAAAAGTCCACCGTACCGGGGCCAGGGGTTCTCATCAGCACCCGCGTAGCTGGTCAGCAGCAGGCCGAGGATCTGGAGCAAGACTGGAATGGAAAAGAAAAGAGCGCGGTGGCGGTGGAAGCGATCTGAAAGCGGAGTGACGAGTAGAATAGCAATAAGATCCATCTGGAGATATGTTAGCAAGAATATAACCTTCGAAGAACCAATATACATACAATCCAGATAGGAGCAGTGAGCAAGCTCAGGTCAACACCGTTCAGCGATGGATTGATAGCCGCAATGATCACGTTGGCGTACAGCTGCGTGCCAATACCCACACCCACAACACCGAAATACATGACAAGCAAAGGCCACAACCTCCAGTCCATGAAAACATGCAGCAAGTCCCGCATATTCCACTTCGAACTGTGATACGCGCGCTTCATGTCGTGATAATGGATTACCGCATCCCGACCTGTCAGGGCTGGGGTGCTCTGGGGCAACCAGCGCAGGAGATAGTGGCGTTCAGGAATTGGCTCGCCTGGGGCGATCGGACGGTCTGGCAGCCACCATAGCTGAACGAAACCCAGAGCGATGGTGATGACACCCCACAGCAGGAACATCCACTGGAACCCAACATACCCCTGCAAACCATCCATTTTCTGGAAGCCGGCGGAGACAAGACCGACAACGGCAGCTGAGACTTGCGCAGCGGTGAAATACTGACCAATACGTTTGCCGATTCGAGATGGCGGATAGAAGAGGGTGAGGTAGTAGGTCATACCAGGCCACAGGCCGGCTTCGACAATGCCGAGCAAGAGACGAAGGAGACTGCATCTAGGTTAAAACCGGGTCGTGCTAATATATCTGAGAGTAAAACATACTAGAAGCTCCAGACGGCCTTCATCGCCGTCATGCAAGTACCAATCAGTCCAACGCTGATCACAATGCGGCTCATCCAAACATGAGGACTCAACCGGGTCATGACCAGGTTAGAAGGAAGATCGAACACCACATAGCAGACGTAGAACAGCGCGAGACCGGTCGAGATCTGGTGTTTATTCAGGTGTAGCACACTTGCAAGATCATGGCCGGAGTCCTCGTTCATGGTCTGCGCCAGCCCAATGTTCGACCGAATGGCCGAGCACATGAAATAGATGACCCAAAAGGCAGAAATGATGCGCCAATCCAGTTTACTGGGATGACGTTAGACGTATGAAAATTTGTACTTTTTACATGTCGTGACTCACCTGTAGATACGTTCGATGTTTTCTTGACTGAACTCACTGGGGTCGATCTCGTCCAACTCTCGGGAGTCCGAGAGACCCTGCGGTTGCTCGTAGACATCTTCAGACACAGGTCCCTTGTTTCCACTCATGGCGGACTCGCGTGTTTCGGTTGACATTGTGTAGACAGTGTTACCTGCTAATCTAGATTTCAGAGTTTTCTTGAAGCGTGCAAAGTAGTCGCCAGTAAGAATATTCAACCGAACGGGCTCAAAGGTATTCAAGCATTGGCAGTAGAATTAAAAGCTCTAATAAAGAACTTATGGCGCTGTGTCATTGTCAGTGGGTGGCCATCCTAATCAAAGTCTAGCCCGAGAACATCGGGTTCATCAACCTTAAGCGAGGTCTAGAACCAAGGTAGAGGAGAGAAAAAGGGAGCAAAAAGCAGATAAAACGAAAGGGCCCATCGCATAGACCTACCACCAACTGCAGACACCACAGGTGATCCCCGGAGGTCTCCGTGTACACTCACGGAATCGCAACAAAATTGGCCGAGCGGAGGAAAAAAACGAGGCGGAGAAAGTGACCCGTTTGCGGATCTGATAAACCGATCAGGAGGGGTCTTGGCGGGTGCGACGAGTCCGAGCGCTAGTCAGTTTTTCAGTTTTTCTCGAATCTTATATCTTCAACCGAGACACGCGGGAGTCACTCGACTTATGGAGGATAAAAAAAAGATGTTGAGCCGTTGAGGTTGAGTCTCGTCGCCGGGAAAAAAACTTCCGAGCCTCGGTGCTCGTTAAGACGGAAAAGTCCCAACAGGTAAACAGCTCTTACCGAGGATAACCTTAATCCCTTTCCCAGTTCTTGTTCCTGGCCTCGGTTACAATAGGGGTCCCGGAAGTTTTTTAACTTTGGTCAGGCCACTCCTTTGCAGTGATCTTCGCTGTCAGAATGCTGAGCACGCGAGAATCCCGTCTGGTGTCCCAACTCGGCCTGAGTCTAGCATCGTCGTTGATTCGAACCGGTTTTCCCAACTGACCATTTTCAGAAAGCAGTCTTACTCTGAATTCCTTTTTCTTCCTTTTTCTTTCTCAATATTTCTCTCATGTGGCTCTTTTCTCCGGTGTTCCACCTTTTACAGGTGAAATTCTGACCGGGCTGGATTGAATCTGCATCTTTAAAACCGCCTCAACCAAGCCAATGAAGTGAAACTAAAAACCATACTTCCCTTCGCGGTCCTTGACCACTTCGCGCCCTTTTGGACTTCCAATCGCCGGCCTCGGTGGAATCGGGTCACGTGACCGTAAGAATCGGCTTATCTAATCACAGGGCTGTCTGATTAAAAACAGAAACCAAGAACCAACAGACCTAGCAGGATGAGTTTTACTCTGTGCTGAATGAAGTTTTTCGAAAATAAGCTTGTTTGGTGCTATATGTCAGCACGGGTTCGCCTAAATTGCTGCCCAAATGCAAGGATTCGTATTCCAAGGCGTATTTAAAAGCACGATATCCAAGTACTGACTCGGAGAGACGATCCCTTGTCAATCGAAGCGCAACATTGAGCTATGAGCCCGAGATGAAGCCAATGATCTGATCTTCTGATATTTTATCCCTCGTCCATTGGAGGATCTGTCCACTAGTCGCCTCGTATTCGGCATGAAACCCACTTTCACAATCTATTCGCGACAGGGCACATCAGCTGAATGGCGAACCCTAATCGTTGTACAACATCGTGAGGTGATCATCAGCCCTTGGACATCTGGTAACACATTAACGTTCACTGAAAAGAAAACAAGGTCTATAGATGGCTTCTTCTTCTTCTTCTTCTTCTTCTTCTTCTTCTTCTTCTTCTTCTTCTTCTTCTTCTTCTTCTTCTCCTCTCATCTGCTTGCAATAAACTCTGCATCCGACGAGTGCAAGGAGGCTCGTATTCGCGCCAAGTGGCTTAACCTCGTATTTGCCTGCAATCTCAGCCGCCACATGAAGAATTTGGCCCGGAGATGCACCCAATGCGCAGGGTGCACTGTACCCCGTTTTTCACCAGGCACAATTGCCCTGCCAGAGCCGCAGGGTCCAAATGACGCTCTATTTAATCGATGGGGCTCCCCGCGAGCGTGGTCGACTCTGAAGCCTCAACCCAGCAGCGCCTTCTTTATAATCCGTGGAGATGACTCGTATCATCAATGAATTGGGGCTCTTTTTGTTTCTTCTCGCCGGCTTCGTCACCGGCATAACTCTCAAAGACGAGCCCCAGTTGCGCTCAAACGCAACCCTAAAGCTCGCTGGTACCGGCTCCCTCGACACTCGCGATCTTTTCGGACTCTTTGGCCGCGCAAATAGCGACTCCAGTTGCAACCCCGGATACAGTGCATGCTCCTCTGATACCTCACGCTGCTGCCCGGCCGGCAACTCATGCTGTGCCAATGGCTACTGCGCTGACCCCGGCGACACTTGCTGCACTATGGGCACCTGTCCAAGTGAATGGAACTGCTGTGGAAATGACGGTAACTGCTCGCCCAAAGACGGAGAGTGCTGCAGTGGAGGGTATTACTGCCTAGCTGGAACACAATGTCGGGTATGGGAAGGCGAGAAGGTGTGTTGCCCATTGTCTGGCTGTGCGGGAGAAAATGATGGTGGGAATTTGGGGAATACGGTTACTGCAGGCCCGGGTGTGACTGAGACTGCGACTATGTTTAGTACTGCTGCGCCTTCGCTCACTTCTTCGTATAATTATCTGGATTATCAGTATTATTATACTACTATCTACTGGTAAGCTGTCAACCGAGGAGGATGTTTCTCGGTTTGATCCTTTACTAACGAGCTCATAGGACTTATTGGTTTTATTATTGGACTTCTTATTCCCCCTACACTGCAAAGACAGTGACCTCTACCCAGACTACGACTATGACTATCTGGTCCGTCTACCAGACCAATAGTGCTGAAGCAAGCGCTTCATTAGCCGCCAGTGCCGAAAGTTACACTTTCTCTACTCCATACTCGGCTACTTATTTGGAGACTTTAGTTTCTGATAGCCTTCCTACTCCAACGTCAATCTCATCTCCATCAGGTGGGGGTAACAGTTTGCCCCAAGAAGGATCGACAAGTGGTATGTCAGCAGATTGGTTTGTTGCATTGGCAGGTGCTAGCTTTGCGGCTTTGATTGGTGCAGTAGCCTTTGCATTGTGAGAACTTCCCCTGGCTACGAGTGACCTATATACACTGCGCCAAAACCCGCATGTGGGTTATGATCTTCAACTCGAGCACGACCTAGTGGGTTATAACTCTTTCCGCGGAGTATTAATAACCTATCATAATATATTCTTCAAACTCTACTGTTCAATGGGAACTTGGAAACGTGTCAACTCCCAATGGGTAGTCTAATATTGAAGTTGTTTCTTTTCTGTTAATTCATACCTAAATATGGATAGTCCTTAAAGAAACGAACAAGAGGTCGGATCTTGTGGCAAAGTATCCGGATGGGATGAGCCCGACTCTGTACCCAGGTGGACCACTAGTCGGTGCTATGTAGTGAAGATGGTCTCGAACTCGGGCACCAGCTGAGCGGGACCCGCCAGGGACCCGAGACCGTTAACGTAATTCACAAGTGAGCCGCCCACACAAGCGAGCCGCCCACCTCAAAACACCATAGTAAATGCGATATTTAAGAACAAAATATTTCAACAACCACAAGCTTATTCTATTTAGCTTTCAGTAATTCACTAATCTAGAGCACAAATAGCCTAATTTAGGGGTCTGGGATAATTTAATAATCATATCACTACGTTTACCATAAAATACAATGTAATTAAGCTCTCTGAGCTTGAAATATATATTTTCAATCCACCACATCTTGAAAACATTCGAGACCTTCAAAATACGTCGGACTCAATATAAAGAATATATTTATACAGGAAGACTTTACGAGAAGCTATGGTTGTGGAGATATCAAGTTGTAATTTATCGCATTTACTATGGTGTTTTGAGATGGGCGGCTCGCTTGTGTGGGCGGCTCGCTTGTGAATTACGTTACCGCTCCCGCTGACTCAGCGGTTTTGGACAGTCAAAGTTAACGTCCTACAAATTGCCAGAAAAGGGATATAGCAATGTAGAGTTAATTTCACCGCTGATTAGTCGATAAATTATGTTCCTGATATTTCTCTGTACCCGCCGTATCAGCCGCAGGATTGTTCCTTTTTAGACTTGGCGACATCGCTTCTCGTCAACAATCTACAACGTCGGACACCCCATACCGAACACGCACTCCGAATACCCACTGCACTTGAACTAGTAACTGCACGTCACCGTCGGAGGCTCCGTACACGACATGCTCGCCAAGATAAGGTACAGGCCTTGTCAAGTGTTATCTGACCCCCAAGTCCCCTACGCCGTCTGGTTTGAAGATGCTCTTTACCATTATAGTGTTCCTACAGTATTGTTTGATCTATATCTCCTTGTCCCGGACGTTGATGAGGCGACTGAATTGCTTGTTAGGGCTGGATGGGTTATTGATTCCCAAGGATCACATAGAATTGGGAGTGCAGAGGTGGAATTTCCACAACAGCGGCTTGTTCTTCCGAACAATCAGACAATAACTGTTCTTCTTCCGGCTCAAGAGTGGAAGTTTCCTCTGATAGCCGACTCACGTTTGGAAGATGCGCCATTGATAGCAGAGTCATTGCAGGAAAATGTGTCATTCCCATCACTATCAGGCTTTCTTGATGCACAGATTGAGAGCTGGCTAGACTGTCCAAATGATGATGCTATGTTACTACTTCACTTGGCCTGCAAAATCTCCTATCTTTATGCTTATGCACCCGCTTTAAAACAACGATCGTTTGCCGAACGGATGAAATATGTACACCGACAGTTCCATTTTGACGTGGTGGCAGGAATGGAGACAGGCACTCTTCCATTCAGAAGGCATCAATGTGCCATTCGTGATGCACTATTACGGGGCCAGTATGAGCTACAGGAATGTTCGGCGTCTCGTAATAATGAAGAGCTTTTTGATTTTTGATACAGGGAGAGTGGGAGTAATGAGTGGCTAGTCCAGGAATATTCTCGGGAAAAACTTCGGTCGTTCTCATCCACCTCAGCTTGCATTAAGGCAATTTTTGGTTGATTATCCATTTGGGTCCATGAATATCTGAGGACGAAAATGAATCAATAGGAAATGCACGAGGGAATTAGCCTCAGCTTGGGCCAAATCCGTTCCTGACTCAGCGCCTACGTTCATAGGTGCATCAGACAGGGAGCGCCTTCTTGCTTTCAAAGCGCCTATATCACGATAGATAGTTCTATGAAGAAACACATATACTTGCTTATTGGGCCTATTAATACTTATAAATTTCTGGAGGCTAAGCTGGAGGATGAGATGCGGCATTGTCAGCCTCTGCGCATGTCGTCCGAGAGACGATTGAATGAACAAGATTATGCTGAGGCAATCGAAGGTCACTTACACCCTCATTTTTTCTTTCTATATTACCTTTCTAGGAACTTCTGTCACCTTGATAGGTATTCTAGAACAATCCACCGGCGCAATAAAATATTGAAAGATTCCCACTTTCATTCGTCGTTTCTCTACCAACTTCATACAGGTCGTATATACGATACCAGGTGACAAGTCGACGAGAAACTCAGTTTCCCAAGGCCGCCACCTGCAATCGGCTGTGGAGAAGGGGTGCATGTACATAGGTATAAAGTAGCAACAATAAAATGCAAAGGACCAACCAAAACAGCCAGCTGTTCCATCAAAGGAGGATGTTTCCAAGCCCCACGCTCCATCCCCAGGATGGAGACTCAATTACCCAGAATCAGCTATGCAGAACTGAAAGAGAAAGAAAAAAGAAGAATTCATAAAGCCATTATGAAGCCATCCATCTCAGTAGATCAATCGAGCTACCAGGGATATAAATTGGACAATGCTTATATGTTTTGATGCGTAAAGATTCAGCTAGATTGGATAAATCTAGCTGCTGGTGTCGGAGATGCTGCCGTGGGGGTGCTCGATGTGAGAGCCCTTGCCACCCTCCAGTTCGGAACCGGCAGTGAAGCCGGTCCTGCGCTTCTCGGAGACGTGGCTGGCACGGCGCAGGTGCTGCTCGGTGTCTTCGTAGTTGATGAGGAGTTCGCCGTGTTTGCCGTAGCGGTGGGGCTCGTGTCGGGCGACGGAGACCACGTTGAAAACGCTGGTGGTCTTGTTGAAAATGGTGTCCATTTCCTCGAGAGAGCGGTAGGAGGTTTCGGGGTAGAAGAAGTAGACAACGGGGAAGATGAACGCGTTACTAGAGGATATTGTTAGTGTTTTCAGGAATAGGGTGCAGATAGAAGACTTACATGACCGCGAAGATGATGTAGGTCTTGTATTTGATGGTTTCGAAGGCCACAGGGGTGATCATGACAACGAGGAAGTTGAAGATCCAGTTGCTGGAAGTGGAAAGGGCATTGGCAGGGGCACGGATGCGAAGGGGAACCTAAGAATTGTTAGTTATCTTGATGGTTGTTCATGGGAGGGAACCTTACAATCTCAGCGGGGTACAGCCAGGTCATACCCAGCCAGCCCCAGGCGAAGAAGGTGTTGAAGACGAAGAGGAACACAGCCGCCGCAATACCAGCTTGGCTGTTGTCCACAAAGCTGGTAGCGATGGCCAGGACCATCATGGAGAGAGACATGCCAGCCGCACCAACCAGCATCAGAGTCCGACGGCCAACCTTCTCGATGATGAAGATGGGGATTAATGATGCCAGGAAGTACTCGGTTCCATTGCAGGCGGCCAGAATACGGGACATCAGACCACTCATACCGATCGACTTCTCGTAGATAGTAGCCGCGTAGTAGGTAATCAGGTTGATACCGGAGATTTGCTGGAACATCTGGTTGACGTAGGCGAGGACCACACGGTGGAAGTGACGGTTCTCATCCATGGTGATTAGGTCACGGAAGCCGACACTCTGATCGGCGATGACCGCATCCTTGATAGCAGCAAACTCGGAGTGAACGTAGGGGTCGTCTTCCGGCAAATCCAAGATAGCACCGAGAACCACGATGGCCTCCTCTTCGCGGCCCTTGAGAATCAGCCATCGGGGCGACTCAGGGAGAGGCATCACGCATGTGAGGATGATGAGCGCAAAAAAGTTCTGGAAAGCAATGGGGAAACGCCATGCCACCGAGCTTGGGTCGAGGAAAGAGAATCCAAGATCAATCCAGTAACTGATGGTGATACCACCAGCAATCAAAGCACCTTCCACCATTACCAGCCGGCCACGGTGGTGCGACTTGCTGCACTCGGACTGCCAGGTAGCTAGAATCTCAAAGTCAGTGACCACAGACATTGCAGGGTAGGTATGGATAAATACTTACGGACGGTGGAAGTGTTCAACCCGTTACCAATACCGGTCACGATACGGCCGACAATAAAGTGCGGGAGCGAGTATGCGCAGGACTGCAGCGTAGCGCCAATGATCATAATGATAGATCCAGTGAAAATGGTTTTGCGGCGACCCAGATAGTTTCCGAGCCAGATACAGAAAATGGCACCGAAGAAACAACCCAGGTTGTACGAGGCAACCGTGATACCTTGCGCAGTAGAGCGAGTATTCTTCTCGGCGGCCGACAGGCCCACCTCACCGACATTGGTGGTATCAATCTGCGGGAAGGTTGTGACGAAAGAGTTCAAGGTCAACAGGCCACCCATGACACCTTGGTCATAGCCAAAAAGCCTGTTGATTATTCGTCAGAAATGGCGGTATAGCTTATGCAAAGAGAAGAGCACATACAAGAAATCAAGACCAGCAATGATACTGATCATGATATTGAGGGACGTGCCCCTCAGCCCGAAATACGGCTTCATGCTGGCGGATAGGTGAATCCGAACGGTGTAGAAGCAAAGGATAGGCTGTATACGATGGATGTGCCAGACAATTCCAGTATCGGGTTCAAGTCAAAGTCAAACAGTCCAGGCCTGTGGACGACGAACAGGGAGAGAAGAATGGTGCGTAGAAAGGGTCCCCGAAGGTCTGGGGAAGCAGCCTGGGTTTTATGAACCCTGGCAAAACGGCCAGGGATCCACCACCAGACCATGGTATCAAACGATACCCAAAAAGAGTAGCAAGGTCGCATTGAAACGACATGGCCGGATCAAGGAGAGGGTCACTTCGCATCGGCGTTGTCAAATCACGGCTCGGCATCGTATTTGGCAGCCTTCTTCGGCACCGGGTTCCACTGGCACTCGACAATGCAGACAGCTTCATCGGTAAGTGTCCGGTATCACGGGCCGTAAAATACCCGAGGTACAGTTACGGGACTGGAATCGGGTTCTGAAAGCACCTATCGCTGCATTCAGAACGAGCTCGGAGTGGATGACCACATCGATGATGCGGGTTCTTCCCTTGTGGCTCGCGTGGAGGTGGACTGTGGACGATACTTTCTGTGGTCCGATGGGCCTCTCCCCGGATTCCTGTGTGGAGTGGTGCCTGACTGGGGTGTACTTGTACGTGAGCACAGAAACACCTTCAAGCCGCCTGATCCTTCGTCCTCTACGCCACCTAATTATCTACAATACATTCGCAATCCGAATAATACTTTGGCGCAATGCCGTGCCAAGGGCCGTGTCGGCTGGGATCAGCCCGGCTTCGGGATGCATCCACAAACCACGGCGTCGGCTTCGTGCGAATGCACTGACCTTAGCTCCGAGACTTCGCGAGGGCCTAGGAAGCTTGTTTCCGGTTTTTAGCGAGGTGATCCCGATGGTCTCTCGGGTTGCGGGTTTGCCTACGACCTGCGGGGCATTTGCTAATGGAAACACATTTGGAAGTAGCTGAACGGTACCAAGGATGAAACCTTGAATGGGTCATAGGAAGTACTTTCCATCTCAGGGGCACCGTAGCCACGGGTACCCCGGAGAGGTGGAGGGAGACCTGGAACGTGAAAAGAGACCGATATGGAAGATGAACAGACGATCGCCGCGACGGCAACGGGCAATGACATCATCGGGTCCAACGAATGCAGGGCCGAATTCTAATTTTCGATTTGATTTCTATCTACTTCATTCGTTGTATAATCGGTATCGTGAACATAATTCATTTGGAATGCGCCTACGCTACTTGGATTTTGGTTTACTGACTGACTCGTCCCCGGAATCCCCAGTTCGGTCGGGATTGAATGCAGGGGTCTCCAAGTCTCCAAAGTGGCCCGGTGGGTTTGGTGCGGCTTCCCCGTTTCGGAACTCCGTTTCGATTCTCTGCTCGTAGAGGGACTATGGAGCCAATTGTACATTTTTATTCATTCACTGTCAGAATATAGAATAGTTGTAGGTCCTGTGAGGCTCGAAATTAAATTCCAATTAGGCGCTTCTCTTCCCAGAGTGCATTGCCGCGCCAATGCCCGCCCGATCGGGCGAACCCGTTTCGCGTGGTGGAGAACGGAGACTGGGGTCGCCTGCCCTGTCCCATTCCTTGCTTCCTGTTCTAGGGGAACATCGGAAATCATCCTAGAATACTACAGTACCTGTATACAGTACAGTATCCAGAATTATACCGGCCTCGCCGATATATGTACTTCCAGGGCTTGCTCCGCCATAGATCGCCTGGTTCCTGCACGAGCCATATGGACGCCACAACCTTCCCGGCAAAGTCTAAGTGGTTCTCAAGATTTATCTGGAAAGTTTAATGCATGTGTCGGAATAATTGCTTTGTTTAAACAACCGGTATAGACTAGCCGAATAATCGTGCATTTCTCTTCGCATCCAGGTCATATAGTAGACGCAGTATAATGTCAACCGGAAGAGTCATCTCCCAACCACCACCCCAATTTCCCACGAACCTATATAGTAGCCGTAGCCGTCGAATATTCCATCACGCATCCATAGCCTAGAACACTCCATCCAGAACAAATTGGAAAATCCAGTCACACGAGACTCCGGATCCGGTAATCGGCCCACAATACACTCAAAAATTGTCAGAACACCGTATTACCACAAACCCAGTCACCTCGGACATCCCAGGGGGGGTAAAAATTACCGTAGCATCCAATCATACCACACATCCCCCATCACCCTGTTCGCCGTTCTCAATCCAAGGAAGGATTAGAGCATTGCTTATCGCGAGTATGATCTCATCTTGCTTGCCAGCCGGACGAGGAATGACTGCGCTAGCGCTAGCCCGCTTACACTACCAGAACAGGTTTGGAGGACGCAAGGTAATGAAGGTGCGGCATTTGCTGGATTGATCGGCAGGGCCGAGCCCTGCAGGCCGAGAGCCAGCCATGCCGTGTCGGAAAGTCAACTTTGCGGTGCCCTGGAAGAGTGCGGTGTGCATGGGCCGTGGTTGGGTTGCTGCGATGACGGCATTGATTGGTTCTGGGCCTGTTACATTGCAACCGGGTGATAGATCCTGCTTGCACTGTGCAGACTCCGTTGGTTCACCGTTCTTTTGATCGACAGAATGGTCTCGATAGATCGGGTTGAAGGTACGGTCTGTGGAAACTTTGCGTTAGAGTTTGACTGTTTTGATATCAGATCAGAAGGGAGTGGTGTGGTGTGCAGTGTCGTGGCCAATCATGGGCTGCCTCGTGCCATGATAATTGCGAATGGATATCACGTTTCTGTTCTGTTGGAGAGCAGGTCTGCTTGGAAGTCAAATGGTGACACTTGAGACTTGAATTTTGGTAGGGTATTGCTCTCAGTGGCTGTTATAGAAGCAATTCATGAATTATACGCGTCGGATCGTCGATGAATCAAGGTCAATTCTCTCTTTCCAACTACGATCAAGTTTCCGGGCTGTTGTCAAATAGTAATAAAAGTGTTCATTTCACGAAGAGTATTGAAGATGAGAGGACAAACGATTCCTGCTCATAAAAAGACCGCAGATTGCTCCCGGCCAGGATGTCCTAAGGAGGGCCAATCTGTTCACGAGAAGACCCCATTGACCCGATAACGCACCGTCGCACGCACCGTCGCAAGACATCGGTCGTCATCCATCTGCAGGTCACTGGGAAGCATCCTGAGCACGGGCAACATCCGCCCCATCTCGCGTAGTGTTAAATCGAAAAAGAGAACGTGGTCTTCGTCCCTACCCAGATCAAAGCTCTACCACTGGACATTCCAGGCATTACCACTGAGCGCCATTCTCAGCACCATCGGTCTTGAGCTGAGCAAACTGGTCGGTGACCTCGTTCGTGTCAGTCCAGGCGCCCTGCTCCTGCTGAGTGTTGTCGCGGCCATAGCCACCGCCATATCCAGCGGCATCATCACCGCCGTAATTGTTCTCGCCGGACTCTTCAGGCTGAGGGCATCGTCGCACGGTATGACCCACTGATATATTGTGAGCACTTGTTTCGATCGAACACATTGAAATCAGGACTTACTTTCACCGCAGCGGTTGCATTGAACTTTGGACCAGTCCTTTGGCTCGGGGCAATCACGGGCAGCATGTCCCACTGTAGAAAGTGATTGTCAGTTTATCCAATGCAAAAGATTGTGCTTAGATTATCAGTATGTCGTTCGCAAAGTAGAGCGCTTACTCTGGTCACAGTTTCGGCACTGCATATTGGAAGGGTCTCGAGGTTTGTCGCATTCCCGAGCAAGGTGGTCCTCAGATCTGTGAAGGATTAGCAATGATCACGTTCTCAAACATATTCCTGATTTGTATACATACCCGCAGTTGCGGCAGGTACGAGCACTTCCACCACCACCCTGGGAGCAGTCCTTTGCGAAGTGGCCAGCTTGGTGATCGTTAGCACACACAAAATAGCAGCAAACATTCTCGAGAGTTGTATCGTACTCTCACCACACTTGCGGCATTCCATATCAGCTGCGGAGCGTGGTTCGGGGCAGTCCCGAGCTATATGGCCATCGATGCTTCAGGTTATTTAGTATAAGCCAGTCCAGAGGTACCTCGTGATGTAGACTTACCCGCAGTTGCGGCATCCATACTTGCTCTTGCGCGCCGAGGGGCAGTCACGCACACGGTGGCCGACCTCACTACAGTTGTTGCACTTGATTTGGACTTTTTCGAACTCCCGCGCCTCCTGCGGGCAGGACTTGGCAATATGACCAAGCTCTAAAAGAAATTAGCATCCGCAACTGGGAATAAGAGAATAAAACTGAAGTCCAGTACCCTCACAGTTGCGGCATTTGACAATCAAGCGATCGTAGGGAAGTCCAGCATTGGCCAGTCGCTCGAGGTTCTCGTCATCATTCTCAGGCCAACGAGACTTGAGGCTGCTCCGACTCGGTTTGTTGCCGAAGAAAAAACCGACCGCGTACTCACGGTCCAAATTTCCCTGCAGGTCAATCAAGCTGATGACTTCGGCGTTGATCTTCTCCTGTGGTCGGTCAGCATTAAGTGCCTCGCTTCACTCATCAAATATGTCTGGTAAACTTACAAGTCCAATGAGGAAAAGCTTGAAGCTCTCTTCGCGCATCTTCTTTGCGATTTCTTGATATGTTGCCTCGGGGACAGCCTTTGAATAGGCCTGAAGAGCCTATTTCATATTGTCAGCAGGGACTCGGCCGAGGTAGAACTGGGCTGTCGTACATCTCGAAATCCCTGAATGTCCTTGTCGTCACTGGCCGCCGTCATCATGGCCCACGCCTCTTCAGGAAGCTTGTCAGGAACATGGTTCAGGTCGAACTTGCGCTTCTCTTTGCAGTCTTTGACCGCGTGTCCTGTTAATTTCATTATTGTCTGCCCTGCTCCAGCCAGTGTTCAATCTGTGCGTACCTTCGTTCTTGCAATTCTTGCAGACAGTGGGTCCCTTCTCAGGGCAGGCTGAAGCTTGATGGCCGACCTGACTGCAGAAATGGCAGGTGCCTGTGAATACATGGGGGTTGGGGCAATCAGCCTTGGAATGCCTGTTGATTCCTTAGATTTTTGACCACTTTGTGTCTCAGCAACTTCGAGGAAGCAACATACCCTTCTTCACCGCAGTTGAAGCACCCACCTGTAAGCTTCCGAGGTTGAGGGCAGTCGACCTTCGAGTGTCTATTCATCATATTGAGTCAGTTCCTGGGGCTTGCCCGTCATCTCACTCATAACTTGCCCCTCTTCGCCGCAGTTGAAGCAGGCGCCCATGGAGTTTCCACCCTCGGGACAGTCCGATTTGTTGTGGCTATAATGCCCCCATGTTAGCTCAAGTCGTTGACACGAATCTCCACGGATCTTGACTAACCCCATCTGACCACACTTGTAGCAACCTCCCTGGGTCCCAACGTCCGACTCAGCATTGGGGCAGTTGCGGGCGAAGTGATCATTGGCACCACAGCTGTTTCACCGTCAGTAGTTTGGTCACCCTGCTCAATAGATTCAACACGTACATGCGGCAGTCGTTGTCGTTGTCAAATTGAGGCTTTGCGTTCTCGTTGTTCTGGTCTGTCAATGATCAGCTTCTCCACTGAAATTGATGTCGTTCACGAGCAGAAAATGGTTCAGACGTACCATGCGGCCAGCTGTAGCCATCGCCTTTCTCCAGGCCACCGCTGTCTTTGTTGTCCCAATTACCTGAACTGGCCCTATCCCACATGTCGGACATGTCGGACAGTAGAAGTCGGAACGACTCCGGGCACACTCTGTTCTGGGCAAGTTACACTTTAGCATGCAGTACAGAAGTCTGGGGGGAAGCCCTCAATGCCCCGTGAGGGGCGTGAGGTTGGTGGGCAGGTGCAGCTTGCCAAGGATATGGGATGGGCAGGTCGAGGATGGAAAGGACAGTGAAGAGACAGCCACAAGCTCAGTTGAGACGCGCACGCTCTCCTGTCGGATCTTGTGTGGTAGTGATCGAGGATCAAGGTATCATGTATGAGACTCACGGGAATTCACGATGGGTTACAATTGATCAGCAGACGAGTCTGTTGACAATAAAAATTGGGGGGTGGGGAGAAAGAGGAAGAGGAAGAGGAAGGGAAGGGGAGAGGGAAAACAGAAGAAACGAGCAAGAGTGCGCGGTGGACACGAGAAATTGTTTTATGAGAAAGGCTGCTTTCGCGTTTGCCAGGCTCCGATTGAGCAAAGGGAGCACACGCTAATCAGGGACCAGTGGATTTCAAATGCATGTCATTGCGGATTTATCAAAACATGTAAAGAATACATATTGCAGAACAGCAGGAGCATCGTCATTGCTGTGCAATTCCTATGAAGACTATATTCGCCTCCAATTACCGGAAGACCCTGCCCAGCAGGCCACCAGCAAGGTTGTTCACAATTCCACCACCGAGCGCGCTGTTTGCGAATGTCGATGCTTGGCTGAACTTGTCGCATCGGGAGAAAGCCACAGTGTTGGTAATCGTCAAGATAAGGGCAATAGCTACATTGATTGAGTAAGTACTTCAAACCAACGCAATTTTAAGACTCCTGGGTCATGGTAACAGGGATACTCACCAACCAAGCTCAGCCAAATCACACCAACCAGTCTCACAATAGCCAGTACGGCCAGTCCCACCCACAGTGCCGGTGTAAGATACATGCTTAGCCAGAAGAACCGTTTGTCGGTGGCGCTGATCGTACGGACGTTGGGGTCTGCAGACTCGAAGACCCAGTGGGAGTCGCCCGAGGTAGTGTTGACTTCATTCCACCATCTTAGGCCAACCAGTCGGCGTCCGGCAATGTTCTTGAGGTAGTAGAAGTCGGCGGAAAGGAGAAGCAAGGTCAGGATGAACACAAGGATGCTGCACAAGCAGGTTAGCGGGGTGGAGTTCTGTGGCGGCGGGAAGTAGATAGCTTGACATGAGGGGACATACAAGTTGTCAATGAAGAGGACACCAAAGAGATACATCATCAAAGCACCTGTTGGATATATCAATCAGCCTGGTATTCCTTTGACGGTCAATCGTAATAAACAGCACGAACCGATGCGGATTCCCAAGAAGACAAGTAGCGTGATCGGGTGGGCGCTGAGGCGCCAGTTCAGTTCTCCTTGCTGTCCTTGATCCATGGTGGAAAGCTGAGAACCACTGATTCTGAAGCTTCAAGAAGCACCGTTGGACAGCAGAAGGCTTGCTGTGTTGACTCGGGGAAGCTGTTGTTTGAGGATCCCTGATGTGTTCGCAACACGGGACACCTAGAGGCGGTGCCATGTGGCAGAATAGTGAGAGCCTCAACGCCCATTGGTTCTCGAGTATACACTCTCCGCTTCTCCCTGAGTACAACAATGTAGCCGCGTATGTTCCGTGGTAGGTAAACATATTTCATATATTTTTTATTTCAAGGGTCCAAAAGCGACAAACCTTGGAAGAAAACGACATAATGGATAAACATAGTAAGCGGCTCAATGGAGCAGTTTGAGGAGTATCTGTGACTACGAAACCCAGAAGGTCCAAGACGAAAGATGGCGTTTAAATGGAGGAAAGGCCGAGCTCTGCCTTCGGGAACAGACAAAATGAAAATGCAAATAGATCAAGGGAGCCAAAGTATGAATATTGTAGAGGCGTTGAGAAGTAAGGGAACCCTCTGGGCTACGGTCTATGTTTAGTTGTATTCTACGGATACTCATTCCACATTTCATCTTGCCCGGTATGTATCCTGAATAGAATGCCTAGTTTGGCTCTAACTGCGCATTATTTGCTTCGCCTCCCTTCAAACACGGATATTGTCAAGTTTATGGACATGGAAACCATGCCATCATCCCTAGCCGACCTTTATACAACCTCCACTGGCACTGACAACACTACCGGTAATCCACCGTGCATCCGGGCTGCAAAGAAGCCCAACAATATCCGCAACGTCCTCAGGCTGTCCAAAACGCGGTATGCTCTGCGAAGGGAAGAATTCATCCTGTAATTGTTTCACTACCTCCGGCGGGCAGTTGACAACGGAATCCGTCTCTGTCAAGCCGACTGATATGGAGTTAGCCGTGGTCCCGGCCATAAAGGAATACCTCTCATCCTTGCCGCCAAAGGCTTGTGCCCAAGTCCGACATAGCGACTCTCCTGCAGATTTGCCGGCGGAGTACATGAGCTGCTCGCTCCATGGGACGCGTGACCGGATAGACGAGATGTAGACGATACGGCTGTTAGGCTGGAAGAAGCGCCGGCGGATGAACTCCTCAACGATCATAACGGGCGTCTGCACGTTGGCTAGTAGACTGCTTTGAATATGGTCGACATTCATGTCTCCAATGGAGCTCATCCCGGTGGCGGCGCCGCTATTGATGAATATGTCCACGCGGCCTTTGAAGTTCTTAATGACCTCATCGGTAATGATGTTGGGGCAGTCAGGGGAGAGAATATCTGCGACAACTGCGGTGATCTTGAGGCTTGCGGGTCTCGGTCGAGATATGGTTTCAAAGGCGCGGCTGGTGACCTCCTCGCTGAGGGTGGTTGAGATGGCCATGACGCTCGTCTCGCTGGTGGCGGTTCCGAGGATGGAACAACCACGGGAGGCCAGGTTGAAAGCGATCGCGCGTCCGATGCCCCGAGATGCACCAGTGACGACGGCGACCTTGTCGATGAGGTCTAGTTCACGCATGCGGGGTGCTGGCGGGAGCGTGATAAAAGACATAATTATTCCGTGTCGATGGTCTTCCTAGAAGGTCCCAGGAGGTAGAGTATCGTATATTTATTTGAGCCTCCTCCTCTGCCGGGTGGCTGTAGATTGCGCAAGCAGTTACTTTGAAACTACTTGCTGTTGACTACCTCCCTAGGTATTTAAGCCACCCTAGGGTAAGAACCTCCTCTAAATGGATGCCTGAGCACCGCCCGCAGACAGTGATAGATCGCTGCACTAGACACTCAAAACCAAGACTGCCTCGTCATTAATAAACCGACTCATGCACTGTTGCCCCGTTGCCCCGTTGCAACGTCCACCCCGCTTCCCTCTCGGAGATATCGGATATTATAGTGCTCTTCTTCGTTATTGGTCACCAAGCTGATAATCTGTCAGGGCTGTTCGATATGTGCCTCATACACGCAAATCTAGGCCATGGCCTCTATAATACCCTAAACTATATCCCTCAGTCTATATTTCTTATGGATTAGATCAACTCCGATAGCTTGTAGTTGACTAAGAATAGCTTAGATAGAACAATCTTCATGGTTTCATAGAGATATTCTTCGCAAGTCAATCTGAAACTGCCATATCTCAACCTTCTCGAATCCAGGACCGAAGTATATTGGTCAAGCTTCGGCGACTTGCCAGTTATGACGGGCCGACCCCGACCCCGAACCCTGGAAGCAGAGCATAGCATATAGCCGATTCAATCGGCTTCCCTACAAACGTAAAGATTAATAACCCGCTGGCTTCATCTCAGAATATAATCTGCATCTCTCACATTGCGAAGCCAAGAAAATCAAAATCCATCGTTGAAAATCCCACCGCAGACCATTGAGGCCATCCGTAGCCAAGCGCGGCGGAATTCCCGAGGTCGGGGAGTTCTCGGCTTGCGTGGGTCCTCCCCTCACTGAACACGGGGAGCACCCTCATCAACGCGCCGTTGAAAGAACCATTTCCAGATTTGAAAGCGGTGCATTCAGTTAACCATTCACAATGGCCGCCCGCAACACCCTGCGCCGCTCATTGCTGTACGGTAAGTCCACCCACGTCGCTATCGCGTCTTCCCCGCATTTCCATTGCCGCGTTGTTCGACAACCTTGAAGCTAACGAGCCCTCCACATACTAGTCCCCGGATCCTCTCAGCGCTTCCTCGACAAATCCCGCTCTCTGGTAGCAGACTGCCTTGCCTATGACCTGGAAGATAGCGTGACCCCGCACATGAAAGCGGAGGCACGAGGCTTGGTGCGGAGAGCTATCGACCAGCCCACACCGGCGGGAATTCGTGAACGGGCAGTTCGAATCAATTCGGTGGATAGCGGACTGGCATTAGGTGATCTAACTGAAGTGGTGAGTAGCTTCAAATGGGGCACAAACGCCTAGAGCAAGGGCTAACCTAGTACGACAGCTGCAATCACCGAACCTCACAACCATCGTCATCCCGAAGGTCAATTCGGCTTCAGACCTCACTTTCGTCACGGATGTTGTGAACCACACCCTTGCAGCGCAACAACAGTCGCCGGAATCGAGACCTCCTATCTCTCTACTTGCCCTCGTCGAGTCGGCCAAGTCGCTCACCAACCTATCCCAGATCTGCGCCGCCTCGCCCCTACTCCAAGGTCTAGTCTTCGCAGCCGAGGATTTCGCGCTCGACCTAAGCATCACACGCACACCATCCCTATCAGAATTCCTCTTCGCGCGTTCAGCAATCGCCACAGCCGCTCGCGCCGCAGATCTACCCTCGACAATCGATCTAGTCTGCACATCATACAAATCTGACAAAGCAGACGGGTCACCTCCCGCAGCATTGGAAGAGGAGTGCAAAGATGGTAGGAGATTAGGATTTAATGGGAAGCAGTGTATCCACCCGACGCAGGTGAAGACTGCGAATGCGATTTTCGGGCCTGACGCGGAAGAGTCGCAGTGGGCGATGCGGGTTGTTATTGCGGATGAGAAGGCTGCTGCTGCGGGACGGGGTGCTTGGACTTTGGATGGGAAGATGATTGATGTGCCTGTTGCGAGGAAGGCGAAGGCTATTGTGGAGAAGGCGGAGGCTTGTGGCGTTGATGTCAAGGCTTTGCGGGAGCAGTGGCAGCATCAGGAACCCGAGTAAATATCTACGTGGAGAAGATAGTGTATAGCAATCGGACATTGTGAACGTTCTACCTCTCCTGTAACTGTTATAGGTCTACTGCTCACTGGGAGAGGCCACTGAACGATTTTAGAGGATAGTTGAATAACCAATTGTGTTTATTGAATTTGCTGGACGAGCAGCGCTATGAATCGTTGAAAATAGATCGGGTATTGAGAGACGGTCCGCTTCTGAAAGATGGGTATCGTGCGCATCGACCAAGGGATCGAGATAAAAGGGCACACCAAATCATTGATTCTGCGTTTCTATATCCTCGCGCTTGAGCAGTTGGATCTTGCCTATCGTGAGGTTTGGTTGTCCATCGTCCACTCCCACAGAGTCGTCACCTTCCGCTATGGTTCTGGCCATAGACTTGTCATAGCTGGTCGGATCAATGCCGAGGATACCTCCGACATAGCCTCCGCGCTCACCGGGAACACTGAATTCCCTGAACAAGTATCGCCATTCATTTAGCCAGGCTTTGACGGCCTTGCCAATCTTGTCCTTGCCGTTCTTCGAATGGTGACCGGTACCTGTGATAGCATAGACTACCCGGATACCTTCACGGGCATGTCTGAGGAGAATTTTCTCCAGGTATTCGATCGCCTCTTCTGGGTGTAGGCCGTGCAAGTCAACGTAGAGCTCCTCCGAAGTTTCGTCCAGGCCAGCCTGGACCAAATGCTGATTACGCTCTTCGTACAGCTGACGTGCGGCTTCTCGGTGACAACGACGCATCGCGTCGTTTTCTGCTTGGCCTCGGAGGGACAGTGCCTTGGCAGCTCGAGCATCGTTTCTGTTCCAGGCTTGCGCAGCGCTGATGGAGTGGGTAAGTAATGAGTCCTTTTCCGGGGTTGGACCGCATTCGTCGGGAGCATACCTCTGGAGAAACTTGTTCCGCACGGTCCCATGGCGAATTGCTTCAGTGCGGTACTTGATGTATTGCTGATTGGCGCGCGCACCGGTCTCGAGCCAAGGGATGTTCTGTGGAGCTGGAATTGACATGGCAGCCGCACTATTTTCACGACTCTTGTTGTCTTTGCCATTTTTCGAGGCGGATTTCCCCTTGGGAGGAGTAGGGGATGGCGTCATACGAACCACGTCTGCCAGGGAGGAGGGAATGGTCTCTTTGGACACGTCGCGGTTGTTGCCGCCTCGCTTGCCGTTGTTCTTCTTGCCGGCATTCTTTGCACTAACGGCAGCAAGAGTTGGGAAGGCATCTGGATCATCTACGGACGGAGCTGTAGGGTTCAGCTCCCGGTTTTGATGACGGCTGGTCGGGCGCGAGTTTGGCCGTCCTAAATGGGTCATGCTCCCGTTTCGTCTGCCCATGCCGGGGTGGAGTCCCGGCGGGATCGCTTTGGCGCCGGAGAGATGAGTAGGATACCGACCACCATATTGATTTGACCATTGGTCTTCCATCCCTGCTGATGATTGCAAGGGCGGGAAAGCATCGGAGCCACTGTCCATTTGGAACGGTGACCCGGCGGGCGAGGCTGGTCGACTACTACCTGATAGACTAATGTTGGATATTAGTTTTTCGGGATCGTGTGAGAATGGACACCCTTCGCCGGCCAGGCAGCTACCCATAACCCAGTACCTAATTTGGTCAGCTCACAGTCAAATCATCGATGTGAAAACAAATCACTCACTTGCATAGGTGACTCGTCAAATCATGGCTAAAACGACAGTCCGCGCGTAGGCATTGCCCGGTAGACAGCCAGTACTTGCAGACTATAGGACTGCGACTGTGCCCCGAGGGCGTTACTGGCCGCTGCTCCATTATCATGGATTTTCCGACCACCACGCGGCCATCTTGTTGCCTCGGGAATCCATCCGCATCCGTATCCTGCGTCAGGGATGCAATGGTAGCGCCGAGGTCATAACCGTTGGCCTCCAGGGCCGTTTCAATTTCGTCGTTTGAGCGTTTGTCGCCTAGAACAGTCCGCAAAATATCATGTGGGCTCATATCAGGCACAAACTCCACTGCCGTCGCGCTCAGCGACGCGGGGACACTAAGGCCCGTGGAGGAAGTAGTGCTATTCGCATCGTCTGCCACTAGCCAGTCGACATTACTGTCATTACCAAAATCACTGTAAAATTCCGATACTTGGCTTTGATCGGAGAACTCGTAGGCATTCAAACTGGGAGAATGGGGAATTGGTTGTGCGAGAGCGAGTCGGGGCGATGGGCGCGGCGAGGTAAACGGTGAGGCCGTCGAGGAAAGCGGAGGCCGGGAGAATGCCCCGCGCGAGCTCTGCACCCACGAGGTACTCCCGGGGCTGGTGCCCAGGTTCGAATGAGGGGAGAGCGGAGTTGAGGCGCGCTGCATCTGCCATGGTGCCGGAGATGACCTGCGAATCACGGTATGGCGAGCGGGAGGGGGAGACGAGTCGGGCCGCGAGCGGTTGCGATGGCGCCAGAGGATGTCCAACACAGCGTTCTCCAGCGGCGACCCAGAAAGGGAGGTGTTGGCGCGCAAGAAATCTTCAACCTTCTCTACCTGCTCTTCTTCATCCAGGGCCTGATCCTGGAGGATCTCCAAGCATTTCTCGAGGAGCTCTTCCGAAACCATGGTGTTCTGCTAAGGGTGGGGGTAATGGAGACGGGGTGAGGAATAAGCTGAGATGGCGGGGGAAAGCTTCCGAGTCCTTTCCAATGCACCGGCGACGAAGGTGCAGCCGGATTTGCGGTACCACCGTAATTATTCGGGGGTTAGGGTGGGCGTCAGAGTCCCCGATCCATACTCCCTGATCAAGTCGGTTGAGGACCGAGGGTGAAAGCGATAAAAGGGGGTGAGGCAGAAGATCTGAGAGGTAGTTAATCGCAGACCAAGACAACGGCGATTACATCGCAGCCTCAAACATATGGAGCTGCATCAAAGAAGTAACAGGCAAAGGGAAAGACAAATGAGGGGGGGGGGAGAAAGGAGATCAATATCGGGTTGTAGATTGGGAGGCCACTCTCCGCACTCAACCCACTCCTGCTCCATGCCACCGCCAACCACCTTGTGTATACACTGCCAATTTACACCTACAGACTAAATTCCATCTGAACGGAGATTAACTTTCTATTAATGACAATTAGCGGCTAACTGTAGCAAAGCTAATTTTAGACAATTGAGGCTATCCACGCCATACCAATGGCAATCAATAGGTCCTAAGATTGCATATAAGGGACGTAAAAGTCTTTAAAGAATCTTGATTGATGCAAGGTATTCAGTATTCAAGTATAGTAGGGCGCACAGGGTTCAGATGAATCTTAGCGGTGCAGATCCAGAGTAAACACTCCAAGCTTCCCAAGCTCCGGCGGATCCGCATTCGGGGTCAGCGAGACACTGCGCCTCCGACTCCCGAGTCGGACTTGGCTAGTGCTTCGCCTCCAACCCTTCATGTTTGTCCCCTCTTGCAGGGCCTTTTAACGCCCTATACACCATTTATCTCTCCTATCTCTGTTGTCTCCTCGAATACTTCTCCGCTTCCTGCCTCCACAATCGCCGATCGCTTAAGCTTCCCCCAGATCCGATCGCTTTCCCGGTCAACCCTTACATTGTCCCAACATGCCTGCGGACTATGAGTCCACGGCACGGGCATTGGCGCTGTCTACATCATCGCCAGAGCCGTTACCCCAGTCTCCTGGTAGCGATGCCCAGTCGCCAGTCTGGAGTCGCTCGGGCAGACGTGACTCCGCCCGGTCTGCGAGTCAGGCAACCACCATGCGCGACAAAGCCGTTGACCGCGCAAAAGACATGTACCGCAAACTGCTTGCAAGATGGGAGAGCATGACTCTGTGGCAGAAGATTGGTTTTTATGCTGCGTCCTTCGCCTCCGCTGCCTTGGGTATTGGGTTCTTGGTCTTGACCGGCAAGGTGTTCATTTGGCTAGGCCCCGTCGCTGAAAAGTGGGAGCGGTCTCCGCTGGTCGCTTTTGTATTATGGCTGTGTGTCTTTTTCGTCTCGTTCCCACCGTTGGTGGGTTGGTCGACATTTGGAACTGTGGCGGGGTTTATCTTCGGCGTGTGGAAAGGGTAAGCAGAAGAATCCCCCCATTGACACTCTGATGAGAAGAAGCCACTGACGCGCGATGCATATAGATGGTTGATTTATGCCACCGCGAGTGTTCTCGGGTCTACCGCCTCATTCTATGTCTCGCGAACGGTGCTATCGGGTTTCGTGAAGCGTCTGATGAAACACGATAAGCGATTCGCCGCGCTCTCTCTCACCCTGAAATATGACGGGCTGAAACTCCTCTGCATGATCCGTCTGTGCCCCTTGCCCTACTCTATCTGTAACGGAGCCGTGTCTACATTCCCTACGGTTCAGCCCTTGATGTATGGACTGGCGACTGCCATCATCACCCCCAAGCTATTGGTCCCTGCGTTCATTGGCAGCCGAGTGCGTCTGCTGTCTGAAAAGGGCGAGGAGATGACCGCAGGTTCCAAGGCCGTGAATATCATCAGTATTTTTGTGACCGTCACTATTGGAGTCGGCACCGGGTGGTACATTTATCAAAGGTAGGTTATTTTTCGAGTTTCATCTTCCATATCTCTGATGGGCTGATACTAACCACGAGATGTTTTAGGACCTTGGCTCGGGCGAAAGAACTTGAAGCCAAAGAGCGCGCCGAGATCCGACAATCCCTTCAAGCCGACCATGCAGCACACCGGCCTCATGGGAGATTCTCCGACGATATTGATGAGAACGAGGCTGCTACCATGTTAGCCCGGGATGAGGAGGAGCGCATTGGGTTTGACGATCTGGATGATGACAATGTCGATCTTGAACTCGGAGATGACAGCGACAGTGATCACTCCGAACGATGGAAGAAAAAGAACCGGAGGTCCTACCATGATGAGCTCACGGATAATGACTCGGATGATTATCCAGGCGAGGACGAGGCGTACGGCCTACACAGCCACCTCCAGCGGGAGGTCTAAGAACTGGAAAGGGCCAGCAGAGCAGATGAATATATAGACCCTTGGAATGAGAACTATGACACTATACACTCATGAAACCCCAAAGTTGTATGTGAATGAAGGTGCCGTAGTTGACCAAAGGCGGACTGAGAAATACGCTCCGGGCCGAGGAATCAAGGCACAACGGCCTCTCTCTCTTCCTGAGGTTCTCTCCCCTCCCTTTCGGCCGCCGCTTTTGATCGCAATTGATCCTCGATTGATGCCCGAATCCTTGTTGCTAAGGGCCGGGTTTGCGGGGGAGGTGGGTGACTCCAATGTATGTGCTGTTTCAGCTGTCCCGATCCCCGGTTATCCGATCCTTGCAATAACTATCTACATTTGCAAAATCTAAAACCAAGCATCACCACATGTACAGTGCCTCTAATTCTACTACAGATTATCGAACCTTTCTGTCCTATTAGAAACCCCTCATTAGTGACCTTCATGCGATGCGAGCCGCGCCATGACATGAATACATGTGGCAGCCTTGACATTTGATATCCCGCCTTGGTCTCCCGATACAAATTAAGGATATCAGGGCTTCGCGAAAAAGGGCGCGAGTTGTGCTTTTGCTATGTCTTCGTCAAACTCCAGTCATCAGGCTGTGAGAACAGAGCCTAGTTTCCACCTTCCGTCGAACATGGATGCCACCGCGTCTATGAAAATCCACGCCCTGACTGGGATCCCTCCCAGCCAGAACTCATACGTCAAATCTTCTGTCACAAACGGCCATTCCTCTGTTGAAGAACATGGAAAGCTGTTTATATCTCATTTTGAAGAGTCAGGACCGCCTGTGAAGCGGATGCGCACCTCGGACGCTCCTCTTGCCGGAGCCCCGCTATCCATCCCCGTCGAGGAAACCAACCATGCAGTGGCCCTTAATGGCGGTCATCAGGTGCCTATCGCAAATGGAGTTCATGCTCTTAACGGCTCTTTTGGAGGGTCATATACCGGTGGATACTTCAGCAACCCTATCGCATCTACCACGACGACTCCCTTAGAACATTCCTTCGAGCCGAGCAAATCCACAACACCCCCAACTACTCCCTCGCAGTATCTACCCACACCGCCAGTGTCGACAGGAGTGAGCGTTCTGGATAGTAAAAAGGTTGATTTGACCAAATGCCGTCCACGGTCATCCATCCCAGCGAAGCTGGCGCCGGCTGTCTATGGCCAGCAGTGCGTGGCAGCCGCCTATGCATCTCGGCTCGATCCGTATGCACTGCACGAAAAGGAGCAGGTACTTCTGCAAGATCGTCTTTGCCATATGCACGTTACCGTCTACCTTAACATACGAAACGGCATTTTGCGACTGTGGACTCGAAACCCCATGGTCAGTGTCACCAGAGAAGAGGCACTGGGCTGTGCGAAGGACTATCGGTGGATGAATCTGGCTGCTTTTGCATACGATTGGCTGGCACGCCATGGGTACATTAATTTCGGCTGCGTCGAAGTTCCGATTCCGCCAGTGACCCCCAGGCGTGGCAGGCGTAAGGATGGGCCTGTCATCGTTGTCGTTGGAGGTGGCGTGGGAGGTCTGGGATGTGCACGGCAATTAGAGGGCTTGCTCCGTCACTATCGGGATTCAGACACTGCTCCGCGCGTTGTTGTACTCGAGGGACGTCGGAGGATCGGCGGGAGAATATATTCACATCCACTGCACAGTCTCCAGTCTAATATGCTTCCACCGGGACTTGTTCCCAAAGTGGAAATGGGCGCCCAGATCATTGTTGGCTTCGATCACGGCAATCCGCTTGATCAAATCGTTCGTGGCCAATTGGCTCTTCGCTATCATTTGTTACGCGATATCTCAACGATTTACGATATTGATGGCTCACCTGTGGATGAAGTGCGGGATTCGATGGACGAAAAGTTGTACAACGACGTGCTTGATAGGACTGGTTTCTATCGCCACAACGCCCTAGTTAAGCCCACTGCCGAGGGCGAGCGCGAGTTGATTGATACCGGTCGTGAAACGACTATGGATGATGGTCTTACTGTACGACAATACGAAGATGCGCGCGCGGCAGGAACCATCGATCTGCTTGTTCCCACAAAGCGCGTTCGTCGACGTCGGGGAGTGGGACACAAGACAGCAGAAATCGAACCAAACGATGTGGCAGCAGACCTTGTAGGTCCTTCAGAAGACCATCCGGCTGGCTTGGCCTGCCAGGCCACAGGATGGAAGCTGAATCCAGGCTACTCTGCAACCGATACGCTTGAGCTGGACTACATTGCCAGCGAATCACGCACTCAAACTCTTGGAGCCGTGATGGACGAAGGTGTCAAGCAATACCAGCGCATGCTTCCCTTGACACCCAAGGATATGCGACTTTTGAACTGGCACTTTGCTAATCTCGAGTACGCAAACGCCACAAACATCAACAAACTGAGTCTCTCTGGTTGGGACCAGGATATTGGCAATGAATTTGAGGGCGAGCACTCAACAGTAATTGGTGGCTATCAGCAATTGCCATATGGTTTGTATTCATTGCCCACCAAGTTGGACGTACGCACCAACAAGGTCGTAACCAACATCTCCTATGATGCAAAGGGTTCTGCAAAGCACAAGGCCACCATACACTGCGAAGACGGGGAGAAATTCTTGGCAGATCATGTTGTGTACACTGGATCTCTCGGCACCCTCAAGCATCGCACCATCAACTTTGACCCTCCTTTACCGGAATGGAAATTGGGAGCAATCGACAGACTTGGGTTTGGTGTCATGAACAAGGTTGTCCTCGTGTTTGACCAACCCTTTTGGGATGTGCAACGGGATATGTTCGGTCTGCTTCGTGAACCGACAATCCGCAACAGTATGGCACAGGAGGACTATGCAGCCAATCGAGGCCGCTTCTATCTGTTCTGGAATTGCTTGAAGACCACTGGTCTACCCGTCCTGATCGCACTCATGGCTGGTGACGCCGCACACCAAGCAGAGAATACACCCGACGACGAGATCATCAGTGAAGTCACCGCGCAACTCCGGAACGTCTTCAAGAACGCCGTCGTGCCAGATCCTCTTGAGACCATCATTACTCGCTGGGCCTCAGACCGGTTCACGCGCGGCAGCTATTCTTATGTTGCCGCAGAGGCTCTTCCCGACGACTACAATCTCATGGCCCAAAATGTAGGCAACCTTCACTTTGCTGGGGAAGCCACCTGCGGAACACATCCAGCAACCGTGCATGGCGCCTATCTATCCGGCCTCCGTGCAGCCTCGGAGGTAATCGAGTCTATCGTCGGGCCGATCGAGATCTCAGAACCTCTCGTCCCTGACAAGCCCTCGGGAAGCGCAGCGCAAACACCTACCGGCACCACCACAGCACAGAAACTTCCCGACCCTCCATCTACAACAACCTCAACACCAATAAACGCCACCACACCCGCACGTAATCCCCACTTCATGGAAAAACACCGCCGAGACACCTACGACCAAGCAATGTGGACAGCCATATATGCCGAAATCGGCGCAGCACCAATCCGGCCCCAAAAAGCCGGTCTAAACCCCTTCCTCCTGTACCAGAAAGACTACTGGGCCAAATGCCGCGAACAGTGCGACGAAGCGCGGCGCGCATCGTCCAAAAACCCCAATGCCAAAGCTGCACGCGACGAGATCCGCGCTGCACTCGGCCAGATGTGGCGCAAGGCACCGGCAGCCGAGAAGCAACCGTACGTGGATCAGGTGGATAGGAATCGGCGCACGAATGATGAGCAATGGGAGCAGTGGAAAACGGTTGTTACGGAGTGGGAGCGGAGATCGTATGAGGTGAAGGATCAGTGGTGTGCGCAGAATCCCTTTGAGCAGTGGGAGGCACCGCAGTCTGGGTCGGACTAGACTGGCTATTATTGCTGAGCATGTTTTATTAGTATCAAGTTACGCAGCTTCATTTGAAGGAATCGGTGCTTACTTTACCCCTAAGTTTACCTTGTCTTACTTTACTTGGATGAAGTGATAAGGGATTTTATCTATTTCTATCTCTATAGGCAACGAGTATCCCAAGCGTATGTTGGGATACTGGGCTAGCACCCAGAAACCAACCCAACCCACTATCAAAAACAAATAACCAAAAAAAAGATCCGTTAACCATGAGATGAAAACAAGATATGCAGGGGAATTGGAACACCGAACGAGTCTAGAAGCGCGCAAGCATTCTAAAACAATTCACTCCAGAACAAAGATCGGATTTATGAGGGGAAAGATGATATGAAAAGGGGTATTTAGAGAGCCGGGTTGGACTTGTACTCGGCAGCACCGCTCTCCACCTCGACCTTGGGTTCAGAGTGACCACCCTCAGCGAGGAACTTCTCAGCCTCGAGGGCGGCGACACAGCCGGAGCCGGCACTGGTGATGGCCTGGCGGTAGCGCTTGTCCTGAACGTCGCCGCAGGCGAAGACACCGGGCACGCTGGTGAAGCTGGTGCCGGGCTGGGTAACGATGTAACCATCCTCGTCGAGCTTGACCTGGCCCTTGACCAGAGCGTTGGCGGGGTCGTGGCCAACAGCGTAGAACAGGCCGTTGGCGTCCACAATCTCCTCCTTGTCGTCAATAGTGCTCTTGATGCGGAGGTGGGTCATGAGGCCGTTTGGCCGGTTCTCGCCAATAACCTCGGTGGCGACGGTGTTGAAGCGCACATTGCACTTGGGGTGGGCGAGCAGGCGCTCAGCCATGACCTTACTAGCGCGCAGCTTGTCCTTGCGGACCAGCACGGTGACGCTGCTGCCGTACTTGGCCAGGAACATGGCCTCCTCAGCGGCAGAGTCACCACCACCGATCACGTACAGGGGCTTGTTGCGGAAAATGGGCACGGCACCGTCGCAGACGGCGCAGGCACTGATACCGTTCTGCCAGTAGGTTTCCTCGCCGGGCAGGTTCAGGCGGCGGGCGTTGGCGCCAGTAGCAATGATAACGGCGTCGGCGGTGCGAGCGGGAGCGTCGTTGGGACCGTCGCTCCACTCGGTCCACATCTTGAAGGGACGCTGGGACAGGTCGATCCTCGAGATGGTCTCGGTGATGATCTCGGTACCGAAGCGCTCGGATTGCTTGCGCATTTTCTCCATCAGCTCTTGGCCGCCGACACCGTCGGGGAAACCGGGAAAGTTCTCGACGTCGGTGGTGGTGGTGAGCTGACCGCCGGCGGCGGTGCCGTTGGCAAGCATACCCTCATAGAGGACAGGGCTGAGCTCAGCGCGCGAAAGGTAAATGGCGGCAGTGTGAGCGCCGGGGCCGGAGCCGATAACTGGAAGAAAAGGTCTCGTGAGCATATGATCAACCCGGAAAAGACAGAGTCAATGGAGTCATTGGCACTTACCAACGACTTGAGAGTGCACCATCCTGGTGGTATTTATGGACTTGACGCGCGCGGGTGTCGATAAGGGCTGTGAGAAGATCGTGGGCTTTGGCGGAGACTGTTGGTGAAGGGTGGAAGCCGCGGCGGCAGTGAGTCCGATAGACCGGAGAGCGGAGGGGAAACGTCGGAGCGTGGAGGAAAACAGCTTGAAGGTGTTCCGGGAAAGATGGGGAGAGAAGATCGGGACGGTTTTCTATCGGAGGGGCAAAAGGGAGCGTAGTGGGGACTTTGGGATAAGATCAGGTTCCTTCTGTGTCTTTCCGTACAAATTAATCATTTGCCCGCGTCGAGGCCCCTCGCTTTCTAATCAGCGGGCACGTGACAGGGTCGAGAACCGCTAATACAAGGCCATCACATCACCGCGAAGTCTTCTGTTCCGCCTCCGAGAGCAGGGTCTATTTCTACGTCGCTGCTAATGATAGGATGGGGCTTCTATGTTATTACGATTGCCTCAAGCAAGACTCTTGGTCGTTGATACAATCTCAGCGGAACCTTCGAGGCACCAATGGCGTGATTTTGCCGGCAGGAACCCGAGTGCCCAGGCCCGGCTGATTAGATCATATCTGATCTCCTACAGCCGGACCAAGGGGGTATTTCAAGTGGGCCTAATTGGGCGGTCATAACTATCTGCCCGGGAGGTTTGAAAAAGACGTTTAGAAACGTGCCTTGGAAATTAGTTTCAAAATATGTCTAGAAAGACGTCTAAAAAATTCCTAGGAGGAGATTTAGAAGGACCAAGAGAATAAAGTATGGAAGCCCTTGTAATATCTCCTTGGTTCGGCTGTATCTACGGAGTAACTACACCAGACTCGGTAGCTTTAGAGTGCTTACTTCATACTGTCGAATATTACGAATGTACCTGTCTGCAAGCTATCCATAGCTGACGGACAAAGCCAGGCTAAATTGCATGATTATGTAGAATGTCCGGAAAGAATCTAAAGATCCAAAGTCATACACATCGTAAAGAAATCCGCCAAAGGACCGGCGTAACTCGTCATAGTTTACATCAAATCATCCCGAACCACTTCTTCCGTTTCTGCTGATTTGGTTCTTCTTCCTCATAGGGCGATGAATCGGTAAGAGCCTCGGGCGACAGTTGCTGAGGCACCTCATCTGAATCCTCCTCGCTGCCGGGGTATCCTTCATACTGGTTAGGGTCAGTGGCGGCAGCGTTGGCGCGGGTATTATTTATCGTGTCATGGTCCTCGTAATCATCGGGTTCGTCATCGTCAGCCTCGTTACGCTCAGCTTGTTTCTTGCGGCGTGGCACATTCAGCCATTTTCGCCATCCCTTGGCTACCTGCGTGGGCGGTGGATCATACTCGGTGCCCTCGTAGCGCAATGCGGGCACGAGAAGTTTGTAGGGTACAGTGATACCAGAGGGATCCTGCGGGCTGATCTCCATGTTCAAGGTGATGGCTAGGCCGCCCTCGAGATCGACAAAGGCGCCTGCGCCGTCATCGCCTTGTTTGGCAGCTTTCTTTGCTGCCTTCTCGCTGAGATTGGTTGGCCGGCGATGGAAGCGACCGGGCTGCGGAACTTGTTGTTCACCAGGGAAATAGCTGTCTCCATTCTCATGAGGACGAGAGAAGGGAGCATCAACGCTCGATCGGCGAGCCGCGCCAGCCCCGCCAAGGCTCATTGTCCTTGTCGGAGGCGGTCCCCGTGTAGACAGACGGCGCAGAAGACCGGGTGGTTTGCCGCCAGCTCCCTTGTCCCCACGACCCAGAGAGAGGGTTCGCAGAAGCTTACCAGGACGGGGCTCTGGGGTCGGTGGCATCTCCGACTCGGGTGTGCCAACTGGCGTCGAACCAGGAAGGTATTCTCGAATAGAACACCAGTTCCGTCGAGGAAGCAAACGCTTGTTGTTTCGGGGTTTGCCGTCAACATCTTGGGTGAAAATGGGAATCATGTCCTCGTCTGTATTCGAGTCCATGTGGTGCACAGTGTTGCGCTTGTTGAGCATGTCCGAGATCAGCTCTGTCTCGGGCATATTTGCGATGCCAGAGGAAATGACGTTTGGCATGTATCGGTAGTCGCGATCCTTGGAAACGGCCAAATCTGTGCTGGAATAGAATTGTCCAACGGCAGCCAGTTGAACATCACCGCTGAGAATTGTCACCCGAACAGATTTCTCTGCAGCAAGGTCTTGCAAGTCCTCAACCAGCCAAGTTCGCTCGGACTTCAAGTGTTTTCCGGCCCAATGGTCATCAAATACCTCCACGTTGCCTCCTGATCGATTGACAAGCCCGCCAAGCATTCCGGCCTTGCCTAGCGACTTGCGGCTATTCAAGAAGTTCTTGAGCATTGCCTGGGTCATGGTTAGCTTATGTTTGGACCAAAAACGAAAGAAATATAACGTACTACTCGAGGGTAGGCAATGGGTACACTGGAAAGCACGATCAAATGCCTTGTTTCTCCCTTGATTATTTCTCGGTGGCAGCGATCCCAGATAAGGTCACAGGTTTCCTCGGTGAGGACCTCATTACTCTGCAAAAGCATATTAGCAGAAGTCGTCACATCAATAAAACAACGGTCCTTACTTTTCGTTCAGTTCGACAATCCAGGCCAAGAAGAACAACATCGTTTCCAAGAGACATGAACAGGTTTCGACTTCTCTGCTCAATGTAGGGGCCTGGATGAGCACCGAGAAGCCAGCTGGGCTCATCGGCCTCGGTTTCCTCCGGCACGCTATGGTGCTGGAATAACAAATAATACTTGAATGCAATTCGTCCCAAACCTGAAATGACCATACTATTCATGAAATCTTCATGGTAGGAGCCGAAGCCCTCGAAGATCTCATGGTCATTCCACATATTGATCATCGGGATCTGGGAGTTTGCAAGAGAGAAAAGGCCTTGCGAGAACCACGAAGCGTAGCGCTCCAGGTAGAACTGTTCAAGTTCGGCACGGAACTCGGAGGTAAATGGCGCCCCGTATCTCTCTACAGCATTCTTGATCTTGATCCATTCCTGGAATTCAACCGAATCCGTGATAACCGAGTCATTGAAGATCTGGTCACCTCCGCCAATCATCACATGGAAGGGCCGAGTCTGGTGCTCATTCAGAATATCTCGCCAGAGGGGATCGGGTCCGCAAAACCGATTAGAATCGACAGAGGGGCCAAATCCGTTGCCGCTGTGGAACATGATATTCATGGGCTGGCCCATGGCCGGCACCCAGAAGCCCAAGGCAGGGCCCTGGTTTATTCGGTACGCAATCCGCTGCTGCGTCGAGCTGAGCTCGATCTCGAGATTGAATCGCCAGAATGTCACATCTCGCGCAGGATCAGCGTAGAGACGGACTCCGGAGATATCACGGTGCAACCCCGCTGTCTCTCCATCAACTGAGTGGATTCGGTTGGAAGGAATAGGCTGCTTGACATTTTCCGGCGTGTGATCAGTCATGCTGGGTGATAGCTCATAGAGGCCATCGTCATTCTCCACGGCCGACAAATCAACTTCTTCTTCAAGATGGTCAACTGGCTTGACGTAGAGTGGTCGTCCATCGCGACCAACTTTCATTAAACCCGCCGTCGGGTCAATGTATTCAGGTGCAAGCTCCGCTCCGTTATCCCCACTGACCTCTGCCGGAGGAGGAGGGAGGAGGTCCATTGGCTGGGAGAACAACCTCAAGTTAGGCGAGTTATCGTATGAGGAGCGAGAGGCCTTCGTCACGATCAAGATGGAGCCTCGCCAGATCTCCTTTTCAACAGGGCCAGGGGAACTATCAATGTTGACTTTTTTGATGCCCGTATACCGCAGAAGGGGACCGCATCTCAAGAAAAGCTTGGGCTGGAAGTTCTTGTGCTCAGTTACACCTGATATACGTTAGCCATTTTCATCTGGATTTCATCCGAGATATAGTCCTACCTGTCAGCTTCTGAGCCGGTGTTTGATAGTTTTTGGGGAGAGCCCTGCTCTTGCGGCGGTCTTTGGTGCCGCCGCCTTCCCACCACGCTTTGCTCCTGTTGATGTCGAGATGTTGGAAATCAAAATCAGCCGCACCAAGATGAGCAGCTGGTGAATCCTTCCATTCGAAAACCGGGGGAGGTGTGGGTGGCGGCACATTGAACGACACTGTTTGTTTTACTCGCTTCGGTTTCTGGCGTGGCTCGACACTTTCTTGGGCTGCTCGTGCTATTCGTACTGCCGGCGGAGTCTCCACCCTCTCTGCTTCTGCAGCCACTGCAGCCACTGCAGCAGATCGTACGGGCTTTGACTGAGAAACAGAGCGATTCGGGGGGCGACCACCGGCATGCCCTGGTTTTGCTGCTGGTCCGCTCATTGTCACAGATCTCTGAGGAACACTGCTCATCTGCGCTGAGACGGGTACAGCGGCCTCTGCCTGGGCATATTGAGCATCTTCAGGTCGCTGAATAGCCGGATACTGGGTTTTTGTAGAGACATTTCTATTATGGCGCATGGCGAGGCCTTCGGGTTGGCGTGTCATTGGTGCATCTCGAGGAATATCTCCGGTAATAATTTCCTTGCGCTCACTCTTTCTGGGTGGCCCCAAAGCAGCACGGGTCTCTGGCAGCTGACTCGGCGGAGGGACAATGGCTGTTGATTCAGCTTTCTCACGTTCGGCCTTCTGGCGAGCAAGACGTTCTCGGACGCGCATTTCTGCTTCTTGGACCCGCGCTCGCTTCTCCTCCTTGCTGATTCCATTCAGAGTCACTTCTAGCTTTTGCAATGGCGAACGATCTGATGCCCAGTTTCGCTGTTTCCCTGCTGTGGACTGTGTTGTATTTGAGCGACTTAGCGGAGATGGCTGCCCCGGGGAAATGGGGGCCGACGGATGTACGTTCTCCTGGCTCTGTATAGCTGCATCGAGTTCCGGGTTATACTCGGCAGGAGGCAGGCCACGTGGGGTGGTCGATTCATCTGAGATGCCTGGAGGCATATCGGGGACAGGCTTGCGCGTCGTATAGTTCAAATTGGCGGCCGGTTGATTACCGGCTCTGGCCGAGAAGGACCGTCCTTTTTGTCCCGGTGTAGTTTTTGGAGCAGGTCGTTGATACGTAACCCCTGCTGTTGATAATTCACGGTCCATGTCGTCTTCGTAGCCGGTAATGTCTGGGTCAACTGGGTTGTACTTGCGACTGCCTCTTCGTGCCCCATTGGTACTTTGTGGGTCGGTGCCGCCGTTTGCCATGTCGGGCGATGCGCGCATTGCGGCCGCAGCCATATTCCACCTCCTTTTCTCCTAATCGAGCGGCTGAGACGATATGACTCGGTGGAGGACGAGGGTCGACAATGCGACGCACGGGTGGTCCCAGCTGAAATGGTTCGTCAATCCCAATTACGAAGGCATTGTTTGGGGCACGGGAAAAGCTAAAGGCTGAGGGGAATAGTAGTAAACGTACGATGTTCAGTCCAGGATATGGTCACAATCGGACTTTCTCTGCCTGACAGGCTCACCACATCGTTGCCCGAAAGGCCCAGACGTGAGGTACTTAGGGCGGGGAAGGATGGCGAAGACAGGGAAGAGCGTCGCACGGGCACGAGGATCTCGGGTGAGAAATAGATGCTGACGAAGGGGGGGATAAGGGACAAGAAGGCTTGGAGAAAAGAGGGAGAAAATCAGTTGAAAGCGAAAAAGAGCGTTGCGCATCGACTCTATACATAATTAACCCGGTGGCTGGTTGCTCCCCAGCCTTCGCGCGGGGGCCACTGGATCCCGGTCTAACATATAACCACATACGGAGTACAATATACAATATAATCTATCATACTCTCGGAGAACAATTAGTTCTTGGACTGTTCATGGTCCAAAGTCTCGGAGTTATGGTGGCCTATGGACTACGTACTTTGTACAGGTCGGGCAGATCGATCCGTTGATCTCAAACACGTATGCAAGGACACCAGCGAGCTAGTCATATCGTGCCTCGGGAAGCCGTCAATCCTTATTACGCACGGATTACTACTCTTTCAGTTTTACTCTACGTGGGTGTACGGAGGACGTTGAGTGCCTATAAGATAAACGATGATACCTGGGCTCTCAAAAGCCACGGTACGTAAGCTCCAGCGTCAAAGGTACCAGGCCGCAAGTACAGGCCAACCGTAAGGATTAGACCCTGGGGCCATAAACCACCCACGTAGTCTTTGATCCGAGCCACAAAACGTCAAAGACATTTGGACCCCTTCGATCGGTGACGAGTTGCGTGCTCCATCGGTTCCCGTGTTGTTCTGACGATCCTCCTTATTCTCATCCTCTCCGCTTGCCACTTTCCACCACCTCCTTAACCTCACCACTCCTTTTGTAACAAAGGGTCCGGAACTGTCCATGGCCCCTACTCCTTGTCCCCTTTAATCTTATCCGAGAGCGAGGCCTGTCTACTTGCCTCATCCGACTCTTTTCATCATGCGTGTCGCCGGCGGCATCGCCGTCGTCCTCAGCCTTGCGGGCGCGGTCTCCTCCACCACCCTTCACCCTCGCTCCGACGAGTCGCGCGACTTCTTCGCTCTCCATCTCGATGCCGCCACTCCTCCCTCCCACGTCGCACGTGTCCTGAACGTCCGCCACGAAGGTCGCATCGGAGAGCTTCCAGATCATCATACCTTCTCGTTACCTCGAGAGCAGAGCTCCGACTTCAATGCGTTATTGGACAACCTACATGCCAAGCGAAAGCTTCGGCGACGGTCAGGAAAGGCCATCGCATCCGTTGACCAAGATCCGTTCGATGCGATCTTGTGGTCGCATAAGCTTGAAACTCCCAGGCAACGGCTGGAGAAGCGGATGCCGCCTCCTACGAAGGATGTCGCCCCGCGGTTTGCAGGGGAGGCGGAGCTGAAGCTTCTCGAGAAACAAAGCCATATCATGTCAACCCTCGGTATAAGCGACCCGATCTTCAGAGAACAGTGGCATCTAATGAATGTCCTGCAGCCGGGACATGACTTGAATGTGACGGGCGTCTGGCTGGAAGGTATTACGGGCCACGGAGTTGCAACAGCGGTGGTGGATGATGGGTTGGACATGGACAGCAACGACTTGAAGCCCAATTACTTCGCCGAGGGCTCGTATGATTTCAATGAACACTCGCCTGCGCCGAGACCCCTCCTGCGTGACGACAAGCACGGCACCCGCTGCTGCGGCGAAATCGCAGCGGCGAAGAACGACGTCTGTGGAGTTGGTGTTGCCTATGACAGCAAGATCTCGGGAATTAGGATTCTGTCCAAACCTATTGACGACCATGACGAGGCGGAAGCTATTAATTATGAATATCAAAAGAACGACATCTATTCCTGCTCGTGGGGCCCTCCGGACGACGGCGCCACCATGGATGCACCGGGAATATTGATCAAGCGAGCGATGGTCAACGGTGTCCAGCAAGGCCGCAGTGGAAAGGGATCCATCTTTGTGTTTGCGGCCGGCAACGGAGCTATGTTTGGTGACAACTGCAATTTTGACGGGTATACCAACAGCATTTATAGTATCACGGTCGGCGCCATTGATCGACAGGGCAAGCACCCCTCCTACTCGGAGTCATGCTCAGCTCAGCTCGTGGTCGCTTACAGCAGTGGCTCCGGCGATGCCATTCACACGACCGACGTGGGTGTCGACAAGTGCTACAACTTGCACGGTGGTACCTCTGCGGCCGGTCCCCTCGGCGCAGGCTCAGTGGCTCTTGCCCTCAGCGCCCGACCCGAGTTGTCGTGGCGCGATGTTCAATACTTGATGGTCGAGACTGCGGTCCCCATTAGTGAGGCTGATGGCAGTTGGCAAAAGCTTCCGTCAGGCAGAAAATTCAGTCACGACTGGGGCTTCGGAAAGGTCGATACTTATGCCTTGGTCTCGAAAGCTCGCACATGGGAGCTCGTGAAGCCACAGGCTTGGTTCAACTCGCCCTGGCTCCGAGTGCACAAGAATATCCCCCAAGGCTCACAGGGACTGCTGAGCAAGTACACGGTGACTGCCGACCAAATCAAAGACGCCAATTTCGATCGGCTGGAGCATGTGACGGTCACGATGAATGTCAACCACACTCGCCGGGGCGATCTCAGTGTCGAGATGCGCAGCCCCGCAGGTATTGTCAGTCATCTTAGCGTTGCGCGCAGGTTTGACTCGGAGAAGGCTGGCTACGCCGACTGGACCTTCATGTCTGTTGCTCACTGGTATGTAACATTTACACTTTCCTCGAAATATACCAACTAATTCTAAACTAGGGGCGAATCGCCTGTGGGTGACTGGTCCGTGATTGTCAAGGACACCGAGGTCAATGAATTCGATGGCTTTTTCATCGACTGGAGACTTAACCTTTGGGGTGAATCTCGGGATGGATCTAAGCAGCCCCTTTACCCGTTGCCTGACGAGCACGATGATGATCACCCTTATGAGGATGCCCATGTCGCGACGACGTCTGTGGAGGCAGCGCCATCAAAGACCGCCCTTCCTGCCAAGCCAGATGACCACCATGACCGGCCCGTGAATGCGAAGCCCTCGGACGCAAAACCGACCGAGTCGGCAGATGAGAAATTCCCTGCGGAAGAGCTAGAGTCAACCAAGACCGCTCCCAGCCCTACTCCTTCCCCCAGTTCCACCTCGGACTCCTCGAAGCAGCACTTGTCTTCATACCTGCCTACTTTCGGTGCTTCGAAGCGAACCCAGGTCTGGATCTACGCATCCTTCGCCATGATCATTGTTTTCTTCATCGGCCTGGGCGTCTTCTTCCAGCTCCAGAGGCTCAAGCGTCGCCGCACGAACCCTCAGGATGACTATGAGTTCGAAATGATCGAGGACGAGGATGAGATGGACCCCATGACTGGAGGTGGTCGCACCCAGCGTCGTGGCGGTGAACTCTACAATGCATTTGCCGGGGAAAGCGACGAAGAGGTGTTTAGTGATGATAACGACGAACCGTACCGGGATCGGTTAGGCAACATCCCCGAGAAGGAGGGCGAGGAGGACAGCGGCCTCCTTTCTGAAAAGCGGTAGTCAAATGTTGATGGCATTAGTTTTGCGTTGGGTCTGATTAGTGCTACATGAGACCATATTTGATATGGGGCAGCATTGTATATTGGGAATAGAAAGCGAATCGGCTGCCTGGCGTCTGTAAATCTAGAAAGTCAAAGCATATGGTAATACAAAATTCAAAGAAATAAGCGTTTGGCAGGTAGATTTGGAGACAAGAGCTCACGTACTTGGTGAAAGGAGACTTGAAGTTCCTATCAACAGGCCCCCTCACGAATGCCGATGACGACGTTCCCGCTTCGGGGACTCCGCCTTGGGGAACGACGATCATCTCTCAGCTTCTCAGCGCCTTCTTTGCCCCACGCTTTCCCTCAACTTTGCTTCTTTTCCTAACCTCCTTCATCCACTGCAGTCGATCGGTTTATGATCAAGAACCCGCCGGGTGACTGCGGCCGACACTTTCCCCGCCATGGATCAACACGATGACTTCGACAGTGTCTCCTGGAAACACGATCCAGACAGCGATGCCTCCCGGCCTACGACCTCGGGCACAGACGTGGAGGAGGTGCATAGAGAGACCCACGACTCCAATGGCAAGCGGAGGATGAGCTCCGCCCATGAAGAGCCCCAGGCCGGCTCGCTGGCCGACGCCGTAGACCTGGCTGGCATCGGAGACGGTGTGCTAGAGTGCCAAGTCGACTCGCCTCTGAAGGAAAACGATGGCACCAAGGACGCATATATCTCATACTTGGTTACAACACATGTGAGTTCCTATCGCTTTCCTTGATCTTGCGCTGGGGATCCGAGCTACTGTTGCTGCCTACTCACATCCCATCAACGCTCTGAGGCTCTCCGGAAGCATCGCTAACACACCCACCTCCAGACCGATTTCAAGTCATTCATGAAGTCTGACTTTACCGTAAGGCGACGATACACCGATTTCCATTTTTTGTACAAGACACTCTACCGCGAATACCCAGCATGCGCCGTTCCGCCGTTGCCGGACAAGCAGAAGATGGAATATGTCACAGGAGACCGGTTCGGGTCAGACTTCACGAAGCGCCGGGCGTGGTCGCTACACCGATTTTTGAAGCGCCTGACGCTGCACCCAGTGTTGCGTCGCGCACCGCTACTTGCCATCTTCCTGGAGTCGCCTGATTGGAATGCTCACATGCGCCTGCATTCAAATCGCGGATCAACAAGTACCGGGTCGGACAATGCGAGCACGGGCATCTTCGATAATTTTACTGATTCATTTGTCAACGCCTTCACGAAGGTCCATAAGCCGGACCGTCGGTTTATCGAGGTGAAGGAGAAGTCTGATAAGCTGGATGAGGACCTGTCGCACGTGGAGAAGACCGTCGCGCGAGTCGCACGGCGAGAGTCGGACCTCGAGACGGACTACACAGAGCTGGCGACGCAGTTCCGCAAGCTTGTGCCTCTTGAGCCGGCAGTCGAGATGCCCTTGCAAATTTTCGCGGCCTCGGTGGAAGAGACTGCGCGTGGTATTCATGAGTTGGAGGATCACACTGATCAGAACTACTTGGGGTCGCTACGCGATATGGGGTCGTACATCCTGTCAGTCAAGGCTCTTCTCAAGACTCGTGAACAGAAGCAGTTGGACTTCGAAGCCCTGGTCGATTATCGCAACAAGGCTGTAGCCGAACGCGACTCTCTGGCTGCCAACCCAGCCGCCTACTACGCCTCCAACCCGCTCACATCATCTCCAGCCTCGTTTATCCGCTCCAAGATGGAAGATATGCGCGGTGTCGACCATGAGCAGTCCCGTCGTGAACGGGTCCGTAAGCTCGAGCTTCGCATTGACGAGCTGACCCGTGAAGTCGAGTCAGCCAGGACAACATCGGAGATGTTTGACGAAGAGGTCGTCCGAGAAGTTGCGGACTTTGAGCGCATCAAGGCTGTGGAGTTCCGCGATTCTCTCGGCTCCCTTGCCGAATCACACATCGCTTTCTATCAGGGCGTGCTATCCACCTGGGAGCGATTCATTGCCGAGATGGAAGGTGACTCTGAAATAGGTCTTGAGGCCGAAGAAGCTGCTCTGAGAGTGCGGTAGAACGCTCGGATAGGATTTTTGATGAGTTCAGATGATTTTGGTATAGCTTTTTATGAATATTTCCTAAGTTAGCTCTTTTTGCCTACCGTTCCATAACCACCATACCATTACATCCGTCTACATTGAGGTTATTTTGTAGTCTATTTTGAGGTTATCATATGATGATTGCTTGATTTAGATCGCGTTTGACCTGTTTGCACCGCGGACATCCCTCATCCTCGACCCTCCGACTTTCCTCGCAACCCCAAACCTCAGACATAATGCACCCAATTTCAAGAGCTGCGCTGCGGCCGTACATTTGCGCATCTTGCCGTTATGGCATTGGCGCTAGCCGGCGGCGATTCGGAACCAAACCCGATCAAACTCCCGACATTTACGACGTAGTCTGCGTTGGGGGTGGTCCGGCGGGCCTGGGACTTTTGGCTGCACTCCGTACGTCACACCAGAACTCCAACGAAGCTCATTGAGAAGTGCTCTAACATTGAAATATTATACAGGTGCTTCACCCATCACATCAAAGCTCAAGGTCGCCCTCGTCGAAAGCCAAGACCTCAACAAGGCCCAGGCATGGAACATGCCATCGGACCAATTCTCGAACCGCGTCAGCAGCCTGACCCCGTCTTCTGCCTCTTTCCTGCGCAAGATCGGCGCGTGGGAGCATCTTGATACCAACCGCGTGCAGGAGTACCAGGAGATGCAGGTGTGGGATGGCGAGACCGGATCACGAATATCGTTTGATTGGTCCATGGAGACGCCTCCGTTCGAAGATATGCGCACAGTTGCAACCATGACCGAGAATTTGAACCTTGTGCGCGCCCTGCTTGGCCGGATTGCCGCTTCGGGTGACCAGGGTCTCACACTTTTCTCGAATACTACTGTTGCTTCTATCGAGAATGGATCCGATCTTCAGGCTTCCGGCCCTGACCTCTCAGCTTGGCCAGTTCTCTCTGTCAAGCCCACGGGGCCAGGTTCAGAGACAAAGGGAATTTCTCGCATCGCGGCGAGGTTGCTGGTCGGGGCGGATGGAATCAATAGTCCTGTGCGCTCATTCGCCGATATTCCCACCCAGGGCTGGGACTACAACCGACACGGAATTGTCGCAACTCTCGCCCTTGCAGACCTCGATACGCCTCCATTCCCAGCAAACCTGCGCACAGCTTACCAGCGCTTCTTGCCCGCACTGGGCGGGCCCATTGCTCTACTCCCGCTACCGAACAACCACGCCACGTTGGTCTGGTCGACGACACCCGAGAACGCCGCGTACCTGAAATCACTTTCTCCATCCGCCTTCCTGGCCATGGTCAATGCTGCCTTCCGCCTCTCCATGACCGACTTGAAATACATGATGGGCATTGAACGCTCCGAGCAAACATCTCACGAAGACGAACTCGCCTGGCACGTACAGCATACCTCCCTCCCGTCGCAAACCCCGCCCTTGGCTACAGCCGTGCAGCAAGGCACAGTGGCATCCTTCCCTCTGCGCTTCCGCCATGCTGCGCAGTACATTTCGCCCCGGGTTGCACTCGTCGGCGACGCAGCACACGTCATCCACCCACTTGCCGGCCAAGGCCTGAACCTCGGCCTTGCAGACGTGGCTGCTCTTTCGCGAACAATCGAGTATGCCGTTTCTCACGGGATGGATATCGGTGATCTCCTTACTCTTGAGAGATACTCCTCTGAGCGTTACCTGCCCAATGCGAAGATCGGTGGTGCTTGCGATCTCTTGCATAAGATGTACACTATCCCGGGCCAGGGCCCGATTACCTGGGCGCGCAGTCTGGGTCTGGATGTTATTGATAAGTTGCCTTTCGTTAAGTCGTTCTTGATGAAGAATGCTGAGGGGCATTAGAATGGGTTGCCTTCTGTGTCTATACTGTATATCTAGTTTCCTTTTTCGAATGTCACACAACATTTACTCTCGAACCTCACGAATGCGCACTACTTTGAAGCTGTTTGACTTGGGATACCTAGAGCTCTCCGGCCATATCGACGACCGTGCCCTGTTAGCGCGCAATCATACTTCGAGAAAGCTTTATCAAAGATCCATACAAGAAAGTAATGTTATTGGGTATTTATGAATCTGTACATCCCCAGACTTTTCATGCCGAGACAGCGGCTCTTTTGAATATAACCTCATGCGTCTATGAATTTTGGAGAGGAAGGGGACATGTAATGCTAATCGTGGCCAAACAAAGGAAATAGAAAACGCCTGTATCGACTCATCTAGGCGCTGATCTTCACACCTCCCAATTGCTCCGCCAGCGTGGCTCCGGAAGCGGAGGGCTTGTTGGCAAGGCGTTGTTGGAGCTCCTCGGCCAGCTTGGGCAGCTCGACTTCGACACCCTCCTTCTCGGCGTGGCCCTCGGGGAGACCCATCTCCTTGATGCGGACCTTGCCGGCCTTCAGCTCCTCTTCGCCGAGGATAACGGCGAAGGGGACACCGCCTTGCTCGGCGGCCTTGAATTGCTGGGGAAGCTTGGGCTTCACCTTGTAGGAGAACTCAGCCTGCAGGGTATTAGTATAGTTCATGTGTAGGGATAAAAGAACTGGTATTTACCTTGATACCGGCCTGCCACAGCTTCTGGGAGACTTCCATACGCTCCTTGAGCATACCGGTGAAACCCTTGCCGCCGAAAGCCATGACATAGGCATCGACCTCGCTGCTACGGAAAGCGTCGGCTTTTTGCTCGCGCTCGAGACGGGCCTTTGTGATGGAGAAGATACGGTCGACACCGAAAGAGATACCGACGCAGGGAATCTGAGCCTTGGGCATGAACATGCCCACCAGGTTATCGTAGCGGCCACCGGCGGCAACACTGCCGACACCCAGAGTGGGGTCATTGGACCGGTCTTCGTCCTCGTTTTTCTTGTCCTTCTTGCTGGATTTTTGGATCTTCTGAGCCACCTCGCCGCCAGCCTGCACGGCGGGAGCCGAGCCCTCGGTGACGACCTCGTAGATCACACCGGTGTAGTAATCCAATCCACGCGCTAGCGACATGTCAAAGGAGGTCTTGTCCAGCACGCCGAATGCATCCAGGTATTCCATCATAAGGGCCATATCGTCCAGACCAGCCTTGGCTGAAGCGTTGGCCGTGAGGTTCTCGTCCTGCAGCAGCTTCTCAATCAGCTCGCGGCCACCCTTGTTCATGACATAACCCTCAATACGGTCCGCAACCGCACCGTCAAGGCCCTTCTCCTCAACCATTTCCTTGCGCACATCCGCCCACGGCATCTTGTCCAGCTTGTCGACAGCACTCGAGATGGGCCGGATCTTATCCTCGGGCACACCGCAGACGGCGAACACACCGTCTAGAATTTTGCGGTGGTTCATCTTGATCGTGTACCGGCCGTTCCAGCCCAGCTCCTCAAACACCTCGCTGACAATGCGCAGCACCTCGGCGTCGGGCACCATGGGGTCGAAAGCACCGGCGATATCGAAGTCGCACTGGTAGAACTCACGCATACGGCCCTTGCTGATGGCGGGCTGGTCTCGGCGGTAGACTTTGGCAATGTGGTAACGCTTGATGCTTCGCACGTCGGGGTTCATGGCGAGCCAGCGGGCAAAGGGAACGGTCAAGTCGTAGCGCAGGGAGCAAATTTCACCGCCCTGGTCCTGCAGGTCGTAGATGAGCTTGGAGTCCTCGCCATACTTGCCAGCCAGGATCTCGCGCAGCTCAAATACGGGGGTATCGAGGCCAGTACCGCCGTGGCGCTTGAAGACGTCGGCGATGGTGGTGAAGATGCGGTCTCGAAGGAGGGCGTCGGAGCCGCACCAGTCCTTGGTCCCCTTGGGGGTTTTGAGGTTGAAAGAAACCTTGTCCTTGGGCATTGTATCGACACGATCAGAGCTAGGAAGGATTGAAGAAAAGTAACGAGGGCGGGGATGGATTTGGTGGTGGGGGATGGTGGGGGCTCCGTGACAAATTTGATTCGAGGGCACACGCAGGCCTTGGGTAGGCAAATGAGTCAGACAAGGGATGGTGCGCGCGCCAACGTTGTCGGCAATTGCTCGTCGTGCAGAGCGTAAAGGAACAGGAAAGGACGGCATAAAGCAAACGCGAATGGACTGCACGAAAAGTGGTCAGGGAATTTGGAACGGGCCATCTTCCTTCTTCGGGTGAGTTTTTCCGCCGGGTTTATCCGATGTCTGTATACAGGGGCACACGATCTAGATTGGAATGATGGTATCGTTTGTTCTCGGCTTTACCTTTTCAATGCTGTACGGTCGCGGGATAGCATGGGTTACATAGATCTTCTTTTACCCGTTGCCACCAGTATTTCATGAAATACGTTTCTTTCTGACGAATGCCAACCGTTCGCTTTTAGCATGCGACAGCTTAGTTCGAGCTAAAGAACGCGTAATCATCCTCTGGAGACAGCTAAGACATCGGCGAGGTTAAAATGACAGCACGGCCACAGCCAAGACGACGTCATTCATCGCGGAACATCAGATATCAAAATGTGGAGGCATGATGTATGGCCCCGGCTGTATCCGGGTGAATAAGTTAAGTACCTGCTCCAGTAGGAAAGGGCTCGGCTCGGGAAAAGTGTCGGGTCTGCCAAGGCATCCACCGCGGTTTCCGCTTATCGTGCCCAAAACGTCGCACTCCCCGAATGGCCATCTCCGTTTATAGCTTCCATGTTGAATCGACAGTGCCACCCCCACTATGATGTACTCGGAGCGAAGGTCTACCCGACCTTGGGTAGTGTAGCATTGACATCAGTCAGCCTTGGCGCGTATCTTGTTCGTCGTCCTGGCTCATCGAGCCACCAATGAGGAGCAGTGATGCTCCATCACGGGGCGTTCAGACCCCAGGTTGGATTGGGGGATATCCAGGCGATTACTGCGGTCCGTATATAGGGTGCGCACCCCGGTACTTGCTCGAAGCAGCCTAGCGCACGCAGCCGGGCCCCGCAAGGGAGCCTATTATTGACATGCGAGGCAGGTAGGCGCACTACTGTATAAAATTCCCGGGGGCCTGTTCAGAAAGTCTCCGAGACCCTGGATCTCCGGGCCGCGCGACCAAGCACACGGATAGCAAGTAAATCTCCACGCACATGGCCTTGAGCCAGATCGTAGTGCCCGTAGACCTCTCACGGAGGTACGTTTTCATCCTCGCGAGCTCCGCGTCGAGTCCGGAATGGAGACGGCTTCCCCACGTCAGGGACGATCATTGGCCGTTCTAACACGCCATGCGAGGGGCGGACACATGGTCAGTGAGCGTAGGCGAGCAGTGGCCAATGGCCGGGCGACGGTTGGGGCCCAATGAACTCTGGACTTCCCCGTCCCCGTCACTTCGAGTCGTAAGGAGGCGCTTGTTCCATGGTCGTCGTGGGGGCTCCGCTGGGGTAGGCAGAAGCGGCAGCACCAATGGCGATGTCACCGGTTTTGTTCCCCCTCATCTCTGGCCCCGATATACCCGGCGCACAATGGTATCTGTTGAGGTCGTGCAAGCAACATCGGCGATCGGACCAGTACCTGCCTTAGAACTCCACGTGGCTCGAGCGCGGCGCGACATTCATCGGTCCTAGTGGTCGGATTGTAGTAGTCTCTCGGGCACCTGGGTCGCGGAGGGCTTTTCTGGACGTTTCCGCTGCATGGGACTGCGCGAAATAAGACGGGGCGGGTCTGATGTAGATATGTAAGAGAAGTCGGACCTCTACCATCCTCTGTCTGTTCTGCCGCCACATATCTCTCCTCATTCCTCTCTCTCTCCCGTTCCCTTCACCGAGTTCACGCTTTGCGGTTCCTGCCTTTCAGCCCGTAGTGCCGTGTGCCGTTCCCCGGACCCTCTCCGCGACTCAACGTTCCTGGAACTCTCTCCGACTTCCCCGACTTCCAACACCAACACCACACCCATCCTCTCACATCCCTCTCATGTCCACCCGTGCCCGCGATCGATAATTTCCCTTCTCGAGCCATTCTCTCCATGCAGCGTGCGATCGTCAAGGACTCTCTCCCACAATGAAGGGGCTCTTCGGCATCGGCTCGCGAGGCAATGGGGTAAGTAGCTTCCCATCCCTACGGGCATAATCCCTCCTCGTGGTGGCACAACGCTCGTGCACCCTTCCGTGGGACCATTCTGATTGCGATGGAAACTGACGATCTAACCTTGCACAGGCTTCGAGCGCCCCTTCGCCCGCCGCGCTGCCCGTCAAGAAAGACCCCCAGTTGCCTCAGATAACCCCGCTGGAGAAGAGGTTACAAGATATGGGTTCCATACGTGGCGATGGTAGCGACAAATTCTTTGGCATGGAAAACGTACGTGTTCCCGCTATCTCGGTGATTTACCCACGCTGATCACGACCTGCGCACCAGTATGGCAATACTTGCTACTGCAATTCGATTCTCCAATGTCTTTACTACTCCGTCCCCTTCCGCGAGGCCGTAATCAACTACCCGCAGCGCACTCCGCTGGAGAGTCTCGAGGCGACCCTCGCCCAGAACCTGCGATTCCCGAACCCCAACGCACACCTCGAAGTCGAGGCGCAGGCCGCCAAGCAGAAGGCACAGGCCGCTACATCACCCTCCGCACGCCAGGCCGGTGTCCCTACCAACCAACCACAGAAGCCGGAGGATAAAGACTCGCCGGAATACAAGAAGAAAGTGGCTCTCCAGACTCTTCCGATCCTGGAAACCAAGAACAATGCCAATAGTTACGGCATGTCCGAGTCTCTCTTTACTTCATTGAAGGATATCTTTGAATCTTTGGTCGGCAGTCAGTCTCGTATTGGTGTGATCCGACCACAGCAGTTCTTGGATGTACTGCGACGCGAGCATGAAATGTTCCGGACGGCCATGCACCAGGATGCGCACGAGTTTTTGAATTTACTACTGAACGAGGTAGTCTCGAATGTGGAGGCTGAGGCGACGAAGCAGAGCTTCACGGAGAAGTCACTCCCACCGACAGAAAGTGTCGATTCTTTAAGCGGCACGGTGACGCCCAGCTCGGGCTCCAAATCGCCCAACACCACGCGATGGGTGCACGAATTGTTTGAAGGGACGTTGACTTCCGAAACTAAATGCCTGACCTGTGAGAAGGTTTCCCAACGTGACGAGGTCTTTTTGGATCTGTCGGTGGATCTTGAGCAGCATTCATCGGTGACATCATGTCTCCGAAAGTTCTCAGCCGAAGAAATGCTTTGCGAGCGAAACAAGTTCCACTGCGACAACTGTGGAGGTCTTCAGGAAGCCGAGAAGCGAATGAAGATCAAACGTTTGCCGCGTGTACTGGCTTTGCATTTGAAGCGCTTCAAGTACACAGAGGACTTGCAGCGATTGCAGAAGCTGTTCCACCGCGTTGTCTACCCATATCATCTCCGCCTGTTCAATACCACAGATGACGCCGAGGACCCGGATCGACTTTACGAATTGTATGCCGTGGTTGTTCATATTGGCGGAGGACCTTATCACGGTCATTACGTTGCTATAATCAAGACTGAGGACCGCGGCTGGTTGCTTTTTGATGACGAGCTGGTGGAACCGGTGGATAAGAATTACGTGCGCAACTTCTTTGGAGATCGACCTGGCCTGGCCTGTGCATACGTCCTGTTCTATCAGGAGACTACTCTCGAAGCTGTGCTCCGGGAGCAAGCTCAGGAGGACCAGGCCTCCTCTACCGCTCCAGCCGAGAACGGAGAGGCAGGAAAGATTAACGGATATCCCTTGTCACCCGGACTGTCCCATATTCACAGTGCGTCTCAGGTGCCTTCAGATGATACGAATCATATGAACGGCATCCAACGAGTACCCACGGCGCCTCAAATGTCCACGCACCACGAAGCACCAGAGTTGTTTTCGTCTCCACAGCCCATTCAATCACCCCAGCCACCACTCCCTCCGATCCCCGATGAGCAGCCACCTTCTCTCAGTCCGAAGAAGAGCGACGTTCAGTCGCGAAAAGAAAGGGCAAAAGAGGAGAAGGAGCGCAAAGCGTTGGAGAAGGAAAGAGAAAAGGCAGAGAAAGAACGGGAACGGACAGAAAAACAACGTCGCAGAGAGGCCGACCTGCAACAGGCTAGACAACTGATGAACGAGCGACGTGAAGCAGAGGATATACGGAGGGCCATTGAAGCCAGCAAGGCAGACACAGCTAAGAACGATGGCTCTGAGCTTGGCCCCGAGAACGGGTCACCGAGGAAGCTCAGCTTCTTGAGACGAGGAAGCCGCAGTTTGAGTCAACGGCTGAGCAAGGACAAGGAGCCTCGTGTATCAACCTCGGATCTGCCACCGGTCCCGACCCCCGTGCCTGAAGCACCACACCAAGAAGGGCTCGAACCCCCTAAGCCCCCGGTTCCTCCGAAGGATAATCCCTCCCTGTCAAACCCCAAAATGGCCTCGCGGAACAGCCCACCTGCCGCCAAGGACAACAAGTCCGAGAAAGCCGGACGTTGGAGGTCACTGAGCCTCAAGAAGTCCTAGATGCCTCGCATGTATTCCAGGAAGAATTGCCTTTTCTTGCATTTGCCCAGCTCCCGCTGGGTTTCACGGAGATACCCCCACATTCATGCACATACAAGCGCCATTTGCTTCTGCACATAGCTTCCGTGGATGTATCATCATTTTTCATTTTTCTTATGGTATGCGCCATCGTTCTTCCATTCTCTCCTGTGGATGCCTCAACCCGAGGTATTTCCAGGTGTGTCTTCCTAGACTCTTGGATCTTTGGTCATGGCTATATCTTGCTTTCCATGCTTTACCATAGCTACCGGTTCCTACTTTTTGTAACATGTACGTCGGCATGATACCTACGATGGTGGGTGGCCGGTGCCAAAACGGTGTTTGGTCTTTGCAATTCTGGCGATGAATGGGATTTGGAAGATGGAGTTTTCACTGCTTTTGAGCGAATATGGATTGTTTCCTTGCCTGTTTCTATCTTAACATTCTCTATCTCAATATGGCTGAAGAGTAACTCACGGTGTTCAACCTTTGCTGTAATTCGCATTATCAGGACCAATGACCCTAATCCTATGAAGGGAAACAGGAACAGGGCTGGGATTCAAACGAGATGGAAGTGTATATGCCAATATGCACTTGAAGTCGCGGTTTCACGGACAGCACGTCGCCTTTTTGAAGGGAATGTGTTTTATATAGCTTAGAGACGAACATATTCCAAGGTTGGCTATATATTGAGCCCACGAGGTGGACATTAGACTGGAACCTATCTAATTTTGTTCAGTATCCTTGAGCTTTTGCCCGGAGAGATCTAGATTCTACTAGTTTTCTGTTTCTCTGCTGTACCTTTCTGATCGAGGTGACTTTATGTATATATATAGAGGCTGAGAGACCTCGAAAATTCACACCTGAGGAATACTTTTCTGCTTGATGTTAATAAGTTCTAGCTAAAGAGCTATTCTCTGCTATCGCGTTCGTTAGCATCAAAGCTAGCTCGGATGAATAACGTTGCTCCCCACTCGAAGGACGAGCTTGAGTTTCCTCTGATGTGAGATATATGATTGCATCTGTGTCTAGTCCTTTTCTCTATCACACTACACTTGAAGGCCGATGTACATTGAGCATCCCAATATTTTGTCCGAGTACATTACCGTGAGTTTTGCTTCCATCCATATATTCTTTTCCATGATCATACCTTACTAGAAACAACCGAACAATGGAATTTGAGGTGCTTAGGTTCTGACTCCAGGTTCTAGACCTTGGAACTGGAACCGGACCATTTCAAGGTCTAGTTTCAGCTTCTACGTATTCAACTACTCGATCGATTGAGCCAACATCATCCCGAACCAAATTCAGTGCATTTTTCATTACATAAAGGGTCACATTCTCGTATTAACCTTGGGGCATGGGAAACCTAGTAGTAAAAAGCCACACTCAAAGAAACTAGAAGTGGCATCGAAGAAAGGTTCTTCAATAGATCTGGCTCTCACCAGCGAGTCCTTGCGCCATCTACCAGATCTCAATGCCATCCAGGAGAAGCGATGGAGCTAGGTCCCTGTGGCTTCGGTGTGGTACTAGTTTCCCACCGTTTTGGACTAGGTTCCTGTGGGTGTGCACTGGGGTTTGCTGGCTGTGCACTAGGGTTTGCTGGCTGTGCACTGGGGTTTGCTGGCTGTGCACAATCATTCTGCTGAATAGCTCGAATGCAGACCTTCTGGCCAAGCTGCATGTTGTCGCAGTAAGGGTGGATCATAGGGTTCATTTTGAGAAAGGTGGCCAAATCAAGCCCTGGGTGCATATTGACAACGTCGTTGCAGGTCTCTGGAGGAGTTTGGAGTTGAGGTGTATACCAAGCAACACCTATGCATGGTTAGAAAATCCTTTTCAGGGATGATAGACTCGCAGTCCAAAGGTCACTTACAGTCGTCCGCATGTTGAGCTTCGGGCTCACCCGTCGGCATTGAGGGGCTCGCGTTCACGGTGGCCGAGACGACGAAGCCCAACGCCACAAGAAAAATTCGAGGAATTGTGACCATCATGTTCAGTGGAAATTAAATGGTTTGAAGTGTGAACAGCAAAAGGCAATAGAGTCTCAGTAGTGGGTTACTTGTGCTGTAATGTATCTACTTTCTTGGGTCAGAACGTATAATTTATAAGCGGGCCAGAGCATACCGTGCCATTGTGGCATTCCATTGCATTGTCGATAGCACCAGGCGAGAGCACATGCTATGATAAATGACTTTATAAATCATGTCTCGAGGTCGGCTAGTGGGACAAATTATTCCGGGGCCATTGCTCAAAGCCACCTATATAGTTCCGAAGCATACAAATCCAAGTTCGATATCCAAGAGCCCACATTGAGGATGCCCTTTATGTTGTTTAAAAAGATAAGAGGGATTTCCGGTGGGGGTAAAAATGTGACTAGCTATATTAGGTTCAAGGAATGATGTGCGGAAAATATAGGCTTTTCACTCAAAGGACAGGCTCGATGGACGCTTGCGATGGCTGGGTATGGTACGATGGAAGAATGTGAGCTCGTAATTTAAAGTTATGGCTGAGAAGTTGCCATGGAAAAGTTAGGCGAAGAATGATCGAAGTAACTATATGCTTCTTTCTAATCAGACCTATTCGCATACTTACATAGGTGCTTGGGAAACTGAATATTTGTGCCTCCGCCCACCCACATAGCTTCTGCTAGTGGGTGCGCTTCACCTCAACATTAAATTTCTAGCCCAACGTAACTTTTGCAACTATTTCCTTCTATATTGACCATTTAACTAAAGAAAATTCATATACTGCTATTGAAAAGTACCAAGCAACGAAAAAATACTAAAATAGCAGCGCTAGCGCGTGAGTTCGATGTTCCACCATCGCGCCTACAGGCGCGCTTATAGGGTCGACCAGCTCGATCCGGTCACACTATTACCATTAAGCAACTTTAAGGCGCTAATATAGGTGATTGGATACTATTCAGTTCCGAAATACGTGATTCAAACAGGAATAGTACTAGGATTCAAACAAGTTAGAAGTGTATTTACCAATATACACTTAAAGTCGCGGTTTCACGGAAACCACGTCGCCTTTTTCAAGGGAATCCATATGTTATAGAACCTAGAGAGGAACATTTATTCCAAGGTTGAGTCCTTGAGATGGACATAAGACCGGAATCCATCTAATGAAGCAACTCCGAGGTCTTTTGTTCAGCATACTTGAGCTTTTGCCTGGAGAGATCTAGATTCAACTAGCTGTCGTTTCTCTGCTGTACCTTTCTGATTGAAGTGAATTTGGGTATATACATGGGGGCCGAGAGACCTCTAAAATTCAAAACGTAAAAGCATAGGCCGAGCCTCAGCACGCCCAGCTTATACACATACAACTAGCAAGTAATGCTGCATCTGTCCACCAGACCCGCCATTTAAATTATCTCGGATTAATAGTCTGTCCTATCAATCCCACGCTTCCCCTTATTCTGGTAGGTTTTTGCTCATGTACTTCGTACCACATGTCTTGTGGTGGGAAATAGACAGGCTATGCGTAGCTTGTCTTCGCTCAAATGCTGAAAAAAACTGCTTTGCGCGAGTGACGGTGTCCAGGGGCGGAGAGCAGAACCGTTTCCTTAGGCGTATGTGTCGACTCGGCAGGAACTGAGGGGTTTCGAGAAATCAACCGAGGACAAGCTCGTAGACGATTACGATTGTGTTGATGATGATCAGGGGTACTGTGGTAGATTGCGCATTAGCTGGAGTGCTTGAGGCTGAAGCACATTCATCTCTCCTTCGACTTCCAAAGCACATCAAGCTTTCCCTGGGTATTGTGTACACCGAAAAAACAGATAGTGCGGCGATGAATAAACGGGGAAGATAGAACTTACTCCGCATGACTGTCCGCACACTCGCAATCAAGTTGATGGTCTTCGCTTTCACGCTGGTGCTATCGTACGTCGCGCCGAAGCCCGGCTCAGCTTGCGTGCGACCCCATCCGACTAGAGAATTTGAACCACATTAGATTTTATCGGAGAAAGCCCGCGCGGTAGGGGAACATGCGATTGGAGGTAGGAGCGGAGGGACGTACTGCGAGCGAGGAAGCGGTCCTCGGACAGGACAGCGATGGCGTTGATGATGAGGATGATGACTGGAGCAGATGTTAGCTTCAATCAAGAAGAGCAATCACGAGGAACAAACCCAAGAAAAGGTTTCCAAGGCCGAAGAACAACATCGTTGTGCGTCGAGGGGGTGGTTGGAGGGAGGAGCGTTGATAAGGTGAGGTTCGGAAGCGCCAGATCTCCGGATCAACAATAACTTCCTCCACCATGAGACATGGTCAGTCCACACCACGCAAACTCCATGCGCATCGCTAATTTCTACAGTATTCACCTTTCTTGCCATTCTCCTTCCGACCTTGATCTTCCTCCATCTTCTCGTCGCGCCATACACCAAAGTCGAGGAGTCCTTCCACGTCCAGGCCACCCACGACATACTCGTCCACGGATTCCCCGCCGACACCCCGGATCTCGACCACTCCAATTATGACCACTTCGCTTTTCCCGGAGCTGTGCCTCGGACCGCTATTGGAGCTGTCATCCTTGCTAAGCTGTCGCGACCCGTCATTGCGTTGAGCAACGCGATCAATCCGCCGGGCATAGCTGGCGGTAGCCTCTACTCTAATGGCACCGATCATTTGAACTTGTCTGAAGCTGAAGCACCCTCTGGTATTGCAGTGGCACTGGCAAAGTTCTCAAATTATCTTCCAACGTTGAGCAACGGAGCTGATCGGCAGATCCTCGGTAGGGACGGACATAGTCTTCTCTGACGAACGAAGCTAACATCTCTAGCTCGAGCTATTTTGGGCCTATACAATGCATTCGCACTGCTTGTATACGCGCGCGGGGTGCGGCGCAGCTTTGGCGTGGTTGTAGCAACATGGTACTTGGCCTTTCAAGGCAGCCAATTCCACCTCATCTACTATGCATCGCGGCCACTATCCAATATGTTTGCCTTTGGGCTGACAACACTAGCGATGCGCTACCTTCTTCCAGATTCTATGATCCGCATAGGTCGGTCCGGTGACTGCCGTCTGTCACTGCTGCTGCTCACCATGGCAGGCGTGATATTCCGCTCGGAGCTAGCTGTGCTAGTCGCTACACAGACGCTATTCTTGCTTATCACTCGCCAGGCCAGATTCTTCCAAGATGCTGTCTATGCTGGTCTTCTTGGTCTTGTTGTGGGTCTCTTCGCTACCGTCTTTACCGATTCATTGTTCTGGGACCGTCTACTCTGGCCAGAGCTGGATGCGTTCTTGTTCAATGTCGTCTCGGGTCAGTCATCTGAATGGGGAATCGATCCCTGGTATTTCTACTTCTTGAATGCCCTTCCTCGCCTTCTCCTCAACCCTCTGACTTATCTCATTGCCCTTCCTGTTGCGCTGCGCCAACCCGCAACTCGACAGCCGGCGATCCCACTGCTTGTGCCATCTCTAGCTTTTGTCGCCTTGTACAGCGTCATACCACACAAAGAATGGCGCTTCATTATCTATGTCATTCCCTCTCTCACCACTGCAGCTTCGCTAGGTGCTGGATACCTCTGGACCCATCGTTCGCGCTCTCTCTTTGCGCGAATTGCCTCTCATTTCTTGGTCCTTTCCACGCTTGCATCCTTCCTCCTATCGAATCTCGTGCTTCTCCCTGCCTCAGCCGCCAACTACCCAGGCGCGCATGCTCTAAACTTGTTGCATCGCCATCACAATCAGGCGGCAGCTGGGGCTGATTCGCAGCCGAATGGCGCCTCCGTCTATCTGGGCAACCTAGCGTGCCAAACAGGCGTCACACGGTTCTTGCAACAGCCTGCGACATTGGGCTGGCACTATGATAAGACCGAAGATGAAGCTACCAAGTCCCTGGGCACCTTCTGGGACAAGTTCGACTATATTCTTGTTGAAGCGTCTGCGGACCCTGAGTATAAGGATAGCGATGAGACTCAATTGCGAGATGCTCTCCCCGATTCTATATGGGAAACGGCGGAGACCGTCAATGGCTTCGCTGGCATTTCTATCCTGAGACCTGGATCCCCAGCAGACGGAGCTGCTGAGCGCAAGCTCCTGTCTATGGTCGGGGGTCATCGTGCAGTGAACTTGTACGAGCAACTTCGCGACTCGGTTCGCAAAGTCGTTTTGCGAGGCTGGTGGGTTGAGCTGAAGATGCGGCCGAAGCTAAAGGTACTGAAGAGGGTTCGAGGGAATTAAAGCGGTTCCAAGGTCGTAGATAGACTACACCGTGCAGACAGTAAATTGGAGTTCATTTCATATTCATTGATTCTGTAATATAAGGACCTGTGATTTACTACATCCAGTTAGTTTTGCCGTTTCCGGCCTAGCGCCCCAATACACCGTCTTGTCACTTCTCCCTTGCCTCGACATGAAAGACCCTAGGCCCCCTTGGCCCCCGACAAGCTCCTGCCAAGAAATCACTGGGCATCTGATCTTAAGTACCGAGATTTTTTCATATCGCAGCCAGATTTGTTTCTCTTGGTAAGCCCCCTCAACCAGTTTGTATGTGCATTTTTTAACAAGATCCCAAGGAACACTGGCAAGAAGACTCGCCGCTATCCATTGATGCCCAACGAGAACAAATATTCGCTAAATGGGTGGCACTCGGAGTCCGTGATCGCGAGGTTCTTGGAAATACGCCCCCGGGCCCCGGTTACTCCGTCAGGAAAACTGACCTATCCGAATAGCCATATGAGCAACAGCAGGCCAGACTCAGGGATCTTCCGACACGTAGTAAAGAGCTATTGAACCGTATTCGCCTACCGGCTGGGCGCAGACCGACCACTGATCTTGAACCTTATTGGCTTCGCACCTGCTATGAGCCTGAATCTGAGGAAGCTTGGACTAAGATTCAAAGTGAAGTTGAATTGCACTTCGGTACCCCACCCCCAATTTACAATGACCCGACCTTGTATAACTTCGGCGACAACTGGGAGAAGATTTTTCTTCGTACCCCACAATTACTCCGTAATACTTGCTTGGCCGAAGAACACGAAGAGTATGTTGCTGAGGCCTTGCAAGAAGGAATTGAGGCAGAGAACTTCGATGAAGAGCAAGGCTATGATTCGGAGGACGCAATGCCGTGAATGACCTTCTACTCAGAATACCTTTGGCGGTTATCTGCCGGGCGTATCTACATCGCCGACGCAAAGACTCTGGCCTCCAAAGGCCGCAACGCTGGGAAGATCCTCGTGGTATGGTACGACGAATGTGGTCGAGGAATCCGTTGCTATCGCCAGAAACTCGACGAGGCAGTTGAAGAGACTGGCTGTTTCAGTTATCTCCTCAAAGACCATGCATGCTGGGAGAATGCGGAGATCTGTGAATCCTACGAAGAGGGTGCACCCTTGGGACCCCCATACGGCGAAAAGAAGGACGAAACCTCCGAGTAGCCAATTTCCTATTGATAGACCCGCCCCAATAAAATTTTGGAACTATTTTAGCTTCAAATATGCGATTCAATTAATCCAGTATCTGGCCGAACATTTCTGTGGCACTGGATGCCAGAGCGGCTGTGATCCTGTCGAGTAAGTGATCAATCTGAATAAGTAACTGCCAGATCAGCAACTGATGCAATTCCCTCTCCCAACTATAGTGAACCATCGTGTACGAGCTCTAGCAATAGCAGCTCGCTTGAAAGGGTGGTTGCCTACTACGAACTTCTTCAATTTAGTCGGCCATGCGACACATTGGAGCCGGAGAGTATCCCTGCTAGGGCTCTTACTCACATTAACCTAGCATTTGTCCAATTTGGAGACGATTGGCAAATGGTTGATGAATACGGCGATATTGTAGCCCGAGTCACCCGTCTCAAAACCACCTATGCTGGCTTGCTAGTAAACGTTGCCATCGGTGGCTGGAACTTCAATGATCCACCGTCAGCAACATATTTCTCGACAATGGCAGGTTCATATGAGAATCGGCAAACATTCATTGACTCTCTCATCCTGTACTTGCAAAAGTATGGATTAGACGGTGTTGAAATAGGTGAGCTTCCCATATTAATTCCTTCTCCCTGGATATTGAGTGATTTTAACAAAGAATATCTTCTTCAGATTGGGAATATCCAGCAGCAACAGATCGTGGTGGTAATGCCGATGATATAGACAATTTTGTCGTATTGCTCGCTGAAATGAGAGAAGCCTTCGATGCTGTGAATCCCGGCTGGGAAACCACCTGCACTCTCCCATGAAGCTACTGGTATATACAAAACTTCGATCTTGAGTCTATGCAAAAGTATGTCTCGTTCTTCAACATGATGAGCTACGATCTACACGGCATGTGGGACCAAGGAAATAAGTATACCGGCTCTTACCTGCGCGGCCATACCAACCTTACGGAGATCGATATAGGAATGGATTTGCTGTGGCGTAATAACATCGACCCCCAAGAAAGTGGTTATAGGTATGGGTGTCTATGGTCGAAGCTTCACGATAAGTGATAGCGAGTGCCACATAGCAGACTGCGAGTTCTCTGCGGTGGGAGGTGCTGGTCCCTGCTCACAGGCTGCGAGCATCCTTTATTATTCAGGTGAGTTCGAGTTTCCTCGCTCCTTTGATCTCAACATAGATTTGAAGTGTTCAACTGCTAATTCTCATAACACGATTCAGAGATTGAATCGAGTAATAGTTCCAGTGACGTTCAAACATACTATGACCCTGTTTCGACAGTCAAATATAATGTTTACAACGGGAATCAGTGGATCTCCTACGACGATGCGCAGTCGTGGCAGGATAAGATGCGATACCTGACAGGGAAGTGCATCTCTGGAGTAATGATCTGGGCACTTGACCAGGATGATGGAATGCACAGAGTTCTTGCTGCACTCCTCGGTGAGGATGCGCTAGCTGGCTCGCTTATGGAAGGAGGTGACCTGTCGACCAAACAGAAGGGAGAATTGACGGATCAACTAGCCGCATATACTGGTCAAACCCGTTATGTCTCTGAATTCTGCACAGATGGCACCTCTCATCAAAATGACGCAGATTATGTGTGCGCCACTGGTTTCTCTTCGGTCGCGACTGCACATGCACCCCAGCAGAAACTCGGATATTGGATTGGTGACGTCTGTGACACTGGCAAGTATCGTCATATCTGTTGTCCGACAGACGCTATGCCAAAGAACTGTGAATGGACCGGCGCCCCAGTTCGCAGTGAAGTTGGATGCAGCAGCAAGTGTGGAAGCGACCAGTTTCAGCTCAATGTTGATTTATATGTTGACGCTTCCCGTGAGGAGCCATGTTATCAAGGAGACCGCGCGTTGTGTTGCGATGGTGCCCAGGCTATCAATCAATGCACGTGGACTTCATGTCAAAAGCTTGCCTCTACCCAGGACAAACCGAGCTGCCCGGGTGGGAGCACTTATATGACCACCCGGTCACGCCGAAGACGATGGTGAGATTATTGGCCAATTTGAAGGATGGGATATCAAAAGTATGTTTATCTACGTCGATCCATTTCTTCATCGACGAGTAATCCCAGTGTGTCTATATAGGTTTCATAAGATATAAAGGAATAACTTTTAGGGATCAAGGACATCTTACAATGAAGTGTTGCTCAATAGCCAGCGTGCCCCACGGAGGTCCAGTCATATCATCCTCCATAGTGAAGAGAAGCGGGCGGAACGCGTGCAAAGAGGAGATGTAGGAGATGCGAGTGCGAGGCTGGACTCAATTAGGACGAGGCTTTCCCACTCGGGTTGCCGCTGGGTTGGTGTTGGCGCTAGCGTCTTTGCCTCTGAGACGGTGACTCACAGTTCAATGCTTCGATGGAAACGTAAAAGAATACAATCAAACCATAATTTCTTTGCAAGTCAAGCTGCGTCTCAATGAAAATTGACACGCAGAAGATGCAGATCCCCGAGGATCTACAGCCCCGAGCGTTGCTGGTCCACCCGGCTGCGCTCGCCAAGCATCTGCAAACCATCTTGCTGAGCGACCCTTCGCAGGAAAATCTCAGCTCTATCAATTCACATATTCTTCATCAGGTCCACACGGAAGCGGTCTCTTCTTTCGTCTACCAAGTTTGGCTATTCATCGCCTGTCAACATTCGCCCCATATTCTCTTCGGCGCACTCCGCGACCAGAAATCGGCTGGAGTCCGCCTAGCAGGTACCAAGGTTCTACGACACATCTTCTATAAACCATCATGGAAAACGTGCGGATGGGACCCCCTTGGTGGTGCGCAGGGAATCAAGGCTCTTCTTGAGGGACTTCCACTGGCTGAAGTGCGGTGGTTCGTCAAGGTTATGTCCCCAGGCTCAGACAAGGAATTGTTTGCGACATGTATCGATGACCTCGTGGCCCTTATCGACTCATCTGACACTTGGAACACAAGATCCTTGTCAACATATGTGGCTCCTTTGTATGCACGCTGTACTTCAAAGAGAGTGACCGAGGTTTTGAGATCAGGGATTCTAAGTTCCCGGTCCTTCTATCGTGATCTCGGTCGATGCCATCCGCATCTCTTACGACAGATCGCGATAGGCACGGTGGAGGTACCACCGAAGGTGCGGCACCATATCCTGGACACTTATGCAAACGTGTTACTGCAATCGAATGAAACGTATGTTCCAATCCATGCCACAGATATTCAGCTAGATATCTCTCCAGGCCTAAAATTTGGCCTGGACCTGTTATCGCACATCAGAGCCAACGAGCCTGACCGAAGGACAAAGACGACCCTAATCCGACGATGGACCGAGCTGATTGTGAGCCTGGCGATTCGCCGCAACCTGCCATTTGATTCCATCCTACGCATCATTAGCTCCAGCTTGGAAATGTGTCGAGTTGCAGATTCTTCGAAGTGGTTGTTCCAGTACCTCCCAGTAGAGGTCATTCGATGCTGGTCGCTGGCACGGTTTGGCCCCTCTGGAGATCAAGGGCCATTCCATCCAACTATGAAGAAGGCCCGAGCATCATCTCCTTCCCGACCCAGGGCTGTGAATCAAGCTGCATTAGAACGTTGTCTAATAGATCAGGTGGTACAAACCAGAGACAAGCGGTTCTCGGTGCAGCCGAAGCATCCAGAATTTACCCGTCAGTTATGCCAACTGCTCTCATATGTGCACATTGACGGAAAGCTCGAGTTTCTCCAACTTCTTTGCAGGCATGCACCCACTCTGAACTTTGATCTCACTGTGTGGCCTCCGTCGGAAGAAGAAAGAACGCTCACCCCGATTTTGGAGTATGATCTTTTGCGCGTGTTGCCCGTGTCTAGCTCTAAGGCCCTCTTCCAACGATTACTCCAGATGCATCAATGCGACACATATTTACCCAGTGATTTAGTGGAGCGAAACTCGTCGAAACTGTTTTGGGAGAATCAATGCTCCCTTTGGGCAAATTGGGAGCGTTCGACTGCCAAAACAAGTGATGACTTTCCTATCACTCTCAAAGGTACATCAATAAATCATTCGTACGTCCGCTGCAGCATTGAGCAACCTAGCTAACGGCACATAGCCCTCGCCAAGATGAAACAACAAGCAACGCGTGACCGAGAGAGTAGTGAGCGGTTAAAATGGGCAAAATCGGCCATAAAGCTTGCCTCTAAAACAAAGTCTGTGGGTATCTTTTGCGACTTGGTGAAATGGAGTCAACGATTCCTACGAGATCAGGTAATTACCCTTTTTCCCTCAACATTTTGTACTATTTCTAACTTATCATCATAATAAAAGCAAATGTTTCCCAGTATCTTGACTCTTATTTACTATGAGGCCAAGAATGTCCTCCCATGTGGAGCTAACACACGAGTGGTGAAGCCGACATCCAAACTGGATCTTCGAGCCGATGTGCAGAAGGCACATCTGATTTTGGAAGACCTGCTTGAAAGTTTACTACTTTTACTTCGCGAACCATGGGCTCGTAACATGAGAAGCATGACATTCATGGTGTCTGACCTGTTCTCCACTATCGTTCGTAAGAGGATGGATGCGGTAAGGTACTATCTATCCAAGGGATTAGCCCCAGAGTCTGAGCTAGTTGAGACATTACTTGACTCCTTGTTACCCATCATCATCGACTTTGAGCGTGAAGGAAACACGGAAGGCCAAGCAGCCTTTCCTTGGAGCGGTCCAGCGGGAGCAATGGGGAATGTCGAATGCCCTAGTAGCCCTAGCCGAGTCGACCTTTCATTCATGGACCGACTGGGAAAGGCACGGGATGAACTTTGGAAAGACCTGCGTGCTCGCGATACCCCAGATATCTCCGCATTAGAGTCTTGTTGGCCTCGCGGTCTTCCAATCCAACGTTTGGTTATGGACGAAATGTGGCTGTACCATTCCTTGGAGCGTCCCGAAGAAGCACCGTTTCTGTCGTCTAGGACCCAAGAAATCTTATTCAGCCCACGAGATATCGCCATCGCCGCGAAACCACATCCCCACGGTCCCATCCCCAGGTTTGTGGATGACTTGGGGTTTGCAATTCGTGCTACAATTTCGCGCGAAGCAGAGCAGACAAAGTGGGTCACACTTATTTGGAAGCATTATTCCTCGGTTCTTCAGACACATCCATTGCACCTCGAGATATTCGAGGATTGGCTGGTTGGTCTTCTTCGAGATGGTTTCGCGGTCGAAGCAATCAATATCGTGCGGCCTCCTTCACCTCCACCACGCATCCCGTTGATATCAAAAGTTCCAATGGAATCAGAGGTAACAAATTGGAATCCACATCAAGATGCCGAGGATAGGGAAGTTGATGTGCCTTTGGTGGATGAAAAAAGACCAAGAGAAGTACCTCGAATCCTTCTCAATTACCGCATGCACCTCCCAATTCAGATCGGCGATGGATCATTTGTTCGCACCCGAGAAATAAAGCCGCAACCAAAGCTCGGTCCCATTGGATTCTGGCTCGATGGCTCTTCATCCGTTGCTGGAAGCAAGGACATTTGCGTCAACCGCCGGGAAGCAGTGATCTTGTCAGCTCTGCTGATTTTGGACCATTTCACCTCACAGCCACGACTCCTAGGGACAAGTTTCCCTGAGACCGAAGGCCCCCGCTACGGACCAACACGTTTATCTGACGAGTTTGTAACGCGAGTGATCGAGTCGGAGGTGAATGAGCCCATGACAAAGGCGCTCGTCGCTTTGGAGGGAGCTGTTCAGCATGTCCCAGCTCAGATATTGCGAGATCTCATCTACTCTTTCTTAGACACGCTGAAAGCATCACCGAATGCTTCCAATTATCCGAAGCTCTTGCATTGTACGTTTGAGTTGATCAAACTACTATTGCACAGCAGTCAGCCACAGCTGGTGACAGGAGTGGCACTCAGAGTATGGAAGGAATTTCCTCATGATTCTTCAAGCCATCGCAAAGTGAGCCTTGTGAAGATCGGAAGAATCCTTACGCCAAGCCAAGCCGGCGATCTAATGCAGACTTTCGTTGCGGATGTGTGTGATACACTCCAAAAGCAGCGAGCACCGGGTGACACTGACAGCCCAGAAATGCCGTTTATCAAGATCACCACAGTAAAGATGCTCGTACAGGCTCTTGCTGAGGCGGATTTCCTTGCACCGTCTACTCAACTACACTTCCTCGAAAGCATGTGTGGCGCCAGTAGCCATATTGACGTCCGTGTGGAGATAGTCAAATCTGTTTTCCAACTGATTCGCCCGAATCAGCATGCTGATGTATTCAGGGCCTTGTCCACTATTGCCTTGTCGTCGGCTGCGGGGCCTAGTGAGAGGGACATAGTCACTGAGGATGGCTGGCGCGCAGCGGAGGCTGGAGGTTCTCTGCCTCTAGTCCTGAACGCCCGTCCGATCCTAGATTTGATTGTCTCAGATGCAGCCATGAAAATCCCGGACGAGTTACATTCGGATTATGTTCAAAAAGTCGTGTTGCCTTTGGTGACAGAGTCTATCCGCCAACACACCCGATGGATGACTGTCCTGCTCGCAAGGCTTGGCCTTTCACTCTCAAATCTTGGTCTAACCGCCGCGGACATCGGTCCTTTCCCTTCCGATCTAGTCAACAAGGTCCTCCGCAAATGGGCACGCTACCTTCCGGCGACTTATCTGCAGTATCATCGCAGTTGGGGTCTTGTGTACCTGCACCGTGACTCTTTTAACCGAATCTCCGAAGCGCTCGCGTCGTCCACGGACCCAATAAAAGAAGATTCCAATGTGCGAGATCACTTGCAAGCCCTTCTCAAGTCCCAGCGCGATCGATGTCCTCTCAGTTATACCTATCGCTTCTGTTCCCTTATAGACAGCAAAGTTCCAAACGGCATCAACGATGAGCTTTTACTTGATGACTTCAGATCTCGTGTCGAAGTGTTCTCAAAGTCTCCAGTCGCATACAACCATTCATTGAGAAGATACAGCGTTCATCCGAGTTATACGTTATGTGTTCTGCAGGGATTGAGGAAGGCAAGAGAAGATCTCGGCCGTCCTTTTCCCTCGCGTTATATTCATGCCACCAAGCTCATGATGATTATCGTGGATGCAGCGGAACTGGTCCGGAAAGAAGGATGGTCACCCGAATTGAGCACTCATCCAGTGACTGTCCCAGCCACATTTGAATATGAGGTTGAGATGCTTCCCTCGCCGTCATGGAGCCCACTACCATCAAATTCGGCGTTGGATAATTTTGTTTCGGGAATAACTGGATTGATATCAAAATACGCCGCAGACCCCGTGTTACTGATCAAGGTTGGTTCCTTTGCGCCGATTTTGAGAGAGGTCCGCCAGGATCAACGCGAAGCCTGTGCTCTGCTACTTGGAGAAGACTCTGATGATGGAAATGATCGAGATAGGCTCGTCAAGGCCTGTGTCCGAGTGAAATTGGCAGTGTTGCTGTTGGAGGATGCACATAAAGCGGAGGTGCCGCTGAATGAACGTACACTCAGTATGATCGAGAAGTGGAAGGGAAGCGACATTGATATGGTCCGGCAGGCTGCATGGGCGTGGAATTGGAAGACTAGTAACCCGAGTCCGTACACTTCGGTGTATATTGAGGGGTGAGAATGAATTTGTTTATGCCTCCTCGTTGTATTTGGTCCTCTTCTCAAGTTTCTACTTGTCTTTGTTAGCCTAGCTATCCAGCCAAGAAAATGTTCCAAAGGATATTCCAAAGGATGTTCCAAAGGATGTTCCAAAAGAGGATGTGGTCGTAAGAATCCAAAAATCTTACGCAACACGACGAGCGTGGCTCTTTGTAGGATTCCTATCATGCCAGGTAAGGTAGGCAGTATATTAGATCGGAAAGGGCGGTTTGTAGAGGGTTTGGAGACTTTAGTAGTGCCACTGTACTTCAAGTACGGTCAGAAACTGGGTGCACCGCTATGACCGAGTAAGCCTCTAGATCATCAGTTAGATGTAGGAGTTTCGGCGAAAATGACCACCTTGCCAGATCGTTTAGAGCCAGATCGTTAAGAGCCAGCTCTTTGTTTGACTTCTGCAACTCAGGGAATATTCTAGCTTCCATATATTACCCATACGGTCAAGCGACGGCCTGCCGCTGGAGTTACGGGTGGAAAAGCGGCCGTTTCTGGCGCCACAAGCTATCATTTTCGGCGTCAATTTCATAGGTCCTTATATTCTAGGTGTAAATCTCAGTAGCAGAGGGATATGTAACTTGGATTGGATGTATGAACACGTCACGGACATCTCGACCCCAGTAACCAACTACCAGTCAGATCAAAGGAAGTACATGCAACAGGGTATTATGTATCATGATAGATGCTGCCATCGTGAAGCAGACTCAAATAGACAGGATTGAAACATCTCACAGGGATCCCGGCGGGCCGTCAAGGCGTGCCATGCGAGATTCCAGGTCGCGTACCCAGGGCTCGACAGTTTCGACATTAGACTTGAGAGCAGCCTCACCCTGGCGCATTTTCTCCTCGACGGCCGTGAGGCCTTCGCGCCATTGCTCGATCTCCGAGTTCATTTCAGCCTGGCGTTTCTCAAGCGCGTCAAGCGAGTCGGCGGCGTGGGCGGCACCCGCGTGGCACGCACGGAGAGAACGAAGACGCTCAAGAACACTGGGTAGCAATGGGTGCAGGGACTGGATGGTGGGGAGTGTTGCGTAGAGAGCCTGGATCTTGGCAGCATTGTCGTCATCGGGTGGGTTGGAGCCGTCCGCTGTAGGGACAGCATCGGCATCAGAGCCGGAAGAGGCAATTCGCGCAGTCTGAACAGCTTTCGCAGCATCGAGTGCGCGTCTGCGGGCTGATGCAAGAGCTTCGGCATCGGTAGTGAGTTTACGAACTCGTGTGGAGAGAGCTTCGAGATGAGGGGTGGTGAAACCGGGAACAGCACTTGGGCCGCCGGCCGAGGGGTTTGTTCCCACAAGAAGACCGGTGAGAGCTGAGAGTCGAGATGTAAGCTGATCTAGGGACGGCAGCACTGGTTGCAGCGCAGGCTCGCTGATGCCATCTCCGACAAAGGGGTTCGAGGAGCTTGAGATGCCCATCGAAGCTTCAATGAGCGCCAATCTACTCTCGAAAGCTGCTGCATGGGAAAGAATGCCTGCTGATGGCGCCTCAGCTGGTGGAGGAACTGTCGTGACTGTTGTTGAACCATCGGCCGGAGGTTGTAGCTTTTGCGATTGTGAAGCTAGGGCAGATTTGTTCTCAGACCCAAGTTTCTGAGACAGTATAGTAGCAGCAGAGTGCGAAGTAGTCTGCCCACCTCGCGAAGATGCATGCAGATTATCCAGGGCTCGGCTCAATTCCGCTACACCATCGCCCAACTTATCCTCCGTCGGTTTCTCAGCTCCAGACACACCCTTAACCGTCCCACTCTCGACAGTATCATCCTTGCCGGAAGTCGGCTCGTTCTCCATCTCCAACTTCAATTCCTCAACCTCTCTGCGCAGGCGTGCCAGCCGCCGCTCCAGCGACTCGTCCTCGCTATCACTAAAGTCGCCGACCTCCTCGGTGCCATCTTCGCGCATGCGGTGCCGGCGCCGACTCTTACTCTTACTGCGATAGGCTTGGCGTTTTGTGGAAATGCTGTCGGAGAAATTCACCTCGCGGGCGTCCACTGCGGCACCCATGAAGTGCATACGCGCCTGGTCCGCGTTGACTCCTTCGCGGTCAATGTCGGAGCTGGAGTCTGCATCGTCATGCTCGGATTCGGTGCGGACTGTAGTGGGCTGGATTGGGGTGGACCGTCAGTACGATCTATAGTGGCCGTTGCTGGCAATGGCGGACTCACGGGGATGGTGGATGCGTCGTCGGTCAGGTCAGGGGTTTCGTAGATATCTGGGGCGGGATCCTGGGAGTGCGGTTAGTAGGGATGAGGTAATTATTACCAAAGGCAACTCACCAGGTCTGGAAGACCAGCGTATTTCTTGTTGAAAGCCATTGCGATGGAGGTGGGAAGAGACCGTCAACAATGAGGCGCCCGCTATAGCTCTCACTCGGGAAAGATTGACACCCCAGGCACCAAGTATTTTCCAGGCATCACGTATTTTCAGGCATACAGGCACCGAATGACTTGGTATGCACGTGTCAGCCTCGGGATTAACACATGCTCGAGCAGGCGCAACCGTGGACCCAGTGAGGTATAATAAGGAGACGATCAACCACATGTTACGTAGTTCCTGCTGTTTTTCTCTTCTTAAGTCCATTCTACTCTCTTCAACCTCAATCCTTAGCTCAATTCGCACCTTGTTCGTTGCGATAAACATCTCAATTCCACAACTAAAACCCCACAACCCCGCATTCCAAGCTCTCCAAGCCACCATGGCCGCCCCCGCCGATGTCACAGTGAAGAACCTCAACGGACAGTGGGTGATGGTACGTGTCTATTGAAGAAGAATCAAGGCCACAAAACGGACACTCATGGCTCACGAACCCCTGTGTAACAGGACGCAACCCTGTCCAACCCCACCGACCCCATCCTAGCTCTGGTACGTACATCCCAAAACGCTCCGTCACGTACGGACAGCGTCGCACAAAACTTCAACATACCAATGACGATTTGGAAACAAGAGCCCCCACTAACACGGCGCAGCAAGGCATGAGCTGGTTCCTCCGCAAAGCCCTTCCCTACGCCACTGTCACTCTGCACGTGAACGAGTACCCCGACTCGACCAACCCGCAGGTGTACCACATCGACGTGGAACAAGTCATCAGTGGCGGCATTGCCGGCAGCAAGGAGACGCGCCAGCTTGACTGGCAGCAGCGTGACCACACCGACAACATCTTTGGCGCGCTCAAGGGCCGTTCGCGGTTCATTCGCGGTGCTAAAGGTGACGACGGCAAGGTTCGCCCGGCTGTCGAGGTCCAGACTAAGGTCGGCGAGCCGGAGGCCGATGCTAAAGTGCAGCGTTTCCTGCGCGGTGAGATCCTTGCCGATGGCTCGGCTGCGGATGGTTTCCTTGTTGACGAGGAGGGCGCTGAGTTCGGCGAGGGCGAGGGACTGTACATGCAGAGCTGGGTTGTGAATGAGGAGAGCGGCTGGACCGCTGAGCAGGTAGGTCACACTGTTTCTATGATTGAGACTAGATGCTAACATTTCCTCAGATCTGGGGCTTTGAGATTGTTGATGGCCAGCGCCGCCACACTCGTCGCGTTGCTGTTACCAAGGGTACCAAGGTCGAGATGGCACGACTTGTTTACACCTTTGAGGCGCGTCAAGCTGAGGAGTAAAGGAGTTGGGACTGAATGGGCTTGATAGGCCAACAACGCTGCTGCAACTCTGCACCTGGATAGAATATAGAATAGTTTTTATGTTCGATCCCGTTTCGCTAGCAATTCAATGGAAAAGAATAAAGATCCAGCGAAATACACAGTCATCCCGCAAATCAAAAAGGCTTAGAATATGCTATTGCCCAATTTGGCGATCCAAAATAAACGAAACCAAAGGGAAATGAGGCCAAAAAATGTTCTAAACTAAATTCATTGCAGATTGAGGGGCCCGTGGGCAGTATTTTTGGAGACAAAGATGGAAAAGGGGGCGTGAAAATGACATGAAGTGTAATATCGACAAGTCACCGATGAAACTAAGAGTGGGTAGGCATCACGACGTTGGCCTTGGTGCTGACCGCATCCTCGCTCTTCCAATGGCTGGTAACGGTCTTCTGCTGAGTGAAGAACTGCAAGCCAGGCTTGCCGTAGAAAGTGTTGGCACCGCCACCGGCGATACTCTTCTTGTTACCGGTGAAGGAGAACATGGGCAGCGGGACGGGGATGGGCACGTTGATACCCAGCTGGCCGGCTTCACATTCCTTCTGGAAGCGCGAGGCGGTCGAGCCGGAGCGAGTGAAGACGGCGGCACCGTTGCCGTATTCGTTGGCGTTGATGAGATCAATGGCGTCGTCCAGAGACTCGACATTAAGGCAAACGAGAACGGGACCGAAGATCTCCTCCTTGTAGCACCTCATGTCAGGGGTAACATTGGTGATGATGGTGGGACCAACCTAAATTGGAAGAATCATTAGTCTGCTGTCAAAAGGCAAGGCTGGTCAAAAAAAAAAAAAAAGGGAACGTACGAAGTTGCCGTTGGGATACTTCTCGGGCATCTGTCCACGGCCATCCAGGAGGATAGTAGCACCCTCCGCCTCAGCACTGGCAATGAGATCCTCAATGCGCTTCTTACTCTCGGGGCTAATGACAGGACCAAGGTCCGCACCTTCCTCGAAGCCACCGTTCATGTGGAGACCCTTGGCACGCTCAGCAATCTCGGGCAGCCACTCCTTGGTCTCCCCAACCATAACGACAGTGCTCAGAGCCATGCAGCGCTGACCAGCAGCACCAAAGGCAGCACCAGTAATGGCGTTGAGAGCATGGTTCTTGTTGCAGTCGGGCAGGACAGCGGCGTGGTTCTTGGCACCCAAGTTAGCCTGCACACGCTTGCCGTTGGCAGAGCCACGAGTGTAGATGTACTCGCCAGCCTTGTTGCTGCCGACGAAGCTGATGGCCTTGATAGCGGGCGCGTCCAGGATGAAATCCACGGTGCGGTGCTGGCCGTGAACGATGTTAATAACACCGGGAGGGAAGCCGGCCTCCTTGGCCAGCTCGGCCAGGATCATAGCAGCACCGGGGTCGCGCTCAGAGGGCTTCATGACCAAGCAGTTGCCAGTCACAGTGGCAACGGGGATACACCATAGCGGGATCATGGCAGGGAAGTTGAACGGGCAGATAGCCGCGACAACGCCCAGCGGTTCGCGGTAGCTACGGGTCTCCATGTCCTTGGCAACCTCCAGAACCTCACCGGTCATCTGGGTGGTGATACCACAAGCGGTCTCGGCGACCTGCAGACCACGAAGAACGTCGCCCTTGGCATCGGCGAAGGTCTTTCCTTGCTCGAGAGTGATGGATGCGGCCAGCCGGTTCCAGTTCTCGCGGATCAAGCTGGTGAACTTGAACATGATCTGCTGTCTAGCCATGATGCTAGTGGCGCGCCACGCGGGGAAGGCCTTCTCGGCCGACTTGACTGCGGCCTGCAACTCCTCATCGGTACTTTGTGGCACACGAGTCACCAGATTGTTGGTGGCTGGGTCATGGAGGTCGATCCATTTAGTAGCCTTGGATGGCACGAACTCGTTGTCGAGGAAGTTGGCGGTGTCGATAGGGTTGGCAATCTTTTGATGGTTTGTCGGGTATTCCGTTGCAGTCGAAGCAGCCGAGGTGGTAGGAGGGGCGAGCTGCTGAGCGGTGGCGTGCAATCTGCGGGCAGCCGACATAGCCCCGGGGGTAGCGATAGCCCTCTGAGCAGTGAATCTAGCAATTGGGGTCGCGGTGGTGAGAGATCGAGCACCGGAGGCAGCTCTAGCAGTAACCGCGGGTGAGCGGGGAACCGCACGGAGAGCGGGGATAGAACGGGCCAAAGACCGGCGGGCGGCCATTGTGAATTATATGAAAGAAGATACAAGGATGAGAAAGGGTATCTTAGAGAAGGAGGGAAGAAGAAGGGAGGAAGGGCAAGTAGAAGAGTAGTGAAGAGGGGTGGCAAGGGTCCTCAGGAGTATAAGACCCATTTACTGTTACCCCAGGTCCGAGGTCAACCGACCGCCTTCCGTCGGGTTTCCTCAAAACCAAACACAATCGGCCACTTCTCCGATAAGCTCCATCGGCGAGGGCAGCCAATAATAATGGCCAGCCCGGTTGCCCATCGCCGACGCTGCCCGCAGTCGCCCTGGAGCTTCGGATCTAGCGTACTTTAGGCAGGCCATTCCGAGGAGAACAGTCACTCGCCTCATTTATCAGACTTTTGATTTATCAAGTAATTATCAGAGTTGGACATGCTCTATACGGCGATGACAAACTCCTAAGTGGAGAAAACAATTGCAAATTGGACACATTCTCCAGGCTTGGAGATAAGTATACTGGCTTTCATTTTTCCGAAGTAGATCTCGGATTACCTAGAATACTACTACACAGGCCAAAATACAAACAGGAAAGGGAATCAAACGCGGGGGGAAAAACTGTGCGATCTCATTTGTTTGGGTTTATGGGGTAAGCTTCTTTTCCACTCTCCGGGTCCACCTTTACTCCGCGGAGGACCGGGTGGTGCGCTTAGTAGCACCGCCCTTGCTAGTATCAGCAGAGGAGCTGGTAGCTTCACCGGTTTTCTCCTTGGAGACACCCTCGGCCTGCTTGCCCTTCTTCGCGGGGGAAGCAGGGCTGCTGGAGCCAATGGCACCGACAATGATCAGGATCGAAGTGAGAAGAAGAGCCACGAGACCACCGGCCACCTCGGGCACGGTCTTGACGGCGTTGACAGGGTCCTCCTTGGCCAAGCCGACGAAGTAGTCGATCTTCTGGCGGACAAAGGTGACGGGGTCCTCCTTGAAGGTAACGGTGGTGCCCTCGGCAGGCTTCTCGATCTTGGGCTTCTCAGCCTCCTCTTGAGCCTCCTCGATGGGGTACTTGACATCAAAGGTCTCCTGGCGGAGCTTCTTAGCATCCTCGACGGAGTGGCCAATGTACACGTTATCGAACAGAATGTCGCTCTGCATAGTCCAAATCTCGAAACCGATGGCGCCCATGGCCTCAAAGTTGGAGGGGGTCTTGTCCTCGAAGTAGTTGGGGTTGGCAATCTTGCGGGGGGCCCAAGGACCCTTGTAGGCAGGGTTGTCAATCATGGGAGCGGACCACTTGCCCTTGTACTCGGGGTTCTTCTTCATGGGGCGAGTCCACTTGCCGCAGCCAGAGGCGTCGGCGCACTTGGGGTTGGGGACAGTGGGAGCGACCCAGTCACCATCCTCCTCGTCATCCCAGTCCTCGGGCTTCTCGGCCTCTGGGTCGGGGATGATGGTGGGCTCGTCCTCCAGCCAGTCAGCGGGCTTCTCAGCCTCCTCGTCCAGAATCTCGAAAGGAGCCTCCTCATCCCAGTCCTCGGGCTTGGTAGCCTCAGGGTCAGCGATCTTGACCTCGTCGACCCAGTCGGCGGGCTTCTTGTCCTTGGGGTCGTCAATCTCCTTCTCAGGGTTGACGGCAGGGGTGAAGTCCTCCAGAAGGCTTCCCTGCTTGGTGGACTCGCCGTTGATCAAGATCTCGAAGGTCTGGTCCGGGTTCACGATCAGGGTGTAGAGGGAGGTGACCTTGTTGGTGCGGGCCACGGGGGGAGTCTTGAGGTGCTTCTCCTCATACTCGCCAGTCTTGGGGTTCTTGTGACGGAAGATGAAGTGGACCTGGATGGTCTGTCAGTTGCTGGATCACAATGGTAGTTCAATTGGGCATTCATACCTTGTTGGTGGCACCGCACTTGTCGGGACCGAACATGATCACGTAGGGGGAGCTGTTGGAGAACTCCTCCTGGTGGAGTTTCTTGTTGTCCTGAAGAAGCTTCAGGTAGGCACCACCGCAGACCAGGGAGTTCTGCGGCTTAACCTCGTACTGGACCACAAGGGTCTTGCCCTTGTTGTCAATCTTCTTGGGGAACTTGGCCGAGATGGCGTGGTGAGCGGCCGGGTTCTTGACGACCAGACCCTTGTCACCCTCGATACCCTTAAAGACGGTGGGCTCCTCGACCGCCCACTCGCCAACATAGGCCCAGTCCTCGTCGGACTTGGGGTCATCCTTCTTCGCGTTCGAGCGCTTCCACCGGGTCTCCCAGTCGTCGGTGAACTGCTCAAGGAAGGGAGCCTTAAGAGCGGTAGGCTAGAAAGTAACAATTAGAAGGGCCAATCGTGGGAATTGAGTGGGGCAACGAACCGTGAAGGTAGGTCTCTCAATGACGGTGGCATCAGAGTTGATCTCGGGCTCCTCGGCGTAGACAAAGCCCATAAGGGAGGCCGAGGAGACCAGGGCCGTGAAGGCGGCGGCGTCGAAGCGCATGATGAACAAGACAAAGAAGCGCACAGCACCAGGGATATGGGAAAAAGAACACCGAGGAGAGAAAGAGGAGAAGCGGAGCCCGGGGCGGTTATATAGAAGAGGAGCGGGCGACAGTCCAGGTGGCCTTTTCCATGCCAGCTCCTAATTGGGCTTAGCCCCTGTGAGGTACCCGCGACCTGCCTTTCGATCCCTTTCTATGTGCCAGCCCCGGTATACAATACTTGTAAACCCGGGCTTTGTTGATTTCACGAATCTGAGATGGAATTGGCACTCCGTGATATTCCCCGTCTTTTACATTTGTTCTTGCTATCTGGAAGCTGAGCTGTTTCATCGTAATCCCAAGGGTCCGTGCTGTGTAATGGGCGGAGCTGCAGAGTCCCACCCCGCCCGACAAGATTCATTGGATTGCGCGACTGCGCCGTTACACCGTGTTTCTTCATCCCCGATTAACTACCTCCACTCACTGGTTTTCGGCTAAGAGGATCGGCCAGGATTTGATATCCAATTCCAGGTCATTGCAATTATCGTCTCGCCAGCTCCATCGAAGCCCGTCTCTCGTATCTACGTACGGAAACTACCGACTCTCAGCCCACCATGTGCGGTGACGGACACAAGGCCGTCGAGGCCAGCACCAACTACGACTACCTGGTGCAGTCGACCGACCCCGAGCACCCGGCCAACCTCATTCCGGAGATGTGCCGTAAATTCTACAACTGGGGCTGGGTCACCGGCACCGGTGGAGGGGTAAGTCTCTGCGCGCTCTAGAAAGCGCAACGACGCGCTGACGGGAACCAGACGTCCATTCGCCACGGCGACCATATCTTCCTTGCACCCTCCGGCGTCCAGAAGGAACTCATCAAATCCGACAACATCTTCGTGATTCAATGGCCCACCAAGAAGTACCCGGCCGAAGACCGCAACTATATCCGCAAGCCTCTCGCGCTGAAGCCGTCTGCCTGCACCCCGTTGTTCCTCACGGCCTTTGAACAGGGCGCTGGCTGCTGCATCCATACTCACTCGCAATGGGCAGTCCTGGTGACCTTGTTGGTGGAACGAGAGATGGGCTCTGACGCATGCTTCGAGATCAGCCACATCGAGCAGATCAAGGGTATTCCTCGTGGCAAGGGCAAAGGCTATTTGGATTATCACGATACTCTGCGCGTCCCGATCATTGAGAACACTCCGTACGAGGAGGACCTGACGGAAGGTCTGGAGGCGGCAATGAACAAGTACCCCGACACCTATGCGGTGCTTGTGCGGAGACACGGAATGTAAGGATTGACCCTCAAGCTTTCTGTCTCGAGCCTAGTTTGAGTGTTTTGGTCCGCTGACAATAATAACAGCTATGTCTGGGGTGACAATCCTGCCAAAGCGAAGACTCAGTGCGAGAGTCTGGATTACATTTTCCAGCTGGCCGTGGAAATGCACAAGCTGGGACTCCCTTGGATCAAAAAATAGATGTTCTCACGATCCCGGCGACTTATGCCTTATTGCTGCTGTATGGCGTGTATGGCAGGTATTGACGGGCAGTTATGTTTAGATTAACCAAATCTGGGGATCCCTAGAGAGATGATGTGACGTATTAATGGTACTCGACGACCCCACGCTTTTTAGTAGTAGAGAGATGCTCAAGCTGTGATTGGCACCATAGAAAGTGTGTAAACTCATAGGGATAAAGTTGATTCCCAGAATATTGAAGAGAGTGAGCAGAGAGAGAAGAAGCCACCTTCGGACCTTGGGGGTTGGAGATCCCGTGAGTGACTAAGACCGCGGATCATCCTCCACCTCCACTACCAGCTTCTCAACTTCGAATCCCCCCACCCTCTGAAGCTTCGATTAGACCATCGTTGATGCGATTTTTCTAATCACGCCCTTTGACATCTTTCTTAGCTTCGCGTCTGCTCACGATCGGTAACAATGGACCTTGGCGCGGGAGACTCCCCGTGGGGCGGTAGGCAGTCATGATACCACGAGCTCTTTGGATTGCAATCTAATCTATAGTGCAGATGAGCCCTCTCAATCCTCTAGTCCCGTCAACTCGAAGCCAGATACCAAAGACGGCGGTGCGTCTTGCTCTTGAATCTCTCCACTCCCCTCAACCCCTCACTAACGGCCCGGTCTCCTTACAGCTTCCACGCAGCCCGGGTTGTCCGCCAGCACTCCAGAGGTCCGCACTCCGGGAAGACGAGGCCCACGAGGCACGCGCAAGATCAGCGCTCAGGCAACTCCATTGCAAGCCGTTGATGACACATTCGATCCCCTTGGCCCGCTCGGAGAAGCACCCGCCGAGACGAGCGCGATACCCGCAGACGAGGCCCCGGCACCTCCCCAGAAAGAATTGGTTGCTGGACGCAGTCCTCAGCCGACCTCGACTTTCTCTCCCACCTCCAGCGGGGCCGGTCTCGCAGATTCGCTCAGCCTAGAAGAGGATGGCGGCAGTTTCCGAGGGCCTCCGCCCGTGCAACCACCGGCCGAAGTGGAGGGACCGAAGCGACAGACGCAAGCCAGCATGAGCGTGGAGCAGGCTGCAAAGCCAACATTCGACATCAGCGTCGGAGACCCTCACAAAGTCGGAGATCTGACCAGTAGTCACATTGTCTACCAAGTTCGAACAAGGGTAATTGATTCCAATCCCATAAAAAGCAAGACGGGGCAAATAGGAGAGCAGAAGCTAACTGCATCTGGTAAACAGACAACATCTAAAGCATACCGCGTGCCCGAGTTCTCCGTCAGTCGTCGATATCGTGATTTCCTCTGGCTGTATAACTCCTTGCATAGCAACAACCCCGGAGTCGTTGTTGCTCCCCCGCCTGAGAAACAGGCCGTTGGTCGGTTTGACACGAACTTTGTCGAGTCGCGGAGAGCTGCTCTGGAGCGAATGTTGAACAAGATTGCTAGCCATCCAATTCTTCAGCACGACGGCGATTTGAAAATCTTCCTCGAGAGCGAAGCTTTCAACGTTGATGTGAAGAACAAGGAGAACCGGGAACCTGATCTGGGTCAAAGCAAGGGTATGCTGAGCTCATTTGGAATCTCTGTTGGCGGAGGAGGCAAGTTCGTGGAGCATGACGACGTAAGTACACCCAAACAGTTGATTGATCAAGCCTGCTCACTTCTGAATAGTGGTTCCATGACCGAAAGGTTTATTTGGATGCGCTGGAGAACCAGTTGAAAGCTCTCCTAAAATCGATGGACACCGTGGTTTTGCAGCGAAAGGGCCTCGCGGAGGCCGCGGGAGACTTCTCTGGCTCACTGCATGCACTCGCTTCCGTCGAGCTTTCCCCTGCTCTATCGTCGCCCTTGGACGGCCTGTCGGAACTTCAATTGCGGATTCGGGAACTTTACGAGCGCCAGGCACAGCAGGATGTTCTGACCCTGGGGATCACCATCGACGAGTACATTCGCCTGATTGGCAGCATAAAACAGGCATTTAGCCAACGGCAAAAGGCTTTCCACACGTGGCATACCGCCGAGTCGGATCTACAGAAGCGCAAGAACACGCAAGACAAACTCCTCCGGCAGGGCAAGACACAACAGGACCGACTGAACCAAGTCAATGCCGATGTCGCCGATGCAGAGCGCAAGGTGCACCAGACGCGTTTATTGTTCGAGGACATGGGCCGCTTGATGCGGAATGAACTGCAGCGGTTCGAAAAGGAGAAGGTAGAGGACTTCAAGTCTGGCGTCGAAACCTTCCTGGAGAGTGCCGTCGAGGCTCAGAAGGAGGTAAGTCAACATTCAAAACCTCATTCTTAGTTTTTTTTTTGTTGCTCACATCTTACCGTAGTTAATCGAGCTCTGGGAGACATTCCTTTTGCGTCTCGATGCTGGAGAAGATGGTCTTCCGTACTACGTGCCTCCTCCAGCGTCCGGCGAGGCCAGCGAAGCTGCAGCGCCAGAGTCTGCGGCATCCCCCATGCCAGTGCCCGACGATGAAGCGTAAATCTCGCCATTCATGATTCCCGGACCTTGATGTACCAACCCCATTGTGTATTCTATATGGATACTGGAAACCAATGACCACTTTCAGCCAGCTGTGATTTTCCTTTTTCCGTTTCCCTGTCTCCTGCCTCTTGAGAACTTTCGTCCAAATACCACTCGTCGTGTATTGTAGCCGATACCAAACTGGAATGTCTTGCTCACTGAGAGTATACCCATGTAGGCTTTGCCCAATAGCATTTCCAACTTTGTACACCGTTCTGATGTTCTACGTTCGAGTTACTCCTATAGACGGAGCACGTTAAACTTGCTCGACCTCTTGTAGAGAGGGGCTTCGGTCTTTGTGGGGCGAGAGCCGCTAGTCTCAGATTATGACCCGTCGTATTTACATGCAGCTCAGTGCAAATTATCATTGATTGTCAAGTAACCTTTCTACCGCTTAGGACACCTAACCTGCATTTAATTCCCTAACCTCCCGACAGATTTCTTCGATTTGTGTCACGAGCCAGTATGGGAAGAAACCATGCGAAAACAACTAAACTAAAGATAAAAAAGAGACGATCAAGGTCGAGTATAGAACAACATAAGGGACGCGCCAGTCCCAATTCTGCTAGACCCCATCCCCTTCACTTCGCTATGTATTCGTAGCATGCGTCACAACCTGGTTGGATCTCGGTGGCCTATTTGTATTTGGTGCCCTCATTTCGCTATCGAACGAGGCTTGTAACAGGGTTCGAGAGTTCCAGAAGAGAATACTGTACTCATTAGCAAGGGAGCGAATCCCTACGGGTTCACCAACTTCATCACCGCCATAGATGAAGCTATTTTGAGCTTGAAATCTCAGAAAATATGAGAGTCGTTCACAATTTGCACAATCAAGGACAGTAAAAAGAACATAATTCAGTTCTTTCTCATGCTACCGATCATGGTGAACTAGAACTCGCCAATGGCTATGAGAACGAGCTGACAGTCACCCTAGTTCAACAAGCTCGACTCGGGATGACAGGAGGTAGAGCACCTGAGTCTTTCTCGCAGGATACAGAAAATCTTCTGACTCACCACATAACCTACACGGGTCTTATCGTCTTATGAACCAAGCAGGGAACGAGAGCCCTATAAATTATAAGAACATGACCAAAATGAAGAGAAAGAAAAAGAGTCAGGGTTCGAGAACCACGAACAACCTGGGGAGTTTCCGCATGCAATAGAAATCTAACAGCCAGAGAGAAGGCTTTTCAGAGTTCATCTTCGTCGGAAACCTATCAAATAGTAAGTCATGGCTGCTTTTGATTGATCATATTCCATCAGCATAATTGCCTGACGAATCGACATTAATGACGTCGAAATTCTAAGTCCGTCGAGTCCATGTGCCAGCTCTCTACCATCCTATCTGAACTCTGACCATGAAATAAAATTTATGGAGCTCATGGAAGGGCTGAAGCTAATCTCCACTAAGAAGAAAGGTCTTCCATAGGATGACAAAATACTTCTAGAGGACGGGAGAGACAAATCTGCGTTTCTTTTTCTTGTACACCTAAAGATGACAGGTCTATTTAGGTCTGTCCCACTGTCCCACTACCATATAGCGAGTATCTGGGTGTATTAGCTAGCACATTTCGCTTCTCGGAGGATGTCAGTGATACATATAGCATTCGCGGCCCCGTCGAGAATCTTTGGCTAGGCTACTCGCAGGATACCGGGATAATGAATCAGATACAAGTTTTGGAACCTGATGATCCCCAAGTGTGCATCTCAAGTGAGAATGCCTCCATGAACATGATGAGACGACACTAGTCTCTTGTGGAAATTGGCAGTCGTAACGTAAGTTTACTTTTGCCATTTTCACGAATTCTGCGCTGTGTAATATTCAGCTGGAAAACTTACAAAGGTAGTTTATAACGCGATGGTCCTCTCCAATCATGAAGCTGATTAAAACTGACAGGACGTCTTCTGTCTATTATATAGGTGAGCCTTAAGGAACAAGTTCCAAGGAAGGTGTAGAAAAGGATGACGAAGAAAAAACAACCAACAACCAACTAAACAGACTTTTGAGCCAACCCCCAACGGTAGCTCCTCGAGAAACAAACAACCATCGGGCAAGGTTGCTATTATTACAATTTCGGCGGGCAACGCGCTTGGCTGTTTGCTCGAACCTATAAAGGATCGGATCCCCCGAGCCCTGCACGATTCAGCGCCCAACCGCATGAGAGAGCAAGGGGTGATAGCCCCCTCTTCTCGGTGCCACCATTCATAATCCTCTCCCATCCACCACCTTCTCTTGAGCCACCTGCATCCCCCTCAACTCGTGTTTATCCTTTATCCAAGGATGGATAGCAAAGGATTTCTCCTCCCAGGCTTCTCCCTAGAATATCATTTCATTACGATCAACAATCTCCCCGTTAAAGATGCCCTTCCATTGACACTCACCTGATGATAAGCCTTAAGTTCGCAGTCGCATCCGAGGGGCTATTCGGGCCTTCCGCTGACCCCCAAAGTCGGGGGCATCCACGTGGACAGATCGGGCAATGCCTGCGTTCTTGCATCGGGGTGGTCTAGGTCCAATTAGTTTTACCGGCATCATGTGCATGGGAATTATCCAATCGGTGAACAGGAGATCAAAAGCAAGCAACTCAGTACCTTGTCCGCTCCCCTTTTCTCCGTTCTCAATCGCACTGACCTTTATATTTATACAGACCACATTCCTTGGAGAACTCTTCCCAGAGGCGCTGATCCGGAACCAAGGACCATCGCTCCGGCTTCAGCCCACACCAGATCCAGAAGTCGACGGCTCGTTCGACTCTTGATAAGCCGATCCACCCGTTATTCTCAGCGAGTGCAAGTATCTCCCATCTTCTTTTGATTCCGGCTTTGGGGATCTCACGTGGGGGGAACCCTTTCAAAATTGCTTTGAACCGAAGGTGTTCAAGGGCTAGATTAAGCTCTGTGCCAGTAACAGGTCAGCGAACCTCCAATGATAATGTCATCGGGGGAATCAATACCACCTTCTGCGGCTCCGCTGACCACCTGAGCCTCGGCCATATGTGAATCGACCTGTACTGCTTTTGCCATCTCACGTGGGGGACTTTTGAGTCCTCTTGCCTATTTAGCGATGCTCAACCGATTGGAGAAACACACTGCTATTCGTCACAAGTATACACCCGAGACACTGCCAGGAAAGAAGTGCGATCCTTCCCACGGAGTTTAAAACCTGCCAGAGAGAAGGAAATGCGCTTTTTATTTCACTGACAAAAATATGACCGACCCTGCCAAAAGTACGCCTATTTCCGTTCCCCCCGCCCCAACACAATGCGCTAGTATCAGGTTCCTGAAGAAACGCATCTTGGCAATACCAATTGCCGAACGATGGCATGCCCTTTCCCCCCTTATACTCGATCAAGTACTACTCGATTACGAACTATATTACAATCTCGATGATTTCAACCCTCCACCTTTGCGGGCAATTCACATCTTACAGTGTCGCGACGGATCTCGTTGGTGTCATGTTCCGCTCGTTTCCATCGACCCGTCCATATTGTTTTTTTTTCTTTGCTTTTTCCGGGACACACAGGGCCATGCTCAGCCACACGTGAGGTGACTCACCCCCTAAAATCGACAGGTCGACAGTTTGTTGAGTGATGGGCGTTAAAAATACCCCATTACGTGTGATGGACCAGGGTCCCCTGAACCTCACCGATCCTTCCGTGTGTTGATGGAACATCTTAATTTCACACTATTTGGAATACGAAGAAAGCCATGAAAATCTCTGAGTATTCATGGGAGCCATTTCGCATCCCAATGGGCATAGATTTTGAGGAAACAAAGATTGGCAATGAGACAAAATAACAGGAATAACACAACTTTTGGGTGATTGAAAACACTGTATATCATTCTCGTTGGGCAACAAATCTCGAGAAAGCCTTATCTTCCCTCCGTCATTCCCTAGCGGGTGACCCCCAAACCTCATGCTAAGCCCGACTCAGGGCCCAACTCAGGGGTCCAAGGGCGTCTTCCAACTCATCTTTTTCTCGGGGAATATCTCTGACCACGCCCTGATTCGACATGGTGAAAGCCAGCATGACGGGTCGATCGAGATTTCTGCTAAACCAATCCCACAGCCCGTTCAGTTTGCCGATCTCATCCTCGGTCAAAAAGGATCCATCTCCGATAAAATTTTGCCGGGCGCTGTTTCCAAGCCAAAGAATGCCCTGTCGGATGGTCTTTTGGTCTTCAACGCGCGTGAACAAACGCTGCCATTCAAGGGTGGGCTGAAAGAGACGGTTCATCCAGATAAACGTGCTCAAGATCACCTGGATCTTGTAGACATGTTCTTCATGGCTGTTGGGGTCTTGGAACGGACGCGCACTATTAACCGAGTGTTTCAGGACTGCGCGGTCGATGAGGTAAATGATGAGGTTTAAGTCGATACCGTTATATTCCTTTGCGATGCCCGAGTATTCATCCTGTGCGCCTTTGCCCAAGTGTTCTCGGAGCAAGCGATCTAGAGACTCGGGAGTTGTCCATTCACATGCATTCAAAAATTTTGTCAAAGCCGTGGCAGATCCTATCGTTTTCTCTCCAGATTTGACCCAGTCCGCGGCATACCTGAGAATCCACTTCTCTAGATGGCTCCCGACGACGTGGGTGCTGGTGAACTTCTGCTTGTATTTTGCATTTTGCCTGGTCTTCTCTTCTCTGGTATGCCGAGCAAGGGTTTCGTGAAGATGGAGCACTTGAAGACAGGCATCCAGACTGTTGCTCAACGCGCGGCTCGGATCTCTAATTGACTTGTACCGATCATGTTCGTCTTTGGCCCATTGCGCCATGTACAAGAACAGAACTTGGATCTCTACCAGCTGCCTCGCTCTCGTCGTATGGGGCCCACACGGGTTCCCGCCTTGCTTCAAGTACACACGACAATGCACTGCTTCGTATCCACGTTTTTCTTTCTTATACTTCTCCTCCTTCACCTCGAAAATCTCGTGTATAATGCCCTGGACGAAATGACGATCTTCCCATCTCTCGAGAATAATGCGAGCCCCGGCAAGGTCGACGATGTCCTCATGAATCTGTTCCAGAGTTTCGTATGGACCGTTCTCGCGCTCGCGCTGCTCGAGCTTCTTTCGGAGGCTTTCGGGGTCCTTCCCACGGCTCTGAGTTACATGAGGTATACCCTTCTCCAAAAGGGCCTGGTTGCATGTATATTCAACACTTTCGGCCAAATCTTGGAACTCCTTTTTCTTATATTGGTGTATGAACATGGGAATCAAAGATTCCTTGATGGGGATTTGTATGGCCATATTTTGCAGCTGCTTGGGAGAAGAACTCGGGGCAACTTGGAGCATGCGCGTGCAGAAATCTTTGAAAGTAGAAGTGAGGCTGAATGGAGAACAAGAAGAACCCGTCGACAGCCGGGAGCAGTCGAGGTATTTATCTTCGCCATTTCCCCAAAAGATTGTGCCCAGCGTCAAAGAGCCGAGCGCGATTGCTACCTCACCACACTCTGGCCACAAACTCTCTACTTGGACGAAATGTTCTGTATGGCTCCGGATTGACCAGCGACAAATTTTTCATACACGGAGCCATTGCTGATGGTGTGTAGAGAACCAGGGTGATGAGATATACCGGTGAAGGACATGAGGAATGATTTGTTGGAAACCTGTTAGGCACGAGTCGTTCATCTGCAAGTCAGCCGTAACACATGGGAGATTTGGGGACTAGAGAGCCTCCATCGTGGTTGGAACGATGCGTTCATGCCGGAAAATATGAGATGCGTCTCTAGCCTCTAGTCCATGCGCGTGATCTGATTAGTGGGAATGCAGTTCTCGGAACCCTTGTCGTGGCCCAAAACTTGGATGTGAGTTGTTCTGTACCCGAGACCAGGGTGGTTACGATCAAACTGTAGTTTGGTATGGTGTAGACGTGCGCCTCTAGGGCTAGGAAATAGCTCGCATATGTGACCCAACTTATCCACATGGAGTCATACGTGGCAAGGAGATAACCGGGAATATAAAATATATTCAGTGCATAATGAGGTCGTGGACGTACTCCTGTTAAGAAACGGGAAGGTGGCTCTCTCGGGTTGCGGAAGTAGTAGGACTGCAGCAGTCTTCTTTCCCGGTTGATCTCCGGACCTTTCCGAGTAATGGAAGACAGTCGAAGAACTGGGGAATCAGAAAGAAAGGTCGACTTAATAAATAGACCAGAAGAGGATGGAGAAAGAACTAAAGTAGATCAACGAGTCAAAACATTATTAAGAGATACTTGAGAGATTCATGAGGGACGAGTTGAATTTAGGAAATTCTGCCTAAAGAGCAATCTCACTTCGTGGGATGTTAGGTAAAGGTAGAGGATGACGGTGGAGGGTAAAGATAAGATAATGTGGTACAACGTGATGGCAGTGGTCTTTTTGGTCTGTCCAGCCAATGCAGTAGCAGCCCAGATCATCAACACAGCATAAGGTATATCGGTTGTAGATCGGATCCAAACTCCTGGTACGAGTCTCCAGCAGTTTGACCAGGGCAAAGCTGCCAGGTGCATTAGCGATAGCAGTTCAACATTACATGCAATGACGAACCTAGTAAGAGGATACTGGGCAATGCTCCAGGGACATGTGCAATGAGCGATATGCACAATTTTGAACTCATTGTCCTTGTCATTTTTAGCTTGTGTACTTGCTCCAAGCCCAGATTTTAATAGACTCTCGGCCATTATGAAATTACTACAAACGGCGGCGATAAAGCTACAGTGTAAACAAAACTATTTGGGGATAACTAGCTGCGTATTAGCTGAGGAATTTTGATCTAGAATCTCACTAGAACCAATGGCCAGCCATTCCGCAATGCTAGGAGAAGACTTCGCCTTCATGTCGCGCCGGACACATTTCGATGAAATTGGACCCTACAGAGGCTTTTTTAATTAATATATCAGATTCGGCAATTCTTTGCCGAGCTCTCTGGGTTTGGTTGAAGGGTACTTAAGCGGACGTCACAAGCACGCATGAAGTCGCCATTGCGGGGTCGCAAACGGCGGACGATAAAGGGCATCGACTTCATCTTTCTAGACATCTTTTGGGCCATCTCTTTAGCCCTTCCTCCAGTCACATTTCTAGACATCCATTTGCGTAACTGCCCTCCGTAAAGAAATGGAGGAGAAAGATACTCTTCGGGTGATTATTGCTGGTGCTGGTATTGCGGGGCTTTCCGCAGCTATTGCTCTTGAGCGAGTATCAGCAGTCCCAAATCTTAATATTCAGCTGTATGAGCAAGCCCCCGAGCTCTTGGAGATCGGGGCTAGTATTGCTATTAGCCCCAACGTGAGTCCCTCGCTTCCATCAAGGTCCGTGACAGATCTAAGCAGTGGATTGCGCAGGGAATGCGAACTCTGGAGAAACTCGGTGTGCATGAAGCTCTCACGGACGAAGTGGGTTACAGAGGACCAAGCGGGATTCCACAAATCTTCCGGTAACGCTTTCATCTTCGTTCCAATTTATGAGGCTCTGCTGATGGTCATAGCCATTGGAAAACCGACCGGGTCGTTTCTGTTGATAACCACACCGACGTTCCTGATCCTCGTCACCACACGACTCGTTTCCACCGGGGTCATTTGCATAGCACTCTGTTGAAGCACGTACCTGCTCAGTCAATTCACTTGAACAAAAAGGTCGTGCGTGCAGAAATCCGCCAGGACGGGGTATCTCTATTATTCGAGGATGGGAACAGTGCTCACGGTGACATTCTAATCGGAGCAGATGGAATCCGCTCGGTTTGTTACTACATACCTAAACCACCCCTGAAAACCTGCTGATTTTTACAGAAAGTGAGACAGTCGTTCATTCCGGACTATAAACTTCGCTTCACTGGCAAGGTCTTTATGAGAGCCACATTTGATGCATCCCTCGTCGAGGGCAAGATCCCTGATCTACCTGCCGATTCAATGCACTGGGTATGGAGCCGTCTACTCGTAACCATGAGACACACTAACAGGATGACAGTGGGGTCCAAAGGATAACTTCTTTGCTTCGCGGCTGGGTATGTGGATACTCCCAGCTCAACAGGTGTATGACTGACAGCAAGCAGGCAAAGGGCAGTATACCACCGTTGGTGCCTATGACGATCCACGCACGACAGAAGAGCTCGAGAGGAACATTTTTTGGGGCCAGCGAGGCAATGTGGATTTCTTGAGAGAAAGATATAAGGATTGGAATCCTACAATTCGAGCTCTCACCCAACTGACTCCCTATACCAATCTCTATCCCAATTTTGCCGGAGACGCCCTCCCAACCTGGGTGTTTGGATCGCGAGCCACCTTGATTGGAGACGCAGCACATGCTCATGGAGGTGCTTTTGCCGCGGGTGGCTCGTTAGCACTTGATGATGCTTTGGCTCTCGGTCTTGCTTTTAAGCATGCTTTTAATCCATCGTCGACACGACCTTCATTTGCGGTGGAAAATATCGTCAAGGCACTGAAGCTCTACGGCAAGACGAGGCAGCCTCATGCAGCACGATTGTTGCGTATTGTGCATAACCAAATCGGTCAAAGGCCTCGAGTAGATATCACAGCAGAAGAAGAGGACGCCGCTCTTGTAGCTAAAATGAAGAGCAGACCCAACACGGCGTGGCTATCAGAGCATGATGTGGAAGCTGCATTTGCAGCCACGGTTGAGCAGCTGGAGGCTGAAGATGCCATTGAGGAATCTCAATCTCTGGGAAACACCAAACTTGGGGAAACTCCCGGACAAGTAATAGAGCTCAAGGGAAGTAAAATATAGACTAGACTCGGATGATATAGAAATCTAGAAGAGCTATTGTGGATTTCTGAATCCTATTCCCTTTTCTCTCACCTTTGACATTAAGTTTGGCAAGAAGCTGGGTATAGGGCGAACCAACAAAGGGTTGCGAGACGATCATGAGGTGTAGGATGGTCAATAGTCGCTACTCAAGCTTAGATATCATTCAATGCCATCGATGTATTATAGAGATGGTCAAAATGGTCAATTAGAAAAATGAAAGGGGCATTCATGCACAGCAAAAGGGACGTATGTATAATGTACAAGACAAGTGATACAGAATCAAACACAACTCCAGGCCCATCCGGTAAGAATCGAATCTTCCATCTCTTCCCGACGGTCACTCCAACTATGAACTGAACCGCTTATTTCTTCTTCTTCTCGGCCATCTTCCCAGTCGGCTGGGGCTCGTTCTGTCCGAAGGAGCTAATCAAATCCAGCAGGTTATCCTCCTCCTCCTGTTCCGCCTGGGCCTGAGCCTTAGCAGCCTCCTCCTCGGCCTTCTTGGTCGCGGGATCCTTTGAGCTCGAGCTGGTTTCCGCAACAGGGGTATTCGCATCGAAGCTGCGGCCGAATCGCGCACGGAAAGCAGCCAGTCGACCGGCCTCATCCTCCTCGACATTCATCAATTTGCTGCTGGAGGGGTTCCAGAGCAGAGAGTTGCGCGTGTCACGCGTGGAGCGGTAGACCGGGGCGGGAGAGGTGGTGCGGTGGGTGAAGGCGCTGCCGTCGGAGAGGGTGATGAGCTGGGTGAAGGTGTAGGGGCGCTTCGGGCGGCGGAGAAGAGTGGCATGGCGGCATTGTGAGCAGACAAATGTTGTAGCGTTGGATTGAGAGGCTGGGAGCCGGCCCGTGGGGAGAATCGTGGTTGTTGAGTTGGGTAATGTGGCCGCGGCGCGGCGGAGAGAGGTGTGCATTGACATTGTGGATGGGTTGACGCCGGGCGAGCGAGCGGCTTTGTAAATTCGGGGGAGGTGCGGTCTCGATCGGAGTATCGAGTGGTCGCAATGCGGTGGCGGAGGTTGCGGAGGACAGAGTTGAGATGGGTTTGATGCTATACAACTTTCCGCAGAGAAATTATCATGCCTTAGTCAGCACCTCCGACACTTTTTTGCGGACGAAATTTAAGAAAGCCAACTGCACGCTCGTCATCAGATCTTATTGCCTGCGCTTCCGAAATGAATTGACAGCATTTGAATACTGGCTCCTTGCTTGTCTAATATTCCTACCAATACCTGAGGGCCGGGTGATAGCCCCGCCTGAACATCCTACGGGGATGAAGCTATCGATCCCGTGCGCTGCGGCACGGAGGGGGCTCGGAGGTAAGTGGTTATGGTTTGTTGGAGCAAATTCGGTGCTATATGATGTTTCTGACACGTTTAAAGAGTCATTATGTCCAGGTCTTTCCGCCACCAGACCCTTGACCTCGCCCCTCACCTTCCGAAATCAACCTAGGCCGAGCTATCAACAATCGCAGTGCTCTCGTCGACACACGAGCCATGCTACAGCTTCAACAAAAGAAAATACCCAAAGCCCAAGCCCAAATACAGTCACGACACAAATACCGCAAACATCACCCGCCTCAATATCCGAACATGTCCGGCTCCTCATGCGCCGCGTGCCCTACCCCGTCGCCATCATCACAGCCACCGATCCCTCCGGCCCAGCAGATACAACCTCATTCCGCGGTATGACCGTTTCCTCCTTCAGCACCGTCACCCTTACACCAGACCCCGTGATCTCATTCAACGTGCGTCGGCCATCAGAGACCTTGAATGCGTTACTAGCCTCGGGGCGTTTTCTTGTTCATTTACTCGCACCGGGGCCTGAGACCGCGACTCTCGCTAGAGACTTTTCCAAGGGGAACACGACGCTTTCGGCAATTCTGAGCGGACATGGCGACTTTGAATTTAGGGCTTTGGAGGTCGAGTCCAAGGCGCACGCTAGCGGAGAAGCCCAGAGACCTCTTCCTATTTTGAGGCGGAGAACCGAGGTTTCGGAGGAACATGAGTCGGTGGACTTTCCTTTCGTCTTCGAATGTACCCTCCACCCGCATAAGATCGATGTGCATGATCACTCTATTGTGCTTGGCACGGTTATCCGCGCAATCGAGGGTAATCCTGCAAGTCTAGAGCACGATTGTTCCGATCTGGACGAACATTCACCGGGACGGCTGTGTCTGACTTATGCCAACACCCGCTTTTGGAAGATGGGGAGCGAGATTTAGATGCTACACATGCAACGTACATGTGGGAACCCCATCATAGAAAACATCACTGTTCGCGTTGGACACGTGGTGCTGTATATAAAACATTCCCAGCAGAATCGGCTCTGCTATTTGTATATATAGGGTAGAAATTTTGTCTAGACATTAACTTACAAACACTTGCTCAATTTTCTGACCGCCTGGGTCAGTATGGTATGAAGTCCAGAAAGCCGGTAGTTCTCATATCGTCAGGTCCCGAGAGAATATCCTTGGAGATGTCCAGCATTCCCCAACGTCTTTCCAATATTTCAATTGCTCTGATGATATTCCGTATGTGTAGCTTGGAGTATAGCTCCAGAAGGAGGTCTTTGACCAACTTCCTATCCGAGCCAACAGCTTCGCAACTGAGCAATGCCAACTGTTAGTTTGATCGACGTGGTTTGGACGGCCTTTACTCACCCGGCTGTATATATGGGCGTTGTAAGAAGAATCCAAGGAGAGAGTGTCGTCACCGGAAGAATAGCACAAACCGCATCCAAAATGGCTCTCACGCACCCTTGTACTTCAATGCAGAATGTAGGTAGGTTCTGAACTCGTCTGTACAGATGTAGCAAGCACGCGTTTTGATAAGCCGTGTTGCAGGCACGGAACTGACCGATCGTGTCGGTGTCGAGCAAGTGATGACTAGGGAATTTCAACCCCGATTCGTGATCTCGGCGGATCATATTTCGAATCCCGATCTCAAGATTTTTGACCGGGCTTGAGTGCCCGTTGGTATCCTCTCCATCGCTCTGAAAGCTGTCACTCTCAGTCAAACGCCGATGCCGTGAGAGGAGACCGATTTTCATTAGAGCAAATTTGAGATCCGATGAATAACCAGTATAAATGTCAAAGTAGTAATCATCACTACTATCTTGGATGGTAGATTCTATAGTTTGGTCCAATAGGAAGCCAACATCCGTCACAGCAGCGAGTGCCTGTATTGACCAGAACCACCGAGAGCACAATGAGGAGGGAGGTCCCGAGACCTTACAGTCTCGTTTTGAAGCCATTGCGGCAAGGAAAGCTCCTGCGCCATTGACATGGATCCTCCAGGATGAATCGGCGCGCCCTGAGAAGATCTCACAGTGACACAGCGTTTTTATAGTATGAAGTAGAGGCTGGCTTGGGAAGCCTGGTGTCTCGAGGTCCCGGCGAAGATGGTTAATACTAGCCGAAATCAGATTCAAGACGGTGGCTTCCGGTATGTATCGGTCGGGCAATCCATTCACCAGAGTGGAGCGATGAAGTGCGGACATGGCCATCACTGCATATCTCAGTGAGTCGGAATGATGTACCATTGAGAGAATGTCCTGGCACTCGTTATCTCGAAGGTAAGCATGGCTGGAATTCTGGGACACCTCTGTGAGAAAGTGGTGAAGCAACAGTCTGGTTTGAGAAGATAAGGCAGTAAGTGGCCGTTGGATATCCAACGTCGCAGGCGTGAATTTGAAAGGCCCATCAATCAAGCCGGTACTTGTTGCATTGGAGGTATAACTGGACTCGGGAGACTTTGTACCCCTCGGGACTCGGCCATTCCATTTTAAAGTGACTTTGTATTCACAGGAGATCCCCGCATGTAGGCAACGGCCACAGGTCGGCTTTCCTTCGTCGCATTTTTGGCGACGTCTTTTGCACCGTGCGCAGCCGTGGTGTGACCGTCCGGTCTTCGTGTTCATTTGTATCCAGGTACTATTGTAGTATGGATTGTAGTGTGGAGGAGAGGAGTTGTGAGTTACACCGTGCCGGCTCGTTTCTTATCGTGGTGACTTGCCAAATAAAGTTAGCGTTGAATCTTAACACTAGGAAGACAACGCTCAAATTGCCCTGGATCGATCATGGCTACAACTACGCGGAAATGGAACCAAGTATAATATGAAACAAGCTTTTCTTCTCTCTTAGGACAGAACTGTGATACATCTCACTCCAAGTGGACCCGGCACCTAATCTCATCGCGAGGAACCAGTCATCTTACAACAGCCGGAACATTTCCACGACCATCACAAACACGACTCGATGAGAGCACTTCAGAGGGGGTGGGACGGAACACGCAAGGTGAAGGACAATCCAACAGACAGAACGGAAAGCACACGCGCAACATCTCAGATGAACCACATGGTAGACGAACGGAACTCGAGAGGTCCACCGAGCGATAGACTCGGGACCTCAACCGCGTGCCGACTTCGGACTACCACTGCCACTTCTGCTGCCGGCGCTGCCGCTACCAGCTCCACTGCCAGCTCCACTTCCTCGACTCGCGGCTCGTTGGAAAGGACTTAGGACCGGACGGCCGTTCTGTGGCAGAAAGCCGTTACCATTCCCGTAGCTATCAGACCCAGACCGGTGCTTTTCAAAAAGCATTTCAGATAGATCGAGTTGCAAGGGGGGCAGGCGATTGGACTCGAAGAATTCCGAGCCGTATTGGCTGCTGCGAGCGGAGCGGTTGGAGAATGAGCGGTCGCGGTTGACATCGGATCCAAAGTTTGAGTTGGCATTGCCCAGCGGGGAGGTAGGGAAATGAGGCATGAAGGCATCTTGTACCGGGCTGGTTGGATGAGAAGAGGATGTCTGTAGCGGACTGGGCTTTGTCGGAGGAAAGCTGAGGCCCAATAGAGCGCGGCCGTTCGGAGCAGCCGTCGTCGCCAAGCTTGCTTCCAGCGGATTGGTGCCCGGCAGATTGCCCTCGGGGGTGAGGGGGCCAGACTCGAGAAGCATCTGCTGTTGCTGTTGCTGAATCGACTGTTCAATAGCGGATGCCTGCTGCCAAAGTTCACTGGTGCGCAACTGGAACTCTTGCACGGAATGACTGATGCTCGCGAACTGGTCGTGGAAGTTGGCCTCCAACTTGGCATGATCTTGCTCTCGGGCAAACTGCTCGGCGGCGCGACGCTCTCTCTCATTCAATCCCTGGGCATTGGCCGAGATGATGCGTTCGTACTGCTCGTTGACTCGTGTACGGCGGCCTTGAAGACGCTCGCGCTTCTGCACAACCATATTCAACTCCTGCTCCAGTGCCGCCACTTGCTGAGCCGCGGCAAGCCGAGCTTCAGCAAGGTCCTCTTTGGCTGCGTTAAAACGCTCCAGTTCACGATCGAAATCGGCTTTGTGCGCAGACCACTGCTCAATCTCCTCTTCCGGCACCTTCTCCATGCTGTCCAGTTGTACCTTCAACGCCGCGGTCGCTTCCTCTGTCTGCTGAATGTTCCGCTCGAGTTGGAGTGAGCGCTGCTTTTGTCGATTTTCGTCCGTCCCACTCTGAAGACGGTGGGTGAAATTGTCCAGCTCCCTTCGGATTTTCGCGATAACAAGTCGGTGGTCGTTCTTTGTCTTCTTCAACCGAGAGCGCTTCTCGTTCAACTTGGATTCGGCGTTGATAATAGAATTCTTCAACGTGGTCGTAGGGGAAGAGGGTCGATAGGGCGGCTGCGGGGGAGTCGAAACCGCGGAAATAACTACTTGATTAATGAGATTAATGGCCATTATGGATGACAAACCAGTCAAGAACTCACCTTGTTCTGTGTCGGTTGTGGCTGGCGTCTTGACACTCATGGCACAGAATTCCTCATCGGTATCACTGCGCACGAAGGAACAAGTATAAGCACAGTTAGGAGCAAGTCCAGAGATCTCGCCCCGCCAATGAACCATGCTTGGCCCCTTAGACGAGTCGGAGACCCTGCAGATCGTAGCGGTAGCCCAAAGTGCCCCGTTGACACAGACATAAAACGGTTCTATCTCTCCCTCCAATCGAGAAGTTTCACAAGAGCTCGGCGCCGTAGACTCATCAGAAAGATCGCCCGCGGCGAACTTGATCGTAGAACTATCCACATCCGTAATCCATACCAATCCATCGTCGAGAGAAACGCCTTGCAAATCCTCCTCGGTCAACGTAAGCCCGCGTGTCGTCTTGGACAACGCTCGCGAGTGCTCGTATTCCCGCATCACGGTGACCTTTGTACTGGCGAGCGCGGCCCAAAACGGTTGGCGACTCCGGACCTGATTTGCTTGGCGTCTGCGTTTCTTTGCAGAAGTAAGACGATCCTTGCTATCCTTGAGAAATTGCCCATCCGGGCCCATGAGAGAAGATGAGAGACTGGCGGCAGACTCGAGAGCAGAATCGGGCTGGCCTTGAGAGCCTGCCGAAGCCTCTGTATCCACGCGCTTGCCGCTCCTCGGCGGTGCAGGTGCCCGATTCTTGGCCATCGAACGTCTTGCCATCGCAGTCCCCGCTTGTGCTAATATATGAACGGCCAGGAGACTTCTCAACCAACTCGGAGAGGTTTGCGCTTCGGTTCGTCGGAATTCGGCGGGTAGGAGATTCGAGTATTGAGAGAGGAGGTCGGGGCTGATGAGTTTGGCGGAAACGAGATGGCCCATGACAAAGTCTTGGATGCCTTTGCTGCGAATGATGTGAAGAAGCAGAACAATCCCGACACACATGGCGTTGACCCCACCATTCTTGCCGGAGCCTCCGCCACCTAACGTGATGGCAACCTGGACGTGAGCGAGGTCTATCGCAAAATTTTGTGCCCACGTCCACATGAAGAGGCCCCAGAAAAGAAGACAGAATCCGTCCATGGCGATCATTGTCCCCAGAGAGGGGGTACCAGCCGGACCCTGAAAGATGTCGAAATTCGACGACAGGGAGCCGGCGGCGGCACCGCTCGGAGGCATGAAAGTCAAGGATGCGAACAAGAATTGTACCAGGGTCAGAACCATCGGTGGGAGTTGTAGCAGAAAAATCAAAATGGCGATGGTGTCGTACATGGGGCACGACTTGAGGATCGTGGAGGCGAGCTGGAGGGGGTTGATCGAAGCGTTTGAGCCCGAGCGCTTTGTAGAGCCATTGCGCGAGACCGAGCCGGCCATGCCACCAATTTGCGCCACGGCACCGTTTGCTTGACCACACGCCATGTCCGCACTCTTTGTATGTCCATTCACCATTCCACGCGCATTGCCATCGGCCTTGATCCCATCCACACCCTTGGTCGCGATAGTCGGAGGGGTGATCGCGGTATCGCTGTTGGAGCGACTCGCCGACAAATCGAAGGGAGTGGCGGCACCCGAGCCGGGAGCAGAGCCGTTGCCGGGGGAGCCGTTAAGGTGGCCGCTGGATTTCTGCTTGGTTACTTTCTTGCCGGGACCGACGAGGCCATTGTCGTGTCGACTGTTCTGGTTCTTCCTACCCGCAGCGGATGAGCGTGGCATGGACGAGGGGAGTCCGAAACCCAGGTCCGAGTCAGCTTGGCGGGACGCGGCCAAGGACTGGGACCAGGCAGGAAGGAAAAGGGACGAGATGGAATGAAAAAAATCCTCCTCGGATGTCCCAAATGCAAGTCGATAAGGACTGGGGGGAGGGAGGGGAGAAAAAGGGAAGGTGGTAATACGAGAAGGTGAGAAGGAAAAGTCACGGTGGAACTATGAGGTTGAGAAAGAAACAGAAAAGTTGTAATGTACGGTAAGCCGTCGATCATACACTCCGGACAGGCGGTACCTGCCGCTTTCTTCCCGGCGTACCCTTAGTACCGACTTTACCGGTTTCATTTCACTTTTGCCTTTTTCCCTGAAGAATACATTTGTACGTTGTTCATTTTTGGAATAGAATAGGGTATGTACTCCTCTCATCCTCGTATATGTACAGTCTGGGTTGAGCCCTTGATGATTAGTGCTGGGTCAAACACTACTTAATTTCCACTTCCGTCCATAGTCATGCACTTGCAAATAGCGACACGACCACCGTCCATAACGTCCATAACGTCCATAACGGGTCCAAAAAGAACCCTTCTGCATCCTCGTCCCCAAACTGTGGCCCTCGGTCGAAACTGCAACTCCGGGGATTGTCCCATCGGAATTTGTCCCGCTTCCTAGCGGCCATGATAAGCTATGGGGCATGAGCTAGCCATGGGGAAATGAGCGCATGATCAAGCCCTATCCCGAAGTCATTGGCCACTTGCTATCAGACCGACTTACTGACGATCAACCGTTCACTGGGCCGTCCATCTGCGGGGTTATCCTTGCGGCAGACCTGGGGCATGCATGGTGACACGAGTGCTTCGAGCCATCAGCCCATCATTGGAGGATTAACACTTCATAGAGTATGCAGATGGAAGCACGTAGGGCACGAAGACGTTACCGAAACGCGTGTGCTGTATCGAGTATCCTAAAACGGGGTAGCCTTTTCACATGCTCGGCTATCCTATCTCATGGCCTGGAGAGGCTCCGCTCAGTGGCATCACGTCCGATCCCCTTGGAAGAGGGCAACTACCTCTCCAGATACCTTAGAGGGAACAGACTCTTTTACCTTGCAAGGTACTGAGAATCATCTTGCCATCGCCATGAATTTGTAGCCGCGAAAAGAGTCGCAAACCCCTCTCGGCACGATTGGTAAGGTTTCCCTTGTAGATCGTGCATCGATGGAGTAAGGATCGACGCACCGGCCTTCCACATCTCTGCCCAAGTGTGCAGACCCTCCGATCTTGCATTGCCTTCCCCATATCTACTCCTAGGACACTGACTTGGGTTCTCACGTTTGTCGCGAAATTCACGAAAGTTGCCAATCTTATCGGAACCCCATGCCGACCTCTAATCATCCCGGGAGCCCGGACTCTACCTTGGGTCCGATAAACGGCTCGACAAAGTTGGCGCCGATCCTTTCGCTCGCCCTACTCCTTCCGGGCCCTTCCTCTCCCGACTAAATCGGGAAGGCCTCCTCCGGGCCAACTCCTTGTACCGTTGTGCCTAAGTATATTATTACAAAATCTAGATTACAAGGTTACAGGAACTAGACTTTTCTGCATGGTAGTGATTTGGCCACATTCCAATGCACGGAGCCAATACGACTCAATTTCGTACTGGCCGATCCCCAAATCCTAGCGGTGAGATGGTCGAGCAAGGTGAGTACTCCTCGCGTCTTCTCTAGATGCTTGTCTTCGTTATGAACATTGCATATGTGTTGCTCGGTTTAAGAGTATGTTGAAGATAATGACGAAAATCGGTTCTCGAGGTTGGTGTACAGAATCAAAAATACTTCCTGTGAACATTTGAAGGCTTATATTCAATGTAGGCCCACGAGAATGTAACTCCCGGATATCAGAAGGCGAACCCATTAAGATGCTTCTCATTCTCGAGGTTCCATACCCTTTCAATCAACTGATTAACTTTGCCCGTGTCCGTGAACCCACCATATGTGGCGAGAGCGCGTGTTTTTCTCTCAATCTCCTTCCTGTGAACAAAAAGTCAGCTTGACAACTTCGTAAAAAAGTGAAGCACTCGCGAACGTACCTTGTTAACGGAAGCTCAGGATCTCCCTTTGCAAATTCCACTGTCTCGGTAAACTTCTGCCCATCCTTGGTAGTAACAATCACAGTTCCCTGCCAACTCTCCGGGAATTTGCTCTCAATCACCGGATCCAATTCCATCGTCACGCGACCTTGGAACTCTCGCAGGGATGAATCTTTCAAGTCTTCCTCGGTAAAGTCAGTGATCATAGCCTGTCCCTTTTTGGCAGCCACGGCAAGAACAAAGCCCATCGAGAATTTGCTTTGGTGAACAGTCTCTCCCCTCCCGCTAAGACCGAGAACGTTGAGAGCCGCCTGATAGGTGCGTGCAACGACAGACTCAATATCTTCAAAAGCAACTCCGTTCTTCTTCATGAGGCTCAACAGTGCATCGACGCTTGGATGAGTATGCCGACAAGACGCATGCCACTTGAAGCTGGACCGAGTTACTTGGTAGTTCTCCCCTAGATTCTGATCAATCGCTTCGAGATTCGTGCTTCCCGGGACCAGCGCAATACCCATCGCTCGGGGCCCTTCAAGGATGTCGCGTGGGCCAAGGAGTCCGTCACGGGCAGAATAGGCGGCAAATATTCCATCAAAGCACGCTTTTCCCGTGTGCACTTGTTTTGAGTGCGTCGCGTCCATCAGAAACTGCCAAAGTCCTGCTGCTTGTGTTCCCGCCGTTCCAATTGCAGACAGAGTCTGTTCGGCATCGAGCTTCAAAAGATGGGCAACGGCTGCCGCAACTCCAATGACACCTCCGGTTGCAGTCGTGTGGAAGCGCTGCATCATGGTAAACAGGCAGAAGTCATTGTGAAAGCTTGAAATAGCGTACCTCGTAATGGCTCTTGCCTAGAAATTCTCCTACCCGGCAGCCAACCTCGTAACCGACGACGCACGCCGCAATGAAATCTTCTCCACTAGCTCCAACTTCCTGGGCCACCGCAAGGGCGGTGGGATATATGACAGTCGCCTGGATATAAATCAGCTTTCATCTTGAGAAGACGAAGCTTGGAAGGAAGCCCAAGTTCAAAGTCTAGTAAACTCACAGGATGCATAATACTGCTATTGTGGAGATCGTCCTGTTCAACCACGTGGGACGAAGCACCGTTGACCAGACTAGCAAAAGCAGGACTAGTCGTGAACCTCAGGTCTCCATCAACCAATTCACTCTTCCCGTGGGAAGGGCCCATTTGTACAGCGAACTTGGACATGGCAACGACAGCTGGATGATGGCGACCGGCGATAGTACAGCCCAGCGTGTCCAAGAAGAAATCTTTAGTCTTCTCGACCACATCTTGGGGGATATCAGCATATCGGAGGTTGGCAGCCCAGCTAGCCAAACGCTCGGTTCTCGTCCCATCTGCGGGCAATTTTGAAGCCGAAGCCATTGTTGGGTCGGCGGTTTTCTAGCCGCGGATTGTTTATTCTGATTTTGGGATCAGGAAGTTTACGCCCTTTTGTGCTGGTGTGTAGAATCTGAGGGGCATCGCGGAAGTTAGTCCTTTACCCCATTAAGAACAGCCACTTTCCGAGGTAAAAGGCAGGCCGGTGTCGTACCAAGTAGGCGACTCTCATTAAAGTGGGGCGACTGAGCTGGCCTGTACTACAGCCCCAACTCCCGGGTCTTTGCGCTGCCATATAGCCGATCCAATGACGTACGTGCGGGATAATGGTGTGGAGGATCCAAGTAATGATTGAAGTTCAGAACAGAGCCAGACATTCATGCAATGGAGTATGGAACAGTTTTTGATGCTCATAAGCGTGACATTCGCCAGGCTCCCGTACTGGATAGCTTTCCCTGCCGGCTTTATTGCCTACACATCGTTTCAGATGATGTGGTTGATCGGGCCTTTCTAAGTAGGTACATAATTTGTGGTAACCCACGGAAAGTAACACCAAGATCTAATAGATACACATGGTAAATCCATGCCAGTAGTTTACTGCTTTGCAGACCCTGTATTTTCAACAGCATCTGCACGATCCCAGCTATCTGTCTCCAACGTCCGGACCCGATTCTCGATCTCCAGAATGCGCTGCCGCCACTCCTGCTTCGCTTTCTCCTGCAGTTCCCAAATTGTCTTGAATTGATCAAAGATAAAGGGCGGCAGCTCGGGGGTCTTCCGGTTCTGCTTATAGTCATATGTGACAATATCCTCATGGCAGCGAGCTGCAGGGCGCTGACGAGATTCCGACAGGATCATCACCTGGAGCTGGAATGCGGATTGTGATGCGAGAGTCGATGATGGATCTTGAACTAGCTTTTGGTAGATAGTGATCTTGTCCGGGAATTTCATGGGCTGTCGCAACCGCGATACATTCTTTAGCCGAGCTGTCCAAAACAATACCGTCTTGATGACTTACAAACTTATAGTCGACCTTGATACTTCGCAGGATGAGCCCGATACCAACAGAATTGAGAAGGCCGAGCCATTCCTTCCTGTTTGCTTGGTCGATATGATTGCCGATGTTGCGGGTCCAATTTACCCGAGCGGACTCGGCGTATCTAACATAAGTGACATTATTGACATGTCCTGTTTAGCGGTCAGATTTAGGGGTCCATTGGAAAGACTTTATAGGTGAGATAAAATGCATACCCTAAGCCAGATATGTCAGCATTTAATTCAGATGTAAGGGTTGCGCATCCAGTGCAACAAAGGACAGGGGCACGAGCTTACCATGACATCCTAATCGACAGGGTAGATCCAAGGTCAGCGGTCTCAATTCACCCATAAAATGGCAGCAATTTGGGCCTAGACTCATACCATCTCCCCCCACACCACATTATGGCGATACAAGGCCCGCCTCTTCTCATCGGTCAAGAAGCCCTCACTGCCAGCAATCAATTCTCGCCAGTCCCTGGCCAATTGTTGTAGGATCTTCCCTGCCTCGTCGACTTGGTTCGACTTGAGACCGAACATCATACACCGCCCAACTCGTCGCTTCATCATGGTGAGCCATCGTGGATCGATTGGGTGCGGTTGTGCAGGCGGGTTCTCCGGTGTCGGCCCGCGCGCATTCTGTGCTGGTGCGGTTGTGGAAAGGTGACGGCGCGTGTAGAGGAAGGAAGTCGAGCTTGGAAGCTGCCTCTGTAATACGATTCGTGGAATCATGATGCGTGTTTGTGTGGAGAGGAGTTGAATGTGATAATCGCAGACAGTTGAATGCCGAAGCTTCGGCCAGGGTTCGGCAAGAACCCCGCGTGTAGCCGTATAGCGCGTGCTTGCGTCGCGTTAACGATGTTCCCTTGGAAGCATAGTACTGCTTTGTGTATTTTTTTTTTTCATATGCTTTGCTATTTTGATTCATTACTATGCTTTAATCAAGCCCATTGTTGCCATAATTCGCTATCAATAGACCCCTTGGGGGGTACTGCTCAACTAGTAGCTACGTTTCAAACTAGTTAACCTCTACAAGTTTGTCAATCGCGATAGAATGACAAATAGGCCATCAAATTTGTACCGAAAGTTGAAAGCTCGGCTGAGGTAAATTGACGGTTGTTTGACGTGTTATTGTTTGGCGTTCTTGATTCCGATAAACAGCAGCTCGAGATCTCCGCACCGCCGTACGTCACCGACAACTCCCGAGCATTTCTCCAACTTCACTTCCCCGTCTTTGCTATGCAAAACCCTCCTCTACGGATCTGATCAACTTCCCGACGCTGCCATCTCCAAAACATCAGCTATCATTGCATGAACTAACCATGGTCAACCCTGAGCTGCGCCGTCAGGTCATCACCGTGTACAAAGGTACGATCGCCTCGGACAGGCTCTACAGCGCAAGCGCATTTCTGGGAGTATACTGACTGGGACCTGTAGAACTTCTCTTTATGGGGCGGGAATACCCCCTCGGATATCAGTATTTCAGGGACCGACTCCACCGCGCGTTTGCCGGCCAGGCTCATCTCCGCGACGAGGAGCAGATCCGAAAAGGAATCGCGAGGGCTGAGTTTGTGAAGAAAGGTAAGGCGTCCCAACCTGGTTCCGCTGAAATTCAAGAGGAATGGCCGTTAATCTTGAAATTTTAGAAGTCGAAGCTCTGTAAGATCGAACTCTACGCCTGCTTGACCTCCTCCCCTTCCCTTGACCACTGACTATACACTGCAACGATGCTTCCCCGTTCCCTTTCAATACGAAGATGTGGAGATTGGACATAATTCGTCGAGGTCATTCTGTCATTCTTTTATATATTGCCTTCTTGTGCACGCGGGCAGAGCCAGGTTATGAGGCAGCTGTCCCTGGTCCACTCATTTTTGTCATACATCATAGCATCATGCGAGCACAAATCTCCCCCTCGACTCAAAATTTTGGTTTGAAATGGACGCTGACAAGATCACCAAACTCCAGGTACTACCTGAAGCGGTATCGGACGCTGAAACAGCGCTATGAGACTTCTTGAAGCCCACGTTGCCACGTTGCCACAGACCTCGAAACTCCCGGACAGGAAATGCTCAGACCATATGCATCCTAGAAACCTGGAAAGACAAAAAAAAATAAAAATAAAAATAAAAATAAAAAACAATCACCAATTGGGGTATCACCAATACGAAGCGTACATCAATGATCACTGTTTTGCGCCCACCGAAACACCAGAATTGACTCATGGGGGGTCTCATATCTTTTGACCCCACCAGGCACTGACTTCGAGACACTCGCCACTGGCGAGGCTGCCCTTCTGGAAGAGGTCTGCGGTCATTGCCGCCCACCAGCGGTCCCACTCATCGCGACCCTTACCACTGGCCTCCATAAGCAAGGGTTCTAATCCTTCGATCATCTGGATGACCGTTATCAAGGCCGTTCTCCGAAGGGAGGCCTGTTCGGGAGTCAGTGACTTGCGTGCACGACCCTTGGAATCCTTGCCGGTGCCTTCTCGCTCCCACCGCAAGTCGCCGAGTGGGATTGCGATGCGGCGGCTGTCCACATTCTCGAGGAGATCCACCTCCGAATTGAAGGACAGGCCAATGGTGGCACATGGCAAGGCCGTGAGTTTGAGCCGGTCGAATGACTTCTCGACCCAGGAGTTGTAGTCGACGAGGAATTTGTTCTGTGCTCTGGTGAAAGGTGTGGCGGAGGAAAATGTATAGGTGGCGGTCGACTCGGCGATCTCTTGGTCTTTCGTGGAGGTCTGGCGGGCCGGTGCTGGGTTAGGGAGCAGTGACCGGAATACCCAGTCCGAGTCCCACACCTCGAGGATTCCTCCAGATTTCAGGATTCGAAGAGGTTCACTCAAGCCCGAGGCTTGTTGCGCGGGGCTGGAAGAGCACATCCCCGCATCTTTAATAAAAACAAGATCGAAATAATCATCGGGGAAAGGTAGACGAGGCTTTCGTAGGTCATGTCGTTTAAATTGCCAGTTCATTCCCTGTTTGCGCAAATCCGGCGCGAGCGATACCATGTCAAGGCCGACAAATGAAACGTTCGGCTGGCCGCGGCGAACGAAGTACTCATGGCACAGGCCGGACCACAGACCAGATCCGCAGGCGATCTCCAGGACGCGCTTAGGCGGGTGATTAGCCAGGTGGGGGTTGCAAAACGGACCGCCAAAGACGCGCAGCAGCATCATGGTGCGTAGGCTCTGGCGGTGGATCTCGGGCAGGTCGCATGGTAGAGGATATGTGTTATCCGGGTCGCGGAAGTAGGTGCGGTCGCCATATCGCGCGAGTGGGTAGGTGTTGTAGTCCGTCAAGGATCCCAAGGACGAGGAGGAGGTTGCGGCAAAAGTCGAGCTGAGGTTGGAGTGAATTTCTGAACCCGAGCCCGCGGGGGCCGCAAACGAAGCTGTTCCTGCCGACATCATATCCATCTCCGATTCAAACGCATCGATTGTCCCCGTTGACTCTTCAATGCGGTTCTCCGGTCGGTTGCATTCTCGTGCAATTGAAGTTTCATGAACTGAGCGACATACTTGTCCAAGTGAAAAGCTCGAGGTGTACTTTGCTCAAAGGGAATTTCGAGAGAAGAAAAAGTGCAACTAGAGAAGAAAAAAAAAAAGGGAAGATCCAGGCGGCCCGGACAAAATCCTTTAGTGTAGTCGGGAAGAAGTTGAAAATTCGATTTCGGGGGGCGTTCACGCTCGAGTCATGGAGTTGGAGTATGCATAAACGACGCACTATTCCCTCAGGCTCAGCAATAGGCAAGGTCGAGGAAAAAGGAAGAGAGAGAGAGAGGGGAATGGAAGGAAAAGTCGAGTAGAAGACCGCCTAGTTCCGACCCCTGGAACTAAGTGCCATTTGAACAGTATCCACACGAGTCCAGAAGGGAGGCTAGTTTCTCGTAATGACCAACATCAGTACGGAGTACCGTCGAGGTAATTATGGACTCCAACTCGTGGGAAACTACGGACATAGATTGCAATTGGTATTAAAAGGAGTCGCCCCGCCAATGACAAATATTGGCCGCGTTTCGGCTAATTTTTGGTCTTCACAAAGCCATTCGAGGAACGCAACGTCTACAATTCGTGCCTACAAAGGAGGCTTCAGTACGCCTAACAGGTCGGGGCGGGCGGTTGTGCCGACCTATACTGACATCATGAGTCGAATGGGTACCACGGGCCACCAGTGCCACTTGTCCCGAATGAATCTTAAGGGATTCGCCGCATCTGGCAAAAGGCGGATGCCGCATCGCGAACTATAAGCGGAGCGTGCATCGCTATGCCATACCAACAGCTTCTTTCTTGCTTGCTTTTTTTCTATTTCTTTTTTTCTTTCCAAACGAGCCCCTCTTGGAGAGGCTCTTGGAGGGGCTATAACACCGACACGGTCCTAAACTCGACCAGCCGGGGTCTCTGGCCGGTGCGTGCGTAGCTGACACGTGGAGGGAGTCGGGACCATCTGGTTGTGACCTTGGATAATAAGAGTTTTTCGGAGTGACAGGCAACGGCACAGAAAATTCTGTGTTTTGCAAAAGTACCTTTTGTACTGGTCAACGGGTACGGAGTACAAATAGTCCCAAATAGTACTAAGTAGTACGACTGAATACAAGGCCGCCGGAGATCCCTGCCCGCCATGTCCACCGTCCCAATTCTCAGGTACCCGGCTCCCAAACTAGCGGTACAGTAGGTGAGACTTAGGCTCGCCTTGCCTCTTCTATCCGATACCTGCCCCGTGCTTCCCGTGCTATCCTGGGGAAGTTTCCAGCCCCCAGTCTCTTCCCGGCTGTTGTATCCCTGCTCTCCCGGCACTCGGCCTCGACTTTCTCCTTGACCCCGATGCTATGCCCCCCCACCCCCCGGTAAAATATGTTCCTGCAGACTGAAGACAAGGATTGGATCTACACAATGTACATCAAAGCGCCTGCCTCGTACTTTTGGGCTAGCAGCTCCCTGGACTCGTCAGATCCTTCTGTCATTGTTGGACTCTCAGACCTCGAGCTGAAATACGAGCTCTGTGTTTTACATATCTAGAAGTGAAGTAATAATTACGAACGCCTCATTTTCTGATACGATATCAACGTATCCCGGTCGCATGACTTCAAGACAACCGTGGCCAGATGCTGCAGTGGCGGGACCAGGGGGCGGAAGTATGTGAGAAGCGGGGCTTTGCGTCGATCGTGTTATTCTTGCCTATGCTACCGTTAGTTCCAAACCCTGGGAGTACCCTAGGCTAAGAAGCGAGATCAATAGTGGAGGCGGATACCCTTTTTTTTATTTTGGCGGGGAATGCTTGGACTCGAGCATGGTCTCGGGATTGGGCCATTATTGTACGTGTCGGTTATCGTAGAAGCGTGTAGTTGTCGGACGTGAAACATGATTTCAGGTCCAAAAATCCAGATGTGGCAACGGCGAGGTCAATAAACTATCATCTGTGCCATCAAAGACTATTGCTTCGGGCCTCGAGGTTAGGTCTTACTGGCAGTTAGCAGCACAAACCGGCCCTGGTCACAGTCATTTTGGGCTAACTATACGTGCCCAAGGGGGCTTTTTTTCAAGTCTTGTGCCATCATTATTCCCTAACAGGAACCGAGGGGGTCTCTGATGTGAAAGTTTCACCATCCTTTTTTAGTGTTTATCTGACATACATCTTCAGGATAAAGTGAATGGTGGACTAGTGCCAGGTATAGTCGCATGGCTTTGCATGGCTAGCTGGACGAAAGGAAGCATCTGGGATAGATACCCCGTAAGCCTGCAGACAAAGAGATGAAGGAAATGAGGTCGACCTCGGTCTGCCTGTTAAAGCTGCTATAGCCATAATTCAACAAGTGAGCAAGTCAGAACCCGGACACCAGGTTCCCAGCGCTTAACGCCACTAAACGACTTCTCTTAAGCGGCCACCAGCCGCCAATGTCACAACCCTCTTAAACATCGCCCCTCCCTAGCCCCATATTACTTCACTCCCTTCAAAATCAACCATTTTTTTTTACAAGATAAGCTTAGAAGTACCGTCGAGAGACCAGGGAGGAATCGGCCCCGTCAAGTCTTGGCGAAGGCGAATCACATCCGGTATATCACGTGAGGACGCTACTCCCGCCTTCGATGCAAACCGTCCAAGACAGTCATCTCGATCGCTCTACCTTATCGACCGACCTCCCCCCGCGCAAGAGACAATCGTGCGAGCTGCCCCCAAATCCTTGACCTTTACTCCAGACTATCCTTCTGACTCTTTGACCTTCCCCCAGCTTACTAGACCACCCATCGGTGCTCGTGACTTCCGCCCGCCCTCCCGCCCTTAGGTGCCGCTCAATCCAAACTCGGCCTTACCATCACCGACTGCTATCACCCCACCGTCCCGAGGTCATCTGTGGCCACTGACCCCTCAATTGTGCTCTTCTAGACGGGGTCGTTCTGCCTCAGGACTCTATGTGGAAGAAGAGAAGAGACCGTATCCGATCCGCTACTCCTCTCCTCATCTCTTCCACTCCGATCCTGTCGCCGCGTGCCCACCCCCCGGTTCTTCGCCAGGGAAATAAGACAAGGTCTCGTCTGCCCCGTTAAATGGCAGATGGTACCTACAGGTTCCAGCAGCCTGGGGCCGGGCCGTTCTTCTTCCAAACGCAACCGCAGCAGCACTCGCACCAACGACACACCCTTCAAAACGGAACCAATTCTCCGGGGCGACTGAAATTCAACCACGAAACCCCCTCGCCATCTCGATCGCCTCCTGTAAACCAATCGGCCTCCTTGAATCCATTCACCATGTATGGCCAGGGCCATCAAGGACAGCATGTTATGATGAATAGCGGCCAAGCCCATCAGCGGTTTGGAATGCAAATCCCCAAGTTTCAGTCGCAAAGTCATCATCCCCACCATGCCCAGCAACCACACCATCACACGCACCACGCCCAAGCCGCGCACACCCTCACTCATCACAACAACTTCTCCGGCGGCGCTCTTTCCACGACTACTCCTCACTTCACTCCGACCCACCTCCAGAATGGCACGCCGAACGCGGTGGATGATGATATGGATGACTCGATGAACGAGCATTGGCAGCACCAGCTTCAACTTGCTGCCGAGTCGCGACAGGCTAATTCCCCTCACTACTATGCCCGCGTCATGGCACAGCAGTCCAAGGGGATACAAATTATGCCCAGTCATGCAGATGCGTCGGAACAAGGGGCCGATGGACGCAATGGAACTGCCGCGGGGAAGCCGGGCTCTCGGCAAGGTTGGAATGCGCTAGATTTCGGTGGACAAGGATTGCGGGCCATGGCTACCTCGCTTTTCAGCTACGGCTTCCTTGAGAAGCTGTACCTGAACCACAACAAGCTGAAAGCGCTCCCTCCGGCAATCGGTCAGCTTCGGAAGTTAACTCACCTCGATCTTTCTGGCAATGACCTGACTGAGCTGCCCGAAGAGATCGGCATGCTGTCAAACCTCAAGAAGCTCTACCTTTTCGACAACAACATCCGCACACTCCCCTATGAGATGGGTTACTTGTATCGGCTGGACACTTTGGGCATTGAGGGCAACCCTCTCAACGATGTTCTCAAGTCTCAGATCATGAAGGATGGGACCAAGGCACTGATCAAGTACCTCAAGGAAGAGATGCCTGGTGAGTCGATTACATTGAACCTTCAACTTGAAAATCTGTGAATTGGATTTGACTAATCTTTTATCCCCTTAGTTCACCTGCCCCCGCCCGATCGAGATTGGGTCATCCTTGACGAAACCGCGAGCTCGACTAACAGCCCCACCGAGAAAATCACGGTCCTCTCCTACAACACCCTCTGCGATTCCTCTGCCACCCAGTCACACTACGGCTACGCCCCCTCCCGCATTCTTTCCTGGGAGTTCCGCCGAGAACTCATCCTTAACGAATTACGATCTCACAGTTCGGATATTGTCTGTCTTCAGGAAGTTGATCAAGGAAGCTACAACGGCTTTTTCCGAGAACAACTTGCTTACAATGACTACAAAGGTGTCTTTTGGCCGCGTGGGCGTGCGATGGGCATGCAGGAGGATGATGCGAAGAATGTCGACGGTTGCGCCACGTTCTTCAAGGGAAGCAAATACATCTTGCTGGACAAACAGTTGATCAACTTTGGTCAAACCGCTGTCAGACGGCCCGATGCCAAGGGTCAGGATGATATTTACAACCGGCTGTGGCAGAAAGATCACATCGCAGTTGTCATCTTCCTGGAGAACCGCCAAACCGGAGCACGTTTCATTATTGTAAATGCTCATCTCTACTGGGACCCGGCATTCAAGGACGTCAAGCTCATCCAGACTGCCATCTTGATGGAAGAACTCACGAAACTTTCGGACAAATACGCCAAATGGCCTGCGTGTACCGACAAGACCGCATTCCGTTTCTCAGAAGCAGAAAGCGAGAACACGCCCACCGTGGAGCCCGCACCGTCAGCGGAGTATGCCAGCGGTGACCAAATTCCTCTTCTCATGTGCGGTGACTTCAACTCCTCGCCTGGGTCGGCGGCGTACACCCTGATCAACACCGGTCGACTTGTCGAGGAGCATCCGGAACTTGAGAAGCGCCTCTACGGTAACCTCAGTAAGGTCGGTATGACGCATCCGTTCAAGCTCAAGTCGGCCTATGGCTCTATCGGGGAGTTGAGCTTCACCAACTACACTCCTGACTTCAAGGATATCCTTGATTATGTGTGGTACACTTCCAACACACTTCATGTGTCGGCGTTGTTGGGAGAGGTAGATAAGGACTACCTCAGCCGGGTACCCGGGTTCCCCAATTTCCATTTTCCTAGTGATCACGTTGCATTATTCGCGGAGTTTACCGTTAAGGGGAAAAAGGGTAAGGTTGTGGAAGCGGATTTTGGACCGCAACGACACTGAGGGGCCGGAGCATTTCGCGTCTTGGGAGACGGGTGTTTGTCTAGTCTGGTTTTTCTTTTTTCCCATTTCCTTTACTGTTATCTCGGAATCTTTGGAGCGGTGGGTTCTTAGCTCGCTGTCTTTGTTGTCTCGTCTCGTCTTCTTTTTATCTTTCTTGTTGTCGTTTCTTCACCGTGATTATGAAGTTGTTTCCTTTTCTCTCCTGCCTTGCTGTCCTCTATCTCCTGCCGTGCTGTTGAAACGTATCCTCCAGTCGAAATCCCGATTGGGGGAAGTGGTAAACGGCGTGGCAGTCTCGCTTTCCTTCTCCACCCTCACTGCTTTTTCTCATCTCTGTTCTCTTCACGTTGGGGTTTCCTGATATCTTCTCGGTTTCATCTCACCTAATCTGTAACGTCATCTGGGGTTCACGACGCTTAGTGCGGGTTGGTGTTCAGGTGGAACAGGTGGCCGAAGGACTCGAGGTTGCTTGTTTGGTTTTTGCCCGGCGAAGGGAGTTTTCTGATCCATGTACTTGTTTCTGCCGTGCCTTATCGAGAATAGAGTGTGGCTATTTCCATCTTGAACTGCCGAAATGTAGATTCGTACTGTTATGTACTAGCGTCGGGTGATGCCTCATCACATGTCTGACACATGAAATAACCCGTCAGCAGTGTGTTCTTCCTTTCCTACCTTGTACCAACATCATGACTACTGAAGAAGGCACTCATACACTGCCCGATGGGCAGCAGCTCTATACCAAGACCTGGAAGGTTTGTTTCTCTGCTTGTTTGAGGGAAGCGATCGTCACTAGAGATCAGAAGCACATCTCTTGGGAACCCTCCAGAGACTCGTCCATTTATTGGCCTTTCCTGGCGGGAAGACGTCCGAAGCTAACTTATCTTCTTTAATAGCCAAATGAATCACCTCGGGCTGTCCTGGCCTTTGTCCATGGATTCAGTGATCACTGTGAGTCTACCGGAAACAAGAGCTACATCCACATCTTGGAGAGCGACTCATCTATAACTACACAGGCAATGCCTACTACGACTTCTTCCCAAGCCTGGCCTCAGCCGGTATTGAGGTTCGAGCTTTTGACCAGCGGTACGTAATTCGGCGTCTAGAGGAGCAGGAACATACTGTCCAGCTTCCTCGATAACCCGATACTCTGTACATTACGACTAAACAACCGTATTCAACAACAGAGGCTGGGGCAAATCAGTCAAAACGCGCAAAGACCGTGGCAACACCGGCGACACCGCGCAAGTCCTCTCCGACATGCACTCGTTCCTGGCCAGCGTCGCAGTACACGCCGAAGCAACCAACACCCCACTCTTCCTAGCGGGCCACAGCATGGGCGGCGGTCAAGTACTCACCTACATCCTCCACCCAGAGTCACCCTACCACACAGCCAGCAAGCCTAAACTATTCGGCGCTCTCGTCTGGGGCCCGCTCATCACGCTGGACCCGTCAACCCAGCCGTGGAAAATCACCCTGGTAGCAGGTAGACTAGCAGCGCGGGTCCTCCCACGGTGGCAGCGGCACACGCCGCTTGATCCGGAACTGATATCGCGGGATAAGCAGATAGTGGAGAGTTACAAGGCTGATGAGCTGTGTCATGATACTGGGACTCTGGAAGGCTTGAAGGGGATGTTGGATAGAGGGTTGTGGCTGGATGAGGTCGGAGTGGATGTTTATGAGAGGGCCGGGCTTTTGCCATTGTGGGTTGGGCACGGGGCTTGTGACCGTGTTACTGGCTTTGAAGGTACGAAGGCATTTGTGAAGAGGCTTGGGGATAAAGGAGATGTTACGTTTTGTCAGTACGAGGGTGCTTTCCATACCTTGCATGTGGAATTGCCTGAGACGACGGGAAGGTTCACTAAGGATTTCTCGGATTGGGTGGTAGCGAGATGTCCTCCTGTGGCCGGTGGTGTCTCTGGCTTGGGTGAAAGTCAAGTGGAAAGTGGTCAACAGGATGAGCCAGTTTCGGGCGAGACGGAGGCCGAGAGTGGAAAGAAGGCGAAGCTGTGAATTGGCAGTGTTTGATGCAGCATCCTTTTTCGGGTGTTGCGTCTGATTATATATCCATGTCTATTATACAATTGTCTTGGTCTATCTCTTAAGTTTCTAATTTACAGGTGACGATACATATGTACCTCGGAGAGGAGAGAGATCACTTAGCAGGTGGATCTTCAATGCGTCGCCAAACCCCAACAAAGCCTCCGCCCATTGTGCGCAAGCCGACTTTGGGGCGACATATCATGACCATGTCATCTTCTTTACCCGATTCCTCGGGAGGAAGGACCTCGCTGGCATTATCTGTGGCTGCCTCATCAGACTCAGCTGGAGTAGCTTCATCCACCTCGGAAGAAGGTCCCCAAGATGAAGGGTCAGCGCCGGACTTCTTAGCCACAAGACGGACATCCCATTGCCGGCCACTACTGATTCCAATGCCGAGCTCGACGACTCGTTCTTGGAAGAAAGGCAGTCGATGCTGGCGCATGATCTTCACACAATCACCGACCTGAGTGATGCTGGGCATGAACACGATCAGGATACCATCTCGTCTCAAGATTGGAGCCACGTGAGGAATCCGAAGATGGGCGGAAGGCATGTCTAGGATGACGTGAGACAGGTAGGGCTCAACTGAGCGCGAACCGGTCAGCGAAGCCAGGACACCGGTCTTTTCACGACGTTTATTCTGCTCGGCGACCCAATTCTCGACCGGACCAACGTAGAAATCAACATCACCGGTGTATATACCGCGGCGGAAGCCCCGTACGTTCTGCTCAGCTAGCGCTGAGAACTTGGACGAGACATCCACGGAGTGAATGATGGCGCCCCGCTGTGCTCGCCACGCATCCCATTCCCGTTGTGTAGAGTCAACGCTCGTGGCTGACTGTGTGTCTTCTGAATCCTTCTCTCCGGGTCGTTGAAGTCGGTCTTCGACGAACTGAATCTGAGATCGTCGGGGTTGAGGAGGTGGAGTTGTGTTGGCCGCGTGGATGGCGCGTGCCAGGTGTAAAGTCAGGGAACCATGCCCCGTTCCAGACTCAAGAATCTCTAGCGGAGGTTGGTTCTCGTTCGCGGCTGGAGGATTGACATGGATGTCGAGGAGGGAGACGATCAGGGTTGCATCATGCGAGTAGATCTAACGGCGTGAGCAATTGGGTTGATTCGCATGGGCGATGCGCATACCGGCGTCACATGTCGAGGGGTCAAGGCAACATATTCTTCCAACGTTGGAAGGCTCAATCGAAGCTCTGGACCTGCAAAGAGATTAGTTCTCCGCCCAGAAGAACGTCGGTGTTTCCTACCCTTGTGTGCCTGGACAGCATCCCTCACCCGGCTCCCAATGATGCGATCGTGATCCACGTGTCCCCGGCGCAGACTTGTCTTGCTACCTTTCGTCAATGGCTTCGTCAATGAAGGCTGCTTGGTGTGCAACACGGCCCGATCGCCCTCTGCGCGTTGTCAGTATTCAGCTCAGCGCGAAGATCCTCAATGGGCGCACCTCGAAAGATGGAGAAATCGGTATCAACGGACCGAGCGCGAGGAGCAGTCGACGGCGCAGACCAACCTAGGACGCGCCGTAGAGATTGTAACACACGAGCCATCGCAGAATCCGGGGCTAAAAATGACCAGAACGGGAAAATCTTGGGCGCGGCGAACATTACCCACTCCGGCGCCATGATTGACCCACATGTTGATCCCCGGCTTCCCCTCGCTGGTTCACCGGACCCCTCGATATTCTTTTTTCACGCTCTTGCCTCCCATTCTCTTGCCATCTACAAGTCCCGACTTCCAAATTTCGATCCTCTATTCCGTCACAATGGGGTCTACCGTTCTTCCGTACATGGAGACCAAGCCGAAGTTGATTTTCTTCACCGACTTCGATGGCACGATTACAGTTGATGACAGTGGGTATGCCCTGGTTAAACGGATAGAGTCCGAGGCTAACGGTATTCAAAGGCAATGACCATATGGTCCGTGTCCTATGTCTTTTCGCGCTCTTCCCAGACTGACCGTCGCAGATTGATAATCTCGGTTTCGGCCGCGATCGCCGTCAGGTATTGAACGAGCAGGTTCTCGCCGAGACTCTTGGTTTCCGGTAGGATGGAGACATACATTGTTGTATGTATTGATAATTGACGTACTTTGTCTTCTAGGGATGCCTTCCGCGAAATGCTCGACAGCATCAAGACCCCGTTCAACGAGTGTATCGAGATCCTAAAGAAGAACATGAAGCTGGACCCATACTTCGAGAAGTTCTACTATTGGGCCAAGGAGAACAACGTGCCCATCGTCATTTTGTCCGGGGGCATGCGGCCGGTCATTAGCGCTCTGCTCGAAGAGTTCTTGGGCCACAAGCCCGACAGCCACGTTCATATTGTTTCCAACCAAGTGGTGACCCGGGAAGGCAAGGATATCAACAGCGAGGGCGGCTGGAAGATTGAGTTCCATGATCAGAGGTAGGTCTTTACCGGGTGCGAATTGGCTGCATATCCGATCAGCATACTCACGCTCACCTTCTAGCCACTTCGGCCACGACAAGTCCATCGAGATCAAGCCTTACACTGCTCTGAGCGACAACGAGCGCCCGATTCTTCTGTACGCCGGTGATGGTGTCTCCGACCTGTCGGCCGCGGCAGAGACCAACCTCCTGTTTGCCAAGGAGGGCAAAGGTAACCTCCCGACCTTCCCAAACTCCCCAAACTCCCCCTGCCCGACATCCAAAACTGACACCGTTCCAGACCTTGTGACCTTCTGCCAGCGCCGAGGTATGCCTTACACGACCTTCCAGAACTGGTCGACCATCCTGTCAACCACTCAGGATATCCTCGACGGTAAGGTGACGCCCAGTCAGGTGGCTGTCAGGGCCAAGAGCGCGTAAGAACGGGAAACCATATAGAAGTGGACATATAGAGGACGAAACGGGGGTCTGAAATAGTATTTGTACCCCGGATCGTCAGTAATAGAAAGTACCAATAGAAATGAACCCATCATGACGATCAAAGCGGAGAGTCTTCAGGAGTCGAGAGTGACCGACCGCCTTGCGGGTCCAAGCGTCGACCTCGAAGTTCCCCCAAAACAACTCTCATTTTCCCATCTACATCGAAAGGCTCCATGGCTTTATGAGTTGACCTAAATCTGCCGGTCTTCTCTTGGCCTGGATCGCACCCTCCCTTTGTTTCTGGGTGACATAATGCGACACTGCGCCTCTCAACTATCTTCGAAGTCCTTGCCAGGGTGATATCAACTACATCATGGCTCGCCGGCTCGTACGTCTCCTTTGTGGAATTCTGAGACGCCAGACTAATGTGTTTTTCCTGTGTAGGTCCGAACGGGCGTTCAGCTCGGCTTACTAGTAACCTTTGTGATTCTTTTGGTCGTATTACTCGATAATCGATTCCGTGTCCTTCCCAACTCCATTCATGGCCACCTTCCGATGCACTACTCTGGCTACGTGATCACCGATGTGACCGTTACCCAATGTTCATCGATCAACCCATTCTCCACTTGCAAACTCGACCCGGATGTTTGGTACCGCATCGAAAAAGACCTCTACCTGCGCTCGGGCTGGACCTCGACTGCCTATATTCAATTCCAGCGGAAGAAGGAGGAGGAGTTGACTGCGGATGACAAGGTCGTTATCGATTTGAAAATCAGTCGTCTCACTCCTCCGACTGAGTATAGTCCCAAGGGTGAGGTCGAAGCCTGGGAACCGCGACCGGGTGGTATCTGGCTGAAGCGTTCAGCCTCCCGCCACGCGAGCGATTCTGGAAATGCGGTGACATACATCGATGTTCTTTTCGGTGCGGATGCCGTGGACCCCCGTATCAATTGGGAAGTCAAAGATACCCCTTTGTTGCTGGATGGCTGGACAGAAAAGCTGGAGACTCGTCTCAGCATTCGACGGGGGAACCCGACCAAGACCAAGAAACCTACGCCCAGAATTAACGAGAATGGAAAGTTCAAGGTCATGCAGCTGGCGGATCTACACTTAAGCACGGGTCTCGGAACTTGTCGTGACCCTGTTCCGGCTGAGCATGCGCCCGGCCACAAGTGCGAAGCCGATCCTCGAACCTTGGAATTCGTGGAACGACTGCTTGATGAGGAGAAGCCCGATATGGTTGTTTTAAGCGGAGACCAGGTGAACGGAGAGACAGCACCTGACGCTCAAAGCGCAGTCTTCAAGGGCGTCCAACTCCTTGTCGACCGCAAGATCCCTTACACCGTCATTTTCGGCAATCACGACGATGAAGGCGACTTGAGCCGAGCACAACTCATGACCATCTACGAAGACCTTCCCTACTCGCTTGCAGCAGCTGGCCCCGAAGACATTGACGGAGTCGGAAACTATATAGTCGAAGTTCTCGACCGCGGCAAGGGCACGCACTCTGCCCTTACCTTCTATTTCCTTGATACCCACTCGTACTCCCCCGATGAACGCCAATTCCGAGGGTACGACTGGATCAAGCCGAGTCAAACTCGCTGGTTCAAGAACACCGCTCAGGGCCTTCGGAGGAAGCATCAGGAATACTCTCACATTCATATGAACTTGGCATTCATCCACATCCCCTTGCCCGAGTACCGGAGCAGCGGGAAATATTTCAAGGGCCAGTGGGATGAGGCTCCAACAGCGCCTGGATTCAATTCCGGCTTCAAGGATGCCCTCCAAGAAGAGGGCGTCCTCTTTGTTAGTTGCGGACAGTAAGTACACCCTCTATGCCACCCGGGCTTCCAGACTTTAACCACCACGCAGTGACCATGTCAACGACTATTGTATGCTCGAGCCCGATGCAAACGAAAAGCCCTCTCTATGGATGTGCTACGGCGGCGGTAGCGGCCTGGGTGGCTACGGCGGCTACAACGACTACGTCCGGCGCGTTCGCTTCTTCGAATTCGACATGGGCCCCGGCCGTGTCACGACCTACAAACGCCTAGAGTGGGGACAAACAGAAGCCAAGATTGACGACATGATGATCATCGACGGCGGTGCTGTCAAGGGTCCAAGTGAAGCATCTTAACGAAGCTTTCTACTTTAGCATTGTTTCTTCACGGCGAGAGTGTCTTCTGTTGCCGTTCTGTCATTTCCGTTCAGGATTTCGTCCATTTTCATTTCTCCTCTGTACATATACTTACATCCCTTTTCCCTTTTGCCTCCAAAAGGTCGGCGTCCGTAAGGTGTCTATCTCTCATTGAATATTTCATATTTTCGTCTCAATTCTTCGAATGTTGTCTAAAGCGTATCGAGTAGGCTTTTATCTAACCTGTACATTTAACACTAGAATAGTGTGGCCTTTTACCACCACTTCTCGAAAAATACTCTCTTGTCTCCATTCACTCCAAGAACCCTCTTCAGTGATTCTACTATTTCGTCTGTCATCTGAGGTGGTCCACATATATAAGCCACTGTTTCTTGAGGATCAAGTTTACCATCCCCTCTCACGACTGCTGCATCAAGATCATTCTCATTGATCCTTCGTGAGTGGATCTTGAGATCAGTGGGAGAAGAAGAGACGGAAAGATCCGAGATTGAATTAGTGAGGAAGAGATCTAGGGAAATGTGCAGGCGCCGTGAAAGCGCCTGAGATCGAATGATCTGGCGCAGTCGTGGAAGGAAGAGAACCTGGTCAAGAACCGTATCTAAAGACGCACTCTCATGTCCCTGGGGAAGCCGACTGGTATACAGAAAATGCACACCCAATGGTTGAGAGGACTGAGTCTGATGGAGATGGGTGAGGATGGAAATAAGCGGACTAAATCCCTGTCAGATTTACTCCAGAATCTTGATCCTCGGGTTATACAGGTCGCGCACGCCGAGGCTAACAGAAATGACAAGACGAATGGAACTGCTTACTTGATACCAACACCGCCGGCAATGAAAACCACGTTTTTGACTTTTTGTATATCTACTCCGGTAGGAGGCCAGACAAAACTGCCGCCCACGCGGATGTTGATTTCTTTGCCAAGGATTTCATCTTTGGGTCTCCATAGCCATGCAGCTGGTGGGTTGCTGGGGGAGTTCTGGACGGCCAATTCCACATAAGGTTTTCCCTGGGACGCAGGTGCACTAGTCTCTGCGCCAAGTAGTGGATCGGGAGACTTCAGCGACGACAGCAATTGGGCGTCTGCCGGCGTGGAAGTGATAGTAAACCCTCCAGCAGCGGCAATAGAGGGGATATGAACATCTAGCCATTGACCGGGAAGAAATATGAATGGCTGTTTCTTATCATCCTGGTGAGTATAAGCCAAGGAGTTCTGTGTATGGGTGGGTTATCACGAGTATTAACGCCAGTGACAGAAGGGACATACACTATCCGGCAGGGCCAACCGTAGCAGGCGGATTGAGGGGTTGACTTGATCCACCTGTGACAGTCGCACTGGGTACAGGTGGTTTTGCCGGGGTTCGGCCGCCGTGCGCAATTCGTGCGGAATCGAGTCTTCGCGCTGGGACATGCTGCGGGCCGTGCCTGTGATGGCACGCTGGGAACTTCGTTGCGCAGATCGCAGGATTGGTCGGCACAGTCGCAAACCCCTCATCTGATTGAGACGGGTTTGAAAGTACCTCTGGAGAGCAGGAGGATCAAAATCCCAGTAGCTCCAAGGTCGCTTCCACGTTGGAATGTTGCACAGGTGTGAGATGCGGAGTAAGAGTTGCCCCACCTGATTCGATGACTTCTGCTTCAACATCAACATAGAACATTGTCCTCTTTGAGCTTTTCTCCATTTTAGTGTTTTTCCATTCTACCGTTCTACAAGGATTGCCTGAGTCAAATGCAAAATCATCATATGGATATGTATGCAACCACAACCCTTGGAATAAACGCATGGCACATCACCAGGCGTGACGGGGAACGACTCGAACTCCACCACGGCGCTTCGCCAGGCATCTCGACTCCTGCCTCCTGCAGCTCGAGCGTGCTGAGGCATCGCTGTGATGCGGAGCCACCGTGCCACCGTGCAGATCCGCCCGTGTGATGAACTAGTGTGTGACGACCGGGCAGCTCATCCCCCGTTCCCCCGTCTCATTGGTGCAACAGCCCTGGCCCAATGCTTGCTCTGGCGCTTTGCGGCCATCTAGCATTGGCCAGATGCAGCTCTCAGAAACACCCCCAGGGCTTGCTGCAACCTGCTTCGCTGCTGATTCGTGCCCCTCTCTGTGCTGGTGCGATGGGCGACTGCGGTTTCTGGGAGCCCGGGGAGACCTCGAGCTCATATCTAACGCCCTCCATACCCGCACTCGAGTGTTCCTGATTTTCTTGCTTTCGGTGCGAAGACCTTGTCTGGATTTTTACATGCGAAGCACTGAACGCCTCAGCCAGCCGGTCTGGTTGATTCGCTTCCTTAATACATTTGCGGCTTCCCAACCCAACCGCCTTCTCAGAGCGAAAAGTACTCGGCGCTAATTGCCCACATTCGCGCAACCACCGTCAACATGCAGTTCTTCTTCCCCAGGAAACATCGTCACTATAAAGTGACCCTCTACTTGATGGTCGTCGAGTTCCCGATCACGGTCGTCTTCTTGACTCTAACGGGTATCGCATCGCACAATCTGTATCAGACATTTCTATGGCAGGATGGTGCAGACAATGGTTTCAACAGCGCCCCCGATGAGGCTCTTTACGCCGCTGCTAATTACCGGCCATACAAAGCGCCTATGGTGTGGTCATCATTGTATGCCGCCTTCGCATCCAACCTACAAACTCAGGAAACAATAGCTGACAGTGAGATAGCCTGACCAACTACAACCTGGTCATTGGAGTACTGAGCACCTTCTTATTGATCGTGAAATTCCCTATCCACTGCATGCACCTGTTTTTCCCTCCTATCGCTGCAACAATTCATGGAGCCATCATGATCATCTACATTGTGTCGGCAAGCTTTCAAGCAGGAAGTGACATGTCAGATCCCAGCCACCCCCAACCCGGACCGCCCTGGTATATTACCAAGAGCTGCAGCGTCGCAGCCCACAAGTCGAATATCGGGTATTGCGAGCAGGCGAAATCACTCTTCGCCGTTTGCGTTATCATTATGTATGCCAAACACCCCTGCCATTCTTTCAACAAAGACAAGACTAACGCCTTCCGCAGCGTCGTCTACTTTGTGGAATTCTGTATCAGCGTCCATTCGTGCTTCATCACCCCGGAGGAACGCGAAGAGATTCTGGAGCAGAGAGAAGAGAAGAAGATCGAAAAGGAATTCGAAGAAGAGATCCTCAAGTCTCCTAGCATGATCCCCTTGACCCCAGGCCCACCTCCACCTGGACACATGAACCCAGGCTTCATGCCGCATCATGGTATGGTACCTCGTACCCCAGGCTTCCCACCCACGGCCGCAACGGGCTACGTCAAGAACGGAGCCCCCGTCTCGCCATTCACCCGGCGCACTTTGGGCTTCAACCGACTCGGTGACAACAATGGAAGTACATCATCGGATCTTCCACTGCGGAATAACTCCAACGTGTCCACGCCCCAAATGCCAGCGCGTATAACGACTACGGAGCTCGGGGCACCAGCGTCATCGATGTACTTCCCTCCGCCCCCGAAGAAGGCAAGCAAGAACTGAATCATCGAGCTTGATTGTGTTTTTGTGATCTGCGTTCCTGATACCATCTTTTGTTTTCCATGTATCCTGCTGTCCTTTCTTATAGGGTATTTTGAGTCTCCCAGCGTGACACGTAGGCACGCAGTTCAAGCCCTTTTTGAATGGCTTTGAAGCATCAAAATAAACCAAGTACATATCAACGGCGTTTGAATAAGGGATCATTGCGCCTGAAACATAGCAGACGTCATTTTTAACACCTTATCATTGGAATGAACTATTTATCATTGGAACGCAAAAACAAGTAATTTCAGTAATCGTATATTATCGAATGCTGGTACGTCTGAAGACAAGCCCAGAAGTTGAGACCAAATATATACATCAAAAATTGTGGACATTGCAACACTGTCATAATTTCATCAATCGTGCTAAATATCGAGCATGAGGCTGCTCAAGGTCAAGCTCATATCAACTCCGCCTGGAATACCGAGGCTTGGGGAAACCGATCGCAGTTAAATGGGTCAAGCAGCTGAAAGGGTATCTTGACGCGAAATCGCAAACTGGGGAGAGAAGAAAGACAAGAACACAAACTTCGGCTGCCGAGAGCCTGCCAGTTTGGAAATAAATAGGGGAAGCTAGGTAGATTCCTGTCGCTTTTTCTCCTTTTTGGACCAGCGCACTAGAGTTCGTCAGCTTCAACTCCATATGACAGGAATATGACAGATACTTACAGCCACAGGCATTGCACAGCGTCTTGGGCCCGTTGGGACCCTTCCGCCACTCGGGCGAGTCGGCTGTTCCGCAGTCACTGCAAGAGTGCTGTCCCTTGAGTCTCTTGCGTCTGTCGCCTTCTTGGGCATTGCGGGCTTGGTCTGCAGCCGTGGTGATGTCAATGTCGCAGTGAACCAGCCGGCCCTTGCGCACGCCGGTACTCAGACCCTGCGATCGTTCGCCATCACCATAGTAGAGACCGGTCATAACTTCGATGCCGTCGATGTGCGATATTCCTTCATTTGGGGGAGGATTATCGAAGAAGTCGCCCGAGTTATTATCAGAATCTTCCGAGTTCGAGTTCGGAGCGACGGTCTCGCTCGATTCCTGATCACTCAGAATGATTTGTGCGGTGGCCGAATTGTCGATCAGCGACTTCTGTTCTTCAATCTTGGGATAAGGCAAGCGGCTCGAGTTCGCCTCTTCCTCTTCTTCCTGCTTGAGTTTGGCAATTTGCTGCACTAGACGTGCATTCTCGATCTTGTGTTCCAGGAAGGAGTCGAGAAGCTGAGAGTTCTTCGTGGGATAAGGCCGACACATAAGGAAGAAGCCCGTGCATCGCTCCTCAGTAGAGGCGTATCTCCCCTGAGATGCGTTCTGGCTGGCGATGTGCGGATGTCCGTATATCTCTACCAGGCAGTAGGTATTGCTCGACTTTTGGAATCGTACATGGGTGCGGAATGCCCGGTTATTTGCGACAGCGTCGTCCATGTCTCGCAAGAAAATAGGCCTGTCGTCTTCTTGGATGTATTGGCTCAGGTGGCTGCCTTCGAGTTGCTTTGCCGCGCGACCGGTGATTTGCTTCGAAGATGGTGATGCGTAGGTGATGCGCCCCTGGGCGTTTAGTAGAACCAGCATATCCTTCATTTCCGCCAGGACACGTTCAATCCAACCTGGATCGTTTTGTAGACTCTGGTATCCAGCCTGCTGTTTCTGCATCGCATATGACCCAACAGATCCTGGAATGTTCTGTTGCTCGATCATGTAGCCCGGGTTGCCTTCACCGGAGCTGGGCCGTGGAAGCGGGTTGGGCAAGTCCATGCCGGTGTAGGCAGGCTGCTGGTGGCTCCGGGACATATTGACGAAGCGCGTACAAGGAAGACGAGTCCAGCTGCGAGATTACGCTGGGAAAGAGGCTGGCAGTGGTATTGCGCCGTCGAAGTCAAGGTTAAGCAGACACTAGGCGCATTCTCCGCACGCATAGAGGGGTAATCGGTATAGATACGGAGGGGGAAGAATCATATCCAAGCCTCGGACACGGGGCGTCAAAGTAGTATCGGGGCACTCAAAACCGTTTCCGGTGCCTCTTACACACAAGGCCTGGAATCCTGGAATCCAGGAAAGAAGAAAGTGAGGGAAAGCAGGAAATAACAGCCGGCCAACTGGTTTGACACACGTCCCGACGATCTGGTGGAGTCGCCTCTCATTTAATCAGCCACCGCCCCACGTGACTTCGTGTCGCACCCACGCGAAGTGGAGAAAGTTGATGCATCACAAGTGGCCCGCGATCTGAGCCCTCGTCCTTTAGCCGTTGCCTTCATACCGGATGAGCCGTTGTTCTCCCTGTCCACACCGTGACTGAAGCTGCCGAGCCGGGCTTCCGCTCACCGGCAATATGTGAGTGCAGATCATTCTCCGCTTCGATATCATTGCTAACGGACGTGCAGGTGTAGGTGTGCCAACTGTGTATGCTCTCGGGTACAAATCTAACCATAGCTCGACTGACAGCTAAAATTGATAAACTCTCAATCTTGGGGTATGTACTTCATTCTGGACCACTATGACCCGATCTGACGCGACTCCGCATGGATGCTAACCAAATTACTCTGCTTCTAGAGTTCGCTCCTTCGATAACACGCGCAGCGAGACCATACAATTTCACGCCCCTCTTACCTTGATCGTCGGATACAATGGATCTGGAAAAACGGTATGGTCCCGGTAGCTGGGAGCAGCCGGCTGGAGGGTGCAACACGCAAGCTGACATTGGCTTAGACCATTATCGAGTGTCTTAAATATGCGACGACGGGTGATCTGCCTCCGAACAGCAAAGGCGGTGCCTTTATCCACGATCCCAAGCTATGCGGTGAGAAGGAGGTGCTTGCTCAGGTGAAGCTTTCTTTCATGGGCACATCCGGCGCGAAGATGGTGGCCACGCGCAGCCTCCAGCTTACGGTCAAGAAGACTACGAGACAACAAAAGACACTGGAGGGAAATTTGATGATGATCAAGAATGGAGAGCGCACGTCCATATCTTCGCGAGTAGCTGAGCTCGACCAGATCATGCCGCAGTACTTGGGCGTTTCCAAAGCTGTCCTGGACTCCGTCATCTTTTGTCACCAGGATGAGAGTCTCTGGCCAATGAGTGAGCCATCTGTGCTCAAGAAAAAGTTCGACGAGATCTTCGAAGCCTTAAAGTACACAAAGGCTATTGATAATATCAAGGCCCTGCGAAAGAAACAAAACGAAGAACTTGGCAAGTACAAGATCATGGAGCAGCACGCCAAAGAAGACAAGGATAAGGCCGATCGGGCAGAGAAGCGGTCCGTCAGGTTGCAAGATGAGATCGAGGCATTGCGAGAGGAAACCCAGCAAATGTCGAAAGAGATGCGGCGAGTAGCAGATCTGGCCGACAAAGCCTGGAAAGAATCAGAGAGCTATGCGCAAGTCCTGGGTGCCTTGGAGGGCAAGCGTATCGAAGCTAAAAGCATTCAGACGACTATCGACAACCTGAAAAGGCACCTGGTTGAGCTTGATGATTCGGACGAATGGCTCGAGTCCACCCTGGAACAATTCGAAATGAAACAAGTCGAGTACCAGCAACAGGAAGAGACCCAAAAGGAGACATACATGCAGTTGAAGGAACAAATCGAACAAACTCGTCACAGGCTGGGTTTGAAACAAGCCGAAAACGGAAAATACGAGAACGACAAGGCCAACTTCGAGCGACAGGTTCAGAGACGGCAAAATATGATCAGCGAGATTGCCCGCGGAAACAACATTCGCGGACTCGACGACAATATGGATCAATCGGCCGTCGATGCCTTCATGCAGAAAATCCGGCGCTTTTTGCGAGAGCACAACCAGACACTCGACCGAGTGAAGCGCGAGGCCCAGAGGGAGCTTCGTGAAGTTCAAGAAACCCTGAATGAAATCGGGCAGCGAAAGTCCGCCCTTCAAGAGACCAAGAACGCCTCCAAGAGACAGATTGCAGCCAACGAGAAGGAATCAGCAAGTTACCAAGCGAAACTCAATGAAATCGAGATCGATGAAGGTGTTCAAGCTTCCCTGGAAGCTAAGATTGAAGATATTACCTCAAATCTTGAGCACACCAAAGAACGAGCTAAAAACGCTGCCTGGGACCAAGAAATTCGGAATATCAATTCGCAGATCCAAGACCTCGAGGACGAGAACTCGAAATTGAATGCTGAATTGATCGAATCCACAAAGAAAGCGGGTGACCTTGCTCGCTTGGATCATCTCAAAAAGGAAGTCAAGGAAAAAGAGCGCAGCTTGCAGACAATGAAGGGGGCTCATGGAGACCGCCTCGCTAAAGTTCTTGGCCCCGACTGGCAACCTCAGACATTGGAGCGTGATTTCCAACAGGCTGTCGATCAAGAATCAAAGCATGTCACTGATGCTGAGCGAGATCGTGATGGCGTTAGCCGAGAGCTGGAACAAGCTCAATTCAAGCTCGCCAACGCGAAAAAGACTTTGAAACAGCGAAAGAAGGAGCTCGATGTTTGCGCGAAGGAAATCCAGGAGGCAGTGGATGCAGAGCCTTCCGAGTACCCTGAAATTGTCAAGGAGCGACAGGCGCAGTACGAAATGGCTCGTAAAGACGCCGATCAATACGCGGGCATGGGCGAATATCTCACGAAGTGTCTCAGTGCAGCAAAAACGAACAAGGTTTGCCGTACATGCACTCGGCCCTTCAAGAATGAGACGGAACTCCAGAACTTCACCAAAAAGCTGGAAGCTTTGGTGAAAAAGGCTACTATGGACGCTGAAGATGAAATATTGAATAGTCTTGAAAAAGACCTCGACGCTGCCCGTGAGACTAGTGCGGCCTACGATACATGGGTTCGCCTTTCAGAGACCGATATTCCAGCGTTGGAAAAAGAAGAGCAAGAATACGACTTGCAAGGAGACCAACTTCTGGAAAAGCTTGAGTCTCATGACCGCATAGTCAGTGAGAAGTCGGAGAGCAAACGAGATGTTGAAGCTCTTTCCAAGACCGTGAGCACAATTACAAGATACGATGCTGATATCAAGAGTATCGCCTCTCAAATTCAGGAGCTTTCTGCCAATGAACAGAACATTTCTGCTACCCGTACCTTGCAAGACATTCAGGATGAGATTTCTGCAACCAGTGAAAAGTCTCGAGAGCTGAAGAAGACTCTGACAAAGCTCACGAACGAGAGAGATCAGAGTCGAACCCAGATCAATAATTTGGAACTTCAGCTTAGAGACGTGAGAGACGGTCTCAACAACGCCAAATTCCAGCTTGAGAAGAAGGCTGATTTGCTTGTCCGGATCGAGGACTTCAAGAAACTCAATTCTCAACAGCGCGAAGCAATCGAGAAGGCCGACCAAGATATCGAAAGCCTGACGCCCGAATTACTTCAGGCTCAAGCCCGCTACGATGATATCAGCCAGCGGTCTGAAGACCGGGAACGAGATTTGCAGCATGAGATCAATCGCCTCTCCGAAAACATTCATCAACTCGATCTTGCGAACGAAGACATAAACTCGTTCAACGAACGGGGAGGTCCAAGCCAACTCGAGCGGAGCAAACAAGAGCTGTCCCTAATCGAGGAGGAAATCAGCAAGCTCGAGACCGAGCAGGGCGAGATTACGAGAGAGATCAACAAGATTTCCACCCAGCTTAAGGATAGCGAGAATACGAAGCGACAGTACTCCGACAACCTGCAATACAGGCAAGCTACACGGTCACTCGATACAGTCCTGGCAGAAGTCGTTCAACTGGAAGAGCAAAACGCCGAAGTCGACCGCAGCCGTTTCAAACAGGAGTCTGAGCGCTGGACCCGGGAACACAATGCCATTGCTGCCAAGCAAGCCAGCAAAATGGGTGAAATGAAGTCCAAGGATGATCAACTCATGCAGCTCCTGGCGGATTGGAACACAGACTACAAGGATGCAGCCTCAAAGTACAAGGAAGCACACATCAAGGTGGAGACCACCAAAGCGGCGGTGGAGGACCTCGCTCGCTACGGAGGTGCCCTTGACAAAGCCATCATGAGCTACCACGGTTTGAAGATGGAAGAGATTAACTCCATCATCGGCGAGCTCTGGCAGAAGACCTACCGTGGAACGGATGTCGACATGATTCTGATCCGATCCGACAACGAGAATGCCAAGGGCAATCGATCATACAACTACCGAGTGTGCATGGTCAAGCAAGGCGCAGAAATGGACATGCGAGGCCGCTGCAGTGCCGGTCAGAAGGTTCTGGCTAGTATCATCATTCGACTCGCTTTAGCCGAGTGCTTCGGCGTGAACTGTGGGCTTATCGCGCTTGATGAGCCGACCACTAACCTGGACCGCGACAATATCCGTTCTCTTGCAGAGTCGCTGCATGACATTATTCGGACTCGTCAGCAGCAGTCCAACTTCCAGTTGATTGTTATTACCCACGATGAAGAGTTCCTACGCCATATGCAATGCGGAGACTTTAGTGATTATTACTATCGCGTCTCACGGAACGAGAGACAGAAGTCGATTATCGAGAGACAGTCTATCGCTGAAGTATGTCTGAAATCAAGATTCTGCTATTGATTCATACTAATCCAACTCTAGGTCATGTAATTTCCTCTACGGCCTAGGCTATCTCAACTTGCCGGCATATTCTTGCACATCTTACTATCTACATCGCTTCATACGGGAAGGAAATTTCCGGCAAAACTTCATTTTACAGGCGCAAATACCACGAAGCATTTTTACATTTAGGCGTTCAGGAAAGATGATTTATTGATACCTTTTGCTTCACCACCAGGGTAGCTCATCCTCATCTCTAATGTACAGAATGTATTGTCTTTCTATCTCCTTAGCCATTCGCCAACGCCCTCCAATTTCTCTACATTCAACACTTTACAGCTTTGAGCGTGCTGTCATAGGATGGCTGTTCCTGAATGAATTGATTTGAGGTATCTCAAAGTAAAGAGCTTAGCTACTCATCATCGACTTCTACGTCCATCTCAGCCTCCTCTTCATCCAGAAGCGGCACAAAACGAAAGTCCACAAAGCACACCGGACCCACAGCTTTGACACCCGCACCCACAGGTCTACCAGCCGGTACATTATCGTCAAGCTCGATCATGAACTGCAGACTTAGCACACCTTGTCGATCACCTCGAATGCTGACCTTGTTGGCGACGGACATGGCACGGGCAGCTTTGCGGATCAGTGCAAATCGATAGTTCTGTTTGATTCGATCGCCCATTGAAGACGGCGGGGCAACAAGGAATGTCTCGGTGACAGTCGGAACCATCTTTGTCCGAGTCGCACGGGCTCGCGAGGATCCGTCATCGGCTAGTACCTTGTGTGTCTGAGACTGTCCTGATTGATCAGGTCCGACTTCATTGTGTTGATCAACCGAGAATTCCACGGTAGATTCGCTGAATGGGCCGCCAGCACCGGAGAGAGCAAAGTACGGCTCTCGCTTGGCACAGGCGGATAACTTGAGGATAATTGGGGTGGAGGAGTCGAGCTCGCCGATGGCGTTGTGGAGCCAGGCAGAGCGCATGATGACCTTCATGATGATGGCGTCACGCTGTAGGGGAATGTCGCTTTCGTTGTCTTCGGGCTCGTAGGTGACCAGCTCGCAGGTAGTCTTTACACCTGCTTCCGTGATGGCGATGCTGAGGGGAGCGCCGTGGGATGCATATTGGAGTGTGCAAGATCGGTCCATCAGCAAGGCTGGTGCAGTGAATGCACTTGATACCGGGTTGGTTTGTGGGAGGTTTGTATCACGGAAGCCATTGGGCTCGGAGAGGTCATTGATGCCGAAGATTTTCAATGTCTCGAGGAGAGCAGCGAGGGAGACGACGAAGTGCGGATAGGCCACCTCTGGCTCCTTGTCATGGCCGGATATATCTTGATTGGTGTCTGTCGAGGCGTTGAATGTAAAGCTGGTGAAGAGGGACTTGTCGAGGAAAGCCAGTCCTTGGAGCACACGTCCTTCTTCCGCCGAGAAGCGAAGTCCATCGGGGGTGATTTGAACAGTAGCTCTGGAGGCAAAGCCGATGCAGGAGAGTAGGGTGTAGAGATGGTGGGCGTTATTTGAGACACCGGTGAAGAGTGGTTCCATTGTGGGAACTTGGGATCGCAAAAGTATGATGACTTGGAGCTTCTAGTAGTACAGGCCCCTTTGAATTCCCCGCTTATGGTACATGGAGGGGAGGTTGAGAAGATCAATGGGTATCACTTTAAACATAGACTCCGACGGCGCAGATCATGAACACAGCTCCAAATCTAGAGTTTGCATCATATTGTCAGCATATATTTGTGGAATTTCACCTTCGTCACTCACCCGATTAAAGCGGACGCCGGCACGCCCAACGTCGTGAAGGTCAGGAAAGACCGGTCTGTTTTCAAAAAGAGTTAATGGAGTCAATTGGGCATAAACAAATGAGAAGCACCTACTCAGACCGAAGAATCCAGTCAAGAGGATTGCTATATCATGCATGGTTAGTTGTGACCTGATTGGGAAGCTGCAACAAAGCTATGCATACCAAGCACGAGCAGATTGAAGCCGACGGCGAACTGGTTGTCTTTAGAGACAAGAGGGGAGAAGGGAGTTGCGGAGGATGCCTCCCAGACTTCGTTCAGAGACATGAGTACAGATTGGTGGGAACTGGGTAGAATGGTGCAAGTTGAAGCATCGGGGTTGATTGTAGATGCGACGCGCTGATCTGGCCGATTGCCCCGGATCAATATTAGTCCGGAGCCGAAGCCCGGGGAGCGTCATCTCGAGATAGGAACGCGCTCTTTGGCGGTAGTCTTATTCATCCACCATGGCTGTTGTTTCTCCGAAGAGTGTGTTTGGGCCACCTCCTGTCCATCTTCTTGGCCTAACATGCTAATATCTTCTAGGTTCCAAGAGGAAGGCCTCGGAGGAGGCCGCTTCCCCGGATTCTCAGCACCAGGGCAAGAAGGCGCGGACTGACTCCCCCGAAAAAGAGGTATGATTGTACGGGAATGTTTCGGGCTTGAACAATACCTAACACATGAGCAGGAAGATGGCCCCGCGCGAAAGCCGCCGCTGCGCATTGTGCCCTTCCCCGAGAAAGTGAGCTTCCATCCCCGCCCAAACGACCATCCATCACCACAGTTGCACATTTGCGCACCCGTTCCATGATATAATACGACCCACTGGCTAACCTTTACCTAAAGCCCGCTGTCCTCGAAGAGCGCCGAGGTGATATCGAGTTCCGTGTGGTCAACAACGATGGATCGCACGACAGCTTCATTGTCCTGACGGGCCTAAAGTGTATCTTCCAGAAGCAGCTCCCCAAGATGCCCAAAGACTACATTGCGCGGCTGGTTTATGATCGTTCACACTTGTCTATCGCAATTGTGAAGCATCCGCTGGAGGTTGTGGGGTATGTCCATTGAGAATCATTTGCTGCTACATCGGAGGCACTAACAGTTTACTGCAGAGGCATTACGTACCGGCCTTTCAACAGTCGCAAGTTTGCCGAAATTGTATTCTGCGCCATCTCGTCCGACCAACAAGTCAAAGGCTACGGTGCTCATTTGATGTCCCATCTTAAGGTATGGTGCTTCTTTCATACATTGAGGCCATACGGTCTAACATCCAACAGGATTACGTGAAAGCGACCTCCCCGATCATGCACTTCCTCACCTACGCCGACAACTACGCCATTGGTTACTTTAAGAAGCAGGGATTTACCAAGGAAATCACCCTCGACAAGTCCATCTGGATGGGATACATCAAGGATTACGAGGGTGGAACCATCATGCAGTGCACCATGCTGCCCAAGATCCGGTACCTCGAAATGGGTCGGATGCTCCTCAAGCAAAAGGAAGCCGTGCAGGCCAAGATCCGTGCCTTTAGCCGATCGCACATTATCCACCCTCCGCCCAAGGAGTGGAAGAACGGGGTCCACAAGATCGATCCCCTCGCCATTCCTGCGATCAAGGAATCCGGATGGTCTCCCGACATGGACGAACTGGCTCGCCAGCCTCGCCATGGTCCGAACTACAACCAACTGCTGCACCTGCTGAATGATATGCAGAACCACAGCTCAGCTTGGCCGTTCACCCAGCCCGTGAATCGCGACGAGGTGCCCGACTATTATGAGGTCATCCTGGAACCGATGGACTTGTCCACCATGGAAGAGAAGCACGAGAAGGACATGTACCCGACTCCTCAGGACTTCACCAAGGATGCGATGTTGATCTTCGACAATTGCCGCCGGTATAATAACGAGAGTACCCCGTACGCTAAGAGTGCAAATAAACTCGAGAAGTTCATGTGGCAGCAGATCCGGAACATTCCCGAGTGGTCGGTAAGTTTGATTTACACATACTTTCAGGGCTGAATGGCCTACTAACACGTCTCTCTAGCATCTTGCCGAGGGGCACTAAATGCTTGCTTTCTTTGTTCTATGGTGTTTACACGGAACGGCGTTCGGGGGGCACGGAATCGAATTTACCAATACCCTGTGGATAGTTTAGCGGAGCATGAGGGAGTTCGATGGAAATATAAAATGATGAATACTTCCCTCACCAATAGCTAATTCCTGAGTGTGTGTTTATTATAAGGTTATTGCCAAATCAAAGTATGATGCAATACGCGTTTCTTCATGACAGGGGAGTGGGTCCGGATCAAAGTTAACGCGTTGTTGTTTCAGGGCGAGGAATGCGAAGCCCGAGAAGGCTGGACTCTCCTCCTGCAACCCCTACGCGGAGCTCCGGTCTCATTCGTTTCTTTTCAGCCTCATGGGCTTGTCGTGTCTAGCATTCTCCTGATCGCGCCTGCCGTGGGCTGTTGGTATCCCTGTATCGACTTTCCGCCGCGGCTTTCCAAAGAGGCCTCCCCTATCCGGGCCACTTGCGTGTCCTGCCACGACTCGATTCAATTCTTTCACAACACCCTTCGCACACCGTGCTTTCCATTCTCTTGATCTAGTTACATATCGCTGTTTGTTGACAGAGTCTTGAGTGTGCCTCTCAGGCCTACGCGACCCTGCACGCTCTCTACCCCTTTTGCGCCCCTCTTCAACTTCAATTCATCGGTGCTGGACATTTCACCGATAAACACCCACTAAATCTGCAAATATGGCTTCACCCGACTCTTTCTCTGATATCGAGAGCCGTAATAGGCTCCCGACCCTCTTTGAGGTCCTAAGCCGTCGCACATTGGCTCCTGTGGACCTCTTCTCGTTCTACATTTACATGCGAGACCAGCGACGTTCCGTGGACTACCTCGATTTCTGGTAAGCTCAATATGAGACTTCCTACTGGCCAGCATACTAATAATTTTGGGTCTTTAAAGGCTCGATGTCTCTCAACACATGTCTTTGTGCCGCCACTATGTCCGCGAGCTTCGCCGTTCAGTCCTCGTTGCGACACCCGACATTGAGAGAGCCGATAGCAAACGATCGTCCGCCATGCTTGAGAACTTGGAGAACTTGAGTGATATTCCGATGACCGAGGCTGGGCCTTCACGCATACGGACCGACGAGAAGGACCGTGATGCCGACCACCGCCTATCCGCCTTTTTACGTTCCGAAACGCAGTCGCATCATTCACCGCAAAACAGCCTCGGATCTCAATCTGAGTACAACAGACCGTCAAATGACGATCCCAGCTCGGGCACTCGCAATGGCGACGACTCCAACTCCCCAGGACACACCGTGGCTCGTAATGATATCCGTGCCAGCGCCGAGAAAATCCTGTACACTTATTTACTCCCCGGTGCTGAACGAGAAATCGGGCTGCCCGAGGCGATGGTCAGCCAAACCATCAACATGATCGAGGATGACGGCCGTGATGACCCCGAGGTGTTCGATCCCCCGAAGGACTTCGTTTTCCAGGCCATGGAGCGTGATGCATTCCCCGGTTTCTTGCAGGCCAAGGCACTGGGTAACCTTGTGCCCCTCAGCATTATTGCTCGCTTGACCTTTGCTCTGATTAGTTTCTTCGGTGGATTCTGGGGTGCATTCTACGTGGTCCTTCGCGACAAGCCTCGGGACATTCGCTGCTGGATTATTCTTCCGTTCGCGGTTGCAGCTTATTTCATCGTGTCGTACCAGTATAAGATCGATCCCGTTATGGCTTTCATCGGCTACAGCGAGTATACGTTTATGAGCTGGGCCCCGATCCGCGAGCCTTATGTCCGCAAGCTCCTCAACAAGCGTGCCTTGGTCACTGCAGGAATCTCCTTCCTGACGGCTGCTGCCTTGAGTATCTTGTTCATTTTGGTTCCCGGCACCATGTTGTGAACTCGTTAATGCTGCTTGATGGAAAAAAAAGGACAGTTAGTGGCTCTGCCCTCGCCTGTCTCCCAAAACATGCCGGTGTCCTATAGGAGTTACCCTCTCGTCAATGCCTGCATTTGTACGATCTGTCAGAGGTGATTTGAGCCCGGTGTCCGAGTCTTAATGTTCTGATCTGCTTCTGCGAAGCATTATCTTTGGAAACGATGCCCCGGGGTGCCTAATTCACCGTGACTCTGCAACCCTCAAGGGTATCGTCCGTCCCCCTCCACCCGCCATCTTGGGCGGCGATGCGATCTCTCTACCTTTTTCCTTGTTCTGTCTATACTGTGCCTCATTTCGTTGTTTTTTATTCTCTTCTACCAATACCCCTTCTGATCACTTGTATCTATGTTCTCAATGAGTGTTGCCACTAGGGCTACGAATGCAATTACCGTCCACATATCAAATATTTTGTCAATTCGCATCATATCGGATTTTGCTCGGAGGCAAGTAATGCAGCAAGTGTAGTCGTAAACCATTTCATCAGGGCGTGGGAAGCTTTATGCCTTGCGGCCCACTACACGCTTCGAATGCCTACTACCTCCCCCACGAGACCCTGCGCCCTCGTCTATATCCATGCGCGACCCCGATTCACCGTCCCCAGACTCCCAGTACCCATCATCATGGTCAATATCATCCGCCTCGCGCTTGTTGCCCATACCAGCTCCAAGCCGCGCGCCCCCTCGACGGCCGTACACTCCAGCCCTTCCGCGTCCACTCCCAGCATTTGACCCTTCTACCGCCTCCTGCCGCCGCTTCGTCGCTTCCTCCAAATGCGTCTGGTACGCCCGCTCTTTGGCATGTCGCTTCTCCGCATTCTCCTTCACCCGCGCAATCTCCGCCTCCAGATCCGAGACTACCTCACCGCACCGAGTCTCCCAATCCGTCAAGAGGGTGACCATCTTGGGCAAAGACTGTGGCTGCACGTCACGGAGAGGGGCGACGGCTGTGACGGTGACGGTAGGCGGGGTTGTGGCGGGGGAGAGGCGGGCGGAGATTAGCGAGGCGTAGATGGCAGCCGTGACGAGGGATTCGAGCTCGGCGGTTGAGGAGAGCGAGAGAGCGGACATTAAGGCTTGATACGTGAGGGGTTTGACGGTTGCGGCTAGGGAGAGGAGGGAGAGGAGGCGGAGCTTGAGGGTTTGTTCGATGCTCAGTTTGGGAAGGTTTGGTGTTGCTGTGCTTGTTAGCTGTGTTTCGTTGTTGCATGTGTAATGGGCTCACCTTGGTAGTCTTGCCATGTGCCCCATGCGAAGATCTCTAGGAGCTTCAGGTAGCCTTGGTACTCGGCGGGGGTGTCAGGAGACCTGAGCGCTTGGATGGTGGATGTCTCGAGCAGCTCGGCGAAGACATAGGTCTGTGGGCTTGAGGTGGCATTCGTGATGATGTTGGCTACGAAACGAGGTGAAGTTGCGCTGTTCGAGGTGGCCAAATGGATGAAGGGCTGTAGAGCCTCCAGGGCCCGGGTGTGTGTTTGGTCCATAAGATGCGGTCAATGGAGGGGCAGGATGGAAGACGAGACGTCCAAGGTGAGGGAGTAAGGAAACCCGGAATGCGATCAGCTGCAGAATGTCCCGCGATTTAGAAAAGAAGGCGAAGTAAAGCTGGTAGTAGGTAGTTGGAGTCAAACAAGTTGGACGTGATGTAGATGGTGCTGGTTTGCATTCAGTGCAAACAAGCCTTATCGGTGAAAGAGGAAGTGTACATGCGATCTCGTAGATTGAAAGGTTACGTTCCTGAGTCCTCGAGTCCCTAGCCTACTGCATGGATCTAGGATCATCCTAGATCGTAGTTCGTATGACCGTATACTTGGTAACTCCTATGGTATCCTTTCCAGGGTCTTCAGGTCACGCAGGCGCTTTGCCGTCCACTTGGTACGGATTCCTCGTCTGAAACACTCCTACTCCGACCCCACACCGTGGTTTCAGCATCGCCTACTGCCCCTTTTTGAGATCTTTCGATCATGGATGCCTTGAAATTGGGAAAAAGCCTTTCATATCAGGTGGAAACGATGTTGACAGGCTGATTGATTATCGACCTGCCGAGGGGTACTCGCATTCACATTCCTGAGAGTGGCGCGCTCCACCCCCCTCTGCCTGATCACACCCACTCTTCCTTTTCTTTTCCCCCAACCCTTGTTCCCACGCCTCTGCATAATGTTCTGATATACCCTGTTCGACTTTGCTTCTGTCGCAACTCGATCGGGAAATGATCTGATCGGACCAGGGTCGATCCGAGAGTTTCCGTTCCTCTATCACGCTATCCCATCCCATCCGCATATCGTGCACGAACTGTCTACCTCGCTGACAACGCCCCTATGCCGTAATCCTCCGTCCGATCTCCAGTCTACGATTCTTCGCCTGTCGCCATGTCTGCAGAACTTCGCGGCACGGGCGATGCGACTCCCGACCCTCTGCCTGCTATGGCTACGACGACCGTCAAAATCGACGGGATGACCTGCGGAGCATGTACCTCTGCGATCGAAGGCGCGTTCAAGGGAGTTGATGGTGCTGGTGATGTCTCCGTCAGTTTGATCATGGGCCGAGCTGCCGTGCAGCACGACCCCTCCATACTTTCGCCGGCCAAGGTCGCGGAGATGATCGAAGATTGCGGCTTCGATGCCACGGTTCTGTCGACTGAGGACCAAACTAAAAGCGCATATACCGGTACTCTGGACGGCCGCACATCGCGATCCTCCAAGACCACCCTTGCGATCGAGGGTATGACCTGCGGCGCGTGTACATCTGCGGTGGAAAGCGGGCTGAAAGAAGTCGAGGGTGTCAACTCCGTTGAAGTATCACTACTTTCTGAGCGCGCCGTGGTCGATCACAATGCAGAGATCATCCCGTCTGAGCAACTTGCAGAGATCATTGAAGACCGAGGATTTGGAGCGCGGGTGCTGGAAACAAAAGCGTCGTCGGCAGGACCGGAAGATGCATCTGCGCTCGCCGATATGGTGGAAGATAAGAAAGGCCACATGATCACGACCGTGGCGATTGGAGGTATGACATGTGGTGCCTGTACATCCAGTGTCCAGAGTGCGTTCACCGATGTGGACGGCCTGATCCAGTTCAACATTAGTCTGCTTGCGGAGCGTGCAGTGATTGTGCATGATCCGTCAATTCTCACGACCAAAGATATTACAACAATGGTGGAGGATGCTGGATTTGATGCGTCAATCGTATCATCCGAGGCGCAGGAACCGCTCTCCAGGAAGATCCAACATGTCAGCCTTAGTCTACACGGATTACGAGACGGCAGTTCTGCTTCGGCCCTCGAGGAAGATCTTTTGAGGAATCCGGGAATCAAGTCAGCATCGATTACTATGTCAAACTGTCAACTGGCTGTTGCCTTCGACACATCCGTGATTGGGATTCGATCCGTTTTCCAAATGATCGAGGCTGCCGGGTATAACGCTTTGCTCACAGACTCAGACGACACCAATGCGCAGTTGGAGTCATTGTCCAAAACGAAAGAAATCCAGGCATGGCGACGCGCGTTCGCAACTTCGGTGTCCTTTGCGATTCCCGTGTTTTTCATCAACATGATTTTGCCAATGTATATGCCCGGGCTCGACTTTGGCAGGTTTGAATTGTTTCCAGGCCTTTTCCTTGGAGACCTGATTTGTCTGTCGCTCACAATTCCTGTGCAATTCGGCATCGGACGACGATTCTATGCTACTAGCTATAAATCTCTTAAGCATCGGTCCCCGACGATGGATGTCCTCGTCATGCTGGGAACATCCGCTGCCTTCTTCTACAGCTGCTTTACGATGGTTATGGCCATCTGGGATGATCACCACAAACGTCCGAGTACTGTTTTCGATACCAGCACTATGCTCATCACCTTCATCACTCTGGGACGCTGGTTGGAGAATCGGGCTAAAGGGCAAACATCTGCTGCCTTGTCCCGCCTCATGTCCTTGACTCCATCTATGACGACTATTTATGAAGATCCTATTGCAGCAGAGAAAATGGCCGGTGGGTGGGCTGCTGAGGGTGCCACAGATTCCCCGAAGCCGGCTTTTGCATCTAGTGATTCATCTGTGAAGCAGAATATTATCCCTACAGAGTTGATCCAGGTTGGAGACGTTGTCATTCTCCGTCCGGGCGATAAGGTCTCCGCAGACGGGGTGATTATTCGAGGCGAAAGCTATGTCGATGAAAGCATGATCACGGGAGAGGCCCTCCCAATCCACAAGAAGAAAGGAAGCCACATTATTGCTGGCACTGTCAATGGCACAAGTTCAGTCGATTTCAAGGTCATTCGCGCTGGCAAGGACACTCAGCTGAGTCAGATTGTGAAATTGGTTCAGGATGCGCAGACCAGCCGGGCTCCAATTCAGCGCATGGCTGACATTGTCGCTGGGTATTTCGTCCCAACTATCATCGGTCTCGGTCTGGCCACTTTCTTCGGCTGGATGTTCCTCAGCCATGTTCTGTCTAACCCACCCGTGATCTTCCAATCCGAAGATAGTGGTGGTCGCGTCATGGTCTGCTTGAAGCTCTGCATTTCCGTCATCGTCTTTGCATGCCCCTGCGCATTGGGCCTCAGCACACCAACCGCTGTCATGGTTGGTACAGGAGTTGGCGCCGAGCACGGGATCCTTGTCAAGGGAGGCGCCGTGCTTGAAGCTGCTACCAAGATCAACCATATTGTCTTTGATAAGACAGGTACATTGACAACTGGTCGAATGAGCGTGGCTCAGGTCCGTATCGAGCCTCACTGGACCACGAATGATTGGCGCCGTCAGCTGTGGTGGCTTATTGTCGGCCTCGCGGAGATGGGCAGTGAGCACCCGATTGGCCGGGCTATTCTGTCAGAGGCCAAGGCTCAGTCTGGTCATTCCGGAGACGATGGGTTGCCTGGTAGTATCGGTGACTTCGACGCGATTGTGGGTAAGGGCATCTCGGCTTTTGTGGAGCCTACATCCAGCGCCGAACGGATCCGATACCAAGTCCTACTTGGAAATGCAGAATACCTTCGCTCCAAAGATGTCGTTGTGCCTGCATTGGTTGATCCCAACTCATCGGAAGCACAGGAGGCAGCTCCTAAGCCCAGCGCTGCCGCCTCCGGTATCACACAAATTCATATCGCCATCGACTCTCGCTATGCTGGAACTATCTCTCTTCGCGATAGTGTCAAGGACACGGCAGTGGCTGCAGTGGCTGCCCTACATCGCATGGGCATCTTCACCTCCATGGTGACGGGCGACACGCTCTCCACTGCTCTTTCAATCGCCTCAGCTGTTGGCATTCCAGCAGATTCAGTCCATGCATCGGCGTCGCCCTCCGACAAGCGAGCCATTATCTCAGAGCTCCAACTTCGCGGAGACCGAGTTGCCATGGTCGGTGACGGCATAAATGACTCGCCTGCCCTTGCTACCGCATTGGTAGGCATCGCTCTAGCATCGGGTACAGACGTCGCCATGGAAGCAGCCGACATTGTCCTCATGCGGCCAGAGGATCTTCTCTCCGTCCCTGCTAGTTTGTCTCTGTCTCGCTCGGTGTTCAATCGCATCAAGGTGAACCTAGTATGGGCCTGTCTGTACAACATCATTGGCCTCCCCTTCGCCATGGGCCTCTTTCTCCCCTTCACAGGCTTCATGCTCCCCCCAATGGCCGCCGGTGCCGCCATGGCTGCGTCCAGCGTCTCGGTGGTCGTCAGCAGTCTGCTGCTGAAGCTGTGGCACCGTCCATCGTGGATGGACGTCAAGCGTCTCGAGGCAGAGCTTGGCTCAGGCGCTATCGCCCGCGATGGCCGTTCGTCTCACGCCCGCAAGGCTAATTGGTGGATGCCTGCTACCGTACTCTCCACTGACAGCCCACACTCTCTGCGTCGTTGGGCCGGCGATACCGTTTCTGCGCTTTGGTCCGTAGCTACTGGCAAGCGGCCTGTTATTCGTGAGGACGAAGGATATGTCCCACTGCAGACTGTTGAGCCTGTCTGATATCTGTTCTTACCTGTGTACGATGATTCATCCTGTAAAACGAAGATCTGTCTCGGTTTTGTCTGGCTTGGTACACTCTGGCGTATTGGAAATTATTATAGATGTTTGATACCTTGTTTTAATAGATGCATTGATATGACAATATCCTCATAAACGTCTAGTGCTCGTCCCTAGCTTTCCTTATCTCGTGTAAATAATTTGTTCCGGGGGCTGGCCCAGATTGCGCGTTACGCAAGTCTTTAAAACGACGGCCAAGCCCTAACTCAACCACTCCTCTCACCCTATACCCATGGACTCAATCTTAAATGAGCGGATACATTCACTCTGATGCTTTCGGTGAAGGAACACTAGCCGTAGGTCTGGTCCATAAAACCCACTACGAAGAACAGGGCAATACGGCAATACGGCAATAAGAACGACAAGTCGTTGTGATTATACAGGTTCAATATGACTTGGTTTCTCCGGACAACCTCTGCCGAAGGCGAAGGTGATGTTCGTTACTGATTCTGGGCATGGTGCGAAAGTATGTTGAGATGTCGAACACGGCGGGGCAGGATCCATGATAATATCTTTACAGGGGCCTGGAACTCGAGCAGAATTGCTCCGAGCTTGCGATGAGTACGCCCACTATGATGAGATTGAATAGGAATATCAACCGTCTTTGAATAAAAATTGGGTTATGATCTCTTAAATTGAAACGCATTGGTGTCACAATACCCATCCAGATCCATTACAATCTGATCAGCATGTCAAGCATATGTATTGCAGGTCGTTATTCATGATGCCAAATGATGGCAGGAACCAAAATCATTTTGAACACAAAGGCCCAAATTTCAGTGTTTCTCCCCAGACTCCGGGGCTTGCGTGGAATCAGCAGCTGCTTCGGAGTCTCCTTCGCCCGTCTGAGGCGTCACTGTCGCGTCTTCCATCTGAGCCTCCTCGTTCTTCGGCTTTGTGTCTCCGAGCACGATATCGCCATCTCCATCAGGAGCGTCAGCCTCCCGCGATGCTTCAGTGGAGGCCTCCGCCGCAAGGGCATCGGAGACACCGTCGCCTGTCGCCGCGTCATGGGCGGCGAGATCACCAAGGTCCATCTCCACACCCTTTCCATCTTGCAGACCCATGTCCTCAACGCCTAGGAGTGCGGGCCCGCGAGCATGCGGGACTTCGTCTGGAGATTCCGCTGGTGGAGAAGCAGAAGCACGCTGACCAGCGCGGTGAGCAGCCTCTTCGACATCAGTAAAGGCTGTAGTGGTCGTTGTGGTAGTAGTTGCGGCGTTCTTGTCGATGTTTCCCGTTTCTTGTACCTGAGTTGGTACCGGTTGTTCTATACACAGTAAGCTCAGTTAGGCATGTGGAACTATTTCCCGCCAACGAGAGGCACACGGAAATATTAGAACGCACCTTCAACCAATGCGGTAACATCCTCGCCTTCAAAAGAGGCGTTGGTCAACCAAGGGATTGGGGTGAGGAGAGCACCACCTAGGGACTCGTCACTCCCCAACCCAGTCACATAGTCCGTAGCTAGGTAGGTGCCGGCACTATTGGTGGGATGTAAAAGCCCATTTTGCTGAGTACTGTGAGTGGCATTTGCTGGAATGCTGAAAGGAAAGACGTCTGCAGCACTAGTCACCGAAACGACACGGTCCACGGCACGGAGATAGGCAGGTAGTGTCCTATAATGAGCCGTCGGTCGGAGAATAAGCTCCGCGAATCTCTGGACTGTGTGTGGCGGTTTTTCAATGAAGAAGGACTGAACTGCAGATTCAATAGAGCTCAGGAGTAGTGTAAGAGGAGGCGGTAATGAATTGTTCGACTGCTGTGTTGACTGCGGCTGCGAGTCAGGCACGCGCTCGCTCGACGGCGGGGAGGCGGCTCTTGCGGGTGGGGTTCGTGGGCCTCCAGGGGATTTATTCTCCTTGTTGCTGCTTTCGGGTGGGACAGTAGTGGTCTCGGAAGTCTGGGATGGCTGTTGAAACTGCTGGTGGCTGTACGACCCTGGCGGCACTTTGGGCATGGGGAACACATTGTATACAATCTGAGATGGACGGTCAGAAACATCGACGATAGAGTCGCGTCAGGCAGAACATACATGTTCCAGTCGCTCCATCAAAGGCGCAACCATGCCGGCCCATTTCTCTCTGTCTCAAAGCATCAGTCTCGCGTGATCCAGGGCACCTTGGAATCACGAATTCACACATACAAGTCCATGGAGCCGCCATTGGCGACTGCCTCGAGAGCTTCTTCATCTGCAAGGTACTTGTCAGCTACGAACAATCGCCACCGGCAAGATGGGAAACTCACCCAGCGACATCGTCGAGGTGTTTCAAGCTGCAGGAGACGGCGATCGAGTGGCCAGCCAAGGCGGTGATGGAATGTGCGTTTCATTGGCCCGCGACCGCCTTATCGATAGGGTCATGTGACTCACCGCGAATTTTCGGCGGCGGGGCAGTTCACGATGACTCTTGCTTCTCGGAAAGCACGATATCGCTCATCACCATGTGGAACTCGCCCAAGGTCGGAATTCTCGGCGGCGGCCAGCTCGGCCGCATGCTTGTCGAGTCCGCCAACCGATTGAACATTCAGTGCAACGTTCTCGACGCCGAGAACTCCCCGGCCAAGCAGATCAGCTTCCACCACGGCCATGTCACTGGTTCCTTCAAGGAGCGCGAGGCAGTGCGCCAATTGGCCAAAACTTGCGACGTCCTGACTGCCGAGATCGAGCACGTTGACACCTATGCGCTCGAGGAGGTCGCTTCCGAGGTCCGCATGGAACCCAGTTGGCAGGCTATCCGCACGATCCAGAACAAGTTCAACCAGAAGGAGCACTTGCGCAAGTACGGGATCCCGATGGCGGATCACCGGGAGCTGGTCGAGAACACACCCGAGGAATTGGCCAAGGTTGGGGAGCAGTTGGGCTACCCCATGATGTTGAAGTCGAAGACAATGGCATACGACGGCCGGGGTAGGTGGAATCGACGGTTCCCGGCGTAGAGCTTTTGCTAATGGTATTCCAGGGAACTTCCGCGTGAACTCCAAGGCCGATATCCCTGAGGCGCTCGAGGCTCTCAAGGACCGACCATTGTATGCGGAGAAGTGGGCCTACTTCAAGATGGTTCGTGAAATCTATACTCTGGGATATCCAAGGCTGTGACTAACGATGTCTTTCTGCAGGAACTTGCTGTCATGGCTATAAAGACCAAGGACGGCGTTCTGTCATACCCCACCGTCGAGACCGTCCAGGAGGACTCAATATGCAAGTTGGTGTATGCACCGGCTCGGAACGTCTCCGATAAGATCAACCAGGAGGCCCAGGCTCTTGCCCGCAAGGCTGTTTCCGCGTTTGAGGGCAAGGGTGCTTTTGGCGTTGAGATGTTCCTCCTCGAGGACAACAGCCTGATGCTGTGCGAGATCGCCAGCCGAATCCACAACTCCGGCCACTGGACCATTGAGGGCTGTGCACTGTCGCAGTTCGACAGCCACATGCGTGCTATTCTGGACCTCCCCGTTCCGGCCAAGAGCCTGGAAATCCGTACACCCTCGATCATGCTCAACATCATCGGTGGCGCTACCCCCGATTCCCACCTGAAGGCTACCGAGGCCGCGCTCTCGATCCCCAACGCGAGTATCCACCTGTACAGCAAGGGTGACGCCAAGCCTGGTCGGAAGATGGGCCACGTCACCGTCACTGCTGCGACAATGCATGAGGCCGAGACCATGATCCAGCCGCTCATCGATGTTGTTGATGAGATGCGCGCCCAGCGCAGCGACATCAAGACCAAGCCCGCTGCGTCCGGCCCGTCCAAGCCCGCTCCCCAAGTGGCCGTCGTCATGGGCTCCGATAGTGACTTGAAGACCCTGGTGCCGGGTCTCAAGCTTCTGGAGAACTACTTCGGCATTGAACCCGCCGTGGAGATCACCTCTGCCCACCGCACCCCCAACTATATGGCCGAGTACTCCGCCGAGGCTGCCTCGCGCGGTATCAAGGTGATCATCGCTGCCGCTGGCGGTGCTGCTCACCTCCCTGGTATGGCTGCCGCTCACACCGCGCTACCTGTCATTGGTGTCCCCGTCAAGGGAAGCTCGCTGGACGGCGTGGACAGCCTGTACAGCATCGTTCAGATGCCTCGTGGTAAGTCAAGCCATCCACTATATCTAAAACCTTGCTAATCACCCTACCCAGGTGTCCCCGTCGCAACCGTGGGGATCAACAACAGCATCAATGCTGCGCTCCTCGCCGCCCGCATCGTCGGCGCCTTCGACCCCGCCATCCAAGCCAAGGTGGAGAAGTACGCCGAGGAAGCTCGCGCAGAGAACATGGAGAAGAAGGGAACCAAGCTCCGGGAACTGGGCTGGGAGAAGTACTTTGAGCAGATGTAAAGCACTTCTGGGTTATGTTTAACGGAAACCAAAAACCTGCGAAAAATAGTCTTAAACCTTTGCAGAGGGTAGACCCGGTTTTCCAGTTTTGTACAGCGGAAGGCGTTTTTATATCAAATCTAGACGACAATGAATGACATTCCAATGATGCGGAACTTGATAACTTTATCGGCGATTAAATTAAACTTACAGTGTTTCAATGCCAATTGGGTTTCTATCCACGGTATCGGGTCGAGTTGGTGGAGGCGGAGTGGACCTGGCCCCGCAGCCATCAGTCCACATTCCACTGGGGGCACAAACTTAGTGGACAGCTTCAGCCTTTATCAGATGAACTACAGAGGGTGTAAAAGATGGACAAATTGAACGCACGATAGTGGTGGCATTATGTATTAGGCTACCGACTGGACATTAAAAGCCATACTCATACAAGAGATTTGCAAAAGGGGGAAATCATAAGCACAAAGCAAGATAATCACGAAAACACAAGGAAAGAAAGAAAGGAGCCAGAGGAATCACGAGTACCCCCGGAGTGGATCCGCCCAGTAAAGATTTCGTTTTTGCACATGCCATCGAGACTGTATCGTAGCAAAAGATTATACTTGCACTACAATTTAAGCAACGGTGGAGCCGTTGGTGACGGCCTGCGCACCGTTAGTGACACCAGCGCTAAGATTCTTGGTCTTGTCGTTGACGAAAGCCTGGTCAACCTCGTGCGAGAAGCCGTTGGTGCCGGTGGTCGCGCCAGTAGTCATGCCGGGGGTCGCGCCGGTGGTCATGCCGGGGGTCACGCCAGTGGTCATGCCGGGGGTCGCGCCGGTGGTCATGCCGGTGGTCGCGCCGGTGGTCGCGGTGGGGCCGGAGGCACCGGCAAGACCCTCGGTGGTAGGGGCAGGGGCCTTGCGGGTAACAGTGCCCGCGCTAGGGATTTCGGAGGACTCCTTAGCATCGCCGATGCTGAAGATGGGAGACTCCCAGCGCTCGCCCTTGTTGGCAAGCTCGACGTACTCCGTGGACTTGGTGGAGACGCCGCCGGGCAGCTTGATGTCGGGGAACATCGAGTCGTGCAGAGTCATGACGGTCTGGACCTTGGTATCGCGCTTGACGGCGGCCTCGACCTTCTTGGCCTTGGCCTGGGAGCGGGCGCGCATGGCATCGGCGTAGCGCGAGAAGATGCTGGGAGCGTTCTCGGGATCCTCACGAGCAGCCTCCTGAGCCTTGGTGGCCTCAGCGTGGATGTCGTACGCGTAGGCGTCACCCTCCTCGAAGGCATTGCGGATTTGGCCCTCGATAACCTTCTCGAGAGCAGGTCGCATCACGCGGAAGAGCATGGGTTTGAAGGTGGCGAAGAGGGCCTTGTGGTTGGACTTACGGAGCTTGATGTTCATGTTCTTGATGTTCACGGAAACCTTGTCCAGCTTGACAAAGTGCTGCTTGTCGTTCTTGTCGGCAGTAGAGGCGGCAATCTTGAAGCTGAAGCCCTCACCGCCAAGGAAGATATCCATGATACCAGTGTCGGTGAGAGTGGGGAAGCCCTGCTTCTTCTTGATGTAGTAGCTGACATCACGAAGGTCGGCCTGGATGCCGGACGCGGCGATCATGATCTTGTTGTCACGCTTGTTGGAGATCTTCTTGCGGCCCCAGCGGAAGTAGTTGTCACTGCCAAATTCAACAACGTTGGGCATCAGGTTGTCACTCTCGACGGTAAGGTTCTCAATGACGACATCAACCATGGGGTCCGACACCTCAATACGAGGAATGGGAACGTAGCGGACGTTCTCGAAGATGCCGGGCAGGATGATGTCGCGGACATCTTTGAGCAAATGCTTCTTGAAGACGACCTTGCCACCGGAGTCGCGGCCGAGGTCGAGGAACAGCTTCTGGACGGAGTCGGCGAGAGCCTTGTTCTGGGGGTCCTTCTCAAACTGATCGGCCAGGAACTTAATCTGGTCAACGATGTTGTCGGTGTGGGCGCGATAGCGCTCACGGGCAAGGTAGCGACCCTTGTCGTAGAGCTCGTCCCACTGTCGGTTGCACTCTTCCTCCATGATGAAGCCCTGCTCGCGGAGGGCCCTGCGGATGAAGGTGTCGATGTTCGAGAACCAGCCACGCAGCTCGGGGTCCTGGTCAGCATCGCGGTAGATCTTGTTCAGGGACTCGAAGAATTCAGACAGGGAAGTGTTGTTGGCGAAGCGTTCAATGAGAGTGCGCAGGTCGTTCTCGACAGCCTGCACGCTGTCAGTGGAGCGGACGTCCTTGGCAGCAGAGCCACTTTGGCCAGCAACATTCTTAGTGTGGCCGGCATACTTCTCGGCCATGTCCAGAAGGGTCTCAATGGCTTGCTGGTAGTCAGCGTGGCCCTGGACCTCAATGACCATCTTCTTCAGACGCCAGATGGTCTGCTCGCGACGCTCTTTGGGAATTTTTTCCTGGAGGTACTCCTTGGTCTGGTTGGCGTACTTCTTACGGCGGCTCTGCTCCGACGGGGTGAGCGACGCATCGTCGGCAGTGGCCGTAGTGGCCGTAGTGGCCGTAGTCTCATCAATGGAGGGACTGGCGACGCTCGACTTATCGCTCTTCTTGAACTTGGACTTGAGGTCATCCTTGTTGATGTTGGGCTTCTCGTGCCAGGTGTTCTCCTCGGCAGGGGTATCGATCTGCGCGAGCTGCTCCTCAGACGGGCGAACTTGGTTGGCCGCCTTCTGGGACGCGTCGGCGGCGATGTCCTTCATAAGGACGGTAGCATCGCTCACTGGGGATCGTTAGAATACGTGGGGTCATAAATGTGATCGCTTCAAACTTACAGATCTTTCTGAACTCGCCGTTGGTAATCAGCAGAGTGCCTAGGGTCTTGAGACCTTCGAGAGCCTTGTTGGCATCCTGCTTGCTGTTCTCCTTGGAGATAGGAACATTGGGAGCCTTGGCATCATCGGCGGTGATCTGCTGGGCCTGCCAGATGAAGTCCTGGAGAAGCTCGCCCTGGTTCTTGGTCAGGAGCATCTTCTTGGCCTGCTCAATCACATTGCGCAGATCCTGCACGAGGACCTTGCCCTCGCTGGAAAGCTCTGACGGCGGCGAAGTGAGGACCTTGGAGTTCAAGGCGGTGTTCAGGGCGACATCACACTGCTTGTTCTGTAGGGCCGGTATTTAGTAGGGAGTTCACCGACGAGCGGGGGCGGAACGGTTGGAACTAACCGACGGGAGCTTGCTGTTCTTGAAAGCTTTGGGAACATTAGCGACAATCACCAATTGACCGTGCTGGTTAATGGGAGACTTACCATGATAGATACCAAACAGCTGGAGCTTCTGGTTGATATCCTGGAGAGATACCGGTTAGCGACTCGGCCAAGAAGACCCCAATTGGATCCAAGCGCATTTCGCAGCATACCTTCTCCTTCTGCTTGGTGTCGGTAGGACGATTCACGGCCTTGGAAGACATGATGGAACTTGTATCAATCGTGCAAAATAAGAGAACAAGTTCGTCGACAGGTATGTCAAGTATTACTGACGGCCTTGTTAGCGCGTCCAAGGTCGCCGGATCAAACAGAGCATACAAACAAGGGCGAAATTAGGAATTAGGGCGTATTATCTTCGTAGGAAGTTTTTTTCCTCAAAACAAGGGGGGGGGGGTATCACTGGAATGAAGGCAGGTATGTCAGGAGAAGGGATGACGAAAGCTATAAAAGACAAGGCAGGAGGCAATCCCTACTGCAACGAGGAAGGAGCAACGCTGTTACCCTGGACAGCTCCTTCCCTCGTTGACGCAACTTCCCTGACGTCATCCGTTCGTGGCTGTTCCGTCGCACATGGGCTCACTTTCCCCCAATTGTAACCGTGCCTTCGATTGCCATTTGCCATTTTCCATCGGTTCCTTGCCCCCTGGCTCGGTACGGAGTATCCTGTGTCGGTCTGAATCTCTTGCTGTAGCTATCGTCGCGTACTCTCCCCTCCCATAAGGCTGCTAGGTTTCCCAGGGCCTAGGTCATCCAGATCGAGCTGCACACGCCACTAGTGCGAGGTCGCACCTTCGCGTTAAACTCCATCGAGTGATTGCATGACACGATCTACAGAGGTTGCTAGATCTAGTGGGTTCTTGGCGCCACTCCTTGGCCCACCGTTGTGGGGCGAGGGCGTCCCATTTCCAAACTGAGTTGGCTCCGAAACCAGGATTCTCCTCCGCATCAGCTTGACGTCAATCATACGATACAGGCTGATATCTCTCTCTGGGGCCAAGTCCTCTGGCAACGTGTTCTGCAAGAGGGAGGGGGATGCATGTGGTGAAACCGCTTGTTCAACCCCTGCTCAGGACTATTGATTCTTGAAGCATCGAGGTGATCGCTGCGACCAGCAACACGCGACTTTACAGTAGTAGCTCGCCCGTACACAGCCGCGACAATAATGACGGAGCAGATATGAGAGCCGAGGCTTCTGTACTCCACGGTGTGGCTTTCGGGGCGGTGCATGGCCCCGTCTTAATCGTAGCTCACTTGCTCGGCTCCCCTATCGGGTAAGGTGCGACGCGCTTGACAAATTCCTAAGGATACATTTTCCGCAAAGATTATTGCTTTGTGGTGGGTGATGGTGGAAAGCTTCCGCCATATCCACTGTGGAGTTTGATATCGAGGCGCGAATGCCACCATAGGCCATCGCATTCAATTCCCCGTGGAGCCTATGGGGCCGAGAGAGATCGTTCGGGGGAGCGCGATCTACATATTGCTCTACTACATAATGAAACCATGGTTGCCTGAATATCGAAATAGCTTTGGCTATCGAAATAGCGATGTGCATGAGGTACTCTACGATGGATCTTGTGGATGACGGGGGATACTCTAACATGTCACACCTGGACACGGTAGTCTCCGATTATTCTAACTCCGTACGACCTGATTGATCCCAGAGAGAGAGCAGGAACTTTCGATGTCGTTTATCATGTACCATGTGAAACCTCCCTAGCCATGCTTCGACCAATATCGCCTACTATCTTCAGCAACCTTCTCCTCCCACCCTTCGGTCAACGGTCCGATCACCTCCACCTTACTCTGACCTGCGTCGAAGATCTGTCGGCATGGGAGGTCCAGCGTGAGGTTCTCCGAATTTCCTTGGCCAGTCAATTGTTGCAGAGTTTTCTCCGACGCGATATACACCAGTCGCCCGATATGCGCCCAGTAAATTGTCCCGGCGCACATGGCACATGGCTCCCAGGTTGAGACCATGGTGCATCCGGCGAGGTAGTCCCAGGAGTAGTTGTCGGCGGCATTGCGCGCCAATTCACATTCGGCGTGACGCACATGCGACAATGAGAGGGACGACATTAATTGAGTCTCATTGTCCGGTGCTAGCAGAATTGCCACGAATGGTCTTTTCAGATGGAGGTCCTGGGCGGAGGCTTGGAGGGCGAGGCACCTGGATGCGCCTTGGTCGAGTTGCGCCGGGGTGAGAGGGGTGAGGCCTGATGGTTCGCTTGCACCCTGCTTGCTAGGGCCATTGGGTTGTACCATTGCGAGGTCTCAAGTGGTAGGGAAAAGTTGTGTGGTTGACTACATCAGATGGATTTTGTCTGAGGTGAACGAACGGGCGAAGATATGGATACTGGTGTACGGCGGTCTCCGACGATAGGAGGAGGGGAAAGCATTTCCCCTCTCTCGACAAGCAAGTGATGAACATTCATATGCAAGATTCATTGCTGCACCATATACAATCATGAACAAGTATTAAATTATTTACAGTCAATCCATCATCACAAAGCCTCATTACTTAAACTGGGATTGTCAGACGTAACGAAGATTTGTGAGTCAGAAGGTTGTTTCGAAGCCACATGCACGCGTTGTGGCAGATTAGACTCGGGCGTGTCATATATTCGAGCCTGGCTGTCGCGATCTCCAGATTGGTTGGGGTGAAAAGAGAGATCCACGAAGTCCGACAGGTCGGTAGGTTGCGAGGCGCTGCCGCACATTTCCGTGAAGACCACTAATTTGCCCAGAATGGCGTACTCCAACTTGAGTTTGACGCTGTAGACAAATGCCTTGAGCGTGACGTGAATATCGAAGAGTCCGGAGTACTGGACTCCGATCACTGCGGCGTCCATCAGGATCATGGCCAAGTTGACGATCAGTAGTTGGACCAGGGTGCTGCGGTAGTGACCTCTTGGGCGAAGATTGAGTAGGCGCACTGCTTCCCATGAGTAGATCACTGAAAGCACCACCTCTTGTAGTGAAAATGCGATCAATTGTATTCGCTCGAAAACATTGAACCCCCGGGTAAACAGGTACGACTTGTTGGAATGGCTGCCGAGTTCGAGGACGGAGGCCGGGATCTGGAAGACGATCGCATCGACGATGATCATGGCGAGAGTCCAGCGGAGGATAGATCGATTTTGGACGACGAGATGTAAACGTGACCAGAGCACGAGGGACTGACCCGTTACCATGCATACCCAGGCAATGAGCTCCATTGCTACCGAGAAAAGGCTGTTGTAGATATCGAAGATGATGAGGAGGTATCCGAGACCGAAGGGAATAATGGCCATGGATGATATGAGCAGACACCAGAAGTAACACCCGCCATATCGCTTGAACGTAGTGAAGCAGAGGACGACCAGCTCCAATGCATTGTACCACGCTAAGGCGATGAGGCAGGCCACAGCAGTTCGCTCGGCGAAGCGGTTGACAGACCGTTCGGATAGACCGAAGCCGCTGTCGGAGATATCGTGAGTTGACATAAGGGCATTCTCTCTGCGGCAGTCAAGTGGAAACGCAGGTGGAGGCAAGGTGAGGCTACAAGGCCATTAACGAAGCATGTAGCCGAGCGAATGGCAAATTAGAGGTCATAAAAAGGTGGTCGTCGATTAAAGAGAGTCCATATACATATACAGGCATCTATAGACCCTAGGTATATGTATATGAAGAGGATTAGAACAGCATGTTCGAGAACGAGGAGCGTGCGGAGAGAGAGATGAGGCGAAAATAGGTACAAGGAGGTGGCGGAGAATACGAGATAATAGCCGACCCAATTTCGATATCCCTCTAGTACAATTGGCGGAAACCATAGATACTGTGGGGACTATACATCGCCCCAAACCAAGGGTCGGGCGGCGATAGGTGAGTTTTTCTGGCACGGCAAACGCTAATCAAAAGGACCCCGATAACGGCCGCCCAAGGGACGGCAGGTATAAGCGCGCAACTACTGGCAAAAAAAAGGCTTGAGCGTTGAAGGCGTTTCTTCAGTACACACAGTCGCTTGAGGCTCTAGATCTACGATCTGATTCAAGAAGAGGAAATAGGTCACATGTTCATTGTGAACCCCGTTTCAGCTCGTTATCAGGTGTATTAAATTGATCAGCGCTCAAAGATAAAAGGCCATTATTTGCGCAATTTGCTAATGGGTCTTTCAGTACTCCGGCCAAACGGAACACCCACCGCAACTGTATAAACTTCTGCTTTGGAGATAGGATTACTCAAATTGTTTACCGGCAGTCTGGTTTGAGATTTGCCACGTTGTATTGACGCAAACGGAAGTCCTATCTCTATAGCTATTCGATCCCCATTTTGCGACCGTGGAAATTCCTGACATGTCGAACTCAACTCTAGTCACGGCGGGACTTTTACCCCATACTTCCCAAGGTTCCATGCCCCTGATCGAATAGTCGAGAACATCATCAATAAGCCGCCTCGGGCCGCGCGCCTTCGATGTGTGTGATCGGGATCAATAGGAATTGGGCTGGGACTGTTCGATCCATGAATCCATCTCAACCCCTGGTTTGCGCAGAAATTTTCCTATGGGGCGGAACTTAATATATCGGTGCCAAAAGGGGTACTTGCAAACGTGCCCAAATTGATGACCATCAACTTTAACCCCTGATCCTGCCCAGCATGCATACTCACAGGGCTATTCGATGCAATTAAAAAAAATTATTCCGAAACAAACTCGAACCGTCAGACCTTTGAAACTGCCCAACTGCGATGGAGGCCTGGGCCGATCTTTTGAAACCAAGTCACGTGGTGATCTTGTACATCATGGGTGAGCGAGAAATGTTCTCAAATTCTTATTGCTCGAGGTAGCATCTGATACATATCAACCTACGACAAGCGTTTCCTTCAATCATCTATCTATACCTAAATAAGCGACAGGGTGGGGTAGAGGATAAGAGCAATTCCTGTCCAGCTTTTGACGACACCTAAAACAGGCATCTCCATTTCGGGGCCAAATCATGCCAAAACTTTACGAAAAAAAAATGAGATTGTTTTATATTGTAAGACTTGATGGCTCCAACTTTCGTCTTGTCATTGAGGCATGCACTAGTAGCGTGGGTCAAAGTGATCGTGATAATAATAGCAATTTATTCAAGCCATCTACAGCAATAGCCATCAATTGCAGGTCGCCTAGGGCCCTGGTTTGTTGCAAACAACTGCCACTACTCAAGGCGTGCTGTGAAAGACTTCTTAGATTCCATTGAACCTGCCCGGATCTACGCTCCAGACATACACTCTTCCGACAACCTCGGCTTGGCGAACTGTCTATACAATATATATACGAAATTTCAGACAGTCATAGGAAGAAATCAGCAACAGATCAAATAACCCAATTAACACTGCTCGCAATTTGGATATTGAAGTGTCCTCCTGTGGCTTATAGCTAGGTAATGTCGTTCGGACGTGAGATCGGTCCTGATGACCTCGAAGCCTCTTCAATTATTTTGGGAGAGACGGCACAAATCTATGGGAAGAATTATAAACTGAATACTGCAGTGCTTCTCTAATGACCTGAAGTTGGCTTCCTTGTCGAGTCGTTTAGCATGCCTGCTGACGTTTGGACATTCGCATTCACGACCATTGATCTACGAAGAATCGCTATCTCGCGTCAGTATATTTCTCGTAAGTCATAATAGCGTTCGTGAGACACTGTTGGCTAATCCCGAGTAATTGAAATCTTTAGAAACTTTTGTCTAGTATGCGTGAAATGTATGCGTTATGCCAAGTGCACAGGCTACAGACAATAAATCCATTTCTGCATACACCCAGGGAGACGAAAGTAATATATGAAACCTTGGAATTGATCTTGTACCATGATACGTAAGTAATGGAGGCTTGAGAAAAAACGGCATGCAGTTCTATCAAACATTCAATAGCAACACAACATCAGCCTTCGTTCCAGGCGCGGAATTCTGACAATTTAATGGCACATTTGCTGGCATATCCAGTACAGGGCCATCGCGCCAGGCAGAAGAGTGACGTACGACCAAGTACGTCAACCAGTAGCCTGCAACTAGAGTATCAAATAGGGGAACAAAGAAAGAAGAAGGGATACAGAGTGAGAGACGTAGGTAGGCTGCAGCCTGAGGATGCGGGCTGCCCGGAATCTTCCATAAATATCATGTTCGTCACAAGCAGAAATCTTATTAGTCGACTATTGGTCTGCTCATAGCTGCCGCCATACACATTCTGCTTGAAGTGATGATTGGAGGACCTTTATCCTTACGGCCATTTCGGAGGATAGCTTGGAAATGACTCGTTGACTAGTCACATTGGTAGGTGTCCATGATATCTCGATCCATTTCCAAGCCATTTATGACAGATAGTTTGGCTGGGGCACTCAACGCACAGCAAGTAGTATCTCTGCAGATATATGGTGCCGCTGATAGTGCAACGAGGTCTGTCGAAAGCCTTGAAGGCAAAACAGGTATATGCTGGTCTGGGCCAGTTGTCCATCTTCCCTCATTTGGCCACTTCATCGTCTGCAGTCTCCAGATGCTCAGGACCTGCTGTTCGTTTCTGGTTTACTCCAGGTGACGACAGCGATCTGATGGCTAGTTTTATCCTGGTTAATGATAGCAATCACTGGTTGGTGTAAGTGACTAAATAGACAATGAAAACGCCCAATCACAAAACCATCGGGGATACCATGATCATCGGCTCCTTGGGAACCTTCCATCATTGAGCCCTGACCTCGTCGGGAACTTCTTTTGATGGTGCTCGTTTTCTGTTCTGGGCTGAAGAGTTTGCAGTCTGTAGCCAAGCCAGGTGAGTTGAAAATGCGAACCATTCCATCATTGCCGATACTAGAGGAGCCATGTTTGGATGGCAAACCTTAATTGGGTCTGACCGTCCGTCTGGCTTCGAGACTTTCCGGAGGGGGGTCTGGCAATGGCTACGATAGAATTTTATGTGCGGAATTCCAAGTCCTGAATATTTATGGCTAACAATATGTCAGAAAAATCCCAAATAGCTTGTCACTGGGGTAGAAGAATGCTGAAATGACATAGCTGACAAGGCATGGCAGCTTAAGCTTGACCTAGATCGGTTATCCAGAGACTGAAATAGGAAAGCCTAAGCCTCCCTCAACAGTCTGTATGTTGAAATCCCTACCAGGATGGTGGCAAAATTTGCCCCGCGTCAACACGGGTCCAAGGCGGGGGCCAGATTCCTTTGTTGATCACTGTCGGCTTTTCCGTAGTCAGGAAACAGTTCAAGAGACCCGCCCCCTGATCTAGGTTCGATACAGCCAGCCACTCCTGAGCGGAAGAACATCGGTCAATGGCCACTAGCTGACGGCCCTCCGAGGAAATGCGGGCTGGACCGAAATGCAGGATCATTTTGGAGTAAGGGTGACAAGCTGACAAGGCACGGCACAACCATGTCCCCTCAGGCCGCCACCGTCGATATCGTAATTTACTTAGCGGGACTGCTATCCCAAATCTGGGACAAACGGATATTGACGAAAGGGAGGTCTGATCGCACCACTGATATACCATCCACCCAGTCCATGGTTGCTCTATACATCACAGGCGCCTACGATACCACCTCGATCCGCGCACGAATACGAACCAAGCTTGACACGGCCGATCTAGGGCTACGAGGCAAGCTGAGCAGGCGGCAACTGTTCACGCCACAATGCCAATTCACGGCAGAGTTCGTCCCACTTTTACGGCTCAGGCTGGATCTACCGCCGTGAGGACCCATGTCATTTTGCGCCACCAAAGGTTATGCGTGGAATGTATCTTATGAAACGGCCGTGCAGGATATGTAGAAATGCGGAAATACAGCCATGTGAAGATGGAGTCTTCAAGAAGGATCTATCTTGATCCTTCCGTCAGGGCGTTTTGCAGGATTGAGATCCATCCATCTCCGTTAGTGCATCACAAGGACACCGCCAGAACGGATGGCTCGTGAGGGAGCCCGCCCTTGGCCAGAAATGGATGCCAGATTCGTATTCTAGAACTCTCCGGGGCCGCGAAACGAACCGGGGAATTACAACCAGGGAGCTTCTACACCACTAAGAATGAGGGGCTGAAGTATATGCCGTCCCAATCGGGACGCAGAGCGATGATCCCATTTCTTGTGTCATTGAACGTGCTCTTGGGAATCGAGCAAAGAGGCAGGCCCCTGGACTATTAAATATTGGCTTTGACTTTATTGGAATGTGTGGGATTTGTGCCCGATAGCTCATGGCATCATCCAGGGACCATAGTTTAGACTTTGATTTTACGAGCCCCACGACAGAATCTATGAGCTCTAAACCGTGGAAACATAGGTTTGTCCCCGAACCAAAGGATGAGCTCGATAAATTGCAAACCCGGGTCATGGCAATGAGCGGATAAGTGGAGCCGTCGTGATCGGATCTGGCAGGCGTGAACATTCGGAAGGCTGTTGTTGGGTACGGAGTACGGAACCAACTAAGGGCACCAATGGGCCCGGGGAGCTAAAGTCGATCGTTGACGGTTACTTCCACGGTATGAGCCGGGGAGAAGGGCCGGGAAGAAAGGGCCGGGAAGAAAGGGCCGTGAGATTGGGATAGTCCGTTCGGGTCATAGGGGAATGTTGATTTTAGCGCGGACGGGAAAGGTTCCGGGAAAGATCGGGGTCCCCTCCGACAGTACGCAGAACGTGCCACGCATGACAAAAGCCACATTTCCCACGTTGATTCGGAATGTTACTCAAAAGCGGTTGCCGAGCTAAATAGTCCGCTGATATGGTCGGCGGTTGACACTATTGACCATATACACGAGTGGAAAGAAAACTCTGAGATCGGAAGAAGGATTGATCGGCGATGCAGGTGACTAAGTCAAGCTTTGAAGTTTGGCGCGATCGATCTGAAAGTATCATCGTGGCCGTAAAAGCTTCCCAAGCTCGGATTTGGAAAGATAACTGGGCGGGCTCGTCCGTGAGTCTTCGGTCTTCAGGGGACTCTGGCCCTGCCAATCTGCCGCGATCGACCCGATTGAGTCCCCTATCTACTCGGAGAATGGTGAACGAGATGTGATCTAGTAGGTGATTGGAAGAGGGACACTGGCATTTAGTAACGGTCTAACCTGCTTGAGCCGCTGAGGTACAGCATGTCATCGCCCATGTGGGGTGTCAGGGTCCTGGCCCCTGTCATTGGACGCCGGCTTCCACTTACATATTTTTTGGCGCATTAAACCTTTTAAGCGTAAATCCACTCGGCATTGGTGTGCCTTCGAGGGGTAATTGGTACTGTAGATCATTCTCTTCACGGCGATTTCTCCGAGAGGGTCCAGAGCGGAACAGGAGCAGCAACAAGGGCACTATTCACGGGATAGAAACAGAAACAGACTGTGTGATAAACATATTTCCTGTTCCTGAATCCATCGATGTTCGGCAGATCGCGACATGGACCACTCAAAATTATGATTGTTTACCTATGTATTGCCGGATGGGCGGAGTTCGTACCAAAGCTCTGGAGTGGGCAGCAGATCGGCGGTGCTATTGCTTGAGGCCGGAGATATTCGGTGCCACCAGGCCCATATAAGCTTGCGCTAGCCAGCCACGGGGTGCTATCACTCGAATGGCGAGGAAGCTCGATCTCCATCCACCTGCTTTCGCCCACCGTCATCCACTGATACCCACTTTTCCGGTACACACGTCGATCTCAATTTGGAGGCGCCTGGTTTGGGATGCCCGGTAATCCGGTGATATCCGTATGATCGTCCGAACGGGAGTTATCCAAATTATTTTCCTGTTCGGGAACGCTCTGTAGGGTTGGTGTGGTCCCACGATGATATAACCGCCTGCTGGAATCTTGTTTTATAGGGCTGTTGACCAGAGGTACGTACGGGGATCGGAGATAAGAACAAGGAACCACGACGGGACTATAGCTTCAATAACGGAAACCCGGAAAGCAGCCTATCTGAGAGGATAGGACCCTGTTCTAGGGGGACCCTGTTCTGGATTCTCAATCGACGGATTGGGTTTGATATGATGGAGCAGGGTAGTCCCACTCGTGGCTGCCAAGAACGAGGGATTCTATACACTAGGCCTTGTATCAAGTCCCACGATAGGGGACGCAGACCCGCCATCACAATTGGTCATCTCTCGAGTGGGATTCTCACTGAACTCTTTGTATAAATACTGCTGCCGTTGCTGCCACCGTCCTGAACTTTCTCATTCCCATCACTTCGTTGTCACTCTTTGGATCATTCCCACTCCAGTCACTCTTTTAGAACATCCTTATACTTAATACACAATGAAGGCCTCCTTCGTCGCTCTCATCGCTGCGGCTACTGCTGCCATTGCCGCCCCGACTCCTGTCGCTGCCCCGGCTGTCCTCTCCGACCTCACTGACCTGAGCCAGCTGTCCAGCATTGGCGGTCTTGTCAACGACCTCCACCTCGGCGATGTCACGCAGGAGTTGAACCTGGACAACCTCCCCAAGGTCTCCAGCCTCGGTGACCTCACCAAGGTCCTCAACCTGCCCGAGTCCGCCATCCAGGGCAAGAGTGGCATGACCCCCATCATCCAGAACGGCAAGATTGTCCAGGACCTCGGCCCCGAGCTCCAGAACATCCTAGTCATCACCGGCCCCAACGTCGGCACCCTGCTCATCGAGCTGAGCCCTGAGGTTACCGCCCTCGTCTCCGGCCTCGGCCTCGGTGCTCTCGGTGTTCCCCTCGGTGGCATCGTCGCCTCTGCTTCCGGTCTTGGTGGTCTCGTTACTGGTCTCGGCCCCTACGTTAACGGCCTCGTCACTGTCCTCGGTGCTGATGTCGGTGCTCTCCTCGTTGGCCTCTCCCCCGAAGTTGCCGGTCTCGTCTCTGGTCTCGGTCTCCCCACCGTCGGTGTCCCCGTTGGCACTGTCATTGCTACTGTCGGTACCTCCCTGAAGCGTGGTGAGATCGTCCAGGACATCACCCCCGAGGTTGGCTCCACTCTCCGTGTCACCGGCACCAACGCTGAGGAGCTCCTCGTCAAGCTGTCCCCCTCCGTCGCTTCCCTCGTCTCCGGCCTCGGTCTCCCCACCGTCGGTGTTCCCCTCGGTGCCGTCGTCGCTACCGCTGGCCAGGGTACTGGCAAGCTCCTGAACGACGTTTCCGCTCCCGTTGAGCAGCTCCTCACCGTCACCGGTAACGATGGCCAGGACCTCCTGGTCAAGCTCTCCCCTGAGGTTGCCTCTCTCGTCTCTGGCCTTGGCCTCCCCTCCGTCGGCGTCCCCGCCGGCACCGTCGTTGCCACCATTGGCCAGAACCTGTAAATAGACAAATATCTTGTCTAGGCAGGTCATTTCTTACGCAGCAATGGATAGCGTTCCGGGAACCTTGTGAAAGCCCGGGGTCCTCCACAGCCTTATTTTGTGCATATATTGACCCGAAAGGGTGTTTTTTCTTGTATGAACTATTTTGGAAGACAATTGGGATTTTTGGTGTCTCGTCTTCCACCCGTTTTACCCTTTTCTTTTCTTTTTTTTTTTTTTTCCCCCTTAACTGGTCAATGACATTAACATATAATGTTCACGGAGCTCAAGTCCCCTAGAACATAACTATAATGTGTACTACTATTGAAAAGTAATTTGATGTCCATCTTCCAAACTAGATTTTGAGCATTTTGTGGTTGGGCGTAGCGAGGCTTGTATATGCGTAGACGATGTTGCCAAATGGTCAGTGCCTGTTCCAAGGTTCAAATGAAGTACCTATAATGTTCCAAGGCTGCTTTACTCGCGTTGTTTACGGAGAGACGATAGACTATATTCATCTTTTCCTTTTCTATATGTAGTATTTGCATTTTATCCCATGATCCTCAAAATTAGTTAAACCCCAAATACTACATGAGCCCTGTGGATGTGCTTCACGATTAGCCTCGTTGCTTTTGGCTCCTTATACTATCTACGCCGGTCTATCAAACGGCCCCCAATGCCAGGAACAAAGTATGTAATAATAAGACTGCGGGGAGCTGTAAGGCGAATTTAAGCGTAGTTACGCTGCCCAAGTAGAAGAGACGCTTGTCACATGGAAATTATGATACAGGCAGTAGTGTACCGCCGGGAAAATACCCTAGCAATACCGTTCGAAATTGGATGGAGGGAAATCGGAGACAAGAAACAAAATAAACAATACTGGGTGTGCCGTGAAAATACAAAGTTATCCGAAATGATATCCTGAATACCTATTGCCGGCCAGCGGCAACCCGGATGATGGGACCTGCATGTAGGCCCTTTGGTTTGTTACATAGCTCATAGAGCTGTCCACCAACATCTTCCCTAACGAAGCCGACTGTCTCTCGAATTCTTCCAGTGGGGCTCGAAGATCCCATTTCCTCGCGCAATACTTAAGCAAGTCGCGAACGTAGGCGATGCAGTGGATTGCGCGGGGTCGAGTGTTGAGCCGGTCTTCTTCATGGAGTTTGGGCGGATCCGGGGTTCCGGCAGGGACTGGAGGAAGAGTCGGCACTCTGGGGCTTAAAAGCATGTCGAAGTTTTCGGAGAGAATTTCGACGAATTTATGGCCCACTTGGTGCACGCGCTGGATGTCGAAGAAAGTGAGGAATGGCAGGACACTTGGATTCTCCAGCACTTGGTGGATCTGGCTGACGTAGTCCATGGACCGGTCGAACAGGAGCGCCTTGTTGTAGTCGTCGAGAATGGGGTATCTATGGGAGGGGGAGAGGAGGATGATCATAGTATAGAGGAGTTCGAGGCGGTATAGGAGGGAGAAATGACTGGGGGCGTTCTGGGGACAATCCTGGAACCATTGCTGGGCTTGCCAGCAGAGTGTCCATATTTGGACCAGAGGCTGTGGAGAAGCCTCACGGGAGTTGTAGTACATATCTTGGTATCCATCGGACAGTATTTGTCGAATTTTTACGATGTGGAGGGCAGGTGCTGGGTTTCGCAGGAAGATGTGGCTTTGTTCGCCGCTCGTCCCAGAAGTTCCGGTCAACGGCATAGTAACGTTGACGGAGGCATTGGAAAAGGAGAAGGTCCTTTGTAATGAAGTGCTCATTCCTCTGGTGTTTGGTTAGAAAATGATAGACTTTGAGAGTTCAGAAGAGATGAAGACATGAACACACCTGTCCAAGGAGTAAAGGCAGTGGAACACACGTCGGCGAATGTCGAGGCGGTCCGCATTGCATAGGACCTCTGCAGGGGGGTCCTGATGAAGACCTAGATCCACCGCTACTCTTACGGCCATTCCAACGAGATGCCAACTACGAAAGCGACCCGGGTCTACCAAGGCATACTGGGCAAGCAGCAGAATGGCCTGAATGCACGCGATAGACCCGGGGCGTAGGACGCCTTCGGCGTATGTCAAAGCCTCCGAAACCAACGCCAAAGCCCGCTGGTGGCTCTTGTCGTTGTTCTGATATGAGACCGACGCGGAGGCGACGGCAAGCACCATACGTAGCATCCAGTGGTCAAAGGGTTTGGCAAAGCGGCCCCCCGACTGGTAGACGGCGTCTACCGAGGTCCAGAAGCTAGTCTCGACAAAAAATGGTAGCTGGACGAAAACGTTGTCAAAATAATACTGCAGTAAGGGCGTTGCTTCGTGCCGGGCGGGCAACGCATTGGGCGTCTGCGGGGGTGGATATCCCACCGTTGCGACTGATAAGAGGAGATTGGCAAAGGTGGTCTTGGACGTGATGCCGTCGAAGTCGCGCGAAGTGGCATTGACCGACAGGAAACCGAAATCCCCGACCAGGTCATCGATATCGGACACCTCTCGGCGATGCGCCGGTCCTAAGGGACCGTCCGAGGAGATCGATGTGATGGACGACTCCCACGCGACGCCATTCCCTTCAGCGGAGAGGGAGGTTTGACGATTTCGGAGTTGGGCGATCTTCTTTTCGAGCTTCTCGCAGTAGCCCTCGAGGGAGGCTACATAGCTGCGTTCTTTCCCCTTGGCGAATTCATCACTGGCACCGGAACAGGTGCTCGCCTTGCCGACCTTCTCACAGGCGGAACAGGCGGGGAGCTTACCGTCGCACTTGATCTTCGCGGTACGACATCGCGAACAGGCGGCGACGGGACGGCTGACCTTGAGCAGGGGAGAGTCCAGGAAAGTGGTGGCCGTGGAAGGCATCCTAGCAGCTCTTCATCGTCCAGGGCAAGAGCCTCGTTTCTGAGGGGGCACAGTCAGCGCGAACGCGGTTACGTTTCCACCCTGGCCGAAACCCCACCGGGTCGCGTCACCACATTCTTTGCGTTACTCACTTGGGATCAACGCCGTAATCTATGGGGCGATTAGGCTCCTAAAGCCGTTGAGCCACCTGCATGAGCTGAGGTCTGCCGTTTCCAAACATAAGCCTTACCCGGTTGAAAGGGGGAAACGTTGGGCAACAAGAGAAACCCCCCACCTGCTTAAAGAATAGGAGGCCTTTTGTTCCCCACGGCACCCTTGGCTCGATTCGCATTTCCGACGGCACACGGACTTGAACCGTGGATTTGCACGGACGGCGATCTTCCTTAGCTTCTTTAGCACCCCCCGTTTTCTTTTCATTGCCGACGGGACTATTTGGCGACTCCTGCTCTTCTCAGGATAAGTCGACACGCCTTCAGCTGCTATCGACCCTGGTTCACCGGCGCCCTACAAATAAGAATATCCCTTCAGCGCCTTCGTCTCCACTGCCAGCGGAGACTTGCCGTCGCTCCATCGCTCCCACTCTCTTCCGTCGATCAAGATCTCGACCCGAGGTTAGGCCCCTCAGACCATTTCACCACGCATTACTGTACAGAACATGCCCGCATTGTGATAGGACCCTGTCCGGTTTCCACACCCCCCCTTGCACCAGCTTTGTCCCTGTGGCCCCGACCTTGGGTCTGCGCCTTCCTCACCTGGAACAAGATCATGTCGACTGAAAGGACTGAATTGGTGGACTCGATCAAGTCTTGGACTGTGTAACGCGCATGTAACCTGTCTTTCCATTCTCCACGGGTCTGCGCGACAAGAGAGAGAGAGAGAGAGAGAGAGAGAGAGAGACCGGAGCCATGCCCCAGACTGCCCAACCCTACGCGGGGCTGCCCTCGCCGGAGTCCTCGCTGGAGCCGCCCGACGGTCGCATCGCGCACACGCTCACGGCTTGCACGAGGTGCCGACAGGTATGATTCAACATCCCGGATGACTGAACTTAATTGCGCCCCGCCGTACGATGGCCTTTTCGAACTCCCACTGACTTGGTCTTCGTAGCGGAAATCTAGATGCGACCCCGGGATCCCTCGATGTGCACCCTGCGAACGAAGCAATGCCAAGTGCGTCTACTACGACTCCACCCGCGACACTACCATCCCTAGAACGTATATTGTATCGCTACGGGAGAAGGCCCGCGCGCTCGAAAGACAGCTCGCCAGGGCCGAGAATGATATACAGCATGCCGCAGATGCGGAGTTGATGGTGCGGGGCGCTGGACGCATCCGCTTCAACCAGCATGACGAGCCGCGATACTTGGGACCCTCGAGCGGCATTGCCATGACCCGCCTGGTTATGGAGATCGCCAAACAGAATACCGAGTCGAAAAGCATCAAGGATGTCGTACCCGAGTTGACGGCCCAGGAAATCAAGGCGGCTTTTGCACAGGAGGACTCGAAACCGACCTCCAAGGTGTATCCCATGATTAGCTCGCTTCCGCAGCCCGAGCTGCCCGAGCGGAGCCTCACCTACAAATTGATGGATCTCTTTGTGGCGAAAGGTATATCTCTTTAAACTTTCCTCGGAGGAGTGGTGACTGACTTTTTTCTCTACTTCCAGCACAAGCACTCCTCCCCACATTACACGAACAAAGCTTCCGACAAGAAGTCGAAGAGGTTTTCAATGGCTCGACCGATCCCTGCTACAACTTTCAAATACGCATGGTCATTGCCATCAGTATGCAGAAGCTGAGCCCAGACTATGCTGGCTTGGCCGACAGCTACTACCTGGCAGCCCTGCCATACCTGGAACCGACCCTGAAGCGGATGGATTTGAGAGCGCTACAATGTCTAGTGCTAATTGCTCAGTATTCCATGCTGACTCCTACTCGAACGGCTGCATACTGGGTCGTGGGGACCGCCGTCAAATTGTGCCAGGACCTGGGGTTAACAGAAGAGGCCACAATCAGCAAATCGCCTTGCGGCCAACCTCTGAACCCATTGGAGATTGATATGCGTCGACGACTGTTCTGGATCGTGATATCCATGGAGTTTGGACTTTCCCACAGCTTAGGCCGTTCCAGCTGCTACTCCGTGACCTATGACAATATCGACGTCAAGTTTTTCAAATTGGTAGATGATCGGTATATCACGGCCGAAGGTATCATTCCAGGAGCGAAACCAGTTCTCTCCAAGTGTATCTCCATCCACTTCCTCAAAATGCGACTGTTACAATTGGAGGCGCGGCGAGTGTTGTATTTGAATCGGCGCGAAACGCCGGTTGATGATCAGGATCCGTGGTTCTCCCAAATGCTGGCGAAGGTGGGCCACTGGTTGGATTCTTGCCCCAAGAACGACGATGGCAGCGGCCTGAATGTGAAATGGTACGTATACTGCCCTGCTTCTGTTGCGACATTCTGACAATCGGCTCATTTCTCTGCAGGTTCGAAGGCAGGCGAAATACTATAATCTGTCTTATCTATCGGCCATCACCCCAAATACCCGAGCCGTCGGTCGATGCAGCGAAGAAATGCTACGACGCAGCAGTTTTCAACATCGCCATGCACAAAGAGCAAACAATCACGGGCTCTGTCGATCTCACATGGATTTTCACTCAGTCTCTCTTTATGGTTCTAAACACTGTTCTGTGGACACTCTCTTATCCTGAAATCCGCAAGGAGCATCCCATTGAGGAGGTCCAGGGCTACTTGGATATGGCTCTTGAGGTGATCGTCTTTGCAGCTGAACGATGGCCTGGTGTCCAGTCTGCATTGCTCCTTTACAAACGCCTCGTTGTGGCCTGCTTGAAAGCGTACCAAACTGAAGAATCATTCGTCGTACATTCGCCTTCCAATCATCCGACTCCGACTTCTTCTCAAGACGTCATGACCCCCCCAGCAATGTCCAGCCCTTCCAGCACCACCACCACGACCGCCTCATTCTACTCACAAGGCCATCGACTCAATGGATTACCCTCCACCGATAATAGTCCTTCGACCGGTACCCTTTCACGGGGCCATTCCGCCGACCCTACCGTTCCGTTCTCACAAGTGTCCCAAGAACCTACACCTCCGGTCTATGCCACCGACCCAGTCAAGTCGACACCGGCTGCCCCCACAGCCCCAACATTTGGCGTGCAGCTACCGCCCACCGCGCCAGACATCGGGACCCAATTTACATCTCAGGGGTATTGCGTACCCAATGACCCGTTCTCTGACGTTTCCATTGATCCGAATACTCCCTATAACTCGATCCCCTCGGTGGTTCCTGGTCTCCAAGGATGGGACCCGAACTTCTCGCTTGCCTCCACAACAGCCAGTCATCTAGCTTACATTGACGCCGCGGTCGATCCAATGCAATGGACGACCTCCATCTCAGACCAGTATTCTCAATACTTTAACGAACCCTTCCCGACGGAGTCTTGGCGCGGGCGGACGCTCAGCCAGCAAGAGCAGATTGAGCTGATGGCATCACTAGAGCATAATATTCCGGACGTTTCTGCTCAGCTGGTGCGCGAGTCCAATGCCTTCTACCAGTCATGAGTGATCTGAAACGGCTTGTTTTTATATTGGGACTGATGCCCCGGTGAGCCTCAGCTATACGAGTTCGGAGTGCATGGCGATCGGGAGAACATGGTTTACTTTAGGCTGTCTTCTTCTTGGATCGACGGGTGTTTTTTGACATAAAATTTCCATATAACAGTTCAATACACACGGGATGAGTCCCGACATTTGTAACAAAGACCTTCATGTGTAGAATGACCAGTGAGGCTACGACACAGCATGTACCGTATGATATACAAGTAACTGGCAACGTAGACACTGATTAACTTCACTGGAAGATTGTCACTAAGGTCATCGAAAGAAAAGAATCACTAGAGCTTCAGCTTTGAACGATAAATAAGACTCCTAGGCCGTCCACACATTTACCCGCACTTCTTTCATGCACGCCGAGCTGAGGCCGAGTACCGCATCACGTGCCCGGCCCGTTTTCCCTCCTCAGCAGCGCCGTCTTCGACAGCATCTGAACCATCCCCCCTCCTCCGCTCATCCCATCAGCCACCAATCCTTACCACCTACGAGGGTTAATTTCGGCCCCCTGGAATGCATATGATCTAGGCTGGCCGTGGAACGACCTGCTCGCCCGCCTGAGCGACCGTCGACCGTGATCCCCCTCTCCGACGGGCAGCGCTCGTGTCGAACTTTAGCGATTCGGACTCTCTCACTCGTGAAAGCAAGTCCCGTTCGACTAAAAAACCCTCTGAAACTAGCCTTTTCACAGGGTTCTCATGTCTGATCGCAACCTTTCAGCATCCTTCCCAGCAGGTCCTCCTTCGCCCTCGTCTCCCGCTGCCGGGTCTCTCAAGGAGAACCGACAGCTCCCCGTCTCCTCGGATCACATCCCTCAGACTCCAACATCGCCTCCGTTGATGTCTGTCAGTGACCAAAGCCATGTCTCCAACTTTACATCCTCCCATACTTCACCGAACCAGGCGACAGCCCAACCACCCAACACATCATCACCCCCCTCATCTACGCCGATGTCAACGCAGGTATCTCAGCAGCCGACCATGAGCACGACGAACTCATTCCCTACTCCCGCCAGCAGTGTGAACGCTGCGTCGACGGAGGACGCAGATCATAAATCTTTCAGCCCAGGAATGCAGGAGCCAACAAGGAACACGGAGGGGGTGTCCAATCAAAAACATATAGAGCACAGACGAACCTATCACGACCAGCAGCCCTCGGCGACAGGCGCAGAGGCTGAAGTACGCGATTTTGCCACCGGGCAGAGCCAGCAGATGACGGACGGGGACGCCATGGATCTGGATAAAGAACCACTTTCTGGCCTTGGTGCCCAGAATGCCGGTCTAGATTCTCTCCAGAAGGACTTCACTTCGGCTTTCCATCTTTGCAAAAGCTGTAAGACTTCCCCGAGTTTGCCCATAGCTGCCGCATTGGCAGCTGTGTGATTGCACTACCCTGGGAACCAAAGTTTTATTAACACTGGCTCTTTGTGCTTGACAGCGCCCATTACAACTGGACCGGATCCGTCGCTGGATCTCATTTCCCTCTATGGCCTAGGCTCGGTTGCGCGGTCGGTAGCACGGATTGACCCTGTCACAGGAGAGAAAATCAATCGGTTGAGAAAGTCCTACGAAGGAAAGCTGAAAGGGCTGGGTCTGGCGGGACGGAACAAACCGATGAAGCAGGAGCCGGGGGCACCTGGTAGTCTGCGCCACCTCACCATGTGGCCCGAGGAGGAATGGCAAAACCAAAAGGTCCACGGGAAGCAAATCAAGGTTGCAGATATCGATTCCGCCCTTCAGAGCATGCAGACTCGCGCCATGCAATTTGAACCGGGCGTCGTTCCAAACAACGACTTTTGGGAGGACGTGCTCGGTCACGAGAAACCGACTAAGAACCAGGGCTCCGGGGAGACCAGCAAGAAACCCGCTCCTACTCCAGGAGGTCGATCATCCATGCAGGGGAACGCAACTCCGATGGCGAATCAAGAAGAGCGGGCACGGCCCAGTCGCGGCCGCAAGCGACATTACGATGATAACAGCTTTATTGGTTACGGCGAAGGCTTTGCCGATGACGATGATGATCCCGGTTTCTACTCGAACGGCGAGGGAACCGGAAAAAAGAAACGAAAGAAGGTATGAAGCCTTGCATTCTCAGATTCCAGGACCGCCCACTAATTCAATTGCATCAACAGGACCACGTCTCAAAAGTTTCCACCCCAATGTCTGAACGAGGCGGGAGCTATGGGGTGGGTATGTTCGGAATTGGCGCCAGATGAGACCCCCAAAAGTAGTTCTCTGTCTTTTCTTCTCTCGCGCGGCTATTGAGATCACTGCTTGTTTTACCTGCGGGGATGCCATCCCCACTTGACTGGGGCTGTCTGGTGCATATCTCAGGCCTCAGTCTACTCAAAACCCAGAAAAACAGCACTGCCAACGCCACTTAGAGCTTCCTGGCTTGCCAGATTTTTCTGTGGTTCTTTGGTGATCTGGCTTTGTTGCGGTTGGCTCATTGAATCCGCCTCAAAAAAGCAACAGATGAGCTACGCTCAGAATGGGTGATGGAACGGATCAGTGGAATGGCCTGGCGAGAGCTTCAAGGCTGCACGCTCGGAGAACCCAGCTGTTGGATTGTCGATGCCAATTGCCAGACCTTGCTGTGGTCCCGGTGGACTCGCCTGAAGATAACGCCCAACGCCTCAATACCCACGCGAACCACAAACGCCCTGCTTTGTTTTCATTTTCATTTCTCGTACATGTTGCATCACGGTGCTGGATATACCCGGCTTCATCTATCGGACGGCGTTCTGGAAGGGTGGGAAACAAAGTATTCCACGAAATACAATTTGATTGTGCTTTGCAGTTTGTTTCCTCGGCTTTTTTTTTTTTTTTTTTTTTTTTGCGTAATCCTTCTTTCCTTCGAGATTTCCACTGCTGTAATGGCTGGCTTCTTTTTTTTTTCTTTCTGCAATGAGTGTCTTATGCTACCGCTTGGAGTCTTTCTGATATGTTTGTGTGATATTTCAGCTCCGCGTGGGCTTTCTACGAAAGACTGATCCCTTCTGTGTCCGATGTTAGGGCTCGATAACGGCACTCGGAACCTATACTTGGGCTATTTGGGGCTGGGTTGAGATGAATTGACTGAATAGATGAAAAGTGCTCCACGGTCGTAGGACTAGAGAGCAAGCAGCTGTCACGAGGATAACTGTAGCCTATGTGAACAAGTTGCCGCGTCTTAAAACCAATATAGAAGCATGAAACACACGATCCAGATCAAATTCCTCGGTATACGCAACACATTCAGTTTCAGCCCAGCCATCAAGCCCACAAGCCCGTGGCTTGACGAAGCAAAAGAAAGCATGGGCGATGCCGTGGGGGCTGCGGTGGCTTACTCTGGGCTCAGTCCACGCTGGATTGGCCCATTCTTTGAACGGAGACCCCGACACCGGTCTGAAAGGTGAGAAAGGTCTGAAAGATCTGAAAAAAATCTTTCACGTTGACACCCGAGACCGAGAGCCAAGGCCCAAGGCCCAGACATGAGATAGAGGTACTTATAGATCGAATGGATGCCATGTTTTGATTCCATCTCTTTTATTTTTCAAAACTGCTATAAGGAGAAGTCATAATGTCCGAGTCGGTCAAGACAAAAGATATTCTGTAGGAGGGGTGGCATCCTAGCTGGCAGATTAAATGTATCCCACCTTCCCATCCCCATCGTCCTCTTCACCAACATGGCCATGTCAGCCAGCTACCTCGGCACCTTTCTCCACCACATCATCCTTCGGGCCAATATCTACTACCTCTTGCTTTACTACGAAGGCGTCCTGGGCTACAGCCCCGTCATCGCCGGGGTAACCACCTTCCCCGAATCCTTCACTGAGACCTTGGCATATGACAGATGTTATATGGTAAACGGCTCGCTAAGTCTCGGCAATTGCTCACCGGACCGCAGGTCCCTGGCCTGACTCGCTTCGAGATCAAAGTCTTTTCACCAGAGCTCGGATGGAGGTGATTGTCACTTTTTATACTTGACATGTTAGTGTTGAATATAGTTCTCCCCGTACGAGCCAATCAACGACAGCCCGTTACAATAAGCCCCACGCTAATCCTTATCAGCGATTCAGACATCTTTCGCTCATCTCTTTCTTATATTCCTCCCTCGACGGTCAGGCGCCAGTCAATTGAAACGATAATAAAGCGCTCGGTTGAAACCATCGACTCTGTTATCCCACCCATCATGTCAAAATACGAGCTCGCGCTTGAGCGCATCGACCAAGCGCACAGCGACGACCCCAACCAGATCGAGTCCAACAACACGACAACTCCCTACGAGCTGCACTACGCCCGCAAAATGACCTTCTATCTCGAACGCATCAACCCCGCCGCCTCCGATCTCCTCCGCCTCGCCATCCGCGCCCAGCACTTGCGCCGCTGGGAAGTCCCGCGGAGCTCCTACCCCGCTACCAAAATCGGGTACCACTCATGGCGCTCCGGGCTGCAAAAACGACAAGCCGAGCTCGTCGAACAAATGTGTCTGGAGAGTGGGTACAGTGCCGAGGAGGCAGCTCGGGTGGGCGCAATGGTGCGCAAGGCGGATCTCAAGCGCGGGGACCCGGATACGCAGACGCTGGAGGATGTGGCATGTTTGGTTTTCCTGGATGATCAGTTTGACAAATTTGAGAAGGAACTTGGGGATGAGGATAAGATGATTGATATCTTGCGCAAAACGTGGGGGAAGATGTCGGAGGCCGGGCATGCTGAGGCTTTGAAACTTGATTTGTCGGAGCGAGCGACGGCTTTGGTGACGCGGGCTTTGGCCGGTTAATCTTCGCATCAGCGATTTATCTTATAATCAAGGCTACAGCGTAGATATCTCAGATATGAAATGAATAAATGCATTGATGAATCGTCTCCGTTGCTTTCGTGCAAGGATCGCTGATAGACGCCAGATATGAGATCGTCCGGTCATTATGAGTAGAGAAAGCAACCAAAACTCCAACGCTTTTGCACATGCAGGAACCAAAATGTCGCCCGACTCTAGTTGGCACCACCCGTGTCAATCAACCGGACCAGGCCGATAGCCGCGCCGGCAGCAACGCCTCCAACGAAGCACATCTGCACACCTCCCCAAATCCCCGCAACGACGTTATCACGTCCATTCCACCCGCGTACAACGCAGGTTTTGATATAACCAAATGCAAACAGGGTCACGCCCATCACACCAATACTCCAGTACAGGGCCGTCATGACCTGCGACACGATGAAATAGGGGATCAGCGGGATGAAACCACCGACGAAGTATCCCAGTGCAAGCGTGATGGCCGAAATCCAAGCCTGGTTGCAGTCGGGCGCGGACTCGCGGTGGTGGAAGGCCAGCAGGAACTCCAGTAACCGCTCTTGCGAGGCGTGCAAGTCGCGCGTGATGTCTTCGATGGCAGCGTGGGAGAGTCCATAAGGCGCAAAGGTCTCACGGACCATATCTTGTGTTTCTTGCGAGTCGCTCTCGATCAAGGCTTGTGTTTCGCGCACCGTGGTTTCGTATGATTCGCTATAGGGCTCGTTAGACCTCGTCTCGGCGGACGTGTTTTTGACTTTGGGAACTTACGCTTCACTCTTTGCTCCAACGTATCCACCCAGTCCCATGGAGATGGCACCCGCTGCCAACTCGGCCAGACCACCCAGCACGACAACTTTGGTGTTCCCGAGTGCCGATAGACCTGCGCTGAGGGCAAAGGGCACCGTCAACCCGTCTGATAACCCGAGAATGGCATCGGAGATAATACGAGGGTTGATGCGTGCCCGTGTGCTGCCGCTGCTGCTGCTGCTGCCGACGGTGGAACCGTCATTGCTGATGCAGCGCCCGAAAGTATCATAGGAACGACCGCTCTCGAGGTCCTGGTCCGAGTCATCGTGGACGGTATCGTCATCGTCGATGCGAGCTAGAAGTGGCTTGCCTGTATCTGAATTAGCATGTGCTTTCCTCCATGTCCATGCTGTTGCTACTGACTCGATAGTCTTGGTTCCTGTGCTGGAAACAGCTTCTTCTTGAGAAAGAGGAGGGCCATGATTCTTGATGACACCCACGCCGCGCTCTCCGGGTATTTTGTGCAAGTAGTGGCAAGCGTGACTGACGTCAGGGCGTGTTCACTTTACACAAGCAGATCGAAAGGAAAGAACACCGGGGTATCTGCTCAATTTGAAGGAGCGAGCAGTCAAAGAGAATCCCGTCTGAAAAACAGGACGGGGAAGGGTATCAAGGTCTCTCAAAGAGTCGTGAAACAACAACAACCGTTAGAAGAAGAAAAAAAAAAAAGGACGAGATGAAGATCAATGGAAATATTTGACAATTACAGCGAGCCCAACGCAGACCGTCTTACCCCCCTTATATCTCTATCCACCCCAGCGGGCTCAGCCAACAAGCAGCTAGACAAGCACCGAACCCCATCAGTTAGCGCAGGCCAAGGACGAAAAATCAGAGACGAATTCGTCACAAACGGGTCACAGCACCAATCAGCGACCGTGCAAACGTCAGCGACAGCCACTTTGGAGCCAAGATGCGCTTCTCTCGCAGCTGCGATGCAGGCAACTCTCACAAATACGACCGTTGCCATTGGACATGGCCGATACGCTGACCATTGCGTCCGATATGACTGGTCGACGATCGCGATCGACGTTCCCGATCTCCACCTCGCGCGTCTGATTGGTGGAGATCCGCATTAGGGCTCGGGGTTAAGAGCCTCTTCGATTTCTAGATCCTTTTTCCTTCCAAGCTTTCTCCCGTGTTGGCCTCCTGGGCAGCTCCACCTTTCCCTCGGTGTCCTAGAATGAACCCGAAGACGATATCTCCGTCGAGCTCTCGGTTACCCGGACCGGGCACGCTGCCCATAATAGGCCCGCCATGGTGGAATGTGGAATGGAGCGTGGAAAAGCGGTGGGAGTAGGCGTGACATTCTAGTGTCTGCTAGTGTTTTCGCTTGGATATGGGACTACTCTACTGCGACATCCCGGACCTTTCTCTCCGCCAATCATCTGTTTTGTAACACAAAGCAAAGTGTCGGGCTGGACCGTGGACATGAGGAAGATTATGATTGACGCGAATCCGCGAATCCTTATGAAAATCCGCAATGTGCAAACTCTACACTGTCTCCAAGGTACTTCATCATTCCAAGGTTCTATCTTTTGGGAAGTTTCCATCGTAGACTTGGATAGGACGATCAAGTGTGGTGAAATGACACCGATTCGGATGATCGAGTCTCTCGTCCATTGAAGATCTCCTGGTGGTCAACTTTCCGAAGATACTCCAGGCAGACGCAACGAGACCATTGACAATGGACGTTCAATAGTGCGAACCTTTCCAGGTGGCACATATTCATTATCTGGGTTTGAGGGTGACACCAACTGCGGGCCTATGTGATTGGCCATGGTGCGAGTTTGTTCTGGGGAATTTGGCATTGTCTTGACGTATTCTGTAGCCGAATCGGCTGCATCTCTTCATCCATTTGAGTCGCACAAGGAGCGGGGTCCGGCAAGGATCAATGTTCCCATCAACAAAAGTGCTTCCTTCTATGAGCCGCCCGCCATTCTGCGCTTAGGGTGAATAATAATTGCGAACTAGCGCTCTTCGCAACGTACAGTTACTGAGTTGAATGCTTTTATGTTCCTAGGAGAGATATAGTCCTCATTTTGCAGAGTAATAATTACTCCACAGGTGAGGATGAGGCTTGGATATGTTGCTCGGTGAAACGATCGAATACGCCTCACACCGGGCGCAGGCGAACATCGGCTGGAAGTACGTCTATCCAGGCCTGTCTCGGTCTCACGACTTCGACACGCTTGCGCCACTGTGAGCCGACGGAAAGGGCTCGGATGAATTGGATGCAAGCGGCATCCACAATATATCCAATAAATAAACATGGACTAGAGCTAGCTGCCTTGCATTGGGCATAAGGTTGACCCCCCTGCAATTGACTTCCGAACCCGACGAACCCTCTCCGGAATAGGAAACGCTCATATATTGCGGGGTGGCATTGCCAGGGCGGAGCGCAGCCAAGCCCTGTACTTCAAGGCAGACGAATTACAAAGTAATCATTAGTCCGTACCTGTCTTTAGGAGGATGAGGCGGAGCGGAGGCAGATGCGCGTGGAGTTTCTCGTTGATAAGCAGATGTGGCGCAAGGTTGTGGCTGACGCAGGTAATAAAACAACCAAAGGATTACCGTTTGCGGTTTAGCGGTGGCTCACGACAAAACAAGTGGATCGCCAGGAACCAACATTGTTGCCATCGAAGGGCTGTGCAGAGCCAAGTCAGCGTAATGATGCTGCGCCCCTCTCCAGATTTTCATTTAGCATAATTCAGGGATACCGTTAAATAGCAGTCTCTGTCCTTTGCCTTCTCCAACCTCCAAATAAAGCACCACGAGAACCCGAGTGTTGCCTCCACCCGTCTAGACCCTTCTATTTCTATCCTTATCCGGTGGCAAATCCCCCTTTATCTTTCTCTTATCCTCCGCCTCAATTCCTGTCGACACAGCAGCAACACCCAAAGTCTTCACAACTCACATCACCCACCATGGCTGAATCCGCTTCTCCTCCTCACTCGCTGCCATCTTCTCCCTCTCTTCCCGCCAGCCGTTCCTCCTCATCGCGGCCCTCACTCTCCATCGACCTCTCCAACATTCCTCCGCTGTCGCAGCCTACGCCACCCTCAAACACTCTCCTGATCACTGATCTGAACGATCTGATCCTCTTCCAGCCATCATCTTTGGAAGCCATTCGCAACCAAATTACTGTCGTGGCCCGCCTGAACTCCTTCTCACCGCTCCCCTCATTCCGGCGCATCGTCTGCTCCTTCCATTCCGTCGACGATGCTGTCGCCGTCCGCAAACAGCTGGAGGGCACCAGGCTCCTGAACCGCAACGTGCGACCGCGGATCTACTTCGGCGAGCCAACGCCCGTCCTCAGCGAGGAAGAGCTGCACCGGCCCAAACGCCACCTTGAGGCTCCCCAACTCGGCAAGCTCTTCTTCATTTCCCCGCCACCCAGCCCTCCCCACGGCTGGACCATGCGCAATGAGGACCCGCCCAACAAGGAAGTCCACGCCAGTGACCTCGCCAACGCCCTGGCCATGCTCAACACCAATCAGTCCGAGCCCGCCCCCGTCGATCCCGCCACGCCCGTGTCTATTTCCTCCGATAACCGCACCGGCAGCTGGCCGCTGGCGGGCTCGCAGCAGCGTTCCCGCAGCAGCACCGTTATCTTCAACCCGGAAGACCACGGACACAGCCCCAACCTGCCTGCTGTAATGGTGGAGGATGTCAGCTTGGCGGGTGTTGAAGATGAAGACGTTGATATGGACTCGGATATGAGCCCGATTGAGATGTCGTTGAACAAAATGCCGCCCAAGACGGCGCGGCCTCCGGTTGAGCTGATGGGTTAAATGATTCGTTTGAAGCTGTATTGTTCGTTTTAGCGAGGGTTTTGCATAGATCATCCACAAAGTGGTGTGCTTTTTTTTGGTGTTGGGACTGGTGGTTTTGTCTCTTTGTTTACATGTCGACTTTTGTCGGTTTGATAAGAGTATTGCTAATAATATACATACTATACTATGCTACGCACTTTATTTCACTTGTATGGAGTTCATTCGCTGCTATCGTTAATTCGGTCCCGTCCCACTTGGTTTCAATCAGTGGATCGATTCTCATGAAAGACCCTTGTCCCCATTTCCCCCATCTTCGGCATTCACGAAACCTTCAACGAATCCAAGCTACCAACAGTCAGTCCAAAGAAAACAGGTCGACACCCCATCGACTCCACCACTAACCTCTCCCCGTCCTGATCCTGGCATTGACCGCATTCACAACCGGGCACACTGAGATTGAGCTCGCGCCAGATCTTATGCAGATGTTCCTTGAGTCTGATCTCCTTCACATCCATCTCATCAGTCGGCGTCCATGATGTCTCCATGCGATTCGACAGCGCATCCATCTTCTGTGCGAAATCGTCGTCGTCCACCTTCATGGTAAGTCGACCCAGCTGTAGCTGCATCAGGTCGATAGACGCGGCGATCTCGACGGAGCGGCTCGGGTGACATTTCAGTAGCTCGCTGTGGCACAGCAGGGTGCTGGTGAGGGCATTGCATTTGATGCTGAAGCAGCGCGATTGGTTGTTCTCAATTTTGATTGATGAGATCTGCTGGGCTAGTTCATCCAGGACGTCGGCGATTTCAAGATATTGCTCTGGTGATCGGCGGAGAGCTATACTTTGCTCGTTTAGCTGGGTCAAGAGTCTGTCGCGCTCTTGGGTGAAGGGCGGGGTAGTCCTGCGCGTTGGGGATGCCATCGCGGGTGTGAAGATGAAAGCAGGGTGGGCGAGTGTGATGAGGGGATGTTTGGGACTTGACACAGTGAATTGGCGGCATTTTTGGGAGTTTCGCGTTGAGTTGGAAGTGACAGTGACTGTTGAAGAAGGGACGATGGATGGTCGACGATCAAAAGACTCGGCCAAATGAATTGATACGGATAACGTCGACAATAAGAACAAGGTCTCGTTATCTCTTGTCTCCCTTATCATGTTTCGACCAATGGACAATTAGCTGCAGACTAACATCTTTAGTGCGTCTCACTCTACGAATATGGTCGTTCTTTATTCACGTGCCACGGGCTCAACAAAGTCCATTATGCTATACGAAGGCTCCTCAGTCTTAATCCTCAAGCTCTCTTTAATGCTTACGTATAAAACTTCCATTAAAATCGGTAATCTCTTTTAATCTCCTTATGCCAGGCCTAAATGCCACCTAGTTCATCAATCCCGCGTCCAACATAGAGTATTTCAGCAGCTTGATAACCGAAGCTCAAGAGCGACGTGGTGCCAGAAGATCAACACGTCAAGGAACGAACTCTCTAGGTTGACTTCGATCTTAAGTTCTATGGCTTCAAGAAGCCGGAAGATTTCTTCAATGTTTTTGAAGAGATGCTGGAGACTGTGAGATTATTCATGAGTTTCTTTTTATTGATCATAGGGACTTTCCGCCAGTCTAATTCTAGTTCCTCTTCCACTATGGCTCCTGCTCTCTATTGCCATTTCTGTTCGTCAAGCTAATTAACAATACAACTGCCAATCCCCCAATTACTACCGTCACTACCTCCAGTTTTATAGCTGACAAACTCTTTGTACTCCGCATGATACTAGGCCACCTCTTAGTCTATTCAGAGTGGCCCCAAAAATTGGTGTCTGCGAGAATACGTTGGTATATCTCATTTCGAATGTTACAACAGTATTATAAGTTACACAATCGTTCTGGAAATAAAAGAGATCTATCCTTAGAAAAGTATAATTAACGACTTGGCTAAATGTGGACTAAAGCGGCTTCAGATATGGACCGAGAAACAATTCGTGAGTATCCATGGGGAGGGGGTCTGTCTTCGAATTCAACTCTAATGGAAATTCGGATTGGCGCATACAGGATGAGGGTTCGAGGATGACCGTGAGAAGATGTAAATCCCTGACTTCGACTACTGCTATACATTGATTTTGCATTGAATCGCAGAAGAATATCCTTCATCTGCAACACCGTCTTGAAACAAAGTTTCTTAAAACAACTTTGATTTTGATTTGATTGTAGGTGTAGATAAGTAGGCTTTTTTTCAATAGTGAGAAGGTATAAACAAAGCGGTTTCGAATCTCCGAGGATCAACGACCGCGGCATAATATCACACTCGACATGGAACTCCAAATGCGCCGCCAGCCGCCAAAAAAAGCACAATTTGAAAGAAACTCCAACCTGCATGCTCGAGCTTGTTTCGGGTAATTTTTATCCCCTTTCATCCGCTTAGAAACCCGTATGCGCTCTGCCCGTACGGTGTGGCACCGTAGGGAGTCTGTGCACTGGCTCCCCAGCCATTGGCGGCACCGTTTCCATACGAAGTCAGGTTGCCGTCCACGCCCTCTGGCGGTTCGTAGGCGTCGGGGTCAGCAGCGCCTAGCATCTCTGCATCTTCATGTCCGTGCGCGCCTTCGCCTGAGAGCTCGGAGATGGTAGTAGCAAGCTTCTTCATGAGAATGTTAATACCCTGTTGGATGATGACGTCGGGCTCGAGATTGCCGATGCTCTCGACGTCAATGTAGAAGGTGTTGGGCTCGGCATCATAGTCAAAGGGCTGGTCCGGGTTGGCAGCGGGCTCCCACTCAGCGTTGGCAGAGATGGGCCTGAAGTCCTGAATCAGTACAAGTCTTCATCGAACCGACTGGGTTACATACCATTCACTCTTCGCATCCTGTTCATACCAGTAGTCCACGTGCCGCAGGTTGTTATGCGGGTCGTACTCGAAGCCCACAGCAGCAGTGGGTGCCCACTTTGCATGCTCCTTGGCGGTACCCTTCTTAGCCAAGCAGGTCAGCTTGATCTCCTGGCCCTTCCGAAGCTTGCAGATCAAAGCGCCCTTGCCCTCCGCGTCCGTGATGACGGGGTCTCCGATTGTGTCGTTCATCCGCTCGCCCTGAACGATCAAATCGCGGGCGTAGACGGGCATGATTCCGCTACTGCAACGCGTGTGCAGCGTCAAAGTCACACTGCAGCGCACACAGGAGGACTCGCAATCGCACTCGCGCGTATATTCCAGGTCCGTATCGCAGTTCTTCGAATTAAGAGGGATCATACCCAGGCGGTGGGCAAGCATCTCATCGGGCAGCACGGAGGTGTTGCTTTCGATCTCGACCAAATCCAGCGCGACGGTGTTGACTTCGGCGAGGATGGCTCGGCGGAGAGAGTTGGCAAAGGCCAGGTCGACCGAGGACAGTCGGAAATCGACGCGGTAGGGTTCCGCCTGCGTGGTGACGGTCAGTCATCTGCTGCGACGGCTTGGAAAAATTGGCAGGAACTTACTTCACGGACTGTAACCTGCGGCCCTTGGGGCTCCAGGTCCATCTCGTAATCCATTCTGTCTTTGCGGCAGCGCTCGTCGCCGCCACCCGAGTCTCCGTGTATGCGCGTCTATCTGCTGGATATTAAAAGAATGGGGGCTCCAGGCAGAATATCGTGCAGTTCGAAGTGGACGGAGGGATTGGAGGAGATAAAGGGAAGGTCGGGGTTGACTGCGGCAGGTAAATGATTTGCTGAACTCGCAGTCGGAGCGTGTCTTGGCGCTTTCCCTAATCGGGCCGCCACCCTGAGCCGCCGATTCGCACATTTCAACGTCACGACAATTGAATGCGAACAACGCTGATACGAGGCAGATATGCGAAGTTCACTTCGCCCTGCTGATTACTTGTAGTCTAGTTGGAGTACGGGGCGTGGTTCAGATTCAAATTCAAGTGCTAGCAAGAACTGTAGACGGTAATCCCCAGTTCACCTCGTAAGACAAGCTTGTCTTCCTTTCCCGTAGAACTAGAAGAATCAAGAGCCTCAATAAGATCTGACCACCCGAGATAGCAGGCCCTCCTAACACATTGGATGCCCAGATTGGGGCCTGCGCGAAGCGTCTATGAGGAGAGAAGCGAGAAAGCAAAGAACCGATATCAAGCGCCAAAGAAGAGGAACGGGTAATACGGCAGCCCGACCGCAGAGACGTATGTGATGCAAAGATGGTAGGATAAGGTAAAAGGGGTGGGAAGAGGGGTCGGAAGGTGAGAAAATCGAATAAAAATCAAGAAAAGAAGAGAGCCACCGATCTCATTTTTTCAGGGTCGTGTCAAGTCATGAATCGGGTGAGGAGCAACACCCGAGGCTTCGCATGTATGAAGCCATGTATCACAGTATGTACGGACGGTGGCTATCGCTTGAGCGAGCTGCGATTTAAAGCTTCCAGCAGCTCGGGTCGATTGGCCAGCGCAGTTGCGGCCTGGGTGTAGCCGACCCACTGTCGTTTCCGCTTGTGCTTCTCGGGCCATTCACTCTCTTCGCGGTCGACGCTGACTTCGAAGAATTGATAGGAGGCCTTGGGGGCGTTTGCAGTGAGGAGGGCGGAGGGGCGCATGTCGGGGATCAATCCCAGATCCCGCATGACGGTGCAGATGACGCCGGCTTCCTCCCAGGCCTCGCGGCATGCAGCCTGCTGAGCGGTTTGTTCATCGGTCTCCCATCCTCCCTTGGGCAGCACCCAACCACCGGGGCCTGCGGATTGAATCATCAGGACTTTGGTCTTGTCGGCGGAGATGGGGACGACGCCGGCCACCAGGCGCTCGCCTTTTGAACCGTAACCTGCAAGGAAATTCGGGGTCAGTATGAAGATCAAGGCCGATCACCCCGCGTGCGCAAACATGAGACTCACGCTGGTTCTTGCGTCCGACGCGGGACTCCATGATCCGGTCTTGTGCCATTGTCATGCACAGGATTTCCCGATCCGTTCAGTTCCCGAGTTTCGTAGTACACCGGGGGAGGCGAAAAAAAGAGTGTGGATGACCCGGGAATGGGAAATTGGAAAAAGAAAAAAAGAAAGATAAATCGGTCCAAGAGAGAAGCTCTCAGCTCAAACTCCCAGGGAGCCCTTGAAGAGGGGGAGAGAGTTGGGGGTGGAGAAGTTGAAAGCTGCCGGCCGGTTCGGGTGTACAACGGTTTTCTGGCGGGCGGTCGGAGGGAAATTTTTTTTTCTCCTGAGGAAGAACGACGAGACGGGGACACAAAAAGAAAACTAGGTCTTCCCATTCAATCCCGAGATAGACGGGAAGAGAAAGGTATTGGCAAGAGACATGGTGGGAAATGGGGGAAACGGGGGAATTGAGCGGGAAATGGAGCAGAGGATGAGGGTTGAAGGGGACGAGTGGGCTTGGAGGGGCAGAATGAACCGGCGGCGCAATCCGGCCAAGGCAACTGACTAACCGTACATGTACATAGTACTTTACACTACGGAGTTCTCACGGGATTCTAATGTGTTTGGGCAAGTGGTCCTAGATGGGACAATTGGCCGACTTGCAGGCCTGTACTATGTATAGCCGACCCCGGTCGTTGGTACCGAGACTGGGAAAATCGGAGCGATTGGCGTCCGATCTGGTAAGCGGGCAGGTGATCTAAAGTATCAGAGATTATCGTCGTAGGACGAGCAAATGCGATCTGGGTAGATGTGTAGGGTGTAGATAGATAGTCGCGAAGAGCCTCCTTGTATACCTAGTATAATTACAACCCCGCCGTCTTGCATGTTCTACATTTCTCCATCTCCATCTCCATCTCCATCTCCTTCTTTCTTCTCACTCCCGCCCTACGCTCAGCTCACCACTCACCCCCATCAATTTTGCCACGATCCACTTGGCTTCTGTGTTTGCCTCCATCTCACATCCTAGTTTTTCACTACCGCCGGGGCCGCCAACCCGAAAGGCTCAATTTGTACGGCGAAATGGAACCGGTTGACGCCGAACGCGCGCGACAGCTGTCGCTCTTCCGACCACTAGGTACGTCCCACTCGGCCCCTGCAGCGGGCCACTGAGATCGGTTTCTCCGTCCCCGTGGCGCGTCCACTGGCCCTGGTGGCTGCGACATGGGGGCAACTTCGGGAGTAACTGTCAACCTCCTGCAGCTGTCTCGGTCTGTTCCCTCGTAAATAATAACCCATCGCTGGCAGGCTACCAACGGAACTCCTGCGGCTACTGTAAATCAGACGATGGAAGTATGTCATTTCCTTCCGCTTCCATTTCAGGGAAACATGGCCTGATACGTCATTTCTAGGCGCATCCTACTACGCCAGCTCCGTGGCCGTGCGGCCCAAGCACTATGGGGAGCTAATTGATCGGGGTTGGAGACGGTATGATCGCCGATCTACCATTGCCCGAAAACGCCTGACATTGTTTTTGCTCATGCAGATCCGGCACGCTGTACTACAAGCAGAACCTACAACGATCATGCTGTCCTCACTACACGCTGAGGCTGGAGGCTTCCGCTTACCAACCTCGCCGTGATCAGCGCAAGGCCATCAATCGCTGGAACAAATTCATCTTGGGTCCAGAGTACATGCGCAAGGCAGCTAGACTGTGCCCCCGATCGCGAGAGTGAGTGCCTGGTTCTGTTGATGGGTGATCGGCTGCTGACAAACTGTGCAGGGAAAAGCGACACCGAAAGTGCAACTTCGACGTGGTGTCTGCAGTCCACGAGTCTGAGTATGGCAACATCAAGCGGCCAATCGATCCGGCCACCAAACGTCCCCTGGAGCCGGCCCATCGCTTCGAAATCAATATCGAAGGTGACTCGGTCTCCCAGGCGAAGTATGACCTTTTCGTCAAGTACCAGACCAAGATCCACCGCGATGACGTCTCTCGTTGGAAGACCAAGGACTTTGAGCGCTTCCTCTGCTCCGGCATCAAGCGATCTCCTGCCACGATCACAAAGGCAAATGCCGACGAGAAGAAGCTCGGATCATGGCATCAGTGCTATCGACTCGATGGGAAACTGATCGCCGTTGCGGTACTGGACTTGGTTCCCAGTGGCGTGAGCTCGGTTTATGTCTTGTAAGTGTCCCTTCGAATTATGTGAGAGCATTGCTAACAAGTGGTCAGCTATGACCCCGAATACGAGCAATGGGAGTTTGGCAAGCTTAGTGCTATGCGTGAGATTGCCTTTTGCCTCGAGAATGACTACCCTTACTATTACATGGGTAGGTTTTCAATGCCACCACACTTGTATCCTGCTAATGATGGCTGCAGGGTACTACATCCACAGTTGCGTGAAGATGCGCTACAAGGGCGCCTTTCGACCCCAGTATATCCTCGGTAAGCCATCCTTAACTCAGTCCGTCCGCTCAAATTTCCTAATGACTGTGGCATAGATCCCGAATCTAACGGATGGGACCCGCTGGCTGGCGAGCTCTCCGAGAAACTCGACAAACGCTCCTATGTCTCCCTGTCTCGAGACCGATCCACCAACCCTGATGACTCGACCTCCAACCAGTCGCTAGACGGCGCTGTCAATGAAGAAGAGCTTTCTCTCTTCGACATTCACATGCCCGGTGTTTTGACTATGGACGAGGTCAAAGCATTGGACCTGGACCATTGGCACCTTCTTTACCACGGGACTTTTGTGCAAATGATTGTGAGATTCCCATTACCATACCCCGTGAGCTATTTGTTGACTCTCGTAGGATCTCGTCGGTTGGGAGAAGATGCCCATGGATAACCCGCAGTCATTGAAGGGGATTATAGCCGAGCTGGCTGCAGTTCTGGGACCGAAGATCGTGAAGGATAGTGCTGTCGTTCTTTTCGACTGAGGTGATATAGCATGGAGCCTGCTGGTGATGGGATTTACACTCTATTTATATACGAAATACTGTCAAGGAAAGCACTCAAGTGCTGAGATTTACCTCTGACCCGTTCGAGCACAATGTGTGCTTCATTGGTGTAGGCGCGCTTATCACATCATACAGAGGCACGAGCGTTTACAAGGTTCAGCCACGCTGCGAGGGGCTATATGAGTGTTCACTATAGACCAGGGAAGAGGATCTAGACGGTCTATGCGGTGGCGGCGTTCTGTTTCGTTCAACAGGAGCATTACTGTATCTTCATCTCGAATGGATGTCAACCCAAGCGTAGGGAAAGAAGTCTGTCGCATTCCCCACTTTTCGCTCCGCAATACTTCAATAAAATCCGGATTGAATGTCTTTGGATTCACCAGTCAATAATGGTAAGTAAGTTGCTCGAGACGCAGATGTAGTCGGCCTTTATTATGCACAGCTCTACTCTCATCCATTCAATGTTTATCTTGGATGAACTGTAGACCCGTCTGCATCTTTGAGCAAGGACTTTAGATGTGCTTATTGGTATGTTTTTGGTTTACAGTACGGGACATGGTGAACAACGTGTACTGAATTGCTATAAAACAACAAACGAGGTCAGATTGAGATATGTGCCGCCTGTGTCTATCCATATTTCCTTTTCTCTTGCGTACGCCTCGAACGGTCCGAGGCCGAGACCGGAATGCCAGAGTTAATTAGGGCTGACCGTTGAATACCCATGAGCCGAGACACCGCGAGCAGAACCAAAAACCCCCCCCAAAAAAGATAAAGTAACGCCTGGAGAACCACACCAAATCCAATGCTAGATGACCACAGATATAGAAGGTTTGCAGGAGATGAGAACCAGGAGTAGAAAGACGGAAGCTCATACTCCTGCAAGACCCTCCTCTTCTTGTCCACCCGATCCCAACATAGAGGACGGTTTCCGTCCTGCCCCGTATACCATCTCCATCAATTTGGCCTTTTGTCGCTCGCGGACGGATCGGAGGTAGTCGTATGTACCCTCCAGACCCTTGATCTGACCGTCGATGACGGCTTCGACGGGGCCGAGCATGCGTCCGGCTGCGGAGCTCCCAGCTCCAGTGCCGCTGCCGTCGACCGTCCCCATGAAACTGACAGAATCATTGCGGCGCACAAGTGGGCTCACGAGCTTGCGACGTAAAGTCTCCAGGTTGACTTTGAGCGTGAGCAGACGGCCGCGGTGATCAACGAGGAGGTGTTTATTGGCGACGGTTCGACTGCGCACGTTCGCAAGTAGTTTCTTGTTCTTTTCGTATTTGCGGACGGCGACGGCATCGGGTCCTAGCACGCGTGTCCAGAGGGAGCTGAGCATTTCGCCCTCTGCACGTTCCTGGGCGTCGGATTCGCGGACGACTGTGCGTTGCAGATTCAGGAACTGGCGGTCGATTGATTCGAAGAGAGCGAAGAGGGCCGTTGAGTGGGTGAGTTCACTGTTGATGGACTCCTCGAGCACGGAGAGGAATTCGGCGAATGTCCGAGTGAGAGTGGCCCGCGTGCGTTGTGCTGATGTTGGCCCGAGAACAGCCATCACCAGGTGTCCGAGTGTAGTTGTTTCAGCGGTAGCAATTCCACCTCCCACATCCGTAGTACGCTCCAATGCTCCGAGACGCGAAAGCATGTTGTGCATGTTGTCGAAGACAATAGTCGGGAGGGTACTTGGTGGTTGCGCGGATAGGGTTTCCAGCTCGCGCTTGGCCCAGTCCATCACAATCAGAATCGAGTCGATGTCTGAATCGACGTTGGCGAAGAACCGTGTCAACTCGAGAGAGAGCGACTTGAGTGAGTCGGACAGCTCATCTAGCTGGCGCACGATGATAGGTGCGCTGGTCATGTTAGTACCGCGCACCGATTCGCTCAAGTCCCAGACGGCCACTCCGGTCTCTTGGAGAGTGCCAATCTGCTGGACGCCATTTTCAGAGTAGTAGATCAGCGGCTCAAAAGAGCGCGCGAAGCCCGAAAGCTTAACCAGATCCGGTATCGATTGCGGCAGACCGGGGAGTAGCAATGCGCGCATAAACGCAACGGAGACCAGCATAATGAGAACGGACAGGGTAGTGTTGGACTTTGAACTAGTCATGCGATCAAACTTGCTGCGCAGGTAACCAAAGATGGCAGCAATGGGCTCGCGATGTTGAACTTCGGCACGCACGGCAAATCGAATGTCTTCAAGTCATGCGCAAGAACAAGTTAGTGCTTCTGTGCATGTAGAGAAGGGCTTGTACCCAGGTCAGACAATGCCTACAGTTACTCAAGTTCTCCGGTCCAAACCCCGTCCCGTCGTCCTCGGGGCTGTTGCGAATCACGCCATTACCCTGCACAGGTCGCGGGCTGGGAGATCGTCCTGTCTGCGGGGTTCCCGGGCCCATGGGTAGAGGTACATTGGCCGCGACTGCGACATCGCCCGAGTCAGCATCTTCCTGGGCTTTTCCCTTGCCAGGGCCCTCGAGCGCATCCTCATACTGGGGACTAGGCTCGCGCGACACAGAAGGCGACAGGCTTAGGCCGACAGTGGGCTTCAACTCTAAGCGCTCGTGGAGGTTTCCCCGGCGCAAGTAGGGCTGGTGACGGTACCAGCCGCTGCCCTGGACATAATCATGTTGGCGCAAACCGGGCGGCGACCAGCGGTCACCAGCGGGATCATCGATCTCACCGTCCGATTCTTCAGACCGAAAGCCGGAGTGCTGAGACGGCATTCCGAAGAGCGGGGAGCGGTGCGCATTGCTGTTGTTCTCAAAGTCCTCAAGCGAAGCATCCAGCGACGGATGGTCGTCGAAGACGTTGTCCAGCTCGTCCAACATGGCGGACGGCGTCTTGCGATGCTGGCGCTTCCAAGCGGGGGCAATTTCGCAGCGACGCAGCGCACCGGGGCTTACGATCGCTGTCCTTGGTGGTTCAATGGCTGGAATCAGGGCGGTTAGTGCAAGCGCCCTGCAAAGATCTCATGCGACAGTTGATACTGGGGATTGCTGCGCGGTTAGAAGAGCGTAGAGGATAGTCAAATCGACCCCGCGCGCTAAAATGCGATGCGATAGGATGCAATGTGACGCGAGTAGTTTCGGAGGGGGTGTGAGGACCCGGGAAATGCGATATCAGTGTATATTCGAGTTCTGGGACCGTCGCGATCGAGCATCACGATGTGGAACAGGACCAGAAACGAGGATCTTGCAGAGTTAAAGAAGAGCAGACGCTCGAGATGTGAGGACTCGCATCTCGAGAGGAGGCTGGGCCAATCAGCCCGAGTCATGCGTGCCAGGCAGGACGAAGTCACTGGAAGTACATCCTTGTACTGCACATACAACGTAAGTGGAGGAGAGACCTGGGTGTACCCGCCCCCGGTGCCTGACCGCCATTGTGGCCCAATCGATGTCTCCCCCGCTGAAACACATTCCTCCGTTTTTGGCCTGTTGCCAACCCCTGTGTCCTCCATCGGTTCATACGTCTACGATTCAATCACCGATCCAGTCACCGATCGACAGCCCTGTCTACTGGTGGTCAGTACCTGCATGCCTGGCTGCAGCCACTACACTACGCCCCCGTGAAGAAAAGGAATGAAAGAGTAGAGAAAAGATTCCAAATCTATTGCGGATCAACCATGATAATCTCCGATAAAAGTACATGCCCGGTCCCTCGGATGCCCGGAAATCAGCCCACGGCTCAACCGAATCCCAGACGTCTATCATTCCACGGGACGGGGTGTGAGAACGAGAACGAAATGCCGTGGGGGAATAAAACATCAGGTCGTTTATGCGGTAGCCTCCTTGAGGTAGCTGTGACGAAGGTATTAGCGGGCGATCTTGCATCTGGAATTTCGGTTGTAGAGGAACATACGTGATAAGGTCGTTGCGTTCCTTGCCCTTCTTCAGGCCACCGAAGGCCATCTTGGTGCCGGGAATGAACTTCTTGGGGTTCTCGAGGTACTTGAACTGTAGAGAAGACAGGATTAGCACGCCGTTGCGATCATCCACTCGGAGATGTGCTTCTTACCAGAGTGTCCTCCTCCCAGGTGACGCCGGCACCCTTGTTGGCGTCGGTGTAGGAGTAGCCCTCGACCTCACCGGTCTTACGGCCGAACAGACCGTGCAGCTTGGGGCCGACCTTGTTGGCACCGTCGGCCTCGACGGAGTGGCACTGAGCGCAGCGGGTCTGGAGGTTCTGTTAATTTTCTTGGTCGTGTCAAGATCGCGACGAGAGTAGCTTACCTGGAAGAGCTTGGCACCCTTGGCAGAGTCACCTGTATCGTAGATCGTATTAGCCAGCCGTTCGGCTTCGGCTTTGGCCTCCTGGGCTGCCTCCATGTCCCAGGCTACGTGCAGGAAAACCGATGGATTCCAGCGCGTCTAGGGTCGTCATGGTGGCGGGCGGAGGTGGATTCTGAGACAGAGTATCTGTGGATATGCAATTGCAGTGGTTGCGAGAGCGTCGAAGGTTTGAAGGTTGAAGCGAGTTGAGAGTCGCGAGCGAGGACAGCGCAAAGGAGAGGAAGAGCGCTGGAAAGAGCCGTTGCTCACAATGAGGCCAGTCGCAATTGAGCTCAACTCGGAATTGTCTCATTCACGTCTTCCATATCCTTCCGATCATCTCGCGACACCGCAATGCCATCCCCAGGCTCTCCAGACCCCGACCTCCAGGGGGAGAAGGCAAGAAGGGGAGGTGGTAACGTACCGGGAGCGAAAGAAGCGTCCTTGCCCATTGTGAATGTGGAGGTGTAATTAAAGGTGAATTAAAGAGAATAAGACAGCTGTACAGACTTCGGGTCAGAGGGAAGAAAACGAGAGCAAGATTTTCCCGCGTTTTTGTACCTGCGAACCCGTCGGCTCCCGTGACACGCCCCCGGCCAATCAGGGATCGGGTAATTGCCTCAAGCGGGCGCAACCGGGTTCCTCGGTGAGTCTCTGCTTTACCTTCTTTCCTGTTTTCTACTTGGATACAGCTTGCGTGGTTGCGTTGGTGATTCCGGGGGGATTTCTTCCATTCGCCCCTGTTCCTATGCTATGCCATTGCCCAACTTGTCCCCGGACCGTCGGGATGACAGCCACTAACCTTACCGTACCGATCCCTGTTCAGCCCATGATCTCATCCCGTCATCATCGCTGTGTTCGCCTTCCAATAGGCATGGCCGGAACACCTTGAACTGTCTACCACTGGTTTCCCCGGTTATTGCCAGAACACCCGCGTCTCTATCCCACGCCCCTTGTTGCGCGCGTCCCCTTACCCCCTTAAGAACTGGAGAAGCGCCTCTCCCGGTCCACCGCGGCTTCGAAATCCATCCACTTTCATTCGCCCGCCTTTGCTCCGCAGTACCGGATTGGATCCGATGCCGTGGGTCCTGAGCCACCGCCGTTGATACTGCGTCAGTTGTTTTTGCCCTCCAATTGAACTATGATGCGTGTGCTAGCCGACTGTGCTGGTCTGAATGTTCACGCGGAGCCATTGTGGAGTGCTCAATGGCATTATTCGTTACACAACCGTAGAGAGTATTATAGAAATCGAAAACTAGGTAGGTACCAAAGCGTAGGTACCAAAGCCCTAGGTATGCGACACGGCCAGTTTTCGTCGGCCGAAAACTTCTTTTTTTTTGCCGGGAATGCAAAAGCCGATTGCAGGCGCCTTTTTACGCGGCCCGAGAAACTTCCAAGACTGTCGATCTGGGTCACGTGAGGTCCGAGAAAACCCCGTTCGGGGAAAACACTGGCAGTACCGTAGATACGTTGAGGTAGAGATCAGCTATCACCACAACGTCTGGTGTAACATCTCGCCCACTATGCCACCCCCAACAATTCCTCCATTTCTCCTCCCTCGAGGCCTCCCCACGGCCCGAACCTTGCGGATCCTGCAGCATCCGCAACGCGCTATCAGCAGCGCCCGCTGCTTCACCTCCACCACCCCAGCTTCAGCCAAGAAGACCGACAAGAGCCGCACCCTAGGCCAGCCAGACAAGTTCCGCCCACCGTCGCACCCGGCGCGGCTCGTCAACCCAACGCGCACCTCGCCCTCAGGCCAGCCCATCAACTATGGCCCCCGGTTGACAGAGGAGCAGCGCTCGGAGCAAAAGCGCAAGCAATATCCCAACATGTTCCCGCCAGAGGGAACGGTGATGTTCAAATTCCTGACGAGTCGATGGATCCATGTGTGGATTTCCTTGAGCATCCTCACCTCCATGGCAGTCTTTGTCTTCTCTACAAACTTCAAGGCCAATTCACCCTTCGCCCATCTCCTTCCGTCTTGGTCTGGCCTCTTCTCTCATCCCATTGCTACGGTCTCGCAGTTCTTGCAGGTCTGGCGTATGGACGTGCAGCATAACTCGCTTCGCGTGCGCGAGCAGCGTCATCGCCGTATTGAGGATGCTGAGAAGCGGAGGCAGTATCGTGTTGCGCATGGGCTTGAGGAGCCTAATGAGCAAGAAAAGAAGGAGGAGGTCAAGGATGACCAGTCGCCTATTGCGGCTGAGAAGGGCGATGGGGAGTTTGTGGATTGGGAGGGGAAGAAGAAGCCTGTTAAGAAGTGGCTTGGTATCTGGTGAGGGTCGCCGTGAGGTATATTGCTTGCAAGATGGTTTCGATCTCGGAACGAAAGTTACATGTGTGGATATGGACAATGCATTGTATATTAGATCTTTCATGTGGAGCGCATTTACACTCCGATGTTTCATGATCATGAATCGCCTCTCTGGTATTTTGCGATATGGTATAGAGCTTGAGCCTCAAAGCTCGGACATTGACACAGTAGATCATACTACCTCGACACCCTCCAATCCCTCAAGCACCTCTTCACCCACACCACCCTTTTTCAGGACCGTCTTGACCATATTCGCAACAACGCTGCGCTTGACTCCGCCCCGGCGAGGGCGCCACACGCCCGACACTTCCTCCTCGCCGGTAGTCTGGCTCAAAACAATCTCCTCGGCAGGCGTAGCGCCCATCATATTCACATTCTCGGAGTTTGGGATACCCGGCTGCGTAAGTCGAGACGGGGGATCGATGGTGCGTATCGAAAGCAATTTCAAGCCCTCGCCCTCATCACGGGCTATGGAAATGGCGAGCACGGCATCCGCAACGGCAATTTCTTCCCGGTTCGGATCGAAGATGACATTGTCGCCTACCGAGATGACGAGAAGTGTCACCGGCGGGCGGACATGTTGTGAAGGGGACTTTCTCAGCGCAGTCGAAGAGCGCGGGTAAAGGTACTCCGCAACAGCCCAGTCATCGTCGAAGAAAGGATCCTCCTCACCCTGGGACTTGATCTTGGGGAGCTTGGTAGACAAAAGAGCAAGATGAGTAGTAAGAGAAAGAAGTGGGAGAGGGTATGACAAAGGTTGAGAAAGAAGAAGGACCTAGCAGGCAGTTAGTTCACCATGTCCTCGTAAACTTCAAGGAAGGCCCCACTCACATCAATGTACAACCGCCAATGCCAGCGTTTATTAATAACCAGTCTCCCCTTGAGGCCGCCAGCCATACCGCTCGCATCGGCACCAACAGACCCAACCAACGACTCGCGCATCATCTCAGACAAGAAAACAGGCAGCGCATCATCATCGCGGAAACCAGGGATCTCAATGGACATCTGCACCCAAGATCCATGTCCCGAAACAGCAGCCGATCCTTCCTGGCCCTCGCGGTCCTCGTTGGAACCGAATTCATTCCGCGCGTCGAGGGTATCTGCCGACAATGTCGTCTTTTCGACCTCTGCCTTGACACCGACGATGGCCTGCGTGCCGTCTGCGAAGCCAATGCGTGCGCTGCCGTTTGTACCGGGCAGGATGTTGGTTTCGGCGGTTAAGGGTCGGAATTGAGTAGGTGAGCGGCCGTCGGGGCGAATGGGGCTTTGGGGGAGGGAGAGGGAGGTGTAGAGGTAGGAGAGCTCGGCGGGGGAGAGGTGTGGGGTTTGAGAAGCCGATGAGGCCTGCCTTTGGTTGGACATGGCGGGTATGGAGGGGTGTGCTCAGCGCTTGGAGAAAGTAGAGGAGCGACTTGCGATAGTAGCTTTGTTAAAGTTGAAATCGGCAGTTTCGAATGCTGAGAGTAACCAGCGATCCAGCGTTTTGGAGAAACTATTCCAGCCTGACCTGAGGCTGGGTCTCGAATGCAGAAATAGCACCAGTCAAGCGCCGGTGACTAAGGTTGAGTAAAAATCAATTGCGGAAAAAAAAGTGAGGAAGAAGAGCATGCTCAATTGGGAAATCTTGATGGCCGCCGGATTATTATTGTTCCGGGTGAATCTCTACAAACGCCAGCTCACCATACGTCAAGTCAACTTTGAAAAGACTGAAGAAGTAATGATCTACTGAAACAAAATGATGTATCAAATCAGAATTATGCATGTAAATATGTATGTAGTCGGCGCATCGCCGTGAGCTGTGCTATATTACAATTGGAGACTGGACCAGCCAGCCTATGAGACCTCGCAGTAAAGATAATACATGAAAGAGCGAACAGGGAGCTTGGAAGAAGATGCGGGAGTCGATAGGAAAAGATAGACAGGACGGTAGCCAGACAATGTACAAGAGGGGGACAAGTATATAAACAAAGGAAAATGAAGCGCCATGTTCATATAAAATGTGTAGATGCCAGTTGAAAAGGGAATGGTATGTAGATGCGGCTTGCGCATGGTGGTATCAAAGTAAGAAAGGACTCTGTTGCAACGCCCCCTTCAAAAATGATCAGACAAGTGCAAGGACTCCAGGGATTGTCCGAGGGAAAAAATAACAAGGGTGCGAGGCCGGCTTCATCTATCAAGGGCCTATGGGGTATGAATGTTGAAAATGGGGGAAATGATGAAAAGATGAAAGGGGCAAAAATCCGATGCCCAGGAAATCAAAACCAGAACGACCAGACCTTGAGAAAAGAAAACCCATACGCCTATCTCGGTTTTTATCCGTTTTTCGCGCAATTTCGCCAGATTTTGTAGCTTCCCGGCTCAGGAGAGAGTGTGGTGGTATGCATTTTTCAGAGTCGTTGTAGAGAACGATCCTTATTTAGATGTAGTCGGATCCGGAAGAGAAGTACTGAGTGGACGCCTTTTGATTCCACTCAGACTCCTCGTACGGAGGAGTCGGCCATTGACGGTTCGAGTTTGCGTCCGTCTTGGCCGCAACCTGCTTGATGGGCGTCTCGAAGTAGCCATCAGCCTTGGCCGTGGGTGAAGGAGTGGGATACGGGCTCGGCAGTGCGCGCGAGTTGTCCGTCTGCCGATGACCCACACTAGTAGGCTGGCCAGCCAGCGACTGGGTAAGTGCCAGGCGTCTGGCCGCTGTGTGGGTTGAGTGCAGGACCTCGTCGAGCAGTTCATCCTCCTCCTCCGGTGTTTCGTAACGGTGAACCGGGTGAGAGGTCATTTGCATTGCGCGCCGGGTTCGGCTGGAGATGGGGCCCGGGTTGGTGCTGGTGATCTGAGGCATCGATTGGCGCTTGGTGATGCTGCCCTCGGCACCGGCGTTCAAGTGCACGGGAACATTGTGCGTGGACGAATCCAAAGCGTACTTCACGCTCTGGAGAGCTTTGTCAAGCTCGCTCAAGTCAGAATGCGGCTTCGGTTCGTTCACATTAGCACCGTCCAAAGCGATCGAGGAGCGGTTCGACCATGGAATGCAACCTGCATTAGCCTCGACATCATCGCTCGGTGCCGCAGCTTGGTTGCGACCGGACAGCCTGCGAGCGCGCTTGCGCAGATGCGAGAAGAAGCTCTCCTTGGTGGTTGGTGTGATGTAACCAGAACCGTTCAGCATCCTCTCAGCTTCCTGGCGGTGGATGTCCGAGTAGTGGTTGCCATTGGAGTTGACAGACAGTTGACGACCGATCTTTTTGCTCGTCTTGGCCGCATCGGATTCGGCATACTTCGACGCGTCGCTGTGCGCCACGGTTGCATTGGCTTGGGCCGTGACCGCGTTGGAGAGAGGAGAAACAGGGCGAATAGAAGGCAAAATTGGCATCGGAGCACCGTTGGCCCACGTGGCACGCTTGGTGTTTGCTGGCCGAGCTTTGGCAGGCGGGATTTCAGGGACGGTGCTGTATGAGACGGCGGGCGGTCTGGTTGGGCTGTCGTTCTCGATGCCGGGGACGGGGCTTTCAGATCGACCAATCAAGGATCTGCGGAACCAAGAAGGCTTTGAGGACAGATTGGGAGAGTCGTTAGGAGAAAGAGTGGGAGACTTGAAGCTCTTTTCGGATTGTTTACGGCCCAGCAACCGCGACGAGGTGGAAGACTTGGGTCGCAGCGGATCAACCGCCTCGGCGAAGTACTCATGATTCAAAGCCTGGGTAGAAGTCGGACGGTTCTTAGGGTCCCACATCAGACACCAAGTGACAAACTCGGTGAGAGCTGCCGGCCAATGTGTCGGGGGGAGAACAGAGTCCATGGAGTGTGGCGCCATCTTGGGGAAGGTGAAGCCCAGCTTATGCGCCAATCGTGACCCTTCGCGCCATTCACCACCACCAATCTTGGAACCAGACTTGTTGTACCAGTTACCGGGGCTGCCCATAATCTCACAGACGCGCCAAACCTGATCAACCTCATTACCTCCGGGGAACAGAGGCTTCAGAGTAGCGATCTCCACTGCCATCGCACCGATGGCCCACATATCCACGGGAGCTGAGTATTCCCCAGCCCGAAGAAGCACTTCAGGGGCGCGGTACCAGCGCGTCGAAACGTAGGTCGTGTATGGTTGCTTAGAGTGAGTCTCGCGAGCGAGACCAAAGTCGGCAATCTTCACGGTATATGTAGGGGGAGTAGAGGGGGGAGTAACGAGGTTGGAGTAGCGGCTGAAGGTCGAGTCATTGGGGGCAGAGGTCGACACCAGGATGTTCTCGGGTTTGATGTCGCGGTGGAAGAAGTGGTGGGCGTGGATGTGGTCCAATCCGGACAGGATTTGGTATAGGATGCTCTTGACATGCTTGCCTTCGAAGTACTTGTGGTCACGGGCCTTCATCAACTGATACAGGTTGCCGTCCATGTACTCCATGCAGATGTGCAGTTTGCGGGAAAGAGGGTCGAGGAAGATGTCGAGAGCGGGGACAAGATGGGGATGAATGGGGAGTGTCCGCAGGAAGATGACCTCACGAAGCTCCAAGCATGGCTGCAACGAGTCGAAGGTCTTTTTCATTGTTTTAATCGCGACCTTGATCATGTTCATGTTAGTTGAAGGTAAGCCTAGCCGGTGACGTATGTCACATACCATCGATCCTCGCCGCGCGATATGAGATCCAGCGGTCCGTACACGTGCAACAGCAACGCTACCGAAGCTCCCATCGCCAACTTCCTTCATCACCTGGAAACGTTCTTCGAGAGTCGCCATTGATGTTTGAGCCCTCCTGGAGGGAGCCTCGTATGTGACGGTCATGGTGTGCGTCTCTTCGGATCTGCCAGCAGAAGAAGAGCGGTGGATTCTATTGTCGGTCAGCGGCCAGACTCAAGACGACGCGCCCTGCAGCCAATCTCACATTAGGTAGAGGGGGTTCAAGCTTTCCCACAGTAGCTGGAGGGAAGTATTCAATCGAGGCAGATGCTCATCATCCGGAAGTGCGGGTTATAGCAGGTAGGGAGTTTCCCGAGTAAGGAGTGACGGAATAGTTGGAAGGAGATTATAGGGATGTACAGAGGGGAGGGGGAGGGGGAGAGATCATGGATCCAAAAGAACGGGCACAATGCAATAAAAAGGAATTCAACCCAGAATAGGAGGGGACCCGTTCTAGGTGTGGGAACCGTTGATCGGAGGCCGAGGAGGAAACCCCTGACGCGCTGACAGCTCGACCTCCCAGACGGGGCCGTGGAGACGGTAAATTAACCCCGTTAAGACGATGCAGATCAGTCCACCGGACTAAATGGGCCTGGATAAATGGGCCCGGACGCAGTCACCTGGGCAATGAACAGGAGTATAATGTGGGTAGATTGAGGGGAAAATGGAGCAGGAAAAGGAGAAAGGGGAGGCGCGAATGATAAATGTGAAATGCGACAAGCGAAATGGGTTATATGCGCGGACACGAGGGCAGACGGGGGAGTGGGAAAGCGAACGCATCCACCGATGGGGTCATGACGGTGTAAAATACGTCCAGAAATACCACGCTTTTTTAATTTGTTTTTACCTTAGGGTCGAAGCGTTCCCTCTCTTGTTTTTCGGCCAACAAAATAAAGGGCAGCTCCCGCGTCATCCAATGGGACGCTACGAGCGGGACGGGAGCCGGGTTCCTGAAGTTTCTTACGCTCCTCCGTACAGAGTAAACACCTACGGTAAACACGCTAAGACTGGAGGCTAGACACTACCTTTCGCCCCCGTTCTAGACACAGCGAAACCAAAAGGCAAAAGCAAAGAAAATCACTCATTTCATTCACCGTTCTTTTAGGTACTACAGAGTACCAAGGACTGGATTTAAATCGAGCAGCTTCTCTGGCTATTATAAGTTACCTGTGCATGACTGCACGGCGCCTAAATAATTGAGAGGTTGGGCATACAATTATTATTCGTGGCCTGTAGGGGGTCGCCCACGCAGCCCTAGCCGTAGCCTTCTTGGGGCGCGGCCGCCCCGTTAGGAGGTTGGGCCGCTCCCCAGGTAATTTATTCCGTCTCTCCTCTCCCGAATGGCGTTCATGAACTCTTGCAAATGACGTTGTAAAATCCCGGCCAATTCATCTAATCTCTGGGCCCATCTATCATTTTGTTGTCCATCCGACACGTCACTTTCGTAGGGCTAGGGCTTTAACAGGCTTGACAGACTTGACAGGCTTGACGGGACAGGACCCGACGTTTCAACAGCAAGGAGGATCCTGCTTGTGACGCTGCCTGTTATGTCATGTCCTACATCGGTTTCGGTCGTCGCAAGGATGGCATCTCTACGCATCCCCCTGTCTCAGTCCGGTTTATTGACTTGGTTGACCGGGCACCGCGTCTCGCCACATGATCTCCAAGGACCCGAACCATCCTTCCAGTGCGGGCCTCCGGCTGGACCCGAATAGCTGGTCGTGACCAGATGGAGATTAGGTTCGGATAGACGGATGCGTTCGCATAGGGTCTCTCGAGTAAGCTCAAGCCGGTGCTATGGGGTCCCAATATCAAGTACCAGTGTCCCGAGGTGGCTATAGGTTGTCCGGACAGCCTCACCGATTGGGAACGGCGCATGATTCAGTCGCTAGGATGGGCCTCCCCGTTTATTTGTTGCGTCTCGTCTCATCTCCGATCGCTTTCCAAATTAGTCTTCGGTGCCTGTGCCGTGGGTTTCGTCCTGACGGGCGATCAAAATCCCTGAATCCCTGGTCGCGGGCCTTCTCCACTGGGAATCCGCGACGGTGGAAATGTTACGATGGAAGATCCTGTCGATCAGGGAGCACCCGATTGTTTGGATGGATGGAATTGATGGAGTTGATTCTACACGTCACGGGGAGATCACAATATGTACGAATGCAATCGAGTAAATACCTGCAGCATCGTGGTAGAACATACCTGTCTGACCCGACGAACCCTGGGGCGGCCGTTTGGCCCGTTCCAAAATTGCGTGGACCCCCCAATATTGGCTAATTGGAACTCGGGATTCCCCCTTCTTACCCCTCTCGAGACCTTTAGTTAGGTCATATCCAACGCAAACCAGTGCATCCGCATCCTGCGCAGGATGTAGGAGCAGCTGGAGGTGTTCGCCTCCCCCTTCCCCCCTCTGCAGGAAGACCGAGTCCCTGGGTGGGAACGTGGCCCTTACCGAGAGCAAACACAGTCTCCCATTAATTACCAGTGGAGCCCATCTTCGAGTTGAAAAAGCAAGAGTCCAATCACGACTTCCCTGCCGCCAGTTCCGAGTGGACAAGAGAAGCTTGGGCATCATCACAGGAAAATGAGACGTGGAGTGTCCGTACACGGTGTGTACTCCGTACAGCGTGTACACGATACCGATGGAGTACACGTCTCCGTGGCACCCTTTCATGCATTGTGGGAGTGGTGGGGTGTACTCCGCGGGTGCTGGATACGATAGCCTCGCGCCATCCCAATGAAGATCATCAAAATACCATAGTGCGATGGAGCCGGCTACGCGCCAACAATACCATTGGTGGGGTTGATGGTGCCGTATGACTGGAGAGCACGAAGTGGACTCTGATTCACTGGGCCTTCCCCTCCTGGTTTACTCATTCAATTTGAGCACCTTCTTGGTGGAACCGAGGGCTTGCTAATGCACTTAGTTGAAGCCTGGTGAATTCGGGGGACGACGGATTCTCCACCGCGTGGACCTCGTCCAGGCCCGTCCCTCGTACCCGAGAGGCCGTGGCCATGGTAGCGTTGCGTAAGGGAAGATCGCCCCCCTTTCTTGCCACCAGCCATTTGCCAAAGGATTTCGAGCTAATTGACCGTTGCCAATGTGCCGGGGCGAGCCGGCCCCTTCCTCAGGCCTTCGAGAAGGTCAGCAAATTATGATTGCTCACTAGGGCACTCGCCTAAAAATTGGGGATAATATTCCTCAATCGAAATAGCTCCAAGGCCGAGGGTGTCGAAGGTGCAAGGCGGACACACGCCCCTCTCTGCCTCCTGCCTTTCTTACTCCATTTCCCGATCTCCCCAGGGCCCATCTCACAGCCAGGGCTCCGCCTTTCGAAAGTTTCCGACTTCGCACCGGCCACTCGTCAGGATCAGACTGCTGGCTGGTGTGAACTCTCCGGACTAAACCAGTGCTAACCCCGACCCACAGTAGACGCCGAACATAAGTGTGGCCCCTCTCTACTCAGGACACAAGGAGTATCAGGATGCGTATCAGTGTGGCAAAACGTGCCCCTTTTCGCACATCGATCGTCCCACGGATTATGCTAGATCCAGTGCTGATGACATTTAGTGCCCGGGAAACAGCACGCGGCACTAAACAGTACTCGGAACACTGGGTCTCCCCTGGGGTAGCGGCCCACCGTCACTGGAGTAACGTGTCCTTCAATTCGACGCTTTAGCGTTTCCGGAAGGTCGCAGCCGTGGTCCTATGGGGTTGCCTATGAAGGATGCGCGGCTTTAGCTGCGCCGACGGGCACGTTCGTCCATCTATTTCGATCATGCCATGGCCTTGGCTAGTCTACTCCTGGCAAGTTTTGGGTTGCAAACCCCTGATCGAAGGTCTCGGGAATTTTTCTGGAAGTCTGTCACTCCCGGACTCCGTTCCTATCAGCCAATAATTTCCGTCCCAGGGGACATTCTAGGTTTGAGTTAGCATTGTCCCGTGTCTCCGGCGTGCATTAGGGCGTCGGGTGGGAGTTGGTTCGGCTACCGTGTGAACATCGTCATTTCCTTGTAGCTACCCCTCAAGCCCCAGCTTGCCTTAACTTTGTTGAACTCAATTCTGCTTTGAGACACTAGACGTTTTTCATGCCAGAGGCATGATTCAATCAGAATCCATGGAGGTTTTATCCACTGGCAAGGATTTCGATGGCGAATTTTGCTCTTGTTTACTTATTGAGGTAGGCATTTTGTTGGCTGCCTAGGTGCAAAGCCAAAAGCCTAGTCTAGAGGCTCAAGTTGGATGCTGTATCACAGCGAGTTAGAAACAGAAACATGGACATATACGAACCGTCCCTCGAGCCATCTCAGCTAAAGTCCAAGGTTCCAGGGTGAAATCGTTGAATTTAAAATGCAACTTACTGTTTCTTGCAACATGTCCGGGGTTTCCCTGCATGTCAGTCATCTTTCTCAGGGGCCATTGTCTGTACACATGCTTCAATGCAGGCCCCCCGGACTGGGCTAAACTTATACCTCCCACTAAAAGGAACAAATTGGGCTACACGGCCCTGGAGGGGTTTGCAAGGTCTTAATTTCAAAAACATATATCACACTTTCCAGGGCGTAAAAGTTACCCATAGACCTATGGGACCCTATCGTCCCAACAACTGTGCTGATATACAATGACAGCAATATGGCCTCACAGGTAGATCAAAAATAATTCAAACCATACATAAAGCATACACAGGCGCTTGTTAATACAAGGTCATTGTCTGATACTAATCCAGCATGTTTCCGTAATTCCGCCAGTGTTGTTTTTCGTGGCCGGAGAACCAACCGTCTTGATGTCAGTGGATATCGTTTAATCAAAGGTCCAATGCTAGCCCAGTAGTACGGCGGGCATCTAGACGTCCATGCACCTCTTGAGCACTGTCCTGCTTAATGAGCATCCCATATTAACTATGTGTTTCTTTCTCTTGGATGCAAATGCGCTATGCATGATTCAAACAATTTCTAGTTGCTTACAAGAAGGAGACTAATTGCACATCCCTGCATGGCAGCCTTCATTTGTTTCATTTGTTTCAATTGTTTCATTTGTTTCAATTGTTTCATTTGTTTCATTTGTTTCATTTGTTTCAGATGATCCAGGCCTCGGGGAAAGGCCGTTCTCATCTTGAAACCCATATGAAAGGTTCGGGAGTGTGGAAGCAGTCATCTCGGCATCTAGTAATTCACATGTAGTAATAAGAAGAGGAAGAACCTGAATGAGAGTGTATTAACTGTATTTAGGAGCCATTGTCGCAGAAAGGCAGGGTCCGCTGTTGATCACGTCCCAGACCCGCGTGCCATGGGCGCAGCCTTACCCTCGGCGTCTCATGCCGTTTTATTTGCTCCTTCCTCGTTAAACTTCACCTTATGTTAGCTTTCTGCTCTCAACCGCTTATCGAGATCAACTTCTCGGGCTAGAGCCGAGGCACCATGTCGCCGCGCCGGCAGCGCCCTCCCACCCGCAAAGAGATGGAGGGTTCTTGGAAGGCCAGGTCGATGTAAGTCTGCCCGCCTTGCAAGCTTTGTATCCATCTGGGTTCTGTGTTGACAAGTAATCAGCGAACTGGAGAGGACGAAGACGCTCGAGTTACTTAGAGAATCGGTGGGTATCAGATCTTAAATGTCGTCGTCGACCTAATGCAACTGGGATCGTCTGTTGGTTCTGCGAGAGGAGGCTGCCCCGAGACCTTTTTGGGGAGCGTCAACTGCTTAAGTGCTGCCACACGCTCGAAAAACACGGCGTGGAATATCTGAATGATGAGCAGGCCGCCAAGTGTAGAGACTGTGCCTATGAAAATCCTCTGCACAGGTAAAGAAGTCACCCGCGGAGCTCTCCAAGTCTTAGGCCAAGCATAGCCAGCCTGCATGTATGCATTGTTCTGTCTGCTTGGCAAGATTCCTGGGCCTATGGTGGGTGCTAATGAACTCTTGAGCATTATAGCTCTGCATCAAATGCATCGATTCGCATTTGGAAAAAGAGCCACGTGATGACCAAGGTAGAATGATGGACGGCAACAGGGCGATGCCCTGTCTGAATCTGGCTGATTTCGCGGAGTTGGAGCCCGCAACCAGATCGGCTCAGATTGAAGGAATCAAGGGAATGACCGTCGAGGAAGCACGGGTAAGCCACTCTCTATCTAAACAAGTCATATGACTCAAGTGGTGCTAACAGATATAACAGATCTAATCGATCAAGATGCTCCAGCATGAGAAGAGCGGCGGCGCAATCGCGAAGCCTAGCCAAATGTCAATCAACCTCAGCCCGACGTTGCTCAGATTGGTCGCTGGCAGTGAAACGTCAATGGTCCAAGTTCAGGGTGAGTTTGCCTGAACATCCGACATGACGATGAGCGCTGATGAGGTGATAGAACGATCCAGAGCGACTTGGAACGTACCCAGGACAACTCTCGTCCCCAGATTCCACGCACGAAATCTCACGTCAACGAATCAACTGGGAAGATCTGGGACATGGTCGACTTTCTAATCCTGGGGGGTGTCAGCAATCGGGCGTTCCATTCAGGAGACATCGATTCTCTCGTGATATTCTTATAGATCTTTGATTCCTTTTTACATTTCTTCTCGCGGCAATGGATAATGCGCATCATGTGGCGTTGGATCATGCTCGTGAGAATTGCCGGATGGACTTGGCACGGACATGAGGTTCGCAAAAGGTTCCACGGTTCGACACGATGACATCGTCGGTTCCGCCTCCACGTTCCACATTTGCACATTCCGCCCTTCCACGTTTGCAACATCTATGTTTAGATGATCCAGGCGCATGTTCTGAACCATCTGAGACTAGGAATCTACAAGTTCCAAAAATAACTTCCACGCTAGAGATGGATAGGTTTCAATAGCGTCTCCGGACTTGCCACTGACCAAAAGACCCTTTAGACCGAAATTTAGCCTACGCCTTCGATAAATTGACCCTTTCAATAGCGCAGGAAACGGAATAGGCCACAAAAACAATGTACTTTAGCGCGGAAAAGAGCCCCAGCATCATCCGGTAAATCTCTTCAATGCCAGCTGTCGGATCGGCAACCTTCCTTGCATGAAAGGCGTCCTGCATGAGATTCGAAACGTGGTTCTACCGATCTTGATAGGCGCCCGGGTATCGCAATCGCTGCAGACATTGCATGGAAGAGACGGCGAACCCATAGATTGGGCGACGATCATGACGCTCCGGCTGAAGTGCAATATGACAGCCTGATAGTGTGGGCCTGTGGCACTTTAATATATTAAATGCGCCACACCGCGAATGAACAGACAGCTGTGACGTCGAATGGGCCCTACCCCTCGTTGTTCTCGAGTATCTGTTTTGCTTCTGTTTCTGTCGCCCCCAATGTTGGCAAACCCAGTGACGCCAACGTTTTGATCGCCACCTTCCCCACAGCCCCTCATCGTCTCACAATTTCTCTGCCTTCCTAAACCCACCAACTTTTTCTTCTTTTTTGGTCTACCTTGTAGCATTTGAACAGACAGCTTACAGCTTCAAACTTCGAGGCAGAGGGAGACAGAGAGCCAGTCCGCAGCTCGTCTCTCGGCCCAACCATGGCTTACGGCGGGTATCATCAAAGCCCCAATCCTTATCCGATGGGCAACGTGAACACCGAACCCAGTGACTCTCACGGCTATTCGGCCGCACCTCCCTACCCGTCGCATTTTGAGTCCGATCGTACCAATATGCCACAGCCTCAGATGCCGACCGCATCGCCGGCCCCGAACATGGAGCCATATACCCAGTCCCCGTATGCGCAAAGCACGGAGAATCTTAACGACGCCGTCAGCTCCGCGGTCCACAATAATGTCTCTACACCGTCCTACCTATCTCCCGATGTTCTGTCGCAGATCACAGCGACTGTTATCCAGCAGCTGAAAGCGTCCGGTCTGGATAGCATCCAAGGATCCGCCCCGGCTTCTGTTCCCCCTCCACGATCGCAGTCGCAGCAGCCCCCATATTCAGCGACGGAGTACCCATCCCGACCACACTCCGAATCCCCACCAACTGCGCAAAGAAGTGGATCAGTACCTACGCCAAATCCCATGTCGAACAGCTATGATCCCTCGACATATCCAATCCCCTCGGGTGACTCTCGACCAAACCCTAAGCAGACTCCAGATACCTTTTCTCGCAGACATGATTCGATTTCCAGTCATGGTAGTCACAAAGCGGATGTCACCCGCCCCAAGCCCCCATCACGAGATGCGACGGCTATGGAAATGACTACACTGGAGAGGATTTGGGGGAAGCTGTTCGAGGATGGAAAGCCGACTGAGAGGCTTGGTCAGTTTTTGCGCGGAATTGCAATGCACTTGGTAAACTTAGCTCCAAAGGCATGACTTTCCTGCGTCCATGTGGCTAATATATTGTCCAGATTGAGGATTACCCGCCCAGCAACACTCTTGTCATTGTCCCAGACAAGCTGCAGAAGTTCTATGCGGATACAAGCGTGTCCTGGGATCCTTATCCATGGCAAGGTTGGTGGACACTGCACACACTATAAACGACGATCTTCCTGACATCATGTAGATATTTTCGATGACCGCACGTCCTCGATCTCCAGACTCTTCCGTGATGTAAAAGCGCAGCATCACCTCGTTCAAACGGAAGATCTCAAAGAGCGACCGGATATTCCGGGCTTGACTCCCAAAGGATTCGAGATATGGGTCACTTTAATGATCCAAGCGAATCCGGACCGTGAATATGAGCGGTTACAAAAGGCAGTGCTGAATATGCCAATCAGCAATCCGGACGATAAGAAAGAACGGTTTCCCAAGGAAATTCCACGCCGACTCTTCCCCGAAGTTGCGGATATCAGGTTGAGAGAGGAAGTTGAGGAGCACATCATGAAACACTGCGGCGTCGACCTCCCACGTATCACCGAAGAGGAGCGTTCCCAGGCGACACGCTCGAGGATGTCGCCCGCCTCCGCTGCATCGTCTACTGAACGGTCCCGGTCATACGAGCGAGGACGACCACCGCCATCCGCCTCATCAACATCAGCCGTGATCGACGATGAGGACGAACCAATCCCTCCAGCTCCCATTGAGCGCGAAAGAAAGCCATATAGTGCTCAACCTGGTGGTGGCAAGAAGTACGATGGGCCGGGCCACAAGAAAGAACCGAGCCACACTCGCAGCCATACAGGGTCTTTCTCCACGAGCCGACCACCCGATATCCCAAGACCGTCGGACAACCTCGACCGAGAATCACTATATGGCCGCTCTGGATCTGGCCCTGCTCCTGCTCGTCGGTTTTCCAGGAGCTCGCGCAGCTCGTCACGGGGCATGGGCCACGAATACAGGCACTCGGAAGGTGATCTGTTGGATCGTGAACGTGTCCCCAGATACAACGGGGTGTCTGCACAAGATTTGTATATGGAGTCCCCGACTTCTATGTTACCCGAGGAGGATAGTCGGAGGTACAGAGACCAAAAACCACACCGGGGTAGCCGGGCCCCCGAGGACGAGTACTACCGCGGTATGTTGGGTGGACAAGGTGGTGGCTCCAAGTATTATCACTGATAATCTTGTATGTTTGGCGTTTGCTCTCTGGAGTATTGTGTTTACCTAGCTCGGCGTTCCGTATGGCATGAAGATACCTCCTGGTTTGACGAATGACGATGTCTCATGTCCGATCGTTTCAAATACATATTGTTTCTAACCTTGCACACCAAAAGTTGTTTGTCTGATTTCAACCAGTATCATTCATTATATAGATACGTACTAGACTTTAATCTTGTTGGAGTCCCGTCTCTGAATACTCCCTCTTCCGCCGAATATCCTGCATGACTCTCGTTCCATCCTGCTTACACACCGACGCCTCCTTCGCCCGCTTCTTCTCCTCTCTCTCATACCGTTTCTGAATATGTCGCTGATCCCTCTCCTCCCGCTCAGCCCGCCTCTTCATCCTCCTCGCAGCACGTCTCCTCTCTTCAACAGCCTTCATGTCTCCCTCCTCCGCCTCTTGTCGCAAGTGCTCGATCTCTTCATCGAGTAGAACCCAAGGCACGGAAAGCACATCAACGAGGAACTGCACCCGCTCGTCCATGAACTGCATTTCGGTATTCGTGTCGGGGACCAGGACGAAGCGTTCGAGTTGCAATTGCATCGTTTGTCGATACATCGATAACGTGCCTTTGATTTTCACAGTGGCACCAGAGACCAGGCTTGATATGTCCAAGGTGGTCCGATCTGTAGCTGAAAGATGGATGGTCTGATTGGACTGGATACCTAGTGACCTTTCCGAGGTATCGAGAGCTGCCGCATCTGTTTCGGCTGCGCCCATGGTTGGTTGAGCTATTTCTGCTCGCGCCGGTGCATTGGGATCGGCATGCAGAATGGCAATTTCCAGCGTAGAGCCGCTGCTATCGTCCAACGTGAGAATCGTGCGGCGAGTGATTTCGTTCCTGGCCACGATGATGCCCGCGACGCTGACGAAGCGGATTGGGTGGTTCTTATAGAAAAATATTTTCTGGCCTGACGCTGGTGTTAATACTTTTATTTAGAGCACGCAAGGCAAGAGAAAGCGCTTCAATATCAAGTCGTAATCAATGTTGACACGCCGGCCGTTTTTCAGCCTCGCCAAGGATCGAAATGCAGGGCTTTGTCCCACATGCTACTCAAACAAAGAAGCAGACTAGATCGGAAGCAGGCAAAGTGAACATAACCCACCTCCAAAGCCGTCCGGTCTCTTCAGTCGATGCACATCCGAGGCGGCCATCTTCACCCAGGCGAAGTGGGTTGGCGACGCCTTGAAGCAGAACGCGGGGTAGAAAACGGATTCCGCATTGTCTTCTGCCTCCATTGGATCATTTTTTCGTCGGTGGGTGTGTTCTCCAAATTTGTGATGACGGGAAGAGCAACGCTGATGCGTTGAAACCGGATGAAGCACGGGTCACGTGGTGCCATAGGACGCGCCTTTCGTGATTCGCCTCGGTGCTTCACTCTTTACCTTACACAGTCCTCAATCTGGAGATACGTTCTCGGATCATGTCGATCGAGCTTGTACACTCCAGAACAGACGTCAATATTACTTACTCCAGAAAAGCCACTGACCCGACGCTTTTGATTCATTCAACAGCACTCAGCTAATAGATCATCGTCTCGCCTTCCATCATCCTCTTCTTCGGATTCCTCGGAGCCTGCTCCTGTCTCGGCCTCTCCTCCGCACTAATATCATCAACATTAGTCCCCTTCTCACCCAGCGCAGCCTTAACCTCATCCTCCGAATTCTCATGACCCGCAAATGCAACCGACAAAATCTCCCGCTCGAAACCAGGCACATGTTCCCACTCAATCCCCGCCGCGGTCAACATTTTACACCCCTCAGACTCCCCGACAAAAGTGCCAGGCTCCTTCACCCCGAAATAGACCTTGTGGATGCCCGCCCGGCCACCTTCCCGCGTCTTCGTGATGCGCTCCACGCACGGCGTGTTCCCCGATAGTCGCTTCCCGCACGGCTCCATTGTCACGTACATGATGAGCTTCCGGCCTGCCTCGACGGGCAACACGGTGGATACTTCGTCATCGCGAACTCTGTGTACGGAGGCGTAGTTGGAGAAGCAGCATTGCTCGGCGTGTGTGTTCCCTGCCAGCTCCATTGTGTATCCGGTTGAAAGGATCCGGTCGTCGGTTCCAGTGGAGTCTCCATCCTTACGGGAGAGAAGGAGTGCGCCGACGCGAAAATTGGTCGGTCGAGGAGGGGATTGCTCTGCGAGGGAGATGCATTTCTGGATGTAGGCGTTGTGAAGGGAAGTGTTCGCCATGGTGGGCGTAGCTATAGCTCGTTCGTGGTGGTGGGGAAAAAACAAGAATTATTTTGTATAATGCGTAGATGAATTGTTCTTTGTAATTCGAGTTGGAACGAGAATAAATTCGCTCCAGCTGGGTTTGAATAAAGCTGTCGATAGTGGAAGGTGAATGCAAGGAGAGTTGAAAGCGGGGAGCAGCAGCAGAACAATGACGCAGCGCCCAGCGCGTCGGTTTTCGCGTTGCTCGGCCCGCGCCAGCTGTTTTGCAAGCTTCGACACTTGGTTTTCACATATCGCCAATACCTTCATTTCACCCGGGTATATTGCTCCAATATCATTCACAATGGCAAAGGGAGCAAAGACCAACGACATCCCTGAGCAACCTCCCTCAGTAGAGGAAGATCTCTATAGTATTCTGGGCGTCCAGTCGGATGCAACAGCCGAAACTATCAAAACAGCATACAAGAAGAGTGCCTTGAAGAACCACCCAGGTATGGCCCCAAATATACATCCCTGATTCGTCCCAAGCTAAAAAAAAATGTCACAGACAAGGTCAGCGAGGACGCCCGGGAAGAAGCCAACGCCAAATTCCAGCGAATCGCTCTCGCATACGCCGTTCTGTCCGATGAACGCCGCCGGAAGACCTACGATCGTACCGGACGCACCGAGGAGTCGCTTGATGATGAAGGTTTCGACTGGATGGACTTCTACCGCGAGCAGCTGTCCGCCATGCTGGACACGCGCGCCATCTCCGATTTCCAGAAGAAGTACCAGGGCTCCGACGAGGAGAAACAGGACCTGCTGGAGGCTTATGAGAAGTTCGAAGGCTGCATGGATTTCATCTACGATACCGTGATGCTCTCCAATGTCCTGGATGACGATGTGCGCTTCCGGGCGATTATCAATAAAGCCATTGCCGACAAAGAGGTTGAGGACTTCCCGAAGTATTCCCAGGAGACCGAGGTACAGCGACAGGCCCGGGTCAAGCGTGCACAGAAGGAGGCCAAGCAGGCCGAGAGACACGCCAAGAAGATCGAGGCCGACAAGAAGAAGAAAGCTGCTGCATCTTCAAAGGCCAGTGGCCCTGCGGCTGGTGAGGATGATCTGCTTGCTATGATCACCAAGAGACAGCAGGACCGTGGTCAGGGCTTCCTGTCACAGCTGGAAGAGAAGTACGGTGGCAAGAGCAAGAAGCGCGGTGCGGCTGATGAGCCTCCTGAGGAGGCGTTTGCTGCTGTTGGTGCGCGCAAGAAGTCCAAGGACACGAAGCCAAAATCGAAGAAGGGGTCCAAGGCATAATTGGAGCTGTCAAATGGTGGCTCTACGGGAAGTGTTCTTGTACAAATGGCCCGCATAATATTCATTGGGCGCTTTCTTTTTGTGGGTCTGGAGCTGGGAGTTCTGTTCGTGATTGCATCTGGGCTGGTTGATATTCCTATTTCTCTTGTTTACTCATCTCATTGCTTGGCATCCAGCCATGGGCTAGATTCGGCTTCTAAATACCCGTTTATGTTAAAATTCCTTGATACTTTTCTCAATATGTAACAAAACGGGGGACTATGTAACGTGCAAGGTTGGTGCGTACTGTGCACGAGCTATAGATGCTCCGCAATGTCTGATCTAGAAGGAAGCATTTTGCAGCCACGTCGACCCACGGGCTGGAAAGGGAAGCCTCACCTTGGGCCGGCACCTTCTCTCGGGCTTCCTTTCAACACGTCCATTATTTCTCCCTTTTCAATTCAATTGTTCGAACTAAGAAGAGCTTCGGATCGAACTGCGAGTCATTCCCCAGCTATTTGCGCGGTGCGCAGCACCACCGAGCATTCCATAAGTCCATAACGTTATTATTCTGGAATCATCCTTGCTGATCGGGCGCAGGGACACGGGGCACACTGCTTGGATGCGGAGTGCATAGTTGCTATAAGGTGGGCGATCCGCTCCACATTCCTGGGTCTCCTCGTTGGCTGAGCGGGTGCCCGAGTTCCCCACAGCAGGTCAAGTCCGCCGGAGGCGGAACCGCACGCGATGTCGTACCACGCTGGTCGCATCTCTCCCAGATCCTCTGAAACAAGTGAAGAGCACGAAACACGTCGACCTCAATCCAATTCATCTGCGCCAAATAAGGGCCAGAAACCTTCGAGCCTCAGTCGCGCTGTACAAAACCTGCTGAGCACCCCTCAGTCTACAAGGAGTGCGGGCACTGGTCTTGGTGGGGTTTCCTTGTCTCTGAGACGTGGGAGTCGCAGTCCAGTCGAGCCCTTGGTGTCTTCGCCCCTGCGTATAAGCTCCTCCGTCATGGCGTCCGCTCCGAGCTCCCCGGAAAGACCCAAGTCCGATGCCGACGACATCCCGCGGAGATCATCGGACCAATTTGATCGTGAGAAGCACCATCTAGTGTCGACGGAGGCTGTTCTGGAGAAAGATGACCTTGCAAAATCAGACGTAACATCGGAGCTGCCGGGGTCGAAGAGGCAGTCGCGAGACAAATTTCAAGGGAAGCGCGGTATGGTTGCGATGATGTCGGGCTTGGAATCGAGACTGTTTCCCAGGAGTTTTTCACGCGGAAGGGAGTCGAATGGAAGCTCGGCTCGACGGGGGTCATCATTGGATTCCAGGACCTCACCTTCGTCGCAGCCTGGTCGTTCAATTTCCCCTTCCAGTCGCTCTTCACAATCTGGTCCGAAACCAACCCTCAGCAACACCGAGAAGGGAAAGGGACTCAAAATGGAGGATGTCCACAACCAATCCGACGAGGTTCTACCCAAGTCCTCTAGTCGTTTTCCGGACTACGTGAAGCCCACTGACTACGAGGAAGCTGGTGTGCGTCTGGCCAAGGACGTGTTTGATCGCGACAAGAACATCATTGAAAGTAGCGACGAGGACACTGACAAGTCATTCAGCGAGGATGATAATGTCGGACTAGGTCAGTGGCGGGGCCGAAAGAAGAAGGACACCGATATCAGCTCCATCACCCCTAGCGACTTCATCAAACCAAAGGAGAACAAGACTCCACCAACAGATGAGAGTACGTGTCTATGCTGGACCCCTGACTTAAGGAATAATGTGTATTAACTTGGATAATAGAAAAACCTACCAAGAACGTCAGCTTCCAGGATAACGACAAGAAGCCCCGAAAGTCGGCCTTGAAGTCCGTCATTCACCCTCAGACCAGCTTTGACATCCCAACTCCGCATTCGCAGTCTGCCGCCGGCACTCCGTATGGATCGGAGGATGAAGCCGAGAAGGAGGATGTCCATCGTGCGCAGCAGCTCAGCATCTTCATGTCCACCATCGATAGCCGTGTTCCTAACCGATCCATCCGCACGATCGTCCGCGAGAACTTTGCAAGCATGCAGGAAGAAGCTGACGGTGGGCGCCGTCGTCAGCGCAAGTATTTGGTTGCACTCGACCTGAGTGATGAATCCGTGTACGCTCTTGAATGGACCATCGGTGCAGTTCTTCGAAATGGAGACACATTGTACGCCATTTACGCAATGCACGAGGATGCCAATTCCTCCTCCGTACAGGTTGGCGAAGGAGCCAAAGCCATGAAAGACGCCGATGCCGTTGTGGGCACTCAGACAAAGGAAGCCAGCCAGGGCTACAATGCTGCATCTCGCACTATCTTGGGCCGACTGGGACCAGGAACTGGCAGCAAGTCAAGCTCTGCCGACTCTCGGGCCTATCCTGTGGCAGAGGCGGAGCGGGTCAAAGCTGCGGAGTCCATCTCGAAGACTTGCATCCACCTGCTGCGCAAGACCCTTCTGCAGGTTCGCATTGCTGTCGAGGTGATTCACTGCAAGAGTCCCAAGCTCATGGTTACCGAAGCAGTGAGTTCTATCGCGTTGTTTCATCTCAAGATATTTATCGCTTACCTTGTTTCAGATTGATGAGCTTGAGCCCACTATGGTGGTGGTTGGTGCTCGCGGTCAGAGCGCTCTGAAGGGGTGAGTTGAGAGCTTCCTACACAAAAATCAAAATTTTCCAGCTAACATATGGCAGTGTCCTTCTTGGTTCTTTCTCCAACTATCTGCTCTCCAATTCTTCTGTTCCCGTGATGGTCGCGCGCCGCAAGCTCAAGCGTCACCCGTCGAAGGGATCTCAGGCTTCGAAAATTCGCCTCTCCAACAACCTACCAACCCCCAAGAGTCTCATCGACGCTAAAGTGGACTGAGGGTGGTTCACGTACTTTCTTGCGCTTCCAATTCTATTGCAACTGCATTTTCGCGAAGCATGGCGGGGCTGTTATCTTTCTCCGGCGATACGGACATGAACGGATTCATGATATTCTTAGACTCATTACCTCTCAACCTCTTGATACCCTTTCTCCACCGCTGGTAGACTATTGTTAAATCAGTTCTTCTTTCGGCTCCTTGTCATGTTTCTGGCTATCTGCTAGTCATAAGGCGGAATATCCAGAGGGTCATGCACATCGAGCTCCTTACGTTTTCCTTTTCTTGCCTTTACCAGATATTCTCGGAATATCATTATCATTATCTGAGACTCGTGGATGTCCCCACTTTTCCATAATGTAGTTCCCAACAACTAGAACATGGGGTATTGGGAATGTGGCCGCTGACCCTTGGTAAATGTGATACACACACTATAACATCTAGGAATTGCAAATCGTAAGAAGTTATCAATTATCCCACCATATAGAAGAAAGACGAGCGCAAAGCCTGGACTCCATAGGCCAAGTCGGAAGCCATCACGTGCCACGTCACCGCCCGAGCTCCAGCGTCAAGGCAGCTTGGCCAACCCCCGGCTCATCCCACCTTGCTCTCCTCCCATCCGACCCTCTCTGTCTTGCGCTGCGCCCGTGGAGGACCCGATTCGCCCGCCATGGCTGAGTTTGTCGACCCCCGGATGACCAACATCAAGCCCCGCATCCGCTACAACACCATCGGAGGTATTAACGGACCGCTGGTCGTCCTCGACAATGTGAGACCGCCCCGGAGACAGATCGACACTGGGGAAGACACCATTTACTGATAGGGCTTGCTGTGGAACAGGTCAAGTTTCCCCGTTACAACGAAATTGTGTCCTTGACGCTGCCCGATGGCACGGAGCGTTCCGGTCAAGTGCTGGAGGCCAGAGGTAAGCTCTACTGCCCGCTGTGCTGCTCGTGTACTTGATACGAGTAGTCCTCCGAATATATAGCTAACGTCTGTTATCTGTGCTTTAGGAAGCCGAGCCGTTGTGCAGGTACGAGCCGACGCCGATGCCTCTCCGAATCCCCTTAATGCGATAGGTGTTAACATGGATATTTAACTAGGTATTCGAAGGCACTTCGGGTATCGATGTGAAGAAGGTATACTGCTCTGCAATAGATCTATATGATTGCAGTTCGCTGATTTTGAAGTTAGACCAAAGTCGAGTTCAGCGGCCACAGCTTGAAGCTCGGTGTGTCCGAGGACATGCTGGGCCGTGTCTTCGACGGTTCTGGACGTGCTATTGACAAGGGTCCTAAGGTTATGGCGGAAGATTACCTGGACATTAACGGCCAGCCTATCAACCCCTACTCGCGAGTATGCGCCGCCGATCTTACATGTGGAGTTCTGGGAACTGACGGAATACCTAGGTCTACCCCGAGGAGATGATCTCTACCGGTATCTCCGCCATTGATACTATGAACTCCATTGCCCGTGGACAGAAGATTCCTATCTTCTCCGCTGCCGGTCTTCCCCACAATGAAATTGCTGCTCAGATCTGTCGTCAAGCCAGTCTGGTCAACAAGCCCACCAAGGACGTCCACGACGGCCACGAGGAGAACTTCTCGATCGTTTTCGCTGCCATGGGTGTAAACATGGAAACTAGTCGATTCTTCACTCGTGATTTCGAGGAGAACGGCAGCATGGAGCGTGTCACTTTGTTCCTGAACTTAGCCAACGACCCCACTATTGAGCGTATCATTACTCCTCGTCTGGCCTTGACCACAGCCGAATACTATGCCTACCAGCTGGAGAAGCATGTCCTAGTGATTATGACTGACCTTTCGGCATACTGTGATGCCCTGCGTGAAGTTTCCGCCGCCCGTGAAGAAGTCCCCGGTCGTCGAGGTTACCCCGGTTATATGTACACGGATTTGTCCACCATCTACGAGCGTGCGGGCCGTGTCGAGGGCCGTAACGGCTCCATCACTCAGATCCCCATTCTGACCATGCCTAACGATGGTAGGAAATCTTCAATCCGAGAGTCCTTGTGTTTGCGACTGACTTATCCTCTCTAGATATCACTCACCCTATTCCCGACTTGACTGGTTACATTACTGAGGGTCAGATCTTCATTGACCGCCAACTTGCCAACAAGGGTGTCTACCCTCCTATTAACGTGCTGCCATCGCTGTCCCGTCTGATGAAGTCCGCTATCGGCGAGGGCCGCACCCGTAAGGACCACTCGGATGTGTCCAACCAGCTGTACGCCAAATACGCTATCGGTCGTGATGCCGGTGAGTTACCCTCCTCAGCATCAACCCGTTTCTCCTCTGACGAAGTCCCCCAATATAGCCGCCATGAAGGCTGTCGTCGGTGAGGAAGCCCTTTCCTCCGAAGACAAGCTCTCCCTCGAGTTCCTCGAGAAGTTCGAGCGCACCTTCATCAGCCAGTCCCCCTACGAGTCCCGTAGCATTTTCGAGTCCCTCGACATCTCCTGGAACCTGCTCCGCATCTACCCCAAGGAGCTGCTCAACCGTATCCCCAAGCGTGTCCTGGACGAGTTCTACGCCCGCTCCGCCCGCAAGATCGCCAGCAAGGACACCCGGGATAATTCGGGTGAGCAGCAGCAGAGCTCTGCTCAGCAGAAGTCCAACCTTATCGATGCGTGATCTGGATGTGTTGAAGTCTCGGGTTTTTAGTTTCGCGCCGAGGGTGGATGAAAGAAGCGCGTGGGTGGCCAAGGCCGATCCATGCATGCCCTCTGTCCCATTGCATATACTCTTTGTGCGGTTGTATCTGCTGCTAAGTTTTTTTCTCTCTCTTGCGTCTGTTCTGGTCCACAATACAAAACTTTGGAATCCACATAGAGGATGGCGGCTCTCGTAGACTGTAAGTTAGTTTCATATAGAGGGCTCCCCATGAATATCTAGATACAAACTGCATGATCTTCGCACAATATACGCTTTAGTCCAATCCGTCAACTTACCCAGCACCAGCTTAACATTGTCCAGCGCACGAGGATCCTCATAACTTTTTGATCATCCTAAAAAAGCTCTTTCTTTGGTCTACAGCTGCTGAACAATGAATTGGCACCAAGCGGAACTGAAGGCGTGCAGCGGCTCCAACCCTACGACAAGGAGGACCAGAAAGCAGCCGAGTTGATTACGATGCGTATCATCAAGGGCAGTGAACCCCTTGGAAAGAAGAGTCGAAAATGTAAAGAGAAATTGATTCTGGTATTCTATAGAGTCCAACATAGAAATATAGCGGGATCTTGGTTGAGAAAGAAGGAAAAAAAAAGGAGAAAGGGGAAAACGCCTTTTGTGATAGCCCCGTATATCGATACCATGTTCCAAAAACAGAAAACTCTAAGCCGACTTCAATCGCCAGCGGAAAACAGATAGGAAGGGTAATGGTCTTGTAAAAAGCCCTTCGAATATGTGAGGGGGTAATATACGCCGAATCATGAGAGGAAGGTGAAAGCTTTTAGAACCGCAGATCCCAGCCGATCTTCGGACCCAGCCGAGGCAGCTCGTCGGCGACGCTCTGGACGTCCTTGTCACCACGACCGCTGAGGTTCAGCACGATGTCCTGCCCCTTCCCCATGGTCCTGGCCAGCTGCATGGCGCCATAAACGGCGTGGGACGATTCCAGCGCGGGAATGATACCCTCGTGCTGGGCGAGGGCGCGGAAGCCGCTCATGGCCTGAGCGTCGTCGGCAGCAATGAAGGTGGCGCGGTCAGCATCCTTCCAAGCACTCAGCTCGGGACCGACACCGGGGTAGTCAAGACCGGCGGAGATGGAGTGGGTCTCGGATATCTGACCGTGCTCGTTCTGCAGAACGTAGGTGCGAACACCGTGGAGAACACCCTTGGAACCACCAGAGAGGGTAGCAGAATGGCGGGCAGTGTCAATGCCGTCACCACCGGCCTCAACACCGACAAGCTTGACGCTAAGGTCCTTAGAGAAAGGGTAGAACATACCGACAGCGTTGCTGCCACCACCAACACAGGCAACGACGGCGTCGGGAAGCTTGCCGAGGAGCTCCTGCATCTGTACCTTGGTCTCGTCACCAATGACGGACTGGAAGGTGCGCACAATGGTAGGGAAGGGGTGAGGGCCGATAGCCGAACCAATGATGTAGTGGGTAGTGTCGAGCTCGACAACCCAAGCACGAAGAGCCTCGTTGACGGCATCACGCAGAGTGCGACTACCAGCGTCGACAGCAACAACCGAGGCACCGAGAAGCTTCATGCGGAACACGTTGAGGGCCTGGCGACGCACATCCTCAGCGCCCATGTAGACAGTGCACTTCATGCCAAACTTGGCGCAGACAGTGGCAGTCGCAACACCGTGCTGGCCAGCACCGGTCTCAGCAATGATTTGAGTCTTGCCCAATCGACGGGCAATCAGGATCTGACCGAGGGCATTGTTGATCTTGTGGCTGCCGGTGTGGTTGAGATCCTCACGCTTCAACCAGATGTTGGCACCACCGACGTGGTCAGTCAAACGCTGGGCAAGATGAAGGCTGCTGGGGCGGCCCATGTAAGGGTAGTAGGAACGGAACTCTTCCCAAAACTTGGGGTCCTTGCAAGCATCGGCGAATCCACGCTCAAGCTCGGCCAAGCAGTCCATTAGGGACTCGGGGACATACTGACCACCGAACTCGCCGAAGCGGGAAGGCTGGGCAGATGGATCCTTGGTCACATTCAGAGCCTCAAGCTGGTCGCCGAGACCAGGGCCAGCGGGGGTGTCAGCATCGGTGATAACCTTAGTGGGGTGCGCCTCGACAGGGGCCTGAGCCTTCTCGATAGCCTCCAGAACATTAATCTCATGGGTGAGACTACCCTGAGCGTCACGCTCGAGCTTACGGCCAGTGACGCTGGAGAGATACTCCTCAGCGTACTTAGCCGCCTGGCCAGCAGGGGCCTTGCCGACCTGAGTGATGATCTGACTACCAATGACGACACCCTCGGCCTGGTCCTGGACAGTCAAAAAGTGCTCGCGGGTGCTAACACCGAATCCCAGGGCGGCCGGGACGTTGCCGGAGTATTCATGGACACGCTTCAAAAGCTCGGGCAGGTTGGCGCTAAGCGAGCCGGTGGCACCGGTGACACCCATGCGAGAAACGACGTAAATGAAGGAGTCAGCAATCTTGCAGAGGAGCTTCATACGAGAATCGGATGTGGCGGGAGCAATGAGGGGAACATAGGACAGGCCAGTGCTGGAGCAAAGGTCGCGGAAGCGGACGGCTTCCTCCGGGGGCAGATCGACCATGATGAAGCCGTTGACACCAGCCTCCTTGCAGTCCTTAAGCATTCGCTCCTCTCCGTAACGCAGCACGGGGTTGTAGTAGCCCATCAGAAGCAGCGGGGTCTTCAGACCGCGGCTTCGGGCAGTGCGCACAAGCTGCAGCACCGTTGTGACAGTAACGCCATTCTCGAGAGCCTTGGTGTTGGCTTTTTGGATAGTAGGACCGTCGGCAATAGGGTCGGTGAAGGGAATTCCAAGCTCGATGATATCTGCATTTGCGAATTGGGCCGTCAGTCAACAAGTTCATTCGGCTACCTTGCCACTCCAGAGATAGCAAAAAGAGCACATACCAGCACCGCCATTCTCTAGGCCAAGAAGGATGTCAACGGCTTCCTCCACAGTCGGGTATCCGGCGGTAATGTAGGCCACCAGGGCCGCCCGCTTTTGCTCCTTGCACTTGGCAAAGGTCTGCTTGATCGCGTCCATTGTGGGGGGGGAGGACAGGGCGGGGCAAAAGAAAGGTCGGAAAATAGATAAAAAAAGAAGGCCAATTGTGACCGAAGTCGATAATAAGTAAAAGATTCTAGGAGACCAAAGCCCTTGTGACTCAGAGCAAGCCTATGTAGAAAGATATGCAGAGATATGAAGTGTCTCTTCGAAATGACTCAATCCATAGGAATTTCCTGTTTCGCCGATTTCGCCCCGCTGATCACGTGCGAGGCGATAAGATAGAGATGAATCAGCACCGTGTCCGCACGTGATCCGTCGAGACCTACTTTGTTGATAGATTCTTTGGGCTTCATTGGAGAAGCACTGTGCTCTGTTGCTGATTGATACACTGAAGGTCGCTCGAAAATACATTAAATAGTGTGCAGCGTATTTGGTCATTGAAGCAGTATTGCCCTTTTTTGCGGTATAGAATGGGGCACGCCCATCCTCCATATTCTAACTCGGGATGTTAGGGATCGTGCTACTCAAATATTGTCTCTAAAGTGAGAATTTTCAGCTGCAGTTCATGGTAGACCGAAATTAGATTGGTTGAAAAAGAGATCAAATAAGATAACTAGACACTAAGAGGCGGAGATATTGCCTATCTTCCCAAACGCCGAAACAATGCAGTAATCAAGAACAGCCCTCAGCTCAAAAACAATAAACAGAGATGAAAACTCCAAATAATATCCAAACGGAGAGTATAGCTCTGGTAAAAAGCAAAAGCCGTTCACAAGAGCCTCATCCCCGATGCGCCGGGAGCAACCATAGCTGACCCGAATTTCCCAATCCCAAAAGCAAAAACCCAAATCTATCCAAAACCGTCCTGCGAATGCAAAAGGAATGACTGCAGCGCCCATGCTATGCCAAATACTCGTACAGTAGCCCAGATGTGTGTAAGTAAGGAGAGGAAGCCTAAAATGCCCGGCAGTAAGGTAACCCAGAAAGGAATGAACAAGACACCGTCTGAAAAATGCAAACAACAGGTGTCAAACCGTAGTAAAATGCAAAAAGGTGGGTAGGGGCATTCAGGCATCAAGTGTGTAAGGAGGGACGTAAAATCATAAACAAGTAGCGTCTAAGGGAAGACGTCAACTGGGCGTGATAAGGAGTGATGTGAAAGAAAATCGTGTGTCAACGGAGCAGAGGGGAAATATAAAAATAGAAAAATTCAATATCAAAAAAGGATTCAACGGCGTGTTGGGGATATTAAGGGCCGTTAGATGCCTCGTGCAGAGGATACGCGGGGTCCATGTAGGAATAGCACCCAGCAGCTGCGACACCAGTAGCAGGTGCCTGGGCACCAAGAGTGTGCATGTCCCATCCAGTCCGATGGCTCGGGGCTACCAATCCATGGACATTGTGTGGTTGGCAGATGGCTGGGTATGAGTAGGTTCCGATGGAGGTGTATGGCTGGCTGACTGCGGGCATCACCGACCGAAGATCGGGAGCTGCCGTCAATGAGGCACACTGATCCGGTTGCGTCGAGTAGATCGGGGCCGCCATTCCAGTAGTGTAATTGTGAGCTGCGCCAGTATCGGATACCGACTGGGGAGATGGAGCGTGAGTCTCAGTGCCCGAGTCGGAGCCGGTGCCATGGCTGGCGTAGTTTGTGACAGTCGTCGGCAGTGCACCCGCGGTAGAGGAGTAGCTCGCAGACTATAAAACGGGATGGTTAGTTGATAGCTCAACAAATGAAGGAGAAAGCTGACTCACGTATTTCCCAATGATCTTCTTAAGAGCATGGCTGAGAATCTTCCATGGGAAGACCTTGACATCCTTCTCGATGTTGCGAGGCTTGGGAGCAGGGAAGCCCATAATAACCTTGAAGAACTCCTCGCTGTCTGCCTTGGCCTTCGAGACAGTCAGGGGACGGAACCCCTCCAAGTTGCGACGAATGCGGTTCTTCTCCTCAACAGTGAAACGAACGCCAACAAGAGCCTCGAGTAGGTAGATGGTGTCCACGCTGGTGACGTAGCAGTCATCTTTACCTTCCCAGGAAATGCAGCTGATACAGATGCTGTTTTGTGGTCGGTCCTCTGGAGCAACGGGCTTGAAATCAGCGTGGATGGTGCTTCCAACCTGGTTACGGGTGAACTGCACCAGGCGACGCTGCGAATCTCGTTCCTGCTTTGTCCAGCTCTCAGTCATAGTGTCCAAATCCCCATTGAGCTTCAAGATAGCCTTGGTCGGGTAGATTGCAGCATAAGGGTTGAAGGACTGGTGAGACCCCAGGCTGCTTCCCTGCTGCAGAGTCGAGGTGCGAATCAAAGTCGGGGCGTTGCCAGCCCGATTAGGAGAGGGTCTTCTGTGCTGGGGCATTCCGTGCGCCACGGTCAGTCCCTGGCGACCATCGTGAGAGACGGACAGCATGGTTGGACTCCATACTGGGGTCAGAGGGGACGGGGCACGAATGGCAGGTTGAGGAGTAGCCGAGACAGTAGAGTATTGGATAGTTCCAGTGCGAGGAGAGGAGGCAGCGTGGAAGGGTGTCATGTATTCAGTCAAGTTGGGAAGGCTCTGCAGGTATGGGGAGTAGGATGGGGCACGGTGATCCCGGTAGGAGTAGTTTTCTTGAGGCTCGCCCTTGATCACTGGGCCAGTGGCCCGTTTGGCCGGGGCGGGAGCAGGGTTGTCCGAATAGGAAGATAACTTCCTCTTCCGCGAAATTCCCAAGGGTGAGGGCTGAGAGACAGGCTCGTATGTGTAGACACCCACTTGCAATGTAGTTGGGGCACAGTCACTTTGGGTCTCCATGACGACCTGGATGGGGACGGCGCACGAGGCGGAGCCAGTGGATAAAAAGGCCGGTGCATCTGCCGAGATGGCATATTGGAAGGCATTATCCTGGAATCCAAGGAAGTGCGGCAGGCACTCGGACTTCTTCGAGCCGAAGACCAAATACAAGACACCGTAGGTAGAGCTGTGCAGGTCAAACGGAGACTGAACCTGCACAACAACCCGTGTGCCCTCACGACCACGCTGGGGGCTATATGATACAATCTCTGGCAGTTGACGAGTGCGCGCAACCATCATCGGGGACTGTGCATCTTCGTACGAGCTGGCATACTCGTTGTTGGGAAGGTAAGGAACACAGTCCGAAACCTGACTAGCCTGGTCGGCCATGGGCGATGGCACAAGAGGAGTGTTCGCGTATGGGGATTGACCATAGGTCGAGTAAGGGCCAGCATCATGCAAAGACCGCGTGGAGGCGTAGTCTGGGCAAGTCTTAGTATGAGGGGACACAAAACCACACCATGAGGGCAACAAACCGAGTATGGTGCCGGCGGCGGGCTTCTGGAAGCTAGACATAGACAGGATGGGCTCAGACTTGGCCCACGGGCCGTCTGAAAAAGCACCGACGAATTGTGACTCTTCAGAATCCGAGAAATCCAACGACTCGCCGAGGATGAGAGGTGTTTGGAAGTCCGGGTCGAACTGGAGATAGGGGAAAGAGTCAGCGAACGAGGTCCTCCAGTGCAAGAGGCAAAATGAAAGTCAGGAAGGCAGAAGGTTCAACAGATTCAGCCGGGATTGGAGGCAAAACATGCGGGCATCCAGAGGAGAAACAGAAGGGTTTGATCTCACCAAAACACCGTGTGTCTTCGAGTAAGCCAGCTTGAAGGTGTTGCAGCGACTGCAACGAGACAGAAATGCCAGAAGAAGCGAATGACTGAGAATTTATTCTCGCAACGACAGAACGTGGACAGGCAAGAAAGGGGAGCCGAGACAGAACGAGATGAAGCTGTCCGTCTCAGAAAAAGGTCGGTAACAACAGGCCTCGAATCACCATCCAGCGATTGAAAGGTTGGGACCGGAACACGAAGCCCTGAGACTAAGCGAAGGATGGCTGCAGCTGGAGATTCAGATCAAGCAAAGCCCAAAGGTTCATAAAGCCGGCGCCGGGAGTCTGAAGGAAGAATACCGAACGTGCGGTCACCGCTATTTGTGGCGAGATAGTGGAATTGCACGCGGACTGGCGAGGTTTTGCTTTCCTTCTTTTGATATTCCCGTGTGAGGTCTCGGGAAAACTTCAAGTGGATTGGGCACCAACACAGAGTGGGCGAACTACTTCCAAGAATGAGAACAAGAACCACTCTAGAGCTGGACGAAGCGAAGGGAGAGACCGGACCGGTGCATAGAAAGCGAAGGAGGAAAGGGAAGCTCACGGTGTGAATCAGAAAAGAGACAGACTGACACAGATCTGCCAGATGTGGCCTAATATGCAAGATTCGCAACGAGCTGAGCACCTAAGGAGAAGGTCGAATGTCAACAACAAACAGCTCCTTCCCGGGTGATTATTGACAATTTGATGCGACGGGGAAGCGGTCCGGCGGTTTCGAGAGACGCCATCGACGCTCGTCATCTCCCGGCCGTAGATCCTGAGAGCACGACTTCCGCCTGCAAGGAGATGCGACATCTGACCCGAAAGAGGAAATAATGCAAGGCACGAGGGGACAAGTGAGACCGTGGGCAAAGGGGGTGAGTGGGGACAGCTCTGTTTTCTCTAACCTTATGATATTGGCCGGCAATAGGTGCAAATAGGTTTCTGGCAACAGAAACCTTTCCAATAGAGATCGGTCGAACCGTGCTTTCAGCCGAGACACGCCTTTCCAATAAATCTTGCTTCTGAACTGAACGCGGGAGACGATTTCGATAAATGGGACGATCGCGATCAAAAGTATTCGTTATCCTTTTCGGCGTCCGGGTCGGGACAAACGGACTTCTACGGGCAACGAGGGTCAAGGTCGAGATATGCAAACGCCAACCAAACAGCGATGATCTTTGTCAATCTCCGAGCCCTGCAGCGCCCTGGAGTATCTTCTCCACTCAAATTTCCTCCGGTCGATGGTCGTGTTGGCCGAAGATCAAGGGTGGCGCCCAGGTCACTGAGCGCAAGGTGCGGTAATTAAATATTAATAAAAAATTGCGGGATATAACCGTTTTTTGTTTTACTTGTAATTTCTTCGCTTGGATTTCTGTTTCCTGAACGAATGGGGATCCAAGCAATAAACGTAGCGAACGTGGTTCTCGTAGCAGCAAAAAGCGAGCGTAAGAGCGAACGTGGGTGAGCGAATGTGGACCTTTCAAGGTATCATAGAGAAGACTGGGTGGGGGGACGAAAGATAGAGGGAGGAGGTGAAAGGATCAAGATGGAAGCAAGGACGGAGAAGGGTTAAAAGCAACGAGGGTCATATACGATGTGTGATTATTATTAGCAGTCGCAGGTCAGAGTGCAACTTGGGCCTAAACTGTACATGGCCACGAGCTGTGGAGTATTTTCCTTCGCTTTTTCCCGTTTGGACCCAGAAAAATCAAAAATGGTAAAATCAAAAAAGGAAAAAATTTAATTTAATTTATTTGTTTTCTGGGTTTGCCCACTCTTAGCCCCAAGCAGTCAGACTAGGGGACTAGTGGGAAATCGTGGCGGGGGATGCACAGAGCATCCGATGTCGAATGAACTGGGGCAACTCGGAAACTTGGCATCATCATCATGGCACTCAGGTAAGGTATTTTTAACTTTGGCTATATCATTCTACGCTACACCGGGGCAAATAGAGCAGTGACACGGTCCAGTTTCGGGGGGTCATCCCACTGGCCTCCCAGTCATTCACTCCCTGCCGATGCTGCAAAGTACCCAACGGCCCTAACCTCGATAATCAAAGGTTCCTAGCGTGGACGAGTAATGGACACCCAAGGACCAACCCGGGTACCTATAGGTGGGTGTATATAGGCGGGAGTCCAGCGAGCCGGAAGCCACTAAGAAGCGCCCGTGGTGGCTTTCCGAACTTTCCGACCGGTAGATCCAGAGGATCTGCTGGTCGGACCTCTTCTTTCCTACATGTAAATCTGTCAAGTTCCTTGGAAACTTCGTTTAAAATTCTGAGTGGGGGTACACCTGAGTAATACCAAGACCGTGTTGATGTGAGAAATTCGGAATCAACACCAATCTGGGTGGAAAAGTGGATCCCACAAGGTTTGAACGGCATGAAGAGGAAAAAGAAAAAAAATTACCGAGGCAGAGCTGCAGCAAGAATTAGAGGTAACAACCAAGGACACGGCAGATTCAGCCCGATCACGGTTCGGCATTTTTTCTAATGTTGTGACTTCATGGGGGGGGGGGGAAACACAAAGTGCACAGCCTCTGCAACTGGGGGTTCCCCAGCCCAAACCCAACCACCCAAGGAGGTTGTAACGCTACAGAGCCATGTCAGACCTTGAGCTCTATCCAATCACGGTTAGAATCCCAGACTTTCCGGCTTTCTCCTCATCCCTTTCCCTTCCAATCATAGCGAGGCTCCCGCAACGCCTTCTGGTATAATTAGCATGGTTAGTTCCCGCCCTAACTTAGTGGGGAGACGTCAGGCCGTCTCCTCATCATGACTATCCAACAATCCGATCTTACCAGAGTTCTGCTCCCCTTGCTGGGTCCCAACGACCCTTGGGTTACCCGTGCCGAACAGGTGGACGCCAAGCCCCGACCACCCAACCCGCCCTCAGCTAACCGACCAGCACTTGAACCCCCCTTCTAGCGGGGCAGGGTCCTGCGTTTTGCTAATGCTTTCTCCGGTGATACGCGACTCCACCGCGGATCTCTCTGAGCACAATAATTGGTGCCCCTCGCCATCGCCGGCTCGGCCGACCCTGAGTAGTGAACGAATTCCTCACGGCCTTTTTTTGTCTTCTAGTGTGTCATCATAACATCATGCATAAAGTCAGGCTGATACCTCACGCGCACGACTTAAGTCATCTCCTCGAGGGCCGTTGGCGCACACGAGGTGACTACTCGAAGCATACCACGATCATACTTTCGCTACACATCTCCCTCAGTAGACTCTTGGATACCGCCCGATTAAGAAAAGAGAGTTTGAAGTGTTGTCATCTGACTCTCCCAATCCCGCCCTTCTATCTCGTAACCCGTAAACCCTCAACCCGTCACCGTTCAGGGCCATACAGTACTTGACACAAAGGTGCAGCGTCCGTAAAACGAGGAGCTAAACATAGTACACCTTGCATTTCAGGTGACTTGGTGGCCTGACAATGCAAGGGCTCACCACTCTCATTGGGTGGCTGGCAAAGCACTACGCTGTATCTAGTATGGCCCCGGTCCACGCTAAACCTGCACGGTCAAAGTATCCCGCCTTCCTCCGTGCTTGGAATCCCTGTCGAAGGGACCGTATCATTCACCATCAGCGTCACACTGCACTGTCACCTTCTGAGATTTCCCGATTCTATTTCCAGAACGTGCTGTATCTCACCAGTCTTGCCCGACCTTCATCTGTTCTCTAGATAATTGCCATCCGAACGGCTCACGCACACGACCGTGTCGATCGTGGCGGTCGCTTTGTACATAAACTTTGTGCAGTGGCACTGGAAATAGTAGCACTGGAAATAACTCGGGGTGGAATTACCCCGAGAGTATAGTAGAAGGCACGGGGTTGGTGCTAATCTTCCTAAACTAGGGCAGACTCCACGTTTGGGGATAAGTGTGTGCAAAGGTACTATAACTTTGGACACTCCAATGAGGTCATGGAAGGTAAGGATCCCGATCGTAGATCTTTCGGAAGCCTCATGGAGCCTTTACCCTCGCGTAGAACCGAAAAGAAACTTTTGCGACTGTGGTTTAACGGTTCGGGTCCAGGACCTAATCCCGATCGAGTAGTTGAATTTCCAGCCACCACTTGAAAATCAAAACAGATACCCACAGAAGGGAATAGAAAGAAGCTGGGAACGGATAACGGATAAGAACTTCACGGCGCCCAAAAAAGAAAAAAAGAAAAAAAACATTCCTCCCGTGGCACCCAACTCCACGATTTCGCCACGAGGAAGACATCCGCGGTGGACCGCACTATACTTGAAATAGCAGTTAGTAGAAACGGTTCGGGGTGGAGAGAGGTCAATCGGCGACTGAACCAGGAGTCACCACTGGAGTGGGGGTTAAAGCGACGGTGGATGGGTCAATGATCAGCGCACTCTGTCGCATCACGAAGCTTCGAGTCGTGGTCGCCAATTAAGTCCAACGCGGATAGTTCTCCAGCCTCCCGTCAACGGCTTTCAATTAATTATTGCATTCCACCCTGCTTTCTAATCTTATTTCAATGCGATCAAACAAACTCAGTAAGGAGGAAATGAACTTGATCAGTTCGTATCAGATCTTAATTATCCCTTCCAAGGGTTGTGTTTAACGCCCCGCTGGGACACAAACCGCGCACGTTTGCCAGCGCTGCGGCAGTCAATCCTCGACGCCATACCCACATACCCCCTTCGCTTCCGCGGAATATACTTTGTTTTCGACGCTGTTCAGAAATCTCCTTCTCTCAGATAGCAGTGCCAAGCATGCAAGAAATAACCCGATTTGCCCCATGCTATGAATTTACCGGGCAAAAAAAGCGGAGCCGTCGTGCGTTTCGGAGCACCAACCTTCTTGGATAGTTCTCCGGATTGATAGTGCGTCGGTTTGTATCGGCTCCTGCCTACTTTTGGATTTCCAATTTGCAATTTCTGCGAGGATCCCCACCATCGACATTGATCATTTGACACTATTGTTCTACCGTTAAATTAGATTTGCGCCCTCCACGATGGCTGGGACGCGCAACATTCAAAGTCTATGACGATTCAAGGGGAACGCCAGGGCACGGGGGAACCTTGCATGTCAATCAAAGTGGACTTCGATGAACCTGAAACCGCGAACGGTCCTCGATTCAGAGCCCTTGCTGCTCTCTTCCCGGGTCAAACGCCTACGATTCCGTGGTTCGCGACGCTCCCGTGTTCGGGTGGAATATCTTGCTGGACGCCCACATGGGACTTTGGGGGGATGGACAAATGCACACCATCCGGTGTACGGTGGGCCCGGAGCTCCTTGAGGCTACGGTACTGGATGCTCAGCCACACCCCTGTGGCCTGACGCCGCCAGTTCCTGGTCCGTACTCTACAGGTTCGTCTCCGAGCCTCGACGGAAACTATGAGTTTCAAATCAACGGAGGTCTTCAAGCATGAAAAAGGGGGGCAGTTACATCAGTTTGCTAAAATGATCTAATTTGCTTCGATGGCGTTCTTTCTGGGGTACTGGTGCCCCGGAGCGAGGTCCCAATTGACCACTCAGGATGCCAGATTCTCCGCTTGGCCTGGCACCATACAGTTAGCTCCAACCTTCCACCGACTCTTCGTCTGTTATTCCAAGGTCGCCGACAGAGTACGTCGTGCTGACACTCTATCGCGTCCGTTTTTGGAAGGTCCTTCCATTTACTGTCTAGTGTCTTCGGTTGAGCCCCTACTGCGGAAAAGGAGAAGGAGGCCAACGGCTGCAATGCCCAGCGACTCCTCCATCTCGGCCAGCTCCCGGTCTCCTTTCGGTCGCTAGACACCCCTGCCGTCTCCAGGCATCCATTTATTGGCATGTAGATTTAGTGCACTAAGATCGACCATCGGAAGAGCGGTCAACCTGCACCTAAGTAGATAAAGATTTTTTCTGACATAGAGGGAGGTGTGTAGCACCTTCGCGTCAGAAACGTGCACCTCTACGCCGGAAAACTTAGCAGACTCGGTCAATGCTCGCAAGAGATAAAGACAGCACGGACGAGCTTGAAAAGACTCCATCTCGGGAGCTCAAGCTTCAACCCCAATCTACAGCAAAGACATCCCGCATTCCCAGAATCGATTTCACGGCCGCTTTCCACATCGTGTGCCCAGCCGATCCTGTCCACGCAGAGCGTGTTTCAGCAGCAGAAACTTCATAGGAAGGGTTTCACCACCAACACCTGGAGAATTGGGGATTCTCTGACCATTGAACGGAGCGCTTCCCGGTTCAAGCTTGATGATCCCATCCACAGTAGGAATGGCGGGCACTGTACATCATCCTCGGGGCGTTGCTAGCGGCTGACGGTGCTAGAGAGGAACCACCCACAACCTTGGTGCCCCCCCCCCCCCCCCTCTGTAGATCCTATTTCTAGCTTCTATAGTGATGCCAAGCCTGACCGACGCCCAACTAACATCTTGAAGGTGGGTTACCAAAAAAGTTAAAATTTCTTCTTGAGCGGAGTCGCCGCAATGATATCGACCTTCCTTGTTCGGGTTCAGCATCGTGATGGTCTCACACCGGTGGCAGATGGCTCGGCTTTGTGAGACAGATCTCGGGTTCAGGATCTATTTTTCGACGTTGTAGCCTTCGTGGCTTGCACTATTTCTCTGACTCCGAAAAACACAGCCTGGAAATCAACCAACATCGTGAACACCCAGGCAGTAACGATTCTCGTTGCAGAATGTCAATTGAAGAGATTTGCGGTGAAATGTAACACGCGCTACGGAAGTAGCTGCAACACGACGATCCATTGCAACCCACGATATATTTATGCACGTACATGCAGAGAGAGGTTCTCCCGCAGCAAAGAAAAGCCGAAAAAATTATCCGAACAGTAGTTTTGTCCGACTTTTAGAAAACTGGAGTGCTCGGATTTGTTTGTAGCGATCGGCTATGCCTAGTGATCGTCAAGGCTTGAAACCTCCGCCGAAGTACGACCGTTTCAAGTTGATCCGTCTCCCCTCCCGAACATACCCACACCGAGGTCTGCACAAAGCCCGAGCCGAAGCTGAAGTGAACCACTGGTTTGAGAGCTTCGGGAAGATCAAACCATTCGCCACCGCAATGATCGAAGGCTGCACAAGATATATGCATGAGGTGGAGCGCGCCAGCCCGCTAACCTAACCGATCCTCCGTGAACCGAGTGGAGTGCACAATCAACAAATGAGCTGGTTGGCAGACGGTGGGCTCTGTCGGGTCCTCGGGACCCCTCACACTCCGACTCCAAGCTTTGTTCTTCTTGCTTCTCAGTCTATACCACATCCAGCTCGCCGACACGATGACGGCGCGCGCTATTCCAGGCAACTTCAATGGCCCTGTTGCCCCTGTGGAGCACGGGATCCCCGTCCTCGTCGGAGCCGAAGCGAAACGATGATCCACCTGTTTCAATTTTCAATTTTCAATTTTTTTTTAAAATGGCGCTCTGTATCTACGGAACGCCCATCAAAAAGGGTGGAACTTGTTATTTCATTCGATCCTGTTTTTGTGGTTTGTGCGGTTGCTGCCAAGTCCCCCTGAACCTTGACGCCAACAAATACCTGCCAAGGTAGGCAGCAGCCTGTGATGCTTGGACCTCGGCCGTAACAGCGCGCCAAACTATCCATTTTCATGGGTCCTAACTCAATTGCATCTTGCGATCTACCGATCGGGCAGGCGTGAATCTTCTCGTTGACCGAGCGGTCTTTTTATAGGCCGGCTTTTTAACTTGGCAAGGGTCCTGGGTGGAACCAAAAGACTAAATGTCCCAAAAAAAAAAAAGAAACAACGATTATGTCAGTGTCGCAAACTGTTAGCCTCATCCGCATATCCTATGCTTCGATAGCAGGCCAACAGTAGCTGCACGCTCACATCATCGTCAAACGTGAGGCTTCGGAACCTTACCGAGCCGGGACGAATCGGCGACCCTGAATCGGCCCCGCACGCCGTTCATTGGCTGCCGACGGGCAATCCTGCTCGCCAGTTCACCAGTCGGCTTACGGGCAGTGCTAACCGGGCTGGTAAGGGTTGTTTCACTCAGGGGCAGTCAGAAGAAATCGATACTATTCTTAGATGAGACTCAATTCTGGGAATTCTGGGAGTGGTGTTCTATGGCATGGTCGCCTGTTACGGTGACAATCCATGGTCGTGTCGGGAAGTTCTGAGAATTGAGAGCTGAACAGGGAGGATCGAGGTAAAGCGTAAAGTGTAAAATGCCACGATGCCACTTTGAGACCCTGTTCAACTAACTGCGGGAGTCGGTCCACGCAGGGCTTGCCTGATCGACGTCTTCCTAGACAATTCGAATGAAACGAGGTCCGGCTATTCTCTCAAGCTGAATGCTGTGTCGTGCCCAGCTTATAGTAGTAAAACAATCGATAATGACTTGGACCTTGTTGGTAAGTCTTTGCAAAGAGATGGAGAGTGGTAGAAGAAAGAAAGGGTGGGAGAAGACGCTAGTGTAGCCTAGTTGAGATAGAAGTAGTGCGTAGTGTTACGGTAGTCTTGCTGGCTAATTGCGGTGATTCCCAAGAGACCCTGCATTCGCTCTTTTTCATTTGAACATGTGAGTCGTGTGCTGGCTCAATGCTTACTTACCATATACTTGATTTGGATGTAAAGTTGCACTTGAAGCCTATCCAGTACGGTGTGTCCTCTCGAGGACAAGCTGCCATGCAAGCCGACTTGAGCCACCTGAGAAAGAGAACTTGTTGCTCGGTCATCTCCGACCCTCATCTCATGGGATACTCAGGTATTGCGTGGACAGCATTGCATTGAGGCCTATGGACATAACAATACGCTTGGTAAATTCAATGCTGAAATGAAAGAAGTGTAGCTGACCGAAGCCACGAAGACAGGAAAATGACTGGCACAATCCCACGACGAACTCCTTGTCTTCCCGGACCCTACCCCCGAAATCACAAAGTCCGAAGCTGCCATCCTTAATGAGCTCGTTAGGTTCAAGTAGTGGAAAAGATGTTGAGGTTGCTTAAAACATGCTGGCGCTCTCCTCCACAGTTCGGTCGTAGCAGACAGGGAACAGCTTGGCCCAGAAGTCGAACTTCGCAGGCCGCTGTTCCCTCTCGTCGATCAGCCACTTGGCAAAGGCATTTTCCGTCTGGAATGGATTCGGACTTCGATACGGTGCGACCTGTGCGCGCGTGTGTGTGAGCAGAGGGGACAAACTTGACACCGGTCAATGAGAAGGACCTTGGATACCTCATGATAGCGCAACAGTGCCTCGTAGTACTTCTCATCAAGGCCGATCTTGAGGAGAGTGCTCTCACGAATCTGCTTGACAGCATTGTTATATGCGTGGTAGAGATTCTCGCGCTCGGCAACCGTGCTCTCACCGATGGCAACGCCCGCGTGAAGCTTGTGGCGGCGCTGGTGCGCGTGGGCAACCTCGATGAGACGTGTAAGAATATCAGCCTCCCATGTTTCGTACAGTGGGTGATTGAAATTCTTGACGTGCCGCTGGAGCAGCCACAGCTCTCGCTTGAGACGGAGGGCGTTAGCCTGCAGCCTTGCAAACTTGCGTTGTATGCAGTCGTTAGTGGCTTTCAAGGCGAACTGGGTGGTGCTGAATTTCTGAACCGATTGGGGGTCAGCTTTGAGATCCATGATGGGGAGCACAATAGAGGGGTTGTCGACGAGGGAAGTACCAGGACGTCATCGTCATCCTCGGACCAAGATGCCTCGGACGACAACATCGACGCATCCTGAGGCAGAGGGGTAGGACCTGTGCCCCGGGAGTGGGTGCGAAGTATCTTGCTAGATGAAGTTCGCGGTTTGTGGCTCATGGTGGCAGGTTGAGGCAATGAATGGAATGGGTATCAAAAGGGTGTCAAAGAGTGAGGCCGATGTTTGTCAATGATATGACCGGGATAGAGAGTGTTTATGATGGGAAAAGGGAAGAGAAGCTGCGGTGGGAGAGTATTGTTGATAAAAGTGAGTCGAGGAAGGTGCAGGCAATGCTGGCAAATGCTGGCTACTGCCAAGTTCAAGCTCTTGAATTTATTCACGGGTGGAACCTTGGGACGTTCACAATCCCATTGCTTTGTAAAGAGACAGCACGATATTATTCATATTTACAGCTTGCTGCTCGAGGATTTCTCTCCAAAGTGAATCACCAACTTGCCAAACTGGGTGCCCTGCTTCATATCTTCAAACAGCCCATCCATGCCCTTCAAGTCGTCTATCTTGGTATCCAGGACTCGCGATACGACTGGATAGATCTTCTTGGACTTGACAAAGTCGACCATCTCCTTGAACTCCTTTCGGGAACCCATCGTGGTTCCACGCACGTCGATATTTTTGAGAACAGCCTGCATCAAGAATGGCATCTTGGGAGACACTGTCATGCCATAGATGGAGAGGATGCCACCAGCCTGTCAATGTCAGCAGGTGCGCCAATGAGAAGAGAAGGGGGAGGAGGAGGAGGAGGAGGAGGGAGGGTTAACTGTGGAAGACATGGTTTACGAGGTACTAACTTTAAGCAGCTTGGCAGCTTTCTCGATTGAATCTCCTCCAGCACCGTCGATGATGGCGTCAAAGTTCTTCTTGCCAGACGGAAGCATGCCCAATAGCTTCTTATCCCAGCCTTGCTCCTTATAATTCACTCCACCAGTTGCACCCAGGTCAACAGCTTTCTGAATCTTGTCCTGACTGGAGCTTGTCACGAAGACGTGAGCGCCTCGGGCCACTGCGAACCGCAGCGCCATCAATGCGACACCACCTCCAATACCAGTGATTAGGATAGCAGCGCCATTGCTGGAGTTTCTCTCACCAGCCTTGGAGACCAATGCCCGCCATCCAGTCAGGCCTGTCAAAGGGAGAGCAGCGGCCTCTGCGTCTGAGAGATGCTCAGGGGCTTCTTCAACCTCAGAGTCTTCAATGGCAATGTACTCTTGAAGAGTACCTTTGTTGTAGACTTTGGTGCCTCCCATAATTCTGTATCCCGTGGCCTCTTCCGGACCATCAGGCGAGTCTTTCCAGCCGACACCGGGGTTCAAGATGACCCGCTTCCCCTGCCACTTTTCCGGATTCGAGACATCGGGGCCAGCACCGACAACGACACCCACGCCATCAGCCAGAAGGGGGACGTCGAATGTCACGCCAGGGTAGAGGTGCTGGCGAAGAAAAAGGTCGCGGTGGTTGAGCGATGCGGCAGTCAACTTCACAAGCAGCTCGCGGCCCTGCGGGGAAGGCTTGGGGTGAGTGCGGAGTGTGAGCGGATAGTAAACCTGGCCGGGCTTGCCGGGTTTGCCGTCGATGGGCTCGATATACACTGCCTTGGACATTTTGGAACTGAATTAATGTAGAAGATTCTCCAGGCAGGTCGGCCTTGGTGATAGTCGGTGCGGGGATCTTCTTATCGATAACCGAGGATCCCAATGACGAAAGCGGTTGAATTGGAGACCGCAATGATTTACTATTCAGATTGGACGAAATGTGAAGTGAGGAGGTAGGTACTCAATATGTTGAAGATATAATAATGCAAGAGCTCCGGGTGGGCAGTTTTATCTATCAAGTGTGCCGAAGTGAACGCTTCACGTCACATACCCATGAGGACCTCGGTCCGCGGGCGAGCGGTCTTACTAATTGGTCAGGGCCGCCATCCGTGCTCTTCCCCAAATTGGAGTTGCTCTCTGGGAGCTATACAGCATGGGTTTAGTTTTGCCATGGCGAAGGGGTAAGCTCGCTACCTAATTTGGCAGTCTAATCCCAACCCTCCGCAATTCGCCTGATCCTCGGATGAGATCTTGACGGGCTGTCCGAGTACCTATCTAGCTACAACATGCGTAAAGCAACAGCCATTGGTACAATTTCGGGCTACTTATTTCTATCTGCTGTTCTCATGCCGAGTGTTTCCTAGGCGTGAGCTAGTAAAGGCACAAGGATGTGACCTGGTATGGTACGTACCTTGGTGAGATATATATCCGGAATTTCGGTGACACCTACGCAGGTAGAATATCGGAAAGACATCGGGAGGTTTCTATAGTGGTTGCTCCATGAAAACGGGACCTAGGCAGTCACTTTGAAAAGAACTCAATTTCTAATCCCGTTTAAATTCACTAGGAATTGACTAAAATCTTCCAAGGTTTCTTTGTTAACTACTCTAATTAAAAGCCAAAGGAAACAGGTCCATATCAGTCAATACCGAACCGAATAGACAAAACAGGCAATCTAAGATGCTTTCCCCTCAAGGCCTTCCAAAACAGTACAGACACCATAGACTACTCCATAGGGGCTGTTCCAACCGGGACAGCTAGGTACAAGGGGTGGTAACAGGCGACACCGGGGTTTTCATATTCAAACCCAGCTACAGCTTCCGTAGAGCCTTCAGAAGCAACGTCATCAAAATCGGCAGAGTATTCAGAGCGATATTCACCCGTGCGACAGCAGCAATAGTAGTTCCGCGACTCAGTTTCAGGAGTCACAGGCTGCTGGCAGGTGCACATTGCTTGAGGAGCTTCTCGTGGGATCTCGGCAGGTTGCTGCGGAGATGGTGCTGCCTGTGCGTGAGCTGGGTGGATGTAGCTGTGAATGGGATCCGGAGGGTATGCAGCCATCACAGGGTAGCCGGAGATTGAATGCAAATGGTGAAGATGTGGCAGCGGCGTTGCTACCTTCGTGCTGGACGAAGCCGAAAAGGCTGGGGAAGGAGCAGGTGGTCTCTGTCCTTGATTGTTGCTTTGGCGCTTCTTCTTGTTTCGAGAACAGTCCGCATCATGTGCCCTGTGGTAACAATTGGGGCAGCATTTATGACCCTGATTGGACTCTGAAAGGTCGCTGGTACTGGGCGTAGCAGGACGACCTTTGTCGGTGGGTGGCCATGCTCGCGAAGACCGCCGCCTGCTGGGAGAGATCTCACCGTAGGGTGCACCGAGCCAGATTGGCACTTGCATGATTGGAACACCGCGAGATGATAATTTGTGTATAGATCTGCCGGTGAAATACTCTTGGTGGGGGAAGCTTTGACGTGAACTGCTCCGCATTTTTCGAAGATCGAGCCAGATATTCAGCTGGATACCTCGCTACCTTTTGAAGTGCCCGAGATCGTCGAATGGAGTAAGCTTAGACAGAGAGCCTAAATCTAGAAAAAGAGTAAGCGTTGAGTAGACTGTCTTGTCCTGCAAAGCAAAGAAGACAACGAAGAGGGCGGAGGAAGGTCTTAATATGTCAAGACTGCGTCTACAACGATTTCACACAGAGCCCATCATGTTGTTATAAGGTAAGACAGTGAGCAATGGCAAGCTTGAAGTTTGTAAGTCATTGTAAGTCAGAATAGAGGTAAGCAACGGCTGGAAGCAGTAGCATGCCTACAGCTGAACAAAGAACAACAAAGAAAGTTGATATAGAGGTGTGAGGCAAGGAATAATGTAATTCTCCATCCAGCCAGGTCCCAGTCCCAATTCAAACGGGAGCTATGCAGGCTGAATCTTCCTTGCAACAAGGGCGATGCAATATCTGGTGCCAACGGGGGCTGGGACAAGTCAAGAAGGGATGCCAGCTATGCGCGCGTCCCCTTCCATTCAGGACCTCATCTTTGAGGCGTCTCAAAGTCGCATGGAGGTGCGTCTATGGGCTCTTATGCGTTCGTATTAGCGCAAGGGCCGCAGCATCAAAGAAGCACGACTCGTCGCAAATGGCCCAGTGTAAGGCAACTTTAACGGTTTTGGAAGCCGTACATCATCCAATTGGAGAAGGTGTGTGGTGGTAGCTCACCAGGCATGTCCCGTGGATTAATGCCACACACTGGCGTTCCAAGCCATCAGGGAGATGTAAATGGATAGTTTTTGTATTTGAGTCATGGTCGCCTTTTCTAGACGGTAGGGGTCAATAAGGGGTCTCACCGTGTTGAGACGAGACGGAAAATACTTTACATTGCGGAAAGAGTCCACTGGAAGTACCGGATACAGGGGCGATGACGGAGGCCAGAGTGTGTATTGTGTGTATTGAAGACATCAACTCCGGTGGCTGGCTGCAGGCGATGTAATTTTGTATTTCAGAATACACCCAGAAAGGGTGGTGCTCACGCGACTGATGCTTCTGAATACACGGTAATTTCACCCTCGGCGCGCTTAATGCCACATCCCCGCTAAATCATTTTTGCTTCCATCCAAACCCAAGCGAAAACGAAACGATCTCTCTTCTCGACCTTGTTCGTCTGGCGCTCGCATTCTGCATTTCCCACTCTTTTACAAACCTACCTCGTTCGTCGATTGACTAGCATCTCAGCTGTCATTCCACCCTTACCACCTTTCTTCCAACCTCTCGTGTTTTGCGTCGCATCTTCGTTCGCATCACACAACGCACATCCGCCACCAGAAACTCTTGCGACGAACTGTTTCATACTCGGTTGTTTTGTGGACGATCTTCCTCTTTCCTGAACAGCCTACCTTCCATAATGCCTACACCACTTCCCTCGAGCTTCGCGTCAGCCGCTGCTGGCAACACCCAGGACCCCAGTAGGAGAGGGGATGGAGGTGCCGGTGGAGAATGGTATGCAATCGTGCCTTGTCTTCCCACCCCCCGTGACCCAGTGTCCAGCTTGCCCGCCCCGTTCTGGACCTCCTGGCCGCCTTGTTGATACTCAATTCATCCGGTTTGAGATATCCGATGCTAACCTTGGACTAGGTCCCGAACTCGCATGAACGGAGCCACTCAGACCTTCCGGCGCCCCTCTGTCGCTACCAACCCGACTCACACCCGGGAGGGTAGCCAGCCTGCATCTGCCTCGACGCCTACCTCCGGAGCCTACATGCCTCCCCACATGAGCTCAAATACCATGTCTAGCGCGCTGCGGAACGGGGAAGCCCGATACTCCAAGGAGCAACTCCTGGACATGTACAGGGCACAGCGGGAGTCTGGATCCTTGGGCAAGAATGTGGAGGATTACTTCGTGGCCGACTGGGACCCTCACATGGTGACAACCCCCGCGAATGGGGCGTGGGGGAAACGGGACGACCATAAGACCTCCGCGGGGCCCGAAGTGTGCTGGGATCACGGTGGACAGGCAGAGCCGCTGGCGTTGACCGATATGTCTGATGGAGAGAAAGAGGTCGGCCGTTCTTATATCTCCACGAGCTGTGTGTTTGTACTAAATCTCTGCAGTTGTTCTCCGCTTCGGTCAATTCGCCTCTGAAGCCGCCGCCAGCCAACGCATCGAAGGAAAATACCGCTCCAGTGACTGGTGGTCGTAAAGGATCGATTTCATACACTCAGGGCCACATTAATAACTACAGTACATCTTCTCCGAACGCCGCCCGCCCGGGTGCCCGACGCCGAGAAACGGGCGACTCCATCGGCAATCCCATGTCTCCTACCGGTTCGAATCCCCGCTTTTTCCGTGACGAAGTAAACACCTCTACTCCTCCTCCAGCCCTGTTGCGTCGCAAGACCGACTTCCGAGAATCCAAACCGGACGAAAAACCGAAGGAAAGCGGCCCAGATCCTGCTTCTCCATTCGGCTCCTTGAAACGCAGCTCTACCAACCCTTTGAATACGGCCGTAGGCGGACCCAGCTCTCCCTGGGGATCTGCTTCTGCTTCCCAAAACGCTAACTTCTCTCCCATGGGCGCATTTGGGGCTTTCTCTCTCGGATCAAATGCCGCCGCGCAGACACCCCCGACTGAGAAGAAGCCGGGATTCGGAAGCCTCCGAGGCGAGAGCAGGTTCAAGGGGTTGCTTTCCAAGGACAGCTCGGAGGACATCGCGGGATCTGCAAGGGAGAAGGCTTTGGGCAACCTCGAGCGTCTTGCTGAAGACGATGACCACTCGCGCTCACAGTCTCCATGGGGAGACGCGGTCAAGATACGGGCTGGCCGAAGCGAAACCAATCCCTTCGATGAGCCTCGCAGTGGCAGTGCTGCCCTCGGCGGGTCTCAAGATGTTGAGGCCCCGTCTCAGGCCGATCTTGGTTTTGGTGCATTCGGCATGACCTCGAGCATTCCCGGGTTCCGGGAGCTGATGCAGAGCCATGAGAACTCGCGGAACCCCACCCCCAGCCTTCTCCAGGGACATGAGCCGACTAGCCCGACCAATACGAACCCCTACCAAAGTCCCCACGGTGATAAAACTGCGGTAGACCCGGAGGATGTGGATACCGATGGGTCGGATATTCAGCAACCCCAGCACCCTGGGTTGAGCGGACTGCGCGACCCTTCTAATCCCTTTGGTTCCATGAAACGTGTTGGTTCTGGCATGGATCTGCCCACGATCGATCGCAGCCAAAATTCGAGTGCCAACGCCAACAGAAACTTTTCCGGTCTTGGGGGTCTGAGTGGTCTCTCTGGTCTGGGTGGACCCTCCGCATGGTCTTCTGGTGGTGCTATTGGTACCCCGACTCGCGAGCGTTCGGCTTTTGGAGGGTTCGGTGATCCTATCTTTGGTTCGATGGGTGGTGAGCTTCAATCACCAAGCCTGTCTGCGCTCGCAGGTGGTGGCTTCTTTAGCCCGCATGCCGGAATTTCTGGCACCGCTAGTATTGGTCGGTCTAGCAAACTGGGCGCGCTCTTCTCGGGAATGCAAGATGATCACAGCCGCCCCGAGTCCGTGGGTATGGATGATGCTCTGAGACAAGATGCATCCCAGGCAGTATTGGATGGGTCGGCAAGTAAGCCTGGATCAAACTCGGCCTCTCAAACTCCTGTTTCAGCAGTCGGTTCCCTCCCTGCGAACTTGACCCACGACATTGCCCAGGCTCAAACTCCAGGTGGAACTGTTCCTTCTGCCCAGCAGCGGACCATGGTCATGCCTGATCGGATGCGCTGGATTTACCGTGATCCGCAAGGCAATATTCAAGGGCCTTGGACCGGGCTTGAGATGCACGATTGGTTTAAGGCTGGATTCTTCAGCCCTGATTTGCAGATCAAGAAACTCGAGGACATCGAGTTCGAGCCCCTAGCGCAGTTGGTTCGACGAATCGGAAACTCGCGTGAGCCATTCCTTGTCCCTCAGATTGGTATCCCTCACGGACCAGAACCCAACGGCCCTCAATGGACTGGTGCCGTACCTGCCGGCTCTGCCCAGCCTCCTTTCCCTGGCAGCTTCCCCAGCTTCGGCACGACTTTGACAGCCGAACAGCAGAATGCACTGGAGCGACGCAAGCAGGAGGAACAATATCTGATGGCCCGTCAGAAGGAGCATCTCGCTCAGCAACAAGCTATCATGAAGCAGATGCACGTCCCCGGTGCTCCGGCATCTGCACAGCCCCCCCTTCAGCACCAATCGAGTGCCCATAGCCTCCACAGCCAGCCCAGCTTTGGCAGCATCACCTCCCCTGGCGTATACCAGCCATCTCCTATCCAGGCACCGAATCAGGGACAACAGCAGCCCCAGCAAGCCCCAGGATTCTTTGATGCCGCTGGACCGATCAGACAGGGTGGGCTGTCGAATCTCACTCCTGGGATGCTAGGAACCGATATCGGCAACCAGGATCAGCTTGCTGCCCTCGTTGATCGTCTGAATGTTGGCCGGCAGGATCCTTTTGCCTTCGGTGGGGCTTCATTATCTAGCCGCCAGTCCGACAGCTTGTTCCATTCCCAGCAAGTCGCATCGATGCTCCAGGACCGTGCTCAGCTCCAGGAGGAACAGGATCAATTTGACAAGGCTAACCCCGACGACCTATTTGCTCAACAGGCTCGTGAGGAACGTTTGCGTCAGTTCAACGCCCTGCGGGCCCAGGAAGGCGATATGGTGCGGACCGCAGAAGGTCTTCCAACCCATCCCGCTACTGTTTCCCAGCAGCTTGAAGCTGAAGCTGCCGCTACGAGCTCGGAAGTGGCAGTGGAGATGCTCGCCTCGGATCTCGAAACCTCGGAGCCTACTCTCACCCTGTCTCAGCAAGTCCAGAAGGCTGCCTCTGCCCAGCGTCAACAGCAGCAGGAGCAAGAACAAGCCCCCGAGTCAGTATGGGGCAAGGTGGACCGCGCCATGCCCCAAGCTTTCCCTCCCCCGCCGTCTGCATCGCCTTTGCCGGCACCTGCCGCTCAGCGCAACCGTCAGAATGTGGCCGATGCTCTCGCTGCTGGTTCTCGGTCCCAGACTCAAACTCCCGTTGATGCTCCTGCCACCTCCGTTGCTCCGTGGGCCAAGGATACCCACGAGCTGCCCAAGGGGCCCTCTCTGAAGGAAATCCAGGAGGCGGAAGCTCGTACTGCTGCTCAGCGTGAGGAAGTCGCCGCAGCCGCTCGTCGTGCCCAGCTTCTCGCCGAACAAGAACGTCTCAGTCAGGCCCAGGCCCATGTTGTTCCTGGTCTCCCCTCGTCGGCCAACTGGGCCAGCGCTGGATCACCTGGAATCCCTACCTCGACTACTGGCTCCGCGTGGAGCACCAAGACCCAGCCTACACCTACCAACACTGCCACCAAAAAGACCCTCGCTCAGATCCAGAAGGAAGAAGAGGCTCGTAAGCAGCGTTTGGCCGCCGCCGCTGTGGCGGCGGCACAGACCGCGACCCCTAGTCCTCCCGCCTCTGCTAGCAAGCGCTACGCCGATCTTGCCAGCAAGGCTCCTGCTCCTTCTGCCGCCACTGGTCCAACTGTTTCCGGTGCCTGGACTACAGTCGGTGCTGGCGGCAAGGCTAAGGCCCCACCCGCTGCGCCTCTTGGCCCTCGCTCTACCAGCGGAACCATCCCGGTTGCACCCGCCGTTGCCTCCAAGCCTCGTCCAGTCGTTGCTACCCGCACCGTGACCGCGGGCAGCATCCCCCAGTCCAATCCGAATCGGGCCGTTGAGGAGTTCTCCAAGTGGGCCAAATTCACCCTTGGCAAGGGGCTGAACAGCAATATCAATGGTAAATATTGATTCCTAATTCGTCTTAATCCCGCACAACGCTAATGCTATCTATAGTTGACGACTTTGTCCAGCAACTGCTGTTCCTGCCTGCCGAGGCTGAGATCATTTCCGACTCCGTGTACGCCAACTCGCAGACCATGGATGGCCGCCGCTTTGCCGAAGAATTCATTCGCCGCCGCAAGCTTGCCGACAAGGGCGTCGTCGAGCCTGTCTCGCCCAGTGCTATGGGCGAACTGAAGAACGGCGGTGGCTGGAGCGAGGTTGCCAAAAAGGGATCGACCGCCAGCGCTGCATCCCAGGTCTCTCGTGAGGAGGAAGCTGCCACCGCCGCGTTCAAGGTTGTCGCTCCCCGCAAGAAGGGCAAGCGGTAAATGTGTTGTGCATTTTCAGCTACGTTTGCATTTGCCCGATTTCTTCAAGGCTTTCTGCTGCATGAATATGTTCTCATCTTGAGCCTTAGATTCGCGGTTTACTCCGATGCTGGATCTGGCTCGCCCATGTACTATTACATGTCTTTAACAGCATTTAACTGTATTATGTGTATCTATCTGTTTCGTCCGGCCTGGACCGTGCGTGAGACGGAAACCCCAGGAAAACTCGAGCGAGATCAAGTCATCTCAAAGAGTGGATATACTGCATCCAATAATTTCACACTGGACCTAGGTACGATTTATCCCGGTACATATGACCATACCATCCAAGCCTAGTATGCCCCATCGTAATCAACCGCGCGATTCTCCTTCGCCCAGACCCGCTCCGATTCACTCTTGTGCGGTGGCGGAATCATGCCATTGAGCTTCCACAATCGGCGCTCCGTCTCATCGACATGGTATTCCCAGTCATATCCCTTATCCGCGACATGGGGCTTGAGGATAGTGTCGATCCGCGAGGTAATGCGTCGGTAGGCGGCATCTTCGTTCGGAGCGTGAACCGCGATATGCGTGATAACCACCCGGATGAAGGGTCGTTCAGTTGGAACTTTCCCCCCGACGAAAATGTCGCCCTTTGAGACAGTGACAAAGTTGACGACGACGTAGAAGGCCGGCAGTCCGACATCGGTGTACATCTTTGTGATGTCTTGGACGAAGGCTTCTTTGGATGCTGGGTCCTCGAAGGTCCCATTGGGGTGGTAGATTTGCCAGAGAGGCATGTTGAAAATTGGGTGACGCTGGGTGTTAAAGGCAAGGTCAATAGAGGTCCAAAAGACGGAAAAACTGGATAGATGAGCATTCGCATGTCGACGAGGACTCATTTATAGACACGTCCCCGTCATGACGGGGTAGGATGAAGTAAGGTTGAATAAACGAAATCTTCTGACAAAACAAAATGTCTTTTGGATCATTGATCGATTGGAAGAAGAACTGATGCACAGTTGACCTCGGCGATGGTTGACGCTATCAGTCCGACGATAGGTCCAGAACGTTCTTCTAGGGCCAAAGTATAAAGACCGACCAGGACACTACCCAACTATTTCAAAGCTTTTCCGAGTACACTTTCATGAATCACATGGTTCCTTGTCTATTCTTCAGGCAGCCGTGGGTTTCCCGCAAGTGAAAAGAAAGAATTGGCAACTATCATTGTAGAGGACAAGGAGGAGCTACCTGGAAGCTCCATCGATTCCAACCAAAACCGATTCGGAAATGTCGTACAGGTAGTAAACGCCACAAGATGAGCTTAGCAGGCGTGTACAAACATTTGGAAATACTCATGAGAATTGCCACCATGAATGATGCTTTCAAGACATACAAAATTACAAATTCTCTCGTTCAATGTTCGGCGATGCAAATGGCGAGCCAAGAGTGTCGGTGGGCTTGGAGGGCGAGATGCTTAGCAATCGCCCTGATTTTTCCGATTATTCAACACTCCGCTCGCTTCGGCTTTGATGAATCAACCGTCGCCATGACCACTCGCGTGCCATTTTGCTTCTGCATTACATCAGTAATGTGTTTTAGTCTGCTCGTGGAATTTTATTAATTCAAATCATTGCTCAAACAACAAACAATGGCGGAAGTGATGGCTGAAACGAAAACTACAACTCCGGCGCCTCGCAAACGCGGCCGTCCTCGGACCGTCACAGACGATCAAGAGGTTCCAGACGTAGGTAACTGACAAGAAAGTCGCCAGCGCATTCGCTCATTATGTCCAGAGACGTCGCAAGCAGCTTCGTATCGCACAGCAAGCTTATCGCCGGCGAAAAGAAAGCACGATCAATAATTTGCAGACCCGGGTGCAGGAGTTGGAGGAGGGCATTGAGGAGTTGAGCCAGTCGTTCCTTTCCTTCAGCAGTCTTCTTCTCGAGGAAAATATACTTGCGCGACACCCACGCATCACGTCCGCGCTCCAGGGAATCACCCGGCAGTGCGTAGCGCTCGCCAAACAGGGATGTGGTGATGCCGATGAAGCTGCGTCGGTCGAAGCTACTTCTACACCGGTTGTCAGCCGCAAGAAGAGTGCTCCACAAAATATTGACCTCAACTTGGATTCGGATTTCTTGGAATCCGTTCCCTCGTTGATTCCGGATGACTCGCTTCAATTTCCATTCAACTCACGGCAATGGCCCGCTTCGCGGCCCCGTACGCCTCCTTATCAAGACCAGGCAATGCTTCCATTCGGACTCTTCTTATCAACGCCTTCTGTGCCTTCAATTTCTGCGGGTTCAGCATTCCCGAGCCCTCCAGCAACTATATCTCCCGCCAGTTTCATAAAAGAAGAAGGATGGAGCCTCTCACAGCGCATTGTACGAGAATGCTGCGAGATCGGATACCGACTACTGGTGGACACACCAAACAATGCAAGGATTGAAAAAATCTTCGGCCAGCCACTGACACTATCCGAGCGCAATCGTCTAATATCAGCATTCTACCTGGCCATCAATGACGACATCGGGGATTTGATCGAGCCCAAGACCAGGGCTCTCAGTCCGTTGTACAACAAGAGGGAGAACCTCTCCCAGGACATGCTTTCGCGGTCCTCGAGAACGTGGCAGCTCGTCCTCAACTCGGGCCCTGATGAATGGCTGGATGCCAGTGGCGTGCAGAGGCTTCTGCAACAAAGGGGGATTCACATCGACGGTGATTCCCCATACTCTAGTCCACGTATTGACGCACCATCGGCATTTAATCTCTCGACCTTTTTAAGATGTGAGATTGACGGAGAATCCTTACAATCCTTTGGCTAACTTGGTGACAGTTCTATCCCTCGATTGCATTTGTGTCGGCCCTGGACCGGTATTCCGAAAACAAGCTATTGAGCAGGCATTACTCTTGGCAACTTCGCATAATCCGTGGGAATTTACGCCCCCGAAGTTCATATTCTGAACTTGCAATAATTTGGAAATAATTAATCACTGTTTTATCGAATGGTCGTTGATCCCTCAGACCCCATGGGGAAAGTCCCCGTTTCAACAGTACAGCTCCGCATAACCCGTGAAAGACCCTTATCTCTGCTCCCAAGTTTCTTTCTGGAAACGTAGTCGGAATCAAGTTAACCGATTATCCCAAACGACAGCTGACAGTAATATTGTCCATAGTGAATATGAATTGTTTATGTTCCGACTACGGTAACGTAATCGGTAAGCGAGTGGGCCACCTCAAAACACCATAGTAAATGCGATAAATTACAACTTCATATCTCAACAACCATAGCTTCTCGTAAAGTCTTCCTATATACTTGTGCTCTTCATATTAAGTTTAACGTATTTTGAAGGTCTCGAAAGTTTTCAAGATGTGGTGAATTGATAATATATATTTAAAGGTCAAAGAACTAAATTACGGTGTATTTTTGGTAAAGATTGTCAAATCAGAATTAAATTGACCTAGGCTCTTAAAATCAGCTTCTTATGCTTGAAGTAAGTAGGATACTAAAGATAAAGCCGAATAACCTTGTGATTGTTGAGATATTCTATTCTTAAATTATCGCATTTACTATGGCGTTTTGAGGTGGCCCACTCGCTTACATGGCCCACTCGTTTACCGACGGAGGGGAGCATAGCTGGCGCGACCCACAGGTGGAACTCGTTCCCATCACACCCCTCCCTCCCGACTACGGTAACGCGGGGAATGCCCAGTTGTCACTGGCGGACGGTTGTCGGACCTGGTGATGAGGCCAGACGGTAAGACGGCCCAGAAGAAGTCTATACAACTTGTCAAAGTGAATCTGGGATAGTGTGAGATCGGGATCAAGGATTAATGGTGGCTAGATCGGACTCCCGCTCCCTCCGGTCGGTCGGAGTAGACGCTGGCGAGTAGATTTCCACACAAAAGCTCCCGGTGGATCTTAAACGATATGGCTCCGGCATTCATTGGTTAGGGGAAAAGATATGAGTCAACATTGGATGACAGGGTGGTAACAATATACCCGTTCCATCGGGATATCAACGGTTTATTCCCTCGATTCCCTCGATTTCCTCGATTTCCCGCATTGTCTTACTTCATCACTGGTCCTCCAAGAGCCATTGCTGCTTCCTCTACGCAGACTCAAAAGTTTAAGAGGTTCAGATTTTATAGAGACCTGCATTGTTCGATACCATGGCCAACCAACTGACGCCCTTTGGGAAACCGATGTTGAAGCATTGGCTGTTTGACCCATCCTACAAGAATCTTAACCACGGTCTGTACTGGTGTCACTCACGTCGTGCGCGTTCTGACACGACAAACAGGCTCTTTCGGTGCACACCCCGCGGCTGTCCGTGATGCCCAGCGGGCCTTCATGGACATCGCCGATGGGCGACCGGACCCGTATATTCGGACATACCATGCAGAGTACCTCAACGAGGCGCGCGCAGCCGTCGCGGGGGTTCTCAATGCTCTGAAAGAGGAATGTGTGTTTGTGAAGAACGCTACCACTGGCGTCGCAACGATACTGTATAACCTGAACTTCCAGTCCGGAGAGGCCCTCGTTTACTTCGAGCCCGTGTACGGAGCCGTGGAGAAAGGCGTTGTCTCCTTGCAGGAGCACTCCGATTTCCAGTCTCGGAAGGTGCGCTTTGAATTCCCTATCGCTGAGGACGAGCTCGAGCGCTGGTTCCGTGAAGTTGTGCGCAAGACTCGCGAGGAGGGTCTCAAGGTTCGCGCTGCTGTTTTCGACACTATTGTCAGTAACCCCGGTTGTCGATTCCCCTTTGAGCGGTTCACTGCCATCTGCCGGGAAGAGGGTATTCTGAGCGTTATCGATGGCGCCCACGGCATTGGGCATATTCCGCTTGACATGCAGAAGCTGCAGCCCGACTTCCTCGTCTCTAATTGTCACAAGTAGGATACCTCCATTTTGGTTCTTGACATTGAAGACCTCGAATCTGATCGTTTTCTCCAGATGGCTCTACACTCCTCGCGGCTGTGCTGTTCTCTATGTCCCCAAGCACAATCAGCACTTCCTGCGCAGTACCCTTCCCACATCGTGGGGTTTCATTTCCGATCCCTCCTCGGCCGAAACTCCGCAATCAGTTCTTAAGGACCCAAACGCCATCAAAGAAAAGACTCCCTTCGAAGAGTTGTTCGAGTTTGTCGCAACTAGTGATGATTCCGCTTACGTCTGTGTACCAGCAGCACTGAAGTTCCGCAAAGAAGTCTGCGGCGGAGAAGAAGCCATCATGTCTTACTGCATCAAACTCGCCAACGAAGCCGCCGACGCAGTTGCATCTATCCTCGGAACGGATGTGCTCCAGGAGCCGGATCTGAAGCCGGGAGAGACCAGCAACATGCGGCAGTGTGCCATGATGACGGTGCGCTTGCCTATTGCTGTTGCGGACGAGCCCGTTTCGGGTGCACTTGTGACCGTTACATCAAAGGAAGCACCTGGCGTCTATGTTTGGATTCAAAAGACCCTGATGTCCGAGCATGAAACCTTCGTACCCGTTTTCCCACATCGATCGTGGCTGTGGACTCGTCTGAGTGCACAGATTTATTTGGAGAAGAGTGACTTTGAGTGGCTGGGAGGCATTCTGCGCGACCTGTGCGAACAGGTTGCTCGGAAGGCGCACAAATAGGCCTGGCTTTGGATTCCTTTTTGAGCGCCTTCATGTGAATGCATTCCTAAATTGCATCTAGAGTGCGACCTGTGAGATGCCGTCGCTTCAATATAGTTGAGAGAAATAATCATCTGTCTTTCAAGAGTCAGCTCCAGATCTGTTCGCAAAAGTCATAAACTCAAATCATTCGCGATTTCATTGGTGTGTTCTCGACATGCTTTATCACGTCATCCAGAGCCCGAGTAACTAAAGATCACCTCATCTTCTCGAGAACAAAAATGTGCGGGGAATCTTGCTCCCTTTATATCTGGTCGTTATCCCCAAGGTACCTAGGGCGTAATCAATCTATCTGAAACCCATAATATCCATCGTCATCATGTCTGTCGCCAAAGAAGCCGAAATCGCCAACGCCAAGTATGCAGCCTCTTTTACCAAAGGAGATCTAGCGCTTCCCCCACAGCGGTATGCCATCTTTCGATAGTGTTTCTCTAGTCCATTTCACAGACCAGAAGGCTGAACCATCTTATCCATCAGGAAAGTAGCCATAGTGGCATGTATGGACGCGCGCCTGGGTAAGTCGTCCGCCGGACTAACCCCGTCTTCATTATAACCCAGGCACTAACAGAACCAGATCCCGCTCGAGCCCTAGGTCTCGAAGAAGGCGATGCACATGTCATCCGCAACGCAGGTGGTCGAGTAATCGACGCACTACGCAGCATCATCATCTCGCAGCAGCTTCTCGGAACCCGTGAAATCATCATCGTGCATCACGTATGTATAAATCCCCGCTATCAACACCAAGTCGACCCGTACTGACGATCTCAGACGGACTGTGGAATGCTGACCTTTACCGACGAGGTGATCCGCGACAAGATCCGCGCTGACCTGCATCAGAATGTCGATCATATTGCTTTCTTGCCTTTTGGAGATCTGAGGCAGAGTGTTCTTGATGATGTAAAACTGTTGAAGGAGAGTCCGTTGGTTTTGGATGTCCCTATCACGGGTTATCTGTATGAAGTTGAGACAGGAAAGATTATTAAATTTTAGAAGGGACATCGGCAAGGGCTACATGTACTGATTTCAATGTTTGCGAGCCATCCAAGGTTTATATCGAGTCAGTAGTCACTCTGTGAATAACCCACATAATACAAAAGATCCATTGTTGGATTGAGACAGGAAGGGAATATATACACCGACTCAAAAAAAACCCCCATAGACCAGCCATGAGACAGCCGTAGAATCGCACCTGTCCAAGAGAAACGAAAGAAAGGGGTATGGATAAGAAACGAGCGCTAAAACAACCTGAATCGCCAAGAGGAAACCCGGCCTGGAATCAAAAGGCCCCCGAAATATGTAATGAAAAGTAAAAGCCCACAGATCTGCATGCCGTGAATCGTCTATCAAACTCGTATACTCACTCGTTGCTGCCTCCAAATCGGCTCCAGACCCAGCCGGTAATTCCTCCGCGTTCACTTCGACTACCTCGACTGCCCCGGCTTCCACGTCTGTTGCGGGGCTCGCTGGATTCGGGAGTCGGTGATTGCGGAGTAGATCTAGACCCCGATGATCGACTGCTGCGCAGGGAAAAGGGCGAGCTGCGCCGTCTTCTTCGGCCGGAAGAAGGTGCTTCAGAACTGTCCTCGATGATGACTGGGTTTTCGCTGGTGCCTTCACCCGTGCTTGTGAAGAAAGATTCCGTCAGCTCCAACAAGTCTCGGCCCGGTGCGTTATCAGAAAGAACACTTACCATTCAACCGAATCAATGCCCCGTCGGCAATGCGGGCAGGTATTATGCTGGGTCAGCCACGCTTCGATGCAGGTGTAATGGAACCAGTGAGTGCAGGGCAGCACCGTCACTTCCGTGTCGAGTTCCACCGCATCCATGCAGATCGAGCACTCTGCCTTCCCGTCAGACCCCAGCATCTCCCGATCGACCTTTTTCGTGGGCAGGGACCTGATCGCCGAGTCGGATGCCGGTGGCGGTGCAGTTCCCGAGTTGTTGTGATCGATCAACTGCGAAATGACCCGGTCGAGCTCTTCTTGGGAATAGACCGCGTCGCCGTTTCGGTCCATGTTTAGTAGGGCCGAGAGCATGGCGAGAGGGTTCGGTCCTGCTACGCCGCGGGCACCATGTCTACCCTGCTGTCTCGGTCCCCCAAAATCGGTTCGGAAAGCTTCTAGGAGACTTGAAACCCCGTCAGTTGGATATCATGAGAAATAGGGAGGTGGTGGAACATACTCGGCTAAAGAGGCTACTGGCGGAGTCATGGGTTGCGCTCTATCTGTATCACGCGGGAATAGTCCTTCATGGCCGGCGTGCGCATTTGAAACGCCCGGGTCGATATTCGGCCAACTTGACGAATGTGCCATGAATGGGTCGTCAAGCCCCGGGCTCCTGGCCTCGTGAGGTTCATGTGTCTCCTGCAGACCCTGAAATAATGCATTCAAACCCTCGAACATCATCGGAAGGAGCGGGTTGGTAGGAGCAGTAGCGGCGGATTGCCGGGAAGAGTATCCGCCACCGATGGTGGTGCTGCTAAAGGTGAAGCGGCCATCGGGGGACCTATAGGTGTGTTGAGAGTATCCGGGTGATCCAGAGTCCATGAAGCCGAATGGCCGCGGTCCAGCCGCCTCGTCTCTGTCCCAAGGATTATGATCTGCCCACGGATTGATAGGTGGTGTACGAGGTTCTGGATCTTGTTCTGGTGGGGGAGTATCAGGATCGGGAGGAATTTCAATCTATGGAGGGTTGAGGTTTAGCACTTGCATACAACGGACGGGGAACAAGAACGGGCGCGTACAATCTCCGTGAAATCGGACTCGCAGTGTGGGCAGGTCAGATCACTATCGGCTCTTGACCAAACCCCTCCGCAAGCATGGCAGAACACGCGATCGCCGTTATCGGCCATGGCATGGATGCGAAGAGTTGGTTGTGGTGGGAGAAGACGGGGGAGTTAAGAGACGAGACTAAATCGGCGCGCGGAACAGTCACGAGTCATGGTCTTATCAGCGCGGGGCAACTGCACACATCGGCGCCTCGTTCAGAGAGAGATAGGAAATAAACGTAGAAACAAAAGAGACGACAAATTTGACGTGTCAAAGGCGAAAAACAGCAAGCGGAGGAGATGACGTCGGAACCGGTTGCCTTCCACTATAGCGCGATAGGGCAAGATTTAAGGTGGCCCATACCAAAAGTTCAACGGCGCGATGAAACTGTTAAAAGCTTCACAACGATGCAAGTTTCATTGCTTGCACGCCAAAAATAGCAACAGTGGTTTAGGCAGCGTAGTTAATTTTGGGATCGGAAATTTGGGATGCAAGGTGGCAAAGTAGAGGGGGAAGTGTAGCAAAATAAATACTTCCATGTCATTCATTTCGTAGGTTCAACAAAGGCAAGTACCTATGTACGATGGCTCAGACGCAAAGCCACAAGAGTAGAGATAGAGACAAAGAAACGCCGACAATGCGAAAGAGGCTGAAAGTAGAGCTCCAGACTGTGAAAATTATACAACGGTGCAGACGCAAGGACAGCCCCGGCTGTGCCACAGCCCTTGCAGACGCCAATACCAACCCCAACGCTCACCGTCTTCTGGCTCCCTTGAGAATCAGACTACCAACAACTCCCGCGGCTACTGCCAAGCCTCCCACGATCGCGATGCCCATGAGGCCTTCCTTCGCCACCTTGTCATCGATAAGCGAACCCAGGCTGGCCGCCTGCAGGTTGGCCGGCTCCTTCTCGAGCAGGAGATCGTTGTATCGTCGGGCCTCTCCGTAGTTGCCCAGCTTGTAGTTGCCCAGGGCCAAATAGTACAGGCATTCTCGTCGTCGTTCCGGTGCTCCGCGGAAGATCTCTGACAGGAGGCGGACACCTTCTTGCTGGTCAGACCGCACGTTCGACTTGATCAAACCCTGTTAGAAGATTCCCCGCAAGTGCGGAGACCACTGGTTAGCATGAGTCTCCATCAAGTGCGCGGGGGTCATGGTGTTCTGTACCCAGGCGAAGTTGAACTTGGTTTGGATGCCAACATAGTCGCCTTCCTTCTCGTACTGCGCGCGCAGCACTTGGAGCTCGGCGGGTTTTAGCGGGCTAGATGTAGGCGAGTCAGTTCGCAATCTTCAGGGGGCTTGGACGAGCGTGCCACAGGGCAACGGACCTTTCCGCATCTGCGGCATCTGTGACAGTGGCGTTGAGTCAGTGAAAAGAGTCACGACACGGAGGGAAGAACACAGTAGAGAACTCACAAGGAAGATTAGACATGTTGGTAAGTAGAAGGAACTGTTGGATATCGAGGAAAGATGGAGGAAAAGCCCGAGGCAGAAGCGGAGGCGAACGTCACTTGCGGCGAAATGTATATGTGGCGGTGCATCGTGGCAGTTGCGGCAGCAACAATCAAAACACCCGTTTTGTCCCGCTTCACTCTTCTCAACTACGCCCACCATGTTGCTCGACGAGGATCCCGGCACTGTACGTGCTCACTTGACTCCGAACTAATGAATTCAACTAATACATTGGACAGCTCATCCACCACACCATCGGAAACTTCAATATCCACCCGGATAAACAAGCCGTCACGCGCATCAATGACTCGCTCTCCACGCTTCAACAGTCGCGCGACCTGCGCATCCGAGAGGCCGAGTCCTCGCTGCGCAAACTCGGTCGCCAACTCAACTCCCTAAATACCCAGCACGAAGAGGCCGTGGCACTGCACGACTCCAGCAAACACGCCGAAGAGATTGTGCAACTGGACACTAAGAAATTCCGCATCGCCAAGGCAGCCTCCGAACTAGAGGTCGAAAGTGAGCGCTTAGAGAGCGAGCTGGAAATGCTCAAGGAGAAGCTAGCAGACCTGGAATCACAGGGTCTTGAGGGCGACGAAGCCACGCGCCGCGAGCGCGAGGCGGATGACGCGACAATGTGAGTGGCGCAGCCTGTGCGCCGTGTTTCTTTTGCTAATCGATTTGCAGACTGCGCCTCAAGATCTTCCGTTCATTGGGCGTCGATATCGAGCCCGACGAGGCGGGCAACTTCAATCGGGCGGTTATTCGCAACAGTCGCAAGGGCGATGTGCACGTCGTTAACATCGATCCCAAGTTCTCCCGCTTCTTCTATGCCAACTACTTCTGGTCCACGATGCAGGGATAATTATGATTGGTACATGACCGTTTGTCTCTGGAGTTCTTTGGTGGATTTTTGATTGGAGTTGTTATACCCTTGAAGCTTTATTATCATGTTATGATCATGCCACTTTGAATCATTTTCCTTCGCCCTCTGCCTGGGTATCATTTCGAATGTCGTCAATGTTTTTGTAGTTCATGCAGGACCTTTGTCTGACACGATTCAGACACAATGCCATCTGGTCCGGACTCAGGATGACCATCGGGGAAGCTCTTCTCTACGGCATCTAAAAGAACATCCTTCTCGACCACCGGCAACTTTGCCCCCCACGATGCTACCCACTGGTCCTCAAAGCGAAGCAAGTCCCGCTCAATCTGGTCCATATGCGGGATATCACATCCATCCCAAGTCAAAGCGACTTCCTTCGTAAGAGTCCCAGACTCAGAGTCCCGCGTCCCATACCGGGTCTCCACCCCAAGAGGCCCCAAGCCAAGCTCCTCGGCCCGGGCATTCCAAAGCGCCTGCCTCAAAGTTCCGTCCCGTTCCACCATCATCCAAAACAGCGGATACGAGCTCCGCGCTAGCGCATCCCGAACACCCTTGGTTGCCTCGCGCGGGCTGACCAGCACGCCGGCCGTCTGGTCCGTGCGCCATCCGACAGGCGCCTGGCGGAACGTCCCTTCGAGCTCGCGCACCAGGTTCGGCCCGAGCTTGCTCTTGAGTGCCTTGCACTGCACCAGCACGCGAACTGCCCGCTCCCGCTCCCGCTCTGGCAGGTGCCAGGTGCCTACCAGGTCGATGCCCGCATCGTCGCGGCCGCCGATCCGCTGCAGGGAGAGTGAATAGCGCCGTAGGCTTTGGAGGACCGTGTATTCGTAGTGGGTGCCTACATAGACGGTGCTTGTTTCGGGAAGAGATATGCGCTCGGCATAGGAGAGGAAGGTGGTTAGGTTGTTGTGGTTCTGGGTTGGCGTGGGTGGTGCCGAGGGAAGCTTGAAGAGCCGGCGGGTGAACGGTGTGATCTCATTGTTGATTCGAGAGCTGGAGAATGGCCGGGGAAGGTTTATCGATTCAGAATATTGGCATATTGAGAGTCCGGCAGCGAGGCCATGGCGCGGGCGCAGACGTCGCATTGAGTGGTGTCGAGGTGAAAGCGCGCGTCTTCACCGCATTGGAGCTCTCCGCATTTCCTGCGCATCTCGGCCTCTCCCAAGTCGCATCTCTGCTTCTCGCTCCGCTACCCATTTAATCCTTCAGATCAACCACAATGGCGGACATCCTCACCCAGCTGCAAACTTGTCTTGACCAGGTAAGCTTCAAGGTCCACAGCAGTGTGCTTCGAACAACATCTGAATAAAACAGCTTGCAACTCAATTCTACGCAACGCTCGGCTATCTCACCACCTACCATGACAATTCCCCGGCTATCCCACCTCCAAATGTCCCCAACGCCGCACCAGCCCTAGCTAGGATCTCCAAGAATACAAACGCACCACCAGTCCCTGCCTCCGTGGCAGCAGGCGCAGCAGGTGACGGCGCAGCACAAACATCACCAATTCCCCCACCCACCCAACAACCCGGCACAGCAGGAGAAACAGGCGAAGCTGAAGGGGACCCGAATCTCCCACCGCAACCCGATTCGCCCCGCACATTTGCAGCTCGTCAGCGCGAGCTGGCGCGCGATCTTATCATCAAGGAGCAGCAGATTGAGTACCTAATCTCTGTGCTGCCCGGTATCGGTGCCTCCGAGGCAGAGCAGGAGTCAAGGATACGTGAGCTGGAGACGCAGCTACGGGATGTGGAGAAGGAGCGTATGGCCAAGACAAAGGAGCTGCGGAGATTGAGGGGCAGGCTGGAGAGTGTTCTTGGGGCTGTTTCGGTGGGGATTTATGGGGATAAGGAATACCAAAGGTGAAAGGAAGTGTTGGATGATTTCATTACGAGGGCTTCAGATACCCAGGATATGTTACTATAGTTTTTCTCACAGCTGGGATGTGGAGAATGCTCAAAAGTGGTGGATGACGAGTTCCGTGCATGGGACTGAAGTGGGCTTGTTCTGTCCCTCCACAGATGTCGACGAAGAAGGACAGAACACGGACCACGGAGGCAGAGCTTGGGAGGATGATGAGCTTGAAAACATTGCTTATTAACTCTCAATCATTTCGGGACATCATCTCTCGCCTGGCTAGAGCAGCAAGGTATTACGAGCTCTACACGAGATAGGCTCAACCCAGAACATTATGTGCTTTAACACATGGTCCTGAGTCATGGGGTTATCTGGCAAAAGCCAACAGTCTCAGGAAGCTTGAGACTATCGACTTGACCAAGGGATGGAAGGACCGAGATGGCTGGCATTTTTGGACAGTCTGTGTGGTGTGGGCAAACAGAGAGCTGTACTGGTTCGAATCGATGGCATTGTCGCGCGGCGAGACCAGAACGGAAATGAAAGCCTCCGAGCCCCGAGCCAGTTTGTTCATAAAATAGACTAAGACTCGTGAGCACATGTTCAATCCAACATCGGATCGTATAGATACTAGTGACGCCCCACTAAGCCCCGTGGGGGCTTGGCCGCACACTTTCAAAGATGCGGACTTCCTAGCTCTTCTCGTTTCCCTCTTTAACCCCTCTGAACACCGTGGCACTTTCAATATGGCAAAAATAGATACAGCGGCCCTGCGGCCTCTCCGAATTGGCACTAGGAGATCCAACCTGGCCGTCGTCCAGGCCGAGGGCATCCGCAACAGTCTGCAAAAGATAGCGCCCGATCGAACCTTTGAGATTGAAACACTCCACACTCTCGGCGATAAGGACAAGTCTACGGCGCTCTACAGCTTCGGAGCCAAAAGCCTATGGACAAGCGAATTGGAAGAAAAGCTCACGTCAGGCGAGCTGGATGTCGTCGTCCATTGTCTTAAAGGTAGGCTACTCCTTTCTCGCCTACAAGCACCTCTAACCCAACCCAGATATGCCGACTACACTTCCTGATTCGTGCCAACTCGCACCAATTCCACTTCGGGATGATCCTCGCGATGCATTGATCGTCAAGGACGGTCTACCCTATACGAGCCTGCAGACCCTGCCCGAAGGCGCCGTAGTTGGCACTTCATCGGTGCGTCGCTCTGCTCAGCTTCGTCGTCTTTACCCGCATCTGCGCTTTGCAAACCTGCGCGGGAATGTCGAGACGCGCCTGGCCAAGGTCGATCATCCCGAAAGTGAGTATACCTGCATGGTGATGTCTGCAGCCGGACTCGAGCGCCTGGGCCTCAAGCATCGTATCAACCAGTACATGGGCTCCAAGGACGGTGGCATTCTACATGCGGTCGGTCAAGGAGCGCTTGGTCTGGAGATCAGGAAAGGCGACGGCGAAACCCTAGCATTGGTTGCCAATCTGGCTGATCAATGGTCGACTCTTGCCTGCCTTGCGGAACGGGCTCTCATGCGCACTCTTGAAGGCGGTTGCAGTGTTCCCATTGGTGTTGAGACGGAATGGGTCGATAAGTCACGGTATCTCTTGAAGATCACTGCGATAGTTGTGAGTCTTGATGGCGCTCAAAGTGTCCAGGATTCCATCGATACAACGGTGCAGACCGAGGAGGAGGCCACTGCACTCGGCCAAGAATTGGCTGCAAGGCTTGTGAAAGCCGGCGCGGATGCAATTCTGAATGAAATCAACACCGATCGGCCGGCTAAGGGCTGATTGATCTGCAGCCTTGTGTAACTATAATCGAATACCCCCTCACGTTTTCGTAGACATTTAGTATTCTCTGTCGGGCGGTATTCATTACTCGGAGTCATTACTCAACCTGTAGAATACCTCAAGAGGCATTATTTAGGTACTGTACCAGTTCCCCAAGTTCATCTTTGCAGGCACTGTTCAGATCTGTAAAACAAACCCAATCTGATTTTGAAAGTATGCACAATCTAGATCCAGTGTGGTGGCTGGTGCATTCTTGTTACGGAAAAGAATCTTTCTATAAAAAAGGGACATGTATGTGTGGGCCATAAAGCGTGAAAAACATTCGGTGTATGTGCGTAGCAAGAAAACAAAAGGCAGTATATGATAATGAAGGAAAGTTCCAGCGCCTAAAAGATCAACCTCCTTCCCCGGGTATCAAACGAAGTGAAGAGCAAGACCGCCATTGAACCCCCATCCGAATCCGAGTTTGTATCCGCGAAATAATGCAAAAAACCCCCACCGAGAGAGTATAATGTCGCCGAAAGAAAAGACATAACTATTTAAATAGGCTACGGTATTCCCGCATGCGTGCCTCTTGCACTTCGCGCTTGTCCAGCTTGCCGCGGTTCAAGGACATGTCGGCCAGCTGCTGCTTCTTCTTGGCTAGTTCGAGGATCTTTTCCTCGATGCTGCCTTTCATGATGAACTGCACCGTCTCCACAGGGCGGTGCTGGCCGAGTCGGTGGACTCGATCCACGGCCTGGGCCACTGCTGCTGGGTTGTACTGGGGTTCCATGATGAACACCCGAGACGCCGAGGTTAAATTGAGGCCGACACCACCAGCACCGATGGTGGCCAGGAGAATCGTGATCTCGTTGTTTTTGGCAAAAGCATCCAGCGCTTTACCACGTGCTTGAAGAGTCATAGTGCCATCAAGGCGAGCCCACTTGCCCAGGCCTCTGTCACGTAGAGCAATTTCAATCAAATCAAGATGGGAAGTCCAGGCCGAGAAGATCACGCTCTTGATGGGAGCCTCTCCGATCAACTGCTTACTATCTTCTGCAGTTTTTTCCAGGTATTCCATCAGCGCGAGAGTCTTCGTGTGCGGGCCCTCGTATTCCCCGAGCATCTTGTTCGCCTTCTTGGCGCTTCCTTGCACCTGCTGTTCTTCGAGGCCACCTGCAGTGATGGTGGCATAATTCATAGGTATCCAGCCACCACAGACCTGGCACTGAAGCTCCGTTTCAGATGTGGAGTCAAACGCATTTTTCCAGCCCTTGAAGCAGTCAGGACAAAGGACACACCAGCACGGCAGGAAGATGGCCATTGGCGTATTAGGATCAACTGCCCCTGAGCTGGTGAGAGGCTCGGATAAGGGGGTGTTGCAAATCTGGCATGGTGGAACCCCGTCTTGTCCCATGAGCATGAACATTTCATAGGCCTTTTTGTTCATCGCAAGTAGGCTGTCGTCGGTGCCGCCTTCTTCCAAATCAATGGCATCGTGGACACTCATGCCCTTGATTCTTTCGCGTTCGTCGACATCAAGAAGCTCTTTACCGTGAGCACTGATCTGACGCAAAATCATCATGGCCTTGAGCACATGGTGGTACATTCGACCGCCCATCTTTGTTTTGCTCTCGTTCGCAATGACGCGCATCATAACCTGGGATTCATTGCGGAAGAATTCATGCAGCTTATGTTCCTTCTCGGAGAAATCGAGGGTTATGATCTTGTCCTCACGGGGTGGAAGATCGATCCTGTCTTTGACTCGGCGCAGCGTGAACGAGTCGACCAACACACGCAGACTGGCCAGCACAGTGGGATCGCCGGTCTTGAACGGGCTCAAGATGTACTGACCAAACCGAGCACGGTCGTCGTAGGGAAACAAGTTCAGGAACTTGGTGACCGATAAGAGATCCTCTAGACGATTCTGGATGGGCGTACCGGTCACAGACCAGCGACGCTGAGAGCAAAGGTTGAGAATTGCCTTCGTCTGCTGAGCCCCCTGCTCGCGGATCGTATGTGCCTCATCCAAGACAATGCGGAACATGTTCATTTTTTTCAAGGGAGTTCCGCGTTTGGTACCCCTGCCTGAATACTCGCTGAGAATCGTGCTATACGTTGTGATCACCAAATCGAAGCCAGCGAGCTCGTCCACATTGGCAGTGCGTGATGTGCCGTGGTAGACATAGTATGTAATAGTCTTCGGCCTGACGTGCTCTTTGATCTGGCCCACCCAGTTGTTGACCGCACTGAGTGGCACAACCAGGAGAGTTGTCTTGGTGTTGCGAATGCCTGGGGTTTGGCGAACGAGATGGCGGTCAGGCATCTCTCTTGTCCATTCGCGAGATTCCTTGAGTGAAGAAAGAGCCAAGGAAAGAATGCTAAGCGTCTTTCCGAGGCCCATCATGTCGGCCAAAAGGCCGCCCAGGATCTGCGGAGGTTCCTGGTCAACGACGATACCGCTGATGATGTCTCGGTATTGTTTGCTTCCATTGGGCCGGATCTCAAGACGCCACAGCGAATTGTTATCCTCTTCCTTTGGCCCAAATTTGCGGGGCTTTTCCTTCTCCGTCATGAACCAAAGCGCCTGTTTCTGGTGGTGCAGAAGAGGGGTCTTCACCTGCGGTGGAGCCTCCATTGATGGGATATCCGCAGTAACAAGTTGATCGAACATCTTCATGACGGCATCGTTCACCTCCTCGGCTGTTCGAACTTCGTATCGGATACCTTGCCCTGGTCGATCACGACCATTGTTGCTTGCTGCAGCTGCAGCTGCCAGCGCCTGCCTACGCTCTGCATGCGGATTAAATAACGGCACGCCACTCTCCACAAATTGAGGTGTGCCCAGCCAGACATTCCTTTGGCCCAGATGGTTGCCAATACTGGCTGCATGTCGTCGCTCGCCATAGAGTATAAGCGACGCCCGATAGATTCCCGAAGTGGGGCCCCAGACAACCTCCCCTGGCACCTTTTTGCGCATGTCTAAGCGCGCTGTAATTTCCAGAGGCACAGCGGGGTGATCTAGCAAAGGACACAGAGCTTGCGCTGTTTTCGCATCCACCACCCCGAAGATTTTCTTGTGCGGATCTGCGACATCGATCCGAGCGTCGTTGCGCGGCTGGCGAAGCACATGAAGTCTCATCGTTGGCCATGTATTTGCCTCGTCCCCAAAGATGGGGTTTGCAAGCGGTTTTGGGACCAGGTTGGCATTGACCATGGCATTCTCAACCTTGCCAAAGCACACCCGTTGGCAGCTTAGGTCATTAGATCCGGTCACTTGCAAATCATCGTCGTCATTTGAGACGGATGCCGTCAAGTCCACCACGTCGGCTGCTGGAGGTGGCGGTGTTGGTTTGGTCTCGCCGTCTTTCATAAATTGGCCGAGACCACTGTCGCCCGAAACTGCAACATGCCTTTTCGCAAAGTCAGCCTTGGAGTCTTCCTCCAGCCTCTGCTTTTTGACCATCGGCGGATGCCTCCGCTGTTCCACGCCGTATACACCCTCAATCAAGTTTCGAGGACGTGCAAGATCTTCTGCGTCGCTAATTTCGTAGTAGCTCCGCTTGGCATCGCTTTCGTTGCCTTCGTCATTCACATTGCTGAACTGCACAGCCGGATCTGATTCTGGCTTTGGCGCGTTGCTTGGGGCCGGACTAGACGTGGCCGGAGTGGTAGTTCTGGAGGGGTTGCGGGATTCGACTTGGAAAGAGCGGACAAGAGGGACAGTTCCTGGCGGCGCAATAGGCGGCGCAGAATCGCGGGGAGATCGGGTCATATTCTGCTGTGACGCGCCTGTAGGAAGTAAGTCACAATATTCAGTCGAGTCCAGGTCCATGGGGTCCGGAGGGGGAGAAGCAGAAGTTTCATCTGGGACCTGCGGCATTTTGTCGAACGGTTGGATATTCAAAAGTTGCTGGTCTCTGGGAAGGAGAGGAGTAGCAGGATCATTACCATTGCTTTGGAGTCTCTTTTTATAGGCTTTGGGGTCCAGGAGCATCGCCGCCTGTGACTCCATGGCACCTGGGGTGGGAATATTCGGACTTATAAAGTCACTCCGGATCGCCTAGTGGTGATCGTATTTGGGAGAAGAAGTGATCGAGGAAATGAAAGGCGGCAAAATGGAGTGAGGCTCGTCAGAGGGCAAGGTCCAGGTGACCAGGAAAACGAGGGGGGGGATCTAGACGCGTAGATCGCCGAGGGTCGCGCGACATTTGAAGTAATGAAGAGAGAGAAGTGAGCAGTCGGCACAGGGCGCGCCGGGTGCTCTGATCTAGTTGGACGTGCGTGAAATCAAAGAAGAGAGGGATTGTCCGCAGTGATCATGACCTCACAGGCCGCTCGGGCGATCCCGCCGATAAGGGCACACTTATCAATGCGAGCCGCCAAGGTTCTCCGTTGCCGGGATAAGGTATAAGAAGATCTCAAGGGGACTTTAGCCGAAAGACGAGCACAATGTCGAGGCAGACGTCTTGCTCGAGTACTTTTCGAGACGTTGATTTCCCAAGATACTCTGGAAAGGCGGTGCAAACAAAATATCGCTTGTTCTGCCTCCAACTAAGTTGGTGAACCTCATTAGTTCGATTTTTGATGATAGACTCCATAGGTAATCCAAAGTTAGGCAGATACTTTTGAAGGGTTTAATAGGGACGATGGTATCATGGAATTAGGTCTCGTCATATATGCTACATGAGGCGCTCAATCAATGCGCCATCCAAGGCAACCCGAACAACCAGAGAAGGTCTATATACAACACAAATTCCCCAATCATGAACGTGGCATGCGGAAAAAAAAGGAACTGGAAAGAAATGGAAATATGCAGAATGTCCGGTAGACATTTAAGATCTGACACCAAGAACATAAGGGACTGGTGCCAGGGACCTGGCGATTGCCTTGAGGCGGCTCCAGAAAAAAAGGACGCTAAAGAAAACATTTGCGAATTAAAAAAGTTGAGAAGAGGAAATGCATGGACATGAAAATGGAGGAAAATGGAGGAAATTGAGGAAAGGAGGAGATAACTGTGCAAAGAAATGCGGTTCTTAGCACCAGGTGAAGACGGGGTTTTTGCTCTTGACGGCCTCAAGGCGCTCCACGATCACCTTGCGCTGGTTGCCTTCCATTCCCTCGGCGGCAGCATACCCGAGATCACCTTCCAGGTCGTCACTGCCAAATGTGTTGACATGAGGCACGCGGAAGGATAAAGAGCCCCCGTGTTTGCGATGTTTATTCGGTCTAGCGGGCAGCGAAGGCCACCCATCCAGGGACCTCGCATAGGTGCCGTCAGCGGTCTGTCGAGGGAAATCGTTTTCGTTCAAGGCTGCGGGACTGCCGAATGAATCGGTGGCTTCGTGCGTGTCACCATCACTGCGGCCCCGGGAGAGTTCGAAACGGTTCGGATTGGGCAGATCAGAGCCAAGTCCCAAAAGATCGTGCTCAAGTTCGGGCATTTGCTGAGATGAATTCGCCGCTCCGATATCCATCTCCTCTTCGTCTGGGTCGTATTTTGCGGTCTGACGTCTTTGCATCTCGGAGGTTGGCGCTTGCATAGGAATGGCAACGGGCACATCCACCAAGTCATCCCACACGCAGACCCGAGTTCTTCGAGTCAACTCGAGAGGGCCGTGGTCAGGCTGCTTCAAGGTCTCAACCACGTTCCAGGCCTGACCCTTCATGACGGCTATTTGCCGGGCGAACATGCTTTCCTTGAAATCATCATCCTGGGAAAACACCTGACGCAGAGCCATTTGCGTGCCGGTCCACCACGCAGTCGACGTCAACAATGGCAGGAAGTGATCACGGGTCTTTTGCGAGAAAGGCTGTCCGATCAAGGAAACCGGGAGGAAAAGCCAGCCGAAGGGGAAGCTTCGCCACTGCAGAGTTGATTAGTACTGGAAGTTGGGGAGCGTTATTTCTTGTGGGAGACAAAACGTACTGCGTCTGGATGTTTCCATGGCCATGATAGACTGTTGTCGATGGCACCGATCTGAATCGAAGCTTGCTGCTCCGACGATGCCAAAGGTGTTCCCGTTCGACTGACGGCTTGCATTGGATCATGTCGTCTATAAGGATGGGGGGAGGCACCATTCGAATTCACAGAGATCGGTCGGGGAGGGGGAAGGAGTTCGTCCTCGTCGTGTTTGGGCGTGTTCTCGTTGGGTTGCGGAGGATCCGCCACAATGGAGACTTGCTCATTGCCCCAGTCAATCTTGACCATCCAGTTATCCAAACCTCTATCCGTGTTTCGCATGATATAATCCAGAACCACTAGCTTTTCCAACTCCTCGCGGAAAGACTGCATGAGGTTCTCGGTCCAGTTAAATCGACGCTCACGGCTTTCGTCACGCGGATTTGGCGAAGGCATGTAACCGTTCTCGTTGTCATCCTCGTCGTCAGACTCCACGCCTGACGGACGGCAGGCTTCGTTCCACGGGTGCTTCTTGCGCTTCGGAGCATCTTCGGCGCGGAAGCCGGTGTTGCTCTGGTCGGGCCAAGGGTGCTCGCGGAGGAAAATATTAGCATCCTTATATCCTTTGAGGAAAACCTGGAAGCTGCCGGCTTTGGGAGGCAGTATCTTCTTCCCCTTCCATGCCTTGCGCCGGTCCCAAAAATCGTAGAAGAATGACTTCGAGGAAAGGTAAACAATGTCGGTGTAAGGGACCATATTGGTACGCAAGCGGGCATCGAGGACGTACGCGGCGGCTTCGGAGACGTAGGAGAGGTTGGGAATGAGACAGGCTCGGCCAAAGAAACAGGGGAACAAGTTCCGGTGAATCCACTTGGTCCATTTGGGGTTGCGGGATGCGTAGGGCTCTTCATCCTTGGGTTTGAAGACACCCACCACCTTGCCTTCAGGGTTGCGAGCAAAATAACTACCCGAACTTCCCTGTGAAATCATTCGTGGGTGCACGTCCAGCTCAATCGCTAGGCGGACACTTTCAATGATCTCCTCGTATTCGGCTCGTGCTCTCCGTTGAAGGCCCTCAAATTCGTCCGACTCTAGCTGCTCCGTGGTTACGGGTCGAACACCGGGAGGAGGCTGGAAGACGGAGTGGTAGATCTCCAGCTTCTCTTCCTCGTAGGTCTTGCCCTTAACTCGATTGATTTTAAACTTGGCGGCGATCTCTTCCGCCCAGCGCTCAAAGCGCGCATTGATTGCCTTGATGTCAACACCGGAGTTCCGACGCCCTCGGCGTTGGAATCCACTGTGTCTGCGTCGATGCCCGGGGGGCGTGGCGAGACCGGACGCCTGCATCTGGGCTCGAGAGGAAATGGGGGCATACCGAGGGGCGGAAGTCGAGACCGTGGAGGGGGCGGCACCGAGGTCGTCATCTTCGGAGTCGTCGTGGAGGTAGCCGCGTTCTTCCTCCTGGGCGAGACGGGCATATCCCGACGTGGCAGGGCGATTTTTGGGCATGGTGGATGAAGAATCTAATGAAAGGCTGAAAAAAATAACAAAGATCTGTTAAAGAAACGAAGGACACAAAGAGAAAATCAATCCATGACAAGAATGACGGGGGTGGAAGTGGTTAAAAGCAGAGCGTCAAGGCAAATAACTGCACCCGTCACCGATGATTATTATGGATCCGTACGAGGCAGGGGGCGCTCGGGTTGATGTGACCCGTCATTTACCGCGGCGGTGGGCTGATTCCCGGCAGAATTGCCAATTGCAACGAGGTTTGCTCGCGATTCACGTGCCCCGAAGGCGCCGTTGGATCGTTACGGCGTGGTAATACGCTTACGCACCACCAACGAGCGGGTCCCCACCGCATAAAAGGGGCTGCGCTTGTCTGAACAGCTTCACATTGGAGGACAGAAGCTGGGGCCTGGTGACCCACTTGCTGACCTGGCCAGAAGACCGGAGAAATACAACCTATGTATAGATCGACTGCAGCACCTACTTATGTACTGTGTACACGGGTGCCCAGGTAGCCTGGTGCACATATAAATAGACATTTGGAGGCCGGACCCGTGAATCGAGGAATGATCTCTGTCATGGGCCATAGTTCGAGGTGGAATACTCGAAGTATAGACCCCTAGATATGAATGAAATATGAAGCCTTGGCTCAGAAATTATGCATAGATTGGGGAGGCAGGGCAGAACATTCCAAGGGAAAATTACAGTAGACCAGAAACATGCAGCGCGCGATAAGTGATAAATTTCGATACGCGCGATAATAACAATCGGCGCAGGATAAGACTTCTGCGCTTCTCCATCTTCGCGAGCTCCACGGCTTTTGTCTTCTCCGGGATCCATTGCTTTACGGATTCATTTCCTGTTCCGTTTGTTCGTTTCTTTCATTGGCTTTGCTCGAAAGCCAATTGCCAATTTGCCCTCGATATCCGGAAAGCATCGGCGCTTTATCACCGTGCCGTGAATCGGATCGCATCGACTCGTTCTCTTCTCTCTCCCCGACTTGCTCTTTCCCTGATTCTATCTGCCTTGTGTCATTCTCCATTGCCTTCAGACAACATCGCACGATTCACGAACCCTTCGTGTCCCGCCTCTGTCCTCCCGTTCGGTCTCCTGCGGCCGGATTTGAATTGAATCCTCGCCCACGCCCTCCATTGTGGCTTCCATCCTCTACCGGGCGTCGCCCATCGACCCGGCTCTCAAACCTGCCTCGTCTGTGCCGACCCCCGACCTCGCCCGCTTCGACTCGCCGTCCGACACTTCTGCCGCCAGCCCCTCGACGGGCCCGGATATCCCCAAGCCATTCTCATCAGCGCTGCCGGATCTGAGCAGCATTGGAAAGTTCGACTATCGCGATAACTTTCCCGACTCGCTCCCCGGACTGGCAGCACTTGCCTCGGTCGCGTCCGCGCCCACCTCGAATCTACGGTACGTCCCACGTCCACGGGAATGGGAACGGGAATGGGAATGGGAACGAAAATGGGAGTCCGGCGGCTTTGAATCTATCAAGAGGACCAGCGCCGACCTCCCTCTCCCCCTCTATTCCGCCGAAAGCCCCTCTTTTCATCTGCAGGAAGGGGGCCCAATGAGCGCGGAGACTGGATTGGCTGACCGGTTTTTATCTTACATCTTACAGGGAATCCAGTGTGAATGGGAACATGGCGAACATGAGCTACGCGACTTCGTCACCGGCGGCTACTACGGCAGGACAAGGCAATGGCCCGGTAAGTTACAATCAGTTCCAATCAGTTCCAATCCGGTCGAGTCGAGTTTCATGAATTTGCACCTTATCGCGCTTATCGATGCCGGGTTTATCAGCGACTGGCTGGGGGCTTGGCACCACCCGATCCGTGCGCTGCAATCCTTATCGAACCCGTCAAATCTCTCCCAATCTTATCATCGCACATCCACCCTCCTCTCGTCCTTCCCTCTTTGTCTACCTTACACTATGGCGACCACATTGACTGACGACAAGCGTCCCCAATTACAGCCCGTTTGCCAGAACTGCGGCACCTCCACCACGCCTCTATGGCGTAGGGACGAACTCGGCTCCGTGCTGTGCAATGCCTGCGGCTTGTTCCTCAAGCTGCACGGGCGGGCTCGTCCGATAAGCCTGAAGACTGATGTGATCAAGAGTCGCAATCGCGTGAAGACTGGGCAGGGCCCGAAACGCAAGGTGAGTCCACGATTCTGAAACTTCTGCCGCCCCCTTCGCGTTCTCGTCCCTAGATAAGAAATTTCCGCGATGCTGACCACCGCGATCTTCTATAGTCTGGAGGCCCCGTCGACGCCAACGGTCTCGCAGGACAACCCGATGCGGGAACACCCCCTCTTGGCTCCCATGGCTACCGTCGCGCGTCGCGTAAGATGTCTCCGGGCCACTCGGATCGCTCGAATTCCCCCCTTGTCGCGAACGGAGACACCTGGCTTTGCCGCCATGCAGAGCCACAACTCCAACATCGCGCCGCAGCACATGTTCGACAGTGTCACTCGGGGCGACGGTACCTTGAACTCTTCCGGCGGTCTCCCTTCCCTCCCGCTCCGGCAACCTTCTCCCTCCGCCGTTGATCGCCAGCTCGGCGAATCTCCCCAGACATACGAGAGCCTCTTGGCCCTCAACACCTCTCTCAAGACACGCGTCAGTGAACTCGACTTGATCAACGAGCTGTTCCGCGGTCGTGTCGCGGAGCTCGAGCAGAGCGACGCGAGTGCGCGCCGATCGGAGATGATCGCCCGCGACTCCGAGGCTCGCTTGCGCCGGTCTCTCGACGAGTCTCAACGTCGCGAGGAAAATCTCAAGCGACGCGTTGAAGAGCTCGAGCACCAAATCAGTGCCGGTGGTGACGACAACTCAGAGCCCCATGCCAAGCGGATTCGACTGGCGGATATGGTAGAACAGTCGCCGGAGGGGTCGCCGTCGCAAGTCAAATCAGACTAACGACCTCCCGTGTCCAACTTCACGGTAGCTCTGTGCTTTTGAGCCGCTGCTTCGGTCCTGTTTTCTATCACCGTGCGGCTGCTGCCTTGTCCGATCCCTCTTGGTCTTTTTGATACCCTCCCGACTTTCGTCTTTGGTGGCTGGAACTTCAACAAAAAAGCTCGATACTTGTCTAATTTCCTTTTCTCTTTCTTTCCTGTCGGATGTGTCGCAACGGGTCTCCTTTTCTTTTAATTTGCTTCTCGCCGCGGGTTTGTGTACGAAATCTCCTAGTATGCTTCTAATGGTACTCTTCTTCTTCCCCTTTTTCTTTATTTGCTTGCGGACACAAGTGGAAGGTCCTACAGAGTAGCGTGGCAGTACACTGTAAAAAAACAATGAAAATCACGTTCTGATGGGTTAATTCGCTTTGAAGTCCGGGTCTGCTAGGTTGCGATGCTGGGAATGCTGTCGGTTGCTTTGATAGAATGGCAGCGTGAGATGCTTCATACTTGAGCCAATATGACAGCCCTGTTCAACGAGCCGAATTGTTTCTCGAGTTTTCCCCTCCTAGGTCTCGGCTACGTAAATACTTGCCCAACTCGTGGCTTAGTATAAGATAGTAAGATAAGACAATTCCATGGTTCCATCGGAGCTCGATTAGTCTCAGAACAAGTCTATGTACAACCTCAAGATGAGCAAATCCCACAGGCTAAACTGCTCGAAAGAAACATGGAAAAGAAACCAGCAAATGCATGGAGTATCAAAGTCTATGGAGAGAAAAGGGGTAGGGAAGGCAATGAATGTATAATTGACTGAGACAGCAACGCCTGATCAGTCTGGACTTCAGACCAGGGGTATACTTACTTGACCTGCAAAAAAGGATCTCAAGAGATGTGCAGATGATCTAGAAAAGAAATACCCGAAGGACGAGGGAGAACAAGACAGCATTGACTCAGGTCAGCTCATAAATACCTGATAATACCTCTTGTCTCATGTTTGAAAAGATCGATTACGCCAGGCGCTGGCTACTCTTTCTGTGAATCGAGTGGTTGATCTGCTTCTCACGGAAGATGCTCCAGAGGCAGACGCAGATACCAGCGAGGCCGGAGAAGAAGGTCAGGTAGTAGGCGGAGCGGTAGCAAGCCAGTCCGTCGGGGCACTGACGGTCGCCATCTTCGCCGATCACGGAATGGCGGTCGTAGACGGCGCCGTAGAGGAGGTTGAAGACGTTTCCGCTGAAAACCGGGGCCAGGGTCATCACACCCCAGTTCTGGGAAAGACCGCCGATGCCGAAAGTCTGTGCAACCAACGATGGGAAGACGCCGAACAGGAAACCGTACGCGATGCCCGTGAAGCTGGAGACGACGACCAGCGTGTTCGGGTTGGAAATGGAGGATCCGCAGAGTTGAGTAAAGGTGAAGACCACGGAGGAGATGAGGAGACACCAAGTGCGGGACATGTTGAGCTTCTTGACCAAGACATCAGAGCCAATGCCTTGCCGTGAGTTATATTCATCAGTGCGTGTGGGACTCAGAGGAACGGATGCGTTTCTTACCGCTAGAAAGACGCCCCAGGAAGTTTCCAAACGACAAGACGGAGACGTGCATGACCTGGCGCTGTTGGATGAACTTGGAGGACGCACTGTCGTCGTAGTGATTCCACAGAGCTCTGGCCTGGAATGGGGTTAGAAAAGAAATGAGCAAATGGATACAATGATCTTACGCTGTTACCGATGTTGCTAGACAAGAGTTATTAGCAATTCAACTCTTATTCCTTCGAGGTTCCGGACTCACTTGATGGTCATCAAGCCAATTCCCGAGAGAAGCGCCATGGTCATGAAAAGTTGCCAGAACTCGACATGTTTGAGCATGGACAGACCTCTGATATCAGGGTGGTGGGGCTCGACAGCCACGTTATCGAGGTAGTCATCATCCAGAGTGTCAAACGACGGTCTGATATCGGATTTGGACACCAACGACGAAGTCTCGTCAGTGTCATGGGGATGGGCTGCCTGCCGGTGGATCGAGACGATGGATTGCGTTCGCGGATGGGCCGATTGTCCATTTTCAAAACCAGTGGCATTATGGTTGTTAAAATCGGGAACGTCTGGAACAGATTGCCGGCGTAATAATTGAGAATCGGAAAGCTCTGCGGCGCCAGAGTGCGGCACGGACGAGTAAGGCTCGTGGGGGAAGATTCGAAGGAACGGGATTGAGCAGAAGGAAAGAACAGAAGTGCCGACGGCCAGGAGAAGGAGGAAGCGACCGGTATCATCCTTGAAGATGAGAGTTGAGATGTTAGACCAGAAAAGGGCGCTCAGGCCGAAAGCAGCCAGCGGGAAAGCCGTTGCGGTACCGCGGTGGTCAGGAAAGTTGGAAGCCGCTGAGAGTCAATGGGTCAGTTTCACATTTGCATGTCTGAATTGCCAGTTTGACGTACCCGTCTTTATGGCAGCCCCAAAGGCTGAGCAGCCACCGGTACCTGTCAAGAAGGCAAAGAAGCATATAAAGATAATGGGGACCGATCCAGGTCCGCTCTGATAGGCTGTTGCGGTCAGAACATCTTATCGGCGCCATTGTGGAGGAGGGCACCCTTACTAAGGTAGATTGGATAGTATCCCAGCGCCAGGAGAGCTGAACCGATCAGCGTGATAAGTCGTGGCCCACGCGCATCAGTCAATAGACCCATGGGGATACCCATGGCGTACATCCCCAGATTTCCCGCCGCGCCCTGCCAAACTGTCAACATCGGTCTTCCGCCATGTCACATGGAACTCACGATCAGGTTGCTCTCGGTCGACGAGAGTTTCATCTGATGTGCGAATTGCGGGGCCCACGCCGAGTATGCATACTATGGAAGCAGTCAACCGTCACGTCCGGGGATGCCAAGAACTCCAGATCACCTACATTGGTTCCGCAGGACAGAGCTACCAGAGTGCCCGCGACAACGGAGACAATCCGGGCGGTCGAATGGAGAGGACCGTTCATATCGGTGATCGAGGTGCTTCCCTCCTATATCCCTCAACAGGTGTGCGGTAACCAGGGTGCGGTAAACAGGGTGCGGTAAACAGGGTGCGGTCACGCGTATGGAAGCGGAGCTTTGCGCAGAATCTCAGTCGTTGGATGCGTTGGCCAGAGGAGGGACATCGGACCCGGAGAAAAGAAGGACAGGGGTGTGTTTAGAAAGAGTCGACAGGTCTGGGGAAGTGAAAAGAGCGAGGGCCAAGTCGCATGTTTCGGGAGCGTCGTAATGCGCCTACGAGGCGCGATAACGGAGACCAGAGCGGCGCTCCACCTCTGCCGAGCAACGTCACGGCGCCAAGCATTTCGGGCGGCGCTTGTCACGCGTGGTCCTCTCCTTTTGAGACTCTGCAGCGGGCGACACGCCTATTTAATTGGTTATTTGCAAGGTCCGTTTTTAGAGTTTAATGCATAAAACTGCAACTAATCTTAACGTGTGATGTCCGGGAAGAAACTCTCGAATACAAACCCTTGGAAGGCAGTAAGAAGCATTTCACTTGGATAAATACTTCATTCCTGCTCCGTATTTTGCTTCATCTAGTGCTTCGATAATGCGTTTCAACAGCCTATAAGGATCAAAGTATTAGTCGAGTGCACGAGAATATCACTATCATCCCTGGATACGAGCATACTTCGTATTTGGCATTATTACAGGTCAGATGGCACGTGCTCCTCCGTGTTGTTTACCGTGGAACACAAGATGTTTGTAAATGGACCTAAACGCCTTATGCTATGGTTTCTTCTACATATCTTTCTAGGTATTTTTTGAACGTCTTTTAAACCTGCCCATCTTCGAACAAATAATGCAAGACCTAGGTGATTGATTGATACCGTATAATAGTCTGGGGTAACATTGTCAAAACGTTCAACTCGAGGGGTTTGTGGACAGTCAATACTGTAACACCACTGACATTGGGACACCCTGAAAATGTATATGCAACATCATGCTTCTTGCAGAGATGGCAAGCTCGCCGCATTAGTCTCAATTCGATGAGCAAAACGGCAGCCGGGCTCCCCACATAAACAGTTTTTCTGAAGCTTTCTCCAGTAGGAATCCGAATAATTGACCGTTATTTCACTGCCGGCGGACACGCCGCGAGAGACCACAAGTATGCGTTCTATCCCGCGCCAATAGAACCTCTGGAATTGGCTATTGGGGCGACACGAGTGGTTGATAAAACGAGTGAAATTGCCCTTTTGTCCTTGGAAGATCTGATACGGTCGTTCTTGTGTTCCGCCTATCATCACGTCTAGACCGTCAATCCCGTAAGTGACGAGACCGACAAATTCGGCAATAGCCGTGCCTCGTTCGAATGGCTTCTAATAGTTAGTGAACGTTTTCCCAAAGTCGAACCGATAAATAGACGAGAAGTGTTTCTTGCAACGTACACAGCGGGCGATCACCCCATTGTTCTTCCCACTAGCAGTGTGATATAATTGGACGGGAGGAGGATGACGAACACCACCAAACAAAGACGGGAAACAAGAACAGTGGTTGCTGATCCCATCATCAGACTGACGTTCCTTGCACGTTTGGCAAATACCAGGGTCTATGCCTAGCCCGCGTCGAGGGTCATCTTCCCCAAACACTTCTCGGTCGATCATACAGTCGTCCACAAACTCGTAATTGAAGCCATTGGATAACGCCAGGTGGGAATAAGTGCTTTTGAGTGGCAGCGCTGGCCCAGTATCAACTGTGACCCATTCATGAGGGTGACCGGAGTACCGACATGACTCATTTTGGTTAATAACATGGAGAAGGTCTCGCCATCCAGGATGGAGAGTATCGGCGGCAACTTCAAGACTAAAAGCGGTATGGCGCAATCGAGTAGTAAGGCCATTGTCAAAGCCGATCCTATATTTGCAGAAGCGATAAACCCCGGATCCAGCAAAGATCAGGCTAGCCCAGCCCCCAGAATCTTTTATTTCCTTGTAGCCACGCCAAACAGCCCTAGGCAATAATTAATAATGAGTTCTCACACAGCTTGGAGAAGGCACGGATGAACCGGGAAGCGCAAAAGGGACATACATCCTGTTTCTGAGCTCCTTTTCCTGCCAGCCTAGTGTGTTGCAGGCTTCTTTTAGGGCTGCCATTCGAGCTTCGGCGTTCGTATAGGTCGGGCAATCAAGACGAATGGATGCAATTCTTGCTTCATAGCATTCCACCCAGTAAGCCTGCACTACCATTTCCAAAGCCCGCGATGACCGGCTCTGGTCATAGTATTTTTTGCATAGACCGTTGATTTCTTGGAAAACCTATGAGTGCCGCTATTAGAAGCGAACAAGATCACCGCAGCACAAACAAATGTTGCACGTACTGCTTGACTAACACCAGTCCGGAGACTGAATTCTGTTCTACGGTCCTGTACTTCAGTCAGCGATGGTAGATCATAACGGCCAATAACAATTAGGAAATGAACCGGAAATGAAACGCTCAGGTTGACTGGAGAGTGCACCTGACGCCAGATCCCTGAAACGAGCTTATCAATGGTCGAGGGCTGTAAAGTGGGCGCGGTGGTGCTTTTCGTGGGTCTCTTGCGCTGCGGAAAGCGAGTATCGCTGTGAAGTTGCCGAAATGAAGGTTCGATTCTAACATTGGATGGTCGCAGACGAACCCCAGTATTAGTATCACTATCAGACCCTGAATCCTCTGTCACCACTGCTATGGCAGACGACTTTGATGGTCGCAGCCCACTGACAGTCTTGTGTCTGGGGTTGCCAAGCTCGTTTCTGGATGCAGACGGGCACGTCCCTGAACCACCACAACGAGCATATGGATCAGAACTGGACTATGCAAGAAAGTTAGTATTTGGTTTTCACTTGTCTCGTGTTGGAAAACTCACTGTTGCCGCGAGGTTCAGGAAGGCAGCGTGATTGGGCGTTATGGTTGAATAGCGATCCTTTTCCATGCTCAACCACCCCTAAGAAAGAACCAAGTTTATCCATTAGCCGAAGGTTCCTTCCATAGGGTCTGTCAACTTCTTCATACCAGGGGGAGCGACTTGTCATCATCCACGGTGATATTTGGCTTAGCGCATATCACGGCGTCAATACGCAGGCAGACCCCTTCATCGCGCTGGCCGAAAGAAGCTAATTCGGAGGCAAGTTGTGTAGAAAAATCAGCGTTCTCGAAGAGTTCTAATAACTTCGTCACCACAGGGTGATGCACGATCGGATGCATAGTCGGTCATTTAGTGTTTGTTCCATGACGGCTGAATCGATGCGTCCCCACATCAGCCATTCTGCCCGGGCAGAATGTGCTGACTTAGCCATTACAAAAAGGGCAGGCTTGGCACGAGCTCATGGTGACGCTATGGCTTCAGGATCTTTCCGTTACTATCGTCTACTTTTGGGAACTTGGGGCTGCTTGTGGTATCTCATAAAGTGGAAACACACTTACAGTATCATTCAAAAAACCTAGCTTAACGATATAGCGAGCCGTAGTTACCTCCGTAGATACAGCTGTAGTAGGAGTGCCTATCCCAGAACTGCTCGGGTCTGAGGATCAATGGGGCGAGGAGTGTCGGGTAGGTGGGTGGAGTCCTACAAACCAAAGACAGAAAACACTAGTTTCGGAACACGGGATGGATGGATCTTGTTAGGGCATGTCTGGCTTGGGCCATCGAAATAGCAACTAACACGCCACTCCTAGTGAAAGCTGATTTATATACGGGTCGTTCTTCTGTCGTCACCGCAAACTTTCTCCTTCTCCCCATACCTTCTTTACATATCATCTGTGGATGCCTGCCCATCATGCCGACGTCAAATGCTGCTGAAACGCCTTCTCATCTAGTAAAAGAGAAGTCAGCTGTATCCTATACGTACGACAACCTCACCGGGTGGAAGAGCGTGCGTGTCCTTCGAATCGGAAGGGGAATGTATCACGATGTTCGGAGACGCCTTCCCTATTACTGGAGCGACATTCGAGATGCGTGGACATATAGAACCGTTGCGAGCATCATTCGCATGTATTTCGTGAAGTGGGTTTACCACAGCTCTCGACCAGATCAAAAAGGCTAATACCTGTTCTTTAGCATACTCCCGGCCATAGCCTACACCCTTGATATGTACCGGAGAACTGGACAGTTTTATGGTATTAACGAAGCGCTTTTCTCTTCCGCCCTGGCGGCGATGGTGTTCAGTATCCTTGCAGCGCAGCCTTTGACCATCGTCGGCATTACGGGGTTGATATCATTGTTCAACTACACGGTATATGATATCATACATATCTATGAGCCCTCAATTTACCCCCAATTTATGTGCTGGGTGGGCATCTGGGGCGCTATCTTCCACTGGATCGTTGCATTATGCAACATATGTGACTATATGCGCTATGTGACGGATTTCTCAAGTGAGACATTCGGCTTTTATGTCGGAACCATTTACATCAGTCTGTCATGCCTGTCACCATCTTTAGAATGCCAGGAAGAACTATAACTGACCCCGAATCTAGGCAAGGGTGTGGAGGAGCTTATCAATGAGTTCACAAGCAAAGGGCCTGTCGCTGGTTTTATGAGCTGTGTGATCGCAATCCTCTATTTCTTGACTATCTACAGCCTAGAGACGATTGGATCCAGTAATGTCTGGAAGCCTGTTTTTCGAGGATTGCTGGCGGACTATGCATATGTGGTATGATTGTTTCAAGCACGCCTGACCACCACTGGGAATCACACCCACTCATCGACTTTTGTTCCTTCTAGATCGGCACAATCTTCTGGGTTGGATTTTCGCACATTCCCGGTCCGCTCAAATCGGCGGATATATCCCGTGTTCCCATCAGCAAAGCATTTTATCCAACGCAGGCGCGGGGTTGGCTAATTCAGTTTTGGGAACTGGACGCCAAATGGGTTTTCGCAGCGCTGCCGTTTGGATTCCTTGTCATGTTGCTCTTTTACTTTGATCATGTATGGATCCCTCTCCCTTAAACGAAGTCGTTCCTGCCTACACCGCTAACTTATGGCTAGAACGTCAGCAGTCTGACGGCACAGGCACGGCAATTTCCACTAAAAAAGCCCGCGGGGTTCCATTGGGACTTCTTCCTCCTTGGGTGTACGACATTTATTGCGGGCATTATCGGTATTCCGTTCCCTAATGGATTGGTTCCACAGGTATGAAAGCAACCCCTTCAAGCTTTCAAACATATTCAGTTAGTGCTAATAAACCGAGCCAGGCACCTGTACACACAGATTCCTTGACGATTTATGAAACCGATCTTTGCATTGTGTCAACCGAGGAAGGAGAAGGTTCCGAAATTCGCCGCTCGATAGTCAAGGCCACTGCGGTGGTAGAACAACGTGTGTCGCATTTTGTCATGGGACTAGCGATTATTGGTACTATGACGGGCCCCATCTTGATAGTCCTCCACACTATGCCTGCTGCGGTCTTCGCAGGGGTGTTCTTTATCGTCGGATGGGGTTCCATTGGATCCAGCGGCATCGTGCAAAAAGCGATTTACTTAATGCTAGAGAATCGTTTCATACAGCGTGACGAACCTCTTCTGAAAGTGCGGAACCACAAGATTCTTGTGTGGATTGTGTGTCAACTTACTGGAATCGCGGCCTGCGTCGCCATCTCCCAAACAATCGCTGCTATAGGTGTGATCCTTCCTTTACATGGGCCTCTCCAGAGTGACTAATAGATTTCCACCTTTGCCAGGCTTTCCTGTGTTGATCATCGCTCTAATTCCATTTCGAGTCTGGGTCATTCCTAAATGGTTCTCGCAGGACGAGATCAGTATACTGGATGACATGACGGCCAACAATAAAGCCGTTCTGGCTAGTCTTGGTGGACCACCCCGGTTCCCTGGAGAGAAGCACCCTCAGAATTACGGACTTGAGCGCCGGTACTCGGAGCAGAGGAGGGGAGTCAGTAGACAAAGAGCTGGCAGTATTCATCGTTGAGATGCCGTGGAGGCTCTGCCAAACTCTCCGATCATCGAGCGAGATCACAGGTTTCTCCAGAGGCACCCCAATCCTTCGCACGCCGACTACCGGCAGAACGAACAGAAAACGGGGCGACATTCTAAGCAATTCCAGTCTTGCCGACCCTTTTTACTCAACATTCTTGCTTCACTATCCAGTAATTGGAAATCGCCTTGTGTTCCACTGACCTCCCATTGTCAGTATAATCATACGCCGCCACAAGGGGAAACTCGTGACTTGCCGGCCCGCAGCCCTCACATTTGACAACAAAGCTAATGTTCTCGATAAGAATAAAAAGAAGAAGAAAAGCGAGGGAAGCTAGACTAGGAGTGCTAATGTCCGATCTTCTTGAATGCTTCCAAGAACGCACGTTGATGCCTTCTTACCCCCTCATCATGGGCGACTCGATTCCCCTGCCATGCCTTGTAAATAAATCGGTACCACGCCCTTTTCTTGCCGGCCATAGCTTTCACCTGCCTCTCGGTTACTTCCCAAGATTGAGAGATTTCCACCAGAGCAAGTGTAAGATACTGTAGAGGCTTGACATAAGGTCGGCGGGTCCCAATAGGAGTTGTGTATTGATGTCGTGCATGAGAAGCAATGATCGTGTTTTCATGATCAACTGTTTGTTGAACACTTTGGTAAGTGCCTGACTTGGGTCAGTATCGAAGATCAACGGAAACTTGACCCCGATTTGCTCTCTTATGTACTCGTGTCCTCACACCTGAGTCTTATCCCAAGAAAATCAGTGTCAACCAAAGCAAAATAAGCCGGAATATGGTCCTCCCACTCGAGAAGTGAGTTACGTAGCTACGGTTGTGTCAGGTGGTCATACTTACATAGGAACACTAGGCAGCAATGCGGTTACCGTTGAGTATGTGTAATAACACAAGGTAAAATGAGATTGAAGGGACAGCTCAGCCGGAGAACTTTTGCCATAGGTCTTGGTCTGTGGGTCGCGGGTAGTATGGTTCATTTTGAAAGAACGTGTACACAAGGTGAGAGATGAACCCAACTGGGTTCTCCCAGGCAATTTCTTCGTTCCAGATATGACACAGGTTGAAGTCAAGGACCCACATACGTGTGGTGCGGTGCTCGAAGTTGATTCTTATCGCAGCATCTAGATCCTTGCTAGAACAGATGCAAGAAATTTGATCTGGAGTCAGGTCGAGGGAAAGAAAGATGTCCTTGGTGTAGCTTGTGCCTGAATCGCCCTCACTGCCGAGAACAAATTCGATGTCAAAACCGTCAACGTGAGCGGCCCAGTGGATAATGGCCAGAGCTTCACCCATGGCACCAGCGTAGAATAGAGCTGGCGGATTGACTTCGAGCATCTGATCAAGGTGGAGGTTGAAGTTGCGTAACGTGAAGTTTGGGGAAGGCAACTCTGGCTGCGTACGCCGAGATCCAAGATACAACCGAGTCAGGCACTCCCTATTTGTAGGGTTGAGCTGACGGCGGTTTGGAGGTTGACAGGGCAGTATCGGGAGATGAGTGCTTGTCGAACAATTTTCGGGAGAGGTAGAATACGCTCTGTGACGAGAGCTGTGGTTAGAAGGGGGATTGTCTTGGAGGCATTTGGGAAGAATTGGAGTTCTCATTCCACCATTCGACACTAGATTCTGGGACCCATGAGAAAAGCCGAGCCCAAGGAGACGCGGCCCGACCCCTCCGTCATCCACACACAATGCAATTTCACCATCCTCTGATTCCATTGCGAATACTAACGAAGATCCGGCAACCAGTGCCCTAAACATGAATGATACAAAGGTTGATGCTCAATAAGGGGGGACAAGTGAAGATATGAGGATACTTTTTGGATAATATGCTTCTCTATTCCTTCAACCATACTTTTGTTTCAAATTTCCTCAAGTGATATGATATTCAATTCGGGAAACATGTAAGTCCTCACCTAGACCATCTTGCTCTCACATTTATATCACCTTGCTCTCACATTTATCCTTTCTTGATCTGACGCTTTCCCTTTCTTTCTTGAAGCTGAGCTGGGTTCTCTTATCTTGTATACCGACTCGGTTCTTTCCCCACACTCTCTCGAGTTGGGAACTATGTAAGTCTTTACTGATACTCTTGATCTCACATTTGCACCGTCTCAAGCTGACGCTTTCCCCTTCTCTAAGCACAGGAACTGAATTGACCTCGGAATACGCCGTCAATTGTTATATTCATAACATCGGACACAAATACAGGCAAGCCAATGATTTGATTTGAATTCAATCCTGGAGTACCTCCTCGAATGAATCCGTTCCTGGTACCTCCCTGGGCCCTGTGACACGCAAATTTGCTGACTTCTCATCTCACAGCCAGCAGTATATAACATGGCCAATATAGTCCGCCATTTCGTGTCAAAGGTCCTCCGCAGACCTTTGGCAAGCACAATCAACTCTGTGGATCCACCACAGAGCACCTGAGTTCAGAGAACGTGCCCTCTGGCACGCCTGAGCCTCGGGTGTTGGTGGACCTCCGTGGCAGCTTGGGAGATGGAGTATCTACCCTCGGGCCTCTGGGGCCAGACAACGCGCCCTTTGGCGCGCCTGAACCTCAGAGGCTGATGGACCTTCACGGTATTGAGAGTGACGGAGAAACCTCAGATACGCTGTCCACAATCTCCAACGTCCTGGAATTCCCGGTACCGATTCCGACGGGCTTCCCCCGTGGTGAGAACGAGGTTCTCACCATTGAATAACTCAAGGAAGCCTTTTACTTCAGTCGACGCACGCACCGGCAAATGGATCCCAGTGCAAACTACTGGAATGCCTCTGACGGCCTTCTCCGAAAGGAGCATCATGGGCTGCTCTTTGAGCAGCGTGCTTTTCCCTGTCAGGGTTGGCCATGGCGGCACCGTAAAGAGGTGCTCCATGCTAATGCTGGCGCGCAATGGGAGACGAAGCCCCGTCATGAAATCCAGCCGGATTTATACAACGCTCAGAGAAAGTACGCCAAAATGCCAACTTTGTCCTAGAGTGAAAGCGTGCGGCTGATGAGACGTACCGGCTTGCAGCTCGTGATAAAATCCATGTCCTTGCACAGTCTTCCCGCTCGCAAGTGGTTGCGCACAAACTTGCGCAGCGAGATGCCTTTTTTTTCCGCGCAAAGCTTATACCACCGGAATCTGGATCACGATACAGGCGTCCCAGATTATATGAGCAACGAGCAGTGGAAAGAGGCATACTCTCAATTGGAGGGCCGAGGATTCGCCCTGCAGGATGACGCACGGCAACAAATCCAGAGGCTAAAAAGCGCGCAGAGAAAAATGTAACTAGAGGTCAGTGCACGTAGCCTGAGAATAACAACTAGCTTGCCGGGAATCCAAGGTTTTTGTTGACGACAGATACCGTCGTGTGGATGGTTATACTACAGTGGAATTGAAATCAGTTTTTAACTCCACACTCTTGCAACTTACAGCCGGACCACGAAGATATTACAAATGGCCCTCAATATTTTATTCTCTTAGTCCTTCTAAATCTCCTACTAAGAGTTTTTTTAAACGTCTTTCTAGACATCTTTTGATTCCGTTTTCCAAGGTATCTTTCTAAACGTCTTTTTCAAACCTCCCGGACAGATAGTTATGACCGCCTATCTAGGTCCACTTACAATATCTTCTTAGTCTGGCTGTAATTTCCTGAATCTTGATTTAAGGCACGCTAATCTACATTTGGTATAGCCGTCGATCCCCGATTTCCAAGAATGCCTTTCTTAGGTGGTGTATTGGTGTGGTCGGTGCGAAAGAAGGGAGTGCTAGAGGCCATTTTCAGCACGCCGGCTTAAAGATCGAAGGAGTCTCAGGAAGTTGCTAGGTACAGTCTCGAATGAGGACAACTTCTCCACGCGCGTCACGGTGTTTGTTGTGGAAGCTCAACATGCGATTGATGCCCTTGATGATCCTAGTCTGTACACGACCCCTGATTTCCCAATGATACGTAGGACACTTTCTTACCGTAAAAACAGATGTATTGAACTACTTCGATCGCAACAACATCGCAACCGCACGGCTGGGGACTCTAGAGGAAGACCTTGGTCTGGAGGGGGATCAATATAACACTATCATCAGTGAGAACTCCTCGTATTGAGGTTCGGTTCGAAGGCTCGATGACTTACAATTTATTCGTCAGATATGTCCTCACTCAGGTGCCGACCAATATGCTTCTTAACAAGATGAGGCCGTCCATCATTTTGGTGAGAGTCCGACACAAGAATTGCTGATGAAGAGGCTGCTTACAATTCAATAGCCGACTGTGATGTGTTGTTGGGCTGTTGTGAGTACCCGTACAGGAGCCGTTCAAAAAAATCGCGGACTTCTCGCTCTGCAATTTGTTTAGGGCTTTGTGGAAGCACCTTTCGTCCGTGAGTCACCTGGGTCTTTTCATGGAAAAGAGACCTCCTGACTTACTTGCAGCTGGCGCATTATTTCCGTTCTACTCATGGTACACAAAGGAAGAGCTCGCAGCTTGCATCTCCATTCTCTACATTGCTGCCAGGTATCGGGGGCTTTTAGCGGCCTCCTCGGCAGTGCTATCATGTCCGGCATGAATGGAAAGGGAGGTCTTCCAGCCTGGAGATGGTTATGTATGCAACATCAATTCCCCGAAACGCTGGCTCGATCTCCAGATCTAGCATTTGAATGTTCCAGGCATCATCGAGGGCGCAGCAACGATTCCAATTGACCTGGTCGCAATGTTCATCCTGCCGGATTACTCGGCCATCACCAAATGGCTCACTGACAAGGGTCGGAATGTTACCCACTGGCAATGGCTTGGAATTGTCATCCTAGTTATCGTTACAACTTGAGCGCTCTACTGGGGTATGGATTATGAGTTCAGTGGGCTCGTACGAAAGGCTCGAAAATTTAGTGAATGTGAGCCCTTGTCGGAGAAGGTCTAAATTCATATAGCAGTTGTATTACAATACGACACTATAGTTTCAAACTTGCCCACGCTTGTGGTGCGTGACTCGTGTGGGACTTCTGGAAACCTCTCGGGCTTGTATATACCTTAACGTCAAGGTTCCTAGGGTCGGGTCTAGTGCCACCTCTGGCCACCTTTACCGCTTAAATATTCATCTTTTTCTAGTCTCTCTCCGGCTAGATCAACATGTGGGGCCTTAAAAGGGGGAAGATCTTCTCAAACATGCGAAGTTTGATCATTTCTCGTCATATGTAAAACATCATTTATGTCTCATAACATAAAATTTATTCTCTCAGTACTTGTTTGCATTGTCGCAATGCTGCTCACCTTTCGCCCCTTGGCACCGGGCTCCGTCTTCAAATCCGTACGCTCTCGAACACCCGGGCTATATCAAAGGTTCCCCAACCTATCATTCAATACCGTGTTACGCTCCTTTTCCGATTGTCATGCGACCGAACTATCCGGTTCAAGTTTTGACCACTCGTCGTGTGAAAAGACCGATCGTGAAGCATACCGGCAAATCCTTATCAATGACGATCAAGACAATCTCGAGTATACATTTCAGCTGCTCATGAATATTGTTAAGCGACCTTGTCTTGGTCACTTCGTGAAGCGGATTGAGTACCTGCACAAACCTAGGACTGGTGATGACTACCCTGAATTACCGTATCAACGCGACCTAAGCGCAGATGACATGCGTCTTCTCAGACGTGCGGTACAAAATGCGGGCTTTCAGGGCGACAAGGAAGAGAAAATCATCAATATGCTCATGCAAAACAAATTAAGCCAGGACTTGGGCTATATTACCCCTGAAGGCTGTAGGGTCTGGTAGGAGGCTCTCTTGGGCCCTCTGGTGATTTGCTGTACAGAAATCTGACATCCAGCATCTAGGGAATTTGGCATTACACCCATCTTCATCACACAAGCTATTGCCGCCATTATCGTGTCCATGTCACCAAATCTTGAGACCATGGCCTTAACACAGCCTTTCTATCACTACCACAACCTTGAGGAAGGAGAAGAATTAGCCAAAGAATTCCCGCTCGTTCAAGTTTTCCGACATGCCAATTCCAGCTCAGAGGGAACTCGCTTCCTTCAGAAACTGCGTGATGTCTATTTGATCAATAAAGAAAATCATTATGCCAATGATGAGCGGTTCTATGCCCGGACAGATTTGATTGCCTGTCTCGAGCTCTTCAACAAACTCCCATCTATCGAGTCATTTGGTATCGATGTGCTTGAATCAGACGAGGACAACGGGAAACAGACCTGTGAGGAAACAAGCTCGAATATCAGCAAAATCAAAATCAACCACTCGTGTCTGGGCTCGAACTATCTCTTATGCGTGATGGCATCAAGCAAAACCCTTACCGAACTCCAATATACCACCGGAGGAAGGGCAAGCCTTCATGGAGGAATTCCTTTTTTCAATCCAAAAGCCTTTATCAAAGCGCTATCCGCACACCAAAAAACGCTAAAAGTTCTCGACATAGATACTGAAGAACTCACTCGGAGCTACCCTGGTCAAGCACAGTCGCGTGGCTCCTTTCCCGTCGACTGGGATGAATATGGAGGCCCGGGTGAATTCCAGTTTGACGCATACGGACCCGATGGACTCGAAGATAACCCCGAGTTCAAGATGCACCAATACTTGACATCGATTTGGGACCGCAACGCGTCGTTGAAAGACTTTGTGGCATTGAAAGAACTGAGTATCAGCATTGAATTTTTGGTTTACTTCGCCCAGGGCGTGGAGATCGATGATGCGAAAAGAGCAAGTGTCATGCTAACGGACGGTATGCCAGATAGCCTGGAGTATCTGTCTATTCGAGGCTTTGAAAAGGGTGCAAATGAAGCACACGATATGCAGGTGGCTGGGTTGATGGCCCGATTTGAGTCAGGTTCTTTGAGATTGAAGGAGATCAAGGGGGTTGATGAGATTATTCCGAATGGTTGCAATGTTGAAAACCCGGATAAAGATAGCCATTTGTTGTGGTCTTTGGAGGAGGTAGGATATTCCGACGACTAATATTATCTCCATAGAAGGGGTTGGATTTAGATAAAACAGTGCATCTCTCGGACACGGCGACAAGTCCACTCCAGCAGACTTTTAGTGTCAACGGATCGATTGACTATCTTGAATTTTCATTTTTTCCCTAACATCAGACGTTCAGCACTATTATTGGTTCAGATCGATGCAATATTTCTTGTGTTCGAGTTTGGCATTACTGGGGGCCCCTGTACATGCGGGAGATCACGGCGGTGAAGAAATCCATGGATGTCTAGATGGCTGTGGATGGATGTACCGTGAATTCTCTACATAAGAGTTGATTTTGGAGGGATTCTACAGGCCTTGATCCCACGCCGCAGATTTTAATTGATTGAAAAGTGCATTAGCCTCTACCATCTTGTCAAACAGTGATCTTTGCAAGAGAATATCTTGGACTTCTCGCATCTCGCATCTCCGACATCCAGGTGCCTATCAGCGGACGAGGCATATCAGTTGTTGCAATTGTACTGGCTGCATAGAGCGCAGCGGCGGAGGCAGATTATGTTGGGGGAAGGATTAGCTCCATTCTCTTTGCTCATACCGAGGCAGGTAGCTTCTATCAAATACTGCTTTCGGCCATGCCGGTGACTGTCTTAATGACCAGCGGGAGAAATCCCAGAAGGACTGTATAACGAAGAAGATATGTGTGTATTTGGCAGTATGTGCAACCGGGGTATCTTGTCAAAGGGTAATGAGCTGCACAGGAAGTAAGAACAAGAAGCTAAATATGGACGGAAAGGCACATGCAGATGAAATCAAGACACAAGGGCCACTGTCAACGCCCATGCCTCCTATACAGGAAAGTAGGAGAATCATTCATTGGACACTATTTCCACTCCGTCTGGGGCGGGTGCGCTGATTGAAATGTTCTTGCGGTGGTTTTGCATGCCCAGGATTTGCCATGCACGGCCCATCATTCCATGCCCAAGACCCTGAGGGAATTCAACAGAGGCTTTGTGGGCATGTTTAGGAGTGCGGTCACGAAGCGCGCGTTCCCGCTTGGCAGCAGCCAGACGGTCCTGTTCACGCTCATGGTGGACAATATCGTCGCGCCATTCAGACCAGTGTTCGAAGTTTTCTCGCTGCTGGAGCACCTGGTACCGAAGACGAGACTTGGATGGGCGCCATGTAGTACGGTTGGCACTGGTGCTGGCGTTGTCGCCGCTCGCTGGCGGCACCATTGTGGATTTCAAGTCGCAGACACGAGATTCCTTCGTCAGCTTCAGCAGATGGGTCAAGACATCGCGACTTTCCAAAGCAGTGCGCTGGACCTTTTCTTGCTCGACGGTTGGGGTAGCACGAGTGAGTGGTGCGTCCAGCCAGGCGTGCATCTCCGTCGACCGCTGTATCGAGTACGGATTGAGAAGGTTCGAGCGACGATTCTCTTCACGCAGGAAACGCACGGCTGCTTGAAGGCTTTCGACCTCGGCACGGAGAGATTCGTTCTCTTGCATTGCGGCCAGAGAAGCCTCGTTGTCGATGACAATACCATCGCCTGAGGTCGTTACACCGGCGGTTCCAGAAATCCGCTTCATTCTTTCGAGGCGAGACTTGAACTCATCGCGCTCCGCCTCGGCCGTTTGAAGCTCTTTCTTCTGCTGATCGACAATCTTCTCGAGCCCATCGGTTGTTGCTTGATATTCTTCAATCTTTGTCTCAAGATCCTTCACCATAGACGCCTTCTTGCTGGCCTCGCGCATCCGTGATTCGAGGAGCTCAATCTTAATACCTTGTTCTTCAAGGGTGTTATCTTTGACACCAAGTGCAGTGGAAACTTCGTGAACTTCGTTCTTCAAGCGTCGAATTTCCTCGTCGGCATCTGGCGAAATTGTCTTGTTAGATTTCAACTCCCCCGACCGGGCAACCCAAGGGTTTGCTCCTCTCTCGAATTCCGTGGTGCGAGAGAGATCGGCTGAGATCGAATCGAGCTCATCCAACTGGCTGCCAATGTCGCGCAGCTTGTTGGTGAGCAGCGAGACAGGATCGTTATTCTCTGATGTACCATCAGCAGACTGTACAGAATCTGAAAATGCCCGTGACATGCTTTCCAGAATCTCTTCCAGTGTATATGGATCCGTACGGCTCTCATCACTGGTGAGATCCACAACGTTCTCGCCCAGCTTTCGAGTCAATTCTGAGAGTCCCTGGGTATACGCTTCTGTCTTCTTGAAAGGCTCGTCCGCGTCTTTGGAGAGTGCAAGAGACCGTGTACGCAGGTCCTCTAAAGATCGAGAAATCTTCCCCATAGCAACCTTGTACCCACGCGCCTGGGAGACAAAAGAGTCGAGTTTGCCCAGGGCAAATGAGTTCTCTTCGCTGCCCTCTTCCGGGGTCGCAAGTTTGGACTGAACCAAAGACTTCAACCGCGCAACAACGGATGCAGCATGGTCAAGGTAGGATTGCGATAGGGTTGCGCGCATGCACAACTCATCTGCAAAAATTTCTGGACCAGATGGAAGGAGGGTTTCGGCGAGATGTACCAGCAGAGCAATGGATCGCTGCAATTCAGCCGCAAACTTTTTCATGTTCACGTCGTTCTTCTTTAAGCTCTCGATCCAAAGATTCAGTGTCCGCTCGACCGGCTCCATTTCAAACAAAGCACCCTTCGCGCTGGCAAATTGCTCTGGAGAGCAGGCACTGATATAGTTCACAAAACGGTTACAAACCGTCGAAATCCATAGGAGATGCTCAAGGACTTCGTGGGCGTTGAAGATCTCATCATAGGTCGACGCTGCTGACTGCTCAGCAACTCGCTCGCGAATGGTGTTGTTCATCATGCCGGCCTTGAAGCTGACACGTTTGAACCGAAGAAGAGCCAAAACAGCGTTCCGCTCGGAATCAAAGTATTCAGGAAGGTACAGTTTTACGATCGAAAGGTGTTGTGCTGCTTCTTCCGCTTCCATTCGATTGAGTTCCATGTCGATGGACTTCGTTTGGGCCTTTGATACCGAGGCCTGGAGCTTCATGTTCAGGTCCATCATGGCTCGCGATCGGGTTGAGAGATCGGTGGCTTCTGTCTCGGAGATCTGCTGAGATGCCCGCATGTCCTCGAGGTCGCCCTGCAAATTTGTCACCAGCTCCCTGAAGCGGGACAAGGTGTATTCCAGGTCTTCAATGACTTCATCCTGCTGGGATATCTTCCGAACTTGTTCGCTGAACACGCCATCACGATAATCGATCTCTTCTTGGAGTTGTTTCTCTGTTTCAATATGGGTGTACTCCAGCTCGTCGCTGATTTCTCTGAGCGACTCCAGATCCTCAATGGCATTCTTGAGCTCATTGATTTCCTCTTGGTACCGCATGTTCTTGTCAGCCAATTCTTCGATCATCTCTTCGGCCCCAAGAGCAGTCTCCAGTTGCTGCTTAAGATCATCCACATTGGTCTCGGCAATCAACAACCTTTCCTTCGTAGCCTCATAGTCAGACTTGACTGCAGAGTACTCCTCAAGATCTTGCTCCAATTCCTTGATCTGGTCCCTAAGATCTCCTTCCTGCTGCTGGGTCATATCGCGGAGCCGCAGGAGCGCGTCACGGAGTCTCTCGTTGGACTTTTCCATCTGCAGCCACCCATGACTGGAACGCTCTTCAGGGCTTGTGATCTGACTGAACTCTTCATTTTCCTCGCGGAGAACCTCCACTTCCAGCTGAAGCTCTTCCATCTTCAATCGAAGGGCATCACATTCATGCTTGAAAGCCTCGGCTGTCTCTTCTGCCATTTCCCGGTCAAGTGCCGCCATTTCCATGAGTGATTCGTGTTCGGCTTGCATTCGCTCGACTTCCTCATGGCGAGCCTCAGTGTCCTTGAGCTTCTTGCGCAATTCGGTTATCTCCATCTGCTGCGGCTGATACTTTGCCTGCAGCTTTTGGATAATCGATTCAAACTTATCGCGCTCCATTTGCAGTCGCTCGAGGATCTTGAGCTTTTCACGATCTTCAGCCCGTTTCTTCTCCATGACTCGAAGTTTAGCTTGAAGCTCTTCCAGTTCACGGGAGACGGCAGCATTCTGGTTTTGGCGTTGCGCCATAGTTGTCCCAGGCCCGGGTCGATTTGCTGCTGAGCGCGAAGCAGTCAAAGACGGCCTTGACGTTTTAGGGGCAGATGCTGGCGCTGGCGCCGCTCCTCCATCTTGGGTTCTTTCTCCTTCGATATCAAGAGACTCGGCGTTGGTGGGCTCTTCTGATGGACTACTCGTCCCTGTGTCGCCTCCATCGGATGCTTTTGTGGAGGCCGCCTGTCGAAGGGACGGGCGCTTGGACAGCCCAGAGGCCACGGTACTTTGGGACCCAGGTCTCGAAGTCCTGGTTGCCGTGCCAGCCACTGAGGGGCGCGAAGGTCGGGAAGCAGCCGATTGAGTGCTAGATGGGCCCATCGAGGTTCTGTTTGTGGCAGCTGGCCTCGGTCGGGCTGATGCAATTGTCGAAGTCCGCGGAGCGCCGCCGATCGATGAGCGATTAGAAGAAGCAGATAGCTGTTTTGTAGGGGACTTTGTGGGCGACTACAAAGAACACTGTCAGTATTCTAGCAGAGGCCAACCAGAACAATCCAATCCAAGACATACCCTTAGAGAGGCCCGGGGGGCCATCTTCGGCGCCGGCGTCGGGGTTCCAGTTGCATTGGTGCTTTGTCGCTTGACTGCGGTAGGAGGCAGCGCACTGGGCTTTTTTACGCCTGCAGATATTGATTGTCGGTTGGCAGGCGCGTTGGGGCCGGCCCTGGCGCTTTGTTTACTCTCCCGCGGAGGTTGTTGAATAACCGCACCGATGGCTGTTGGTCGGATGAACATGCCAAATCCTGGTTCGCATTCAAAGTAACGTTCGCCCTGAACTGCACCATCGTTCTTGCCAGTAGCGTCGATCAATTCCACTCCAATCCAATCTCCAACTGCGAAGCTTGTGGTTCCGATGAATCGGACGGTACCCTGGCGCCCGTCGGTCAGGGTGATCACGGAGCCGGGTGAGATCTCTCGGCCAGACATCGTGAGTTAAAGGAGCGAAGACCCACGATGAGTTGTTGAGCGATGGCCGAGGGTGCTTGTCGAGGGGAGACGGAGGACGGAGAGCATTTAGGAGTCTGCCACGCGCGCGCCGATCCCCTATGGCCTGAGGCAACGACAAATGGCTCCGCGAGTCTTTTGAGTCTTTTACCCTGTTGTTAGCTGAAAAGGAATTGTCTGCACTAAAAGCATTATAGAAATAGAATTCGTCTTTCACTGCTCGTAATGTAACAGGTACAATTTCGGTCTATGCTGTCTGGTATAAGTAGACCCTGAATAGGCAGAAACACCAGGATCTCGTTAACAAGTCCAGTCACTATTTACAGTTCGGAGACTGTGGATCCGAAATTTTCCAAGCCTCTATAGAGAAGAAAAGTCGTCGATCCCAAAAATAATAATAAATCATCTAAGCATTGTTGCTCTCCTGGGACTTGAAGAGGTGGGGGAAATGGATCCGAAGCTCCTCAAGATTCGAAACCAAGTATCTCGAGGCGGGGACTCGTGGAATTGGGATGCCCGGCTCAACCAAGTGCACAGTAGTCCAGCCCCGTGCTTGCGCATGTGTGCAATTAAGGTGTGAGTCATCTATGAGGTTGACGTGGTCAGCATGGCAGTCCCAGTCGGGTGAGATGATACACTACCAACGCCGACAAACGTGGCAGCACTCAACTTGACAAACTTACCGACAAAATAGCACTGTTCCGTGCTCGGTGCACCGGCCTCTTTCTCCGCCTTGTCGTACATTTCCTGGTTAGGCTTGCAAACCAATGGCACTTTCCCGTAGTCACAGTAGGTAATACCCTCGAAAAGATCCTCAATGCCCAGAAGTTGCACTACACGCTTGCCGTGATTCACATAGGCATTGGTGAGAAGCCACGGCTTCACCTTGCTAGTATCCAAGCTCTCGAGCAGCTTCCGCAGTTTGGGATCCGGCTTCAAGATCTTATCGAGGGGAAGGGCATCGTCAACCTCGTAGTTAAATTCCAGCGGGTCAATTTTGTGGTGGCGGGTAAGGCCCTCAATGGCGAGTCCGTATTCCTTGTAGTATTTCTGGTGGAGCATGTGCGCATCCTCAGTATTGAGATCTAGATGCTTGCAGAAGAATTTATCTAGGTCACAAAAAGACGAGTTAGCCAACGGACACCGCCTGATATGGAAATTGTTGCTCACTGATCAATTTTTGCATCTCATCATGGATGTTGCATGCTGCATGGCACGGTCAGTTCTTGTCCAGTTTAGTTTTGGGCACAGAACCCAATCGTACCTTTCGAATAAAGCTATGGGAAAAAACCGAGAGTTAGCACCGTGAGTACTCTGACCATGGCCTGCATGTACGTACGCAATTGTCAATGTCGAAGAAAAACACAGGCCGTGAGTCACTGCCTTTTGCGCCGTTGGCCGCCATTGTAAAATACCGTTGAGAAGGTAGGAAAGCAGGAGATATTTGAGGAGAGAATGAGACGGGGCGAACGAAGCGAGCAGAAAGTGAAGGGAATGCGCGATGCATGGAGAGTTTTATACGGCGAGGAAGTCGGGAACCTTGGAATCAATCACCTTGCGCCGCGACAACACGCGGTTACCTAATCAGAACTAGCGCGGGCAACGGAAAAGCGGACTTTCACAAGCAGCGGCTGTCACTTTTTTTCCTTCGCTACTCACCTCACTAATGAAATAGAGCCCACTGGATCTTGTATTCAAAGCTCTGATCGTTGGTCAAGTTGCTATGAGACTGGACTTACCCCAGTGATTTTCTTTTCCCAGTCCCCAAGCTGTCCCGTGATCTTAAAACCCCTTCTTCAAGCTCTCCAAGATCATGGCTACAGCGCATGGGGTCTCGACTCACCTTAAAGCAGGTACAATGGCTGCGGCGGCGCCAATAACAGCAAGTGAGGTGCAAGAATACGAGCGGATTCTCAAGATCAGCGATGAGATTTTCGCGGGCTCCCACCCGCGTCTCAAGGTTCCCCAGCAGTTTGTGCGCAAACCGGGGGCGCGAAATGGCCAGACTGGTCCTTCTACCCAGCAGGCTGTTAAGAACAAGCCCCTGGGGTCGGAGAACACGCCACTGTTGGGAATAGCGCGCTCTCCGAATACCCAAGCTCCCGGGCTTGAGAATGTGCCTTCGACTGCCTCCGCAAACCCAACACCTCCCTCCGCCCGCTTGGCCTCCAAACCCGTTTCAGAAATCGATCCCATATTCTTGACAAAATCCGATGATTTAGTCAGGGCTGAACTTCAGCTACAACGGCAGAGGCTAGAAAGGATGTTACGTGATAAACTGGAACAGAAGAAACAAGAAAGCAAACAAAAACCTGCGCTCCAGGACACAAGACCCGAGTTCAATGTCTCGGAAGTGTTTCAAAGGGCTCTCCAGGTCGTTGCGCCCGTTTCCATGAGTGAGCCATCAGACACAAATGGAGATTCCTTCGACGACAACTCCTTCTACTCCAGTAGAGCACCTGACTCTCCAGATGGAGGTCAACGAAAAGCCTCTCCGGTCGTGCCGGGTCAGGCGGTTGGTCTCTCTACACGTGCTCCTGTAGAGAATTACGCAGATGAGTTACAGCGACTTGAATCTCTGAACCAACCTGGATCTGATCAGGAAATGCAAGATGCTTACCCTGTTGCTGACCAGCGTGCCCTCTATTCTCAAAAGCAGCCATCTTCCGGTCAAGCAGAGATGTCCCGTCGACTGCGTGAGTCGCAACAGTTGGAAGCTCTGGAAGAACCAGAATACTCTCCACCGGCTCCAGTAGCACCACCCATCGATGACAGATATTATGAGCACGGAGTAGCAAACGGTGATGGCAGAGGCAGATACGTCCATCGGAACCGCGACGTACAGGCACCGGCGTCGCCTGCGGACGTAACCATAGTTCGCCAGAACCACATCACGTCCCCAGCAGCTCCACGGCCGTCACGAGTCTCGCCTTTGGCTGTGGCCAAAGTACCATCTGTCCAACAGCTTCGGGATGAGAGGCGTGAGCAGGGGTTAGGCCAGGTGTATTCCGATGCAGACTCCGGTCGCGAGAGCCCCAGTGGACCAGCTCCTCATCCCATTTCACGAAAGCGAAGAAGGCTGCAAGGAAACGGGGAGGAGGCTCGTAATGTGTCTTACAGAAGGCAGGACCCGGAACCTTCCGATACCTACGTTAAAGAGGAACCAGTGTCTCCTCCGCCGTTTGCCGATGACCCTGGCATGATTCAAAGCCGACACGCCGAGCAGCAGCAGCCGGTGTACATCGACATTGCGTCGCCACGGTATACACCAGTACTTGAAAGACAGGAAATTTCGAGTCGGAGGCCAGTCTACGACGTTGATCCATATCACGAAATCCCTGTGGATCAAAGACAACAGCCCCGTACACTCTCTCGACTGAGCACCAGGCGCCCTCCACGTGATGATGGGGATCTTCGAAGAGTCGCCAGCTTGCAGTATGCCAGGCAGTCGGACTATCCTCGGGAATATATCGAGGCCGATCCCCATGGCGGCCGTGCGGCGTCGTACACTGTCATCGAACGACCTCAAGAACGTCCTAGGTACTACGAAGAAGTTCCACCTGGGTACGGACCTCAGTACATCACATTGGATGACGCGCAGCAGTCCGTCTATCGGGACCCGTATTACGACGAAGCTCCCCCTCCACGAATCATGCCTGCGCCCCAACGCCGGTTTGTGGTCGACGAGCATGGTAATCAGTATGAAATGGTCCCCACGTCACGATCCCAGCCAATGGCACCTCCTCCGCGACCAGTCTCTCAAATGCCAAAAGACGTCTACGAAGATCGAGTCCCCGTCCGCACTGCCAGTGTCCGCGCTCCGTCTGTCGTCCATGAACCCTATGTCGAACGCCGATATATGCAGGAGATGCCTCCCCCAAAGCCAAGCTATAGACGTGTCACTTCAGACTATGCACGCCCTATTGCAGGTGAAAGGCGAACATACACTACACCCATGGAGAGCCATGATCCCTATGCCCGCAGTGGCAGTGTCCAAGTCGCCGAGTATCTTCCTCGACGCCCAACATATGTAGAGGAGCACCCACTTCCCCAGGAGAGGGTGATTCGAACGTCGAGTGTTCGGCCTCAGCAAGCTCGGTATGAAGAACCGCACCACGACGTCGTCCAGCGTGTCGGAAGTATGCGGCCCGCTGGACCCAGTCGTGATGCCAGCGTCTTCGTGGACGAGAGACAAATGGGCGAGTACATCGAGCGTCCATACTACGTCCGGGAACGACGGTATTTCGAAGGCGACGATGGAAATCGCGTGGCCGTGGATGGCGGTTCGGAGTCGATTCAGCGTGTTCCGCAGCACTATTGATGGGCTTTTTTCTATATGCATTGTGATCTGCATATCTGCATGCCTTGGGCGTATTTTTTTTGAGTAGTCATGGGTTTCGGCCTAACGAAAATCTTAGTGATTTATGCATTGATACCACAGTCTAAACCCCTGTTGCTTCCAAGTCTCTCATTGAATATCCTAGACTCGCAACCAGTTGTCTTAATTCTTAATTTCCATTTCCGAATGATCACTTCATCTGTTTCATTAGCCAACGAGTAATTTACGAGTTGAGGTTCCAAATTGACTCTGACCAAACGAGCCCCTGATATCGATCAGGTAGTATCAACGACCTGGGCCAATTCAATAGTAGCAAGTCCAGAAAGCCATGGACATCGTGAGCATCGTGGATTTTCGCGGTAGGATTTAAGCTTTGATTCCTTGACTCTTTTGAGTTGGTTCTGTGTTCTCTTCCGAAGAGTTTCGAAGGGGCTCTGGCAATTTGGCAAAATATATTTAGACCAAAACCAGGCTCTTTACCTGGGTGGCCCCTCTGTAGTGCTTTGATTCAATATTTTTTTCAGTTGGCGAGTGGAAAATCGGTGCTTTGGCACCTGAGATGATGTTCGGTGTATAAAGTGAGAGGGGAAGGGACCAAGCTGAGACAGAATATAACAAACAATTGTTAACACCCTGGTCGGGTTGTTCGTGTGGGTAATTGTATTGTGGGCTCTGAAAGCTTCGTAGTATTTTGAACAATCTTTCATATTTTTAGCTCGTCCTGTCTGATTACCTGTTGTGGATGGTCTTTTCAGTTGGGCTTTCCAAGGTGCTGAAATTGACTCATCAATCTACAAAATGACCATCAACCTTCAACCACAAAAGACACTGATGTTTGAAGAAAAGGTCAATATTGACTATAGTAGCCAATGGCTTCCCAGTAAAGCGCCCGGGGTGAGCACCTTCCTAAACGTTAGGTACTGACTTTGATCGTAATTCTATCCGAGGTATACTTGACTGCCCCCATGCATCCCTTCTGGGGCCCCAGAATCGGGGGCGAGTGGCGATGGCACATGCAGTCAGCTTTCAAAGCAGGCTCTACGGCGGTCCATCCAGTCGGAATTGGGGTTGATGTATCAAGGCCAAGCTGAAGAGTGTTTGACCCACTCCGGGCCTGTACGAGAAAATGACGTCGACCACTTGGGGAAACTTGTCCTCCTCAGGCAGCGTACGTGGCCCGCAATACTACAACAGTACAGAGGGGACGTGGGACTACATGGGGTACTTTATTCGCAGCTCTCCTGAGGATCTGCCCCGTGGCCACCGCACATCACTGACACGACGTCGATTATTGGGTGTTTTTGTGACAGAGGTCCCCTAGGCATCAGCGGTATTACCACGATCCACATGCCGGGGCTGATGACCGCAGGCCCGCAGACTCGACAGGCTCGATCGGTGGCCGTGTCCGGGCCAGCCGGGCCAGTGTTGGGCGTCCTATCACTACTCATCATGCTTCCCTGATAGTGGACCCGGCCGAGATACATGCGTCGTACAAGGCTCTCTGTCCCGGGACCTATGAGAAGACCGCCCGCCGTTCGGGGAGTACGTGCATACAGAGACGCGGAAGGACTCGGATCCCGAGGATTCACGGGCTGAAACTTGGACTCTGGATCTGCAACGCCAAAAAGCCAAGTGCTGTTTTCCCCAGCAGAAAAAAGCAGGTTCACCAGACTGACCAGGCTCACCGGTGCTCACGTGACCCTCGCTTGAGAAGAATTCTATATAGACTCTAGAGATCTGTATTAATGGGTAGGATATAGGATCTACGGTCAATCGTAGCTCTGCGCAGACCCGGTAGAGAAAGACGGAAACCCCTACGACGGCATTCTCTCGGATCGGCCGCATTCCTCCTTTGCGAGGGAGGCAGTGCTGAAATGTGGATTCGGCCGCGACAGATGCACTTAAACGGAGAGACACTTCCTGATGCCCAGAGCTGGACTATGTATAACTATACTCAAACCTAGTTATTAGATTTTGAAAAATAGGGGGCACTCTTCACCAATTAGTAGGCCGAAATATACTCCGTAGGGCTACTGGCCGCTGGAATTGCCGTATTGAAATGACCCGCACAACTGACGACACTCGGATTGTCTACAATGGACGTTATTTACCACCATTTACCTTTTACCACCACCTAGGGTCAACGGAAGGAATCAATAATACATTATTATTCCCTTCGATTTCTGGTGTGTTCGATTAGGTACTTGGCTATGCGCCGGTGTGTTGGTCCGTTCCCCCCATCGATCGATCTTCGTTTCCACCATTCCCGAAACGCCCACACAGCGAGCGCCATTCCTATCCCTGTCGAGAACGGCAGCCTTACCTTTGAACCTTTCCACTCCACCTCCTCCCCCCCCAAACTCTCCTCCCTCTTTCCCCTCGATATCATAGGGGTGAGAGTGTGAAATCCTCCGATACTGGTCATGCACAAGATATCCAACTTCACGGGCCAGGCCCGTCATGGTTGGGAACGAATGACGCCGACTTTCGGGATGTCCAGACCTCACACCGACATGGCCTTTCGCCGGCCACACGGTGCTCCGCCTATGACTCCTCCGACGAGTATCGATCCCACCGTCAACCTATCGTTCAACGTCCCATTCTCCTCCACCTTGGCCGGTCCCGATGTCGAGGACGTGCTCCACGCCAGTCCCGGTGCTCTGCAGCGCTGGACCTTCCCCGAAGGCACCACAGAGGGCACGCCCGTGCACCAGCTGCCGGTACACACCAGCAACGTCGACGGCTTGCACATGTTATGCCGACAGATTACGGAAACCAGTGGTGGCCGGATCGAGGCCTCGTTCACATCCTCAGAGCCCAAGGCCTCACCGTCGCTACAACGGCGGCCCAACGGCTTGGTGACCAACGTCTGTGTCACTGGTGATGGAGAGACGGTGCGGAAGATGCGGGCCAAGATTTTGAATGAGACCCCCATCATGCTGGTATGTGGTTGAATTTTTCTTTTTCACACCCGCATCGTTGGGTGTGGTGCTTTGAGACTATCCCTTGCTAACATCTCGCCAACTATCAGCGATGCGCGACCGTGGACGTGGATATGCATTTGATCATGGATGGATCCCCGAAGGGCATTCGGGCCAGTGTGCTCGAGCACATGGACACCTTGGCCGCTTACACCGGCACCGACATATTTCTGCTGACACCCAAACTTCACGATGCGGACAGTGCGGTGGTTTCATCTTATGGGTATGCGTCTGATAGCGGCCTGGAGCAGCGTTTCCGAGTTGCCATCTATGGTGACATGGAGAGCTCCGAGCACGCTAAGACCCGGGTTCTGATCATGATCGATCAAATTGTGGGTTTTTGTGAATACGAGTTGGATGGCTACCAGACTAACACGGAGATAGCTGAAACGCCATGTTGACGCCATCAAGCTCGAGCTGACCATGCACACCTTGGTCTGTGGCCGCACCCGCAAGAACATCAAGCTCATCGAAGCTGCGACTGGCACTGCTATCTACTTCCCCCGCCGTTCCCACGAATCTTTGGTTATACCCCTCCCGGAGCGAACCGTCGAAGTGAAGATGAAGTGTACATCACGGGCGAGTCTCCGGAGCAGATTGCTCGGGCCAAGCAAAAGCTTCGAGAGCTGGTGATGGGAGTCAAGATCTATGTCAAGGACGTTGTGGTCAACTCGAGCAAGATCGACAACATCTTGCTCGACCGGCTGGACAAGGTTCGCAAGGTTATGGAGATGAACGGCTCCTATGTTCTCTTCCCGCAACTGGGCAGCCAGCGCGGTCTTGTTCGGATTCAAGGCACCGAGGTCCTGCATGTCGAGCGTACTGTTCGGGAGATCATGGCTCTGGTACGTTGGAAATGCGGTACGCATATTATGAGTATTCGCTAATGTTTTTTCAGGCCGGACAATTCTATAGCGCCTCATGGTGGATCATCATGCCCGATCCCGCCCAGGGCGGTGTTCGTGCCCCCTCCACTGCCGATGTTCGATCGATGCTCTCGGATATTTGTACCAACTCGGAAGCCGAAGTCAGCTTCGACAACCTGACGTTCACCATCAACGGATCCGACGATGCCGTCAAGGCTGCCATGACCGTTGTCAACCAGATCCCCTTCGTCACTCGAAGCCAATACCAAATGCGCGTCAAGATTGAGCTGGCCAATGAGCACAAGGAGTTTGTCAGTGGCAAAAAGAACGGCAAGATCAACAAGATCATGGGCCAGAGTGAGTCTCTTGTAACTCGAAAACCTTTGTCCACCGGTCTCTAACAAGCAAAAAGGCAACGTACAGATTATCTTTGACGGCTTTAACGAATATAACTTCTATATCGACGTGTGCGGCAACCAATACGAGTCTACCAAGAACGGTCTGGATTTGGTCGAACAGGAAATGCCCGCTTCCATCTCGTTCCATGTCCCTGACCAGTACCACAAGCGAATCATCGGCATCGGTGGGCAGCATATCCAGCGGATTATGAAGAAATACTCGGTCTTTGTCAAGTTTTCCAACGCAATGGACCGGGGTGGCATGGGCAAGGAAGATGACGACATCAAGGTTGACAATGTGATCTGTCGGACTCCTGCTCGCAATGCCCAGAGCCTGGACCTTGTCAAGCAGGAGATCATGGATATGGTCGAGAAGGTTGACGCCGAGTATGTTTCGGAGAGAGTTGTCATCAACCGCCTGTACCACCGCGAGCTGTTGGCCCGCATTACTGAGATTGACGAGTTGGAGAAGAAGTGGAATTGCAAGATTGAGTTCCCCAGTACCGAGCTAGCCAGTGATGTTGTGACCATCTCCGGCCCCGAGTACCAGGTCCCTCAAGCTGTCGATGCTCTGCTGGGCATGGTTCCGGAGAGCCATGAGCTTCACTTCCAGAGCTCCGTGGAGCTACGGGGTTACTTCAAGTCGCCAGACTTCATGGCGGACGTTCGGACCAAGCTTAAGGAGCAGTACGAGGTTGATATCAATGTGGACACCACTGCCGATCTTGCAGTTAAGGAGGAGGGCTCTGGTTCCGGCTCCGGCTCCGGCTCATCCTCGCCTACCCCTTCGCCGGAGGACCGTGTGGTTCTCGGCTACACCCGCAACAATGCTGGTGGTCTGAAGGATGCCATCGACTTCCTCATTTCCCGTCTTGTTGCTCACGGTCTCAACGCGAACACCGTCAAGGGTGCGATTCCTCGCCCCAAGTCGGACTCCTTCGAGGAGTCGCTGCCTTTCTTCGACTCCAAGCTGTTGCAGCATGCCCCGGCCCCGCTCATGACAGACTCACCCACGCGACCTAGCTTCGCCGACGAGACCAGCGAGCGCGGCTCGATCTTCGAGCGTCTCCGCAAGCCCGGAAGCATCTCGTCTTTCTCTTCGTTCATCGGTCGGAAGAACCACTCGGCTTCGCCAGGTTCGTTCTTCAAGCACGCCTCGAGCAATGCCTCGAAGGCATCGCTGGTCTCGATGGAATCGCGGGACAGCGGCTACCGCAACCCGTGGAATGACTCCGGGGTGAACCTCCCCGAAGACGACCTTCCGGTCCTGGGAAGCTCGCACAGTCACAAGAGCAGCAACAGCAATGGCTGGCCCGCACGCTTCGACACCAAGTTTCCCTTCGGCACGGCGCCTGGCGACATGACGCCCAAGCATGACCCACGCGCCTCTTTTGACAGCGGTCGCCCTAGCACTTCAAATTCTACTTCTGGATACCCGGCCCCGATTGGGCCACCGCGTTAAACCCCAAAACATCCATTTACAGCAGTATACCCTTTTGGTTGATTTATTTCCAGCGTGTGTGTTTCGGTTTTTATCATTGATTTATTTGGTTGTTTTCTGATTTTCTGTTGATTGATACCACGGAACGCAAGCAATGAAGGCGTCAGAAAAGAAAACGAGATATCCAAGATCTGCGTGAACTGGGGCGGAATTTACCGTTCCTTTGTCTTTGGATTTTTTTGGGGCGAGAGAGGACGTGATACTTTCCCTCTCCTTTCTCTCCCCTCCCTGTTTTGTGTTTGATGATTTGGGTGTGCATGGGAGGAAAGGGATTGAGTCTCAGTCTATACTCGACATGATACCAAGGGTCAGTCCGGTTTTCGCGGGAGTTTGTTATTGGTTTTTGAGTCCGTGTTTACTCTTTTGATATCCCCATCAATAAGATATGACCTTAGACGATTTCCACGACATAGCTAAGCTAGATTATGGTAGACCGTAGATCGTGAGCCGTGGGGGTAATCTCGAGATGACGTTACCAAGCGGGGTCGAACATCACCTAAGTCGTGTCACCACTTCCCATACTTCAATTGCAATTGATCACCCAGGAACATCCCAAGATGGCTGCATCATACCCGCGCCCCGACTTCCAGCGTAAAGCCCTGAACTGGGTCTCCCTCGACGGAGCATGGGACTTCATCTTCGATGACGCCGACATAGGCCAGTCGCAACAATGGCAACACCAAGGCATCCCAGCCCAAGCAGACAACAGCCAGAAACGGGAGATCAAAGTACCCTATGCATTCCAGACCCTCGCGTCTGGCATTAACCTCTACGAAGCCCACGAGGTAATGTGGTACGAGCGCAGACTGCAAGACATCCGCACCGCGGACGAGAAAGCCCGCGGAAACAGACTCCTTGTCCGCTTCGGCGCCATCGACTACGAGTGCACCGTCTGGGTGGACGGCAATCTCGTCGGCGGCCATCAGGGCGGCCATGTCCCCTTCGACGTGGACGTCACGGATGCATTCCGCTCAGAGACGACGACCGCGCGGTTGACCCTGCGCGTCAGGGACTCGCCATATGACTTGGCCCAACCGCGTGGGAAACAGTTCTGGAAACCTGTTCCGGAAAATATCTTCTACACTCCCACGGGTGGCATCTGGCAGTCCGTCTGGGTTGAGAGTGTGCCCGCTATGCGGTTGGCCTGCGGTAGCGGCGGGACTGTTCTCCGGTCGGATGATATTGGGAGTGGAGAGCTTCATGCTCACATCGCGGTGTCTGACCGGAAGGCGCGTGCTGAGTGTAGTGTTGAGATTGAGGCGAGTCTTGGTGGGAGCTTGGTTGGCAAGAACAAGGCTTCGCTTCCTGCGGAGCGGAACTGGGCTACTGTGGATCTGAGCATGAAAGTTCCTAATGCTGCAGAGCTGCGGAGTGAAGCGCCATTCAATGTTGATGGAGCTTGGCATGATGGTGTGGCTCTCTGGTCGCCGGAGCATCCGATTCTTTATGATTTGGTTCTGCGTCTGTACGATGCTTCGGGAAAGGTGGTTGATGAGATCGAGACAACGACTGGCATGCGCAGTCTATCCTGGACCACTGGCGATGGCACTTTCCGACTGAACGGCAAGCCTCTCTTCCAGATGTTGTGCCTGGATCAGGGCTACTGGCCCGAGACAGGCATGACGCCTCCTTCCTCCGAGTCTTTGAAGGCCGATATTGAGATGGCGAAGGCAGTGGGATTCAATGGATGCCGCAAGCATCAGAAGGTCGAAGACCCGAGATTCCACTACTGGGCCGACCGGCTGGGTTTCATCGTTTGGGGTGAGATGGCCAATGCCTATGAGTTCGGAAGTGACTATATCGAAAGAATGAATAGCGAGTGGACCGAGGCTGTGAAGAGAGATCTCAACCATCCATGCATCATTACCTGGACACCGAACAATGAGAGCTGGGCCTATACTTCCCTGAAGGATAATATTGGCCAGCGCAACCACATCCGCTCACTGTACTACCTGACCAAGTATGTCGAACCCCATCACCAAATAAAGAATAAAAATGATGTACTAACGAGAAGATAGGACCCTGGACCCTAGCCGTCCCATCAACGACAACTGCGGCTGGGAGCACGTCTTGACTGACCTCACCACATACCACGACTACGCCGACTCCCCAGAGTTATCAGCCACATGCTCAAAGATGGATGGGGGGATTCTAGGCCCAAAGGCAGGCCACGACATGTTCACCAAGCCGATCTATTCCGGTTTCTCCGGACACACCCTCCTGGACCCGGGTGCCCAGCACAAAGCAGGCGCACCCGTGATTTGCACCGAGTTCGGCGGCGTCAACATCGCCCCAGCCAAGGATGCTAAAGCTGGAGAGCGGGACTGGGGATACACTACCGCCGCTGATGAGGAAGACCTCTTGAGGCGCTTTGAGAAGCTGGTTATGAGTGTCGTGAAGGGTGGGCATACCTGTGGTATGGTGTACACGCAGCTGTAAGTTACATCTGCTCCGAGAGGCTTCGATAAGTATACTGATTCCTGCCAGGTGTGATGTTGAGCAGGAGGTTAATGGGTTGTACTCCTATGATCGCAAGGCTAAGGTTCCCGTTGACAAGGTCAAGGCTATTATGGATGCTGCTAGTGACTACTATTATCAGCATTTGCAAGCTCAAGGACCGAAGGGTTTGAAGAAGCTTTTGCATTCTCTGCACCGGAGCTAATGGGGAACCTTACTCCAAAGAATAATTCTGGAACTAAGGAGACCAGCAATTTTGGTTGAAAGGAGGTTGATTAATACACTGTCTTAAAAGAAGCATTGGCGTTCAGCGAGTTCTCACTAACTCGGTCCATTATCCGTTGGGGATCGATCCTCGCCCGTTGGGCTTGACGATCTAGCCCAGATATCAGCACCTCCCAATTGTAGCACAATGAGAAGTTTGAGCGTATGCCATGAAAAAGACATAGAAAAGGACGACTCGAAAGAGGAATAGAAGGAATATCATTGCGTAGCAAATTAGGGCCAATCAATGAACTGTGGGTCCACGGGTTGTTTTCCGATCATGTGACATGACGAAGGCGGGTGATCTTGGGATCGTCGCCTCCGCTTTGCGACTCCTCTCTTGCCTCGACAACCAACCTCAACGTCCTGCGTAACCTGGTCTGATTTTACCATGGGCGCTCTCCTGTCTTTGCCGCTACTGGCGGTGCCCAGTGTGGGCACGGTAAGTCACCCTCCCAGCCGAGTCTCTCGAAGAGCGCTTCGCTGATGCCTTCTCTCTCCGCAGCTCATCACCCTCGGCGGTTCATGCTGCGGTGCCGCTACCTGCTCTGCGGTTTGCAGTGCATGCGGCAAGTTTCAGAACAGGTATGACGCCACGACGCTAGAGGAAGAAAAAAGGAGGGTGACGTTCTAACGCGGACACAGTATGGCGACGCGAATCGCATATGCCTTTGTCCTCCTGATCAACTCGATTGCATCTTGGATCATGCTCACTCCCTGGGCACTCAAGAAACTCCAACACTTAACACTTGATTACATGGATATTAAATGCGACGGCAAAGAATGTCACGGCTGGGTGGCGGTCCACCGCATCAATTTCGGCCTCGGTCTCTTCCACCTGATCCTTGCTCTCTTGCTGCTCGGTGTCAAGACCTCCAGAGATAGCCGTGCCGCGCTGCAAAATGGCTTCTGGGGCCCGAAGGTTCTGTTTTGGATTGGGTTCGTCGTCATGTCGTTCTTCATTCCCGAGCCCTTCTTCTTCGTCTATGGCAACTACATTGCGTTCTTCTGTGCTATGCTCTTCCTGTTACTGGGTCTGATCCTTTTGGTGGACCTTGCGCACACATGGGCCGAGCTGTGTCTGCAGAAGATCGAGGACAGTGACTCACGCCTGTGGCGAGGCCTGCTCATCGGGTCGACGCTCGGCATGTACTTGGCTTCGATCGTCATGACCATCTTGATGTTCATCTTCTTCGCGAGAAGCTCGTGCTCCATGAATCAGGCTGTTATTTCGATCAACCTGATCTTGTTCCTGATTATCTCGTTTATATCGGTGCAGCCCGCCGTGCAGGAGTCCAACCCACGTGCGGGCCTGGCACAAGCCGCCATGGTCACTGTCTACTGCACCTATCTCACCCTGTCCTCCGTCTCGATGAAGCCCGATGACAACAACTGCAACCCCTTGATTCGCTCTAGCCGCACTCGAGCCCTCACGATCATTCTGGGTGCGATCGTAACCATGGCCACCATCGCGTACACAACCACGCGAGCTGCTACTCAAGGCATCGCTCTGGGATCCAAGGGCGGTCACAACTACATCCAGCTGGGTGAGGATGATAATGAGCACGGTTTGGTCACGCAGCAGCCCAACAGCCGTCGGGAGATGCGCGCCGAAGCTCTCCGGGCAGCCGTGGAGAGCGGCAGTTTGCCAGCCAGTGCTCTGGATGAGAGTGACGACGAGGACGAGTTCGAAACCAGCAGTAAGGATGACGAGCGTGGTTCGACTCAGTATAACTACTCTCTCTTCCACATCATCTTCTTCCTCGCCACAACCTGGGTAGCCACCTTGTTGACACAGGGATTGACCGTCGACACAACCATTGACTTTGCGCCCGTGGGTCGAACCTACTGGGCCAGCTGGGTCAAGATTGTCAGCTCCTGGGTGTGCTACGCTATTTACATGTGGACCCTGGTCGCGCCTGTTCTGCTTCCAGATCGCTTTGCTGCTTAGATTGGCCATGAGTTTGAACCCCCGCGCGTTCTGAGCGATAGTTAATTTATGTAACGTACATTGAATCATTGGCAGAAACCAACTTACTATCAGTTTTGAATAAGGAAGTCAGACACTGTAGACTGTAGGTAAAAACAAAGGCCCAGACCGAGCGAGATCTGTAGTTCAGAAGAAACTCGTGTGGGGAAGTTCTTGGCGGAGCTTCACGCGTAGAGTGCGACGCGCCTCGTTTCACCCGACACCATGGCATGAACCATGGCGACTATCCAGGCCATCGAGGCTCGCTCGGTGCGTGATCTGGCTTTTTGGCACTGACAAACGTTGTCTCTGACCAGCATGTCCCCAGGTCCACCAAATTCAATCCGGCCAGGTCATCATTGACCTGTGCTCCGTCGCCAAAGAGCTAGTTGAAAACAGTCTCGATGCGGGCGCAACAACCGTCGGTCGGTGCTCTCTTACATGTGCGCAAGCTAATGTATCTGGTATTAACCGCTTCCTTTCCTTTCAGAGGTCCGATTCAAGAACAATGGTCTGGATTTAATCGAGGTGCAGGATAACGGAAGTGGGATTTCACCAGAGAATTACGAGAACGTTGGTGAGCTTCGGGTCTTTACCTTTTGGATCTTTTGAAAGCGGATACTAACAGGACATTTCCTTTCAGCCTTAAAACACTATACGTCAAAGCTATCCTCATACGATGACCTGTCACGCCTCCATACCTTCGGCTTCCGCGGCGAGGCCCTCTCGTCCCTCTGCGCGCTTTCCGAATTCCACATCGTCACAGCCAAGGCAGATCAAGTCCCCCGTGCCAACAGACTCGACTTTGAACCGTCAGGAAAGCTCGACAAGACACAGATCGTGGCAGGACAAAAGGGAACAACGGCATCTGTAGAAGGGATCTTCAAGCGACTTCCCGTACGCCGGCGCGAACTGGAGAAAAACATCAAGCGAGAATACGGGAAAGTGTTGAACCTGCTCCACGCCTACGCCTGTATCAGTGCTGGGGTACGATTCAGCGTCCGGAACACCGTTGGTAAGACGAAAAACGTGGTGGTTTTCTCTACAAACGGGAACCGCACGACCAAGGAGAATATTGCGAACGTCTACGGAGCCAAGACTCTCTCTGCGTTGATTCCACTTGACCTAAAGCTGGAGTTTGAGCCCTCTTCTGTGACTCGCCGTGCGGCCAGCAGTGAGCCAGTCAATCAAATGGAGGTTCGCGGTCATATATCACGTCCCGTTTTTGGAGAAGGGCGCCAGACTCCGGATCGACAAATGTTCTTTGTCAATTCTCGGCCGTGTGGCTTGCCGCAGATTGCGAAGGCTTTTAACGAGGTTTACAAGTCCTTTAATGTCTCACAGTCGCCTTTTATCTTTGCCGACTTTCAAATGGATACGAATGCCTACGATGTGAATGTGTCGCCAGATAAGCGAACCATTTTACTTCATGATGCTGGAGCTTTGATCGAGTCATTAAAGACGTCTCTTACACAACTCTTCGAGGCGGCGGATCAGACGGTTCCCCAGTCACAGGTGCTGGGTTCTAAAACGCCGTCGACTAAGCAGCAAGCCTTAGGGTCCCTTCCGGGCTTTGTCACTGCTAGACAAGTCAGTCGAAGCGCTTCCGGAACCCCTACAAGGCCACCTCGAGATGCGATTGGTGATACATCTGCTGAGGAGGAGACGGAAGCTCCTCCTTCCGGTGTGCGAGATAACATGAAGCAATTCATGAGCTCACAGGATGCCTCGAGTCAAATTGAGATTTCATCTCCAATTAAACCGACCGTTCGTGTAGCTCGGAAAGCATCAAGGTCATCACTACCAGCAGTCTCTCCAGAGCAAGAGCCGGACTCCACGCCCGTTGAGCCTGCTGATGATACTCATAAACAAGGAGAAGAACAACCAATAAGGCCTCAACAAACAGTCAAGCCGCCTATAGGGCTTTCCTCCCAACTCTCCGAAGAAGAACAGACACCGGCCCAGCAGCTCCGAGACCCAGAAGATGCGCCCAATGTTGTCCAAAGCGCCTTTGATCGCATGCGGCCCCGTCGATTGCCGGCTGAAATGGCCACCATTAGCATCGGAGACCACACCGTGACATCTATGGTCGGTAGTGGCTTTCCACGCAAGCGAACCTCGGAGTTTGGGACCTCGACCAAAGAAATGCCACAACGCAAACGACGGATCCATACCCCGTCTCGGCCTAATATATTTGGAAAGCATATGAAGGCTTTTGCGGCCCCGGGAACGCAGGATGAAGAGGATGACGAGGAAGACGCCGAGGACTCAAGTGAAGACAATGAAGCGAATTTTCTTGACGATGAAGCTGAGGAAGTGGAAGACGAAGAGGAGGAGGAAGGGGCACTTGAAGCAGACCCCGAAGACGAACCCGAAGAAGAACCTGAAGATGTCGAATACGTTCCGGAAGACAATGGGGATCGCCACGACGACGATATTGAGACTGGCCGCGAAGTCCAAAGCCCTACAGAGCAATCTGCCGGTGCAGAGGGACCTGCTCTCGACGAAGTTGAGAAAAAAGCGCAAGAAGAAGCGCTTGTCCAGCGACTCATTGACCAAGCCGAGGAAAACGCCGTTCTTCCCCAAGAAACCAATGCCAGTCGCGCGAACAAAATGAACAAGGGCGCCGCACATCGCGATGCTACTGTCAACCTAGTCAGCACTATCGATGCATCAATGACCCGACTCCAGTCACAGATGACCAAGTTACGAGAAAGCCTTCACCCACGCGATATATCATCCAAAAAACATGATGCCGATCTCACAGACGAGAAAACCGCCGAAGATCGACTCTCGCTTACAGTGAGCAAGACGGATTTTGCTCAGATGCGAATCATCGGCCAATTCAACCTCGGCTTCATCATCACTGTCCGGCCCGGTGTGGATCACGACGAGCTCTTCATCATCGACCAGCATGCCTCGGATGAGAAGTTCAACTTTGAACGTCTGCAGGCCGAGACAGTTGTCCAGAACCAGCGGCTCGTGCGACCACAGCGACTAGACCTGACCGCCGTCGAGGAGGAAATCGTGCTAGAGAACCGTGCATCCCTCGAAAAGAACGGCTTCATCGTGACAATCGACGAAAGCGGCGAGGAACCTATAGGACGACGGTGCCAGCTCGTCTCGCTGCCTCTGAGCAAAGAGGTCGTCTTCGGCTCGCGGGATCTGGAGGAGTTGATTGTGCTTCTATCGGAATCCCCCGTCACCAACGACATCGCCGTGCCACGGCCCACGAAGGTACGCAAGATGTTCGCGATGCGCGCCTGCCGCTCGAGCATCATGATCGGGAAAACCTTGACCACGAAACAGATGCAGCGGGTGGTGAGAAACATGGGAACCATCGATAAGCCGTGGAACTGTCCTCACGGCCGACCGACGATGAGGCACTTGATGAGTCTGGGACAATGGGACGAATGGGACGAGTACACAGGTGAAGACGAAGACGAGGCGGGAAGCAGTTTAAATATGTGGCGGCGATACGTGGAGGAAGAGTGATTATACCCAGTACGCTCTCGTATATACAAAGTTCACCACCAGTGCAACCAACTTCTCGTCTCCTTCTTCTTCCCATTACCTCCATTCCACAATCCATACTGTCCATTCCCCTCACCGAGCCCATTAACCCCATTCATCCCACCGCCGTCCATCTCCTCCTCATGCACTTCATCCTCCTTAAGCTCAACACCATCCATCATCTCCTCCAATACCAAAAGATCCCGTTCAATCATCTCCGCCCAGTTCTGCACATCTCCAATCTCCTTTAACCCCTCGCGCGTCTCATCTGCAAATCCCGACCACTGCGCATTCTGTTTCGCCAGTCGCGCCGTGTGCTCCGCCAGCTCGGCCTCCTGTCTGTCCAACGCTGCCGCGTTGGATGTGATCGTGGCTGCGCGGTCGCGGAGAGGCGCTTCGAGGTTTGTGCCGACGGAGTGGAGCGTTGCGGTGAAGGCGGCCAAGGCTTCTTTCTTTTGTTGTTCTTCGGTGGACGGGAGTTCGGTGGTGGGGTCCGTCATGGTGGAGTGATAAGATGTTTATATAGTTTTTTGGATATATATTTGGGGCTGGGTTTGCAGAAAGGTGGATACGCTTATGTCTTCTCTGTTTAAGAGTTCTCAGGTGAGGTTTCGCTGTTTTGAAGATATGAACTCGATATAAATATTGCGGAGGCCGATCTGCAACCCCACTTGGCGTGGCGCGCTGTCAGCCTCTCGTTGATGTCGGCACATGCACGTCGTGTCCAAGGTTGGCCGTTTGGACCTTTTTTTTTTTTTTTTTTTTGGCAAATTACGCAGGAGAGTGTCTACTAGTATAAAGGAGGTCGATATTAAACACCAGAGATTCCCCCTCTGGGCATTATCAGATTGAATGCTATGCTCCCGGGATAGAACGGTTTTATGAACAAGAAAAAAGAGACCCGAAGCACAAAAAAAACCCCCGCTTGAACAGCCCTCGTCAATGCAAAAAGTCGCTCGTAAAAGAGAAAATGCCTCCGGTAGAAAGATCAAAAGTAGGCATTAGTAACACAGGGTCGAATCCGTTCCGTATTAGGAAACGTTTTGACTCGAGGAGAAATAGGTGACTTTAAAGAACCCCCGAAAGAACAGCCTCGGTAGCTACAAATGTATGTTAGTAAAGATTCGGAGAGATTGCTAAAAGGGAAAAAGGAACATACCGGAGTTGATATATGGCCTCTTGAGGTCCAAGTTCACGCCGAAGCGTCTCTCGAGCTCTTGCTTGATGCTCTTCTTCGTCACGGTCATCAGGTCGGCCGTGCGGAGGATCTCGCGGATCTCGCTCAGGATGGAGTCGTCCGAGGGCAGGTGGCTCAAGTCCTCCATACCCATGTCCATGTCCATATGGCGGCTCATCATCTCAGAGGGCGCGACGGAAATGCGCGAACCCGAGTTAAGCAGCGGGAGATCCAGCTGTGAGACAGGGCGAGAACCCGGGGAGGGGTATTGATATTGCTGCTGGTGGAAGGGACCCATGTTGGTGCCATAGGAGTAGCCCGAGACCTCGGAGCGGTCGTCGCGCGAAGTCTCCGCACCCCATAGCTCGTTTTGGTACTCTTCCCAGCGCTTTTTGGGGATGGAGGCCGGATCGAATTTGCCTTCGTCGGAGATGAGGACCTTGCGGCCCTTTTCTCCGGTGATGATACGCGTGTTACCCCAAGAGAAGTCGTCCATGTTCCAGAAGGAGTAGAGTGGCAGGGCGAGCGAGAAGACTGGGATGGCTAGGATGTAGATGAGCATCCAGCCAATCATTTCCCACTTGCGTCGGAGGATGAAGATCAATGCCTGGAGACCGTAGATGACACCCAGAAGAACGAATGAGATCCATGGAATGTTATTCGTGTCCGTGATAATCCAGTAAATCAGGTAGATGATGTAGGCCACGGTGACAGGCTGGATGACGGTACTGAGCAGGTCGACGAAGACAACGAAACGCATACTGAAGCAGCAGAACCCGCACAGCTGTTGCAACGGAATCAGTTCCATCAGGTTATGGACGGTGGAGTTAATCCATCGACGACGCTGAGACAGGAAGACGGCGAAACTCTCAGGTGCCACAGTCCAAGCATGGGACCGGAAGATGTACTTGGTCTTGAACTTGGGGTGATGTTTCAGAAGGAGTGTTGTCAGGTATCGATCCTCACCCAGATGTAGCAGGTTCTTCATATGCAGGGTATCCACGCGAATTTCCGAATAAGCATCAATGATTTCCTTGCTGACGAAAAGTGGTTTGCCGGTCTCCGCTGAACGGACGCGGTACATACTGAAACAACCGGGCAAACAAGTAACGGAACCGAAAAGACTCTCGAATGCCTTGGTAAGGTTGTGAGAAATGTAGTACTCGTATACTTGAATCATTGTGATCATGGACGTTTTGGCGTTGGACAAGGCCGTCTCTCCGCAAACACCGATGAGACGAGTATCAGAGAGGAACGAGGAAACGAATCGTGTGCCGGCATCTGGCGCAACCACCGTATCGGCGTCGACTTGCAGAATGTACTCGTAGAATGTGGGATTGACGCCGATAATGTTCCGAATTTGATGATGCATCTCAAGCTCCATCGGGCTCATGGGAAGGTTGTAGTGGACACGGTTGAGGAAACGCATGAGCACCATCTGGGAATCACGCTTGCCACGGTTACCCGGGCGAGATACCTCCGAAGGCTTTCCAACCTTGACGACAACCAGGTAGGGAACAATATGACCCTGGACTTCGTAGAGACCCGAGTAGACTTTGGCCATGTTGTGCTGCTTCATACCTTCACCCAAACTCTCGAAGCTGAGAGGCTCAGGGTCGACGGCCTCGGGCACACCCAGAATGTCGAGGACAATGCGAGGAGTGGGTCGGTCGTTACCCTGGCCGATAATCATACCGTCACAGATAACCAACAGGAGTTTGCGCTTGTCATCGTAACGCATGCGCGCCATGGAATCGATAGCACGACGCAGAGAGTCTTCATCCTCGGTGTATGCAGGCACCTGACAGATGATGAACTTATCTAAGTTCTCAGGCAGGTTTTTCTTTCCAAATTGCAAGGCAGCAAGGAACTTGAAGGTGATGATAGTGCACAGCACGATCGAGATTGCAAGGATGAAGTACCGGGCAAACTCGCAGCGAGGCGAATTTCTCGTGTCAACATGACCGACAAAGAACAGATTGTCAAGACACAGCTGCATGCGCTCGCGCATGCCCGAATCAAAATCAAGATTGTTGTAGAGATCAGTGACGTCGGAGCCAGACTTTTGCTGGAAGAGCTGAACGAGGAGAGGGTTCATGTAGTTCGTATTGATACCGCTGGTGGAGACGTTTTTGCCCGCTGGTTCACGTGGGACACGGGGGCCCGCAATGTAATAAGTCATATCGTAGACCTTCCCATTAATGCTCACGATGTTGTCGCCGTCAGTTGCCAGCGTCTGGATGTACTTGGGAGTGTAGCCGACGTAGCCCTTCTTGTAATTGGCACGCAGCATAACCATTTGCTCGTAGAACCAATCCGGACGGGAGTCGTTGGTCCAGTAACGAAAGTCATGGTATTTGGCGTTGATATCAAAACTCGTCGAACTTGTAGTCTGAGTGGTGTCATTCAGGTTAGATCGATAATCCAAAGGCACACTGGGGTCAACATGTCCATCCACACCCTGGCATAACGCTGAAACCTGGACAGGGAAAAGGTTGGTCGCATCGGTTCCAGCGTAGTTCTGAAGGGCCTTGTGCGGGACGATATCGGGATAGTGAGTGGGGATAAAATCGCCCAGATTGAACACAACACCACGAATGGCGATAAATTCGCTCTCGCCATCCTTGCCATTGTGAATGCTAAGTTCTCCTTTCGAATACACATGCTGAGTCGGGCAGACCAATCCAGGGAAGGCAACGATCATGAAAATGGCGACTGCGCAAGCAAACCAGATGATCATGTTGATTGCGAGCTTCTCACGCCAGGCAACGCGGACGTCCTTGCGTTTCATGCGACCGAAAAACTTGATGCAGAAGTCTGGAATGTACCAGGTCAAGAGATAGACCAGTGCCATCCAGCGTTTGCGAGATCCTGAGACTGGGACCTCGTCGACCTCCTCCATTTTCTTCTCATTATTCTTCTCCAGCATCTGTTCTCTCGTCTCGAAGTTTCGGAACATATCGCCGGAGTTGAAGGCAGAGGCACCGGCATCAGAGCGTCCATCCAGGTCGCGGCTGCCAAAGTACCCTTGTTTCGTTTCGTCCCCATAGATGAAGGCTCCAGGCGATTGATCAGCCGGGTTGAGCAGACGAACCTTGGCATCCGGATTTCCACTGGCGTTGAGTTCGTCCTCATCAGAGCCTGTGATTCCGTAGGAGCGGACCACCCGCTCACCAACCTTGGCGAGATCTGCCCAGCACCGCTCGCTCAAGAAGACGCCGGTGCTTCCCACACGGGCCTCGTTGCCGGGCCATCGTCTTTCGTCCAAAACGACCTCGGACTTTTCTTTGTCGCTTCCTACCACAATGTTCCCAATTTCCGCCAAACCCAGGAACTCTGCGAATGGGAGGAAGACGCTGAAGTCGGCGTTTCTCAGACGTTGACTGATCTCGGCGATGCCGAAAGTTTGAACCTGCATACGCACACATTTGCTGTCAAACTGGTTTGCAATACGGCGGTCATTGGGTTTCAAGCAGATGACAAAGTACGGGTTCAGGTTCGGCGCGCTCAGGCACTTATTGATGATCTCGAGCCCAGAAAGGAACTGGCCAGATGCTCCCTGCGTATGGCCCATCATACCACTCTTTCTATTGCCAGCGCCGCGCCTGGAGCTGGCCGCCTGGCTGTCGTGATCATCCGCTTCCTCGCTATCGGTACGAGAAACAGCAGGAACGCCAAGGCGAGCTTGCTGGTCATACTTGCGTCTGGCCATACTGGGCATCCGCATTGGCTTCGAAGAGACTTGCGCCTGCATAATGGCAGTCTTTTCCCGCGGGTGAGAAACAGTCTGCAATGCTTCTTGGCCGAAAAGATCTCGAACAAAGTCGCTTTGGGCAGATTTCATCAAGTTCATCAAATCTCCCGAAACGATCTCTCCGTTCTCCTCGATCAAGCCATGGACAGAGTAGTCCACCTCGCCAGCAAAATGCTTAACGGTGAAGGCCGAGCGAGCCTGCGACACATAGCCAGTGCTACTCGCGCCAGACGAATCAACCGAGATAGCCGGATTCTTGCCGTCGAACCTCTTGTGAACGCTTTCGAGGAACTGGGTATCGGATCGCCCACGGCGCGTCTGGTCATCCAGAATGCTCAATAGACCATTGCCATGTTTTAGAAGTCCGCGGACAGTGTCGACATTGTCGAAATAGCTGGTCGCAGCCACCGAGATCTCCTCACGATCCAGAATATCGGCCTTGCGCTCAAAGAAGGACTGCAGGCAGTAGTTGTAGAGAGATTCGGTTGCCGCATTGCTCAGCAGCTGGTCCAGCGTCGACCCGGTGGAAGGAGCCTGAGCGAATCCAGGGAAGTCGACGATGGAAATGGTGTTTGCCACGCTATCCTCGGCGGCGCAGATTTTCTGGTTCACAGTCTCAATGACCCAGGTAACCAGGAGCGAGTAAATAGTGCGAGCAAAGCCGTCGGCGTTTTCTCTTGCGCCTTTGGGGTCTAGCATGACCGTCACGCGCTCACGATGGATGGTCTTGGTCTTGTAACCAAGGCTGTTTTCCAGGGCCTCCACACTGAGACCCAGGAATGCAGCAATGATGTTGAGGGACTGCTTGTTCTTGACAACCGTGACCATCTCGCCGCCCTCGTGAGAGTAACCACCACTCTCCTCGGCACCCGTAGTCGTAGACTGCCCGGACGTAAAGTCCAGCTGTCCAATATGAAGGATACTGGCCAGAACCTGGCAGATTTCGGCAATCTCACCCCGAGAGAACTCGAGCTTACGCAAAGCGGTCTTGAAGTGCTGGAAACCCTCTGCATCGTTGACTCCGACTTTCAGCTGCGTCGGGTGACCGAGATAACGCCAACGCTTGTGGTTTATCGAGCCCGAAGACAAACCGCCGCCCCTGGTCTGAATGTGAATGGAATTGTCGAATCCCAGGTGAGACTTTTCGGCAGCGCTTGTACCAGCCAAAAGGTAGTAGAGCACATGGAAGCTTCGCTCACCGGTGGGCACGGAGGAAAGGCGGCTCCGCTCCAATCGGTAGTCGATGATCTTACCACCGATAAGGGTCGGGTTGACGGAAGAGGAGCCATCGTACTGCAGTTCAAGAAAAAGACCGGCCTTGGAGGCTGTCGGAGTGGTCACGGATTTGGTGGTGGTAAGAGTATCGAAAACAAAGGCGGCGTACGATAGCTTAGAAGAGAGCGGAGTTGAGGAAAATGACAGAAAGGAAGATAGCAAGTGTGAGCGAATGGTAGTTTTCCCGGATCCACTCTCTCCTCTGAAGTCCGAGTCAGCTGTTATTCCTTGTATCACGTTCTCGCGATTCGCTTACAAAAACACCACAGCCTGGTTCTCCGCGCGCGCTCCCAGTCGGGTGAAAGCACGGCGCGCCAGATCCTCCGCTTCCCCAGCGGCACTGCCTTCCTTTGCGCCATCTGGGCCTTTTGTTGCCGAGGTGTACGTATTCAGTGAGATCAATGCCTGGGAAGAGAGATGCGCAGTCGGTAAGCCGACATGGAAGCTGTGCTGGTTAGCATATGGAGATGTGCGGAGCAGGAGCGATTGACGTACCGGCTAGCGAGATGTGCTGTCAGATGAGTATCAGATTGGAGATGTGCGGGGAGCGAGGGTAAGGAGGACTGGGCATGGGCCGGAGTGCCTCCGGTGGTGTTGCCCGCCATGTTGGATGCTGATATCCGCACTGAGGCTTCAGCGGGATGGAGAAACGAGCGTACGACCACCGATCAGGGGTGGTCCTCTAGAAAATCGACCGTGGCAGTCTCGATACGTCTCGGAATGTCCAGATGAACGTGGTGTCTGGAATGTCGGGAGGAATGAAAGACCCCTAGCAATGGGTCGAGGTAGCGTTCATGAGAAGGCTCGAACCGAAGGAAGAAGAGAGAAGCAAGCTCGGGGATCACAAAAAAAGATAAGAAGGTCCGGGGGATGTGTCGCAGTGTATTGATACCGGTAACGCACTAAGAAGACCCGAGAGGACCGAAAATAGACGGTAATCGAAGGGGATGGATTGGTGTCTCGGCATATCCACTTTTTTTTTTCAGAACATGTGGTGTGGATTGGGAGCTAAAACGAAGCTACCGGGCTCTAGTCACTCGCCTATACGACGAGTATTCCACCACTGCGCCTGGTGGATGAATCAATGCCATCGTATGGCCGATCGGTCGGAACACCAGAGATTTCCAACGGCACAGTGCCACAGAAGCAGTTGTTGACACCCTACGCGCTAATCGGTTCGGGTCTCAAGTACATAAACACGGCTCCACCCGAAGAGGGTCTGGTCCCTGTTTCCACTCCGTCCCCGTTACATGCATTTCGTCTGCAGCCGAAATAATCTTTGCATCCCTTACTGTCAATGCGAAGTGATACATAAATAGTATCGGCTTCGGACATGTCAAAAACTAGACGAACGTTGGAATCCGCTATAGACAAATCTGGCCTAACGAGGTGGATCGATCTCCTCGACGGGGCCGTGAAACTAGGGGGTTCCTGGCTGAACATTCTGGCCGTATGATGGAGCTGTGCTCGGTACATATCCCTAGGTGGCGAACGGGAACATACTCAGTACTCAGTACGGGCCCCCCTCTTTGTGAGACATCCCAAATATAGATGTTAGTTCAGAACGGGTCGGGAGCCCCATTCGGGATCGCCTGATTGGGTCAGAAGTATATGCCGCCGCGAAACCCTGACAGATCCCGGGTGAAGCAAATAGTAAACACGCCTTTGCAATCACAATGGGAAGCGCATTTACGTATCCTAGGGCCATGCAATGGAAGCATGAACGATATTCTACTCCCGCTCGTCTGCTCCTGAAACGCGTACGGATTTCCAGGCCTCGAAGCAAAGCAAAGCTTGTCAGCTCCTAGGACGATCACCAGATCGCCGGTATTGTCACATTTCCACTTGGACCCCGTACTCCGTATTTTTCACCTGTTCTCCCCACGCCCACGACTTTCTAACCACCTTATCTCCGTTTTTCTCTCCTGTTGATTCCCTTCTGCCTCATTTGTTTCCCTCCCCTCGGTCAACTTCCCTCCTGTCGCTCGCTCAATTCTTCGGAGTATACACCCTGGGTATTTCGCTTTGTTGTTCTGCCGATCACCCCGTATACACTCCATTCCAAGCTCGCGCGATCTGCGATCTGTCACTGCTCCCCCAGAAAGTTCTCCCCTCGATGCTGGTGTGGTAACCTTCACACTGGGAACTCAGTGACCGCTGGGACTGTCCTCTCACTCCAGGCTCGCCATGTCGAACCGCTATTCGGTCTTTTCCAACCAGTCCGCCGGGCTTTCGGCTGGACCTCGGCCGGCCTCTCAACATGCAACCCAGGTCTCGACCACCACTCTGCTGAATGCCCTCCACTCTTTTTACAGCGCCGGTCAATCATACCAGCTGGATGCGGGCACCAGCTTGGTGGTGAACACCTGGGTGACGGCCGCCACAACCCTCCCCGATGGCCGCAGTGGTGCGACTGTCGATCGCGACATGGCCGTCCGGGCCTGGGAACACGCCCGGAGGCGAGCAGAGGATGGTTGTGTGGTTCTTTGGTAAGACTCGCCCACCGAATCTTCTTCTTGGGAAAAGCACGCTAACACTGTAGCAGCTCACTCCACCAGTCGACTCCGTCTCTGCTGGAGCCATTCATTTCGGCGCTGCCAATCTCCACTCCGGAGGTGGCATTGACTGCTCTGGCCGCTCTACGGCCCTTCGTTTCCGCCGTCACCTCGTTTAACCCGTCGTACTCTCTACATTCTGCCCTCTCCGCTTCCTACACATTGACACTTCAGGGGACCGTCGTCGGTCTTTCTCTGGCCCTGTCGACCTCCGGCATCAATGTGCGCAAGGGTCTCCTCGAGATCCCCAAAGAGTCGGGCTTCCGTGCATTCGATGCTTTCTATTACCTTCTGACATCTGCTTCCACCCCCGCTGAGCGCGAATTCTTGGATCTGCAAGACCCCTCGGCCTATGCCCTCCTCAACCGATCCGGGACTTACTCACCTCCGTCTTATCTGCCCACCGCCGATGATACAGCTTCGGCTGAGGATTTTAGAGCCCACTTGAAGGCTATTGGCATAAGAGGAGCTACTCACCGAGGTTTGCTCACCGTTCTTGCAGGCCTGCTCAAGCTCGGTAATGCAACTGGATTGGAGGTTGACCAGGAAGAGCTGGAGGAAGTCTGTGAAGATGTAGGCGGTCTTTCGGGCGTGGATCCTGAGGTTCTATTGCACAAATGTTCCACCGACGAGCGTGAGGTCCTGATTGCCGGGATCTACGAAGCTCTCGTAGACTGGGTCATCAGCAAAGCGAACGAAGCCATTACAGCTGACATCCAAAGTGCGATCGAGAATGACTCCAGCAATGGCGGTGCAGGCGCGGCTCATGTCGTCAACGAAGACACGGTCACCCTGACTGTGATTGACATCCCGCGCCCAGCTCTGGGCAAAGCGATCGCAATGAGAGGCGTGTTTGACGATGATCTTGGCCTGAATGCTGAAATGAAGGAAGATGGAATCACCATTCCACCCGTCGGCCAGTCCGTCGTCACCGAAATGAACACGGCGGTAACACAAGTCGAGGCTGATCTCGGTGGCACGACCAGCCCCGCTGGGCGGGAGCGTGAACACGAACTCGACCGGCGCCAAGGAGTGTTGGAGAAGGTCGGAGTGGAGGCTGAGGCGGATTCCTTCTTGCGGCAGCTCTTGTTCCCGGTCGAGACGGAGGGTATTTCTCTCGGCAAGCGTGGACGCTTCGACCTTCCCACCACTCTCGGTAGCAGCCGTGTCTGGTACCACCTCTCCATCCACCCAACTGATGACCTGCCCGGTCAGCTCAATATCTCCTCTGCAGCCTGGTCCGCTGGTGCCGTGTCGCGCCAGTTGCGGGATTGGCGACTTCCCGAGTGGGCCAACCGCCGTCTTAAGCAACTCGATTTCACTGCTGATTTCGACGTCGAGGAGTTTGTGGCTCGCTACGAACGACTTGGCTGCACTGAAGGCCAGGATGGTGTCGAAAACTGGATCCTTGAGAGAGGCTGGAGTAACGGCGACGCCGTCGTTGGCCACCAGCGAATCTGGATGAGGGAGGGTGCATGGTGGGAGGCGGAGTCCATGCTCGATCTGAAGCCGGCTGAAGCTCTTCAAAATCCTTTCGGCTATGGTGCTGCCGTGTACGAGCCCGGCCTCACACCAGACGGCTATCCTGTCGGCGAGGGCACGAACCTACTTGGCAGCCAGAACGATTTGATCATGCAACAATCAGTGATGGCTCCAAGTGTCATGGGAGGTGCCAAGTCAATTGCTCCCAGTGCCCCGTACACCCATGCTGCCAATCCTGGTGACTATGGTCTTGGCCACAAAGGCGACGACAACAAAGGAGATATTGCCTACTACGACGACTACGGCCGATACATTGGCGACCTCGATCCTGAATTTGGTGACCCGAAGCACATTGAGAAGAAGAATATCACCTTTGGTCGTCGGATGTGGACTGCTCTTGTCTGGGCTCTTACCTTCTGGATCCCATCCTTCTTGCTCCGCTATGTTGGTCGCATGAAGCGCCCAGATGTGCGGATGGCGTGGAGAGAGAAAGTTGTCTTGGTTTTCTTGATCTTGATCTTCAATGGGGTTGTCTGCTTCTATATTATGGCCTTCGGTGATCTCCTATGTCCCAACAAGGACAAGGTGTGGAATAATAAGGAGGTCAGCTGGCATACCCAAGATAACAACTTCTTCGTCAGTATCCACGGCCGGGTGTACGACATTTCCAAATTCTGGCGGAAGCAACACAGTGACGACGGCACCGACACGACTAGTTCCAACATGAAGCCGTTTGCTGGCTTGAACATGGACGCTTATTTCCCTCCGCCTCTCACTGTGTACTGCTCCGACTTTGTCACGAAAGATTACGTTAATTTGCAGAATAACGACACCACTGCCGTCTCGGATCCCACCGCCGTGCACAATTCTGGACCGTACCTTGAACCAAACCCGAATACCGCCTTGCACAAAATCACTTGGTATCAGAACATATTCCTGCCTAGTATTTCTGAATACTACAAAGGCGAGCTGGTTTGGACGAGAGATACCGTTCAGAACCAAGCCAACAATGACCAACGCTACTGGGTCATTAACGATCAAAAGATCTACGATCTCACAAACTACTTCTACACTGCCAATTTGATGAACAATGAAGACCCCTACACTTGGTTGCCAAGCTCCGTGACCAAGCTCTTCAAGGACAACATGGGAACTGATGTGACGGACATATGGCCGGATACGGAAGATTTCAGGAAAGCCCAGACGTGTCTGGACTATGTCTTCTACAAAGGCAAGGTTGACTTCAGAGACAGCCCTAGGTGCACGGTGAACAACTGGATTCTTTTGTCTTTCACTATCCTGATTTGCAGCGTTATCCTTATCAAGTTTTTGGCGGCTCTGCAATTAGGTTCCAAACGCCGACCGGCACCCCAGGACAAGTTCGTCATCTGCATGGTCCCCGCTTACACCGAAGGCGAGGATTCCCTGCGGAAGGGCCTTGACTCGCTCACTGCCTTGCAGTATGACAACAAGAGAAAGTTGATTTTCGTGATCTGTGATGGTATGATTGTTGGTGGTGGAAATGACCGGCCGACCCCTAAGATCGTCCTTGATATCCTCGGCGTGGACCCCAAGATGGATCCGCCTGCGCTGCCTTTCAAATCTGTTGGCCAGGGCAGTGACCAGCTCAACTACGCCAAGGTTTACTCTGGTCTGTACGAGTACGAGGGCAATGTTGTGCCCTATATCGTGGTGGTCAAGGTCGGCAAAGAGTCTGAACAGAGAAAATCGAAGCCCGGTAACCGTGGCAAGCGAGACTCGCAAGTGCTTCTGATGCATTTCTTGAACCGAGTTCACCACCGTGGCCCGATGTCACCCATGGAACTCGAGATCTTCCACCAGATCAACAACGTCATTGGTGTGGACCCGGAGCTCTATGAGTACTGCTTCATGGTCGATGCCGATACCAGCGTCAAAGAAGATTCGTTGAACCGTTTAGTGGCAGCCTGTGCCGCCGATGCTAAGATTGCCGGAATTTGTGGTGAAACCAGCCTTCAGAACGAGGAACGCAGCTGGTGGACCATGATCCAGGTGTACGAATATTACATCTCCCATCACTTGTCCAAAGCATTCGAGTCACTCTTTGGTAGCGTTACTTGTCTGCCTGGATGGTAAGCTTCCGTTTCGAGTCTTGCGTACGCTACCACCACTAACTATCATCTAGTTTTACCATGTATCGTCTTCGAACCGCGGACAAGGGCCGGCCTTTGATCATTTCAGACAAGGTCGTTCAGGAATACGCAGACAACGATGTCGACACTCTCCACAAGAAAAACTTGTTGTCTTTGGGTGAGGACCGATTCTTGACGACCCTCATGACCAAGCACTTCCCTACCATGCGATACAAGTTCATTCCCGACGCCTACGCAAGCACAGCTGCCCCTGAGACCTGGGGTGTGCTCATGTCTCAGCGACGTCGTTGGATTAACTCGACCCTCCACAACTTGGTGGAGCTGGCGGCTCTCAAGGATCTCTGCGGTTTCTGCTGCTTCAGTATGCGCTTTGTCGTGCTTGTAGATCTTATGGGAACAGTCATTCTGCCTGCTACGTGTGTCTACTTGGGATATCTGCTCTACCGTGTCGGTAGTCACACCGGTCCATTCCCATTGATTTCGATCATCATGCTTGCGGCTATCTACGGTCTTCAGGCGATCATCTTCCTCTTCAAACGCCAGTGGCAGCACATCGGATGGATGATTATCTACCTCCTGGCGTTCCCCATCTACAGTTTTGTCCTGCCGCTGTACTCGTTCTGGAAGCAGGATGATTTCACGTGGGGTAGCACCCGCGTGGTTATCGGCGAGAAAGGTGATAAGCGTGTCATTGCGGTGGAGGATGAGACCTTCGATCCTCGCAGCATTCCTTTGCAGCGTTGGGACGACTACGCCCTAGCCAACAACCTTCCTGGCCGCCGCGGTGAACTTACCGGCTGCCAAGAGAAGGTCCACTACACTGGTGGCTACATGGATGACATGGCCATGGAGATGGACGATATGCACTCGCAGTATTCGTCAGTCAAGCCAGCCTCGACCATTTTGACCGGCTTCCCCGGCCAAGGACGTCACGCTGGTCCGTACATACCTCCGCAGTCACCGGCTCCCTTCGTCGGTGGCAACGTGCCCGGTAACCGCAACTCCCACATGTCCAACTTTTCCCGCTACACCGACCTCCCTCAGATGAGCGGTGGCCACCCTGCTCCGGCTTCTCGGCCCATGTCCGTTGCCAACCTGGGCGGTTACCAGGATCACCCAGGCCACCAAAGCCGTCACAGTCTTGGTGTGGTGAGCACTGATAACCTCCTCGCCTCACGCTCTCGCAGCCCACTGGCCCAGTACCCTCCTTCCCGACCCGCTAGCACCGCATTTGACTTCCGTGCTGCCAGTGGAAGTGGACCCGATGAGGGGTCCATTACCGAGGCCATTCGTGGATGCCTGGCAGAGGTTGACCTCGACACAGTTACCAAAAAGCAGGGTAAGTCTCTTCCCCACTCTTTTCAAAGCTCCAAATAACTAACAAAGCCTTAGTCCGCGTCCTCGTCGAACAACGCCTCCAAACCTCGATCACCGGCGAGAAGCGAGCCTTCTTGGACCGCCAGATTGACCACGAACTGGCCAATATGTGATTTGGCAACACTCAGTTGCGCACCTAATTTCTCCTGTAATATGCATATCTACAGCGCCGCAATTTCTTGAAAAAATAGTCTTTCGGCATGTCTGGCGTTTTAAAGGATTGTGTCTTGTTTTTATTTTTCTTTTTGCCCTGCACATTGAGCGAGTTGATCTTACCGGGGCTTTCGGGCTAGTAGTTTTAATGAGAACGATGCAACATTCTGGTTTCATTGTACTGCTTTGAGTCTATACACGTACTGCTATGTAGTTCTGCCAGACAGGGTTGTCAATGTACCATCCCAGGAATTACATTCGGTCTGCCCTCCTCGACCTACATCGTCCCAATAGTCCCAAATGCAGGTACTACAGTAGATTCCTCAGGAAATACTTTACACGAACTTTCGCAATTCCCCATCCACGGTCCTTTAGCGGGCGCTTGTATGCAGAATGCGCTTCATTCAACGGTAGCGATGACGTATAAACTAATCAACCCGCGACGTGCTAGGTCTCGACCCTCACCCAAAAATATGGCCGGATAGATACCCAGCAATACATGAGAGCCCACTCTCCTAACTTCATACATACTAATACACCATCGGTGTCATATGGGTCAGGGACGCGTCACAAGCATTTTGACTGGATATAGCAGCTCCGAGGCGGGGTGATTGGGCAGGGGGTAATGGGGGCTAAAAACACATAACCTGGCACAACCAGCTAGAGATGTGCCTACAATCGCTCGTTTCCCCCTAAATGTGTCCTTAATCTGAACTTCTCCGAGGCAATGAGAGACAACATAAATAGCGGTCCAGTTTCCGATCTAGAGTTAAGATTTTCGCAATGACAACGCGAAACCTCAATAGAACTTGGAGAGAGGTTGTCCGTACTCAGTACTCTTGTGGTTTTGACGCCGATGTGCCATTTCCTCTCCAATACATTAACCACGCTCCTGGGTGGAACGAAAACCTCGTTATCGACATCCCGAGCAAAGTTTCCCTCTGCCCTGACGATGCTCGGGACAGCCCCTAGAGCTAACTAACTACCTTCCATTTCAATGACCCGAAGAAAGTATATACATTCCTGCAGAGTGGACAACATTATGGGAAGGTAGTTGTGGACTTCAATTAAGTTGTATATCTTGGCCTCGAGAAAAAAGTATCGGGGTGCTTCGGCTGGCCTAATCCAATGAAGAATTTTCGTACGTTTTCTTGGTCCCCTTTCGGTGTGGTCATTGCATGTATTTCTGTTGTTTAACAATTAAATTGAAGGCAACTTAAGGGGACCTTCAAGAATATTTCTAGTTGTCTTTCATATCTCCAAGGCTAGGTACTGAAGGCTGTTGTTACTTGAATGCCATAGACCCGCGACATCCTTAGTTGCGAAAGAGGTCGGGGTGTCCATGACCTCGGAACAACAATGTTGTATTACCACATATTTAACATAAGTAATGCAAATGGGACCTAGTACATATATAAAGGGTTAATACATTAATGGAACCAGTTGAGTCCAGGACTAGTTATTCAAAGCAAGTTCATTGTCAATTCAACTATCTAATTCAAGGAAAACACCCATATCAATTATCCCCACCCCAAGTCTAACATAATGGAAAACAAAGCCATGCGCAATCCAAAGGAGGGTATTTCAGCACGAAAGCAAGAAGCAACAAATAATTAGAGGCCAAGAGCCAAGCAGCTTCGAGCTTAGATGTAGACCACCAAAGCCGAAACAAACAATCAGAGTCAAGGAAAAGTAGATACATATTTTTCCACTATCTAGATAGCCTAGAAAGCCAACCCAACAGTGGAGTCATTGTATCGAATAGGTTGGCCTTTGCAAGGCACATGAGGATAGTGTTGGGGTCGACCCTCGGGGATAGTAGGGTGGTTGCACATAGCCTCGAAGTCCTTGTCCCCCGACCGCGAAGTGACATGGATCGAGGCTCGCGGTGTCGTGTCACTCGTGAAAGTGCTAGAGATGGAAGCCTTATGATTTCGGGTCTGCACACCACCAGTGATGGTAGTAGTGACTGTTGAAGCGACAGTGCTGCCGCTCAAAGTCCGTGCTCTTTCCCATGAAAATCCATCCTCATCAGCGAGAGAGACTTGCTTGGGAGAAGGAGGGCTGTTCGGGAAGAACCAATGGGTCACGCGGTTGGGCAGAGGGATTGAGGCGATAATGTTGCGATTGTCAGCCGTCATGGGACGATGCAGCGATGATATCCGAGATGGCATCGTGCGTGAACTGGCGGACGACGGAGAATCCTTATGGAATGAAAATTCGCTGAACGGATCGTCGGAAGTTTCTTCATCATCCTTTGTAGGAAGGGGAGTTTTGGGCTCTGTATCCATGAACACCTGTTCGTCGTTTACATGGTCGGGCCATTCGGTGTCTAGCGTGAGTTGGCTTTCTTCCGATTTTTCGGGCCTGACATGCGTGGCAGCAGGGATCAACTCTCCCTCCGACAAAAGAGTCTTGACTGGTGTAAAGACAGAGAAATGGGGGATCAAAGCATTGGCAATGCGAACCGGCTCGGCTGGTTCGGCCACGTTCTCGGAATGTCCGAATGACCTGCGGTTTCCAGAACCGACAGGCTTGCGAGACATGGATACTCTCGGGTTGGCTGACTGGCAGCGTTGGGCTGGAACTCTACTTGGAGAGAGAGCTCGCGGAGGTACAGCCAGAATCTGGCGATGACGGTCCTCATCAAAATCGAAGGAGTCAAATTCGGGCAAGTCTGACAGGCGGTTACCCGACCGGTAAATACTCAGCTCGAGGGGCTGATACTTCATCGGCAAAGAAGGAGGCTGGAACGAGAAAGAGTCGACTCTGCGGAAATCCGATGGAGCACCGATCTTTAACGGCACTGTGGATTGTCTCTTCCAGGACATGCTCGCCCGAGTAGATGCCCGCGAGGCCAAGTTTCTTCCATCCGAGATCCACGAGGACAGCGAGTTGCGCTGCTGATGATATACTCTCGGGCTTGGGAGGTCTTCGTACACCACCAGCTTCATGGGAGGAACCAGATGCGGTTGGCTATGGCATACTTGCATCTCCCGCTCGACACCTAGAGCGAGTGTGGTAAGTTAATGATCATTGACAAAACCCAATTGCGAATTACCTCTATTCTCAGCTCGCAGACCACTTTGGCCAGCCTCCCCCGGGTAAAAACATGCCCAGCATGACCGTATCCAGCCGGTTAGCAATCCCTCTTGCTCGAAAGCCAGCGTCATGGCGGCCAGCGCGAATAGTTAGTCCATCACCTTCCCCGAAGGCGGGACTCAAAATGTACACAACGGAAAGGAAGGATGATAAGGATAGAAGACAAAGGACCAAGAAGAGTCGTACGAGCACGGGACCCCCACCCTGGACAGAATGAGGATCCTCTCCATCAGGATAGTGTCAGACGGGCTGCCGCTAAGGGGCTGGAGCCATGCTCAGGAGAGCAAATTACCCTGGTCACACACACACCATCACCATGCGGAGGCGATGATGATCGTTCCCGCGGAGCCGAGTGTGGGGTCTCATTCGTTGATTGATGGTGGATCTGTCACAACTTTGCTTATCGTTGAGCTTTGGCTATACTTACATGTGGGGGACCCACGGGTCGGGCGCGTAAAAAGAATGCTGCATTGGCCCTGTTTCGGCCCCAAGGAAAATGCCATTATTGTGCCCACATGTATCCGTTTCATGCCGCGTTTCCATATGACGGTTGTATGGAGGAGAGTGAAAAGGGACAACGCTACGATATGCATCCCCGAAATTTAGGCCATGGTGTCAATCATCTCATCAGTACACTATAAACCCTATCTGTTCCAAACATTATCCTCTTCCAAGCCACCATAGGCCCATGGCCTAGAAGAACGACGTTCGTCTGGAATGCCCTCAGCTGGGGATTCCCCGGTGGGTTCGGACCCGCTCTCTTCTTCGATTGGTTGTCCTGATGGTCTCCTGGCAAATGAGGACGGGGTCAACTCAACTACAGTATACTTGTGAACCAATAGATGGGGCTGACGGGCTACTTACGAGAAATGCCGGGGTTCGCCTGCCGCCCACGCGGAGCCAGTCTCCCTCTGTGTTTGAGCTCGGTCTTCCTCTTCAGCCTCCACATCCTCCACCACGAGATCGACTAGCTGGTCGCGACGGGTGCTGTGCGAGTTGTGTGAGCTGGTGGAGCTGGCGTTTCGCTGCAAGGGACGCGGCGCGTCTGAGCTTCTAGACTTGTTGGAACTCGTGTTGTGATTTCGTCGGCTTTCGCTGCCCGATGCCCGACCCTTTCGGTGCGAGCGGGACTTTTTCACATCGCCTTCGGTATTATTCGAGCCCTGATAGCTCCTGCTCCTGTTAGTGTGCAGTCGCTGATCTCTTGGGACTTCATTGGCTGTGATCACTGGATACTATTCGGTTGTCAGCATCGGAATCTCTAGTAGCAGCGAAGCGATCCACGTACGTTCCAGTCGCCAAACTCCAGCGCCCGCGCTTTGGTGAACAATCCTTCATCTTCGTCGTCTAGCGAGATTTCAATCTCACTGTAAGTCCGGAATCTCTCGGTTGAACTGGCACTTCGTTCACTTCGGCTGCGGTGGCTGGAATCGCCTCCTGATAGGAGCGGGGTTCGGCTGTTGGCTTCACCGGTTTTACTGTTCTCTCCAGGCTTGGGGATCCAGTATTTCCCTTTTCCTCCTCGCTCATAGCGCATCCCATCCATCACCCGTTTGACCCGAGAACCGGAGTCTTCGTGTGCAATGATGTTATCGCCCGAGTCGAAGATTCGATACTGATAATTTTCCCCCCGTATGGTCATCCTCGTGTCTTCCACCAGATCTCTAGGCCCGAAGGCATCCCGCAGCGCAAACTTCACCGGCAACCGTGCCGCCGAGATGGTCGGGTCTGCATAGTCGTGCCATGAGAATGCATACCAGTGCGCAACTGCAAAAATGGGCATCTCATAACAGATGAGCGCGTCCTGGATCGCAGCAGCGAGGTTGTCTGGAGTGTACCCGGCGACACCGTTACCCAAAGCTCCCAACCACTGCAGAATGGACAGGAAGAAACCTTGCCAGTACGATGCGAAAATGATGAGTTTGACACACAGGAATTTTGGAACAGGGCGGAACGGCATGAGATCGTCGTGCAGGCATACCCAAAACATGGCAAGAGAGTACAGACTCAGCGTGACACTGATGTTGTACACAATGCTCGTCCAAAGGTAGCCCGAGCTGAGACCCAGATATCCTTCCTGATATGTGTCGGTAGCCTTCATCACAATGGAAACCAGCGCCAGAATGGGTTTCAACCAGGCATACTGGAGAATGCCGCGCTTGACGGCAAGGAAGGTGTGTGGGTCGGAGATATCGATCTTAGGTAGGAAGTGGTTGAGTGGCCATGCATGAGACACCGGAGGTCGGCCATGGGCCATGATGATAACTGCTCGCTCCCCCCAAGGAAGTTAATCAGCAAATGGAAGAACGTGTAAATGGTGAACGCCTGCGCAAAACTCCGTCAGCCTTGGCTCTGTCTCGCTCTGAATCACACCTAGTACCTCGTAAATGTCGCGGATCGGGTCCAGGAACTGAGCCGCCTTTAACGACACGATACTGGTCCATGATGAAGCCGCATATATCGGCACCCTGATCACAATCAGCACTGCCTTGTCTCTTTCGGTTGTCGAGCCCCTGAGCTCTAGGCTGCCATCCAACACTCACATCAACAGTATACGGACGACATAGCGCTGGAGTAATGGTTTTCGGTAATTTTTACTACAGAATCTTAGTTAGTAGCTGTGGGACAGCCCAGTGTCGTGCATGAAGCTCGTACGTTTGTAGCCATATGGACCTGTAAGTCAAAGTAGACTGTTAGCTCAAGAGCCGAGTACAAAAACAAATTAATGCGGAAATCAAGGGGCATAACGCGTACAATAGAGACAGCAGTGACGACACGAGAGATGAGACGCCAGAGGTGATAATGATCGCGCGAGCCAGGCTCGAGCCAGTGCCTCCGCCAGAAGGGCCCTTCATGATGGCGGGAGAGGACATTCGCGGGTTTGGAGAGCCGCGTTATTAGGAGCACCAAGTCATTTCGCGGAGACGCAGAACATGGTCGACTAACTGCGAGGTGGGGGGCGGAGCTCACAGAAACAAGCTTGGAAATTATTGCAAGAAGGAGGCGTGTTGCCGATGACGATCATCTCGTGACACCGCCCAACGCCCGCATTTCGCATTCGCGCCATCAACTTCCCACTGCGACGGCTCTGCTTATCTCGGGCTCGTTCCTCGCGAGTTTGCCGCGTCGAACATGCTTGCGCCAGCTGGCGGATTCACGGAGCAATGGCCAGTACAAGCTTGACGGCCTCTTACCTGACGCCGGATCCAAGCTTCAATTGGTTTGTTGAACCCTTGCCTTCCCATAGCTTGGGTTGCTTAATGAGGTCTTTTTAGGTTCTTTCTCCTGGAGCTTATTGTTTCCTGTATTCTGTAAGTACCCCTGGAGATTTACAATACATTTCTGTGGCTCATACGACGCAAAGTGCTGTATTCTTCCTGTTCTATTTCAACCGACTGTTCGCGACGCTCCTCTCCTACGCGATCAGAGCATACACCTGGCATTATTACCGCGTTTACGTCGACATAAATTCCTTGCAGGTCTCCCTTCTTGGTGGACGAATATTCTTCAAGGGGATTCGGTACCATGGTGCGAACGAGACAATCTTCATCCACGGAGGGTTCATAACATGGCGGTATTGGAAGCGCAAGGTTGAGCGCACAAACCTTTCGGGCATACAACATGAGACTGGTCGACCGGATACGTCTGGAAAGGGACGCAACGACTCCGTCCATGGCGAACGCACAGGTGCAACTAGCAGGAACGACAGCGTTGAGGAGCAGGGTGGAGTAGAGAAGACAATCGAGCTGCCATGCCGGATATCAATCAAGGCTTACGGCTTGGAATGGTTTATCTACAACCGGTCTCCGGCCTATGATAGTATTCTTGCTGGTTTCGGCTACAAGGACGGCAACACTGGGGGCGGCATATTCCAGCCGGCCTCCCCGACTGAAGCACAACCAAATCTCCACCGGACCAAATCGACGTTCGATACTCTTTCGGATCACAGCCCCAGTGAACGGGAAGCTTTCGGATCGCGAAATACTGAACTGCGCGATGCTGAGCTCTCCGATCCAGTGTCAAGTATGCTTGAGCTCCTTCCTGTGAAGCTTGACTGCAACAAGGGGGCCATTGTGATTGGCAATGAGAATACTCGATCTGTCTTGACGGCGACATTTGATCGCGCAGCGGGAACTATTGCCGCCTGCAATGCAGGTCCTATGGACTTGTATCGACAACTCTTTTCGTTAAAGTTCAAGCATCCGGTAATTCAGATGCGACCAAACCCTGATTTCAAGCAAAACCAGATTGCAACTGCGAAATTGCTGGGCGCAGAGCAAGAGCATGAAGATTCATCCAAGCGAAAAATGCTCCCTTTGAAGCACAAGGTGCACAAGCGCAAAATGTGGCACAGTATTCGCGACCTGGTTCCTTACTTCCAAACATCTGTGGAGTCATTTCAGGTCAACGGACAGGCTAGCAGTATGCCAAGAAGCGAGGCAGAGTTTCCCGAAGTTCGTTGGACTGGCCTGTCTCGATATTTGGACGAAGATCATGAGGATGACCATGAAGAATGGAACTCAGTTGAATATGCTAGGTTCTCCACCATCCTCGACAGCCCAGCCTTAGATTTGACATACTATTGGGACATTCCAGGACGGGTAGTCCCGCAGCACCTGGCCTCTGCTCAGTCTACCCGGGAAAAGGGAAACAACATCAACAATGCTCTTCCTCCAGAATGGGGCATGGATATCAAGCTCAACGGGGGATCCATCAATTACGGACCATGGACTGACAGGGAGCGGGTCGGATTGCAAAACACCTTCTTCCCCAACTTTTATCGAAGCTCCGGACCTGCAGAGCAATTGGCACCAGGTGTTCTCAGACAAAGTACATCCTTCAAATTGCGCATTGAAGTCAACAAAGAGCTCACACTTCGCATTCCGACTCGGGAGCAGTCTAAGGATTGGACGTGGAAAGGACGCGCAGATGCTATCCGAGGATCCTGCGGGGCAAGACGGCAAAAGGAAAGGAAAAATTCACGGGCGAAAGATGCCGAAAAAGCGCACATTGGATCCGATCTTCGGCCGTTTGGATGGCTTTCTCTCGCTGTTGGCCCCGACTCCACTATCAATTATGCCATGGATATGGTAGCTTCGAGCTCTGGGTTTCGGAATGAGCTATCCCTTGACTTGCGCGAATCTAGGCTGTCGTCCAGTGTGAATCACGGTTTACTATGGCAATGTCCGCGACAGCTGGTAACCTGTGACTTGTCCAACCCGATCTGTTGGAACAGTCTCCGATCATGGAGCTTTTCCGTTTACAGCCACAGTCTTGAGCTCTTCATCTTGCGCGACCACATCTTTCTTCTGACTGATCTGGTGAGCGATTGGGCCTCGGGTCCACCATCCGAGTATTACACCTTTGTGCCCTTCATTTACAACATCGATCTCTCCTTCTCTAACCTCCAATTATTCGTGAATGTGAACGATGGAAACATTATCAGCAATCCTTCTGATCTCGAAGATAACCGTTTCATTGTCATCAAGGGCAAGCAGCTGACATCGAATGTGATGATCCCATTGAACAAATTTCAACCCAACCAGAATGCAGTGGAGTTCAAGGTCAACTTGGAGGATGGTGGTGTGGATTATCTGACTCCTGCATGGGACACATTGCATACTTTCCTTCCAGGAAAATCCATGGCTACTCTCGAAGAGCTTTTCATCGATGGATCATACAACTACTTCTCTTCCACAGCACCAGACTTGATCGATACCCTTGTGCTGAACATCAATGGATCTTCACCTCGGTTGTACCTTTACGGGTTTTTGATCAAGAGTTTCATGGCCGTTAAGGAAAACTACTTTGGTGATGATATGCATTTCAAAACCTTGGAGGAGTACCAGGAGATGGCCTACGCGGGGGAGCAACCGTCAAACCCCACTGGCATCAATCCAAACAGGAAATCCAATGACATGGATGTCCTAGTCCATGTCACCGTGGACAACCCGTGCGTTATGCTCCCTGAGAGCATTTATGATAACATGAAATGCTCCAGGCTTTCTGCCACCACAATCAACATCGATCTGCGCTTCACCAATTACTACATGGATATGCAATTTTCAGTCAGCCCACTTAAGTTGGACTTGCAATCAACCCAACCGGATGGGTCATCAACCATCTCTGGCACCCAGTTGTTCATTGACGGCATCGACGTTTATGGACATCGCCTTTTCGGATTGCCGCCTTCAGAGCCGACTTACGTTTGTAATTGGGATTTCGACGTGGGAAGAATTTTAGGTGAATGCACCACAGAGTTTCTGTCATGTCTGGCATCCAGTCTGAAGAGCTTCGATTTCTCGTTTGATAACGACGAAAATGCGCTGCCACCACTCTTCCCGCCTGTTCTCTATGATGTGACATTCCTGAGAGCCAAGATCAGCTACATTCACATCTCCGTGATCCTGGACCAAGTTGCCATTATTTTGAGCACTAAACAGTTGTCGACCAACTTCAATGACTGGGCAAACTCCAAATTTTCGAAACGCATGAGCCTGCTGGTGCCCGACATCTCGATTGCCGCAGTTGACCGCCAGTCAGTGGCTCAGGCCTTACGATCTCCTAAAAAGACCGTTGCACCCCTGGGCCTTGTGCGCTTGACCATAGGTCTGAAGATGGCTTTGCGTAAGCACGATATCGCTGAGCACCGACGCCTCCAGCAGGAGCACATTAAAGTCCATGACCAGCGGACACATCGATCACAATGGTTACTTTTTGACTGGGAAGAGGTAGGACCGACATCATCCTTGGTGGGCGGTGACAATGTCGCACCTCCGACGATGGCGATACCATCAATGCCAGAGCCTATACATAGGCGGCTGGGTAACACCCCGTCCTACCGAGGATTTTCAGGTGCCCAGGCAGCCGGAAGCGCGAAAAGCTTTTTTGTACACTCAGAAACCTCGAGCTTCAAAAGCCACAAATCGTGCGCCAACGATAGCGCCCCTCGTCCGTTGTCAAGCTCGGAACAAAAGTCAAGACCTGTTCCGCCAAGACGGGATACAAGCTGGTCCACCTTAACAGCCAGCCGATTGAAGGATAGCGAGAGCTTTGGCCGCTCCAAGGCAGGCCCGTATTCATCTGCTGCAATCAGAGATTCCAACCCTTGGATTCTGCCACAATTCTCATATCACAAGCTTTGTCTGGACACGTCTGAGCTTCCGTCGCCACCCAACGACGATGACACCACTGGAAAAGATCATGATGCCGAAATCAGCCAGAAGTCAATATTCCTGACATTTGAGGATGATCAAACATCATACACTAACCTCGCTTTGGAATTGCCGCTGGGCATTAAGGGGTTCTGTACCCCAAGGTTCCTTCTCAGCTTGGCTTCTCTGTTGGAGGGGCTTGAGCCGAAGCACCCAGTTCAAATCATCGATTCGTTGCAGAAGGACGTGATATCGGATATTATTGGCTATGACAAGTCCATGAATCAGCCCAAGAAGGCCATGGCCGTTGCGATTCGCATCCCATTCATCCAGTTGCGGATGTTTGATGTCTCTGAGTCGCCAGAAAATAGGCAGATTGAGTTTCGAGATGAATATTCCATTGGAATTTACCGTCTATGGGCAGAGTTTCAGAAACGAGTGCAAAGACAAAAAGGAGATCTACTTGAAGGTCTCAACCAAGGCATCACGGCTCATGCCGCGGCCGATCGCCTGTCGGTCTCCGTCGAGGGTAGCCGGACCGATGCCTTCCAGGAGAAAGCTGTTTTCAATTGCGATCTGCGTGACCTGAACTTTTGGCTAGTCACGGCTTCCAACATTCGCTCCCATCTTCAGATGCGGCATATCAGTACTGTGACCTCCGCAAGGTCAGTGGAACGCTTGGCTTTCCTTGTCCGTCGAGCTACCATGATGTTTGACTCCGTTGCTTCGGCTTTCCAACATGTGTCAGCTTTGAGCAGACGGCGCTTGCGATACCTTATCTACTTCACCACACAGTCAGCTTCTGACATTCCTGATCCAATTTTCCTGGCGCGCATCTCCTACGTGCTAAGAGTTGCCTCGGCCCACTTGCGGCAACACGATTCGTGGAAGATCATTTCTCGCATTCGCCATATATACACGAGCTTGCCAGTCCACCACAAGAGGGAGCTCGAACGAAAATGCTTGGGCGACAACATCCCATTGCCACCTGATGCTAAGTCAACAGTATTGACTGGTTTCGATCAATGGCGGGCGTGGGATCTCGCCCACGTCGAAAAGAGCTATGTTATGCGCAAAATTTGGTCATTCTCCGAGCCTCAGCCCGCAACTCCGGAGCCATCGGTGTCTCTGTCATGCACAGTGAAAACATTCAGGTTCTCTTTGGACCCCGGCCCACGGGAAAGTGACTTCATAGTCGAGAATTTGTCGACTGTAACCTCTATTATGCCGAACAAGACCTTCCAAGAGGATGACAAGGAGAAGTGCAAGAAGGTTGTTACGTTGCAATCCTACTGTGCCTCGGCAGCTCTTCGCTTGCGATGGGAGATTTTGGATCTTGTCGAGGGAGTAACGAAAGTCATGTCGACCGTCACGCTGAAATCTTCATCAGCTGAAGCCGCACCCACCACTGGAGACAAAAAGTCAACGGAATTGCAGATCGTGTTCGGCACGGATTTTGGATCCATCACTCTCGATGCCATCAATGTGAAGCTCGCCTTAATTTCGAGGTCTCTGCGAAGCTCGGTTGTGCACAGCTCTCATAACACCAAAAAAACAAATCACGAAAGTCTCGCTCTCTTGTTTAGTGCTGAAGCCTGCTCATCAGAACTTTTGAGTCAGTCCAGAAGTCTCATGCTGTCGAGAATTGCCGATCCGTACCTTTACTTCTCGCTCGTCTCTGATGGGGATGAACTGGAGTGCAAACGTGACTGGAAGGTTGCTGGCTCGTGCCAAAGGCTCCGCTATGACATGAAAGAGGACCCTGTTAGCCTGGCACATACCGCAGATCGTGTGATCGAGGACGAAGTCAGATACATCCGACAGCTCATGGACACTGTGAAGATGCCGAAATTTGAACCCGTCCAAGCCCCGGTGTCTAAGAAGCCTATTAGTGACAACATCAACGTTGCAATGTTTTTGAACGACTATCGCCTGAGCTTTAGCCTTCTACCGTCCTTGACCTATCTCGTTTCTGGCGAGGTAGCCCGGATGTCGGTCATGCCTGCTGAAGCATCCAAGATTGAGGTTGACTTTGATCTGAAGAAAAATTCACACATGTTCATATCTGGCGAGGGCGACAGATACAATGCCCTCTCGATCCTTGAAATTCCTCCTACGAATGGCCGGATCCTTGCGAATGTCCAGTCTGGCCGCAAAGAGCTTGAAGTCGACATGACGATTGAAGTCATTCGTCTGGAGGCCAGCGCCGTGCGAAGTCTTTTAGCCGTTTTGACAGGACCCGATGTTTCCCACCTTCTGTCAGATTTGAAACAAAACGTCGATGTTCTACAGTCTCACCTGGGCGATGTGCTCTCGTCGCAGCAGACCAAGGCGGAACCCAAACCGCCCTTGGATGATACAGTGATTCTTTACAAGTCCCGCCTGACAATGGTTGGATTCGAGATTCACGCCGTCGCACCTGGTTTGAACAGCAAGGACTACTCTGCGGAAATGATATTCAGCCTCGGGATGATGCAAATGCGGCTCCAGAATGGTCTGGATCGAGGCTATTCAATGGACTACCCGGAATTCAGTATCGATGCTTCTCAAATCAAGTTTGAGTTGCGAAGACAGGAGAGAACAAAGGCCACTTCCTACGGCGGCTTTACTGCAGGTATCAAACTACTAGGAAACTCGACTGTTCGCGAGAATGGGGAAGTGATGCGTGCCTTCCATTTCACCAGTGACCAATTCGATGTTGACCTCTTTGCCGAAACCGCTGCATTAGTAGTGGACATTGCTGTCTATACCCAGGAACGCATCAAAACATTGGACTTGTCGCACGAAGTCGAACGTCTCCGGAAACTCCGACGCCGCAATCACAATGACACAGTCATCTCTTCCTCTGACATCCCTCAAATTCATGTGGAGGATGATGCGGCATCGACACAGCCCTTCTTGAATTCCTTGTACTCTTTGCAGTTCCGAGACATCCAAATTGCATGGAACATGTCAACACCACTATCTAGTGGCTCTGGTCGCCAACCTGAGGACCTGGTATTCTCGATCCACCAAGTCGAGCTGTCTAATAAAAAGAAGAACGCGGCAAAACTGCGCATCGAGGATATGAAGCTACAAATGGTTCCATTCCGTGCAGACAGGAAGAAACGCTCACTCAACTCTGCTCTCATGCCCGAACTGGTCTTCAATGTCGCATATTACTCAAGTGGAAAAGAGCTATGGCTCGCCTTCCAGGCAGCTGGAAAGTCACTGGACATTCGTGCGACATCTGAATTCATTCTTCCAGCCAACATGATTCGGAACTCGATTGCATCCGCCACTGAGGCTTTAAGGAAGGGCAAGGCAGCCTGGGCAACGAAGCCATCGCTCGATGACACCACCAAGGATCGTAGTCTCTTTGGCAAAAGACGACTTCGATCTGTTCTCGTGGACGTTGACTTTGCGGGTGCTACTGTCACGCTCCAAGGAAAGCAACAGCACAATTCCCAAACTTTACTGACAGCTGGGATGAAAGGTAACCGGCTTTCGGAAGCGAAGTATGGTCAATATGTACAAGGGGACTCGGCCACTACGGCGACTTTACGCGCACCGGGAGTGGCTCTGAAGGTTCATTTCGAAGAAAATGGTAACGATGACCCGGCTCTCAACGCAGAGCTAAAGGTTGATCCATCCACAAACGTCTTATACCCGACTCTTGTTCCTTTGGTCAAACAAATGACCGCTACAGTCAAGGAGATCATGGGAGAGCAGCAACAGAGCGAGCAACAGAGCCAGCCACCGACTCAGCAGCAAGGGAGATCTCGACGGCCATCTACCACGGCAAAGCTACAGTCACAAATGCTAATGCAAGATAATGCATTTAGCGCTCCCGATCCAAATTCCATTCTTGGACGCTGCAAGGTGAACCTTGGATTATTGTTCTACAAGCAGGAATTTAGTCTCAGTTGCCAGCCCATCGCCAGAGTGGCAGCTACGGCAAGATTCGAGAGTGTGTACGTGACCGTCAATACAGTGCAGTCAACTGAACAGGGCCGCTTCCTTGCCCTCTCCCTGGCATTCAACAGCCTGGAGGCCTCAGTCAAGCATGTGTACTCCAACGAATCCACAGCAAGCTTCGAAGTCAAGTCTATGGTCTTGTCGCTGATGAATAGCAAGCATCTTGGTCGAACAAGCGGCATGTCGGCTATTCTGCGGGTGAGCCCGATGAAAGTCTCGTTGAACGCCAAGCAGGTGCAAGATTCACTGCTATTCCAGGAGATCTGGATTCCATCCAGCGATGAGCCGCGCACGAACTCGAAGCCTCAGCCGGAGCAGCCGGACGCACAACAACCCTACATCGTGCAGCGATACCACCAGGTTGCTGCTGCCTCGGCGTTCCCTTGGAACACCACCATCGCCATTGAGAAGCTAGAGATTCAGCTTGACTTGGGTTCTACGCTAGGCAAGGCACAATTTGCCATCAATAACCTATGGATGTCATCCAACAAGACATCGGATAGTGAGGAAAGCATGTGTATCAACTTCGACAGTGTTGGTATCGAAAGCAAGGGCCGCATGAGTGGTGTGGTCGAGCTACGGACTCTCAAGGTTCGCACATCCATCAAATGGCCGGAGGAGATCCGAGAAGTCTGGCACACGCCACTTATCCAGGCCTCGGTCGCATTCCATCATCTCCAGGCCAAGGTTTCGTTCGACTACCAGCCGTTCTTGGTCGCTCATATTGCCATGTTTGACTTCCTTATGTACAACGTCCGCGAGGCTTCCGGGAAGGCAAGCGAGCGACTATTCAGTATCTTGCAAGGTGACGAAGTCCAGGTTTTCTGTACTTCCTTGACAGCATCCCAAGCCCTGGCACTCTTCCAAGCTTGGCAACGCCTGGTTCAAGACAAACAAGCAGCGTATGAGGCGTCACTGCGGGAGGTCGAGCGGTATCTCCGTCGCAAATCCACTACTCTCCCAGATCGGATCGAGGCCCGTACCAAGAATCTCGCAAAGAAGGACGAAGAGTCGGAAAGAACTCCTATCTCACTGCACACGGGTGTGGTCGTGAACATCCGTCATGTCAATCTTGGAGTGTTCCCGAGCTCGTTTTTTGACAATCAGATCTTCAAGATGGAGGCCTACGATGCCCAGGCAAGATTTTCCGTCTCGCTCGAATCGAACAAGATTCATAGCGCATTGGGACTCACTCTGGGTCAACTACGCGTTGCCTTGTCTGGCATCAATCGCCTCGCCTCTGCTCAACTTGAAGACCTGTCCGTGGACGAGATCGCCCAACGAGCAGCCGGCTCCCGCGGCGGTACTATTCTCAAGGTGCCACGACTCGTGGCATGCATGGAAACCTGGCAGGCGCCCGGCACCAAACAGATCGACTACATCTTCCGCAGTACCTTCGAAGGCAAAGTGGATGTGGGTTGGAACTATTCGCGTATCAGTTTCATTCGGGACATGTGGGAGACGCACTCGCGCGCCCTAGCGTCCCGACTCGGCAAGCCTTTGCCGCCGTCAGCCGTGCGTATTACTGGCGGTCCCGGCAGCAGCAGCGAGGGCGGTGGCGAGGGCTCTGAACAGCAAGAGAAGATCACGGCAGTGGTCAACGTGCCGCAATCGAAATACACCTACACGGCGCTGGAGCCACCGGTGATCGAGACGCCACAGCTGCGGGACATGGGCGAGGCAACACCGCCACTGGAATGGATTGGGTTGCAGCGGGATAAGCTGCCCAATGTCACGCATCAGATCATTATTGTGACTCTGTTGGAGATTGCAAAAGAGGTGGAGGATGCGTACGGGACGATCCTGGGATCGTGATGCATTACTATATGGCGTTTTTGGGCACATTGGACATAAGACACCGGGGCCGTTGGCAGTGTCTGTATAATGACATAGATTCATTTTCATATTCATACTTCTCTGACCCTTCAACCACGAGGTAAGGGACCTTGCAACCTCCGGTAGATGTAGGAAAGATCTCGCGCATTATTAATCCACAGCCCCCGCGCAGGCGGTGAGTGGTGGGGCTGATTGGTTGCACTCGTTTCAGCGTTTTCATCTCCTGGGTAACGTTGAGTGCTGCTAGGAAAGACTAGGGGCAATGAGGAGCAACTAGGACCTGCCCGGCAAGGTTTTCCACTGCCCGGGTTCCGCTGCTCGTTGCAGACGCGGTTCGATTACGAGCTCCGACAGCTCAAGTGCACAGGCCGGAGAACCATGGATGCCTCCAGAATGAGTCAATAGATACTTTTCGAATGGGATTTCAAAGCAAAAGAAGCATAGTAGAATACGGGCAGTAGTAGCTCGCAAATAGAATAAGCCGCGAGGGTGTGTGCGAGCCAGTAAGTAATGGTAGTGTAAACGCACAAAACCGGGCGGGGCAAAAAAAGCGTCCCCACTTTCGCCTGCTTTTTTTTCTCCCACTTTTCCCCCCCTCCCACCTTCTTCTCTTCTCCCCTCCCCATCCCCTTTCCGCAGGAGCAGTTGCACATAGGCATCGTTTGATCACCATCGAGTTATTTGCTCGGTTTTGATCATCTGTCTGTGGTCTTGCTTCTTTCTTTCTCAAAAAAATCAAACCCCCGCCTCTAGGGCTTATCTGAGGAAAAAACCGTCAAGATGGTTAAGTACGTCCTCGCTCTGCCTCGATGAAAAAAAAAATTCATCTCTCGGCTTGGGAATCATTTGGCTAACAATGTCTGCTACAGCTTCACCATTGAGGAGATCCGTCAACTGATGGACCGTCGGGCTAACATCCGTAACATGTCCGTCATTGCTCACGGTAAGCATCTCTCGCCGTTCCGATCTGAACGAGCTGGTAGCTGACGCATGTTCTCCCAATAGTCGATCACGGAAAGTCCACCCTCTCCGACTCCCTGGTCCAGCGTGCCGGTATCATTTCTGCTGCCAAGGCCGGTGAGGCCCGTTTCATGGACACCCGTCCCGATGAGCAGGACCGTTGCATTACCATCAAGTCCACTGCCATCTCCCTCTACGCCAAGTTCCCCGACCCCGAGGACCTGAAGGAGATCCCCCAGGCTGTTGATGGTTCCGAGTTCCTGATCAACCTGATCGATTCCCCCGGTCACGTTGATTTCTCGTCCGAGGTCACTGCTGCCCTCCGTGTCACTGACGGTGCCCTGGTCGTCGTCGACTGTGTCTCCGGTGTCTGTGTCCAGACCGAGACTGTGCTGCGTCAGGCCCTGACCGAGCGCATCAAGCCCGTTCTGTGCATCAACAAGGTTGACCGTGCTCTGCTCGAGCTCCAGGTCTCCAAGGAGGATCTGTACCAGTCCTTCTCCCGTACCATCGAGTCCGTCAACGTCATCATCGCTACCTACTTCGACAAGGCTCTCGGTGACGTCCAGGTTTACCCCGACAGAGGTACTATTGCCTTCGGTTCCGGTCTCCACGGCTGGTGCTTCACTGTCCGCCAGTTCGCCGTCAAGTACGCCAAGAAGTTCGGTGTCGACCGCAAGAAGATGCTTGAGCGTCTGTGGGGCGACAACTACTTCAACCCCAAGACCAAGAAGTGGACCAACAAGGGCGAGGCTGACGGCAAGCCCCTTGAGCGTGCCTTCAACCAGTTCATCCTGGACCCCATCTTCAAGATCTTCGCTGCCGTCAACCACAACAAGCGTGATGAGATCACCACCCTTCTTGACAAGCTCGAGATCTCCCTCGCCACCGAGGAGAAGGACCTCGAGGGCAAGGCTCTCCTCAAGCTCGTCATGCGCAAGTTCCTGCCCGCTGCCGACGCTCTGCTGGAGATGATCTGTATCCACCTGCCCTCCCCCGTCACTGCCCAGAAGTACCGTGCCGAGACTCTGTACGAGGGTCCCACGGACGACCGTGCCTGCATTGGTATCCGCGACTGTGACCCCACTGCCCCTCTGATGCTGTACGTCTCCAAGATGGTGCCCACCTCCGATAAGGGTCGTTTCTACGCCTTCGGTCGTGTCTACGCCGGTACCGTCAAGTCCGGTGTCAAGGTCCGCATCCAGGGCCCCAACTACACCCCCGGCAAGAAGGAGGACCTGTACATCAAGGCCATCCAGCGTACTATTCTGATGATGGGTCGCTTCGTCGAGCCCATTGAGGATGTCCCCGCCGGTAACATTGTCGGTCTGGTCGGTGTTGACCAGTTCCTGCTCAAGTCCGGTACCCTGACCACCGACGAGACCGCCCACAACATGAAGGTCATGAAGTTCTCCGTCTCCCCCGTTGTGCAGCGCTCCGTTGAGGTCAAGAACGCCCAGGATCTGCCCAAGCTGGTCGAGGGTCTCAAGCGTCTGTCCAAGTCCGACCCCTGTGTCCTGACCATGATCAACGAGTCCGGTGAGCACGTCGTTGCTGGTGCCGGTGAGCTCCACCTCGAGATTTGTCTTAAGGATCTCGAGGAGGACCACGCTGGTGTTCCTCTCCGCATCTCCGACCCCGTCGTCTCCTACCGTGAGACCGTCACTGCCACGTCCAGCATGACTGCCCTGTCCAAGTCGCCCAACAAGCACAACCGTCTGTACATGACTGCCCAGCCCATGGAGGAGGACGTTTCCCTCGCCATTGAGGCTGGCAAGGTCAGCCCCAAGGACGACTTCAAGGCTCGTGCCCGTGTCCTCGCCGACGAGTACGGCTGGGATGTCACCGATGCCCGTAAGATTTGGTGCTTCGGTCCCGACACCACCGGTGCCAACCTGCTGGTTGACCAGACCAAGGCTGTTCAGTACCTGAACGAAATCAAGGATTCCGTCGTCTCCGGTTTCCAGTGGGCCACCCGTGAGGGTCCCGTTGCTGAGGAGCCCATGCGTTCCGTCCGCTTCAACATCCTCGATGTTACCCTGCACGCTGATGCCATTCACCGTGGTGGTGGTCAGATCATCCCCACTGCTCGTCGTGTCCTGTACGCCGCTGCCATGCTGGCTGACCCCGGTGTCCTGGAGCCCATCTTCAACGTCGAGATCCAGGTTCCCGAGCAGGCTATGGGTGGTATCTACGGTGTCCTCACCCGCCGCCGTGGTCACGTCTATTCCGAGGAGCAGCGCCCCGGAACTCCTCTGTTCATGGTCAAGGCTTACCTCCCCGTCAACGAGTCCTTCGGTTTCCCTGCCGATCTGCGCTCCGCCACCGGTGGCCAGGCCTTCCCCCAGTCCGTCTTCGATCACTGGGCTATTCTCCCTGGTGGCTCGCCCCTGGATCCCACCACCAAGCCCGGACAGGTCATCATCGAGATGCGCAAGCGCAAGGGTCTCAAGGAGGTCGTTCCCGGTTACGAGAACGTAAGTTTCTACACTCCGGTTATCTATTGTTTCATGATTCAATTCCTAACTCTTCTTTCTTCAGTACTACGACCGACTGTAAAAATGTCACGGCCTGCCAGATTTTTCTTCTGCCAGTCAAATGGAATCTTTTTTTATGAGATTGATGAATTCAATACAACTTCGCGGTTCAACCAAAATTTTACTCCCGTATCGATACGGGCTTGCTCCGGTCATTGCCGACTCTAGATAAGTGTGGAGCTCCAAGGGATGTTCAGGGCACCTTGGATGCTACCCGGTTGCTTCTGTTTTTATAGTTTGATGTTTGATGATCGTTTTGATTTTTTGGGGTTTTGTTTTGTTTTGCTGCCTTCTAGCTAAGTACATGTAAATATACATGTTACACTAGATCAGCGCTGCAGCTCCCGTAAGCCCACTGTAGAGTAATTTATACCAGCCAGCTCGATACCGGTTGACGTTACTGGGACAATCTGGTAGAGATGTGAACGACACGTAACTTGGCAGACTACAGCCATAGTGCAGCATGTTTTCACACCGAGTTCCTGGTAGCTTTCCTGCTAACCACGACATCTGATCCCATTGTTTCGAGATAGACAACCCCATTGTTTCGAGATAGACAACAGAGACCAAAGAAGAGAAATGTCCCATGCATGTACAATCAAAGGACCCTGCAAGCCTCCCGTATCATCACGTGACTGGTATCGCGCCTTCGCGTTTTCGGCGGATTCTGCGCTGCCCGACTCACTTGCCCACCACGATCTCGCGCCGTGGCTGGAGTTGAATATTCATAGTGATTCTTATTCTCTGGCAGTTTCGAGGTCCTTTATCCTCATTACACCCACACCCCGTTGCGACCGCCGAGTCGCCGAGCTCTCGCACCTTGCAGTAACACCGGATCCCTGCAACTAGCGACGCTTTGAACGCCAAATCTTTTTGACTTCCGTTTACCTTCGTTCCTGGCGATCGCCAAATCCTTGTCACAATGCATTTCACCGAAGATGAAGCCAACGATGTGAAGCAATGGGTGGTCAAGAAACTCGAGGACATGTAAGTCCACGCGACGCCCGATCGCAGCTCATTGCCAAAGGGAAGCACCGGCTAATCTACGTTCGCTCTGCTCACAGTTCGGATGCGGATTCGGATGTCCTTGCAGACTACGTACTTGCGCTCATTAGGTCTGATGCACCAGACGACGAAATCCGACAAACATCTGTCGAAAACCTGGAGGATTTCCTCCGCGAAAGTGCGCTCGACTTATCCATCTCGCCACACTTCTTCTCTTTGCTGACACAAACCAGACACTGCCCCCTTTGTTGACGAACTCTTCAACTCTTTTGGCCCGAAGAAGGCTCGGGCAGCGCCGCCACAGACCCAGCTCCAGCAGCCTCCCCAAGACTTCCCACAAGCTATTCCCACAACCCAACAGGCGATCAATGCCCCCACTGGCCCTAGAGGTGATTTCAATAACCGGAAGCGAACCTACAATGAAGGATTCCAGGGCGAGCAGGAGCAAGGTGAACTCGTCCCGCAGAACCGGGCTTTCAAGACCCCGCGACGAGGCCGTGGAGGTGCTCGCGGCGATTGGATGGGAAGCGGCCGTCATGCGCAAGGTGGTCAGCAGTTCCCGCCCAACGGCCCCGGTGGATTCCCGGGTATGATGCCTGGGTTCCAGCAGTTCGACCCCAATGATCCGATGGCGGCGATGATGGCCATGCAGCAGCAGATGGGATTCCCCCAAATGCCCGGAATGCCGCCCATGCCAGGGATGCCCGCTCCGGGTCAGCCTGGATCCGAGCAGGTGAGCAACCAGCGTTGTCCGTTCTACGATACTCAAGGTATCTGCTACATGGGCGATGCCTGTCCCTACCAGCATGGTGAAGCTGGAGCCGGAAGGAGTGATGGTAAGACTGATCCTCCTGTCTTTATTTGCCGATGTACTGACTGATCTGCCAGAATATGACCCCAAGTCGGCAATGATGAACTCAGGTGGACGAGGACGCGGCGACCGGGGCCGTGGTGATCGTGGCCGTGGCCGTGGCCGCGGTGCCTTCGGCGGACGGCGAGGCGGCCGGTCCGACTTCTCGTCAGCCGGACCCAACGAGGATCAGTCAATAACGACGATTGTGGTCGAGCAGATCCCCGATGAGAAGTTCTCGGAGGAGGCAGTGCGCGAATTCTTCTCGCAGTTCGGCAACATCGTTGAGGTGTCCTTGCAGCCGTACAAAAAGCTGGCACTCGTGAAGTATGAAAATTTCGGCGAGGCCAAGCAGGCATGGTCCAGCCCCAAGGTGATCTTTGATAACCGCTTTGTCAAAGTCTACTGGTACAAACCGAAGCATGATGAGAACAACGGTGACTCTCATCAGTTGAGACCTGAAGCCCCTGCATTTAACCCTGAAGAGTTTGAAAAGCAGCAAGAGGAAGCCCAGAAATCCTACGAAGAAAAAATGAAAAAGCGCCAGGAGACCGAAGAAGCCAAGCAGGCTCTCGAGCGCCAGCGCGACGAACTCCTGAAAAAGCAACAGGAAGAAAAAGCTCGCCTGCTGCAGCGCCTTGGAGGTGCAGTGTCGAGCAATGGTGCAGATTCGGAAGACCAATCTATGGAGGGCACTGGGGATGAGAATGTGAGCGACGAGACCAAGAAATTGCGTGCGCAGTTGGCTGCTCTCGAGGCAGAGGCCAAGACCCTCGGTATTGACCCCAGTGCCGAGTCTGGGCGCGGGGGCTATCGCGGTCGGGGTGGCTACCGGGGCCGTGGCACCTACCGGGGACGTGGAGGATACGATCCTTCATTCCGCGGTGGCTATCGCGGCCGCGGTGGATTTGCTCCTCGCGGTCGTGGTAGTGTGCTGCGTCTGGACAACCGACCACGCCGCGTCGCAGTAACGGGCGTGGAGCTCAACTCGGACAAGGATGAAGCGCTCCGCCAATACTTGATTGTAAGTCATCAATGAGCGAAGAAAACGAAATATGCTAACCGTGACTCAGGGTATTGCCGAATACCAATCCATCGAGCCCAACCCTGGCCAGCCCGACTCTGTGGTCGTGGCATTCAAGGAGCGCTACCAAGCGGAGAAGTTCATGTTCTCGCCCTGGAACATTCCCTCCGTGGGCGAGGTCCAACTCTCATGGCTTCCCAACCCACCGGTCACTCTTCCCCCGTCTGGATCAACAGACAAGAACGGCTTCGAGGAGGACCAGGACATGGCCATGGACTCGACTCCGGCCAACGAGGCACCGGTCCCGGCACCGACACGCAGCGATATGGATTATGACGTTGCGGAGGATGATAACTGGGGAATGGAGTAATTACTTCCAAACTCATGTACCATTGAACTTGTGTATAGGCCATTTGACAACAGCTTGGGATGTAATGCATGCTTTATCCCGTTTCATTACCTTGCATGACAGTCCCTGTATATCCACTTGGGTAATCATATCGTAGCTTAGATATTTTGAGGGATCAACTCCACCGAGTACCCATCCTGATATAAAGTCAGCGAGACTCTCCTCCGCATTTCCCAAACTCACCGGATCAGCCACCATCGCAAACTTCTCAAAGAACCATGCATAATTGGGATGAATTTGCCCCCAGCCAACGCCTCTCTCCTCCTCCCACTCCGACAACGGCACCGACTTTCTAGTGCAAACTCCAACATCCTTCAAAACCTTCACCCCCGCCTCTTTCAACCTCTCCAACGCAACGCCCACATCCGGCACCGTGAATCCCAAATGCGCAAAGCCCAAATGAGGCGGTACATTGCCCGTCGACACAGACCCATCTCCATCCTCAGACCCATGCACATGATAAAGCTCCAAAAGACCACTCGTCCGCGTCATGACGGGAACCTCACTGGTGGTTTTTGCCCACTCATCTAGATTTGTCTCTGGTGGCGGGTGGCCCAGGTAGTAGATCGTGAAGGGGCCCGAGTTCATGGAGAAGACTACTCGCATACCTAAGAGATCCACGTAGAAGTGTAGGGAGCGGCCCGGGTCTTTGATGCGGAGTGCTATATGATTGAGGCGGTAGTCGGCTGTTGTTGGCGATGCGCGTGGGTTGAAGGATGGTGTTGGACCGCCCGGAGCGAAGACGCCTACTTCGTTGGGTGGAACTGATGCGAATGAATTGTCTGCCATGGCTGCTGTTCACCGGATATTGTAGACTGTAGCCCTGGGATGTAGATGAGCAATGGGGGTCCTAAAGAGGGGAACTACAGGTCTCCACTGCGGGGGCCATTTCATACATTGAAGTCGCGAGATATCGAGATATCGAGGTCTGGTTCCAGAACCGAGAACTTTCAGAGGAGCAAGGTGAATCGACAAAAATGGATGCCTTTTTGGTGGTGTTCGTGGTAGATACTAGACTGTACTATATCCTGTCAGTCTACCGAAGAACAATCATATCCAGCCCACCTTCATAGGGCATCGTCACTCTGCGGAAAATCAGACGATCAAGCATACGTTGCTGGAGTGTCCGGAGCTGAGCGAGTTGCCGCACGAGTGAGTCAGTCACCCATTACATGATTGAACATGTGCTCAAACGTACAGGGCTGGCAGGTTTGGCACAGGGGTAGATCCACGCGTACGACTTCATAATTTAATGCTTCCGGGGGTCCTTTCCGAGGTTCCCCTTCTGAATCTCATGTGATTATATTCGGTTATACGGCACTAAGTATACCCGGGCGACGTATTCTGCTCCAATAAATCGGCATAACTGTCCAACGACCGCCCGATCAGATTAACCATATCCCAGATATAATCCGCCGTGAAAAGGCGCGCCCAAAGGCGGGTGACTGCCGCACTGAGTCTGGTATTTGTAGCCAGTAACCAGTCGCGCGAGACGCCATGCTGGACCTCCATAACCATCTCCAGAACAAAGTCCCGTAGGCGGGTCTCCTGCTCCGTCAAACCGGGGCTTGGGTGCGGGACAGTGACTGCTTCGAGCCATTTAGCCAGTAATACAGCACATTCAAGCGAGCATAGGGCATGCTGATTTGACCACAGCGCCACCTGGGAGTGGGCCACGAATCCAATGCCTAGCTTAACGGGGGTGCTGAGGGCGTGGGCGCAGTGGAGTGCTGCTCGGGTGAGTCGATCTCCGCGGAGAACGTGGAGGTTGTCTTTGAGACTGGTTGCTATTTGCACGGAATCCCACGTCTGCAACTGTCTTGTGGACCCGCAGTCGGCATTCAGCCGAATATACGCTAGCCGAAGCAGGGCCGCGGATGTAAAGGATAATGGCCCGTGTGGGCTCAGCGGGTCAATCGATGACTCCTGGTTTCGTTCCCAACATTGGCACCATCGTTCCAGGGCTTGTTCGACGGCAATGAGATCGGGTGTCGGAGCGATGGATGAACCGAAACGGTTGCATCGAGATAGAGCGAGTCGATTTGCCTTGGTCATGAGCCAGATGTCCTGTAGCAGTGCGTGGATGAGAACGTAGCCGCCGAGCGAAGAGAATTGCTCCATTCCACTATTTGGCGAGAACAGTGAAGAGAGTGCATCTTGGAACTTTGGCTCGCCAGGACTTTGGTTGCGCGCAGCTTGCCATAAGTCGGCGGTGGGGGCTTGCCACTCCTTTTCGGTGCAAGGTAGTTCCAACGTCATCTCTTCCGTGAGAATCACGGGAGGGATGTCAAATACGATTGTGTGGATATTGAAGAAGCAGAAGACGATGAGTTTTAAACGTTTCACACGCTCGCGCCAGATCCAACTAGCCCAAGAACCGTCGTATTCAGGCAAGCGATTGAGACCATCTTTTCGCATCAGCATTTCCATCAGGCTTCTTATTGACATCGCTTCGTGGTAGGGTGGGTCTTTCATAAACCACGAAGAGACAGATATGAGCATCAAGAGAGCCTGGATTGTTTCCAGCATGTCGAGGTCTCGTGCTGCACTCGCCGCGGGCATGGTCCCCGACTGAAAGACCCGCCGGAAATGCTCGAGAGTGACCGGCTTGGCGACCTGATAGAGGCGCATGCTGGTGTCCGGTTCCCGGCAGTAACGTGCGCCAAGTGATGCCATGGATATAAAAAGCGGAAGACTTATGGACTCGACATCTAGAGTCGGCTTGTGAAAGATTGGATAGTGATCGTGGAATCCCGTCAGATATCCCGTTAGGCATCGAGATAGAGCATGCCGTGAAGGGAGGGATGGGTCAGGTACCACGTTGGAATATGACCTCAAGGAATCAAGTAGCTTGTCCCGGCATTGAGCGGTGACCAGGACGAAACCCGTTGGCTGCCGAGCCTTTAGGGTGGTCTGATACCCTTCCGGCTGAAGAGAAGGCAATTGCGCGCCATGTCGAGGTAAAATAGAGCTTGATGGGGTTGAAGCAGTGGCGGTCTCTGACGGTGGTTCTCTCTCCGACTGGTCATAGTCTGTTGCTGGAGAAAATGGCAACGATGGGAAAAGAGGAAGAGGCTGGAAGGCTGGAGAAAAAGGGTGACTGGGCAGGGGAACACTGTCCAGGAAGGAAGTAAAGTCATTTCCTTCAAATGATCCCGGTGGGACACCGCTCAGTGAGTAACCAAAGTCGGATTCCGGCAGGGGCGTTGTTGGCGCAGCAGATGGGGTTTGAGGATTCGGTATCTGGCCGCCCATCATTGGTGTACGATGTACAGACAGCGGTGGAAACTGGTCATTGCTCCCCGACAGCGTAGTTAGATGCGCATGATCGGCCACCACCGACGCCAGGGCATCTAAGCCATCCGGGACTGGATGAGCGGGGGACGGTGACTGAGTGTTTTGGCTGGCGGGGCTGGTCCCCGGCTGATGGGTAAGCCGTATATGTCGAGCCAGGAGATCTCTGGAATGCTGTTAGAATGGCCGAGGAGATAGATTTGGAGGTGTGGCTTACTTGCGCGTAAAGGCCTTGGGACATTGCGCGCAGACAAACGGTTTCTCCTTGGTATCTGCAGCGGATTAGTGGCGACTCAACATCGGCCAAAGAAACGTACGAGATCGATCATGGCGCTGCAGATGCTCCAAGCGGGCAAAGGCCCGAGGGCAGCGCTGGCATTGATAGGGCTTGCTGCTCATCGCTCATAGCCCATGATGTGGTGTGACGTTGAACCACGGCGACCGATTAGATGTCGGGGAGGACGGGCGAGACTCCGGCACCGCTTGCATCGTGCGGCGACGGTGCGTCTCCTTTAGATCTGGGGTGGCCAGATGTACAATCTACTCGGCTACGGGTCCTGGAACTTTGATATCATTATTACTCTTGGACTTCAGTATCATAGGTTATCATCGGTCCTCGGTGGTTTTGTGGTTTCCCCAATATCTCGATACCTCGGATTTTTCTCCAAATTGGAGATCTCGAAAAGTGGAGAACCTTTCCCCAAAACGGTCAAGGATCCCATTCGCATTTGTCATACGCCTACGCCAAAACCTGTCGTCGGAAGGCGTAACTAGCTACGGCAGGTTCGGCTAGAATGCCGTCTTTATTATGTGATGGCTCACACCCTACAGTGGCCAAGCCCCTAGCCTTAAACATACCCCCTCTGATGAAGCCCTATCAAGGATCCATCCATACTTCCGGGTGGAGATGCCGAATCATTTCTCCAATTTTTTCTATTTTTCTCGAGTCTGAGGCCCACGCGTTAATAACTAGCGGCCCTATAAAGGGCTTAAAATACCCAAAAAGAAGGGGAGTCGCCTACGTTGGATAGATGACGTTTGAGGTTCCCAAACCGGTGCCCGTCACTATGGACAATCGCGAACTCAGCCCCGACTGTTCGCTAGCCGAGCCCCAGGATATCGAATATCGCTATCTCGAGCTAGAAACGCCGTTGCCGACCCCGTCCATTACACTACCCCCGGGCCCCGGTCAGTCGGCGCCTCCTGATGCCCCGAGCTTGGAAAAATATACTTCGCCGTTTTTGTGGCCCAAATGGCGCAAGGACATGATGACCTATATTTCTTGCGCGGTGACCGCGCTGGCTGGTTACTCTGCCGGAGAGGTCAGTCCGGCATCGGATGAGTTATGCAAAGAATGGGGCATTAGCGACGTGGTGTACAACTTGAGCATCACTATTTTCTGCGTTGGATTCGCCCTGGCTCCCATGGTTCTGGCTCCCTTCTCGGAAATCAACGGACGCAGACCCATTTTTGTTGCCAGTGGTATTCTTTTCGTCGGTGCGTGGGATTGCTCTCTATCTCTCTCTCTCTCTTTCCACGGGGTTTGATCTTACTAACGTGGTATAGCGATGCTGGTTGCATGCGGAGGTACACATTCATTCGCCGGGCTGTTGGTCGCTCGTTTCTTCCAGGGTATTGGTGCATGTATGCTCCCCAAATCCTCCTTCATATGAATATTTCCGGGTCTAACGCGAATGCAGCTACCTTTTCTACCATGGTGGGCGGTGTCATCAGTGATATCTACCACGCACAGGACCGAAACACCCCGATGGCTCTCTTCTCCGGTGCAGCCCTCTTCGGAACGGGTCTGGCACCTTTGATCGCCGGAGTTATCGTCGCCCACACTACCTGGCGCTGGGTCTACTACTCGCACGCCATTGTATCTGCCGTCTTCGTCGTTATCATTTTCATTTTCTTCAAAGAAACTCGTGGCAGTGTCCTGTTGAGCCGCAAAGCCAAAAAGTTGAACACCTACTACGAGAAGCTCGAAGAGGCCGGCCACTTTGGCGTCATCCTGTCGAGTGAAGAGTCGGGCGAAGAGAAGTGTGTCCGACGTATTCGATGGAAGGTGAAGAGCGATGAGCAGCGGGCGTCTTTGGCCACTATGATTCAGATTTCGGTGTATCGACCTTTCCGTGAGTTTCCCCGGGAAATCTATGTGCGGGAACCGATTGCTAATGCTCAACAGACATGCTTTTCACCGAGCCCGTTGTCTTCTTCTTCTCTTTGTGGGTGTCCTTTAGCTGGGCCACTCTCTACCTCCAATTCGGCTCAGTGCCTCTTGTCTTCAAAAAGAACCACGACTTCAACGTTGAGCAGGCAGGCGCTGTGTTTACCTGTGAGCTAACTAGCCATTTCCTCTCCTCGAACCTATAAACTAATCCAAATATCCAGCCATGTGTGTCGGCGTCATCATCATCACCATCATCAGCATCTGGCAAGAGAAAATCGTCGCTCACTTCGGCAAGCTCTCGTCTTCCGCCGAAGGACGTCTCTACTTTGTCTGCGTCGAATCGATTCTACTACCCATTGGTCTGTTCTGGTTCGGCTGGACATCTTTCCCATCCATTCCCTGGATCGTCCCAGCGATCGCCGTCGGCTGTGCGACCATGGGCATCTTCTCGATCTACCTGGCCACTTTCAACTACCTGGCGGACACATACCACCGATACGCCAGTTCGGCAATTGCGGCGCAGTCTTGTTGCCGGAACTTGCTCGGTGGCGTGTTCCCACTCGTGACGGCTGCGATGTTTAACAACCTCGGTTTCCCTGGTGCATCCAGTCTTTTGGGTGGTATTGTACGTCTTTTTCAACCCGTTCTTGATTGGATATTCGCTTACAATATGTATAGGGCGCGCTTCTTACTCTCGTTCCCTGGGTCCTGGCTTTCTACGGACCCAAGATTCGGGCAAGGAGCAAGATGGCGAGTGTAAGTGTTGTTCTTATTGATGAACTGGGATCTGATATACTGACTTCGTGATAGGAGCTCGCACATTAAATGACGTGAAAAAATAATATCATTGCATGAATATAGAATCCACATAGACATAGACTAATTTATAGAACAATGCATACAAAGCGTATTTTCGGTTATGTTTCATCGATCCGTTCAAGCACCTGAGCTACTCTTAAAGGGGTAATGGGAGCGTGTGCCACACGGCCATCTTAGCTGGCACCAGGCCACCGGGTAAGCACAGGGAAAAGTAACGTGGACCTCGGAAGGCCTTCCATTATGTAGTGTACACTCGTATAGAGCTAGTTCAATGCGCATGCAAAGCTTCAACAATGATCTCAGACTCGAAGCAAGTTGTCCAACGTCGCTGTCGGGCCGACATTTTTAATGTAAATGCAATCCTCTGTACTGTCATCGAGGATGTATGAGTATGCCAAAGCAAAAGGTTGCAACAAAAAGTCGATGCAAAGCAATCGCGACATTAACAGAATCAAAAATCACCTCGACTGTGGGTGATGCCCTTTAGAAACCTGTCCTTTGACCGCAAGACGATGCGATGCATACCTTGCATCATCTTCACTGTCGCTTTCCATCTGATCTAAAAGACGATCAATTTCATCTCCAGCGCCGGCTTCAAGGCCCAGTCCATGGATTTTTGATGGGAGTCCTTGCCCAGGATGAGATGCCTCGCCCTGTGAGCATTGGGTATGGCTTTTCATTCCATTATGTTTGGAATAGATCGACTCGTTCAGACTTCTCTGTGCGGCGGGTGGCTGCAAAGGCCGAGGGCTGGAGCGATACCCCGAGTTTTCGGGACTGGACATGAACATGAGTGTTTCAATTGCGTCCTGTTCCATTGAAGTGCTCTGAGATTGGGTTCTTGATCCGTAAAATCCTTCCTGTGAGGATGTAGGCGCCTGTCTATATGGCGGGATCGAAGGTGTCCCCGGTCCAAGGACCGATGGAGAGCCGTTCAGGGGCCGAGTGATCAAATGTTCTTGGTTTGAATGATGTCGTCGATGGCGCCCATACGGACTGCGCTCAAAAGATTTTGAAGCCAAATAAGAATTAGGTCGCCGGCGACGAGTATCTCCGTTTGAGGAGATGATATCAACGGGGGGTGCTAATTTGGGAATGGTAAGGAGTTTGCCAGGGGAAGAGATCGCTGACTGTGAACGGTGATGAGATAGGGTAGGCCGCGGTGTGTCTGTTGATGATGGTTTTAGACCGGGTGGAGGTGTTGGGTTGGAGATTGGTGATGGTATGCCACCACTTGGTGCCGGTGAGCTCAATGAAGAGACGGTTGCGAGCCCGCGCAGGGGGAAGCTCCGCGATTTCTCGCGATTGTCGAGCTTTTTCTATCTTTGCAGCCGCATATGAGAGTCGGGTACGAATATGAACCGACAACTACATGCGCGTCAGCAGTGCTTGTGGTCAAGTACGAAAGGGAAATATTACCTGTGCGATTCTACTCCCGTGGGCCGGCGAGCCTGTGCTCTTCGAACGCCGTCGCGTAGTCCAATTGGTATCGGAGGTTTGAAGTGCCCCCAAATTGGATGAGATAGGTTTGATGTCCCCAGTAGCTGTTCTTTTATGGCCCAACGTAGATTTCCCCACCCCCGATCGCGAGCTCGACTGATTTGATGAGCGCAACGGACCTAGCGAGTCCTCGCTCTCTCTCTCCAGTTTCACATCTGCATGAGAGACACCTAACCCTCCATGTCCATTGACCGGGAGTGACTTCAATGTATCCTGGGAATCCTGGTCTGTTGTGGATGCTTGCGATTTCCCATCCATGGATCGGTTGGGATCGTTCAACGAGGATGAGGGGATGCTGGGTAAGTAATCCGTAAAGGTGCTTGCGGACTGCAGTTCTGGCTGCCGACTGTCGCCCGATGTATCGCTGCCGCGTTCTGATGATTCAACGCATGTGGTATTCGGATCGTACTTCTCATGAGAGCCCGCATTTAACCCATTTATCTGCAAGGAAAGTCGTTGAGGGGATCGTGGGACTTGAATTTCCTCCGAACAATCTGGTTCTCCTGGCGCTGGTGGCATCGTGTTTACGAACGGGCTGTTCGCACTGGCCTCCACATGGGGAACCCCGCGACTCGACGGGGCGCCACGAGAGTCGTTCATGATCAAGTAGACTCTCTGTGGGGATGCAGTCAAAAGGGGACAAAATAACAAGTCAAGCAATACGCGACAAAGTTTCAATGGCCTAGTAATCCGGATGCACAAGCAATCTAAGCACGCAAGACGTAATTGCTTGCGCCTAGTCACCGCATTGAGACAATATTGAGAATGTCCAACGCGAAGCAAGGGTGCGCAACCCAACGGCCAGGATCTCAACACCCTCGAGAATCGCCGGGAGGGTGCACTTATGGTGCTGCGGGTGTCAGGAGCATCTGCTCGATCCAGTGTCGATCGACCAGCACGCGCAGGGTTGAGCACGAGCGGCGAAACGGTCAAGAAGCAGCCTCAGCCAAAGGGAACACAGCCCCAATAGACTGTGCCGTTTTGAGGAGGGACTCGAGACTTGTAGCCGGAAGAGAACCAGCAAGAGCGAAAGACCGAGTTTTGAGCAGTTCTGGTAATTCCCAAGTGAGAGGGCGTCGTCGGCTTTCCTTCTGCGGCGACGCGTGCGAGACACGGTCACGTGGTGACGTACCAGTTGCGGGAGCAACTAATTACTTCGTCTTTTTTGCTCTACGACGCTCAAATTACTTTAGATCGAAAGAGATGGAATACGAATTCAGTTGTGAAGAATCTGTCGTTCAACGGCATCAATATGGTGTCGTCTGTATCGAAGAGAAGTGTAAAAAGACAAGTACATAACCGAGTCCCCACTAGTTAACTTCCGGCGGAGAAAACATCCACAATTTTTATTCCCAAGGGCAGCCGCTAGAGGGATAATTGCAGCTGCTGGTCTTACCACCGCCAGTGATTGGAAAGCCGCTAAAGGATAGGTCTGGGCAACGGTCAGAACCACACAGAATCTAGTAATCATAGGCATCGTCGATGGCCGAGCCAATCAATCCGGTGATAGTGATGCCGGAAGTGGTCAAGTCGCGCCATCGTTGAGCTAGTCTTGCTGGATGCCATTGCTCCGGCAAACACCGAATCAATTGGCCCGTTGCATCTATCAACTGCGGCAACAAGAAGATTATCAGGCTGCTGCTGCGGCTGCTGCTTGCTCAAAACATCTCTGAGAGGGATTACGATTTGAACAGTTGAAGTTGAAGCTTCCACGCAGGCCTCGCTAGCTGTCTTTAATGCCTTCAACATTAGAGACGGACCCTTCACCATAGACACAGCTTGGTAAAGCTTATTTCATGTAGGCTGTGCCGCTCATCACAACATAGCGAGGCTGCAATTAGGGGGCTGAAACTGGGGGCCAAATCTGGTAAATCAGTCCTGCGTAGCTCCTGTGCCGATTTTTACTCGGTAATCAAATAGCGGCAAGAGGTGGGCACTAAAACGGAAAGGGAAATCCGAGAGTTGCCAGCCATTATTCGGTACATATGCATAGCATAGGAACAAAGGAAGAGGTCCATCATGGGAATCGATATACAAGTAAATTTTGGGGTCCAAACGCCATCTATGCAAGACAAAAGATACCAATGCCCTTCATGACATGTGCAGTATGAACATTCGCGATTATTTGCGCTTCTTTCCACCTCGTCCACCACCAGACTCTCCATCGGTATTCTTCCGCTTCTTTCCCTCACGACGCCAGTAATCATCGCGCTCTCTCTTTTCTCGAGCTTCCTTCTTCTCCAAGCTATCGGCAACCTTTGCTCGGTAGACCTTGCGTCGCTCTTCCTGCTTCGCCGCACGCTTGGCTGACTTCTCGTTGCGCATGGTGGTCAGCTTCTGCATCAGATCCCGCGCCTTCTTCTCCTCGCCACCGAGGACGACAGCCCGCTTCTGCATATAGGTCTGGTCGTTGCGCTTCTTCATCTTCGTGATCTGAGACTTGAAAGGCAGGTCGGCAGCCAATTGCTTGGGCACCCGCAGAGGGTTGAAGTGACGCTCTTGACGCTCGATCTTGTGGTATGCCGAGTCCTTGTTCAACGGGGTAGGAATGCCCTTCTCGCGGCGAACTTCACCGGTCAAGCGCATTCCCTGCCAGCCGTTCTCGTTAGTACCCTCTTCTTGGTCAAGAAGGTTCGTCACTGGGTTGTAGAAACGGTGGGGCCTGATAGGGTACCATGCCCGCAGGAAGACTATATCACTCATCAGGACCTTGTCCTCGAACGTAGCACGGAAGTAGCCTTCGGGCTTGCTCAAAGCTTTCTTGATTTGACCACGAATACCAGAGACTGTCCTGATGGATGCGCCCTCGAACTTGGCAATCTCCAGCGAGGAGTTGAACATGTCTTTGATGAAGGCAGTGTTCTTGAAGATCTTGTATGGCACTCCAGTAAGCTTCAGCTTCTTGACGATCTCGGTGTGTTCATCCACGTTGAGTACAACGCCGGTCGCAGCAATGCGGAATCCGGGGTTCTTGTTGGAGAATGACTGGACGCAGCAGAAACCAGTGTTGGGTGCCACGAGCGGACCGTAGAAGACGCCGAAACAGTGCATGTGTTCAGGAGTATACTTGAGCATACGGTTTCGAGTCCGGCTGTCCGAAGTGCTGTAGATGGGCAGCGATTGGAAACGACGCCAGCCAAGGGAAAAGATCAACGGGTCGTTGCTCTTCAAGATCTTCTTGTGCCAGCGGTGACGCTTGATACGAATCTGTACATATCCAAAGCGATCTTCGGTAGGGGCCAGACCTCCGACAATGAGGGGGAATCGAGGACTAAACTTGGATGCAAACTCGTAAGGCACGTTTTCCAGGACAATGCGGGCGTAGGTGCCAGCTTTGAAGCCTTCGGCGCGGGCACGCGAGGCCGGGTCCAAGGTGTCGAACTCGGCGCGGTTGATATCAATCTGCTTCTGCATCTTTGCCTTCTGCAGATCGTACCAGTCGTCCTCGCCAAACTCTCCTTCGACACCGTCTCGGGTTCCGTCCTTCGCATTGGCAAAGCCCTCACGGTCCTCCTCTTCGAAGCGAAGCTTCAACTCTTCCTTCTTCTTAGCGTTGCGCTCACGCTCAGCTTCCAAGTCCATACGGCCCTCGGGCTCTGCGTCATCCTCATCCTCATTCTCGTCTTCACCCTTATCCTCATCGAAGCCGTCAAAGGTCTCTCCAGTCTCGAGGTCCTCGAATGCTCCATCACCCTCATCATCGTCATCATCGAGGTCGTCCAGATCGCCTTCATCGAATTCGTCATCAGAGCCATCGCCCGAAAGCTTGGCAGTCACGAAACGACGTCTCAAGGATTCGATCAATTCCTCATCACGCCACTTCCGCTCCAGCTCTTCGTAGTCATATTCGGGAACGGCACGGAAGTCGGCTTGGTTTTCTTTCTCGGTGTTGGTCTTTTTGAAGAAATCATCACCTTCCTCTTCTTCTTCACCTTCCTCGTCGTCCTCTCCACGCCATATTTGGACCACATCGACGGGGGTGATGGACTCATCGTACAGCATTCGCGAGAGGTCATTGACGCGGAAGGGTGGGCGCTTTCCATGGAGAGCCTTGGCATTAGCCAGCATGTTGTCCTTCCATCGAACGTTGCCCTCTTCATCTTCCTCGTCTTCATCATCACCCTCTTCCTCATCCTCGTCCCCGCTCTCAAGTTCCTGGTCTGAAACCGAGGAGATGGAGCCAAGGTCGGAATCACTGTCTGCAAAGGCAACATCTCCTTCCTCGCGACGAGAGTTTCCATTCTGGCGTTCTTTGAAGCTCGTTTCGAAGTCTGCGGGCGCTGAAACATCCTCTTCTTCCCCGCTCAACTCATCATCGTCCTCTTCACCGGCCAGTTCTTCGTCGTCATCCTCAGCGCTTTCGAATCCTTCGTCGTCATCCGACGCAGCTTGACCATCACGCTCAGTATCAGCGATCCGGGCATGTCTTCTGTGTTTCCGACCAGTCTCATCATCCTCATCGGCTTGGTCGATCGCTTCACCGCCACGGAAGAGACGCACACCCTGATCAGCCTCGCCGAGCAATCGGCGTTCGCCCTGAAGACCAACCACTAGCTGCTCGCCAAGACCCCGACGATCTTCGTCCTCGGAGTCATCGTCAGAATCCCGGTTGAAGGTGTTGGTCTTGACATCAATATACACAGCATCCTTGTCGACCAGAACACCGCCAACATCGGACATGGGAGCAAACAGCAGTTTCTGCTTCTCACCAAGCTTGCGCCTATTACTCTTGCCCGTCGCTTTGGCCATCTGCTGATCGGCGAAGGGAGTCGGGCACGGGTCAGGCAGACCTTCGATTCCAGATACCGTCAAATCGCCAACACCAGGAACATGCACACGAGCACCCTGGGCGGGGAAATTGGTTCCTCGAAGATATCCATAAAGTGCGATGGTACGGTCACACTTGGGGTTCTCTTCGATCTTGGTGGGAGGTGTGACATCCAGGAAGCGATCGGCCAACGCGTACGGGTGGGAGTTGCGCCACACGAGAGGGCGTGGGGTCTTCATGACCGACAAGAATCGAGACAAGTTGTGCACTTCGCGATCGGGGTAGCGGCCGTTGATGACACCAGATAAATAAAAGAGCTTTGCACCCTGGTAAAGTTCGCTCCAGAAGCGGTGCTTCAGGCGCTTCTTGGTCATCTTCAAGGTGCTCTGCTTCTTGAAAAGATCGAGGTGGGTAAGAATACCGAAAACATTTCCCGGCATACCGCTGGTAGACAAAGCGTTCAGAAATTCCATGGTCTCCATCTCGAATCCATAGTTTCCATCAATCATCAAAAGGACGACATCTGCAATCTTGGACACATCGATCATGGCTGCGAGGGAATCGGACGGACATTCCATAAAGGTGAGGCGCTGCTTCTTCGAGGTGACAATAGTCAGCGGCCCTTGGGGCGAGCTGAGAGTCTGCTTGGTATAGCGGCGAATCAACGACTTGATGAGGGTGGTCTTGCCAACCTGGAGTAGTAGAAGATTTCAGGTTAGACTTGGGATTCACAAAACAAGTAGCACTGAAATTGTAACTTACACCGGGGGGCCAACGACTGCGACGACCGTCGGAGGAGCCTCTTCAGGCATGCGATCCACCTGGGGCACATGCAGTCTCTTTTCCTTGACCTAGAGCAGCAACCAGCGTCAGCTTCCAAATACCACTTGCAAACACGGGCGTACGTACATCGTGCGACCGCGCAGCCTGCCTATTGAGTTTTCCTGTCTTGGAGAAGGCGAATGCCTTTGGATTGTTGCCTGTATGATCAAGAACTGTCAGCAAGATTTGCGCTTCTCAATCGAGGTTCGAAATCAACCTCCGCAGATTTGCACCATACCCTCGTATTTCTTCTTCTCCTTCACGGGCCGATGGGCCCTGTTCGACTGCTGCTCCATGTTGCAAGCAAAGAGGTCCCGGACCTCACAGCTGCTCTTCTGAAATTAACTTGAAGAGAACAACGAAGACTAGGCGTGCAACGGCGACATGAACTTGATCGCCCCAAAATTATTATCTCGGGGCGGAAGATTATGGCGCCGGCAGAAAAAAAGAGTGACCCATTTAGGTTTAGCGTCAAGGGAGCTCCTCGACGGCATCAAGGCATAAAGGCATCAAGGCAGGCAATAACGTAATCGGTAAGCGAGTGGTCCATGTAAGCGAGCGGTCCACCTACCCATTTTTTCGCGTCTGGACGCGACCGTCTATCTTCAACCACCAACCATGCCACCAAAACGCACCGAATCCTCTCGAAATTCAGCCCATCAAGAGGGCAGGCTTTTATTAGCTATACAGGTTATAAAAAACCAAGAAATCAGCTCTATACGTGACGCAGTACGTCGTTTTGACGTGCCTAAAACTACGCTTCTCCGTCGACTACGCGGCACTACAAATCGCGCTGAATCTCGCGCTAATGGGCATAAATTGACCTAAATCGAAGAGGAAACGCTCACTAAGCGTATTACCTCAATGGATGACCGTGGTGGTGCGCCTAGGCCTTCGACAGTGAGAGAAATGGCTAATTTACTACTCGCGAGGCGTGGAACTACACCAATCGAGATAGTTGGTGAAAAATAGGTCTATAACTTTATCAAACGCACTCCTATGCTTCGAGCACGTTTTTCACGTCGATACGACTATAAGCGAGCACTACAGGAGGACCTAAGGGTTATTCAGCAGTGGTTTAATACTATATAAGCTACTATTCAGCAGTACGGTATCCTATCGGAGGATATCTACAACTTCGACGAGACAGGCTTCGCTATGGGTCTTACTACGATAGCTAAGGTTATTACTCGGTCAGAATACTATGGTCGGAGATCAGTTTTACAGCCAGGAAACCGGGAGTGGGTTACTACAATCGAATCAATTAGTGCTTCTGGGTGGGTGCTTCCACCTACGATTATCTTTAAGGGCAAGCTATACAACTAAGCGTGGTTTGAAGGCCTTCTAGGAGACTGGCGCTTTGAGGTTAGCCCAAACGGATAGACAATAGACGAGATTGGCCTTCGGTGGCTAGAAAAGCTCTTTATTCTAGCTACAACTAGTTATACGATCAGTCAATATCGACTACTAGTCCTCGACGGCCACGGAAGCCATTTGACAGCTCAATTCGACCAGCTTTGCCTAGAAAACAATATAATTCCGGTCTGTATGCCAGCGTATAGCTCGCATCTTTTACAGCCGCTTGATATTGGTTGTTTTGCAGTCTTAAAGCGCTTATACGGAAGCTTAGTTGATCAGAAAATGCGGCTTGGCATTAACTATATCGACAAGCTTGATTTCCTCGCAGCATACCCATAAGCTCGCGCAGACACATTTAAGACCGACACTATCAAAAATAGCTTCGCAGCAGCTAGTTTAGTGCCTTTTGACCCCGACCGTGTGCTTTCAAAGCTTAATATACAGCTTAATACGCCTACACCCCCAGGAAGCCGCCTAGGTAGTCAATCAAGTAATTTTACACCAAAAACACCAGCCAACGTCACCGAATTGCTTAAACAAGCATCCTCAATCAAAGCCTTCCTAAAACAAAGATCAAATAGCCCGCCAACACCATCAAAAACTGCGTTAAACCAGCTTATCAAAGGCTGCCAGATTGCTATACAAAACGGCATATTACTTGAGCAAGAAAACCGGGATTTACGTGCTGCAAACGCAGTGGTGAAGCAAAAGCGCGCTCGTGTTAATAGGTATATAGCCTATAATGCTGGAATATCAGTTCAGGAGGCTACACAGGCTCCTGAGCCTATTCCAGAGCCTCCAGCACCAGAACTAGCAATACCAGCAGCATCAGCGCAGGCAGTTCTACCAGCACTAGCACTAGCGCGACGACGTTTACCAACCTGTGGAAAATGCAGACAGATAGGGCATAAGGCAAATGCTTGTCCGGTTAGATAGTTTATTTAATATAAAGGCGTTTTGGTTTAAAATAAGCAGTTTAAAATTATAGAGGGCGGGTGGGTGGACCGCTCGCTTACATGGACCACTCGCTTACCGATTACGTTACATTAAGGCGATAAGGCCACAATAATTATCGTCGACCGGGCCGGTTTCCTCTCGATAAGGACTCTACCCCTCTCATCGGGCCGATGCATTTCAAAGCCCCTCTTACCCCTGGAAGCTATTGGTTACGGAATAGTAAGTTTGTCATTATTTGGCTAATTTAGTCGATACTCGGGGCTTTAATTCCGTGTATCTGAACTTTTCATGTCAAGTGACCAACACGTGGAGATGCTAAAATACTTTTTATCTTATATCAACTTAGTATGCGGGGCGAGCCCCATCCATCCACGGGACTAGATATCGGACGCCTCCGAGACGGTAGTAGTTATGTAATAGTTGGTGCCCAGGATTTTAGAAGCGTCCGCAAAGCAAAACCTGGTTTCTCAGTCTCTCAGGTGTATACTACGGCTGCAAGATGTCTGACCGTCGTCGACCTCCCCCAGCTTATACTGCACCCCCGGATTCGGGCATCCACGCTACCTCGCATCTCTACCGGTCTATCTCCGAGACCGCATCAGACCCAACGGCACGTCTCCCCAAGGAATCATTTACAATCCGACCATGCTCCGGACAGGCATGGGTTGTGCCTGCCGGCCACATCTGCCGCTTAACGACACCCAAGGGCCCGCAGGTGGGTGATCTCAACATCTGGAATGCTAACAACCCACGGGAGAGAATGTGGGCTGCACGTACCCGACAGATCCACGCTTCTCACGTCTCCGTCGGTGATCGTCTGTGGTCCAATCTGCCCTATCTGCGGCCTCTCGTGACTATCACGGGAGACTCGCTTGGCGGCGGACAGTTGCATGATGTACTGGGACCGGATGGGAAAAGAAAACCGGATGTTGTATTTGGCAACACGCAATTCGGAGGACGAGTGCATGACTTGTTGGGGACCCGATGCGACCCCTACGTGAATCTCCTGATGGGCGGCGAGACCTTCGACTTCCACTGCCACTCGAACCTCACGCGCTCGGTGGTCCCCTACGGATTGACGGAACTGGATGTTCATGACGTGTTAAATGTGTTCCAGGTGACTGGGCTGGACGAGGAAGGAAAGTACTTCATGGAAACTTCCCCCGCAAAAGCCGGAGAGTACTTTGAGTTCTTTGCCGAAGTGGACGTCCTCTGTGCGCTGTCGGCGTGCCCCGGGGGTATGTTTTAACCACCCCACATGAGCGAAATTGGAAACGGACTAATCATGCTTGATACAGGCGATCTTTCCAACTGGGGATGGGATGACAAAGAGGGCGGTATGGGGGCTACTTGCCGTCCGCTTGGAGTGGAGGTATATCAATTGACGGATGAGAAGGTCCTGAAGGGGTGGAAGGCACCGGAGAGCCCTAAATACCGGGGGATGCACGGAATGAGCATGCCACCTCGTGAACAGGATAACTTCGTCGGACTTTAATAGCTTAAATGGTTAAAAGCAGACGTGGAACCGCGATGACTTCAGGTATCTCCACGTGACCTGCCCCGCGTTCTAGGATAGCGTGCGTCATCAGGGCGCATGCCGCCCTGTTCCATTAACTTAGGCTATGTAGAATCAATTTACCGATGCAAGGCAACACATTCAGCGTTCGGAGGAGCGAAGGGCGCAAGTGCCACTTGCGCTGCCTGTCAGGCCGATCAGGCATCTACTTTTGCGAGAGATCATTGTAACCCCGAGTCCGAAAGAAATCACGACATCCTTGGGTCGGACAGGTGCGGAGACCCGGTCACGGCAGTGTAACTTCCGTTGTAAAATGTTCGTAGAAGCCTACGCGGTTTGCCCTGGGGCGCCCAAAACGGCAGGGCAGTGTCCAAGGTACTTGGAAAGCTAGAAATGGCGTAAGACAGCCCACAGCCCCTCTTATCAGCTTGGACGGCGCGTTCCGCCAGTATAAATCGAAGCCCCTCCCCTCCCTCCATCTCCGCTTTCCTTATCTCCAACTTAGCTTGAGCCCACACCTTCCCTGTGCTTCATATCTCTCCATCTTGCTCTCGCCGGATTACTGCGTTTATATCGATCTTCAACTATGCCTCTTTACAACGTAGGTGAAGCTGCTGTCTGTCTACAACGCTGATACTAACATTGGTGGCTTCCAGATCACTCTGAAGGAGGGGTCTTCCCCGGAAGAGCTCGAGAAGTTGGTTTCCCCCTTCGTCATTTAAGGCGCCGGAGCTAACTTTTTTTTTCTAGGGCCAAGGATGACGTTCGCGCCAAGGGTGGAATCATCAAACATGAATACAGCCTCATCAAGGGCTTCACGTACGGTTTCTGCGTCCATCAACTCTGATTCTTACGCTGACCCTCACTCAAATAGTGCGGAGTTCCCTGAGGACCTGGCTCAGACCCTCGACTCGACCGAACACATCCACGTCGAGCAGGACGGTGTAGTGTCGACCCAATAATCGACGCGAGAGCAACGCAACTGGACCGATCGGCAAACGTCCGCCGACCCAAGGACAATGCGACTGGGGTGGGGGTGGAATAGGGGTTTCTTTGCTTTAGCACGATGATTTGATACCAATTTTTACGTCCAACCGTCATCTGCTACACTCTGTTAATATTATTACCAGTGGTCTGGGAGTGAGAGCCATCACCTCCGGTGTTTTTGATGATCATTGTTAACGAAATTCATGGATATGATCTGAAGCCTTGGAACTGTATACCCGTATCCACAGGGCTAGAATGTAGAGCCTTTTTTTGTCGCTGTTTCTCGAAGATATACTCGGTTCAATTGAAAGTAAGTGACCGCATTGTAACATGGTGATTACAGAACACTTTTATCGGAGAAACCGGCAATTGGAAGTGTGTCATCGTTGGTGGCACGCAGGGCGGCTCAAGGCCGAGGATATCCGTTGACCGATGGTGCGGATCCCCGTCACCGCTCCCTTCACTTTTATCTCCGCACCCTCGCATTTCACACTTTCCCCCACGCAACCTTGGAAGGGACAAGGGCAGCCATGATCTCTCGAGCTCAGCCGTTCGGAGCTCAAAGATCGCTGTTCTCTGCAAACTGCCGTATACGACGCCATTCGTCAACCCAGACGAATCACAATTGGGGCCCCCGGCAGGCCAATCCCGACGCCGCCAAAGATGAGGTTGCTACACTGGCTACCAGCCCTCGTCGACCGCTAACTCTTGCAGACCTCCTTAAGTAAGTATCCAGGTACCTAAAGAAGGATCCGACCGAAACAAAAGCTCACAGATTGTCAATTTTACAGGCATGGCCGCCCGCCTTTGTCTAAAGATGCGCTCCTGGCCTCGGCGAATTTCACCCTCTCTCTCCTTCCGGCACGACTGGCATCGCGAATCCAAGCTCTACGAAACCTGCCCTTTATTGTGGTCTCCAACCCGCACGTGTCGAAAATCTACCACAATTACCTCCATTCCTTCTCTACTCTCCTCCCATACCAGCAACGCCGGATAACCACATTGGAGGAAGAGCAACGGTTCGGAGATGTGCTGGCCGATCTCGTCCAGACACATGCAAACACAATCCCCGTCCTCGCCCGTGGATTTCTCGAGTGCCGAAAATACGTCAACCCGGAAGATGTGACACGCTTCCTGGACACCCATTTGCGTGCGCGTATCGGCACCCGTCTGATCGCCGAGCAACACTTAGCTCTCCATTTCGCCTCGCAGCCGGTTGGCGAAGAACCCAAAAATAGCTCTGAGCCACCGAAACCCAAGGAATCAATCCCCTCCAATTACATCGGCGTGATCGATACCGCGCTTCAACCGGCGCGTATCATCCGGCTATGCGAAGACTTTGTTGGGGAGATCTGTGAACTCAAATACGGAGTGCGTCCCCGTCTGGAGATCGGAGGCGAGCCCGAAGCTGCGTTTGCCCATATCCCAGTCCACGTGGAGTACATCATTACAGAACTCCTAAAGAATGCGTTTAGGGCGACCATTGAGTCTGGAAACGAGCGCGAACCTATCGAGGTGACCATTGCGGCTGCTCCGGACGTTCCAGGGAATGAGCGTCCAATTCAAGGGGACACCGACGTTGGATTTGAACTCGATGAGGCTATGGGCTCCCCGAACGCATCATCACAGAGCATTACAATCCGCATCCGCGATCGTGGCGGTGGCATTCCACCCGAGGTTCTGCCTCACATTTGGTCCTACAGCTTCACTACATTCTCAGACATGGATTTCCGTGGCTCCGAAAACGGTAATTTGGATGCTTTGAATACCATTGCAGCTAGTGGTGGCCATCTGAGCAGTATTGCAGGACTCGGGTATGGATTGCCTTTGAGCCGCGCATATGCTGAATATTTTGGTGGCAGTATCGCAGTTCAGAGTCTTTGGGGATGGGGCACGGATGTCTATCTGACTTTGCAGGGAGTTGGAAAAATCGATTGAAGTATGTATATGGCGTACGTGGAGGAAAGGTGATCCAATCTGGCTCTATAAATTCCACTTGGTTGTTGCACGAGCAAGCAAGTCCACAAAATCATTGACTGGCAGATCGTTCTCCTGGGCCGAGTTAAGGATATGCGCAGTCTCGGCCTGTGAAAACATGTACGACATGTTCCGCTGGAATTTTGCTTCGACAGCGGCCTCTGTCTCTGGATGTCGCACGTGTCCAACAGGATATTCGACCAATACCTCCAGAAGGACGGAGCTGTCGTGGAGAATGACACTGAGCCCGTTGGAAATGCTCTTCTTGTCCAGGTTCAAATAGTCCTGGGTAAGATTGGGATCGGAGACAACAAAGATCTTCTCCCGGAGACGGGTTAGATCTTCGCTAGCCGTCCATGGGCTTGTATCTAGATAGTCAAAGGCATCAGGGGCAGCGCCCTTCAAGAAGGTCAATGCAACGACATACTGAAGACAGTGGTCACGATCAGCAGCATTGCGCAATGGGCCCGTTTTTTTTATGATCAAGTCGGCTGCAGCAGTGGTGCGCAACGTTATGCTCCTTATATGCGTCACTGGGTCTGATATACCCTTCTCCTTGAACCTGCGCAGCTGGACAAGGGCCGCTTCAACAGCCGAAACTGCATGTCCTTCCACGGGCATAACTTTGAACAGCATATTTTGGATTGTCCACGTCTCAAACGGCCGAGGAAACTGGAAACCTTGTTCTCCAAAGGTCCGCGTCCAGAATCCCCACGGCTTCGCAGTCAAGGCTTCTGCCGCGCCGGGTTGGCCTGCCCGAACATAAAGAGCGAGCTCAACTGCTCGCCGAGAAGCATCGCCTGCTGCCCAACCTTTCCGTGGAATTGTGTTACCGCGAGACCGATACACACGAGTTGGTTGTCCGTCCATCCAGACATGGGAGATAGATGCCATAGTTTGCTCTTCGGTGAGCCCAAGCAGCCAAGAAACAGCGGTAGTCGATGCAAGTTTAACCAATACCACATGATCGATTCCATAAGCATTAAACGAGTTGCCCATCTGATAACAGCCCTGTATTTCGTAGGCCTTGATTAAAGCAATAAGCAACGTGTGCATTGTCAACGGTGGTCCTGCATGGGTGCATTGCTCCGATGCCGATACTCGCGATAGCCAATCCATCACAGCAAGGATAGCTGCAAGATTATCTGCAACGTCGAGTCAACTTCAGTCGGACTTCATCCTCGAACTATCCATTACCTGAAGGGTGACCCCATTCTGCACCACCCAGCGCATCGTTGTGATCCAAGTACCGGATCAAAGCACCAAGATCAAAGGCGCCTTGAGCAGGGTCTACTTGCAAGCCAGTCCCTGGAACCCGAAATCCATTGGGGGTGGATGCCTTGCCGCGCCCGGCATTTAATAGCTTTCGACATTCGACACTTGTGGCTGCAGTTTCGATAGCACAGCCCAGGGTGTCAAGTAGTGCAATTCGCGCCCTTTTCCATACCGCATGGTCATTCTCGTCTATGTCATAATGGAACATATAGTGAGCAATATCGGCGATCGGTTGATCATACGGAAGTGACATGGTAGGTATGCATAGTTTGATTGCTTTCCGTGCGAAAGGTTATTTTATAAAAGGATCGGTCATTATTGTGTCCAAGTTCAAGAAGATAACCGCTTAATTTGATTTGCTACCCTGGTGGAACACAACACTTCAAGTGCGTCGGCTCTTTACCACAGAAGTCCCCGTTGACAAGCGAGATGTGAGAGCAATCGGTCACAACTCTGCGCACTCGGATTTAAATACCGTATTGATTGACCTCGACTCCAATATGTCCAAAGTAATGAGGATGTGATAGGGCGAGGATCGCGATGAGCTGTAAGATGTAGATCCCCCCACGTCTCCTCCCCTCCACCTCGGCTTTTTGTCCGAGGCAAGGGGAGATGCTCCGGCTTTCCCCAAATCAATTGCTTTATCAGCAACTTGTCCTCCCTGGTTTCCCCCTCGCGTTTATTCCCTGCTGATATTCTTCAACTTTCGTGACGAGTCTACTTTGTTACCCGTGATTCTGTGAACGTGATAGAGGGTATAGAACGCTGTCATGTATGTCCGAATGCCCCGTTCATTCTGCTTATCTGATTCTAGACTAATGTTCTGATAGGACGTATACTGCATCATTTGCCTTTTTCGAGGCCCTCTGGGAGGTACATGATCCCTGCATTCTCGATTGAATTGCATAGACAACGTTAACAATGAACCAGGGCGGCGTTACACATGTCTTTGTCAATCTGGGGTCGGATCACCCCTCCATCCTCGAGGCCATGGTGAAAGGCCAGAGAGAGAAGAAAGATCAATTCCCTACTATTATCACCTGCCCCAATGAGGTACGTCAGCAATTACACCACTTTCCAACCCACGCGTTCGAAGCTCCACCCCCGTCTCTATCGGCTATTTTCGGAAACAATACAGCACCCACTGATTGTTTGCAATAGATGGTTGCCCTTTCAATGGCCGACGGCTACGCACGATTGACCGGCAAACCGCAAGCTGTTATTGTTCACGTCGACGTCGGGACGCAAGGACTGGGCGCCGCTGTTCATAACGCCTCGTGCGGACGTGCTCCAGTTTTGATCTTCGCTGGTCTTTCTCCGTTCACAATCGAAGGCGAAATGAGAGGCTCGCGTACGGAATACATCCATTGGATTCAAGATGTCCCGGATCAGAAGCAGATTGTTGCGCAGTACTGCCGGTACTCGGGGGAGCTGAAGTCTGGCAAGAACGTGAAGCAGATGGTCAATCGGGCGCTGCAGTTTGCTACCAGTGATCCCCAGGGACCGGTCTATTTGGTTGGAGCTCGGGAGATCATGGAGGAGGATATCGAGCCGTATCAGCTTAACCAGAAGGTCTGGGGTCCTGTTGCGCCGTGCGCTCTGCCTGCGTCTGGAGTTGAGCTCATTGCTTCTGAGATTGCTGCTGCCAAAAACCCATTGATCGTGGTTGGATACACGGGCCGACAGGCGGAGTCAGTAACGGAGCTGGTTACGTTGGCGAACAGCTTCAAGGGCATCCGAGTGTTGGACACCGGTGGCAGTGATATGTGCTTCCCGGCCAACCACCCAGCATGGTTGGGTCTGCGGTATCCGGGTCATGATCTTGTGAAGACTGCTGATTTGATTCTGGTGATCGACTGCGATGTGCCCTGGGTTCCTACTCAATACAAGCCGTCCGAGTCGGCCAAGATTATTCACATTGATGTGGATCCTCTGAAGCAGCGAATCCCTGTTCACTACATTCACTCCATGGCTTCCTTCCGCGCCGACTCTGTTACATCGCTCAAGCAGATCAATGACTATGTTGCGTCCAATGGTCGGCTGCAGCAGTTTATTGGCACCAAGGAAAACATCAATATGGGACAAGTTCGAGAGGAGGATTATCTCAAGCGACGACAGGAGATCACCGACTTGGCTGTAATGCCAGAAGGCGGCGACGGTGCTTCATTGAATATCCACTATCTGATGTCGCAGGTCCGCAAGGGGTGCCCAGATGATGCCATTTGGGCTATTGAAGCCGTCACTCTTGCTCATTTTGTCGCTGATCAGATTTCGGCCACTTTGCCGAACTCTTGGATTAACTGCGGTGGAGGTGGGCTGGGTTGGTCTGGCGGTGGTGCTCTGGGCATCAAGCTGGCATCGGACGTGCAGCATGGTGGGAAGGGCAAGGGCAAGTTCGTCGTCCAGGTGGTTGGAGACGGCACATATCTCTTCTCTGTGCCTGGGTCTGTCTACTGGATCTCACGCCGCTACGATATTCCCGTCCTTACTATCGTGCTGAATAACAAGGGCTGGAATGCCCCGCGCCGCAGCATGCTGCTGGTCCACCCCAACGGCGATGGATCACGCGCTACCAATGAAGATCTGAATATCTCCTTCGCGCCTACACCCGATTATGCAGGGATCGCCAAGGCCGCTGCAGGTGGTGAGATCTGGGCAGGTCGCGCTTCGACCGTGGCGGAACTGTCACAACAGCTGCCGGAAGCTATTCAAAGTGTCTTGAAAGGAAAGGGTGCCGTTCTGGAGGCGCAACTGGACGGTACTACAGGAAAGTATATCGAGAAAGCATAAGATACTAAAGAGATGAACGGGATATCTCCGCAATGAATAGAATATGGTTTCACACCCTACACCTTACACCTTACGCCCCATACTTGTATAGTCCGAGCGCAATAAGCTTATCGCGCCGATGCCGGCGATAGCCTTATCTAGGCGGGGTTTGCGTACTCGGCTTTCAGTATCGGTGGTCCTTACACCGCCAGATCGGCGGATTAGCGGAGGGTTTCCGGGTATTCAGGGTACAGGTACCAAACGCCCTCATATTTCGCCCGCACCCCCCTACGCCCTTTGACAAGGCCAGCTGCACCCCGCGCAGGGGTGCATTAGATAACAGAAATCCACATTGCCAGTGCCGACTGGCCCTCTCTTAAATCCTCCAAAAAGCATCGAGATTTAGGTTACATAGATGAGTCACGCCACCCCAATCGGAACCGCGAAGCCGAGTGGATATCGAGGTTGTAAATTCGACCGTTGACTGGAATTCGCCTCCGCTCCCCGGCAGCTTTCTTTCTTTCTTTTGACCACCTACTACCTGATCGCAACGCCCTTCATATTCGGTCCTCCCTTTACTCGCGCTGAAATCGACTCGCCCGCCGCCTCGCACACAACGCACCTATACCGAAATCGCACCTGTCCTAGCCGTTCGCTGTCGCCATGAGCCCGCCCGCGCCGCTGGAGGTTGATATGGTGGGGGTTACTGATACCTCGGCCGTGCCTGTTCCGGATCCTTTGACGTTCAATGGTGTTCCGGCATGGCGTGCAAAGATGGCTCAAATGCCCACTGGAGTTGCGGCGTCCTCCAGCAGTGATATGTTCAAGAGCCCGGTACGGTACCTGGAATGTGGCGGAGTCATTGGAAACTAAATATACAATGTGGATATGGTGAATAACTGAGTGCTGATAAATGACATTTTGGGTGGTTTTAGGCTTGTTACGCCAATCCCAAGGCTAAGCGCTTTGATCGTAAGTCTGGTCCCGAATGTGGGCGGTGGTTATTGATTGTTTTGCGCCGCGTCATATACTTCTGTTAGTAGCGTGCTAATGATATTATTAAGACCACTTCTCTCTTGAGGCCAAGTCTCGCAAGGTTTGTATCCTGTATACTTGATTTGCGACTTATAAGCTTGTGGTGCTCATACTAAACCTATTACCAGGCCTCTACACTGAAGACGGCTGCGCGCTTCCTGAAGAACCCTGGTAAGACTTACTGAAAATTATTCAATTCCACCTGCTTGGCTAACCTCGACCCAAGGGATTATTTCTCTCGGCGGTGGTCTTCCGTCTGCTGAGTATTTCCCGTTGGAGAGCCTCGATATGAAGGTCCCCACGCCACCGGGTTTCTCTCCCGAAGCTACCAAAAAGTCCGGCACGACTCTGCACGCCGGAAAGCATGATATTCAAGAAGGAAAGAGCCTTTTTGGTATGTGACTTGAACTTGGTCGACTATGGTGTAACTGACGGTGTTTGGTGCATAGACCTTGAAGTTGCTCTCAACTATGGCCAAGCTACCGGAGCTGCTCAACTTCTTCGATTCGTCACCGAGCACACCGAGGTATGAGCAAGATGACCTCCACCCTATATATCACCTCTAACACTTGTCAGATTATCCACCACCCTCCTTACTCCGACTGGCAATGTACCCTGACTGCCGGTAGCACTTACGCTTGGGATACCGCCCTCCGTCTCTTCTGCGAGCGTGGAGATTATATTTTGATGGAAGAGTACACATTTGCGAGTGCAGCAGAGACTGCTTTCCCGCTGGGCCTCAAGGCCGCGGGCGTCCCGATTGATGAACAGGGCCTCATCCCCGAGGCCATGGATGTCCTCCTCAGCAACTGGGACGAGAAAGCTCGCGGCGCACGCAAACCTTTCGTCCTCTACACTATCCCCACAGGCCAGAACCCCACTGGCGCAACCCAGTCGGCTGAGCGCCGCAAGGCGGTATATAAGGTCGCGCAGAAGCACGACGTTATCATTGTCGAGGACGAGCCCTATTACTTCTTGCAGATGCAACCTTACGTTGGTCAGGATGCTCCCGCCCCACCTCCACCTGCCAACCACGACGAATTCATCAAGTCCCTCGTTCCCTCGTTCCTGAGCCTTGATGTCGACGGCCGCGTTGTGCGGTTGGAGTCGTTCTCCAAGGTCATCGCTCCCGGTAGCCGTGTCGGCTGGATTGTTGCCTCTGAGCAGATTATTGAGCGATTCATTCGTAACTTCGAGGTTTCCGCGCAGACTCCCAGTGGTATCGCCCAGATGGTTCTCTTCAAGCTCCTGGATGAGCACTGGGGCCACTCCGGATACCTGGACTGGCTGATTAACCTCCGCTTGGAATATACCCACCGCCGTGACGCATTGCTACACGCATGCGAGAAGCACCTACCTACCGAGATTGCCCACTGGGCGCCTCCTGCCGCAGGCATGTTCGTAAGTTTCACAAGCTCTTTACCGAGGCCCAGAAAACTGCTAACATATTCCTAGCACTGGATCGAGATCGACTGGCACAAGCACCCCGGCGTTGCTGCGGGCAAGTCCCGCGAGGAGATCGAAGAAGAGATCTTCCTTTCTGCCGTGGACAACTGCGTTCTCCTGTCCCGAGGAAGCTGGTTCAAGGCTGACAGCGAAGCCGTCATGGAGAAGATGTTCTTCCGTGCGACCTACGCTGCCGCCTCTTCGGAAAAGATCGACGAGGCCATCTCGCGCTTCGGAGAGTGCCTGCGTGATCAGTTCAAGCTGTAAATGTGGAGCAATCCTCCCCCAAATTTTGACGGGCTAGGAAATCGATTTTTGATTCCCCAAGTTTGGTGTGTTATTGCCCAGGTGTATCTAGCATTAGATTCTAGATGGCGGGAAGACCTCACGAGATGGGGAAACTTTCAGCCTTAATTTACATATTGCACAAACAAGTGTCTAGCCATGCGTATGATTGCTTGAAAGTACAAGTCTGTTATAATTTTCCATAAGATTCAGCAAACTTGTCTAACCAGTCTAACCACCCTTGCCGTGGATTTGTGGCACCGGAGGCCCATCGGAGCCCGGCATAGGGCGTCTTAGCAGGGCCCGTTCAAGGCGAGGCAACCAGTAAAAACCGAGTATTATGAGGCTCGAATCCAAAAACGAAGGAACGGAGTCTTAACTAAAGACCCTTGGAAATTGTTATGTTGCATTACTTGTTGCCACTAAAAGACTCGCTAGGCAATTTCTGCTCGCCGAAGCCGTAATATGAATTTGCCCCTGAGAGAGCTTTAAAGCCGCGACTTGCAGGAGTATAGAAAATATTGATATTAATTTTTTTCGTATCCTCCAGCTCGAGTGCGACAACGGGTCCGATCATCTAAACCCAATCGTTCAATATGCGCAGTGGGGTATCTTGGCTATTCGCGCTGGCTGGCGCAGCCTTAGTCAACGGATTCTCGTCGGAGAGCAGAGACGCACCAGCAGTGGTTGCAGTCCCCTTTCGACATGATCGACCGGTCCCGAACCAGCTTTTGAAAAGGTCCAAGATCGCTGATATCGCAACCGATTTTCAAGTAAGCGATGTGCTCGCTTTTGTCCTTCATTGGCTGATAACCTCTTTTAGTGGGATGTTTACAACGTAAACATCACTCTTGGCACCCCACCACAGAGCCTCATTGCCATCTTTAGTACCTGGGGAAATGGATGCTGGGTAACGGGTGTCAACTCCAGTGACTGCAGCGTTTTTACAGACACAACGACCTGCGGAGGTGACGGTGCTTACAACCGAACCCTTTCGACAAGTGCGAAGTTGCTTGACGAAAAGTTCTCTTACGACGATTCCAGCTCACAGTTGACCGGTGAATTCGTGACGGATGTCCTCACCATTGGAGACGCGAAGGTGAATGACATGAAAATGGGAGTGGCCGAGTGGGGCTTCCCTTCGAGTAAGTCGAAGACGATTCATACCTCGTTCATGTGCGCGCTGACACTTTCCGGCCATGATAGACACAATAAGCCTGGGATATGGAAATACGTCTTCCACCTCTTTTACCCAGGCACTGGCAGACTCAGGCGCGATCAACTCTCCAGCTTTCAGTATGTGGTCGAACATGATCTTGTTTGGGGGTATAAACAAAGCGAAATACGAGGAGCCTCTCTACACATTTCCCATCGTCAATGGCTCCGATCTTACCAAAGCCCTTCGTATCAACATGACCGGCATCTCAGTCAATGAAACCGCCATGGTATCGGACAAATTCCCGCTCGATGCGGTGTTCGATATTGAAGTCGATATGACATATGTGCCCGACTACTTGGCTAAGGCTTTGTTTGCCCAGATCGGGGCAACAGGCGTGCCAGATGATAATGGACAGGTCAACCTTTCTTGTAGTTCTGTCGGTGAGAACGCGACGATCGGATTTAACTTCGGGGATTTGAATGTCCAACTCCCTGCTTGGTCATTTCTGAGCGGCAATCCCGACATTGGCGAATCCGATTACGAGACGGATGATCTTTGTTATTTTACCATTTGCGAGAATAAGGAACTTCAGAATGAAGGTAGCATCGTGTTAGGGACTAACTTCATCACTCTGGTATACTCAGTGTTTGATCTGGAGAATGACGAGATTTCTTTGGCCGGTCGGAACTGGAACGCGGCTAGTGATGATATCGTCGAGATCACAACGGGCAAAAATGCGGTTCCCGGAACTACTGCTGGGTCCAATTCTACTGGGTCCAATTCTACCGGGACCAAGTCTGCGGGGAAAAAGTCTGCCGGTATTCGCATTGAAGTTGGAATGCGTGCAGGGGCATTGATCTCTGCGATTGCACTCTGGTGCTTTGTTCTATGATATGGGTAGACTTGACTACGACGAAATTAATTAATTAATAATAAAAGTCAAGGAAGATCAAGTTAGAATTGAAAAATTTTGTCTCTGTCTATTTGTAAATCCCATCATCGTCGTCATCATCGTCATAATCATAATCATCATCCTGGCCATCATCCTGGTCACCGCCCCAAGTGTTCACAGGACTTCGGTCAGGAAGCAATAGACGAGATATTCGAGAGCGTACTGCTGGGGAAAGGTATTCATAATGAAGACTGCCCTCTCATCGCCGAGTCCATCGCCGTCAAGAGCCTTTGCGAAGTCCCAGTACTCGGGATAAAATCCGCTCAGTGCCCAATCCAGAATTGCAGTCACTCTGCCATTGTGGACCATGATATGCTGGGGCTTGATATTACCATGAGTGAAATGAATCTTGTGGTCGTTGTTCGACAATAGCTCCCGAACAAAAGTCCGGATGTCAAGTCCACTGGTACCCAAGGTGGTGATGTAGGCATTGCTGAGTGCCGTGTTGAACTGACCCTCTGATTTGAATGGACCTGAACGGAAGAACGCATGGAGTTAGAAGTGTCCAGAGACTTCGAGTAAAGTCACACTTACCTTTGCTTTTGATCGACGGAGACGCCATGTCCAGGACGGCACCACTGTTGAGTGAACCGATGTATGAGCCTTCTAATTTGCGCAGTTCTAGGAGGTATGTAGTGAGCTGTTTCGAAATGGCTTCTCGGCTTGGTCTGGTGCAAGAATCCCAGGCTTTGTCGAGAGACTGGCCCTTTGCAAGGGCCATGTAAATGTACGTCTCGTAGAACTGTCCATCACAGATGACATTATCGCGAGCGGACCGGGGAAATGGACCGAATGTGCCGTACGCCAGCACCTTGGGCACTGGGATGCTGGTGTTTTTGGCCATAATCATCATATTCTCGGCCTCTTTCTTGGAAACTAGCAGACCATACTTGACTGCAACACCTGGGCCGATTTGCACAACGCGGTGTGTTTTGGCAGGAAGGCGGTTGGCTTTCTCACTGGCCATCTCCTGGACCGCGTCTGGATGTGTTGGCGTGAATCCAGACGCGGCCCAGAGTACTGTAAACTTTGGAGACATCACTAAAGATAGCCCTTGAAGAAATTGGAATCCAGCTTGATGGAGACGCGATCGAAGTGGAAAGAAATAAAAATAGCAAGAGAAGCAAGAGAAGTATACCAGAGTGGATCCCAAGGGCCTCTAAACGGTACCTCCGTTTCAGCCTCAGGTGTGAATATCACGTGCCCCCCTTGGTGATGACACCCACGCGTGAAACGACAACTCCGACTTGACTGGCAACAGGCTCTAATTCCATCTTCATATCTCTATGAATGGTTCCGATTGCCTTGTCCCGATAATCTCATCATCCTAGCACTGGCAGCGGAGCCCAGCTCAATAGAGAAGTCGCAATCAGAATCCCATTGATATCCTCGTATCAGGAACTTCGGCATTCTCTTTGTTCTCTCCATGTAGGTTCGCCTTCTACCCTTCTGCCATTACTATGCGCCTTGCTCTTCTTCAACTTCTGTCCTACTGAGACACATATTTTTCAAACTCTTTATCTTCATCCTCCTCACTTTGATTTTTGCTTCCCGGCTCGTTCAGGAAGCCCAGCTTGCATATGTGACATTCCGAGACCATGGCTGATTGCAAATCCACAGATCGGCACCCGCAAGACGGAGTGTCTCTCTCTCAAACCGATCGAGAGCTTCTGTTGCACTTGCTAGAAAGGCAAGACAAAGAGTCTGGCTCGTCCAGCACAGGACCTGGGTACAGGCCAGGATCTCAGCTATCTACCTCATTGAAAGGGAAAAGCGCCCCTCATAGCGGTATTTCAAAGTCATCGTGGTATGTAGCTCCTATGACAATTGTGTGCCGATACAGTTGTTGAAACTGACCAAGCAGGAACCTCACGGCCCGTTTCCGACTGCCAAGGATCGAGTCTCTGGATCATAGTGTCTGTGATATCGAAGGTGACAACGGCGAAGGGCCACCTCTGGATCTTTTAACCGACGGTCTCTTCAAAGGAGGTGCCGTCCACTCGAGCATCCTACTTGCTGAGTTGCTCGAACTGCTTGAGACAGACGCTGTTTGGTCTCCCCGTAACCGCACCCCTGCTGTCAATTCGCAACATTTGAGCGCATTTTACAGCACTGCAAGTGATACTGAAAGCCTGTCAAACGATTGCGACCACCTAAGTGTGGGAACAACAGAGTCGCTGGATGCCCCCGAGGCAAACTTCCCTGGTGACAGCTGTTCATACGAGGAGCTCGAGGAATCCTTACAGTTGAATTTGGACTGCAAATCAGAAATTGACTGTGAGGAAGTAGGTGGCGTTCATTCGCAAACTACGCCAGTCACTCGTGAAGGCAGCCCGTCACGCGTTCCTTGCATCGACAGGCTTACTCCCCCTCACCCTGTTGACGACTTCCTCCCTTCTGATCTCCCATCAACAATCTCCCCGTCACATCCCTTCTTGTATCCTGCCAAAGCTCGATCGTGGCCTCGCAGTGGCTTCAGGCAAAGATTAAAGGCACCATTGTCGGAGATATTCAAGAAACGGCACTCCTCCAATCAGCTCTGAGCCAACGTCAAGTATAACATATTGACTTCCGAAACCTCCCCTCACATTCAATAACCAACCCAGGCACGATGGACACTCGCGGATCGCGTTTATTGGACCCGTCGTCCGCCATGGCGGCGATCACCCGACACAAAGCTGAAGCGATCAAGCTGGCCCGAGAGCAGGGAACAGCAGTCAAAGAGATGTGTCGGCGTGCAAAGACCGAAGTGCCTCCCTATGAATTCGAAGAATTGATTGGCAAAGGTGCATATGGTCGAGTCTACAAAGGTCGACAGGTGCCATCGGGCCGCCTTGTCGCTATCAAGGTTCTCGATATTGACTCGTTAGACTACAAATCCCAGCGAGATTTCAGGGACGAGTCCATAAAGGATTTCATTCACGAGACTAAGGTCATGAAGCAAGTGAAGGACTCTGGAGCCCAAAACATCAACGAACTCATTGAGGCAATCTCTATTCATTCCCAGTTATGGCTAGTTTGCGAATACTGCCCCGGTGGAAGTGTCCGAACATTGGTAAGATCCACTCACTTGAAGTGGTGGGTACGATTCGACTAACATTCCGAAGATGCGCGCAACTGGCGACAAACTGAACGAGAAGTACATTATCCCCATCGCACGAGAGCTCGCGGTCGGCCTGCGCGCTATTCACGATGCCGGGATCATTCATCGTGATGTTAAAGGTGATTAACTCTGCTTCTTAAGATTCAGTCGATGCTAAAATGGTTTGAATAGCTGCCAATATCTTGGTTCATGAGGAAGGCCGGTTAGAGATCTGTGATTTCGGTGTCGCTGGTATCCTCCAGTCCCAGCGCGACAAAAGATCAACGTGGATTGGAACACCTCATTGGATGCCGCCGGAGATGTTCGGCCGCGGACCCGCGCACCGTTACAGCAGTGAGGTGGACGTGTGGGCATATGGGTGCACGCTCTACGAATTTGCGAACGGAAGCCCACCCAACGCAGGTCTTCGGGAGCCAATGCAGATCGGTCGTCAACTGAACAGGACAGCTCCCAAATTGAACAACGATAACTACAGTCAAGGTCTCCAAGAGCTCATCGCATTCGCCCTTGAGCCCAATCCAGCGAACCGTCCGACAATGGCACAGATTCTGGAACATCCATACATCGCTGGAACAGAGGAGGAATACCCTACGTCGTCTGTGAGCGAGCTAGTCCGCAATTACTACCAATGGTCGCAACGGGGAGGCCAACGTATCTCTTTGTTCAATCCTGGGGGTGCAGCGGCAGCAGAAATGCCAGATGCTGAGGAGCCAGTTGACGATTGGAATTTCAGCACAACCGATGGGTTCGAACGAAGATTCTCCGTCATTGACTTGGATCAAATTGCCGCGTCTCTGGCTGAGATGGAAGAATCTATCAGCCCATCCACGCCATCCTCTGAACATGATTCTGGTGAAGATGTGAATGTATCTGATATGGACCCCGAGCAAAAGGCCAATTTCGATGAACGCGTGCGTCGTGGCGCCGCAGCTATGGAAGGCCTTTTTAACGAAGAAATGCCGAGTTACAAATACGAAACTAAGAACGACTTTGTACCCATACAACCCGCCGCGCCGACTTCTGACCTTCCCCTGCGCACGGAGACGGACCGGTCCTCAGTGATGTCCACTTTGATTGACATTGATATTGGATCTTTCGACTCCTCCCACTATGCAGCTGGTGCGCCGACAGCACAGCCGTTCCAGTTGGCTAATGCTGATACAATCCGTGCGAACCGTTCGAGTCTCCGTCTTCACCGAAATTCGAACGAAAATAGCTCGCAGTCATCCAGCAGTGGTCAAGAAGATGATGAATCTCAGGAAAAAGAGTTTCAGCCCCAATCAGGCCCTCGCCCTCCGACCATGGATTGGAAGTTCCCTTCATTCAACCCACCCCCAGAGCCTGAGGATCAAACCGAGGCAAAGACCGAGGAGGCTCCAGCTCCCGAGTCAGCGCCCGAGGAACCGTTCCAGGCGGAAAAGCGTGCTACCATGCAGTGGACGTTCCCTGTCATGGGCGAAAATACGCCCAGCGATCTAGTAAATTCCGACCGCTATGACACCCTCAGAGCACCGCTGCCTGATATTCAGGAATTGCAAAACGACGCGCCAGGGGAATCCCGTCCGTCGACCTCAGCCTCGAACAAATCTACCATGTCTGACTCAGACTATGACCCCTTCCGGTTTGATCGACCAAAATCCCCGCAGGCTTCACTACACCAATCCACATCGTCTTTTGGCTCGGCCCTTGGAGATCCCTCCGATCACGTGGAAGATGACTCCCGTGGAATCCTCGATGGGCCGGGGCCGGATGAAGAGGACCCCCCTTCGTGGAGTGAGACCTCGTCGACAATCGACTCCAATGATGTACCATCACTCCCTACCGCGATTCCCGTGCTGGATGGTCCCGGAGAAAGCCCTATCATTTCGTCCGAGCCCGGGTCTCCCGTCTATGATGAGCCTTTACAGACTGCTCGCCGTGACGTTATGTCTATGGCGATGTCCCCAGCAACCTCTGCCAAAGAACATGAGCCAGTTTCCCTCTCTTTCCCTTCGATTATTCCGCCTAGTGCAGAGAGCTTGATGGAAGGTATTGATGACAATACCGTCACCGTCGAGCTGGATCGTCTGCTTGGTGACTTCCTCGATGCCTTGGCAGCTACGGGGGATGCACTCTCAAGAGCAAGTTCTGGACATCAGACAGATGAATCAAAGCATGCCACGGAAGCAGGCCAGTGATATTTACATGCGCTAGAGTTATCATCATTGCATCCATAGTCACAGATAGATTTCTGATTCGAATTTTAACGAAGCATTTATGACGATACCTCATTTCTTCACATTTGGAGACCAGAACTTTCGCAGAGGACAAATTGTTGAGGAACTTGTAGGCTGTAAATACGACCTTTCCTGTGTATTGTCATTTTCAAACAGCGCTGATGTTTGTTTGACCCGAATCCTGCTGTTCATAGAGTTTGTTCCTCACTTGAGATGAAAGACGAAAAGCGTCAACGATCTTCCCGATTGGGGTTCGTGTCATGTTGACGTGACGATAGACGTGACGACACACGAAGACGTGTTTCTTTCTTTCATTGATCCTGGATTTCTCTTTGAGTTCTTGTTCGTCTCCTCCAACCATCGAAGAACCTGCTTGCCCCCGTGACGGCCCAGATACGCATTGTTTCGTCTTTACGTGTTTATTGATAGCCATACATCATGTTCGGTGGATTTTCGAGCAAATTTGGCCCGGTATCTTTTGCCCCTCCATCTACACCTACGGCCCCTCAGACTATCCGGGAGTGGAAGACTGCATTGAACGGCGTGAAGAGTCTGTATCTCCAGCGGCAGTATAAGCAATGTGCAGCCCGTTGCGCCGATCTGCTCATGGTGGCTAAGGAGCCTGTAAGTTCCAATGCCTTTGAATTTATGCATTAGGCAATTGACTTCTTCACTACAGATTGAGCCTGTGTGCAAAACATTCCTCTGCTTCTATGCCGCGATCAGCTACGAGTTCCTCGGCCGTGCAGCGCACCTGTACTCACACAACAAGGTTTCTCTCCTACACCAGGCTCTCGACTCATTCCTCGACTGTGGCGCTACTCTTCCAATGCTCATTTCTCTGCCTAAGCTTCCTAGTGATCTAGACAGTCCTGAGTTCAGTTCCTATCTCACCCCACCGGAGACCCCTCAGTACACACCCAATGACTTTCTCATTTGGGTTGATACTCCGGAACAAGCTTCACCTGAGCGTCCTGCTCTCATTCGGAGTATGACACACATGATTGATCTCTCGCTGTCGAATCTAGATGACGATCCTTTCGTTTCAGACTCCGGGTCGGAGCATGCCACATCTTTCATACTGACTCTGCCAAAGCACCGTGCCGCACCAAAACATGCGATTGACAGGGAGAATATCAATATGTCTCCGCCCAAGACCCCCCGCAAGTCCAACGATCCTACGAAGGACTATCGTCTCACACCTTCTCCTCTTCGTATCCATAAAGCTGCTCGAACCAAGGCGTGGGCAGTCATCTATGAAGATGATGATGGTGATGACGAGGTAGATTTCAGTCCTCGCCCTAAGCCACTGCCCCTGCAGACCACCTCAGCAAGCAAATTAAACATCAAGGCCCTAACCACCAGCGCGATTACCACCACCCCGTTGTTAACTGATAGTTCTTCTCCGTGCAAGTTCAGCACGCCCTCGTCGATCTATTCACGAGACCCCGATGGCCACAAAGAGGTTGACGGTACTATCACCCCAGCTCATGCCGCTAGGATCGTTCGATTCAATCGTGGTGTTGAGTTCCTGCGCGGGCAAATCTCGACCAACATCATAGAAATCCAGCAGCATGTGGACCAGGTCAAGGACATACAACGTGCGCGCCGTGCTCGCCAGATGCAGCGAGCAACCTCCTTCTGGAGCTTCCGACCCATCACCGATGACATGGGCGAAGAAGACATTGGAGAGAAAGAGGAGCAGCAGCAGGAGGACCAGAAGCCGGAGCCGGAGCCATCCATGGACCAGTTCGGCAATATTCTGTACAAAGAAACCAAACAGCAGCGGATTGTCCGCCTGCGTGCCGACGGATGGAGCACCGTGGGAGTGCGGTCACCCAACAGTACCTGGAAGGGGGCCCGGTACTACCAGGAGTTCTGCAACATGGTTTTGACCGAGCTGAGCCTGGACAATTGAGGCCTAACGGGAAGGCTTGACCTATGTATTTCTGCTGTTTAGCAAAACTGGTGGGGATCTGATTTTGATCTATGGAGGAGCTTAATGATCTGGCGCCAAATGTGGATGCCGTGAGAATGGTAGATTTCATCTGAACCCATCTGTACAAGATCTCATCGAGCCCCTGGAGGTTCCTCGTCATAGTTCAATGTTCCATGATCCTGTGGAACCATTCATTTACAGGCTCTTGCTCAACACGGAGCCTACTCCTTCACCAAATCCACCCTTTCCAAACGTTCCTGCAAGCTCGCTTCCCATCTGGTCTTGAATCTTGCTAAAATTCTCATCTTCGATAAGCTTCTTCCCCGTCAAGCTCACTGCACATAAATCATATTAGCATCGGATCCACCCTTGTGATATCAACGAAATCGGCATAACCTACTTTTAAGTCCATAAGAAACTTTAGTTTCGCCCATGGCGTCGAGGATAATCTCCTGCATCATTTTCTGGTACGGGTCCAGATAACCGGAGACCCAAGCCAGGAATAGGACGACTTGCAATGTGAGGTAAACGGCGAACTGAATCATCTTTGCAGTTGTTTGGATTTAAGGGACGGAGGTCCCAAGGTTGAAGAAAGCCAAAGTTGTCGTGTGGCATTCGCATGGTTATATATGCCAGACAGGCGCTCTCGAGCCTATGACGTCCGGGGCGTGGGATATGACGCTGCCGCGCAACAGTGACCGCTCGGTGGGGTAACGTCCACGATGTGCTACAAATCAGATAGGTCGTAGTTCTTGATTTTGATTAAGACCCCTAGGATATCTTTGCGCTCATCTGTCATTTCCTTTCGTATCATTGGCACTGCGAGAATGACTCGATCGAGCGTGTAGCAAGTCGATCCCGAGATCTGCAAACCTTAGGCAAAGGACGGGCTACGAAGGGTACGCATCTTTTCACTGGGATTATAGATGATCTAGAGAAAATTACAAGGTAGGATATCGTATCCATGGTATGTTTTTGCTCGATGGTGAAACATATAAACCAGTCCAACATTCTCCCACCGGAGATATAGTACAATGCCTTGATACGGGCGCCTGGCGACCACGAATCCACTTCAGTCTCCGGACCGTATGGCGCAGTTTGCAGGTGAGGCTGATCTCGACCATGGACAGCCCCCTTAGCTACCAATTTAGGCCCCCAAGATTCGAACCCAAACTTTCAGGTGTGGCGGTGCAAACCGTTTGGAAGGCCACGCACGCCAAGGGCCCGCTAAACCCTACAGCCCCAAGTCGCCTTATCGCGCGTCTAGAACTGAAGATCCCTTTTTTCGCCCTCTACTTCCCTATATTTGCTCTTCTCGCTCCGGTACGTTCATGTTTCCAATCGTGTTTCCAATCCGATCTCGAAGTTCTCGATCCTCGAAGATTCCTGGTGGATTCCTCTCCCCTCTCTCCCGCGATAGGCGTGAGCCGCCCGCTCACCCCCGCCTAGTGCAGGCTGAGATCTGTCGTTTTTCAGCTCGCTGACCTTCCCTGATAGCTTCCGACTCTACTCTCCTCCGTGCGATTTCAATCCCAATTCATATCTCTTGCTCTTCTTTTCGACCCGCCCTTCTCTCCGTTGCGGGGTTCACCAGCCCACTTTTGCTACCTGACGGGTCACCTCTGTCCATTCACACCCATCGCATACCTAGTCCGGTCGTCTAGGGCGTCTGCAGCCCTATTCCCACATCATGAGTTGTGAGTCAATTTGTTTCGCTATGATTTGAGCTCTTTGGCCCCTGCCCTGTGACGCGCACCCGTTGGCTCCTTCTCGGCCTCAGCTTCTTTCACATGCCTGCCCTTCAAATTCTTGGGGGTCAGGATCGGGATGTTGCTATTCGCCCTCGCTCTTTCTGTCGGAAGCTATATTGCCGATTGTATCGTCACTTGCTTTGCGTTCTGGTGTGATGGTCTGGTTCCAATGCCTGTACTCCCCTTGAATCAGCCCATGTCGCTGCTTTGGTCGCGTATTGCGTGCGCTTGTGCTCCCGATTATAATTGCCAACGCTGACTCTTGTTTCCTCAGTCGCGAACATGCTTAACAAGCTGTCTGGACAGCCAGAGAGCTACGAGAAGAAGTACGAACCCTCCGCCCGACCTTGACTTTCTATGCGCTAAGACATATACTCCCAACAGGGCCATGTACAAGTTTGGACGCACGCTCGGTGCGGGCACATATGGCATCGTCCGTGAGGCCGAGTCCCAGGACGGTAAGAAGGTTGCGGTCAAGATTATCCTCAAGAAGAACGTCCGCGGAAATGAGGGCATGGTCTACGACGAGCTGGAAATGCTGCAGAAGCTTCAACACCCTCACATTGTCTCCTTTGTCGACTGGTTTGAGTCCAAGGTGAGCATTTGCCAAAACGCCGCGGCAGGATTGTATCTAACGGCGCTTTAGGACAAATTCTACATCGTCACACAACTAGCCACAGGCGGCGAGTTATTCGACCGGATTTGCGACTACGGCAAGTTCACGGAGAAAGACGCGTCGCAGACCATCCGTCAAGTACTGGATGCCGTCAACTATCTGCACAAGAAAAACATCGTCCACCGAGGTACGTTTCTTTCGCCGTACGGGCACATTCTGCCAACTTGCTGATGTACCCGAAGACTTGAAGCCTGAGAACCTTCTTTACCTCACGCGTGCCGCCGACTCCCAGCTGGTCTTGGCAGATTTCGGTATCGCGAAGATGCTGGAGAGCCCCTCAGAACAGCTCACTAGCATGGCAGGCTCGTTCGGCTACGCTGCGCCCGAAGTCATGCTCAAGAAGGGTCACGGCAAGGCTGTCGACATGTGGTCGCTCGGCGTCATCACCTACACCCTTCTGTGTGGTTACTCACCCTTCCGCTCCGAGAACCTAACCGACCTGATCGAGGAATGTCGGGCGGGCCGCATCATCTTCCACGAGCGCTACTGGAAGGGCGTCTCCCAGGACGCCAAGGACTTCATTCTTACCCTCCTGGACCCCAACCCCAGCAAACGTGTGACCTCTGAAGAAGCTCTGAAACACGTGTGGCTGACTGGTACTACCGCCAGCGACCTCGATCTGCTGCCCGAGATTCGCGCCTACATTGCTCGTGCTCGTCTCCGCCGTGGTATCGAGATCGTCAAGCTGGCCAACCGCATTGAAGCTCTCAAGATACACGAGGAAGAGGTCGACGAGGGCGAGGAAGATATCCCCAGCCCCATGAACATTGGCGACTCTAATGACGGAGATGCCGCAGCTCCGGCTGCGGCTGGTGGCGACTCCAGCCCCGACGGCACCAGAAAGAAGCGCAGTCTCAGCAAGATTGCCCGCGGTGCTATCTTCCGCGAAGTTGTCTTGGCCAAGGTGCGCGAGGTCAAGGAGAATGAGGAGCGTGAAAAGGTTGAGCGTGAGGCACGCGAGAAAGCTGCCCATGCTTAATTTCCTGCGTATGTCCCCCCTTTCGCACGTATGCTGCGTTATGTCCTGTAATTTGCCATCGTTCTGCATATAGTCGTGTGATTCCCCATTGTCAGTACAGTCTGCACATAGTCAGTTGGAAATGATATCCGCCTAGGGGGTGTCTTGAGAATGTTGAATTCTTTCGCAGTAAGCAACTACCACAGCAAAGAAGGATCGTAATTCGATCGCTTTTCGTCCTCAGCCCTCTAGGGAACATCTGAAAAGTCGAGGTGTATAGCGAATGAAAAGCGACGGCGATCAAGTATAGAGTGGGCTGTCACGTGCAGCACAATCTTATCTCCCCCGCTTGTCACCCAACGAGTTCTTTCTTTGTACCACTTCGTCTGTACCTCTATCTGAAATTCTTCCGAGCTTCCTACGCCCGAGGGTGCACCGGAAAGCGGAAGGTCCCGCCTCTGCTCTAGCTCGGTATCGCGCCCGATCGTTCCGCACGACTCCACCTAAGCTCCCGGTGTCTGACCCGCTTCAACACTTGTCCTTGACAAGACCCGACTTGACCGTGACCATGTTCGCCAGCAAGCGTTTGGGCAAGGTAAGCTCTTCGTTTCTTGCACCCCGTGTGATTTCAGAAAGCCCCCCACCCAGGTACAGATCTGTTAACCCTTTTATCACTTGCAGGAGCTCATGAAGGTACGACCTTCCCCGCATTTCTTCATATCGAGCCCGGTTTCTACTCTACGCATCTTTTCACAAGACATACCTCGAAGGACTGGCGAAATGATATTTGCATAGCAAATAATCTGACATTTCGCATTTCCAGATGAAAGAGCACACCCCACCGGGAATCTCAATCGCCAAGTCAGACAACCTGGAGGAATGGCAAATGGACATTAAAGTCCTAGATAACAACCCTCTGTACAAGGACCAGACATATCGGTTGAAATTCTCCTTCAGCAACAAATATCCAATCGGTAAGAGTCGTTCCTTTCGTCACCTTTGATTTCCCCTTTGCTAATAATCACAGAACCCCCCGAAGTCCAGTTCATCGAGTTGCCAGTTTCCTCCGATACACCGCGACCCATTCCGATGCATCCACATATCTATAGCAACGGCATCATCTGCCTGGACCTTCTCAGCTCTTCCGGCTGGTCCCCGGTGCAGACTTGCGAGAGCGTCTGTATGAGTATTCAGAGCATGTTGACAGCCAACTCGCGGAACGAGCGACCTCCCGGTGACAGTGAATTCGTCGCATATAATCGCCGCCGTATTAGAGATATCCCCTTTGTTTACGAGGACGACAACGTATGAAGGGAAACACCCTGGGGCAATTTTGAGTTCCCCGATGACGGCGGGGTTTGAAGGCTATATTGTGACTCCCTTTGAGCCGAATTCTTCTGATACTTGGAGCGAGGGAAGTCAACCGGGTAACGGTGATAGTGGCTGGCCTACTTGCCCATTTCAGACTTTGCTTCTTGTATTCATGCATTATTTCTGGCGCTGGTTTGCGGTTTTCATTCGGGCTCGGTTTGCAAGGGGGTTGATGGGCGTCATGGCGTTAGAGAGCACGATCCCACACCGTGCAATGCAATCCAGCAATAGTGATGAGATGTGATACCCATCCTAGTAATTGTAAGATGCTAAGTGATGCATGAATTCACCAAGTTTCCTAATATTAGCCCCTGGCTTCATCCAGTTTCGCAATTAGGAGTCTCCCTTCGACATAGTGCAGCCATCTTTTGCAAAGGGAATGTATTAGTATACGCAAGTAAGCCGTTGGCGCCAATAACCTCCGTTGTGGAAAGCAGTTCCCCACGACATGATTTGCCAGATCGCTTCGATTTCCAAACGGAGAAGACCCGGTGTTGCTGGTGGGTCCGTCCCCAAATCAACTCGAGCACCTCGTATATAGAGAATCAAACTCCCTGGAATTAGAGAGATGTACTTGGCCATCTTCCACTCACCAGGATGTCTTTGGCTCCAATTGACCTGTTCAAAGGATGGCCAGCCACGCATCTCCTTCCAATCAACCGCTTCAAGGAAGCCGCCACCAAGAAACTATCCGATAAATCGATCCTGGAAGAGGCTTTCGGTTATGGACCCGACGAAGGACATTTCCCTCTTCGTCAGAATATAGCCAAATGGCTGTCAGATTTCTATGCGCCTGCGCAACCTATTGAGGCAGAGCGGATCTGTATTACCGGCGGCGCGAGTCAGAATTTGGCTAGTATTTTGCAGGTCTTTACCGATCCCTTGCGAACCGAACGTATCTGGCTCCCGGTGCCGACTTATCATCTCGTGTATCGAATATTTGAAGATTCCGGGTTCCATGGGCGGATGGGCGGTGTTCCGGAGGATGAATCGGGTATGGATGTCGATGCTCTTGAGGAGGCCCTGGAGAGGTTCGAGAGTAGCCATGCAAATGAAAGCTCATCGGGTCACTATGTATGTCCACATGCTATCTCTTGGGGGATTCTGCTAATTATTGAAGACTGCTAAGCCACACATGGAGTACAGGAAGATCTACACGCATGTCATCTACTGTGTTCCCAGCTTTTCAAATCCCTCGGGGACGGTCATGTCAATCAAACGACGCGAGTCACTGGTCAGAATTGCTCGAAAGTACAATGCTCTCATCATAAGTGACGATGTGTACGACTTTCTCTGCTGGACTCCTGGGTCTAGCACCGGAACCATTGGGGAGTCTCTGAAACGTTTTGTCGATATCGACCGCACTCTCGATAATGGGCCTCACGATCGTTTTGGCAACGCCGTGAGCAATGGATCATTCAGTAAGCTCATTGGTCCTGGCTGCCGAGTCGGTTGGGCTGAAGGAACCGCGAGCTTTGTCTACGGGCTGTCTCAAGCGTAAGTGAGAGATTTACATTCCATGCAGTTTTCCTCGGCAAAGCTAACCGTTACCTATTCAGTGGTCAAACTCGATCTGGCGGTGCTCCTTCGCAGTTGATGTCCACTTTTATCAACGAGCTCCTTGAGAGCGGATTCGTGCAGCAGTATGTCACAACAGAGCTCATTCCCCAAGGCCGTCGGCGGTATACCACGATGTCGTCCGCCGTCAGCGAGTTTTTGGTTCCTCTCGGTGTCACCTTCTCACCGGATCATGAGAAAGGCGCCATGGCCGGGGGTTACTATATTTGGCTCAATCTTTCTGAGCCACTCACTGCTGCTGAAATATGCCAAAATGCAGAGAAAACGCAAAACCTTGTAGTAGGGAGCGGTGACATCTTCATAGTCCCGGGTTGCTTGGCACCTGGGAGCGTGCATCGGGGTTTAAGACTGTGTTTCATGTGGGAAGATAGTGAACGACTGGTTGAGGGTGTGAAGAGACTGGCGGTTGTTATCAAAGCAGTGCAAGATGGGGGCCATGTATAGCTAACTAAAGACTCGGTGTCCAAGTTCCCCTTTACTATAACCTAACCTGAATAGGCTGTGTCGGTCTGTATCGTGGGAATCTTTTATACGTCATGAACAAGTCTCCTGGTATTTTATCGTGATAAAGCGTAGAGCCACTTGGGACGACCATGGGAAGCCGGTGTGGGGCGCAACTACTCCAACTTCCAAAGTTGGCAAGGGAAGCGATCTAACCAATCGCCTGGATCTATCGGGACAGGAAAGAAAACGAGGGGACATATAAGGTGCCATCGTAATCTCCCTGAATTACATCTTTACATCTTCTCATCTTGCTGTTCTTTGTCCAAATTCTTTCACTTGCCTATCCAACGCATCCAAAATGGTTAAAGTCAACGAATTCGCTGTGGAGCGGGTGAGTACCATAGTCTGATACCTTAGTCTAAAATCCGAGCATCCTTAACTCATCCTCATCCAGTGGATGGATCTCTACGAGAACGATGCCAAATACAATCTCGCAGAGACATGTTGTGCCTCAGTCTCTCTGAACGACTTGCGAACTTTCTCGGGCCAACAAGCAGAGATCATAGACTATTCTCAAAAGCAGGTCTACGGAGCAATTCGAGGCTCCAAAGATCTGAGGAGCAATATTGCAAAGCTCTACTCAACCGACAACCATGGTTCGGTTTCTGCAGACAACATACTCGTCACGAACGGAGCAATCCAGGCCAACTTCCTCGCTCTTTACACGAACGTCGGTCGTGGGGACCATGTTATCTGCCATTATCCGACGTATCAGCAACTTTACTCTGTTCCTGAGTCTCTTGGTGCCGAGGTCAGCTTGTGGAAGACTTCGCCGGAAACCGGTTGGCAGCTTGACTTGGCAGAGCTGAAGTCGTTGATCAGGCCGAATACGAAGTTGATTATTATCAAGTAAGGGTGCTTATCTCCGTCATTCTTGAGCTCCAATACTAATTCAGGTATAGCAATCCTCAGAATCCTACTGGCGCTGTACTTTACCGTGAGGCGTTGCAGGAAATTGTCGATATTGCGCGTCAGCACGATATAATCATCCATTGCGATGAGGTCTATCGACCACTCTTCCACTCGCTTCAAGCAGAGATCCCGCACTCTATCTTAGACTTCGGCTACGACAAGGTAATCGCCACGGGATCCATGTCCAAAGCTTTCAGCCTAGCGGGTATCCGACTGGGCTGGATAGCTTCAAAGAATCCCGAGATCATCGAGTCCTGCGCCTCTGTGCGCGACTACACTCTGATCTCAGTTGGTCAGTTAGATGACAGCGTGGCCGCATATGCACTGTCCAGCCCTTGTGTAGACAACTTGCTACAGCGCAACCTTCACCTTGCCAAACAGAATCTTGATGTTCTGGAGGCCTTTGTGCGGGAGTTTGACTGGGCTGTGACATGGGTGCGACCGCAAGCTGGAACGACGGCATTTCTCAAATTCGTTAAGGATGGACGTCTTGTTAATGATGTCCTGTTTTGTCAACAACTTTTCGATGCATACGGGGTGATGCTGGTACCAGGAAGTCAGTGTTTTGGTGATGGACACGATTACAAGGGATTTGTACGGGTTGGCTATGCCCCCGAGCGCCAGGTCATGGTGGATGGTCTTGAGGCCCTCAAGAGGTTCATGAAGAATGGATTTGAGGGGGTTCCAACTATGAGTTGAAGAGATCGATCTTTCCACATTATAGCACTTGGCAAGTTTTCTAGGTTCATTATCATAGTCATCATTATGCACGGGCTAAAAGAGAACCAGCTCACATCCCAGCTGTGCAAAATAGGCATCCCACGGCAATGGACTATTTGATGTCCAGAACTTGTGTATCTGTTCCCAAGCTCGCGTGAAGTTGCCCATCCCGAAACTCTGCATGTTCTTCATCCGCTCCTGTATCACATCGCGCTCGCTGCGATCATCCGTTTCACAGCCGGCACTAAATATAGGCCAGAGGACAAGAACATTCAATGACGAAAAGGGTGCAATCTTCCCGATGGCGTCGAGAATATTTTCGACGTCCGTTCTGACCTTGATGTCATGTTTTGGAAGCATTAGAACACGGCGGTGGAGGTGAAGCAAAGCTGAATGGACAAAAGCATGGTGGGTGCTTCGCAGCTCAGCTGAAGTAACACCACCGTGACGCGATATGGTATCTGGGACAAATCTGTCCGCCAACGAGAGAAGCTTCATTTCGAGTGAAGTCAAGTCGTCCAGGACGGCATCATTGGCCTGGTCAAGATTTCGGCGACGAACAAGCTGCGAAATTTGGGCCATGATCGGAACCAGCTCCAAGGAATAGCCACAAATCTCATCGATATTACCATTCGGTAGATCCGAAGCTCCATCCAACCCCCCACTCTCGGGACCATGGAGACACACCCCATCAAGTCCGGACAAAGCGGCCAGGATATCCATCGATCGAAACCATTTCACAAGACATTTGACTAAAGGGTCCTTCATGGCCGAGGACCGCTTCTCCTTCTCCAGAAAGGTGACCAGAAGCTGGAGTACTCCTCGGAGATGAGTTCGCCATGCATGCATGTTTCCATTACAGACATCATTTGTGCACAGAGCCATGGCCGTAGTGACTGTTTGTGCCGTCAGTGCCTGGTCGGTATCACAGAGTGATGTTCGCAGGCTAGATATAGCCAAATTTGTATATTTCAGGCAGGTCACCTTCGGCCTTGGACCTGAGTCTTGCATGAGGCGACTATGATGGCTGCACGCGGAGGCCAAAAGCGCGTATAGAAGATGTGGGGTCTCCAGGGCAGCACTAATCACTCTTTGTAAGAAGAACTCTGGAGCAGCTGGAAATAGCATGTTGGCTGTCTGGGTGCTAAAGATATGCATGAGAAATTTGGATTCCTCGGAGACCAGGAATGGTGAAGTATTAAACTGAGGTTGATGCACCAAAGCATTTAGGTCCACGGATAGTTTTAGAACACCTGCACTGATAGAGTGCTCCGAGGTTCGGGCTGGGACCCTTGGTGTTGAATATGGTTGGGCAATGATGCTCAGGTTGTAAGAACACTCCTTGGGAAATCGCTTGCAGCGCGAACATACCGGCTTCTGCAAGTCGCACTAAAAATAAAGTGTCAGGTCTCGTCCCATATTAGTATATGAAAGGAGACATACTCTGACTTTCTTCCTGCGGCACTCTGTGCAACCATCACGCCTCCTGCTGCGGATCGGGAAGGAATCTGATCCTTCAAGAGATGATCGATTCGTTGGGCGCATTGACATCCTTGGAGTATGCGCGAGCCCTCCGAGGATGATCTCCTGCAGGTGCAGCAAATGTGCGACACTGCGAGTCGCTCAAGTATTGAATGAAAAGTCACAAGTCAATGGGATCCGATTCGCCACTTCGTCCGAGGATCCACCGCTGAACCCCAATGCAGGCATTTATGCGATCCAGCCAACCACAGTCTATAATTCGAGCTGCACAAATGCTCTGATGTGAACTAATATGAACTCCTTTTCTAATCGTTTACGCCAGGTTAACCTGGCCCTAGCACTTTCGGGATACTTATACTACCAAGACTATAACGGATTAAAACGAATGTCTCAGAAGAATCGGATGTTCACTATACACAGGGCTTATGAGAGGCAAAGAAAAAGACAAAGGAGAACGACAGGACATAATAGAACAACGCCATGAGAAGAAAACATGGAGAATTTGGTACACCCGGAGACCAGAGTTGAGATCTAGGGTTATCACGTAGAGGGGTCATGGTATCCCCTCCCCCTGATTTTAAACCACCAAAATGGCACCCAGGCCGTCTATAAAGTGGCCATTTCAAGGCTTTCTTCATTTTTTTTCGGGCTTTTTATTATTGCGTTGTAGAGGTGCTTTTACCGGTCGACCTCACCGAACACCAAATCCATGGTACCTAGAGAAAAGAAACGTTAGCGATGTCAGGTGTCGCAGAGCATGGAAATACTCACCGATGATAGCGACGGCGTCAGCGAGAAGGTGACCACGAGAAACCTGGTCGAAACCGCCCAAGTGGGCGAAACCAGGAGCACGGATCTTGCAGCGGTAAGGACGCTCGCTGCCGTCACTGACCAGGTACACACCCATCTCACCCTTGGGAGCCTCAATGGCAGAATAAGTCTCACCCGGGGGCACGGAGTAACCCTTGGTGAAAAGAAGGAAGTGGTGGATCAAAGCCTCCATGTTCTCCTTCATGGCGGCACGGGGAGGGGGGAGATCTTGTAGTCCTCGACGCGGACGGGGCCGGCGGGCATCTTGTTCAGACACTGGTGGACGATGCGGAGGGACTGGCGGAACTCCTCCATACGGCAGAGGTAACGGTCGTAGCAGTCACCGTTGACACCAACGGGGACGTCGAACTCGACCTGGTCGTAGGCGTCATAGGGCTGCGACTTGCGGATATCCCATGGGACACCGGAGCCACGAAGCATGACACCGGTGAAACTCATGTTCAGGGCATCAGTGGCGTTGACCACTCCAACGCCCTGGGTTCTGGCCTTCCAGATACGGTTATCTGTGAGCAACTCCTCGGTCTCGTCGATACGGTCACCGAACTGGGTGGCCCACTGGTAGATGTCGTCCAGCAGACCAATGGGGATATCCTGGGAGACACCACCAGGGCGGACGTAGGCGGCGTGGAGACGAGCACCGGAGACGCGCTCGTAGAATTCCTGTACGGCGAACAATGGGTCAGTATAATTCACAATTGCTGTTTTGCGCACTCTTTTCTAGCGTCCATTGGATTGCCGGGTACTCACCATGAGCTTCTCACGCTCCTCGAAACCCCACAGGAAGGGAGTCAGAGCTCCAACATCCATTGCGTGGGAAAGGACGGACATGAGGTGGTTCAGGATACGGGTCAACTCGCCGAACAGGGTGCGGATCCACTTGGCACGGTCGGGGATCTCGACGTTCAGGAGCTTCTCGACGGCCAGCGAAAAGCACTGCTCGTTGGTCATCATGGAAACATAGTCCAGACGATCGAAGTAAGGCAGGGCCTGCATGTAGGTCTTGTACTCGATCAACTTCTCGGTACCACGGTGAAGCAGACCGACGTGGGGATCGGCGCGAACGATTTCCTCGCCATTGAGCTCCAGAATCAGACGAAGCACACCGTGAGCAGCCGGATGCTGGGGACCGAAGTTAACGGTGTAGTGACGAATCTTGCGGTCAATGCCTTCGGCCTCGGATTCGAGGGCAGCGGCTTCCTGAGCGGCCGTGGTGGCCGGCTTGTTGGCAAGGTGGCTGAAGGACGGGTCGGTCGGAATCAATCGAGTGGCCTGGTAGCTGGCGGCATCGGCATTGCTGCGGGGGACAGTGGTCGCTATGGAACGGGAACGAGGCACGGATGTGTTGAGAAAGGCGGAGGGGCGGAGACAGAGCCTTTTGGGCGAATTGCCCGCCAGGCGAGCGAAAGAGGCTGCCATGGAGACGGGTGAGAGGAGAGGTCCAAGGAGAAGGAAGGAGGATAGAACCTCAGTCCAGGCGCATTCAATTGGAGGAAGGTGGGTGGGCTCTCGGCGGGAAAGGGTAGCCTGCTTCGAAGGCGAAGATGAAGTCGCGCTCCATTTTGGCAGCAGTCACGTGCTCGAGCTGCCGGGTCGCCAGGTCATCAGCGGATTTGTGATTGGCTGAAATGGTCGTCTATAGTGTGCACATTGATACGGAGCTATGCTGTTTTTGGTTTAGTTCCACCACAATCTGTGCTCTGTTCCCGCACTACTCGGTCACAGAATAGAGGACCTCTTCTGCCTCAGGCGCCCAGAAAATACTTCGAGAAATTATTCTTATCGCCGATCCTCTTCAACCTTCCACCTTCCACCTTTTACCCCCAGTCAGCCCACCATGGCACCTCTTGTTCCGTCGCAGGAGGAGCTGCAGCGTCGCCGTGTAGGTCTATACGGCTTTTTCCGGAATGTTCTTCACTGACCGATCGCAGATTATTGGCATCAACCCAGAAACTGTCACAAACATCCCCTCCACGGATTTCCCCGGCCATTGGCCCGGAGAGTCGCACGCATGGGCGCTGGATGGTTTCAAGAAGGTATGGACCTGTCATAATACAAATTGAGCCCCAAAAAGCGCCCCATTCTCACAGCTAGCAACAGAACTTCAAAGTCGAGTACCACCGCAATGACCCGTACGAAGCCTCTTTCTCGCTGATCGGCCTGGACGCCGCGGTCGCGAATGCCTTCCGCCGCATCCTCATGGCTGAGATCCCGACTCTTGCCATCGAATATGTCTTCGTTCACAACAACACTTCCGTCATCCAAGATGAAGTGCTTGCGCAGCGTCTGGGACTGATCCCGCTCAAAGGTTCTGTGGAGGGCATCAACTGGATGCACTGGTTCCGCAAACCGTCCGAGGACGAGGAAGGCTCCAGCGCAGAAGGCCCCAGCGATTATAACACCATTGTTCTGCACCTCGACGTCGAATGCACCAAAAACCCCAATGCCGACGAGGATGAGCAGGACCCGCGCAAGCTGTACAACAACGCTCACGTCTATGCCAAGGACATTTCGTTCCACCCCGTCGGTCGTCAGGAGCAGTTTTTCGTTGATGACGGTGCGATCCGCCCCGTGAACCCGGACATCCTCATCGCCAAGATGCGCCCCGGCCAGAAGATCGAGATGGAAATGCACTGTGTGAAAGGCATTGGTGCCGATCACGCCAAGTTCTCGCCCGTTGCGACCGCCACTTACCGTCTCTTACCGGATATCCAGATCGAGCGTCCCATCATTGGTGAGGATGCGAAGAAGTTCGTCAAGTGCTTCCCAAAGGGTGTCATTGGTCTTGAACCTGTTACTTCCGAGGAGGCTGCACGCAGCGGAAGCGGATATGAGGGCCATGCCGGTGAGCAGAAGGCTGTTGTGAAGGATGCCTTTAATGACACCGTCAGCCGTGAGTGCCTGCGCCATGAAGAGTTCCAGGGCAAGGTCAAGTTGGGCCGTGTTCGGGATCACTTCATCTTCAACATTGAGAGCACTGGCCAGTTTGAGAGCGACGTTCTCTTCCTGGAGGCTGTGAAGGTGATGAAGCTGAAGTGCGCCCGGTGGAAGCGTGGTCTGCATGATTTCATGGCGTAAAGCCATGGTTCCTTATATAATGCATTTGACTGGCGTTGGGATTTTTTGAGCTTCGTTTACGCTGTACATTTACGAAAAGTTCGGTCAAAAGTTGGCTTTACGAGGCCGGGGTCCGGATATTATATTTGTTGTTAGAGCAAAGAAGGCCGGCAGCTACCCTTGGAATACTGGGGAATAAAATGAAGCTATCATTCAAGTCATATCGTTGTAGGTCTTCTGCAAGTCCTATATAAGCTAAGGAATAATCAAATTCCTCAAATTCCTTAAGAGGTTAATGGATCTAGTACATAGTATATTAGCCATAATTCATTTTTTTAACAGATCTAATAAACCCTTGCCCAATCCTTAGGCAAACCACCATGTCGCATGTGCGACCTATTACCCAAGCATCCCCCAGGAAAAGGCAACAAACACCTCAGGAACTACGGCGCTAGAACCGGCCGCTAATTCACTGGCTCCTCCCCCCCCCCCAACCCAACTTTTACGTATTTAGTGCAGCGATACTAAGGCGAAGTAGCGATCCAAGTATGCCTTTCCAGCGCCGTCTTCTTCATTGGGGTGTGATCGTCCTGGGCTAAGCCTTATTCTCCACGGTCCCTGGGGCTGTGCGGGGGCTATGAGAGGCTCTGCGGAATTGTAATAGACGTGCCCCCTCCCCCCATGCAAACGCTTCATGGGCTTTTTTTTTAATCATGAAACAGGACGTTGGGAAATTTGGATGCGGCATGGATTGTCAAACTTATTCTCCGGTATCTTCTCATAGCAGAGCTTCCTCTGAAATCGCCCGTTCTCATGACGATGTGTGCCCTGAATCTCAACCATCCAAAAACAACGAGGAGACGGAAAATGATAGATCGACGGATGGCGCACTTACCCTCAAACGCTCATACTGGGTCTTGCTACTGGCATGCTTCTACGCAGCATTAGCCACGTCCTCGTGGACTGTTCTGTGCATTCTATCTAACCGGTCATTGAAGACTAAGGCATACGAGATCCCAAGGAACACGACCTCTTGGAATTACAGACCAGATACAGTAACCTATGCCTCCAATGAGAAACTGTATCAAAGGGCCTGAGTCGTCCAGTCTGTTGCTTCAATTTTGACTATTCCCCTGACGTCGGCTGTGTGTTCCGCCGCAGCGGTCGTGTTCGTCCAGCGCCATGGCAAAGCATCCAAAATGACCACGCGGCAGCTTCTCGTCCTTGCAGATAAAGGATGGACTGATACAGGTCTATACTGGCAACTTTTTCGAAGTCCAAAACGCTAGTGGACTCGCTATTGCAGCTCGTTTCTTTTAGTTGCTATTGCGCTCCATGTCATTGGAGGTCTTGTCTCACCTCTTCAAGCCTTACTTCTTTCCTCGAGGACGATCAAGGTCGTAGGAGACCTCTCTCATACGGAAATCTTCGACATCTTCACGGGCGGAAATGCGAGATGGGCCATAATAGATGGCATCACTACGAGCCCTTTGACACTAGATGATCTCTCAGGCAAGACTATTTCGGTGCTGAGCGCAGCCTCCGGAGCCAGGTACGATCAGCAGATCTGGCAGTCTACGAATACGAGCTGTCCAGCTGGCTAAGCACACTGCGACTCAAGGAAGACGTTAGCCAGTCTCTCTTCCATGTCCGATCCGTTTCTCTGCCCGTTGCCTATGGGATACAACACCGGAATCCTTCGTCGGTTTGCGCCTCGCTTAAACTCCAGCGCGGAAGTTACTTATATGCAGCCTTCGGACTTTCCCTCGAATTGCTCCGCGCCTAATTATGGCCTTCAAACTCAGTACAGTGGTGCCGGGTGGGGCGTAGAAGCCTGTGCTCCCGTCGGCTTTAAATGATTGACAAGTTCTACAAATCACCGTGAAAGACTACTCGAGATCGACAGGACTTCACCGAAGTACTCTACCTCAACGTGACTCTCAAGTGCGACGATCTCTATACCAAAATTTCACAGAGTGAATCAAGGGACTGGTGCTTTGGTACGACCCTCCTAGAAATCACAGCACGCATGAGGGCGGGCTGGTTTGAGCTACCAAACTACATAAACGCGGGAGTACCAGGCCCGCTGCAGGCCAAGGATCCAATCGGGCTAGATTACGGATCTGTAAAGCAAACGTACGTTTTCTGTCCAGATTTGCATGTGGTTAATCACTAATTGACTATTGTAGAAGGTACTCAAAGCGCGACCTCGTCTACGCAACCCTGAACGGAAACCTAGAGGCACTGCAAAACCCTGGCCCCCTCCTAATCATGGCATGGGCAATCTTCGCAGCACCCAGCTCCTACATGGCAACATGTACCATTGCATTGAACGACGCAGAGTTTATAAACCATACTGATGCAATCGATATCGACTTTTGTTCGCTGCCGCCTCTCTGGAACCTCCTATATAGGGACTTTACCCTTACTGTCGACCCGATCCAAACATGGTACCCGGGCACCAGGCGGGACTGGAGCTCCTTTGTCGACTGGTTGATGATTTTGAATAGCAAAAATGGAACCAAAATTTCGACGCTCAATAACGCGTTCACTGGCGGCCTGTTCCTTGCCAATGAAGTGTGGATGGAACGCGTCCAGAGTCAAACGGTGACCGTGTACTCGGATCCTGGACAGGATACGGTGATGCCGAATATATCCCTCGGTGGGATGGTTGTTATATCGACGTTGCTGGTTATATATCTTGTTGCACTGCTGTCGATCGCGACCTATGCGGCTGTCTTGCCAAGGTGGACGGAGTCGATGAATGGGTTTGCGATGATGAGGATTGGCTCGATTGCTGAAAAAGCTCCCCTGCTCGTCACATACCGAGAAGATGATATCTCTGCATTGGATGACACACCAGGATGGATTGGCGGCTCGCCAGTAGAAGATCAGCAAGAGGTAGAAGGCGAGAAGGATGCTTCTACCAGCGTAGCGACACTTCAGCTAGGTGCCTCATGCAGACTTCGGGCTAAGTAGAAATACACGTGTTATGCAGGGGATTGGGATGCTGTTGAGAGATATCGGAAGCTAGTTGAGGGCACTGAGAGGTTTGTGGAGGCAAACAGAGAGAGGCTACGGGCTTATATGGAGGCTCAAAACCGGACAAGGGAAGCAAGGGAGTGCCACTAAAGCCTAAGCCCAAGCACCCTCATACGGCAATCCCTATTATGTATCATGGTCTTGTCATTGAGATCATTGTTTATGAAGCCCACCATTTAATCTACACATATATGTATGATATTCACAGTCCTCTATACAGGCCTAAAAGCACTGATAGGTCTGAAGGGCACTCTTATCTTTATACTCCTATTATCCTCTAAGGTACAAAGGCGAAGAAACATGAGAGTAAAGTAATAATATATTAATGTATGTTTACTAGAGCATTCGCGAATATATAGTATAGCCACATTTAAGATCTTATTTAAGAAAAAGAAGGTCCTTATACTTTTCCATATTTAGTCTCTGTAAGTTATCCTAAACACTAAGAATATAGCTTATTCGCTAATCATCGATACTAGACTTTATTAATAATGCCTAATCACTTTAAATAACGTAGGAACTTACATAACCGAAGCTAACTAATAGCCTCCCCCGCCTCTATTTGTTGAAGATCACCTTGTACCGGAAGTCAATGGTGTAGGCCGGGTCACTCACAGCGACCTCTTCGCCATCTTCCAGCAGCTCATGCAGCTTGAGCTTCAGGTTGGGCCTAGTGTGCTCCTCCAGCTGGGGTGGGAAGCGCTGATAAAGAGTCTTCTCCTCAGTACGGAGACTGGGTTTTTTCAGCTGCGCTTCGGCCCTCTCGCCGAGACTGTCAATGAAGTCGCCCAGGGTCGAGTTCCGGTCCACGATCATCTTTCTAGCAAGATTGCCGCACACGGGACAATCGGGCTTCTTCTCCGCCTCGAATGTGTAAGTATAGACCCCCTCCTCGCCGGCATACATCATGTAGTTCTCGAGGTAAGGGTTACAGGAAGTGGCGATCTTCAGCACCTCGGAAGTCGTAGACGCAGCGATCACGGCATTGGTAGATGCGATTGCTGGAATAATATTCTTCACGACACCTTGAGTCATCTGGAAGGTCACACCGTGGATGTGGAACTGCTGTGCCCGCTCCATGGCGGTATTGTACACCCATGAGATATGTTCCATGTCATCGCTGTCAAAGGTATCATCCTTCCGCTTCTCCTGCCACGCGATCTGGTGAGCCCATTCAATGCAATGTTGAGGCTGGCGAGGAATAGTGGCAATGGTGCACAGCGGTACTGCGGGTCTAGGAGCATGCATGTCGAGTTGACACTCAATGCATGATGAGAGAGTGGGTAGAATCACACGGGCTTGACCTTTAAACCCTTTTTTATGGTCAGTTTCAGCAGTCCTTAGTAAAAAAGTCTGGTCGATAGATACCTTCGGTTCCGCCATCGATCAGAGGCTTCAGGCTCTCGGGGTTTTCCATGTCAACCATTCCGATCAGGGTCGAGTTAATCCAGCGACGAGCCTCAATGCTGTCAAGGCCGCAGATGACGATTTTGAACTGCATATAGTAGTCCTCGTCCTTATCTTGGATCTTGCCGACAAAGGGCGTGATTTTGACACCCTTGACCCGTCTTTCCACAAAGGCAGCAGCGACTTCGGCTTTGGGTTTGCCGATATCAGCTTGACGAAAGAGAAACTGTCGATTGAGATTGGAGATGTCAATAGTATCTGTCCATAGGTGTTAGAGATGCTCTGCGAAAGTAGCATGGAGGAAAGCATACCCATATCAATGACATGGATATCTTTGAATCCTGACAATGCAAGATTCTTCAAGATCTCACAGCCTAAGCCACCAGCTCCACTAAAGAACCGTTAGTTGCTGATCCGGAGTTGTAGGGACGACAATAACGGGTTGGCAAACATCACACTAGGTCCCCCGTTAGCACAAGTTGTGGGGCACATAATGAACGGGCTTACAGGATTTTTGAAGACTCCAACGCAGTGATCGTCTCTTCTCCTGGAATCCAGTCTTCATCGCAGTAGGGACCGGCATTGGTCAGGACCTTATGGAGGTGCTTCCTGGGTGATGTGAGTAAACAATGAGGACACGTGATCATCGGATTCATCGAACTCACCATCGGTTCTGTTGAGAATTCGCGTCTGTCACAATCATTTTGAATGAAGTATGGCTGTTTCAGCACGGCGATCTGCACAAATTGGTCTAGACGTCACCGCAAGTAGTCACCGCGTCCGAGATAAACTCCTGGAGAGCAGCAGAACCTCGACCGGGATAACTCTGATCTTGCCAATAGATAAATCTCGACGAATTATATTCTCGCAACACTCCGTGAACAAAGTGAAGCTGAGATGGAGGGGATGATGGAAGTCAACATGCGGCGTTCGTTTGGCGGGCAGGGTCCACGTGACCTGCCCCATACAAGCTCCGGCAACCTGGGAACAAAACTAAACTGCTCTTGCATGCCACCACTTTCGACATGGATGACCTTTTGACCGCGGTAAAAACCGTTAAGCGGGATTCCGGCTCCCCTTTGGTCGCTGCCGAGTCTCAAAGTCGCCATGACGGTCCCATGAGGCCCGCTCTCGATCTTAATCAAAATATATCATCAGAGCAAGCCATAGATGTGCTCAAGTCTCATCCATCACAAGAAGAGCTTTTAGCAGTTCTAGCTGCACTTGACCCATTCAATGCATCCAGAGAGATCCAAAGTATCGATATTCGAGTCCCGGGTCCTACAACCGCCCAGATCCTCCATGTTTTAGTCAGCACCATTGTGCCGGCGCATTGGGCATCACTGAATGCAAAGGAGAAGCAAGCGAAAGATACAAAGTCTCGTGCTGCTTTGTTAAGATGCCTCAGCAGCGTGGCTGGTATCGGTTCCCTTGTGGCCCAGCTCCGATCCCTCATCGCAACCGCTCGGGCTGCGGCCCTGCAGGCAGAAGGCTCGAGCAGCCCCATTATCATTCGAGACTTGTTGTCTGTGATTGCGGCTTTGTTAGAGCCAAAGGATTTTCTCTATCGTCTTTACACAGATACATCTTCTCTCTACGACAATCGGACTGGACAGCAAGTTGCCTGGAGAGAATTTGTCTCACTTGTGGCTGCTGGGAAAATTCTCTCGACGGCAGCGGAGGCATTTACAGTTTCCAAGGAGGCTGAATTCCCATCTTCGATCACTTGGGTAGGTGACGGCCCTCGGTATTCATCGTGGCTGGGCAGCAATATTGCCCACATGGTTTCGAAGCTCAAAGCAGAGAAAGAGGGAGATTGGAGCTCAGTCGCTTTTCTCGCGGGGAGAGCGCTAAGCCTGGGTTATTCTGGTATGTCCGCTCTTTTGTCATTATGATAAAATTCTAACATTCTTGTAGATCAATTAGTCCGAGAGATTTACTCGGGTCTACTCCTGGACCAGACATGCTTAGGGCAATTTGGGCGTCTTCTTGACAGCCTCAGACAGTCAGAGCAAATTTCCGTGGTTGAGGCTATCTTCCGTGATATTCAAAAACATTACTTTAAAGATGATTTTGCTGGTATATTTCGTTCGCCAGCCGAATCTCAGAGTGTCATCGCGGGAGTGGCGGCGCTATGCTCAGCTATTATTGGGGACCGTCCCTTCTTGAAGAGCCAGATTTCAGAATGGCTTTCAAAGAGCCAAGGAGGCTCCATCCAGACAATAGGATTACGCCGAGCTCTTTTGGCCACCTACAGTGATCGAAATGGTGAGTTTCCCGCGTATACGTAAAAGTTTCAAGCTAATTATCTACGCTAGATGAGCTCGGTTCTTTGCTCGTGCGCAGTCTAGAGCAGTTCGGAGACAAGTTCTGTATAAAACACGTTCCGAACGTCACACAGAACGGTGTGTGATCATGTAGCCTTGGTTTATGATTCAGCAGCTAACATGATACAGCCAATGCACAAGTTATCCTTCTGGCAGCAGGTCGTCTGAACCATCTTGATTCGAATCAATTGAATGACATAGGCCGCACAGGAGCTTTTCTCAATGCTGTCTCCAACCGAATCGCGGCATCTTCAACAAGAGCCCGATTCCTCGGCATGATTATTGGCACTGGAATGTCAGAGCTCATAGAAGAGCCCGGTAAGGCGATGAAATTCGACCTCGAAGAGATGCGAAGTGAAGAAGCGCTTTGGTATCTGAGTCTTATCAAAGTCTGCGATGAGCTTGGGTCGCCCGAGTCTATCAAGTCGTTGCAGAAGCAGTCGACTGCACAGCAACCCGCTCAAGAAGCTCGCCCTCATCAATCCAAGAAGCCAAAGGCGCGGTCCAGCCGTCCTCAAACGAGCAAGATTGTTGCCATCGAAGAGATCGTTGATAGTGGCGAGGAAACAGACGAGGACTTGGATCTCATTCCATATGAAAAACCTGACGATGACGCAGAGGATGACGATGAGGATCCTACTCTTGTCCAACGAAACAAGGCAACAGCGCCTGTGTAAGTACACATTTGTTTGCTGCATACATGTCTCTCTAACAGTTACTCAGATACATCCGTGACCTGATCATATATCTTCGAGACACTGAGAATATGGAGCGTCACCACCTCGCCATAACCACCGCCCCTTCTTTGATCCGACGCAAGATAGGATTCGGCACCGAACTTGCCGAGCAAATCGAGGAGCTAGCCCTCACCATCGTGGGCCTTCAAAATGACAATAATCATCCGCAATTCCACGAGTCTCGCCTTCAGAGTATGATTGCACTAATCGTCTCGCAGCCACTGAAGATGGGCCGCTGGTTTACTTCCATCTTCTTCGATGGGGACATCTCTCAAGTTCAACGATCTGCTGTCCTCACAGCTTTGGGTCTAAGTGCTCGTGAAGTCGCCGGGAATGGTGAAGCCGATGCCAAGGCATTGGGTCTACCGGATTTAAAGGACACTTCGTTCCCGTCCAAACGGCTATCGCCTGCGTTGGAATCTGTTTTCACGGGGGCTAACGAGTCTCCCATTGCAAAACTCACCAGAGAAATGTCGCGCACATCGCTTCAGCCACTCGCGGCCGATGCGGCGGACTCGCTCACCGGTCCCAACGTTTTGAAAGTGCGCACGTTCTCGTCACGCATGGAAGTCGAGAAGCAGCGCAAACAGCGTGAGGCTGAGAGGCAGAAGTCGACTGTGAAAGATCTGTACAAGGTGCTCGCCGAAGGGTTCTTTTATCCGCTTCAAGGCCGGTTCGAGATCATGATGCTGCAGTTCTCTTCGTACGTCTTTTCTCCACTTCCACGAATTCTACCGTACAGACGTGCTAACCGAGCTTGAAGATCATCCGCTCCCTCCTACAACCCTTTCTTCGTCCCCCATATCCTCACCCTTTTCCTCCAAACGCTCTCCCTCACCCTATCCACATCTGGACCTCATACACCTTACCTACCAGCCCTGACTCAAGCGACCCTCTCCTTGCTCCTCGCACTCCACACAAGCCCAGTATCAAGCGAACCGACCGTCACAGCAGCACTGTTGAATATTTTCCTCGCACTGGTGGACTTGAATATTGCCTCGGGTTCAAATGGCGAAGAACGACTCGTCACCGAGCATGCAACTCAAGTCATCGAGCTACGCGAGTGGGCTTCGGGTGTCTTCGACCGCATGCCAGCAGGCAAATCAACCCCTGGCGCCCCTACCGATCCACAGGATCAAGTGCGAACACTCGCTGCTGGCGTGATGGTTCGGCTTGGGGAGGTGATCGAGCGGTACCAGGGTCGGTTGATGGGCGTCAATTCCGGATTCAAATACTAGACCAAGAGCAGTGTTAGGTAGAACCATTATCTACGAAAATATACGAGTGTCACAATGCATCGAGATATGGTATCATGAATTACTACCTGAGTAAACGCTAGACCCGAGATAAGCACTACGCGGCTTTCGCAAAGCTGCCCTTTTCAATGGCAACGTCCATCATGCGATCGCCGCTAATCAAATTTGTCGTGCAAATAATAATCCGTCGGCGCGGTGCCTCCTGAGCAGCAATGAAGCGCAGCGCAGCAATCTCCGTAAAGGTAATACCTCCAAGGAAGAAGACATACACCGTCTTGGTAGCGGCATTTCCACTGAGGGTCTGGCGGGCCCGCACAGCCTTATCGTCTCCCTTCTGGACAAGGCTAAAGGTGGAGCCGCGGGCACTCTTGACGACATCCTCAAATCCGAGCCATCCGGGAGATGCTGCGCTAGGGTTGTTTACTGACGCGGCAGGGGACCCGCCCTTGACCAAGGAGAGGATGTAGGGTTTTTGCAGGACGCATTGGACTAGGCGCACGCTGAGTGGAGCGAATCCACTGTAGACGTAAGAGATGTCGTTGGGATCCTTCTCGCTGACCTCCTCAATTACCAGGCGCAGGTTCTTCCGTAGGTATCCGTAGTTTGTCTTTGTGCCGGCTTGCGCGCCGGACGTGGGGAGAAGCATGCTTGTAGCTGAGGACCGGGGCTGCAGGAGCTCCATCTTCTCCAGGGCCCAGAAGGTCAGCAAGTGCTGGTGGCCATATGCCTGGACGACCTGTCTCTTGAAGTTCTCCAGGTCGCGTGGGCGGAGTCCGCCTGACATGCAGGACTCTAGACACAGGAGACGAAGTACACTTTTCAGCGGAACGTCACGGGCAATGAGCTCTTCGATGGTTTCGTGTTGATATGTGGGATCGGCGCCTGCGGCATAATTCTGCTGGACTTCCAACACCTTCCGGAAGGTCTCGGATCGAGTGAGTCTCATAATCTCCTCTGCGAGATTTGTGTGGATCCGAAGACTCTGGTGTTCCAATTGATAAGTCGGTAGTTTATTCACGAAATCTCGAAGCTCGTTTGTGGTCTTGGCTGAGTGACGGGTTTCGTATTCATTTTCCAGGCGGCGAGCTACCTTGTTCAAGATATCACCCACAATGGCAAAGTTTGCATCTCGGAGTTGGTTGAATAATTGATCGGACGCATCCAGCTGAATTTTTCTTTTCAGTCCCTGCTTGGCCTGCTGGGGCGTCTTGGATGATTCCTGAGACTGCGGTGCAGGCGCCTGTCCCACAATGCTGGTATCAACGTCGGCCTGGTTATTCTTGATGCCGACGTACTCATCAATTAGACCTTCGTAGGTTAGTTGCGTCAAGAGTGGAGTTCCAAAATCAACGTCGCGGTCGATAATGATCAGGTTTTCTGTGTCTGCACTCGGGAGAAGGCCTCGAGCGCCCGGGTCTGCAAGGCCAGAGCTCTCTTCGGCGTCGAGCTCTTTTCGCATCCGCAGCAAAAGATCTGCCAGACGACGTGCATTGTCGCCCTTTCCGACGATTCGAGGAAAATAGCCATGCTTCTGTTGGATGCCCATGAGAGCTTTGGCGGCATGGAAGATGCAGCCCGGGTCCTTGTTCTAGGCGGTGTCAGTACAGCGCAAGCTGCCAGCTGCTGCCACGGGGTAAACCTACCAGGTACAAATCACTGAAAGCATCGTTCAGCTCTAATGATAGAATGTCCTGTTCCAATGGCAAGAAGTAGAGCGGGAACTCGGCGATGTTGACATCGCCGATGATGCCGGCCTCTTCCAGCACGGCATTGCTAATGAGGGTTCGCCGGGGAGCGAAAAGGATGGAGAATTCATGTTCAACATTTCCATTGTTCTGTAGACGTTTGATTTGCTCTATGGTACTTGAATGTCAGCTCATACTGATAGCGATCAAACGGACGATGACGGGAATGAAAGCCAGATAAAAGAGCTTGGACAGTATTGGGATCTTTTTGACTGATTCCGTAGAGTAGGAAGACGTCTGCGTCTTTTACTGATATTTTCCCAAGGGCAGTTGCCCGAGTCTACGAGAGGCAGCAACGCTGAGAGGCGAATGGAGACACGACCTACCAGCCACCGTGCGCACATGCTGCGCCTTCTCTCCACGAACGAGAAAGACGACATTGCGCTGGGAGGAGTCGATGTTTGCATTCTCCAGCAGAAACACGCGGTCTACACCGTATTCCTGAAGCACGGAGAACTTGACGAACAAGCCGACCGGACCCGCCAGCTCCTGGCTGATGACGAGGTTCTTCTTGCCCCTGGCCTGCACACGGCATTAGAGGAGGCTTGGGGGTAGAGTAGCATTGGTACTCACGCCTTCGAGCAGGGCGAGCAGGTCTCTGCGAGCCTTGTCACGGCAGTGATCTGCATCTCCCAAGGGCGCCATCATGCCCGAGGAAAAGGAAGGAGACTTATAAAGGTGGCAGTGGCAGTGGCAGTGGCAGGCAGAAGACGTCGCCAAAAATAAACGAAGCTCACTTTGCCGTTTCGGGCTTAATGAGGTGGCTGAGTCATTCCGTACGTCTGCCGTATGGGTGTGGTCACACCCGTGCCTCTGCGCCCTTTGAATACGTGTAACTCTCGTCATCTGCATACCATTGTAAACATCGGTCGAGACTCGTAAAAGCTCCCCTGAGCACATCAAATTCATCCGAAACATCTCCTCTTCTACTTCTTCCCCCCGCCTATTAATCTCGCCTGTTTCGTGTCCTTTTCGATTCTCAAGCGCTTCCCTTCCCGTCTGACCCCATAACTACACTCAACATGGGCCGGTTTGGATTCAAGAAATCCGATGGCGACGACGATGACAGCAACCGCCGGGGCCTGTTTGGCTCGCGAAAGAAGGACAAGAGCCCTCAGCCTGGAGCGAACCCTTACGCCCAGCCGATTCCTACGGACCCCTACACCAGAGCCAAGATGAATATCGGTGTAGCTCCTCTCCCTCCATCCGAGCAGGGCGGGATGGGCTCCCCCGCCCCCGCAGGAGGACCCCACGCAATCCCATCCGACAACAAATTTTCCGGCTACACTCCCAACCGCTACGGTAACCAGGGCGGATACGGCAGTGACCGCTTCGGCGGTGCGAGCCCGAGCGCTGGCGCCGGGCCAGCATCTCGGTACGGTTCTGGTGGCTATGGAGGATTGGGCAGCACCGATCCGAATGACCCCGGTGCTGCGGATGCCGATCGCAGCGAACTCTTCGGCGGCGCCAAAGACCGCAAGCAGACCGGTCCTCCTGGAACCGCCCCGCCGCCCTACAGCGAGGGTGGACCCAATTACGGTGGCGGCAGCAACGAATACAGTATGGCGACCTTCCAGGACCGACAGCTCACAGCGGAGGAAGAGGAGGAAGAGAGCATTCAGGCAACCAAGCAGGAAATGCGGTTCGTCAAGCAGGGAGATGTCGCCTCGACACGGAATGCCCTTCGCGTTGCAGCACAGGCAGAGGAAACCGGTCGCTCTACACTGGCCCGTCTGGGTGCGCAAGGTGAGGATATTCACAATGCCGAGAAGAGTTTGGACATGGCCACCGTCGAGGGACGTATTGCACAGGAGAAGGCGCGTGAATTGAAGACGCTCAATAAGAGCATGTTCGCCGTTCACGTGGCCAACCCATTCACCAGTGCCTCGCGCCGACGAGAACGTGATGAGCGGATCCTCAATACCCACCGAGAGGAGCGTGATCTCCGCGACGGTACCCGGGCTGAAGCACACCAGACCAATTCCCGTATGGAACGAGTCTTCCGCGACATCGATCGGGAGGCTGGCAAGCAGAGCAAGGGCAAGAAGGCCAATGTGACCGAGCGCGCCAAGTACCAGTTTGAGGCCGACAGCGAGGACGAGGCAATGGAGGACGAGATTGAACAAAACTTGGATCTTCTCGGTGGTGCCGCTGGCCGGCTCAACGGTCTCGCCAAAGCCACCGGCAAGGAGCTCGATGAGCAGAACAGACATCTGGAGCGCATCACGGGCAAGGTCAGTACCAGATCTTTCAGCTGTTCTGGGTTTATGCTAACGTTATCTGCAGAGCGACTTTGTCGACGACCAACTTGCCATGAACCGGGCCAAGCTGGACCGCATTCACTAAGCCCTTTACGGCTGGAGTTGGGATATGCCCGGTGCTATGCCACTCGATAATCATCAATTTGTCTGAGCCTTTCCTTCATCAATAATCATTTCCGGCGTTGACCTGCATCTTATGCCGTCTTGTTGGCAAAATCTTGAACGGGCAATTAGACTACCGATTTAGTATCATAATTGCATTCTATTCTCTCCGCCATGGATCTTGACTCACTAAAGATTTGTGTAGCTCTGTAAATCGAGCCAGAGAGTTCTCTATCTTTAGGTTATCTTATCGACGTCACTGTTGTCGCTGATCTCAACTTGTCATTAACTTCCAGCATGCACAGCCTACGCCTATTATCAGAAAGCCCGGTGGCATTCTTTAGGTATTGACAATCAGGCTTGACATTTTGAAACTCCACCGACCTATTTTACACCGTGCGAACTTTCAAAACTACATTCCCCTACTGCGGAGTTCAACCCCCCAGATGCGGGGAGTGTGGGGATGGACCTCGGAGACTCACCCTCCGAACCCAACTATACACCAACAGATCAAGCTATATCAACTAGCAGCTCCTTAACCTCCAAGGAAACCTCTTCATCCGACATCTCAATCTCATTACATTGCATCTACATCATCATCCGCAACACCCACAATGTCGCCACCGCCATCAACCTGCGACGTCCTCGTAATAGGCGGCGGCAACGCAGGCTTCTCCGCCGCCCTCTCAGCAGCGCAAACAAACCCAAGAGCGCATGTAGTCATCATTGACAAATGCCCCGCCAGCTGGGCCGGCGGCAACACCTACTTCACAGCGGGAGCCTTTCGCACCGCGCACAATGGGCTCGCCGACCTCCTCCCGCTGGTCAATAACACGCCGCCGGAGAAGGCCGCGCACATCGACATGCCCATCTACTCTGAGAAAGACTTCACGCATGATCTAAATCGTATGACGGGCGGGCGTACCGATCCGGCGCTAGCAAAGGTCCTAGTGCAGGACTCTCGCGAAGCCATCGGCTGGCTTGCACAGAACGGCGTGCGCTTCCAGCTGTCTTTTAATCGACAGGCGTACGAAGTCAACGGTCGACTGAAGTTCTGGGGCGGACTGGCGCTGAAAACTGAAGATGGAGGAAAGGGTCTCGTCGAAGACCATCTACGCGCAGGACAGAAGCACGGCGTACAAGTATTCGTCGACACGGCAGCCACCGCTCTCCTCACAAACCCGCATGGCGCTATAACGGGCGTCGAAGTGCTCTGCCGTCCACACCAGAAACGAACCATCACCACAGGCGCAGTAATCCTCGCAGCCGGCGGCTTCGAAGCAAACCCGCAACTCCGAGCCCAATACCTCGGGCCGGGCTGGGACGCTGCGCACGTCCGAGGAACACCTTATAACACGGGCGACGTACTACAAATCGCACAACGGGACGTGTCTGCCAAGGCGGCGGGCAACTGGTCCGGCTGCCACAGTGTCGCGTGGGACGCGGATTCGCCCGCGCATGTCGGGGACCGGGGTTTATCGAACGAGTTCACCAAGTCCGGCTACCCGCTCGGGATCATGGTGAACCGGGACGGGGAGCGGTTTGTGGACGAGGGGTCTGATATGCGGAACTATACGTATGCGATGATCGGGAGGCGGATTCTGGCGCAGCCGGGCCAGGTTGCGTTTCAGCTCTGGGATGCGAAGACGACGGACTGGTTGAGGGCCGAGGAGTATAGGGCTGAGGTTACGAGGCATTTGAAAGGGGATAGCCTGGAGGAACTTGCGGAGGCGTGTGCTGAAGTTGGATTGGTTAATAAGGAGCGGTTTTTGGCTACGGTGGAGGAGTATAACAAGTCTGTGAGGCCGGGGAAATGGGATCCTGCGGTAAAGGATGGTTTATCTACTCATGGGTTGAGTATCCCGAAGTCCAATTGGGCTTTGCCGATTGACAAGGCGCCGTTCCTGGCGGTTCGAGTTACTTCTGGTATTACGTTTACGTTTGGTGGGTTGGCTGTGAACCCTGAGACGGCGGCAGTCATTTCTGAAACTACCGGGGCTGAGGTTCCGGGGTTGTACTGCGTCGGGGAGATGCTTGGTGGTATCTTCCATGACAACTATCCCGGTGGAAGCGGACTGACTTCCGGTACTGTCTTTGGTCGTCGAGCTGGACGAGCTGCGGCTGAGGATGTCGGTGCGAGAGATCGGCTTTGACGGGAGAGCATAGCTTACGATTTTAGACTACTATGTAGGAAGAAACTTGGTGTATTCACAGAAGCGGGATTAGACAATATCTTATAACTATAGCGACTGTAGTTCGGACGTAACACTGGCAGGCAATCGTGGCCCGCGCCAGGCTCGCCGTTGATAAATCAAAACGCTTTCGCACCAATGCCACGGGTATCACATCAACACCATTCCCAGGCTGCACGATACGTGCAATTGTTGAAACATAGCAGACCCGGTTGAAGCAGAGGGCAAACCCCGAAACAAAACAAAAAAAGCCAGCCGGGAGTGAGATAGATAGAAAGTCCATTCGATCAAAGCAGGAAGGGAGTAAAGAGATTTGAGAAAAAAGGTATTATCTAAACCATGCAGAGGCATATGCAAGGCAGAGAAATATTAGAATAGAAGAGACGAAAGCCTGCTGTGAAAGGGTAGACGAGAAGAGAAAAGGGGGTCCCAGAAAAGAAAAAAAAAAGGAAAAAAGCATCGCATCATCACAAGCCCATTGGTATCGAGAAAAGCACAAAGTGACTCCCAGGTCTAGCGAAAGAATAAGAAATGAAAATGAGAAAATCAAACCAGGAACGCAAGCCAGCCGGTACCTCTATGGTCATAACGTGGGAATAAAGGGGGGAAAAAGGATCAAGGAAGCTCTTCCTTCCCTGCTTGTACCGAATCCGCTGGATCCCACAGACTGCCGAAGATGAAAGGAGGACCCCCAGGTGAGTCAGGGGGGAGGAAGACGCGAGAAAACGAGGAACAGGATAGAATCCATTCTGTTATACAAGGAGGAATGGCCAGAGCAAGATCGTCCAACACAGTTGGACGCCCTAGCTCGGGAGGCGGGTCTGTGGGTGGGATATCGGGCGCGTCAACGGACGCACAGCTGGGAAGAGAAAGAGGGCTCGAATTAAACGAGCGAGCAAGGGAAGCATTCATGCGAGTTGAATTTACTCGTCCTCGTCGGGAGAGTCACCTTCCTTCTCGCCCTTGTGGACCTTCTTGTGTCGGCGCAAGTTGGAAACCACGGAGAAGTGTCGCCCGCAACCTTCCACGTCACATGCGAAGGCTTTTGGTAGGTCAGTACTGATTTTCTTGATTCTCGGGGAATTGCAAACTCACGCTTCTCGCCAGTGTGGCTATACATATGTGTCTGCAGAGAAGAAGGACGGGTGAAGCGCTTGTCGCACACCTTGCACTTGTGCTTCTTCTGCGTGTTGGAGGGCATCTTCGAGCTGAACTGGCTCATCATAGACTGTGGGCCCGGAGGCGCGCTACCAGCCAGGAGGCTGGCAGGCCGCGGGAGAGTCCGTGACTCGTAAGACTCGGATGTCGTCGAGCTGTAGTCGGTTACGGAGGAGTCGACGGAGCCCACCGACGCACTGTAGTAGGGGTAGTTGCCGCCCGAAGAGATGGAGGAGGCAGAGCTGTGAGCAGAAGGGAAGCCATAGGAGTCGGCTGAGGCCCTCGCACCGCGAGGGCCGTAAATGTTGCGAGGAGTCAGGTCCTGACTGAGCGCCACCATTCCGCGGCTGGCGTCGAGCGCGTCGCCGAAAGTGGGCGTTGGTGCGGGTGCTGTAGAAGCCACACGAGCATCTCTGTTACAATTCCTCGCGTTAGAAGCAAGCCACAGGCACCGGAACGTAGGATTCACTTACGAATGCGACATGCGACGGGCGTCCTGGGGCTGGGATGGGTGAATCGGGGTGTAGCTAACTGGCGCATAGGTCGCCGGCGCGAAGCTGCTCATGGGCGGCGCGGTGGAGTAGGTCGAAGGCTGCTCGAAGCCGGTGCGCGGTACCTCATGTTGCATTCCCATCACCTCGGGGCCGTAGCCGGTGGTCGCGTAGTTGCTGCCGGGCACCATTGAGGGCGCGGACACGGGCATACTGGGGTAGGGCATGGACATAGCGGCGGTCCGGCCGACATCCTCCTTAGTGTTGATGGGGAGGGTACTGTTGCCCATGGAGGTTGCGTAGACCGGAGGTGTCGAGTGCGAAGTGGTGTGTGCGGCCCAAGGGTCTGTGAATTGCGGCGGATTGTGGTGGTACACACTGTCGAAACTCATGCCGCCATACGGGCGGTTCTGGTTTTCCATTACCATCGTCATGGAGTCGTGGGCGCGAAGCGCGACGTCGCGAATCGATCGCGCGCAAGTCGGAGATCTGGCTCTTGTTTCCCTCGTGTGTGCGAGGGGTGGGAAGGTAGACTGATCGTCTGTTGTTGATCCGAGGGGGGAGTATAGAGAGGTGAAAAGAGAAAGTGATAAGCCCGAAGATCCCTTCAATAATTTTTTAGTTTCAGCAGGTGAAGAGAAACACAGTCTGGGGAAAGGGGATCGGCGAAGCTTAAGAAGGGACAAACACTACTGGAGGCACGATACTCCAGCGGCACGTCGTCAGTGGCACTGGGAGACGGTGCAGATCGCTGGTTCCAATACTGTAACGTTACCCTTTTTTTAATTTTTTCCCTTTTTTTTGGGCTTTTCCCTTTTTTTTTTTTTTTTTTTTTTTTTTTTTTTTTCCTTCCAAACCACAACTTATTCGGATCCTTATTTTTATCTTGCAGGATTGGAGGCATTGCTTAGTGCGAAAAGTGATCCTCCTAACGGGAACCAGCTCCTCGGACCCTCTGGCTTTATCCCCATTATTCGATTTCGGAACTATACATGATATTCGGGACATATTGAGGTTTGATCGTCACACACTGATTTAAGCTGAGGAATGGAAGATCTGGAGAAATCAAAAATTAGACGCGCTGCAAATATGTCCCAACCACCCGTGTCCCAGGCATTTGGTTTGGAGTGAAGCACTGTAGGATTGAAGAACTCCGTTATCGGAAGAAAAGGGGGGATGGTAAAGTGCCAAAAAGGCAATTCGGGATGAGGGAAATCATGGGACCCAAAAAGCAGTCGCTGACCTCACGAAAGGGGAGAGTGGTAGGAGTGGTAGGAGTGGTGGGAGTGGTGGAAGTGGTGGAAGTGGGGGGCGGTGGGAAAGTGTAGCGGCCCAAAGGTAAAGGGGAAGACTATTTGGTCAGGGAATGTCCAGCACCCGCACGGAGGGCAACCGATAACTGGCCCAGCCGTGCCGTGTCTGAGGTACGCTATTCCCAACCCGGAAAATATGGAAAGGAAAAAAGGGACACCAAAGAATAAACTCACGGTGCAGCGACCAAGGTTCGCCCTGAGGGTGTTTCAAGGTAGCGGGGAAGGCGATCCCATACGTCAAAGCCTATACCCGGTACCCAGTCAGATTTGGAGTTATAGCCGGCCATTTGATACTCTCCCATTGCACATCGTACCCGGTTTCGGGGTGCGGGATACGGTTGCCATCACGGAGTGATCTTCTACCAGCTTGAACCTCCGGACTCGCATCCCAGGGTGAAAAAAAGGAGTCGTTGGCTCTGGGCGATGGGCACCCAAAGCAAACCCAAATGTGGGAGGGGCCCACGGGGACAAGTTTGGGTCGCTCATTATTGGCGCACCGCGAGACCCTCCCAGAGGCAAAGATCATAAAAGTGGACTAAAAAAGGTGACGATTCACACGCAGGGCTTTCAGCCATGTATGTGGGCGTGGGAATCAGTGGAAATCAGAGAAAGAGGGGGCCTTTGACACGGGCCAGAACTGGTTAGCGTGAGGAGGACCTTACTTCAGATGTAAAGCCCCGATCAGAATTTATCGAATCAATAGCCTCGAGCATTATTGACGCCTGCATTCTCCTCTCTCCTCTTGACGGGTAGGAATTCGTCAGGTCTCCAAAAATGCCCAGGTGCACAGGTGCACCTGATGACGTTTCCTTCCCGTGAGTCTATCGAGAACGACTCGTGAAGGATGTACAGACTACCAAAGAAATAATCAGACTTTGGTTCGGCTAACACTAGGGAGACCTTATCCCGTACGTAAGATGCGAACGCCATGACGGAATGCCGGATTTTTTTGATTTTTTCCATTTTTCACCTGCAGGACGGCTCGGGTCCCAGCCTGAACCCTTTTCCGCCATGCGACCTGTATCACTGTGCAAGTCATTTCCTCGTATATGCCCTCAACAGAGGGGCCAATGCCGATGTCAGAGAGCGGACCAGCATATCCCGCCACGGGGACCTTAGCGGCGCGGCTCCTGCAAATAGCGCGGCAGATGCGACCGGGTCTGAATTGGACGCATCACACCTGCCGATTTCATGGTGGAGATGGTGGCCCGTGGCAATGGTGAAGCCAGGATGCCCGAGGATGGTGTAAACTCCCCGATGACAGTATACCAAGCTTCCCTGGAATCACAAGGATCTGATCCGAGCCAGAGCAGCCGAGGGAGGCTGAAGAATATCCCCCCTCTTTTGATATTTAACTTTGAACCATACTCTAATTATCCCGGTGGTCGGGGAGAAGGGTGTTCCCTGAGTCACTAGAGTTCCTGCTAGAAGCTACATGGTTCCCACCGTACGGCTGTTCACCCAAAGCCACCGCCACTGCGGAGAGCTATCGGAAATCACCCTGAGCGGAACCGTGGACCGACTCAAGACAATCTGCTTTTTTCTCTTCCCCTGGCCCGGTGTTGCGTGATCACATTGGTCTCTCCGCATTCCCGACGAACCCAGCGCAACGCCACCGGCGTCCCATGGTCACCGTAGTTTTCCAGAAAAACAAGCTCGCCCAGATACTTATGGCCCTGGAGACTGGAACCCGAGAGACAAACCATATACCCAGTCGCCGGATGCGGAAAGCAAAGGCGTTTCCACGGATCGACAAGCGTGCCTCGGAAAGTAGCCGTGGGTCCGCGAATGCCGGGACGCTATCGAGTTTGAGAATTGGAGTCGCTCACTCTACATATGTATTCTACACTGCGGTACGGAAGAGGTTACTCCAACCACCGACTTTCATTTCAGGTGCTTTCTCGGGAGCATCACCTCACGGACTTGGAAACCGGGTTCGTCCACTCATTTCGGAGTTTGCTCTCCCGTCAGGGGCCGTGGAAATCCACTCGGGCTTGCTACGTGGTTCTGGCCGAGTCCGGACTCATGCGCTTGAACAGTTCAAGAACCGATGGAGTCCTGGGAAATTTGACTCCATGCGCGAAGTGAGCAAAACAAGCACTGCGCTGGGCTTTAGTCTGAGCGTCCCCTGCCCAAGCCGTGTCTAGCCCGCTCGCCTCACCGGCCTCAATACTATTGCATCATTGCATCATGGGCTCGACACGATGCCGTGTTGCCCTGTGCGGAATTAGAGGGTTCCAATAGTACGGTCGACTCTCGGGACTATTGCTCCTCGGTTTTTAACCGAGAGAGACCGCCATCTCTGACAAGGCACTGGGGAAAGTCTCCTTATTTTTTTTATTGATTCCACTCCGTAGGAACCAAACCTAGATCCAATCAGGGAAACGGAGTGAGCCGGATGAGCAGAGGGAGATCGAGAGTCAATCCACAAAGTGTATCTCCCCACCGTCGACAGGAAAGGAGGCCCAAGCTTACAACACGGGACGAGTGGAGCAGTGCATGAAGGAGGCAAAACACACGACGCCTCCGCTGACCGCTTTTCGCTTGGTCCCGCCGAGAACGCAGTCTGTAACACGGCTCGCCCTTTTGACGCCATGGCCATGACGCGTGTTGACACCTCTCTCGTGTACTCTCCCAATGGGGTAGGCCCAATCCCTGCTCGGCCTGCCTTTCGGTAAACTCTCCATTTTCCCGAGGATGGCGCTGGAAATTGAGGGGAGCAATGATGCAAAGGGCGGTCAGCGGTCAACCTACGCACAGAGGCACGCTGAAATGTCGGCGAAATACACGGACCGCCATTCTATCTGTTCTACGCAACCCAATGGAGGAAATGAAGGACTCTTCATACGCATGTCCAAAGACGGGCAGAACGGACGATGCACAACAACCTTCTGGGGGATAAGCGATCGCACGTTGATGACATCGACGATCCGAAGAGGATCACCAGGAACCAACCGTACAGTAGAAACCAACCATCCTGGCCGGCTGTCATCTGCACGGGGCTCCGATCTTGGCGGTGCCCACACGGCAGATCGTCAGCGAGATTGTCCTCTAAATTCAAGGTTGACTTTGTCTCATGTGCGGTGCACATCACTGTTTGGACTCTATCCAGTACGGACCGTCATGGTTGCAATTCGCATGTCACTCATCCAGGTGCCTCGTCCGCGTCATTCCTTTCCTGCAGAACCACAACCAACTTTCTATACATAGAACACGCCCCAACACCCGGTCAGCAGAACCAGATTTTGCCATCGAACAAACTTTGGGCAAGGCAGGAAGGTCCAGGGTCACAGACCGGATAATTTGGCTGAGCGTGAGACTCCATTCTGCATCCACCGCGCCTTCAAAAAACAAGGATAACGGGGTTTCTGCTGCTCACAAAGGTCTGTGGACAAGCGCTGATTGGGTGCGCGGGTGTATCCCGTACACCCGATACCGGACGTCGCAGGGGTTTACCCGTATAGTTTAACTGAGGCGGGCGCACGGTTCGACGTCCCACATTTTTGTGCAGACCCAACCCGGTAATCGCCGCACAAGTATGTGCAGCGAATCCACCTGGAGACGGCAGATAGTCGATAGCCGAGCTTGGCATCGCGGGATCGACCAATAGTACATGATAGAGTTGAGGGACCCACCAGGAGCTGACGCGTGCTTGTCCCGTGTAGGGTTTGTCTTGGTCAACGTGGTATGGATGGGGGGGCCCTGAACACCTGAGAACTGTGGAATGGTTCCTGTGTTCGACCAGGCCGGGAGGCTGTTTGGTTTGATATTTATATCTCAACCTTTCGGGTCCTCGCCCTACAGTAGGCTCTCCCGGGTTAGGGTAGGGGGACCGAGTACATGAAGCCATTCTCAATTGAGCCATGACGTGATGGAACTCCCCGCAAAGGCCCGTTGGCCTGGTCCCCTAAGGGCTAGTACGAAAATACAAAGGCATAATCCCTGCGTGCGATCCTGGCGGTCTCCACCGCGCTAACGACACTGCCACCTTCAGGGTCGACGCTAAAACCACCTGAAACGCACCGGTGCAGGGTGGATCGTAAGCTCCCTCTCAACCATCGGATTTCCTTCAGCCCTGACTGGCTGCCTTCCGTCCACCCCCAATCGTTCAAGATCGTGGCCGGCGAGTTCTAACCCTCCTGAGAAACTCGAGCTGCTGCCATTCGTGTCTTTTCCAGAATCCCCGAATCAGGCGCTAGCACCCTACCGCTGCTAGTCGCTAGTCGCTAGTCACGGAACGCAATTTCCCCTGCTCCCTCCTCCATTACGTACGGCCTGGATGTGACCCGAACCGGTTTACCAACGGAGAACTTCGGGCTTCTCACCGTATACCCGTATACCACGGACACGTCGACGCTGAACTTGAGGGGGGTTTCTGGTGGCTGCTTTGTCACCCACCCCCGCCACCAAACCTTGCGGAGCACAATCCGGTGCTTCCCGTTGGACATGAGGCTTCCATTCTCCGCACAAGTTTCGCAAAGTTACGGTGTGCGCTGTCCATCCACAACCGCGTTAACCCTCCGTATCTCTCTCTATCTCTCTCTCTATCTCTCTCTCTATCTCTCTCTCTCTCTCTCTCTCTCTCTCTTGACATCCATCCCTGCTAGTTCACTCCCCGGTCGCCGGCGCAAGCTCCCCCTGCTCACTGACGCACTTGCAGAAAGGTGGAGTGTAATCTATTGCTTGGCTTATGTCACTTGGTGGCCGAACTTTGCCAATTCCGAAGTGAAAGAGCATTTGGATGTTGACGTCTGCGGGAAGCGCGAGGGCGATACACCCCTCGCTCCTCGCCGTCATCTGGCTGCAGGGTCTTGGTGCTTGGTCCCTTGCAAAGCACTTGGCGGATGTATGTTGTAGCTGAGCACTGAGCACTGAGCACTGAGCACTGTCCACTTCGTAGTTGAATCCCCGACCTCCGATCCCTGTCCTGATTCACCATGATTGGCCTCGCGATTTGGCCGTTTCCGACCATCTCACATGAATCCGCGGTATCTTGCATTGAGCTTGACAGGTACACCCGTGTACGCGGCCTGACGTCTATGGCCCTCGTCAAACCCCCACGACTCTTTACACATTTGTAAAACGCCCTCCCGTCCAAAAAAGTACCAGCACCGTGTCTATAGGAGTGGAGCCCGCATTTCGGCGTCCATTTCCCTGCATGTGCCACCGTGCCACTGACGCCTCCACGATCTCAGGATCTATGAACCTCAACTTGGATCCACAGTCCTTGCTGCCAAAGAGCCCATTCCCTGTCCCGGGAGCCACACCTCAGCCGTGTCCGCCGCCACTGCGTAAATTATAAGCTACAGTAATTAAACAAAAAAGGATAATAACATTAAAAAGAAAAGAAAAACCCAAAACCAAAACTCTAAACCTTGATCCCGAACGGGACAGTAGACCCTGAAAACAGGGGGCCGGTGGTGGATGGGGGCATGGAAGGGGCCCAGTAGAACGCCATGTAACGACCCCCTTATCTCAAGGTCTGTGTGTATCTTTCTCCGACGGTGTATGGCGTACGGTATATCCCAGGTAATTCCGAGTTGGAGATAGTACCTGATACCGAACTACACAGATCCCCATTCCCCGGTTCAGCAACCACAGGGGATCCTCTTTGGAAATATTTCAGGGGGAGGCTGTGTAGTTTAATGAGCTCTACATACTCTGCTACCTTCGCGCGGGATCTGGAATCCGTTCTGCCTAAAATGATTTCCCGGTCTATACAATCCTCACCACGACTCTGGTGCCTACGATATGCAGGCCAAATGCCTCCCCGCGCACAATTATATAGAAAAAGAAAATTAAAATCTTAAAGCACAGACGCAGAGTATACCTAGGTAAGGAAATCAAAATTAATAAAAAAAAAATTGAGAAAAAAAAAAAAAAAAAAAGAAGGGGGGGAGAAAAAGGGTCTCATCTAGCACGGAATCGTCGGTGACTATTGGCTGGAAGTCGAGTTCAGGGTAGAATTTTCGCGCAGAGATTCCCCACAGCCAAGAGGCGCGCCTGACGTCCCTCCGATGGAGCCCTGGAGAGCTTACGCGGCCACGTCCTGTGCCAAGCCTTCGCACGGTAAGCTTAGGCATTTGGCGTCTCTTGGCACTGGCCTGCCCCTCAGGTATGTGGATGTGGATGAACTGCGATTGCGATGTATGTTGTATGTATTGGACCCCTTGTGGTTACGCTGTCCCATTTACTATGGCCCGGTGGCAAATGTGTTGGAGAGTTGGCAAAAAGGGGGACGGCCTATGTCCCCCCTCCTTAGGCCGTGGATGAGGTACGGTTTGCGCTTTATTCCGAAAAGTTTGGTTGTGCGTTGCCTGCTATACTAGTAACCTGCTGCTATACCGTAGTTCGTATCTTTTCGTGATCCTGGGACCAGGTCTGTAGAGGACCCCGGACTGCTGCTTCCCCCGAGAGGAAGAAGATAGTCATGATTGACATGATTGTCGTTGATGAGCGTGCTATCACTGCCACCAGGGTCTGGAGGATCGGGAACGGTCGCGATCGACTCCATGTCAGGCACGTGAGGTATATCGAGTGATTTCGATGTAAATGTAGTTCGATATGCTTGATGCGACAGGTTAATTGCTTTGAAGGTAAACGTGGCTTTTTTTCTGTTCTTAATAAGGATCTGTCAACGAGGTGCACTATATCTCTAGCAGATATATAGTGGGCGGATCCTCCAATACTACCTGACGAAGGAACCAGATCATCTCATGTGCTACTCCATGAAATCATCTCACGGAGCTCTTCTTATCTTTGCTGATAGAACATCGGCCCCGTCGCTAGAAAAGGCAACTGCCATATGCAGCCACCGAATGGTGCGACAACCACAAGTACGCCTGCAGGCATTGCTCACGAGGCGGAGCCCTGGAGAATCAGGTTGACAGGCTAGAATATGACGTGTTTCAGCCTCCAAAGCCCCCGACCGATAAGTGTCTGATTACAGGCAAGTACTCGCCTATCGGCTGCAGAGAGAATATGTGAAACCTTGGAATAAATTCCCTAGTGACTTTTGAAACTTGATATACAGTCAACCACGCCGACCGTCCGAATGTCCCTGCATGAATAGAGAACGATAAAAAGAAAAACCGGCTAGCAAACACAAAGATTCCGAAGGTAGTTATGCATAAGAAGAAAGCAGATCGACAAATTACAATGTCGTCCTTAGACGATAATAAACAACTCCGGCCGGTCCATGCCATCATCCTCCAAGCCCGGGTAGTAGGGGACCATCGCGTCGGCTCCCTGCACGTAGGCATCATTGTACAGGCGCCAATAAGGCGTGCGCACCTTACGAGCTGGGTGGAACAAGCCTGCCCATACGTAGTTCATGACCACACCGGTACCGACAGACATGCGGATTGCGTCGATGGCTTCAATAATTCGGTCGATGACGTGAGGGCTAGTTTCGAAGATGTTGGGGAAGATCAGGTTGAGGAGATGGAGCATGGCATCCTCGCAGCCGAGACCGACGACACCGAGCGCAATGTGCTTGACTACGCTGGCGGCGGTTTGTCGGTGGACTTGGTCTCGGTCGATGAGCGCATCCTCGAGCAGGGGGGTGACGGCGTAGACGTAGTCCTTGGCCATCTCGCCGATGTACTCGAACAAGAAGGACATGGCTTTGAGAACACCGTTTTGCACGTTGAGCTCGGGCACGCGGTACTCATTCATCAAGGCCGGGAGGACGGTGAAGGGAGCGCAAGTCTCGGCGACGATACCGATCGCGACGGCTGTACAGACACGGGACTGACGCTCCTGGACACGGAGGTTGTTGAGGAGGGTAGCAAGCACATCTTGGGGACCGATGGCCTTGGCGATGAAGCCGAAGGTGTTGTTGGCTGCTCGACGAATGCCCTTCTTGTGGGCTTTCAACATATCCAGCAGCTCGAAGCAAATACGCATCCATTCACGGGCGTTGACGGACTCGGGGCCACGGTCGGCGATACGACCGACTAGGTCAATGGTATTCTCCTGCACCTTCTCGTGACGGTTTCGCAGGATGGGAGTGAGTCGGGGCAGAAGGTCGCGAATGGGTGGTTGCATCTGGTTGATACCGACCACGGTGACGATGGAGCGCAGAGCACCCAAGATTGAACCCAGCACCTCAGGGTACTCTTCACCCAGGTATTCGTAAAGCACAATACCGAGCTTGCCCATGAGGGCGTCCTCACCACACTGCTTCATGACCATCGCAATGCGCGAAATGAGGTCTGCTGCCTGTTGTCGAACCGTAGCAGACTTGTTGTTCAACCGCCACAGGATAGTACTGACGATCTGTGGAAGGTATGGCTTGCAGCGTGTGCCCAGAGCATTAACCGCAGTACCGAAGCCGTTTAGGATGACAATATCCTCGATGCTTTGCTCCTGGAATGCGTAAAGGACACCATCGATGAGTCTCTCCTCCAACCGCTCAGAGATATCCGCCGCTCCCAGCGAGGCAATCAGCTTCTCAACTGTTTCGACGGTCATTTTGCGGTAGGGCTCGCTTTCGTCCTTCAGGTTGTTGACGACCCGCTCCAAGATCTCACCAACTCCAACTTTCTGGCCCAGGTCGACAGTAGTGTCCACCACCTGGCGGTAGTTTCGCCGATCGAGTGCCATGCGCCTGACCCAGAAGCTTTTGAAGAAGTCGGTCAAGACGTGTTCCTTGAGGTAGCCAGCGGTCACACCATCTGTGCTTGAGCACTGTGACACCACTTTCAGAACAACCTTCTTCATCTCCTCGTCGGGAGACGAGAATTCTCGGAGAAGAATCTCCATGATCTGACTAGTATAGTAGTTGGCATATTCCTCGTCCATGAGGGGAATAATGTAGCCAACAGCCTTCAAGAATGCAGCAAGACCCTTACCGCGCTGTTTGCGGGCCCCAGTCCATAGAGGGTTCAGAATCTCGTCAAAGCTCTCAATACCGTAGGGGTTGGCGGCTTCGGCCAAAGCAGCCACGGCCAGGGCGGTAACAGTTCTGACCTTAGCCTGTTCATCGCTCAGGTTGTCCGAAATGCAGTCAACAAGGCCCTTAAGATGCGGGAGAATGGCGCAGCCCATTAAGATAGGGATTTGTTGAACGATCTTGACACCGGTGTGACGAGCCTGCCAGGACTTCTTACTGCGACACACCGCACGAAGGAAGGGGAGGAGAGCCGGGATACCGAGGGCAGAGGCCACAACGGCGAAGGCTCGGGCGGTGGTGTTTCGGACATACTCGTCGACATGGTCGATATCAGGTCGCATTGTGCTGATCATGGTGGCGAGACCAGCAGCCTTGGAAAGGTTGGAGATAATTTCTCGACCTTCCACACGGGCATAGTAGTCTTGATCAATGAGCAGTGGCTCAATGACGACCAAAATCTTATGGACATAAGGCCGGACCAAGTCGTCCAGCTTGTAGAGCACTCGATCAATGACCTTTACCAGCAAGTGACGTTCCTGATCCTCCAAGGACTTCTCCATGAGCAAAGGAAGAATCTGGTTGAAAAGAGGACCGGCTCCGAAGTTTCGGGCATTGTCGGTAAGCTGTCTCAATGCCGTCTTTCGCATGGGTGGTGTGCCATTCTTGACCTTGAGCAGCAATCGCATGATCTTTCGCTCTTTCATTTCCTCGACAGTCATGGAGCTCTCGTCACCAGCCTCCATCAGCTTCCCGAAGTAGGCCATATCCTCTGGCTTGAAGAACTGCAGATCGCCAACACCTGGGATATCGGTAGGAAGCTCCTTGCCCATGGAGCGGACGCTCTCAGGCTCTTGCATCATGAAACCTCCAACTCCACCGGCACCACTCATAGGCGCCGGCGTCGCCATCATCTTCCGCGCCGGGTTCCGGATTGGTGCGTAACCCGGAGGGGGATCCAAGATCTTGTAGCCCTCGGTAGGCAGCATCATGTCAAGTTCCTCATCAGACCACGGGGCATTCCGACCGCTCAAGTCAGTTCCGAAGCTTGTGGGAATCATAGCCGCTCCTCCCTGGGACGGGTGCATAGGAGTGGAAAGGCCGTCGTTGCCAACGGGGGTTGCTGCTGTGAGCGATGGTGCTTGATCCCATCTCGAGCGGCGCTTGGATCCATCTTCAGCGGCTCCTGGTGCGGGTGTCTCGTCCCATCGGGACCTCTTGGTTTTCGCCTCAGCCTGCTCGCCTTCTGGCCCAGCAGCAGCTTCAGAAGCAACGTCCCAGCGCTTCTTGCGTTTTCTGCTAGCGGATGCATCAGCATCAGCATCAGCAGTTGATCCAGCCTCTGCACTCTCCTTGTCGCTTTCCATCATCTTCAGAGTAGCCTGACGCTCGGAGACATCCTCGCCACGCTCACGCTTCTCGGCAATCAGCTTCTGGACACGCTCTTCTTCCTTCTCGATTTCTCGCAAAGCCATGACCTCTCGGTAGGTCTGGCCATTTTCATCCGCATGTGCGTTCGCGTTGGCAGCAAAAGGGTCGGCGCGCGTCGGAGTCAGACCACCGCGGTCGAATCGGCGCTTTTGATAGTCGGTCTCGCGGTCGGCGATGCGCGCGGCCTTCTCGCGGCCCAGAAGAATATCCTCCTCTTCAACACCATTTCCCTGTGCCATCTCATCGATCTGACTGCGGGTTGCGGTATACTGACCAACCAAGCTGTGGCCGCCGTTCGCATCTTCCATCTCTTCATCGTCACCGTTTACAGCGATAGAGGTGTCGTAGCCGGTAAACCTGTCCGCCCCTTCCCGTTCGTACAGAGTCGTATCGAAGGATTCGGTAAGGGAGGCCTTGGTCGAATTGTCAGTGCGTTGACCGGACGGATCAAAGGTCCTAGAACCTTTCTTGCCAGCGGCAGCAGCATTGCGCTCCGCCTGGAGCCGCCGGACAGCTTCAATATCGGCTGAAAAGAGAGTCAGTACCGGGCCGCAGTGGGGAATTCCATAAAACCTACCGTCGGACATTGTGATGCAGAGTCAAGTCAAATATGAGATTATGATCGCGCAGAATGGCTACATTCGGATAAAGCACCGCGAAAACGGCAGCATCGATGATGGGGTAGCTCTTGCTGATGATCCGCGATGGAGTGCAAAATGCACGTCGCCAGCAAAGTCGCGCTAGTAGATGACTAAGATAGCACGATCACGTGACAAATAAACATTTGTATCACGTGATGAATAACGGCATTTGTCGAGAGGGGGTAATGGTCATTCAATCAACACCAATGCCATCAACCTAAGATGAGAAACAGGGATTAAGGACCAACTCGCTTTGGTGTGCATGGAATTGTGAAGACGGGGTGGGGAACCCAAGATGCCTTACACGACATTCGTGGCGCCCATGGGCGCTTAGGGACTATTTATGTCACACACGAACTGTATCAGTGGAGTAGTCTTAGTCAGTTACTATTTTCATACCACGGGTATGTATATGTACTTTGGTATCTGAGCGAGACTGTGACTATGAGGGATAAGCCCGCATTTAATAGCCTTTCTTAGCGCATGAGGCGTACAAATCTTACCAACATCCGTGGACATATGTTGATAGCCATGTCTACAAATCGAAGACAAGCGGGCTATAATGAAGCTCTGAATATTCCAAGGCAGATTTAGCATTGCCTCGATTGGGTAGTGCTTGAGGGTTTGGCTCACATTCTTCCGGGGCAATTGTTGTTGAACTCTCGTAGGTAACACTCCCAAGGGTTGCCGGCGGCTAGCATGAGATGGTTCGGGATGTAACATGTACTTAGACTACGCCGTGTTGTTACATCAAACTAGGCTTTACATTGGCTACTTACTGTAAGCTAAGAGCCCCTTGTTATACCGGCTTATTACCGGCTCGCTAAGCTTTGAGGCTTTGGCCGGCAGCCAACAAAGAGAACCAATTTAGTATAGTTTTCTAGCTCCGAGAAGCCCACCCGGTTTGCCAGCGCACAGGGAACCTATTCCAACGTTAGTAGCTATAGATAGTTTCTCGAACCGTGGTTCCTTCCATACAAGGCGGACTTAAAGGCTGATGAGCTATATTCCATGGCGATTAAGATCGTATTTCTGTTGGCCTACAATAAAGCCTTGCGTACTATTTCTACGAGGCACTTCCCCTCAAAGAACAGTTCGAAGCTTTTTGCGTCCTGATTCCCGAAGTCATCTGAGCCCACGGAAGGTTTCACTTCATTAACTAGAAACCCCCTGAGTGTTTCTGAATTTGTGCTCAGAGCCATCGACCTTTCGTCTTCACATTCTCATCATATTATAACCGCGATCAAGTCCTCCGAAACCCATCATCCTCGACTGTATGAAGGGAAATACCATCAACATGCATATTTTTTCACCATTGCTACTCATCCTGACCATGATGTTGGCTGAAGCCACAGTCCTTCCTGGCCCGCTGCAAGTGGCCAATACCTTTTCTCATATTGCCAACGAGCTCGGGCACATCAGCCTTGGGAACTGCTCGTTGGCACATGCATGCCTTCCTCTCAAAGATACCAAGGTAGCCCTCCCTGACCCGTCATCGCACTTGACTCTCAAGTACATTACCGTGGGTCGCGGGATTCAAAACTACTCGTGTCCATCCATCCATGCCTCCTCCCGAAACACTACAACTCCCAAGGCAATCGGTGCTGCAGCCACCCTTTTCGACGCTTCCTGTGTTGCCTCTACCTCGATGAATCTGTTACATGAGCTTCCTGCCATTGCTGCTCGCACCCCCCTTGGATCTCTAGCCTTCATGGCAGAGATGTTGAGCAGCACCACAAACTCTTCGTACCTCATAGTTGGCGAACATTACTTCGATGCCGCTGGGGACCCCTTCTTTAATTTGAAGCTCAGTGGACATGATGACTGGATGGTTGCCGCGAAGATCGCATCGGTCTCAGCGCCTACGAGGGTGTATACAACCAAGACTGCGAGCAAAGATGTTGCCTGGCTAAGTTTAAAGCGCAAGGATGGACAGGGAATTAAGGTCAGTAACCTACAGTTCATCCATGCCGATTGAGATAAAACATCCTCTAACCAAATACTAGGAGGTGTACCGAGTTATGACCTTTGAAGGAGGCGCTCCGTCAACATGTGCTGGTTTGAACGATACTGTTATTGTCGATTACGCTGCCGAGTACTGGTTTTATGGATAACCGGGGTGAAGATTTCGTCGAGGGGCTTTTACTGAACTTCTGTAGCCGGCTGGTATTAGAAGAACGCCCTATCAAGAACTTTTCCAATGTATTGATGATTTATCCTTGCGGAATATAGGCAAATCTGACTGCCCTCTTACTTGATATAGGCCCACAAGTCTGAACGGCTTACTATTTTGAACGTTAAGACAATGCAGTAGATGACCTGGGATACTGTGCGTTTTCAGATTACTTGAATTGATGAACTAGCTATAATGTACACGTGAATAAGCCTCCGGATGCGCGTCAGCAAGTCGTACTCTCAGCCAGCTCAGAGCAGTTTGCTGTTGTGATTATTGAACAAAATTCACCAGCTGCACCAGTTGGGAAGCCCACTAGACTCCCAGTCCATTAGTGCCCAGTCAAGTTGATTAAAATCGATATCTGACTGGGCGTACTCGGGAAGACCAAGACCTCCTCCTGCGAATCCATCCGGCCCTCCACTGTATGGTAAGCTGTAGCTACCAGATCCCATGGGCATTGGCATTGTTGAGCCATCGATATCTATGCCGATAGAGTCGTGGGATAGGGCCTGTTCACGGCTTTCATCTTGAGGGTTCCCTGATTTCCTGGCCATGTCATCCCGGATGTAGGATACAATCCTGGGAGGTACTGGAGGCTTTCCTAACCGTGTGGATGCCGCGTTATATGCATCCCAAGCCGGAAGAACGAGCCTGGAAAATATTTTGAGGAGTGGGCAGTCAATGTCTTCAGGGACATTGATTCTAGCATCAAAGTTGTCACTCATAACTTCCCAGGCCTTCTCAGCTTGCGTGTGAGTCGGTCGCCTCTTGAAGTCTTGCAGTATGTGGATATATGCGGGGAGCGGGAAGTGAAAATTCACATGCCAAATGAACCCTTTGGTAAGAGGTGAAGTCATGATCTTAGTATCTCCTTCAAGCATCTCCATGGCATGGAAAACAGCGAAATCACGCCGCCTCTCGGTCACATCCGAAGACGACTCCAAAAGCTTTGAGTAATGCTCTACAAGTCTGTATTTCGCAATGTAAGTCCGAGTTGTCCAGATCGTCATGAAATGAAGTGGATTTTCCGGGTTGCAAAACTTCAGATATTTATCCTCGATCATCCTTTCCAAAGCGTCAAGCTCACTGTTTTCGGGATTAGAGTGCCGCTGAGCATCATTGGTGGCGGAGACAAAATTCGGAGTGTGGTAGTCAAAATGAAACTTAGCATGGCGAACAAACTCGCGAAGTTCACTGCGCACAACGACGAAAAGTGCCTCACTAGATGTATTCAAAACCAGTGGGGGTTCTTTCATTTCAGGTCGAAGATCAGAATCGTTCACATTGAGAGGGATTTTACAGTCCCAAGTGGGAGCCAGCGCAACGTTTTTGTAGTCAGCTAGCTCACCAATGCGAGTGTCGAAGAGTTTGATTGACCACCAGAGTCGCCTGCACATTTCGGCTTCGAGAGGTGTATGCTTGGAGCAAACCACCTCGCTGTGAATCCCTATACGGTGTGCAATGCGCATCGCTATGCCGAGCATGGAGGACATAGATCGAGGATCTGTGCTGCGTCCAATGGAGACCAGGAAGAGATAAAACGCAGTCAAACATTCGCGATCGCCGGTCCGCAGGTAGCCGCAGTTCAACAGGGCTTGCTGGCAACCAAATTGATACTTGGCCAAGAGCTCTTCCCTTGACGATCTAAATGCAGTCTGACATTCATCGGCTGTAATGCTCATGATAGCAATGGAGTATATGCCAAACAGGAGTGCCTCAAAAGTGCAGCTAACACCAGCGAGATTGCTGGCTACTTCAATAATGCGGCTTTGTAGACTAGGTGTGTGTGTAACCTTGAGCAAAGGATCGACATTGTCCAGATAGATCTGCCAAAGCCGAAATAGCTGGACTGGTTCAGGGTGAAGAGTAGAAAGTTCGACAGCCGTCTTGCGCGAACCAAAGAGAAGAAGATTGTCATGTTCAGCAAATAGTTGATCCCATGCCTTCTTGACTCCATCCAGGCTCAATTCGTCATGTGAGGATTCCCTCTCATTGTCATTTTGTGGAAACTGTCTCGATCATCAGTAAAACGAACTTGGGATTTGAAAATAGAAATCAGCATACACCTTGTGTTCTCAGAGCATGCCAAAAATTCCTGGGGCAGTTAGCCACACGCAAAGGCTGTTCTAGGAAGAGTGTCCGTACTTGGCCTCATGTATTTCTTTAGGGGTTTCGGATGTGGAGGGAGATGACTGATCCATGCTCATCGAGTCTGGTAGTTCACCATCCGAATCATGATCAACTGCTGCGTTGGGGGGTCTTTTATTTCCAGTTGTGCTTTTGTGGAGTGGTTCGAACGTGATCTTGTTCTGGCGGAGGAGATCCTCATACTTGCGGATCCGCTCCAGAAGGTCCCGCTCAGGAAAGCGGCGTTTTCGCTGTCGCGGATTCAGCGCCGCAGGAACGCACTCTGCCTTAAACCTGAGGCAATTGGAGCAAGGGAATTTTCGATCACATTTGACCTTGCGCTGCTGGCAGAGCACGCAGGCGAGGGTACGCTGAGACTTTGTTCGGGAGCATACCGAGGGCGGGGCCGGCGATGAGCCAAGTTCGGAGTCGGGAGGTATACTTGACATAGCGTGTTCAGCCGAGGACCCATGCGCAAGATCTACAGCCTTTTCGAATATGAAATTCCCGTGTCGTACACAGGGCAGTCTTCAAATCGGCAGATGAAGCTCGGGAAATTCCAAGACCCGAGTAGTGAGGTCGGGCTCAGTCATGTGACCGATCGGGGGTTTCTAAGGCCCGAGGAGGCAACGATTTCTGACAGCGACTGAAGTATAAGTAGGCTGGCTGCACTTTCAAGGTTCAAATTGCTCGTCATTGCATGAATTAAAATTATTCGACAGTGCAAAAATCGATCACTTTTGGGTTGCTACCATCTTGCATCTATATATCTTTTTGAAAGTGCCCATACTATGTCCTCTCCACCAAGAATCGCCATTGTCGGCGGTGGTCCCGGTGGACTAACCGTTGGTCTTTTGCTACACCGACGTGGGATCTTATCCACTATATTTGAGCTTCGCCAAAAACCCACCGATGAGGAGCTGGCTAAGCCTTCCGGCATGCTTGACCTCCATAAGGAATCTGGCCTTGCTGCCATCAGAGAGTGCGAACTATACGACCAATTCCTCCAGCTCACGGGCGAGTGCTCAGAGGCACAAAAGGTCTCGGACAAGGATGGCAACATTCTACACCAGGACGAAGGAGAACTGAGTGATCGCCCCGAGATCTCCCGCCACGCTCTCACAAAACTCTTGAGTTCTCATTTACCGGCCGAAAACATCAAATACGGCTACAAGCTCTACTCAGCTACAAGCATATCCACACCGAATGGCACTGAGACGGAACTGGACTTTGGGCCCAATGGCAAACAAAGATTTGATTTGGTCATCGGTGCCGACGGAGCTTGGTCCCAGGTTCGCAACATGCTATCAGACATCAAACCCCAGTACGCAGGAATACAGAACATTACTACTACATTTCGACACGTTTCGACAAAATATCCGCATCTGGCGGAATTGGTTGGCCCTGGAAGCTTCGCTGCGCTTGCCTTTCGGCACGGCGTCATGTCCCAGCGTGGGCCGCAAGACGTAGCCCGCATCTTCATCTTCCTGACAACACCGGATGAGCATCTTCCCGTCTCAGCAGGGTTGGCGGGCCGCGCTGCTTCAGATGCAAAAGAGTTACTCTTGAATAACGATGAGTTCTTGGGACGTTTTGGTCCCAAGATCAGGGAGCTGGTTAGTGTTGCATGCGACGAAGAGACGAACGACAACCCGGGGGCCGCTTTGGACATCAGACCATTATATACGCTACCAATTGGTGTCTCGTGGGAGCACAAGCCAAACGCAACGCTCATCGGAGATGCTGCACACTTGATGTGTCCCTGGGCTGGCGAAGGAGTGAACCTGGCAATGTGGGACTCGCTCTTGCTAGCTCATGCCATCATCAAGGCTTACCATGCTGCCAAAGACCAAGGTGCCTCATTTCAAAGTGAGCTGGATCCCTTGATGAAAGAATTCGAGGATGAAATGTTCGTACGCACCAAGGAGAAGGCGAAGGAGACTTACAGCAACGGCCAGATGATGTTTGGAGAAGATGGAGCGACGGCCTTCAGAGACTTCTTCCGCGCGATATACAGCCAAAACGAGGGAAAGGAAACCTTGGAAGCTATACGTGCTGCCTAGGTAAGGGCAAAACTGCTCGCTCCCCACTCCGTTTGATTTTCTTGATAGAGCTCTTTTTTTTTTCAACTGATTACATGCAATTAGATGCCTGGGTGATATTGTATTAGATAGCTTCATTTTCATCGCAAATTATATGTATATAATAAACAAACAACAAAACTTGAAGATATATGAAAGCCAATATCAACGAGAATTTTTCTTCACAACATTTGAATGGGGATATGATTTAGTGTTCTGAATTTGGATCTTGGTAATCATGTACAGTGACGCAGCAAAAGTATTAACACCCCCCTGGACCCACGCCTACACCGCCCTCTCACCGCCTACCTAGGAACACGCTAGTAGTAGCTCAATAATCTCGCGTTTTTGCGCGTTATTCTGTTTATACCTCCTGAATCTCCTTATTTTGCTATCTATTATGGCACCGCGGTCTGAATTGACACCTGCGCTACGTGAGCGTATATGTGAGCTGTCCCAAGCTGCGGGATGGGGCTATAAACGTATTCAAAAGCGCTATCCTTGGGTCTCTCTTTCTAGTATACGCTATACTATTAAAAAGGACCGCGAACGACTCGATGGTGTCTCTAAACCACGCTCTGGACGCCCACGGAAGCTTGATGAAGCTGATCGTGAGCGTTTGTTAAACGCTATTGAGGAAAATCCTAAGATTACCCGCGTTGATTTGCTTGCAAATGTGTCGAATAAGGTTAGCTATATTCCTTTAGTTTTAAATGCTTACTGACCTAAATTTTTGGTTAAATATGACTCGATCCGACGCCTTTTAAACGCCGAGAATATGCGAAAGTGGCGCTGTAGCTGGCGGCCCTATTTGACCGAACAAAATGCGCTAAAACGGCTTTAATGGGCGCATCGCTATCGACACTTTATTGCTGAAGATTGGGCTCGTGTCTATTGGTCTGACGAATGTATAATTGAGCGCGGTATTGGTGTTCGTCGTGAATGGACTTTTATTCGCCCTCGAGATCAGCCTAAGGAGAGACAATGTCAAGGTCTTCCTATAAAAGGAAACCAAGTTAAGCAGATGTTTTGGGGGGCTTTTTCTAGCAGCACACAACGCACTGGCCTTATCCCTCTATTTGGAAACCCTGAAGCACCTCGCGGAGGCGTTGATCGCTTTATTATTCGAGATTTATATCTCCGAATGCTGCCTACATTAATGAATTATGAGGGTGGTATCTTTCAGCATGATAATGCGCCTACACATACTGTATACGTTGTCCGCGATACTCTACGCGAGCTAGGAATTAAGGTAATGGAATGGCCGCCTTATTCGCCTGATTTAAACCCTATTGAGAACCTATGGGCGCTCTTGAAGGCTAAAATCTATGAGTTACGGCCGGATCTTATTGATATGCGTAATAATAGCGCGTCCTACGCTATTCTAGTGGAGACAGCACAGATAGCATGGGAAGAACTAGAAATACAGCACCTAACGCATCTATCTGAGACGATGCCGCACCGGGTGGAAGCTATTATTGAGAGCCAGGGCTGGTATACGCCCTACTAGATAGAAATTCATGGAGTTTTAGGCCGGCAGAATATTAGGTAATAAGGGGGGGTGGGTCTAGGGGGTGTTAATACTTTTGCTGTGTCACTGTACCAACACCTGGGCAGCCAGCCTCTCTAGCCAACATGAATGCTGGCGCCAGAAGATTTGGATGATGGATTCGATGTTTGTGCACATTTCTTCTCCATGGAAGCCACCATTGACACTCAGTCTAATTGAATAGTGAGTAGAGTCGTGATTTCTGTTCTGCCTCAGGCCACAAGTGGCACAGGTACGGGGTGTGGCGCAGTGCATGCATATCCCAACGCCCCACATCGGGGTGACCTCAGCTATATCTGGTCGAACAGCTGGCAAAGATGACTCATAGACAAGGATGTCGCAGATTTTCAGCGGGTCAAGCTATGACTTGGCAACTCGAGATTTCGCCAAAGTGGCGCTTTGACCGGCTCACGGAGAATTTGGTAGCTGTCAGTGGCGCTTTCTTGCAAGCTTGTTAGTCTGTATCGATATAGAGCCGATTTACTTTGACGGGCTTTCATCAAAAGGCAAAAGAGAAAGGGTCCATGCTTTCCTCCACTCGGAGGCCCCGACATGTGTTGATCACTGGCCAATTTCATATGTATGTCTATACGCATTCGATGATAGGTAGGAGGCATCTGCCACCTGCTTCTTGCCAGAGATAGAAAAATCAACCAATGCTGTGATTTGTAAATTAATTGTGAGCATAAGGAGAACCATCGTGGAAGTTTGCGAAAGTGACGATTATAGATGAGAACAAAGCCTACCATGTGGCTGTGCTGGTCACGTGGAGGGGAGCCTGGAGAACGCGCCTGCCGGGTCGCGTCCTCGCCCCAGCACTACACTCATCCATTTCCATCCATTCCTTACTTTCGCATTTGTCGCATGATGATTGCGGATCGACTGTGATAATATCCATCCACGTTTGACCCACCTGAACCCACGTCCGATCCCCGCTCATCCAAGACCGTCTCCCATACCGCAATCCTTGACAACGAAATGGCGACCGACTACAGTAAGAAGACCAATGCCGACTTGGTCGAGATTCTGAAGTCCCGGTCTCTCCCTCACACTGGAAAGAAGGCCGATTTGGTCGCCCGTATCCAGCAAGACGATGAGAAGAACTCGGGTGGAGCTCCAGCTGCCCCCAAGACCGATGCTGCCGAAGATGTCATTGATTGGGATGACGATGTCCCTGCCGTAAAGCCGGCCACCGAGGCAGGTGCCAAATCAATTGCTGCTGGCGGCAAGGGCGCTGTCGCCAACCCCGTCGCCGTGCCCAACCAGAAGCTTGATACCGATCCCGCTACCTCTCATGAGCTCAAGGTAGAATCGGCCGGCGCCGGCGCCGCGACGGGCGAGGCCCCCTCGTCTGCGACCGAGGTCGAGCAGAAGCCCACTGTCGATTACACCAAGGGTCTCCCTACCACCGACCTGGAGGCGGAGTTGGCGAAGCGCAAAGCTCGTGCTGCCAAGTTCGGCATCGTTGAGGATGAGGAGACTGCTGTGAAGGAGGCCGAGAAGCAGCTGGAGCGCGCAAAGCGATTTGGCACCGGCGGTACTGATGAGGCCAGCACCAATGTTGGTGTTCGGGGTCTTGATGAAGCTCTTCCCGAGAAGTCCCGCAAGAGAGGCCCTGCCGACCAGGGCCAAGGTGGACGCGGAGGAAAGCGACGTGACCAGGGCCGGAATCGCAACCGAGGCAACCCGGGCAACCAGAACCGAAACGCCGGCGGAAACAAGGGCGGAAGCGGCGGTGGAAACAACGCGCAGAGCAGTCAGCCGAAGAGCTGGAGTGAGAAGGATGTTGCTGCGATGGAAGCTCGCAAGAAGCGTTTCACAACTGCCGCCTAGACGCGTGATCTTGCTTTTGATGTACACCATGTGACATGGAATTTTTCTTTGTTTTACATATCGGGATCTTTACGGGCGTTCGTGCTGAGTTGGTATCAGGGAATCCGAGGGTCAATCAGTCAAATCAAATTATTTTCATATCGGTGATTCGACGATCATGTATATCAGTAGCGAAATTGCTATACGAATAATGTAAAGGAAACAGACGATAGCACGTACCAAGAGAGCACTTTCTTGATAAGGGCTAAGCACCGAGACTCGAAACTCGAAACGCGAGGCTCGTGGACCCCGCGTGCGCAGTCAGCTGAAAGGTGCATTAGCTCTGGTTCCTGCAGCTTGAACGCGAACCAGTGTGGTTTCAAAAGGTACCTCCCTCTGGCCCATTCCCTCCAGATCGGCGCTCTAGGATCGACGAACCCATTTGCGCTTGGCTTCTAATCCCGTGTTCTGGCGCGGATCTCGAGAAGAGAAGTATGAGGAATGCCGCAGAAAGTGGGCTCGGGACTCTACTCTCGAAACAGTTACCGCCGGTCTCCACATGGGACAGGGCACCAGCAGCGAATCGGTGGCCGCCAGTCGTTTTTTTTAAACGGTGGCTGCTTGGGCTAACAGGTCGATAGGCAGTAACCACGTCAATGAGAGTGCAGAACGCCTTCATTGCTGGAGCGCCGTGTGGAGCATCACTGCCCGCTGGACCAACCCCGCCGCAGTGGTCCCGAACGGGGCCACCTACCGCCTAGGGGCGAATTACTGGCTTCATTGCGCATCTTACTGGCTGAACGTATCCCGAGTCCAAATGAATTCGGTGAGATGACGGTGCTTTGGGGAAAGAGCGGGCCCCCACTAGTTATATCCAACCTTGGGACCATTTCTTTAAGGCCCCCCGATCGAAAGGCTCGGGACGGGCCTTTCGCTGTACCAGACTCTGGATAACGGCTCGATGTCTCGGGTGAAACTTGTCATGTCGCGGTAAATTCGTTTGGACTTGTCTAGACGAGACAGTATACATCACATCACCTAAAGGTGGCAAGTACATAGAGACGTATAGATCGTCCAAGGTCTCGCGTGTCACGTTACGCTCAGAGCATGAGCGCACTGGGCAGGAAAAGTCTGCGCCTGCGGCTCCTGGCACGTTGGGAAATTCTCCGAGCCTGTTTATTGTTGGCACGAATTTGGGGAGGAATAAGCAATGAACTTTGGGGCGGATCGACGGTGCAGTCAGATCGGCTTCGGCGTCCCCGATCGATGAGTTGTCAACGAGGCGACACAGATGCGGTGTCCCCTGCACTCTACTGGCTCCGATACCGCATTTGCAGGCGACGGGAGAACAACTTTCACCATCAGCTTGAATTCACGGCTGATCCGTTTTGGCCATTTAACGTATTTGAGCCGAGATTCGTGGAAATGAAGCCCATCCAGAAAAGACAAAACGCGGGATGTGCCTCTCACGCCACGGCTGCAGCCTGTCATGTTGTGTTCAATCATCTCCGTTGATAGCCATCCGATGCGCAGAACGCCGGGGTCCAAGGTTTGACCGGGGAAAGACTCGTAGTGGGCCGGGTTCGGTTCCCATGCGGGCTTCCGTGCGCGACGACACGGAGAACGAAACGTGATAGGATTGACTTTTGTAGCGCAAGGCTTTCTGGAGCCGTTTGCATAATCCCACGAGCGCCATGTTTTTTACAGGTCCAGGCGCCTCCGTCTCGACTCGTCACAGAGGTAGTCACAATTTGTACATCCAATGACGGCTTCACTCAGTACCGGGGCCGCCGTCAATCGCACAAACCTATGATGCCACTCTTGTGTGTTTGATATGCCCGGGAGGCCTTTTTATTCCCCCCACATTGAGAGGGGAATCCCGAGTCAGCAAATACAAAAAGTCCGTGTTTCGGTTGACTACGCAATATCCCCGATCTTTCTTTCCGGTCTTGAATTATTCCTTTTTCCTGCCAGTCTTCAACTCTTCGTTTGCTTATTTTTAGAGCTCCGTGGGGCTCGTATGGATCTCCCTCTGACGTGGCCGAGGCTAGTTGAAATCCCTGAGATTCGGTGCGCCACTGCTCCAGACTGTGGCGAAGCAGCTGCAGCTTTGGCGCCGATCAGCCAGAGTCGGTGAATTTCCATCTATCTTTTATCTACCTGACAACGGCCTCTTTTTCTCCCCGTTCATCCTCATAATGACTCTGCTTTAATATTTATTAATTCCATCTTTTATAGTTTGTCGTTATATGTGCCTTGGGATGCTCTTATTGCGAACTCGTTCCCCACTTCGTTTCTACTAATTCACCCGCTTCACGTCCTGGAGACCTTATAAAGTAATGGCTTTGATGATGTAAGTTGATGTTGCCACTGCTGTGCTTGGGATTTGATGCTGACGAATTATTGTATCAAGTTCAAGTTCTTCGATCCGCCCATGTCCGCTATGATTCCGCTTTTGACACACATGTACCCAATATTCGGTTATTTCGCTCAAGATTGGAGCTGAAGTCTCCATCCTACGTCGCAACATGTCGTCGCACCATTATGGAGGCTGTAGAATGCCTTCAAATGATCCTTTTTCGGATTTCTCAGAAGTGTCGCAGCCGGGGACCGCCAACCCCGGCATCGCCTGTGCGCCTCGACTTCCACGGTCACATATTGCAAGACCAGTTAACTATACGCCTCAAAGGAGCCGTGCATCATCAGCCTCGGCTGCGGAAGAGACTGGCTCAACACTGGCACCGGTCCCTCGACCTACCAGTCGTGCAAATCGCCGTTTATCGATGCTCCCCCGCCCAAGCACTGGTGGCTCGTTGCCTTCAGTGTCCCCTGCGCCGTTATCTCCGCAAATACAGGCACAGCCCGTTCTATCATCATTTTCTATCTCTGATTTAACGAGTCCGCCTGCTTTCATGCCCGTCTACCAAGTTCCTCCCGCCAAACGACCCCGCAACGTGCTGCGCCGAAAGGCTGCGACAATAGGGAAGAATGCGGAGCCAAATGAATCACAGAAGCTTAGCCTTGTCATCCCGCAGACTTCCCAGCCTAATGATATTAGGGAACCTCGATGGCCTACATTCGGGGATGCGGACTCGGCTGGCCCGTCAGCGTCTTCGTCCGGCACAAAAGAAGCGGAAACACCGACGATTGGGCCAGCAGAATTGGCAAGCCTTCGTACCATCATTGATACTAGAAATTTACCTCCACCTCCCACGCCCTTCTTTCCATCTGCGAGCACCCCTTCAACTCGATACTCGGAGTCGCCAGGGGTATGGAGTCGTGGTTCGACACCCACCTCGCTATCGTCATATTCCCCAGGAATCACCCAGTCAAGCAAAATTGGCCGTTTAAGACAGCCTAGTCCTTCACAGACCCGACTTCCTGTCTTCACTCCTCCGACTGCATATCCCAGCCCACAAAGTGCTTCCAGTGAGCTATCAGATGCAAAACTGTCAAAGTCAGTGATTCCTCAAAGATCTCACGGTCCAAGTCCAAGCCCAGGTGCGGCTGCTACTTCTAGTACTCAAAGAAGGCCCAGTACCAGGTCTATCCCTACAAAGATTCAAGGGCCTCCTCATAGCCCGCCACCCAGGAAGTCATCTGTGAACTTCAGTCCGTCAAAGAATTCCGATATCGATATAGATGTTGAAAAGGCTAGGAAAGAAGTGGAAGAGGCAGAGCGAGAGCTTCTTAATTCCCATCGAGCCCCTGCAGCCCCCTCGATTACAGAGCCAATTATCACAAAGACTCCGCCGCGGCCAAGCAGAGATGGAACGCATCGCTTGGAATTGGAGGCCTCTCCTGTGATTCACAGCAATCTGCCTTACCTCAAGTCAACGGGTCATAAACGACGAGAGTCTGCAGAAAAGGTCCGATCTGCAGCCATGGTTAACCCGATGCCAAACCCATCTGCTGCTACTTCGGTGGATTCTGTGGGCTCCAATAATCTGACTCGAATTCCTTCACGGGAAGCTGGCTCGCCCGTATTGGCACGCAAATCTCCCAAGACACTGACCAAGGAGCCCCCGAAAGAGAAGACGGATCCGAAAAGAGCCCCCACGCCAAAGCGTTTCGGTCTCTTCCCAAAGAAATCCAAGCCAGAATTGGACGAACCATCCGATGACCCGACCCGACAGACACGCAAAGGCCCTGCAGCAGGCACCGGCCATGAAGGATACGGGAAATATGGCCAGCGAGGAAGGAAGTCGAGTGCCAGCAGCAGCGGTACCCGAACCAGATCGACCAGTACAACTCGAAGTACGCCACGATCCGTCGCTAGCAGCAAGGGGGGAACGTTGAGCCGACCAGATCTAGATCTTGACGAGTTCCTCTCGAGTCGCTTGGAGCCCGTGGTGATTAGTGGTGGAGGTCTCGACGGGGCAACACTCTCACGCACCCAAAGTGAGCTGAGTATGAGCAGTATCAGTGTGACCTCTTCGAACCCTCCACGTCCGACACCGCTCACGTCCTCCACCGTCCAGTCGTCCGAGTCATTAGCAACATCAACCGGTGCATTCAGCGACTACAAGACCCCTAGCGAGTCAAGCTCGAGTTTGGGACTTACACAAACCAAAATCTCGGAAAAAAAGCCTGTGGCTTCTGAGCGTCAGAATGTTTCCAAATCACGAATGCCAGTTCCCAAGGGCAAGACGAGCGGGCTGTATGCAAATTCCGAAGCCGCTACGAGTAGCGCATTCCTCTCGGGTCATGGTTCAAGTTCTGCTCCTTCGCAGAACCCAAGAAGAACTTCGAATGAAAAGCCCGATCCTACTCCCCAGCATAAAGAGCCCGCGAAGCAAGAAGGGCAGCTGGCCAAGAAGGGAAAACCATCTCTATGGCACCTGTTTCAAAAAAACCGCGGCAATGAGCGAAGCACTGCTCCAACTCCGGCTCCGACTCCGACTCCAGTTTCTCACGCTGCCCAACTTCACGCTGCAATCTCGCCTGTTCTGAACAATCGTTCTGTTGCACACTATGCGTTCGTTGATACCGACTCCGATGAGCTCGACGACATACTCAACAAAATCGAGGGTTCGCCGCCAACGGAAGAAGAAGAAGTTCTCGTTTTGCCCGCTGTGCCGGCAGGCCTGAGCATCAAGAAAAGGCTGCCATCCGTATTGCTTCCATCTCCGCCTAAAATGCATGCGGAATTCGAGAAAGATGAGCGTCCGTCGCCCCGGACCGCGATGTTCAACGGCAACTTGATGGACCGGGAACCTGAGAGTAGTCCTGTGGATCGTCGTCCTAGACGTTTAGCATCGGTGGGCCGTATTCCTCAGGTAGTCTCGAGCCGTGATCGTCAACACAAACCTACTATGCATTCATTCTCTCGGCCTTTTAGCGTTGCTGAGTCTCCCTCACTCATGGCTCCCCTTTGGGAAGGCTCCAACGGATTCCCTCCATCCACCGAGCCTGCTGGCAAGCTCTTTGCAGACGTCCCTATCAGTCAGTCAATGCCTTGGCAGTTTGTTTCCAGTCCAACTTTCAAGAGTCCCGAGAGAAGTGCCTTGGACTTGCTGTCTGGCCCGTACTCGGGCGATGAATTCATCCATTTCTCTCCACGCAACGGATCTCAGTCGTCCAGCAGCTCAGGAGCCTTGGCAGCAGTCACTGCAGTGGTCCCACGTCCAAATACCGCGCCCACTGAAGACGAGGTCTGGAACGAGTATGATGATCTTATCGACCATGTTCTTTCGCCCGAGGAGCCAAAGCCTGATGAGTCCAACGTCCCTGAAGAGGAAGGTAAATTCGAGCTTGCAAACATGGCACACAGAGCCCTGCAGGACGAGCTGAATACCGACCCTTCTCGTCTGGGAACTTCCAATTCCGCCGAGACTTTGATCCGTGATAGCAGTGACTCTGTTCGTCTTCGCCGTTCCAGGATTGTTTCTGCCTTGCATTCGCCCCTCGCACCCTCGACTCAGCCGTCCTATAGTGATCTGATCTCCAGCTATGGACATTTTAGCGAGGAAAACCTGAATAGCCCTGCCGTTACAGTGAAAGCCCCCTTGGATTCAGTCCGTGAACAACAGTCCACATTTCTTCAGTCTCTTGCCACGGTTCCGACTCCAACAAAGGCAAAGTCTTCTGAGAATCGCAAGTCCGTCCCATGCTCTGCGGAACGTGATTGGGATGCTGTGACCCGTACAAACATGCGATCCGCCTCCCTGATGACTAGCCGCTGGCTGTCTTTCGGACGAGTTCTCTTCAGCCCAGCTCATAATCATGTTAAGACTGGATCACACGGACGAATTCTCGTGATCGATGGGCTCGGTAATGACGACTGGTCTTTCTACTGCTCTTTGACCTATCCCGATGCCGAGGTATACAGCTTGAGCCGTCGACCAGTGTCTACTGCACTTCCACATCCTGCGGCGTGGCAGCCTCCCACCAACCACCATACCGTTTATCACGCCGGACTGCACAACCCTCTGCCTTTCCCCAAGGACTACTTCACGGTTGCCGTTCTGCGCTTTCCTGCAGCAAGCCCGGAACATGTCCAAAGCAACATCATCCATGAATGCAAGCGCGTCCTTCGCACTGGAGGCTACCTGGAGATGAGCATTCTGGATCGCGACATGGTAAACATGGGTGCTCGTACACGCAAAGCCGTCCGCCGACTCAAGGAGCAGACCTACCTCGCCAACTCAAGCATCAGCCTCAAGCCGACCAGCGACAGCGTCCAGCGCCTCATTGGTAGTCAAGGATTTGACAATCTTCGCCGGTGCATGGTCCGCATCCCCGTGGCAGGGATGGTTGTCCGATCATCCGACTCCACAATCTCCTCATCCAACCGGTCCCTGTCCGCAACAGGCACTACGGCCTCAACTGGCCTATCACTCCCTACCATCTCCGTCACCACTACTGGAAGCCAAGGAACACAAACTGGCTCCAAGTCCTCTCCCTCCGAGGACAACATTTCCCTAGGCGACCTCCTATCCGACCCATCTCCATCCCCAGCAAACGACGAGTCGATCGCCAAGATTGTCGCTCGCGTTGGCCGCTGGTGGTATACGAAATGCTACGAAGACCCCGTCCTTCCCGACACCGGCGACAACGACCCTAGCATGTGGAACGACCGCAAAGTTCTGCGCGAGTGCCAGAAACGAGGCAGTGGGTTCCGCATGCTGATCGCCTATGCGCAGAAGCCGAGTGAGGTCAAGCGACGCACCGCTAGCGTCTGAATAAATGATTCCCCCGAACGATATGATTTCCTTGATGATATCCATGATCTTTCTCTTTCTGTCTACATGATTTCTATAAATACCCTATCTGTTTTTCTTTTGTTGAATAATTCCCAGATTGTTGTGTCCATTTCCGGAGGTACGCTTTGTGGTTCAAGACTTGCATTGACCTCGCGGTCTCTATTAAAACCACTATATCATGGCTTCCGAGGCGTCGGTATTGATGGCGTGCATGATGATATGATCTTGATGATTGTGGCCCAGTACGTAGCTACTGGATGCTCATGCCTTGTTTTTTGTTCTCCATATTATAAGCAGGACTTTAATGGATGATTGGTTTCTTCTGATTTACATCTTTATATATTGTGTATACTCGGACAAATTCCCCGAGGTTCGGTCCTTCTTTTTTTTTTTTTTTGAGCCGGGTTCGGGACCAGAAACCCTGGAGCCTGCTAAAGTACGTCTGTGGCTCAGAAAATGAGTGATTTCAATATTCTTTGATTTCATCTCGCAGGTGGCGAGGTATCTTGTTCGACTCCTGCAAACTTGGAAGTATGTACCTGTGCATTCTAGACCGTGACTGAACACATCAAGATCTCGTTGAGGATAATTCCTGCGGATCAAGTAATAAGCGAGCTCAAAGTCAAATTGGAAACGCGAAGCATTGGCAGCATTGGCATACGTCAAGCGTTTCCAGAACATCCGCCTTAGAAGGCTGTGAACCCCACCGAGCACAACTGCGCCACACTAACCAAAGTCGCGATCCATGGGTTACTTGGCTATTTAAATCTGGTTGCCCCTGGTTCCGTCTTTGCTTTGTTGTATACCCCAGAGAAATAAAACATCCCATAATGTCTTATCAATATCCCCCGCCAAACCGTGAGTGACCTCATCGCGAACTGCGGGGACTTTGCTGACTTGACTACAGAGCCGCCTTACGGCGCATACGGACAACCTCCACACGGTGCACCGCCTGGTCCTCCCCAAGGCTGCCAACAGCCTCCCTATCCCCAACAGCAATACGGTGCGCCCCCGGGTGCTCCTCCACCGCAAGGCCAGTACCCGCCTCAACAAGGCTACGGCCACCATCCACCGCAGCAGGGCGCATACTACGGTGCTCCCTCTCCGCAACCTCCATATGGCCAGGCTCCTCATGGCCAGGCACCTTATGGCCAACCGCCGCAGGGATATGCCCCTCCTCCTAACCAGCCGCCCGCCGGTGGTCCCGGTTATGGCGCGCCATACGGCGCACCCCCAATTGGACATGGAGCACCACCACACGGAGGCATGCCTCCATATGGCGCAGCGCCTTCTGTGCCATCATTAGGCTACATCCCTGGCCAAACAGCGCCGGGCGACTTTAGCCCCCAAGCCGATGCGCTACGGAAAGCGATGAAGGGCTTCGGCACCGACGAAAAGGCCTTGATCCATGTCCTCGCGCAGCTCGACCCGCTGCAGATGGCCGCCGTGCGCGCCACGTACTCCCAGCACATCAAACGCGATCTCTACAAGGACGTCAAGTCCGAGTGCGGTGGACACCTCCGAGACGGCCTGCTGGCCGTGATCGAGGGCCCATTAATGTACGACACAGTCTGCGCTCGCGAAGCCATCGAGGGCATCGGTACCAAAGAATGGCTTCTAAACGATGTTCTACTGGGCCGGTCAAACGCCGACCTAAACGCTATCAAGACCGCCTACGAGCGCACCTACCACCGCCCGCTGACCAAGGACGTCGAAGGCGACCTGTCCTTCAAGACAGCCGGCCTCTTCGCATCGGTCCTCCGTGCCCAGCGACACGACGAGTCCATTCCGCCCAACCCGCACGCCATCGAAAACGAGGTACGCACCCTGCACGAGGCCACCTCTGCTCGCATGGTCAACAACGTCGCCGAGGTGTGTGGTATCTTTGCGCGCTCCTCGGACAACGAAATCCGCGCCATCGACCAGGCCTTCCACGCGCGGTACCACGCCGATCTCGAGAAGCATATCGAGAAAGAGTTTGCGGGTCACATGGAGGGCGCACTGCTGCATATGCTCCGGACGGCGAAGGATCCTGCTATGCGCGATGCCATCTTGCTTGAAGAGTGCATGGCCGGCATGGGCACCAAGGATGAACGGTTGGTTGTGCGCGTGGTCAGGGTTCACTGGGACAGGAACCACAAGGAGCAGGTTAAACGTGCCTATCGTCATAGGTTTGGAAAGGACTTGATTGAGCGTGTTCGTGGCGAGACCTCGGGTGATTACCAGCGTTTGATGGTTTCTCTGCTCGAGTAGGGCTTTTGAATGTTTTGCCCTCTTTTCTTTCGATAATTTGTCCTGTACATAGTGGGAGGTATGAGTTTTACGATTTTGCATGTACTTTATCAGATACCAGTACTTTATGATCACGCCATGAGATGAAAACTATTGCGACTTGCGTCAGATACCCTGCAAGCTTCACACGTAGAAGACGACTGAGCATTTCTCAACAGATACAAGCGAAGCTAAGATACATGCATTCGTGGACTTCATCATAGTCATTATCATATCATGCAAAGCTAAGTGCAACATTTGAACAAATGGCCGTAAACCGAATCCGTCACAAAAAATATCAACTATGAAATTTCCCCAATGGCAGTAACATGTGCTCCAGGGAACAGTCCCGTACGACCAGCGTAGCATCCCCAGAACCAATCATCATTGATATTCTCGACCTCTTTGATATCGGCACCTCGCGGGAAAACCAGCTCATCCTGGACCTCTTCTTCGGGGTACCAAGACCACAAAGCATGAACGATGAGACCGACACCACCATCGGGTGGGAAACGTCGAAAGGGCGGGGCCTGTTGAGACGTCGGCGTTCCTGAATTCTGATTCGCACTATCAACAGCAGGGCTACTGCTTGGAGAGGAAAGGGGGCCTCGCAGACGAGAGGCCTTTTTGCGGCGCTCTTGGCCTTCCTTCCAGCTCCAGTCGCCGGTGCCAATCTCAGGAGATGAAGAGGGTGAGCGGCTGACATGCTCATCTTTCAGGGCGTGCCCGCCAACTAGGTCTCGGACTATCACGCGTCGTTGACCATCGTCGCCGTCCTCGAAACCGACGACAATTAGTCGGTGTCCGGCTAGACAGCGGCGCCAGCCGTTGTGGCCATTTTCTTTGCTGATTTTGGACGTTGCGACGAGCTTGAGGTAGCAGTTTGTGCAGACGTCGTAGTCGCCATCGTTACATTGCAGGCAATGGAAACGGGTCACTGAAGCGGGGATTGGGTAGGTGCAAATATCGCATTTGGTGGAAAAGGAGAGGATTTTGTAACTCTCCTTGTCCAGAGAGATTGGTGCATTGGTCGTAGTATCGCCCGGGTTAGTCGGGGCAGAAGGTGCCGGGTGGCCGGCCATGCGTCGAATGGGCAACAGTGGATGAGTGCAGCATCGGCCTTGATTGACACAGCGGTTGCAAAAGCCCCAGTCTCCTTCATTACACTGGCGGCAATTCCAGAAACAGTCATTTGCTGATGATTGGCAAATTGCACAGAAGAACCCTGTTTCCAGACGGCGTGATGGATTGTCGCGAGTCATTTGTCTGTCACCGCTCGTGGTTATTTGGGCTGTTTCGGGCGGTCTTTCATATTTGATGGAAATGAAGATGTGTCCAGTCTCACGTATTTGCGCTGGTCGGTGATTTGAAGATGCAAGGATTCGCTCGAAAGTCTTTTGCGCAGATGAACGGAAGCCGTCCCACGAGGGGCAGCCTTTGCCAGAACGGTAGCATCGCAGACAAAGATGATAATTCCCGTCTTTGCACTTGGGGCATCTCACGTGTAGGTCATATTGAATGTTCGCCTTCCCACAGCCGTCACAGGAAATAGCGGGTTCAGGATATTGGACATTTGGAGAAGCGGCGGCATTTGATCGTGACGTGGATGGTCGGTTCCTCCTTTCAGACCTAGGTGGTGCAAGCGGTGATGGTAGAGTTGGGACAGCACTTTCAGTCGGTGTGGAACTGTGAGTCTCCGCGGGTGGTGAAGAAATCGAGGTTGGTGAGTTCGTAGTGGATTGGCTGATAATATGCCTGGAGGAACCCCCCGCTCTTCCTGCACCCATCCATGTGTCCGAGATATTCTGTTCCGATTCCGTTGCTCGTCTAGGTCGGTTCGAGGATGACGACGCTCTTGCTCGCTCAGTTTGAGAGTTCCGAGTCCGCTCCGCGGTCATGTCACTGGAGGATCGCACAGCAGGTCGTAGCACATCTTCCGAGGTTGACCCTTGATTCACTCGAACGGGTGACGTCCGACGTTGACCATTAGCTTGCTCGGAATTCCGTCGTTGGTGACCTTGAGTCGGGCGCGTCGTGGTCGGATCGAAAAGGTGCGGCCTCGAGATAGGTGGACGTCGATCGTTAGGCTCTCGAGTCGTCGTGCTTGTTTCGGTAGGTCTCTGAGCTGATTGTGATCGCGAGTGCCCACGCGCAGGACGCTCAGGAGATTGCCTGCGTCTTTGTTCTTGACGAGAGTGTGGTTGCTGCATATGCCTTCTGCGGTACGCATCCGCTATGCGCTCAGTGAGCTCCTCTTCTTGGGTTGGATCAACGTTATCCAAATCGATATCATCCAGTAGACCTTCCTCGATAATCTGCCGCAAGATCTCTTCCTCGATGCTCTCCATTTCCGAAGACATACTGAGTAGTGAACGCAAGCTTGATTGATGCTCGACACGTCTGGTTCGTTCCGAGTCACCCTGGGGTCGAGTCGTGCGCTGTCGCTCTGAATTGTCTTCTCGTCGCCGTCGCGACCGGCCATCGTCTGCCTGTCTCTCTGGATTGCTGCTCCTGTCCCGCGCTCGTTCTGGCTGTGTCGTGCGCTGAGCCTCTCGTGTTGCTTGTGACCGACTCTCGTGGAGACTCAGCTCCCGAATCTCCTCCAACACCCGCTGGTCCTCCTCATCCTCTTCACTTTCGTCGTCGGGTTGGAGCGGCGGAATCACAGAATCCCCCGGCTTGTATCGTCTCGCGATCTCTCCCTTCTCAGCGGCAGATCTGTCCCGATCCGGTTGGGCGACCAAGACCATATCCAGCAACGTCGTGACAGTGGCATTTGCGCGGGTGCCGCGTACTTCAGCTCGACATGACGGGCAGGTGAAACGAGGGGAGGAGCCGGAGGGCCGCCTGCGCGAGCCTTGTGCTGAAAACCATTCCTTCAAGCAGGAGCCGCAAAAGGTGTGTAGGCAGTCAAGAAGTGTGAGAGGCTGGTAGAGAAGCTCAGTACAGATCTAGTTCCAAGTGATATAACCGTTAGCGAAGGTTCTACGCAAGGGGCGCAGGAAAAATGGAAGGGTTCTGGAATCGGGGAATTTGGCGCACATACCGAGCATCCCAGCTCTTTTTCCAGGCCGGCCAACCCAGCACCTTGCGCTTCAGACATGGGAGTGAAGGTACCGAGGTTTGGGTACACCTTGAGGAGGTAAACAAGTCCACCGAGCAGATCCCAGGAACGAAGGTAGGAACCACGGCTCGCGGCGGAGATGAAGTGGGAGAATCTCGGCTCCACCGATCTTATCGTGATCCCGCCTTTTCTCGTCCTTCACCCCACGATCACTTTGCGCTTTGCTCTTTCGCGACTCTTGACTGAATTATCGGTGGATTCACGTTACGGTCAGGTTGCTGTTCCATCGTCCTACTGGGTGTCGCGGTTTAACTGGTTCTTCCATTCCCTTAACTTGATCACAGACCACATGTGGCCCATGAGGGCGATTAATCCCAGGCGAGAAGCTCTGGCCTAGGTGAACTTCTCCCAATTTTGAATGGCTTGTTTCTGTCCGGGCCAACGATGTTGGGTAACGACGCCGTCATCACTGTCTCATCGCAGACTCATCTGTGGATGCCACGAGGAAGAGGTTCTGCTGTCCTCCGAAGCTTCGAAGAACACAGAGATTTTCCAACACCCTAAAACCTTCGGCACTCGATGGATGTTGGGCTTGGGGATACACTTCTCGCTATTTATTTATGAACAAATAAGAACCAGGCTCACCATGTGCCTATATATTCGCCAATGTCCCACAATCTACTGATTCAAAACGAAAGCTAGCTGCTTCGTGAGCTACTGCACGCCAGGAAAGTGGAAGGTGAGCCAGCATCACAGCTCTATTTCTAGATTGGTCGATATCCAGCTGTGACGAGGTTGCGGCATTGTTTTTATATCAAATCAAGCATTTGCTGGTCACGTTGTACCGGACGGTCTCGATTGCGCCGCGAGAATGTCGGCCACGACATGAGCTGACGCCGCGAATATCTTGCAGCTCATTGTACACTGTAGAGTCCTAGTGTGTCTGTATAGACAACTTATTTCGAGATTCTTTGCTGCCCGAACGCCCCGAAGGCCTGCGAGTCTGAAGGTCTACCACCTCCTGTTCCTTACTAAGGGGCTGTCGATGCTAATGTCTCTCGCAGTAGTCGAAATTTCTACATACTCTAACCAGATTAGAAACAGTGTCGAATGATGAACATATAACGTCAAGTATATATCAACTGAGAACGACCTCGGGAGCGCTAGAGTGTCTTCATAATGAAATCGCCATACCTAGGTCCATACTTCCCAAGCACTTTGCCTTCAAATTTCTCTAATGCGAGCGTCAGTCTGGTATCCTCCCAACACAATCATAGCCACCTCCTCTAGAGGCAAATATCTCCATACGCAGGCTACAACCCAATATTTATTATTCAACATTCGCGTAACAGAAACAATCGCTTGATGCGGTTACTGCAGATCAGTGGTGGCGGCAATGCAAGACACGCACCCCAACGCCCCCGGTACCCCCCTCACTGGCCTAGTTGCAGTGCAAGGACAGCGGTACATCGAAGTGACCATCGAGGTACCTCGCCTGAGCATCGACCCCTGGCCAGGTTGGCCCGGGGAACATTAGACTCTCGACTGGTTGCCACTGAAGGGGCGAGAAGTCAAGGCCCCAACACAAAGTTTTTTCGAACCTCGTGTACTGATCGTGGCGGCCATGGCCAAACGCTCCATGCCACTAAATGTCTCCTGAACACAGCGGTGTGAAAAGTGTTCTTTGGTGGAGGCGAACAATTGACTTTCGGTCTTGTCCTCAAGGCTATGGCCCTGGACGACGCTCAAGCTCAGTTGTCCGGAACACCGGAAGCTATGGCCTCGCACCGGGATCATGTGAGTGTCAGGAGCTTTATCTGTGCTACTGCTGCATCCGGGGCTCTAGGTGCAGCATATCATTCAGCGCGGATATTCTGATGCGCGATGCAAGCGGGAAACGGTCAGCGCGAGGCTTGACAAGACAAAGCGGGGAGGGTTAGTTGTGATGCACCCAACATGAAGAATCTGGGGTCTGATCGTTGGCGGGTGTGGCTGACAATAGTACGGAGAAGAGAGGAGTACAGAATGGAAGCTTGAGGTGGGGAAAAGAGGGGAGGTTCAAGGTGAGGTGTGTGAATGGTCCCCTCAGGGAGGTTCCTGTCTATCCAGACAACTCGTGACGGCGGCCGTGGATGCATACATGGGTATTATGCTGACGCTAGAGTGTTGAGCTTGAGCCTGACATCGCGGGGTTGAGTTTCTCGAGCTCCGGAAGTTAAAGATGGAAGTGGCAGGCGCCATGGAGATGCACCCCGCAATTAAGAGGGGGCGCAGGGCCCATATGCAGTTCACATCATCTCCGCGGGATTGCACTGATAGGTAGATGGGATTCGCGGGGACTGATACCTAGCTGGGTAGGTTGTTGTTAGGCGTCAAGACCAGAAGTATACCTGCTATGGGCCGATAAGAGTCTCGGCATCCACTATGTGGGTTTCACCGGTAGCCACATTGATAGACTGCGCTTTGAGACCCCGAGCGCCGAGCACTGCCCGAATTCAACAGCCCAGGACCCCACAATCAGTCGCTCCACTTGCCCGTACCTGTGCGGGTAGGAGATTAGGGCCGTGAGCTCTGGGTTCCCTTCTCCATCCTCCATGCGTAGATCTTCCCCTCACTTCTACTAAATATCTGGGGAACCGTGGAATACGACAAGGGGAATTGGACGATGTGACAAGTATAGCTAGCTACCTAGGTAGGTTAGCTAACAGCTTACGCCCAACATGACATGCGTAGCAACAGTCCCAACAATAATAGGTTCATTTATTGGAGGACACCTTGGCCCCAATGAAGAGCCAGATCAGCTCCTCTTAGTGCGCCGTGGCACCGCCGCCAAGTCCCCGTCAAGGGGTTGATTCGCTCTGCCTTCATCATCAGAGGTCTTGGTTCAAGGCGTGCTTCCTAAGTGGACTCTGGCCATTAAATCGTGCTACAACGGCGTGCGCCTCTCCCGCCACGGTTGTTTCGAAGCCCGCAAAGATAAAAATTGCATAACAAACGGGATATAGATCGAAGAATATCATATCGTTCGGCCTTCTGAAAGGTTGCAGCACTAAATCTCCGCCCCGTTGTCATTGGAGAGGGAATTGGTTTCCTTAGTCGAGGTATTGGCCTCCCAATATGATCACCGACGCTTCAAGCGGTACACTCGTCAGTATCCAGGCGAACCGTGCTTTGAAGAAAATGATTTGGCGCCGCAACCAACGATCGTCCAGGCCCAGACGGGAACTACTTTGGATCCGAACTCGGGGCCCGAGGCCAGCCATGTATACTATGGCGGAACCATATCATACAGTCTATAAGGAATCGCCAAAAAGTTCCCATCGACCCCGGCGATGGAAAGGAAAATGGATCCCGCACATCGGGGCGGACCTGCAATCGCATATCCCCCACATCAAACGTTGAACCTTGGGATGCCCCTGAAGCCCGAGCATCCCCTAAAACGGATGATGCCCTGCACTGACCTCGCGCTATGCAAAGGAATTGTCAGTTCGCCGCACTAATGCACCGGCGTATGTACGGAGTGCAGGGCCCCAGTCTATTTGTAGCCTGGAGAGCCCCACTGCCAACCGCCAACCGTCAAGTCGTGGCGCCGGCTTTCTACGCACTGACTACCGCGCGCAAGTCTAGGCTGCGGTCGAAACTGGCTTGGCCGGACGTCATTGGTCGGCCTCCTATGCCATGCATAAGCGTGCGAGCCGAAGTATATGTTACTTATTTCGTCTCAGGACAAGGAGGGACCACATCTGGGAGGTGGATACAGAAGTATTTTCTTTTTTTTTTTTGTATATGCAATTCCGCACGGACTGAACATCGGTCCCTGATAGTCTGGGCGCTTCGTTTGTGCTGGACTGGGAAAGTCAACCCTTTGTGTTACTGGGCTGCATGGGACCATTGACTATGTACTTCCTGTAATCAACGATCATCCCGGTGACAATGTCAGCATCCCTGTAAGATAGAAATAAGGTCATGTGCTTAATCAAATGCATACAAGGTGCGTAAGCTACGCTTGCGTGATGCGACATGCAATATGCGAGATACTGCACAATCAGCTGGACAGAGAGGGCTATGGGAAAGGGGGCACCCTCGCGTTGTCGGACAAAAAGTATAACCGATAACACCGCTAGCATTGCAAGTTTCCCAAGTGTTCTCCCAAGGCATTATCATATGTACTACGGTATAGCAGCTTATACTTGGCCATAGAAGAGTGATGCTTCTGCGAGAGCCGGGCTTTGGTCAGCTCGTGCACTACCTTGGGAGCACACCGACATTTCGCTATACCACTCAGACCGAGATATAGCCGAACCGACTCGTAGCAGACCGCGTTCTCCCATTTATGGGATTGCTTTGTTATCGCGAGGAGCATTAACCCCGCAGCTAAGAACAAGGAGCCTCATGCAGTCAGCGCTTCCCCAGATCGGATCCTCTACGGCCGGGTCCGCTTCACTCCCCAGCCCATAAGGTGTCTTTCGTGAGAGTCCTGATGCCGTGAGGCCCCACACGAGGTAGTTGAAGTTGGAGATAGAAGTGACGCGGTACGCTCTTCTGTCTTCCCGCCACGTCCTTTGTCAATTGATCGATTATTTTGGCGAAGCTGTGGCGGAAGGCTAGAAGACCACCGTCTAGGGGCCACGCAATGCGATACCATGGTGATGGAATCGAAGCTCGCTCCAAGATGCCCAGAACAGAGCTGTATAGAAAACTTTGGTCGGCAAGCCTAGTGCCGAAACAAGCTGCGAATCAAGGTTCAGCCACATTAACGCCCGCGCCCTATAGCAGCGCATGGGTATCTTGGCCGGTGAGTGAAAGGGAATTTAACATGGCCTGAACGACGCTTTAAGCAACTCGATCGCGAGCGGTGTAGGGGGCTCAGTCCGTCGAGAATAAACAAATACGAATCTAATCTCAGGTTGTAGATCGTAACGCAGGATTGAGTAAGCGCTCAGGCGTGTCAGAAACTAAGATCTGGGGCTGAACTTTCGGAGCCAAGCTGCCAATCCAAGCAGATATCGCGCTATGACAGCTTCGGGTCCGACCGCTCGGGTGCGGCCATCCTGGCTGTTTCACGACAAATGTTCACGGCGGGACAAGGCGTGATTCTGTAGTGTGAAGTGTGATGGTCGGGATCACGACGATCAACGTTCTGAAGGGTGCTCACGTTGTCCATGGTGCGATCTCGGCGAGTCAAACGCACCCGACCGTCAACAAGACCGAAAAGACCAGGCTGGCCACGGTATCGGACGAAAAACGCACTGGAAATCCGGGATTCTGTTGACGACAAGAGGGGGAGGGGGGGGGGGGGGAAGGCCAGCCAACGGGCGTTATCGCTGCACTGTGGCTCTGCTGTGACTACCGCATCGTCGGAAACCTTCTTTTCGACCTTTGCAACAGAGTAGATTAGGTCACCCTTATCAGCATACTATATCGGTCGTCTAGTTTCAGCGTTCGCAAGGGTCTAGCTACAGGGAAACCGCGGGAGAAAGCCACATTGCGCCCCTCCATTTCTACAGGGTGGGGACGAAGGTGGAGATGGATGAAAAAGCTGGAGAGGGGGATCAACAGCACGAACAGACCCCATGCAGGAGGGTCGCAGGAAGGATGGTTGTCAGATGAACGTGTGCAGAGTCTCGACCATCGCGATGGGGGCCGGCTCTTATCTGGGGATAGCTCAGGGCCGGCTTTGCCGATTTGAGTGCTAGCGCATTCAATGAAAATCGGGTCTGATAAAGCCACGGGGTTACTGCCACTCAACGGGGATCGAGTGGCAAAGTGAAAACTCTGCCGATGGAGAACAAAAATGGTGGCCCGGGCGCAGAGGAATTTAGATAACAATTTCGATAGTACAATTGCAATTGCAATTTCAATTTCTAAATATGCAGGAGGGAAAAACTCCCGTGTCGTTTTGGTGGGGTGAGACATGCGCCTCCCGAATCCTCAACCCTCAACGCTTGACCGGGTATCGTGAAACGCCGATTAGTGCTGTCGGAAAGGACATGGGCGACTACTACATTAGGACTGTGGCACTCGGCCCTGGTAGCAATGCCTCCGGCGGCAGTGTTTCACAGTTAGATATCGATAACGAGGCCCACCAATAGCACGGACCGCGGAGATGGATGACCCCATCACCAGCCGCATGGGAGGTAGTTCCCAGTTCCAAGCATCGAGGAACCAGGGAACATAGAAAGTGTCAAGACAGGAGGCTGATTTGAGGATGACCAACTCCCCACGAGCAGGGCCCAGCAGGTTGGTTGTACGGGGGAGCAGTAACTACAGTACAGTAGACTACGCAAAGAACTTGGATATGCGGTTGGGGGGCCCAGACCCTCGGCCAAGGAAACTAAACCAAGGCAGTGCGCGACTCTCGGGCCTGCCAGATGCGTTCTGACGTCATGCACTTGCCCGTACTCTCACTCTCTCAGGCTCTGTGGAATGCGTGGAAGTATTCATCCACCACCGGATGAGTCACGAGTCGCGAGAACGGTCGTGATAAGAATCCGAGATCTCTTTGACAGACGTTTCTATCATCCCACGATCTGAAAAGCCATTGCCGGTCGCGTCGCGAGAAAAATGGCGGTTCGGCCCCATCAGCTCCGGGTTTTGCGGCACACCATAAAGTGGAGACGTTGGAGTGCAGCCCGTCGATCCACCCAGCGATATAATGCATGTCACGGAGATATTTCTTGTCTCCAGTGACTGTGCTCCTCCACGGTATCAAAAGGTATCGGTATCGAGTTTGGGTAGCCTCTGTAGCCGACAAAGGAAATCAATAGGAATTCGGTGTCGCGTCCCACGACAAATTCAAGATTTCAATGTAAGATCTACGCACAGGTGAATGCCTCCTTGCATTCTGCGGTACACCGAACCGTCAAAGATAAAAAAGTCAAAAAGCCCCAACAATTAGAGTAGATTTCAATTGCCGCCCTTGGTTGGATCATGCCCGCTTTCTGGGTTCCATGGTTTATCGGGCAGCGTTTTGTAACCTCTCGGAACCCGTCAAGGGGGGAGAGATGTGCGCAGGCCATCCGACGGAGTACATTTGAGCGTACGGTGACGGCCGCCATGGGGGCTAGAGCAATCCTGGGGAGTGGGTGTGGTTTATGCTTCGGCGCTGCGTGTCTGTCTCGCCGGGCCACAAAATTCCGGAGAAGGGTAAAATCAGTGGTCGATCCAAAATGGGTTGAGAGTGTTGAACTATCCAGACACTCGGGCCCCTCGCCGCCGAAGGAAGCGTTGATAGAAGGCTCTGTGTTCCGAGTGCTGCGTTCTGTGTACCGCGCTCACCGGTGTTTGTTTCAATTTATCGCAGATCCCCAGATATGCCCCCGTGTGCAAGTGATCAGATGGATGATGTGGAAGTAGTACAATTCGCCGTACGTCAGACCAGAAACAGGGAACCGAAAACTGGAGGGTGGGTATTAGTCGGCGCTAGAGGCAACCGTGTAAAGAGGGAAGGGTGATCGGTGATGCACTACGCCAATGAAGATCGCCCTAGGCCCTCGTGCGAATGAAGCCACATGTTGCGGATGTTTCGGAAAATTGAACCCATAGTCCAGAGTTCAGAGTCCACTGGTGCAAGTGAAGAGCTAAAAAATAATACCATATAAAAAAAAAAAAAAAAAAAAAAAAAACCCCAGAGATACCTTGGAAGTGACTTCCAGCGTCGAGACCCACTCGGCGTGCCCCTAAACCATGCTATACGGGACGCACGGTGGTAGTATCGAGCGGAGACGATGTGGCCTAGCGACCTTTCCAATGGGCGCTTGCGAACCGTCTTTATTTATCTTGTTCCACTTTTTTTCCTTGCCCCAAGGGTGAGAGCAGAAAAGAAGCTATAATTCCTGCTTTTATCTCCCGACCTTTTCCAGGGCTTCAATTCCTCTCCATTCCCCCCCCTTCGCCCCCCCTACTTTTCCTGCGGGATTCTCTGGGTCATTCACACGGGCAAAATTCTTATCGCTGCACTTCAACGGTCATAGCGGGGAATGGCTTTCTGATTCGCCTCCAATTACGACTTCGCGGGTACGTCTGAGGTACAGTGAGGTGATCATCGATCATCCAATCCTCACCCCGGCCACACCGGAGCGGCTTTGATTCTCTTCTTTTCTTCCTCTTCTGCATTGTACATTCTTCGCATTTCCTGTACTTTTTTTTTTTACACTTTTCTCTTTTCCATTGCACTCTTAAACGATCCTTGCGCCGTCACATCACCCCACCGCGTTCATAATATCGCCACCGGTCAACCCCCACCCGAATTTTATCTGAATAACTCAACGGTACGCAGTTGATAAGCTCTGTCTTTGCCTCCCTACCACTGCTCTCCTCTTTTCCCCGTTGCTTTTCCAAACCGGTTCATTCACTGCCTCCGGTGTCACTCTTCTTTCCTCTCATGTTGTGATACCATTCACCTTTGTCTGGTCCGCGCTTTCCTCTCTGCGGCCGTCTGCATCCAACCCTGTCTGAATCTCCCCTCGACCTACTCCCCCGGTCTTCGTGATCGCCATTCTGTCCAATGCATGGTTATTTCTCCGCGTCCTCCCTGTCCGTCTTGCCTTCCCTCGCCACGGAATCTAAAATTAAATGAGTCCAATACTGACTGAAGCTCCTCCAGTACTTGCCTTGAGCACACTTCACCTTGAACGCATCATCCTGTTCTATCGCCATCTTGTGTTGAGACACCCAAGTCGGCCGGATGCCATACACTGCGCCGTTGAAGTCGTTGCTCTCCGCGCAGCACATTGAACAAACTGAGCCTTCCTCACAAGCTCTCCCCGAACGACCTGGCTTGGTTCGCTCCGCCTCCGCGCGCTTGCAGAACTCCCGTTCCTACTCATCTACTTCGTACGTTCGTCGACACCGAAGGAGCCCGTCGATCAGCAAGTCGACAGTGCATTCCTCATCGGACCCCACCTCCCGGTCGTCACCGGTTATTGACCCTCATGCCAGTCTCCGTCAATCTCCCCCACCAGTGAGCAATGCTGCGATTCCTGTCGGGGCGGTGATCTCGCCGCCCGAATCCGCCCCGAACTCGAGTGACGAGGAGTCGCCGTACCGTGAGGGTATCAAACTGGAAGAGCTCGAAGCTGCTGTCCGGTCAATTGGTCAGAGGAGGGAAAGCTCACCCGAGAGAGAAGAGATGGGCCCGGCCGAACAGCGGAGAACCGAAGCTCCATCTTCAAGTTCATCCACGGTAACACTTAACCCGGATCCCAAGCCCAACCACCTACGACTGTCCAAGTCCGCGAGAAAGATCTCCCACTCGCGATCATCGACTGAAACGGCGGTTGAACTGAAGCGGGAGGAAGCATTAACTAGCTCTCCCGATGATAGCGATGCGGAAATGACGACCAAGCCGCCGATGGTCAGGAAGAAGTCTGGTGAGCTGGTTCGTCCCGCCCTCCGTCCCGCATCGGCTCGACGACGGCCATCCAGCATGCCGGGGACCCCGGTCTATGCCAAGGCAGTGCACTTTGACTCGCAGTTGGAACACATTCGTCACTTCCTGCAGCTTGACCGACCCTTGGCTGTAAGTGCTCAAACATCGCCGGTCGAGAACCATGATGCCGATCACGAGTTTCCTTTCGGTCGGGACGAGGACAAGCAAACACCGTCGTGGGAATGGGAGCTGCGGCTGTCCAACGCCCCGAAGGATATTTCTTCTCGGTCCAATCTCCCTGTTCAGCTAGAAAGAGTGTTCTTGTCCGCCGATAAGAAGGTTTTGATCGGTTCCGTTGCAGTGGCAAACTTTGCCTTCCAGAAACACGTGGCTGCTCGCTTTACGCTTGATTATTGGAGGACCACGTCCGAAGTAGGCGCTGTGTTCTGCCATGACGTGCGTCGGAAGCATGCTCACGATGGGTACGATCGGTTTTCGTTCGACATCAAGTTGGATGACCAGGCCAACCTAGAGCACAAGACCATGTTCATCTGTGTTCGTTACAACGTGGACGGTCAGGAGCTCTGGGATAACAACAACGGAATGAATTATCAGGTTGATTTCATCAAATCACCCAAGACAGCCTCCAACAAACCATCGGGAGGAGCTCGCCCTTCTCTTCCCCGCAGCCGAACGTTTGCCACATCCCACTCCACACGTCCCCGCTCGATGCCTCCATCGTTCGACGATTATTCGGATATCAGCAAGAACGTGCCCTTCTCTAACCCGTTTACGGGTAACAAAGCGTCCCCGCTGAACCGAAATTCGTCGGATGACATCGACACAATCGGACCGCCGAAACGTCGAGAGACACAGAATCGACAGGGGCTCAGCAATCGCTATGATTTTGGAGCATCATTGACGGCTGCCATGCGGAGCAAGACTCCTCTCGATCGGACCACGGTGACTGCTCGGGCACGGTCTGAACAGACCCCCGAGGCGAAGTCCGGTGCGGAGACTGTGTCGAGCGAGGCTTCTGCTGTGATCGAAGAAGCCCGACAGGAGGATCTGAAACCTTCCTCATTGGTTTCTAGCAAACCGTGTCTCGAGTCCTCGGTGTACAAAGAATTGGTGGACAAGTACTGCTTCGTAAGTTTTAAAAATCTTTACCCTTTGATGATCAGCATCTAACCTGACTTGCAGTATGGTTCCGCGAAATCCTCGAACGAGCAGAATCCGAGTCCTGTCGTGAACGTGAACGGCCAGGAACCGCCGAAGCAATTATCTACGGGTGCTCCTTCACCCCCTCTGTCCCCTCGGTCTCCTGCCCCTCTGGGACCGCCAGTGACTGATGCGCCCCGTGAATCCCGTCATTCGAACCTGTCACCGGCCCTGGCATCTAGGAGTCCGCGAGCTTCGTCGCGAGCTTCACCACGGACGTCCCCGCGCACGTCGCCCTCGCCTTACCGGTACCCATACCACCAGGCCCTGCAAAACGGATTCATGAAAGACCCTCAGTCGTCCCCCGTCATTAGAGGGTGAGTCACATAAAGATGCCTGACCGCCACCGGAGTCCGGCTATCATCGCGCCCGATCTCTGTTTTATTCATCGTATTGACAGTTTTGTTGAAAAGGGGATTCGAAGTTTCTTTTTTGGAGATGAGTCTCGACTCGGTTTTCATCCCCTCCCTTGCTGATTGTTCATATGCGCCCTGCGTCGGCGTCCTGTGATTTTCACTCTGCATGGTTGATCTATCATCCCTCCCTCCTCCCTCCTCTCAGGACCGACAGTGGATTGCCCACCCGCAGCAGATGGAAAGGTGATCGAAGTTTTTGCGATGCATAATAAACCGCGGATAATCGATTGCCAGATCATCGAACTGTGTTGGTAGGCACCATGATTCGCGTCCGGAGAAATTATCGACGCGAGTTTTGACGATGCGGTCACCCTCACGTTTTTCCTACCTTTGTTTTCATTACGCATGATGACGATATGAAGTTTTTTCTTTTTGATTTTTTTCTTGCTTGTGCCCTTCACGCAACACAACCATACGGAGGCTTTTTCGATTCTTCTCTGCCTGGCAGATTTTCATTTTCGCCAAAAAGTTGTTTTTAGTTCGCCCGCCTCCGCTCTTGCATTGTGTTTGCCGGCCTGTTTTTTCATTGCTTTGCATGGTGTCCCCGGAGTTTTTGAGGGATCATTTTGAGAAGATGGACGCTCGCGACGGACTGGCATGAGAGATGATACGCCAGTCGAAGTAGTCATGAGATCAAGGGAAACGAATGAACGCGATTGAACTGGAAGCCAGCCCCGTAGAAGACTAGCGTATTTGATCAACGGGTTAACTAGATAAAGAGTAGAACGGAGAATATCTGTCTCTGGTTCGCTGTGTGCAGCATTCCTATACTTGTTCCACAAGTCGATCCGAGTCACGTGCATAACGTACAGCGATCTTACTATCTAATCACCACGTGATCTACCCGCCTTCCAGCGCGCTCCGAAATGCGGGCAGTTTCCCATGCCACGCAAGACACGCTCGAAACCTGCCCTTCATAACGCCCTTTTTCCTCCCTCGCCTCCGCCCAATCACCGCCGCATTGCAGAATGCGATCTCAGGTGCTTAAGTAATCCACCCACCACCCCCCAAATCACGCGTAGTCATCAACGTATTTAAGTCCTGCCCGCTCCCCTCCCTCTCACTGGCCTTTCCCTTTTTTTTTCTTCCATCCTCTTCCGCCAACCCCTCGACGCGTCTTACCACCCGTCGACTTCACCTTTTTCCCATCAACCCTTCATCGAATTCATCTCGAATTCCATCTCTGCCAATATGTCTGGACGTAAGTTGTTCGCTATTTGTTTCTTTTTGTTCTTCCTTTTCGCATATCGACCCGCGGTCGCTGTTTCGTGATGCAACTGGATGATGTTGGCGATGCCCCTGGATACACGTGACTTTGGGGATCCCGCGTGGGTGCCTCAGGCTCCAATGCATCTCACGCCTTGCCCAACATGGCCATTCCACAATGCTGCAGACACCTCTAACAGGACCTCGCTGTCGCTGTCGCTGTCTTCTTCCTTCGTGCTTCTTATAATATCCCAACATATACACTAACAATCCACAGGTGGAAAGGGCGGCAAGGGTCTCGGCAAGGGCGGCGCCAAGCGTCACCGTAAGATCTTGCGCGACAACATCCAGGGTATCACCAAGCCCGCCATCCGCCGTCTGGCTCGCCGTGGCGGTGTCAAGCGTATCTCCGCCATGATCTACGAGGAGACCCGTGGTGTCCTCAAGACTTTCCTGGAGTCCGTCATCCGTGACGCCGTCACCTACACCGAGCACGCCAAGCGCAAGACCGTCACCTCGCTGGACGTCGTCTACGCTCTCAAGCGCCAGGGCCGTACCCTGTACGGTTTCGGTGGCTAAATGTCTTCTTGACATTGCCGCTCGGAGCTCTCCACTCGGGAGACTCTTCCTTTAACGCGCTACGGTGTGATGGTTTCAATTTTGCTTCTGCGATGTTCTTTTTTTTTTTTGGCTTGACTGGTTTCCGGGCTCCCGGCGGGGTTTCGGGAGGAATAAGGGATTTGATTTTCGCTAAAATATCAATATCGGAAATGGCTTCGTGCCGCGGTGTTTCTTTTTAGGTAGCTGCTAAGTCGCTTTCGATGGTCTCTCTGAGAATAATGGAACGATTACATTAGCCAGATCATGTTTCATTTGTAGTGGTCATTCTTCATTTGTAGGGAGGACAGTACGAAGTACTAAATCGCCTCCACGCGATGCAAATCAAGAATGGGCCCATCCGCGGGCTGCACGGGCCACGGGCCACCCCGATCGGCATGATGTAATCGATGCCCGCGGCCTCGGCTTTGGAGAGGGCGTCTTCACATTCATAAGCACTACTGCACTCTGTTTTGACGGTCGCTGGTCGATCTTCCTTGAGCATAATCCATCATCCGTTCCTGGTGATATGAAATTGTCCGTGTCGAGAGGCCTGGCTACTGACTAGCCAACTCAAGAACCAAGCGTCTCACCAAAGCGTCCGATCTTACAAGTCGTCCCCTTCTCATCAGAAGACAGGCTGTATTCCTTCCATCCGAAGCCATCATGGCAGAATACAAGCTCGCATACGAGTCACAGCTTGTAAGTTTAAGTTCTATACTCTCTCCCTCGGCTCTCTAACACTATCCCGTCGAATCAAGGACGCCTTCCACCCCTCCTACCGCTGGGAAGCCCGCGACCCAAACGAAGACTGGAAGTCCGCTGCACTCCGCGGACCAGCCTTACCAGTCCTAGGAAACGCAGTCGCGGGAGCCGTGGGCTCAGCAATATCCAACGTCGTCGTCTACCCTCTCAACGTGATAGTCGCACGCCTCCAAACCCAGGCCAACAAAGAAAAGTCAAAAGAAGAGTCAGACGAAGATGAAGAATACGATGGCATCCTCGATGCAGCACACAAGATTTACCTCAAGCAAGGCATCGCCGGCTTTTACCCGGGACTCGCCCAAGACACCTGCAAATCTGTCGCGGACTCGTTCCTCTTCTTTCTTGCGTACACGATCGTCCGGCAGCGAAGGATAGTCGCTCGCGTCGGTGCTGCCAAAGCAGCGAAGAACAAGAACATCGTACTTCCAATTCTTGATGAGCTGGCTGTCGGCGTCGTGGCTGGAGCGTTTTCCAAGCTGTTTACTACGCCACTGTCCAACATCGTTACTCGCAAGCAGACGGCAGCGCGCAAAGGTGGGAAAGGGGCTAAAGATGCAACAACTGCGGACATTGCTGCCCAGATCCGCAAGGACAAGGGACTCGGTGGATTCTGGTCTGGGTATTCGGCCTCCTTGATTCTGACGCTGAACCCGTCCCTCACGTTCTTCTTGAATGAGGTCCTGAAATACTCCCTTCTCCCGCGTTCCAAGCGCGAGAAACCCTCGCCTGCGGTGACTTTCTTCCTGGCGGCGTTGAGCAAGTCTGCTGCTTCGTCGATCACCTATCCTTTCTCTCTGGCCAAGACCAGGGCACAGGCTATGGGAAATGGCCCAAAGTCTGGACCGGGCTCGGAGTCCAAGAATGTTCTAGCCGCGCTCACTCCGAGGATCTTTGCTGCCGTCAGCGAGATCTATCGTGCCGAGGGAGTCCCCGGTCTGTACTCGGGCCTGCGAGGCGAAGTCCTAAAGGGCTTCTTCTCTCACGGGTTCACCATGCTGGCCAAGGACGCCGTGTATGCGTCTATTGTCAAGACCTACTATATTCTCCTCGTCGTGCTTCGCCGCTATCCGTCTCCCGATGAGCTGCTCCAAAGTGCTCGCGAGCAGGCCGAGGAATACAGCGAGGTTGCACGCGAAGGTGCCCGCGAAATGGTCGAACGAGCACGCGAAGGTGCCGAAGACGTGTTGAACAATCACTCCGGCGGCGTGTCCGCTGACATGACCTCCAATGCTGCTGCGGCCGCTACCCCAGCTCCGGATGCAGGGCACGGAGTGGATGCCTCTTCTGGCCTGAAGGTACCACCCATGTCGGATGAGGTCAATGAGACGGCCGAGATGGTGGGTGACTATGTCGAAGAAGAGATTGCTGAGTGGAAGAGGTTCTATCATTGGTTTTGGGATAAGGAGAGGGGGTATCATAAGGGCGAATAGTTCGCATTGGATGAATAAGGTGGGACTTGATTTCTTTTGTGTTTTTATTAGCATTCGTTGTATAATTAACAAGCATTATTTTGATAATTTATGAACAGCATGATATTCCAACTCAACCATTTATTAAGCAAGTAGGTATCTCCAATGACATCAAGAAAATCCGGTCGATCCAATGGAACCCCAACATCCCAGGGCAGTTCATGCCACCACCTGTATTACGTCCAGAACAACCCCAGAATACCATTTACTCCTTCTTCCTCTGAGCAATCTGCACCTCCTGCACAACAAAAGCAGCCCGCAGCTCCTTACCCGCCTCCCAGAGGACCCAAAGAGGAATCCACACCCAAAGAGTATTGAAGAAGAACAGATACAGCCAAAGATAAACCGGATCCTGAGTAACAAGCTGCGAGCTCCCAGTAAGCCACTCTGGCGCAAAAGTCATAAAGCCACCATACAACTCGGCCGTCGCCAGCGCCGTCGCAACAAACCAGAGCGTCGACTTCGCCGAGCCCCGTGCCTTGGCGCTAATCTTCTCATTCGTCGACCTGCACAGCAAATAACAAATATAAACCGCCGCCGGACCACCCAGGAAAACGGTCAACAGCTCCAAAGAAACGACGGTCACGTCTGCGCCGGCCCAGCGGCGATCGGCCTTGGCGTATTCCTGCCACAGGCGCGAGCTGGGGTTGGTGCCGTAGGCTGGGCCATAGATCCGGTCGGGACGGTTTAGGAAGTAGGGCTCCGTGTTGTGGATGCCGGCGACAGTGGCGTAGCTGAAGAAGCATTCGTAGAGGAAGGAGCCTTCGATGAAGAGGTGGGTTAGGGCGTCGTAGGCGTGCCAGAAGAAGAGGATGCGGTTGCGGGTTTGGGTGGAGGGGATTAGGGTTTTGGCGAGAAAGTAGGCGATTGGCATGAAGGAGAGGGAGAAGGCCAGGCAGAGAATTGTTGGTAGATCCAACGTGAAGGACGCGCTCGTTGACATGGTGGTGGTTGTTTTGAGCGCGGGTTGGTGAGGGTTATTTGGGTAGTGGCGTGCCAGATCACGGATGCTGAGGCCTTTTTGTAGCCTGGTTAGGAGGGTGGGCAAGCGTGACTTAGGCGCTTGGGAGTTGAAAGAGAGTACTGTGGTAAAATTAGGGGAGCTCACGATGGTGGAGCTGATCGACACTGCTGCCTTAGGCAGAAGTGGGAGATCGTCATGGAGAGTTCGGGTTGAGTGAACTGCTTTCTTTCTGCGTTCTTTCCCTTTCTTTAAAGGACATGTTGTGTCCGAACTAGGAGAGCACAGTTCTACCTAGGACACATTCAAAGGGTCATACAACCTGTGTGTAGCTATTTACCCGCGACAACCTTGAAAGCCGCAGTGGGGGTTGTTTACCCCACACTTGCGATTCGATCTATACACGCGGTCTCGAGTTCGAGAAGATGAACCGCTGTCAAAGTTCATACGATGAGATACATACACCCAGGTAAATAAATATAAATGAATCCTAGGTCTACTTGAAAGTTTGATTGCAGGGCACTAATTTTCCCTTGGCACAATTTTCCCTCAGCACTAGCAATACCCGCTGTTTTAGTGTGTTATAGGCCGACTCGCAGACGCACTAAGCCTCGTCTGAGGCGTCCCAGATGGAAGGCCGCATCCCAAAACCTGTTTTGTCAACAGAAACTAGTTAGTTAACGCGAGGTTGCACTTCGTAAGCCTACTTCAGAATGGGTCCTCCCGTTGATCTGACAATCCAGTTAGCCTCACCTCAATTCCCCACCCAGACCATCTTTTTCCCCACAGGTCCATCTCAGCCTAGAGAATGTCTCCAACGGGATCGGTCCTTATCACCGGCTGCAGTGACGGTGGCATCGGCTCCAGCCTGGCCCTCGTCTTCCTGGAGCGCGGCTACCACGTTTTCGCCACAGCCCGTAACCTGGATAAAACAAGTGCTCTGCGGGGCCTTCCCAATGTCACTTTGTTGACACTAGAAGTGACCGACGAGAGACACATTCGTGCAGCGAAGGAGGCTGTCTCTGCGCAGACAGGCGGCACATTGTCGTACCTGATCAACAACGCTGGACGCAACCATTTCATGCCTCTCCTGGACGAGGATATCGACGCTGCGAAGAGGATTTTCGAAATCAATGTCTGGGGTCCATTGGCCATCACCCAGACATTTGCGCCTCTTCTCATCAAGGCACAGGGCACGCTTGTGAACATCACATCTATTGGCGGCCATGGCGCAGTTCCGACTATGGGTAAGAATCCAAATTACTCCGAGATCAAAGACCCTAACTCAATTCTTAGGATCCTATGGCGCTTCCAAGTCCTCCCAGGAGCACATGGCAGAGACACTCCGTCTTGAACTTTCACCCTTCGGCGTGAAGGTTCTATCCGTCGTGACCGGCGTCGTCTCGACAAACGGCCGCTCGTACTTTGAAGACTGGGCCCTTCCCACAAACTCGCGATACAAGGCAATCGAAAACACCATTGCACAGGTTGTGCGTGCAACCGATGGAATGACTAGCACACCACTTGCAACTTATGCAACTGAGGTTGTTGACAACATTTTGGGTGGTACGACCGGCCGCATTTGGGTCGGCGAGAGAGCAGAGAGTGCAAAGAATATGCCTGTTGAGGGTGAGATGGTTGATTTGAGGGCATGTTCTATCTTTTCTCAAAGAAGCTGAGCTTTTGCTGACCGACTAATAGGACCAGTTCATGATGAAATCATTCGGCTTGGATGAGCTCTCGAAGTAGGCCTACTTTGGCAGGAATGGGTTCTCGAGATTCTCGATCTAGCATATGGCAGCCCTGCATCTCAAGTCGCATCAAGAACTACTTGCAAACTATCAAAATAGCTCAATTGAAATCGTGACATAACTTTCAGCAGCAGTAAAAAATGAATAGTCCAAAAAAGAAACTCTCCCTCGGGGAATCGAACCCCGGTCTCCCGCGCTTATCAGTGTTAATGACAAGCGGAAATCATGACCACTAGACCAAGGAAGATTAGATAGTCGAGTTACCGCTCGACCACTTGGGTGGTTGATGGGTTCTCCACCCCTTTTATGCTAAATGATTCAAAATTTCATGAAGCGTAAACAGTGCCTTCCATGTACCTCGTGCCAATGGCTCGTATTACAGCACAATATTGGAGCTATGGCCGCGTCGAATCGGAGACAAGCTTCATTTAGGAATAAATCCAGGCGTCCAAATTAACGTTTAGACTTGATTTATCGTCTCTGCTCCAAACGTCTAGGCGTGGTAAGCAAGGCAGCATGATTATCGTGGCCGAGGCTGAGTGGGACCGTTGTAGGTACGCTTAATATAAGCGAGCAAGCGTGCCGCTTGGTTTAAAAGCGGGGGTGTAGGCATCTTTCACTTCCCTGTTGTCAAACAACTCGACGTCAATTGATTACTCAATTTGAATGCGCATCCAGTTCACAATGCAACCAATTTCTAAAATTGATTGGGACAAAGGTGACAAGGATGGACTTATCTCCATCGGCTCCCATAACCTTTATATGTCCGTTTCGGGGCCCGATCGCAAGCCTGGACAGCCTATCGTCGTTCTCATGCAAGGCGTTGGCAGCACGATCGATGAATGGGTGGCAGTGCGAAAGCTTGTGATTCCATTTGCTCGATGGTTGAACTACGATCGTTCAGGAATGGGTCGGAGTGAAGGTCCCGACCAGACACCCTCAAGCATATCCGCAGCATCAGTCGCGGCAGAGCTCGATATTCTCCTAAAGAACGCCGGTGTTGAACCTCCGTTTATCATTGTCGCTCACTCGTGGGGAGGCTACACTTCTCGCGAGTTTCTAGAACTTAGGCCGAATGATATCGTGGGCATGGTATTCGTGGATTGCAATACTGAACGTTTCTTTGATAGTGGGGCGTGGGGCGCGGATGTTTTCAGTCCAGTTCTCGGCGACCAGGACTTTGTTGAAACCACCGGTCTTTCAACGTCCCATGTCCTATCCGAAGAGGAGTGGAAAGCCGTCAAAGACGAGCAGGCCGATCCCCGACATCAAGTCACTGAGGCTGCTGAGGTGCAGGCGGTGCTGAACGACAGACGGGCATTGGTCCCCAAGAAGCAACTCGAGAAGCTACTTCTGAAAGATTATCCGGTCAGTGTAATCATTGCGGATTCACCTGGAGATTTCCAGAAAATGTATGACTTTGGAGTGGCCGCAGGCAACGGAACAGAAGAAGAAGGAGCTCTGTTTCGAAAATGTCTCGATAGATGGCGCGAGATGAATGAGGACTGGCAAAAAGAGCTTTTGAAGCTTTCTCGTCTCAGCAGATTTATTCGTCTGCATTGCAGTCACAATGTGCAGCTGTTACAACCACAGAGCATAGTCCAAGAGATACAGTGGGCCATGGATAGCTATAAATAATTCTCACTCTGCTAATGAGTCCCTGGATCTCGGCTTTCAAAAGCTTCGGATGCAGGTCGATTTTTCGGAGACGAACACCCAAGTGACCCATACATAATAAAAAGGGCATTAATGGTACCTCATGCAATTGTTGATCGGCCGTCTTTCTTCCATATTAGGACTAGCGCATATCCGAATCTTGTTCGGGAATTAAGAAGAGAATGGTGGTATAACTGATTTCGAAAACTACGGTACCCATACCCTAATGGCCAACGAGTTTTGACTCGATGACTAGCTAAATATTTCAGATCATAATTCATGGCTAGTTGCGAAAATTTGAATATAAAGGCTTTGGCCTGTTTTTGTTTCACCCGGGGTGCGGCAGTCATAAGACCAGGGCGGCATCATCGCCCCAGTGGCCACCCGAGATCTTTTGACCACATCAGGTCCGAAAGTCATTCCCTGATCCTTGGATTCAATAAATGGGAGTGCGTCGACGTGGTCATAGCTCCTTCGAGGCCTATAATTGGTATCATTTTATTCTTCAACGGAAAAAGTGTATTCTGTGCTTACAAGGTAACCTACGGGCATACTCAGTTGATATATATCACATATACCCACCTTCATGACCAGCTCCCGTGTATTATTGATCGATCTAAATCACCCACCTATTTTTGCGTACTTTTGGGTCATCTCCAGTCCCCAAGTGATTACCTGGTCACCCGGGCGATCTCCGGGGCACCTACACGTGCAAAGCTAGTGGAGGCGTCAGCCACAGGGCGTTGATTTATAACCTGGGTATCTGCCAGGCAGGTAGTTAAACCCCTGCTTATATTCCGACCACAACTATCTGCTGAAATCAACAAGTCCGATATACTTTCAATATTCATGATGACGGAGGCTGGATAAAAATATGTGCAAACACCCAACCCTTAACCCCGACCCTATTCTACCTTTTAAAGAAATTCAGAGCATGGCGCGCATCCGTCATCATCGAAGACACCATACATGGCCTCACTGCGGCTCAGAATTGTGCATGCGCGAGCCACGAACACTTGAACTTCGCGTGTTCAAGCCACCAAATGGAGCCCAAGGCCACTCGCCATGGACGTTTCAAGAAGCGACAATAGTGCCTCTTATTGCAGAGGAAGTGCCCAATGATGATGCCGCGATGGCTGGAATTGTGCGTTCGCCACGGACTCATCGCATCTGGTCCTTGCCTCTAGGCAGGGGCCGAGACAAGAATATCCACGTCTCTGCCTCGGCAGCCGAAGCCAGGAAGTCTGTTCATCGCAGCATTTTACGACGATTGATTCGTCGTCCCCCTCTGGATAAGACGAGATCCTTACTCGTCATGCCAACAACCATGACCGCCAGAGATCAAGCGATGATTTCTGGTTGGATGCCGCCACGGTTAGCGGCGCAACCGGTCGCGGTGTCGGACAGAGGTCGCCCGGATTTATCCGCGATTGATAGTACACGTCTGGTCGCGGAAAGGAGACATCGAAGGAGCCACTCGGAGCAGCCACGTTCGTGGAGAAGGCCCAGTGCGGGTCTATGGACTCTTGAGGAGGAGCGGGAGAGTTTGAGTGGCGGCAGTTGAATTCGGTACATACATACACGCTGCATTTGGGGTCGCATTGCAATATTGAAATTCAGGGATGATCACGGAGTTTGAAATTTGGAGATTTACAGGGAACTACATACTATAAAAACGGAAAGTAAATGTACAATACCTATTCGAAATCCAATATTGGATAGTTAGAACTGTCTAAAGAGATACCTTGAAAATATATGAAAAGATAACTAGAAGACGTGTAAACATACCCGTGAAGAGGGCTAGGAGGTTAAGAGAACGGGATATTTAAGCTTGGTGATTACAGATCAGTAGGGTTAGTGGCCTGAGGTAGAAAACGCGCTAAAAAAAGGGACACCAGAAAACTCAGGTCAGTAGGGCCCTACTGAGGCCTCAGTGGGATGCGTAGGTCAGTGCTCAGTAGGGTGTCCCTTTTGTTGGCTGATGTAATCGATATAATAGTATGAAATATGTGGTATCTATGGGCTTAGATTCCTGAATTGCCTATGTTTTGTTTACCTTGTACTTGGTTCTTACTTCTTACTATCTACTTCTTCAACTATGCGCAGTACGTATCAACCGAGTGGCAACATCGCTCTACTCGGGTGTAGGATCTTATAGATACTGCGCCTATTTCTATTGAGCAAGGCCCTCAAAGAGAGATAGACGAAGAGCTTTTTGATCTAACCGATGATCGCATCTTTTGTAAGCGCAACTCAGCATAGGTAAATACATATCTTCCCAGTCACTATTTGTACTAATAACTAACTAATGAATTATTTAGTATATTGAGTAACTAGTAACACTATTAAGCGATGCGTCTATAATGCAATTTTTGCTGCTGAAATTGAGTTTGTTCCTCTACTTCCAGAGTATTCTTGACTTGAGGTATTTCTGCGATTGGCTGTTGATAGAGATAATAGAGATGATGAGAACTAGGTGTTTCCTAGTTTGGAATTAGTGGAGATGGAAACCGGTATTTTTGACGGGTAAAAACGATGTCTTATGGGTTTTGGGTACGCGGAGAAAGATAGTAAGGTAACTTATAGTACGTGTTTTGAAATAAAAGTTGGTGTGTTTTATGCCTCAGGCCACTAACCCTACTGAAGTCTCGGTAGGGCCCTACTGAGCTGTAATCACAGGGTACACCCTACTGAGCACTGGCCCACGCACCCCACTGAGGTCTCAGTAGGGCCCTACTGACCTGAGTTCTGTTAACCTCAGGGATGTGTGCCTATATGCCTGATGACTCAGGCTACAATTGTTGTTGACGTTTCCTCTTCGGCATCAATCATCCGGGGCTACCCTATCATTTCACTGAATTGGATGTGCGGGACCGCGCTATGTATGATTTGCTTCGTTTAGTGTCCCTTGACCGAGAAACTCAGATGCGGGGACCATTGGATCCCCATCTGACTCGCACATGGGTCTCGGAGTGACCGTGCCGATTCCCAGCTACGGCTCAGCCGTGTTTCTTGGCTTATGCAGCATGAGCGGCCCAGTGACTCAGGGCGCAACATGGAGGTTGCGTCAATTCTTCTCGAAGGCCGCTAGAGGGCCTCGTGTCTCAGCTGACTGACGCTGATTGGCACCGGTGGGAGAGATAGCGAGTCCTGTACTGCTGTAGGGCTGCCCTTTGCGCATTTCGGGCAATCATGTCTCCAACCCCGGCATCTTCTTGTATTGGCCATATCTTTCGACCCACTCGATGAATGAAGTCACGATCTTCCCTTGTATTCTGGCTGCCTACTGTAGCTCCGCGGGGTGATGAGACGGCCCTATGCGAAGGATGGACGCAAACGCAGGCCAACCTGTGTTATCGTCAAGATAGTCGGGCCCCTTCCATGGGACACCGTATATGCAGACCCGCTGTCGCACTCGAGACGTGTCCGGATGATGCAGCGGTGAATCCGCACGGTCCCACTGAGTGTTGAAGGAGGCTCCAAGGCAGACGCAAACGCGCATTGGCCCGTTTGGCGGCCGGGCGACCCTTTCTCTCCTTGACCCCCGACAATCTCACCGACACGCCCGCTAAACCTTACCGGTGGAACCCGCACCCTCTCTTTCTGCTCCTCCGGTTGGTATGCCGCGGGATATTCCGCTACTCGAGCTGAATCCATTCGCTGTCTATCTCCCCGGGCGTTCCTTCGGGCCCGAGGCAGGTTTGAGGCTTCCCCGCATTGTTTTGGTTGGCTGCCCTATAGGACCATAAAGGACGATCACAGGGAGTCGAAATTGGCTCCCCGCGAGAACTCGGACTTATAAAGCTGCCCTGTTCGCTTCTTACCTCGATCCTCCCACTTTCAATACTCTACCAATTCCTTTACCCTTCAAGGGATACACTCTCAATCATACCAAAGCGGATACTATCCAAAGAGACCTCTTTCACAAACATTGGCAACTACCACGTCATCGTGGGGCAGCCAGCGCTCAAACGAGAAGAAACACTCTCGTCATTTCTCGAGGTTGTTCCGGTCGAGCTCCAGATCTTCCACTCCTATTGAGATCCCCATGACCGACATCCGTGAAGCCACTTCAAGCATGTCTCAACCTCGCGATATCCCAAGGACCACCCCGGCCGGCTCCTACTTTGACCAGAGTCACTGCTCTGGTAGCCCTGTCAATATGTCTCCTGAAAGCATTTCCCCCCGTTCGCCCAAGTCGGAGTATATCGCCAAGCGTGCGTCAACTCCGACCCGCAAGAACAGCGATGACTACCGTCGCTACAGCGGGACCATCAACCACTGCGGCCGGCACTCAAATGACTGGCTCTTCGGCGGGTTCAGTGTGCGTGAAACCGTGGCGAGCGGCCTCGGGAAGCTGCGACACAACGACAAGGAGAGCTGAAGGATGGTAAACATTTTTTTTGATCACCATTTCAATTGCCATTTTGTGCCATTACCCCAGAAACCACCACCATCGGGCCATCCTGCCTTGGGAGATGAGGGAACACCGTCTCCAGCAAGACATTTGATCAACCCCGGATGATTATGAGAATCGACAGTTGGTTCGCCGGAAGCAAATGTTTCTTACCACCCTTCGGATCACCCCCGGGCGTGGACACCGTCAGAAGACTGGTCTGCACCCGGGGAGCGATATCCTGTCGGCGCCTCGTGACGATCACTTGGCGCACGTTGCACCAAACCCTCCGGTTTCATGCCAAGCCTTGAATGGCGTTTTACCTTATAACGGCCTTTTCTTTCCTTTTGCTGTCTATCGAGTGATCACAGATGGTCTCCTGGTTGATGTTTTGCGCTAGGCATATTCCGGTCCATAACTTTTCCAAATCTAATGGGCTGGCACCCGATTGTCACAAACTTCCATTCAAATCCCACTCTCAACGTAATGCTTCTCCTCTGTAAAGTATAGCCGCTAAGCGCACCTTGGAGGATTCCTCCGCGCGGAGTGATCCAGCGAGGTCGGCTCCGTCTCCGATCATCGGGACCTCTCCGACTCCCCGCAATTCCACGGCTTTTACACCCCTCATTTAAAGAGCCCAAGCCCAATTATGAGCCTGCCATTTGCAAGTATGCGTGAACAATGACATCTGGCATTCGGTTCTTGTACAGTTTCGCAAGCTTTACTCGATCCGCTCGTCTGCTTAACCCCCACGCCCGGCCAGCTCGACCCGTATACTCTTCCACGTACATACTGCGCCGCCATGGCCAGACCATCAGACATCATTCCCAAACGGCTTCTTCAAAGCCCGTGGTCGCGGTCTTGTACCAGGCTCTCGCACCGCCCATGTATGGCGGTGTTAGCAAGCCGCCCAAACCCGGTGGTATGTTTACACAATCTCCAGCCTGGTCGTCTATATTTGACTAAATAATATGCATAGGATACCGAGACTCTGGCTCAGATGTCGCATATACATTGACCCGCTCAGGAATCTCTGTCCTCACGCCGGTAGAGTCTCCAGATCCGGTGAACCAGGACCAGTGGTGTTTCCCTGATACCGAGGAGGGCATTCTTGATGCCCTGCAGAAGGGTGCGACGCATCTCTGGGCCAACACAGTGCTTTTCGCAGAGCATCCTCTACAGGCATCTTCTAAATTGGCACCGTTTGAGTCCCGGATCAGAGTCATTGGCCAGCCGCCCTTTTGTGTGGATCGGTACGACGACAAGTCGTTTGTGAATGATGAACTGCGACAATACGGTGGGTTGACTTTACCCAGATCGTGGACGGTGAATGATCCCGGGTCAACGGAAGATGATGTTGCTGCTGTGCTGCGAACTTTGGACAGTGTCCTCTCCTCGATCAAGGAAAATGATTACCCGATTGTTGCGAAGCCTGTTCGTGGACGAGGTAGCCATGGCGTTAAGATTTGCCGCAATCCACTCGAGCTGGCAGATCATGTCGCTCAGTTATTCGATGAGTCGCCCAGTGTCTTGTTGGAAGAATATCTCAGTGGAGAGGAAGGTACCATCACGGTCATGCCTCCTTCTAAACAGTCGGCACTTGGACCAGAATGGTCGGATCGCTATGCGAGCCACTGGGCTCTGCCACCCGTTACCCGCTTCAACCATGTTGATGGTATCGCTCCGTACAGCGGGAAAGTGGCCGTCACCGTCAATTCGCGTGCCGTGACCGCCGCGGAAATGGAAGCAGACCCCGCATATTCAGCGATCATGAAGGAATGTGAAAAGGTTGGGGAATTGTTGCAGACGGCAGCACCGTTGAGAATTGATATTCGGCGATTTGCCCCGAAATCGAAGTTTGCGCTGTTCGACATCAATATGAAGCCGGTAGGTTCCCCTGTCGTTCAAAAGTACCTTCGTTTTTCCCATGCTTACGCAGTACAGAATATTACCGGCCCGGGTCGCCCTGGCCGTGAAGACCAAACGAGTCTGATGGGACTTGCAGCTGAGAGTATGGGCTGGGACTACCCAAGCTTACTACAGTATATGCTTGGGTCGGCGCAGAGTCTGTGCCAACTTCGCAATTACGAAAGTCACTTCGCTTGGTCGACCGGCTGTGTAACTGGCAGTGGACCCTGAAAACGAGAAAAGGCATTTCCAAATAGACAAATGAAGTGTGGGCATGCGCTGTATGTTTTTTTTGTGCAAGCACTGGACCTGGCTTTTGTTTCATAATAGAATAGATTAAGGGTCCTCATCACTCCATCGCAATCAGTCTTAAAGTACTAGCATATGTGATATGACGGGACAGTGTCTTCTCCACAAATCGGAACATCCCAGGTACCATGATAGGTATAATAGAGGTCCTCTATTTATTAGATTCATAATCACTAGCCAAAATTAACAGGTCATTGCGCTTTCCCATGAAGTGATGTCGCAAGTCCGAAGAGAATGCGTAAAGAAACCAGAAAGCAGCAATAATGCACCGAAGCTCCCAGAACGCCCAAAAAAATGATTGCAATCCCCGTCCGATCACGCTGATTTCCATTTGGTAATGTCCGCAGTGGAGATACCCAGATTTTCAACTGTAAGTCGTTGAAGCGTCACAACCTGAGTGGGAGCTAAAGTTTTTCAGAGTTAGCAAGGTCCAGAAACGGAAGCGAAAGGGTGTAGTGATGAACTAGAGGAAGTCCGGTACCATCGCATCGGGAGAGGGGAACAGCAAGAAGGGAGGGAAGAGGCTGACAGGAGAAAGGAGACTCACTTGGCCGTTGAGCAGCCGGCGCAGCTGCGTGAACATGAATGACCCCCGAATCGACAAACTCTTTGGTGACGACCCCGTTGACTGATGCCGCGCTCAGCATCACGCGCAGCCGATACTTGCCTGGCCGTGAGATGGCGAGGGAAGGGAATTTGGCATAGCCGCTTGTTGGGGTACCGGCGCGGCTGATCACGCTCGCGGTCAGACTGCCGTTGAGTCCGAGAGCTGGGCCGGTTCCGGCTTCGTCGCGCAATGAGGCATTCACCACCAGGTGCTGCACGTTTGTGGGTGTGCCAATTGGTCGAACGGCTATGACGACGGGGATGGTGAATGGCAAAGCTGGACGTACTGCGGCTGGAGGAGTGGTTTCGAATGCAAGACTGAACTCGCGAGCAGCCATTTTTGTAGGTTGGTGGTTTGGACAGCGGGATGCTGCTGTGATCCAATCAGAGAGCAGTAGGAAGGAAGGGGGAGATCGTGAAGTATATGAAGTGGGAACAGAGATAGAGTTCGAGAAGGTGGGAGGAAAGGGTCAGATACGACGAGGATGATTTTTCCGCGATAGAAGGGAGGCGGCACGATTATAACGGTGGTCGTTCGATAGTCTGAAGAAAAGTATGTCAAGCAGGCGCCCTCATGCGGTCTTCATATATCTCCCGGCCGCAGCCGAGACGCATACAACGGCAGGAATATCCTGGATTCATGTTCCAGATTAGGTGTTGGACACAGATGGAACTAGCTGATATCGCCACCGGCAAAAGTACACAATGGCGATGATTAATGATCGGTGACCAGGTTCCTGGGATACGGAGATGGCGACCGTAAACCCACCCAAATCACAAAATTGAAATCAGAAATCAAAGAAGGAAAGGGGAGAGATCGTCCGTCCGATTAGGTGCTGCTCGGCAGGAGAAGGATCCTTGCAGCAGCACGTTTTCGGGAGAACGGAACACGAACTGTGGAGACTCGTTCGTTTGTGGAATCCAATTGACGGTGGGAATGTAGAACAGCGCGACGAGAGGAAAAGAGAGAGAGAAATGCGCTAGATCTGAGAGATCGAGGCTACCCTGCAGATCTGATGCTAGCGTGTGGATCGTCTCTGAAGCACTTCGGCATCGGGTTCCCACCGCCATGCAGTCCCTTCGCGGCCTGATGTCGATTTCTTCGGGGGACACGGCCTGGATTCCATTGACATGCGCCTTGGCATGCACGATCGACGTTCAGGTGCAGGGGTTCCGAACAGGTTAGTTGAGGTGCGTTCCAATAGTTCTGTGCACGGATCCACTGCATGCTCGATGTCATTCGACACCACCTGCTTCTCTCGATAACCGCCCGGCCCGTGGCAGCTGTCATAGAGAACGCATTGTCTCTAACGTGGCATGAGACGGGGACGAGGATGCATTTACCTCGATCGAGAGATTTTTCAATTGTAGACACGGTCACTTAATGGAGCCCGTGGTAAGATAGATTTTTACAAAGGGAGCAGAGCAGACCGCAAAAGTTCGAGCGCAGGATCGGGCCCCTTCTGGAAAGGAGGTGCAAGCCTCACCCAACGGTGAACTGTGGCTAGTGTGGAGCTTTGTGGCCCTTGAATGGGGAATCACGTCAACCGTCGGCCACTCCGAGAGCCTAACCGTAGGATCGATCTCGAACATTTTGTAAGCTTCTTTTTGTGTCCTGTTTAATCATCATTGCGTCTTGGGATTCGAAAGCAATAGTGCTGCCTAGAGGAGACCGCTCCGTCGACCGAATGATCACCAGCCATTGCAATCCGGAAGAGGTGCATCATCAGCCTCACTCTTTTGGGCCTTGTTTTCGGGTGGTCGAGGCTCATTGCTAGTATCCGCCGCGGAATGCTCTAGCGAATCATGACGAAGGATCATAAGCGCCATGTGTGCGCTAGGATGTCGATTTCGGGGTTGATACCCATGATGCGTGCCACGAGGAGGGAAGCTTCCGCCAGAATGTGCTACATTTGGCTCGTCCAACCCTAATGGGGCTAGGGTCGACGATCATCGCCTCGCCGATCCGGCACGGACCAATCAATAGTGCACATCAGATTGGGCTTCGCGTCCATAGCGGTGGTCCGTAGTGATGATTGCTGATAACAGAAGGGCGTGCGTAGGGCATGCTCCGGAGCTCCGCGATGGAACTCGCTAACCGGTGGGACATAAAATCACGGAACCAAAACAAACAGCACGGACATGCCTGCCGATCCCCGCAGAGTGCATCCGTGAGAGACCAGTCTGGCATCAAAAAATTGGAGAGCTCCAAACCATGATGTGGTCGCTGCATGTACAGAAGTTTAATTCCGAGGCGTCGCGTGATCTAGCCCTGTCAGACTCGGCGTGTGTTACCTAGAGAAGCAAGATCATCGCCTTACAGGGGTACTCGGAGAACGTTGAATCGGGGATATCAGAGTGATATGCAGGTCGGTGAAGAGACCCAAAGGCCGAAGAGGGTCCCAACAAAAAGCAAAGGGTGAGACGAAACAGGTTGTGTTTCTTTGGATGCAATGCCGATCAAGTTGGATCGTCAATAGTGGCTGTGCCGTGCCGCTGGGGCTGATTCATGTGGGCGAAGTGGCTAGTGAAGTGGCTAGTGAAGTGGCTAGTGAAGTGGCTCGAAACGGATAAGTGGCTGATGGCGGTGTGGCTGTGGTCCTTCCCGTTACCCGATTCGGTAGAACTGGGTTTCAACTTTGGTGGACCCGGAGATCCCCGAGTCTTTTTGTTTCCGATTGACTTGGGTCTATCGAGCTCTAGTCTGCTCTGGTGGATGAACTAGGATTGCCCCTAACCAAAACGGCAAGATGCAGGAATCCACACTTGGGCCTCTTCAGGTGAAAATTGATGTCGTAACTAAACAGCGCACATCCTTCGGTTGCCTGTATGGCAATCCCAAAATGGATAGAATACGAATATTTGACATGTCAATTGGATTTCCATTAGTTCACAATTTTCAGGTCAGGAGATGCCGACGTGTAAGGGAACACTGGCGAAAGGGTACGTCATATTCCAAGTTCCTACATGATAGGAAGGAGGTAACCGTAAGGTACACATGAATAGATTAGTATTTGAGAATAGTACCGGCTAATAGGGGAAGTAAACTTTGGAAGAATGGACTCGCCGCGGAGTCTGACATGAAGCTCAATGGAAGAGCTTGAACACAAAGTAGAAGGCGTATATAGATGCAACCAGGAACGGGTAAAGAGCTTTCATCACGAGAGAACGATGTTCGAAAGTCGCTACGCGCACACCGACTTTTTCGACGACAGACCGCGGGGCGCTATCGGTGAAAAGTAGCCACATCATCAAATCATTCGTCAATGATGCTGTTCGCTCGGCCCGTGTGAACAGGTCCTTCTCAAATGTTTTGATTTCCTCTGTTAGAATGTCACTCCGGTTTGCCGATTTGGATGCCTTGATAATGGCTCGAGATAACATTAGCGCATCTTCCATGCCAAGGTTAACGCCCTCGCCAGCAAAAGGTGTCATGACATGAGCCGAATCGCCGATCAAGGTGACACCGGGGCGGTTTTGCCAGCTGAAGCCAACAGGAAGCATATAGAGACGACGGGGCACTGGATCCTGACCGTGGTTTACGCAGTTGAGAAGGTCGGGATGCCAGCCCTGGAATTCCTCCCTGATGGACTTCTTGACAGCTTCAATGTCATTAATATCGAAGGGCATGTTGTCCATCCAGCTCTCTGGTCGTACACTCCAGACATAAACGCTCAGGCTGCCGTTACCAAGCTGTTGGCTCATGATAGACTTGCCATCCGAATAGGAGAATACAGAACCGCGATTGGTCAATGAGTAGCACTGCGGCGCAGTCTCTTTGGCATTGGGGATGGCGAAGGTGATTCCGGTGACGCCAGAGTAATTTGGCTTTTGGGCCGACACCAGCTTGCGAGTCTTGCTCCAGGCACCGTCGGCTCCCACAACCAAGTCGAAGCCAGTCTCTGTACCTTGGTCGAAGATCAAGTTGCGGCTCTCATCGATAGCACGCAAGTGATAGCCCCATCGAATGATCTCCGGCGGGATAGAGTCGAGAAGCATTTCACGAAGCAGTTTCCGATCAATTTCAGGTCGGCCACGAGTGGAGCCTTCTTCATGGCCAGAAAAGTTGACGTATTTGGTGAGGTGCTTGTCGCAAATGACCAAGGCTTCACCATCGAAACGAGCATTTTTGAGGAATTCATCGTACAGGCCTGCTTCTTTGAGCGCTGCAAGGCCTGTGTCTGTATGCAAATCGAGCGTTCCGCCTTGTCCACGAACCTCTCGGGATTTCTCTGACTCGAAAACAGTGACTTCAATGTCCGGCTTGTTGAGAAGGAGTCGGGCGAGTGTAAGGCCGACGGGGCCTGCGCCTACGATGGCGATTCGGAGGGGAGACATGTTAGAAGAAGTAGGAATGTGAGTATATTCAATGCGATTCCTGGGATACAGCGCTCAGCTAAAGGGACAGTATGGACTCTTTATAAAGTGTAACTAGGAAGCCGAGATCATGACGCTACGCCAACCGCCGTAAGCTTACCCTGCGGGACAAGCTGGGATTGGATCGCAAGACATGCACAGACGCTTAGTGCCTGGTAGAGCGGTAATGATGGGGAGAAAGAAGCAGAACTATGACTCGGTCGCCGAGTTGTTCCAGCTGGCGCGAACACCTGATGTGGAGGACTCAGCGCGCCACGGGCCACGAAGCTGCATGCGGAATGCTTGACGGAGAGAGCCTAAGCCAAATACGGTATTTCCATACAGTCGCTCCTAGTGCAGCAGGGCTGAGATTTTCAGCCAAATGACCGAGTGTTTTGTTTCCACACTTCCCCCAATAGGGTCGAAGGGAGACCCCGCATCTGACTGTATCTGGTGCATTTTGGTACATGAACCAGCCGCCAAAATGGAGCTGACCGCGAAAGTCGCCCCGATTTCTGTACCCAGAATCCATAGTGAGAGCTATCTGTCTGGATGATGTAGGTCTATCGCCCTCGGACATGCTAGGTGGCAGGATGCTTGTTGTTTCGGCATATTAGAGGCATTTCCGACTCGGAAAGTCGAGTCCGATTCCCAGCTTGTCCATACTTTGACCAGAACCTAGGATGAGGTCTAACGGGAGCATGCGAACCTTCCAAGGTTGGAATGGAAAATGAAGATGGCAGTACCAATGTAAATGATGCGGCAATCTCGAGGCGAGCGGCTTCCTCACGCGGCGCAGAACTCCAACTCCGCAAAATGGCTTCAAGCGCACACTCGTTCACGGGCAATGCACCCCGTCAATATGCTTACAATCGTTTAAAGAGAACCAGCTAAGCACCAGCAGATGGCGCCACTGAAACCTCGACAGAACCACTCGCTTACCCCATCGACTCCGCGTCTCCGCAAAGGCCCATCGGCCAAACCAGTTCCGGTGACAACATCCATCGATCCTAAGGTATTCGATGAGCTATTTGCCGGAGTGGTTATTATATTTTTTCTTGCTGTTGTCTTTTGGAAGACGGGCAAGTTCATACGATCCTTCAACCGACACAAGGTGCTAGCAGAAGGCAAAACGACCACGGCTCGATACGCAAGAACATGGTACGGCTGGGTGCCACTGGAGACTCACGAGAGGAACAAAGAGATTTTCACGCAAATTTTCGCATGGATTGGAGAATGGACGGCGTGGAAAACAACTCGGACCGATTACCGCTGGGTGTGGTGGGATCCTGACCAGAAGGCGTTGGAAGAACGACGTCGAAATCGAAGACTACTGGCATGGTTGCCCGAATGCTTCAAGAGCTATGATTTCCCTACTGCTGATGAGATATGGAACCCGAGACCGCCCACACAGTGTCATGGCGCTTTATCCGACGACCGACCTCAGTCTGTTCAACTCCCCGAGTCTCCGAGGACAGGTCGTATAGACGGCAGTCCACTTTCGCAGCAATGTTTTGCAGACAATGAAGACGCCGAGCAGCCATCCATATTTCCTTCCATTTCCAGTCTGCCCCCAAGGCTAGACACATGCACCCCTCATGAGCGCCGGGCGGCGCGGTTTTTATCCAACAAAAGACCTGTCAAGCAGCCATCGAAGATCTGCAACAAATTCCAGTCACCATCCAACTTGAGATCTGCCTCACAAACCTCAATGGAACTACTATCACAGTTATCTATAGACATGGATCGGGTCTCATGCCGGGACCCATCTTTTTCAGGACCAAGCAGCTTTCGAACAGCGAAATCTGACGATTGCTCCCAGTCGCACGAAACACCCAAGGTATCGATAGGGATGATTGACCTTAAACCTCATCAGCACCATAATTTGCGTAAATATCGAGTGTGGTCAACGCAGATGCAGGTGAAAACCAAGAGTCCAGGGCTACATGATCTGAGGGATTCATCCGGTCCGCCTGGGACCCCTATGACCAGCCTACTGGCCAGCTTTCTGTCGGAGCAGAGTGCCTGTGATGTTATTTCAAACCAGCCAATAAAACGGGGTCTCTTGAAGAATTCGATTGGCAGGTTATCCGTGGCATTCAACCGAGATCGTATTGCAAACCAAGCTCATCTTGCAGGTGAACAGCTTTCAACTTGGGGGAAGCCAAAGTACGACACCGCACCGACACGACCTCATTTTTCGATAAATACATCACCGAAGGGAGGGAAAAGATTGAATCATCCATGGCACTCATTGCGAGAGACAGAGCAGCCCTATCACACGAGGAATGCCCTTTGCGGCCTTTGGCCATTTGCAGAGAACATTGAGACAAGCCCTATCTTCGACGACGTGCCAAAGTCAGTCTTGAAAGGCGCTCAGATCCCTTCTGCGGAACTGAGTGATTGGGAAGTAAGGCTGATAGATGGCGTGGATCGAAAACTGGTATGGATATTCAACGAGTTTACTCCCGGCCAGAAGCCGTATCATTTTGCATGCCTTGCCAATCACTGGCTTAACCGCGAGACCTGGCTTGTGATTGATCCTATCTCGCGAGTCCCTCAAGACTCACGACGGCAATGGGGAGATCCTCGATTCAATGTCCCATATCCGGACCCATGTCTAGACCGTCGGCCGAAGTACCCGCTGGCTGTACACAAGCGAGCAAACACTCGACGCATCGACTCATGGCGTGCTGCAGTCAACAGGCAAAGAAGAGTGTCCGGGGTCCACGATATTCTCCATCCAGTGGAGCTTTATGAGGACTCGTGCGAAGAGCCACCAGACGGGAAAATCGACCCTGCAAGCTGGATCCTGCCAAAGCCTCCTCAGGGATTCGAACGGTCCACGAGGCAGAAGAACGCCTGGTATGAAGGAGGGGCAGGGTGGCAAGAGAAGCTCGAAGATTGGCAGCAAGTTCGCCGGGGCTACCGACTACATAAAGCTTTACACGAGGGCCGCGTGAATCGAAATTATGTGAAAGGACTGGCAGCCGATATTGGTCGACGTTGTCGCACGGTATCGTCCAAATTGATTCCGGAGATTCAACAGACACGACGACCTAGTCAGCCTATTCTCTGAACTCGTTTGAACCGGTCAGTGCAGTACACCGTGGCGGTTATCATCACCCTATGCTTTTCATGACATTGGAGGGTCCTTCGATATACCGATCACTTGTTGTGTCATATCCTTACCTACCACCTGCCTGTCATTTTCGTCCTATCCTTAGAAGCCCAAGGACACAAGTCACCGGAATACAAGTCATTTTGAATGTGGACTGAATTGTCTAAGCGCTGAACAATGAACATTGTAAGCCGTCGGCATCCTCCGGAGCGGCCGCGACGATTTTCTCAAGTACCAAAAAAACTCCGGAAATCCTTCCTATGTTTCAACTCGGACCAGCCTATTGAATAGAGCAAGCATGGTCAAGAGTCGCGTGTATAATACAGATGCCGAATTGAGTGTCATGCAGAGTATGCGTCGGCGAATGGTGAGAGGTGTGCAAAGAGTCGAGATCTTAGAAACCAGGGGGGTTCACACGCTGGCTGACACGAGTCCACTTGGGAAGTTCTGGAGACAGATTGATCAGTATTAAATCGAAAAAGCCACCTGGGCGAGAAATGGACATACTGTGAATGCTCTTCCGGTAGGACTTCTCCTTCTTATCGAAGAGAGTGTACTTGTCCTTGGGCAGCATCTCCTCCTCGCGGGGCATCTCGGCAAACCACCGGTTGACAGCTTTTGTGGTGTAGCCGTTGCGCTCCAGGGCAGCGCTGAGGGTATCGACGACACGGTCCACGGCGCGCAGGCGCTTGCGTTGTCGGGCCTTTTGGGGTGCGGAGAGGCGCCACGGGGTCTTCCTGTGGAACGAAAAGAAACGGTGTTAGCTCTCCAAGGGTCGATCACCCCGAGACGGGAACATACCAGAGAAGACCCGAGAACAGGGCGTTGGTGGGCTTGAACATGGCTGGATGTTGAGAGAAGCGGAGTGTTGCGGCGAGGAAAATCGTGCTTGAAGTCGGGATCCCAATTGGCCCGTGCGCGGCTCCAACTATAGATTCACTCTTCTGTTGCGCAAAACAAAAATGCAGCTTTACGTGAAAACTGGGGTATATCTGAGTAGAGTTTATTATCTGAGGTATCCAGGCAATCTGAAAATTCGTCAAATCCATAAAAGCCAGCATTTTAACATACCGGAGACACGCAGGATCAATATTTACATCTAGGCCAGTCACATGATCCCGAACGATAATTGTGTTCGCCGAAAGTTGCGACCTTTCCTCCTGCGCAATCATTCCTCCGCCTGGAAACGGGTCTTAAGACTGACGCCCCTGGCAATTTTTCCGTGAATTGGATTTCGTCTATGGACTGTTTATAGAGTCGCCTCCACCCAGCAACATGGACTCCGGCGCAACGGCGGACTCTCCGTCCTTCGCCTGGCGGGCGATGTCCAACACGACCATGTGGGGAGTGGCCGGACTATGTCGCGCATTTCTGTCTGTACTTTCCACCGCAGAGGTGCACGGCGGCGAGGCCTTCACGGCATTGTTGGACTCTCGGCAGGACCCGGCTCAAAGAACGAAGGGATTGATTACAGGTACTTACACTGGAACTTTTGAGCAGACCTGAACAGGACAGCTAATCAATCGGTGTCTTACTAGTGTCGAACCATATCAGCGTGTACGTACATTCGTGATCCTCGAACGGTGGATGATTTACAATCGGGAGTTGACGACTAATGAACTTCGGGCAATTAGTATGGACGATCCGTTAATATGGGGTTTGCTTCCCATGCGATTCTGGAACAAGAGGTGGTCGTTCGGAAGTTACGATATTTGTTACCAGGGGAGGTACGTTGGGATTGAAGCAGCGCCATAACTGGCCACCTATACTGACGAAAGTCGCGCTTTACAGGCCCCTTTCGTTCTTCTTCACCATGGGACAGGTACTCCCGACGCATCGCCGGGCGCACTCGTCATTTGGTGGCTTGGGTCAACCTGCAATCACCCAGGCCATCCGAATGCTCTCCAAAGGTCCCTTCCCCGTTGACCACCACCGCGCTGCACCGGAACTCCAACATTTCAGCCGTCAGAACGTCTGCATAGACCCATTTTCGGATCTACCTGTTGCATTCACAACAAATGGCGAAGATGCACACATGGCGCCCTCCGCATTTTCGTGCAACTCGTACTCGTGGGTTCACATCTTCCCCGAGGGCAAGATTCACCAGGCGCCACGAAAGACTATGCGCTACTTCAAGTGGGGAATTGCTCGACTTATCCTCGAAGCCAACGAGTGCCCGGATGTGGTTCCGATGTGGATTGAGGGCATCGATCAGGTCATGCACGAGAGCCGCGAGTTCCCTCGATTCCTCCCTCGCCCCGGAAAAAAAATTGATGTGACCTTTGGCTCAAAAGTCGACTCCGAAGCTGAATTTGGGGACTTTAGATCGCGCTGGCAGAAACTCAAAACCAAGGTTGAGGCGACCGATCCCCGATCTCGAGATCTGCCTGTAGGTGTCTTGAGTGACGAGCTGTTGAACAACGAAGAAGCGATTGAGCTCCGGAAAGAGGTTACCCTGAAGATTAGAAATCTTGTGCTGGATGTGCGACGCACACGCGGCCTCCCAGATGAGGATCCCAAGGAGGGCCTTGTTGAGACCTGGCTCGAGGAGGGCCCCAAGCGGGAAGGCCATATGAAGGACGGTTCCTGGGTCCGGGATATCTAATCCATGGACCCAAGATATCCGATTCAGCTTGTAAATTAATCATTGTACATAGTGTATAGATTTGACACGATAGAACTAGCCGCGAAGCCGCTTTATCACTATATTCTTCCTGAACGTGGGGGCGATAAAGATAAGGAGCCGCATCATCGCCACTTTCCTCCTCCAACTCTCGACCAAACGACCTCTCATGCCCAAAAAGCACAGAAGAGCGTTTGCCAAACCAGTCAGCACCCCTCATCATTCACTTGCATCTTCGAGTCGTCATCATGGCCAAGGTCAACGATCGGTCACTTCCGTCAATGATTTGATCAGCCACCTCCGGCGCACTCAAGTGACCAGCTCTCCCGAATACAATCCACAGGCCTCTTCGTCTACTCAACGATCTATTGATTCTCTACGCTCTGTTCACCCGTCTTTACGCAACCTCCTCGAGCTTCCCGAGACCGCGCCACCCCGCCCTCGCCCGAACGCACGCCGCACAGCAATCGGTGGCCGCCGTGTGCGCCTCACACCCGGACCTCCACCACCTGAAAGCTGGCTGGCAGGAAAAAGCAGTGCTTCCCAAGCATCGGAGGATACCGCTTATTATGAAAGCTTTGAAATACCTATATATCGCCTAGAAGGACTTCCTGGCACTGTGTTTCCGGGAGAGAAGAGTTTCAGCCATGCAGTCTTGAAATCTATGGTCTCGAACTGGGCTTGGCATCTGGAGTATGATGGGCCGTTTTTGTCTCAGATCCCAGCTCATATGAAGGAGCTTTTGCTTAGCTATGTGGCCGTCTATGCGAAGACCCCATCGATGTACCTGTGGTGCAAGCAGGGTCTGATGCGGGGATTGAAGCCGCTCTTCTTGGCCGAGCCTAGCGAAGGCGAAGATGGAGATGAATCTGTCAATACCGATGCTGGAATAGTCCGCTTGGATCTCAGTTGCGCTCTGGGACGTTGGATTTCCCTGAAGCAAATCACAAATGACCTTGTTTACTCTGCGAAATCAGTGACGCTGGCGTCACAGCGCGATGCGGAGGAGGTTATTCCGACTTCTTGGGAAGACGAGTTGCACTCCGAAGAGACAACTTCTACAGCTACTACAAGTTCCCGAACTATTTCTGTTCCCAAAGCCCTTGATCAACCACGGTTCAAAAATCTCCGCTATCTATCTTTCGCGCACCCAGACCCAAATTCTGCAAAATGGGATGCTCTCATCCATCTTCTTTCGCGCCTACCCACAATCACCCACTTGTCCTTGGCTCACTGGCCTATTCCATGTCGCGCATCTACTATTTCTTGCTCCCGTGGATCGAACAGTGAACCCCACGGCAATGATGTTATGGCCGAGGCAGCCGCGATTCTACGCCAGCTCTCCCGCACCACTTACTGCCTGAAATGGCTCGACATGGAAGGCTGTAGTGAATGGATAGAGGCTTTAACATTCCGAGGCACCGACCCAAACGGTCGTGCGTACCGCAGTGGAGAATCCGGCCCTGAATGGAACGGGTCTTGGAGAGACATTGAGTGGATTGGTCTAGGACCAGGATTCAAGATTCCCACTGACTCAGTGGACGACCAGCTTCATTCCGGCGACCTTGCCCCTGATGTCTCTCGGGGCGAGGAAGGTGATCAAATACAGAAAAATCTCAGAAGGGCACGTGAAAACTGGAATATGAAGTTCAATGCGGGTTACAAGACTTACCGCGGCCTATTGGCGATTAGGAAAGAAGGTCGGGGAAAGTGGATTTATACTGATGTTGATAGAGAGACTCGCGCCATTTCCAGGCCATCCCGGCCGTTTTGATTGACACGCCGAGGATAACTGTCTGTATAATCTACTACGTACAAAGACTAGTATGTGTCCATTCCTCGGACTTACAAAAGGAAGTACTATTTAGATGCGCCAGAAATTCATTCCTTTTTAGTTCCAAAACTGTACAATGGTATCATATCCTGATCTTCCATCTCCAATGTAAATTACTTCCGGACCCGGTTAAATGTCTTCAAAGGATCAACCTTGCCAGCCTTCTTTCCCTTTCCACGACCACGGTTGCGGTCCCTAGCCTTCCGAATACGGTTCACATTCGTCTTCGAGAACCCAACGTAGCCCACATCCTCCTTCGAGATACCCTTGCGGCCCTTCGCTGGCATCAGATAGTCAGGTACGTGCTTCAGATGCGGCTGCACACGCGCAGCGCGTAGTTCTCCATCGTGACGCAGCTGGCGCAGCTCGTCCGGGTTATCCTCGAAATGGCGCTTGAGCTTTTCGCTCTTGATCAGCTCCTGGCGAATCTCGCGGGCACGAGCTTCCTGCACAGCGAGACGGGTGACGGCGCGCAGGGCATCGGTCATACGGTAGCGGAAGGCATCGACCTGCGACATCTCGAAATGGTAGGGCTTGACTTCGTGGCCGAGCTTGCCCTGACGCTTCACGATCTTCGCGAGGCGGGTCTCGTCATGTTTGCCACTGGGGACGGAAGTGGGCTTGTGCTTGCCGTACTGGTCGGCAGGGACGACAAACGAGAGAGCCATGCCGGCTTTGCCGGCGCGGCCGGTACGTCCGATGCGGTGGGTATATGATTTCGAGGTGCTGGGGAGGTCGAAGTTGAGAACACAGGCGACGTTCTGGAAGTCGATGCCGCGCGAAATGCCGTAGTCCTTTTCTTTGCCGCTCATCTTGCGTCGCTTGGACTTTTGCTTTCCACTTGATTCCTCGGGCTCGTCTTCATCCTCGCTAGAGCCAACCTCCTCCTTATCCTCTGTATCCTCCTTGGCCTCACGAGACTTCTTAGACGACTTGGCCACTCCCATGACTTCTTGGTCATCCGCCGCAATGATAATGTCGTAGACACCCTTGTTGAATTCCTCGACGACGTGCAACCGGGAGTTGATAGGAAGTTCCGAGTTCAAAACACAGCTCTTGATGCCAAATTGTTCCAAGAAAAGCTTTACGCGGTAACAGCGGTCAACATCGCCGACAAAAATGATGACCTTTCCTTTCACCAGTTGTAGCTTGAAGATGACATATGTGAGAAGGAATTTTTCGTCTTCGGCACACCTGTTGTAAATTTATTAGCATCGACAATAATGGCAAATGATGTAAGAGTGAACTCACTTGACCACAAACTGGCTGACACCAGCACCCTTCTCTTCCTTATCTTCCAGCTTCAGAACCACCGGGTTACGGCAGAACAGGCTCTTCAAAGTGTCCACCTCGGAAGTGAGCGTAGCACTCATGAGGAAAGTCTGCACGCCACGAGGGATGGCCTTCGAGAGGGCATTGATATCCTCATCGTATCCATAGGACAGAACCAAATCAGCCTCATCAATCACAAGGTATGTGAGCTTCTCCAGTGACAAAGCCGAGTTATTGACATTGGCGAGGACACGAGTCGGGGTGGAAACAATGAGATCCGGGAAATCGGCGAGCATTGTCCGCTGCACGGCGTCGGACACCTTTTGTGTGAGGTTGACGGACCGGACATCCTTTCCGCAGAACTGAGTGAACGAGGTTACGACTTTTTGGACCTGCTCCGCAAGTTCGCGAGTTGGGACGAGGATAAGGCCGGTGGTGGCTTTCAAGGAAGGATCGGCCTAGTTGATGAGCTTATCAGCAAATTTTCCGGTTGCTGATGAGGCCCGATAAGACTTACAGATTTTTGTTGGATGATGGCCTGCAGGACTGGCAGGACGTAGGCAGCGGTCTTTCCAGACCCAGTCTTTGCGCGGGCTGTTTCTGTCAGCGAGCTGTACATGTGAGGTGTCTTGGGGGATAGCTTACCCAGAATATCCTTGCCCTCAAGAGCCAGCGGAATAGCCTTCGCCTGCACGGGAGTAGGCTTGGTGAACTTTTCTTTAATCAGGGCCTGACGCAGGCGCGGGTCGAGGTTGAGAGTCTCGAAGTCGGCATCCTGCTCCTCGGTGCCCTTGGGCTCCGGGGACGGAACATCATTGGCATCCAGTTTGCGTTTCATATTTGCTGTGTTGCTGTAATCTGAAGGCGAAAGAATGATTTAGGAAATCTCGGCGGGCGGTGAGATTTTTTTTGGGCGGTGACCGATTCTACGGTGCTGACTGATCACATAGATCACTGATGTGGAAAAGCCAAAATAACTTGCACACGACATCAATCGTTAAAATAATGACAAAAACCCCATATCCCTTGGTCATAAGCCCACGTTCGTCCACCGGAAAATCAAATAGACCAATTATGATGATGTGGAAACCGCGACCTGAAGAGAAATGACATATATCGGGACTACGTCCAGTAATGTCGAACTTGCCGACTTAGCGATCAAACTCTTGCTTGACATAGGCACTTGATCGAGCCGCTAATCCATCCGTAACTGTAGCCAATGGCAAGACCTTCACGTTGTGCCCCTTTTTGTATACTCTTTTTTGCCAAAAATTGAGCCGGACATGGGATCCATTTTCTGGTCAGGCGTTGCCAGTTCGATCTTCACTATATCTTTGGTTGTTTTCGACTCGCTTCTCTTTATCGTGACTGGTAACTGCCAGTACACGGCGGTATGCTTGCTGCAATCCAGAACCACCTTTGCAACACCCGATCCGCTTACGTTTTGATGGGGCTATTTATCGTTGGCAACCGTTTCAGAGCATGTTTCGGTGGAATGACTTCTATGCACTATGAGCAGCCTGTTTGCTCTTTGTTTACAACCATGTATCAAATGCTGCTATATATCGGCTCTCGATATTTGCCCTTGGTGTAAGTCGGGGAAGCCCGGCATTTTCACGCCATAGCATGGCAAAGATCTATTATCAGTTAGTAAATATGGAACTCGTTGTAGGATACCGGGTCACAGTTTGTTGATCTTGGACGAATAGCGAAGCAGAGGTTGGGTGGGATGAAGTCCTCTGGGCTGGTTCACCAGAAGTTTTGCGCTTTTTCTATCTTTGTTTTTTGCCTCAGACAGATAATATGACTTTACAGAGTGTGGACTTTATTTACTGCCAGATATCATGTTATATGTGGGGGGCTATTATTAGGTTGGGCAAGCCGTTTGAAGCTGTTGCCTGCTTCTCGCGGGTATTTGCTTAAGATACTTTGGCGTCCAAGGGCATCCTTGAACGGTGGAAGACGGGAAATAAAATATTAGAAGATTCGGATTCAAATCCATTATAATACTCACTATTTTTATTTTTTTTTGTGCTTTCTTCTTTATTACGAGATATATGACCCAACTCGTGGTCCGAAATCTCCCTCACTCCATACCGCGATATCCTCGGATGTGGGCCGATGATGTCGATTTCCGAGACCCGGACAAACGGGCATGTGCTTGACCGGACCGGCAGTTGCAATAACCTTCCCGTTCGTGTCTTGCCCCTAACTTCTCTTCTGCATATTTGACTGTACATCATTCTTGCATCTCGACCCCGAAATCCATCGGTATAAATCAAGGCACCTCGGACCCGTACCCCGCAATGGCGTCTCTTAATGAACAGCTTTCCACGTTGGTTGAGAACTACACAGCTTGCGATGTAAGTGACCTGCAATGGACTCTCCATAAAAATTACTATTCAGCTGAATGTCAATACTCTTCTCATGGTTATTAACATACTCTACTCCGCAGGTATCAGATGCTCTCTTGAAGCTACAGAAAGTGCCGGAAGGCAGTGCACCCCGAGCCGGCTACCTGGCTGATTTGAGTAAGATAACCTAGGGGTCTTTGGGATGCCCCAGTTGAGCTCTTTACAATCAATACCACGAGGCACACCTTGTCTTTTCATGCCAGCGCATTGCAATAGAGCAATAGTGCACCTACTGATCTGACTGACCAGCCCCCTTCTCCCCGCAAGTCGGAAGAAACGACACTGCGCGAAAAGTCGCGGCACCAGCAACGACGTTCAAGTTCTTGCCGAAGAGCGCCAGTCCGCCGTCAATCGCCACGGAGAATCCCGAAAAACACGGGTTCCCGCCGGGCAAGCACTGGGTTGACTATGCAGGAGACTTTGCCGCGGAGGATCCGTCCAAGGCGGGCTCGATTATCGTCATTGAGCAGCCGGGTGATCAGTACTGCGCTGTAACGGGTGGGATCATGGCGACGCGCATGAAGGTTCTTGGTATCAAGGCTGCCGTCGTGGGTGGTCGAGTGCGTGACTTGAGAGAATTGCAGGCGACCGAACTTCCGGTGAGTTTATTTACCCGATATTTGATATTCCGACATTTTGACTAATTCTTGTCGCTAGATCTGGGCTCGGGCCACTTCGACTGTAGGTACAGGTGCCGAAGCGAAAGCGGGTGTGCGGAATGTTCCTATTTCCATTGGAGGTGTGACGGTTGATGCAGTAAGTGTGAACACTTCGTCAACATTATTGGTGAGCTTGAACTAAACGGCTACATTTAGGGAGATATTGTTTTTTGTGATCCCATGGAAGGGGTGGTTGTCATTCCTCGCGACTTGCTTGGCCCCGTTCTCGAGCTCATGCCGAAGTTAATCAGTATGGATGACCAGGCAAAGGAAGCCGTAGAGCAAGGAATGACTGTCACAGATGCATTCAAGAAGTTTCGGTGATAGACGGACTGTTTTACTAGTCTCCTAGTTGGCACATACATTCACAACTCTAAGCCTTACAAAGTAGACAATACTGTTTTAAAGAGCAATGAGCAATCTTGAAGTGAAAAATGTACATGAAATTCAATCTCGTGGTATCTTCGAAGGTAGTCAATACATCAAAGAATTTGTGGATCTAAAAATCCAAATCGCTGTGCAGTGTAAAATGAAAGACGGGTCCGCATTTACTCGGCAACCCAGACGGCAGCCATACCCATACCAGTGCCAACACACATGCTAGTGACACCGATCTTTTTGTTGGTGCGCTTGAGCTCGGTCAGAAGCGTGCTCACCTGGCGAGAGCCTGTGCAGCCAAGAGGGTGACCGAAGGCGATAGCACCACCCTTGGGGTTGACCTTCTCTTGGGGCAGACCAAGCTCGTTGACACACCACACGCACTGGGAGGCAAAGGCCTCGTTGATCTCGTAGATGTCGACATCATCCTTGGTGATGCCGGCCTTCTCAAGAGCAACGGGGATGGCCTTCCAGGGGCCGATACCCATGAGCAGGGGCTTGACACCGACAATGCTGGCGGAAACGTACTTGCCAATGACCTTCTGGCCCAGGCGCTCGGCAGTGGAGCGCTTCATGAGCAGGACGGCGGCGGCACCGTCGGAGATCTGAGAGGCGTTACCGGCGTGGATGGAGCCGTCCTTGGCGAAGGCCGGGCGGATCTTGCCGAGGGACTCGGCGGTGATACCGTCACGGATACCGTCATCGGCCTTGACGGTGATGGTCTTCTCCTCGCCGGACTTGGGGTCGGTCCACTTGACCTCGAGGGGAGCAATCTCCTCGTCGAAGAGGCCGGCCTTCTGGGCCTTGAGGGCCTTCTGGTAGGAGGCAGCGGCGAAAGCATCCTGAGAGCTACGGGGGATGCCGCGGTCCTTGGCCATGTTCTCGGACAGGACACCCATGGGGACCTTGCAGTTGGCGGACTCGGGGTGATTCTCAAGGAGCTCAGAGAACTCGGTGACGGCACCGGGGCCGTACTGAGAAGACATGCTCTCAACACCAGCACCGATACCAACATCGATCATGCCAGACTGCAGAGCATTGGCAATGTCAACGATGGCCTGCAGACCGCTAGAACACTGACGGTTCAGAGCCTTGACAGCGGTAGTCTCGGGGAAGCCAGCGACGAGGGCAGCGGCACGGAACTCAGTAGCACCACCACCGGGCGGCAGGACGGAACCGACGGCAACATCCTCAACGACGTTGGGGTCGATGCCGCTCTTGTTGATCACGGCCTTGAAGACACCGGCGAGCAAGTCAGCAGCAGCGGTGTCCTTGAAGCCACCCTTGCCACCCTTGGTCAGGGCAGTCCGCAGAGCACACGTCACGACAATATCATCGGGGTGTTTCTCGGTGATGGAGGCAGCTCCCTTCTTGCCGGCGGGGCCGAAGTGGGAGGAAACCTGGTTCAGGCGTTGCTGAGCTGGAGATGACAGTTAGCTCACACATTCCAACAAAGCCGTACGCTGCATGTGGCAGCTGTTCTAAAGCAGCACGAGTACTTACCTGAAGACATGACGTCAATGTGAGATAGATAAACCTGGGGATATGTTGGGGAAGGAGGGGAAGGAGGGATAGAAGCACAAGACGAAATGAAGAACACAAATCGCGATTTAGGGAGAAAGACGCTCTTATAAAGCAAGCCCGTGGATCCGGTTGTATTTCCCTTGTCGCAGGGTCGGCCGTTGCTCACACCTTAACAAAGTGCCGAGGTCCATCGCAACATCGTTGATCCGGCCCCAGTCACGGGATCACCGACGCCCGCCGCATGTGAAACATGTGAAACGCGCAACTTTTCTCGGTTCCTCACGTCATGCTGGTCGTCTTGTACCGATCGGGGCCTTGCCCGAGCAAGATCGTCTCGGCACCTTCGCGCCACGGTCTGAATGTGATCGCTCAAGGCGCTCCGAGCTACATTCTCTACATTCTCGGGGCCCCTGATTGTGGAGACCCCGGGACCCCGGTGTCTTGCACGACCCGTGGACCTTTATTATGAGCCATTATTACCACGGTTGTCCTTGACATGTGTTTATGCTATACCTTAGATCTCATACTTTTCCTAATAATGCAATTCTTTTCTTCCCACATCTTTGATCTGATAATTGTCGACCGCACTAACTAGCGCCGGCCTGAAACAATGCCTTTACTTCAGCGCTACGGGCCGTCTTGCCGCTCACTGACTTAGATTAGAAGTGCAGAAGTACTGCTCTGAAACCAGAATAGCATCATTCATTCGATAATGTTGTCCGATACTTTTCTGCAGGATACGGCGCCAACAACGGCGCCAACATCAGCGCCTGCTCTTACGCCGCGGGCCTGTGTTGTCCCGAGCTGAACTGCTGTATTTAAGAATGACGCCCTCCTCGCGATCTTTTGAACTGGGCAGCGATCGTTATCCTGGCTTCGGGCTTTTCAAGATATCATGTCCAACTCGGTTGACGTCCAGTTCGATGTGAGCAACCTGACACTATTGGGTTTGGGATCCTTCACGACAGTGCTCGGTGCACTCTCCGCAGACGATGTGCAACCTACGGCCATGATCCAGCTGGAAAAGCTGGGTGCTTCATTTCCTATCAGCGGACCGCTCAGGGCACAGATCCCCGATCACCTCCAGCGATGCAGAAGTCGACGTTTGGAACGCCTCGGTGTGACCATCGGCTGGAAGAAGGGTGATGCTGCTTCTCTGATGTCCCACTCGTCTGGTGGACAAGCCGTTGCGCTGTTGGCAACATGTCTCGAGAATGTGTACGGCGACGATTCCACGGCGACCATCTTCTACAAACTTTCCAAAATCTTGCTACCGAACTCCGCCCACCTCAGCAGTCCTAAGCAGTTGCAACGAGCCACTGTGATCCTTTCTCAAAAGCTAGGAGTTATTGGATTTGGGACCATTCTTGCTAAGGAGGTGTGTCGTATACACGAGGCTTATGGATACTTTCCCCAGAAAGCACCGCCGAGCCTTTTGTCAACGTTGAGCCAGGACGGAATGGTTGATATCTTGTCCAAATTCTCCCGAGCTATACGAGAAGACAAATGCATTGTTCGTGTACGAGGTTGCGCCAGTATAGCATACATTACAGCACTTGCTGTGACTGTATTCTCCGATGATTGTATTGTCACAGTCGAAAACTTGATCATTCATCAAGGATCCCGGTCTTCCTCTATTACCATCGAAATCACGGATTCTCTCGGGCACAAGGCGCTTCAAGTGCAACTTATGGGGAAGATTGAATCACTTTTTGATATACCCGTAAGGCCTACTCAGCCTTCGCGTACGTTGAAATTCTCTCGAGAAGCTCCTTTCGCTGCATACATGCAACTCTATCTGCAAGAATGGGGACTTATTTGTTCGCCATCTGCCCTCATAGCAATGGGTGTCTGTATCCTCTCCCTCTCAGACTTGATTTTCATATCCTTGGGTGAGCGCTCCGGAACGCGGTCACATGTTTCAACCAATCTCTTCGGCTTGCTTTTTGGTGAGCGTTCCCGGTCTACTCTTCACCAACGCTGTGAGACTGCACTGGGAGTTTCATTGCCCTTCAAATGGCCGTCTTTTTCGGAAACATTGCTGCAGCTGAAAAAGTCTCTCGCAAAGTCAAACCAAGTAAAGAACTTCGCATCACTTGTCGACAATACAAACTTCCACGGTGACCCATCAGATGCACTTCTTCGTATTATAGATGAAGGAGTTGCAAGCATGGCAGTACTTCCTCACGAGGGATCTATCTGGCAAGCCCATTCTGATCGCGAGATCTGGTATCCCTCTGATGCGGTTCAAAACCGGGGCGTCAAACAGGTTACATTGACCCCAAGAGAAGTTTTGTACAAGTTATTCTCTTGGGATGATATGAATTTGGTCGTCAAATCACAAGGCACAACAACCCTTGTTCCATCCAGTATCCTGCACCTCGGCAGTAATTTGAACGACCTGAACGATAACCGTGGTCTTGAGCTTATGGACGGGCTTGTCTATCATGAGAATCGATACCACAGCCGAGTTTTTGCCGAGATCGATTACAATCTCTGGACACAACAATCTAATCAATCTTGTTCGAAGATGACACCAGTGGACGTTGTCTATCCAACCAAGGATGGTGTTCACTCGGGCCTCTCATTGGCAATTTTAGAGCATATTCAAGGATTGGCATTAGAATGTTCTGTGACTGTCGGGGGAGAGAAGAAATCTATCAATCTTCGAGAACGGGTGGATCAACTCTTTGGACTTCTCGATGCTTACCCTTGCAAGCATTCAAGAAAGGCCCCTCTGAGGAAAGAATACGTGGGTAAAGTACAGACCAATTCAGTTCTGACAGCCGATGGACGATCCGGTGATCACATTTCAATCGTGCAGACAGCTGGAAATCCAACTGCGCAGTTCTTGTCCTTGACGAAATGGGAATCTGCAATCCTCTGCAGCAGGTGTTGTCTGAACTGTGCATACGAGCAAGCTCGGGAGAAGGAGATTCATAAGATCATTGTCGCGTGAGTGGCAGTAACGAGGGAACAATGTACTACAGGAGCTTATCAGCGATTAGTATAACTTTCACTTTTTGAAATTCTTGTGAAGAGATTATAATTCAAATTTGTTACACGTAACGTCGCTACACTCAATCCTTTTTGCCTTGACTTTACGTACTGACATGCCCACCCAGGTATGGGATGGGACCAGAAGAGATCGGCAAAATAGGGAACGGTATGCAACTAAGTAAAGAACTCCTTACGGAAGTGAATTAGATCAAATTATTGAAACAAATTGCGTTCATAGGATGATGATAAAGGAATTATAGGAAGGAACTCTCTCGATCTGACTACTGCCCCTCACCGCTTTTATCAGAGCGATGAGGGTTCTATCTGTTAGAATCACCTATCTAGATACCCATACTTTTATCTACCACATCCCTATTAACAAGGAATTACAGTTGAAGCAGTCCTAAATCCTTTATTAAATCCTTATTAAATCCTTCCTTGTATACCATACTCTCCCTCCGCGAGAGCCGCTAACTCACGAGATTCTTTCTGCACAGGCAGATCGCATCTTCTGGGTAGGGTGCGCTTCAAGCCATTTTCACCTTCTCCCACCGCATCAAAAGCCCCGACACGAGTATTGCCGCCGCTGCAACGGCTGATAAGATGTAGATTTTCGCGAGGGTGCTGGCGATGGCATCCGATGCGATGGCGCGCACCTCCGGGGTGCTTTCGTTGATAATGGGCGAGTATCCGCCGCCCAGGGCCTCGTGGATTTGGGCGGAGGTATAGCCCCTCCCGCCGAGGGCGCTCTGCATAGTGTTGAAACCGACATTGTGAAACACGGACCCTGCTATCGCTAATGATAGGGCGGCGCCGCCCAGTTGCGCCACGTTGATGAAGCTGAGGACCGAGGATGCCTTTTCCATTGGAGCCTTGACAAGAGCGATTGCGTAGGCGGCTTGGAAGGTCAGACCACACCCGAACCCTGCCAGGACCTCAAATCCATAGATATCCCTTGTAGGTGTTGTAGGGTCGATTCGCGCTAGGAGCGCACCCCCGACCAAGGCAATTACGCCAGAAGCGGTGTACCAAGCGGCGTAAAGGTTGTATTTCGGTAAAAGAGCACCAGAGAGCATAGTGGCAAATATTATCAGACACACAAAGGGCAGAAGCCGAACCGCGACCTCCATAGGGTTAATTCCGGCGGTGAATTGGAAATAGAGAGGCAGATAGTAGATGTCGACGTTCAAGATGGCGCTGGTGCCCGCAGTCCCGATAAACAACAGGACGAGCGACCGGCTTTTGAGGCACCACACGGGAAAGATGCGATCTTCCTTCGTCGTCAAGAACGCGGTCCATTGTTGCAGCGCAAAAGCCAGGACGACAACACCCGTCATGACCCAGAGGGTGATGACGGTGGCCGAGTTCCACTCCCACTGAGAGCCGCTGAGCGTACACGAAGTGACGAAGAGGGAAAACGTGGCGGCATTGAGCAAGGCGCCCAGCCAGTCCAGGTTCTTGATGCGCGGAAGTATTGGCTCGTGGCGATGTGCGCCGTAGCGCGGAAACCAGAGGATGTAGATCGGGGCAGTGACGGCCCCGATAACGAGGTTGATATAAAAGGCCCTTGAGTTTATTATTAGTTGAAGATGAAGATAGAAGAAACATTTCTTTTATCAGCACTCACCATCGCCAAGTTGCTTTACTCTGAGCAAATGCACCACCGATGACGGGTCCAAGGATAGCGCCTAGGCCCCAGAATCTAATTACGCTTGTCAGTTTCAAATAGTTCCGCCTTCAAAGGCTTAGTCAATGGGAGAGACGTACGTGCCGATTAAAGCAGTGTAGAATGGTCGTTTAGCTGGAGTCACAAACATCGAGATGTAGTTCACACCTCTTTTCTCGATGGTCAGCCTTCGACTTGTCGCCAGTGGCATTGTCATTTAGGAGGTGGAAGATGCACTTACCCAAGATAGATACCAGAGCCGCCTATTCCTGCCACAACTCGACCGACAGCCATGGCACTCATATTGGGAGCTGAACCGCAGATGGCACTGCCGACCTCAAAGGTGAGGATACTACCCAAGTACAGCCATTTGACCTCGATCTTGTTGTACAGCGAGCCGAACAGCGAGATGGTGGCCACAGAGCCGAGCATAAATCCAGTGCCGATCCATGGCAGCAGGTTCAGGTTGCCGAGGGAAGCCAAAACGGGGCCCTGCACGGAGGCGGAGATAGTCGAATCCAACCCGTATAGGAAAGCAGTTGAGTACAGCCCAACGCAGACGCTGAACCAACGAAGATTGCTCATTTGTTCGACTGCTTTGACGGCAGCTGCCTCGTGCTCTGGCGTGGCCGAGCCAGCGGTGTCGGTGTCGGTAAGGAGCTCGGTAAAGGGCGATTGACCGTCAGTGGCTGGTGGCTGCTTTTCAGGGACATGTCGCGAAGAAAGCTCGCTGCCAGACTCGAGATCTGAGCCCATCGTGGCGTGCGTGCAACAGCAAGACACAGAACTGATGATTGTGGGAGATTGAGACGATTACAAGGTACCAAACGAGCGGATGGGAGCAGGAGGCTAAGGAACGGGCTCCTTGCGGAAGTGACAAGATGGGGCGAGCAGTGCAACATTGTGTGCCTGAAACTATTATAGTGGTCAAATCGGGCGTTGCGCCGCTTGCTTTAGGCGTAGCGTGGGTCCTTCGGCCTCTTTCAAATTGGGTGTTTCGCCGCTCTCTTTCCGGACCCGTTAGGTATTTGTCCGACCTGCCAATCGTTTCACCATGAGCGCCAGAACAGTGGTGCCAGTTAAGATGGCATTTAATCTACTTGATATTGGGATCGGAATCGTTTCTTCTGCAAGGCTTTGAGACGAAATTGAGACTCGATATTAACTCGGAGTCAGTGTGCGATAGAGATAGACATCGTCTTTCACAGTCGCCTATCATGTCTCCCTACATGGAGTACATCATGCATCCAGACATACACCTGCTCACTTTCATCGCTGGTGCTCTCAGCTATGTTACATATTTCTTTCATGGAGAGCATCACATGTATGGCTTCGCTTACATCCAAGCTCACACCGTCCTGTTTGCAATTTCGACCTTTCTGCTGTATCGACTGGGGTCACCGCTGGTAGAGGCCTTGTTGCAGACACTCGTGTATGATGGGTGTTTTCTGGCCGGTTTATTTGGCACCCTTCTCGCGTATCGCGCTTTTCTGAACCCGCTCAACGCCTTCCCTGGACCTTTCATCGCCCGCATCGCCACGTTTTGGATCTCGTTTCGCATCAAGAGACTACGAATGTATAAGGCCTTTGAGGAGCTGCACCAAAAATACGGCTACTTTGTGCGTGTTGGCAGCCAGGAGATATCGATTACGCACCCGGATGCCGTGGTAGATATCTTCGGGGCCGATTCAGTGTGTCAAAAGAGCACATGGTACGATATCAGCAAACCACAAGACTCAGTACTTCTTCGCCGGACATTTGCAAAGCACTCCGAACGGCGAGCCATTTGGACTAAAGCCTTCTCTGTCAAGGCAGTCAGGGGCTACGAGACTCGATTCCATCCATACAGAGCCAATATGCTTTCCCAACTCGATGATCACGCCGGACAACCTGTAAATATAACCCACTGGCTGGGGTTATATTCCTGGGACTCTATGAGCGACCTATCATTTGGACATTCGTTCGGCTTGCTAGATTCGAAGGACCATCATTGGGCAATGAAGGTCCTCGACAAAGGGATGAGTATCATTGGTCGTCATCTGCCAATGTGGTTTGTCCGTCTTGGGAGCTCGGCTCCCGGCGGTAACAAGGACCTGAAGGCTATGTTCAAATATTGCCACGAGCAAATGCTTCTAAGATATAATGTCTGTGCTCCTCGTTCAGTTAGACGTTATGAATTTGAAATCTAACCAGCGTCAAACAGGCCAAGACTGAGCCCAAGGTGCCGGACGTGATGAGTACCCTCTTTGTGCCATATAAGAAAGGGGTTCTGCCTTTCGATGATACCGCGGAACAACTCCTGGCTGGAGAATCACACCTACTTGTCAACGCTGGAAGGTAAGGCGCAGAAGACATAAAATATTTTACAAAGCAATTTACTAAACACGCCATTTAGCGATACTTCGAGAATCACCATGATTTGCACCTTGTTCGTGCTTGCTCAACAACCTGAGCTCGCCAACAGGCTCCGGAAAGCATTGGAACCCCATGTTCCCCAAAATCCCGACGAGATGCTGATGGATGACCAAATCATGAACATTGACCTTCTGAATGGTATTGTTCAAGAAGCTCTTCGCCTGTACCCACCCAGTCCTAGCCATCCGACCCGGGTGACTCCTCCCGAGGGCACTATGATCGCTGGTCGATTTATCCCGGGCAACACGCAAGTGATGGCCCCTCAGTACGTCATCGGACGAGGTAAGTAGTTTCTTCTATCTCAAACTATCTGCTTTGGTATATATCGTTTGACACAATTATCACAGACGATCGCATCTTTCCCCGGGCGACTGAGTTCATCCCTGAACGCTGGTACAGCCTCCCGGAGCTGGTCACAGACAAGAACGCCATTGCGCCGTTCTCACTGGGGCCCATGAACTGTGTCGGAAAGCGTCTTGCGTTAGCCAACATTCGAGTTACTGTGGCGTCGTTCGTCATGCGCTACAACCTCAGCTTCCCCCCGAACCAAGCCGACCCAGAAGGCGTTTTCGAAGATGGCTTGTATGAGCATTTCAGTTTGCAATCTGGCCCCTTGATGTTGTGCTTGGAGAAGCGACACAAGTAAGCGACTAGGAAGTCAACTCTTGAAACCCGAGTTCAAATGGAGGTGCGATGGTTGGTAGTTATGACAGGTTGGGTAGCTCATGGCCTGGTTACCAATTTGATGCAAATGGCTATAGACCCAGTCTTCTAGTTGCATGATACGGTACAATGCAAACAAGCTCAGTAGTGGTCATTTAAATATATAGCAAATTCTATACTGCCTTGAAGCCAGATACATATTGATTGTCGATAAGCATAGTACGCCTCTGTACCATCATTACCAGCACTGCTCTGAAGCGCTTCAACGCCGCCCGGGTGGTCCGAGCTGAAGTTGGTGAGATAGTACACTAGGAAAGCTCGCCAGCTGTGCACCCAGGATATCAGGCTGTGGAAAAGCATTGGCGTACCACAGCCATGAACCGCTATCCATACCGAGTCTAGAGTCCCATGGTCGGCTAACTGTTCAAGTGTGATGATACTTCGCTTTTCTGAGTAGTTGTGGACGCCATCGCCATTCTGTTATGGAGCGACAGAAAGATCTTCGACAATAGCTTTGTAAAGGCAACATCTATTCGGTGCTTCAATGTTGTTCATCTGTCTTGGGCTGCAGGTGTGGTGGAGGTAAGCAGGCTGCGCTTACTAACGGCCGGCTTCCCAAAACGATCTTTTGCCGTGGTTCCAAAAGGGTAATCTGTAGTGGATGGAATCGCTACAGATATTCAGCCTAGCCCAAAACGTGTAAAAACCAAGACTATTTGAATGGTATATCTATGGTAATATTTACTAACGTGTACCTTTCAAGTGCTCTGAAATTCAGCCAAAACCTAGCAGAAACAAGCTGTTGTCGTCAAAGCAGTATGTTGCTTAGGACTATTCGCACGGTATCAAACGCACCGGCTTTGTTGATTAGCGATAATCCAGGAGGCTATAAAATTGCTTTGGGTAAGGCGCTTGGTACATTGGGATGCTTGGGTGACGCTGAGCCGGCGCATGGGCATCGCGAATCCGGCCGAGTCTGATTGGGAGGCCACTATATAATAGCTCTCTGGCTTTTACGAAGATGGTAATGGCACTAAACAGAGTGGTAATTGAATGAAACGGACTTTCTAAATTTAGCACTCTCCTTATACCATTGATTGTAGGATTGCACAAATCATACTTGGTACTTCGCAGTCGACGAGAGTTTTTGATGAACTATCAGTACTAGTTTCATAGCGTGCGCTTTTGTATGATTGATGAACTGATCGAAGAGCAGCTCCGTTAGGCTTGTTAGCGCAAACGGTGAGAGTATATCCAGCCAGCTAAACGTAGACAAAGGTGATGTCAAGGTTGCAGCATATTTCCCATTGCAACCCCCTTCATCCCATTTTCATCGAGGCCGAGAAAGAGTATTCAGATCAACACCACGATTTTTCCATGCCCTAGACCTCTAGAATGAGCCGATTCATACGCTTCCCGCACGTCGTTGAGAGACACCGTTTTCGCTACACGCCCTTTTATGTTTCCCTTCTCAACGTGTTCCGTGATGCGCGCCATGCTGTCCCTCGACGGCTCAGCAATCATGTACAGTGCCCGGACGCCTTCTTTCCCTTTGCTGATTCCTTGCTCCTTGTGCGCTTCTCTGTACCCCCAGCTGCACGCGTCGAAGGACAACAGGGTGCCGCCGTCTTGCTTGACGACGTTCCAGCAGTCTGCGAGAACCTGGAACCCAACGGAATCCACAACCACGTCGACCTTGTCCAGAGCGCCAAAGTCTTTGTAATCCACCACTTCGTGGGCACCGATGGAGCGCAAGAACGACTCGTTCTGCTCGTTGGAGCTGGACGCCGCCACGACGTGATGTCCAGCTAGAGCGGCAAACTGCACGAGAAACGTGCCGATGCCACCGGCAGCGCCGGTGATCAGAACCCTCTTTTGTCCACCGTTCCCCGCGGCTGTTGTCTCGAGTCCAACATGCCTGAACAAGGCCTGGTCAGCCGTGAGAGCACTGCCGGGAATTGCGGCGGCCTCCTCCCACGACAGATTGTCCGGCTTCTTGACGGCTTCTTCCGTCGTGACGATGGCGTACTCGGCCCATGCACCCCCGCGATTGGCATGCGTCATGCCGTACACGTGGTCGCCGACATGGAAGTCCTGCTCGCTGTCATGAATGGCAACGACGATGCCAGAAAAGTCGTTTCCCAAGGTAGCATGGCTCGGGGGGTACAGTTCGTTCCACTCGAGGTTGTCCTTGTACACGGTAGAGGCTTTTACTTGAACTAGTAATTCGCCAGGCTTTGAGATTTGTGGTTTGGGTACGTCATCGTGGATTTCAATGGCTGAAGACGGAGCTACATTTCCAGGGAAACCGTAAGGCGTACCCTCAGGGGACGTAGGTCGAACTCGTGCAGCTCTCATGGTTCTGGTCCCTTTCTTGGTCTGAGATATGGTGGTGGGATAATGAATCCAAAATTAAAGTCATTCAGGAAAGATAAAGATATGGGTTGAATAAGATCGTAGGGTTGTTGTGGTATGTCTTTGTCTTGTATTCAATGCCGAGTCGGGGCTGACTGGCATCAATATCGGCATTTTGCCAAATTGGGAGTGTCCGCCAATTTTTTACAAACTAGCTCGTCTGGGCCTCAACCTATTAAATCTCCGGTGACCCTTTCTAGTTAACTGCTTGCGGTTGATTCAATTGATTCGAAATGTTCTTCTTGTCTTCTATTTTACACCACCCTGTCGCTGTACAGCACCTTGGAAACTACAGAAAGGAATCCTGACTTGTAATTTCTCTACCTCTCAAATTGTGAGGAGTCTGTGTAGATCTATGCCTGGGTTATAGCCCAGTCTATTTTTCGAAGTACAGCTTTGATCTCGGTTTGTTTCTTTGGCAGATCATGCAACCCACTATGTAAAACTGTTTTTGACATGGACTCGTCACATGTGCTGCGGGATAGCTCGGCCATTTTGATCATGTACGAAAAGTCGTTCCGACCCCACACGTGGACAGTTGGAATTTGAATCTTTTGTGCAAGCGCTGACGAGTACAGGATCCGAGGAATGGCATGAAGCTCTCCGTGGCGATATATGTCCAAGTCCGTCCACGGGAACTTCGAATCTCGGGTAGCGGCGTCGACAATTGTCCGATGTAGAATCTCCACAAACTCTTGCTCTTCGCTCGTCAGATCTTTGCCGTAGCCCTCTGATCGATCCGTAATATCATATTTCATAGCTCGAAGGTGTGAAATAACGGTGGACCCCAAACTTGCATCAGGGCTACATGGCATGGCAGTCGAGAAAAGACATGCAAATTTGACTGCGGCCGGGTTGCCGGCTGCTTGCTGCTGATAGAAATATGACAACGTCAAGGCCGAACCCTGACTGAACCCGAAGATGCCATCAAAGGGGCCTTGGTCTTCAAGAATTTCTTCGAGGTCACCGATTGCCTGTGCTACGTCGTCTGGAGAATAGCCTTGGGTGTGGGAATAGTATGGGCCGGGCTGGTATTCCGAGACGCCTATATGCTAAAGTGTCAGCGGGATGAAGATGAGAGCCGTCACAGAGTCTACTTACCAGGTCCTCTCTCAGACTCAAACGGTCCGTCTACAAAGACAAGCTCGAAGCTGGGATCCAGCTCCCGCCGCAGATTAGACATCTGCTTTTCGAGAATGGCGCCGGAGCTACCAAACCCGTGCAGACACAGGATTCTCATATTGTTCGTAAAGTATCGAGTGCAACTCTACCCGGTATTCAAAGAGTTGATGGTCGGTAGGTTAACCTAGTAAGGTGGGATAAAGAACTTCCAATGAATATTGCCATTCAGACCATCGCTTACTACCTGAAGTGGATGCTTCCTTCTGGCCCGTCTTAAAGAAGTGGAGAAACCCCCTAATTTATAACGGGCCGCGAGCAATGCTGGGTTTCTCCGAGTTGAGGCTACCCAATTAGTGAATGTAATTTTGCCATTCAGACCATCGCTACTACCTGAAGTGGATGTTTCCTTCTGGCCCGTCTTAATGGAGCGGACAAACCCCCTAATTTATGACGGGCCGCGGGCAATGCTGGGTTTCTCCGAGTCGGCGCTACCTAATTAGTAAATGTAATTTTGCCATTCAGACCATCCACATTGCCTAACCCGGGCACCTCGCCGTCGTTCGGTTACGAGAGACTGGAACCCAATCAGTGAACGGGGCTCTTGAAAATATATTGAAAAATGAGAAGCGAGATGTCTCAACTCAGTCTCCAATGTATATACAAATTTCATAAGAAGCAGGTCTGCTACCGGCTTCCATAACCTTCTTCACGATTGCCATCCTCTTCCTTTTTAGGTTCCTAGTCCATTGGCGTTCCTTTTCACCAGTTTTGCACCATGGAATTATCAAATCCCGATAAGCAGGAGCCTATCGCCATTGTTGGAGTGGGATTTCGCTTTGCTGGCGGGGTGTCGTCCCTGGGCTCACTATGGGATATGATCAGCAATGTCAAGACCGGTCATGGTCCAGTCCCCAATGATAGATGGAACAGCGAGGTGTGGCACCATCCTGATCCAGACCGCAAAGGAGGAATCGGTCCACAGCATGGATACTTCCTTGACCAAGACATCAGCCACTTTGACGCCCCCTTCTTTTCGGTAACAGCGAAGGAGGCTGCCTCCATGGACCCGATGAAGAGGATGCTACTGGAAGTGTGCTACGAAAGCATTGAAAATGGTAGGTGATATGAGCCGTCCAGTTTGTTCAACCGAGAGTTAATCTGAGTATGAGCCTTTAGCTGGCATCCCAGTCGAGGATTTGATGAACAGCCGTACGGGATGCTACGTCGGTTGCATGACAAACGACTACGAAATGATCTCCTTGCACGATATTTACGACATCGGACATCCCGCAGCAACGGGTCTAAGCGAAGCCATGACCGCCAATCGCGTGTCATGGTTCTTTGGCCTCAAAGGCCCCAGTTTGACGCTTGATACCGCTTGCAGCTCCTCACTATACGCTCTTCACCTTGCATGTCAGTCACTTCGGCTGAAAGAAACGAATATGGTAAGTTGGGACAAAAACACGCATTTGGGCACGCGATGTTGATGGCTTACTTCATTCCTGTAGTCTCTCGTCACTGGAGTCAACCTTATGATTAACCCCAACACCTCACACCAGCTGACTGCCATGCACATGCTCAGCCCCGATGGTATCTCTCACACATTCGATGACCGTGCCAATGGCTATGGTCGTGGCGATGGCATTGGGGCCATGGTTGTCAAGCGTCTGTCGGATGCCATTCGCGACGGCGACACCATCCGCGCCGTCATCCGCGGTTCGGGTGTCAACGCTGATGGCAAAACACCCAGTGTTACGCAGCCAAGCGCTTTAGCACAAGCCGACCTGATAAATCAGACTTACGACGATGCAGGTTTGGACCTTTCAGAAACAGCCTACTTTGAATGCCACGGCACAGGGACGCCGATTGGCGACCCTCTTGAATTGACCGCCATCGCCCAGACCCTCGGTGCGGCAAGACGTGCAGCCGGAAAGCCTCCTCTTCATGTTGGCAGTATCAAGCCTACTGTGGGCCACACAGAGGGATGTGCCGGTCTTGCCGGCGTTTTCAAGTCTATCCTGCTCCTTGAAAAAGGAATGTTGGTCCCCACATACGGCGTGGAACGGGTGAACCCGAAACTCAAATTGAGCGACTGGCATCTTACTCTTCCGCAGGATGTCATGACATGGCCGGCGCAAGGACTGCGTCGCATTAGCGTCAACTCCTTCGGGTTTGGCGGTGCCAACGCTCACGTAATCCTAGACGATGCCTATCACTACTTCCAAGACAGGGGTCTGACTGGGAAGCATAATGTGGACATACATACGTCGGGTTCAGATTCTGGTATCTCGACTACACAATCAAGCGAGCTCGGCCATGGCGCATCGAAGAAGTTGTTCCTCTTCAGCGGCAAGGACCAGGCCGGAGCCCAGCGTGTGTCTGAAGGGTTCGCCACATGGCTGCAAGGTGACGATTCAGACGACAACCACGACATAGCCAGCTTGGACAATCTTGCAAACACACTTGCACTGCGCCGCTCTCATATGGAGCACAGAACCTTTGCTGTTGCCAGTTCGATACCAGAGCTCTCAAAGAGACTATCAAAAGGATTACCAGCAGCCACTCGATCGCAACGTTCTGGCGACAACCTTGTCATGGTATTCACTGGTCAAGGTGCCCAGTGGCCAGCTATGGGACGAGAACTATTCGAGCATCCCATCTTGCGCCAAAGCATTGAAACTTCGCAGACTTATCTCGAGGCTTTCGGCTGCATGTGGAATGCCCTAGAAGAGTTGAGCAAGACGCCCAACCCCAACGTCAACCTTCCGGAGTACAGCCAGCCTCTCTGCACGGTAATTCAGGTCGCACTGGTCGACCTTCTTCATTTCTGGAAGATAACTCCAGCAGCCACCGTGGGACACTCAAGTGGTGAGATTGCCGCCGCCTATGCAGCATCGCTCCTGACACACCGAGACGCCATAAAGCTGGCCTACGTCCGAGGTATCAGCTCTGCCGCCGTCCCTAAAAAAGGTGCAATGATGGCTGTGGGTCTTTCTCAGTACGATGCCCTGATGTACCTTGAGAAGGTCGCTCCCGGATCTGTGGTGGTGGCCTGCGTCAATAGTCCCTCCAGTGTGACACTCTCGGGAGATGTCGACGCCATAGACCAGCTGGAAACCATTATTTCCGCCGACGGGAAATTTGCCCGCAAGCTCAAGGTCACTACCGCGTACCACTCTCCACACATGCGCGATGTCTCGCCAAGCTATCTTGCGATGATTGGCGATATCACGCCCAAGCAGCCAGATGAGACAACAAACAGCAACAACAGGCCAGTCATGTATTCCTCTCTTACAGGGTCTATGGTAACCTCCGCCGAGCAACTGAACGCCCAATATTGGGTCGGCAATATGCAAAATCCCGTGCAATTTTCACAAGCCGTCTTAGCGTTGCTGAAGCACAAGAAATTGGTCCCAGGCGGTACCCGCCCCGTAGCGGTGCAATGGGGAGCTTTCCTCGAGGTCGGTCCTCACGCTGCCCTGCAAGGACCGTTGCGTCAGATCATCGACGTGGCCAACAACAAATTCGCCAAGTCCGCACCTTACGCTTCCATGCTTCTTCGCGGCAAAGACGCAACGGAGACGTCCTTGAACGCCGCCGGGACACTATGGGCTGCAGGCACCAAGGTTGACTTGGCCGCAGTGAACAACCAGCACCAGCACTCAGACACTTCTCAGATGCTTTGCGACCTGCCCACGTATCCCTGGAATCACACACGAAGCTTCTGGCACGAATCGTACTCATCACACGCTTACCGCTTTCCTTCCGAGGTGCGCAATGACTTTCTCGGCATGGCGGAATATTCATGGAGTACCCACGAGCCCCAATGGAGAAACTACCTGCGCATCGCCGAGAACCCCTGGATTGAGGACCACGTAATAACGGGAACCGTGCTCTATCCGGGAGCCGGCATGCTTGTCATGGCATTGGAGGGCGTGCTGCGCACCGCCGACTCCTCGAAGACGGTGGAGGGTTTCCGGATGACGGATGTCACGTTCGAGCGTGCCCTGGTCATCTCGCTAGATGACGAGGTGCCTGTGGAGACGCGCATTAGCTTGCATCCGCACAGCGGCAGACCCGACTGGTGGGTCTTCACCGTCTACTCTATGACCAAGGGCTCGTCGTGGGCAAAACATTGTGCTGGAACCATCGCTGTCGTGTACGAGAAGGGGCCGAGCGAGGTGGAAGAGGGCAATGTGGATGCCTCGTGGCAGAAACAGGTGGCTTTACGCGAGACCCTGCTCTCTGAGCCTGATTCCTCATCTGTGAATGTGGATGAATTTTACAACGATTTGGAGACTATCGGGATGCAATACGGCCCATCATTCCGTAATGTCGTTTCTCTCACGGCAGTGCCATCGAAAGACGCCTCCTACGGTACTGTGGCTGTTCCAGATACCAAGTCGACAATGCCCAGCCATCACGAGTCCTCCCATATCATCCATCCAGCTACCCTGGACTCTATCTTTCACCTGGTGATTGCTTCCCTCGATGCCGGCCGCCCAAAACAGTCCGCGGTGCCTTATGCCATCGAAGACCTGTACATCGCCCGCGATCAGCCACAGGGATCCGGAGCGCTCTACTCTGGCTATGGTCGCTTACTGTCCCAGACCGGTCATGAGATGACCACTGAACTGTTTGTTTCCGATCAGGACTGGGCAAAGCCGAAGCTTACCATCAAAAACTTTGCCCTGCGTCAGGTTACGTCCGATGCTGGCTTGGAGACAGCGGGTACATCATTATCTTCCGGGGCCGCCGTCAAGAACTGCGCTGGGATCACCTGGATTCCGGATCTCTCCTTCGTGACGAGCAACGAGGATCTTGCGGAGCTTGTATTATCATCCGAGAAGAAGGCCCTGTCGGTTGACACCTTTCTCGATTCGGTGTTCCTCAAAAAGTCGGACAACACAGTACTTATCGCCTTGTTTGACGAGGCCCCTTCCAACATTGATGTCCTCTTGGACCTGAAGAACCGAGCGTATGTGCCCAAGAAGATCATCGCCCTGGCCACATCGGAGCCTGGGTTGCAACTTATGCGAGCTGCGTTTGGAGAAGATGCTGAGAACACGACCATCCTCTACAAATGGATGCCGGAGGGCGAACTACTTGAGACGCTGGCCCCAGACGCCATTGATCTCGTCCTCGGCTTGGGAGTTCCCGAAGTTGCTAAGAACGCCGCCGTGCTCGCAAAGCTGGCTCCACTGGTGTGTCTCACCCAAGCTGGTCAGCTACACGAAGACTTCGTCGTGCCCGGGTCGTGCGTTGCCCGCGTCGCCCGGGAGAAGACCTACGTACTGTCCTCGAAAAACAATGGCTCTCTCTCCACCTTGCCTGAGCTGCCGGAGTCAGTGGTGCTTCTCTTGCCTGCATCTCTGTCCGATGCCGGGGAGATATTCGCAGCCACGATTCAGGATAAGCTTACAGGCCTCGGCGTGTCCGTCGGACGAACAAATCTGACGTTGCAGGGTGCCGCTTCCCTCGACGGGAAGTCCGTCATTTCCCTCCTCGAGATTGACAGCCCACTAGTGTATGCCTGGGACGAAGACCAGTTTAACGCCTTCAAGAAGCTCGTCTCCACAGTTGGTCACCTCTTCTGGATTACCCACGGGAGTGTGCTCGAGAGTTGGTCGAACGGTGTGGAATTCGCCACGAGCCAGGGCTTGTTACGAGTGATGCGTAACGAGTACCCCGCCGCCATACTGCCGTCTCTCGATCTATCCACGGTTGCGGATATCTCCAGTGCGCAATACGCAGATCTGGTTACCAACGTTTGGCGAACGAGTCTGGTCGAGGCTGCGGAGATGGAATATGCTGAGCGCAACCGCTTGATCTACGTCGCTCGTGCCACAGAAGATGCTGGCTTCGACAACGAACTCCAGATGGCGGGCAACAACGCTAAGCCCATCTGGTCTGCTCTGGGTGCTCCTGGTAAGCCGCTCAAGGCGAGCGAGTCTGCCAACGACGTTCATGGATATATCTGGATTACTGATGAAGAGGCCGACTCAGCCCCTGAAGATGGTCAAGTTGAAGTCAAAGTTGAGTACGCTGGACTTGGACAGGGCCAAACGCTAGCTTCTGTTCACCACGGTGTTGGCATCGTCACCCGTCTATCTGACTCGGTCAAGTCACTAGAGCTCGGTCAACAGGCCATTGTTTTCTCTCACGCTTCTGCAAGAACCCATGTCCGTCAAAGCGAAGCCCTGGTGGCACCGCTACCGGTTGGCCTTCAACCACAGGAAGCTGTGGCTCTTGTGGAGCCGTTGATAACTGCACAGTACGCGCTAGTGGAGAGGGCTCATCTGAGTCGCGACCAGGCACTGCTGCTCGACCACGCCGCTAGCCCAGTCGGACAGAGCCTGATACAGGTGGCCAAGGCAATTGGTACCGAAATCTTCGCTCTCGTCCACAGCAGAGCAGAGCGAGATATTCTGGCTGATCGGTACGGAGTCCCTACGGACCACATCTTCGACTCGGCTTTGGACAATTTCGTGCCACTCATCCAAGAGGCGACCAAGAACCGTGGGATCGATGTTGTTGTCAGCCAACAAAGTGGCCCGCATGTTGCTGGAGCCATGTTGATTTTGAACGACTTTGGCCAGTTTGTCGACATCAACGGCGAGAGTTCCCGAGTGGACATTCCGGCCTCGAAATCCAACATAACCTTCATTTGCATCGATGTAGCCGCACTCATCAGAGGCAGACCAGACATCGTCTGCAGGCTCTTCAAGCAGGCCTTTATCGAGTACATTCTCCAGGGGCCTTTCCCGCTGACCGTGCTGCCTGTTACGAATCTTTCGGCCTCGGGGAGCAGCATCCAGAACGAGCAGGTCGTCGTGTCCTTGAGCGATACCATGCCGGTACTCATGCCTGCCCCTCGACCAGAGGAGTTGAAGCTCGATAGCGAAGCTACATATGTACTGGCCGGGGGTTTAGGTGCTCTCGGCTTGGACATTGCCAACTGGATGGTTGAATGCGGTGCCAAGAACCTGGTCTTCCTATCCCGATCAGGTGGTTCAAAGCATGCAAAGGCTCTGCAGAAGCTTGCCGACCGCTCTGTACGAGCCGAAGCGTTCGCGTGCAACGTCAATGATGCTGTCAGTGTCGCCACGGTATTTGACAGCCTCAAATCCAGCGGCAGAAGAGTTGGCGGAGTGATCCAACTAGCTATGGTATTGGAAGATGGCATTTTCGACAACATGTCCTTCGAGCAATGGAGTCGCGCGATTGAACCCAAGACAAAGGGCTCACGAAACCTCCTGGCCAACCTCTGGCCTGGTGACAAGCCGTTCTTCATCCTGCTCTCCTCAATCACTGGTGTCATTGGCAACACGGCGCAAGCCAACTACGCATCTGGAAATACCTTTGAGGATGCGTTAGCCCATCATGCGCGTAACCATCTCGGCATCAATGCCACTAGCATCGACGTCGGCTTGGTCTCCGACTCCGCGCACTTTACCACAGCAGGCGAGTTCGGCGACCTCGCTGGCTATCTGTCCAGATACCAGCACGGCTGGCGTGGCCTACAGACGAACCTTCAAGAGCTCGGCGTCGTAATGCGAGCGATCATGCGCGGCTCCACCACCAACGGACAGGGAGTGCCCGCCCAAGTGGTCCTGGGCCTAGGCGACCGCATCGAGCATAACGAGAGCACCGGGGGCTTCTCCTGGGACAAGAAATTCGCGCTCCGTATCGTCAAAGCCGGAAACCAAGCCGGGAACGGCGAGGCGAAGGAAAAGGTAGGCGTCCTCTTGGCCAATGCTACGAGTATGGCAGACGCTGCAGCGGTTGTGGAGGAAAACATCAAGGAGCTGGTCGCCAAGGCCATGGGTGTCCCTTTGGAAGAAGTAGATGCTCAAAAACCTCTCTTTGACTACGGTGGTAAGTGCAATAATCCCCTCTGTCTACACCATAATACTGTAACGACTCGGCTAATATGTTGTTCTTACCGCAGTTGATTCGCTTCAGGCCGTCGAGATTCGAAACCGCGCTCTGAAGAATATGCGCAGTGAGATTTCGGTCTTTGATATTCTCAGCGCCATGCCGCTGGCTGATGTAGCAGCCAAAATTGCAGCCAAGAGTCAGTTGGTCAATGTTACGATAGGTGAAGATGATTAGATAAGTTTGTGTCGGAACGAACAGCCTATGGCCGGAGGGAGGAATTGGATCTGGGCGTGGAGATGCCTGACTGAGGCCCGGTTCCTGTGCCATACATGATTACTGATGGTGGGTATCAAGGAAATCTGCGAGACAGCTGCTGTCGGTACTGGTGCCACTGAGATTGGGCAATCAGACGAGAGCGATCCTGTTCATGCGGTACCTGGGACCAAAAGCAATTCGAACGTAACCTGCAGCGACAAGCTGGGGCGTGCTCCTGAAGGCGAATGGTCAACCCGGAGTTTTACGGCCGTTTGGCGGAGAGAGCAGCTGGTGGACGTGGGCTTCAAGAGATATCACCGCATTACCAGACAAGCTTAATTGAATATATTACGAAGAAAGGAAAAGGATAAAAGTTAATATCGTAGAGGAGGAAAGGATTTCTTGAGGGGAGATGAAAATCTGTGGCAATATCAGAAGTGGAAGAGTGCCAGTGAGGGTGGGAAATACAGGGTCGAGACGGGTCTCCCAGCACAAGTCTTGCTAGACATATAAATGAGGCCCAACAAATTTCAGGGTGGATGATTCTACGTACTTGGCGGACTGTATTGTAATGGTGCGGTAAGGCGGGTATGTCGGCCGTGCAAGTGTGAGTGTAGCTGGTTGTTTGGTTGGCTGGCAGCTCAGTGCATCCTTGACGCAGTAAGCACCCCTTATGGGCTACTGTAGGTAATGAACTTGGTAGCATCGTCGGAAAGACGGAGCCCTGGCTCGCCCATTTAGTTCTGTTGGGGATGGTTGAGCTGTATCCGCAACGGGGGTCAGCGGAGATATCTAAGGAATAGGTATAGTATAGTGGGGGAATAAAAGTTACACTCAATTCAATTAATTAAAGCGTCTCCACACGCCATGCGTCATGATGCCTTCAGTATCCTTTTATTTTAATTTAAAAATGCTTTCAATCACTCTAAAAAAAAAACTAAGGTCGTCAGGATTATAGCGGTGTATGAATCGGGCCGGTCCGCCCGCTTTAACCTCGCATAACATAATTCCAACCGAAGGACAAGAATAGATACGTATGAATTGACTTTTGGCCTTGGCGCAACTATTTCGCCTGCCGCAGGGCACTAATGGAGGTCGCAAATCGAAAACTCTAAACGTAATGCGACCATAGGAACACCACCCTGACCCAGCATTCCAGTATGTCGCCAAGACAGCATTAACTAACTAGTTACGCAGGGGTGCTGACAAAAATATAATCCCGCCGCTATAGTTAATTACCCCAACGGCCTAGGCCGTCAGTCTCGCGGGCAAAGCCATGGGTCGAGCCTTACTTTTGTTTGCTGTGGGACTCAATAAATTCAGGGAATTGAAACTACCAACCCCCCTGTCTCACTTCACACGCCTATCTTTCTGCAGAATTAATTCATCATCCTAGGTTTTTAAGTGTCAGTTTTCCTTAGTTGCAGAGATTTTTAGTTCTGGTTAACGTAGTAAAGCCCCTGACTTTTATCCCATTAAATCGCTCTCGTTTCGCTCTCCTCGCCCTTGACCGCGTCCTGGTGGGTGCCTAAGGCCAGGCCTACGTCGCCCACGACAGCAATGAAGCCTAAGAGAAGGGCGGCTATAGTGCATATAGAAAGAGAGATAAAGGAGAGATTAGGATATAAGGATAGAGTTAGAGATGGTGAGACAAACCCTAAGCTAATTTTAATTAGGGTACGGAGGCCCGAAAAATGGGGTAGGGGGTTTGTAGTATCAATTCCCCAAATACAATACCAGTCCATGTCTGACCGGTATAGCCTCTTTCAGGGGTGGCCTCCGGCAGTTAAAGCTCACCAAATGGAGGCCTTTCCAGGTAGTCGCTTGTCTCACCCTGACTTGTTTTTCTCCTTTTTTTTTTTTTTTTTTTTTTTTTTTGTGGAACAACGTTGCGAGTGGCGCGGAGTTAAACGATTGTCGAATATTCCGTGCCCATTTAGAGGCCACTGAAATGTCTTATCTCGCATAAAATGCATGCAAGCTAAAGCTCCGGAGCGCCCGAGAAACAAGTTGGGGTCACCACTGCAACCTGACCCCACGCTTTGACCACGAAGCCTCATAGATCCACAGCCCGTCAGCCCGTCAGCCCGTCAGCCCGTCAGTCCATCCTGCATGGTCGTGGTCGTGGTCGTTATAACTATGGCTTTGCACTTTATCTGCTGCAGCAGCCCCTGTCATTATTGTGTAATTTTTAACGCCAAGCACGACGCTTTAGAGATTTTATCATGTTTGGCACGCTGGTCTCGACCGACGATGAGCGAGGGAACTTGGAGTACATCGAGAATCCGGATCCTGTCAATGCAGTCAGCCGTAACATCCGAGACAAGATACACATTTCTTGCATGTTTTGCCGCTCTAGAAAGGTATGGCTGTTCGAAGTCCCTATCCATTACCTGCAGCCATAAAGCATATTTACATTCAGTGTCTTGTCGCGTTAGGTTTCTAACAACATGAATTATAGGCACGCTGTTCTGGGGGACGGGAAGGATGCCAAAGATGCGTCGCGATGGGACTCAACTGCATGTATCCAAAAAACCAGGGCAGGAACAAACGACAGGAAAGAGATAAAAGCCGTCGGGCAGTGAGTAACGAACGATATCATGATCACGAGAGCGACTCGCTAACGCACTACATTTAAATAGACAATTCAGCGTAACGCGATCGCCCCAGAACGAATTGCGTGCGGTGAAACGGAGCCTTGCGTCCGTAACCGCCAAGTAGACTATGGCAAGGAATCGGCATGGGACGACTTGTACGACATCACGTTCGACAACAGCTCCATCGACGAATCTCTGCTTACGTCTTTGATTATGGATACTCCCATGCATCACGGCAGATCGAGCTCGAGTAGTAGTGGTACTGGGATTTGTAAGTACTTGGCTCTGCGAATGTCCCTGACCCACTTGACTGACACCTCCTATAGCCGCCGTTGACCTCACAACAAGCGAATCTTCTTTTCCGGCAGGGGATCGCAGTGCCACGCTAGCACCGCCTGGCCAGCTTCCGGAACTATCGACGGCAAACACATGTTTAACGTCACTACTCGGCCCATCAGCTACGGACAGCGCAGGCAATTTGGGATATTGGGCTGGACCTCACACGGCGCACGGCGTCATCGCTTGGGCTATGAATACCGATGAACACGCTACAGTACGCTCGACTTCAGAACCGCCGTCCCTCGAGCTTTGGGACAAAACGCGCACAGAATCCGACAGCTACTGCTGTCTGATGAGCTCCATATCTTTTGTCGAGAGACTAGTCTCCAACTCTGCTTCGCGCAAGAACCGAATCGACCTATTACTCGCCGACGTTCGCAATGCCATTGAGACCTTGGCGATATTCATAGCGTGTGAGGGATGTGCGGCTAGAGTAGAGCAGAACATGTTGCTCGCCATGGCGGCCCGCCAAATAAGCCTCATCTGCAGAGAGACGGCCAACTGTTACAAGGCCATGCATATGTGTAGTCTCGACGACACAAACTCATCTCAGCAGAAACCCGAGCCTGATACCTCTGCTGGTCCCGTCGAAATTTCCGTGTCGACGTATCGGGTCAAACGACATGAGAGGTTACACCTGCTTAAAAGCCTAGTGACTCTCCAGATTCTAGAGCTTCAGCAGCACGTCAACAAAATCAAGTCCCGATATCGCAATCGGCCCAATCAAGGCCAAGTCGAGGCTCTGATCGAAGCAGAGGACCTTATCAAGATAGCGCAGGTTGTGATCAGCCATTCGTGACAGCTTTGCACGCCTGTTATAGACGAAATGAAGATTTACTAACGTGGATCCCGGCGGTCCCTCATCCACCTCGAATTTTCTGCCCCTACGCAGCCGCCCATCCTTAAACGCCTGCCATGCCCCCAAAATGCAGTACAAAAGCTCGAAAATTAGTGTACAGGGAGGCAGGATTTTATAGCTGTTAGAGCTATTCAAAATGGCAGAATTATCATGGTCGCTGCTGCTGCCCGCTCTTTTGATATCCCCCGAACAACTCTTGCAGCTCGGATGAAAGGCATTCATAAACTTTATGGAGCAAGGGGTACAGACCATAAATTACGCAAGTAGAAGAGGAATCAGTTCAAGATTTGCTAATCTCTATGGATCAGAGAGGTCCTACGCTTACAGTGACGATGTTGATGGAAATTGGCTAATAGAATACATCAAACGACATAATTATCTCCCAATCATGACTAAAAACGCGCTCTGATGGAAGACCCGAATACCATTATCGAGTGGCTCAAGCTTAACCAAGAAGCGGTTTCTCAATATGGTAATTAGTAGTAATAGTTGAAGAGTACAAAAACAATAACAAGTAGTTTGAAAGGAGTAGTCTACCAAGACGGCTTCTACGTTGCCAAAGCAGGGATTAATTTTATAAAAAAAAGTCTGGCGAGATGATAGTAGCCAGATCGAAGTACACATTTCTCACCACCCATTACATGAACGGCCTCCTCTGACCAAAACAATCACCAAGTGCTTGGAGTTTACTCAATCTAAGGGGACACATATTTTTCAATGCTAGAATTTCCATATAATAGTTTAATAACGAAGAGGAGTTAAGTTGGGTCATCAATTTATCTATCCGAAAAAGGAAATCCTTGGTAAAATTATGCATTTGCGGTTCCGCGGTTCCAAACCTTGAAACCGGAACCACACCATTTCGAGGTCTAGCCGTACGTGGAAGTTGATAGTGTATCAATTCCCTCTATTCAATGTAATAACCACACTACTGTGATTGATATTCTCCACAAAGCCAGAGAGCTACTGTAAAGTGGCCTCCCAATCAGATTCGTCCGCCTTCGCCACACCCATACGTTGGCTAAGCGTCACCCAAGCACCACAATATACTAAACGTCGGAAGGCCATTGGGTCTGCCGTCTCGCCCCAAGCAATCTCCATAGCCTCCTCAATTGTTTCCCAGTTAACAAAGCCCAGTTTTTCCACAGCTTCTTGCGTCAGTAACGTCTTGAACTTGCGATGTAATGGTCCGCCCTCGGCCCATCGAGTTGGCGCAAGAAAAGGGTGCTTCTTCCGCTTGTAAAGCTCGTCGGTGATATATGGACGCACGGCCTGGCGCAGAATCCATTTCTCGTCGAGGGACTGCAGGGCCACGCTAGACTTGGTCCAGATGGGGCCCAGCTCCCCGGTATCGCTCGCCGTGTCGGCCGAGTACCGCAGCTTGACGCTGGGCGGCAGACGGTTGACGTACTCGGCGAGGTGGTGGTCGAGGAAGGGCGTGCGCGCCTCCACGCTATGTGCCATCTCCGTGCGGTCGCCGAGACAGGATAGGAGAACGTTGGCCAGCGAGTTCTTGTTCCACATGTACATAGCTGTGTGCAGGGGGTGCCATCGCGACCGCATCTTAGCCTGGACGTCGCTCGGGTGCGAGTTCAGGACCGTTTTGCGGCAGTCATGGATGCTTTGTAGGTTTTGGAGCCATGTAGCAAAGATAGGGGCCGTAGGATGCCACGCCAACAGATTGTCGCTCATATCCGTTGCGCCCACTCCGGCAATGGATGCAAAGGCTGGTCTATCGTTGTACGCGGTTGCACCGGCTTTTTGCCAGATTCCCTTCATTTCCCTCTGCACCGACTTGAACATGTCGTTTCGAAGGTCGTTGTTTTGAGACAGTTGGGAGTTGGGCATGGCTTCATCAGCTTCGCGTAGGAATTCGCCGGGAAAGTATGGATAGCCAGCGAAATGCTCGTCAGCACCTTCGCCGGTCAGGACGACCTTGACGCCGTGTTCTTGGGGAAGAGTTGAGAGTGCAAACTTGGCCACAAAGTTGAGATCGAAGTGATGATGCTCGCAGTGGAATACAGCATCTTCAAAGTCTTCCGCCAGAGTGTCCTCAGTGACGGTCTTCTTGATAGTCTTCACTCCGAGCCAGGCAGCTGTGCGCTCGGCAATGTCTTGTATCTGTTAGTATGTCCCTTTTTTCGTGGGAATGCTCATGCGCAGCAAAACGTACGTGATTCATCAAACCCGGATGTCTCAGGAAACGCCACACTGAAGCAGGTGACACGAGTAGCCTCTTCGTTTCCTATCTTGACCTTTTCGTTGCGTGCAAGTTCCGTAACTATACCGGCAATGGCAGAAGAGTCGATCCCTCCAGATAAGTAGATGCCGACGGGGACATCAGCACGCAAGCGAAGACGGACAGCCTCGACCAGCCTTTCGCGAACGCCAGCTATCATTTCGTCGATGGTGCGAGTTTCGGGCTTGCTCTGTGGAATGGCCATCAGTTATGGCCCGCGATTGAAGTTCAATGGACCAACCTTGTCTTCGTATTCAGCATCCCAGTACTTAACTTGCCGCAGACCATCTTGTTCGTTAATATCAAGGTAGTGTCCAGGCAAGACCTTTCGAACTCCGCGGAACAGCGTTCGATCATCAAACATCCATCCAGCATCGGCAATTGCACGGACGTCCCAGTGCGGCTTCCAGCCCAAGGGCAAGAATGCCTTGGCCTCGGAAGCGATGAGCAGCTTCGACCCGATGCGAGTATACACCAGCGGCTTGATTCCATAACGATCGCGTGCGGCGATCACGCGCTGGGTTCCCTCGCGGTTATCATAGAGGACAAATGCGAATTCACCGCGCAGATGCGTGAGAAAGTCAGGGGCGCCGTGGATCCGATAGAGCGCCAAAACAAGCTCGCTGTCACTGTCGCTTTGGAAAGGATAGTTGTGAACAGTTTCGCATTCACGGCGAAGGCGATCGTAGTCGTAAATCTCACCATTCACCACAGCATGAATTTGGTTGCCACTGCTGTGGAGTGGTTGTCGCCCCGCGGAGGATAGATCGTTGATGGACAATCGACAGTGGGCTAGCCCGACTTGCTCGTTCGCACTGACCCATATCCCCGAGTCATCCGGGCCACGGTGGTTGATGAGATTGATGGAAGCTTTGAGGTCTGCCGTAAGTCCCTTCGCTGCACCGTTGGCTTCGTGGCCGCATTTGATTTCCCCGTTGCAACGAGCACATGTACGCTCCGTGCAGCTACTGTGGCCATTGATGCTTGCCTCTGAAAGCAAAATACAAGCAGAAAACCCGCACATTTTTTCCCACAATTGCGCTGATCAAAAGAATATTGCGGAAGAGATGACAACAAAAGTAAGTGTTTTACGAAAACTAACTGGCTGTTTAGTGGCCGTCCGGCAAAAGCCTCGTCGAGTATAGGATCCGTATTCAGGGCATGATTGAAGGCGGGCATAACTGAATCGGCACCGAGCCGTTTCACTCAATCGATAACGAGCCCTAGCCGGTCGTGTACGGTCCTTAGCACTTCCGTTACCGCCGCCGGCCGCAACCAAATCGGTCAACTCCACGTCATCTGGGTCCATCTGCCTATCCTCGCTATACGCGTTCCAGAAATATGTACGTGGTCACACTCTGTCACGAGTTACAACTACTGAACGCATACTGGTCTTCAATAGGTGGCTCATGTGTTATAGATGTGTTCGGTCTCGATAAGAAGGTGAATAGAGACGGTCTCAAGATACTGAATACAAAAATTTTGGGTCCTTCTGCGCCTCAAACTGGCGTCTTTCCACATGTGTGTATTGTCCGCCTTCGCCGAATGACATTAGACGGCGAGCCAGTGGAATATCGCGCTGCCGGTGCCTGCCCGTCAGACGACCAATTATTCAACGACAAGCACGCAGGCTTCGACACACCCAGTAATAATTAGGCTAAAATCTTGAAAGCCACAGTTTCCAATTAGCCCAATGTGACATGGGCCGCCACTATTTCCGCCTCGTCAGCCCGGCGTAGAAGTTTAATGGCCGCACCACTAAGAACTCAGGATCATACACGACCGCTTCTGGCGACGAGTCTTCGAATTCATATCGATACACCAACTCTGCCAGAACCATCTTGACCTGTGTGAGTGCCAAATTGAACCCCACACAGCCTCGACCTCCTGCGGCAAATGGCGTGTACGACCCCTGACGTGCCATACGTTTCGCGAGACCTTCCTCCATCCAGCGGTCAGGATCAAATCGCAGAGGATTTTCCCAGTGGGCTGGATTCTTCTGTATACTAGGAAAACACGCAATGACGATGGAACCTTTCGGAATGAAATACCCTCCCGGCAGGATCGTGTCTCGTTTGGCGTTACGTGCGGTCTGGAAACTGGGGCTGTGGAGACGAAGAACTTCTTTGACGAAGCAATCGAGAAACTTCATGCTATGAATTTCGTCATACGTCCAGCGTTTTTCAGTATTACCACGGTGGCTGGTTATCTCCTCCAGTAGGCGTTCCTGGTTTTCAGGATACCGGAGAAGGGCATAAAGGGCCCAGGAAAGTAGAGATGAACTGGTGGTGAATCCCGCACCAGCAGTCACCACCACGTTGCCAAGTACCAGGTCATACGGCAGCCCTTCTCCATCTTTGTCACGGGCGCGGTACAAGAAATCGGCGACACAACTGGCGCTCTGCAAGGCCGTTGGATCGGAGAGAGATAGAGGTGGGCCATCCTTCTTGATGCTGGCGCTCATGGCATCCTCGCAAATGTCAAGAACCTGCTGACGGACGGCCTTCACTCTTGAAGCGTCTCCAAAAGGGAGATACTTGAACCATTGCGGCTGCAACGATGCTTTTTTCATCAGCGAGAGATACTGACCAAACAGTCGGATAGGCAGCGATGGCGGCGTCTTCAGCGTCTCGAAGTGTTTCAGGTCTTGATTTAGGACAACCCGCCAGATAATCTGTGCTGCTAGTTTAAACATAAATTGGTAAACGTTGACCGCCAGATCAGACTCGGCCAACTCGTCGAATACAGTAAAAATGGATTGTGTGGCATCTTGAATCAGCGGCATAAAGTGAGCCACAGCGCGTGGTGACATCGTTGGAGGTACAAATTTGTGGCTCGGCACAAAGGCAGGAGATGCACTGTCGCAGGTGAAGAGGCAGTCTTGGTCGCTCATGTAGTGCAGTGGGTGTGATGCGTCGGATGTGGATTTGGTGAAGAGTTTGTCTTCGCGCAACAAATGACGGGCGATCTCCGGGTCATTGGTGTGATAGATGGTTGTTCCCATGTTGACGGTCTTAATCATGGGGCCATAGAGTGAGAACAATCGGTCATAGTTTCCGAGAACGTCTGGGTATAATTCGTAGTGGTTGCCAACGAAGGGCAGCAAGCGAGGCCCGGGGGGCTCACGAACGGCCTCATAACGTGTTGCTCGCACTTCAACAGTGTCCTTGGTCTCCTGCACATCTTTGAGGGTCGAAAGATGGTTGCGTTGTTGGTCAATGAGCCACAATGCTATCTCGAGTTAGCCTAGGATGCTAGAGAACATGATAGCGGAAACATACATTTCGTATCAGCGAATGCAAAGACCTCAGCCAGAGTTCCTGTGAGTTGCTCTAGGCTGGTGAATGGCGACACATCCAGACTGTAAAAACGTTCACCGTCCTTGCGTCCAATGTAAAATTCTTTGTGCATTTTGTTTTGGCTTGATTTGCAATTATGATCATGTATCGATTGCCACGAGGACAGCGGGCAGGACGTTTCGTTGATGAGAACGACTCATGTCGTGCACTTAACGCAACACTGTTATTATTATCAGTTTGTTCTTTTTCGGGAATGCGGCGAAAGGTCGCTTTGGGAAGGCCGTTGACCCACAGCTTCCGGCAATCATACCAGCGTAACTTCCGACGCATACGGAGGCGCGGCAGCTTAGCCCCAAGACAGATTAGTGGCGACGGTGCCGTTCAAGCGATGAACAGACCTTGGCCCCTACGAATCTGCCTGTCGATAATTCTCGTCTTTCTTTTCGTGCCATAACCGAACGACGATTATGTCCACAATGTCCCAGCTCGGCGAAAGCATCACACTCGAGCAACTGGCCGGACACAATACTCTGGGGTCTCTGTGGATAGCGGTTCATGGTCATGGTATGCTAATACTTCCCTATTTCATGACCCTCTGGAAGTTAAACTGACCAGCTATACAGTGTACGATCTCACGACCTTCAGCTCGGACCATCCAGGTGGTATCGAGGCACTCGAGAGCTGTGCCGGGACCGATGGCACAGAGTCGTACGAATATGCCGGCCACAGCGAATTGAATATGGCAAAAATGCAGCAATACCGCGTCGGCACGGTTACCGGATGCCTTGGACAAGCTTCTCCCATTTCTTATCACCCCCTTCCCGTGGAGAGTAAGCGCGCAACATCCCGTCTCAAGCAGTTGAGATTCCCTCGCTGGACAAAGCGAGCGGTTACTATATCCGCGACCGCTCTCGTTGTGGGTTTGTCTTATCAGCGAAGGGACGCTTTTGTTGATTACATTTCGCCGACCCTGAATATCTCCCAACTCCAATTCAGAACCATTTCGGACCAGGGCATCGGACATCCATTTTGGGCGGGTATAGCAATCGCTTCGTCGGTAAGCTGTGTGGGTTTCAGGTATCTCTATAAGCTGTTCTTGTCAACTCTCGACTATCAAAACGAAGTATTCAGCTTTCCACCTACGATACCGAGGAAGACGAAAAGATAGGAGCGAGTCATCTGATTCCAACGCAACAAATCTGAACCAAGATCGGTTGTGATACATTTGTAGCTACATCGCCCCAGTTTTCAAATTCATATGTTGGTGTGCAAGTAAATTAGGTCGTAAAATGGCCCAGTTGGACCCAGTAATCACGTAGTAAAGGTACTTAGGAATGAACAGAAGTTACCCGCTGCTCATGTTTTCAATTCCTTATGCTCGTCAGCGATCTATATTCACTCGATTTCAAGGTAGCAAGCAGCTTTCTTTATAATTAAAGTGAATGCACTTCAACTTTGCTTCCCGTCTCCTCGAGCGAATAAGAAAAAGAATTTGTTGCTAATCTAATAGAATGTATATCCTAGCTATAAGATATTTAACCTATCAAAACCACCTAATAGCTCTAGCTCCATTTTTTAATTCGTGATTGAGGGTTCATTTTCCAGTCGTTTACTACCTCCGATTCTGCAAACGTAGATACAAATGGATTCTCACTCTCTTCTTAGGCAATTCCATAAACGTCTTTGCAGGGATGATTTTGGTCCCCTTTCAATTTTCTTGCTAACCTTCTCTTTGAACATGTTCAAATAAGACCCTTTAATAAAAAGAATTATCCATTCCTATTTCTCTCATGTTTGTGGGTTCATAGTCACTGCTAGCAAGTGAATCCCGGTCCATCGGTCCATTAGGGTTTCCAGTCAACTATGAACTGCTCCGTACTGTTCCAGAGAGTCCACAATGTCCTGATTACCAACCCATCGAGCATAGGGCAAAGTACTCCTAAAACAGCGAGATTTCTTTCCATCGCTACACCAGAATCGATCCGGGGTATTAGGGTCTGCGCCAAACTCGAGTAGAGTCTTGACGATCACCGGGCTCTGTGCCCAGATGGCCACGAGCAGTGGCTGGACGCCGCCACAGGGGTTCGGGTTGGCGCCATTCTCTAGCATCTTGAAAACAACAGTTTCGAGCTTATTTTGAGTCACCCATGCTAACATGCTCAAGTCAGGCGTGGATATCACCCAGTTCGGGTCCGCTCCGTGGTCCAAGAGTTGCTCTGCGATGCCGAGAAAGCCACGATTCAAAGAAAGGGTAAGAGGGGTCAATGGTAGACTGAAAACGTTCCAGGGGTTGTAGAGAGTGTTGGTATCAGCACCTCGCTCCAACAACAGCTCCACAATATCTTCATCGCCGTGCCAGATGGCAAAATACAAAGCAGTGGAGAGAGAGCCAAGGCTCAGAATCGTCGGGGTTCTTGTCTCCTGGTTCTGATTCTGTGCTCCGATTTCAAGATCCAGCATTAACTCTTTCAGGAAAAGCTTCGTCATGGCCACATAGCGAAGACGAACGGCATGAACCAGAGCGTCTTCGCTCAAGAGCCTTTCATCAGATAGTTCAAGACCAAGCAACTGCATGCCCCATATCTCGGGCAGGTGCTTCCATGCCCCGGAGCGGTATGCAGCCAGTGACCATCGCCAAAAATTGCCAGGGTCATCCTTGGGATCTTCGGCTCCCAATTGTAGAAGGGCTTTGACTGTCTCCACTTCTCCGCTCCGGGTGGCCCACAAAAGAGGTGATGCGTGGTCGTTAGATTCAGTGTTGGGATCTGCTCCAAACCGGATGAGCAATTGGACGATACTGACATATCCTTCACGTGCAGCGACTGCGAGTGGTGTGATTCCAATTGGGCTTCGAAACTGAACATCGCCATTTTGTTGGACCAAGTATTGAACCATGGCCTCATGCCCGTTACGGGCAGCGAGCCACAGCGGAGACTGACCATGCTGGTTCGTTGCAAGCAGGCTAGCCCCCTGAGCGAGAGACTGCTCCGCTGTGGTCATGACGCCCTTGGCTGCTGACCAAATAAGAGCTGAGCTTCTTAGTCGCTGAGCATCGTACCGGTACAAACGCCAGATGAAGTTCTCCCAAAAGGTTCGGCAGGTATGACTTAGCGAGTAGATGGCCCTGAGCGGTACGAGAGGACTCACTCGTGCCTCAAGGCTATCCGCCAATCTGTTGATGATGAGGTTCAATAGTTCTGGAGGCAGATTTATGAGTGACATCGTAGCTGGTTGCAGATGTTGACGAGGGCGAGGGCGACACGTTGAGATAATTGACAACATCTGAAAGTGCGGCTCATGTTAGCCCCCCGGTCAAGGTTTTATATTTTCACTCGTATGAAGGCAGACAGAGGCCTACCTTGATCTTTTTCATGGACTTGTCTGGCTGAAAGCGCGAAGTGAATCAACACTGGAAGGCAAGGTGCATAGAAGGATAAACGTGAATCTGAAGAAACTGAGATGAAAAAAATCCAGCTATCACTTGGACTAAGAGCGTTTGACAGGACCAAGAGTTCAAATATGAGAATAACAAACATGAAGCTACTATGAGCGTAAATAGCGGCCATTAGGCGACTTTCGTGTTAATTTCGAGATGAATCAAAAAATGTTTAAAAAATGCTTTTAAAAAGGAAAAATTACTTCTAGGAAGAAGTTCAAGGAATGGCCTAGGAAGAGATTTGGGAAGAACCAAGAGGCTAAAGTGTGTCAAGTAAGGTTATCGTATATAGTAGGCATAGAAGTTGGGGCGAAAAGTATCAGACGTAGCTTAACAAATTCTTGGCGTTAGTCTGCAGACATTCTTGACGAGATACTACTAGTTTTAATTATTCGAAGCTTCAACAATTGTTGGTAAGCTCTCGTGGGCTCTATTATCCTAGTGGCCACTATTCACGCTCGTGGCCGCGGATGCGGAGAACCTGCGGGAGAGCGGCAGATCAAATTATTTCTTGCCCGCGCGACTTCCCCAGTCAACCTTTCCGCCTTCCATCGCCAACTTTGGTCCCGCAGAAACGAGACGCAATCTTTCCACGCCTGAGTCGCCCCCTGCATCTTCTATGACCGGACACCTTTTCACGGCCGCCGCCCCGTTGGCGCGCATCGCTTGCTCAACGTCGACCGCAACCCTCAAGACCCAGATCACCAGACAACCAACATGGCAACTCACTGTACGACCGTACCCTTCGCACCTTCGACTCAAACTAGAAGCTAACAACTATGTCATTCAGAAACTCGCGCCACCTTGCAGAGGCAGCATGCGCTTCTTCTCCAGCACACCCGCTCCCTCCTTCACAGTCTCCGCCGCCCAGCAATCCTCACCCTTCCGCCTCTCATCCGATAAACATGGATCCTCTCGCGCCTTTGAAGAGGACCGCTATAGCCAATACAAGCCTAAGCGGCAGTGGCCTCCAGACATGTCGAAGCTCTCGCCGAAACACCAGTTCCGGCTGGAGCGGAAGTACCGCCGGCGCGCCGCGCTGAAGTATGCGCGGCCCAATTTTATCAAGGGTGTGCAGCTGGCGCAGTGGGGTATTATTGGATGTGGGTGATCTCTCGATTGTTGAGAATATATGAATATCTGGATTACTGACGAATGTGTTTGGTACAGTTGTTGTGATTTACGCAGTGCTCTTTATGAATTGGGATACCAAAGATACGCCCTTCGATGGGGTAAGTACTTTCCCGAAAGCCCCTAGGCAATCGATGTGATTATGGCCTGACAGATATGCGTATAGATTCGTGAAAAGGTTTTCTCTAGTATTCGCGCCGTGTTCTCTGCACCGCCGCCCCCTGGCCCTAAGCCTGCCGAGGAAAGAAACGAATCATCGTGAAGATGGTACCGAGGTGACCGTATTCTTGTATATGGTTGATGCTATGTCATACTGTATAATTCCATCATAGATTCCCCAACTCGCATCTTCATCCACTACAGCAGTTTACAAAATCAAGTTTCAATTGACGAATCATTTAATTCTCGTGCTTGTCATTGATCAAATGTCATGAGCAAAGCTAGTCAGGACTGCAGGCGTCACTATCCGTCGAGAAGATGAGAGCCTGGAGCATACCAATCAATCATGTCTCTCATCTTCCCCCGCCACCTGCACCGTAACTTGACTTCATTACATCATGGCTGCCAAAAAACCCTCCGGACAGTGAATATGCAACTCCAAACAACACCAGTTATGCCAACGCCTGTCAAGAAAAGACCAAAAGAAACTCCAAATAGGGCAAAGCCAAGCGACCGGGATGAGCTGGTGCCAGCCTTTCAAACAGATAACCGAAACTCCGAGTCATGAGGCGTATAAAGATTGACAGTATGAAAGGGGAGAAAAAACAAACAAGAAGAGAAGAGAATTGGTCCAACAGATCATATCTAGTTGGACGTTTAAAGCCAGCGGGGGAGGTCACTCGATGGTGTTCCAGGAACAGAGATTGGACCGGGAGCAAGGCGGTTGTTAGGGATATCGAGGGCCAGCTGAAGTTGAGGTGGCTTTTCATCGAGCATGATCTTTTTGGGGCTACCAGGCGCCTTCTTGGGCGACTTGGTAGGAGAGCCGGGGTCACCAGCGCGAAGACCCTCACGCACGGAAGTATATGCCCAGCCGTCTTCGGCCGCGGCAGCAACCCAAGTCCGAAGGCCGTCGTGGACGGCAGAATAGAATTTCTCCTTGCAGGTGCGGAGACTACCGCCCATCACCTTCTCAAAGCCAGAAGCGCGAAGCTCAGATCGAAGCTGGTTTCGTGCTTCTGTCGTGGGCAAAGAGGCGATCATGGCGTTCAAGAGATCCAGATGTGAGGCGAGATAGTTGGTTGCATCCCATTCGACGCCGCCGACATATGGAGCAGCGGGGACCGGTGGACGAGGGGGAGGAAAGTGCCGTTGGTAGTACGAACGAGGATCCGCGGGGCGTTTCTCGATGAAAACATCCTCTGACTTGGGATCGGATTTGGGGAGCGGGATCACATTCAGGTGGTGCAGGAAGATCCAGAAGACCTCCTTGGTTACATTGGAGACTTCCTTGCACCAGACACGATAGGGTCGGGACTGGTAGATATTGGCGATGAAAGAGACTGGCTGGCTTTCCTCCTGTGGTGAAGGGTCTCGTAGATAGGACAGGATTCGCTCAACACGCTTGCCTGGAATCTCATCGGGGCTCACTGCAGAGACCTGTGTGAACAAGAGGTTCATGATGATGCTCCGTGTCGTGAACTCGCTTGGGCCCTTTTTTTCCTCGTCAAACAGCATCTTCAGCAATGCGGGGAAGAGGTCTGCCTCAATCGCGGTCAGACGCGCGAGAGCCACAGAGGTGGTGCAGAGGCCCTTCAGGCAAAGTAAAGCTTCGTGAAGAAGTGTGTCTTCGTGATCCTCTCTATAAGTCTAATCAGCAAATCATTCGAATCAACGGCATCAGGTCTGCGTACCGCCACTCCATCTTCATTATGCGATAGATGAGCTGAACGATCTCGTTCATGCCACCTTCAGCGATGAACCCATCGACCCAAGCGACTGTTTCGTTACGAAGAAGAAGTCGAAGTTTGTGAATCTTTCCAACTTCAACCATCTCTGGCTTCTGAATCTCCCTCAGATAGTGCACGAAGTCAGATGGATCAGCAGCGGTGTCAACAACCGCCGCTTCATGCAGAGATACAGTAGACCCAGCCGCGCTGAGGGCCGTATAAACACCGACGGGCTGCGACAGGTCGACTGATCGTGGCCGGCTAAATGTTCCGCTTTCTGGCCGTGCCTTTTTGCCAGGAGACGATGAGCCTCTGCCGAATGTGAAGCCCCGGCTCCGAGAGCGCGAGCGCGAACCCTTGCGGTCTTCAGATCGGCGGTCGTCCTTGGATTCCTTTCCACGTCCACGGCGGCTCTCCGAGGTTCCAGCACTGTGGGGTGTGCCATTTTCGGTTCGGTCCTTCTGAATGAAATCGGCCTTGATGTTGGTATCAAGAGAGCGCATCTTGTCCCTCATATTGTGGGGGATGTTTCTCGCATCCAGCAACTTCTCAAATTCACTCTCCAGATCCTTCGAGTTCAAGTGTCTGTGCACATCCGCATCACGTTCCTTCGCGTTGAAGGCCGAGATTGCGGCCTGTACTCGAGACAATCTCTTGGGATTCGGCTCTTCTTTGATCGGGGTTGGAGCGGAGGATTCGGAAGCCGAGGCCTTTTGAGACTGGTCAGATACTCTAGTCTTGGATGACGCAGCGACACTCCGAGTACTATCGCTATCTCCCGAGGGTGTGCGCTGCACGGATCCCAGGAAATCTTTCATCCTTCTGTTCCCAGTCAGGATGTCCGACTTTGGTCGAGGCTTCGTCTCGCCCCGTCTGGCAAGCGACGGTGGCTGTTGGTAATCGTAGAAGTTTCGTTGTTGGGCTGGACCGTACCCCTTGGGGGTGTAGAGGGACACTTCCTCCGCGACACTGCGTTGTCTGTCGGAAGTGGAATTGTGTCGTGACCGAGTGACTGATTCCGGGTAGGCTGGGGGCGCTGCCCAGGCTGGTGATGGCATGCTATCGACGAGGTCTGTCGGGCTTCGGTTTTCCTTGTCACGGCTTTGCTTGGAGCCGTTGGCTTTGCGTCCCCGTTGGGACCGCTTCAAAAGAACGGAAAGACTGGTGGATGATTTGGTCTTCTTTGGAGACTTCTCCTCCGTCTCTTCCTGGGGTGTGTCTTCGGACTTTCGCTCCATGTAGCTTCTCAGTGATTTCAGAGAAACGGTACTTTTGGTTTTCTTATGCACAATCTTGCCGTTCTTGTTTCCATGCTGGTGAGTAGGCACGTTGGTTTCTCCGGCATCGCGATTCGGAGCGATTTCCGCGAGTGGGAGATGGCCCGGGGCTGGAGCAGGGCCCCCAGCAAAAGGGAAGGGTGTGGTGCCCACTGGTGTGTTCATATGGAATTGGGGCGTGGCGTCGTCTGCAGACTGGTTCCTCTTGTGAGGTCTGGACAACATGGTCCGGAAAACCGACGATTTGACGGGGGGTCGACTGGCGTCGTCGAAGATCTGCGGACCGGATGTACTGGGTGCCATCGCTTATCACCTTTGACCAGCAACCGCGACAGGTCAGTCAACGCCAGACACGGGTAGAAGCAGGTCGCACTCACGGGAGCTTTCAATGCAAGAAATCAGGCTGAAAACAAAAATTGATAATAACTAATGGGCAGTCGAGTAACGGCCCCGGACAGAAAGGAAGAAAACAACACGAAAACAAATGCGATGCAGAGTGAGAGGGAAGGGGAATAAAAGCGAAGTTGAGGAAAACAAGCCGGGCAGCCGGGGGCAATATGAGGCGTGTGCTAGTGTCTTGCTGCCAACGGCAACATCGAGGATCGAGACTCCACTAAGCTTGGCTGGGAACAAGTTACGCAATGAGGCAATCCCTGGGGTTGGCTGGGATCGGAGGAGGGGAAGTAAACAACGTGCGGGCAAAGACGTTGCGAGGGGCAACCGGCACCACTGGCGGTGAACGTGGACTCGAAATTGGGACTGGAGATGTCATTCTGAATCATCTTGTACAGTACCTTTGGCTTCTTTTCCGGGGTTCTTGCATCGAGGCCATGTCATCCTTGCATGTTTTGTCTCCGACCTGTGTGTCTGGGTGTCCCCGGTAACCCTATCCGCGTGTATTTACTTTCTGCCTCAATCCAGTTTACGATCAACTCACCACTTTTCACCTACCAAACCAAAGACTAAACTTTACTCCACGGACTATTGCATTCAGAGTCCAAGTGACTCTTGCAGTACTCGTGGTCTCGGCGTAATGTCGATGCACTCGGCGGGTGCCGCATGCCGGGCCGGCCCCGTTTGCAATCGCTCTCGTTTATGTGCAGCGATGCAGAGTAAGCTGATGACCACTAGAAGATCTCAAAACCCCAAGATCTCGAGATCTCCTGAGCTAGGAACGTTGGAACCACGTATTGTCCTAGGATGAGGGTCGTGTGTTCATGTATGGTTGAACCCATGGGTCGTCCGTTTCTGGTGGAACATTCTCGGGTAATCCGCCATCCGCCGTTTGCGATGCCTGGCGATAGGTCGATAAAAGCGGGCGATTCTTAAAATGGGCCCCAGACCAATCTTGAGCCCAAATCGAGACAATGCGCAGGCAACACTCCAACTCGAAATCTTGTTAGCTCTTGCCCGAGCGTTCGCTGCCGTGCAAAGACCCGCCCTGAACCGCTCATTGGCTCTCCGCGACGACATCACGAAGATCGGGCAAGTTCGGGCTCTCCTCCAGGGTACTTGCTGCGTGTTCTGCTCCGATCAGCGCTCCGACTTGCTTCCAACTGCAAGGACTTAAGACAACGCCCTGCGCCCACCACGAACAAGCCAAACACGCAATGAACTGCCCCTCGCGCAACGACGACACTCTCGCCCACCCGGCCTGGAATCAGAGTCCGCGGCCCTTCAGTCCGGACACCACCACCCGCAATGACTTCAACGGCCTCGCCAACTCTAGAGTCCACCGCAGACACGCTGCCGGTGATGGTATAGGCACGGGGGATACACTATCCATAGATCCAAGACCGCACAGTCTCGAAGACCCGGATCCCGTAAAGGAAAAGACCCCGAACGGTGAAGTGGTCGCTGCGTCCTCGGGGTGTGAACCACCTACGAGGGCCTGCGGATCGCCTCACCGTCCTTTCCAATCTTTCTTCTTTTCGTCAACTGCAAGCTGTGCGCGCGTATTGGCCAAGTTCGGCAGTTTTATCGGACCTGGTTTCCTCATCGCGGTCGCATATATCGATCCGGGAAACTATGCCACCGACGTGTCGGCCGGCGCTGAGTACAGATATGCGTTGCTGTTCATCGTTCTCTTGTCTAACCTTTTCGCGATTCTTCTCCAATCCCTGTGCATAAAATTGGGCTCCGTGACTGGTCTCAACCTGGCTGAGAATTGCCGCGAGCATCTCCCTCGCTGGCTGGTGTATTTTCTTTACTTTTTAGCAGAAGCGGCCATCATTGCAACGGATATTGCGGAGGTGGTTGGCTCTGCCATCGCGCTGAATCTGCTAGGAAATATTCCTCTGGTAGCCGGATGTGCTATCACCTTGGTGGATGTGTTCTTTCTGCTCATCTTCTGGCGTCCTAACGGGTCTATGTGGGGGTTGCGCCTCTTTGAGTTCTTCGTCATGGGCCTCGTGCTCTCCGTCGTTGTCTGCTTTTGCATTCAGCTGTCACTCATCAAGGACCAGTCAATTGGGGAAGTCTTCCGTGGCTTTCTCCCGTCGTCGGCGATTGTTCAATCCAGTGGGTAAGTTGGCACGTTGTCAAGAATCGTGGACGGGGACTAACCTTGAAGTATAGTCTCTACCAGAGCTGTGGTATCCTTGGTGCGACTGTTATGCCGCATTCCCTCTTCCTCGGCAGCGGAGTGGTTCAGTCTCGTCTTAAAGACTTCGATGTCAAATCGGGCTACGTGCAGTCCACTGTGCCCCTAGGAAGCACTGGTGGTGAAGTTGAATACCGCCCTTCCATCCAAGCGATTAATGGCTGCATGAAGTACTCGATCATCGAGTTGTCTCTGTCGCTTTTCACCTTTGCTCTTTTCGTTAACAGCGCCATTCTCATTGTCGCGGGCGCCTCGCTCTATAATGTTCCAGGCGGCGCTCAAGCTGACCTCTTCGGCATTCACACGCTACTTGCCTCATCAATTGCCCCAGCGGCTGGTCTCATTTTCGCTCTGGCTCTTCTGCTGTCCGGTATTTCTGCCGGCATTGTGTGTACCATGGCAGGCCAAATGGTCAGCGAGGGCATGTTAAACTGGAGCATCAAACCTTGGCTTCGTCGTCTCATTACTCGCTCCGTCAGTATTATTCCCAGCATTATTATCGCTGGGGCTGTGGGCAAGGAGGGGCTTAACGCGACCCTGAACGCGAGTCAGGTGGTTCTCAGTGTCATCCTGCCATTCGTTTCAGCCCCCCTTATCTGGTTTACATGCTTCAACAAATATATGACCGTGTCTGTTGATCAGACCAGCGAAGGTGACGGTGAGGTGGAGACGGAGAGATTCCCCATGCGCAATCACTGGGCCCTCTCTATCCTCACAGTGTTCGTCTGGCTAGTCATCGTCGTGATGAATGTTGCGCTGCTGGTATTGCTTGGGCTGGGTGAATCGTCTTAATTCGGAAACTCGCTCAGGCACTACCACCTGCATATCTCGACTTCGAGCACACTACACTGGCATCTTCTCTCGGACTTGCGTTCACTGTATACACTCGCTACCGCGTCATAAGGCTTACAAGAGCACCTTACAGTTACATAAATGACAAGAACATTAAGCAAAGCGCTGCATGTGAGATTGATATCGCATAGTCGTAACTTTGAACCCAGTAATATAAAGTATTCCGTCAACTCCGCATCCCATGATCGTAGCGCAAATTGGTACCTGGCCATTCCCGATGAATACTGCATCAAGAGTTAGCCGAGGCCACCGGCAGGCTCTTTTACCTGCTGCTGCTCCGGTGGTTCATCAATGAACTGCGGCGGCGCGACCTCGTCCTGCAAGAAGCTCGGAACAGCCTCCTCGCCCATACCAGTCTCAAACATAGACTCTTCACCTAAAGCCTCCAACTCCGCATCCAAATCCGCCTCATCAACCTCCTCGGGCACATCGTAGGCCCGCGAAATACTCTCCTGGATCTCATTGCCCACCTCCATTAAATCGGCCATCTCATCTTGCATCTGCTCGATCTTGTCGATATCGACCTTGCCATACTGCTTCTTGAGCTCCTTCGTCGTTGTCTTCATTGCGTCCACCGTCGTCATCACGTTCTTCAGGTTGTCCTGCATCATGCCGGCCTGCTCCATGTTCCACGACTGCTGGGAGAGCTGGTCGCGCTGTGCCTCGTACTGTTTCCGCCGTTGGAGCACTTTCAGAGCTTTCTGGCGCAGGGCATTTTTGCCGGGCCCGTCGCGCATCTTGGAGAGCTTGGCTTGGTAGGTTGAGAGTTCGGAGTTGAGAGCGGCGAGTTTGACGTCGAGGCTGGAGATGCGGCCGTCGACCTGTCATGGGCGGGGGCATTAGTAGGGGGGAAATATATTCACTACTTTGAAGGTAGTACCTTGGTGATTGCACCATCCAGAGTGGGCTTGGGAGCCGCACTCTTCGTGCCGAACAGACGATTCATTGTGACTGATCAGAGGACGAGGGAGGGGCAAGATGCAAGATGGTGATGAGGGGTGATGGTGATTGTAGAGATCACGCTCGTGGTTGCTAATCAAACTGCTAGTGACCCACACGTAGTTGAGAGTAGTGCAGCTGATTAGATCACTGTCGACGAGTACTTGAATCGGATCGACTTGTTCACATACACACAGGCACCGATAAATGCGGAGGGCGACGTCAGTTACGGCCTCAGGCCATCGTATATCTGCACGTGATCCGTCCTTCTATGGACACGATCGAGTTAACGATTATTATTGGTCTAAGTACAATATACTGGGAATATAATGGGAGTCTAATCTGCTGGGAACCAATGCCATCTGATGCACAATGATCGTCATTCGGGACTTCGGATTTTTGGGCGTGGATTGGGCACTGGACGGGACCGAACTGAGTCGCGGATACATAACACCCCCCCGTAACTCGGCCAAGTAGGGAAGTACCTGGTACATGTCTGCCCATACCCACATCCCACATCATCGCCCAGATGACCAATTTTAGAGACTGGTGAGAAGGCAGTGATGTTCATGGGTGTCAGTGTATAGTGTCTGCGTGACGAAACAAATCCAGCCTCCGAGATCGCAGTTCAATATGTGTGGCCTCTCACCTCCCAGTGGCCCGAAGAATATGTATCCGAGCCCCATACACAGGGATACCCGGCCGCGTATAGGTGGTGATGGTATAGGGAACTCGGAACAGAACTACCTAGCGATGACTGAAATACACTATCCTAGCATCAAACAGAATAGAAAGAGGAAGAGAACGAAGAGACGGACCCCACAGAATATCCACCATAATGACTTTGTATGAACCGTGCTTATCTGTGTTGGTCGGGGCTGCGATCCCCGCTGATTGCGGCGATTACTCACGGTGTCCCTGCTGCTGGTGGCTCGTGGCCCGTTCATCATCATCATCATCCTCCATCTTCCTGGCACTTCAAGTTCTATTCCTGGATGGCCCGGTGTTGAGTAAGTCGGCAAGTCCTGCATTCCCGCACTTGGAACGGCCCCTCTTTCTTTTTCCCCTTACAACTTCAAACCCTGACTTCCTCGAATCCTCTCCCTCTTTTCTTCGTCACTCCCTTAGCTCCGAAGGTACGTGGCCAACTCATTTTTTGCCCATCGGCCTCCGTCGCCTGGTCGTTCAGCCCTGTCTGGACCCCTCTCGTGACGTTCCGCACCTCGGGGTGCACACCCATCAGTTCCTTGTTCGATGCAACCAGCCCCATCTCGATCGCTCGCTAACCCCGGACCCAAGCGCCAGGTTCGCTTCGAATTATATCATTTTGCTTCTTCGATCTCTGTTATTCGCCACGGCCTGAATTCGCTGCCTTCTCCAGCTTGCGCGACTCTCTGTGTGTGGACACACTGGTGTGTCGCCCTGCCGGCGAAGCCCTCCTTCCCATCCCGCACTCAACCCGTGTACCATAAACCGCTCCGTTACGACATCTCGGAGACCTACGAAACGAACCGTCCCATGAATCGTGCTTCTCGGCTATATAATCCATCATGTTCTGGCGTTTTGGGGGATATGCAAGTATCTCCACCATCGATACCCTATTGGACAAGCCCGAGATCACCCTCGAGGACCTGCTGGATGAGCCGGAGATCATCCAGGAGCTGAAACAGCATAATACGAAACTCATAGAATACCTGCGCGAGGATCATGTCTTGAAACGGCTTATGGACTATGTCACTGCACCAAGCTTGGTAAATGACGACGAAGAAAATGACGACGAAGCCCACGAATCGGGCGCCGCGAAGGAATCAGGCGCCGAGTCTGCGACACACGAACAAGCAGACAATGAACATGAAGAAGAGAAGGAAGAGAAAGGGTCGGACCCGCTGAAGGGTGTTCTGGACTCTGATGACCTTGAAAAAGTCGAAAAGACTCGCTTGAAGCATGCGTATGTCGCGTGCGAGATTCTCTCTTCGGAGACATGGTCTATTCTGGAGTCTATTATGGCAAACCCTTCCTCCCTTCGCGACTTCTGGGGTTTCCTGCGGCGACCCCCGCCTCTCGACTCCATACAGGCATCTTATTTCACCAAAGTGAACGAGACCCTGCTCGATAAAAAGACTGAGGAGATGTTCGATTTCTTGAAGTCGATGGATGGAATTGTTGCAGCACTGCTGCAGCATGTCGACAACCCCATGGTCATGGATCTGTTGCTGAAGATCATCAGCTTGGAGAAGGCCGAGGGTGGCCAAGGCACCGTGGACTGGCTGCAATCTCAGGACCTGATCCCAACTCTGCTGTCATTCCTCGCGCCTGATTACCCAGGTTCGGTGCAAACCTCCGCAGGCGACTTCCTTAAAGCGATTATCACAATTTCCGCAAATGCGACTCCCAACGACCAGTCGTGCATCGGCCCCAACAGCCTCACCCGCCAGCTGGTATCTCCTGAGTGCATCCAACAGCTGGTCAATGCGATGCTAAAGGGCGGCAACCCGCTGACCGTGGGAGTCGGTATAGTTATCGAGGTCATTCGCAAGAATAACTCGGATTATGACCCGGAGAATCTGGGTGGTTCCGAATCCATGCCCACACCTTACGACCCCATCTACCTCGGACACTTGCTTCGGACATTCGCTCAGCACATTCCCGATTTCATGGCTCTGATCCAAAGCTCCAAGCACACGGTCTACGATGGCACCCAGCTCAAGACTGTCGACCGAGGTCGTCTGAGTTCTGCATGGGGCGCCAAGATCGAGCCTCTTGGCTTCGATCGTTTCAAGACTTGCGAGTTGATGGCTGAATTGCTTCACTGCAGTAACATGGGTCTTCTCAATGAGCCTGGCAGTGACGAATATGTCCGGCATCGCAACGAGGAGCGTGAGAGGTTGATTCGCGAAGGATTCTTCAATCCTCGCCGCGATGAGCACGAGGGTGCTGATTACAACGATACCACCGTAGATTTCACAAATGGCTCGGCTATGGATACTGGATCGCCGGAGGCTCGCAAGGCTGAGCTGCAGCATGCCGGTGAAGAGGAGGGCTTTGAGGATGTCGGTGCCTCTGGTGATTTGGCTGGCGAAAAGGAAGAGGGCAAAGCGGAAGGCTCAAAGGACACTGCGGCCGAGTTAGTTTCTGCGGAAAAAACCGACATCGAGGGAGATGCTCCATCACCTCCTACTGGTCTAGCAGACCAGGTGAGCGAAATCAAGCTTGAAAGCGAATCTCAAGAAAAGCAAGCATCCACGCCAGATGCAAAGAACCAGGATCCGGTTTCTGCTCAGCCTGAGGACGTGCCGGCCCCCCCCTTTTCGCTTCCAAGGAACAGCCAGCTGAGTCCACCTCTCAGCTAGCTGATGCTGAGCCCACTCAGGAAACCGAAACGGCCAATGACGGAGGCGCCGAAGACGCTGCTGAGCAGTATATTCAGTATGACACAGATGGACGCCCCGTGGTTGGAGATTATTTGAAGATCCAGTTCGTTGAGAATAAGGTCGTTCCCACGATACTGGTAAGTGCACAACAATCCCTAAACACCCAAATGCCCCCTAACTGTATGATCTCAGGGCTTTTTCTTCCGATTCCCGTGGAATAACTTCCTTCATAATGTTGTGTATGACGTGGTCCAGCAGGTCTTCAACGGCCCCATGGAACGTGGTTACAACCGCGCGCTAGCCATCAACGTATTCGAACACGGCCAGATCACAACTGCCATCGTCGCAGGACAGAAGCGCAGTGATGAGGCCCAGAAGACCAAGCAGATCCGCCTTGGCTACATGGGACATTTGACCCTGGTTGCGGAGGAGGTCGTCAAGTTCAGCGAACGCCACCCGCCAGAGCTGCTTTCACGGTCCGTTATGGAATCGGTGTTGAATCCAGACTGGATTGACTACGTCGAGCAAACCCTCTCCGAAACCCGGGAACGGGATAATGCTATTCTGGGCGGCGTCCGTCCAGAAATGTCTGTTGGGCCGAGGCAGACGGTTATTAGCTCTGGCCAGGGTTTCAACAACACCTCTAATGCCCTGGCTGAAGCTGGACTAAATGGTGGAATCGGTGGTTCCTCCTTCCAAGGCTTCGACCTCAACCAGGGCAGTGTCTCTGGAGGAGCATCCGGCGGTGGTGGATCCGCCCTCCTGAGCGGCTTTGGCAGCTCGAGCGATGATGAGGATGAAGAAATGGAGGACCAAGAGGACAGAGACGCCGGCATTGCTGAAGGCGATTCTGAGAATGTGAGTAAACGCCCCTCCACCAAACATTGACAGGTGCGAGTCGTGACCGATGTTCGCGTACGCCCCTCGATTTCCACCCACCTTCCCTTTCCCCCAATGTACGATGTTTGCTCGACGGCCGAGCGATGCGAGCACAAGATGGGTTACGGGCGCTTTGACTGGGCGAAAACTCCTGAGTTACACTTGTCTTCTCACCCATGGTCTCTCACTATCTACTATTTGGAAGTTGGCTATCGGCGGAGATTGAGTTTCTGGGTGCCTTCCCCAGTTCTTATTCACGTTCATCCTACTTGTCAATTGATGTTTTGTCTACCTCGGGCTTCACGCTTTGAGTTCGTGCTCTTTTCATAACCCCCTTTACCGTCATTATCTGCCACAACTCATCAACCGTCAAAGTCTTGACGTGTTACTGACATTGATTGTTTCTAGGTGACCTCGCCTTCTGCTAGCCAGCCCATTCCTATCTTACCTCCGCCTCCTGCTCCCCTGAGCCTTGGTCCTTCTAGAGCTCGGCGCCAACTGGCAGCACGTCTTGCGGCCCAAAAGCAGCAAGCAAGTGAGAATGCAGACGGTGAAGAGGATGAGGAAAGGACTGAACGGGATGAGGGCCGTGATTCTCAATGGCCCAGTAATCCGTTCGTGATTGCAGGAGTTGACGACGATGCCGAAGGAGGCTCGGCGTTCCCCAACTCCGACTTCCCGGCCAGCGCAGACATGGTCTCTCCCACATTCCCCGGGTCAGGGTTCAGCCCGCCGGACTCATTGTCCAACTCATCCGATGAGGATGGCGACGGTCGATCAGAAGCCGTGCGACGACATGTCCGCGTGCCCCTCGAAGTCGAGGATGAGGACGATGAGATGGGCGAGATGGTGGGGCCCAGTGCCACTGGGATGATCGACTCGGATGATGAAGACGAAGCCATTATCAATGAGTCATTGGGTTATTCCAACCTGCCGGGTCAAACACGCTACAGCGGCTTCCGCCGACCGCGGGCCGTGAGCTCCCATTTCGACGACGACCAAAACGACAGCAGTGACGGCGAGGATGATGGACTGGTGGAGATCTTAGTCCCAGGCCGCAAATCCTCAACCTCCAACTAGGCTTGGGGTGATAATCTTATCTTTTGCTCATATTTGCGTCTCGCATTTCTTTCTGCTCTCGCATATAACGATGCTCATCGTTAGGAAGAATCTCATGGAGTGCTATTCTTCCATTTTTCGCTAGTTGGGGGATTTTTACATCCAGGCCGGTTTCGGCGGCATGGCAGCTGTACATACTTTCCATCTCTGGTTAATCTTTTGGGAGGATCTGCATGATGACTGTTTTCATTTCATTTTCCATGGTGTTAATTCCTTACGCATCGTGTGGAGAGTCGAGTGGACGGTTCTTGTTAGGAGAAAAGTGATGACCTTGTACGATAGATGTGGTAGAGAGAATTGATGTTTGCAATGATTTACATTAAAAAACCGGAAGTTCCCTTCAGTGTATCTACACTTCACTCCTTGATCTTAGGTTCTCCTGCTCCAGTCCCGCGCACACAAAAAAGTGGGTCCCCACCCGCCAAATCTTTTGAAGAGTGATATCACTTACTCGGTCTTCACTCTTATATCTCACTATAACCCTGCCCCGGGGTCTATCCCTCTTCCTTTATCATTAAGAACTAGCCCCTTTTCTTCATTCTCTCATATTCCACAGTCTTGAAGTCTTTCATTCATTCTCCGCGATTATATTTCGCGACCTTTAAAAACCTACCAACTTCGACATTCAATCTCTCTACAGCATCGCAAAAATGCATTCGCTGGATCTTCACAAAGAACTCGAAAGATGGTCAGCAAGCTACGGGGGCCACATAGACGACAGCGTCTGCATTGCCCATGACGCTGAGCGCGGCATCCACATGCAAGTCAAAGCCGACTGGCCCAAGACCGTCGAGCCAGAGACACGGGCAATCAGCACCCCACTGGGCATCACAATGTCCTACTACAACGCCATTGAGTACAAGTCCGCAAAGGGCTCGTTCTCCAACCACGATGTGGCGTTCCCGCGGGCATTCATTGACGCTGTGGGAACTGAAGAAACCTTCGCTTTTTTCCTCATGGGCCAGTTTCTGCGTGGACCAGACGGGTTTTGGTACCCGTATTTGCGCACACTTCCTCAACCGGGGCAACTGAACACACCCTTGTGCTTTGCCGAGGAGGATGTGGCTTGGCTTGATGGGACTGGAATCCCGGAGGCTTCCTTTTTCAGGTACAACATCTGGGATGAGAAGTATGACCATTGCATTACGAAACTTGAGGAGCTAGGGTTTGCGGGAGTCAAGGATTATACCTGGTTAGTAATAACGTTTGAAATTGAATAGGCTTGTTGGGCTATTTGATTCCCATTGCTGACTTTATAGGGAACTCTATCTCTGGGCTTCGACCATCATAACATCTCGCGCATTCTCAGTAAAGGTTCTGGCTGAGAGTGTGGAGCCATCCGACCTCCCTGAAACTGGAATCTCAGTTCTGCTGCCGCTGATCGATCTCCCCAACCACCGGCCACTTGCAAAGGTCGAGTGGCGCGCTGGAGAGAAGGATGTTGGGTTGGTTCTCCGGGAGCATGTCCGGCCAGGAGAGGAAATCTCCAACAACTACGGACCCCGGAACAATGAACAGTGTAAGCATATCTAGTTAAACCATGTTTTATTGATTAACCACTGACATGAACTAGTGTTGATGAACTACGGTTTCTGTATCCCCAATAACCCAACTGATTACCGCATCATCAAACTGGGTGTGGATTCAGACAGCCCGGTCAGCAAGGCCAAGGCACGTCAGATCGAGATGTTCCCAGAAGTGGCCAAGAACACTGATGACCACTACTATATCTTCAATGTGTTCTACCCGCTTTTGTCTCCATACCGGCCGATGGAACACTCAATCTTCTCACCGGCGCTGTTCAATGCGTTGGCTATCATGCACGGCAATGAGCGTGAACGCAAAAGCCTCGTGATCGACGAAACAGGCATCTCTATTCCCCAGACCTACGGCAATGGACGCAGCTCATTGGCAGCCCTGGCCCAGATCAGTGTTGAGCTGATTGCCCACATCATGATGCTCCAGGAGTCCGGAAAAGACTTGCCCTCCCAACCGCAGAACATTAAACAGATGTTTGCCAAGACATACCGCGACGGCCTGATATCTCTGGACAAGACGGCATTGGTAATTGCGACATGGACAATAACACGTGCACGAGAACTCAATCGTGGCGAAGATTGGCTTGGTGTCAAACCCATGCTGGAAGAGCACCTGGCACTCATTCCAGACGGTCAATTCCCGGAGCATATCTTGTCTCAGATCCAGGTCCGTATTCTGGAACGGCCATCTCTCCTCCCCAAGAACGGTCAACTCTACCGAATTGGAGAGCTCTACAGTCTGTTGCCAGAAGAGATGCAGGGCCCCAGCCAGGCTTGCTTTAGTGCTGTTCTCGGATACGCAAGCCAACATATCCCGGGCCTGGGGACTGACCCGCAGGGTCTCTTTTCGCTTGTACTGGGTATCCTCGTGGCAACCTCTGGGTCACCACAGGCGAGACCAAGGCTTTCGCCGCGTCTCACTAAGTGGATCGATTTCCTTCTTGAACAATACCCATCGCCCACGGGCATTGATAGAAACCCAGAAGAGGGACGGGAGAACATTGATGCACTAGCCCAGGTAGTTAACCACGAGATGGCAGGTGCATGGCTCAATGGGGCTCAAGTAGCCTGGATCTCTGCGGAGAGTGGGTGGATGGAGCCGGGCTGGTTGCAGTGGGCATGGAGAGTGGCGAAAGAGGAAATGGTGATGCTTCCACTGGAGCCACTGCAGGTGCTGGTGACGAACAGCCCGAAGATATTGAAGCAGGCGGTGATGTACGTACCCAAGGAGTGAGCTAGTGAACATGGGTATGAAAATAAATATATGGAACAGGTAGCAAGAAATGAAGAGGATCAACGAAATACATAGGAAAGATGTAAATAAGGAATGTACATAGACAAGGTGAATTCCCAAAGAGGAAGGAACGTCATGGCCGAAAAAGGCATATGCTGAGTAATGCAATATCACATGACCACCGGCCAATCATGGGCCACCTAAAGACGGATCGTTAATCAGAGCGCAGGAATTGCGTTGAGCTCCCCCTTCCCTCTCTCTTTAGGACCGCTCGATCTTCCCCCACGCATTGCCTCAATCCGCCATCATGATATCTCGAGCGGCGGCTCCCTCCACCTCCTCCCTCTCCCACCTCTCCGCCCGCTCCCTCCGCGCCCAAGGGACGGCCGCCCGCTCCTTCGCAACCGTGCAGGAGGCTCCTCCCGTGCGACACCATGGCGGGCTCCAGGACCAGGACCGGATCTTCACCAACCTTTACGGACACCACGGAGCTGACCTCAAGTCGGCTATGAAGTATGGCGGAGATTGGCACCGGACAAAGGACATGGTGCTGAAGGGCCATGACTGGGTGGGTTACATCTGCTTCGGATCGACGGGCCCTCGGGAATTGGCGTTGCTGATGCTTTTTTAACAGCTCATTTCGGAGATCAAGGCTTCTGGCCTCCGTGGCCGTGGCGGTGCTGGTTTCCCCTCGGGATTGAAATATGTAAGTGGGATTCAGCAGTGACACGCGCTTGGTGTTTGATTTTCGGGCTGACCCGGCACGCAATTTAGTCGTTCATGAACTTCAAGGACTGGGACAAGGACCCCCGACCCCGTTATTTGGTTGTCAACGCAGATGAGGGCGAGCCCGGTACTTGCAAAGACCGCGAGATTATGCGCAAGGATCCCCAGAAGCTGATTGAGGGTTGCTTGGTGGTCGGCCGTGCCATGAACGCCAACGCCGCCTACATCTACATCCGTGGCGAGTTCTATCACGAGGCAACCGTTCTCCAGCGCGCTATCAACGAGGCCTACGCCGCCGGCCACATCGGAAAGAACGCGTCCGGTACCGGCTACGATTTCGACGTCTACATCCACCGCGGTATGGGTGCTTACATTTGCGGCGAGGAGACTTCCCTGATCGAGTCCATTGAGGGCAAGGCTGGCAAGCCCCGTCTCAAGCCCCCATTCCCCGCTGCCGTCGGTCTTTTCGGTTGCCCCAGCACCGTCACCAACGTCGAGACCGTCGCCGTTGTCCCGACCATCATCCGCCGCGGGCCCACCTGGTTCTCGTCCTTTGGCCGTGAGCGTAACGCAGGTACCAAGCTGTTCTGTATCTCCGGTCATGTCAACAACCCCGTCACCGTCGAGGAGGAGATGTCCATCTCACTGCGCGAATTGATCGAGAAGCACTGCGGCGGTGTGCGCGGCGGCTGGGACAACCTGTATGCCGTGATTCCCGGTGGTTCTTCGACTCCCGTTATCCCCAAGTCCGTTGCCGACAACCAACTCATGGACTTCGATGCTCTCAAGGACTCCCAGAGCGGTCTGGGTACCGCGGCCGTCATTGTCATGGACAAGTCCACCGACATTGTCCGCGCTATCTCCCGCCTGTCCACCTTCTACAAGCACGAGTCTTGCGGCCAGTGCACTCCTTGCCGTGAGGGCAGCAAGTGGACAATGCAGATGATGCAGCGCATGGAGACCGGCAACGCCCGCGAGCGTGAGATCGACATGCTCCAGGAATTGACCAAGCAGGTCGAGGGTCACACCATTTGTGCCTTGGGTGAGGCCTTCGCCTGGCCCATCCAGGGTCTGATCCGCCACTTCCGCCCGGAACTGGAGAAACGTATCCGCGAGTACGAGAAGGAGCTCGGTGCCTCTCCCTACGCCGGTGGCTGGAACCCCGATAGTCGTGCTGAGGGCAAGCTGATCTCCCCCGGCATGTAAAATCCTCTCTTCCTTCTACCTCCTCCTATCACGCCCCCCTTTCCCATTTTGTCTCTCAAAAACGATGCAGGAACGGGTCGGTTTTTCTAGCACTAGATCTCTCTGGACCTCCCTTCGCCAGCTAATTTACCAGGCTGGATGAGGTTGAGGTTGTCTCTATATTTTCCCTATTCTCTCCTGTTCGATCCCCTTCCTGTTGCGTCTAGGTCCTTTCCTTTCATGTACAGTCGGTAGCAAATTGATGCATTTTATGTCTTCACTGGTTTCTACGTTTGTATAATATGTCAATGAGACTGACAGGAGCGCATACGCCACAGTACGACCTTGAAATGCCGCCCAGGTAGTAGTCACTTGCCGGTGTACTGTTTGATCGTGGGTTGGACCAGGAAGTACCTTTGCCACTGGGGTTATCTGACATTAACAGAGACTGGCAATCCGATGATTAGGAACGCAAGCTGGAAACCTCATACCACGAACCGGGAGGGGGAAGAGATAAGGCTAAAGGCAGTGCTGTAAGAAGCCCCGATGTCGTGCGTGGCATTTGTATAACCTCGAAGGTTGCCCGTTCTGTCACCACACATCCCTTACTTCCCTTGAGTCTCAGCTTCCTGCCTACATCACTACGCATCCACCCACACGGCCAAGACCAGGTTCCTGACGTTCTCGCATAATAATGACTGGTAATAATATGTCATAATCACAATAAAACTAGAAGAAAAAAAGGCAGACCAGCGTCTGCACGGGAACATTTCTTCGTCACTTCACCACTCTACGGTGACGACAAACAGAGAACCCGACACCTCACACCGTCTCTCTCCTGTTCTTCTCTACTGCCCCGGTTAGTACTCACTCGGTGTCTCATATCAGGAGGGAAGAAACTCACAGGAAACAGAGCTCACCCAGAGCTTAAAAGGCCACAGGATCCAACGAAGGGGTTCTGCATCTTCGTCAGTAAACAACATCAACTAGCACGAACAAACAAGCATACCAGGTGAGCCAGATGACTATGACAAAGTACTTCAGCGAATGATGAGCTCCTCACCCCCGGATGATCCGCCGTATCACTGCCAGGCCCATCCACCCTGGCCCTACTCGGCATCATCCATATCCTCAGCCTCCTCGGCCGCTAGGACCTCCTGGAGCACGCCGTTGAGGCCGGCGTACTGCTGGTTGAGGAGAGCAAGTTCCTCGCCTGAGCCATCGCTGGCATAGGGGCATGGGGGCAGCTCGAGGACCCAGTCCAGGTCCGTCACCGACACGTTGTCGGATGCACTTGCGGCGGCCTCGACGGGCTCGTTATCCGCGCTGGGCTGGTCGATTCCAGCTGCAGCCTGCTCGCGGGCTGCGAGGGTTCTTCTGGCCTCCATGATGGAGAAGGCGTTGCCAAGTCGGTATGCGACCCCGTCCATGAACTCCATGGGGGTGGGTACGAAGTCGACCGCGGGGTCGACGGGACTGGCGGAACTGATGGTGCGCTCGAAGGTCACCAGGGAGTTGGCGTCGGACATGTCTTCGTAAGGTTCGGTTGGTGTTTGCTCGAAGTTGCACATCGCGGGGGAAGGACTCGTCCCATTGGGAAGGACTCTTCATCGATTTGCTCTTGGTCATTGTTGCCCATCTCTGGGCCGGCCTGGGCTCGGAGCATCTCCCTGACCCAGGCCCATTCGTCGGCTTCATCTTCCTGGCGGGGGCGTGCTCCAGACATCGTTGGAGAGCGGCAAAAACGATCCAAATACAGATAATATTGACTGGAATTGAATGAAATAGAGTCAAACAGTGTGATGATGAGGCTGAAGCGGAGAAAAAGGTGGAAGTGGTTTGCGAGCAGAAAAGCAGATCTAACAATACGGACGACTGTAAGGCTCGACAAAACCATACGAAGTGGGCAGATTGCTGTATAGTGGGGACCCTTCTTTGACAATACGACTGGAAGGCGCGCGACAGTACGAGACGACTGAAGGCTCGGCGACGATGCGATGCGCGACTCATACGCAATAGGCACCGCAACGACCCAAACCACCCTAGTGCGATCTCTCAGGGTATCACATGAACGCTGCAATAAATGCCTGGGGATACGGCATGCCACATGTCCACATGAGCATCCAACTGCGTTTTCTACCAGCGAAACATGACCCTATAGTCTTCAGCGTGCGCACGTGTGAGATGAAGAAGTACCATGCAACGTGAGCCCTAAGAGTACATAATGGCTGAATATGGGACGAATGAACTCGAGATATGCACATTGACAAAGAACAGCCAGTTTGAAAGAACAGGTAGATACGTTGAGGCTATTCACAGTGCACATTTTATATACTTCGCTCGTCCAATTAGGGCTCGTGGGTCACGGGGCTACTATGACACCAAAAGTTATCGTAAATGGTGTAAGCTGGCAGGGCGCATGCCAAGATCTTTGGTTGTCTGAGTCGTCGCAGGTTATCTGATTGGAAAGAGCTTGTGCTCTATAAGTTGTGCTCACTATGTACAGGTCTATTCTCAGCAACAGACATCCAATGCCAAATATCTATAAATCCTTTCCATCTGGTTTAAGCTCTCGACCTCCACCCATTCCTCTTTGCTGTGTAATCCCTCGCCAGAAGGCCCAAACACGATTGACGGGATCCCAGCTGCATTTAACAAAGCAGCGTCGCACCAGAAAGGCATGCTTTGAACCGCAGGACTGCGTCCAAGAACATTAGATGCGCAAGCGACAGCCTTTTCCACAAAAGGATGGTCACTTGCAAGTTTTGTTGATGGCCGAGACATAGTCACACGAGGCTCTTCATATTTGAAACGAGGGTTTTCGAAAGCCGCACTTTGCAGCAGATCATTCATGTCCTTCAAGATAGATTTTTCCGTTTGAGTAGGGACGGTACGGAACTCGAGCGTGATGGTGCATTTTCCAGGGTACGAAGATGGCTCTTGCCCACCACGAATTAAACCACAGTGCATAGAGGCCTGGCCCAAGAGATCATCAATGGGAAGCTGGGCTTGGTATTGCTCAAGGGCTCGTAGAAACCATCCTGCGTGGAGGATGGCGTCTTCACCTGCAACTGGGTCGGAGCCGTGGGCAGCGACTCCTAAAATATTGACCTCAACCCAGACGAAACCCTTGTGCGCTGTCGCGATGACCTGCATGGTAGGCTCGGCGACAACTGCTGCATCGGCGTGCCACCCCGCTGCAATAGTATCTTGAGTTCCCTGAGAGGCATCTTCCTGGTCGGACACTGCTGCAACAATTATGTCACCACGAGGAATCTGGCCACTAGCCTTGATTGACGCCATGGCAGCAAGAGCCGCAGCAAGGCCACCCTTCATATCCAAGCTACCCCTTCCAAAGACTGCTTGCTTATCGTCTTTCATTCGCAGATAACCTGACAGGGGATCCTTCTCATAGCTGGTGAGGCTAACCGTATCGATGTGACCATTGAACATGATCGATTTACCCCCTCCGCTTCCATAGAGAACACCAACAATTGAAGGTCGTCCGGCAATTGGCTCGACGCGATGGAATTTGATATCCCGATGGGCGAACCATGCGGATAGATAATCGGCAATCTCACTCTCTCCCACGCCATCGGCCACGGACAAAGTAGGGTTAGAAGAATTGATTTGGGTGAGTGCCTGCGTCAAGCTCACTGTATCTTCCATGGAAACGTCTCGTGGGATCGAGTACTTCCGTGCGCCCTCGGTGACTAGAAGAACTACAACGGAACCTTCGTTCAGAAGGGCGGACCGCTGCTCGTCTGCAGCCAGACGGCGGAGTGCAGCTAGAGACGCACCACCGCAAGGACCGGCAGCCACCGACTTGGAAGTGAGATACTGAACTGCACAGTGGCTCTCATAGGACGACACGGTGACACATGCATCGACAAGACGCTGCAGATCAGACCAAGCGGTGGATGAGACAGTCCCACAGTTCATTCCATCCATGATAGTGTCGGAAGTCTGAACTGGAATCGACTTCCCAGCACGCAAACTGGACGAGAGGCAAGGAGCCGAATCCGGCTCAACGGCAACAACCGAGACAGGTGCTTCCCTAGACTTGCAATGTCTTGCGACCGCATGTGCAAGACTCCCGACGCCAACTGGATTTACCACCACATTGGCAGACAACCCGAGTTGGGAGAGCTGCTCTTCAGCCTCATTTATCATAGTCGAGTATCCCTCCACAATCCAGGCAGGGACATCCTCGTACCCATCAAATGCAGTATCCTGAATCAAAAGTGCATGCTTAGTCTGGGCTGCCTGATCATATGCTTCTTGCACTGCCTTATCATAGCACCCCTGAACAACAGACACGAGAGCCCCTTCACCCGCGATGAAACCTTGCGTAGACGTATCCATAGAGCGAGGAACAAAGATCCGCGCCTCGATTTCCATCAACCGGGCCATGAATGCAACTGCTCTTCCATGGTTACCCTCCGTGGCCGCGATCAATATAATTGAGTTCGCTTTAGCTCGGATAGAAACCTCTTCTAAAGAGGCTGCCTTCGAGAGGCCAACTTGGCGGGCGATAGCTCGGAAACAGCCCCACGATGCACCGAGAGCCTTGAAAGCCGGAAGTCCGAACCTGTTGCTTTCATCCTTGACATATACTGCACGGATACCGAGCTCAGTGGCGAGTTCAGGCAAAGAAACCAGAGGGGTCGGGGCGTAGTTTGGCAGCGATTGGTGAAACTCGGCGAGGCCTGCAACCGGAGGACATTCACAGCGCTCGCCTGAGGCGGGGTTCAGATAGATCGGCCGCCTTGCAGACATTCTGCGAATACAGGGGTTTGAATGCGAATAGTCCTAGACAGGTATTCTGCAATATTTATGGTTCTGCTATCAGTTATTCTAAAAGAGACCCGTGATGAATCTTTTGTGGACTTGTAGCGCCGTCCGACGACATCCAGCTCGACCGTAGGTCCACGGGTGGGGACCACGGAAACTCAATCCAGTGACCTAGCTATACACGAAGGATTGTTCAATCGACTTGGATTAATAGTTTTTCAATTGGGCCAGCGACTATGGGTCTCATCAACGGAGAGTGAGGAGGGAAACGAGCAAGGCGGACATTCCGGCTCGGGCGCCTTCCTGCAACATCTACCAAACCTAAATTTCTTCATCGGCAGCAACCTTCCATGCCCAGGTACATTCTTCAATTGTTCTCTACTTGTAGGCATTTAGCCCACACTCTGGCCCAAAGAGTCAATAAGTCGAGCATTGAGTAATTTCAAATTTCATCGCAGATCCCGCGGGAAAACCCGACCTTGAAGCGAATTGGTATCTGTAGGTACAAACCACAAAAATCATAAAAAACTCATAGAACCCTTGCCCCGAAAATCTTAGCTCATGGACATAATAGATTGTCTCAACTCAATATCAGAAAACTCCGGTAGCCCAGCCCACGTGGAACATATCAATACTCCGTAGACATCCAAGTGTTTACCGAGGGAAACCCTTCCCCCGACAACAACTGCCGAAGCACTGATCTCCTGGAACAGGTTAATATCTTGAAGGGGCTCAACTAAGGTGCAGGAATACCATTATAGGGAGTCGGTGCAGTATCATGAGTAACCCTTGAAGCTTGGTCACTGCCAACGGTCAGAGGCGTGACGTCACTATAATCGAGAACACCTTACTCGAATGTTCTCACGGATTCATTATCAGAAGCTTTGGATTTCGAGTCGGAAGTGGGCAGGATTGACCGCACTTTCTCCTTGAGACTCCTTGTATCGTTGCCAGACATCTTGGCTTGTGGTATGTTGTTTCTCCAAATGTTTGTTCTTGTTGGAACTGGTATAGATGTTTTCAGAAGACTCTTCGAATTCTGAGTGTGACTTGCAACGAGTCATCGGACATGGGTCTGACATGTACTTTAATATATTTCTAGAATTGCTCCGCCGGCTCCCCAGATTCCGATCTGCAGATGGGGGGTGGCGTACGCGGAGCAGACACTGCCGGAGGCTGTCGGCGGGCGCCGAAGTCCACGGGGAACAACGTACTTTCAGGTACGAGATCTTTGATGTTACAACTGTGTAGAGATCGGCGCCTTCCTACTAGATCAACAAATTAAAAGACAGACGGAGCCAATTTCCGGTGCAACCAAAAGTCAGCGGCTTCACCGATGGAGATCTGGCTTCGTGATTGGCACTCCATCTGTCGATGCGGCGGGCCACTAGTGTGAAACTTCCTCACTAAGCCTCGTCTTATGCAATGAAAACCACAAGGCAAAATGATGTTACCTAATTACATCCTATCGGTGACCGAGGTCAATGCGACCTCATCGGAGTGGAGAGTGTGGCGAGAATAAAGTAGCAGTCAGCGCCATTGACGTGTCCTTTCTCTATAAATTCCAAGGTATCTTTCTAAACGTCTATTTCAACCCTCCGGACAGATAGCTATGACCGCTTAATTAGACCCACTTACAATATTTTCTTGGTCCGGCCGTACACTCTTTGTGTCGGAACGAATACAGCAGTGGAGACCGGATTATATTGATGATCCGATGGAATTATTTCTTATGTAACCAGACAACCCTACAAAGTGCCAGAAAAAGGGATGTAACAATGGAGAGTTCTTTTCACATCTTCATATACACAGTACATGGTTCATAGGGTGTATGTTCGGCAGGCGCTTAACCGATATCTACCACTCCAAGCCGGAACTAATATTGTAACTATTGAAACTATCTGGACAGCGGTCCAATCCTTCTCGAATGATATCCTTCATACTAGCAAGCTCATCCCGATTTTGTCCACCAAATATTAGTTGTGTTGTACAGTTATTCGGAAGGGTCTCCGTAACCGCAGCCACGACAACTTGTCCCGTCTGAACAAACGGGGCTAGAAGAGTATAAACATCTGCCGCTTTACCCTGATAGTGAAAGCTCTGTGCCTGAGCAAAAGGTAAGCCTCTTTCCTTCATAAAATGACCCGAAAGCAAACATAAAACGAAGCCGCCCGTTAATCTCGCATTCAGATCAACAACCACTGTCCGATTACGGCGCTCATCGAATATGACATCAATTCCCACCCAGCCTACATAAGAACCTATCATGGTGCGTGCCACTGCATTGATCGTACCCATCAGCTGTTCCTTGATACTCTGCTGTGATTGAAAATCAATCACTCCACCCGCCCAGCGTCCGGTTTTGGAAAAGATCTGTTCTGTGGCGCCGAGGAAAGTAACAGTCGTACTTCCATTGGATGGGCCAGCCGCACCTATAAAAAAGTTCACAGAATAATGAGGTTGCGTGGAATGTATAAAGTCTGATATCTGGACTTCAGATACTCTGCGAGATCTGTACTGTTTCATGGCAGCGAGCATGATTTGTCTTTCGTCTTCGCTAGTGACAATCCAAGTCCCTTGACTCCCGCTGCAACGTCGAAGCTTGACCACAAATGGCAAAGACCTAGTGTTGAAGACTGAGGTGCTAAGGTCCTCACTTTGCAAGCTAGCCATCTCTAGATGTGGAGTCGGAATGTTTGGGTGTAGAAGGAAGCGTTTGTCGTTGATTGCGTACGCAAAATCTGGACTGACCAGTGTGTCTTGTTGCAACATATACGACTTCGGTCGATAGTACCATAGCTTTTTCCCGTGAGTGACTTGTCGTAATTGTTCTTGTACGTCTGGCTTGTTCAAATCAATATAGTGAACTTGTGGTCGTTGATTCACTGGAAGTGGTGACAAAATTCGCTCAATCTGGGCCGGAACGTTGACTGGATGGTACAGATATACATCAACTGGGCCCAAACCTAGCAAAAATTTGACCGTTTTGTAGGTAAGAGCCATATTTCGGAATCGCTGCAATGACTCCGTGCTGTTATCCGGCAGACCAACATCTTCGTCCTGTGTATAGACAGTTTCACGAAGAATTTGAGGGTGGATATCGATGTGGGAGTAGCCATTATATATGTCCATAACGATAGGGTCTGAAATGTCGTGTTCACGAAAAAGGCCGGCCAGAGTGATGTCGAGGTTTATTGACGGCAAAAGCTGCGTGTGAGGAGAGAAAGAGGTCTAGAGAGCTTTTTTTAATTTCTAGGTCGTTAGAGTCGGGTTAATGAGTGACATACATCTGAGAGTGTAAGATTAGGTTGGGATATTAAGTACTCTGAGATCTTGCTGAAGGCGGTGCGTGACAGAAAACGTATGTTGCAAATGCCATTTTCGAGGCATAGCAGTACCAAAAGAATAAGAAAAGATATATAATAATAGAAAAAATCCATTTTCGAGAATCCAGTATCGAAGGATGAAAGTGACGAAGATGAGACTAGTAAATTGGAGAAAAGGAAAGAACGATTGGGAGGCAACTTGGTTGAGATTGGTAAATATGAAATCTAATCCACCAGGATAGGTAATTTTGACGCATAACCTGTAATTTTACTAAAGCAGCCACCAAATCTAATAAAGCCCCCTGGCAGTAGAACCGAGAAGGAATGTGTGATAAAATGGTACCAATCGGCGATGCGCTATTCATCTTCCACTACTGGGCTGACTGCGGCAGCCGTGAACAGCAGTAACTCTCTCACCGCCTGATCTGCATCGGTGATCTGCGTGTTTGTTTACAGTATAATCGCTGGAGCCTGATCGATATTGACGAGCTTCAGCCACGCGTAAGGAGTAAGCGCCGATCTTTATGCTATGGGGAATTCCGGGGTGGCATTCAATAATATGTATGAAGAATGACTGAGATGAATGAGTCCTATATTATGATAGGGATTCCAGGGGTTGATAGAATATTTCCAGCATGCTTTCCTAGACGATTTCACCTGAACCTGATATTGTAATTTACTGATTGGCCCAGCGTAAACATACACATCCGGTTTTACACGACATATCCGTTTTTGAAAATAGTCGGTGTGACGCATAATGATACTAGCTAACATTTCCACTTGTTGGCCTGTATCATGGATAACTGCAAGAGGTATCACATGTAGGTGGCTTACAGGTCAGTATTAGAACGCATCCGGCCCTCTGATGCGTAGTTATCCATCCCTTACTCTTATTTGATCGGTATTCTAGCCGACGTGCAATTATAGGCGACCAGCTTTCTGTAAAGTTACACGGCCCCTGATCTCCACATTTGACCACCCAAGCCCATAGTTAGGGAAGACATGCATACGCAGATGTATATAATCACCAGGAGAGGCAAGGAAATGAATCTCTTTAGAAGTCATGACGAATCAGCCGGCGTTTCCTGTTGCCTGCGCCTCTCCCTAGTCTGTTTGGTTTGTTTGCAGCAGGGTCGTTCTATTCTTGTTCTCCTGCCACCCCACATTCCATATTAATTTAAAGCTAATTTTATGCAGGGCTGAATGTATGGGAAAGTTTCTTTCATATCCTCTGTTAGTCTGATCGATAGAGCTAAAAAGATCTGCAAAATACACAAAAGAAGAGACGATATGCGATCTCTGAGATTCTCAGCTCGTGGTATTCAAACAAGTTCTTTTCTACAGTAGCCGTAGAGTCTCCTTAATCGCCTGCTACACAAGCTTTCTCCTCGTCTCAATCACCCCTCTTGCCATCAATGCCGCCTCGCCGATCGACGATGAAGGCCGGAGATTCTAGTCAACGGTTTTTTACGCCCTGCACTCCATGCTCATCTACCCGATTCTCACCGCTGTAGGTGTTTTGGGGATATATCGTCAAGCCCGTGAGATTCTGGCTGTACCTTTTCCAGACGCGCTGAGTCTACAGGGTCTGGCTGTGCAAGCTATTGTCTTCACGTTAGTCTCGGTGATGTGGATATAGAGTCTTCTATTTCCGTAAGAGAAATTGGACGGCTATCTTAATTGGGATATTTTTTCTGTTTGGTACGGGGCTATCGGTTGTATCATTATTGACAACTTTGTCTTCACCCTCGGCGAGGCAGTGCTTCTGTCGTTAGCCTTGCATCGCTCATCTTCGAGCAAAGCCAATATGCAACAAGGAAGCGAGACATAGCCGCTATTAGGGCATCCCGCACAGGAATGAACGTCCAGTTGTCATTAGTTATTTAAAATTAGCAATTTATTTGTGCCGCTATGCTTCCTAAACGAGGATCTCATTCAACTAGTGTATACTCGACCCAGTTATTAGCCGGCACCGTTAGCTCAGGCCGGCCTCCATTATCTGTCGGATTGCGGACCTTGGCATCAATCCACACCACAGTATCTTCATGACCTCGATAATGTCCCCAATCCCACCAGTCAAGCGAGGCTCCCTTGAACCGGTACCGGAATTTATCGCCGGGCGCTACATTCTTCGGAAAATCACTCACCTCCCGCGCGAATGACCACGACTCACCAAGCATCAGGGCCACGAATTCATTTTGGTCGTTGCGGCCAACATTTACCGGAACAGAAGTAGAAAATCTGTATTTGTGGTGCGTAAAAAGGCCTCCGAGTTCATGTGGACTCCACTGGTAATTTCTTTCAAAGTAGAGCCTGAATCCATCCTGGCGGCAATCGATATCCTTGAAAATGAACGTATGAAGTGTAACCGGCTTTCCGTCCAGGGCATTCGGAGCTGCATCGTATGAGAGTGTGACTGTGACCGGATAACGCAGTCTGCCTGCTGGAGTGCGATCTTTCGTCGATAGCGTAGCGGGTCCAACGATGCTAAGGCTGAAAACAGGGCCGCCACTCATCCCAGCAGGTGCAAAAATAGGTTCGGGCGAAGGTGACAATGGACCCACATCGTCTATATCGCTTTCAACATCGGTAATGCTCAGTGACTTATATGGCCGGCCGGGAAGTACCACCGTAGGGGACTTGGGACTGAGTTTGCGGTTACTGTGCTCCGCTAATGTGCCCCAGTCCCACAAATGAATTTGTGCTCCCACCCAGAAGATTTCGTAAAACTGTCCTGGTAGGAAGGAGTCGAAGTAGATAGATGGCAAGGCTGTCTCCCAGGAAACGCTGACGCCTAGGTCCAGTTGTTTGAAGCATGGGTCTGACGTGGATACTTCTCGTGGATTTAATAGCTTTGCCCGCAACTGCTCAGGGTCGACTTGAACAGGCTGCAGTTTGTTCGTGAATAGATAATTATAACGAAGCAGGATTATGCCCCGCTGGCCAAATCCATCTTCAATAGGGTCCCAGTGGATAATGCATGGTTGTTGTTGATATCATCTGCACCCCGCGTGATTGTGAAAGTGATGGGGTACCACGCTTGAACGTCGATATCTAAATCCCGTTTCGCTTCGAAAGTAAGAGTGAGGCGGGGAGATCCAGATCTGTTTGGCTTAGCTTTTTGTGGGATAGCTTCTCAGGGAGCATCATACGGTCTGTCTACGACAGACTATCTCGTGAAAGATGAGAACTGACCCATTTGTACCGTAGTCAAATGAAGTCGTGGAGGTGGAAAGTTGTTGGACTGGACAGAAAAGGCACAGCCTTCGATATAGGTGGGGAGTGACTAGACCTTGCCAAACGTGGGTTTAGGGTGTGTTTTCATTTTTCCTTGCCCGCCGATAGCCCATAAAACCCATGGCCAACCCGCGAAAGTACATTTGGCTCTCAAAAAAAATACAACTTGACTCTAACTTACTACGTTTAATCCTATTTTATAGAAACCACACCTAAAATAATTACAAATAGACTTGAATTTATAATAAAGAAAGCATAAGGACTGATTTAATATAGGAAATAATAAAATTAAGGCGTCAAGACACACCGTATCTCCATCACAATGAGCCTAAAACTTGCTCCTCCAAAGCCACCCTCGACAAACACCCCTCGCCAACGCGAATGCAATAGCTGCCGCGAGATAGAGCACTCCGCCAAAGACAATCAACCCACCATACCCCTGTCCATACCGCTGCTGGATCGCCCCTGCAATTGGGATACCCGTAAGCGTCCCGATGCTGCTGATTGTGAAGGTGGTCCCAGTTCTCTTGCCAATGTCTTCGGTGGCACAGACCTGAGAAATACACACTGGCGTCAGACTGATGGCAGCTCCACTCCAAAAGCCGAAGAACACAGCGTAACAGATAATCGCAGCCAAGTTATCACCGGCCTTGAGCCACAGTGCCAGGGTCAAGATTGCGCAGATGACTGATGTCAGCACCATTACGTTGAATCGGCCGATTTTATCTGCTATTAGACCGGGTAGGAAGCGGCCTGGGATGGCGCCGAGATTGAGGAATACGATCAGAAGGTAGGAGATTGTGTCCCCGACGCCCCTATGCACTGCGTAGGATGCAATGTAGGTGATGGGTATGAATACCGCGAATTCGACTAGAAATACCGCGACTGTCGTGGAGGCATATTTAGGGTCCTTGAGGGCCCGGAAATCAATGGAGGTTCCTGCCTTGCTGTTTCCAGGTAGTCTTGTCTTCAGAAGAATGCAAGCAACTGTACACACCACAGCAGAGACGAGTGCAATGATCCGAATTGCCCATGGGAACCCAATCCTGGGAGCGGCAAAGAGAATAATTAGAGGGAAAAGTACCCCTCCGATCCCACCAGCTGTGCAGGCAACGCCAGTAGCATAGCCCCGACGGACGTTAAACCAGTGGCCAATTGCAGAAATAGCTGGCGTAAATAGCATGCAGGCAGAAAGTCCACCTAGCACACCGAAGGAAAGGAATATTTGGTAATATTCTGGGGTTATCAGTTACCTCTTGACCGTGGAACCTGGGAAGTCCTCTTGAAGACACACCTGTGCTGAAGCTAAAGCAAACCAACGAAGCGACGATACCAACAGATCCTGATATGACGATATATTTTGGGCCATAAGCATCAAAAATGGGCCCTGATTAGAACTTTTATTTTCAACACGGTCTCGACAATGATAAGATCTTGGCTTACCAGCTTGGGCTCCTGCAAAGTAAAGAAAAAAGCCATAGGCGCCAAATATCCATCCAATACTAGATTCAGAATAGTCCCTTAATTGATGGGTGCTGATCCAAGCATGCAAAACGCCGAGGGTATTCAATAGCCCCATGGATGGGATCATGGCACACCACGCTCCGAACACAACGGACCACGCTTTCCATCCTCCTTCGGGATATCCAGTGCATTCCTCAGGGGAAATTGGTAATTGTAGTGAAGGCGGAATCCCAGGTTTCTGCTCGTTTGGTTCACTTGCCTCGGTACTCAACATTGTCTTTGTGTTTAGCTTGATGTTGCGAGGCGCAAGTTGTGTCCTTTTCACCTCTGCCAGAATGAAAGTTAACTTTGATATACTCGCGCCCTCTTCAGATTTTGAAAATGCCATTTACGGGCTAGGAAACACATCCTGGCGTGAGTTATCTGTGGACTTGATCTCGAAGAGCAAGGATCTGCGAAGACAAGCTCTCATTGGCCCATTGGCCGATTTACGCAATGGCAATCCGCTGCTCGATTAGAAATACTTGTCAACTAAGCTTGTAATTGGATATTTCCAAGGGGCTCAGCGGATCCTGAATGACAATCTTGAAGTCTTGGCCCAGTATGGTCGATGATGACGTGTGGGTGAACCCCGACCTTTGGAGAAGCATCACGGGTAAAGCTATCCGAGTCGGATCATCTGCCGACAATTTCATTTTGCTGATTATTATTACATTTGTCCCCTGATCTATTGGTTTCGTTCCTTTGATGGGGCTCAAGCTCATGCGTGATGCATTGGCCTTCCGTTGACATGGCCCCGGCAAGGACCTTTTCGGGATTACGTCTTGCCTTAGGAAGTCAGATCCCGAGACCAAAATTTCGCCGGAACCTTCCCTAAAGTTTAAAGACCGCAGTGGGACGTCAAATTCCAGATGTAGTATAGCTTGCTGGCCGAAAAAGAGATCTCCTGAAAGTTCCCGTTCGCAGTGGAATCCATTTTTGTTCCTCTTGAAGTGCGGGCAAATATCGGCGTTCTTGTGAAGCGATTCGCATTGTTTCCAGAAGCACAGACAACCCTTATGACGAGGATCTTCACTACCAATAGACCGGCTACAGCATATCCGACAAGACAACAGAAGAACGGGGATGTCAGGTTGGATCGGATTTTCCAGGCGTGAGCGCGGATCTCTGCGGCTGCGGCACCACCGGACTGTAGCCTGCCAGCTTCACCGGTACGAAGAATTCGGGTGAGTCGTAGGTAATCAGCAAGTTAGTGGGAAGTGAGAATCATGTAATGTAGTTGTCCCGGCTGCCATACAGGGCTCTGCCTGCAAATCGGCCTCACAGCTGACAGAACCGAGTATGAGTATTCATTCATTCATTCCTTCATTCATATCCGACAGGGCGAATGGGCTGTCACCGAGCTCGACGATGACAATTTTCCAAACGATGAAGCCCACGTAGAGATTTGACGTCTCCCAAAATCAACTTTCAGCACGATAGGCCATTTCGGCAGTTTCAACCATTCAATGGTGTGATATACTGTGTCGGCGCAGTCTTTGATTAAACAAATAATCCAGCCAAGTGTAGTTGCATGTTCGGCAATTGTGTCACTTAAAATTATCGAGGCGGGCAAGGTCAAGTATGTGCCTCCAATTGATAAATCAGATAAACGCGGTGCGAAAACGCAGCTTTTATCACGGCCATGTTGGGGACGCAGTGTAGCTTGTATTAATCTAGCTCTGCATTCTGGTATTGTTGTAAGCATTCGTGATAGGATCACGCCGTTCCAATTGACACCGGGGTCTCGGATGGGCTTCGCGACTGTCTTCGGCTTCATGGTGCCGTTGATCGTGCAATCCCGGCCGAAAGGACATGCTCGGCCTCGGTGACTGGGAAATTGGTGCCGGCAGGCGCTGTGCTAACCCGATAATTAAGGAACCAGTTTGATGACCTCGGTGCTCGCGTGATCGGCATCGGGTTCGCACGGAGATCCCTAGGCTGTTCCCCAATATTCGAAAAAAGGCCCTAGAAGCTTTGGAATGCGCCATGGACCAATGGGCGAGTATATATAGAGTGCCGAACCATATCTGCGAGATCGTTAATGGAGACCGCGGAGTTCACCCGGCAATTGCTCGGCAATGTCCATTATCAAGACCGGTACGACCAGGGCCACCGCGGGTGGAATAATGGGGCATACTTATTGAGCAGAGACTCCCCACGTCTCATTGGGTTAAGGCTCCCACAGCGACGACTCAGACCGAGAGCAATACGGCGGGCATACGGTGTAATAATTAAGACGAGGCTGCATATTCTGTTGGGACGCGAAGTGGGATGAGTGGAGCTCTTGACTGCGCTGGCACCGGCTCGCATTTGAACGTGCAGGCTCTAGGCTGCGACTACTGCACGCTTCATATGCCCTAAACTCCAGCTTGGGAACGTTAGATACTTTACGTCTTGCGCTTAGCTCTAGGGGAATCCCACTGGTCTCCATTCTCACATGTTACCGTGACTGTTGCACGGCAGAGTGCAACCGGTAGAGTCCTGTACTACTCCGTACATGGACAAGACCTAGACCGGCTCCATCCGCGATGCAACCGATGATCATCTCGGCAGCTGGGCCAGGGCTGGGAATATCCCAGGCGGGTAAATAATCAAGACCTAGTCAGGGGCCGTACACGGGAAACCCCTCGGTCCCACACACATTTTCCCACCCCACAATCAATGCCACAATGCGTTTGTGCTAGTCACCGACCTTTTACCTAGCCGGAGATGGACGCGTGGAGCCTGGATCATCCCGTGTGTACTAGCTAACGGGGCCAAGGTAGTATCGGGCTGTCTACCCAGCTGGACTGTATACCCAGTTGGGCATAACCCGTTCGGCAGGTACGGACTCGCAATCTCGGATACTTTGGCAGGATAAAGACTTCCAGAACCCGGGATAATAGACTTCCAAACCGCGCTCGTTGCCGACCCTTGTCAACCAGGCCGCACCGCCAATCAACGCCCGCAAAGTTGCCGCTGGCGAACGCGAGCTGAGTCAGCGCCACCCCCGCACCCGCGCTCGTCGATCTCGTTGCAGACGGGTTTGCAAGCTTTCCCAATTGTGTGGGTAGAGGGACGGTCCAGCTGATGTGGTCTCCGCGCTTCTGCTTGGCTGCCTGAGTGCGAAAGTTTGATCCTATGTCATCACGGTGGCAAGCCTGACGGTAATGAGCTTGGTTCATAGCGTCATAGCATCATAGCATCATGGTTCGAGATGGAGATTAGCTCTCCCCCACTCCGAATTACAGGGGGAATAGCCTAGGGCCGGGGTTGATCAGGTCGGACGAATGGTTCACGGAGAACGGGAGCATTGAAATGGAGGGAAGGCAAGCCAAAAGTGCTAGTGGGCTGGGCCCGATTGTAAGCTTCCCCGGAGCAACGGAAGCACTGCGGTCACCCCGCATCGCCGAACATGCACACTCTTTTCGACCATTGACTGGATTCGAATCGCGTGCGTTGTAGTACAGATAGATCTCGGTGAAGCCATTCGTAAGATCTCACCGATCTCGCCCTTTCGAGCAATAAATGTAGTGGAAAGGACTGAAAAAAAAAACATCCCGAAACGCACGGCCCACGCCGTATCGGTAGCCCACTGAAAAGTTGACAGGCGTACGGAAAGGTAAGGAATCTCCACCCGGGGAGGTGGATGTCATGGAAACAGCCATTTGAAAAGGTTACTACTAAACCGTCGCCGGACCCTCTTTCTCCTGCTTTTATTCTTTTCCTCCTCCTCAATACCCTTCCCCCCTTTCATCGCAGACCGGAGTCCGAGTAAGTGCTGATCCCCCCACCTTATTGATCCTCTGCGCTTAAACTGTGCCCCTCTCTCTGACTTCACGTATAGAGGTTTGCGCCGAGCTTCTTTCCCAACTCCTAGCATTTCTTTCCATATATAGGAGCTTGCAATCATGTCTCCTCCCAAGCCCTCGGTGGTAAGGCAGCCCCCTCCAACCGCTAATCCCAGGCGGTTTTGCGCCAACGGGACTGACTCTGTCTAGGTGATGGAGGCGCACGAGGTCGACACCTTCCACGTCCCCAAAGCTTTCCACAACAAGCGCCCCGGCGGAACTCACCTCAAGGACATCGACGAGTACAAGAAACTCTATGATGAATCTATTCGCAGCCCCGACGTCTTCTGGGCCCGCATGGCCCGTGAGCTGCTCACCTTCGAGAAGGATTTTGAGACCACCCACTTCGGCTCATTCGAGAACGGCGACAATGCCTGGTTCCCCGAGGGGCGCCTGAATGCTTCTTACAACTGCGTCGACCGCCATGCGCTCAAGAACCCCAACAAGGTCGCCATCATCTACGAGGGCGACGAGCCCAACGAGGGCCGCACCATCACATACGGCGAGCTGCTGCGCGAGGTCTCTCGCGTTGCCTGGGCGCTGAAGCAGCGCGGTGTCAAGAAGGGCGAGACGGTCGCCATTTACATGCCCATGATTCCAGAGGCCCTCGTTGCCTTCCTCGCCTGCTCGCGCATTGGTGCCGTGCACTCCGTCGTTTTCGCCGGTTTCTCCTCCGACTCCCTCCGGGACCGTGTCATTGACGCTGATTCCCGTGTCGTCATCACCACTGATGAGGGCAAGCGTGGCGGCAAGGTCATTGGTACCAAGCGCATTGTCGATGAGGCCCTTAAGCAGTGCCCCGATGTGCACACCTGCCTCGTCTACAAGCGCACCGGTGCCGAGGTCCCCTGGACCCAGGGCCGTGACTTGTGGTGGCACGACGAGGTCGAGAAGTACCCCAACTACATTGCCCCCGAGTCGATGAGCTCCGAGGACCCTCTTTTCCTGCTCTACACCTCTGGCTCTACCGGTAAGCCCAAGGGTGTTATGCACACTACCGCCGGTTACCTGCTGGGTGCGGCCATGACCGGCAAGTACGTGTTTGACATCCATGATGACGACCGCTACTTCTGCGGTGGTGACGTGGGCTGGATTACCGGTCACACCTACGTTGTGTACGCTCCTCTCCTGCTCGGATGTGCCACCGTTGTCTTCGAGAGTACCCCCGCCTACCCCAATTTCTCGCGCTACTGGGACGTGATCGACAAGTACGATGTCACTCAGTTCTATGTCGCCCCCACTGCCCTGCGTCTGTTGAAGCGCGCTGGTAACGAGCACATCCACCACAAGATGAAGTCTCTGCGTATCCTGGGCTCTGTTGGCGAGCCCATTGCCGCCGAGGTTTGGAAGTGGTACTTCGAGGCTGTTGGCAAGGAAGAGGCCCATATTTGCGACGTTCGTCTTCCCTTTCCTTTCTAGAAACGAAGAAGCTGTGTCTAACCTTTGAATGTAGACTTACTGGCAAACCGAGACTGGTTGCAACGTGATCACCCCTCTTGGAGGTATCACCCCCACCAAGCCCGGCAGTGCTTCTCTGCCCTTCTTTGGTATTGAGCCCGCCATCATCGACCCTGTCTCCGGCGAGGAGATCACTGGCAACGATGTTGAGGGTGTTTTGGCCTTCAAGCAGCCTTGGCCTAGCATGGCCCGCACCGTTTGGGGTGCACACAAGCGCTATATGGACACTTACTTGAACGTCTACAAGGGTTACTACGTAAGACGACACCATTGCGAGAATCTCACGTGCGGATTAAAGCTAACACTTTCCCTAGTTCACGGGTGATGGCGCTGGTCGCGATCACGAAGGCTACTACTGGATTCGTGGCCGCGTTGACGACGTCGTGAACGTGTCTGGCCACCGTTTGTCCACTGCCGAAATTGAGGCTGCTCTTCTCGAGCATTGTGAGTTTTTTCGTTAGCGAAATTCAAATGGTCCCACATGAAACTAACCTTCCTCAGCTATGGTCGCCGAGGCTGCCGTTGTCGGTATTTCCGATGAGCTCACCGGCCAGGCTGTCAACGCCTTCGTTGCTCTCAAGGAGGGCAACGAGACCAGCGACCAGGTGCTCAAGGACCTGGTGATGCAGGTTCGCAAGTCGATCGGTCCCTTCGCCGCCCCCAAGGCTGTCTTCGTCGTCGATGACCTGCCCAAGACCCGCAGTGGAAAGATTATGCGCCGTATTCTGCGCAAGATCCTCAGTGGTGAGGAGGACAGTCTTGGTGACACTTCAACGGTAAGAGCTCTTCTAGCACTTTCACTTTCCGCTTTCGATTAATACTAACGTACTCGAATAGCTCTCCGACCCCAGCGTTGTGGACAAAATTATTGAAACTGTCCACGCTGCTCGCAAGAAGTAAAAATTGGATCCATGAATTTATGATATTGATGTTTCAGAAGGGTGAGTTTATCCTCTAACATGGATGAGCTTTAGCTAATATCACATCACAGGTGCAGGTCTATTGGCCCTAGCTGGGCGTACGAGATTCGGTTATTCCGGTTTTCAGTTTCGCCGTTATTTTTTTGAGATTCCCTGATTAGTCTATCCAGTAGCTATGTGAATAGGATTTTGCCCTGGATTTCAAACGTGGTGGTACGTTCGTAATCATAGCTGGTGTAGGGTAGGCTCCGAGTAGAGCTCGGAGGGCAGTTCTCCGGTACTGTAGCCGTGCCACGAGGAAAAGGACCGAATGAAATGCATACCGCGCGCTCGAGCCCTGAACGAGGCAGCTCTATGCGCTTTCCCATGCATGTCTTCCCTCGAGAAATCGTCCATCGCCGTGTGCAGGCGCATGAGGCCGAGTCAGGCAGCACTCACGTGATGGAACACAGTGTCCCGACTGTGTTCCCGGCGCTGAGTCAGCTCACTGCCTGAGCTGGCAAACTTCACCATTTCTGGCGCGTCTCTCCCTCTCTTCTCCCTCCCACGCGCTCTCTCTCGCCCGCCGCACCGATCCCTCACCCTGACTCGGCTTTAAAACCTGCGCGCACCTCACTTCATGCTTGCATAGAATCCTCAACTCCGACCCGACAACATGTCTTTCGGTTTTGGAGGATTCGGGCAGAACAACCAGAGCACCGGCTTCGGAGCGGGCTCTGGCTTCGGAGGCACCAACAATACTGGCGGAGGTAGGTTTCCATCGCGACAGCCGTGAGCTGTATCGTTTCACATCCTTCAATTTCCCAATGCTTTCCCAACGTTGTTTTCCTTGATGCCTTCCCTGTCCCGGAAAGGAAAAAAAACAAACCCTCGGTGCTCCTGACGTCGATCCTGCGACGACAATGACACGCGCAAGGCGACCCGTTCCAACCTGACGACCTTCGCCGTGCCACGTGAAATCCACTCCGGATTTTTTTTCGATGCTCAGCGACACCGCGATAAGAGAAGGGATCTACAAGGGCCGACTTGAAAAATCAGTCTCTGACCGCGATCCCCTTCCGTCATCTAGGCTTTGGCTCCTCAACCTCTGCATTCGGCGGTGGAAACACCGGCGGCAGTTTGTTTGGCAGCAATACCAACACCACAAACACCGCGTCTAGCAGCTTCGGCACCGGCGGAGGTACGTGCTCGAATCGACCAGAGCCTCGAAGTCCTTGCTCTCCAGTCCTTTTCTCGCGATTGTTATTCATCGCGCCGGATCGACCCCTCGCTTGGCGCCAATGTCAATGGCCTCTGTTGTGCCCGTGGATATCGTTCATGCGCCAGCCTCTTTGGCAGGCCCATTGACCGCGGGTTTGACTCAAATGAGGAACCCCGTGGTTATCCCGGTGCCTGAACAATCTGGGCCCTAGGGCTTGTCTTTTTCTTTTTTGAACTACATCTGCATTTTATCACTGTTTGGTCAGGTTAAGCTCGCATGGCAGTTACTAACATTATCATTGTTTCTAGGATTCGGAGCCAATACACAAAATCAATCTAATACAATGTTCGGCGGTCAAAATCGTGCCGGCGGATTCGGCACTACCAACAACTCTGGTGGAAGTCTTTTTGGAAGCAGCACAACTACTCCTTCTACCGGATTCGGTACCGGTGCAGCCACCGGTGGAGGATTCGGCACTGGAGGTGCATTCGGCAACACCAACACCAACACCAACACCAACACCAGTGGAGGACTTTTCGGAGCCAATAAGACTGGAGGGTTTGGAGCCACCAACACGGCCACCAGTGGTTTCGGTGGTGGTGCCACTAGTGGGTTTGGAGCCGGAGCAGGAACCACCGGCACGGGTACTGGCTTTGGCGGTGGTGGCACGGCCTTCCAAGGCGCCTTGCCTACTTGTGAAGGCACTGGCAGCACCCCGTTCAACCCTTGGACCGAGAAGGATAGCAACACCAGTGCCACAAACCACTACCAGAGTATCAGCTTCATGCAGCCCTACAGCAAATGGTCATTTGAGGAACTGAGGCTCGCGGATTACCAGCAAGGTCGTCGTTACGGCAACGGTAGTGGCCAGGCCGGAGGCTTCGGTTCCTCTGCCTTTGGTGCAACTAATACTGGGTTCGGAGCGCAACAGAACCCCACCGGTACGGGCTTTGGAGCTAGCACTACTACGCCATTTGGTGCAACCTCGACCCCATCGGCTGGCTTCGGAAGCACTCCGACTGCTGGTGCCTTTGGCTCTACGCCTGCCAACAACAGCAACCCGTTGTTTGGCGGTTCCAAGCCTGCTGGCACCTCCTTGTTCGGAAACACTGGAAACGCCAACGCTTCAGGGGGTCTATTTGGCGGTAGTAACACTGGAACTACCGGTGGATTTGGAGCCAATACCAACGTCGGAGGAACTGGAACTGGCGGTGCTTTCGGCGGCACAGGTAACACCGGCAACTCGCTATTCGGCAACAACCAGCAACAAACCAAGCCCTTCGGTGCCGCAGGAACCACGGGCTCTACCTTCGGTGGATTTGGTACCCAGCAACCCGCCACTTCCTCCACGCAATTCGGCAACACCGCCGCCACATCTACTCCATTTGGCCAGCCGAATCAAGGCACTACAGGAGGTGCTTTTGGTGGCGGTTTCGGTGCCCAGAACCAAACTCAAAACCAGGCTCAGAAGCCAGGTGGTTTATTTGGCGGCAGCGGTGGCGGTTTTGGTACCAACACTCAGCAACAGAGTGGTGGCGGCTTGTTCGGTGGTAATCAAACCCAAGCTGCTGGCACTGGCGGCGGCCTATTTGGCAACGCGCAGAGTCAGCCTCAGCAGCAGGCTGGTGGTGGCTTGTTCGGTGGTACTCAAACCCAAGCTGCTGGCACTGGTGGTGGCCTCTTTGGCAATACGCAGAATCAGCAACAGCAAAAGCCTGGTGGACTTTTCGGCTCTAGCACTGGCGCCACTGGCGGCGCGTTCGGCGGCGGTTTTGGCAACACCCAAAACCAGCAGTCCGGTGGTGCAACTGGTGGTTTGTTTGGAAACTCTCAAACCCAACAGCAGCAGAAACCTGGCGGCCTCTTTGGCTCAGCTGGTACTGGCGGCGGTGGTCTATTTGGCGGCACACAAGGTGTGTCTGCTCCAGGCGGAGGCTCTTCGCTCTTTGGCGGTGGTCAGTCTCAGCAGCAACAGCCCGCTGGGAACAGCTTGTTTGGTGCTTCGCAGCCTGCGCAGCAACAGTCCCAGCCTGTTCCTGGAAGCTTGAATGCGTCTTTGCTTGAAGGCAACCCGTATGGTAGTCAGTCTATCTTCTCGGGTCTTCCGACCCCAAGTGCACCGTCCCCCGGTCCCTTGGCTACTCCTCTCTCTTCTAGCATGAAGCAGAAGCAGCGAACCCCACTGCCTGTTTACAAGATTACGCCCACTGCTGCCAACCGCCTTATTACCCCTCCCAAGCGTCAAGGCTACGGATTCTCTTACTCTACTTATGCCTCGCCTTCCAGCGCTACCAGCACTCCATCTGGGCTTAGCAACAGTCTTCTCGGAAGTGGCAGCCTCCGCGGAAGCGTCAATGGCAGCTTTGGACGTAGCTTCAGCAAGAGCTACTCTACCAGCAACCTTCGCAAGACCTTCGATCCCGATTCGGACAGCATCCTTGCTCCCGGGGCCATGCAGAATGGCAGTGGGCGTAGCAACGGCGGCAGCCTAAAACGTCTAACCATCGACCGCAGCCTGCGCAACGATCTCTTCAGTCGCCCCGCCAGCACCTCGCCTGCGACCATCATCAACGGAGATGACTCGGCCCATCCGGCTGATAAGCTCAAGAAGAAGGTCAGCTTCGACTCGGCCCCGGCTGCCCCCCCAGTTTCCGGTGGTGAGGTTGTGCGTGTTGAATCCAAGAGCCCCGAGCCTACCCCTGAGGAGCTTGGCTTCCTCCGCTCTACTCGTAAGAGTGGCAGCCTCAACGGCATTGATGGCATGGCCAGTCGGTCGGAAATGGAATCCGCCGGCCGCGATCTTGCCGTCGTTCCTGAGAATGGTGAACCTAGCCCTCCTAGTTCTAGCCTCACGCGCGTCTCCTATACTCAAGGCGAGGATCCCAAGCCGGGCGACTACTGGATGAAACCTTCCTTCGATGAGCTCAGCAAAATGAGCCGCGAGCAGCTGAAGCGCGTCGTGGACTTCACTGTCGGCCGTAATAACTGTGGTGAGGTCACTTTCAACGGCCCTGTCGACCTTACCACTGTCGACCTGGACAACATTTTCGGTAACATTGTGGACATCGCTTTGCGGAGAATCACGGTCTACCCGGAGGAAGGTGTCAAGCCTCCCATGGGCAAGGGGTTGAACGTTCCGTCTACTTTGCGCATCCAGAACTCCTGGCCGCGCGGTAGAGGCGGGAAGGCCACAAACCCTCTTAACGGCGGCCCACTCTTTGAGAAGCACATTGAGCGTCTGCGGAAGGTGGCCGACACTAAGTTCCTCTCTTATGAGCGTGAGACTGGCACATGGGTCTTTGAGGTGCCTCACTTCACCACCTACGGACTTGATTATGATTCGGATGAAGAAGGTGAGAACCTTGACCAAAGCACCCTTGGTGCAGGCCCTGATGATACTCGCACTCCTAAGGCCCAGGCCGATCATCCCGTAAGCTTTGAGCAGTCTGCGACATTTTCGATTGATGAGTCCTTCGTTGGATCAATGATTGGCGTTGATGATGACACTTTCGATTTCAAGAAGCGCAAGATTGTCCCCGGTTCTTTCGGCCAGACTATGGAGGCGGAAGATGAGGAGATGGGTTCTGAGGGCGAGACCGAGTCTTTTTTAGAGGAAGGCTCCACGGGTTCAGCTACTGAGCATGACGACGACGTCACCGAGAGCCAGCGATCTGGCGACTCGGTAGTTGAATCTGATGAGGACGAGGAGATGGACATGGCGGGTTCCTTTCCTAACATTCATCACACCGTGGAGCGGGAAGACAGCCACAGCTTCGGCAGTGATCTGGACACCACCCAGCCTATCACAAGGCCTTTTGGCACCCCCGGCAAGCCTCGGCTTGATCTCAGTGGTGATTGGACTGAGCAACTGCAACGAACCATCAGCCCTCGCAAGCAGAACCGTGACGCCCTGCGCGAGATCCAGGCGAATGCCTTTACCGACCGGCCTCTTCTGAACGATGGCTCGCCTGAAGAAAAGTCGACGAGTTCTCTGAAGACGGGTTTTTCGACCAGTATCGATCTGATGAATTCTTTGTTCCAGCAGCCGCGGAAGCAGAATGCCCCATCTCCGTTGAAGGCTTCAAAAACGCAGCCCAAGGGCTTTGAGGTTCGCACCCCCTTCTTGCTTTATACTTGATTTCACGTTCTCTTTGATGCCTTGGCCCTTTATTTGATCCACTACACGTTACCCTGTCTCTATTCATCATCATGTATCTAGCACTTGACCTTCACCCCCACAGATAGTTTACCCAATTTGAGAACCCTTTGAGCTAAACTCTTTTTCTTCCGAACGCAGTGGCCCTACAACAAGCAACCCAAAACCTTCGCCGGGGACGAAACGAAGATGGACGCAAAAGATGTCGCTTTCCACGATTCCTTCAAGCCTCGCTGGGGTCCCATGGATTCTCTCGTTTGCGCCAAAAGTGACATGGAGCCTCTGCCAGATGCTGACCAGCGCTGGCAAGAGCGTTTCTCGGTTTTCAGTGAGGCCAGAGATATCGCCGTGATGGGCTATAACCAGTTCAGCAACGTATGTACCTCCTCGCTGTTCGATTTCGGAATTGGTTTTTAACGATCATCCAGTCAAAGGAGATGCTGGATGTTCAAAAGCAGCAGTCCACCATTCAACGTATTGATGGGATTCCTATGGCTTGGATGTCCAAGATCGACCTTCGCCAGTTTGCCTTTTCGCCAGTCAAGGATGAAGAGCGGTTGGTGTGGCAGCTGACCAATATCCTTTTCAACGATGACATCGAGGATGACATTTCAGCTGGTGTGCCACTGCAATTGCGGTCCAAGTTCGCGCATCGCATCAAGAAGGACCGGCTGACCCGACTTTGGGAATCCATTATTCGTGAGCGACACGCTCATTCCGTCGATCTCATTCGCTCGCCGGAGGAACGCGCCGTTCAACTTCTGTGCTCCCATCGTGTTGACGAGGCATGCAAAGCCTTGGTTGAAACTCAGGACCTCCACTTAGCCACTGTGGTTGCACAGATTGGTCGTGATGCCACCTCGCGGGCCGACATGGCTAATCAGATCGACGTATGGCGCCAGAACAATGTGCTCTCAGAGATGAGCGAGCCTGTTCGGGCTCTTTACGAACTGGTCGCGGGCAACAGTCTCCACAGTGAAGGCAAGTCTGGTGGGGCTCTCGAAGACAGAGCCTCCAGCTTCACCTTTACCGAGCGGTTCGATCTGGATTGGTTCCAGGCCTTTGGTCTCCGCCTCTGGTACGGCATTACTGAAGATGAGCCGATTGAAGCCGCCGTGTCCAAGTTCCTCGCCGACATGGCTACCGGCCTTGAGCCTGCTTTCCCCCATCCTTCGCACGGTGCTAGCACTCGTGCGTCTGTCCAGCCCGGCTCAGACACTCTTGGCCGTGAGTCTCCATTATGGGTGCTGCTCAAGGCTTACTCGGCTGCGAATGGCAGCAAGAGTGTCCGATCCGTTGAGCTCCCTGCAGCTCTGCTCCCCGAGTCTGTCTCTGGCGACCGATTGACCAACCGGCTATCTTTCCAACTTCACCGCGTTCTCGCCACCATTTTGGGACATCACGATGCGATAAAGATCGATCAATTTCAAACCGACCGTCTTACGTGGGACTATGCATCCGAGATTATTGCTGGCGAAGAGCTCGGCCCTGCGCTCTTTGTCCTTCTCCACCTTTCGCAGCATGAAGAACGCAAACGTGCTGTGCAAGAGACCCTCTCTCGCTTCGGCGCCCTTCTTCCCGATCCCGAGCCATCTGGGGGCTCAGAGTCTGCCTGGCTGCACCTGACCACCGAGCTCCAACTCCCTGAGGCCTGGATTTGGGTTGCTAAGGCCCTGCACGCCCGTGACAGTGGCGAAGCTACGCGGGAAGTGGATTGTCTCATCCGTGGCAAGCACTGGAACGACGCCCACTCTACCTTCTGTCGCGCTGTCGGTCCTACCGCAGTCATCTCGCGCGACTACGTCACTCTCGAGCGCCTGGTCTCCGGCTTCGGCGAGAGCCCTGAGCGCAAGATGCGCAACTGGGCTTCTGGTGGTGGCATCTACGAGGACTTCCTGCGCCTGGCCACTGCAACCCGTGGTCGACGTGACCCGATCCGTCTCAGCCGTCTGGTAAATGCCCTCGTGAAGATGGGCGACCACGTCCGCAACGGCAAGGGCATGGATGGGTTGGAGGAGCGTGTAGCCTTCAAGGAGATGAGCCGGGCGGTTGCCGGCTGGATTACACATGAGGATGTTCAGGTTTGTTTTCCCTCTGCTACTTCATTCATACAGTCGCTAACACTCAATCAGTCCGTTGAGTCCTCAGCAGTACTCGGTCTACCACTTACCGGTGATGCTCGTGTCCTGCAAACCGTGGAGATGGGCCGCAGATATTATGGAGTTATCATGGCTGGCGGCTACTAAGATGTGATGGAAAGATTATTGAAAATGTGATTTCCGTGTTACGCATTTCGAGTCCCCCATGCCCTTGTTTCCCCCTAGTTGTTTCCTATGTTCACCCCGACATGAATGTACTGTACTTTACAATCTTATTATTACGCCTTGCCTTTATTTCCCGTAGAGAGTGCTCCCTTGAAACAAATCGCAGCGTCCTTTTGCGAGTAGTCCGATAGAACTAGATACCTAAAGAGCAATATGAACTCGCAGGGGCTGAGAGTATGAAATCCTCTTGTTTAAGCTTTTCGGTTTTTCCAGTTTCTTATCGATTATTTCCAGTTTTCAACATGAAAGATAAATCAGAAGAAAATCGAGGGAAATTAATCATAGTGAAATGGAGTTTCATGCTTCAAACGTTCCTTTGCGAGTGTTGGAGCCTTAGGATGAGGGCTCCAATCTTCAACACATATAATCTCATAAACTTACGACTATTGTAATGGGCTATGACCGTCACTATTAGCTCTGAAATGTATCGCAATTTCTTCTCACCACGGTCCCTTTTTGGGTCTTCGAGGCTCTACGTCCATGAGAGATCCACCCCAGGCACATTTCAGCGCACCTGAAGCTCACTATGAGATTACGATCCCTCGGACATGCTCCGCAAGAAAGGCCTAGAAGCATAATACGGATGAGACTAGTTTTATGGTGGTAGGATGGATTTCTCTGGCGAGGTATATAATATCTACCAGGTGGACGGCCCTGTACGGATTTGGCATCGTGAGCTAAAGCGTTCCAAAGGAAAGCAAGATTACTGTAGCAGTAAGTTAGATAGTGTCAGGATTTTGGTGCATAAGCTATGCATTTATCCAAAGCTTCCAAGTCAACATGGAAGCACTCTCTTCCATCCTTTCCGTCATCTCTCACCGCCTTGTATCTTGATTTCCAACTGGGTGAGCACTTAAACGGAAAAGGAATGGTAAGATTTGGCAGACTTTATCCTGTCTATATGCTACTGTAGCGATACAGTGGGCTCCATTCGCCATGGATCCGCCACCGTTCGACCCCTCGTCATCCGACCACTTACCTCAGTCACTTCCAGTCTCGGGGCTTCAGGGTATGTCCGATGCCGATGTATCTGGCAACTGGACACCCGATAACCCAACCGTTGATTGGGATGCTTTGAACAATTTCTGTTTTTGTTCGTCTGAACCCACCAACTTCGACTGGCCTCAGTGGTGTCTCGACTCAAACTTGGAAGGCGAAGGTCATTCAGTCTTGCAATCATCAGGAGCCCCAAACGAAACCCTGCATTATTTGCAGACGGGTATTCCAACCAATTTTGCTCAACTGCAGAACCTTTCGAATGTCTCGCAGTGGCTAGATGGCGCGTGGCGACCTCCAGTGCCCTGCATACATTGCCGCAGACACCGGCTACAGTGTCTTATAATTCGCACCACAGATGCAAACCCCAATCCTGTCACCTCTTGCTCTAGCTGTGTCGCTCTTTTCCGGGAGTGTAGTCTTGCCAAGGGAACAAAGCGGCTTCCATCCGGCTTCGAGACTTTCTCTCCCGTTCTGGGCCACCTGCATGGCCTTCCGGAACAAACGGAGGATAGTGTACGTATCCTCTTCAACCGTGTCCCCTTTCAATTCTCACAATCGGTAGCAGGGCAACAATATCCTTGAGTCCCTGGAGACAACAAAAGACCGCAGCGGATCCAAACAATTTGTGAGAAAAGGAGCTAGGGTGTTGCGGGAGTGGTTCCTAAGGAACCAGGAGTATCCCTACCCAAATGAAGACCAAAAATCCCAGCTCTGCCATGAAACCGGGTTTTCGCAAAAGCGCATTTCAACTTGGTTTGCGAATGCACGCCGACGGCAAAAGCAAAAGATCCAAACGTCAAACATCGCAACACCCTTTCGTTTCCGGTCAGGGTCGCCACTTGTCACGAGCACAATAAGCTCATTGACACCCATGGAAAGATGGCAAGCATCACCTCCGGAAGATGAAGTGGCTCCCGAATCTGCCATTCAAGATGCCATGGCCTCGGGAACCGTCGAGGCCGATGCAGCCGTGGACCCATTTCAACTCGATATGTCGAGTATGGATCTGTTCAATTTCGACGAAACGTCTTCTCATCTCGCATCCTCTGTTTCCAGTTTTGGGAGCAGAGTGTCGGAAATATCGGAAAGTGCGTCTTCAGCATGGAGTCATCAGTCGGGAGGAGAAGGCGGATTGTCTTTTCCTATGCTACCTAAGACACAGCGCTCTCGCCGGCGGGATCGACAACATCTATCAGGAGAGGAAGGTCAATACCAATGCACATTTTGCATGCAGTCTTTCAGGAAGAGGCATGACTGGTCACGGCACGAGAAGAGCGTTCATCTTCAGCTCGATTCCTGGATCTGTACGCCGAACCTCGATGACCTCCAGCAACACTATGCCTTTCAGGTTGCTGAATGCTGCTTCTGCGATACTCCTTTCCCCACGTCGGCACATTGGGAAGAACACGAGTTTCATATCTGTTCTGACAAGCCTACAACTGAGCGTTCTTTTAGTCGGAAAGACTATTTGTGGCAGCATCTGCGCAAGTTCCATGCCTGTACCAAGATCCCTGTTGACCTCGATGCATGGCGTGGAATAGGTGGCAATGCCCAAAGTCGTTGTGGCTTCTGCGACTGCTCGCTCTCCACCTGGACAGCGCGGGTGGAACACATAGCAGAACACTTCAAGAACGGAGCACGCATGCAACAATGGGTAGGCGATTGGGGACTCGATTCATCAGCCATGAGCGTTCTGCGAAATGCCGTCCTGCCCTCTCAGCGGTCTCTGTCGAGCCCATCTACATGATACAGTTCACGAGTAACGAATTAATGTCCAGATATGACTCAAATTTTTATGCAGCGCTAATCGTAGAATAACGTAGTTCATAGCCCTCAGTATTCGACGGTCTGCCATCCGCGATGGTACCACGCCCCCATACCCAGCGCAAACACGACGAGGCTACCATCGCGCACAAAATCCCTGAAGAGCGAGACGACCATCCCTAAACCACCCTGTTTCCCACCCAGTAACATCCGGCCACCGGTCAGGAGCATTTCACCAGTAACGAAGATCAAGAATGGGTTCTGTGCCGTGGCAGGCTTGGGCGGGGCACTTCCGAACATTGCAACAGACGCGCTGATGACGAACAGCGAGTAGAAAGCCATGCCGAGTGCGAAGAGGACATGCAGCGTCTTCCATATCCGAACGGTCTTCTGCTCCGCCTCAGTCAGTTGTTGACCACCACCCAGCATGTTTGCGAGGAACGGCGGAACCCCAAGAGCGCCCGCGATATCTGCTGGTGAGAATCCAGACGGGGGCTGTCCGGGTGCCCCGCCGGGGCCACCTGGCGCAGGCGCATTCGGGTCGCCTCCCATGGATCCCATCAGGGATTGAAGAAGTTTCATAGTTGGGTCCTCCGCCATGTTGTCTGGCTGTTGGCCCTGTCCTTGCGCGGGAGCTGCCTGTTGGAACATGGCGCGGAAGGCTTCCTGTTGCGCCTGCATGTTTTCTGCCGACTGCATGTTGGACTGTTGACCCTGGCCTTGCTCGGGGACTGCCTGGCGGAGCATGGCGCGGAAGGCTTCCTGCTGCGCCTGAAGTTGTTGTTGTGACGACTGCATATCCGGCTGAGGGCCCGGCGAGGGTCGAGACTGCGGTAGAGGGGAAGGAGACGGAGAGACTGCAGGCTGAGGGGATGGCGAGGCTTCTTCACGGTCTGCAGTTGCGTCAAGTTAGTCAAATGATACAAGTAGCTGGGGCAGAGTATTATCGTGCTCTAGGTATTCATTTCGTACCAACTTGCGGTGTGCGACCGCTGAGGCTAGTGATCTTGTCCAAGCGCGCGGAGCCTCCCTCCTTGATTTTGGCCTCTCGGCGCTCTCGGCGCAGGCGTGCGGCTCGCTGGGCCGGAGACTCGTCCGGTGTTGACATCACGGCTGAGAGTGGAAAATGGAATGCAGAATTTCGTGTTCAACGACCCTCGATTTGGGAATGGAGAAGAGATTCCCTGGTGCGCAACGGCAAGTAATGAGGGGAGATGTCTGGGGTGGAAGTTGAGGAAGCTCGAGTCCCGTGGTGATAAGAAAACCCACTTATCCCATGCCAGCATCAACCTCCACTTTGCAAGAAACACTATACAGCTTTGCGAGCATAGATCCATGGCATTCAAATACAGTGCAAATGCGGACTATTTGCAATACTTGACATTCTCGGCTTACCTTTGACAATCCCTTCCCGCTCTGCTCCTTGGGACCTCTACTATGCGCAATTATATATCCAGCTACCCAGGTGTCCCACGGACATTGGATCAACTCGCTCAAAGAAAAAATCTCTTAACACGACGCAACCGCTCACTCAACAATAACCAACAGAATCGCTGATCATCAGAATAGCAAATGAACCACCATGACACCCGAAATCGGCAGCGTGGTCAGGGTGAATGAAATTGGTACAGTTTCCGGCACACGATCAGCGCGCAGCATAGCGATGACTCGCTGAAAGTGAGCTATCATCATCCACTAGCCCCTTCGTCGGTGTACGCGGTCTGCCCCAGGGGTGATCTGATCGCTGGGTTTGTACTGTAGATCGTCGGCTGGGGTCTCGACGCCCATTTGATGGATTCAATGCCTGTACAGCACAACCTGTCGGTGGACACGCTCACTCGATCAGAGTTTCCAAGGCTGTTGGATCCCGGGGAATAAATTTCTAGACTTCTGTGGATGAAACCGTGTATTGTGCTGCATAAGTATTGAAGTCATGGCGAAATAGTTCCCCCTGGTGACATCATGTACGGGGGATCCATCAGACAGGAGCGACCAGTGGCTACATTGGTGTTGGTAAAAGCAAGATGTAAAAGAATACAACGTGGTATTGTCAATTCCCAGTATTTTGGTTCAAAATGCTATAAGAGCGTGAAAATATAGCAGTATCTGGGCAGTGTTGAAAAACAGCTATATCAAGGTGTGACGGATATGAGCGGTGCCAAGGGATTCCGCCACGCATATACCGTACCGTACTGGAGAGCAACAGCTCCGCAGTGGAGAAAGTCGATCTCTTGTACTCTGCGCTATCAGTCACAGATAGACTATGGGCGAATGGCAGCGCGTTTATCATCGTCATCGCACTTTTCCGGGTTCCGCCCGCCGATGACGTAGTTCCTGGGGAGAGCTGTCAGAGCTGATGTCCAACCTCACGACTTTTTGCTTTTATGTTCTTTTAACCCCTTCCTCTAGTATCAATTCCTGCGTTTCCTGCCGGTAGAAGCGGGGTTTAACGTGAGGGAATCCTGCTCGACATTCTACGATAATATCGCCCCCCTACCTCTGGACGGCCGACTCTACTGTACATATTTCATTGAGACGCAAGCCTCTGCCATGGCTTCCGGGACTCAACAGGGAATCGGAGAGCCTGAGCGACACCGCGTTGGAGAGCATTGGAGTGGTACCAATCCCGTTCCAACCGTCCAGAAATTCATCGAGCATCTCGACCAGGAGAAGCACGAGCGCGACAAAAGAATCGACGATGAGAACCTGGCCAAGAAGGAAAAAGCTCAGAGACAAAAAGACCAAGAGAGCAGAGGAGAACAGCCCGAGGATACGCAGAATGGAGAGTTCATGAAACACAAGCCACGCGAGATCTCGCAGGCCAAGATTCGCAACGTGACCGATCCCACTACTGGCAAGGAGATTGGCGTGGAGGATCAGGATGAAGACTCAATGGAAGTAGTCAAAAACCCCAGGGTATGGGCGTCTGAAATAACATACGTGAAACACTGATTGACTGGACTCTAGTTGACTGTCCCTAACGCTAATATCGGACAACCCACCGTGAGTGCTTGCATCCTCCAATTGGTATATCGAACATACTGACAACCATCAGTCTGTACAAACGAGTCACGATCAAGATTTCTCCGAGTATAAGGAGAACCAGGACATCACCGCGCCCCCTGACCCCATCGCGGAGGGAACAACCTCCGATGTACCCATTCGCGGGGAAAGGACTAATGTGCTCTTCCATCCCACGCCCACCGTTTCATATCAGCCGATGTATGAGAAGCTGGAAAAGCGTGCGATGGAATTGTGTATTGCCATCTTGTTTGCCATCATCGTTCTAGGACGGACCTTTGGAGGTTCTCTATGGGGCCTCATTCCGCTTGCTGGATGCATTACAAGTGGCGTATGGCTATGGATGCACGAAGTTGTCCGGAGGGGCAAGGTGATGGAGTGGAGTAGCGAACAGCTCCGCGGACAAACTGTACGTTGCTTCTTTCCGAGCTTTATGCGCCACATTTTGCTGACTATTTTATGAAGGCAACTGCCAACCTCCTCCCCGAATCAGTGGAATGGATGAATACTTTCCTCGGCGTCATCTGGGGCCTCGTCAATCCCGATATGCTGCAACCCGCGGCAGATACAATTGAAGACATCATGCAAGTATCTGCCCCCAAGGTCGTTGAGAATGTCCGAATTGCGGAAATCGACCAGGGTAACAACCCTTTCCGCATCCTCAGCATGCGCGCTCTGCCAGATGATCATGTCCAGAACCTCAAGGACAACATCCGTGACGAGAACAGGAAGAATAAGGATCCACAGGAAGCTGCTGCCGCGGAAGAAGGAGGTAGCTACTACAATATGGAGGCATCCTTCGCATACCACGCAATACCAACCTCCGGGACCGCCTCTTCCAAAGCTCGCAACATGCATATGCACCTGGTGTTCTATTTGGGAATTCGCGGCTTGTTCGGCGTACCTTTCCCTGTCTTTGTCGAATTGACCGAGTTGGTTGGTACAGTCCGTCTCCGCTTGCAGTTGACGCCCGAGCCACCGTTCGCGAAGGAGGTGACCTTTACGCTTGTCGGTATTCCACATGTTAAGGCGGCCTGTGTGCCTATGGTGCGGAGGGGTGTCAATATTCTCAACCTGCCGCTGATCTCGAACTTCGTTAACTATGCTATTGGCGCAGCCTGTGCGATGTTTGCTGCTCCCAAGTCGATGACTATGGACTTGAGCATGTTGCTGAAGGGTGATGATATCGAAAAAGATACTCAGGCTCTAGGCGTCATGTGGGTTCGTATCCATCGTGCCGTTGGCTTGAGTAAGCAGGACCGCCGCGGTAGCGAAGGTGGTGGTAGCGACCCCTACATCAACCTTTCCTTCTCCAAATACGGAAAGCCCATGTACTGCACGCGCGTTATCACGGATGACCTCAACCCAATTTGGGAAGAGACCGCCGCGCTGTTGGTCACTCCAGAACTAATCAAGGCGAACGAGAATTTGAGTATTGAGCTCTGGGACTCGGATCGGAACACTGCAGATGACATTGTCGGAAAGGTGGAAATGCCCATCCACGAGCTGCTCCAACACCCAGGCCGGATGTACCCGCAGGTCTCCAAGCTTCAGGGTCTTGATGTGGATAGTGAAATGCCCGGCCAGTTACACTGGGAAGTCGGATACTTTGCTAAGCCCAAGCTTCGACCAGAGTTGCGCACCGATGGCAAGAAGAAGGATCTTCCCGAGAGCTTCCAAGGTGACCCAACCTTCGAGGACGAGAAGGGTACTATCACTAATGAGGAGGAGGATGCGGTTATGCATACTCCTCCGGACCCCATCTGGCCTAGTGGCATTGTGCACATCGTCGTGCACCAGATTGTCAATCTGCAACTTGCCAACATCAAGGGTAGTGAGGGAAATCGCAAGGGTAAGGAGTATGAGCCTGCGAAACCGTTTGGTGAGAACACCGAAGAGCAGGGAGGTGACCTGCCCACGAGCTACTGCAAGATCATGCTCAACGACCAACTGGTAAGTATCTACCACTCTTTAACTTCAGTGCAAGCTCCGACTCACTGTTTCTTAGATTTACCGTACTCGAGCCAAGGCCGTAAGCTCCAAGCCCATCTTCAACGCCGGAACAGAACGGTTCATCCGCGACTGGCGCTCAGGCGTGGTCACTGTCACCGTACGAGACCAGCGATACCGCGAGCACGACCCGATCCTCGGCGTCATTCCAATTAAACTGTCCGACCTCTTCCAGACTAGCTCCCAGGTCACCCGGTGGTATCCGCTGGACGGCGGCGTTGGATTCGGACGAATCCGTATCTCAATACTGCTCCGACACGTGGAGACCAAGCTGCCTCCCAACATGCTCGGCTGGGACGTTGGCACATTCGAGTTTGACAGCGACAAGGTTGTCGCCAAAGGCTACGGCCGTAACGTCAAGATCAGGACGCGCACTGGCGGTAGCGTGGGTAAGCTCACACGTCGTATCTGCCACATGGATGGCGAGGATGCAGTCTTCGATACATCGGATGAGAGCTTCCGCGATTCCCTGCGTTTGCCAGTCAAGCATCGCTATCGTTCGCCCGTGGTCTTCGAGTTCCACCTCAAGGGTAAACGAGGCGCTGCGGCATATGCCATCCTTTGGCTGCAGCATCTGGTTGACAACGAACACACCGACATTGACATCCCGATCTGGACAACAAAGTCCGGTCCTCGTTTAACACAGAACTACATCACCGAAGCGAACTGGCGCGCCAAGGAAGTTCCCGGCCTGGAAGATCTGACAGAAGTCGGACGCCTCCAATTCAGCTGCCGATTCTCACCCGGGATCGACGAATCACACGAGGCTTTCGTGGTAGACAACGACTCGCGCGAGACCTTTGAAACATGGGAGGCATGCATGTCACAGGGAGTACGATCTCGCAGCGTATCAACCGAGGTCCCGAGCGAAGTCCAAGAAAAGCACGAACAATCACTCGTCGACGGTCGCGACGTCCTAAAGCAAGCCGACCCCGCCGAACGCCGACGTTGGATCGACCGCGAAGGACATGACTGGAGCGGTGCATTCGGCCACGATCCTCGCGCTTACACCGACGAAGTCGGTCGCAAGGTCGCCGAGCCTGGACAAGACAAGCCTCGCCATGACCCTATAACTCCGCCACCAATCAAGGAGCAGCCTTCCGCCCATTCTGGTTCGCAAAACGGAGAAGCCGATAGCAACTCTACCTCTGACGAGTCCGAGGGGGAGGACGGGGAGTCATCGAATGGACCGTCGACTGTTAGCCCCGTTGCCACTGCTTCGTCGTCGCAGGCGGGTAACGACACCTCGAATAAGGCTAATAAGCGCAGTGAGCAGCGTCAGCAGCGTGGCTTGATGCAGTGGCGCCCTGCGCGCAATGCGCAGTTCGCGAAGGACGAGGCGAAGTTTGTGCTGCGCAAAATGAAGAAGAAGATTGGGGCTGGTGGTCTTACTGGCCGTGAGCCTGACATTGAGACGGAGACTTGATTTTGTACTTGGAAATTTGTAATGGTGTGTGATGGGTGTTTTTGTATATCACGATGTGAATGTCTCGGTAACCTAGTTCAAAAATCCCACTTTGTACAATTCACGCTAAAGTGAGAGAATCTTCCTTAGGAGAGTCGGTGTTTCGTAACGCTGGCGTTGATGATGTGATAATCTAAACTTAAATGACGACGAGCTCTAGCTCCAGCGAATGATTCAAGTCGCAGATTAAAAAGGAAAATAAGCACGATCATGAGAAGTTCGTCCATGAATTATAAGAAATGATGCCCGGGAACCGGGATGGAAATATTCGCTAGTAAACCGCCAAAAAGCCCCCAGGGCCTCTATATGACCAAAGACATGAATCATAAGCAAAAATGGTATATGCAAGAAAAAGAAAAATAAGCGGTCATGGCAAGGTCGTCAACACCGGTTCAGTGGCCGGATTGCGCTTCTGCCTGTTCATCCGGCGTGTACGCAGAACCTTCCGACGGCGTCCGCTGAGACGAGTCCGAAACATCACTTTGAGACTCCGTATGCAACGGTCCTAGTGTCCACTTCCACTCTCTCCGCCGTTTCACACGACCCTGCCTCGGCGTCTGCGGCGTGGAAGAGTAATCCGGCTCCAAGCCATCTAGCAAAGCTACAGCGCGCACCTGCCGCTCAACACCCATCGAGCGACGTTTCTTGCGCTCGACCTTGGAGAGCGAGGCATCGCGCAGCCCAGTTTCATCAGCGCTGCCTTCGTCGGAGGTGCTATTTTCTGAAAGGGATGCACTGCCCGAATCCGAGTCATCCTCGGCGGGGTCGGCTGTTGGCTCGGGCGTGGGTGCCTGGTGCACAGCCTCTTCGTGGATAAGATCCAGATGCTTCGCCGTGTATGTTTCGGTGTGAATCTCCTCCTCGAGTGGTTGCCGGTAGCTCACTTGCTTCTTGGCGGGGAAGAAGACACGGCGAGTGCCCGGGCCGGGCCCACTGGTGCCTGCGGAGACGGAACCCGAGCGTCGCCGGGCTGACTCAAGTGGGGAGTTTCGCAAGATGCTGCGCACTCCTATGGGCAGCTGGTAGGGACGGTAGCTGAACGGGTGGGTGGGAGGGTGGTGGACGTAGGGAGAGATGGGTTTGTTGTTGTTGAATCGGTGGGTGGAGGATGTCGATGTCTTGGAGGGGGAGGTTGTTGTGGAGGATGGAGATGTGACATCGTAGGCATTCTTGAAGGTGTTGCGCACCGTTGGTGATGCGCCGGCTCCTGCCGTGAAGGAGAGGGAAAGACCGGTGGTTGAGCTGCCGAAGGTGCGCGGCAGAGATGTAGTTTGGAGGGTGAGTTTGGGTCGTGAGGTGATACCCCGATGGTCGGGCTGGGAGAGACAAGACATGGTTGTCGAAGAGCATGAAGCACATCGCCCGTCAGGCGAAGAGGGATAGAGTGGTGTCATGGAGCATAACGTGGGGGAGAGTGCGAGGGAAACGATTTACCGGTGGCGGGGGGTGGGCTAAGAATAGTCGGCGCTTGCAACTGCACCTGCGACGTGACGAAGTGCCCTGAAGCACGTTGGGGAGCGCCAACCACGATATTAATATGAACGTTTCCAGGTCGAGCCCGAATCGTCTCCGGTCTCTCTGTATAAATTAAATCTCGGTCAAAAACCCCGGTGCCGCAGAATTTTCCCAGCTATTGACGCCACAACCAGCCCCGTCGCACATGGTGATCGACCACGATCGTTTCTCCCGTTCTAATTAAATCTAAAAAAGGCCAGGTGTACTGTACTGTAAGCAGCTCATGGACCCACGGGGGCAAATCGAATAAAAAAGAGCCTGAACCGGGCGCAATAACTGAAGATCAGGTTGAAACCACCGAGCGCAAAGCGAGTTCTATAAAAAGAACGTGGGGCCAGATCTTCGCCGCTCGAAAACGCGTCCGTGTCTTGATTGCCTCTGCAATGTCGCTTCTTCTCGCCCCAAACTGTATGTTCGTCATCACCCCTCATCTGACCATCCATGGATACCTCTCCTTCTACGGAGTTGGTGCCAGTCACACCAGCGACCCCTGTTTCGCGTCTCTAACGGGCTCCTCAACCTGCTACCACGTCCTGATCCCGGTCCAGGTCCACCCACGGTCCGTTCGTCCCAAACTCCGTAGATTGTGCTCGCTACCGCATTCCAACGTATGATACTCCACCATCGTCCGGGTGACCTGCAAGCTTAATCGTGAGACCCAGCGGGACGAGACGGAGACGGTGTTGCGGCTCTAGATATCCGTTCCTTGATCCAGACGGGTCTAGATCTCGGCGCTATGACCCCGGCGAGATTGGATGTGGAGCCGTTCGGGCGTTTCTTCCCTGCCGGTCTGGAATCCCCCCGACTGTGATACCATTGCATGGAGGGGTCAAGAGCGCTACACATCCTAGAAATGATTGCCGGGTTTTTTGGAATCCTTCAAAGTCAACTGTAAATTCCTCGTGTTCGCGGCCAACCTTATTCATAGTGATGATGTCATCTTGCCTCGAGATATTATAACTGAGTCGACTGCCAGTAAATCCTCATTCGACTTGTATTTCGCAAAACAGTTTCCATGATGCCAAAATCAATTGCAATCATTGCCGGTGCAGGGCCGGGGACAGGCAGCGCCGTCGCCCGCCGGTTTGCTCAGGTCTACCCAGTAGTCCTGCTTGCTCGATCGCAGCAGTCCCTCGATCCCTTAGTCAACGATATCACCCAGAGCGGGGGGTCCGTATTGGGCATACCTACAGATGTGACCAGCGCCTCGAGTATGAGCTCGGCAATGGACCAAGTCAAGACGCAGTTTGGTCCTGATCTGAGCATCGCGGCCGCAATCTACAACGCTGCGAGCAAATTCACGAGAAAACCTTTCCTAGAACAAACCCCGGAAGAGTTTTTAGGGAGCCTTGAATCAACCGTCAAGGGCGCTTTCAACTTCTCTCAGGCCACGCTTCCCTTGATGTTGAATCCAGACAACCCGCAATATCCACCCACCCTCATTTTCACCGGTACAGAACTCGAATTCAGTTGCTGAAAGGTTTCTAACTTCTCATCATAGGTGCAACTGCTGCACTCAAGGGAGGCTCTGGACTGTCCGGGTTCGCCGTGAGCAAGTTTGGAATCCGTGCCATGTCTCAGTCTCTCGCGCGTGAATTCGGACCCAAGGGTGTTCACGTCTCCCATGCTATCATTGACGGGATCATCGATACTGAGAAAACCAGGGGGATCAGTCAAAACACCCCGGATTCGAAGATTGATCCTGAATGGCTAAGGACATTAGCATTCCCGGAGCAATCACTTGTCGTGCTGATCGGTTCATAGATTGCGGAATCATACTGGTTTTTACACACCCAGCCCCGAACTTCATTTACCCATGAAATAGATCTCAGGCCGTACTCGGAGACGTGGTGAATGGAAAGCCATTAACTATGGCTGAATTGATAATCAATTTTTGGAATCTTCAGGGTGACTAAATACTATTATAAAAAGCAAAATACGCCTAGGCAAGCGAGCTGTCACAAGCGCCATGTATGTACTTCGTAAGATAAATGTCTCAAGAAACACATCTGAAGAAATGGACACGTTTTAAATGTCATTTATGGCCACTGGAAGGTCAAATCACTTCTTGGATTGCTTATTCTTCTGCTGTCGGAGGAATTCCTCCACCTTGGTCCAACTGAGCTCGGGATATCGATCATTATCCAGCGCCTCGAGTTTACCGGCACCAGAATGCATGTTGGTCATGTACTGCAGGCCCTGCCAAATTGGCAACGTCTCATTTTGACCGCCGAAAAGACGCAAAACTCGAATCACGAATTCCATGAACCACACGGGGCCAATCCACGAAGGAGTGTATTGTACACCTTCCACCTTGGTCTGTGCATCTGCAATATCCTGCACAGTAACCGTATCGCCGGCAATGCGGAGGAAGTTGGGCGTAGGATTCGGGTCGACAGCCACAGCAGCCGTGTACGCAGCCGTGTCCTCCATGGTGGTGAAATCAAGCTGCTGCGTCATTTGACCGATATACGGGACCTTGCGACTTTTGTGATTGATCATCGGCGAGTCGCCGGCCATCAAATCCATGAAAGGACCATTGAGAATACTCGTCCATGTAATACCCGACTTTCTGAGCTGGGTGTGGAACTCGCGGCGCAGATCCAAGTTTCGGTTGGACCCTGGCTTTATCTTGGTGAAGTCAAGAGCAAAGTCGGAAGGGATGAATTTTGGCACCTTGGCCGCCACGGAGGCCTCTAGGAGGTTGCCCTGGGCGGTGTGCATGACGTCTTTCAAGCCCTGGAGTGAAGAAACGACACAAATTGCTCCGTTCAGCTCACGGGTGAGAGCAGGCACATCTGAGAGATCAACTGGAGTGATGGCAGCGCCAGCGTTGTGAAGCTTCTCTGTGCGAGATGGATCGGTGTCAGGGCGCACAAGGGCCTTCACGGCCACACCTCGCTTGAGGAGATCCATAGTAATAAGCTGGCCCAGTCCGCCGGAGGCGCCAGCAACGGCAACAAATGGTGAGGCCATTGGAGTTGTAGTTATCAGAAGGCGAGACAAATGGTGGTGGTGGTTATGTAAGTTGCGACTGAGAGAAAGACGGTTATCGGAATGTGAGTTCAACCTGAAGGAATCTTCCTAGGTAATAAATACATTCAGCCCATTATTATGATCTAAAAAGATCTGCAGTTGAACTTGCTCGACGTTCTGCGCAATTAGTCATTCTACGCAATTAGTCATGACGATTGTTCGGTCGGCTTCGGGATCGAGATCAACCCCGAGGGCCGAAACCCTTGACAAACTGCCCCGGTGGTATCTCTCCAGGCGAAAAACGCAGTAGAAAAAAAGATCAACTGCATGTGTGATAATACTTGCTACTTGTTTACTATGTCTGCCTATTGCTGCAATTGAATCCAAAGACCAATACCGTACTAGAAGGTGGAGGGCGGCAAGCAGCTAATTTGAGGCGTGGACGATCTAAACATCTTTTGTGTTCTCGTCATTGACGGCCTCATTTGGAACAGTAGGACTGATTCCTACAATTATATGCTCAATTGCATAGTTGCTGGGATACAAAGTCCGTTGAAGATTGAGTATGTCCCAAAGTTTTATGAACGATACAATTTAATTTCAGATTCTCATTTTCAAGCTCAACTAGTTTAATAAGTAACAGGCTAGACTTATTCCCAAGCAGAAGCGTTCTTTTGGACAAACTCCGCCCAGGTAGTGGGTCTGGAGTCAAGGAGTTTCAGGCTAGGCTCGAGAGGCTCCCCCAAGTAGTAGCCGGGCTCTTCCACAAACAGCTGGTTCTCAAGATACTCTTCCGCTATGGCAGGAGGCAAGGCGGCCTTGTACTGTTCCGAAGAAATCTGCATGAAGACAGCCTTCTTGCCGGTAACCTGAGAGAAGGTGTCCACAATCTCCTCAGGAGTGTAGTACTGGGCAGCTGCCAGGATTTGTTTGTTCTTCAACTGATCCGCGTGCTTAATTGCGGCCTTCACAAAGAGACCTAGAAGAGGTGACTCAGTTTACGTCCAGAGTGATAAAATATGGGAGGAATCTTACCTGTATCTTTGGCGGCATCGAACAGAGGGAACTTGGCTTGCTTGCCAACAGGGTAGAAAAGCTGGTATGAGCCATCTTCGGCCCGTTTGAGCATCGACGTGAAGTTGCTCATGTAGTATCCGGGAAGGACAAAGCTGCATCCAACTCCCGAGGCGCGGATATACTTCTCGACGTTGGCCTTGCTATCGAAATGAGGAACGTGGGTGAGACGGCCCTTGCTTTCTTCCGTCACGTGGTGGAGGGAAGAGAAGATGAGGTGGGAAACACCAACGGCCTTGGAGACATCGGCCACATTCTTTCCCTGCGAGAATTCGATGTCGGCATTCATCGTTTCCCAGTAGTTAGTGACCAGGAAGACGGTGTGAGAGCCCTCAAGAGCCGTGGCCAGAGAGTCGACGGAGCCCAAATCGGCCTAAATATCCCTGTCAATGGCTATTCTTGAAAACTAGGGTATCAAGTGCAATCTTACGGTGACAACTTCGACACCCCGCTTAGCCAGGTCCTGAGCTGATTTCTTGGTGGTGTCGCGAGTGATACCGCGGATCTTGAATTCCTTCGAGAGCTGCGGGTCGGCAAGAATGGCGTCAATCACAGAACCACCCTGGTTTCCAGTGGCGCCGAAGACGGTGATCAATTTAGACATGGCGGAGGGGAGTTTAGATGAAGTCGACTGAAATCAAACTTGGTGATGTAGGGAATGGTAGTGGTTGCGTAGTGTGCTAGTTGAATCGGCCCAAGAATCGAGGATTTCAGGGAGCTTTCATAAATTTCTAGGATCAGTCTAAACCTTGAATTGGCCGAAATACGAGCAACGCATCGCACAATGCTGACCAAAGGCGCTTCGTGGACGCTCACCTTACCTAAACCAATCGGCCCTCGGACTGTTACGGTGGACGATGACACGCACATTTGTCACGTCGGGAGCCCGAGCATCCGCGCGTAGCGCATATGTATCTACTAGTAAAATCTCATGCACATGTTATTAATCCCGTGGTTAATATTTGCCAGCACCAATAAGCTCGGAATTCAGTTTTGTCAAAGGCTCTCAAGCAGCTGCATTCGATTGGGTTTGCCTTGGTGGGGGCCCGGCCTTAAACGGACGCCCGAGCCCCGAGCCTTTGCTAATCCGGGGTTTCGCGGTCATTGATGACGTGACCAGTTTTGCCAACTTGACAACGGGCCAAGGGGATATCATAAGTGGGTCTAACTAGGTGGTTATGACTGTTCGGGCATATTCCAAAGGACATTTAGAAAGAGGCCTTGGAAAAGGAATCGAAAAATTTAAAGACATTCCTAGAAGGTTTAGGACTAAGAGAATAAAGTGTTCAGGTCCATTCATTCGCAATATCTGTCGCGTTGAGGCGACTACAATCAGATCCCGGGTCACCGAGCCCCTCTCGTATTAACCGGATATGGATCATTGTAAATGAACACGCCAAACGGCCTAGTCAAACAAAGCAGCAATCTCGTCGTTGTAAAGATTGAGGGTCTGCAACCTCGATACGCTTCCCTTGTCAGTCCTAACAAAAGGCTTTCTCTCGTCAGCGATGATGATACGCTCATTAGAAAGCTTGACACAATCATGGCACCGGTCATTGACCTTTCCAATATACGGCTGCAAAGAAGAAAAAAATCCGTCGCGATCATTCCTTTCTGCCGCCTCGGGATACAGCTCAATAACCAGGACTGGAGCCGGGCGATTGCTGCCTCCAATCAAGGCAGACTTTACCGCTGGATGGGCTTCAATTACAGGCTCCAGGGCTGCGGCATATAACCCATCCCCATGGGAAAGCGCCAAGTAATCATCTGTGCGACCGACAATTTTCCACAGTCCTTCGTAGGTTGGATGTTTCTCCCACAGGTCATTTGTCTCGAAACGATCACGGTCCGGATATATCTCAAAGATCTGGGGAGCAGGGGACCCAGGTCGACGGACATAGACCAATTCATAGAGATCATTGGCGCGCTTCTCGAATTCAATGGGTGCATTCTCCTGGAACTTCACATAATTCCATGCGTCTCGCTTGTCGTGCATGGCCATCGGATATCCACCACACTCGGTACTACCGATCATACAAACAACCGGGGTATGGGAAGTCAGTTGGTCGCCTGCTTTGGCAGCTAGTGTGGCACCCGCATAATAGATAATGTCGAGTTGTCTCAGGGCATCGAGGCCTTCCTGTGTCAGACACATCTCTTCAATTATGGAAGGTGGGAAGAGACCGGCTTGCACCCTTCCATAACGCAGAATATCCACGAGAATGTCAGGCGAAGGGTGTACAGGTGGGCCAACGACCAAGGTAGAGTGCAAGAATGAAGTCGTTGCCAACGCCATTGCAGTTCCTAGCAACTAAATGAAGTCAGCAAAGAAACGTGACGGAAGATATGGTGGGGAGTCACCCACATGTAAGGATGGCAGCGGCGTATACGTCCTTCGATGGGTAAAATGGTCCTTTATGCCTGGCTCAATGCCTGACAATACTCCCACTCTATCAAGGGAGGCCATCATATGATGGGTCATTGTGATAGGCTTCGGGTTTCCTGTGTAGTGTGAGCATGCGCATGAGACTGCCTTGAACGGTGTCAGGATAACCAACCAGTGGTGCCCGAAGTGTGGAATACCATCCATGGATCATACCGCCCGTCTGCCCAGGACTTGGGGTATATAAATGGCACGGCTTCTGCTTCCTGCATAAAGTCTTCGAGGTCAGGCACGGTGATGACTTGCACGTGCGGCGCATCATGAAGTATGGTCTCAATATGATCTGCCATCGACGACGGGCGCAAGTAGAGCGTGCATTTCTTTGCGTTGAGGACGTGCATTTGGGCCTTGCCTGTACCTAGAGGCGAAGGAAGCACGATCTAAATTGAGTGATAGTCAATAACATTGCTTCGTGAGTATATCCGTACCCACATACCACTTTCTGCAACTTTGCCGCGGCGACTGCCAGAATAGAGTAACGAAGATCCTTGGGGCCGGCATAGGCAAAGCACTGAAACGGATCGGAAGCTGGAGGCAAATTGTCGTTCAACCATTTTGCAGCATGGTTTGCATAGTTGTTTAACTGCCAGAAGCTGATGTCCTTGAAGCCTAGCGATAGGTCGTGATCGTTTACGGGCACTGACGCCCAAGGCTCGGAGGGGCCATTGTGAGCTCGGCTCTCAATGACCGAGACAAGGATTCTTTCTCCATGCTTAACACCTGGAATATGAGAAACTGGCTTCGTCATAGTGACAGTATGGGGTGGATGTGAGTTTCAAGTTGGAGAAAGGACACAAGGAGGGTTTTATGTCCTGGGGGATGCCGGTCTCCCCTCAGCCGCTCAGCCTGATGTTAGGCGACCCATTCAACCCCGCATAGCGGCAATTTCCGATTCGAGGTGGGTTTTATGGAAAGCAGTAATACAGAAAGACAGGCCTCGGGGGTGAGTGAAGTGTTTAACCAGTGACAGCCTTCGGAGTTGAGCTCGGAAAACGACACTCTGTTACTCTCCAGGGCTATAGTGGAATCAACATCAGTACCTATCGACTTGAATAATCAACCTTAGAAGCATGTTCATGCTACAGATGGTATATGAAGTGGCCACATTACCTACCAGGAATCTAGCCTTTCCCCATCAATGAAAGTAGTAAAAGATCCATGGGATCAGTTCTCATGTTGGTGCCACAGTCGAAAAAGTGCCCTGAGAAACAGTCAGCTACCGGAGCCGCACGCGCCACCGCCTGCGGCGATTCAGAAGCATATCAATCTCGACTTGTCCACCTCATATCCACCCCACGCGTCTACCCATGGAGGCGACTGCGGGTCAGATCCATGGCTGCATTACCGACGCGTAACGACCTTCGCATCATCCTGCATTTGGTAATCCATCCCTCAACCGTGCAGCACCCGCCACTAACCACATCCAGGATTATGACTGCTTCTATGCCTCGGTGTTTGAAGTAGAGCAACCGGCTCTCAAATCACTGCCCCTAGCAGTCCAGCAAAAGCAGATAGTCGTGACCTGCAACTACGAGGCGCGACGACGCGGCCTGCACAAGTTACAGCTGATCAAGGATGCCAAGCGCATTTGCCCCGACGTTGTGATTGTCCTGGGTGAAGACTTGACCAAATTCCGCGATGCGTCCAAAGATCTTTATCTATTTATCCGCAGCTTCATCTGGGGCGGGCGAGTGGAGAGACTGGGCTTCGACGAGCTCTCTTTGGATGTGACCGAGATGATCGACTACAACGTCGGACTGCTGAATGCAAATACTCTGGCAACTTCCTTCTTCCATTTAGATCAACAGGACCCCACAGTTGGCTTTATCTACGATGCAACCAAGTTCGTTGGCTCTACTTATCCACCGATAGCGGCGAAAGCATCTGCGAGTCCCCCAGAAGCACTATCGCTGGAGATGAAACTGCTGGTCGCCTCCCACTTGAATGGATACCTGAGAGGGCAACTTGAACACGAGAAAGGCTTTACGGCTACTGGAGGAGCTTCTACCTCCAAGCTACTGGCAAAGTTAGTCGGCAGCGTCCACAAACCCAACCAGCAGACCACTCTGCTCCCACCTTATGAGGCATCCCGGGATGAAGCCGCAAGCAACGTCCTCGAGTTTATGGATGCCCATGAAATCCAGAAAATCCCGGGCATCGGATCAAGACTTGCACAGAAGCTACGAAGCCGGGTCACTGGAAAGAACGCCGGCGACGAGAAGGTGACGGTGCGACATGTGCGACTCTTTCCCGACATGGGACCAGCGCTACTAGAGAAGATACTCGGCGGGCCCGGGGCACCTAAAGGGATCGGCATGCGCGTATGGGGTACCTTGCATGGAGTGGACAATGCAGACGTGCTCGAGGCACGCGACCTACCGACCCAGATCAGTATCGAGGACTCGTACGGACGAGGACACCTGGAAAATATTGAAAGCGTACGGCGAGAACTGACGATCATTGCAAAGAGTCTGATCCGACGCATGAGAACCGATCTGATCGACAGGACCGAGAGCGATGCGGCTGGGCCTCGGTGGCTGGCCCACCCGCGCACCCTCCGATTATCCACGCGCCCTCGAAATCCACCGGAGACAGACGGAGCGCGCACATACAACGCCAATCGCATTTCGCGGTCAGCGCCGCTCCCTACGTTCGTATTCAATGTGGATGAGAATATCGACGCGCTAGCCGAGAGGATTGTGGGCGAGCACGTTTTGACCATGTTTCGAAAACTTCATCCCGAAAAGTCTGGTTGGGATCTGAGTCTGATGAATATCGCCGTGACCAACTTGGTCGAAAGTGCGGGGGACCAGAAACAGAGCAGCGGACGGGACATTGGGAAAATGTTCCGGCAACAGGAGACGGTGCGAAAGGATTGGACGGTGCACGATCCCGTTGCTGACCGGGCGCATCTAATGCAGCAGCCTGATGTACCCGATGTCCCTGTTTGGACCCTGGCTGCGCCGCCGGATACAACGGATGGGCGGTGGGAGGATGGAGAGGAGGAGGACGACGATGGGTCTGTAGGAACCGCAGAGTGTGCGATCTGCGGAGCTGCGATGCCGCACTTTGCTCAACTAGCGCATCAGATGTATCATGCCGCCGAGGATTAGATATCCAAACATCCAAACATCAGTGGGAGACGAAGTAGAAGGTATACAAATCGCCCATATGGACACGGCCAAGGGATTCCAGAGCAGGTCCACCAGCACGAGTGAAGGGACTGGGAAAGAAGGCATCACAATTCTTCAGCCAAGAATAGCAGTGTTTCATGCCTTGCCAAGCCAAATCAATTTTGGATTCCTTTCCTTGGCGGCTCAGCCCCAAGTTCCACCGTCGTTTCCCTTTGCTTGGCCGATTCGCCTCCTCTACATTCCCTCATTCTCGCATTCGTTGCTTTTTCTTTACTTGGAGCGATTTCGTTGATCACCTCTCTGACATCTCCGTCCCCAATTTCCCGAAGTGGACCCTGCCCTGAATCCGGTCTCCATGGTCGCGGACCTGGACCCTTGAACTTTATCTGGAGACCCTGATCTCCCTGCCCGGCGTGTCCTACATCCTCTCGTTCTCCGGCAATGAAACTCTTACGGAGCGTGCTGCCCTTTTTAGGAGCAGTTTCGACTCTATTCACACACGTACAAGGCACGTCCCACCCTCCGTCCCGTGCTAGGACACTGCTAACCCGCGACCAGCACGATCTCAAGCTTCAGAAGCCATTCGCCAGGTCACGCCAATCGACGATCCTGTTATTGGCACCTCTTCTCACCGGATTGACCATCTCTCACACTTTGACCTGACCTTCGAATTACATCGCGACGCCCGGCGCATAAAGCTGGAACTCGAGCCAAACCACGACATCTTGGCCGACGATGCTTACGTGCAGTATATTCGCCCCGATGGCACCCTGGGCGGGGGCGAGCCTATCCAGCGACATGAACACAAGGTCTTCCGTGGCCGCGCCCTGGTCGGTTCGGGCAAGGGCAGATGGACTCCCACCGGTTGGGCCAGAATCACCGTGAAAAGGGATGGCCCAGAGCCGCTGTTCGAGGGTGCGTTCAGCATCGACAACGACAAACACCACATCGAGCTGCAGTCGACCTACCTGGGAAAAAAGCGAGCGATCGATACTGATATCGAACACCGGGCACACGAGTATATGGTGGTCTATCGGGACTCTGATATGATCCGCTTCCAACACTCCGAGCTCAAGCGGTCGCTGTCCGACTCCTCAGGCTGTTCGGCGGATAAACTCGACTTTAATGCCGACCTGAGCAAATCGATTTTTCCTTTTGGAATTGACCGGCCTGAGGGCAGATGGGGGTACACTTCGTTAAACTCGATGTTTGGGCTGAGCAAGCGTCAATCCGACACAGGTGGTTTGTCCGGAAACACGGGCGGCGTGAATCTTAAATCAACCATTGGCGACTCAGCCGGGTGCCCCAAAACGAAGAAGGTCGCTCTCATCGGAGTGGCCACGGACTGTAAAATGACCGATTATTTCAAGGCGACCAACTCCACCCCCAAGGTCGCGGCCAAGGATTTTGTCATCAACATGGTGAATACCGCGTCGAGCCTCTACGAGTCATCCTTCAACGTTTCCATCGGTCTACGCAATCTGACCGTGAACGAATATGAGTGCCCTACTACCGCCAATGATGCTACGCCGTGGAACGTCGATTGCAACGGCGGCAATATCACTTGGCGCTTGAACGAGTTCTCCAAATGGCGCGGTGACCACTCGGATAACAACGCCTACTGGACTCTCCTGACGGCTTGCCCCACGGATTCCGAAGTGGGTGTTTCCTGGATGGGCCGACTGTGCACCTCCGGTGTCACGAGCGATGGTTCTAGCTCTGTATCAGGAGCCAATGTCGTCGTTGGCACCGTGGGGTCAACGTGGCAGATCTTCGCCCATGAAACGGGCCATACCTTCGGCGCTGTACACGACTGCGACTCGCAAACCTGCGCTCAGGGATTGGAAGCTTCCTCTCAATGCTGTCCGCTGAGCTCGTCGACCTGCAACGCCAATGCCAAGTACATCATGAACCCGTACGCAGAGTCGGATATGACGACTTTCTCACAGTGCACCATCGGCAATATCTGCTCGGCAATCGGCCGCAATAGCATCAAGTCATCCTGCCTCTCGGATAACAGGGGCGTCACGACCATCACCGGCAGCATATGTGGTAACGGTATCGTTGAGGCTGGCGAAGAATGTGACTGCGGCGGCTCCAAAGGATGCGGCAATAACCCTTGCTGCGATGGCAAGACATGCAAATTTAAGAACAACGCCGTCTGCGATGACTCCAACGATAGCTGCTGCTCCAGCTGCCAGTACTCTGCCGCAGATACCATCTGCCGCGCAAGTACCGGCCCATGTGATATCGCCGAGAAGTGCACCGGAAACTCCAGCGCTTGCCCAGACGACAAGTACGAGAAGGACGGGACATCCTGCGGCTCCACAAAGGGTCTTGCCTGTGCCAGCGGCCAATGCACCAGCCGAGACTACCAATGCCGCACGGTGATGGGCAGTCTATTGAACAGCAACGACACCTGGGCCTGCGAGGATACAAACGCCCCATCGTGCAGTCTCGTCTGCGGCTCCCCCGAGCTTGCTCATCAATACGGCAGCAACACGTGTATCGAGATGAACCAGAACTACCTGGACGGTACGCCGTGCGATGCAGGCGGCACATGCAAGTCCGGCCAATGCCAGGGCTCATCCGCTCTCGGTTGGATCCGCCAGCACAAGAACATCGTGATTGGCATCTGCGTTGGTGTGGGTAGCCTGATTGTCCTCGCTTTGCTGTACTGTCTCATCAGCCGTTGCAGAATGGCCAGAGCCAGGCGCCGCATGGCCAAGGCTCCTGGGCCGTATCCCGGCTATCGAGGACCTCCGCCGCCAGGTCGCAGGCCTCCTCCCATGCAGCAGTGGCCCGGATATCCCACTACTGGGTACCAGAATATGCCACCGCCGCAGCCACCGCGTTATGGTTAACGACTGTTTTCATTTCATTGTTCATGTTTGATACTGTTATGTCCTTTGCATTCCTGTCTTGGTATCATAGGCAGGACTGGTCTGGGAGGGCTAGGTTTTCATTTGGCGTCTATATTATTTGATCTATGGGATTGGCATTATCTATCTTCGTTGTGCCCTCGTTGGAGGGATTTTGAGTTATAATACTACTCTGTAAATGTGTCCAATGATATCTGGAACGCCGGGTACCATCGGCTACGAATCCACAGTCACCATGTGAATATCACCTCTCAATCCATTCTACAGTACGTCAGATATCTACGTAGCAACAAAGGGAAAAACCAGGATATCCATTCACAGAGATGTCAATTCATAATCTCGAGGCTTCAGTATTGAACAGAAGGAAGGGAAAAACACCCAGACACACAAATAAACAAATCCAAACACCTTATCAAAACCCATGCTCAGGACCAACCCCAAATTCCTACTGCCAACAAATGCCCACAAAGGCCTCACGAGTAACACCGCCCACACCCTCAAGGTCAAATTCCTCAATCATAGCCCTCAACTCCTCCTCCTCAAGCCCCGTCTCTCCAAGCTCACGCGCAACACGCCTCAAATCCTCAAGATCGATAAAACCCTTCTGACCCTCATCGAACAGCTCAAAGGCACGGAGAATCTCATCGCGCGGATCCCGCTCGAGAATCTTCAGTGCCGTGACGGTCTGGAACGAGGACAATGGCATGAGAAGGTTGGAGGGATGCTGGGGGTTTGAGATGTTGCCCTTGGGGGCAGCGGCGCCTTGCTGTTGCTGGACTTGCGGGCGGGGCACGCCATATGTTGTGAGGAGGGAGATGAGTTCTTGCTTTGCGAGGGTGAAGCCGAGCGCGCGAAAGGCGACGCGTAGCTCGTGGTAGTCGAGGTGGCGGTCGCGGTCGAGGTCGAAGAGGGTGAACTGCGTTTAGTTAGCCTTCTTTGTTCCTGGGAATCTGCGTGAAGAGAGGCGCTTTATCGAGCTTTGTCTCCCAAGATAGATGTTTTGCAACATGAAACACGGGCAGGAAAGTCACGTACGGCTTCGTTAATCTCCTCCCTCTGCTCTTCGGTCAACCGGCTGAGCGGATTGGTATCCTGTGCGGGGGCATGAGACTGCGGCGCAGGTGGAACAGCCTGCTGATTCTGCTTGGGGCCTTCAGCGTTGAACTCAGGAGCGGAGGCGCCGAGACCGCGATGCCGCGAGAACGAGGACGCGCTGAAGGGCATGGCGTTCGCGTTGCCCGAGCGGTCTGGGAGCTTTGTGCCCGCGTACGAACGCGACGCGAAAGGTTGGCCGGAGGCCATGGTGGAATTGCTGGGGGTGGAGTTCACGGAGGATTCGAAGAAGGATGGGCTCGCGGCCCGAGGTGGAGTCGTGAGATGTTGGCGGTGGAGGATTCTTGACACGCGCGGAATGCGTCACCACGAGGACATTTTAATCTCCTTAATTTCAAGGTCAACTAACTAGTTACAGCAAGAGCTGGAAGAGTGCGTGGAATCATATGTACACAAAAGCAAGGGGTATCCAGCATAGCCAAGGTGGAAGCAACTATCTACCCAACCGTAAACAATGGAACGCGCGCCGAGTATCGACCACTTTCTTTCCAGCGCCGCGAAAAACGCTCAGATCCACAACCGTGACATGATTGTCGAATGTGTATGTTCACACACTAAGAATAGAAAAAAGACAGAAAGAGCAATGGCCGAGAGGATTTCAATATCAATCAATCGTGCCCGGAAAATGCAGATGCTCGCGATATTATTGGGTATTGTCAAAGAAGCAATAGTTCAGTTCATCACGGTTCACTTCCTGCCAAACGCTCTCAATCGAAACCATCATCTCCAAACGTGTGCGCACCGTCGGATCAAAGATGTCATTAAGCAAGGCCGGGTCAATCGCCGATGAATCTGATGTTTCGCTCATGGAGATGTTGTCCGACACGAAAGGCTCTACCTGCGGCTCCGTAGAGGATGACTTCAGGCTGTCTTGAGAGACCGATGGTTGATTTGGAAAGACGACAGGCCGCATCAAATCGGCATTGACAACTGAGTCCGAGTCGTACCCTAGCCCGGAAAACGGATCGCTTTGCCAGCCCGGCATCATAGGAGACGGGAGCCAGTGGCCGTGATCTCCTGTGCTCGTCGAAAAACTTAATTCGAAAAACCGTGTTGATGACAGAGTGGGTATCAGCTCTCTGAGAATTTGTTTGGTCTTTCTCTTGTTGGTTTGCTGGGGACTGGACGACACACATATGACAACGCCCCACATGGTGCTGTAAACACATTCCAACTGCGGTTCGAGTGTTCGAAAAATCCTGGCGATCGGCGAGTTCGGCTCCAAGTCCAGCAAGCCGCCAACGACTCGATAATAGAGCGCGCAGGCAACCCAGAGTGGATGAAGAGGGCTTTTGGTCCGCGGTCGATATTTGCCATGACAATAGCTGTCCTGTAAGTCTTTCCGGCGCAGCGCGTCGTATAGCTCAACAGAAAAGACTTGAGACATCTCTGCCAGGTTTTGAGAGCCGGTGAACAAAGCCAGAAGAATCGTCAACCGTGCCGCGTCCAGGTCATCCGAATGCGCGTAAGCACAAGTCTTTGCCATGCAAGAAATGGCGAGGAACAACTTCGCTATTTTAAGCGCTTTGTGGACAAGGGGATGGGAACCATAGACCTCTTCGAGGCTCGAAAGCTGAGTGCACTGCACGCACATGATCGCTTTGGCCAGAAACTGTTCAAGGGCCGCTTTGGTGGTCGTTGGCAAATTCAGATCTGCGCTGGTCAGATCCATGGCCCATGTTTGGGAATCTCCTCGGGGCGATTGGCGAATATTAACCACGACACTCAAAGCTTCCGCTTTCTGAAAGGCTCTCACTCCGAGAGGGTACAGTGCAGCGAATGTCTCATGGAAAAAGGGGGGCAGAGGCTCTATTGAAGAGTTGTTTGAAGAGGTTATAGCTGGCACCAGCAAGCTCAGCTGCGCTGGGTCTCGAATGCACTTTCGACCATTAGAACTGCATGGATGACAAATATGAGTGGGATCGCATTTCTTCTTGCTGCGATAACACCAAATGCATGCACCGCCGGAGGTTTTCAGAAGACGACTGTCATGCTTCTGCTTTGCAATGTCTTCTCTGGACCGGACTCTTTTCTCACGGTAAGTGCGTGGATGCGTCGGGTCCTCAAATACGATGTCGAAGGATGTTTCCTCCGATGCAGGTTTCGCGGCAGAGGATGGCTCGGCGAAGGAAAGAGAATGAACTTCCAAGTCTCCACTAAGAGAATATGATGTATTTTGACATTCAATCGAAGTCCATGGAATGGAGGTCCGTGGATATGCATCCTGGTAAATTGTGGGCCAGTTGCGGGGTTGGTCATTTATGTCCACAGGGAACACCCAGCCCTGCGAGTAGTTCATCGTCATAGCAATTGCTAGTTCGTGAAAAAAGAGCGGGTAGATTTAGGGCAAGCTGGTTTGGACCGTGGACCAGCCACCCACGTCTGTTGATAAAACGAATGATTAACGAGAGATTGCAAGTCACTCATCAGAAAGCGTTCAAGATGAAGCAAGATTCTCCAGAAGAAGGGACTGAGGGCGTTCGAGCAGGAACGACCCTGGTGATTATGTAACAAGGTGTTCATCGCTGTCTCTGGGGGAGGCATAGCCGCTGCCTAATCGGGGAAGGCGTCGACCATGATGAGTTCAGTTCGTAGTCAAGCTCCTGTTTGACTGGTTTGTATTGGGGGATAGCATGGCAGACCGTGGAGCAGTACCAGGTATACTGTGATGTTTGTGAACGGGTAGAGCATTCAACCTCAGCGCCGCGTACTACTCAGATCAGGATCTCTCAGCGAGCCCAGGTCCAGCTCCTCCAGAAATTCACGACCAAGAAGCGGCTCGGGAAGATACTCTTGCTGAACCTGGCCGCCAAGATAGTTGGGATTGTACTTGTACTCTTTCCCATAGCCGAGCTCCTTCATCAACTTGGTCGGGGCATTCCGGAGGTGAATAGGAATGGGCAACCCTGCAACGCCCGGCTCATCCAATGCTGCAAAGACATTATTCAGACCACGGTACGCCCTCGTGCTCTTCTTCGACAAGGCCATGGCGACAGTAGCATGGGCCAAATTGATCCGTGCCTCGGGAAGTCCGATCTTCTCGACGGCAGAATGAGTGGAAATGGCGAGGGTAAGCATGCTGTTGTCTGCCAGACCGATATCCTCAGAAGCAACGACAATCAACCGCCGGGCAATATAAAGAGGATCTTCACCAGACTGTATCATGCGAGCCAGATAGTACAGCGCGGCATCAGGATCACTACCTCGGAGGGACTTGTGGAAGGCCGATATCGTGTCATAATGCTGATCACCAGCACGATCATAGACCAGGGTTTTGGTCAAGCCCCGTTTCAAGTCCTCTTTTGTCATCCCCTGCCTTTTTGACAACTCCATGGCAAGTTCCAACAAATTGAGCGAGGTTCGAGCATCACCGTCAGCGAATCTGGCGAGATATTGGATGAGTTCGTCGTCCACCAACTCTGAGGGGCTGTAGCTTGGGCCTTCCACTTTCAAAGCTCGCTGAAGAATCGATACAATGTCTTCATCCGTGAGCTTGGCCAACGTGAACGTCCTGCACCGAGACAGAAGGGCATTCTGGACCTTGAAAGACGGGTTTTCAGTGGTGGCGCCAATAAGAGTGACTTGGCCACTTTCCACGGGCCCCAAGAAGACATCCTGTTGAGTTTTGGAGAACCGATGAATCTCATCACAGAATATAATTGTCTTCCTCCCCGTGAGACCAAGCTCACTGCGAGCTTCGCCGAAGATCTTCTTGCACTCTGCAACCCCCGAGCTGGTGCTGTTGATCTCCACGAACCGGCTTCCAACCATAGATGCAATCACTCGGGCAATGGTAGTCTTGCCTGTTCCCGCACTTCCCCATAGTATCATACTCGGTACCCTGTCTTGCTCGATAAGTCCGCGGAGGACTCCGTTGGGACCGACGAGCTCCTGGCCACAGACTTCTTCGAGATTCTTGGGTCGCATGCGTTCTGCGAGCGGGGCGGCTTTATGAAACGCATTCACTTTGGGACGCTTTGCCTGTGGTTCCGCCGCCTCCCCATTCGGCGGATTTACTCCATGTTGCTGTTCCCGATACGGTGTTTCCTGGCCCAGTGATCTCTTGCCATTGACGGGACGTGGAGTCACAGCGCTTGGACGTGATGGGGATTCTTTAGAGAGACTGGACTGGGCGGAGGCTTTGCGAGCAGACGGAGGTTGGAATATGCTTGCCACGGGCCCTTTATGGGAGGATGATAGCTCCGCGGGGGAAGAGGACGGCTCTTCAATGAAGCTTTGACACCCGGAGTCGATATGGTCGTTGATCTTCAATTGCGGGACGATTTTCTCGCAGATCGGACAAGATACCATATTGACCTAGCTCTGGAGCGAGCAGAATTGGACAACCTTCGAGAACGGTAATCGCAGATCTTCAGCTCCAATTGCGGAGACGCGTCGAGCGCGACCGATACGCGATGACTAATCTCGGCCTGGACTCCGGAGGGGTTGATGCCTTGGTGCCTGGTGAAGTATGGTCATCATACTGGGTTCTGTGAGGAAATATATGCAATTAAAATATTGACATACTTTGAGTGTAGACTATATCTCTCTAAGGACTTGGATTTGACGGAAATGCTTTGTACGTTGCGCTATAAAGGTACAAACGTACCTGTTAGATAATAGCGTCGCATCGCCCGAGCTCGGAGCGGAGCACGCCATTTGCGAGCCCTGGATGACTCTCCCATCGCAAACACTTGGGCTCCTCCATACCTCTACTCTCATGATCCCTGGTCACCCTATTTTATTCGCCCTCCGATCTGCGCCTTACGCCTCCAGATTCCCCGCGTCCCTTTCCTCGGCCTTACCCCGCCTTACTGGCTACGGCGCAAGAGCAATGTCGGCAACAGCTGCGCGGCCTGATCCGTTCCGGCCAGCAAAGAGAGTCGCTGGTCAGCGACAGGATGTTTGGTATGACACGCAGCTTCGGAGCATTATAGGGAAGATCTAGTCCTAATCGGTGGTTTTAGGTCCATTGTCAATGAAGCGGCCGCTGCGTCGCCTGTCCAGCCGATTGTGAACATGGGCCAAGGATTCTTGTGAGTAGACGAAAGCCCCAACCGGCAAGGTGATCTTGATACAGGAACACTAACATTATATTTTCCGCGCAGTGGCTACAACCCTCCCAAGTTCGCTATTGACGCTGCAAAGGATGCGCTGGACCGGGTGGAGTGCAACCAGTACTCCCCAACAAAGGTAGATAAGGAAAGGAGCTTTCGGGCATATGGGATAGCCGGCTCACGATACGTAGGGTCGTCCTCGCCTCAAGAAGGCCATTGCTGACGCATACTCGCCTTTCTTTGGGCGGACCTTGAACCCCGAGACCGAAGTTTCCATTACCACCGGAGCGAACGAGGGTGAGAACCTATGGGACGCACATGCCAATGTATTAGGGCTAATATTTCGATATAAAACAGGCATGCTGAGTGCTTTTATGGGGTTCATTGAGCCCGGCGATGAGGTCATTATCTTCGAGCCTTTCTTCGACCAGTAAGTCCATTTCTGTTGGCGATTTGTCCAGCATGCTGAACGTTTCGAATAGGTATATCAGCAATATCGAGATGCCCGGAGGTACCATCCGATATGTGCCTCTCCACCCGCCCAAGGACGGTGCTACACGCACCTCTCCTGCTTCCGAATGGTCCATTGATTTCCAGGAGCTGGAGAACACCATCAACTCCAAGACTAAGATGATTGTTCTGAACTCTCCTCATAACCCCGTTGGCAAGGTCTTCTCGCGCGAGGAGCTCCAGCGAATTGGCGACCTTTGCATCAAGCACAATCTTATTATCCTGTCTGATGAAGTCTATGACCGTTTGTTCTATGTTCCTTACACCAGAATCGCCACTTTGTCTCCCGAGCTGTACGAGCGCACCCTCACTGTTGGCTCCGCCGGAAAAGCCTTCTATGCCACCGGCTGGCGTGTCGGATACCTCATTGGCCCCGAACACTTGATCAAGTACGTGGCAGGTGCGCACACCCGTATCTGCTACAGCACTGTGTCGCCTCTCCAGGAGGCTGCTGCCGTTGCTTTTGAACAAGCCGACAAGGTTGGATTCTGGGACGAGAGCCGCAACGAGATGAAGCAGAAGATGGAACGATTCTGTGAGGTGTTTGATGAACTCGGCATTCCCGTACGCGAATTCGTCTTATGATTCTGCAAACCTGTGAGCTATGCTGATTTTTATTCCAGTACTCCGATCCCGAGGGTGGATACTTCGTGCTGGCCAACATGGCATCCGTGAAGCTCCCAGAGGATTACCCCTTCCCAGCGCACGTGGCCAGCCGCCCTCGCGACTTCAAGCTCTGCTGGTTCCTCATCCATGAGGTGGGCGTGGCGGCCATTCCGCCTACCGAGTTCTATACGGACGCCAATGCTCACATCGCCGAGGCTTATCTCCGCTTCGCCGTGTGCAAGAACGATGATGTTCTCGATACCGCCAAGGAGCGACTGCGGGGCCTAAAGCAGTATATCTCCCAGTGAAAAGTCTGTTGATTTTCATGTACTCCCTTTCAGGTCCAATGGATTTATAGAGGCAGGGATCTGCTGGGCTTAGAAGCCCTCAGCATACAATCAGATGCATATTCAAAAAGACTCAATCGATACCTTCCAACCAATGAATATAAGGGCTACAAGCGAAAGCTAAGTGATGAGTAAATTGAGCTACATATGACAAAAAAGCGACTAGATATTGAATGTTCTCTGAATTAAAGAACTAAACTACCTATTATGGCGCGGCACTCAGCCCAACACCGGACTAATCATACATCAGGAATTTGTTAAGAGGCCGGAGGGGGGCATCACTTCCTCCTCTCAGTCGACAAGAATATCAATCAAACGGGGACTGGAACCTTGGGACAACGTACACGCCCGCATATAGCTCCAGACGGACAAATTGACCACCCCCAAGATCCTGGATCCCCCAACCACCAGCCCAAGGTGTTAAAGGTGGCATTTAACACCACTGCTCCTCGATCTCCATGGGACCGCTTTGGTAACCATCCCAGCCCTCGCCCCGTCGAAAGAGTCGACGATCCTCTTCCGGAAGGTCGTAACCTTCTCCGCAAATCCGAGCATTCACGCTCCTGGCGGTGGGGTGCGCGGTGCGGTTCGCCCGTAGGATCCAGTAATTGGACTCCCAGTTGTCGCAAAGACGAGCGAACCCCCGACTAACACACCCATTATCGCCAAGAAGCGTGACACGCTCGGACTCGCAGACCGGGTCACGACAAAAGCGAGGGCTTAGACCGTTCCAGTCGGTCTCGCAGGCGTGTCTTTCTCCGACACCCAGTTGGTTCACTTGCACGCCAAGTTCGAACCGAAACTGGTATCGGAGCATGTCATCCACATACTCACTCCACTGGCCGCTCAAGCGCAACCTGTCCCTGATCAGGCGGAACAGGTAGCAGACCAGGTAGGTGTTCTGCACCGATGACATGAGACACACTGCGAGAACGCGGCGGAAACGATCCTTCTCCGCCTCGTCGCAATGAACGACGAGGTACACGCGCGACGAGCATCGCACTTCGACAGATCCCGAGGGATGCCCCAAGCTGTTCACCTCATGCTTGTCTGTGAAAATGAAGTAGTCACCTTCATTTTCACGTCTGGAGCTGAACCACACCGCCTGGCGATGTCGCTCGGGGCTATCCCAGCCGTTGATGCCGGGGATCATTGGAGGGCCAAGCTTGATCAAGTCTGGGACCGAACTAAGCTTGGTGTGGCGCTGAAGCGAGTAGCCACCACAGTGCGGCCAGTGCCACAGGACGTCCTCCCGCATGTGGTCTTTTCCACAATACACGATCGTGGAAAGGGGCCCACAGTTGGGGCAGTTGACGGTTTGTCCGTCCCAGTAGTGGCAGTGCTTGTCGCAGCCCTGCAGCGCGCATTTCCATGTGTGGTAGGTCAGGTCGTAGAAGAACTGACCCTTGACAGGCGCTACCACAGTTTCAATGCTGCTGCTTGACGACGTCGGCGCGTGTGCCGGAGTTTGAGCGCTGCGACTGGGTGTCGCAGCGGGAGTAACAGCAATTCCGCCCTGGAGGACCCCGGCTGGTACCTCGGTCCGCGGACCGGGCGTCATGGCAGGGGTGGCGAAGGGCATTTTCCCCCGAGCAGTGTGTCCGGCTGGTACCACAGTCCGCGGACTTGGCGTCATGGCACGGATAACAGGCATCGGAGACTTGCCAGTGCCAGGGAGAGATGTTGTTGATTCAGGAGATGAGGATGCTATGTCGGCTTCAACGAGACCCGAGTGAGACAGCCGCCTTGCGCGCGGCGTAGACCCCAGGGCCTCTTGGTCGACATCACTTGACAAATTCTCTGCGCTGCCACCTGCAGGAAAAGGGTTGTTGATGTCAAGTGAGCCGAGTGCCGAGTCCAGCATCCGAATGTCAGAAACCTGAGCTTTACCCTTGTCCTTCATGATAGACTTCTTAGGAAGAGAAGCTGCCGGGTTGGACGTTGGATCAGCAAGAGTCATTTGGCAGTGGTGCTGGGACGAAGCATCGGCAACTGCTGGGTCCTGCACCGCGACGTCTTGCTGTCGGGGTTCTTCATGCTTGGTGGGGTTTTCCTGTGTTTCGGAGAGCTCAGTGTCCAGTTTTGAGAACTTGAGAGCCTTCTTGTTCTTGATCTTGCTTTCACGCTTCTTCCTGTTCTTCCTGTAGTTGGGACCTTTTTGATGCATCTCGACGACGGGTGCACTCTCCATGACGAGTGCAGTGGACGCCTTGATAGTGGATGCTAAACTACCACTATCGGATTTGGTGTCGTCCGATGGCAAGGCCAATTCAGAAATAGAGTCGTTCGACTCTGGCTGTTCGCAAAGAAGTACTGGGATAAGCTCTGGAGTGAGACAAGGAGTATCGCGTTCTGAACGCGGTGAAATTTCGTGAGTGAATCTGATGATATCTTTTTCGGATGCTGGGGCTTTTGTTAGCAAGTTTCGTCGCAAGAGGCTTATGGTGTTTGTTGCTCACCAAGCTTGTGCGATCGATCAGTGGAGGTAAGGGCCTTTGGCGTCACAGTCTCCGTTGGAGGGGAGATGTTTCTGACTGGAAGGCTCAGCCTCTGAGAACTTCCGCGTGGAGTATCCTCGGGTGGGGTATCCTCAGAAGAAGTATTCTGTCGAGAAGTCTCCTCAGGTTGATTAATAGCCTCAGGTGGAATATCTGTATTTCGTTCTGGAGTATGTGCAGGGAGAACGATATGTCCAGGGAGAGTATCTGCAGGAAGCGGGATGTTCGCAGGCAAAATCTCCTCAAGGAGTACGATATTCTCAGCCAGAGTATCTTCAAGGAGAAAAATATTCTCAGCCAGAGTATCGTCAGGAAGTGGGATATTCTCAGCCAGAGTCGCATCAGAGTCGCGTTTCCCGGCTTCTGAAAACGTGGTCAATCGATCTGTCGGGACGAAGGCTAGGTCTGAAAGGATGTGGGAAGGGGATGTAGATTCTTGCTTACCAGGGTGACTGGGTGATTCGGACTCTCCAGCTGAAAAGATGTCACCGTCGCCGGCGCTCAGGATTCTTGAGTCCGAAGTCGAGGTCAAGCGGGGTGACTGTGCAGGGGTGTGAAATCCAGCAGATTCTGTTGGACTTTGCGGTTCAGGAGAATCAGAGAAAGGATAATTTGGACAAGACTTGACGCTGGTGATAGATTGGGGGTGCGTCAAGGCAACGGGTTTGTCGTCGGCGCTCAGTTCACGCAACTCCTGAGACTTACCCTGAGCCTCTGCAAGTTGCTGTTCAGCCAGATTAGCGTTTTGTTTGAGCAAACGCTTTCCCTCCTTTTGATTAAACCTCTTTAAGGCCTTCTTTGACTGTCTCCACGCCTTTTGCCCTTGCTTCTTCCGTGACATGGGCGTCAATTTCACATTCCCCAAGTCAGCATCCTCCTCACTGGACATCGCTTTTTCCAGAATACTTCCCGACTCCGCCTGTTGATTCTCATCAGCACCCTTGGTGCCTGGTCTCGCAGCCTTGCGATCCTTCTCTTGCATTTTGTAATGCTGCCGAGCTACTACATCGGCTGCAGGATCATTAGTGGCTTTCTTCTCGGTGGTGATCATGAGCTCCTGCAGCTCCTTTAATGCGAGCTGTCCTTCCGCAGTATCAGGTTCTGATGGGTCGAGCTGCAGAGCAGCGGCGGTAACGAGGGCTTCTATTTTCGCCTTCTTCTGTTTGTGGATTTTGAGGTACAGGTCACGCCAGAATCGGATTCGAAGCCATATCCGAACCGGGAGCAACATGATTTGAATGTAAGTTGCCTATAAATGGTCAGTGCCCATCCTCATTGAACAAGGTTAAGTGCACTGCGCTTACCAGATCGGCCACTCTCATGTCCCGGTAGTCACTTCCAACGGTGTTCACGGTAAAAACAACCATTTCGCCAGAGTCGACCCGAAATTTGATGTGGACGTGGTCGGAATTCTCGCTTTTCTTTCTCCAGCTTGCGGTGCAGCCATAGAGAGAAACTTCGTTACCCCAGTCGTCGAGTTTCCAAATAGCCCCTATCTTCTTGGATGCCTTTCTCATGCTGTTATTGAACCTGACGAACGCATCCGCACCCATCCAGTGGTGTGTGATACCAAAGCTGAGCCGAGAGCCGTCCTTGATGCCCAGTCGTGAGCTGTCGTTGAGGAGCTGTCGAACCTTGCGAAGGAGCTCTATGCGCCCCCCTGGATATTCAGCAGGCATCGTAAAGGACATTTGCAAGACATCATTCATATAGTCAAGCGAAACCTTGAAGTCGTCATGAGGGGTCTGTTTGTCAATTCCCAGATGAAAGGATCGTGAATCCTCACGCCACTCATGGACATGAAGGCGCAGCACATGCTCGGCAGAGACATAGTCTGTGCCCTCTTCACCAGGGATTTCCTCGATCTCATTGTTGGCGTTGAGGATGATCCCATACTCAGCCTCTTTCGAGGTCTGTTGGCTCTGCCAGATACCCATGGCCGATGATACTGGAGGTCAAACTGAATCTTCAGAAAAGCCATGTTAGCCCAGATCCGGCATCTGCAACTTGGTATTCCGAAGACCTCACACAGCTTTTTGTAGTGAAAAAGCCGCCTGATCCCGGCAGGCTCAGTGAAGCCTCTGTGTCGATGACTGTGACGGCACAGTATTAGCCAGCAACCCCACGATTCCCAAATTGCAGCGAATAACTTACAGGCAAATATTCTGATCACTGCCTTAGGTGATAAGGCACGGTATCCTGAATGTTATGCAGCAGGCTTGATCAGCACGAACTGCATAGTGTGCAAGCGATGTGCCATGTGGAAACTTACCTGGACTCCTTGGGTTAGCTTCCTGCTTGAATCCGGAGACCAGCAGATACCGCAGCAACTCAGTGGTCCTGAACAAGCTGTGAAATGATGTGTTAACTTGGGCCCGAAGTTTTTCAGACAGTATAGCATGCAGAAAGTTTACCAAGATCCTTCTGGGTCGGTGTTCAAAAGCGTGTCAGCCCAGCAGAGATTATCAGGCGAAGGTCTTGCACAGGCTGTGATGGAGATGTTAGAAGAGGATCTGATGCAGTACTCACTTAAAACGGGGTTGACTTGCCAGAAATATTATGCGTGGGTGTACTGGTGGCTTCGAGGGCTAAGTAATGTGTGAAAGGACGCGTTTTGTGCGAAGGGGAAGAATATGTTTGTGACGGAGGATGAATATCGCACAAAGACGATGTTTGGAGATGTGAATTTCTTTTGCTGCACCTGCTTCAAGGAGATACTTGCATGTTGACTAGGTCCAGGCAAAAGTCATGAGAAGGGATAGATGGATGAAAGGAAGGTATGGGGAGAAAGGTAAGTTGTGTGGAGGAAGCTGGAAAGTCGAAGCCGAAGTCGAGTATGAAATATCGAGTGCGAAAGTGACGGCTAATTCCGGGCAGACAGCTTCGCGCCCTCATGCAACGCGTCAAATGCGACTGCTAACGCGACCTGAAGATATCCACGCGTCTGAGCAGCTTTTGTATATGAGGAAGATTTGGTCTGCGAAATCAGCTATTGATCTTTTTGGCTGGTATGATCAATCAAGTCTGGGACAGAGCCAGATCGCAAATGGAGCGTGAAACGATACGGCTTCGGCGACAAGAAACGGAGTGAGAAGTTTCGCCACAGGCATTCTATTCGTTTATCATGTATTCATTCTGTCAAGACATTGGCCCTCGCGCTACCTGACGATGCTTCTATGCGCTTCCGGAGCCCGAGCAAATAGGAACAGCGAAATAAGTTGAAGCTTATGCTCACGACTACCTCTCCGCATTGAAATATGGGCAAATACGTGTTCACAGATGCTCGCCCACAGGCTCCGACGCCGAGTACCCCATGACCAACTGGTGATGCCTTTGACGTGCGGAGAGTATTCTTTCTGATTTCAGTCTTCTGCCATGTTTTTATTCAGAGCCAGGGCATCTTAAAAACTAAAGATTGCTATGAACTGAATTCCGCGACAGTGTGGTTTGCTCTTGTAGTGACCTGTCATGCGCTAATTTCAAGGATTCCAAGTATAGGCAAAGGCTTAATATTCAAAGATAGGTATGTCATTGGCCGGCCTACTTACGGAGATCCAGAATTGCATGGGTTGTTGAAAACCCCAACGCCCAGATTTGAAATCCCTAGTGACATTACGCAGAGCAAAAATTACATAGATATATTGCAACTCCCATTGTGAAGGTCACTACGAAGTAGAACCTCCCGATGGAATTTCGTAACCGGTAAAGGGCCAGGATATATACATGTTTGCTGCCTGGCAATCCCATGAGGGCATGCGGAAAGGCAGATCCAAAGATATATGACTTGAGAATATCGAAGAAGCAAAGTATTTATTCCATCGAACCAGCCTATTCAGCTCCATAAATTGATGCTGCCCACGATGGAAACTCAACAATTTAGGGTAAACATGAACACGTGATACCGGGACATGTGAGATACCCGGACGTGTTTTGGGCGAAGCGGGAAGCGCCCTCGCAAATAACTGTGCACAAACATCCCAAAGAAAGTCGATTTGGTTTCCAGTTCCCGACAGTTTATCCATGGACAATCAATTATGTAGTGCCAAAGCCCTCAACGGCAAAAAATGATACTGACCTATTCCGAGTTCTCGGGGTGATCTTGCTTTCGGTCAGCAAACGACCCGAACGGTGATATCGAGCGGCACAGGAACAAAGGAGCGTTGCCCGGCAGTGCATCTCAAACAAATAGCTTCTGCCTGAACAGAGGATGTCGAAAACGGCAAGTAGTGAAAGAAACCTTTGTTCGAGCTTCGTCCCTTAGGCGGTGGATGATTGGCTGTCGGCGATGGTTGCTAAGCGCCCACTAGGGCTATATTTGGGTTTCCGGCGCTATTCGCAACAACGAATGTCACTTACGCGCTTTCGTGCGAGATGAAACAAACTCTGGCTCAGATAATCTGTCTGCAGGCCTTATTTCTATGCTTTCTTTGTTTCGACAGGCCCGTGACTCACTCTGAGTGGTCGTTTCACTGTCGCGGGATCGTGAACTGCAGAAGGGGTTTTTTATAAAAAGTATCAGGCGCATCGTACGTGCCGTTGGCGCCCTACCTAACCAGACCTCTGCAGGCTGCTGCCAGTAAATATATTTGTTCTCCAGGACTACCTTCTGCCTCTATTGTTTTCTTCCCTTTCTTCGGACTCCAGGGCTGCCTATTGAATACCTTCACCATCAGGCTGCGCTTTCTATTCATTATGATTCTTCAATAAAAACTTGGCTGGATTCGACCTATATATTCTTTGTCTACAACGTCTTCCTATATTTCCCTTTCTTGCTCCTTGTTTCTTTCATCTACCCTCCATCCACCATCTCATCTTCTGCGCTGGCGCACACCTCTCTCTACACCTGACCCTAGCGCATCAAGATGGTATTCTCACGATCTGGGCGATCGATATTCCCTCTGCTTCCGCCATATGGTACTCACGACCCCAACAACGGCCAAATCATTCCCTTGCATCCCGATGGACTCACCCCATATCTCGGTTTGCGAGCTCGGCTATCACAAGTATGGATCAATCGCTGGACGATTCTGCTACTTCTTGTGCTCGTGCGAGTCTTGATAGCAATCGGAGATGTCCGAAGTGATATGGCATCCGCCAAGCGCGAGGCGCTATCGGCATGCACGTCGGTTGAATCGATGGGAAGTGCCATGGCGTCGATGCCGCACTACCTTTCCGATGGAACCAACGAGCTTGTAGCCTCTGGAATCGAAAAGGCCGTCAATGGCCTGGGATCCATGCTCATGCTCACCATCACGGGTGTTGAGGAAATTATTCTTTTTATCCTCAAAATCATGTACCAGACCTACCTCTGTCTTATCACCATGGCCGTTCGGGCCACCGTCTCTGTGAGCGTAGCTTTGATTGAAGACGTTGCGGACGCTGTAAACAGCACCCTCCACAGCATCAGTTCAGACATTCAGAGCACTGTCAGTACATTTGAACATGGGCTGAACGACGTTGTTGATCTTGTCAACAGCGCTGCGAGTGCCCTGGGTGCTAATATCCCAACCTTGAATCTCAATAGCTCCATTTCCGCTCTGGATGATTGGACAATCCCATCGTCCTTTGACAAGAAACTGAACGAGCTGAACAGCTCTATTCCCACCTTCAGTGAGGTGCAGAACTTCACCGAGAATCTTATCAAGCTTCCATTCGAAGAAGTCAAACATTTGATCAACAACTCACTCGGCACTTATACCTTCGACCGCTCTGCTCTTTCAGTCCCGGCCAAGAAACAGTTGACCTTCTGCAATGACAACGATGGAATCAACAGCTTCTTTGACGGAGTAACCGACGTCGCTATCACTGCGCGGAAAGTCTTCATTATTGTGCTCGTCATCGCGGCAGTTTTGGCTTGCGTGCCGATGACATGGCAAGAGATCCGCCGATGGCGACAGATGAAGGAGCGCTCCGAGCTCGTCCGAAAGGAGGCCCATGACCCCATGGACGTAGTGTACATTGTTTCGCGCCCATATACCGCCGCCGCCGGTATCAAGGCAGCAAGCCGCTTCAGCAACAGCCGTCGGCAGATCCTTGTCCGCTGGGCAATCGCATACGCAACCTCGGTCCCTGCACTGTTTGTTCTTTCCATTGCCATCGCTGCTCTACTATCTTGCCTCTTCCAATATATCCTCCTCCGGGTCATCTCGAAAACAGTTCCAGAGCTCACCAGTGAGGTGGGTGCCTTTGCCGACAAAGTAGTCGACGCGCTCCAAAACGCCTCCGCGGAATGGGCAAACGATGCCAACAGCGCGATCACCGGTTTCGACGACGATCTCAACAAAAACGTCTTCGGATGGGTCAACACCAGCACCCATGCGGTAAACGAAACACTCAACGCCTTTGTCGAGAAAACACAAGGTGTCCTTAATGAGACCTTCGGAGGAACCCTCCTCTACGAGCCGATCGAAGAAGTCTTCAACTGCCTCGTTTTATTGAAGATCACAGGCGTGCAAAGGGGCCTTACGTGGGTCTCAGATCATGCGCACATCGATTTCCCCCTCCTACCAAACGACACCTTCTCCCGAGGCGCCGCTGCCAGTATCTCCAATACCACCTCCGACCCTTCTGACAGCTTCCTCGCCGACGCAGACGACGAGACGTCCAACAAAATCACCGAAGTCGTCGTGAGCGTGATCAACAAGCTCGAAGACTCCCTACGAACAGAAACACTCATCGCCACTATGGTCCTCTTGCTTTGGGTTGTAATTGTTCTAATCGGCTTCTCGCGCTCCCTCATCCTTTGCTGGGGTCGCGATCGAAATCGCGGCGAGGGCGGCGGCCATGCTATGGACCCAATACCAAACAATTCTAGGCCCGGTCCTGGCTCTAGGGGATTCGACGACGTTCCTCTCACTGCTATTCCGAAAAATACCCTGGGATCTGTACAGGCAGTTCCTAAGTATGAGACTCCTGCGGATATGCCCGCCGTTCGGAGTGAGCCGACTTACAAGGATGAAAAGCTTGGGTTTGCGGGGCAGAGGGATTATGACACGGCTTTGCAGGTTGATACGGCGCCTGCTTTGAGAAGGAGCAATTACGTCGAGTACAATGATACGAAGGGGTGATAGGCCTGCGTCAGTTTGACGCTTGGACTTCTTTCTTTTTTGTTTGCATAATTTTGTGCATATACCAGAGCTGGTAACCTTCTTTATTCGTATCCAACCTTGGAACTGCGTTGAAGGTGTCATCAACAAGATACAGTACAATTCGAAAAACAGATTCCATAACACATAAATTGTTTCTCGGTCCGTATCCGAAACGGCGCTGAGTTATATTTGACCAAGTGGTAAAAAAGCTATCTTAAATATAGATATCTTTTCAACAATTACGTGACTCCAAAGAATATATCTTACACGAAACTTCTTTACATCCTCTGCCTCTGCGTCTGTGGCCCTCCATGCCCTATCAACGTCCCAATCCCTGGTATCCATTCCCCTCTAGCACCAATATCCCGAGAATTGCTAGTGGCATGCTCTATAATAAAGATTTTCAAATTGTCACTACCAAGTGCGAAGGGGAATCAGGTAACAACAGCTTTACAGTAACTATCATGATAGAGAGGATAGGTGGTAATTTTGATCGGTTTGACTTGACCGCTGGCAACATCTCGCCAAGTTCACATTACTCTCTTTCCGCCTTCGTCACTGCACACGTTCCAAGCCACACTAGCCTCATTAAGAAATTGCCAGTTTCTTGGACACGAGCGATCTCGCTCTGCGTCAAAGCTCCCACAGGTATGTCTCGTATCATGTTGGCAGCCGATATAAGAAGCTCCAAATCAATCCGTGATTGTGAATCGAGGGGATGAATAACGATATTGAGGAAGAGTGACAGGGCGGCGGTAGACGAATAGAATGTTACGAACCTCCAGCCTCAGTTAGCATGCTTTGCACAGGCTTCCCCAAGAACATACTTACCGGAACGCGTCTTCCCTAAGCGTGCTGACGAGAATTCTTAAGCACCACAGCGTTGAGCGACTAGCCATCAAAGACAAATCGAAGCTCGAATGAACTACACTATGCAGATCCGGGATCTCGTCACTGGTTTCGATAGTGCATTTTCTCACTGTCGTATGAATGACGGTCATTAAGTAGTGGTAGTCCAATTGCAGAGACATTCGATGGATCATATACGGAATCCCTTCGTCGGATCCAATTGGTATAGGATTTTTCGAGACAGAAAGTGCAGGGCGGAAATTGACAGGGATGGATAGCCGCCAGTGTTCTATCTCGTCATCCAGTTGCCGTATATTCAGAAGGAGTTGGTTATCATTATCCTTCAAGGCCCGGGCAGACAAGAGCTGTCGACAGACTTTCTCCTTCAGATGGCTAAGGCGAGGATCTCCAGGAAGATGAGGGGTGAGATATCTGTGGGCTTCGTCATCACCTGCAAAGAATGTATCCAAGCCTGGTAAGTAGGTATAATGATCAAAATAGTTATCAGGCAGGTCGAGGTCGCAGTAGACATCGGTGAGAAGAGGAGGATTGCCAGTGCAAAGTGAGATATCTTTGTCGAGCATGTAGCATAGCCAGAACAGCATTCGAGTGTGGTCATTTTCGCGTTCTGAGCGGGAACGCTCAAGGCCAAAGGGATTTGATGGGTGGTAGAGGTGTCCTCTTAGAGCGCAGACTATGCGACACGCAATCGATTGAAAGAAGGCAGCGCCTTGCCAGTCGGCATGGAATGCACGCTGTATTTGCTAATTCAGAATATCAGTCTGAATCTCTGAAGTATTAGGAGCAAGCCACGATGCAACCCGGACTAACCAATACTAGTGCTGTCTGGAGAGTCGACAAGCTACTATCCTTAGAGATGTGTAATAGTAGATATTGTGCCTTGGCTGCGCACAAGTCCACATCCACGGAGCGGGATATTTGCTTCGACGCGTTTCCGCGAGGCGCAATGGATAGAGCGCTCAAAACACACGCCTTGGCTGAGACTTGCATAGGCGAGAACACAGGCCCATCCGCAGGTCCGTAGGCGGTCTCCATCGTCGTCTCAAACAGAATTTCGTCCAGTACGGGGAAGCGTAGTCTGAATCTAGATCTGAAGAATGCACTCATAATCTCTCGAGCGGCGTCCTTGTCAGGCAGTTCGCATAGCTCTGGTGAGAAAAATGGCTGAAGGGCCCAAGGCGGGGAATACTCCATGATGGGAATACTGAAATCAGCCCATGTAACCTCCTGGGCGGTTCTTATTGAGACCCATCGGCGGCCTGCTTCAGAGGACATAGGTATTCCATTAAAGTACCAGTTGGGTCCCCATTGAGTGGCGGACCTACTACCCTTCGCTAGATACTCCTTGGCGAGGTAGTCACAGGAGTTAGCGGGTGTTTGTGTCAAGTCAGTAGGGCAAAGGGAGCTCCTCGAAACGGCAATTCGCTCCCTATCGCTTGTTACGGTGGAAACGTTGGACGGGTTGGTGCTTGAAGGGCCCGATGTTGTCGACTTTTCGGGATTGGTCACATCTCGACACGCCGAATCTGGCGTGGGCTCAACTCGGGACAGGACACCCTCCAGCTCACCCTCCAGCTGCTGAATGCGATGGAACAAGCTCTGTACATCACTGGAACCCGAAAAGGTGAAGGTGTTAAAACACGCAATCCCACAGTGTGCCGGACTGGGAAATGTTCAGACCTGTTACGCTGCTTCTTCTGCGGTTTCTCTCTCTTGAAAGTGCATTCAATGTCCCGATGACTGCACCATTCACAAGGGCCATTTAGGTTAGGATGAGAGCATTGAATCTAGATGCAAGTGACTAGTGTCAGAACAGCTGGCAGGGTAGGAGGCCCTCCATTCGGACATAGGGGGGAACCACGTGCCTTTCTTCGATAGCAAGCGTCGCATGCTCTTTTTTGAGGTAAAGACCTTTTTAGAGGCATAATGGCGGCGAGCAGTCATCAAACGGCGGGATATTTTCGGAGCGCGGAGAGAATCTTCGGAGTTTTCGGAGGCCGCGTTTAAGCAATCGAAGGACTTGCGTGAGGACCACGTGATGCGGGTCTCGGTCCACGCGTGTCATTGGTTTCCAGATGTACTTTCACGGCGACTAGCTGCCGTGGATTCTCCACTTCGCTTCAGCTATCAGATCACAGCGACGAGCGGAGCCGAGGACGGATCAGGAGGATCCGTATCAGACCTTCGATGATCTCGCCAGAGTTTAGCCCAGGGCACCTTGCCCTAGGGTATATGTCATCATTAAAGTTAATCCTCAAACATCTTTGGCCCAGCAAAAAGATTTTAGACAGCGATTCCCAGAAGCCGTGTGAAAAATGGCCGCCCGCCGAAGAGAGCAACCAACTCTTGATGAGCGCACGCCTCTGATCACCGATGCTGAAAATGCTGGAGCTTCGAGTTCTACTCCGTCGGGGAATAGGGATGATGCACGAGGTCAGGTTCCGACCAGGGTAGCTTATCGCCTATACACATCACACTTCCTGTCAACCTGGAACTCCCGCGTCTTCGAATTCGGGGCCGTTCTGTATTTGGCCTCGGTCTTTCCAGGAACACTGCTACCTATGTCTGCCTATGCGCTCTCTCGTGGGCTAGCGGCGATCATCTTCGCTCCGGCGGTGGGACACTACATCGATGTCGGCAACCGTTTGCAGGTCGTTCGGCTTTCAATCGGTAAGACTCTTTCTCGGACAACCCGAGACAAGCCCATACGTCGAGCAAAACCACTGACCACGTTAGTATTACAACGGCTTGTTGTGGCTGCATCGTGCGCGATCTTCTATCTGCTAGCAATCGACCTTCCAATGAAACGAGTGGTCAAAAATTGCTTGCTGGTGATTCTCACGCTGTTGGCTTGCTTGGAGAAGTTATGCTCTGTCTTGAACATGGTCTCTGTGGAGAAAGATTGGGTAGGGTTATGCAAGCCAATCAATCAACGATGATCACTACTGACATGATTTGGCAGGTTGTGATCGTTGCCGGAGAAGATTACGGATTGCTCAGGAGTGGGTGACACAGTTTCAAAATAAATTGGCCATTCCATGCTAACTTACTATTTAACACAGCTATGAACGCCCAAATGAGACGAATTGACTTGGTCTGCAAACTAATAGGGCCTCTTTTCATCGCTCTTATCGATGGTATATCAACAGAGGCCGCTATTCTCGTCAATCTCGGGATGAATGTCTGTTCGGTCGTGGTGGAGTACTTCTCGATCGCCAAGGTATGATATCCAGTGCGTCGCCTTCAGCCTCGTAGAACACTGTTCTGACGTTCTACCTCAGGTGTATTATGAAGTGCCGGAATTACAAGAAACGAAACATTCATCACCCACATTTCGACGGGTAGAACCAGAACAGCATAATTTCTTTGTACGCGTCTGGAGAGCTTGCTGTCAAGGTGTACGGCAGGCTCAGGGAGACTTCGGTTTTTATTTTCGGCATCAATTGTTCCTCCCGTCCTTTGCTGGAGCATTGCTATACTTGACAGTTCTGTCATTTTCGGGACAAATGGTCACTTGGCTTCTGTCCGCAGGCTATGACTCGACGCAGATCGCCGTTGCAAGAACCTTGTCTGTCATATTTGAAGTGCTGGCCACCTGGGTTGCTCCTGGCCTGATGGGGAAAATCGGGCCCATTCGTGCTGGTATCTGGCTAGCAAGTTCGCAGATTATATGCCTAGCAGGTGGCATGGCTATTTTCTGGATTTACGCCAGCCAACCTCTACTCTCGGCATCGGGTCTCGTGGGGGGTACGATTCTCAGCCGGGTAGGCTTGCGAGGGTTTGATTTATGTGCACAGATTCTTGTTCAGGAGGTGAGTTGTTCCCGGCCTTGCCAATGTCTGCTTTCAATAGAGAGCCAACTCCTGACTTTCATGGAACCTTATAGGGTGTTGCAGCCGAGGCGCGAGGCTCTTTTTCGTCGATCGAAGCTGCTTGGCAGAACCTATTCGAGATCTGCTCCTATATCTCCACGATTGTTTTCTCACGTCCGGATCAGTTCAAGTGGCCGGCCCTCATTAGTATGATTGCCGTTGGACTCGCTGGTTTGCTGTACGCGATCTTTGTACGGATCCAACGGGGACACTTGTTGCACCTGCCGAAGTGTATTGCTCCCGAGCGCCTGCAGCGTTCGAGGGAACGGGGTCTGGATAGGATCTGCTCGGCTACTGACTTCTAGTCTCTAGCTCATTGCAATCTGCTATGATTGATTTCGATCAATCCTGGTTTAGCTCTTTTCGGTAGGACATGGAATATCTGCGACGGCATGGCATCGTAATCTTGCCGACAAATACTTTAAGTTTGTTGTCCTACATTCGATGTTGTCTACGCACTGTATCCTTTGAGAGTTATTTCTCTGAAACCAGGTATTTTTAATAGACACTGGATCGTTCAGCCCAGTTGCGTCAATAGCCGCCTTTCGGGACCCACCGTTCAGTTCACGTGGGCGGAACGGGATATTTTTGAACTTGATCGCATACAGTGCTCCCTCTCCGACAATGTTGCCACCATTGCGCTTACATAGCAGCATCGCATGCTCTCTTTGGAGCGAATGTTTTGTTGGAGGCATGGCCGTGAAGGGTGATCAATAATAAGAGCTTTGGTTTTCGGAGAGGAGTCCGGAGGGATATTTCGGTTGTGGAGGGTGCGGAGGTTTCGGAGGCCGCATTTTAAATTCCCTCACCCCACTCTCTGGAGAGCCTCCGAAACCTCCGGACGATCACTTGAATCTTACCGTTGTCGATCCAAGTCGAGCCAATGCATCATGTTTATAAGAAGTCTTCCCTGACACCTTCTCTGTTCCCTGTTACTCACTCCAATCACGAAAATACGAGCACTTGTCTTCTCAATGGCGAAAATCATTGCTAAATGCCACCAGATTCTGGAGGAGGAAATCCTTCGTCGCTCCTCACAGATCGTCTCGGTTGTTGGTGATCGAGCGTACATTTTTGGTGGCGAGCTGCGACCGCGCGAGCCTCGAGACAATGACATCCACGCTGTTTCATTGGGCAGCAGTAAGTTGTGACGCGTTGATGAGGGAGAGGATTGCGAAATTTAACCATGACGCTGAAACCGTTACCATAATTTAGGAAATGCCACAATTACTTCCAAGCCTGCGACACCCCAATCTCCCTCGCCACGTGTTGGGACTGCATCTTGTACACTGAACGGGAAGATCTATTTATTCTCCGGCCGAGGCGGAGTCGCCATGGCACCTGTTGAGGAGCAGGGCGCGGTCTGGGAATTCGACCCTGCGGCAGCCAGCTGGTCACGTATTTTGCCATCGGACGCGAGCGCAAAGGCGTTCCCGGCCGCTCGCAGCTATCACTGCATGGCTAGTGACGGGAAAGATACTCTTTACCTCCATGCGGGTTGCCCCGAAAAGGGAAGGCTATCGGACCTGTGGGCTTTCAGCCTCTCTCGGAGAGACTGGACGGAACTTGCCCCAGCATTTGATCCTCCACGTGGAGGTACTTCGATCGCCTTTGCAGATGGCAAATTGTATCGGATGAACGGGTTCGATGGCAATACCGAACAGGGAGGAAATCTGGACATTTATTCCCCTGAAACAACCTCTTGGACTTCGCACGTTTATTCACCCGATGGCAAAGAAGGCCCGAAACCGCGAAGTGTGAGTTGTTTGCTGCCGGTTCGTCTGGAAGGCCGGTCATACTTGATCACCTTATTTGGGGAACACGACCCTAGTTCATTGGGTCACCAAGGAGCGGGAAAGATGTTGAGTGACGTGTGGGCATTTGACATTGGAAGCAAGAAATGGGAGGAAGTTGTTCTTCAAGGAGATCAACTTCCTGTCGCACGGGGTTGGTTTGATGCTGATGTCGTCGGTACAAATGCTATCGTGGTTCATGGTGGGCTAGGGGAATCAAATAACCGATTGGGGGACGTGTGGGTTCTCGAACTCTCTTGATGATTTACACGGATAATCTCGCAACCGCGCCTCGGAGTAGGGCAGCATGACATGCCCCACAGGGATCTCAGAAGCTCCCATCCCAATCACAATCTATAAAACAAATGACCGCGGCAGTATATGTACCTTCTTTCAGAAATTGGCATACAGTACGCCCATAAATGGGTCTTAGATACATTGACATGAGAACAGCGTGTGATACATATCGTGACTGGCAAGTAAGATTGCTCTTTGAAAGCGAGCTACGAGTAGTCTTAATTGGGATGGGGTAGTTCTAGGCGAAGAAATGAGGGAAGCAGATTCACAAGACTCCTGTTCCTCGCACGTCTTTCTAACTTCAGTATGCTATTACTGTTTATCTTTTTCCCTTCGGCTGGCTTCTCAAACTTTAACCACTTCTCCGGCACCTCAATCTGTTCTGCTCCCTGAACCCCCCAAAGCCACCGCTTAAATTCTCGATACTCTCCTTTTGTCGAGCCCGATTCGGGGCCTAAATCAAAAACTTTCCCAGACGCGGTGCCGAATGTGTCTGGCATCGCATCGCCAGTAAGCATATCGTTCAGAATCCGAACGCCGCGACAAACCATGTCCATCATAGTATCGGCGTAACGCTTCGTATATTCGTCGGCGGAGTCGTTTTCTCTTCGAGGGACATAATTGTGTAATTCGCTCTGTAGGATGACCGAGTCAGGATCAGCACACTCAGCGAGGAGGCTGTCGCGCTCCTGACGCGCTATAGTGGCATAGTCCTTTGGAATCCTATAGACCATAGGCTCGTCGTCCGAGTCGTGACGAGCTCCATCGTCTCCATAGGTTTGAGCGGATTCGGAGTATATCGCTTTCGAGTGTTGGGCTAGGGCTTCTTGTTGCGACATAATAAATATTCCAACAACTTCTTTGATTCCCAAGTCGTACTGATTGCAATAGTCTTCGTCGAAGCTTTGAGATGCCTAGAAGCCCAGGAAAAAACCTAGAAATAATAACGGTAAAGCGACAGCACCGAAAGGGATCGATCGGAGTTAATAACAGAGGCCCAGAAATCATATAAGGTGGAAGAGTGGACAATTTATATGAGCCGAGTGGGGTTCAAGTACGAGTACATAGGCAGTGCCCCGCTTAACCCCGGCGTTAACGAGGGGACCATTGACGGACGATAGTACAGGTAGTTAGACCTCTAGAGCGAGCGAATTATAGCACTTAGACTAGGCTCGGTGGCAATTCAGCGAGTATCCGTGCCCTTTCGGTGACACCCACGCCGCTTCTTGTTGTGGGTGCACCACCAGTTACCTATCTGTGAGCTGGCGGAAGCTGAGGTCTCCAATATCTTTGTCGAGGGGGATTTGGCCGCTGTAATGAATAAGCCGATGGGCCGAAAGAAGTTGCTATTAGCCCCCAGCTCGTCACTTGATTACGGGTGTGGCAGAGGGAAATGACGTCCCGCTTAATTCGCAAGGCCGATTCTGATAACACGTCGAAGCTACATAGTATGAATCACTGTAGGAAGATCAAGGAACGTCTCATATCGGGGCACGTATATTGAAACAAAAAGAAAAAACTATACATTCTGATATATACTAAACACTGTTCAAGAGCGTATGTCGTACAAGCCGTGAATCATAACATGTCCAATACCCAGCCAACTAAATGGCAACAAAGAAACTCTTCTCGCCCTCTTTCGGTGTGACTCGGGCCCGTTCAACAATCGGATCAGCACAGCTAACCCGAATACGTTCAGGTGTAGCAGGGCTAACCAAGCTCAGGACGTCCGTGACGCCCCACTGCTTCCGCGCGGCGCTCAAGGCATCGCGGATAGCGAAGAAAGCCGCACTACCCATGAATAGCGGCGGCTCACCAATACCGCGGGAGCGCTGAATAGTGCGCAGATTCTCCCACTCGACATCTTTCAGCAAACTCACGTTGAAGATCTGAGGAATGTCGCGGAAACCGGGGATCTTGTAGTTACCCGGGCCGCGGGTGAAGATCTGGCCCGAGGCGCGGTGCCAAAGACTCTCCTCCGTGGTGAAGAGACCTTGGCCCTGGACGTAGGCGCCTTCGATTTGACCGTAGTCGATTGCTGGATTGATGGTGCGGCCGACGTCCATCTTGATGTCGGCGCGCAGAACGGTCCAGTCTCCTGTCAAGGTGTCGATCTGGACTTCGGCGGCCGTCACACCTTGCGTGAAATAGAAGAACATCTGCCCGGTGTTTTCACCCCACTTATAGCCAATATCGGGGGTACGGTAGTATCCCTGGGCTGAGAGGTTGACACGGTCGAAATAGGCTGCGTGTGCAATTTGCTTCATGGTAGCGTCGGGACCGAACTTCTCGCGGTAAGGGCGCAGACGCTCGTTGATCTGCTCGCACGCGTTGAAAATGGCGTAGCCGTTGAGATCGGAACTTGCTGATGCTGCTGTGGCGGATGTATTGATCACAGTATTGGTCGCTGTCTCGGCGATGAACACGCTCTCGTGAGGTACTTGGAGGGCCTCGGCGGCAATCATTGTCATCTTGGTGTGCAAGCCTTGTCCCATCTCAACACCACCGTGGGCGACAAGGACACTGCCATCATGGTAGATGTGCACCAAAGCACCGGCTTGGTTCAAAAAGAGGGCAGTGAAAGAGATACCGAATTTGGTTGGCACCAGAGCCATCCCACGCTTCGACCATTTATGAGTCGCGTTGTATTCTTCCACAGCCTTGCGTCGCTCGACGAAATTGCTTTCCTCTTTGACTTGCTTGTACATCAACGGCACGTGCCAATCCGTCAAGGGCTGGTTGAAGTGTGTGGTTTCCAGAGGCTTGTACATGTTGATCTCACGAACATGCTCAGGATTGAGGTTTAGATGGTCCGCAATCTCGGAAATGTAACACTCGGCGAAGAATAGACCCTGCGGGCCACCGAATCCACGGAAGGCAGTGTTCGAGACGGTGTTTGTCTTACAGATCTTTCCGCGGACAAAGACATTCGGAATCTTGTACACGCCGTCACTGTGGGACAAGCTTCGCTCCAGAACGGCGCCAGACAGGTCTTGGGTATGGCCTCCGTTGGCGAAGATATCGGCATCAAGGGCCAGAAGTTTGCCTTCTTTGGTGACTCCGACCTTCCACTTGCACATGAATGGGTGACGCTGACCCGAGGTCAGAATATCCTCATCGCGATTCAGCATGCTCCGGACCGGTCGTCTGGTCTTGTTTGCGGCAATGGCACAAATTCCAGCCAGCTGGATAGAGCGTGACTCCTTGCCACCAAAACCACCACCTAGTCTCTTTACACGAGATACAATCTTGTTTGCAGCGACTCCAGTCACCTGGGCGATAAACGTTTGGCTGCAGAAAATGTTAATTCAAGCTCACAAAGTGTCAAAGTGCGGTTCTGCTACTCACGTCTCAGTGGGGTTTTGTGTGCCACTCCAAATTTCCATTTCACCATCCTCCGGTTTGGGAATGGCAAGGCAAGCCTGGGTCTCGAGATAGAAATGCTCTTGACCACCCATGCGCGCGACACCCTCGAAGACGTGATCGGCCTGTTTGAAGGCCTCATCGACATCGCCATTCTTGATGAAGGGGCTGTGATTATAGAATGACTCGGCCTCGATGGCCTCTTCAATACTGAGGATGGCGGGCAGATCTTCATACTCGACCTTGACGGCTCTCATGCCCTCTTCGGCAACCTTCGCAGAGTTCGCGAGGATTACACCGATTGGCTGACCAGCGGTGGTCACTTTATCCACGGCGAAGAAGAGCTCATCAGCGACCGGTGCTCCCCACCAGTTGGCTTTGGGATTGGGTAGATCTTTGTGATCGACGTAGTCCACAACGCCGGGAATATCCAACGCCTTTGATGGATCGACGCTGATGATCTTGGCATGAGCCTTGGTAGAAAGAACCATACAGGCAAAGAGCTCGTTCTGTTGCACAGGAATGTCGTCGGTGTACTGAGCCTGGCCTGTGGATTGCTTCAGAGCCGCGACATGAGGGGATGCCTTGCCGAGTATCTTCTGTTGATAAGCAACAGAGGCTTCGTGATCCTTCTCTCCCGTGGAGATATCTCTTTCAATTTCAGCGATCCCATCAACGTCCAAACCTTCGGGCTTGACTTCGAGGTTGGAGAGAACGTCATGGTAGAAGCGATAGAAGAAGCCCATTGACAAGGATTTTCTATAAGTCGCCATGCCACCAGGGACGCCAAATGGAAGGTTAAAATCCTTCTCCAATCCGGCCATGACACCCTCCAAAGTTGCAGGGTCGGTGATGTTTTTACCAACCAGGAAGGCTTCGGCATTCTTCGCAGAAACCGTCATTGGCGCCATACCACCGAACACGAGGTTAACACTGGTCACTTCGTTGGTCTCCGACAGTGAGACGCGGAAGCAAGAGGTGACAATAGCAATATCGTCATCCTTTCTCTTGGCCTGCTTGTAAGACCGCGTGTATTCACCCTTCTCCTGTGCAGCCGGAATGCGGAGACTGGCAATGATAGCATCTGGAGCCAGGGCTGTTTTACGGTAGCCCTGGAAGAACTCGGTCATGGGAATTTCCTTCTCGCCGTTGAGTGACTTGGCGATGAGAACGGTGTTCGTTGCCACAAGGACTGGGTTCAAGTCGGAAATTGGAGAGGCAGTGGCCAAGTTACCTGCTGGCGACGCGACATTTCGGATCTGACGTCCAGCAAAGTAGTGCAGCTGCTTCTTGATAGCCTTGAATGGTTGTGCTCGCGCCGCTCCGTATCTCTCAACGGCCTGTTCGCAGATGGCCTCCAGATCTGTCAAGGAAACATTGGCTCCAATTTCCAGATGGTCGTCGTGGAAGGTGAACTGTCTCAACTCGGGAATGTCGCCCAGGTAGACCGACGCTTCATAGCGCATCGCCTTGAACTTAATTTCGATCTGTGTCTCCGTACTTCCACCGATCAACTTGGCCTCGGGGTGGATGTTCTTGATTTGAAGAAGCTGCTCCACGGTAACTGGTCGATACCACTTCTTCCTCTTGTTCCCGAGAACCAGGGGTTTGAAATCGTGCTTCCTCAAAGCTGCAGGGAAGATTAATTCTGTATCCGGGCTCCATTTCTTGAAATCAGGCACGGGGAATTTCGGCTCAATGGCGTCCTTATCTTCATCGCCCGCCGCAGAACCCTTGCAGCAACCACCGCCGCCATTCTTGTCCATGCAGCAACCTGAACCACCGTTTGATTTGGCCATGCCGCAGTTGTTGCGGGAATTAAAGCTTTGGGCGGCGTCCAAGATAGGTCGGTACCCGGTGCAGCGACACAGGTTGCCATCGAAAGCTTCTTCAACTGCTTGTTCGGACGGGTTAGGATCGTTGCGAATTAAAGCGTATAGACTCTTCAAGAAATTAGCTTTCATTTAAAGTCCCCTCAATTGTTTCTTAGGACGCACCATAACAATGCCGGGAGTGCAGAAACCACACTGGCTGCCGTTGCCGACCGCAATCCGCTGCTGGACGGCGTGGGGATTCTTCACATCTCCGATGCCCTCGACCGTAATGACATGCTTGCCATCGACGCTGACCAACGGGGCGAGACATGCGTTGACGGAGGAATGGTAAATCTTCTTGGTGGTCTGATTCAGATGCGAAACCACCTAACAACAGGAAATATGGGTCAGTAGAATTCTCGAGACCTTGTTTTCCACTGATACATACCACAGTGCAAGCACCGCAGCCTCCTTCCGCACATCCAAGCTTGGTTCCAGTCAGGCCGATACCGCGCAGATACTCCAGGAGCGTCACTTCCGGGTTGACGGTGTCGAGAGCGACTTTGGTGCCGTTGAGATAGAAGCGGATTGTGTCATCCCACTTCTCCGTCAGTTGGGGCAGACTGGTCGCCAGTCTATCGTTCTCCTCCCCCGAACCAGAACCAGAGTCCGTGTCCGCAATACCAGGCGCCATGTTGAGTGTGGGGATGGTATAGACACGAAAGGGTTTCACGAGCGGAGGTAGTTAGTTCATGTCGCCATGGTATATATTGCAGGAGGTACCGCGAAGACCTTCCTAATGTCGGCGAGATCGAAGACAAACCGCCACCGGAGGGGAATGTGCCCCCATGTCGGGCGGGCGAGATGCCTTATCAGGGCCGCCTGTACCAAGAGCCGGGAACCCACTCGCTGCTCCACCCGCGCATCTACTGCGGGGATCGCCACCGTCCGATCGAGTCGGATTGTCATCGGCGCCCGGGGTGATCGGTATTACTAACCACTCCCATACTCCCATCGAATTCGAACAATCTATGAACTCCTTTCATTGCGCCGGGAATGCTCTACAAAGTACATACAAGCAACATAGCAAAGACAACTAAATTCACGGCTTGGAGCCGGCAAATGACTTCTCCTGCTCCTGCCACTGCTTGCGCTCGACCACACTGCGAGCGCTGTAAAAGAAAAGTTAGGATGATGAAAAAACATATACAATGACGCAGGGGAAACTCACCGATAAGCTTTCACGAATCGCCAGACTTCGGTATCCGCCATATTCCAGGCTTCGGCGACGTCCTTGACGCCAATCCGGTTGGTATCCTTGCTCGTAATGATCTCTCGAGCCTTCTTGATGAGCTCATACTCTCGGCCAACCCCCTGCTGGCTGGGATTCTTGTTCTGCACGCTCTCCTTGTCTCCGGCAGTGTTGGGGTCGATGGCACCTCCGCGGGGAATCTTGAATCCGAATTGCCACTCGAACTCATCCAGCAGGTCGGGAGGCAAGCTTTGACCCGCCTCCGCAGGTAGGGATTCGACAGTCATCCACAAAGAGTTGGAAACGGCCTGGTCTCCAGCCACGACCTGCTTGAAGACGACACCCCGGAATGAACCACCCAGTTCCTCGCCAAGATGCTCCTTGGTCACTTCGCCCAACCACGCATCGCGCTCGGTTGTACGGCGGATATCCTGCGTGCTCACTTCCTCGGATTCCTTCTGCAGACTGATCAGGGTGTAGGGGTGAGGGAGTGTGCCGATGGTGAAGAGGAACGATGTGTTTTTGAAGCTGGAGGGCTGGCTGATACGCATGGGCTGCTTTGCGGAGCCGCAAGGACGGCAATCTTGATTGTTGGGCGGGCAGGAGTCCGGCATAGGAGACTCGGGGCACTGGATGAGCGCCTTGGCCAACCGCAATGCGGGCTCAACCAGAGCAGTGGTGTGTTTCGGGAAAGGCTTCAGCACGGCCAAGCCAGCGGGGTAGGAATTCTGGAAAGTGTTTTGGAGGTGTCCATTGATCAGTTGCACCAGCTGAAGTCGGCCACTTGCAGGGTTCTGGCTAGTCTTCTCATGCACGCCCGGGTACTTCGAGTGGACAGTGCCAGACTTGTAGTATGCCAGGGAGCTCGGTTGCTCGACCTTGAATAACTCGGCAGGCATCAACTCAGGGAACGATTTAGTCTGGTCGTCCAATTTCTTCACCGCGCCGTTAATTGCTTCCATAATACGGTGTTTCTCCGCCGAGTAGAGACCACCTTGGAAATTTTCAAAGCGCGTAATGACCTCGGGCTGGCTGCCCCGTCGCAGGTACGACAGGAGGTTATCATCATATCGTCCCATGGGGAAGCAAGTGAAGTCAGCAAGCAGTCCACTTCCCATGTGCCCCCACGCCAACCACCGAAACACCTCGTTTTCCATCTCAGCGCTGAGTTTTAGTTTCTGCACGACTTCGTAGTGTGGGTTTTCCATCGCGTCTCCGGGGGTCAAGACGATCGGTCGGAATCCCTGCGCGTACCAGGCCCGGCGCCAGGCGAGAAGAAGCTCCTCGTCCGCATTCTGGTCCTCCTTAAGGTCCTTGCCGTAATGCTTTTTGGGGTTGAACTTGGGGTTATAGTATGTGTATATCGCGCGGCGCTCGGGTAACGGAGGGAGGACGGAGCGGCTCTCATCCAGCGTAATGGCCGAAGAGAATGGGTTCAGCCATTCCCAATTGCTAAACCATTTAGATTCGCCGCTGGTGCTGTTTGTTTGCTCGGGCGGAGCCTCGTGCGAAGGGGCCCGGAACGACGGCAAATGAATGTTGTTAGGTAAATGAATGTCGCTCAATGATGGGAGCTTCGGATGGGGGACATATTTAGCGGCCCCTGACGGTTCTCCCACCTCTTCGACGGTTGGATCAGGGATGGGAGAGGATGAGAAGATGAAGAGGAGAAGCGCGACGAAAACAATAATTGCCAATAGTCCTGTACTCCGATGAGGAATCATCTTTTGTCGCGTTTACCACACCAGTGGTAAACCTGCGCGGCAGTATATCGAGATGTCAGGGTCGTGCAACCGCACTCGAGATAGGCTGTTCCCCTGAGTAAGCCTCCTCGAACACACCGGATTCGACGACTCGCTCCGGGCTTGGCAAGTGTGGTCGAGGACTAGTTTCGGGGTATTATTCCATTGGAATTTGCGACGAATGAATTGAAATGCCCCTTCCTCCAATGATGTCAGACGAGAAAAACAACTCCTGAAGGAGCACGGCCGGACGCTAAGGAGCACCTACTAGATTGTCAGCCTCAGGCAGAGATCGCGGTGGCTGAGTCATCATCATTGCATCACCGATGACCGGTCAGCGTCGACTTACTGCGCACGCCACAATGCCGTGCATTATATGGGAAGATATTGTAAGCTCTATGGGTCATTTATATACCGGTATCACATATACGAGTCATGGGAATATCTTGTATACACCTTTCACAAGGCGGTTTAACAAGTCTATACACAAGTACAAAGGCGGTGAGCCGCTCCATTGTGTGTGGGGAAGTCTTCGTAGCCAATCAGTGCCCGCATATGGCGGCGAAATCGGACTTTTCTGTGCCCCTCCGCAGGATGGGGGTAATTGACTCATCTTCTCTTTTATACCCGCTACAACTATCTCGAGGTAATTACACAGCAACCATGGCTGTGGGATCTGCTTCGCTGCAGGACCGCCTGGAGAGGTGGGCCCAGCGCCTGAATAATTTGACCGTCTCACCATTGACTCGAGACTATCCCGACACACAGCAGCCTGACATCAAGCGAGCTATTGAGGCCTTCGAGTCTATCAAGCTCCCTAAGGAGACCCAATTGGCTCTGAAGAAGCTTTCTGGCTCTTCTTCTTCAGGATTCACGGTCTTTTTGACTGCTTTCATCGTCCTAGTTGCTCGCTTGACCGGTGACGAGGATATCGCGGTGGGGACGAGCGTGGAGGATGATGGCCGTCCTTTTGTCCTCCGGGTCCCCATTGATAGTTCCGAGACCTTCACCCAGCTTTATGCTAAGGTGGATAAGGTATGTAGATGCAATACCGATATTGCTAGTTGCAGGATCAATTGCTAAACACTCGACAGGCATTCAACGAGGGTGCCTCTGACATCGTTCCTCTTGGTAGTCTCCGCTCTTACATCCAAGACAAGTCCAATTCTGAACGATCCCCGATCCTTTTTCGATTCGCTGCCTACGATGCCCCAGCTTCTTCGCAAGAATACCCCGCCAACACTTTTGACAGCACAGATCTGGTGATCAACGTTGCTCCCGGCAATAACTCGCTGGAGGTCGAACTGGGTGCCTACTATAACCAGCGTATTTTCTCGAGTGCACGCATCTCAACCATTCTGAACCAGCTGGCTCAGATTGCTAGAAATGCTGCAGCAAACCCGGAGGAGAACGTTGGCCGAATCGATATGATGACCGAGAGCCAGCGCGCACTTTTACCGGACCCCACCAAGGATCTGAACTGGTCCAAGTTCCGAGGTGCCATCCACGACATCTTCGCTGAAAATGCGGAGAAGCACCCTGAGAAGCTTTGCGTGGTTGAAACCAAGTCGAGCAACTCGCCCCACCGCGAGTTCACCTATAAACAGATCAATGAAGCCTCGAACATCCTCGGACACCACCTCGTAGAATCTGGTATCCAAAGAGGAGAGGTTGTTATGGTCTATGCCTACCGTGGTGTAGATCTGGTTGTGGCTGTGATGGGTATTCTGAAGGCCGGTGCCACATTCTCCGTCATTGACCCCGCATACCCTCCAGAGCGTCAAAACATCTACCTTGATGTTGCCCGTCCCCGTGCCCTAGTCAACATCGCCAAGGCCACCAAGGATGCTGGCGAGCTCTCGGACATTGTCCGAACTTTCATCAACGAGAACTTGGAGCTGCGTACTGAGGTTCCAGCCCTTGCTCTCCAGGATGATGGCACTCTTGTTGGTGGTTCCATCAATGGCCAGGATGTGTTTGCCAAAGAGGTTGAGCTGAAGTCCAAGCCCGTTGGCGTTGTTGTGGGCCCCGATTCTACCCCTACCCTCTCCTTCACCTCCGGCTCTGAGGGCCGGCCGAAGGGTGTCCGTGGCCGTCACTTCTCCCTTGCCTATTACTTCCCTTGGATGTCGGAGACCTTCAAGCTCACCCCGAACGAGAAGTTCACTATGCTCAGTGGTATCGCCCATGATCCCATCCAGCGAGATATCTTCACTCCACTGTTCCTGGGTGCCCAGCTGCTGGTTCCGGCCAAGGAGGATATCCAAAATGAAAGGCTTGCCGAGTGGATGCAGAACTATGGCCCCACTGTAACTCACCTTACCCCGGCTATGGGTCAGATCCTTGTTGGCGGTGCTTCTGCTCAATTCCCAGCTCTGCATCACGCTTTCTTTGTGGGTGACATTTTGATCAAGCGTGACTGCCGCTCTCTGCAGGGTCTGGCACCAAACGTGAACATTGTCAACATGTACGGTACCACCGAGACTCAGCGCGCTGTCAGTTATTACGAAATCCCAAGCTACTCCAGCCAGGAGGGTTTCCTGGACACTATGAAGGACGTCATTCCCGCTGGTCGTGGCATGTTGGATGTGCAGATGCTTGTTGTCAACCGTTTTGATCCCACACGCATCTGTGCCATCGGCGAAGTTGGTGAGATCTACGTCCGTGCTGCTGGTCTTGCCGAAGGCTACCTGGGCTCTCCAGACATGAACGCCAAGAAGTTCCTGACCAACTGGTTCGTCAAGCCCGAGGTCTGGATTGAGAAGGATAAGGCTGAGTCGCAGGGTGAGCCTTGGCGCGAATTCTATGTCGGCCCCAGAGATCGTCTGTACCGCAGTGGTGACCTCGGTCGCTACACTCCCTCTGGAGATGTGGAGTGCTCTGGTCGTGCTGACGACCAGGTCAAGATCCGTGGTTTCCGTATCGAGCTGGGTGAGATTGATACCCATCTTTCTCGCCACCCTTTGGTCCGTGAGAATGTCACTCTGGTTCGTCGTGACAAGTTCGAGGAGCCGACTCTAGTCAGCTACTTCGTTCCTGATATGACCAAGTGGTCCGAGTGGCTGAAAACCAAGGGCTTGGAGGAGGATGATTCTGCTGAGGGTATGGTGGGTATGCTGCGCCGCTTCCGTCCTCTGCGTGATGACGCTCGCGAGCATCTCCGCAGCAAGCTCCCTACCTACGCTGTGCCTACTGTGATCATTCCGCTCAAGCGCATGCCGCTGAATCCCAACGGCAAAATTGATAAGCCTGCCTTGCCTTTCCCAGATACTGCAGAGCTTAGTGCGGCCGCGCCCCGTCGCCGCTCATCGGCCATGCAGGCCCTTTCCGAGACTGAGCAAGCTCTTTCTCAAATCTGGGCTAAGCTCATCCCCAATGTGACCGCCCGCATGATTGGTCAGGATGATTCCTTCTTCGACCTTGGTGGTCACAGTATCTTGGCTCAGCAAATGTTCTTTGACCTGCGCCGCAAGTGGCGTGGCATTGATATCAGCATGAACGCTATCTTCCGCAGCCCTACCCTCAAGGGTTTCGCCGGTGAGATTGACCGTTTGCTTAACATTGAATCGTTTGCAACCAGTGATGACCCCGACAAGACTGGAGCAGCTCAGGCTAGTAACCAGCCTGATGATGAGTACTCGAAGGATGCGCGCCGGCTGGTCAGTGAACTACCCAAGACCTTCCCTACTCGTACAGACGCGATGCTCACCAGTGAGCCCACTATCTTCCTGACTGGAGCTACTGGATTCCTGGGTGCTCACATCCTACGAGATCTACTCACCCGCAAGTCTCCCGAGGCCAAGGTTGTCGCTCTGGTCCGGGCTAAGAACGAGGAGCAAGCCCTTGAGCGTATCCGTTCCACCTGCCGCGCCTACGGCTTCTGGGACGAGGCCTGGACTAGCAAGCTTCAAGCCCTATGTGGTGATCTCGGCAAGCCGCAGTTTGGACTCTCCCAGACAGTTTGGGATGATCTCACCGAGAACGTTGATGCCGTGATTCACAACGGTGCCCTTGTTCACTGGGTCTACCCCTACGCCACTCTGAAGCCCGCCAACGTTATGGGTACTATCGATGCTCTGAAGCTGTGCGGCAGCGGCAAGGCCAAACAGTTTGCCTTTGTCAGCTCCACTAGCGCTCTGGACAAGGACCACTACGTCCAGGAGTCTGAGCGCAGCCTTGCAGCCGGTGGAAACGGTATCAGCGAAGATGATGACCTCGAAGGCAGCGCTGTTGGCCTCGGTACTGGTTACGGTCAGAGCAAGTGGGCTGGCGAGTACCTGGTGAAGGAGGCCGGCCGCAGAGGCCTGATAGGAACCATCATCCGCTCTGGATACGTCCTGGGTGACTCGACCACCGGAACCACCAACACTGACGACTTCCTCATTCGTATGTTGAAGGGATGTATTCAGTTGTCCGCTCGTCCCAACATCAACAACTCCGTGAATATGGTTCCGGTTGATCATGTGGCCCGCATTGTCATTGCTTGTGCTTTCCACGCGCCTCGTACTCCTGTTGGTGTCGCCCATGTCACCGGACACCCGCGTCTGCGCTTCAACCAGTTCCTTGGTGCTCTGCAAACCTTCGGTTACGATGTCCCTCAGGTCGACTACGTTCCTTGGTCCCAGTCCCTCGAGAACTATGTCAACGATGGCGAGCATGACGACAAGGATTCTCAGCATGCACTGTAAGTGACTCTACCCAATCCTTATACACTCTAAAGCTAACGTTTATAAAGCATGCCCCTCTATCACTTCGTGACAGCGGATCTTCCCTCCAACACCAAGGCCCCCGAGCTGGATGATACCAACGCTGCTGCCGCGCTGAAGGCAGATGCCGCTTGGTCCGGCATTGATGCGTCTGCCGGCGCGGGTGTCACGGAAGAGTTAGTCGGTCTGTATTCGTCATACCTCATGCAGATCGGATTCCTTCCTGCACCGACTATCGCCGGAGCCCGGCCTCTGCCGAGTGCCCGTATTACCGAGGAGCAAAAGCAGGCCGTGATGAATGTGGGTGGACGTGGTGGAGCTGCTTAAGCCATTGATCGATATATGTGTTTTTATGTCCTGTTTTTTGCGCACCCACGGTGAAAAAGCATTGTGTATATGGAATGAGTCAACGAGATCAATGTATAGAAATATACCGTCTCAAAGGTCGGTCAAGCAAAAAGAAGAGCCCAACCGCAGCGTCCCGCCGATCTCGCCTTTTTCCCACGGAAAGTCTCGCCCGGTCAGGAACAGGCTTTTTACCCCTCGCACCTAGATAAACTTGTCAACTCATCAACTTGGACAAGTCTTAATTCTCGGCATCTCTCCTTCATTTCTCTTCTGCTCGACTCGATTCGCGATCCTCATGGCCGAAGGTATGTGCGCAGGTGGACACACTTCTTTTGCCTTTTGAGTTCTTAGGCGGGGTTTTTCTCGTTTCCCAATCTTTCCCCCAACACCTTTGTCTGGTCAACTCAACCGATCTGCGCGGCGCACTCGGGGAGAGGAGCAAGTGAAGAGTCAGCCATACGGGTGATCTGCCTCTTCCCTGGCCTTCCAAGGTTCCCACTTAGCTGCCGCAATCCCTGTTGTGTACTTTTCCCCCCGAACACCTGAACACCTGCTCCCCCATCGGGCGTAATGAACGCCGCACGACTGGCCGTGCGACCTGGCTTCGTCGCACGCGCCACGCAGCTGGTGCAAGGCGCCCCAGATCGCCGACCGTCAATTATTCCCTCACCCTCTCAAAATACCTCCGCGGTCCCCTTCACACACCGATTGTCCCCTTTCTCGACCTCTGCCTCCCTCTCTTGCGCGAACCACAAAAACCCCGGCTCGAGTGCCTCTGCCACTTCTCAGACTGACAGTGATGACTCGTCAACAGACAAGTTCACCATTGGCCTGCGCAAGAACCAGGAATGGGCTGCTCAGACGGCGCGTGAACACCCCGACCTCTTCCCTACCCTTGCCACCGGCCAGCAGCCTCAAATCCTCTGGCTCGGCTGCTCCGACTCGCGATGCCCTGAAACCTCGATGCTGGGCCTCCAGCCCGGTGACGTCTTCGTTCACCGCAACATTGCGAATATCCTGCACCCCGGTGATCTGAGCTCGGGTGCCGTTATTGAGTACGCCGTGCAGCACCTGCGCGTCAAGCACGTCGTGGTCTGCGGTCACACTTCCTGCGGTGGTGTCGCCGCCGCCATGGGCAACAAGCAGCTGGGTATTTTGGACCCCTGGCTTCTGCCTCTGCGCCAGGTGCGCGAGCGCAACCTCGCTCTGCTGCAGTCTCTGCCGGCCGATGAGGCTGCGCTGAAGCTCGTGGAGCTGAATGTGCGTGAGGGTTTGAATGTGGTGACCCAGAAGAGCGTGGTTCTGAACGCGATCCAGGAACGTGGACTCAAGGTCCACGGCGTGATCTATGACGTTGGTTCCGGTGTTCTGCGTGAGTTGGATACTCAGGATTCTCAGGATGCCATTCGGGCTCGTTTGGTTGCCTTCAAGACTGATGCCTAAACTGGTGCTCAATTTGCGAATTTGAGAGATTTGGACGTGGGTCAATAGTAGCAGGACATAGACATTTGTTTCGATTTCGGGGTTTGAAGCTTCCAAGGGTGATGATTTGACGACAGGATGAATAAACGAGCATTTCTCTGTAATCCTGGTAGTTTCCTGGGGACGAGCCCACGCACGTCTAAAAGATGCTCGGTATCTAATTCGCCGTCCGATCCTCGAAGAGAAAAGAGACAGGTATTGACCCCCATACTTGAACGGGCGAAGGATCTAGGCATATACTTCTAGGCATATACTTGAAGACCTCTCCGTTTCCGGGGGTCGATGACTCAAGAGCCAAACCAAGGATGAAATAAGAGTACCAATGAAGACCCAAACTGAATCGTCGGGGACTGAATCAAGATAGCCTCGCGTGAGTCAATTGAGCGAGGCTCTGCTAGCGTGGGGCAAGCTTCAATGCATTAACTAAAGAGTTGGCTGACAGCCAACCAACAAAACATGAATAGTACTCTGCTTTGTCCAGCAGCTTTAGGCAGCAGAACCCGGGTGATTCTGCCTTGTGGTTCGCTCAGACTGAAACCCGTGTATAAAGGGAAGGCTTCTTTCTCAGTTCAACTACTTTCTCTTCCATGATTCTTTCCCTCCACTGCCAACTTTCCAGACCAGGCCTATCTGTGAGCCAAACCGTACGAGACATTCAAACGGACGCCTTGTACTGCAAGTTGTGGTCCAGCTCGACCACTGTTACTTGTCGCCATGGCGCTGGATGCAGTCAACACTGCAGTGCAGAGCACCAGCAGCAACTCCGAAGTCAACGGAAAAGATACTGAAAGTGAGCGAAGTCCCGTCACTACGAAGTCAAGCTTTACAGCTAACAATGAAAAGAAGAAGAAGTCAAATACGCGCCCAAGGGATCCGTTTGCGGAATTCACAATCTCTATCAAACGACGCCTGACGAGAGCGGGTACACGTCGTGGAGCAAGAGTCCGCCTGAGGTCGAAGAAGCTGCTGAAAGCGAAGAATCTGCCCAGTACGCCTTGATTCTGCGACACACCAAATGCTACGATGGGCGCCGAGCTCTCGACCTTCACTCAGTCGTGATCCAAAGTGAGCCTCTGAAGAAGGTCCTTGGCAACGTCCTTCACAAATACCCCGGCGTCACGACAACTCTGGAGCGGCTTGAGTTCTCAAAACCGTTCAAGCCCTTGGTTCATCGGTGGGAAGCCCTTACCAAGGCTCACGAGGAAGAACATGACGAAATCACCAAAAAGCATGTTGTTCTGTTCTACAAGATCCTCGAAGAGGAACTCCGGGATACACTTGATCGCAAGAAGGACCTAATTTGTAATGCAGTCATCACTCACGACCTCATCTGGAGCATTTTCGAGCCCGGCGACGTGGTGATCAGCGTGATCGGTGACCGTACACGCGGATACCAATTTGTCAGTGCTTCCTTGAACTGCGAGACGGGTAAGTGGAGCCTCAGAACAAAGTACATCGACTTCGACGGCGACGCTTTCAGATATGACGAAGAAGAATTCAGCGTTGGATCGTTCACAGGCACTGTTCCTATCACCACGTTGCCGGTGTCTCCCCTCACATATCATTCCAATCAGTCCATCATTCGACAAGCCTTGATTGCGCAAGGAAAGGTCTGGGAGGAGCACAAGGGATATCACTACAAGCAATATGATGGCATTGCCATCGGGTTTGTTGAAGGTGACGATGACACGGAGCGACGGAAATATCAAGTGCAGAGCAGAATCATCATCGACGCTCAGGCTTTCCGAACATTTCAGCTCTACAAATCCATCAATCTGAACGGCGAAGTTCTGGATGAGCTGGACGATGACCAGAGGGTTATCACGTCTAATTTGGTCTATGGATATGCCCTGAAGGACAAAGAATGGCTCCAGTTCTTCTTGGACAGCTCGTCCGAGATCGTGTGGGACTCGCAAGCATTTGACTCGCTCGTTCTTCCCAAGGAGCAGGAGAATTTGAAGGATCTGATTCTGGCTTTTGCAAAGACCCAGTCGCAGAAGCTGGATACCTTTGACGACGTCGTTCAAGGCAAAGGCCGCGGAATCATCATGCAGCTTAGTGGTCCTCCCGGAGTGGGCAAGACCCTGACAGCCGAGAGTGTCGCCGAGGTGATGAAGGTCCCTCTCTATGTTATGAGCGCTGGTGATTTGGGTACAACTGCCGGCTCCGTGGAGCGGAATCTTAAGGATATCCTGCGAATGGTCCCCAAGTGGGATGCTGTCCTTCTACTCGACGAGGCAGACGTCTTCATGGAAGCACGCAGTGCTACCGACTTGCAGAGGAATGAGCTGGTATCGATCTTCCTTCGAATGCTGGAATACTATGAGGTAAGCTTTGCCATCATGAAAAGTAGAAGTATATGACAGCGTCTAACATGAATCAAAGGGCATTCTATTCCTCACCACTAATCGGGCCGAAAACATCGACCCTGCCTTCGAATCTCGAATTCATGTTTCGCTGGCCTACAAGGACCTCGATGCAACCTCCCGTCGCCACGTCTGGTTCCATTTCCTGTCTCGTACTGCTAACACGGAGAAATTCTCCGACACAGAGCTGAACAAGCTTGCTGAGTTTGAGCTCAATGGTCGCCAGATCAAGAATTTGATCAAGACAGCGGGCTTGCTGGCCTGGTCTCAGGAGACTACCTTGAAGTTTGAGCACATCAAGGTTGTCCTGGGTCTTCGGCAAAGCAATTTGCTGAAGTCTACTTGAGTTCATGCGGAGGTTGACCACGATAGCTATGTGACATGACACATCATTTCATAGTATCCATACGGCAGACATTAGGGGAAAGGAAGCAATGGCTAAGGTGGGTAGTTATCTCGATATCCAGTTTCTAATGACGTTATCGTATTCCAACCTTCATTCAGCCCCCCTTATCAACAATTAGATGTCTGAGCGTAGATAGGCGAGTCACATTTCCTCGCCTCCACTGTGGGCCCGGTGGGCTTCGGCGCGGTCTATGCGTTACACAGCTAAACTACTGTGAAGGAATGAGAAAATACAAACTGGAGTCTATATTGGAGATCATTAGAGCAAAATGCAAATGTGGCCTTGCGTCGTTCACAGTTCCGAAGGAGGTTATGTCTGACTTGTGGCAAAAGCAAGATGATCATTTAGTGGCTAATCGGCACGAACCTATTCTTACATGGATTGATGTCTTGAAAGAACGGCAAGATTGGCCCATGTTTTGTTAAACCAGTTATCGTTAAAGTCGGCTTCTTAAAGCATCCCGACTTTTAATCACACACTCCACCAGTTCTTTGACTTTCAAAGCTGCTCCATATCCATAGACATACCCCAAGCTGCCAAACCCGTATGCGTGAACCACCTTGCCTTCGGTTTCAAGCGGGTAACCACCCTTTCTTCCAGGTCGGAATGCGACAATGTCTTTTGTCGAAGACTTTTCCAAATCCACAGAGTCGAGACGTTCTTTAGAGAGATCTTTCACCCGAGCAAGAATATCGGATCGCAATTTGTCGTCGACCTCGCGGTCTAATTTTCTTTCCTGGCTCACCCCGCCAATAATTGCACCACCCGTGTGCATGCGCGGGATAATGTAGGTGTAATGGGTTCCTTGGAGCATCATCAGCTCGTCAAAGTCGGTTTCCACGAACATGGTTTGTCCACGGGCGGCAACCACATCCTTGTCGCCGGCTAAGTCGAAAGCGCCCAGGCCCGACGCATGAACGACCACTTCGTTACCAGTGATACGCCTTGCTTCCTCGAGGTCTTTGATTTCCTTTCGAATAAAACGAACTCCTCGGGCTTCCAGTTCTTTCTGAATCCATGGGAGGAAAATGGTGGGGTTGACTGTCATGGTCTTGAATGTAAAGCCCAGTTTGACGCCTCTGGGGAGTTCTTTCGTGGTAATCCGACGATATTGCGGTACGAGAGTCTTGTACCAAACCGCAGAGTCGTCGTCCCGATCATTATAGAACTCGGTCGCTTTGACCACCTACGAACAACGACCAGTCAGATAAACTCATGATTTTTTTGCGCTGATCAATGAAGACACTTGGGACTTTACTTGGACTCCACTTGTGGGATCTCTATGGGCTAAAGCCCAGAAATATTTGAAGCTTTCCACCTGGAGTGAATGACCCTTGGCATCAGGATGGGGAAAGATTGCCGCTCCGGCCCTGCAAATGAAATATCAGATCGTATGTTCGGCTCCTGTACTGGTCGGCGACTATACCAAGGGCTCGCCCAGTCTTGGGATTCATCACCAGGTAAGTCACGAGCAACGATGGTCACTTGGTGGTCAGCATCGGTCAGAGTTAGAGCTGATAAGAGGCCGATGACGCCAGCGCCGATGATGGTTACGCCCATTCGGGGTAAGAGGCTCTGAAGTTTGATACGATTCAAAATGCGTACTAGAAACAAGCGAGGCCGAGAGATTCACCGAAGTAGTGTTCAAGAGCTTATGGACTGATGCGGAATATTATATCATCATGATGCGGAACGCGTTTCACATCGAGACAATCATCAGGACCACTTATCAGATATTATACAAAATTTTACAACAGCCTTTTATTGAATCCATTGCTTTGGTGCGGGGAAGAGATTCGGCTTAGAGTGTCAACGTGTGATTGGAGCGCCCGGAACGACTTGCCCCTCTATCACGAGCGGTGGACACTTGGAATCTTTGATCTTTTCCATGACCTCGTTGTTTTTAGAGCGATTCGAAGCTAAATATCACACGGTTTCCGTCTATCCTGCCTGCTGCCTGCACTCTTGGCATAGAACAATGTTTCGTAATTGCCGCTGGTCTGTCCTATCCGCACTTGCCATAGAACGGACTGTGTTCTATCCCGATCCACTCTTGGCATGCAAAAAGGACCCGCATTGATCTTTCCAATCTTCAATGTATTGAAAGGCACAATCACGTCCAGCCCTGGAGCAACCTACGCCGTACAACTTTAGAAAAGTCCCGGGCTGTCATCTCGTTCTCGTTCTCGAGACTACGCCCAGGAACCGATAAATCACATGATCAGGGTCCGATCCTCGGGTCTCGATCGCCACTCCGCCATCCCCTGAAAACGTCCCCACACGGAATTAAGCAGAGCGGAAATCTATAGCAGTGATAGTTTGTGATCTGATCTGGAGCCGGGTGAGCTAGCGCCGGCCGGGGCCCATTTGTATGGGTAGCCGGGGACTAAATCTATCAAACTAGGGATAAGTACAGTACAACGAAACCAATTTTTGGGCCCCTTTTTGTGGTGGAGTCCTTGGATGAAGTACAATCTATAGTACAACAACGATCCCCCCATTTCCTAAGGTTGGTGATGGGATGCCCGCTACTATGACTATTCCGTAGTGTGCGATAGCTATCGCACCTTTGAAACCCCGATGAAACTGCGTAATCATGATAGATTACCCCGGCATCCAACGGGACTCCAGGAACCAACTGCCAGGCGTGCGTCATCGGGCCCCGGTCGTGAATGCTTCTCGCGGCTCCTATTGGCCCCACCGGGCTCCAGAGGCCATAGACCCGAATCCCTCGATAATTCTTGCCGTCTGCTTAGGCCCCCCTCTGAGATGATCTGCGCCCTTCTTTTCCCCTGGCCGTTCCCTCATGGCGTCTCTTCAAACCACGTCACTCTTTTGAACCACCATGATCTGGTACGCCCTATTTCTGCTAGTCGTGCAGAATGCGGCGGCCTGGCGGTACACGGATGATGATCTGATGTCCTTTATGACCGTAAGTTGTCGGCCGTCTCCGCACAGACCGAGGCTAACACGTATTCGCAGCTTCCGGACGCGAGAGCCGTGAGATTCGACATTGAAACCCTAGATCGTAACAGAACTGCCCCGGGATACTGGTTCGTCTCGCCGTATCTGCACATTGAGCCGGATGAACCGTCGAGCGAATACGAGCAATACCAGATCGGTCCGCACATCTACGATGAGGATGGTGTACGTGTCGCTGTGGAAGTCGCGTCAACTATTGGTAGCTAACCCCGATTCTCTTTGGAATAGATCCTCATCTGGACTGGTTCGATGCAATTCGACAATCGCAATGTCTTCGACTTCAAAGCCATCAACAGCTTCGACAACAAGACCTACCTATCTATGATCCTACAGTACAGTTACGATGGTGGCGAGCGCGGTTACGGCATGATTCTGAACGAAAAGTACGAGACTTACCGGAAACTGCCCCTGCGCACCGATCTCGGAGTATTTGACATTCACGAGTTTAACGTTCGTAAGGATGGCAAGTCCGCGCTGGTCACGGTCTACCTGTCTGAGGAGGTTGAACTTACGGAGTTCGGCCGCCCGAATGAAAAGACGTTCCTTGAAATCGGTGGATTTGCGGAAATCGACACAACTACCGCGGAGATTCTCTACGATTGGAAATCTTACAACCAAATTCCGCTGTCAGAGACCGTCCATTACTTCCTAGACTCCGTGATTGAAGGACCTCCTGGCTGGGATTATGTGCACATCAATTCTGTCGACAAGAATGAGGCAGGCGATTATTTGATCTCTATGCGCTTCACCAACACTCTTTACATGGTCTCCGGACTCGATGGGAAAATCATGTGGCGACTGAACGGGGTGAACGGCGGTGACTTTGATTCCGATTTCCTCTTTTCAAAGCAACACGATGCCAAGTTCCTGGAGTCTTCTGGCACCCACCATGTCATCTCGTTTTTAAACAATGCATCGGATGAGGAGTTCCAGGAGGAGACTATCTCCGCGGCTTTGATCGTGGAGGTGGAAACTGGGACCACCCCGATGACTGCTCGTGTTGTTAAACGTTACAATCGCCCCGACGGAGACCTCACCCGCCTTCGTGGAAACTCCCAGGTGCTTCCCAACAACAACATGTTCGTGTGCTGGAGCCAGGGTGGCTACATCTCGGAGCATTCGCCCGAGGGAGATGTATTGATGATTGCGAAGTTCACATCGCCGCGTTTCTCAAACTACCGCGCGTACAAGTTCGAATTCACCGGCCGTCCGACTATTCCGCCCGACGTCGTTGCTTCTGTTTGGGGTACCGACGAGACGAACCTGGTCACGACCATTTGGGTTAGTTGGAATGGAGCTACCGACGTTGTCTCGTATAACTTCTACGCCCAAGCTTCGGAATTTGACAAGCCTATTTTCGTGGGGAATATCTCCAAGGCCGGATTTGAATCCATGTTCATGGCTGCCGGGTACGTGGACTGGGTCTCTGTCGAAGCAGTGGACCGCAATGGCAATGTCATGGGTACATCCCAGGTGAAACGGACTCGGTTCCCAGACTGGGAGAACGTCGGGTGGTCAGGATACTCTAGTCAGCCTCGGCCGCAGAATCCATCAAGGATCTTCCAAAGCGTTGATGGCTTCTCGACCGACAAGTCCATTGACGACAGCAGCTTTGCGTCGTTTGACGGCACCGCAGAGGCTCAGAACCGCAAGACGACTCAGACTCTTGCAACCACATATGATGCCATCCGTAGCATCGGTGGTATGTTTGCGCTCATTTTGCTACTGGCTGTGATGTCTGGCATCATGGCTAGTTACTTGCTCATTCGAGGCTGGCGGGTCCACCTCTACCAGCGTGTTCCAAAGGAGGAGAGCTATGCCGAGGAGGAACGTCTCCGACCGGACGATGATTGATTATTGAAGGAGCCAAGCCTTGAACTCCTATCGTTTGCATGGACTGCGGGAGTTACTGCATATTACTGGTTCTTCACTGGTAGGGCATTTTCCATTTGTATATAGCATGGCCCATCTTGAAATTTACCAGTTATTTTCTGTTTCAAACCTTATGCAAACAAGAAATTCCGTGACTTGATTGGTTACCAGATCGTCCCGCGCACAAAGGCATTTTCTATGCATGATGATGGGACCATTGTTCTAGAGCGGAATTCTCGGTCGATGGCGAAACTGGCAGCTGACTGATTGCAATCCCCGCAGTTCCATTGAGCTCCGCGTTTGCTATTATTGTTTGTCATTCCTGTGGTTCCGTAAAGGCTAGCGACGGTGTGGGAATCGTCTGGAAGCAGCCGCGGATTTCCGAACAAGGCTTTACCGAGTCAGGCACCTTCCGACCATAAGTCCCCTAATATACTGTGTATGCAGATCAGCATGGTTCTTAACTCGACAAGAATGCAACTCCAAGTCCAGGCCCACGTATTACTTGAAATAAATTCAATAGGAGTTGCAAGGGATTCCCGGGGATCCGAATCTCGGGAATGGTGGGTGGCGGTATTCCCGAGAAAGTTATTCCCGGCGTTCCGGCCTTTGCCCCCAGGTTCTATTTAGACCTTGGGTGTGTCAAAAAGTTTACAGGAATTTCAATTCTTATTTTCGTCCTTCAATCTCCTTCCCCAAATTATACCTTTAAATCTCAACATCCAATCAAAACAATATTGGGGAGTAGACGTCCAATATGCCGGCAACCAGTCTCTGCCAAGACGAGGCATGCCCTCCGTATAGCCTCATGGACGATTATAGCGAAGGAGCTCACCCTCAAATCCTTGAGGCTCTGCTCCGGACAAATTCAACACAGCAAGTCTCCTATGGAGGCGACGATTACTCCCATGAGGCCAGGCAATTGATCAGAAACAAGATTAACTGCACTGAAGACGAGGCCGATATCTTCTTTGTCCCCAGTGGAACCTCAGCAAATCTTATCTCCATTGCCAGCTGCCTCCGGCCGTACGAGGCGGTTATTACTCTTGAATCCGGACACATTGCATGCAAAGAAGCTGGTGCGATTGAGGCAACTGGGCACAAGCTCATCCTCGTCCCGCCCGTCGATGGCAAAATGACACCGAGAAATCTTCAAAAGGCCATTCAGCAAAACCAGTTTTTCCCGCATATGGCCAAGCCACGGCTTCTGTACATCTCCAATGCCTCGGAGACCGGCACGGTGTACACCAAGCGCGAACTGAGCAATCTCTCTGCGCTGTGTAAACAACTAAACCTGTTGATGCTCATGGACGGAGCTCGGATCGGAACGGCGATGTGTTCAAAGAAGAACGACATGACTTTCCGAGATATTTTCGACCTCACCGACATTTTTTGGATTGGCGGAACTAAAGCCGGTGCCCTGATGGGCGAAGCCATCGTCGTCAAGAAGGCTCTGTCCGAAGGATTCGTCTTCCACCTCAAACAGCACGGGGCTCTCCTGGCGAAAGGACGGATTATGGGCGTCCAATTTATGGAGCTTTTCCGCTCAGATCTCTTCTTCACCTTGGCTACTCATGCCAACGCCATGGCCGAGAAGATCTCCGCCAATTTCGAGGCCCTGGGACACAACCTGGTGGCGGAAACGGAAACAAACCAAGTGTTTGTCACTATGCCCCAACAACTGGCGCAAAGGCTGCAGAACCGCTTCAGATTCTATATTTGGGATCAGTTGGACGATGGGCAGGTGGTGGTTAGGATTGTGACTTCTTGGGCCACGGACGAGTTGCAGGTCGACAAGTTCAATGCGTGGGTGGCACAGTGGACGGCGGCAGCGAAGGAATTCGCTACGAATTAAGAGCATTGCATATAGATACCATAAAATATAAATAGACGCTTAGCTTAATCAGACATCAACCATCATTACTAAGTCATTGTTTTTCGTTTAATCGTAAGTTCCCACAAAAGCTAAAAAATATACTGCGTCACATGACCTGTCATGCCGTATCAAGAAGCCAGACGACACCTTAGCTTTCGGGCTTCATCCGCCGCATCTCCTTTCTTCGATTGCTCCGAACTCGTGAGGAATGAAACCTGAGACTCATATTCTTGTTCAATTCTTATATTCTAATTATTCCAATACCCCCACACTCCTGTCCCATGGGCCCTGTATGACAGTCGCCTCATTCCTTGCTCGAATCGAGCTCAGTCAACCTAATGAGACTGTCGATATCATGTGATGCTTGCCGGTAGGTCTATACTCCAAATCCCCTATGAAGCTATCTTCTAAGCGACTTTCCCAGTCGGGCCAAAGTGAAATGTATACATGAGGGTAATCCACCCTGTCGGCGCTGCGAGAAGACCAAGAGTGAAGGATGCGCCCTGACAGACCCGCGGGCCTCAAAACCAAGAGCCCGGAGAAGCACTGCCGGGTCTGGAGTACCACAGAAGCGAAGAAAGGCATCTCACCCGACACCTTCAGCTGAGAACATTCGAAATCTCAGAGGTGCCACTCGAAATGCTTCAGAAAGCGGCGAGAATCCCATCTCGGCCTTGCCGCCATCTACGGTGATCAGTGCAGTAGAAACCTATCGGAAGAAGTTTCCGGTTGCCAATTTCCTACATTATCCTTCTTTGATATCTGATATATCTTCTAATTTTGATTCGGTGGATCCGATATTCCTCGCTTCGCTTCTCTCTATGTGCGTGCGTTTCATGACCGATGATGAACTCGAGGACGAGGAGACTTATGCGGGCTATGCTCGACAACATCTAGCGCACCGTGTGATGGAGGCTCCTTCTCTTTACCTTGCTCAGTCGCTGGTCATGATTTCTTTCTATGAGTGGGGCACCGGTCGACCTTACCAGGCTTGGATGTACAGTGGTATGTCTCGCAATGGCACAAGCTTTCCGATTGCCGGGTTAGCATGACAGCTAATAACTTGTCTAGGCATGGCCACATACATGATCCAGTCTCTTCTCAAAATGGCGGATGACAGCATGGAACACAGCCCCCAAGAATTTCACGCTTCTCAAACTCAGTATGAGCAGCTCGTCCGAACCTATTGGTGCTGCTTTGCGCAGGACTGCGAGCTGAGCTCTGGAGCCAGACAACACTTTGCCTTATCATTTTCTCAAATATCCGTCCCGCTTCCCATAAGCGATCGAGACTTTACCTTCAACCATTTACCGGAAAGGAGGTTGATGCCCGTTGACATGAACAAGGAATGTCCCCTGGCAAATAACCTAACTATCGAACACGGTCTGACGATAGTCACGCGAGGATTCGACATTTTCGTGCGGATCTTGAGATTCGCAAATGAGCATCGGCGTTCCCTTTCCTCCATGGGTGCAGATGACTCGGTCACACCCCTGCATCAAAATTGGCAAAAGCTCAAGGGCGAACTGGACGAATGGAGATCACTTCAGGATCGGACAGTCCGATACCCTGATACAAGTGCCCAGGCACATGTAGCTCTGGGATATGGAGAATTGTTTGCCTACATTAATCTACTCTACTTCATGAGGTCTGTTTAATCGCATTGCCAGCACGAATAAGGATACAACGGGAGTCAACGCTGACAGTGATACTTAGCATCCTCTTCCTCCACCGGGATCGCTTTCTATCTAATCTCAAACCACACTCTGATGTCTTCCACGACATGGATGAAAATGATCGATATGAACCCCATACGATTAAGCAACTTTTTGAGGCTGCCCAGCACATCAGCGGAGTCTTGGCAGCACTAGAATCGTCCGAAGCACCAGTGATGACCCCTTATTCAGGGTTTAGCGTCTTTGTCGCCGCGCATATCAACATGTACGGAACAATCGCACCAATGAGGTATCCCGGTGGACTGGAGCGAGCAGAAGAGGAGAAAGGCAAAAACCTCATCTACCTGGAGCGATTAAGTCGATTGTGGCCCGTGGGTCGAAGCTGGGTAAGCCCCCTGCACAAACGAAACAACCTGGACCTTTCGCTAACCCGAATTCGTATAGTGGCGAACCGTCCAGGAGGCCAATCGATTCTACGAAACCGTGAAAAGCTCGCAGACCCATGCCGATTCTGGCATGCACAGTCCAAGGCGGTTTGCATTGGCTGGAAAACTGGACGAATATGGGGATATTCGATCCCGTCCCAATCGCGATTCGCAGACCGCGAGGTCGATCAGCACGGAGCCTCGTGACGCGCATCAAACTTTAACCCCTGTCCCAGAAGGCGAAGGGGCCATGTTTGCCAGAGACAATGCTACGTATGCAGGTCATGATTTTGAAACGGACATGTTTCAGTGGCCGTTTATTGATGGGTCGTGGTCGGCTGGGTTCGACGCGGGGCTTGATGGGCTGTGGCATCACTCGGGCTTGTTCGATCCTAATCCAACGATGAGATAGAATGTCTGTAGGGTTCGATCGGGTAATACATAATTCGGAACTCGTCTATTAGGTATCTAAATTCTAGTAGTTATGAACAATGGAATAGCGCAGGCATGAGGGGTATCAGCGACTATCGCTATCTGCACTTTCCACGGTCTGTGACACCGCGACCGTCTTGCGGATGCCGTCGTCATTGTGCATCGAACCATCGGTTGCCGGCGTATCGGCGAAGGAAACAAGATGACTCTCGTCACCAAAGTTTGGCGCATTTTCCCAGCGACTGGCGGCTTTGCTGCCTTGCGAGCGATCACCAAGGTTCATATCCGAACCTCGGTCATAGTATTTCTGCGACGAGTACTGCTTCCTGTAGTGCGAAATGAGGACGTTCACCACGGGAAGACAGGCACAAATCAGGCCGACACCTCCCTCGGCGTTACTAAATAGAGTCAGAATTTTGGCCATGGTCGGAAAGGAGATTGGTGAACATACCCAGACAAAATGACACACATGAAGACAATGGTCTGGTCTTCAGACTGGCCCCTTTGCAGCACCAACACCAGTCGATAGAGACTGAAGGCTGTGGCTAGGCCACCAGCACTCAGTAGACCAATCACACGCAACTTTTTGTTTCGAGACATTTGCAAGGACCAGGTCAACGGCAGGGGGAGAATAAGAATGATGATATCGCTGACGAGACTGATAACCGAGTCGGCGATTAGAGCAGCGGTCTGGTTGAGGCAGGTACCTCCTCCTGGAAGTTTATCGCCCAGCCAGTAAAAAGGAACAGGAGCACACATGCGGATTTTGACGATGAGCGCGACGGTATAGTAGATGCAGAGGGTGCCGAGGAAGCCGTAGATGAACCAAACTTTCCCACGGTAAGGAGAGAAGATGCGGGTGAGGATAGAGAGGAGGGAGATTTTGACAAAAAGAGCCATCGGGCAGTAAAGAATGGTGGCGATATAGCAGAACTTTTTGAATTGGATCTGCTCTGAGGGACTTACGTCCCAGATGTGGTATCCTCCGCCATGGCGACCGACTAGATTCATCAGTGACTGAACTCGCTCGGTCTTCGGAGTTAGCTTCACACATACCGAGAATACTGATCCCGCAGTATCCCATAAAGAGAGCCCAGGCTACGAGACATCCATCTGCAGTCACGTTAGTATAGCCTTGCTGGAGAGATGTCACAAAAAAGCTCACAATCTTCAACGCCCAGGATCTGCTTGAAGCGAAGCCGGGTATAGAACCTCAAGGCCACAAAGGCTGTGCAGATAGGAATGCACAAGCATTGTGTCACGAGGTTGACTGTGCGGTACACATCATCTGGATGGCGGACGGTCATGTTGGACGTGTCAACCGAGATAGGTGTATGACCTGACGGCACGTATTAATGGGAGACGTTCACACATAAAGCCATTGACGAAATTAAAGTCTCGGCATCAAGGGTTTCCCGGACCCAAACATATGAAAGACCGGGAAGTTAAGAAAAGCCGGGACGAACGCTATTGATCCGCACCCCAAATAGTGGCTCCAAGGCTGATGGATTGACAGCAGCCATTGCCCGATTTCATGACACACTTGGGCCATCTCGGATGTCGGAGGTTAATACGCTGCCGTCAAGCGATCTCGATGTTTTTCGCGGGTTCCACCAGAGCGGAATCTCTCCACCGAGACCGCAGATGGCCACGCCCAGTGGAGACCCAAGCCCGTATTTTGCGAAACGGCCAAACTATCGTTCCCACGTCTGCTGCACCCGTTGTTTTACCAGGCGGCCCACGAGCGGATTGTCATGATGAACCCTAATCACGTTTAACCGAGTTGACATATTTGACAAGCACGCAAACCTTGGGTCAGGGACTATCACCGTTGTTGCTATATCCCTGTTCTGCACTTCCTCCCACCGGGACAACAAAGCCATAGTCATGACTATCCACTTCATCAGCGGTGAAAAGTCGGATCTTTTCCGTCCCCTGACCATTTCCAATGGTGCCATCACCCTCCGCCATCGTATCGTTCATGCCCCTCTGACCCGTAACCGCGGAGTGCCATTGAACCCTACCAGTACGCCGGAGAATCCCAATCGTATCTGGATCCCCGGCGATCTGGTGGTGGATTACTATGCGCAACGCGCTACCGAAGGCGGGCTGATCATCTCTGAGGGTATTCCGCCTTCTCTTGAGGTATGTCATGTCATGTCGGATTAACCGTCCGCGGATTCTCCGTTGTTTTCCGTTGCCAGACCCAGTTTTTTTTCTTTTTTATCTTTTCCTCGGCTACGCACTGTACTGTAGAACCCACTGGCTAACGTATTCGACAGAGCAATGGCATGCCCGGTGTACCCGGTATCTTCACGCCCGAACAGGCGGAGGGCTGGAAAAAGGTGGTGGATGCCGTGCACGCCAAAGGGGGCATCATATTCTGTCAACTCTGGCACGCCGGCCGCGCCACGATCCCCCAGATGACCGGATCGCCAGCCGTGTGCCCCTCGGCAAGTGTGTGGGACTCGCCCACGGAGTGCTACTCGCACCCTCCCGTGGGATCCACCGAGCCTGTCCCATACGCCAATTACCCGCCGATCGAGATGTCGGTTGAGCACATCAAGCGGACAATCAGTGACTATTGCCACGCCGCTAAAACCGCCATGGAAATTGGTTTTGACGGCGTGGAGATCCACGGGGGCAATGGTTATCTTCCCGAGCAGTTCCTGAGCTCCAATGTCAACAAGCGTACTGACAGCTACGGTGGATCCCCGGAAAAGCGCTGTCAATTTGTATTTGAGTTGATGGCTGAGGTTGCTGCCGCGATCGGCGAGCAGAACCTGTCGATCCGTCTGTCGCCTTTTGGCCTGTTCAATCAGGCTCGTGGTGAGCAGAGGCTCGAGACCTGGACTCATCTTTGTGAAGGTTTGAAGAAGGCGCATCCTGCTTTGTCATACGTCAGTTTTATTGAACCGGTAAGACTTTCCCCGTTGAGGATAGGTTGAAAAGTTTGCTGATCATTTGAACAGCGTTTCGAGCAGATCTTCGGCCCAGAAGAGAAAGATAAGTTCCTCGAGAGCTGGGGACTCCTGGATGTCACCCTCGACAATTTCCGGCAGATCTTCGGGTCTACCCCTTTCTTTTCGGCTGGAGGCTGGGATGACAAGAACTCATGGGGCGTTGTGGAGTCTGGCAAGTATGATGCCCTTCTCTACGGTCGATACTTCATTTCCAACCCGGATCTGGTCGACCGACTGAAGAAGGGTCTGCCATTGACTGCCTATGACCGCACCCGGTTCTACGGGCCTTTCGAGGATAACGCCTTCCACTACACTGACTATACCATTGCCAAGAAATAGATAGACTAGGATACGACATGATGATAGATAGCCTCTAATAAATCTTGTTCTCAGAGAATCTTCCATCGACCCGTGTCTGCCGAGTCTGCCACGATGCAGTACAGTACTTTGGCACTAGCGAAAATGCGAGTAGGTGCATCATTTCCGAAAATCGCTAACGCACTGCCAAGGTACTTTGACGGCTCCACTCTTCGGTCGGTTCAAACCGCGGTAGCCGTTGAAGTTCGTGGCTAGAACTCGGGCCAAGTAGCATCAACCTCGGTCCAGCGAAGCGTAGTAATTGCCCTAATGGTAGCACATAAATAGAACACTCGAATCTCGACAGAGAGACGGCGGGATGACATAGGGTCTTCGTCTACCAAACGGGTCCTGCCTCCATGGCCGATGTGTTTCAAGGTTATGAGCAAGTTCCGTTCTATTAATATCGCGTAATACCTATCGAAACCTTTGACAGAGTGAACGCTTATTCCCAGCTTCTCGCATTTCACCGCCGATCATAATTCCAGCTTCTAGCTTTTACTGTATATCCTCAACATACGGAACCGCAACAAAGAAGAAATCGAAATGAAAATCCTCGACCACGGCGCTTCATTCACCCCCAAACGTCCTCCTGCCACTTGCTTTTCTTCTTGACAGTCTTACTCCAGTTATTCACTTCATCCTCCGACCACTCTTTAGTCTCCTGCATCGTCTTACCAACAACCTTCTCCACGAGCCGGTTCTGCCCTTCCACGAACATAGAAGCTAGCACTCTCATCAATAAGCTTGACGACATCATCACCAAGAAGGAAAGATGAAAGTATTCTTGCTATGATCAACCCTGGAAAAGGGGGGTGGTATAAATAGCATATATAGTGACAGGATGGCAAACGCTTTCCCTATACTTTTGGAATGGGAAGGGCATTCACCCCCCTTGGAAATTTAGTCCATCTTGCTTATAGACAATTTCCATGAAGGATCTATGGCAAACCATCGTCCACGGTATCCCGAGGCGACAATAAAAATCCAATAGTAGAGCATGTGTTGCATCTTGTGTCATGCCTGGGTCTCATTGGGGTACGCAGGGGCAGGGAATATTTCCCTTGGGAAAGAGGAAAATCAGCCCTCAAACTGAGATTAGATTTAGCTCAAGCGGTTACTTTATATGGCGATGCGCAGGGTGATGAGGCATGTGGGCTTGAATATATATCAATTGTCGATGATTTAGAGCAGACCCTGTGAAGCAATTTGTCCTGGGCAAATTAGAATCAGAGGCAACGTTGAGTATTGGGTACGGTGATATTACCACCTTTTTGTCGTGCTCCATTTCTGCAAATATTTCTCCTTCATGCTCGAAAATTGGTTACCGGCCTGGGCTGGTCTAAGCTACTGCTGATGATGACTTAGATCTATGGAAGCCGGTAAGGTAGCGACCGTAGATTTCTCTTTCTATGCCTGGTAGGATGCGGTGTGCATTAAAACTGAGGTTAGAAACAGCATTCATATTACAATCTAATTGGAAGACTTGACCTGAAGAATACTATCCAAGGTAGATCTTGATCGTGGCTGGATTTTCCAGTATCACAAATAGCAAACCATCTCTGCCTACCTTTTCACAGTGTGCGATGCAATCATAGCATAGAGTCTTAACATTACCCCGGATCTTCGCATCCGATTTCTGGGCCGACCGGGCATCTTCTGGGAGCTCTGAGTGGGCTGGCAGAAAGTTTACCGGGTAGCTCTCGGCTAAATGGCGTTCGCTTCTTGATTTCGGCATATCGTCGACTTCACCGAGACTGGATTATTAATGTGGCAAGAGTCCCACCTTGGGCTATCTTTGAGCCATTCCTTGCTTGAAGGCTTCAACTTGGAACATAATACTCGCCCTTGGAACTTTCTTTCAACTCAAGCTTGATTTGTCTTGTCCAAGTTTTCGTGAGTTCCTTACTATGAACCCCTCCCGGAGCGTCGAATTCGAGGTCATGGCCGACTATAAATCACCATGAACTGAATCGAACTCCAAGGTACTCAACTGACTAACGCAATCCTTCGTTACCCGCAGAGCAATCTCAGTTGATTGAAAACATATATTTTAACGCACCATGTCTACCGAAATGGAATACACTCGGTATGAGCCCCGCGCCCCACTGTAGTCGTGCATTCGCTCTAGATGAAGTCGCTGATTGCCTGCGTTTCACAGCCTCGGTAACTCGGGCTTGAAGATCTCCAAGATCATCTTGGGTGCCATGTCCTATGGTAGCAAGCAGTGGCAGGAATGGGTCTTGGATGAGGAGGAATCTCTCCCCCTCATCGAACATGCCTACAAGCAGGGTATCAACACCTGGGACACGGTAAGTCCCATTTTGCCCTTCTGACATGAGTAAAAGAGTGGCTGCTAAGTACGCCTCAAAATAGGCGGATGTCTATTCTCATGGCCGATCTGAGGAAATTGTCGGCAAGGCCCTGAAGAAGTACAACATCCCGCGTAACCGCGTGGTGATCTTGACCAAGTGCTTCTTCGGCGTGGATGACGAGGGAAAGTTCCCTCCCATCTCCGCTTCAGCCAAGAATGACAATGAGTTCGTCAACCGCGTTGGCCTGTCGCGCAAGCACATCTTCGATGCAGTTGACGCCAGTGTCGAGCGCCTGGGCACCTACATCGACGTATTGCAGATCCACCGCCTGGACCGTGAGACTCCCCGCGAGGAAATCATGAAGGCTTTGAACGATGTTATCGACAGCGGCAAGGTGCGCTACATTGGCGCAAGCTCGGTATGATGCCCCCTTCTAGTCTCTGGGAGGATGAACATACTGATTTTCATAGATGGCTGCTTGGGAGTTCCAATCCCTGCAGAACATCGCCGCCCGCAACGGCTGGCACCAGTTCATCTCGATGCAGAACTACCACAACCTTCTTGCGCGCGAGGAAGAGCATGAGATGATCCCCTACTGTCTGGACACTGGCGTCGGGATCATCCCGTGGTCGCCCATGGCCCGTGGTGTGCTGGCGCGGCCGTGGAACTCCCGCTCGACCACTCGCGAGGGCTCCGACGGAGCGCTCAAGGTACTCGTGCGTGGCCGCGAGACCGAGTCCGATAAGGCGATTGTTGGTCGCGTCGAGGAGCTCGCGGGTAAGAAGGGAGTCAGCATGGCACAGATTGCCATTGCCTGGTCTTTGAGTCACCCTAACGAGTGTCCCATTTTGGGACTCAACAGCACGAAGCGCATTGATGAAGCTGTAGCGAGTCTAAAGGTTAAACTTAGCCCCGAGGAGATCCAGTATTTGGAGGAGCCCTACGTGCCCAAGGCTGTTTCGGCGATGGAACGGTAAAGGACCCAGTGAAATGTTCATGGGACGCCTTTGGTTGAAACTCGACGATTTACGTGTACGACTTATTGAATAGTCCATTCGCTTGACACGAGGGGTCCGATTTGAAGGCTTCGAGGATAATTTGAAATCTACGAAGTATGTAAGCCATATTCTTCCGATCTTGTCAGCACGCCACTCCACATTGTAACACCTAGCCCGCTCTGCAAGGCGTGGTAACCCTTACTGGATTTAAGAAGAATGGGGTGTAGTTGTATACTGCTGCTCCGGCTAACAAAACTGCTCTTGTGTGAGCTGGTATGAGCTCTTGGTGAAACGTATCGTCTTTTCGGATATTCCGGTGGATGATATCTGCTGAGATCCGATCCTTCGGCGCTTTCCTGGTATGCTCAATACTTCGACTTAAGCTTGTTTTCTATACGATTTCTAATCTAGCGATAATATAATGTGATAATTGGGCCCTGGAGTTCTACAAGGCTAGGGTGTAATTGAGCAGGAAATGACTCGGTATTTACTCATGTGCATCGTTACAACATGACACAGATGTACATACATATGGGTGCAGAATCGGTGTTCACTAGAGCTAACGCCACACAAGCGCAGCGAAGTTCTGTGTCCAATCTGAGTAATCCGTAGAATCAACCATACATTGAAAAATGAAATTGAGTGAAGAAACGGCAAAGCGCGTGCCAGACGACTGTCAATGCCCAAAGAGAAACGCCAAGTGAGATGCAACCGGATGGGGAAAAAATGCTGAGACAAAATACAGACAGGTCGCTGAAGGGTATCCACGTGCGATAAGGTGATCAGTGAGCGCCGTGTTTTCGATGAAAGATCGTGAAGATGTTGCTGAGTCGGTGTCGTCGTTTTCCCTTTGCGTTTGACTCGGGGTCTTTGGCCTCGGGTTGAGGCGATTGGGCATGACGAGCGTGATGGTTGGCTTGAGGAAAGCCGATGATCTGATCGGGTTCCACGGTGGGCTTGCCGTTTTCAGTCATTGGCTGGGTTTTTGATTTGCGTTTGGAATGATCGGGACGGGGAATATCTTCGAGTTCGATGGAATTTTGTCGCAAAGAATGGGGTTGTGAAGAAGGTCGAGAAACGACTATTTCACGACCGGGCTCGCCGTTGCCTGTGAATATGCTGTGTCGATTGAGCCGGGTGCTAATGCCCGACGCGCTTCGTCGCTTGGCCCGGTCCATAAAGGCAGCACCGGTCGAGTTGGATCGTTTCGAAAGGCTGCCGAAAGTTTCCCCACCGTCAGTGGGTGCCACAGAATTGGAACGCCGAATGCTCGAAATCGACATGCAGCGCTTGCCATTCATGGATTCTTTCATTGGGCTCAGGTCATCGCGATTAATCGGCACGTCATTCTCATTCGGGGCCGGTGAGTTGTACCGTGAGGACTTCGGAGAGGCAAGCGTTTTGATGGTGGGCGAGGCAACCGGGTCACCGTAGCTGAAGTTGTTGGACCAGCCTTCGCGAAAGGCGACCCAAATCCCAGTAATGATAATTAATGTACGCAAGCCGTCATCAAGGGTAACCTTGTTCGCCTCGTTGGGTTCTTCATCAGACATGTCGCTGACCACAGACATACCAGAGCTTGGAGTCGTATGCCCAGTGCCGGCACCGGCTCCGGACCGAATCACTGCCGAATACTCGTCAAACACCTCCAGCTGGTTCTTTGTCATGGAAGCGATGACGGGATGTCGACGGGTGGTGGGGTCGATGACGCTGAATGTGAATCGCTTGGTATCATCGCGCACCTGGGTTCCTGGAGGAGCAGACACCCGACGGTTTTTCCCCCTCGCAACGCCCAGCGCATTATTCGTACACCATTCTCCGTACGCGCAACAAACTCGTATGAACCACTTGGAAGAGGCGTCGCCTCCCACATCGGACCAAAATTCAAACATATCTCTGCCTTTCCTTTCAAACGAGCATCTTCCTGAAGCATCTGGCAGATTGTGGCTACCACTTCTCGATGGTCTTCATCCTCGTCCTCGGAGCTCGCTTGATTAACGCCTGCTACCTTGCGTTCGTATAGTTCGCTCGTCACGATAATCAAGTCGTAGGGACCGAGCCCGTTCCTGCCGCGGAACATCGCAGGGAACCTTCGAGCCAGCCGAGGTAGATACAGCGTAGAGGGTAAAATGTCAAGGATGGGCAATGGTCGAGGGGTCTGAGACACCTGCTGGAGCTGTAGGAGCAACTTGGGCCGAAGTTTCAGTCGTTTATGGCGGGCATGTGCAGCGGGATGGGCGAGCTGGTAGGTTGTTTTCGGCCGCGAAGATTTCCGAACGGTATAAGCAGAGTTAATGGTTCGAGGTCTGGTGACCGGAGCGACGTCTTTGGAAGACTCCCCATTGCTCGTGGACGCGACGGGGATCATGTCCTCGCCGGTTGGTCGTCCCGCGGGCTGCGCAGGACCATCGGTCTGCTTGGTTTTCTTATAGAGAGCGCTCAGGAATGGCAGCGCGGGTAGTGAGAATGCGGTAGTGTAAGCAGAGTTGGGAGCTGGTGGAGATTCAAGGCGGGCGGAATCGTTTGTATGGGCTGCTGCGGCATCCGCTGTGAGGCCAAGATTCAGCAGCATTCTTGGACTCAGCGGAGCCACATCGGTCTCTCGCACACCCAACCGGCGACTCTACTGTTTATAGGAACTCCGGAATCCACGTACGCATCAAGGCTTGTCCGCGCGTCAGCCGCGGAGAAGGATTAGCAGCGGAACGAGCAGTGGGGAGCTGAGATGGGAAAATCATGAACCAAGTGAAAGAAGGAATGAAGGAGCCAAGAAGAGCGTTCAAGGAAAAGGATCTAGGTCGCTAGGCCAGGTTCAAAATGCAAGGGGCAAAGAAAATCAAAGAGTGGGAAGGGGAAGTGATTTCTTCGATTATGCATGGAAGGGACGGCGGGATACATGGATGGGCGGTCAGCCTTATACATCAGATCTACTTCTCTGACGGACTGCACCAACGAACGGATCCGACGCATCCGGACCTCCGGCCGATCATCACGCATAAGTGAGGCTCCGAGGCCGAACGTCATGGTGTGAGATGGAACGAATAGCGCCTCCCGCGAGTCTGGGTTGGCCCTGGGCGCTGCTTGGCGGCTGGTAAACACTCGTTATTATTGGGCGTGGCGTCGCCGATGGCAAACTCTGGCTTCTTCAGGTGCAAAGCTAGAGCTCTAGATGGTTACATTACGAAATGGTCCGTCTAGACTGGCTTCTACAAGAGTGGTGTGGGGTGAAAGGGTCAGGTTCATCGACAGACTTTTTCTTTTCCATGGTGGAGTTCCTGGCAACGGGCTAGGCACATCTAGAGTGAAAGGAGCGGAACATGGATCGGGGTCGGGGTTCTGGGTCCCCTTTTCCGATTATTGATGCTCACTGTAGGTTCGGCGCGGAGCAAATCTAGCGCGAACCGAAAATCCTCGCCCGGTTGGATTCGGACGGACTCATGCCCGATTATGCCCTCGCCCCACTCGAGGAGGGAACTTTGTTTCTTTCATACTTCGTGCTCTCGCGACATCTGACTCGTCTGAGAGCTGACAGGGAGCTGACAAGGAGCTGACCCGGTTTCGCCCTCTTGGCGAACCTTCGGGAAATCTTGTTCTCGTCAAGTCACAAGTTGAATAATCCCAGCTGCACATAAGGCTGAAGAGTCATCCGAGGTTCTGCTGAGTGGGTTTGACCCGTTCAAAAACGCGGTCGCGCGGATGACCACCTTTTGCCAAGATAGTCCCGAGATGTTTTGCATGGAGCGATGATTCGCGTCACTATGTTGCCACTGTGTAACCAGTAGCTGAAGTCAATTTGGCGTCGGACAACTACCTTACTCGCTCTGTATCACTCATTTGGAACCCTTGAGGAACTGTCAGGAAAGCCGATCGGGATTGACGCGATTCCCCGTCGCGCATCCGCTGACTAACTATGCATTATGCACGCCAAGATTCCCGTAAATTGCCTCGGCTTCGATCCGTGAGCTGTTTTGCGGACCCTTGCCCTCGCTTTCCTACGTCACTACCTGTGACCGTACCACCATGGCTTCAATTGGTCGCTCGCCTATCTCGGCAAGCCTCCTGCGTCTAGATCATCCTGTTCGGAGCTTGACGCTTGCCTTCTGGTTATGGAAAGCTCTGTTGTTCATCGCCGTCGTGGCGTGTCCAGGTCCTGGTTATGACACCTCCACCACTCTGCTTTCCTATCATGATGCTGCTTCAACACCTGATGGTCAGGCTGGGTCTCTTCCATGGGCGTTGAAGTTTGCACGATGGGATTCCATCTATTTTCTGCACATCGCCGACCAGGGATATGTCTTTGAACAAGAGTGGGCCTTTGGCTATCCCAGACTTCTGCGCTGGTTCATTTTAGGTACCTACAATTTGATCTCGATAGAGACAATTTGATGATTGACGTTTGTGCACAGGTCTTCGCATGTCTGGGGCTGAAGGCGCCCGCGGGCCGGTCAACACGGCACTCGTGGGTGTGGTGCTTTCCCACGTCGCGCACTATCTCTCCGTTTTGGCTCTGTACCGTCTCTCGGCCAATATATTCGGCCACGGCACAGCCGCCCAGAAACTCATTTGCTTTTTGTCGGCTGCCCTGCACATTATCTGTCCGGCAGGGGCGTTCCTTTTAGCGCCGTATGGCGAATCTATCTTCTCCCTTCTTAACCTTTCCGGCTTCTATCTTTACACCTCGTCCCTCATCTCCGAGCATAATGGAATCACCACGTTGCGGGATATCCAAGTTCTCACGGCCGCTATGCTCTTTGCCCTGGCGACAATCGTTCGCAGCAATGGCATCCTGAGCGGATTCTTGTTTGCCTATGATGCCTTTATGGTGGCCTGGGCAACCCTAATCCAAGGTCCGTCCCTGCACAAAACTCGTCGGTTGGCCGTTATTATCGTGGGCGGCTGCATTGTTGCCTTGGGGATGGCCGTACCCCAGATCCTGGCCTACCGATCGTATTGCATGTCTGGGACAGATCTTCGGCCCTGGTGTAACTCCGCCTTGCCCAGTATCTACGGCTGGGTTCAGGGACATTATTGGTAAGCAACTCTTCTATGGCCGCTGGTGGTATTCCCAGCTCAATTGTTAATGTGTTTCCAGGGACGTTGGGCTCTTCCGATACTGGACGGTCTCGAACCTTCCTCTTTTCTTGTTGGCAGCACCGGTCCTGGTGATTATGTGCCAGTCATCTCTGTGGGCACTTAAGGCCCCGTCGACTTTACGCTCGGAGTCCGGCAATCAATCGCCTTCTCCGGTCAGTCCGGGGTCCATGCTGTTTCGCCTCGCTGTGCCCCAGGGTCTATTAGCAGTCATGGCCTTGACAAGCTATCACGTTCAGATCGTCAACCGGATCTCATCTGGATACCCCGTGTGGTATTGGTACCTCGTATCTAGTGCCATGGACAGTTTCCAAGATCACCAGAAGGGCCGCCGTGGTCTCGTGAACGCCGCGCAAGCTATGGTGGCCTACGCATTAATCCAAGGGGTTCTCTTTGGTTCTTTTTTGCCCCCAGCTTAAAACCAACACCAACAGCAAAAGTCAAATTTATTGTGGAATAGCAAACCAACGGAAAGTGTAAATTAATACCAGTTCATTGTCAGTTTCTCCGCTATCTTGCCCGGCTGTCCCGCATGCGTAACCGTTGTCTGCCTAAGTTGGGCCTGTGCCTAGGTAAGGCGCACCCTGCAATGCCAGCGCGGCTATAAAATCAACGTGTAAATCCACGGAGGAAAAGGCCATCTAAATAGAATTTCCCGCGGGGACTTTAGTTCGAATCTATTTTTGTTGCTCTCCCACGCGGGTCTCCATAGGGAGCTGCAGGGCCGAAGCTCGTTACGTGGAATTATGTCATCCGATCTCGACTGAGAACTTCCCTTTAACTCTTGAACATCTCAAGCTATCACTTGCAAACACGAATCTTCCTTTGCGACACTCTGGAAGGACAGTATTCCTGTGGACCTCTTACAGCTGGTCCCCGGTTCCATTTCTGCCCAGCCTTCACTTTGCCCGGTCGCCCTAACGAGTACCTCATGCGAACCCGGCCGTGTGCAACGCACCCGTCGACCTCACCTTCCGCATCCTGAGGAGAGGAAATCCGAGTCCTGTGGTGGATGTGCGCTTCCCTACTTCTTTTGTGACGAAATTGATGAAAATTCATGGAACGTTGCGGTTGCTGACGCATTTACTTTAGAGCCCCATTAGACATCCACGGCAACTCCTCCCTCCCTCATCTCCACCTATCGCCTCAACTTCCCCTCCCTCACGAACGATTATGGACGCCTCAGCTCCCAAGGCGATTCTGACGTCCGATAACTTCGCCCATGCCTCAGAAATCTCACGGGCCACCTCTCCCGGTGGTGAGCCTGCTGCCATGAACGGTGGAGGAGAGCCCAAGGCCCGAGTTCGGCCGCGGACTTATCCTTACTTTCAATATCTTCCATATCAATTAGAAGATGAATCAGAGCGAGATCGCACTTTGCATGAGATCTTGAGTCATCTGTACATTGCAGTTGAAGCTGGGGACTTTAGCCCTGGAGCTGTTCACTGGACACGCGAGCTTCGAGGATGGCTATCGCTGAAGTTCGATCCGACTCGAAATGAGCGGATTAATCTGGTGAGGCTGTACTATGAGCTTTCTTTAGCTCCTGGCATCGATCCCAGCACCTCTGAGCGGTTTGCGAGCATGTTCATGCTTCTCACTAAGTGAGTTCAGGCCCACCTGCCCTAATCGCGTGGAATGACATTAATGTTAACCATCATGCAGGCGCAAGCATTATTTGAGACCAGTCAAAGATTTGGTGCTGGACTGGAGGCCTCTTTACAAGGAGCTGAAAGCCTTCGTTCTCCCGACCGAGTCCGGTCTTGTCCACTCGACCAACTTGAAACGAAACGTGAAAACATTGACAAAGCTGTGCGCATTTTCTCAGCTTTTCATCGACCCCTGCGAGTTGCCCGCGATGTTGGAGGAGTTCCTGCCGCACTACACAACTTCGTTTTCCGAAGGCGCCTTCGTTGTCGCTGGGCTAATCAATCTGCTACTCCCAACATCGCCCCCTCCCGCAGAGCGAGACGATCTCCTTCCACAGAGCCACCTTCCGACACAGTTCCACCTCTGGTCGCTCGTCGGTCGTTCCAAAACATTTGACACCACGTACATTGACTACCTTTCTCGACTCGCCCGAGATTCACTTCCAGCCGGCCACATTCCCTTCTCGGAACATGGTCTCTTCACGAAGGAGCAGTCCTCTCTCATCTTCACGGCAATCCTGAGATTGCTGGAGATTCCGGTGGGACAGTCCACTTCGCCATATAGCGCGCTGGTGGACATTTCGTCTGGCCTTGGTATCATGCTTGACCGCGACACGCGCAAGCATCCAGTTGCGCACCACATTGCGCGGTGGATTGTGATGTCTCTCTCTCCGGCTTGTCTGGAATCCGAAGACTCGATTCTTTCCCAGCTCGAGGGCCTTATCCAGGCTGTCGAGACATTCTTCCATCCTTCAAACTCGGGTAGTTGGACAAAGACCCTCTCGCAGCTAGTATACTATCTAACAGATTTCTTTGTGATGCGCTGGAATCGTGAGCAAAGTGGTGAAATGGAGGTTCCGCCCGAACGCCGACTGAATGAGCCTCTGAAGCGCCGCTTCGTGCTGTGCCTGAGGGATGTAATTTTCATGGGTATCTACGCTAAGAGCAGCACTGCCATGACGTTCTCCTTGTCTACCCTTCAAGGTCTCGCTTACTTGGAGCCGCATCTCATTCTTCCCGGTGCCTTGCAGAGAATCTACCCATCTCTCCAGGGCCTGGTTGAGGTACATCGGACAACGTCTTCCCTTCGCGCCATGCAAGTACTGTCCCGCGTCATTACTCGAACCAAAGGTTATCGCTGCCACATGACCACTCTTCTCGGTCTTGCTCTTCCTGGTATCGATGCAAATGACCTGGAAAAGTCTCTCCATGCTCTTTCATTTATACAATCCGCCTGTTATAATATTCCCATGGTCGACTTGACTCAGGGCAGAGAAGATATCAATTGCAACATGCTTGCACTTCAATGGATCACCGGTGAAATGGAAAGAATGGAGGAACAAGGAGCTGCTGTACAGTTGAACTACGATACTGAGCTGGATGATGAGACAGAAGAAATGATTCTCCGCTCTTCGACATGTGGTTTCGGGGACTTCACCATCTCGTTCTTGGGCCGTGTCTTCACACTATTGGAGAACTTGCCTGACGTCACCCGTGTACGCAACGGTTCTCCGGAAGAAAACATCGTCAACACGCTCCCAGCTACCTTCATGCCTCTCCTTGCTTCGCTGTCCCCTGAATACTACGACATTGCATTGTCGAAGATCGTTGATTTCGTCTCCAATCATGTCATTCACCAGGCACGCGACGCCATGGCTTTTATTTGCAATGCCTTGTGCAAGGTCAATCCCGAAAAGGCTCTTAAGCGGTTCATCCCGGTTCTCACTCAAGCTATTCGCACCGAGATCGAGGAGAACGGTGCTGGTTCCACCAGAACTACGGGAACAGATGTCTTGCCCCGTGACCGTGGACTGGTCTGGAACGTTAGCATGCTGAGTATGTGCGTGGTGCATGTTGGCGATGCAGTGCTTGCTCATCGTCAAGAGCTGTTCGACATCGCAGTGTACATGCAACAGAAGTGTCGCGGCATTCCTACCGTCCACATCTCCAACTTCATTCATCACCTCCTGCTCAACCTAACCGGGACATACACCAATGATTATTCTCTCTACGAGAAGGAAGATATTGAAGGAGGCATTCAGCCGAAGCACTGGAGTTACAGAGCCGATGTGTGCAATCTCCACATTAAGTGGCATGTGCCCAAACGGGAAGAGCTGGAGTTTGCTGTGGCCATCTTCAAGAATCAAGCGGAGGGGGCTTTGAAGCATCTGTCCGGATTAACTCATGAGACATCCAGCGTCAAACGAGATGGAAGTGGAAAAGACTGGTCTGATGAAGTCACGCGAAACCTTGTGCTCCTGCGACTGCTTCTTTCCGGTATATCGGTGCTCTTTGATCCGAAGGCCGCCTCACGAAACTCTCCCGAAGTCTCGAGCGGCGCATCTGCCGCATCAAACGAGGTTGGGATGGTCGATGACTCGGCCCTCTCGAACGGTGTAAGCGATGACGAGTCGGCCCTTGACAGCTCGGATGAGGCGGCGATCAGAGAAAGCTACCCGTATCCTACTGGATATCCTCTTGAGGAGGGTGATCCCTTGTTTACCGAGATCCACGCCATTCGTGAGCGAGCGGGCTGGGTCTTGCACGAGACCCACCGATTCCTGAGTGACCATCAAGAAGACGATGTGCCCTGCTTCGGAGCACTGTACTCGGCTTTCCGCTCTTACTTTGTCGATGTTGGCATTGAACGGTCTGCCCATGTCCTGGATCGTGTGACGCGTCTCCTGGCGGCAGACATCCACCCTTACAAGATGAGCGGCATCCGAAAAGACTACCCACGAGCGTTGCTTGTGCGTAGGGCCAATGTCTATCACCTGCAACGCTTGCGACACAATGCAGCACCGCGACCTCGATCTAAGCTTGACGAGATTCTTCTCTATGACCTTGCCGAGTCCTGCGTCTCGCTGTACACCGAGACACGGCGCAATGCTCAGAATGCTGGAGAGTCTGCACTAAAGTCTGTCTGGGGTGCCCGAACTCTTGTCATTGCTCCTCTCCTCAAGGCCCTGCAAAAAGGCGTGAAGGAAAACGACCATGCGCGTATTAAGGGCGCACTGTTCTCGTTGCTTCTCAGTAGTGTCGCGAGAACTGTCGGACGGAACTGGAAGTACACACCAACTTTGATCCGCACTTTCATCGATGCTAGTGCTGTTGACAGACCGTCTGTGCAAAAGATCTGCTCTAGTGCTGTCTTCCAGATCATGGACTACGGTCGTGCCATGGAACGGATGGCTATTTTGGATCGTGAAATCGTGGAAGCAATTGCACCCGGTCAAGATGTCAGTGACCAGATCGAGCAGAAGCGAAAGGCCATCAACACCAAGCGCGCTACAATTGAAAAGAAAAAGACCGACCTGGCTGAAGAGCTGGTGAATCTTGCTCGAGTCTCGCATTGGAAAATCGCCAGCCGTGCCGCGACCATTGTCATCACCATGGGTCTTCGCTTCGACTACATTGCCAGTGAGAACCTGATTGAGCTGGTGACCTCAGGCTCGATCGATGATCATCCAGGCTTGCGCGGCATGTACTCCCAGGCACTCATTGCGCTTTTCACCATGATTGATGTCCGTGCCATCTGCAGTCACGAATACAAAAATTACATCCTGGGCCATCAGCGCTTCCCTTCGAAGATCAAGGTGGCTACCCGGCCTTATGAGAAAGATTGGACACAAGAATATCTGGCCAGCTTCGCCAAACCTGAAGCTGAATACTATGTTGATCATGATTTCCCTGGCTGGCTGGTATGGGGCAAGACGATGCCTGCCTATAAGTCAAACGTGGATCGTGACATTGTGTATGACGAATTGGAGTGGAATGTCCGTACTCAGATGGGCAAAATGTTTACTCGGGAGTGGTTCTCCAAATTCTTCATGTACCTGAAGCAGGAGCCAAGGGATCCTTCCGCCGACAAGTTCCGCATGTCCTGCGCCATGATGCTTCTGTATGCCTTTGAGCTCATGCTTCGGGATGGCTTGACCGCCGCCACGTTCAAGGACATTCAGGAAGAGATCCAGAGCGTGTACGAGGATGGCAGTGATAAGCATCAGCATCGTGCAACGGCAGAGATTCTTGGAGCATTGATCAGTTCCGTGACTGATACCAGTGTCGAGCGGCGAGCTATGGTATGGGAGTATGCATTCCCCATTGTCCGGAAGATCTTCACCGATGGTCTTACCCCTGAGAACTCGGGCTACTGGACAACTTTCCTACACATGATCTTGCAGTGTCGCGATCCCCGCCGAGCCTGGCCTTTGGTGGACTGGCTCGCCAGCTTCCGTCTAGACATGTCGACCAACGCGGCCTTCAAGGAAAGTTCCAAAATCAATCTCCTGCACCAGTGCATCATTGATGCCGGTTGGCACTTCCAGCTTGAGAAGCCAATTGTGAATGACTTCCTCGCACATTTGGACCACCCGTACAAGGGAGTGCGAGAAGCAATGGGTCAAACTCTTGCGACAATCTACCGCACAAGATACCACGAGTCATACCCTGATCTCCAACACCTTCTGGATGCCCAAAAGGCCTCTTCATCTGTTGGTACTTATCCCTACATGCCTTCCACGGAATTCTCACAGATCGTTCGCGGAGTTTTCAACCAGATCGAAGAGTGGCGGCAAGCCCGAGTTCCAGGCCAACAGACTCCTTCGTCCTACACCTCCGGTAGCAAAACTGTTCTTCTCTGGCTGGATTCGACTTTGTCCTCTCATGAATGCACCCAGCTCGTTCCCTTCTTCCCCGATGTGTTCACCGCACAGCTTCTGCATATGATGGACGTCAAGGAAGATCCAGAGCTGCAGTCGCTCGCATACCACGTTTTCCGCCATCTCCCCAACATCCCCTACCCCGCCGAGAAGAACTCCGAGTTCATTCAGTCCCTCATTCGCATAGGGCAGACATCGCCGTCATGGCATCAGCGCCTCCGTGTGATGATCAACATCCAAATTATCTACTTCCGCAGACTCTTTCTGCTGGAGCCCGCAGATCGCGACAAGCTCTTCGAGTGCATTGCCTCTATGCTCGAAGATTCACAGCATGAAGTCCGTGTCGGAGCGTCAGCCACGCTCTCCGGGATGGTCCGCTGTTCGCCCATTTTCCTTCGTGAAAAGATGGTCAAGCGCTTCCAGGAGCGCTTCACCAAGGTCCTGGCAGATAACCCTCTCCCAAAGAAGCCTAAGAATTTCCGATCGGGGCTTTCCTCCGCAGTTTCTTCAGGCGCCGGTACTCCAACTCCCGAGCACAACCGACTGATCATTGCCCGTCACGGTGCAGTGCTAGGTCTTGGAGCACTTATTCAGGCTTTCCCGTACAACAGCCCTCCACCCCACTGGATGCCCGAGGCCTTGACTACACTGAGCACCCGCGCCGCCAATGACCCCGGCGTTGTCGGATCCAGCGTGAAGTCAATCATTAGCGAGTTCAAGAAGACGAGACAGGATACCTGGCACATTGATGCAAAGGTGAGATATCCTTTGAAACTATTCTATGAAATACTTCTAATATATAACTTTTAGGCTTTCACACAGGACCAGCTGGAGGATCTGTCGGGTGTTCTTTGGAAGAGCTACTTTGCTTAAAGTCAGAAACCCAATTGACTTGTATTCGTGCGCCTCGTCGGTTCTGTGGATAGGTTCATGTATTTTCATGCTAGCAATGCAGTAATTAATTCCGTGTATTTCTTCGTCGTGGACTTCCATGGTATTCAATAAGCCGGGCTTCCAAGGTCGGTGCAGTCAGTGGGAGGGCTGTGCTCGATTTGCATCTGGCACTCTGAGTAAGGGTTCACAAGAGGTCCTAGGCCTCGTGTTTCCCATGTTGCGTGTCCTGTGCTATATACGTATATATGCTTACATTCCAAAGTCAATGAGCTCATGTCTAGGTTGTAAGGTTCATGGAATACGAATAAACAATCTGGGGCCCAGTCTTCGGCACCGGGATACGGCCTCTGGGCCCCAAGCCCCCAGTCCCATTCCAGAATGACAATTACACATGGGGCGTTGATGAAGAAGCAGATTAAAATAACATTCCTTCCAATCCTCAACCCAAAAGACACACAATGGACATTCCCCGACAAAATCTGGAACTACATAATAATTTGACCTCCGCCTGAGGTCCAACCATATTGAAAGGTATGAAAATCAAGGAGAATCGGGTAATAGACATTTCCTTTCCAAGGTTCCAAATCTGTGATCACTCGGTCATTCAAGCCAGTTCACACTCAATCAAGCTCTCGACACCTCGCTGAGCCGTCCAAATCTTGATGATCTTCAAACCAGCCGACTCGACGAGCGCATGCCAATCGCCCGCAGTGCGCTCCGTGGACGCAAAGTCAGCCATCATGATGATGTCCAGACTGGTGGTCTCCCAGTAGGCATTCATGTCCGGGATGACATTCTCATTTATGAGTATCCTGCTGTGGCCACGCTTCATGGCGGGAACAATGTTCTCTAGGATCTTCTTACAGTCTGCATCGGTCCAGTCATGGAGCACGGAGTGCATGTAGTAGGCCCGGGCTCCTATTAGATGGGTTAGCTCTTGAGCACAGGAAAGGGAGAGAATGGGAATTACCTTTGACGGGCTGCTCGGTGAAAAAGTCGTGCTCCATAATTTCAATAGAGGGGTGCAGGGACATGGTCTTGGCCTGTTCGAGGACCTCGGGGAGATCTTGCAAGACCAGACGTCCCGGGGCGTCGGGCCATTTGCGGCGGAATTCGGAGAGATCGTGGCCGACACTGCCTCCCATGTCCACCAGGAGAGCATCACCTTCACCGAGCTTGGTGTTGATCAAGGCGGGCACATCGTAGAATCCCCTGTCCATCCAGCTGGGACGTCCTTGGCGGTACGCGGACATGTGGTTGTTGAACTGACTAGCCGCCTCAGGGTGCTCCTTGAGAAAGTCGAAGAAGTGGAGAGGCGTGTCGAAGCCGAGTTGGAAGGCGCAGTCGGTGCCGTTGGCGGGATTCTGGTAGCCAGTCTTCTTCAATTGGGCAGGGACGGCAAGTATACCCTTCGTAATACAGGCAGTCCTGGGTTTTGAGAGTACCAATCAATAAATGGCTCATCTTTTGAGGGAAATGGGCGGATCTGAACTCACATGCAGGGGTAGGCATCGCTGTATCGCTGCGACGTCAACGAGATTGACAGTCCGGTACGTCGGTACTCGTTAGGTCCAGTCTCGAGAATCACTCCCACGGCGCAAAGGTGCTTCAGGATACGAGCTAGCATGAGTGTTAGTTTCAACTTCAACGTCAAAGGGGAGTTCCAGCATACAAACAAGCTTGCTGTCAGCTCCAGCAGCTTGAGCCATTTCCGACGCTTTCTTGGGCTTGTCATCCTTCGAGAGGATTGTGAACAGGCCAAGGTCCACGGCTGTCTCCAGACAGGCATATGTTGTCGACTATGCAGAGCAATTTGTGAGATATTTCCCATGCACTCAATGTTCAGCGGGTTGAAAATACCTGTGACCAGCAGAATCGAATCATAGCCTCCCGAGGAGTCTCGAGAGCATAAACCAGTTGCCGAGCAGCGTCCAGAAGATCCGTTCGGGCCGTGGGGTCTGCCGAGATAAACGCATATCCGGACAAGGCAACTTGGTCAACCAGACTCGGAACCAATTCTGGAGTATTGGGAGAGATGGCCACTGAGCCTTCAACGAAGGCTTCTTTGGCATGGCCGTTAGATGAGCCATTCGTAGCCGAGCCGGTGGCGTGTGAGTTTCCGTTACGGACAGTCATGGCGATAATTGGTGGAATAGTAGCAAATGATAATGGAAAAGGCTGAATGGACTGAGAGGGAGATAAATGGAAGAAAAGCTTTACGCTGTACAGAACTGGGTAGCTCTCAGCTGGTCCTTTTCAAGTAGGTCGTAGTACGAGATGGCCTTTTACCCGGTCTCCTGAAATCATAGCCGGTCAAAGCTCGCTGGGACCCATTCGTTATTTCCACTTGTTCCGTCTCCACGCGTTGAGGGGAAAGAGTTTCAGTGGAGTGAATGAAGTGGAGATATCATTGGCCATGCCTAATTTCCTGACGGATTAGGATCCTAGCGCGCTAACGCTTCAACCAGCGGTCAATTGAGGACTAAGACGGGATGAAGAAAGCTATTAGCATGGCAAACCAGGCTAAAGTTTCACTAGGGATGTTCCTACGTATCAATGGCCATGGAAACATTGCCCCTGTTGGTCTGGCGTGCAGGGATACGAGCCGTTATTCCAAAGTCCGTCGTACGTCGTATTGATGCCAAGGAGGTAGATATCACCCTCGTTCTCGGCGAAGCGCCAGTCACCCACTAGGCCTGCTCACGATCATTTTCCATGGGGAACGCACGAGTCGGGGAGTCTGGAAGAGTAAGCTAATGCGGGACTAAGGGTCTAGTGGATCCTGCCCAGGTGTCAAACCGGGGGTCAAAGCCCGGGGTGGATTATCGACACATGAGTGAAGCATGGTCCGGCATTGCATTTAGGTCCTAGGCATTTTATGCTCTTCGGATGGCCATTCGTTGGGGAATGAACATCTTTGAACATATTTTACACGGGATAGATAATAGCGCCAACGTGTGCCCTATCACCTTGAGAAGACTTTCGACAACGTCGCGAGCGGGCATGGAATCCTGGAGAAAAGAACCCCACGGGTCTTGAGGAAATCCACCGAGCTTGGACTGTACGTTGGCCACGGTCTGGACCAAAAGCCTCCCGGTCGCAGCACCACTTCCTGCATTGGGCAAAAGACCGAAAGTCGAAGATCGCTTGATGTATCGAAACATCTTCCGGCTAGTCTCCGGCTAGTCTTCGGCTAGTTAAGGCCATAGACGATCGTTCCGCTGTCATTCCCCTGAGCGATGGGGACGCTAAACGATGGGATGCTACACGATGGGGCAGCCACGAAGCCATCAACGCCACCACAAGCCCAGAGACGCGGGGAATTGTCCAGCGGGTCTTCGGCCCGATTTACAGAGGCCGCTAAGGCCAACGGATCCCCACTTCCCGCAAGTACTGGGGCCGTACTTTAGGCCCATCTGTTCGGTACCGCGTCAAAAGCACCGCTTTGCACAAGTCTAACCCGACTGATCTTGGACAACTGTTAGCTTCGTTTCAACTGGATCCTTGGCCTCGTGTAGCCTGGTGATACACATACGGGTTTCCCCGTTTGTTAATTCCGTTAGTCACTTGGGCCCCAATATTCAACATGACAGGGGTCACGAGCTTGTACATCTCCGTTCTGGCTTTGATGTGTCTGAAAGTCCAGAAATAACTCCATAAATAAAGTACGAGCGGTTGGTGGAGACACTTCCGCTGTGAAGAGCTTTTTGACATCTGAGTCTATGACAGGAGAAGCTTAATCATCGGCTTCATTCCTTATATAGGGTTGCGCAGTCTGGGCCAGTTTGGACAGAAAAAGGATCCTTTCGTTTTTTATTCCCTTTTGGATACAGCTGGACAGAACCATTCAACTTCGGCTTTGAGCTTATGGTCCCAGAATGACAGTCACACCTGAGAACGTCCACGATGACAAGGGCCCAAAGATTCTCGCCGTGTTATGGACCTTGACGGGCCTGACGGCCGTCATGGTTGGCGCTAGAATGTTCATCCGCTTGCGAATGCTCAAGAGCTTTGGTATTGACGACTATCTCATCGCGATCTCGACGGTGTTGAGTCTCGCCTACTGTGGCGTGACAACAGCCGGCGTCAGCGTGGGATATGGAAAACATGCCAAAGACTTGACGCAGGAGAACTTGGAGATGGCCATCCTTCTCAATACCATCAGCTTCCTGTTTGGCATTCTATCGTTCACGATCCCCAAACTGGCTGTGACCGCTATGATAACTCGGATTTTATGCCCGGGTTTGAAACAGAAGATCTGGCTGTGGCTTTTGGTTGGGACTGCGGCTGCCGTCTCTTGTATCTGTATCATCATTCTCTTCACCATGTGTGATCCACCGGAGGCTTTGTGGAATGTTCACCTGGCGATGACGGGAGGAGCAACCTGCAGAAATGTGTGGATACTCATTGACTATGCTATCTTCACTGGAGGTACGTTACCCCGATCCTCTCCTATTTGTTTCAAAACTGACGAGAACTCCAGCTTTATCTGCCTTCGTCGATCTTTACCTCGCATTCTACCCCGTGACAGTCTTGATGAAACTACAAATGTCTCTACGAAAGAGAATTGCTCTCTGTGCCGCCATGGGACTGGGATCAATGTAGGTATTGCCGTAAAGCCGCCATGGAAATCAAAACTAATCCGGGCAGTGCATGCGCAATGGCAATCATCAAGAGTACCCAATTGAATGGCCTTGCAGACAAGTCCGACTACACCTGTGAGCACTCCATCCTCGCCAACCCAGTAACGCACTAACTCTCCTCCAGACGGAACGGCAGATCTCGTCATGTGGACAAAGTAAATATCTCCTCTAACATCCCGCAATCCCCACTAACCACCTTCTAGCATCGAAGCCGACGTCGTCGTGATAGCCTCCTGCATTCCAACCCTCCAGCCCCTCCTCGAGCTTATCATGGGCAAACGCACCTTGGGTTCATACGGTGGCAGCGGCAAATACAAGCAGAGCAGCAGCAACTACAATACCGCCACGTTCGACCGCAGCAAGCGATCCGCAGTGAAAGACGACCTCGCCATCACGAACGTGGAGGGTAAGGAGAGTCAGGAGAGTATTCTGCGCGATGACCAGCTCCAGCAGGATAAGGACTTCCCCATGGACGCGATTCGGCGCACGGATAATGTCACTGTGGAGTATGAGTCGCGGTCTGCTCATGAGCATCCCCCGGAGGGTTCTTGGTAGGCCGTGCCGAGTGTCAAAAGTTTTGTAGATGTGATATTCTTGAGGGACCTGCTTTTCCTTTGTCTTTTCTTTGTATTTCTTTTGCGGGTTCGCTGCCATATTCTAAAAAAAAAAATTGACTGTTGTCTACTGAATCAAAGTTCAATATCTTCAATCCCTGAATTTGGTCTACCTGACTTCCGAGGTTACGTGTAGACCAAATTGATAATCATAATATATTAATATCCGCTGTGCATGATACTGACAAAATCATAAAAGCAAAGACGCAAACGCAAAAATGTGCAAACAAGGTATGTACGTGAACAGAAGCAAGATCGGCACGCTGAAAGAAAAAAGAAAGCCCCTTCGATTTTGCTTATCCCCCTCGGACTATGAATGCGGTTCGTTTTCCATGACATCGTGACAAAAGGCCAAGAGGGCGAATCTCTATCATCGCCCATTATACTTCTCGTTGAAGGCATTGACCGCTGCAAAAGTTGTTAGCTTCTTAGATCTCATTGCGATGAATCTAGGTCAGACGTACCAATAGCAATCTGTCTATACAGCCAGTTCCGGGAGCTTTCGTCCTGGACGGGGACGAAAGGACCATTTGCACCGCCCTTGAGGGTGATACTCATGCCGGTACGCTCTTTAGAGATCGTTTGAATGTCCGTCAGGCGAATATCCCACTCGACGGAGAGTTTTTTGGTGCGCACGAGCATGATCCGTGCATACGTCAACAGGACCAGCATGTCTCGGCCAGGAAGCTCCAAGTGGGCGATGTAGTCCTCGTTGAAGTACTTGCCATCCTCGGTGGTTTTTAGCCAGAACTGGCCAAGTGCCTCTCGCTGGGAATAGGGACGAACAATGCCGTCGATGCCGATAAAGCGAGTCAGGCGCACGCGATCCAGGCCCTCTGCGTCGAAGACCGTGGTGGTGTTCCGGACACCCTCCGCAAGGTTGGAAGCAAGATCGAAGGCTCCAATGGCGGGCTTAGTAGCAAGACCCAGAACTCCCTTTCCAACACCCTTGAAGAATCCTGCCATGCCTTCTTTCTCGGCACCTTGCAGGGGATGCCGGGCCAGTCCACCGATACCACTGGCCAAGCTGGTTGCAAATGCGTTGCCTCCGGCTGTGATGCCGTAAAGTGCGTGCTTCGGACGGTTGCGAGACTTGGACATGCGGCGCTGATCCTGGAATTCCTTGTCAAGGGTGGCGGCAGCAAGACCCTTGGACATACTTCCGGTAAGCTTCGCCATACTGTCAGAGAAACCGAAGACCGATTTCTTGACAAAGCTTGTGGCACCCTTGGCAATACCAATGCCGAGCTCTTGAGGCCGGTCAGTCATGACAAGGCCCTGGTATGGCTCGTAGAAGATAGCGGCCACGCCGGAGCTGACGTTGTTAAACAGACCGACGGGGTTACCGAGGAAGTCAGCGGAGCCAAGAATAACATGAACTTGACGTAGGACCTCTTGAGTATAGTGGGCACGGATGTTGCCAACCAGGCTTCCAAAGGATACACGAGCGTTCTCCAGCATCAAAGCGTTCAATCGAACTGGGGCGTCGTTGACATTACCCATTGACATGGTCATGACATTCACAACAAACATCAGAGGGTTCGAGGGCTGCATGGTATCCTCGACATTGATACGCTCAGTTCGCATGAAGGAAATGTCCAGCTGCATGGGTTGCAAGTGAAGAAGCTCAAAGTATACATCCTGGCCATTGTCATTCTGTTGTGGCTCTGGAATGTTGAGGTCATCATCACACAGTGTGCCCTCCTGCGCCTCGGACCACGAAGCACCTGGGATCTTGGCGAAGTCCAACATAGCAAAAACAAAATCCTCGTCCAGCTCGAGTGTCATCTGCTGCAGAAGCAACGTCGCATATTTGATGTACAGAACACCATAGGAGTCGTCCTTCACTCGAGTAACCATCGCATGGAAAATAGGGTGCGCCTCCATCTCCTTTCCAGTCTTGGGAACCACACTAGGGTACAGGAGAATGGGGAAGATGCCACCATACAGCTGATTGTCGATCTGGATCCATTTAATGGTTGTGTTGAGGGTCTGGTAGATCCTCGACTCCCGATACTTGATCTCAATCTCCCGGAATGTGAGATAGAGCAGCTCTTTCAAGTTTTGGTTGATCAAAGAGATTCCAATGCCTCCCAGGCGAAGCTGGGCCTTGAAGTTCACATCCGAATTCATTTCCTTGACCTCGAATCCAGCGCTCATGCTTGTTGAAGAGGACTGGCCCTTCTGCTGTTTGTACATACTCTTGGATGGCTTGAAGTTGGATAGTACGAGAGTCTGAGTAGGACCATCGGCAATGATGTTGATGTCGATGATTTTCTGGTATTCCCCAGGCTGCTTAGGCGGGATGCGCATCGGAATCAGGTTGCCAATCTCGGCGAGCTTGATGTGCCGTTCCTTGCCATGGCAGCTCAGTACAAGAGATTTGTTCTTCGTTGCGGGATAGTCCCATGCGTAAGGCATGATACTCCGGGCCGGTAAACGGTAGCGAATGGGGCGCCAGGTGGTCGATCGGTCATCCTCGTCATCCTCCAAATTGGGATTGGCTTGGTAGAAGATGAACTCCATGTCACTTTCGTTGCGCATCGAGAATGGCCAGTTGCGAGACTCAAAGCTGAAGTGCAGGAAAAGGGTTGCCCCCTCCAAAATGATATCAACCTTGATCAACTTCTGGCGCTGGTTCACCTTGGCCAATTTCACATGGACCGTTCCAACATCTGCGATATTGAATGGAGAAGACCATTGGTTGTTCACACCAGGGAAGCACAGACAGAGCTGCTTATCGGCGATTTGGCGGAGAAAATGGAGCGGAACCAACTGTCCACTATTGATTTGAAGGACGTTCGATGAGCCCGGCTCGCGCACCAGAAGGTCTTCATTGAGCTTGCTTTTCAGAATGAACCTTGGTGAGAGAGTCACCACCTTGGTCATTTTGTACTTGCCCTCGCCCTCGGCAACAGAGACACCAGAATGGAACTCAGATCTGCCCTGTTGATCCGGGAAGATGACTTCGAAGGTACTTCCAATAGCCTCGAAACTTTGAGGCTTACTCCAGGCTGAATCGCCGACCTTCAGAATAGATCGGTTCTTCTGATCCTCGGCGTTGTAGGAGTACATGTATGGGAGTGCGCGGCCGCCCTCCCTCGGGTCAACTCGGAGTCCTTGGCCAGCAGCGTTGCGAGCGGACTGGAGGAAGGCCTTGCTTTGAATGTCCATGGGCAGACCAGTCCTGTTTAAAATAAGGTATGGGCTGTAGACAGAAACCTTGAAAGCACCACCACTGTCGGGAATGTTGAAGTAATGGAGCTTCAGCTTCAGCTGGAGACCTCGTTCGTCCTTCAGTGACAAAGTATGCTCTCTGCGGTAGTCTTGGGCGTTTCCGTTGATAATGCTAAACTCGCTTTGCCGGAATACTGTGTCCTCCAAGTCGATGCTGAGCAAAAGCAGATGAGACAGCTCGACCACATGAACGGGGCTCACGCCACCTTTCCTCAAGAAGTTCGTCCAGTCCTTCTTCGTGTTCTTGTCATAGATGCGGTACTTGAAGTCATAGGGCAGAAGGTTCTGGATCTCTACTGGAGCAAAGATTCGAATCCTCATGTAAGGATACACGCTTGTGAGAGAATCCTTGCTGTCATAGGTTGCGTTAACTTGGAAATAGAAGGGCGGCGACTGTTGTCCACTTTCGCTGACGCATTTGATGGTCCGTGTAGGTCTTCGAATGAGTTCCTTCCAGAACAGTCGCTCGTTCGACCAGTCATAGCCAAAGCCCTGGTCAGGACGAATGACAATAGAGTGGAGATATGCTGACCCAACGGGCGCCGGTCGAGCATCGCCTGGAAGGATTTTCTCAATCTTCAAGAGATGACCTTCATCGGGACTAAACACACCCATCTCAACGGGGATTTGGGTATTGTTCTCCACAAGGAGTGGCGAGCGGAATGTGATGTACTTGACGTTGTCAGCTCCAAGGCTGACCTCCACTAGTAGACGGTGGAGGACAGTGTCGCGCTTCGGCTTCAGGCTATACACCTTCTCACCTTCCCGAACGACGGGAATGCGGCTGATGCTATCGAATCCACTTCCTTCCAGCTTAACTCCGACGATCCCACCCTGACCTTCCGGTGTTAGAGTCTCTCGGACAGCTTTAGAGTCTTCAAATCGCCACGGGTATTCCTCTCCATCGCTCAGCTTAGCAGCCGGGCCATCTTCTCCCGCACCGACATCGGCCCATACCCGGAGATCAAAACCGGTGTAGTTGCGAATTCGGTAGGGGGCATCAGCGCCTCGCGGTTTGGAAAGAACGTCTTCATCGGTGGAAAGGAACTGGAAAGATTTGGACGCAAGCGCGATTGTAGCCGATGTGACCGTGAGCTCCATCGTTTTGTGAGAGTAAGCATCAATGGAGAACACGTCTGGGTTGACTTCCTTGGCCATATGGAATCCCAACTGCCAGGGTTCGATCAATGGCTCCCAAGCCGACTTGGAGAAGTTATACACATTGAGGAATGTATCGAGACTAGTATCCATGTTCAAGGTGGATGACCAGTCTCGCACATCCACATTGAATTTCTTGACACTCCAGTCAAGCAGCGGCAGGTCATGCAAGTCACCGATAAGGATAACTCGGACACCATCGACTTTCGCTGACAGCTCCTCACGCTTCAGAACGGCTGAGCTTTGCGGGATACTCTTGTCGATCGTCTCAACCGTTTGGCTCAAACGCCGGCGAGTTCTGTTGGCCAAGGTGGAAGATGTTTTACTGCCAGACCGGGCTCTTGTACTTTGCACATCAGTGATCTTCTTCGCCTCTCCGCTCTCTATTTGCTGTGCGTTCTGGGCTCTCATCTCGGAGGCCTTGTTGACAATCTGAATTGCCATCAGAATATCGCGCAGAGATAGACGAAGGACAAGAGGCTCAAGATGGACCTCAATCGAGGTAATAGCGGAGCCTTTATCCTGTGGCCGACTATCAACGGACAACTCAAGGGTAAAATCATCCAGAATGCGAAGTCGACTAGTCTCAAACTTGTCCATGCGGCACAAAAACATGCCAACCTTTTGAATCTGCAATGTAGAGACATTCTGGTGGGAAATGAGTATCTCCTTGGTCCCGAGAACGATAGCCTCGGAGTGAGGAATGGCGGGGTTGGCCACCATGATAACCTGGGCATCGACCAGATTGACGCGGAACGAAACAGTGGTCGATCCGCCTGCGCCATCTCCGGCAAAAACTTCAGTCACGGCTTTGTCGGTGGAATCATCCTCAGAGTCCAATTCGGATTCATCGACTGAGCCAGCCTCTTCTTGCACAGCTCCTGCCGGTTCATCGCTGGTAAATGCAGAGTTGCTGAAGTCCTGCAAGGCAGATAGATAGTCTAGAGCAAACATGATCCGAGGACTATCAATGGTTAACATCGCGATAAGATGCTTATCCGGCCCAGGGGACATGGAAAGGCTAGCCATGAATTGTTGCTGAACGTCATTGTTGATCAAGGACATGATGTTTCTGAACTTATTTGAGTCCTGTCGACGGCTGTCACGAATGGAGAATGAGTGGATCAGAAGCTCTGACTCCAGTGAGCCATCTGTCAACATGCGGAGCTTGACTCTGGTGTCGTTAAGAGAGAACTTCGATAGGCTGGAGTCCTCCAAACGGCCAACAGGCTGGTTGTCATTGGCCAGGATAAGCTCCAGTCCAACGCTGTCGACCTTGAAAATCATATCAAGTCGCACCCATGTCTCCTTGCTCGTGCTATCATCAGCTGTGGCTGCTTCCATGTCCTTCTGAGCCTGTACAGCCTTTGAAGTGGCCTCCCGTGTGGGTTCAGTGACCGATGAGGGCAGAGATTCTAGGGCCTCAAGTTCCTGTTGTTCAGCATCAGTTGCAAAGGCGCCTGGAATTGACTTGGACAGGGCCAGCAAAAACTTCAATTGGCTCTGAGAGATCCGAAGGTTGATAGGGGATAAGGAGCCTTCAATCTCCATGTCCGGGCGTGGGTTGTTGGCCTGATGTTCCAGATAGCAAATGCTGAAGTCGAGGTTCACCTTCTGAATCATCTCTAGTTCTTCTACCAAGCCTTCATCGAAGTTAAATCTCGAAGTCAGGCGGATGTTGCGAACGCCGGTAGAGATCACATTCACAGCTGGGCTATCCTTGGATTCGTCCATGGGAACAAACTCATTCTTAGCGTAGATCTCACCAAGGTAGGCAGTAATCGTGTCTCGAGGCCATTCGTCCGCCATCACTCGCGGGAATACCACAATGGGGGTATTGACCACAATGTCCAGCCGCATCCGCGAGGGGTTTTCTTGAAGCTGGTTTGCTTGGTTCGCCGCAGCCTGACGAGCTGCGTTGAAGATTGCTTGCATCTTGCCGAATTTGACGAGGAAGTTAATAATCTTCCTATAAGGCTCTTCCATGAAATTGATCTTGATCGAGCCGGATCGCAAATACACCTCGGAGTCGTATCCGGGATAGGTATCGCTTTTAGGGTCGAAAGTCTCATATTTGAAGTCCGCGAAGTTGTCGCCTTCAATGGTCAAAAGACGACGAACATCCGAGTCTTCTGGTGCGCCCAAATTGACATCGTCAACGAGGGTGAGGCTGCCGATCCGAGACTGGATGCTCATAGCACCGCCCACGAGGAAGATTCCAACATCACCGGTGTTAAGACTCAAGGTGCCCAGCCGAACTCCGTCGTTGTTCAGAATAAGTGCAATACTCTTCAAGTTTGCCTTGATGCGAATTTTTCCAGCTTGCTGGGACACTTGTTCCACATTGCCCGTTTCTTGTATAGCCTTATCCGATTGTGGGTTCTCATCAGCCGGCTGCTGTGGACTCGTGAAAGTCAGGAGAATGAAGTCAAGCAAGGTCAGGAGCGTCTTCCTCGTCACGACAAGATTGATGGTGGAGACTGATATATCAAGGTTCATTGCAACTCCTTCATATGTCGTGTCGAATTCGGGAGACTCGGGCTTGACCCGAACCATCTTTAAGTGGAAAAGATCCTTGTCCTCATCAGCGTTGAATCCCTTGGAAGAAATGATTCTTTTAAACTCTGGTACGGGGTTCTCCTCGATATAATCATCGACACTCAAGGACTTCAGGATGACCTCGGCAACCATATCGTAAGGGCGCATATAGAAGTCAAGACCAAACCCTTCGGCAACCAATTCGACCAGGAGCTGGTCCTTGAGCGGGTCTTGCGAGTCAGACCGGAAAAGAGAGCCACGAAGGCGACCAACATTGAACTTGAATTCGAAGTCTCGACGGTGGATGTTGTTAGAAGTTTCCAGGCTCTTCTTGGCATGATCGCTTTCTGAATCGGCTTCATCATCGTCAACAACAGGAAGATCTCGTTGAGCCGCGGGTTGAAACGATGCCGATCTGGCTCTGGTTGCAATTGCCTTCTCAGTTTCGTCGGGTGCTTTAGCCACCGGGCCAGTAGAGTCTTTGCTGTCATCGAATTGTGGGATCGCAATATCAATCAACTTCATTAAGCCCTTGTACTTGGTGTCCGACATAGTCGCATGTAGTTCTGGCAAATGGCCTGAGATACGGGTCCGGGTGAGTTGTGTCACCTTGGGAACAATACACATCTCAAGAACGAAGTCCACATTGATACGGTCGATGATATGGAAGTTCTTGGATTCGACACCCGAGTTGAGCTGCGCTTTGGTTGCCTCCACTCCAGGTCCGATTAGAACTTGAGTGGAATCCAGCTTGATGAGGAAACGGTCATAAAGTAAGTGTTCGAGCTGCTTGTAGTCTTCCTCTTCGTATTGGCGTTTCTGTTTTGATTGCAGATCCCGCATGGCCTGTCGGTCGACCAGCTCACTGTTGACACTGGCATGACCCGCATCCAAAATCAAACACAGAGAGCTTTCTTGCGTAATGCTTTCGGGCACGATGATCAATGGTGCGTGCACGTCGAATTGCGCGTCCACCTTCTTGTGTTCCTGCAAGGCAAATTCCAAGCCTGCTCGGGTTTGTTGCCGCAGGCCCTCGACCGTAGCTCCAGCTGTATCTAAGAGTGCACCGATCGACTCCATGTGCCGCTCAGGAGGTTGGAAGAATTTAACAATGCCCACCAGGAACCGAGGGTTATAGATGACTTCGATACTCTTCAGCTTGACCTTTACTGCTGAATCCGCATCGCTTTCCAACGGATTCTTCTCCAGTTGCAGATGGAATAGACTGTCTTCATCTTCGATGTCATCTGCACTGGCCTGAGAGGCTAGTTCATCATCATCCGTGCTGGGTTGATCCTTTGCGGGCTCAGGGAGAGAGTCTTTGACTCTCACAATCTGAGGGTAGAGAGTACCAACAGTGGTACCGTCGTACATCTTCAATCCTCCGAGATCGATGTCGAGTAGATAGGAATCTGGGCGCTGGAGGGCCTTGGCTCGGAAATTGTCAAAGACAAGCCTCATGACCTCATTTGCTGCCCCGTGAGGATCCTTCTTTAAGGTGAAGCTACCAGCCCGAAGACTCCAATTGACCTGCAACTTGACCCACTCTCGAGGAACATCGACACTTTCCGCAAGGGCCTTCTTTTCGTCCCAATCGATGGCACTATACAACTCCTGTCGCTGCTCTTCGGTCATGGCAGGCTCCTCCGATTCTTCCTTCTTGCTGCCCCAGAGCCATTCGCCCCAAGACTGGTGTTGGGCCGGCTTTTTGATGCCGACATTTTCTTTGCGAAGCTGATTCCGAGCCAGGGATCGCCAGAACCGAATATCCTCATAACTGAGCTTCCATTCCAATCTCTCTAGCTCCTTGGTTTCTTCCGGGGTAAATGCTTCTTCTCTCTTCCGTTTCTTGAATAGGTTGATGTATGAAAGGCGATCATCTCTGCGCTCCTTTATGTAGTCCCATGTCCATCGTCGGTTTCGATCGTGGATCTTGCTGAGAACTGCATCTCCGGCAAACTTCATCCATGCCCGAGGATCCTCCTTGACCGAGATTTTAGGCTGGAATCGCTTGTATTCCTGGTGGCGGATGAAGTAGTGGAACAGGTCTACCAGCATCAACGCATCGCGGTATTGGTTCTCATCCAAGACAAAACCGAGCTCATCGAAGAGCAACCGTGCTTTCATGGCAGGACGGTCATACTTGCCCGATTTGTTCAACTCAAGTCCTGCGCGACCGCTGACGGGTCGAAGCATGAATTGGTTGCCTTCTTCACTGTCGATTGCCGTGCGGAGTTTCTCCATCAGCTCATCGTGGCTGATACCCTGGGCCTCTGCGCCGATATCCGATCCTCGTCCGGTACCCAAAAGAGTCGCGTCCGTATTCCAATACACTGAAAGAGCACCGAGGACTGCGAGCTTGTGTGTAGTGTCAGAGGTGGACTGGATAAAGGTAGGATTCCATTCCGAGTCAGTGCTGACGGCACTGAGTTCCTTCAACGTCAATCCCACGGCGAAGGGGTGGCCAGGTGAAGCAACAGAGTCTTCATAACGGAAATGAACGTTCTTGATCGAAATCTGGAGATTGTCCACAACGGCTGTAATCATGCTTTGGGTGAAACTCTGGTTCCGCCGCTGCTCTTCCTGGCTCATGCCGTCCGCATTACGCTCGCGAAGAATCTCAGCGCTCTCGATGCGTTCCATTTTCAATGTGTGTGCTCTTTTGTCCTCCTCGTCGGCATCGTAATCCGCATCCTCCTTCGGTGCGGCGAGAAGGAAGACATCCTCAATGTCGACCTTGACAGGCTTACCCCTCAAATTAGACCACGGGATGGATAATGTGAGTTCGCCCAGATGGCCTTCGACGACGTTTAAGGGGAGGTGTAGTTGATCAAGTGCTTCCCGGCGCAACTCAAGATTCCGCAGCTTCACATCGCCTGACCAGATGCCGATGTTGAGCTGCGTGGCATCGAAGTTCTTGACGTAAATGCCCAGGAAGCGGTTGAGCAGGTTAGCGACCAGTCCCTCCAACATGGTTGCGAAAGGTGGCCGTGGACCGGGCCCGGTGGTTGGGCTCTACGGCCGGTACTGATGTAGCTGAGCAGAGCGGGTCGTCGTGAATGGTAGTCGACCTAGTTCTGAAAGACGTGGCAACTCAGTAGCTATCCCGAGATTGTAGATTATGTAGGATCAGAAGGCTCTCACTCAGCATGAGAAAGAATTCTAGAAGCGCTCAGCGGTGAGGTAACTCCAATTCATCCAAGCAGACCTGATGGCTGCACGCGATACCGAGGCGGGTCCTCCACCTCTGGGATGGGCGGGAGCCAGGGCCTTGGGAGGGGTAGTCGAGAAAATGTAGCGAAAAGGGAAAGTGAGGAAGCGACAGGATCGCGACAAGAAAGGTTGGGTGTCGAAAGCCAAGCCAATGGCCGTGCAAAGAAAAGGGCCGCTATCGTTTACGCAAACCGGGCGAGGCCAAGGTACCACGCTCATTACGCCCGCCGCGACTTCCCCGACCGCCTACGTTTATACTGTGCCTTGTACACCCAGGTATTGCTTATCTGCTGCTGTATCTGGCAAGTTATTCAAGTTAACCAAGCTTATATAGCCGATTGCTACTCATGAATAGAAATGTAGAAACATAGAACTCCTTTTTTCCATGACGGTGCTGGAGTGTACACTTGTTTACTGCCAACGCAGAGTGACGTCGGCCCCGTGCTGGGCCCGAAAGGTGGCTGGCAGGTCTGCTAGGGCTTCGCCCCTCGTCTGTCACGTGCTTGTCACGGGATCCCCGGGTTTTCTCTCCGTACATGCCTGAGGCACCCGATTGCTGTTCGGGTCGCTACGGTCCGCCCGACGACCACACCTCATCATTCCGGTCACTTCATTTCTGGATATTCTTATTTGCTCTGTCTCGGAAACCCACGGCCTCCCCGACTTCGATCTCAAGTCCTTTATCGGGTAGATACCCTCATCTCCACTCTCCAAACTCTTCTCCAGCTGTTTTACAGGCCAATTGGGTTGGTTGTCCCCGCGGTTTCGCCGTACCCGAGGCTTTTCGTTCCCGTGACGTGCTAATCCGACTACATATGAAAAGCTCCCCCGCCGCCATGCTGTACCGCAACACCGCCGCCCGCTCCGTGCTCCGGGCTATCTCGAGCTCCAATGCCTCCGTGGCTCGCTCTTCCATGGGTGCTCCCATCTTCAAGGCCCAGCTGACCTCGTCCGCCCGTGCCGTCCGCCCGGCCATCAAGCCCAGCTTCGCGCTGGCCGCTCACAAGCCCGTGACCACCGCTCTCGTGCGCTTTGCCTCTTCGTCCGCTAAGGTAGGAGTTATTTCAGCTGGTGAGACATATTTGGAGCATTCAATGGCTAATTCGCTTTTGCGCATTATAGGACGACGAGAATGTCGACATGATGGCCGGTATGAAGGCTGAGGCTGTACGTTCTCCATTTCCAACCATTGGCTATCACTTGTCGGATTTATGGGCACGAGCTGACAGTACAATGTGAATATAGCAAGTCATCAAGGACACCTTCAGCTTGAAGGACGTCCCCAAGGAGGCTATGGCTCTCGGTATGGCCGGTGTCATTCCCTACCTGGCCACCTCCCTCGAGACCGTCTATCTCTCCTACGAGATCAACCGTGCTGCCGCTCTCGGTGACGGTCTCATCTTCTCCGGCCAGAGCGCTGAGCTGATGCTGCACATGCTGGAGCCCATCCAGGTTGGCTACGGTGCCGTGGTAAGTGCGACCGATAGTTTTATGTCGGAGCCGTCCGCTGATCATTCCTGGCAATATAGATCCTCTCCTTCCTCGGTGCTGTCCACTGGGGTCTTGAGTGGGCGGGCTACGGCGGCAAGTTCGGCTACCGCCGTTACGCTGCCGGTGTCCTTGCCCCGGCCGTGGCCTGGCCTACTTTGCTGTTCCCCACTGAGTACGCTCTGATCACCCAGTTCCTTGCCTTCACTTTCCTGTACTACAACGACGCCCGCGCCGCCGCCACCGGCCGTGCTCCCCACTGGTACGGCATGTACCGCTTCGTCCTGACCTTCGTGGTCGGTGCCTCCATCGTGGCCACCCTGATCGGCCGTGAGCAGATCCAAGCGACCGTCAAGTCGGAGCACACCATCAAGGACAAGATCAACGCTCTGATCTTCCTGCAGAAGAAGGAGAAGGAGGAGGCTGAAGCTCGCCGCAAGGCCGAGCTCGGCCAGGACGAGGAGTAAATTTGGTATCCGCCGCGGAACCTGTAACTGTTAACGGGGATTTGGATCCTCGCGTTGTCTCTCGATGTTTGCATTCCCCGTGATTTCCTGTAGAATATACACAGAACACACGAAGGCCGAAGCCGTTTCTTTTTCTTTTGTTAAATTGGAGAGTTTCCCCAAAAGCCCTGAAAAAAGCCACAGGAAGAAAATATATCACGACCCGCAGTAGTCGAGACGTACAGATAAGCCCGCCACGTCCGACCAAAGGACCACGTGCATTTGCAACCCACCCGGCACGTCTAGGCCGGATTCAGCGCCCCGAAAAAAATCGGAAACTCGACTCGACTATAGCAAGATGCCAACGGAGCACGGGTTGCCGCCTCGATCGGCGAGCCAGGCGGGCCCTGTCACCAAGTTCCCTGGTTGAGGAAAGCGAAGCCCCGGTTGCAAAGGGTCCATGAATAAATAGATTTTGGCGATCGCGCAGAAAGCTAAGTCTTATCGAAGGCGGAATAGATTCTAGCGTGGACATGTAGGGAAGGTAAAGCGAGAAGCCTGCATAACAAGTCCACGGGTTCCTGTCGCGACAGCGAACGTGCGTGCGTGAGATTCCAAAACCCACAGGATCGTCCTTTTTACCCTCGCGTGATCTACCCCCACGTCTCCGATTCTCGTCGTCCCTGGCAGGTTGGGTGTCTCCCCGCGTCCCCGTTCACCTATTGATTCTTTTTAAAGTACAGAGGGACTAGAGAGGTTCTTAGTAAGATATACTATTTCCAGGGTTTAACCGGATTCTCCCTAGGTCTCAGACGTCACCACCCGAGGGCTCCCTGATGGGGCCAGTTCACCACATCGCAAATGCCCAGCATGGGTAGCATGATTTTGTGCCGCGGTATTGGCGAAGACTGTGTATACCAATCGTACGGGGCCTTCATCCAGGGGTAGGCTCGGGTGGTATGTACGGTGCGTAGGTTTCGTGGGTTGTTCTTGGCTGCGGCTACATCAATTCCTCCAGGGAATGTGTCCCTTCCCGCGAGCTCGCTACAGCTCCCATAATTATTCCGCCGCCATCTGCATTTCTCCGTGAATGGGGAGCCAATTAGTCTCGCGCTAGTTCAATCGATAGCAGCAGAAAAGGGGGAGGGGGTCTAGAACCCGCTCGAGAGACACAAGGGAAAAATGGAGAGTGTCATGTGCCTAGATCGACGGGGCCTTGTATACTTCGTGGGTACGTTCCTTGTATAAACGTGAGCCTCGACGTGAGCCTTCGAGGCTCACGTCTATACCGAGGGGCGGTCTAGGTATACAAAGACCGCGGCCCGGGCGCCACGACCACGACCACGACCTTTGACGGTGAACTACGGCCGCTAGAGTTTCCCGCAGGCATATCTATGAATCTGTCCTCCGTACGCCTGAAGGCAGAGTGGGGGAGGTGACGAGGTCTTCTGATCAGAAAAAAACCCCGAACCGGATTTGGGCTCCCCCACTTCGATGCCCAGGTCTCTCCCAGAATCTCCCTTGGCTTCCCTGTCCCAGATCCACTCCGTTGGATAAAGAGGTCTCTCCTTCCTAGCTTGCTTCCCTCTCGTTTTTTGCCTTCGAGGTCTTGTCGCCCCTCGTACGTCAACGCTCCACTTTTTTTTTGGTCTCTTCCTTGGAGCTCCCCGTACCGCCAACACCGCCACTGTGTAGAATCCCAATCCTTTCCCCCTCCTTCCACTCACTCGTAATTCCCCCACACTTCTTTAACCTTTCCCGTGAACCCCTCTCCTCCAACCCTCCAACCACCATCATCGCCACCTCCCTTCACAACCACATTCGAAGATGCGAAACCCATTTGAACTTGATGGCAGCGTCGATGGGGACTCTGAACCCGCCAACGATGTCGACCTGGGGGAGCAGAATGCCAACCATTTCGAAGTTGATATCCGACCGCATCAGACAGACGACGGCGACCGCTCCATATTGCAGGATGAGGAGCGACGTTCCGATGACCTAAAGGAACGCTTCATCGGCACTATCGATCAGGGAACAACCAGCACACGTTTCATCATCTTCGATTGTACGGGCGTCCCCATTGCCAAATACCAGACCGAGTTCCGCCAAATTCACGAACACCCAGGGTATGTGTTCTGCTCCCGTTCCCCGCTCTACTTTTGGCCCCCTCCCACGGAAATCAATTAATCTAAACTCGGTTGCAGATGGCACGAACAGGACCCCTACGAGTTGGTAGAGTCGGTTTTCATTTGTATCGAGGAGGCGATGAAATCCTTCCTCGCATTGGGTCACTCCCGATCCGACATCGAGGCCGTCGGCATCACCAGTCAGCGAGAAACCGCCCTGGTATGGGACTGGGAGACCGGTGAACCGCTGCACAATGCCATCACTTGGACCGACACACGGACCGCGAACTTGGTGCGTGAACTGAAGACCAAGAAGGGCGCCGAGGACCTAGTGAACATTTGCGGACTGCCCCTCTCCACATACCCCTCTTCGGTGACGTTGCGATGGATGCTGGATAACCTGCCCGACGTTCGGTCGGCCTACGATGACGGCCGTGCCGCCTTCGGCACTGTCGACTCGTGGCTCATCTACAACCTCAACGGTGGCCCGCAAAACAAGCGCCTCGTCACCGACGTCACCAACGCCTCCCGCACCATGTTCATGAACCTCGAAACTCTCCAATACGATGACCGCCTTTTGGATTTCTTCGGTATCGACCGCAACAAGATTCGCCTTCCCGAGATTATGCCCTCTGCCGACAAGGAGGGCTTCGGTGAGATCTACGAGGGGCCTCTGGCGGGATGTCCCATTACCAGCTGTCTGGGTGACCAGGCCTCGGCGCTGGTCGGCCACTGTGCCTTCACCCCCGGATCCGCCAAGAACACCTACGGAACCGGTTGTTTCCTTCTCTACAACGTGGGCGAGAAGCCCGTCATTTCCAAGCACGGTCTCCTCGGCACGGTCGGTTTCCAGCTGGGCCGGGACCGCAAACCCGTCTACGCCTTGGAAGGCAGTGTTGCCGTGGCAGGCAGTGGCGTGTCCTTCTTGATGAACAACATGGGCTTTTTCCGCGACTCGCGCAAGGTCAGTGATCTCGCTGCCACCGTTCCGGACAGCGGAGGCTGCGTTTTCGTCACTGCATTCAGTGGTCTTTTCGCGCCGTACTGGATTGATGACGCCAAGGGCACCATCTGTAAGTTGTCCTTCTTTGTACTCACTTGGGCATTGCTAATGAATTACCCAGGGGGCATTACCCACCACACACAACGAGGGCACATTGCTCGCGCTACCATGGAGGCGGCATGCTTCCAAACGAAGGCCATCCTTGATGCCATGGAGATGGACAGCGGCAAGAAGTTGACAGAGCTGGCCGTGGACGGCGGTATGAGTAACTCCGACATTTGCATGCAGGTCCGTCTTTCGTCTCAAAAGTATCTTACCCTTTCCAATTCCTAATTCCTCTTTTTTCTGCAGACACAAGCCGATATCATTCAGATTCCCGTCGAACGGCCCGCCATGCACGAAACCACCGCCCTGGGTGCCGCAATCGCCGCCGCCTTCGCCATCGACGTGTGGAAGGACTTTTCCGACCTGAAGCACATGAACCGCGCCAACCGAGCCACCTTCGAGCCACAAATCACCCCCAAGGCCAGCGCAAAATTGTACAAGCAGTGGTCCAAGGCCGTGGAGATGTCGCGCGGCTGGATGGAAGTCGGAGAAGAATCCGACGACGACGAATAAACACCATCTCATCCAACCATTGCATCGCATATTCGATTCTTTTTCCTGTTCTACAAGCGTGACCGCAAGCCGGTTCACCACCGGCCGGGATCCAGCGACGTACCCCTTTTTTCCCCAATCTTTCCGTCGCATCCTCCACCCACCACCACCTTGGCCACGGATACCCGGCCCTGAATTTCACTTTTCTTTCGGGGGGCACACTGGACCATCCACACATACCTCATCTTCCACCTATACATATTTTAGACCCCCTGATTAGATCGCCCCAATCCTAATGGGAGCGACGGCACGCCACTGGCTGCCACCTTCATGACCGTGATGATGGTCGTGTTACCCAGTTATGAATATTCGGAGGGAAAGAACTGGCTTCTTTGGTTTATTTCCTTTTTATTTTGCAGTTTTTTTTTCTGAGTTCCTTTTGGGCGGTTCGCCTTGCACGACGTCGAGAGCGCATCACTGTGTAAATATTTACCAAGGGACATTTGTGAAACAAATGAAACAAAAAAAATTCGAAAGCAACTACATCTTCACTACTAACATAATTCTGCAAGGATATGTTCATCACTCAATTCTCCCATTATACTGTACTTGCCCATAGCCCTTGACATCTAGGCATCTCTATTAATGGTTAGATACCCCACTATAACATCATCGATATAGACTACGCAACACGATAGGCCGGATGACGAGCCGCGGATGTACTGTAATCTCCCCAGATCGCGAGACGATGGCGTCAAACCCGCAAGCGAACCAGGCACAGGATTTAGGATCGCCGTTGGTGGGTATGACATCATCGCGGGTGGAGATGGGTCCGGATAATCAAAGATCTATTCCAAGGTTGACCGAGAGACGAAAGTACCCCTAATCCGGACTTTCGGTTCTGCAGGGCCGTCGATCTCGCCGTCGATCTCGGCCCTATCGTTTACTATTTCAAGGTTGGGTCTGACGTTATAAGTTCAGGGGTTTTGGCTATTTGGTTTGGACAGTTGTAGATGTAGAATAGGAGTCAGGGCTCGCTTTTCTGGAAGTAGGCATACAGACTTTGTATGTACATGTACATGAGGATCAAATACAGATCGCGTTGGGTCGCATTCGAGAAAAAAGGGAAAAAAGGGAAAATGAAAATTGGTATTTTCAATAGAGACGCCCGAACGATCCGGGAATGCACGGAGTAAAACAGGTCAGAGAAATAAGGTCAAGGAAAAATGAGAGGGGAGAAATGGTCGGTGAGCGTGCTCACTCTGCTGCTGTGGGCGGGCTCTCAGCTGCAGCAGACGGGTTCAAGTTGGCGACTTGCAGAGCGTCGGGCAGCTTCAGCGGTGCGCTAGCAGAAGAGGACATCTTATCGATCTTTTCTCCCTTGAGCACCTTCTCCATCTCATCCTTCGTCAGCGTCTCGTACTCGATCAGCGCCTTGGTCAGGATCTCCAGCTCCTCGCGCTTCTCGGTCAGGATCTTGGAGGCGCGGAGGCGGGCCTCCTCGACGAGGCGGCGCACTTCGCTCTCAATCTCCTGCTTTGTTTCGGAGGAGAGGCTGTCGTAGTTGGTCGACAGGTCGACGTTGCCCAGCTTCTTGGAGTATCCGAAACGGGTGATCAACGTGAAGGCTGTCTCGGTTGCTTGTTGAATGTCCTTCAAGAAAAATTAGCGAGATGAAGAATGGCAATTATATCACGGATTCACTTACCGCTGAAATACCACTGGTAACGTTGTCCTCTCCAAAGATCATCTCCTCGGCGGCCTTGCCACCCATGGAGACGTCAATATCGGACAGGTACTCAGTGTAGTTCCGCGAGACGGTGTCCATCTCCGGCAGGAAGTGGGTAATACCCAAAGCCATGCCGCGAGGAACAATGGTAATTTTGTAGAGCGGAGTGGCAGACCTCGAATAGTAGGCAACCAGCGCATGGCCAGCCTCGTGGTAAGCAGTCAGAAGCTTGTCCTTGTCCTGGATGATACGGCTGCGCGCCTCAGCGCCCATCATAATCTTGTCCTTGGCCCAGTCAAAGTCCAGAGGGCCAACCTTGAGTTTACGGTCACGGCTAGCGTGGATGGCGGCCTGGTTGACCAGGTTCTCCAGGTCGGCACCGGAGAAGCCAGGGGTACCACGGGCAATAACGCCAACGTCCACATCAGTGCTGATCTGGACGTTTGTCATGTGATGCTTCAGGATATCCATACGACCACGGACGTCAGGCAGACCAACAACAACCTTGCGGTCGAAACGACCAGGTCGAGTCAGCGCCTTATCCAGCAGCTGCGGGTAGTTGGTGGCACCGATGATGATGACACCGCTAGTTTGAGAGAAACCGTCGAGCTCGGTCAGAAGCTGGTTCAGCGTCTGCTTCACATAGGCGGCATCACGCTCGTTTCGCTTCGCACCAATAGCATCCAGTTCGTCAATGAAGATGATGGCCGGAGCCTTGCCACGAGCTTGGCTGAAGAGATCACGAACACGCTTGGCACCGACGCCGACGTAGACTTCATCGAACTCGGAACCAGACATATAGAAGAAGGGAACACCAGCTTCACCGGCAACGGCACGAGCGAGGAGGGTTTTACCAGTACCAGGAGGACCAACGAGGAGAACACCCTTGGGAAGCTTACCACCCAGGGACGAGAAACGATCAGGGTTGAGAAGGAACTCAACCAGTTCCTGCAACTCGTCCTTGGCCTCGTCACAACCGTGCACGTCGCTGAAACGGACGGTCTGTTGCTGAGGCTGGGCTTCGTTATTCTGCTGGCCACGGATGTTTTTCAACACACCGGTAGTCTCAACCAGGATGGTAATCAGAACGAGGGACATATACGCGAAGAAACCAAAGTAGAGCAGGAACTTGACCCAACGGAAGACGGTGCTACCAAGTGACTCCTCTACAACGACGTAAAGAGGAGCCTCCTTGGCACCGGTTCCATTGTGCTTGGTCGCGAGTCCGATCTGACCACCGTTATTCCGTGCAGCAACAGCCTGGCCAACAGCCTGAAGCTGTTCGCTGCTGAGATTCTGGTTTCCTGCAATGCCAGCCGAGTCGGCACCGCCGACCCGTTGCAAAGCCTGCGCATAGGCTGCCTCTGTTGCTGCGTTGCTTGCGAATTGAGCGCTTCGGTATCTTTCCACGACAATGGCCGGCATATTTGCACGCAGGAGAGCCTGGTAGAAGGAGTTCTGGGCATTTGCGCTGTTCGGGTTGTTGTTCGCGGTCTTCTCCTTCTGGGCCAGCATGTTCGTAGCCGGTCCTCCAAACAAAAATCTTTGCTGTTGAATTTTGGACAGACCATTGACCTTTGGAGCTGCGTTCGGGGCGTTGATGCGGAATGGTGTCAGGGTCGAGTAGGAACGAGCTGTCGGGGCAGCAAAACCACGTGCTTGTGCGATGAAAGACGAGTTCAGTAGAGAGGTAGCTGTTTCTAACCAAGGCGAGTCAGACGTAACCTTTCAATGGGAGATGGAAGGGGGTGGCCATACTTGTGTTCAGCAGCGAGAACGATCCGCGCTGCGCAGGCCGGTTCACAATGTCCGCCCTCAGCGCTTCCGCGGAGACGGTTTCCAGGCACTCGGGCAACGGCGCGCGCTTTGATGTCTGTGCAAGTCAGCAGGTTGCAATAATGCACACTACGGGGTTTTAACATACCGCCACACTCTCCTGCTGAGTAGGGTTGCTTGGACGAGTATCGCGAATCCCAGCCGTCGGAGTTCGGCCGGTCAGCTGTCGGGGAGAAGCTAAGAGGCTGGACATGGAGGGCCAGAGGTCCGATGTGACGGCGGCAACATTCTGGAAAGACAGTACAACGGTCAGTAACGGTTCCGAGATGAATAGGAACGGGATGGTCCTCACAGGCCGGGCGATCGGGAATTGGAAGGCCATAGTTGTCCGATATCGAGCGGCGCTCGGCCGCGTGGGAAAGGAGGATCTGCTCCACTGGAGGGATCGAAATATGCAGCAATAGGAAATCGGACACTGATTAGCCTTGGGTTGGGCTAACTGCCATCACCGATAGTATATCGGAGATGAGGGGGTTGTGACGGTGACGATGTCTTTGCTCCGCTGAGTTGCGGCGAAAGTCGGTTGCCACTTGGGTGCCGGTGGCATCCCTTAGCGGTCACGTGCTGGGACCTATAGGCATCCACCGGTTTCGATGGTCAGTTAGATGTGGGTTTGTCGATATTTAATGAGTTTGAAAGGTCAAGTATATCGGTCGGGATTGGTGTTGTTACTAGTTGACGTAACAAGTAAATGAAAGATGACGCTTTGAGTTGGGGCTAGTTCGCTAAGTCGCTAAGTGCGGCCGGTATATAGATGCGATGCCCAGGCCCTGACTTGGCACCCATGGTTCGGGTCCCGAATTTCAATGACTCTCCAAGATTCTCTTCCAACAACTCTCCCCGTGGAGCAATTGACTATGTTACATCAAGGACACAAATTTGAATCCAAACTGTTATTTAAAGGCCTTCGAACGTGACGACGATATCTATAGCTTCACCCAGTGCATATCGCGACAAACGCTTTACCCCAGCAACATAGCTTCAAAGCATGGGGCTAGAGCTCTGGGGCGCACCGCTTTAATCAATCCGGCCTTTGAGCTTCGTTTCAAGAGCTGCATGGCTTGGAGCTAGGGCTGAATGAGCATGCCTCGAAAGACCATTTTCTTGATGGGCGCTCCATTGCCTAATCACCTGGACTGGGACAACGACGAGCTTTTCGACAAGCCCATGCCACCGTTCCAAGGCCCACAGACTACAGAAGGGAGTCACCCATCCACAGATCAGAAATTCGTGAAGTGGAGGGTTCTACAGCCCTTGGAACATGAGCAACCGATTGACTACCCTTCCTGGTACTTTGGACCCGACGACCCGAACTTTCTGACAACACGCCATCTGGAGTCATTGGACGATGCGTCGACCCCTGAGGAGGAATCTATATTGTCACAGTTTTACGATCATTCGTTTGCGGTCCACGAAGCGCCAGATGCATCGTTGTCCGGACCACGAGAGGACCGTACGCAGGAGAGTGGGCTCGAAGACATAACACAGGCAGCTACCATCGTCTCTCCAGACAGAGACATATCAGAATTATCTCGACCTGTGCGACTTCCAGGCCCCGTGAGCGATTTACAGGATCTTCCCACGGCGATATATCTACAGTCCATCACTCCGCAGACCACGACAGTCAATCTGATCGTCGGGATCATTGCAGTCCACCCGCCCCGTCGCATAGTGACACGGCAATGGCAGAAAGAACTAGACATCATTGAACTCGTCGTTGGTGATGAAACAAGAACCGGGTTTGGGGTCAACTTTTGGCTGCCCGCCGATAAGCGCGCCAAGAATCAGGAGATCGGTCGTCTGGGGCAATCGCTAGCCACACTGCGGCCTCAAGACATCGTCCTGCTGCGGACAGTAGGGCTGAGTACATTCCAAAATCGTGTCTACGGGCAGAGTTTGCGAGGAATGACACAAGTCGATCTTCTTCATCGGTGGCCAGTGGACGCGACGGATGCGGGTGGGCACCGGGACGATCAGCCGCGGCGGAAGCTTTGCAGAGTGCGCGAGTGGGTGTTGCGTTTCGTGGGGACGGATACAGCAGGCGGTGCCATGTCAGGAATGTCGGAGATACAACGTGGTCCTCGGCTGCCTCCGGACACGCAGTAAAAAGGCAAAAAGCAGTTGGACTTGGGAACTGTTTCGGTCAAATGGAAGGGTGAATGGGGGAGGGTGTGGTATGAGTTGAGGGTTACCCCGGGGTACGGGGAGAGGCGTCTCCCCACCTATCCCATGACCGCAATCAGATGATGCGAGAGACGACCCTATCTAACCACGGAGGCGTCTGAGTTCGCGGGGAAGTTGCGATGGCAAAGCCGGTCCAGTTATAGAGATGGCAGAGGATGCAGCCTATGGGACGGGCTTGGGGGCCAGACCCAAGGTGGTCCCCAAAGGTGGTCCTGGCACAGAGCGGTCCGAGATGAGGACACCTCACGACCACAACGACTCTCACGAATCCGTACGGAGCCAGAGGGCACCATTGACCGAAACGGTCAAATCCAAACAGCCCCGGCTTCGAACCAGACCCAAACACGCCTGTAACCACGAGTTTATACAAGTAACCCCTTTTCGCTGCAAACGTGCCTCTCGATGCCGCCAATCACCGCCACTCACGTGCCCCACCTTGACCCCCCGATAAAAATAAAGTCAACGTGGTGCTCCCTGCTCCCTGCTCCCGTTCGGTCTAAGATCCCCTTTGCTGAAGTTCTCTTTAGCACCTTCGCATTGCTTCCCTATTTTCTGGTCTTCTAATCTCTCTTCAATTACATTCACTCCCCCACAATGAAGGGTATGTACACTCCACCCCTCATATCTCCCCTCCCAACATTACTGACATACCCTCAGCTCTCATCCTTGTCGGAGGGTTCGGGACCCGTCTGCGTCCTCTGGTAAGTTGCGATTGAATATTTCTCATTTCATTGACCCGTTCAATCTGTATGCCCCAATCCCGGTACTGACGCCATGTTCTCTAGACGCTCACTCTCCCGAAGCCGCTCGTCGAGTTCGGTAACCGCCCCATGATCCTCCACCAGGTCGAGAGCTTGGCTGCCGCTGGTGTCACCGATATCGTCCTGGCCGTCAATTACCGCCCCGATATCATGGTCTCTGCTCTCAAGAAGTACGAGGAGCAGTACGGTGTCAACATTGAATTCTCGGTCGAGACGGAACCGCTGGGCACGGCTGGCCCGCTCAAGCTGGCGGAGAAGATCCTGGGCAAGGACGACACGCCTTTCTTCGTTCTCAACTCCGATGTTATCTGTGATTTCCCATTCCAGCAGCTTGCCGCTTTCCACAAGTCCCACGGCGAGGAGGGTACCATTGTCGTCACCAAGGTCGACGAACCCTCCAAGTACGGTGTCGTCGTTCACAAGCCCAACCACCCCTCGCGCATCGACCGCTTCGTCGAGAAGCCCGTCGAGTTCGTCGGCAACCGTATTAACGCTGGTATCTACATCATGAACCCCAGCGTCTTGAACCGCATTGAGCTGCGCCCCACCTCCATTGAGCAGGAAACCTTCCCCGCCATCTGCAAAGACAGCCAGCTGCATTCCTTTGACCTCGAGGGCTTCTGGATGGATGTCGGTCAGCCCAAGGACTTCCTCACTGGTACCTGCCTGTACCTCACCTCTTTGGCCAAGCGCAGCCCCAAGAAGCTCGCCCCCATGTCCGAACCCTACGTGCACGGCGGCAACGTTATGGTCGACCCCACCGCTAAGATCGGCAACAACTGCCGTATTGGCCCCAATGTGGTCATTGGCCCTAACGTCGTGATTGGTGATGGAGTCCGTCTGCAACGCTGCGTTGTGATGGAGAACAGCAAGGTCAAGGACCACGCCTGGATCAAGTCCACCATCGTTGGCTGGAACAGCTCTGTCGGCCGATGGGCTCGTCTGGAGAATGTTACCGTTCTTGGAGACGACGTGACTATCGCCGATGAGGTGTATGTCAACGGTGGCTCCATTCTGCCGCACAAGAGCATCAAGCAGAACATTGATGGTGAGTTCATCCCACCATATTCTAGTCCTCGATCAAAGCTAATTCTCGTATAGTTCCCGCGATTATCATGTAATCCCTTTCTCCTCTTCACGTCGACACGTCCCTTTACAACCTTCTCACCGATACCTTTCTTCCTCCCGTCTTGATGCATGGAACCGGAGTCGTTTTCTGCGTGATCTTCCCTTCCCCTGTCTTGCGCCTCTTCGGTCCCTGTTTTCTTGCCTGTCATCCGCGACAGTTTCTTCGCCCCCGCTGTGCTCGCACTTGTTTTCCTTTCGCACCCTGGAAATCGACGCATCCCGAAGCCTAGATGGTGGACAATGCGCGATTGCGACACTTTGCAATTACTACCTCCTTTTAGTCTTCTACTTTTATAGCCTGATCATCCGTTTCATTTGTCCCGGGTGCTGTCGCCTGGGATTGCCACTACATCCCAGCTCCCTTTTTTTGTTTTGCGCCTTTTGTGTTCTGCTGGCTTTCTGGGAATTGGCGGGCAAAGAAATCATGTCATATCTTTTTCTTTTAATGATAACATGGGCGCGGGGCGGGTTCTGTTGATGTAAATAATTGGGAGGCGGAATCCAAAAGATGCTAGATCTACTTCCCTGTTCGTGTAGACATGCAAGATCCCTCTATGATTCTATATTATGCTTTGTACAGGTATAGGTAATTACAAGTATTCGGAGCACTGGTTTAGAGGGCAGAAGGAACCAGCGTATTTCTGATCAATTCAAGCCGGTGTTCTTCTCGGCCCGGTCCAGGATCGCATCCCACGTAATCCTCAGCTCCTCCATCTGTTTCCAACATTGGCGGCCAAGCTCCTCAAACTTCTCCTTGTCTTCGCTGGTGAGGTCCATCGCACCACGCTTCCGACGCCGTTGTCGATCAGCCTCGACGACAGGAGTTCCAACAACACCGCCGTAGCCCCAGCTATCGGTCTCCGTGCAGATGACAGTTCCAACGCCGCGCCGATCGGCGCCCGAGCCCCATTTCGCTCGCCCACCGCCTGCTTGGCGATAGGGTGCTTCGGCAGCATCCAGCGCAGCTTTTGATGACAAAGCCAGAAAGACGGGGGAGCTGGCCCCCAAATATGTGGTAATGGGATGCCACGGGGAACCCAACATGCGCGCGGCCCAGAACGCAATCAACATAGCCCAGATGAGGGGTAGGGCAAGCGGAACAATAGTGGTGGCGCAGATACCGGGGTGCGACACGAACATGGTAGGCGTGTTTGAACTAACTGACTGATCCTGGGAATCGTCGCGCATGAAGCTATCCACAGCCCACGGAGCCGCGCTGGGGAGATTTGACGTCAGGGCCAAGACGTCCGTCAGAGCCTTGGACGACTCATAAGGCTTTTTAGTGCGAAGACCCTGGATATCATTGACATCGAACAACTTGACCGTGGCCTCGATACTCGAGACCCAGACCACTCGGCCCGGTCCATTGGGAGTACGCGCCCGTTTCAACAGCGGAACCACATTATGCGCTAGCATATAGTGACCGAAGACATTGGCGCAGAACACAGATCCCAGTGGTGGCTCATCCTTTTCTTCCGTTTGTCTATCCGTCAACACACCCACGGGTGCGACCTTATATGTTGGCCATGTCACCTGCTGGACGAGATCGGTGCACACGCCCCAGACAGCGGCTGGCCAGTTAAGTCCGGACCAACCTCCAAGTCCGGCATTCAGGACAATAGCATCGAGCTTGGGATATTTCTGTAGAAGTTGGCGAGAGAGTGCGCGCACGGAGAGAAGGTCGCCGAGGTCGACGCTCTCGGGGACGAATTTCACCCGTGTGGCGGCGGAGGGGTTTGAGGAGGATTGGAGGTGCTTTTCGAGGCGGCGCTGGGTATCTTGGGCTTTGCGCGTGCTCCGAGTAGTAAATAGGACGGTCAGAGATCGTGTTTCAGGGTGTGAAGAGAGAAATTCGTCGGCGAGGCGGCAGCATATTGAGAAGCCCAGGCCGCTAAGAGCAGTTAGTTGCTAGTTCGCCTTTTGAGATAACGGGGTAAGATTGAGCCAATTGATATAGTTCGTACCTGTTGGCTCCAGTGACTAGGACATAAATGTCCTGGTGCTCGTTTTCACCCATGACTTGCCCCTATCAAAGGATTCGGAGGTTCGAGATCGGCAATTTTAGTTCGGGGAGCCGGGTCATGTGATAACCAGGTACCTAAACCGTGGTGGGAGTAAGATGGTGAACATCTGAATAAAAACAACAGGAAGATTCAAGAAAGATGATATCGTGAAGAAATAACTTGCAATCTCATGATCAAGATAATCCCGTCTCGCTGTTGTGGTACATTTGTATAGATCACATGATCATCCTATACCAAGGAGATCACCGCATCGCCGCGCATTTGCAGTCCGCGACAAACCAACCCTGCCGAAACGCCGTGCGGTCCAGCATGCGCGGGCAGTCATGGCCGGGCGACTGGAACGCTTCTTCAACTCAACTGCCTTCTTCTTCTTTGCCCTGCTCCTCCTTTGCCTCATCCTCCTCACCCCAGCCGACGCCATCTACCAATGCTGGGAGACGAGCCGCCTCACCAACATCTTCTTCATCACTGGCGCGTATGTCGTGACCTTCCTACTTGCAGTCCTCATATACGCGACCCGAATTTACACCAACCGAAGCACCTTAGCCGGGATCCCGAAGGCGTGGATCCCCGTTGAAAAGGAAGATGTGAGTAAGGGCGTGAGGCGACTCGTCATGGAGGGGCTTGCCCGCAGTGCGGTCATCTCATACCAAGCCCGGCCACGCGATACGTCGGATGAAGCGGATAGCTTCCAGAACTACAAAAGCCTTTTGATCGACCCGGTACATCCACCGTGGGGCCATATCGAGCACCCCGGCTGGTCGTCGCCCTCGTCACCAGACTTGCCTAATCTCCCATATCGCACGGTCATTCAGGAACTGCCAAACCTGATCGAGGCAAAGGCAGTCTCACTTGCGCCCGCCGATGCGCTAGGACCTGTCTCGCCAGATCCTTTCCCAGATACACGCGTGGTGGAAGTTCTGCAACGACCTGCGTCCATGGGCTTGCGGCAATACATCAGACATCTCACATCACTTGGAGCTATTGACCCACCCGAATTGGGGGCGGACTTTCTAACACTTTATGAACGGGCACGGTTTTCCTCCCATGAGCTGCTTGAGTCGGATTTCCGCGATCTCATGCATATTTTCGCGGAGATCTTAAGAGGAATGGCGTCTCTCGCCACACCCGTTCTGGACGAGATCCGCGATAGTGCAAGCTACCGCCGTGCAGATAGCGAATCGGTCATTGGGCCTTCGGATGAAGAAGGGGAAACAGATACCGTCGATCAGTATGGATACAATGGTCCCTTCACACCAATGCGGAGTAACAGTCTCCGGCCATCTATTGCCTCCATTGGCTCTACCTGGGCGACTCAGTCCGGGTATGATACGGCTCCTGGGATGCAGAGTCCTGCTTCGGGCCGATCCACCGGCGGCTACTTTGTGGAAGGACTGCACACGCCGTCGACACGATCGCTCCGACGCGTACAATCCGTCCAGTCCGGGAGTTCGGGAGGAAGTGTCATTCGGCTGACACGGACTGGAAGCCCGACGGATCTGCCGTACACTATCAACTACGGTGGTCGTAGAAACTGAGGTCCCCATGTTTACCCCGCGTACCCCATCAACAGCCTGTACATTATTAAATAGCCGTATAGCTCCGAAACTACGGGTGAATATTGGACGTCAAATCAGTAAATATTGCTTTAAAAAAGAATTATGTACACCAAATATAGAATTCGGAAACAGCGGGGGCTTAGTCACGCGGAGTTGTTTCCGAGACTCTTGGCAGGAATGCAGAATGATTGATAAGATTGCGCCGTCAGTCCTCAGTTCTACGCGTCAGGAGATTGCGAAAAACGTAAAGTTTTGCACATCGCTGATCCACTCAGCTTTACTTGTGTTGTAAACGACTACGCCACCCGCCGTCACCATGCATCTCTTCCGCCGGGGAACGTCCTCGCTCTTCAGCTCCTCGAACGTTTCCCTCGCTTCCTCGAAAACCGACACCGACACCGATGCCGTCGGTAATAATGCGCTTGCTCATGAGGGGTTCAAATCTGTTCCAGAGAGTGAGAAGCTATTCACAAAGCCCGATCCGGCCGTTGACGGAGAAGATTGTCTGCACGACTGTGCAACATGCACCGTGAAGTACCCCGCCAAATTCGACATCGATTACGAAGACGAGCTGTATGGACATGTGAAGGGGTGGGCGACGCACTTGGTCGTAGCGACAGGCAAGTCGGATTGGGTGCGCGATATTGCAGACGAGACTGGAAGTGTCATGGAAGCGATTGAGAAAGGGGGAATAGAACCGAGCAATGGGGTAAGCTGATCTCTCCCACAAACACCGACTATGTATCTCACGGATTTTCTTCAGGGACTCAAGCTGTCAGCATCAAACATGCCGGTTCCGGACGAGTACCACATGCACGAGGCAGGACAACAACCCACAAACGTCCTCATCCTGCCCAGTTTCACCGTGGTAGAAAAGGTCACGCCGCAACTGGTTCCCGATCTCATTGAGCACTTCGTCAACAAGTCCTTGACAACAACGACGCCGCTGGTCAGCCAGCCAGAGATACCCTCACAATCAATTGAAGAGGAGCAACAGCCACCACATCCAGCCAGCACAAGCATCACAACGCCTCTCCGATCACACCCATGCCCACACGCAGCCGTCATCCTCCTCTGCTCACAGCGCACGCGCGACGCCCGCTGCGGCCAATCTGCGCCGCTCCTCCGCCGTGAATTCGAGCGACACCTCCGTCCGCTGGGCCTGTACCGCGACATGGACGATACGCGGCCCGGCGGCGTGGGTATCTACTTCATCAGCCATGTCGGCGGACACAAGTACTCGGCGAACGTGATTGTGTACCGGCGCCGGGACTTTGAGTGGTACAAGCGCGGCGAGACGGAGAAGGATGATGAAGGAGCTGCGCAGGGAATCTGGCTGGCGCGCGTACGGCCGGAGGAGTGTGAGAATATCATCCGGTATACCGTGCTGCAGGGCAAGGTGCTCAAGCCGGGGCAGCAATTGCGGGGTGGATTTGATCGGGAGCGGAGGTTGACGAGTTGGTAATTTTGCATCTCAGGATATAGATCGAATGCATTCATCTATTCACATGGTCTAGCTTGCATGGGTCTTGATAGTAGACCCGTAGACCAAGACCTATCTTTGGACGGGACTTGTGTATCAAGTCCACTCAGGCTTCCGCCTGCCCAAGTCTTCCAAATATAGAAGCCTTTCGTCGGTTAGATGGCAGATTCACGGCCTTTCCGAGGTCAATAAGATTGGGCTGCCTTTGGTCGAATCACAACCCCGGTCATGCAACGTTGGCAGCTTTGGAGACCTGAGATTGTCTTTCGTAGGCATTTGAGCCGACTGCCTTGGTCTAGGTCCCATCACCGAAATAAAGGCAGGCGATTAATTGTCACACAACCAGGATCAAGAACTCCCGGCCCCGCAACAGGCGTGCCACGAGGCAGCGGAACAACGCTGGATCGCAATGCTGGCATCAGGCAAAAACTATACCAAAATGGCGGCTAATACTGAGCAATATCTACGATGCAGCTATCGCTATAATAAGTTACAACCCCGCTGCCAATAGTACCTTTCATTCCCCCCAAATCCTCCAAAATTCCATATTCGCCGACACATGAAATTGCGGCATGCATAGCCGACTGCCGAGCCGGCATTGCATTCGCCACAGGACATTCAAGCCCCAAACGTCATGGTGGAATCCTAGGAGAATATTGTGGCAATCAGATGACCGGCAAGGTAGGCGCCAAGCGTGTCAGCATTCGGGACTCGGGGCTTTCCAGAAGAATGGACTGTACAGGAAAATAGTCCCCTAAACCCGTTACGGCTCTTCTCGGAGTCGGGGTTTCATCAGCTTATCAGGCGGCCTCTTTTCCCATTCACGGTGAATGGTGAGACGGGGATGTTGACTTTTGCGGACTATCAGAAATGCATCGGTAAGGAGGCGAGCGTATCAGCATCGCATGTGGCGGCGCCGCTGATAGGTGTTGACATGTTTTCGACGCCCTGCAGCTGTTGGGCTCCTTCCTGGGTCACGTCTTGGCCCGGTTTCCAGGTTTTGGTATATATAGTAAAGGGGGTGAGATGGGTGGCTTGCTTTCAGCCCCAGGGAACCCTGGAAAGTTTCCGTCCCGCGCTAAGACCAACTCGTCCTGACCGACACTTTGACAGGAGAGTCATTGGCGGTAGTAAGAGCCGATCGTCCACTGTACAGTGTGACCAGCCAGTCACGGACAGGATGATTAGCAATTCCGGCATCCTCGGCGCAGCAAACGTTGAGATTATCGAGCCTTTCCCGATCTCTGGTTCATGATACCCCCGAGATGCAACATCCTTCCCTGGAAGGCATCGTCTCCAGCCCGTTGCTGCTCTGCGGCTCACAGGGGGTTGCAGGGGTGAAGTTAAGCATTTGCGGGTATAAAGCGCACGGCCGTGGGACGACAACCCTTGTCTCCACTCAGTCGAAGGTTTCGTATAGCACTTCCATCGCATGAAAATCCTCAGCCACACACGCCAGCTTGGAGGTTCCATCATGTCCGCCCTGCACTTCAAAATGTGGGGTAGCTCGTACCCATGACACGGACACGGTGAAGCTTTAGATTTTGGGGGCCGAGAAACAACTTTGGAATATGCAACTTTCATCACAACGTCGCAGTGGAGATGGGATGAAAGGGGCTGATAGAACCTCCTGGGTTAGCCGTCTCCCTTATCCACACTTGTTCCGCATATGTCTCCCACGGCAGTCAGAGTGGAGATTTAATACATCGAGCCAGATGATCTAGCTCTTGGAACAGGTCATACCGACTTTCCTCTTCTAGATTTTGCTCGGTGAATACTCGGAAGACAGTGCCTATGTCTGGAGACGTCGCCGTCGCCATCCCTATTTGTTATTTAATCAGTTGGTTATTTTATTAGTCGGGGCATCTCTCCATCCTGAGTCTGCCCCGAGACCCGTCGTGATGTTATTTCCGTGCTGGGCCGTGGAAGCGGGGAATCCGGCCCCCTTTCGGGTCTAACGGACAGTGTCCGGGATCCACCCGTCGCCTGTTGACTGTTTATCGTTTCTGCTCTTTTATTGCTGGCAAATGCCGGATTACGGCATTGGCAGATGCCGACGATCCTTTTTGTTCCCGTTTGAGGAGGGTCATTTGCGAAGCCACCGAGATGCAGAGATGCAGGACGCTTCCACTTGGATTCCAAAACCAGTAAGAACGTCCCCGTTGGACCGGCGAGAGTGTTCTCATTGGCCGGTGGCCATCCGATCGCAGCCATGAAGCAATCGATATGCACGAGAAAGTTAGGACTCGTAGCACTCTTGCGAGGCGAAAGCCCGAAACACCGATCCACAAGGCCGACATTGGCGTACCCGTTGCGCATTGCGCATTTCCTGCCATGAGAATCTACATTCCTCGTGGCTTGCACTCGGTCCCCTTTTTCGCCCCTTGAGCACCTGATAAGGTTGGATGATCAGAGGATCGTTGGCCTTAAGATTACCCCGTTGAATCCCCACGTTCACGGCCGAGGTGCCTCAGCTTGCGCCTTGCTTGGCCATGCTCAAGATCCTCGATGACATTCCTTCTCGGGCATGCCGATCGAATCTTCTCCGGTTTAGGGCTTTGGTGATTGGCATGGCGTGGACCGAGGCCAACCGGCATCTCGTGAAGACGAAAAAGAACATCGACCTTCCACATCCATCATCGCCACCTACGAAATGTGAAAAAAAAAAAAAGGTCCCGTGCAGGAATACATTCTGACCCTGGCAAACTTTGAGTGTGGCGATAAGATGGAGGGAAAAAAGCAATCAAGGGGTTGACCCGCCAAATAGTATAAGCAAAATCAAAAAACGGGTAGACAAGGTATACGAAAGGTATACGGTGAAGACTCCCACGACCCCCTACACTCATACGACGAGCTCAGGGGGGCGATATTGTTTCTCATTCTACCACGCTTGCGAATCAGGATCCCAAGCTGCATGTTCGAGAAAGTCTATCAGACACTAGATCACTCGTCTGTTCGGGCACTACTAGTGCCGGGTACTAGAGGAGCTCAATCGGAGCACTTACAGATCTCTCTGAGGTGTCTAATTTCTGATCTATCTATCGGAATTTGAGAGTTCTATACTTCGTATTGAATGGTGGTATGGTACCCAACCTTAAGGAAATGAGTATGACTCGGGAGACCAGGAACGGGACGGGCTCGCGATAGCTGCGGATTCGACACCTGAATCACTTACGGCAGCGAGGGGAAAGCACTTGTCCGTACTCCGTTCACGCCGCGTCATGTCCATCCCTTGCTGTCACGAATTTCCCCGGGTACGATTTGCCATCTCTCGTAAACGTCTCGGGATTCGACCGTTTTCTTGCGGGGACTACGGAGTATTAACGGGGGTTTCTGTGTCGTGGGTTCTGGACCCGCTGACTTTCGCTCTCACCCCAAGTGCCGCCGCTGCACAGTAGCACTAGTTTCCTTTCGAGCATCTGTTTTCTACTCGAGAGAAGATCGTCGCTAACATAAGCGGCCTGGGGCAAGGGGACAAAAGTCCGGAGTAGCTCGGTCGCGGCTGCGTGGCTTGGCCTTTTATCCAACGCGACGGTGACTGGCTGAATTCCCAAATGTCATGGGCTGCGCGCGATGATATCATTTCCTGCTTTCGAAGGGGGGGGGGCTGACTCTCTTTTGTTCTTTTTTGTTTCGCTGTCGTGGTTACATATTATCATCATGCGGGTCATGCAGTGTGGCAAGACCAAGGAAACCTCGGAGAATAGATCCAGACCGCATCGCGAAAGAGAGCGTTTGATTCACCGAAAACCAGTATTTAGAGACCGGGGTTTGCGAATTAGAAGAGGGGAGAGAGGGGGGCCGCAGTTTCAGATCCCAACTCAAGGCTGTCTAACTTTATTCCCGCAAAGTGAAGTGGCCAAGTACCTAGGGAAAGCGGAAAGTGGAAATGGGAAAATCGCCGATAGATTACTAGGCGAAGTACGAGGAGAACGATACCCTGCTTGTATCCCCACGCACCACGGGCCAACGAGTTGTCGTCCGGGCTGGCCCCGGTGGGTCTCTGGGTCGCTGGGTCTCTGGGTTTGCTGAGTCGTAATGTGGGGTTTGCGATTGTTTTTCCAAGGCAATCGCAATTTCAATGCACTTAGGTTCCGTTGCCAACCTAACCTTTCCTTATCCTATCACCGCACTGCTAAAAATACACTGCCCCCCTACGCCCATAGCTGGTATAGCTGGTATAACTGGTATAACTGGTATTACACAGTTCCGACGGGGTACTCGCCGTACTCAACCTATCTTCTCTCTCTCTCTCTCTCTCTCCGGTCCCTTCCCCCTCTCTTTTCTTTACACCTGGTGGACGGGCGGGGGGCCGCTCTCGACCCTTCGGTTTCGCGACAATTCAACCAACTGTAATCCGTCACACATCGTCTCCGATCAACCAAAGTCGAAGCGACGTAAGTAGGAACCACCCAAAGTCTACCCCCGGTACCTGAGGTACACCACGAAAAACAATAATAATTAAACGAAATAAATTCCCAATTTAAAAATAAAATAAAATAAAATGCCCCAGTACGGTCCTATCCGCGCCGTTATTTCCCTTCCCAGAGCCCTCTTCGCTGCTCTCACGCTGGCTCAGTGAAAGGCTCATAGTATGACTTGAGCCCTTCCCCCCCCCCCGCCCCCCCCCTCTCTTTTATCGTCTATCATCTCCCCTTCCCCTCTTCCTTTCTTCTCTCCCGTATATTAATACTCTATTATGCCCCGGGCTCGCCTACGCATCCCGGCTGCTACTCATCCGGCCTGACCAGGACCATCCCGGGCTACTTATCTGCCCCGTCCCAGGACCTCTTTCCCTCTCCTTTTCCTTTTCTTATCTCCACGTCGCCTACCCGCGACCCGCTTCCCCCGCAACCGTGATTTATTCGTCCATACGCAGTCATGGCTCCCGGTAGTGGACGCGACTTCAACTGCTCTTGGGAACATTGTGGCAAGGTCGGTTTTTTGTTGGATCTTCACTTTCGCGCCCCCGTAAATCTAACGCCGCCCCAGTCCTTCAATCGCAAGTCAGATCTCTGCCGCCATTATCGCATCCACACCAACGAGCGACCATATCACTGCACCGTCAAGGATTGCAACAAGAGCTTCATCCAGCGCAGCGCCCTGACCGTGCATTCGCGGACTCACACTGGCGAAAAGCCCCATGTCTGTGACCATGACGGCTGCCAGAAAGCTTTCTCAGACGTAAGCTCATCTCTGCCCCGATGGTCGCGACCACCATTCACTAACTGCTGCAGTCCTCGAGTTTGGCTCGCCATCGTCGAATCCACACGGGCAAGCGACCATACATCTGCCAGGAGCCAACCTGCGAGCGAAGGTAAGCAAGCCGCTGATCGCGTCGGGTCCCCCAAAGCTCACTCTAGAGCCATCATAGTTTCTGTCGCAAGACCACCCTGACCAAGCACCAACATCGCTCGCATCCCCCGGGCTCGTTGACTCGACCATCGTCGGAAGACGCAGCCTCGGAGCACTCGTACCAGCACCCGACTCCCGCCACGGTGTCAATACCGAACGCGCACGAACAGTATCTCCTCGCGCAGCAGCCGTACTATCCGAATTCTGCGACGCCCAACCACGAGTTCTATTCGCCGCAGAGCGTCCCGATGGGTCAGGTTCCGGGCCAAGTACCCGTGCACGAATCTGCGCCCATCGTCACGCAGAACGTCCCCGTCACCTCCCCGATGAACATGACGCACGCGCAACACGCGCAACACCCCCAACACCCCCAACAACACCATCACCACCAGCCGGGGCATCCGCAGCAGCACCAACAGTACATGCAGATGATGCAGCCGCGCTACGATCCGAGTCCGCGCACCAACTACATGCCGCCCGAGTACCACCAACAGCCATTCCCGGGCCACCAGCTGCCGGAGGGACAGCCGATGATGGTGGGATACCATCCTAATTTCCAGTACAAACCCCCTGCCCGGATCTTGAATCAACCGGAGGGGACTGACTGGGGTTTTCTGGGCGTAGGTTAAGCGGGGATTCCGCATAGATTTTGGATGAATCGTTCTGGTTCGATTGATGCCCGTCACGACCTTTTATATTCCCCGATATCCCCCTCTTTTTATTCGATCGAGAACTCGAAATCCTCGCATATCGTCTTGTATTCTCCCGTGGTTTTCTTTTCCTCTCCGGCTTAATGGGCGCCTTCTTCCTGGATTCCCCGGTCATTATTGTTTTTGCTGTCTCATTTAAAAGGAGAGGGGGACGGCGTTTTATTTCTACACTTCATTTTCTTTTCCTATCTGACACAGGTTCGATCCATCCCCCGATACCTGGCATGAGATGTGTCACTCGGTTTTCTTTCCAAGGTGTCCTAAGGCCTAATGTCAACGAGATATGAAGAATCTCCTTAACACGAATGAATTTCGCATAACAAACACGCTCTTGATTTCAAACCTCTCCCGGTATCAAATCCTACATAACATCCAACGAACACCCGTGATTGGGCCCATCGATCCCAAATCCCAAGTCGGCTCCGTTTCACGATCAGCCCACAGTCGCGCTGACAGTAAGCAAAAAGAGCAAAAGCACGCCCAGATCGGTTATGGATACGAATGCATGGCGTGCATGACTCGTGCTTTGAATCGGCCCCATTCCCATACCCGACAAGAAGGGCTGGCCAAGCCATCGAAAAGTGGGCTACGCGCCCTAACAAACTTTAGTTCGCCTGTCATTCGCGCGCTCGTTACTCGTTTTCGCTTATGAACAAGGGGGGAGTATTTCCTTTTTGGTGTTTTCTTTTTTAATCTTTTTTATTTATTTTTTTCTCTTCTTAAAAAAAACCCCATCATTTTTGCCCTTGCGTCCGAACGGAGGAATTTACTGTGTTTGTCCCTTTTTCCGAGTTCACGATTACTCTTACGCTCCTTGGTGATATACCCGTCAAGGTTCGTCCTGGACTCGCCGTAGGATGTGTCTAACTGCGCTATAGGCGAGGGTGCAAGGTGACAGGGCTGTTGCTGTCATATGAACATTGTTACCAAGCCAAACGGGCCGGCCCACTAAGTAGCTCGGCGACAAAGAGGGAGATTAATAGCCGTGCGGACTTGACTTGCAAATCGCGATAAAATAAAATAAAATAAAATAAATATCCCCAGTGCTCTGGACTGGGTTTGCCACGCGAAAGATCATTGGGTCGATGGTGCAGGCATTATTATTTTTTTAATCTACTCCTGCGCACTTCTGGATGGTTTCCTTTTTTTTTTTTTTTCGTTTCGTGGCAATACTACTACACCACGCTGCATCGCAACCCTGTGAGACATTGCGCTATTTTCTCCTTAGGTTATGGACTTGCGGACGGAACGAGAAACAATCTACGGCCGGTCGAGCATGGACACGGTTTCCGTTCTCGCCAATTCTGCGACTGGACAGCCTGCAGATTAGACCTCGGATTTAGGGGTTTGCGTCGGATACGTGGGGAGAAGGTTTCCAACTCTTCCTCCGCTATTTATCTATCTCCTTTTCTAGGTATTATATCGAAAGGTCGATGAGCAAGCGGCTTGTTCTTTGCTGGAAATACTGATCGAGTTTAAAATTCCCGCCCTAATAAAAATACCGGCTTTGACGGGTGTTCAGTGAAACGTGGATGCGGAGTCTCCGGACTCTGGCGGGAGTAACCAGAGACCCAGAAAGCCAAAAAGTCAGAAAACCAGGACCCAGATCCAGGGTGGAAAAGGCTCAAATGCCTCGGCCTTTGGGGATAGGGAGGTGGAGACCGGGGGCTAGAAGCTAAACAGGGGTGTTGGGTGCTTGGTGTTGGGTGTTGGACTGGGGACATGAGGCAAAAACGGCTAACACGGCTCGGCCGAGGGTGCCCTAGCATGCCCGATGACGGCGACGTTCGTTGCCCTTCCGGCATCTACAGTACGTCTACGCGAAAGGACTGGACTACTGTAGGTTTTTGGCGATGATGTTCATTGAGGCTGAAGGCGGTTCCCCACATCCGCGTTTAAGGAGAGGCCTGAGCTGTTCACTCTTACGAGGATATACCCCGTTCTCCTGGTGGCTTGAAATCAAGTCACGCTGATAAGGAATACCGAACTGGGAGCATAAGTTGAACTCGGATGTTCGCTGGCCCGGCATAAAGTTATTAACTAGCACACCGCTTCGGCGTCATGCGCGCCGATGCTACAGACATGGTCATCTACATAAGTGCAGCGATTGTCCTTTCACCAATCAAGGTTTGATCCTATTCTAATAAAAATAATAAAACCGAATGTCCAGACGCATGCACGGGATAAATCGACTAGGAAATCGCGCTGCAAAACCTTACGTAGAAAAAGCAGACGCTACGAACCTGGAGCTATGCGGTGCAACGATCTACAGTCGCTATACAGTACACGATCTAGACCCCTCTGCAAGTCCCGACTCACGCAGCTCACTCACCGAGAGATGAAGAGGGGCTGGTTCTTCCAGGATCTTTTGCCAAACCAGAACCATTGAACGTGATCCTCGGCGCATGCCGGCCCTGCAAAATGACATGCTGAGCAGCCGATAAGCGAGACTGGGATCCCACGTCCCATCAATGTGGATTTAGATTGGCTTTGGTTTGGTTTCATGTCAACGCGGTCCAGATGTCTCTAGCGCATTCGTTGCATCGCCACGTCAAACCCCGAATACAACTTTGCCTCCGCAGAATCAAGAAAACACGACGGTAGAAAGCCAAAGTCCACTAATAGTTCGCCGGGCGATCGCTTGGCAGGAAAACAAATCCGTGCAAGACACCACTCACAACCCATCCGCTGCAGGCGAACGGACAGGATCATCGCCGTTACTGCATTAGCGATCCCCGTCGCCTACGGGTGGGGTTCCTGCGCCGACTCCGACATTAATCCTGTACATGAATCCAGGAGAATCATCCCGTGCGGCCCCTTTCGCGATCTCGGGCGATCGAGAATCTCTTCTCCACCGAGGGAAATTTTAGGGCCCCCCACTGCCAAGCCGTCGTTAACGCTGAGTTGGCCAAGGGGGAAAGCATTGCGAATCAGGATATATCGGATCGAAGGCGAATCATCTTCGGCCTGCTCCGTTTTCTAGCTGCATGTTGCCGCCGCGCTGGGTTGGTGGCTGTCGTCATTGTGCTGGGGAGATGAAACACTGCCTGGGAAAGTATATCCAGCATGTTATAAGAGGTAGGGTGCTCGGCGGTACTCTAGGGGACCCCAATTGCTTGAATTCTATGGGGAAAAGGGAACCGCGTGCGCGCAGAATAGCCAGGCCAATGTACGGAAATTCGTTTAAGCGAGAAATATGCGGAGATAGTTCCCATCGGGAAAGCGCGAGCGGGTGAGTGGTAGTCAGCTCAGAAATGGGGGGCCACCGTCGAGCAGGGATGTCCCCTGCTCGTTGGCCCGTAAGTCAGCGATGAAACATGAACCCGAGCAGAACAATGACCACGGCCACGTCGTATCCGACACTAGTGTGCATCCAGTCCAGGCGCCAAACTCGGTCGCTTGTCGTTGGCGCGCTGTGGGGCGGTGGAGAACGAGGCTGTCTGAAATTCATGGATTCCGTTCCTCGATGAATGGACATAAGTTACCTATCACGGTAGTCGGTGATTACTGAGCTAATGAGCAGGCTCAATCTAATAGAGCCCGGAGAGTACCAAGGACACGGCGTCACACGACTGATTCAATGAAATGAATGGTACCGATGTGCAGCACGCATGGCGCTAGCCGTGAAAGCTCCGATTCCCGACCAGATGAGTAGTTTATGCAGTAAGGGGAACACAGGGGGGGGAGAGGGGACGCAGCGATCTGTCAAATGATCGTCGGAGGGCCACGCTAGAGGAAGATGAAGGAAGCTGGCGAAGCTCGGAGAGGACAGCCTCCAATCCCAAGCTGCTGATTCCTAAGTGAAGGAGCTTGGGCCTCGGGACGTTGGAGAGCTCTTTGGGGAGGGGGAAGGAGGGGAAACGGAGTGGTGGGTGCGTTTCTCCGTGGATGGAATCTCTCAGACTGTCACTGGTGCAATATCCGAGTAATACGATGCGGAATACGGTCTTGTTCCGAAGCGGATCCACTTTCCACAATGGGGAGGCCCACGCTTGGGTCCAGGTACCTGGAACGATGGGATATCTGTACGGACTTGTATTGGACGTCTGGCCATGCCATTGTCCCTGAACCAGGCCAGCGCCGGTCCCGGGGGATCCGTAATGTAACGGTATCCGATAGGCGGGTCAGGCCCGATATATGGGTCCCCCAACTGGATACTCGGGACTCGCTTCGACGTCCGATCTGGTTCAGGTTTCTCTGGACAAAACCCTGGATCCCACAACGGTAACGGGCAAGGATTGCATTCTCCCGATCAGGAATGGCGAGTGGAAACAGATTGATTGGATGTCGAACAGGGACAAAAGCAGTGGATGCTGGGTCTCACAAATAGGCTCCAGTACGACATGACACCTCTTCACGGCGATCCACGCAAAAAACAATTTGCTTCTTCGAGGTTAGGTTGATCTGTCCAGGGGCGCACATACCAGGTCGAGGTCGACAGAAGAAACAAGCTTTGTGGGATGGGGCCAGGGGGGGGGGGGGGTCTGCCGCCAGGTCGAATTCGCTGGATTTCGAGCCTGAAATCCGTGACTGGAAAAGCATGACGGGTACGCTCGGATTACGGAACATATCGTTGCCGCATGGGGCAGGACAGGTGCCCTTCTTCTAAATTAAATACGAGCGATCGTCCGTGATTGGAGCCGACGCGAGCCTCGCGGCCACAAGTGTGCATCACGGCTCAGACCGAACCCAAACTCTCGCGGTAAACTTTCTTGGACAGTTCCAGTTGCAGTGTGTCTTTGAGGGCGAGAAGATGACGTGGACGTATGATGTACCCGTTGAGGCTCTCCTGGGTATTTAGCCCCCAACCTCACATGGCAGGAGGACTAAGGGATAGTGGTGCCAATAAAATGGATTAAATAGTGGCACCGTTATAGACGATAGCGTGGCATCCACTCGGCCCCGATCTCGACGAGCGAGATCGTCGTGGAAATGGAGGCAGTGTATCGATCATCAGGGGACAGTCACCCAGCAGCTCGCCATGCGCATATAGGTTCTTTTGCCGGAAAAATTACCATCGAGAAATCCAGAGATCGAGAAAGCGAGTGGGCCAGCTGACGGGGAGGGCTGTCAGATCGGGCCGCCGGCTAACTCATTAACCTGACTGGGGCATCCTTGGAGTTAATGAAGGTAGCAATGGACGGGTGGGACCATTCTCGACCTACGGAAAGGTATAGTACAGTACTAGCAGTGGTATTCAACCATCACTGGCGCCCCGCATAATACTAACCCGTATCTAGCAAATCTAGACGACTTTTGCTGAGACGGGAAATCGATGCCCACGGCGTTGCCCGCCTGAGTTAGTTGCAAATCATCCGGTGCACGCTCACTGGTCTGGCGAGTGGAATTAGTCCGTTATGCGTGTACTGGGGGTATTGTATTTTCAGTGATGAAACCGCGTATTGGCACCGGTTTGAGCCGTTCAGTTCGTATAGAGCTGTAGATTGTTGGCCAGTATGTCTCGTGCCGGCGGTGGCGATCTCCGTGGAAAGCGAAGGGTTACATTTTGTACAGCGGCATAGGCGGAGGCGGCAAAGGAAGGTGTAAGGAAAGGCGAGGAGGGAAGGGGGAATGAAAAGAAGAAAGAAGAGAAATCCGAAGAGCGAGCCCGGTCATGGGCGCATTAGGTCATGCATAGAGATACACTTGGCTATCGATGGTAGGTATACTGGCTTTTTCTAGGACTTCCATTAACTCGACATTGAATCTCTTTCCAACCCCATCTCGACCTTCTGTTATCCAAATCTGTTGTATTAAATCAATATTTGCCTGTTCTCACAAGTCCTACACGCGACATTACCGTAGTCCAAAGACCCCCTTCTTCTCTTGATATCGTTGATATCGAAACAGTTTCTTCAAGGCAGGTCCATCGAGACCCCCTCCAAGAGAATCAAAATAACATTACACCGACCTTCAATAAAGATGCCGGCTATTGAAGATTCAAAACCGAACTCATCGTTCCGAGTTGATGGTTCGGTTTACGCCAGCTGAAGAATTGCCGTCAACCTCCAAAATGCTACATTTGCTTACATCTTCTGAAAGCACAACCCGACGTGCTAAATAGAATCCATTGTATACGATTCGCTTCGTTCTGACAAACCGGCTGGACTTGTAAATACAAGCGGCAAGGGCACATCAAATGCCAATCTAATCATCCTGAATCGCAACCTCATCCTCCCACTTCTTGGTCCCCGCCTCACGCGCCCGCTTAATCACACGCTCAATACCATCCAGTCCCCTCTTCAGCACGTCCATCTTAGGACCATAGCTCAGACGCACAAAGTGGTGGCAAGGACTATCGAACAGATCACGGCGCTTGGCCGGGTTCAAATCGAAGAAGATACCGGGCACAACGATGACCTTCTCGGTCAGAAGGGCGCTGAAGAAGTTCAATCCGTCGGAGATGTTGGCCTCCTTGGGAAGCGGCGGGTCGATCGAGGTCAGGTCAAGCCAAATATAGAAGGTGGCCTCGGGAACGTCCTGTACGCGGAACCCGATGTCGTAAAGGCGCTTGAGGACGTAGTCGCGCTTCTCGCAGAAGTGTGACTGCAGGGCCTTCATTTCTGTGCGCACCAGCGATGGCTCCAGCATCGGGATGGCTGCCTCTTGGAAGGGCACGTTGGCGCCGCCGTCTAGGTATGAGCCGGCGGAGCCCAAGGCGTCTATGAACTCCTTGGGTCCGACAACCCATGCGATACGCCAGCCGGGAAGGCGGAAGCGCTTGGTCAGACCGTCAATCAGCAGCACGTCTACAGAGCAAGTTAGCGGGTTGGGTCATGTGCATCGGAGCTTTGGGGAAACGGACCATCCTTGTTGACATCGACGACATGCTCGGCACCACTGATGGTGCTGCCGTCACAGTTCGTGGTATAGTTGTAGCCGCCATAGAACTCATCCAGAATGAGGGTGGCGCGGTCACGGCAGATGTCCTGGATCTCAGCCAGCTCCTCGTGCGACACGAAGTGACCGGTGGGGTTACGAGGGTTCGAGGTCAGCAGCACCTGAGTACCACGAGCAATCTCCTCGGCAATCTTGTTGGGGTGAATATGGTAGTGGTCTTCTTGAGACAGAGGAATGGGGATAGGAGCAATCTATGATCCATTGTCAGCATTCTCAATTCCATACAAGCTCCGAAAAAGCAAAAGAACGTACGTTCTTGAACAGACTCAGCATTTCCGAGTACGCAGAGTAGTCGGGAATAGGGAAAGACAGGTAAGAGTTGCCCAGAATAGCAGCAATCCGAATCAATCCAGCGCGGCCACCAGGCACAATGCAGACATTCTCCCAGGTGTACTGGCTCTCCTTTCCTTGACGGTAGTGCTCATTGTACAGACGTGCCACGGCCGCACGCAACGGCTTGATACCGGCGGTCGGTCCGTATTCTCGGGCAGCAGAGCTGATGGGGATCGAAGTCGGGCGCGGGAAGCTTCCCTCGATCTCGTCGTCGGCCTCGGGGGCACCCTGGCCTAGGTTGGCCCAGCTGGAGGGGTCCTCGATGTAGCCATGCTTGGAAGCTTGCTCTGTGCACCAGACGACCCCGGTGGAAGAGCGGGACGCGTCGAGACCGGCGTGGGGACGGTGGCCCTCATGGGCGTCGCGGAACTGGCGATGGGTTTCGGACTGTAGCTCTGGAAGATCGGACCGTTAGTCCAATATTTCTTACGGGGAGCCGAAAGCCAAGATACCGTTGTCAGACAGCCCCTTGCTTTGTGAGAAGCGGCGGTTGTTGGAGGGGCGCAAAATGCTCAAGCGGCGGCCGGAGAACGACATTCTTGGCTTTCTCGATGTGGCTGGTGTGGCTCAAATCAAGACTTTGATATACAGGATGATGGGCTTCCCAGGGGCGCAGGATGTGGTTTTTAAAGAGGAGAAAGGAGGTGCACTATAAAAAGAATTGATGAGGTGGCCCTGTTCCCTGAAGTTGAATGCCGGGCCACGATTCGGTGAGAGCACCGACTGTTCTGCGCCGAAATTCCCCTTCTAAAGGGATAACGCGTCATGCGTCAGAATTCAATTAAAATGCCGCAATTTCGCAGCTTGGGCCTTATGATGGCTTTTCACCAGGTAGCTTTACCCCTATACTTCAGCCCTGCCAAGCTTAGCAATGGCCGATACAGCCGAAAGACGGCATCCCGATCCGTTATCACTGGAAGACAGGAATAGGGATAACTACGGTAACAATAATAGATGTCAAAAATGTATTTCGAGTCGAGTCCGCTCGCATGCAGGCCACCAATACGCAATCCAAAGACAACAAGTATGCATACATCAGTAAGGTGCGTTATACGTTCGTGGACATTCAACGAAGATGGAGATCAATAGCAGTCATCATTCGATCCTGCCCCGGGTTTCCGAAGGAACGGGACATGAAAAGGGTCTTGCAAATCAAAAGACCTGTCGTCTCTCGACATCAAGCCACGATCATCTCATTATGCAGTTGGAATGCCCTCGCTCAAGACGCCACAGTCCTAGCACATGAAGACCACTATGAAAGTGGCGTGATAGAAGGACAAATGATGATAAGAAAGGGTATGACAATGGCGGCGCAGCTCTCCAGAAATGACCGATCAACAGAATCAAGCCAATCCAGTTGGGAAGGGGGTTGAAGAAAGGGGAACAAGCGCTAGAGCGATGCAAAAGGGAGAGCGGGACAATCCTCAACCGAGGCTCCCAGCGAGAGAGGGTAAATAGGTACAAGTTCGCAGAGAAGAAAAGCGGACACGATGGAAGGGGAAGGTGGTCCATCTAATCTACCACCTGGCAGTACAGCTGGATCTCACCCACCAAACCCTTGGCGAGCATGTCACGGTGCTGCTCACGCCATTCCATGAATGCGAGCTGTACGGCCTCATCGCTATCAATGGTGACGAAATCACCATCTTCGTCCCGGTACCGCAGGCGGACGGTCTTGTTGCCAATAGATCGATTTGTAAACCGAGCCAACTTGGCATCCACGCGGTCCGTTAACGAACGGAAGAGAATGTTGGTTGCAATCACCAGTGTAACGTAGTTGTCATCGAAGTTCACCTTCGCTTTTAACTGAGTTGGCATGTACGGGTCGACTCCTTCTTCCTGGGTCAAGGGAGACGTGGCGTGATCTGAGAGTCGCCCCGAGCCGCGAGAGTCGTTGTACTCCGGCTCGGTGAATTGCGTCGTGTGGACATGGGGCGGCTGTGTGCGAATGGGAAGTTGACTTGTGGGAGAATTATTCTGGCTCCGGTTGACCGGTGCCTTCATGTTAGCCATATGCGCTGGAATCGGAGGCACCGGGACGTTATCCACAGTTTGCATGGTGTGCACTCCCATATACCGGCGTGTCTCGGGCGGTCCATTAATGTTGTTATGAATATCAGGGCTACTGGCCGAACGCATGCGCTGGGCAGACCCATTGGTAGGAGGAGGTCCCTGTGACCCAGACATGGGAGGCAAAGAGGGACGCTGAGCGCCTCGTCCGTTGGGCTGGGAAGGGTAGTATCCTGTCGGAGTTGAGCCATCTCTAGAGGTACCACGAGACAAGGCAGGGGCAGTATAGCGATTAGACTCCTCATTCCAAACGGATGAAGCACCTGTCGAGTTGGTATTTTGGCGTCCGAAGGAGAACCCGGATTGGGAACTGGATCGGGTGGATGGAGTTTCCGTAGGCGAGAAATATGAGTTCATGTTCTGCCGGTCACCGGGTGACATGCTGCCAGGGAACTGGGTATGCACAGAGAGCGCAGGATCACCTCCTGTGTAGCGAGCTCGGCCATTAGAGTGGGGAACGGAGTTGGTACTACCTCCGGTGGCGGACCGAGTTCTTAGGCTGGTGCTGGATGCATTCCGACTCATTGTGAATTCAGAGTGGTATTGCCCATCTCGGCCGACATCATCTTGATCATACTCTTGCTGATAAGGATTGGGCATGTGGGCCATGCCCTCCATGTAGGTGAATTCGCTGTCAGAGGTACCAGTATTCCGTAGAGTACGCCGTTCTGATTGGATTGTCCGTTGAGTGTCAATCTCTTTGTACCAACTCTTCATCGTGTCCTCGTTAGAGTACCGGATGATGAAATTGTCGACGACGCCCGGATCACCTTTCCAGAATATTTGGATACGATAGAGGCCAGGCTTCTGAAGGCAGACGATATCCGTGACATTAGCCATGTAGATTCGACCCTTCAATTGAAGACGAGGCTTTCCTTTCCCTGTGAGGCCCGGCTTGTCTTTAGCCATCATGAGCTTAGTTTTCTGCTTGTTCGGGTTGATGTCTTTGCAGCAGAGGAGAATGCGCTCGAACAAAAAGATGTGATACTGGGAATCACGTCAGCGAATTCCATTTTGTGCCAGAACTAAATTGGATGTCACCAAGCTCATACCTCTCTTTCGCTGTCCTTGCCACTGTCTCCCTTGACTACGGCGAATGTGCCAAAACGAAGCAGATCTCCAAAGGCGTCCATTTTCAGCGACTTCCAGTCATCTACTCTTTCTGATAGATCCACCACTGCCGCAGCCAAGTGCTCTTTGTGAATTGCCTCGTTTGCGAAGTCTAGCACATTCTGAATGGTATCGATGGCATGCGTGATGTCGGCTTGAAGTTGCTCATCTTCCAATTGCTTGCGAAGCTCCTATAAGCAGAACAGCACATTAGCTTCGATTGCGAAAGAAATGCGACACGATTCAACTTACCGACAACATGAGGGGGTACCGAGTCAAACGCTGGAATGGCTTGACAAAGAACCCGTTGAGCGTTTTTGGTTGCGCAACCATTTGTTGAAGGTCTATATGGCGCGGTGCCACCTTGATTTTGTCCCACTCTTTGAGGCAGACTTCGTCACAGCGCATCTGATTTGCGATGAACGGCTCATACTGTCGGAAGGCTTCCTCGTGTGAGGAGAAGAGATTGCCCCAGTTCTGCATGTCCTCTGGCAAAGCGTAGTGTTGCTCCATCCGAATCAAGAATCGCTGCGCAAAGTCCAGGAGATTGTTGAGATTTAGGAAAATCTGATGACTCGCATCGCCGGTGAGTGCGCCTGTTTCCTCCAACTCCTTTTTCAATGCCTGCAGATTCTGGAGATGATGGACGTAATCACGCTCCGTTTCCAAAAGCTCCTTGAGAATGTGCTCCCGCTTGGTAAGCTTGACAGTTGCTTGTACACCGGTCGGCGCGTTCGCCACTTCCGACGGACGCTTCAGCTGACCTTGCATCTCGAGTATATCTACCACACGATTCACCATTTTGATCACCTTGATGAAACCTGTCGTGCTCTCGCCGTACAGGTCGGTGATCAAGAAACAGTCTTGTTGAGGGAATGCCAGGTCCTGCAGACATGCCTGCAAAAACTTGAAGGTTGCCGCTTTAGGTCGTTTCGCTTCAGGGACTTTAACGGGGTCGACAATAAGCTCCTCATCTGGACCTGAAGCATTATAGATGCTGAGTAGCGGGTACCCAGCTCGGAGACAGTTCCACAAAGACGACACAGGGTCCGTGTTACCCCGTTCACGATCCTCATCGGCCATCTCCTGCAGAAAAGGCTCAAAACTGGGGACTTCCGAGAGCCGCCTCTTTAGGTTGACACAGCTCTGATAAATCGATTCTCCACCACGCCGGTTGATAATATTATCCTCCGCGATCGGAATGCCGCTCATTGCTGCGGAGTCGATCATCTTCGGGTACCTCGACCGAGTAAATGAGTCAGACCAGCCAGGCTCAGTTCAAATCTGCACAGCAGACTCGAAATATATAGTGATCGAAGGGAGCGACAAGCGTCGAGCGGACGGAATGCCGATCATGGATTGATTGCCTGCGATTCGGATAATCGGCCGGAGGTGGGCTGCGCGGAGCAGGAACAAGTTCGGTCGAATTTCGAGAACTAAGGTGTAATGTGCCACCACTTGTCTGATCGCAATGAATGGTGATGTGGTGTATATACAGGGAGTATTCCCCGCGGAAGAACCACGACCAGAGGATATATATGAACAGAAAGAAGATCAAAAACGCGCCGCCACTTTCTGCGGAGGGGAATGGAGGACAGTTGAAATATATTCCGACGCCGGCAGGGGACAGGACCCAATCGATAGGTCGTGGGTGTTCGTTCGGAGACGACGCTGCGGCCGGGCAAGCGTGTGAAATGACAAGAAGAAAGAGAGGTTGAAACCCCTAGGCTATGAAGTTCGAGGGGGAGCCCGGTCACTAGGACTCTCGACAGACTCGGGGCAGGAAGGAAAAATCAACTTCCAAGGCGAGCTGGACGACCCGAAGGGAGCAAAGGGTGAGAGGGTTGTGAGGACGGGAGATGGGATGAGATGGCGGGATAGGGAGAAAGGAGAGGGTGAGCGGAAGGAGGGCTGTTCAGTTGCCCGGTTGGGTTTAGCGCGTGTTCCATCGGGCGGTGGGATGTGGAGAGGGGCACGAGTCCACTCTACCTGAGACGAGATCTATACCCTGAATCTGTCTGCATACCTACTTGAGTGTGGTAGCTACGTAGCTAGGTAGCTAGTTAGCTACCGTGGCTGTTCTTGCGCTACCTATCTACGTGGTGGACAGGGTCTCTTACTTGCTACTGGGGCCAGCCCTCGAGCTCTGCCCATCGCATGTTCGAAATTATCTCCTAGCTGATGGCCCTAGAATTGTAGACCAATTCCGTGTCTGTTTCAGAGAAAAGTGTCGAAAGGTGTCATGGGAAATGCCTCTCTACCTGTCTTTTTTCAAACATCTCGTATACATAATACCAGGGCCGAATCCATACCCAGGAAAATTACAGCTAAGAAAAAGGGTAGTCGTCTCCGAGAAATGCAATATACTTCCAAGGTTACACCTTGCCTTCACCCCAAACATTCTCTCTTCCATCGCCTCGCCTTCGTTGTTATTCTGCATACTTCGCCTTCTCTCCCGCCAACCACGTGACCCGCAGCCATCGGCCATTCCAGTGCCTACATTGCTCTCTCTCAGGCGGCATGTTTTTTGTTATTTTTCATCTCGGTTGATCTTCTCAAAATCTCTCGTCGTTCTCCTCGTCTTATCCTCGACCTATCGCATCTGATGTGTTGAACCATCTGCCTTCCGACCTATCACTTCCTGGCGGATCCCGCCGCTAAACGTGACGTGACATGCAGCACCGACCCCGAACCCCCATCCTCCATTCAACGCCTTTCCTTCAGCGCAAGAGGGTGTGATCCTCTTTGAAGCTTTAAGAAGGGCTCGATAGCGCGCGCGCAGCTAGCGCCTTCGAGTGGTCTTTGTGGGTGTGTTGCAAAGTCATCGCACCTGGGTCGGTCTTGCCCCCCGACTCATCCGTCATCGGCGCGCTCATCCTATCGCAGCCTCCCCCCATTCGCACAACAGCATCGATGGAGGGAGAGCCAGCCCCGGATTCTCCATCTCGCCCGAATTTGCGGCTGCAGGCGGCCAGCTTTACGGCGTTCGCTGCGCCGTCTCTCTCCCCGTCCTTCAAGTTGGATGAGGGCTATTCGGACGAGACGCGAAGCCAGTCGGAAAAGGATATCATTTCAGACAATGTCATGATGCTTCCAGAATGGGTCCTCGCCCAGAGCGAGGCCGATCGAGCTGGTAAGAGCCCCTCACTGCGTCTTGCATTGCATGTTCCGAAGCCCGCCCAACCTCCCCTGCTTTCTCCGCCCGCTAACGCCCCCTCCAACTTTAGAACTCGCGTATAGTCTCCTGCGATCTCTTTCCACCTCCACCCTCTCTGCAGTGGTTGACCGTCTTAATCCACTTCTTCATATGGACCCCGTTGTCAAGCTGCCCCCGGAACTTACCTTCGAGATCTTCTCTTACCTTGATCCCAAAACTCTCTTAACCGCGTCGCTCGCATCTCGTTCATGGCGATGCCGAATTCTCGACTCTGGTCTATGGAGGGTGCTGTACATCAACGAGGGATGGCGAGTGGATACGCGCGCGGTCCGCAGCTTCGAGCAAGAGCATGCCGAAGCACTGTCACCCCAAACCCGCAGGGCACGCCCTCAATATTCAGAACCGGACCTGGGGGAGCCCAAACATAAGAAGCGCGTCCCTCCTACATGGCTGAATTCGCGTGGTGCTGAGGGACAAGGACCGGCCGAGACCAACGGCCAGGCGTCTACTGAAGCGGATGATGAAGGTGATCACCACATGGCCGATGCAGCCGATCGAGCAGGGTCATTATCGGGAGATGCTATGGGATATGTGGCTCCTGCCTCTATCCTGCCGCTTCCCTCGATGCTTCAGCCGCCTCTCCAGTCCTCATTGCTTACGCGCTCCCCGAATGGGACCGTCAAAGTAAACTGGGTCCATCTTTACAAGCAACGCCGGAGACTGGAAGCAAATTGGCATCATGGCCGGTTCAAAAACTTCCAACTACCGCACCCGTCTCATATGGATGAAGCACACAAGGAGTGTGTCTATGCAATCGAATTCCAAGGGAAATGGCTTGTCAGCGGAAGCCGGGATAGAACCGTGCGAGTTTGGGATTTAGAGACGAAGCGACTGTGGCATCGCCCGTTGATCGGCCATGCAAAATCAGTGCTGTGTCTTCAGTTTGACCCGAGTCCTGAAGAGGATGTCATTATATCTGGCAGCAGTGATAAGAGCGTGATCTTCTGGAAGTTCTCAACCGGGAAAAAGATCCATCAGATCGCCAACGCACATGCAGACTCTGTCCTCAATCTCAAATTCGACCATCGGTACTTGGTCACTTGCTCCAAAGACCGCACAGTCAAAGTTTGGAATCGCCGGGCACTCTCTGCCATGGATGAGAATTATCCGCGCATCTGTAGAGGTGGCGGGGCCACATATCCCTCATACGTCGTCGACCTGACGGATATGGCGCCCAACATCCTTGAAGCAGGTATTGCAAATGGACATATCAAATCCCTGCGACCATACTCTCTTCTCATGACCGTGGAAGGGCATGGAGCTGCAGTCAATGCAATGCAACTCCATGGCGATGAAATTGTGACTGCTTCTGGTGATCGCATGATCAAGGTCTGGAACATTCGCAACGGTGCTTGTTTAAAGACGTTAATGGGCCACGAAAAGGGCATTGCCTGTGTCCAATTTGACAGCCGCCGGATTATTAGCGGCAGCAACGACAACACAGTGCGCATCTACGATCACGTATCTGGTGCAGAAGTGGCCTGCCTACGAGGACACAATAACCTTGTGCGCACTGTTCAAGCAGGATTTGGCGATCCACCGGGTGCCGACGAGGCTCTCCGACTCGAGGCGCAGGAGGTCGAGAGTGAGTTCTTCAAAGCACAGGCAGCCGGCGTCCCCGTTGATCTCGGACCAAGAGCTCTACGACGCGCTGGCCACTACTCAAATACTGCTGGCTCTCGCGACCCTCGCGATATTCCCGCTCTCGGTGCAAAGATTCCTCCAGGCGGTGGTGGCAGTGCATGGGGCCGCATTGTATCTGGCTCATACGATGAGTCTATTCTGATCTGGCACAAGGATCGTGATGGTGCATGGTCAATTGGTCACAGGTTACGCCAAGCCGATGCCGTGGCCAACGCTGCCCGCGGCAATCTCAGCGAGGCGGCACGAGCTGCAGTCTCGGCACAAGCACAGCAATTGCAAGCTGCGCAGGTCCTGATGACATTGCCTGCTCAGGATGCCTCGGCACAGACCGGCGAGGTAACAACAGACCCAGAAACCGGCAGCGAATCTCCCCCTGCCACCAATACCAACAATGCTGCTACTCCTCCGCCAGCCGAGGGGGTCGCCAACCAACCTACCGCAACCCCGGCCGTCGACGCACCTCCACCCCCTCCACCCGTCGCGTTAATCAACCAACACCTCAACCAATTGGCCGCTGGCCATCATCATCATCATCACCTCCATGCACACCCCCGCCGACAGCTTGCGCCTGCCCCAACTTCACGAGTCTTCAAAGTCCAATTCGACTCTCGCAAAATCATCTGCGCGAGCGTGGATCCACGTATCGTCGGATGGGATTTTGCATGCGACGAGGAGGAAATTACGGAAGCATGTCCGTTCTTCCAGGGTCTATGATATGATCTTTTTTCATCCCACTCTTTCCAATACATACCTTATCTCCCAACCTCTCTTTCTATAATCCACCCCGGGTGTATGTCGTCTACGCCGTGCACAAGTCTTGACGCTTCCTGACGAACATATGGCACCCATGACAGGCTATCTTGCATACGACGCTAATCATGTCTCTTTCTTTTTGGCGTTACGTTGCATACATCCCGAGGACCCCTTTCTGGCTCTTATCCTAATCATCACGTCCACGCCTCTGGTTTTCCTTTCTCCGCCCTCGTTCGGAGGTCTATGTATCCCAATATCTTTTATTTGCTGGCCTTTCAGCTATCGCTTTTCTTCCCTGCCTTTTTTTGAGGACCTTGCATGGCGAGTCTGCTGGCGATTGTTTTCTGCCTTCTGAATGACATGGCATAGCGTCTGGACGAATATCACGGGCTCCGAAGTTCTACATATATCCATATCCTTCTTGTAGTGGACCTAAACACCTTGTTTTCTTCATTAATCTCTCAGGCATTTTTTATGAGGCCCTTCTTGAAGGCAATTTTTTATTAGTATGAAGCACTTAAGCTCATTTGGGCATGTTTTCCCCCTGTTGGCCCCTCGACGGGACGGACCACTTACGGTATCTATCCCCTTGCTCACCCTGCACAGACTGCGTAATGAAGCGGTGATCATTTGGACCTTTGGAATCTTGGAATGGAGCGGATGCCATTTCTGGACTAATATATACTGAAAGACTAAATCCGCCGTCAACACAGAGACGGATCAACAAAGTCTCAAGGCAGTCGCAAGATCCAGGTATTCTGGAAGTAATAATAAGTAGACGAATGTCAAGCAAGCCACAGGAACCATACAAGGATATCATAGCACCAATGGAAGGATACGGGCACATAATCAACGAGCAGATTGACCGGAGAGTAGAGCACCAGGACACACGAGACTGGACCAGCACGAAATCCAAGACGACCCCCACTTCCTGCGATGCTGATCTTCGCGAGCAGTCAAATATGTCTCACCGGTCGTAACGACCTCGAGAGGCTCCATACTGTGGCGGTTCTTGGAAATGCGACGTCCCGAGCAGCAGAGACAGAATTGAGCGGGTAACCAGGAGAGAAGATCAAAATTCGAGTACCCTGTTTCGGGGAGCTCTTCATCTGCGAGGTCCCCTGGGATAGCTTGGGTATGAACTGATTGTAATGGAGAAGTAGGCGAGATCTGATTTCCTATCACCCCCACGTCATGAACAGATGATTCCACCGTAGATGGAGCAGATGTGGACCCATTTTGAGTAGGCGCATTCCGCTGGAGACTGAACAGTGTAATGGCCCTGCCTTGCTTCCGTGGACGTGGTGGAATAGCAGATCCAGAAGTGGAATCTGAAAATGGCCACAGACGGCCAATTGAAGGAGGCGTATATATCCGAATACGCCTCCTAGAAGGATACACGGGACTCTTGGTACTTGTCCCCTCAGTTCCCATCACTTGTCTCAATTGCTCGGTCTCATTCTCAGCGATGGGAAGATTGCTCTGGTGAAATGGGTGATCGTTTAGCTGCCGAGCTAGATTTATTCCGTGGCCACTTTGTCGATATGGAAACCGACCTTGGACAATAGTCCCATCTTCTGCTCGTCCAATTCCAGCAACAGACAGACCACCCGGTGCGGTTTCATTTGATGGTGACAGGTTAAAGAACCGCAGAAGCGCATCGCCATATGACTGTGTATGTTGGCTGACGCCGCACATATGGCGTCCGCCGTTTTGTCCGACCAGGAATTGCGCAGAGTAGTACATAGCCTCTGGAGTATTGAACGACGGAAGTCCTGGGGGCGTAGGCTGTCTCTCCGGTGGTGGATATTGAGGCCGAAAAGTCGAAACAGCAGAACCCAGATTCTCAGGCCACCGGGGAACATGCTGATTTCCTCCTACTGTATCGAGGGAAATGGCCTTTCGATGCAGGTTCCAAGCAGCGTCTGCTGTCAAAATTGTTTCGGTAAAGGGGCCGGCGCCCAGGTGCGGCGTGTAGTGCGAGGACTGGTCAGATAGCATCTGGTTACGCCACCAGACAGTGTCCACTCGACGTCTCTCCTTTCCGGCAGAATAGCGTTCGGCTGATGGGTGGTCATCGTTGGAGGAAGTTGATGGAATGAACATGGCGATGTTGGCTGCTAGTCCTTCTTCCATGACGGGACCCATATTGTAGGCGGTTCCAGACACTGGGGTGCTTCCTTCTGGACTGGTGACTTTGATGGCATTAAATATGGACTCAGAGGAGCCTGGAAGGTCAGTAGATGGGGACAGAGAGGAAGAGTCGCAGGTGTAGTTGCGGCGCTTGAGGCTTTCTGGATCAAGAAAAGGACCTAGACGAGGAGGGCGATATTGCTGGGCGTAGTGTGCCCGACGGTCATTGTCGACAGGCATGGCGAGGGGGAAATAGTGTCAAGGAATGGAACAGAGCTATGCAGGTACTTGGATGAGTACAGAACGAAGCCGGGAGGCCAAAATGAGGGCAACATCATCATCGCGCTTGCCGTGCGCTCATACAATTATTATACAACGAAAGGTTAGCCGAGTTTATATGTACAGTCTTCCCAACAATGCAGTCACATCCAAAACAGAGTCATCATGATAAGGGAGTGCCCACGGGACTGGGCATAGGTTTGCCCGTCACTTGGGCATGCTCCTTTCTTAGGGCTCGCAACAAGCCTTCAATCTTCCGACGTTCTTCTTGCTCCGCCTGTGCCAGTAATATTAGTCCTGTGGTTTTGCATTCGCTTGACGGGATAGACACTTACTTTCAGGATCTTCATGTTCTCATTGCGAGTGTCGCGCATCATCTTCTTGAACTCGTTCTTGAGTACCATGGTAGAGGTAGTCTCGGAAGTAGGATCGCGGCCCATGGATGTCGGGCTGTTCAAGTTCATCCAATTGATACGCTCTTCGCTCAGCTGGGTCTCCAAATGCTCGCAGCGGTCTCTCATGGTGTCGATGACACCTTCGAACCGCTCACGCTCCTTCTCAAACTCAATGCTGGCCTTGGTCATGGCCTCATAGTCGTCAAGGGTTTCCCTTAGTTCCTTCTCGAGAGTGTCGGCGCGCTGCTGGAGATCACCACCACCTCGCTGGCTCCTGAGCCCGGCAAGTTCCTCGGCCAGCTCGATGTTACGCGTGTTCAGAGCATCGATCTCCTTCTGGATCTCGGGGTTGCCAGCCACCTCGGCCGCACGCTGGGCTCGGGTTCCGTAGGCGCCATCAAGCTCCGCCTTGACCATGGTGAGTTCGGTCGTGATGCGCACGACTTCGCCCTCAAGTTCAGTCATCTCGTTCTGCAGGCGGGTGGCATTCTCCTCGGCCAGTGCACGCTGCTCCAGTGCCTCCTGCAAACGCTGATCAGATTCGCTCTGGATTTGGTGGATGCTGGCTTCGAGCTCTGCTCGCTTGTTCAAGGCCTCTTGCACACGCGCGTCGGATTCGTTGCGAATCTGCTGGACGTTCGCTTGGAGCTGAGCCAGTTCTTGCTCGGCGCGCTCACGAGCTTCCTCAATCTGAGCCACACTTTGCTCGGCGCGGTCGCGAGCGTCCTTCATCTCATCTGCGCGGTCGCCAGCTTCTCTCACTTCCTCCGCGCGAGTGTCAGCCTCGGCGTGCAAAGAGTCAATCACACTCTGCAAGCGAGCGATTTCTCCCTCTGCCTGCACCAGGGAAGCCTTGGCCTCATCCTGAGATGACCCATCGTGACGCATTGCCTCAAGCTGCTCCATCAGCACAGCGAGCTCATCCTGAGCGGCCTTGCCCTCACGATCGGAAAGCTCAAGATCTCTGCGAGCATGGGTGAGCTGCTCGGTCAAGTCGCCGATGTGAGCATCTCGTTCCGCGTCTGACTTGGAGTTGAGCTCGCGCTGCTGCTGAATCTGGGTGGTCAAAATGCTCTTCTGCTCCAGCAGGCCATCCACTCGGCTTGCGAGACCATCAATGCCGGTCTGAAGATAAGAGAGTTGCTCATCCAGGCCTTCACCATCAACCGCACTAGGAGGTGGGGGAAGCGTTGGCGACCGAGTGAGACCGAATCGGTCAACGATGGCCTGGACGCGAGTGTTGACTTCGGTGATCTGTTCTTTCCACGCCCCTTCGTTCTGAGGAGCAGAACCCACAGACGGAGCAGGACGTGAAGCCAGAGAATGCAAGCCATTTTCAAGATAGGCCAACTGCGCTTCAATTGTCGCAGAGTTGTTTTGTGACGGCTGCGGCGGGGGATCAACGAATTCATCAGGGGTGGCCTGAACCATCATATTGCACATGCGCTCGCTGAGCTCCTCCAATCTCCTCTGCATATCCAGCATGGATTCTGAAGGCTTCGCCGGGCTGTTTGTCTCTATGCGTCCGTTGAATCCATAGTTGTCCAGGTGCTCCGGAGTTCGGTAAAGGCTGCGGTCGTCAAAGTCGTGCCTGTCGTACAGGTTATCCGAGGCTGCATCGACGTTCTTGGGAGCCTTCTTCAGCCCTTTATGGGTCATCTGCAAGACACCTGCAGTGTGCTCCAGCAAGCGCTGATTTATCTGCTGGGACCTGCGCTCCAGCTTCCACAACTCTTGTGCCAAATCTTCACATTTCCGCTGGCTCGTTGCCAGCTCTGAGTCGCTCTTATCGAGAACCTCGGCGGTACCGGAGCGCCCAAAGATGCTCCGGCTTCTGCGATGCGACTTGGTTCCGTTGGCGCCGTATTCACCACTGTTCCGGGGGCTCGGTGGGCTGTACAGTCTGCCGATGGATTGGGCGGCATCGCGTAGTTTGGTCTCCAAGGCGAGTTTGCGCTTTGTTCCTTCGATCCGGTTCGACAACAAAGAGCGTTCCTTCTTGAGATCCTCCACTTCCTCGAAGGACAAGATCTCGAAATTGTTGCTGTCCCCTATAGCGGTCTCGGTTAGGAGGTACATCGTGACCGGGTCGCTGGCATTGAGAAGCGCGGAGCTCCGCGGATGAGCCCGGTTAATCTACAGTCAAACGTATGTTAGCCAGGGCCGTGGAATTCATAGGTAACGGGCGTCTGTGGTTTCCCCTTACCGGATTGTATCGCGACCGGTCTTCATGCTGAGGGTTGACGGCATCCCGATAGCCGTCTACAAGGGTCTTTCCTAAAGGAGCGTGGACATCGGAGACGGTCTGTGTCGAAAGGTATCGCGGGTCTCCGTACGAAGACTGACTGGACCGGAGGCTGCTGATGTTCATGGCGGTCGTTCAGGGCGCGAGGAATGCAGCCGTGGGGTAATATGAATCGGGAAATTCAGAAACGGCTATCACACATTCTGGGAAACAGTAATGTTGACAAGGGGATCGCAGGGCGTCACCAGGTTGGAGGGCGACGAAAGAAAAGGGCGTGGCTGAACGGGATTAAAGATGGCGGGGAGAAAAAGAAGGAGCAGAGTCGCGATCTGCACTCAGCCACACCATTTTGTGAACTGTCTTTAGCCTTTAGCCTTTCGACTACCTATCATTCCAGAGATATGCATTATGTATCAATCTGATCTGATCTGATCTGACCTGGTGGTCTATGGGTCTTTTAATAACTCGATCTATGCACCTCGTATTTAGGGTAGTTTCGTGGCTACCCCTGATGACCCAGATGTGCAAGCCCAAGCGAACCACGGGGTCTAATCCCAGCCCGTTTACTTCTAAGCGAACGCCCTAATCCCAGGATAGGAACTCTGGCACATGGCAAGGAAGACAGTACTTTCGCTCTACCGGGAATTTATTACGTAGAGATTGCGGGGTCGCATGTACCACCGATGTAGAAGTGGAAGCAACCTCGGATCCGTCCGCGTTCAGTGGGAGTCCGAAGCCAAGCGGACCCCGAGCCAAGACGAAGATTGGGACGCCTTTATCTAGGCCCCAGTTCCCTGCGATGCGCTCTTCGTCGTCCTTCGGTCATGCTGACTTCGAAGACTTCGGAGAGCGACAGCTCGCCTGCGGCGCGCCCGCCGTACAAGGTCTATAAACGACGGTTCTGGGGTCTGGCGCAGCTCGTGCTACTCAACATCGTCGTCAGTTGGGATGTATGCTTAATTTACCCCGGATTTACTGGCCTATCCGAGGAACTTGTGCTAATCCAAGTAGTGGCTCACCTTCTCGTCAATCTCGACTACCGCCGCGGAGTATTTCCAGGTCTCCGAGAGTGCTATCAATTGGTTGAGTACCGGCTATTTGTTCGCATTCTGTGTCGCCAGTCCGTGAGTGAAGCCTTGCCCGATAAGATCTGCGCATCGCCCCGACTCACTCTTTCTTTGGCATAGCTTCGTCATCTGGGTCCTGAACAAAGGCGGCCCCAAGCCGGCCATCGTCACCACCGCCGCGCTACTGCTTGTCGGCAACTGGCTGCGCTATGCCGGCACCAGAGCCAACGGCGGTATATTTGGACTCGCCATGTTCGGCCAGATCCTCATTGGCCTGGCACAGCCCTTCTGCCTGTGCGCGCCCACGCGCTACAGCGACCTGTGGTTCTCGGACAAAGGTCGCACGAGCGCCACGGCCCTCGCCAGCTTGGCCAACCCTCTAGGCGCAGCGATAGGACAATTTGTGGACTCGGAGTGGGCAACCAAGCCCTCTGATATCCCCAATATGGTTCTTTATATCTCCATCATTGTGAGTTGCCTAGTTCCGCGCATGTAGATTGCCTGCGACTGACAGCAACTCGCCGCGTATAGTCCAGCGTCGCAGCAATCCCATCATTCTTCCTGCCTGCTGCACCGCCGACTCCCCCAAGTGCCTCGTCCGCCATCCCCCGCACGCCATTGATGCCCGCGATCAAGCAATTGCTGGGCACGCTGGAGTTCTGGCTGATCCTGGTGCCGTTCGCCGTATATGTGGGGTTCTTCAATAGCGTTTCGTCCTTGGTGACCCAGATCCTCAGTCCATACGGATACTCTGAGACCGAATCCGGGATTGCAGGCGCGATCCTGATCGTAGTGGGACTGGTGACGGCCGCAATCATGTCACCCGTCACAGACCGATGGAAACACTACCTGGGCTCGATCCGCGTGCTGGTGCCCATCGTGGTGGCCTCGTATATCGGGCTGATCTTCGCGCCCACCAGTGCCACTGGTATTGCCCCAACGTACATAGTCATGGCGCTGATGGGCGCTTCGTCATTCGCGCTTCTCCCCATCGTCCTGGAGTATCTGGTCGAGATCACGTATCCCTTCTCGCCGGAGATTGGAAGCACCATCTGCTGGACGGGTGGCCAGTTGCTTGGTGCGTGTTTCATTCTCATTCAGGATGCTCTCAAGGCTGGCGCGAAGGCAAATCCCCCTTCCAACATGCGCAACGCCCTCATTTTCGCTGCTGTTGTGTCTTTCGTCGCTGCTCCCTTCCCGATAGTTATTGGCTTGTTTGGGAGAGATGTCCAGCGTCGTCGTCTGGAGGTGGATCGTGGTATCGAGCTGCATGTCGCGGAAGCCGGCCAGGGTGACACCGGCGGTCCGAATGAGGACATCTCACAAATCGAGTTGGCGTCTCCGCTGCACGAGTCAACTCTTAAGTCTGCTTGAGCTTAGTGCGTCGCGTTAGCTCTTTTATGATACGTCTGTTGATTTGCAACATTGATCAAGTTTGCAACGAATGTTTTTCTGTCGCATATTTTAGCATCTCAACGCTGATAACGTCTCGGCGGCTAATTCGGAGTCCTGCAATATGGGCCACCGAACAGTATAATATATACCCCCTTTTCGTTTCTGCCTAAGCCCCATATTTTGATAGGAATTTGGTTATGTATACTGGGTCAAGGCCCACTCAGCATGTGGATCTTAGTTGGACGCCGTACATGATCTGAGTGAATATATGTATGTTGGAATGTACCGTGATCGATTGGTTCCCAGAGAACCTATTCCTGTTTCACAAAGTCCATCCACTGTGGTTGAGGAAGAATCACTTCCAATCTTGGAACTTCTCGGAACCTTGGAAGTACTTCTACGCACTAGCATGCAAGAATGCGTGGTTGATGGCAGTTCAAAGCGCTTCGCGCCGAATCCTTCCGTCTATCCGTTTTCAACAGATGAGATTCGTCTTAAGACAGTAAATAAAACACTAGCACAGTTCGAAAAGGCGAAAACCAGTATCTGTACATGCAAGGCAGGGCAGGAGTGGTCTATTATTCTTCCCTTTGTTCCTCCCTGCCTTGAAACACCATATTGCGCACAATCGAGACCAAAGAGAAGCCTCCATGCTTCTAAACCAAGGAAATGGACGGCAGACTGTCAGATTGGCAAAGCGACAGTCGTCAAAGCGGAGCAGGATTTTCGTGACGTTGCAATCCGGTGGTTGCTCATACCGGCACTGCCGATGGAGAATCGAGGGGCCGAGTCGATACGAGAAAGTGGAAAGCGGCACGCCAGAGGAAATTCGAGACCCGTTTATTTGAGCTCTCTCCAGAGCTTGGGGGCAGCGCAGGCGGTAGCGCAGTGGGTGAGGTGAAAGACTGGAAAAGCATATTAGGGGACTGGTGATTCCATGGTTTCTTCGTGGGCAACAACGCCAGATCCTAAGAACACGTAGTAGGCCAATGCCGGGAACAACTTACACTCCTCAACGCAGTCCTCCTTGGGACCCTTGTAGTCCTCGTCCTCCTCCTGGCGCGTGACACGCTCAACGCACTCGTCGTAGTGGTGCTTGTAGGGGGCACACTTGGCGGAGTTGGCACATTCTGTAGAACGGTTGGTCAGTCGCGTGCATCAACTCCAGAAGCGAGATGATTTGAGAGCAATTGCGATGCCATTGGGCAATTGATGCGGGTGCTGATTACGAGGTCCAAGGCGTGTGAATGCCAAACACGTATCCGACATGGCAGGACATCGCGGAAGGCCGTGGAAAAGGAAGATGAGGGCATCGATATATCAACACGGGAGTCACTCACCCTCCTCGAGCTTGGGCTTGATGTCCTCAGGCTCCTCCTCTTCCTCCTCTTCCTCCTCTTCTTCATCCTCGTCGGCATCAGCCTCTTCCTCGGGAGCCTCCTCAGAGGTCTCCTCGGAGGACTCCTCAGGGGTGTCCTCGGCGGACTCAGTCTCAGAGCTCTCCTCGGAGGCCTCTTCGGTCTTCTCGGCGGACTCGTCCTTGGGGGTGGAGGTCTCGGCGTCGGCGGCGGGTGCCTCAGCCTGAGCCTCGGCGAAGCCCAGGGAGGAAACGACGTCAGTGAAAAAGTCGGCGAGACCCATTGCGACAGTAGGGGGCAATGACCGGAGGGTGGGGGATATGGAATTGAAGGTAGGGGTTGGTGATTGAAACGAGGTGCGGGTTTTCTAAGCTCGGACTGGAAAATCGGGACGCCCCGGCCGCTGAGAAGTCCAATTGTGCCGCACGTGATTGGCCAGTCGGACTGCCCATCTACAACCGTCGTCTGTAGACTCTTGACTTGCGTATAACTATTTTAATGCTATTTGAAAGGCAATGTCAATGCTTGACGTGAATTCACCATCAATTGACCACGCGTCAATCAAGTTAGTGGCGCACCGGGCGCATCTCATTCTTGCTCTAAGTGTGTCTTACCGTTCTCGGATCGTTAGTTAATAATGGGAAATCATTATGTACATATAGGCTTCCTAGCTCTTCGGCTCGAGCCCAGATTATATTGATGATTAACTTCACTGCTCCAGCGGCCTAACTGGCTCGCCGCAAACGCTCCTCCAATTCATTGGCCACGCTCTGCGATTGAACCTCCTCATAGCAAGGCGGCGGTTCCGCTGGTTCAGGTCCGGCCGTGGATACTCTCCTGTTAGGCTGTGGCGCTGTTGGTGTATCGTTGGTGACAGTCAAGTTGTTCGAATTGCCAGGGCCTTCATATGCCGGAAGCTCCTCCAGATGAACGGCTGCGAGATCCACGCCTCGCATCCCTCGAGTCCCCTCTCCCGAGACCTCCACGGCCTGCTCTAATCGTTCCCTAATCCGTTCAAAATTCGTGTGGAAGTCGAAGGCGCCGCCTTCCTTGAAGGTCAGTTTGATTTGTACTGCGGGCAAGTTTGCGGAGATGCCGCCTCCGGAGACGGGCTGAACCAGGGCGGTCCAGACGTTGGGACCGAAGAAGGGGGCTGAAACGTGAGAGTCGCGAACGTTGAGCAAGGGAGAAGAAAAGGATTGGAGGTCCCCGGTTCCTTGGACGGGCAGGTAGACAACCTAGTAGAAGCACAGTTAGTCCTTGGAGGTAAGCAGAAAGCGTATGGAGTACACACCCGTTGGTTGGTGAGATGGATACAGCCTGCGCTGCTTTGTATGGACAAGCTCTCACTTCCCTTATAGCCAGGAGGCGGCGTCACGGCGAGAGTGGTGCGTGGAGGGGAAGAGTATATCAGACGTTCGTTAGGAAGGCGAACGAAGCCTTCCTGGTCATGAAGCATCACCCAGTTAAGAGACATGGTCGGAGACCACCATACGATGTCGAACGAGAAGAAGAGAAAGCGGGCAGGTAACCTGGAAATCAACGCCAAGTAGAGCTCGGGAGATCAAGCTCAGAGAGGATCTGGAACGGGGAAGGGGGAAAATCGCCATTGCGGGGCAGGCGGGGAAGTCCCTGCAGAGGATTTCACGAGTCTGCCGTCCCTTTGTTCTTCTACAATTCCTTTGTGCAAGGTCCATGTACATCTCTACATTGTGATTGATTGAGCAAATGCCGCTATGATATCTATCGGGCAGACCCCCAACGCCTTGATAGATGCCCGAGACTTCCGCATCAGGTCCGAAGGGTCGGTCTGCCCCAACAGATGCGCCTCCAGGTGGCGTTGGGTTCGCGGGGTCCTGACGGCTCCAATAAGGAGCGAGTTATGCACTTATGTAGCCATCGAAGCTGATAATGGAGCCAATATTTGACCTGGTACCTGATCTGGGACTCGATGTTTGGTGTCCAATGTAACCGTGAAATGTTGGGATAGGAAGCTCCGCACCGAGCTTCTCTTTCGCCCATGGATTGAACTCGGATACTTAGCAGACGGAACTGGTCGATATCAAGACACCAAAGTCAACGTGCAGAGTGGATGTTCTAGAAGTGTCCGAGCATGAAAAAAAAAAGCGCGCTAAAACCGGTCCCCAAACTTTCCGGATTCGAGCAGCTCACCTTCCCCCCCCTGGTGAGCCTGCTTTCTCTTTTGCTGTGCTCTGACCTCTCTCGACCTGACTGCCATTTATTTGGAATTTATTTCTAAGGGTGTTTGACTGTTTGTGGGGAAAAGAGCTTTGCGACTTTACGTCAGATCCACGCGGGTCAAAGCTCAGAGCTCGTTGCGGCTAATATTGACGGAACGCTTCATGTCAACGCCGCCACCCTGAGACCTTCTCCACCTACCCAGGACGAACCCTGACTGATCGGGCTATTTGGCACCGTCGTCATGGGGAAGAAACAGCCGTACATCCCTCCCCTTATCGGGTGGCTGTATGATCTGGTCTTGTGGTCGTTCTCCGTGCTCATCGACCTCTTCTTCCGCGAGGTGCACCCGCGCGGATCCTGGAAGATTCCCCGGCGAGGACCCATTATCATCGTCGCCGCCCCTCACGCGAATCAGGTATGCCATTTCCCCGCCCTGATTTATCCAACAGTGCTGACCCCGGCTGCTCTTACAGTTCGTCGATTCGCTTGTCCTCATGCGCGTTATTCGCAGCGAGGCCCACCGTCGTATCTCATGGCTCATTGCAGAGAAATCATTCAGACGCAAGTTTATTGGACTGCTGGCGCGTGGTATTGGATCGCTGCCCGTGGCACGCGCCATGGATAACTTGAAGCCGGGTACAGGCACCGTCTATCTTCCCGATCCGGTCAACGAGCCCACCCTTTTGCGCGGCGTCGGCACCAATTTCGAAGGCCCCGGTTTTGAGAAAGAAGGAACAATCGCGCTGCCAACTATCAACGGTACCTCGCACAGCACGGCCATCGGGGAGATCCGCGGTCCGGAGGAACTGATTCTCAAGAAGCCTTTCAAGCACAGGGATGCGCTGTTCCAGTTGACTGGGAGAAAGGACATTGATGGCAATGGGAACTTCTCGGGAGATGCCAAACCAGACTCCGACTTCAAGGGTTCCAAGTTTAAGGTGGCTCCGCACGTGGACCAAACGGCTGTCTACGAGGCCGTGTTTGCGAGATTGAATGCCGGTGGTTGCGTGGGTATTTTCCCCGAAGGTGGTAGCCACGACCGTCCGTCTCTACTGCCCCTCAAGGCCGGTGTGGCTTTGATGGCTCTTGGTACCCTGGCAGACAACCCTGATTGTGGTCTGAAGATTGTGCCTTGTGGCATGAACTACTTCCACGCACACAAATTCCGGTCCCGCGCAGTCATAGAGTTCGGAAACCCGATCGAAGTGCCGAAGGAGATTGTGGAACAGTTCAAGCAAGGCGATCGGCGCGAGTCTGTTGGTGCGCTTTTGGATATTATCTACCAGAGTCTTGTCGCAGTCACCGTCACTAGCCCCGATTATGAGACTCTCATGGTAAGACCACCGACCTTGCCTCTGTCCTGATAAGTAATTAACAAATCATAGGTCATCCAAGCAGCCCGCCGTTTGTACAACAACAAAGGCAAGAAGCTCCCTCTTCCCATGGTCGTGGAGCTCAACCGCCGCCTCGTGAAAGGATACGCCCATTTCAAGGATGATCCGCGAATCGTCAGCCTCCGAAAATCCATTGTCAACTACAACAAACAGCTTCGCATCCTCGGCATTCGCGATCATCAAGTGCAGTATGCCAAATTCTCTATCGTGCAGGTGATTGCCACCTTGATCTATCGTCTGGGCAAGCTGGCTCTCCTTACCATCGGAACCCTACCTGGTCTACTTCTCTTTACTCCCGTTTTCGTCGCAACGAAGTACCTGTCGATGAAGAAGTCGAAGGAGGCTCTGGCTGCCTCATCTGTCAAACTGCAGGGCAGAGATGTCATGGCTACCTGGAAACTACTCATTGCCCTTGCATTCGCTCCAGCCGTCTATGCATTCTACACTGCTATGTTCACCTACTGGACCTATCGGAACCGAATCCAAGGTTTCGTGCCAGACTGGGTGCCACTTTGGCTTGTGGTGATGATTGGCGTGGTGATATTCCCTACCGTTTCGTTTGCTGCACTTCGCATTGGTGAAGTGGGAATGGATATCGTCAAGTCGCTGCGGCCACTGGTTCTGTCTCTGAACCCATCGTCGGCTAACACGCTTGTGAAACTCCGTGCAAAGCGTGCGATGCTCGCCCAACAAGTGGATGAGGCCATCAATACCCTGGGTCCGGAGCTGTTCCCAGACTTTGATGCTGCCCGGATTGTCACCGATCCGTTCCGGGAGGTCAGACACGAAGGAGTTAAGAGCGACTTGCCCACGATCAAACCACCTCGTGACGAGGAAATGGAAGCCTTGCCCTCGGCGGAGCCTTTGCCGCGCAACGAGTCGTTCCACAACCTAGCCAACATTGGCTTCTTCTCTACCAGACCCCCGAGCCGCAACCGCAGTCGCAGCAGCTCTGCTGGGCCTCGCCCGGGCTCGCGGCACGGGCTGAAGCCCCTTAGCTCGATGACCCAGAAGGATCCGCTGGAAGATGTTAGCTCGCGGATTCGAGATGCGATGAGAGAGCGGGGCGAGCGACGCCGGAGACGAAGCGAGGATGGAAGCTGGGACATGGCCAGCTCCGGGCCAGGAACGCCGTCCAGTGGTGAGGAAATCCGAAAGGATTTATGACCTGGCTACGATGCCCACGTTTGGTGTTGGATCCCACTTGTCGACCATTAGACATTTGGCGATGACTTGAACTTATTTGCCGCGCTTCTTTATATAACCCCAATGCGAGATATCCCCTTGGTTTTGTTTGCCTGTGAACCAGTGTGCCACGTAGATCAATCGTAGCCGTACATCTATAGTAGTAACACCTTGCATCGAGGGCAGCTCTGAATGTGATACCGAAATAATGCAGAGCTAAGAATATCATTACTATTTTATGCGGATTCTCCAACCAATTGTTGAGGTTGTTCATGTCTTGGCCCGGAGGCAAGTTACCGCGGACCTCGCCACAGGGGCTGCACGGCCGTTGACAAAACTAAAATAGCAGGGAATTAAATAGTGCAGCCTGTAACTGTCGCTTATTCTCTTCGTACTCCCAACTTAAATTGTTCAATTAAGTGGCTCAGCCCCGGGTTGCGAGAGTCTGACCACGTCGCCCGTTTCACTAAAAACGAAAACGCCTTCCGCTTCCCTTTGCCAGTTCCGCGCATTATTTTTCCGTCCACTCCGAACTTCTCAAGCCGTCAAGCCTTCACCCCAACAAGTCGCGCGAGCCTCCTCCTCGCGTGCTGTCACCATGGCGGGCTCAATGCATCTGTCGCGACTCCGGAATTGGTTCCTCGCCTCTCCGCCGATCGAGTTCGCAATCAACACTCTCAAAGAGCTGCTGGTCGGGGCGCTCCGCCAGGGCCCGATCCCCCAACACGTGGCTTTTGTGATGGATGGAAACAGACGATTTGCCAGGTCACATGGAATCGAGACAGTCGAGGGTCATAATCTGGGATTCGAGGCATTGGCAAGGGTAGGTCCTCTCTGTGATCAGCGGCCGATCTCGACCCCCGTGCCGTTGAGCTCTATCCGCGGACTTTTGTTCTCGTGCTGACACTTTCTCTAGATTCTAGATGTTTGCTACAAGAGTGGTGTTAAGGTCGTCACAATCTACGCATTCAGTATCGAGAATTTCAAGCGATCCAAGTTCGAGGTCGATGCACTCATGGATATGGCCAAGGTGAAGCTTTCGCAGATGACGCAGCATGGAGACCTCCTGGACCGGTACGGGGCCAAAGTGCGCGTTCTGGGCCGACTCGATCTGCTCAAGCCTGATGTCCTGGCTGCCGTCAACAAGGCTGTCGACCTCACCAGCCGCAATGGCGACCGCGTCCTGAATATCTGCTTCCCTTACACCTCTCGCGACGAAATTACCACCGCTATCCGTCACACCGTCGAGGATTACAGCAAGCCTCTTCATCCTGGCAACGGACATGCCCGGACGCCCTTCTCTGAATCTCATATTGCGCACAACATCCGAGCTCAGACCCTCGGGTCTAAGACACATGATACCCAGAGTGACTCGGAATCGACATCGGCCGAATCGTCCGGTCAAGAAGATGATAACATTCTGCGGAATGACCACGCCAACCGGATCTATGAGTCCGGATCATCCTTTTCGTCTTCTACAACTCTTCACCTTGGTCAGCAGGATCCACAGCACCCCAAGACTACGGTGCAGGGCAAGACATCCGATGGGGAAAGCCCGGCATTTATTTCTCCCGAAACCATCTCGCGCCAAACGCTCTCCGATCACATGTTGACCAAGGGTACTCCGCCTTTGGACATCCTAGTCAGAACCTCCGGCGTCGAACGGTTGAGTGACTTTATGCTCTGGCAGTGCCACGAGAACACCGAGATTGTTTTCCTCGATGTGATGTGGCCTGAGTTCGACCTGTGGCACTTCATGCCCGTGATGCTTGGCTGGCAGCGACGCATTTCCAAGTCGCGGCAGAACCCAGACGCCGAGGGCAACTTCGCCGGCGACAGCCCTGAGTCTAGCGAAGAAGACATGGACAACATGGTCCTGCGACAGGGCAAAGTTAAGGCGGTATAGAACATACTTTTCACTATATCCTGTTTTCTTTTCAGCATCCAGCGAAGTTCGTGGCGTTAGGGCGGCTCCGACTGATCATTATGGTCTCATATATCCCAGCAGCATTAGCAGCACTACACTTATTGTCTACATCATACATCATACATCATACATCATACATCATACAGCAGGCAGCCTTATCTACAGATCCTACATAAACAGCTTCAGTACCTCGTCTTTTTACCTATTTGGGTCTCCGACCTGCTTAGATAACCCCCTGCGCCGATACCGGCCACGTGATGCTTGACTCAACCCACACGGGGAACTGGCCGAGCACGTCTCTCTATCTCAATCATCCATACCACAATTGAATCCAAAATGGTCAAGCAAATCGCTGGTTCCAAGGTCCTTCTTCTGGGCTCTGGCTTTGGTATGCTCCTCTACCGCCAACGGGCAATCGCAATGCGTCGCTCCCCCGCAATGCCGCTTGCACCGAAAAAAGTATACACTCGCTCACGTTGGACTTTCAGTCACCAAGCCTACCGTCGAGGTTCTTGACAAGGCCGGTGTTCAGGTTATCGTCGGTACGTGCAATTGCCAATGAATTGACTCATCACTCTATTTCTCCATGGTGTTTTCCGTCCGGTTACCCCGCCATGCGCGAAGATGGGACCGGGAAGGCCAAAAAGATCTTATCCTATCTACGAACTCATCATTTTCCGGAGAAACAGATTGCTGACAATTGTGCTTTGTTTCAATAGCCTGCCGTACCCTCGAGAGCGCCCAGAAGCTGTCCGAGGGCTTCAAGAACGCCAAGGCTATCTCCCTCGACGTCAGCGATGATGCCGCTCTGGACAAGGCCATGGAGGGAGTCGACCTTGCTATCTCCCTCATTCCCTACACTTTCCACGCCACCGTCATCAAGTCGGCCATCCGCACCAAGAAGGATGTCGTCACCACCTCCTACGTGTCTCCCGCCATGATGGAGCTCGACGAGGAGTGCAAGAAGGCCGGCATCACCGTCATGAACGAGATCGGCTTGGGTAAGTTCTTTTTTCGAAGCCATTCGACTCTTTCCTAATACTAACGTTCAACTTTCTATAGACCCCGGCATTGACCACCTCTGTAAGCATCTATGCAAGACATGAGCAGACCGTACAATACTAACCTTTCCAGACGCCGTCAAGACCATCTCCGAGGTCCACAACGAGGGTGGTAAGATCACCGGCTTCATCTCTTTCTGCGGTGGTCTCCCCGCCCCCGAGTGCTCCAACAACCCTCTGGGCTACAAGTTCTCGTGGTCCAGCCGCGGTGTCCTGCTGGCGCTCCGCAACGCCGCCAAGATCTACCAGGACGGAAAGATCGTCAGCATTGACGGCCCCGACCTGATGGCCACTGCCAAGCCCTACTTTATCTACCCCGGCTTCGCCTTCGTTGGCTACCCCAACCGTGACTCGACTCCCTTCCGCGAGCGCTACAACATCCCCGAGGCCCAGACCCTCGTCCGCGGTACCCTGCGCTTCCAGGGTTTCCCGGAGATGATCAAGGTCCTGGTTGACATCGGCTTCCTGAACGACGAGTCTAACGCCGTCTTCGACAAGGCCACTTCCTGGAAGGAGGCCACCCGCCAGGTCCTTGGCGCCGCCTCGTCCTCCGAGAAGGACCTCATCGCCGCCGTGCAGTCCAAGACCTCGTTCCCCAACAACGACGAGCGCGACCGCCTCCTCGCCGGTCTCCGCTGGATCGGCCTGTTCTCCGATGAGCAGACCACTCCCCGCGGCAACGCCCTCGATACCCTGTGCGCCACCCTCGAGAAGAAGATGCAGTACGAGGAGGGCGAGCGTGACATGGTCATGCTCCAGCACAAGTTCGACATCGAGCACAAGGACGGCTCCAAGGAGGTCCGCACCTCTACGCTGTGCGAGTACGGTAACCCCACTGGCTACTCTGCCATGGCTAAGCTGGTCGGTGTTCCCTGCGGTGTCGCTGTGAAGCAGGTCCTTGATGGTACCATTTCGAAGAAGGGTGTCTTGGCTCCCATGACTATGGATATCTGTGCTCCTCTTCTCAAGACTCTGAAGGAAGACTACGGTATTGAGATGATCGAGCGTACTCTGTAAGAGTGTTCTAAAATTTAGTGGTTGTTTAAAAGCACAGGAAACCTGAAATGATAGAGATCACGATTGGACGCACCATATTCATTTCTGATTACGTTCGTTCTACTGTAGAGATAGTCACCTGTAGCGTATCTTGTATGACCCTTGGCATTTGTAGACGTATCGCGTCGAATCTTCGAATGCTAATTGCAAAATATTCATCCTGGTCTGGGAAGCTGCATCGATTTGATAGGAGTAGCTGTTGGCTAGCTAATAAAAAAAAAGCTGAAAAATAAATAAATGGCAAACAGGGATTCAGGATGGCTCGGAAGATATTGCCTCCACCCAACCGAGTTGACGGAACAGATACTCTGGTATTATCACCGCCCTGCAAGAATCACTCTAGCCATCAAGAGGAATGCGCTTCAAAGGCATCTTACGGCGAGGCACACGTTGGCGAACGACCAAGTGGATGCGAGGCCAGGTAGTGACGGGCGAATTAGGTTGGGGGAAACGACCATTGTAGAAAACTGTGATAACAAGCGTGATGGACATGAGCCAGGATTTGACATGGATAAGGCGCTCCCTTACTTGCTTCTTGCTCTTTTCTTCGCGTGTGAAATGGCGCGGGAGAAGCAGACAACGCCCAGGTTGGAATCGAAGACAAGGGGTGGACTGTAGGTCCTTGTAGAGATGGGTGTAGCTTAGGGTCGAGGTGTCGACCCAGTCGGCATGGAGGACCGTGAAGTATGTTGGGTTGCCGAAGAGGTAGTCGGCTTTTCGGACGCATTTCTCATCGCGGGGTGAACTGTCAGCAGTGCTGCGTTCTGTTCGTTACGGTACCTCTGCTGACTCGGCGGAATCTGTTCTCTCACTCGATACACGAGCTCCAGCCCGCGGTCGGGGGACGCTTCACGCTTCACAGCAGCCGAAGACATTATGAAAGCTTCTGGCCACTAGGTGTTGATGGATGGGAGGAAGAGGAAGAGGAAGAGGAAGAGGAGGAGAGAAGAAGAGCCAAGTTGAGCAAGTGAGGGAAGGAACGAGGTTGACCGGCTGCCTCGTGAGAGACGATAGGCAACGACGGGAGAGAACATCAATTCGTACGGGAACAGAGGACTGGGGAACAGTTCAATTCATTCATTATCATAGGCATCACATCACTTTCCTCTATCGTAGCATCATTGCAATCCCCGGTCCGAGGCAACAATTGCATCTAGACCAAGGCCAAACATAAAACCAACAAACACGAACGAGGCAGAATGGCTTACCGTCTCTCTAATGCTGAGACAGAGCCAAAATCACCACCGCTATAGCCCTTTTCAGGCCAGACCGATACCATGTATCAATGGTGGATAGCATGCGTTTTCAAAACACGAATACGAAAGCCCCCCAAAGGGCCATGCGCTTTTGAGTTTTGTATAGTGTTGCAGGAGAAAAGAAATTCGAAAAGATAGGATACATTCTATCAGTATCATGCGGTCGAGAAGCCGCGAAGTCGATCAGAGAATAGTGCCAAAGCTATACCAAGCAAAACAAGCAAAAACGTCAGTAACGGTTTCCGCGAAGACGAGGGTCGTGATCTGAAGAGAGGACCCGTATTGGTCAAAGGCCAGAACAAGAAGGATTGAATACATACCCGAAAGTCTGCTTGATGCTGCGAATGTAGTACAGCTCCCAGTTCTGCTTGGTGACGTCCTCCTGGCCGACAGGGACGCCGGACCAGGAAACGCGCAGCTGGGTGACGCCGTCGACGTCGTTCTGATCGAAGTTCATCTCGAGAGTGCTGAAGTGGCCGGCGGGCCACTGGGCCAGACGCCATTTCTGGACGATCTGCTTGGGTGCGTCGAGCTTGACGTACTCGCCGGTGACGTTGCCGTCGAAGATGGCGAACTTGCCGCCGACCTTGGCGCCCTCGAACTGGCGGGGAGGACCGCGGGTGAAAGCGGTGATGCGCTGGGGGTCGGTGAAGGTGTTGTACAGCTCCTCGGCGGTAGTGCGCATCTCATCGGACGCGGTCACGGTGGTGGTGTTCACGGCGACGTTGCCGGCAGTGGAGGTAGTGGTAGGGGTGGCAGCAGGAGCGGCCTCCTTCTTGGCATGAGGGTAGACGGGGGCCGGGGTGAAGCCACGGGTTGGGTCGACACCAGCGGCGTGCTGAAGGTCTTTGGCATGTTCGGTGACGAGAGCATTGGCAAGCTTGGCTAGGGCCACGCGCAATTGGGGGATAATTTTAGACCGGACGAGATCCTTTACGGGCTGCTTGGAGGAGGCATCGGCGTGGTTCTCAATCTCGAACTGGACACCGTCGCGTTAGTCGGTCCCACTGCACAGCATTGAATACTGTAGAAAAGGCGGGTTCTAGGGAACGTACGACATACTCATCTTCCTCGGTGTCGTGGGCTACCTCGGGGATGTTGATGGAGCCACTGACATCCTCACCGTCCTGTGTCTTACCTATCGAACAGTCTCAGCTGCCAAAGCTCGGTGGATGGAACGATTCTACAAACCTGAGTACTCTAGGGACAGCTTCACATCGAACAGGGTGATGACCTTGCCCTTGCGCTGGCTGACGTCTACGTCGCCATTCATGGACACCACCTTGTCTACTTTGGCTGACACTCCCCCCTCCTCGGCACTGATGACGGTCAGGTTCTTCTGCAAGTATTCCTTGGCCCAGCCAGAGGCGTCCTTGTTGACCCAGTGCCAGTTGTTGGGGTTGTGGAGGACCATGATGGAGGTGGAGGATGTTGACTATGTGTGATAAAATTCTGATTGAAAATTGCGACAGTCGAAGGGGGTTCTGCTCCTCCTTCAATTTTCCTCTGAGAAGTCGCGGCACAACTAGTTCCACTTCTCTGAAGGTCCTGTTCGATTTCGTCGGTTAGCGGCGAGTTTCGAAGATTTTTTCACGAGTAGAGCGGGTGAAAAATTGCACTGAGGCAATGGCCACAAATATCAGGTCCAGCTAGCGTATTGCCGGACGCAATGCTATTCAGCAAAATAGACGGATGGTAGTCCGTCCCTCTGACTGGTGCCAGCTATGGTGTCTCATCATTTGGGCGAGTTGGAGAATCTCCGACAGGAAGGTTTCAAAACCAGGGGGAAAGCTCCATTGGGGTTTGCAGGGCAATGATAGAAAGGGAAAAGCTTACAGTTCAAAAATAGGTCCAGGCGAAATGCTGGACGAAAGAAATGAAAGATGGATGAAAAGGAGATGAATGGGAGAAGAGGGACGATATTTGAGTCCGACGGGACGGAAGACTCTAGAAAGCGGTGCACGTGACTGGTGGGGACAATCGTCACTGCAAGTCGCCTTCGTAAAAGAACATAGATCGAAGCACTAGGTCAATGAAGTGAATTATATACTGTGCAAGCCCGGTCTACAGCGAACAAATGGGGATATCACAAAGAGTCAAACAAAAAAACCCCATCACTCCTGCTCCAATTGCTCCAGGTCTTCCCAGCCACCCTCTATCTCGAGCTGTTCTTTCACTCGTTCTCGTAGTCCCTGAATCTGACTCCCAAGAGCCTCGGTCCACTGACCCTCAACGGTGGAAACCTTGTCCTTGAGGTCTGTTGTAAGAGCAAGCTCTTCATCTGCCCGAACTTCCTGCATACCCCGACGCACAGTTTCCTCAGACTCCCCTTGCCAGATCCTCTCTGCTTCAGCAAGGTTGCGGTTGGCCCGCATAACAGCCGACCGCACCTCGTGCAGCAGACAAAGAAGGTTGATCTGCGACTCGATGTACTGATAGCTCGACTTTTCCGCGTGTGACAGTAGCGTATATAAATACTGCAGTGGATGCGCCTGATAGCTGGGGTTCTCTCGATATTCATCGGCCGGGATCTGGATCTGAAGATCACGCAAACTGTCCGGTATTTGCTGAACGAGAGCGAGAAGGGACGGTGCAATATCCCAGAATGCAGAGAGTTGCTTTTCGACGCCACGTACGACGTTTTGCTCAATGACGTCCAGGAAGGATTCAAGACGGGAGAAAGCCTGGGTCTCGTATTGCACCCGTCGGTCGAGGGCGTCTTTGGAGAAGAATGCGTGTGTGTCTCGGATCTTGTCCTCGTTCTTGCTTTGTTGATACGGTAGTAAAGCGACTGCCTTGTATTTTTTATCGCGGTCACTGACCAGCTCGAACGATTCGCGGTGAAGCTGCTCTCGTGCTTCGAACAGCCATTTCAGCTGCGTCAGCTTCTCCAACAGCTCGGGCTTCTCATCACCCTCTTCCTGCGTCTGGTCGGGTGTCTCGTGCTGTGCATCGTCGAAAAGTCTGCTACTCAGATCATCGATACAGGTGGTCGCTCGATCGATGCGGTCATTGAGGATGGTCATCATCGGGTTCAACACAGACTCCTGATATGTATCAAGCTCGCGTTTAACCAATCTTCTTTCCCGCTTGTTCTCGTCGACAATCATTGCCGCTTCAGCTTCGGCTGCCTCTGCAAATGTGAGGCTACCCTCCTGGATCTGGTTTTGAATGTTGGACTTGAAATGGCGCCGGCCCTCTTTGACTTGACTCTTATGTTCTTGAGCCATGTTCTCCACATCGTCCTTGTACCGCTGTCTAGTCGACTTGATTTCAGACAGGTCGGTGATCGAGCGGACCGTGGTTCGATAGGAGACGAGATCCGGATGGCTATTATTCACAGCGGGATAGTGGCGTGGGTATGGCGGCGGCAAAGTAATGAGTCGTGAGATGTCCAGCCGCTGGGTTGCCAAAAATTGCCCGTGTCGGTCCCCATTTCCGTGATTTGGATAAACAGGAGTCTCTTCATGCCTGCCAACTTTCTCCGGGGGGTACTCGCCCGGGCCGTAGGCTTCGTGCTGGCTTGTATAATTCGCACCCGCATCATCCAGCTTCGAAGGAGTTCGTTCTTGGTCCCACTGCATTGAGTCACGGGGAAGACCCATGTATTTAGACTCCCTCTTGGATCGTTGAACCTTTCTATCATATCCCTCGCTACTGGATCCTGTCTTAGACTCCCACCAGCGGCTGGGTGCACGGCCCCTTGAGCTCATTTCGTCGTTGCTCATACCCAGACTGGCAATGGGTGAGAGACAGGGCTGGTAGTTGTTCCACCAGGCTGATTCGGGTCGACTAGTTCTGTTTGAAGGTATTTCCAAACTGGGCATTGGTCTGATTGGCTTCGTTGATAACAGGTTGGCTTGGGGAGACGGCATTTCAAAAAGCTTGCTGCGCACTTCGTCGATTTCAAACGAACCAGCATCCCAAATAGCGGCGTACCGCTCACGGCGTATCTGAGACTCAGAAATGATAAAATCAGTGAAGATTTTCATAGCTTCAGTCTCATTGAGGGCGGCAGCTTCCTGCTCGATAAACTTCTGATGTCTTTGAACAGCATCTTGAACAAAGTCGGTTTCCTGCCTGAGGACAGATTCCAATGATGCCTGCTGAGTATGCTGTGCATTTGGAAGCCGACGTGGAGATAGCGGCTGCATCGTGGATATCGCATCATTTGGCAAGTGCAGGATATGAGAAATGGGTCGGTCTTCTGGCCCTCTGGAAGTGGCGCGAGAGCGCGATAGAACCTCCTTGGCCGAATTAAGAGGTGGAGTTGGAAGTGCCTTCGGCGGTACCACCTGAGGTGCTTCTTTTTGAAATGTTGAAGAAGAGGCGCCAGGCGAAAATGGAGGAGTTTGTGCAAAAGCAGCAGACGGTCCAGCGGGGCTGGTTTCCGGCTTGGGCATCGAGTGCGGCGACTGCTCGGAAAAAAGACCAGTAGATGATGCTCGAGATCGCGGGGCAGTCCGTTGTCCTTCTGAGCCTATACTCCGGGTACTTTGAGGGGTGTACCTTGACGATGTTGGGTTCCGAGTATGATCGGGACTCTGTCTGTGCTCCGGAAAGACGAGATTCGTTGGCTTGATTTGCTCCAAAGCATCAGCCCAAGGATTAGTACTAGGGGAGACTGCGCTCATATCTTCAAAGGTCTGACTTTGGCGGTTTCGACGCTCGATTCGCCTTTCGCGAATACCCTTGGCACTGGGATCTCGAATGGCTGGACTTCGGAAAAGGCCGCCACTTCCAGGGGTTCTCTGTGGCTGATACTCTGGTTCATCCATGTCTGAATTTTCCATTGGATCCGGTGCGGAAACTTCTCTGGTAGTATCAATATGTAGAGGTTCATGGTCCCTACTCGGCCGGTGGTTCAGGTACTCCTCATCAACCCAATCTGCCGGTGTTGGTGGAATGCTACCTAGTCCAGTTCCCATCATTGGCGGCGGTCTAGGCCGAACCCTGTTTGGGCCTTGAGCCGTTTTCGTGGAAGACGATTCTGACGAACCGCTCGCACTGATAGTCCTTGCCGTTGGAGGAGGTCCTGGAGGCGGTGGTGGAAGCGGCATACCTGGTTCCCAACCACTGTTTGAGGGAGACCGATTCCTCGAAGAGCCTGCACTACTTACAGCAGCCCCTGCAGAAGCCGCTCTTCTGGACGCAGGAGGCCTTGATGGTGTTTCCAATTGGTCGGCTGACGGTCCCACGGCATGTCCTCTCAAGGATGGCGATGGAAAGCCTTGTTCATAGAACATTGAAACTCGTGATCTGGATTGTAATGCAGCAGAATTGTAAGGAGCGCCCTCGTAATTATCCATCCGGCTTTGCGAAACAGATCGATGTCCCTGAGGTGGAGGCGGAGGTGGCAGTGACTGTCGTGACCCCGGATCATCAACATATACCATAGAGAGTGGACGAGGGCGATTGACCGAGCGTCGCTGATATTCAACATTCACATCGATATTGCTCTCCGGGGACGAATTCTGGGGCGGAGTCACCCTCGGTGTCACCGAAATGTTAGGGTTTGCCGCGGTGAACTCCGGTGGTAATTGGTTTCGATTACTCGGAGGCGAATAGGGCGGAGGAGGCGGCGATACGGGGACATCTGGGCAGACGCGGTCAATGCAGGTGCTTCGAATGCTCTTTATATGAGGGAGACCAACCTGCCTGGGGCCTCTGCTGCGGCGAAACCCGATGCATGCTGTTGGCCTGGGAGTATGCATCCCCTGCAGAGCCTCCGCCAACGGGTCCCCATTCCTGCGGATTGTAGGGCATATTGTAACCCGTCTGCTGCCTGGACGACATGGACGACGACGGGGTCGATCTGGCGTGCGCAGGAGACGCAACATATGGAGAATGAGCCTGCGTGAAGGGACTAGATAGCGAGGTAGATGATAGAGGAGTGGATGCATGGTGGAACTGGGAGCTATTCAATGCCGTCGTCAACAGCGGAGGCTGCGCCACATGCTCTCGACGACCCGGCGATGGGTGGTTGTTCAAAGGAGGTGACGACCAGCTCGAGTACTGCTGCTGGTCGCCTGCATGATTTGAGCCCATCCAGCTAGAATTCCGGGATCAGTATAGAGCACGTAACCAATTTAAGAACAGGGATGTTTCAAAGAACGCATCGGCGTACCCGTTCATACTGGTACCGAGTACTCATCAAATGGCAGCCCGATTCGAAGCCATGGCCCTCCAGGAAACCAAGAAATCATCCAAGCAAATATTAGATATTTGGAGAAGACGAAGGGGCTTCTATCGAGGCAGCTGGAGAGCTGGGAAAAAGAAAACCCCAGGACCAGTTAGGGCAGACCCAAGCGGACGGAACGCCATTGGGGGGCGAGAGCTAAATTTGGAACAGCAAAGAGCAAAGAAAATATAATAAAGCCCAAGCCGAAGCGGGGAATGGAATATGCAGCTTGAAGGTGCTCATCACACGCGGGCCCGGGCTCGGCGCTTATCGTCGTCGCTGAGAGGCCCACTGCTGCTGCCCCCGCATCCTCGGACCCTGTGAATACCCAACCAGCATCCAGATCATGAAGAATCGCGAGTTTCACCTCCTGTTGCAAAGGACCCTCTGCAGGGGTGTAGGCCGTCTGCCAATGAGGGGCCACTACGGAGTACTTTCGCTTTGAAAAAGAAACGTGATGGTTTAAATATAGCTGATGAATTGATCGACTTCTCACTAATGAACACTAATTGAACACGATGGCTCCTATGCCGTCTTGGCCGGTGAGAAACCAAGGCAGAGAGCAGGACACATATAAGCCTCGGCTGCAAGTCCTGTAAGATCACTGGCCGAATGTTAGCATCATCTTCTAGACAAAGCGACCGAACAAATGTGTTGAAACAAGGGTGTCAGATAATATGCCCTGTCACAGGCGGTGGTCATCAATTTAAATTCCTTATGTTGACCGTCGTGATAATGTATGATAAATCATCATATAAAGGGGAGATAGAAAAAAGACAAAGAAATAAGTTGTGTAACTTACATGAGACGATGCAGATGGCCAGCGGCATCTACGAAATTAGTCCGATTGGAGATTCTCCCTGTTCAAGATCCATCAGCATCGGACTGACTGGATATTGCAGGCACCGTGACAGATGTGACTGATCAGTCATGACATGTCTCGTCTTGGCCAGCCGAAGCTGGCTTGGACATATGCTTGTCTTTGGTTGTGTCGATTCATCATGGTAACATAGACAGAAGGGAGACAAAGTGTGACGTGACATACACCTACAGTCTGAAGAGGTCGAGGACAGCAGAAGCCCATCAAGAATTTCACTGCAATAAAACATTAGCGACTGTTGTCAAAATGTCGAGGCAGCAATTGTTCGATGAACAAGTGTATCAGAGAAGCATGAATGGTTATTAAAAAGATTGTGTCTGCATGGATAACTCCAATAAGACTCGTCATCTAAGGGTATCATCATAAAAAGGGAGAGGCAGGGTGATTGAAAAATAAAGGGGTGGCATACCCAGTGTATTTCTACAATCACAGTCAAAATTCGACGGAGCAAGCTACTACTCGCGATGATTAGCGATTCGTCACAAAAAACATTGTGAGAGTCGACCAAGATATCATCAAGCATGTCTCAGTGGGCGAGGTTTTCTAGGCCTGCCGCAAAAAAGGCGTCTCCGTCATGACCGGAACGTTTTGTCAAACGACCGTCGGAGCCCAGTGCCGCTTCATCTTTGGACGGGGTGATCTTAGAAGATCTTATGTGCGCGAGGATGGGCCAAGGGCTTACCATGCGGAGAGTCGACAATGTCCTATTCTTCATGACAGTTAGCACATGATCCAGAAGCCAAGTCCAGAGAGAAGGTGCAGGTGTGAAAGATATCAGTCAAGCCATTAGTTATCGTCAGTGATCCGAAGACCTTGGACGGTAATTTCCAGCGTATATAATACGAAATGATCATCATGTAAGGTGTGGTGAGGAAAGAAAAGAGACAGGTAACTCACCATCTAAAGTTGATGCGCTTGCATACTGCAAGATGTGTCAAGTCAGTCCTACTTGAGGCCGAGTTAGCTCCATGTCCACCTCGACGACAATGTGTGATAAATCAAAGCAAGCTTCAAGTGTTCAGCCTGACGTGCAAATAACAAAGTTTCATTCCCCTTGGGGTCAAAGACTCTAGTTTGAATTGGTTATGGTGTATCATCATGTTGAGGGTGTGCTCAACCGAGTCGTGTGCAGAAATGCTAACCGAGTCACGGAACTTACCGAAATTCTCTGTCTGTCAGGCGCGGGCGATTAGTAACAGCAGCAATGGTGTTCTGGTCATCCTGGATGGATGAAGAAAGCAAGTCTCGAAGCAAAAACATTGAATGCCATGAGGAGATGGTTGCTCGCAGTGTGAAGAAAGAGAAAGAGCGAAAACAAATTTCGAAGTTTTTCAAGCTCTGCGGCCCGGAGCCACATTCTGCCGGGTCTAGTCCGCATCGGGCCTGTCTCTTCGGTGAATGGCTAGGTCACGTGAATCTTCAACGCGCCTCAGGGGCTTTTTTTCTTATTTCACGAAGTTTTATGGACTTTACCACGCCATCGATTAAAATGTTAGCGCTTAGATCTTAGCTGTTGCGGTCCAAGCAAAAAAGCGCTATTTTTCAAGTCACACTTTGCCAAGAGCGCAGCCGATTTGCTCGGCAATTAAACTTGGCCTTTTTCTCTTGCGGGGATGGGATGTGAGGGTTTGGAAGAGTTCATGTTCAAGGTCTTGCATAGGCTTGTTTTACAGCTTATGTACACCCTTTCCTACGCTTTCATAATAATCAAGGTATCGACTACTTTCGAGCCATTGACGCAATCTCTTCGCCAGGATTGCTGTAATCCACGAATCCAAATTTCGCATACAAAGGTGCACCGTCCTTGCTGGCGTCCACATACGCCTGAACACCCTCAGCGTCGGCCAGATCGCAGCCCCATTTGACAAGCAAGGAGCCAGCCCCTCGCCGTTGATAGTCCGGGTGCGTAGCAACCGTATCTAAGTCTACAGACAAGTCAGTGACCCGGTGGAGAATCGGAATGGAAAGCACGTACAAAAATGCTTCGTCGCTCCCATGACTCGCTTCCTATTCGCTTCCTCCTTCGTGAAAAATGCCTCGCAAAGCTCACCGGGCATTTCTTCATGCCACGGGGGATATCGGCGGCCTCGTTCTTCGGGCATGGATAAGTCCCATTTGGCATATGCGGCTATCCGCGGCCGGCCCTGGGCATCTTTCGATTCGGTATCTATCACTTTCATGTATCGCTGGAAAGGCTTATTAAGGATATCGTGGGCGTTGGCATCCTCCACCCATTTGCGCACGCCTGGCGTGTTGGGAAACACGTGTTGTAACTCCGGGTCGGTGAAAGCCGCAAAGAACAAGTCGGTGAGGGCCGGGTTGTCCTCGATGGTAAGAGGCTCCAGCTTAAGGGAACTGGGGGTCATCATGATGGAAATGTAATGAGGCTCAGTGGTACGAATTATGCTTCAAATTGACGGATAGAGAAGTAGAAATGCCCCTGGCGGTGATTCCGTATTTAACCCGCCTTTGATCCCCGCGCAATGTAACTACGTGGCTTATCAGAGCTCAGCCCCCAATTGCGTGGCCAAATACTAGAGGGATAGATATGGATCAATTGTCAGCCTCGCCGGCTGCCTCGGGGAGTTCTATGAGCTCCAAGGGAGGGGGATTCAACATAGAAGCCTAGACAAAAGACCGAAAGCATGTGGTGGGGTAGCCAGAAACCCCCCTGACTGTTGATTGTACAACAACCCAACTCCATTCGGAAGATCCGTGCTTAACGGTCTTCGAAATTGGTCATCAACAAGTCTTACTTGCTCATAAGTTAAGAGCTACATAACTGCAGATGCATCCTAGAATAGAGGGTGTCATCAGGTGAGCCGACAGAGTCGGGATCGGCAATCTATAAACACGGGTTCTAGAATGTCGGACCTGAACTAGTCCGCGCTATCAGGGGGTTTTTTTCAAAAATAAGATAAATCTCAGTTGTGCACATGATGGTCAAGGTGGAGAGTCCACTGGAGGGATTTCTTTCTTCCGGCGTGTCTTGCTCTCCCGATGCCCGAGAACTCGGCAAGAGGAAGGGATCGGAGGCTCTCGACCGGGAAAGCGGTGGTCTACGATGCCACCGAGACCAGCCAACCCCGCGGCATTGTCGCCACAGAGGCCATCGTGAGTCTTTAGAATATAGCCAATTGCAATTCAACGGACCTCTAGAAAACAAATGCAACAGCTAGACTCCGGACGGGCAGAATCGGCCCACCAGAAAGCCCAAGGGGAAAACCGGAGCACCACGGTCACGCGGGGAAACATGACGAAAACCAGCGGGACTCGGGAATGAAGTCACTGCTCCCCGCGGTTTGCGTCAGTACTTAGACCGGTTTGCTCCCCTCGCTTCTTGACGTTAATCCACCCCACTCGATCTACCTGCCTTGCTGTTTCTGCTGTGCCCTGTTCGGATTACTTGCCACGGTCGTTCTTGGCTTCGGTCCGATTGCTCTTATTTATTTGCCCCTCCTCCCTTCCAAAGCCGAGGCTGTCATACATCACCTACCCCTTTTTTTCTCACCTACCCCTCCCTTTAGAACAACCACCAAAATGTCGGGCGCTCCTCCTGTTGGTCAGGAGAACATCAACACTGATATTGTCACCCTCTCCCGATTCTTCACTGAAGAGCAGGCCAAATACCCTGATGCCTCCGGTGACTTCACCCTACTTTGCCACGCTCTCCAATTCTCCTTCAAGTCCATCGCCTACTACATTCGTCGTGCCTCCTTGATTAACTTGACCGGTCTGGCCGGTTCCTCGAACACCACTGGCGATGACCAGAAGAAGCTCGACGTCATTGGCAATGACATCTTCATTTCCGCCATGCGCGGCTCTGGCAAGTGCCGCATCGTGGTATCCGAAGAGGAAGAGGACGTGATCAAGTTCGACGAGCACCCCAACGCCCGGTACGCCGTCGTCTGCGACCCCATTGACGGCTCCTCCAACCTGGACGCCGGTGTCTCCGTCGGCACCATCTTCGGTATCTTCCAGCTGCCCGACGAGGTATTGGGCCCCAACAAGGACGTCGGCCCCGAGCACCTCCTCCACCCCGGTACCAGCCTGGTCGCCTCCGGTTTCACCATGTACGGTGCCTCCGCCCAGCTCGTCGTCACCATGCGCGGCGGCGGCGTCAATGGCTTCACCCTTGAGAATTCGCTGGGCGAGTTCATCCTCACCCACCCCAACATGGTCATGCCTGCCAAGCGCTCCATCTACTCCGTCAACGAGGGCAACAGCTCCCTCTGGGAGGACTGGTGCAACGAGTACTTCCACAGCCTCAAGTACCCGCCCGCGGGCGAGAAGCCCTACAGCGCCCGTTACATCGGATCCATGGTTGCAGACGCCTACCGAACTCTGCTTTATGGCGGTATCTTCGCCTACCCGGCCGACAAGAAGAGCCCCAAGGGCAAGCTGCGTATTCTGTATGAGTGCGCGCCCATGGCTATGCTGTTCGAGAACGCCGGCGGTCTGGCTGTCAACTCGCGCATGGAGCGCTTGATGGAGGTTGTCCCCGAGCACATCCACGATAAGAGTGGTGTCTTCCTCGGCTCCCGCGACGAGGTGCAAAAGGTCATTGATATGTACAACAAGCACCAAAAGAAATAAGCGCGCCCTTTTTGATTTTGCCTTGACACGAGGACATGATTGATACCCCCCTTCGGGTGCCGCTTCATGCAGCTCAGCATCATTTCTTCTTATCTTTGATCAACTTTATTCATGATGCCACGCCTTTTACTCCTGGAGTGCTGAGTAAGCTGGAGTTCGTGTTCTGGTTGAGAAGTGATCACATCGGAGGTCGCTGTATTCATCAGCGCCTTTGTGATCGTTTAAATAGTTTAAAATACAATATAAAAAAAATTATTAAAATAAACCTCGGGTCTCCGTAGACTTCCACCTACGTTACGATTTAAGTCGAATTCCTTTTACAGCCATCGGGGAACTGAATTTGTACATGGACGTGATGTATTCTCTAGATACTTTACAAAACACGAGACAAGGAAACCCGGAGAGTGAAAGAACAGAGTCCCACAGGGACGCTTGAGCAAAAGATGGTTTAGAGAAGCTATAACGAAACAAGACCGAATATACAACCTTAATCGATCGGGTCTTCCTCGAGAAGAGTCTTGAAACTGAACGGTAAGAAGGGGATACCTTCTCCCATAAAGTGCTTCGACATCGACTCGACCCAGTGCAACCTGAGCGAGTGCAACACTAGAGACAGTTAATATCTTTCCGAGAATAGATGGTTGGTTGGGGGGAATCTTACTGGCGCTGGTTCCTTCCATGACACATAAAATAGCCACGCTCAGGGTGAACCAAAGGTAGAAGCAGAAGACAACCGCAATCACACGAATGACGGGGCTTTCCTGACCAAAGGCAGAGCCAAGAGTCATGTCCCAAAGCACGATAGAAAGTTGCTGGTGAGCCAGGGAAAGAGCCCAAAGACGAAGGTAGGAGGCGGTGTGAGAAATACAGTTGAGACAGAACTCAATGGTGTGAATAACTTGGTGAATCATCACGTCAGAGAAGTCAAACTCCTCATGCTCTTCGCCCTCGTGGATATCCTGGGCAATCATGGCAACACCTTCGCCGTCGCTGGCCATGCTATCACGGTAACCTCCATCGATTTGACTGTCATCCTCCAGGGCACTAACTCGGGATTGCTCGCCAAGCCCCCGGTAGCCCAGGGCACGGGCACGGTTATGCTCACTGCGAAGCCAGAGCGGCTTGAGGAGAAGCATGATCGGCACTTGAACGACGGCAAGGAGAAGCAGGAACACTTGGACCCCGGCCTGGTGCGAAAAGAGAGGCTCATTGACAGTACCAGGGCTCAGGAACATGAAAATAAGCATGTTGAGCAAACTTGGGGGGCTCTCTCCTCGATGCTCCCAGTTCACGGACCACTTGTAGAGGATAGTGATGACGAGGTATCCGAAGATGGACTGGAAGAACAGCATGCCGGGAACGAAGTTGCCCCAGATGTCGACCTTGGATTTGAAGTGCCGTCCATTGACGTACTGGAAGCAAAGAGCATAGGTCATCTAATTACTTATATCAGTATTTGTCTCTTAAGGAGGGGAAGTTGTCTGTTCCGGTTGCACTTACGTGAGCCCATCCAAGCAGAATACTCATCTTCATCTTCATGCTGTTCGAGAAAAGCAAGGAGTTCTCCGCCTCGTGCCAACTCCAATCCAGACCAATAGGGAAGCGATAGCCGTCCTTCAAGGTGGCCTCAACGGACTGGCCTGCCTTGATGTCCTCGGGCCATTGCCATTGACTGGGGAAAAAGGTGAACGCTTTAGAGAAGATATCGTTGTAAATGAAACCGGTGTACATGGAGAAGAGACCCATCATCAACATGATGTATCGTCCATAGAAAGCCATGTAGGTCAGCTCGTCAAGTTTGGCGCGAAGCAGCTTCTTTTCAAAGAAAATCATGGCACAAGCAGCCAAGGTCATCAAAGAACCGTGGCCGAAATCACCGAACATGACAGCGAAAAGGAAAGGGAATGTAACAATTGTGTACAATCCAGGGTTAACCTCGGAGTACTTAGGAATACCATAGGCATTGACGATGGTCTGGAATGCTTCCGTAAACTTGTTGGTCCGGACATAGGTAGGCGGGGTCTTGTTTGTCCGAATCTGGTTGACGATGGTCGGGACAGAGAGGCCGGCGCGGTCGTTCACATCCTGGAGAGTCGACTTAATTAGAGCAAGAGAGTTTGTCGGGCACCACGCCTCAGCAATGAGCGTTTTTCGCGCCTGGTCGTAGGAAAATTTGTTCAGTGTGTCATAAACGGCCTTTTCCTTCTTGACGATAATCATCCAAGCCGCGAGCGAGCGAGCAATCTGCGAGAGCTCGGCATCGAGAGTGTTCTTGGTGTTGCGGAGCACATTGCCCACATCGCCCAGTCGAGTGTTGACCTCATGGATCTGATCCCGTCTCAGTTCGCTGTTCTCATCAACACCATACAGGGAAGCTCCCAGCGACTCCGAGATCTTTCGAATCTTAGCAAGGATGTTCTTGCCATGAGCAAAGATCACAAAAACACTCTTGTGAATCTCCTCGTTGTTCACGGGATCGATAATCGCCTCCGGAATCTCCGACTGGTTCATGTAAAGGTTGCCGCGCAGGGTACGCCAGAGGATGCGCTCGAAAGCTCCGATGCGGTCCTGGGGGATGACACCAGCAACGAAACCGATGTTCATTTCCTGGAAGCTCTGCTGGCCGTGGCTGTCGCCGTTCGCACCACGGGGAGCATGCTGCTCGACATCACGAAGAAGAGGCGCCTCGTCGTTGTCGAAGGATTGGCGAATGTCTTCCGTCTGGGTATGGGCCTATTCTCGATATCAGTCTATCCGTCATGGAGCCGCTTATACAGAGATTCGGTACTGACCCGGTCAAAGAATCCACCAGCCTCGCGGAGTACCCAGCGCCATTCGGTAAGCTCGACTTCACGCTTCTTCAGGGTCTCGTAGCTGTCATTCAAGGAAGCAATCCGCTGTTCCAGACTCTCGCTGCGTTCCGCCAGCTCGTCAATTTCCGAAGCTAAAGGCGCTGCCAATGTATCCGAAAATTCAGACGAGGATCTCATGGAAATGGATGCCTTGTCCATCTGCGAATGGAAGTAGCCTATGATGGGAAGGCGGGGTTTAGCAGACTGTCGACAAAATCCACCACAACGGTCCTCGAACGGGGCGAATCAAACATACGAAGTTGTCTCTCGACATTGTCCAGGCGACGGATTTCCTTGGTGAAAGTGCGTTGGAAGGCGTTGGTGTCCGGGTTAAGCTAGTAACAAGTCAGCGAGGATGTTTCACAACGAGAAAATATTTGGATGACAGTATCCAGTAGCAACTTACATCTCTGAACTGCACCTGCCCAACCTCACCCAGGGCGCTCACAACCTCTCTTCCAATCTCGTTGGCAATATAGAGCTGGGTCAGGCTCATGTCCGACGAACGGAAGAAGGTATCCGGCGGAGCCATGGTGGTCAGGGTGGCTATCTGGAGCCGTGCCTTTCCACCAGGGAAGATTTAAGTGAAGGAAAAGATCCAACGAAGGGATCGGTGGGTAGAAAGGAGGGACACAGATGATGGAACGGTGGTCGAGTCTCAAACGAAAGCTCCTCCTGGCTCCGGTCCAGCTGGCGCGTTGCACGTGATGTCACGTGCGGACTATTATGTGCCTCAGGCAGAATTCATATGCATACAGAGACGGAAACTGCAATAACTCCCTAGTTACACACTTGGGGTTATTATAAGTCCGAGAAGTGCATACCAATGGTACGTCCTGGTGGAAGAGAAGTGTAATCTCATGAATTTTCAGAACCCATCATCATTTCGGCCTATCTCCAGAGCTCAGGTTTTTGTGCTTGATACTTCCATCAGGCCAAAAGTCCATGACTATAAAATACGCAAATGAATAACATTAGAAGATGAACCGATCAGCTATTCCAATTAGCTAGGTACTCGGCCTCATTAGCGCAAATGATACAACTGTATCCCCCTCCAAATGAGCCTCATTGATGATTTCAAACCCATTCTTCTGCAGTACTTTGACACTACCAATATTGGCTTTATTGCACGCAGCAAATAACTTCTCCGGCCCGCTACTTAATTCTGATTCCGACTCTGGCTCTTTCCGGGGAAGCTTCCACGCATCGACAACTCCTGCGACTGCCTCGCTCACAAACCCTTTACCCCAGAAATCAGGGTGAATGCCGTATCCAATTGACGGAGACGGCGCGAGACCATTTATACCCACGGCCCCGATGACCTTTTGCGTTGGGTCGGTGCCGGAAATCATAGCGAAAGTGAATTGGCGTCCAAGGGCACCGGATGCATCGGGGGTCGTGAAGATCTTCTTGCGGATATATGCTTCTGTTTCTTGGATGTTTCGGTGGGGGATCTTGGACCACCTGAATTATGTTTCGACTTGATTTAGCCTTATTGATAGAGTGAGGGAATGAGTTTTCTTACAGCCAGTCTGCGACATCTTGTCGCGATCGGAATTCAAAAAGATCTGCGGCGTCGGCGAGTTCTAGGGGGCGTAAGTAGAGGTTCCTGGTTCGTATTGAGTTCACCTTCGCAGGTATAATGACTCTTGTATCCTGGCGAGGGTAGATCCTCTCTTTGACGATTGGATGATCGGTCTTCATGGTGACGGTGCTGACGCTGATTCCAGGTTTCCGGCACGGCCGTCCTCCCGCTATATATATACGTTCGAGGTCGACTTTGCTAGTCTTATCCTTACGGGGAAAATAGACTAAAGCTTTGCGTGACTCATGCAACTGGTTCAAAGATTGCTGAAAAGGCTTCGATGGGATAAAATAGCTTGAAGCCTAGTGTCACATCCACGGGTTGCGCGTTGACTCATGCTTTCTGAAATCCCCGCTTGTGGAATTAGAGTGATATTATGAGATTTAATATATATATAGAGGTAGAAAGAGATACCTGGCTAGGATAAACAGAAGAGCATGTTCCATATTCATTATCGTAAGCTTCATCAGCCTCAGTAAAGTATTGTACAATTGTAACAGATGTTCGCGCGTAGACAGTCGGATGTATCACCACCACGGTAAAAGATCAACATCGCCAAAGCCGCAACTTGTCGCAACCACAAGAGAGCAAAATATTTCCACATCGACGCCATTATGCACCGCCTTCCCTCTTGGCATATTCCTCCTCCATCCGCTCCTCATACAGCCGGTCGGCTTCCTCCTTGCTAAGCGCGCTCTCGTCCTGCGAGGAGGAGGATCCAGGCGCACTGATGGTGCCGCCGGTGCCGGTTCCGAGGTGGCGACCGCTGCTGGTGTCAGTCGAGGCGAGGGAAGCGTGGCCCGCGGAGCCGGCTTGACGCTCGTTGGCTTGCTCTTTATCGTAGAGTTCGGCGGTTGGGACGGGCATTTTTGAGGTTCTTATGGGGTTGGTTCAGGACTTGAAGGAATTGACAGACGGTAAATTGTTGCTTGAGGTGTAGAAGTGGGAAAACAAGAGGTTGATGTGCGTTTTATGAGTCGTTTGAAGCTTGTTGGGATTTGCGATGCCCGAACCTGGAACCGCCACACGTGTGGCAACAGCTCGTGAGTCAGACGTCATATCAACGGTGGGGAGCTCTCAATTCTCAACCAAAGCTATTTATGTCCAACAAGAGTCTAATATATAATTGACACGCCAATATTCTATTTGTCATGATCTTGCTGTCTCCAAAATGCTCTTCTGCAAAGCCCTCGTAATAATCATTCACATTCGAACTCGTAAAGAAGACGTTATCGCCAAAGGCGTCGCTAAACACAAACAAAAACAAGGAATAAATCGAATCGCTGATCTATTACAGACGAGATTTGATCGGTTCCGGAGTTATAACTGACCCGACGTCGTGCAGACGCTTCATGTCCGGATCGTACAGCGGCTCTGCGGTGACACTGGCCTTGATCCGCCGACCAAAGTACTCGATCTCGACACATTCGCCCTCGCCAAGCTTGTTAGGAAGCCAGGCATAAGCGACTGGCTTACGAACAGTGAAGCCAAATCCTGCACTGGTGACATAGCCGACAGACTTGCCGTTATGGAATACAGGCTCTTTGCCCAGGACCATGGAGCGGCCGTCGGAAACAGTCAGACAGCGCAGGCGACGAGTGGGCTTCTCTTTAGCCAGACGCTCAACTGCAGATCTTCCGACGTAGTCCTCCCATTTGCTTACTCTGATGGCGGACCCAACTCCAGCTTCGTAGGGGTTGTGCTCGGTAGTCATGTCGGCGCCGTAGGTTCGATAGCCCTTCTCCAGACGCAGAGAGTTGAAGGCGCCACGGCCCGCTGCGATGAGCCCGTGGGTCTTGCCTGCCTGGAAGATAGTTTCCCACAGCCGTGAACCGTAGTCGGCGGTGGTCTGGATTTCCCAGCCGAGCTCTCCGACGTAGGATTTTCGGAATGCTGTGACTGGGATGCCGCTGATGATAGCGTCCTTGACACCGAAGTACGGCAGACCCTTGTTCGAGAAATCATCTGTGGTAATGGTGCCGATGACGTCTCGCGCCCGAGGACCCCAGAGACCAATGCAACAGGTGCTACCGGTAACATCGCGAACCTCGACCCATTGTCCTTGGCGACGAGCTTCCCGGGTGAGATAGGCAAGATCGGTTGCACTGTTGGCACCGACTTGGAACTTTTCTTCGGCAAGTCTTGACACGAAAATGTCGCTACGAATACCACCGTGGTCATTGAGGAGGAGAGCATAGGTGATGACACCTGTGTTAGTGTTGACATCGCCTGTGCACAGCCTCTGGAGCAGATGGACGGCTCCAGGACCTGTCACCTCGAACCGGTGGAAAGTGGTCATGTCAAACATGGCTACTGCATTGCGTGTCTTCCAAGCTTCTGCTGCGGTGATGGGAGAGTAGAACTGAGCTGACCAGGGGTCCCGATCGATAGGCTTCCACTGCGCTGGAAGAGACTTGACCAATTCAGCGTTCGCTTCGTACCACTGAGGGCGTTCCCAGCCGCCGACCTCGAGACAGAAAGCGCCGAGATCCTGCTGCCGAGCATAGAAGGGACTGGTGCGAAGCTTTCGGGGAGACTCTTTCGGTTGCAAGGGGTGGAGGATGTCGTAGATCTCGACGAAGTTCTGTGCCGAGGTTTCGTTGATGTAGGAGCGAGTCAATTGAATCTCTTCGAATCGTGACAGTTCACACTCGGTCATATCAATCGTGGAGCGACCGTTTGTGAGGGTCTCGGCCATGGCTCGTGCAACGCCGGCAGAGTGTGTCACCCAAACGGCTTCGGCCACCCAGAAGCCATCAATATTGGGTGCTTGGCCAAAGACAGGGCCGCCATCCGGGGTAAACGAGAAGATACCGTTGAAGCCATCGGAGAGCTGGGTATCCTGCAGAACGGGCAACAACTTTTTGGACTCTTCCCAGGCGGGGTCAAAGTCCTCGGATGTAAACTCAAGACGGGATGGCATGTTCTTTTCATCGACATCCTTGCCCGTCAGACCCAATGATCCAGCAATGACCGGCATAGGGCGATGACCATAGTAGCCGATTCCATACTGTCCACCGTGCTCGCGGTAATAGAGGTCCTGATCCTGATGTCGCAAAATAGGAAGGGATGCGTTCATTCCGTTCATTTTGTTGTTAAGTTCCCGTCCAGCAAGCGCCGGAACGTCGGTGGTCTTCGCATACTGGTGTGCCAGCGGGAGTAGAGGAATTGGTACGCCAACCATCGCACCAATCTCGACACCCCAGAATCCAGCGCAGGAAATGATAATATCGGCCGGAATGGTGCCACTGGGAATTGTCACACCTGTCACCCGGCGGTCGGTTTTTTCAATACCAGTAACGGGTGTCTCGCCCAGATAGCGAACACCGGCCTTGCTCGTACTCTCAATGAGCAGCTGCGTCGCACGGGCAGCAAGCGCCAGACCGTCACTCGGGATGTGTAAACCTCCGAGCACCATATCCTTGTTCAAATGAGGATACATCTTGAGGCACTCCTCAGTGCTCACAAGACGAGCATCAATGCCCCATGAAGAGGCATATCCATGCTTGCGCTTGAGGTCCTCCAGTCGGGCCGGCGTCGTCGCCACCTCGAGACCGCCAACCTGATTAAAGCAATTATGTCCATCCTTCTCGATCGACTGCAGCTTTTCGACGGTATAGCGAGCGAGATTGGTCATCGTCTTGGATGGCGTAGTTTGGAACACGAGGCCCGGGGCATGGGACGTCGAGCCACCCGGCATGTGTAGCGGGCCCTGCTCGACGACGGTGATATCATTCCATCCCCGCGAGACCAGCTCATCAGCGATATTGGTGCCCACGATCCCGGCGCCGATGATGACAACGCGTTGGTTGGGTGCCATTGTGAAGAAGCGATTGATTCCCTGCACGAAGCCGTGGACGAACTTCCTTTATGTAGGACCTAGATCTTGGGAGCTCTTCTCCTGCGGGGAAGGGGTCTTTCTCCCCGCAGGCAACATACCATGATGATATATGGTGGGTTCTTGGTGGAAGCAGTTGACGCCCCGCATCGGCTTATACACCGTGAACCGGACCGTCTGGGTGAATATACCGGCAAAGGATACAGGGTTCCTTTTTCCGAATCAGGTATAGTGGCAGTCGATAATGATTCTTTTATAAAGCTTCTTATCGTTGCGAGTATTGCGAGATGCCGCGCCGGATGAGAATCTTCTGATCAAGACGGAGGCTGGAAAGCTTTATCGAGCTGAAGGAATCTCGGGATAGTAGACAGTGACATCGACACTCGAGCTTGGGCCTTTAGGTTCCGAACCAGATCCTGGAGGATGGATGTGATTTCCATTTTCGGGGTTGGCCGGGTGGTGATTGGCCTTCCGGCGACGAAGCTGGGGAAAGGTGGTGAGACGGTCCGGCTGGAGGCCGCTCACGTGTGCGGGTGCCATCTTTTGGCCGTGGGGACCGGTGGATCGGCATTGGTTCGTTCATGTAGTTTGCTATCGTGATGAGTTTGGTTTATCATGCTATCTTTATCTCGCCACTTTCTGGCCCTATCCCTCCTTCCGAATCGACCCTATCCCGAGCCGAGCTTGATAAGGTGGATTTGAGATTGGACATCTTATTCACCACCAGCTTTATACTCGAAGCCCTATGCATCCAAATTTCAAACAGCCAAAATATCAATCTTTGTCTCCAGCGAGGGAAATGGCGATGACTGGGATCCTTTCGAGGGAAATGAAGCCCCTCGAATGCGTTGCATTAGCACATCTCTCTGGTCAAGTCCTTCGAATGATTTGCCTATGCAGCAGCTCGTTTCCTTCACAAAGCTTTTCCTCGGAGACATTTCTAGATCCTAGCTAGGGTTTTTTACAGGGGATTGTACCTGCTTTTCAAGTGAAGAACGGCGGGAAATTGGAAGCTGCTTGCTCGGTCAAGCAAGTCGGACTGGGGGATCTTGAGCATCTCTTTTGTCTTTTTTCTTCTTTGGGTTGGCACTCTGCCAATCTTGCGGGGAGCCGCGTAGCCAAGTCTTCATAACTAGGCGCCGTGAACGAGCTGCTGAACCAAGTGTCTGAGTGGTCTCAGCTGCTGAAATTCCCTTAGTAGCCTATAGTTGCTGACTCTTCTCATGGTACATAATATGGAGTCCGAGGATAGAGGAAGGCGGAATAGACTCAATGCATACAGACAGCACGATGATGAACGATTTGGCAGAGGAAAGACGGAGCGTTGAGTCTATCTGTAAGGGGCTATTGGCCTGAGGCACAAAACTCCAGACTCATGGCTTATTGCTTGCTATTTACGAAGCCATCCAATTCTTTACTTTCTGATTATACTGCATACAGCCTTGATTCATGATCATCGGATAGGCCGAAACAATCTAGCTTCGCCCTAGTTCGTGCGGAGCGTCCGCTGCACGATCATTCGTCATCCTTTATCGACCTAAGCCTTATCTCCATCCCTTGACTTATCCGCTAGGGATAGAGCGCTCCGCATAGAAATTGGAGTATTTTATCGGACTGATTTACAACATCATCATGATGAACGGCGCCCGGGCGTTTTCACCTCCTTTTATAACAGGAATATCATGGCGCAAACCAAGGAGGCATTCGATGCCTCGACGGACGAGGATCTTGTCCTCGAGCATTTCGGGTACCAGCAAGGTATGACCCACACAGAGGCTAGCTCAGATTGTGACAGTTCATTAATTTGAGTCCAGAGTTCAAACGATCGTTCGGCTTGTTTGATATGATCGGGTTCAGCTTCAGTATTGTGACTTGGTAAGAGCCACCATTAAAAGTCTCGATAGACAAGGTCTGACTTTCTGAATAGTTGGACTGCGCTTGGTGGTGTTTTCATCATTGGCGTGGGAGCAGGTGGCCCACCAGTCATCATATATGGCTGGATTGGAGTCTGCGTATTCACCACATTTGTTGCACTGGTGATGGCTGAGCTTTGCTCACGCTGGCCTGTCGCAGGTGGCCAGTACTCGTGGGTTGCGGTACTGGCACCTCCTCGAGTATCCCGCCAGCTCTCGTACATAACGGGGTGGTTCATGTTGACGGGCAAGTATACAAGGGTGATTCTTTCGGGTTATTATGATGATAGGCTAACTAGAGACATAAGGCATTCTGGCAATGGGCGCAGTGAACAACTCATTCGCATCGAACTACATTCTCGGACAAGCAAATCTGGTGTTTCCTCAGTACACCATTGAGCGATGGCACACAGTTCTCGTCGCATGGTTCGTGGCTCTGGCCGCTCTGGCCTTGAATGTGTACATGCCTCATGCACTCCACCGCTTGTCCCGGTTAATTCTCCTGTGGAATATCGGTACCTTTGTCGTTGTCATTATCACACTCCTGGCGACGAATGATCGTAAGAAAGATGCCAATTTCGTATTCTCCAAATTCGAGAACCTCACGGGATTCGGCTCGGCGATGGCAATCATGGTCGGGATCGTGCAGAGCATCTTCGGCATGTGCTGCTACGATGCTCCAAGCCATATGACCGAAGAAATGACACATCCGAGTCGAGATGCGCCAAGAGCAATCATCCTGTCTGTCGTTATGGGAGCCGTCACAGGCTTCTGCTTCCTTCTCACGCTGTGCTTCTGCATCGATAACATCGAAGCGACAGCGAACTCGAGCACTGGGGTCCCTATTATTCAGATTTTCTATAACTCGACTCAGAATAAGGGTGGAGCCTGTACTCTGGCAAGCATGATTACTGTCATTACCTTGGTCACGTCGGTGAGCTTGACCGCTGAAGGCTCACGATCGGTATTCGCTTTTGCTAGGGACCATGGATTGCCATTTTCCAGGCTTTTATCCAAGGTTGATCTGAAGCGAAAGGTTCCAATGTATGCTTTGGTTCTTACAATCATGGTTCAATTGGCGCTCAATGCCATCTATTTTGGAACAGTGACTGGTTTTGATACTGTGGTATCGATTGCAAGCACGGGCTTTTGTAAGTCACAACCCTCATCGCGCTCTCACGTACACGCTCACAATATAACTAGACATTTCTTACGCCTTGGTACTTTTTGCTCGATTGCTTGGTTACTTTTCCGGTCATCGAGGACAGCTTGATGGCACATGGGCGCTGCCGCTTCCAATGTCTATTTTTTTGAACGCAATCGGGCTGCTTTTCTTGTTATTTTCTAGCATTGTCTTGAACTTCCCGTCAGAGGCTCCGGTCAATTCGGAATCGATGAATTATACAAGTGCGGCTATTGGACTCGTGGCGCTGCTGAGTATTGTGACATGGGTTACTAGCGCCACTGAGAAGTTCACGGGCCCCTCAGATGTTACTACGATTGATGGGGTTGTGCAATCACAGGAGGTTCGAGAGAAGACCTGAGCGATCACACAACGAGCACGAAGGAAGTCATGATCAGTATATACGAGAAATGACTTGTGGAAATATGCCCTGTATATCTACGCAGAAATCTCTGCTTCCAAAAAAAAACAAAAATTACTGTTATCTATCGGTTATTCACTTAGAAAGTTTTCTTGGGCGCCTTAAATTGCTTGGTTACCAAGAGCACGAGTAAGTTTGAGTAAATAAGCTCTTTCCCGCGTGTTTTCCAGAGAAGAGTCCAATAGCATTCAATCGGCCGTCCCGATGCTGACATGGCGGAGTACCCGATGGCGGCAAGACCGAAGACGAGCTGCAATTAGCTAAAGTGAAGGGCTTCATTTGCGAACAAGACATGCCTATCTCGACTTTGCATCACTGCATATAAGAGACTCGTATCGAAGTTCCCACGCACTACGAGACTGGGGCAAGAGTCAACGAGGGCCAGATTTCCATGTCGAAGTGCAAATGGTGGCAGTTCCCGAGCCAGGTGATATCAAGTTTCCCGTCCAACGCGAGTATCGGTGCCGGACGAAAGTCAACTCTGACAAGTGTCAATCCTGCGGCCTGGCTACTGGGCTTGGCCACATTATGGTTTCTTTCAATTGGGAAGAATGATAAGTCTAGATTATTGCAATGTCTCTAATCATGGCTTCATCACATATCCAATCAGTCCACCTTGCAATAACATATAGTGTGGCATATTCATGCCTCAAAGTGACCGTATGTATGGCCCAAACCATGACCAGCTACGATGGGATGTAGAGAACTGAGTAATCAGCAATGTGAGTACTGGGTCAAATATGAAGTATCGTCAGAATGTGAGTACTGGGTCAAATGTGAAGTATCGTCAGAATGTGATCTGAGAAAGCTATTCCTCGCAAGGTCCCCTTATCGGAACGCCACATTCTATCAATGGACCGGTCATGCAGGAGAGCTGACAAGAGTGCATACGCCGCACGACAACCGACGGTATATAATTTAGGGGCTTACTTTTATTCAGAGTTTACGAATGCGAGAAGGCAAGTCTCTTCTCCAAGCCCGAGTCACTGACTCAAGGATTGATGAAAAGAAAAAGTCCACGCAGTGGAAAGTGCCAAAGAATGCGCCTGTCAGAGGACCATAAGCCCGCTGAACAAACTGTTCCGCCGCGATGTGCAATGCAGGGACCAATCTGTGGTGGGCCGCAGTATTGATCGCAGCCACCCAAACAAGGTAAGTATGAAGAAGAAAAGAAAAATAGGAGGAAGGGGCGGGAGCTGGGGCCAGTTAAGTACTTTTTGAAACCGCGCTAGTGGCAAGCGAGTCCATATCATCGCACGTGACACGAAGTCAAAAGCATGTGACATTCCAAATTATACACCTCAGATGAGCTGTCACTTGTGCTTGCGCCTTGCATTCTGGGGTCTATCAATCGATTTATCCCATCGCTGTATTGGAATGAAGGCCTGGGGAGGATAGCGCATGGACTTCCAATAATTGGGCCTCCTTGTTTACGCCGCCAAAGAAAGTGGATGAGTCAGTTACGAGCTTGTGTGGAGCCATCCCCTATTTTTTTTCCATGGGTGGGCTGCAACTTTGTAGGACGGTGTCGCTTCTGTTTTTCTTTATGGGGAGAACTCCGTCGGCATGCTACCAGGTCTAGCATTCTCCGGGCGCCTAGCCCTGCGACTAATCCACCCGAGATTCACGGAGCGAAAGAGCGCACATCCTCATCAAAGGGTGCCATGGTTACTGAGACTTGGGTATCTGGGCTAGTGGGCGCTAGAATCGATGGCGGATTTTGCATATAGAGCTTAGATGGACGGGAAAGTTTCACACCGCGAGACATTCCTCGAGGGATCTTCGCATTGGACGGGTCGGGTGCCATGCGGGCAGCTCCGCTGCCTTGTTCCGACTGCGACCAGCAACGGCTAAAGGGGGCATGGCACTTGCATGGCAGAAAACCTGACCTCGAGCAGTTCGGAGAGGATCGACGGAACTGACCATAGACCGGTCTTAGCGAGGGCAGGGCACGAATTTCTGCCGAGAAAGGGCGGAACGATTACAGTGGTATCTCCCTGGGTCCAACGGGTACTGTAGAAGAGAGAAAAGGGGCAGCCAACAAATACAATTGGTGGGTGCGTCCAAGTGGATCTAACCGTGTGGGCTATCATTACTGGAAATGCTCCGACCGTCGCATTCTGGCAGGGTCGGGACCGTCCTGATCTTCGTGATAGCCAAGGAGGTCATGACTCACGGTTTCTACTCCGTAGAGTCAACCAGTAGCAGTTACGGAGTAGAGTCCAGTCAACCATAAATACGAAACAAAAAAAGACCCAATCACACATCGACAACGTTGTATAGGAGTAGGGCTGGCCAGCCACCGCGATACATGGCTTAAGACACGGGACCACCGGGTGGGGCTCGGACGACTAGCTTGGAACATCTAGAAACTACTGAGACAAACCTAGACAAACTAGACTCTCGAATCGTAGCCAAGCAGCCGTGCAAAAAGGGGGACATAATTAGGGGACCAATATCAATCCCGTCGGTGGATCCGTTCGAAATTTCAGATTTATCTTCTCCGTGTCTACGTTCTCCGCACGAGGTGATACGGTACCACGTCAAGAATAGCGAAAGGCAGACACCGTCATGGGACCCCGGTATCAACGGATAAGATGATACGATGCTAGGGCACGGCAACGTCATGTCGAGAACCCGAAGGGGAAGAGGGGTTGCGCAACGGTGCTGGTTGGCCACGAGGATTCGCACACCACGGAGCGATAGAGTTGAAACTTTGAGGCTTCGGTCATGAGATGCTCTCGCAATACGCGCGCCACTTGGGAGGACGAGGACGAGCCGGCAACCAGGATCCGACCCAAGATCAGCGCCATGCGTGCGAATCCGACAGGCGGCCTTAGCCCTGACTGATCACCATGCAGAAGCCGAAGGGAAGAGACTCGCAGGATGTGTGGGCCGTTCAGTGCCTTCCATATCCTATTTCCCCCTCCTTTTCTCCCCATCGTCCCCGGGTAGGACAAAGTACTGGGTACATGTCGTACCCCATCGAGGGGAGTCAACTCAACCCCTTGGACCGTGTAATGGTGGCCAACGGCGATCCATAGTACAAGCGGATGACCGAAACCCCGACTGGGTCCCGAATGGGCAAAAAGGAAGTTAATTTGCACGGGACGGGACCCGAGATGCACGGGTAAATTAGGGGCATCCATGGAATCGCATGGTGTAATCCTACATAGTTAGGAGACACCGGCACTTCTTTATACGGAGTACAGTCAATAGAATACGGGCTATTATCGAGTAACGGCATGAACTGACCGTTTCACTCGGTATGAAGATCAAATCGACGGCTCTACGGCCGTAAGCGACGCGGTAGAACAAAGGGAAAAAGACCAAAAAAAACAGTCAACTTCCCCTGAAGCTTTTAGCTAAGCGCAGGTCCCCACCGGGCTCTGGGCTCCCTGCAGCTCCTTTCCTCTTTGAGTGGCAGCAAAGCGTCTTCCCCCCCCCCATGTCCGTTCTCTTTTTTTCGCCCTTCCCTCCCTTTTTTTCCTTCTTTCTTCTTCCCACCCAGGTTACCCCCCCCCTTTCCTACGTCGTTGTGATACCCGAGCTATCCAGCTCTCTATTTCTTTTGCTTTTCTCAAGATACCCCGATACCCAAAACTCGCCTTTCTTCTGAAGCTCAGCTTCTCTTAATCGATACCCCAATAATACCCTTTTAATCATGTCTGACGTTCAGAAGTCCGTTGAGGAGACCCCCGCGGTTGTTCCTGTCACTGAGATTGCCGCTGAGGCTCCCGCTACCGCGATTCCTGTTGCGGAGGTTCCCCAGGAGACTGTTGAGCAGGCCACCGAGGAGACCACTGACAAGCCCGCCGAGTCTGCTGAGCCCGTCAAGGAGGAGGTTAAGGAGGAGATCAAGCCCGCCAGCGAGGGTACCCTCGGCTACAAGGGTCCCGGTCTCGTCAAGTAAGTGAAAAGCATCGCGTTGTGACAGGAACTAGGAGCTAACGAAGCTTGTTGCATAGGGGTTTCCGCTTCGCCAAGCGCTTCTTCTACTTCAACGACGAGCCTGTCGAGGCCAAGCAGCTCTCCGTCTTCCGCCAGAACGAGAAGGCTGCCGTCGCCAACCCCACCGCTGCCTGGGCCAGCCAGACCGGCAAGGGTCTCCTGTTCTTCACCAAGCGCGCTGAGGACAAGGCCACCCCCGCTGGCATCTTCAACCTGGTACGTTCAACCAAGGATCGAGTCACCAAACTCCGACTAATGATTGGAACAGTCTGAGGTCTCCGATGTGACCAAGGAGGGCTCCAACGAGTTCCTGTTCAAGGTCGCCGGCCAGAAGCACACCTTCCAGGCTTCCAGCGCCGCCGAGCGTGACAGCTGGGTCGCCGCTCTCGAGGCCAAGTCCACTGAGGCCAAGGCTGAGAAGGAGACTATCGTCTCCAGTGAGGGCTACAAGGCCGAGCTCGAGAAGCTGACCAAACCCACCGCCGCTGTTGCCGTCGCCGCCGCCGCCGCCAAGAAGACCGACACCGAGGAGGACAAGGCTGAGGAAGTTAAGCCGGAGGAGACCAAGGAGGAGAAGAAGGAGGAGAAGAAGGAGGAGAAGGCCGCTGCGAAGAGCCGCTCCCAGTCCCGCAAGCGCACCAGCATCTTCGGCACCCTTCTGGGCAAGAAGGAGGCTGAGGAGAAGAAGCCCGAGGAGACCAAGCAGGAGACTGCTGAGGAAGCCAAGGCCGCCGAGCCCACCACCGAGACCTCTGCTGAGGCTGCTGCTGCTGCTCCCGCTGTCGAGGAGCCCACCGAGGGTATGTTTCTCTACAACTACATTTTGTTTTGTTGTTTTTTTTTTTGTTTTTTTCTGACATTTCTTATAGCTGCCGCTGTTGTCCCTGTTGTCCCTGCTGAGACCACCGAGGAGGCCAAGGAGGAGGCCAAGGAAGAGCTCAAGGAGGAGAAGAAGGAGGAGAAGAAGGCCAAGCGCGCCTCCATCTTCGGAAACTTCTTCCAGAAGGTTACCAGCCCCGCCCATGAGAAGTCTGAGAAGGAGGCCACCGCTCCCGCTGAGGAGACCGTCTCCAGCTCTGCTCCCCAGCTCGAGAACCCCGTCGAGGAGGCCGCTGTTGAGCCCATTGAGCCCGAGACCGTGATCGCCCCCGCCGATGCTGTGGTCGCTAAGGACGCCGAGACCCCTGCCACCGAGGCTGTCACCACCCCCAAGGACAAGCGCCGCACTTCGTTCTTCGGTTCCTTCGGCAAGAAGGAGAAGAAGACCGAGTCCTCCGACACCGAGGTCACCGACGGTGAGGGCAAGGAGGCCAAGGCCAAGTCCAACAAGCTCGGCGGTCTCTTCCGCAAGAACAGCAAGGCCGTGAAGCTCGACAAGGAGGAGGTCGCTGCTGCCGAGACCGAGGCCAAGGCCGACCAGGCTGAGGAGACCAAGGCTGAGGAGCCTGTCGCGACCCAGGCCACCACTCAGGAGACTCCCGCCGTCGAGGAGGCCGCCAAGCCCATCGAGACTGCCACCGAGGAGGCCAAGAACGTCGACGTCTCTGCCGCCACCCCCGTTCAGGCTGCTGCTTGAATTGCGTCTCCCGGACGTAAAGAGTTCGAGCGGTGGTGGGATTTGTCCTATTCATCATCAACTCAACATACCCCTGAAGGGCTTGTGTCTCCAAGCATGAGTTCCTGAAGGATGCAAATACGGACTTGATACCTTTCTCTGCAGTTGCTCGTTTGCTTTGCCTCGCCACTGGCCCTCTTTCAGTGATCACGGTCTATTTGCCTGGACTTGGATCCTGAAAGAATGCCAATGAGATACCCGCTGTCGCTTTTTGTTTCTTTGACTTAAAAAAATCCTCATAATCATTGCGGTGCTCTATCGACGCCGAATCCATTCCTTTTACGACCAGCGTCCCGCAACCGATCCTCGATTTGCGACGTGATTATGCGTTACGTGGTGTGTCGCCCGACTAGATTGATACCACTTTGCCGCTTTTTGGTTTGTGCTTGTGCTTGCTCGTGTTGGATACCCTTTAGGAGGAAGGGTGTTTATTTGTTTTGGGTCTGTCCCGCTCAAATTGCCCCTGTAATGTTGTCTACCGTTGTTCCCGTCTCGCGCGGTCTTTCTTAATACTACGTGGATGTGGCACATACTGCGATAGGTAATGCTTAATAGAATCTTCTCAGTTTGCTTTTACATGTATTTTTTTATTTTTAACACCCGTGTAGTAGTAAAGGTCATTGGAGTGGACGTGGTAAATAGCGAGCCCCGATGGGTCGATCATCGTGCGCTGAGTGGGAACCTGCACACCATTATGCAGGAAAGGTTAGAACTCCATCGAGATGCATTTGCCAGTGGGCTCCGGGGTGCGTCTAGACTGCAACCTTGGAATCACGCTTTTTTGATATCACATTTTCAATACTGTCCAGATATCCAGTTAAGGCACTTTCGATATATTTCTGTGATCGGCGGTGAAGACCACCGTTGGTCATCATGGGCCTGACGGGTCTGTACCCAGGAGCCCTGGAGATGTAGACTGCACGACGTCAGATGCTTAGGATCCACTATGATGGTCCACCGGTTTCATGCCATGCCGTAAAGCCTTCCGAGTTCTACCGTTCCCTGCCTGGGTAACACTATCGCTTGAGGTGAAGAGAAGTCTCGTTTCACACAAATGGGCACATGCAAAATGGACGGGGCTCAGCAATCCGGGTTTCGGTTCACGGAAAGATAGCGTGCGAATTGGAGTCGGTCAAGCGATCTGACCATGGCCATGTGCCCCTTTCATGGCTCAGGGCGTATTTGTCAGCCTCAAGGCACGGCTTATCACCTGGTGCATTCTAGGATACCCATGCCGGTGATTCCTTGTGTGGGTAGTAGATTGGAAACCGTTGACACCGCAGGAGACTCGTCAAGCACACACTCTAGAAATGCAATGGGCTTTCCCCAAAAAAAGCCTGAAACAATGATCGAATATGTGGGTGCGTGAAAGTCAATTTTCACGCCCTTCGGCAGGGCTAAGATCAAAGCAGGCATTGAAAGGACCACGGACCACGGCACAGCCCATAGCGGGGAGACAATTGGGAAAGGATCGGTGGGGCTTTTTGGCACTTTGTCGGAGACAGAATAATGTCTCCGACGGCCCTCGCTTTCGTGGGAAAGGGTTGAGCCTCTCCGGGGGTATAGTAGTGCCTCGCGAATGTGATCTGAGGGTATACGTGGCAAGTTCCGGTGAAGGGCTGCCTATTTCTATCTGTAGGCAGTAAATAAATAATTGATGAGCCTAGAAAGGGGCCTCAAAACATCGCGGATGTGCGGATGTGCGGATGCCTAGATATGCCTCACGGAGACCGGTGAGGGCGCTATTGGTCAATTCCCCTCGGCGATACCACGATACTTATCTATACTTGGATCTACCGCGCACTTCTCGTAGAACGAGAGGTACCACGGGTGTACCGGGTGCGGGCCCGCCGCACCAATAGGCGGGCCCGAAAGGACGGTGAGTCACACCCCGTGACTGCGGCATCGACTAAGCCCCGTGCGGCTCTGGCCGGTGATTGGGTCCCGGACTCCACTGCCGCACAGAACTTTGCTTAAGAAGTGCCTGAGTCCCCCGATCGATGCCTGCCTTTTCTTTCTCCTTCCATCCACCCGTGATTTCATCAAACCACTTCTATCAACTTATACATCAACCTCCACAATACTGCCTACATCTGAACTAAATTTTGAACCACACGATATCCAAAATGGACGCTTTCTAAGCTCTCCGCTTCAGAGTTCGTCTTTCTCTATAGAGAACGGCACTATTGATCCCACGGGAACACCAGTCTATTTCTCCCCTCAACAACCTTTTTCAGAGTCTCCTGTTCCAGGATCTCTGAACTTCAGCATCGCTTCGCGTAGCTCAAGTTCTTCTTTCAACACCATTCCAACGATCGACGTTACGTCGTTCACCACGGATTACTCCCAGCAATCATGGCTCCCCACGCCCCCGCCTACACAGCCCTCGGCTTCCAGTTTGAACAACAACAACAGCAACAACAACAACAGTGCGCTAGAGGACTTTGTACTCTACCCCACTCCAGTGTCCCGTCCGCAGCCTCCTCACAGAGACTTGCGTGCGCCAGCACCTCCGAGTACTGCCCTTAAGCCGTCTGCCTTGCAGCCCTTTCTGGCACAGAACAACTCTCGACGACACAGTTTTAGTCTGCAGTTGCACCGTCATCTTCAGCAGCAGTTCTCTGGCTCTACTGCAGACCCCAGAGTGACCAAGCTACCCCGGTCTCCTTCCCACTGGTCTCACTCCTCGCACCACGCTCCGTACAACCGCCTTTCCACCCCATCCTTCCATTCAGACAAACAAAAACACCGCTATCTGGCCTACCGCCGCAACATGTCGACTCCGAACTTCCAAGGTAATTATTTCACGCACCTCATCTCTCACTCCGCATCCAGTGCTCACGCTGCCCCACCAGACAACGACTACGACCTCTTCGGTCTCCCCTCTGCTGGTCACCACGCTGGTATGGGTTCGCCTTTCGACCTCACCCAGCTGCCGCTGGGCCACGAGGCCGACGGCGCTTTCTCCCCCGCCCTGCCCTCTGGCACCGTTTCGCCCAAGGACCTGATGTTTGAGAACTCGGTCCCACCCTCGGGCGCTTTCACTGACCTGAGCACTCCTCCCTTCGACTCGCCTGGCACTTTCAGCCAGAACCCGTCCCCTCTTTTCACGGATGCGGACGTGGGCACCGAGTGGCCCTCGCTCTTCAACGATGGCTCTGCCATGAACTCCTTCGACGCCGCTTTCGGCTTCACTGGTCTCGCCGAGACCAAGGAGGAAGAGTTCCAGAAGCCTGCTCTGCCGATGTCGCCTGCTCCCAAGCGAGTCGCCGCCAAGGCTTCGCCTGTCTCCGCCACCGGTGGTACCAAGCACTCCACCGTCTCGGGTATTTCTCGTTCCCGCAAGGAGCTCTCTCCCGTCGAGTTCGACAACAGCGATCCCATCGCTGCCAAGCGCGCTCGCAACACCGAGGCTGCGCGTAAATCGCGTGCTCGCAAGCTCGAGCGCCAGGCTGCCGCTGATTCCGCGATTAATGCACTCAAGGAGCAGCTGGCCGCCAAGGACCAACTCATTGAGAAGCTCAAGGCTCAGCTGAAGGCTCAGCAGACCTACCAGTGAATGTTCCTATGACATGTTTTTTTTCCGTTGTTTTTTCTGTCTTTCCATGGTGTGGTGGGCGCGGGGCATGGGTCTAGCCTGATCCCCGACGTCTCACCGAGGCCTCAGAGCACGCTTCTCTGAGCCTCTCAAAAGTTAATGAGCTGAGACGTCAGTTCTTCTTCTCTTCCGTCTTGCTTTTGATATTCAATTCGTTTCCACTCTAGCCGGTTCTGATTGTCTCCCTCGCCAGTAGCTGGTGCTGGGATTGACTCGTGGCTCTTGCTATTTTGCCCTTTAGTTTTAGTTTGAGATTTAATTTTCCTTTCTCACACTTCTTATCCTATTTAGACGCGTAGATCATTCCGTCCTGTATCGTTTCCGCGATTGAATCTGGAAATTGGTTGGACATGCCAGCCACCCAAATTCTTCTGCAGTCGATGACCTCGTCGCCACTCTCATCCATCGCGATGGTCGTCACCTTGTACTCAACTACTCAAAAGCACATTAATTGGACATGATCACTTAAAAAAATTTATACTTCCACGAGGGTTCTACATCCTACCTGACGTAGTCTGCAGATTCCGCACCAACCCCACAACCTTCCACCCCACTTGAGAAAGTTTCCTTCAATCAGAACCATCTCAAGACTTCCAACTCTCTACACCACGCATAGTCACTCACATCCACGATGGCCCAAGCCAGACAATCAAGTCTCAACGTCCTATCCAACTGGGCCACCAACACCAACGAACTCGCCCAGAGCATCGATCTCGAGAACCACGACACCAAGCTGCCAGTAAGGATGAACCGTCCAGCGTAATTGCGCAGGCGTTCCGGCTAAACCCCTTCACAGGAAGTCATCGATAACATCCGGCAAGAACTTACTCAGATAACTGAAGACACGAGCAAGGCCTCGGAGCACGCGCCATACACCGAGGATGAGCAGCAGGCTATCAGCCAGTCTTATCATAAGGTCAGTCGCGCTTACCATGCCCAAGGGTAATCTTACTGCTAACGTGGTTATAGTTCGTGCAATCTCAGCAAGTGCTATTGAATACTCTAATTGGAAAACATGAGATTCTATCCATGACTCCGTTCACGGCCCCACTGGGTACAATCTTGACCATGCTAGAGAGCGGGTTTGATGCCCTCGGGGATGCTATTCTTGAAGAGGTTCCTGCATGTGACCAGGAGGTTAGGGGGAAACGGGACCAGTTGGATAGTACTTTGGGTCAGGCCATTGATCTCTATAGTTAGGATTGGGGGCGCGGAAGTATCGTTGTGCACCGTCGTGCTATATCAAGAGGTTTTATTAAATGTCACGATCAGTTACAGGGACCAAAACCAGACGTAGGCGTGTCACGTTAATTGCAGAGGCCCCGTGCTCAACGTAAAAATAATATTGATACTTTCTTCATTGGTACTTTTGGGGCCTGGATCTATTGTTTCTGTCTTGTTGCGGCGGTTCCTTCCACACATTTGAGTTACCCCTTCAAACTCTAACGTTAACATCTTAGATAAACTGGTTTACCGAGCTAATAATGCAATTCTATATTTTAAAAGGAAAAAAAAAGGGAAAAAAAGGGAAAAAAAAGACACCCCCTACGAGTTTTGATCTCGTGACATCCTGATTAAACTGTTAAGTTGTTAGTTTATATTTATTACGTAACGAATTGGGAAATGACGAACAGTCAGGCACTCTCCCAGCTGAGTTAAGAGGGTTAAGTTAAGGCATTTTTACAAAATTACGTTCCATCATGTCTACGCTGCCACGCTTCATAGGGTCAATTGACTCCCAAAAGGTTTCGTCTAGAATAACACCTTATTTTGATCTTAGAAATGGCGGACCTGTGAATTGCCTGTTCGAGTTATTTTCAATTTTGTTTTAAGTTACCCATTGGCTTTACATAAACACATTCAATCGGAGGCTTGCTGCCTCGCGTTTCTTGTTCGATGGGCGGTTTCAACTTCCCAAGTTGAGTCCTGAGAAAATATTTCCTCGTCTTCCATTGAAACAAACGAGCCATTGTGAGGGTCCTTCTGCGCTACCTTCCACAAGTCCTTCATGGAGATCTCATCGGCATGCCAACGCCGCGCGATATAGAAATTGTGAATAAGCTGCTGGAGACGAACGCGCAGGTAGCCTTGGTACCCACTGGAGCTTTGGTTCCCCGTGTCTACCACGTAGTCTGGGTCGACGGCCCAGATCCAAAAATCATCTGCTAAACGGGTTTCCAGAACAGAGGCTGCAGAATTGCTGTCTATATATAGAAAAACATTCCGCAGGCTCCCACTGTATTTAATGTATTACATCAGAGATTCCGCAATATACAGTAGTGATTATTGCGAGTAAGTTACTTCTGCTAACCGATCCACTAATTCTTTCCAAGCTCTTTAGATATCTCCTGATTGCATCGGAGACTGTAGACGTTGATCACTCGGGACTAAACAAGCTTATCTACGGCCTCGGAGATTTGCCGATCTGGACCGACTCAGGGTCTTCGATCTACGATCAGTGCTTCTACAAATAGACACTCAGATAATAGTAAACCAGCTCAGACTTGCCTTTTGCACCTTCACGAGCCCCATCTCTCCCCCAAATCCGTTCTCCCTCGTCGCCTCCATGCCCTCAAGATAAACTGCATCCACTTCACATACCCGGATTCTTCATCCCATCCTCGAGCTACGCGCCGTCTCGAAAGACTGCTGTTGCTCTGGGGAAAGAGTGAGAACGGACGGAGTATGTTTGGTGAACCGTCCACTTGATCGAAGGATGGAGTGGTACTCCATAAAGGGCATGGAAGTAGATGACGAGAGATAGGGACTTGTATTTGAAAGCTGGGTGGGACGGGGCTTCAGAAGTATCTGTTTCCATGTTTTGTCATCACCGCTGGACTGAGTTCTTGATGGAAGGGAAGGGTGTTGATTCGTGGGGAAGGGCAAGGAAAGAGGATCAGTGTATAGAACAAGGAAAGGAGAGAAGGAAAGGTCATAAGATTCAGGTGAGGGTATCGGTGCCTTTTGTGCGGCCTTTCTCCATCTTAGCTGTACGCGCACCGAATTGGATAGCACGCTTCTTCTCCCGAGCAACGCTCTGCAAGCCCAACCTCAGAGCCACAAGCCGGAGCGCCATTTTCTCTCTATCAAGAGTGGCAATTGTCCGTATCTCTGGATCAGAGTCTGACAGCTCAGGAAGCCCGAACCCGCACTTTTCCCAGACAGGAGCGCGAAGTACCCACGCGACAAAGTCTTCGTCTAGATATGGGAAGCGAGTTTCGCGGCCCCAATGACAGAGAACGCGGTCGTCACGACCGAGATTCCGCTGTCCAAGTCGGCTGACATCGAGATTGATCTCGGAGACCAAGCCCTCGAAACCGCTGCGGTTGAAGGCGATACCATGGCGGCCGTATCCGGCAAAGAGCTCGTCGGCACCGAGGCCTGAGAGAAGAACGCGTGCTGAGGTCGTGTAGGGTTCTGGGTCTGCTTTGGGGATATGACTTGTTCCTTGACCGCGGGATGCAAAGTACAAGGCACATGCGATGGAGAGATCCATTTCTGTGTTGTGGGGTCTCATGAGACGCTTGACCAGGTCACGATGTGATAGGGTTTCGGTGTAGGGGATGTCAATGGCGATGAAACGCCAGGTGCGACCTGGACAGGCCTGCTGGAGCTCTGTGAATGCAGAACGGCCCGTGATCCTGTCAGGGCAGGCCTCGTAGGCCGAGGTGGGAGATGGCGATGATGACGTTTGTTGTTTTGAATTCAAGTTTGCCGCTGCTGTGACTCTAGGGTTCTCAAATGCGACATTAAGAAGATCGATAGGCTCGTTGATTGGTAGTATGTCATGTGAGAGACGGGCCAGAATGGTACAGTCCAAGCCTCCTGAGAAGAGAACTGCAACTTTGGCACTACGGCCTGAGACATAGCCCGGGGGTTCTGGCACGCCTCGGATCCTTAGTTCAAGTGATTGTCGAAGCCTGGCCTCGAGCTCCTTGACGGACGGAGTGTCCAGTGTCAGTGCTGGTGGTGTCTCTCTCGGAACCGACATGTTCATTGGCGGAATTGGATTCTTCTACAATGAAATGTTAGACGAAAAAATGTTGAAGCTGAAGTGAAACTTACAATGTGACCTGCCGGAGGAGCAGGAGCAGAGCTCCATGGCAAAACCTCAATCTTGTATTGACCCTTAGGCGCCGCAGATGCATCTTGGTATACATCAAGATTGATCATATAGATACCAGCGAAGCCCACCTCTTCGAACAGGGCCGAAGGAGACCCGTCGCACAAGCTGGATATCCTGAGACTTCCGTCTTCTTCAAACCCCTGCAAGAGAGATCTTCTGCCGAGGCAGTCCCTGCTGAAGAAAAGCCGCCCATTCACCGCGTCGTAGAATACAAAGGCAAATGGCCCTGAGATAGTTGCAACAGCCTCGGCTAGTTTGTGAGGAGCATCTTTACAATCATCCCCGACGGCCTGCAAGAAGAGGTTGAAGACGCGTTCAGTATCATTGCCGCTGACGGTTTCGCCGGCTATCTTCCAAGCTTCTCCATTCCAGCAGAGCACAGATTGGGTAGCCGAATCTATAAGGGGTTGTGAGTAAACATGATCACCTCTTAGTGACAGTACTGTTGAGATGAAGGTAAGATGCTGCGGGGGCTGGGATACTGCATCTTGTGTCTTGACCTCCCTGCACACCGTGTGGGTATGGGTGCTGTCCGGGCCTCGCTTTTCCAGCAGAGTCCTCGTTTCTTGGTTTGGCTGTGTGTTCCTTGTTGACAAGGAAAAAAAGATCCCACACATGATAAACGAGATGCAATGGGAGTGGAGTTGACTTGGACGGGGGCTTTTTATGCCCAGCGGGGCCTGGGGCAGAAACTTAGTCATCGCATACAGTCGAAGGTAGCCAAGGTAGATACCGCGTCTATACAGGATATTCTGTTTACTAAAGCTCGTATCTGGATGAAAGGAATTATCTAGCAACATAGGCAGCAGCTAAGAGCTTTCGATCTTGCATACCGTCTTTATCGATCAGATCGAAAGGTCTACAATCGAATACGGGTGCGGCCCCCGGCCGAACGATGATCCGGACCATCAGCATGAGAGCTTCAAGACTCCCCTACACGCTAGACCAGGATTCCCTGAACCCGTTGGCGTGGTCTGCGTGCTGACCATAGCTTATGTCGGCCACCGAAGCTTCGCCCTCTCCGTCCGGGATGAGGGACGATCAGCTCACCCCTGAAGAGCCCAAGAGCTCTATTTCCCCCACCTCCCTCCCTGACGTCCAGAATAACATCTCGAAGGATTTGGAACAGACCGATAAAAATATGGAAACGGGCGAAGGGTCACAAACCCCCTATTGACTCGAGCCATCGTGCAACCAGCTCGACAATAGCCGCACAACCCCTACCATCAACCCCGTCCCAGTCCGACCCGCTTGCGGGACAAATGGATAAGCTGTCAGTGTCGGCGACGGACGTGCCAGAACCTCTACCGTCACACCAGGCGAATACTCCTCCCCCGCCTCCTCTGCCCGAGAAGGACGATGCCTACTTGAACTCGATCTCCACAACTTCGGGCCCCGCGTTGCAGCCAAGCGAGCCAACCTCGGCCCCGAGCTCCGAAAAGGAGCTGCCAGACGTGCCCGGCGATAGTGATCCAGAGTGGAAACAAGGTAGTCGAAATGGCCGGGCGCGGGATGACAATGATTCTCAGCCAGAGATCCAGACCATCATGGGTCAATTCCAGGACCCAGATAGGACTACAGGCCAGCAAGAAATCATGTCGCCTCGGATGGAGCTTGCTGAGCAGTTTCGCGGCGGTCAGAACTATTTCCCACCTCGCAAATCCAGTCTCGATCATATCCAGCCCACTTTGTCAGGGCCATCGGGAGCTCACCCACCTGGTAGCCAGTCCTCTCCGGTCTCCCAATACACTCACAAGTCGATGGGCCCCGATGAACCCACATTGAGTCGGACATCGTCGGTTTCAACAGTACTACCAATGCCAGAACCCGAGCCAGACCAGCCGTTCGATTTCCATCGGTTCTTAGAACAGCTGCGTCACCGGACCGCTGACCCCGTGGCCAAATTTCTGCGCTCATTCCTAATGGAGTTTGGAAAGAGACAGTGGATGGTTCACGAGCAGGTGAAGATTATCAGCGATTTCCTGGCATTTATCACCAATAAAATGGCTTTGTGCGAGGTCTGGCGAGATGTCTCAGACAGCGAATTCGATAACGCCAAAGAAGGCATGGAGAAGCTCGTCATGAACCGTTTGTACTCGCAGACCTTTGCCCCAGCAATCCCAGCCCCACCAAGCATTCCCAGAAGCGCAAGCCGCAGTCGGCGAAGAGAGATTGAACGGCTTCATGGGCCGTGGCGGCGGGGTCAGCACCAGGAAGACATTGAACGCGATGAAATTTTGGCGCAAAAGATCCGCATTTACAGCTGGGTCCGTGAGGAGCATCTGGATATTTCGCCTGTGAGCGGTGGCGGACGTCGTTTCTTGACCTTGGCACAACAAGGTAAGCCCTACGTCTTTCTACGCGCTATCTACTTGTCTTTCTCTAACCAGACAAACAGAAATTTTAAAGCTAAATGGCTACCGGGCTCCTCGGGATAAAGTCATCTGCATCTTGAATTGCTGCAAGGTGATATTCGGTCTTTTGAAGAATTCCAAGAAGGCAGACACCTCCGCCGATTCTTTCATTCCACTCCTGATCTATGTGGTGCTACATGCGAACCCAGATCATCTCGTTTCTAACATTCAATACATCCTGCGGTTCCGCAACCAAGATAAGCTCGGTGGCGAGGCTGGCTACTATCTGTCTTCGCTGGTAAGAAGAACTGCCATCAATCTCGATCTATCCCAACCACTAACCTTCCTGTAGTCCGGAGCCATCCAATTCATCGAGACATTAGACCGCACCAGTCTCACTGTCAGCGACGAAGAGTTCGAGCGCAACGTCGAACAAGCCGTCTCCGCCATTGCCGAACAAAACCGTGAGTCTGAATCTCTAGCAGACAAACCTCCGCCCCAATCAACAGCACCGGGCGGCCCATCTCAACCCCTAGCCGGACCAAGCCGCAAAGATGCGTCTCAGTCTAGCGACGACGATACCTCCGCCCCAGTCGCAGGGCTCTTACGTACCATCCAGAAACCCCTCACCACCATCGGCCGCATGTTCTCCGACGATGGAGAAACAGGCCTATCACAGGACCGCCCCCAACCCGTCGCAACACCACAACCAGCCATTGCGCAGCCCCGCCTCACACCAAACGTCTACCAGCCCCCGCGCTCCAGTACCGAGAGCCGAAAATCGAGTGACGAACGCCCACGACGGTCTCGAGATGGTAGCAGCGCTCAGAAGAACCTGAGCCGTGTACTAGACGCAGAAGATGCAGCGGCACGGCAGGCCAGTGCTGAAGACGCAGAAGCACGACGAATCCAGCGCGCCGAGCATAATAACGTTGTTGAGACCCTGTCGAACATGTTCCCCAACCTAGACCGCGATGTCATTGACGACGTGGTCAAGATGAAGGAGGGAAGGTGAGTTTTCTATAGCCCCTTAATTGTGTGTCATGTACTAATATCCTTTCATAGAGTTGGTCTAGCTGTCGACGCCTGTCTCGCTCTTAGCGCGGAATAGCATATAGAAAAAGCCCTCGCATTTCCCTTCGGGGGTGTGATCAGTTACGAATGGCATGCAGTGTAGCCTTCTTTCCACTCTTTTTTTTGTATCGTGGATGAATCTTGGGATCCCTGCTAGCTTAAACGTGGTATGATCGTAGAACGATTGAGTTGACTCGTTATTTACGACTATGTTTGCATATCGAGTATATGTTACTTCAGCGAATTGGCTAGATGTGGGTTTCCCTTTAGACACGACACTTCAACTCTATTTCGTTTACGAATACTCATGACTAGTGATGGCATAAGTGTAGTCAAAGCTTAAAATAGGGTTGTAACCAATGTTATGTACCTATACGCTCCAAGACGACGGAAAACACACATGCATACAGGCCACCAAAATAAAGTCGCTCAAATTGCCGCCCAGTTTGATGCAAAGTAAAGGAGACAGGGAAAAAAGCAAAAAGATGTTCAAGCTGCCATTGTGAGAACATATGAAGTGATACTGTCCATCCGCTCGGTCGTCAGCTTCAAACTAACAGTCAACAGTTCACGAGCGATGCGCGGATGCTGCTCTTGAATTTCCTTCCACTTCTCATCACTGAGGCACCATGCAACACATTCGTGCTCAGCTTTCACCGTCGCTGTGCGGCGAGTGTCACTGAAGAAAGGCAACTCTCCGCAGGGTCGACCAGCGACGACAAGCTCGAAGTAGCGGCCCTGTGGGAGGTTATACTCGCAACGCAGCATACCGGACTCGAGTAGATAGAAGGCGCGTGGGATGTCGCCTTCGTGGTAGAGGACTGTGCCGGCAGGGTAGGACTCGCATGAGAAGTAGGCGCAGGCGGGGAACCAGAAGTCTTCATTCTGGGTTGAGAGGCCCTGGAATGTTTGGAGGAGGAGGGGGAGAGGTTGGCGCATGGCGGACCAGGCGGGTGCGGCCATACTGGCTGTTTCTTGTTCGTGTTCGCGGATCGTGGTTGTGGCGACCCGTTGTAAGTACTGTCCTCGGGGAGAGCCGACTACATTCTCGGATAGACTGGATTGGCGATTGTCCGCACCTGATGGGACAGGAACGGGCGTCTGGAGTTGGGGGCTGTTGGTGGAGTCGATAGACTTGCGAGTGAGTGCTTTTTGGCGGTTGTAGAAAACCTTGAGGTAGTCATTCTCGCAGAATTCGAGGGCCGAGTTGAGGTCCTCAAAGATGGAGACGCCAGATTCGGGCTCGAAGAGGCCTACGTTTTGTAGACTCTTGCCGACGTCGCCCTCGACGTTCAGGCCGGAGATAGTTGTTTGCACGTTGCGCTTGCGGAGGATGCGGTTAATGCGAGTGAAAGCTTCGGCGGCGGAGAAATCAAGTCCGTAGACCCTGGAGAAGTCCAGAATCAAAAATCGGAGGGGCTGCCGATCAAAAGCCTCGTCTTCGATCAGGCCGCGCACCGTGTTCTCGACACTGACGATGGTCCCGAAGAAGAGGAAGCCACCAAGCTTCAGAATGAGAGTTTGCTGGCCAGCCTCATGCAGGTACTGCTGTTGAATGGGGGGTCGGCGGACCGTTGACCCTGTGGTCTCTCCAGAGAACGTGGCTCGAATGGCAGACTTGCGAGATGTTTGTACGACAAAGTTCATGCATGCAAGGATGATGCCGACCAATATACCCGTCACGAAGTCCCAAGCGCCCATCGTGACAACGATGATGACCACTGTCAGATACTCGAGTCGTGTAAGCTTTCCCCACGTGTCTACCAAGGCCTCCTGCAACAATTCGATACCAAGCAAGAAGATCAGAGCGCCGACAACCATGACCGGGATGTATCCGACAATCACCGGGCCAATGACCATAATTCCTGCTGTTGCGGCCGCTAGCATGAGACCAGCCAAGCGCGAATCTCCACCGCTAGCGATGAACAAAAGACTGTTCGTGTACACGAGATAGTTCTGGATGCTACCCGCAAATCCTGAGAGGGCATTGGTTACGCCGTGTGCCACAAGCTCCCTGTCCACATTGAGATTGTCTTCTCCAGTAGAGATGCCGAGAGCGGGAACGTTGATCGGTACGTGGAGCACACCGAAGAAAGTTAATGCAAACATTGCCGGGATGGTATCAGCAAAGGCAGTCCAGTCCACCGCAGAGAAGTCTAACAAAACGTGAGCCATTGACCAAAAGGAATACGTGCCTGTCACTTACCATAGAGAGTGTAGAAGTGATACCAAGGGTTATTAGATGACGGGGCATCAAACACCCAACCATTCTGGTGCAAGGTATCCATAGAAATCCTCGCACTAAGAATAATGATGTAGAAAGCCACCGCCACACCAATGAAGTAAGCGCCGACGAGGAAATTCGACCGAACGAAGCGCTTCAAAACAAGAAGACTAATTGCAAGGAACAGAGGTATTATCCAAAGAGGAAATGTGTCGAGGTGGAAGAGTTTCTGGAGAGTATCGATGGTATACTCGAGTGAGCCGGGCAACCGAGCAGAGACCTCGACTCCGGTTTGAATGAGGAAGTAGCCAACACCGCCAATGCAGCCGATCAGGATATGGCGAGGAAAGAATCCGATCAGCGAGCCCAGCCCGCAGACGCCCATCAAGAAGAATACCAAACCGGTAAGGACAGAGCTGACTGAGAAGGCGAGGATGGTGGTCGCAATCACGGCCTGCGGATTGTCCTTGCCCACTCGGTTCATGATGGCGAATGCCATCTGGTGGAAGAAGGGAACGACCTCGATCATTTCACTTCCTATTCCTCCCTTGAAGATGGAACCTCCGCAAGAGAATACCACCTGAGCGACGATAGTACTGACGTAAAACATCGAGATGCCATCTGCGCCCAGGTCGGCGAATAAGGGCTCTCCCAGAGGGAACAAGATCATTCCGTAAGATAAGGCATCAAGAATGTTAAGCAAAAGTCCAAGAAACACTGCTGGAATTAAACTGACGGGGCGGATCAGTCCTTCTTGCCATATAATTCGCCTATCCCAGGCCTTGGGATTCGTCACGATCCGCGAACATTTAGCTACCCTTGAAAGTCCTTTGGAGAAGGCGTTGACGGGCCCAGCGGTGCTTCCTCCCTGGTTCTCAACATCCTCAACAGCTCCGTAATGGTGTGATGACTTGGAGCGAGTCTTTGTCAGCAGCGAAGTCCGCTCCGTGTCTCGGGGCTCGGGTTCGTCTTGGATGGTCGGCAGATGAAGGTCCGGGATATCTTCCGTGACAGCGGGCTTGGTGACATCCTCGTCCGAGTCCGAAGAGGGGCGGAGGATCATCTCTGTCAGAGCGGAGGAAGCAATGGCAGAGTCGACAGGAGTGGATCTTAATTCCAAGGACCGCCCTCCCACAGTTTGATGAGAGCCGGCGATTTCATCATGAGAGGTAGCTGGAGAATGTCGGCCCTGAAATGTATCCAGACTGGGAGGAAGACTGGTTCTTCCCCGCGAGGGCTGTTTGTTCAGTGACAAGCCGTAGGTCGCAAGCTCCGCAGTTTGCTCTCGCAGCCCATCGGATGCATAGTGTGCCGGGTCTGGAGAATCGCCGAATGGTCAGTAAATTCGCTCTACCAACGGTAGCTCGTAAGGTACCCACCTGCAGGAGTGTTCAATGAGCGGTGGTAAAATGAGCGACTGGGGGTCTTCAAGCTAGATCCAGCATAGCTCGAAGTCTCGATACCCGCACCGGGCGAGCTGCCCAGGTTTGCATGTTCCACAGCGGAATCCGGTGGCATGGAAAAGTCTTCTCGGTCGAAACCCCAATCGCGGCGTGACAGAGCCGACGCGCGAGAGTCGCGACGCCCACGAGGTTGTAACACGCGCATCAGTTTGCGAAACGGCCGCACGGGGACGATCGCCAGAAATTCGGGGGATTACCGACAACTAGCGCATGCAGGGGCGTTAAGATGCAGCAGAAATGACGCGACGGTGCCGAGGAGGCATCAAGACCAGCGCAACGAAGCCATCCGGGGCAGGACGAGGATAAATAGGAACGATCAAAGCGGTACTTGCTTATCAGGACAAGATATTAGCCCAAAAAATTGTATCATGAAGTCTGGTTGACTAAAACCTGGAAATCCGTTTAGCGTCTTGTTATCTCCGGGCTAAACCGCATGCGGGGCCGGTGCTGATACCGTGCGCCAGGTACTGATTAATACTACTGTGACCACTAAGGCACCTGGGCGGAAGTTCTCGTTCCACAACTCGTGTACAATCTGGGCCATGGAGCTGCGATGCCCTCGCTAGCCCCCCCGCTATTCTCGTTTCATCCCATGTCCGAAGTACCTTAAGCCCCTGCAATGCCGTTATCGGCGCTTATATTGTAAATGCCGAAGGCCGAGCTCAACTTACGTGAAGCTATGACCAAGCTCAACGTTTGCTCTATTTTGATATTTTGATGTCGTTCTAGAATGCCTGTGCTATCCACCTTGCCCGTGGCGCAAACAATACACGAGTGGCGCGATAGTACTACAAGGTACCCGAACCCGAATTCGTACTCGGATCCTCGATTAGGAGTCAATTATCTATGAATGCGAGATCAAGTCATGGCGCATTCCAAATTTTATTTCATATCACATGGACCATCAACGTCGTGGCGGGGGTATCTCAAAGTACACAACTCCTGTCGTGCAGACCGTGGCCTGATTCCACGGCCGCGCAATCAGCTCAACCGCTCGAGGAATCCCTGTGCAATTAGTCGCTCGACATCTCCCTGTCGAACATAGAGTTGACTGTTTTTCGTGAGGTTGATCACCCTGTATCTCGCTCGTTAGCTTCGTTGTAAGAGCTCCAGTCAAGTGACACCACGTACCCGTACTCCGTCTGGATCTCTCCGGCATCTTTCAGCACGCGTACGTCAATGAATAGATCCTTCGGCGGCTCCAGTGTTCCCGTAAGATCGACATCGGTCCATTGACCTTTATATGCGGCCAGCATGTCGCCGTATTGCCGGAAGTATTCCTCTTCCTCGGGGCTTAGCGAGCTGTGCCCGCCACCAGACTGTCCTGGACCCCGGTCTTCGGACGCATCGTTGGGCTGTTGCTGTTCCAGAACGTCGACGCCGGTCCAGCAGAGTTCCTCGAGTTTCTCGGTTCGGACGCGGTGGTACGCCAGTAGGCAGCGCTTGTTTCGACGCATGCATAGGTGGTCGACTAGGAGGGAACATGCGATGGCTGGGTCGGCCGACGGGTTGAATGCGCCCTCGAAGGGCTCAAGCATGCGAGTCACATCGCGGTCCAGATCCCGCACCTCTCGAGTCACGGCGCGGACAATTTCGGTCTGGTAGGGTGGGAGATGGGCGAGGGATTGGGTTCGCTTTGCATGTTGCACCTGGAGCCAGTAGTCAGAATTTGCGTTTGCAATTCGGTCGAATTCTAGCACATGCTGTTATTAGTTAAGAATGACACGTACCAATTTGTTGCCCAGTTCTCCGTACATTGTGGTCGCGCGATCAGGATCGTAGAGCGCATCGCGGACGCGCTCTGGCGGGCGATCCATTGCCGCGCCAAGATCGATCTTAGTCAGTGGGGTGGAGTGGGGATCGGCAGGAATGGAGTATAGACTCGACTGTAGTCAAAAGAACGCTCTTTTGAAATCAAAGAGATGGAAAATAAAGACATTCATTAGAAAATATGCGTGGAAACCGTATCTTTCTGGTTGGAGGTCGAAGATGGGATCGCAAGTGAGAATATGCTACCCACGAGCTCCTCTGATTGCGAACATTTACATTACTACGCTCGTCTACATGCCCAGGTACTTTATCTGCACTTCAGTGCTGGCAAATATAAGTATTTCAATATAGTCTCTACCAGTCTGATGTTCAGGTGAAAACTGAGATGTAAATGTATTCTTTGAGATCAAAATGCACCTTTCCAAGTGGTTGGGAAAACCGGGCAAATCGGAAATGACCAATAACAACGATGGCAGTCAGTGCAACGCATGTTCCCTGATTATGCGGGGAAACAAGTTTAGTACTGCATGGAAGCACGCATCTGATTGTATCCAGCCTGCGTAATTGGCTCATACTTGGCTGGTTCATCAGCACCCATGCAAGACGGAATACACTCGATCATAGAATCCGGATCCGGTGCCAGAAAGTACGGAATAGAGAAGCGTCTGCGGGTCACCCGTTGTTCTCCCTCAAACCTATCAGATAGCGGTGGCAGAGTAACTCTATGGCTGGTAGAGCGGAGATGATCTGCGCCTGTTAGAAGACACTTACACCTGAAGATAATATAGTCCACAAACCGTTGCTCCATCTTTGCAAAAGGTCACCCACGTTCATGACAATGGCATTTTTGATTGGGGTCGCTGGGACAAACGAGCCTGGCCTGTTCACGTCCTCGACTTCCAGGCCACCGCAGTCGTCCTGGAAGAGTAGGGTGATCGAGCTCCAATCAGTATGAGCGGGACATCTCGCCGCACGGTGACTCTCGAGTGCTTCTGCTGGAATGGGCGGGTAGTGCAAGAGACGCAGCTGGTTATTGTTCCCCGAATGCTTCAACAGCAGATGGTTATCGTCCAGATCCAAGCCAATGGCAAGAGCCTGTAAGATCTCACCTCCCACACGGAAACACTCCCAGTAAAATTGTGTCATGAAAGCACGGAAATCAGGAAGGGATTCTTCTGGTATCCACTGATTTGGTTGCGTGGGGTTGTTCTCGCTCCCGATATCATAACTTTCCTGATTGGAGTCAGCAAGGTATACTTGAAGACAATTGCATGAGACGGTACATATTTCCCAGTCGTTGAGATATCAAGTGAATCGTCTTACCTTGACGTCGGGAACTTCTCTCAGCTGCTCAGCCCGCTTCTGATCACTGTCTTGGCTGATCGCCTGCGACACCTTCTCCAGGCCGGGCCAGGAATAGCCTCTGTGAACAGCCCATCCCTCAGGATGAGGCGCTTTGAGCTTCTCATCTTGCGGCAAGTCGAAGAATCTGCGGGACCAGTCGAAGGCCTCGTCCAGAAGTTGCTCGGGCAGCGAGTGGTTGACGATGTACACGAACCCCACCTTCTTGCAAGCGTCGACGATATTCTGCGCTACTCGCTGGCGAGCAGACCCGCTCAGGCTCCACTTGGCAAAATCGACGACAGGGATAGTTGTTTGCGTAGTCGAGTCCATGACTTGCTGATGCCTTCAGACTGAGAGTGACCGGTGTACAGAGAGGGACGAAGAGCGGACATGGGGGGCACTGCTTATGCATGGTGAGACCCCTCGTCTTAGACAACCCAACCCGACGAGGAGGTTTTCAGGGTTCAGCCAGGATCCAGCCAGGATCTTCATAATGCATGAACCATTAATCATGAATCATGCGTCGTGGGCTTCTTATGGCTATTTTAATTTAAATGGGGAGCTGGCTTGGAAGGCGGGCTGGTTGGGCACCGCATTCGTTGCTGTGGCAGGGATCTCGGTGGAGAATAACCGGCCGCACTACATCATCTCCATCTCTCAACTCACATCTCTCCAATTTTTCTCGAGGACCTTGAAGATAGAGGTGTCAGTGCATTGTGAGTTTCCAAATCTGATCATTGCCTTTGTTTCCCTCGTGTTGCGCACCTCTGCTTACGCCGGTCTTACTGCTTTGAGTAGTTTGTTGACATCCCGACCCTGTACCTCGATAAGAGCTCTCGAACAGCACTCTCGATCGCCGCGAACAATGAGCAGTCGGAAACATTGATAATAACCATTGGAATCAGAATCACTCGGTCGCATCCGGTACTCCTGAACTATATCCGCCCGGGCTCTAGAATGCGGGCTTCTTGGTGGATCGGGATCTGGGCCACATTCCTCCCCTCCGTGCTCCCGATAGACACCGCACCCTTCTCTGCGCCGGAGCATGTTATATCCAAGCGGGCCTTTGAGGTCCTTCGAATCCTAAGACGCTCCGGTAGCAGCTGCCCGAGCGGCTACAACCCATGCACCAGCCTGGGCGACTCGGACGCCTGTTGCCAGCAAGGGACGAACTGCTCGCGCGATTCGGCCAACAACATCGCCTGCTGCCCTACAGGAGCTCATTGTACAGGTAGCCTGACTGGCACCTCCACGGGTGCCGCTGAGACGGGGAGCAGCTTCAGATTTCCAAGTGGTGCGACAGCAACGACAACGGCGGCCGGCTCAGAGGCTTCCATCACGGGCTCGACGGGGTCCGGGGCCTACCCGTTTGTCTACGTGCCTACTTCTTTCTCCAATGCCGCAATCTGCTCTTCATACTACTCACTCTGTCAGTCAGAGTATGCGCAGTGCACTGGGGCGCTGCTGGGCCGCTATCAAGTGACGGTGGGTGGAGCCGGCGGGGCTGGAGTGACAGTAGAAGCGGTCACCGCAGCGTCCCAGGCCACATCCATCTGCTCGAGCCTGAGCGCAGAGGCCTGTCATGGTCTCGGCCTGAACTACTGTGCTTCAGTGGAAACGGCAACGGCTCACGGTGCCAGTGGAAATGCGGCCATGTCGGGTCGGACGTCGAGTCTTCAGGACTTGGTGTTTGGCTTGGCTGTGGGGGTTGCGGGTGTGTTTATCTGATGTGATATGATCTTGACATGATCTCCCTGTGTATATTCCAACTTTTCTGTCACTTTGATGTCCTCACGGAGTTTGGGTCTCTCGAATTGAATCATTTGATTGTAAATGCAGCCGACATCCCGGGATCTCAAGCCAGTTGGGCTGCCATTGGTGGCACCACCCGATTCTGACTCTGGTGATCCATGTTCATACACTTTAGTATCTCTTTCTCCTTAAAGCCAAATCCTGTTTCTTTAAAAAGTAAATTAAAGTATATGTAGAGAAGGGACCTGAAAAAGTGACAGCAGATGGGCGATCTGACCGCATGTTGATCGCTGCCACGCGGGGGTGTTCGCAGAGGGGCGCATATGCAGTGATGGATTGGCCTGTCAGGTTGAAGTAACCCGAAAATCAATCTGAAACCCAGCCTTCGTGAAAGTCAGTGGAAAGGAAAAAACAAGGTTGAAGTGGAAAAGTTGGTTGGGTGTTTTGGGCGATTAGCAGGAAATGGGGTGGTTGGGGGTTGGGTATACGGAGGCTGGGAAACACACCTTCTCTTGTTTTGCTCTCTCTCTTCGTCTTCTCTTTTCTCTTCCACATTCTCACATCTCTCCTATCCTCTCTAAATTCTAACTCTCTTTTGCTCTGGAATTCTTTGTTCGCCTTTCCTCGGGTGATCTACGATCGCTTCCAGAGTATACAAGAGGCCGAACATTGGAAGCCTGGCATTCCCCGCCGAACGTGCACCACGATTAACGACCCGACGAACATTTCTCGAAAAAGCCAAGAACAAAGAGAACCGACCAGGAGCAGCCTGGCGAGCATTTTGTCGCTCCTCATCCGCCATGCGGTCCCTCGCTGCCATTCCGACGCTCTCCACTCTAATCTTACTACTCCACTTTCTACAACTGGTGATCGCAACTCCCTTATCTCTCAACGAATCTGCCCTCGAATTTGAACAGAACACCCTCGAAAAGCGAACAGCATGCTCGAATCCTTGCGGCTATAACGGCTGGCTTTGCTGCGGCTCCAGCCAGACCTGCATCACCAACAGCGCCGGCGAAGCGGAATGTCTAGAGGGTTCGAGTGGTGGCAGCGGCAGTTGGCAGTACTATACAACCACCTATGTGGTCACCGAAACCGATCGATCTACCATAACCTCTGTCTGGAGTAGTCACATCGCAGCCCCTACGGGAACCTGCAGAATCGACCTCGGTGAGGTGAAGTGCGGCACCACCTGCTGCGACGCAGCACAGGAATGCCAGGACGGCGTATGTGTTGCTGAGAGCTCTTCTGTCGCGGTGACTGGCTCTGAAGCAACGGCAACTGGTGAAGCTAGTCCTGGTGTGCGTGAAACGAGCAGTGGCGCGTCAACTGTGACGCAGACCTCAGCGCCCACCACTACCCAGGGATTCATCGCGCCCGTTGGAACAAACGGAGCTGACCTGATCGGAATCAAGGCAACCAACAATGGAGGAGGGCTGAGCGGCGGCGCAATTGCGGGCATTGTGATCGGTACGATTGCAGGCGTCATCTTGCTTCTGCTCCTCTGTGGCTGCTTGTGCTTCAAGGGCGCCCTGGACGCTCTTCTTGCAGCCATGGGAATCAGGAAGCGCCGTAGACGCGAAACGACCGTCGAGGAGCGATACTCACACCATTCACAAGGCAGTCGCCCTCGTCCTCCGGGCCGAACTTGGTTCGGAACCAGGCCGGCAGCAGCAGGGACAGAGAGCTCAGTCAGTGAGAAAGAATCCAAGTGGAGTGGCTGGGGCACAGTTGCCATCATCTTGGGAGCACTTGCGCTCTGCTTGGGATTGAAGCGACACAGAGATCGCGAGCAAGAAGACGACGACAAGACCAGTTATACCTACCCGAGTTCGTACTATTACTATTCGGACTACACACGGAGTAAGCCCATGATTGCCAACAGCAAGGTCGAAAAGGAGATATACTGACTTTCTTCACAGGTAGTGACAGTTCTGGCGGACGAACGCGAGACACGCGGCGGTCTCGACGCTCAGGACGCTCACGGCGATGATCGGGATATTCATGATGAGCCTGGCTGATATTCTCAAAAGACTCACAATTGCCTTGGCCGGCCTGCTCTTTGCGGCTTGCTCGACTTCGACTCCCTTATGCATTCGACGGCGCTTTTTAATATGATTCATGTACCATTATGGCCTTCCCCAATGGTTTTCCCTTTGGATGGGATGATATGTTTTTCCCTTATTGATGTTGATATGAGTTTGGACCTTGGATTAGAATTTTCTTTTACCTGCCCATGACGAAGGGCTTGAGATGTAAATATGAGAGATGAGAACTGGATGAAAATGTGATAGGAACTCCCGAAATCTGATTTTGTTTGAGAAAAAAGCTATGGATCACTTGTCTAGTTCAGATTGTAGCTTCTACGGCGTTGTCATGACAGCTCAGGGACGGTTGCACGAAGCAGAGAGCCGTGATGGGGGCCGGTCTTGCAGGTACAATGTGCTCTGTTCGCAAGGATGGGCCCTCCGGAAAACCTGCATGTGCAATACAAAGCAGCCTAGTAATTGGATCGAGACCAGGAGTTAAATCAGTCAAACTAAATGATCGGAGTATAGAAATAAAAGGGTGGGATGGCGACTCTCGAAGTGAAGAAATGTGAGAAAAGGGCACACACAGAAAGGTCCGCGCTCTCCCCGCCTTCCGACCCGAACTTCTCTCTTTCTCTCCCTCTCTTCAGGTTACGATCACCACCCCGGGTCTCCGTCAATCAATGACCCTCAGCCTGTGTCTGGTTTTCTGACCCTGTTCTATCCTTCCTTCGATACCACTTCTTCCATCTCTACCGCACACCCCCTTTGACGAGGCTCGACCCTTCGGAGTATTACGAGTCCCCGACACGACTCATCACCGCTCGCCATGCTCCAAGCGCAGAGCCAACACGTCTTTTCCCACCAGCATCAGTACCCTCAGGCTGATCCCTCGTGGCTGCAGCACCAGCAGCAGCAGCAGCAACAACAACAACAACAGCAACAGCAACAGCAACAGCACCACCAGGCCCAGCCGCACTCCCAGCACCAGCACCAACACGCCTCCCTGGTCGCTCAGCAGCAGGCTCAGGTCCAGGCTGCCGCCGCCGCGGCGCAACAGCAGCACTATGGCCGTCTCGCTATGAGTGGGAATGGTGCCGCGAACCCTGCGCAGGGTTCGGGGGGTGTCGCCGGCATGGGCGGAGAGGGTCTTGCGAATGCAGTCTCCGTCATGGACGGTGGCATCAGCGAGGAGAATCGCAAGGTCTTCATCTGGGTGGCGGAACTCCTGGATCCCGCCCGTCGTGAAACGGCATTGATGGAGCTCAGCAAGAAGCGCGAGCAGGTCCCTGAGCTGGCGCTGGTCATCTGGCACTCATTCGGTATGTTCCCCCGGGTCGCATCGTGGGGGTGGCTTTTCCGACCGCAACTAACCACCGGCAACTTGCAGGTGTTATGACTGCTCTACTCCAGGAGATCATCTCTGTCTACCCCCTTTTGAACCCTTCGCAGTTGACCGCCGCGGCGTCAAATCGAGTCTGCAATGCGCTGGCGCTCTTGCAATGTGTCGCATCGCACAATGAGACTCGCACACTCTTCCTGAACGGTAAGCGCTGACCACTTATGACTGGACAAACGATCGGAATAACGCGGCTAATTTTTCTTCACGCCGCACAGCTCATATCCCCCTGTTCCTCTACCCTTTCCTCAACACGACCTCAAAATCGCGCCCCTTCGAATACCTTCGTCTCACATCGCTGGGCGTTATCGGAGCACTGGTGAAGAATGATTCGTCGGATGTGATCAACTTCCTCCTGACGACCGAGATCATCCCTCTGTGTCTTCGCATTATGGAGACCGGGTCCGAGTTGAGCAAAACTGTTGCCATCTTCATCGTTCAGAAGATCCTTCTCGACGATATCGGCCTGGCATACATTTGCGCGACTTACGAGCGGTTCTATGCGGTGGGCACTGTCCTCAGCAATATGGTCACTCAACTGGTGGAGCAACAGACAGTCCGACTTCTCAAGCACGTCGTGCGATGCTTCCTTCGGTGAGTCCTTTCTTCCGTTCGACATACATGGACACTTTCTAACGGCCAACGTAGTCTGAGTGACAACAGCCGAGCTCGTGAGGCTCTGCGGCAATGTCTTCCCGAGCCCCTTCGGGACGCCACCTTCTCCTCCGTCCTGCGCGACGACGCAGCCACCAAGCGCTGTCTGGCCCAGCTCTTGATCAACCTCTCAGACAACGTGTCTGACGGAGCCCCGGCGGCCATGTAACATACGTAAACGCATTTTCTTTCATCGCGGGATTTGTTTTTCTACCTTACGATATGCATGGGACAGGTTTCTGGCGAGTATCGGTAACAAGGCGCAAAAGTTTGTGGGTCAGCAGTTGATGAGTCCGCCCGTCAATGGGGGTTCATCATCTGTTTTCACTTTGTTCTGGTTCTTTTTCGATTTATTTGGGACAGTTTCCGGTCTTCGGTGATTTTCGTGTTGATGGGAGGGGACTTATGTATTCCTATGTCCTTTTTTCTGTGTGTTTTACTTGCATCTTGCTTTTTCAGACACATGCTTCCATTCCCATTCCTCCCCCTCTTTTTCTCGTGGCGCTCACAGTCGGTGGGGTTTCTGGTCGGCGCTGTTGCATTTTCTACCCTCGACGATCCGCTTATTGCTCCATGAAGATAGACTCTTTGAGCCAGAGATACCACGGTGCAGTCGTCGATTTGTTTGTTGCTTCCGTGTATATGTCTGCAAAAGAATGTACTTGAATTACCTAGATCCTAGATCCTAGATCCCAGATCCCGGATGCCACCTAGATGGTTCGACGAATAGTTCATATAGAGCCTTCCACCTGGGCAGTTTCCAGGATGCCAATGTAACTGCAATAAGCACACTTCCTATTGTCCATATTCAACATAGTAGCAATCTGTTGGCATACAAAAGTAACCAAGGCCGTGATTGAAGAAACCTGCCCAAACGCGGTCCGCACGTGATCCACCCGTCGACGCGCCCTTCACTGAGATCATCTCCGTCGCCTCTCGACACGAAGAAAAAAAAAAGCCACTCCTCCCACCGTCACCACTGGGACTTTATTCCGATCTTATTCTTACTTTCGCACACTCACAGTGTGACTGTGATACCCTCAACCAATTGCCCTTCCGTCACGCGGATCCTCCGTTCATCACCCCGGCCTTTACGGCCTCATTCCGCCGCGATGGGATCGCGAAAGCGCACCCGCTCCGATGCGGTCGCTGCCACCGAGCAGCAGGCCCCAGAAGAACCCAGCCTGCTCCAGCGCATCAGGAGCAGCTGGGAATTTGCTAGTCTTATGCAATACATTGCCATCTTTGGGCAAGCCATGAAGATCGACGAAGAGTTCGAAATCGAGGTACGTTCACTTGCTCCCCGCTGTAGATGTGCGAGTGTCGCGCATTGTGGCGCATGGTTGGGATTGATGGATTCATGCTTACACGACACTCTTGGTCGGATCTGGGCTAACATTCATCGCGAACGACAGGACCTGGAGGACGAATGCATGAAGCCGGAACCTTCGCACAAGTTGTTGGAGATCGGTCTGTGTCTTCTGAAATGGATTTCCTCACATCGCGGTCTGACGTACGTTATACGATGCCCTTCTTACAAGACGAGGTTTGGTCTGACAGCGCAATTCAGGTTCGAGAACTTCGATGAGTACACCAAGCGCCAGTACAATGCGAAAGCCCCTCATATTACCAACCCTTTCGGGTATGATGAAGAGCCGCTGAGGTTCTTGGACTTTGATGTTTTTCAGAAACTGCGTGTCCTACACCAGTTGTCCGTATGGACGTTCTGGAACCCCGACCGCATTCGCGACAAGATGCCTGAGAAGAAGGAGTCCGAGCAACTGCAGTGGGTGAGTCGCGCTCTTGCTAGCTTTTGAAAATTGTTGTATCCTAATTGACCTTGCAAGCGTGTTGAAGAGTTCGGATTTGACCGCGAGGGCCGTGTCTACTACGTCCTAGACGACAACCGTCTCTATCGCCGCACCGATCCTCCTATACCCGCCCCCTCTCGCCCTAAGAAGAAGCCGAAGAGCAGATCTTCCCGGGGATCCCGTACATCGAAGCGAGCGTCCAATGTCGCCGCGCAAGAGGCCGATGAAGACGAGAACATGGGCGAGGACAGAGCTGCCGGGTTTGAGCCCAATTGGGAGTGCGTGTGCGTCACCCTTGCCGAATATCAAGAGTTTCTGGACTCCATTCGCAAGAGCAAGGATGCAGACGAGCGAATTTTACGCCAGCAAATTGAGGACCATGTATTGCCTTTACTGGAAAAGGCCGAAGAAGCACAACAGCGCAAGCGGCAGAAGCGTGAGAAGGAGCTTCTCAACATGCAACTAATTGCCGGTGCTAAGCGGTCGAGCCGACTTGCTGCTAAGGAAGAAAGAGAGCGAGCTGACAAAGAGGCTGCTGATGCGGCTCGTAAGAAACAAGCTGACCTGTCTGAGGCTCGCAAGGAGCAGGCGAGACAACAGCAGCTTGAGGATGATCGACAGTCCCGTATGATGACTCGTGAACAACGCATCAAGGATCGTGAGCAGAAGCGCATCCTGCACGAAGCCGAGCTCGAGCGACTTGCTGCTGAACAGGAACGGATTGAACGGGGCGAGAGCAGAGTCTCTGCTCGGAACCTGAAGGCGGAGCTGGAGAAATCGCAGAAGAACTTGGCAGAGCTCTCTCAGGATGACGAGTGGATCTTTGATTGCTCCGGCTGTGGAGTGTATGGCCAGAATTTGGTATGTCCCGACTTTATAGACACTCGAAGCAACAATCTAACAATTGACCAGGATGATGGAAGCCACAGTGTCGCTTGCGAAAAGTGCAATGTATGGCAGCACAGCCATTGTCTCGGCATCTCCAAGGAGGATGCGGAGAAGGACGATTTCCATCTTGTCTGCAAGGACTGCAAGAGAAAGGAGGAAGAGGCCAACAGACCCAAGCTACCGCCACTGAAGTTCCGTCTCAGCGCCTCGGCTTCGCCTTCATCTGTTCCTTCTTCTGGGAAGAAGCGCAAGGTTGAAGACGATGAGGTTGCTCCGCCATCTCCCGTGAAACAAACCCATTCGGCTCTTTCTGGTGCCCAGAATGGACACCACACACAACATGCGCCACCTTCTCGGCCAGCTCTTTCATCTTTCCCCGTCCAGGGCAACTTCTATGTTCCTCCTTCCCCTGAGCGTCGTCCCCATCCCGCCGCCCAGCCTCATCTTCCATCTTCAAGCCCTCCACGGGCTCCCTTCTCTCCGTTAAGAGGCATGGGTGCTCCTCTTCCAGTGCAATCTATGGGCCAACCTGAGCTCTCTCGAATGCACCACATGCAGTCTATGCAACCTGGCCCTCATCTTCCTCCGATTGGATCTTTTGCACGCCCATCATCATCACACTCTGGCTACGGTCCACCTCCGGCTCAAACCTCCATGTCGCCCACCCATGGCTACCGCAACGTCGGCCCTATTGCAGGATTTCCACATGCAGCCGCTGCCAACGAATCAGGTTCAGTGCCCGGTACCTCTTCGTTTGACAGCTACGCAACTCCTCGCCCTCACTCTGGCTATGGAGGTACCCCCACAATGTCTAACAAATATCCGTCCTTTTCTGCCTCCGCAACCCCAAATGGCAATCACTCTTCACCACCACACAGTTCCCACGGCATGGGAATGTCGGGAATCAGCCCAACAAAGCAATCTCCCCGCCCAATGACTTCAGGCGGCATGGCGGGTGCCCCCGTGCTCCCCCCCCATCCGCAGATTGGAGCCGAGCCCTAAGCTCATGGGCCGCAGCTCACCCGATGCACCGATTCCACCCCCGGTGAAATGCATGACTCCTGAACAAGAAGAGCGCCGGCAACGAGAGAATGCATCGATTTTCCAACAGGGCCACCCCTACTCTGGCAACGGCCAGCCAACACTCATGTCGTCACCATCAATGAACCGCATCCCATCTCTCGGCCCGGCCGCAACCTCGCAATACCCAGAGCCCGTCCCATCCCCACAGCACGGTAACAATGCTCCCCGCCAGTGAACCCAGACAGACACAATAAAAGAAGACGTTCGAGTGAATTTCCCGATGTTGTTCTCGAGCGACCAGTTACATCTCCATTAAATGTCCGGCCATAGATGCAGGTCAAACCAAGCATCAGAAGAAAGCTGCAGCGTTGTGGATACTACGTTGGTTTATGTTCTGGCGTTCAATTTGGCTTTGCGGCTAAAATGGCTGTGGTTTTCGATCCAGCTCGACTGCGATCAAGATCGAGATCGAGGCGAATGATGCCCGTCCGGAGTTATTATCCCCGCATCACCTCCGCCTTGATGTTCCGTAGGGGTGGGACATCACTCGCCGTTTTGCAAATTTTGGCATTTTCTCTCTTGGGCAAGCCTCGCTTTTCGTTCACGCTGTCTATATCAAAACGGGTCGCTGTTAGCGTCGTGGGGTGATTGTGCCTAAACCTCTTTCCTTCTTTTTTTTCTGTCTTGTCTTTGGGACTTGGTGAGCTCGAGTGAGCTTGGATATCCCGGCGTTTTTATTTCCTCCGATTGAATGTGCATTAAGATGGTTGGGGACTTGGGCGTTTTCGGATGGCACCTGGACGGTGTTGGATCTTTTCAGTTGCGGGTAGGTCATTGTATGCTAATAGAGTATTTCATTTGATCTGGCATTTCCCTAACCTGTGTTGTTTTTATAGTATGGATGAAATGGGTTGAGTTGATATGTAAAAAGTGCTTCTTCGGAAATTGACTCAATGTTGTGATCTGGGCCTCCGAGCTGAAATACAAAATAGGAGTGGACCTTTTGGGGAAGAATTGCTTTCATGGTTCTATCTAGGTAAACATATGCTCACAAAGAGGTCTCTGCAGCCTTAAAAACAGCATTCCAAGTAAGAATACTGGAGAGACAGCGGTGTCACAAAATATCCTCATGTTACCAAAAACATTTATCAGAGGTGCCCAAATAACGCCAGATCTCCACACCATCGTAACGAAGCTCCAGGCCCAAGTTGACAAAAGTACCACAATAAAAGGATTGTACCCGGTCGACAGTGTAATCGATCGATCGCACACGCCCCCATCCAAATGTCAATAGCACCACGGAACCCCAAATCAGATGCAGCAAATGTATGCTGCGATCGCATCACACAAACATGCCGACCCAGACTGGCGAGTCGACACGTTGAGCGCGGATGCCCGCAAAAAACCGCCAGAGTCAGCCTAATCGGCACTAGCAACGAGTATAAGCAGGGACGACACGGGAGAACCGGCCCGGATCGATTGGCCACATACTGACGTGCCCCGGTCGTGCGCGCTAGGATAGACGCGCAGGATCTACATCTTGTTGGCCCGAGCTGCGACCGTCTTAGATTGTAGTATTTGCTTTTCCGATTGACCTGTCACCCACAGCTTTGATTGCTGTCATGCTGACATCCGGAGCTGACAGAGGTATTGTGGAGGTTTCCCCCGATGCCGTACAGTTGAGACCGAGAGTGTATACGGAGTAGTGTGAATTGTGATCCAGTGGACCGCAGACCAGAGCGGGTCATGATCTACGACGGATGCTAAATCCGTTCAAACTATGAAATTAGTTCCGTGCACTTGATGCAGGGCAACGGTTTATTGATTTCGATCTCCACCTCCATCGGACACTCTTCCCCGTCAAGCCATGGCTCGAAACAGGCAAAGGAATTCGGGATCATCGTCGAGGCAAATCAAGACGGCGTAGATCTCAGCCCGAGGCAATTCATTCGTGGCGTTTGTGGCTGCTATCACATCGCGATTGCAAAAACGAGGGAAAAAAAGTGGCCGGGTATACGAAGTTACGTCCGCGAGTCTGGACAATGACTAGAACGTGGCCAGAGAGACGTGATGGGATCCTCGCTGCCTCGCGTGCTGAACCTAGTATGGTCATCCCCACACCCGCATGTGTTCCCCCTTTTCCCTATACGATGCAAAACAGAGTTTGGACCGTTCGACAAAAGGTGATCGGGATCATAGCGCCGCTCCCCGCGTCTTGCTCCACCACTGGAACCTATTTCCTAGGTGGTGGAGACCGGCCTGTCCATTCGTTGAGGCGATCCGGCTACCGAGCCACGGGTCAGATCTATGCCCACGACGGATTTGTCAAGAGTCTCCTAACTGGTGATGCCATCGAGCTGCAGTGGAACCACATGGAGCTATAAAGTGTAGTGCCTGTTGGAAATCTGGCACTTTACTCTTTGTGGTAGGAGGGGCCAACGGGTAGGGCAGAGATGCTTCACAGCCAACCAATTTCCGTTCTAGTATTTGTCAACTGCGCCGGTATCTCACGCTATCGAGAATACGGGCTACGGGGTTTCCGATGAGACACAATTGCATTCACTGCGCTGTCGACTGGAGATGGGGATGGAGATGCACGTTTGGGTCCCTGTTCATGTCCTATGAATTGACTGTGTCTACTCCCTATCCTTCCGTGCTGGATCCCTTGATCCGCTTGATCTACACGGCATGGCAGGCAACTTGACCGGCCACGTCGAGATGGTGACGGTAGTAGCCGTAGCACTGTACTTTGTCTCGTTCGACCGCTTACCGAGTCCACACGGCACATGGGATAGTTAGGGTAGCATCTCCCAGATCTTGCTAAATCTTCGAACGGTGGATCGTGGATTGTGGACTAGTCGCATCTGCACAGCTCGGCTGAGCTCGGGACAGTCAGAGAGGCTCGAGACGAGATGTGATGGGGCACCCGAAAGTGTGAATCTATCACATCTTCGATATTAGCCCCTTAACAAGACTGAGTGTGACGCGGAGTATCCTTTCTGCCTTCTGGGTGGCCCACAAACACCGGTCTGGGGATTCGCGCATGATCAGGAGCTCGATGTGTGGTTCGGAGGCTCAACCTAAATCCGCAAATGCTGGCCCTATCCCCGTAGGCCCGCAGCACCCTGAGAGCCTTCAGGATTCTCGGCGAGGCCGGTCTCGCCGCGATCAAATGACCGGCGGGACCTGCTGGGGCCCAGAGTGACGCTCGATGATCGGGGCTCAGGGTCTTCTCTGCCGCTCATGACGAACGCACTATTCCCTTTTGATCGGTATCCTTCTCCGGCTCTTCATTCCTACGATTTTGTGGTTCCAGCCCCTTGCCATGGTTGAACACGAGGTCATCTCCCGCGTGTCCTGCGCACGCCGAATGTGGATGTAGATCATCATGATGTGATTCACATCGTTTCGGCGGATTATTCTCTAGTCTTTAGGGCATGAATTACTTCATCTAGTGGCGATACGGCTCGTGCAGCTCGCTTAAGCAATTAGGACTCCCAGTGTGCTGGGACGCTGAGGCTGTGGTAACATACATCACTGCGCGGCTGCTGTAAACCCTCCAGAGCGGATGGAAGATAGGCCGGCGGAATCCTTCACGATGTGTGCCTATGAGAGATTAACCACCGTGCCCGGAAGACGGCAAACCGGCCGCACTAATGCACGGCAAAGATCTGAGCATAACGATCGACGTCCGTTGAGACGATACACAAACTATCTCCCGAGCTAGTTGGCCAGGTCAGAGTTCTAACGGTTTGCTAAAAAGGGCGATGTGGAGCGACCAGCTAAGCCGGAATCGAAATCCAATCAACCAAAGGGCTCAGAGAAAGCAGACACGGGCGACCCGCATCGCCCTATGCAGCTGCTGTGCCATCTGGCAGGAGACCGTTGGCTTGGTGTCCAATTGTATGCCTTCCTCGCTGTTGGTCACAACATTAGGATTAGTCCGACTTCTCGGTCTCTGTCGTGATACATGCCTTAGCGGAAGCGAGAAAGCACAGGGCACCGCTCGAGTCATGCTAGTAGAAGTTCGTTAGATCCTTGTATAGTTCGGCGTTCTGTGCTCCTCAGGTGCTGCCGATTCTTACTCTCTTCATCCTTGGTGGAACGGTCAACAGGGGGGGACAGACAAGGCTGGTGAGGTGCGTGCTGCACCAGTCCACACCCTTCCGGCCATCATTTCCCTATTCATGGGGATTGAGATGCCTCGGGCCCAGCCCTCACCGCGACATCGAATGACGACCCTTGTTTTCCGTGGTTTGAAATTTTGGTACCTCAAAAACCCGAGGGTACCCAGGCTCCCACGTTTCTTTCATAGACGGGTAGGTGCAGAGGGGTTCTTGCCATGGGTTTGAAGGCTTATCAGTCCAGCTCGGACCGCAGATTGGTAGATGGTGCAGGTCATCTTCGACCATTGTGTGAACGGTGAATATAGACTGCATAGCTGTGACATGTGTCGTTGGTAGCAGCGACCTAGTGGCGCCTTGCCCGGCCCAGAAAGGCAGTAGGAGAGGCACTGAGAAAGAAATGATATGGGACCTTGGGACTAAAGCGGGGAATATTGACTGGATTCTCAACTATCTCGATTTTCCTCGAGAATGAATCCTTCACGTATAGTTCGGCTATTCCTACATTTACCGGGCCCCCCCTTGAAGTACCAGACTTGAAGACCCAAATAGAAAAGCGAAAATAACAACACGGAGCAGCTTCGAAACATCAGCCCCGTAGTGTTATATTCTTAGAGCATCGCCGGAATAGGGAAATAGGTCTCCTTGAAACGCGCGTATGGGGAGACCGCGGAGACTCGGGGTGCCTGGTACGTCCCCGATCGGTCAGCAGACCTGAGGTGGCGGATGCTAGCGCAGTTGTGTTGTTTCTTTCTTTTGTTCCCCCTCTTCAACCTTCCAGAAGGCTGGGGAGCCCGAGGAGGCTTAGACGGGGGCACTAGCCAGGGACCCTGTTGCCAATCTCGTTCCTCTTTGGACCGAAGGTGCAGGGATTGACAGATTGAACTCTGGATCGAAGGGCCCGAACGCCATATTCAATCTCCCCGAACTATTCTCACTGACCCTCGGCATTATGAACGATCGATGAAATAGACATCTCGCCTCACTAGAAAGTGGTGCGGCAATGTAGGCGATAGAACGGATACGAACGGATACTACTGCCCGGAGAACGAGTGTTGCTTCGATACGGTAGACCAGGGCAGTGTACCTTGCTTGGAGATAAGGTACCCTCAGGCATAATCGAAGGCTTGGAGATAAGGTACCCTCAGGCATAATCGAAGGGATCGAAGGGACCTGTCAGCACTGTGCTGACTGGGTAAAAATAAGCTCCGGGGAGACTTGGACAGCCCCGTTTACTCTCAGACCTGCAGGTTCTAAGTTTGTCCACCACATGGCACTTCCATTCAACCTCTGAAACCCTACAAACGCCAAAATACCGAAGGGCCGCATTATTGTAACAAAGAACACACTGCCACCGATGATCAAGAAAAACGTGGCCGGGCGTTCCTGCGTGAAGCCACCGGGGACCATAGCCCCCCATCACCACTATCATTTGCTCAACCATGGGGGTTAGTTCCAGCCGTGCAGAGTCGAGGTACCCTCACCGCATCCCTTCCCAACGACTCAACCCCGGTCATAGTTACAAAGAAGTGGTCAGTTATCACATGGGGATACTAGCTTGATCCGGCGGGGTACAGGCGTTCGCCCAGCAAGCGCCAGACGCTCGTCTGGTGGACAGTTCAGTAGAGTAGTGAGGCGTCAAGACTCAACAGACCATATATCATATCGACGTAATTACGGCGGAGCCGAGACGGGCTTTGCGGCATACCCCGGGCGATCACACGTGGTGAAGATCTCGGAACGTTGGACGCATTTGTAAATTGGAAGTACACGAGGGAGATCTCGAATTAGGGCAAAGGTGGACTGGGACGGGTGAGCCACTTTTCCTACTCGGGTTTAGTGTACAGCAGGTGTTGCCAGTCCGGGCATTGCCGGATACATCAACCAAGCCAATCGAAAACCCAATGAGGGTGTAGGTGGCGCATATGCCCCAATCTGGTGGCGATCTTGGCGAACAGAGCCGACGATCTCGAGTTGACGGCCTGAGTCAACCCCACTGCTGTCAAAGTCTGGTCCACGGCCCCGTCGATCAGAAGACTCTCCTGCTCCACTTGGAATTAGAGATCTAAGGGAGTTGTATCGTGGTCCCCCGAGTCTTGCCTTTTTATCTCTTTCTATCTCGGGGCGCTCTGTCAAGCCCTACTCTAATCCAACCATGGTAGACACCGTGATCGGAACATCTGTATGATGCCCTTCAACGGGCCCAGATTGAGGTCTCCCGTGTGGCCTCTACCGTCCAGGATGTCCGACGGGGCCGTAAAGGGCGAAGAAGCGGTTCACACCACCGCTCAGGAACTAGCGCGGTAGCCCGTATCTACGTAATGGGCGGGTAATGCCGCCCATTCTAGGAAGGCTGACAGTTCATTTACAATGACTTGCAGGCCTAATACGGGGATGCATGACACTAGTACTTTTAATTGAGGATGTCTCAATCCTACCCAACAGTGGAATGAGGCCCATTTCCCAGAGATATCCCGATTCTGGCTGCTGCCATCGCTTAATCTGGAACCTTGCATCATCCCGTGTGTAAATGTCATCCCATGATTGCTTCTGTCGCGCCATCACTTCCACGTACCGTATCCCCCATGTCGGTACTGCCCAGTCCCAAATTATGATTTTCTGATCTTCTAACATTCCAAACAACCCATCCAGGGATTTGGCAACTCGTCCGTAACCCCAGTCACTACCCTTTTCTTTTTCTGCATTTAAATCCGGCCTATTGCATCCCCGGATACTGTCCAACATCCGCTGGAAAGTTCCCAGAGGTCCATGGGCTCCATGTCCCCTTTTCTCCATCACATTCGAGCACTGTGTTGTCCCAGAGCTAGCCATGACCCGGCACCCGTCAATTCAGGTGCCCGAATTAGAATCCCATGTGGGCTCCTCTCTCGCCCTGCTCTATTCTTAATCTTCTGACGCACGATACGGGCCCAGGGAATCCTCCAGATGAATGAATTCTATCCTTTATCGTGCCAAATATGGCACAAAGAGGGAGATATGAACATGGGCCGTTGATACTATCTCTAGGCCGTACCGGGTAGAGATACAGTATCAGAGTGAAGCCCCCCAGAGCATAACAGAGAAAAGGTATGAAAATAATAGTCTGGACGAATGAAAAATCACCAAAATAGGCCAATCGGGAGGAGACAAAGACCCAAAGTCTGTGACAAGCACCGAAATAAACTTAAATGGAGAAAATAAAAATGGTAATAAAAAATGTTCCAAAAGCCGACACAAGAAAGAAAAAAATAAAAATAAAATAAACCACAAAGACACTAACGGGCAACGAGGAGATCCAACTTCCCGCTCGCAGTTCATCTCTTAAGCCAGTAGTTTCAGCCTCCGGTCCGCGACTAACGCTCGCCCCATATCTTCCTAGTCCCTTCCTTCTCTCTATTAACTTTGACCTTCGACCTTATTTATTCAACGGCCCCGCCCTTGAGACTGACACGTCTGGACTATACTCTCTACCGTTTCTTCGTTTGTTCTTCACTTGGTCTACCCGCTAATTCAGTTGTGGTATCTTGTCTCACCTGCCATCTTCCTTCATCGTGCGTGTCTGAGTCGCTTTCAGGAGTCGCGAGACCGCTTGCTGCAGGGTGTCACAACAGCGACGCACGCTTCCTTCTGTCTTTTTTTCTTCTTCTTCTTTTCTCTTTCCGGAAAGCTCTTCTGGCACTCTCCTCGCTGAATCTTTCCTTGCGAACCGGACTGTGGTTACTTTCCGACGATCTCCATTTACTTATCTGAGAGATCTTCAACTACACAATGGCTGCTACACCGAGAGAACTACCGCTTTCTCCTCCCCAATCATCTGGTGGTGAGCTCACTCCAGAGAGAGCGTCGGATCCGAATGGCGTCTGCGTTCCAGCCTTCCTTCCCAGCGGCATGGAACACATCAAGATGCACGACGAATTTGGTACCGATCCGTCATCAATGGTAGGCTCTCTCTACTCAAAAGACCGTGTATGTCCTAACGAATGGATAGATCTATGCTTCTCCTCCCACTTACTTCTACCAAACTACCGGCTTCCCAACTCCCATGTCTGCCTCAACCCCTGTAAGTACTGCAATTATCTGGATCCTCATGTGCCACGCTTACCAGAGAAATTAAAGATGCACATGGGCAACAATATTGTCCACACACCTCCCCTTATGGCTGATGAGTCTATCTCCATAATGGGATCTCCCCCAACTTACTCTCCTTTGGGCCGTCGTGCATCTCCCCCCAAGGCAAAGCTCGGTCGATCTCCTCGTGAACGACATAATCGCTCTCGGCGAGGAACTAATTCCGCAAGTAAAGTCCTCCAGCTCAGCGCACCACTGAGCGAACTGACTGCGCATATGATTAATATCCCGCTCCGGGATATGGATGCCTGGGTCCACAGATCAACGGAGGAGCGCTTGAAGGAAAAGGCTCAGAAGGGCAAGGTTGCTCGTCCCATGAACTCCTTCATGCTTTACCGATCTGCCTACGCTGAGCGAAGCAAACGGTTCTTGAGCCAGAACAACCACCAAGTTGTTTCCACTGCCGCTGGTATGAGTTGGAAGATGGAGCCGGCTCATATCAGGAATAAGTACGAGGAGCTGGCACGAATCGAGCGCGATGCTCACTCTCGCGCCCACCCTACCTATAAGTTCAAGCCCAACAAGTGCCCACCCACGACCACTCGCAGACGGGGTGAGCTTACACCCCCAACTTCGACCGCTTCGGGGCCGTACGATGATACCCCCAGCCCTTACGCTAATACCTGGAACGATGAATATTCGACGGTACCTTGTATGCACAGTCGGAACCAAAGCTTCGAGTACCCAGCCAGCACTCGAGCTTCCACTCCATTCGACTCTCCCGATTCCTTTGTACCACAGGTTGGCTACCTTGACTCATCATGGAACACGAGTGACCCTTCCTCCGGTCTGCCAACCGTGCGTCCCCATGCCCTTCAGAACATGGGATACGTTGAGGACGTTCACTTTCGTCGAGGCAGCCCCATGCCTCAAGGAATCGAATACGAAGCCTCTAATGGCCTGGCCGGTCTTCCTGGTGGAACTCACGATGAGCTGCTCCAGCCCCAGGTAACCCACTCTTTGCCTGGCCACATCGCCGAGGGTCACATGGACCCCCAGTTGCTCAATTACCGGAGCGACGCTCTTCCAATCCCGGCCCCGAATGGCCAGGGGTATGCTAGCACCGAATTCCCGACTTGGGAAGATGAGGCCGGCAACAGCTACCTGCCCTCCTCGTTACCATCAGACCATTCGAGCCCGTTCCCATACCCCAACTCTCACATGACTGGAAACTACCACCCAAGCATGCATCAAGATCCTTCTTTTACCCCATGGCTCCAAAAGCGCGAATCATTCTAGATTCAAAGCGCGCCAGTGCCAATTGGAGATGGACTCACGATACAAAAATGTCTCCGGATATCTGAGCGGCTGACTCATAACTCGCCGATGCATTGAGCCATTGGCTGAACCGTGGTGAGAGTTTGGAGCGTTGGTCACGCCGATGGGCCTTGTAGAGCAGGACGCAGGAGGGAAATGGAGAATGGGAGATTGAGTTACGGTTCTGTGGCGCCGGCGGGAATTTTATTTAGGTTCAGGTCCTGCTTTGAAATGTTTCCTTCAAAGTTGTTTCATTGTTTTCTTAATGTCCTCCAGGTGTTCTTTAATGTCTTTTCGTGTGGCGCTTTTGTTTTTTCAAATTGGTGCTGAAGGTTTTGGTGTTCGTGGGTTACTTTAGATCTCTACTATGTCAAAGAATGGCGGGCGGCTGTGTACTTCATTACCAAGGGGTTTTCGTTTTTCAAATTGGATTATTTCCACTCAAAACTTCTGTACAAAAAGTCATAGTGACCTTTAGAATGCCACTTGCTAGAACTAAACTCGTGCTCAAGCTCCGTATACCCCCCACACTTTGCCCTAATTTCGGGTCAAATCCTCACCGCTCCACCTACCGCCTCCATGCGGACCCGCCAAAGCACTCCGACTCGACTCCGTCCTCGCCATTGCTTTCTTCAGGCATTATCTACAATAGCGGCCTCTTAGCAGCCAATTCATAACATCCTCGAAAGGACCGAGAGAGTCTCACCCATCAACACCCGATCTCACCACCCCCGCCATACCCCTCCTCTACCCCTCACCGAACGACGCTATACGCAACATCCATCCCCCAAAATGTCGATCCCCAACGAAGCCCTGCAGAAGGTAAGCATTCCGCATATATAAACATTCTACGACATGATGACAACCTTGCCGCGGAGTCCTTTGCGCCTGAACATAGACTAACAAATCCAAATCTTAGCTCCTGCAAGAAATTGAAACTCGCGCGATGGCATCGCAGCAGCAGATCGGAGTCACCAAGGCCCAGATGACCGCCAAGCAGCGCGACATCCGCATGTTGCAGCTGACGTCGAAGGAACTTTCGGAACTGCCCTCCGCGACACCGGTGTACGAAGGTGTGGGCAAGATGTGGGTTTCCCCGATTCTTTGCGAAGATTGATGGCCTTCTCGGGCCAAGTGCAGTAACTGATTTCCGGAAATAGGTTCGTCAATGTCCCCATCGACACGGTCAACAAGCGTCTTACCCGCGAGAGCTCCGAGGCTAGCACCGAGATCACCAACCTGGAGAAGAAGCTGCACTATCATGAGACTACGTACAAGAACAGCCGGGAGAATCTGGAGCAGATTTTGAAGTCTGGGGGTCGCGCGTGAGGTGTTTTAAGCTCCGAGGAAATATTATAGTGTGGGAAGATGCAAACGACGCCGTGAAGACCCCCAGAAGGAGTTCATCCGCAGCAAAAGCGATGGCCATGATACGGGCTTGTGCCGTGTTCAACGAGGGTCTTCACTTTGGAGAGTTGGAGGAAAATATCGCATCTCTTGGTGCGTGGAGTAGGAAGGATCACCGTGTCCTGTCCGGCCAATTTCCAGTTCCCTATGATGGGGAGCAGTATGTTCTGTACCGACGACTTAGATACCCAAAAGTTCTCGTGTGAGAATTTGCATGATGAATAAAATATACAACTCAAATTATCCAAATAGCGCTACTTCCGTAAATACCTTTTGTGAGGATTCCCGCTGCTACCGTATCTCGCCCTTGTCTTTCATCGAGGTCGTCAGGTTGGAGTTAACCGTGGTGTTGTGTTGGATCGGTGTATCCCTTTATGAACTATAGCAAGTTCACTGACATGTCCAAAATCCTGATATTACCTGTCAGAGCACTCTTAGGTCCGATCAAAGTAAACAGCCCTAAACCCGCCAAGAACCCTACTAAGCACGTTAAACAAATGACAGAATTTTAAATTAACATAGTGGATCCTTCAAGCACTAGTCGTTTCCGGTTAATCTATTCAACCCGCAATATGTCATAGCCCAGCGCCCAGGCTGTAAAACAAGAAGGTGTGGCACAAACGCCCAGTCCGCGCCGTTGGCGTCATCGTTGTGCTACGCTGGGGATTATGCATCCGACGCCTACGTTCGAGGCCTGCCAATGACGTGTGTGCACGACCTGACCGACAGGCTCCATCCTTGTTCCAGGTACCGGTGGAGGGGTATTTCGTTTCGCGAGTTGATCTGGATTTGATCCTGAGATAACCAGGATATGAATCTGTGGGTGTTTCAGGATCAGGGATCTCAGACTCATTTCCTTCGATCGGGCTTGATGGCCGTCGCAATAGTGCCGTGTTGAGTGGAGTTCCAAGATTGTCGCTGCAGGCGATCTGACGCAGGCCTGCATGGCCTGCATGCTTATCGCGGAGCAAGTATACTTCAACTGAAGTGTTAATTCAGGTTGACTCAGCCCCAAGGTGTCGCTTCCTGCGTGCCATGTCTACTTAGTTATCATCCAGGTAATCTGTCGTCTGGAAGCCTGGTTATATCCGCGGATGACATACGCTGCGCGATGGTGAGCCATTACGGCCACGGAATGGGAGTGGAAGATTCCGAGCCCCCCGTCGCCTTCCACCTGTTCGACTTGGCCATTTCGCTCGCCGTCAATATTGAGTAGAGAATGAATGAAGACAAGGTCGTCCTCCAACGCTAACCTATGACTGCCCCATGTAAGTCTCCCTGCAATAAGTACTAACCAAGCCGATCCAATCGCGAGTACCGGGGTCATGCGCCACAAGACCGGAATATTGCCGGATCAGATTGTGAGCGAGTCGCCGGATCTTGACCGCAAATGCCAGTGCTCTGGTAACTCCTTGCCGATGATCGATGAAGATGACAACAACGAGGATAGCTGGGATTGTCAGACGCCAAAGTCACGCGTGCCCTGGGTCAGGCGCGGGACCACCCGACCGCGTCCCAAGGTTCTCACTTCTGCCCGACTTCGGTTTCATGTTTTCACCCTTGGGAGTATAAGGGACAAAGCCCAATTCCAAGCTGAGTGTTGAGTGTTCCGTGTGAGTAATTAAAAAAGAAAAGGAAAGGAAATCGCATCGTGTGCATCAAGTGCTTAATTTAGTATCAGATGGGTTTCAGGAGGCGCTGGCTCGGGCAGATCTCGAAGCGCCGGTAGACTGGTGGCGCGAAGGATAGAAATAAACTAAAAGTCAAGCACCGCGATGGACGAGGCACTGCTCTACGGGCGGTTGTGGAGGTGATTCGAGAGCACACGGCAGACTCGGTGGGGCTGGACTTGACTGGCCCAACTGTGGAGCCCCGGCTGGTGGCTGGGTATGATGTTATGCCCGAGATCTTGGAAGGAGGACGATGGATATGTGCGTGTGTGTACCGGAGGGCCAGGTGTGCAGGTGTATAGATATCGAGATAGTGTTCATCGCATCACGCAAGGCGAGTGGAGTGGAAGCATGAGTATAGTGGCATGGAATGCAGCGTACGAGTGGCACGGCGATGATCCTTGCGGCTGAACCTTTTCATTTCCTTTTGCTCTTTATGCCCTAACGGGCCCAGCCCTGTCCCTGCCAGATCTTGCTGCAATAAATAGATCGAATACCCGCGAGCGCTTCTCCCACCTTCTTTTCCCGAGTAACCCACTACCCCTCCCCCGCCCTCAGCTGAACGCTGATCCGATAAGCACTACTCGTATTGGCATTTGGGCGAGACTGTCTTCTGCACGCTAGTGCCTCGTGGGCTTATTTTCTTACTTTTCTTTTCTCCCTCCTCTTGTTCCCCCTCTTTCACCTCTACTTCTCGTGGTGCTCAGGCCTGCCCCCGCCCAGGGCCGACAACGTGACCGCCACTCCTCATTTGAACATCCACGAGTCTCATTCATCGATCACTCGCCCGAAATGCCTCATACACGCTTCCGCTTCGACGGAGAGTCGGAGGAGTCCGACTTCTCCGAGACCGACATGTCCATGCGCGGCCGCAACGGCCGCACTTCCATCCACCATCGCTCCAGCTCCCGCCACCGCCACCCAGACGTGGCAAAAGAGACCTTCCTGGCGCCAGTGCAGCAGGCCACGCGAGTCTACCGATCGGCATCGACGGGTGGGCGCCGGCCGCGCGATCGCGATGACGTCCCGGCGGTGATGATCGTGAACGAGCAGGCTCAGCGCACAAACAACACCAAAACCAACAAGTCACGACGGGTGCAGCAAAAGTACGAGGAGGACTCGGACGAGGAAATCGTGCACTTGTCACGGCGGCGTGCTGCTAGCGGCGTCTCCCGTGAACCCTCCCCCTACCACCGCGACTACGAGCTCGCTATGAACCAGCATATGCTTGAGAAGCATGACATCCATCAGGATCTGGAGATCTTCAAGCACCAGCAGGAGATCGAGCGTCTGGAGCGCGAGCTTCAGAAGACCCGCGAGAAGAGCGCGTCGCCGCGCGAACACGGTCACCAGCCCCGTGAGTCGCGACTGCTGCGGGACGAAGAGGAGTTCTATGAGGAGGAGATCAGTGATCGACTGCGCCGGCTGCAGCGATATGAACGGAAGAACCGTTCAGAGGAGGAGCGACGGCAAGCGGAACGCCAATGGCGGCTGAGGAAGTTTGAGGAGGCGGAGAAGGAGGCTGCTGATCGAGAGGAGTTGAAGGCTAAGCTGCGGGAGGAGAAGTTGAAAGAGATTCAGCGCCAGCAGGAGGAGGATAGGGAGCGGGAGAGATTGAAACTTGAGCTCAAGGAACAGAAGCTGAAGGAGCTTCAGAAGCAGAAGGAGGAGGAGGAGGAGCGGGAGCATCTCAAGAAGGAAATCCTTGCGGAAGAGGCTCGCAAGGCAATTGAGGCTGAGGAAAAGAGGAAAAAGGAAATTGCTATGAAGGCTGCCGCCGTCGAGGAGTGGAAACTCGAACAGGAGCGCATTGCACAGAAGAAGAAGGAAGAAGCGGAGAAGAGGGATAAGGAGTTCCGCGAGCGACTGTGTGTTGAGTTTGGTTACTCCGAAGAGGAGATCGAGGAGATCTTGAGGAGGAAAAAGAGGGAAGAGAGGAAGGACGAGAAGAAGATCGAATTCGAAGAGACAAAGAAGACCACATGGATCAAGGTATGTCTTTCTCTTTGTATAATTCAATCGACTCTCACTAACGTGCATCCAGGTCCACCGCAAACACCTTCTCCCCGAGACTTTGATGGCTTTCAATCTGCCCTGGGACTGGGACGAGGTAAGTCTTGCCAAACCCTCTATATCTACACCGTGCTAACTCCCTTCCAGCACGACACCAACTATATCATCATCAAGCGCTGGGTCACCGAAGACTTCCAAGAAGAACTCTTCGCGCACTCGCGACGCCTGCGCGAGGGCAAGGTGATCACAGAGACCTCCAGTTCTACCACCGAGCTCAAGGTCAACGACCGCAACAAGGACAAGATGTACCTGGTGCGAAAGAAGAGTCCCAGCCGGCGGATGCGCATTTTCGCATGAGCTGGCGCTTTCAAGATCGTAGATATTTCTTTCCGATACTGCCATTATGTTGGTGTCTATGATCTGCCACGAGACCCGAAATATGCCTTTGAAATTGTGCTTTTTCCTTTTGAGTTGAGATTTCGAAGCTGCATGTCACTAAAGGGTGGGACAGTAACGAGACACGAGTTTGATGACCCCTTTCTGCCTTTTGTCATGTCGCATCATATATGCGGCTTCGTTTGTTTCTATTTATCCATTGACCAATCGTTCATAAAGTGTATCTTGCCCAGACTAGAATCCTGCGCCGTAGATGAATTTGAGCAACAGATCTTGGATGGACTGCAGCTCGACTCTAAGCAACCGTTAACTGTGGCGACCTGACCGGATGCAAGGCGTGTGCGTGTGCGTCTGCAGACGCGGACCCCGCATTTGGACACCGGAGATTATAAGCTATTAATACAAGAAGTAGAATGTTCCGGCTATGAGCAAGAGTCTACAGGCTCATCTCGTGCTTGGCCGCCCACCGCTTCTCGGCCTGCAAGATCAACTCTTCGTAGACGGTCCATGCCAGCGCCGAGCTCAGTGCCTTGCGAGCCATACGCAGACCGAGCCCGCCAAAGAGACTGCGCATCCCATCCTCGTGGATCATCAGGCGTGTGGCTCGTACCATATTTCCATACTTGGCGGGCATGAGCTGCAGACGGGTTTTCACCGCGTCGAATGGGTTGGTGATGGCTGTAGCCAAGCCGGCCGCTAATGCACCCGAGCCGAAATTGATAGACGAGGATGAGACAGCCGCCAGAGGTGTCCCGTCGCTGCCGGTGCCCTTGCTGGTCATTATGGCCAAACGGCGCTTCAGCTGCTCGTAGAAGAGGACGTAGAGACCGGCATAAGGGGCATCTCGTGCGGCGGTGGCACCGAAGCCTGCGAAGAGCCCACGCATGCCCTCGGTGCGTACAATGTCGCGGCCTGCGCCTAGGAGACTGCGATAGGCGTAGTAATCGGACTCGTAGCGCACTTTGAGTACGGTCACGGGCATCATCACGAAGCCCGCGGCAACACGGGCGACGGCACCCGTGGCTAGGTTGGCGGAGTTGGAGAGTTTGGGGAGGGCGGAGGAGGATTTAGGTGCGGTTGTTCCGGCGAGCACGATGGGGGTATTGGCCTGGGCGACTGTTTGGCGCAGGGCGTTGAGGCTGGTGAAGTAGAGAGCGGACCCGAAGCCGGTTCGCAAAGCGGATGGGAGTGTACCACGCCATAGCCCGCGGATTGGATGTGGGGAGGATAGGATAGCTTTGAGGGTCGGGAGGAGAGATTGTTTGGATTGTTGGACACGGGTCTTGAGGAGATCGGCGGGCTGGAGGAGGATGGAAGATGTGAGGCCAGAGCAGAGGCCGGCGGAGAAGTGGAATATTGTTTTGGATGCTGCCGAGCGGAGATGTTAGCCAGGCTGGTGGTGCTTTGCAGACGCGGATGCCGTGCATACATGTGGAGGTGCCCGTCTTCGCGGGCACCGCTAATGTGCCATTGTTCGACATGGCGCCCGAGACCATGGGATCAACCAGAGACTGTGGCCACCCAAGGATCTAGATGGATGGGAGGTTCGATACCAGATCGAACTCTCATGGGAGTCGCGGTTGGCGTCGGAATGGAAGTTTTTCGTGATTCACCGCATGCAGGCACAAAACCGAGACAATTGCCGCCCTAGGCCGATCACAATTGGCGATGGAATGAGGCGTTCTGCATTCACAAGATCAACAGTTCCTGACCGGACGAGAATGTGTATGCAGCAGTGTTGTTGCGGCGTCGCGATATTGGGGTGTGGTAGTGAGACAGGAACCCGGTGGTGAAGTCATCGGATCCGCGCTTGGAGCCTCGGCGATAAGACTGACCTGTCAAGTCGGGTTCAGCCGCATTCAAAAACTACATAGTAATTAGGTTGCCATCGAACGCACTAACACGGGTTTCTAGCTGTTTTCACATTTAGTAATAAAAAATACCCCAAAAATAGAAAACAAAAAAAAAAAAAACAGCCAAAAACAAAGAAAAGACTGAAAACAACCGACTCCGGAATCTCGCGGGGGCGCACGGGGAGCCAATCAATGGACGCCAATCGCGGCGTGTGTAATCGACGTCACCTTCTACCTTGTGATTCACCTTCTTTCCTCCTCACAACACCTACGACCCTCGAAATGTGGTCTCTGCCCTTCATCCCGTATCCGCCTGCTAAGGCTGGATTCTGGAGTCCTGTCACTTCCACTCTCAACTGGTGCGAGGAGGTATGTTATTGTTGGCGCCTTACGGGAAGATTGGCTCTGACGGCTCTGACATCTCCTACCTAGGACTACTATGCCACCGTCTACGCCGCCGAGATTGTCAACTCCCTGACCAACCTGCTGTTTATGTGGCTGGGCATCAAGGGTATCATCAGCTGTCGTCGCAATGGACATGACCAGGTCTTTCTGGTTGCCCTACTTGGATACCTGATCGTCGGCACCGGCAGCTTCCTGTTTCATTCCACCCTCAAATGCAAGTCTTTCGACACTTTATCCTGGTCGCGAGTACACACTGACAGTTGAATGCGCACGTACAGACCCCATGCAGCTGGTCGACGAGCTCTCCATGATCTACACCACCTGTCTGATGTGCTATGCCTCGTTCTCCTACTCCCGCCCTACCGGCGTGCGTCTAGTCCTGGCCATTAGTCTACTCAGTCTGGCCGTCTTCATCACGCTCTATTACCATTATCTCCAGGACCCCGTGTTCCACCAAAATGCCTACGCCATCTTGACTTTCGTAGTGGTGTTTCGCAGCATGCACACCATGGAGGTTACTCTGCGGCCCAAATGGCGCCGATCGCGCGAGGAAGACCGATTGGAACGCCAGAGAAATGGCGAGAAGGTTCCCACCAAGGAGCGCCAGCATTACGAGAACGTGCGCGACACCAAGATCCTCAAGACGATGTGGTTCATGGTTACTTACGGGCTGAGCATGTTCCTCGGCGGCTTCTTGATCTGGAACTTGGACAACCAGTTCTGTTCGCAGATCCGCCGGTTGCGCAGGACCGTTGGCTTGCCGTGGGGTATTTTCCTGGAGGGGCACGGTTGGTGGTATGTTTGCCCTTGTCCATCACTCACTTCCGGACCAACCCGCTAACCTTGATATTTCTCAGGCACATCATGACTGGCATTGGTGCATACCTATACATCGTTTGGGGCATCTGGCTTCGGCACTGCCTGAACCAACGCCAGGATGAGTACCACCTGCGCTGGGCTCACTTCTGGCACATTCCCGAGGTGATCCGTACAACCCCGGGGTCCGAAAACGGGGTGGCCAGAGACAAGAAGTCCACCTAAACTACTTAGGCAGCAACGTGCGGCCAATATGCCCCTCATAGTCTAGGCCCGGATGGTATCAGTGCTCTCGTGATTGGCAACCTCGACTTGCCAAAAATATGACTTTCTGATACTCAATACGGAATAGACTTCACTTCCTATGTCTAATTCTCTCTCCTTCTTTTGGCTTTTTAGTCCGGTTGAGGGGCTTCTTGGAATGCCCCCACTTCGGTGCTATTGATACGATTCGTCCCGGTGACGGAAAATCCTAGCTGGCTATAGGTATGCCTCGTGCCTCGTGCATACTCAGAACCCCCAATGGCGTGCAAGAGGGAACGTGTGGCGTAAGGTTGTTGCTATAGATATGTGGTGTTGCTGATATCCTTTTGGTGCTTTGGACTTCGTATGAGTTACCCACTTCGTTTGGTTATTTTACGATGAAAATAGAAACACAAAGATATCCTTGGGTACGAAACTCGTCTCTAATCTTGTATCTGCACGTAATCTATGCCGTGGTTCCAACGCCGAGTATGAAGGCAGTCCACACTGCCCGGCTTTCCAAGACAGACGATCAAACCCAAGAGAGCTGACGTATCTACAAAGAGCTCAGGTCTAATCTCACAGCTTCGACCCAGGCTCCGCCTTCTTAGGCCGACGCGCTGGCGCTGGGACATGCTTCAACCACTCTGCATCAACCGTCTGCTTCTCGAGCTTGGACTTCTTATGCCACACAGACCGGAAGCTCTCCTCCTCGTCCCGCCAGCGCCGCAGTTCCGGGGCCAACCAGCAGACCGCCGCATCAGCACACTCATTTACAGCTTCCTGGGCCAGTAAGTGACCAAAGTCCTCGAGGAAGACCTCACGCACTCGACCCGCTGCAACACCGCCACTACCACCGAGACCCGTACCCGTGTTGGCGAGCTTATCGGCTCGCATATGAGGCATACACATATAGGACTTGCCTGCAAAGACATATAGCACACTCGGACGGAGGTGCGGCAGCTGTGAGAAAATCCGCACCGGCTCAGGCCGGTAGAACGGATACGAGTCTGGGTGGGTTTCATCGAGATCTGGATGCGTTACCCGGTTGATGGCCTTGCCGCTTCCAGGGACATGGTTGTAGTTGGGCCGTGAGAAGGTGAAGACTTCCTGATGGAGCGGGGTACGCAATGTGACAGGCGGGTTCTTCGCATCGACGGGTTTGCCGTCGAGCGGGTGGATAGCCGTGGGGAGATCGCGGAGCCCGTACTCTACCCAGCGGTCTAGCACGCGGGGATCCCATGCTTGATAGAAGGGACTACGCTTGAAGCCCTCGGCGGCAGCCTGGCGCGAAGGCCAAATGTCACGGCGGTGGGTGGAGAGCTGAGTGGTCTTTGCGATGAGGCGTTTGTTCTCGCGGAGACTGAAGCCGTCCAGCTGAGTGGTTTGACGCTGTACGACCGGATCGAGTAGCACCAGGGTATGCAACAGTCGGGGGTGCATCAAGCTTAATTGTGTACTACACAGCGTTAGTGATGGATTTGATCAATGTGGTTGCAGTCGGGTACTAACAGGTGCGCACCACCCATACTGTGTCCGATGCCAACGATTGGTCGGGGCATTTCTGTCCGTTTGACGTTGACTAGATGGAGGAGATCGCGCGGGTGGTCGAACCAGCTTGCTGGTTGCTTGTTAGTATACCGGTTCGCAACGCGGACGGGTTCACCTACGGTCGTTGCCTAGGGAATCTTCATTGAGCACGCTGCTTTCTCCTTCCCAAGCTACATCGGCCATCCAGATGCTTCGAATGCGGAATCCGACTTCTTTGGATCGAGCGTGGATTTCCTCCCAGAGAGGTTCGTATAGTTCCTACCCCAGGTATTAGACATGGGTTTCATGATAGGCGCATATTACATGCGATTAAACAGACAGAGTTTAATTCAGAATAACATACTTTGGGAAACCCATTGGCGTGTGCCGCGAGGATCGTCACATCGCCGGGTTGGGGATTGGGGTTGTCGAGGGGAATGTATTGTTTCACGGCCAGTTTCAAGGGTTCTTCCTGCTCATTGGCCGTGGCGCCAGGGTATTCGCGGATATACTGGGATTCCACGACATGCTCGACAATGCGAAATGGCGACGACATGGTTGTTGTTGAAGTACGGGGAAGACATCCGTCTCCGCGCGGAGTAATAAAGGATGGAGACCGCGGCGAGGATGAGCCGAGGCCCTTGGACTCGCCGAGTGGCACTGCGCGCCGACCCAACTGCCGGTCCCACCGCGTTGATTACTATACTCCCATCTACCTTCCATAGTTTCCTCATGTCTTTCGGGATAACGCATTTGGTGGAATACCGATAGTAGAGAAAAAGGTCCTTTGGTTTTGGTAACCCGCTACTAAATGGGCCTCGAAATATCTAATTACTCTAAGAGATAGAAGATAGGACTGGCCGATTTGTCCCCGGAAATATCCACGCCGATATGCACGTCAATATATTGATTATTTGTTGAAATGGGAGAATCGAGATACTAGCTGGAACTCATAGATTCACTTTTTATGCACAGTGGAAGAAGCCAAAACGAGTCAAAGTGCTGCGCATATCCCCGCGGTCACCCACGTGACCGGGCGTCGAGGCTCACGCGCAACGCGTCGCAAGTTTGTTCCCCACTGACTTGTATTGATATCACACCTCGCTATGGCGCATTCGGATGAGGACCATAGGCTATTCGAGCAGTGCCGCGTCTGCATCGTCTGTTCCAATGACCTCCCCCTGGAAACCGCTGAGCAGGTATGTATTACTCCCACGAAACGCGAAACTTGCGACTAACAGACGCGAATCAGCTCGCAGCAGTGATTGAAGAATACGGCGGCGAACCATCCATCCATCAAACCAGCCCCGATAATAACGATACAATCGAATGTACCCATATAGTGTCGAATACCATCAACTTCCTCGCCTACGACCTCGCCTGCAAGACTTTCATCCCGGTGGTCAAACCATCTTGGGTACACGTCTCCCTGGCCAAGCGCAAGATTGCCAATCCTCGCCAGCACAGCCCCGATCCGCGTCTTTTTTTGAACGATGTGGTGGTCACCTGCGGTGACATCCCCGAGGGAGACAAGGATGCGATTATCGGGGGAGTCCTGGCCAAGGGTGGCCTCTATAGCTCTCGAATGACTGGCACGGTCACTCACCTGGTAGACTTGACAGCCGACTCAGACAAGGCACGTCTGGTGCAAGTGAAGAAGATGCGCGTGAAGATTGTGCTCCCTCATTGGTGAGTCTTGCTTCAGATCCCTCCAAAGCACTCCCGTTGACGAGATGTAGGTTTGACGACTGCCTGAAACTCGGCCAACGTATCAATGAAAGACCGTACACTCTTCCGGATCCCGAGATTTTGCGTGCCGGCCCCGATGATCCGATCAAGTCGAACGAAAATAAGGGCCTAGCGGGTGCTTCAACTGCGGACCCATCTGCCATGCCGACCTTGAACGGTGCGTCACGAAATGGAGATGGGCCGGGTGTCTTTGAAGGCAAATGCATCATGCTGTCTCCGGATCTCGGAATCGGTTCGCGCCTGCTTGAGTCCATTGAGGCGGTCCTCAAGCAAGGCGGTGCCACCGTGACAGGAAATGTTAACGACGCGAATTGGCTTGTCTGTCGGTTCCGAGATGGTTTTGTGTATCGGACGGCATCGCGACTGGACAAGGTTGTTGGAAACCTGGCGTGGCTTTTCCATCTAATGACATTCAACGAGTACACAAGGCCACTGAGTCGTCTTTTGTTCTACCCAGTTTCACGCACCCCGATTCCCGGCTTCCAGGGGCTGAAGATCAGTCTTTCCAACTACGTTGGCGAGGCTAGAATCTACCTCGAGAACCTGATCGAGGCAGCCGGTGCTCAATGCACCAAGACATTGAAGCAGGAGAACACACACCTGATCACTGCACATGGAAACAGTGAGAAGTGCAGCGCGGCAAGAGAATGGGGTCTCCAAGTTGTCAACCATTTGTGGTTGGAGGACAGCTACGCTGCATGGAAGTTGCAACCCGTGTCGGCGCCGCGCTACAACCACTTTCCCTCGCGAACCAACTTGGGTGACATTGCGGGACAGAAGATGCTCGACCCTCAAGTTCTTGAAAATATTTTTTATTCCTCTGAAGATACTGAGCCCTCAGGCCCGCGCCCCGCCATGCAAGATAAAGACCAGAACACGACGGCAATGAAGCCTCCTGCCGATAAGCCGCGCAAGGAGGAAAGTAACGTCCCTGAGACCACTCATGGCACGCCGCAAGCAAAGGGAAAGACTTCCCGCCAGCCTTCAGACAACAATAAACTTCAAACTCCCGCACGGTCTCGGCTGATCCCCGACGACAAAGAGAACGAGACCCCCTCAACAGGTAGCAGTCGCAAATCTAAGGAAGCCGCTACCGCCAAGCTTCATGAATACGCCCCAGATCTTGCTTTGTACGAAAAAGAAAGAAAGCGCGTCGGTGGTGTGATTTACGGTGGTAGACGCAAGTCTGACGAGGGTCGGGTGTCCGAGAACCCCAAGGAGAACCCCAAGGAGAACCCCAAGAAGCGCCGCTCGGTTGAAGCCGACGAGGGAAAGAGTGATAACGAACAAGCTACGGAGCCTAAGCGGCAAAAGAAGTCCCGGCCACCTATCTCGATGCACTTGATGATTACTGGCTACCAAAAGTGGGTTGGAAAGGGGAATGAGAAGAAAGAAGATGCTGATAAAGTAAGGCAACGCCATGCAATATGCAAGATCTATGCTAACAATTCCAAAAGCGAACCCTTCGAGATCTTGGTATTATGGTGGTCCAAGACGCCCGTCGATGCACTCATCTGGCCGCGCCAACAATTCTGCGTACCACAAAGTTCGTCAATGCTTTGGCTTATGGGCCGATGATTGTCAGCACCGACTTTGTCGACCAGTGTCTCAAGAAGGATGAGCTTCTCGACCCTGTCGATTTCCCACTGGTGGACAAGGCGGCCGAGACGAAGTTCCAATTCTCTCTCGCCAAGGCTTCAATTAGGGCAAAGAAGAACAAGAACAAGCTTCTGCGCGGTTTCCGTGTCTATTGCGTTGAGGACATCCGGGGTGGCTTCGATGCTTTCAAGTCAATTGTGGAAGCCAACGGCGGAGAGTGTCTGCTCTTCCGTGGCCGTCTTGCACTGGCCAACAATTCTCGACGTGAGGAGAGCGACGACGAAGACAGTGAGATGGATGGTGATGATTCTGGCCGCAACGAAGTCTTCCTCCTAAGCAGTGCAGAGTCCAAGCACGCACGACTTTGGCCCCGATTCCGCCAATTAGCTGGCGATGTCAAGCGGGCCCCAAGGATCGTGCGGGTGGACTGGTTGCTCGACATGGCCATGTCACAGGAGCTGCGTGCCGCCGATGAGTACGAGCTGTCCGAGGAGATGGTCGGAAAGGAAGAAGAGTAGGCATGAAACCGTCTCCGGTAATTTCTCAGGTTTAGCAATTGGGCATGTAAAACAAGGACCTGTGAATTCTCTTTTGCGGTTATTTTACTGCTTGGGTTTGGCGCCCCAATACGCCGTCACGTAACCTTTCCCTCCGTCTCCTCCATATTATAGAACCGACCTCGCCATTCAACTTTCATTTCTCCGTCCCACTTGGCCCCTTTTCTTTGTAGCAGTGAGTTTGACTCGTGCATTGCATCTGACAGGAGAAAACATAGGCTGCCAGTATATAGTACACATGGAACCCAAATTCTGTCACCTTCCAATCAATCCCTTTCCGGGAGAGTTAGATGCCATACATACCTGACCCATCAATAAAGAACCTTCGCCTCCAGGAAACTCGGATCTAAGAGGCTCGTGTACCATATGGTTCAAATGGAAATAGGAATGCACAAATAGCAAGACCGCCATACAGTGCACCACATATAAAAATGGGACCTGTAGTTGCTGTGTTTGCAACGGTAGCAATAATAGCAGACATCACACCCATAAGCCGGCAAAAAGCCACTGCGATGCCATTTCCCGTCGCTCTATGAGCAGATGGTAGTACCTCGGCAGTATATCCATACAGTGCACCGTAGTATATCTCCAGAGTAAAAGATATGATGCAGCTGTACGTGATATTCTCAACCTGAGAAGTAACCTGAGAGTAGGCAAAGAAAAAGGCCACTACCGATATTTATTAGTGTCGATGACGGAAAAATGAAGTTTAGAGGATGGAGTACTTACTGGTAAGAACAGCACCAATAATCATCGTATAACGACGCCCTAAGCGCCGCCAATTTGCCATGTGACCACCGAGCATGGGTCCAAAGATACCACAGACTTGGACTAAAGCGTAATTTCTCCAAGTCTCATATGTGCTGGTGACCCCGAACTCAATACCACGGCTTGCAAGATACGACGGCAAGAATACATTGAACAAGGGGTACGCAAGCCCAATCATGGACCACGACAACCAGATGAGAAGAGTCGTGAAGGCCAGCTCTTTCGTCATGAATAAACTTCTGATATGGATCCAAAATTCGCCGATGGAGAATCTAGACTTTGAGTGAGCAGAGCTGATGGTACCACATGCCTCGAGTTGCTCCACGGTAAGGGAACATGGCCGGTCGTATATCGATGCCAACTCTTGGAAATTCTCGACCACTTTGGCATCCCCGCCTTGCCCGAGGAGGAATTTTGGAGTTTCCTTAAGATGGATAATTGTGACTCGTGCAAGACTCATGGCGAATATCATTGCTCCCATGGTGAACATCAGGTACCTCCAACCGCTGTTGTTGGCCTTGGTGCAGGGTGTAAATGGTGCCGTAGTTGGGTCGGAACAGCTGTAATTGGCTATAGATTGCCTCACATCAGCAATATACTCAGGTATTAGGATTATTCATGTCAGAATGTTAGGCAGTAGGGACTGACGCATAAAACCCCAAGCAACCAACCCTGCGATCGTACAGCCAACTCCCCACCAAGCAGCAAGCCAGATTACAAGCCATTGCTTGTTAGAGGGTAAATATTCCAAGAAGACTGTAGTGTCGAGAACCAGATTTCCACCAGCACCGAATGCTGAGAGGGCGATGAAGAATCCAAGCGAGACCCAGTCGGGAGCTGCGCCGGCGACGATGGTGAAAACCGCACAGATGAAGAGTGACACATTGAAAGCGATTCTCCGTCCGATGATGTCAGCGCTAAAGCCCCAAAATAGGGCACCGACAAGCATCCCGATGTACACTGCGATTGTGAGGCCCTTTTTGTAAGAAGGCTGAAATTCATAGACTACCTGGGTGGCGATGATCCCTTGGAGTGAAAGTTGCAAAGCGTCCACGGCATATCTTTTATAAGTTTAGTGTGGTGATATGTTTAGAATATATACAGGAAATGGTAAATCTTACCCGAAGCCATTAAGAAAGAACAATTTCCAGTGATATGGTGTCCAACCAATCTCGTCCAGGGTCTGTGTATATAAATTAGTTAAAGGAATCCTCGGAGCTTGACCTCCACGTATGTGATCATCACGAACATTGTTCACAAGGTGCATCTTCCTACCCAACGCAGGATCGAGGTCCAGAGCCAGGATCTCTTGCCGCTGATTGATGCTCTCGGGAGCTAAATCCTCCGACTTCGATTCTACATTCCTCTCCTCATCGTTGATATAGCCCTTCTGGGGGCTGTCCATCGTGACGGGGACTTCTCCAGACATGGAGAAATGTAGCAAGAAAGATAACGTGTTATAGGGATTCTTTGATCAGTCCTGAAGATGAAAAATTTGGCTAGTCTAGGGCTACCTGTCCCTGCACGAGTGTCGCGCTAATATACTATATGGTCCCATGACCTCTAAAATCTCCATAGATGTAACCGTGGGAGATCGGCCAACTCCTTCCCTTATCTTTTCAGAACAATGAATGGAGAAACACTGGACTTTCCGCCTATCTGGGTATACCGACCTCCGGTGACGGGACCTTGGGGTGGGGGCGTGTGTGATAAGCCTTAGCCGCGTATCCATTTTAGCGATTGGTCTCCAAACTATCTACAGAGTATAGCAGATTCGAATGAATCGCGGCCGATAACCAGCAGTGGGCTAGAAATTCAGAAGCTCAAGTATAATGGATTAGATTTGCAAATAAGAATTCTCTCATCCCACAGGTTCTGGATATCCTGCACTCTGATGAACCATGCAATTGTTAAGCTGAATCCTTTGAGGCGCCAAGAGGCGGGATTTGAACTCTAAAGCGGCTTTTAAGTGCTTTTTGCAGGGGTTGGCCTAGTTTCCCTTTTCTGGACCACTGGCTGCTCCCTCCCTGTCGTGTGGTAGAATTGGCCAACAAGCCCAAGAGAAGCTCTCGGCCATCATCACTTTCAGCCCAACACACATCTTTCCTGGCTCACCAAGTGCCAATCAAAACATCCATGTAATAGTTAGAATAAGTCTCTTGTCCGAAAATCACGACGCCTGTTCTCACTTTCGGCCATACGAAGTATTCCACCCCGATGGACGAATGTGGACAACTTCCGGGGAGGAGCTCCACCGAGAAGGCCGATGATCTCGCCACTGATTGCAACGGTGAAGTCCATCGGATACCACCTACCTGACTCGCAGTGGGTGTTGTCCCCGCCGGCTCGGAGACTTGATTGCCGTAAATGAATGTGTCTGGTGCTAGTATTCATCGTCAACTTGAGTCATCTTCTTTAACGTCCCTAGACGCACACCAGTGAAACTTTTATTATAGAATTGTCTCCCGATTAGTACGTTCTGACTTGAAGCTCGAGTCCGAGGCCGAGTATTTCTCAAATGGCAATCTCTTCCAACTCTGCCTCGAACGGACAGACAGATGGACCACACGGAACCCGGAGTGATCCCTTCAACCTCGAAGGGCCTGCACTGGACTTGACGGTCCTGGGGCTGAACAGCGGCACCTCTATGGTAAGCCTAGCTCTTAAGCAAACACCCTGGAGACACCTAACCTCTGACCGCAATTTAGGACGGCATTGACTGCGCACTTTGTCGGTTTCGCCAGCAGGACCCTTCCGGTCCGGTGACTTTTGAACTCTTGAAGTATGACGAGACTCCTCTTGACCAGCGAATCAAGAGACGGGTGATGAATATGATTTTGCATAATTCGACATCGCCCGAAGAGATTGCCGAGATCAACGTTATTCTCGGCGAGGCTTTCGCGATGGCCGTGGAGGAATTTACCACTAAGCATGGTATTGACAAATCCGGCATCGACGTCCTCGGATCTCACGGGCTGACGATATGGCATCTTTCCATGCCGAATGAGAACCAAGTCAGGACTACTCTCAGTATGGCGGAAGGCGCAGTTCTGGCAGCTCGGACGGGAATTACAACGGTATCCGATTTTCGGATCAGCGATGTAGCTGCTGGACGTCAAGGGGCCCCGCTTATTGCATTTTTTGATGCTCTTTTGTTGCACCATCCTACCAAGCTTCGTGCGTGTCAGAATATTGGCGGGATTGCCAATGTCTGTTTTATACCACCTGACAGCCAGGGAGGCGTGGATGAGTGCTTTGACTTCGATACTGGGCCCGGAAACGTCTATATAGATGCAGCAGTTCGACACTATACCAATGGCGAGCAGGAATACGATAAGGATGGTGAAATGGGAAAGCGCGGCCGAGTAAACCAGGAACTCGTGGATGAATTCTTGACACACCGATACTTCGGACTGGAACCCCCAAAAACAACCGGCCGCGAAGATTTCCGGGATACTTTAGCCTTCGATCTCATTGCAAAGGGGCAGAAGAAGGGGTTGTCACCGGATGATGTTGTGGCAACCATTACTCGAATCACTGCGCAATCGATCGTGGATCATTACCGACGCTTTGCGCCATCTCAAGATATCGATGAGATTTTCATGTGCGGTGGAGGGGCCTTCAATCCCAACATCACAGATTTCATCCAAAAAAGCTATCCAAACACCCGAATTGTATTGCTGGACGAAGCCGGTATTCCTGGGAATGCCAAGGAGGCGATTACATTTGCCTGGCAGGGTATGGAAGCTGTGGTGGGGCGGTCAATACTTGTCCCAGCACAAGTCGAAACCAGAAGAGAATACGTGCTTGGGAAAATATCCCCCGGGGGAAATTACCGACGGGTGATGCAGAAGGGTATGCTCTTTGGTGGCAGAGGGAGAAAGCTTCATCCGGTTAAAGACATGATCAACATTGTCGAGGGAAAGGTCTTTAATAATAAATGGTAGTAAAACCTAGATACAAAGGTCATCAATGGAAATTGTTACATGGAGTTGAAAGACTGGTAGGAGTTCGATAAGTATGAAGGATATCACCCTTTGGCCAAATTTAGGCATCCAGTTCCACCAAAGATGGGAAGGTGCATGGGTTGTTGCTTGTCTGTTTTCAGTTACCTTATAGGCTGTCCACCCATTTGATATTACCCAAGCAAGAAGCAGTATGTTCTTCAAGTATTCCCTTACGATGAGGAGTGTAGATGGGAACACCTTTAATTTTTTCCATGATTGGACATTGATTTGTCTATTGTTGCGCTTAAGACGTCATATCTCTCAGGCTGCTCCATATTTTCTTGCAGGGCACTGGGCAACGAAGGAGGTTCATCATCAGAGACAGGAGTTGTCGCCGCTCGGTATTACTTGATAGTCAACACCGGTCTCCATCACGGCTTCCTGATGCATTATATTGGCATTTTCGTAGCCAATTTGTTGCATTTTATAATCAATTCTGTTATAGCCGTCTCGAGCGTGCGCGTGATGTTGTCAAATGGCAACTTGCTTGACAACATCGCTCACCATCTGAGTAGTGGGGGAAAGATGGCCGCCGTTGGCCTCAGACGCGGCCATTTTCGGCGTCAATCTCACAGGTCCTCACATTCTACTTGTAAATGTTAGAGACCGAGCGGTTTTGCCACAAATAGCCATGGTTATATCAAGCACTGCACATCTAGAAGAACTTGACACCTTCCTGGCCTTCACCACCGAAGACCTGCGCCTTGCCGCGCTTGACAAGGACATTCAACGCCTTGAGCATGGCGTCGTTGTCCATCCCATGGAATTCTAAAATCGTCAGCATATCCCAAACCAAGGCCCCAAAGTAAAACATACCTTGCGAAGCACTCGCATCCCCTTGTATCAATTCATAAACCGTCAAAACAACCCCCCGTTGCCCAGTCCCCTCAACCCAATCCGCAATGACATCCGCCCACTCCTCCGGCCTCCTCCACCAGATCCACGCCACGGTCTTAGGTGCCTGGTTCCCTGGTGCCTCGATCCACTCCGCGCGCCCATCGCCGCCTTGACTCTCGCTCTTGGCCATCCAGTCGATTACGGCGCGGGCCTCGCGCAGATCTAGCCGTTTCCGCAGCTGCGAATTGTGGAAGAGCGGGGTGTCGATGGCTTCGATTAGGGAGAGTCGGTATTGGCGGTGATGGCGGCACCAGGCTTGGATTAAGGAGGACCATTTTTGGAGCTGAGAGTGGCGGGTGTTGGTGTTGGGTTGCGGGGTAAAGAAAGGTGGGAAGTTGTAGGTTGCGGGGAATGGAAATGGGGCCGGGGTGGTCGTTGCCATCGTCATGGAGATGCTGGATGACCTATATGACACATGTATAAGAGAGGGTGAGAGAAGGAGAGAAGAGGTGTTAGTTCGAAGCCGGAGTTGAAGTTGAAGTTGCGATGGAATTGAAGATGACGATAAGCAGAGCTCGGGCGGAGCCAATCGGAGGTGGGGGCGCAAATTATTCTCGAGTTGACTTGAACTCCACTACTTTACCTTGCATTCAATCCACTCAATATGACCACTCCTCCGCCCATCAAGCGCCAGAAGCGCGAAGAATACCGCCGTGAGCTTGCAGCACAGCAAGCCGTTGGCCATGGCGACGTCGAAGTGAAGCTGCCGCAGAAGAGATTCTTCCGCCAGCGCGCGCATGCGAATCCCTTCTCGGATCACAAACTTGAATAGTACGTGCTTCTCTACTGTGATGGGAATACCTATTCCCAGATTTGTAGACGAATTGGACTACACTGGGACACTTGAGCTAATTAGCCTCTCTTGGACAGTCCCCTCTCCCCGGCGCACATGGACTGGTCTCCACACTATCCTGCCTTCGTGGACAACGATTCGTCCCAAATAAATCTCGCCGGTGCGCGCAAGCTGACAAAGGATGTCGAGGTCGTGGACATTGGGTGTGGATTCGGAGGATTGCTCATTGGGCTGGCACCATTGTTACCTGAGACTTTGATGGTCGGTACGTACTACTTTTCTCTTCCTCTCTAGTCATTGAGAAATGCTTACATCATTGCAGGTATGGAAATCCGTATCTCAGTGTTGGAATTCGTCACCTCCCGGATTCAAGCATTACGCGCCCAGCAACACAGACTGAAGGCCGCCGCCGCATCCCAAAACTCAGAGGCAGCTCTCGCCGAGGTGAAGAAAGCCGCCGAGGAGGCAAATGTCGGAGGTCAACAGGCTGATGAGGCCGGCACCATGAGCTCCATTATCCCCGGCAACTATGAGAACGTCGCCGGAATCCGGAGCAACACGATGAAGTTCCTTCCCAACTTCTTCGGCCACCACCAGCTCTCCAAGATCTTTATCTGCTTCCCGGATCCGCATTTCAAAGCGCGCAAGCACAAGATGCGCATTATTTCCGAATCTCTGAATGCTGAATACGCCTACGTGTTGCGGCCTGGTGGATTGTTGTATACCATTACCGACGTGGAGGAATATCACCATTGGGTGTTGCGGCACTTCCAGTACGGAACTGATCAGGACGGAGAAGCTGAGCGGAAGGCTGGTGGGATTAAGGATCTCTGGGAGCGAGTTCCCGACGAGGAATTGGAGGCTGATCCTTGCGTGCGAGTTATGAAGTTTGAGACGGAGGAGTCGAAGAAGGTTACCCGTAACAAGGGTAACAAGTACGTGGCGGTGTTCAGACGCAAGGCAGATCCCGAATGGGCTTGAGAGCGTATTGCTGCTTACATGCATTCAAAAAGATCCCCCCGGTGTATAGGCGTTTCCCCGAAATCTCTATCGTGCATTGAAAATACCACGAATGCTAACTTAAACCCGCGCTTGCTCATGAAGTCACAATCTAGAACACCAATGGATGAGATAAAAACACACGTGTAGAAGCGAAAACCAAAAACCCCGAAATCAAATGTCAGTAGGTCATCATGCAGTAAATTCATAACATGGCATGCAGTCTTGAAAGATAAACAGAGCCTAACACATACCCGGCGCCTTGAGCCGGATTCCTTCGCACCGCTCGCAAATAGCCAGCTGTACAGGTCCGCCGATGATACGGCCCTTGGCTGTGCGCTTCGGCTCACCTTCGCGTATGAAGAATCGTCCCTCGGGTCCGAAGCCATCACCACATTCGTGGCAGGCAAAGCAGCTCTCATGCCATTGGCCACCGACGGCGGTGATGACAACGTCGTCCAAAACGTGCTGCTTGCAGCCCAAACAGCGTGGAGCGGTTCGACGGGAATAGCATTGGAGACACCATGCAAAACCGTCTTTCTCAACGAAGGGCGTTTGAGAGTTGAAGGGCTATTGTGAATAATGGTTAGCAAAGTGGTCTCTCTCGAGCCGAAAGGGACTGGAACATACATCACCACACTCGGCGCAGAAAAAGTGGCCGACGTGCCATTCAGCACCGCACGCGACCACCACTTCGCCTTCGATGGGGGTTTTGCAGCTCTTGCAGCGGGGGCTGAACATTTCGTGGAAATCCAGATGGCAGTAAAACCGGGGCACACCGTTGTCCTCCTCCGGTGCGTTCGCGAGTCTCTCGGCACGGTTGGCCTCGGGTTCCTGATAGAAGGCAACGCATTCGAGAGCAGTGTGACAGTGGAAACAAACGAAGCATTCCGGGTGGAACCTGCATCCACCGGCGGTCACGATCTTTCCGGAGATTCCGTGGGAGCATGACTTGCAGCTGGCAGTCGGAACGCCAGACCGAGTATACGGGGTGTACGTGCGGTTCTGTGGATCTTGTGCCTGTCTTCTTGGTGGTGCGTGTCGGTGGCCGGTTGCAGGCGGCAAGGGCCTTGAGGACTTGTTTGGCTGCTGAGTAGGCTCGCTGAACTCCGAGATTGTGGGTTCCTTGATGTCCGGGACGCTGATCACTGGAATCGAAGCCGGTTGCGGCTCCGACACCTCAATGCTGGGAGCGGCAATCTCAATGCTGGGCACTGGAGGAGCTGGCGCGGGAGCCGGCGATGCAGAATCACGGCCAGCTGAGTTCTGGCGAACGGGCTTCGGCTGATCACTGGGTTGCCATTTCGGGTCAAAGCTCACGATCGGCCGCCCGAATCGATCACTGACAGCTGACGGCATGGGCAACTTCTCGCTTCGATCCGCGAGCTTTTTACTCGTGGCTGCCCGGATATCACCACTACGGATCTCTTTGCCATCTCTCATGGGGACTGGGGGTTGCTCCTGGGTGGGAGGCGGTGACGGAGCTGGGGCGTTTCTGATGTAGCTAGGGTTTCGCGATTGGCTGGGAGGGTTCTTGTGAATATCGAACTGGGAGATCTTGTCTCGCACGGAACCGTTGGATTTGCGATCACGCAACCAAGGCAATGGCTTTGTTGCACGCGGGAGAACGTTACGCGGCTTGTTTTGTAGAGCCGAGGAGTCAGACCTGGAGAAGTCGGGCTTTACTTCAGCTGCCTCTTTAATGGGAGAGTCGGATTCTTCGTAGATGTGATCATCGGGGTTTCTAAACACTCCCTTGGAAGAGTCCCCGCTGACTGTTCGAGGCTTGTGGCCAGGATCGACATTGGTCTGAGGTGTCTGTTCCCCTGGCAATGCAAAGTTAACCTTGAGGTTCTTTTTCAAATTGCCGGCCAGAGATGATCGTCTTCGCTCTTTCGCGTCTTGGCTGTCTGCAAACTCCGGACTCGAAGGACCACTTGAAGACTCGATCGAGGCAACTGAATGACGGAACTTGTTGGAAGACTCGGAACTCTTTCGAGATTGAGAACGGATAGACCCGTCCCTGTTAGTATCGGGGTTCCGATATGGCGCAAAAGGGTTCTTGAATTGTTGGCCAGGGTTCTGGTGCATCCACACCAACTCCGTGGCCTCGTCCTGAGCAGCATGATGGATACGCACGTCATCCTGGATGTCCATTCCCTGCAACGCGTCGCGTAAAGATCGGGCTTCTTCTTTCTCTTGGTGTCGATGGCGGCTCTCCCGATAAGACGGGACTGGAGACACGGCCACAGGATGCGAAAACACTTGAGAGGGGAACATGTTCTTGCGAACAGAAACCGATCGTGGTTCCTGTACTAAGGGACGGCCAGCAGGACCACTCCCCGGAACCTGGGAAGTTGTGCGACGGTGGGACATGGCGCTGCCTGAACGGGGATTCTCCTGGGGAGGACTGTCGGGTTGTCGGTAGGTGGAGAGCGCGGATGCTGCACGGGGAGGAAGGCTATCTTGGAGATTCGGTGTTGACGCAGCTGGCCTGCCTGGAATCGGGCGAGATCCTGTTGGCCGATTTGGTCTGTTTGTTCGTAGGTCTTTTAAATAGTTTGCTTTATCCAGAGTGAGTTAGTTCCGTTATCATGAATAATGCAGGATCATCTTGGGTTCCAGGGATCCCTAGACAGTTGTAATTGCAAGGGAGATTGCAAAGCGCATACCCATCTGGTCATTCGACATGAAAGTCGGGCCGGGAGGCGAGACCTTCCGCTGGCCAAGAGGTTTGGTATGTGTATGCATCGTGGGATTGCTACTTTTTGGAGAGCAGCAATGTAGGGAGACCGGGGAGAGACGCGACGTCAGATAAGGCCGAGTTATGGAAAGCTAAGGCGGGCCCATCTTTGATTGCGATTGCGGAGCCCAAAACAAACAGCGCCGCGGCAACGCCAATTAGTTGCCCTTTTGGGATAGGGCTTAGGGCTATCTCCACGTGCATTGCTGCAAGCATATGTACATATGTACTCCCTACATGTAATATTCCGCGAACTATAAGTGATACAATGCCTAGGTATCCGTCATGATGTGAAGCAAATCTGATAACATGTCGATGCGATTCGGAGTCACTTTCCCAAGACCGCATTTCTGACTCATGTGCCCTGCAAGGACACCCAAAGCTAACCCAACCTAACTGAACTAACCTTCTCCGCACCGGCTTCTCGGCACTGCGGATACCCCCACATCCAAGATCCGACACCTACACCGTTAAACAAAGGGGCTACTCTTCCTCGGACGCAAAGTAGCTGCCGATTCTAAGATGATCAAGGCACCAAGCCCCGCCATTCGTCTACTGTCTCCGAGTTTCTACACCTCAAGATTGCCACGAGCGTCAGCTATAGCTGCTGTAGAAATATCTGCCTCAAATCCGATGATAACTCCCCGTTACGGATTAGCATGGGTCTAACATAAGATCGGCTTTTTATCGTCCGGCTTTTTCTTTCGTCTGGTTCAGCAACAACATACAGGTTTGTTGCCTCTATGTCACGACGAAAACGGTAATCCGGTTTGGGTCCAGAGTTTAAGCATCGCCACTGGCCCTCAGAGAGGACTTGAGGTCTTCATTTCACATCTAGCCAGAAATGGCGGATAATGCGACATTAGATGCCATTCAGTCGCATCAACATGATCAGGAGTCGCTGAATGGGGAGGGAAAAGAGCATGGGAATGCGCAATCCCAGTCGCAAGCCCCGGCCGAGCTTGACCCTGACGACAAGTACAAGCGCGATGTGCCTCCGGACGGTGGATACGGTTGGGTATGCGTTGCCTGCGTCTTCTGGATCAACGCGCATACCTGGGGGATCAACAGCGTCAGTGCCTCCCGTCCTCGCGGCATGGACTTCGAACTAACAGAATCGTGCAGAGTTACGGCGTCTTCCTGAGCTACTATCTCTCCCACGACGTATTCCCGAATAGCAGCGCGCTCTCCTACGCCTTCACCGGTGGCCTCAGTATCTCCTGTGCCTTGCTAGTGGCTCCACTAGCCACCTACCTGATCCAAATCCTCGGGACGCGATTTGTGCTGAACGTCGGCGTTTTCTTCGAAACTCTTTCTCTCATCGGCTCGTCCTTTGCAACCCAGAAATGGCACATTTTCCTCAGCCAGGGGGTCTGCTTCGGCTGGGGTATGGGCTTTCTGTTCGTGGGCAGCGTCGGCATCACATCCCAGTGGTTCTTGAAGCGCCGAAGCGTCGCGCAGGGTATAACGGCCGCCGGCTCCGGTTTGGGTGGTTTGATCTACTCGCTCGCGGTGGGTGCCATCATCCCCCGCTTCGGGCTCCCTTGGGCTTTTCGCATCTTGGGAATCATTGCATGTGTCGTCAATCTGGTCTGTGCGAACCTGCTCCGAGATCGCAATAAGCTCGTTGGCAGCCGTCTCACGGCCTTTCATCTCCCGCTCCTTCGGCGGCCGGAATTTCTCCTCTTTTTGGGATGGGGTGTCTTTAGCATGCTGGGATATGTGGCTGTACTATTCAGCGTTGCTAACTTTGCTCTCTCTGTGGGCCTTACCTCCCACCAGGGAAGTGTTGTCTCTGCACTCCTGAACCTCGGCCAGGGTCTTGGTCGTCCGTTTGTTGGGATGTTCAGCGATCGACTCGGACGCATTAACATCGCCACATTCCTCACATTCCTCTGCGGCTTGTTTTGTCTTGTCATCTGGGTATTCGCCAACAGCATGGTCGTGGTCTGTTTCTTCGCCGTTCTTGTCGGGACTGTGGCCGGAACGTACTGGGCCACTGTTTCACCCGTCCTGGCTGAGATTATTGGCATCAGAGACCTCCCCTCGGGTCTCAGTATAACCTGGCTCAGTTTAGTCGCGCCTTGCACCGTCTCCGAGGCAATTGCCTTGGAACTTCGAACCCGTGATGCTCATGGCGACACGTCCTATCTCCATGTCCAGCTTTTCACGGGCTTTGTATATATCGGGGCTTCGTTGTGCCTGTGGCTTGTGCGCGGTTGGAAGATTGGCGCATTGGAACGAGCTCAACAACGCCGTGAATCTGCTGCTCGTGAAACATCTCTCGCGAACGGAGATAAAACCTTGGACCGTTCTGCAACTATTGCATCTGCTTCGACGTCGGGGCCTACTTATGATCCGCAGCTATGGAGGCCATTCAGTCTAGTACGTAGAATGGTTGCTCTCAAGCGTGTGTGAGATAGGTCAATTTGTACAGCTTGACGTCGAAAACATTGGAGTCAAAAATGCATAAATGTATACATATATGGATACGGGCAACCTTGCACATGTACATATATTCAAATGAATAATTATCCGTGACATTCAACGCCGTTTTTGTCTAAAACTACATGACATGACTATTTGTCGGTCGAACCTGTAATGAGAATCCGGACTCTCCTCTTGCCGGCAGCGCGACCCTCTTCCTTGACGGAGCTGACGTTGACCTGGACTCTCTGGAAGAGCTCGACAGTCACTCCACGTTCCTTCTCCGGGTGACCCTTCTCCTCCACGCGCAGGGTGTATTCCTCATTATCGAACTCGGTGGTCCGGTGGACTGCGAACTCCCGTCTCTCTGCGGCCGAGTAAACACCTGATTCACCCGGGAGCACAAAGTCCTCCAGACGAACGACACCCTCAATTCCAAAGCGAGGCACAAAGACCACGACACCGTTCTCGAAGACACGCATAACGTAGCCCTCTTCGTCGACACCCGTGTTATCACCGCCTGCAGCCATCTTCTCGCCGCGGGCCTTGAGTGCCTGGCCGACGTAGTATTCAATACTGGCGCGGCCGGCGAACTGAGCATTGCGGTGGCGGAAGTTGATGTTGCGACAGATATCCTCCAGCTTGCCACGAGTGCTGACACCTTCGGCGACAGCATGGCCATCCTCACCTTCGTAGCCAATAGCGGAAGCCAGCTGTCGGTGGACGAGCAGATCGGCATATCGACGGATAGGCGAGGTGAAGTGGGTGTAGATCGGCGAGGCAAGACCGTAGTGGCGGAACTCAGACTCGGCGTGGGCGCCTGCACAGAAATACTCCGCAGAGGTCATGCATCGGGTTGCCAGGATACGGACAAGGGTGTTGAAGAACGGGTTTTTGGGGTCGACACAGCGGTCCAGGGAGTTGGCGAGGGCTCCAGAGCTGGAAACATCAAGTTCCATGTTCCGCTTCTTCGACAGCTGATTGATAAGTTCTTCGAAGTTCTGAGGCGGGGGAGTGGCGTGTCGTCGTAACAGCGCGGTTTGCGAGAAGGAATTGAAAACCTTCGAAGCAACGGAGATGTTGGCGAGAAGCATGAATTCTTCGACCAAGCTATTCGTGGCGAGCATGGCCTTAGTCTTGACGTCCGTCAGAGGGTCGCCGGCTTCATCGCCGGCTTCAATGCGAACTTCTGGGGAAGCAAGGTTCAAAGCACCAGCGTCGTAACGCTTCTGCTTGAAAATCTTTGAAAAGTGTAAGAGGTGCCGCATGCTCTCGGTCAGTTCGTCTTTTTGCGAAGGGTCGTCAATGCGAAGCTGAGCCTGTTCGTAGCTAAATGCCTCACGCGAGCGAATGACCGATTTGGTAAAGTCCGAAGACACAATTTCTCCATGGGGGGTCAACTCCCAGATAACAGAGAAGGCATAACGCTCCACGTATGGCTTCAGAGAACACAAATCTGTACCAAGAAGATGTGGAAGCATGTCGATACGCTTGTCAACAAGGTAAACGCTCGTGCCACGTACACTAGCTTCAAGATCCATCGCGTTGTTGGGCTTGACGAAGTGTGAGACGTCTGCAATGTGGACACCAACTTCGAAGTTGCCGTTCGGCAGACGGCGTGCATGGAGAGCGTCATCAATATCCTGACATCCAGGGGGATCGATACTGCAAACGATCAAATCACGCAGGTCTCGTCGGCCTGTCCAGCCCTTGTCCTCTTTTGAGGCAGGGACCTTCCAATCGTGTCCCTCCGACGGCAGACAGTCCAGAACAGCTTTGGGGAAAGGCTTGTACTGTACATCGTACTCCAAAAGAAGAGCTTCCGTCTCCGCTCCTTTTGTTTCCAGCTCACCCAGGGAGCGAATGAAATGCCCAGTAGGATACCGAGAATCCCGGTCCCAAGAGTCAATGGTGACAAGAATACGTTGACCCAGCAGATCGCCGGCTTGTCTGGTGCGAACTCTGATCTTAGGAACACGCTTGTCCATGGGTAGCACGAAGACATTTTGTTGCCTCCGGCCGGAAGCGGCCTGGGAACCGGTCGAGTTGGAATCCACATGACCGACGTACTGACGCCAGCCACGCTTGATTACTCCAACGACATGGGCGGTTGGTTGCGGCTTTCCATCGGAGCGATTGCTGTGAGCTTTCTTGACTTCATCTTGAAGAGCTTTGCGCTCTCTATCTGAAACGACGGCTTCCGTCTCCTCAGTATCGGGGTTGTCATTCCGGGTCACTGCCTCTTCGTCCACGAGTTTTGTCGAGGGGGATTTCCACTGATCCTTTGGCAATACTTCAATCACAACAACATCGCCTGCAATCGCGCGGTTACTATTGTCACGGCCAAGAATGAGAAGTGGCTTATCAAAGGCTGCAACATTGACAGAGCCCTCGAGGTAGTTGTAGGGCGAAACATTGAATACTCCTTGGTGAAGATTTCCGGCCCGCAACCCAGTCATGAGTTTGGACATCGAATAGTACTCGGGGTAGAAGAGCTCCCCGCGTGCACCCTTTGCATCCCGTGCTTCTCTGGCTTCGCTGATCATGTCCAGAAGCTTCTCAGAGTCTTCCAGACCGGCCACATAATCTGACAACGACAAAGCTGTGACATTCTCCTCCTTCGATTTGCGGAGGTTCTCCTTGTCATCGGTAATAACAACGATCGCAGGAACAGATTTCTCCTTCTTGCCTTTCTTTGCTGCGGACTCTCGGAGGTGCTCGCCATACCAGCTAGCTACGGTGCGCACGGCTCGATCGTTACGATCGTTGATCGACTCCTCCGGGCCTCTGCGCACATGCGTCTCCAGGCGAAATTCGTTGAAGAATAGGTAAAAGCGCTTCTCATCAGTTTTGATGAGGGAGAGAAGGCGATTGTAGAGAGGTAACGACTGGTTTCGGAGCTCTTCGAGGACGGTCTGCAGAATAACGACATCAAAGAAGGCGCCGGTATGCTCAAACAGATCCATTCCATTCAGCAGCGCATTTGTATCGGGGACGAGATAGTGGCCGCGGGGAAATGCCTTCGTGCCGGCGGGACGATCGGAGAGGACGAACGGCGCAACTGTCTTGCGTTAGCGATAGGCGTCAACGAACAGCAAAACCATGTATCATACTGTTTCCATTGGCGTCAGCCGGTGCGATCGAAGGGCATATTGAGCAGAGCTTCGAGGAACAAGGAATGTCTTGTCTCAGATAAAGCTCTCGAACAATCTTTTGCACCTTCCCACTTTTCGTGGACCTCACGAAGACTTTGCTCGTGACATTAGCAGCTTGCGGATTTGAGGAGAAGTCCCTCCTCAAACTCTTCATTGCGATGGTTAATCACTGCCGGAATAGCAGTTTTTGATCGGTTGTGAGCCACGGACTATGTAAGAGGACTGAATCAGAAATGATCTTTGCGGTTTGAGGTTATCGCAATCGCGATAGCTGAGTAATCACATACCGGTTTCGCCGTGAGCGTCTGGCCACTGGAGACTCACTTCACAACCAACCCGTCTTTGAAAAAAAAGTTAAATCGACGAGTCTAACATTCAAGTAGAAATGGTTCTTGCAGTAAGTATTCTGTCGGCAGAACGCAGAGCGTATCGTTGACCACCTCCTCCCGACTTAGGCCGTGGGGCAGTTCTGCGCGACAGCGAGCATAACTTCCAATCTTTCTCAATGCCAGACGTTAGTCCGCAAAGCTGCAGCTGCAGGCGCCAAGGTATTTCACAATATTCACTATCTGGCCCTTAATCTTTCCAGAGATCCTCGCGGCAAGCTAACATCTTTTCAGGTATTGTTTCTACCCGAGGCCTCGGACTATATAGCCTCATCGGCCGAAGAGTCGTTTTCTCTCGCACAATCAAATGACTGCAGGGACTTCGTCTCGGCTCTTAGAAATTCAGCCAGGCAGGAAAATATGTACATCAATGTCGGTGTCCATGACGTGGCTTCTAAGCATCGACTCAAGAATTGCTTAGTTTGGATTGATGATAAGGGCGAAATCACGCAGAACTACCAAAAAGTACATCTATTTGATGCGGACATCAAGGGCGGTCCTATTCTGAAGGAGAGCACGTAAGCTTTATGCACTCACGTCGAACTTGCATGGCTCGCTGATATATGCGATGGCTGTAGGAACGTCGAGCCAGGACAGAAGATTCTCCCTCCATTTGAAACACCTATAGGGCGCGTTGGCTTGTCCATTTGCTTTGATGTACGTGCTGTATCGGCAAATCTGATCCCCATGGCCTCATTGTTCCTGACATTCTTAGTTACGATTTCCTGAAATGAGCCTGGCACTGAGACGCCAGAATGCCGAAATCATTACATATCCCTCAGCATTTACGGTCCCAACCGGTAAGGCTCACTGGGAGCCATTGCTTCGAGCAAGGGCTATCGAGACCCAATCCTATGTCATAGCAGCTGCGCAGGCAGGTCCCCACAACGAGAAAAGACGGAGCTATGGTCACTCGATGATCATTAACCCATGGGGAGAAGTGGTCGCGCAACTGGGCGACGAATACCAAGAGCCACAGCTCGCCACCGCCGATATTGACCTTGATCTTGTCTCGAAGATACGGCGAGAAATGCCTCTCCTCAGAAGGACGGATCTCTACCCGGAGGTCTAGATATGTATATGTGCCAGCAAGGGGGAAAGCATGCTATCACTTGCACGTTGTAGCATTGTCATTCGCTCCTAGGTAGTAAAATTGCATCTCGATCTATACATTTTTTACGAAACAGACAAAGAAAAGATGGATACCATTCGATTTTAATCCACCTGTCTTGATGCGGTGGGAGGAAGTTCGAAATATAAAGTAGTGCAGCAGGCAGGCGAAAAGAGAAATGGAAACACATGCGAAAACCCCATCTAACCAAAGGATCGGAACATCATATCTGCCATGGCAGATGGTAAAGGCATTAACCGAAATAGTCCCTTTCCGATCTCTCTATGTACAGTGTACAGAACAGGCCTGGAATCAAGCCGTTTATTTCTTGATCTTCTCGGGGTCCTCCAAGATGCCCTCGGCCTCCAGTCGTCGACGAGCCTCCTCCAAAGCCCAGGTTTGTATACTATTACAAGAGTTAGCAAATCAATCTTAAAAAGTCCTCCACGAATCCGAAGGCAAGGCCTAAGTGAGTAGGCGACACAACGGATGTCCGGAAGACACAAAGGGTGATACGTACGAGGTATCAGGCTTGAAAACATATGCGACACCGACAGCCAGAAGACTGCCAATGAATCCGTAGTACCAGATGCCCTCCCAGCCTTCCTTCACGTACTTGTGGCCGGGCTTGACGCCGAACAGCCAGCCGGTCGGGGGGTCGTAGTGGTTGCCATGGTCGGCAGCACGAAGGTTGCTGCGGGTAGAGAAGCCCTGGACGCTCTGGGGCTTGCGCAGCAGACAGCGCGAGCGGAGCGCGTGCGACAATGGCCGAGCAATCATGTTGAGGACGGGGGTTGAATGGGATAGCTCGGAAGGAGCGCGGCGATTAGGAGGTTGCGGGATGAGGTAACAAGGCCAACGGGGAGTCGCCTTGCCAACGTGGCAGCAACAATCGCAATTGGTATGACACTGCTTGAAGCAACAACGAAGAGAGGGGTTGGTTCGGCGGTTGATGTTGAATCCGCAAAAGGCCGACGGGGAGCTGGCTGGGTCAGTACACTAACCCCGATTGGGCGATTTTTCCTTGCCGCCTTTTTATGCCCTATTTGTGAGGCATAAACTAATGCCTGACAGAACTGGCGGCGACACCCGACGCGCGACGCGTTCTTATCGCATCTCCCATCTCGCATCTTCATTGATTTCCCAACTTGTCAATAGAGAGTGCTAGCCTCGCACTGTCTTGATTCCCCACATTCACCAGGCTTTAAAGCTACCGAGTAATATTCTCGCCAACTAGTATGTTCAATTATTGTTCTGATGTGTAAACTTCGCGTCTCACTGCTGACATAGCTCCAAGGCCTCGAGAATGTATTGTTATCTGTTTTGAGAGCAAACTCTGTATAGAATCAGATCGACACCATGGCAGCAAATAACAACCAATACCCCATTTCCTCGAACTCGCGCACGAAATTGAATGCCTTTCGCTTCCAGGACGAAGAAGAGACCCCCGGCAATGTGATTTCGAAGGATGGGTCCAATACTGCACACGGGAACAAGGAGAATGAGAGCTCTTGGCTGAATGGGGTGGTGGAACCGATGCAGACTTTATCCGACAAGAACAACCTTCAGCTTCAAGGAGCTTCTGCTGTCTCTGTGAAGGAATTGAAGCCGGCTAAGGAATGCCCACAGACTCCGGCAAATAGAATCCCTCTAGCGGACCTGATCAGCAATGCCGAGGACTCTTTTGACCCCGCCCCGGGACCCGAAATAACGCCAGTTGAACATGTTATATGGGAGCATATTCCTGCCAGCTCAAACCCAAATACCTCGTCCCAGACACCGGCCAAGCGTCGAAGGAAGCGACGGCACGGCTCTTCATCACCTGGCACTCCCTCCAACGGTACCTCGAAGAAGCAGAAGGAACCACTCGATCTCCAGTCAATTCAGGCGCTGTTCAAAACCCCTCAGCATGACCTGGCCGCCGAGTTATGGAACAACTACATGGACAAAAACATGGTCGAAGGATCCGAAGATCTTCCGCCGCCTCGCCTGGCAAATCTACTATCTTCTTCGCCTCAAACGCCAGCTTCAGGGAGAACAAGTCGGGACTCTTCGGGATTGAGAAGATCAATCAGTTGCGCCGCTGAGTGGCCGACATCCCGAGGGAAGAGACGGCGGGTCAACCGACTTGATCCAGGCTCTGGTCGAGGGATTTTCTGTCGCACGACTAGCGATGTCTTGGACTCGGGCAAGACGAAATCATCGAGAATTAACTTTCTCCTTGAGAAGATCGAGAAGAGCTTGCAGCCTCCGCAGCCGGCTGAAATGGGCCCTCCTGGCTCCTCTCCACTGCGACAACGTGTGGATGCAAGGAGATGCCGCTCATCGTCACCTATAACGGACAGGAAGGGGCTTGGAGACACAGAAGCTGCCAAAGAAGGCCTTCTTGGTCTAGCCAGTGGTAACATGAGAAATGCCGATGCTGCTCTCCAGGAGTCCTCATCGGAATTCGGTGACGACGACCTTGACCAAGACTTCATGGACATGGCCGATGCCTCGGCGGACCCTTTCGTTGAATCAGCATCTAATCGCAACGAGTTTGAGTCACTGGGTTCATCTGCCTGGTCAAATCTCGCCGCGGAAAAGCCACAATCCAGTAATCCCAAACAGCCACATGCTGTCGACAATAAAATGCCTATTGTGCATAAATTCATGAATAACGACTCCAAACGCGATGACTCAGATGACTTCGAAGACGACTATGGTGACTTTAGCGACGATTTTCAAGATATTTTTGCGAGTTGTGATGGGAATCCAGCCAAAGGCACTGCAGTTAAATCCGGCCCCACGGAGCATCAGGCTGTGAACCGATCAGATATCACTACTCTCCCCTCCGTTGCAGAGGAGAACTTTTCTGGGGATGAATTCGATGATGATTTTGACATGGATGCCATCGAGCAAACCATGAAGCAAGTTGGCGAGGATGCAACTCACGTTTGTCACTCTTAGTGGGTTTGTATCTAGATATTTGCTAAGGAAATCAATCAATAGAACCTGAAAGATCGAAAAGCCATAAAACGGTATCAGATCATTGACACCGCCGAAAGCCTGTATGTCACGTCAAAAGGACGTACCCAGCCCGAGCAGGTCTGTCACCTAAAACCCCCTGGCAGTTTGCCCCAGTCATTGACAAAACAATAGGTGCTATCCGTCGAGGATGAGAAGACCAGGGCCCGCAAGGTTATCATTCTGCGCGAGTCGTGGTTTGATACACCTTGCAGTAAAGACTCATACATTCATCTGGTCGGAGACTTCGACTCGTCAGGCCAATGTGTTGTTGATAATATCAATCACATGGTCATTCTTCACCCCGATCATCTCATCTCCGCTACTGTCGTGGCAGACTCGATTGACTGTCAAAGACGAGCGGTCCTTCAGGACCGTGTCAAGGCCTTTGGCCAGCTGGAGAAACCGCAAGCATTTGGAGTTTTCTTCCACGAGGTCTTTCAGGAAGCCTTGCAGGTTAACAAATGGGACTCGGGCTCGCTGAGGTCGCTGGTTGAGTCAATCATGCAGAAGCATATTGAAGACTTGTACTCGATCAACATGAGTGTTGCCGAAGCCGTTGAGGAGATAATGGGCAAGATTCCGACAGTTCAGGCCTGGGCAGGTGATTTTCTTCAGGCAACCCCTCAGGTACGTCTTCCACTGAGGGCTCGTTCTGTGATTTCCTAACCTTCATATAGGCCAACTCCCTGGTAGAGGACCGCAATAGCTCCAAACTCAATCTCAGCATCAACAAGTTGCTTGAGGTAGAAGAGCACATTTGGTCACCGATGTATGGACTGAAGGGCAACATCGATGCCACGGTCCAGGTCGCTTCTCGCGAGAAAGACGAAACAAGAACCCTTGTCGTTCCTCTTGAGCTGAAGACTGGAAAGCGGGACACAAACCAGGCTCATCGAGCTCAAACGGCTCTCTATACTCTTCTGCTCTCGGATCGTTATGGTGGGTACCGGTCCGTTCCAAAGTCCGCGATAATTTACTAAGTATGATTGCAGACGTCGATGTAACCTTCGGTCTCCTGTATTACCTAGAAAATTCTAGGACTCTTAGCATACGTGGTATTCGACATGAGCTTCTTCAGATGATTCAAGTGCGAAATCGATTGGCTGGATACATTCGTGAAAGATTGTCCCTGCCACCGATGCTCAAGAAGGCGCGCATGTGCAATAGATGCTATGCGAAAACTCCTTGTCTCATCTACCACAAACTGGCTGAGGACGGGGATGGCGAGACAAGCGCACTTGGTGAGGACTTTGACTTAGCTACCGGTCACTTGAACCATGGTGATCGAGACTTTTTCCGAAAATGGGATGAACTTCTCACCAAAGAAGAGGGCAATCTAGTGAAGTTCCGGCGAGAGCTGTGGACTTTACTGAGCAACGAGCGGGAGCCCCTAGGTCGATGCTTTGGGGATATCGTGATTGATCCCCGCTCTGCTTGCGAGGAGCCAAACGGAACCAAGATCAACCGCTACCGCTATACTTTCTTCAAGCGACGGGCACCTCCAAACTTCTCTTTCGCAGAGTCGCAAATTTCCGTCGGTGAGCCAATCGTTATCTCTGACGAGAAAGGCCACTTCGCATTAGCAAATGGATATGTGGTACAATTGAGTGCATCACACATCACGGTTGTAGTGGATCGAAAACTGCACAATGCGAGAGCCCGAACTGCCGGGTTCGACGCAGTTTTGAATCAGTCGTTCCGAGGCATCATGGAAATCGGAAACGATGAGCCTCCAGCCCTTGAAAACCCCGATGAACAGATGGTTTACCGAATCGACAAGGATGAGTTCAGCAATGGCATGGCCATTGTCCGGAACAACCTGATCTGCATGATGGACAAAGATCTGTTCCAGGCGAGAAATCTCAGACGACTCATCGTCGAAGGCCAACCACCCGTCTTCAAGCCTTCATCTTCAGCGTATACGCTTTCCGACCCTAGCAGTCTCAACGTTGACCAGAAACAAGCCATTGACAAGGTCATGAGCGCAAAGGATTATGCATTGGTTTTGGGTATGCCTGGTACTGGAAAAACAACCACGATCGCACAAATCATCAGAGCACTGGTTGCACTGGGGAAAAGTGTTCTGCTGACGTCGTACACGCACACGGCTGTAGACAACATTCTGCTGAAAATTCGAGATGACAACATTCGTGTTCTGCGCATTGGCGCGACCACCAAGATCCACCCGGAAGTCCAGGAGTTTGCAGACCTGGCGGCAATTCCAAAGAAAACCATCGAAGAGCTGAAAGATTCCTGGGAGAAACCACAGGTCGTGGCTACGACATGTCTTGGTGTCAACCATAACATTTTCAATCAGCGAATTTTTGATTATTGCATTGTCGACGAGGCATCGCAAATCACGCTTCCCGTCTGTCTGGGTCCAATTCGCATGGCGAGGACTTTCATCCTGGTTGGCGACCACTATCAGCTTCCTCCCCTGGTGCAGAATAAGGCAGCGCAAGAAGGAGGACTTGATGTCAGTCTCTTCAAGCTTCTATCTGATGCACAGCCCGACTCGGTGGTCAATCTAGAACACCAGTACCGCATGTGCGAGGAGATCATGCTGCTATCGAACACACTCATCTACTCCGGTCGTCTGAAATGCGGTACGCCTGAAGTTGCAGCCCGCTCACTGGAGATTCCAAACATCAACGCTCTGAAGCAATTCCATGCCGATGGCTTCCACGCTTCCCAGCACCCGTACGAAATCTGCCCCGGGGCAAGTGGTGGCAGTTGCTGGTTGAAGGACGTGATCGAACCCTCCGCCAAAACTCTTCTGGTCAACACTGACCCTCTCGGAGCTGCGGCCCTGGAGAATGCACAGGGGCAGCGCATCGTCAACCACATGGAGACTACACTGTGCTCTCAACTTGTGGAAGCATTCATCGCCAGTGGCATCCCGGCGCGTAACATCGGTGTCATCACTTTCTACCGCAGTCAACTGGCCACCCTTCGCCAGAGCCTTCGCCGATACACGCCAGACCTCGAGATGCACACCACAGACAAGTTCCAGGGCCGTGACAAAGAGGTCGTCATCCTCAGCTGCGTCCGCAGCAACGCCGAGAACCACGTTGGAGAACTCCTACGCGACTGGCGCCGTGTGAATGTCGCTTTTACCCGCGCCCGCACCAAGCTTTTGGTCGTCGGGAGTAGATCGACCCTTCGCGATGGTAACGAACTTCTGTGCAAGTACATCCGCCTTGTTGAAGGCAAAGGCTGGGTCTATAACTTGCCCGATGGCGCGGCCGATAGTCATGTTTTCGAGTCTGCGCATCTTGACTCGACGCAGCTGCCGTTCCAGTCCCCACCGGCAAAGACTAAGAGAAGCCCTACTGTTCAGAAGGGATCTCCTCCGTCTCGCAATCCACTCAGCCCCCTGGGCTCTCGACAGCCATCGTCTGGTCTACGGCAACCTGCTAAGAGAGGCACGAAGTTGTTTAATGGTAACTCGGTTGTCGGAAACAGGCCCATTATTCAGGATATTGTGAATGATATTTCCGGTTAATGTGAGCTCTATCGGAACTCCATTACTCGATTACTGCAAACTTTTGTGTGAAATGGGGTTGCACATGGAATATAAGGAACTGTGAAATTGACGCCGAACATGACCGCCTTTGAGGCCAGAAACGGCTGTATTCCACGTAAACTTCAGCGGCGAGACTGACTGCCATTCACCTTGTCTTTAAACTCAATTTCAATATTTAGATCGTGCATCGGCTGCCACCCGCATTCTCCTCAGCCTCCAATCAACAGCTTCGCCGTCCTTTCGCAAGTAGAATTGGTCCATGACCTGCCCCGGAAGCTTCCACAGTGACAGCCATTCCTCGCCCGGGGCATTGGAATCGTAAATGAATATTTGAACAACTGAACCGTAAAAAGCCATGGCCCAACATCGTGGGCCGTCCATTTCGGAGTGCGCAAGAATGTGCTTCAAATCGGTTTCGGACTCCCTGATACTGGAATACATGGCCCTGGTCACCACGACTAGATGATCGACGAGCAATCGTTGGCCTGGATAATTGATGTGGAGCCGTCGGACAAGAAAGTGGGCGGGGAACCCCCCTTGGGCCTCCTTGTAGCAAACGGCAAAGTTATCGGTCACCGGGAAGTAATAGTTGAGGATGCCCGAGACCATCGCTTTAAGCGAGCTCTGGCAAAATGGGTCCCGCTGCACATCACCGATGAGGGCGTCGAGGATTGGGAGGGAGTTGTAGATTGCCATCTTGATAGATATGATCAATGTGATTATTGATAGCTACCCTCCCCCGAGGTTATGTATGCCTCGTGTACATAAGGCAACTAGGCAACGGCAGCACGAAACCACCTTGCCTTACGGTATGAGACCTCTGTTACAGAATACATATTACCCCGAATTTATGATCTGAGACTGGCAAGTCTATGTTTTCAATTAGTATTTTTAGTATCTACACAGGGGCCCAACGCTGTCATTAAGGGCCCAATAATTAACCAAACATTATAGCTTAGTGCACCTCGAAATGGATCGTCTGTTGGATCATAATCGGGGAGTTCACTAATCCTTCCACACTTTCGCCATCGCCCTTGGATGATGACTCTCTCCATCCGCTCGTCACCTGGACAGTATTCTTCCCCTGGCTGAATGACTTCCCCATTGATGAGAACTTGTATCTGTCGGCCGCCCCAGGTGCGTCGGCGGGATCGTCGTCGATCGTGAATGCGTAGAGGCTGGGTTGAAGTTCGATGACTAGGCGTCCGAGTGCCGGTATAGCGGTGGTCATGATACTAAGATTCATCATGACTCTGCAAAATCAAATCGTTAATTTCCATCCGTACAATTGTATTCCAAGAAAGATACTCACTGATCCCAGATGGTCGAGTCGGTGTTAGCCCCTAGAATTGCTGTTAGGATATCAATTTCAAACTGATCACTATTCGACGGTCCACTCACATGGGATATCGGAAGATTTGAGCATGTTGACAGTAAAGTGGACTCCAATGCCCGCCGATATGCACACCCTATAAGATATCAGTACCGAACGCCAGGGAATTATTATAGTGTCCGTCTTACAGAATTCGAGTGGCGAGTAGCGCCATGATTCTGAACCGCTTCCATCCAGACAATTGTACTGAACGAATCAACAGGCATGGGAGTACCACGATCGCAATATCCGTGAGGATGTTAAGTGTGGCAATAGCTTCGAAAAGTGCAGTCTGCAAGGGAAAAATCAGCGTTCCGTGCGAAAACAAACAAGTATGCTTCAAACGGCTAGTCTCACCTGGTTGATACACTTGGCCGGCGAGTTCCACTGCCACGGTGTTGGCATGGAGCATCGCAGGGCCAATGCCAATATGGATCCCACGGCCCATGCAATTATAATCCCCATTAATGCCTGGTTCGTTCGTAGAAATCGGCGCGATGTCATTAGGTTCTTGAAAAGAAGCCCAAGCGAGATCTTGCTAAAGGCTATCGTCACGATAAGGAGGATCTGTGCTGCATATTCGTACTGTGTGCTGAATTAGTTATCGAGAAGATGCTGTAGACTTGGGTGTTCACAAACCTTCAGATAGCGCACGAGTTCCAGGCTTCCTATGGTGGCTACCTTTCGCCCAAGTCCATTGGACATGGCAAGTTGAACGAATACACTCTGCAGAATTCCGAATAGCTAATCGAACAGGGATCACCGGGTTAGCGAGTTCTAGCAGGGATAGGACGAGCAGGGATAGGACGAGCCGGGTCATCACACACCATGGACACTCCCAGCAAGATGTCATCGGAATGAAGGGCACCCCCAATGTACCACCGAGTGGATAGACGAGCGACAACCATCACGAGTGACAACGCGAGCAGGGTATAGACCGCAACTGCAGCATATCCACCCTCATCGTTGTCGGTAATGTCGAAAAGAGGAGGCAACGTGCCGGCCATCGCGACGAGAATCAAACCCGCAGTTCGCAGGCCGGCTAGGAAATTGGCAGATCGCAGATCGGAGATTGCAGATCGCGGGTATAAAGCAGATTTGACGGCGGTCCTGAAGCCCCAGAAATGCGATCGTAGACCATGCGCGACAAGTGTATTATGGATCCCTAGGGATGCGTTTGAACCCTCCCCCTGGGCATGTGGCCACTATGCAAAGGACAATTGCCGTTGGTCATCGAGCAAGGATTCTATGACCATCGCTACCTTTATCGTGTTCGCCGGACTCCGGTCGGGGCTTTGCGCAAGCGGTCCGTGGGCCGTGGCGACACGCGCATAGGCCTCACCGTGGTTCCGGTGAGAATAAGCACGATTTATAAACTCAAACTCTCGCTTGGTCCTGCCGTATTGCCGATGGTGGCGGCATATTTCCCACGTTTACCACGTTTCTCCAGGGGGGGTTAAACTCGTCAGCCCAAGTGCCGAATTGGAAAGTAAATGAACGGCATCGCCCAAGGCGGGGGACAGCGAGACAGAAGCCGCGATCGGACTTGTGGATGATAACGGCGTAGCATCTCCCTTGGCGGATCTACGATGAAACAGCGGGGTTGACTCCCGAGACGAGAATGTCCACCCCCAGGAAAAGAAAAGCGGGCCCGAACATTTCCATTTCGAACCCACCGAATCATCTCCGGTCCCACGGCTCCCAATCGAGTGGGGCGTTGGCAGCCACCGGAATAGTCAAGAGTTCGCGTGAGGTGATAATGGCGTATGAGAGTTCGAGGTGGACGCGCCCTCCTATCTGACATAGGAGACCGTTCGCATCTCTCTTGTTCTACGGCGATGGGGAGCAGTGAACAACACCATCGTCATGGCGAACCACTCGATTGAACTAAATCACCTAAGCGCGAAGAGAAATGCCCAGTCCAGCGTCCTCGATCAGCACTCGCACAGCGCGACCGCGTCTGGTGTTTTCAACGGAGGAGTTTCGACATCCAGATCTAGCGGGAAGCGCATGGATGTAAGGAGATCGCAATGCGAATGACAGAATCCCCAGCTGACATTTGTATAGAGAAGCTTTGGGTCGCTTGCTATCCTCTCACTATCGCTGACCGTGCTCTCCTCATGGGAATCCGTCGCCAAGTAAATGGGCCTTCCTCCCTTCCGTCAACGCATTGCGAACTGACCATCATTCCAGCTCATTCGAAGCGGGCCTCATCAATGGCGGACCCGTCGGTCTTGTCTGGGGCATGGTGCTCTCATTGACCGGCACGATGGCGATGGTCCTATCGATGGCCGAGATGGCGTCCATCTGTCCTCTGGCGGGTGCGCAATACCACTGGACAGCCGTGCTGGCACCTCCACGGATTCGAAAATTCAGCACTTGGATGCAGGGGTGGATCACCGTATTCGGATGGCAGGCCGCGACGACGAGTATCTGCTACATATTAGCAACGCAGATCCAAGGAATGGTATTGCTGAACAATCCTGGCTATGTGCCTGCGCAGTGGCACGGGACGCTCTTCATGTGGGTGATCGCGGGCCTGTCCAGTCTCGTCAACATCTATGGGATCAAGATTATTCCTGCTTTGCAGATGGTTGGGGGCATCATGCACATCACTTTCTTCATTGCCCTCATTGTACCGATCATTCTTCTTTCGCGTCGCAGTACCTCGGAATTCGTCTTCACCGAATTATTGACCTCGGACCAGGGATGGCAGTCGGGTGGGATTGCCTGGTGTCTGGGCATGTTGACCGTCACATATTGCTTCCTCGGTGAGTGAAACCTCTTATCCTCCACAAGGAGGCCGCCCGGCCATCATGTCTAACCATTTGGAATTTTTCAGGTTTTGATGGCGCTATACATATGAGCGAGGAAGTACGGAACCCGGCAGTTGTGATTCCGCGTATCCTGATCCAGACCATTGCCATAGACGGCGTGATGGCCTTCGTCTTCCTCATCGCTATCCTGTTCTGCATAGGCAACATCAACGAAGCTTTGAACCCCACCTATTTCTTCCCCATCATCGGTATCTTCAAGCAGGCTACTAGATCTGTTGCAGCCACCACCGCTATGCAAACGGCCATCTCCTCCATTGGCATGATCTCAAACGTCGGCGTCGTTGCATCCGTCTCACGACTGACCTGGGCCTTTGCTCGCGATGGAGGCCTGCCCTTCTCCTCGTACTTTGCTCACGTTCGTCTTCCGCATATCCCCCTATTGTATTGAGCTGACTTGCTAACCATCAATCAGATCGACCGCCAACAACGCGTACCAAAGCGAGCCATCCTACTCGTCTTCGCCTCCATCTTCATTCTCTCGGTAATCAACATCGCCTCGGAGACAGCACTCAGCGCAATTCTTGCCCTATCCACCAGCTCTCTTTACGTTTCATACCTCATTCCAATCGTCATGATGATCATCCGCCGGCTGGACACCAGCCGCGGACCTATTACATTCGGCCCCTGGAATTTAGGGCGCTACGGGATGGCGATCAACATCTTTGCTCTGGTCTTCGGTGTCTTCGTCTGCATTTTTGTGCCGTTCCCGACTCAGATTCCCGTCACAGCTGCGAACATGAACTGGTCGGGTCCTGTTTTCATTGCCGTATGTCTACTTCTCTTACTGGACTGGATTTTCAGGGCTCGAAAGATCTATGTTGGCCCGATGAAGGATCTTCTGCACTCGAAGCCCAAGGGCAGCTCGGCTTGACCGACGGTGTTCCATGTTTGAATCGAAGGTTCTTCGGGTACGTAATAGTGGGGCCCGTAGATATCTCTCATAAATATAATACATATGCGAAACGTTTATTTAATATCGCGCGGACAGATTTCTCGCACCAGCGGAACACGGAGAAAGCATATTTTCGGGGGCTTTACTGTCTTGGGCCATCCGCCGGTTTCATGAAGGTTCCGGTTCATATTTACCGAGGAGACTCCAGTTAGGCTCAGGCTAAGCTTAGTGCCATTCCGTAATAGGTCAGCGATGCCCAATGAGCGCTCGCTAAATGCTCGGTGGGTGTTCATTTGCTGGCTTTCAAAGTCAAAGATATTGGCTGATTACGTGGAGATCCATAGGATCCCATCTATTGGTATTCCGCACTCAGTCCACACGCGAAGGATCATTCGGCTCTTTTACCATGGTTCATTTTCCAAGACACGTGGATCCCCACTTAGGATGCTGTATGTCTCTCTTCGAAACCGCCATCTACAATGACAAATAAGAGCATTTCCAGCTCGCCCGGGCGTAGAGCACTTTAACGGAGGGAACCTATGTGCTTCCAAGGCAAGGTGCATTACCTGAAGAAATTATCCCACCAATGATCGCGTTTCATTTCATCACCAATTCTCCCCAGGAGCTTATTTCTCACGGGCTTGTCATCCAAACGACTGGCATCCGGTATGAACGTGAAACAAAATCCACGAAATTTGATATCACTCCAAAGCCTAGTATAGCATTGGAGGAATAAAGATTTACCTATACCAACGGAAGCCGGGCAATCTCCCGTGCGGATCAAATGGTCCCTGATCTAGTGCGTTGAATACAACTACAGGAGTATAAATGGTAACTTGTCGTTTCTCTGCTTGTAGGGTCATAAACAACACTGCGCGACCAATTGACACTCATTTTATCATACCAAACGTCATTCATTCTATCAATCATGGTCCCTAGCATCCAACTCGGCCTTATTGGCCTGCTCGGCGCTGCTGCCGTGCACGCAGCTCCAGCTCCGACGGCCGCATCCGCACTTGAGCAGCGATCTTCCACTTGTACCTTCTCGGGCTCTAACGGTGCCGCGTCCGCCATCAAGTCCAAGACTTCTTGCTCGACCATTGTCTTGTCTTCCGTGGCTGTTCCCGCGGGAACTACTCTGGACCTGACTGGACTGAATAAGGGAACGACTGTAAGGTATCCATCAGTCACGACTCTTGGAATCGCCAACTGACCGGCCCTCCAGGTTATCTTCGAAGGAGAGACTACTTTTGGCTACAAAGAATGGTCGGGTCCTCTGGTCTCAGTTTCCGGAACGGATATCACCGTAAAGGGAACTTCAGGAGCTATCCTTAATGGAGACGGGGCTCGCTGGTGGGATGGGAAGGGGAGTAACGGTGGCAAGACGAAGCTCAAGTTCTTCTCGGCCCACAAAATGATCAATTCGAAGATCCAGGACATCTATATCAAGAACTCTCCCGTGCAGGTCTTCAGCATCAATGATGCAAATGATCTCACTGTTAGTGGAATCACGGTCAACGACGCCGATGGCGATAGCAACGGTGGTCACAACACCGACGCTTTCGACGTCGGATCGAGCACCGGTGTCTATATCATCAACCCGGCTGTCCACAACCAAGATGATTGCTTGGCAGTGAATTCGGGCACGGTACGCATGGTCCCGTGGGCTGTTTGTCAGTGAGCTCTGCTAATACTTCATAGGATATTTCGTTCACCGGTGCGACTTGCATTGGAGGACACGGAATCTCCATCGGCTCCGTTGGCGGACGCTCCGACAACGCCGTTGAGAATGTCACCGTCGAGAACTGTAGCATCCAGAACTCTCAGAATGGTATGTACAAGCAGCATTAGGAAGACGGACCTTGAGTCGTCTTGGCTAACTTCTAGTTATTAAAGGCGTCCGCATCAAGACCGTTTATGGCGCAACTGGCTCCGTCAAGGACATTACATACAAGGATATCCACCTTTCCGGAATCTCGAACTACGGCGTCGTCATTGAGCAGGACTACAAGAACGGCAGCCCGACCGGAACTCTCACCAGCGGCGTCCCCATCACTGGTCTTACCTTGAGCAACGTGCAAGGAACTGTTGACAGCAGCGCGACTGATATCTATGTTCTGTGTGCCTCTGGAGCCTGTGAGGATTGGACCTGGAGCGGCGTCAGTGTCAAGGGTGGCAAGACCAGCAGCAAGTGCAAGAATGTGCCAAGCGGCGCCAGCTGCTAAACAGCACTTGCATTTGGCCCCTGACGAGTTGGAGGGCTTTGTGTACTACTACTATTTCCTTGTACCTTCTTACATAGTTTGCCCTGGGGGTTTGTAAAATACCCGTTTTATACGTAGTAAATAGAGTGATGAGGTGGTCATGTAATTTAACATTCTTGATTTCGTTATCTTTGAGTTCCTATCCTTTCCAAGTTTCCCCCTTTTCCATATCGCTGTTCTATTTCTCTCTTTTATCTTTTCACATGCAAGACAATACGAAGTGGCGTTCGTATTTTGCTTCGCCGAGCCGCGTGGCTTATCAAGGAACAACCGACGCTAGTAGACCGGAGTAGCGACCGACTTTCAACCGAAGGTTTTAACAGCGACAATCAAAATAGTATACTTCATACGCGAGTGTTATTTTCAAGGGTGCCCGTGCACTAATGTCGAAAGAAAAGGGACAGCGGCGTGATGGCTAAGCTCATTCATGGCAGCCTTGTGAAGTCAGATGATTAAGAACGCTCATAGAAATGCTCTTGAGGCAGATAAAGTTGCTCAGGTCCGTCGCTAGAGCAAGAATGACTATGACAACTACCCGTATCGCAGTCACGGGCAGCCGTTGCTAGCCTATCTGGCCCTGGCATGTTGCGTTTTCGTTCTATTCGTAGCAAATGGTGCTGCGCTGTGGAACGGATTCCACCTCTTGCCATTTCTCTCTTCATATCTGACTGTAAGAGTGTCATGTCTGAGTGTGAGATAAACAACTCAGAGGTCCTAATTGTGTCATTGGTCCAGATTATCGCTTTCCTTGGCTTATGCGCACTTTTAAAACTCGACCGAGGGGCTAATTGGCCTTTCGTCAGTCTTTCGCGATATGGGAAAGTGCTCAAGAGGCTACAATATCTGCATGAGATTAGCTTGAGTGCAACAGCCTCCGTCAGCCAGATGACAGCCACATACAACAAGTACCGAGCTAACTCCACGGTGTTGGTAGTCGCCAACATTGGTTTACACAATATACTCAGAAAGGGTATGTAGTTTCAAAAACAAATGTCAATTCTGCATTTCTGGAAATCTTCTTACAAAGACTTTGGAGACACTTTATAGGGTATCTTGGAAATGCATGTGAAAGACAAGTCACAAATCAAATTGAAGGACAATAAGCAGTGCAAAAAGAAGAATGTTTCACCCGTAGACCCTATCTATAACAGTGCAACAAGAAACATCAAGAACTGTTGCAGCAGAAACAAGGAACCCATCCATAAAATAAGCAGCCCGTGTCCAACCCATCATCAGTTTCCACTAACGCGTGGTCTCTTGACCTTTGGCGCATTCAAATACTTTCTATTCCCGACGCTATCGATTTCCCATCGGCCATGGTTGTTAGGGTTGGCGACGAACTTTTCAGGAACCGTTGGCTCCACGAACTCAAATGCCCGCTTGTTAGATGCAGGTGCGCGCTGAGATGCAGTCTGAGGTAAAGCTGTAGTGTTCATACCAAAATGAAACGGATGTTGCGGTGGCATACTCTGAATCGGATATTCCGGTATTGATGACTGAGATGGATGCGATATGTATGAATGCATAGGCCATGGCGCAAATGCAGGTACCCCAAATGGGCCCTGTGCTGGATGACCCATGGTGACTGGCGTCATCGTATATGCCTGCAAGACCTGAGCGTAGACTCCAGGCCAGACCTCGATGATGTTGTAAGTTACCGGGACCTGCGGCAATGCAGTTGGCGGTGTTGGGGGGGTTTGCTGCTGGGTAGAGCTGCCGCCAGAAGAAAGACTTGTGTCAACGATCATGGGCGCTGGTCCAGTCGGTGGCGGTGATGAGCATGTAGGCTGGACTGCTTTTGAGGGCGAGACAGGCAGGGGCGCCCCAGCCACTTCCTCAAATTCTAACCCAGAATCATCCCCAAAATTGAGAAATGCCTCGAACAGACGTTGTGACTCCTCGTCGTCACAGTCGGCGTAGAGAGAACTTGAAAGTTCGGAAAAGAAAAGAGTGTCATCCATGTCGTCTTTGGTGTGATAGAATGAGCGTGGAATGTTTGAAGAGATGCAATGAAGCGAGAGTATAGCAAGTTATGCGAGGAGCAAAAGATGCAGTATAGTGAGCGTTCTTAAGAGAGTGTATGGAGAAGAGAAGAAGAAGAGCATGGGGGGAAGGGTAGGTCCGACATAAGACTCGGACATGATGTATTCTATGATGGAATCATATCGTCGCGCCGCTGCCAAAAAGGCATCAAGCTTCAACCCTGGATTCACTCGCTTCATTGGTCGGTAGCGGTTGCCCCGATGTACTCCCAGCAAATAGCGTGGAGATTTTTAGAGTCGGAAGCTTCATTTTCCTTTGCGCCAGCTGGTCCGGACAGCAGGTTTGGAGAAGCCGCGATGGTAAAACCGTCTTTTCCCTCTACGGCTTGCTTTCCCAGCGCTGAAGCGGATAGAACAAACCATGAAGGCGAGGTCTGAGACTTTGAGGTATGGCTCCTGCCGTCGCCCATTTAGGGCAAGTATCAGTTTCGACCATGCTTTGATAAAAATGGAACTTTGGAACCCACAATAAAGCAACGAATAGCTGCATGATCCACTTGGAGGAAATAAGACCATGCCATTTCAAACTGATCAAATCGGTGGTACGCGTTTGACCGGCGTCAGGCACCGTGTACCGACTGAGATATGGATCAACGTCATCGTCGGCAGACACGCGCGGGGACCCAAGCTGAACCATGGCAATCCATTCAGAAAGGGATCCGCATGTCTCTTGCACATCTGGTTCAGACATCTCCCTAGATACTACCCCAGATAATGGCGGTTCCAGAATTCGGCCAAGCCTGGTCTGTTGGGGGCCAGACTCGATCAACTGTGGGTGGTGCTTTTTGACTGCTGCACCTGTTATTTGTTATCTGTTAGCTGTTGCTGCGAGGATCTAGATGGCCTAAACCCACTGTCACCCTGATGTAAGTCGCAGAACAGCCATGCTAATGACTGGTTCAGGACATTTTTGAAGGCCCTCTCGATTCGCTCAAAGCCCTTCTTGCCATGGAGCATCGAGGGGAGCCGTAAGTTGAGCTCAATCACTGCCAAGGCCAATGTGGTCAGCTTTCAAAAGTTCGGTGAGCTCATTTTGGGCTCCTGTGCATACAGAATCGTTCCTTTCCATGTTTTCTACCGCCACTGCGAATAGGAGTTCCAGTGAGACCTGTGCGCTCAAATAACTCCTTGCCGAGTTCAATTTTAAGGATTCCTGTGGTATGAGTTTTAGCCACGCGGTCCATCGCGGTCCATCGCGGGTCATCGCGTAAAATGCTTCTGGGGAGCTGCCAACCATCGCGTAATGTAAATACATTGTCTGAGCCTGAGCGACCTTCAGAGATCATGATAATATCACCTAGAGATATTTTTAGATTCTTTCTTCGAGATAAACTTAGGAAGCAACGTGATCATTGTCTGAACGTCTGGACTGACGGACAAAATAACACCAAGGGATCTTTGATGAATGAGGCGTACCAGTTTTGATGTAGGTGTTAAAAAACTCATGCTCCAGCAGGTCGCCAGGGGACATGAATACTCGAGCATACTGAATCTTCTCCAGTTTGGTATCCAGCGATGTCTGGATGGTTGTGTAAATCTCCTCTGGAAGAATCGCTTCAACCTGTTCCATTTCATCAGCATCGTCTTCTGAAAAAGCCCAGGGGTCACCTAAAATGACAGATTAATTAGGAAGTCTTACTGTATGCACAAAGGGGTAATTAAAAATCGTAGAGAACGGGGCCTTTTTGGCTGGGATCTGCTTCGGGTTGACGAATGTGGGGAGCTCCGCGACCGTTGTGAAGCACTTTTCGCGTGTTGACGCGTCGTCTTCAAAGTCAAACATGGTAAAGAATCCTCAATTGGCAGGATTTAGCTTCTTGGGGGGTTGCTGAGGAGGTGCGCGTCTTGATCGCGGTCACAATCGAAGAGATTTGTGGAGCACATTCGATGCCGAAATTTCGAGGTTCGATTAAGCTTCCCTTATCGATGATAGGCCGATGTCAGGGTCACACCACGACTCTTGAGTTTGGGTCCAAGTGGAGAGCTGTGCAAGCACTATTGCCAGACAAGCTCGTGGTTGTCATTTAGGTCGTGGGACAGTGCGTGCTTGATTGCTGTGGTTGTGATTGTAGTCAGCATCTTTTGTTTGCCTTTATCCACAGCTCTGGCACTTCAATCGCCCGTCACCTGTGGACTTGAACAGTAATCTCATAAGATTAATCAATATATCTTCTCTGGGCTAACGATTAGATGTCTAATTTGAACAGGGCGGTTCATAATATTTGAGAAGTGAGAAGCGCCTCCTTCGCGCCATATGATCTACATTTCCCATTCCTTTACATAGGGAACGTTTTCAATTTAGGAAATGACTTCGTAGCCAATTGGTTCATATCAATCTTCCAAATTTAGCTAGCACTTAACACAGCTTTCTGGGCCTTGCGCACGATGATATTTTTGAGATAAGTAGTGAATCTTGCATTGTTGAAATTCATTCAAATATTTGATCATGAAATTTTCCGCCTGCCGTCTGGAAGGTATTTCGTCTGAAGCACCCGCAAGAAATAACCATATGCACAGATATATCCCCACTCTTCTATGGATCCAGGTATCCTCACTGTAGCCATTGATCGCCCTTCTGTGTTGTTCTAACATCGTCTCAAACGGAGCCAGTTAATCAGTTAATGCCCGAGACAATGATGGCCACACCGCCCGGGGCCACACCGCCCGCCATGCGGCAATTTGGCGGCGGCACAAGACCGGCCGATCGTGACGAGCTCCGAATGTAGTCCAAATCTCCCCAGTCTCTCCATTCTGCTGCCACTGATGCAGCTAAGCCTGAACCGCAGCCCCAATTGCTAGACCTGCAGTAACAGCAAGAGGAGCGACAGGTTATGGCGCCCCTTCCGCGCCGAGAACTCCTCTCCAAGGAACGCTTTCCTCTCGTTTTCGGCAGCGTGAAGACCCAGAACTACAACGATCCCGCTGCCAAAGGACCAGGATCGCATACGTGAGATCTTTTGATATCCTTAGATTGGAAGTAAGTACTGACGCTTCTGCTATAGCATTCGTACACTCGCATGGAACCCCGCTGGCCAGCTGATTGCGACTGGCTCCGCTGATCGAACACTTCGAATCTGGAACCCCGAGCGCCCTGCTGTCCGATACTCGACAGAGCTGCGCGGACACTCTGCCGGCATCGAGAAGGTCCTCTTCAACCCCGTCCGAGATGCAGAGTTGGCGAGCTGCTCCACGGATGGAACGGTGCGCTTTTGGGATGTGCGCTCCAAGACATGCGTGAGCCGCCTGGACGTCGGCGGCGAGGCATTTACACTCTCCTGGTCCGCTGATGGTAGTACTATGATTGTAGGAAGAAAGGTGAGCGCCAGGAAACCCCAATAGGACCAGCAGCGCAACCGCTAACCCCGATCCCATTAGGACGATACTTTGATCCCGATCTCTGTACAATCACCCTCAAGTCCAAATATCATGGCGAACGGCTCGAGCAACAGCTCTTCCAAACCTGGCGCATCAACCTTCACAGCACTCTCATCACACCCTCAACCTGTCCAAACAAATGCCACCACCTTCTCCAACCATATCGCAACCGACGACTCCCCTGACCTCTACTTCTTCGCAACAACAGGCGAAGGCACCGTCAAAATTATGAAGTACCCCTCCTTCGATATCGCCCACACTCTCAACGCACACACCTCCTCCTGCATGGCCGTCTCCCTCGCTCCGACAGGTCGCTACCTCGCCATCGGCGGCAGCGACGCGCTCATCTCGCTATGGGACACGACAGACTGGATCTGCCACCGCACATTATCCAGTGAGAATGGCGGCGGTATCCGCGGTGTCAGCTGGAGCTTCGATGGGCGGTTTATTTGCGGCGCTTGGGATGAGCCCGGGTGTGGTGGGAATGGTTTGCAGATTTTCCATGCTGAGTCGGGCGAGAGCGTTTACTCTGTACCGACGAATGGTATCAATGCTAGTGTCCCTGCCGTGGCGTGGCATCCTTCTAGGTATTGGTTGGCTTACTCGACGACTAACGATGGGCCTGGCAGTGGCGGCGCTGGCGGATTGAAGATTGTTGGTGCTGCCGGTGGTAATCTGTGATCTCGGGATGATTTCGTTTGACGTTGGATTACTTGGGTGTGATAGATTACTTTATTTTGCTGTTGGGTCGGATTTTTCATTGCCCTACTATTATGATTCCCAGAATACACAAGCTTCTTTGATTACTTTTGCGTTTGTTTGTAGTGACTATCGTATCAACATGGTTGAATCCTTGAAAAGACCGCCAAAGACCAAATCTGAGTGGAGATTAATTACATTTCGTTATCGTCAAATCGTAGTGTGAAAGACCGTGTGCGCCGAGATTCGTCCATTGTCATAACCTTCCAACGCCGAGTGGAATGAAGAGACCTGCCAGATGTCGAGTGGCAGGGTGTTCGTCTGGAATATGGAGTATGGGCTCTCTGCTGTACCCGGCAGCTGTAATGATATGCTCTTATCTGTTCAAGGAGCCCATATCCGGTGCCGGCTTTGTGAGATCCGGTCTAGTTGAAGCCACCAAACGGCAGAAAGTCAGCCCGCAGGAGAGTATCCAAAAGCCATGCCATGGAAATACCATGGAATCGACCCAAGTAGAAGTATCAGTATGAAACGCCAAACATCCTGGTATGCATCATGACGGGCGCCAATCATCCCAACCAGCACCATTCCCGTTGTTGTTCAAAATCTGTGCCCACTGAGCCTCACTTAAGTTGTCCACATTCATATTGCCAAAGTCCATATTGTTCAATGTGGAATTTGGAGTAGGCATGTCCCATGAAGAAGACATGGGAAAGGCGTTCGACGCATCCGTGGTTCCCATGGAGCCAGTGCTGTTTGGGTACACCTGTCCCACGAGAGAGCTCAAAGCAGGGACCTGAGGAGCCTCAGTAGTGGACCGAGATATGTGGACCGAATGAACCTTGTCGATGGACGTCGCAGAACTTGGGACGCTCTTCTGCTGCTTTTTCCCGGGTGATTGGCTGTCGGCTCCAGATATTGAGTAGGAGGTATTTGAAGATGAGTTAAATGTTGACGGAGTTGGATGATCGGATGGTGGATTCCTCTCGCCGAGGCCAAACTCGGGCGAAAAGTCCATATCTACATCCACGGTGCCTCCTTGGCCAGTCCCGTTACCTGGACGGGAAATATGGGGAAAGAAATGTTGCGAATTACTACCGGAGCCCGCACGATCGGAATCAATATCTGGGACATCTCTATGTCGACTGGGAAGAGATGATGTCGTGCCAGTCATACTTTGCCGCGTAGATCCGGATGAATTTTCCGAGTCTTGAAGGGAGCCCGTTAGCACGTCGGGCTGTTGTGCGTTGCGGGCACTGTATAAACAGTTGGAATCCACGTTGTCTGAACAACAAGCCTGCTGCAGTAAAGTTAGCTTTGGGAGTATGAAGAGCTTTAAGATAGACTTACCAACGCTTGGACCGCGTAGGACGAGCCACTTTTCAGATTTTCTACGGCTCGAATTCCAGTTCCTTCAAGATCGACATCCAGCTGAACCAGGAAAGACTCGGTCAGAGGATTCTTGGTTTTCAACGCATTTAGAGCTGAAATGACAAATTGCAGCGACGAGTAAACCGTTGAGTCATCAGGTCGGGATTTCAGATATTGCACGAATACTCGCGCTGCGATGTAAAGGCAGAAAGATGTGAACGGGTTAAGCTACACGCTATTAGTGGAAGATTTTCAGCACGAAAATAAGATCAGACATACCAAACTGAGATCAACGTGGCTAACCATTTTCATGATACTTGAGATCTGGTTGGCCGCCACAAGACATCTTCTTTTACTCTCAGTGATGATTTGGTTGGGCATTTTGTTCTTCTCGGCCTTGAATATCGCGGCCTGGTGGAGGCAGATTGTGGAGGTGTGGATGCTCATGTTAGCGAAGATGACATTCACATCATCCATCCCGCTGGGGAGTCGGAGATGGTCAGGCAAGGAAAGCGCAATGTGCAGAAGAACGTTGTCATGGCTCCGGTGGCGCTTCCAAAACTCGCCGTTGAGATCATGGTCGTTGTCTTGCGGCTGAGGCCGGTGAATGTGTATCAAGTTATGACCAAACAGACTAGCTAGAACTACCACACACGCGAACGGGGCCAGGGTAGACACTCCCTCGCCGGCGATAATATCAGATAGGCGTAGGGTGCGTTGTGGTTTGCTCTTCAAGAAAGACTCTTCAGAAGCTGGAAGGTTTGTCATGATCTGCTTGTGGTTAGCCTTCGCTATTGAAAGCCAATTGCAACTACATCAATGGTTTACTTACGTCGCCTTCATCAATGGCCAAGGGCCATCCAGTTCCAATACTCGCATACCGATCGGTGCAAAAGGCGTACCAAAAGACTCTGCGGCGTTCTTCACGCTCTGTCCAGTCTTTGGGTGGGAGCATGGACTGTTTAACATCAAGGCCAGCACCATCCAATCGGTTGAGCCCCATCATCAGTGCTAATCTGGCAGCCTTGCCGACACTGAGCCAAGCTCGAGGGAAATAGATCATTCGGAACTCGTATGTGCCGATGAGGATCCAAGTTTGGCAATATGCTAGATTGATGACACTCTCTCCGAACCCTTTCATCTCATCCATTTCGGCGTATTTTCGTGCACGTTGATAGAAATGGTTATGCAAGAAGAAGTACTTGTCGGTGACAGATGCTGCGTGGCACCACATCATGTACCGCAGACACACGGGTGGTCGCATTTGGGGAGAGAGAAGTAGATTGGAAAAGTACCGAGAACGATGGATCACGGGCATCATTGGATAGACCTTCTCAAAGAATAGAGCGTCCCTGAGGAGCACCGATAATGTGAGAATGAGAACCAGTGGGTCGATTACAGGGTAACTCACAGTTCTTCGACAACATCCGGGGTCGGAAGGGGTTCCTCCACACCCAGACTGATCACATCCCACTGCGGATCACTGGGAAAGCTGGGCGGAGCGCCTTCAAACAGCGTCTCACTCGGTTGAGAGGCTCCCATTCCAGTCGCGGATGTAGGCATCGCACTCCCGATATCATTACCAAGTCCCGAGATGTCCGGCAAGGAGAGTATAGATTCATCTTGTAGGGGCGCACTGAACGGATTGTCTTGAGGCTGAGGCTGAGGCGGGGAGGTTCGCGGCGCAAGGTCGGTATCCTGGCCCTTGAGGAGGGTTTCGACTTGAGCTATTACAACCATGATAGTTAGCGACATACTTCCGGCGCCCCGTGACGCGTCCAGCAGCGGTGATCAATGGGAGAGTTCCCACCTAGTCGGGCCTCCAGCTGCTTCACATACCCCCGCTTGGGGCCACTCTTCTTGCGCACTTCATCGTAGGCACATTCATGTCCCAAGCGCGAGCACGTTCCGCAGCTCGGTTTTCTTCCATCGCACCTTAGCTTCCTTCGTCGGCAGACAACACATGCGATGCGCTTCGGGCGAGGTACGTAGCTGCCGTCTGCAGTGGCGGCGCCTTCGGCGGGGATATCGTTGTCGGCGAACGAGTGGTCTGCGAAAGAGGATTCGGGTGCTGCTGAGTACTGCGCCGCTCCCTGCGAGTACGTGGAGGGCGGGAGGTTGTCCATAGCTTGATCGCCAGCGGGCGGTAGTGGGAGATGCGTAAGTCGGACTGATAGCAAGGTCAACAGCCCACCGCTTATCAACGCGAGTGACCCCTACAGAGTGACGTGGGGGTTGCAGATATAAATCATCCACGAGTCAAGCGTGAGGAGTGCATTATCTGATGCCTTGTGAGGATGGCGGGGATGAGCAGGAATGAAAGTTCTTACGACGGGGAACTCTCGTATCAAAGGAAGGCTGAGGGTGACTCTTGGCCTCAAGAATTACATTGATTAGCTTTTAAAAGACCCCCTTTTTTTTCCTCTTGATTCGATAATCTTCTAATTGGAACTATGGGGAAACCCTTAATTTCCATTGTCAGGCGCTGACACCTGGCGATCGGCACATGGGGAGTACGCACCACCGGCGCTGCCTGGGGTCTTGGCAGATCGACGGGTCTCTGCGGATCGTATCTCCAACCCTCTTGGCACAATGACAATTTACATTTAACATATACAGCTTTTGTTTCTGGTTAGGTAGCGTTATATCGGTCTATTTCCAAGGTTCCTTCCATTTTGTTATTTTGTGCGTGGCCTTCAGCCGACATACTATACAGTGCCTCGTTGCCTGAGCTCCAACCAATGATGGAAACAAGTCTCCCAATGACGGTGAACAGCAGAATGAAGAGACCGCTGGGATGCAATAAAACAGTACCCAAAAAAAAAGATATCGTACAGTCATCCCGTGTAAGAATGAGATGAGGTATAAAATGAGAAGAGCATGAGCTTCAAACGCGACGTAGGCATGTATGGGAAAGTGACTGTTCCCGTCTCTGCCACCTGGACAGAAAATAATGCTCTAGTTGTTCTTACGACGACGCTGGCCTTGGTTGCGGGGTCTGGGGTGGACAACCGCCTTGTTGATCTTCCACTTCGGGCGAGTCTTGTAGCCGGATTTGGTCTGTAAAGAAATCAGTGATGAGCGCATTGGGCATGAAAGTGCACGTGGAAAAGATGAGTACATACCGGAATACCCCAGGGACTCTTGGGATCAACATTACCCTTGGACTTACCACGACCACCACCGTGAGGGTGGTCCATGGCGTTCATGGCCAGACCACGGACAGTCGGACGAATGTTGAGCCAGCGGGATCGACCGGCCTTACCAAGCTGGGTGTAGTGATAATTCGGGTTGCTAGCAATACCGATAGTGGCACAGCAATCCTTGTGGATGAGACGAGACTCGCCGCTAGCGAGGCGGATAGTAATATGCTGAGCCAGACGCTCCTGCTTCTGTCTTTCACGGAGGGTCAAAGGCTTCTTTTCCGCCTCCGGTTGATCGGTTTCAGGTTCGATCTCCTGCTGGCGGGAGTCACTGCCCTTGGCAACCACGGTGGCATAAGTTCCTGCACTACGGCAGAGCTGGCCACCTTTCCCGGGCCGCAATCCCACGTTGAAGATGAGAGTGCCGACAGGAATCATGTGCAGAGGCAGGCAGTTTCCTCTCCATGCGGTCCTGGCTGCCAGCACACCAGGGTCAACTGTACCTCCCATGCTTTTCCACAAATCGTCAGGGATACCGGGCATGTAACTCTGGACCGTCTCTCCAGCACGCATGCCGTCCGCTGCGAGGACATAGCTCAGTTTCTTGGTTTCATTGCTGCGGAGCAAAGCAATATGTGCACTTCGGCCGGGATCATACTCGATGCGCTCAACTAGATGAGGGCCGGGATCCATCCGCAAGAAATCCACGGTGCGGATTCGACGCTTGTGACCACCTCCGTGGTGACGAACCGTGACTCGGCCGGTGTTGTTACGGCCACCCTTGGCATGACCACGCTTGGGAAATGTCAAGCGGTGAACAGGGCGACCTTTGAAGAGGTGGTCGTTAACCGGTCGTCGCAAGTGTCGGACACCGGGGGTGCGCGGAGTATATTTGCGAATGTTCACGCCGGTATCGCCGCGAGCTGGGGGAGGTGCGAAAGAGGCAGTAGGGTCAAAGCCAGCGGTGGAAGGCTTCTCAGACGGAGTTTCGAGCTCACTGATGACGGTTGCGAAGCGGCGAGTGGGAATGGATGGGACGGCAGGTAAACACCTGAATGGCAGCCGAATGCCCCGAAGGGCAAGTCGGGGTTGAAGCATTGTTGGATGTGGAATCCAGCGGATGCAGGATAGGGAATTGAGATGGACGCGACGCAAAATCAGAGCCACCGGGGGTCTTCGTTCAACCAGGACAAGCTCGACCAGTCGGGACACGGACAAAAAGTTCTGGTGATAGTATCACGTGACAGTGGTTGATGTGGAGGCCTGAGGCAGTAAGTGAAGTATCACGTGATATCCCGTGACATCGCCGCGCCAAGACGCTGTAGTTGCCGGGCAACGGTTTGTTTGGCCCTCGCGCCTCACGTTTTGGCCGCGCCCTCGCGTACCCACTCCACTTCGTTACCATTTCACTGTTACTGCGAGGTAACGACCCCCGTCGTGTCCCTTCATTGTTCGATCTACTTCAACTTCTTCCTTTCCTATCCTCCTCCTCCGATTTCATTTTCCTATTCTGTATTCAATTCTAATATTGAGTACGACGGCATTCCTATTTCGGTCCTATTTCTTTCAGGTATTGTTCTCCGCGCGACCTTCAGAGTGGGGCGTCAAGTCAGGTCTGACCGGTTTTCCGCGCTAGGCACGGTAGGGCCAAACATCGCTTGGCCCTCTCGAGTTCTTCCTTTTCCCTTCATCATTCCATTTCAAGATACCCTCCCATCCCCTCTCATAACCCCCATTCTATCCCGGGTGATACTTACTCGGATTCCACGTGTGGATTTGAAACCCTCTGGACCGTTCAATCCCCCATTCTCGCGCGTTTTCCCTGTGACGGACCCAGAGTCTTCACGGGTCTTCACGATCAACATCATCAAATTGCATGCGTCGTGACTCGCGACTCATACCCTCAGACCTCATCCGATCCAACTCTACATCGGCCTCGAGGCAAGTGTAGTTCCTTGGGACTGCATTGTCACGCGTGGTACGTGCACTTCAATCTCGACCGTCTGGTATGAGGTCCCCACCAAGGTAATGCCGAACGGAATGCTGACCTGAGCCGATAGGACGAGGAGAATTACCATTCTCTCCCTTCCTTTTCCTCTGCCGTGTCCCTCTTCCCTCTCTTCTCTTGAGTTTCTCCCACGATGCCGCAGGTAAGTGTTCCCGACCATGACACATCGCGTTGAGACGTGATATCAAGTCTCGAGCAACAACTCGACGCGTCTTGGCTTGAATGGCAAAGCTGACTGTCATCTAGGTCCGTAGCCTTCGCACCCGAGGCACGATGAATGAGAACGACGAAAACGGACCTTCGACGCGTCTGACGCGGGCCAAGGCCGCAGCTCAGACTGACGGCCCTGCTGACGCCATCAAGAAGCCCCTGCCGAGCAAGCGAGCCCCCGCTGCTGTCAATGGAACCCGACGTGCTGCTCTTGGGGATGTCAGCAATGTGAACAAGGTCGACGCGGGTGGAGCCAAGGATGGAAAGAAGGCCGTTGCTGGCAAGGCTGGCTTAACCTCAAAGGCCACTGTGAAGACTGGAGGTATTCAGAAGCCCGGTCGCACCAACTCAACACGGAAGCCCCTGGGCCATCGCGAGATCAACGTTAAGAAGCCCGGTAGCCAAAAGCGTCCGGTCACCAAGGCCAAGGATGAGAAGTCGCAGGAGGAGGAACCTCCTCTCAAGAAGCCCAACACCCAGAAGGTCCCCGATGTGGTTGATGACGAGTCGGTTGTCAATACGAGCATCAAGGAAGCTATGGAGGAAGCTGTTCACGACCTGGATACCGAGGACTTGGACGACCCGTTGATGGCTGCCGAGTATGTGGTGGAGATCTTCGATTACCTGAAGGACCTCGAAATGGTCACGATGCCGAACCATCAGTACATTGAACACCAGCCTGACTTGGAATGGAAGATGCGTGGTATCCTCGTCGACTGGCTGATTGAGGTTCACACTCGATTCCGCCTGCTTCCCGAGACTCTGTTCCTGGCCGTCAACATCATCGACCGCTTCCTGTCCGCTGAGATCGTGGCTTTGGACCGCCTGCAGCTCGTCGGCGTTACTGCCATGTTCATCGCTTCCAAGTATGAGGAGGTGCTGTCCCCTCACGTTGCCAACTTCAGCCACGTTGCCGACGAGACTTTCTCCGACAAGGAGATCCTGGATGCCGAGCGTCACGTCCTCCAAACCCTCGAGTACAACATGAGCTTCCCCAACCCCATGAATTTCCTGCGTCGTATCTCCAAAGCCGACAACTACGATATCCAGACTCGCACTCTCGGCAAGTACCTGATGGAGATCAGCCTGCTCGACCACCGTTTCATGAGCTATCCCCAGAGCCACATCGCCGCTGCTGCCATGTACTTGGCACGCCTCATCCTGGAGCGCGGGCCTTGGGACGCCACTCTCGCCCACTACGCTGGATACACCGAGAAGGAAATCGACCCCGTTTTCCGCCTAATGATTGACTACCTCCACCGCCCTGTGTCGCACGAGGCCTTCTTCAAGAAGTATGCCAGCAAGAAGTTCTTGAAGGGTGAGTTTCCCGTTCCTCCGATCTGACTTGCTCGACTAACCTTCCTTTCTAGCTTCCATCTTGACTCGCCAGTGGGCCAAGAAGTACCACAGCATGTACATCGACAGCTCCCTGTCGGAGCCGTACACTTACATCAAGGATGAACAGTAATAATACCATTTACGATGTTATGCTAGCCCTGCGTCGACTTTTTCGCTTTCCTTCATGACGACCCCAAGGCTCTCGCGACTATTGATCAGGGAGATCGAATTCCTCTATTTGTTGGCATTTCATTGTGCTGGTATCGAATACCTTTTGCATATTCTTACGATGACTTGATTGAATTTGTGCGCTTCCGCATTTTGTCTTCTGTGATGGGGGGTGTCTGGCGCTCAGCCCTGTGGTTTTTTCTTCCGGCTTGTGTTTTTCTTGTGCATGGGGTTGATACCTTTCCATTCTCATTCGCGGTCGTGATACCGGCGTCGGATTCTATTGTTCTTCTCATTTCCTCATTTTTTCAGATCGGAATTTTACCTTATTGCAGCCGTTGATTTATATTCGTTCGGGTTACATGCCTCACTGCGAGAGCCTTGGAAATACGCTTTGACTTGTGCAATCCCTTGGGCCTCATGTCAGTGTGGAACTTGCAGATGGGAACAAAATGGGTGCTGCGAGGCCTGGGGATGGTTTGGTGTTCTTTGGAAGAGTTATCTGTATCTGTCGGTGTGGAAGACCCCGAGTTGGAATCTTCCGTGCTGGCAAGCACATTGGATGGCTGGTCTGGAAGGGGTAATTGGGTGGTTTCAGACTTGGGGTTTTCCTTTCTAGATAGTGATTCCTGCTTGGCGTGGTTCTGGATGCAATTCTGATCTTTCTATTACTTTCCCTTGCTTTTAATTGCTGTACATAGGCGTCTCTTCTCAGATCGGATGCACGGGGAATAATCGTTCACCAGCACTTGGACCTTTGGATCTGCTCCGTAGCCGAGGTTCGCCCCGCCGTTGACCCCGATCAACTCAAGCTCGAGTGTGCCGAAGTGTTGACACTCCAATTCAGCGCACAAAACCGGTGATCCGGACATAGTAGTCTTGCATCCCGTTCAGCTTTTGTCCCGGTCCCCAATCGATCGCCAGCCAACTCTTCTGAGGGCATTACGGGCGGTGAACACAAATCTGAACAACCGCTTCGCAAGCTCAGGATCCTTGATATATCTCCTTCCACCAAACTCCTGTCCTCGGAATCAAAAAGGATTCCTTCCCGAGCTCAGTTTCCCCACATTCCTCTTCTCATGTTCTCCGAAAGATGCCCCTTCTGCAATATCGGGGCAACGAACCCGCCCGCCCCCTTCACCGAGGCCGAGTCTAGACTGGCCTCTCCGGACGCAGCCTCTGAGACAACGGCGCATATGATTCTCTCTACCGATCATGTCCTTGCATTCTTGGATATTATGCCTCTCACGCGCGGCCATGTTCTTGTAGCGTCTAGACGGCACTATGAGATGCTGGGTGACATGGGCGTTGAGGCGGGACAAGAGGTATGTATATTCTATCTTCCTGGGTGTGGCCAGTCCCAAGGATTGATTTGGACGCCTCACTTCCTGATTTAGCTGTTTTATACTCTGATCTCGTTACTAATGTCACTAATCCTCTTCTAGATGGGGAAGTGGCTTCCCATTCTTTCACGAGTCGTGACCAAGACCGTGTTTGGCGATGACCCTGATAGACATTGGAATGTTGTACAAAATAACGGTATGTATCTTTGTCTCCCCTGGATTATTCAGATTTTAGCTTTGATGAAATGCTCCGTTGCCCTCGTTCATTCGGTCTCTAACTCAAACACATAGGCGTCCGTGCTGCGCAGGTGGTCCCTCACGTCCATTTTCATATCATTCCCCGCCCGTCTACATATGCTGCTAAGCCGGGTTTTGCCATGTTTGGCAAAGGTCAGCGAGAAGAGCTCGACGATGAGGAGGGCGCAGAGTTGGCGCAAGCCATGAGAGCCGAGTTGGCGCTGGAGGTCCAGCGCATTCAGGAGAATGAGGGTATCGACCTTAGCCAGGGATCATCAGACAAGCAGTGGGGGAAGTTGTAGAGCCTCTTTGCTAGATTGTCTGAGATTTTGTCTAGAGCCATGTAAATATCCCTTCAGACAGCAATGTACAAAAGGGCGATCATCTATGAAGGAAATGATGTCGTGGTTTTCTCATTGCGCTGCTTTCTTGGCTTCGCTTGTAATTTCGTAATTTCTTGCGAAAAACTGTCGTAATTCATTAGCTATGCACTTCGCAAGGACAATTGCAGGTACATACCTTCCGCCGGAACCGATTGAGTTCGTCTGCGCTGATCCCGCGTTCATCAGCCTTGCTTCGTCCCTTGGAGATGTCAGAGACCTCCCCGTCAGGAAGGCGGCGATAAGTCATCAGTCGTCGAGCCCCTATTGAAATCACCACGTTAATTCTCATTGTGTCCCTAGCCCAGCTGTGGGGTTTCAACCTACAATTGCCGAAATACTGAACAGAGACGGCGACTACCTCTAGGTTCGGATGCATGGGAACGGGGAACTCGACAGCCTCGTCGTTCGAAGTGGGCATCCACATCGCTAGACGCCCATTAGGAACAAGCGAGCGAACAGCGAAGTCAAGTACGTCTCTCTGCAAAGCTTCGAATCCATAAGGCCGCTTGGGAGGAATGTATCCGGGTCGACTGTAAGGCAACGTTAGTGACAGCCGAACAGTGTCAAAGGGGATGAAAACACGCACTAGTAATTAAGAACCCCATCGATCATGACTGGCTCGATGACCTTCCCATCGCGCGTGCCCAAAACCCGAAGACCTTCTCGCACACCATAGGGCGGGTCGCAAACAATACCATCGAGCAACTGAGCGTTTCGCAAGGGTGTATTCGTAAGATCCGAAGTAAACGCATCCAAGAACTTGCTCTCGATGTCATATTGCTTGAAGTTTGCTTTGATATTCTTCCCCTTTTCCTTCTCCTCGTCCTTTCCACGGAAACTCCGGGGGTCGATGTCCGAGCCGAGAGTCAGCGCTCCAAAGTGTGATGCAGTGACCATAAAGCTGCCCGTGCCGACAAACGGATCGAAAAAGACCTTTCCAGGTGCCGCAAGTGCCATGTTCGCGGTGACAAGACTGAGCTCTGCATCCATAGAAGTCGTGCTGATATACTGCCGCTTCTTGAGATCGTACTTGTCAATGGCATCGCGGCAGCTCTTGGCAATGAAGCGACCAAGGAAGACCTGTCGCGGTTCTTTTGTCCGCGATGCGCCTAGGATGTTTACTTCGGAATCCGAAACGTACTTCTCCATCACGATGAACTGCAAGGGAGGATTCTTGAGTTGGATTGGGCCGGTCAAACCCATGTAGGCGAATGAACGAATAATCTCTAACCTTTTGTCTTGACTGCGCTTCCCGCAAAAGCCGTACAAGGCAAATGCAAGCGGGATACCGTGATAGTCGGCCCAGAGGTGCGATGTCCGCTTTCGCACGTCGGCATGCAGTTCATCATAGTTCGTGCCTTGACCCCAAAGCTCTGAGATATCTTTGGCTAGAATGGTGCGCGAAATCAATGCGCGTGCTGCTTCATCATTCTGTAGTTTCACAATGCAGTATGGTGACTAGTGGCTGGTATTAGCGAGCTCTGACTCTGCAGAATATGATGCCAGTGACGCGGGCGCAAGGTAGACAGGCCAATTTCAATCAACTATGAAATTGGGCCCTGCCTAGACTTTCTCCAGGTGGCGGTGCACTTCAAAGGTGATACATACAAATTCATCGTAAGAAACAATTTCGAGATCGACACCAACGGCAGTGGCCACGGACTGGAGTTCCGGCACCCGAAAGGTTTCATGGCACTGGGCCAACCGGATCATATACTCCATAGCGAATGTCCTCCGGGGCTGGAGATATAATTGCTGTCGTGGGTCGTGGTCTGTTGAGGCACAGTTTCGTGGTGGGGTGTCGCTGCGGGATCGATTTTTTTTTCATCGGGTTCCCGATCTTTGCCATGGAACGCGTCTGGCATCCAGGAACCACGCATGCTCCACCAACCAGTCTAATTTCATAGCCAGAATGAAACGATGCTTTAACTTGAAAATTCAATATTGGCGGCAGATATCTTTTTTGCTCTAGGCTGGAGGTGTTGAGTATCCAAATGTTAATTTATCCGTTTGATGCTCAATATATCTTGTTCTGCAGTGTACTCTAAAGCAAAAATCTAAAACTCTTGAAACAAACCAACGCAGTCAAAAGCCCGGAAACCATCATAAATTAAAGATGCCCCGATCGAGAGGGAACCAAATCGATTCTATCAGAAAAGCATGCATTCGAGGAAGCACAAGCCGAGAATTCACCTCTTCCAGTCATAACCGTGAATCCATAGACGCCTTCCTCAGCCGTGTCCTAAACTCCGCCGCTATGCGCCAATCGCCTTAAACACATGTCGTGACTCGTATCCCTCGACGGGAGTGACCTCTACTTTCTCATCAACGGGTATCATTTGGTGTTGCAGATCCCAGCCGGCCCGACGGCAGAGCTCCGAGACCACCACGTCGCAATCGCCCAGCATATCGATATCAAACCCGGTGTGTGACACCGGCTAGAGAATGGTCAGCGTATGTCATAAATTCCCGGTGAGTTGACTTACCGTTCGTGAGATATAGATCTGCGGGACGTTGCGCGGTAAGATCCCCGGCACTTCTGCAACGGGGGCTACCTTCAGCGAAGTTCCAATGACGATGACCAGATCCGCCAGTTCCCGATCACGGTGGATCAGACGCTGACCAAATTCATCGGGGAGATCCTCTCCGAAGAAGGTGATATCGGGCTGTTGGTATTGTTAGAACCGTCAAGGCACACGTGAGCCAAAGGAGGTAACCAACCTTCATGACTCCAGGAGTAGGAATTTCATAATCATCTTCATCCGAACTATCTTCAAACTCCTTGCGATCTTTCTGCTGACCGTTCGTGCTTCGCTTGCGTTTCAACCCTTGCGGTTTGAGGCCCTCTTCCGCGATTCTCTTTCGGCAAACAGTGCATTCAGGAATGATGCCCTCTTTGATCTCGTTGAAGATCGCGTCACCATTGACCTTGTGCTGGCACTTGACGCATGTTGCAGTTGCGAATGATCCATGGCACTGCACGATGTTCTCTGGAAGAACACCCGCATTTGCTTCGATGTTATCGATGTTTTGGGTGTAGTTGGTCAACAACTTCCCCTTATCCTGGAGCAGCTTGATGAATCCATGAGTAGGAGAAAATTTCTTTTCTGTGGGAAGGATATCCTTGGCGATTGAGAAGAAAATGCTAGGGTCTTCCCGGAAGACATGGATGTCGAAGACCTCCTGGGGATCACTCAAACCCAAATGCGCCAGCTTCGAATAGAGACCGGTATCTTTTGACCGGAAGTCAGGGATACCGAGGCTTGTCGAGATCTGAGCGTCCGAAGATAGTCAGCGCCAGAATCCAAGACAAGATTTCTGGGGTACTTACACCTGCACCAGTCAACACAATGATGTTCTTAGCCTCTCGCAAAAGCTTGACTGCATCGTCGATCGAGTTGTACTGAGGAAGCTTGGGTCGCCGAGAGAATTCTCGGGAGATGGCGATCGCCAGCAGCGGATGGAATGCCTCGTCCGGTGCACCTTCAAGGAAGGCCGGCGGCACGATGCCAAATGCCGTACAAAGCTTCTTCGCCGTCACGGTTTCTCGCGCGATAGTCTCTTCTACGAACGCCGCCTTGCCGATATCATGCAAGCGTTTTCGATATGCAATCGCTTCTTCCAGGGTACAGGCACCGGGAACTATACGTGAATGAGTATAAGGTTAGCCCAATCTCCATGTGGATTCCGATAGCGGGGATGTCCGGGGTAACGCGAAAATGAGGTCTTTCAGGGACATACCGAGGCCATCATGAAGCTGCTCATCACGTAGGATCTGGATAGTGTTGTCACCGTTAGACATAAGCTCCCAATTCTCAGAATCATCGCTGTCCGTTTCATAGTCGGATGATGCCTCCTCCAGCGCGACCGTCTCCGCGTTGACCTGCTCCGCGAGATCGACGGCCTCCACTTCGACCACAGGAGTCTTCACCGGTGTCTCCCCGCTCGGCGCTGGTACCAAATCCATCCTGCAGGGGGTTTGGCAGCCTCGTCGTCGCGTCGCGCAGAGGGTGTTCACAAAATTCGGCATCTGCATCGACCGGATACAATTTTATCCGAGGCCGGGGCCTCCAGGTGGCGAACAATGAAAAGAAATTTGTAGTGACATTTACTTGGTATAAAAAAAGAGAAGAAAAAAGAGAATCATCACATGCAGATATCGTAATTTTTGGAGGTCTATGAATCGGCCATCTCGTGGTCGTCGTCAGATTCAACTTCGATCTCCTCATCTTCCCAGTCCTCACCCGCACCCTCACCCTCTGCTTCACTGTCGTCCATATCTTCACCGATTTCCTGGTTCATTCCTCGCACCAGCTCCATAGCATGATCACGGAGTCGCTCATCTTCGTACTGGAGTAGTTCGTAAAGTTTCAAACTCTGCTTGAGCCACTCCCGACTGGCAATCAGCGAGGCGTGTCTCGGAGATTCCTCCTCGTCGTCCTTGATATCCTTCGGGGCTTCCTGCTTCTCTGCCAGCAGATAGAGACACCAACCACCGAGGTACCAGGCCTCCACACTCTGGTCATCCTCCAAGATCAGTCGCTCGAGGACTTCCAGGGCCTCGAACTCCATGTTCACTTCCATCAGAAGTCGCGCAAGACTGATGCGCACGGGGAAATCAGGCACATTGGGGTCTTCGGGGGCAAGGTCCTTCCACTGGGCCAGACTCCGCTTCAAAGCCTCTTGAGCTTCTTCGGTTTTCAGCTGCGATATCCGAATGGATGCGAGAGTCTGCAAAACCTCTGGCGCATCGGGTGTGACGACGAGAGCCTCTGAGATGAGCGCCTCACACCGGGCTTCAGCGTCCTCTTCCCAACTGTTATAAGTAGAACCGTTAGCGACCGAGCTATTGTATACTCAATGACAGAGGTAACTCACGAAAGATCGGTCATATAGATCTCGGCAACAGCACAGAGCGAATTCGCCATCTTGGTCTTCTTCTCTGTAGCATCGGCAATGTCCTCCGCACTCGTTTTGCCTTCCATCTGCTGCAAAGTCTGTCTCAGGGATGACACGCCCTTCTCAAACCACTGCACACTGTCTGCCCCACCTTGCTCACTCAATTGAGCAAGCCACAAGAACTTCTCAGCACCACCGCCCTCGGCCTCCGGTATTGAGCCATTGGGATCTTGCTGAACAGCACCAAGGAAGTATTCCCGAGCAGTATCGATCTCGCCCAGCTCCACGTTGATCTCTCCCAGCAGGTTTACCGCTTGAAGCTGCGCAGACGCGTTTCCAGCTGCGAGGTCCAGCGCCTCCTGTGCAGTTGCCAGCGCCTCATCAGCACGGCCCGTTTGTAGGAGAATAGTGGCTTGGTCGAGTAATGCGGAGGGGTCTTGGGACATTTTGGCTTGCGAGACCGAGCCACCAGGGCCGAGGACGGACTTTTTGCTGGACTTGGACGACTTTTTCTTCTGCGGTCTGGGTTTTCCCATGACAGGACGGGTGTACAATCGAAAAAAAAAAGAAGAAAAGTGCTTTGTACCAATGAAGAAGAATAATTGTTCACCGATGTAATGCGGAACTGGAGTAAAAAGTGAAGCTCCGCTGCCAAAATTTTGGTGTTGTTTGACGGGTTTGCATGCGGGACTGGGCATCGCCCACGGCTTTGCATGCGCGGAGTCGATGCGATCTTCTCTATAAAATTAATACACCCATTCCCCCTCGCCGATTTCCACCGGGCCCTTTTTTACCACTCGGTGTAATCCCACCCACTCTCGCTCGACCATCCCACCCGATATCATTCCAATCCGCGGGCGGATCAGACACAATGGGTCGCGAAGACCAAGTCGAGGAGCGCGAGGTCCTCGACTCCATTTTTCCCGAGGAAATCACAGGTAGGTGATTTGCACTGCATTACCAAACACAATGTCCCATTTGGTGAACGCCTACCGCTAACGCTGGTCTCCAACGTTCAGACCTCTCCGAAACTTCATACAAAGTATCGATAACTCTCGACCCGCCCGAGAATGACGGCGAAGAAACCGAGCAGCCCATCATATACCTGGAAGTCACATACCCCGAAGAATACCCCGATGTCGCCCCGGAACTCAAAATCTCCTCCCCACCCAATGCACCAAAGCATTCTCGGCTAGACATCCAAGAGGACCGGGAGCACCTCCTCGAGACTCTCCAGCCCACGATTGAAGAAAATATGGGAATGGCAATGGTTTTCACTCTCGTCAGCGCACTGAAGGAGAGCGCAGAATCTCTTATGGCTGACCGTGCGAATGCTGTGCAAGCCGAGAAGGAGCAAATCGCGGCCAAGGCCGAAGAGGAGGAGAACCGCAAATTCCAGGGCACACCAGTCAACAGAGAGACGTTTTTGGAATGGCATGCACGATTCCAACAGGAGATTATGGATGAGGAGCAGCGAGAACGTGAGGAGAAGGAAGCGGAAGACAAGAAGAAGAGGTCTGGGAAAGAGGAGAAGAAGCTTACTGGGCGACAGTTGTGGGAGCAAGGTTTGGCTGGCAAGGCCGATTATGACGAGGGAGATGAGGATGCCATGCCGCCTATTGATAAGCTCAAAGTTTCTGCATAGACATGTTTATACGAGTTGCCAATCTCTAATGAAATCATACGAGTGAACTACACACATCTTTACATCCTATGCTTCATTTGAGATGACGCTAAGGTCAAGGATTCGTATATGTTCTAGGCGCTTAAGTAAATGTAATTGAAGAAAACAAGGGTATCATTTCGCGATGAATATCAAGCGTTTGCTGGCAGGAGAATAGGACAAGAGACCACGCTAAGCCTGTGTCTGTCTCTCCTTCTCTTCTTCCACAAGTGCTTCTCGTTCTTTGAGGACAACCTTCCACATGCTCTCGGCCAATTCGCGATTCTTCCTATCGGAATCCCGAATCTTTTCACAAATGTCATCTAGAGCAAGTTTGGGCTCTTCAGCCCATGCACCTTCGTCCTTGGTATTCGTTATGCGATCCCAGACATCTTGATCCTTGGCAAAAAGAAGATCCGCTTGCAACCTCTCTCGCACTTCAATCCGATGCCAGCGCTTCTCCAGCTTATTTCGGATAACTCCACTTAGATTTTTCGGCTGTGGCTTTTTGATGCGCAAGAATGGCACTCCACGCGCACTGACCAAAACCGGTACTTTTCGTCTCCCGCTCACAGGCCGTGGGCGGTTTAAGATCGATGGGGAGTCTGCATTCCGTTCCCAAGTTTCGAGCTCAGAGCGAATCGTCTCCAACTTCCTTTCCTCTAGTGGCGATAACGGTTTCTTCATCTTCGCCTTTTTCCTTTGTTGGGCTGCGAACTGCTCCTTCACGGATTTGGCTTGCGCAAGAATCGTGCTTATCTGTTCTGAATCTTGCTTGTTGCCTATTGATGCCGAATCAAGCAAATCTAGGGTCTGCTTCCACGTAATTCGAGACATTAGCTTCTGCAAGGTTCGAAAATCACTTGGCGGGAAGCGCACCTTGTATCCGGCCTTTAAAGCATTCGCCGCCTGAGAAGGACTCTGAAGCTGTTTGTATCTTCGAAATCTTTCCATGACGAGAGACTTGGTCTCGGCCAGCCACGGTTGGCTACCGGCCGAAGGAGAACATTGTCGGAGAAGAGCTCGGTAGAGCGCCAAACCTAGGATAATCGCAATTAGTTGGGTGCGAGAACGAGGGAAAAGACAGACGGAGTAGCTTACAAGCAAAGCGATGAACCCCCGAGCGACTTGGTGTCACCAACTTAGGCATTCCGTGAAATAGACGATCTTGAAGGAATTGGAGAAGGTATGTGATTAGATTAAGCGTCTAGTATCATCACGTGACACCATATCAACTTGCATCATGGCTGCAGAGACCCAGATTAAATTTGTATGCAACGTCTATTGTTTTACTTAAATTGCAGTACTTAATGCGCTCCAGCCAATGCCCTAGTCGGCTGATTGGTAGGAGATGTGTGACTAGATTGCCGTTTTATACACCAATACAAGACCCACTAGGCCGGCGCCCAAGGTATGTACCAGCTGGGATGAAGTGTAAAGGCTAGAGTTGCAAATAAATCGCGCCGATGCTGTTATGCAAAGACTGTACATGCTCTATGATAATCATCATATAAGTGAAAAAAGCAAAGAAATGTCAAAGAACAGGACCGTGATACTCCGTATTGCTTGTGGACCCTATGGACGATGTAAGCCTTTAGAAAGTCGAGCCTTCCGGAGGCTGAGGGAGCTTCTTGTGCTGGGGCAAAGCCATGTATCTAAGAAAATGTTAGCACTACAAAGTCCCACGACCAGAAAAGGAACATAGCTGACCTCCGCAACTCAATCAGGACAGTCTCCATTGTGAAATCGCGCTTCCATTGAGCGAGGCAAGGAAGCTTAGTTGGGTCAACCTAAGAAATTCGTTCAGCTATTGCGTTGTATCTCGGTGTTCATTCGATCCCCACCTTTCCGGATCGCTGGTCGACACAAGGAATGTTGACAGCGGAAATGAACTGAATGGTTGGGGGGTTATCGGGGTAGTCGGGTCCGCAATGGATGTTGACACTGTATATCCGGTTCTCGTGGACGCTCTAACAAGGATCCTTCGAGTTAGAGGTGCATGACGACAGAGGTAGGATGCGGGGGAAACCAACGTGAGGGGGACCGAGAATTGTTCCGTTCCAGTTGCTCATCATCAAATCCTCGCCATCGGCAAGACCATAGGAGCAAGCCTCTGCAATTTTTGAGAACAATACGTCAGTATACGTATGGTCTCGTGTGTTATGACAACTCGAAACGTACCTGCGCCCAATCCCTTTTCACCCTTCTCCAGCTCCTCGAGGAGCCGGAAGTTCCGCGGAACCTTGGCAGCCATTGTGGTTCGAAGAAATAAAAGTGACGAGAAAAAAAGAGAGGAACAACGTAGAAGTGGGAGAGTTCATGGAGAAGAGGGGCAGCTGCCGCTTGGAGAGCCGATCGGTCACGTGCGATACGGGTCTTATCGGAGCCTTGGCACTTGGAGATGCCACGCCGGGGATTGTTGACTGCGCATCTTTGAGCGTTGCTCGACCATACTGAACTCAACGAGGATTTTCTGTATCTTAATGATACCTGAGCTGAAGGGCTCTTGAATCCGACCTTTCTCGAAGCCGCGCGCTGATCCGCCCGTGTCCCAGAGCTCCCTGTCTTGTTGACACGGAGACCTTCGGCCATTGGGACAACGGCATTGGCCATGCGTTGATGCTGCCTCGCTGTGTTGGAAATGTCCTCCCAATTCTTGCAGACAGAGCTTGCAAACCTCATTCAAGAGTCTAGGCGGAAGAACGCTGACTTGCGCAATGTTCGTCGATCCTTTATAAGATATCCCCTTGTACGCGACGCTAATCACAGGAAATATAGGCTGCTGAGCAATCGCTTAATGAGCTGAAAGCGCTGCCTTCAACATCAGAGGCTCAAATAGCAGCAGGTTCGTGCCTTCCCTGTGAGACCAGGATTCAAAATGCTAAAGAGCCAATAGATCTTGTTCGTAAGCCGAATTTTGTTGAGCCATTCATCATCGCTTGTCATACGCGACATGCGAAACTCGCTGGAATTGGCGTAATATGTCTGCAAAGATTAATCGCTTCTCGCTCATTACCATCTCAACGTCTAAAGGACGTTCTTGCAGGTCTGAGAGAGACGACGAGTCTGAGTATGTCTAGAAAAGCAAACGAATGATTCAAGGCTGCTAACACGATCTAGGTCTCGATATTCAATTGAAAATTCTTCAATCGTTGCCTTCGCTGTTGCAGTATTACTCCAACGAATTGACCGGAGAACTTCTCGCAAATACGTTGGAAATATGCGCGACTTTGCAAGCGAGCAAGACGATAGCTGTAAGCAGCACTGCGGCTGCTACGCTCCAACAGTTGGTGGTATCGACATTTGAAAGGGTGTCGAATGAAGATAGGATTCCCAGCGATGAGAAATCTACCACCACAATCAAGGTGGATAGCCAGTCAATTGAAGTCGGTCAATTCGCGTTCGATGCTTTGCAGGTTCTGGATGATCTATGCCGTCTCATCGATGGCGAACAATTGCAATTCCTGCACACGAGGACGCTTTCTCTAACCTTTGTACTGGAACTTATCGAAAGTATTATTCTCAACAGTGGCCGCCTCTTTGCGGGACATCCCGAACTTTCGCAGGTGCTGCGAGTGCGTTTGATGCCCTTGGCCGTAAGGTACTTATCAGAGAGGCACTCCTTTTCTCAAACTGTTCGGATTGCAAGAATTCTTCTCGTGCTCCTGAAACGTCACATGTCTCTCTTGCCGGCCGAATGTGAGATGGCATTTGGTCTAATAACTCATTTGCTTGAGCCGGATGGAACAGCACCCTGGAAACGAGTCTTGTGCATGGAGGTGTTCCGGGGTATCTATGCCGAAGCGGGCGTTGTTCGGCAGATCTACTCGTTATATGACGGAGAAGAAGGCAGAAAGAATGTCCTTCGTGATCACATGGCAGCTCTTGTTCGACTGGCATCGGAGAAACCCTCACTGATTGGTGTCAGCAATCAATCAACGGTGCCGTTACGCGCTGAGCATTCACGCTCTGCAACGGAGGATCAGATTGCCCTTGAGACCGGTGGTGTCGCAGGTGTCATCGGATCGACAGGACCACCAGCAGAGACTAGAGTTCCCGGAATCAGCAGCCAGTGGAGTGTCGTGAGAACGCCTTATATTGAGCTTCTCGATAAGACAGAGCCACCACTGCCCCCAGAAACGTATATCTACAGCCTTGTTCTCAACTGTATCAGCAGCTTCGCTGAAGGACTCGGAAAGTTCATCCTTCCTCTCACGGTGCCGGATCTGAAACAGAAGAGGAAGAATCGTCTCGTGAGCCCTGACCAGGGACCTGATTCTGCCCGTTCTTCTCAGGATCTCCAATCTGATGCTTGGAGAGCCCAGGCAGCATCACCAGGGAAAAGATCATCTGTCCCAATCAACCCGCTAGACTTGCAGTCTCATGTCCAATACTCTGCGATCAGGACCTGTGCCGGGATAGTTGAGAATTGCTGGCCTGCTGTCCTTGCAGCCTGTTCCACCTTTTTACATGCGTCCCTGGATGATGAATACTACCACAACCTCGTACGAGCGTTCCAAAAGCTAGCTCATGTAGCTGGACTTCTGAGACTCTCTGTTCCGCGTGATGCATTCCTTACGACACTTGGAAAGGCCGCTATGCCCATGAGCATGGGCGGATCCAAGACGCAAACTCCTGCCACACCGAGCGCAGCTGGCTCGCAGTCCAACGAGAGTTACCAGAAGAAGCGAAAGAGCTCAGATATGCCAAGAAAAAATTCACTGCCCACGGATTCCTCTGGCTCTTCTGCCGCGGAGAGTGCAGCGCCGTCTTTGAGCACAAGGAACTTGCTTTGTCTACGAGCTTTGCTCAATCTCGGAATTGCGTTGGGACCAACCTTGGATCAGCCAGCCTGGTCAATTCTGCTCGAGACATTGCAATACACTGGACTCGTCATCGGAATATCATCCAGCACCATGGTCAAATCGGCCAATGCTTCCGGTGAAACCACTGTCATCTCTGGGAATGACATCCCAACTGCCAACCTAGGAACGGAAGTTATTGCAGTGCAGGCAGCTTCGTCCAAGATGTTCGAGAGCACCAGTGATTACCCTAGCGACTCTTTCCAGGAGATCCTACGTGCACTGTTGAATCTCTCTACATTCACGCAATCAGAACGCCAGAAAGAATCAGAACAAGAAGTTTCCGAGATGCCTAGCACCCCGCAATCCTCACGAAAGTCTGGACGAATGCACCAAAATGCTCGGCGAGTGTCCCACACGGTCGGAAAATTAAGGATGCAAGATGAGGAGCTCAAGTTTGTTTTGGAAAAAGGAAACGAACTAGCCCGGGCGAACCTTGAGAGGCTATCCTCACTCGATGAGGAGGACAACAAATTATGGCAAATCCTGACGCAAAGCCTTATTTCGACTTCCGCCAACACCGAAGTCAGCCCCAACCTCCGTCTACAGGCTAGCGCGATCCTGAACTCATTGGTCTTCTTGACTATGAACCCACGAGATGTCGATGGAAAGATTCAGAATCAGGTGCAGATGAGAAATCTCCAAACTCTGAAAGACCAAGTGGCATCGCTTTACTCGTCAGACGTGTCTTCTGCCAAGTCACTTCCAATTACCGTGGTTGAAATTCATGAGCAGAGCTTGGAGATTCTCCAGAACATTCTCGAGCAATACGCGGAAACTTTCGCGGACGGATGGAGTCTTGCCTTTGAGTTGATCTCAGGAGTCTTCCAAGGGATCGCAAAGGTTGAGAATGGGGATCAGCTTACCACCACGACTGAGCGCAGGAAATCGGCTCTTCCAGCCGGTCCTCGTTTGGTTCGCGCTGCATACAAGTCTCTTCATCTTGTAGCTTCAGACTTCCTCACCTTGTTGCCCGCCCATTGCCTTCTGAGCCTGGTCAATTCGTTCTCCAGCTTTGCGTCGCAAACACAAGACTTCAACATCTCATTGACAACCACCTCCTTTTTCTGGAATGTATCCGATTTCCTTGAAGGACAAATCGAGAAGTTCTCGATCGAGAGTCATGTCGATGCCTCTGTCAGCGAAGAAGAGTTGGCAAATCTCGCTCGCGACAAGGATCCCTCGGTTTCAAGGAACTCGCTATGGCTGCTGTTGCTGCTTCGTATTGTGGACATTGCATCGGACTCGAGGCCTGAAATCCGAAACAGTGCAATCCATACCCTGCTCAGAATTTTTGACGCTTACGGGCAACAACTATCATCAAAAGCGTGGAGACTGTGTTTGAACAGAGTCTTGTTCCAGATGGTGGAAGAAATTGAAAACAACCTTCTACAATCGAAGGACAAGCTGGGTGGACCGGAAGATAGCCTCAAATCGCGAGTGGAAACGACCGTCGTGATGATCAACGGAATCTCAAATCTGATCACAAACTTCTTCGACACCATTGTGAGCGACGAGAAATTTGACGACTCCTGGACTCGGCTGTTGAAGTACCTGCAGGCATTGGCGGATATGCGACTTCTAAGATTCAGCGAAGCAACCTTTGCCAGCCTCTGTGCAATTTTGATTAGGGTGCAATCTCCAACCGGACTCAGCAAGAAAGCACTTCAATGTGCATGGGATCTGTGGGCAAATGGCCACCCTGCCGGTGATGACGCCGTGCTTGATCTTGATCGGCCCAATCAAGACGCCGCGCTGGCCTATATGCAGTCCTTCCAGCAGATATACCGTCTCTATAAAGATGATTTGACCCCAGACCATGTCGAGAAGGTAATCCATCACCTCCGTCTGCTTGTGTGGAACTCGGTATATCCACCTTACTCCCCAGATATCGACCGCCCTTCCGCTGTCCAGGTGTTGGTGATAGATTGCATCAAGACTCTCTGTCTGGAGAAGCAAGAATCGCAGGCTGCTATTCTTCTGTGCCTCGCCAACTTGTCAGACTCCGCTCTATCAAGGTGGAGTTCTGGCAACGACTCGAGAAGACCGACCTTTGTTGCTTTCTCGAAAAGCGCCATCGATCTTGTCAGCTGGTACATCGCAGACTTTGGTATCAAGCAAGACATTTTCTCGAATAATGCACTCGCCATTGCCCTCGAGCACCTCCGTGCGTCAATTAAGCAGAAGTACATGTGGCAAGGCAAGGACCGCGAGCCTTATCTCTGGCAGAAGGCAACAACTGCATCTTTGAATGTGCTCCAGGTCGCAGTACCCTATGTGGAGAAGCAATATACCGAGGCAAAAGAACCAGAGATAGCACGTTTCTGGCAAGGAGTCGTGGATATCACCGACGGCATTGTCTCAGCCCGCGGCTTCCAAACACAACAGCTACCAAACACCCGGATTCTAGCCGACGAAGCATTTGACATCGCCGCATTCACCCGGCTGAAGACGCTCATCCTCCCTTCCCTCGGAGCCTCCGCGATCCCCGACCCAGTCCGCCGCGACTTCGCCTGTGCGCTTTTCCACTCATCATTCATCTACGCTCCCCAGCGCTTCGATCTCCCCACTGCCCCGATCGAAAAATCCCCTCTGCAAGATTTCTATCGCGTTCGTGCAGGTCGCACCTTTGACCCACCTCCGAGCCTGCGCCCAAAAATGGCCTACGCTCTCATGGATACTCTCTTCGAGCTTTCAGGCAGTCCCGTCTCCGAATCCAATTCCACCCCATCCCCGCAGACTCTACTCGCCCGCTCCATCTCCCCCTACCTTCTACTCCGCTGCGCCGTCTCGCTCAAGAGCTACATCGCCGACCAGCCTCTTCGGGGCCTTATGCCCCAGCCGACTCCCCTCGCGAAAGGCTCTGCTGCACCTTCTCCTCCAAATGGTCCAGCTTCAAAGCGAGCCTTCTGCGATTCCAGATCCGCCTGCTATCAAGACTGTTGCGGCGACGACTGGGGATGGTAACATCCCGCGTCACCATCGTAAGCATCTCGAGTGGTTGTATCCACTTGTTGTCAAGGCTGTTCAGGTTTCTGGTAAGGAGCGTGATGATGGACGGGTTCTTCAGGCTCTTGGGAAAGTGTTGCAGGAAACTGGTCGATTCGAGTAGCGGGTAGACTTGCATGTTGGATCTTGAGATCACTGTATTTTTCTTTCTATGTATCTAATTCCTTCACCTTAAACAGACGTCATGGAGAAAGGATATTTCCAAGCTTTGCAGTGATCGTTATATTGTAAGAAAGCGAGAACCGTAGACTACCTTTACAGAGTGATATCGTGACAGGAAGGTGACGAGGGTTGTATCCGCGAGACACATGGATGAGGGTAAATAGGATGGGAAGGAGTGTGACAAGGGCGATGTGGGGGTATAGAGGAGGATGAAGAACAGATCTATCTCCTAGAGAAGTACAGTTGCGTAAACAATGCTGCAGGGGAACTATGCCACCGGCGCCGAGACGGGCTGCGGTTTTCTCTGCCCATTAGTCGAAGAGATTTCACGTCCTGGACCAGCGGTCGCAGATCCTGGCGGCAGAACCTGCTGCTGTTGCTGAAGGAGGACCTGCTGTTGGATTTGCTGCTGTTGGGCGATCTGTGGCGTCGCGGCAATCTCGGGGGCTTGTCGGAAGAGGGCGATCTCGGATTGCTTGAAGTAACGACGAGCGTCTGATGAAAGGTGTAACGTTAGTGGATGGCCATGAAAACAGCATGTATTGAATACAGGGTTGGTGGAGGATATGCAAGTTGCCAAAAAGCGGTTTAGCGTGGGGGTGGCCGAGACGGCAGGGTCGGAAACCGAGAAACGGTGTGGGATTCCCCAGCCGAGCCGACCGACTCGTTTCAATTGCCGTCGGTTATTGGTAAGATATACCACCTCATTTCCCCACGGGGCTTGTTGTTGATGCATAAAGCTCCTTCACCAGGATTGACAGTGTGCAGGATGGAACGGTCACAGTTACGTACCTTCATCAATCAGCACCAGGCTGAGATAGTATCGTGTCGAATACTTCTTGTTGACGTCTCGGAATGTGGGTGTGAGGTCGAATCCGCCGAGGAACAAACGAATAGGAATGGTTTCACCCCGGGACGGCGATCCATCCATGATCTAAAACGTTGTCAATGATTGCCCGGGCAATGAACCGCACCGCAACCGCTTGCCGACGGGATCGGCGAGGTCTCGAAACATACCTCGAAACGCACCAGCGTCTCACTCTCATTATATTGATTGGGTGGAGAACCCGTGGTCTCCCGTCGAATGATGGATAATTCCATATGCTTGATCTTGAGCCGCACCAACAGGAAGTAGATCCGACCGACAATCACATCTTTGAGGTGGTACTTGGATTTGGAGTATTCGAATTCGATATGCAGGCAGTCTTCGATTCCGACATCCATCTTGATGGGGCTGTTGGTCTCCGGGGGCATGCGGTAGGAGTACACCCAGAGGTCCTTCTCACGGATGACGTCGGCCATGCGCCGTGAGACAGTCACCTGGACGAAGTACCGCAGCTTGACATTGATACCATTGTAGGACTCGTATTGTTTCTCGACATTTTTGAAGTTGAAGGGGAAGGTCTGCGGGTGCAGCAGTTCGCCGGGCGCCGCCAGTTCTTGGACCAGCGATAGGAACTCGTAATGGTTGCCTCGATCGTAGAACATCTCTGGAGAGCGGCACTTGGTTAGTCTCGGACCAAATTGCAGCGGAGAAGATGGACGCACCAATAGAACCAATGAATTGCACTTTAATTCCCGTGTGCTCCAATCGCTTGCCATCCTTTGGCCTGATCGTCACGGCGCCCTTGACGGACTCCCCGTCCATGTACAGGGGAACCCGCTCACGGCGGCTCTTGTCGAGCTTGACATCGACGGTCTGGCGGTCATCGAGGTCATCGAGGACAATGTCAATATCGACGGGGGTGGAGAAAAAGAGGGACGCCATCGTGTGCAGCGCTTGAGGTGCTTCGGGGGTCGAACGAGCTCGTTGATCCCAGAACGTGGCTTCACCGCTTAGTCATCCTCCCCCGCGGGCAGCTCCTCGGGCCGCGTGCTTTCTCTTTACTTTAACTTTCCTACTTCAGTGAGCTTCAATGTGAAGACTGTCTCAACTGACGAATCCTGGAATGAAAGGTTTTATGAAAGCCTACGTTGCGCTGGCGTCGGAGATACATACACCCCCAGCACTCAGCACTGAATCGGCATGTGGGCACCCAATAGGATGGACCTGACAGGCCAAATACCCATCAGCAGCCTCCTCTAGGCGTCACTATTGACGGTGTTACTCCAGAGTGCTACTATATTTAATCTATGGAATGGAACGACTCGCGCGAGATCGCGCGAGATCGCGCAAGGTGAAACCGGGGAGGCGGATTCGACGAGACCGCTTCGAGGCAATGAGCTGACGGGATCCTTGCAAAGATGCACTTGGCGGGCCTGCTTCCCCGGAATTTAGACCTCGGACAATGTAACACTGCACACGAAAAGGTGAGGAGAATCAAATCAGCGGGAAATCAGCCATGCGCCTTCAAGAATCATCGGGACCCAAGCAGGGATTGCTGCGCTGAAATCACACCGACTCGACTTTGGCCCCAATTCATGTGTTTCACGGGTGAGCTCCCTCCTTGCAAAGATGCACTCAGCGGCCTCCTGTGTCCCAACGCATGAAACACCGTGTATTACACGTCCACATGCGAGGTTCAGCGCAAGGCTCATATGGATACTACGAATGGGAATGCCAGCCAAGCGTATTTGTCGAGACCACACTTTTTACATCAAGGCTAGATAAGGTGTAGATTTGTATACAGCAGCACAGCAACAGGGGCAGTGTATGAAATCGACCCAAACCCGCGGTGTCGCACTAGCGTGGGGGTTGTTTACCGCGCTGACATCATGCGAAACATCCAGGGTCGGGGACGGATGCTGCGCGGGGGTTTAAACGCGCTATTGACGGCTAGCTGTATACAGTTGCACGCCTGCTTCACCCAGCGCACATCGTGAGAAGCAAAACAGCGGCCACTCGACGAGGTGAACGCCCCGAACACACGTCGATCGATCTACCGAAAGGCTGGAGACTCATCCCACATTCCTCCACTCGGGTAATGACTGTCGGCCAATGGAGGCCGTATAATGCATCGACCCCCCACTCGGCTTCTGGTCTCTTCTTCAATTTCCGTCGATCCACCGTCATACTTAAAAAGTAACTGTTCTCTCCCCGTCGCGCGACTCCCTTTTTCCCCCCTCCCTTCACTGTCGCATATTTTGAACGAATTCCTACGCGGACTTAAAACTACATAGACCAACGATCTCCATACGTATCATTGCGGCGTCATACCGTCATCCACTCAAACCCGGCCCATTTCCGTGGAACCAAGCCAGGACCGAATTGGAGACTCGCTCTCGATCAATCTCACCCGCAATTCTTCACATCTCAGCAACATGCTCTCCGCCGGGGAACGGCTTCAGCCTCCGGTCACGCCAGCCGTAGCCTCTTCCAAACTGCCTCACATCATGCCCGACATGGAGCCCAACTCCAGCTCATCCACACCCGCAATGCTCTCCTCGAAGCCCACCGACCCATCAACCGTCCAGCACATCTGGGTCGTCACCGGCCCCGCGGGATGCGGAAAGAGCACAGTAGGCCAAGGCATCCGCAAAGAACTCGGAATTCCGTACCTAGAAGGCGATGATGTACGTCCTTTGCGCAACCGCGCACCCCGAAACCACCAGAAGAACTAACCCGAATCTTACTCCAATAGTACCACACCGAATCCAACAAAATCAAAATGGGCAGCGGCATCCCCCTCACCGACGAAGACCGTTGGGACTGGCTGATCTCCCTCCGCAAAGCCGCCATCAACGCCCTCTCCCCCTCCGAATCAAACAACTTCCACCCTCCCGCCGGCGTCGTGGTCGCATGCTCGGCGCTGAAACAGAAGTACCGCGATGTCATGCGCGTTGCTGCCTACGGCTCGCCTTCCGTTCAGATCCATTTCATTTACCTCAAGCTCACCGAGGAAGTCCTGATGCAGCGCGTGAGCCAGCGCCAGGCTCACTATATGAAGAGTGACATGGTTCGGTCTCAGCTGCAGGCGCTTGAGGAGCCGAAGGGTGAATGGGATGCTATTACGATTAATGTCGAGGGATCGCAGGATCAGGTGCAGCAGCGTGTCTTTGATGCTGTTTACAAAAAGATCGCGGAGAGCGTATGACGGGTTCGATCTATGATATTTATTGCATGAGAGGAATTCGCCTCCGCGCCGGTGTCTTGGGAGTTTTCTTTTGGAATTTGCCTGGGGCCCTGCTTCGGGCTCTTGGTCTGTATCTGTTTTGGCGTTTTTTTCTTAGCATTTGCCCATGGCGTGACTGTGCAGGCCTGTCGAGGTCCGTCCTTTGATACCCGCCATTTTTCGGGGAGACACATAGCAACGGTCTACCACACCAATAAACCCTATTCCATTGACACTTTTTGATTCAAGTATCCAGGCTCTACTGTTGTATTGCTGCAGACCATGAAGAATTTTCAAAAATTACTAGAACTTCAAAAAAATTACAACAGTCCCGACCCCGATGGTCCTAACCTGTACATTGCATCTGTCAATCTTCATCGAGCTTAGAGCTGATCTACCAGAAAAAACACAGTGATCACGGTATTTATTCTATTCAACTGTATCCACTCTATCATCGCAATTTAAGCAACATAAGCTCCGGCGCCTCAATCAACTCCCGAACCCGATTGCCCATCCGCGCCATAGTAGCGCCATCGACAACGCGATGATCCGCACTCCAGCTAAAGTTCACCAGCTCCCCACGAGCAACCTGCCCGGCCTCGTCAAAGACCGGCAATACCCTCGACCTCCCGATCCCAAGAATAGCCACCTCCGTCGGCACAAGGACGGGCGCAACGTACGTTCCGCCGATATTCCCGATGTTCGAGACTGTGATAGTTCCACCGCTCATGTCGGCCGATGTAAGTTTTCCTTCTTTGCCGAGCGCACTGAGACGCGAGATCTCAGCGGCGATGTCGAAGATGGAGCGGCTGGCGACGTCCTTGATGTTTGGCACGACGAGGCCGTTGGGTGTGTCCATTGCTATGCCGATGTTATGCTTGGAGCGCATGATTAGTTTTGGTTTGTCGGCACTGGTGTCGACTCGGGCGTTGAGGAGGGGGAAATCGTTTAGGGCGAGTGAGACGGCTTTGACGACGAAGGGGAGGAATGTGATCTTCTTCGGGTCGCGGCTGTCGTTGTATAGTTTCTTGCGAATGGCAGTGATGTCCTGGACTTGGAGTTCGTCGGCGTAGAGGAAGTGGGGGATGGTCAGGGACTTTGTCATTGTCTTGAACATTGATGATTGGATTGGTGTTAGGTTGGTTGGGGTCTCGGTTTGGCGTGTGTCTGGTGTGATTGAGACCGGGGGAGATGGAGAAGTGGAGGGTGCAGCGGCGGGAGAGTCTCGAGTCTCGACAAACTTGAGAACGTCCTGCTTCATGACTCGGCCTTCCTTGCCGGTCCCATTCACATGGAGAATATCGACACCGTGGGTCTTCAGAAGCCCTCGCACGGCTGGGGTTGCAAGGGATGCATGTTTTGACTTGGGCACCTCTGTGGGCAATTCCGATGCTTGTACCGCCGGTGTTTCAGTCTGGGACGGTTCAATTGCTTGAGTATCTGCCGCTACTTCCGTTGCAGGGGCAGACTTGGCTGGTTCTGGTTCCGCTGCGGGGGCAGGGTGCGGGTTATCGTCTGGGTATTTCGCATCATCAACTTCAATCTCAACGAGGGCCTAACGAGGGTTGTCAGCAAAATTATAGAGCCTTAGAGTGAAGGGTAGATTGCATACACTTCCGGTAGGCACCGTCTCATCTGCTTCAAAGTGAAGCTTCTTAATCACGCCTTCGTACCGCGATGTGATCTGAACTTGTCAGCCTTGCCTCCCGAACATGGCACATCCAGTATACTGACATCGTCAACCGCCTTGTCAGACTGATACTGAAACAAAGGCTTCCACTCCTCGATATGTGCCCCCTCCTCCACATACCACTGAATGATCTGGACCTCGGTGATACCTGAATTCCATTAACAATTGATCCAGTAGAGACACCCGAGGTAATCTGCATTATGAAACTAACCTTCACCGACATCCTTGAGGATCTGAGACCTAATGCCCAGCAGCGCCGAACCGGCGTGGAATCCCCGGGTCGCGAAGGGCGGTATGGGGTATGAAGTGCGGAGAAGAGTCTGGGGACGACTGGGCCGCAGGATGCGGGGAATGCTGCGCCCGCTGCGTAAAATATTCATTTTGGATCACCTGGGAAAAGAGTTGGGGGTCTCAGAAATGCGTTCGAGGATCAGTTCAGGGAAATAAAACGGAGCATGGCATTTATCAGTAGAATTGGTTGCCCCGACGGTAACCGACGGTAACCACGTGATCTCCCCGCACCCCGTGCGATCATAGCGGGGATTTGCTATGATTTACTTTTAGTAACTGTGTTCTCCCATATGCACGAGGTAAGTTTAATTATTTTGGTTTTATTTGGATTTAGAATATAGCGTCTTCGGACCTTAGTTAGAATGTGTAACCTTACGTTGCTTGCCTGAGACCTGATGAGGTAGGTAGTGGCATGAGTATTCACTGCCGTGTTGATATAGCCGGCTTCCGTTGTCACTTGGAACATCTCGCAGAAACTCTTGAGGGTATGAAAGAAATAAATTATGGCAATGAGCTATTAATGCCATTCTTTAGTTTTGCTACCAAAACTGAACTGAACTACTTTTGACCCTCCAGTCCACAAGTTCATATCAATATCAACATTCCCAGAAGATCGTTTCACGCATTTATTGACCCAGGATATCCGCAAGAGACTCGCTGTTAGGCTCATATTCACCCTGGTCGTTGGTCGGGATCCTCTGCGATGCAAAGGCCAAGAAGACAGCCTCCCAGTGCCCATCTTCGAACTCGAACAACAGGGCTCCATCTTCATAGATGCCGTTGGAGTAGCTGGGCAAACTACCCTGGTTCATGTGAATATCGTGGATACCCGTTCCATAAGATGATCCGAAGATATAAGCAGTCGCCTTTTTGTTGATCGCATCCGTGAGGATGGGATCCAGATCATCCAGAATATCGTTATTGGGGTCGGTGTTATCGGGCGCCAGAACCTTGCCAGCCTTGATATCGACGAGGTTCTTGGTCCGGATGAAATCAAGGCCCTGCAGGGTGGAGGTTTGCCGACGGTTGTGACGATGGTGACGGTTGTGATGGTCGTATCTGTCGTGTCCGTCGTATCTGCCGTATCTGTCGTGTCTGTCGTGTCTGTCGTGGCTGTCGTGGCCGTCATGGCTGTCGTGGGTGCTGTCGTTCTGGGCTGAACCGCTTTCCTGGGCAAGGTGGAAGCCTAGGTTCAGCTTAGAGAGCTGCTCGGTGATGGGGTGGGAGAAGTTGCGGTTGAGCCAGAAGACAAGACGAGTGTCCTTGCTGGTCGACTTGACGTTGATGGCAGCCTCAAGCTTCTTACTGGATGAGGGGTCGTCGGTAAAGTGGAGGTAGATGTGAGGGGATTTGGGGTCTTGCTGCTCGGTCTGAGCAGTGTAGTTGGTGGGAGTACAAGCCCAGACACCGTAGTGAGCGATAGTCATATTGGCGACGGTGAAGAAAAAGAGTTTTTTTTAGAAAGGAGTCCGAGTAAACACGGTAGGAAATTGTGATTTCAATTGGGATGATAAAAAGAGCAGGAGCCTTCGAGCCACCTTTTATGTGTCGGATCTTGCACTGTCGTCATCTTGGAAGGTCCAGCTTCGGCTGGAGCATTCGGTATTGCTTGTCTGGCCGTTCGCAAAGGAGGTTGCGCCGATAGCACACGTGCTTATCTAGTGCCAAAGCGAGATTATTTAACCTGAAAAGTGGTGTAGCTGATGCTGCAGCTAGCCACCGCTAAAGCTTAGCGTCGAGAGCTTCATCCACTTATAGTCGCGCAACGGGATCGATTGGATTGTCAAGATGATCGGATTCTTGCATGATGACGCGTGTCTTGCTGGGCATGGGTACTGTCTGGCCAGCTCACATCGACAAGGTATCCACAGCCGGTTTCATAGTGGCGTAGGAGATGTCGAGTGGCCTCGATGAAGATGGCCGGGTGGCGTGGGCGTGGCAACACAAGCCGCTATGCAAGCCCCGCATAAGGCCCCAACTGCCGGACGTGCATTTGAAGCCGAAGTACTGTACTTTGATTGATCCCGTGCAAATACCCAGTTTAACTAGATTTCTATACCAAATTAAATAACCACGAAACGGCTTTTTGCTCAATTCCTCAAACACAGCTCTCAATAGAAAATCCGTTGAAAGTCTGAATTGCGTCTTGACAATGGGAAACCGATGCAGAACGCAACAGAGATACCAATCAGTCAATCTTCAAGCCTTCAAGCCCACAAAATATTGAGTTTAGCCCATTTAGACTCGGGCTCCTCCGGTGGATCGGGGTTGTTCTCCGCAATCTGCACGAATCGAGCAACGGGCGACTCATCCAAAGAAACAGTCTTAGTTCGGAACCACAACTTATACCCGAAGTACAGACCGGCGAAGATTGCAATGTCATGGTAGGAAGAAATAAATGTTTCGGTAGACCAGCTATTGTATGGAAATTAGATCAACGAATACCTGGCAAGACTCATTGGGGAGCATACTGGCCATGAATAAAAGTGGTGTAGCCACCCGTAAGCAAAATGATAACCAGTGAGATCAAGGTCATCCACGCCGCATAAGGCTGAAGCGGTGCAGCCCACGGTAACCTGCTACGCGAGATACCCTGCTTCTTCAGGGCATAGTAGAAGCGTAGATAGGTAGTGCAAATCACAAGCCAGCTCATAATTTGGGCGCAGGCAACGAGGTCTTGCAGCCAGGTGAATACAGCCTCGGCCGTAGAACTGAGAGACATGTAACCCAGTGCCATCCACACTCCAATTGCAACAACGCCCATATACGGGACACCCCAGCGGTTCGTGCGTGCGAGGAATTTCGGGGCTTGGCCTTCGCGGGCTAGACCGTAGAGGATTCTGGATCCACCGAGGAGTGCTGCAAGTCACTTAGTTGAGGGGTCAAATACGAGCAGATGAGAACGAACTGGAATTCCCTGAGCTCCAGGCACTGCTAAGCACGATGGCATTGATAATATGGGGCACCACCTTGACTCCTGCGCGCTGCGCAGCAATAAGGAATGGAGACTGGGCGGCGGTGCCTGTGCTTCTCAATAACATGGGATCATTTGAAGGAACCAGCAGGGTGATCATGAAGATGGAGATGACTGGACCATGGTTAGATCTTGGAGTGCACTATGATGGAGGTAAGACAAACCGTAGAAGAGCAAAACTCGGACAAACACTCGCTTTGCAGCTTTTGGAATATTCCGTCGTGGGGCGTATGTCTCTGCCGCAGCCATCGAAATGGTCTCTACCGAGGAGTAGGCATATGCTGCATTAATAAACACGGTCCAGAATCCCATGAACTGACCCAATGATCCCGGGACCTTTAAATACTGCACGAATGGTCCGGGGTTATTCCAGTATCGAAAACCAATCGATTCATGATTAGGGCCACCACCGCAGGTGATCACAAGACCCTATCAGGATTTAGCCAAATGCAACTAGGAAGACCAAGGGAGGTGTCATTTTTACCATGATATTCATACCCACAATAAGGCAAACTTTTAAAATTGCAAGTGTGAACTCGATTTCACCGTAAACACAGACCAAAAAGATGTTAGTTGCGAACAGAATCGCGCTAAAGACAGTGACCCAGATTGCATTATTCAACGTAATCCAGAACTGTATGATCACCGATGCTGCGGATATCTCTGCAGGGATGGAGATGAGGTACTGATACGTAACATTCCATCCTTGCGCGAAGGAGAATGCCGGATCCACAAAATAAGCAGCGGGCCGAATGACACCTCCGCTAAGAGGAACGAGTGCGCTCAGCTCTCCAATAGATAGTGTGACACCGGAGATCAGTATCCCCATGATCGTATACCCCATGAAAATACCCGCCGGTCCTGCATTAGCGAGCGCTCGACCTGAGCCAAGGAACAGTCCCGTACCGATGGTGCCTGCGAGTGCGATCATTTGGATGTGACGTTGTTTGAGACCCTGTCTGAATTGATGCAGTGTTAGTGATGATCTCAGCAACCAGTGTATTAACTTGAAGCATACCGCAATTCCTGCACCTCTGCGAGCTCTGGAGCCCCCGCTCCATCGGGGTCTTTGAGGTTATTCCCCTTTTCAGCATCGTAGTGGTCCACTTGAGGGGTGGTTGATAATGTGTTTTCAATCCCATCTGGAAATTCCGTCGCCGACCGCACCATCATGGAGAGATGGAGAATACAACTTGACAGAGAAGGATTTCCTTATTGACGAGCTATTTGTTTACTCCTCATTTACCCCGACGATCACGGTAGGAGACCGACCAAGAAGATAGATGAAATCACAAGTAGCATGGGGACCGTTGCAACACTCCTAACGCATCATGCACGGTGGGGTTACGAACGGCCAGTTGCACCCGGTTTAGGCAATGTTACTTCTGTTATCTAGCTAGGACCATTTCGTAGGACCGTGCCTCATCAAAAACCCCCGGTGGTTCCCGCAGACCTAGAATTGCTATTTGCGGAGAGGGGGCTTGACCCCGGATTTGGAGGATCCGAGGAATTATTTATCACCTGAAAAAACCTGCACATCCCAGCAACCAGGATTGTAGAGATTAGAGTTGCGGCACTTGTTACTAGACCGATCTTTGCCATGTGGTCGAGCTCGTAGAGCCCCTGGGTGTTAGGCTGTACCTGTGTGCCCGCCCCCGCTTCAAAATCCTTCCTTCTTAGCCCCTCCAAACGAACGGAGATTACATCGCCATCACCTCATCAGCCCTTCTCTGCCTATCATGTCTAACGAATACGCCCTGGAGCGCACCCACGGTCAAGAGAGGGTGATAATCCACGCCGCCGACCTATATCTCCTGGTATTCACCACGCTAAATCTGAAGGGAAGGCTATACGCTAACGCGACTGGCTGCTAGGAAAAATGGAAGGAAGATTCTACTATCTCGGACGAAGCCCAGCGCTCGGCAATCTTTGGCAAGTGGCTAGAGATTGGCTCGCGTGGCCGCATGGTAGTCTATCTGATTCGCTCCCCATCAATTATTAATGACTCATAATAACTAAATTGCAGCCCTATGATGACCGACTAGAGGAGATGTGGAGGGGCGATGAGGATATTACAGAGGACGAGAAGGACTTACTCTCTCGTGTCCGGAATCCGGTAGATCGGCAGGGGGTCAGCTATACACGTCTTGTCCGCACTTTCTACGGCGACCACTCAGAAATAGCCTTTCCCGAGCTAATCAGCCAAGGCGAGTACGATGGGACGGTCTTCGATAATGCCGCGCTATACGACGCGGGTTCGGACGACGGCCTACAGTCGCTGCGCGATATCCTAACCCGTATCCCGCAGATCCTTGAAGCGAAGGCAATTTCTGCCCTTGAATACGAACGTGAAGTGCGGGAAACCCTAGAGACGGCCAAAGAAAAGGATATAGACGATGTTGAATTTCATGTGGAGATGGCTCACCAGGCGGCCAGATGGTGCCACGTGCTCATCTACGATAAAGAGGCTTATGATAGCCCAGGGCATATACTGGTGGTGTATCTCGACGATCGTGGCAGGGTCCTACGTTACTCTCGGCTAGACGGGACCGAGGACTTGCAGGCCATCGATGGTATGTTGTTATCGGGTCAGGATATCATGCATGGGTGGTGGGAGGATGGCTGCTACGGCGAGGACTGGGAGCCTCAGCAACTCGCTAAGCGATGGGGCGAGGTTGCACACGAACCCTCTGAGGGTGGCGTTAGCGAGAGTGCAACCTTTGAGGAACAGTCCAACTAAGCAATCGAGGTCCGATCTAGCCGGAAAGTCAAGGCAAAAACAAATTTCTTTCCGGTACATTCGATGCCCGGGCTAATTACACGTTCGAGGGCCAAGTAAGCTCTAGTGCCTCAATAGGCTAGTCACCGTGGTCTCGTGAATGTTCAATCGGAACATTTGAAGACACCGAATAAATGGAATCCTAATTTAGATTTCACAATTTAGCGCAAAGGAAGCAATAAAACAAGAGGAGTCGGATACTACTAATGAGGGCATAAATGTATTTCCCAGCTACATCGTGAGAGGGGCACTCCATGGCAGTCTGTCAAAGCAGACGAGTCGAGACAGCAGAGGGAATCACCTAATCGCGCTCACCACATCAGATCATCTAGTAGGAGTAAATGATTTACCTCACAGTATCGGATTTATCTATCCTAATTAGAGAAAGCGCGCCGAACGTATGCATTTGAGGATCGCCGCGGGTCGCTAAGGGGTCACCCTTAACAAAGGGACAGAAGCTGGGCTAATGAGGCGTGCATTAGGACTGTTACCATATATTACAAGCAACGATATGTTTTGGCATAACATGGATGTTTTTGTCGATTCAAGATTGATAATAAGTATGCAGGGCATATCAAATGCTTATACCGATCTATCATGCTTTAGAGCGCGCTTTTCGTGTCCAGCCAGTTTGGAATTTGTTCAGCTCAAACCGAGGGAACACATGCGCCTCTGTGTTGAAAACAACGTCCGTAAGCGGGAGATAGTTCCTAGGGGAGAAAAGGAGGTACAAGTACTTCAAAGTTTCGGCCTGTGCATATGTTACTCGATTCAGTCCATACTCAGATGTAAAGAGGAAAAGTCGGGTTCTTACCAGCCAGAAACTCTCCATGTTGTCGCGTGGTGGTGAAGGAATCTTGGTGACATCGTTCAAAGAAGAGTAACCCTCGCCATCGGGAGCGAGCGTGTGCTCCTTGAATGATTTGAAAATCTCCCATCCCCTTTTCCGATAGACAGGGTCTCCCGTAACCCGGAACAACAAGAAGAGGCTCTCCACAGTTTCCGGGCGCTGTAGGTTATGCGAATCCAGGGGCTTGATTTTGAAATCCTTTTTCCAAGATTCCAAATCATCGCTGCTTTTCTCCCGTGATCTTGACCCAGGATTGGGTTGGAGATCAGCATCGTCGACTCTCAACCAGGCAATTTCGGGCGACAGGCCTGTTTTCGTCACCGCATACATTGCCCAGCAAGTTTTCGTGAGCTCTCTCGCAAGCTTCATCTGCTCTTCTTTTCGAGCATTCCAGGTGGGGAGCTTGCGTGCCTCGGCCTCGGCTCTTCCCTCGGTTGCGGCGATTGCAATTGAGCCTGGTAGGAAGCAAACGAGGTGGTCCATTTTGGGAGACAACTTCCCACCGATACCCCTTGGTAGCTCGGCAATGAATTGAAGATTGGAGTATTTAGTGGTTGTAACTAGGTGTTTTTGGATACCTGCCAGAGCCTCCTCCCACATTTCGCTGTAGATCGGCTCTTGTCCTCGGGTTTGCAAATATTGCTTTGCTAGGTACTCTATATTTTGTTAGCCACACTCTCCTTAAATAGTACAAAAGTAGAGAGAGTTACCATAGTAAGAGTCGCCGCGGCTTCCTAGGCGGATCTCTCTAGAGCGAAAGTTTCCGGTATCAGGACTCACGAAGATGGGCAACAAGCCATCTGGCCTGCGGTGAGCATCCACAACCTTTATAACGTTTTCAGCCTTTTGCCAGTAGACCTCATTGCCCGTGAGATTAGCAAGGTATTTCATCTCTAACTGAAGCGTTGTGGCTTCAGCTGTTGACGACGCTCCGTTGTCCGTGTGAGATCGAAGGCCTTCTCGGGTGCCGATGTTCACGCTGGAGTATGGGATCCCGGATCTAGACTCGTAAGCACTTAGAAGACGATCTCCTAGATCGACAGCCTTTTCGAGGTAAACAGAGTCACGACGGGATGAAATATCGGGGAGCTGAGTCGATAAGTAGTGTGCAGACAGTAGCCCACCCAGCATGCGAATGGTCGTTTCAAAAGTATTGACATCTTGATCCTGGTCGTAGGTCAAGTCCCGCTCGAGCCATTCCCGAGCATCGGAGAGTTGAGAAGTTAGGTTCATGATCATCAGCGTGTCTAGACTGTCGACAATGATCCACCCGAGTCCACTTGGGCTCATTTGCTCCCCTGTTTTGGAGATGGGGTGAAAGATATCTTTCCCTAAATTCAAATGTCAGCTTTGGAATATTAAATTATTTGGCTTTTGCTGTAGTGTGTAGGCACTCTACCAATTTGGAGGACATGCGAAAGAAAAGAGCCTGAACTTACCCCAGGCGTATTTAGAGTACGCATCCCAGCTTTCTACAAACACATCCTTGACTTCTTCTCGATGCCCCTCCCAATAGCTATCTCGGTTCATGGGTCGGACATAATCCAGTGCAAACTCAACAATCGGGTCACTCATGAAGAGCCCCGCCGACAAGGCCAAGACACCGATCAACGCCGACATGAGAACCCATTGCGGGCCAAGCCAGGTTTGTCGCGGACCCTCGGGTCTTTTTGAGGTGATTTTTCGCGGGCGCCCAAGCTCTTCAGGGCCCCAGAAAGGCATCATTGTGGGTGGAAAGAAGAAGTCGACATCGAACGTGTCCACAACGGATATTCCTTGACGTGCCGTACACAGGCGGGGACAGCCGCGCTTCAAGTGGAGCCCGGCACAGCTAGTCCATTCGCGACTTTCTACAGTTATAATTTTTGCGTTTGATAAGTTACTGTAAACAACCTTCCAAAAGGCCGTTACGTAGCTTTTGTGACATAAACGCGTCTTGTAAATTCACCCATCCAGACAAAACAGCGACCAGGCGACCCGAGAGAAATCAAGCAAGAAAAAGAAGCTTGAGCAAGTAAGACAAAGCACGAACCGTCGCCCGTTCTTTTGGTGGTCGCTGTACTGGCTCTGGGTCTGGCCTCTCAATCGATGGGATCACGCCAACACCTAATCCGCATCGACAGCATCGTTCGGGGTCCTTTCGAGTTCAAGAATTTAGGCAGGCACCATGCGTGTGGTGCGCTTTTGCACGGAAGAAGGGGTGACGATTGGCGACGTTGGAACCGACGGTTGGGAGGATCCTCAAATATCCAATTGATCGTAGCTAGGTAATCGATCACTGAATAAGGCATTCTCAAGTATCCGAACTGTGGTTCGCACATTGATGACTGCCGAAGCCGGGGAACTCCACATCCATGCAAAGCATACTCTGCGTCATGCACTCCGCTTGAGATCATCGACCTTTCAGGTCGTCGCGACCCCCGTTATGGAACCGGACCGAATCAGATTACATTGTGCCTGGCACCGGTCGCGGGACCTAGATCGTAGCGTCACCGATGGCTTGGACTTCGAATCAGCTGGCGCCAATGGATCTCAGCTCTTGGCGATCCGCAGACCGATGAGGGGCAGCGGCTGAGATCTCTTCGTATTTCTCGAACATTGTCCCATTGAGCTCTCCTTCCAGTTTAGCTTCACGAAGCTTCCCCAAGCTTACATCGTCCACCATGGTAGTCAAGAAGTTGACCATCCGTAACAACACGGACACCCCGATCAACCTGAAGCGCCTTGAGCGCTTCCGGGCCCCGGGGCAAAGCATTGGAACCGATCACATCACCTCGCTGGCGAGAAACTTCACTCGGGTCCTGACCAACCAGACTCGCAGCGAGGCCCCAATCGCAACCCTCAGCCAGGCTGACAAGCCCTTCGATGAGCAGGCGGAGCTGGACATCCACATTGAGGCTTTCACCACCAAAGAAACGGACCTGGACTTCTTCAAAGAGTCCGAAAAGGAGCGCCTGCGCCTGGTGTTTGGAGCGGAGGGTGAAGAACACACTATCCAGGTGCCTATTCCCACCAGCGAGACAGCAACCATGAAGACTGTCGACAACCCCAAGCACCGCTTCACCGGCGTGTGGGTGAAGCCTGAGTCCTTCCTGGCGATATACTCGTCAGCCAATCTGCACGCCTGGATGCGTGAGCTGCGTGACGACACTCTCCTGTCTTCGCTCTCCATCCCCGGTACTCACAACTCGCCAACCTGTCACGTCGCCCCGCCTTCGGTGCGCTGCCAGGCCGTCAGCCCGCGGGAACAGCTACGGAACGGCGTGCGCTTCTTCGACATCCGTGTCCAGCCACAGTACCCGCAGGAGTTGAAGGAGGACCTGATTCTCGTCCACAGCGTATTCCCTGTTTCGCTGACCGGGACCAAATACTTCCGCGACCTGATGAATGAGGTCAACGATTTCCTGGACAAGAACCCGTCCGAGACGCTGATCATCTCTCTGAAGCGCGAGGGTCCCGGCGACGCAAAGGATGAGCAGCTCGCCCAAATCCTGCACAATCACTACGCCAAGGACGATAACCAGCGCTGGTGGACTCGTCCCAAGATCCCCACTCTGGGCGAGGCCCGCGGTAAGGTGATCCTGCTCCGTCGCTTCAACCTATCCGAGGACCTGAAGACGAAGCATGACGGTCATGGTTGGGGTCTCGATGGTTCCGCCTGGGCCGACAACACGGCCAATGCCAATTGCCCCAGCGGCCAGCTGTGCATCCAGGACTTCTACGAGGTGCAGGAGCCGACCAACATCGAGCAGAAGATCCAATACGTCAAGGACCACATCGACCGCGCCAGCAAGTCTCGCTATCCGTTCGGTGATCACCCGGGCCCGCACCCCTTTTTCATTAACTTCCTGAGTGCGAGCAACTTCTGGAAGACTAATACCTGGCCCGAGAAGATTGCGGCTAAGGTTAACCCTGCTGTTGTAAACTACATCTGTCGCCGTCATGAGAATGATGATGGTGATTCTTCCACTGGTATCTTGGTCACTGACTGGGTTGGTCTGGACGGTGACTGGGATCTTGTGCGTTGCATTGTCGGTATGAATGCTAAGCTGCGATTGCGACAAAACTAGATTTATGCGTGCTGTCTATTGGGAGGTCCTGTGATTTAATCCAATCAGTTTATAGATATATATGCATTTCAAATGGCGCCATGCCTTGCATTTGAACTTCAAATTTCCCTTCTTGATGACATATTGATATTCTTGATAGCCCGTGCATATTTATGAAGAAAGATTGCCTCCTGCATCATCAATTTATACTATGAAGAGTAGGTGGAACATCCCAGTGGACGCCTCAATCATGGCTCATATACTGCGAGACCTAGTTTTGCCGGCGATGATGATGGCATGATAGGCCAGATTTTGATGCTCGGTACAAAGTTCAGTCTATTTAGTAACTTTCAAGGAAATAAGAGACCTAGAATGAGATATCGATTCCCTTTTCAGATTGAGTATTGCAAATAATTTATTGCATGGTGTACAGCCTATACAAAAACAAAGCTTGGGTCCCTTGGGATGCAAAAAAAAACAATATGACCTATTATACAAGAATGAGTGGGCGGCCATGCCCAGTCTAGGACGATTCGCTCTTCTCGCCCTCGCCCTTCTGCTCGTCCTCCAAAACACTTCTTCGGCTCTCCATGGTGAAGTAAAGGCTCTTACCGGCTCCCTCCAAAGTGTTGGTAACGCTGGAGCCCATACTCTGTAAAGCCATGACAAGCTGGGAGCGGAGGCCATCCATGCCACCCTCGATGCTGCCTACCCACTTGGTCTCGGCGATGTCGAACACCTTGCCGTCAACGCGAGCACCTAGTAGGTTCAGCTTCTGTAGACCGATCTGGACAACGGGGTCATGGTAGTCCGGGTTGCCCTTGCGAGTGGGTGCAGGGAATCCGGCTTCCTTGGGCGTGAGGATCGAGAGTGCCGCCTTCATATGTTCGGGGGAGACAGTGGGAATGGAGAGAATGGCCACAGGGCCAGTGAGGATCTCGGCAAGCTCGTGTTTGCCCTTCATGTTCTTCACCGCAATGTGAGCAGCGCGAGACAAGTCGTGGGTCAGGGAAGGGTCATCCCTGGAGCCAGAGACAGCAGGGATTTCGGCAGAAGTCTGAGTGACGGGGTCGACGGCGCTAGGGGGGTTGCCGGCAGCCAACGCGGCCTCGCTAGGTCGGAAGTATTCGACGATGCGCAGGGCCACCTCGAAAATGCTGTTTTGGACAGTTTGCAACTTGATGTAGGAAGCCAGTTCCGGAGATGTCCGACCCTCAGCGGCAATCTTCTCATCAACCTTCCGCAAGGCCTTGGTCAACTCTCGTCGAATGGCGGCCCATTCCGTGGACTTCAGGTTGTTGTGTTGGAAAAGCACCATGAGAGGGGAGGTGCGGAGGAGGGAGGTGTATTGCCGCAGAAGTTGGGACCGGCGATATTCAGGACTGCGATGCGATGGTGGCTGAGTGGGAGGAGTACGCGCAATTGGGGCTGGCGAGCGTGTCATTTGCTCAATTGGCGCAGCTGGTGTGATGGCCGCCGCAGCGGTGCTGGCAAGCCTGGCAATCCGAAGTTCATATGGGCATCGCAGGGCTTGTCGCCGGAGCGATGAGACGGGTACCCGCGGTGGCATTGCGGAAAGAATTGAGGGGGTGACGAGGAACAATGATGGAGCGGATCCTAGGAGACCTCGGAGGTTTGGAAGGGCAGTCCGGGAGATATTTTTTGGCGCCCAAAGAGGAAAAGTGCCAAGTTTAGCGGTGAACAAGATTCTGCCGGATGAGCATGAGGGGCCCTTTTGACTCATGCCGACAGCTTCCGTCTTTTGTTTCTTTTATACTCTCCATTGACCTTTTTCGAAGCTACTAGGAACACTTCGTTGTCTCCTCACACGGCATGGCTTCTTACGAGAAGCCCGAGGTTATCTCCATCTCACCTCTTCTCAAACGCCTGGCCTACCCCGCTACCGCGGACATTCAAGTCAGCGCAGAGGATATCGCTTCTGCCTTTGCTTTGATCTTTGAAGATCGTCTGTCAGATATTCAGACGGCAGCTTTGTTGACCCTTCTCCACTCCACCGGAAAGGACAAAGATGCTGCTGTGATTGCGAAATGCTCTCACCGGATGCGCGAGGCTGCTACTCATATCGATAAAGCTTCCCTGAAGAAAGCTGTCAAAGCCCGAGGAAAGCGCGAGGGTAAATACAACGGTGGACTGGTGAGAAAGCCTCTTTTTGTCCCATGTGTGTACTTAGACTAACCGCACTCGATTCCTAGTGCGACATTGTCGGAACTGGCGGAGACTCACATTCGACCTTCAATGTCTCGACTACTTCGTCAATTATTGCTTCGCCACTGTTGATGACCGCGAAGCATGGAAACCGCGCTCAAACTTCTTTCTCTGGATCCGCCGACGTCCTCAATGCCGTTCAACCCATTCCTCCCAACATTTCCGCCGTGAACGCATCCAACGTGGCCAAAGTGTACGAGGAAACAAACTATGCATTCCTTTTCGCGCCAAACTTCCACCCCGGCATGATGTATGCCAATCCCGTTCGCCGCAGTCTTGGTCTCCGAACAATCTTCAACTTGATGGGTCCTCTGGCAAACCCCGTTGAATGGGCCATTGAAGCGCGTCTTGTGGGTGTTGCTTACCAGAGCCTTGGTCCTGTCTTTGTTGAGGCCCTCAGACAGGCTGGTGCCAAGAAGGCGCTCGTTGTCTGCGGCGATGAGGACATGGATGAGATCAGCTGTGCTGGAAAGACCCACTGCTGGAGACTGTCTGAGTACCCCAATCCAGCGTACAAGGAGTCGGGTAATCAAGACGATGACTCAAGCGACGACGAGGAAAACCCTAAAACATTGGTCAAGCTCGATGTCTTCCAGCTTCATCCCTCTGACTTCGGTGTACCTACCCACCCACTCAGCGAGGTTTACGGACGCAAGATGCCCAAGGACAACGCGGCCAAGCTGATGAGCATTCTTCGGAATGAGCTGCCTCGTGACGACCCTATTCTGGAATTCGTTCTCATGAACGTTGCTGCTCTTCTGGTTACCTCCGGTATCTGCGAGGCGGATACCAGTAACATGGGTCCGGGTGATGATGGCCAGGTTATCACTGAGCGCGGCCCTGGTGGTGGCCGCTGGAAGGAAGGTCTGCGCCGGGCACGCTGGGCGATTGAAAGCGGCGCAGCCTTGAAAAGCTTCGAGCAGTTTATCGAGGTCACCAACAAGTTCGCATGATCTTATTGGATTATGCATATTGGAGTAGTTGATCTATCTCCATGAAGGGCTCGAGTGAAGAGGCATTACGTTGTGCAATTTCCGAGATATTATTTTCGAGTTGACTTCGATGTTGATGTACATTCATAATAATTCGCGGATATGAGTTTGAGTAGTGAACTCGCCCGTTGGGTATTGAGGTGAAATCAAAAAGCCGCTCGAAAGAGAAAGAGCCATGGTACCTAAGTTTCGCATACGCACTGGTCTCCTATACTCGTTGAGGCCTACCAGGCTAATAGCCTTGACCACAGCATCAAATCTCACGTATTGTACGTGTTCCATAAATCTTGTTCTGCATTTGTACTCCGAAAGCGCCGCTCGATGCATTGTTCGTGAGAACATAAAGGAAAATCAAAAGCAAAAGCCCAATTCCATCAACTCCTCCGCGTCCAGACTTTATCTGGACTGATATTTCCAGTCAACATTGCTTTCCTTCACCGAGCTTCGAACTGAACCATGCTGCACAAAGAGAATAAAATGTCAGTCAAGATGTCAAGCTATGAGAGCGGGGAAAGAGAAACTCACCGCTTGGTTCGCTCTTTGTACAGCACACGGTGACCGCAGTCCTTGCAGCGGATCTGGTCGCCGCGCTTCAGGGGAACGCGCGCGGAGCACTCGCCGCAGAGATAGACGACCGAGGGGCTGTCGACGGCCATGGAGTTGAACCCGCTGCCCTCATTGCCAAAGGCGTTCTGGGTGCCCATAGAGGGCACCTGGTAGGCTTCACGAGACATTTTGGTGTGTGAATGAATATGCGGTTTGCGCGAGGTCGGAGATGCGTTCGTCGGGGCGACAGAAATTCGGGGAGGGAGATGGACTGGTGACTGACTGGAATCGGCGAGATTCTATTCTTTTTCTTTCGCGGCGGCCGGAATTTTAGGTGCTCTGTGCTTACTAATCTCCACCCAGATGAGTCAGCAGGTGGCCGATATTTGGGGAGTAGAGCATCCAGCTATTTTCTCTCGGTCATGCCATCTGCTAGAAAAGCCTGGACTATACCTCAGGATCCTACGCAAAATGTAAACCGCGGAGATTCGTGTGCCTGCGACTAGGCAGAGTCATATGGGTCAATACAATTGGTCGCAGGCGCGGCAGCCTTGTAAAATCGCGGAGATTCGTGGTGTGCCTGCGACTACAGGTGGGCACAGTCATATGGGACAATACAACTGGTCGCAGGCGCAGCAGCCTACGCAAAACGTAAACCACTTACTCTGGCCGTGTCGCACGGAGTCCGGTTGTCCGGCCGGGCCGATTTTCGCTGAGAGTTTGACAGGGGCCTACTTCTTGATATAAATGCCAACCCGTAAGCCACCCACTCATAGCTGTTCCAAGTTTGCGAATATCTGCATTGTCGCAATGGCCAAGGCCCACGAACACCTCATTCAGTCCCTATGCGACCTCGAAATTCCAAAGACCATCCGGCTTTCCCCGGACCGCTCAAGTGTCCTTTACTCAACTGAACTCACCTGGGGTCATCGTAAAGGGAAACACGCCGTCTCCACCCTCTGGCTGGCCTCCACCGGCTGTGCAGACTCTTCGCTGCAGCTCACCCCGGGCCTCTTTCGCGACCACGTCCCCACATGGAGCCCGGACGGAAAGGCGGTGGCGTTTGTGTCGGATCGTGCTGATGCCGGCGCCAAGTGGGCTATATATCTCTTACCATTGAAGCAGGGCGGGGAGGCGTACCCGATAACGCCGGTGAAGAACGCAAGTCAAATCGAAGCATTCGCCTTCTCACCTGATGGCACCCATATTGCGTTCCTCTCGGCCGACGAGGAGGTCCAATCTGCCTCGGCAGAAGACGGCGCCTACAAGGTGCGAGCTTGGGGTGAGGATTGGCGATTTTCGCGTCTGAGGGTCGTCGATTTGCGTACCAAGCAAGTCCGGTCTGCCAAGATCGACAGGCACGTAAACAGCGTCTGTTGGAGCCCGGATGGGACTCGCATTGGTTTCTCAAGTTGCCTATCGCCCGACACCGAAGAGTGTCACCTCACCGGGACGACCATCTCAGCTATTGACCTCGATCTTAGCTCCGTGGAAGAGCTGTGCCACTTTCCTGGAATGGTCGTTGACCTGACATGGGCCGCAGACGGGAATCTATACTTTTGCGCAGGTGTTCCCGCCGGCAAAATGTTCGCTGGCTTCGGCGTTTATCGTATTGACCCTACCACTGAAGTTCAGCAGGATAAGTGGGTGGGTTTTGGGGTAGAAGATGACTCCATCGGCCTCATCAAGGGCGGAAGTGGCGCAATTTTCGTCAATGTGCAACACCGGCTAGAGTCTCGCGTGTGCCTGCTCGACGGCACGGTGCTATACAGTAGGAAGGAGGAGCTCGAGGCATTCGACGCTGCAATAGATACTGACGGCAAGTATGTTCTTGCCGTCGCAACTTCGGACGTCAACCATCCCGCCGAGGTCTTCACTACATTCTCGTCCGATGGCGCGATGACGCGAATGTCGAATCACGGACAAGAGTTCGCAGGCCGTCGTTTCGGGACGTGCAACTTTTTGACGTGCACGTCAACAGACGGCGAGGTTGAGCTGGATGCCCTCTATTTGACCCCGGACGCTTCCTCAGTCGGCGACCACCGTCGCCCGGTGGCAACCGCAGTACTCATCCACGGCGGGCCCAACACTCGCCTCACCAACGCCTTCGACGCCTACTACTACATGCTTGCCCCGTATTTGCTGTCGCTCGGCTTCGGAATTTTGCTGCCGAACTATCGTGGAAGTAGCGGACGTGGGCAGACTTTCGCGTCCTACTCCATCGGTGGGCTTGGCGTGTATGACTATTCTGATGTGATAGCGCTCACGCAGTGCGCGATAGACCAGGGTTATGCGGACAAAGAAAGACTCCTAGTGGGTGGTTATAGCCAAGGCGGGTTTTTGACAAACCTTTGCAGTGTGCGTAATGGCTTGCACGACGGTGATTGGCGATTCCGAGCCGCCGTGTCTGGCTCCAGCATCTGCGACATCGATGCCATGGCCTTGACCTCTGACCTCGGTTCCTCTTTCGAGCCTCAACTTTCGCGCGACGGTGTAGCCTGGAATATGGACTGCGACGATACACGCAATCGTGCTGCGAGCGCCTTGTGGGGATTCAAAGACGCTGCACGGCGAGCCCGTCTTGAGAACGCTACTGTTGTGCCACCAATGCTGATTTTACACGGCGAGGCGGACGCTCGGTGCCACGTGTCGCAGGCATGGGGCTTGCGTCGCGCGCTACGTAGCTACGGCTTGCCCTTCGAACTAGTCATTTACCCCTCCCAGGGACATATGTTTGAGGAGCAGAAGTGTGTGGTAGATATGGCGCTCAGGATTAGCCGGTGGTGCCAGAAATACATCGGTGGTGCATAATCATAAAGCATTTAGCACTATAAGCTTTCTTATACAGTTATACTCTCTCGTTTAGCCCTACTCTCTATTTCGGCCGTACCCCTCTAGTGGCATGGGGTGTCACGCATTGCTAACTAACGTAATCGGTGGCAATTCAATCTTTTTCCTACAGTAGTTATCATTCGTCCATTTCCAATAGGTGAGCAGCCCCTAGCGGACGCTGAGTGGGCCATAGCGGATGCAGGTCCCGAGGTTTACTTTAGAAAAAAACAGTTTCGCGGTTCAGTACAAAAATCAATCAGTAGGCCGGGATACACGTTCTTTATCGGCAAAACTATTTTGACAAGTATAATAAGGCTGAATTCCCCAATCCCTAACACTTTGGCACTATCATTGCCTACATCGGCTTTCCCTCAGTACGTGTATTGGAAGCCAGGCAAATCGGCAATGACGAGCTCTCCACGAGCTACCCTCCGGTTCAAGATGTAGAATCGGATAGATAACAGGATTACTAGCACGATAATCAGCACCGATAACCCAACACTTGTAAGAATACCGGGCTGATATGTCGGCGCATCCTGAGACCGGTAAACCAACGATCCTGTCATGCCTCCTGATGCACCGAGGCCGACAAAAATGGCAGTGGAAATGGCTCGTTTCCATTGACCACGAACGTTATTTGCCTATAAACCCAAGTAAGATGTCTGAGCTCAATGCTCACTTGCGATAATGGATTCACTTACCTGATATGCCATCGCGGCTGGCACGTTCGAGTTGGCTCCCATTGTAGTCAAGAAAGCGCCGACAAGACGTGATGCATTGCCCTTTGTGAACCCCTGGTCATTCATGAGCTTGCTTCTCTTTCCAGTATCAGGCTAGAACTAACCATTAAAGGAAGGCCGATGATAGTGAGTAGTGAATTGAAAATCAAAATTGGCCCTCGAATGTGGTATCGGTCGCCAACCCACGATGTTGCATACATCAGGATACCAGCGGCAGCATACGGGGGCGCAAAGAGACATAGCGATGCGCCCATTGAAAAGCCCATTCCTTCGTTGTAGATGATGGGCAGAAAATATGATATGGCGTATGCCGTCGTCGTAGTCGAGAAATATATTAATCCAAATCCCCAGATATTAATGTCAAGCCCGGCACTCAGGTACTTCTTTATGTTGAATGGCTCAACAGTAACGTCCGCTCGATCTCTGGTGATGCGTCGGATAATGAAGTCGTACTCGTCGCCCGACAGGAACTTCCGCTTGCTGGTTCTCATACGGTCTGGGAAATCGATTAAGATGAAGTAGCCGATGGTTGCCACGACGCATGTGAGAAGCCCTTGGATAATATAAATCCATCGCCAAGCACTGAGGCCACCGAGGCCGTGCTGTGTGATGTCAGTGTTGATCTCGGGGATGCAAAAGCTGATTGCTTACCATAAACGTGATGCCATAAGATAGAATACCGGTAAAGGCCGAAGCCACGCACCCCAACAGGTAGAAAATAGCGTAACGCTTCTGGATATCATACCTTGTGTACCAAGTGGAGATCAGGTATACCGAAGCCGGGAAGAAGCCTGCCTCGAGCGCTCCAATGATGATGCGGATTCCGACCATCTGTGTCCATTTTTGCACAAAACCGGCAGAGAGCTGGAGAACTTAATTAGTCGGCGGCATTGCTTGTTATAATTCCGAGAAGACCATACCATAACAGCCCCCCAAATAAAACAAACCCCGGAAAGATAGCGGGTCGGTCCGATTTTACGCGCAAGAATGGGGCCAAATATCTGGAGGCAAATGTAAGGTGGAAAGAACACGACTGCAATTGTGCCCTAAAATATTGTCAGTCACTATCATTCCCTTAAAACCACCACCGGAACTGACATATTGTGTGCCATGGAGATGGAGCTCCTTTTGCATCCCAGCCACCGAGGCAGTTCCCAAGTTTCCACGGTCGATGAGTGCAACGGTGTGAAGAAATCCAAGCATCACAACCAAACGCACATCGATGCGGCGAATAATCTTGCGCTGTTCATGGTAGGAATATACCGGATCATCGTCGATGTTCTCCAGCATCGGCTTCTGGGATTCAACAGTCTCCATTCTGGTCTCTGATATCTTTTCATCATCCACATTTGCCATGTTGAGCGAAAACGAATTGATCACAGAGCACTTGGCATTTATGAAGGAGGTAGAATAATTATGGTGGTCGATATTGGTAGATATATGAACTCGTCCACCCTGTAACGGGCCAAGATGGTGCAAGACCATGTATTTATGTTGTAATATACAATCACACCAGTGAAGACGGGTCTGGAAGGGAGCTCAACATGCAATTTGTGGGGTAATTCCTCAGCTTCCCCGGCTTTACAACTCTTGGCTCCTTTATGTCCAATCTTATTGGACAAATGTCAAAAGCATCCCCCGCGGAGGCGTCGTGGTCAATTCGGCCCATCGGCGTTAAGCGGTGCCCACGAACACCAGTGTTCACTCCTATCGCCGACTTGCCTAAACGTTTTCCGAATGACTATCTATTTCCGAGGTTCTAGCTTTCATGTCCTGCCTGAATGAAAATGTGTTTGGTTTATTTGATTTTTTTTCTCTTTCGTATTCTTTAATGGAATTGTTGGAATTACGTCATGCGGATGGGAAGAAAGGTCTTTCAGCCAGATCAACTGTACAGCATATCGCTACAACAATAGTAAAAGGACAGAAAGAGAAAGATGGCAGCTGATTTTAAGTTCATGAAAAGATTTAAATGATGTTATCTCGCGATCAAATAATAATGTAGTGGTTGATTTCTACGGAGACTTCACCTGCAACCTCATACACATGCTTTGGCAAAAGCGCACCAACGCATTAATTAGCCTCAAAGAGGCCAGATATTTCGGGGAAATTAGTGGATCCTTATCAAACTCCAAAAGAGCGACGCGTGACACGCGTTTCGAGGAGTAGGCTTAACACCGAAAGCCGACAGCACCTCCTCGTCTATCTTTATGTACAGTAGACTCCTGAGGGTATTTAGAAGCTGCACGATTCCCCGGATTAGCAACTTGCAACAGCATCTTCAGAATTCATACGACATTCTGATACTCTCACGGCTTCATTTCGCAAAGCAAAACTGCAAAGCAATCGAATCGGCTAAACCCTCACGATGCAACCTACGGCACGCCAGCACTCCTCGGGGTCACTCGAGCAGTTCAACCCGGTGATGGTGACTCCAGTTATCGGAAATGAATTTACCAAAGGAACATGCAATATTGTCGACGACATTCTGCGCACCCCGGACGCCGAGAAGCGTATTCGCGACCTGGCAATCATGAGTATGGCAGCATAAAAAGCCTCGGTAATATTCTGACTGACATTTCATTGATTAAGTCGCCGAAAGGGGTGTCGTGTTCTTCCGCGCTCAAGACAACCTCACGAACGACCTCCAAAAGGAACTCATCCTCCGCATGGGTGAGCTAACAGGCCGTCCCTCCACACACGGCCTTCATATCCACCCCGTGACAAACGATGCCCGCGAATTTGGCGACCCTGATCCGGCTATTAGCACTATCGACTCGGAGGGACGCAAGAAGCTATACAAGGGGTCCAACTACACGAAGATGGCAGCTGTCTGGCATAGTGATATTTCTTTCGAGCCAGCTCCCGCGGACTATTCGTCGTTGCGGTTGACACAGCTCCCTAAGACTGGAGGCGATACTCTTTGGGCCTCTGGATACGAGGTTTATGACCGAATTAGCAAGCCGTATCAGAAGTTCCTGGAGACTCTGACTGCAACCCATGATGGTGATGGATTCCGGAAAATGGCCCAGTCCGGCAAGTTCCAGCTGTATGACAAGGAGAGAGGGTCGCCCAAGAATATCGGTGGAGACCTTTATGCGATTCATCCGGTATGTTGCCGCACAAAGTACCACCGCCATCAATGGTCGCTCATCAAGATTTTAGGTTGTTCGAACCAACCCGATTACTGGATGGAAATCGATTTTCCCTATTGGTAAATACCAAAGAGTCCAAATAGCGTGATGCTGTATGCTAACTCAGCGGGTTAAACAGGCTCGTTTCCTACTCAAATTAACGGCCTGAATCGCCGAGAGAGCGCAAACATGCTCGCTTGGTTCCACGATCTCATTACATACGGACATGATCTCCAGGTCCGCCTCAAGTGGAACAGCCCGAACGATATCGGTATGTCTTTTTACCCCAAAAATTGAAAGTCGATACTGATCAGTGCCAGCTATTTGGGACAACCGCAGTGTTTTCCACACCGCGACCGGAGATCATGATGGGTTCGGCCCACGCAGTGGTAACCGAGCCGTGGGTGTTGGTGAGGTGCCATACTTTGATCCTGCGAGCAAGTCCCGTCGGGAAGACTTGGGCATCGTGGACGACCTGGCCCCCTGCCATCTGTAGAAGATTTAGGCCTTGGTCAGATTGTACATAACATCTCAGGGGGAATCACCATGACCCTGGGATAGTGCACCTGCTATTTCAAGTTTCCATGTTTAGATTTGGTTCAAATGATAAATATTCATATAAACTTTTGTCGTTGAAGAGAGAACTCTTGTTGAAATGTTAGAAAATATAACCAAGGTCTCCACTCGAAGTCATCTAAAACGGGAGTCGCTTTTGCGTCATGAAATCAAAAATCTTTTGCCTCCAATGAGGAAATCCTTTCAGTCGAGAAAGCTGCATGATCATTTGTAGTATAGAGTGAAGTCCATCTTGAGTCGGTTCAGAGAAAAGACTCAATTGGAGGATACGGTCGAGAATCTCAGAAGGGAGGCATTAATTATTTCTTCTGTCTAGTGACCGTTCGAATTCCAGCCATATTGCTCACGGGTCCCCGGACAGCCGCAACTTTGCTGTGAAAATCGCTATGTATATGGTTCAAGATCCCATTGTATTGCTTTCTTTCGAGCTTGCCTGTAGTCTTTGACCATCTGGCTATATTTAGTGACTTGAGCTGCTCGTGTTGTGCTAGGGATCTCGTGCCATCGACGACGCCTACTCGGAACCCGGGTACCCTAATCCATATTTAGTTAGGCTACACCGAATAAGGTTCTCGCCAAGAACGGGGCGGGTTTGGAGTGCCGAAATCCGCATTCCGGCTACTGAGGGCCTTTACCTCGTGTTCGATCCGTATTCGCGCGGGAGCCATGAATATTCTCTTTTACCTCAACATCCTTTTCGGCCCTTCTATACCGTCTTGATGGACCCGGAGTTAAGAATACGGAAGCGCATTCCAAAATCCTGCACCCGCTGTCACCGCCGCAAACAGAAATGCGTTGGGTACCCCACTTGCTCCAACTGTGCATCCTCCGGCCAACCTTGCTCACGGTCCGTGAGCGCCCCTTCATGGCACCATGGTATGTCTAAAGGTGCATTAGTGCGTCGAATCGAAGACCTGGAAGCTCGGCTGGCTGCAGCGATAGAAGGAAATGCATCCAATGCGGTGCATAAACCCGAGCAGGCCTCGGGAGTGTCGGGAAATCCCTTGTCGCGCCGCTCAGACATGAAGAAGCGTCGTCTGGGCGACGGAGTCCGCTTTTTGAGCCTATGCCATGATGAGATCGGAGAACCCGCTTACCTCGGGCCATCTTCTGGTCTCTCAATGGCGGAGAATGTTAGTCGAATGGTTCACAACGCGATCGGAATGAAGCTGTTGCCTATCAATGAGAGTATTCAGCAGCCCGATGGGCCATTACCAAACGCCGTTAAATCCAAAATTGTTCCTCCAGATGATGCAACCGGAACACAAATTCTCGATGCATATTTCAATAACATGCATATGCGACTCCCATTTCTGGATCGGACCGAGATTTTTGAGTTACATTCCAAACGGTATCAGATCACTGAAGTCACCCCAGAAGCGCAGTTTGCTCGATTTAAATTATTCATGATCTACGCGATCGGAGCTACAATATGCCAAATAACAGAAACGTATGACTCGACAGCTCCTAATGATTATCTGATCGCCGCATTGGAGTTCGACCCGACACTCAGAGAGTCAATCTCCGTTGCCAGTATAGAGGCAACGATGCTGCTTGTTCTGTACAATCTTCGATCGAATTCAAATTCGAGTATTTGGTATATGATTGGATCGGCAATGAGAACCTGCGTGGACTTTGGATTCCACAGAGAATCTTATTATCGAAGAATGGACCCTCATGAAGCGGACTCACGACGCCGGCTCTTTTGGAGTGTTTATCTCATGGAGAGGTACACAGCATCATCCTTAGGAAGGCCTTTTAGTATCGCCGAGGAGGAAATTGATGTGGAACTTCCACCAAATATAGATGATTCGATGAACAGTGATGATTTGATTGACCGGATGTTCAATTATCACAGTCGAGGAAAGCCACACAAAGCAAGGCTTGGAAGATTCATAGCCTTGATTCGGCTGCAACGGATAGTCTCTCGAATCCACACACGCATCTACCGTGTCGACAAGCATATCTCCGCTCTACGTCCAGAGGTTGGTCCTCTCATGTCTTCTTTACAGGAATTCAAAGAGACTTTACCACCCCTTGACTTGCAGGAAGGGGACTTCGTCCATATGCACTGGCACAACTCTGTCCGCATACTTATACAGCCCTTCCTGAGTATCCTGCATCCGCAAGACAAACTTATAAGTACTTGCCTCTTTGCCTCGGGGCAGATGTGCCAGTTTTTCAAGCAGATGCGCCAAAGAGACTCGTCTGGCTACTCATTTCTACTCGTGAATTCAATCTTCATGGCTGGTCTCACGATGTGGTAAGTGGTATATCTTTGTTCTTTGGGGGCACTCCTTTAACACAAAAAGCAGTTTTTGCGTATTTCGATCTCCCGGCCTTTGGACTCCAACTATCTCAAATGATCTCCGTGCCTGCTCCTCGGCACTATTTGTCATGGCTGAGCGTAACCAAAAATTGAAAAATTACCGGGACGGACTCGAAACCATCATAAATCGAGCGATGGATTTCGTTCAACAAGCCTCTGACGCACAGAAATCAAACCAAGGTGGCATCCATACAGAGGAGGTAACTGGATTCGCGCAGCCGTCAGAAACCACACAGAGCCTCGAAATACAGCTTCACCAACCCAATGCAGTTGATGCTTGTGGCCTAGACACTGAGGCATTCAACTTTCCCGACGACGATCTTTTTCAGCATCTTCGAGATCTTCCGTTCAATTTGCAAGATAGTCTGTCTCGAGACAATGTGGACGTCCTGCATTCGCTTGATGATATCTTCTCCGATGACTTTTGGGTTGCTGATGCTTTTAATACACCCACGTTAGATGGGTTCGAGTAGCGATCTTGAAAAAACTCTGCAAAAAGTTACGAACGGCCCCTTCTTTTCTTTCCAATATATACGCAAATCAGGCAAAGTTGGCAGAAGATGCATTGTAAACAACATATGTAACGCATATTCTCTGCACTCAGATTTTGGCCACCCCTTACTTACTGAGCGGGTCAAAATTGGTTCTATCGCAAACCGAGGGGTGTATGGGGGAACGAGAATGGACGTGACGGGTGCTAGTGCGGAACTAACTTACTTGGCTCTCGGTGGTCCTCCGTCTTTGCGGGCCGTAACACTGGCGAAAAGCATCAATGTCCAGCGTTCATAATACTCTCAGCGCCAACGCTTTTCTTGAAAAGCCAGAAAGAGGTGGGCCGTAACTTTTGAAAAATCTGCAGCTCCACATGGAAATCCCTACCAGCGCAATGAGAAAGCGGAGGCTTCGTCAGTCGTGGTCAAGTCAATACTGCTAAACGCCGAAAGCCGAAATGGGGGGGGGGGGGGGGGTTCGATATCTGTCGGTTCGATCGGCGTTAAGGTCCCGAAGTCCTGGTGAACCACGAAAAGCAGTTTTGCCAAGAACGGCAGCTCCAGAGCGATATTTTGGTCACTGCATTTGCCGACATGCCGGTAACTTAGATGGTACCGTGTAATAATCTCCAAATGGCCTTTCGCTTGAAAATTTAAAGGATCGATAGTGAGACTGGAGGTTAAAATATAAAAAGGAACCAAGTTAGGCAGACAAGAAGGCGAGTAGGCATCATAAAACTGCAGACATGATTGATTCCCGTACGTACAAGTAGGCACCGTGGTAGCCATAATGAAATCCACCGCCACCAAACAATGTCTTCGATAAGTGGTGTTATGGGGCTATGTAACGGCCAAGCCTTTCCTCAGGTAAGAAGCAGATTTACCTATTCATCGTATGCTTGAACATCTCTTACTCTCACTTGTTGGTTGCTCCTATCCTTTGCCCATGTCCAGCTGGATCCAAAATTCCTATCCGAATTGTCAGCTCAGTGAGCAAGCTGCGTTATGGTTGAGCGCGTTACTGCTCATATTTGTCTTACTTCCAACTTTATTCATTCTTCTGATTGTCGTGTTTGGGACAATATTATTTGTTCTTACGTTCCGAAGTCCACACGCAGACAAATAGAGCAGTGAGAGCAACACGGAAAGAATTTCAATTTCCAGAATGCTACTATGAGGTATGAGAATATTCATAAAAGTAACATTGTATTTAATGGGATATTAACATAAGACTTGAAGGACATTGCGTTGTTTTTGGTTTTACAAGATTTAAAATTGATGGAGAAAGATACATACCTCGGAGTCTAGGGCGTCGCACGTTGCAGAATGTTCTCCAGGATCGTGACTTTGAGTGGTTGTTTATAGCTTAAAAACAATTGTCAGGGATTATTGCTCACGTTGTTATCTCAACGCGTTCTGCAAGCTTCTCTGGCGGCAGCAGACCTCCTATCGTTTATTGATTACTCTAAATTGTACAGAGTCTATTGGTGTCCTCTATCATTATTACGTACTGGCATGTAGATCCTGCAGTATCAATTCCGTCATATGGGTACCCCTGGTGAGATACAATGACCGATTTTACCGGACCTTCTAGAAGGAAAGTGGGACGGCTGGCGATGTTTTTTTTTGGTCTAGAATGTTACACTTTGATTTCCAACACAGAGTCGAGGGCATCGCTCGGCTCTCAAGGTGCCGTATGCCAAGCTTAACAGACGCCTTGTTGCCCATGGTTAGGCAGAAAAATGTACTAATTACTCCGCCACCTTCCAAGACCTTGCACCCAGTTGGACTTTTCAGCAGGGGTTTATTGGCCCGGGAATTTCCTGCTATGGTGAAAGGACGTGTTTACACCTCAAAGGACTTTCTGAACGAAACATGGATAATTTGCTTCCACAAAAGCTCTCAAAGTACGCCATAAATTACCTTTGAAACATTCGCGGTTTTTACAAACAGTGTGGCCTTGCTTGCTGTTCACTTTGTCGGACTTATGTTTTGATGCTGGGCTCAAAATGCTAATGAAGTTGCTTTTTTATAGGCAGCTGGAACAGGACGATGCAGACTACTACACAGTATATCTTGGTCGCGCTCCCTCTCCAAAGCTCAGTCAACGATTTCGTCTCAAATCTAAATTGATACTGCAGGCCCAGGGGGTCTTGGATCATCATCGAATCATTGACACCCTGGAACTCTGGCAACGAAGTATTTTCCATCTTCAAACACCACGAAGTATCTGGTCAAAGCTGAAAGACGGCACCAAAAACGTCTACATAGTCCAGAACCAACCTTTATCGACAGGTGAACACGATGCAGCACACCAAGATGATTGCGTGATAGCGATCGTACAACAGGGAGTCCCAATGAACCCTGCATTGGACATCAGCCGGATGCGTTTTAGTGGAGGCGAAGAGGCAGAGCTGTATTTTTCGATCGATGGTCAGCATCAATGCGTGTGGAAAAATTTGAAAGGAGATTTTCTCATCCTGAAGTCGTCCAGGCAAGTTGGAGAGAAAAAGGACAAATCTTGGTTGATTGACTCGGTGGATGGCAAACAAACAACAAAATTGGCATATGTAGAGAGAGACAGAATTTTGTTCTGTCGGGACAAGGGAATCCTACAAGAAGGGGCTCGGTTTGATATCTGTTTGATCTTTGCCTTGTTGATTGCAATAGAAACAACTTGATGCCGGCAATCTGAAATGAGACGACATGAACGTTGAATTTAAACAGAAATTGCCTTCCAATTCCAGAGTTGATTAGAAACTAGAAGTCGCAGTACTGTAATTCTCGGTCTGGGTCTGGCTCGTAGCGATATGCAGGGTTGACTTATTAGATATACAGCTAGCCAGACAGACAGAATGCCCTAAGTTGAAGGAACGGAGTGAAAGGGGTTATTAACTTGAGGCCTGCGCAGCGCTGACTTTAACGCTGCTTACAACACAGCCAACTTTCACGCCAAGCGTCCCGCGCATTAGTAACTAATAATCTGATAAATGGGACGTTTGAATGGCATCCACAGTAGCCGTTTTCGGCGCCTGATTTACCGTCACATAGCATTGTAGTGTAATCTATAGAGGGACCAAGCACAATATACTAGGAGGGATATATCATCTTATTCTCTTATTTCTTCAAGCCTTTTTACACATAATGTTATGAGGCCGCTATTCACGGTGGTAAGGTGGTCAAAATAAACAGGCAGACAAACCACTTACAATATATCTAAATCACAACGCCGCCAGCCATGAATGACGATGGAAAGTCACAAATGAGTCATCTTGTGTATCCCATACTGATATGCAATTGAAACAGAAAAACCCCGGCGCCATGTAATGAACAAAAGCCAAATGATTATATCCATGGACCGAGATGGTATTCACCATCCACCTCCGATCTTTCCAGCAAGCTCGACGACATTGGCCGTCCCGTTCGTCGGAGCCTGCTCTTTGCCAACGTCGCTTTCAACCTTGCGGTATGTTGTATACACCAGCTTGTCGAGCGAGATTCCCATGAACTCCGACCAGCGGGCCAATCCCTGGTGGATCAGAGCCTCTTTGTCCGCGATGGAGAGTTGAGAATGAGGGCTTGTTTCGTTCTCCGAGTCGGATTCCATCGAGAAGTACGCCTCGTCCACGCGTGCAAGCCAGGCGCGCTGCTCGTGGGGTGAGGGCTTGGTTGAAGTTCCAGGAGCATCTGCCATCTGAACATCCTCCGAAGAATTGATAGCCTCTCTGGCATCCTCAACCCGAATTTGTCCGCCGCCGTTGGTGCAGCCGCCTGGGCAAGCCATGACTTCAACATAGGCGAAATCTGAACCTGACGTTCCAGAGACTGTGTTTCGAGACATGGGCTGACGTCGCCCAGCAGCCACAGGCTTTGCACCGGGCATTCTGGATGCGCGAGCAGGCTTCAACTTCCGAACAAGGTTCTGGATGTTACGGAAGCCGTAGTATCGAGCCGCTTTCATGATGGGCTGACCCTCTGGGGATGTGAGCACGTACTCAACTACATCAGCGTTACGCCCGCGATTCGTAACAAGCTGGCTTCCCGGGTGACGAGCTTGGAAGGTGTTGAGCACATGGTGTAAGTAGCCCCCGGATGTACCTGTTTCCAGGGACTGTTGAGCAGGAGACCGTTTGAATGAGATGAAAGAATCGAGAGACTTTTCTGGGAAAGGCGGGATATAGCCTGATGGAAGCGGCTGCAGAGGGATGTTCGGCAGTGAGAAGCCTCGAGCAGCGGCTAGCGAAAGGAGTTCCCGAGTTGTGATCACACAATCCACGTCACGAACGGGTTCAGAGCCCCCGTGGAACTCCCCTTGTTGCCATGAAGCGTCGGTGAGCTCCTCTCGGCTGGCCTCAAGCTTCTTGTCGAAACATGGCATGAGAGCCAAGTGCCAGATGCGAGAAGCTGGGACTCCAAGAGATTTGCTCAGGACGGTTTTGAGGAATGTTCCAGACAGAGCCTGCGGGGACTTGAGGCGAGATAGATGCGGAAGCACAAAGGGATGGGTCTTTTCAGCATAGCAGATCCACCCAGGGCAAGCAGAAGATAGGATCGGTCGCTTGGGAAGGGCATTCTCAGCACCAGATGGGCTGTTTCCAGCGGGATCCGAGCCGAACGACTCCGAGACTTCATCAGCAGTGAGAACTAGAACGGCTTCCCGCATGACATTTGTATCCACGACCCACGTAAAGCCACTGCCATGTTTTCCGCCGCCTCGCAGCCCCTGCGGGCCACATAGGAACTGATCGATCATGTACCCCGCTTCTTTCTCCGAGATGCCATAGGTTGCCGCCAAGCTCGCTCTGACCTGTGGGCTCACACTTGCAACAAATATCCTGCCCTCTCCAGTTTGTTCGGGATTCGCTGTCGTTCTTCCATGGTGTTCGTGTGGCAAAGGAATCTCGGGATGGGCATCGAGAGTGTTTAGGACCTCGGTATGGGACTGCAAAGAGATCAAGACGGCTTCTGCCGATGTCACGCAGCCTGAACAAGCAAGGCAGTCTGTCAAGGAAATCTGCGCCGGTGGAAGATTCTCGGGCTCGACCTTTTCCTCCGTTGTTACTTCGTAGGGGTTCTAAGATTGAAATTAGTCCAAAGTTCGGTGACTGACCGCAAGCCACTAAAAACTGACCTCTGCATCTTTTGCGCTTTTCTGTGAAAGCGATTCCACGGGCTTAATGCACGCGACCCCCGGTGAAATGAAGTCGTTTAAATCGTCTGCCGACAAGATCGCGCTCATGGTGGCGGGACACCGCTTCGGGTCTTTTCAAGTGGGAGTCCCACGCCAGGGTAAGACTCGAGCAGAACAGAGTCAGGAAGACCACGCGCTTTCTGCAAAGGGCAAGGGTAGAGTAGGGGTTAACTCAAAAAGACTTGAGACGAGAAAGAGAAGGTATCATATGGTAAGAACCAACGGGCGTTGCGGCTTTGTCATCGCGTGGCGACATCGGCCCCGATAAGAACTCACCGCCCTGGCCTCCAATCGCTTACTGTGATTGGTTGTTTTGATCTATTCAGGCACGCCCCTAAGCTTGTTTGTTTTTTTCTTCATTGATGCATTAAAGAGGTTAGAGCAAGAGAAATGAGTGTTGGAGTGCATTTTCAGCATGCAGGCTTGACTATAACAAATTTCTCTATGGTGGCATCATAACACCATAAACAGCCCCAGAACACGCAGAGGGTGGAGCATCTGCCTTTGAGATTCGAGATTATTCGAACCCTAGAGCCAGATTTGTGTGGCCGCAGAAAATAACGATAGACTAGGCTGCACGTAGTTTATGTACAGTGACGCAGCAAATGTTGTAACAAAATCCTAGACCGATATATTTACACGGCTAATGGTCGAACAGTCAGAGCCCCTAATCTCCAATTGCTCTCTTAGTCTAATTCTAATGTGGTGTATACCACTCCTGAGACCGAGACGATTCGCAAGTCGCCGGAAAAGAATTGCTCAAATTCCTTCTCGGGGATGAAGCGACACAAATAAAGATCACCGAGTTAGTTCTCGAGGTCTGAAATAAGCAGCAAATATCTCAGTACAACCCACTCTTCACCGACCCATATCTGTTTTTCAATTACATGTGATTGCCATTAGGAAATAAAGGGCTCTAAGTGTCCACTTTATGGACCTTTCTTCCGTGCTCGAAGATAATTGGAGCTGATGCCGACCCCATCAGGTCATTCCGACGATCTGTGGGGCTGTGGGTTCTAAGTATACGAGGCTGAGTGCGACAGTCAATGATCATGATCCATGCTCCCCGCACATAGCACATACGTGACAATTTTAAATACTAGGGAAATGTTAAAGCGGATATTCCAGATTCTTGTAATCCTAGTGCCAAAGGCCCTTCATGATACCCGGTCCATCATGGGTTGGGCTTTCACCTCACTACATTCCCACGTTCTCGCTTGTTTCACGAGAACTAGAAGTTAGATTACTGACCATCTTGTATGATGTCTATTTCAGTTCAAACAGAGTGTGACAGCGTTAAAATAATCACTTCGAGTTGAAGGAATTGGCTCCGGACGCAGGCGGACTGGTACAGAACATGTCAAATCGGACAGGGATCGCCACAATCAACACTAGCCTCGCTGGCGTGGATTATTTTTGCCTCTAGTTGCCCCAATGTTTCATAATGACAACCTGAACATTCTCGAGGTAACCATTCCCCTCCACTCTGGAAGCATATAGAGATGATACAGGTCAATAGTAAATTTACACACGATCGCAGCTAGCGGCTCTAAAGCTGACTTGCATCAACATGTAGCTGTCTAGGCATTGATTTCCTTACCCTCGTATTCGGTTCAGGGGCGCGCGGCTCGAAAGACTCCACAATCATAATGGGTTGGACTAAGCGTGGCAGAAAAAGCTTATTTTATTTTGGTGGCTCCGGCACGAGATAATATGGGGCTGTGGACAAATAGTGCCTCCTGCCCTGTCGAGATCGCCATTGCCCGGCAAGTACATGAAGCTTATCTGGATCGATGTAACCCTGGGGCTTGTCGGGCACCGCAAATAAAGTTTGCGAATCGTGTAATCCTTGAATGGCCCCTGTTCGAGGAATACTGCTAGCACCGAAGATGCATTTCTCCGGTAGTGGGACTCATTTCTCCGGCAGTGGGGACTCATTCCCACTGTGAAACCTGATAGTATTTTTTGCTGGCATTCGAGAAGGTTGTTCCTGCATCTAGCCCTACACAAGAAAAGCAAACATAATGACATGACAGCGGCTATGTCCGTCCTGAGGCCTTTGTAAAGCGGGATCTGGATTTTGTCCTCAGAATTCCATAAGAGTCCCTTCTTCACCGTGCACAGTTCTCCCACGTTTGATCTGTCCAAACAATTGCCACGCAGACAAGACAACTTTGCGCCCTGTTCCCCAGTTTCCAAGCTTCTATGCCGCGTGGGGCTGATCAGAGTGGGTACTGGCCTTTACGACCGCTCCAGCCGTTTTATTCCACTTTTCGTGGCAAGCTTCGTGTAAATCTCTTTTATTTACCATTTGAAGAAGATTGTGGCGTAAAGTACAGCAAACATTTATTGTTCTAGCTTTGCGATGTTACGGAGTTGTTTGCTCAATCATGGGCTTCGAGTTGCGTAGTGACCATTTCTGGTAGGAGAGAGCCTATTCTGAAACGACAGGGATGGGAGGCTGCTCCGAAACGCGGTATGTATATAAGAGCCTCCTACAGTGAAGTGGCCCGTCTGAAATACTAACTTACGTATTCCCCTTTTACCTAATATCTTTTGAGTTTCCCCTGTTGACAATAGTCTACATGCAGACTTCGCTCTCTCCTCAGCTCAACTTAGATAATCCCTTCTCATATAATATCTATTTCCCTCTCTCCTTTCCACGACTTTAATTTTACCGCTTGTCAAGCTTCTTAAGCGCATTTCATTTTCTTTTGCGGAGGGCACACGCGTTATAGGCTTCCTGCACATAAGCCGGGCTTCTAATTTTGACTTGACCACGACGTCAATATCCTCGTCTCGGCATGGTGTACATTTCCCTCCGTCTCCAAAAAGGGCTATACTGGAAAAGAGTGTGCCTTTGAAATTGTTATCGCAGAATCATTTGCAAATCTCCTTGGACCTCATATTGCCGGGAAACGGCTCCCACGGAAAGTACAATGGAGCACGCCTTGATGTCTCGATGGACTAGCGATGTGACGCTAGACATTGACCCTTTGCCTCTGACACAACGGAGGGGCCTCATCGCCGTTTCTGTTATGGCCTTCCTCTCATTTCTTGCCACGGCATCTCTCCTGAGTTTCATCACGTTCCGCCTCGTTTTCTGGAAATCATACTTCCGGAGTTATATCGGTTACAACCAATACATCATTTTGATCTATAACCTAGTTCTCGCCGATTGTATACAATCAGTGGGATTCCTGCTCTGTCTGCAATGGATCTTTACCGACAAGATTGAGTCAGGTACATCGGGTTGCTTTTTCCAGGGCCTGTTTCTCCAAATTGCAAACCCCGGAAGCGGTCTTTTTGTTCTCGCTATCGCCTTCCATACGTTTCTTCTCGTCGTCTGGGGAATCAAAATGCCTTACAAAGTCTTTGTCGCCTTCGTTTGTGGGATCTGGGCTTTTGTCATTACAATTATAATGACAATTCCTCTGGCAACTCACGGCGCTGATATTTTTGTTCCCTCTGGTGCCTGGTGTTGGATTAACGAAGACTACGAAAGTTTACGTCTCTGGACTCATTATTTTTGGATTTTCTTGGCTGAATTTGGCACTGTCTGTCTCTACGCGGTGATGTACTTTCAACTTCGCCGACAGATTACTGCGTCCTCAATTCTTGGCAATAGCCAAATAGAGAGCCTGAAGCGCCTGCGTCGTGTGGTTGGATATATGACTATCTATCCTACTGTCTATCTGATCCTTTCTCTGCCGTTGGCTGCTGGACGCATGGCAAACGCGAACGGCGATCTACCATCTGTCGCCTTTTTCTGCTGTGCTGGTGGGTGTCAATATCCTACCTCTGTTTGCAAGAAAGTGCCGTTGTGACTAATTTCCTCTCAGGTGCCCTTATTACAAGCTCCGGTCTCGTTGACGTTACCCTATATACGCTTACCCGCCGTAATCTGATCATCGATTCCGAACCCAGCCATGGTCGCTCCTATGACAGATTCGCCAGCGACCGTGGACGCAATGGTGATACACACTTAACCACCATCACGGCCGCTCCAAAGTCCCGAAAGCTGGGTGGCAAGGACAGCAGGATGGTGGCTGAGAAGGACGGGTCGACAGATAACATCGTCCAGTCGGGCGTGGAGATGGCGCCAATTGGAAAGGTCTACCAGGAGACCACCATAGAAGTCACCAGCGAGCCCGCATATCCCTCTGATGGAGAAAGCGAGCGTTTCAGCAAAGACGGTTACAATGAGACTCCCACGCGAAAGGTTTGGAGACAATAAGATCTTCGGAACTCATATATAACCCCTTTTTTCTACATAATTAGTTCACCCTTTGTTACTTTCAGGCTCGTACATGTATATAAGCGATGAAATACATTGCTAATTCTACTCTTCCTTACCCTTCCTATGGCAGTTAAATGGCTGAGGTCAAGAATCAGTATAACTAGGATCAAGCTTTCCGATGTAACCCTAAACTTTAATCTCTCTAGGACTTTTGCAGCAGGATATTCTTCTTGTGGAAGCCGGAAATTCTATCAAAAAGGCCAAGAAGGCACGGCGATGATTTCAATATTATAGCGACACCGAACTTCCCATTCATCGCCGGACGTAGAAATATAGCGAATATAAGTCGACTCTACGACGCTTCTCTCGAAAGTGTCGTAGAGTCGGTAAATTTCCTCCACCAGCTACTTTAGCTGAATTGGAACGCTCTAAAGAGCGGTGCCGGAAATGAAAACTCCTATTCCAAGAGCAATGTACATCCATGTTATCTTTGGATCCACCGTCAGCGGCAAGACAGCCATCGCGATAAACGTTCCCACCGACACAGTCGACAGGTACATCGCCATAACCAATGACCTCATTGACTTCGGTGCCTTAGCATCCGCGTACTCTAGACCTGCTAATGATGCAAGGCATTCAGAGAGAGCAATCAAGACATATGCAGGAGCCTTCAAGAGCATAGATATTTTGTTAGGTACCTTTCCATTCATACAGCTCATAGCCCGCGGGTGATCATAGCAAGGAGGAGATGCATAAATGGTTCGTTGAACGAAGGCAGAATATAGCAAGGAAAGACCACATATCATGAACCCCGCGGTGATTCTATTGATTTGGTGAACGGGAAATCCAAACTTCCGCATGCTGGGAAAGATAATGCGATCAAGGACAGGAAGCAATATGAGTGTTGTGATAGGATTTATATATGTCGATCGCAACTTGGAAGTGTGGCTAGTTCCCGGGAAAGAAATCAAGCGTTCTGCTTGCAGGCTGCAAAAGCCATAACGGAGAAGTTGGACAAGATCTTGGACAAGTTTGCGATATCAGAGTTCCAGGCAACTCCTGATGTCGCGAAAAGCACTGACGTGAGCCCGATGTCAGTTCTGACGCCTAATACTGACAGTTTCCTCACTGGTGGAGCTGGGGAGATTGGTGCTCTCAATCTGGACGATTACGAGAATTTTGATCTAATGTCTTGGGCAATCGATTTCGACCTGGGAAACACGGCCAACAACTGGACTATGATGTAAAAATCAAATTCATTTGTCGCATGTTTTGCGACGCAACTTCCCACAGGCCTTGTCGTGTGTAAGTAATACTTCGAAAATCTCAGGTCAATGAACAGTAGGGTTAAGCCGGAAGCTGTGGGCAATAACGCGTTTGGTATATTGCGCGCAAAACCGGTGTCGTCGAAATTGGTCTGGGCGGGGTTGCTTTGACAGTTGGGTACGCCCAGGCAACAAGGCTCAATGGCGTGTTCAATTTCTAGCATGAAATATCTATCTTTAATCCAACTTAATACCTTGAACGCGTAGACCGACGCCTGCCAACATTGACCTTCTCTTCACCCTCTTCTTTCTTTACCACTGGGTTGCTCTTACGCTTCGTACCACGGCCCTTGGACTCCGTTTTCTCTCCAGCATCTGAATCATTTTCCTGCTTCACATCCCGCTTTCGCTTCGAAGACGCCCCATTGCCATCGTCTTCAATCTCTTTCGCAACAGCGCCGGTCTTCTTCTGGACCGCCGGAACGACAGCACTCGTACGGCCACCAACAGTCAGAAATGTGATCTTGTCCCCGTTAGGAAGCATGGATGGTTGGTTCTTTTTGCCCTTGCCCCAGCGATGCTTGAAAAGCCAGTGCTCAGGAAACTTCTCCGAGTCTGCTAGGACATCGATGGAAGTGGAACACACATAGTGGATCGATGTATGAAGTTCTTTTATCTGGTCATCGGACAACGTGTTGCTGTATTGCTCAGGGTGGAGTTTGGCATGGTACAGGATCTCATCTCTGAAAGACTTGTCAGTACACTTTCTGGCCAAACCAATGTGGGAAAGACCTACCCCATCCAATTACCAATGCCACTGATGTTGACCTGATCAAGGAGAAGAGCCTTGATGGGGACCTTCTTACTCCTCAGCTTCTCTATCAACCATGTTTCTGTCACGATATCTTTATCTGCAACCGGGTCCGGCCCGTTCTCCTTGAGAGGAGTGTGTTGGCGAATGTCATCGGCGGGACAATCCACCAAGCGGATACGGCTCAATCGGCGGGGATCCACAAACGCAGCCTCGGTTTTGAGCTCATCACTGGTCTCCAGCAAAAATTTCCAATACTTGGGAGGCCACTCCTTATCTGCAGGCTTGTCCGAGCGATAGTAGTATGTGTCGGCGTCCTTGATCTTCAGCCATCCCGCCATTCCAAAGTGCATCACCGCGTGTGGAGGTGAAGACATCGTGATCCAGAAGTATTTCCCTTGTTGACCCGCGCCAACGATCTCCTTGCCGGTCATCGCCTTCTGAAACTCAGCCGCGCTGGTCCCAACCTTGCCATATACGATGTCGTCGTGCTGTGCTTGGACTTTGGACAGGGTTTTTCCCACCAGGTGTTGGCGGATAAAATGCACAATGCGTGACACCTCTGCAAGTTCGGGCATATTGACAGGGGTATCCAAATAATGCAATCAACAAAAGTATCAATCGGGGTTTGAATGTATGTACGATCGTCCACAGTCGTCAGCCCCAGGTCGACGCGACGATCCCGGCCCGCGTGACGCGCTGTCACATGACCTCCTGTAGAATTACTTGGATGTACTTTTTCCATTTTTCCATTTCATACACCTACCGAAAGTCTATTCGAGACAATAAAGCTGTTATGTGGTTACGTATGTTATATCTCGGTCTATGTTTAAAGGAAAACGTACCAAAAGACCAAGGTTACGTTGATTATCTACCTACTCATTTCGTTAGAGGCGCCAGTTCAACTTTCCATTATGACGACTCATGGGATACCCATCTTCTATTTCTCTGATTATGGGATGTATCCGAGTCAATTAGCTAAATTTAGTCAAATGACTCGATCGTTAAACTTGACCAGACTCTCATACACAGCCTGAGGCGCCAACTTCGCTGATATTACTCATCGAAGACGCTAATCCCGATGGGGACAGCTATGCGTTCACTGCGGCGAGTTCAACGACGATAACCTCACAAGCCATTTTTGCCCGCTGGAATCGCATCGCTCTGGCTGGGTCGCAATAAGTTCATCCTGCTTTCCATTCCGACACCGTGCCTGCCTTGATAGTACCCTACTGTCCAGGCCACTAAATCCTGTCGCCGATAGCCCTGTTCACCCGCGTCTCCACCCAAGCTGGATTGGTTCTGGGCATCAACGGCAAATCGAAGTTCGGGGGAGCCAGCCAACAAGAAAATGTCACAGGCCTCATCCACGGAGGTTCCGGCGCTGACTCCTCAGTTCTGCTTCGATGAAAGACTACTTCGGGGTTCGTTGCATTTCACGATCGTTTCCTGGGACTGCCTCCAAACTGACTATAAATTCGTCTTCAGATTTCCTCCGTATCTCCCGATCGACTATCGATGATTCGATTTCGCAAAATCTCAATGCGTTAATGACGCCCGCTCGGGAGGGATTTGACCCGGCGTCTACCGCCACACGGCAAACCGACACCAGAGCTCAGAAACCGATCGAGCCGAATGCGTGCCAAGGCTTCAAGGATAACGTACTATTCCCATCGTGGCAGACTCGCTCGGACGTCTTGAACTACTGTGCCGGTGTTGCCACGAGTCCCGACCCCGAGGACCCGGATCTGATTCTGCGAGAGACAGAATCCGCCCGAGACCGAGAAAGGGTGGTCAATGAACGATTGGACCCTTATTCAGCTCGCTTCTTCCCTCGGGAAGCTCGAACCGAATCTCTGGCAAACTTGGTTCGCAACCAACGCACCGTGGAAGAGATCATTCGGTCTCGGACATGGGGCATGGTGACCGAGAGATGCGGTGGCTCCTCGGCGTCTTGGGAGGATGATCTGAATACCTGGCGGCAGAACCATCGGCGATAAGGCATCTGTCTATGCAAGAACAGGCCATAGCACAACTGCATATGGTCTGGTTGATAACCGGGCTCTTGCAACTCTCATGTCTTGCCAGGACTAAGGCTCTCTTTGTGCCCGAGTGTACATTACTGCATATATAGCGTTGCTATTCTATGAATATCATCATATACATATAAGCCTTCCGTGAAATCTAAGTTGTATAGTTGCATGAGAAGTAGTGCATATTAGCGTTGGAGGTACGCATGTACCAATATGCAAGGGAAAAAAGCTTTTGAAGACGCTCGAGGGTAACACGAAAAGCCCTGCCGTGGGTGCTTGCATTGACGTCCTGGCCCACTACGTGCAGATGTAAGAAGAAAATCAGTCATCGGTAGAATTGTGTTCGAGTTGATCGTTGACGCAGTTGGGCCTATCTTATCGGCTCATTCGCACTGCCAAGGTCGGACTCGGAGAAGCCGCTCCCCGCACACTTCGATTCCTCCCTCGCACAAGTTAATCGACCCAGCATCGCCCACCATGCCGCAACCATTGAATTCCAAGGATCAGTCCTTGTTCCGTCAAGTGGTTCGCAACTTTGAGCAGAAGCAATACAAGAAAGGTCCGCTGCCCCGCTCAATCGCCCGCGCCCGGGTCCCGTGAGCTAACTGCATTTTCATCGCAACAGGCCTCAAGACGGCAGACCAAGTTCTAAAGAAGAACCCCAAACATGGCGATACACAGGCGATGAAAGCTCTGATCATGAGCCACATGAATCAGCTGGAGGAGGCGTTCGTCCTGGCCAAGGAGGCCTTGCGCAATGACATGAAATCGCACATCTGCTGGCACGTTTACGGATTACTATACCGGCAGGAAAAGAATTACGAGGAAGCGATCAAGGCCTACCGCTTTGCCTTGCGCCTCGAGCCTGAATCTCAGCCCATCCAGCGTGACTTGGCCCTCCTCCAGATGCAGATGCGCGATTTCCAGGGATACATTCAGAGCCGCACTACGATGCTGCAGGCCCGCCCGGGCTTCCGCCAAAACTGGACCGCGCTTGCGATTGCCCACCACTTGTCCGGAGATCTCGCGGAGGCGGAGAAGGTTTTGACCACCTTTGAGGACACACTGAAGGGCTCCCCTTCCGTCCAGGATATGGAGCACTCCGAGGCCCTACTATACAGGAACTCGATCATCGCGGAGTCTGGAGATCTGGAGAGAGCTTTGGAGCACCTTGAAAAGGTCGGCTACCGGTGTACCGATGTTCTTGCGGTCATGGAGATGACGGCCGACTATCTCCTGCGACTTGGTCGCAAGACAGAGGCGGCAGAGGCTTACACTGCCCTTCTGGAGCGCAATTCCGAGAATTCTCTTTACTACAATGGTTTGATCCAGGCCAAGGAGATTCCGGAGAATGACCACAAGGTCCTGAAGGCTTTGTATGACGAGTGGGTGGAGAAGTACCCTCGCGGCGATGCGGCTCGTCGCATCCCTCTCGACTTCTTGGAGGGAGATGATTTCAAGCAGGACGCGGATTCATATCTGCAGCGTATGCTCAAGAAGGGAGTCCCGTCGCTCTTCGCCAACATCAAGATGCTCTACACCAACCCTGCCAAGCAGGATGCAGTGCAGGCACTGGTGGAGGGATATGTCTCTGGAAAGTCTGGCTCCCAGGCCAATGGCGCTGCGGAGACCAATGGCAACAACAACGAGTTCTTGGCATCATCCTATTACTTTTTGGCTCAACATTACAACTTTCACCTCAGCCGCAACCTCCCCAAGGCTATGGAGAATGTCGACAAGGCTATTGAAATCTCCCCCAAGGCTGTTGAATACCAAATGACCAAGGCTCGGATCTGGAAGCACTATGGCAATACTGTGAAGGCCGCAGAGGAGATGGAGAAGGCTCGTCTGCTGGACGAGAAAGACCGACACATCAACACCAAGGCCGCCAAGTATCAGCTACGCAACAATGAGAACGACAAGGCCTTGAACCTTATGAGCAAGTTCACCCGCAACGAGACCGTCGGTGGAGCGATGGGAGATCTCCACGAGATGCAGTGCGTTTGGTATCTGACCGAGGATGGTGAAGCGTACCTGCGACAGAAGAAGCTGGGCCTTGCCCTCAAGCGCCTTCACGCAGTCTACAACATCTTTGACACTTGGCAGGAGGACCAGTTCGATTTCCACAGCTTCTCCCTGCGCAAGGGTATGGTCAGAGCGTACGTGGACATGGTGCGCTGGGAAGACCGCCTGCGCGAGCACCCATTCTACACAAGAATTGCTATTGCGACTATCAAGGCCTATCTCCTTCTCAACGATCAGCCAGACCTTGCCCACGGTCCCATTCCAAGCGGTGCCAACGGCATCGATGCTACAGACGAGGCTGAGAGGAAGAAGGCCCTCAAGAAGGCCAAGAAGGAGCAACAGCGGTTGGAGAAGATCGAAGCCGACAAGCGCGAGGCACGGAAGGCCGCCGCTGCCAACGCCAAGAGTGTTGATGGAGAGGTCAAGAAGGAAGACCCCGATCCTCTTGGTAACACCCTAGTCCAGACCAAGGAACCGCTCAAGGATGTCATGAAGTTCTTGACACATCTGCTTGAACAAAGCCCGAAGAACATTGAGGCGCAGTGCCTTGGCTGCGAGGTCTACCTCAGGAGAAGTAAGTTCATTGTCCATAGATATGAGTCGCACATGGCTAACCTGACATTCTACAGACAAGCATCTGCTCGCCTTGAAGTGCCTCAAGGCTGCTCATGCTATCGACTCTTCCAACCCCACCCTCCACCTTGAGCTCATCCAATTCCGCAAGGCCCTTGACACCCTCTCCGAGCCTCTTCCCGCCCAGACTGCCGAGGTTGTTAACGCCGAATTCGAGGAGCTCCTCCCGAAGTCCCAGAAGCTTGAGGAATTCAACGAGTCGTTCCTGTCCAACAACAAGAACAGCGTCGCTCACGTTCAAGCTGCTCTTTCCGCCCGTCAGCTCCTGAAACCTGACTCGAAGGCACAGTGTGAGAAGGACCTCCTGGCTACCCTCGACTCGCCCGATATCACCATTGACGAGGCCGTCTCCGCCCTCGATATTCTGGACAAGTGGGCCAGTGACAAGACTGCCTTCGCCCAGAAGGCGAGCAAGAAATGGCCGGAGTCTTCCGTCTTCGACCTGAACTGATTTCACTCGAACGAGAGACATGAACCATGCCACAGCCACCGTCTGGTTCATCACCCACGGCCGAATTTGCTCCGTCAGAAGATCAAAGTATTTGTGGTACGGCTGTGAATATAGCCAACGTATACTGGCTTTTGCGATTGGAGTCTATGAAAAGGGGAAATAGACCACACAGTGGACCACACAAGGGGATGATATGCCTGCAATCAATCAATCTCAAAAAAGAATATACAGAAGTTAAAAACATCCAAAATATATCAGTACAGTATCTATTATCCATATTTCCTATCGCTTGAGGAGTGAGGTGTAATCAACACCTCGCTCTATGTAAGTCATTTTAGTTCCAGATCAGATTGTAGAGATGGTCTACCTAGATACATTGCACCCTGCCATGTACAACATCCCATAGAAAACAGACAGAAAGCGCCTCTAATATACAACCGAGGGGAGGATAGTGTATGCAAATTGGGAAAACATGACCCATGCAAAGAGAAACAAAACAAAACACCCACGTCCATCTATGGTATAGCACAAGGGTTCCCGGATCAAGATGCAGTATTTACGCATCCTCCTCATCGACATTAGGGAGGATCGGCTTCTTCCTGATAGTCTCCTCATCCTCGCCATAGCCGTACTTGATCCACATCTTCTTCCAGTAGGGAACGGTGGCCGGGCGCTCCTGGCCGAGGATGTACTCCGTTTGGTTGAAGATACGCTGAGCACGGGCTTCGTCCTCAGGCGAAAGAATGGCGGTCTGCATGCGGGAGGCAATGCGGGGGTCGAGCACGACGTCGGCCAGCCACTCGCGCTCCTTGTCGGCCTCGTCGCGCTTGTGGACGGACTTGTGCCATTCCTTTTCTTCCGCCTCCAGGACGTTCTGTTGCTCGTAGTTACAGCGCGAGAGCTCGGTAAATGAGCCATCAGGGGATGGAGCGGAGTCAACGCTGGCTCCGCTCAGCTGGGAGTCTGTGCTGAAAGATTCCTCGCGGTAGGGTCTTGAGCTTGCGGCGAGAACGGCGGCGGCAACCTCGCGGCCGATGTTCTCAGCCACGTGTCGTTCGTTGAGGTAGCGGTAGAGTCGGATGGGTGTGTTCAGGAAGCCGAGGATGTGGGGGAATTCAATGGGGACGGAGTTGTCGAAGGACTGGGGCAGGGAAGGAGGGAGAGAGGCGGAGGAGTATTCGGCAGGATAGATGTAAGCAGGTGCAGGACCGATAGGCTTGGGCTTCTCCTTTTCCTTCTCCTTCTCCTCTTTCTTCTCTTCGGTCTTTTCTTCGCTCCCCTTGAGGGTCTTCTCAAGGGTCTCGACATTCGCCTGCATGTCAGATGGCTCATCGCCAGTGGCAATGTCTTTCATGGCCTCTTCAGCTGCCTCATTTCCGGAGGGAACCGAAACGTCGACCGGGGGAGGCGGAGGGTCCAAGGGTCCAAGCCAACCCTCATGCAAGCCGCGGACATATTCCTTCCATGTGTGGCGGCCGATGACCAAGTCACCCTTGGGACCGGGCTCGTCCTGGATTCCCATGCGCTCCCGCTGGTCAAGTACGGCGGACTCGACTGTGGGCTCCGACACAACTGTACTCTGCTCACCAGCCTTCCGTCGCAGCTTGCGGATGTTCTCCGCAGTGCCAGCTCGCACATCTCCCTCCCGGCGACCTTCAACCACGTGGTAATCCAGCGCGGCTGCAGTCAAGATGGGCTTGACATATTCCTTAAAGTGGTCGTGAGCGACGCGCATACCATCGCCCGGCGGCGCAGCGAGATAAACGGTCAACTTTCGGCGCATCTGCTCCACCGCCAGCGGCTCGGTTGCGAGATGGGCTACGAGGTCGCACCATTTCTGCTGCGCACGGCGTTTCTCGCGGCGGTCGTAGATGATAGCACCAGCAAAGGAGCCAGTGATGGTCAAGAATATCATCCAGTTTCGGGAAGGAAGTCTGAACCGGAAATTGGGCATGCCTGTTGCATCGCATTGCATTAGTGTTCCCTGTGCTTCTCGGGCTTCTCAAGTTGCGGAGATGGGACTATACCGAGTGCTCTGAAGGCAGGGTTTGCAGCTTTGGGGGCCGCCTTAGGCTTGGCGGTGCCAGAGGCCGCAGAACTGGACGATTCGGCCATTGTTGATCGCAGGTCTCGGAGTCAACGGTGACGAGCATAAAAAAGTCGCGCCCGACTTCCGGCGCGGGAGTTGATCCGCGCATCACGTGCGCGGGTCTATAGGCGCCTCTCGTATTTGGTTGTTGTCCAACTCGAACCACAGAGATTTCACCGAGGGATAGTTTGATGACTTGAATGCTTCTTGATTATGCTATCTGCGACCTACCATCTAATTGATGTGTTTCATCTCAAAAAGTGCCCGATGTAGGATCACCGTTTAGCGCGATCGCCTCGTGCGAGAGCTGTCGCTGCGTTAAAATTCTTGTTGACAATCAGACTGGAATGTGCCGACAATGTGAACCCGTGCCCCTCCCCCTTGAAATTCCATAAGAGGGGTGTGTGTTTCCAATAGTTCGGATTGACGGGTGGATCCTAGATCTAAACTGCTGTGAGCAGTGAGTGGCCGGATATTAGACTCCCTCATGGTCCCCGTATTCCTAGAGCGTAGAATAAAAGGAGAGACGGTGTTTCACGCTTCAGCCAGTAGATTAAGAAATCACGAAACCACGAAACCACGAAACAGCACATCAGCACGAAACAGACCAACCAGGGGGCCATCAGGAAGGGTGGATTATCGCCTGAGCCACCGCTCCTTTCACCTCCCCGCCCTCTCCTTTCTCCATCCACTTTCCCACCTTCGTTTGAACTCCTCCCATCCGGTGTCAGGAGCAAACTATTCATCATGGATCCGAACAACCCGAACAATCCTAACAACCCGAATCGCCTGAATATGAATTTCGGGTATGACCAGAACTACAATGCGGCCAACAACCGTGCCTATCCCACCACCCCCTCCGCGTTTCCCCAGCCGATCTACCAGACTCAGGGGGCCCAGGACTACGTCGATCCCTCCAATCCCGCCTACGCCCCGGGATACTTCGTGAACAACGGCTATGCCCCTCAACAGCAGCAGTATGCCCAGCAGCAGCAGCAGCAGCAACAGCAGCAACAGCAACAGCAGCAGTACGCACAACAGCAAGCATTGCAGTCGCCCCAGCCCGCCTACCAAACTCGCATGGGTTACGCCAACGACGGCACCAATGGTCTCATTCAACAATTCTCCAACCAGGACCTGAACGCCAACCGTGGGAACTTCTTCAACCGCGCAGCCTCTCCTGCCCAGCGACCTCGTACCGCCGGCGGTTCCCCCGCCGCAGGCCCAACCCAGGCCGCACACTTGGCTCCTCCGGTGCCTCGTAGCCCTCGACCCCCGGCGGAGAATGAGGAGCTGCAGCGATTCCCAGATCGCTATTCAGAGAATGTGCACAAGCGAGGCAAGGCCGCAAAGGAGCTGGTGACGGTCTTCTTCCATGAGAACATCGAAAGGGCCCGGGATCGCAACATGCGGTATGTATCTGGTTATTTTGTTCTCTTGTCAATACTCGACGCTGACTTGTGCGTTCTTTAGTTCCGTGGACCTTGACAAGACCCTCCGTGATACCAACGTCCCCTCCGAGCAGAAGCGCCAGGATGCCGAGTCCATTTCGAAGCAGGAATCTGACTTCCTCCGTTTCCTGCGAACTAAGGAGACCCCACAGAACTTCCAGACCATCAAGATCATCGGCAAGGGTGCTTTCGGTGAGGTAAAATTGGTGCAGCGCAAGACCGACGGCAAGATCTATGCCCTCAAGTCTTTAATCAAGACGGAGATGTTCAAGAAGGACCAGCTGGCACACGTTCGTGCCGAGCGTGATATTCTGGCGGACTCAAAGGACAACCCATGGCTCGTGAAGCTGCACGCGTCCTTCCAGGACACGGCTTACCTGTATCTTCTGATGGAGTTCTTGCCTGGTGGTGATCTGATGACGATGCTCATCAAGTATGAGATTTTCTCGGAGGACATTACCCGGTTCTACATGGCTGAGGTTGTCATGGCCATCGAAGCTGTCCACAAGCTTGGCTTCTTGCACCGTGACATCAAGCCTGATAACATTCTTCTTGACCGGGGTGGTCACGTCAAGCTGACTGACTTCGGTCTGTCGACCGGAGGCAAGAAGACCCACGACAATGCCTACTACCAGAACCTACTCAAGAACTCAACATCAAAGGACCGGAACCGCAATTCTGGTTACTTCAACGATGCCATCAACTTGACTGTTTCGAACCGTGGCCAGATCAACACCTGGAGAAAATCCCGTCGTGCCATGGCGTACTCGACTGTCGGAACCCCCGACTATATTGCCCCTGAGATCTTCAACGGCCAGGGTTACACCTACCTTTGCGATTGGTGGTCCGTTGGTGCCATCATGTTCGAGTGTCTCGTCGGCTGGCCTCCGTTCTGTGCTGAAGACACCCACGACACCTACCGGAAGATCGTTAACTGGCGCGAATGCCTTTACTTCCCTGATGAGCTGGTTCTCTCTCGTGACTCTGAATCGTTGATCCGAAGGTAAGATAACTTTGAATATGGAACAAACCTGAATTAGAATACTAACTAGAGGTTTACAGCTTCTTGTGTGATCCTGAGCACCGCATCGGCAGCGAGGGCGGCCAGCATGGTGGCGCAACTCAGATCAAAAACCATCCGTTCTTCCGCGGTGTTGTGTGGGAGCAGCTTCGGAGCATTCGTGCGCCGTTCGAGCCGCGTCTCAGTTCCAACATCGATGTGTCCTACTTCCCGATTGACGAGATCCCCCAGGAGGATACCAGTGCCATTCACCGTGCCCAGGCCCGCGCCATGCCAGACTCCCAGGAAGCCGAGATGAGCTTGCCCTTCATTGGCTACACCTACAAGGCCTTCAACGCTTTCCAGGGCAGCTAGATTCGGTTGCGTTTTATCTCCCGAGAACTCTCAGCCGGTTAGCTGCCGATATAGAAGGGTCACGATGAAGCAGGCAGGGCTTGCATCTATGTTATCTCTACTGGCTCCTGGCTTGGTGGAGACTCGGGACTATCCTTATCACGAATTCGTCTTCAGCATATCAGCGCGATGTTTTCTGAATCATGACCCGAGCGCCATTTTTTTTTTCTTAGTTGTCGAAATCTAACGTTTGTCTATCATGGTGATCTATGCCGGGATGCCCAAGAAACACCAGGTTTTGCATTTCAGGTCTTGATTTGCATATCTTACTTGCGAAATACAAAAAGAACGCTTATTCTTATTTGAACACTGCAGATCTACAAAAGAGTTCAAGTGAAGTTGCGGTGTAAGCCACCAATGTCTCGATTCATATTCATAGGAAATGCCATCGCTTTGCAAGAATATTATAGACACAAAACAAGCCCTTGAACGCCTGAGCTCCAATCCCCACCGTAGACAGCAATCATCTTTTGTAGCAAGGCCCAAGCCGGATGTCGAAGAACGAGAAGAAAAGCAGAATCACGACCGCATAGGTGCCAAACCAGGCACACCACTGAACCGCTCCTCACGCTCAGTCTTGAACATAATCTGAATCCAAAACTCCTTGCTATCCTCATCAAACCATGTCCAATACCTCCCTTCCCGCCGATCAATCTCCTTCGCCTGCAACTTAAACCCGCAAGTCTGATATGGCTCCGCCGCAACAACCAGGTACTGGAACTCATTATCGGGCTCCTCAATCTTCTGCTCAAACGCCGACATAAACCGCACACGCGGCAGAACACCCGGCGTGATTTCCTGATACTGGAGCTGGAAAAGCAAGCCCGTCTGCCGCGTCAACGGATCCCGCACTTTGGTAATCTTGTATCCCGGCCGTCCGATCTTGATCGTCTGCTTCTTGACCTGCACGCCCATGGTGCCGGGCATGCTCGATGGGTCTTGGTTCTTGCCTTCGCGCTGCTCGCGCGCGGCGCGCCGGGCTAGGTTCGTTTGGTGCTTTTTCCCCTGCGTGTGCGCCAGGTACGAGCCATCGTTTTGGTGGACTGTCAAGCAGAGTCGACACTCGAAGCTGCCGACGTGGTTTTTGAAGAAGTAGGGGTCTTTATCGAGGTCGATTGTTTCCAGCGCGAGCTTGCGCAGGCGCTCGCGACGGTCGGCGTTGGTGGCGGACCTGTCGGCGACACCGCCGCCGCCGAACTTGGAGCCTGCTCGGTTCTGGAGAGTGTTAGTACCGATGATAACGAGAGTCTAGTGAGTCTAGATGTGAGTGAGAGAAAGGTGCTTACCTGGTAATCCATGGTGATCTGTTAACTGGGGAAGTTGGAGATGGCAAATCTGCGGAAGAGAGATAAAAGCGGTTATGTAAGCGCCTGCAGGCCGTTCGTGTACACACTTGAACGAATCTCACTCTACGTCTGGGAATTCGATTCTCAAAGAGAATGGCTTCTGGTCTAGTTGGTCAACGTCGGTCCTTTGACGGCCAGCTATGCACCATTCGCTACGTGGGCAGCGTCCAGGGCACCGCGGGCGACTGGCTCGGCGTCGAATGGGACGACGCAAGTAGAGGCAAGCACTCGGGCGAACACAAGGGATTACGCTACTTTACATGTTGGTCTTGCATTGAAAATTGTCTTTTTGAATGTCCACTAATCCGGTTCACAGGCAAAAATAGCCAGCCCACGGCGGGGTCATTTGTCCGCCCCTCCAGGCCATCAGAACCCCCGCGCAGCTTCTTAGAGGCTCTGCGCGAGAAATATGCCTCTGAGCCTGAGCAGGAAGATGATGGGAGCACTTCCATGAATAAAGCTGCACCCAAGAATGCCATTAAGATCAGCAGCAAGGTTGTCGAGGAGGTCGGCTTTGACAAGATCCGCAGGCAGATGGCGGAACTACAAGAGCTGCGTATTGTCATCCTGGATGGGCTCCGCCTTGCTGGGGTATTGTCTTCTTACGATCAGGCTCATGACCAAGTCCAAGAATATGCTGGACAAATCGCAGCTACTTGCCCGAAGATCGTTGAGTTGGATCTCAGTCGAAATCTGTTGAGCCGCTGGCGTGATGTTTGGGAAATTTGCAATCAACTGAAGCATCTCAGACGCTTGAAGGTGAAGTGAGTCAGCTCTACCTTTGCGGCATAAAGCCCTCCTTCTTCAGTCTTGCAATGATATGTGAGCTGACTCGAAGTATAGCGGAAATCGATTCCAACCTCTGGAAGAAGGTTTGGTCTTCGAGGGAATCACTGAACTGCATCTGGAGGAAACCCTCCTCAGTTGGGACGAAGTACGTGAAAAGAATTCATCACCGAGGTACCTGACATTAACATATCGCATAGATTGCCGAAGTGGCTTCTCGATTCCCATCACTCACCTCTCTGACGGCATCTGAAAACCAACTTAAAGCAACCACTCGTCCACTTCCCAATAGCATCACCACGCTGACCCTCGAGTGGAACGAGATCTCCTCACTATCATCAATCCGCCACCTAGCATCTCTTCCAAACCTACAGCATCTCTCCCTCCGCGGGAACAATATCGTCAGCATTACCTCCGACCCCAACAGCACCCTGGATTTCCAATTCCCACCTACCGTCCATTCAATCGACCTCTCCCGCAACAATATATCGTCATGGAAATTCCTAAACCACCTCCCAACCCTGTTCCCAGGCCTCACAACCCTCCGCCTTTCCGCAAACCCTCTATACGACCAGCCACCTCTTCCCCTTGCCATTGCAGCCGCCACATCCACAATGAGCGCCTCCAAACCCATGACAGTCGACGAAGCCTTCATGCTCACACTCGCCCGCTTCCCGTCCACCCTCCGCACCCTGAACTTCAGCAAAATCTCGTTGCAGGATCGCTCTAATGCGGAGATGTATTACCTGTCCCTCATCGGCAAGACGCTCTCTGCTACCTCTGAAGAAGAAGAGCCGAGCATTCTTGCCGAGCATCCGCGCTATAGTGAGCTGTGTGAGATTTACGGTGAGCCGATGATCACTAGGGCCGTTGTCGCTGATGGGTCGGGGAAACGAGTGATTCATCCGCGGTCTGTGGCGGCGCGGTTGGTGAAGATGGCGTTCCGTCTTTCTGACGCGGTGTCGACGGTGTCTAATGAGCTAGACGGGCAAGTCCACGTTAAAGAGATCCCGGGTTCTTTCAATTCGTACCAGGTGAAGGCTCTCGTGGCCCGGTTGTTCGGGCTCCCTCCGTTTGGATTCAAGTTGGTTTGGGAGACGGATGAGTGGGATCCCATCGAGAAAGATGCGGGTGAAGAAGGTGCTGATTGGGATGGTGATAGCGATGATGAGGCGGAAGGGGCTAATCCCGGTCCAACCTCAGAGGATGAGAGTCGCTTTGTGCGGCGGGAGGTCGAGTTGGTGGAATCGACAAGGGATATTGGGTTCCTATTCCAGGGTGAGACGGGCGAGATGAAGATTAGAGTTGAGGTGTCTCCTGTATAGCACACTCTCATGAAATCGTCACGTCAACGGTACATAATTGAATACTAGAGTCTTGAGATATCTACAATCGATGCAAGAATTTGATCTAGTAATGTTCTTTCAACTATGAACTAATGGACGTTAGCGATCCAACAGGAGTTGGGTGCCACTGGGTATGGAACTCCCGCGAATAAGTAAAAAGCGAGATATGCTCATGAGAGACAAGAGAAACTCGTCCCGGGGGGGGGAAGAAGAGGCCGGAAACGCCATAGTGCTTTGCTCGCTCGCTGCCCAGTCCCCCGAACCCCGATATAACAATGGAAAAATCGCAAATCAACAGTCAAATCTTCCCGAGGAAGCAAACGCCTGAACCATGATGCTTTTTTTGTGAATCTAGGGCGTAGATACGTGTCTGTAGATTCGTAATGACCGGCCCGCCTGTACAGTAGGCCAGTTAAAGAATGAGAGAATCAGCTCAGCTTGAAGCTTGAGCTGTTCACTCACGAGCAACCCACCACGAGCGCACTGCCATGCAGCAAATGCGCTTGTAGATCTGGGTGGTGCCCTTGCCCTCGGCTTCTTCTTCGATAAACTTCGACGCGACGAAGAGCTTGGTGCCTGCTTCTTTCTCGGTAGAATAGCCAATCTTCGGTAGGTTATGGGGGAAGTCGGCCCAGCGCTGACCGAGGTGGCGCGCAATGGCAATGGAATAAATGATGTCGCGGTTTTCATATGTATCCAGCAGTGACCGACAACGGGTCAAGGTGTCGTCGATTTGTTTGGCCGAGCTGGCCTCGTTATCGTGGAGCGTAAGGAAATCGCCAAGTTCGCTCCAGAAATCCAGCTGTCGTTGCATGAACTGATCGGCTGTGGTAGGTGGAGTAGCGGCATCCATACCCAATGGCCGCGACAGGGCATTCTGCTCCATGTGGTTCCAGCTAAGCAGAGCCTCAATGGCATTGAGTCGGGCATTGGTAGCAAGCAGGTTCCAGTCTTGTCCGTACTGTCCATTCTCTGCACTTGGCACCTGGCGGCACAGAACCATACTTCTCCAGATGATTGAGGCCTCAAAACTTTCCAGGCGAGCCAGGGTGTTGCTGTCACCTAGATTCCAGTCGTTGAAAGCGTTGATCAATGCTGAGTAGTCTGCCATAAGCTGCGAATCTGCCATAAGGACTGGTAACGCCTTTTCTGAATACCAGCGAACTTCCAACAGCTTGTCAATGGCAGGCGCATATGTGGCCAGGAACACAGCCTGGATTTCTTCGAGACGACCGGGAGGGAGGTTTCCAACGGGATGAGGAGGTGGAGGTTGAATGCCCCTTAAGGCGACCAGGTCATTGACATGGAGTGTTTTCACTGCTGACAGTATCTGTTAGCTACCATCGCGCATCACAGAAACACCCCTCCGGAAATCAAGGGCTTCTAATGAGGCGCGCATACCTTTATACGTGGGCTCCGAGCTCTGGGGCCGCATATCACCGGAGTTCTGCATATTTGTAGGGTGTTGTGTGTTGTTGTGGGCTCCCAAGGTATGGTCAACGGAAGCTCCGCGATATTGTTCTGGTTGGTCGGTCGAGGTGCTAGGGGATTCGGAGTGGAGGGACGGTGCAAAAGGTTGCGAGGAAGCGGGCATGTACCCAGGGGGCGCGGAAGGATAGGAAGGAGCCGACTGGACAGGAGGGCCTTGAGGGTTAACGACCAGCGACGGGGGGGGGTTCGGAGCTGGCTGGATGGCCGAGGGGGTGGTTGATGTAGGCCTGAACACCGGGTCGTAGCCTAAGCACTCGCGCTTGCTCTTCACGCAATTTCTGCAGACCGGATGTCCTTCGTCACACTTTTCCCAAAGATTAGTATCTTGTCAAGACGAGAAGCGCAAAAAAAAGTGAGGTCGTGCGGTGAGCGGAAGATAAAATAAACGATGGCGGGGTCTGCGGGCACAAGCGAGGCCTGCGGCCCGCGAAACACGAAACTCCAACACAACTACGTACCTTGATTCTTCGCTTGCGACAGGTCAAACAACCAGTTTTTGTGCGTCGCTTGACCTCCTTCTTATGTCTCCCGCCGGATAGAATCTTGTTAGGGTCACCGGGAAGTGGGTATCGCATCTGCGAATTCGGGTTCTGCGGCACATTCGACGGATAGCCCGTCATGTACTGGCCCATCGAAGCCATCGGAGGCATGTGTGCGGGCATCGGCGATCCGATGGGAGCCTGTGGTACCTGTCCAGGCTGTCCCTGGCCATTGTTCCCGGAGTTTGAGTTCACCGAGGAGAAGCCACCCGGGTTGTGATACATGTCAGGACTTTGTTGTTGGTAGTTGTGTGGCGGCTGCGACTGGAACTGGTGCTGAGACTGCCCTTGAGGCTGTTGTCCATCCGCCTGCTGTTGCGGGCCGGGGTTCTGCGGATATTGGTAGGTGCCGTTGGAGGGCGTTTGGTATTGGCTCGAGCCATTCATCGACTCCGAGTGCTGGTCAAAGTTGTTCCCAGAGTCTGCGGATCCGGCGTGGTGATCGTGGTGATCGTGGTGATCATGGTGGTTAAATTCGTCATCGAACGAGTGATGTTCGTGTTCGTCCATGGTGGGAATATCAGTCCCGATTGCAGGCAATGAAGAATCGAGTGAAGGCAGGGTTGTATCGATCGCGGGGAGTGAGAGGTCTGCGTCTGCGGCTGATCCCACTGAGGGTAGTTCCGTGTCAAAGTCCAAAGATGGAATGTGAGAGTCCATCGCAGGTAATGAATGGTCCATCGACGAGGTGGTGACATTCGGCGCAGGTGCAGGTGGCTCAGTTCCTTCTTGCGGGTTGCCAGTGCCCTCTTGCTGATCGGAGTCCGCGACTGGTTGCGGGGTTACTGAATGAGGCTCGCTCATCGCAGTTTGTTCCTGATTTGAATTTGAAGGCGCATGTGTTTCTTCTGCCGGCTGCCCACTCTGCGCGGGGGATTGGCTAGTCTCTGTAGCTGGCGCATTCGACTCGGTGGACACGTTGGCCGGATCCCCAGGGCTAGGGTCCGTCGGTTCTGACATATCTAACTGTATATCCTCCTAGACACGGTGGTGCGTATAGTCGAGGCGTAGAATCGTATTAAAGGCTAAGCCCGGCCGTCGCGTTCGAGGATTGGTGGTCCCTGGGCGGGAACAAGGCCGAATTTGGAGGTCAAAGATCGTGCGGCTTGTTGCTGAGCAGAGGCACCACACCAGATCGGTCGGGTTGGCACTTGTAAATCATTTATTCCCTTCGGTCTGCTAACAATCACGATGCGTTAGCAAGAGTTTTCTGCGTGGTGAATTCAATCCAGCGATTGTCAAAATCTCGCAGAAAAACGCGTCCCACATTGCGCATTCGAACCAGTATGAACAGAAAGATGACATTCAGCGTGGCAGAGGCTCCGAGGAAGTCAATCCTTGTCACCCAGCACCACGTGGAAGGTGATCAAGATGAGAGCAAATCCAATCGGTGACCAGAACCAAGGCCTACGACACAATCCCGAGCTCCGACCGGTGTGAATTGCAACGAGCTCGTGGTTAAGAGGCTCGATATCTGAGATCGCCAAATTTTCGCAGACATCGTGCCAGCCGATCGGAGTCCGCTTGTCGCATTCCTCGTGCTAAGGCCCCGAGGACGACTATCCCCGCTCACAGGCTCACACCCAGCCGGAAAACCATATCACGGGAGCGATCTTAGGGCAGGAGGACAAAGGTCTCGTTCAGGAATAACTGGCTTGTGAAGGCGCTCGAGAGCGAAATCCGCGGCGCCTGCGTGGATGGGAGGGAAATGCGACTCGAGCGAAGATGGCGGGCTTGCTGGACTGGAAAACGCGCGATTGGTTCAAAATGAACGTACTCACCGGGCAAAAACGTATTAGGGTATTTAGAAAGGTGTAACGCATGAGTTGTCGAAAACTCTGCGTGTCTGGGGTTGTCGGTGGCAGGCAGGAAGAGATGCGCGAAGTTGGAGCGAACCAAAGGAGCTTTCTTTTCCGGCGATCCAAGTCTCCGCTTCGACGCCGAAAAAAAAAATGGGGTGGCAAGTCTATACTACAACGCCAACCCTGAACACGCCCTGAACTACCCATTCATGGTTTAATCCTTAAAAAAGTAGATAATTCGATGAGACCATTTTCTTGAAATTCTTTGCCTTTGACGTGTGGGGAAGTGGACCGTGGGCGTTGTATACTGCTAGCGGTGTGATCTATGAGACTATTATCAATCAAAGCGTATTTAAACTAGCCCTTAGTATCTTCCTTTGCATTCAATTTTCCAAGTTTGATGTGCTTTGGATTCATGACTTGGTTTCGATGTGCGTGGTGGTGATATTCATATGCCGAGGTGACCTCCAATGGAGAAGGCAGCACATCCATTCCGCGAGAAAAGAAAAGAGTTAGGAGTGTAGACATGTTACGCTCCCAAATAAACTCATTGGTCATGTCATGATGGCCCGGGCTAATTCAAGAGATCTCTAGCTGAGGGCGACAGCCTTGGGCTAGACCACCGGGGCTTTTTTGATGACAGGAGCGCAGAAGTAGCGTGTCGCAGCGCATTTGCATGTCCTGCATTCAGTCATACCAGAGCTCCACCAGTTCGTTCTGTGGATGTTGACTGCTCGGCAAGGAAGAATGGTGATAGTGTTTCATAAACGGGTATGCCTTGCCATGGACTATTTCCTCATGACTTTGGGCTTGCGCTTCTTGAAAACAGGTCCAGCTGCTTCCTCCGCTGGCAGTTTCTCATCAGCTGCGGGTGTAGAAATCTCCCCGGGTTCTTCCGTTTTGATTTGAGGTGCCTCATCTGCCCCCGCAGTCTTCAAGTCGGGGGCTTCATCCTCTGTTTTCACAACAGAGGCAGGCTCCTGTTTCTGCCGCTCGGGTTCCTCTTTTGTGATCGCAGGCGTAGCTGTTTTGGTCTTCTTCAGGTCTTTGGTAGACGCAAGAAGAGCATCCAAATCCTCGTCCTCCTCCTGTGTTCCGGGATATGTCTTCATTCTGGATCCCCACCCTTGCCTCACGATGGGCTCGGGAGCATGCTCGTCTTCCTCTTCATCTCCCTCGTGTTTGCGCTTGCGCACACCAATAGACTTGGCAGCACCCTCCAGTCCATCCGGGTCGATCTTGGTTTCCGAGAGCGTCTGCCACTCACCAGCCAAGGCCATATCCCTCCGATACTCCTCAGGGACCGCAACGCCCATTTCAGCCAGCTGCGCAATCTGCTTCTTTCTTTCCTCTACACTGACGGGACGGTCGGCCTGCTTGGGCGCCGGCGCCGCGGCGCGTTTAGGCACTTGGGCGCCGGACGCGGAAGACCCGCCTCCAACGGCCTGGCGCAATCGCTCGACCTCGCTTTTCGCTCGCTGGGTCTCTCTTTGCTGGGTCTCATTATTCTCGTGTATGTCGCGGAGGAAGCGCTTCAGACTGGACTGGTGTTTTCCGCTCGCCTCGTGTTGGGTCCTTTCGAAAGGTGTGTCGCGGATGAAGATCTTGCATTGTTTGCACCAATGGCGTGGCTGCGATAGAAATGATCTGATTAGAGAGGCATAATAGCAAGAGGCGAAAGGGTAACTCACCGCTGATTTCCAGTATTCGGCCATGTTGCCAAGTATGTTGCAAATCGAAGTAGTCAAGGTTCAGGCGTGCGATAAGATCAAAGCTCCGCGGGCAAACTAGTCCAAAAGCGGTAACAACTGCGCGTGTCGCACTTGCATTTGCTTTCGCCTTGCGTAGAGTGCAGGTGGACACACGACACTTTATGCTTTGAAATTCGAGACTTCAGGGACATTCGAGCCTTACTTTAGGATGTTCAATTGTTCAAAAAGAAGATGCAAGGTCTTATTTTCATGGTTCATATATTGCGGCAAATCCATAAAAGGACAATCTATACAGAGAGAGAGAATATATTTATCCACATCTATAAAATTTTACAAGTCAGCCTGTTCAGGGACTGGAGACTTGAGCTTGCCAGTTGTGAGTGCCAGACAGATATTCTCGATAGTCCACTCCTCCATCGCGGCGAGAGTCTACAGAAAAGTCAGCATCAAGGATTCAAGCACGAAGCGACTCCAAAGGTTGCGCAACTCACCTCGATTGTCCAGGTACCCATGTGAGGTACCAGAATCACACTCGGATCGCTAATAAGACCGGGGTGAATTTTAGGTTCCTCTTCAAAAACATCAAGACCAGCCGAGAACACCTTCCCGGTACTCAGAGCTTCGACAAGCGCGGCCTCGTCCATGACAGCACCACGAGCCGTGTTAACGACAACCACTCCGTCTTTCATTTTAGCAAATTCGTTCTTGCCAATGATGTGGCGTGTGTGTTTCTAGAGACTGTCAGACATCTTGAAATCCTTCATGGATAAGCACATCAACGAGAAGCACCTACATTCAATGGCAGATTCAAGCTGAGCACATCACTGGTGGACAAGAGCTCGTCAAAAGTAACATATTGAGCTCCACCGGAAAGCTCCTCGTTCAATTGACGACGATTGTGATAAATAACCTTCATACCGAAAGCCTCCGCTTTCTTCTTCAGGTTACGTCCAATGCCACCCATGCCCAAGATACCCAGGGTCTTGCCTTCGGGATCATGGCCAAGCGGAGGCGCGGGTTGGCCACGCCACTTCCCTTGACGCAGAGCGTGCATACCAGCATTGAAGTTACGCAGAGCACCGAGAATAAGGAACATGTTCACATCGGCGGTCGCATCGTCCACGGCAGTGGGGACGTTGGACACGCGGATCGGAGGGTTACGAGTACTGCACGCGTGGACGTCAATTTGGTCATAGCCGGCTCCTGTTTGATCCATGGAAGATTAGAACTTGGAGCTGGTGGCCATTGATGTGGAGTCATACCGCAGCTGGCAATATATTGCAGAGAGTTTGGAAGCGCGTTCAGCAGCTCCTCGTCCACTTGGCCTGTGATGTCAAAGGAGAAGAAGGTACGGTAGATAGCGACAACACCTTCAAACTTCCCATCTCGGCACTCTTGAATGAAGTCGGCACGACTGGTGGAGGTTGCTTTCACCAGCTCGCCAAGTTCACCCAGCGCATTCCAAGACAGTTGCGCACTATTCAGCTTGTCAGTGTTGTCTGGGGAGCACCAGATAGATTGGTAACACACTGATCGATTTCTCCAAGAAGCAAGATCTTGGGTTTAGCAGTTGTGGATCCCATATTTACGGAGCGTTTATGGGAAAATCTGCAATGAAAGCTGTCAGTTCCGGACTATTGATCAACTTGTCGAGGATCTTTGTGAACACCAAATGGCGATAAATACGCTAGGTGTGCAATTCAAAGGACAGAGAGTGCTCCTTATAGCTGAAAGTAGACGGTGATATGTCATGAGAAGGCGCACGACTTACCGATAAGAAACGTGAGAGGCAATTCGGGGAGGTCCGATACAACAGGCGAGCGATTTCGTGAGTCGTAACGAGTTCGAGGGCGAAATATTCTAACCGGAGATGTTGAATCTAGCAAGGAAAGGTGTATAAAGGAGAAAAGAAGGTCTCATGGTCGAGAGTCATAAGAAAAATGCGGGATCGGCCGAGAAGGCTATACGCGGAGACGTTTATCGCGGACGGTTCCCCGCGCGGAATCCCTGCGAGCTTTGCGAATAGGATTGCACCAATTAATTAATAATGGGAGAACCTGCGCCCTACTACATCCTTTAGTGGGACTCATAGTGACAATCGCCACATCATAGCGCTAGCACAACTATCAACGATAAAGTTGAAACTATATGCCTGGACAGAATGGTTCTCTTCGGCAGGTTCGGGGGGGGGGTCAATACGCATGACCCATTGACCCCGGGAAATGAAAGAATTGCCGGAGAACATCAATCTTCCCAGGTTCGTTGATGTGGGTAGTTTCCGGTCCCGAGGAATCTCAAATAAAGCCTTTGAGGCTCTCCATCATGAATTGTTGCTTGAATTGTTGCCACCTGAGCCCTGCATTGAGCCCGCCTAGGGGCTATAGTATACAAGGATAAAGTGCGGTGAACATCCCTCCTATTCTTCAACCAAAATACGAGTCCAATCAAACTTCTTCCAGCGTTTCCTGAATGGTTCCACCCGGCGATCACTACCCCGGTTCCAGCGGCCTTGCCGCTTGATAACATCCGGAGCCGCATCGAGCATGCCTCCAATGACTTCTCGTGCAAACAGATCTCCCTTGGGCCAGCGGTTCTCATCCTCCACAATATGTCCCAGACCACCATCAAGTTCAAACCAGACGTGGAAGTAAGGCATCTCCTTCACGAGTGTGCGACGGAATGCGGATCTTCCCAGTCCCTGCTTCGCTTTGGCCAGAGTGTCGATGAGCTTGCGGTGTTGTGACCATTCAGACTCGGCACTCAAAATTGCCTCCTTGAAAAATGCGGGCGATGTCTCTCCAAGGCTATAGGGCAGAGGGACTGCTTCCATGGATGCGTGCCGCTTCCGCTGAGGATGCGCTGCGTTCTCGTAGAAAATCACATCCCGGCCTTGGTCGTGGTACATGCGGGTCAGACTCTTCATGAAATTGCGGATCTCTTCCCATTCGTCATCGTCACATTCCAAGAGATTGTTTCGATGCTGGATGGGCACAATAGTAGCAGCTCCATCGCTAATTTCAGGCTCGGTGGGAAGCGTCATGAACACCCGGGTCGCAAGGGACACAACAGGAGCAATCGGAGGCGTATTAGTGTCCTCGTGATGACAGAGTGCGCAATTATCCAGGATTCGGTTCATCTTGCGGAACTCGTTGACTGTTGCACTCTTGATGTCGATTTCGGATCGATGCACTCGCTTGGCCAGCTTGGAAGCATTGTCGTCCATGTACTCCAAGTCGTTCTAGAGATCCATGTAAGAAAAATCAGAATTGTTGCTGGGTGGTAATGGCTTACCTCGAACTTGCCATCACGCGTAATACGTTCGGCCAACCGCTTTCCTTCGCCGCCCATCTGACCTCGAGTCTTGCGTTCCTCACGAACCATGTCCTCGATGGTCATGTCATCGTTTTCTTGGACTAGACCTCTTTCACGGCCTCTCTTTGTGTCCACTGCCTTGACCTCGTTTCTTGATCCAGCAAGCATACGATTATCTTTGACACCGAGTACCACGACATCAGATTCCTTGCGATTCGCCAAGGTAGCGGCGGCAGCATTGTATTGCTCTTCGAGCTCAGCCGCATCGGGGGCCTTTTTCAGCTTTGCCTTCATCATTTGAGCTTTGAGGCGATTCAATGACGTCAAGTTCAGAGGTTGTGTGGTGTTTGAAGGAGGCTCAGCTTCCATCCTCTTGCCCTGCCCTTCTGCCTTGAGTTCTTCGGCTGGGTCACGAATATGTTCATGAGGATCCCTGCGGACATTGTGCTGAAGCTTTCTTTCTTGGTACAATTCTCCGCTCGGTTTCTCCTTGCCCACGTAGGAATCGCCGTACATCTTGCGACGATCCAGTTCGGTTTCTTCCTCACGGGCATCATCGAACGAGCGCAGGTCTCCAAAGCGAGCAATGGCGACATCCTCCACAGATCTGCCGCTTTCTTCGGCCTCTCTGTAGACACCCTTGAGCTTGGTCATTCTCCACTGCGACCCCGAATCTCCAAATGTGTAATCCACCTCATGCTGCGCCGGCTCTTCTTCAATTTCCTCGAGTGCCTTTCCTTCCTTTAGATCACGGAGATGCTCATTGAGCTCCTTATCGTGAATCTTAAGCTCGTAATCAGCTGACAGCATCTTCGGCTTCGTGGCTTCCTGCTCGCGCTTAGGATCCGGTCGGTGGACATAGTCAATATCAAGAGAATTCGGAGCTTCCATCCAAGAGTCTCGCTTCAACTGAGTCGGCGGCTCCTGCTCGGTCACTTTCGGTGCGGATTCGGCGTCGTCTTTGCTTGCATGTCGGTGTTGACGCTTGCGCTCATGGTCGCGATCGTCTCCGTGGTCGGTCGAGTGACGTGAACGCTTAGAACGATGGCCATCGTCGTCGCGATGACGGGGCTCACGATCGCGATCACTTCTTCGCTCGCGGGATCTGGACGAATGGCGCCGATGATGGCTAGAACGGTGATGGTGAGAGTTCCGTGAACGCTCACGGCTGCGGTCGCGGTGACGATGACGGTCCTTGTCCTTCTCCCGCCGATCCTGGTCCTCCGCCAGCGACTTCTCGAAATCTTCCAGGGTCATTGTGCTCCTTGTGTGGTGATGGCTCAAGGGAGAACGGCTGAGGCGGAATGACGTTTGGCACGCCGGGCGGTCCAGCTGCAGATCGTCGGGTTCCCCGCGACCAGAATTTCCGAGAAAAAAAAGTTGAGCTCCTCACTTCATCGCCACAACATCTTGCGCCTGATACCACGACACAATAATCTTGAGATACACGACGCATTCGATCTAAAGCTTAGCAACAGAGCTTTCTATCATCACTATGGCGAATCCAGTGTCCGTCGTCTGCGTGGGCATGGCAGGTAAGGCAATCTGCCCTTCAGGACCTTGAATCGGGAACACCGGATGATTGACAATCTTCCTCGTCCAGGCTCGGGAAAGACCACCTTCATGCAGAGAATCAACTCCCACCTGCATTCAAAAAAGTCCGTTCCCTATGTGATGAACCTCGACCCTGCGGTACACTCGGTGCCCTTTGACAGCAACATCGATATCCGAGACTCGATCAACTACAAAGAAGTGATGCGGCAATACAACCTAGGACCCAACGGCGGTATCCTGACGTCCCTGAACCTCTTTGCCACCAAGGTCGACCAGATCATTGCTCTTCTCGAGAAGCGCACCACCCCGGACCCCAGCAAACCGACTGCCAAACCGATCGAACACATCCTGGTTGACACACCCGGCCAGATCGAAGTGTTTGTGTGGAGTGCATCAGGAAGCATTCTCCTCGAGACTCTCGCTTCCTCTTTCCCGACTGTTATCGCATACATCATCGACACCCCGCGCGCCAGCTCGACCAGCACCTTTATGAGCAACATGCTGTATGCGTGCAGTATTCTTTACAAGACTAAGCTGCCTATGATTCTGGTCTTTAATAAGACTGATGTCAAGGATGCCGAGTTCGCTAAGGAATGGATGACCGACTTCGATAAATTCCAGCAGGCTTTGCGCGAGGAAGAAGAATCCGGTGCTTTCGGTGCTGAGGGTGCCGCCGGCGGATTTGGAGCTGGCAGTGGATATATGGGATCACTCTTGAACAGCATGAGCTTGATGCTTGAGGAATTCTATCGCCATTTGAGCGTCGTGGGCGTAAGCTCCATGACAGGTGACGGTGTTGATGAATTTTTTGAAGCCGTGGAAGAGAAGCGACAGGAGTTCGAGCGTGACTACAAGCCAGAGCTCGAGCGCAAGAAGAAGGAGCGTGAGGAGAATAAGGCCAACCAGCGAGAGGTGGAACTAGGCAAGTTGATGAAGGATATGAACGTCTCTGGATCTGGTCGCAGAGAGGGCCAGGGCCCTGAAGTTGGGCCCGAGACTGTTAGCGAGGCCGAAGATGAAGAAGAGGATGAGATTATCAAGCGAGGACTGGCCGATGGAGAGGATGACAGCGAGGAAGACTACGAAGGTCCCAGTGCAGGCAACGATGAAGGTCTCTCTCAACGCTACCAGCAGGCTCTTGGCTCGCAGGATCAGCCTTCGGATCAGGATAATAGCTTCACTCGATACTTGCGTGCCTCCGGCATGAACCAGTGATTAGCATTGAGATTTCTCATGCGGCGTTGTGGTCTTGTTTCTGGAGTTGGTGGTCAACGGTGTCATTTTACCTTTTTGCATTGAGATACAAACCTAAATAAGAGACACGAACAAGTTTGAAGCATCTACTCGATTCCTATTAATCCAAGTTCAACTATCTCAATCCATACCAAGCTTTTTGCGGTGCAAACGAGACAAATCGTATGACGTCACTGGGGTATGTTTCCAGGATGTTGCCTGGCAAAGCTCCCAACTTTACTTTAACACTCTACAACCAACTCTTACGATTGACTCTTATTATAAATTCTTGATTCATATCGACGGGGTCAACATGGATGTAGGTTACCAGCCCACCATCAGTGCTCGCACGTTGAGATCCAAACAAGGAGTCTGCTTGAAGTGTGAGAACACTGAGAGTCTCAATGCAGTTGCTAATCCTCCGATACAAGGTCTTCCACGCATACACATACTCCACAGCCGGATGGCTTTCCTTGCAGAGCTTGGCCTTGATCACAGGTCCGAGCATGATAGTGTCCATGCTACTGGATGAGACTCGACCTGCTTCCTGTTAGTGATCACCACCAACCCTCTTGAGCTTCCCCGAGTCTATACTAATCTTCACGCCGCTTCAAAGCTATCGAGGTCTACCTTGCTCGGTGTCTGGGCTTCAGCCTTCTGACACTCGCTGTCTTGACCGCACTGCTCACGGGCTCGATTCCTCTGACGAACACAACCTCAGAGGCCGTGACAACCGAGGACTCGGATACAAAGGCGCCTTATGCTCTGCCGACTCTGATGTTGACTTCAGCGTTCCACGCTACAACTGGCCTTTATGCATACACCTGGTGGGTCTCCAGAGGCCAAGGGACATTCCTCGTGGCGGTGACTATGCACGCATTCCTTGCCGCCATTGGCCTGTGGTGTGTGCTTTTTGCGAGCAGTGATGGCAAGATCAGCCGTCGGACTGGCGCCGATAAGAGGACTGCTGGGTTCCCATTTGCCAATTCGGAGGCTGCTAAGAAACACGCGGGCAAGAAGGGTCTCTAGGGCGTGAGGATCTCCGGAACATGCGCTATTCCGCACGGTTTTACTGGAAATGGAGTTTCGGACTCAACGGGGAATGATATGGTCAAGATAGTGCTGCTACATGAATCGACTATGCTTACATCCTTGAATGTCCTATTTATCTCTGCAAATCAAGAGTAATGTTTAGGGTTCATGGGGAGACTAATCATAAAGAGCAAACATTTTTCTCCTGTCATGTATACGTAACGTGTGCAGTTGTAGACGTTGGCTCGAATCCCAATAAGCGGAACTCGCGACGCCGCTTCAACCGCCCGCCCTTTCTTCTCCGCACCTGCCAAAAGCAGCACGACGCACTCCACTCATGGATTCCGACCTGCGTACCTCGCGCCCGTTAGGGTCGACTATCGGGATCGTTGATGAAGCGCAGGGCCTATCGCAGCTTAGCCACTTCCACCCCGACGCGCAACCCTTCGCGTCCTTCCGTTCCGTCGACAATGTCGACCCGCACCAGCCTCTACAAAATGCGACGCAGAACGCCATAGCTTTGGAAAGTAATGCGCAAGCTGCTACAGGCGATGGAATACATTTACTGCAGTCGGACCCGTCTTTTCAGCAGCCAAATTATGGTGGGCTGGCACCGGACACAACTGCCTCTACGAGCTTTGCGGGACAATTACAGGGCAAGCTGATTCCGGATCCACCTGATTTGGAGTACTGGAGGGATAGACTGTTCCATGTGGACGAGACAATCACTTTGAGTGAAGAACAGTATGCGATCTCGTGTTGCAATCAGTTCCTCAAGCTTCATTGATTACTGACGGGCCCGGTTTCTCAGATTCCAGACCTATTTCCCTCACGTCGACAATGTCTACTCCCACCGCTCTACTCAACGCTATAAGCGCAGACCGTTCGTATCCCACTACTGGGACTGTCGCCTGAAGGGCCGGCCTCCCGGGACACCCAAGTCCGAAGATCCGGCTAAGAAAAAGCGCAAACGTACGGCCAGAGAGCGAGATCTCTGCGACGTCAAGATCAAGATCACGGAATACTTCCCTGGTAGCGGGGTTATAGACACAACCGGTGGTTTTGAATCACTGCCCGCTGAGCTCTTGCCTGGAGTGCACACTTTATTTCCGATTCAGGGTAACCAGCCATTTGGTGTGCTCACACCGGGTCCCAATCTACCGCAAGATCATCCCGGGGTGACTGGAGCGCGGTATTTCACAATCCAACGGGTTAATGGAAATGGCGCCAATGGGAAAAATGAAGGTGTGGGAGGTGGTCATCGACATACACTCGAGGATAGCGATCGAGTCAAGAAGAATAGTGTCCAGAGACACTTTATGAAGGAAGACAAAGAGAGGAAAAAGTCCGTGGTATGTCTTGTTCTCTATTGCGTGCAAGACCTCGGAGGGGCTTGGCGGCTCCCCGCAAGATCGGCTACGTCATATCAACATCCACTTCCGATTGCAACTTTTGACTGTTCTTTGGTGAAACACCGTTGATCGGCTTTTTGATTCACTCTTAATTCGTGAAATATTTCTAATCCATTCTCTGCAGTATCGAGCCATGGCCGACGATAGCCAGACGCAGAAGTCATATCACACCAAAGCGACTGGCTTGGCCGCCGCTACAGCGATTAGCCATTCACCCGAGTCGAACCTCAAGCTGTATGGCAGCTGCTTTTGGTGAGTTAGGCTTCCACTGCATTATGCAGATGGCCGTATGATAGCATCCATGTCCGGCTGACTCGATGATCTTCTCTCCAAGCCCTTTCGTGCAGCGTGTCTGGATCTCACTTGAACTGAAAGGCATACCTTATCAGTATATTGAAGTAGATCCGTATAAAAAACCACAATCCCTGCTGGAGGTCAACCCGCGGGGTCTTGTGCCAGCATTGCGGCACGACGATTGGGGATGTTATGAAAGCACAGTGCTTATGGAATATGTGAGCGTGTCATCCTTTCCAGGGCATCACCACCATGCTAATGCATCATAGCTCGAGGACCTGGATCTCGGCCAGTCGCTTATGCCCGCAGATGCGAAGTTGCGCGCCCACTGCCGGCTATGGGCAGACCATGTCAGCAGCCATCCTCACTCCTGTCATTGAACGTTGCTGACAGTTCCCAGATCAATCGGAATATTGTGCCAAACTTCTACCGGGTCCTACAGGAGCAGGACCAGCAGAAACAGATCGAAAAGGCACAGGAGCTTCGAAACGCGTTCAATCAGTTGATTGCAGCTGCGCATACTCGTGGGCCATTTTTCATGGGATCGCAAATTTCCTTCGTGGACATTCAAGCTGCCCCATGGGTCCTTCGGCTCCGTCGCGTATTGAAGCCTTACCGAGGTTGGCCAGATACCGAGGAAGGAACAAGATGGGCATCATGGGTGAATGCCATCGAGACTAATGAGCATGTACGAGCAACGACCAGTACAGATGAGCTCTATCTCGACAGCTATGAACGTTATGCAGGTGAGTGTCCCTTGATCAACCCGACGCCAGGCCGCACGGCGCTGACACGTGTGACAGAGAACCGCCCGAACACGTCCCAGGTTGCAAATGCAATTAATTCGGGACGCGGACTTCCTTGAATGCAAGGAACATATACTCCTGGATGGGCAGGAAGAAGGGGATGCCCTCGCTCTCACCGCTAGTTGCGGGAGTAAGCACGGGCGAAGTGATGATAATCTGGCACAATGTACCTTTAACTTGTTCGCGCGCCTCTGTTGCCAAATCCAAAGCCACCCCTTCCACTCCCATCCGGACCACGAGGGTTCCGAGTCGGCTGTTGCGGAGCAGGTTGCTTCTCAGAGTCCCCTTGGCGCTCTCGTCTTTGTAGTTGCGGTCCATTCGACCTAGCAGAAGTCGACGGATCATAAAGATGCCTGGACTTATTTGAAGCTGCTGAAGAGTCTCGCTTCTGGTAGTCCCGACCACTACGGCCCTTGCCTTTTCCCCTGCCGTCTGCTGACGAGTTCTGGCGGGGCGGTGTCGTACTTCCTGGCGACGATGTACCGGAAGTCGTAGCGGATGGACTGCCAAATAGTCTCTCCCGCGCTTCCTCGTATTTGCGTTGTTTTTCTTCCCGGTTCTTGAGTGCCATCGCTTGGCGTTCTTCCGGCGTGGGTTCTCGTGGTTTAGACTCGTCGTCCGAATCACCTTCCTCGCCGTCGAGACCGAGCTGCACAAGCCCAGCTGAAACTCCATCTACTCCACCCGCAGGGGATTGGCGAGTTGCAATCTGCGGTCTTCTGCTGAGGAGAGTGACGGCCGGCTTGATATCCTGCTTGAGGGGTACAACCTCGGAGCGCGTTTCAACAAAGTGGAATGTTTGCGGAGTTTCACTGCCATAGAAATTTGAATTAGTCTCAAGTTTTCTGTGGTTTTGTAGAGAGCAAAGACGTACGCCTCCGCCCATAGCTGTCGGTTGAACTCCGCCTGTTGCGCGCGGCGCTGTGCTTTGGTGACTTTGGACGAGATTTTCTTCTCGGGTTCAGTGGTTGGCTTGGTTGCTAGGATCTGAACCGAACAATCAGTATGTCACTCGTAAATTCAAAGCAGTATGCCTCTCGCATGTCGCTGACTGCGGGCTGCTTACATCGGCCTGGGATTCCCAGTCGTCCTCCCATGCGTTGGGAATCTCAGCGTTTGCGCTCATGACACACGGTAAATTAAAGGCCAGGAGGAAGTGAAAGATGGGGTCATGAAAATGCTGCGAATACAAAATATAGTTCAGCGATATGCCCTGCGCAAATATAAGGAAGGCAGGACGAAAAGAAAAATCGACCCAAGTGCCCAATCGGCCACCGCCCACGCCGCGTCGATCTCCGCTCTCCGCCCCCTCATTCGATCGATCTAGTAAGCCCACCTCAGCTCTGCAAGCAAACATGGCTATTGGTATGTTCAGTTCTCTTTATCCCACTTTCGCATGAAAGGGATTGGGCCATCGTGGACTCTTCGAAGCCAATCTCGATGATTGTCCCCGATCCGCATCACACAATTACCGACTCTCCGCTCACCGTTCCCACAGACACAAGGAATCCAGACGGCGACTCCGAGATGGCCTCATCTGTCGACTCGCTCCATACAGACTCCGATGGAGCTGCAGCAGGCGCCCGCACCCCAACCTACTTTTCCCACGCTTCTGCTGCCGCCGCCGCGTCTGAGCTCTCTCCTCCTGGCTCTCAACCTCAACAAATACCCGATATCTCCGCAACTGCCGACTTTAAAGAAGTTCCCGGTGACGTGGCACAGAAATCTCGAGCGGGATCAGAACATCCCATTGCGTCATGGCAAACCAAGCGTGCCCAGGAAGAGTACCAGCGGGCCATGGAGCATGTGGTGGACAAGGACTTTAACCTCCGTATGTGGTCTCTGGATTGGCTTGGAAGCATCGCCATCGACTAACTAATCTACTTCTAGATGAGTTTGGAGACCCGTTCGATGACCGCGACTTGGACGAGAAGCTGTTGTGATGCAGTACACGGGGCCTACTTCGGAGATGCCACATGTCTCTGGCAAATATGACTTAATGAGACACGACTTGACAGATTTACAATGCCTTGTATGAGGGGAATGATAAGAATAGACTCATCTGACAACTATCAACCATAGATGGAACTCTTGCTTCATCCTGCGTCTTTACAGGAACCCAAGGAGATATTATAAGTTGTGTATTCGCCTAACGGCCACCAAGGACCCAACATCCCCAGGTGGGCTACTTTCAGAATATTCAAGCCCACTTTCTAGGTTATGATACCTTCTTGGTCTCTGTAGGACATGGGTTGTAACATTAGTGTATTCTGTCCAATATGAAAATCGATTATTGCTTCCTGTGATTTTACCTAGTTATGAAACTAGGCCTAATATGTACCATCCACGCTCACACCTGTACCGTGGATAGAGCTGCTTATTGGAGGGCGAGTCGGTTCTTCCTGATCCCTATATTTATAGTGCGTACTAATATTGATATGTGATGACTACCTGCAAATCAGCCCGCACGCACAACTAACCCGGCTGCGTGGGGCGGAGGAGTTGCAACACCAGGCGTATATATAAGGCAATAACCATCGAGTTCATATTGCTTGGAGGTTTCGAAATTCTCGAGAAATGTCTTCCACAAAGTCAAGGAATCCTTGAAGCTCTGCCCTGGTGGTTCCCATGGTCAAAGCTAACATGCCACGCCGAGCTATCCAGAACCCCTTCTGGACAGCACGAAACCAGAAAATGTCTCCCAAAACTGAATCATCAATGGAGCGTCGAGCATTCAAGTCCTCAATTCGAAGAATTTCAAGTCCATCTTCATGGGAGCCGCCGAAATGAATGTTGCACACGGCTCCAACTCCAGTGACTGTCATTCTGGTTCCCCGGCATCTATCAAGTAATTCTTGACGGAACCAGTCCCCTAGAGCGTTGAGCTTTGTACAAACCTCTGGTGTGTACACAGCTGAAAGGGCAACCAAACCGACATGCATGGCCAAGGTATTGTTGTTGAACGTGCCCGAATGGCTCATCTGAGCCGGCTGTTTCTGCACGTTGGACTCGGAAAACGGCCTCGGGTCATACAGTGAGAGTAGCTCCTTGCGTCCACCAAAAACGCCAATGGTCATTCCTCCAGCAATGTATTTGCCCAAAGTTGTGATGTCGGGTTTCAAAGGAGCGTTGCCCTGGGGGTCAATGATTGTCGATTGAAGACCACCCGGTGCCAACCTGGAGGTCATGACTTCATCCATGATGAATATCATTCCATTTTCCTTTGTAGCCTTTTGGATAGAGTGTAGGAATTTGACCGAGCCAGGTATACATCCTCCCGCACCTTGCATTCCCTCCACAAGCACGGCAGCAGCGATTCCCTTGTTGTCAGATATCAGTCGCTGTACACCTTCCTCATCGTTGTACGTTCCAACAACCCAGTCGTTCTTATCAACGGTGTTCTCGGCAACGCCATGTAGAAACATCAGGACGCCGCCGTGGTATCCACCGTTGAAGACGATAACTTTGTTTAGACCGGTCGCCTGGCGTGCGAGACTGAGAGCATACAGATTCGCCTCTGTGCCAGAATTGCAGAACCTCATTCGCTCCATTGAAGGAAACCTGTTTCGTATTTTCTCTGCAAAGCTAGCCTCGGCAGCGGTGGTGGCGCCGAGATTGAGGCCAGTCTTGGTCGTTGTAGAGATGATCGCGTCGCGGATTATTGGATTGGAATGGCCGCAGACACCAGCCGTCATTTCTCCAACAAGGTCGAGATATCTGAGACAAAGTGGAGTTATATGAGTATCCAATATGATGAGAGTTGAAACACTTACTCATGACCGTCAACGTCTATCAGTCGATTGCCCTCGCCCCGGTCCATGTAGATAGGGAATGGATCCGTATGGAGTACCGAGCGAGTGTTTCCACCAGGTAAGATTCCAATGGCTTTTTCATGCAGGTTCTGTGAATTTGGATGGTTCTGCCTGTAGCGGTTTTCCGCTTCATGCAGTAAAGTTATGATTTTTGGAGCAAGTGAATGATCAGAACGTAGTGTGTTGGCCATGTTCGGCTTTTTGACGTTGAGGCAGCTTCAAGGGTCAGCTTAGAGATCATGGGAGAAATTTTAAATAGTTTGAGTATTGCCCTGAATATTGAATCGCCGGCATTGCCGTGCTCTCGTTCAAATCCCCTCGGCAGTGCCGGCGCACGAGCACAAGGATCCACTCCGCGCTTCCCCTCTGTACACTCGAGTCACCTCGCATTTTGAAGCTTCTCATTATGATTCCTCCTCGCTGGCATTTTTCGGGTTAATGTAATTATCGTGAACAGTCACATTCCATTTCATCTTGTATTCGTTTTGTAGCCAACCACTTCTTGCTGTGCGTTTCCGGTAGACGTAGAATCGAAGGCCGTGGACTCGGTCCCTTTAGTCATTTTCCCCACGCGGCCAACTTTGGAAAGCGGGTGATGATTGAAATTCAGCTTTCGCGAGCTACCCTCACCTCCGAAACATTAATTGATCCCGGGTATTTTGTGATACCAATCCTAAAGATGAACCAGGAGTCTACCGAGCAGTCAAGGAAACAGCGTCGTCCAGTTCATCTACCCGGTCAGCGAGCCGCAATTGCATGCATTCCCTGTCGGTGGGTACCTCGTCCACATCCCTGAAATAAGCCTTGCCAATCACTAAAATCCTCAATTGAAGACAGCGCAAAGTCCGATGCACTAGTGGGTGGCCATCCTGTAGAAGCTGCATCAATAGGTCCATCGAATGCCGATATGCAGGAGTCTCTCATGGCCACCCAGCCCTGGACAGCGCCATCCAGGAAAAAGCCGCAAATCTATCAAATGACGAGATCATGGACTTATCACAGATACCAGCCACTGAGCTGGCACAATCAGCCGACTTTTTCCGTGATAATTTCGGTTCCACGCTACTTTTCTTCGTGGATCCGCTCACCTTTTCAACCAAATTCTGCTCTGGGGAACTGCCCTTGAGTCTCACGTTTTCGATACTAGCCCTGACTTCTCGATTCAGTCCATGGAGCTCTCCTAACGAATCTCGGAATTATCAAGAGAGAGCTCGGGAATTTCTTCGAAGAGGCAGCGATGAGGTCTCACTTCATGTGGTCCAAACATACCTCATACACTGTGTGTATGAAGTTGGCTGTGGATCTGAATCCAGTGCTTGGATTCATTTGGGAAACGCCATTAGAATGGCCCAGATTCTCCGCCTGTCCATCATGGACAAGCCCAAATCCTATTTTGATTGGGGCCGGCCTGTTCGAAACGCGAACGAAGATGCGATCACGATCGAGCTGAAGCGAAGAACATTTTGGAGTTGCTTCTTCCTCGATAAACTTCTATCCAACGGTAGAGATCGTCCTAGTGCCATTGAAGAGAAAGATGTTTGTTGTCACTTTCCTATTTCGGAAGAGGATTTCATCTTCCGACGATTTCACCAACCTTTAAACTTGAGCAACATCGATTTGAGTCATGCAGCATCAAGAAATCTTTATGTTTCCCTCGCTGGCGTACTGTCGATCTTGGGGGAAATCATCATCTGGCATGGAAGAGGTGGGCGATATACTGATCCCGCAGCTCCTTGGAAAAGCGACATGGCTTTCACCGTGCTTGACCGTAAGTTGAAGGAATGGCACCGGCAGATTCCCGACCATCTTCGATACTCGAAGGAGACCTTTGCTGCACTGTCAATGCTGAGTTCAAGTCAGCTGAAAATATGGGGCCTCGCATATTTGTTTTTCTTCCTTGCGAAAGTCTACCTTCTTCGAGAGTATATCCCATTCCTTCCCCCAAGAAGCTATGCACCTTATGATGGACCTGAAAAGGTGGAGTCCATATCAGAAGATTGGGGCAATGCCCCGCCGGGATGGTGGAAAGAATGTTTTGAGGACCTTGTTCAAAGCTCACAGTCAATCACCAAATTGTTTCGCTTGTTGACAGACAAGCTCCATGTCTTTCCGGGTGTCTATCCTTTCATTGGCCTGTGCTTGATGACTACCACTAACGTGCACCTGGTTTTATCTATAATCGATGAGAAGGGGTTTGATGATACCACTATTCCACGGAAAGCGGAAGCTCTACTGCAAGACGACATCAAAGCTATGGAAGCTCTTTCCCAGTTTTGGGACTTGCCAAAATACTGGGTGCGTGAATTTACGTCTGAAGTTCCTTAATACTAATAGCTGGAAGATAAATCAGGTTGCACTGTATCGAGCTCTGTTAATCAAATCGCGAACTGTCGACGATCCTATTTCGGAGACGGCCTTTAAGACCATCGCTGATGGTATAATGAATTATATCCGCGAGTCGCGCGATGCGAAGATAGATCGTGAAATCGACAAGTCAACTCTGTCATCGTCGAAAGACATGCCGTTGACCTCATCCACCGTGGGGCCACAGCAAAAGTTAGTTCAATGCACACAATACTGTGATCTAAGCTAACTGTTCCGCAGGACTGAAAATGATCATGTCGTCAAGCCTCCCAAAGGTCGGTATGGTACGCGGAGGCAACAAACGCCAATATCAGCCCAACTTCAAGGTGAAATTGAACGTCATAGCCCGAATGATCAAAACAGCCAAGAATTTCAATTCAGTGACTTCTTGTCAGACGTCGACAATCCGTTGGAGGATCAGATTTTATCACTGGCGAATTGGGAATATTTTAATTTTCCGTGATATATGACATTTGGCTCTTTGTTGTGCGTCTTTCAATTGACTTGGTGACTTCGTAACAACATAGACATTACGTAGGGGAAAACAAAAGTAGTCTTTTTAATAGCATCCAGATAGTATTGCAATTAAGATAAGATTACAAACTACCTTTATACTTTCCTCTGTGACTCGTATCTTTCTTCTCGTCAACGGTGCCCAGCCGTTGGCTTAAATGTTTTCGCGCGATATTACCAAGGCTATTTATCTAAGCGGACGATCAGAAACGAAGAATTTGTTCAGTAGTGCCTTCTTCAGGGCAATTTCAGTGATGAAAAGCTACCTACCTTCATGGAAGTCGTGTGATTCATAAATTCACACATGATTGTGGACCTAAACGAACAATCCCCATTAGAACGAAGTGACTTATGACTAAAGAATAACGTGTTATCTGGTAACTCGTCCCTTCTATTCATTTGGATGGGTGATCTTTCGCGAGCCTGGCGCGTCTATCATCGGCAGTGCCGAGTACTCGTAGCATAGTGGATCATCGGCGCCTCCGAATCCCCCGCACTGTTTCCCGAGGTTCCTCTCGACCCCTCATACAGAAGAACCAGGGATTTGCTTTGGACTGAGCCATAAACTCTTCCCTCTGAAGATCAACTCTCCAAAAGCTCTTTCCTGATCAAGTCGCACATAGTTCACTCTGCAAAATGCCTTACAAACTTCAAGGCCGAAATGTTCTTATTGTTGGCGGTGCAAGGTCCGTGTCCTGAGTTATCTCACTTCTCACTCGTCAATTCACTTTGATCATGACCTGATACATGAGCAGGGGTCTTGGTGTCTCCATTGCCGAGAAGTTTGCTGCGGAAGGTTGTAATATCGCAATCAACTATCTCTCGAGTGAACAGGCAGCCCATGATCTGGCTCTGAGACTGCAGAGCGAACACAGCATCAAAACGGTCACGATCCAAGGAGTACGTTGCTTGGCAAGAGTTGCACAGGGAATAGCTAATTGTGTCACAATTTAGGATGCAGGAATTCAGGCGGATTGCGTCAGGCTAATTCGGACGGCAATCGAGAAGCTGAATGGACTGGACGTCGTTATCTCCAATGCCGTGAGATCCTTTTCTCTCTTTCTTGACTTGGGTTCCACTAACTGCTGAAGGGCTGGACACGGTTTTCCAATTTCGGGGACCTGTATGCTCTGGATGAAGATGAATGGGACAAGGTGAGATAGCCCCTAAACTACATCAAACCTGATTCTAACATGTTTTATTTCAAAGTGCTGGGCAACCAATGTCAAAAGCAACCTGTTCTTGTTCAGAGAAGCTCTTCCGACGTTCAACGCCAATTCAGAAGGCGGCGTGTTCATTACAACTTCATCTATTGCTGTGCGACCCTAAAGATACTCCTTCAAAGGAAGAAGCCCATTTTATTGACCGAATTTTCCAGGGCATAACTCCCGCTGGGAGCAGCATGGCGTACTCCGTTACCAAGTCTGCCGGTGAGTGACATACCACTTCTGTTGTTGGAGGTTACCAACATGAAGTCATAGGCTTGCATCTTCTGAAGTGCCTTAAGGCATCTCAAGGACCAAAGGTCCGCATCAACTCGGTACTACCGGGGTTGCTGTTAACCGAGTGGGTAGGTTAATGGACCTGACTTCTACAGTATCAGACATTCGAATGTTACTGACATCTTTTGAAGGGCCTGCAATACTCTGCCGAGCAAATCCAGTCTTGGACTGACAAGTCGGCTCTTAAGCACGAGGTGAGCATGAGTCTCTAGGGTCGAGCCTGAGTTTTGGTTGCTCAACACGACTATTTAGGTCTACCTCGATGATTGTGCCGACATGTACGTGGCGATTGCCAAAAACACGTCGATGACAGGTCAAGAAATAACTTTGGGTAAGAAACTCACAACCGCTCTGAGTAATAACTTTCGGCCCTCCTGACCCTCTCAGACTCTGGATACGTGACGAAATAACACAAGGGGGTGCCATCGATGGACGTGACTATCGATGTTTGATACATCTTTCTATCCTTTTCTGGAGCATCTAGATCCTCAACGATAGTACAGAACAGATAGATCTCATACATTCATCATTCAAATCCGACACCTAATTTGAATAACACATTCATCAACACTATACTCCCCAAGTGTACGGTTGGGAGGGTGCAAACAGTGCAAACAAATGAAGTGTAAAATGATCCAGACAAATCTTCTCATCCATGGGAAGCCCAGGGCCTTCTACGTCATCAGTTCTATCGACACGCGGGTTGTTTAAGCGACCGCATCCTAAATTCGCCCAGTATAGTGACCTACAGCGACGGAGGCGTGATGGGGCGCCGGTAATTAGACTTAAGCTTTGGTGCTGAACGTCATTCAATCGCCACCATGAGACGCGCTGATAGGAGGGGATTGATATCGGCCACTTACTTCATGTAGGACTATGTGATTCATAAAAATGGGAAACTTTCGCTGCACTCTCGTCCATCGCAGAGTCCAATTTTCCGTCGCCTGTTGGGACATTCTTCATGAAGGAATCCCTGCGCTATGATCAACGCCCTTCTGGGACCACTGAGGCCTGGATTCTCGGCAGTGGAACTGCATCCCTGGCAGCTGCGGTGTATTTGATAAAGCACGCTAAGCTACACCCGTCAAACGTACATATCCTTGATGACCACGTTTCCTTAGAGCAATCAATACATCGCGAAGGAAGTTCCTCAACGGGATACGATCAATTTGCAGGATGTATCCCGGTTCCTGTTGGCCCGGGCTTGCAAGAGCTTCTCTCCATGATCCCATCTGCGACGTCGGAAGGGCGATCTTTTTTGGATGATATACATGAAAAGGCACAGAACCGACTCGCCCTCAACAGCAAACAAGGCACTTGCTTCGTCACTCAAAGAGACGGGTGCTTCAAGCACATGCCTACCAAAAGGCTAAATTTGGGCTTGAAGAACAAATTGAGCTTAATACGGCTCCTGATCAAGAAAGAAAGCAACTTACAAGGAAAGCAAATTCGTGAATTCTTTAATGACAAGTTCTTCGGAAGTAGTTTCTGGGAGACCTGGTCAATACAGTGAGCATTTACCTGGCCTGTTCCGATGAATGTCTGATTAAATTGAAATATTCCAGATTTGGGTTCCAGCCCTGGCACAGTGCCATGGAGTTCACACGTTCTATCAGGCAGTATCTATCAGACTTCAAGAGTCTAAGTATACTGACCTGTCTGGATATCACTGGGTACTACCAATACGAATCAATACATCTACCAATCTACTTCTTTCTTCAGGGCCAGGGTGTCGATTACCAGTTTGGCACCAAAGTGACGGATATAGAAACATCGGTGACTCAAAACCAACGAGCCATTACTTGCATATCCGTCTCACAAGGTGGAATGGAGATGAAACATACCTTGGGTCCTGATGACATCGTTATTGCTACATTGGGATCAACTGTCTCAGGATCAGCAATCGGATCGAATAATCTCCCACCAGCTTGGCGTTCAGTACAACCAAGCGATCACCTCGATGAAAATTGGTCACTGTGGCTGGAAGTTGGAAACAAATATCCTGATCTAGGTAATCCGTACACATTCTGTACACGCAAGTCGGAGTCCATGTTGGAGTCCTTTACGATCACAACCGAAAATATCGAATTTTTTGACTATCTCAACGCCTTTTCACAATGCAAGTCTCAAGCGGGTGCAATCATTCTAATGAAGACAAGTAGCTGGGGACTGAATCTCTGTACTCCTGCCCAGCCAGTATTCTCTCATCAACCGTCAAATGTCCGCGTTCTCTGGGGCTTTGGGCGCTTTCCTGATACGAAAGGAGACTATGTCAAACAGCCAATGCTTTACTGCTCCGGAGCACAGCTCATGGCCGAGATCTTATATCATCTGGAGCTTCCTGATGGTATGGCCACGGAAGTTCTGCAGCATTCTATCACCATTCCAAGAACGATGCCACGGATGAGCTCAATCTTGCTGACCAGAGACCTGAATGATCGCCCGCGTATCATTCCACGGACAATTTCTAATTTGGGTCTTGTTGGACCTTTTGTGGAGATCCCGGAGCGGACTTGTGTGGAGACAAGCTACAGCGTGGACGCCGCGCGAATAGCTGTATCGCATCTCATGGGCCTTCAATGGGCCGGAGAAATTCCTGGCCCGTCAATCTCCAGACTTTGGACTACTTTACTATGGAGGTGATTCTGTTTTGGAATCATCATTTCATTGGTACAGTGACTTTCGAATTTGGCTTCCACAATTAACACGAAATTATCTCAAAGCTGATGCAGGGCGATGGTGGAATAGCGCTTGGTTTTTTTCTTTGTTCCTTTTTTTCCTTTTTTTTTTCTTATTACGCATTTCACCTTGCGGCTGTTACGAAGGGCTGATGAGCCGATCAGGACAAACAGAGTCCCAAGTATGGGGCCCCATAGCTTGAGATCTGAAGTCGAATCATCGAACATGAGAAAGCTAACAGTATCTTACTACATACTAAGTTAACAATTTGAATTGAAGGCTATTAGGCCAACATGCCAACATACCCATGCTGAAGTTTCCCCTTCGACCTCTCTTCTATCTTTATTTTTCTATCAAGGCAGAGAGCGTCAACACCACCATTGTCTCCCATGAATTACCAAGGTCATTTTGAAATTGCAGAATGCCTTCCTTTCCCGCTCCGTCGTACATAGCGTATACTTGAAGGTTATCAGCATCACAAATAGTTCCAAATTTAAAGCGTCCGTGTCCTTCAACACAGGTGCACTCAGTGCTGTTCTTTTCCAGAGATAACGCTGCCCCATTAGTGATTCCGGGAGAGGGATCGGTATGCTTTTCAATGCCTAAAATCTAGTACAAAGATAAATTATAAGGGAATCAATCAATCAGCCAAGCGATGCGCGGTACATAGATGAAGTATTGGGCATTAAGCTTGGAGACCTCCAGACCTCCCAAGTGTTGAAATGTCGTAACCAACAGATACCCTGACTTGAGGCTAACCCTTTCTGGCCATTGATTTGGTCAACCTTGGAAGTCCTGTCAGAATCCAGCATCGGCCCTTTAAGGACGGGGCTATTAATCGATGATGCGAATACACGTCAAAGATGTCTACAGAAACGGCTTTCTCAATAATTAATCCTACCCTCGGCAGTCTCGCTGTTTTATTGCACATGCACATCCGTCAAAATATTCAATATAAATCAATATGCTGTGATTCCACTCGCATTATGGTACAAACCATCCTTTCACGGGATCAGTCGACACCCAGCATTTTACAGAAGGTCCCATCGGAAATAGTGGGAATTATCTTCACGTTTCTCCCTGCCCTCACAAGGATACTGGAAAGTAGCTTCGGAGTTTCTTTCATGAAGCTGATTCGAGCTTCTCAGGTGGTGACAGAGGTTTCGAGTCCTGTCACCAGTCCGGATATTGGGGCGGCTGGGGAAGGTGGGTAAATGTGGTAGGGCCGCGCTTTTTTGAGTTGGCGACGAGTAGGGATTTAGGAAATGGCGGCTGGCCGAACAAAAACTGGAAACGTAACTGCCGCAACTAAACTAATCTTCTTTACCAAAATTTGCTCCCGGTTATGCACTTTTATAGACAGTATAAAGTCTACCGGGCGAGGCTTTCCTATCTAGGCTGCTGCCGCTTTGATGTAAAATATCGGCCAATCAGAAGTGAAAAGAACTCCGTATTGCTATGTCTATATATCCCTGAATCCAACAATTCACAGGAAACCCTGATTATACTAATCATCCGCGGGACCCATATCTCTATAGTACCTTCCGATTCCAGAGTGAACGCAATTAAGGATCAAATAGAAGTATTCTGTCCTTTCTTAGAGCTCTAGAATGTGAGAGTGTCTGAAGTTATTAGATGTTCATAGTAAATAATACTCTATTCATAGGCTACATTTGACGAGGAAGTTAAGGCCCAAAGGAGGGCAAGAAGGATCTTGGCAGATTTCTAGGATCTCCCTTTTATTTGATCTGTTTGCATAAAATATCCCATTTGTGTTTACACATGATATATCAGTGACTCATTCATCGATATTAGTGAATACCACACGGTCCTGCGGGGATTACTATGGCAGGGCTAAAATCAAACCATCGTGTTCCGAGCTAGGCCTCAGGAATTAATGTCTAAGACTGTGAAAGTAAATCTCATTTCGGATACTACTGTAAATTATTCTCGTAAGACTTGTCGCGAGTCCTCGTAGATAGATCAAAATATACCTGCAACTGAAAGGTTCCAAGCCCCGTACTCAGTAATTACGGAGATAATGTTCAACACCAAAGCGCCCAGGCACGCGACTCTCAAATGGAGCCCTAATGGCCTGCCAGTTCGTGGAGGGGATGAGGTGGTTGACGGGGCAACGAGTGGGTCTCGTGCTGGCGCCAAAGCAAAACCGTCGGCATCGTGACATTTGCCCTCATCAAAACACCCGGGTTTGTGACCAGTCCTTGCATTTTGCGCTTTTGCGTTTGGCATTTTCGGATAGACTTATCGCCATTATCTCTCAAATACAGCGTCAAACCCCCCTTTAGCCCTACACCGTCCCCAGATCCCGACGGGTACTTTGACACATTCCACACGCGTCAACAACAATGGACACAGATACTGCTCAGCCGCAGGCCCAGCCATGGTGGGTGGAGTTCTCTTTCTATTCTTCTGATCTTTGAACCCTTCATATTGTTCCTCGAAGCAGAAACAATTTCACCCCTTCCCTGGTCCAGGGCTTGTTTCTCTCCTTGATTCCCCGCGTGGCCGGCTGTATACACAACTTGGAGTCGCAAAAATCCTGCACCTATCAACTTCACCTCGCTAACGGTGAGTGCTTTTGCACGTCCTTTGTTACAGTGGCCCCAACGATCCCGAACAAGAAAACGGCTTCAGGTTTACTCCTATCAAAGCCATCAAAGCATTGCCCCGTCTGTGGGAACGCAAACCAGCGACTCCGTTCCAGGGTGGAATCAAATCGAAGAAACTGTGGAAACGTTTCCACGCGTCTTTTTCCAGTATGCAGTCACTTCAGCAATCAAGCGCGTTGGAGCAAAACGCATTTCAGACCGCGATCAACTCATCCACCACCGCCCCATCTATCTCCATCAACGCATCCAAGGATACAACATACTCGCGCGGCGTCAAGCGCCTTCGCGTCGGCTCCGATAACTCCGACGACTGGGAAAATGCTCGTTTTCAGCAAACCGGACGTTCTTTTCTTGAGACCAAGTGGGAGTCGGAGATGCGAAAGCGACGTGAGTTTGGTCTCATGACAATATCGGATTGTGTTTATCGCTAATGGCGGCTTGCAGGGAAATTGCCCGACGCGCCTTTCAATATTTTCGACGAAAATTCGCAACATAAGCCGACTGTGGCTTCGCGCGAGCTTGATGGACCCGCCAATAATAACGCCGAATACGATATAAACAATGGTCTTGGCGACGTGGAGGGCGATCTGGCAATGACCGCATCACCCACCCCACTCAGCCATCTCCAAAGCCCTCCTAAGACGACAATCTTCCAGGATGCCATGCAGCCAGAGAATCTTGGCTCGTCGACTTCCGAAGCTGAGCCCATTGAGAACCAGGAGTCTAAACCGACAGACGAAGAACAGTCTACAATTATCAACAGTGCAGAGGAAGACAGCCAGGACATAGCGCCAACACCTACGAAGGCCGTACGAGACCTGACTCAAAAGCAGGAGAGAACTCTGGTGCGATCGGCGCTCCGCAGCTCACTGGATGGAGATGATGCCGAGCTGCTGAATGATTTCCTGTCCAAGGCCAAGGCCAAGCGTGCGGCTAAGGCGGCCCAAATGGATTCCCAGGATGGAGCTACTGAGGCCTCATCAAGCCCCGAGGAGTCACCCGAGGAAGCGCTTACGCCACGATCGCGGCGAGTTTTGGAAGATTTGGACGCGAACTCGCCCTCTCCGGTCAAGGCTGATACCTCACTAAGTAAGGGCGATGGCATGCTCGGTGACGATGCTCATCAAGGTTCAGTCAGCAAGGATATTCAGGATGATGAGCCGGCGCCGGCAAGTCCTGCATGCCGACGAAGCACTCGCGTCAAAGCTCCCACGGCCAATACATCGGCTGTGCGCAATACTATTGCACTCCGCCGGGCCAAAGGCACGGAGTTTGTTTTCCTGCAGCGGACCGAGGCCCAACAGCTAGCCTTGGCTACCAAGAAAAATACGCGCAACAACAGGGGTAACTCAGTCATGCCCAAATATGCTCTCCAGGCTATGGCCGAGCAGGACAATGAAGAGTTTGCGACAGTGCAAGAGCGGTCAGACCGCAAGGGTTCCAGCAGCCGTCGACCGGCCCCGAAGAACGTCTCATGGAATGACGAGCGCCTCGTGGAATTCGAAGATGACAATCAGACACCAGAGCTGGAGGAAGACGACAGTGGCAGCAACAAGAGTGATGCCTGTGGTACTTCCGTCCGATCTGGAGTCAAAACTTCAAAGAAAAAAGCATCAACCAGTGGTCGCAGCAGCCGTGGCCAGGTGCAGAAGATAAGCCATGAGGCTGTCAGCGAGTCCGAGGGTGGCTCAGCCATCCCTGCTGTACCAGCTGCAACCCCCCGGTCTCGACGGGTGCGGCGTCTGGGCGACTCGACCGGTGTCTCGGGCACCCCCGTGAAGACTGGTAGTGGCCGCATCAGCAAGCCTCCCTCCGCCACGGTCCCTACCGATGGACCCTCAACTCCCCCCAAGGCTCGTCGCAAGCTGGTTCCCAAGTCTCCCAGCTCATCTTTGCTCCCGGCTCCAGTCTCCAAGGGAGCGGTTGGCACCGAACAGTCTTTTGTCAGCGGTATTCCTATGCGCACAAACAACGCCTCCAGCGAGGGATCGAAACGGAAGAACACGCTTCAGTCTAGCGCAGGATGCACCCCCATGCCACGCCGGGTCCGGGCGCGGAATTGATCGTATAGAAATTCCCTCGGGATCGGTGTTGGTGGTGGCTTTTGTATACTTGAGCATTTGATGCCGTGTTTCCCATACACAATGGAGTTTTGCTTTGTTTTTGTTTTTCAAGATACCATGGTCGTTTGTTTTGCTTTTGCTTTGTTATTGTTATTTTCAAATGTATTGGAAATTATTCTCGTAGCTTGATGATCAACGCCGTAACCGCAGTCTAGACCCCAGGGCTTAGAAGTGTTCATGCGGAATGACGTCTGTGCCGCTGCTAATGCACGTCGGTCTTGGTGGCTTCCTATCTGATCAATTGGGGCTGAGCATTGACCCGCTCGTGCTAGACTTGTCCTCCTCTCTGCGGAGTGTTGGCAAAGTGATTCCCCCGGTTGTCCGGCGCGGTCTCCGAGATGTATGGGGTTAGTAGTGGAGGTGGAGCAGGTCACTCGCAGGACTATGCTGTCTACTACGTCTCGCAGGTTTTTGAATGGTTTAGAGTCTATGGCGGCACTGGTCCTGAAGTTCAGATCGATGTTAGAATTGACTGAGCACCCAGGCAAAGACCACACGGCATCTCCAACTACCTTGATCTACTAATCATCCGTGCCTAGGTCCCTGCACGCACATCTCGGCCCGGCCACCGGTGGATTCCCGACATCAAAGCACTCAGTATACAAACCAGAGTCGCTGTCGATGCTGAGCCCGAGAAAACGAAGTCAAAAGTCCAGCAACACAGACCCCCCAACCTAGAGCCTTAAATTCCCGTATTCTCGTCACGATCAGACCACGACTTCGAAGCAGAGTTGCCAATCAGACGGGACAACACCTCGTCTAGGTTCAGTCGAAGTGGATATCCAAACACTAGCACTAGTCCCCAGTAACTAGTACCCCATTTCAACACTCACCAAACTCTCACACGCCAGTACCGAGTACAAACACAAGACAAAAACACGAATGTCAAAGCGCATCCACAATCTCGGCCCGCACGCACCAATACTGTACACATCCGGCCACCCGGTGTTATAAACCTCAACGGCGCACTCCGGCTTCACCCGGGTAACGTCCAATTGGGAATGCTTGAGCGTGCAGCGCTAAGACTTGGGTGGCTGCCGTAGCGCAGGGCAAACTTCGAGCCACACGCGGGACCACAATCGTGCATAAGCCGGAGCACTCTGCTCCTGTTTCCATTGACGGTGCTCCATGCTCCCGAATTAGACAATGGTCTGCGAGTGTCAGGGTGTGACCCATATGTTCTACGTGGCCAGGTACGGCCAGGAAGTGTAGCCAGGCACGGTGTAACGTTGCGAAAATGGTTGTTTTGGGACATTGAGGAATTCTTTGGCTTGGGGGAGGGCGGGTGGCTGACCCCGCTATTGGTTGTGTTTATTTCCAGGGTTGCTTTTGACTTCCGGATCCTCGGACATTTGGCATTTTGAAAATACGTGGGCTGTACATTCAATACCAGGCTGTTGCAATTCCGCATATGCAAATTGGTCCGAGTCTCATATAGGGGACGCAATGGTTTGGCAGTGGGCGTAGATCCCCGCGGGGACGTGGCTGCCGATGAGTCGGGTGGGCGTGTTTTACACCTGTCGGTTATGGTCTACGAGAGAAGAAGAGATTTTTTATTCGGTTGACCACTCTCGCAGCCAAGGATATAATTCATTCCTCGTATTCCTAAAATGGTACTAGGTATCGTCGCTTTTGATGGTTTTTTAAGCAGAAAGGTTCTTGGCGGTCTCCTCGGGCCAGACATCGTAGCCGAAGGTGTCCTTCATGTTGACGAAGCGGAAGTGGCGGCCCTCGGCCACCTTGTTCACGGCCTCGAAATCGGCATCGGACAGCTCGATGCTCTTGAAGTTGGACTCGATGCGCTTGGGGTTGGAGGACTTGGGCAACACGACGTAGCCGCGGCGCAGACCCCAGGCAATCAGAACCTGGGCGAGGGTGTTTCCACCCTTCTCGGCGATCTCGTTCAGGGTCTTGTTTTCGGCGACACGCTCACCGGTGGTGGGGACCTGGTTCTGCGAGCCCAGTGGCGAGTAGGCCTCGGGCATGATGTTCTTGGAGAAGCAGTAGTTGACCAGCTCGGTGTTGGGCAGGAAGGGGTGGATCTCGATCTGGTTGACGTGAGGCTGCACCTTGGCGAACTTGGCCATGTCCTCCAGCTGAGGGATGGTCCAGTTGGACACGCCGATGGACTTGGCCTTGCCGTCGGCGTACAGCTTCTCCATCGCGCGCCATGTGGTCTCTTGGTTCTCGGTCAGGTCCTTAAGGATGACGTACTGCAGAATTGGTTAGCTTAGATTTGGCGCAAGATATTTCCCACCACATACCTTGCCATCGGGGCCGATCTTGGGCTTCTCCTGGCCGTCCTTCTCGGCAGCAATGGGCCAGTGGACCAGGAAGAGGTCGACGTAGTCCAGCTTCAGGCGCTTGAGGGAGTCCTCAACGGACCACAGAACGTCGTCATAGCGGTGCAGGTGGTTCCACACCTTGGTGCAGACGAAGATATCCTGGCGCTTCACGGAGGGGTTCTCCTTCAGGAAGTCACGGATAGCATCACCGACCTCTTCCTCATTAAGATAGTACCAGGCACAGTCGAGGTGACGGTAGCCGACCTTCAGGGCGCACATGACGGCATTGTAGGTCTCGCCCTTGGAGCCCTCGCTGGCGAAGGTGCCGAAGCCGACGGCGGGGATCTTGACCCCGTTGCTCAGAGTGAAAGTCTTTCCGTTGGACATTATGATTGAACTGAATAGATTGAGAAGAATGTAGAGAGGGAAAAAAGATGAAGAAGACGAAGTGGGGGTTTAACGAGCTCTTCAAGCGATGACGCTGTTATGGTGGGCGGTGGGGTATTGGAGGGGTAAAAGGTGCAGCTTGATCTTCCCCTCCTATACCCTTTCTACACCTTGAACCACCTCATACCTCGCTATGGCCATCGGAATCCCCGCGTCGATCCCCTCAGTGATACATCTGCCTTGACCGTTGGGGCCTCGGGTTCTTCTATCTGCAGGCATGGCCGTAGCTAAGAACAACTCTTGTCCCAAAATTTCAGCCGTGTAATTTTCAAATGTCGCGCTGACATCACAGGCCCCGAAACAGCTCTGGCATTTGGCCCACCCGACCGTCATCGGCTCCATCGATCTCATGCGTTCCACGGGCGGACTGACCTCGTCGCCAATAATGAGGCCGCTTCGGGCGAGGGGGCCCATTTCCGGCCCGCTCGGTGTCCTGCGCTGCTTCAAGTCGGCCCACGATTGCCCGCGTCTGCCCAATCACCGGCCATCGATTGAGCCCGCACCGGAGAGGAGAACTCCAGGTATTGTGTACGCGAACTGATGCGTTGATGGCCTGCCCTGACGCAGGTACCCTATACCCCTCCTTGCATCCTTGGGGCATAGCGCTCCCGCTCCTCCAACCGCAGTATCAGCGATCCCGATACACCAATTCCAATGACGATAATTCCTAGGAATCGCGCGTTGGTGCCGACCACCGAGTGGGGCCTCCCCCCTCCTTCTCCATGCATACAGACGACCAGATGCTACTTTCTTGTTTTGCCCAATTGAGACCGGTTTTGTCCTGTGGCCATTCATATACTCCACTTTCATCTCCGTTCCTGTCATCCTCCTATTTATTGATTGATTCTTCCCGTTTTATTTTTCTCCATACTCCCCACTGTTTCTCATCCCCACTGGATCCTGGTATACCTCGCCGGTGATCTTCCCTCCATCGACGCAAACCCCCTCCCGCTTTCTTCAATACCTTCTTCTCGCACAATGTCTCGCTTCGACGATTCTGCTCCTCAAGGGGCCACCCGCCCGGGTATGCCTCGCACTAATAGTGCTGCTCCTCAGCGGCCGACTCGCCCGGGAATGTCTCGTACCGCCAGTGGTATGCTCATCCCGGGTGATGCTGGAAAGGTCGTTGAGGTCCCCGTCAGCGGCAGCTCTATCAGCGACGCTGCTGCACTCATGCATAACCTCAGTCTGTCGCCCTCCATGAAGGAGCGCCGGAGCTCGCGCAACTCCTTTGGCACATCGCTCCCTATCCCGCGCTCACCCCGCCAGTCTCGCCTGGGGCTGAAACGTCCCGCTTTGTCTCAGGACATTCTAGCCTCGCAGGTGCAGGACATGTCCAAGGAAAAGGTCGAAGCCGCTAAGAACATGGCTTTCGCCTTCGACATTGACGGTGTCCTGGCACATGGTACCGAGCCCATTCAGGAGGCCAGACAGGCCTTGAAGATGCTCAATGGAGACAATGAGCTGGGAATCAAGATTCCATACATTCTTCTTACCAACGGTGGTGGTAAGACCGAGGAGGCTCGCTGCAAGCAGCTGTCGGAGATTCTGGAGGCCCCCATCTCCACTCAACAATTCATTCAGTCGCACACCCCTATGCAAGCTCTGGCAGAATACTATGAGACTGTTCTTGTCTGCGGTGGTGAGGGTTACAAGGTTCGCGAGGTTGCTGAGACCTACGGCTTCAAGCATGTCGTGCATCCAAAGGACATTATGGCATGGGACCCCACTATTTCCCCGTGGGGAACCTTTTCAGAGGAGGACCGTGCCGATGCTAAGCCCCGCGACTTCTCTAAGATGAAATTTGACGCTATCCTGGTCTTCGCCGACTCCCGTGACTACGCCACTGATTTCCAAATCATCATTGACCTGCTCCTCTCCGATAACGGCAAGCTCCTGACCCGTGCGGAGGATCCTGAGAACAGCGGCATCCCTATCTATTTCTCTCAGGGTGACTTTGTCTTCGCGACCGCCCACAAGGGCCCTGCCCGTCTCACCCAGGGTGCCTTCCGTATTGCCATTGAGGCTCAATACAAGGCTGCCACGGGTGTCGAGCTTGAGCGTATCGTGTACGGCAAGCCGGAACGCGCCACCTACACGTATGCCGACGAGGTGCTCAAGAACTGGATGGAAGAGATCCACAACGAGAACCGTCTGCCAAAGAATGTTTACATGATCGGTGACAACCCTCAATCAGACATCGTCGGTGGCAACATGTACGGCTGGAACACTTGCCTTGTCCGCACCGGTGTCTACCAGGGCAAGGAGGGTGAGAATGATACGAATAACCCTGCCAACTTCGGTGTCTTCGACCACGTCATGGACGCTGTCAAGGCTGCCGTCCGCAAAGAGCTCGGCCACGACTTCGAGTTCAAGTGGAACCCCAAAGTCAACCCTGTCCTCGGTACTGAGGGTTCTTCTGCTGTTGAGTAAACATCACCCAAAATTACGAATTATGAGCCTCCGCTCCGTCACGCTTGGGAAGGTTTCTGTGGCGTTTCTGCATTTTCGTTGCATTGGTAGACTTGTCTCGAGTCCTTTTTGCATGTTCCCCATGGTTTTCCTGGTTGAATAATGGGGTCCTCCGGGCTTCGGGACATTTGATATCCGCCCATTCTCGGGTTCTATTTTTTTCTGAAGGCAGATTTAGATTAATCGTGGCTTTATTTTATTCCATATTTTTTTCAGCTAGACTGGATCCTTCTGTTCTGGCCGGATGTGCCGATACTGCAGACATGCGTCCGCAGTATCTTTTCCTTCTTGAATGTTGATCATATCTATACCAATTCAATTTTTTGTGGATCAAGTCCTCTCGCATCCTGCAATAACGTAGGTCGGTCTGGTGTCTCGGATCATTAAAGCGTCGTTGATAACAGTATGGCATCGCTCGTATGCTGGTTGATCTTATCATTTAGAATCAACGAGGTCTACAGGGTTGCCCTTGCAAGGGTTATCCACATCAATTGGCAGCTCAAGGCAGGCAGGAAAATGAACTCCGTGAAAATAGACCATATGGTCTGTGAAACCCATTTAATAATGGTGTTTTGCAAATTTATCGCCAAACTATGAACTCGGCATCTAGAACACACGAACATCTCGGCAAAACATGACGCTAGTTAATAAAAAAATAAGTTTAAAGAATCCTTGCGAAATTCAATCAAACGCTCAGGCACATCCCGCACTCCCCCAATATGCAGGGAATCTTGGCGCGGGTGGCAAAAATCCGGCCCTACCCTAGGCCGCGGGTAGACGCGGTAAGGAATTTCCAGATCGTGATGTCTTGTGACCTGTCGGATATTTTATAGTTTGATGCTCGCATCCAGCCACATGGCACCGGTTCCTGCACGATTCCCTGCACCGAACCCCCGGCTTTACCTTGACAAAGCGGCAAGATGAGAAACCCTGCAGCTGCATGGGGCCTGGGGCCATTATGTAGGAGTTTAGATAGAATTGATGGGGTTAATCTTGAGGTTACCATGATCGTACTTTTGTTTAAAGGAGGCATGCGGCTAGCTTGGATGATCGATGAATTTCAAGACCGCTCGTAGCTGATCCCGTAGATGGGAGCGAGACTAGGTGGTTTGAGCAATCCCATGAGGACTCGATATGCTCCAAATAACCATGAGAAAGATCTAAACGAGGAGGTATTATGTTGTTCGTGATCTCTATACAAATCCACGGTGGAGTCACGAACGGGCTAAACATTTAAAAGGGACAAGCGTGTTCCCAGAAAGTGGAGCCCCTTTAACCCTAGTCAGGAACTAGCCTCATGCCATTATATCCGAACCGAAACCAGGATGTTGCTATTCAGGACCTACTATCCCTTCTTTTTAGACTTTGCTCCTTTTACTGAGCCCATCTGTGATTGATTCTTTTTGTTTTGTGTGTTGGAGTCCCTATGGGAGACCCGTGGACACATGTCCTTCCGCACCTGGACAAGCCTTGAGGCAAGAGTTCACTTGAGAGCATGCGTAATCGTCCTGGCGCAGCGAAACATTTTCTTATTGTTATGATTGTAATTCAATCGGTGATCAATTAAGTAGTCTTCCCTAACTAAGCCTCGGCAATCCTAACTACTATATAGCCTCGTGCGAGGCGTTCGAATGTTTTATCACAAACCACAATTGGAGATTTATAACAGAATACCCTTCCCCTGCCATTCACCATCCCCGCAAGTTTCTCGTTTTATTCTTTTGAATTAAATTCCATGTTTTTCGAGTAAGAGCCGCGCTTTTTTGCTCGAACTCATTGATTGGAGACAAAGTGAAGTGAGATAAGCGATGAGAAATGAGGGTGGCTTTGCCTCCAGCTTACGAAATAAAAGATGTGAAAAAGACTCAGTGGATGGACTCATGATGGTGTGATGCAACCCGCGATATATTCATCTACGCAGGGTCAGTGTCCGTACACTCTCCAAAATAGCCAAGTTAGCTCCACGGGACACACAACCCAGGTTAGTTTGATAAGATCCAGCCGTCTCGGGCTAATTACCTGGATGAATTTGGAGGCAACTACACATATACTGCAAAGCAACCGGATATGGAAAATGGTACGAGTTGGGGACGAAGCCTCCGGCGCATACATGTACGTCGGAGATCAAAGTGGATCAGGGCGATCACCACGAGCCCCACCCTACGTTGGCAGTCGATCGTACGTTGTCCCTTGAGAATCGCATCATTCTCCGAAAGACGGAGCAAGGCAGCAGGCATAACGTCATCCGGCATCCCGATCTCGACAGTTATGTACGAGGTATGCTGGTTGACTTTGAGAATCAAGCCTTTGCCAACCCTGCTGTTCAACGTAGTTGGAAGACGCAGTGCTAGTCAGCATCCCAATATCGGGGGTGCTCAGACAAAGAATGCAGGGCTGGGCTAGGAAGTGCTGCCGAAGGATTCCGGTCGGCTATAGCATAGCTAAGCTGGCTTTGGCCAGTCCATCGGTCAATAGACAGGACACGGGAATAATGTCGGTGAGCAGGAAACCAAGGTGACTAGTGTAAGGGGGAGGGGAAACTACGGAGTAGGTGCCAAGGACACTGAGACACCGAAACAGCCGTATAAAGGGTCAGGTGATATTCCATTAGGTAATAGCGCGCGTGTCCCCGCACGGATCGGCTGCACGGGCAAATGAAACGCGCAGGAATCGTGGTAGCAATTAGGTAACGAGAACTCTTTTCTTCGCACTCCGGGGTACATACTGGAGGGGCATGGGACATGAGGCATGGAAATGCCAAAGGTGACATTGAGGCGTGATCCAGGTGACCCGGGCTTGGTCCTATCGGCGGCTCGGGGTTGAACCAGCCCGCCGGACACGCTTGCCCAGACCGGCGGTTTGAGTTATGTCATAGATATTCCCGGGGATAATGGCGGTTGGGGTCGCAACATAATGCGATTCTCTTAGGCTTTCGATTTGAAGTATGAACTCCGCGGGCAAACAAGCAAAGATAGATCGTTCGGAGACGGCAGTTCCCGATGACGCCATGTTTTCCGCTTGCATAACGAGAGGGTCAAATTAAAAAAAAGAACATTCAAAAAAAAAAAAAAAAAAAAAAAAGGGCAAATCGGGCTGCAGGGGTAGCTTCTAACTAACGACGAACTAAACCGACTCTGGCCGAAGACTCGCCCCCGGGTTACTTTTAAGTACTCGAGTACTTCGAACGAAATGAAGTACAGCCGCCACCATTTTGCCATTTGCCCCAATTTACTTTATACCCTCTCTCGACTCTTCGAAGCTCTTTCCAACCGAATGCGATCGGTGGACCACTCCTTTCCCCGCTAAGACAGCGCAACGCCGGGTCGGCCTTTTCCGTGACTAACAGCTTCACCAATTTTTCTTCCCCCGCCGCCCCTCAGCGCCCATTTTTAACAGCCCTAATCCGTCTTTGCCCTTCAACAACCTTCTTATTGACCGGGAAACTCTTTTTGCCTTTGTGGAATCCGGGGAAGCTGCCTATTACTCGCCAGCCTTTCAGAAATTTCTTTTTTTCGTTTCCACCCTACTCCAAAGGTACCTCCCGATTTTACAAAAAAAAGCCCGCGTGCCCTTTATAGAGGGCCCGCTCTCTATTTTCTCACACCATGGCGGCCGTCTCTCCTCCTGCTTCTCAGAAGAAGCCGATCGTCATTCGCCTCAATAGCAACTGCTGTGGCGATCATCACTCGCGAGACTCCTCGCCTTCCTCGTGCGACACCCCCGACGGCTCCAGTTCCAGGCGCCCGTCCTTTGGCTCCATCAAAGAAGACGTCGACGGTACGTGCTCTAGGCAACCTGAATTTTACGGTTACTGACATTGTCGTATCGTCCAGGCATTGCGCAGTCATTCGTGGACACCCACCACGCACCCTCCCCAAAGGAGCCGCGCAAACTGGAACTCCCCGAAATGCAGCAGACTCCGGACTTTTGCTGTCCCTGTGGAGGCTTTCTAGGCTGGAAGCAGATTCGTCTCGGTGGAAGAGGCCTGAGTCGCAGCTATAGCGATCTACGTGGGTTGGGAGGTATGCAGGCCAAGGGTTGGGCTTGGGAAACTACCGATTCCGGAAAAGAACTGAAGCCGCCCCAGGCTCCCGTGGTCGTGGAACAAGAACTGCAACCGTCGCCTGCTCCTGGTACGTCGGCTCTTGAGAAGCTGCCACCGGAGGTTCTTGGTAAGACCCGCTCGCGCGCAAATTTATGCTTGTGTACTGACCTCCGCCTCCAGATCAAATCATTTCTCACCTGGCCCTGGATGTGCCGCCCAATGGCTACACTCCGCGCAATGTTGACCTGGTCTCGTGCGTCCTGGCCTCGCGCACGTTGCATGCGGCGACCTTGAGCGTGTTGTACAGGAACATGACCTTCCCGCACTCCATTATCTTCTCGAAAGCGCTCAATCATATGTTGCAGTATCCCGCGCTCGGCACCCTGGTGCGCCGTCTGGACTTCTCGCATTTTACCTCTGTCGGTCTGGGTCGCACCAAGCAGATGAACGCCGAGATTCAGAACTTGACCTCGCGCACTCTGATGCAATGCCTCGATCTTCTGCCCAACCTGAAGGAATGTCTTCTGCAGGAGCACCTCGAGGAGGATATCAATGTGGATGTTATTCGGAAGCTGTTCATGGATCTGCCGAACCTGCGTGCTCTGGACTTCTGCGGCTGCTCCACCCAAAAGTTCTCCCAGAAGTTCACCGAGGCTCTGACTGGCGGCCCGCCTTTGCCCATGAGCATGCCCAATCTCCAGCGACTCTCGCTCCACGAATGCAGCACCATTCCGGCATCCCTATTTGACCTTCTCTTGCCGCGTTTGACCAACCTAACACACCTCGACTTGACCCACACCCAGGTCAATGACTCTGCTCTCCTTGCCATCCCCGAAACGGCTCGCATCACCCATCTGAGCGTGTCACGATGCACCCGCCTTCGTCCCTCTGTGCTAGTGGAGTTCCTGACCACTCACCCCGCCGTCCGCGATTCCCTAGTTTTCCTCAACCTCTTGACGGACCCGACCCGCTTCCGCCTCCTGGAAGAGGATGACGTGACAGCTCTACTGCCCAAGCTTCCTGGGACTATGCGCTCCCTGAATCTCGGAGGTGCAAGGGTTACTTCAGACCATGTCCCATTACTGGTTCCTCTCACCAAACATTTGGAGGAACTTGGCTTGGCCTCTGCTGATCTCTCCGTGAATGACGTGAACTCATTCTTTGCTCGCTCGCGCCGGACTGAATCTGGTGCTGAGGAGAGCCTGCCTCCCAGTACTCTCTGCTACCTTGATCTTGCCAAGGTCCCCCAGATGACCATCGGCTCGATCTTCAACACCACCTCGTGCCTCCTGCTGTCAGACCAGAGCTACCCATTGCAGGTGATCGAATTCCATGAGAAGATCATCAATCCGCTCCTCGAGCGTAGCAAGACTCAGCGAGCCTCGGTGGGCTGGACTGTGCGGGAGCTTGGCCGCCGTGGCTGGTATGTCCGTGACCCGTCATCCATGTCCAACGCGCCACTCGACGACGGCTCTCGCTCCTGGAAGATGGGTGCCAGATGGTGGGGTATGCGCAAGATCCCGATGGCCGTGGGCGACGTCGGTGGCCTCTACGGACACTACATGTTCAAAAAATGATTCTTTCCCTGGAACGGTTTTTTCTCTGGTGTTGCTTGATGGAAAAGCATCCTGATTTGCTCTTGGTTCTTTTTCTTGTTTGTTGGTGTTAATACCCTTGATCATTTTGCCTCTGCACTTACGTCTTTAGGTGGACTTTTGAGTTTTTCCGACGATTACGATATGATGATATCCGGTCTATGCATGGCGGCGCGCAACATGGCTTACGAATTTCGGCATTCTAGCTCCTGGCTTCGGGTTCGTGCTCTCTATCGCGTCTGTTTACTTGTTTTGCATAGCATTCAGGATCTCTTCAGCGTTTTTGCGTTTTATCTTGCTGCATCTGGCGTTGATATGATTAACTCGTCGTACGCATCACTCTACTCATACAATTTTTGCATAAGACATATGGCCCATACATCAGATTTAAGTAGTCTGACAATAGATAAATTGGCATTAAAGCATCTAGAACAGAAGAGAGAAATCCTGTGGTCAAAAGTATTGACACCACGCGCGGGGTCACGTGAGACATTCCAGAACAGCTGCGGCTCTGAGCTGCGTCTTTCACATTCACCCGCTGCTCCAAACACCTTAAAGGCACCGGTCTTTTCCTGCTTCACTTACCCCGGTGAGATTGGCTCATCCAGATGGGTGGTATCATTGTCGCAGCCCAGGACAGTGGAAGCTGTCTCGACACGCGACGATGGCACCTCCGAGCGGAGCAGCCTCATACAAGAAGAAAGACGGCGCCTTGACGCTGAGCCAAGATGAGGAATCACTCACCTGGAACCCGAGTACCGGTGGTGCCGCAGCTTTGACGATTCCTGTGTCCAGAATCACAAGTATGCCAGCTGTTTTGACCTGCGCCAACCGCCACTTTGCTAACGACTCGGTGATGCCTAGATTTACAGCAGACCCCCGCAACGGCTGCCAAGGTGATGCTGAAGATTTTCGCACTGGCTGCAGATGCTCCTCCGAACGGCACACCGGACACGTACACCTTCCAGTTCACAGCCGGGGCAGACGCCCGCCCTCAGGCTGATGCTATTAAAGATGCGCTTAGCGCCCGAGTTAATGCGGGAAAAGCGGGGACGCCGTCAGCGGCGACACCGACGCCTGGTGGTAGTGGAGGAGGCATTTCGGCGGCGATGGCAATCGCGAATGCTGTTTCCTCGGCCGCCGCAGCGAAGAACCCGTGGGACGACGATAACCGGCTCAAGGGCGACGTGGAGCTTCAGCAGTCACTGTTGAAGGCAGACCCTGCGTTACAAAAGATGTTCATGGAGTCTATGAAGACCAAACCGGAGAAGTTGACATCCGGCCAGTTCATGTCGCAGTTCTGGTCTACTCGACTCCATCTCCTTCGAGCGCACGCTATCGAACGCGCCCAGACCCGCGGCTCGTATAACGTCCTATCTTCACTGAAGCCGCGCGTGGAAGACAATGTGACCAGGCTGAATATCAGCAAGGAGCAAATCCAGCTTATTTTTACGCAGCACCCGCTCGTCAAACGTGTGTACGATGAGAATGTTCCCAAGCTCAGCGAGCAGCAGTTCTGGTCACGGTTCTTCCAAAGTCGACTGTTCAAAAAGCTGCGTGGCGAGCGTATCGGAGAAGCAGATGCCACTGACGCCGTTCTGGACAAGTATCTCCGAGACGAAAACCCAGATGCGAACCGCGAGACTAATGTCCCGCACTTTCTGGATATGGCTGCAAATGAAAGCCATCACAGTCAGCGCCGTGGAAATCGGCCTGATCTTGACATGCGTCCCTCTGGCGTGGACAAGGTGCCCATCATTCGCACCTTGAATAGTCTGAGTGAGAAAATCATGGCCAACGTCGCGCCCGCCGATGGGGATATGAGTGCTCCAATTGGCATGGACGAAGAGGCTTTCAAGGAGCTCCAGCTACAAGACCTTCGCGGTGACGAGGCACAGTCTCGTATCACGTTAAACATCCGCGATCAAAATCGCTTCTTCTCTCAGGCCCAGGAGGACGACCAGAACAAGGCGTTTGCCCAGCAGGACCCGGACCTGATTCTACAGAAGCTCCGCGCGGAGATTACGCAAAGTCTCCCGCTTGGTGGCAGTGCACCGCTCCAGAAGCTTGTGGACCCTGAAGACGATGAAGACGAGGAAATGGAAGATGCACCAGCCAGTCGACGCCCAGTTGGATCATCTGCAGCTCTACACGACGCATTCTCCCAGATCCTCGGTGCTGTGCGCGAGCGACGGACTCAGATGAGCGAGGCCTCGGCGTCCGACACCTTCGGTCTCTCGATAGGAATCTACGACCGATTGACACTGACACATGCGACCTCCACCGAATTTCTGCACCAGTTCTGGCAGGCATTCCTGTCAGGAAATCCGGACCGGGCCGGAGAAGTTGCGTCGCTATCGGAGTCTCTAGACCGTGCATTGGAACGCATACAGGTGGTGGCAAAAGACGCAGAAGCAGAGCGACAGGTTGAGGTAGAAAAACTCAAAAACCACGCGCGCGATGTATATCAACAGACCTCAAAAAGAATCAGGGTCAACCTGGACGCTGTGGAGGGCGGCGCCCAAATCGTGAACCAATTGCTTGGTCCCACGATACACGCCTTGCAGCAGGCCCTGGGGAAGTATAACCAGGCATTAAAGGAGGAGATGGCGAGAGAATCCGCCGGTATGGCTTTGTAGATGAGACCAAAAAGAAATGGGCGTTTATGGGAATGAACTGTACTATATCACAAATACCATTTGCTTTGATTTGAATTTATGCATTCTGAAATTAGTGTGCCCCGTACTGGGACTATTCATGGACTAATGTACATTTATAGATCAACTCGGCATGCCGAGTTCCCCAGATCGCCGACGTGCCATCTGGCCTCCCTTCACATCTCCACTCTCCAAACTCACCTTCAACAACCACCCCAAACAAACTCAATGAGCCCTCCAACAATTCCCTTCTAAAAAGCCCGGCTCGTCACCACCACCCCCCAACTGGCCTCAACATGCTCACATCCGGCCTCACCAATACCCCGCTCACCAAGTCCCTCCTTGTCTACTCCATCACGTCATCAATCGCGCTCTCCCTTTTCGACATCAAGCACCTGGCCACCATCCATGTCTCTCCACACTTCTGGCCCTACGCGCAGTTCTGGCGTGCGCTAGTCTGGCAAGTCGCCGGCTTTTCCAATTCCACCGAGGCCCTCTTCGCCGCCATGCTGGTGTATCACTTGAGAGTCGTGGAGCGCGCTTGGGGAAAACGGAAGATGGCTGTGAGTTTCCCCAAAGAACGCCCAGGAAACAGATATTAATATCTTCTAGACATTCCTTCTCACCACGCTGCCTTACACAACACTCCTTCCACCCCTCCTCCTCTCCCTCGTCGTCAGACCTCTCTCTCTAAACACCCTCAATTACCTCCCCTCCGGCCCTACGGCAACTGTCTTCGCCCTGCTGGCACAATACTACGCGACAATCCCACACACCTTCCGCTACCGCATCGGGACGACATCCCCACCCCGTGCCAATAACAGCAACAACAACAACACAAACACCCCGAAACCCGAACCAACAAGCCTCACCCTCCTCCTCTCCGACAAATCAACCACTTACCTAGTAGCTGCGCAGCTCGCGCTTTCGCAGTTTCCCGCCATGCTTATCCCATCCGTGGTGGGCTGGGTTGTCGGCGTTGCGTGGCGCGCGGAGCTCCTGCCGGGCCTCTCGCCTTCTAGCCACGGGTTCCGAGTTCCGGCTTGGTTGGTTGGCGAGAGGGAGAGACGAGGTGTTGCGAATGGTGGGAGTAGTGCGGAGCGGGAACGGTATGAGGATTTGAGGAGGAGGTTGGAGGGAGAGGTTGCGGCTTCTACTTCTGTGGATGGTGGGCAGAGACGGAGTGGGAGTGGGGAGGAGAGTAGTGGGCTCATGGAGAGATTGAGAGGTGCATTTTAAAGATTTGATGGGGGCTATGCTCCAGTTTAGTGTGAAACAATGCTCTATGTGAAACAAACAAGCTTGGATTCGTAATTGGGTTGTATCGTTCGTTGTAAATGAGTAGATATCGATATCCGGATATTCAGGAGCGGAGGTGTGATATGAGTTTCTATTCCAGATAGATTTACCGCCCGTTGCGACTCCGTCGCATATTCTCTTTGCATTCGTTGCAAAACCATTTCACTGTGTCGGGTCAGTATAGTTAAGGCATGAAAAGAGAGAGAGAGACACTCACCATTCTTCCCAGGCGGTTTGGTCAACCCCACACACGACAGGTGGAACCATTCGCGCGGACAGGCGTCATTATCGCACGCAACCATCTCGCCAAAACTGACCTGATCGCAGTAGCAGTACCGGGGCTCACCATCCTCGTCTTCGTCGTCGCCTTCATGGAGGGACTCTTCATCGGAGGGGATGGCGGGTACCGGGATTGCGGGTTTCTTCGCGTTGCGCTTGGGTGCCGGGTCGTTACTTCGCGTTGGCCGCGCGCGAGGCTGAGTTTCGGCGAATGTGGAGAGGATGGGTGTTGAGGTCTTGGAGTTTCGCCCTTTGCTTGTTTCGGACTCGTGGGAGTCAATGGGTCGCCCGTCCATGTCGTCGCGTTTGCTTCCTGCTGGTACTGATGTTCGGCTGCTTTCGTCGTAATCTCGTCCATCTGGGATAGGGACTTCGTTCTTGAGGGGTCCGTCGCGAGGTGTGGATCTGGGGTCGGAGGGTTTGACTGAAGAGAGAAAGTCTGTGTTAGATGATTATCGGAGGGTAGGGGAGTAGAGTTAACATACAGGCATTAGGTTGGCCAAGGCGATTTGAGGCTGATGATGAAGGCCGCTGTCGAGCGTTGCTGGTCTGTCCAGCATTTTGCTGAGTTCTGGAAGATTGCGGTCGTGCTGGGTTGGGCCCAGGGCTGGCGGCACCGCGCGGGGCATTGAAAGTTCCGATAAGAGGAGAAGGTGCTAATACAGGAGATCCGGCATTGGATGTGGCATTGGTCCTAGGGGATCGGTTAATTGCGCGTCATTGGAGTAGAGGGGGCGTACGTACTTTTTCCGCGCTGCAGCGGCATTGGGGTTGGGCGCGCGAGATCGCTTCTTCTCTGCACCATCCTTGGATGAAACCCGCTGGCTTCCTGCGCCGCTGACGGTGCGCTCCATGGGTGTGCCCAGATCCATTGCCGCAGGTCGTTCCACCTTCCGGCGCTTGGCTGCGGCGCTTTGATCTGCCGTTGCGTTATCTCCTCGGGATCTGGCGGTATTCGCCTTGCGAGGGGCGCGAGTATCCTCATAGTCCGCATCGACGTTCCCCCGACGTTCCTTCTTGCGCGCCAGGACAGCTTCGCGCCGTAGCTCGCTGCGACTGGCGGCTTCAGCCTCGTGCAGCGCGTGCACCAAGTCCTGTCGCTGGTTCACAGCTTCACGGCGCGGCCGCTCGTTGGTCGCGGCCTTCGCAGCACTCTTATTAGAGTAGGCCCAATGTGACAGACTACCCAGACGAGCCTCGTCGCTTATCTCACCCGCGATGTACGGGAAAACGGTATCCAGGCGGACGATTTGACGGTCCATTTCTTCATTCGCGTTGGAAATGACATGGTTCTTTTCGTCGGTAGTCATCATGAGATCGGAGAGGCTTTGCCGTACGCGATCGAAGAGGAGTCGGCGGTTTTTGCTCTCGGGCAACTCGGGAGGCTGAGAAAGCTCCTAAGTAGAGATAAGGCAATCAATACGATTTCATCCAAAACACTTTCCTGATAACAAGGTCTGCTTACCTTTGGCAAGACATCCTCCCGAATCACCCCACCGACAATGGGCGCCGGGTGGGGAGGATGAGGGACAGGTTGCGACTCAGAGGAATCCTGCAGTAACTCAAGCAAATTTTCTTCGAGCGCCCATGCCTTAGCGTCGACTTCCTTCAACAATGAATTGTGTCGGCGAAACTCGCGCGGGAGGGCGGTGATCGCATCGGTAAAATGGGTGAGGGCAGGGTAGAACCCAACAGGAACAGGGGGAGTGGAAGGAATGTCGACCGTCGAGCCTCGACCGAACCCGAAAGATGACCGACCGATAGTTTTGGAGGTTCGAGAGGGGTTGGTACGAGTTTGGCGAGCGGATTGGCGTACTCCCTGACCCTGGGGATTCATGGCTGACACCGAGACGGCCGACATGGTGTGAAGAGCAAGGTCAGGCTGGGGGTTGCACCGCTAGAAGAGCGCCGGGCGCACCTGACCCGATCGGAAGGGAAAGAAGGAAGATTAGAGAGAACAATGGTGGTGATAGGATGTTCCGTGCCACACACGTCCAACAAGAGCTCGTGCGGCAACAAAAAGACGGCGAGGGGAGGAGCAACAATCGTGAGTTTGCGTGCGGAGAAGAGCAATCGGATCAGGTGAGTTGATGCCTGTGGGGTCAGGCATGAAAGTGCTTAGTCAGGGTGTGTAGGGTGACGTCAGATCTGTCAGGTATACTTTGACTAATTCTAGTTGCCGCGACTAATATCGACCAATTCAGGTCCACCATGGCCCCTTATTAGGCCACACAAGCATACCTCAGTGCTATACTAAAATCTAACCTGTTTAGTCAATATCATAAGCCACAGGTCCTTCCCATCAGGTGGTTGGGAGGCAATAGACAGGACTGTTTGAAATGGTTAGGATCCACAAAACGCGCGCCACTCCGAGCCTGCAGATGCCCTAGATCCAACGGGCTGGTCGGCTAGGCGAAATCTCAAGAAACAAAACCTCGGGCAACGTAGCGCTTTCACGCCTGTGAAAACAAAGTTCGTGTTATGCGTTGCTAGCTGATCATAAGTGGGTTCAATACGCGAAGGTAACAGATACCGACTTATTGTTATGGAGGAGAATAAGTATATATGGTAAGTTTTTGTACACGGCCTTCCGGACACCAACTACGGATCCTAAGATGGCGACTTACAACTTTACCGTTTCTAGTTCGCTAGGCTTTATACGGACTTGAGTCTATAGAGACTTCTTCTTTGATGTGTTAGGTAAAGCGCTAATAGGGTTAGATCACTGAGCAGCTAGCCCGATTATACGATTTGTATTTAAGGTGCAGACGCTAGAAGTGGTCAACCATACCTTTTTTGCAATATTATGACCTATTACTTACCTTCATTACTTGAAATTGGACGCATGCTATTATTGATCTACAGCTTTGACTTGTATATTTATTTAACTTGAAATAGACACTCGCGGCCTGTCTCCTAGTCACAATCGTTGTTGCCTCGGGTTATGTTCTTTTCCTTATCAGCCGGACGCTATATCGGCAGTGGCAAGTAAGTACCTGATCGTCACAAAATATGAGTGTTAAATTGACCAAGGAACTCTACGATTCAGAATCATCATAGACTTTTAAAAATACCTGCTGCCGTCGCATGACACCTTGAAAAACTGAAAAAGGAAACGCCCAAGTTGTACACATCGCGATCGGACGAGAAGTCTCTTCAAAGCTTTAGTGTTTACCTCGAGAGCTTCTCCGATTCTCCAACCTCCGACCAAATCCGCCTCCTAAAAAGATGGGATGTTCTCGTTCTCGATCCTCTGCAATAGGGCATTCTCAATGCTCTCGCTGGTGAAGGCGCCGCCCCTCACACTCTCGGAAGACTTAATACTCGTAAGCTGGTTGCAACCGACAGTGGCTCGCATCGTGACGAAGTGATTCGTGCGATCAATGTGCTCACTACGACCATTGAGGACTATTTAAAGTACCCCTAGGATGCTCGCTATCTGTTCACTGGTGTCATTTTGGCGGACTGCTATAGGAATCTCTAGCCGGTTGTCTTGAATGAGGTTGTGAAATTTGTTAACAGTCTCGGTCTTAATGTCTGGATGGAGTTTGGGCCTTCTGAATACCTCAGTGAGCGCCAATGTCGTGAAATCAACTGGCTAAACATTCGCGGTGTTGTCTACCGTAATGGTACTATCCTGCTAAATAGTGATAGACGTAACTACTTTTAGATAGAGAAAATGCGAACAGTTATGAGAGTTGTCGCGGCATAGAAGCCTATTAGTGACTCCACTCTCGCGATGTGGCATATTATTTTCACACGGTCGCGTAGGGTGGATCGCGCTATGTCGTACAGTAATAGAAGTGATATCGTTGTTCCGAAAAACTTTGATTGCAACTTTGGTTCTTCTATCTCGTTGAATAAAGCCTCTTTTGTTTCTAGAGCAAACTAGTGGCCTGGTGAATGATTTTACATTGTAGGGGAGAAATAGAGACACGAACAATGGTGGTGGGATTGGTGGAAAAAACGTTAGGGATGGCACATTTTAGACAAGCGCATCTTCATTAAACCATAGGTATAGCGATGCATAGGTAAGTAAATAGGGTTCGAGGATAGATATGTCATTGAGTTAAAGTCAGCCATGCGCAAAGTGTAATAAAGTCTTTGGAAGTCGTTCAGTGGGTCTTGAGATATAACCCGGAATGCGCTGGTTCTTCACGCTTATGTTGACACTGTTCTACAATGCGCACTAACTAGACGTGTGATGCTCGTGTTCATCAAGCGGCGTCTATCTGCAATGAATTATTTACCAGGGAGCTCTGCTCATCGTTTCTCCAATTTGCTCTTCGTTCCCGAACAACTGGTAAACAAACATGTGTCGATCGCTGACCCCAAAGGGCTGGCACTACTACCCCCAGCAAACCAAATGCAAGCCCCAGAATGAGGGTGCTTTCTGAAGGTTCAGCAATACTACAAGCCCACTGAACCGAGTGCTATCGATGATGAAGATGAAGTAAGCGACCATGTCTCATGGTCAGACTCGGTCGGCCGAGATCCAGCGCTTACCACGAACTACTAAGAGCACGGAATATACCCTTTCGCTCATGTCTGACACCGTCGGCCACACATGATCCCAGTATAGATTGGGATTGGTGATATGTGAGTCACCTCCGGATACTTTGCGATTTCAAATCTGTTTTTGCAATGATATTCGCTTTTTCAGAAACCTCAGCCGTATGCGATTTTCCCTCAATGCCCGCTTCATTGCCGACTGGTATTGAAGCCGAGCTCACTGATTTAGTCTGAGTACGAGAACAAGGAATCTTGATTTTCCTTGATTTCATCTGTACATCCGACGCAGCACATGAAAATTCCATAGACCCTCTTGGCGGCAGAACCTCTCCATTCCTATCTGTCATTGGCGAAAGGTGCGTAAAGTAACGGGCCTCGGGAAGAACCGAAAGGGTCATCGGAAATTTTAAATTCTCTCTTTCCTTGATAAATCCATGACAGAGGGCCTCAAGGAACGGCCGTGGGAGCTCCTCTTGCCATCTATCAAACCTTTCGCTGGTTGACCTTCGCACCCATATATCCACTGCGAGGCAACGCAGTGGGGACTGAGGCAAGGTATGAGAATAGATATATCTGACAGTTTCGAGACTCATAAGGCCCATCGGCGAGTCGTCGGTCTTTGCGGTGCAGACCATTATCACAGAGTTCTGAAAATCTGCCATTTCAAATTTGCTGGCGAGAATCCAAAGCCGAACCAGGAAGTCCATTTTCTTACCCTGGAGCGCCTCCAGAGAATCATTACCACGATATATCCAAAGAATCAATTGGGCAAAAACCGGCGGATCATCGTCTGGGAAGCAGAGGACCTCGTCCGAAAGAGCTTGTTTAAATCGTTGCTGAAATAGGCTTTCAAAATAGGGCGAACAGGCACACAACAGCTCCAGATGGACGTCGAAGGGGACTTTCGAGACTCCCACGTCGATTTTTATAACACCGCCATTCAGGTCTCTATCAGCTTTTATCAGCATATCAGAACAAAATTGTCCGAGAGTAGCTACATACGATTCGACCAATTTGCTCCTCATCTCGATCGTTCTCGTTGAGCCCCTCTGAAAGATGATTTGGGGTTCAGACTCACGAGGATGAGTGCCGAGAATTCATTTCACAAAGGGGCCGTGGCTTCTAGTGACTACAGGAGTTAGTGCCAACAGGGGTGTTACGTGGCCAGCAATGCCACCTGATGATGAGCCAATAAACGAGCGCCAAGTTACCAAGACTCCCCTGACCTGGAAGAACACCTGCGCGCGCCGTAAAACCCCACCCTGGCGGTAATATGAAACAGAGATTCAATGATTTGGAATGTCTATGGAGACGCTAGAAATGCCACTTCTATCTATTGGGTTCGGTAGTCCATGGATATGGACCATTTCTTAGTACATCCAAGGAAGCTGAGCTTTTACGGATAACCAATTAATGATATATTATGATTAAGATACTTATATCATCCTTGGGAACCCTGCTGGTAGAAGCTAATTGCTGCCCATCCAACGGTCATGGGGCTTATGTCGTCAGGTGGGGTATCCCTAGGCGTAACACTGTGAGAACCTTTCGGGTCGGTGCGATTACCGCCCAGGCCGCTGAGCTGGCGATGATGATAGGTTACGCTCAAACACGGGTGTCTTGGCATCACCGCACAGCCCCGCTAAAGCTGTTCGATTGGCCCATTTATGCCTCGGCGATGATCTATTTTCCACCTCGGACAAACTATGGAGTCTCGGCCGGAGGCTGGTAGGGGCCGTTTAGGGACTTTGGGGCGAAAACTCCCATCGAGCAATTAAGTCACTAGCCGAATTCGAATCGACGAGGGCATGCACATCTCAACCAGAAAAAATTCATTACATCAGAGAAGCTTCGTGATTGCCTTTCAAGTGCTGAACCAAGATACCTAGTAAATACTCCAGTTCAGGCCTCAATGTATACGAAATGGCGAGTATACAGACAGTAAGTTGGACGAGATGAACGGTCACGTGTATAGCTAAACCCCAGTCTAGGACGTTGCAATGCTAGCCCATTGTGGCGTCACTGGTAGGGCGGCTGAGCGGCGTCCATCCTATCAGTTATTGCCAAGAATGTGGGCTGAGAACATTTGCCTGTACTCTGGAATGTGGGCTATGGACTGTTGCCTGTAATCTGCCTCGGAGGCGAGGTCGCATTCATAAAACCCTTTTCTTGGACGAACTGCTTGTTCCCGACTCTCAACATATCGCCAAGCCCTGATACCAGGAGCATATACTGTGTGCCAAAAAGACCCAGACAAGCATGCGGAGTCATGCAACAATGTGTCCTTCAATCATGATGAAGTTCCTGCAATGTCGAAGACATGAGCATGATATTGACTTGGCCATTTCACGTCAGATCCCAATAAGTGCCCAAGGCAATGCAGAAATTGCTATCAAACAACCGTGTCTAGGTGAAAATACAAAAACTAGCAAGACGAACTCGAAAGGAAGCCACTTTTCACACGAAAAAACGGGCTCTCGTCTAACCCCAGACCTCAAACGACAGAAAGCCAATGAAAGCAAAAGGGTCCGAGCCCCCTTGAGCAATACTCAAGGCAAGGATGCTTCATCACCGAACAAACGCAAAAAGAACCTTTCATTGTTCTCCACAAACATATCCGATCTGCAAGTCATAGGGGAAGTTTTAGAAGCGCCATTACCAGAAGATGCCGTTTTGTTCCCGGCATTTTTCGAATCCAACAGAACAAAGCGATCTCGTCAAGCGCAAGCCGAACTATCCTGGGAACCAAAGAATATCACAGTGATCAATACGGAATTCTCACGTCCAGAGACGGTGATGCTGGTACCAAGGGTCTTGACCCATAGGGCTACTGGGCAGGAGTTCTCGTCGATGCAAACGTCGAACACACAAGTACTAGTCCTTGATGCCACCTCGCAGGCAACAACATTGACAGTGGTAGCCGTTGATGAAGAAATTACTCTCTATCCCGAGCCACAGAGTAAGCGCAATGAAATTACCCCAAGTTTATTCCCCAAAAACTTGGCCCCCTCTGCGCCTACAAAAGAATTCAATATGGCCCAAGAGTCACTTTTCCAGATTATTCCGCTTGAAGTCCTCCAGCATATAATGGAAAATGATTCCCAATGCCCTGCGTGGACAAAAGAAGCTCGGAGATGTTTAATAAAGCATCATGCAAAACCAATTTCGTCACTGGTGCTCGACTTGATCAACGGAGGGACCAGTGCTCTCTTAACAGCCATTCAACGACTGATTGAATTGATCTTTTGTTCAGTTCATCGGAGAACAGCCTCAAAGAGAATTGAAGGATGGAAAGCAGATCTTCAGAAAATCTCATGTTTTCATGATTTCCAGACTGCTCTCTCGTCAAGGTCACCCCGGTTATCGGCTCTTGCCAGCTGGGTTTACCTTCTGAGGGAAGAGGCACTATCAAAAGATAGTCAAGGCTCATCTGCCCCAGCAAATCCCCAGATGAGGAGTCCAAACCTGATGTCTATAATCAATCCAATTCAGGAATTTAAGCCCTATTTTGCAAAGAATTCGACGCAAAATTTATCTGAGGAGCTTGTGAGACTTCTTCTCAAACCTCTCCAGCCAAGTGATCTCAAACATGAAGGGTCGATATACATATTTTGGCAACAACCAAACTTTGGACACCTCAAGATCGGAAGATCAGGAGACGTGCGTCGCCGCCTCAAAGAGTGGTTCAAGCAATGTAAAAAGGACATTTCAATCCATTTCCCAGACCCTGGGAATGATGGACACGATAGCCTCCTGGATTTGGCAAAGGTGCCGCATATATGTCGCGTTGAAGCCCTGGTGCACATGGAATTGATGGATTACAGACGAATAGAAGTCAAGTGCCCCGGCTGCTCCAAAACTCATAAGGAATGGTTTGAGATCTCGCCAGATTCTGCAGTACAAGTTGTGCGCAAGTGGATGGCCTGGATGCGGACACAACCGTATACGAAAAGGGTAGTAGGAGGTCAAGAGCAGTGGCTGCTCAAAGTTGAAGAAATGGAAAGGTTGACAGAGCTAATTCAGCCCTCCATCTTATCCCCAAGCTCTTCTACCAGGGCGAGCAAGGAAAGACTGGATTCTCTTCGTCCACGGCTTTCGCTTGCCAGCACAGGGCCAAAACGAAGGCAACAAAGAGGGAGGGTATCAGTTTGATAGTTCTATTAATTGTGACGTACAAGAATCTGATTTTTTCGCACATTCATAGGTGACTAAATCATAACTCGATGCGCCGGAATTGAAAACAAAGCACAGAAGAAGATCAGTTGATCCAGAAGCCCTTCAGCTACCGTCTGAGTCGCAATACGCTGCCCTTCCTATTGTAGATAATGGTGTATTCAGATAGTAGCCCTATCAGACATTATAAAATATTAAATTCAGCTGTCCTGGCATTTCATGACAAAACTCAAGATATCTTGTTTCCAATGGGCATCATGCCGCGAGTACTTTCATTAGTAGAAAGTGCTTTATGCTTTACCTATTGTAGAGTGCAATTTAAATATGATATTTGAAGCACGAGGGGAATCTGAAGATGCGTACCTCTTTTGTATCATGAGGAATACCCTTAAGAAAAATCAAAGGCCAGGAAAGAATCCGGTGAGGGGTCCCGAAATTGCAACTGACCGAGGTGGCATATCGATTGTCGCAGTTATGAGTCAACGTGATATATCGTACTCCTAGTCGATGATACGTTCTCAGGACGCTTACACTGTCGGCGATCTGATGCAATCCCTCAATTCCGATCAAACTGGCAATTCGTCCGGATCGGAAGACTTCCCATACCTCGTCAGCTGTGCGGGCTAGGCTGAGGATATGCGGATACTTCTCGATCATGGAATGGATGAGGTCGATTTGCTGAAGTGTTTCGATGACCACGAGGTCGGAGCGTGTAGCATCATCTCCGGGCTTCGCACTATGAACAGGAATCCCCAGTAGTGTTAATGGAATCAACAATATAGAGGGTCTTACGGAACGGAAACTCCTACCAAGGAATAAACGCACTCCAGAATTGACCACCGACATGACCCTCTCTTAGCCGGATGAAGTCTGTCTGTCCGATAGGCAAAGTATCGAGATCAAAACCCTCTTTTTCGAAGTTGTTCTGATAGAGTCCTCTTATAATAAAGGGGAAATCATTGTGGCCGTCTGGTTGATTCTTAGTGCTGAAGGCTGTCTGTTTTCGGAAGCGACAGACCGATAAGGGGGGTTTTGGCCATTAAGCTGTGGCTCTCTGAAGGTAGTCCACCATATTCCAACCTGCTTTGTACTGCTAGAATAAGTGATTAGATTATCTTTGGGGTGACATTTTTAGGTTCATATGAAGTCGCAGGTCAAATTTTCGGGGGCCGTAACTCGGTCCGAGCAAGTTTGCTGGAAATTTACGGAGCGATTCGGATTTGTAGGTTAGATCAGTTCTAATATCAATTTGACTATACTATCATCTCCATCCTATAGGGCATGCTGATGATATATTACCAAGCCGTTCGTCCTTCATAAATGATCACCTCGCCATGCCCCGCGTTCCAAATCCTCGCATGAACCTGGTCATGCCAAAGCCACATAAGATAATAGACTATCACGATTAACTTCCCCAGCCACAAAGGAGAATGCCCACGATCATTTACGATAATTTTGGTTGTTTTTGCGAGTACTCGAATAACCCGTCTCCAAACGGCCAGGAAAAGCAAGGCCCCCACGGCCTGGAACCTTGATGTATTATCGGACTGGGTTGGGTAAAAGGGAAGAGACTCGAGATACTTCCGATAGCTGATCGGAAGGCTATTTTCTCTGCATCCGTCAAGAAGAAGTCCCTAGCAATAGCAGTCAGCAATGAAATGGAGCCGATCCACTTCCAAACTTGCACTGGCTCATATAGACATCACATACCATATACCGTTCACTTGGTCCTCTATTTGGCCTCCATGGATATTTTGCCTTCAAAGTCTGTGCCATAACGGGTTTTTGGGTTGTACGACTCACTCCATCAGACTGTACCTCCAAGATGTATGCTTCGACGCTGATTTCATCGTAACCAACTCCAGAACCTTCCGACCGGACTAGTTGGAGATAGTCCTCTCGCCGGAGCTGATACAAGACTCCGTGGACTGGCGGTATGGACGATTTTTCTGATGACGAAGGCAGCAGGGCAATACTGGCAAACGAAGGCTCCGTATAAGGAATGTCGAAAATGTCAAAGGTGAGGATGTGCGTTGGTACCACGCCGATCTTGATAGAAAGAGGGATGATACCACGGTTGATCATGACAGACGATTTCATGTTTGATCCATAGCCGAAGTACCAGACGCTGGCAGCCATTTTGAGAGCTATTCAATATGAGATAATGGACCTTTGGCAACCTCTACCATGCGATAAAATGCCCTGAAAGCATGGCCTTCATTAATCGAGATGAATTCTTTTAATCCGTAGTTGTGAAGTCCACTATGGTTGAAATGCATGCGATTGGCCCCTGCGGACTGTGTCCGGCGCGCAATAACGGTCCGATTCAACAGCGAAGACAGATGTTCAATTTCATTGGGCCGCTGGTAACCGAAATATTCCTAGCTTTGGATTGTCTTATCCAAGATGTGGCTCGGACTCGATGCTATCGGTCCGTATCTTAGTATGTCAGCCACTCTGCAAATCAGTCAAAAGTGCTCAACCCTTTTTTACTGGTGTAAAAAACTCATTTACCATTTTACCTACCTTTCATTTGCGTTCGTCAATCATGGACCCATCTTCCGGGCTCTCCACCCATGCTGGCGCGACAGTCGCCCAACTCCTTCCCGCATTCGACTTTTGAAAATTCGACATCCCTCGCAATGAATCGGGCGCTAGGCCAATTGATATGTCGATGGGCGAGAATGGCGTGCTTGATGATGAAATGATATTAGCCTGCAAGAGTGCTGTTGACCATGGCTTTGCGGTGGACAATCTATCATACCCCAAAAGCCCTCTTGGTGATCCCAAGCTTTTGAAGGTTTTGGCCAGCTTTTTCAATACTTATTTTCAGCCCGCCCAGAGGGTAGAGTCATCGCATATCTCAGTTGCAGCCGGGGCTTCGGCATGTCTCAATGATCTAATGTATAGCATCTGTGAGCCGGGAGATGCAGTTTTAGTGCCTGGTCCATATTGGAGTGAGTGTTTCATGACAGAATAAAAAGAAGGAAAGGAGGCTTTGATGCGGATTCTAGCAGATGGATTCGACTTTCACTTTAATATCCGAGCTCAGGTCACTCCAATTACCGTCTCTCTTCCTCAGATGGAGGATCAGTTTACGTTAGAGTTGATTTCCGCACTCGAAAATGCGTACGAAAGTGCTTCTCGCCCAATTCGAGCGATTGTCCTCACCAACCCTCACAATCCTTTAGGAAGATGTTATCCCAAGGAGGTCCTCGAAGGCTGTCTTGTGTTTTGTGCCCGTCACAATCTGCATTTCATTTCCGACGAGGTCTACGCGCTCTCCACCTTTTCCAGTAATGACTTCTCCCGGACTCCAGTTCCCTTCACTCCAATAATGTCACTCGACGTGACCGCTATAGGCGGAGATCCATCACGGGTACATACGGTATGGAGCATTAGTAAAGACTTCGGCTGCAACGGACTACGAATGGTTAGTATTGGAAAATCTACGCATATGCCCTGTCAGAACAGATAGGACTAAGGAATACCACTGACTTTGGAATAAGGGCTGCATCGTGTCCCAGGAGAATCAACCTCTCATTCTTCATCTCGGTATCTCGGCTAGCCTAAATTTCTCATCAGTCAGCTCGCTTATCGCTAAAGCAATCCTCGCATCCCCTCAGTTGCCACACTTACTCGCCCTCAGTTCCCAGCGCCTTGGGAAACAATACAAGGTTCTAACGGCGTTTCTAAAGACCCGCGGTATTCAATACATTCCTGCATCGGCCGGGCTCTTTGTATTTGCGCGACTGGTACCTGACGCAAAGACATGGGAGGAGGAAGCTGACATGGTTCGTCGTATGAGAGATGTTGGAGTGCTAGTTGGACCTGGAAAGGTCTATCATACCGGGGAGGGCGACAAGGGGTGGTTCCGATTGACCTTTGCTTTAAAGAATGACATACTTGAGCAGGGGTTGCAAAGGCTGGAAAGGGAATTAATAAACTTCTAGCTAGAATTATATATGGCATGATTGAAGTTATCAACCGAACAGACATCTACTGCAATATAAAAACTTCGACATGGTGGAAATTTGTATGATCCTAATAATAGAATGGAGCCCAGAGAGCTTTAACGAATCATTTCGAGAAATTTCTGCGATGAATAAATTTGATTTCAAATTCAATCTAGAAGATTCGGTGCCCTTGCAGATTGAAAAACTCGGAGAATTATCCATTTACATTCCGGCAAGGAACCCGTCAGGGGAATTAGATGCAAGTGCCCAGGTGAACGAGCCAACAATTATACAATCACATTTATAATTGAGAATTACTGTTTAAAATCAGAATCAACAAGCCCACAACGTAATTTTCAGATCCTTTCCCTATCTTAGTCTGCGAATCCATGGAAGAATAATGACCTATGTTTATTTCTGTTCCCCTGAGTATAGCTCCGCTTGCAACTGCCCGGCCAGTCCGCCAGCCACCAATGTCCCCGATGACATGGCCGTTACTACCGCCTTCATGGGCCCAGCACAGTCACCTGCCGCAAAGACCCCGGGAATAGAGGTGCTATAGAAAGGCTCCGTCGTCTTGATGTCGCCGTCGGATGAGAGGTGCAATCCTAGTTGCTCCGCGAATGGACCATTGATTTCCGTCTTTGGCTTGTGAACCTATAGTCGATCAGTTTCCCCTTCACTTGTTGACATTTTAGTGGTCTGGTGTGGTGGATAATTACCAGGAACCCCTCCATTCTCTGCGTGCCATCTTCAAATGCAACCTCCACATCTGATTTACCCTGTCCTTTAACCAAGCGCGCGATAGGCCTGCTATCAACTCTAATACCCGTACCATCGCTGGCTTTCTCGAGTGCCTGTGTGAGTTCTTGTGCCCCATGTGTATAGATGGTCACGGTCGTGGCGAATCGCCTGGCCATACGTGCGACGTGCATCGCCGGCATGACGTTGGCCATATCCCCAATCGCGAGTACTGCGGCGGTTTCGCAGCCTCTTTCTTCAAAGCCGTGACAGAATAGACAATGGAAACTATAGTGTACCGCGTGATATCAGCAATGGCGGTCCGAAAATAAGATAAGGTAAGGGATTTGATGATGCTTACATTCCTAGTGCCCAGCACTCTCCATACCCCGCGATATCTGGAAAAATATCACGGACTCCATTGGCAAGCACGAGCTTCTTTCCTTTCCACACCCGCTCTTTTGAGTCAATAGCAGTAAAGCTTCCCTCTGCATTGCGTTCGACCTTCTTGATCTCGGCATTCTCAAATTGGATCGTGTCGTAACGCTGAATGCGCTCCCTAGCAGCCTGGCGAAATTCCTCAGGCGATTTATGATCCCAAGAGGCGACATTGTGCATGTGGCTTGCGAGGGCATTACGATAAATCCCGGAGTCGAATACAACAGCTCGGTGTAGCTGGCGCGCTAGGCCGGTGGCGACCGACAACCCGGCGGGGCCTCCGCCGATGATGAGGACATCGAAGATTGCCATGGTGAATATGAAAATTAGATAGAAGATTGGAATTGAATACCCTGGGGAAATGTCCTGGCAACTACTCTTTTGTATATTCAAAAGACCAAATAAAGAACCCAAGAGTGGGTACCTCGGAGACTAATCATTGGTTCGATCTCAGCTTCGGTCCGTTCGGAGACATTCCACACTTGCATTTCCGAGTCCTCCCGTCTGAAACCTCTGGCTGCCTTTTCGGTACCGCAATCAGCTCCCACCGACCGAATAATCGATGGGTACGTCATTCCAGCTGGCACCAATTTCGTGGTTGATTCATACTCGCTCAACATCAGAAATGGTTTCTGGGGCCCTGATGCAACGGAATATCGACCTAATCGATTCCAGACAGTAAACAGCACTGACGCCCGCTACAACTTTTGGAGATTTGGGTTTGGACCACGGCAATGCATGGGACGTTATGTGGCAGATATTATCATTCGTGCTTTGATTTTAGAGTTGATTGACAAGTGGGAGTTGCATCTACCTAAAGAATTGGTGGGTAAGAGTTGGGGGCGTGATGAGGAGACGTGGATTACCCATCCGCAGATGAAGCTGATTTGCGTTCCTAACCTGCCGGATGAGAAGACTGAGACTTGAATGTTGGAATATGGAGATATTATTTTCGAGCTTGTCTTATTTTTCAACGACTGTGGCCTTTTTCTAATTCAGTCAATTGGCATATTGAACAACTCGAATAGAAAACCTTCTTCCAAACGCATATTTTGAACTATTATTTGACACGTACATCGATTGCCCAGGTGGAATCAGACATAACTAAACTAGGGTCAATCGCATCTCAATTTGGTATAGGCAGCATTGATGATCTAACTAAAATTTCAAATACAAAAATTAAAAACATGTATCTTCCAACTCGACCATAGAGAAGTGTCCTCGTACAAGCCTTGGTATTCGATATCCATTAATCCAGAAAAAGTCTTTCAAGTCAATCTTGGATGGTTGCTAGATGCTCACAGCCATCCTCGCAATCACAAGTGATCAAGTCCAAATAGTAACAGATAAGTTGTTAACATTAAACAATGGACTTGCTGTCATTTTCTGAGTCCAAATGGCTTTGAGCTTTTTCATCAGCTACATTCGGACTACTCAATGCCTGCGTCTCCGGTCTCAATTTCTCCCATTTGGGCAGAAGAGCAAATGGAAAGCTAATAGCTAGCATGGCTGTTGCGACTGCAAAGGCACCCTTGATTCCATCCATATATGCGGCCATAATCCCTGGCATTGCTGATGCCGGGAAGCTGTCCCTCAGCGAGGACGCACCAGTTGACAGAACAAGGGATGGGGATATTTCAGGCGCAGTAACCTGGATTCTACGCAAAAGCGTGTTGCCGAAGACAGATTGCGCCGCAGAAACAGAGAATGAACCGCCGAGGAGCTGGAAGAAGAGTGTCATCGCGGAGACGGTGCTCATGTCGGCCATATCCACACACGCCGTGTTCGCCATGATGGGAATTTGCGAAATAAATCCGGTCGACGCACCAGCCAGAATCTGGTAACCGACCCACTTCCCAGTCGAGGTATCCTGGGTGATTGTATAGATAAGTCCTCCTCCGACCGCGCTGAGAGCTGCGCTGACTGCCATAAACGGAACAAATCTCTGGGTAGCACTGACGATGACACCAGAAATCATAGAGAAGATTCCGCCGATGAGGAAGGGTAGATTCCGCACACCGGAGCCAATGGGAGACGCATTTCGGATGGATTGGAAGTAGATAGGGAGATAATAGATCAGAATGAAGAATCCGCCAGAGTTGAAGAAGACGACAGCGCAGTTGGCAAAGATTCGGCGATTTCGCAACAGGCGAGGCACGATGGAGGCACGCTCTCCAAGCCACCATTCATTGAAGCCAAATGCGATGAAGAGCAGGATAAATCCAATCAAAGTGCCAATCACGCTGCTGTTGGACCAGTTCTTCTGCATACCACCCCACTGTAAAGCCAGGAGGTAGCAGACAACGGCACCGATAATGAGAACACAGCCACTTGGATCTAATTGGAGAATCTTTTCCCTCCATGTGGCTTCAATCGGCTTTGCTCCCTTGGGAGTCTTGAAAAAGAAGACAATAATGAACGCAGCCAGACCACCAATAGGTAAGTTAAGGTAGAAACACCAGCGCCAAGTGACTTTCTCGGTGAACGCTCCTCCCACCAGAGGCCCGACAAACGATGCCAAAGCGTAGGTAGCCCCCATGACACCCATAAAAGTAGGCTGACGCTCCGGGGTGACGGTATACCCAATGATGACAAAGGTACCCGTACAGAGACCTGCGCCTCCGATGCCAGCAATCGCGCGGCCGACAATCAAAGCCACACTGTTAGGAGCAACAGCACAAATAAGACTACCCAGCTCAAAAATGAACAAGGCAAAAAGGTAGGACCATTTTAGATTGAAGTATTTGAAAAATTTTCCCCAGGTCGTTTGGAAGCCAGCAAATGTCAAGAATGTGGCCGAACCGTACCAACCAATATCGTCGATACTATGAAATTCGTTGGTGATATAAGGAATAGCGGTGGCGAGAATCGTTGAGTCGAGGTTGGCAGTGAACATGCCCATGAAAAGAGCAAACATTGTAAGTGCTAGCCGGCCGGGGCCAGGCAGGTCCGAAGAGGCGTTGTCTGCCATGATGATAAAAACCGGTCTCTGGTTTCTGTTGCAAATTCTGAAGCTGTAAGTGTGTATCAACTGAAGGGAATAAGTACAGATCTCCTTGACCTTAAGGGATATTAGGCTCACGCAATGGGCCCTTCGGGACTCTGCAACTAGCCCTGACAAATCTGGATTGTGGCACGGTCCTTTGACTTGGCTGAATAATAAACAATGATCTGCGTCCCGCTACTCTATCGGCCCGTTGCTTCGGTCCGTTGATATTGGCCAACAAGGTCTTTGCCCTGTGCCCCACTCCGAGCACCATTTCGGAATGGTGGTTCATCCTCTGGCCTCCGTTCTGTTTTGTAATCAATCAAGAGCTAAGCTGGTTCCGGGTCAATACATCACCTAAATACTTCGTTCTAGCCGCTGCAGCTTCTTATCACCAATGCACTCCTGGGGATATCACGCAGCTGTACTTGTGGCTATATTCGCTTTCTTTCTTCGGTATCGAACCACACTCACAGATAGCTTCTACTTGCCTACCACATCGACGATGGACAAAACGCTTGCAGATAAGAACCAGGACTATTGGAAGTGAGTCAGATTATGATTACAGATGAGGAGAGGAATGCTGACTGTGGACTGTGTCTAGTGATGCCTCAAAGCTTGTCTTCAAGGACAAATGGGTGCACGATCTGCAGGCCCAGATTTCCGAATTCTTGAAGGGTAACGCGGAGTGGATAGGTATTCAAACCTCTGACGCCGAAAATTCTGGACAGACCAAGTTGATGGATTACGCTTGCGGAAATGGCATTGTCTCGCGGGTAAGTTCTGGATCAAGCTTATCGGAAAGATTGTATATAATACTGACTCAAGTCGTTCCAAAGTCCCTGCACCCTCATTTCTCCAAATGCATTGGCGTGGACTTGTCGGATGGCATGCTAGACAAGTATCGCGCGACTGCAGCAGATCTAGGCCTTGACGAGTCGCGCATGATAGCCATCCAGGGTGACCTCTTGGCCCCTACGGTCAAACCCACGACGCCTCCACTGAGTGAGGACGAGCTCAATGGGTTTGATCTAGTGGCTATCTGTATGGCATTGCACCATGTTGAGGATATCGACTTGGCTACTAAGCGTCTAGCCGAACGGTTGCGACCGGGCGGTGTTCTTCTAATCATCGACTGGGCGACGCGTGATTCGCTGAACGGTACTGTGAAGCAACCTGTCATGGCGACAGGCCAAACCTCTTCAGAGAACAATCACCATCATCATCATCATCATCACCACCACCAACACCACGTTGATGAGACAATCAACCCAAAGCATCCTGCAGCGCATACCATCTCCCATGACAGCTTTTCAAAGGACCAGATATTCTCTCTTTTCAAACAAGCTGGATGTGGAGAGTCAAAGTTTGTGTTGGCAAATAGACTATCGCCCGTTCCTGGTGCGCGGAGTTGGGAGATGCAGTTGTTTTGGGCCCGTGCAACTAAGCTTTAGCATGTCTTGAATGCCAAGTTCTGCCTTATCACTCTACATCTTTAGGGAACGCAGTCTTCCATTGTTATCTACACAGAACGAAAGACAAAAAACATTTGAAAATCAATATTTGCATAAGATTGCCGTAGATCAGAATCACAAGTGGCCTTGTACAGATTCGCCATGTACTTGCCACGAATGTCTCATTTGGATTTGCCAAATTTGGATTCATCGACTAAGTTAAAAAATGGCCTGTCTTCCAATCCTCAAGAGAAGAACCTTGGAAGGTAGACGAAGGATAAATGATCTGAGGGGAGTATACTTAAGTAATCAGTATAATCAAGTTGTACTACTTACTTATCCAAAAACTTGATTAAATAGATGTTCTTGGATATTTATGTCTTGATTAGGGCAGAAGAAGGAAAAACCCTCTAAGTGACTCTTCTTTTTAGACCAACTCTCAACTTATCCTTCGGGCTGCAGACACCACTTGTCTTTGTTCTCCCATCCATATCCCATGAGCTTCCCTTGACAGGTTCTAAATCCCAACAAGTAAGCATGGCAGCCACAAACGCCAAGACTTCGCGCTCTGCTAAAAATCGCCCTTTGCACATTGTTGCTCCTCCACCATACGGCCTGATAGTCTTGATGTCCGACTGAACAAGACCGTCGCCTTTGTCCACGAAGAAACGCTCTGGTATGAACTCAGATGGGTTGCGAAAGTATCGCGAATCGGTATGATGCAGATCAGCAGGGACAAGCACGGCATCTCCCTTTCTCATGGGAAATACTGTTGGCTTGCTTTTTGCTTCGGGTGACCGCGCATCTTCCCCTATTTCCTGCACAGTACAGTCTTTTTGGAGGCGCTTGAATGACCAAGGGGCCGAGTCAAGGCGGAGAGACTCGAAGTAACAAGACTTGAAAAGAGGACTACTGTTGTGAAGTCTCTTCCAGTCGATCTGCAACTTGTTGTCATTGATTAAACAGGCAGGGGCAATCTCCCGACGGGTGTTCTCTAACAAGCCAGGGGTAGCATAGATGTTTCGCAACATCCAGTACACTGTGGAGTTGGAATTTGCATTAAGTCTGCCCTCGTCACGTTAATGAGAATCCACACAATAACGCCCAAGACAGGAGGGATCACGAAGCAGATTACTTACGCCCACAATATCGACAGATCCACGGCAACACGAGCTTGCATCGAGAATCCTCGGGCAGACCAGATTTTCTGTCGTTGTTTCATCAAGTCGCTAACGTCCGAAAATGGCCCCGACTCGGCATCCGAGTTGGCCACCGGCCCAACGGCTTCCATGTCCGCATGCCACGCCATAAGCTTCTCCACGATGCGGGCCCGCGATTTTCGCGCTTTCGCAATCGATGGCAGCCAGCCTGGGTATCCAAAAACAAACCCCATTATATTTGCATCTACCTGCCAAACATCCTCCAGGAAATCAGGATGAGAATCGACAAAAGCATGACCCATCATCTCTGTTGAACTTAACAAGCCCACACAGTTCCGGACGAGAGGGAAAAGATCGGCTTCGATAGTCCCGTCGGGTTGAACCTGGACATTGGCGGATCGCTCCCAACTCCTAAGGTCCCCGGGACCCGAAGGGGGCCTGACAATTGACGGTACTGTTTCTTCAATGTCGATCAAGAGTCTCTCTTCCACGACCGTTCGAAGCCTGGGCCTTTCATCAGCTGAGTGACAAAGGTATTCATCAGCTCATCGAAATGGGTTATCATCTGAGGTACTTCGGCCGATTGAAAGTTGAAGATTTTGGTTATGATGTTCGATCCCATGGTCTTGTGCTCAATGACGGAGCCCGGCAGCGCAAAGAAGGATTTCATTAGTGATGGATTGTGAATTATGCGGGTGTCAACGCCGAACATCTTGAGATTGAAGATGCCGTGCATAGCTCTCTCGCTGTAGTAAAATTAACCTTAATTCTTGCCTTCAACTTTCTGCCCTTCCGAAACATACCGGCTGTACCGCAGGAAGCTATCAGGATTCCATAGAAAGGCCCATACGTGGCCGACAAATGGCATCCCAAATGGAGCGGCTTCGATCATGGACTGGCCGTTCTTTATATGTTTGAATGATTCATCGCGTGCAGAGAGAGCAAGAAAAGTAATCTAGATCGTTTTTGGACAAGTGCGTTTAGCATTACTCGGACGCTGAGCTTTCAGAAGGACCAAAGAGGAGAATAACCAAACAAAAAATGACAAGCGAAAAAAACAGAGAGAAAGCAGGATCATGGGGCACGAGGCAGGTGGTGATTTGGCGTACCAGAATTCCAAGAAGGCCGGCAAGAAGCAGTACCTTCATAGGTATGATCTCGCCCACGTACTCATACCACATCTCGGCTGGGATCACAAAAACAACGTCAGAATGCAAAGTGGTGCAAGAATCCAAAAAAATGCTTTTCACATAAATGTACACTTTCCGCTGAATGAAGGGACCCTAGTCAGATGATTTATTTATGCATAAATACGGCCCCATGCTGCGTCCTTGCTAGTCGACTGTTCGGCGTCCGATTGCAGCCCCGTCCTTCGGAGCGCTAGTATCGGTCCGCCATTTACTATGGGACATTGCTGACATGCTTACTCAACAACCGTGAATTAGCCGAAGGAGATTCTAGTCATCATATCATTCCCTCGCTCCTATGGCTGTAAGACCTCACTCTACCTAGGGGTGGGAAGCTACCATCATGCGGCTTGAGATGTAAAATACTAATTTAGGAGGATGTTATATCATCCCGCACGAGTAAATTTTATTTGGGTAGGAGATACCACCTTATATACGTGAGCGTTGGATTTGGTAATTTTGATTTATTTTTCTTTATTTGGCTCTCTTTTTGTGTGATTGTAGTAATTTTACCCTTTTTGCCAGCTCAAAGATTGGCATGATAGCGGTATAGCTATACTATTACACACTATTACACGCCGGTAAATCTCCGCTTCAGAATTCCGAAACCATTGGGGTTTCCGGTGTCATATAACCTCGTGACAATATTATCCTTGTCCTATCTGAATGAATTTTGTTGCCTTTTCCCACTACCTTTGTCCGACAATAATAGATCCAATATATTCTTCAATGATGGCCACACTGAGCAGGAAGAGCAGACAGAAGCTCCTTGGCCCGATATGCCATCTCTTGGTACCACTGTGTGTGCACATTACTCGACGGCCCCCTCGCTTGAGATATCCCACGACTGATAGGACTGTCGCGCGAGTTCGTGGCCAGCTTCTGTCGCTCGATGATTTCTTGAATGCAAAACTGAATCGTTTCGACACACCGTCGCAAATCACGCCGTACCATTGCAGCCCGGAACATCACCTGCTCATCTGGATCGAACTCTAGACATCCAAATTGAAAAAGAGGGGGCTCTGACGCGCCGCTGATGGCCGATCCGGGACTCGACCCGTCACTTGTCATGTCTACAGTTCCTATTCCCTGTTGAAGTGGGCTTTGTCCTAAGGGCAGGTTGTTCTGATCCGGCGAGGGAATGGCGTCGCCTTCACCACGAGGCCGCTGGATGGAGAGGATCACGAGTTCATATAGCCCCACGACCAGATCCATGACGGTGGCCGCCAAGAGCGGACAACTCTGGCATCGTCGAAACTCGTCGGTGTTGCTCACTTCCCGTACCTTTGTCATTGCCTGCCGGTTCAGCCGCATCGCTTGATCGATCGGGACTCGGGGAATTTGGAGCTGCTCTTCCAAGTACTCGATTATCCTCATCAGAGCGGCGGCATGCGGGTACTGCGACACCATAGACTGATCACGATAAATCGACGGGATCCTCGTATCAGTATGTTCCACTAATCGGGACCGCACGGATTCCGCCGTCTGCAAGGGGCCCACGGAACTCGGTGTGTTTTTATTTGACATAACTGACGTTGCTGACGTATGTGAGCTAGGTACAGATGGTTGTCGTGGGCCAGTCGTTCCAGATGCGCCATCAGAATTGGAGGTCTTATGCATATGCGAAGATTGATCGAGCACCACGTTTCCTGTTGACAGCCAAAAAGGATCGGTCGCACCAGGCGAAATCAGCGGCAGGTCTGGGTATTCGCTTAATAGATTCTGCAAGTAACTATTGATTTCTGTTTCAGCAGATATGGCTGGATAATCCCCCATCGCGAAGCCTCCCATTGAATTATTCAAGGCGGGTAAGTGACCCGCTAGCATGGACATGCTGGCCTCTGGCTGGGAGAGAGACCCGCTATCCTGAGCCGATTGATATAAATTCGCGCTAGGTGTGACTCGTGGTTCCTGAGGCAAGGGTAGGATCTCGTCATCCGCTTTCGTCCGTCGTTTCTTCGGCGCACGTCCTACCATCGACACTTGGTATTCGCAGGTAATTCCGTTTCGGCGACAGCGATCACAGCCATGCTTCTCGCCGCTGCAGCGGACCTGGAGACATGAATCACGGTCAGGTCGTTCGCGCATGTATATCTACCGCTCTACTCGCTAACTGACTTACCTTAGCAGCATAGCACGCCGTGCACGCGGACCGTAGCCGCAAAGGCTTTCCAGTACCTAGCATAGTGGTCGCACTAGCTTCCAGGATCTCCAGTGCGATAAACTCGGGGAGAGACTCGAAGCATGTATCGGTTAGATCGTAAGCGCTGTCTCGTGGTACAACATGTCAGTTGCGTGGCAAATATTGCGAGGATCGTGACGAGGAAGGCAACCTTGTAAGAATGTAAGCGTATTGCGCGTCATGTGAGATGCAGGGGTCTGAAAGTGTGGGGGCGGTTGTTAAATGGACATCCCCCACAAGCCGGATGTAGCTTAGTGCAGATAATCACTCCACCCGATGTTGATTATGCTACCATCATCTATGTTACATGTGGTTTTCATTTTCATACAATATCCATCTCAACTCTGATATTGAGAGAATCTTGGCTAATGTCCACCGACCGAGAAATGCTAACATTGCTGTGTAAATATGCCCAGCAAGAAAGGTTCGTGTACAAAACATGTAGAGCCGCCCAATGACATAGCGCAATCACCAGCTGAACATCATGCGTGGTCAGCGCCGCCCGAAAGGATTCTTACCACCGAACATGATGTGATGCTGTCCTGAGATATGGAAGTCTTGGACTTTAAAAGCATATAGGCGTAGGATCGCGTTAATGCCACCTGCCTCTTCAAGAGGTCATAGTCACCCGATTGCAGCTCTCGATATTAAATGGCCCTCAAGCCGCACGACTTTGGAACAAAAATATCATGCTCTAGAAAAATCTAGCACCGTCGCAACTTCGATAGGCGTGCAAAATCTCTGCAATTGAATGGAGTGCGGGAATCCAGGCACAGATGACTCGACAGGAAGCATACCTATTATGCCAACCATGGCAGGGGCCACACCATTCACTGAAAAATTGCAGTCAGCAAGACCGGAAAAAATTCTCATCATCCCGATCAATGAATTGGGTACGATAGTCTCTCCTATCTATGTAAACCAGCTCGGCTAATATTTAGTCTCGAATTAGAGCGGTAATCGACTATGAGGATCTGTGTTCCAAGTTCGACTTTGACTCAAGATGAAACTGGAGATTAATCCCCCACGTTTCACCTCTTCTGGTGACTGTTGAGAGTCCGGGGTACACATGAGAGAACACACACAGCCAACAAGGCGCGTACTCAGGTCAGCACGGGCCATGTCAAGACCTATCAACTCAGCAATTCTGGGTCGTGGTTCAGGTCAACGCTCAAGTCAGAGGCAGTCCATGAATGGATCAAAGACGCTATTGACATGAGAGATGACATCTTCGTCATAGTAGGATAGCACACAATGACGGATGCAAGTATCATTGAGGGTGTGGTGGACGCAGCCGACGCGTCTGCCCGGCTTCAGCTTCCCGTGGGAGAAGCGCTCCTCGCAGCCGGTGTTGTGGCCCCACTGGGAAATCTGGCGGACCCGGGTTTTGGAGTCAATCATTCCAGGCAACAAGGTGTTTTTAGACGACTTGTGGCAGTCGGCGAGCATGTCTGTGCAGTGCAGTATCGCAAAGTACGCTTCAAGTGGTTTTCGAGTCACGACTTGGACAAAGTCTCACTGGAAAAGAACAATCGGTGGAAGGTGTGTTGGATTGTGCGAGGTCAGGAGATTGGTGCAAACGATAGGGTGGAAGCAGACCTACAAGAGGAGTTCGAGTTGGAGGACGGCAACTATGAGCGACAGGTGTTTGGCACGGAGCAATTTCTGATATGACATGTCTGTCAACTGGTTGCATCTTGATTGGATGACGACTCCTATGGAACCTAACTTCCTTATGACCCAGCACGGGAACTATTGAGAGCGGTAAGGTAATGAAAGAGACGGGCCTCAAGAGGCATGTATGGCAATACACCAGAGGTCGTTTCAATAGGAGACAGTGTATTTGCTGCTCATGAAGCGATAACAAGAGGAGAATAGGCTGAAGCTTGCAGACAACATCCTACAACCCTGAAGCCAAGCCAAGCTGAATACGACGGGTGAAATAGGAATGAACGTACCACGACCTTCCAAGCGTACTGGGGCTAGACCTCGGCAAGGACCGCACTATGCAGGGCTTGATCCTTCCTTACTTACTCATAGGACCACACTACTGCGGCCCGGTCCGGTCTTGCGGTCCTTCAAATAAGACAAACATAAACCAAATGATTCATGTATAATTTATATAGAATCTATTGGTAATCTCTTCAGATTATGAAGTTATACGTCCTAAAAAGGAAGGTCTTGGCACAGTTATGAAGAACTGTTATGACGAAGGAAGGAAGAAAAGGATAGATGTGGATTCTAGAGATGGATGCTACAGATCTAGATATATCGTGGAAAGAGTGGATGATGGGATATCTAACATCTCATACAAGTTGAAAGACTGGCTGATCAGCTGAAAGTTCGAAGACCAAGCCGAAAGTTACTATAGCATCACGAAAACACGTCATTTCCTAGCTCCGCTCCCAGGAGCACGAGTAGGCAGCAGTGCGGTTATTGCCGGAGCATGTGAAAGAACGGAGAGGTAGAATGAGATCGAATGGGCCGGTCGGCCTGAGCATTAGGGTGCGCGATCAGGCTGCTCAGGGAGTAAATTAGGGTCGCTCAGAGAGCAGCTCAAGGCGGCGATGTGACTAACTCACCCTGTGCTCCGGGAGCCGATCACTTCCTGAGGCGGCAGTTTTACCGTCACCATTATTACAAAGTAAGAAAGGAACGGAACGTAAGACTAAGGTTATAGATAGATTCTAATAAAGTTATCCAATCTACGTCTGTAGGCAAGATAAGGGGCTCTAGTCACCTAACCACCAAGCCAAGGTGCTCCATAATATACCGAGTTCTTATCCTCGATAGGCACGGTAGCTATTTAACGCCACTATTCGACAAAATATACCCTTAAAATAATATCATATTAATTATATGCCGCTTCATTCATCGCGTCTACTTCAACCGCTTGATATTAGTTGTTTTGCATCGCTTAAACGCGCGCATAGCGAGCTGGTCGAGCATTAGACACGTCTTGCTACTAACCATATCGACAAGCTTGACTTCCTCGCAGCATATCCGCTTGCGCGTATCGAAACTTTTAAATTAGTCATGATCCAAAATAGCTTCGCGGCAGCTTGTTTAGTGCTAGTAGATGCTAATTAGGGTATTTCGAAGCTAAATATTCAACTTTGTACACCTACACCCCTCTAGAGCCGAGTAAGCAGTCAATCAAGCGCTTTTAGCACAAAAACCCCGAAAAGTAGTGTTCAAGCACGTTGTCAAGCTTTATCGATTAAATATTTCCTTCGTGTTTAGTCGCAGAGCCTATCAGTTCGAAAAGATCAAGCAAATGACTAGCTAGAGAAGGGGTTCGCTCTCAACCTCAATATTAAAAGAATTTGTAATCTTTAACAAATAAATGCAAACTTCCAACCTCCAGTGGAGGATTTATCCACTGCACAATTGAGGTGTTTATTTCCCCCGGGTGCTATTGAGAGATCGGGGGATTTCAGGCATTTTGCGCAAGTCATCATGACCTCAATTTTCATGGGAAGCGTCGAACCCTAAAGCCGTCTCTACAGCCATCCTTACCCATTCTCGGGAGGTATCGATCCTTGATGTGATACGTCCATACTTTTGTGGAGACGCGATTTCCTGACTTTTAAAGCACTGTAAGATAATCATGGCCGGTTCTGGGTATAGATTGGGCGTAAGTGATGATGTGGGTAAGGACGGCTTTAGATGGGGATTGCGGTCATTTTCTGGAGCAAAGAAGTGGAAAACTGCACGTTCATGCCCTACGCGGTGTCAATTCGTAATTTCCAGGTGGCTCTAGATAAATATTGAATTTAACTTTCACAAGGCCAAATTATATAGTATTCCGGTTCGAGGGGCGCAGCATGCGCTATTTTGGCTTTCCCTTTTTCATAGATATAGTCCATGGGCACTTTTCAGCTGCCATAGCATTGTTTTTAAATACAAATTACACGTCTTTCCATCTCGTGATTAATCAGGTACACAATATGACAGCAGCATCCGCAGTCAGGATACAGTCTCCCTAGTTTCTAGCATATCTCTCCATATCATTCAACAGATACCACAAACTGACCACAAGAGGGCAGTGACGGTGCGCTGTACAGCAATGTAATGAAGTGAGGCGGTGATACTGACAGTCGAATTTTGTCCTAAGTTCGTCGATAGTACATCTTGGCAGCAGTTCGGTGAGGGGCCAGACAATATATCTCCGGAAAAAAGATTCCCTGAGGTAATAAGTACACTGGCCACCACCAGGAAGAAGCTCAAAGAGAGATTTATCTTCTAGAAGTCGGATATAGGATGAATTTATCTTGCTTAAAAAGGTTGCTTCCATGAATGAGTTCAATTTTCGTGAAACCATGAATTCTCGATTCTCGTTTGGATTGGAAGACAAACCTCGGATCATCCGTGCGTTCCAATGCTGTTCATCTTCTGTTGTCTCATTTAATTCCAGGGATAAGTGAGATGCACGGATATTGTCGAGACAATCCCCTGGAGTAGCTAGAAGTGACTCAGCCTGGTCTCTTCTTTCACATGTATGAAAATAGCAGATAGAAGGATGGTGGGTCATTCTAGTGTCTATCACCTTGATGTTGAAAGATTATCAAAGGAAGTGGTGATTATGTGGTATTGGATTTAAGCAGTATTTAAGGTTCAAACAGCTAGGTTCCATAATTAGTGATTCAAAAGACACTCAACCTGTGCGATGGAGAATTCGCATTCATACATGACGTATCCCTCTCCCGTCGCTCGTGAATCCACTTGTGCAGTTGAATTCTCGGTTGCAGATGGCTTTAGTTGACAGGAAATGGCGAGAAATCTAATAAATATTAGCACGGCATGAGTCGGCAATAGACGGATGTAAAAGCCTACCATCATTCGTGGACTTGATTTGTTCATTTCTGTCTATGGATTGCGGATGCCTCAGAACCGTGAAGCCTATATATAATGGATTGTGTTTACACCTAGCAATACTCAAAGAGCTATTAGGAAGCCAAGAGCTTATTAAATTGAAAAGGTTTTGATGGCATCTTCAAGATTACAAACCAATAAAGAACAGCTTCAACATGACGGTCACCATCACCACCACCACCTCCACCAAGGCAGCAATCACAACCAATAACGGTGCACTTTTCTCCCACATCTCCGTTAGACCTCTGCACGCAACCTTCGCTGCTGAGATCAGTGGTGTGGATTTCTCGTCTCCTTTGAGTGATGGAGTGTTCAAGGAGATCCATCAGGCTGTAACAAAGGTATGTTCCAGGTCCTCTTTGTTACAGTATTACTGGTATTCAACCACTAACAGATCGGTGATAACATAGTACGGCGTTGTCATCTTCCGCAGCACCGGCCTCAAAGATGAAGACCACATTGCATTGTCCAAGAAATTTGGAGAGCTGGACGACGTGATGCCGTATATCACCGCTGGTCGCAAACACCGACTGAAATATCCCGAGCTCTTTGACGTCAGCAACGTGGAGGCCGACGGGTCCATCCTCGACCCCGAGAGCTCGCGCGGACAAGCAAATAAGGTATTTCGGTGCCAAGCACATACCCTTGTACATTCTAAGGCTGATTATCGCGGGAACAAAGGGAAATGACCTCTTCCACGTGGATTCAAGCTTCAATCCTCGCCGCGCCGGGTACTCACTGCTCTTGGCGCACGAGCTGCCGCCAAGCGGCCTGGGTGGCCACACTGCCTTCGCGGATACTAGGACGGCTTTCGATGACCTCTCCTCAGACCTCAGGGAGCAGTTGTTGGCCAACGATTACGTAGCTTGCCACTCCATGCATCACTCTCGCAAGTTGGCCGCTCCGGAGGCTTTCGCTGGTGTCAACCCGCTTGACTATCCCATGGGTAGACACAAACTAGTGCAGCGCCACGAGCCTTCCGGTCGGATGAATTTGTACATTGCGGCCCATGTGCACCACATTGAGGGTCTCGTTCCGGAGGAGTCGCAGACACTATTCGACCAGCTGTTCCAGCACTCCACTCGCGATGAAAATACTGTCGAGATTGAGTGGCAGGCCCCAGGAGATCTCATTATCTGGGATAACACCTGCACTATGCACCGAGCTGTTGGAGGTCCCTTCCTTCGGAAATACAAGCGGGACATGAGACGGACGACCGTTCACGATTCGAGCTCGACAGCTTGGGGCTTGAATGAGCATACCGATGTCAGGCAAGGTTTGCCTTGAATGATAGAATGTCTACCTGTCATTGTACTCTGAACAATCATCTTCTTCAACAATAACAGACTTCCTTCGCTTGGGTTTCTCTCTTCATTTTTATATTTTATTCCGCTCGTTTTACCTAAATAATTTGCTCAATGGAATAAGAATGAATTCCGTATCTCACTTATACTTCCTTAAAGCTCAGCGGATATGCAGCGTTATTGGTGCTACACACTATAGCTGCTGTGGCACCAATACCGCCAACGATTGTCAGGATTTGATCTTTAATCCCCCTGCTTCCTGTGGATGACTTGGTGATGTCTATGAAAGCCTCAGCGCAACATTCCTTGACAAAGGATTCTTTCGGTCTCACCGCCAGCCCAAGCAATGGCCACCTAATCCCTAGCTCGGGCCCTGCTCTTTTTGAGGTCCGAGGAAACCGTAACACCACCTCAGGCGTATAGCCGGACACCTCTTAGACGGTACAAATACCGTCTGCATCGGTCAAGCATGGCGTGCAGTTGCCAGAAATGGACGCGACCCACCTGAAGCCTACGCGGTTACTGATTTTGACACCTAAAGCTTTTCACAACGGGCCCAGTTGAGCCACAACGCCCACGCCTTCTTGACCACCAACCTGCCCGCTTTTCACGAGCGCTAACTCCACTAATGACGCGATGAAGTTAGGAAGGAAAAAGAAATAAGCGTCAACGCAGATTTGTCTAGGACAAGCGAATGGAAAATTTACTTTATTAGTCATGGGGCTAAGGTCGGAATGACATACTCCAGAATGAGTACTGTACCGCAGTGGATTGTCAGTGTGACCAAATGGCAGCCAGCAGCTTGACATATATCTTGACCAGAATTTTACTCAGACCCGGGGCTGGAGTATTCAATTCAGTAGCGCGAATGATAATATCGCCCGGTTTGTCATAACCCACGGCCTTGTGGGTTTTCGGGATCTGCATGGTGAGGTGAATCGACAAATTCTTAGATAGGAACTAGAAAGATTTCGCGAGTAGCCAAAGAACCTTGGGTTGCTGGAAGTGCAGTTATTGGAGAACACCTGGAGGAACTTTATTTTTTCTCTTAAGGACTCGGTGCAAGGAGCGTGGCACTCGATGGTTTGTCAACCCGGAAGGACTTGGTTCGTGATGGTCCGCTGACTTCCATCTACAGCCGCCCACATACGTCTTTAACCACGGTGCCGCGCTCAGAACCGTGTTCCACAGACGAAGGAACGTGACTGTCACCACCATTGTTGTGACGCATTTCCGAGGGGATGCTCCGTGCTACCGAAGTCCTACTAATATTTAACTTCGTACGGCATATCAAATAACGTAATTCACAAGCGAGCCGGCCACCCCAAAACATCATATTAAATACTGCTTTTTACAACCTTATATCTCAACAACCAAAGCTCTAATTTATTCCAATATAAGTATACTGGTATTGATAGGCATTTTTTCTTGTGGATATTAATTTCAAGCCGATCAAAATGTCGTATACTCACAATACCATAAATTACGTTGTAATTTAGCTAAATAAACCAGAAATATATATATTCCGCTACCAAAATTTCCTAGACTCCATCCAAGTACTTTGTTTACTGTATAGAATATGGCCTTAGAGTTTGCTATCTATAAGAGCCCCGATTGTTGAGATATAAGGTTGTAAAAAACAGCATTTAATATGGTGTTTTGGGGTGGCCGGCTCGCTTGTGAATTACGTTAGAGTTATGAAAATTATAACTTGAATTATGAAAAAGTTGGGTCGAATTGGGTCGAGTTGGGTTTTATTGGGGCCCCAGCATTGGGTCCGGGTTGGGTCCGGGTTAGAGAAGTTCAACCGGTTGGGTTTTGGGTCGAGACCTTCGACCCAAGTTGGGTTATGCGGAAGTCTACCTCTTCGTTTACCGTAATTGGTTCGGCTTTTTTGGGTCATGCACCATGACCCGTCTATTGCCGGTTTCCACGCAGAGCCTGTCCAGTAGTAAAACCCTACTTCCTCAGCTACCCTTCCCTTATTACTCGTAATATTTAAGCTTGGTCGTGTTAGCTCGCCAGAAATGCATCAACATCACCGATTTTCGAAGAATCGGGATGCGAAGCACTATGTTTGAACTGGTCGCTTGCCATTAGTATATCCATAACAAAGACTCGAAGAGCGTTGATGTAGATTCTCTTGGGAGTTGTATCCCGTGATCGAGCCTGGCGCCAGCCATTTGCCCACCCTTTTGAGTTTCCCGTGTAGAAGAGTTCGTTAAAACATGCACCGTGGATAAAGTTCGCGAACTTGAAAAGGACACCCTTGGGTCTCCTATCTCTTTCCACGCCACAATTTCCCTACTGAGCTTCTTGTTTCCTAGGGTGGCAATTGAAAGTGCTAGTCATCTCCGACGTACCGTTATTGGCTGCAGGCGCAGGCTCTGGCCTTCTCGAGCCTCGTTGCTGGGACCCAAGAATCAGCTGATTTTCTCGTTTTAGCCCTTTCCCCATAATTATGGCACACGGTGGTAAAAGATCCTCCGGATTGGTGTGTATTGAGTAAGCTACGCGAGCGATCTGGATCTTAATAAAGTCTACGGAGTAGTCTTGGCTGGAGTAATGTTTCTCATGCTACTACATCCCCACATAGCAGCCGAGCCCAAAGCCTTACATGCCCTACTAAATTGTGCAGCAGTGTTGATACGATGCCAAATGCTCCATCGCAGCCTGCCGATGGAGATTTTGGAGACTATCACGGCGAGAATCTGACCATTCGCACATTGATGGCAGTCTTTTTAGCAATTGCATCATACAATGCCTTCGAACTTTTCATTCTTGTCTTTTCATCTTTCTCTCAGTATCGCGGACTTTACTTTTGGTCCCTTCTGCTCTCTGTCGTCCTCGGGGTCATCCCGTATGCCGTCGGTTATCTCTTGGATTCCTTTTATCTGGCCCCGACATGGCTATCCCTGACACTCGCCACTATCGGCCTCTATGTCATGGTCCCCGGTCAGTCGGTAGTGCTATATTCCCGCCTCCACCTGATCGTTAGGAATCCCAAGGTTCTCAATTTCGTGCTTTGGCTCATAATACTCGACGCCATCGTCCTCCTAGTACCAACGACGATCTTGGTGTTCTCCACAGTGTACGTACCGACCAAACCGATTATCGACGGGTATAATGTGATCGAGCGTATGGAACTGGCTTGGTTTTGCACACAGGAATTTGTCCTCACGAGCATTTATATCTTTGAGACTGTGAAGTTGATCAAGATTTGGCCAGAAAGAGAGCAGCGGCGTATCAAGATAATGTACGAGCTGCTCACCATCAACTTTGTGATCATCCTTTTGGACATCGCGCTTTTGGCCTTGGAGTATCTGGGCTACTACTCGCTGCAAACAACCTTGAAGTCAATGGTCTATAGTATCAAGCTGAAGTTGGAGTTCGGCGTGCTCGGCAAGCTCGTTTCCCTGGTGCAAACCCATTGTTCGCAGCCTGTCATTTGGAGCTAGCGCATAACTCCTGAGAATGGGTTTCTCTCGGCGGGTTACGTAACATGGATTAATTCATGTCGCCAGATCTCTCCTTGCCGCTTCAAGAGCATTATGTAGGGTTTTCAGTATTTGACAATGATTCATTGGTTGGTGAAATATAATACGTAAAAAGACTCGATAGGGCTAAGTAGACTGATTTTCAGATAATCGAATGCGGGCTGGCGTTGTTTCGGGTACAGGCCATGAACCAACGCGTGTGTCTGAAGGGGAGACTGTTTTCGATTTTCACTGTAAGGGCAGGAAGTTCAAGGAGATCGACCAAATGATGGATCTGAAGGTATTTAACTAGCTCCTGGGGAACACTGGATCGAGGTTATATAGACAGGCTGTTGAGATTTGGCGACACCTGTAGGCTTGTATGTCGCCGCTGGCTGTCTGCTCGAAGATGTGGCCATGAATGTACATCCCTGAATGGATTTGAGGGGCGCCCCAAGCATGTTTTTGTCTTCGTCAGTTTAGAAGTACGTAGAGGAGGCGGAGTCCAAATATCATTCGGACCTTGAAACCCGTAAAGGGACTGACAAGCTCCTGAAGATGAAACTGCTGCACTAGTGGCTAGTCTCCCTCTTTGGGTAGAAAATTGTAACCACTTCAGAATGGTTAGCCCACCTCTAGGATGGCGAGTCTGATACGCCCCTAGTATGCATAATGCATCACATGCCCCCATGTAGTACACTGTGCGCTCCGACCCAGCTGTGAGAATTCGGCAGTCACTCATTAAATGCTTGACCTTGGAATTTGTCGGACGGAATATCTAAGCTTGTGCTAGTGTTGAAGTGGAGCTGAGTAAATCGTCGTCAAAAGGGACATAAGTAGGGTGCCTCAACTCGTTGCTCACCCACCCGTCATAACAAAAATGGACGTCTTCCAACTGCATTGCTGATAGGCAAATCTACGTTGATTCTGAAAATTCTTCAACGTGCATAGATCCATCATGTTTTTCTTGCTCTGATCTTTGATCGAGCTCTCTCTCCTCATCCTGACGTTTATCTATCCCCATCCTCCATGCTAGAGTAACACCCTTGAATGCATCTTCAACTTCCTCCAAGGTCCTCCCTGATGTCTCAGGAAAAGCCAAGAAAACGTGAAGGGTCATGGCGAAGGCGAACACGGCGAAAATAATATAGGTCTTCCAAGTGATGTTGACAAAAGAGGGCGGGATGAAATAGCTCAGAGCAAAATTGAATGCCCAATTGCTAGCTGTAGATAAGCCAGCGGCCTTGCCTCGCAGACGTAAGGGGAAAAGTTCCGATGGATACACCCACTCAACAGGCCCCCAAGTTGGGGCGAAAGAGGCAACAATAAGATAGGAGCAAGCAATCACAACCTTGGCGGGTGCCCCTGTGATCAACCAGCTCTCTTCGGGGATATGGTCCAAACCACCTGGGGGAGCCGGGCCGCCATAGCCTCCCATTAGGCCCGCACATATAGTCCACCAGATGGTAAGAGAGATACTGCCTCCTATCAGTAATGGGCGGCGTCCGATCCGATCCATAAAGAGAAGTGCGGGTATCGTCATAACCACGTTGATCACAGAGCTGATGGATGACGCCACCAAATTGGAACTGCCAATGAGGCCTGCCATTCCAAAGATATAAGTGATATCTATAACTTTCAGTGGACGTTCAATCATATGGGAAGCAATAGAGCCTACAATACAGAATAGCGTTTATTCCGGTTAGTTGACACCATATCTGGACAAAGACGATGATGTGCGTCCGCCAAATCATATGCGGCCGGAATAAATCCAAGTAAGTGTCATCGGTCTTGCTGCACTCCAACTCGCAGGCGTCTTTGAGCTGTTGGATCTCCATCTGAATGAACCCATCATCGAGATTGTTGTTAGCATGAATAGAAGAGAGAATATGGCAGCATTCGTCCCAGCGATCGTTCTTTGCTAACCAGCGCGGGGACTCAGGCATAAAAAATAATCCTAAAAACAGGATAAGTGCAGGAATCATCTGGAGACCCCAAGGCAGCCTAAAAGCCGCCTGGCCAGCGAGGAAGGAAGAGCCGTAGGAAATATAGAACATGATCAAAACGCCCCATGTGATGGCCCACTGTTGAGTACCCATCACTACGCCCCTTAAGTGAGGAGGTGCGAGCTCCGCAACATACACAGGGACTTGCGCTGAACATGTTCCGACACACAGGCCATTGATAAATCGGCCCACGATTAACATAGGAATGTTCTGAGAGGCGCAACAGAGGGTACTTCCGATAAGCCTGGCCGTCCATAATGTCAGCTGCTTACAGCTCAGATAATTGGTGCATGACTAACCATATTATAGATCCCATTTGAATAGCGGATTTGCGGCCGAACATATCAGTTACGAACCCCGAGATCAATGCCCCAATGAAAGAGCCTCCAGACATGGAGGCCGTGATTCCACCTTGCACTGTAGAACGTGGGCCCGAACAATCGGTTAAGTTATTGAACGGAGGACCGTTGGGCCCCTGATTGAAATAGCATCTAAATTGGTTGGTAGGAAGGCTATATTGATTAGAATAAGTTTTGATTTCCCCGACGAAGACAGCTCACATGGCAGACATCGACGACAGATCAAAGCCAAATAGCGAGCCTCCAATCACAGCAATAGCCGTGATAAGATAAATATTAGTGATCATCATTGTGGCTGAGGGTAGAGAATGTAGTAGGAGTGGAAAGGGATAGATGTAGTAATATATTGGAGGGCGATATAACAATTACATAAAAAAGGTTTCCTCTTCCATAACCCCATTGCCTTCAGTCCGCCATCCCCATCTATCTCTAGCCGTCTACTACCCTTCTATAGCCGTTCCCACTAGTAAAGCTTGTTCCTTCATAATTTTCAATTTTCAATTTCGCATTCTTCAACTTTCACGCTTGTAGATGGCTATACACTACTCTTGATAAATATGTCTATGGCAAAACGCTATCTGATCTGAGAGTTTTTCTACTAACTACAGCCGAGAGGGATTGGGAGTTCTGGAATGACCCTGTTGCCTTTCAACACTGCCCGAACAACAGCTATGGTATCGCGAATCAAAGTCAAGGTAACTTCTTTTAATAAAGAGAGACAACTTACACCAGCCCCCAGACATCGGCCGCAGACCTGCAAATGCTGCGAGACAAAAAGGAAGATATACAGTGAAAGTCGAAAACAGATTCCCCTTTAGAAACACACACACACATTGTTTCTCAGTTCGTAATTAAAACCACTTAAGCTTTATACGGACTGGCTGTAATATATTTATAGCCTATAATTGGCTATTTACATTTTGTATACCCATAATAGGACTAGTCAAGTTTCGGGTACGGGCTGAAAAATTACGCGGAAGATAATGAACCTGGAAAGGTTGTAGGATCTGGAAATGATCGACCCTAGACTGCGACCGCCATAGAGAACAGAGACCTTTATGGATATTGGGATTGAACCAGATAGAGAGATTGCAACACAACGAGCTGAAACCTTTCGGTCTACCTCAGACATTGTTATTTATTCGGATGCGTCGGGGCATCAAGATCATGTAGGCGCCGCAGCCGTAATCCTCGACGACAATTTGGAAGTGTCCGAATCCTTACAGACTCAGGTCGGGCCTATGGATCGATGGTCTGTACACGCCGCTGAACTGATCGAGATCTTGTATGTTATCAATATTTTCAACAAAGTTGCTTTTGAGCGCTAGAGATCAACCAGTGAGCAAGTCAGGCTAGCTACTATCCTCAGTGACAGCATGTCGGCACTATAAGCAATCCAATACCCGGGGAATAAACCCGGTCAACAGACTACTTATGCTATCCTACAGGCAGTTAGAAGCAACGGAGTGACTATCTGTCTCTAATGGATACTAGGGCATTACGTAGCACCCGGGAACGATTCTGCGGACCGTTTAGGCAAAGAGGTAGTCATACAGGGCAAAACCTATCTGTATTGTCCCTTACTGCCTTGAGAAAAAGCTTTCGTCTGCAAGATTATCTACATCTAGTGGAAACTGAAAGAGTCTAGAGAAGGAAACTACCGTAGTACTATTGATAATGCACTATTTGCCAAGTACACCGGACGGCACTACGGGCCTTTATAGGGGAACCGAGCCTACCTGCTCACGTAGCTATGTACGGGACATGACGGGAAGTTGCTGGCTGTCGACATTTGCGCAATCATTTCACTTGCAGGAAAATGATCGATGCGTCTACGGCGACAGGGAAACACTGACACACGTTCTGTGCGACTGCCCCGATCTAAGGGGGTTGGTTGTAGCGGGAGTTGCGGAAAGTCGGCGACGCGTTTAATTGCGTATCGAGCTTGTTGGGGGCCCACGGGAAAAAAAGAGAGGTCAGTTAGATCACGCTTCGCGAACCAAGACTGTGGATGCTGTATTGGGCTTCGCGAAGGCATAACAACGATTCCGAAGTCGCCCGCCACGAGGGCAGCTTGACAACGTAAACGGCAACTAGGCCACGGAAGGCCTTGGCGAGGGGTCAGGGTAAATGAAATCTACCCAACTACCTACCTACTGTAATTCATGTTTGTCTTTCAATTCCAAAATGCAAATCCGCGCCCTTATTATGGGCTTGGGTATAGCTGCCTCGCACTTCCCTTGACACCTGCCAATCCAGAGACTCCTTCAGTGAACCTGGATATTGCTGAACGTTCCCAATGCGATTAAAGTCTTATGATGATCATAAGCTACTCCTGGAGCTACCTTAATGGTTACTTCCGGATAGATTACCAAGCTGTCTCAAATGGATTTCTTGTTTGCCTTTCTCATAGAATTTTGCGTTTGTCTCGAATCTAGGTTGGAAGAGCAGTTGGCATTGATCTTGGGATTGTAACCCTTGTTTTAAGTCCATGACTGTAGGTCCAATACCACCCGTCCTTGCAGCTTCCCGCCTTTCATTTCCTCGAACACACTATTAATGTTCTGGGCCTTTTCAAGACGGAAGGGAGTAGTGGCTACCCGTTTGGCCATAGCCAGTGTTTCGATTGCCGCCCGACGGTTGCCCACGTTGCTTCCAACGATGGCCAATTGCTTGCCGACGATCAAATGAGGATAGGCATTAGCAATTGGATTTGCTTCACCCGGAACGCCCACGCAGACTAGCGTGCCATTGAATCTCAGGTAAGACAGGGCCTCGGCATATGCAGCGTTACTGGCACTGCAAATCACAGCCGCCGCAGCGCCTGCGCCATGGGTAATTTCTAGGATTTGATCTGCAACGCTCTTGCCGTCGGCCGTAGGATACTTTGAGATGTCGACAAAACCTTCGGCGCCACATTCATTGACAAAGGACTCCTTAGAACCCATATCCAACCCGATTATTTTGAACCCCATCCCTCGGCCTCCCAACTGCACTGCAAGATGGCCCAGCCCACCACCGGCTCCAGCGATGACCACCCAGTCTCCAGCCTGCGCTCTGCTCTTCTGGAGGGCTGAGTAAACAGTAACACCACCACACAGAAGCGGTGCCGCAATGTCACTTGCCAGCCCATCAGGAATTGGCGTCACATAGTGAGCTGGGGCTAGGGCGTACTCCTGGAAAGTACCGGGCCATGTATAGCCAGATATCTCTGCATTCACACAGATGCCATCAGCCCCAGCCAAGCAAGGCATGCAATTGCCGCACGCAGCTGCAATCCACTTGATGCCCACGCGGTCCCCAACTTTGACACCTGAAGCCTCACACGACGGTCCCAACTGGACGACGACGCCGACGCCCTCATGGCCGCCCACCTGTCCGCTCTTTACGGGTTCGGGAAGCCAACTCCACTGATTGAGGTGCTGTTAGCAAGGTTTCGCCCCATTTATGATTTTGACGTTCAAATGGGATTCTTACAGTACTGGTCATGAGGCTGAGGTCGGAATGGCATACCCCAGAATGGGTCCTGCGTTGATGTTAGTGCTTCTACGTGGTGCTGAGGAGTTCGACCTACATCTTGATCAGGATTTGCCCAGATCCTGGAGCCGGAGTGACCAACTCCACGATTCGTGTAGAAATCTCACCCGGCTTGTCATATACCACGGCTTTGTGGGTTTTCGGTGTCTGCATTTTAAGACGGATTGAAGAGGGAGAACCTTGAAATGTTGATGGTGGAATTATTGATGAATGTAACCATATTTGCTTCTTTATTTTATATGACGCTGAAAACATGTCGCCCACGCCCCCAACCAATCTAAGGTGCAGACTTGGTCCCGGGGTTGGTGAGGACCCATCCATCTACTTCCATCTATAGCCGCCCCCGAACGGTCGGATCCCACATCCACATCTTCTGTTCCGAGGGCTATAGACGCAGGAATCCGAGCCTAGCTTGCAACATCAATGTCCAACGCATCAGTGAGATATACTCCTAATGTTCTCTCGAGATCTTTTATATACAACCTGCGCGACCCAGCAACAACACGTGTACCACCGCAGATCTTACACATTCAATTTTGCACTTCCACAAAAACCCCAATTTGAAGAATGACACAAATGGACCTAAATTTTGAGATATTTTTCAACGTTGTCCATGGGGAGCTTCGCGCCTCCAACAAGACCACCTTCAGCGTTGATCCGTCGACAGAATCCAAGCTATGGAGCGTGCCTGTGGCCTCCACGCAAGACGTGGAAGATGCTGTTCGATGTGCAAACGAAGCCTTCAAGACCTGGTCAGCCACTGCTTTTGAAGAACGAGTGAGCAAGCTCTCTAAATGGAAGGTGGCCTACAAGTCATATATCGAGGATTTCACCAAATTGCTCATGGCAGAGTGCGGAAAGCCACGTGCCTTGGCATCTGGCGAGGCAAATGAGATCTTGGCCCTGTTCGATCACAACCTGCAGCTTCGTATCCCGGAAGAGCGAATTGAGGATGAAACGCGCATCGCGATCACACGTCATGTTCCCGTCGGAGTTGTTGCTGCTATCTGCCCATGGAACTTCCCCCTCGTGCTGTCTATCGGAAAGATCTTGCCAGCCTTATTGACAGGATGTACGATCATCGTCAAGCCATCCCCCTTTACCCCATACTCGGCACTCAAGATGGTTGAGATGGCACAGCAGATCTTCCCCCCGGTGTTGTCCAGGTTATCGGCGGTAGTGACTCTATTGGTCCCACACTGGTCAACCATCCCAATGTCAACAAGATTAGCTTCACGGGTTCGACTGCCACGGGGAAAAGAATCATGGCCGAGGCGGCTGGGACATTGAAGCGCGTGACTCTAGAGCTGTACGTATACAACCCAGAAAGTCCCGCGAAGGGAATCCTATCTTACACAATAAATAATCTAGGGGAGGCAATGACCCGGCAATCATTTATTCCGATGTGGACATCGAGAAAACGGCTCCAGAAGTGGTGCAGGGCTGCTTTGTATTCTCCGGCCAAGTATGTGTCGCTACGAAGAGAGTCTATGTGCACGAGAGCATTTACGAGCCCTTCCTGAAAGCCATGGTGGATGTAGCCTCCCAGATAGTGGTCGGCAAGGCTGAAAGTCCGAGTACCACGATGGGCCCTATGCAAAACAGAATGCAGTATGAGAAGGTCCAGGAGCTGATGGCCGACTGTGAAGCTCAAGGCTACAAGTTTGCCCTTCCGCCACAACCCATGGCTTCTAGCAAAGGGTTCTACCTCTCTCCTAGTATCGTCGACAACCCACCTCCGACATCTAGGATCGTCCTTGAAGAACAGTTTGGTACGTTTTCGACGCGGAAAGTAGATCAAATTTGCTAATCTTGTTGAACCCAGGTCCGATTGTGCCGGTCCTCAAATGGTCTGATGAAGCGGATGTCATCGCCTGTGCGAACGGAACCACTTCCGGACTTGGAGCATCTGTGTGGAGCGCCGATGTTTCTCGGGCGGAGCGAGTTGGCCGGCTTATGCAGGCCGGAAGCGTTTTCGTGAATTCGTGGGCGAAAACGACGCCACGGGCAATGCTATCCGGACACAAGGAGTCCGGGCTTGGGGGCGAATGGGGTTCCACCGGATTCCTCGAGTATTGTAACACTCAAGTCGTACACTTATTCAAATGAGTTCGGTAATTAGATAGCTTGGTTCAACCAATGAGGCCTCCTCTAGGAAGCTTATGTACCCCGTATTCCGCACGCCAATTCCGTCTACTGCCGAGTTTCCAAAAATTCCGGGGAAGCGGGGTTTCCCCAGAGTAGATATGCTTGGGGCCATTTCTGGCTCCGTGTAACTACTAGGTTCCTATCGCTCACACATTTTGCGCAATGACTCGGAGTCGAAATGTTCGTGTGTACCGTGCGTGCCAGCGGTGTCGCCAACGGAAGCTCAAATGTGATCGGTGAGTTAGTCCCCGAGCCCGGCGTTGTGCATTCTCGCTGACATGCCCGAGGACAAACTTGTCCGGCGCGACAAAATCTTCATGCTTGCAGTGTTTTCGCACCGGTGATGAATGTGTTCTGGCCGGATCGCGGCGCGGGGGTGACTTCTCGCGATTTCGACGCTCACGCCAGAAGCAAAGCTCCACATCGTCTCTAAGCGAGAGTAAAACAGACAACGAACCGGCCCGTCAACAGAATAGAGATCCCATAAAAGGAGATGAAGATCCCATTTACGCCGAGTTGGCCAACCCGGGCGATGCTCTCCAGATCCTTGCGCGACTCGCGGCGAACGACACTCGGCTTCGTAGTTACCCAAATGACTCCACGGCCTCGCAACCCTTCACCAGGGACTCCTCGGCGGACGGAGGTCCAGTAGTGACCTCCTTATCTGGGAGTAGTCCGATCAATTCCACGCAGCATCCCATGTTGCAATCGACACTGTCCGAAACGGAAACATTGGTGATCGGCGTATTAGGCGCAGATACTGTGAGCCGTCTAGTCAATCAGTATGAGACCTTCATCCCGCACAAATACATATAATCTGACCATCTAGCTACGCTGAAAACTACCACACATTTTGTCCTCTCGCACCTAGACGAGTTCTGTCAACAGATCCGCGCAAAACAGCAGTAGAGGAGCCGTTCCTCCTGACTGTGATTCTGACAATTGCGTCCAAAGACGAGATCGCGTACAGAGAAATCCACCGACATTGCTGGAAATATCTCAAGCGGCATTTACTAGATGTACTCCTCGCCACGCCATCGACTCTCAGAGTCGGCTCGGTCGAAGGCCTCCTGCTCCTCGCAGAGTGGGTTCCTTACCTGCAGCTCGAAACATGTTCCTATCCCAACATGTTCACAGGGAACTTAAGTGCCGTTGAGGATAATACGGCCTGGTCGCTTATTGGTCAGGCTGTGAGACACTCGTATTTGCTTCGTCTGGACAAGACATCTTTCCGGGATACAGCGGTGGGAGAGAAGCAGGAACTCGAGAATCGAAAGCTGCTAGCCTGGATATGTACGTTTGATAGAAGCTGCTGACTTGCCTATATATTAACTAATTTCTGACAGTTGTATACATCTCCGACCGGCAAATATCCGTCCGAATGGGACAGTCTTTCTGGTCACGCGGGCCATCACTTTCAACAATCTTCACAGCGAACGACTTTCCAAGCCTGCGGCTCCAAGCAGACGCAGAGCACCAGTACGCACACGTGTTACAAGCCACTATCGAGCTCACTCAATTACTTCACAACGTGCATGATATCTTATACGCATCTAAAGAACGAAAAGCCCAGATGGTGGGACGAGGAGACTATAATCGATACCTAGACGATTTCCGACACTCCATCTCAGCCTGGGAAGGTCGTTGGAACAGTCTGAAGGCATCTCCAAAGTTGAACTGTACTATGAACATTTTCAAGGAATATGTTCGTTTATATGCGAATGCTTTCTCTTTTCAGTCATTTCTTTCCAGGGCTGTTCAGCCCAACCGTGGAGAAACAAACCCAGCGACACCAGGGCCGAAAGTTGCTGGCTCACTGTTCCCGCAGGGTATCATGTCGACTGCAGAGGGATCATACATTCTCGAGGCAGTGGATGTGGCTCGGAATATTTTGGCAATAACTGTCCAGGCAAGCTCTGAAGCACAGATTCGCTATATGCCGTTCCGCTTTTACGTGTACGCTTCATGAGCTGACCTGATACAATTCAGGGCTTCTTTGCACAGGTTGGCTAACTTTGGTATAGGTACACTGTCTATGCCGCTGTCTTTCTGTATAAAGCGGACGTATTTGGCGCTTTCGTCAGCACGGAGCATGCGGAAATCACCTATTTGGTGCAAAAATTTATTCAAGTGCTTGAAGAAGCCGCTGTTAGCGATTGCCACATTGCTAGTCGTTTTGCAATTCTGTTAAAGCGCATGTGGCTCTCTGATGGACCGTGCTCTTCAGTGAGAACTGCATCTTCCGACGCTCTTAACAACATTAATCGTCTACGACAGCCAACACAGCATTTTGAACTTGCGCGAAATACTGATTTGGTCAATGACCAGAATTGTTTGAATGCTACTTTTGAATCACAACTTCCCGAACCCTTTTATATTTCCACGCCGGAATTCAATTTATTTTGCCCCGAATTCTCGAGTTTGGAGTCTGATCTGGTTGAAATTGGTGTGGGTCCTCTAAACTATCCTGTATGAAGCACTGGGTATGGATATTCAAAATCTATTCAATGTACCATTCAATTTCTTCCTATAGCTTTCAATCCGCTATTCATAATCATCATCGCTTTTCGTCTAATAAATGCAAATATACTAGTTTACTAGACCGACAGGCCCTCTACCATTTACAGTACTTGAAATAAGAGGCCACCTAGCTACTACGGGCTCTGACGGATGGGCTGCGGGCGGCTCCCCCACGCCCACGGGCGGGCTGTGGAGAGTCTGAATTCCTACAGATAGAGGTGGGTTTAGATGGGACCGGTCGAAGAAAGACCAATCTCCTTATTAGGTTCACTCATGAAAGACCGTAGAGATAGACTTCGACCATGGAGGGGTTTTAGACGGCTATAGATGCAAGTCAAGATCTGAGGATATGAGTGACATGTGATTCCAATCAGACAACACGGCCCCGCGATATTTCCGGTGATTCATTTGTCGAAAGCCCGCCTCAAGTGATAAGTTGGGGCTGCAGTCCTCAACTTCCGTTCCTCTCCCAAAACAAACTGCTTGTGATTCAACTTTTTTTGCTACCCGTTCCTGCTCCAAGTCATTTAATCTCAAAGTGATTGCCATTTACAGGTCATTGAATTATGCCGCACCAAGTTACTCTCGTCATTGGGGCGTCACGAGGAATTGGCCGTGAATTCGTCAGTCAACTCAGTCGAGATCCAACACACCGGGTCATTGCCGGTGTGCGCAAACCGGTTGATTTCGACAGTTCCAATGTCGTCCCGATATTGCTCGATCAGTCCGATCCTGAATCTGTTACTAGGGCAGGGACTCAGGTCTCTGAAATCGACACACTTATTATCAATGCCGCCATCGGCGCCGACGAATATCTCTTAAGCACGGATGATGAGCGACTTCGTGAATATTATGACACGAACGTGATTGGGCCTTTACGGGTCGTTCGCGCATTTCTCCCTGCGCTTAAGGCTCGGAACACTCGACAGATCGTTTTCATTTCATCTGAATCTGGATCCCTCTCTCAGCAGATAAACGCCAAGGGTGGTTTTCGGGGGCCTTATGCTGTTTCTAAAGCAGCTGGAAACATGATCGTGGTGCAGCTGCACAATGAACTCCATGATCAAGGCTTCACAGTGGCCGCAATTCACCCCGGTTGGGTTGCAACGGACATGGGGAATGCTACTGGTCCTGGGGGTATGCCCATCCCTGAATCGGTGAAAGGCCAGTTAGATGTTATTGTAAAGTTGGAACACAATGCGTCCGCTACTTTTTTCGCCTGGGATGGGTCTATCGTGCCCTGGTAAGGCCAGGCCATGGGTGTACAGTAGCAATGTCTTGAATCTGGTTAATTCTAGAATGCTACATATCTTCCTTGTGTGAAAGCCTGAAATCGTCCGGCAATTTTGGTGTGAGGCACCTCATTCAATGTGCAAATTAGTTTTGTTAGATGATTTTGTCGACTAATTAGACAAAGGTCAAAGCTTCGATAAAATCGGGAGGATGCTTGCAATATAGCGTGTACTACTATTAGCGGCGGTTCCTCCCTTCGCTCTGATTTCTAGGTAAGTCGGTCTTATCAGACACATACAACAATCCGAGTAACCTCTTGTATTAGTCGTCTGTTTCCTTCGGTTTACTACAATTCTGGTTTTATGAAGTGTCTTTTTCTTTGCTGTCAATCGTTCTAATCTTGCTTTGGATCAAATATTCCGCCATATTTTATCGCTCAGAATTAGGGCAAAATAACCGCTAGACCAAAAAAGCACTATAAGCAACAGTCTTAGTCTATACCGTCATTTTCCCATCTCGACACACCCCCTCAGGGATCTTCCAAAGCAACTATGGAGGGTGGTTCCTGAGACTTTTAAATGTGGACAGTGCACGGGGCTGCTTTCTCTGGTCTTGTACACAATCTGTTCTTTCCATGTCGCTAGTCATATTAACGGCTGGAGACTCATTCAACTGATCTTCAGCCTCAGCTCAATTCATCATCCAATTCCATGTCCGTACAGCCCAATTTGACCGCAGAGTACTGGCACATGTGGGAATCCTCCATCTTGACATTTGACTGTAAGCACCTAACACATGCAAGGCAGAGTGAGGTTATTTCTCAAAGATTTATCTTACTCTCGTCTCGCGCAATTGAAGACACTTCTCTCACTGTGAGGGAAATATTCAGACAAGAGGATATTCTGGGTTATTCTCTTTCAGATCTGCCACGGCCCTGTCATTGATAGGCCCATCCAACCTACCAGTCAGCAGTCTTGCCATGAACTTGCTCTTAAGGTTGTCACATCTAGCGAGCCCTTCATCGAGGTATTTATCGTTGTTGCCATTATTATTTGATGGCGTCGAGACTCAGGGGAAGTCGGAGAGAGCCATGGCAAAAACTCGAGGATGGAGATCACTAGACAGAGAGATCATGAAGAAGAATATGATGATGATATTCCTAGAATCCCAGAGGGGAAGGTCTATCTAACAATAGAAAGGTGGTGGGCGCTGACACTTCAGGGACTGACCTGATCATTTTTGTTAGAAGAACTAATCTCTGCACTAAATGACTGTCATAATGAATATATGGATTATGGACTATAAGAACGAAGCCATCACATTTTCGCTGTGGACGCTTTGCGGGGGTTCTTTGCTTCAAAGATCCAATCCAACTCTTCTAAAGTCCGCTCCTTAGTTTCCACAAAGAAGAAGAAAATGACCAACAACAACACAAAGTCCCAGACACAATAGAATGTGTAGAAATTGTAGGAAATGGAGTCCAAAGCGATTTGTGCAATCATCACACTGGTGAAAGCCGCAATCCCCGAGTTCACTCCGAAGAAGGCTATACCTCTGGCACGCATCTGATTGTCCATGACTTCTGCGGGATACACCTGCTGCATTGGGGTGAATGCGAATGAGAACGTGATTCCGAACAAGAAGATAAAGGTCAGCATGGTGTAGGAGGCTGCCTTGTTTCCTGTCCTCTGGAATTCTGCAGTGGTCACTGCCATGACGGCGAAGACGGCCGTCAAGCAGCCCATAGCAGTCGTCATGATTTTGCGCCTACCGAAGCGGTCGTGGAGGTTGGCTCCGATTATGGCTGCAATCCATGCGACGACGAAATACATCGCGGTTAAGAGCAACAGAGTGTTCGTGTCGGTGATTCCCACAGCCTTGGCCATCTCAGGCAGGTAATAACTTGCGATGTTGGAACCACAGAATTCACCAACCCAGCCCATGCTGCCTGCGAGAATTGTCCTATATCGGCGGGCGCGTGTTACGAATAACTTCCGGAAGTCGAGAGCGATTTCCCAGGGCCGAGTGCCTTCCTCTTCGCGAGTGAGCATAAGAGAATGTTTGATCTCTTCCATTTCAAGTTCAACTGCAGGATGATCAGGATCACCGTTAGCGTGATATTTGACAATGATCGCCCTGGCCTCCTCCTCTCGATTACGCATAGCCAGCCACCGAGGCGATTCAGGGATGAAATAGACAAACATTGCCATGATCGCGGGGCACAAAATTTGAAGATATGTTGGAAGCTTCCATGTGATATTCGAGCTGGAGTCATAGTGGATGGTCGCTCCATACGCGGCGAAGGAAGCGATGAGGGCACCCATGTAGTACAATGTGTTGAATGTGCCAGCCACTGCGCCACGATACAATGGAGGTGCAATTTCCACAAGGTAGACGACTGAGGTCAATGAAGCAGTAGTCGAAAAGACGGAGCCGAGAAATCGACCGCCAATGAACACCGAAAGTTTCACAGCGGTACCTTGAATAATGATACAAGCTATGACGCCGATGCAGCTGACAAACAGGACCAATTTTCGTCCGAACACGTCCATCGTCCAGTAGAAGAAGCAAGATGCTATTTGGCCGACCTGGAATATTGCAAATACGATAGACGAACTTGCAGGTGCATCCTTGAGATTGAAGTATGCGAGATAACTGGGAAGGACATTGACGGACGCCATCATACTGGCATCGTATCCTTTCATCGTCGAGTTTAAGTATACCAGCAGACACGCGAGGTACAGCTTCAGATATCCTTTTCCCAGATAGTTGACCTTGTGGGCCTCGAGAACATGTTCGTACTGATTGCCAGGAGGATATGCGCCGTGCTCGGTGTCGACGCCTAGCTTCTCTTCGTTCTCGATGTGGACCACCTCACCGGCGGTGAGATCCAAACCCGTGGGCTTGTCATCTTGAATTGAATCTTCAGGCATATTGAAGAAGGGCAAAATCGAGGTCACGAAGCGTGACCTATGTTTTCCAGATGATGTAATAAAGAACTGGATGATATGAGGACTGGAGAGGACAGAGTCGGTTGGCGAGAAGGAGACTACAGGAAGCTAGCACTATTTATGCTCCACTGTGGAGAATTGATATAGGGGAGATCTGGGGAGCACTTACAATACAGTGGCACCGCAAAAGTCTCTCTACACACCGCCCTCCGATCCAATATACCGCCTACCTGGCACGATAGGAATCCTACAAAGAGCCACGCTAAGCGTGTTGCGTAAGATTTTTGGATTTTTACGACCACATCCTCTGTTGAAACATTTTCTTGGCCTTGTTTCAGAGCCAAATGGTTGGTTTAACAAGTATTAGTTGATGGTAGCCAAGTTTGAACTGGCAGAAAATGCGGCACAATGAAAGGCGGTCTGCACGGGTCGGAGGCTTGCGCGGTGCCAGAAGTGAGAGATTGCGGGGAAAGTGGATCTTCTACATATCCCGTACCGTCTATAGCCAGCCAGCCATAGCCAGCCATCTATAGCCTGCCGTCTGTAGCCCTTGATGCCATGTTTATCACAGTTATCCGCTAACTTGAAGCTAAAAACCCCGTGCTGCCATCACTGACTAGCGCTTCGTTAAAGGAAGTTTCTAAATAGATTTCAAGAGAATTGAATAAATTTTGTCACCTTACACATTTTCGTGGCAGCTCCAAAACCTTTACTCAATCATCACAGCTGCTAATCCGTTTGGAGCGTATGATTAACCTGACGGTGAGATGACTTCGAGACTTGAAGCTTATCTATACCTTCTACAACTAAGACCCTCATCTCATATATGAAGCCTGGGGTAAATCTACTACATGCCGCACTAGGCTATAATACGTTAAACAAATAGAAAAGCCAGTGGGGTCCGTTAACAACCAAAAGGATGGTCTGGGCTTGTTCCGCATATCATAGCAGTGATTTTATATTACGATCAAAAGCAAATCGACTGGAAAGTTTACGCCAACGACAGTGAAACCAATCAAAAAACTTTGGAGGAGATTGGCGCCCAATTTGGTGACGAAGTTCTCACCGCGGAGGAACAGAATGAGAGCAACGAAAGCATTAGATTGGAGGGGAAGTCGAGCATGTCTCACATTGAGAATCAAGAATCAATCGCCTGAACGCAAGTTAGTTAGCTCAGAGCTTTGAAGGTGGTGGAATACGGCGCTTCTATGGAAATCGAATGCGGTGTGGAACCAGTAGTTTTTATTCTAGGTTATTTGTGTATTTTAGTTGTGAGATATGGCTTGGCTCGGGCGATGAACTAGTTTAGTGCTAGGCAGAATGAAATTGGGATGCTCGAGTGCTATGTTTGCAAGCTTCACAAGCTGAATCTTGAAAGAAAAAAAAAATTAATTTCAAAGAATTTCTATGTAAGCAATGGCATGTACGGACAAGCATCTTCGAGTTTCAACAGTTGAGGCTCTACATAACAAATTCAATCCTGTTTTTCACGTTTTGCACGATCCGGGTATTAGTCGTGCTGAAGCCTTCTCTTATTCGCCTCAGTGGTCAAAACTTAGCTCACATGATAGGGCGCCTTACCTCGAGATTATTGAAGCTGTGAGGTGCGGAAGTGCGACCCTTGGTCAAACTTCTATCACCGTACTTTTGTCCACGATCGAGATCGAAAACTCTCTCTTTTATTCATCATGACGCGGCTGACCAATCTCCCAACGGAGATTCTCCTCGAGATAATCGAATACCTAGAGTTTCTGAGTGATTTTAATGCTGTCGTCCGGACCAATAAACGTTTGAGGTCTCTGAGCAATAATCGGCTTTACGATCTAATCTGAGCCGACATCCTTCAGCCACGAGATGGAAACATCGGTATCGACGCCTCCTCGGTTCTTCACTGGGCCGCAGAAAATGGGAAGCATGCCTGTCTACGAACGCTGCTGCAAGCCGGTATCCCACCGAATCCCCCCACGCGACAAGGTGCGCATCCAATCCTGTTGGCAGCAAGCAAAGGAGACGCAGAAATGGTTCAGATATTTATAGAGCAAGGGATTAACCCAAACTCTCTGTCCGACTTTTCTACCAGAGATTATAGCGCCAAAAATCCTTTGCTATGTGCAGCCATTGATGGCCACGAGTCTGTGGTCGACTATTGATCACTCACGGCGTCGACCTCGAATTCAGCACTTCTGAGCTTGACGGCCTTGATCCCTCCGATGTCTCTTTCTTTCTTCAACCCTTGTCTTATGCGGCAATGAATCACCATATATCGGTGGCCAAACTTCTGATTGAGCATGGGTGCGACCCTTGCACCTCTGACTATACCCGCATAGGGAGTCAGGAGCCGCAGTCCGCCTTTATAACTGCTGCGGCGTTCGATTTTGAGATTTTCGATTTGTTTGTAAAGGCTGGCCTAGAACCTGACTTCGCTAGTTCTGGAGGTCTATATGAGACAGCCCTCCGCAAGGCCTTCATTTACGGCAATTTGCGGGCAGTCAAGTCCTTGTTCGAACAGGGTGTTAAACTTAAAACACAATTGGACATTGACTGGCAAAATCTCTCTATATGGGAGGATCTTGACATTTTCACGGAAATTTACAATTCATCGGGCCAATTCCCTGAATTGGCTCGATTCCTTCTACAGCAATGTAATGTTGAAGATGTTATTGAGAGTCAATACTTACGCCCTTTTCTGTGCCTTCTCCGGGCCGCGGCAAAGGACGGGGATCAAGACTTAATGGAACGTTTGCTGAAGATCGACTGGACAACCAAGCAACCTACCATCACCAAGAAGCTTGGGACAAATCATTTTGACGGGTGCCCTTTTCTCGGCAGCCCTCATAGGGCATCTCGGTATAGTGGAGCTATTGGTCGACCATGGCGCCGAAATACACTGGTTCGAGCCAAGGGAATTTGGGGACGAGCCAAGGGAAGATGGGGACGAAGCCCCGATCTTGGGTGCGGCTAGGAGTGGCCATATCGAAATTGTCAGACGACTACTTGATATGGGGGCCAAATTATCCGCCGAGAACGTAAGGGGGCTTTTCTGTAAAGCAGTGCGACGTCCAATCTATTCAGAGGAGCCAGTCTTGGAAGGACACCTAGAGATCGCTCAGTTGCTACTGGATCGGGAGCTCATTGGAAAACAAGACTGTCCACACTACGACGACTTTGTTATGGATGTTGTCGGGGCTGGAACGAAGGTGTTCAGTGTCATCAACCAGTATCAAAGTCTCAAACTTCACCCTGGCAACTTGAATCATCAAAAAGCCTTGTCCGACACAGTGTACTCGGAAAACCCAGCCATTGCAAAGCACTTTTTGGCAGCAGGGTTTGATCCTAATTCCTGCCAATCTTCTTATTTCGAGACGCCCTTATGTCTGTTGACGGTGGCAGGAACTAAGTCTACCAGAGAGTACGAACCGACACTTGATGTCCTGCTGGATTACGGTGCAGACCTTGAATGGCGGGATCCCAGCACAGGAATGACGCCTTTGCTTGTTCTCATAGAAAAAGGAGAAAATCCCGGGAAACCAAGGTGGAGGTCTGTGAAGGTACTCTTGAAAAAGGGCGCCGATCCTTTCTGTGTCTGCAGTCGCGGTAATACTCCACTCCTCATGGCGGCATATCATGACAGTCTGGCGACTGTGAAAGTTCTTCTGGAATTTTTTGACGAAAAAGAACGCCGTTTGAACAGATAAAAGAGATGATCCAAGCGGCAGCAAGATCCACGCGTTGTCCGAAGGTAGCCAGGATTTTATGGCATTGGTATTGGCCGAAGGTTCACCCTTGCCGGAAAGATACGATGGATCAGAAATAGCACATACGCGAAAGACTTTAAGGATTTCTTCTCTTGTGAGACGAATAACCTTAGACGGTAAATTAGGCCTATTATTGAAGATGTGCAAGGCTTGACCGATTTGCTCCGCTCATATTGTGCCCTGCTGCAAGAATCCATAGTCGGCAATGTACTCTCACTGGCATTTTCCAGTCGACTCGGTGGGCATTTGCTAACGAGAAGCTATTAGAATTCTCCTAATCTTTGGGGACAACCAAGGTTTATATATACTATGCATAGTCCAGAAGCACAGTTTCCCATACTTCCATCCTTATTGCAAGTTGCTCCTGCGCCGAGCTAATATGCATCAGGTTAGACTTGCGAATTCTTGAGGCAAGAGGGGGTGCGCACCGTAGCCGGAGAGCCAGCCAGGGCAATGCCAACAAAGGCAAGGACAGATATGAGAGTAATCTTCATGTTGAGGGCTTTTTAGAATTCAATTAAAAGTAATGTGGTGGAAGACGAGGTTTGTTTGCTGTTGTTGGGTACTAAATCGAGGGCACATGGGGGTAATCTTATAGTCTTTGGTGGCTCGCCGTCTTACTCCATGAGAGGTAGGGTAGGAATTGAAACTTGACGGGCATGGCACGATGTTCTCAATTCGACCCCTGATTTGAAGACCGGGAACCTATTACCTAAATATAAGCGCCGGTGCTAGAAGCGAGACTCGGCACAAAAGCCACTATGACATTATACTCGTCGCAAATACGGCTTCTCAGCTCAAACAGAGTATCTTCTATGTGACTTTTGATGCCGATCCAGACAGTTTCAATTCTAACCAGTAATGGCAATTACTGAGGTCGTAAAAGGGCATCATGCTCCACTACGATTATTAGCATTTACCGCATTTTAGGCCTTGAGTCAATTCGTAAATATTTAATAAGGGGTACAGATGTCTACGCAAGTCCCCGAGAGTTAAAATAATGATAAGCAGCAATCTCCGAAATTTTGAAACCAAGGCCGCGCTGCATGACACGGCCCGGGTACAAACGAGTTGGTCCATTCTGAAATACTCTCGAACCAGCACCGAGTTCATAAACCTGTCAAAATGCAACCCGGCTCAGTTGGAAACCCCCTTTTTAGTATATCAAGAGGTTCATGTCAGCTCATTCCAGTCGGTCCCCGGGATAGACTTTATACTCGGCGTGGTAACCCGATAAATGAGATTTGGGGAGCTCAGCTGCTGCAATGAAGACAGAAAATCGGAATTCTCCGGTCATCGCCTGAGCTGATCATTATTAGTCTTGACGATCTCTTACATAACTTACTCTGAGAGTCCAACTTGCACAGTAAGGTGTATTTCCAGCTCGTACATCATTTGACGTTGCATACTTTGAAATTGGCGTTATTGATGATATGAAACAAGTGGTCCAAACGGCTGTTGATGGCAGATTAGGTTGGGCCGTCTCTACCGCATAGTATCCGTTACATATTAGGCACCGTTTTCACAGTCCATCTCAACCTGACTATCATAATCACCAGGAAAACATACAAGGCCAGATACTTCAATCCATGGGCCAGCCTTGGGATAAGGTAGTCCATTCAATACAAATGTATGTCTCAGTGATTTTCAAATTCTCCATGTAAGGCTCCGAAAGCTACCTATAGGTCTAGACTGCTTTCAAATGTTGCTCTCTCGGTTTTAAATAACCAGCGAGTTTCAGTTGGTACTGTGGATTCACCGAAGCGATCTCTACCTATTCTATCCGATAGCTCAGCTTGCAAGGATCTGTCTAGATCTACAATTAGTAACAGCCATTCCTACACAGCTCTATGCCTTGCGCTATTTCTGAACCTGTCGGTGCATGTGAAACACACCTGTGTCCTACCACAGCCGATTAGGCTGCTCTTGCTACCTTACCAAGCGCAACACCAGTTTTTCTCCTTATCTGGTGCATTTGTTTGACTATCCTACCGAACTATTTTGCTGTAGACTGACATCCACTATGGATTATCCGCTGGGCCCGACGCGCCGTTTACCGAATGATAACCAGCCCATAGAAAATCAGTATTTCTATGGTGTATGTACCTTTTAAGACGGAGGATCTTTTGATAGCGTTCTGGCCCGACTAACGCATGCCTAATCAGAGAAGCTCCGTCTCCGATGAACACGATCAATCTAGACAGTCTCTACTACCCCCTCCTCTCCATCCCAGGACCCCATCTGGCGGACCAGAGCCATCTAGTCAATCATATTACGCTCCTTCATCCCACACCAATGCAGTATTTCCATCAAGTCCTTGCTATCCAGATGGAGAATCTGTTGTACTATCCGAGCATCTGAATCTCGAAACGGCGTCCACAACTTCGAAACGCTGGGCACAACGCCAAATGCATACTTCTGGAATACTATGCCGATATCCTACTCGTCGAATTAAGTTAGTTCATGGCACCGTTTTAAGTGTCGATTACCCGGTTCCTAGCGCAATACGCAATGCCGTCCAGGCAAAATACCGTGATCTGGAGGGAGACCCTTCTGAAGAATTTACTCATTTGAGATGTGAGAAGGTATAGCTTGCTTCTGTTATGCAAATAATAACGTTGAATAGACACTGCAGCTACGTGCGACCCGGACGAATTTACTCTGCAACATGGATATAACCTCCGCCCTTCCATGTACAATCGGCATACCGAGATGCTCATCGCCATTACCTACTACAACGAAGATAAGGTTCTTACGGCTAGAACCTTACACGGCGTTATGCAGAATGTCAGAGATATCGTGCAGCTGAAAAAGACAGAGTTTTGGAACAAGGGAGGTCCTGCTTGGCAGAAAATTGTCGTCTGTCTAGTGTTTGATGGGCTGAAGCCCTGTGACAAGAACACGTTGGATCTCCTGGCGACAATCGGAATATACCAAGACGGTGTGATGAAACACGACGTAGATGGTAGAGAAACGGTTGCTCACATTGTAAGTTTTTCTCCCTCCTAGCCATCTATATTTCACGGACAGGTCACCGGTATTGATTTGTGTCAGTTCGAGTATACAACCCAGTTATCAGTCACACCTACGCAACAACTAATCCGTCCATTCGGCGACGACCCTACCAACCTCCCACCAGTACAGATGATCTTCTGCCTAAAACAGCAAAACAGCAAAAAGATCAATTCCCATCGCTGGCTATTCAATGCTTTCGGGCGAATTCTGAACCCAGAAGTCTGCATCCTGATCGACGCTGGCACCAAACCAGGACACAAATCATTGCTCACCCTCTGGGAAGCGTTCTACAATGACCGACACCTAGGTGGTGCATGCGGGGAAATCCACGCTCTACTCGGCCGCGGATGGACAAAGGTCCTGAATCCCCTGGTAGCAGCCCAGAACTTCGAATACAAAATCTCAAACATCCTCGACAAACCATTGGAAAGCAGCTTCGGGTACGTGAGCGTTCTACCGGGTGCATTTTCAGCATATCGCTATCGAGCTATAGTCGGTCGACCCTTGGAGCAATATTTCCACGGGGATCATACGCTCTCCGAGAGGCTAGGTAAGAAGGGAATTGAGGGGATGAATATCTTCAAGAAGAATATGTTCTTAGCTGAAGACCGCATTCTCTGCTTTGAGCTCGTTGCTAAAGCTGGGTGTCAATGGAAACTCACATACGTCAAAGCTTCAAAGGGAGAGACCGATGTGCCTGAAGGTCCGGCCGAGTTTCTGAGTCAACGGCGCCGCTGGTTGAACGGGTCCTTTGCGGCGAGTCTGTATGCAATAATGCATTTCAACCGCATTTACAAGAGTGGGCATAATTGGATCCGCTTGTTCCTTCTTCATGTTCAGCTTGTTTACAACATTTGCCAGCTTGTCATGACGTGGTTCTCACTTGGTAAAGTGATATATATCCCCAGATCTTGGATTATAACTAATTAAGAGCTCACGGGCAGCATCATACTGGCTTACCAGTTCCGTCATCATGGACATCGTCGGCACCCCGAGTGCAGCGAACCATTTCAAAGGATGGCCATTCGGGGGCGACGTTACGCCTATCGTAAACAACATTCTCAAAATTGGCTATTTGGCGTTCCTCATGCTTCAATTCATCTTGGCTCTCGGAAATCGTCCAAAGGGGTATGTTCCAGCCTCACGATGTAACAAGATCCCTGCTGATATGATATTCAAGGTCGAGATTCCCATACACACTATCTCTAATCTATTTCTCAATCATCCAAGCCTACATCCTCGTTCTTTCATTCTACCTCGTCGCGCAAGCACTCACAGGAGACAATCTCGACTTCAACTTCGAAAACGGCTTCGGCGGCTTCCTACGCTCCTTCATAAACTCGACCGGTGGGATCGTTCTAGTCGCCCTGGTATCCACATATGGAATCTACTTCATCGCCAGCTTCCTCTACATGGACCCATGGCACATGTTCACTTCATCCTGGGCTTACTTCCTGGGCATGCCGTCGTCAATCAACATCTTGATGGTCTATGCTTTTTGCAACTGGCACGATGTATCTTGGGGCACTAAAGGCTCTGACAAAGCCGATGCGTTACCCTCCGCGCGGACCAAATCAGATGCTCAAGCGGCGTTTGTGGAGGAAGTGGATAAGCCACAGGCTGATATTGATGTCCAGTTCGAACTCACGGTTAAACGGGCTCTCGCGCCGTGGGTTGAACCGCACGAAAACAACGAGGTCAATCTTGATGATTCGTATAAATCGTTTCGAACCAATTTGGTGCTTTTGTGGACATTCAGCAATGGGCTTTTGGCCTTGTGTATCAATAATGTTGGGATGAAGCAGCTTTGTTTGACGGTATGTTGGAGGCGGACTTGGTATGAGCAGATGCTAATCTTTTGACAGACGACGTCTACATTGCGGACAGCGTGGTATTTCAGAGTCATTCTTTGGGGGACTTCCGGATTGTCTATTTTCCGATTCTTCGGGGCTCTTTGGTTTCTGGCGAAGACTGGTGTTTTGTGTTGCTTTTCAAGGCGTTAAGTGCTTCGCACTCTCCTGCAGACAGTGTAGAGGAAATGGATGAAAGCCAGAAATTGTTTCCTTACAGTCAGACTAGTCAACAAGAATTATCAACATACCCGTCCAAGTCACCTTTTCAGGGCCACTTGAACTACTGGGGAATCTAGAAAACCAACTAAAGCCGAAATTCAATAGGCATTAATCTCAAATGCAACAACTTAATGAAATTTGTATTTTACAAACAATGGGGATCTAGGTATAAACTCGTCGGTAATCCAATAAGAGCACGACAGGTCTATACACTAGTTATGAACACAAGCGACAGCTCATGCAGGGGGGAAATGTCGTACAAATGAAAGATGGAAACCAATCACACGCTAGTCTCCAGGGGAACCCAATCAGGCATTTACTCGCCCTTCAGGCGCTCCTGGTGAACGGAGAAAGCAGCCTCCAGAAGCTCCTGCTCCTCCTTCAGGTGAACGCCCTTGGTACCGGTGGCGACCGAGGCGGAGGGCGCACGGCCGGCATACAGGACGTGGCGGCGGTTGTGGTGCTCGGTGGCGTTCAGCAGGGTCTCGATACGAGGCTGGGCGTACGACCAGGCACCGGCGTTCAGAGGCTCCTCCTGGCACCAAACGATGTCCTTGGCGTTGGGGTAGCTGTCCAGGTTCTCCTTCAGCTGGGCCCAGGGGAAGGGATGCAGCTGCTCAACACGGGTGATGGCGGTGTTGCGGATGTCGTTGGCCTCGCGGTGCTTGATCAGAGCGGCATACACCTGACCAGAGCACAGGACGACGCGCTCGATCTTCTCGGGAGCATCGATGGCAGTGCCGTGGGCGTTGTCGGGGATGATCCACTGGAAGTGAGAGTCGTCGCTGAAGGCCTCAATGTCGGAGCGGGCGATGGGGTGACGCAGCAGAGACTTCGAGAAGAAGATCACAAGGGCTGGAATGAAGTGTTAGCTTATGGTGTCAACGCAAGGGGATTCAAGACGTACGCTTGCGGAACTGGCGGTGGAGCTGGCGACGAAGGATGTGGAACAGGTTGGAGGGCTCAGTCATGTAGGCAATCTGCATGTTGCAGTCCTGGTGCTGGCGATCCAGCTTGTCAGCCAATGGGAACAAACGAGGCTCCTCGTTGCAAAGCTGGAGCCAACGCTCCATACGACCGGAAGAGTGCTCGGGACCCTGGCCGTCGTAGCCGTGAGGCAGAGAGACAACCAGACCGGAACGCTGCAGCCACTTGGATTCACCAGAAGCAATGAACTGATCAATGATACACTGAGCGTTGTTGGCGAAGTCACCGAACTGGGCCTCCCACATGACCAGAGCCTCGGGGGAGGTCAGGGAGTAGCCGTACTCGAAGCCAAGGGCACCGAACTCGCTCAGGGACGAGTTGGAGATGACGAAGCTGCCCTGCTTATCACTGATGTTCTTCAGGGGGGTATAGGTGGCCTCGGTCTCCTGGTCGTGAAGAACGGCGTGACGCTGAGAGAAGGTACCACGCTCAACATCCTGGCCAGAAACACGGACGTGGTAACCCTCGTCAACGAGGGAACCGAAAGCAAGAGCCTCGGCAGTAGCCCAGTCAATGTTCTTGCCCTCGTCAACGGACTTCTTGCGGTTGGCAAGAATACGCTTCAGGTTGCGGTGGAGAGTGAAGCCCTTGGGGGCATCAGCACCGCTGATTTTGTCGGCGATGTTCTTGAGGGACTTGTTTTCCACGGCAGTAGGAAGGTGGGGAAGAACCTCGGTGGCCAGCTCCTTGGGGGTCTTGAAGTTGTTCCAGGCGGAGGTCAGCCACTCCTTGCTGGTAGGCTGGTAGTCCTTGCTGCGGTCGAAGCTGTCGCCGAGCATGCCCCAGACCCACTTCTTGTGCTCATCAATGTCCTCCTTGGTGAAGGTTCCCTCCTCGATCAGCTTGGCGATGTAAGTGTCGAGCTGGGCCTTCTGGTCGGCAATGCGCTTGTACATCAGAGGCTGGGTGAACGAAGGCTGGTCAGTCTCATTGTGACCCTGCTTACGGTAGCAGACAATGTCAACGACAACGTCACGCTTGAACTCGGCGCGCCAGTCGGCAGCGACCTGGCAGACGTAGTTGACAGCCTCAACATCGTCGGCGTTGACGTGGAAGACTGGAGCATCGATCGACTTGGCAATGTCCGAGCAGTATGGGGTGGAACGGGCAAAGCGAGGATCGGTGGTGAAACCAATCTGATTGTTCACGACGATATGGATAGTACCACCAGTGGAGTAGGCGGGGAGAGACTCGAAGCCCATGGTCTCGTAGACGACACCCTGAGCAGCGAAGGCAGCGTCACCGTGGAGCAGAACACCCATGGCGGTGTCGAACTTGGTCTCGTCCTGGTTGTAATGCTGAATGGCACGGGTCTTGCCGAGCACGACAGGGTCCTCGGCCTCCAGGTGAGACGGGTTGGCGACCAGAGACAGCTGGACACGCTTTCCGGAGGGAGTGGGACGCTCGAAGTTCATACCCAAGTGGTACTTGACATCACCGGAGCCCTCATCGGAAGGCTCAGCCGAACCGGCGAACTCACTGAAGATGGACTCGTTGGGCTTGCGAACGACGTTGGACAGGACGTTCAGACGGCCACGGTGAGGCATACCAATGACGATGTCCTTGATACCGTAGTCGACACTGCGGTCGATCAAGGCCTTCATACCGGGCACAAGGGTCTCGCAACCCTCCAGACCGAAACGCTTGTCGTTGGGGAACTTGGTGGCAAGGAAGGACTCGAAGCTGGAACTCCAGATCAAACGGTCGAGGATGCGGCGCTTGTCGTCGACCGAGTATCTGTAGGGCTCGGGAATTTCGAAGCGGTCACGGATCCACTCGCAAGGCTTGCGGTCGGGGATATGGATGTACTCGACACCGTAGGAGCCACAGTAAATCTTCTCGCAGGCATCAATGATCTCGCGCAGAGTCATCTTCTTACGCTCCTCAGTCAGGAAGCGCGGCAGAATGCCGGGTCCAAGGGCGAACTCCTGGTCGAGGTCGCGCTCAGTGAAACCGTAGTGGTCGAGCTCGAGCTCCTTGGGCTTGCTGTAGCCGAAGGCCTCAGCGTCGCCACGAATACCGAGAGGGTCGATCTTAGCCTTGTGGTGACCACGGGCCTGGTAGGCGCGGCAAAGCAGCTGAACCTTCAAGTGATTTGTGACATCAGCGCCAGCGGCCATGCCAGTGCCGGGCATATCCTGGGGGACACCGCCGGTAGGGGTCGGGACAAGGGTCGGGGGAGGAGTGAAGGCCTGGGAGATGGGCATGTTGCCATCCTCCATGTTCCGGAAGTATGTCTGCCACGAGATGTGGACACTGGACGGATCCCGCTTCCAGGCCATGTACATCTCGTCAACGTAGTTGGCAGTGCTGCCGGACAGGAAGGAATCGTTGGGGTCCTATTGTAAGGGAGAGGCAAAGTCGCGCCGTAGTGTTAGCGAAAAGGCCGAATTTGAGGTTTCTCATCGCGCATCTCGACATGGATCATGGGTGATCAGGGTGTGTTGTTGGCTTACCACTCCGGCACCCTCCGCGGGCGATGCATAAAGTCGAGCGCCATTCAAGACGCGGTTGGCGAGAGCGAGAGGTCGGCGAGCAGCCAGGCCGAAGGTCGAGCTCTTCGAGGCCAGGTGAACGGACCGACGACATGTCGAGGAGGTTGCACCACGCAGCAGACCGCTGTGGGTGGCCTTCAAAGCAGTGTTTCTAAACATTGCGGGATTTTTTCGGTGATCGCAGAGATGGATCCGATGTAGTGCAGGCGATGAAGAAGGGGGGGAACAAGAAATTTAGACTCAAAGATGCCACGGACGTTCTTGAGTAGACCAGCTACATACGCGCAAGTTAGTCCGGAGTTGCTCAAAATTCCCCAAGTTGCTCGAGTTTGCCAGGTTGTTGATGGGTCTGCCGAAGATACCGAAACACGGAGGAAAGGAAGAGAACACGTACTTAAGGGGTATGCGCCAAAGACAGGTGTCGACTAGTACTGCCGTAACACCTGTATAGGAACGGAAATCATCAGAGAGCAGAAACCCTGCTGATACAAAAAGAGGAAAGGGGAAGAGTAGAGAGGCAGGAAACAGAGCCAGAATCAAAGAACAAGAATGACCGAACCTGCGGCGCCTGAGGCTGGTGCGCTGAGTCAGCCCGAGCAGTAGCCGATATTTTTGGGACGGCAAGTCACTCCACCGTTCCGGGTAAGGTTTTCGGCCCTTTGCGGGTGTTTTCGGCCCATCGTCTTGTTCTCAATTAACTATTTGTAATTGGTTCTATATACGGTTCCTTTCCTAAGAACATGCTTCGTAGATATCGGGCCGTGTAGACATGAGCAAGATGCTAACTCGTCGGCTCTTCCTTCTTCCCCAAAAAACCAACAAGCATAGGAGCAGAAAAAATGCCAAATGCCAACCTGAAAACAAAATCACTCGGGCAGTCATTAGATCGTCATTAGATGGTCGAGAAAGGGGTCATATGCAAAGGGAGATGCCAAAATAGCCACGATTATGTCCAGTGAAAGTCTACAAAACACTGAGATGCTGGGATGTAGAACCCAGCATTTCAACATCGCTTTCAGCGCTGCTCGGGCCCGTTCCGCGGATCGGGAGATCGGCAAGATCTTTGAGCGGTGAGGCCGTATAGGGGTGGTCGTCCTGGTGATAGCCCATGCCTGCCAATCCTTCGTCGGGAGAAGACCGCGCATCCGAAGGGCTGGCTTCCGAGAGCCCAGTAAAGCTAGCGCGATTAGATGACGAAAGCGTATGAGGAGGCGGACTGCCGGCGCTACTCCGCAAGCTGCCGTTGCTGCCGCCCCACGCACCGCGCCGGAGCTTCATGAGCGCACTCAGGGACAATTCGTCATCCAGGTTGCCCATATCCACCAGCTGGGCCAAGCCGGGACTTGCCAGGGAGGGGTTGGAATGGGTAGCGCCGTGAGCCTTCAGTGAAATGACCGAGTTGCGCGTGCTCCATTCACTCCGTTCGGTGATTGGGGTGAGGCTGGGTTCTTGGAACTTGCCGCGACTGCTGTGGCTGCGAGTTATACTTTCGACGCCTCGAGGGCCGAAGTAGCCTCCGTTCGTAAGCTCGGAACCGGAGTTGCTGTGTGCCTCCGCGTAGAAGCCGAATTCTTGGCCGTAGAAGCCCTCGTCGTCGTTTTCCAGGGCTTCGGCGTTGGCGGCGGCGACAATCGCGTCATCCCAGTACGCATCATCATCAAAGATCTGATCATCGTAGGTTTCTTCAAAGGCCATGAAATCGGGCCCTTGGCTAAGGCGGCTGTCATCCGATATTAAACCCGGTTGGGAATCCACCGTCTGCGACGTTTGGGAGATGCTCTCGGGCCCTAGAGACCGATCACTTATACTGATGTTTCGTTCGACGCGGCTCTTGCTGGCTGCTTCATTAGCTGCAAAGGCCAAAGCATTGTGCAGAACCTCCAGGTTTTGCTCTGTGAGAACTCCACCGTGAGTCCTGGCTGGACCCAGGTTTGGTATCGGCTCGCCGAGCGGACCGCATTTGACAGAAGTCGTTATGTAATTGCTAGCCACGCTGGGCATGTGCTTGAGACCTTGAGTAGTGTTCTCTTCCAGATCGATTTCTTGATGTGGAGAATCGTCATGAGGCTCTTCTGTTTGGGGAGGGTAACCCGCTGTTTGTTGCGCAACTGGCCTCCGTTCATAAAGATGGCTTGTCTCGTCGTCAAAGACGGACTCGTCGAATCCTCCATCCCGGTCATCAAGGCTAAGATCGCCGAATTCGCCGTCATCAAAATACAGATCATCCTCATCATCGATGGTTTGTTCTTGTTGCTTGTTGGCGTCCGGAACTGGTGGTGCAGCTCCTAAACATTCGGTGCTAGTAATAGAAGAAGCCTGTTGTGCTTCGTGTGACTCTTCGATTTCAGTGAACTCTGGTTGGGTTGCCGTCTCGGAAAATGAATAAGACGAGGTTGGAGAATCAGCTTCAGGGTCAAGATAGCTCGTGCCAGTCACATCTGCTGGAATCTCAGGAGGTGCAGGGGTCATCGGGCTCGCAACCACTGGCGATAACTTTGGGGCAGCCCAGGACTTGACGTTAAGATAAGGTACTGAGAAATCGTCGTCGTCGGCATCAGCATTAACACCGGGAATCTTCTCTTCCAAGCCGTCCACATCGTCCAGGATGTCGTGATCAAATTCATCGTCAAAATCATCAAAGTATCCATCTTCCATCTTGCGTGCAGCCTCTTTCGCCTTGTGCTTCTCCTCGAGGAGCTTCTCCTCGACGGATGACTCCACGCCACCCATATCGAAGCTGAATCGCGATGCATTGCTCTTGAGGTGCCTCGATAAGCTCGAGGGTAGATGTGGCACGTTCGGAATAATATCTTGGTCTGGTTGATTTTGCTGTTCTGTAGGAGGAGACATTTTTGCTTCCTCTGCAGGGAGCTCTGCTGGAGGAGAACCATTTTGCTTGATGGACTCAGGGCTCTGCTGCTCGGGCAAGTGAGAGGGCAGCTTTCTCGCAAAGACAGGAATAGATTTTTCGTATCTATAATTTTCGGGGTTCGTCAGTAATGACGATTGAAGATAACCCTTATTCTCGGGTTGAAGGACATTCCGATCATCCTCGAAATGCTCTTTGAAAACAGGTGAGTGATCACTGTGCCTTCTCGTCTGATCATTCCAGCGGCTGGCTGGGCTTAGGCCAGCTTGTGATGGCGATGCATCCTGGATATTGCTGTTGCCATCAAGCGGGGGAGGTGCCGCAGTGCCGGATACATTGCGGCGCGGTCTGGGGGCAGAGAAGTCGTGCACAATCTTTCCGCGGATTCGAGGGTCATAGTCATCGGGAATAGCAGGAATCGAGCTCGGCGCACCGATTTTAGGATTGTCCACGCGTGAGGTGCCCATCTGAGATGACCGTCGGCGAGCAAGAAGGGACATCGGGTTCAAAAGATGAAGCATTGCTTTTCCCGATTTGTGGTGGGCATGCTCCCCCGAGAATTCACGGTCTCCTGCCCGCCGAGTAAGCGCACCCTCAGCTCTGAATTCCTTCTGAGACATGATCGATTTCTCCGAGGGTGACTCGTCAGGCGGCGTTTTCAATCCGAAGTGGCTGGCCGGCTCCGTGGTGGGTGAACGCCTCTGTCCCTCGGCGGCTGGCGTCTGCAGATTCCGTAGTCCTTTTCCGAATGAGAGGCGAAAAGGTGAGCTTGGTTTAGAGCCCGACTCGCCATCTCCTTGGTCTGGTCGCAGCCCGCCGTCCAGTAGTTGTGAGCTGTTGGGTTTCGACGTAAAGCCCGGCTCCGGCAGCAGACACTCTTCAGGGCTCGAGTGCGGGCGATTCTCTTTCTCGAATGAGGGGAACGGAACTGCCAGGCTCACGGAGGAGGACAGCGGCGCGACGGATGTGTTGAAATTCAGCTTCGAGGTATCGATGTCCAGCGGAGAACCGGTCCGAGGCGGGGCATCGTATGACTGGTCGCCGTCGAATGGTGTCGTAAGGGTAGGAGTGTCTGGGATCTCAGGAAGCTGAGGGGGGTTGCCGAGGGGGCTGTCTGTCGCTCCTTTCGAGGCCGGAGACGGTGCGGGCAAGGATGCGGGCGGTGCGGTTGAGCGGCGGTGGTCGCGTCGCCAGTAGGAGAAGACAGTGGACGGAGGCATCGTGGCCACAGATCCAAAGCCCGGGCGGCATCAATATGAAGCGGAGTGAGTGTTTAGGGGACGTTAGACTCCATCACGGTCGTTATCATCTGTAGCAGGTTTTAGAAGTGAAGCAGGACTGAGTTCAGTCTCACATACCAGGCACCGGTGGGGCTTGCAGAAGCCACTGGGGTTGGAGCTTTTGGATGATTCGTGTTTAACTTTGAAAAGAATGACCGAGTCACGTCTAAATATAATAGGGAGATGCAAGGCGCTGGAGGTGAGGGCGAAATAAAATAAAAAAGATCGCCCGATAAAAGGAGACGTAATCGGCTGCAGCTCCCGGACTTCGTTGGCTACACCAAAGCTTCGCCTCGTGCCTGGACCCGATTCTATTGACATGTGCATGCAATACTTCGTATTCATTTTAGGCTTATTTCAAGAGGATGAAAAGGGTTCACAGCTCCTTACTTATTGAAGGATATTCAATGGATAGGAAGTAGTCAGATCTCGGAACGTTTGTAGCCACAAATGTATATTTAGAGCCACCGAGGCGCTGAACCATGGGTTGTCTTCATAACCAACGTGGGAATATTCCAATTCGGAAGAACCATGTCAATGAATAGAATGGGCGCACAGCCCAAAAGCATGGCAAAGATAAAGCCAATAAGAGAGTCAAATTGTCTCCCCACATCATACATAAGTTTGTTATCTACTCTACAAGGATATTCCGACCAGAATCAAAACCAGAGTACGCCAGAACGACGACGCTATGAGGATGGAACAAAGTGGGAAATGGATAAGAAACAAGAAGGTAAGAGATTATTAAAAGCGAATGCTCTGTCTCCAGCGGTCAATGACATCACGTTGAGTTGGGTCAACGGGCTGCCGCGTGGTTGGGACACAGACATTAGGCGAGGGGTAAACCATTCCGTTCACTCCCATGATGTTGTTGTACGGGTAAACAGGCGGATAACCCATTCCGTAGCCATAAGGTTGTTGGTAAGAAGCCATGTTCACCCCCTGGTCTTGCTGTATGTAGGTTGGGAACTGTTGCATGGACATTCGGTTCCCGTACTGCATCATGTTGGACTGGAGTACATCGTGTGATGATGACTGGCGAACGACCTGTGGCTGTCGAACTTGCGGGAGAGCGGCCATGCTTCGTCGCATGCGCGGGTTCTTCGCGTTAACCTGCTGGCCACCGTTCTCCTTGTGCAGCCGAATGCGCCGCTGTGCAAGAGTTTCTTCTTCGGGGGCGACCACAGGCCCGGGAGCAGGAGCGGCGGCAGGAGCAGGAGCAATTCCAGCTCGACTTTCGATTTCGGCCAAGAGATCATGAGCAAATTCGCTTTCTGTCGGGTTCTGTCCTCGCAAGCGTCGTAGTCGCTCGGCCAGCGTCTCGACCTCGTCACCACTCTCTGCCTCCGGCTCGGGGGCCTCGGCAGCCTCGGTATACATGGTGACACGACTTTTTTCAGGGACCGGTTCACCTCGAAGTCTCGCTCGACGCGAACTCAATGGCTCGTTTTCTTCGAGCTGTCGTCGCTCCATCAGACCAACCGGACGATCGTCGTCGAGATTGGCCTTGTCAGGGTAAAGCATAGCCAATGGAACCTCTTCATCATCGGCATTGTGACTGCCCCATGCCAGGGTAACTGGCCGCCGGCGTCTTTTCTCACTTTGCATCTGGGCCATCGCATCCAATTCGAGAAGAGTGTTTGTCATCCCCGGCGTCGGCTTAGGCACGAAAGTGCGTTGTCGCTGCTTCAATTCTTGTTTCCGAAGCTCCAGTTCTGCCAGTAGTGTGTTTGGTGGTCCAATATAATCTTCGACGTCCTCCTCCTCGCTTCCCGGCGAATCCTCATCGCCTTCAGTTTCGCTGCCTGACAGTTCTAAATCATGCTCATCGTGATGGTCTTCGCCTCTTCCATTTTCCGAACCAACCGAGCTACCTCGCTGGGAACTCTGATGCTGACCCATGGAAAGCTGAGAATTCCGCTCTTTCAATCTCGTCGGATCCTTCGAAATGGTCTTGCGCTTCGAGTTCGCATAGACGTACGAGCCAACCTGACCAGCGTAAGGGTGATCAGTAAAGGCTGATACAGGTGCATTGGCCGAAGCGTCGAGAATGCTGTCAAGCGTGGCAACGGCAGAGTCCTGTTTGGCATCGATCTCGAGCGATTGGCTTGGGGATTCAAAGAAGACGCTTGCGCGAAGATGCGCTGGAATTGCGGACTGGCGTTTGACTTTCTGGTTACCACTCGGCGTTTCCTGCTTAGATCTGGCCCATGCTTCTGACTTTCTATCTTCAGCAACAATGGAGGTCAAGAGTTGCATACGACGCTGTTCGCGTTCTGCGATTGGCTTGCGAGACAGCTTCGGGGGCAAGTTCAACATGCGGGGGACGGGTGCCGGGTAGTACACCATGTGTTCGCCCGTTTTTGGCATCTTGAAAGACTCAGGCTTGCTGGCAAGGGGCGGCTGGCTCAGGGAAAGCTGCCGTCCGGAATTTGCGCCCTCCAAGGGCGCGAAATGGACGCCATCAAAGTCTGTAAACAGTGTCCGGGCCTGCTGATAGGTATCGCCCGAGGCGGCGGTACCTGGCCTCTCAAGCTCCCCAGCAGGACCACCAGATTGTCCATCATATTGTCCATAGTAGACCTCATTGCCATGAGCATAAACTGGGGTTTGCGAGTCTGGAAGGATCGGTAACGGGGCCGGGAAGTTATCCAAAAAGTGAACCTCTTCGTGATCGGGCTCCGCGACCTGGGCGAGGCGGGATGCGCCAGACACAGAGCGCTGTCGCGTGGAGATGGTCGATCCGAGAGGGGACGCAACGCCCGTTGGGGAGAATGTTCCATTCCGCATGTTGATTGAGTTCGACGCTGAACTGCAGGAACGTCGTTTCTGCTCCTGGTCCATCCTGCGAATTTCACTGCCAATGTCTGCTGAACTGGAGCTGAGACGCTCAGCACTCATTTCCAACCGCTCTACATTGCCAATGTACGCGCCCTGGATAGATTGTAGATCTGGGACCGGGTGACTAAGAGGGGTGTGGAGGTCGCTGGATGCACTGTGCAAGGGAGTCTCGGAAGAGGAATGTGGCGCGACAGTCGTATTGAGTGGAGGAATGCTCCGGGGGTTGACTGATTGCTTGGCAAGGGAAGGATCGACATCGTATTCATCGGCCTCGACTATATCGTAGCTCGTGGAGGACATGGATTGGAGTATCGAACCCAGCTGGGCCAAGCCCGGTTTGTCGTCGATCTGCGCGGACTCCAGGTGGTTTCCTCCCAGGTCGGTATCGCATAGGTGGTGGAAGGTACCGCGAGTCGGGGACGGGGAGCGCGATGCATCGGAGCCGGAGTGAGAGGCGACCTCGTCAACCTGAGCGACAGGGTTGTAGGCCATGCTGGAAGAGTCGCAGTCCAGACCGAATCGGCCTGAGACGGAGACAAAGACAGGGGTTGAAGTCGTTCAGTCCCATGTGAGTGAAGTCAAAGAGAAGAAATCCAGGGACGAGGGAACAGGGTGGATGTTTCATCCGTGTCACCTACAAGTCCGAGTATTTTTGCCTCCGGGCTAAATTTGGATTGTCATACACCCCCTTTGGGCCCGGAAGGGGTCCATTTCCACACTAAGTGGGCAAAAACAAGGCACTTGACGGCCAAGCCACTTTAGCAAGTTCGTGCAGGGGCTACCATGTCTCGGACCACTCAATTCGTTAGTTAGACCGATTTAGACCTCCAGTGTACTGTAGGGCCGAAGGTGGGGAAAAGCACGAGGTTCCTCAGCTTCCGGGCCCCTTTGCCTGCTTGGGTCGCTTTTTCCGTTGCTTTTTTGCCTCGTGGCAAATACCATGCACCATTCAATAGGATATGCACCTTGCACCAACTTGACCTTGACTTGATTTCGATTGCCACGCAGGCACGCATGCACCCTTGCCGATCCTTCCTCTGGTGGTCACGCAACCACCAAACTCACCAATTGCGCGGGCGCAAACGTTGAATCTACAAAAACAAGGCCTTGCTTGTCAAAGTCTTGTTGAGCATCGTCATGATGTTCTTCTATTGGTTATCCTTTCCACGCATCTGGATAATCTACGGGGTAAGCCCGAGATTGATGGGCTATTAAGGGCCGGCGTCGATCAAGCCAGGTTTCAAAGTATATCACATAAAAGGGGAAAAAAAAGAAGAAAAAAGGAAAAAAAGGCATCCCCGTTTACGGCTTGACGAACGTCAAAAAGTCCTGCGACAGGTCTGTGAAGAAGCTAGCCCCAGCCACGGGCTCCGTAGACTCGGTCACGTTGCAGTAGTCAAGGAAACTGCCGGCTGCCTTGCTCTTCTGCAGGATCGGATGTACTCGGATAGCAGGCAGCTCTTTCCGGGACCATTCTGGCAACTGGCATTCGGATAGACTGCGTCATTGAACAGCACGCGAATGTAGGTCTCGTTGGAAGACTTATTAGATCCGGACTCGCAGTTCAGAACCTCCAAAGCAACGGTACCGCGCGTCGTGATGAAGTGAGCGACATTGTAGAGGCGATGAGCGGGAACGGGATCATCGACCAGAGCCTCTTCTGGGTCGATCATGGTCGAACATCCCCATGGCAGCGGTCATCTCGGAGATCTGGTTATCGTTGAGGAAGGCCATAATCAGGTTGGGAACGGTGAAGGTGCCACCATTCGCGTCGGTGCTGGTCTGACCAGGACCATTGCCCAACGGAGTCGTCAGACTCTCAAGGAAAGGAAGGAAGAGCTTCCTGGCCGGTCCAACTGAGCCGGGACCGACGCTATAGTAATAGCTTAGGTCTTGGGAGTAGGCATGGTTGCGCAGCTCGTCTTCGGTGAACACTTCCGAGCGCCTGCATTAGCAGAGCATTACAAACAGGAATAGGAACTACAAGCGGGGCTTAAGAATCAAGCGCAAGCAGCAGAAGTCCAGTTCTATGCAAACCAATTCATATGGCCCCTGAAGTCGATTATCTCTGGAAATCCATTTCCGCAAAACACTTTGCGGCGAGTTTTATGGTGGGATTAGCAAAGGCTTGAGCAAAGGTGGTCCTGATGGGTTCCCACTCGGTAGGTATTCATAAGCAAACAGTACTATCCAGAACCGTGCTGCCACATTGCCACTTCTGGCGGAGATACTTCAGGATCTGACTATCTTTGACTCTCATCAAGACCTAAAACCTTCAGCCAGAAAGGCTTGCAGGAAGTGACTGGCTTATACTTCTGCCAGCCTCGATATCACACAAAGAAACTATAATATAACGGTTAGCTAACTACCGAACTTTTAGGAATTGTAGGATTAATATACTTACAGAGTCCCGGTCGTGCTATCCCAGACAAGGTTCCGCGGGCCAGTGTCCGCGGGCATAATACCCATCGAAGTCATGTGGCTAATCGCGATTAGTTTTTTAAACCCGAGATAAGGCTCTAGGTAACTCAACTCACTTTATAGCTGCAGGGATGGTTAAGTGAATCCGGACCCGTTCCTCCGCCTCAAGTTCCAGCGGAAGGAACGACTGGGATCCATGGGAAGAAGTCGCACTCGCGCTCTCGTGACACAACAACGAAACACCGGCTAAATCTTCCAATTCACACCCCAATTGCACCATCTCTCTCCGCTTAGTTACAGCGATACTGCGACTCAGCCGCACGAAGCTAGCAGATCTCTTCAGTCTTGCAGTCCCGAATACAAGATGAATAATCCCACCGGCGGGATTTGCGAGCGATGTAGTCTTGGATGGCAGAATCATCCTCCTGAAAGAGTGCCGTCACATTATGCCAAAAGGCAGGAGACAGCTCTGCAGCGCTGTCAGTGACTGGTGGGCTAAGAAGAGAGCCGTGTCCTTCTTTAGAAGAGTAGTACTTCTCCCATGTTGTCTTTGTCTGGTAGGTCGGGTCTGACATGTTCGCGATTTATAGTTCACAATCAAGGACACCAAAGGTGACAGGATCGACAGAGTATACGCGGAAAGTAGGATTGCCAGAGGTTGGGGTCAGGGCGGGACAATCGCGATGCCCCACTGAGCGTTTTATCTCCGCTCGTTATGGGTCTGATATCACTACAGCTGGACCAAGAAGATATTGTAAGTGGGCCTAAACGGTCATAGCTATTTGTCCGGGAGGTTTAAAAAAGACGTTTAAATTCTTAGGAGATTTTGAAGGACCAAGAGAATAAAGTATTGAGGCCTCTTTGTAATATCTCCTTGGTCCGGCTGTAATTGTGATATCTTCTTATCTCGTCTATGTAGATATGGGATTGAGACTTGATGTCCATTTTTTCGACTACTTCTCAGCGAGAACAAAAGCCATAGGCGTATAAAAGAAAACAACTACAAGCACATAAAGAGAGGAAGTTCAGCATTGATATCCTGCATTGGGCGCATGCCGAAAGGAGCAAGCAATACACTAGGGTTCATACTACACCTGGGCTTATTTTAATTCTATCCCTGCTCCAATATTCTCCATTGTTCAGGTTTCTCACATCATCTCATTCTTTGACGATAATACTTAGCTAGGGTAGCTCGTACATGCATCCAGCAAAGCCACCACCAATAAAGGACACCAGAAACGTGCCTGGGAAGTACAAAGTAACTATTGGTTCATGAACAACTTTCTCAATAAAGCCATAGGTTTGCCTCAGTAATATTTACCGGGATGGTGTGACTTGTCCATGTTCTTGGAGTCTTCGGAGTACCAGAACCTGACTTCCCGACCACCGTCTCCACCTCCCGATGCTATGATGTAATAATCCGCCTCTTCCTATCCAATGTGGAACTTAACAGTCACCATGTACCTGTCGCCATGAAAAATTTTAATGTAACCCATGTCCTTGTCTAATAGATCTTAAGATTGGGGACGACCCAGTATATCATCAACCGGTTCGGGATGCCGCCACTCCACAATCATCCCCGGTCCGATAAGACGGGGATGCACTAGGGTGGCCGAGAAAGCTTCGCCAGCAATCGGGCCATCTTACGTCATAATCCTTCTGGGGGACTTATAAAGATCCCTTTGCGAAAATTCTCTGTTGGCCTCAACCTCAGAATCTGCTTGAGACCCTCCAGTTTCAAACTCTGCTGTCAAACACCACCTACAACCATGTCGAGTATCCTACACCACCACCACAACTCAGGAAAATATTCTGAACAGGCGTCGCATGAGTCACCTCAGCGTGACTCGTACGTTGATGATAAAGCCAGTATGTCTTTAGCCTTCGATTTGCATAATTCGATTTGCTAATGCAAGACAATAGACAACAGTACCCACCATCACCATCACCTCTTTGACCATCACAGTGAGGGCGATGAGAAGCCGCATCACCGTCCCAGTCAGGCTGAAATCGATAACGCTGAGTTTTCTGCCGCTAGGCATTATGACCACGCTATGAAAGGAAGCCATGGTGCCGGTGTCGGCTTCGAAGGAGGTCGACAGTGATTATGATGTTATGAAATAAGGGATCGATATAGTCTAGGAAGTGGACCATCTTTCACGGGTCACAATCACATAGCTGATTGTTGACTATGGAGGATATCCTGTATAGTGATCTCACCAACTTTAATATAGAACGAATAGCTATGATTTGCGCTGTTTCCAATCAACGCTCTCCTCTTAACCCCCATGATTTAAGCTACCGGGGAGATGATGGCCGCTCACGGGGCTTTACAGGAGCCAGCCATCTCGTGATAAGAGTAACTCGTCTAGGTATAAGACCTAGTCCAGACAGTCTGATAGATTGAGCATACTACCTGATCCGATATCACTACCAAGTGTATATCTGACCATAGGAATAGGTTAACTGGGTTCTCGTGAGTTGGCATGGACTGGCACGAGCAGGGCGATGAAATAAAAAAAACGAGACATAAGTACATTAATGAATGCACTCCATTAATGGCCATAGGAAGCCCGACAATATTTAAGAGTAGTCAAGACCCAAGCGAGGTGTCGAGGCACTAACGCCCAATCTGGGAATCGTTTTCCAGTGTATATCACGTGACCACGCGTGCCGTTGGGACGCGCCGCGAATATCATTGATACCTTGGAACACCCAACGACAACGGCCTGCGGGATCGCGACCGAGTCGATGTGCCAATATGTCCTACTATGACATTGATTCTGTCCTAACGGATGCTCAGGTGAACTCCACCCCGAGGGTTGACCTTTCAGTTCGGATCTTTCCGCGCTAACACCACGAAACCCAGAAATTGCCTTGTACTTTCGAGCTCGAAGTCCCGGGTCTAGGTGTCCTAGAAGGCAACCCAGGAGAAGATGTATGATAATCGGAACCTAGCGCGTCGTGCTCAGCATTTGACAAAATCCAGATCAAAGCGGGGACCCGCATCGACCTTCCACTATGGCTGGGTGAAATGCTTTCTATCGGGTAAGACGTGAAAAGTTTCTGCAAGTGTACCAATTCTAACGAGGGAATAAAGTGCGCGACTGGGGACTTCGCGCCTGGTTACCCTCGACATGCCCGAGGCACTGTCGGAGCGGGTTATGAATGCGCTGAAGGCAGACCCTCGCACAGTTGACCTGCGCGCACTAGCACCGCATTTTTACAGTCTCAGCGAGCGCATTCTCGAGCTGTTCGAAGAAGAAGACATGGTTGACGTGTTGAGTGATGTAGGTTTTTATGACTACACAAGCTGCCACCACTGACCATTTCCTCTCCCTAGACGTTCAAGAAACGGGCTTCAGAAATCGCCGACCATGCCCATAACTCGCGCGGTGCCGTGGGAGATGGTGTGGATTTCCTTCGTGGGTTGGACGAGACCGAGCGGCAATGTATGTGCATGAATCGAAGGATTATCGAGTGTGGTAACTGACATATCGCAGTGTTCCGTGCTGCTCACGATCGAGCGAAGGAAATGCGAATTTGGTCAGGAGAGGCAAAGAGGAAATGATCTATAGTGGATGATGTGGGGAAATACGGGCTGAGCTGAGCTCGTCTAGGTTTCGAGAAGCCCATATGAGATCTATCGCATAACTTTATTCCGAATGGTAATGACATCTCCATGGGGGTTTACCGTGAGCCAAGGGAAAATTCTAGCCCCAGAATAGAGAAGAATAAATCCAAGGCTCTTTGTATTATGTCGACGGTGTGGCAGATATCAGCCATAGATTAAAAGTACTGTTCTGGACCGAGAAAGGCGCAAGAAAGGCTTTACACAGGTCTCATCGCTACCGTTTCGGGGTTTGTGACGTGGAGTGCGGGCATGGCAATCGGGCGGGCGGACGCTATGTCCGGGTCCGAGCATGCGATCTGTCAAGCCATTGTTCATGTTCGATATCGATCTATATAAGACTATAGGGAGCTACTGCAAGCGAGTGGGGATGCTCTGATGAACGGAGTTCGCTGTATCTTGGATCGGATGTGCGACGGGAGCGGGTGGACAATCGTGTACAACCTACAAGAAACCTCACGGTTACTACCCTTGGCGTGGAATCAAAGTGTATTTCGAAACACAGGTCCGTGCTAGGGCGGGGGACGTACATGTACAGTAGAAAGGGGATTTGACAAGATGAACCCCCTGAATCCAAAGCAGTTAGACCAGGCGGGTGGCACCCAAGAAACGAAGCGAAACCAAGTAAGGACAAGCTGAGACCGTCTCGCTCCACGGCCATCTTCCGATTGGCCTCGATTGATGTCAGGCACACGCAGATCATCGAATAATCTGAGGCTGGCAATCCGTGAAATCTGTGATGTGATGCTCAGATTTCCCTTCGCATCTTCCATTGCTTCGTTTTAGCGCATTCCAGGTATCACCCGGACCTGCCAAGGGCACAACAATAAATCACTTAGACTTTCCCACTTCTCCTCTTTCTTTCCCTCGAACGATGAGGGACCGACTCATCACAATTTGATTCTCTGATGTCCCCTCGCTTCGTATACCTCACTTTTCCTGCCTTGGACCTTCCTCGCTCCACTAAGCTCCATCAAGTGGTCTTTGATTGCTTCTCTTTTTATCAACAACGCATCCCTCGCTTCCTGCAGCCGCTTTATCCTCCAAAGTTACCGGATCTTCCAATACATTGTCTAGCGTCCATCCAATTGCGACCGCGCGGAGTGCACATCCGTCGATTAATCTTCCGATGTGGTGGATTCGTCTGTAATCTACCGATTTACACTGGACTCTGATTGCTCCGGACGCAGACCGCGCGCCAGTTGATCCCCACTGCGTCAAGTATGCGCATAATTTGCACGCCATGGACGTACCTGTAATGGAGAAGGCCAGGCGGAGCTTGGCTGCAAAGCCTCCTCACTCTCAGGCCCCAGTATATCATACCGAGGGCCCCCCGAGCCCCCGTGTTCCTTCCAAGAATCGCTCAACTTGTACGCCGTTCCTACTCAACTGAGTTCGATCTATACATGGTGCTCAGATCAAACTAATATTCCTGCTTCTCGCCAGCTCAGCCCGGTCGCCCTCGGCATCCGTCGCTTTCCCGCGTCAAGGGCAGAATCAACATGTATACGCCGCCTCGGATGAGCCCTGACCGATCATGGCTGCAGGACCAGTCACCGGTGCGTGGGGGAGCCAGCACACCACCTCAGTGCCACAGTACGATCTATCCCAAGGAGCCCAGCTCAGAACGGAACACTAATCATGAGCATCAATTTAGAAACACCAGAGAAAGGTACTCCCATATTGGTGAACCCTACTTCGACTCTCCTGCAAGATATGTTGAAGGAACAACGCGCGCATCGCGGTTCACGAGGACCCGAATCCGAAGTCGGGGATGACAATGCCCCGCGAACTCCTGAAAGGCCCCGCACACAGGGAGACAACAATTCCACAGCCTCGGAAAAGGCGCGGAAAGTCAGCGACACCTTCTCCGCCGGACTGCGAAAGCCCAAGGAGATGGGGATGCGAGAGATGGACCAGGTGGGTCATCCCGCGGTAGAACCATTGGATAAGCACAAACTAACTTTGGGCAGTACGTTTCCAAAATGAATAAGCTCAATTTCGATCTCAAGTTGGAAGTTTTCCACCGCACACAGCAGATGGGGAATCTAGAGAAAAAATTGGAGCGGATGAAGTCGATGGAGGAGGAGTTGAGTCGGATGCACAAGCTCGAGGAGGAAGTAGAGGAGCTTCGCGAGGCTGAAAAGGATAATCGGCGTCTGCGGGAGTCAAATGAGGAACTTCGTCAGGAACTGGACAGGCGAGACCAAGCGGTCACCGAGGCTGTCCAATTCATATGTCAGCTGGAATCTAAAATCGAGCAGCTTGAGCTCGGCGGACGGACTTCACAGATGTCTCCGAGTCGGCTCGTGCTCGATGGCCCTAATCCCTCGACGCCCAAGGCTCAGGCCCAGGCTACTTTTGAGATCCCCGAACGAACCTCCTCGAGAGGCGGCACTTTGAAATCTCGCCTTGCTAGGCCGGAATCGTCGGACTTGCGGCAGCTCCCCAAGGCGCCTTCCTTTTTGCGTGATGAAAATCAGAGTACTGCCGCGCTGCGCAGTCTCTATATCCCGGATAACGACAAGTCACACTCGGCTCTGAGTGATTTGACCAAGTCGGGGAGCTTCCACACGATGAACGACGCCACAGAACCAGGATCTCCTCGATTAAGCGTGCTTAGTGAGGCCAGTGAGCTGAACCCGGTTGATACGCCCTCGAAATGGCAGGATTACGACAAGCTCGATATCCCTGTCCGCAAAGCGGTCTCCATCACGAGCAGTCTGGACAGCTACGTTACCCAAACTAGGCCAGCGGAGAACAAAGAGGACCATGTCGACAGCTGGATGCAGTCGCAGACTATCATCCAGCGAAGACAGAAGCGGGCCATGACCGATGCCTCGAATGCAGCAATTCCAACTTTCGGTGGCGACTTGTTCACGAGCAAACCCCGGGGTCGCCCACGTCTCGATACCTCGATTTTCGGAGGTGCAAGGCTTCCTCCTACTCCGGATACTATGAGCACTGCATATGCAGCCGTTAACAATGGATCAAACGGAAGCATCGCAGCGCCGAAGAGCCCCCCACAGAATCGTAATCAGCTATTTAGCGGTCCACGGCTGGAACGCCACCGTTCTGCTGATGAACTCACAACCCGTCGCAGCAGAGCTGGTAGCGACGTCACAGATAGCATGCAGACCAACTGCAGTGATACTACTCGGTTTGGTGAGAGGAATTCTGAGTCACCCGTGATCTATCCGTTCAACACGGTAGCTCCCAAAGCCAGCGAGCTTCTTGGGCCTGGAAGCCCTAACAACCCTGCCCTTGAATCCTTTACCGATCTCCTCCACCAAAACAGCGTGGACGAGGCAGTTCCTCCACCAATCATCAAAAAATTTCCCGCAAATGCTCGCGTTTCTCAGCAAAAGTCGATGGAGTTTGACTCTTCCCCACCATTGACACCACAGGACTGGCTTGCAGCCGCAAAGCAGACTCCCCGGTCTCGAAAGGAGAGAGCCCATGCATTTCGGATTGAGCGGCAGCAAGATGAACCAGCTCGCCATGTGATCAGCCAGGCTGCATTCCACGACAATGACAGCGTTGACTCCTTCGCCGTCGAGCCTGAAGTCCCCGGTATCCCAACTCTCAATATGGAAGCCCTCGAAATTCTTGAGAACTCTGCCCCGGGGCAACTTGCTTCTATTCCGGAGCCCGTGGAACCTGGTCCGGAGCCACGCCGACGCTTCAGCTTCCGCCCTACCTTCCTCAGTCGCTCGAATGGTCCTCGTCGTCTTCAGTCTTCGCCAAGGATGCCAGACTTCGCGGATGATGAAGATGGTGCGCCATCCCCCATTATCCCGAAAACTAGGAACCCGGGTGGTGGATCCCATCGCCCTGTGTCGCAGATCATCGCGAACTCGGCAGACTTCTATTCCAACATTCCTACCACATGCGGGGATTTCGAAGACAACCCCCCACCAAGAGCGTTCCACCAATCTCTCATGGCAGCCCGCGAAGCAAGCCTTCCAACCCATTCCGCCACAGTCTCAGACCGCCCACCAACATCCCACAGTATGGAACACAAACGCCGTAGCTCGCTAGGAATTTTCGGCTGGATGAAGCACGGCGGCAAACGCTCAGAGCCTTCAATCCCTGTTGTTGATGAGGCATTCACAGTCGTCGCACAGAAAGAGAACCGGAATTTCACGCGCCTCACGAAGGAGCCTCCCCAGTTCTCTATGCCTCGTGCTTCTACCCCGGACTCCATGGATACACCCACTGCACGGCCTCGCTCGATGACGACTGTGGATTCTGATGATACTGCTCGGCGGCCTAGGTACATGGGTCGTCGGTCTCGGAGAGGCTGAGATGGACCGATGCCGATGCCGGCTTGAATCCTCCAAAAAATGACCTGTATTTTTATGATACCCTCTTTTCCTTTGTATACCACCTTGCGGATTCGAGGCAGCATCGGCGTTGGGTAGTTACCTCGGCCTTGTTTGATTTATAGATCTCTGCACTGGTGGCGGAGAGCTAACGATGTTTGGACCACCTCATCTTTTGATGGTTTGACGCAGGATTATGTTGGAAGGTTCATTCATATTTCTTATGCCTTCTCCTGCTGGTTCAGGTTGGCTTCATGTCTTGATTTAACGATGTAATTGGTTCAATGTTTGATGTTTCAACGCCGGTTATTTGGGAAGTGAAGATCAACGTGTTACTCCTTCATCAAATTGGATTCACAGTAGCCTTGTCAAGCTTGGCTTCCACAACCACTTCAATCGTATATTGCACCTGGAATTTTCTCTGTAGTGCGCGCTCCCAACGAACCGAATTTTTCTAAAGCCCAAGCCAGTCTCATTTCCACAAACTCCAAATCCCATTTTGACCACCCAAACGCCAAGTGCAAAAGAAACAAAAATAATATAATACATTAGAACAATCTGGGTTCGAGCAGGCACAAAAGGCACTGCAAAATACAACAACCTAATACCAATCATCGCCCTGTTCACCCAACTTCGTCTTCTTAGGATTCATCGAAATAACCCGCTGCCCAGGAAGCGTATCAGCCGTGAACGCAGCCTCAAATATGCTCGCAATCCCACGCTTCGAATAGTGATGGAACGAGTCATAATCATTATGCTTCCCATTAATAGCACCCCACTCCAAACAATCCGGGGTAGTTCCATCACCCAGATCAGTCCACCGAGTCACCACGATCGCCTGCCTGAACACTCCGCCACGCGGGTCTGACTTGTCTTCACACAATTTGACCTCGATCAGATACTCGCTCGGACACTCCGGGCAGCGACGCATAGGTCGACAGAATCCACATAGCGTTGTCAATGAATTGGGATCGAACCCTCGACCAGCCCATCGGTCTTTGACTTTGTGTTCGATGCCTTGTAACCCGCCCGTATTCCGCGGCTCAGGGATATGACCTAGAGCGCACTTGCACATGGGCATCAACTCCCCGTCGCGCCAGTGTGCGCATGCAGAGAAATAGGGCCAATAGTCATCGCGCGAGAATAGGAGCATTCGCTGTGCCGTAGGTGGGAGGCCGGGCGCTGCAAATGTTTGGCTTGTCACGCGCATCAAAAGCCGGCCTTCATTGATATGGAAGCGAGAACTATGCGTCCAGTTATCTCGATTCCATCGCCGGCCCATCTCGTCAACCGGTATACCGTATCCGCGCCCGAATCTGTGCGCGCGCATGACCAGTTGCACGAAAGAGAACGGGAGCATGCGTCCGTGAGTTATTCGGGTTCGAGATTGCGGGTTCAGTGAGTTCGTCGCCTCGGGACAGTTGAACAGCGGGTTAAGCACGTGTGCTGGTCGTAGACGCTCGCTTCCTTCCTGCGTGCGCGTGTGGTATCGTCCGCACGGGAAACACATCAGATGATGCGGTAGAGAGCGGTCCATGCGGATTAAAAACTGCATTTTGTATCCGAAGTTCTCCGGCGCTTCTAGGGCTGCGAGGTACCGTCGTCCTAACCGTCGGTACAATGTGATACTGGACACAGCCAGACTAGCGGCCTCGGCCGGGTTCAGATACCACGCGATAGCGGCCCATAAACTCGACGACAATTTCGCAATATCGCCTTCACCAGGTTCTCGATTCGGGTCCTCTATCTCCGCGGGCCCGAAGTTATCATCCGCATCCAAGCATCCCAGCGAATGGATCATGTCTGTGTAGTCGCGGCGCTCGCCCAATTGGGTATCGAGATTCTCGTGCGCCGCTTTGTATTTCATTCTATGAATTTGCAAGGGCGCTAGGTCTGGCATTGGGGGAGATTCTTCGACGCTGGGACGAGCGGCAAGCCGCAGGTCCGTCGTCGATCGACTGCCCTTCCGGAGGGTTTGGCGGGATTTCTTGGGACGTAAGGCATTGGAAAAGAAGGACTTGAGTCCTGACTTTTGGCCGGGGCTCTCTGCTGACATGGTTGCGATGGTGTGGAATTTGCGCAGGGTCCAAGATAAATGTTGTGTTCGAGGATCGTCGTGGAGCGTGGTGACGCGCTTACATTATACATGATGCGGCGGGCCGTCGCGGACCGATCAGCCACATTGTGGCTAAAACCTAGTGAGCTTGGGAAACTTGGCATTTTACTTTTTGATTAACAGGAAATGGTATTGGAACAAAGGGAATTTCTCTGGACTGAAAGTATCGGACAGATGTTACAATACAAGACAATTGGTGGGTGCAGCACCCCCTATATAAGGCCTCACTCTAAGAGAAGCGCTTCTCAACGGCCTTCCAGTTGATCACATCCCAGATAGCACTGAAGTACTCGGCCTTGCGGTTCTGGTATTGCAAGCTAAAGGAGACTGTTAGCATCCAAGAAAACTCACAATTCTTAGGTAGAGCAACTTACTAGTAGGCGTGCTCCCAAGCGTCAATACCAAGGAGAGGCTCGAATTGGCCGACGACGGGGTCCTGGTTCTGTATGATGTGTCAGCTATCAAATATCATCATATTCATCTAGTAGAGATCGGGACTTACGGCATAGGCGCGAATGGCGATCTGGCCGGTCTGCTTGTCCTTGACGAGCCAAGCCCAGCCGGAGCCCTGGATGCCAGCCAGAGCAGCGTTCATCTTGCCCTTGAATCCGTCGAGGTTACCGTAGGTGGAGTCGATAGCCTTGGCCAGAGAGCCGGAGGGGGCCTCACCACCGCCGGCGTTCTTGGGAGCCAGGTTCTCCCAGAAGAGAGAGTGGTTAAGGTGGCCACCGCCGTTGAAGTTGATGGCGGGCTTCAGGGCAATCTGGGCAGAGATGTCACCCTTCTGCTGGGCCTCCTGGAGCTGCTCAACTGCGTTGTTGTAGTTGGTGACATAGGTGTTGTGGTGGTTCTTGTGGTGCAGCTCCATGATCTTGCCGGAGATAGAGGGCTCAAGAGCGCCATAGTCGTCTAGATTTGCGATTAGTTTACTTGTCTTCGCCTAGGGTATAGAGTGAAACAGGATCTTTGCGCCAACATAAGGTACTTACAAGACAGGTCAGGCAGAGTAGCCTTGCCGCGGGCAAAAGTCAAGCCGGCAGCGCCAGCCTTGGAGGAAGCCGAAGCTCCCGAGCGAAGGGCAACACGAGCGGAGTTGGAGAACAGAGCAGCCATTGTGAATATTTGGGTATAAGTGATTAAAGGTGAAGTGAGAGAGAGGAGAATATATGAAGTAAGAGGGAAGAAAAAGGGCGAACGGAATCTCAGAGAGCTATGAAGTAACCGAGCTCTAACGTCATCTTGTTTTCGTCGCCTCGGACGCTGGTTGTTCCGCCCCGGTTCCCCACGTGAATTTCATAAGCTTTGACTTTAAGACCTTACGATCGAGCTGCGAGCTACGAAGTTGTCGCTTTTTTACAGTGACTGCTGGGGGACATGGAGTCGCCATCGTCGCCCTATGCCGGCCAGAAGCGCAAGGTCGCCGACATGAGTTCCGATAGCGAAGATGACCGCCCGACGACCAGCTTTCGAGGTTTCGCCAGAGCGCGAGACCGCTCCGAATCGCCCCCGAGAATGGGCGGTTTGGGCAGCGCCAATCGCAACCCGTGGAACAAAATGAATAATGGCACTAGCGATGCTACAGCACCTCGCGGTGGAGGTGCCTCCCGTGGAGGGAAGGGCTCCGGGGGCAACTCATTCGCCGCGCGCATGATGGCGAAGATGGGTTACAAGGAGGGACAGGGCCTTGGGTCTAGCGGGCAGGGTATCGTCAAACCGATCGAAGCCCAGGCGCGCCCGCAAGGTGCCGGTCTGGGTGCAGTCCGGGAAAAGACCAAGCAAGCACGCGAGGAGGAACGACGAGACGCCGCGCGACGAGGCGAGACAATCGACGACAGCTCCGATGAGGAGAAGCTAAGACGGCGGAAGAAGAAGGAGGGGCGCAAGACAGAGTCTCGCAGTGGAACAGGCACCCCGGTACCGCGGCCCAAGAAACCCCAGTTCCGGACAGCACATGAGATGGAGACCGATATGGAAGGTCTCGAGGTGCCGAATGTCCTCAAATCACTCATTGATGCCACCGGGAAAGAGCAACGCACCTTGACATCGACTGCTGGCTTGATGGCAGGGCAGGGATTCGTCGGTTCGGGCGAAGGAGAAGCATTGAAAATCGCCCGGCGTGCTCGACATGATTTGGAGGCATTTGCAGACGAATGGAAGGGCTTGACCGAAAGGAAACGTTTTATCGAGATTGAGGAAGCGCAGGTAGTGGAAGAGCTAGATGCCTACCAAACCCGAGTCAATCATCTTACTGGGCTAATCGCCGCCGTGGAAGAGCTGGATCTCTTTGAACATGACGAAAGTATTGCAGCCAAATTCGACGAAATGACTGGCAAGCTTGAAGCCATGAAGACTCAATATCAGGACGTTATGAATGATTACAAGCTAGCCGAGGCTGCAGTCGCTGCTATGCACCCGCTATTCCGCCAGGCGATGGAGGAGTGGGAGCCTTTGCAGAATCCCACGTTCCTGGTGTCGAACCTTACCCGCCTCCAGCCGCTTCTCGCTCGCCGGAGTGAGAATGAAGAGTTCCAACGGCAATCGACATCGCCCTATGAAACGATGATATACACTCTCTGGCTTCCACGAGTTCGTTCAGCCCTTATGAATGACTGGGATGTCTATGACCCGACACCTGCGACTACCTTGGTTAATTCCTGGAAGGCGATCGTCCCTCCATTTGTACTTGCCAATGTTCTTGATCAACTGGTTGTCCCTAAGCTCAGCGGGGCATTGAAGGAGTGGAAGCCCCGAAGCAGCCGACGACATCCATCTCAGCACGATGGAAAGTTTCCATGGTGGCTGTTTCAATGGCTGCAATACTTGGATGAAAAACACACCAATCCTAAGCAGCCAACGGGTCTCATGTCAGACACCAAGAGAAAGTTCCGTGTGGTGTTGGATTCATGGAGTCTACACAGGGGCCTTATCAATGGCCTGGACCTCTGGAAAGATGCTCTGGGCAGCGAGTTCGATGTGTGTCTACGCAACCACTTGCTACCGCGCTTGGCGCGTCATCTCCGTGAAGATTTCATCGTGAATCCTCAGGAACAGGATTTGACCGCACTCGAGGATGTTTTCCGGTGGAAGGGCTATTTCCAAACCGTGGTCATGGGCGAGCTGCTTGTCTCCGGCTTTTTCCCGAAGTGGCACGAGATTCTTTACATCTGGCTCACCAATGATCCCAACCTCGAGGAAGTTGCTACTTGGTTCTCTTGGTGGAAAGAACAGATTCCGACCGAGATCAACGAAGTTGCCAAGGTGGACAATGAATGGAATAAGGGCATCCAGACTATGCACCTCGCAGCAGAGCTAGGAGATCGAGCTGCTGCCGAGCTCCCACGCCCAGCCACTGCTCGAGCTACAATTCCCACGCGGGAAGACACTGTGGCCGAGGCAGCGGCGGCAGCAGCAGCAGCTCCCCCACCAAAGCCGAAAACACACATCGAGGAGGAGATTTCATTCAAAGACATCCTGGAAAACTGGTGTGTGGAACAGGGGCTCATTATGCTGCCGTTGCGCGAGGCACACCCGCAAACCGGGCAGCCGTTGTTCCGCATTACAGCGAGCGCAACCGGAAGAGGTGGAGTGGTGGCCTTCTTGCAGGGAGATATCGTCATGGTACAAAACAAGAAGGCCAAGGAAGTATGGGAGCCCATGGGCTTGGACGACCAGTTGGTAGAGCGCGCCGAGGGCCGCTAGCTTATACCCAACGACCGCCACTCCTTGGCAATGAAACAATGACATGTATTTCGTGCTATTTAATATATATACCCCACACTAATAATTCGTCATCTCATGCATCTTCACTCGAATGATTTTGGCCATGAAGTGGCCTTGAAGTGTCACTCTGGCCGAAAAGTTCATGAGAAGAAGCGCGATAGAACTGACAGGGCGGAAGGCTCGAAAGAAGAGCTGCACTTGTCCCAAGTGCGGTCTAATTTCCAAGAAAAAACGACCTTCAAATGTTGAAAAGTCCAGGGTCAAAGTGTCCTTAGAAGCTTTATCATATGCCCTACCTCATAATCATATGAGCACTGTTTTTGCCCGCGCTTCATAACGGGGATTATAACTCTCCTTGATAGATGCCCGTATAGATCGAGATACCCGTCAAGGAAAGCGGTCGCAACCGGCGCAGTTTTGCCAACTAAAGCGGTCAGGTGATGGCTGCTAGATGAATTTTGCCCGATCAGCTATCGTAATAACCGTTCCCCGTCAACTCTTACCATACCTCAATTCTAATTTTTTTTACCTTCGCAATGTTCCAGCGCACTCTCATCAGACAAGTCCAGGCCGCCCGGTCGGTTCTGGCAACCTCATCCTCCACATCCGCGCCGCTCGCTCTCCGACGGGCAACACGGTTGCAACAACAGCTGCCCGCTGCCATCCGGCCATTCGCTCCTCAGCCCATGTCCCGCTTCTACTCCACCGAGAAGGAAGCTTCCAAGGAGACCGAGGGTGAGAATGCCGAGCAGGACCCCGTCCAGAAGGAGCTCGAGGAGACGAAGAAAGAGGTCATTGACCTGAAGGTATGTTTTCCCCTCTAAGCTTCAATTCTACTGTCGCGTGCCCAAAACTGACTAGCATTAGGACAAATACCTCCGCTCCGTCGCCGAGTTCCGCAACCTGCAGGAGCGCACCAAGCGTGACATGGAAGGTGCGCGCAACTTCGCCATCCAGCGTTTCGCTAAGGACCTTCTGGAGAGCATTGACAACTTCGACCGGGCACTGCTGGCTGTGCCCAAGGACCAGCTCGAAGCCGCTGAGACTGAGGAGAACAAGGCTCTGCTCGATCTCGTTGCCGGTCTCAAGATGACTGAGAACATCCTCATGAACACTCTCCAGAAGCACGGTCTCGAGCGTTTCGACCCTGGCGAGAAGGTTGACGGCAAGGCGCAGAAGTTCGACCCTAACCTGCATGAGGCTACTTTCATGGCCAAGGCCGATGGCATGGAGAACGGCGATGTGATGTACGCCCAGACCAAGGGCTTCCGACTGAACGGACGTGTTCTTCGCGTAAGTTATGCTTCTGAGTTTGATTGTTTGAGGCTGGTTTCTGACGTTTATTTCTCCCTGCAGGCTGCCAAGGTCGGTGTTGTCAAGAACGACTAGATTTCTTCATCTCCACTATAACGTTTCGCCTTTCCTCCTTCCTCTTTTCATTCTATCTGTACCATATATCATACGTTATGATCGCGGTGGGGATTTGCACTCGGATGCGGCTGGCTGTTGGTCCGGGGAAAACTATTCTTTCTCATGTCTGCTTATCTCTTGGATCTGTATGATACATCTTTGTTGCATGTGACTGGAGGCGTCCGGGTTCGTGTTGGGTGTGTGTTTTCACTTGTTTCGCGCAATCTGTGTCTCCCGATAACTCTCTCCTCATCTCTGTATAATACACACCCGTTGGAGGCTGATAGCCTCCGGATGTCCCTGATTCTTGTTTCATGCTTGTAAACATTGTAGGAAAATGCCTTATTTTATACAGTTCGGAGTATAGTAGAGATTATATAGTACAGTATCATTCTTCGATCACCTCAACTCCACTCCAAAGTCACCAACAAGCTTCTCCCGAACCTTGTTATGCATCTCGTTGGTTTCCTCGTTCGTCAAGGTGCGCTCCAGACTACGGTAGTTGATGCGGTAGCACATGCTCTTGCGCCCAGTCTTGGGGTGTGTGAACTCATCAATCAGAGTAACGTCTTCGACAAGATCACCACCGATTCCGCGGACAATCTCCATCACATCATTCTCGTGGAAAGGCACCGCGCCGCCAGCAGCACTGCTGCCACCAGTCACAGCAGAGGGAGGCAGCCAGAAGGCAACATCCTTGTAGGATGCAGGGTGCTTGGAGAACGGCTTGAAGCGCGTGATCTCACCGGCACGGAACTGGGACAGGAAGCGCTCGTCGCGAGACCAGAAGAGTCGAATATCAGGAATGTTGAAGAGGAGCATGGCGATGCGCTCGATGCCCAGACCAAAGGCCCAGCCGACGCGGTTGGATACATCGGAGTTATTGAGGAGGTCCTGCTTGATGACACCGCACCCGAGAATCTCTAGCCAGTCGCCCTGCCAGAAAACCTCGAGTTCCCATGACGGGCTGGTGAAGGGGAAGTACGCCTCGACCCACCGAACCTTCAGAGGCTCCGAATCGATCTCGCTCCCAGAGCTGGCTGCCGCGGCTTTGCTACCCTCCGTGAAAACCTTGATGACCATCCGCTCGAGAGACCTCTTGAGATGCTCCGCAATAGCTTCAACCTCCTCCTCGGTATGGTGCTCCGTCTGCAATGGGTTCCGCTGGGGGTGAAGGGTCGGATTGGGATCCTCGACGGGGACGTCATGGCGCGGAATCAATTCCACATCAGCCTTAATTTTGGCAGCGGTCTCTGCAGAATGCGCAAGAGGATTGCTGTCCGGTCGCTTCCAGAGCATTGCGCCCTCCATCTGATGAAAGACCGGGTAGTGGCTACGGTCAATGGCATCACGTCGGTAGACATCGGCGATCACTGTGTATCCGACTTCCTCTGGGCGGACCCGCTCATTCCGGTTGATCTGCTGGAAATACGCTTGTTGGTGTGCGCTCGTATGTGTGCGGAGCACCGTCTTGTCGTTAATGTAGTAAGTATCGGTGCGAGAGCGACCCGGGTGGTCCGGCGGGAAGCCCAGGACATCGAAATTTTGTGTGGTTGTGACGACGGGGTTCTTCTCAGAGTAGTTGCCGAAGACGGGGGAGGGGAATTGGCTCTCGATGAGTTTACGAGTAATGGCGAGAGGGTGGTTCTCGTCGAGGTAGAGTCGTCGTCCGACATGGGATAGGATTGTGTCGGGGGTGTTGGTCCATTGGTCGGTGCGATAGGCGTCGCCCTCGATCTTCAGATTGGACTTTGCGCCCGGTGAGCTAGCGCTGGGGTTCTGATCAGCGGTGCGGAGAGCTGCAGTCGAGCTCCAGTTCCGAGTGACCGCCGGGATGGACTCGCGAAGTGCATGCAATCGGGGGGTAGGGATTATAGGGCGAGTCGCAGCAATGGACCACCGACCACTGCTAGCACGTAGGGCTCTTCCGGTAGCTAACAGCCGCATTGCTGACGAATGAGTGGCTGTCAATTGAAAGCCGGCGCTGCGAATTGCGGCATCTCAAAAACACCTCGGGGCCGGGGAAATGAGTCGCCGAAGTACACGCTGAAGGCCGCGGTTCAATGCCGGACGTTTGCCAGGAAACAGGGTCTTGTCTTCGTGACCAATTTCATGGAAAAAAAAGCTTCTTCTTGAATTATGTGTTAAATAAGTCACTCTGTGAATTTTCAGCCTCTAGCAAGCTCAGGTAATCCGAGGAAGCACGAGCAGTCCAGAGGTTCCTATTATATCGGCATTCCCATAACATATTCAACGTCTGTTGAAAAAGCATTGAATGCCATCCGTATTATAGCCTTCGCTTTTTGCTTATTACTGGAATCACTAGAAAGTCTGATTCACAACGATTGGCTATTTACCACCACCCGCATTATGTACGAAGGGAGGTGCTTTACTCTACCTATGCGAGGTACCTGGCTAAGCTTCGAAGCTAGACGTCAGGTATGGCAATGTCCAAGTAATGCTCACGTTGCATAACAAGCCTCGGAAGACAAAGTTGCTCAACTTGATGTCTTCCAAGATCCACAGCTTGCATCTTGACCCCTCCACATCACCAGTCTATAGAGATAACGCTCTTTGACATTGAAGAGAGTAAAGATCGATAAATCACAGATAGACGAAAACGCCAACAGTCATAGTAGATCCCTCCTAGGCCGTCTTATCTGATTTACTTCCGTGATATAGAGGGGGCAAAACCATGAAGCCCCTCGACCCTCGGTAAACCCTATCCCGCCGCTAACCTCCGAGATTCTACCGAATACCCGCATACGTGCCGCCGAATTTCCACTTGACTACCGTCAAAACCCCGCGGGTATATCGTCGATCCGATCACCGAGAGATTCCCTCGGGGTCTACTTCAACCTCCGAAGACAACGCGAGTAGTTCATCAAGACTGGAACCCAGGGCAAGGGCCGTACGTCCCTTACAGGCTGTATATGGTCGGGTATAGGGAAAACCGAGAGTTTGATTGGGCGGCGGCGCCAGGACCCATCAAGGAACGAAGAACAATTGGCCGAGATGCGCCGTCGGTCGGGGCGGCCGAGCGGAGCATCGGCGGCCTGATTTGTCTCCGTATTTAGCGTTGCCCAAAATTACGTCAAAATTCACGGTTCAGCGCCAACTTGAAAAAAATGATCCAGAGCCGGACTTCCTAGCAACAACTCTCCCCTCTTCCCCGCCCTCGCTATCGAGCGCCCTTGTTTCACTCGAACAAGATGGCTGATAGTGGCAAATTACTCGAGGCTCCGGCCCATTCGCGGGTAGCGCCGGTGTCGACGCCTGCACAGAGCAAATCGACCAAGGTGCATTATCCGTTTTGGTTTGGAGGTTCGGCTTCATGCCTTGCGGCGGGCGTGACGCATCCGTTAGACTTGGGTATGTGCTCTTGCGATGCGCTTGTGTATGTGACTGTGTGCTAACTCGGCCTCTGCAGTCAAGGTACTTTCCGGCTCCGACATGTTCGAGCGCTCTGCGCCCCAACCAACTCGATTGCTGATATATGCGCTCGTCGCATTCTAGGTCCGGTTACAAACACGCGCACCCGATGCCCCGAAGACTATGGTGGGCACGTTTGGACATATCGTCAGATATAATGGATTCTTCGCCTTATACAATGGTGTATGTGCAGCGCCCAATCCACGCCGATGAGCGATGATCACCCTGCATAAGAAACTTTTTTTTGGCTGACGATACCGCGATTGGTTTGGACATATAGCTCTCTGCTGCCATGCTGCGTCAGATGACCTATTCCACAACACGATTCGGCATCTATGAAGAATTAAAATCCCACTTCGCCACACCCTCCCCGAACTCCCCCTCTTCCTCGCCCGGCGTCTTTACTCTCCTCGGCATGTCATGTACCGCCGGCTTCATCGGCGGTGTTGTCGGGAACCCGGCCGACGTGCTCAACGTGCGCATGCAGTCCGACGCAGCCCTGCCCCCGGCGCAGCGCCGAAACTACCGCCATGCCTTCCACGGCTTGGCTGAGATGACCCGGACCGAAGGATTCAGCTCGCTCTTCCGTGGTGTGTGGCCGAATTCCACTCGCGCAATCCTCATGACTGCCTCGCAATTGGCCTCTTACGATACCTTCAAGAAAATATGCATGGACAAGGCCGGTATGGGCGATAACATGGGCACGCACTTTACTGCCTCGTTCATGGCTGGTTTCGTCGCTACTACTGTCTGCAGTCCCGTTGACGTAATCAAGACTCGCGTCATGACTGCCTCCCACGCTGAAGGCCACGGCCAGAGCATTGTTAGCCTGCTCCGTGACATCTGCCGCAAGGAAGGTCTGGCGTGGACGTTCCGCGGCTGGGTCCCTAGCTTTATTCGTCTGGGTCCTCATACCATTGCCACGTTCCTTTTCCTCGAGGAGCACAAGAAACTTTACCGGAAGTTGAAGGGCATCTAGATTGACGTTGTAGAGGTTTGCGCACTTTTCTTTCTTCCTGTCACAACCTCTTGATATCTTTCTGCACTTTTGATACGACCTATTCCCCGTACATCATGACCCCCGCTCCCTCTTTCTGACCTTTCGGGCGGAGCACATGTGGAACACAAGCATTTTAGCTTGTACATATCTTACACTTTCATTACTGTTGAGCAGTTTGGTGATTCATGGCCAGGAACACAGCAGCCTGGCCGGGACCACCGTGTACAAGATGCATTAGATGGCAGCTCGGGGAGATTGGATCCATATAGACATAGATACACCTTGAATCGCATTCAAATCGTTTTCCGCGAGGAGCATCATTCATTCAGTAGACCATGCATAGAATTGCTCTTCGCCCTCCTGGACCTGACCTCGTATATTACGCCTCGCCAGGGCACGGAGAGTAGAAGGATAACTACCAGTTGACCCGGTCCCTGCACCGAAACTTCTCCCTACTTGGAGTTTACCTTACGACAGGAGAGCATCAGCTAATCGAACACGTTTCTTAGCAGAATGGCAGGTTTATAGACGCCCCTCCTCCGAGTGATCGGATTACATCCAGGAAGAAAGGAAATGCATCCCCGCATGACCAGGTAGAGTACATTGGAAGATTTGTCAATACACAAAATTTGATATAGCCCAATTAACCAACACGAAGCAACAGCTGGTTATTTACCGGTCAAGGTGAGCGGGGAAGTTGCCGGCCTCTGTGATTCAATTAGCATGGGCAGGTCAAATTTGCCAGGGGATGAATACTTACCGCGCTGGCCGTCCCAGCGGTCGGTCCAGGCCTTGGGGCAGAGGGAGCGGAAAGCGTGGTAGAACTGGAGGTAGATTAGAGTCTGTCGCAGTCGGATTGGGTATGGAAGGTCGAAAGTACCTGCTTGCAGGGGCGGAAGTCATCACCCTTGGCCTCGACACACTTGTAGTAGTCGACATAGTTCTGCCAGCAGTGCTTGGTCCTGGGGGCGCAGATGTTAGATGTGGTGCTAGAGGGATATTGAACGGGGTCGCGTACTGGTTCTGCTGGGGGAAACGAGCATCGTAGCCTGCGATCGCGATCGGAAAATGTTAACTTCGCACTGTCCGAGCCGGTCGGTAGACACCTATCCAAGATATCCCGACAGGAAATCACATGGCGAGAAAATCAAAGGTATACGCACCAGCTATGGCATAGTTAGCAATTGACTCGAGGGGAATTGGGGAAATGGCCCTCGTTTTCACGGGAGGGGGAGTGGGCAGACGTACCAGTAACGAACTTGAAGGGCTTGGTCTCGACGGGCTCGTCGGGGTCAACGTCCGGAATAGCACCCATTTTGGCGTTGTGTACTCAGAAAGAACACAGAAAGGCAATGGCAATGGTAGGAGGGGAGAGGTCAGGCGAGAGGTAAAGATGAGACGTTGGGTGATCGAAGCTGTGAAGAGCCGGGCGTGACCGCGGGCGGTCAAGCGAGAGCCACTGAGCGTCGCTGCTTTTCCCAAAACCACCCGAACCAGTCACAGCCCGCTCTGGGACAGCTAACCTCAAGTTCTCGGTTCTCGTCTTCCTTTCTCTTCTCCACCATCCAACTCCCCTCCATCCACCACCATGTATCCCACCCGCGTCTTCCGGATGCAGCCCTCGCGGGCTTTCTACAGCCCCGCCCCTGTAAGTTCTCAAAGACCCTTTCTCGGGTGTGATCATACGATCGGGTTCGGTTAAGGCTAATTCCCATGCAGAAGGAGGCTCACAGCGGTACGACTCCCCCTTGATCACCACCACCTTCTACGAGCCATTGATTCGCCTGGCCTGGCGGAGAGAATGTGAAGAGATATAGAGAGAGCCATTATAACTAACGTGTTGTTCCACAGCCCACACCATCTCGCAGCGCCTGCGCATGCTCCGCAAGGTTCCCCCGGAGTTGATCCCTCTCGGTATGTTCTCTACCAAGAAAACCTACGCAAAAGAAGCAATATCTAACTATTCTCTGATATTCAGGCATCGTCCTTGGGTACGTTTTCATCTGATATGATACCCCGATTGAACCCGCGCATCACATGCACGAGATTTCTCCATCTCTCCACCCCCATGCGCCTAGAATCGAGCATTTCCCGTTCCCCCATGCTGACCCATTCCTTGCAGTGTCGCCCTCGGTGCCGCTATCTACGCAAGCGGCAAGAAGCTCATGACCGACAAGACTCTCCGTCTCTACCGCAACAGCCCCGAGAGCCGCGACCACTAAATGTACCATCTTTTTGTTTCTTTAAGCTCCGATAATGCGATTCCAAGTTTCTCATTTGAGTTCTTGCTGCCTGTATTGTTTCAGACAGATTGGAAGCCTAGAGAAAATGCAATTGAGCGCATCAGGAAAAAAGACGTGTCCGGTACCACAGAGTGTACATAGTCCGGCTTGTCTAGTTGGCTGAATTTTGATGGTGTATTCCGGAAAAAAGGATGTATTCGTGGTCTTTCATTATTATCGTAGCCATCATAGTAGTGTACATTATTCGGGCTTCGGGCCGGCAACGTCGAGCTGTTCCAACCCCTGCATCGGGTCTTGCGGGCGGCTGCTCTCGGCCTGAGCCTCTTCGGCGGCTTGTCGGTCCTCATCACTGACTGCATACTTGGCCAGATAGCCCTCCTGTAATGCGATATCCAGTTAGTCGCAATGCGATTAATTCAAGATGTAATTCACACGTACCTGCTCCCAGATTGCGGTCTTGCTGCCCAATCCCTCGTTGGCGTCCTTCTGTGGTTTGGCGGCTGCAACCTTGATGGTGCGTCCATAGAGCTCGCTGCCGTCCATATTGTCGATGGCTTCTTTGGCATCCTGCGGCAGATCGAACTCCACGTACCCAAAGCCGCGGTGGACGTCAGAGGAGTTGGGTGCGTCTGGCTTGGGGAGAGAAATGTCGACCACTTCGCCGAATGGAACGAATGCCTCTGCCAAAGTCTGGGTCGTCACGCCCTGGTCTAGGCCGCCCACGTAGACCGTGCTCTTGAGCCGTGTGCTTTCACTCATGGTGGGGACTTTGCTGTAAAGCCGAGCTCGAATCAGATTGGAAACTGTCGCAAATTCAACCAAACGCAAATATATGACGGATCCGGATATGTTCAGCTCGTGGAAGGAAGGACAAACGTGTTCTGCACGTGGATTGTTGCTTGTCCGCAGCTCTGCTCGAAGAAGAGAAACTGATATCACGTGCGACAAGCCTCGGGGGTGTTTTGGCGAGTCCCCGATTGAGTTTAGCGCGTGTTCCCCGGTCCCTCCAACTCCAGGAGGCCACTTGGTTTACTCTGAGCTACATGCCCCCCATTGTCAATTTCTTGTACTGGGGTGGGATCTGATTGTGATTTTTTAGACCCGTGCCTTGACTGGCTTCCATTCCCTTTCCATATACCCCTTCTCTCCATCATGGTCCGTCTGAGGGAGATCCCAAGGACGGCCACCTTCGCCTGGTCTCCTGGGGCTGCATCGCCATTGATCGCCACCGGAACACGCGCAGGTGCCGTCGACGTCGATTTCTCCAACAAGACATGTCTTGAACTGTGGGATTTGGGCTTGGATCGCCAGGACGCTAGTGAGGAGCTACAGCCTATAGCTAAGCTTGACACCGACTCTGGGTAGGATACCGATCACGAACCTCCATGATGACCGATCGTACTGACGGATGTGCTTAGCTTCAATGACTTGGCTTGGACCGAGTATGATGATACGAAACGTGGTGTTATTGCTGGTGGTTTGGAGAATGGCTCGTTGGATCTGTGGAACGCCGATAAGCTGCTTGCCAACTCCAGGTGCGCGGGATTCCACCTCTGCAATATCACCAGGTTCAATGGCTGATTGATTTTAGTGATTCGTTGATCTCGAGAACCTCGAAGCACTCCGGCGCTATCAAGTCCCTCCAATTCAACCCCAAACACTCCAACCTCCTGGCAACTGGAGGTGCGAAGGGCGAGCTCTACATTTCAGACCTGAACAATATCGAGAATCCTTTCCGATTGGGAACCAATGCGGCTCGCACAGATGATATTGAATGCTTGGACTGGAACAAGAAGGTTGCTCACATTCTGGTAACCGGTAGCAGTGCCGGCTTCGTGACCGTTTGGGATGTCAAGACTAAGAAGGAGAGCCTGACCCTCAACAACATGGGCCGCAAAGCTGTCAGCGCAGTTGCCTGGGACCCCGAGAAGGTAGGATATCATATGAACAACTGGTCGTAACACATTGCTGATAACTTGTGAATAGCCCACCAAGCTGGTCACCGCTACTCCCCTCGAGTCGGACCCCATGATCTATGTCTGGGACTTGCGAAACTCGCACGCTCCGGAGCGGGTAAGCTGAACCATTTCTATCTTGATATGGCGTGCGGAGAAACTGACATGTTTCAATATAGACTCTCAAGGGCCATGAATCCGGAGTGCTCTCGCTTGCATGGTGCGAGCACGACCCCGATCTCCTGCTGTCCTCCGGTAAAGACAACCGCAATATTTGCTGGAACCCGCAAATCGGTACCCCCTATGGCGAATTCCCCGTTGTCACCAACTGGACTTTCCAGACTCGCTGGAACCCGCACAACCCCAACTTCTTCGCTACCGCATCGTTCGACGGAAAGATCTCGGTCCAGACCCTCCAAAACACCAAGACCGACGATGCGCAGGCCATTGCCGACCAGAACCAGTCCCTTGACGGTGAGGACTTCTTCGCTAAGGCCCAGACACAACCCCAAGTCTCCAAGTTCTCCCTCCCGAAGCCTCCACGCTGGCTCGAGCGTCCCTGCGGTGCCTCTTTCGGCTTTGGTGGTCGCGTTGTCTCCTTTGGTGCCTCTGAGAAGGACTCTCGCTCATCGAAAGTCAAAATTACACCCTTCGAAGTTGATGCGAGCGTTGGCAATGCTACCGAGAACTTTGAGAATGCTCTGAAGGAAGGTGACCTCCGCAGCCTTTGTGAGACTCGGGCGGCTAGCGCTTCCAGCGAGGAAGAGAAGGCTGAGTGGAAGGTCATGCAAGCTCTGCTTTCTGACAACCCCCGCAAGGGCCTGGTGGAGTACCTTGGCTTCCAGGACTCGGCTGATGAGGCCGCTGACAGCTTATCGAAGCTTGGTTTGGACAAGAAGGATGACGAGGAGACCAGCGAGTCGACCGAGAAGCCCAAGTCAAATGCCAAAAAGCACAAGCGCCTGCAATCCATGTTCGATGCAAACCCCGACAGTGACAATTTCCTGTCCGAGCTGGCTGCGTCGAAGGGTGCTCAGACCAACAATCCTTTCCAGATCTTCAACGGTTCGGAAAGTGAGGCGGAGCAGAAGATCACCCGGGCTTTGCTTCTCGGAGAGTTTGAGAAGGCCCTCGACGTGGCTCTGCAGGAGGACCGCTTATCTGATGCTTTCATGATCGCCATCTGTGGTGGTCAGAAGTGCATCGAGAAGGCACAGGAGTATTACTTCTCCAAGCAGGCTGGTGGACCCAACTACATGCGACTGCTCGCCTCCATCGTGGGCAAAAACCTTTGGGATGTGGTGCACAACGCCGACCTTTCGAACTGGAAGGAGGTGATGGCTGCACTGTGCACTTTTGCCGACGAGAAGGAATTCCCTGACCTCTGTGATGCTCTCGGTGACCGCCTCGAGGAGCAGGTTCGCAACACTAATGATAAGGCCGCTCGGAAGGATGCCTCATTCTGCTTCTTGGCTGGCTCCAAGCTTGAGAAGGTGGTGGCTATCTGGGTTGAGGAGCTGCGCGAGAATGAGCAACGAGGAATCGATACCGATGCGGACAACTCGACCTTTTCCATCCATGTTCGTGCTTTGCAGGGCCTGATCGAGAAGGTTACTATCTTCCGCCAAGTCACGAAGTTCCAGGATACGGAACGCACCAAGGATTCGGACTGGCGCCTCGGCACCTTGTACGAGAAGTATATTGAGTATGCCGACGTTGTGGCCACCCACGGCCGCCTTCAAGTTGCGCAGAAGTACCTTGATCTTGTGCCTGAGAAGCATCCCGAGGCTGAGGTGGCTCGCAACCGCATCAAGTTCGCCATGAGACAGGCTCCTCAGAAGGCGCAGGCCGCGGCCACCGCAAGGACTGGCGGCTTCAAGCCTCTCCCCACTCAGCCCAGCCTTTACCAGCCGCAGCAAACCTTCACCCCGGCAGCTCCTGCGGTTCCTGCGCCAAGCGCCTACGCATCTCCCACCCATGCTGTTGCTCCCCAACCGCCTGTGAACCCGTATGGTCCCCCGGCTGCCGCGCCCTCTCAGCCCCCCAACCCTTACGCCTCGATTGCCGCTGGTGGTGCTGGCTACCAGCCCAATGCCGGATACCAACCGACTCAAACCATGAGGCAACCGGCCTACGGTCCATCGACTCCGTTTGGTGGACCGGCCGCACCCGGTGGTGTACCTCCTCCTCCGCGTGCCGGCACCCAATCGCCGGCCACCAATATAACCACTTATACCACTGCCACTGGTCTTCCTGCGTGGAACGATCTTCCCGAGGGCTTCGCCAAGGCTCCCACATCGCGCCGTAGCACCCCTGCCGCTACCGCGGCCATCAGCTCTCCGTTCCCTAACCAGTCACCTCCCCTGGCCCAAGGCCCTCCGCCTCCAGGACCGCCTCAGCGGGCACCGTCTGTTCCTCCCCCTCCTAAGGCTGGAACTCTTCCCCCGCGCGTGACATCGCCCTTGACATCGAGCATGGCCCCTGGACCGTCCCCACCGCCGCCTGTCAACCCGTACGCCTCCCTTCCCCAGTCCCCGCCAATGGCGTCGGGTATGGCTCCTCCTACGGCTTCAATCCCCAGGGGCCCATCGCCGTACAATGCCCCGCCCAGCATGCCTCCGCCCACCAACCGGTACGCGCCTAACCCAGCTGCTCAGGCTTCAAGCCCGCAAATGCAAACTCGCGCCCCGGTGGCACCTCCTCCTCAGGGTGCTCCGTCGCCGTATGCCCGTCAACAAGCAAGTCAGCCACCAGCGGCCAACCCATATGCGCCTGGCCCCGGTGCTGCCGTTCAGCCCCCTCCCATGGCCGCCCAAGTCCCGCCTCCGCCCCAGGGGCCTCCGCAACAGGGATCTCGTCCGCCCACGGCGCAGTCTCAGCGGGCACCTCCCCCCTCAACCCCCAAGTACCGTGAGTTGCCTTTGTTTCCATGGCCAAATAAATAGAATCGCTGACATATCCTAGCACCCGGTGACCGCTCTCACATCCCTGCCAATGCCATGCCGATCTTCGAGATCCTCTCAACTGATATGGAGCGGGTCAAGGGTCGGGCCCCGAGCTCCTTCAAGGCCCAGGTTGATGATGCCGAGCGCCGCTTGAGCATCCTCTTTGACCACCTCAACAACGAGGACCTACTCAAGCCCAACACCATCGAGGACATGACCAACCTGTCCCGTGCAATTCAAAACCGCGACTATGAGACGGCCCGCAATATCCACGTTGACATCATGACCAACCGACTTGACGAGTGTGGTAACTGGATGGTGAGTTCTTTTGTCCGTTACTCTGTTAACATCAATACTGACTCTTCTGGTAACAGGTGGGTGTCAAGCGTCTGATTAGCATGAGCAAAGCTACTCCGTGAAGCTCTTCAATCAGCTAGGACTCCATGCTTCGATGGTGCTTGATAGCTTGGATCGGGCTGAAGATTGATTGAGGCCCCAAAATAACGTCCTAGATCTTGGTTCTTCTTGTCCATTTTACTATTAATGCCTGCGTATTTCATTTTCTGCGTTCTCCCCCTGGGAGTCTAGTCTGATCAATTACTGTCATGAGAAAAGAAAATTTTCCAATGTTTCATAAAACGGATACCCGGACTTGGATGGGTTAGAATGTCAGATAGACGTCATATGAAATGAACTAGTAGATTGATCATGTTTAATGCAATTTACCTTGTAGACCCGGATCCCCTGCGGGATAACTTTGGAACCTCACCGAGTGAGTCAAGTAGTGTTGGAAGCCGTTCGCCCTCTAACGGTAAAGCCGACCCTCAAACATTTCCTCCTCTCGTCTCTGGGATTATTACTTACCGGCCTCTCGGCCCTCAGACCCGCTTCTGAATTTAAAACAAACTTATGCCTTTCGCTCGCCCAACTGAATTCACATGGGAGCTGTATCACAAACGCAAAATCTATTCAAACTGGGGATATGCCATCCATCGCACTACATATTCACCTCAATCCGACGCCCACTTTTCCACAGCTGTCAAAATCTGGAGGCCTGCCTCAAAAAATCATTTTTCGGAGAATGCGCCTCTGCAAATAAGACCTCGCCCGGAGTAGATCCCACGATTTACAACGAAATCTGGGCCCGGCATAGTCCAGCCGTTATGGAAGACTCGTCGCAGTTTGACAGGGCATTGATTGATTCGATCCGCGATCATTTCGAGGCCTGGGTGGATGCGCAAGGCCAGCGTGATCGCTTCAATAAATACCGAGTGTGTATAGCCATTGATGAGGAATGCCTTCAGACGCTGCTAGGGGCATCGGAGGATGCCCTAGAGCAGGAGACTGAGTACTATGAGGACGAAACAGTGCGGTATGTCAAGGTCACCGAAGCATGGCCGATTATTGACGAATATGATACCTTTCCGGGATAGATGAAATGTTGGACCCGGGTGCTCTGGGACCTATGGACGATGATGGGCGGTCGTGCCGAGATGAGTATGTCCTGGGAGAAAATCGATGGTTTTCGCCCGGTGGTTTATTGCGGATGATACTGCAATTGCTGAACAAAAACAAAACCCGAGCTTCCATGCTAGTAGCATATACTGTTCCCTCAATTGAGGATCTCTCTAACAAAAAGAAACGAAAAACGAGAAGTACTTGGCTCTTTGGATATCGATATAGGCAGAAGCCAAACTTAACTACGCAGTCCTATATCGATGAATTGCTCGAGGCGGCTTCTGAAACTCGACCTTCGGAGGCTGTTTCAGCGGGCACGGCAAGTAAGTTGTCCTTGTTATACGCGACCTTTTGATGTTGGTTCTAAACAATGAAAATTGACTTCCTCTTCCTGTCTCTGTCATTGATGGAGAACCGAACAGCTTTCTTCATAAGGATTTGGTATTTTAAACCTGAAACAGATGTCTTGGTATCAAAGTCAACCTTTATATACAAACAATTTACAGGAGCTAATAATTCACTAGGTGTACAAAAGTATCACCGCACACCACCAAGTCTGCCACCTCGACTAGCAGGGAAATTCCTGGCACTCAACAAGGCACCTTTGACACCGCGAATCTCCGCCTTGAAGCTGGCGATGGCGTCGTCTTCAGACTTGCGCACACCGGTCGAGCTGCTACCGTTGCTTGCATTGTTACTGTACAGACCGTACGAAGGCGTCGAGATAGTATGCCTGGGCGAAGAGTAAATCAGTCCGTCAAGGTAGTGGTGAAGATCGGTGATACAGGCTCGTGCCGAGTCGTCGAGGTCACTCGAATCTTTCTCAAAATTGTTAATCTCCTTGAGCTGAGATTGGATCGAATCCAGGCGGCTTATATGGTTGTTCACTGCTTCCACCGGCCCCTGAAGAGAAACTTTCTCATCTTCTGCCTCCATGGTGGTAGATGGAGCGACGTCGGGTGTTGTCTGAGTGCCAATATCCCGGTGGAAGAGCTCTGTCGGGTCGGAGAAGACTGAGTCACCGTCTTCGTTGGTCTCTTCGTCCTCTTCGTTGGACGCGGTCTTACGCGCAGTCAGGTGCGCCGGGATGACGGAGACATTTTCTTCTAGCTTCTCATTCAGCTTCTTCAAGTTCTCTTGCGCTGTGCTGGCCAGATCGTGCCGTGCGCTGGTGAGGGTTGCAATCATCGGCTTCACCAAGTACTCGCTCGCGCCGTATATTGTGACGCCGAGACCTGCGGCGCCATATATTGTATACAGGACATTCTGCATAGTTACCAGCGGGGGTGGCTTGGCGGGCTGGAAGAGGAATTCAGGGTAGGTGATGATCGGAGGCACATCGCGCGGTGCTGCGGAAGAGGCGGTGGCGGCAGTTGTCGAGCGCGGCTGAGACATGGTGTTGGATGGCGACGAAGAAGTGACTGAAGAGGGAGGAGTGTCTTCGGACCGGTTGGAGGGCAATGAGGAGGCTGATGGTGTTTCAGGGCCCTTATCCTCGGTTGCAATCGTGCTGCTGCTGGTCGCCTCAGGGTTTCGGGAGACGCCGAGTAGTTGTTGGATCTCGTCGGGGTTCAGACCTTTAGACTCAAGGAAAGAAACCTTGCGATCTGTTGGGGCATCACGGATGGATTCGTCTTCGAGGAACCTAGAGGCCTGCTCGACCAGGTCTTGCCTTGAAGTGGACGCGGGCGCATCATCGGAGCTTAGCGACGAGGCCAAGGGCGACTGCTCGGTTGGCGCCGATCGTGACCGTTGCCATGAGGGGATAGAGGGTGGCTTGGATGAAGGATCTGACATGGTGCTTGTGTCTGGCCCTGTACAGTCCCAGGACAAGAGCGAGAGATGGGGAGAAAGAAGAAGGAACTTCCCCGGACTTTGGGTGGTACTGGGTCCATGTGAGCCGACCTCGGCTGTTGCACCGACTCGGGTTGTCCCGATCATTCATCATTCACCAACGTCCACCAACGATCACTAGACTGAAAAGTATCTAACAGGGATAATTGAAATTATGTCATTTATCGCTTTCTCTTGATCTATTAAAGATTAATGTTAGCCTAGGATGGCCCTTGATTATGAAGTGATACTCCAGGATGAGCACCTATCGGCCATTGGATCGCGATAGCATAGATCAGGTAGTAGTTTTCCCTGTACAATTAAACAAGCCACTCCAGCTCTCAATGATAGTCTCCGGTCTATAGTAATGCTTGAATCCTTGGATACTTGAGTGCACAAGTGTCCATTATCAGCGCCACGAGGGTATACAGCCACCGCCCGGCAGAATGGGATGGTTACTTCATTTGTTCGTTCGGCGCCAGCGACAGAACTCTTGGACGTTGAAACTTTTGCGAAAAAGTACTGGTGAGTCTTCCCCCCGATTGGTTCTCAGATGCGACCCCCTGTATCGTTTTGTTGCCATGCATACAACCTGTACCCTATATCTCCCCGTATCCCAAAGCCCGGGAGCACAACAGCCAGGAGAGCACACCCAGATCCTATGTAACCCGGCGCGCTTTGTTCGCACAGGTTACGAACATACAATGTGGCACCTGAAACATGCTGGTCCTATCCTCTTCCCGTTTGCAATTTGCACCGCTTTGAAGCCCTGGTTACCGCGATTGGACCCCCGAAGGAGCTGGGAACTCTTTCCCCTCTACTGCTCTTCCGCGCCCCTCGCACTGGCAAGCAGCTGAGTCTGTACTGCCACACACTTGCTCATTGACCTTCAAATTCACCCCGCCTGGTTCCTCCCCCGGACTTCGAGTGCACTTCCCATCCTTACTCCAACCCACTATCCTCGCATCATTATCATCGCCATGATAGAATTACGTCGTTCTCGTCGATCACGAGCATCTCATGAAGAGCCCCAAGAGCCAGAAACTAATATGGTCACCAGATCCAAGAGGCGCACTCGTATTACTGCTGCTCCGGCCTCGTTGACTGTTTCCCGTTCCCCATCTCACTCGCCTGGAAATCCCGGTAGAAGTCTTCGCCTCACGGTAAAGATGCCCGCTGGTAAATTGCGGGAAGCTACCGGCGGCCGCCCTGGCCGGCGCTCGGTCAATGTCTTCCAAGAGAACCCCATCGTCTCGGGGCCACGAGCTAGTCGGAACAGAAAGAAGATTGTCGAGGTTCCCTCCAGTGACGATGACGATATTGAAGATCAAGAAGAAGACGAAGTCGAAGATGAAGATGCTCCCGGTGAAGAGGATGAAGACGCCGATGCTGATGGAGACGTGGATATGGATGACGCCCCACCACAACCGCCTGCAAGACGGAACAACAAAGCGGCAGCACCAGCCCGTACTAAAAATGTCAAGAGCGTCGAAGCCATGGAAATGGAGCTAGAAGACGAGGAAGAAGACGAAGAAGAAGAAGAAGACGAGGAGGAAGAGGAAGAGGACGACAATGTCTCGGGAACCGACTCCGATGCCGAGGGCGAGCTCGATGATATGGACGAGAGCGCCGTTCCGGATGTCAACGTCGACGATCTGGATGAAGAGGACGAAGAAGACGACCTGGACGACGAGCTTGACAGCGATGCGCTTGCAATTGATGGTGGCAAGCAGACCAAGCGTCAACGAGGGAACCTCGGCGACGATTTCCTCCAGCTTCCTATGGGTAAGTAGATCCAGCTGTCAGCTGCCAAATTAAACAAGATGCTGACGAGTGGAATAGAGCCCCAAGTCAAGAAACACCTGACGGCTGAGGAACGTGCCATGCGACGAGCTGAAATGGCTCGGCGACGAAAGAATTTGAGTGAAAAGCGAAACGAGGAAGAAAAGGTAAATTAACAACGACCCTGTGGCAGCTTGACATCACACACATTTTTTGCTGCGCAACCCATTGAAGAACTCCACATCTGACCCTGTATAGATGGATACAATCAATCGTCTGCTCAAAAAACAACCCCCGAAGCGGCGTGGCCGAGGTGCCGCCATCGCTGCGGATGCCACCGACACGACCCCCGGTGACCAAGAGAACCTTGAGCCTGAGAAAGCCGATCCACTCATGGTCCGATGGATCAGCGGCACAAACGGCTGCAAGGTCGGCGTGCCTGAGGAATGGCTCGGCACCCCAGCTGGCCGTGTGTTTGGCGCTCCTCCCGCAGCTCCAAGTGGCAAGATGGTGGAGGAAGTTTAAAAGCATACTGCAATGATGTTGTTGTGGTTAGAGGCGCTTTGGGTAACTATCTTGGGCTGGGAATGGACTGGATCATATCTGAGGATCGGCTGGTTTTGTCGGCTTCTCCTGTATTAAAGCATGGCGTTGAATTTGTGCTTTTCTTCGCTCAGAGAGCAAAATTTACATTTCAGGCATAGTAAAAGTGCTGCGGTATTTCATCCGTCTGTTGTACATGGTCCAATACGCTCCTGTGACCTTTAGGAAACCCAGGTAGGTCGTCTGGTATGACTAGACCTGCTCGGAGCTCCGCCGTATGCCAAACGGGATGCAATTGAAGCTCGGCAGCCATTCCATGGAATTCTGCGCCTGCGCAGCATTGATTGATCTAGATTGCCTCACTTGGGGGGGTCTGAAATGCGTTCAAGTCCTGAATATGTGGGGTTTGTCCCGTTGTGGACTATATTTCAGGTCCCAGATGAAGCTTTCGCTTCACATCCGACTTTCCTCCCAACAAGAATGCGCCATGTTTCCGCATTTCCAAGTGGCAGCCCTTTAGCGTTGTTGCCCCTTCTCGGCTTCTGGCTTCGCATCACTTGGCGAAGCACCACCAGCGGGGAAGTCGGTGCTCCTATTGGATGAGACAACAGGAGGATAAGGCTGACTATCCGGTGCTTTCTCGGCTGCAAGCTGCTGGAAGGTCGGTTGGAAGGTGTAGTAGCCTGCGGAGAAAAAATGACGTTAGAACCAAAGCAGTCAATCGCAAGCGGGGGAAGAGTGAACAGTACCAGTGAATACACCGACGCCGATAGCCATCACGACTGGAAAGAAATTGCGACTCATTTTCGCAGGTTCAAGAGAAGAGCGCTGGAGGTCGAAGTGACGGAAGAATTAAAGTGGGCTCGAAGATGCGGAGCGTTATCGCTGATTAGCGGCGCGTCGCCAAATTGTTCGCTTATCGAACGCGTCTGTCAACCACGACACGTCGAGGCCAACACAACGGCTCTGCAGTCGCTGCTGGTTGTAGGATCTTTTGTCTGTATTCTTCTCTCGACACGATTCGATGACTTCCTAGAGACATGGGCGAGCCCCGCCAAGGATGTCAATGGAACCATGGCGGAAACGGGGGTTTGTCCCGGACTCCGATGAGGAGGACGAATTCGACTCTCTAGAAGCCCGACTTGCCCCTGCCGGCGAAGTGGACGAAGCAAACGATGTGATCGACCTCGAATACATCCCTCTCCCTCCGTCGATTTCGAGACCCATAGCCGAGGAAGCTGTGAATGAGTATCCCGACATCAACAATGACTACGGTTCGACAACGCTCTCGGACATTGGAGATTCCAGTGGTGTCTCCGACAAAGACAAAAATGGACATGGCATGGACTCTACAGTTGGCGATGATCAATGCAACAATCCGAGTACAGAGGCTGTACCGGCCGCCATTGAAACAAAGAATCGCTCAGCAAGCCCTTCCCTGGGAGAACAAACACCAAAACCACGGCCAGGACGCAGAACATATGGGAAACGGGCATCACCAAGACGAACACCGAGCTCTCTTGCCAAGGAACCCCAAAGCACAACAAAAGATCCGGATGACAAGATATGGGATATTCCTAGTTCGCCGATAGAAATCGCCAGGCTTGGAAGGAGATCACGAAGCCACGAGTCCACGCCAAAATCTCCTACACCCAAACAGCCTTCACAATCTAAAGTTACTATACGGCCCCATACAAAGGAATCGCGAAATCAGCCAGAGCTCATCGATACGTTCTTGTCCCGAAGTTCTTCGCCCGATGAGTTGAATGTGGTTACAGAGCCCCCAGGACCAACAAAGCGCACCGAGGATGTCAACACCCAAGATAATCCACAGCAAGAAGGCTCGGAAGACGATTCTCCATTATCATCGCCTCCGTCATCCCTTCATTCTCCTCCTGGAGATGATCCAGGGGTGCCGGAAAGAGTCCCAATAATGAAGCCACAAGGAGATATCGATGAGAGCCTGACGAATCTCGATGTTCCGCCAGAACTTCTACAGCAATTATCTCAACCAGCGCGAAGGTCATTCCGGGAGCGCAATGCAATCCAGCTGCACCCCTATGCCCTCGAACTCGCCAAGTATCAACGACTAATGAGGGAAAGAGGCATGAAGCCCATTCGACCGCCTGCAGAGGCACAACAGCATTATGCCCCAGAAACCACGGACGAAAGCCAGGAGCAAGATGCTTTCAACCCTGATGCACCTCTCTCCAGTCCACCGCCAGAAGAGTTTCTAAGGCCTGAACGACAAAGAGAACGGGACTCGACTGGGCAAGAAATTCGACATCGTGACCAGCGGGGCTCTCTGTCCCAACGAACGCAGTCGCACAAACGACGCAAGAGATCACACTTGGTGGTTTCGCCAAATCACAAGGGTAGCTCGAATGCTCGTACCAGACCTCAAGTGGTGATTCAGAATACTACGCCGCCGAATGGCCGCGTGGATCTTTCTCTTTTCGATGTTCCGTCCAGTCCGCCGGATTCGTCTGCTTCAAGGACTCCTCGTGCTTCGGATGTCTTCCGCTTTCCTCCAGGATTCACACCACCGCCGACTAAATCTAACGGCGATTATTCAAAGACAGCAACGCCGGGGTTAGATGAACCTACCACAGAAGAACAATCTGGCTTGGTCATCGATTCCGATGAGTCGGCAGATTCCGATGCCTCGCAAAGCTCTGCAGAACCTGATGAAAACAGTGAAGATAGTATAAATCGGCTTATGCAGCGACGTATTCGAGGCGTTCTTCCTGCTTCTTGGGTTCGTATCGATGCAGAGCAGAGACTCAAGCAACAGAAGGCCGCTCAACAAAATCGGCATGCTGCCCAGCGAGCAGATGGTAAAGGGATTGCCAAGAAGATTGTCCGGAAACCAGGACAGTCAAATCTTCAGCAAGGTCTGATCGACCTCGGAGATTCCGATGAGAGTAATGAAGAGAATCAACCTCCATTTGCCCACAATATCGAGGAGGACGCCGAACAGCGGGCAGCTACGCCCATGGGATTCGACCGAGATGGAGACATACTTGAGGACAATCGAATCGACTACATGCTTCCGACAGTTCCCCACGCACCCCGCGAGAAACGGAAGAACTTGAAACGTGTCCATTCGAAAGAAGATCCCCGTCAGATGGAGAGACGGTTGAAGAAAGCTCGCTTAAAACGACAAACCAGGCTCACGGATGCTTCATATGGAGGACACCGAACGAAAAAGAAACGTACAGCGTCAGTCCCAAGATTGGGAATTTTGGATGCCCCCGATGTGGCATCCAAACCCCGCAAAAAACAGCCTCAATTCCTCAGAATCGCGGCCAGGGGAGCTCGTTCACGCCGGGATGGAGGGAGGCAAAGTCCAACGCGCAAGTTCTTGCAATTAGGATCGAAAGACGATACTGCAGATGCGAATGAATCTCTGCGAAACTGGAGAAAAGGAGCAATCAAACAGACCAAAATTGCTCGTCCTCAATCCAAGCCTCGTAAAAGCCAGTCAGTTGCTAAACCTTCGGCTGTTCGACAGGCTGCACCAGCTACTCGGAATTCTCGAATTTCTAATCACTTTGCTGCCACAGAACCAGTTCAGGTTCCTGATGATGACAATTTGCCTTTGCCAGATCATCCCTCAACTGGTGATGATTATGTGCCCGCAGCTCCACCGGACAGAAGCCCGGACGCAGAGCGCTCCGCGCAAGCAGAGAGACAAGGCCATCAATGGATCGTTCGTCGGAACGTTGCAATATCATCTTTGCAGCGAAACACTCTTCGTCCTGCTGCGACCAGCCTGGCAGGGCCTAATCAAATCCAGGCTGCGAGCCGAGCCGTATTCGGTCGCTCTCTGACTTTGCTTAATCGCGACTTCCAAAGACAGGCATCCCAAGCCTTGAAGCCAAGTCTGACTCTTGATCGGTACATTTCAGACACTGGATCCGCGGGTCCTCCCATTCATACTCCTTCATCAACTGCTGCTGCTCCAGGGAATCCGGCCAGCAAAGCTCCGAATACCGAATATCGTCAAAGTCGTGTCCGCTTGAAGAAACGCCAACCCAACCATATCAACCTTGACGCAGATGAGTTCGTTCAAAATCAAGAAATCATTGCAGCGGTCTCCGACGACTCGGATTCGCTCCCTGCAATTAACGCAGCGCCGGCGCGGCCTTCATCTTTCAGTTTTGGCGGACTGTTCAATTGGCAACGCTCATACTCAGTCGATTTTGGGGTAGCGCCATTACGTGACGGAACATTCTTCCATGAATCTACATTCATTGGAAGTGGCGAGTTATCTCGCTCGCTGCATATTTCAAAGCGGGATCTGGACCAAGAGGCTGGCTTCTCTTCAATCCCCATCAGAGACCGGACTTTGCAATGCGGTGCCTGGAACGAGAAAGTCTCTTCAGAAATGGGATGTTTGTTCGATATGATTGTCGATAGCGTTGAAAAAAGCGCTACCGCTGCTCCAGAGACGAGGACTGACCTGACTTCTGCGTCGCTCGCATATCGATCCTTGATCAACTATGTGACGGAGCACTTGACATTCATCGACCCTGTCGACCGGACAGGCTTTGTCAGTCGTGTAACGGGGCTGCTTTTCCGACTTAGGGATCCGCTGGCGGCTTTCATCACCAACGGCGACTACAACAAATATGGCCTCGTGAGGTTTGCATACTACAATCTTGTGTTTGCAAATCAGATCCGTCAGATCGCTTCCCACAGCCTTGTCAGCTCTGCCCTGGCCGATGATGCTTTAGAGCTCGTCAAGACATCTGCCAAGGATACCCTTGCATTGGTCCTCGGTGAAGCTGGGATAGCTGAATTGCATCGATTGTTTGAAGAAACCAAGAAAGAGGAGCGACGTGAAATAGGGATTCGCGAAGAATTTCCTTCGGCGGAAGCTTACGTCGTCGTTCAGCAACTCCTGCACAGCTCAGATGCATTCATTGGCATTCTGGACGACATCCAGCTCGAGACTTGCACCAAGGGCATCGTTCGCAACCAGAAAGATGTTGTCAACCTGGAGACAGCATGGCGTTGCTTGTTCACTCCATTACCGCTTCATGAGATCGATCATCATGGTATTGCGCGTCGTGAATTCCGGTTCAAGGCGACACACGACAATTGGGATCTTGTTAAAAGGCTTCTGTCTCCTGCGTTAGACAATTACGACACCAATTCTGCGGTGCAGCCTATTTCATATAATGCCTACTGTCGAACGCTTTTTCAACGATGTCATCGTCTGATCAATATGTGGGGCTGGAGGGAATGCAGGCCAGTCCTCGACACACTATACGACTTCTTCGCACAAAAGACCTTTTACAACTTAAAACTCGAGGAAAGCCGCGGTTCGCCTGCCTTCCTCGATGAGCTTGATCAGAACCCTTCTTTGGACGCCCGAGCTGGTGAGCCATGCTTCCATACACTGCTCAAAATTATAGCGAGCGGCCTTCGCTTCTTGTCTAAGCGGTACGACAACAAAAAGATTCGAAACTTCGCCTGGCGTCTGCTACCCAACCACGGCCGTGTATATCCAAAAGAGAAGCCTCTTCGTCACGAAGACCTGGATGCGCTGAGAAACCACCACGATCTCCTTTGCACCCTGTACTGGGCTGTTCCTGACGGATGCCGGCCGAGATTGGAGACTATCCGCAATCTTGTCCATCCAGCCAGCTCTCATCGTGAAACGTGCAGCATCAACATCCGGTCCTGGGCAAGGCTTGTTCGGTTTAAGCTCTCAACTAAGGAGGATCTAGCGGGGCTGGATCCGTTCGCCGACTGGCACAGTTATTTCATGACCGAGCTTCGGCTACAGCACGGACTTGCCCGCAAGGAAATCGAGACGCAAAGCAAAGGCGATGAACGGGTTTCCCAGCAGCTTGTCGAAAGTGCCATTTCCCAGAACCAGCGGCAAATCGAAAGTTTGTTGAGCATGGCACTTGGCGGGATGCAGACTGCTGTTGAGCTGGCGCCATCCATGGACCATGCGTACCGGCTGATCTCCAAGACTCCTTTCGATTCCATTATGGGTTTGTTTAACCCGAAACTCGCGCGTGTGAATGTTGTCGTGGCGCAAGCTCTGCAAGTAATTGTGGCCTACTCTCAGAAAGACAGTGTTGCTTCTTCCCTGCCTCCTGCGCCAGCAGGCCCCGGGGTTGCAGCAAGCGCCGACGAGGATAGTCAAGAGTTCGGCTTTGGTGATTGCGACTGGGCTGATATCGATGCGGCGCTGGTTCAGCAAAATCCTCCTCCGCGGGAAACCATCGAGCATGTACAGAAAGCCCTTCATCCAGTTGTGTCCCGCCTAATTTCCAACTGCTTTGGCGCGGATCATTGCCCGGAGGATGCCATTCTAAAGAGCGCCCTTGAGTGCTGGACATCTGTCGCCCAGGTCCTTGTTCGCAACGGACTTAAACACTGGGACAACTACCTCAGTCAATTCGGCGACGAGTCTTGGACGAGACTTCGAAACACGCTACAAACTAGAAAGTTTGCACCGCAATTTGTCGCTCTCTGCATCGAAAAGGACGGACATATTCTGACCGACTGTCGAATCATGGCCATGAGCATATGGATTTCATCTCTGGTTGAACGATCCTCAATGCTCAAATTCCAACACCGTCTCACCGAAGCGCTTATGAATGGAAGCCCTCATGATCCGCTGCTCCAAAATCTTCCTTTCACGAAGGACAAAAAGAGTGAGCGGTACACAATTACACTGGAAGAGCTTAGCCAGCGTCGGTTGTCACTTATCTCAAGTGTGCTGTCAAACATGCGCGAACATGTCCTTCACTTGGAAGAGTCCGAGAGTCGGGATCTGAACGTTACGAAGCACGATTATTCCGATTTACTTCAGCGAATGATGGCATCCATGAAAGACAATTACCGAGAGCTTGGTAATGGAGCTGCCGAGTCTGCCCAGGGTGCTTATGTCGACTTTGTCCATCGAATTATCAGGTTCCTTCAAGAGCTCACAAGTGACATCCGGCCTGTCGACCCCTTCTTCACGGACCCAGCGCTGTTCCCTCTGCCGTGCACAGACCCGGGGTATATTGTTGCAAAGTTGAAGCGATACGAACCGAAGCTCTTTTTGAACAAGGAGGTTAACGCTCTGACTGGGTTCATCCAAGGCATTGCCGAGAGGGCACTTGTCGGGGGCGAACAAAGCCATCTGGCCCACCAGTTGTACATGGCGATGAAAGACACATATGAAGCCGGGCGACCCGACAAGCCCACGCTTCGAGCTGTTCTCCTGCAATGTGTGTTCCCTGCATACCTTGAACTATCATTCAGCAGCTCTGCTGCGTGGCTTTTGAGTCGTCCTGTCATCCTGAGCATCTCATTTGTGTTCAAGGACTTGCTGTTCAAGCTCGACGCCACAGACCCAGCTTGTGTCTCTTCTTTGTTGAGGATTTTCGAAGCGGTTCTCCAGTCATCCTATCGTGCGCTTCGGCCACTTTCCAACAGACTGACTAGGTTCAAGGACCCTACCGTTCTAGCCATGACCGCCGCTTTCATCGAGATGATATCTGCTTCTCTTCTTGTGGTAGACTACATCGACCGTGTCACTGAATCTGCCGATGGACTCGTCTTCTACGTCCAATGGTTCCGAGACTTTGCCGTGGCTGTGACCTCATATTTGACGAATTCCGCTGCAAGTACAGGGTCCGATGAATTCTCACCACCCAAGCTCCAATCGAATACCTCGACGACGGAGATGCCCCAGCAACTGGCCGCAGCTCGCCGCCAGGCATTCGATGACCACCAGTCCTATCTTCGAAACTGGTCCTTCCATGGTGGGAAATACTACTACACCCGACCCGGTCACGACTCCAAGGAAATCATGCCTGAAGCCGATATTGCAGCACTGGTGGAGAATGAATCTGTAGCAAGAAAAGTCCTTGAGAACGCTACTGCAGAAATGACGGAGAGTGTGGAACGGTTAGGGTTGCTCCCACCTTATGAGGGGGCGAGTATTGAGTCTCATGGAGGAATCGGGGATGAGTCTACTTTGTCTTCTATACACGGTTGTCTGCGAGAGCAGTGAAGACCTTGAATTTTCAATTTTGCATTTATATAGCACTGGCGTCGGAAGGTTATGATTATGGTTAGGGAAGATACCAAAAGGTTGCATTATACTCCAAGTCTGTTTACTTCCCGCCCTTTGAAGAGTGCAAAATCGCACCAAATTCAATCTCTCTGGTATTTTATGACCCCGTTGCATCCTGATATTCGACCTCAATCACATGTGTGAGTTCAAACGAGCTGGCCCGAGACGTCTGTAAAAATGCTCGGTCGACGCTCAGTTGCAGCAAGCTTGGCATGATAGTCCGCATCTGTATTCCATTCTCTTGGAATACGCCAGAACAAGACCCGCAGGCCTTGTTTATCCAACTCTTCTATTTCTCCCAGCAAACACTCCCAAAGGTCCCTATTCTTGACCGGTGCTCCAACTCTCGTCGTCTAGTCTCGCCGTAGCCATCCACGTATCCAGGATGTGATACCCTCGACAACGTATTCAGAGTCTGTCGCAATCACTAGACGATCGAAACCTTCTCCAGGCCAGTACCGGAATCGCAAAGCTGCAATGACGGCGCGCAGTTCTGCGCGGTTGCTTGTTTGCGGGTGGAGTTCGCCGGTAGGCCCTTCTCTCTCAAGAGGAAAGCGACAAGAGTTGACACCCCCGGCTTGCACGAGGGGCTTGAAAACGAAGCTGCAACCAGCTACGGCATTCGCCTCGCCGTTGTTCAGACACGAACCATCCGTATAGATGAGGAACGTTGCGGGGTCGGTTTGACGAATGAACCGCCGTACGGGTGATATAGCTTTGGTACTGATACAGGCGGGAAAAGCGACTGCGGTGTAGCTTTGTCATTGGGGGGGATGGCCTTTGTAGGAATAAGGCGTCCCGTGCCGACTCTGAGAGTATTAACGAGGCCTGCAGGACCTTCATTCATGTCCTCGGAAGACAGTGTATCATCAGACGCATCGCTTTCGTCCACGTCTTCATCTTCGGTGTCGGTATCTTCCATGAAGCTGTAATCGACACAGCAGCCTCCGCAGATTACGAAGCCGTGCGTGTGACACACTAGGCGACCATCGGGAAGTGTAACAGGGTAATCTGGACGCCAGGTCATCTTGTTTGAATCGGTAAATGAAACAGTCCAGATGTAGACAGCGGGAGACGACGTGCGTGGTAGAGGATGATTGAGTCTGGTACGTAATGCGCGCTTGTTGGTGAAGATGTGGGAAAAGAAAGGCGGTCGAGTGAAGCCCCGAGTGGAACATGCACATGACCCGCATCATCTATATAGTTCGGTTCGTCCCGGCTTCAAGATACATTGCTTCAAATCGTCTTCCTGGAAGAGAGTTAAATAGGCCACGGTGAGAGTACTCACAGCGTGTTCATCTACTCGATGGAAGTCCCGGGCAGCCTCAATGGAACTTGGGCGGGTTCAGGCTAAAATAAAACCAATGTCAATGACCAAAAGGCGAGATGGCAATGATGAGTTCGGTCAACGACTAACAAGGTACTACTGATGCTGCAGCAAAATGTAATACGTTGCATTTTTTGGCTCGTATGAAATCGTCAAGAATCATCAAGACCTGCTTGTTTTGGCCGTGGGGAACTCCCTGGAACTAAGTGCGAGAGAACCATGCACGAATTAAGACATCGTCAATGGATAGTAACAGTCATGAGAAATCGTTCGACACAAAACCTCCCACGCATACCAATATCGTCATTAGATAACGAGAAAACAATAACCCCCGAATAGGACGCCAGATGCATTGCACGAAAAACACTACACAACCGTGTACTTTGTGATAATGTCGTAACTCGAAGCGACAACTCCTCGTCCGACTATATACTAGACAGTACCGGGGGTTCCGTTCCCGGAAGCAGCATCCGTTGAGCCGCGTCGGTGGAAGGGGTTCTGGAAAACCTTGCGCATCGCGTTCGTGATACTGTTCTTCCGTCTTGTCTGGCTTGGGGCATCGGACGAGGCCGCCTTGGGGACGGAGGCGTCGTCTTGGAGGACAATCGATGTAACGGCTGGTTTGGGCGGCCATTGTCCATCTGCTTTCCAGCCTTGGACCATGGCCTTGGTGAGATCGGCTAGGTTGACTGGCACAGTGGGGGTCATGCCCTGCACGACGACTTTGGTGTAGATAGAGGGGTAGATTGCGGGGCCGATGGTTGCGCGGATGGGGTTTTCGGAGGAGATGAAAGGGGGGGCGACGGGGATGAGAGGCTCATCGAGCTCTTCCTCATCCTCTTCCGGGTCACTGTCGTTGATGGCTGGGAATGTCGTCAGGTGGGAAGGGTCATTGGACACCTGTGCGTCGGGTTCGGTGATGCTGGTCTCTGTGGATTCCTTGCGCTTTTCGTCGTCTGGAGCGGTAGATTGCCCTTCTTCCTGCTCTTGCCGACGCTGGGATTCTTCAATCCTCTCCTTTTCTGAGATAGAAAGCGATCTTTCAATTGTGGTTGCCAAGCCAGGCCCTTCGGCGGCTTCGCCATGAGATTTTTGCTGCAAGGGCGGGGTTATCCCCGCACCGGTGTCAACGCCAGAATCAACGCCGTCGACAGAAGATTGGTCCTGGATCGAAGCATCCAGCTTGCGCTTCTGCTCCTTAGCTCGAATTTGTCGTCGTGTCCGAGCCCCAGACCATGCATCCCGTCGTGCCATCCACATTCGCATCCCCTCATTCCACGCCATCTCCTCATCCATCTGGCGGCGTCGTCTGCGCCGCCGCTCAATCGCAGTGTCTGCTGCTGCTTTCCCTCCGGAGGGTGACTCCGAATCGGAGTCGTCCGATGATTGTGGTTCGAGCTCGGAGCCCGAGCTGTCAAATTCGCGGCATCGCCATTCGCTCACTTGTCGGTTTTGGTAGAGGGTGCCCGTGGAAGAAGTAGATGAGGACGACGTGGGGCGGGTAGCTTCGGAGCTGGTGGAGGGCACGAATTCCCAGTCATTACGGACGGCGTCGCGGACGAACCGTTTCGCTTCGCGAATGGCCGTGTCGCGTGAGTCGCCGGGCATGGCTGGGGTTGTGGGGTCGGAATTTTTTGCCGTTGCAGGCGTGCAGGACGGTGGAAGCAGGAGGGTGTGGTCGGCGCGCACTCGTTTCGTCGCGGGATCAGGCCGGGGCATAAAAATCCCTCTCGACCACCAGTGAAGAAAAGAAGCTCGAGAGGCGGGTGGAGACGGATGCGATGTCATCGGGGCACGTGCCCTCCCTTCGCGGGCGACACCAAAAGTTGGGTATGAGATCGCTTTGTTGGTAACAAGCAATGTTGTGTTTGAGTGATTGATGATCAGACAAAAGGCTGGGAAGTTAAAGTGCTTTGTCTTCAGTTCGATCGTGTGGTGTGACGGCGGTGGACATGCAGTAGTGGAGGTGCTTCTCGATGATCTATACCCGGCTCAGACTTGTTTCCAGTGATGTGCCCCCAAAGTTACATCCCGCTGGGCTCTCACTTCGTAGAACTCGGAAATTTCAAACCAAAAGAAGTAGAAACGTGTTTTGTATTTTAGTTCTATTGATTTGTGCAGATATCGCGTACCTATGGCTGCTAACTCATCCCTGTTGATCAAGATATAAGACAACACTATCTGATATCATACCTTGCAGGCTTCTTCATTCGAGTAGCTGAGGATGGCCGAGTAAGCCAAGAGTTCCTAACTAGCTATATGGAGACGATCCCCAGTAAATTTATTGAGCCAAAAAAAACGCCCGAACATCAATAAGATAGTTTAGTTTAATGGTTACATTACCATCGGAGAATTTATCTATAGCGTTTGATAAAGTTGGAGTTTGTCAACACCCTATTGGGATCGAACTATTATCGAATGAGGTATCACAGTTTATGGAGGTAACACTGATATCAGCCCCTGCGTTGACAGAGCAGCGATGTCCTAGTTTAAAAGGTACCTGCAAGACCCCGCAATGCCCTAAACGAGGCAACAATTCCGCTTGACAAGATAATGAAGACTTTTTATTCTCTTGAGCTGCTCGATGGAAGGGCCTGATATGAACATTTTGAAAACTAATGGTTATGTGATTACCCAATGAGAGTTGGACCTGAATTTCTTTCCTGGAACATGTTCAACCCAGAGACGCCTATCCAATCTCATCGTCCGAACGGTTCAAGCCAAGCCAAAACATCGCCATGCAGATCTTCCCTCTTGTTTTTTGGACTTGTCAGGACAAGAATAAGCTGCTAACTCCAAGGTTCTGAGTTTTTTTTAAGGTTCCTGAAAAGTATTCATCGCCTATCGGGTCCTCGGGATGCATCTCGGGTCTGGAAATATATAGATCGCCAAAAACCTTATACTCAGTCCACAAATTATGACACAAAAGCCGAGACAATTTTTTTTTCCTCCCTCCAATACAGCACGTGTGAACCCGTGTGTGAACAGTCCGGAGGTTCTAAAGAGAGCGCTTGTAATGCAAACACGTCTGTATTTACCCTTTATTGGTACATGTCTATCGTATCGTTAATGGTACACGGGGGAGCCTCGGTGGATAAATTTGATCCAGAGAACCTTGGAGTACATCCCCCAAATCTATAACCACAGAAATCAAGAGCGCACACGCGCGTTATCCACCACAGGCTCCTCACCGGCCGTGGAGAAACCCCACCCGGGAGCCTTCTTACGCCGACCCTTCCGATCACCGTACTGCTCGTCGAACTTCCGAATAGCAGACAAAGACGACATATCCTCGCTGATCGATGCGCTGATTTCCTCCATTCCTCGCTCGAAATGAGCCAATGTCAGCGTGCGACGCTCCGGGTACTGATAGGGCTCATCGCCTTGGTGTTGCGCGGCGGCGGCGTTCTCCTCGCGCACGCAAGCCAGTGCAGCGGCAACGGACAGGTTTTTCAGATCGGAGCCGGAGTATAGAGGGGTGCGTTTAGCTAGCTCAGCGAGGTCGACGGAGGGATCGACTTGTTCTTCTTTGAGGTGGATCTTCAGGATCGAGTGGCGGTCTTCTTCTGTTGGGAGGTCCACAAGGAGTCTGCGAGGAAGACGACGCAGAACGGCGTCATCGAGGTCGAAGGGTCGGTTGGTTGCGACCATAATGAAGGCCGATAGGTCGTTCATTCCGTCCCATTCGCGCAGGAACTGGTTAATCAGTTCGCGGTGTGAGGTACGACTGCTAGCTCCTGTGCGTGAACAGAAGATGGCATCGGCTTCGTCGATGAATACTACGCATGGGCTCAGTTTCTTGGCCAGTGTAAAGATCGCTTTCACGTTCTTCTCGCCTTCACCGACATACATGTCGTATACCTCGGATCCGCTGACTTCGAGAACGGTCGCCCCACTCTCGCGAGCAACAGCCTTGGCAAGCAGCGTCTTACCAGTGCCTGGAGGTCCGTAGAGAAGGAGACCTGGGATCTTGTCGGTGGCCAAGACACCGTAGGTGAACGCCTCCGGACGGATCAGTGACAAGGAAGTCAGAGTCTTGAGGGCGTCGACAGTCTCGGGCGGGACATGAACGTCGGAGAAAGTGGTGCGGATGCTCTTTGCATCCACAACGCCATTGAGCAGCTTCTTCTCGTGGTTGTTACAGGTCTTGCGCAGGGAGGCTAGTAATTGCTCTCGGCTTTGGTCGACAGGGGCATCTGTCGACCTGGGGGATTTCTCCTGTAACCAGTCGCTTGTAACTCGATCACCATTATCCATTAGCTCGATGCCTTGTCGGATGTGTTCGAAGCCAAAGGCTTCATCGGATTCTGCACTGCCTAGTGCTAGAGTTGAAACCCAGTGCACCTGGTTATAGGACCAAAATCGCTCTCTGATGCCGGATTTCTTGACAGTCGATGGATCCAGTGGCCAGGCGCTGTCAAGCAAAATATGATCTTTGGAGGCAGAAGAAGTCTCGCTGAGCCGGTAGCGCAGCATCATCTGGAGATGACGAATGTTTATATCCATTGTACGGTTCTTCTCATCCTCTGCAAAGGTTTTTTCAACGGCCCTTGCAGACATGGCGGGGGTAATCACCAGAGTCTTCGAGAAGTTGTCGTCAAAGACATTTTGCAATAACCTCGAGCCATCTTGTGCAGAAGAATGACGGAGATCTTGAGACGTGCTGCCGACAAGCAAAACTCTTGATCCTGTACGCCTCCAATCTTGGATAACCTTCTGCAAGAGGGCAATCATCCTCGCTCCCTCCCTGGTACTCTGAATTTCGCGATAATCCTGAATGTGCACAATTGTGTCTCGGGCCAGTACCGCATTGCTAGCACCCGACTCGGATGCCCCGTCTGTTTCAGGAGGGGCAGGTTTTGGTGATTTATCAGCCGGGGAAATGAGCTCGTTCATGAGACCGGCCCAGCGTTGTTCCACACCTTGACCGAGATTTCGCATGGCGCTCGGATCGTGGTCCTGTTGACCATTGATTGATGCAACGAGTGATTTCAACCCCATCCAATTAGGGAGCGGAATGTCGCCTGAATCCCTGCTCGCCTCAATGGTAATGAAGCGAGGGGTGCTAACCTCGGCGCGAATGCCTTGAGCAGCAGCAATCTCTGAGATGTCTTCGTCGCCATCTTCGCCCTCTCCAGACTCGGGCCAAGCCATGACTGGGGGTCGGTAAACCTCATAACCAAGGGAGCGAATGGCCGACGAGGCACCAGATTCAGTAAGGTCGAGCTCACTGAACAGTATGGCGATATCTTGGGCATTTAGTGTGACCAGATGCGTATCCAATTCATGGGCCAGCCGCTTCACCACTGCATCCAAGAATGTGATACCATTATTGCCTGGATACTGAAGTACGAGGTGAGACTTTTTCGCTGGGGGTTCGTTCGCATACTGGGTAGATGGTAGTCTTAGACCAGCTTTGACTGATGCCCGCAATTCATCCCACGTTGCATCTGCTAGAGCATATCGGTTGTCTGAGCCCGTCGGTTCGGTCGATGAGGGGTCGTTGCCATCGCCGCCTAAAGATTGCTCTCCTTTTGATGCGCCGTCCGACTCCGGGACCAACTTCGCCTTCACAATTTCAACCTGATGCTGATGGTGTACCGCAGCTTGATCCTCAGGACTTCGATTCACCGTGTTTCGTCGAAGAAACCACTCGGGAATTGCTGGCGTTGGCGAGGACTTTTTGTCTTGCTTCGATATCCTGTTTCTCATGGCTCTGCGCACGGCGGAGCCATGTGGTCTTGAAACAGGCTTACTGGTCTGGTCGGCGACGGAGGCAGGCAAGGAGCCATTGTTCGCAAGAATATCGTCGACATTCGACGAACGGTAGTCATCGACAACATTTTCGGGAGGTGTTGTACCGTCATGTGGATCGTTCGGGGCGGAAAGCCACCGTCGCGACAAGTGGAAAGGTCGCGAGGTGAGCGCGGGATAGCGGCGTCGAGCGATGAATCGACAAGGGCGCGCGACAGACAGCCGGAACAGTGGCATTGACGGATACATCCGGGGCACGAGATGCCACCGGAATCGAAGATGCGGTATCACGGAAAGCAGGTTACTGCATTGGCCGCGAAAGACGTGCGGATCCAGACGCCAGGCGCCTCCGCGGGAGAAATATACGATCACGTGATATGTCAAAAAATCGAGCGCATGGAAATACAGGCATGCAGTCTCGAGAAGGGTAAAATTACTTGGTTCTAACATGAGCATGGATTTCAAAGGGAGCCTTTATCCGAGTCTACAACCTGAATTCGCCTCGTGAGACAGTCGCTACGCTAAGAGTGATCTTCGGCCAGGATTACAATAAAGTTTGCGGATAATTACGGTGTGGAAGCTACGACACAATTACAGCGAGGTCAAAGAGTTAATGATCAATTGACGTGGTTCCATTCACAACTATAGTATATAATATATAAGGGAGCAGGCCATGCCAAGGTCGATCGAGAATCGGCGGTTCACCTGATGCGAAAGTTGGGTCAGCCCACGTCTCACGCAATTTGCAATGCGATATTCGATTGACAATTGAAATGGTTCTCAGACAAAATATACTGGCAAGTAGCAGACCAACCGGGAAAGGAAGGTCCGAATTATCTCGTCATGGTCGATTTGGTGGATAAAGAAGTAAAAAAGGATTGTCATCCTTGAACCAGAGGAAGGGAAAAAAACACATGAGACTTACCAGATGCGAATAAGCCGCACAGACAGGCTGTTAGTGGCGAGATTCAGTAGACGATCATACGATATGATGACAACAATGGAGAGTTCTCTCATCATCAAGAGAGAAGTCTCCCCATGAAGTCTTCGGTATCGAAGCAGATGTGAAGACGAAGAAGCGGAAACGAAAAAAAAAAACGCGCTGAAATACACGGACGTCACGTGACACAGAGAAGCGGCTTAGCGCGGCACCTTTGCAATCGCAGCCAGCGAGAAAATAAGACTCAGGGTGAAAGGGGAAAAAAAAAGAGGCGATATCTTGATCGTGACGGAAATCAGATCATCTCGATCATCGTGGTGACCTCTGTCTGTTGTTTACCCCCCTATCATCAGCCCATCGCGTTGTCTGTTCGGTTACATCCTCCACTCTCGGAGCCGGATCCTCCGTCCCCAGTTTCCTCTTCGCTCCCACCGGGCGATCATCTTTCTTTCCTCTCATGGGCGATCGCGACTGTCCCTGTCCCCTATAACCCCAACTCATCGGCCCTGGACTCGGGCTTCGCTGTGTGAGTTGTTCTCCTACTTTTGGAGGCCCAGCCCCTCCACGCCTCCCTATTATCTTCCACCTCTCGTTTCCCCCCCCCCCAACTTCGACTCCCTCTTATCAACCCGTACTCCCCACCAGCACTAACCGGCTGGTCTATAGGAGAACGAGGCCTGCATTGAGGCGAAGCGAAGTTTAGGCTGAGGTCCCGATCGATGCTTCAGCCTTGCGCGTCTACTGGATCCTTAGTCGCCTGGGCCTCCACTCCGAAACGCTGAGAAAGCGGTCTGTAGTCTTCAGGCGCGCGACTCCTATAAACCTACCTCCCCAGGTCGCTTCCTCGCCGCCGTCGCGGTACTTCGCCGTACAACCCCTCCACTCCGTGGTGAATCCTGTCGCAATGATGATGGCGCAACCATTCGCTGCCCACCAAGGCATCCCACAGCATGGCTTACCCCCGGGTCATCATCCAATGCCCGGCCAACACCCAAATGCCGGTCACCCCGGGCCTGGCATGGTACAGCAAATGCATCCTGGAGTTTCCGCGCCAGGAGGACCCCAAGTGAGCCAGGCGGGTCCGATGATGGGTGGGATGCCTCCGGGCGCTGGGACCGCGGGTCCCGGCGGTCCCATGCCCAATGCCCACGCTATGTCCCATCTGAATCCCGCGCAGGCGCAACATATGTTTCAGCAACAGGCATTCTCTCAAAATTGTGAGTTACTTCTATACATCTCGCTTGGTCTTGCTATCGCCGTTACGCACGCGCGCCTGCTTGGCACCAGCCATCAATCCGCGGCCTTACAGGCTCTTTTCATGGCGTCCGAGCCAACATTACTTCCGGGCGCATGCTAATTTTTTGTTCAACTGCCAGATGCGAACAATCCCCAGTTAATGCACCAGCAGCAGATGATGCGGCAGCATATGATTCTCCAGCAACGGCAGCAAGCCCAAGCGCAACAGCAACAGCAACAACAACAGCAACAGCAACAGCAACAGCAACAGCACGGCCTCCCTGTATCATTACCCAATGGAACCCAAGGCCTTAATGCTGCCCAGCTGGCTCAGATGCAGGCCAACCCTGGAATGCGACCGGTCAACCTGATGCACCTTCAGGGTCAGGTACCCCACGGTCAACCGCAAAACCTCCAGCAGCAACAGATGTTCGCTCTCCAGCAGGCGCAAGCACAGCAGCAAGCGCAGCAGGCTCAGGCAAACAATGGACAGCCCGGCCAACATACTCCGCAGCGTGGTTCCGCCCAACCTCCCAACATGCACGAGGCCCAGGTTGGGACTCCTCAGTCTCAGCATGGCCCACCACAGAGTGGTACACCTCAACCGAGACAGCCCTCTCAACCCCCGTCGTCCCAACCCCCACAGTCACAGGGCCCACCGCAAGCTCATGGTACGCCGAACCCTCAGTCACAGCAATTGCCGCATGGCCAGCAGCCAGGTCAACAGCCAGGCCAGTCGGGTCCCCAGTCGCAGCCTCAAGGTGCTCAGGGCCAACCGGGTCAGACATCTGGCCCGCCAAACCCGCAGGCCCTGGCGGCTCAGGAGGCTCAATTGAAAGCACAGCAGCATCAAAATGCTCTGATGATGCAAAGAATGGCCCGACCGAGTGGTCAATCGATCTTATATCTTCACGCCTATGCTGAAAACTTGAGCAGTTTCCAGGTATGAAACGAAAATGAAACGAAACTGTTGGCGTTTCTGAAAAACGAACCTTGCTGATCAATCATTCAGAGTCGAAACGAGACAGCCGACCTTATTTACTGGAACAGCTTTGTCGAGCGATTCTATTCGCCCGGTGGTGTTCTGCGACAGGGCGTCTGGAACCCTCAGACTGGATCGAAGCAGTTTGAGATCACGACACCCGCACTGGCTCGGTATTACCTGACCCAATTCTCCAGTGGCATCCGCCAGATCCAAATGGTTGTGGAAGGTGCCCGTGAGCGGGAATTGCCGAATGGAGGACACATCGTCGAGAGCCCTCGAACCTCTTTCATCTACTGGTTTACGAATGATTGCCAAGTATGGTCTCTAATTCCAAAACGCAGTTGGACAATTAGCTAACGGCCGTTTTGTAGCTTTTCACAAACGGACAACTACGGGCTTCATTTGGCATGGACAACAAACTCGAGATGCTCGATATCACAGTTACAAGCCACAACGAGTTTATTCCACGAAGCATTGCTCAGTCACTGGAGGCTTCGGAGCTGAAGCAGAGCCCCAAGGCTTCCAAGAACGCTGCGAAGCGGACACAAAAGCAGGCTCAGTCCCCATCGCTTCCGGAGTCACTGGTCAACTCTCATGGCGTTACTCTCCCGGTGATGGGATTTTTGGAAGTCGCGGAGACCATCTCTCAGATGCAAATGCTCTTCCACTACTCCCTACAGAATCCGACCTTGTCTCCTCCCGAAGCTCTCCGTAACCTTGTCAATACCCTGCAGACCGTTCCTAACCAAGGATTTGCACCTCCGATGAACCCAGGTATGCAAGGTATGCAAGGTATGCAGAGTATACAGGCAATGCAAGCCATGCAGGGTATGCAAGGTATGCAAGGCATGCAACCCATGCCCACCGCACGCAATCCCAGCATCAATGGTCCTTCGCAGTTTGCCTCGCCTGCCATGGCCCATCTCGGTCTGCCGGGCGCTCAGGGATCACCTCATCTCGGCTCTGCGCACGCAAGTCCGGCTCAAAGCCAGCTTACTGGGCCTCCAGGAATGTCAGGCTCGGTCCATCCATCTCCGGTCGGTGTCAACAACAGCCCTAATGTAGGTGGCAACAAACGCCGCCGGGCAAGCACTGTCAAGATGGAAAACGATGACGTGGGCCCGGAAGTCAATGGCACATCTGCCCCCGGTACGGCCAAGGTCAAGGCTAGCCCTCGAGTGACCAAACGGCAGAAGGGACAAGCCGCCTGATCATGTCGCTTCATTTTTTGATTCCCATTATTTCAAGAGGCAGGGAGCCGGCGTACGATTTTGGATACCTGGGCGAGACGCCATATCCGCCCGTTTGTTTTTGTGTCTATGTTTTTGATACTCAGAAGGATGTTTCCTTCAGCTTTCGGTATTCTGACGATAAAAATCTGCCGTCAATGGGGGCTTAATCGTTGCGTGCCCCTTGACGTTTGTTCGGCACCTGTGACATGATGCTCGTCCCCATCGATCTCCCGATCCACCTTCGACTCTAATGTACTCTATCTCCCTTTCAGCGCTTGTTCAGTTGGCTCGGGATCATCGCCCTTACTTTTTTGCATGCTCGATTTTTGGAACTCTCTTGCCATGTCCCGGGGGTTTTTGACGATTTCTGGATTCTTTGTTTTGCTGTTTCTGACCTTTGGATGAACCGAATCCTTTGATATCCGTGTTGGCGATTGCACTGGCGTCGGGCTTTTTGTTTCCTTGGACCTACGTCTGCGTGCATTGGGGTGGTCCTTTGGGCCCGTAACCTGGGATTTGATGATTTCTCTATACGGGACTCATCGTTCTGCCGCTATATTGACGAATTCATACATATCATACCACTTTGCAACTGTAGACATTGGGAAATGTGCCATTGTAACTTATTTGCAGAATTATACGGACTGTACTTGGAATGCTATTTCGTTACCAACAGTGGAAGTACAGTTGGCCGAGGCGGCGACCTCCGCTCGGCATCGGCCAAGTCTGATGGGTTCTCGGCATTGTTGTTATCGCAGCTTCCCCACCACACCCTTGCTTAACTGCCCCTCCTCGCTCTCTCGGCCACACCTCTTCCAAGATTTTCTCAATTATACCCTTCTTATAATCAAAAGGTCCAGTGAGCATAATGGCCCACTCTCATTCCCACGATGCTGGCGTGAGCCACTCCCACGACGATCCCTTCAACGGCCATGGCCACTCGCACGACATCCTCGATGGACCAGGCTCGTACCTCAACCGTGAGATGCCGCTGATCGAGGGCCGAGACTGGAAGGACCGTGCCTTCACCATTGGAATTGGAGGGTGAGTAGCAAGACCTTGGTTTCTAGATAGATCCGTACACCATACTCCGAACTATAGCACTGACAAGCCCTCAAGACCCGTTGGCTCCGGCAAGACAGCCCTCATGCTAGCACTGTGCCACGCCCTGCGCGACCAATACAACATCGCAGCCGTCACAAATGACATCTTCACACGCGAGGATGCCGAGTTCTTAACCCGCCACAAAGCCCTCGCACCCTCGCGTATCCGCGCCATCGAAACAGGCGGCTGCCCCCACGCCGCTGTCCGCGAAGACATCAGCGCAAACCTCCTCGCTCTGCAGAACCTGCAGAGACAATTCTCCACCGACCTGCTGCTCATCGAGTCCGGCGGTGATAATTTGGCTGCAAACTACTCGCGCGAGCTGGCTGATTTCATCATCTATGTGATCGATGTTGCTGGTGGTGACAAGGTGCCTAGGAAGGGTGGTCCGGGTATCACGGGCTCGGATCTATTGGTAGTTAACAAGATTGATCTTGCTGAGGCTGTGGGTGCGGATTTGAAGGTTATGGAGAGGGATGCGGCGAAGATGCGGGAGGATGGACCGACTGTCTTTGCGGTTGTTAAGCATGGGAAGGGTATGGATCACATTGTGAATTTGATTATTAGTGCTTGGAAGGGGAGTGGTGCTTATGATCTGAGTCTGCAGCGGTGGAAGGAGGGTGCACCGCGTGGTTCGGGGAGCCTTGATGCGTAGATGTACCGGGGATTGATGGTCATATATTCAGACGCCATAAAATAATGATGGTACATAGGTACTAGCTTTTCCGGTCCAAAGATTCTATACACATGAGTTCCTCCAACGCCTGAAATGCAGCTACATAGCTTGCTCTCCAATATCAAAAAGCCACAGGGCTGGGTATCTGGATAGCTGTCCGACGCTCGAGAGACGAGCAAACGCAAGAAACGTATTAAGAGTCCTTCTTGGCGAATCTCCCCAGAGCAGGTCCAAGCTCCTCGCGCTCCTGACGAAGTTTGTTCTTGTGACGCTCGGCGTGCTCCTTGCGCAGAGCTTCGGCCTTGAGTCGCTTCTCGTCGATGACATTGCCGCGACCCTTCTTGCGGAGGTACTTGCGCAGCGCGCTGTTGCGACCACGGCCGCGGTTCTTGAGCTTCTCCATGTGGTCCTGAGGCTTGTGGTCGGGGTTGCGCTCTTCTTGACGCTTCTTGTCGCTGATCGTATCGAGCTTGCCGATGACATCGGGGTCCAGCGAGATCATATCCGGCTGAAGCTTGGTGAGCAGAGAGTGCACCTCGGCCTCCTGTCGCTGGTGAGCATTCTCGTAAGGGTTCGCCTCCAGCGAGTCAAAGTTGGGCTCGCCGGCACCAGGGACCAGAATACTGGCGAATCCTTGGTCGTGGGTGACGCCCAGAATGTCCTCATATGGGCACCAGCGCATGTTCTCGATGCGTTGGCCATCCCCACCCCATGCCATGTAGGGGCTGTCCACCTTGCCCTGGTCGGCGAGGGCGGCGTCGAAAAGACCCCGCCACACACTGACCTGAGTGCCCCAGCCGACGGCAGTCAGGCCGCGGTCACTGATTGCGACTGATGCTCCGGGCTGGTAGGTCGAGTACGAGTGGACTTCTCGGAACATGCGAATGTCCCAGACGTTCATCCTTTGGTCCTGGCCAGTCGACACCATGTACCGGCCCTGGCGGTCAATTGCGAGCGAGCGGACGGGCCCCTTGTGCACCATTGCCTTGACAAGGGCTGTTTGAGAGTTGGGAGACCATAATGTCACTGTTCCGTTCTGGTGCCCGACGTGGAGAATGGCGTTGTGAGGATTCTGGCAGAGAGCTGTCGGACGGCCCAACCGGGTGGGCAACTCGGCGACGGTTTGGCCGATCGAGGTGTCGGTGTATTTCAGGTAGCCGCTGATGCCCTATACATAAATCATTCGTTAGAGGATTTGGTGACAGACAATCGAGATCGAAGGTACTCACAACACTGGCCAGAAGATAGTGGTAGGGCAGGAATTCGAGATAGAGAGGCTCCAAATGCTTGCTAAGACAGTGCAACTCTGTTCCTTGGTGGTCATAGATGTAGACATATTTCTTCTGAGCAACTGCAAAGAACTGGTTGTTGTGCAGCCAGCGCGCATCGCGGACCGTCTCGTTCAGATTCAGCTCACATCCCAATTTGCCATCGCGCCAGTCCATCGTTGCGACATGGCCCTTCCGTCCCGCCAGCAGCAAGTTGCGTCCGTTTCGAGTGTAGTCCGCGCGATAGGGGCCGAAATCATTGAGGCGCAGCTCAAATCCTTTCTTTGCCGTTTCAATTCCAACGCTTTCCTTGATCTCATCTTGGCGAACTTTGTATGTCCGTTCAAGCTCACCCTCGGGCTCAAGGAAGCCTGCATCGTGCTCGAGAAGGATCTCTGAATCCTTAGCCTGAAGAACAGCTTGTTTTTGTTTCGCTTCTTGCGCCTGGAGTGTCGAGCGGAGCTTCTTGTTTCGAATGGCCTTGGTCGAGACTGCTTTGCCGCGCCCATAGGCTTTCTGGGCTTCAATCAGTCGTTGCTTAGCCGCACGATCTTCAGCCGTCATGACAGCCTGTTTCGAACCCGAGTCGGCCATTTTCGAGAATGTACTGGCTGTTTTTTGACGTGGGAAAATCGCTGGTCGAGCCGCGGAGAAAAAGCGAAATCTAAAAAATTGCGCCAAGACTTGCTCTCACCGCTCGCTTATCCTCCACTGGCGAATTTTGTTTTCTTATCGCCATTTTTTTTTCTATCTGCGTGGGATTCCCTCGATCTCAGTGTTCTTTGATTTTAGATCCGAGTATCCCAAGAGTCTTATATTCCCTTCAATCTGGCCTCCCTCCCATATCGTTTTAAAGGGTCCAGTGCCAACATGGCGCCCACCCAAACGGTGCACCACCACCGCAACACCACCAAGGTTACCCAAAAGCCTTTCAAGACCAAGCATGCGTCTAAAAGTGCTCTGAAGGATCAGGCCAAGGGTGAGTAAATGTTGAAATATGGAGCATCACATATCGCACAGTCATATACTAAATTCCTTCAGGCAAAATCGAGTCGGAGCGGGGCACTCGCAAAACCCCCCACCAACAGCTCAAGTCGAAACTCGATCGCCGCAACCAGGCCCGCCAGAGACAACAATTGAAGCATCAGCAGAGGATCCAGGAGACTAGCATCTTCACTGGCCAAAATGGAGCGCCCCGCCACGTCGCTATCGTCCCGCTGTCCGTCGATATCGATATCCCCGCCACGATCCAAGCTTTGAACGAGAGTGTAGACGTCTCTTGCGCTGTTTCTATCGATGGACCTACCCGTGTGCGAGTTGATAGGTTCCGTCAGAGCTTGCTCTATATCCCGGCCAAGTATGACCTGATGAATGCTCTGGATGTGTGCCGCATGGCCGACTTTGTGGTCCTGGTAGTATCGTCAGAGATGGAAGTGGAGGAAGAGGGCGAGCTGCTCTTGCGATCAATTGAGAGCCAGGGTATCTCCAACGTTATCACAGTTGTTCAGGGTCTTGACAAGGTGAACCCAGCCAAGAAGCGCCCGCAAGTGGCTTCTTCGCTTAAGTCTTTCGTCAACCATTTCTTCCCGGCTGTGGAGAAGGTCATGTCGCTCGATTCGCGACAAGAATGCTCTAATGCGATCCGGTCTCTTTGCACAGCGACCCCTAAGGGAATCCGCTGGCGTGATGAGCGTAGCTGGATGCTCGTTGAGAGCGTGCAGTGGCCGGAGGCCGATGCTGAAGTGGTTGATAACGTTGTCATCACCGGTATCGTTCGTGGAAAGGGTCTGAAGGCCGACAGAATTGCACATATCCCAGGCTGGGGTGACTTCCAGATCGGTTCGATCACATCAGCTCCTTTGCCCACCAAGGGCAAGCGTGACGATGCGATGAACGTGGACACCGACGAATCCAACCAGGTCCTTGACGGCCCCAGCGCGGACCAGGACGACATGGCCACTATTGCCCCGGAGGAGATTGAAATGGAGGATGACGACATGGTTTCGATGGCCGACACAGAGAAGAAGGGTGTCCTTCTCGACGACCACCACTACTTCTCGGACGATGACTCTCACATTCCCCCGACGCCCAAGCGTTTGCCCAAGGGTACCTCAACATACCAGTCCGCTTGGTATCTCGAGGACGTTTCGGACTCCGGATCTGATCTGGAGGATGAGGATGATCAGGATATGGAAATGGACACCGCCGGCGCGCCTGAAGACGGTGTTTTCCCCGACAACCACGACGCTATGACGGAAGGCGGCCCCTCCGAGTACCCTCAGTCAGAGATGTTCCTTGACCCGTCACCCGAGGACGAGGCTCAGGAGCTAGCGGATTACCGCGCTAGCCGCAAAACCGAGGCCGAGGAGGACCTTGAATTCCCCGACGAAATCGAATTGCACCCTAACGCTCTTGCGAGAGAACGTCTTGCTCGTTTCCGTGGCTTGAAGAACATGAAGATCAGTCCCTGGGAGACATCCGAGGACCGACCCTTCGAGCCTGAGGACTGGCGGCGGTTGTTGCAGTTCGGTGACTACAAGAGTATCAAGAACCGTGTCGTTCGTGAAGCCCTTGTCGGTGGTGTTAACCCGGGTATTCGTGTGGACATCCACCTTCGCGCGGTGCCATCCGCACTCCGCCACAAGGCCCAGCCGCTCTCCCTATTCTCTCTCTTGCGCCACGAGCACAAGAACACCGTGGTCAACGTCAACATGACCCTGAATGGCAGCGTCGAGAAGCCGCTCAAAGCCAAGGAGGAGCTCGTTGTGCAGTGCGGAGCCCGCCGCATGGTGGTCAAGCCTGTCTTCTCCGCCGCTGACAACACCCCCAACAACGTGCACAAGTTCGACCGTTACTTGCACCCAGGCCGCAGCGCTATCGCCACATGGATTGGACCCATGACCTGGGGCGCCGTCCCTATCCTTGTCTTCAGAAACAAACAAGCTGAAGAGGACCCTGAGATCCTCGACTCCGCGGACACCAAGCAGGAGCAGGAGCCTCTAGATATGAACCGCCTGGAGCTGATCGGTACCGGCACTGTAGTTGCACCGGACCCCAAGCGTGTCATTGCCAAGCGTGCCATCCTCACGGGTCACCCATACAAAATCCACAAGAAGGTCGTCACCATCCGGTATATGTTCTTCAACCAAGAGGATGTCGCCTGGTTCAAGGCTCTGCAGCTTTGGACTCGCCGTGGCCGCAGCGGTTACATCAAGGAGAGTCTTGGTACCCACGGTTACTTCAAGGCTACCTTCGACGCAAAGATCAACCCCCAGGATTCGGTTGGCATCAGTTTGTACAAGCGTGTCTTCCCTCGCCCGGCAATTGCTCTGGAGGCTTACGGCGCATAAATCGGTGTTGGTAACCCCGATGTAAGAGATGGATGAACGATACTCGGATACATCAGATGATGAGAGCAGTTCCTGGCCGGAGTGCCTGTCATGACACAACCCCCAAAAGTATATAGAGGTATTTCCTAATGAATTACGAGATTTCTTCTTACATCTTACGTCCCAAGGTGATCGTGAAGTCGGGGTGAGCCCAACCAAGCTCATCTAAACATTCATTTCATCGAAATGCCCACTCTACTGGAGACATCACCAAACCTCCAAGGCTCGTATTTATTTCCAAGCCAAGCAAACAAGAAACTATAATGTGCCAGGTCTAACAAGGTGATCATTACTCTCCATCTCGACCTATCTGTTCCGACCGGACTGCACTAGAGCGCCTCTTTTCAATAGATAGAAAAATTGGCGGTTGGAAGTTATTGTTGCAGATATTATCGCCGGTTGGCAAAGCATGTATTCCTTGGGTTCATACAATGTTTTGATCGATTTTAAACCTAACAACCCCGCCAATAACAGCCCGCCACGTAGTAATAGCTGTACATGCCCCGCAACCCTCGTTAAACAGTCACTGGATTGGTTCTAGCCGCCCAAGCGATAGGTGCAACCTTCTAGTCAAATCCACGTTCCCGGTTGATTCCCCCAGGGCTTGATAGAGGTACGCAGCATCTGATTCCGTCTGCCATTCATCTGCCATACAGGATGGATCGAAATCAGCTTCACTAATGTTTTCCCAGTATGCTTGGATGGACCTCCTAGTAAATTGGTCCTTTATATAAACGCTATAGTTCCTGGGAACGAGAGGATGTTCTCCTGGTTAGGGCATTGGAGAGAAGGTCTTATCTTTACTGTGGCGAATGAAGATTGCGGTGGAGAGTAAGAGAGATCGCAAAACATAAGATAATTTTAGTCAAGGATCACGATTCCAAAGGCATAGACACAGTCGCAGTTCCAATCTTTTTGCCCTTGCTACTCAGCACAACCACCTCTTGGCCATCCTCCAGGGCCTCGGGATTAACTAGGACAATTTGTGCCTGACTCGTTGTATCTAATTAGATCTGATTAGCATCTCCCGTCGGTTCTACACGGCTCGATAATGAGGCGGTAGGGATGTGGGATTTTAGGTCCTACCAATAGCAGTGCCACCTTCATTACGGCTAGAAAAGCGTACAGAAGCTTTAAAGCTCTTGCCGTCCATCGGGTTAGGAGTAGCCGGTGGCGGAGTGGTCAGTACACTACCCCGCTTGACATCTGTAGTGTCAACCCCCCTAAGCGCCAGCGTGACTCGACTATAAACCGTGTCATGATCCTTTACCTCTTCGTTATTTAAGACTCTTGTACACATCGTGCGACGTCTGGTGCCCCATCGAAGGATGTCGAGCACGTCCCCTGCCTTCACCGAACCGCGTTCCACTTTCCCAATAACACATGTTCCAACACCGCGCACAGGAGTAGAATGCTCGACTGTAAGGAAGAAGTCGGCTGCTCGAATAGATCCGATCAGTAAGGATTATTAGCTGCTGGGGGTGTATATTTCAAAAGTTACCTTGAGTAGAAGCAGCTGGAGTACCGGCCATCATTTGAATACAAGCGAAAAAATTCAGGTTGCAAATTTGAGCAGTATGACCTGGTGCATAAGTTGTGGAGAAGGTTAATCTAAAGAGGAGGGAGGCTTTAAAGCAGAAGGGACATGGAGGGGGACTTATTTTATATGTACCCTTAAAACTTTAAAGACTTAGGTTTGACGACTCTTGATTGGTAAATAGTTGCGGTATTACGGTATAGGTAGGTAGAGCGACCACTAACGCAGTTCTTTATACCCCATCAAACTTCGAATTCCTTTTTCAGTCTGGCCTTTTCCCTGATTATAGCCTTTAAGGTGATTGTATCACTATCAAAGGTTTGGTAAGTCTAATTTAACTCGCTAACCACTTCGATACTGGAGATGCTTGCACCTTGCGAGTTATCGTCATCTGCTAGTCGCCGGAAGAAGCTCACCGTATGTTTGTTGCCTCCAAAAGCCGAAGTCATACGGCTTTCTTCGAATTTATGAGCTAGCCTTATGGCCCTCGAAAATTAGCTCGTGCAATGAATATGTGCATAAAATAGCAGCCTGATCGAGAGTGCGGACGACGCAGTAGTGTCGAGAATTGGGTAGAAATGCCCTAACCTTCCTATCTACCACTTCCAAGCCAGCGATCCACCTGAAGATAGAATGACGATATTTGGAGAATACCCCTCTGCTAAGGGTTCAACAGTGGCCTTTTCAAGCTTGTTCGTTGTTGAAACATAGATATCTGAGTCACCGAAAGTGAGGGTGTCTTAGCGTTGATAGCTGTTCATGCGACATTATCTTCTGGCGGCCATGCCACTAATTTGTCTTGGGTGGTTATGTGTTTCAGCGAACTTTCTCTATGTCTAGAGCGTTTCTAATCCACGGATGATCTTCAATTTGAAACCCGGTGTATAGGAATCGCTAATTTAGAACTTCTGAAGGTTTTATAGTTGTCCGACCGAACAATTGAAGTTGAATACACTCATGAAAACCAACTGGAATGCACTTACTAGCGCCGTTTTTCTTCCATAGTAAGCAACAAGCTCTAGCTGGTACACAATGCATCCCACCGCTCTCATGGGGTAGCTTGGCCAATATCTCGCATAATCTTCAAAGTACTTCATTTCAATATTCCTTGCACAGCACGGGGAATCAAGGGCTAAAATAAATTCAATCTCGTCTACGAAAAGTCCTCCTCCGCCTCCTCAATGCTGTTCTTAATCCGCAGCAAGATAGTAGTCTTCCACTTGTCCAGCTTGCTGAGCTGATCGAACTGGAACAGCTTATCGGCGAACTGCTCCTGGTCACTAGCTTCCACGGCCTGGAGCAGGTCAACGAGCAACTGGTGCTCACGGGTTGAGGTAAAGGTAGGATCGATTTCACGGTATGATTCAAGCGCACGGTTGGATTCGACCAGATCCTAAATAGAGTGTGAGCAGCTTGTCGTAGTTGAGGGTTTGGATGAGTTACCTTGGTGGCAAGGTGACATATACCGGCCTTCAAGAAGTAATCTTTCACGGACCACTTCATCAGCTGGTTGTTGATGGACTGGCGGGCGATGCGCTCGTAGTTGTTGATGGCCTTGTAGTAGTCCTCGTTCATCGCGGACAGGTCCGCCACCTTCAGGAAGTGCTTGTTCGCCAGGCTAAAACAGAATCAGACGTTAGCTTCTTCCTTGAAGTAGAGATGCAAAGAATCCATACGCTTCGGCATTATCGCCCTCAAACCACTCCGCAGCCTTCTCATACGCCTCCAGCGCCTTCTTCATATCTCCCAGCTCCACCTCATAAACTTCGGCCAGATACTGCTGCTGAGTCGCCGCGCGGCGCAAGTTTCCACGCAAGACATAGTGTTGAATGGCACTGGAGAGAACACGGGCCGCATCCTCAGGGTCAGACTTGCGGTAGACCTTGAACGCTTCTTGGAGGGTGTTTGCCGCATCGTCGGGCTCGTTGAGGTTCTGCGTCTGGATCTTTGCTGCCTTCTCAAACGTTTGGCCAGCTTCCTTATCTGCTCACAGGTGAACACCGTTCGTCAGCGATCGGAACTGTGAAGCAGGCACACGTGGCGACGCGGGGTGGCTCACTCATTTTCTGTACTCGAAAGGCATTTGCAGCCTGGGTGTAGAGATCGGCGGCGCTTTCATACTTTTCTGTGCGTCCTCCAAACCAGCTAAAGCCGCCGGAGGCGCCCGACAGAGCTTTATCGGCCTGGTTGCTCGCGGGGTGCGAGGCGCTTGTTAGCTATCCCGCCTTTCGTCATTGCCTAGAGGCAAGGTGGGGAAGGGACAGGTCGAGCTCACTTTTTGGAGGAGAACACGGGGATCTTGAGCCATGGCGAGTAGAGATGTGATCACTGTAGAGAATAACCCACAGTTGGTAGAAGGCGACGGGCACGGGGTATGATGGAGAGCATCGATCGGTGGGTCCGAGGCGGTCTGTGAGGGTCAACTCTACTTTACTGCCTGCGCCGACCTTCAACCCGGAGCTCATCCGTAAGCATTCACAGCCTCATTTAAAGCAGGCATTGCTTTACAACATGACGATGGCCTCTTTACAAGCCGGCCAGCGACTATTACGGTCGTTCGCCCGCAATCCCAGTTTCATTCGCCTCTACTCCTCCAAACCTCCAACATCCGACATCGAGTCAATCCTCGCCGAGCCAAGCTGGTCAGTCCGGTCTCTCCTCCCGGACCAATCCTCAGAATCTTCCAAGCCACCAATCACTCCGAAACAACTTCACCATCTCCTTCGCCTCTCAGCTCTCCCGCAACCAGCCAGCGCAGCAGAAGAGCAGTCCATGCTGAAGACCCTCAAATCGCAAATCCATTTCGTGAAAGAGATGCAGAGCGTCGACACAGCAGGAGTCGAGCCCTTGCGCAGCATCCGCGATGAGAGTCCTGCCGCGGTCAAGGAGACGACCATTGGGCTTGATCGACTCAAGGATGCCATCTCTAAAGAACGCGTGACGGGGAGGAGGCGGAGAGTCCAGCGTGTTCAGAATGAACGGAATACTCGTCCAGATGGGTCGGCTTGGGATGGGAATGCCCTCGGGTCAGCATCTAAGACCAAGGGGCCGTATTTCATCGTCGAGACGGGCAGTGGCGGGGTTTCTTAGCTGTCTCGATCCTGCATTTTTGTGTTTCGCTCGCATCGTCTTCGGGCGGACTGTGATACTATACATGTACAATATACTGCAATATACCCCTGAGCAGCTACTTGCCTGCCTTATTCTTTGATCAGCTCGGATCATACATCGTCTTTTTTTGTAAACATCATGTACTTTCCCCCGCAACATTGCAATTCGAATCGATTCTCAGTTCCTGCGAAGGATGGTAGCGCATCTCTACTGCCATGATTGCTTGTGGAAGCAAAACCATGTTTTACAAGGGAGTGGCTGTAACCGCAATTGGTCTCTGCAATGAAGTTGGAAACCAAATTATATGCCGCTAACGACCACACTCGCGCTGAAATACACCAGTGAGTATTTTCTCAAATAGAACCAGGTTGCTGTACGGCGAAACCGACAGTTCGATAAAATGACTCGGTTTTTGAGATACAAGTGCATCACAATTAGGACTGAGAGATGAATGTCGGTTTTGCTTACCGTTCTAAGTTTACACTTCATACAAGGTCAACATGTTCGTCGAGCCTTCATTTCACCTACATACTTTGTTTTGAATCTATGATATACTAGCCTGACGAAGTTCCATATGCATGAAATCAGTATTATTGGCATATCGCGGAGGAAATTCGTTTCGCAAACTGTCACATGAACGACCTCGACGGCCACTCGGGTCAAGTGAAGAGGCAACCAGCTTAATACATTGGGTCCTAATTCCGGATACTCTTATGAACGAGGAACTACTTGCGGAATGAAGACATTCTGTTTCTCTGGAAAGCACCCCGACACTTGCAACTGGTTCTACGAGGGTTGCAGTGACGAAAACACTTATGCCTAAGGCCACCGAGAGGCTCCGGCCTCCGAGCCAAGAACATCCATCCCCTCTCTGCTCCTGTCAACTTCCAATTTCCATCTTCCTAACACTCTGAAAATTTTCTAACAATCCTTACTGCTTTTGTTTCCAAATGTTCAAGAACCTCAAAGAAAAACATGGCAATCTCTTCGAATCCAAGAAGTCCAATGAACCCGCGGAGAGTGAGCGCGGCCAAGATCTGACGTCAATCTTGGACCGTTCCCAGCGGGCCGATCTCACGGTCCTTGTAGCGGAGATCGCGCAATCGATGCGCATTAGAATTCTCGAGATATTTGAGAATACCAAGGAACCGTCCGGAAATGATTCATCTCGGAATCGAAGACCGTCTGGCCAGGACGATGATGGAGCGGCCCCCACGCTGCCTCCCAGGCCAGATGGGGCTAAATCACCGCCGGTTAACAGGAATCAACAAGCGGCGGCAAGAACTGCTAGAGCGAAAGCTCGTGCTAAAGAGAGGACTCTCTCTCACTTTGAAGATTGGAGAGACGCTGTCTTGTTGAGAATTGGCGAGGTTGTCAATAACAGTGACGAGAATGAAGAGGAACAAAGCAAAGAGCCTTCAGATGCCGCCAAATCGAACGATGTTCCCATTGTCGAGGACGAAGAAAGACTGGCGAAGCTTTGCGAAATCTATCATCCCGTGGAATCGCCACTTGCGCGGGTTCCCAAAGCGACAAGACTGCTCATTCTACATTCGCTTCTTCTATTACTGCTCAGCTTGGAGAAGTATAGTGCCTATTCTCGGGTGTTGATGCTTCATGTCGCATCTAGCTTGGGTATAGATATCAACGTGCTGAATGGAGATGAAGTCAAGGTTGCACGTGGGCTTCTCGATACTGCTTTGGCGCTGTCATCACAGCCAGAGGCAAAGCAACAAGTGAAGAAGAGTGATGATTCCCGGAAATGGAAAGTCGGCATTGCCTCAGTTGCCGGTGCCGTGCTGATTGGTGTCACTGGTGGTCTTGCAGCGCCATTGGTCGCAGCTGGCATTGGAACCGTCATGGGTGGATTAGGCCTTGGCGCCACTGCAGCAGCTGGGTTGCTGGGAACCTTAGCGGGAAGCGGCGTCGTTGTTGGAGGGCTTTTTGGTGCCTACGGAGGACGCATGACGGGCAGGATGATGGACAAGTATGCCAAGGAGGTAGACGACTTTGCGTTCATTCCGGTCCGCGGATCGCGGAGCCGGCGGACTGAGAGTGAAAGTGAAGCTGCCAAGCAAGACCATCGACTGCGTGTCACGATTGGTGTTACTGGCTGGGTGAAAGAAGAATCCCACTTCGTTGTCCCCTGGCGAGTCATTGGTGCCGATTCTGAAGTCTTCGCGCTCCGTTGGGAGATGGAGCCGTTAATGAAGCTGGGCAATGCGATTTCCGCATTGGTTACGAGTGCAGCATGGTCTGTCGCCGGGCGAGAAGTCTTGAGCCGCACGATCTTCGCCACAATCATGAGTGCCGTGATGCTTCCGCTGGGTCTGATGAAGGTCGCTGGCATCGTGGATAATCCATTCAGCGTTGCAAAGTCCCGAGCCGATAAAGCAGGTGAAGTCCTGGCAGATGCACTGATCAACAAAGCTCAAGGTGAACGACCGGTGACTCTCATCGGGTATTCCCTGGGCTCCCGCTTGATCTTCTCGTGTCTGCAAAGCTTGTGCAAGAGGAGTGCTTATGGCCTCGTCGAATCAGTTATTCTGATGGGATCACCAACTCCGTCAGATACCGAGTCCTGGCGCCGTATTCGCAGTGTTGTCAGCGGTCGCGTTGTCAATGTCTACTCGGAGAATGACTCCGTGCTTGGATTCCTCTACCGGACTAGCAGTCTCCAACTCGGCGTTGCTGGACTGCAGCCTATTGAAAATGCCCCCGGAGTCGAGAACCTCAACGTGAGCGACATTATCAGTGGACACCTTCGATACCAATTCTTGCTAGGAAGAATCATTAAATCGGTCGGGCTGCAAGATGTTGATGTGAACGAGATCGAACGTGAGGAGCGTGCTCTGGCAGTTGAAGATGAGAAGCTGGAGACAGAGAGGCTCAGGAACGAAAACGAGGCGGGTATAAAGGATCGTGACTCCTCGACTGTCCGCGAGGCTTTGAACAGCCAAGACGGCTTCGGTGAGGAACAGCGGATGGAAAAGCAAATTGAGTCCCAGACTGAAGAGAATATGACCCACCACCGAATTCAGATGATGGATTTGGATGATGAGGATTATTCTTCGCCGTTGGTGGATCATCCGGGAAAGCATGCCGCTCTTTAGATAGACATATTACATCTAGCTGTGGGCGTTAAGTATAGATACAATCATCGAACATGGATTGAAACATCTCGCTAAGCTATTCTAAATGTAAGCATTTCAAATCGCTCTATACTCCAGTCTAAAAAATCCTTCCCTAAAATGTCACATCACACACAGCACAAACAATCAGCCGCGAAATAGGGAATTGTTCCACAACCCCCTTACTGCATCCTTCTCAGTGTCCAAGAAGTCTGCAATTTCTCATACCAATTCTGCCGAAAAATCGGATAATATCATTGTATTTGAATGGCAGCAAGCGGGGTGATGTGGCTGTCAGGGACTCGCACGGGCGCAAATAGCTAGCTACCAGCGCCCCAGCTCCCTGCATCCATGCATCCATGCCCGAACATCCTTCCTTCAGGTAACTCAAAGCCGTCCTCGCCAAAGCGGTGAACACAAATCAGCCTAAGCTTCAAGCTCTAAGAAAAAGCAAAAACCAACCTGGAAATTTAAGAAACAAAAACGTACCTCCCCACTACAATGACCTCACCATCACCTCCAACCATGAAAGCCTGGCTCTACAACACCACCACCTCCGGCCTGGAGAAGAACCTGTACTTCGACGCATCTGCGCGCGCCCCGCCCGCCCCACGTCATGACGAGGTGCTCGTCCAGGTCATCTCAAGCGCCCTTAACCCAGCCGACTTCAAAGTCCCTGAAATGGGCCCGCACGCCCGGCACCTCGTCATCGGCATGCCGGCCTCTCCCGGCATGGACTTCTGCGGGCGAGTGGTAACCGCCGGCCCGGACGCGGATTTCGAACCCGGCCAGCTTGTCTACGGGTGTCACAGCATGCCGATGAAGTTCGGTGCTTTGGCTGAGTACCTCTCTATATCCGGCAGTCTAATTGCTGCCGTGCCGGAGGGCGTGAGCGTTGATGATGCGGCGAGCTTAGGGATTGCGGGCCAGTCGGCGTATCAAGCGCTACTAGGGTATGTTAAAAAGGGGGATAAGGTGTTTATCAACGGGGGGTCTGGGGGGTGTGGACTTTTTGCGATTCAAATTGCAAAGAATATAGGGTGTTTCGTTGCGGTTACTTGCTCGACGAGGAATGTTGAGCTTTGTCAGGGGCTCGGGGCGGATGAGGTTATTGATTATACTGCTGTTGATGTTGTGGGGACGTTGAGGGAAAAAGGGGTTATGTATGATCATATCCTTGATCATATTGGGTTGCCTTCGGAGCTGTACTTTCAGTGTCATCATTTCTTGAGGCCTGGTGGTGTGTTTGTGCAGGTTGGCGCGTCGGCGATGACTACGTTTGTTGGGAGGACGGCATGGCCTGCTTTCCTGGGCGGTGGAAGGAGGAAGTATGTCATTTTCTTCTTCAAGAATACCCAGGAGCATATTGTCAAGCTTGGGAAGCTGGTTCAGAAGGGGGCGCTCAAGGTGCAGTTTGATAGCAAGTATGAGTTTGAGGATGCGGTCAAGGCATTTGACAAGCTTCGCTCGGGGCGTGCAAGGGGAAAAGTTCTTGTTCATGTGGCTAAGCCTTGAGATTGATTTCGACCTGTGGGCCAAGGAGCATAGTTCTTCTTTTCAATTGGTACACTCAGGCGCAATGGGATATGATGAAATCAATGGCCATCAAAACTATCATTTCCGCTTCAAGAATGTCAAAGCGCCGAGGGCCAAAGCATCCACGCCTGTCCGTAGCGTCGGCTGGATTGCAGGAGCAAAATAGGGCGAGTGGTTACTAGGCAATTCATTCACCATGTCATTGACAGCAGCATCATCCCAAGTCTCAGCATCGATATCGCCAAATATCCACATAACATACGATGTCTGGTCGAGCCTAGCACGACACCCCATGGAATGACTGGGCTTGTTGTTCGCCGGTATCATTCTGTCCGACCCAGTACCAGGTCGAGGCGCCTACCACATTGGCATTTTCGTTCTGTATTATTGCGCCCCCGTGTGCCTGTATGGTCACGCCCGCGTTGTCCGTCAAGTTTGCGTTTGGGTAGAATACAGCGTCGGCCGCACCCGAGAGGCGTAGAGCCGTAGATCAGCATTACTATGATGCCACCCCTAGAGAAAAACATGATAGGCGATAGGAAAGCAAGTCCACATCAAAGAATCTTAGGATAGCTCCGATTAGATACGGTTGGCACCGAGTCCGGCCCTACGGTTTATGCCCCGTATTTATCTCCCTTACTCAACTCCGTGGTACATGTCCCGGAGCACGGGGATCACTATTTCTCTACCTGCCCTTCTACTACGATCTGCAGGGGCGGAGAAGGGGGATAGGGAAAGAACGCCCCAGCCGAGGCGGGTTAAGAAAGGTGTTGGGACGGCGGCAAGGACGTCAGGGCGTACCGGGGGTAGTCCCGGGGGTATTCGCGGGAGACGCGTCTTAGCGAACCACGGTGAGGGCATTCCGGGGGTACCGGGGGTAACGGGGGAGTCGGGGAGTCCTTAGTATTCGGGGCTATTCGGGGGTTTAGGATCCGATACTCGCTCCGGATACCCAGGTTCAGTTTAGTGTTGATTCGAAGGAACACCTACACAGGCTCCGGTTTATATTACGGCTGGCTTCCATGGGAAGACGCGGAGGGGCCCACTAATTTAAGAAACTAGATTCCAAAGAACTATTAGATAGACCATAAGCAGTTTACTGCGGGGTAGAGCGAGTATAAAGAGAAGCATCTCGGGGTTATGAGGACCACCTCGACTAACAATATCCTGTCTAGTATATAAATGAATACTACGTACTAATTTACTTATCATCTTTACGCTGCTATCTCGACGCGACTCCCAGGTACACGTAAATATGCTTGACCCTACGACTATCCGACCAAACATCCTCTTCATCGTCGCGGATGATTTAGGGGCTTGGGCTGTCCGATGCGCCGGCAATCACGAGATACATACGCCGAATATTGACAAATTGGCTGCAGAAGGAGTACGGTGTGACAACTTCTTCTGCGCATCGCCCGTGTGTTCGCCCGCTCGAGCATCGATTCTAACGGGGCGAATCCCGTCCCAGCATGGCGTGCACGACTATATTCGCTCAGGAAACGTGAATAAGTGTGACTTGGATTCTCAAATCCAGTATCGCTTCCCCGAGGGAAAAAACGGCCATCGAATACCTGGCGGGGCAACCGAGCTATACGGAAATACTCGCCGATGGGGGCTATTCGTGCGCCCTGAGTGGCAAGTGGCACCTCGGAAACAGCAGAGTACCACAAAAGGGCTTTAATCGGTGGTTCAGCATTGCCAGAGGCGGCTGTTCGTACAAGCGGCCAGATGTCGTGGTGAACGGCGACGTGCGTTTCGAGGACGGCTATATAACGAATTTCATTACGGAAAATGGCATTTCCTTCATGCAAGAAATGAGTCAGGAAAAGAAACCTTTCTACCTGAGCGTGCACTACACGGCCCCTCATTCGCCATGGGAACGATCAGAACACCTGGAACAATACCTTTCGCTCTACGACAATTGCGCTTTCACGTCGGTCCCGGAGCTGCCCATTCACCCATGCCAGGTTGACAGTTGCCCTCACGGCGAAAAGGAGGAGCGCAAGGAGCTTCTACGGGGATACTACGCCGCTATCACCGCAATGGATAATGGCATCGGCCAGTTGATGCAGGAGCTCGACCGCCTCGGTATCCGAGAAGATACCCTGGTTGCCTTTATAAGCGATAACGGAATGAATATGGGTCACCACGGGATTTGGGGAAAAGGCAACGCTACGAGTCCTCTTAACGTGTTCGACACCTCGATAAAGATCCCAGCCATTTTCCGTCAGCCCGGCGTCATCCCGCCGGGAGGGACCATCTCCGACCTCCTGAGCCAATATGACATATTCCCGACTATACTGGAATATACCGGTCTTGAGCCGGCAGTTCAACAGGACCTTCCGGGAACCAGTTTCGTACCCCTACTTAAACGTAAGGGGCAACTAGGGCGAAAGGAGGTTGTCATCTACGACGAGTATGGCCCTGTCCGGATGATCCGCACCAGCGACTGGAAATACGTACATCGCTATCCCCACGGCCCCCACGAGCTATTCGACTTGGTCAACGACCCCGGTGAGACCGATAACCGATTCGACGACAAGGGTCTTGTGCAGATCAGAGACGGCCTTCGCAAGCGCCTCGGCGTCTGGTACGCTAGATACGTGAGACCAGAGTTTGATGGAATCTATGCCGCAGTAACAGGGTTCGGCCAAAAGGGCCTTGCCATCCCAGGCATGAGAGAAGGAAACAGCTTCGACGATAAACCACCGGCCCCAATCCCGGGGGCCCCCAAGTTTTTTTGAACAGAGGTATTCGTTATTCACTATCAGACAGGTGGATCGTTATTCATGCTGAACTGGAAATAAAGAGATTGTATGTAAATAATTGTTCAGCTGAATAGGCAGCATGGTGGTAAACGAATAGTAAGATGAAGTCTAGGCTAATTGGAATATTACTACAGTTTCAGCCGTTGCCTCTCGACAGTGAGTAGGTCTAACCAACTTATAAATGCCTTAAGACCCCGTATATTACACCCTTGGTAGATAAAGCACTTCAAGTAGATCGATAGACGCGGCAGAAGATGACTGACTGACTATGATTGACCAAGATGACCCAAGTTTGATCCAAGCTAGCAACTTGGCGTAACTGTATCCTGCATCACCCTATGCAGAATAATTCTCATCCAACGTATATCAGCAGCTTCAGCTTCACAGTCTTCCAGAATTTGTAATGCTAAGTGCACCCATTTTACCCAGTCACGTGGCGGATAAATATTCCTACTGCGAGCGGCGGCCAGAAGTAATAACGAGCTCCGAAAAACCGACCTTAACTTGAACCAGGTACCACCGTGACGCCAATTATTCTCCAGGTTTGCTGTCCTGATTATTTCAACGCAGGTGCAAAGGCACTTTTGGGCAAGAGAATATCCGGCACTAGATGCAGACGTGTCCTGCGGTCGATGGATGGTATAATATAGTAGGGGGCAGTAGATTGCTGCTTGGATGCAGAGGCTTCGGCGGTGGAGGATGTAAGCCAGCTCACTCCGGGAACCCCCCGTATCCCAGTTTACCTCACTCGGGAGACATGAAGACCTTGAATATTGATGATTAGCAAGCTGGGTAGGACAGACCAATTGGCTATACTTACCACTTGTGTATCTCGGACTCGAACTCTAAGGCGACATTGGTAACCAACTCAATGTTTCGTATCCACCAGCTCCCGACGTTACTATAGAGAACTCTCAGCATGCGTGTATATGAACGCAAGACGGATATTTCTGATAGATAGTAGAGCCAACTTTGTGTCTCCTCGGTTTCGGGATCAGGTCCTTTCATATTTGCGATACGGATAGGCAAAGCTGCCGACAGAGGTGGAGAGGGAAACATGCTTGGGGGGTTGCACATTGTAATCCCACACTCCGGAAGAGGAATCTCGGCGCGAAGCTCACTGGTAGAATAATGGCTTATCAGTAACGTGGCTGGACATCTCGAACCGTTCGTAAAAATCATACCTTTCTGTCCTCACATAAGAAAAGTAAAGCCTCTCTATGAGCTTGCGGTCTCCGTTAACCTCGGCGTTGTCGTCACGCGAAGCCATTTGCGCTTGCCGCCAAAGAACAATCTGTAGATTGACGCCTGCTTGCTGGTAGTGGCTCCAGGCTGCTAAAGCTCGCATGCGGTTCATCTCATATATGCCGGCCATGTACTGTCCTTGGGCACATGTAAGGCCTAGCTCTAGAACGCTGAGCCGCTTCTTTGCTGCTTTAAAGAATGTATCCCCCAAAGCACTTTCTGGCGATACAGACGATTTGGGCGAGCTCCCTTCTAGCAGGGCCTCAGTAGGGTAGAATAGAGTCGTTATAGAAGCAATAGCACAAGCCAGCAGCTGTTTAAAAGATCGTTAGCTATTCCCAAAGCACTGTACGCTTCAGGACGCCGCTTACCACTAGACACGAACGCCCATTCCAACTGCATCCGAATTCTTCAACCTCAGCAGCATATTGCCTCAGTTTTGAGCCATCGAGTATGGGATTCTTGGAATGAGTAAAGGCAAGATACTTGTCAACTAGCTCCACCACACGGCTCTCGTCGATGATCGCATGAGATTGTGAAACCTTGCTGCCTTCAAGAACCGTTTGCAGGCGCGAGGTGTCGTGACTGGGCGTCTCGCCTGATGCCATTCGAGAGACAGTATCTCTGGGTTCAGGTTCCCACAAAAACGACGAGTTACTCTTCGTTAAATATCCTAGAAGTACTGGCCAGCGAAGTATGGATTCGCTTGCAAGGGACCCTGCGGGCGACCGAAAACTATCCACGTCTTCGGTAAAGATGTTGCTTGATGGCGAACCCAACGTGACGGAAGCAGTGGATTCATGTCGGGCTTGATCCGTACATCTCTCACCAATTGGTAGAGGCGTAGTCCGGACAATATTGCCATTTTCGCTAGAGATTGGCGAAGCAAAACAGCTGCCAAGAAGGCCTGTTTTATTCTCGATCAAATCCACGGCGTAATTGATCCGTTCTAACAGCTCGCTCGTACTAGGATGCTGGACCCTGCGGGAATATTAGAGGGTGTCTTATCGCAATAATTCTTGGGGCGCATACAGTTCGATATTGGAAGCGGCGTCCGAATATGAGCAAACAATCTCGGCTTGGCAGCATGGACCACAAGAGGGTCGCGCATTATCGCATCTCGTCTTTCGTGATCGACAATAGTCGCAGGCGATTGCTGCTCGCTTCCGAGGGTGGCCCTGGCCCCCTGTAAGTCGACGCTTCCTCCGGATACGATCTATGCCTGACTCGACGTTTCCTTTGCTGCACCAAGGATCATTCATGATTTTAATATATTCACAGTTAACTATCAAGATGGCGGCTCGTATATATTAGGCGGAAATTTCGGGTTAGGATACCGAGGATTGATAGATGATGGGAGGTAAGGAAGAATGGAGCAAAGAGAGGGGAGGCACAGTGAAAGAGAGGAGACAAGCCACCTCCGCATTCCCTGCAGAGACCCTGATTGGTTCATATTTTAGTAACCTCTAGATTCAAGACCTATTTAGTCCTACCATACGTGGCTAAGCGGGATCCACTTCAAGGCACTTTCGTACCTACGGTATAGATGGAGTAGCCTGTCGTTGTCCCAAGAACGGTCGCTGTCGACTCTATTGATCTAGAGTACTGTCTATCACGATGGCCCTAATACGTAAGGGCCCCAGCCTATTCTAGTTTTGCCAGCCAGTCTGATCTAGCTACGCCGGGAGTCTTCTTCACACCCGAACTTATGCCATAAAAATATCATATAGCCGTCCCTCGTACGCAGCCAACTCATCGATAGCCTCAGAATCATGAGCGAGACTACCAGCTTCCGCACTGTCTTGTCCTGGCTTAATAGGCCCGGCTCCGAGGCCGCCGGCATGGCCCGCTGCTGTTTCATGGCGGTGAAGTTAACCATCAACATGATGCCGCCTCGGCGATCGTCCTTCACGAAGACGAAGAGCTCCACGTCCTTGGCTCTTAGTAAGGATAATTCTTCACGGGCGAGGATGCTGCTCTTCTCCTTTCGGATGCGCAGCAACTTCGGCCAGGACTCAAGTACGCTGCAATCACCACCGAGCTGCCAGGCCCCGTTGATCTCGCCGGCGTGGGGATGTGTAGCCATCCACGAGTCGGCGGGCGGCTGACCACTCCCGACCGTATAGGAGAAGCCTCCGCCGGGCGCCGCGCCGTCCCAAAGCCATAGGTATGCGCGAGTGATCACGGGCAAGTAATGCTCGGTATGGGGGTGACATACCCAGGCACTCGCGCCGCCGAAGGAGTTACGCCAGTTATTAAGAAGGTGTCTCTTCCCGTCGGCATCGTACTATGCCGGCGGCTGTATGTACCAGTCCCAGTTAGGGTTGCTTTTGCTAGACCTCGATTTCTGGACCACTTGTGCTTGTCAAAGGTATGGGTAATGACCAGGTCGAGGAAGAATTTCATGCTGCGCGGAGATCAGGCGCTCGGCACCTGCCACGGTACCGTAAGGGGGGTAAATAGACTCGTAGTCGGAGATGTCGTAGCCCATATCGATCTGGGGGCTGTAATAGCGAGGGTAGATCCAAAAGATATCGAACCCTAGAGAAGCGATATAGTCGAGCTTCGATCTAATACCGGGAATGCTGGAAGTGAGCGTCATTTTGGCCTCTTTGGCGGAACGGGTGGAAAGGGCTTTACACGTCTTTCTTGACTAGACAGGTAGCGATCGAAGCCGGTATAGATTGACAATATAGAGTTGACGGCGCAGGGTAAGTACCAGAAATGAGAAACGAGACTCAAGAGAGCAGGCTGAAACGGAAGGTAGAAAGTGCCGAATCCAGTTTTAGATAGCTTTTAGGGTATGCACCGAGATATTTTCAAATAGTGGCTACTATGACAGCATCGTGAAGTGTAAGCAAGAGTATGTCGATAGTTCGTTGTAATCGTCGGCCTCTTTGTAGTTTCTCCTATACGCGTATTTCTCCCGAGTGTATGGAATGGTCAGACTGGAGCGGACTTCGTGCCATCTCCAGACGTATGGGAGCGTATTTTTCCTTCGCCTAATGAAAATAAAAGCCTATCGGGCCGCCGAAGTACCAGAAAGGCGTTTAGTCATGACCCCGTCGTCTCGGGGTCATCCCAGAGAAGTCCTAGCCATATTGCAGTTCCCCGTGTACCCCCGCCTAGCCCCACTGTGGAGATTACCACTTCCCCTTGGTTACTATTCAGCAGCGACATGGTCAGAATCCGCCACGCAAAACGGCTAGGTGGCCCGTGCATTCCGCGAACCCCGTATCTTCATCCCCAAATACCCTCGATGCCCCCGATACCCCCGATACCCCCTATACCCCCGATACCTACGGATAGCGCGGGGAGGCTTGCGAAGGACGAATATAGCGTTCTAAAACATTGTCAAGATTAGCCGAGCGCTAGCGTAGCCGCGGATACCTTTATTGGAATCGCGGTTCATTAGATGTCGTACCCCGTAGTTAGCTCTTCTCTGTCCTGTTTTCGCCAACGAGCAACTCTTTCCATTACACGCCATGGGATCGGGCTAGGTAGTATGTATATATATATGCGATCACGACCCGACTTTTTCGTTCCCCTAGGCTGTTTCCTACCCTGCTTCGCATTGACACTGTGACATACTGAGGAAATCAAAAGAGATGTCGACAAATATCATTAAGCTAAAGGAGGAGTTGCACAGCGGGGACCATGTCGATGTTCACCATTCTGAGGTCTTGCCTAAACAGGATCTCTTAATGACTGATGCCATCGATGGCGAGAACCGGGAGCATGAGATGGGCTTATGGGAGACGGTTAAGAGCCACCCCTGGGCTTGCTTGTGGGCATTTACCATTGCTTTACTATTGTGAGTCTCTTTTCCTGTACTTATGTTTCCCCTTAGATCCCAGATCTCGAATCGCGGAAATTTTCCACTCTGTTTGCAGGATAACAGCTAATGCTAGTCAGGTCATGGAATCGTTCGACTTGTTTCTCAACGGTAACTTCGTCGCTCTTCCCGCTTTTCGAAGAACGTACGGTGTCAAAGTGGATGGCAGTTATACCATCCCAACCCGATGGCAGAGCGCCCTCTCCCAATCCGGTAAATGTGGTGCTTTTATTGGTGTCTTCTTGGCTGGACCGATCACCGACCGTCTCGGCTACCGCTGGACTACCATCTTGGCCCTGATTCTTATAAACGCCGCGATTTTCGTTTCTTTCTTTGTGAGTAGCCCGCCCGATCCGATGTTTGACTTGAGCTTATCGCCTGACCAAATCCATTTAGGCCGACTCGCTCGCCGTCCTTGTGGTCGGACAAGCGCTAGAAGGTGTTCCTTGGGGAATCTTCATTGCCAACGCCCCTGCCTACGCCAGCGAGATTGTTCCTCTCGCCCTCCGAGGTGCCTGTACGGCTACTCTGCAAATGAGCTGGTCTATCGGTTCGATTTTGGCCGCGGCCGCTACTTTAGGATATAATAAGCAAGCCGATCAGTGGGCTTGGCGAGTGCCTCTCGCCTTACAATGGATCTTCCCTGTAGGTCCCTCTCCTTCTAGATCCTATACCTACTAGAGCTGACTTGTTTAGACGCCCCTTGTGATCCTTATTTTTCTTGCCCCCGAATCTCCATGGTGGCTTATCCGTCGCGGACGCAAAAGGGAGGCCCTTCACTCTATCGAGCGCCTCGGTAGTGAATCCGCAGAGCATGCTCAACAATCGCTTGCCATGATGGAGCGGACGATTGAGAACAGCGCTGAGATAGACGGTATCCCGGCTATCTTCGACCTATTTAAGGGTACCGATCTAAGGCGAACAATTATCACCTGTTTGATGTACGCGTCACAGAATTTCGCTGGTAATCTGATTGCTAGCCAGGCAACATTTTTCTTCGAGCGTAAGTAGTTCCCCCGCTAATAACCTTTAGACACGGATGACTGACTCCCGGCTTAGAAGCTGGTATCTCGTCCGACCGTTCTTTTCAGCTTAATCTGATTAACTCATGTCTTCAATTCGTTGCTAATGCGCTCTCTTGGTTCCTTACCGCCTGGTTCGGTCGTCGAACCATCTATCTCTGGGGCACAGCCACTAATATCACCCTGCTTTTCATTCTCGGAATCTGCGCCTCTATCCCACAAAACAACTCCACCAACTACACCCAGGCCTGTCTGGGCATCCTCATCTCCTTCGTCTTCGCCGGTACGCTAGGACCGATCTCGTACACGATTATTTCCGAGACGTCCTCGGTTCGTCTTCGGCCCTTGAGTACCGGCGTCGGCCGTGCCGCCTACTATATCGCAGAGATCCCTATGATCTTTCTAGCCTCACAGATGCTTAACCCGACGGGATGGGACCTCGCGGGCAAGTGCGGCTACATCTGGGGAGGTACGGCTTGCGTCTGCTGGATTATGGCCTACTTCTTTCTTCCTGAGCTCAAGCATCGCTCCTACCGTGAAAGTGACATCTTGTTCAACCGCAGGGTTTCTGCCAGAAAGTTTAAGTCGACCGTTATTGACATTCGGGATAACGAGTAGGGTATAGTAATCGAAAAGGAGTAGAAAACTCTTGTGGGCTTCTGCAGAGTGATGACTGCGAAGAGAGTCCAAAAGAAAGTTGGGCTGAAGGAGCAGAAGCTGGAGGAAACATGGACTTTATAGTACCTCAAGGTTGTCCGTCCATCAGAGGGGACTTTTTTGGGGGATCTACAAGCTTTGTAATTAAGGATCCCGATATACCTTCCTATCAAGCTGATGCACGAGGGCAACAATCCAGCTCGCCAAGTTCTCAAGTGCTTGCTCGCACATACAGTACAACGGCAGCGTAACAAGACAGCCGTCCGGCAGACAGGACCAAGTGGTTGCTTATTTCACGATCAAGGGTCATCTCAAGGATCCTGAGCACTACATTGTAAAAAGCCACCATCTTGCCTACAAACCATTGATGCCTAGCTTGCAATTCCATGATCAGCTGGAGAGGACAGAGAACCTTCACCCCGATACGAAATGGTATATTCTGCCTTGCGCTTTGACCCTGACACCCGCCGCTGCTCCTAGGCATCCATCCATCCTTATTCGTAATTGACAATAATTGCTTTTTCCTGTCAGTCATAAGGTCTCCCCTCCGTTTCTCATTCGCCTCTGACGTATCGCAGACCAGTTCTTCCGCAGACGGGCCGGTCCCCACTAGTGGATCCCCAAACTGACGCAGCCATTCACAGACTACAGAACGAGCCTCGAGGAAAAATTTTATCGGGGAATAAAAAAAGATATCTCAGGTTATTTTGTAGGAATAGCCGAACGCGGGGGTCGAACCCGCAACCTTGAGATTAAGAGTCTCACGCTCTACCGATTGAGCTAGCCCGGCAGGGCTTGGTGGAAGACATCACCCAGTATAGGTTCATATCGGCGGCGGGTGTCTTCATACATGGAGTTAATGAACCCTCGGCGGGTACAAAGGGTCGAGGACTAGAGTCTCGGGGCCGGTCGGACTATCCAAGCAAAATAATTGGGGGGTAAAGGGGCCAGATCCTGAAAGAAAGAGGTCGATGTGGCCTTTGGGGCGGGATGGGGGATTGACACGGTCTGGGCGTTGACCCGTGTTGAACACGAGTAGGGTGATTGCAGGTGCCTTCAAGGCAGACAGGCAATTGTAAATAGAACGTCCTCAGGTACCGCGCGTCAGAGGATGCTCGAATCATCTCGAGTCCTCGAAGATATTGTCCCGGCTCGAACACCCCCTGCAGCCCCCGGGGCAGAGGACTGAGCGTCAATGGAATTGAGATGTATTCAGGAACGAGGGTCAGCAAGAACACGAGACGAGAGACATTAGCTGGTGCACCAAACCGGTTCAGAGATAAGCGGCTTTGTGGCTTGTGGCCATGCAGCACCCGGGTAGAAAGAGGGAAGAAGAAAGTGTACACAGGAGCTGAAGGGCGGTGCTTGATTGTGGCTTGTGGCTTGAGGGAGCAGCGGATGGTGAGGGGGTGATGGCGTGGGGTCCAAAGTATCGTCTCATCACGATCGCTGCTCTATTCTTAGAGAGTTCACGAGCCGAAACAGGCTAATAATGGAATTGAGCGCGGTTGCTTGAAACCCCAGAGCAATGGACAGGGTGGTTTGAAGACCGTCTCGGTAGACGCTGGCGTTGGGGACAGCGGCAGCGGAGCAAATGAAAATCGAGCGCGATAGTCTGCACCCGGGACGAGCCTCAGATGTAGTGACATGCAGCAAATGTAATGGCTGTGATTTCACGATGGACGGCCGTTCGTGAGTGACATGAACAGGTTCCCGGGTTGTCAGGGGCACGAGACCCGCACCTCAGCTCAGGACACGAGTTGGCTCAAGCCACACCCTCCACGGTTGACCATGATGGCATGGGGGTCAATGAGTAGGCGGTGGACATAGCGGACAAGGCTTGAGATACAAGGAAATGATCTAGTTCATGCTATGAAGAAAACGAAACTCTCAAGGCCATGGATAACATCATGGTTGACATAGTTCCCGGTGAAAGCAGACCGTCAAACTGGAGGCGGAGGCCAATAAGAGGATCAACCGTGGGCTTCTCGGGCGGTGTTCAACTGAGCCACACTCTTAGCTTCCCGCTAGGTTGGCGCTAGATAGACTTGGGAAGTACTTAGTGCAACGCGGACATGACCGGTGGGGCTCAAGTCACTGCCGTTTACATCGTTTCTGCTTGCACTGAGGGTCCAGGCTGCAGTGCAGTGCGCCTTGCCAATAAGGAAAACTATATATACTTCCCTCCCCCTCCAAGTACCTTCGTCTCATACCATCCACCGTTCACTCCATTCACACATTCCAAGAACACTAGTATCTCATCACCCGTTTACTTCTGCATACCACTCTGGTCTATACGGTAATCACACACCGTCTCTCGCGTGACTCGCCGAAATCAGTCACCGTGTCGCCCTTCCACTCGACCAAATACCATATAAACCCACACTCCGTCACCATAGAAAGTCCACGCCGGTTCCCTTCGCGGCGTCAGCCCAGTTTGACCCCGCCCAACACCATGCCTGGCCAAACTGAGAATGTCGTGCCTCCTCTTGTCGTCCGCGACATGGACGACGCGGAGAAGTTAGTTGTCGAAGAGTTCAAGCGCCACGTCGGCCACTGCACCCAGTGTACTACCGCCCTTGAAGAACAAAAAGGCGGCCTCTGTGAGCGCGGCCACCCTCGTGCCGTTGACGTGACGCAATATCTATACTGCAAAAACGGAAAACACTTCTCAGTCGTGGACAAGGAGAACGGCACACTCATGCGAGTCAAGCTGCCTCGTGATGCCGACTCAGTCCGCAACCTGCTGGACGCCGTCGAAGCAGGCATGACTCTCAAGCCACCTCGTCGCGGCCGCGCCTCTCCCGTCCGCTCCCCTGCTACCAGTACCATTTACGTCCCATCACGTCGGCCAGTGATTGAGCAAAGTCGCCCCCGTTCCTACTCTCCAGAGCCCGAGTCCACCGCAACCGAGATCATTGAACGCGCTCCACGAGTCGAGCGCTCCCCAGGCCAGGGAAAGCGCCACGTTATCGTCTACCAAAGCCCCCGCAGCTCGACGAGCCGCAGCCCATCCAGCCGTGGCTCACTCTACAGCTCCGACCGCGAGCGCTCCGAGCAGCGATTCGAATCCTCCCGAATCCGCCGCCGAGGTGCAGACTATCGATTCTAAATGTGTGGAGACGGCATTTAACTGTGCACTTGATGATATATACGCCTTACGAACCGTCTTTATTGCGACAGGTTTCACTTCCATACGGACGGCATTGATTGCCGACGACCGCAAGCCGGTCTTCGCCAGTGTGTGAAAATCACCTGGTAACCAAACACCCCCAGTGAGCTGGAACAGAGGGGCCGGGCCTGCCTGGATGCGCCCAAAGGACTTCTGTTCGAGTCATCGACCCCCAGCAATCGGATTCCCAGATGGGAAAGGATCTAGCTTGGCGTGGCTCGGGGGCTTTTTCTGCTTGAGCTCTATAGTACTGTTGGCTTCTCTTGATAGAGCCATTAGTGTGTGCCCCTCCATAAGCTGCAGCTTGTGTCTGGCAGCCAATGGGAGGGGTGCAATGTTGCGATTGCTGCATGCATGTTCTTGCTTCTGCGTGATTCTATTGGCCATTGTGTAGTGACTCACTTGTTTTGTGGAGATGCTTGAAGGACGTGCGTCCGATGCGATATGATTTTTTCCTTTGCTTGATTTTAACGATCCGCAATGTGGCCATTATGACCTTGACGCAATGTTTGTTGATCGTTGCCCTAAGATTGAGGGACCCAATACATTTGTTACGAATCATCTTTTTCCATTGTAAATCTAGATGCCTAGGGCCTTTGAACTTGATAAGGCAGATGAATCTGAGCCTCAGACGATCTATCCATGATTTTCAACATACTTTACCCACCCCATTACAATGTGAGATCACCCAAGGTTGAGTCACTGCGGGGTGTGGCTGATCTCCTGCGGGGCAAGGCGCACTCCACTGCCCCGTCGCGGGCACCGAGTGCGGACTAGTGGGGGATCCATATCCGGGTAGAAAATGCACCTTTCTCAGCTTCCCCAAGAATACACTCCAAAATGGCCAACGCAGAAGAGAAAGACGAGATTCACGATCAGATCGCCCAGCAGCTTTCACAAACCCCCTTTGCATGCTCCTCTCTGAGCCGGTTGTCCGGCGGCAATGCCAATTTCGTTTATCGAGGTACCCCCTCTTCATCCCCGGATTCCATTGTCATTAAGCATTCGAAAGACTACGCGTCTTCCAATCGCAATTTCAAGCTTGATGCGAAGCGATGTGTGAGTTGTTCCACGGAAAATCAAGAATTGAGTACTAATTGAAGGTAGCACTTCGAAGATGCTATCCTCCAAGCACTTGACGGCCTGGCGTCCCACTCCCAGGCAAACATTACCGTGAAAACACCCCGCGTCTTCTATTTTGACCGGGAAACCAACACTCAAGTCATGGAAGATCTTCCCAATTCGCTCGATTTGAAGCATTTTCTTCTCTCGGATCTATCTCATGGCGTGTCAGAATCTTCGGCGCAATCGCTCGGTCGCTCCCTTGGATCTTGGCTACGTTCATTTCATGATTGGGGCAGCAAAAGTGAACAGGCAGAGTCCAGATCGTTCTTTGCCCAGAACGCAACGGGGAAAGATTTGAAATTCTACATCTATTACTCTATGTTGATAGATACAGTCGCGAACTTTCCTGACATTTTGGAACGGAGTCGTGATGTTTTTGAAGAAGTTAAAAGTTTCGCGGCTGCGGAGTTAAAGAAAAGTGATCAGGAGGAGGGGTTTGGAATTATTCATGGTGACTTCTGGACTGGGAAGTAGGTCTTTCTATCTATATCTAGCCTGGAGTCACAGGATGCTAACGTGATCGCCAGTGTTCTCATTCCGAAGGCTCCTCTTATTGAGCAGTCTCAAACGACACTGTTCATTGTTGACTGGGAACTATGCCAAATTGGGAACAGAGCTCTGGATCTGGCCCAGATGATTGCCGAGTTGTACGAAACGAAGCTATTCAAAGACCTGGATTGTGGAGTGTGGATGATTGAGGGGCTTGCGGAGGGCTATGGACCTCTGAGTGAGGAGACGGCATTCCGAACTGCGATCCATGTTGGTGTTCACCTTGTTGTCTGGGGAAGTTGCGTTGCTGGATGGGGGAGCCAGCAGCAGATCGAGGAGGTTGTGAAGGTGGGCAGAGACTTTATTGAGCAAGGGTGGAACAAAAACAGAGTATGGTTCGAAAGAGGTCCTTTAGGATGTCTTTTTAAGCAATAAAGGCAAGTCCCAGAGCTAAACTAGCTAGTTGCGTATTTGTTCCAATAAAAGCCAGCTTCAAAGCATCACACTCCATACATCAACAGAATTCAAGTCCTCATGCTTATAATTACATTCAAGGGCTGGCACATTTCCCACTCGTGCAAATCAAATCACCAGAGCAGTCATTTTCCGTAGAGCAAGAGGCGCCTAAAAAATCATTAGAAAATGACATGGTTGTCTCAATCAGAATTGGTACTCACCGGCGCAATGCCCAGGCCAAGAACAGGTAGTTGTAGGCGAAGAACTAGTAGTAGTCTTCGTAATCAACGTAGTGGTAGGACTCCCAGAGCCTCCAGAAAGGTTCAAGTTATTCGCAAGGGCTGCCATCAAGCTGTCGCCCATAGACTGCAGAGTGCTGAAGTTGGTTATATAGTTATTGTTGAGAGCGCTACTCGGGAGTACGGCGTCATTACCCGTGAACAGGATATCTTTCCACGGTTAGCAAAAGCGGACATAAATGCCTTGGTGCCCAGCTTACATGTCACATCAACACCATCATGGCCATCGTTTCCATTCAAGTCATCGTTGGGGAAGCAGGTGCGAGCCATAAGCCACGAAGCTTCTCCGATAACCTCGGGAGTGCCCCCATTGGAATCGCCGTAGATTCCGTAGAACATATTTCCGTCGCTGGCACTCTATTAGTTTCACATGGCGTCTATTCTGGGTCGGGGGTCCTACCAGATAACGGCACCGATGTTGTTTCCAGGGAGGACACTCTGGTAAGTAGTGGCGAACTTGTTGGGGATCACGATCCAGGGGACCTCGTACGCAGCTAGAGCACCGAAGTTGGTCTGAGGCTGTCCATCTTGATTGCCCTGAACCGATGCGTTAGGTGACGTCTGTGGGATACTGGATAATCACGTACCCTGCACAGGTAGTCGATGCCATCGCAATCCACATCCATATCAGCAACCCAAACAAAGGCAGCACCCTATATGCCCGGGTATCAGTGGAGTCTCACCGGAGAAGGGTTTAAAACCAACTTACCTCATCGAAGTTAGACCAGTCACTATGAATAGTAACCTTTGCAGCACCATCGTTGTAGTCGACAGGATAGGTTGCATCCTTCGCGGCCGTGTCAGCATTTGCGGCAGCGCTTTGCAGGGCAGCAACGGGAATTGAGGTAGCGGCAGCGAAGAAGCTCGAGGGAGGTCCGGCGGTTGGGTTGTTGTACTTCGAGCCATCAACACTCTGAGCCAATGTCGGGCCGAACAGAGCCAGTGAGGCCACTAGGGCTGAGAATACAAATGGCATGTTGTAGCTACTTAGGGATCGATGAAATGAAGATCGGAGGAAACCTGAAGTCTACTCCATTGACGATGGTAACATGGTCCTTATATATTTCCTGCCGGCGGTTGAAGGGTCGTATTTGCTAACGTGGTAGTGATCATAAAGCTTGCTGCAAGCTCACATGGTGTTTTACATGCTCGTATGGGGTACCCTCGGTTTCTAATCCCTGCAGTTGGGGTAAGGCTAACCGGAGAGGGTAATTCCTAGGGTGTATTTGAGGTCAGCCAGGACGACTTTAAACCCCGTGGTGGGCAGGTGGGCGGGGCTAAGTTTCAATTTGCTTTAGATCGTCATAATGAGGCACTGAAGCAAAATCGTTGAGAAAGTACTAAAGAGCCCAGGCTTTTGGATTTTTAAGAATCTCTTTGCAAGAAAGAGCGCTTACCGGCTATGAAGTGCATTCTATTTTCACTGGCATTTCAGGCACAACTAGGAATTGAAATGTCCTCTCGTTTCAAGTCGAGCCTAGCACTTATGACCGTGTTTCAGCCACTAGTTTGCAGTGTCCCTGAAGCGCGAATACGAGATTTTTTATTGGTCAATGCCGGTTTGAAAACCGGAAAGCCGAAGTAACCTTCTGAAGCGAGGGAATCCACTTGCCTTGCATGATCGAACCAGCATCGAGCAATTGGCTAATGGTGCATGCAATATTCGCTTAGTTTACAGTCGGAGTCCAATACAACTTACAAGGGTTGTCCCTAAATAACGAAATGTGTTGTGCCAGCGTATCATATGAGACACGGCCGCACGTTACGAGGAGAAATCAAATTACAGCTCCAGCTGTGGCGCTCAGCAGGAAACCGGCATCACTAATAAAATCCAAGTGACAATAATCAACTTGAAGTCAACTAAGCAACCTTGATGCCCACGATGGCCGGGCGGTGAACTGACTAAGCATACCACGTGACCACAAACGGTTTTGCCCGTAATCGCGCTCGAATTTCCAACCCATCGGACACCGAGACAAATTCCCCGGGACGTCGAGCAAAATGGCGAAGAAAGGTGAGTCCATCCGCACTTCTGCCCCTTGGAACTACTTCAAGCATCTCATCTCATCAATTGCACCCCACGCCCGCCCCCCGGCACCGCAACACCCGGAGACCGGACCAGCTTGCTAACACGCTTCTTCTAACAGCAAAGTCACGTACGATCGCCGTCCGGCTGATCTCCATGGCCATGACGGGCTATTACCGCACAATGATGCGCCCGCGAGTGCACCGACCCCTCAGCATGCTCAAGTACGACCCCGTCGTGAAGAAGAAGGTGCTGTTCCTTGAGGCGACCAAGGGTGGAAAGGCGAAATAAGCGACTTCACACCTATTTGATTCGGCACGATTGTCACCCCGAAAGGCCGCCGATTCAAATCGAGTACCGCGACCTCGAAGACAACCACGCTTATGATCCGGGTTTCGACCTCCATCTTCCCCCGGAACCGAATCTCGATACTCTAGCAAATGGTGGCAATCGTTGTACGGGGACGTTCAAGGCGTGTGTCAATTTTTGTGTACATTATATCCTGGGAAGAGTCAAGGGCTATGTCCCTGCACTCGACTGCTCCGCAGTGGACTTCTCTTTGATGGAGCATTGTGTCTGGCGTTTAAGAGCATTACTGCTTTGGGTTCTCAACTGGAAATAAATTTCGATTCCACTATCACTGTATTTTTTTGATAACAGGGTCCCTGGGGCCAGTATGAAGCACGGGGATAGGACGTAAACAGACATGACTGGAGCGCGATCCGATAATGAGACTGATTAGCTTTCGAATGGGTCAAAGTCAAAGCGTAAGTGCATAATACAGTATATGTATGTTCTAATATTATTTGGATAGTCGCTCTCAACCTTGTAAAAGTTAGGGCGCTTGCTGAAAATATAGTGATGGACCTGAGTTAGTGATTGTTTTCGCATCGTTGATCTGAAAGCATCAGTCTTCCTGACTGAAACGAGCATCGTAGCGTTCGCCTAGTGACGGTTATCAGAATACAGCTCACCATAGGAAACCGCAACGCAGTTCTCATACCTCGTGAACGGCGTCTGCCACGACTGCGGGTGTTAGGCTTGCTAGCTGGATGATTTCCACTGCTAGCAGAAACAAGGCCCTTCGGACTAGTCCGCCGCTCAGTGATGGCAAGGCGTGCGGGGCCTGTGGATTCCTCCTGTTGAATCTGGGTAGATGTTGTGTGGACGCGACTGTAAGTGAACTTGTGAACGTGCTTTGATGATTTGTTGGGCTGATCCTCCAAGCCTCCTTGGGCCTGCATCGAGCCCGAATTTTTTCCGACGGTTGTCTTGGAATTGTTTCTGGAAGGCACCGCGTCGAAATTGACGGCCTTTCGCTTCCTGGTGAATTGGGGTTGGTCTGTATTTCCCGGAATGTCGAAGATGCCTTTGTCTTCCTTCATTGGTCGTGGCAAGTCTTTTTTTGCTATAGTGTGTTCAGTATTGCTTGGGAGTGGCTTGGTGCTTTTTCCACAGGGTGATGACGCGGCCGATTCATCTGTAATGAAAAGCATTGCAAAGTCAGCTGGATCATCGTACGGCTGTTGATCTATCTCCGGTGACATTCTGTTCCCGAAAGTTGCGAATGGGACGATATTACTGGCAGACGGTTCTTGCCGGTCCGTTGTTCCGGCTGTTAATGTTAATGTGCGCTCAAGTTCTTGATTCTTTTCTTGAGCCTGTTTGAGTTGCTCCCGAAGATCACTTTTCTCGATGGCGGATGCGGTTTCCACCACCTGATACTGCTCAATTTGCATTGCCTGGGAATCCAGCCTCGCCATAGCCTCGGAGTAGCATGCGGTGAGCTCTTGAATCTGCTGCTCAGTCTCCTCAGCCTGGAATTATTAGCAGAGTTAGCAGAATATGAGAAAAATGACGTGGATGACGTACCAAAGCCTCACGGTCCCTGCGCTGTTCGTCAACTATTCTTTTGGCTTCAACCTGAAAGTTGTCAGCAGACATGTTTGCAGTCAGTCAATCTTTATACTTACCAACGAGTCCCGAACGCCTCCGAGCTGGGCAAGGACCTCTTCAGATCCATTCTCAAGGTCCTCCTTTTCTCTCTGAAGTGTTTGAAGTTTTTGTTCGTATTCGTGTCTAATCTCATCAGTCGCAATTGTCTTCTCCTTGTCGAGTTCTTGTCGAATCTTTTGTTCACCCAAGGCGAATTCACCCTGCATGGCCAGTTTTTCGGTTTCAACTATGTGGCTGTGATCTTCGAGTTTCTGGCGCTCTGCCGTCGCTTCTGTTAATGACTGGTTGAGTGTGTAGACTTGCGCCTCGGTTTCACCAAGTCGCTGCTGGAGAGATTCGGCCTCTAGTGACAACGCCTGAAGTCGAAGCTGCAGTGCGGTATTCTCGGCAAACTTGTTCGACAGCTCCAATTCCAACCCCAGGCTAGCTGGCTGAATCTGAGCCTCGGCTAGCTTCTCGCAAAAGCCACTGAGACCATCGAGTAGGATACTTTCGGTGTTCGTCAAAGACCGGACAGAGCTATCGAGAGTGCGCAGTGTCGGCTCGATAGCCGTGATATTATCCCTCAGATTTTCAGAGGAGCTCTCGCACTTACCAAGCTGTTTAAACAGGGTTGAATCGGAACCGAGATGTTGTTCGATCAATTGCAATTTTCCTTGGACCTTGTCAGAGACGCTAGTATTGATTGCAGTGCTTGTATCGACACTCGTAATGAAACGGGTGGACATGGTGTCCAACCTGGCCTCCTGTATCAGTAAATGACTTTTGTTCCTGGACCGTAAATGACTTTACCGAGAAACTGCATCGTGAACCGTATTTGTAAAATCCTGGATCTCCATTCTCTCCGTGGTGCATTTGTCGCTCAAGGTATCAACTGAGGTGCAGAGTCGGTCGGCGCATATTCTGACTTCCGAAAGGAGTGCATCCTTAGTGCTGGTTGACTCCTCAGATTGGGACTGGATTCCTGAATTGAAACTCTCGATCAATTTGCGTTGATCCTCTCTGATCAGAAGTAACTGCCGGGTCTGAGTTCGAGCATAGTTCTGTATGTACGATTCTAGGATGACAGATCGGTTTTTCTCGCTGGCCAACTCCACTTTGACACTTTCAGCCATTTCCTCCGAAGCTTTCAGGGTTTGTTGGAGAACGGAGAAACGTGCTTCACTTTCTGACATTTGGGCTTTCTGTTTGTCAATCATGTCCTCTGCGCGTGAGATTTCAATCCGAATATCGTGGATGGCGTGCAAAAGATCAGATTTTTCTTTTTCAAGCGATGCAGTTATGACTTTGAATTTGTTCGCTTCATCTCGAAGAGTGTTGTGTTCGGAACCCAATTCGTTGACCACCTGCTTGAACCTGCGAAGCTTTTCTTTCCAGTGGTCCATCTGGGACCGGAAATCATTTGACTCTGAAACCGTTTTCAGCAATTTCTCATTGTCTGCTTCCTGTCGATGCTTCAATCTTTGATTCTCGTCCTTCAAACTAAGGTTCTGTTCTTCCAGCTGACGCTGGAGCTCGACAGTTGCAGCTTCTTTCTCTTCACGCTGCCTGATTTTCCCGATTAGAAGCTCGAAAAGCCTCTCCTCAGTGGGCTGTTTACAGACCGATTTACCCGTGAACGAATGCTGTTTTGCTAGAAGAGCCTCATTTCGGTTCTGTCGGCGACTCTTGAAAACTCGACAGTCATTGTTGGGATGGATCGGTGGTCGAGAGACAAGTGGAATCGGGGTTCCCGAGCTGGTTCGCCCATGCTGATCATGGGCTGATAGGTTTGAACTTGTTCGGGATGTGTTGATCTTTAGGCAGTGAGTAAAGGATGCTATTGTGGCATACCTAAATAGGACATACCTCAGTGTCAATATGAATGCTAGAACCCACGGGCAGAATGGTGTGAACCCTTGGTTTGGGTCCATTTGTCAAGCCTGATGACTGGTCCTTTTTCAGGCTCGCTGTCCCGGTCATCGTGTCCAGTTGCTTGCCGTTGCTGGGTCCAGTGGTCCGCAAAGTATCACGTTGCTCCCAGTGTGGTGTACCGTCCTCACCGAAGCTTTCGAGACGTTGAGGCTCAGGCTCGGCATGTCGCCTTGCAAAAAAAGAATAAAAATGTTTATCAGCCACCTCGTTAGCAAGGGAATGTAGTTTAGACATACAGGGTCTTTGGTGTACGCAACTGTTCATCCTGTCCGCTGCCCTTATGTTGACCTTCGACTGTACCTGCAGCCCAGGTTGAATTAAGATTGATCAAGCCTTGCTTGGAAGAGGGTGGCAACAAAAAGCCTTTGTGTTTGGCAGCAGGCTTTGCAAACGAGAAGCCAGTCATATCGATCCCCGAGTTTTGGGGGCGCTGCATTAGCAGAGGTTGCCCTTTGCTGGATGGGTCATAGGGCGCTGAGCCCATTGGCTGAGGGTTGAAGTATGGCGAAACACTTCCAGTTGCCGTTGAGATGAGTCCTTCTTCTTGCATTCTGGACTAGAAGATTTTCGGCCAGGAGGATCAAAAAGAAGATTGATGTGGGGTGAGGAGGATGTTGGATGCGTACGAAGGAAGGCGCATCCCGTGACTTCGATGCCGCCGACTACTCGGAGGCATTGGTCATCGGACGCCTTTTCTTCTCATTCAATGGCATGACAAGGAAAGGATCCGAATTAGTCTTGGGCAAAAATACATAGACATAGTCTCCTATCTCTTGATAGGCGATGTTTGGTGTGAAATTTATAATGCCACCACATGTGAATATGCATTTCAGTTATGTTGCAGAAGTATATCGATTTTATTTACCTACCTCCTTCGCACACGATCACTAACTGAATCGAGAACAAGATACAGTACATGTATTTAAGTGACGATGCATTAATAGCGTTGCGGATAATTTGAATTCAATACGAGTGCCGGCGGCGGAGCCCATCCACCGACCATCCAATGGCAAAGACAACAAGACCCATTTATACCATCGGGAGATTGGTGTGAGCTACTGCAACCGAGCCCACTTTCTCCGTTCGCTGCTCGGTTAGCTTCGCATGCTTCGGCGTCACAACTTGGCGCCGAGACCGACGATCGACAACGCTTGGAAAGTGAATTAATTGCGAGCTCCCTAAAATCCAAAATATGATCAACTCCGAGCCTGAGTCATGCTAGAGTTCTCCAAAGTCAAAAGTACGACTTTGAAACCGCCAGTGTCAGCATGGGCCATATCTTCTTTGCCATGGCGCAGATGAAACACCCACCAACAAGGATGATCCCGATTGTTTCGCGCCCAGTGGGCCCCTCGCCGGGCCTACTAACTTTAATGACCATTTGCCAGGTGGGCGTTCTCTGCCACAGCACGCGACCCTAAGTTGCTTCGACACAAGTTATCGGAGTGTCTGCTCCCAGGAAGTGCGGCTATGCTGTAATACTCTACATGATCTTCAGGGATACGGTGCCCCTTTCCGAGAGGGAATCTGCAGGGGGTTGACTGAACACACCATGTCAGCACGCAAAGACGTGTCGAATGTTCTGCCGCACTTCCACAGCCGTTCCCGTACGACTCAGGGCCCAAGACACGCTTCCATGCATCTGCAATTTCCTGCATCGTCCTCTCAGCCAAGGTCGGAAACGTGGCGGCCACGAGATAAAAGACGTGTCAAGGTTTGGAGCATCGCGTGGCGAGTGATGTGTCAGATGCAAGTTGCATGCGGTTCTCTTGTTGGTTCGATCCAGGGGTGGATCGAGATTTTTGTACATGTACAGTCGCCAGCAGCGGAAACACTGACAGGTCGGGGGCACAGAGTTTCGGAGAGCGATTCTCCGGGCGGAATCGCTTTGGTTCACGTATCCGAGGGCCCTGTCGAATGAATTGCGATGGACACGCGTTTCCCCGAATCACCGCGACGGGTTTTCCTAGCCTCCACAAGTCCGCTTAGTCGAACTCCGTCGAATTAGTCGCGACCCTCTTTTCCCTCCCTCCTTTCGTGTGCGTGGGTCCCCGTGCAGAACTTGTCTGTTCCAGGCAAGGTCCGTCGACGCAGAGAGGCACGGAGCAACCAAGCCCATTTAGGAGATGAGCCCCTTTGAGACAGGGAAATGTAGATCGACACCTCTAAAAGTGAAAGTAGACGAGGGCCCGCCCCTTCCCCAAGATCATTGATTGGCCACCTTACTGCCGCTTGGTGAACCTCTTGACCGCTCGGCATCCCCTTTCTTTCAACCTACAACCTTTGAAGGAGAGAGAGACAATCTTTTCTGCTAAAGAACACGCCTCGCTCTTGTTCCTGTCGGTCTCACTTCCCGTCGGCGTGTTTCTCCCTTCCCGTCTCTGCACCGGCGCGTTTTGGGTTCTCCTTAGCTTCCCGAGCCCGAGCCGTTTTTCTGGAACATACATAACTTCGTCCTCCTCTTATCCAGTTCTTTTGATGCGTGCATCTTGTCGCATTAGTCTGACCCTCGATTCGCGCACTTGTTGACGTTGACGCCCGAACTCGCCCGCGATCCATTGAACCCGAACCCCCCGCTCCGCAATTCTACCTCCGGGATCTCTCAGTCTCCCATGGACCTCGTGTTTTACGATCGACACTCGCATATCATCACCGTTTCTGCGCCCGTTACTCACTCAACTGGCCCGTTTGACACGATTCGTCTTTGAGGTTTTCCGACCAAGTGTGATGTCGCTGGAAGTCTCTAGCTGAGCATAGAATACCTCGGTCCACGTTTCGACTCGTCACAATGGGAAATACTCAGGGAAAGCCCGTGGCTTGCAATGATGCAGGTAGGTCGTTTATTGTGGGGAGTTTGAGACGTGCAGGCATGGCCAACGGATGCTGATTACCACCAGTCAACCTCAACCACTTCCGCCTCCTTCGCGTGGTCGGAAAAGGCGCCTTTGGAAAGGTTCGCATTGTCGAGAGGAAAGACACAGGCTTGACATTTGCCCTCAAATATATTCGCAAGGAGGAGGGTATGTTCATTCCCCACACTAATTTCATCTGAAAAACATCTAACTTTATCTGCAGTTGTACGTTCGGAGAGCGTACGGAACATTATCCGCGAACGCAGAATGCTCGAGCATCTGAACCACCCTTTCCTTTGCAACTTGCGTTACAGTTTCCAGGATATAGAGTATATGTACGTCTTGATCGATTTCACACCAGTTTTTGGGCCCAGTCATTAATTCATTCTCCAGTTACATTGTGGTCGACTTGATGAATGGCGGTGATCTCCGGTTTCATATCTCGCGCAAGTGCTTCACGGAGGAAGCAGTGCGGTTCTGGATGGCCGAGCTGGGCTGCGCTTTGAAGTATATCCATTCGCAGGGTATCATCCATCGCGATCTCAAGCCCGATAACGTGCTGTTGGATTCCGAGGGACATGTCCATTTGGCTGATTTCGTACGTCCCAATATCTCGATCCCTGTCCTTTACCATGCTAACTTTGTATGCTTTAGAATGTTGCCTCCGATTTCCGACCTGGAAAACCTCTCACGAGCAAATCAGGAACCCTGGCTTACTTGGCCCCGGAGGTCTACGAAGGGACTGGGTACTACTACGAAGTCGATTGGTGGTCATTAGGTGTGACTTTTTACGAGTGCATCTACAACAAGGTATGTCTTCGATAGCAGGCGAATTCGTGTTCGGTCTAATGTCTCTTCAGCGACCATTCGAAGGCCGCAGCCAGGAAACGTTGAGCGAAAACATCAAGAAAGCGCAACCGAAATACTATGTCACCAACCCCGCGGTATCAGTCCCCTGTCTACGGGCCTTGGGTGCATTGATGGAAAAGGACCGTAGTCGCCGCATCGGTGCGATCGGCTTCGAAAGCTTTACCCAGCACATGTTCTTCGCAGATATCGACTTTGCCGCTCTTGAGCGCAAAGAGTATGCTCCGGTATTCCGACCCTCCAGCGAAAAGACCAATTTCGATGCGACGTACGATTTGGAGGAGCTACTCTTAGAGGAAGCTCCACTGGAAGCCCGGGCTCGTCGACAGAAACCCCGCGCGGAACTCCGTGATGATGCCACCGCCAAAGAGATTCGGGAGGATGAGCTTCATCGCCTCATCGAAACAATGTTTGAACCTTTCGACTACACCACCGTCAGCTTCCAAATCACCGCCGCGGAGGCCATTGCTGCAGCAATGTGAGCTGAACCTTTTGACATTACCCGGGCTGCACTAACGTCCTCTCTAGAAACCCCGAAGACTGCATTCCTGTCACGACCGCTACCTCCACACCCCATGCCCGCCACCCCTCGCAACCTGAATCGTCCGTTCGAAACGTTTCAACCCCGCAACAGGATGGATCCATCCACCGAGTCCCCCCAACCGAAAACTTCACGATGTTCAGTGAGAATCTCGACCCGAATGGTTCGGCCGGCCCGCAGCCACCTTCGCCCCGCATCTCTCCTTCTCCCATTCCTCCTCCAGCTCCCTCCTTTCATCGCCCTTTACCTCCAAACCCCCAGCGAAGCGGCACACGGAAACCAAGCAAAGGTGGTGGAGTGCAAATGGTACTTGAAGAGGCCGGCAGCTGGAGTGAGCTCGCTAATCATAGCTCAACCCTTCCCGCAGAGGGGTTGCAGGGCGAGGAGAACAAGGGCAAGGGATCCAACAGTGGCATGCTGTCCTTCCTCAGTCGGAAGAAGGGCCGCGACCGCAGTCCAAAGCCCACCGAGCCCGGTGTTTTGGGTAAAGAGGGTGCCAGGCAAATCATCAGCTGAGCATGCTCCGTCGAAGAAAGATTTAACCGGTGATAGGAATTATCTTTGATATTTCCCGCTGGTAAGCACTGGTTGCACCGGAGCAACAGTTCGCCTTCTAATTTCAGGCAGTGCTATTGGCCTGAACTACTGGAGGCTAATCGGCCTCGTCCATTCGGGTCTTCCACGCACTCCATTCAGACGGCTCGGATTGCCCTCACCATTTCGACTTCACTCTACCTTCGAAGCGCTTCAGAGAATGGGAAGCCATGTCCGGGCCTTGATGGATATCTTATCATACATTTGACCTGCGATTATATCTGCAGAAAACGACGGATTGCCCGTGGCATCTCCACATTACTCTCCTAGATTCCCTGGACTCAGCGACGATTCATTTGTTTCCTATCTTTAACATTTCTTCACTGTCATTTTGTACAGATCGACAAATTTACCCTTATGTCATTGTGGGCGGCTTTTTGAACATTTTCTGTTCACAATTGTGTTTTATTTTATCTGTTGTGTTTGGATCTCATAGATCTCATCCTTTCATCGATGCACACGACAATTTTTCTTCTCCTTTGGTTTAGAAGGGACGGGGGCTTGCATTTTGAGGCTGCAAAATAGGCGTATGTAATGTCTTTAGTGCTAGATATTCCACGAAATACCATAAATATCCCTCTTGTCAGCATTGGAACCAGTAAACACCAAACTCAATTTATCTCCGATATGAACAGGTAGTCTAGGTGACGCCATTCGGGCTTGGGGTCTCTCCCTACCGAGCTTTCTTCGTTCTTCTTGTACTCTACCAAACCTCATTCTTTCTCCTCAAATCGGCCTGGAGGCGCTGATGTGTAGTCAAGTTTGCTCGGAATACTAGGTTTCGTGCCTGAGGCCACAGCCGTTGCCAGGGAATCCGCCCAAAACAAATTGATTATCGATAACGCTCTCAACCCGCGATTCTTCCTCATCTCCCACTTTCCCCGCGTCAAAATCTTTGGTCTGTGATGGTTTGATCTGAGGTGAGTCGTGCTAGCCTTCGGCAGCTTGATTTCCTATGACAGGCTGTGTCCATGCCTCTTGAGCCTTTCAGGCGAATAGTATGGTGGACTTGACCATTCCGATAAGACGATCCCACCAAGATTCCACACAAAGCTAACTTACCTCGATGCTGTCAGCTGTCCCACCCCTTGCCTCGTGCGCCCAGTCTGCAGAGAAGATTTTGCGATCACAGAGAACATTCCTGTTGCGATTCAGATAACACCTGAGCTGCTCGACGACCGCCAGCTCTTGACACCGCTCAGAATCCGCCCAGGCGTTTGGCCATCAAGTCTTCGCTGACGACTGAACTCACAACTATGGCCAGAGAAAGCAACGCACCGGCAGATCCCCTCACTCCGAACAAGAGGGGCGAACAACCTCGGGCTTCCGCCACACAACACCCAGAGTTTGGCAAACCTTCGCCGATCGGCCCCTCTCAGTACCGTTCCAATCAGCCAAACCAGTCCAAGAATCAGTCAAACCACCTCTTCAACATTCCAAAAGCAAATGGGTCACGGCCAGAGCATCACCGCCCCGCCCAGCAGTCGCAGCCGCAGCCACAGTCGCAGCCACAGTCGCAGTCGCAGTCGCAGTCGCAGTCGCAGTCGCAGTCGCAGTACCGTGGACAGCATCATGGAGCTCCTCAGAGCTATCACCCCCACCCAGCACCTACCGATACTGCATCGGCTGCAGCAAAGCGTGGCCCTTTTAATCCCTTCCAGCCCGTGCGACCGTCAGCCTACAACGACCATCGATCGGGATACCCATCGGGATATCCCCCCGGCGCGACTCCAATCAAACGCCCCGAAAATGTGACCTGGACAACTCCTCGTGCCCCAAGACCGATCTTCACGTCGAAGCCTTCGGCACCAAAAGCTTCGAACGCGTCAAAGAATCTCCAAGCATTCATTGATCTGACTAAAGATGAGAGCCAATCTAGCAACAATGCGCCGAGCTTCAGCAGTAGTAATGCTCCTGGCTTTGGTTCTATGGATATATATGGTTATGTTGATTCGGAGAAAGCAAACGAGAATATCAAAGCTCTGCTCGAAGGCGCTTTTGAAGATGAGGAAGATAAGCCATCAAAACCAAAGACCAAGGGCAAGGGCAAAGGCAAAGGCAAAGGAAAGAAGAAGAACAAGAGCAAGATTATTTCAGGAAACGCTGAGTCAGCTGCACCTGCGCCAATGGAAAAGAAGGATGTCGGTGGGGATCTTGATGATTTGGCTGCTCAGCTTGAGGGTGTGACCGTCAACGACACAAAGCCAGCTGAGCCAGAGTCGATCGACAAACCCAAAGAAAAGGCAACAGCGGCATCGGAAAACGCTTCCGAAAGCGAGGTCGAGGATGAAGCCGATGAAGCCGATGAAGAAGATGACGAAGAAGCGGACAACAGCGACGACGATGATGATGATGATGATAGCGGAGCCGTCGAAGGCCTCAAGGTTACTCTTCTACCTCATCAAATTGATGGTGTCAAGTGGATGTGCGACAAGGAGACTGGCCGACGTACCACCAAAGGAATCTTCCCCAAGGGCGGAATTCTTGCCGACGATATGGGTCTTGGTAAAACCGTCCAGGCCATTGCCCTCCTTCTCAAGAATCGCAATTCCGAAACCGGCGAACACAGCAAGACAACTGACTCATTTGAGAAGGACAAAGAGTCTGCATCATCAACTCCCGTCAGCAAGAGCACACTTGTTGTCGCTCCTTTGGCTCTCATCAAGCAATGGGAAGGCGAGATTCTTGACAAAGTTGAGAAATCTCACAAGCTCCGCGTTTGCGTCTACCACGGCACCAACCGAGCCAAGACGGCCCGCTCGCTAGACGACTACGACGTGGTGATTACTACTTACGGCACTCTCACCTCGGAGTCTGCGACGGCTGCTTCAGACAAGAGCAAAAAGAACGGCATTTTTGCTGTGCATTGGTACCGCATCATTCTTGATGAGGCTCACACTATCAAGAATCGCAACGCGAAGGCTACACAAGCTGCTTGTGCACTCGACGCCAGGTTCCGCTGGTGCTTGACAGGGACACCCATGCAGAACAACCTTGATGAACTGCAGAGTTTGATCAAGTTCCTTCGGATCAAGCCCTTTGACGACCTGGCTGCTTGGAGAGATCAAATTAGCCGGCCACTCGCCAACGGACGTGGTGGACTTGCCATTCAGCGCCTGCGGGTCTACTTGAAGGCGTTCATGAAACGCCGTACTAAGGATGTCTTGAAAGGGAATGAGGAGAAGGATGCCGAGGGTTCGGAGGGACGCGAAAAGAAGCCCTCCAACGGTTTCAAGATCGTCAAACGCGAGGTCATCAGAGTGGACGCCGAATTCATGGAAGGAGAGATGAACTTTTACAAGCGTCTGGAACAACGAACTGAAAACAGATTGGAGCAGATGATGGACGGCTCCAAGGTTGACTACGCTGGGGCTTTGGTTCTCCTCTTGCGTCTGCGTCAATCCTGCAACCACCCCGATCTGGTCAAGAGTGATTTGGCCGCCGACAAGGACGTCCTTTTGCAGAATGGAAACTCGTCCAGTCAGTCGAAGGAATCAAAGCCAAACGACCTGGATGACGTGGCCGATCTTTTCGGTGGCCTCAGTGTCATGGCCAAGAAGTGTGACGTGTGCCAAACCGAGCTCAGCCAGGCCGAAGCCAAGAGTGGTGCTAGTCGCTGCAGTGAGTGCGAAAAGGACTTGAATACCGACTTTATGGGCAAGGAGAAGAAGAAACACAAATCGAAGAAAGCACATAAACACCGCAAAGAAGATGCCGCGGAGCAACAACCTGCTCGGTCTCGGAGAAACCGACGAGTCGTCATCGATAGCGATGATGAAGACGAAGACGACGCCGAATGGATTGTCCCCGAAGACCAACGCAAGATGCCCAGTCTTGGCAAAGCTGGCGGCTCTGACGATGAAAATGCCGAAGGCGGCGGAGATTGGATTGGCTCTGACGATTCAGAAACGGACGACGATGTTATGGACTCTCCGTCCGGCAAGAAGTCCAAGCCCATTGCCTTGAGTGACTCCGAAAATGAATCCGACACGGATGATGATATCTATCAGAACCCCGAGGAGGGTGAGAACGGTGAACTGCCCTCGACCAAAGTTCGTCATTTGATGAAGATTCTCCGCAAGGAGTCGGCGGATTACAAATTCATTGTCTTCTCGGTCTTCACCTCAATGCTTGACAAGATTGAGCCTTTCCTGAAGCGTGCCAACATTGGATTTGCGCGTTACGATGGTGGAATGAGAAACGATCACCGTGAAGCCAGTCTCAACCAACTGCGGAATAACAGTGGTACTCGAGTGCTGCTCTGTAGTTTGCGTGCCGGTGCGCTGGGTCTCAACTTGACTGCTGCCAGTCGTGTCGTCATTCTGGAGCCTTTCTGGAATCCGGTAAGTTAAATTTCATGCGACTTTTTAATTTCCATGGCTAACATGTGATACCCAGTTCGTCGAGGAACAAGCCATTGACCGAGTGCACCGTCTCAACCAAACAGTTGACGTCAAGATCTACCGCATGATCATCAAGGGCACAGTAGAGGAGCGAATCGTCGACCTACAAGATCGCAAGCGCGAGCTCGCCAAAATGACGCTCGAGGGCAAGTCCGCCGCCGGCAAATTAACCATGGGCGATATGATGGCCCTCTTCGGCCGAGACGCCGAGTCAAAATTCCAAGACAAGCAGGATACGCTAGACTTCAAGCCTACTGGGCTATTGCGTGCGGTGGACGACCTCACCTCTGCTCCTTCTCCCCAACGATCGGACTCGCGTGACCGGAAACGCTGGCTCCCGTCTGATCGATCGACGCCTGAGGATTCGGTATATGGTCGACGTTGGTAAATGGCCTGGTGTGATATGAATTTGATCCCAATGAAATAGGAGCATTCTAGGGGAGTTTTGATGGAGGTTTAAAGGGTACAAGGTTGGATACAGGAACATGGGATTTGAGGTCTGGTGACTATTAGACCCTTTTTTGTTTATTTTTTCGGTTTCGGTCTATGGCGCGTGGTACCAATTTCTTGTAATTTTCTTGATATGTCATTTCATGAAGACATACATACAGCCTTTGCGTGTATCATCGCATAAGGCTCTGCCCAGCCCCCGGGAGTACATCAACTGTAGAGGCTAAGCCATCAGGGCAAAGCCAAGGGTGAGAACAACGCTGTGACATGGTTGAACGGAAATGCCCGGACAACAAGCCCGCGAGTCAAATTGCATGACACAACTTCGGGCAATGGCAAAATATACCATTGGCCGGAAACAAGGACCGAGCAAGACTCTGCAGAATATTCTCTACAATTCAAAGCTCTTTGGCTGGGCCTGAAGATGTACGAGGCGTCTTTCGAGGGTAGCCTTCGGTTCATGGATCGCGAGAGCATTTCCGGCGGTAGTCCCTGGCGAACCGGACGAGCAAACCGGAAACACGTGTACTATGGAAAGCTTCGTGCTCTGGGAAAATGCCTTGACATTGGTTCGTAGCTGGAGGCGAGGCACAGACCAAACTCCAAACTCCGGGAAAGGCGCGAGTTTTCTCAAACATTCAATGCATTTAGACCCCGGTCACCCTTTGAATATTGCTCTTTTATGTCTTTATTTTGCTTCTTTTATGAGCTGCAGCTTTAAGCGCTAAAGTATCTCCACCCCCACACAGTCAAATGGTGAATTCACCCGATCCAAATTCTTTTCCTCCTTCAGTTCAGAGTTTCCAGAGCATTAATTTCAATCGACGGTATAGAGAATAATATTAGCTAGCACCTGGTGTACAAACCCGCACAGAGAATGAATGGCCCGGACGGTCATGGCAACTGGAAGGTCATTAACGATGGATCCGAAAACGAAGACAAAGAAGACAAGCAGTCCGACGACAAAGAAATCCTTGCACGAACATTATCAGAACCTAAATCCGTGTGCATCTTGTCAGATGCAAAGACCGAGATGTCGACCGTTATCGAGCTGCCTCCATCCAAGCTGAAGCTTCCTCAACTTGCCAACGATACAACCGAGCGTGTCTTCCCCATCCGATCTGTTGTTTCTTTCGATTCCAATCCATCTTCGGCCCTTCATACACCTTCGTTAGACAAACTCGAGACTCCCTTCTCTCCATTCACCGATGCACTCAAGAAGAATGGGACGATTGGAGTGGGTTCCACAAAACGGCCGGACTATTTGGCTCGCATGCGTCAGGAGAGAGGAAGCTATTCTGGGGTATCGCCATCGCTTTCAATAGTTCCGACACTCGGTAATCCATTCCCGGAGTCGAAGTCAAGTTCACCCAACAGTCGGGGCTCTCCAGAGACTCCTAGTCTTCAAGAACAATTGCAGCAGACCAATCTGGAGGGCGGGAGGATTTTGGATATCAGCAGAAAGACAGCAGGTTTGCAATACTCACATGAAGATGAAGTTCGGACTTTGATTCAACCGTTTGGCGCATTCCTGGTTATCTGCGAGTCTGGCGGTACCTTGACTGCACAAGTTGCTAGCAGCAACTCCAAGGAGATTTTAGGCTACACCCCCGATGAGCTCTTCGAGCTCGAGTCGATCTGCAGTATCCTGCCTGACTCTCAGCAAAGCATCTTTCTTTCGCATGTCGGATTTGTTTTGGATGATGAGTATGACGTGAAGATTTCTGGGCCAGAAATCTTTGATCTATCCATCGCAGCTGTGGCAGACGAAACAAAGCGGGTGTGGTGTACCATGCATACCAGCAATATATACAAGAATTATGTCATCTGTGAACTGGAGCTGGAGTTGGAGCCAGGCATCGAAAACACACAAGAAAAAATGCCTCATGACTCCCTCAAATCTGGTGAAGTTGGCCGTCTCAACGAATCCAAAAACCCGGATCAGAGCAGAGCAACGCTGGATTCCGAGCTTTTGAATGCCCTTCCACGCATCCTGCATCCGATAGCCAGTGCGCAGACATTGAATGTTCTGGTACAGCACGCCGTTCTGACTATACAGCAACTGACGCAATTTGATCGAGTGTCCATGTTCCATTTCGACGGCGATCGCAATGGACTCGTCATTGCAGATGCTGTCGATTCATCACTAGACCTGGAATCATGTGAAGGTCTTCACTTTGAAGAGTCGGTATTCCCCGACGATGCGAAAAAGCGATATCTGCGGAGCCCAGTGTCATTCTCATACCGAAAGAGAAGCGAAACTGCTGAGCTGATTTACCGAGTATCAACAAATCGGTTGGGCCTGGACTTATCCCACTGCTACTTGCCAGTAGCCTCAGAGACTTCTGAGAATATGGACCAGCCGATGAAAGCATGTATCTCCATTGGGAGCTATGTCTTTGGAAAGTTGTGGGGCTTGATATCATGCCAATCCTATGATGCGGATTTGCAACTCCACCCGCTTCTTCAGAAGGTGTGTTGGATTATGAGCGTGGCTGTCTCCAGCAACATCGAGCGTCTTTCCTACACACTTCCGTTTCAGTTGAAGGAGCAGAGCGCATCTCCAGAGCATACAAACAGTGACAACGTGAAATGCCCATCAGGTGATCTCCTTGGTCTCTTCGGGGCTGATTATGCCGCCGCATCCATCTTGGGAGAAATCAAGATCCTGGGCAGACCGTTCGATTCACAAGAAGTGCTGGCTCTCCTTGAATATTTGAGTGCCAAAGAGCTCGATACGGTGCTGTGGTCGACGAATATTCTCTCTGACTTCGAAGATCTCGATTACTCACCCGGTTTTCGGCATCTGTCAGGCTTACTATATATACCTCTTTCGGGCGACGGACATGACTTCATCATTTTCTTTCGCAGCGATAATCAAAATGAGAACCACCAAAGCCTTGCAGGTGTTCCACAAAATGGTCTCGACAAGCCAAATCGCCAGGCTGAGTGGTCTGCCGCGGAGTTTGGAAAAGCATCCATCTTGTCTCTGCTATACCGAACTTTCAGCGAGATCTGGCAAGAGAAAGAGGCCGCGATGCAAAACAACCAGCTGATGAGGTTACTCCTTGCCAACTCCGCGCACGAATTCCGCACGCCATTGAACGCAATCATTAATTACCTGGAAATTGCATTAGACGGAAGCCTCAATCAGGAAACACGTGAAAACCTATCCAGATCACATTCCGCGTCCAAATCTCTCGTCTACATCATAAACGATCTCCTGGATCTCACGAACGCCGAGAACGGCCAAAGGCTAATAAAAGATGAACTCTTCAGTCTATCAGAGACTCTTTGTGAAGCAACTGATATCTTCTGGGAAGAAGCGAGACAAAAACACGTCGATCTTCAGATTGTGCAGCACGCTGCATTACCGCCAGTTCTCGGTGACCAGCGGCGTGTGCGTCAAGTCATCACCAATCTAATCAGCAATGCCGTTCAGCACACTTCATCTGGAGCTGTTACCATCGAATCATGTGTTCCGAGTGAGTGCTGGAAGCCTGAACATATCACGGTGGAAGTGGCTATTCACGACACCGGATCGGGCATGTCTTCAGAGACTGTTGAAACGCTGTTTTGTGAGTTGGAGCAAGTTTCCAACTCGGGTTACATGCGGAATCCCAAGTATGGGAAAGACGCGAAGGACTCGGCCACGGAGACGGAAAGTGTTCTCGGACTGGGACTCGCTTTGGTTGCTCGCATAGTTCGAAACATGAATGGGCAGCTTAGCCTGAGGTCTGAAGAGGGTAAAGGCAGCTGCTTCAAGATCAGAGTCAATTTCCCATTGCCAGAGAAGGAATCACATGATACTCCTCAGGAGGCTTCGAAAGAAGACTCAGCAAGCGGTCAGATAGATAATATCCAACGGCCAAACAATGCTTCAGATGAAGATCAAACATCTTGCGAGACCTGCCAGAGCAAAAGTGATGATGGGCAGAAGCCAAATGAGGCAGTACAAAGTGAAGGAATTCGCTGTCGCTGCGGTGACGAGACTATTCCCCCTCAAAACTTCTTGGACGTTGATATATCCCTCAAGTCCGGCGAATCTCGAGACCTCGCTCTTCCCATCCACAAGGAGAAGGCTCATTACGAATCATCCTGCACACCTCCCTCAAAGACATCCACCGAAGGCACAGCCAATCCTAAGCGGCACGACCCCTCCACTGAAATGCCCCAACGACCCTCTGAACTCCGCATCCTCGTCGCCGAGGACGACCCCATCAACAGCGCCATCGTGCAAAAGCGCCTGGAGAAACTCGGCCACTTTGTCCACCTAACTAGAAATGGCAAGGAATGCACCACTACGTACTTCGATTTCCCCCTCTGCTTCCACGCCGTCCTGATGGACCTGCAAGTATGGTACACCAACCTCGTAAATTCATTTCAAGCTGACGAACCCAGATGCCCATCGTGGACGGCTTTAACGCAACGAAGATCATCCGTGAACACGAGGCACACGCGCCTAACGAGAACCGCCACGTTCCCATCTTTGCAGTCTCTGCTTCCTTGAAGGAGAGTGACATGCAGTCATACATCGATGCGGGCTTTAATGGTTGGATCATGAAGCCGATTGACTTCGAGCGTGTGAACAAGCTACTGCGATGTGTGGAAGACAAGGAACTGAAGGACAGTTGTCGCTACGAGTGTGGTATGTGGGAGCAGGGAGGCTGGTTTTGAATACAGCTAAGAAGAAAACAAAACTATTCCGAGGGTATGCCGATCTAAGGTTGCGTTGATATACAGAAAAACACCAAAAAAAGGATATCCAATGCAGATGCAAGAGACACAATGAAAAAACAAAAAACAGAGCAAGTCCATCATAAACATCACTCAGTAATTCTCAGCCAATCCAGAGAAATCAGGCACTGTGTCTCCGCACTTGAACGAAGGCGAATATGCTTTCTGAGGCATGTATCCATTCTTCCACGCAGAACGATAACTCCACTGCGCTGAAGACTCTGTGCGCCAGGTCCAGTAGAACCAGCCTTGTGCAGTCTCAAATGCAGACATCTGCGCCTCGGCGTAGGTCTGCAGCCACTGTTTATATACGTCAGAGTACTCAGATACGGGTGCGTTGGCATTTGCACAGCTGCAGGTATCCTCGTCTGCTGTTGGACAGTAGGCTGTTGAGGAACTGGGGTCATAAGTTCCCTCCCAGCGCGTACCGCGGCCGACATTGTTTAAGAATTGGGTGCAGTCGGTATCAGCTTGGGACCATTCGCCGCAGATCGTCGGGCCCCAGCCAGTGGTTGTGCTGTTAACATTTGAGATCATGGGTTTCCAGCTGTTGCAGATGATTTCGACCTTGGCGGTGTGGTTTAGGACGATCTCGGCTGTGTTGAAGGTCGTGTACTGGTGGGTGTCCAGGTACATGTTGTCGGGGTGGGTTTTGAACATGTGGGCCCACCTGTCGAGGTTGAGAAATCCGTCGTGAAAAACTATCGTGGATTCGAATCCATTGCTGCGGACGAGTTCGGCGGCTACCAGTGTCCAGTTGAGAACACTCTCCACGGGGAGGTCGAGCATGAGTGGCTCGTTGACCAAGCCGTACATTGTAACGATGTTCTTGTATCGGTCCTGCGCAAAGAATTGTGACAGCTGGTTGTGGACGTCGAGAGATCTTTGCGCATTCAGCTCGCCGTCTGTCCCGTTGAGCCACCCGATCAGGCCCTGGTGGCCACTGTGGTTCCAGCCGTTCTGGCTACCAGGAATACCGTGGAGGTCGAGTTTGACGCGAAGTCCGTATTTTCGGCAATACTCGATTGCGCGGAGGAGGTACCGCCAGGAAATCTTCGGGAGGTAGGGGTTACCGGGGTAGGTTGTAACAGCCCAGTATGAATATTGGATGCGGACGTGATCAAGTCCGGCCTCCCGGATCTCTGCGAAGTCAGATTCAGTGATGAAGGTTGCATAGTGTTTTTCAATGGTGTTTGCTGCCGAAGGCCCCAACTTCGCAGTCAAAGTCCACTCGTCAACGACGTCAGCTCCAGACGAGTACCCGTCGAACAAAGATGGCGTAAGGAATGGTTCGATCGAAAGCCATCCGCCGAGGTTCACGCCACGGATTGGCCGTGAGCCATAAGGGAACTTCTCGTTCAAAGGGGGCACATTGTCGTTTGGCCTTGCAGTGTCAGACCATGTCGAGTTTAGGCCCATGAGAGACAAACCACCGACGGTGTCATTGGTAAAAGTGACGTTGAAACCCTCCGTATCGTACCATGTGAATGGATCCAAGTAAGTACCCTTTGCATAAGACTGGGGATGTCAAGGTCAGCATTAACTCCTTCGCTATGAAGCTGTTGGAACTCACCGGAATACTATCTTCACTGATGCCATCAAGGTTGGAATTGGAAGGTGAAGATGAATCAGAGGAGCTGGAGCTGGAGCTGGAGCCCGAGCCGCTGCTTTTCCCCTTCCCTGCGATAATGGCAACCGGGATGATGATGGCTAGCAATATCAACACCGCTGCTATACTTCCAATCACGATCCGTTTCTTCTTGGACCAGTTCGTCCAGAACTTCCAGAATGGCCGTCTCTCGCCACTCTCAAAGCTGCCCTCCCAGCTGTCTTCCTGTTTCCACTCTTCCACTGCAGGCCCGCCACCTCCCCGACGCCGCATGTTCATCTCCCGGCTCCGGCCTTCTTCCAGGTAGGCACCGGACACGACTCGTGCTCCAGACTTGTGCCTCGACCTTCCCTCGATGAGAGCTTCACCGAGCTCGCCGGCACCTCCAATTAATGCGGCCTTTTTCCGCCGCCGGCGCTCCCTGCGATCCTCATCATGGTCTCGGGAACGTTCCCGGTTATGGTCTCGAGAGCGCTGCCGACGATCATCCCTGTCATCCCGTTCATTCTCAGAAGCCAGTCGGGCTAGGGCATCCGCGCTGAGAAGGTGCGAAGCACTGCTCGTCGATTCGGTACTCTTATGTTTGCGCGCCGCCGACACAGCAGCAGCAGCCTCCAAGCTCCTTTCGCGCTCGCGCTCACTTTCCTTTCGTTCTCGACGTCTCTGCCTTCGCGCTTCGGCATCAGGATCTCGAGAACTCTCTCTCCCCTTCTCATCCCTCGCTCGGGATCTCCTCTCCCTCACATCCTTAGTCGGGCTCCCCTCATCATCAACGTCCCTCTTCCTCCGATGTCCATCGCGATCTCGCTCTCGATCCCGTTTCTTAACCGGTGACGTAGCAGGCGACTCTTTCGCCTTAGACCTCTCCCTTTTCCTACCCTCCACGGCATCATTGTAAGCCCTTTCCCTCCTTCGCTCATCAACAGCTTCATTGTAAGCCCTCTCCTCGTCCCGCTGCCTTCTCCGTTGCCGTTGTTCGCGCTTCCGGTCCTCGTAGTCACTATCCGCAGGCGTGCCGGAATCATATCCAGACTCTCCACGGAATTTGTACTTCCCACGTGAAGCCCCCGGGCTAGACACGGCACCATCATCTTCATAGCGGCCCTGGACATACTCGCGCTCCCTATCGCGCTTCCGTCTGCGCTCCCGCTCCCGCTCGCGTGCGCGATCCCTCTCCCCGCCATGGCGGTCCCGACTGCGAGATTGGCCCGGCATGACCGATCAACCGATCCGCAGTATGTAGCTAGCGTGCGAGAGGCCGATCCTCGGTTCAGGGGGGTGGGGGACGTGGAATGCCAGCGTGGCGTGGTCCCCGCGGAACGTAACGTGGTGGGACAAGTGCAGCGCGCGAAATCAGCACGTCGGAATCGTAATTAAAGCAATTGGGCCGGTATGCTTCGTGCGCTTGGGTTCGAGGATCGGGTTGAGGTGTGCTGGAGATGTTTGTTGGTTCTGGGTGAACTTCGGGGTTTTTTGTTTTGCTTTTGCCCCATGCGTTAGTGGGGAGGGCGTCCTAATCGGGATGCAGGACACGTAATGGACGGATGGCGCTCACTTCTGGGCAATAATCTTGGATTTGGAACATGTGATTGAGTTTTATCTTCACCTTGAGTTCCTGGTTTATCTTGGATCGCGGTGGGGTCTGCGGCCTGGTTGTGCGGAGCAACGCCCCCGGGTGGATCTTGAGGGAGAGAAGTCGTACCAAGGACATATTGTAAGTGGGCCTATTTAGGTGGTCATGGCCATCTGTCGGGGCGTTTTCAATGAGACCTTTGAAAACTTGGATTTAAAGTTGTCTAGAAAGACGTTTTAAAAAATTCCTAGGAGGAAACCCAGAAAGACTAAGAAAATAAAGTGTTGAAGCCAATTTGCAATATCTCCTGGGTCCGGCTGACGATGAGCGATTCAAGCGGGTGGTTCTATATTACACGAACGTGATCGGCGAGCTCGTCTCTTTTCTTATACATATTTCCAATGTTCCCACTTCAACCAATATAGATAATTTTCATCCCACAGTTCAAACTTCCAAGGTTGGCTATGTACCTAGACGGCTGTTTGAATGACTACGAAAATGATGTGTGTCGCTTGTCATCAATCAAATCTCTCCAATAACGCCCTTAAGGATCTCCGGGACAATCACACTGGCATCACCCTGGAAGAACCAATCACCCTTCCCTACTCCCTTTGAACGTTTGCCAGCGACATCATTTGGATCCATATTGATCACAGCCACTCTGGCGCCATTTTCGCGGGCCACATCGGTGTAGCCGGCAGCTGGATAGACGCTCGAACTAGTACCGATAACCAGCATCAAGTCGACCGGCTCGGATTTAATCCACTCGTCGATATAGTCCAGGGTGTTACGGGGGAGGGGTTCTCCGAACCAGACCACCCCAGGACGGAGCAGACCGTTGCATTTGGGGCATTTGGGCAGATTGTCTGCACTTAGCTCAGGAAGCGGGTTACTTGGGTCGGATATGTCGACTTCGTTGGCGAGTTTGAACTGTTGTTCTGCTGAAGCAACTTCGGAGCTGTCTTCCCCAGAAGCAGCGGGAAATAATTCTTTTTGAGGGATACCCAGGGAAGGAACGATGGGATCTGTGAAATCGTTGGTGCGTGTGTAGTCGCAGTAGAAAGAAGTGCATTTGATGTTGAAAAGGGAGCCATGAAGCAATTTTAGCTGTTCCATGGGGTGGCCTGCCCGCTGGGATAGACCTGAATATTAAGTGTTAGCAGCAAGTGTACAGGACGCAAGGACAAGGCGAGACAGGGTAGGGGTTGTGGTACCGTCGACGTTCTGAGATAGAGTTATGAAATCTTTGTTCTTTCGCGACATCTCCGCCAGCGCGTAGTGAGCTTTGTTGGGTTGAGCCTGCAAGGCCATGTGTCGGCGGTAGTTGTAAAATTGCCAAACTAGTCCCGGATTATCCTCAAAGGCTTCTGGGGTTGCGAGTTCCGTGGCATCGAACGAGCGCCAGAGTCCTCCAGCACCTCGAAAGGTGGGGAGGCCCGAAGCTGCGGAGATGCCAGCCCCCAAAAGAGCTAGGATTCGCCGGCTGCCCTGGAGGCATTCGGTGAAGGACTCTAAGTCTGCAGCCGGAATGCGAGCTGCCTGCTTTACCACGGAAGCCATGATGTTGAGAAGAGAGAATGTGTGAAAAGGAAACGGAAAAAGTGAAGTGTAGAGGTGTTTATCCGATACGGTAAAGTATTACGGGAATGACGTGGGCAAAGCGGCCCACTCTTGGGTTGCGGCTAATACTGCTCTGGATACTCTCGACACTTTATCCCGGCAATTCACTTGGTTGAAACCAAAATGTTCGCGCTGCATCTGGAGCAAGGCTCTCAACACGGGGGTTGCAACAGACGAGAAGCTCGTCGAAGGCGAGACAAAATATGACGGTTGTTTCCAAGAAAAGTATCCAGCTGGCGAAGAAACTACCGTTGCAGTCGGCCCTAGTGATCTGGACGGGTATCTTCATGATCTTCACGGCACTGCGCATTGAAACGCCGGGACTGGCATATAATGAATGAGGCACTCCAACGATTGAAGAATCACCCTTGTGATCCAAGTTGAATCGAGAGGCTTCAGTCAGCATGATTCCATTCCCGAATACTCGCGCGAAGATTTATTGTGCGTGGAATATTTGCCTAGACGACCAAGGATTCGGTTTGGTTATTGTCATTCTCATTTCGACAGAGATGCTAAAGTTCATACGGAACAAAGAGGGTGGAAAAGCGCAGTCATGTCTTAATGAAGGTCTCTGGTGTGTTAAGGAAGCAGGCATGCTGGGAACTAATATTTGCTGCATGATATGATTATTCCAAGGCCGCTAATAACGTCTTTAATACTATTATATATTCGCAGCGGTTTGCGTAGTTATCAGCTCAGGCTACAGAAAGAATACTCTCTAACGCCTAGAGAACTTAGGGTATTGGATTATCGCGAGCTTAGAATCTTTCTAAGGTTTTTATTGCCAGCTTTCCCTTCGGAGTTAATACTTTCGAGTGCGGTAACAGCGGCCTTGGCATTTTTATCTAGGCCTTCCAAGTTCGACTGAGGGTTCAGCCTTGGATTGTCAACACTTTAAGCCTATAGTGGTTTTTAATTTACTAAGCTAAACCTATTTAGGATAGGGAAAGTGGAGAGGTGGGGGTGATTATAACAGGGTGGGGTGAGTTTTAACAATTCCCTTTAACAATCCCCGTTGATTAATCGCATTTTGGCAAAAGTTGATTTAGTTAACAGATGATACATTTATCAGTGGATGGAAAAAGAAGAATTACCGAGCCCTGGAGTCGAACCCGGATACCTGCGGCCCCATAAGGGCCCTACCTCAGATGAGGTAGGGGTACCGTCCTTGCAGGCGTGCTACCATTGCACCAGCCCGGCTTCGTTGTCTTACTTTTCCCATGACACCTCAATCAACGCCGTCCAGAGTGGAATCAGAGGGATAATCGAGAACCAAAGTTTTTCTCAAAGTCCGACCCGGCGGGAAACTCACCACGCCCAGAGCGAAAGCAACTAGCGTGGGAAAGAATATACACCAAGAAGTGCATATCTTCACCGACAGCTAGGGCAGCGCTGAAATGAAAGCGCCAGTTCACTTCGCCTAAAGACGGTCTCCGAACAAGCTCTCCCGCGGAAATGCCGGTATCTCGGTGTAGATGAACCCGATGCCAACCCACGGAGGGATCCCTGGTAACGAGGCAGCTGACGAGGCAGCGTTAGACGCGGCGCTCCGAAGGTTGGCAACAACCGACCCATCCAACGACGCGTACTGTTCGCAGCCAGACCACGAGATACGATGACGTACCAGAGTGAGCGCCACAGCTGGCCAGCTCAGGGATGCGATGCCTAGGTGATTCAGGGGAGTCAACACGAGAGAATTATCCAAGTTGTTTCGGTGCAAGAAAGAAGGAAAGCCCACACGCTATGGAGCTTTGATTGGGACAGAAGCAAAAGGATCTTCGGCCAATTTATAGCGAAGTTCTAGATTGCAGTCACTCGATCTTCTTCCTTGACCAGCCACCCGCAGGGGAAGCATCTATCTTGAACAGCTGGAAGCGGTTAATGGTCAGAGATCCGTGGTTCTCACGATGCTAAGTCGTGGCGGCCCTTTTGCTAGTTCACGGCCATGCAACTGTCGCTCAATGGAAAATGGAAAATGGGGAAAACATTGCTACAGCGCGGGGACGGGGAAACGGCTTTGGTTTTATACTTCCCTAATGGCGGTGAGAACATGTACAGTAAGCGAGCAGCAAACAAAATTGTGGATCACGTGACTTAACCAGGGCATCCCTAGGGGTTTCATACCTCTTGTAACATCTAGACGGATGTTGTAGTAGTACTGGCGCAGAGACCCTTGCTTCGGCTGTCTGCAAAAGACCAACCACACCGGGATTAGGTTTCACCGTGCAACAAGTCAGACCAAGCCTATTTACCCGTGGAAGGCCATTCATTCAGCTATCTGGCTATTGGTGACATGTTAGCCGAGTGGTTGCCCTCTGAGAATGGCGCCAACATTCCAACGGTTGTCAAGCCACTGGATGGCGCTGAATAATAGGAGCCGGTACCCCAGGAACAGCATTAGTTATTTCTATAAACAAGTGCTTGTTTTTCACAAAGAGTGGCCTTTCTATTGCTATTGACTCCCCCAATTATCGCTCTAAGCGAGGATGCTCGCTTCGACCCTTGCCCTTGCGACTCTCTTGCTCGGTGCGGTGGATGCGAAGAATCAGGATGGCTCACCCTCACGATATGACTTTGTTATTGTTGGCGGGGGCACCAGTGGGTTAGTTGTTGCTAACAGACTTTCAGAAATGGGAGATGTTACTGTCGCTGTCATCGAAGCCGGAGACTCGGTTTTCAACAATCGCAACGTCACTAGCGTTCAAGGCTACGGCCTGAGCTTTGGGTCAAGTATCGATTGGGCCTACCAGACTGATGTACAGAAATACGCCGGAGGAACAAGGCAGACCTTGCGTGCTGGAAAAGCAATAGGTGGTACAAGCACTATTAACGGTAAGCGATGCCTTATATCTGTGTATGCTCCCCAAGAACTTGTGCTAATCCTGGCTTGGGGCAGGGATGGCATACACTCGAGCCCAGAAAGTACAGATTGACGCTTGGGAAAAGGTTGGGAACAAGGGTTGGAATTGGGACAGCCTTATGCCATACTACAAGAAATCGGAAGGATTCGAGATCCCGACCCCGGAACAGATTGCTCGTGGTGCCGACTACTACATCAGATATCATGGAGAAAGCGGTCCGTTGAAAGTCGGCTGGCCTATAATGATGACCAACAGCAGCATGCTTCCTATCCTCGACGAAACCTTCCAGAAGATTGGTCTCCCCTATAATCGCGATGTCAATGGTGGCTACATGGTCGGGCTCACGTCTCACCCCAATACAGTCGACAGAGAGGCCAATATTCGTGCCGATGCGGCCAGAGCTTACTACTGGCCTTTTGAAGCCCGACCTAATCTGAAGATCATCTCAAATACCTACGCGAACAAGATCCTTTGGGCCAACGAGTCTAACGGTGAGGCTGTCGCTATTGGAGTCGATGTTATTGGCCCCGATGGAGGTGAAACGATATACGCTTCGAAAGAGGTCATTCTGTCTGCTGGATCTCTGAAATCATCCGTGATTCTCGAGCATTCAGGCATTGGGAACCCGGAAATTCTCGGCAAGTTTAACATCCCCGTCGTGGTCAACAACCCCAGTGTTGGGGAGAACCTGCAAGACCAAACCAACAACGGTCTCGCCTACGAAGGGACAGAGTTCTGGCTCGGCTCACCAACTTTCTCTGCTCTACCATCAGCCGACCAGCTATACGGAAAGAACGTCTCCGCCGTCGCCTCCTTTGTTAACTCCAGTCTTGCGGATTACGCAAAGGCCGTGGCCCACTCCTCTAATGGGGCCGTTCAGGAAGCCAATCTCCTGTCTGCTTTTCAGCTGCAATACGATTTGGTATTCAAGTCACAAGTGCCATATGCGGAAATTGTTTTTGTTCCCATTGCACACTCGTTCTCCAGTGAATACTGGCCTCTGCTTCCTTTCTCAAGAGGCAGTATCCACGTCAAGTCCCCCGATGCTGCCGAGCCCGCCTCCATCAACCCGAATTACTTCATGTTTGAACAAGACCTCAATTCCCAGGCTGATGTGGCTCGCTATATCCGCAACTTATTCGAGACTGCTCCTCTCAGTGATCTTGTGGGAGACGAGTTTTCACCAAGTCTAGATCATGTTCCTAAGAATGCATCGGAATCTGAGTGGACCAACTGGGCCAAGTCAACCTGTGAGTGTTACTCTCTTACAGCATCCTGAAAGCACGAAACGCCGACTGACCCCCTTTTAGATCGATCAAATTTCCACCCAGTTGGCACTGCAAGCATGCTTCCTCGGGACAAGGGTGGCGTTGTCAGCCCCGAGCTCAAGGTTTACGGCACCAAGAATGTCCGAGTGATCGATGCCTCTGTCTTGCCATTTCAACTATGTGGGCATTTGACAAGCACTCTTTATGCCGTGGCTGAGAGGGCGTCGGATCTGATCAAGAAGCAATATATACCGAGAGGAAATAGTGTTAAGGTGAACTCTGCAAATAAAACAATGGTCTAACCCCAAGGTTATACCGGGGGGCCCGGGGTGTGTGAATAATACCAAGTCTGATCGAAATATAAATGAATTGAAACCGATATTTACAACTCAATTGCTTAGTTGGAGCTCATCCTGAATCCCTCAACTTTAGTGCTGCTCCTCGGCAGGGAGCTGAATCTTGACCGCGCCCTCAGCCAAAGCGCGATTCTGGGCATTCTTTCTCGCAATATAGGAAGTGATATGCTCCGGAACCTGGGACATTTTGCTATCACCACTGGGAACAGGCTCTCCATAGGTCTCCCAAACAGGAACAACACCCGTCCAGACCTTGCTCGTAACCTCCTCATTATCATAATCTTTGCGCTCATCTGAGACGCCCCCGTCACGGATTTTTCCACTACCATCCACAATCTTAACCTTCAGAATAACAGTTGAAGACATCTCCGCCTTGTCAGGAGGCACGCGGGAGTTATTCCAGCGGCCAGTAAGGACCGAGTTGGTAATCATTTCCATAGCCCAGAGTTTCTCCGCTTCGTCAGTGACAAGCTTGGCATATCCGTGCAGGATAGCAGAGCGGTAATTATAGCTGTGTGAGTTGGGCGTCAGGGACAGGACCAGTCCGTCCACTTTGCTGGTTGCAACGCAGACCGGGAGGCCGTCACCCTCGGAGTTGCGGGCTAGATTCATAATTCGTGAGCTCACGTAGCCGTGCAGATAGCACTCCAGAGGCTCGTCGATGCTTGCGGATGGGTACTCGAATGAGCCCATTTGGCCGATCATTGGCAGGATGGCGGGGAAGGGGTCTTCCGGGCCCGGGCTGAAAGATACATGGAGGACATGGGAGTCGTTGATAATGGAGTGAATCGGACCCAGGTCGTATGTCGCTGGCAGGATATTGTCAGCAGATGAGCTTTCTATCTATGAAGCTTTACGCACCGCGATGTTTGTAACGATTGGCGGTGTTTGATGTCCGCTTGGGATAGGTGAGAGTGCGTCCCATGGTAAATATGTATGCACAAGACGAATGGTTCAAAGTATGAAAGATCCAAGATCAAGATAGCAATAACTAAGCTTTTATATATTCCACTACATCATATAAACCCAGATAAGCACGCTTTCCACGACCCCATGGAGAAGGTCCATCCGCGTCAGCGTTCCCCGCGGTGCGCGATTGGCCGCCACGACGGATTTCCGAACCCGGAAACAGTTACGCACGAACGAGTCAGGGTTCAATGAGCAATCAAGCCGTGGGAGTGAGCTAGACAGCTGATGTCGCAGTGGCCGTAAAGTAAACATGCGATGTGAAACATGTGGAAAGTGATTGGCCCACACCGCCGACTCGGCGGCGGCCCCGTTGAACTTCGCGATAACCACGCTTTCCCCGGTTATCAATCAATGGTTATTTTGGCAGTCTGACGATGGCCACATGCAGGTCTCTCGCCCGAGTCGGCGCACAGTTGCGCCCTTCGGGTCGATCAATTATTCCGTCACGCCCATGTCTGGCCCCGAGCAGGATCCCTCGCCGTAGAGCGTATGCTACCTCCGTCGGTGCCGCGGATCTCAAGTTCGGCCAACCGCTGCACGAGACACATCCCCACCTCCTTGAGCCTGGTGAACGTATGTGCTTTGATGTCGCATCGGAATACCGGGCTGTACAGCTAACTGTGGATTGCGAGTAGTTACTCCCGGTGTCACTGCGCTCGAATATGCCCAGCGTCGCTCGCGACTCGCCAACAAGCTCCCCAAAGGCGCAATCGCTGTCCTGGCTTCATCGGAGGTGAAATACCGTGCCCCGGGTATTTTCCACGAGTATCGACAAGAGTCAAATTTCTTCTACTTGACGGGTAGGTGCCCGCAAATCAAGGTTGTGAAGGATGTGGGCTGATCATGACTTGTTGCGGCTTCAGGATTCAACGAACCGAATGCCCTGGCAATTATCGCAAACGATGGCTCCGGCGACAATCACGTCTTCCATCTTTATGTACGAGAAAAGGATCCCAGGGCAGAGCTTTGGGATGGAGCACGGTCCGGTACCCGGGCTGCCGTAGACGTGTTCAACGCGGATGAGGTGCGTGAATCTTTTTGGGAAATTTTCGGAGAATAATACTGATGCACCGAGTTATAGACTGGAAACATCGAGCGCATTGGAGATATTTTGCCCAAGATCGTCACCCAGGCCACCGAGGTCTACTCCGAAATCCCGGGCTTCGACCCGTCCAGATCGTCCCTGCACCGATATCTATACGGACCTACAGTTGCGTCGGAGAAGTTGAAGAAGGTTGTCGATCACCGCAAAGTCCTGCCCTTGAAACACATTCTCAATGAGATGAGGGCCTTCAAGAGCGAGAACGAGGTTGTGCATCTGCGCCGATTGGGACAGGCCTCGGGTCGGTCTTTCACCGAGTCAATGCGCCGAACCTTTAGCACGGAGAAGGAGTTATCTTCGTTTTTGGAGTATCAGTTCAAGGTGCACGGTGCAGATGGAAGTGCTTTTGTACCAGTTGTGGCTGGCGGTCAGGTAAGCAAGCTTGCCATTCAATCACAAGAGCTTCAAACTCATGATCACAGAACGCTTTGGCCATCCACTACACGAGGAATGATGATGTCCTTCGGTATGTTCATCCAAGAGAGGTTTACAAATGACGAGGCTTACAATATTGACCAGGGACGGCGACTTGGTTCTTGTTGATGGCGGTGGTGTAAGTACTGCATACTCAAGGCGAAGGTCAGCGACTGATGCAAAGTACAGGAGCTTGGAGGTTACATATCCGATATTACCAGAACGTGGCCGGTCAACGGCAAGTTCACAGATCCCCAACGGGACCTCTACAATGCTGTACTCAACGTGCACCGATCCTGCTTAGCTCTCTGCCGCGAGAGTGCAGGCTTTTCCCTGGACAAGTTGCACGGCATTGCCGAGAACGGCTTGAAGGACCAGTTGAACCAGCTTGGATTTGACCTCTCAAGCAACGTAAGAGCCGGACCTCCGTGAAGCGCGAAACGGGTAGCTAACGGCGAGCAGGCCATCTCCACCCTTTTCCCCCACCACCTTGGCCATTATATTGGCCTCGACGTGCACGACTGCCCTGGCTACTCCAGAGGGCACAACCTGAAGGCTGGCCACTGTATTACCATTGAACCGTGCGTCCCGGCCCCCCAATTTCTGATATTGACAGGAGCTAACTTATCCAAGTGGCATTTACGTTCCCGACGATGACCGATGGCCTGCACACTTCCGGGGCATTGGCATTCGTATCGAAGATAGCGTATGTGTTGGAGACGAGCACCCGATCGTGCTGACTCCCGAGGCTGTCAAGGAGGTACGTCCATTTATATTTGTTTGTTTTGATTGCTTCGCTAACTTTACAAGGTCGATGATATCGAGGCACTGCGTCCTTAGATGGTCTCGTTAGTGTATAGTAGTAGTCAGATACCCTCGAAAACAAATGTACAATACATCATAATTACCTTTCATCCGACGTGACATCTCGGTCTCAGTAGTTTTGTCTTAGTGAAAGTTTGGGGGCTGGTCCGGTCCGGGGGTGGTTGGGGACGAAAATACCCTCGTGCTGGAGAGGGAGTTTGTGAATAAGATGAATGTTTGCATCTCATCGAGAATAGAAAGTAGAAGTAAAGTGGGAAAAAAAGAAGGCGTTGAATGGAACGTCGCGCGGGCAAAGAATGCAATGTTGATGTTCATGCTTCGCGCGACGCTGTTGGTTGTCCCGGCGCAGCCAAAACAAACTACCAAGGGCTCCACCACACGACTTTGCCCTTCAACTCTCTTCCCTTTGCACACCCACTACTCCCCCTTCATTGTACCCTTTCCTTTCGGAGTTTGAAATCCTCCGAGCTCATCAGCCTCCTCTACTGAGCTCTGTGTTACCATGTGTAACCTTTGAACTCGTCCGGGCCCTGCAAGACGTGTATCACGTCGCGTGCTTGACCTCGAATACCCCTCTACCACTGACTTCCCTCATTGACCCTGAACTACGCGTTCGACTTCGAGGGACAGAGACTCATGGCCGCTGTATTTATCCCACCTTCTCCCCAAACCTCCCTGAACATGTCGACTCGACGCCCTCTCGCCAACGTGCCGAATGCAACCAACTCTCCACATAGGGCAGGGCTCCTGTCGGCCAAACGAGCTCGATCTGGGCAGCTCGAAATCCCCTACGGCCAACCTCCGCCCAAGAAGCAGGTGATGGACGCGGCGGAGCAGGATGCTCGGTCTCCCTCCAGAAACCGGTCGACGGCCTACCACAGTGCCGAGTCAAAGCTCTTCTCGAGACGGTCCAATAACCCCAATCCTAGCGCGTTTGAAAAGAAGCTGGTAGCTGCTCGTGAGAAGGATCGGCCTTCGCAGCTGAAGACGGCGAGAGGCGAGAAGCCGTCGACGGACACTATGGACACCATTCGACAGTGGCAACGGCACTACCGCAAGGCGTTCCCGCAGTTTGTTTTTTACTTCGACAGTATTCCGGAGGATGTTCGTCGAAAGTTCTCTCGCCAGGTTGTTGCTCTTGGAGCTGTAAGTATTGCCTCCTGGACTGTGTTTTCCTTCGCGTGTTTCGACATTGCTGCTTTTGTTCCATTGGCAATCCACGCCCAAGTCCTTTTCAACATTGCTAACTTGACAAATCTTAGCGTGAGGAAAAGTTCTTTTCTCGTCTGGTCACACACGTCGTCACTTCGCGTCCCATACCCCCCGAAGCCTCCACCAGCCCGACCGAGGAAGCACCTGCCGATGGAGATGCTCATATGGAAACCGTAAATCCCTCCCTGCTGGAGAAAAACGGCGACACACACCTCCAGCCGTCGTTAAAGCACGATGCGCGTCGGGAACAAGGATCCATGGATGTCTTGCAACGAGCTCGACAGATGGGGATGAAGATTTGGGCCTTGGAAAAGCTTCAGCGAATGATCACAACGATCAACGATAATGATATTGGTGGTCAGAATGATAGTGTCTCCCGGAACAAGGCTGGCGGTGCCTCGGCCAACGGACGAGGCGAAAATGACCTCTCGCGCGTTCTTCGTCAGGAGCTTCTCAATGGACCCTCTGATCGTGACCCATTGTCGTCAATGGAGTTGCTCATGTTCAAGGGACCTTTCGTTTACATCCACGACATGAACGAAAAGACCAAGCCGGTTATGGTCCGAGAGTACTCCAAGGTTGCCAGACGCCAAGATGGAGCTTGGCCACAGTTCCGGAGTGCGCCTCTGGGCAAGTGCCCATTCATCGATGAGCCTCCGAGCCGGAAAGAATATGATCGTCACCGTATGCGGCAGATCCAGAAGGAGAAGAAGTCGGCTGTCCAGAACATGGACGAACATCGCACAAAACCATCTGCTGCTGCCACCGAGCGGACCATCGACACGAAGCTGGTGACGGAACTCCACAAGCCCAAGCATTTAGAAGAGCAACAGCCTCCCAATCGGCCTGAGGCCCCAGCGAAGGCTCTTGCCGATGATCCCCACGAGCGCAAAAGCTCAGAGAGCTTCATCCCTCCCCACTTCCCTCGCACTGGACCTTTCTACACTGGCCGCGAGCCTGCGGCCTCTGGAGTACAACCGTCAAATGTCACATCTGCCATCCGGTCTCAAATGATTTCATCTACTGCCGCCGCCCCAGGCGCGAAAGCAGGATTGAGCAAGGAAGTCCATGGGCTGAAGAGAAAGGTTCTGGAAAAGGGCACTGGTGGTATCGGATCCATGGCTGCTCCCCAGCGTCCTACTAACGGGTCTACTGTGCCCGCTAGGGGTCAGCAGACCTTCACAAAGCCCGCTGCTCTCGAGAAGAATGGCCAAGCAGAGGCTGCTGGCACGAAGCGTCGTCGGGATGAAGAGCAGGACAGTGAGCAGAAGAAACCTGAGCGACGGAGGGACCCGAAGCCTGGATATTGCGAGAACTGCCGTGATAAGTTCGATGACTTTGAAGAGGTTTGCTTTGCTCTTCTTTTGGAGTTGACGTCTGCTAATCTAGACTCCACAGCACACCCTGACCAGAAAACACCGTCGCTTTGCCCAGAACACGGCCAACTGGGCCGAACTCGATGCCCTGCTGTTCGAGATCCAACGGCCTCTGAAGGAGGAGTACGAATTTGACGAGTGATTTGGGGATACCACAATGATGCGGCGGTGAATTTCGGATTTCGGATTTCTTTCGACTGTCCTGCATAATGGTTCCTGTTGGTTTTCTTTTTTTTCTTTTCCAGCTTCCACGTCTTTTTCCTTCTCCTGTGACGGTGCCATGCCTTTGGAAGTGATGGCTTGCATACACACACCCCGGCATCGACACATACGCATACTGCGGAGTTTCTCTTTTCGCCTCGCATCAACACTACGCAATCGACAGCACCTGCATTTATATTGCTACCTGCTTTGACCTCCCTTGGGTGGAGGTCGTCCATTCGTTACGGCCTTTCCTAGCCCTTCGATTCTCTTCTACCTTGTATTTCTTATTCAACCTTTTGCACCGGCACTCTTCGGCGGAAACGCACCTCTACTTCAATGCACCTGCAGCCGAGGCCATTCCCGGCTAATGACCCCCTCTCTTTTCCTTTCTGACGGCCAAGTGGTGGAACTTGCCCGCTTCGTCTTTGATCCTCATGCGATTCAAGACAAGTGGCAAGTAATGGCATGTGGTATACAGGTGGTATAATTGTCCGATGAGCATGACTGGAAGGTGGAAAGCACTGCGCTGCATTGCATCCTGTTACATGATGACATCTGTCAACAAAGCCTACGGGCCTAATTGTTTCGTTTATCTAGTTGTTTCTTATCCTGTCCTGTTTCATCCTGCGGTGTCCTTTTCTTCGTGGACGCCCATACCCGGCGCTGGTGGCGGAGATCCTCTCCGATTTTGTTTTGCATACAGTATTACCCAATGGACTCAATCATCCACTGCTTCTGCTTCTGCTTCTGATTAGTGTGTGTACATGTACTTGCTGGAAAGATCGCCCGGTGGGGATCGAATAGAGTCAGTGCACGATGTGAGGGCACACGGTGTGCCTTGCATGTGTGGAGATACGCGGGTGTCCTAGACATGCACATGCAGGAACCAGATAAGTTGGAGAACAGTAGGTCGTATGTCAAGATGAAAGCACCATAGCTAGCAACTCTGCCACATCACTTGCATAATTGAAGAATAATCGAAAGATCACATTGTTTGTGTTATACACCCCGCACTAACCCAAAAGGGAAATAACCTCGGCGCAAACGGGAGGCGGTGAGTCCGTACAGGCGTAACTTACACTCTTTTACCAGTGAGCTACCCCAGCACGAGTCTATAGTAGAGAGAAATTAAAAAGAAATAGAATCTGAGCAGCTTTCACAAAAGCAAAAGAAACACTAGGTCGATTTGTTGAATCCAGCGGTGTTGTACAAGTAGCCATGGCCGAGGACAACCGAGCACCTGACAGAATGAGTAGCTTTTACCGGCGATGCTTCAACCCCGGCTTTTTTTTCGGAGATGCTCCCGTCTACGCCGCATAACCCAGCACGAACACCCGGACAGAGGGAAGCAAAACGAGACTTCTGGAATATAAAACCGTGCCGTGTTGCCGAACAGAGTGTTTTTAAACCAGCTATTTTTCTTCAAAGAATCGTGGTGCCCACTTGCCTCGGCCGTTGAGTGAGGTCATTGCCGCGACATTACAGCTCCCTTGCAGCTCTACCGACTACGGCCAAACAAAGAAAGAAGTCACTCTGACTGGAAGACAGCGATTCCATTCAACGCTCGTTGAGCCTCACATACTATTGCTGCGCTTCTGTAGCTACTCCGCGTCCCCGCCGGGCTACCCTTGATATCACAACGCTATGGCGACTGGTTCAGCTCTACGGCCGCTCTCGCGGACCGTATTGACTGCCCCGTCCATTCTTAGTGCGACTAGACTGCGTACTGCGCCTCGAACCCTCCGACCTCTCCTCGAATTCAGCTCCGCCATTCCCTCCTCCTCGCCCACCCAGATCCGATACAGCTCATACCACTCACCGGAACCAACTACCAATGCTCGCAAGAAGGTTACCATGCAGACGATAAAGAGCCTATACAAGAAGGGCGAGCCGATTGTCATGCTCACGGCGCACGACTTCCCCAGTTCACATGTGGCTGAGGCCGCGGGTGTTGATATGGTGCTGGTGGGGGATAGTCTGGGGATGGTGGCGATGGGATTGGAGAACACGACTGAGATGGTTATGGAGGAGATGATCTTGCATTGTCGGAGTGTAGCCCGTGGTGCTAAGAGCTCGTTCATTGTCAGTTGCTCGGTGTTGATCGATTTAAGAAGCGCGTATTGACAAACGTATAGGTGGGTGATCTGCCCATGGGGTCGTACGAGGTGAGCTCGGAACAAGCAGTGCAATCGTCCATACGTCTTGTCAAAGAGGGTCATGTGCATGCAGTGAAGATCGAAGGTGGTGAGGAGCTAGGCCCGACCATTAAGCGAATTACCCAGGCTGGTATCCCGGTCGTAGGCCATATAGGCCTCACGCCCCAACGACAGAACGCGCTCGGTGGTTTCCGGGTCCAGGGAAAGAGTTGCAATAGTGCATTGCAACTTCTGCGCGATGCCATGGTGATGCAAGAAGCCGGCGTCTTCATGTTGGTCCTCGAAGCGATGCCCGAGGAGGTCGCAACCTTGATCACCTCGAAGCTCAAGGTGCCCACAATAGGTATCGGCGCCGGCAATGGTTGCTCCGGCCAGGTGCTTGTCCAGATCGACATGACTGGCAACTGGGAGCCGGGTCGGTTCGTCCCGAAATTCGTGAAGAAGTATGCCGACGTCTGGGGTGAAGCGACTCGCGGAATTACGCAATACCGCGACGAGGTCAAGAGTCGCGCTTTCCCTTCCAAGGAATTCACCTATCCCATTCCGAAGGAAGAGCTGGCGGAGTTCGAGAAGGCGGTTGAGGAGATGTATCGGAAGTAACGCTTTGTATAATGCCCTGTTATCTGCATGTTTTTGTATCGAGCCATCTGCTATACATAAGCTTTTTCATCTGTTCGTGTCTGGTGCGAGGCTATGCCGCCTGTTCAGCCGAACGCCGGCGTCATTGAGTAAGCGACAATCAATTGGTCATCTGTTTTGAAGCACTGCAGTTGCGATGAGTAGAATTCTGTGACTTTTGGATAGGCGGGACGTACTCGCCATAATCCGCCGACGCCCTCGTCTAGGCCCGGGGCGAATACACTGTTAACGTAACAGAAGACCGAGTCGGTATCTTTAGAGTCTAGCTTCTTTCTGAGGAATTTGACCACAGTTTCGAACTTTTGTGATGCGCTGATCTTGAATACCCGATTCTTCAGTATCGGGGCCGATGGCAGCGGCTGGAAGCGCACGGTGACTGGAGAAGTGTTAATTTACCAGTCGATGGAACAAACAGGGTTGGGACTTCAATTCTAGCGCGAGTGGAAAACGTAGGACGTGATGAAAAAGGAAGGTTGGGAACATCGGACATGGCTGCATCTAGTCTCACCTTTACCAGCATCGATAGCTTCCACGTCGGCTAACGCCTGATGCGCATCGCGGGGAAGGCCTGTCAGCATCACCGAGGCGGTCATGTTCATTGGCAAGTTGGCGCCATGGTCATCGTCAGGTATCGGCCCGTCTCCCCTGTTTGGAGAGTCAGATTCAGGTTGTGGGTCTTGGCGGGGACGACGGCTGAGCGTGCTGGACCCGGGCGGGTTGGAGGGCGAGTTGGGCGCGGAGCGCTCCGAGGGTGATGAAGGGTCCATGGTAAAATCACTATTTAGATCCTGAAGTCCGGTACTTGCTTTGAGAGCCGATCTTATAGAAACCAGGTTGGGTGGATGAGTAGTTGAAGAAAGACGGGTGGGTAAGGAGAGCGGAACCTTGGCTGACTTGTGTTTGACTGAGTCTAAATCCACCCGGCACTGTACATTTAGGTATCTATATACACGAATCTATTTTTGTTTTTGTCTGTCCGTCGCCTTCTGAATTTCTCGATCACCAGATCTGATGCTAATAAGCACCACGGAAATCATCACCGTTATCGCTCCTGCTAGAATCAGGAAGGTCCCCCAGCCAGAGAGAACGTGGAAAATTTCGATCACACCAATGGTGAATGTAGGTATCCCCGCTATGAGACCTGCTTCAATGAAAGCCTGGATTCTTTCTTCCGACGACCGTTGGCGAAAAGCGCGAATCACGAAGAGGAGCCCGATAACAAAGGTAGCATTCACGGCCCACGAAGTAATAATTCCAAGAGAAGAATAACGATATTCTGCGATAAATGCTTCTCGAGCAGTGTTATAGAGAAAAGGGCCCACGGAGTCCCCGAAAACATCTCTAAATCTAAGATCTGTGCCTATATTGGCCGCAGATCGAAAGTCCACTCCGCGGCCCAACTGCCAGAGATCGGCGGTAGTTTCAGCGAAGTCGAGATCGATGTCGTGTTGAGTTGTAAGTAGCTGGACCACGTATGCGCGGACCTGCTTGGGCCCAGCGTCAGGCGGAGGAAAGGAAAGCATTTAGAAAATGAATCCAAATATGGGGAGGTCTTGAAATGTAGAAAGGAAATCGCGGGTTCCATGGATCCAGCCGCCTTCACGCGCTGAGTCATCCAGCCATCATATCACCACTCGCCGTCGTCCCCTCTTCCTCTTTCTTCCTCTGCTCTACAGACCTTTTTTGTGACCGTCTTACTTGCTGATCTGCTTCCCGGCCTAGTCCTGACATATCGTTCCCGCTCTATACTTTCTGCGTCGGCCTTCCACCGGCCATCTGCCCCGCTCCGTTACTTCCCCGCGTCGATTCGGGGGTAATCTCTCGCCCGGTGACCTCATTCTACGAGACCGTACTGGTTCCTGAGCTCCGACGAGCTCCCAACAAAGAAACCTTTTATCTACACAGAAGAAACGCCCTCACACGGCGCCAAGCAATCAACATGAGCAGTCCGAAGCGAAGAATCGAGACAGATGTGAGAATCCCCCCAGAAAGCCCCGATAAGCTACCCGGGTCCCCGCAAATGCTAATACCGACGTTTTTCTTGCTTATATAGGTCATGAAGTATGCCTCGAATACCTGCTGAGCTCGTCAAGCTCGTGGTTTGCTAACGTTTGCTCTAGGATGTATGCACGCCGATCCCCTCCGCTCCCCCAAATCTGATCACACTTTCTGGCACCCGAGCCAACGAACCCGATCCACGATAGAGTTGGTTAGAACATGTCTGATGATGGTATATAGGCTTATGAGCGACTATGAGGTGACTCTGGTGAATGACAACAGTAAGGACTATATGACCTGGACTACTTGCTCGAATGCTAACTGAAGATTAGTGTATGTACCAAGCGTTTGCGACAGGGGTTTCGCAGCATTTCTAATACAATTCTTCAACTCTACAGGCAAGAGTTCTACGTGCGCTTCAAGGGTCCCGAAGAAAGTATGTTCTTGCTCATCATGGATCGGAATTGCACCATACTAACCTCTTCTTAGCACCATTCCAGGGTGGCCACTGGAAAATCCACGTGGAGCTGCCCGATCAGTACCCCTACAAGAGCCCGAGCATAGGGTTTGTCAACCGCATCTTCCATCCGAATATCGATGAGCTGTGAGTCAAGTGTGTCAGAAATTTCCGAATCTCTGCTCACAACATCACCCAGGTCCGGCTCCGTCTGCCTCGACGTTATCAATCAAACGTGGTCACCCATGTACGACATGATCAACATCTTCGAAGTCTTCTTGCCTCAACTCCTCCGCTACCCCAACCCCTCCGATCCCCTCAATGGCGAAGCTGCGGCATTGATGATGCGGGAACCCAAAGGCTACGAGGCGAAGGTGAAGGGTATGTATCGGCTCCGGCTGGTCTCGATGGTTGTACATGGCCGCTAACCGTTGCACACAGAATACGTTGCCAAATACGCTAGCAAAGAAGCAGTGGACGAGGCGGGCGAGGACACCGAGTCCGAAGACGAACTCAGCTCAGCGGGCAGCTACGAATCCGGCGGTGAAGAACCTGCCGGTGCAATGGACGACGTCTAAACGCACTGGTCTGTTGCCAGTTGCTTGGCCACGTCGGATTTGCACGGACATATTGCATTCCTCGAATATTTCTTATATCTTTGTTGCCCATGGGAGCAGGATCAGCGGGCGTTTCATTCATCGTGGAGTTTCCTATTTCCCCACTCTTCTTTTTTGGTTCTCGGTGCAGCTCTGCATTTGCTATGCTTATAAATGGAGTCAGAGACGGGTGATGCTGGTGATGCTGATGGCTTAGTGGACTATCCGGCTATCTCTACATGGATTGTTCTTCTCGAACCTATTCTATTTAGAGAAGGCTAGTGTCATAGCCTCAGAACAGCACAAGTCTTCGGAATTCTTTTAATCCACTGGAATCTAAATAGAAAAATGACATAGTTAAGAGACTTGTAATGGAAATTCGTTGGATTGAGATTATAGTGGTATATTCGAAAATAGATTCCCCCTCATATATTGTTCCTCCGCCTCTATCCGAATCATCCTAATCTGTGTTTGGTTAAGCGTAGATTGTCATTTTAATACATATATCGCTACCTGTAACCGCCCCGCTTGGTCAATCGGCTAGCAACAAAAGCTTCACCATGGCAGTCGACATCATCCATCGACGCACCTCACCCTCTACCCAACTCTCGTTTCTAACGAACACACTGTCCTCGGTGTCATCTATCCGTCGGATCTCCATCTTAGTCCACGGATGGGGTTGCCAGGCAACACATTTTATTCCTCTCATCGCCCGCCTAACTGCGAACGGAGAAAATGCTGACCACGGCTATCTCTATCTCGCAGTGGATCTTCCAGGCCACGGCGAGTCACCAGCATCTATATTGCCTGAGCCTGAGAACGGCGGCATGACCGAGCTCATCGTTGCACTGATCTGCGAGGTACTCCATCAGCAAATATATGACCACGCTCCTAGTGGTGATAAAAAACGGCAGTCGATTCCGACCGTGTTATACGGTCATAGTATGGGCACACTAGTGGCCCTGGAATTGTTGATGGCACTCCAAGACCATAGCCTGATGGAAGTTTCTCACCTGGTTCTACTCGATGCCGCCTGGACAGGCGAACAAACCGCCGAGCCGTTGAATTATAACGACCTACGAAAGACGGCAATAAAATACCGAGAGTCGATTCAAGAGCAGTTGAGTCAGTATTTCGGTCCACGGACTTCACTGGAATTTGAATCTACGACCCGAGCCGGCTTCGCTGGCTTGGATTTCGAGTATGCGCTACGAATGGGTCACTGGTATCGTGGAGTGGAAGCCAAGGCCGCACAGACGTTGCAGAATCTCGACGCAAAGAATAGGCTGTTGTTGGGTTCCGGAGACAAGCCCGTTCGCATATTGATTGTACAAAGCCAAGAGGCTCACGGACCCGATGGGAGACACAGCCTCGTCAGTGGACAGTCTACTGCGCACATGCTTTTTGTCCGTCGCCACCTTGCCTCGGAGTGGACGCAAGAGCTAGTAATAGAGGGGACGAGTCATTATCCCCATGTGGATGATGTCGACGAGGTTGTGGAATGCCTGGCCAAGTTCTTTAGTCAATAGGCAGCAAATAGATGAAGAATACAACTCGCGATATGACTAAGCACGGGCTGTCTGAAGAGTAACTAGACGTGGATTGGGGGAGTTCTAGGTACAGGCCAAGAAACAATTGACGTCTATTTAGAGGGGAATCCACTCAACATTTATATGCTCATGGAACCTGGTGCTGGTTCCGCTTCTTGATTTTATGGTGAATTCAATATTCGAGCTCAGAATATAGATCAAGGAGGATTATGGATGTAAGTTCATCTAGAGAATATATCTAAACTATAGATTCAGGACAAAAGACGTACCCAAGACACACCAAAGGAAATATCGACAACATATGAAAACAACAAGTCTCTTTACCATCTGGCTTCACCAAAAACGCTACCAAGAAAATTCCAACAATTGAAACGAGACGGATCTGATAATAGAAGAACCTGCACCATGGGTATTATCAGACCAAAAGGAAGACAAGTGAGTGGCTATATAAGTGCGAGCAGTCGACCGGCGATTAATGCAAGAACAAAGAAAAGCGGCATCAAAACAAAGAGAGTCAAAAGTACAGCGCACTAGGAAGTCTTATGAAGTATGTTCTCACTCCCAAAAATCATTTTTCCCGAACCCTTCATGTTCATCGTTGTCGTCGAAAAAATGGTTTGCATAAACCCGTGTCAAGCTTTAGTTGACCTTGAGTACACCGAAGACATCACGGACATCACGGGCCGGTTCATTGCCGGCGTTCAAGTCCTGGCGGGAGCGCTTCTTGCTGGGATTCACGACAACCTCGCCCCAGTGTTTTGGAACGGTGCCGCCCGAAGTAGGACGGCTCCGCTGAGAGGTGTTATCGGCAGACACGGTGAGGTGCGAGGCCTCTTCGGGGGTTGGAGATGCTGACGCGGAGGTCGGGCCGTGGAGGGTTGCCTGGGGTAGGAGATGAGGTTGTGGTTGGAGGGACCAGATGTCGATGACGGAGCTGTACAAAGAGCCATTAGCAAAGGGATGCCCCATGCAGGCCGAGATTCGATCCCAAGTACTCACTCAGAAGTGCGCTGGCAAATGGCATCCAGAGCCTCCCGCTCGCGCCTCACGTATTCCGGATCCGGCTGGTTGGCCTGCTGAGCATGGTTGAGAGCTCCGTAGCCATACCCCGCCTGGTAGGGGTCTTCTTCGAGGAGTCGTGAAGACTCGGGCTTAAGAGGATCGTTAGAACTCGTTTGTATCCGACATGCGTTCCACGCATCGCGCATGAGACCCAGGTAATACGCATTGAACAACATAGCGTCTCACAGGGCCGTCAAGCCAGAACTCACCTCGGGAGATTCGTGGCGATTGCCACCAAGGCATGAAGCACAGATACCCATTTATAGGCGTTTACAGTACAATGGCGCACGATGCGAATGGGCACGAGGGATTAATCACCCCAATTATCGATGTAGAGGTGGGACCATTCCCCTCGATGCAGGGATGGGATTTGTTCGAGCGCGACAACGGGCTTGAAAGTGGAGTAAGGAGTGTGGGCGATGCAGAATAGACAACAGTCAACAAAATGAAAAATGGCGCAGTGAGAGGAGAAAAGAGGTTCGAGAGTTGAGGCTGGGAAGGAGAGTCCGTGCGATGTCATCGGGCGCCGATAAGGTGGTGCGTGGCCGCTGCGTGGAAATAAGACGGCAGCTTTTTCGTGCACCTTCTGTGCACTGGTCAACGACGTTTTGTGAACGATTCGAGTTGCACAGTACGCTTGCTCACCATGTTTGACCTGCCGAATGCCAAGCGGTATGCTCCATATATGCCTCCCATCATGATTTTACTCGCTAAACCAGCCCTTTAAGCGTTCGCCGCGACGAAGTCCAGTCGCCGGCCTCGTCCCGCTCCCCGTCCCCGGTCGACGAGTCTGCCATCCGAGATGCCCAAGCCAGGCTTGGCGAGCTACTCAATCTCGATGCTTTAATTGGAGCCGGCTCTATATCGGAAGAGACCAAGGAGCCCCAGCAGCCCGCACCAACCGCCAAGGATGAGGATGAAGAGCAGGAGTTCGAGTTCCGCCTGTTCAGTGCACCCGCCAAAGCTAAGGATACAACTACAAAGCCCGAGGCGGAAGAAAAGTCTACGAAGGACAAAGGCGCAGAGCTCGGGAAACAGAGTGGGGGTACTCAGAAATTACGCATTCGATTGAGATCCCCCTCGCCCTCGACAAACCCCGCCGATGGCCGATTCGTCAAGGCCTTCCGCGGCTGGCAATACTATTTCTCCACTCCTTCCCTGTACGGTCTCAAAGATACTGAAGATGAAGATGAACAAGAGGAAAGGAGGCGCCAGTTCGAAGAGATCGCCGTGACCGGAGACCATATGACGACGTGGGCCAAGTCCCAACCCTGGGTAAGTCATATGAACAAACCCCTGCCATTCAATTGTGAGTTACATTGAATCACCGCTAACAAAATGCCCTAGCCCGGATGCCATCTCCCATGGCGAGTGACTCGCCTCAAACGTCATCAAACCAAGCTGCCCCCCAAATCCACAGACATCCCAGTCTACATGGTTGAAGACGCACCTGCGACAAAATCACCATTGACACGCAAGAAGCCCGGCAAGAAGCGTCGTGTTCAATTGCGCAAGAAGGTCCAAGCAGCCAAGGTCGCCCAGGAAAATGAAGCCGAGAAGCGGAACCGCAAGAACCGAGAACGGAAGCTCAAGCGTCGACAGAAGGCGCGAGAGGAGAAGGCCGCTGAAGCGGCAGCGAACGGCCAAGATGTTCCAATGGCAGATGTCGATGGGGATTCATCTGGGGGAGAGTGAGAAGCATGTCTACAGTGACCCGTGTGAAGATTAACCATGATACCCTACAAATTATATGCTCTCGGGAACGAGTTAATGGTGCGAGTGCACGGCGATAGCCCAGTGCGACGGGGTATTAAAAATAACAAGTAAAAGAACCTTGGAAAGAAAAGGCAAAAAGAAAGAAACAGCTCGAGGGCTGACAGATCCTGCTGGGGTATGTGCAACGGCCTTAAAGGGCGCGGGGAAGGGACAGGACAGAACGTAGATGCATCCTAGTGCCAACTGCTGTGCACCTTATTTGGTTGGCTCGTCTGTCGTTCGTTAGTATTGACATTCTGGTTGGTAGAGAGAGCTTGAACCACGCACCGGTCTTCGTTGCTTGCGCCGGCTGGCACCTCGGTGGGGGTCTCAGCCGGGGCGGAGGTCTCTTCGGGCTTGACCTCGGTGGGCTTCGTGGTTTCTGGCTCGAGGTTCAGTGTTTAGTTACTAGAAGTTACACGGGGTGTGGCATACCAGCGGGCTCCTGGGCAGGAGCCGGAGCCGGAGCCGGGGTTGGACTGGGCTCGGCAGCAGGTGCAGCCGCGGTGGTGGTTGCAGCTGGAGTCTCGGTAGCAGCGGGCTTCTCCTCGGGCTTGGAAATATCCTTCTTCTCCTTTTTACGGCTGAAGATAGCCTTGAGTCCCTTCTTCACTTGGGCGAACGCGTCGGGGGCTGCGTGGTGTTAGTACGGAGCGCCGGTGGAAAGACGAGATCAGAAGAAAAGCAGTGTGAAATATGAACACTTACGAACACCAGGCATGATAGCGATTATTGAATTTGAGTGGATGAGAATGGAGTGGTCGTCGATATCAGGAGTGTAGAAGGCGAAGTGATAGGAGTGACATCGCCACAACCACTACGTGCTTAACGCCGGAGTAGGCCAGACTAGTAGCACGTGCCGCTCTCTATAATCTTCATGCGTGCCAATTCTATAATTTTTATTGACTTTAAGCCACGTTAGGCCATGTTCAGGGGTGATAAACACGAGCTGAGGTCAATAGAAAGTATCCAACAGCGACGATTGGCTTCCATGGTTCCATCTGGGTCCGACCCGCAGGTCCCATCTTGGCACTGACAGCTCGAGTGGCTGTGCCGTCACTAATTATGCGTGGTTACGTGAAACGTCATTTCCCTAAAGCCTCCACATTGCCGGCGCTTGGTATCTTATGATAGGCTAAAAGCCAATGGAATGGCATTATTATGTCGACCTCCTCGAGACATTGGTTGCAATGTGGAGATTGCCATCTTGAAACGACATGAAATGGGCAAATCAAATGGGTATCTCATTGCTATAAGGTAAATATGCAAGCCCTATAAGAAACGCAAGGGGAAAAGTGAATAGCGAATATGCGAGGTATAACTAGAAGAAGCGCAAAAAAAATGCGACGATTAAATGCCCTGGAGTCAGTTGAGCGGGTGGGTTGGAAGGCCGTGGAACATGACTCTTACCGAGTACCAAGAAGAATACGCTGACGGCAGCTTTCATATTATGGGCTCCGATGAGAATGAGCAGGACACCGCATAGTGTCCAAGTAGAGAGACCGTGGAAGTGCAAGTTCGGTATTTGTTTGTATTTTGTGGCTGCTTCGTCGATGATGGTGTGTAGATTCGCAGCAGTTGTGGCGGCCTTGTCCAGCAAGGCCTGGGAGATCTGCGCGTTATATTGCATCTCCTTTTGGACTTGGAATTGCGCTGCTAGCGCTTGGACTTGCATGTTCTGACCTTTTTGCAGCTCATCCGCCTTTGCTTGCGATTGTTCCATGGCTGCCTCCATGGTTTGTAGTCGCTCTCGAAGTCAGCAAAAATCACTGGGTATGGAACGAAAACCAACCTCGGCCATTTTGTTCTCTTGTTTGAGGACAAGGATCAGTCGGCTTGTGAGCCATTCCTTGTCGTTGTCAGTGTCATTCACATGGCACCACGAGCTTCAACATACCAAAGAAGCATCTAATCTTCCTACACTTTGGAAGAGTCTTGCCATGTCTGTCTCCACCAGTGACTCAAGTGACAATTGTAGTACCGAGGCAAGGTCTTGGTAAGCCTGAGTGTTGTCTTCATGCGCACGGAGAGCCAGCTGGTTCCTGGATAAGGAATCTTGATGCGCAAATTGCAAAGCTTGTTGGAGAGCGTTGACCTGACCTGAGGCGTTTTGAATGTTCTGTAAGAAAGTTATTTCATGCAAATAGACGGTTATTGGTACTTTTCACACCTTTTCGAGGACTGCAGTCTCTGACCGCACACGGCCCAGCGCCGATGTGACAGCAGCATTCAAGGTGTCAATTCCGAGTGCAATATCACGAAGAAAGCCTTTCAATGTCTTTTGAAAGAAAGACTGGCCGGCCTCCATATCTGTCACAAGCTTCCCTTGTAGTGATTGGACAGCTTGTACAAAGGCTTCGTGCTGCGACGCTTCCATTACGGCATTGCGCAACGCTTGATGAAACCCCTCGTCCAACTTGATGCTGCTCCTCAATATGGAACGGTGAAGTTGCAGTAGTTCCTCTTTCTCGACCTCAATCCGCGAGGCTTGGCAAATGACCATGGCATTCTGCCGACTGTTGCTGTAGGAAGTCCACCACTGGGGCCGTGACTCAAGAGCCTTGAGGCACTGCTCGAGCAGCTCTTTTGGAACAAGAACTGTGCCGGTGTCAGGAGCATTGGTCTTACTCATGAACCCAAATCGAATTTTTGACGCTGGAGGCGCAAGGGTGACAGGGAGGCAAGGCGCGGGGACTGAGGCGCCTGCACCTTCGAGCTCGCATATTGCGAGGCGAGCAGCATAGACTGATCGGATGCGATCCAAGGTCTCATGGGATACCCGATCCGCATTATCATTGCCCTCGAAGGATTTGCAGGAGGTCACCAGCTTCACCGACGCGATGCGAGCGCATGATGGTAACGTCGACACGGATTCCAAGAGATGCACTGCTTCGGAGAAGATCGCGTTTTGATGAGGTGTTTTCGATGACAGATAGGAAATGACGTTACTACCGTTTGAGATCTCTTGATAAACTGGAAGGTTGCCTTGAACGGTCAGCAGGGCAAGTCACTTTGTTTTCTCGAGAGTTTTACCACTTTCGGCAATATGCGCCCGGCTGGGGTCTTTGAGAGCTCGAGTGAGAGCACCGAAGAGCAGGACAAGGGCCAGCCAAGGGGATAAGTGCCTCTTCATTTTGCCTGGATCCCTCACATGTATCGGCGAATAACGATTATTTCAGATAACTCTCCCAGTCACAGGCGCCTGCGCTCGTCGAGAGAGCTGTGAATGGGTGGAGAAAGGATGAAATGAGTTCACCGGGAGCAGGTTGTAGATGACCAGGTAGAGAGGGAAAGCGAAAAATTTGTGCCCCCTAAGGTTATCAACCGAGTCAAAGTCACGGCTTTTCTCTAGATTCTTCACTAAAATACTGCTGGCGGCATAGTAATGAGTTCTTGCCGAGGTAGAGAGACTTGAAACCAAGTCTGAGGTCCAATCATGAAAGACCCCTCTACATCTAGTGTAGTGGGAAGTCTCTTCTCGTATATTGGAGGCTAATTATCTACAGAACAAGCATCTATCCAGCCAGCCAGGAAAAGAAATAGGCGAGCTCGCACGGAAATTGGCTAGGGGCATCGGCTGCGTGGGCTGTGGCAGTCTCTTTGAGAGATGTTTTTTCCCATGCACCTTCTCTACACATCATCATCGCAACGCACGCTAAACGGGCTTCGGGAATCTCGCAAAACAGCAGTAAGATCGAACTATGTTTGATGAGCTATATTGGAAGTTCATTGACTCAAGATACTTTTGTCATTTTACGACGATTAAGGATTACTATCCCACAAATTGATATAAATCACGCACATTTTCAACTTTCTTTTCTTCGGCTGTGTAAAACCTTAAAAAACACATACATCAACCAATTACGCAGTGTTTTGAGACTCAAACTCCTCCACTTCCTTAAGCGCTCTGGCGACTGTTGCTACCAGTTGGTCACTGTCCTCAAGTCCAACACTCATGCGAATGATGTGCTGCGGCACCCCATACTTTGGGACTTTTTCCCTCTTCCAGTAATTCGCCAGCTGAACATATGGAATCACCAGGGTGAAGTTCGTTCCAAAACTAGAGCCTTTGCAGACATCAAGGATATTATAGAAATGCTCGGCACTGGCGGGGCGATGGAAGATGATACTTAGGACATTACCGTAGCCTCCATTTTTGCGTTGCAAACTTTGGTATAGGGATGAAGTTGGCGCGGTAGATGGATGATGGACCGTGGCAATTGATCGATGGGAGCTGAGCAGATCAACCAGCGGGAGGGTATTTTCATTGCATTGCCTCACCCGCCAGACCACATTCTTGCAGTTGTCTATGAGCGCAAGAATGTCGAGGGGGAAGTACGTCTCCTCATATTTCGAAGATAGAGCTGCCCTGATAGTATTGCGGTACGGGGAGCCGGGGTTTACAACGAGACTGGGAGAGGTGAGCGTGCGAATATCGATAATTGTGGGACTGAAAACTGACCTTCCTCCGGTGACATTGGAAGCGCCACTAAAGGTCTTTGTTAAACTGGATACCATGACATCCACACACGCTATTGCGTCCAGATTAACGAAACCCGCGACAGTGTCATCACAAGCCACGATGAACCCAAATTTGTCGGCAAGAGCCCGGATCCGACGGAGGTCTGGTGAAGACAATAAGATATTACTGGGCAACTCGCAGAATAGAGCTTCGATTTGCTTGCCCGACTGGAGCACGTTCTCCAACTGATCCAACTCTTTCTCTGTTCCATATTTGTACGAGAGGCACTTCTTCCACGCACCTCCTCGGAGGACCTCGATTGTTTCTGGATACAGCCAACTATGAGAGACTTTGTCAGGTTAGGCTTTCTTAGAAGTGGTATAAAGGGCGGGTGCAAAGAGAGACAAAAAAAAAAGAAAAAGTCCGGCCGTACCCAAAGGCAACCACAGTTGAGTCAGGCGTGATTGAACATAGACACTCCGACAATGAAAAGATGGCGTTCATTCCGGTGGGATAGAGGAATACATCGTCAGGATGTACCACCGGCTCGCTTGGCTGGTCAGAGGTGGCCAGCTTCGCAAGAATGGACTTCAGTTTAGGCATGCCGGCGGCTGCGGTTTGGACAGAGGCTAGAGTTTGGGGGGTGCGGCGATGGCACCTTTTGAGGGGTGCTGGACTGCGCAATGCTGGATCTGCCGAATCACAGTCCAGATAATCCAGCTCACCAAGGCAGAACTCTGCGTGGCGGGTGGACAGTCCACTTCCAGTGTCTCTCCAGAACGCCATCGCTTTTTTCCATAGAGAGAATGGGAATAGTACGGCAGAAAAGTTTGCCCAGTGACAGGCTGTAGCATCCCGGGCTGACTCTGGAGGCATAAAAAAACGGGTGCTCTCCAATAACGCCAGGTCCTCGTCCTCCGCACTGGTCGTAGAGGCTCTTAGAGCAGCAAGGCATTTGTGAGCAGCATCAGCAGACGCAAAGACCAGGCAACGAGTGTTGCTTTCAGAGGCAATGGCCCGTTGGAGAACTGCCGCTGAGAGATCCCGAACCGGCTTGTTGATATAGAACCTACAAGCTTTCTTAATTGAAATCTCAGTCTTCTGGCGAGATTACGGCTCACCGAGGATAGCTGCATTCCAGATGGTCTAAAACCCAGTCTTCCTTTCGAGACAATCCAATTACAGAATCCCATGTGGGCAGGGATACGCTGACGCCCTGAGCTGGTGAGCCCTCAGGTCGTCCATATAGGTTAATTCAGATGGGCTACTTACATGTCGTTCGCCTAAAGGGTAGATGTTGGGTTTGCCCAGAGGTAGCGCCTGGGGCGTCTTTGGTGGCATCCAAGGGTCCGCGATCTGTCCCGTGTCTCCCATGCTGGGCTGTTCGTAGTCTTAAAATCCTTTGTGGGTGGCCAAGGAGAGTGAAATACGAGCAGGCGTCCTATTATATACTGACAATGACTGTGTCGCAAGGGGCTATAGTTGGAATGAATAACACTCAAAAGACTAGGCAGTCCATGACCAGTGCCCATTAGGTAAAAAGCTGCTTTTTTTTCATGTTTATTAACCATTGGCCCTTCCCTTTCATTTCTTGGCTTTCGGCTGCACACCGCTATGACATATGCTGGAAGGATTTACCGAGACAAAGGCCTGGATTTTAGGTACGACGGCAGGACCCGCATTGGTGCGTCTATAGTAAAACTATAATCTGCTGCAGCTGCAGGGGCTCTAAGACCTGTATTGCTGCGGGGTATACATCAATCGTATGCAGCAGTCAGCCAGCCACCGGATGCTGCCCAAGGTGGAAAGGAAGGCGGCCGGCCAAACTGGCGTAAATGATACAACTTCCTTTCGAGCTTACACGGCACTTTGGCCATCTCGTGAGGTCTGAAGAAGGAGAAATTAGTTCTGATTTTAGAATGACACATTTGGCCTATACCTATGACTGTCTGAAGTCTGTCCCTTCAAGCATAACCAGTGCCTCTCTGAAGGGTGTGCTACCCCAGATTCCGGAAAGAGACAAAGGTTACTCGTCCAATGTAGTTGTAGCTTCGTTACGTGTTCCCTGCAGGCCATGAGCTTGCCTCGAGTTGTAACTCTTTCACTACTACAGTTAGTCGACATGGATCTAATATCTGGGGAAACCAGAGGAGAGCATAGCATTGCATTGTAGTAAGAGACGACTTGAACAGAATAAACGGTGCTTCGCTGGCTTGTGAGAGATTATCGACCGCAGGCGTGCAATTCTCCAACCCAAAATGATGTTTGGCGCTGCTAGCAAGTTCAAAGCACAACCCACTTATGACTAAGGCTACAAGAACGATCTAGATGATAGCTAGCATATCGATCGAGTCCTGAGCTTTTTGTCCCCGTACGAACATACGCTAGATATTGGCTGCAGGACAGGGAAGCCCTTGGACATGGCCATGGCTAGTGCAGGGCAACGTCAAAGGAATTGACTTTTCGCCCACCATGGTCAAGGAATGTCCCACACCTTCGAAATGCGCACATACGAGTGGCCCACAGATGAGCCCCTCAACGCAGTATTCAATGTCCGCGCCCTCTTCAACCATGACCGAAAGGACTTCGAAGGGTGTGTCCAAACATGTTGTAGCTGGCTACACAGTGACGGCCTCCTGTGTCTAATTGCCCTTGCCGCCGATAATTACGATCTGACCAAATTTGAAGTTGGATATGACCCAGATGGAAACTACGCCAAATTCACGATATCCCTCTTTTTACCAGGCCTAACGTGGAACTTAGAAAAAAGACATTGAGATTGCTTACCTCCTCAAAGTGCACAGCCACTGCGTACAACCGGCAATTACAACTGACCAAAAGGTCCAAAGAAATACAATTCAAGGGGATCGCGCTTCTTCCAATTGCTGCCAATGACGAAACTTGTAACATCAAAGTCTATATTTTCCCCCAACCCTGATACGCTCCTTACTCTTCTCTCATGACCGTAGTCAATGCTTCAGCGACATACCGAACATTGCCTCCATTTACTAGACCCAACGTTAGCTTTGATGGATAGTAGGATCGTAGGTTGTCTTAAATAGCTTCGTGACAAAGAAACATACATCCTGCGATTGATATCCGGCCGGATCCTGTGACGTAGATGTGATAAGTCTTCAGAAGAGCGATCTGCCTGGCACTCAGATTCATGCATGTAAACATTCCAACCTATCGAGATACAAAGTCTGAGTGAGATGCATAAATTAGAGTGGGAAGATTCCGTCTCACCTGGCTTTTTATATAACCCCAATCGCCCGGGGCTCCAAGTATTTCTAGCTCTGTCACAAGGGCCGCTCTCATTGTTACGAGTCTTCCATGGATCATGCAAATTTCTTGCCTCCATTGATCATAGAGTTCTGGATCTGACAAGATCATAGTGGCTATATTGGCCCCAAATGCTGGGGGAGAGTATATTTCTGTAAGCTGGATCCGGGAGATCTGGCTGAACCCCCGCGTGGCGGCGTCTGCAGAGGCCGCAACGAGATGGAATGTTCCGACGCGTTCGCCATACAGCGACATGTTTTTAGAGAATGTTTGTGCAACACACAGCTCGAGGTTGCTGTCGACAAAGTGGCGGATTGCCCATGCATCCTCATCGAGTGACCCAGATGCAAGGCCTTGACTGTGGTGTGTTTATTCTTAGCTATGCTAGTCTTGGCCACTTTGAAGACGGAGATGGTGAGATATACTATGCCAGATCAAAAAAGGGGAATAACTTTCGGAGGGAGCAAAAGGCGGATAAGGTTTTCCACTGCTCTTTTGTAGGATCGACCCCCGTGGGGTTTTGCGCACAGGCATGTAGCAGAAGAATATCATCGGTCTCAGCCTCCTGCTCGAGGAGACGCATCATTCTCTCAAATTTCAAAGAGTGGGTCTCTTTGTCATAATATGGATAGACCCGAACCTGCAGGGGTTTCACTCCCCGGGTCATTGAGTCGCTCGCCAGCTGCCAAATTACGGGATGATTATCCCATGTTATATCGGGGATCCAGATACGCCGAGGTTGGAGGTGTTTGGCAAGGAACTGCGCACCGAGATGATTGGCGCCTGCTCCCGAGACTGTCTGTAACGAGGCGAGCCGAGAGCCCGATCCTGAAAGCAGCTGATGTGCTAGAGTCTCCCCAAATATGAGGATTTGGGTATGGTGGATGAAAGATGCATTGCCATGGGTGGGCAAATAGTCATGATTGGAACGTTTATCGAGCACAAGACGCGTCTTCGCCTACGTCGTTCATTCAGCATGGTATCCCTCTATTTATCCCTTTGCACTACTACCTTTTCCACGACTGGGAGCGTCAACACATTTCCTTCTTCATTCCAATACATGCCCGATACAAGACCGACCTTATTCGGGGATACATCGGTACTAAAATCAGTAATGAGTTGGCGAAACTCGTCCTTTGGGGCATGAGGGATGGTATCAAATCGGGAACGTTCCATGGTGACTATTGAAAAATATCTCGAATGGGTAAGGGGCTATATTTGGCTCGGTCTTCATATATTATATAGGTAGTACTTGTATTAAACATGTTCTTTCGACAACAGTAACAGAATACTATTTGTGACGCGTCTAATTGCTGTTTCGCCTGTAGAGGAGATCGTCAATACCTCCTCGCAGTTGGCCAATTCAGCACCCAGCTTTCACAGCCTTGTTAAGGGGGATCCATGTGGTAGTGATCGACGCGGCCCAGTCTCCCAAGTAGCGGTGAGTACGCCGGCATAGTTCGGCTGTTGTTTATTCCCTACATACTGGCATTACTCATGCATGACCTATTCCAAGTGCGGGGACAGGAACAGCCCGCAATCCTAGTGGAGACTACTCAGGCAACTAGAAACGTGGATGGTATTCACGGGAATTTATGTGGCGGATACAGTAGACGGCTCGCTAGGGAAATCCAATTGGTGTTGAGTGATTATGAAGTTAGAGTTTGCTTAGAAAATCTTCTGATTCCACCCATGTCACGACGCCAAGGAACGGAAGGTCATGGAGTAAAGAAGGAAACCGGGCCAATATTGTGCAGGTCTTCGAGATTAAGTCAATTGGGAAGGGAGAAGACTTCACGGGCCTTTTTCAACTCATCAACCATACCGACCAATGCCACGGTGTCTACGGCAACAATTAACATGGCTTTGCCCTCACCCATCATTCGCATCTTCTCTGACGGACCCAATGCAAACCCTCCACTCGGTTTATTATGTCTCTTCACGATCTTCTTGAATTTGGCAACGGTATCCTGCCATTCGGGCTCAGTGGGCGCCACCCCAGCCTCCCAGCGAAGTCCCATCGAGACTCGACAATCAATGGTCCCGAGCCACACCCCGTCAATTTCGGGAACCTCAGTCAATATAGAGTCAAGGTTATTTAATCCCTCGAGAGACTCAATTTGTATCACGACGGCCGCTTGTTCATTCTGGTTTTCGTGGATGGATTTGGACTTGTCTATGGGAGTGTCGGTGATGCCCTGAATTAGACGATAGGGTGGCGCCGATCTCGTACCACCGTATTTCGCTCCATATTTAGTGGCCGATAGAATATGCTTGGCCTCGGCCACCGTATTCACCTGCGGTACGACGATACTGGCGCCGGCATCAAGGGCATACCCCACCGCGGCGTGATCATGGCTGGGGATCCTTCCAAATCGTCAGCGAACGTCCAGTGTCCGAAATGAGGCCGTAGAATAGAAGATACCGGACAAACGGAATGGTTTTGCCTTCGCTCATGAAGGATATCTCGTGGACCATCTATAAACATTCAGTCCTGCGTGGCCCCAGTAAGAGAAAAGGATATTTCAGGACAAACCGTGGTCATTGTCTCCACGTTACATGCTGAGTGTTCCCAGTCGATCCAGACCAGGTCAAATCCCATAGGCGAAATGTATCGGGCTGTCTGAACAGTGCTCAGTCCGAGGTAAAGACCAGCGAGAGGAGGGATCTTTCCTTCGTGGGCGTCACGCAACGCTTGACGGGCATGATGCGGTTGAAAGAGGGACGGGGCTCGGTATGCAGCCATTCCCAGGCCTTGGTCTGGGAAGAGAGTCATTTGGATAGCTATGAAGGAGACAGCTTCGTTGCACAGAGCAAGATTGAGACATGATAATTTATCTCCCACTGCATGGTCGCTCACCGAGGCCGCAGTTGGCTTTGCTGCAGATTGTCTCTCTGGCCCGTGTAAGCTCCTCGTCCAGGTGTCTACATCTCCGCCACTTCGTGTAACACCATATTGCTTCAATTCAAGGTAAGAAGGAAGTAATGATCGTCTTGGGTACAGGTGCAGGGAAGCGAAGGAGGTGAATGGTACTGCTCAGAGGGTGGGAGCTGCATGATAGAAAGCACGTCAAGCCCGTGTGTAGTTGATTTGTCTCCCTTCTCAGGTGCCATGCTCCACTAACAGCACTAGTGAAAGATCCGATGTGGATACCAATTAACAAAAAAGCAAGAATAGCACTGATGTATGATATTCAGGCAAGAAAGAAAGCAATACAGCCTGGTATTTACTTAGGCGAAATAAGGTGCATGAAGTGAACACGGACCCGCGGAAAAAGTGGAGTACAAGATTCTGTGCTGCAAGATGATATTCACCGTGAAGTACCCGCATTCATGTTGCTCGGTCAATCCATGTCATCTAGTTCTTTTGCTGATAGGCCTTGATGTTCCGAGCGGTCAAGGACTTGAGGGCCTCAGGGGCATCATAAGTGTCCAGCATGACCTCCACCATTCGCAAGCCATGCCCGGTGTGGAATTTCTCATCCGCAAGAAGCGCATGCATCTCACCCCAGGTCTCCACCCTGGCGGTCTGCACATCGTATCCATCTGCGGGCGCACCAAAACAGCTGGGGCTCTCCAAGTAGCGCCATGGAGCGACCTCGTTGTATTCGGCATCGCGGCCGTGGATCAGCCGCTCAATGGTATAGCCATTGTTGTTCATCAGGAAGATGATGAGATCCAGACGCTTGCGGATAATCGTACTCAGCTCCTGCGCTGTCACCTGGTAACTGCCATCGCCTTCGAATAAGATAGTCCGCCCCTGCATTTGACCTTGGCGCTGGGCAAGACAGACACCCTGTGCGGCCGGAAGCATGAACCCTATCGAGAGCCATATGCTCGAGTTGATCAACCGGGTGTTTTCGGGCAACACGAACTCCCGCCCGCCGGTGCTAGAGGTTCCGGTCTCCGTCATGATGATATCCCCGGGGCGAAAAAAGTGCGACATGCGCTCCCAGAATGTATCATGGGCCAATGCGTCCACTGGCTGGGCAGGAGTTAGCGAGGCCAGATCTTGCTGTGGGCTCGGGAGGTTGGGATAGGGCGTGTATTTTGGCAGCTGGGCAGCATCCAGATGGTCTAGAACTTCCTGTAGAGTCGCCTTCACGGGCACGTTGTAGGTTTGGGAGCCGCAGACTGTAACTAAGTTCTGATCGAATGTGATAGACACCTCCGGCCGGGGAATGGTCGTAAATCCGTATGTGTTGATGTTGCTCACGCGGGGCCCAATGTAGATGATAAGATCGCATGAGTCCACCCAGGACGAAAAAACTCTTTTCCCTGTCGTGCCATAAACACCGTGGAAATTTGCCATAGTCTCGTTGATGATGCTCTTTCCAAAGGGTGTAGTGCATGTTACGAACCCTGTGCGACGTGCGAGGTCGTTCGCCTCATCAGTTGCTCCATATCGCGATGTACCAGCATCCACCAACAGGAATGGTTGTTTTGATGCGTATATCTTTCGCAAAATGTGGTTCGCAGCCAGTCTTTTGGTGTCCTGGTCGTGAGGCGGAGGACTCAGGTCGAGAGGAGTGGCTAGAGCCGCGGATGGCACCAGCGCAGTGACCATGTCGGTGGGAAGTTGGATGTAGACGGGCCGCGACTGAAGAATACATTCCCGCAGAGCACGGTCAATCTGGGCTGTTGCCGTGGCTTCATCAACCAGATTCTCTCGTGCGGTGGTGATCTTGACCGTCATTTCGGAGTAGATGGTATAATCACTTGGCTCTCCGGTGCAGAGAGTATGATGTATGCGCCGGCCCTGTTTCTGGAACGCTCTGGATGGAGTGCCGACAACATGAACCACCGGTGACATTTCCGCATAGGCACCGGCCACGGCATTGATGGCCGACAGCTCCCCAACGCCAAAGGTGGTGGTGAACGCGCCGATTCCGTTGACTCGGGCGTATCCGTCGGCAGCGTAGCCGGCATTGAGCTCGTTGCAGTTCCCTACCCACTCCAGCCCCGCGGGAACAATGTAATCCAGGGCCGTGATATTATAATCCCCCGGGACGCCATGGACGGCACGCACGCCAGCCTGGTAGAGGCGTCGAAATAGGTAGTCTGCCAGTTGGATTTGATGGTCCATATTCGCGAATGATTGGAGTGATTGGGATTGTGTAGGATACAGGATACCGCTATAGTCGGTCCGTTCAGGTTTACATTATGTCCTTGCTGCATGCATGGATACCCCCACTTTCTGAATGCGATGTGTCTGAAGTCGAAGACGAATGAGGTGTTCGTGCATCGCAGCGTGCATTACGAAGGGAATAGATGCATCAAACATAATGCTCCATGCACACGCACTTTCGTCGCACCGTGACGCCAAGTCTAATATAAGGAAAGGAGCTAAGCACCAGAGGATGACTCTCATGCAACGCTGTTGTCCACTTTCTATTGAAAATGGCAATCAGCGGCGCTATCCCTGATCCGTCTCGGCGTTTCTTCATTCTCAGTCTCCAAAGAACAACATCAAACCTTTTCGTTCGCATACTTCGTTTGGATCAACAGCCCAATGTCTACTAGAACTACATCGGTAGTTGCATTTCCCTCCAGACCCGGCTCCTGATGCGGAGCCTTGGGCTCAGTGATCGCCCGGTGAGCGAGTGGTCTGCGAAGGCGAAAGCCCAAGTCATGGAGAGCTTCCACGGTAGCTTCAATGCCCTCGAACATTATGTTGCCCAGGGAGAGGCAGATGGCAAGCTTGTCTTTGCAAAAGAACACTGCAACTTTTTAGAAGTCCCGAGCTCCCCCCTAGATACTAAGGCATTCACTGTCCAACTACCGGATAGGTACGCGAAACCCGGAGACGTGGTGTCTGTGGGAAACCCAACAGTCCTACCGGACGAATTCCTGCGCTCATGGATCCCCATCTTCTTGATTCGCCATCCCGCCAGGCTATTTCCTTCGCTATGTCGTGCCCTACTGGAGTTTCATCGGGTACAGGCGTCGGCCGTTGATATGGACTATTTCTTTGCGATATGGAGTCACAGATGTCTCTCCGCGGGACCCGCCGTTTATATGACTGGTATGCGAATGACATCCGCTCAAGGGGGTCCCCATCAGACCCGATCCTGCTCGATTCTGACGACGTGATCAACGAGACTGGCGTCATTGAGCAGTTGGTGCAGCTGGTCGGACTGGATAGTTCCAAGTGCAGAGGTCATGGCAGCCCGCCCAGGAGTCCAAATTAGCTCAGGCCAGTTCCTCCGATGACCTGTTCCTGGACACTTTGATGACATCCAGCGGGATCCAGAGTGATAAGGTAGCGGGCAATATAAATATTGATGAGGAAGCCATCAAGTGGCGAGCAGACTTTGGCGACGCGGTTGGCGCGCTTGTTGAGCGATGTGTAAAAGAGGCGATGCTTGATTACAATCATTTGAAATCCACGAGGCTCCTTGGAGTGTGATGTCCAATGGGTTCAATAACTACTACTGTGTATAGTCTTCGCAGGCCGCTCCATATGGTGTTCGCTTAACGTAGCTTCGAAGCAAGGGATGTGAATACGGCATACTCGTCCACCTATGAAACATGATAGTCCCATAGGATAGCTATAGCTGCAAAACTACCCGACGCTATCGATTACGTGCATGCCAGGGGCGCAGGGAATTTTGTTTTTTTTTTTTTTTTCGTCACTCAAATGAAAAGCAACTTCAGTTTCCATTGTCTATGTTCAAAGACGTGGAGGACACCCATACCTCTACTCACCCAAAATTGAATTATTTCGCTTGAGTAATTCGTCATGGATATCCCGTCGTTGGAGCCAGCATCAGTCCACCGGTGGCGGTCATCTACATGGTTTATTGTCACAGCAATGTCTGTGGCACTCTTCACCGGTATTGCACCTTTCTCTCCTCTGGGCAATGGAAGCTTCTTGGCCTAACAGTTCTGCGTCATTTATATGCCAATAGATACCTTTCTGTCCAGCTTCATCGTTCCCATCCTTCCCTATATGCTCGAAGACCGGGTCGGCTTAGACCCCTCCCGTACGCAGAGCATGAGCTCCTGGCTGCTGACTGAGGGTGCCGCGGTCAGTGTGATTATCCGGATGCCATTGGCACATTTCGCGGATAAGTCTGCCTCGAAGCGCAACTGGTTTCTTTGGGCGCTGGTGATTTGCCTTGGTAGTAACATTGCGACAGCATTCGGGTCATCTTGTATGTCTGATGTCACCAACCTTGTGATTCAGTGACTGATTCCACCACACAGTATTTGTGCTGTTCGCGGGCCGATTAGTGCTGGCCATTGCTAGTAGTATCATGTGGGTAGTGGGATTCGCGACAGTGGCAGATGTTGTTCCGCTTCAACATACAGCCAAAACCTATGCTGTGATATCTATGGCGGTATCGCTAGGTACCTCAACTGGGCCCATGCTGTCTGGTATATTATTCCAGCTGGCAGGGTACTGGGTGGCATGGGCCAGTGCCTTCACGATCATCGGCGTTGATATAGTTTTTCGTCTGTTGATGGTGGAGAAGAACCACCTGGAGAGAACCGGTAAGTGCTTTCATTTCGCTCAAGGGTGACTCGGTTTCTAACATATCTCTTTAAAGGTACCACCGGTGACTCTGTTACTGAACCGGACTCTCCTTCTGAGAACTCCCCCCTTCTCTCCACCGATTCCGATGGGTCTGAGACCTATGCGGTACCCAAGACAACGCCGAACTTCTATAAATGTATCTTCAGTAAGCCCAACTTCGTTGGTGGCATATACTGCAGTTTCATATTTGGTCTCTTAGTGGCCACATTCAATGCTACCGTTCCGCTACATGTTCGTGAAGTGTTCCAATGGGGCGGTATGCAGTCTGGTCTTATGTTTGGTGCCTTGCAGGCTCCACGTCTTGTGGTAACTCCATTGGTGGGTTGGTTAAAAGATCGGGCAGGGACGCGGATACCAACTGCATTTGGATTCGCCATCTTAGCACCATTGCTCTGGCTTTTGGGCATTCCCGGGAGTGAGCAGTTTCCATTTATAAATGCAGTGATCCGGGGAACTGTTCTGTATGTGTTGGTAATGACCTTGATTGGGATCCAATTTAGCTTTCTGAATGGATCAGGATCGATTGAGGCTACAGGTAAGCTCCCTACCATGTATTTGATGTCAAAAACTATGCCTATCGGTTGAAATATGACAGTGGCCGCGATTGAACTCGAAAAAGAGCACCCCGGAACATTTGGTCCCAATGGCGGAAAGTCGCGCGCCCTTGCGATCGCCAGTATTGCCTGGACATTGGGAACATGTGTGGGTCCTGTCATATCTGGGACCCTCAACAAAACATTTGGATACTATGCGATGAATTGCGTTTGTGGCAAGTATGCTCGGTTGTCGATAACTCGGTCAGTGTTAACTTCTCATAGCTGGATTATGTGCTTTGTCAAGTGTTGTTACAGTTCTTTGCCTTCCCAAAAAGACATGAATCAAAGGCATGAATCGGTAAGATATCTGCTCTAGAAAAACAAGCGCCCTTTTTGGTGGTCTCGTGCCACCATGTTAGTCAAGGTCACGAAGTCGGACGCTTTACTCTGCTCTCTTCTCTTCTTCTATCTCCAACCATACATAATGAATGCACTTTTTTTCCGGGGGTGGGGGAGGGGAAGTGGGCGCGGTTGGATGGCTTAAGTGAATATATTTTATGAACTACTTCCAAGGGTTTTCAGTAATAATTGATCGTACGGTGAGAACAAAATATACTCGGTTAAAAGCTAAAGTCTGCTATGTTGGCCAAAATTGGTTCTGTCCTCGTGTAATGCTTAGGTGTGGGAAGTTACTCAAAACCATCATGGGTCCGGATGAGGCAGTAAACATGTATCAGGTTCAAGGAATTTCGCGATTTGAATAAATAATTCAGGAGGAAGTTTATTCCCAACCATGATCACTATGAAAATCACTTGATGCCCAATATCTCAGGCCAAATACAATCACGTGGACGCTAACCAAATCGGGCCGCATTTTACTCCGACAAAATCATCGAAGCCGCAGCGCAGCGCAAGAAACCAACACACCAAACATCATGTCGTTCTTACCCCAACGCTGCGCCCGGCAGCTTCTCCGGGAGCCCTTCCAGCGCGGCTCATTACCACTCTTCCTTACTCCCGCATTCTCACCCTCCCGCGCGCAATGCTTCTCAACAACCTCCCCGATGCAATCCCGAGTCGGAGGCGCCGCGATTTCCGTGCCCCCGGACGTGACATTGAACCTCGTCGATCTCCCCAAGTCACTTTCCCGCGCACGAGGAAAGGATGTCCCCAAGTTCGCCGCCCATATCAAGGGCCCCAAGGGTATGTATTGCCCCCGAGAAATGTCGAGTTGGAGGCTAATGTACTGGGCTGGATTCCAGGTGAAATGACCCTCGAGCTTCCGTCGTTCCTTACCGTCAACCACGACACAACTACCTTGAAGACTACTCTGTCTGTCTTGGATCCTGAAGTGCCTGCGCAGCGTGCCATGTGGGGTATGTGTCTTCTGGAACGCTCGTTCTATCCAAATCTAACGCCTTTCTCAATCCAGGTACTATCCGCGCGCTCCTCCAGAACCACATCACCGGTGTCTCTGAAGGTCACATTTGTGTCTTGAGTCTGGTCGGTGTCGGTTACAGGGCTACCATCGAAGACACCGCGACCACCGTCAGCTCCGCTTACCCCGGACAAAAGTTCGTTTCTCTGAAGGTCGGCTTCTCTCACCCCATTGAACTCGGTATTCCCCTGGGCGTCCAGGCCAGCACACCCCAGCCGACCCGCATTCTGCTGGAGAGTGTCGATAAGAGAGCGGTGACGCAGTTTGCGGCCGAGATCCGGGAATGGAGACGACCGGAGCCGTACAAGGGCAAGGGTATCTTCGTCAACGGGGAGACCATCAAGCTCAAGGCGAAGAAGATCAAATAAACTGGGAGCGGATGTGTTTTGGCTTCAAGGAACATTGCATCTTTCGTTCTGTGTATTCTTATACTCTATTTCCATCATATATGTACTTTTCTTTCTTCAACTTCCTTCACGTGGTATCACAGATGTACTCTGTACGCATCAAGCGTGATCCTAGCAAAAAAGCCCCGTTCGCGCTCGAGTCAGGAGCTTTGGACAGACATAAAATAGACTCATTTAACATTACAGTTTCAGTACAGCCTTGACGGCAGCGATTACCTGATCCTGGAGGGCGTTGGGGGAAGCCACGACACCCGTGTTGGCAGCCAAGGTCCGGCCCTTGCTGAAATCCAGACGGTTGCCGTAGATATCGGTCACCTGGCCACCGGCCTCACGGACAAGGATATCGCCGGCAGCGTGGTCCCAGATCTTCTCCTGGTAGTCCTTCTTGACGGGGAGGCGGAGGTAGATGTCACCAGCGCCACGGGCGATTGAGCAGTACTTGGCCTGCGAGTCCAGTCGCACGCTCGGGGCGGTGATACCAAGGCGCTCGGCAACGGCGGCGTTGTCGCCCTGGGCGGAGTGTGCAGCCTCGACACCCTCGCAGAAGACGGCCTCGGCGATGTTGCCAACGGGGCGCATGGAGATGGACTTGCTCGGGGCCAGGGTGCCGTTGGATAGAGGGCGGCTGGTGGCGCCCTCGCCCTCGACAGCGGAGAACAGGACACCGTTGGCGGAGGAGCCCTCCTGCTGGGCACCAGTGCTAGCGTTGATGGTGGCATTGTCGTCCACCGGGAGGTTGGGGGTACCAATGGCACCAACCTTGACGTCACCGTCAACGATCAGACCAAGGCAGACGGCGTACTGGCCGCCACGGAGGAAACCCTTGGTGCCGTCGATGGGGTCAAGGGCCCAGATACGGCCCTTGGGGCCACCAGCGCTGTTGCCCTGGTCAATAATATCCAGCATGCTCTCCTCACTGGGCAGGGGCCCGCCCAGCACCTTGTCGCTCTCCGCATCCTCCAGCTTGATGTCCTTGACGAGACGCCAGATCTCGGCGCTGAGGTCCTTGTCCGCACGCAGGGAGCTGGCCTCCTCCTCGCCAACGATCTCATCGTTGGGGAAGTTCTTGCGAATGGCCTGAATGATCAGGGCCTGGGCGCCGAAGTCGCCAATGGTGACGGGGGACTTGTCGTCCTTCGAGACGGTACCCTTGGCCTTCTCGAAGAAGACCTTCTGGGTGAGAAGGCAGGCCCGCTGGACGGCGAGCTCGGCGATGTAGCGTTCTTGCTGGTAAGACATGACTGCGGGGTGTTGGGAGGAGAAAGAGGGAAGGAGAAGAGAGAGACGGGAGCGGGTCTTGAGGGCCACGCTGAGGGCCAGGATGAGGGTGGAGCAAATGACGAGGCGGGAGAGGACACGCAACCAATTCGAGGACGAGCTGGGGGAGTCAGGTCTGCTCGGAGAGATCATCAACAGTAAGCAGAGGCAATTGACAGAAAGATATCGTATTTACTAATACGTTCAGCTCAGCGCATCATCAGCAAATAGTCAGAGAGTCCCCCGCCCTAAACCACATTGGGTTGAGGGGGTCACGGGGAGTCAAAAGTCTACTTTCGGTTTCTTAACGTATGCTGTTTCCTTTTGTCTCCTGCGCCTCTGGAAGTTATTCTGTGCCTTGTGCGTATTTCTCACTGGTCAGCGGTGAACTAGCTTCCGCCGCCTCCTGTTCGACCGTTGATCGGACTCCCGACTAGTGCCAAGACCTCCCTCCGACGTGTCTGCCGATAACACCATTGATCTTTGGGCGTCGTTGAGCAGAACACCCAAAACCCACTGGTCCACGGTACAAATTCATCTGCAGCCCGCTGATATCCTCGTCGGCCGAATCCCCCTCAATCACCGTGGATACTGGTGTAATCCGAGCCGTGCGGGGTTCTATACGTAACGTCTGCCTGGCACGGGGAGCGTGAGCAGGCTGATCGAGGTAGACAACTGCAGCCTTGTCGCTGTAGGTCACTGTTGCAATCTTTGAACTCACTTCGTGTTTCCTCGCCGGCAATTCCCAACCTTGGCCCACCATGTTTCAGTCATCGGTAAGTCGGCTGAGGAATGATAAGGGGTCTTGTGACCGGGCATACTAACCTGGACTTCTACCACCAGAAACCCTACTCCGCGGTGACCGTGCAGATTGAAGTCCTCACAAGCGAACAGTATGAAGTGGAGGACTCCAGCGGTATCGTCGACTTGATCGATGTCGTTCGCATCCAAGCCAGCGGTCCCACAGAAGCCAGTCGGGCTCTGCGCAAGAAGCTGTGAGTCATGACCGTGGTAGCCTTGATCTCCAAGACTAAAGAATCCCCAGGAAATACGGCAACATTCATCGACAACTCCGAGCCCTTACAATTCTCGATTTTCTTATCCAAAATGCAGGCGACCGGTTCCTGCGTGATTTCGCCGACGAGCCATTGCTGGAACGGCTACGTATCGCAGGAACGGACCCCGTTTCAGATCCTCTTGTCAAACAGAAATGTAAGGTTCTCTTTGGGCAGTGGGCTGCGACATACAAGGATACCCCAGGCATGGCCAAGATCACGGCACTCTACCAACAGCTTCCGAAGCGCAAGCAGCCCGCCACGCAAGCTAGAACCAAGGTTCTACGTGAAGGTGCAAATACGAACGAGCCTCCAATGGGACACACGGTATCTATCTCAACCGGTAACGGACCCGCCAGGACTCTCAGCAGCCCGAAGCAGAAGCCCAGCAAATTCAAGAAGGACAAGTCGAAGGAGAAGAAACTTTCGGTCAGTAGCCGAAGCTTTAACCTTGAACGGGAGCGCCCGCAGATCTTGGAGACTCTGGCTTCCGCCTCGGTTGCCAGCACCAATCTGTTGAATGCATTGAAGCTTGTCAACCGTGAAACAACCCGTATTAGCGAGGATGCAGAGTGCAACAACCGATTCGAAATGTGTAAGAAGCTCCGACACCAGATTCTCCGGTACATCCAGCATATCGAGAGCGAGGAGTTCCTTGGCGGACTGATCCATGCCAACGAGGAGCTTGTGACGGCTTTGATGGCATTCGAGGTTTTGGATAAGAGCTACGACTACGACAGCGACAGTGACGACGATGTCTTGTCAGGAAATTGGCGGTCAAAGGCTGAAATGGAGGAAGAAATGAACGAAAGCTTCAACGGACTGAGCGTTAACCCTCCAAAGCCGCCACGACCAGCTCGTCCCGTCAGCCTTTCGCTTGCTTCCTCATCGCAAGGCACGCGACGGATTTTGGACAGCGAAAGTGACACGGAGCCAGAAGAGGAAGATGATGATGACCCATTCGGAGACTCAAACGCCATCAAGACCCCTGGAGTTGAGAAGACCGGATATTCCTGGTATATCAACCCGAAGATTATTCTTTCGTATAGTCACTAACAGATCAACAGGAAAGAAGTATAAGCCGTGAACCCTTGGTTTATGAACCCGCGATTTCTAGCTTTCTGACACTGGCTCTGAGCGTGGTATACCCCATGAATTTTACCGGTGCCGATGAGATACGTTTCTTGTGTTTGCTTCGAGACGGTAAATATGTTATGTTCAATGGAATCAATGCAAAACTTTTAGCTCCAACAGATCTAAATGTCACTGTGCCCGTAAACAAGCGGTTACAAAAAAGACTCAATCTGATTCTCGCTCTCATCAAAGTCAAATCTCCGCCACAACCATAGCATTGAATGGTTGCTCCAAGTCCTTGAACCGGAACATGCTGGAAAGTCGCTGCCGTGTTGAGGTAGAAAGTTGCCAGCTGTGCCATTCCATCGTCCAATCCCCTGATTTACTTTTAGGCCAGATTGAACGCCAGACCCTAGTCAGCTCCGGATCCCAAATGGAAGCTTATCGAGAGCCCTAGGCAGGTAGACATTGTATAGATCCCGTGGATCCAGTCCAGGTGGATCACGTCCATGACTGCAGTATATCAGCGCAGACGAGTGATTTTGGTTTTACAGAAGTAGAAGAGGGCCGGGAAGGGCCTGACAACTAATCAATCAATCAATCAATCTGTGACAAGCGATAGCGTTACTTTTCTTTTTTCTTTCTGGTCCAACTTGGCCCCCTGTCTTCGAGGGTTTTCAAGACAACTCTACTACAGATCCCGTAGACTGGGATAATAGGCTTACAGATGCCCGTTTGGATTTTCCACCGGCCGTATTAAATGAATGAATGAATGAATGAATGAATGAGTGATAGGTGCATCAGTATCTAAACCTCAACAGAAGCAATGCTGACTTTCGTCAAGGCAGACATGCAATGGTCGGCTTCGAAGGCGAGTCGATCATACGCATGCCCCTCAACGTCGAGCACCCAAATTATTCCAGCAAGTATCTCTTCTATCGGACCCGCAATCGGATCACTCGCATGCCGATAAATCTTTTCTAACTCAGCGTCACTCATAGCGGCGCGACGCACATCATCGAGTACCTTCACCTCTGGCAACCACTCAGCCAGTGATTCCTTAAATGTAGTTTTCTCGTTAGTCTCGTCTGGATTCGTTGAATCGATCGCCCAGTTCCATAATCGTCGCCGCGATGGACTATCGCTGCAACCATCTCGACTTGGTTGGGGAAGTTGTTGTGAATATCGATATCCTCGATAACGCCTGTTACACAAGGCATGAGCCGCCCCGATCAACCACATCCGACACGTTGCCCGACGAACAACATCATGTGGAGCTTGATTGAGCCACAACCAGTCAGCACGCACAGTGCTCAGAACATCGGAAGCCGTCACAGGTGTGCAGTTGGCAGCGAGTAACCAAAATATGTTGCCCGGCTCCCCGTGAATGAGATCACTGACCACGTCTTGCAAGTCATTGAAAATAAATGATGCGCGTAGCGCAATGGCAATCCGATCCGGGGTGAGTGTACTGTCGCACATGTACAGCTGACCGAAAATTAAGTCGGCGCAGTATAAGCATCCGGAATCGAGGTATCGCATAGCCCATAGCTCTGTTGGGTCGGTCAAACGCACCCCGCCACTTCCGCGTATAGGCGCAGTAATAGCTCCGAGGTTGATGGCTGCAATCTCCAGCCCTCTATCGTCTCCCTCCCATACCCACGCCTAAAGCCTCATCAAATGTTGGAGTGCGACCACCGTCACATGCTTCCACAGTCTCCGACCATAAGCAGAGGAGGGCAGAATCACATCTACCTCTCCATACATTGGGATAAGGTAGGAGGCTTTGAAGATATCGGTTGAGACCATCGAACAAAGCTGTTTTTATAGCTGTGCGGTGCAAGGGACCTTCTTCTTCCAGTATAAGTTTCAGCCACTTGCTACGCGTTTTGAAAGGCGACACGACAGCATTATAACTGCCGCGATAGTTTTCCAGATATTGCGTGGTATGCGCGCGAGCCTCCACATATCCATTTACCGGTATCAATTTCTGGCTGAAACACTTACCCTCTCCCACGATTGTGTTGAGTGCATCATCACAGTCTTGTGCCGATAAGAGTTCCTCGCGTGGTAAGATCAGGTGCTCGACCAAAGATCCCAGCGTCCCAGAAGCTGTCATGGGATGTAATCGGACATCAGCTGGAGTTTGATGTGTGTCAGATGTATACTTAGGTGGATCGATAACGTCAGCCCTTTTGTTGGCCAAGGCTGCCCAATCGTTGCAAGTTTCAAAATTAAGTCGTTTTACCGCATTGGGACGGGAAAGAACGTTAGCAATTTGTCGAAGTAATCCAGCGGTCGCTGCCCGCTCGGTGGGAGAAGCGGAAGCAGCCAAAATCTGCTCCACAGCGACGGTACAACTTGATGCTATCGTGATGGGGCAGACCGCGATGTGTCTTGGGATATCTCGGATAGTTGTGGTCGTTGCTCACTAGCTTCGAGTGTGATCCTGGTGAGGTGCTGTTGCTATATATGAACAGTTAGATTTTTCGGAAGTGTTCAAATGGAGACTCATTAAGCATAAGTTCACACTGACCAATTGAGTTAAGTGATCCCACCTAGTAGTTCGTAAAATTTGTAGACCGAGTTAACGTATGTGCAGTTATTTTCACAACTTGACACTCATCAATCAATTGTAAGACACAGGTACTTCAAAACTTATCTTAGATCTTAAAGGAAGAGGGGGAAAGCTTCTTTAAATTCCGTCGACTTCGACGTCGTAGTGCACAGAAAACCGGTTATGTCGGCCAAACGTTCATGACGACCACCGCTCTATCTCATCGGTGGTACTTACTAGATCTGTAGATGAAGTGGAATCGGACCAATAATCAGAAAGCTTCTGTTCTAATTAATACGTTGTATGGCCGATTATGACGTAATGTCGTTCCTAACTCCCCGATCTGATGGGACGGGCCGCGTTAGTTATATCCTGTCACATTCTGATACAACATCACCTAAGAATTGCTACACTGTTATCATAATACTTCATTTGCTGTGACAGGTCAAACGGTACCCGTGCCATGCCCCAATTTGGTTGGACTCGCGAAGTCGCACCATCTAAAGATGGTGGCATAAGCTGCTGGAACAGACGCACTAATTAGGACAAGACACGGCACAATCTGCACACAAACGGCAAAGATTCCCAAGGGAGATGCTAGCAAATGCACGTGCAATGCCCTGAAACCTAAAAAATCCTGCTCCGCGACGTCTATCTGATCAGATAACACTATGCACTACAACAAGACGCGGCACAAGCTACAGCAGCAGACGCACCAATTACGACTGTGACCGGCACAAACTACACACAAACGGCAAAGATTCACAATGGAAATGCTAGCAATTGCACGTGCAACGCACCGACACCTAAAAAATCCTGCTTCGCGACGTCTATCTCATCACATAACACTATGCACTACAAGAAGACACGGCACAAGCTACACAAAGCTACAGTAGATGCATGACCAGGAGAGGACCATCTTTATGTCTTTGGGATGTAGCCTACCGCAAATGTCACCCTCCGTGCCCTATAACTTAGTTTTCCCCACCACAATCCTAGCAAGGTCAAACCGCGTCACTTGCTGTAGCGAAGTATGGGTTCAACCCATTCTAAATGCATGATACAGTAAAGTTAAATAATTAAATGACGCAATGCGGTGCCTGCAGTGTTCCGTGAGTCGTCATAGCCGACTTTGAGATATTTCTGCTAAGTTATAATTAAAACATTGTGGTCACTAACTCATGAGAACTATATACGTTCCGCACCTAAAGGCCAAGTCAGGGACGTATCATGAGTCGTGGCGATTTAGCCTTCGTGATTCCCCTCTATATTTTCCTTCTTTGAGGTTATTAACTTACATTACTCGCCAACGCCTTGCTGAGATTGGGTGTAAAAAACTTGATTTTCTATTGTTGCATAGCAATAAATGGAAAACCACGCCTAGAGAGCAATCGGCTATTTTCAATAAGTGGACGGAGAACAATGCCCGTTTTTCGTTTAGTGTGTGCCCCAGTATACTTGTGCGGCTTTCTTACTCCGGCAGGGAATACAGTATCAGAAATAATAGGGGAAAAGAAAATAAAACCTATTGGGCGACAAGGAAAATGAAGCCACCGTTTCGAATTGCCCTCGGTGGCGGTGCTACCTAGCCGTTGTAGGTTCTGGGTATATTACGAGACTAGCGATATTTCCCATTTGTTCAGTCTGTCTATGCGGAAAGACATGATGGTTTAAGACTGTGGAATTGGACGGCCAGAAATAGTCCCTACGATTCGTATTACTACTACGCGTAGTATCAAGAAATTTGAAAAGGGGTACACCAGCTCTTGCATCTGCGGATTAGATATTTTCTAATATATGCTATGCTCGCTGCGAGTCGTTACCACCTCGGTCTCTTCTATGTCCTAAGCCGTGAGATCATTTGGGTTCTTTGCCCTCATATGTTTGGTGCTGATTGGTTTGCGAAAGATCATAGGACACTTCCGAGAATACTTCGCCTCAAGGAGATAGTGTGTCAAATAACGAGTGAAGATATATTTAGGCTGCCCAATGCCGGATCTGGTCGCGAGCAAGATCAATGTGGTCTTTTGCAGTCTGCAAACTTTGAGCAACCCGGCGTTTTGCGGTACGATCAGTTTCGGGATCACCTTTTTTCAAACATAAGCAATGGCAACAAGTCCAGGCTGGTAGTTGTACTTACTAAAGTCGGGATTCATTCCATCAAAATAATACATACTCCACATGAGTTCTTCTAAGGCTCTGTCGAGTTCGGAGGCAGTCTCAGTGAGGCTTCGGCGCTCCACGGTGGCAATGATGCCGTCTCGGAAATCCTTGATGACTGTCGCAATACCGGTGCTCATTACGACGGATTTCTGGGTCGCAAGGTCGCGAAGTTCGTTTGCAACGGAGCTGAGCGGGTGCGAGCGTGCTAATGTGAGACACAAAAAGGATACGCATAAATGGAATATGAGCATCTTGACTGAAAACGCAAGACGATTTATGCCTGGTGTGGGCAAAGCCAGATGTTTGGGAAGTTTTGAAGAATATTATCTTGTAACATATCAAGGACTCTGAAATTACTGCGGGGCGCTAAAAATAGATAGGTACCCAATTTTAGATTCTCAAACTTCCAGGGGGCAGGAAAGCGATCAAGGCGACCAATAACGCTCTTGTGGCTTTCTTTTTGGCGCTTGCGCGAGATGGGGGCTCTGGGATTTAGTCCCCAGCTAAAGCGAGTATCGCGAAATTCCACTTCTATGCTAGCTTTTGGCGGGAAGCTAAACCGGGGCGTAGAGCGGTGATTAGGCGCCCATAGAATCACGTCCCTATGCATCAGAGATTCGCCGACTAACTTTACACTTGGCTTTAGTCAACCAACCACTGAGCCAACTCCGTACATATTGGAATTCTACGTGAAATGATTTGTATTCTGCGGTCTGTACAAAATAAGGAGAAGGAACATAATACTCATTCATCATCTGTCATACATAAACAATTCCTCTTTGCTTCCAAGACTTGGCAGACAAACTGCTAGAAATAATTCGCAGTAATTCAGTCACCCAAGGTGAGCTAAAACCCCTCTCCTTTAAAAATAGAAGGGATCATCCAGAAAGGGAGGCGTAAAAGATACAGAAGGATATATGAGGAAGAGAAGAACTATTTTCGGAGTCAAAATAAGGGAATATTTGGACCCCTCGGTTAGCGCTTCAGTCCGGCCAAAGAAAATCAATTGTGGGTTTCACTTGCGGCTAAGTGTCTCAGGGCTTCCGTATAAGATTCACTGTTCATCATATTAAGCGTCTTGCTGTATCAGGAAATGACTCTGGCGTGTTGTATTAGGACTGTGCGCCAAACACATCGTCTGATTTGTTGGTGCCAATGTATGCTGCCTAGACCAGTTTTCGACTGGAGTGCTAAGCACCCGACCACCCTGATGGCGCGCTAGTGAAAGGGATTCTAGCAAGACTAGTGAATCATGCTCTCGGTCTATTCCGGCCAGGGTAAATGTGCAAACAGGCATGCCAGGGATGTGCCATGGTTATCAATCACCTCTTTGAGATTCGGGGCCAGCTCAGCAACCACGCGCATTGCTAACTCGTTGCCAGCCATATCGACTTTCTGGTTGGTGCTGATTCTATGCCTGCAGGTATATGCAATACTGTGGAGATAAGGGGAACTATTCAGCCTACCCCCGGCGATCGGAGAGCCATCGAAGTTTCGTGGGCGAAAGTGCCCCATGTGGAGTCTGCAGTGTGGGTGGTGTTGATACAGAGATCAAGAAGACATATTGGAAGCTTATGGGAGAGGCTGAATGTCTGTTGCTACCCGAAATTGATATTGCTGGGACAGCGCGCTCTTTTTCGACATTTCTGAATCCAGGTTGTCCTCAATACTCACAAAACGGACGTGTTGAAAGGCAGAGGTTTGTTTCAATTGCTGTGAGTACTTCTCGGCCAAGTCAATGACATCTTTCTTCTCTTGCTCCTTGAAGTGTAGAGTGTGGAATAGATAGGTTGGTGCGGCATAATAGCAGCCCCAGTTCACACAGGCGAAAGCACGAAAACTGGGTGGATGCTGGTCCAGAAGGCCAGTAACGAATTGTATGATCTCTGGCGGTAGCTTCTCCATGGTGATGTGACAATCGCCGCGAAACTTGTGTCGACAATGCAATGGGTTTTACTGCAGGGAAGTGTAGAAGAAACAACTAATAGGGCGGTGTCAACACTTGTTGAGCCCAGGCCTGGAAGATACCGGAGAGTCCCGGGTCGATCCGTCCCGCGGGCCGTAAACCTTGTTAACAACCCCGCCCCCGTTTCATGGACCTTAGCTCACATTCAACGGCAACTCAGATTGGCGTTTCAGGCTATAAACGTCCATATCAAATTCACCTTGTACCTACAACGATGGCCGTTACCGAAATCGCATTACTCCGCCTCAAAACCCAGGAAGCTTCGTCTAGTACGAAGACGTTGCTGCAACGGGCTCAAAAGGCCCAATCCGAATGGTCTGGTTATCCCGTCCACTTTGCCCGCCAGATTGAGCACTCGAATTACTTCTACATCTTTGGTGGATGGAAAACTATCGCAGAGCACAACGGCGAGTGGATCAAGTCTGAGACGAACCAGAAGTTGCTCACGGAGCTCAAGGATGATGTTGATGTAGAGTGGATGTTCCACGTGGAGACTGATGTTAGTTAATTTCTAGGTCATACCTTGATCCCCTGGTCGGGAGAGGGCTCAACTGATCTCGTGCAGCCTTCTACATCTTCCATTCCCCTCGATGCACCTGTCATCGCCGTGAGCAGGTATTTTGTGGAAGCCGCTCAGAAGGCCGAGTTCGATAATGCTTTCAAGAACGACGCACCCAATCTCGGCGCCCACATTGCCCCTTTCACTTACAGTGGAGGATGGCGAATCGATAAAGAAGGCGACGATGAGGAATTCGTCCTTTTCAGCGGGTGGAACAAAACGGAAGACCACTTCGGCTTCGCCGAGACCGAAGGCTTCAAAGAATTCGCAAAAATCAAGAGCATTATAAAGGGAGCAGAGATCAAACAAGTTCGACTGGAGAAGTGGGGATGATTCCAATATCTGCATAGGAAGGTAGATACATGCAATAGAAATATGTATATCCATCGGCATCAAAGCCGAGAGCAACGTAATTGACAGTGTTTTGGAATGGTCAAATGGGTATTATAGGTCATCATGTGGTGTCGTGAGTAACAGCAAAATAACAAAACGAGAAACACGCCCCAACAATATGCTTCCAAAGGCAGAATCGAAACCCCGAAAGCCCAATATTATATGCTTTGTTCAGAGAACCTTGGTCTTCATCCACTCCCGTGTGCCGACACCCAGGTTTAGGCCGTTGCGTTCCCACCAGCGGCGGACGCGGCCGTCAGCTCCTGAGACGGCGTCTTCAAGTGCTTCTTCGATGTCGCAGGTTTTGAACTCGACTCGGAGACCGCAGTCTTTCCACCACTGTAAGACGTGGTCGTGACCGTTTTTGGTTGGGCCAACTAGGACCTGGTTGTCGAAGATCATCTTCGGCCCTTTTAGCCGATACCAGAAGTCGAGGACATGGACGTGACCATGTGTGCTGGCGATCCGCGCAACACTCTCAGCGTGGCTGTACGGGATACCTGATGCGTCCCACCATGCTAGAGACGAGGCGCGGCCAGACTGCGCTGCCAGCAGAACAGACTTGCCCACCTTGAGTGGAAGAGGTTTGAGGAAGGGGGCTTTGGCGGATGCTGCTTTCCACCAGTCAAGGACGGCAACTCGGCCCTCGGCACTGGCGGATTCGAGTGCGCGTTCGCTGTATCTGAGAGGAAGGCCGGAGTGTAGCCACCAATCCAACACGTGGAGGAAACCGGCACGGGAGGCGCCGTCCATGGCATCGGCCATGTATTCTTTATTCGGTAGAGCCGGGGCGTCACGCCACCAGGTCAAGACCGTAGGGTTTCCGTAGATCGCAGATGCACGGTAGGGAATGTTTGTAAGACGGGACGTTGTCCAGAGAAGATCGAGGTGATTTTCAGTGAGATAGGAGAGGATATCGGTGCGAGAGAACTTCACAATAAGATGGCATGCAAGATCTGACAGTGGCTTCCATCGAGGCAGGGCGTCGATGCGCTTCTTAATGGCGGCAAAGGAGCCACGCAATATCGTATATTCCAAAGAGGCCGGTGTGGACATTTTAAGCAGATGGCTCTGCCACTCCTGTGGGACGGCGATGTTGGCCGGAATGCCCACAGCCTTAGCAATTTCCCAGTCCCCCAGCTGGTCCTCGAAAACGTTCAGCCATATCTCGAGAGGCAGAGAGCAAGCTTTAGTCTCTGCATTGGGCCAGTGCGTTTGAAGATGTCGGAGCGCCTCGGCGGTGGCACTGCTTGACGCTCTTGCGGATGAGAGGGTTCGTTTTGAGGTCTTGGCGGCATTTGCATCGCCGGTCACCCAGGAGCCTTTGGTCATGGATGCATCCCAGTGAGGTAAATCCAAACCCGTTTCGAGCGATTTGTGTAAATCGTCCAGTCCGTCCCATGGCAGCGGTGTCAAATCTTCGGGCCCATTAGACCTCCAGAGCACGGGTTGCACGATGCGGATGCACGGCCAAAACCGGTTGATTTCGTCAAGTTGACGAGTGGTTAGTGGGTGATCCCACTCGGACACAGTCATCCCCGGAATCAGAATGACGGGCTTCAGAGAGACCCAGCCGCGCAGCAGCGCCAAGGTCAAAGTGTTGGTCAACCCCGCCAACATCGACCCCAAAGCGCCCGCGTCAATGGGTGCAACCAGCAGCATATCGGCCCACTCGCAGAGCTCGGCCGTTTTCGCCTTGAGCCATTTCCGTGCCCCCGTCTTCTTATCGAACGTTGTACTGTCCACCGTGTCCATGTAGTGCGGGATTTTGTTCGTGCCCGCCAGCAGAGCCGAAGGTTCGTCGGTGATCAGACGCAGTTCGAGATATGGGTTCTGGACAAGGGAAGGGAGTACAGTGTCGGCGAAGGCGCTGTCGGTCGACAGGAGCAGTCGTCGCCGTCGCTGGCGGGGTGGTGTCGCATCGCGCGTCGATCTATCCGAGCGTGCCTGACAGCCTTCTTCGTTTGTAACCACCGTCTCGTCGCTGTCACTGTCCACCTCCATCTCACTGGACCACGCCCCCTTCGTACTTCGATTCCTCCGTGTGGTCGCTATTGTATCGGACTGAAAGCCAACTGCCATACCAGAGCGGGCGGGGTGAATGAGCGCACCGACTGTGCCAATAATTTTATTGCAAGTGGAAGAAGGATCAAGAAGTCGGTTCGAGAAAGGCGGATAGGAGGAAGAATAGATCGAAGAGATGTGAGTCCGCAAGTAGGCGAATTGAGACAGCGCCTTAAGTGCTTATCCGGCGGCAGCGAGTCAGTTGAAGATCAGGCGACCGAAGCGGGGACTGTGAACCCGGTCAAGGGCTTGATCAGGAAATAGTCGTGGCGTTTCAGGGATTTTTGTCTGTGTAACGTCTTTGTCGTTCTGAGCGGTGAAGCTGTCTGCGTTGTTCGGAGACTTGATTCGACTTGATCTCGTGGTTGGTGGGCCGTCGCCCCGTCTCGCCACTTCCGTGCCGTTGGGCGCGTTAGGAGCTGCGGAAGCTAGCTGCAGGATCCTGACAGAAGATTCTGTCGAGATGTGCCAGGATGTGCAGGCTGTTGCAGTCAAGACCAATGAGAGGGTCGAGGAAGACCCTTCAGACGATGCGGTTAGAGGCGGTAAAGACGTGCAGCCGTACATCGGTGTGATTGGCACGGCCCGTGGCGGTCAAGCGGACATTAGCGCTTTATTCTATCAATGTTCTAAATTCAACTATCTGTATACACTCCAGTCATATACCCTCACGTCACCGTCGAGACAGGTTGTTGTGCAGCTTGTGCTCGCGCATCGCAATACTGGTCAGTGCCCCTAGGGCAGTCAGTCCCAGCAGGGTCAAAAAGACCCCGCGCAGAGAAACCATGTAGACATCCAGCACTCCCGACTTCCAGTCTTCGGGAATGCTCCGGATTTCATCCAAGCTGTCCCGGAGTCGAGAGATAATCTCCGCGGCATGCTTGCGTCCACCGAAGCGGGACCACAGTCCATTCTTCAAAGTATTCTGGAACACCGTTGAGGCAATCGTGATACCGATGGTGCTTCCGGTGCTACGGAAAGCATAGGAAGCCGACGTCACCACTGCATGGTGTTGATGGTCCACAGCCGAGATCAAGGCAACCAGTGTCACGGTGAGCATGCTGCCATAGGCAATTCCTGCCAAGAAAAAATAGAGGAAGGGCAGCCATGCCGGGGTCGTCAGGTTCAATGTAGAGATGAGCCCGACTGCTAGCACCTGCAGAGCCATGACCGCGTAATTTAGGATCTTGTAGCGACCGCTGGCTCGCATGATGAAACCGCTACCGACGGATCCGATTGATGTACCGATCGCCTGGGGAATCAACCGCACACCGGCAGCGGTGGTTGAAAGTCCTTGCACCTGGAAGTAGAGTGGCAGGTAGAAAAGGAGGCCAAATGTTGCCATGGTGGTGAACCAATTCGTCAAACAGGCCGCAGCGACAGTCCGGTCGAGCAAAAGCTTCACGGGGATGACGGGCTCACACGCAACCCGGGCTTCGACGTAAATGAACATCCCGAGGAATACTGCAGAGAGAGGCAATGATGTTAGAACGATTGGGTGTGTCCATGGCACTTGGTTTCCGCCCGCGTTCAGTCCAAGCAGTAGTGTGACCAGAGTGAGGACCAGAGTGATGGCACCGAGGAAATCAACACGCTTGATCCGAGCCTCGTCGCTTTCTTTCACTGGGATTTTCACCTTCCACAGAACAAGGAAGGTCGAGATCACCAGGAAGGGAATCTGAATCAGAAAGGCCCAGCGCCATCCGATGGTATCGTTAATCCACCCGCCGAAGAGCCCGCCGAGGCCCATTCCAGCCCCAAAGGCGATGTTACCAAAGCCCTGCCAGATACCTCTCTTCCGAAGAGGGACAAGGTCAGAGGTCACAAAAGTCGAAATTGCAGTGAGGCCACCTCCACCAACGCCCGCCACCACGCGACCCAAGATAATAGTCCATTGCGTGTTCGCCAAGCCGCAGATCAAGTTACCGATGGCGAAGACGACGTTGGAAAACACCAAACCCCAACGGCGTGAGTATATATCGGTCAATCTGCCGCTGAGAGGTTGACAAGCGGCATTTGAAATGAGGTAGGAACTGGCCAGCCATGATAGCAGCGAGAACGAGTTAAATGAGGAGGAGATCGGTGCTGACAGCGTCGCGACAATCGTTGAATCTGCAGTGAGGTTTGGTAAGCTGGCATTCCATTATCATCGGCCACATTGTCATACCAAGAGCGGCAAGGAAGACTCCTAGCCCGATGCTTGATAGGGTGATAATCAGCTCTTTGGTGCTAGCTTCCTCCGGTTCGTGACCATCGGATGGGCCCACGGAAGCCGGGTCAGCCTCACGAAGGAGAGGGGTCTGCTCCGTTGCCCGAGCTCTCTCGGCATCGTCTGTAGACATTGTGATACAGTCGTCGCCGTTTCCACGGGAATTAATGCTCTGAAGGGTGTTTTCGGGGAGGAGTCGGTGAGAAACACGGATGAACCACAACACGGGCAGATCCCCGCACAGAGACCCGCATGCGGAGAACTTGGCGAAGCTCGAGCACGGACTGTCTATGTTTTGTTTTAGCGGACGGCAAGGTATATTAGAGTACTTTCCATGCTCGATTGGCTTAAGATGGTTATCCCTATTGTTCATTTGACTTGGCAGGAATTTAACACTTGTTAAGTCCCAAGAAAAATTCACAAAGCGTGATAGCGGAGACTAACAAATAACAGACTTTATGGGATTGACTTGGTTCCCGAGAAACCTCGACCTTGGCCTAGTTAAATTATTGATTATCAGAAAACTTTTATCTGGAAAGATTCGTTCAAATTCTACCTAGACATGCCCGAGGTACCCGTAACGTCTGGATTCTTATCTAGCAACCCTCAAGTATTCCCTAAATGCAATCATGATGAACCAAGGCATCAAGGACATTTTCGTTGAGAGATTCCTTCTTTGACAGTTTCCAACCCTGGTAGGAAAGAATCTACCTGGCAGAGAGTCTCATCAAGCTGCAATAAGCACTAACTTGTTGGTCCTAGCAGATGTGCGTGATAGCCAGGCTGACTGACGTCTTTCTTATTTGGCGTGAAACCTCTCAACCCCGCTTCCTTCTCACTCCTTCGACTTCGAACGCCATGGATCCCAAGACACTCCCTCTCACTGCAGACTATCTCATCATCGGCGGTGGGACTGCCGGGCTTGTGGTTGCCTGTCGCTTGTCTGAAAATTCGGCTTTAAACGTTGTCGTACTGGAAAGCGGCCCCGATCGCAGCAAAGACCCTCAGGTCCAAAACCCAGACACATGGCCCAACTTGAGTGGCTCGGACTTGGACTGGGGGTTTAAGATTGTTCCACAGGTCGGTTCTGGTCACAATGATTTTAAATGAGAGGAATTGACAAGCTCCCCTTCCAGGCTGGCCTTAACAATCGCGGCCAGGATCACTCAGCTGGAAAGGTCCTGGGTGGATCTTCTGCAATCAACGGACTGGCCTACGCTCCACCGTCCCCGGCTGGTATAGATGCCTGGGCAAAACTCGGAAACTCAAAGTGGGATTGGGAATCTTTCCGACCGTATCTCCAGAAGAGCTACACTGTGACTTATCCAGATGGCGTCACTCATGCGAATAATAAAGCTCAGCACAAATTGGATGGCCGTAACATCCAAGTAACATATCCCGCCTCGACAGACAAGGCCGCGACCCCACTACTCCAAGCATGGAATGACGCATTCAAGGCTCAGGGCTACGACCTCAATACCGATATTCTGGCAGAACAGAAGACAATTGGCACCCGTGCCTATTCTGCCACCATTGACCCAGACACTGGCCTACGCAGCAGCGCAGATAACGAATACGGTACGACCGCAGCAGCTCGTCCAAATGTGACCATCATAACCGAGGCGACGGTGCACCGGATTTTGTTCAATTCGCAAGGGGAGAACGTGACCGCCACTGGGGCGGAGGTCACATATAATGGTCAGGCCACAACCATCAAAGCGGCCAAAGAGGTAATCATGGCAGCCGGTGCCTTCCATACCCCCAAGTTGCTGGAGCTGTCCGGCATCGGCAATAAAGAGCGATTGACCGAACTGGGCATCCCCGTTGTGATTGACCAACCTGGAGTTGGAGAAAATCTCCAAAATCATCTGATGAGTATCCTCCCAGCTCCTCTAAACCCGCAGTCAAGTCTAGAGGACATCAAGCCAGGACTCAAAGCACTAGCCTTTGTCAGAATAGAACCTGGAGAGCAGAATAAGCTATTCGAGGCCCATCCTGACTCTCAAAGTTCGTCAGACAAGGCAATTCGATCCATCATCCAAAGCCCCAACGAAGCTTCGGCTTTCATTTTCCTGGGAGTGAGGTCTGCAAGCCTTGCCCTTCTGGGTGCAATCTCAAGCTTCCCATTCTCCCGTGGCAGTACACACATATCGTCAGCAGAGTTTGACGCAATGCCTACAGTCGACGCAGGCTTTCTGAATAATGAAATGGACCTTGAGATTCTTGCTCGGCATGTTCGTACCCTACACGAGCTGACTACTGCTGAGCCTTTGAAGCCATTCTTCCAACCGAGTGAATTAGCCGGTTCTCTTGATCTGGAAGAGATCAAAAACATGTTACGCGGCTCGGCATTGACAACCAATCACCTCTGTGGAACCACTGCCATGCTTCCACACTCTGATGGTGGTGTGGTGGACCAGGACTTGAAGGTTTACGGCACTTCAAATTTGCGTGTCGTGGATGCCAGTGTGATTCCTCTTATTCCACATGCAAACCCGATCGCTACGGTGTATGCTGTTGCAGAGAGGGCCGCAGACATTATTCGAGGGGTTTAGATACTTGAAATTCTGTCCAGGGAAGATTCCCATAAGAGGCCTGTCCTTACAGTATGTTGAAAGCAAAGAATTATTCCTGAACGAGCTATAATGTTCTTTCCCACTCGTCCCAGGAGCGGGTAGCTTGGTCGGAGATCCGAGTTCCACGTAGGCAATTGACTCAAAATCCCTGTACAATCCATCTATAGAGCGCTTCCTTGACTGTAGTCATCAAGTTTGATCCCTGATCGCCTGAATACCACGTGGTAGTCTGGGTCTCTCTTTCTAGTCCTTATGGTATTCCCTTTTGAGAAAGAGATCAAGTCATCAGGTTTAAGGCTCCTTCGTCACTAGCGCAGTAAGACTTTCAAACAGAAAGCTCATCGTTACCCATCAGTTTGATGAGAATAATCTACAGCCTAATCTTGACTTTCGCGCCGGCCCGCGTCCATGCTGAGTTCTCGCCAGTGGAACCCGTGTGTTTTCTCCACAGTCAACTTCCATGTTGGAAACTCAGGAATTTAAATATCGACGAGCCTCTACTTAAGCAAAATATCCCACGTCATGATACCACCTGGGCAAGGTTTCCTGCAAGCTGGGCAAGCATCTGAATTTTGGAAGTCTGTAATAGAAAATAAGTCACTAAGTATGAAGTGCTAATATATACTTGGTTAACAACGGAAAGATGGACTGTTTAAAAACCTTTAATGCTCACAGAGCTGGGCACAATCGTCCATCCTCTTCTTGAACCCACCACTCGCTACCGACAGCTGTGCGAGCGTAGAAAACATGATCCGGGTCGTACTTCTGCTTCACAAGCTCCAACATGGGATAATGAACACCATAGAACACCCATTGCCAATCAGGCTGCTTCCAATCGGCCTCGTTGAGGTAAGCTCCACCCCCAGGGCTCAGAGCAGCGAGACGAGGTATAAGGGAGTCTGTCATCAGGGACTGGCACTGCAAATCGACCATGCGGCTCGTATAATTGTAAGTACTTATCAATAATGTTAGAGCTTAGTGGAATGAAAAGTGAGGGGTAGAAACGACGTACGTTCCGAGCACGAAGGAGATAGCAGCATCACGCCAGGCGGGGTTGACTGCGTTCCAGGGGACAGCCGAGCGGGACACATTGAGCGAGACACCCGACACGACTACGCCCTCTTCAGCGATGCTCCGGAGCGTTGCGATCAGTGTAGTGGGGTCGGATTCGACGGTTGAGCGGGGCATAAGTCGCCCTCCAATCTGGGCCTCCGTGATATTACTGTGGGGATTCATGGCTTCGTAGCTAGCCCAGAAAGTGGGGAACTCTTGAATATCGTAAGCTGCGATAACGGTAAGCTTCTAGGCACGGTCCGTGGCTCCACACTAACTTGGTGGTGGGGACCTACTGTAGCTTATGTTGTATCGCTCCAGCAGAGCCAAGGTTGATGCAAGCCCTTTTTGCAGCTGATCATGTCGGCCACCCGGTAGGGAAATGGGTGTTAGGCTGAAGGTCGACCCGACGACAGCCCAGATAGCAACGGCCCCCGCATCGAGGAGGGGCAGGATATCCACAACGAAAGTTTGCACGACTTCCCAGAATTGTGTGGTCACTCCGGTCACTCCAAACGCCAGAGTTGCAGACGTCGTGGTCATTTCAGGATGTGCCTTGACCGTGACACTGAGGACAACGGCGTAGGTACCACCGCCACCGCCGCTGAGGGCCCAGTACAGATCTGCATTTTCGGTTGGCGATGCTGTGAGTAGCTGCCCGTCGGCCGTCACCACTTCCCACTCGAGAGCTTGATCTGCAGCAAGACCAAAGCGAGAGGCAAGCTGACCATGACCTCCACCTTGGGTGTACCCGCCGGCGATACCAACGCTCGCGCAATTTCCTGTGACAACGACCTTGTTCTGTGCATGAGCTGCAGCCATAGCGTCGAAACCCTGAATCCCCGCACCTAGCCGCAAAGCGGGACCATTGTAGTGGGCAGAAGTATATTCGAGATAATGGGTATCCTTGAGATAATGGGTCCATAGAGCTACTGCACCAGGAGCAGTTGATTTACCCAAATAGTCATGTCCGGTGTTGCGAATCACGAGGCGGATATTATGATCCCGGGTAAAACGTATGGTCTTCTGAACATCTTCAGCAGTGCTAACATTGACGGCAAACCACTGCACCGAGCCGATGTTGCAGGGAGCGTTGGGAGCCAGGAACGGGTCGCAAGAGAAGTTGGCGAACCACGAGGCCATGGGAGAGGAAGATGTCTCGTAGTGAGTGACGGGAAAGGCCCAGTCGGAGATCAAATCAGCGCACGAAGCCGCATCATAGGCTGCGCATCCCCCCTGGGTGTGACAGACGCTGCCGATTGGTACGGTTCCAATCAGTTTGCCGCCGAGAGTTGTGTTGAATTCGCTCCACTGCTGCAGCGAGGGCCAACAGGGCTCATTTGGGAAACAGCGACATGAGCGGCAGGCTTGAATGCCAAGGACCAGGGGAACCAGGAAGAAAAGACCCTGTCGACGCATGGCGGCGCACCGTTGACACCCATGTACGGGAGTGGGAGTAAGACAGTAAACGTTTGCTACTCGGAGGATCTACAAAGAGCTATATATCCGAGCAACGGGCTCCCAAAGAAAATTACAATGATCAAAGAAGTCAGAAGGCAATACGACCGACCGCTGTTATTAGTTGCAGGATCTCAGTCGCAGGATCTAGTCGCAGGATCCCCGCTTGTCTTGAAAGGTAATTTGCGATCCACCGAAGAGGCGTCAGCGCCGCCAAATTCCAGAACAAAGACAACTAGCGCTGTAACGCCGTGCACAAACAGGGAAGGGAATACACCACCACCTGCCACACACACCAAATTTTCCAGGCCGTCGAGTCGTTTTGCTTTTTCACCACGTGGAATACCACCAAGCCTCCGGCGCACAGGGGTACTGCATATCCCCACAGCGGGAGTTTCCAGAACACGGAACACGCAATGCTCCAAAAGACCACGAACCACGTGATGATCCACCGTGAGACCGAGTCCCCCAATACGAGAGGCCAGGTCTGTCGGCCTCGGGTGGCATCCCCAGCCTGGTCCTTGAGATCTTGCACTTGCATGGTGGTCAGAATAATGCCGCTCATCATGGCAATCCAGCGGTATCCATGTTCCGTGATGTGATGGTGGGGGCCGATGGCAATTTTCAGCGAGCTTGACAGGTACAGTCCATATCCCAAGGCGATTATCAAGTCGCGAATGATCTCGTCACCACCGTGCAGATCATTGTACAGCCAAGTCAGGATCAGGATGAAGGAGCTCTCCGTCCCCACTCCGAGGATAGCGCTAATGAGGAGAGCGGCAGGAATGGCCCCCAGCATTAACCTCCGGGTGGTCTCGGGGCTAATTTGGTTCGTAGGCAGCGGACGCCAGGGCTTGTTGAGATGGTCCTCCACTATCGACTCCGGTAGGCGTTGATTGGCCAGGTCGAACACGAAGACATTGGCCCAGTTGAAGAGCACGACCTGTAAGCCCCGGAGCAACAGGTCAACGGGGTGGAGAGGTTCCAGACGACTGGTGAGGATCGGCGCAGCTAAGGCTGCAAGTAGCCCGAAGCCAGAATTAGGGAGTACAAAGGTAGGAAAGTTGCTCTCCGTAAACTGCCAAATGAGCTGTGGCAGTAGCGCCAATCGAAGACGATCTGCTGGATCCAGAGTAAGCTTCGACATCATTGGCAAAGAGAGAATTGCCAAGCTGTGTTTGTCTGCACCCTTGTACTGAAGCTGGGAGACGACGTACTTCTTATACCTTTCAAGGCTTGGTTCTTCACTCAGCCGCTGTCCCTCGCTTTGGGGTGAGGGAAATCTCACTTCCCCCACTTCCTTTGCTCTGGAGCTTTTCCCCGCCACGATTGACTCTTCACTTCTCGCAACCCTCCGATATGGACTGTGCCATCCATTGTATGATTGGGGCGGCCCTGGGCGTCGGGCTGCACCAGACTTTATTCATCCACGGAGAGTGGCATGTCCATGCGCCTCAGATAGTCCTATATCACATTGCCTACTTCTCATTCCTGTCGATAATCCTCGCAAGGTCCCATTGGATGATTGCTGGCTACATAGTTGGGATGTTCTTAAGCATCACTATCTATCGCATCTTCTTCCATCGTCTCAAGCAGTTCCCAGGTCCCATATTGGCTCGTGTCACCAAGATATGGCACGCATGGCAAGCCCGTCACCGCACAAATTACCTCGTTCTGGAGAGGCTTCACAATCAATACGGAGATTTTGTCCGAACGGGTAAAGACTACGAGTTTCATTCGAGCATTTCCTCACACATTCTAACAGATGCCAATAGGACCCAGTGAGATTACAGTTTACCACCCGGATGTATTCATGGCCATCGATGGCCCTTCCGGCAGCTGCGTCAAATCAGAGTGGTACGACGTGCTCCATCCAAAGATGTCCTTGGTTACCGCGCGCGATAAGGAAATCCATGGAGCACGTCGCCGACAGTGGAATAGAGGATTCACATCTCAAGGTAGGAGCCCCTTCCCATCCACTAGCATACATAGTGACTAACTTCAATAGCTTTGGAGAACTACCAAGAGCGGATCATTCCCCTCATTGAACAGCTGGAGACTTGTATCGACAAAGACATGAGCGCGGGAAAGGTGTCCGACATGAGAGACATGTTCTTCTGGCTTGGATTCGACCGTATGGGTGATTTCATTTTCAGTCGAACTTTCAACATGCTCTCACGCCAAGAATGGCACCATATCATTCTCCTTCTACAACGCGCATTGTCCCTCCTGGGACCATTGAGCCCGGTGCCTTGGCTGGTTCACATTGCTTTCAAGCTCCTCCCCCGAGTATGGATTTTGGGCGACTGGTTCCGGATGGTGTCGTGGTGCGAGGGACAAATGATCGATCGATTGAAGGTCAGTATACTACTCATATTGGCTGTGTTGAATTGGGAATTCAGGAATTTACTGACGGTTGATGACATATAGGCTCCCAAGAGCAATTCGAAGGTTCTGGATGTGGCTCACTATCTGCTCCAAGATGCTAGAAATGACCTGGAACAGTTTCCATGGCTGACAGGAGACAGTATTTTGGCTATCGTGGCAGGAAGCGAGCCCACTGCAGCTGTTCTCATCGGGCTTTTCTACGAACTAGCAAAGGCTCCACACCATGCAGATAGCGTTGTCCAGGAACTCAAGGATGTCAAAATCGAAGACTCTCGGGCACTGGCACAATGCGCCCATCTCGACGCCGTGATCTCAGAGGCCCTGCGGCTGTACCCCGCTTTGCCCACTGGGGGAAATCGAAAAACGACGAAAGACGGTGTTACGATCGGAGGAGTCTACATTCCACCCGAGACGACAATTGTCGCCCCCAGATATGTCATTTCACGCCGTAAGTGACAAGCCCATCCCCGGGGAACACCGATGCTAATAAAACCCGAACAGGAGAGGATTGTTTCGAACACGCACGCAAATTTATCCCGGAGAGATGGTACAAATACCCGGAGATGGTACGGAACAAGGCTGCCTTCGCACCGTTCGGCACGGGTAAGTATCTATCCCACGGATCCCATTAATGCAACCCTGTCTAACTGCATCAGGCCACACGAGCTGCGTTGGTCGTGCCCTAGCCATGAACGATATGCGGCTGATAACAGCGCGACTGGTCCAGAAATACCGCTTCAGCATCCCCGTCGGCGAGACCGGCGACTCCGTATGGAAAGATCTCAAGGACCAATTCACGTCGAATCCCGGCCGCTTACGGTTGGTTTTCGAATTGCGGGACTAATTCAGACCCAGACTGGCTCTGATATGGGGACCCTACTACCGGGGGTACTCGCCTTTCTACGATCCTGCCGGGACATACCTGCCTGAACATTGATGTGAATGGCCCGCATAGGGGGTGGTCAGCACTTACTTGATCCAGGCAGTGCAACTCCCGTAAGCACTATTATCTACTATCTTTTGAAGTGAAGCTCGGACTCTTACTTTCGCCAATGATAAGATAGACCCTCCGAGACACTCGAAGTAAGCGGGATAACTCGAGGGGACAAGTAGAGTGTGGTCGTAGTGGAGATGGGATGTGGGTCCAAGGTCCACCAAGCGGGGTGGCCCGCTCCACCAAAAACAACTATACTTCGACACCCGAGCGCAGGCTGCAGAAACTGTTTGCTTATTCGGCGGATTTACTATCATCCACCAACAAAAAATCGTTGGCCTGAACGTGTGTGCCATCATTTTGCGCTACTGCGATGTAACCTTGCTGCAAACTCTCTGGCCCCATTGTACCACGTAAATTTTATTTCGGAATTTGCCCTGCGACCAATTTTATCGCTCTGAAGGATTGTATTGACGGGATCGACGTGGGGGCGAGCTTGTTGTTTTAGTCCTCATCCATGGGCTCTAGTTTCAACCGTAGTGTTTATCTCGAGCCTGGAAATTCGAGTGGTCCTTTGTTTATTTCATGTGAATTCATGGTAATACTCAACCATGGAAACTTGCATTGGAAATAGGCTAGACTATTGTAGCGCCGCGTTGTGACACCTCACACATGCAAAAACTAGTCAGAAGTAAAGGGCCAGCCATAAACACCTGAAGTCAAAAACAGGCCGGACTCGATTTTATCCGCCTTGGCCTTGAGTTCATCGACGTCCCAGTTGGCCCACGCACAGCGACCGTTCAGGAAGGTGGCTTCGGGGCTGGTCAGCCAGACCATGAATTCTGCAGGGAGATCCACTGATGCGCGCGATTAGCATAAAAATAGCCACTGCAGGACGGATGCTGCTCACCCGAGTCCATGGGAAGTTTGCTGGGATCGGCGCCCGAGCTGCGAAGGATGTTGGTGTCAACCATGCCAGGGTGCAAGGCGGCTGCGAAGACCGTCGGGTTTTCCGCAGCCAAAAACTCCATCATCTTAATGAGGGTAAGTTTGGAACTTATGTATGCGGAGAGGTTTATAAGTCTGGCGGCCGGGAAGACCACGGCTGCAGTCAGCGCGACAACGGCCGCACGTGTCGGGTTGGCGGTCGGGAGGAAGGCCTTGGTTGCGATCATCGTTCCTTTCACGTTGGTCTGGCGCATGGTTAGTATCGTTCAGGAATTTGGGGGATTCGGTAAGGGGGATCGTCAACCTCGAAGCTCTTCCACCAATCGTCAACGGATGAGTCGCGAATGGATGCCGGCCTCCCGACGTAACCTGCGGCTAGGATCATCACATCCCACTTTCCCGTGGAAGCGGCGATTTCGGCAATGGCCTTTTCATCGGTGACGTCCGCCGCGTGGACCGAGCTGCCGCATTCCAGAGACTTCTGGGTTTCGACGAGGGGTGCTTCATTCCGCCCGATCAGTACGAGCTTGTCGGCGCCCGCACGAGCAAAAGCCACGGCTGTCGCGCGACCGATTCCACTTCCCTGGTGAGCGTCAATAGAGCATTCAAATTGAAAACTTGTTTCTGCCCCCATGGATCAGCAGTCAGACAGCGTAGAAACCGCATACCGCGCCAGTAATAATGACCGTCTTGCCGGACGCGCTCAGCTCGGGCCGTGACGGGGAAATGGCCTCGTAGGGCCCATTACGCCAGACAGAAGTGAATGATGGAAGTGGAGGATTCATTGTGTAACAGAATGAGAGGTGGTGAAAGAACGGAGTCGAGTCGAGTTCCGTGGTTCGATTTAACCTTAGGAACAATTAAGTTTGGGCAAACAAAGAGAGAACACAAAGAAAAACCCGAGCGGTGCAAGCGGGGATCACCACTGTTACCACTTCGGCGACGGCCCCCAAGTTACCATCGCACACATCCCGACGGGGTTGCATGGTCCAACCCTTCCTGGGAAATATGCACTGTGCCACACTAGTCAGACGGCCTGATGGACACAGGACTGGATCCGCGGCTGATCAGCCGCCTTGCTTATTTCAATGCGGCCGCGACCTGAGAATGCTGGAGTTTCTTCTCCATCCGCCATCATGGCTGTCAGTCCGGCTGGTGTCAGGTTATCCATATGGATGGCCGTGTTTACCGGCATTACCACCGCCGTGATCGCCCTTCGCATTTGGGCGATCCATTTGACTCGCAAGAGCCTCCAGCTCAGCGACTATCTGGTGTTTGTCGCCTATGTACGTCTACACCTCCCCGCCTTTAATTCTGCCATTCTAACTTGAATTGGAGATTGCGACATGTGTAATGGTTGGTTTGAATTACTGGGCCATAGCAAACGGCCTAGGCGCACATACTGACGAGCTGTCGGAGAGTCAACTCAATGTCCAATTCAAGGTACGGTGAACTGAACCCGCTTTTTGAACTATTCAGTACCAACCAACGGTTAGATGATCGTCGGTATTAGCATGACATGGCTCACGGGCACTGTCTGCTGCAAACTCTCGATCCTGGCTCTGTACACCAGTCTCTTTCGCACATTCCGTCCGATTCGCATCCTCGTATGGACGGTGAGCGGACTCGTGGTCGCATACTTCATCGCATTTCTACCCATCTTTCTCACCCAGTGCCACCCGATCTCCCAGCAGTGGAAACCAGTGCCTGGAGGGGGATGTCGATCATTGGCGATCCAAGAGATCTCCTCAATCGCCCTAAACATCTTCCTTGACACATCCATCGCTCTGCTACCCATCCCCGCTCTCTGGCGACTTCACATGGCACTTCGCAACAAGCTCACAATTGGCGTCATGTTCGGAATGGGTCTCGTGTAAGTTATTTCTCCCGCCAGTGACCCCGCCGGAAATTAACACCTCCCAGCGTCGTGGCAGTAATGATCTGGCGCCTAGTCATAACCCTCGACCCAAGCACAAGCAAAGACTTTGTCTTCGGCCTCTACCGAATCGGCCTCGTCAGTTTCCTCGAACTCTGGCTCAGCATGATCATCGTCAGTCTACCCGCTCTGGCACCCCTCTTCCGCTATTACATCGAGCCACTCTTCTCGCAGAAGCGACCGAGTCGCGGCAACCTCCGCGAAGCACAGCATACCATCGGCAGTGAACCCCGTAAACGGGGGGAGTATATGTACTCGGATATCGAGATGGGGGGAGGCAATTACTCGGCGCATGTGAAAACGGGGATGAGTTCTTCTCAGAGTGAGGGTGAGGATACAATTGGGTTGGTGAGGGATATTCAACCTAATGCGATTGCGATGCGCAGGGATATTGTGGTGCAGGAGGGTCGCAATCCTAATCCGGTTTGAGTGGGTAATGTTTCTTGTTCTCGGTTTGTTTTTGTTTAGGATACCATTGTTGTTTTGTAATTGGGTCACTTTGGAATTATAGGAATCATTGTATCTATGTTCAGTTGTCTGATCCGTGGTCGCTGCTAATTATGAATAAAAGCGATGACATGACGCATTTGCCCATCTGGGGTCGATTGCTAAATTGAAGAGAAATGTGACAGACGCGCTTTCCTCACATGTGTGGACTTGGACTGCCCTCGATGTCAGCCCACACACATCTGGCATCTTTCTCATTCCTCGAAATGTCTGACTTACTGCTTACCTTGGATTTCCATCGATTATTTGCGGTTCTTCCACCATTCGGAGCCCATGACAAGAGTTCTAGTGGCACTTTCGGATGACGATTTTGGAGCAAGGTCGCCTCGGCGGCGAAACGGAATGTCCGCAAGTGAATCCGTGATAAGTGGGCGAAGCAGTGGGAGAGGGAGACAACAGCACGACGGACTAGACAACTGGTCAAGACGCCAAATCGGAAGACATTGGACCTATGGCATCGAAAGCAACTCCATCCGTGATGAAACCAGAGCAACTGGATATGATTGCATCTCCATGCGCGAAGACATGGCCAGCACTTATCAAAGGCAAAGACAATGGACTCCTCGGGTAGTGCTATCCTCGCCGGCAAGTGGGAACCCGGCTTTCCAGGGCATCGAAGTATGTTTACTAACCGCATACGTTCAGGTTTCTGGTCCTTACCTTCTTTTGGGTAAACGCCGAGGCACCTCGGACTGCGCAGATCCAAGTGCCGATTTCATCAGCCATAAACCAGAACTGTTGAGCCAACCCCCGCATTTGTGGAGTCCCCGGATTGTTTATTCGCGATCGTCGCCTCTCCCACCCCGTTCTCCTTTCAAAGTTTCCACCATTACCTCATGCCGGTCCACATCATGCCTCCTCGTCCAATCCGCTCTCCCTGATCACTGCCACCCCCTACCAGCGTCCGGGTTTTCCTCGGGATATCGCTCCTATAGTCGCTCATTTCCTAAACCGCGTACGGGAAGAGCTTCGTCCATACTTGCCGGCCTTCGGCAGGCCTATCTCCCGATTGACTCCACCGAGATGAGGTCAATCAGGGGTTTGCTAGATCCAGTCCTAGCTAAATACCGCTCGAATTCTGTACCTGTTGATCCTCATAAATTTGACTCAATTCGGGGCAATCGCTTAACATGACTCCATTTTTTGCATTTTCGCTGCTGGCCCTAGGCCAGGTGGCTCTCGCCAGCCAGGACGCCTTTGAGACCAGGTGTGCCCAATTCGCCGAGAAGATTGATATCCCCGACGTCAAGGTCAATTTTGCCCAATACGTCCCGGGAGGAACCAATCTTTCATTGCCTGACAATGCGCCCAGCTGTGGCGCAGCCTCGCAATCAGTCACGGTTGACCTTTGCCGGGTTGCAATGGCCGTGAAAACTTCCAACAGCAGTGAAATCACGCTGGAGGCATGGTTCCCACGCAAGTACACGGGTCGTTTCTTAAGTACCGGCAACGGCGGTCTGTCAGGATGTATGTTCGGCTTCTTGTTGAAAACCATGTCCCACTTCTGATCATCAGTAGGCATCCAGTACTATGACCTGGCGTATACTGCACAATTGGGATTTGCTACGGTCGGAGCTAACAATGGTCACAATGGCACATCGGGCGAGCCTTTCTATCACCACCCTGAAGTCCTCAGGGACTTTGCATACCGGTCTATCCACACCGGTGTCGTCATTGGTAAAGAGCTTACAAAGAAGTTCTATGATGAAGGTTTCAACAAGAGCTACTACCTGGGATGTTCAACCGGGGGTCGCCAGGGATGGAAGTCTGTCCAGAAATACCCCAACGACTTTGATGGTGTGGTGGCCGGCTCTCCTGCGATCAACTTCGTCAACCTGATTTCATGGAGTGCCCGCTTCTATCCCATCACAGGCCCACCATCTTCCGATACCTACCTCACCCCTGCTGAGTGGAATGTCGTCCATAATGAAATCCTCCGGCAGTGTGACACTATTGACGGGGCAAAGGACGGCCTCATCGAAGACCCCACTCTCTGCTATCCTATTCTCGAGACTTTGATTTGTGCACCTAACCCGTCGAATGCGACCGGCTGCCTCACCAGTGCGCAGGTCCAAACTGCTAATAAAGTGTTCTCCCCGTTGTACGGCATCAATGGCACTTTGCTCTATCCTCGCATGCAGCCTGGCTCGGAAGACTTTGCCTCGACTATCATGTACAACGGCGAGCCCTTTCCATACAGCAAAGACTGGTTCCGATACGTGGTGTACAATAACCCGATCTGGAGCGGCAAGGACTTCAACGTTAAAGACGCCGCTGCCGCACTCGCCCAGAACCCCTACAACATTCAGACGTGGGAGGGTGACCTCTCCTCGTTCCAGAAGTCCGGTGGCAAGGTCCTCCACTACCACGGCATGCAAGACCAGCTGATCACCTCCGAGGACTCCAAGCTGTACTACTCTCACGTCGCGGACACGATGCAGCTGCCTCCCTCCCAGCTTGATGACTTCTACCGCTTCTTCACTGTCAGCGGCATGGCTCACTGCGGCGGTGGTGATGGCGCCTATGGGATCGGCCAGGGCACTGCTACCTATGCTGGTAGCGATCCGGAGGACAATGTGCTGATGGCTATGGTCAAGTGGGTTGAACAGGGTGTTGCGCCTGAGACTATCCGTGGCTCCAAGTTTGCCGACGGCCCGGGAACGAAGATAGAATACCGCCGCAGGCACTGCCGCTACCCACGACGCAATATTCATGTGGGCCCCGGACCTTACACCGATGAGAACTCATGGCGGTGTATTTAGGAGCGACTTTGACTATCGATCGGCATATGCCTGAGGAATATGTTAGACATGCCTCAGACTTCTTTTCTTCCCATTTCGATCTTCAGAAGAAATGATGAATCGCAAATAAGAACAGATGGCCGGAGCAAGTAGACACACGTAAGATTCGATGAATGATTGGGTAATGCAAGTGAGATCACGCCCGGGGCCTGCCAAATGGAGTTAGTGTCACAGCTTGCCAGGTGCTTATTTCCGCCATCTTTACTGTGTATCGAAGATCTCCCGATCAAACTTTCGCATCTCGACAAATCTATTTCAACTATTTTTGCATCTTGCACATCAATTTTCCACTCTCAATATGGCCAACACCCCTTCGCTTGGACCCGAGCACGTGCCACTAGCGCGAAGATTGATACCCGAATAGGCCGCGTATCATCCCCCGTGACCTCAAAATCAAGTTTCATGAAGCTCTCCCAACTTCGCGCAACAACCCCAATTAAAGAACACATCCAAAATGGCCTTCAAACTCTCCGATATTCCATCCCTCAAAGACAAAGTCATCCTAGTTACAGGCGGCAACGAAGGCCTAGGCAAAGAATCAGTCTTTCAACTCGCCACTCGCTCCCCAGCAAAGATCTACCTAGCAGCGCGCAACCCTTCAAAGGCCGAAGCTGCCATAGCCGAAATCAAACAGCGAGCTGGCCCAGAATGCGCGCCCATTCAGCTTCTCAGCCTTGATTTGTCCTCTTTGGACTCTGTCAAGAAAGCAGCAGCCGAGGTCACTGCAAATGAATCCCGCCTGGACCTACTCATCGCCAACGCAGGCGTTATGGGCGCTGGCGGCGTCACTGAAGATGGCTACGAGCTCCAATTCGGCGTTAACCACATGGGACATGCGCTTTTAATCCGCTCTCTGCTTCCGCTTATGCAGGAGACTGCTCAGAGGGAGGGGATCAGTGCAGGCGAGACGCGATGCGTGATTCTTTCTTCTAGTGCGGAGAGCTTTGCACCTGCTTCCATTTATCCGTTCGATGAGTTGAAATCGGATTACGCGTCTGCCGGGATGTGGGCCAAGTATGGAATCAGCAAGATGGCCAATTTGCATTATGCTTCCCAGCTCGCGATACACTATCCTGAGGCGAAGACGGGGATTCGGTTCGTTTCTGTTCATCCGGGTGGTGTGATTACCAATCTCGGTGATACTCTGAATAACTGGCCAAAGACGGAGCGGGTTGTTAGAAAGTTTGCGGCGATGTTGCTCAATCTTAAGCCTGTGGAGGAGGAGGGGGTAAGGAATCAGCTTTGGGCTGCTACTTGTCCCGATGGGATGGGTGATGGACTGAAGGCTCCGGAGTCGGGTGGTTTTTATTACCCCGTTGGCATCGCCGGGAAGGGTTCTAAGACGGCTTACAACAAGGCTAAGGCCGATGAGTTGTGGGAGTGGACTGAAAAGGAGCTGCAGCCGCATCTCGCGGTATAAATTGTGTATCGCTCTGCCAGGTGATGTTTTAAGGTTTGGTCGGTTCGAACGGGGAATCAGTGGCCTGTGTATATACTGAAATTGTCTTATACGTCGCAAATACACGAGTTCAGCGAGTCAATTCCTCCCTTGAATATGTTTAGTCATGAAAAGACCGTGGTAGAGAAACAGAAAGCGGCTGAGGGAGCCCCGGTCCAGTGGCGGGAGGCTAGTGGACACTGGGCCCGGGCACCCCACTTGCTCGGGTGGCACTTGGCAACCTGCAACTCACCACTTGCACATCCGCACTCACTCGGAATGGTCAGAGCTGATGGTAGGGGTTCCGGGAAAGTCCAAGGGCTGCCATGCCTGTCGCAAAAGGAAAATAAAGGTAAAACAGAACGCTCCCTATTCTACAGCCAGAACTCACCATTGCACAGTGCGGAGAACAGAGGCCCCAGTGTCAGCAGTGCACCCGGTCCAACCGCTCCTGTCCAGGATACCGGCGCAATCCAGTGTTCATTCAGGTCAATCCAGCTGCGTCATCTGAGTCAAGCCCGCAACATCATCTCTCCTTGATCCGGACTGCCTACCAGCAGCAGCTCCTTGGAGATTTCCACGAGCAGTATATCCCAGACATCGACCACGTGAGCGAAAGCAGGTCATGGCTCAGCGCACTTCTGCAGTTGCCTTTTCAGACCAAGGCATCCAAGGCCTCAGGACTTGCGCTTTGTACAGCCATGTTAGGTCGCACTCGTGCCAACCCTGGTCTTGTGCGTGAAAGTTTGGATCTGTATACTCGGGGCCTTCGCGAGCTGCAGCTGGCGCTCCTCAGCCCCTCGATGGTGCGTCACGATGAAACACTAGCTGCATGTCTTGCGCTTGCAATGTATGAGATCATGGAGTGTCCCGGTAGACAGATCTCTGGATACTATCACCATTGCCGTGGGCTTATGTCCCTCATAAAACTTCGTGGTGTGGATGCACATAAATCAGGTTTTGGCCATCAACTGTTTCTTGCTATCCGTGCTCATGGGGTATGAGCTATACACGCACTCCAAAATATCCTCAGCTGACAGATGAACAGATAATGTACGATCTCGGCCAACTGACCCCCAGTTTCATGGCGAACAGAGTATGGATCGAGAAGCCATGGGAGAACACCACAAAAAGTCCATCAGACCGGATCACCGATTGTATGGCTCACCTTCCGCGTTTGTTTCATGATATTGAGACCTACACCAGTCTGTCTTGCGTCGAGAAAGAGGCCATGGCATTGGACTTGATAGCCGACTTCCAGTTCTTGGATACCAGCCTCCAAGATATCTACAACGAGCTAAAGGGGTCCAAAACTGGTCCACTTTACTGGTCAAGCCTGTCCAGAGACTTCAACTCCGCAGACCCAATGAAAGGCCCTCTTTTCCCGATCGCTTTTCAGTTCCCCGATCTGAAAACTGCCGGTAACCTGATGACGTACTGGGCCACATGCGCGCTAATATGGAATGCATGGAACTCAATATACGAAGACTTCAGACACGTTGCGCATGGCAAAATCACGATTTCCCCTCGTGATATCTCATCAGTCATCGTCAATGTCTGCCAATCGGCCGAGTTCTGCCTACACGGTACAAAGTCGGTGAGAGGTGGATACATAGCCACTATGCCGCTCGCAATCTGCAAGGAAATTCTCCAAAGCCATGGAAATCAGCCTCAACAAGTTGAATGGATCCAAAGGGCGCTGAAGGCGCTCGAGAATCGCGGCGCGCGGATCCTCAAATATATTTGACCCACCGCGCTAGTCTATTTTCGGACTCAACCTGCGATGTCATGTGATGAGGTATTCGATGATTCGGCTTGACAGTCGGGCGTGGAGAGCGCAATAAGAATAGAGATGTTGAGAGGCAGTGCTCCGTTCCTGAGCCCCTAGCTTTTATTTATAGGGGCTGCTCGGTGTTGCTTTTAAGAAAGCCACCACCACCTCAGATATCATCTCCGGCACGCCCAGTATCTTGAAGCACTCCATAGGATGAACGACCGATCCAAAGTGAGCATTGCTCTGATATGCTTCTACCTGCCTGCAGAAATACTTGCCGCCATTCTTCTCTTTCATCGACATGGCAGACCACGGATGGCATGGATCTATCTTGCGGTCTTCTCTATCAGTATGGACCTACCTTCCAAGATATCTGTGTTAGTTCTAATCATGCCTAGTCCGAATCGCCTGCGGTATTGTGGTGATACTTTACGAAAAGAATCAAAGCAGTATTGGCCTTGCAATTGCGTCGCTCATTCTACTCGATGCCGGCTTCTTTCCTCTGGTGAATGCCACTGTTGGGCTATTGCGCATCATGTAAGTTGACTAAGGACATACTCGGGTAATGTTTCCTAACGTCACACAGAGCAGCAAATGACATGAAAGATGATCCTAAGGCAAAACGCGGATACATAATTTCTCGGATCCTTTTCATTGCTGGCATCGTCCTGATCGTCGCTGGGGGGTCCCTCAGTGTCAGCCAGCCGAAGACTGCCCTCACTTTGACCAAAATTGGCTACATAATCATGCTTCTATTTGTTGCGTGGCTTATAGTCTGCCAAGTATACTTTTCGCGCTCACACGACTCACTTTCTGCTCCAAGCATCAAGGTCAGTCGATACTATTCCATCGAAGCTCTTCTTACGCTAATTTGATTTTTAATCTAGATCTTGCAGGGAACCATCACCGCAATCCCTTTCCTTATCGTCCGAGTTACCTATCTACTCCTCTCCGTTTTCCATCCTGACCATAACAAATGGAGTGCCCTATTTGGAGACATCGATGCTTGGATCGTGATGGTGCTTGTTATGGAATACATTGTTGTGTGGCTTTACATCGGCACTGGATATCGCATTCCCGCCACGAACAGCCAAGGTGGCTTTTGATGGATATGGCGAGCTTTGGGGGCTCGATCTCTATACGTATAATTAGAGGTCGGGGACGCTAGATCATGACCTCGGTTCCACAAGGATTCATAACTTCTGTCTTGGTGTAACTTCGATGGAAGAAAACTTGGATGTGATATCTTTGTCTAGCCCTTTTTTTTGGAGAATGGAACCGACCAACATTTTATGCCTAAAGTCCTGAATACCTAGACATGCAAATCTTAACAAGTATGAGATCTCACCAAGCAGTTACCATTCACGTTGAAATTAGGTTGATGGGGAGAGTGTATAGCTTCAGCAAATCGTTTGTTATGTTCGCTAGTTATATTGGCATGCCTTCATCCCTCGGATAATGAGGCTTCCGGTTCAGATCTGGGATGTCCGGAGAGGGGCTCGAAGGCAGGAGTGTATTACTGTACTCGAGAGAAACATATAAATCAACTTAATATAGCTACGTTCAACTTATATATCACTCGAGACCGGATTCATTATCTAGGACTGCTCTGTCAGATCGTTAATGTTCGTGAAGATGGTACAGTCGTCGTCGTTCTCGCACACGGTCGTTCGGCCGAGGTTCTTGTCCACGGGTCCGGTCGGCCCGCTTGTATAGTGACATTCGGACACGATGCAGTACTGGCCGGTCTCAATATCGTCGAGGAACCCATCTGGGTACTCCTTGTCGCCCCAAAGGCCCAGCCAGTTCAGCCAATCAGCCGTCTCACCTGCCTCCCCGGTAGCTCCCTTTCCAGCCCCAGAGGCCGCGGTGAATTTGTTCGCGTCCACGTCGTACAAGTAGCCCCGGTAGTTGAGTGTCATATCCCAGAGATACCCAGCGTCGGTCTTGTCGGAGATAAGCCCCAGCGCGATAGTGTAGTTTTGAGTGCCCGCAGTCACATAGTTAGCGTGCCCGCCGTATGCGATGTAGGTGATGGGGCGCTTGCCCGAGAAGTTCACCACATCCCAATAGTATGCTGATCCGGCGCTATGCTCGGAAACATAGATGTCATAAGGTTCTTCATTAACAAACCGGATCTACAGTTTTATATGTTAGAGTAGGTACAACCTATGCGCGCGGAAGATTGAAACGAGTGAGCGGAAAAAGTTCGTGTGCTCACCATGGTGTGCTCCCAGTCACCGACGTGGTCGTCAAAGTTGATGTCCAGTACCCTGCCGAGGAGTCCATATTAGCAAACGATGTGTATATGCAACACCGAGAAAAGCTCAGGCACTCACCCTCCACCATAGTTATACGAGTAGAAATAGAAGTAGAATACGTCGGTCGTAGTGCTGTTCTTCTTCGCGGAAATAATGAGACCAGGAGCGGCGCTAAGGCCATCGCTGTTGGGGATACCGTAGTCCGAAGAGAGCCAGGCGGGGGTACCATCCAACGGGTCCAGAATAGGGCCGTCTGAGGCCGTCAGGTAGACATCTGAAGCGAGCGTGTTGAGGCTGTCGAGCGTGACAGACCCGTTCGCCCCGATAGCGGTATAGTTCACCTCGGGCTTGACATTGGCCAGGTGCGTCGTGATATCGGACGGGAACCACTTCTCGCCACTATAGAGGTATGACAGCGGCGCGTACGTGATAGCAAAGTCCGGGAGCGTGTCCCGCTTATGCAGCTTATGGTCGGCCTTATTGCTAGTCACGGCAGCTGCGAGGCTGGCGAGCGCGAAGAAGGTGAAGACCCGGTGGATTGAGAGCATTCTGGAAGCCCTGATGATATGCAGCGCGTGGTGTGATGTCACGTACCGAAGCAGATCGGTATTGTCTGGCGATCGCGGCCATACTTATAGGTTTTTTCGCTCGTAGTAGTATATGCATCTGCAAGGGCATCGCGCCGGGTTGCGATCAGGCGAGACCATCCCAGTTGGAACATTTTCCCGCGTCGGTACCCGTGAAGAGTCCGTATGCTTGATGCAAGTGGCAGGCTAAGCATGTTCGGGAAATGTGCCGGCAGGCACAAGTGGTGGGATAGGGCTTCTTTCGGAATGTGGATCGGGTTTGAGGGGTATTGGCTGCCCTGGAGGTCAAGTGGACATGGACGGGTGGAACTATGTTAGTTACTAAGCTCATCATCGCGAGTGATCAGGACCAGTTAGATCTGTCCATGGGATATCGTGCGGTGTATTCTAATCCTCCTAGTTGCCACGTGAATAGTCGATAGGTCAGCACGTCATTATGCATGATGATCAACATAAGCTGCACCATGACCTGCTCTGATAATGTTAACATCTGAATGTAACCCACCACGGAGCGGGCTAGCCCTAATCGATCAATTCATCGATCAATAGGCCACTTATTAACCCGATGTCACCTACCCAGACGCGTCAGACTAATATAAACATTCCCTGTGTTAGACCACGGCGCTAGGTGACGGTAAACTGCGCGCCGAAAACGGCTAGGTTTGACGCCATTTTAAGCGTCCAAATTACCCGGATCTTAGTCTTTAAAACTGCAGATCATTCGTTTCGGTGCACGTTTACTATGTGCTCATTGAGTGCTCAGGGATCAGCTCACCCTTCACTTAGGGTGCCAAGGGTAGAACATCAGGGATGTCGTCATGTCATGCTCTTCACACTATCCGATTGTAGCCCCTAATTGCAAAGACAGAAAGGTCCTTTTGCTAGGTGCTAAATGACCCCAAGCCTTCTTTTCTAATTTTCTCTGATGTTTAAAGAGCCTCTGTCCCCCGTCAACTCGTAGATTGTGTTCGTAGCACTTCGTCCAAAGTTTGTAAGTACTCTTTCACTTCCAAACCCTAGATTTATTTTAGATCTCAATTATTACTATTTCCTTCCTGTCTTCTTGGTCGCATCACTCCGCGTCCTCTTCTTCTTCTTCTCTTCTTGTTTTTATACTACCTCCTTTCTACTCGGTTCATGACATTCTTATTCTTGATCCCTCTGTGAGTTGCAAGAAGCAGGATTATAGTCCCAAGTATTATCTGCGACGACGTCTACAGTTTAAGAAAGGCATCTTCTAAAACGATATGCTATTTCAACTAAGAACAATATTAATAAAATCAAAAGACGGTGGATCAAGTACTAACATATTTGATTTTTGACCTTAATATAAGCCTTATCTAATTAGGCGCTATGATTATCCAGAGAAAGATTCCTTCCGATTCCTTGTTGCGACGCAGAAAGAAGACGTTAGTGTTATTGAGGTTGATCAGTATTGTTGCCATTATTACTTTATACTCTCCTTGGCTTTTATACGTTCGCCAGACTAGAAGAGGCCTTTATATACAAGGAGGTGGAAGGTGGAAGGGGGATGTATTACTCGTCTTAACCTGCCTAAAGTAGTTGGTTGTTTGATCCAGTAAGAGCAACAACGCAGGGCAAACTTCCTCTCCTTGTCGCTTATGATCGGTTTACGAATACACATATTGCGTTAAATTACCTATTATTCTTCCGATACTTCTGTACCATTAGAGTAATTAGGACTGGGGCGCATACCATGAAACGAAAGAAGTGAGAGGAAGGGTTTACCTCCCGTGGGCAGGAAATACTCTTTTTGGCGAAGCCTTTTTTATGATGTTGCTGTCAGCCAGATTCTTGCCTTCCATTCCCCAGCTCCGTCTACTCCTTTCATCTCATTGGCCCTGTCTTCTCTCCACGGCCGCTTCTGATGCGATTTCCATCTTGGGCCTGGCCATGTCTCACCGCGTTTCATCTGAGTTTCTAACTATGGCTTTCTCTTTATTTACTATGCTTTTTCTCTTGACCAACCTGCATTACGTCTGATATCAGGCCTATTCCTCTTATTCGGATATTTTCAGATGATGCCTACGTCCGAGAAAAAGGTTATTTTCTGTGTATAAATGTAGCTCCATATCTAGACTGAATAGGATAAGACCATTCACTTTAACCTACCCTCTACTACCCTTTTCTCTTCTCAGGGCAGACCAGGAAGATTTCTTTCTACCTTATCTATCCTATCTCTCTCATAGGGTGGCTAATACACTATAGTATTAGTTAATACCAGTCATATGTTCTGAAGTATATTCATAAGAACCTGTGAGGTATGACCAGTAATTGGAAGAGAACAAGGTCATGTTCAATGTTTAGGGATTGAAGAATTTCACGTTAGATGAAGGGCATCTACCTCGAAATGTGTACTGTGAACGGGTTTCTAAGCTCCTGTTGCCCTCCGGTCACTTGGCTACCTAGTCATGCAGATGGTCGCAGATGCTCGATGTTGTTTAACCATTGCACAAAACACCCATTAATTGCTTCAAATGATCCGGGAATTGAATGCTGGCTTCATTACCTCTTGTTTGCTTACAGTCTTTCCTAGTCCATTCACCATACGACATGTATGGCAGAAACCAGACGGCGATCTCCGGCAAAATAGCTCATTCCGGAGACCAATCTTCACCGCCTGCATCCAGTTCGATGCGAACAGATTGATTGGATTCGGTGATCGGTTGTCATTGTCACTTGTTGGAGGCTTGGATTTCTTCACTTCTTTGATTGACGAACCATCTGCGGCAACCCTTGCGCCCAATTTGGTCCGCTTTACATAGTGTCCGCACGGATCACCCTTTCTCGCCCCCGTCGAAGCTACCCCTCGAGCGCGGTCGAGTCAACCTTGGAGCTGACCTGGCCGTAGGACCCGTCACATTTTTGAAAGTCTTGCTTATCGAGTCAGTCTTTACTCAACCTACCTACAAACCCAGTTTTACTCGCAGCGATGGACGAGTTTGCGCAGACCCGCGGTGCGGACGACCTGTTTGACGATGAAATCATTCCAGTCTCGGCGGAGGAGCAGCAGGCCCAGACCGAGGTCGTGGCGCCAGAGCCGGAGCCGAAACCGGAACCCGTACCCCAAGAGGAAAAACCCGTGGTCGAGAAGCAACCACCCCCGCGCGGGGAGACACCGCAACGAGGCCGAGGCGGAGAGCGAGGCCGTGGTCGTGGTCGTGGACGCGCACAAGCCAAGCCAAGCCGTGGATTGGAGGATTCCCGGTTCGCCGATCCGAAGCCCGCACAAAGCACTCGACGAAAGGGACCTGCGAAGACGCCAGAACCTACGCCGACTCCAGCAGCGAAAGCTGCATTACCGGAAAAGCCCCAAGAGGCACCCAAGGAGCAGGCCGTTCAGGATGAAGAGGTCAAAGGCGATTCTCTCGTTGCCAATGGCGCCGAGCCACAGCGAGTACCGGCTGTTCGCGGAGACCGTAGCGCTACTGGGGGAGTAAGGAAGGTAAGAACACCCAAACTGAATCTAATGACTGTTGATTTGCTAACAATCCTCCAGCCTAAACTCACCGAGGAAGAACTCAGCAAACGCATTGCTGCCGCCAAGGAACTCGCCACCAAAAAAGCCGCTGCCCATGCTCGAGCCGAGGCTGATCACGCTGCATTCCAGGAGCGAGAGCAGGTGGCAGCCAAGAAAAGACGCGAGGAACAAGCTCATCGCCGTATTATGGACAATGAGCGTGAGCAGAACCGCCAACGTAAGCTCAAGGCCCAGACAGGCCGCGAGTGGGACTCTCAGAAACGCGAAGAGGACTACAATCCGCGCGGTGGTGGCAGCCAGTTCCGGCGAGGCATGCACGGCGGCGTATCTGGAATCACACGAAATGACTTTACTGATGGCGCGGTGGATGATGTTGCTCCTAGCAATGGCAGTCCTGGTCGAGGACGCGGCCGTGGTGGCCGTGGTGGCCGTGGTGGCCGGGGCCGGGGCACCTCGCGTGGGCCACGAGGTGAACGCGCATCATCGAAGGAGCCATCCAACAAGAAAGCTGCACCTGGAGTTAACAATGATGCCGAATTCCCCTCGCTCCCGGTCGGAAAGAAGCCAGAAGATGTCCCTGCGCCTGCACCTGCACCTGCAGTGAAACCGGCGGTGGCCATCAAAACCCCTCCTTCTATGGAGAATCTTGATTCTACGTTTTCTCCACTCACTGGCACTTGGGCCGACTCATTGGATGACTAGTCGCATTCCCTTCGCAATTTCTTGGAGCTCTTTCCTCTACCTGGACTCGACTACTCTTGACGAACCTTTTTCCTACTTGCATTGATCACGACGTGAAAGAATTGACTACCCCTTTTTGTAATTTGATATCCCTCGCATGTATGGCTTTGATGCCCAAGAAAATTCATGCAGTTAATAATATTTCCATTTGGTGAAATACTACGCTTGGGCTTGAAAAGGCAATGGGTTTTCTGTGGTATATGAAATGTTCGGCTGGGATCTTGACCTGTTCAATCCATCTCTTCGACTTCTCTCAGTTCAACAGCAACAAACGGGCGACAAACCGCTCATTTTACGCGAATAAGCAATTTCAAGTCAGTAAAGACATTCAAACCACCGGGCCGGATGCAGTCATCGATACATGTTACCAGATTAAGCAGTCAATTGCGGTGACGATTCGGGAGTGCGCCATAAGGATGCCCTGTCCATGGAGCATCCACCGTGAAACCCGTCAACAGAGGCGGAGAGATCCGTGTACGTCCTAGTTTGGTGCTAAATCTGACGCCAGCTTCGCTACAAAACTTGGCATGCGGCTCGGATAAGATCACGTCCGCTATTTCATATTCGACGACGACGTGGAGTGGGGAAGATACAGTAACCACGAAGCGCAGATTCCACTTTTAGATGCTTAAATAGACGGACTGACGCGGTCTCCCCGGACTTGACACCTATTGTGGTGGCCTCATGCAGGTCTTCAGCCCAGCCGGACCAAAATTTAGCCGCCTTGGCCCTACTCTCATCAAAACTTGAGCTTAACTTTCATTTCGTCAGGAGTGAGATGGTCCACTCTCTACGCCCGATGTGCCCTTTATTGGTGCCGATGCCATCAATCTGGGTCCAGTTCTAACCAGTCTAAGCCTTCTTGACTACGGGCTTTATTTTTCGCGAGGAACACTGGCGCGGCCAGCACCACCAGAGGCGGCAATGTCACCTATTCTGCTCTACGTCCAGCCAAGTCATCTATGTCAAACACATGGCTTATATCCTGGCCCGTGTCTTGGAAGAAGATGATGACGCGGTTGGAATCCCAACAGAGCCCTCAGGGCTTAGAGCCCCATAGAAACGTTAGTCTCATGGTTTAGCTCAATCCATCCGGGAGATCAGCGTTTGATCTCGGAATTCCGAGACCCAAACTGGAAGTAATGGCCGTGTATTCCTCTATTTTCTGGTTGAATTATTTATAGGCCTCGGTGTCAACGCTGCTCCTCTATAACGGAGCGGTTTTCCACTCATGGGCATACAACGCAACCTTCTGTGCATTCTTTTGTTTTGATTCATTCACTCTTTCCATTCGACTCGACATGCGTCTCCAGACAGGCGCATCAGTTGCGGCCCTGGTGGGTGCTGCCAATGCCAAATCTCTTACCGATTTGTGCACGGTGTCCTACATCAAGTCCGCTCTGCCCTCGAACGGCACTCTGTCGGGCATCAACTTGATCCCGTCCGCTTCTACCGCGAACGTGGTTTACAATGCTAGCGCCAGCGCTCAAGTTGGCGCTACTACCACCAGCGACAAGACCCACAACTACTGCAACGTAACCCTGACCTACGTTCACCCCGGTAAGAGCGCGAATATCGTCGTCAAGTACGGTTTCCCATCGCCCTCCGACTTCAAGAAGCGCTTCTACGTCGCTGGTGGTGGTGGCTACTCCTTGAACACCGATTCTACCGGTGGTCTCGAATATGGTGCTGTCGGTGCTGCCACATCTGCTGGCTACGACGCCTTGAACGGCATTGCCCTCGACGACGTCTTCTTAACCGGCAATGGCTCCATCAACTGGGACAATACCTACATGTTCGCCTACCACGGTCTGGGTGAGATGACCCAGCTTGGAAAGTATGTCACAAAGGGCTTCTACGGAATGTCCTCCGATTCGAAGCTCTACACCTACTTCGAGGGATGCTCCGATGGTGGACGTGAAGGTATGTCCCAGATCCAGCGCTACGGCGAGGAGTACGATGGTGCCATCACCGGTGCCCCTGCCTTCCGTTACGGCCAACAGCAAGTCAATCACGTCTTCCCTGCCACGGTTGAGAAGACACTCGCCTACTACCCTCCTCCCTGTGAGCTTTCCAAGATTGTGAATGCTACCATCAAGGCTTGCGACCCTCTCGATGGCCGGACCGACGGTGTCATCTCTCGAACCGACCTGTGCAAGCTCAACTTCAACTTAGCCTCTATCATCGGCGAGAAGTACCACTGTGCTGCCGAAACTGCTACTTCTCTTGGTTTTGGTTTTAGCAAACGCCAGGCTGCGGGCAGCTCTTCTAGCTACCAGCCCACCCAGAGCGGTACCGTCTCCGCTGAGGGTGTGGCCGTTGCCCAGGCTATCCTCGATGGTCTGCACAACACCAAGGGCGAGCAAGCCTACTTGTCATGGCAGATTGGTGCCGAGTTTTCAGATGCCGAGACTGAGTGGAACAACAACACCCAGAAGTGGGAGCTGGACATTCCGTCGACTGGGGGTGAGTTCGTCACCAAGTTCGTCGAGCTCATTGACCTGGCCAACCTGTCCAATCTGGACGGCGTGACCTACGACACCTTGGTCGACTGGATGGATACCGCCATGGTTCGCTACATGGACAGCCTGCAGACGACCCTGCCGGACCTGACCCCCTTCCAGTCCAGCGGCGGTAAGCTTATCCACTACCATGGCGAGTCTGACCCCAGCGTTCCCACCGGCTCGTCAGTCCACTACTGGCAGTCCGTTAAGTCGATCATGTACCCCGGTCTCTCGGAGAAGCAGGCGGTTTCTAAGCTCTCAGACTGGTACCAGTTCTACCTCATTCCCGGTGCTGCTCACTGCGGAACCAACGCCCTGCAGCCCGGCCCTTATCCCGAGGACAACATGCAGACCATGATCAACTGGGTCGAGAACGGTGTCAATCCCAGCCGTCTCAACGCTACTGTCCTCTCTGGCCACTATGAGGGTGAGGTCCAGAAGCTTTGCCAGTGGCCCACTCGTCCTCTCTGGCGCAACACCACCACCTTCGACTGTGTCTATGACAAGAGGTCGTATGACAGCTGGACTTATGAGTTCCCTGCTTTCAAGCTCCCTGTCTATTGAGATAGAATCTAATAAGCTGTCAGTTTTTAACTCTCCACTTGGCTTGTTTCTCTTCTTTTTTATATTTTCTTCTATTTTATATGCTTCTTTCAATGTCATTTTTGTCCATCACACCTATGAAACAGAAAAATCCCGAAAATGGACATAACGTCTTAAACTACCACCACGACACCCCCCTAACCCAGAGTCGTAGTAATCGCCGCACTAGATGGACATCTATACATATTCACTGGAATGGCCTGCTCTTCATCCTTTCTGTTAGGTCATGTCCCTATGCTGAATTTAACTTTCTGACCCCCACAAGAGATGCTTTCAATAGTAAACGCTAATCTCAGATGGGTCAACCCTACAGACTAAATTCTAGAAGCCTCGCCGAATCCACTGTGTGCCTTGCAACTGCGGCTTTAAAATCATCGGGACCTATTGGCATGTTGGGTTAATTAGGGTATAGAACAGTCAAGTTCTAGTTGGCAAATTCGATGGAATATCCCCGTAAAACACACAAGTCTACAAACACCTACCTAGCTGGGTAAGTAACCAGGACTCACAAGGTCATTTTCCGTCATTGTTGATTCTCTTGGTTAGGGTTGGATCAGGGACGAGAGCAACCATTTTGTCTGCGTTGGCCTCAGGGACACCCCAAACTAGAAATCTCGTCTCCAGAGAGCTGATATGGACTATCCAGTTGGGGACGGATGAGAGGTCTGCTTTTCGGCTTGTGGGTCCCGGGACAGTTTACATAAACCTCGCGTGTCATCGCGTTGCGTGTGGAGGCCGAGGGCAGTTTAAGATCTCCGCTGTGGGTTAGCGCGATGCCCAGATACCGCCCATTATGCATTGGGGCTAAGACCGTCGGAGATCACCGCAGTCGTGATCAAAGCCCCCAAAATAACCGGTAGAGCTCGGCTATCGAATGCCGGGTGGGCCGAAAACGAGCACCCCATTCGCGTGACTAATGGAAACCCCGTGGGGATCGACTCCACATTTGGAGGCCGGAGAAAACAATTCGAGGTATAACTAGTCTCGGGACCCTGAATCCACCATGGGGAATCCGACGTTCTATAGGTGCGGCGATGACTGAGAAAACAACAATTTCCGAGGATGAACATGATCAGCGACAGGCTGCAGCTGCGCGCAGTAAATCTTCCGAAACACTAAATGATGACGCCTCCCATCAGAATCTCAACGGCGGCTTGCAGGCTTGGCTAGGTGTTCTTGCTGGATTTTGTGTTTTTGTGAACTCTTGGTGGGTGCTATGATATTTTGCGTCGACCTGAGAGCTAATAGGTGCTGGTAGGGGAGTGCTCACTACATATGGCGCTTTCCAAGAATACTACGAGACTGAGCTACTCTCGGACCTTTCGCCATCGGCGATCTCTTGGGTTGGTAGTATTCAAGCGACTTTGATTCCTATGGTTGGAGTCGTTTCCGGCCCATTAGTTGACTCGGGTTATCTGCGCCCGCTCATCATTTCCGGATCCTTTTTGACGGTTTTTGGATTAATGATGACCAGCCTTGCCACGGAGTACTACCAAGTAAGCCATATTTTGTTTTTTTGGGGCGAAAGCAATCACTGACTAAGACCAAGGTACTTCTTGCCCAAGGCTTCTGCATCGGCATGGGCGGTGGAATCTCCTACATCCCAGCCCTAGCCGTGATATCGACAAGTTTCACAACGAAACGCCCAATTGCCATAGGCATAGCGTCAATCGGATCGAGTGTCGGGGCCGTCATTTTCCCAGTCATGTTTCGCCAACTTCAGCCCAAAATCGGGTTTCCCTGGGCAGTTCGCTGTATCGGGTTCGTCAGTCTGCTCATGGCGATCCTCGCATGCATTATATTATGTTGTCGGCCAGTTCCCAAGATGCGCGCACGAAGCCTAGTTGACTGGAAAGCCTTTCGTGAACCGTCATTTATGCTCTTCTCAGTCTCACTCACATGCGTTATGCTTGCATACTATGTACCCATTTTCTATGTCGCCTCGTATGCGCGGACGGTGGTGCATACAACAACGAGCCTTGGGTTCTACATGGTAGCCATTGTCAACGGCTCTTCTGTTTTCGGTCGCGTCGTGCCTTATTTACTTGTCGCCTACGTCAAACCAATCGCTATCCTCATGTTTTGCGTGACGGCTTCGGCGATCGCCATGTTTACCTGGATAGCTGCGACGGACACGCCAGGCTTCATTGTCTGGGCTTGCTACTGGGGTATCCTGAGTGGAGTTCTTGTTACAGCGCCGACCTCCATTGTCGCACATCCTGTCTTGTCTCCAAATTCGAACTATATGGGTACCCGGTTAGGCATGATGTGGGGTATCTCGTCATTCGGTGCTCTTGCAGGCTCTCCCATTGCGGGGGCACTGGTAAATCTAGATACGGCACAGTTTCTACGAGCTCAGGTGTTTGCTGGTTGCGTGATGGTAGGAGCGGTGCTTTTACAGTTGTGGCCTGGATATAAGGTGTTCCGCTATGATCGCAATCATGCCTAGCGGTAGGCATCATAGTATCTGGCTGCAATTTAACTTTTCTCTTCTTGAAGCATGACATTAGCGCAGTAAAATTATTCGCATTGTATCTTTAATCTTATCAATCCCATTTATCAATCTCTATTAGATTAGTTTTCATGCCGCTGGCGAAAGCCCATTATGTCGTGACGTCACGGGGCCGGTTCGCATGGGCACCACCCTACTTGCAGAGGAAAAATTCCCATTTTGGGATTTATCGTCGGCCTAGGACGCAAATTGCTCGTTCCAGGAGAAGTAATGTCGTAATACACTATTTCCTTATATCTAGTTTAGCTTGCCATTGATATGATACTTTTAAAATCTCAAGGTGTCTTGCTCTGACACACCACACCCGTTCCCTTCGGCTCGCACTTGTAGCCAACCGGGGGAGACATGTGGATTCTATCGTTTTGGTTGTTCCCTGTCATTTCAGGTTGTATGTGGCTAGGTAAGGTACAGGCTCCAATTGACCGGTGTGCGCTACTCACAAGCTTGCAGCCATGTTAGTTGCTATGCTTTCTAGCTGGGCGGCGGATGGAAAGCCCATATATTCTACAATGACGGACGGATTGACAATTCCGTGGGTAAAATCGAAAAATTATTCTTAGATCGGTACAGCTAAAGTGATGAGTTTCAGATACATCTCACATATCGGCGCTGAAGGGCTCAAACCTCTATTTATTGCAGGCTGTGCAGTTACGGGCGTCTTCCTCGACTTAGCTCTCATTTCAGAACGATGGCTGCGACATTCAGGCCAACTCGCGCGAAACAAAGGGAAATTTGACAAATCTTGTGCAGTCGGATCTATCATATTTTCTTTCACGGGTGCTCTCGGCCTATTGCTCCTGGCAATTTTTGACATCAAGCACCACGATCACTTGCATTATGGGTTTTTGATCATGTTCATGTTAGATTGATATTCTTCAAACTGATGCCTGTATGACTGATTGATTCACAGAGTGAGTTATGTGATGAACGCCATCCTGGTCTGTCTTGCGTATATATGGATCGGCAGATTTTATGGACCACAGGTACGGATACTGTTAGCCAGCTTTTACATAAAAGCTCTATTTGTCGTCCTAGAAATCGGCGTGGCTATTGGATTTGGTATCTGCAGGAAGTCCAAAACTGCCCATAGGAAGAACGCAGCTGCGGTTCTGGAATGGGGTAAGATTCTCTCCCGAACGATGATGGGATCGGATGCTTACTTAACCAAGTCGCTGCTCTCATCTTTGCATTCTACATTTTCTCCTTTGTTATTGACCTATTACCATCTGTACGTACTCGGAAGCGGGTACCACAAGGGGAGAAATACCCTCATCCAAGGGTTAGTACAGATCCAGAGGTACCGGTGAATTTCTGAGTCACTGGCTCTGGAATAACAATTAGACTGGGAATCCCTTCAATCTGATTGGATTTGTGATTTCCAGGTTTTTTGAACCCTTTTCCGTGTTACACTGAATGTCAATGATTTCATCACATGCGGATATCCAAACATCCAGGAGCCAAGAGTCGATGCGATTGGTCATTCCATTCCCTTTACAGACAAAGTCTATATACTGAGCTTACATTGTTCCTCTACATTTCATTTTTTAAAGTCTATGATTTCATCACAAATAGACTTCCAAACTTCCATTCCCCATGGGGATAAATTACAAGTCCAGCATATAAAACAGTATCTCCCCCGATTCCAGATTAAATCTGCTGTAGCCTCATTTACTCGAAATGGATAACTTTTTCAGTCATCCGACTGGTCTCGTCGCTTGGATCGCCCGCTTGCTCCAGTACATTAGTTCGATCATCCTTATTGGAATCACAGGCTGGGCCGTTCGACATACAAAGTCTGTCACAGTCATTTATACCCTGGTCATTGTATGTACCCCGTTGTTAAAAGTATCGCCTTCTAACAAAGACCTAGGCCATCTTGACCCTTGTTATTCTCCCTTTCGCAATACTTACGAGCTGCATATCGAGACGACATAAATGGCATGTTCTTCCTCTAGTTGCGATTGACGGAATCCTTTCCTACTTGTGAGTATTGTCCGAAGATCTTTCCGCTCTATATACTGATCTTATTTGTAGATGGCTGACCTCTGCTATTTTCCTCGCGCTTGATTTCAATCAACATAACTGCCGGAGAACTCGCTGGAACGGAGAAATCGTTTGCAGCCGACAATACGCAGCCGAAGCTTTTAGCTTCATTGCATTGCAAGTTATTTCATAGTAAGATCTGAGTTAAGACACTAACTGTTCATCCTAGTTTCGTAACTCTCATGGCTCTGGTCGTTGAGTTAGCTTACATATATTCCGTGAAGCCGGGAACTGCACCAGTGATGGAGGAAGTACGTCCCGAGCAGCGCATAGAACAGAATCTGACTGCGGCTGGCGTGCTCTAGTGGGACACACGTCTCTATGTTGTTCTTGGCCAATCTATGTCGATAGCAGTTAAGTCTTTGTGATAATTCAATTGATGGTGGTACTGTTCATTAACGCTTGCTCGAACATCATTAAGTTGTGAAAGAGTCATGTATATTCTTTAGGCTTACAGCGTACAATCTTGCTTAGTCGCCGTCTACACCTGGCGATAATCTTTCCTTAAGGCACAGACTTGCCGCCTGCCCCACTGAGAACACCGACTGGCGAGACTTTATCTCGCCTTTTATCCCATTGTCTATCCCACACGTTTTGTCTTCTTTCGAGTTCAGAGTCTCCGATAGTTTCCCTTGATGTCTTATATTTAGTTCGATGTCTCAGATATATTCTTGGTGGTATTCAAAGAAATTATTTCAATTATCTCCACTGAAGTCTGGGTTGCTTGTTTCAACAACGTTATAAAAGCCCCCATAGTCATCGGCAGAGTCTATGTCAAGCTTTGACATTCGGTATTCAGTCTACATCAGGTTTCAATGTTCAGTTCCGACTAGTGTGTCTTGGCAATTTAGGATTCGAGAAACAATCGAAGAGTGTAGGTGGTGGCACCATTTACGAGACGTACTGTACTCGGTAAGCGTTTATATTCGCGTATTGCCTGCCAGAGTTTACCGATAGAAGTGGCAAAAGCGGTGGCTATGGTGGACATGGTGGTTTGTTCGTTGACTTTGACCCACTTTTTCTTTTTGCCCAGGTGCCTAAGGATGCTGGAAGTACCCCCCGTATCAAGAAGCTGGTCAGAGGTTCCAGAGGTGGATTGACGGCCGTTTTCCGCATCATTGCAATGTTTCTGTATCAACTCTGGATTTCAAAGCTCTCGAGGACGCCGGTTGGGACTTTTTAGAGGGTTTCACGGGTTTGCCAGAAGGAGTTCGTGCTGATGCTATCAACCAGGGTCTCCCATACGAGCAATCCCAAAAAGTTGCTGACATTAACTATCATTCATTCTTCTTGACTAAGGAGATGCCAAGCTCCCCTATGGATTCTCGGACAGGGTATAGTTGGCTGGGGCGCACTGGACCTGGAGTGATTTTCCTCGAGGAAACGGGACTCTAAAGTACGCCTACGTGCTCGATGTCATCAACGAGGAGACTCGACCGGTCGTGGTTGAAAAGCTCTATACCGCGGCATGGTCTCGACCCGACTAATCCAGTGACTCATGAATGGAATTATGGTACGCAAGAGTATCAGGGAACTCTGGGTACTCGCATCTGTATCCTATCTGATGCCTAATGCGTTTGACAAGGGCACACCCTATATCTCAATAATTGTAACTCTGCCTGATTTTCAAAAGGTCGCGCTGCACATCCGTTTTGATATTGAGAGAAGCCCTCAGTCTTAGTGCTTTATTAGATATATTATATAATTTTGTTACAGATATTAGTCCGTTTCGAGGTGTGTGGTTTTGAAGGGTGCGGAGGTTTTAATGCGTCTCAAAAAAATCTTACAAAATATCTCAAAAAATTGAAAATGTAAGTAAGAGGTGTGTCTTAGTAGCCTTTCTGAACTCGATGTGCATAATTAATTTGCTGAAAGCATACACCTAACATTGTAGTGAATGGCTTCCGTTCTAATCAGAAGTGCCCCGACGAATAAAGCGCACAAGAATGGATTGACTGTTACAGATATTTTGAACAAACGCGCAGACCCTTTTATGGGTAGGCTTACAATGATATTCGAAATCAATTTTACCAGTAATCTCTCTTTCTTTCCCTCGCTATATGTATACGTATCTTATAGCTTGAGATGTTTGCAGCCAAAGTTGACGAGACCCTATAGTATTGTTATTAGTAACAATGCACTATGAACAGAGTTATTGAGCTTCTTACATTGTCTTCGATGTTGCTACAGCAAACAGCCTCTTGGGAGCATTGTTGTTTAATTACAACAGAACCACTCAAAGCGGGAATAGTGATCTCATTGCACTTGCCGAGGAGATATCGAGGGTCGACAGTGGAAGTAATGATTCCATCGGTGTTTAACAGTTTAGCGACCTTGGAATTGCAGCAGTAGATTTTACCGCCGTTGCCACAGGTGTTGCCCTGCCTATGGCCACCCTGGCCCTCCTGATTTGTGGAAACGGCAGCGGCGACAGCGATGAAAGCGAGGGTGACGGCCTTGGTGAACATTTTAAAGGGTGGCCAATGCGTTTGAAGGTAGGGAGGATTAGAGATGTTAGAAGGGTGCTTGTGGATTTGGCTCGAGTGACTGTAGTTGTTGATGGTGATCATTACAAGATATCCCGTGTTAAAGGAATCAGGGTAGATTATTTATATTCGGAATAGCAAGGGGCAATGTTTACGCTATGCCAATCCTCCTTCTGTTTCGCAAACAAACAAAATAGGTATGAGATCGACAGCCGAGATGAATCAAGGGCACCTTCATCTGAGAACACGTTCTAGCACTCCGCTTCGCCTCAAGAAGTCTGGTTTTGTTGACCCAGCCGCAAAATATGAGATTATAAATCCCTCAGTCCTAGTGCTCTATTGATGATTTCTTACACAACCTATACGGTTTTGAGAATTTCATTGCCTCTCAAAGGCTTAGAAAAACACCCCAGAAATTTGTCCAAGAATTTGGGAATGAAAGAAATAGGGCTTTGCGCCCTTTCTGAAGTTTATTCGCATACGTAAGTTGCTGCAAATAACATACCTAACATTGTATTGAATGGCTTCCGCTCTAATCGGATATCCCCCGACGAACAAGGGCACCAGAATCGGTTGCCTATTACAGATATTTCGAACCAACACTTCCACACACGTCCACAATCCCAGCTGAGGCATGTTTATGGGTGGGCTTAAAGACGGAGTTACTATGATCAAACCTTCAATTACAGCTCCTTTGTCCCCTACATTCACCTAGTCCTCCGTTCGGTGGAACTGGTACACCGGGTGCATAGCTGACTCAGCTCGTAGTGCAAGCCAATGCAGAGCCGACATCACACCCGCAGATCATAATGACTTCATCCTATTCCCGGCTTTCCAGACGGCCCATGAGGTAATAAAAGCCACCCTATAAGAATGCGGGGTATCGGGGAAACATGATTTCTATTATCTTGTCCACCATCGAGTGTGTAACTCGTCTTGTGAAGAAAGATTCCGCGAAACAGCGCCATCGCCAGTCTAACCTTTAGATGTAAGCATTTAAACCTATCCCACTTGAATGGGCTTTCGGACCTGACACCATCTACAGTCTTCAGTAAATAGCCAACATGCCAGAGTCACCAGCCAAGAACCACCCCACCTCCGCGGTCGCAGGCGGTTCTAGTTCCGAGCCCACTCCTGCCAACAATAATCAAGGTTGGGGCGACAAGGTCTTCCGAAAGGGAGGCTCGGATAATGAGCCTATCAATGAAGGCCAAGGTCATATTCATGTATGTGCTGTTAGGCCCGCCCAAAACAGCGTTATGTGGGACTGATATGTCTACTAGGCCAGTAAGCCGCGGGACACGATTGGTAACTTCCTCGGTCTGCAGGACCAGAAGACGCGCGCAGAGAATAAATTCATGGAACGAACTGGCCTTTCAGAGGATATGAATCCTATGCACAAGGATGGCGAGCCGACCTGTCAAACTGAGGATCATAGCTTCATGGGACGTAAACCCGGTGGCTCGGATACTTACCCTGGATGGGAGACAACGAAGAGTTTCTTTGGGTGAGTGGTCATTGGCTCTCGAAGGTATTTATCCAGACAGGTTGCTGATAATGATTATACAGCGCTGGGAATCCGAACTAAAGATTCACCTCAAGATTGTCATATTTGACGTTATGCGATGTACTAAATTTACGGTTTCGGGGACTGGAAGCAGTTTTACTCAAACATGTAAACATTGAATATGATTAAAAACCTAGTCTACAGGTAAAGCAGGGGTATTGTGATCTATTCAACCTTGGTCGCCTTCGGCCGTAGCATATCTCGTATCATCACCAGCTTGCTCAGAATACGACCTTTGATGTTTTGGGCCCCCAAAGCAGCGGCCTCGTCCAAGGACACAATGCGCCGCACCAACAGATTGAACACGGTGCCAAATCCAAGAGCAATCACCGTGCTCGTGAGGATAATCACATTGTAGGGCATACTAAAATCAGGAGTCGGCAGGGGAAGCAGAAGACTGGTGGAGCGGATGTAAACAGGACTGCTGTCTGGGGTGTTGAGAATGCGAATGACCGCAGGCGCGACATTGAATCCACGGTTGGCATCCGGCGGGTACTCAGTATAACGCAGAATTGCCTTCTCGAAATCATATGTCAAAGTCACCGTTGATGCGGCTGGTACTGACAGTGCCAGTTCCAGCTGTGTTCCGCGTTCACGGTCAATGGCGGGTCGGAAGAAAGTTTCGGTGACAAGGTCGGAGGCCGGGATCTCTCGTCGTACTCCATCGCGGCCGGTGATGGTAGCCTGTAGTGTGTGGATATATGGCCGTAGGAACCACGGGAGTGATTCAAAGTAGATAAAGTCCACGGCTGCTGTTTCGGAAGGGTTGCCAAAGATGATTCGCATGCCACCACGCTCTTGGCCATGGCCAACGATGGTTCGCTCTGCGTGAAGGATGGGATCCTCAAGTGGGACCCGAGTATTCATTTGTTGCTCGTGAACGGCAAGATCAAATGGGCTTGAGGGATCCAATTTGAAACACCGCGTGTAACCATCATCCTTTTTGATTTCCAAGGCATTCTCAGAAGTAAACACACTTCGCTCATGGGGGACCCGAAGGCAAACAGACTGCTCGCCGTCAGATCCAGCCAGAGGACAAACGCCTTGTAAGGATCGTCCGAACACTTCCATTAAACTCCAACCCGTTTCAGTCACCTTCTCTAAAGGGTAACAGGTATCTTCTGAATTGTACGGTTTAGATGTGTCGCACACGAGCTGTTCATTAGGAACAGGTCTCGGGATAGGGTTGGCTCTAGGTCGTTTAGACCGTTCAATATCCAAAACCATGTCCACGGTCTGCTCAATCTGGACAAGACATTCGCCACCAGGAGGGCAGATGGGCCGCATGTCCACTGACATACTCTGCCACGCTGCGTCAAAGAGCTTGTGGCCATCAAATAGACTAGAGATGCCAGTTTTGCCCTTGCACGGAAGGAGCTTCAAGAATGGTGTCAAATTCTCCGTACATACTACCTCGCCAGGAAGAATACCATGGAGGAGATGAAGCCCGTCGGTTGATGAATGACCACCAGTAGGCTCAAAGGAAACAACTGGCCGTGTGGTTCGGGTGGAATCGACAAAGTTCAATGAGGCGCAAAACAGACCGGATAGAGACTGTGTTAGAGTAGTCCATCTCGCAAATGCCCTGTGACAATTAGAATATTATGCATTATACTCAACGTATAAATTGATCTAACGGGGGAACATACTCTTCATCGTCTGCCGCATCAATCCAGGCCCAAAGTTCCACGCCAGTCCCTCCTTCTTTGCTGCCATTCCATGGCCGAGGGCCCCAGCTTTCAGCATCCCATCGCCCAGTGCTAAACCGAAGGTGGAGCTCTTTGGTATGTGCGTGTTGGAGGATTTGTCCTAATGCTCGGGGAAAGTATCGGAAATGCTGGTTGTCGAATGATTGCTGCGAAGTATTACCCCGGAAATTGAACGAGGCTAGGAGGGAGGACTGAGGGAGCGGTTGGAGGAAAAGTTGTTCATGATAATCAGACGATGCCAACACACTCGAACTCCACAGAGTCACAGCAAGCGTCAGCAAGAGCGAGAGAAGTGAGAAGGTCGTCATCACTTCATGCCGGAGCTCGGTCTGCGCTGCCCCTAGTCCATGCGATGATCGATCGAGGCGGGGAGGTTATCGTCCACAAAGTCTGATAAGTTTTTAGACTAACTGGCACACTGGATCACCGGGAAAGTCCCTGAAAAGCACCGAGAGCCCTGAACATCAGACACAAAGTGGAATGGGCGAGTGTTCGACACGGAGCAGCACACCTGGTCTGTTGATTGTCGCGCCTCACCGCCTTCCTTAGCGCCAGGATCAAAAAACCTCCAAGACTTCGCCGTTCATCTCCAAAAGTCCCCGCCTTTTCGTGTGTTGCCATTGTTGCCATTTCTCCCTTCGGATACCTAGGCATTGATTATGGCGGCTGAACAGAGAAAGCTGCTCGAGCAGCTCATGGGAGGTAAGTTCTTTGAAACTCTCGCCCATTCTCAATCTGCAACCTACCCCAATTCCCCGGACGAAGCTAATCACCAATTTACTTATAGCTGACCAGCTCATTGGTACCGGCGCTCAGGGTCGCAATAGCCAGCTTTCAATCACAGACCCCAAAGTCTGCCGTTCCTACCTCGTCGGAACCTGCCCTCACGACCTCTTCGTCAACACGAAGCAGGACCTCGGTCCCTGCCCGAAGGTGCACAGCGAAGGACTGAAGACGGAGTACGAGACTGCATCCGCAGCGGAGAAGGCGAAATGGGGCTTCGAGTTTGACTACCTGCGCGACATGCAGAAGTACATCGACGACTGTGACCGTCGGATCGAGACTGCGCAGCGCCGGCTGGAGAAGACACCAGACGAAATTCGACAAACCAATGCTCTTGTATGTCCATGATTCCAACATGCACCTGTCCCTTTATATGTGTGCTAACCCCGATATAGCTTAAACAAATCGCCGATCTCACCAACACCATCAACGGCGGCCTTCTGGAAGTTTCCGTCCTCGGCGAGACAGGCTCCGTCGCAATGGCCTTGACGGAAATGCACAAGGTCCGCACAGCGAAACATCAAAAGGAGACCTGCGAGCGCGACCTCAAGAATCTCCAAGATACCTCCGGTCCGTCTGGCCATCAAAAGCTGCAAGTCTGCGACGTCTGCGGTGCCTATCTGAGTCGACTCGACAACGACCGACGATTGGCAGATCACTTCTTTGGAAAGATGCACATGGGATACTCGGATATGCGCAAGTCTTCCAAGAAGCTTAGCATGGAACTCAAGGGCCGGGCACCGCCAGTGCGCCACCATGAAGATGACGATCCCTACAGTGCTGGTGGGCGGTCTGGTCGTGGTCCTCGTTATGGCGGTGGTGGTGGTGGTGGAGGTTACCGCCGTCGGGGTGGAAGATGGTAATGAGTCTCGGTTTCTTCTTTCTGCTCTGGGTCGGGTCTTTTGCATAGCGCAGGCGTTCTCTACGTGCGGTACGGGGATGGTCCTCGGTGACTATGGGTGGTTATCGGCCATGCGCTCAATATATCCATGTTTTTTGTTGAATACCACAAATATTATTCGAAATTAAGCTGTCTACATTAGAATCTACACCTGTGTTGGGAAGTACTTGTTCACTCTACTAGACCCAAGTTGGAGATGTCTCGCTGAGTATAGAGTGGATCTTTTGGTATCTATATCTATTGATATAGATTGTATTTTTATTTTTTATTTTTTTTGAGCTCTACTAGTCCATATATGACTCCATTTCGACGGCCCCAAGTCTGGTCTGAATTGAAGACAATTGAATCCACTGTCTTAAGAATCAAGTAGTTTGGTTGAGCCATGTACCCTCATTGACAACATTACAATGCATGGTCATTGGCACTATAAGAAAAGAAAAAGAAGTAACACTAAAAAGCAGATCCATTTTTTGCGGGCAAGCCAGCAGTACTAGCTGTGGGTATCCCACTATCATAAAACCTGAAAACCTAAACCCGGGGATTTTCTCCCAAACACCAGATTGCAATAAAAACAGTATGACAACCCACCAAAAATACCACAATGAAATCAACTCAAACAAACTGTACAGTACATGATAAAATATTCAGATATCATCAGCATAGCTTCATACGTTCGGCTGTGGAGCATGGCCGTTCGCCTGAATCTCAAAGAGCGCCTGCATGAGCGTGTCGTAGTTGCCTGCAGCGGCAGGTTGGCGAGTCAGGATGTCACGGACAACATTCAACTGCGTCATGTCCACGTTGGGTGCGGTCTTGAGAAGTTGTTGGATGGCAGGTGCGCTAACCTGCTCACCGAGCACTTGCACTGCGGCGGCCATGCCGGTCACGGCGGGCTGTTGATAGCCTGCGACTTGGCTTGGCTGCTGACCAAACGTAGAGAGATTGCTCAAGTTGGACGGAGGAGTCGGTGCAACTTGGGCGGCCGGTGCTTGTCCGGCGGTCGAGAACTGATGGGGTTGAGGGGTAGCTCCGACGGCTGTCAGAGGACTGGCAGAAGCGGCCGGTTCCAGGCTGGGTTGGTGAGAAGGCGGTTGGACGGAAGGAGGATTCGAGTCGCCGGTCTTAACGACGAAAACTATGAGGAGAGTGCGCTCGTTGATAGGGCCTTCGAGGGAGTTGTTTTCCAGAAGCTCAATGAACTCGGGCTTGTTTGTAGTGCCGGCTTCGATGGGGACAATGTAGGTGTCCTTGACGGCTGGCAAAGGATGTTTTCCAATAACACCGTACCGCTTGCGGCCGGAGAAGTATTCGAAAAGCTTGTCAAAGCCTATACGCTCGGTAGGATTGTCGGGACTGCTGATGGCAATCACAGACACATCGGTGGAAGCACTGAAGCGCAGGCCGCAAAGGTAGTTGCTCGCAAGCTGAATATCGATTCGGCCATCAATCAGCAATGTGGACGGTGCAAGTTGACTCCACGGAATCCGGCCACTGAGGTCTGCACCTCCGACATGTTTGGCAGAGGACATGAACTCAGAGACGGGGATCATAGCGACTTTACCGCGCCAGACGACACCGTCATCGGAGAAATCTTTCGGTGAGTATGGAGGCGAATCAGGCTCATCGTCGCGCAGCAGTTGGTCGATCTCGGCATCTGCTTGAATTTTGCCATGAGGCACAGGCTCGCGAATGTGGGTGGCGACTTCAGGGAAGACGTGATCATGGTGTTCACCAGTAGGTGAGTGGCCTCGGCCTCGTCCTCCTCGGCCCTTAGGTTGCTGCAACTTCGGGGTGGTTGGACTCTGATTTGCAGGGCTGCCATCAGCACCCTCGGCAGTGCTCCTGCGAGGCGCAGTCGAGAAGACAGATTCTGTGGCGGCATTCTGGACGTCATCTTCAATCAATTCCTCGCCTTTATGTGTGCGTCGGATTCGGGGGCCCTGTTCCTGGATAATGATGTGCTGTCGTTCAGACTCCCGTTTAATCTCTGCGTCCTTTTGCTGCAACTCCTCACTGGCCATCTCCTCCGGCTTCATCCTAGAAAGATGGTCGGGTGAGAGGCTACCTACGAGCAAACGGTCCCGTAGAGAAGGATTCTTCTTTATGTTGAACAGGATCGTTCGTAATTGCAACTTATATGGTTCGGTAGGCTCGCCTGTCCGTCCACAGAAATGGTTGTACATGGCATCCTCGATGGCGAGACCAAGTTGCCGTGCAGCATCCTCTGCGTTTTGGCCACCGGGCAATGAGTAAGAGCCCTTCTTCTGTGCCGCAGTGACCTGCTCTACAAATAGCTTGATGAGAGCAGTGGCCGCACTCTTACGAGCTGGGATCACCAGCTCTTCCACGGTTCCAACTGCGGCAGAGGCATATGTTGTTGAAGGTTCTGTCTTGACCTTTGGAGCTGCCGCCGTGGTGTGCGGAGAAACTCGCTGCTGCTTCACCTGCGGGCCCTGCAGGAGAATCCAATTAGCTTTGTGGCTGGGTGATAGAGAATATAAAGGGAAAGGACGTACGTCCGTCTCTGCCTGTTCATCAAGCTTGCGTTTGTTCGTGCTCGACCGGCGCGACTCGTGGCCATTTTTCTCAGGCTCGGCCGACGCGGAGGCAGCGGGGGGAGGAGACTGGCCAGGGCCAGGTGTCGCAGAGGTTCCAGCGCGAGCCGGAGTTCCAGAGTCGGCCTTGCCTTGGCTCTTGCGGCTGCTACTCTTCTTGCCCTTCTTCTTCTTGGACTTCTTCTCCTCGGCTTCCTGTCGCCGACGCTCGGCGACCTGTTCCCAGGGCTTCTCGCCCTTGGCGATCTTCTCCAGCAGCGCCTTGTGGTTCTCGGGTTTGCATTGCTCGCAGAAGTATTTGTCCGGTTCGGAGCCCTTGGCGAATGTGAGGCCCATGCAGTCGTTGTGTTGCCATGCCAGACAGTTGTCACAGCAGATCATGTCCCGCTCCACGTCTTCCTCCTCTTCGTATTCGCCACAGATGCATCGGATGATTTCCTCTTCTTCGCCTTCGCTGGGTCCGGGGGTAGGTTCGGCGGAGGCTTTGCTGCCTTTGTCTTTCTGGCTCTTGCCCTTGCCTTTCTTCGCAGGCGTGTCGGGCAGCTCGAGGTTCTTGTGCTGGCCTTTGGTCGCGCGACCAGAGCGACGTGGTTCGTCTGCGTTGCCTGTTAGCATGTCATTGTTCATTGAGTGGTTCCCAGCGCTGTCGTCGGTCCCAACCCTGGCTTGTCCACTGACGGGTGGGCCTAATTTGGCGCCAGAGAGTGTGGTGTACGAGTGCTTACCGGCCATGGCAAAAGTAGAAGGTTGTATTACAGGACGATGAAAGACGCCAGCGGTCGCAGTCTTCTCTCTACGAGCACAAGGGGCTAAGAGTAATACACAAGAGAAAAAGCAAGACGCTAAAACAGCGCCGGGGCCTGGTCCACGGTATTACTTGATCACCAAAGCTGTTCCCCCAGGATACAGAGGTACTTTCACGGGCGTGTGGTGGCAAGATATGCGCTGAGACGTGTTTTGACAGGTTCTGCGATCCCTTGCTGCGCGCCAGTCGCGACTTTTCGCCCTGCGGGGTCGCGTGAGATGTTGTAGCGCTCTGAAATGGTACAGAGCGGAAGATAAACGCAAAGGTCGAGATGGTAGTCGCTACTCTAGCAGACGCTTGACAGCGATGACACTGAGGTTGATGGAAGGAGATGGAGTTGTGAGTGTCCAAGATCAGGAAAGGAGGAAGACGGGTCGGTGGCTTGAGCGGTTTGTCAGCGCGTCACATGACTCACCAGCCACGCCCTTGGATCGCGATGAGCTTCTCCAGCTTCGTTGGTTCCCCACTTGCTGAGCAAAATCACTTTGCAAATATTAAATCAAGCTGAAACCGGCTGCAATCTCAACTCATATCTCTGTGATCCACTCAATCTTTGGACCTGAAAACTCCCGTCTCTGCCTCGCTCTCAACAATGGCGGACGTCAGATCGCTCCTCCGGAATGAACTAGCTTCGCGCAAGGGCGCGTCGCCAAATACCTCAGGGAACCGTGTCAGCAAAAAGCGCAAGGTGGATAATGGGGAGGGCGCGATACGCAAGAAGCTACGATCCACAGATCTCGAAGCCGTTCAGGCTGCAGCGAGTGTACAGGGCGCCGCTCCCACCGCTCAAGAGACACCCGAGGATGACGTCTTGGAATCCGTCGACGAGGACGACTTGGCAGGCCCCGAACAACCCCTCGATGAGAGCCAACAGATCACTGCGCCAGCGGCACAACAAATACCGCCACCGCAGGAAGCCTCTGGTGCTGTCGATGAGGATGAATGGGCTGCCTTTGAACGCGAAGTCGCCGCGCCAACCCGAATGCCACATGCGCCAGCTGCCGTCGCAGCCGAAGCGACGATATCCGCGGCCCCCGTAACCAACGAGGAGCTTGCGGCGCAACAAGATAGAGAGAAGGTATCCGCCGGTCGGACAAGGGAAGCCGAATTGGAAGGAGAGCGAGAGGATGCGGCGCGATTTATGGAGGAAGAGTTTGATGAGATGGACCAACTTGAGGAGCGTGTGCGGAGGTTGAAGCATATGCGAGAGGAATTACGACAAAAACGTGGCAAAGACCAGACCAGAGACGTCCCTATGTTGTCGGAGGATCAACAGGCAGGACCTGCAGCTGAGAGTGACAGTGATGATGACGACGAGGATTGGGACGATTGGCGTTTCAAATGACCATGTGAGGTGTGAATAGCCTGCCGGTTTCTACAGAAAGGGACATGAGCTCCCTTTAACATACAATGATACCCTCCAACAAAAATGAATGGCGCCTTTTCCACAAAGCTCTTCATAGTATTCACAGCCTGTATCCTAACTTTGTGCCAAGTTTCACTTGGAGTTTCAGCATGTTGATCTTATATCTCATTTCTGTCTTCATTGAGTGGGCTTTTCTCGCTCGCCAACTGGTGTTTCATCGACATCCATGTAACTGCGCAATCCATCCTTGCGAACCTTCATGGCTTCTGCAATTTCAGCCTCACCTTCCCTGAGAAGATGCTTGCCACGAATCACATCACCCCGCTGTCTCCGCTTCTCTTCCTCTACCCGTTTCTCTCTGTCCTCGAGGGCTTTTTCACGCTTTTCCCTTTCCCTCCGCTTCCTGTCGAGCTCTTCATGCTGTTCCGCGGTCAATTCTTCCTCCGGTGGCGGAGGCAAAGTAGATATGTATGCCTCAATCAACGGGTTGCGGATTTTATCAGTAAGCGCAATATATCGGATATCTGTGATGATCTGGGTCGGCAGAGCCTCCAGGTTTGAAGAACGATTTAAAGCATGCAACGGAGCTGATTTGAGCAACGCTGACAGATCCGACTTGCGAGTACTCTCAGGAAGCTTGAGCTTTGAAATGTAATCACGGTAGAGCTTCTCACGATCTTTTTCGGAAAGTTTCGTGTCTTTCATCTCTGGTTCTTTCCGGTATTTGCGCTTGAACTCAGGCCAGTACAGTTTGGGTGTTGCGTACTCCTGGAGGAAAGCCAAATATTTGACGCGGGGATCTTGCTTTGCCTGTTTCGCCTTGTGCTCTTGGACATCCTTGATGCGGTCTCGGCTCCAGTTGGAAAATATTTCTCTTCGGTGCTTCATGTTCGAAGGCGCCGTGTATCTGGTGTCCTCGATAATGCGACCTTCTTCGACGATGGTCTCCCATGTAGTGAAAGGATTGATGTTGAAGTCGTCGAGCAAGTCACGGAATAGTGCTTCGGCATCAGCGTCCGTCAATTGTAGCCCTTCCGCGCCCTCTTCCCAGTCTTCTTCTCCCGGTTCGCCATATTCGCCCGGATCCAAGCCATAGTCCTCGCCCATCGCGGCGAGTTGGTATTCCATATCTTCCTCGGTGAATTCGACCGGCTGATCCTGCGCACTTGGGCTGTCAGTGCGAGTGCGTTTGGATGGTTGGCCCTCCCCATCCTCCGCCTCGCTGTCGGTAACTTCAACTTCTTCATATTCGTCACTGTCTTGCGCGCCGCCTGTTTCAAGGCCGGCACTCGGTTCCTTTCGCGTCACATCTTCTTGCTGTGACGGCGATTCTGGTTTGGTGACTGCGACATCCTTGGTAGGCTCCTCCACCGCCTCGCCTCGCTCTTTTCGTTCTTTCCGTTCGCGTTCAAGACGATCATACTCGATAACGCCCTTCAAAACCTCCTGGGGGAACTTCCAAAAGCTCTCGTTCGTTTCGGGATTGTGAACGAATCGCCTCCCAAGCTTGGTCTTCACGAGAACCCATGGCGCGCAGTCAGGTATGAGATGCTTCGACTTTGGTCGGTCTTGAGGCTCTTGCCGCCGGCGATCTTGGTAGCCTTTTCCACCACGGAAGCCACCGCGACCATGGTCATGTTGTTGTTGGCCTAATTGGCCCGCCCCAGGCGCGTAGCCTGCGGGTCCATAAGGCGTTGACGAAAAAGGTGGTAGTGTTTCTGGCGAATAGTATGGGAGTGATTGTGAGGGTTCTGGGGCGGGCAGCTCAGGTTGAGAAGATTGCGCCTGGGGCCGAGTATATGTAGACTGCTTCGTAGCAGCATTATAGTAGTACAAATGGCCTGAGAGTTCATCGTTAATAAGATCCTGCAAGTCCGATCAAGCGCAAAACCAACCCGAAGGCGCTCGATGCTCCGACCACCCCGGTGGCAAAGGGGGTGGCGCGCTGTATGTGGATTTGAGCATGTCAGAAATAAAGCAGTAGATTGTTCAAATTGGTAGAGCCGGCCGGGCTCAATGCTGGAGAACGAAAGACCGAAAGCTTTGGTGTGGTGAGGTGGTCCGAGCTTGGCGGATGACAGAGGACGCGCCAGGGCGAGTTGCCTGGAACTTCGAGCTCATCTCCAACTCCGACCTCCCCTACTTCCTCGATCTCCCTTCTTGTCTACTCTTTTCAATTGTTGCTCTCTTACGTCTTCGCTGCAACATGTCTCGACGTTACGATTCACGGGTGAGTAGAATCATGCTTTGTCGGCGGGTGCAGCTCCAGCTAACCTATGACGCTGCTCGGTAGACCACCATCTTCTCCCCAGAGGGTCGGCTGTATCAAGTCGAATATGCGCTCGAAGCCATCTCTCACGCCGGTACTGCCCTGGGTATTCTAGCCAAGGATGGAATTGTCCTCGCCGCCGAGAGAAAGGTCACCAGCAAGCTGCTTGAGCAGGACACCTCCGCTGAGAAGCTCTACACAATCAACGAGTACGTCAACAAACCCCATTTTATCAAATAAAGTCATCGCAATCACCTCTTGAGATCACTGGGCTAACTATTTCCAGTAACATGATCTGCGCAGTGGCTGGCATGAACGCCGATGCTAACATCCTGATCAACTACGCCCGTCAAAACGCTCAACGCTACCTCCTCACCTACAACGAAGACATTCCCTGCGAACAGCTTGTGCGCCGACTGTGTGACTTGAAGCAAGGATATACGCAGCACGGTGGTCTCCGTCCGTTCGGTGTGTCTTTCATCTATGCCGGTTGGGATCACCTTCGTCAGTTTCAGCTGTACCAGAGCAACCCGAGTGGAAATTACGGCGGATGGAAGGCGACGAGTGTTGGCGCGAACAATGCCAGCGCACAGAGTTTGCTCAAGCAGGACTACAAGGAGGACCAGACTTTGCAGGAGGCCTGCGCTATGGCGGTGAAGGTTCTGAGCAAGACTATGGATTCCACGAAGCTGAGCAGTGAAAAGAGTGAGTTCCCAGCCCCTACGTGATGTCGACCATCTCCGTCAATTTGCTTGGATCCCAAAGTACTGACCAGCTGTTCCTTTACCAGTCGAGTTTGCAACAGTGGGCAAGACCAAGGACGGAAAGATCTACCACCACCTATGGACCGCCGATGAGATCGATGCACTTCTGCGGGAACAAGGGCTGGCCAAGGTTGATGACGAGCCCGAGGCTGGTGAGATTAAATAGATTAATACCTTTGCCCACTGTTTTCAGATACTTGAAAATCAATATCTGTTGGTTATCCTTCTCTGCCTTTCTGCTATTCCAAGTTTGCTACCTGAAAAATGCTCAATATCGGCGGCTTTCCTGGCGAGGCATTTGTCCCGTCCGATGGCTTCTGCTAATGACTGCATTGCAGCTGCTGGTTCGTGACGTGGCATACGTTCAGGCGATAGGTCTTACTCTATCCGCCCCGTTGTCCACAAGTAACGATGTTTGATCCAGCATAGCAGAGTCAAATAGACCGGTCCACGTAGTCGTTAGGCCCTTGGCTTGGGATTCAGTGTTGTTGGTTCCTGCAAAGTAAATTCTCCGATCCTACATCTCGCGGGGCGATATATATCCTCCGAGTCGTCATTCCATTCCTTAACCTTCAGCCACCTGGTCTCAACCTTGGAAAACGCTGCAAATAAAAGGGGGTCCGGCAAGCCTATTCCCCCGGTGCCTTTCTCTTTGAATAATGGTATATATCGATCATGTTAACTCTAGGTCTCTGCCCTGTGTGCGCTAACGGTGGTCGGATAAAAGTGACAGTCTACCGCCGCCGTCTACGGAACCTTGGAAGGTGTGGTCTTGTTCACTTTACCTATTATCCTCTACCACTCCTTTGACTCATTATTCACCTCGAATAACTCGGAGATGTACTGAAATGTCTAACTAACTAATATCCCTCAGATTACCAAGCGTATGGTACAAAACACGTGACAAAGGGAATGAGGGGTTTCACCGTCCACCGGGCAGCAACACCCCTCTCTAACACCTATTGGGATATTGCCTGATGCCCTCTCAAGATCGAATGGCTATCATTTTATCTTCTCCAGGCTGCAGTGGCTGCCCCTGGGCCATCTGCAGCAGAAGACGCCTTTTCTCCATGAGACTCGAGCCGTCTCAGCGAACCGCTGATCCAAGAAAACACGGCGCTTATGAAATGACTAGTCTCCATTGACATATTACGGGACGATGATAGCCTATGAAAAAATTGCAATTGCATCTCCTCAACCAATAATAACTTGTTCACATTTTTCATGCCATCGGGAGCGATCTTGCCCGCCACGTTGAAGAAAATCGATTCAGACTTGATGTCACAGACAATGTTGCTCTGTGTGGTGAAACGTGAAACGCCCCTCAGAATCCGCCAGTCGATATGATCACAGGAGGGAAACGGGACCAGCAAACAAAAAATCGAAATTAGGGGCCAATCAACCTTGGAATACAGGTCGCTATTCGCTTAAAAACAACCTCCAATCTTGACAATCGAGGACACCGCCCTATCTCACAAGGGTGTTCCTTCGGGTCTCACGCTCCCGTTGCAGGACGAAAATCTCCTTGTCCAGGTCCATGATCAGTTTGTGGGACCGATCGATTGAGGCCACCAGATTGGCACCCTCCCGTTTCCACCGTTCGAGGCGGTCGACCTCGGCGCTTCGCCGGCGAAATTTAGTTTCAATCTTCTCGCAGAGACGGCATTTGCTGCTGTCGTTCTCAGTCATGTTCACGAGTTTCATACCGCATGTTTCGCCGGTGCGATACTCGTAATTGCATCGGTGAGCAAAGTTGGTCCAGCTCCAGTCTCCACAGGAGAATCGCTTCTGGTTGTAAAAGCACATGCCTATCGGATGCGTCAGTGCCACTCGGTTCCAAGATGTGATCAGACTCACCTGCTCTCGGCCCCGGGATCTTGTTTCAGGTTGAATCAGGCTGGTTATTGGTTCTGCCTGACCTCTCCAAACTCGCTTGACAAGTTTGATAGGCTGACTTTGGTCAATTCTAGTCAAAGGCCTTTCTAAAGGAGGTTTAATGGAGTGAAACGATTGTCGGAGAGTGTTGTCTCTGAGCAGTTCTATGGATATGGCTTGCTGATTCCCAAGGTTGAGGTCTTTGATTTTGAAACTTGGGGGATGATTTTGAACTCCATGGACCTTCAAGGGGTCCTGAAAGGCCCTATTTATGTTTTGGTCGGGAGTTCAATGCCATCTCTTGGGCCCCCCAAGTTCGTGTCGTCCTCTTGACGATCGACGCTCACCGGCGGGGGGACGGCTTATCGTCCGTGACTCTCATTTATCGAAACTCACTTTGCAACCTGGTTGAGCTGGATCTGGTTGGCTGTCAGAAGCTCTCCGGATAGTGGAGACTTTAAGATGCCCAAGGTATCCCGGATGGAGTCACCAAGGATGAACCGTTGCTTCAAGTGTGCATGCAATATTTTCATTGTGGCGATTCCTGTCCCTATGATGATGCACCGAGAGCTGGAAAATCCCTCAGTCCATGGCTGTCGTCCAATTCTCAGTCTCGACTACTGCAACCATGCCGTCGCTAATTACCCCTCCCCGCCTTCGTGTGCATGTCGTTCGCATGGAGTCAGATTGCTGTGATCCTGTTGCGTACTGCATTGACGATCCTGCATGATTTGGGTTTCTCTGGGTCTCTGCCAGCTGTCACTTTCGTGCAAATATCAGACCTTCTTTGGTCAGGGATTACCTTGTTTCCAAGCACAAGGAAAGCTGCAGTCGTTTCCGAATGGGACAGGACCTATGCACCGTCCCCTGTGACTCCACCTCAATGGCATGTCGTACCTTCCATCACTTTTGACCGGATCTTGCCCGTTGATTGGCTCAATGCTTCAATAATAATCAACTTTGACACGGACTTTCGACCCGAGTGTCTCCTTTTTTCCCACGGATGTTTCCACTCGGCGTCGCCGTCTCTGTGATTGCATACGCATGCACCCTCACATCGGTGCCACACTTCTCCATTTTCCTTTTTTGCCATTACACTCCACTGCATTGGGCGATATTTGAGCACGATGTTCCGACCCGATCTAGGGCCCAGGTCTTCCATCGGTGCTTCGCCGAGCCTTGACTTGCAAGGGTATCAGAATTGAGACTTGATCCTCGCTCCATGCCCTGCCGCATGCTTCCGCTCCGTGAACGAGAGCCAATAATTCCTCACTCGGGTGGCAACATTCGCGTCACTGAGGCTCTATTATTGGTACCACCTGCACTCAGGGACACGGGCCACGGAATTGGGTTTGGTCTCGGTCGACCCATTAAACCATTCGGAAGTTGGGCAAAGATACATCTGTACATCCATGTTCATTCAGCTGATCTTTCAGGCCTGCAGAGGAGGGGTCCTGCATCGATCCCCACTCATGTTTGTGGTTCATCGTCATCTATTTGCTTGTTTTGGCGAAAATGATAGGACCTGGACGCCGTGCGGCGCTCGTCGCAGACACGAACCGTCACACCTTCCACATTCTGCTGAACACATGCAGATGCACCAAAGGTCGGAGACTCTGACGTGGCACGTTGCTTCTGGCTCGATACTGCTGATTCCTGGTAGCGATGGCTAACCGGCAAAGACCATGGGCCGAAAGGCGCGATGCTTCTGGGCCCCGCGGAGATGCTCCACTCAAAAACCCATGGTTTTATTGTTGAATTCGCGAAATCCGTGCAGGAGGGCTTGCCTTTTCCAGTTCAATATGGAATTGGCTGCATTCCAAGGTTGCCCTCTGTCATCCTGTCCTCGGATCCACTCTAACCGGTTATTCATGAATCTTGCGCATGATCATCGGAGACTGCCGTTCCTATTACGTTTACTGCCTGAACTCGGGGAAGACAATCGATGGTGAGATGTTGAGTTGGCAGCCCGCATCCCTGGACCGGCTCTAAACAGCCTCAGAAGGCGTAATTTCGGAGAGGACCGATCGATATCGAGCAGCGAGCTGGTACATCGGCCTTGAAACTATCGAATCAGCATTCCAAGTACCCCCGGTCTTTTTGTCTCTGGGCCCGTCTTACCGCCGAAAAGGAACATAGTCTCTGCCTTCCTTGGAAGACCCCTACCTCTTCCGGGCAAGGATCAGACTCAAAACCATGGGAAAAGTGTGGATATTGTTCCTGCCCAACAAGCGTCGATGCCAGATGTAATTTCGGAGCCATCGAGAACAGGGTCATTGCCATTGCAGGCTGATTTCGTGTGCCATGGATTTCCGCTGTCCGTACTACAACGTTGAAATTGGATTCTTGGACCCACATACACGCTTCCACTCTGCTGGGCTCTTGGGATCCCGTGATCTTAAAGTAAACGGAGGCTCCCGCACCCTCCACGCGCTTGCCTACGACCAGGCGACAAATGGTGGCAGGCTCTGTGAGCTTTGGGGATCAACGGGCAGAGAACCGCTGCCTATCAGCAGGGTCAGCGCGCCCAGATTGGCCAGCCGAGGGAGAATTCCTCACTTGCAGCCGAGTGCCGCACCCAATGACACATCCTGGCTAGGGTGTCAGTCATATGCAGCTAGCAAATCCTTTCCCCACCCACGATGTACGAGTGCCACCGGTGCATATCATCAGCGCCCATGCCGAGTCGGGCCAAGCCTGATGATTCATTGGTCGATTAAGATCCCTCTCGACGCTGACCTTCGCGTCTGCATTTCGCCAGGTGCTAGTATCTTCACAACGTGGATGAATATCTGTGCACACATTTATTATTACATGCACGGAAGTGAAGTTCCGTGTCATTTCTGGTTGGTGATCTCTCCTTTCTTGTTTAAACTGACATAATGTTTAGCTTCCACAATGCAAGCCACTTTGCCACCAGAGCCTGGAATCACGATCGAGTGCGCACTTGGCAGCATTGAAATAACTGGCATATGATACAGTGCGCTCGCATTCCAGTCTGAGCCTGCGTGTTGACCGGTAGGTAATCAATTGCAACGATCGGTCACGTTACTGGCTCGTCTGCACCCCGGCCTGGCTCAGAAGTAACGGATGAGGCTATAGGTCTTCCATGTACATCCGGGCCCATACGTAAATGTAACAGCTTCTGAAGCTACAAGCTAATATCTCTGATACCGTACATGAGAAAGAAACCAAATGACCAAAATATGCATCCGATTATTCATCAAATCCCTAGAGTCCCGTACTGAGCGTTGTTGACGTGGCGTCGGTTCAGGTCCATGAACTGATTTTAAATGCCAAAACGAATTAACGCGTGGAGATTAACTATCTCGCGTATTTAGCACTATTCCATCATTTTGGTACGACGATGTTGCTGGAGCGAAACAGGAAGCTTAGTACCGGATCGGGTTAGCGTTAGATAGTGACGTCAATATGATATCTCGCAGCCTTTGGAATCTCGAACAGAACAGGGCATCTGGGGATGATTGGCAAGGCTTTTAAAACCTTATGTAATTTCTCTTGATTTTCCAAATACTATTGTTTCCGTACAATTTGAATTCATCTTCATCTTCTCGCAATTCACTGTACAACCAACAATCCTCTGCAACTCTCTACACCAACTCTATATACAACCGCATCCCTCACACCAGACTACGCAATGTGGAAAAGCGTCATCTCCAGCGGCCAACGAGCCAGCCGAATGGCCCAACATACCACTCCCACGCCAACCCTCTGGACATCCCAGACGTCAACAACAACCCGCCGTGCCTTCAGCGCTGTCCTGCCCCTCCGGAAAGAATCCAACCAAGAAAATGACTGGAACCGCGAAGAGCTGAACCCCCAGCGCTCCGAGGTCAGTAAGTCGGGCACAGACAGCGAGCTCGCGCACCATGACTCCGCATTCGATCCATCCAACACCGCGCCGGAGAGCGAGCTTGAGGCGACGGAGCAGGAGGCGAGCCAGAAGGGCAAGCAAGGGACGCTGAACATGAGTCCCGCGAACAAGGATGTTCATGCTTGGAAGGGTCCCAATGAGGGGGGCCCGGATAGGAATGCTGATCGGGAAGCGAGTTATAAAGGGACACCGAACAAGCGGAGGAATATACATGTTAAGGAGGATGGGACGCATGTTTCTTATCGATGAGGCGTGAAGTCCTAAGTTGAATTGTTTGGCGATTTATGTTAGGAAGATTTGTAAGTGATTGGGGTTGGGCGTGACTTTCGGCAAATGCTATTCTATAACGCGCCAAATGTGTATGCTTTTAAACATGTACCCATCTGATAGAGTTCACAGAAGACTATTGGACACGTCTGCTTCTTTATGTACAATCTTTTACAGTGTAGAGAGGGAACAGAGAAGGGGGCCTCGGCCTTCTGGGCATATTCAAATCACAGGCCAGTAGCCCTGAAGCCATCAAGCCCCATGAGAGAGCACGGAAGGAAGGAAAGAGAGAAAAGGGCTGTATCTATAGTAGGGCTGGGGGTCCAAGCCTCAGGCTTTGGAAGATGGCATTTACGGTCCCTAATCGGGGCGCTACGCTGCGATGCCTGGGCCACCCGCTACATAACAAGTAAAGTAAGAGCAAAAGAGAAGAGAGCGTGGAGAATCCCAAAACACGACACGAGACGCCCGTGACAGGCACGTGATAGCAAAGAAAAGCAGCAAACAAAAGGCGAAGGCGTGAAGAAGAAACAGCAAGTAAAAGCGAAGAAGAAACAGCGAAACGTAAGGATCGGCGAAGGGTATCGTAGTGGGAGCGCAGCAAAAGCTTTGCGGGCAGCTCGCGCAGGGTAGTAAAACCCCTCCACTTCGTTCCTCGTTTCAGGGCAAGGAAACACAGACTGCAACCAACGAGAAGCGAGAAAAGGCCCTAAAATTGGCGAATCAGAGGCAAGCGAGGGGGCAAGTTTGGCAGGCCAGCTTTCGCGGCCAAACGCCGCGTACCTCACGTGTAGCCATGGCCGAAATAACCCCTTTCACTCGTTCCTCATTTCAGGGCATGCGAGTGGCCATCTTCAAAACACCATAGTAAACGCGATATTTTACCACCTTATATCTCAACAACAATAGATTACTATAAAGTCTTCTTCTAGTACTATATTCGCTGTAGCATATTTAGCCTATTTACAGGGCCTAGGGAGATTTAGAGGTACGGTAGTTCAGAGATATATTTTTGTAGTTAAAATAGCTAAATTATAGCGTACTTTATGGTAATATAACAAAACAATCAAAACATTAACTTTAAACTAATATAAATTATTCCTCGGGCCAAACAATGCTAGTAGTAGGAGGATGAAGGAAAAATTATCATTTGTTGTTGAGATATGAGGTGGTAAAATATCGCGTTTACTATGGTGTTTTGAAGATGGCCACTCGCTTGGGGTGGCCACTCGCTTGGGAAATACGTTAAATCACAGGTCCGCCGTTTACCAAAAAAATCGACTTTAGTGCTATCGAGGCCAAAAACTACTTCATCCCATATTAAACGTGCGAGTCTGTCAAGCAATTGACAAATAAATACTAAGTAGATCTCTTTTCAGAGCTAAATCGAATATTATCTTCGACCTTCCAAGGTTCAACCAGAATTTTGACGTCAGAATCTAGACTTTTTGACAGCCAAACAGCGTGATCGGCCAGAAGAAGATTTATTAAATACTTGTAGTTTCACTTCGTTCTGGTAGCTCTATAAACTCGTCTCGCACGCTTAAATGTACAGTTCTCATATTTTGATGCCCTTGAATACCCTCAGATAATTCGATGATGGGGTCCTCTTCTCGCTCCCAGCCCTTTATTCCTGGCTCTATTCTCAAACGACTGGGGAGATTTCGAGATGGTGTTTCCTTCGGCGCAGCAGTTCTTGACCGGAAATTAGACTGAGAAGTGCCTTTTAATTCAGACTTCCATGGCCCTCGATACGTATATGTTATCCCGATATCGTCTTCGTAGACTGCAACGAAGGACTTAAGAAAGGCCGTCAAGAGGCAGCTGACACTAAGACCTATGTATGTCTCCGTTGAGACTGTGGCAAAGGAGCCGGAGAGAGTTGGATCTTCCGAGGAGAGTTGGGCTTGGATGAAGTGCAGACGGATTGCCGCGACGGGGATAACCCTATCCAATTTGACGGTGTTAGCAAAATATTTTCTAAATCAATCGTCTAGTGAAGGAACCCTACAAAATCCGACTCTCGAGAGCGCAAAACACGACGATTTTTTTCTTGGTCGAGATCCTGACTTTGTGAATTGCAAATGCCGCATACAAAAGAAGTACAATCTCGGTGGAAATATCGAGGGCTGTAATGACATCCCAGCGGGTAAGCTGTAGCTAAGTCAGTGTTTATATTCGTTTCGGTAGGGGCAATGCATACTAATCCACTGCAATCAGTTGCACTGATTTCGGACCAGGGACTAGAAGAACACCGTATTCCCAACAGAAATGCGGATAGTATTGTCCACGCGATCATTACCAGAAGAATGACAAAGGAAAGTCGACGTTGCATCTGGGAAAATAGGCCCTCATAGAACAAGCAGGTTGTCATCTTTGAAAGGCCGAGCACAAGAATGGAAAATATATCGGCAAGATATACAGTCTTTGTGATGTTAGCTATCCTAGAAAATTTCAATATCTCCAAGACGACTCACCTTCAACATTTGCTCTTTGCTCGTGGTCTCGATGCCACCGATCGGAGTTCCCCACCCATAGTGGACCTGGCAAAACACGATTACGATCTGGCAAATTGCTGCAAGCTTATAAAGAGTTAGTCTAAATACAAGAAGCAAGCACTGTCAATTCACGACGGGGTGTATAAAACTGTACCACGAGAGCGCCAAATGTATAATCATCTCGCTGCAGACTATTTCTATGGTACGAAGAGAAGGTGCGAGCTGCGACAGAAAACAAAACCAGACACAGATTGAATGCGGTGATGACCACAACCAGTCCGCTATGGTTATGGTCATTATCCGTCGTGAGAGGAGGGCTCACCCCCGAAGACACCGTTGTCGAATTGGCCGACATGGCAAGTTAGGACTCGTGTAAAGATCAACGAAGAAAAGGCCAGAAATTTTCACATCTGAAACGTGAGAGAGAGGGCTGAAGATGTTTTCAGTTTTTGAGTCGGGAGGGAAACACAGATTGTAAAATGGGAAGTTTTTGGGGCCGAATCGTCAGAAGACTTCCACGGCGATCAATCCTTGTTCGCTATAGACCTGGCACTCACCCGCGGGTGACCCTCCGGACCCTCCACCCGCACCTCCTCTTGGAGGGTGGAGGGTCCGATTTCTAGAACCTGAGGGGGTGACCCTCAGGGTCCCCACGTGACTAATTTTAGGAAAAAAGTTACGTTTTAGGCAGAAAACATACATTTTAGGTGTCAATTCGCTTAGTCATTTATCCTAAAATAGTAAGGCGTGTCCTAAATAGGTAAAGCGTGTCTTATGCGGGTCGGTTGGACCCTGACCCTCGGAGGGACGGGTGGAGGTTCCTGATCTTGGACCCGCGGGGCGGGTGAGTGCCAGGTCTAGTTCGCTAGATATGCAGGTTTTATTAAGTCGGAAATATGAAGGCTCCTGACGCGCCACAGTAGCACCGAACATGACCAGGGTATACATAGAAAACCAACCGGGTTGCGGGGTTCTCAGGGGAAGCGAAAAAGAGTAAAGGCCGTCAATGAAAGTCAATTTCCTCATTAAATGACGCGTCCCCTCATTCCTTAGAACACTCAAGGCAGCTTCCAAGTTGGCTTTGAAGAGCATGCCGACTTTTTCCAGTTGAGTGATGGATTATGGATGTACAGATGTTGGATTGAAGGCAAAAACTAGTTTTAGATGCACAATTCGGGGCTGAGAATAGATAATGGTTATGGCGGGAAGACTCTACCGTCCCAATCAGCCAATCAGCCAATCGGGGCCGCCAATGAACATGTAGCCTTCTGTGGGGAAACGCCACTCTAGACTGACTGCGTTAGACTGAACCCTACTCTATACATTTACCTCCTTCCATTTGAGATGATGGTTCCGTCGTCTTTAAATTGCTGGCAAACTCTCTGATAGTAGTCTCAGGCAAACCTCGTGCAGGGAAGTACGGCCAACCCAAAAGAAAAAACCGTAAAGCTGTACCCGTATGTAACCTCGATGTATACAAGCCTCCCGAAACGGAAAGTCCTTGGGCCAATCTCCAGAGACGAAGGAGCTGAGGCCCCGGTGGAGCCCATCGGCAGGCGCTGTCAGGTACAAAATCCGATGGCCCCCAAAATAATGTCTTTTAGGCTTTTGGTACTGTACCGTCTTCTTGAATAACGGGCATTGTTACATCGTGGCTATAAATGCCCCACTTAGTAAAGGCACTCTTGTAGCATGTGTATAGTAGTTGTATTCTTATGGAGTTCTGTGGGTCACGACCCAGTATTCTAGGTTACAGGTCTAACCCTAATGCATGGGTAGTGCGTATCAGGGTGACAGGACAGTACCAACAGGCACGAAGAAATTAGTCCATGCAGCCGTGGCCTAGCGCCGCAAAAACATGCTTTTTTGAAACGAAGGTCCCTCAAGGCCCTGCTAAGCAATTCCAATTATTTTATGAATTTCAAGAAAACCTCGCGGCCAATTGAATAGTAATTTACCTAAGTGAAAGCTTCAACATGCTTCCGCCTACTTTTCTTTTTCTCCTCGGCGGAGCGGCATGGGCCAGTACGGGGCACGGGGCACGGGGCTACACGGTAAGAAATCCAATTTTTCATGGGTATTCCGGCCCTCCCCTGAGGTAGAAATTAATACTTTATTCCCAAAGTCCCTGAATCCCCATTAACCCAATTCTATATCTGTCATTATTTTGCTTGGTTCGCCATTCATCGGATCATGGAAACTTCAACCAAAGCGACCATGTTGGAGACGCTGGGTATGGGGATAGATCACAGGAACCCAGAAGCCTCCTCAAAAGGCGGGACAGCACTGGACGACGATGAAATGCATCGCATGGGAAAAAATCAAGAGTTCAAGGTTCTAACAATCGCTTTTAGAGGTACTACATTCGTAGCTAATGTTATGCGACTTCAATTAGAGAAACATGCGACCTCTCGCGGCATTGAGCTTTGCGTCAGTCTTGCAAGCCACTTGGGAATATTTGATTATGTGAGTCAATTGTGATATTATTTCTCTGGACACAGAACACACACATTGACACTTTCCAGTTCGAACTACCAGGGATTGGAGAATGGAGGCCTGGCAGGCATGTTCTGGTCATATGTTTGGACCTTTATCGGATTCGGATTCATAATTGCGTCGTTATCGGAAATGGCTTCAATGGCACCTACCGATGGAGGCCAATACCATTGGGTATCGGAGTTTTGCTCACCTAGGTACCAGAAGTTCCTCAGCTACATCACTGGCTGGATGTCCGTACTGGCATGGCAATCCGGAACAGCTTCGGGATCCTTCCTCACCGGCACCATCATCCAGGGATTGATCAGTGTTCGCAATCCGGATTACGATCCTAAAGGCTGGCAAGGCACTCTACTTGTGTTCTCAATGGTTCTTGTGACATACATTTTCAATGTCTATGCGTCAGATCTGATGCCAATCTTGAGTAACATCTTGATGATTCTTCACGTCCTTTGCTGGGCAGTGGTTTTGATCGTCCTGTGGGCTATGTCTCCTCACCGATCTGCTGAAGCCGTTTTCGTCTCGGATTGGGAAAATCTAGGTGGATTACCTACAATGGGACTGAGTGTGATGGTTGGACAAATCTCAGCTATCTATGGCTGTCTAAGTAAGTTTCACTTATCTTATTCAGGCAGAGAGCAGTCCGGGAAAAAAGACTAATCAGGCCTCAGGTTCCGATGCGTGTGCGCATATGTCAGAAGAAATTAAAGACGCCGGCCGCAACGTACCGCGGGCCATGGCTTGGGGATATTTCATTAATGGAATCATGGCTGCCATCTTGTTGGTTGCCTACCTCTTCGCCACTCCATCCGTTGTGGATTGCCTAGACGATGTTACCGGTTTCCCATTTCTCTACGTGTTCAAGCAGGCTACCAACACGGCAGGAGTTAACGGGCTAACAGTCATCATTTTGTTACCTGTCATGTTTAGCAACATCATGTTTAACGCCTCCACCTCTCGCCAGACTTGGGCTTTTGCTCGTGACAGAGGACTTCCGTGTTCGAGATGGATATCGAAAATTGATCCCAAGCGGAAGATACCTGTCAATGCTATCGCTCTCTCTTGTATCTTCAGCTGCCTGCTTTCTTTAATCAATATCGGCTCTGATACTGCATTCAACGCTATCATCTCTCTCAACACCGCTGCCCTGATGTACACCTACGTGATATCAATCACCTGTGTGATATGGCGAAAAATCTGGTACCCCGGTACCTTGCCTGTCCGTCGATGGGATATGGGGCGGAAATGGGGGTTGGCGGTGAACATCATTGGCCTGAGTTACTCCATTTTCGCGATATTTTGGTCATTCTGGCCAGGCAAACTGCCAGTCACTGCTGAAAATTTCAACTGGAGTATCGTGATCTTTGGGGCCGTTTTCATTCTTAGTCTCGTCTTGTATGTCACGAAAGGACGGAAAGAGTATTTTGGCCCCGCTACAGATATCAAGCATGAGGACTAGATCAATGTATAGCTGACCCACGTTATAAGCTGAGTCAAATTTTGAGTATATGTACAAGTACTTTGCACCGTGGTACATCGGTAGGTTCTCTAAGAGCCACATTCATTTTGCCGGCAGAATTTCTAATCTAAAATGGCTAGTATACCAGCCTTGATTCTAAGAAAATTCCTGCACACGAAGTAAAATCGTCTCAGCTTTACTGATAAAGTGCCTCATCTGAAGCTGTTTGTGAGCACTCTTCGCCTCATCTATTGATTCTCCTGGGTATCTTCATTACTAGACGCCCCCCGAAGCCACGGTCGTGACAATAATATATCATAAAGTGCGGTTCCGAATCGAAGAAGCTGGCAATCATTAACTGAGGAGACCGAGAGTGAGTACCATACGTCACTGACATTCAGAATAAGATAATAAGAAGGTCAAAGGCGCGTGCAGCAAGACGAGAAATATTCAGCTGACGGCTTTTGTTGGTTGGTCGGGTTACAACTTATAACCCGAACCCGCTGCGGGCTCGGGTGCGGGTTATGGCGCAGTCTAGATATCGTTTTGGCACCTAGCGCCTTTTGGTAGCTGTCCTTGGAAAAAAAAATTAGAAAAAGCTCTACGGCGTAAGACTGCTCGCAGGGGGGTAGCTCATCAGGTCATCAGGTCCGGGCGCGACCTGATGACCTGATGAGCTACCCCCCTTCAAAAGGCTTGGTGATATGATATCAGCGAAAACCGTGAGCGGTACAAAGCGTCACCCGTGGGGGCGAAAAGATTCCGGAGGTTTACGGCCTTACCCTTCGAGTGGATCCATCCGGATTTGGCTTAAAGGGTCAGCCAATGTAGACTAAGGTTATATAAAGGAAATTGATACTACCAACCCCACCCTTCCTCCTAAATCAGGCAGGGGTGTCGGTAGGAGGAAGGGCGGGGTTGGTAGTATCAATTCCCTATAAAAAAGTCCGGGCAGCTCTTAAGAAATGGTATATAAACATTAAAGTTCCCCGCTCGAAGCTCATACATGCAGCATTGTTCCCAACCAGCTCAAGGCCCAATTCCAGTCACCAATATCTCAAACAATCTGTCTACAGCATGGCTTACTACGGCGAAGGTCATGCCGACCCCAAGGGTCCTGGCGATGCCCGACCAACAGCTATGCAAATCATCAAGGACGAGGGCATGGGAGGAAAGCTCGCGGGAAAGGTCGTTGTTATCACCGGTGTCTCCTCCGGCATTGGTATCGAGACAGCCCGAGCTCTTGGGACCGCAGGAGCTACTCTCTACTTGACAGCGAGAGACTTACCCAAAGCCAAGGTGGCACTCAGAGACTTCTTCGACCCCAGCCGAATGGAGCTAGTCCAGATGGAACAAACCTCATTGACGAGTGTGCGAGCCGCCGCCGAAACCATCCTCGAAAAAACGAGAACGATCAACATCCTCATCGCCAACGCCGGAGTCGTGGTATTTCAGAACCTGCAGCTCACCGATAGTGGCCACGAACTGCACCTTGCAACCAACCATCTATCCCACTTTCTGTTTTTCCAGCTGCTCAAGCCTGCACTGTTGACTGCCTCTTCTCCAGACTTCCAGTCGAGGGTGGTCATGGTAGCTTCATCAGGACATCGACGACGCAGCGGTCTGAATCCCTCAGACAACTACCATTTCCAAAACGGCGACTACGAACCCAACCGTGCGTATTCCCAGTCGAAGCTGGCTAATATCTACATGGCCAATGAGATTGAGCGTCGATACGGATCTGTTGGGTTGCATGCGCTCAGCGTTCACCCTGGTGCTGTTGCGACTGCTATTGGGCGGCATCTGCCGGTTGAGGTGATTCAGAAGATGGCGCAAAATCAGGGGTTGCTCAGGAATCTGAAGGATATTCCGCAGGGAGCAGCGACTACGGTCTGGGCTGCCGTGTCGAAGGGATTGGAGGGTAAAGGTGGTCTCTATTTGAGTGACTGTTCCGTGGCCGAGGAGGATGATTTGGATGAGAGTATTTATAGTGGGAAATATGCTAGCTATGCTTTTAACCCTGACGAGGAAGCCAGACTCTGGAAGGATTCACTGGAGATGGTGGGTCTGCCTAAGGATGAGTAGAGGCGGAAATAGAGAAGTCTGATAATGTTGCGATAGTATTCAGTTTCATGCCATTTCTGCATTGAGTACGTCATGTTCCTCCTGGCCATTGTGCGTCGTATTTTCAACAATGAAATCACAGTGAATGACGAAGACCACCGAGAGTAACATATGAGAATAAACAATGTACAATACGCGAAAGTATCGAGATCCGGACTCGGAATCAAGACTCATTTGCAAGCTCAATGATACTCTTCCCCTCAACAACCCATACCTTCTCACTTCCCTCCGGGACATCCCCTTTCAACGCCTTCAATCCAGCATTAACAGCGGCCTTCCCAATGACATCTGCATCCTGTGCCCACCCATCCTTCAAACTCGAATGAACCTTCCCTGCCCAGCTCGCAATAAAGCGAATCCCAGCCTCCAAGGGGCGACTCTCCTCACGAGTACCCGAGATCAACCCGGGGCGCAGAATAACAGTCCGCTCAAAACCAAGCGCTTTCACATCCTCCTCAATCTCACCCTTCATGCGTGAATAGGGAATACGGGAATCCTTGCTCGCGCCTTGCGCCGAGATCAGCACGTAGACCTTTGAGCCGGCGTCGCGCGCCGCGCGCGCAAGCTCGACGTTCAGTCCGTGTTCGATCTTGTGCTGGTTCTCAAAGCCGCCTGCGTTGCCTCGGGTTGTGGCGAAGGCGGACATGAAGATCTCGGGTGCGGGTGTCAGCGCCGCGAGCTGCGAGCCCCATTTCGAGGTGTCGTCAGACACGAAGGTAGTGAGCTTGGTTTGGGGGCCCGCGGTGGCTGCGTGGGGGGCTCGGCGGGAAATTGTGTCGACGCGATTCACGCCGCTGTTGGAGAGTAGGCTGGTGAGGATGTGGGAGCCCTGTTCATGTCGCACGGATTCGGTGTTTAGCAGGGATGGAGCCTTTGTTTATGCGGGGATTTCAAGGGCAGGGTTGGGGATATGGTTGAAGCTTACCACCATGCCCGTAGAACCAATTAGAGCGACGTTAGCCATGTTGTTTACAATGGAGTAGTTATTTGGAAGAGTCCGAAGTTGCAAGATGGAGCTTGAGGTGCGCGAGTTGCGCCGCTTTGTCGTCATTACCGCCAGGCTAAACCCAAATAGGAAGTATGCTTGAACCTCCAAAGCTTAAACACTTAGATTTTACTTCCTTGCGATTTGCTAGTAGCCTTGGCGGACAAAGAAGCTATAATTGGTGGTTTGATGAATATTGATAGGTTGGCCTTTAATCACACCTTCGTGGATATGAGCTTTGACTGAAGTTGTGGGTTTCAGATCCGATTGTTGATGATGACCTCGGAATAAATTGAATTTATTTGTGATAACGTAATTCACAAGCGAGCCGCCCACACAAGCGAGCCGCCCACCCAACCATCTACTTCTTACTTTTCATCTATTTTTTTCAACCAAAACGCCTCTATATTAATTATTCTACCTAGCTGGGCATTGGTTGACCCTATGCCCTACCTGATTACATAAAGAACACGTAAACTGACGCCGTCGCGCTGGTGCTACCGCTTGCTGAATAGGCTGCTCGGGTGCTGCTGGAGACGGTGCTATAGGCTGTAAACTAGCCTCATGGGCTTGTAAATGCCCCTGAGCCTCTAGCACTGACATACCAGCATTAGAGGCTATATACCTACTAACCCGTGCACGCTTTTGCTTCTGCATTACGTTGGCCGCCCGTAATTCCTTGTTTTCTTGCTCAAGTAATATGCCGTTTTGCATAGCGATCTGACAGCCTTTAATAAGCTGGTTTAACGCGGTTTGCGAGGGCGATGGGGGGCTATTTGAGCGTCGTTTTAGGAAAGCCTTGATTGACGATGCTTGTTTAAGCAATTCGGCGACGGTCGCTGGTGTTTTAGGGGTAAAAATGCTTGATCGGCTGCTTGGGCGGCTTCCTGAGGGTGTAGGCGTCCGAAGCTGGATATTAAGCTTTGAAAGCACTCGTTCTGGATCGAATGGCACTAAACCCGCTGCTGCGAAGCTATTTTTTATTGTAAGCGCTTGGAAAGCGCTATCGCGAGCATTTGGGTAGGCCATAAGGAAATCAAGCTTGTCAATATGATTTATGCCAAGCCGCATTTTTTGATCAACTAAGCCTCCATATGAGCGCTTTAAAACAGCAAAACAACCAACATCAAGCGGCTGTAAAAGATGCGAGCTATGCGCTGGCATACAAATAGGAATTATCTCGTTTTCTGAGCAAATTTGGTCGAAATAGGGCGTGAGATGGCTACCGTGCCCATCAAGGACTAATAAACGGTATCGGCCTTGCGTACGGCTATTCGTTGACGGAATAAATAGCTTTTGAAGCCATCGAAGGCCTATCTCGTCTGTTGTCCATCCATTTTGACTAACTTCGAAGCGCCAACTATGTGGAAGGCTATCGGCCCAAGCTAGATTGTGTAGTTTGCCCTTAAAGATAATCGTAGGCGGAAGCGCCCACCCAGAAGCGCTAATTGACTCGATTGTAGTCACCCACTCGCGATTTCCTGGCTGTAAAACTGATCGCCGACCGTAGTATTCCGCTCGAGTAATAACCTTTGCGGTCGCTGTAAGGCCCATCGCGAAGCCAGTCTCGTCAAAGTTGTAGATATCCTCCGGTAGGATACCGTATTGCTGAACCGTAGTTTGTATGCGATTAAACCACTCTTGAATGACCTTTGGATCCTCTTGTTTTGCTCGCTGATAGTTATATCGACGTGAAAAACGAGTCTTTAGCTCTGGCTGTCTTTTGACATAGTTGTTGACCCAGTTTTCGCCGACCGTCTGGATAGGGCTTGAACCGCGCTTTGCAAGCAAAAGATTCGCCATTTCTCGTACCATAGAGGGCCTAGGGGCAGCTCCACGCGTATCCATTGACAATATCCACTTCTTAAGCGATTCCTCTTCAGTTTGGGTCAATTTATGGCTATTGGCGCGTGTTTGAGCGCGAAATTGGTGGCCAGTAATGCGGTCGCGGAGGGTAGTACGAGGCACATTAAAACGACGTGCTACCTCACGGATAGAGGTAATTTCTTCGTTTTTTATAGCTTGTATAGCTAATTCGAGGCGGCCCTCTTGCTCGATAGAATTTCGGCCTGATCGAGCGCGTTTTGGAGGCATGGTGGTTGGTAAAAAATAAAAGGACGCGTGTGGACGCGAAAAAACTAGTTGGGTGGGCGGCTCGCTTGTGTGGGCGGCTCGCTTGTGAATTACGTTATCTGGAGCGTTGAAAGACACTTTCTGTATTTCGTATGTGGGTTCGGAGGTATTGTTTATTTCAACACCCCCAGACACCATAACCACCCCTCATACTGTGTGGGGAAGTGAGCTTTTCAGATCGGCGATAAAGCCGATACCGATTTAGGGTGTGAATAAGCACTAGCAGGAGCAGGCGTCATGGTCCTGGTCGTTCGGTGAGACAGACCCATTCAGTTGACCCATCATTGGCTGAGGTGAGCACTCGAACCCAAAAATAAAATGTCTTACGAATCACGGCGTTGATAACAGACTTGTATTGAAAGGAGCGTTCCGCGCCAATTGCGCCAGGCTGGGTTCTGTCCCGAAAGCTTGTTCAGCCGCCTCTCCCCACCCCGCCCCCTTGTCAACAACCCTGACTTTTTACATTCACCAAATATCTTCTCTTTAAGCCATGGGAACCACTTGGTCGCAGTTCTTTCCACCCGCACCCTCTTTAACCGAAGCTAACCTGCCTAGCCAAAGAGGCAAGGTTTTCATCGTGACCGGGGGGTATTCCGGCGTGGGCTTGGAACTCTGCACAATTCTTTATAAGGCCGGAGGCAAGGTGTACGTCGCCGGCCGCTCAGAAGAGAAAGCCTTGGATGCGATTGCACAGATCAGGGCCTCAGAGCCCTCCTCAGATGGAGACCTTGTTTTCCTTGCTCTCCACCTCGACGACCTGGCAAGTATCAAACCTGCAGTAGAGGCCTACACTGCAACGGAATCCAGACTTGACGTTCTTTTCAACAACGCCGGCGTGTCAAACCCACCATGTGGCTCCGTCTCGGCACAGGGCCATGAACTCCAGTTCGCGACCAACTGTCTTGGGCCGTATCTTCTCACACAACTACTTCTACCCACTCTTCGGCGTACCGCTGAAAGCGAAAAAGCCGCTTCTGTGCGTGTAATCTGGACAGCGTCGATAGTTGTCGATCTGTCTGCTCCTAAAGACGGCGTTAATCTCGAGGAGATACTGCGAGAAAACACAAAGCCCCAGCGCAATTATGAAAACAGCAAAGTTGGCAACTGGTTCCTCGCCCACGCACTGGACGCCCAAGAAAGGCCCAGTGGAATCTTGAGTGTGGTAGTGAATCCGGGAAACCTGAAGTCGGGCTTGACTCGTCACTTCTCTCCGCTGGTGCCATTCTTAGCAGCACCACTGCTGTACCATGCTAGGATGGGTGCTTACACCGAGCTCCGGGCCGGACTCTCCAATGAGCTTACGTTATCTGATGGGGGAAGATATATTTTGCCCTGGGGGCGATTTCACCCAAATCCAAGGGAAGATTTGTTGCAGGCCATGAAAAGAAAAGAGGATGGTGGAACGGGTGATGCAGCTCTTTTCGTAAAGTATTGTGAGGATCAAATTTTGGAATTCAAGTAGCGAGTAGATTACTTGTATTACCAAGTGCACCGGTCCTAATTCAGTTTGTCATATGAATAATTGATCTTAGACTGCATCATACACCACTATCCGTGTCTCTAATCGCCCAAAAAATTCTGGAAAATCATCTTGTACCGCCCGCTAGCAATATGAAGCTACTTTGAATCCCAATCGGGATATAGCGGGAACCCGATGGTAATTTCCCGAGAGCCATCGTGAATCCTAATATATCAATTTTCTTCGTTCCTGGTTCTGAGTCTCCTCAATGCTGGTCATCTTGCCCTCCTTAGTAGCCCCGTAGAGTCCACTGTCGTTTTCACGGTAATTAACTACTTTAATTTTAGAGAAAGCGGCAAACCAGTAGATGGTTGCAATTACGACGACCCCGCCAAAAACCACGCATGTTCAGTTCATGGTCACTAGCATCACTGGGAGATAGAGTGGCATGCTGAGCATCACATTTAGAAAGATACTCCACAAATTGCCATCCAAAAAATAGCATCACTCCATCGACCCAAGTTCAACCAACTATTTGGATTGAATGTCTTGCGCCCCCTATAGAAGGCCAATACAAACGACATGAATACGGCCGAAATAATGCACACATTAGCTGCTCCGAGGAGAGAGTTCATCTATACAGTGGCGCTATACCCGGCGCGACGAAAAGAGGTAACTCGGACGGTGCAATGTGAGCGAATCCAGTTTGCGGTGCCATTTCCCTCCTCTCTTCCTCTGGAGTTCCATGGCACCGATTCTTTCTGCAATGCGCACAGCGTTGTCATCTTTTACAGCCGACGAAGTAGTTTCATTCGTGTTGGGCGACATTACAGAACTTAATTCATCCTTTTTTGCTACTATTTAAATGCTTATATAAGGACATATGTTGGAACAGATCGTATTGGAATTCGACAGACAAGCTACTGCAGTCAAACCATTGCAGGGATAAAGACAGAGCGTAACTCAAAGAGCTAGAACAGGATATTTGTTAGAGGGCACTTGACCTCTCCAACTCACATGACTGAGCCGACTGATTCCTTGTCTCTACTTCGTCGTCCCTGGAATCTGAGATGGAGAAAGACTCGCACCGCGTCACGTACCTCGCATGTGCTTCAAGTCTACTCCGTGACTACCTATCTGGCACTAGATTGATTCGACAATCTCATCCGGTGGGCATCCGAGCCGCTCCAAAGCCTTATAAAAGCGTTGTGGCTCGGCCCAATCCTCGGGACAAAAGACGCCGCCTCCATGGTTCTGACCGGCCGGTTCCAACACCATCAGCATGAAAGCTGCGGCAGATGCCCCCGTCGCAGCGCCCATACTCTTTCCTAGAAAAGAGTCCAGGCCGGTTGTGGGATTGCGTCTGGTAGCCACGGCTGGGCTCCCATTACGAGTACCAACAACTCGTACCAGCAATCCCGAGCGTTGTGGGTCTGGTTTGCCGCGAGCCACGTTGACTAAATACCCCAGACACTGCATAATCGAGATTTCACCCTTTCGGATATACTCTAACATGCCTGAGAGACCGTATCGCATCGGTCCTAGAGTCTCCGCGGTGTGAGAAACTAACTGAGACAATTCGTTCAACGAAATATCGCCGCCCCTGAGTTGTTCTTTCAGGGCACCAATTGAAGCACTCAAGCCTTCGTAGGAAGGTTGCTTGGCTACCATGTCGTAGAGGTAATCCACGGCGGCTTGCATGGGCATAGCGCCAGTGCGAACAGCAGACCCGATACCGCGTGCTATAGCGCTGGCTGGAATTGGATCGATACCGCCCAAGCACCGGATCCTAGTGGCGTTTGGAAAGAGCCGTGGCAGTGTGACTGGCTCTGGATGAGCAGTCTCATGTAGCAGAGTTTCACCGTGGCCGGGTATAACGGGTAGATATGCGGTCTCGACGAAGCTTTCGTTCATAGTCGCCTTTCCATCGGCCCACGTCAAGCATGGCCCGGCAGCGATACATAGAAAATGCTCGACCACAGCCTTGCCGGTGCCGGAATTTCGGGAGTCGCCGACCCACCAGGCAAGATCGATAGTGTCCACAGTATCAAGATCCTTGACAGCGTCCATCACCATAACATTACTCATACCGGGCGAAGCGCCGCACCCAATGTAGCAAGGCACACCTAACTTCTTCGCCCGCTCGTTCAAATTGAGTGCAGCCTGCGTGCTCTCTACGTCGTCATCATAGTCGAGGTAAGGCACCCTTGCCTCAAGGCAAGCCTCAAGGACAGGACCTGAAGTCCGTTTGTACGGGCCAGCACCTAGCACGACGAGAGCGGCACCATTGACTATGTTGCGCAGTGCACTATGATCAAAGAGGTCAAGTTTGCGGGTGGTCGCACGTCCAGAAGGGAGCTTGGAGATGACACGCTCGAGGTTAGCCTCGTTGATGTCGGCAAGGACCAGAGGTGCGGTACTCGCGCTGGCAAACAACTCAATGGCGACCTGGCACATCTCACCGGCGGCGCCGATAAAAACGATAGGATTCTTGGAAGAAGCTGACATTTTGCAATAATTCTGAAAACCGTAGAAGATGATATGATGGCTAGAGGAAGAATTGGCCGGGGAACACAAGTTATATTATATGGTGCTTCGGTGTCCGCGGATATGAGCCCTCCCAGTCAACCCGTTTGCATTGTTCACCTACAAGACCAGTGATACAAGAAACAAAGTCAATCCAAATGAGCTTACCCGAAATAGCATATTTCCTTGCGTGGGTGTGAGCGTATTTAGAAAATTGCCGGTCCGCAGCGGGTCCGTAAGCGGGTCCTGGTGTTCAAGACGGCAGCAGCTGCGGGTCCGCGCAACTTGGCGGGAGAGACCCGGGGGCTTTCGCAAGCTCCTCCGAACGTGGGTACCGCGGACCCCAGCAATCAAGTGATTTGGTTTGGGCTGTCTCCAACGACGGCTCCGCGGATCCGAGAACGGATTCAGTGATGATTGGATTTACAGCAGGCCCCGCCAACTACGGCAAATGAATTCAAATTCTGAACTTACAAATTCTGAACTTAATGTGGTATTAACTTAAAAGCCAGGCCAAGCGACCAAAAGTTGCGTAAATCCACATATTATCCTGAGTAGTTTCTGACTGGTAACCGAGTGATTAGCGCAGCTTCCTAGTTCTCGTTGAAATTGCTTTAAACAGCAGCCCTAGACACAAGACCATCATATCACTCGTTACCCCCTTTCCAATTTCTAGAGTTAACAAGACACCCTTCACTCGATGCCCTGAAGTTTCCGAAGTTGCGCGATATTCTTCTTGCTTCAGGATAAGTACATACATAGAACCATACGGTTAAAAAGATGCGAGCTTCAGGTGCTGAAAGTTTTGCATTCAATATTCAATAACGGTTTTAAATAGAAGGCACCTTTACATCCCTATCCCTCTGCGAATCTGAGTAACGATACCCGGCAGTATGTTCGATGTTCAATACTTGCCACTTGCCAATGCCCTGGCAATATCTCGTGCAGCGCTAGCACCACTTTCCATGGCCCCTTCAATTGACCCGGTATCCATCGCCGCAATATCACCGCCAGCAAACAGAATGCGACCATGCGGTTGTCGCATCTGAGGCGCAGCACCCAGGAGATTCCCAGGGCGGTGCATCATCCAACCGCCCTTTGAGAATTCATCAGTAACCCAACAATGGCCAGCAGTACTGACGACCTCAATGTCGGGCAAAACCCTCCGCAAAGCAGCCTCCATCGCATCACAATCGTCGATCCGAATTGCTGCAGCTTCGGAGCACATGGCCACCAGCAGTGTATCGCCCTCGTACCAGGATTCTGCTTTGACCGCATTGATAGGAGACTTCCCAATTGGAGCCAAGAAGGTAAAGGGTTCTATTTCTCCCTTTACCCGTATCCAAATCTTGCTGGCCATCACGGGGTTCTTCTGTTCTATCATGGCGCGCACGGGTGGAGCGACATCGGGTGTGATCTTCAAATCGCCGATGGTGTTTAGAGGCAGCGCAATAATGACGGAGCGTGCATGAATTTTCTCTTCGGAAATTGTCGTCACCGTAACATGGGAGCCGTTATCCGAGACTGAGCTGACGGGTGTTGAGAGGCGCAAGTCCGCGGTCGACTCCGCAAGGATAGCGTCGATCAATATCTTAGTCCCGCCTTGTATATGCCAAAATCCGGCAGTCTCAAGAAAGGCAAAGTAATCTCCAAAATATATTGCCACGCTCTGGAGGAGTTGAGCGAGACCCTGTTCTTTGTACGAGTGAACAACACCAGAGAATACTCCATCGAGCAGGTCCCGTTCGTATGTGGATAGGTTCAGCGAGGATAAGCGGTCCTCCAATGATTGCTTCTCGATATCACTATTGTCCACGATGCTGGCTTCGAACGGCAATGGGAAGCGAGCGCGGGCGTCCGCGAAAAAGCGATCCAAGAGAGGACGAACGGCCTTCTCGTAGTCGCTTCTTGTGCCCGAGTGCACCTTGTCGTCCGCGAGCCAGTGGAATTTGTCGCCATCTAGACCCGGTAGCACCGAGATGTTGTGCCGCTGTAGCTCGTGCCATACATGTGGTTGCGTCCAGTGCACATAGGTTCCACCCATTTCTAGGTCGATTTTCCCGTCAAAGGCTTTCTTCATATAGGTTCGCCCGCCGACCCTGTTGCGCGCTTCAAGGAGAACCACCGTATGGCCCTTAGCACTGAGGTCGCGAGCAGCAACAATCCCCGCCATCCCGGCTCCAATCACTGCCACATCGAAACAGTCTTTGGTGTCAAACATGCTTGTCATATCTTCTTTGTTTTGGTGCTCTCTCGATAATGGAGGAAGGATGCAGACCTTGAGATGGTATCGAGTTTATATAAACTCATCCGCGGGTCAGATTCATTGCAACAGGTCGACAGACATCTGCCATTAACACCCGTTCGGGCCAGTCAGGTAAGACAAGGGAGCTCGGTTCGAATATCGGGTCGCGCGGTTCCGCGGCTCCGATTGTCCTACTTTATTTTAATCCCGGTTCCGATTCTCGAGTGGTCTACGCTTTGTACCTGGAGTGACTAATGAATATGTTTGACGTGGGAAATATTGTACTCCGAGTACCCTAGAATGTCATCTTCTTCGGGTTGCTAAATATGTTGACTTTATTTTTCAGCTCTTTCATTGTTTACATGTCAACAAAGGCCTTTATATTCTGTTCTTGACAGCAATTAAACAAGATGGTTTTAGTATAACTTATGATTGCATTATCGATACAGTAAGTAAAGTCGTAATTGTATCTGCTTCCCTCAGTTCCTTCCTTCCATGGCCAGTTCAATCAAATCTGCTGCTTGTGGGCCTCGGACTTGGCGTCGTGCTTGCTCTCGTCAACCTTATCACCAAGAGCGTCCTTGGCGGCGGAAGCACTATGATGAGTGTCAGTTGCATGCAACTAGAGACATAGTTAAAACAAGATAAGGCCATTACCGAGTGCTGACGTTCGCGTTACTATCCTTGGCGACCTCCTTATTGGCCTCTTTGGAAGTGCCGCTGGCGGCCTGCTTGACCGACTCGGAGACGGCGTTGGCACCTTGCTTGATAGACTCCATAATAATGATAATATTTGCGAAAGTCAAGTGTGTTAACGAAGTCTCGGTAAATAGGGAGTCAAAATTGTGAGATGAACAGTTGAAGCACTATGAAGACAGCTTAGGAGGTACTTATAGGACTTCCTGGGCAGCGCAGGAAAAAAGGAGGGGCTGAAATAACTCAACGTCATCAAGTGAGGGAAATATCATGCCCCGCAAACACAGTGATACCACCAGCGCGATTTGCTAGGGTCTAGACAGCAAATTACCCAAATTATGCGAACTGACGTATCATATTGACGATCATTTTCTTTTACGTAGACAGAGCATGTGTGGTGACGTACTATTTCTTCTGCCCTGTATTCTCGGAAAGAAACTTGTTCCACAGCTCATCGACGAATCTAGCCCCAAATGCCGCCGCTATCATCATGTGGCTATGTAACTACATTACGAGGAAATGGACACCCCTAACGTGGTTCCTAGCGAGCGGTCACCCAAGAAGTTCCTCCCACCGTCAACACTGTAATGAATGTTATCTTTTGATTCTACCGCAGTCAATTTCCGTGTAAAGCATACCCTCCCATTCAAAGGAATTCAGTCGGATCGCAGGATATCCATTACGTTCTAGAACATTTGATTGCCAAGAATTGCCGTACTCTTATGAGACATGAAATCACATGCTAGGTATACCTGTAGTAACATACAGTTCCTTATACCCCGCGAATCTATGCAAGAAACTATCCCTACCTGGACGACTGACCACCCCTCTGCGCTACTCCCCGGTTCTGCTAGACCCTCGAGGCTGGCTAGGCTCCCAAGTCTCACTGGTGTCCTAATTGCCCTACATTCCTGCGCTACAAAGGGAAATGTGGCCTCGAGCTGAAAGAAAAGAGCAGCAAATAACTTTAATAGTGGAATCCCGTACGCAGCGACATTATCTTCTACTATCTAGGGTTGTGCAACTACGTGTAGTCTGGCACGGCACGAGGACTTAAATGCTCCCGAAAAATAAGCCAGCAACGGCCGCAGACGACAGTGGCGCGTAACTCAGGTCAGTAGGGCCGGCCCTACTGAGACCTCAGTGGGGTGCGTAGGTCAGTGCTCAGTAGGGTGTCCCCCTTTTCTGCTTATATAACGTAATCGGAAAGCGAGTGACGCACCCCAAAACACCATAGTAAATGCGATAAATTACAACTTTAAATCTCAACAACGTCAGCTTCTTATAGAGACTTCCTATAAATATATGTCCTTTATAATGAGTCTAAGGGTATTTGAAGGTCTCGGAGGTTTTAAAATTTGTGGTGAGTCGATGATATATAGTTCCAGCTCGGAGCTAAATTATAGTGTATTTTATGTAAATGGGGTGATATTATAATTAAATTTCCCCAGACCCTCAAATTAGACTATTTATGCTCTAAATTAGTACATTCACAAAGCCAAGTACATATAATAAACTTGTAGTTGTAGAGATATTGTGTTCTTAAACATCGCATTTACTATAGTGTTCTGGGTGCTCTGGGTGCGTCGACCGCTTGCATGCGTCACTCGCTTTCCGATTACATTAATCAATGTAAAGGTAAGTTAACTAGTAATTACAAGAAGTTGGCTCATCAGGTCATCAAGTCAGGTCGCGACCTGATGGCCGAATGAGCCATCCCCTTCCGCAACTCCGCAACTCCGCCAACTCCGCATAACCTCCTAGCCCAAAACGCTGCAGGTCAATTGTAATCACATATATAGCATATCCTGATCAGAGACTATATATAAAGCGACCGAAGCTACACAACTCTTGGAATATGTTATCATCGACCAGTGACAAAGGCGATCTCGATTCTTGAAACTTCCTTTACATTTGATTTTATCAAAGATCTCTTCCCTTGCTCCATAATGGCGATCACTGAACTGATTTTTCCACGTGTTAAAACTGACCAGGCGACACTAGAGGAGCTAGAGAGAGACTGGCCAAAACTGAGCAAAAGATTAACCGACCCTAACCCCGGCTTGCTTCACGCATCTCGCGGATGGGTCTTGACGGAGAATGGAAAGGACGCGAGAGACGCATTCAAAGAGGTTTTGCTTTTTGGTGAGTTAAAATTGATTGAATCCTGGATGTTTCTAATCTTGTATAGAATGGAACGAGGCTGATTCATTCCATGCCTTCGTTGGCTCTGAGCAATTTGGTGCATTCGCTGCCTCTATTAGGCATTTGGTGACCGGGCCGCCCACCCTACAACTCTTTGAAACAAACGAATCTCCTAAAGAGGCAGCCTCAGCAGCCGTAGTTGAGATCATCCGGGTGGGAGTGTCGAATTCGAAGGATACTGAGGCTTCACTCCAAGCCTGGAGAAAGATATCTCATTTTCTCGCCAGCAAAGAAGGGGCTCAAGCTCATGTCACGTTTGGCAAAAGTTTGAATTTGGAGGAAGAGATCTTTGTTGGTATTATAGGATGGCTGAACTTTGATGTAAGATCGGAGAATTTGTTCCCAGAGGTTCACGATGTCATACTGACTTGTCCAGGATCGCATTCGAGTGTCTCAAGAGGGGGAATTCGTGGATGCTTTGAACACGTTGAAGTCCTTTGGGGATGTCTCGAATATAACTGTTGGTATTGATGCGATGGAGCTCTAGGGACACATTCTGGAAATTGCTTTACTGGTGAGGTAGATATGAACAGATGCAAACATAGTCGAGCAGACAATTGATACTTTACTCAATCCAGAAAGCTTACTGGAGTAACTAAATTGGCCAAAAGCCCGCGGAACTATCCGGTCTTATCAGAGGTTTAGTGCCGGCCGACTGAACCAAAATACCTTAGATACCCATATTGTATAAAAGTGACGCTAAGCTTGCATTATTACGGACAATCAATCTGTTTGGGTCTAGCTTAAATGAAATCAGATCTTCGAGCTCTGGGCGAGCTTCTTCTCCTGCGCTTGGTAAATCTTGACCAACTGACGCACAGACAAGTCGAGCAAGACATCTTCTGAGCCACCCGGAATGCGAGCGCCCGGGACATCACGGAGAATTGCTGTTAAAAGAACAAAACGTTAGCCCGCGAAATATCAAAAAGATGTGTGTAGTGCTGTGCTCACCTTCAACGAGTTCACCCTGGCCAGTCTGGGTGAAGCCATTGCCACCAAACAGCAGGACAGCAACCTGAGCGCACTCATTCAAGACCATTGCCGACTTGGCCTTCGCCAAAGCAGTCAATCCACCAAGCTGACGGTCACCATCTTCCTTGCTCATGTGACTCAACTGATAGAGAATCTGCTCAACCCAGGCCCACATGGTCTCAAGCTCGGCACCGGCCTTGGCGAGTCTATGCCGCACGACAGGTTGATCCATAAGGGGTTTGCCAAAAGCCTCACGCTTGAGGCAGTAGGAAAACGCGGCAGACAAAGCGACACGAGCCGAACGAGTAACGCCGACGGCAATGACGAGCCGCTCGTGGTTGAAGTTGGTCATGATGATGCGCATGCCATCGCCTTCCTTGCCGATAATGTTCGACACTGGCACCTTCACGTCGTCGAGCTCGATGTAGGTCGTTCCACCAGTGATCTGGCCTGAGACCTTCAGTCGGCGCATTGAGACACCGGGGTGGTTCTTCAGGGGCACAACTAGCACGGAAAGACCGGCAGCTCCTTTCCCACCAGTTCGGACGGCCATGGTCGCGTAGTCTGACCAGATGCCGTTTGTGATCCTAAAGATCGGTCAGTTAGACTCCAAAGCGTTGTGGCGGAACTTATGTACCATTTCTTCGTCCCATTGATAATGTAGTGCTTGCCGTCGGCGCTCTTGACCGCAGTTGTGGTAAGACCCGCAACGTCACTACCAGCCTCGGGCTCTGTGATCGCGATACAAGCACGCTTCTTGCCGGTAAGAAGATCGGGGAGGAATCGCTCCTGCAAGTCCTTGCTGCCGAACTTGACAATTGGAGGAATTCCAAATGCAAAGCCCGCATTCAGCGAGCCACCTGGGCCGCTCAAACCTGACCGTGCCAGCTATTAATGAAGACCTCCATTTAGTGCTGTGTTGCTTGCGAGATGCAAAATGACGCATTCATTCTTACCTCGTCGCAATAGATGCCAGTATACGTGTAGTCCCAGTCCTCAACCTTTACCCCTAGAATATCGTGGATTCCCAACCGCTTGAGCCAGTCCACGGGAAGCGGGGCGGGCATGTTGGGCAAGAGCATGTTGGCTTTGCAGAAAGTGTGGAAGACATGCTCGGGGACAGTTCCAGCCTTCTCCCATTCCATTGCATGCTGAATCAAGTTCTCCCAAGCGAATTTCCGGCATGCTTTTTGAAAGCGGAGGTGGGCGGGCGTGATGTATGGGTTCGGCAGCCCGCGCAGGTAGGGCGGCTCGGAGAAAGGAACGGGGTTGAGTGAATTTTCGGCCATGGTGAAGAATTGTAAACTAGATCTTTAATTCAGTGCGAGATCCGGGGTAGTCAAGGAAGGTTAGTTGAGGATTCGGGACAAATTATGTTCATTTAAGAAGTCACGGTTCCACAGCTCCATCTCCGCAATTTCATGGGGCCCCAGACCGAGGCTCGGTGTTGGCTGCTGTTGCTGTGCACCTCCAATCACATGAGAGTCCGGAGAGCTGGGAATTGTGCAGCACAAGTGATGAGTCAGCATCGCCCAATGCGGGTCCCCGGTTCTGCCCTGATGCACCGTCCCGGTTATCGATAAGCAGGGCTTATCGATAAGAAATTTGCAATTGCGTGATTGCGTGCTTGGCCACTAAACCCGATGGGGCAAGATGCCTGGACATTTTTCTATAGCAAGCGCGTTTCCGGCGATTGTTCCCCTCTCTCTCTCCGCATTTCCCTTGTTTGTGGTGATTCATTTCTTGTCATTCTCAAGAGATATCTGTGCTGTGTGCGCAATATCTAGACAAGTTCATATTCAGCATGAGCGCACCTAATCCGGCTCTATCGGCCTTGTCCGGCCCGACTTATACTACCGCCCAGACGCTTATCCAGCAGGTGGCGTATTTGTTGAGTGACAAGATCTTCTCATACTCTCCCGAGAGTTTTGACCTCGATGCTGCTCTGCAAGAATGGTCTCAGAACAAGGAGGTCAATGCCAATGGCGAATCTCCTGTTGTCAAGTCACTCGAGACCCGCCAAGGTGCCGGTAGCATGGCTCTTGGATATCTTTTCTCCCAGGACTTTGACCTGAAGAAGCGCCATGTGCCTCAGGGTATCATTGCCTCATCCGCTACCCTTCCATTCATGCGGTCCGCTCTGGAACAGCTTTCTCTGCTCTACTCTGTAGCCAGCCCCGTGGCGGCTCACGTCGCTGCTGTGGACTACACTGGCGAGGAGGGTCTGGTTTCCGATTATGCTTCGGCCCTCTCCCTGGCTGAGGACCTCGGACTCGGTCTGGTCTCCAGCGGCTCAGCCCACGAGTCTCAGCACATGGCTCTCTTCACCACTTTGCTTTCTTCCCTTCTTCCTTCGATCCACATCTACGATGGCGTGCGTGTTGGTCGTGAGCACACCCGTGTCATTGATGTGCTCGGCAAGGATGGTCTGAACAACACCTATGAGACTGTTCGCAAGACCCTCGATGATGCTCGCAACCGCCACCTGGATGCCCAGGGTAAGGTTCTTGAGCTGCTCAAGACTCTCAACGGCGAGCTGGGAACCGACTATGGTGCATTCGAGTACCATGGTCATGCCGAGCCCGCTTCTGTGCTGGTCGTCTTTGGCACCGTGGAGGCCACTCTCGCTGCCCAGGTTGCCCGCTCTTTGGCCAAGGATGGTGTTCACATTGGTGTTGTCAACGTCCGTGTGTACCGCCCCTTCGTGGAGGAAGAGTTCCTGCGCGTGCTTCCCAAGTCCACCAAGACGGTCGGAATTCTGGGCCAGGTTGCCAATGAGGAGGCTGTCCAGGAGGAGGGTGTTCACTCCGCTCTCTATGAGGACGTCCTTGCTGCCTTGACCTTCGCCACAGACCGCGAGCAGGCCCCGGCTCCTGTTGAGATCAAGTACCCTCGCTCTCAGACCTGGGACCTGGTCAGCACTGCTGCTGCTTTCCAGCGTATCTTCGGGAAGCCTATTCTTCCCATCAACAGCGCCACCAACGAGACTGCTCCTCTGCAGCTGCTTGATCCCGCTGCTGTTCAGGAATACACCTTCTGGGACGTTGACAACTCCGTTTCTGAGGGCGCTGCTCATACTCTCAGCCAAGCCCTTGCCGCTGACTCGGCCAGCAACGTTACCACCAGCAAGGTACACGACAACCTGGTCCAAGGCGGTGCTATCCGCGTTGACATTCGCAAGAGTGCCAAGATCCTGGATGCGCCTTACGCCGTTGCTGCTGCTGACGTTTCTTACGTTGGAAGCATTGCTCTGCTCAACGATGTCGACGTTCTTGCTTCTGTCAAGGATAACGCCAAGGTCATTGTCAGTGCTCCTGGTGTCAAGGACGAGGACCTGGAGAAGAAGCTGCCAGCCGCCTTCCGCCAGGCTGTCGCCCAGCGCGGTATCTCCCTCTTCGTTGTTGACGCTTCTGCCAATGAGGACTCATCTCTCGAGACCTTCGTTCTTCAGGCATCCTTCCTCCGTGTTGCTCTACCCTCCCAGGAAGGCCTTGCCGCCAAGAAGCTTTCATCCATCGTGGGCAATGCCGAGGCCCTGGAGAATGTGATCAAGGATCTTGAGAAGGTTCTTCGTCAGATCGAGATCCCCGAGTCCTGGAAGGAGCCCGAGGGTGTCAGCGAGGCTCCCCTGCTTCCAAAGGACATCGCCGCGAACAGTTTCGCTCCCTTCGACAAGAATGAAGCTGAGCCCCCGACCCTCCTCAGGGACTGGGAGACTGCGGCCCGTGGTCTGGCATTCAAGGAGGCCTATGGCACAAAGAACGCTCTTCGTCCTGACTTGGCCACCAAGACCTTCACTGTCCACGTCAAGGAGAACCGTCGCCTTACTCCCGTGACCTATGACCGTAACATCTTCCACATTGAGTTCGACCTCGGTGACTCCGGCCTCACTTATGACATTGGTGAGGCTCTCGGTGTCCACGCCGAGAATGACCCCAAGGATGTCTCCGACTTCATCGCCTTCTATGGCCTGGATCCCGATGCGATTGTGGAGGTTCCTAGCCGTGAGGACCCCGCCGTGCTGGAGAACCGCACCGTCTACCAAGCACTGATCCAGAACGTTGACATCTTCGGTCGCCCGCCCAAGCGCTTCTACGAGGCTCTTTCCGAGTTCGCCTCCGATGAGAAGGAGAAGACCGATCTGCGCACTCTGGGCGGTCCCGATGGTGCCACCGAGTTCAAGCGCCGCTCGGAGGTTGACACCGTCACCTTCGCCGACATCCTGCTCGAGTACCCGTCTGCCCACCCTGACTTCCACGAAATTGTGCGCATCATCGGTCCCTTGAAGCGCCGCGAGTACTCCATTGCCTCGTGCCAGAAGGTTACCCCCAACTCCGTTGCCCTGATGATTGTCGCCGTCAACTGGTCCTCCCCTAACGGCACCGACCGCTTCGGTCTGGCCACTCGCTACCTGAGCCGCCTCCAGCCCGGCTCGCCTATTACCGTGAGCGTCAAGTCCAGTGTGATGAAGCTGCCGCCCAAGTCGACCCAGCCCATCATCATGGCCGGTCTCGGTACCGGTCTGGCCCCGTTCCGTGCCTTCGTGCAGCACCGCGCTCTCGAGAAGGCCCAGGGCAAGGAGATCGGTTCTGTTCTCCTGTATATGGGCTCTCGTCACCAGCGCGAGGAGTACTGCTACGGAGAGGAGTGGGAAGCCTACCAGGAGGCCGGTGTCATCACCCTGCTCGGTCGTGCATTCTCTCGTGATCAGCCTGAGAAGATCTACATCCAGGACCGTATGCGCCAGTCCCTGCCTGAAATCATGCAGGCATACATCCGCGATGAGGGTGCTTTCTACCTCTGCGGTCCCACCTGGCCCGTACCTGATGTCACCGCTGTTCTGGAGGAGGCTATTGCCACTGAAGCCAAGGCCAACGGTAAAAAGGTTGACACTCGCAAGGAGATTGAGAAGCTCAAGGATGAGGAGCGCTATGTTCTGGAGGTGTACTAGAATGGTGGATCATGAACTGACGATTGGCATTTACGAGTTTTGGTCGATTCCCGCCGCTTTTAGATCATTTTGATTTAGCCGAGCGCAAAATTTGCTAAATAGACTTTATAATTCATTCTGGCAACTTACTGGACAAACATGCTCTCTACAAGTAATAAGTAGAAAATTCTTGAAGAAATTTAGACAAGGAGATCTTGTTTCATAATTGAATTGTAATGGCTGGGTATCTGTTCAAAACCAGGCCCCTCATCTATCTGCGCCTCTATGCAAACGCCATACAGTATTCATAATCGTGTCGTCTATACATCCAGAACCAAATACTAATCAAGGCTGTACCAGTGGTGCCAGCTTGGTTTTCCCATAAGCACCTCCTTTCTCCTTCCGCAGTTCCAACGCCTTCCGATACGGCGGCGCCGTAGGCGGCTGTACCGGATCGAGACTGACATGGTCCGGTGGAAGAGTATAAGACGCATCCGAGTCCCACGAAGAAAGATCACCGCAAGCGATGAACGACGGAATCCAGCGGTACTCTTCTGCAAACTTGTTGGCAAGCTTCTGTGCTTGCGGTTGTTCACTCGAGGCGGAGTGAAGGTTGCGAATTTCGGTAGTATGGTTTGCAGTAGTGTTCGTGGTCTCTGTGATTGCTGCTCTGGCGCGAGAATCTTCATCCACCTCATCCTGAACTTCGACGCCCAGGTTTCCATCTTCCGACACGGGCTTTGGCACGGCAGCACCTCCGAAAAGCGGATTTCTCAGCGCAGCCATGCCTGCTAACCCTTCCTCCCTGGTGGGTGGAATGAATCCCTCGCAGACAATGAAAGCTTCCAGACTGCTAGCACGGCTACTGCGGGGCTTAGCAACGCTGACACGCTCAAAGACAGTGCGCAATTGCGCATAAAGAAGATCAACGTCGCGGCCTCGGAAAATCTTAGCCACAAATTTACCTCCTAGGCGGAGCACTCCCATGGCAAGATTAAGCGCCGCAAAGAGCAATTGCGACTGGATATAGATGTCCAAATCATGCAGGCCTGTTACATCCGGGGCACCATCTGAGATGACGAGATCAACGGGGTGTGGTTGTCGGATTTCCGCTGGTGTGTCTGATATGAGATCGGATGTTGACGATTCGTATGCTTCCGGATCCAACGCGCGCAGAAGAAGAGGAATGGTGGAGGGATGTGTGATGTCGGCCTTGAGGGTGGTGATGCCTTCAAGCGGGGCCATGGGCTGAAGGTCAATGGAAACGATCTTGACATTCTCGCGGGGCTTTAGCTCTGCATCCGGGCTGCTCTCCCCAATCTCAGAAACTTCCTTGCTGGGTGTCTCGCCGTCTTGGAAGGCCTGTGTATCCCGCCGCTTCTTGTCGATCCATGTCCGTCGTCCGAAACTCTCGCCCTTGATCAAGACACGACTAAGCACTTGGCTCCAGCTTCCAGGTGCAGCGCATAAATCCACGACTCTTGTCACTTTTTCGGGGTTCTCGTGCTCGAAGAGGTCGAATTGCTCGTCGATCTGGATCAATTTGAAGGCGGACCGCGCTCGCCAGTTCTGTTCTTTGGCTAGACGGTAGTAGGCATCGCGCTTGTCTTTGGAAGACTTCCCCATCTCGAACCGAGGCGCTAGCGAAGGCCAATGCTGTTCTGGGGATTTCCGTCGCGGGATTCTTCAACGTGGGGAGCGAATCGATAAGATTTGCGGGCGGACTTTTTCTGCCGCCTTTTTTCTCTGCGACTTCTCCGCGCAGCTTTTTTTTTCTGTTCTCGCCAAACACACACACCTGATACCCCGGACCGGATCCAAGAAGTGAAAATGGGTCAGAAACGAGGACGGGACTCGAAGGCCCAGGCTGTGGAGTCCAAGAAGCGCAAGAAGGCCGCCAAGTCCGGTCCGGCTTCGGATGACAGTGGCTGGGATGGCGTTGTCGACTTGGAGGACTTAAACTGGAAGGAAGTGGCTATGCCTGATCGCATGGAAGATGCAGGTGGATTCTTTGGATTGGAGGAGATTGATGGTGTGGACATCATTCGCTCCCAAGGTCATGGAGAAGTTAAATTCAAGGTATGGAAATACATTCTAACGTTGAATTCTCAGCAATGTACTGACGTGTGGGTTTCAAATAGGCGAAGTCGGGAAAGCCGAAGAATTCTATCTTGAAGCCACCATCTGAGGACGATGACGGTGAAGAATGGGGTGGGATCAGCGACGGAGAGACCGACAAGGCAGACAAAGCAGAGAAGACACCTACGCCCGCCACCGGTACTCAAGTGAAGGAGGATAAGAAAAAGCAAAAGGAGACCAAGAAGAAGGAGAAGAAGGCGAAAGACACCAAGGCAAAGGAGGCCGAGCCCGCACGTGATCCAAGTCTGAAATCTAGTCTCTCATTCGCGACACTTCTTGAGCAGGCTGAAGATGACGATGGTGTGGACGTATCTGACTGGGACAAGCTCGGTCTGTCGCCTGAGCTTTTGACCGGGCTTTCCAAGATGAAATTCGCTACACCGACTACTGTGCAAAAAGCCTGTATTCCTGTTATCCTGGACGGCCACGATGTTGTTGGCAAGGCTTCCACCGGTTCCGGTAAAACATTGGCTTTCGGTATTCCAATTCTCGAGTACTATCTGGAGAAGCGAGAAAAAAAGATCGATCCAGTCGAAAAGCCCAAGACAGCTCCCATGGCGCTTATCTTGTCCCCAACCAGAGAGTTGGCGGTTCAATTAGCGAAACATATCGGAGACTTGACTGCCAATTCTCCGGACACAGATGCGCGCATTGCGCTTTTGACCGGTGGACTTTCCATCCAGAAGCAGCAAAGGCAACTTGCTAATGCCGATATCGTCGTTGGCACACCCGGCCGCGTGTGGGAGATCCTGAGCACCGGATCGGGACTGATTCGCAAGATGCAAAGTATTCGCTTCCTGGTTATTGATGAGGCTGATCGACTGCTCAGCGAGGGCCACTTCAAGGAGGTGGAAGAGATTCTTGGTGCTTTGGATCGAAAGGAGTCAGGCGATTTCCCGGATATGGATGAGGAGGCACAAAAGGAAGAACAAGAGCCGAACGTCCGACAAACGCTCGTTTTCTCAGCTACTTTCCACCGTGACTTGCAAACGAGACTTGCCGGTAAGGGGCGCTCGTCAGGTGGAGACATGATGGATAAGAAAGAGTCGATGGAGTATCTTCTCAAGAAACTCAACTTCAGAGAAGAGAAGCCCAGATTCATCGATGTAAACCCAGAGCAGCAGATGGCCGAAGGGCTCAAGGAGGGAATTGTGGAATGCCCTGCTATGGAGAAGGTAAGATATCACAAGGGCAATATTGCGAGGTCAAGGCTGATTACAATCAAAATAGGATCTCTACCTCTATGCGTTGCTTCTATATTACCCGAAGCACCGCACACTCGTCTTCACCAACTCCATTTCCGCTGTCCGGCGTCTAACACAGCTGCTGCAAGCCCTTCAACTCCCAGCCCTTGCTCTTCATTCCTCCATGGCACAAAAGGCCCGACTCCGCTCAGTGGAGCGCTTCTCATCACCGACCTCCGATCCCAGCTCTATCCTAGTCGCTACCGATGTTGCAGCTCGTGGTCTCGATATCAAGGGCATCGACTGCGTCATCCACTACCACGCACCTCGCGCCGCGGACGCCTACGTTCATCGATCTGGCCGTACTGCCCGTGCCGGCGCGGTTGGCAAGAGTGTCCTCATTTGCGCTCCCGATGAGGTTGTCAGTGTAGCCCGTCTTGCCGCTAAGATCCACGCCCAAAGATTGAAGCGCGGTATCCCGCAAAAGAAACTCCCTCTTGAGTCTCTCGAGATCGACCGCCGAGTTGTATCTCGTATCCGCACACGCATCAACCTCGCCAAGAAGATCACCGACTCTAATATCGCCAAGGAGAAGGTTTCCTCAGAGGACAACTGGCTCCGTGCTGCGGCTGATGATCTCGGTGTTGAATATGATAGCGAAGAGTTCGATGAGTCTCAAGGCAAAACCCGTGGCCGTGGTGGTGGTCGCCAGAAGCGTGACAAGCAGAACAGCAGTATCACCAAGAGTGAGCTCGCTGGTCTGCGCGCTGAGCTAAAAAGCCAGCTTGCTGAGCGGGTGAACATCGGTGTTAGCGAGCGGTATCTAACGGCTGGAAGAATCGATATTGAGTCTCTGCTCCGCGGAGAGGGTAATAATGCTTTCTTGGGCAACCTGGATCCCTTGAACTTTTAAAGGCATCCATAATCATGACCTGCCCTCGGTGATTCTCTACGTGGGATGATCTTGGTCATGGTCATATCTTGACCATCTTTTATCATGTGTATATTTCCAGTCAAAATTAGAGATTCCCGTCAATTAGCATCCATTACAGCCACCAGGAAATTAACACCTAAACTATCCAAACACACAACTTCACCCAGGCCCTCGTATACTCATGTATCAAGACACCCGAAAGGATTTCCAAAGGTACGATCTTGAGTTCTAACAAAGATCCCGGAACACAATCTTATCATTCGGCATGCCGAGCTCGGCAGGGGACCCGAAAAACCCGCCGATAGTCGGCCGTTCTCGGCCCACTATGAGCCAGACGAAAAAAATTGAGAGCCGGATGAAAGGAACACTCTGATCAACAAGTGATCTAGTTAGCGTTGTTGTCGAGATAAGTCCGTGCTGAATCGATAGCGTCAATTTTCGGGATTTGAGTACACCTTCAACTTCGCTGAACACCCCTTTTCCGCATTCTACACTTGTGATCTTTACCACGTGGTAGATAGATCGGAGATCCCGCTAAGAAAGTTTTTTTGCATTAGCTTCGGCAGTAGCGGTAAGTTGTGTGGCGCCACTATATGCTTTCTCTGCTAACGTTGGCGGTTTCTACAGTTGGGAGACGGAAGTATTGTATATACTTTACTTCAAAATGGCCGGTATTTCTCAGACCATGCGCCTTTGGCGTTCCGCAACATGGCTCGCCAGAGCCACCACCTTCAAACCAGCAAGCCAATTTGCCTATCTTCACCAGCATGGCCCTTCACGCTCCGCTGTGGTACACGAGCAAGCGCTGCCGCAAAGCCAAACACAGGAAGCCCCCTTCCTCTCCAAGACCAAATCCCATATACCCTCTTCAAGTTCGAATGATTCGAATCTCGATACACTTATCTCCCAAATACCCCTCGTCCAAGCCCTGCGCCAATCCCACAAAGCCTACAAAGAATCCCGTCCCCATCTAGCTATCCCCCAAGCTGTCAGACAACGCCACTTCGTGGGTGGCAGCTTAGCCGGTCCCGGAAAGCTAGCTATCGCACCCTATACATGGACATCATCCAAGAAGAATGAATCCTCAAACATCCGCACTAGCAGCGTTGTCTCAGTCTTTCACATTGGCCGCAACCTCTGCGGCCATCCCGGCTTTGTTCACGGTGGTTTTCTCTCCGTCCTCTTTGACGAAGTCTTCGCTCGATGCGTCTCGGCGGCGTTCCCTACTGGTCTGGGCATGACAGCGAATCTAACTGTCGATTTCCGGAAGCCCGCGCTGCCGGATCGATTGTACGTTCTTCGTGCTGAGACTGTTAAGGTTGAGGGACGGAAAGCTTGGGTTGAGGGGAAGATGAGTTATTTGCCGTTGGTCGTTCCCGATGGGAACACTATTGTCCAGGATGTGGAGTTGTTGAACGTGGATAGTGAGGAGTCGGTTATGGTTTCGGAGGCGAAGGCGCTTTTTGTTGAGCCCAAGTTTGCGGATGTGAGTTTGTGTTCTTGACGCTTGGATGATTGAATTTTGCTAACGTTTCACTACAGTCCATGGTTTCGATTTACAAGAGCTAAGTTGTGGCTTTGCAGAGGCGTGCTTATTTTAATTTTTAATTATAGAATAATTTTATAGACGATAGACAAGGACTATAGATGAGATATACATGTAACTATGATAGCATTGAATTCATACGGCATTTATCGGTTGCAATCATTCCACACTCCGTCCTGGTGACGATCTCAAGTGGAGTAGCTTGTATGTAGGGATAATTGACTACATCCACACCTCCAGAATATGCCGAACTACCTATCAGTCTACCAGGAAAGACGCATCGAAAGGTGATCCATTGCTATCTAATATCAGTATTGTGAGAGAAGAAAATGAATCCACCTTGACGCCCCTCAGCCCAGATGGCATGAAAATGTAAAGAAAGAAACAGCCCGGCCGAAAAAGAACTGAGAGGAAGATCGACCTCAGGCAGCAAGTCACGTCATAGCGTCGTTAATAGGTTCCCGTCTCTAGTCGACAGGGTTGAAGCTGTTGCACCAGCAACGCCGATGTTACAAGGCGGTGGAGCAGAGATATTGTTGTTGATGTAGGGGCTGAGTGGGGAGAGCATCTCTAGGACAGATGGAATGCCCCTTGACCTTCCTTGATAGCGACTGATAGTCGTTCCTTCAGGAAGTCCAGGCTGCTGTAGTCCGGCAACTTGAGGTAGTTCACGCAGGTCATGACACTTGGGAGATAGTCATCTGGTGTGTAGGGAGGCTCGCTGGGGCGGCACACGACTGTAAATATTGGGGTGAGGCTTTTGAAACCTGGAGTATAATATATAAGTTATTTGTGCGCATGTAGAAGAGGAATCGAATGGCTTACCGCCAATTGGAAGCTTCGGGCTACCCGTAACGAATTGAAGGAAATCACGTCGCTCCTGCTTGTCCAGCTCGCTCATGGTCTGTAGCAAGTTGCGGACGCTCCTGCTGTCCATGTTGAATCCATGGTCGGCCTTGATGGAGTCCGTAAGAGTCTCGATAGACCAATCTTCCTCGGCCTGCCCGAAAAGCATCACGAGTTCATTGGGGGTGAAAGCGCGGAGAGCGGAGTAAGGGAACACCTGGGAGAACCCGGATCGGAAGGCATCCACTTGGCGACGAACACCGCTGCCCAAGGTCATGTCAATGACTCGCTCCACGTATTGATCCACGTTATCAATAGTGAGTGAAACGTTGGAACCATCCGGGATAAGGTCAATAGCTGGGTAGCCAGGCAACGTGAAGTCCAGACTCAAGTCTTCAACGCGGACATTATCCACAATAATGTTCTGGATTGCCCGAGCCTTCTCGTGGGCGGAGATGGTACTGTCCTCTTCAATGCTGTGCTTGGCCTTGACGAATCGCTTTAGCATGACAAGGGACTTGGCAAGGTCTTCATCAACTGCCTTGACGGTACCCAACGACGGGGGGACGGAAGACAAAGTATCGGCAATGCGGAAGAAGGCCGGGTTGAACGAGATATCGATGATCCGAGAGTCGAGCATAGAGCGTGCCACAAACTTTCCAAGAATCTTGAAAAGATTCAATTGTTTCTTGCCAGAGTCTTGAGATGCTTGCTCCTCGCTCATCGGAGCCGGGAACATCCCTCGTTTGCCAAATGCATATTCAGCACCCGACGTGTCATCTGTTTCCCTCCAGATCTTGAGTTTCTTCTTGGAGAATTCCTTAGAGACAGTTGAGTAGAATTCAAGAGTAGGACCCAGACCGGTTCCAACTTCCTCGAAATACTCAACTTCCAGAACACTGGGAGAAGATCCATAAAGCTCCATTACCTTCATGGCAGAATCCAAGATGCGAGCCCGCGAAATGCGCACCTTCTGGCGCTGCAGCCGACCAAGGAACGGTCGGTCATCCCGGCGCATATCACGGCGGCTGTCCTCCGAGCTTTGTGAATTGTGCCATCTCATCATGGCCCGAGAATAACCAAACGCGGTCGACTGAAGGAACAGATGCCGAGTCTCGAAGGGAAAAAGGAATGAAAACAAACGAGCCAGGTCTTCACTCCAGCTAGGAAGGCAACTGCTTGCCACGATCAGAGGCTCCTCAAGCTGACGGTTCACCTTGGCGGTGAGCTTCGTATTGATGAATTGAGCCAAGGGTTCGGGAGTAATGTTGGCGGTGGCACGAGTCTCGGTCAAGATGTCATCGATGGTGGCGTTCATTTCGTGCATGACACGAAGCAAGCGGAGAATCGATGCTGTTGTGGAGTCCTTGTTCAGACTCTTAGGCATCTCGAGGCTGTCTTCCTCGGAAGACATATCCTGTCCAGCATTGGCAAGAGTGGACGGCTCTGGTGGTGGCGGTCCAGGGACACGCTTGAACGTGATGGTATGGACGGCAGACCAAACGTTCTTGGCGCTGGCCTCATCTACGTGCTCACGATTGTGATGCACCGCACGGTAGACAGTCGTTTCGCTGGAAACAGGCTTGCCGTCCACGCAGAACTCAATGTGCCAGTCCTGAGGAATAGAGGCCATCGCAGCTGCGTATGAGGAGAATGGGCGCCCAGCAGTGGCAAGTGAGCTATGAGCTGCAAGGGCGGACGATGTAGTGTTTGGTACAGAGGATGAGGGCTTGGACGCCGGCGTAGATTGGGACGGAGTACCAACGCGGGTGCCGTCCTCCTTCCGGGCCGTTACTTTGCCTGAAGACCCAACTTCCATGTTCACTGCAGTCGGGTCATGAATAGGCTCATCGTCGAGGTCGTCATCGAGATCATCAACAATGGCATTCAACTCGTCGTCCTCTTCACCATCATCAGCTTCTTCATCTTCATCGTCTTCATCGCTGAGTTGTCTCTCGTCGGCACACTCCAGGGGCTCGTCGTCATGGTCATCTTCATCTTCTTGCAGCGGCATGCGTCGGTGTCGTTGAGTGGACGACCTTCCATGTTCCTCATCGGGAGAGTCATTTCCATTTCCATCTGCGCCTGTCAATCGACCAGGGAGGCCACCGGGTAGACGGGGTGGGTTCCCGGACGTCAGTTGGTCGCGGAGGCGGGCTGCGTTCGCGATCTGAGAGAGAATAGTGTCCCTATCTCGAGCCTGGTGAGGACGTTCGGACATGGCGATTCGCGGTTGGAGGAAGTCATCGAGCGCCTTGAAAGTTGCGATGGCATGAATCGAGACCATGATGTTTCGATATGGTCGAGGAACTTCATTTCCATCCTCGGCCACCAATTTCAGTCGAAGTTGCTTTCCAAGCATATATGCAGCATTGCTACGGGTATTCTCCAGCGAGTTATGACTAACGGTGAGAACCTCGAAGTGCTCAGTCCGGCTAAGCAAATCTTGCAGCTTTCGAATAATAACGCTGAAAGGGGTGGTTGCGGTACTTTGGCTTTGGGCCTTTTCTGAGATAGTTGCACCCATGAAGGCTTGCAGGAAGGCCGATCGAGCTTGACGAATAGACGGGGCTTTGAGGTCGCCCAGAACGTCTAGGAGGACTTGGATGATGCCAGAATTAAGCAATTCTGAGCTGGTGATACTCTTGAGCGCGTCACCGTCGAAGTAGGATGCCAACCTCTTGAAGAGAGAAAGACCATCACCCGCGACAGGAGTGGAATAACAATCTCGAATCTTGCCTGCCAAAGACTGCAGCTCTGTCAAGATCCGAACAGCTTCAGTGCGCACAGCGCCACCTTGGCCTGCTTCGTAGATCTTGAGGAAGGCATGGGCATCCCGGATGACCATGTCGTTAAGCGCGTTCTCCATTTTGGCGACTGACAACCGACCGTCGATAGAGGAGCTGTCTGAATCGGAGTCGTCTTCGTTTTCTTCATCAACCTCGTCATCTTGATCATCGTAGTCATCGCCGTCCTCGTCATCCTCGTCCGCGGGGTCCTTCTCCTCTTTCTGAGTGCTCTTGCTTGCCTCATTATGGGATGTATCGGTGGAGGGTTTGTCGGTAACATTTTCTGACGTTTCGGCCCCCTCCTTGTCGTTAGAAAGGGGTGCCTCAGCCAGTTTGACGATTTCCGAGATAACACCCTCCCGATGGAACTGTTGCTGGTAAACATGCTCAAGACGCTGGAATAGCAATTCGGAGCATCGCAATGCTAGCGATACAAGCGAAGCATGGTCCTTCTGTGAGAGAATAGCTGCAAGGAATGATGCATAAGGAACTGTTTGAAGGGCATCCTCTATCAAACTCGGCTCGAGGATGTGCAACATCTTCAGCTGGGCAATCAAGACCTTCTGGCGGACATTCAGGTTGACTGTACTCGAGTATGCATCCGTCAAGGTTGGGAACAAAATCATTGCGAAACGTTTGAGCTCAGGCCGGCAATCATCGAGCAAGGTACGTCTTTCTTCAGTGCCTTCCTTAGACTTGGAGGACTTCAGGCCGATTGACATGCTGTTGTCAAAATAGGAGCTCAGCATGCTATCTGTGCGAGATGCCTCACGGTTTGGAACGCCAGGAAGAAGCTCGCAAATAACGTTCAGAGTCTCAAATACTTGCTCACGTGGCCGGTGAATTAACGCCTGCATGACCAACACACTATCCATCTTCACAGCGGTGCTATCCGTGTCCTCAGGTGGCGAGATACCAGTCAGAATGTGGTAAAGGGTATCTACCACATCCATCTTGAGCAGCTCAATTGACAGACGAGGACTGGCCTTGGATACGATTGCCAACACCCGAAGAAATTGGGTGTGGATATGTGGGCCGATGAGGTTGGTGGTGCCGGGCAGGAGCAGACGGAGAACGGCCTTAAGCATGGCAGGTTCGATCAACGCTTCCAAATTCTCAGGGCGATACTTGAAGCTCTCCACGATACGGGAGACACAGAGACAGCCCTGTTCAACCACTTTGGGGTCATTACTAGAAAGAACATTCAGAAGAGTAGGCATGACATCGCGGACAACTGGAAACGAGTCGTGTGGCAGATTGCGGCAGCAGTTTGCCGCAGTAGTTACAGCTGTGCGTTGAGTACTTGTCGGGAAGAAGTCAAGGTAGGTCAAACATGCCGTTAAGCCGCCTTCTCGCACGATGGAAGCGGGGAAGTCGACAGAAATCTTCGCGAGAGTCTGGATCAAGTTGTCAGTATACTTTCCACACACGCACGAGCTATATAATCACATAAAGAGATGACGTACACTTAAGGCCTGTTCTGCAAGATCGATAAACTGAATGTCCAAGAGCTTTTGGCACAGGATGGGAACAGCACCACCGTAGACCACGTTGGCCACGGAGCCACGAAGGGCCTCCATCAAATTAGCCAAGCAGCGGCAAGCAAGCAGCATTATTTCCGGGTTCTCTTCGCCAAACTGGTTCGGTTGCATTAAGGCGACCAGTTCCTTGACGTATGGGTCGGGAGAGAACTGGCCGGACAAGTTGTCCTCGTTTGACACGAGCAGGAGGTCTGATAGCTCTTGGAGAGCAATCAATTGGAGCGAAGGGTCATCCTTTGCCCGCAGATTACAGAGAATATCTCGAAGTCGCGAAGACATGCCCGACATCATACCACTGAGTGCACGGAGCGTACTTTGCAGCCCCATGGGGCCTCGGCCTCCAAAAAGACTGCTGTGGAACGGGTCCAAGTCTTCATCATCGAAGGTGGACGGGTTGGTCCCATCGTTGCTATCACCTGTTGGAGACCCCTCCCGCTCTTCCTTGGTATCTTCCTCCTCCAACTCCTCCGCATCCCGCATGAAAACATCGGCGTTCGTCTTTGCGACACGCTTCTTCTGTCGCCGGGGAGGCGGGGATTGCGTCGCTGCAACTCGGTCTAAGAGGCGATTTTATAAGCATTGATGTATGTATAACGAATGGGTCATCTAGTGAAGCTCACCATTCCGGCTGGATCTCCGCCTCGAGGGTGGCGGAGATGTCGTCGACTTTGATTCCTCCGAGGGTCGAGAAGACGGTCTACGCGGATAAAAGCTCACGTCAGCTTTGCAATCATGAGATACACCTCCTTCTAAAACTCACCCCGGTTGTGACATAGCTGTGTGGCCACGGGCAGCTCGTCGGGGAGCAGCGGCGGTTGGCCCAGCAGACGGGACGGCGTGAGGCGCTGAGGTGCGCTGTCTTTTCGATCTTCGAGGAGGCGACGAGGTGGTTGGCTGATTTGGGGCGTCCGATTGTCGATCCCGGCGTGACGAAGCCTTGCGTTTCCGGGAGGAAGCCGAACCAGCGGCCGGATGTGACGAAGAGCCGGAGTCAGCGGCGGGGGGAGGGTCTGTTGCAAGTCTCGCGGAGGAGCGAGTGGTTCTGGATGACATCAGAAACTGGTTGCCTTTCAAATGAGGGTGTGTACGTATGAGTACGGAGGTGAAATTATGGAGGGAGGGGGGAGGACGATCGTGCAAGTTGTCAGAGCTGGCCGGGCAAAGCTGAGGAGCAATGCAGTTGACGGGGGTTACGTGGAGATGGGGTCCCCCACACCCTGTAGCAGCGAAACGAGAACCGACCGAGAGCACAGGAAGACGAGGGGAAGCCGGGGATCATCCACAAGGTTCTCGCCAGTGAATATCCACGGCGAGCAGAGTGGAGTCACCACGAGGTGCACAAGGTATGAAGATCGGGTGTTGAGGAAACGGGTAAGTACCTCAGGGCAGAAGAGGTGGCAGCAGCTCCTGCGGGGGAAATGGAATAATCCTCGAAAGGGTCCTGGCGGCTGGTGGAGGGCCTTTGCCTGGCCATAAGTTACCGGGATCGGGATGTTCGAGACAGGTAGACGTGGACACCGATTCAACCCGCCATCCGCAACACCTGGTTCAGGGCTGAGATTGGGTGTGAACAGGTCAGGGAATGTGAAGATCCGGTAAGCTGTCCGGATGGCCGTCTAGGCTATAATATTACGGACGAGAGTGAATAAAATAAAGAAGATGGATGGGACAAAATAGGTTGAAAGGGGTGGTGGAGAAAGGAGGATTGACGTGGTGGTTTGTGACGACTCGATTCGGAGAGCGCCAGGCGGCGGAAGTGCAACATTCGACAGTTGATGATATAAGACAGTCCAGCTCCCCGAATTTGCATTTCACCTGCGGTCGGGCACGGATGAAAGCCCGCAAACTTGTCCTGCACTCGGGCACTAGGCGATTTTGCTGTGTGAACTGTTCTATCTTTGCTTTTGTACGATGAATGATTGTGTATGACGATGCCGGTGGCCAACAACACTACTGTACTGAGTTTGAATGCGAATGAACCCGCTAGGCTATACAGTGAAGGACATGATAGCGACTGGATTGCTAGAAACACCTCTCCGGGTGCTATAACTCTACCGAATATAGAGCTATACTCGGAAAGCCAGAACCCCCGGCCTCGCGAAATGAGGGGGCGGCTATCAGACGGGAGCGGCGCCGATGAAGGCCCCAGATTGACTCACCGGATTCTTATTAAGCACCAGAGGAATCTGAATTCCTTCTCTCGATCCCGTTGATGATCACGACATCATCTCGGTTTTTCTTCCGCCTCCCTATATTTTTGCCTCCCAAGGGGCGACGACTTTTCCTCCTGTCCCCCACTTCCCCAAGTCGGCCCCCTCCCGCTGTTGCTCTCCGATCCAAAAACGTCTCTTCCCGCACTCTCCCGCATTCCCCTCCACCCCTCCACCCCTACAAGATGTCGACAGAAATGGTTGGAGGGCAGAGCGACGACGTTCACCAGCCTCCTGCTCAGGTTTCGCCTACACCCATGGACGACTACGTGTTCCCCGAACTTCGCCTCAAGCGAAAGATGAACGACCCGGAGAAGACGCCGCTTCTGCTGGTCGCGTGTGGTTCCTTCTCCCCGATCACCTATCTCCATCTGCGGATGTTCGAGATGGCCGCCGACTACGTCAAATTCAGCACCGATTTCGAACTCCTCGGTGGCTACCTCTCTCCGGTGTCGGATGCCTATCGCAAGGCGGGCTTGGCCAGCGCAGATCACCGGTAGGGATACCTTGGTTCTCGGTCGATCGGGATGTACTAACGTGGCTGCCTATAGTGTCGCGATGTGTCAATTGGCAGTGGATCAAACTTCAGACTGGTTGATGGTGGATACATGGGAGCCTATACAGAAGGAATATCAGCCGACTGCGCTCGTCCTGGACCACTTCGACCATGAGATCAATACCGTCCGTGGCGGTGTAGAAGCCGCGGACGGAACACGAAAACCGGTTCGCATCGCGCTGCTCGCGGGTGCGGATCTGATCCACACCATGTCTACTCCCGGTGTTTGGAGTCAGAAGGATCTGGATCATATTCTCGGCAAATACGGCGTATGTCGATCCCTATCCCTTGATTTCGACCGTAGCATGCTAATCTCCGTGCAGTCTTTCATTGTGGAGCGCAGTGGCACCGATATTGACGAGGCGCTTGCCAGCTTGCAGCCCTGGAAGGAGAACATCCACGTCATCCAGCAACTCATCCAGAACGACGTCAGCAGCACCAAGATTCGACTTTTCTTGCGGCGTGAGATGAGCGTGCGCTACCTGATTCCCGTTCCGGTAATCCACTATATCGAGCAGCACCATCTCTACGAAGATGACGGCACGTCTAATGAGAAAGGCAAGGAGAGGCAGGACGCAGGACGGTCCGGGTGATTTATGGCTCGGGCAATCAATAATACCGGCATGCCATGCGGCCATCACGAACCGACGAGGGAAGCATGACCCTGATACGATACCCCTTTTGCCCTCGTCCTCTCTGCCGCGGATGTTTACCCATTCTTAAAACTCATGGCCTAATGGGACCTGCCAAGTCTCGTTTGGACCACAGCCTATTGGCTGATCTTGGGTCGGCCAAGCCATGGCGCCGTACGAGAAAGCGATGATTTACGATTTCTTTTTTGGAGTTTGGAGTGAATTTGTATCCGGCCGGATTTCTGAGTTTGAATCTGCTTCCTTTATTGCTATGCTTTGGCTACTTTTATCTCCTGTAGCCAGCGCTGGTCTTGTTCTGGAACGGCCTCCGGGTCGATGGAATGTACATAATGCTTTTTTTGGGCCATGCGATACACACTGTACATACAATAGCTGAATAGATGTCTAGATCAGATATTATTTTCTTCGTAGGCACCAAGATATGTGTATCTCCGATGCGCACCCCGGAGTGTCGGCTTTACTACTCGATGCGGCTCGGATCGGCCCCGTCAATAAATTTGCAATCGGAGTATGCGATGACACCGTCTTTATGATTAGTGAGTCTATCAATAATGCAAGTCATCCTAGGAACCATAACCAAAAGGCCCCATAAAGACAAAGTACTCGGACCGATCGCCCCGATGCCAAGGACGCCAGTTATCTTCCGTTATCGACTGATCTGATCTTGGCCCTCCACATTTTCCCGACTCCTCCCCCAGGCGACTGCTGGGAGGATCTTACATTGCACTGGTCCCCCCGGACGTCGCAATGGTTTATGAAGCCATTGAACCTATCGCCTTGCCCCCCATGGACCCCGCCACCCTGCCCCGTTGGCCACTCACTCCTCCCGATCCCTCGGACCCCGAGCCTTCCACGACGAAAGATGTGTCCTCGGTAGTAACGGCCATCCATGTCATATCCACCGAACGCGCTGCCCTCGCGCATCTGGAACGTCTCTATCAGACAGATGCGCGGGCGCAGCAGGATCTCGCCAGAGCGGTGGACCTGATTGCGCGTAGTGTGCGTGAAGCGGGCAAGCTGGTGGTTTGCGGCGTTGGGAAGAGTGGAAAGATCGGTCGCAAGATCGAGGCGACTATGAATAGCCTCGGCATCTACAGTGCTTTCTTGCATCCGACGGAAGCTTTGCATGGGGATTTGGGATTGGTTCGGCCGGTAAGCTCCTGCAGCCTGCTTGGTCTACTTTGCCGTTTTGTGGAGTTGGTCCAAGCGACTCGGTGATTTGGATGCTAACTAGGGTCATGCAGCATGATACGATGCTTTTGATCTCATTCTCTGGTCGTTCTCCTGAGCTTCTTACGCTGCTTCCGCATATTCCCGCTACTGTCCCAGTTATCGCTCTGACATCGCATACGGAACCTTCAGCGTGCCCGTTACTTGCATTCCATGCTCCTTCTGGCATGGGAGTTCTTCTCCCAGCTCCCATTCATGAACACGAGGAAGCTTCTCTTGGGGTGAGCGCCCCGACCTCATCCACAACGGTTGCGCTGTGTCTTGGAGACGCTTTAGCTATCGCTGTAGCGCGGAAGCTGCACACTGCTCCAGGAAGAGGCCCGGCCGATGTCTTTCGGAGCTACCATCCAGGTGGCGCCATCGGTGCTGCAACTGCAGGGACACCGCTGACTACCCCGTCAAGCGGTGCTTCCACGACTTTTGACTCCCCCTCTTCATCCATATCCTTCCCATGGGAAGATCTAAGTGGCAACTCATCAAATTCACCCTTCACACTGCAACCACCTCCGGAGCAACGGCGGATTTCAATGGATATGCTCGTTCCTCTTGATCAAATCCCCACTGCCTCAGCTTCTCCATCACAACCCTGCAGCGATCTCCGATTACTCGACATCCTTCTCACGGCTATTCAGCATCCCAATGCCAAATCTTGGGTATTCTTGTCCCCGTCTGAAATTGTCCCTCCAAGACGAATTCGTTGTCTTCTCTCACACCATACCAATGTCGACATACGAGTTTCCGATGCCGTGGCGAAAGATTTCGGGCGCCCGTTGGCTGTAAATAAAGCCAATTGGCTGTTGGTCCCAGAGTCCATCTCGCTTGCTGAATTGCGGCGTGTTGTGTCCACATCCCGAACCGAGCCAGACTCGACAAGAGTCATTGCCGTTATGAAGGACCCTGCCTACCCCGCCAGTTGCATTGGGGTTATGGAGGTGGAAGACCTATTAGCATGAGGGGATCTGCTCTCTTCTTGTGTCTCTTTGTATTGCATACCATTTGGATTTCGCGGTACACGGTTAATGATGTTACGCCTGCTTTACCTTTCAAGGTTTTTTGAGTTTACATATACTCGACATTTATACGACCTGCATATACACACGCTTTCCGTCGCAGGGGGCGCTGCATTTATTCGCATCACTTCAAACTTCAATGCTCTTTAATCATTCCTGATAATACAAACACGATGTAAAATGCTATAATACACAGCCCAGCCCCGCCATTCCAATGAACGCTAGGCAGAAACATATCCCCCCGATCCTGAATATTTTACGCCTTCACAACGGGCTTGATACCCTTGTGAATAGCAGCAATGCCACCCGTCAGATTCTCATAGCCCTTACCAGGAATCATAAACCCGGCCTTCTGAATCATGCCCCGGAACTCATCTTGACTGGGGAAGCGTTCAATACTCTCAACCAGGTACTGATAACTATCGCGATCCCCAGCAACAAGCTGCCCAATCATAGGAATAGCACTGAAATTCCAGCGCTTGTAGATAGCATCAAAGACAGGGTTGTCCACCTTACTGAACTCCATGCACGCAAAAACACCACCGGGCTTGAGAACACGGAACGCCTCGTTCAGCGCAGCCTGCTTATCCGTGAAATTGCGGATCCCAAAGACAACGGTGTACAGATCCACCGACGCATCTGGGATATGCGGCATGTGCTCGGCGTTGGCTTCGACGAAGTCCAGTCGCGACGTGTTGTAGTAGGGGGTTTGGACGGATCGCTTGCGGCCTTCGGCTAGCATGTCGGCGTTGATGTCGCTGATTGTCACGCGGGTCTCAATGTCGTGGTTGATGTTTGTGGCGTGGTCGAGCATGCGGAAGGCGATGTCGCCGGTCCCGCCGGCGATGTCGAGGATGTTCCATCCCTTGCGGTGGGGGCCAGCTGGGAGAGGGGAGCCGGGGTTCAGAGAGCGCACGAAGTGGTCTTTCCACAGGCGGTGGATGCCCAGAGACATCAGGTCATTCATTGTGTCGTAGGAAGATGCGACGGAGCTGAAAACGGCGCCCACTGTTGAATTGTTAGACTTGAGGTCCCAATTGATGGATATCATCGTCTCCGCTTATAGAGAGGTCTTACCTCGCGACTCCTTCTCGGATTCAGGCACATTGGTGAAGCCGAAGTGTGTCATGCGGTCCTGCTCGGACTTGGGCTGGTCCTGGGCTCGGCGGGTGCAGGAGAAGCAGCGGTAGGGAGTAGCTGGTTGGAAAGCACGGCGCTTGGCACTGTGGTGCAGTGCTCGCCAGGCGGAACGGGACGACATGATGCTGGGCAATTGAATAGGTGGACGCTGCAAGTTGGAGATAGGATCGACGGGGGAACTTTTCGGCCTCGCGAGATGCCGCGAAGACCCACTCGAGTTCTTCCACGGCCAATCACACCGCGTAGTTTGCCAGCCCGGTCGTACAATCGCAGTCCTTGAATACCTTCACTTGCATGACTCGTCTGTCTTGCAGAATTTCATAGATCAATTCGATCTAAATCCTTTTCCTGTGTCATTGTTTCAATTGAAGGAATCGTACCTAATTCAAGCAGGTCAATATCGCATGTCAGCTCGATAGACCAAACAGCTGAACTAGATCTCGAATCTCTTTGAACAGCGCTCGATGTTTCTAGGCACATTTTTTAAAATTACCTCTAACAGCATGGGAGATCAAAGACATCGGAAACATTTCTGTTGCTTCCATTACATATCCCGCTCAGAAAATAAGCAGAGTATACCCTAGTCTCAACCTATTTCGCCTTTCCACCCACCAAATCCGCTACTTCAATACATCATACATCAAATAGATTGCTCCTCTAAACCCTCTATGTCATTAAAACTATTTACAATATCAAATAATTACCCAAACCTTTATTCAAAAGCTAGAGGCAAGAACCCCTCCGAATGAGAATTATCAAGCGGCCACGGCCAATCATTCAGCAGCTCCGGCGGCAACTGGAACTGCAGCATCTGGTCATTCATTCCCGCCGCGGTACCAACTGTTGGCCCTGGGGCACTATGGGCGTATGTGGGTGGTTGCAGAACATGCTCCGGTTTGACATTCATGTTCATGGCATTGCCATTTGGAGGAGGCGGAGCTGTCGAGACGTTGAGGAGGCGTGATGTGCGCATGTAGCCGTCGATTCGGTCGACCTGGGACCGGAGACGTTCGCTAGCGCCTGCTGCGCGGTAGAGACCGCATTCGAGGCGGTGGAGGAGATCGGCCATTTCGAGGCTGGTGATAGAGTCAGTAAGAGTGTATTCGTGGGTTTCAAAAGACTTACAGTAATGTGCGGACCCGGAGGTAGGATGCATCTGATAGACTACCTTCCATGACCGAGCCGAGTATATACCCGATTCCACCGAGATGATGAAGCTGAAGATTTGATATATGAGCATGGCGAAAAAAAGGACATTATTGGAGGGAAACATACCAAGGGTGAGCTAATAGCTTTCAAGTACTCCACCGGCACCTTAGAAAAGACACTGAGCAACTCGCCGGCCACATCACATTTCCGATCTACTCCAATCTCCTCCGCTGACAAAAGCACCATCCGAAGCAGCTGCAGTGTTGCCTGGATATTGGCTGACTGGAAACCGAACAGATCCCTCATCGTATCACCCGTCGTAGGCGGAGTTTCGCGAAACTGCGACGGCAGCGCAGAGTACATAGAGAGAACGCGTTCCATGACTGCGGGCTCCGACATGGAAGCCGGGCTGAAAAGAGACCAGACCTCCTGTGTTCCGTTGGCGGAGGAGAACTTCCGTCTTGTGCCGTCCACCACGTGCTCCAAAATGCGGTATAGGTCGGTTGTGAAATTCCATCCTTGAATCCAGCACAAAGGTTGTCTTGAGACGACGGATACGGGGCTCTGGCTCATGGTGCTCGATCCGGGTGATACTGGTTGCATGGTATAGCCTTGTGCGGTGATGTAATGGTCGTCGACCTCGGTGGGATACCGCACGAGGGAATGAGCCTCGCGGTATCGTATCACGCCTCCCCATACAATGGTCGAGTAAATATCGAGTGTGTAGATCGACCAAAACTTTGGTTTGGTCAGCCGAGCGCAATCTTTTGCCGGGTTAAAAGGACATACCAATCTCCGCCTTTCCTCTACCTCAATGGGACTTATATCCTTGGGCCAGAGCTTTTCATCATGGAACCCTTCCATGGTTGTTAGAGTATGGTACATGCCAGAGTATTTCTGCATGTTCTTGATCTGGCCGTTCTGGAGACTGGCGATTGCAAGGATGGCACATGCGCGCATATAATTCATCCCCTTTGCAGCTGCAAGGTCTCGAGGTAATGAATCCTTGGCTGCTGCATAGAATGCGTCTGAAGGAGGCTCCAGAAGTTCTTCTCGGCGCCACCTGGTAGTGTACAGTGCCCCATCGCGTGCGCGACCGGATGCCAAGCAACATACAGCCATGGTGGAGGCAAAAAGGCCTTGGTTATGAAGGTGCTCCCGATTGTTTACCCTCTCTATAAAAGATGGCTTGTGAAAAAGGGGAAAGCTAAATGACCTCGTCAGTAGATGAGTTGGCAGGCGGCAGGAATGTCGAATCCCTACATTGGATAGACAATTTCAAAATACACTTGTACAAGGTTCCTGATCTGTTGGTCACTTGCGATGGCAAATGCCTTCCAAGAGTTGCGTAGTGCACCATCATCATCGTACCCCTCAGCCGTCGACCAACCTTGATTAAAAGAAATCCAGGGATCCCCAGTCAGGAACGGTCGGGAAGCCGAGTCCTGGTGTACGGAGCTCCTAGAAGCAGAGGATCCCGAGCCTCTCCCCTGAAAAGGGGTTTGGCCGGTCGGCGAATTCTCCATCACCGGCTTAGCAAAGGGTACATCCTGAGTAGCGACCCTAGTGCCAGCCTTGACGCCCCGTCTTTTAGCTGGGCGATCAAAGGTACACGCGACATCAAAGTCGACGCAGTTCTGGCACCGGCCTAGCGAATCTGCGCTCCTACTGCATTTGATGCTGCGCCTATTGCAGAAGTCGCCTAAACGGCAATACAGTCAGTTGAGCCGTCTCACATCCGGGGATCCGCCGAACGCCAAGTGGAGCAGGGTTCACGGGCAACGCGGGGGAAGAGGCGTCTTACAAGCCTTGGAGACACGCTGAAGCTTTCGCGGTTTCTGCGACATTCAATCGGGATTCATGCCAACGCGGTCACAAAACTGGATCTGACCGGCGCCACGAAATGGGGGGGCCGGATTGGAGAGAGTTGGGGTTCTGCCTCGGGGGTGTCTCTCGTGGGTCGATCTGCGCGCAGTGAAGTGGAAGAATGGAAAAAAGGATGAAAGGCAGACCAACGAATCCAGTGTTATTTAGATGCTCCAATCAATGCTCGACCATCGAGTCATCGAATCGAGTCTATCGAATCATGAAGATGTGCGCAAAGTAACTTAAAGAGACCCCCACGACGCTGAGTCAGCATAATGTCATTGACGACGATTCTCGGCGAATCGGCAATCCTGTTTACGGGGGGGGGTATTGTGGAGGATCGAACATCAAATATCAAGCATCTGTCTATATGTCTAATGATTGTCATGAAATGCTAGTCAGTACATGATGTTTGCAACGCCGTGTCCGCGTCGTAGGCAATGATTAATATACAATGCATTATGTCGTCAAATATGCAATGGGGAATGGGCTACCACACAAACTGTGACTGCGTATTCCGGCTCCGATATGTCATTTGGTGTGTTCGGATTTGTCGGCACTGAAAGATTCGCGTTTGGTGACTCCGTGCTCTGCCAGAACGTCGCCGTGAAGCTTATAGGCTTCTTCCATTCTCCAGTGGAAGGGGCTGGAAGTTGAGAAGAGGCCTTCGATGGACTCGAGAGAGCGGTTGCGGGTTTCAGGATAGACTGATGACTTGGTTAGCTCGTGCATGCAACAATGCTTATCCGAAATTCTGCGTACAGAGAAAGACAATGGGGATCCAGAGCAAATTCAGCCCAGCAAAGAGGAAATAGGTACGGCTCTGAGTCTGTGTTAGCTTCTCTAGCGAAAATGGATTTGGTACAACACTCACGCGTATGCCCCCAAACATGATAGGGTTGACAAGAGTGGTCATTCCCACGCCAATGGCCCAGCCAGTGATCCCGAACCCGTTGCCCTGGGCCCTCAGGTCACTCGGGAAGATCTCCGTGGGTACTAAAAAAGCAACGGTACCCCAAGTGGCAGCATAACTAAGTACTTGATTTTAGCATCTGATTCAAGGGGTGAAGAGTCTAACCACAGCATACCCTAAGTTAAACAGGAACAGCATCGTTATGGCGCCAAGAGCATACTGAGCCGCCTTGTCGGGTTGATGGAAAAGCGAAACTTCGTACAAAGCACCGGCCTAGGGAAGGATCAGCATCCAAGAAAGGCTTGAATCAGACACGCAAACTCACGATCAAGTTTACCGCGAACAGAAGGGCAGCTCCCCCTATGAGGCAGGCTCGACGGCCGAGGCGGTCTATAATTTGGGCACTGATGATGGTGCCGAGAATCCCAATTGTATTCACAGCTCCTGCTAGAGCGTTCTGTTTTATCTCACTGTAGCCCGCCTCCTCAAGAAGAACAGGGGCGTAAGCAGTGACAGCCTGTATTCATCTGGGTCAGTGACTGGGCACGCACGGTGGCTTTATCTAGTCTTACCGTGATACCCGTCCAAGAAGCCATGATCTGAAGCCACATACACAGCCATGCTCGACGGCCCAAGTTCGTGCCGGGCCGCCCACTCATTCCGAGTAGAATCTTCGCAAATTGGAGCGGCGAGCTTGGCTTGCTGCCTTCTGCAGTGGTCACAATCTCCAAATATTCCCGATCGATCTCGTCCGCGCTCGATCGATCTTTACGTAACCGCCTCAGTAGATCGTGAGCTTCTTCTTTCCGACCTACCGAGGCCAGATAACGGGGGCTATCTGGCAACATCTTGATAAACAGGACCAGGATCAACGCTGGAAAACACTGGAAAGCCAGCGGAAACCGCCACCGAACACCCGAGTACCCATCGTGGACAAATGAGAGGCCAAAGGCAAGCCAATACCCAACCGAAATTCCTAGATCTGTGACGGGTCAGCCCAGCCCCCCTTGCTTCCTTCGTGTGTCAAGAGTCGAGATCGGGGCTTACAGTTGGCAATAAATACATAACCGAGGAAGCCGCCCCGATGGTTGGCGGCTGAGGTTTCAGAGACCAAGACAGGGGTGATACCGGTCAAAGCTACGGAGTACAGCACGAGTCAGTTATCAGGTCACAAAATGGGGCTTCAGCCTTGGCTAAAGGGCACTAGCAGGGATGCTCACCACCGGTGCCAATGCCGGTTACCACTCTAGCACAGATCATAAAATTGGAATTCTGTGCGGCCGATTGCAGGGCTCCTCCCACCAGAGCAAACAAGGATCCAGCCAGTAGACCGTTGATGCGTCCAACTCGATCTGCAAGCCACCCTCCAGCAAAGCAGCCGAAAATCGCCCCCAAGTAGTACACACTGACAATGCCTCCCTGATGCGTGGTGTTCGTAATCGTCCCGTCAGGTTTGCCGATGCCGACGAGGGTCACATAGGTGGGCGAGGCGTTAACGCCACCCATGACGCCCTGATCGTAGCCCTCGAAGAAGATGGAGATAAGCGAGAAGGTTTGGATAGCGAGATTAAGCTGGCGGGGCGAGAGCGTCCGCCATAGCGTCGTGTAAGCCATGGCCCCCGTGCAGCATCAAAGCGCCCCAATAGCGGCACGGCGCGTCGACGATCGTTCGTTTATGGGGCTCCCGTTATTTGAGACACGCAGATGGGGCACGATCATCTGGTATGGAGCTTTGGGAATCGCGGGGGAAGGAACCACTCTCAAGCGCGTAACCTTTTAGGATTGGCCCCATCCGACTTTTCGTTGCATTAGTTTCGCCTCTAAATAGCCGTTTTGCCGATCGTCCCCTTCCACTGCCACAACCTGATGGGTCGATCACAACCTAGGACGCAGCGCACCGGAATCTGATCTCGCCAAATCCCTAGTGGGTTCCTTATAGGCGACCGAGAACATTTGACCCCGGGACAGGCTCTCAAAGCTGATTTCGACTTAGACCATTTGTACTCGTATTCATTGAATGCAATCCCTTCGTAATTTGCTTGATGTCTATCTAGCTTTACCAGTATGGGTTCAGCAACGCCTAACGAGATCCCTGGCCATGCCTTGGATATTACCGTCCTTGGTCTCAATAGCGGGAAGTCGATGGCGAGCAGCAAACCCACCCTACACCCACCCTTATAACCCTTAAAGAAATACCCAGAGGAGGCTCAGGTCTAAGATAATAAGGTGTTCGGGTCCATTTGTAATATTTATTTGGTCCGACTGCATATGCGTCGCATGGCACAGGTCGGGCTAGCATCGTGTTCTCCTGAGATTCATGACTTTTATTAGAGGAAAGCGTAGACAGTTAAGAGTCTGACAATTTACTCTTATCCCATCAATGGGATGTCTTAATTTCCCTGCGATGAAAGATAAAAGGGCTGACCACATGGATATGTATTTTATCTGAAGACACCCAGACTGAATTACTCATGCATAGAATTCAACTCAGTATCCCAATCCCATCCAGGAGACTTTCCATCATCCGAAGCAATAGGAGACATCGCAGAAAGTGGAAAGCGAACCAAAATGTCAGGATCCACATTTGCAGAGTGGGATCCTTTATGGACGATGAGATCAGGCATGCTCACTCCGAGCGTCATCTCATCAGCCAAAGAAGGTGATGAAGGAGTCAAGTATCCATGTGTTTTATCAAGAACATCTGAGAAGTTATCTGGATCCGATGGCATCAGATCAAAGACAGGGTTCTGAGGGTCCATCATTGTCCAATAGTCCACTACCGATCTGAGGATTGTCATTTCGGTCTCGGTGAGTTCTTCGATTCGCGGGTTGTTGTGGAGGAGTATGTCACTGTATCGTGCACATTGGAAGGCGAAGGCTTTTAATGCGTTTGCCTGTGGTCAATTAGCAAAAGTTTCGGTAGACGGATAGAGGTATACTTACCATCATCTGAGCATTTTCCCATAACTCAGAAATCTCCCCTAAATAGTAGAGCGACGTTTTCAGGTACTCTGCTGAACTTCTACTGATAGACACATCGCTACTGTGAAGATGCAGCGCATGTATGGTACTAGCCACCAGAATGCAGTAGCTGTAAACAGATGGAACTGGCATATATCCAGCAGCCTTTGCCTCAACCAGCACCGTAACCAGAGATCCAGCATGTATCAAAGACGTTCTGCGGGTTTCTTCTAACCAAGCAGACGGCCTGTCAGAGCCAGACAAGGACTGCAGTTTCATGCCGAGAAGAAACGGATGGCTGAGAATGCAATGGGAAAGATGATATAAGGTGTGTGAGAGAACCATATGTGCAATCTGTTCACGATCCCCATCCGGCATTTCACTTGGAGAGCGAGACCGTCCCGGCTCGGCAATGACGGGGCTATTCTTCACAGCCAGCTCCTTCAAAAATTCCAGGTCGGAGTAAATGGAGCCATACTCTGAGCCGGGATGCCACGGTTCTTCTGCGTTGGAGTCCTTGTTCATCATGCATTTGACCGTTCGCCCGAGAGCGGCTGCTAAGGCGATGCTGATACCGAACATTCCGGGTCTGAAAGTCATATTTCGAACCTTGTCATCCAGAAGTCCACTTAAAGTAATAGATGCCGCCCGTTTTCCCGGACCATGGTATGTCGGCAGGTTGAGAAGGCAGTCCGAGTCTTTGATAGCCGGTGGCCTTTGAAATGAACAACACACGAAGCGATCCAGGAGATATAACGACCAGAAGAGGTTCCGACGCTCTTCTCGCTCAATCTCACTGAGACAAGTGCTAGGTTCCAACATCATCTGCAAATCTTGACTGATCCGGACTGCCATTCCAATTTTTACCCATGCACTTCGACGCCGACCGGCTGCTCGAGCTATTAGCACAGAACTATTTTTTCACTCGGTTTCCGGGGGTTCCTACCAGTCGCGTCGATCACTGCCAGCAGCGCGAGGGCTTGAATAACAGAAACATCATCATTTTCACCCAGTGCATCTGGCGAAGTCGTGATCAACTCCCACGCACATCGCGCATAATCATCGATCGTGCTCTGTTTTCGTTCTTTCCATTGCGATCGGGACGAATAACGGGTGGCGGTAGCGATTAGGGCAAGTCGAAGGTACAAGGGTACTTGGTTTCTTGTCGCCTTGTGATGAAAGAGCTCTGCATTGAAAAATCCGTAGGGCTTGTTGTGACAATGGCGGAAGTATATGTCGCACGCTTCGAGGAAGATTTTGTCGGGGGTAGGTGAGCTTCACGTAGTAAGATCGTCAGTTTCACCCTTTCAAACTGAAAGTGAAGCACAGCGGGGGATGTACCTGGGGACGCGATTATGGATAGCCATTGTGGGTTCGGGAACGCAAGGCTGGTCAACTTCCCCCAAGAGCGAATCCCCAGCTATGTATTTGGCATATTCACATTCCAGAGAAGATTTGTGCGCAACCCCATGACCACAGAAAACTTAGAATCCTGGCGGGCCCGGTGCCCCGGTTTAAAGAGCGAGGACAGAGATTATATTACTCAATTCTATCCTTGTTGGTGGCACTGGAGCCAGGGGCCGGGCCAAGTGGGGTTTTATCCCGCATTGATGATTCTCCGCGTTTAGCCGTCCCCGACGGCCTCGCGGTGGAACCCGTCTTGGGAATAACTTCGCGTATCAGCCGTAAGCCCATAGAAAGAGCAGCAGGAATGAGGAGCCGTATTGTGTTGTTAATCAAGCCGGACAAAATGGGACATGGCAGTGCAACTAGAATAGATTATGAGGAAGATCAACATGTCTCACTTCTTGCTCGGCCTATCTCCACAGTTCTGTTCAGCGCTATCGCGCCATCCCGTGCCAAAGGCGCCGTTTTCTTCAGATACTTGCCGGGATACGGCCCGACAGATGTCGGGAACCTTAGGATCAAGCGTCGGTTTCTCTATAGGGATTGGAGGAAGGCTGGCGATAGGGGCCCGAAGGGGCCGTTGGCCTTTTGGACTCCACACTACATATTCCGAGTAGTCCATGTAGGAGGGGGCCGACTCACGTACCGTCTATGCTTCTCTCACCCCTTATAAAAACATCAAAGTTACAGAAGCCTGCATAACCCAGAACTATTGTTACTATGTCTCTCAAGGTGCTCATCTACGCGTACCGCAAACCCGGCATCTCCCTCGAAGAGTTATAGAAAGACTACGAAACTCGCGTCGGTCTCGTGAAATATATCTCTGGTGACGATTTCTCACTTTCCCGCAAGCGCAGCTATATTGCCCGCAGCATGTTGAGGTGTCCCCCGAAGGCGCGACTACGCGCAATGCCACTACTCCAGCCACTGTGATTGTTGGCCAACAATCCGACTACGACTTTGATGCCTATGCCGAGCTCACTTTTGTGGATCAAGCTGCCTTTCAGGCCTTCGGGGCTAAGATTTATGCCCCTGAAGCTGCGACTCAGATTCCTGCAGATGAAGAGAGGCTTGATAAGTCGCAACTGGCTATTGCGATGCTGGGGGATGGGACCGAGATGATTAAGTGAGCAAGGCATGAATACTGGTTGAAATGGAATTGGAGCTTCCTTGGATATAGACGTGGGCTCTATGACAACTACTTAGCCGAATAGCCGTGTTAGTTACCGTTATTAGACATCAGCCTGAGAAATGAGCCCGATATCCTCGCCGCCTTCATTTTTGACGACCACTATCCACAGTTGTTGTCGCCATATTCTCGCATGAACGGATATCCAGCTGCGGTTACTCTCGTCTTAATAGGGAGTAAGTATAAGCAAATATTAGGCTGTACATTTACAGATACAGATCGACTCCTGGTCCCGGCAGGGAAAAAAGCCCACGGTTAGCTAAGAAAAATCATGGCTCACTCATTTTCGGAAGGTGCACTGGCGCGTCAAGAGCCTTTCATATAATTGTTCGTCGACATATTGATGCGTGGGGTCCACGAGCATAAAACACCCGGAACAATTGATCTGCTGCCTAGGTTCATCAGCGCGGCAATGGACATGATACTGGACGTATCATTCGGTCCTCGGGATATTTGGAGAACACTGTAGACGGAGGGCTGCACCCATGGGTGAAGCTGATGAGCTCAAGCTTAGCGACGATTTCCTTCTTTTCTGCCGCGGAATCCGCTGGTTGGGCGGATGAGGCGCCTGGTTGATCGCTATCCCTACCGGATCGGGCGATATCGCCAAGAATTCTGCCTTGCTCAGCCCCCGGCCGTCGGGGTCTGGAACCCCCACATCGTTATCTGGCCTCCCCAAACCGCTTCTTGAAGGAAGTGCTGATGCTGCGCAATCACATCTGTCTAATGCCATCTGATACTATTATTCACGATGGTCAATACAGGTCGTCCTAGTCGCGACTGTGAAAGTTGCCGGCACAGGCGAGTGAAGGTGATTCGACAAGCTAAGATCTCATGAATACTGCTGAACAATATTAACCAAGCCCGTCTAGTGTGACCTTAACCGTCCGACATGCCGAAGGTGTCAGAAGTCTGGACGGTCGTGTGCCTATCGAAACTTGGATGATCCCCAAGTTTTGTTTCGCATCCACACTCCTGCATCTTACAATGATCGGAAACAACCCAATAGGCGTCAAGAAAGAACCAAAGATGCAGGTAAAAGAGCGACGGAATTCAGTAATCAGCAACTCACTCGAACATCGCCAGTGAGGTTGTCGGCGCTGGATCAAGAAGATCGAAGCGAAAGCCTATCTCCATTTTCAGAGTCGCCGGCACTGCCAGGCCAGATTGTGGAGACTTGGGACACGCACATTATACCGTTTATCGTGGACCAGTTCTCCTTTCCATCGACAAATGGTGGCCGTATATACGCATCTCTCGAATGTTTCCCAAACATCCTTCGCAAATCGGAGCCTGGATCGGTTCTTCAAATGACCTGTAATGCAGTGGGTTCTATTTACAAGGCGAACAGGTCTCCTTCCAATGAGTCGGTTATCTCACATCAAAGGATGTATGGAAACGCTTTACAGCAATTGCAAGTGGCGTTAAGCAACCCGAAGACGCGGAACCAGGATGATATTTTGTTGTCTGTCTGGCTTTTATGTCTCTATGAGGTCTGAAACCCTATCTGCACAAATCTCGTCAAAAGACAGCTGCTGACCTTCTCGTAAAGTTAATGTTGGGCACTCCATCGAGTTCAAAAGGTCCCATGAATTGGGGTGTTCATAGCAAAGCCCTCACAGAACTATTACGCTCGAGAGGTCAGCAACAATTCAGAACCAAGACTGGTCGTCAATTGTTTCAACTATCCTACCATTACATCGTGTGTGATGACTGCCACTGATATCTCGCATGAAATAATGAGCTAATACCTTGGTTCTTAGCAAATCCAATCCCTCCTGACAGGCTCAGGCCCCGCACCGGAAGCGCGCGAATGGTTCGATGCCATGAAATCAAGCGCCGACGGTAAAGAGTACATTTTCATGCCGTCGTTCGATTGCGGCGACCAAGCTGCACGAATTTTCAAGAACGCAACATCGTCTTTTGACCAAGCCAACTCCGCCGCCGAACAGCTCGCCGCAATTGAAAACACATTCCAGGCCTGCAAGGCCCTCGAAAGGTCGATGCAAAAACCATTAAACGATTTTCTATCCAGCTTCATATTCGGCACCCCGGTTGACTTGCCAGCAAAAGAAAACGAGAGCAAATCAGTCCTGCGTATCCGCAACCATCACGACACCTGCATGCTTCGTCTCTACTCAATACTGCTGGAACTCATTCTGCAAGCCACAAGCCAGCCGGATATCTCAAATGAATCCGTCGGTCGTCTGATAGAGCTGCAACAAGCTTGCGTGGAGGAATCACAATTCTGCATATGTCGTATTCTTGGGGCTCTGCCCCAATTTCTGACGACAGGGCATGAGTTGAATCTTCCGACATGGGCGGATACTCTGAGATTGCTGTGGCCGTTGAGGGGGATTCTCTGCTCGCCGGCTGCGCAGGAGACGCAGAGGTGGATGGCGAAAGCGGCTTTACGAACTATTGCTTATGAAGGAGGAATCATGCAGGCCGTGGGGTCTTTCTTCAGTAATATTACAATTTATGAGAGTCCATAGTTTGAGAAATGATATAAATACACACCATGTCCATGATGGGAAGATTGAGATGTCGAAGGGGAGATAAGTGGCGATTTCAGCGCATGCAACCCGTTCTCGCAACTTGAACCCAAAAGAGTGAAGTGAGCTGAGGTTGGCTGTGAGAGAGTTGAGGAAGAGGGTTATAGGGGTTCATAAATTAACTTTTGGGGGCTGAGAATTTCTCCCAGCTTAAATCCAGTAACGAACCAGCCTTACGAAGAGCCTCCCAATCGCATCATATACCCCACGTGTGGAATTCGAACGGGGCTATGAATTAAGTTCGAACGGCTAGTGGGTAGCAGATTGGTTACCGTAATAGGAAACCCAATTCGAGCTTTTATCAGCCTTCCTGCATCGTTCCTGGGTTTAAGCTTCGATGCGCTCGTGGTTAGAAACACGCTAACCATATTCGGGTATGCGATTCGAGGCTATACCTCATACGGTATCGAGCACGTCTTGGCCTTTCAGGCCGCAGCCGTAAGCTTTCATCGTTGGTTTTTATTTTGTCGCTGCTCAATGGCAATCATAGTGCAGCTGGGGGCGTTTGGGGCCGTGCCAGGGTTTAAGGATAGGTATGGGGCTGTGTTGATTATTTTCTGCGAGGTAGCACGAACGAGGCGGGTTATAAAAGTGTCGTAGAGCCACTGTTTCGATTATTTCTTTCCATCAGGATAACCGCATATTCATTGACTGGACGTCGCATTTGAGGTGCTTTATTATACTTGGCATTCTATTTACTTTGGGCATTAATCGTTGGCCTGTCTACATATAACTATTTCACCATGGGTCTCTTCAGTGACAGCAGCAGCAACAATACCTGCCCGACGCCGACCAATTTTGCTACAGGTGAGCCCAATGGCCTCATTGGAGGGTTTCATGAATTGCATTGAATAGTAACTAATATTTTATCGACGTGCATTAGAAGCATCAAAACCCATCGTGGGCACAATCTCCTTCTACCGTCTAAACATGATGGCCTCCGGCGCCTGCACAGGCCTGGTCTGTCTGATCATGTTCGGATTGATGTTCTATCATGCGACACACTTGAGCAAACCCAGAGAGCAGATCAAGTACGACCGCCATTGTCACCTCAAAGAACACCGGACTGACCCAACCTAGGATCATGAAAATCTGCATGCTTCTCCCACTTTATACGATCACATCATTCGTCTCGGTTTGCTTCCCCAAAGCAGACGTATATCTCGAGCCATGGCTCGAAGTGTTTCAAGCCATTGCACTAGCATCCTTCTTCCTTCTTCTCTGTGAATTCATCGCGAGCGACAATCAGACCGAGGTGGATGTGTTTTTCGCGGCATTTGAAGCCCCGAAGAAGAAGAACGGGGAGCGTATGCATGGTTTGGAATGGTTCAGGGTACGTATGCGATGCATTCCGAGGAAATCAAATAACCTGGGTGATTTCGAGGTGGCAAATACTAAGAAGCAGTCTCTCTAGAAACAATGGATTGCCATCTTCCAGTACCCAGTTGTGGCCATTCTGGTGGCCATTGCCACGGATATCACTCAGGGGGCCGGTATATACTGCCTGGACAGTAACAAGCCACACTTTGCACACATTTGGGTGAGTTGAGCCGAGAAACAACCAAATATTATTTATGCAGCGGACTGACCAACTCCTACCATAGCTGACCGTCGTGTCAAGCCTCTCCGTCTCAGCCGCCGTGATGTCGGTCCTTAATTTCTACAAAGCACTCAGCACACACCTAAAGGGCCACCAACCACTCGCCAAACTCCTAGCATTCAAGCTCATCGTCGGCCTCTCATTTGTCGAACGGGTAAGCTCCCCAGCCCAAGTAACGACAGCTCAATTCCACCTCGGATATCTAACATCTCCTTAGATAATATTCACAATCCTCCGCTCCACAAACACTCTAAAGCCAACCTCAACCCTATCCTACGGCGACACAAATATCGGAATTCCAAACCTACTCATTTGCCTCCAGATGGTTCTATTCGCCCTCTTCTTCCCCTACGCATACAGAGTATCTCCATACATCAACGGCGGTCCCTACAAGGGCGGATCGCTGGGTGGGAGAGCGTGGATCGGGATGTTGAGTCCGATGGAGATCCTGCGTGCGATTAAGTTTGCCTGTAATATGGCGCAATCCAGGCGCACGAAAAAATCGGCGGACTATTCTAACATTGAATTGGGGCCTTCTTATGAGGCGCAGGCGCCCCCTTATGGGTACCCTCAGGCGGGGCCGATCCCGTCTCATGACCGGCTTTTGGATAGGAGACCTGGAGGCTTCATGTAAAGTGTACTGTAGGGGGAGTTGGGAAGGTTGTTGGGTTAGGAATTTGCATTGCGTGGGCTTTGGAAAATTTGTCTTGTTTTTATAGCGACTATAGAATGCGATTCAGGTTTTTTTGCTATAATGAGTTTCGATGTTGCACTGTCCCGTCAAACAAGACCCTGAAAGAAAAATAGGTTCTCACAGAGAGGCAATATACGAACGCTACATACTTTTAGTAAGCACCTGAAACCACTGTGGAGCAGTTCGTGGACGAGCATTGTGCCGGCGGTGGCTTCAGCAAGACCCGACATCACCCCGGCCAAGACAACACCAAACCAGCACGAACGGACTCCGGATTGTATCAAATTCAAGGCATACCAGGGAAAGCAGAAGCTTCACTTCAAGCTAGCGGGGTGAACCAGCGCCAGGGCACCAGATCCAGCCCCTTGTCTCAGACGATCACGTTGGTGTTTCAGGATCCAAAGCTTCTCCGTGTACTCGGCAAGGCACTGGGAGCAAGGTCCCCCGATGACGAAACCCTCAGCATCAAGATGCATCTCGTGTTTAGTCGATTCATCAAGCTGATGCGAAAAGCACCATGTTCGCTCACGTCGGGGAGGATGTCTTACCACGTCGCAGGAGTCGAGTCGATCGGCCTGGGCAGGCCTGGCTAGAAGGTTGCGACAAAGTAACATCGCCAGACAGCGATCGGCCCCGTCCATTTATGAGCCGTCCTAGATTTTCCCGGATCCAGACGTGATGTGCGATCGAAGTGTCATCAATCCCACCGTGGCACGGGCGATGCGGGGATCGACTCCTTGGGTCGTTCATCTACATCCGAGCCTGCGGGAGTCCAGAATGCAGCTGCGTGTCTATCATCATATAAAGTCGCGGCAGAGACAATCTATGCAGCCGGTGCAGTGGGACCACGGCGCGGGTGGTCGGAGTGGATTTTTATGTGAAACATGGTTCTGTACACGGTGCTGGGCTTGGTGCTGGGCTCGGTGCTGGGCTTCGGGCCCCGGAGTACGGTTACACGGGCTGAAACACCGAAGCGGGAGATCTTACGAGCCAGTCGGGTTCTCGATCGTCTATGACTGTAGGACCTTAGGGTTGAAAATAAGGCGATACAGGACGGACGTACTGAGGGACAAAGTGAGGTGTCCACTGGAAATCTCTTATCGACATATTAGGGGGACAGCAATTTTGCGCCACCTCATCAGAAGGGCCATCTCCACGTTCGATTCGCCCACCATGCACTTGGCACCAGCGCGAGATTAAAGGCCGGTTCCACTTGATCCAGGATCCGGGATTGATTGGTGCACGGGCTGGCAGATCTCCCAATCGTGTCAACGTGCCTAGACTGCGGGCCCGTGAGAGAGTTTGTCCGGTTCCTTCCTGCCTGTCATATCGCGCGTCTGTATATTTCATATTTTCTATTTTATAGATGAAATGGCTGGCTGCTCCACTCTCCGGTAGCACGGGAGCCCAAATCCCGTTAGATTACATGGTTGCTCTATGTGGGCGGGCCTTAATTAACTGTCTCTATTCTCTTGGCCATTCCATTCCTACCTTTTCCCTTCTTTTTCATCTCACTTTCCCTCCTTTCGAGACTGCTGTGCACTCTCATTCCTTTCTTTCCCCGTGCTAGAGACATCTCTTTTTCGCTCTTTTGCTTCTGTGAATTGATTTCGCAGCCCCACGCTCTTTGAACTCCCGCTTCGCGTTATTCTGCCAAAGACATAGACTGTCGTTATCTCGTACATCTCTGAAAATGCACTTCATCAACAACCTCTCCGTGGCCGTTGTCGCCGTTCTGGCTGCCTCTGCTCAGGCCGAGCACCATGGTCTGCGCCAGCGCCAGTTCCACCGTCCCGGCCATGGCTTCGAAAACCGTGGCTTGCCCACCGTCTACAGCACCGTCAGCCCGTCTTCCTCTGCTGTTCCCTCCAGCGTCGTGGCTCCTAGCCCCGTCAGCTCCCCCGTGTCTGTTCCTCTTGGCACCGGTGCTGCCGGCTCTGCCTCCGCGGGCTCGGGTCCCAAGTCTGATGTGACCCTGACCTACACTCTGGGCACTGGTACTTCGACCAGCGTCGTCACTACCACCATCCACCGCACTGCTACTAACGACCACACGGTCTACGCGGTATGTATCCAGCCCCCAGCTGCATCTGAAGGTCCACTAACGATTTGATAGACTGAGACCCCAGCCGCCAATGGTGAGCAGCAGCAAGGCTCCGGTAACGAGGCCGAGGGCGAGACCACCATCACCCGCCACTCCACTGCCACCGTGACTGCCACCGTCGTCGAGGTTCCCACCGGCCAGGCTACCGGGGGCAGCGGCCAGAACTGCAACCCCTCCACCGTCACCGTGACTGCCACCGAGACCGTCACCGTGGTTAGTACTGCTCAGTCATTCCTCAAGACCGCCACTAACATCTCCTAGAACAACGGCGCGACCTCTGCTCCCACCGCCGACAACCAGCAGCAGCAGGGCGGCTCTGACAACGGCAACACCGAGTCCGCTGCGCCCGTCGGCAGCGGCAGCACTGAGTCCGCTGCGCCTATCCCTAGCGCAACGGCCACCTCCAGCCTGGCCCCTTACGGCAACGGCACCCACTCGATCCCTCCCCACAGCAGCGCCTCCGGCTTCGCCACCAGCTCTGCTGTCCCCTCCGGCTCCGCCAGCCTGTCCAACCCCAGCGGCAAGCCCACTCCATCCAGTACCCCTAGCGGCTTCCGCCCCACCTTCAACCGCCGCTACCTCTAAGCCCGTGCATTCGGCATAGAGCGGTGACCGGCCTGATGATCAAGAGAGCGTTCCGTGGTTTTATTTACTTGCGCTCTCGCGCTGGCGCTGTGTTTTCATCAAGGGTTGTGGTATCGGAGACTATTCGTTGCTAGCTACTCATTTTCTGGATTTCACTCAAAACTTTTTGTTATTTTCTTCTTGCCTTGGAGGAGGCTTGAGATGAGCCCGCGTGATATCTGTCTCGCGAGCTGGTTCAACTATTGACAATTCTCTCGAGTACCCCATTGCCCTTTTTATTCTTTCTTTACAATGAGATGTCTCATGTCCCGTTGCATCCTTTTCGGAACTTTTTCGTATTGTCAAAGTTGTCGGTGATACGGTGCTGTTACGGCTGGTGTCGTGGTTTTCTTTTCTCTCAGGGGCCGTGGGCTTTTCCTGTTTTCTGTACAAAATCTGCAAATGCAACTACGAGATTGTCATACTCTTTTCAAGTACGTATAGATTTAGTTGTGGCTTCGCTTAGCGGGACCCGTCAATCACCGCCGATCTTGTGGATCGTAGACATGTGAACTCTGCCTGATATAAGTTTCAACTTAATAATGTACAATGGGATATCTCGAATGCGTATAATGTACAAGAACCATACCCCTCCACCACTCCTCAGCACTCCAAAACCCCATAACCCTCCCTAGCCAACCTCGCTCTCATCGCCTCCCACTCCAACCACGTAACCCCCTGCAAAAGACAATCCGCCAAATCATCCAACTTCCCCACCTCAATCCTCTTCCCACCCCGGCCACCCTCCTTGTTAACCTTCCCCAGGTACGCATCCACAAGATCCCGCACAACACCCTCCTCCGGAATCCCGATCTTCCCCCCATGACCCGGCCCCAACCACCCACCCACAATCTCAATCTTCGCCCTCTTCACCTCCCTAGCACTCATCTTCTCTCCGCCCCTCTCCCGATCAATCCAATACTGTACTACCCGCTTAGGCTCGATTCCATCAACTTGTATCTTGGATACATCGCCACCGCGCTCTTGCCTAAGGGCGTGCAAGACGGCGTATAACATTCCCTCCATCACACCAACACGTAGCGTCCACTCTTGCACTGCGCTGCCACCAGCAGAGCGGAAACGCTGACGCTCGATTAAGATGTGAGTCGGGTTATATGTTGATAGGAGTTTGGTAACGAGAGTGTAGGCATTTGTTGCGTAAAGAGGTGGGCTGAATATTTCCTTTTCTTTCTCCTTCTTTGCCTCTTTTGCATTCTTTTCCATTGGACTCGTAGAGCTCTGTACAACGGCTTCCGCAGCCCCGGATCTCAAATCCAGACTTGCAATCTCCGACATGGCCAGCCGGCGCCACGCCGTTAGTTCCGGCGTAGATTTCGAGTCCGAGGCAGACGGGACTCGGAGATGAGCGAACGCGAGATTCTGGATCCCCATGTCGATGCTGAGGATGCTCATTGCCTGGTCCCCGTTCACAGTCCCATTGTGGGGTATTTTCCCCTTGGGTTCTTGACCTTGGAGGTATGGGCTAAGCGTAGATTGGATTCTCTCAACCAGCACGCCATTGGTTCCAGACGATTGAATGCCCGTGGCGCGCGCAACGCACTGTAGCTGGGCTGATTTCAGTGACGCGAGCCAGGGGAAGGGGCCTCGCTTTGGAATGGTCAGACGCATGTGTTGACCTTTTGCCTGATCCGGGAGATAGGAATAGACAGCTCTGGGGATCTGGGAGGTTTTCCTATCTCGGCATACCGTGCTACCGCGCGCAGGGGTGGAAGTTCCAAGGTGGATGCCGATCCGATGCACGGACCGTATCTGCGTGCGGATGTTCCCTGGGCGGATGGGGATATTTTTACATTTCCAGATTTACAAGAATAGTTCAAAGTGAGATCGAATTGGTGTACAATTCCGGGTTTTATATTGCACCGGCCACAAATTAAAAAATCAGATGGTAAATAGCGAACGTTGTCTATATCCGGGAACAAAATCCCAAGTCGATGTGAGCACTAGTCCAACCAACGCCTTGCCCGTGAAACACCAAGTCCAAGAAAATGCATGCGCTGAAAGGCTGACAGAATTATATAAAAGATTAATATCACAGAGGTGGTTGCTATACGAACGCCGCAGGCTCCTGCTCCTGCTCCGCAATTTCATCTCGGAGGTAGAGCAAGGGGGCCCACACACGCCAGTGCAAAACACCCATGTGCGCAAGACGCATACCGATGCGCTCGATATCGTATTGCTGCGGCGTCAACTGCCCCGTAGTCGCGGTAGCTGGCCCCGCCGTAGGTTGAGGCGGAGAACGCTGAGACTCGCAGATCGCCAGCGGCGACAAAGGCAAGTACTTGCGAGCAGAAGCCAGCGTTGCGGTGAGAATCTTCTCACGCATAGCTCTCTGGAAGTAGCAGAAGAGATCGGACTCATTGGAGAGGTGCCACTCCAGGGCTGCTTCGATGGGCGAGATTACTTCGTCGGCGACCACAATGTCGAGGCAGCAGGCTGCGCAGGCGAAGCGGGCGATTTCGAGAGCTATGCAGCGCATGTTTTGGAGCCAGCACGAGCTGCCGCGGATGTTGCGGTCGTTCTCGACATCGCCGGTACGACTGTCCATGTCGATCCCGTCTTCCATTAGGGACCAGATACGTGAGCGGAAGGTGGAGTAGGTTTCGTCGCGGGAGGAGAGGTAGCGTTTTTGGGTGTGGACGTAGGATTCAAAGATGTACCAGGCGATGTCGAGGTTAACTAGGTTTTGGATCGTTGAGCGGAGTTGCCAGAGGCGGTCGGAGTCGAAGAGGAAGGTTTCGGGGAAGTCGTCCGGTGGGTCGAATTGGAGGAGTTGGTCGGATATCCCGCGGAAGAGCGCTTCGAGGGGCTTGATGTTGTCTTCCAGTTGGGAGGTCGGGCTTTTGGCGGCGTCTTCTTCGCTCGCTTTATTTCGCGATGCAATGTACCATTGACGGGCAGACTCGACTTGGAAGCTGCCGCGCTGGATTTTGCCTTCGAAATATTCTTGAAGGAATGGAACTGTGTCTTCGATGAGGAGGACTCGGAATGTGCGGATTTGGTGGTTGGCGACATCCTACAGAGCTGGTTGTTAGTATGGGTCGAACCAGAGTGGGGCCGGTGGAGTCTCGTACCAACTTCATCGCCTCGAGAATGGCAAACAATGTCTGTAACCCGTTGACGATCTCCTTCGGTTCTTGCGATTGCGATCCCTCGGCGATCTGTTCGACCATTCGGTCCGCCCACTCATCTCGCATCGGAGCGCAATGCGTCTTGAGTAGCGCCGCCATCCAAGTCGCCAGCGCCACCATGTCGAGGACACCCTTGCGAACCTGCTGCATGAGGAGAGGAACCTCAAGATTTTGCATGACGCTTGGGTGATCGCGCTCGGGAACAAGAGTCTTGATCACCTCCTGCAGAGTCTCGAACATGGCGGGCAGACGAGGATCGAAGGTGCGCTGGAAGCTCTCTCGAGTAGTCTTGCCCTCGGGCTCGGGTTGAGCAGCTTGGAAGGCATAGATTGCAATTTCCGACGCCATCGAGTCCCAGTAATCAGCAGCCTCTTTCCTTTTGCGTTTCCCCTTCTCGCCGTCCAAGTCGGGCTTGAAATGTAGGTCGCGGTCGAAGTTGGCATCCATGCGGAGGTTGATGTTGCTCATAATGCAGGGCAGATCGAGTTCGCTGAGTGTTTTCTTTGTCACGGGAGGATAGCGTCTGGCCTTGCATAATAGTCGCTGGTCACGGGAGCTCAGCCCCAAAATCTGGGGAATGCGAATAGCTTCCGGGGAAGGTGATTGATCTCTCCTCGCGCTTGAAGCTGTCAGACGAGCTCCGGGAGGATAGGCGAAAGGCGCCTGGCGACGACGGAGCGGATGTACATTAGCAGAAGAGTCATGGCCGTGAGAATCGCGGCGCTCTTTGTGATACTCCTTGGAGCGGTCCAGCGGGCCATCGCCGTCCTCCTGTGTCCGGGCCTCTTTGGTTCCCTGGAGATCCATGGAGAATGCCACACTGCGCCGACGTTAGCTATATTTGGGGAGATGGCGGTCAAGCCATGCCGACCACCGGACTCGAACGTACAAATCTCTGGGTTTTCACTGTTTTGATCGCCCCCTGTTTGCCTCAGGCAGGCAGCCAATCCGCGTCGGCGTCCGAGTGATGCAAGTGAGCTGTCAATCGCGGTGGAGCACGACTTTGCCTCCTCGTGGTTATGCTGGTTATACACTCCAGTGCTCAGAAATATCGAGTATCTGTACCAGTCAAATCCAGAGACGACCGCATCGGCGGTGTGCAAAGCAGCCGGTATCCAGTTCCAACCCCCCTTAGAAGGTAGGCGCAGGAGCAAATCAGCGAAAAGGAAAAGGAAAAAAGCAAGAAAAACAGATGATTCGAAAAACGACTGGGACTGATATACATGACTTCCGCTGGTAGAACGTTTTCAACCTCACGGATTCGGGTGGACGCAAGCAGCTCACAGTTCACATTCCTCTGCTGCTACCCGAACACAGCACAACCCACCCCCGAGTTCGACCACCCCTGAAATCTATCATTCCGATCCGATCGATCCATGCGGTGTGGCTTTTCTTTTCCGTCTGGAAGATTGTGGTCCAGCGGTCTTCCCCTAATGACCCGCACGCCTCACTTTGAGACGCATTGGCCAGCCACGTGAGGTACTCGCCCTAGTCGGTCGGGGATCGGGGAACCACTAGCCTGACGACTGCAGTCGAGTTGGCGATGGACCTGTGGTCTGAAGATCTAGGATGTGTGGATCCCCTGGAGCAGATTTGAAGATTTCGTGGGTGGAATACTTGGGGTTGAGGGAGCATCGTTGATGTTTTGGATGTTTTGGGGCGTTGGATGAGTCCGGATTAGGGCCTTGCGGTGGCCTGACATATCCGGCGAAAATGGTGCCTGACGATCATGGCAGAACTACGACCATCGGTCAAGGCAAGGCATGTTCGACATTTAATAATTATACCGGCCAGATTTTCGGTCAATTAAAATGGTATACCATGTATCGGAGGAATATTACCACGAGGTACCACATAACGTGGCCGTGTCTCGTCTTCCAAGGTTGAGTCTATTGAGCCCCTTGTACGGCAAGCCTCAATAGGAACTGTATAAGGCTTCAACCATGATGACCATTATGGCTTCTCTTAAAAGAAGATATAAACCACGACGTGAATTGCTCGTTATCAGCCCATTCCGACTGGCTATATTCATCTTCGGTTCAATTACGGGATTCTCTGGTTGAGGAGCCGCCCCTGGAGTACAGCCGGATTAACTATGAATCTCGCGGGTTTCCTTTATTTCTTTCAAATCGCCTTTTCGGTACCAAGCTTCGTTTTCTCTGGGGCGATAGGCTCGTCCAAGACTTCACGGTTCGAAGTTCGCTCCCTGCCAGATAGTCCTTCTCTGCCGACCAGCTGGGCTGGTCGGTTGCCAGTGCCGGGAGCGAAAAATGGCAACGAAATCTTTTTCTGGTTGTTCGAAACGGAGAATTCAGCGTACGATGATAATCTCATCAGTGAGTCTTGCATATATACTACGGGGAATATTGCTAACGCTACACAGTCTGGTTCAACGGCGGACCTGGGTGTTCGTCTTTGATAGGTCTAACAACTGGAAATGGCCCGATCTCCTTCGTCGGTAACTCGACTCATCTGATGCGCAACCCATACTCATGGACTCGGCTGGGACATGTCCTCTACGTGGATCAGCCCGTCGGTACGGGCTTTTCGACCGCCAGCCATCCCTACCCACTGCGCGACAACGATGGCGTGACAGCAGACTTTGTCCAATGGCTACATACATTCTTCAACCACTTCCCACGCCTCAAGTCCAAAAGAGTCCACCTAATGGGTGAATCCTGGGCCGGAATCTACATTCCCTACTTTGCATCTGCACTACTCGAAGGCAAATATTCTCTCCCACTGAACATCAAATCCATGTCGCTGGGTGACGGATCCTGGGGCAACGCCGCCGCACTATCATCCGTGGCAATCGGAACATACATGCACATGCAATCATCCCGCCTCAACATCCCCCAAAACATCCTCTCCGCCTTCTCTGCAGCAGACAGCATATGCGGCTTCGACACCGTTCTCCAAGAAGCAGCCGTCTACCCACCAAAGAGCAAGATCCACATTCCCGGAAACCCGGAATACTTCAACTACCGTTTTGAACGTCGCGACATGACCAATGTGCTGGAAGCAGCGTGCGACACGGACCCCATCACACCCACCGAAGTAACAAACTCCATCCTCAACTCCACCTGCTACGGACCCTGCGCTACATACTCAACTGCCCTCGACTACATGGACACGGCGTCGCTGGTAGAAACAGGAGCCGGGATCCCATGCTTCGACGTCTACGACATATCCCACAATTGCAATACTATCGATCCCCTGCCGCTCATGGCGAAATACTTCAGTCGCGCGGATGTCCAGGCTGCGCTGCATGTCAAAGATAGTGGTGATTACATGGCTTGCAACTCGACCATCCTGGGAACTCTCCTCGCGGCACCATCAGCTGTCCCACCAGAATATTTCCTGCTCCCGAACTTGGTAACGAACCACAATGTCTCGCTGCATATCTACAACGGCGAGTTGGATATGTTGATCAACCATATCGGTACCGAACTCTCGATTCAGAATATGACCTGGCGTGGAGCGCAGGGGTTCTCGAAAAAGCCGAGTCGTTTGTTCTATGCTGATGATCCCGTGCCGGAGCCTGGGTCCGTCAGTCCGTTTAACGGTGACCCGGTTGGGACGTGGGGTGCGGATAGGGGTGTGTCGTATCATCTATTCCGTGGGGCTGGGCATAGTGTATTTGCGACGAAGCAGCGGGAGATGTTTGCTTATGTGCGGGATGTGGTTGTGGGTGCGAAGGTGGGATGATCTCGGTAGAGGCATGTATATTGGTTGATTTGGGAGAACGGGTCAGTAATATGGGGCGTCTTTAGGGGAAAGGATCAGGTTCTAAACAGTGGATTTCGCTCATATTTAAAAGAACATGTTAGCCGTAGCCTGCTCAATTTGTGATCGAATACTGGAATGTGGAATGCAAGTAGCCTGGGAAATCACCCAGGTAAGGCATCGGACGATGTCGACAAGGATGTACATCAATGATATGGGAAAACCAGAAACTCTTCCAATGTTCTTTCTGGATTCAGAGGTTTGTTGTTCGTCATAGCCCATATAGCTCCTTAGGGAGTCGGGTATTGTGAAACAAGAGACTTACTACGCGGCATGAATTCATGGGCTTGAAGGCATCTGAGCCAATATCGGATAGAGAAAACATTCCAAATGATTCTTGGTAAACTCCAACGCTTTTATTCTTCCTATTATATTAATGTTATAAGACATATGTTATAAATCTAGGATTTATGCGATACGATTCTCCGATTATTGTGACTCGCTATGTCGGGAAACTATCTACACTGACGAACGCAGCATCAGGTGCAATACGTTAACCATCTACATTGTGTAAGAATCATTTAGAATTGCATGTGATGAGATCAGGTGTAGTCAACTAGAACTCATTATGAGCCAACATGAGTCATGATGAATCCTGGTGATGGCCCGGGGCTAAGCGATTGGCGGAATCAGGTAGGTCTGAGTCCTTCCAAGGAGAGGTATACGGGTTCTACGATCAGGTCTATTTTGAGAGAAAATTTAACTACCCTACGTATTAGCCTTGGAGGTTATAAGTTATCCATCGCAGAGGTGGTACGAGAGCAGGTACTAGAGGCATACTGTATCCGTCCAAAGCAAGATGATGTGTTGTCTATCAGACAGCCATTCCATAGTCTTCTACGTTTTTTCCGATTCACCCGTATTCCGAAAGTAAATTAAATTGAGGATCGCTAATTGTGGATTCAAAAGTACATGCGGAGTTCGCCATCTACCGGCCGTTAAACACGTGGCTGCGAAAACATACAGCCTGTCCGTGTCGGGTATGTAAGGGTATGTGTTCTGATCATGATCATAAGACGGAGGTAAAATGAAAGCAATTCTTCCTGCCCGTGGCAAATACCATCAACCAGCTAACGCCTGAAGTACGGCGCCTGGTTTCCCATGGAGAGAAGCGAGTCAGCACGCTGGAAGACATCGCCCTCGAAGAATTTGTCACTGTAGGCACTTGCCGGCGTTGAAGGCACGGTTGCTTGTGCTGCAGGGCCAAGCGCTGCACTCAGTGGAGTAGCAGGGACAGTTACCGACTGAGGGGGCAGGCCGACTGCAAGCCCGTATGGATTCGGGTGGGATGTAAGTGCAGAAGTGGAAACCGAGGTTTGATGCTGGCTGTGCGGGGTTTGCAGCGGAGGACCATACAGATTGCTCGGTGCGTGAGAGATATCGGAGAGGTACGACCAGGGAGATGCCTCGATGAGGCGGCCCGCTTCGCGACTGGCTTTCTGGACCGGGCGCAGGATAATGATGATGTCCTGTGGGAGAAGCTGCATGCTGCGTGCCTCGCGCATGTCGGTGACTAGGTCCAAGAATGACTGCATGAAGGCTTTGCAGAGTTGCCAGAACTCGCGTTGGTTGCGAAGGCCACCGCCTGGTTCGCGGACTTTCATGCTCGAGAGACGAAGGCCCAGTGTTTCCGACACTTCCAAACAGTTCCGACAACGACGGATGAGGTTATTCCAGACTAGTTGGATCCCTTCAGTCTCGCGCTGCTGTTCGGCGGCTTCGAGGCATCGGGAAAATTGCCGTCGCGCCAACGGGAGGGCTTGAAGTGCAGCTGTGTATGCTGAAGTGAGCTGATGGAAGATCTTCTCGAAGATGCGGTCTTCTTCGATTTCGTCTAATCCTGTCAACGGATTGATGCGAGGTCCACTTGTAGGTATGGGAGGGAAAGCTTCCCCAGAACGAGGTGTTGCTAGCGAAGTTGGGACCGAGGAATTAATCATATTCGATCGACTGCTTGATCGACTGCGCGCGAAGTTGAAGGATGGCGTGGCAGGAGATCCAACGGCAGATTGACTGGTAATCGGCAACGGTCCAGCCATGGGGATTTGGGGATGCCGGATTGTAGTGTCGCTTCGCAAGCGTCGTGTTGGCCCATTTGGTTCCCGTGTAGGAGTGACCAACGGCCGCTGGAGTCGATCCGTAGAGGTGGGAGGCACGGAAGGTCCGGATGTGGTCTTCCTACTCGGCGCCGGCATCAACGGTTTAGGTAGCCAGTGTTGTTTCTTGACCGTCTGAAGCGGCACATTGAGACTGGCGCACGCATTTCGCAGCTCCACCAAGCTGCCATACATCGCAAGCATCAATGATCGGACATATCGCGAATCACCGTTGGTCACTATCTTGGCAGTATTGTGGCGCAGCTGCGTCACAACATGACTGTAAGCTGAAATGCAGGTCTCACATTCTCGCTTCACGGCCTCGGCAACTGCCCGTGTAGCATCTGCATCTTCCGGCATTGAGGTCTCCGCACTCTCAAGGGCATCGTTGAGCTGATCAACATGGTAAGAAGCGTTTTCAAACACAAATTCCAGGCTATGGCGTCTGGTGTCATCGCGCTTGACGACATTCATCAATGTGAAAATGTGGGAGTGAACCTGGAAAATTGCAAACAAGATGCCCTTTGCACTCTCAATAATCGGTTCGTCCGAGCCTCGTTCGCCTTTGTGTTCGGGAAGACTGGACATTCGGTTAACCCAGCCTTCTCGCAAGCGCCGACGCTCTCGTGGACTAATGGGACTTGACGAGGTGCTTCCGGCGTTCGGAGGAGCAGGAGCTACCGGGCGCGCTCGAAGGACAGAGCCGTGACTGAGACCTCGCAAGTGGCTGTTACGATACGGTCGTGTTTCGTCCAGAGTCCCTAGGTCGGTGTTTTTGCGGGTGATAACACCCATGCGCTTGTTGCGGGCTGCGACGGAAGCCTGAATGATACCCTCACTGTTACTCCGATTGCGCTCGTTTACGCCGTGAGGGGTAATTCCTGGTCGTTGAAGTGCGCCCATGTGATAACTACCGGTGCCCTGTTGGCCAGAAGCCATGCGGTAGTGAGATTTTGCTGGGATAAGAGGTGAAGGGCGTGACAATGACGGAGACCGAGAAGAACTAGCCGAGGCATCGCCGGTACTTGGGATAACGGGAAATCGGCTGCTAAGCTTGCGTTTCACGGGAGCGGGCTTAGGGGTTTCGAAGACTAGGTCACTGTGTTGATTATTAGTAAAGTGTCTTAGAAAAGGCATGGGGAGAGGAAGCCAGCGGACATACGCTTCGGAACTATCGGGATCCGGGGTGGTCGCCGCTTGCTGTCGAGTTCTGAGAAACCTCTTCAGCTCCGCAGTAACAGCGACTTCTTTTTCGTTATCAGTCATTCCAGATGACGTGATTTCAGCTTCCGAAGCCTCCAACACGCGGCGCAGAGGATATCTCAGGGGATTTCCTGCAATTTTGAGAATCTGCAGTTTGTTCATTTCAGATAGACTCGTGGGCAAGTCGTCGAGCCGGTTCTGCATGATCGACAATACACGCAGTGATCTGAGCTTGCTGATCTCGTCAGGTAGTGCATTGATCTTGTTCCGACTAAGATCAAGAATCTCCAGTAAGGGCAGTTTGTAAACCTGTTCGGGATTAGTACGGGCAAGAAAATCAAAACGAAGGGTAGTCATTGTACGTACCCCCTTTGGAAATTCTCGGAAGTTGTTGGCTCTAATGTTGAGGTATCGGAGGTGGGAACACTCAGCAAAGCGGTAAGGAATGTGGAAAAGATGGTTGTTGGATAAGGACAGCCTGGGGTTGAGGGGTTAGTCGAGTCCTGGCGTGTGTGTGGCTGCTTGTGCAGGTGCCACGTACCTTTCTACCTCGTCTTTTATTATATCTACCACCGGTTCCGGTATGCGCACAATATGAGAGTGGCCCAGATCGATGGTCAACTTTGGCTTTACCACGTCTGTCACAGCCTCACTTCCTGCCAGAGAGCGTTTGGTATCCTGGATCCCACTTTCCACTGCGCGCCTCGCAAGTTCGATCGTTTCTTCATGTGTCAACAGCTTCTGCCCAGGCGCCAGCTTGTTGCCCGGAGCATCAGCCATGGCCGTAACCGGTCTTGACCCTTCATCTTCATTGGGTGACGGCGAGCCCTCGCTGTACGACAGCGAAGGCGGCACAAGAGAGTCGGTCGATCCTTTCCTTCCTTCATCTTCATCAGCCTCGCCGCGGAAGGGACGCGGTCCCCGGACTGTGTCTTCTGGCCGGTTCATTGCAGCGAGCATGGTCGGTACCCGCCGGGGTACTATTGATCAGCGAACACGCCGAGGCGAGTGCGTGCTGACGTTTCAAGTACACTGCTAGTCGCCAGTATTTCCCACGAACCCGACACTTTACCAGGCAAGGACGGTATGCGCAAAGAAGCCAAACATCATCGACTGGGCCGTGAGACCGAGGGGCGACAAACTACTTCGGGATCGGGCAAGATGGGATCGGCACGCGACGCAGGAGGGAAATGGGGTTGAAGGCAAACAATTGCTGGGCTAAAACAGCCTGCGGGATGCTTTGAAGACGTCCAACCCAACACGGGGCGCTCAAATCGAATGGCGAACGGCGCAGCGAAGGTGGCGAGCACTCGTGGCGGAGATCAGGATACAATCAGGAATGTGGATATCGGAGGATACAAGAAGAAGGGCGATAAGAGGCAATCACAGACAGGTGAGATCAGTCGAGTCTGGAATGAAGGAAGTTGGAGGTTGGCGGCTGGCAGCGCGTTGATTGGACGAGGCGGCAGGCCACCGCAGCGCGGCGATCAACGGTTTTCGATGGGTTTCAGACCTGCGCGGCCCACATGTTTCGGTGGAGGAGCATATATATGCATGTCGGGGCTCTGGGCTACATTCTATGGCTTTGTTTGTTGCAATAAGTACATTTTCGTTTGCAAAAATCAAAGTTGTGGCGACCGGGCAGCTTTATCAGTTGGGTAACCGGCTTCACGCCATGTAGCGAACGAACTATGCAATGGTTAGCACTTCAAAATGTAACATACCTATGCTGCTGCTGCTTGTTGCAGGAGCAGCCAAGGCATAGTGTATCGATGATGTGCTATCACAGTTGCAAACATTGAATGTAGCTTGTTGCTATCATAAGAAAATGGCTATGGGAATACATCCAGCAGAACAAATCAAATAATGTACATGACCATCAACATGGAGGGTCAAAAGCCTCCACCATAAAAATCTCCATCCAGGGCGTTGTTTCTTCACGCCGGTTGTTCAACCGGAGCCACGACCTCGGCCTCAGCGGCAAACGAGTCCGGCTCTGGCTCTGCCTCCGACGCAATTTCCGGAGCACCAGAGAGCGCAGCCGCCCGCTGGTCAAAGATCTGTGCCTCCGTCTTGGCCCATGCCTTCCACTTCTCGTATTGCTGGTTCTCCAGATCCATACCAATCTCCAGGTATGATGGGCCGAAGTTGGCACCCGTGGCCTCGGCTTCCTCTGCGGCCACTCGTCGCTCAATGTCCTCCTGCAATCGAAGCTTGTAGAACTCTCTCCGGGCAATATCGTAGGCGGCAGTCTTGGTAATATCGGGCACGTTGTTCAAGAGCCAAAGCTGACGTTGGACAACACTGGTAGAAAAACATTGGTTAGTATCGCGTGAAAGGAAGCGTCTAGTCCAGACGCAGCCAACGTAATAGATAACATATAACATACCTTTCACCATCTAACCGCTTTCCGGGTTGCTGAATGCGGCTCCAGTCGTAGTTCTCAAAATCTTTGCCGGTGCTTTCGAGGAGCACGCGAGGTCGGGCAAGCTCCCAGGGGTGGTCGCGGAAGAACTCTTTTCGTAGTTGGTCCTCCTCGTATTTGAGTTCGACGGGCTTAAATAGACGACTGGCCTTCTTGGGCTTCCGGGTGTTCTCCTGGACTTCGAAGACGACCCGCGGCTTCGAGGATCCAGGAAGCGTCTTCAGTCGCTGGCGGACCAACTGGTGCTGAGGGGCGGGGGTACGAATCAGAGTCTCGGAGGGAGGGATAGCGCCCACCACGTCGACCCATTGTGGCAGCTGCTTGATCTTTCCGCTGGCGAATTGGCTGAGCGCGGTCTGGCGCACCCGGAGGGCCGTGAGGTTGATTTTGCCCATGGCGGCTTCTGACACAGCCCGGTGGCTATGTGAATGCGAGCCTCGAGGTGATTGAAAGTGCCCTCGAAGCGATTGAGAACAGTGCGCGCGGGGATAATCGACGATGTTCAGAGCGAAGTTGCAAAGTCGCGGGAGCGAAAAAGATGGGATTGGCAATATGCGCGGCCCCGATTGGTTGAAACGGGCCCGCCGCAAAGACAGAGTCCGCTCGTCCATCAAAAAAACACTCCAGCTTCCTCGTCTTCTTCGTCTTCGCTTTCTGCTCACCTTGTCTGCTCCGGGGGCCGAGAAGCAGTCGGGTTATCTCTTTGCGACTGGCCTGGCTTTTCTCTGGACATGCATGGCTGATCCAATGCCACGATGTCTGCTCTCTCATGCCTCATCTCAATAGGTCCCCCAGCTCGCCGAGCCTGCGAGATCCCCCCAGGCAGGCTCTTGAGCTCCTTCCCCGACCTTCAATGTCTCGTCCGAAACCTTCCCCCTACTATGCCTCCGTCCGAAGACTCTCGTCTCGTCCCCGACCCTCCGTCGCGTCAATAGCAGACATTTTTGTTGGCTCGCTGGTCCTCGCAGGTTTCTGTCATGACCACTCTCCGCGGGGCCGGAATCTGTCTACCATGCAATTGGAGACTTCCGAGCATCCTTTGCGAAGGTTACGTGGCAGAAATCTGGCTGGCCGGGGACAACTGCCTGCTGGGAGGCGCGTGGAGTATTCGCGCACATCGGTGCAGTCATCACGGCCTCGGTCATGGCTCAGCACTGGTCTCGCGCAAAAGACCACGGATGATCATACTGAGCAGGATCCTCGTGAGCAAGGCCATACTGAGCAGGTACACGCCAATCTTCCTGTGAGGACAAGGTTTGGAAGGCACGAGGATAGATCGCTGTCCGATCTGCGAGAGGATGCAGACGTGAGAATGCATAAACGACTCGGGAGGCTCATTCCCGATATAATGTCAAATCGACACATACATATTCAAGGAGACGAAGCTCACGACACAAAATCCCCCCGGTCTCGCAGGAGGAAGAGAGACCAATCGCACCCTCGCTTTCATATGACGAACAGAACTACATCGCGACATGCCAGTTTTTCGAAAAATACTTGGGCAAGAAATACAATTGGAAAGAAGCAGTGGACGTCCTGCTTCCTATGCCGGAGGCTAAAAGAAATAAGAATGATTGGCGAGACGAAGTTGAAAGTCCCTCAGTGGAACACCTCTTGGAAGCATTAAACGCCGACACCGAGGCGACGACACAATACTTGTTCCGATTATATAGAGACATTCCTTCGCCGGGAGTCGCGAAACTGTCCAAACGTTCGCGAGGAGATCTTTTGCGCCGCTTTGCAAACCCCCCGAATCGACGATGGGCCGACGCCCGTCGCTACCTGGCATTGGTCGAAGACATGGTTAGAGCTGGTCTTCCCATGTCACGCTCCTTATGGTCTTCCGCGATTCACTTTGCCGGTCGAGGTAACGGCAGCGGCAAAGTGCTGAAGCGAGACCTGGTTCGAGCAATTGGCCTTTGGCAGCAGATGGAGCATGTGGCCGGAGTTCAAGCTGACGAGGTGGTCTTCGGCATATTGTTCGATGTCGCCATGAAATCCGGTCAGTTTACTGTTGCCACTCGTCTAGAGGCGGAAATGAGAGAACGCGGCTTGGACTTCGACCGCTTCGGGATGGTCGCTAAAATCTTTTCCTATGGGCTACAAAAGAACGTGGCTGGCGTTTCCGCGGCGTTTGAAAAGTTTGTCATGTCCGGAGAGATTGTCGACACGGTCACCTTGAATTGCTTGTGTGTATCCTACCTGCGGGCCGGTGAAGTCAATATTGCAGAGCAGATCTATGCACGCATGCTTGAAGCACAACGATCTGCCCAAGGTCTCAATCCTTCAGTCTCTTCTTCATCTGACGATCCCGCTCTCTCAAGCGAATTTTTCATCTACAGGGGAAGCACGCGACAGATGGGCCGTCACTTGAAGAAATCGCACGCGCTTAAAAAGCAACTTCCAGCGTTCCACCAGGCCCTCCAGGACTCTTTGCCCATGACGCCTGATACTCGAACCTTTTATATCTTCCTTCGGCATTTCTCTCGCTACTCCGGTCAACTCGATATGTTCATGACCGTCCTCCGCGATATGGAAAGTACGTACGCCGTTCCTCCGCGCCACATCGTCTACATGCTGCTCTTTGAGGGATTCGGCATCCACGGTGACAAAAGGAAGACCTGGTCCGCCGAGCGGCTTCGATTAACCTGGCACGCATACCTTCGGGCTCTACGTGATTCGAAAACAAGACTCGTTGATATGTACGAAGGCAACAAGTCCACGGATGTGGTCTGGGAGAACCCGTTGGGTTCTATCATCACGGAAAATCAACCGGACATGCCGACGGAAGATCCCAACGGCCTCTACGTGCCCCTGCCGTCAACCAACGCCGGAATTACCTCAGGTTTTGCGCAGCGGGATGATCCTGGTGGATTCTATGCAGCTGTGTCATTAGATGAGACAGAGACCGCACACAGCCCCGCGGAGCCAGACGACCCCAACAAACCAACCGACACCGACGAGCTTGTTTCAAACAACGATGAACAAACGCTCGAGGAGTCCAAGAAGCCACACAATGTAAATGGATTCTTTTCTTCTCTCTGGCCAGACGATATGGATACTGTGCTAGATCCTGTGAGGTCAGAAACCCCCAACAAGCCGGCCGCGATCGACGAGCTTTTTTCCAGGAAGAATGAAGACCTCCCCGAGGCGATCATCGACGAAGAAGAAGCCGAAGGTGGTTTCGACAAATACCATGGAAACGAGGACCACATAGACTTTGAAGCACGCGTGGAGAACGGAGTCTTCGTTGGACGCAGGATGATTGTTGCCATTCTACGGGCATTCGGCACCTGCTGTGGACCCAGGGAGGTCTTGGAGGCTTGGCTCCAACTGGAACGACTCTGGCAACCTCATCACCGCAAGGCCAGCGATGTGTTTGCTGTCAAGGAAGAGCTCGACAGACAACTGTCGAAAACGCGACAATTGTAACATAATTTAGGGGGTGATTGTTGTGTTTTGATACCTGTACATTATTCATGGAGCTATATACCGAAACAATTTTACTGAAATCTACTATTGAAACTCATGCATCAAAGATGTCTTGTTCGCATATGTCTACGGGATTCTCCAGCGTACCCTCGCTGGACTACGTACTAGGGGATAAGGTATGTAAAAGTAACTAATAGGAGTACACGATTTGAAAGAAGAAGAAAATATATGAATCAGACGTGTCAGTGGCAGAATCATTCAAGTTTAAAATAAGTGTGCCGGCCCTTCATTAACCAAAACGTCAATGAAACAACGAGCATCGCGCCGAAGACTGCGATAGCATAATTCATATCGCTGCCGCTGGGATGTGGTGTGCCCGGGAAAAAGAAAAAGACCGAGACAACAGTGCAGGTTATAACGCTGACATAGTTAAGTGTCTTTCCCCATTTTCCCAGTTTAAATGGTCCAGGATATAATTTATCTCGTCCGACAATGAGAAGGGTGGCAATTGGCATGCCGTAAGAGATCATCAAAGCGATGCTACTAACGCTCACGATTGCCTGGAGGACGGTGGTGGAGAAGAGGTATAAAACGCCGATTAGGGCGGTGATGATACCCTGGGCCCATGTCGCTCGCACTGGAGCTTTCCAAAAAGGGTCCACGTGAGAGAAATACTTGCTCCATGGAAACCCGCCATCTCGTGCAAAGCCCCAAGTCATGCGGGAAGCCGTTGTCGCAACACTGATGTTTTGTCCAATAGAGATAATAGTGAACAGTGCAACGAGAGCCGCAGCTCCTTGCAGGCCCACTATCTGTTGAGCGAGTCCAATGAACGGTAGGCCAGATGGGTCGTTTGCGATAGTCGTCTCATCTTGAAGGCAGAAGAGACAAATCACCATAAAGACGAAACTCGTTCCTGCCCCGGAGAGAATCGCCAGGTACATGGCTTTAGGAACATTCCGACGGGGGTCGGGGATCTCCTCGGCCATATGAATCACCGAGTCGAATGCCGTTAGGCCGTAGGCAGATTGCAAAAGGCCTATAAACCAGGTGACCCCATCATTCCATCCTGTTTGGTTCGTCCATGTTCCAAACGCAAAGGTTGGGGTTCGGAAAGAGAGATGAGGGTTTGTGGCGACGGAGATCAGAAAAGCGAGAGAGAAGACTACAAAGAGAGCAACAAATCCAATTCCCATCACATTATTCAAGCATGGAAGCACAGGATCCTTCCGGCAACCGACGACATTGACGACCGTCACCATAAGTGACAAGCCGAGGTAGACGACAAAGCTAAGCCAGCCGTGACTGATTCCATCCCACTCCGGGTCGAACATTAGTTTCATCCCTAGCAGGAAATCGGTGTTGAAAGCAACCAGCGTAGCAGTCGCAGTCCACCAGCCAAAGACATTGATCCAGGCGCACATGTACGACAGGAACCGCCCGGTCGAGCTGTCACAGAGACGAAGCACATAATATGCTTGGCCCAGGGCCGTCGGCATGCTGCTGCAGAGTTCTCCTAGAGAAAGGACCACGCAAAGATTGCAAAGCGCCACCAAAACGAGACCCCAAAGAATGATGACAGGGCCCCCATTGCTGAATCCGGTTGCGAGATCGCTGGATATTGCTCCCCAAGACCCAAGAACGCAAAATGCGAGAGCGAGGAGACTCCAGAGACTGAATTTGCGTGAAAATGCTTGGTCGTGGCCCAAGGCAATCAGGTCCAGGGCATCTTGGTCGACGGATTTTGTGACACCTAGCTCGTGGCTTTCGAAGTTCATTTTTTTCCAAGAGAGCAAGGCCAAAGAAAGGATAGAAGAAATTCCGTTTAATGGCTGTTTCAGAGGGTAGTTTTGTCGTTTTCTTCCTAGCCAAAGGGAATTCTTACGATTGTGGCCAGTGTGAGAAGAGATATATATGGACATCTCGCATAGGGATGCGCCGAAGGCAGATGTGATACTGTACGATAGTCGGGCATAGCCTAAAGAGTGGATCGGCGCCGATTTTGGCTTTACTATGTATGAAAGGAGAAGGAGGATACGACAGGGGCCACATGAATAGCTTGCAGAAAGTGCTTATCTGAGTTTCAAATGCGGGGGAAATGGCCGAAACTCAAATTCCCATGTCACTAGAATTGATAAGGGAAACTTGATGCGGCAAGTATATCCAGCGCCATGGTAGGGATCCGTCGCCCCCCGCGGGCTCCGGGGAGTGGGGACCAACAGATCGACCAGATTTGTATACTACTGATACATGGGTATTAATGATCATAGCTATTTATTATCAAAGGAACATGTCGCAGTTTACCGAACTTCTCTGCATCTGCATGCCTGTTGGACTTTACTATTGAATTGCAGCTCAAAATGGAAATTGTAAGTTTTCATATCACTTCCTTTCAGACTGTTCGACTAACCGAGTATCTCAGTCTGGATCCCGAGAACAGCAGCAGGATTGTTGTATCCTGGATGCAAGCATAATTGAACTCCTGGACGCACTTTCCAAAGGGCGCTTGACCAGTGTTGAGTTGGTAGCCCGCTATCTCCGTCGTCTCAGCACATATGACTCTTCTGGCCCCAAACTGAGTGCCGTCCCAATTCTCAATTCTTCTGTAATGAAAGATGCCGCCGCCTCGGATTCCAGAAGAGCCAACGGCCTGCCACCAAGGCCCCTTGAAGGTATTCCGTTTCTTGTCAAGGACAACATCAAGGTCAAAGGAATGACCGTCGCTGCTGGTGCTCCAGCCTTCGCGCATCTGATTGCCACAGATGATGCCGCTTGCGTGAAGGCATTGAAATCCGCTGGAGCTATTGTCTTGGGCAGGACCAATATGCCAGCAATGGCGAATGGGGGCATGCAGCGCGGTGTATATGGGCGTGCGGAAAGCCCATACAACTCCGACTTTCTGACTGCTGCCTATGGATCAGGCTCCTCGAATGGGTCTGCAACTGCAGTCGCGGCCAATTTTGCAGCTTTCAGCTTAGGCACCGAGACGGTTTCTTCAGGACGGTCCCCGGCGTCGAACAATGCCCTTGTTGCTTATACACCATCGCGGGGCCTTCTTCCTCTTACTGGCGTTTGGCCGCTCTACCCAACGTGTGATGTCCTCATACCTTACACGAGAACTATGACAGAGATGCTATTTATCCTCGAAGTTCTTGCTGAAGCCGAGGATGATGTTCTGGGAGATTTCTGGAGGCAACAGCCCTTTATTCCGCTGCCGACGATTGGCCAAACCCGGCCGCGATCGTTCCAAGAGCTAAAGAACGAACATGGACTACAAGGAAAGCGTCTCGGCGTTCCTTCTATGTATATTGGAGGTGCAAGTCCGGTGCCTATAACCACGAGGCCTTCAGTTCTGAAGCTGTGGGAAAATGCCAGACAGGCATTAGAATCATGTGGCGCAACTGTTGTGGAGGTTGACTTCCCACTCGTCACGGATTACGAAAACTGTGATGCATCTATCGACCAATGGGCGAGGATTGACAACATGCCAAAAGACTGGCTCCACACGGAAAGACATGAGCTTATCGCTCACGCGTGGGATGACTTCCTGGCCACAAATGGACAAGCCGACTGCCACTCCTTGAGCTGCGTCGACCCTGATTCAATCTTTCCTCTAGCACCCGGGTCGCTGCCAGGCGAATCCGAAGCTGACAACCAGTTGGATTGGGCTGGACTGGTTAACTATCCGAAGAATAAACCTTCGTCTATGTTTCAGCTCCCGGGAATGGAAGAAGGTCTGAAATCTTTGGAGGATGCAAGAAGACGCACCTTGGAAAATTGGATGGACAGTTTGGGGTTGGATGCTGTAGTTTTCCCAGCAAATGGCGATGTAGGGCCATCCGATGCCGATATTGACAGCGAAGCATCTCGGCTCGCGTGGCGCAACGGAGTCCTGTATTCCAATGGCAACCTCGCCATCCGCCACCTTGGAGTTCCTACTATATCGGTCCCAATGGGCATCATGGATGATATTAAGATGCCGGTTAATATCACCTTTGCTGGGAGAGCTTACGACGACAACCGTCTTCTGGAATTTGGGTACGCATTTGAGGCAGCCACTCAGCACCGTCAAATGCCACCGCTGGTGCCAGCTCTCGATTCGGATATGGTCAGCAGCAAGACCACCGCCACTGGATCTAGCCATATGGAGCGCTCGAAAGACATTGAACTGCCCAGTATCAAAGTGATTGCGCAAGGTAAGAACATCGATGGGTCTACAGTTCACCTGCGGGCCGAGGGAGTGGTGACGGATCCTACAAGTGTCCCAACCTCAGCGGATTGGACTTGCTACGTCAATGGTGACGCTCACTGTGTTACTATTGATGGTCAAAAATGGGAAATTCACCTAGCTCGTCCATTATCTGATCGAGAATCTTCTTGGACTCGGTGGACGAGTCCGGCCTTGGTACAAACGACCATTGTTTTGGTTTACCGTTCGGCTACCGGCCTCACCGCTGGTGAGTTAATCATATTGTAGCAAATAGCTAGATCATGAAGGAAAAATACATCGCGTATCTTGTTTTAGAAATACACTCCTATTCAATTCATACTGGTACTTTGTTAGTGAAAAAGACTCGGATTTTTATGGGCCTGTGCATACTGTCCGAGAAGACCTTCGGGCCTTTAATTCTACGTTTCCGTTAGCTTTACTTCAGATTTACGTTTTATCTGTGCTCTCCTCTCGCCCCAAACCTTTTTCAAAAAAGGTAAGTATATGCGATTGATCCCATAGATCGAACTCCACTAAAAGGGGCCACGGAACCCGCGCATGCCGAGCTGCCTGTACCTTTGGTATCAAGAAGTTGCATAGAACTATATAGACACGAATTGAACACTCGTAGTAAAACTTGCACAATCACATTGTCTCCAGTCACTTACTTCATTTGACTTGAAATATACGCTGCCGCTACAATGTCGCACAATCCCCCTCATTCTCAAATCATCCAGGAAACTATACGGGAGCTGAAGTACCCAGCCGAGACCACTCGACACGTTGCAACAATTCTCGGCTTTCCATCTAAATGCTCGCTGCCTTCGTCACATCACAAAATGGCGTGTGGTGAAATCATTGATCTGGCAGCGGCGGTTTCCCACTTCGAACCCGTGCGCTTGTATACAAGACCAGAAGATATTCCACTCGCGAAATCAATGCTTTCCAACACAACCCGAGGATCTTATGAGGTTGACATCATTCCCTTCGCAACCAATCATCTCTGGGTGCGTGATACGGGCCCGGTCTACGTTCAAGGCACCACAGCATCCTCAGAGAAACAGCGGGTTGCCATCCACTTCGGATTCAATGAATGGGGAAGGAAGGAACCTGCCGAGGGGTGGCCTCAAATGACAGCCGATCAGATTGAGGAGAACCACACGTTTGGAAAGCGAGTGACGGACTCTGACAACGATTCATCCTCTTTGATTAGTATCACATCAAAATTGTGTCTGGAAGGTGGAGCGCTCGTAAGTGACGGGGATGGCACCCTGATCGTGAGCGAGAGCAGTATTATTGGCGATGAGCGGAATCCGGGGTTGTCGAAAGAGGAGATTGAAGCCGAACTGCGGCGGCTCTTAGGGGTGGAGAAAATTATCTGGTTTCCAGGTTTCCGAGACCTGGATGTCACGGATGTCCATGCCGATGCTGAGGTTCAGTTTGTCCGGCCAGGGGTGATAGTCATCTCCCGCCCCTATGCAAGCGCTCAAAAGGAATGGCACGAGGTCTATCAACAGGTCATGGATGTCCTACGCGGTGAACTAGACGCGAAGGGTCGCCCGTTCGAAGTCCACACGATCGATGAGCCAGATGCGAAGTTGATTCTGAATTCGGCCTCGGGACACGAAGAGGATCCTGCCACAAACTATGTGAATTTCTACTATGTCAACGGCGGAGTGATCCTTCCCAAGTTTGGCGATCAGGAAATGGATAGAAGGGCAATGGAGACGATGCAACAGCTTCATCCGGATCGAGTTGTCAAGCAGGTCTATGTCAATGCGCTTCCTTTGACTGGTGGGGTGATTCATTGTGCAACTCAGCCCGTCATTGAAGTTGAGTGAGGGATGAAATCGAGGATATTTTGAGCTATCTTCAGGGAAAGGTCAATCTGCCTGGGAAGCAGGTGCCAGCCTCCGAGGGCAATATCAAGTGTTTATGCCCATAGCTTCTTTTAACTATAGATGTAGCCTTGAACTTTGATCCATGTGTATTTAACAAAATATATTCTTACCATGCAACACCTAAAATCAAATGATCTAAAGCATCTTATTAAAGTCCATTAAGTACCTACAACAAGCAACCTTTAAATCATAAGGGAACCCATAGACCAAAATGACACTGCGAACTGTCGATGATTTTGGAACCTGGTCAGAAGTATACCACCTCAAATAGGCAATAGTGATGGCATCACGTGATCACGTGTCTGTCGGGCCCGACGCGATCCACGAGTGCTCGAACTCCAATCATCAACATATTCAGCTCTCTTCTGTGTTTTGTTGCCAGATGGCTGACATGGGAGGCCTAACTAGGCGCACGGTAGATCTGGATTTCTATCTACACCGTGTTTTCCGCAAGAAATCCTTCCGGTTAGTGAACCCTCCAAGACGTGGCTCCATTTACTCACCCCACGGCAGGCCGCTACAACGAGAAGTCATAAATGCGGTTGTGGAAGGGCACGATGTGTTCCTTCAAGCGTCGACGTCCTTCGGTAAAAGTCTTTGTTTTCAACTGCCCGCAGTCATTAGTACTGGATGTGAGTATTTCTTGCAATTTTTAATCTCAACTATAGCAAGGACATCTGACTGAATTTCTTCCTGGATATAGTGACGGTAGTGATTTGTCCCCTCCTTGCGCTCATGGTAAGTGGCAATCAACTATTTCTCAATATCCTCAACTGACGTGGGGATAGATGGATCAAGTCAATGCTCTCCAAGCAATTGGCGTCCCGGTCTCCACCATCAACTCCAATACCCCGATGGCAGAGCGGCGTCTGATTATGGATGATATGTTGTCCGGTCATCCCCGCACACGTCTCCTCTATGTTACCCCAGAACTCTGCCAAACGGACAGTTTTCGCCGCAATCTACAGACAGTTCATCGGCAAGGGCAATTAACCCGTGTTGCAATCGATGAAGCCCATTGCATCAGCGAATGGGGCCATGACTTTCGGCCGGCATACCAGGAACTAGGATGGTTCAAAAAAAACCTGGTCGATCCACCTGTTCCTATAACCGCTCTCACAGCCACAGCCACGCCCCGAGTACGCTCGGATATCATCAACATGCTGGGTCTCGACACCACCCAGCTAAGACTGTTCAATACCCCCTCCGCCCGCCCTAATATTCATTACGAGGTGCGCTACCTACAGTATAGTTGCGACACCGATGACCCCGGAGATCTCCAAATTGATAATTTCATGAAGTGGCTAAAAGCCATCAAATCCCGACGAGAAGCCCGAATTGGCACCGAAGCAGCCGCGCAGCTTCCCCCAATGTCGGGTATAGTCTACGTTGGGCTACGGGCAGCTGCAGAGGAAGTAGCCTACAAACTCTCCACGATCAGCAGTGTCTCTGCAGTAGCCTATCACGCAGGGCTCGCACCCCAAGACCGAACACGCATCCAAGCAATGTGGACTTCACCACAACCCGTCACCCACAACGACGGAAAACCAGCACCAACATTCTCCATAATCGTCGCAACAAACGCCTTCGGCATGGGAATAGACAACCCCCATGTCCGCTTCGTCGTGCACTGGACACCACCCCGCAGCTTCGAAGGATTCGTACAAGAATCAGGCCGAGCAGGTCGCGACAGCCGCGCAGCCGCCTCACTCGTCTATTACAACTACGAAGAAAGAGACCGGATTTACGACCGTCTCAGTCGCGACACTGAGAACGTGCGCAATCGCGGCGTGCAAAAGCAATACGTTGATGGGTTGCTCAGAAATCAAGCAGCTCGAGTGGAAAGTTTCCAGAAGGTTATTCGGTACTGTGAAACGGTAACTCAGTGCCGGCATGATCTCATTAAGGACCTCTTCGGAGACTTTGAGCTGGAAGAGATGGGCTCGCAGCAGCCGCCTTCTTCGCAGGCTCAGGCGAGAGATGGTGGGCATGCGCCGGCGTCGACGCCGTGTGATTTTGCTTGCGATTTTTGTAAGGAAGGACATGGGGGTTTGGTGAAACGGAAGGCGAAGATGGGTCTTGATATACCCGCGGGCTATGAATCGTTCTAGATTTCTAGGTTGCTTCTATGTTTGTATTTGTGTTCTTATACGTTGGGCCGGCCATTCGCATTCGTTCGGAGTCTGAGGTCATTTTTATCCATCATATTTTACGAGAACGGCACGTCGTGGGAGACCTGGTTACTTGACGGTCGTTTCTTGGAAGTGGAATATCCGGGCGCAGTGCGATATGTTATGATCAAAATATCACGAGTGGATATCATAAAGTACAATCTTTGCACAGACCACACGATATAACCTTGGACAAGATATCAAACATTTCATTTTTTTGGTTTACACTATTTTCGGCTCTGGTTTACAGGGCACGTCAATTGTAATAAAATCTCCCCAAGTGTCCATGCCCAGCGGCAACCTACAATCACCGCCCCAGGGCTGGAGAAGACGTGATTCATACATACCTGGGCGACAAGAAGATAGAGATCTCCAGTCAGAGTATGGAATAAACGAGTGCATCGAATACATCTCGAGAGACCATTTAGTCCAAAGTAGTAAGAACACTGCGACCGGATTACCAAGAAGAGAAACCATGGATAAAAATCTTTAGACGCCTATGTAGGTAGCACCGATCAAACTCGCGTGAATTATCAAACCATTATCTTCCCCACGTTTTAGATGCCATCACTATTGAATCTTGTTCTTCAGGATCTGCCAGGATCCGAGTTAGGTTCTCTAGAGGCGGCATGTCAGTTTTTAGTAGCCAGGCTAAAGACCGGGGGGCGGTGGAACCTAGAATAATGATCAGCTAAAAGCTTTGACTTTGGAACACATTGAATGACATACCGCGCCGTAGCTGCCAGCACCGGGAGGCCCAGCACCGGGAGGGGGAGGGGGAGACCCAGAGCCAGGGGGAGGAGGAGGGGGCGCCTCGCCCGCGGGAGGGGGAGGAGCAGGGCTTTCGGACTGTTGCTGCTGCTGAGCGGCGGCATACTGCTGGTAGTACTGATAGTATGCGACGTAGTTCTGATATCCACCGTAGGCGGCGTAAGGATCAGCACCATAGTATTGGGCAGCATACTGGGCGGCATAGTCAGCGGCATTTCCAGGTGCAGCGGCGCCCTGGCCAGTCGGGCTGGCTGATGCGCCGGGAGACTGCCGGTTACGACCGTCGCGACGGTCGTAGCCACCATATCCTCCGCGGCCACCGCCGCCTTGGTATCGGTCACCACGATCGCCACGGTCACCGCGGTCACCGCCGTATCCACCGTATCTGTGCTGTGGGGGATTATCCTTGTGGTTCTGGTAAGCCTGTCGGACGTTGCTGAGAAGATCTTCGCAGAGCTCTTTGGCTTTCTGGACTTGAGCGGGGTCTGGGCCACTTTATGGAATGGTTAGTTACATTTGGTCGTGCAAGAGACAGGGTAACTTACGCGACGTGCAGAAACATGGGCTCATCACTTTCGCGACCAGTAGAGTTCTCAATAAAGCCTGAGTTCCGACCCTTAATCTGAACTCGGCAACCGGTGGTTGACTGGATATGCTTTACATACGCGCCACCCTGGCCGACAACCTGTGCGCGAAGGTTAAATCCGGGGATGGGCTCAAGATCAATCGGAATGCGCTCATCGGGCCATTTGCGCTGTAGAAAATTAGCAAGATTCGGGATTATAATGAGTTAGGAATGCTGTTTCATACGCGGCCATATTCGTCTCTCTCAACTTCCTCCCGTTGGGGTCGGCGGAATCGTCGTTCATCAACCAAGTTTGGGAGTTCTTTCTTCATCATGTCATCGATGATCTCGATCGCCTTGTCGAGACCTTCCTTGCTAGTGCTGGTCACATGAAGATACAGAGGAGGTTTCTGGGATAGTTAGCTCTCGCTCGTGTCAATGAAATAACCGTCACCTACCGCGGCCGTTGCCATGTTCTTGTCCGGGTAGTAATTCCCTCGGGTGGTGACATCTGGTAGGCGCGTAAGCAATGAGCTCCTGCTTCAACCATAACACACGAATTAAAGGGCGTACCGGCGCCAGTCTCATCTTTAATCTAGAAATCAAGCAGCCGAGGTCAGCAGATGCAACAGAGGGCGGGGGAGATGCTGTGAGTTTAGTTGGTCTCGTGTAAGCTTCATCCGACCAGACAAGATTCGTGAGAACATAAGAAGGGGGAATTTGAGGATAGAGTCACACATGAATGAGAACCAAGTATGGCCCAGCATCTCTGGAGAATCAGCGAATAACATCGGAGTAATTACCATCTTCTGAGTAGAGCCCTTCGTCAGGGTGTAGCGATTGCGCAAATCATTGATCTCAATATCCTTGATGTAATCTCCGTCTGCCACATAGACTTCAGGATTGGGCTTGTCAGAGCCATCCTGGTTCGAGGGGGAGTCGGATGGCATCCCAGGGCTTGCGGTCTATCGAATCCATAGGTCAGCCGAGTCCCGGCAAAAGCGCAGAAATATGTATCACGATATACTCACCGAACGAATAGGAGGAACATCAACGTGCTGAATTCCCTTCTTGGCCTGCAACTGCGCATTGATTCTGGCCGCGGCGGCAGCTATACACAGAGGAAATCAGACGGTTAGCGATCAATAGATAAACAATGCGCTCATGGCATAACACGTACCAGCTGCAGCAGCGGGATCAGCAGGAGAGTCCTTGCCGGATCCATTTCCGGCGGGACTACGAGGTTCACGGCTCAGTGGACTCCGTGTGCGAGTTGATTCCGATTGTCTGGCGGAGGGGGATCGCGAGCGGCGGTCGAATCGGGAGCGCCGGGGCTCAGGCTCAGTTTGGTCAAAGCGAGAGCGCTTTGCGCGGCGGTCTTCGTCGGCCATAGGAACGACGGTTGAAAAAGGCTTGGGGAGCGAAGTGAACGATCGGATGAGCGACGAAGGAAGGTCCAGGTCGGCCTTCGGAAGGAATATGTCAGAGACAGAATTAGCGAGATCGGATGAGAGTCCGGGAAGTCGCAATATGATCAATGGCACGCAAACAATATAGCGACGCAGATCTGGGAGACAGTAATGCCGTCTCGCAAGCAGCTGCCTTTATCAGTGAATTTCAAGTTGATATTCGCAATCATCGAAAACGCTGGGATCACGTGTTGATATAAAACGCTAGGCCGTATGAGGCTAGCTCCAGGTGAGTCAGCTGGCGCCGAGGTCGGAAGAGCAAAAAGAATCCGGAGAGCCTCGAGTGATTCATCGCACAACCCTCGTCCTGATCTCATTATGGCTTTCAGGCGCCCATTGACGCTGTCCGCGGCGTCAGCGTCGTTACTGTCTCCAACCGCGGCCGCCGCTCGGTCTCGTACTGCTGCGGCGCTGCCCCGATTCGATAGCATCCGCTCTTCTTCTAGCTCGACCTCTGCTCTGGCATACAAGGCATTGCACCGCCGCTCGCCCCTGCCCCTGCCGGTCTCCGATGCTTCTCCCCAGTGGGATGCTCCCACTGCTGTCTCGTCCATTCTATACGAGACTCCCGTCCCGCCGTCCAACCCTCCGAAGCGCCACATCTTGAACTGCTTGGTTCAGAACGAGCCCGGTGTGCTGTCCCGTGTGTCCGGAATTCTGGCTGCCCGTGGCTTCAACATTGACAGTCTGGTCGTTTGCAACACCGAGGTCGATGATCTCTCGCGCATGACCATTGTGCTGCAGGGCCAGGACGGCGTCGTCGAGCAGGCTCGTCGCCAGCTAGATGACCTCGTCCCCGTCTGGGCTGTGCTGGACTATACCAACTCTGCTCTGGTTCAGCGCGAGCTTCTGCTTGCCAAGGTTTCCACTCTCGGCCCCGAGTTTTTCGAGGAGCTGCTCCAGCACCACCGCGAGATCATCACCCCCGAGTCGCAGGAGAAGCACAATGTTCACGACGTTCACGAAATTGAATACCACCCTCGCAACCTGCCTCCCAGCCAGGCTCTGCGCCACAAGCACGAGCATCTGGATGCTATCACCCGCCTGGCCCACCAATTCGGCGGTAAGATTCTGGATATCAGCACCAACAACTGCATTGTCGAGGTGTAAGTACCAACTTCCCAGTATAAGTAGATCGTGAGTCATGACTAACGTCGCTCCCTACAGCTCCGCCAAGCCCAGCCGTATCGACTCTTTCCTCAAGCTGATCGGTCCTTTCGGTATCCTCGAGTCCACCCGTACCGGTCTCATGGCTCTGCCCCGTTCCCCTCTCTCCGAGCAGACCGAGGAGATCGAGAAGGATGCCGCTGACGTCGTCGATGCCAGCACCCTGCCTCCTGGCTAAGTGTTTTCCAATGAATCAAGTCAAAAACATACATACCCAATATGATTTGGTTTATCTGCTGCGTGTTCCTTCAAGCTTGTGGTTTTAGTCCGAAATGCTTTTTTAATATGAGGTCCAGTTTATCAGTCAGATGCAAAACTTGCAAATGTCAAACCTTTCGGTATTTTCTGATCATCGCAGCTCGCGTCAAGGAACTTGATGCAAACTGTAAAGGACTAAAAACATATAAAGACCTTCCATTCGTAGCAATCAGTGGTATCTCATACACTCAAACAGTGGCCAAACGCCAGCCAGTACCTAGGAAATGGAATTGCCAGCCGAGTATCGGCTCCCTGCACATTGACTCGGCTTTAAATCCTCACCTTCGCCCCAATCCCCGTCCCATTGTAGAAAACAATGTCTTCGTAATTCTGGATTTTAATCCCGACTTCAGACACAGCGTCAATTAGTAACGATTGTCCAAGCGCCCTGCGTAAGGCATCGTATCCAACACCGCCTAGCACCAGATCGACTGGCAATCGTGGCGAGTGCGAAATACCAGGAGGAACATCAAACGGTAATTTGTAGTTGATTCGGCCCATGGGCTCATTCTTATCGTAGAAGGCGGTTGCGTCAATCGAGGTTATTGTTATGCTGGTTTCTGTCAGAAATGAAAAGAGGGTGAATTCGGCGGTTGAGGACCAAATATGGACCTAGAGGTCATGTATGCTTAGTGGGGGATGATATTCAGGCTTGGGTCAAGAGCATTACCGTTGAGTCCTGAATAAAACGGGGGGGTGGTCGTCTTCATCGTTGCCGTCTGGGGATCCTGGGGTAGATAGTCGGGGCACAGGGACGTCAATAGGAACGGCGGAAAGCCCTTTGCCAATATCTGGTAGAGCAGGAATTGTTCTTTCGTGGGTTTGGATGGTGACTGTTGTGTTTGGATCTGACATAAAGGAGGATATCAAGGCTCTGCTGGCTTCTTTCCCTTCGATGCCACCAATGTCTAATGGACTCCACAACAAATCGATAGAGACATTTGTGTTGTTTCCAGGAACCACAAAGATATTGCGGGCGACAATGTGAGCAAGAGCCGTACCATTATACAGCATGAGGACATCCACGAATGGAACCGTCGCAGAGTATTCAGTTGGGTTCGTAAAGTTCATTTGAGTGGAAACGAAGAGTGAGGATTCGGTGGTGTTCTTTAGTGCCACCGATACGATTCGGGGATTGAGATGATCAATCGAGGTCCCAGGAGCTATTATAACGTCAACGACAAAACAACTTGGCTCAATTTATACTATCTATGTTATGAGATCAATGAAAACATACTGCTCACAGGAACGTCCCCATCGGCGGGAATGCCACGCACGGCGAAGCGCCCAAGGCCAGTCGAGACCTTTGTATCTACGATGGCAGCGACGTGTAGCACCACGGACCCGGAACCAAACAGCATTTCCTGAGCAATCTGTGCCAACAAGTCGCTGTCTGTGACCTCCAGTGGGGCATCCTCGATGGGTGACTCCACAAGCAGAGCTGAAGAGCCGTCCAGATCTTCCACTAGGGTAGAGTTGGCGTCTTGCCATTTGTCCATGTTCAGTAATCCAAGCTGTTTGCCCTCGTAGAAAACATTGGCGAAGGCCCGAACTTTAGGAACGTCTACGTGGAAGTTCATCTGCTCTGGCAGGTTGATAAGAACCTTCACGAGTCCAGACACGGTAAGCTGTGCCTCTGGGGTCCCCGGTTCAGCGAATGGATCGGGGAGCGAAAATTTGGTGTCGGACATGGTAAAGTTCTTAATCAGATCATCAAAGGCACCTCCTGTGAATTCCAGAGGAACAGTCACACTGCGTAGAAAATCTGCAATCCAACCTGGTGTTTCAGAGGATGGTGCATCTGCCCCACGAACATAAACGGTCGTCTTGTCGCCACGCATGTAACTCGAAACCAAGAAGTCCAGAGGAGATCCCTCCTCGTCAGGACAAGTAGCAGTTAACTCATCAGGGAGTTGTTTCAAGAGCCCTTGGACGTTGACACTGGTTGCTCCACCAGGGCGGACCTGGATCTCTGATGTTTTCGCATCGGCGACCAAGATGTAAGGATCGCCGGGCGAGCAATTGGGCACCATAACCTCGAACCCAAGAGGGGGAATCGTCAAAGCGACAGGGGAGTCGACCAAGGCAGCCAATAAAACATCGACTGCAATGGCTCCATCCTTGGCATCATGGGCATTCAGCTTAGTGACGTCAATTTTTGGTAGTGCAGGAAAGTCTTTTTCTGTGAGAAGGTGAGAATAAGTTCAAAAGGCGTTTCAAAAGGCGTCAATGTGGTCAAACCTACCTTCAAATGTAATGGTATCTGTAATTATTTGGGTTCCCAGGCCTAGTAAGCCCGATTTCAGGTGCAATGTTGCCCTTCCCTTTATACTAAGGCGGCCCAGCCTTCCTTCCATCCAGTCTATGGCAATGGCATGTATTCCCTTGATGTCGCCGGCCTTGAGATCGGTCAAGAAGTCGACCTCATTGTGGTAGCCATTGCGAATGTTCACTTTGATTGATGGCAATGAAGCATTACCAACGAGGACGTTTCCGTATTCCGGTAGGTATACATCCACATCCGACTCGCCAGTTTCAACCTCTCTAGCGATCCATGTAGCCAAACGGCCGAAACCGCGCATCGACTTGTCCTTTACACGACTTGCGTCCATGACAAACTCGCCCTGGACTCGGGCGCGAACACCTTCGCGTGTCGTGGAATCTATTGAAAGCGCCGTTGGTTTGAACACGGCAGCTTGTTGCGCGTATTCCTTCACCACAGCCGGCGCGGCAAAAGCAAAGACCAGAATCGCCAGGATGCCTGTAGTTAACAGACCAAGGGAAATCACCGTCGGCCATGGCACCCGACTTCGCTTCTTGCGGGAACCATCCTCCAAGTGTGACGCAGTAGACGATTGCGATGACCTTCGTTCTGTTCCATACGTGGTAATGTCGTCCTCGCGGCGATGCAAAAGAGGGGTCGACTCCGATGACAGTTCAAATGATCGGCGAGGCTGGTCAGGACGAGCAGCCGGGTCGGGAGAGGAGGATCTGGCCTGGCCATTAAGCAAGGGCCGGCTCGCCTCGTCTGCCATGACGGCCAGGATAAATAATAGAAGTTAGAGCAGAAATAAGATATCCCCGCAGTCACAGAGCAGAGAGATGGAGGAGGAGAGATCAGGCCCTCGATGACGATAAGCATGATAACGGAAGGTGTGGAGGTAGACACCTAATTAATCGGGCAATAAGGCAATAAGGCAACGAGGCCGCGGAGACCAGGCACATCTCCGAATTTAGAGTTGAGTCATTGCACCCACTCTCTCTTTCTACAGCCCTCCGGTCTCGCCGGCTCCCTCCCTCCTTCCCCAATTGCACCAGCACAAACAATCCTGTACATTCCCATACCCTCAGCCCATCATGGCTAGCAGTTTCAAAGCTGCCGCTCGTTATGGCGCCCAAAGTGTAACTCAATTGGCCGGATCCACTTCTGCCCTGCCTCGAACACTCCAGGCTAATGGACTCCGACGATTTGCCCACCAGACACAAACCACTCCCCCTACACCTCGTCACCTCCTGTCTATTGCGGACCTAACTCCCGCTGAGTTTGCCACCCTGGTGCGCAATGCCTCTTCACACAAGCAAGCCATCAAATCCGGGGCCATCCCGCAAAGCCTCATCGGCTCGCTCTCCGGCAAGACCGTTGCCATGATGTTCAACAAGCGCAGTACCCGTACTCGCGTGTCTACAGAAGCTGCTACCGTCCAAATGGGCGGCCACCCCATGTTCCTCGGCAAGGACGATATTCAGCTCGGCGTGAACGAGTCGGTGTACGATACCTCCGTTGTCATCTCGTCAATGGTTTCCTGCATTGTCGCGCGAGTCGCAAAGCATTCCGACGTAGTTGATTTGGCCAAGGACTCTTCTGTTCCCGTTATCAATGCTCTGTGCGACTCTTACCACCCCCTCCAAATCATCGCCGATTTCATCACTATCTACGAGACTTTTACACCCAAGGCACACAACGTCTCCAGCTTGGGACTGGAGGGCCTGAAGATTGCCTGGGTTGGTGACGCCAACAACGTTCTCTTCGACTTGGCTATCGGTGCTACCAAGATGGGTGTGGATATGGCTGTTGCTACACCGAAGGGGTACGAGATCCCCACCGATATGCTCAAGGTTATCCAGAAGGCTGGCGAAGGTGTGCCGGCTCCGGGCAAGCTCACTCAGACCAATGTTCCGGAGGAGGCAGTCAAAGATGCTGATATCTTGGTCACCGACACCTGGGTGTCGATGGGCCAGGAGGAGGAGTCCAAGAAACGCATGAAGGCCTTTGAAGGTTTCCAAATTACCGCCGATCTGGCCACTCGTGGCGGTGCCAAGGACCACTGGAAGTTCATGCACTGCCTGCCCCGACACCCCGAGGAGGTGAGCGACGAGGTCTTCTATAGCGAGCGCTCCCTGGTGTTCCCTGAGGCTGAGAACCGCTTGTGGGCGGCTATCTCGGCGCTTGAAGGATTCGTTGTCAAGAAGGGCAAGATTGTGGAGTGAGGAGTTTTTTACTCAAATTATAATCTGAACATATTTCGGGCCTGACTGAGTCGGGGATACATACCTTTCTGAAACGCACGTATATACACAGGACAAGTAGCTTTCTTCGCGCTTCACGCGGAGGTGCGCGTAAGTCAGCTAGATGCTTTGGAGTATGATATCTATTAAGAGCGTCATTGTTTAGGTAAAGAAAAAAGGGGTTTAAAGTAATAGTACCTTCTTCACTAAAAATAAAACCAAAGGAATGTACTTAGATATATCAGCAAAAGAAATAAAACAAAACAAAACAACAACTCAAGGGGGAAAAGTATAGTACCTAGTTAGGGCAGTCTTCTAAGCTCCGCCTTCCACCTTTTTAGGGGATAATCGAACCTATGGAAGCCTAAGAACTCTCTAGTTAGCTATCTATAGTTAAAGTTTAATTAGTTATTAGACTTGGATAAGGGTAAAGAGTCTAAATTAGATAGGTCGAAAGACGATTAGCCACATCCACTTGAATCTTTAGCCTTTAGTTAGGCCTTTAGCTTTGTGTTTATCTTAGTACAATAGCTAGCCTAGGAGGCGGTGCTAATTGTTCTAGGCCATGGCGCTATCGGTCTTCATTGCAGCGTGACACGTATCCCTGTCTATCCACTGAAAAATTACAAGCCACAGAACGTTTATTTGCTGCTTCGGCCGCCCCTGACCTGCAAGCTGCATACAACCCTGGCGGGTCATCGTCTATTTGTCTTACTCTGAGCGGCCGATCTCTTCTCGTGTCCAGATTCCCCTCGCCGCCGGAGAGTCGAACAACTAGCACCATGTCGGAGCAGAGTCTAAATACCTTCCAGAGGCTGGAAAAGGTTTGTTCTGTGACTCCCTGAATTGATCTATGTCAATGTATGCAGTCGGTGGTATTGGATAAATCTTGTTAATAATGACCCAGGAAGAGTTGACTTCCCGCTGACTTGTCGCATAGTTGGGCGAAGGCACATACGCAACGGTTAGTGCCCCTCATCATTTTGATAGACGAGAGGGGAAGAAAACACCAACTACAGTTTCAAAGAAATGTTCACTTATAATAAGACCAGTTATATAGAGGCCGAAACAACCAGACTTCTGAATTGGTAGCCTTGAAAGAGATTCATCTCGACGTCGAGGAAGGGACGCCCTCCACTGCGATCCGGGAGATCTCCCTGATGAAGGAGCTGGACCATGAGAATGTTTTGTCTCTGTGCGATGTCATCCATACGGAAGACAAGCTCGTTCTTGTATCTGAGTACATGGACAAGGACCTCAAGCGTTACATGGACGCCCACGGCGGCGCTCTGAATCTCCTCACCCTCAAGTCCTTCGCATATCAAATGCTGAGAGGAATCGCCTACTGCCACGCGAAGCGCATCTTGCACCGGGATCTAAAGCCTCAAAACCTATTGATCAACCGGAATGGAGGTCTGAAGCTGGCGGATTTTGGCCTCGCCCGCGCCTTTGGCATTCCTGTCAACACCTTCTCTAGCGAAGTGGTCACTGTCTGGTATCGATCTCCGGACGTGCTCTTGGGTAGCCGCTCCTACAACACCAGCATCGATGTCTGGTCTGCGGGATGCATCATCGCCGAGATGTTTAGCGGTCGGCCTTTGTTTCCAGGCACCGCCAACTACGACCAACTGCTCAAGATCTTTCATATTATGGGCACCCCGTCTGAACGGACGTGGCCGGGCATCAGTCAGTTGCCCGAATTCAAGCCCTACTTTCCTGTCTACCCCACCCAGGATTTGCGACTGCTGATTCCCCAGTTGGATCCTCTCGGGGCCGACCTTCTGAATCGCCTGCTGCAAATGCGACCGGAGCGGCGGATCAGCGCTGCTGATGCACTTCACCATCCTTGGTTCGAGCGTCTTCCTTCGGAGCCAGAGCCATCGGAGAACTTGGCCGGTCACGTTTAGTTTCCATATGCCTCAGACGACAGCAAATCTCCTGTCGAGGAGCTTAGGGCTAAGATCAGCCAACACCTCACGAACCGATCACATGGACCTGCCAGGCTAACCTGTCAACGACCACGGGCGCGCAGGAAGTCATTTCGCAGCTCAAGACTTACTTTGGTAGTGATGACCTTCATATCCACATTTTGGTGAATAATGCCGCCACCGAGGTGGTGAGCAATATGCAGAGCGTAACGCTTGAGAATTACAATAAGGTTTTCGACCTTAACGTGCGTGGTCTCATGCTCATGACGCAGGTCGCGCATCCCTACCTAGCACCCAAAGGCCGTATCATCAGCTTAAGCTCTGTGGGAGCGCGTGCCGGCTTCAAAGGTGTCAGCCTGTACAGTGCTTCCAAGGCTGCTGTCGAAAGCTTCACGCGCACCTGGGCCAGCGAGCTGGGCGGGGATGGCACGACGGAGGAGATTGCGAGCATTGTTGGGGGGTTGGCAGGACCCGATGCCTCATGGGTGTCGGGCCAGGTCATCAGTGCAAGTGGTGGCTGGTCAATGTGTTAGGTTATATAGATAGGATCGAGGGTCGGTTTGGTCTTGCCTCAGGCTATTTCAAATTACATTTTGTAGACTTTACTGTTCAGCCAGCCCGATGATTCCAATAATTCCACTCTTAATGTCATCAAAGTTCGGTAGATCGGCACATTTGGGCGTCTTCCGGGCTCCTATTGAATAAGATACGCCCCATCCGATACCGGTGGAGCCATCGGATACTGGGGCGCCACCTTGACGGCGAATCCGATCCATCATGAGGGGCTACGGGTTGATTCTTGCCTTGAACCAGGCTACAGTTGTGTTAGAATGGTATCAAGCACTTCTCAGTTACTTCTAAAAATGGTTTTTTGGGTATAGTTGATTGTCTGCTCCCGATAAACACAGTATACGTTGAGTATCGCATTTACGGAGATCGACAGCGCACGTTGATTAAAGCCCCTGGTGAATGGGGAAAAGTACCAGAACCGAAACTATGAATGTTTCTGTCTACAGTAGTTTATTTTTCGTCCGCGATCGATCGGGAAATCTGCAGTCCAACACTCGGAAGATTCTCAGGAACCACAACCCCACTCTCCCCACGCTCCGAAAGCCACGTCCAGCCTGACGTTGATCGGAACGGTAATCTTCCAGGCGGGGAAAAAGCCGATCTCCTACATACATATAGCTTGTACCTCGAACACACTAATGCATTCTCCATTTCAAACCGAAGTCTTTGTACATTCTATACCATCAACAGCATGGGCTTCGAAGATAAGCGCGTCGCCATCGTCGGCGGCGGCCTGGGCGGCATGTCCTTTCTTAACGCAGCCTTGTACGTGGGGTTGAAGAATGTCCAGCTCTATGAACAGGCACAGCAATTCCGTGAAGTCGGGGCGGGTGTCAACATTACCTCCAACGCGAATCGCGTCTTGGACGCCTTCGGTCTTCAAGAGAGCATGACGCGCCGCTCCTCCCGCAAACTGCCCTCCTACATGGAGTATCACAGCTACAAGACTGGTGAATATCTGGGTCACATTGAAGAATTCTCGCAACCGCCCGCTCGCTTGTTGCACCGCGCACATCTCCTTGAAACTTTTAAGGAACGTGTGCCCGAGTCGTCTCTCAACCTGGGCAAGCACTTGGCGTCGATCGATCGTAACTCTTCTGGAGCACCCTACACGCTGCACTTCCAAGATGGCAGCACCGCGGAGGCCGACATCGTCATTGGATGCGACGGCATCAAGTCCAACGTGCGCCGGGATATGGGTCTGGCTGATTCGCCCAACTACTCGGGTCAGGTTGTGTACCGTGGCTTTGTCGACTACAAGGATCTGCCCGAGGAGACAGCTCAGCTGCTGCGGAAGACGGTCAACTTCCGTGGCCCTAAGCGACACGTCCTCATCCTGCCCATTGGTAACAAGGAAACTCAGACTGATCGCGCCGCCGTTATCGGATTTATGTCTGAGCCTCTTGAAGCCTGGGACTCGGAGAGTTGGATGTCACGCTCTGATATTGATAGCCTGCAAGAACATGTTCGAGACTGGTGCCCGCAGGTGCAACACATCATCGAGGGTTTGCGCAAGGCCTCGCCCGATGGCAAGATGCTTAAACAAGCTCTTTATGTGCGTGACCCGATTGAGAAGTGGTACGAAATGGGTGGAAATGATTCTGGTATCATCCTCTTGGGTGACTCCGCTCACTCCACCCTTCCTCACCAGGGTAATTTCTCCTACTACGTTCTGAATTGAAGTTTTGCTAACATAGAATATACAGGCCAAGGAACCTGCATGGCCATTGAATCTGGCCTTGCGCTCGCAACTGTCCTGCGCCACTGGAAGGGTGATGACTTGGAAGGAGCATTCCAGTTCTACCAAGACCTGCGCAAGCCTAGGACAGACCGGATTACACAGACCAGCTACGAAGCTGGAAAGCTTGCCAGCTCGGACACGCCGGACCAGTTGACCGACAACTTTAATCCGCAGGCATTGGGAGAGCGCATGAAGTGGATTATGGAGTATAACGTGCTGGAGGACTTGAGGACCAAGGGAGCTGATGTCCTGGATTTCCATGACTCCCGACTTTGAACATCTCAGGGATGATTTGGAAGTGAGGTCTACCTTAGCATTTTCTTTGTAAACGATGTTCACTTTTCATACCCTTTCATGGCTAGGTACTTTGTTCCAGTTTTTGAGTAGCCAAGTATCACTTGATGGTGCCCATGTGGTGAAATATCACATACACGTCTCCCTGAAGAGCTAGAAGATCACGGTCATTTTCCATATCGAATTTGGTCAGTACCTGGGTATTCAGATATTTGTTTATAATCGAATATAGATGACCTTAAAGCTTGGAAGGTTCCGGGTACATGTATACAACGGGTGGCGTTGCGTGATCCTCGATCATGCCATTTTCGAGCTATGGATGATATATAGATCGAGGTATTTTGCCACTGACCCGAAACCAGTCTACTGATCTCAAATTGAACAGATGAGCCATGACAATGACATGATAAGGGACACCATTTGCCTTTCCTTCTAAATCTACTCTTACGGACGTCAAGTCGACCTGCCGAAAGCGTGCACGGCCAGTTTCACATGCCAACCCGTGCGGCAACTCCGCATTTCACGGTTCTCATCTTCCTTTCCTCTGAACTTCTCCTACTCTCCAGGTTCACCATGGATGTAAGTTTCCTGAGCTACCAGATACCTCAACCATTGTCATACAAGAACACATCTGACCGACCGCAGTACAACACCTCGGGTGGCTTTCCCTCCCGTCGCTCCTACCCCAACCTCCACCACGTCTCCCTCGCTCCACTCACACCCCGATTCCCAATCGACGACCCAGAATCAACAGATTACTTCAGCCCACGCGATGACGGCGACGGTCAAAGAACCTCATACCTCTCCAGCGTCTCAGTACCCAGCACGCCCCCCATCCTCTCGCACTCCCGCAGCAACTCCCGCAGCAACTCTCGCACCCGCCACGCGCGAAGCAAAAGCTCAACTCTCGCCGGTCCATTAAGTGACACGAACCTACACAGCAAGGCTGTAGCGCTACCTCTCCACCACCAACCAATACATAAGAAGCACTCGGGCTCGTCGCATTCACGGCGACCGTTCAGCGAAGAACAAGCAAATAAGTCGGATGCAGAATGGATGCTCCGCGCTGGAATAGCGCTCGCCTCGTCGACCCGCGAGGAAAAGGGCCAGAGCTGGCTCTCTAAGCGCGAGAGCTCTACCAGTCTTGTTTCTATGCCTTATGAGACCGACTCTCCTCACCGCCACCATACACGCACCAAATCCGGCGCTTCGTTACGCAAGTCTCGCTCCGGTGCATCTACTCCAGCGTTGTCTCGCCGGAACTCTCGTTCTCGCGGAGGGAGTAGACGGGGTAGCCGTGGAGGTCTGGTTATGACAACCATGCCATCGCTTTCGTCTGCTTCTGGAAAGGTATCTAGTCCTGGGACGGGTACTGTGACCCCAGAAGTCCGTGGGCGTGGTACTTTGGAGCCTGATTTCGTGCACGAGGAGATTCGCGCTGGGATAGCCGCTTTGCAGCGGGAAAGAGGTATCTCGGATGAAGAATCGGGGCTCTGGGACGAGGACGAAAGTGGATCGGAGTATGATGACGATTTCTCTGATCAAACACCGGATGAATTCGATGAGGCTGACCTGCATCGGCTTACCCGTGAGCGTGGGTTTGGTCTGGGGGGCTGGATTGATCGCCTGTTTGAATGGACTTTGTTTGGCGTGGACGAGTTTCCTGTTCCTGTGGTTCCGACTCCTGCAACGCGGATCGGGGCTACTACGACTACGACTACGGTTACTTTTGAGGAGCCGGATTATTCGCGCGATAATGATGAACTGCATGACAATCTGTCATTGGTTTCTGCTGGTGATGAGGCAGATACCCTTTCGCATACGGATGGCGAGTCGGTTGCTGGTACTGAGAAGCCCGGTGCGCAGGGCGGCTGGGAGGATGCGTCCTGGCTGTTCCGCGTCGTCAGGCGGGCATTAATATAAGATCGAAAGAAAGCTTTTTGCCTTGATCTGTCTATACATTTTCTTTCCTTTCTCTTGGACCTTATATCTGGTCACTAGATTGATATATTTTCTTTACGAGTCAGCCTGAAATACGATGTCAAGCAAGTGTTTTCTTTCAATTCAAGTGTTTTTTTGTAAGCTACCTTGGTAGTAGAGGCAACCGGTTGATAATCTGTGGACGTATGCGGAAGAACAATGCCCCCGCAAAGATCTTGTCCATCAGTAACATGATATCAGAACATCAGATAACCAAATACTGCACGGCTGCACGGATAGTAGAAAGAAAGAGACAAGCGAAAGGATGTATAAGACTCCTGGAAGCGTGCAAAAGATTCAAAAAAGACGGAAGCACGCCATCCGAGATTGCAATGAGATAACACGTTGAAACAAGAAAATATGGAGCGAGAGATGGACAGAAATCAGGCCGTGAGGCCAGCCAAGATACAAGGTAAACAGAAGAGACACAGAATCAGTAAGGAAAGGTAGTATCGAGTTTCTGGTTTCATTGAGAATTGAAAGACAGGGCAAAGGACACAGTTCAGCTTCGAAAGAAAGCATAGAAAAGAAATATAAGAAAATTCAAGAGTCAGGTCATTCGCCTTTGCATACTATAAACGCCAATCTGAGACCAGGTAGTTTCTCTAAGGTCATGCAGGAGGTATCGTGATCGTGGCATACGTCGGGATATTGTGCGGTCGGGAAAGTTAATGGGACCGTCGGGCGCACGGCAGAGCCGGGAGAATGTTGAGGATGCGACGTGAGGAGCGCGTGTGGTTGTGATGCGAGGGTTTGCGTTGGGTCGTCATATTGCTTATTCAAAAAAGTTTGGCCGGTTGAGTCGTCCTTCACCAGGGTCCAACCTTGACCGGTGTTCCGAGGCCATAGGTCCCGGAAAGAAGTTGGTCCCGTATAGAGCCAAATTCATTGCCGCCGGGGCTGTGGGAGGGCGAGTCCGGCCCGTTCATCCATCCCAGGCTTGAGCCGAGCTCATTGACTGCACCTTGGAGCTTCCCGCCCGAGGTTTGGTTGTGCTTGGCCAGCTTCTGGTCCCAGCCGCCGTATTGGAGTTGGATGCCTCCGCCACGCTTGGCTGCCTCTCGAATCACCAGAACCCAAGCCTTGCCGATTTCGTCGTAGGCCGAGTCCCGCTCGATGTTGTTCTGTGGCGTGCTCCATCGTGGCAAGGCGTGGATGATATCGGTCGCCCCGTCGAGGTAGCTCAGGGATACCGATGGCTGAGGCTCGTTGGGGGGAAGGAAGTTGGGGGTGAAGTCGCTCAGAGCTTCAAGAAGATTCGTGAGGGGCTGCCGGACTCGGTTGTACGCATAGTCGGACTCTGTGTTGCCACCCAGGGGAAACGACGACTGCAGTGCTGCCTGGTAGTTTCGAAGCACTTGCAGTGTAGACGAGACACTGGGTCTTGGAGAAGTCTGGGCCACCTCGTCGGCCAGCTGAGGGTGGCGCTCGCACATGGTTCGCACGACAGTTCGTAAGGCATCGGTGTCCAAAGTTTCTAGGAGACGGGGCAGGGAGAGAGGCCTGCCGGAGACGTTGGGTCGGGAACGCTTAATGTTTCGGAAAGAAGGGAGTTGGCGAGGAGTAAAAGCAGGCGAGTTGGTGGGCGAGGCGGACATGCGTCCGTCGTGGTCGTTGCCATCGTCGTCGGCTTTCCGCTTTCGGCTGGTATAGGACGATGAAGGTGTAGACACTAGGGAGTTTCAGTTAGCAAAATGTTCCAACAGCTGTCTCAAAGCTCTTTAAAGCCACAAGATCGGAAAAGGGAGGTCGTACTTATTCGGGAGGGAGAGAATCGAGGGTTCTCGTAGAAATGAGGAGGAACAGGAGGCGTGGCCACCAAGCTGTTCATGATGACAGCCGGATGGCAATATTCTTTTGCTGAGCCGAACAATAAGTGAAAGGCACAGCGAGGAGGGATTCAAAAAGAAGGTACCCAACACAGGGTGAGGTGGGGAGGAGATGAGAGAAGAGAAGCGGTGGAGAAAAGAGAGGCGTTGCGGGCGGCAACGCAGTCCGGGTGCGCAGGTCTCAAGGTGACTTCTCGACGTTGCAGACCACGGCATTTCCCTGCAATATAAAAAATTTTAATGAATCATCCGTGCAATTCGCCCGAGAGCTTATTTTTCTTAATATTATTCTAGAATTAAGCAAAATACGTATCGCTTAGCCGGAGCGGCAGAATTGAGCTTGTAGCTTGTAGTACCGACTTGAAGTAGTTTCATTTAGAAGCCTCTCGAAACACCTTTCTACTTGCAATTTTTCTTTCTTTTTGTAGATTTTTTACATAAGGATCACACCGACAAGAGGTCCGTATCTAAGTCTTCAAATGAGATACGACACAGAGCGTTCTATTCCTGCCGGTGATACCCGCTCAAGCCTCTGCGTTCAGGCGACTTGAATTTGACCTATCAGTAAGGACCAGGTAGCTCGGCATGACCATGAGACTGTCATTGAATTGCTCTTTCACTCCATAAAACACCAGGGATATCGTATCTACAGGTACAAAGATTGAGCCGCCACAATGTCACGGCGCACCTTGGTGAGCGCCTCCTCGAACTTGCTCTCCAGGTCCTCGCTGCCCATCACCTTGGAAGCCTGTGCCATCTGTCGAAGACACTCTTCTAATCGGCGGAACACACGGATCAAGCTGCCCTCGTAGACATCGGTCATTTTGCTAATAGTAAAGTTAGCTGCGGTCGATGATATAGAAAGGGGCGAAATGCTTACCAGATATCTGCGAAGCCCTTGCCGTTGGCCCACTCGTAGATAACCTCCATCAACTCCCAGTGGAAGCTCTGGACGTACTCATCCTCATTGACAGCCATCTTGGACTCTTGCGACACCTTGGCGATGATGCGGGCCTGGGCTTGGATCTCCTTGAGAGGCTTCGCGAGCTCATCCTTGGTCAGAGCGGGAGCCTCCTTGACCTTCTCCTCAAACACGAATACACTAATGACGGCGGCCATCTGCTCGGGGGTGAGGTTGTTGAAGAAACCGTTGAATAGAAGCTCGCTGAGCATAAGTTCGTCACCCGTGCTGATCTCACAGGCGACTCGAGCCTTGAGCTGCACAACCTCCGCCTCGTTGATGAATCCGAAGCGACGAAGGACACGCTTGCGGCATTTCAGCTCGTCAAGCTGCAAAATAGACATGGCATCGGTGATCTTCTTCTTGGTCTCCTTGATCTGGGTGCCAAGGTTGACCTTCGCGGAATATTGTTCGTAAAGCTCTGGCAATCGTGGCGAGCTGTGCAAAGGGTTGCTGAGCAGACGGGATTCCAGAACCTCGATTTTCTGTGGCATGAATTAGCTCAAGTAATTGTAGAAAAAGCATATACGACTTACCCGTAGGAGCTTCTTGAAGGAATCATCTTTAATGCCCATGTTTTCAATGGGGTCAAGGAGGGCGAGGCCATCGGGGAACCGCTTGACGACTTCGTCCAAGGCCTTCTTCACGCCGTTTCGTGCGTCAATTGAAGTTAGATCCTTGGGTAGGTAGATTCGCAGATGCGCGATGGCATGTATACAGCCGATCGCAACGGGAACAACTTCCATTCGGAACTTCTCACCCTCCTGAGCCGGTCGCACACCGGGAGGAAGGTCTTGGAAAGACTTCGTACCCACGGAAGGTCCCTCGGCGATCTTCATGAGGACGTCCACAATGTATGACTTGCTAGGAGGAATCTCCTCAGTAGAGTTCTTAGGGGCCTTGCGCTGGGTAAATTTGACAACAGCGCCCCAGCCAAAGTCTTGGTCCTTATCCTTAATTTGGACCAGTCGGCCGCTCTGGATGAAAGGGAGAGCATAGTTGGGGTGGCTGATGACAGACTGGACGTCCTCGGCAAATCCATCCAACTGCTTACGCAGATCATAGTACTCACGGATGGTTCCTTCATCTTCGATAACCATGTTGGCTTTCTTCTCTTCCAGTTCCTGGAGCTCCTTCTCCAAGCCCGAGACATTGCCAGTGTTTTGGAACTGCTTGAAACATCTTTCGAGCATGAACTCCGGTGAAATACCCTCCACACGCATCAGGTTGAGAATCATGTTGTAACCCAGATGGAAGGCGGAGTTGAGGCGATCTTGTTCACCGCGCACGATCGTCTTGGCAACTACAGGGTCCATTTCTTCACCAACCATCATGATGACAATACCACGTTCATCAAGACCTCTACGTCCAGCACGACCAGACATCTGAATGAATTCGGACGGCGTGACCCAACGTTGGCTGGTTCCATCAAATTTCCGAACGCTGGTGAAGACCACAGTCTTGGCAGGCATGTTGAGACCGATAGAGAACGTTTCAGTGGCAAACAGGACTTTGATGAGACCTTCTTGGAAAAGAATCTCGATGGTCTCTTTGAGAATAGGCAGCAGACCGGAATGGTGAACACCAACACCTCTCCGAAGAAGAGGCAAGATGTGCTGGATCTGTGGAAGCGCTCGATCTTCCGGAGACAGCATCTCGATGGCGCTGTTGAAAACCTTGGAAACCATCTCCTTCTCGGAATCGTCGTTGAATGCAAGCTTCGACAACTGCAGGGCACCGTGCTCACACTCTCGTTTGCTGAAGCTGAAGACGATGACCGGGTTGTACTTCTTGAGCATGATCATCCGCACAATCTTGAAGATGTCGGACGGACCCTGGTTGCCACCCTTGGCTATCTTCTTATCCTTGCCTCTGCCCTTCTGCTTCGCATTGGGGTTGGCTACATCCTCGCCCTTTTTGTCCGCAATAGAACCCATTGCTTTCTGGAAGTTCTCTTCACGGAACACTCCTTTCTCATCCACGACAAGATGGATACCCTCGGCACCGGTGGGGAAGAAGTAATGTTGGAGAGGGGTCGGACGGTAGTCAGTGTACACGACGTGAACGGGCTGGTTATGCATCTTGGTGACCCATTCAGCGAACTGCATGGCGTTCGGAATGGTGGCAGACAGGAAGACGTATCGAACCTTGTCGGGGAGAAGAATGATAGTCTCTTCCCAGACAACACCACGGTTCTGGTCGCGCATGTAGTGAATTTCATCGAAGATAACCCAGGCAACTTCACGCATAATCTCCGAACCGCGATACAACATGGACCGCAGAATCTCAGTGGTCATGACCAAACAGGTAGCAGTAGGGTTGATGGTCACATCACCAGTCATCAATCCAACATCACCGAACTCTGCCGCAAATTCTCGGTATTTCTGATTGCTCAGCGCTTTGATTGGACTGGTATAGATCACACGCTGGTTGTTCTTCAAACTTTGCGCAATCGCATATTCGGCTACCACTGTTTTTCCGGCACTAGTATGCGCTGACACCAAGACACTCTCTTCGCGCTGGATTGAATATACTGCAACTTGCTGGAAGGGATCGAGTGTGAAAGAATAGACCTTGGCCGGGTCCGCTGGTGGCTGATGTTGAGAGATGGGGATGTATGGGTAGTTCGGGGGGATTGCGACTTGGTGACGGACTTGGTGGGATACAACCATGTGAGTGGAATCTTGAGATCCTCCCAGACCGGCAGCAGTCGCGATTTCGCGCTCTTGTTCAGTTTCGAAGGTATCGGCAACCACGGCGTCGGGGATTTGATCGAGACGAGGGCGCTTCGTGTCGGGCTGGTGGTTCTCGCCGGCGGGTTCTTGGGTTTCTTCCATTTCAACGTCAGGCTCCTCGGCCGGAGCAGCCTCCTCTCTCACGGGCAGTGCATCATTGATCTTGACATCGCCATTGGCTTGCCGCTTTTTGGTCTTGTCCTTCTTGGGACGCTTGGGCGCCCCGTCGGAGGGCTTGGGCGCCTGAGGCGTATCCTCAAAGACGTCGAAGAGCTCATCCATCTCCAGTGGTCAAAATTGACTGGGAACCACAGAAGTCGAGTAGAGACAGCGGACTGGGACTTTTTCTCTTAGTGAAAATTGACGGCACCCGATCAAGAAGGCGGTGGGTGACAATCGCCGCGAGGGCGCTAGCCATAAATGTCCAGTCACGGGACTAGAGTCCCGTGACTGCAATCGTCCCATTCCGCACCTTGAGATGTTCGCTTTGGCTCCGTCCATTCCCGATCGTCCGCTCTCTCCTCTCAGTACCTTCAAGGTGGGTTCTCTGCAGTGCAATTGGGACTACTTCAAGCACAGCAAGCTCACTGAGTCTACACAGATGTACGCCTCCTCCGCTGTTCGCGCCCGTCTGGCCACTGCTGCCCGTCGTGGCTTCTCCACCAGCCGCGCCCAGCTCGGCAGCCCCTACCACTACGCTGAGGGCCCTCGCACCAATATTCCCTTCAACCCCTTGACCAAGCACTTCTTCTGGCGCTACTGGGCCTTCATGGGTTTGTGATCCGCCATTGACCGAGTACAGATCCCAGGACTGACATAAGACTCATCTAGTTACTGGCTTCGGTGCTCCTTTCGGCATTGCTGGTAAGCTCTCAATCGCCCTTATATGGTATATACATCATTCTAACGGCCATCTTTCTAGTCTGGCAAACCTACAAGACCAAATAAATTGCCCTACGCGCACTTCTCTCGCAACGGCAGTGTGGACTACTTCGCGATTGAAGTTCTGGATCAGGCGTCGAAGCTGTTGGATATCATGTACAAAGTTAGAAAATAACATTGGCTTTTGATTTATCGCATCAACACCCAAATTGTAGCTACGTAGGCGTTGTAAAGTGTCCATTGAAGGACGTTGAAATATAGATGAAGTCATTGGCTGAGCGGGTGTGGAAAATCAAAAATCTTTGGTTCGGCGTTGATAGAGAGCTCGCTGTGAGCAACAACCCACCAACACCACAACTGCCATTTGTTATCCACCAAAAGTCGGATATCTCTGATCGCGACTTAGTTCTCTTCTCGCTCCCAGAATTCTACGGTCTCGCCGTCCCATGGCGGGGTAGGAAACGGGCACCTGATAGAGAAAAAAAAAAGTGATACCCACCACCAAATATGCGCAACCTCAGAAACGTGCGTCTTCAGGAGACGCAAGTTGAGGGCCAACTTCCTTTGACAGCTACAGCTTGGGATATCTCGACCGATTCAGTCGTGTGCACTTTCGGCCCGTCCGAGCATAATGCAGTCATTGAGCTGCGGAGGAAGCGCCCCGACCTGACTTCCGCGGAGCCTCTGAGCACTGATGTATTTGAATGCCTTGCGTCCTGGGACGCACCGAGCCCTTTGCCAGATCTGGCTTGTGACCGTGTGCTTTCTCTGCACTATTTTGCCGATAACCTGACAGCTTGTCTTGTTTTGGAGGGCGGTGATATTATCATTGTCCGCGAGGAGCCCCTTCCCGGCGAGGATAAAATTGAAATTCTGGGTTCCGTGGACGTTGGAATCACCGCTGCTGCATGGTCCCCGGATGAGGAGCTTCTGGCAATCACGACAAGAGCTCGAACGCTTTTGTATATGACCCGGGAGTTTGAGAATGTGGCCGAGATCACCTTTACCGAAGCAGACTTGCAAGCTTCTCAGCATGTGTCCGTTGGCTGGGGTAAAAAGGAAACCCAGTTCCAGGGCAAGAGAGCTAAGGCTCTGCGCGATCCCACTGTGCCGGAGAAGGTTGATGAAGGCAAACTGAGCAGCAATGATGATGCTAGTACCACTATCACCTGGCGAGGTGACGGTGCTTATGTCGCTGTGAACAGCATCGAGGAAGGAACCCGTCGTGTCATTCGAGTTTACTCAAGAGAAGGCACCATTGATAGCGTCAGCGAACCCGTGGATGGGCTTGAAGGTACTCTCAGCTGGCGCCCAGTAGGAAATCTCATTGCTGGAATCCAGCGGTTGGATGACCGGGTCGACGTTGTATTTTTCGAGCGAAATGGTCTCCGTCATGGCCAATTCACTCTTCGTCTTACAGAGGAAGAGCGGCAATCATGGGCATCTCAGATTCAGCTGTCATGGAACGTCGACTCTACTGTGCTCGCTATTAGGTTCAAAGACCGCATCCAGCTCTGGACTATGGGTAACTACCACTACTATCTCAAGCAGGAGATCCCGGTGATGGTCGAATCTAACGCTCAACACCCATTCTCTTTCGAGTGGCACAACGAGAAGGCGCTCCGGATGGTTATCGGGTCTCCAGGCTCAATTTTGGACATTGATTATGTTTTTGATATCCACCATGGCTCCACTGTCATCCCTGATGATGTTGGTGCCGCTGCCGTGATTGATGGGAAGATCTTGAAGCTCACGCCACTTCGATTGGCCGGTGTCCCACCTCCAATGGCTCACAATGAGTTGCCACTTGACTCCAACATTATCGACGTCGCATTCAGCAAGTCGGGTACTCGTATTGCGGTCCTCATGGAGAAGAGTTTCTCTGTTTTCCTGTGGTCTCTCAAGAGTCGTCCGGTCCCATTGCCGATTCTTGAGTCCAGTTATCCTCTCTCCGATGCACCTGCTATGCGTCCGAGACAAATTGCGTTCGTAAACGAAACGGAAGTGTATATCCTCAAGGATAATGGGCCAAACACCGATCATATCGAGCGGACCGCTCTTGAGACTAGAGAATCCCGAGTTGTATACCAGTCGGTGGAGCCGGAGCAAATATCATCGATCTTTGCCGGCGTTGGACACCAGACCCTGTGGTTTTCACACGCGTCTTCGCTCAGCCGCCCTGTTAACTATTCGAACATTGCTCTTATCGAGGGAGACGAAGTTGATATCGTCCCTTGGACCGACGGCCCTAATGTTGATACGCACTGGGCTCGTGCTGTCTCAATTAGCGATGACGAGGTAACACTTCCTGACTCTCTTGTTTTCTAAATGTACTCACTGACTCCTTCAGCGGATTCTGATTTCGATGACAAGAACCGGTACATTGTACGCCAATAAGCGAGTGCTCGCAAAGAATTGCACATCCTTCCTGGTGACCTCGGCCCATCTTATTTTCACTACGTCGCAGCACTTGCTGAAATTTGTTCATTTGAATCATGTGGACGGTACTTTAATATACCCCCGGAAGTGTGTTCCCAGAACTAACGGAGTTTGTTTAGATATGGAAGTCCCAGAGGACACACCAGAAACAGATGAGCGGTGCCGAAGCATTGAGCGTGGATCGAAGTTGGTCTCGGTGATTCCTTCGATCTTTGCCGTTGTCCTCCAGGCACCCCGAGGAAACATTGAAACAATCTTCCCCCGCGCCCTGGTTTTGGCGGGCATTCGTACTTTCATTGATCGGAAGAACTACCGGGCTGCTTTCATGGCATGCCGAAGTCAGATGGTGGATATGAACATCCTCCACGACTACGCTCCGCAGCAGTTCATGGAGAGCATCCAGCTTTTCATTGAACAAGTCAAGAAAATTGAGTATATCGATGACTTCCTCTCTCGTTTGAAGTGAGTTGACCTACAGGAGATCCATGAGCCCCTGCTAATCCTTTTATAGGGAGGAGGATGTTTCACAAACTCTGTATAAAGACACTTTGAGGATATCCAAGAATGAATCCGCCGCTGTTGCTCAGCCCGACACCCAACCTGTACCCGCTCTCAAGCTGTCTGGCAAGGCCAACAAAGTCAACTCCATCTGTGATGCGTTCATAGCGGTTCTCCAAAACCGTGTGGATACCAACTTGCAGAACCTAGTGACTGCACACGTGTGCAAATCCCCGCCTGACCTGGATGCCGGTCTGGGTTTGGTTGCTCGCCTCCGAGGTATGTTTTGAAATCTGAAATATTCAAGTTGCCATCGTTGCTAATACTCGAAATGTAGTGCAACATCCCGAGCAAGCGGATGACGCCATAGAGCACATGTGCTTCTTGACGGATGCCCGTCAGCTTTACTCTCATGCGTTGGGATTGTATGACCTTGAACTGACTCTGTTGGTCGCACAACAAGCGCAGATGGTAAGCATTATGGCGCCTAATGACACACCTTTCTCTAACATCTTCCCAGGATCCTCGAGAGTATCTCCCATTCCTCCGGAAGCTGCAGACACTTCCCGAGCTCCGGCGCCAGTTCGAGATTGACAATCATCTTTCTCGATTCGCCAAGGCGTTGAAGCATTTGTTCGCCCTTGGTGCCCATGACGAGATTCGCGCCTACGTTGTTAGACATGTTTTATATAAGGAGGCACTTGATCTCTACAGGTACAACCCGGAGGAACAGAGGGAAATCACACAACTCTATGCCGATTACCTTCAAAGCGATTCAAAGCACAAGGATGCCGCAATCGGTAAGTCAATAACTAAGTCGCCTGAAAAGAACATCGTGGCTAACATATCATCCAGCTTATGAATCGCTTGGGATCTACGACGAGGCCTATAAATGCTACAACTCAGCTCACATGTGGCGCGAATCGATCTACTGTGCGATGATGGCCGATTTGTCAACGGAAGCTCTCAACGCTCACATCAATGACATCGCTACGAATCTGGAGGACGAAGCACGCGATTACGTCTCAGCGGCAACCGTTTACGTCGAGCACCTCCACGACGTCGTCACCGCTGCACGACTTCTATGCCGTGGTTCGAAATTCCCCGACGCGGCTCGCCTCCTGACGCTGAACGGCAAGAAGGACCTGGTCGAAGAAATCGTGGATACCGGACTGGCCGAGGCAATGGGTTCCATGACTGATCTGCTGGCCGACTGCAAGAACCAGCTCAATGCCCAGGTTCCTCGAGTCCACGAACTCCGTCAGCTTCGCGCCGCCGACCCTCTCGCCTTCTACGGAGGCGACCCAACTGGCGGCGAAGGTGGTGTGGACATCCCCGACAATGTCTCGCTGGCTCCCACCGAAGCGACTACTCTGGCCGGCCGTACCATGTTCACCCGGTACACGGGCAAGACCGGCGCATCTCGCCAGACCTCGCGCACGCGCCGGCGGGAAGAGCGCAAGCGCGCCAAGGGAAGGAAAGGCACCGTCTACGAAGAAGAGTACCTGGTCAATAGTATCCGGCGGCTAATCGAGCGCGTCAACTCGGCTGTGGCTGAAGCTTCGGCTCTGGTGGATGCATTGCTGCGTCGTGGCATGCGGGAGCGTGCAGCTGCCGTTGAGAAGGCGTTGGAGGATGTCTTGAAAATGTGTGCGGATTGCCGAGACGATGTATTTGAGGTTCCACAGGTGGAAAACAAGAACCAGGAGGACGAGGATGGAAATCCGATCGAGCCCCCTCCCCCGGTTTTCGGCGGTGCGCGAGTTCTTGCGGAGAGTCTTGGGATTGTGACTGGCGGTGTTCCTAAAGCCGTGCCTGTTGTCAAGCAGTTGACCAAGTCGTCTCTGCTTGCTTAGGCTGGGTTCAAGCATTGCGTATTGCGACGTCATCAGGCTACTGCATTGTTTACTTTTGTTCGGCGAGTCGTCCATGGTGGACCGTCGGAAGTCCTCGTGGGTGCCTGGGGAAAACAGTGAAATAACGCTATTGAAGTTTATCTGCATAAAGAGAAGAACCCTTGGGGTACAACAAAAGATCAACGGTTCCTTGCATCGACTCCCCGCATTCCGACGCCAACTATAGCATTGTTACATCACCCAGTCCATGAACCAAATCAACCCCAGCACTTTCCAAATCCGCTAAAGCCGTTGGAAAGCCGGACATCCGAATGTAATCTTGATCCAAAAAGGGCTCACCACAAAGGGCTCACCCGTCGGGGCTCCGCCCTTGCATTAGCCCGCGCGACCCTAGAGCAGCGCAGACCCCTGAGATAATAAACGGGCGAACAGAATTCGCGAGCACCGCACCGGCCAAAAAACAAAAGCTTACCCGGTTGGAGCGGGGTGATAAGACCCTGGTTAAACCGGACTCCACATCGTAAACCGGCTTGTCCGGCACGCTCGCGATATCAGTGGTGTGATTTGTGAAACACCCCGCTGCCGGAGATGCTTAGCTCTCGAGCCACGCGTGATGCACCGCTGATTGTTGACATCTCATTTCCCATGCAGCATTGCGTCCAATCAGGATGAACAGTTGGAATTGGATGTCTTGCCCGCCTTTTCGGGGTGGAGAAACTTGTCTGTACTGTAGCCTTGAGGTTGCGTTCATGCCGGTCCCTTCTGTTGGGGTTGTATTTGAAGCAGCCCGGCCCCCTCGTGTAGTCCGTAGACCATTCCAACAACTTCAAGATGTTGGTAGATCGGGTTTGTCTTGCTCTGGCCATTGCGGCTGTGACGGGTGCTGTCCCGGCTCCGATTAAACATGTCTTGCATGAGAAGCGAGACAGTCACTCTTATGATTGGGTTAAGGGTGCTCGTGTTGAGAGAGACGCGGTGCTGCCAGTCCGTATTGGTTTGACACAAAACAACCTTGAGTATGGTGATAAGTATCTTATGGAGATGTACGTGACCGGACCTACTCCCTGCAGTTGCGAACTTTCGTGCTAATGGTCTTCTAGCTCAAACCCGAGCTCTCCCCGGTACGGACAGTACTGGTCCGCGGAAGAAGTACACGATTTGTTTGCTCCTTCGGCAGAGGCCGTAGATGAAGTGCGCGAGTGGCTTCATGCTGCTGGAATCGACAAATCCCGAGTTGTTCATTCCGACAACAAGGGCTGGCTGGCATTCGATGCCTATGCACATGAAGCGGAGAATCTTTTCATGGCCGAGTTCTACGAACACCAGCATCTGAGCACCGAAAGCATCAAGATTGGTTCTGACCGGTAAGACAACTTCGCTCCGAGACAGAAAGTGGAGGATCAAAACTGACAAAACCAGGTACTATGTCCCACAGCACATCCAGGGACATATTGACTACATCACACCGGGAATCAAACTAACCCCCATTGTCAAGAAATACACCAAGGTCAAGCGAGAATCTCACTTGGCTCATTCCAACCCAAACGCGCAGGCTGGATCGGCCCTCGATGACCACTATTCCATCCCGGCAAAGGCCTTGTCCCTGCCTGCTGACTTGCAGGGCTGTGGCCTCAACATCACCCCGACCTGCATCAAGGCTTTGTATGGTATTCCCGATGCTACCAAGGCCAGACAGGGCAACTCGCTCGGTCTCTACGAGCAGGGTGATTACTTTGCCAAATCGGACATCGATCAGTTCTACGAGCAGTATGCTCCATGGGTTCCTCAGGGTACCTACCCTATCCCGGCAATGATTGATGGAGCGAACTTCTCTGTCTGTCGTTGTAATCCTTTGAATGCGGGTGAATCCGATATTGACATTGACATGGCGTGAGTACAAGCCTTGAAATCGTGTTGGATATTTACGTGTGTGTTCTGGCTAACCGATTTAGTTTCTCTTTGATCTATCCTCAAAATGTGACTCTTTACCAGGTTGATGATCAGCTTTACGAGCCAAAGGAAGTTGCCACCACCAACCTGTTCAACACGTTCCTTGACGCTCTTGATGGTGTATGTCTCACACTTCGCATAAACAATACAATGCTAACCTTTTCAGTCATATTGCACATACAGTGCCTACGGAGAGACGGGCGATGATCCTAACATCGACCCTGTCTACCCGGACAATCGCCCCGGTGGCTACAAGGGTAAGAGCCATAGTAACTCTTGAATGCGGTTCAAAATAGCTGACTCAGTTACAGGCAAGCTTCAATGTGGCGTTTACAAGCCCACCAACATCATCAGCGCCTCCTACGGCCAAGCCGAAATCGACCTCCCAATCAGCTATACCAAGCGCCAATGCAACGAGTTCATGAAGCTCGGTCTACAAGGCCACTCAATCCTCTTCGCCTCCGGTGACTACGGCGTCGCCACATCCGCCGGCGACGTGGACAGTCCCAACACCTGTCTAGGCCCTGATAACAAGATCTTCAACCCGCAGTACCCATCGAACTGCCCGTACGTGACCTCAGTCGGAGGAACCATGCTCTACGGCGACCAAACCGTCAAGGATGCCGAAAGTGTCATGCACGTCAACCTCGGTGGCACTGCCACCAACTTCACCACCGCTGGTGGTTTCTCGAACTACTTCCCCCAGCCTGATTACCAGAAGGAGGCTGTCAAGAAGTATTTCGAGAAGGCTGATCTGAGCTATCCCTACTACTCCGAGTTCAGTGTCGATTTCAACAAGACCAAGGGACTTTACAACCGCATTGGACGGGCCTACCCTGATGTTTCAGCCAACGGTGCCCAGTTCCGTGCTTATACTCATGGCATTGATTACCACTACTACGGATCGAGTCTGGCGTCGCCGTTGTTTGCCTCGGTTCTGAACTTGGTATGTCTCATCTCCTGATTGCGTGCCGTTTACAATGTGCTAATGAATTGGGGGTTTCCAGATCAACGAGGAGCGTTTCGCTGTGGGCAAGGGACCCGTGGGCTTCGTGAACCCGGTGCTCTACGCTCACCCGGAGGTGCTCAACGATATCACCAATGGCACCAGCGCCGGGTGCGATACTGACGGATTCGCTGCAATTGAAGGGTAGGCAAATATCTTGGATCATCGTATTTATTTCATGGAAATGGACTTGGCTAACAACGCATGCAGATGGGACCCCGCGACCGGTTTGGGTACACCAAACTACCCCAAGATGAAGGAGCTGTTCATGAGTCTTCCTTAGATCCTGAGGGACTCCTCTTATTTACTGTACATGTGATTCAACACTATGTAAATTCGACCTCACTTCAATTTCTGTTGAAAAAGTATTTGATGTAGAATCAGTCCTTAGTTACTCTAGCCACCACTTGACTACATAGTGCATACAACTGTGGGCTTTATATGCCAAATACGCAAAATGACGAGCGTTTTCTAGGTTGGGATACTGCCGGTAGATCACAGGGAAGGGTATCAATTTGTAAATCAATTCTTTGCCAAGGCTTCAGTCCTGATGATTGTACAGTTGACATCTCACCAATGCATATATATAGTCTAGAACTTATAAATCTGGTCCTTGTTGAAACCCAAACGGCTGAGAATCCCTTCCGTTTTCCGCGATCCGACCAAAGAATCTTCCATCCCAGGAGGACCGCAGACGAAGACATGCGAGTTCTTGTCCGATCCCTTCATAACATCTCGCAAAAGCTCCTCATTGATATACCCCTTGGGCAAAGTCGAGTCCTTCTCTGTGGGATGACTGACAGCGTAGACATAGTTGAACCGGCCAGGGAAGCGCTGCTTGTACTGTTCCAACTCTTCCCTCAACAGCAGATCCTGTTCTGTGTTGACACCAAAAACTAGATCCACCTTGGTCTTGTCGTCGGGATTGTTCAGGATGCCCTGCATGAGCTGGTAGATTGGGGTAATACCGGCTCCACCTGCGATAAGGTGGACCTGGGCGAACTTGTTCGGGGTCCATGCGAATCCTTTCAAGGCTGCGGCGAATGTGAGGGTGTCGCCCGGGACGAGCGAGTGGAGGTGAGTGCTGGCTTTGCCATCGGGGTAGTGTTTTACCATCAACTCAATAGAGCCTTGTTGGTCTGGTTGTGTTGTCAGTTTAGGTCGTTGGGTACGGAAATGGCCTTCACTGTACCTAGATCGCTGATAGGAGTGTACGGGCGCAGCACGGGGAAGAAACGACCCTTCGGCCAGGAATACGTGAGAAGGGCAGCTAGAAGCTATCAGCAATGTTCGTTTTCCGAAGTCATGATCGGAGCATACAGGTCAAGGTCAGTCCACTGGTGGCACTCTGATCGGGAAATTCAAATACCAGGCGCTTGGTGTTGTGGTTCACCTGCTTGACCTGTTGAACGCGCAATGTTGTGAAACCAAAGCCCCCGAACACTTTCGGAGACTCTGCTGACTCTGCATGTCCTGTCGGCAGAATAGATGGCGTGGCATAGTAAACACCAACACCAGCAACCACTGTAGCACATAGTACAGCCGGTCTGGACTTGAGCATTTCCCATGGGAGTCGTGACGATGCCATTTTATCAATTAGCAGTTTTCACAGAGACAAGAATCGGGAACGCAGGGGTAATACCATGCAATTATAACAATGTAGATGGGGCCACCTTATTCCTAATGCGGTGATCGCCCAAAACCCGCCAAAAGCCGTCGGACCCGTTAAAGACCGACCAAAGGGTGAAGTGGGACGGCCCTCTAGGCGCCACGGAGCCTCCAAAATGCGAGTCGGGATTTCCAAAAACCGATGCCGTTGCTAGTCCGCATTTAATTATTCAATTGTTTCCCGATTCAAGCTCTCTTTCAATTACGATCAAGTCTCTTGCAAAGACATTCAGACATTTCTAAAAATACTCTCAAACTATGACTTCACATTATTGCAAATACGATTCAATCAAAGGCAAACGGAATGTTCGTGGTGCATGCTAAATCAATCGTTATTACAGGTACTATCGGTGGGCTCAGTACTATTGCAACCCCTGCCTTCGTGGCCTCCCACCGCGTGAATATATGTCTGTTGGCGCAATTCCCATCTCCTACCGATGTATTTTTATTCCAAATATCCAACGGGCTGCCTCTACACATGCTCCTTTGCAGCATACTTATTATTCCAAAATGAGAATCGAATTCCTATGCAGGGCTTGTTTTCATATTTACAATTCATGGATAGAAAGGGGGCCTCTCTGAGAACCGCCTTCAATTGTTCTCGAATAGGTCTCCAGAAATCCCTCATGCCTCCCCGATCACTTGGGCGCCCTTGCAAAAACCGGAGAGCTATTGACCTTCGACTTGTCTCAACCCGAGACAAGCATGCTTCCGTCACCTGATAAGAATCTTGCTGTGGTAGTGACCGTTACACGAAAAGAACAGCTTCTCCAATCGGGGGTTTATTGCCTCTTCTTCTTGAACCTACTCGGAAATATACACCGCTGTAACCAAGACGTCACACAGCTGATTAAACCCAAAAGAAGCGTGGCATGCCTGTTACACCGATTGCAAGTTATTCACATTATCACAGGCTATTAGACTCTCTGAGATATGCATGACTTGTTTGCGGGTGTATTACAGATTGTGGGGAGAGCTCTCGAATCTCGACCACATGTTGAACCCACGAGATGAGGTGTTACAGCAGATCACTGACTTCCCAGGTTCAAGGATATTTCCGAGACCTCGGGAACCTTCCAAGGTTGCGCAAGTGGACATTGGAATTGCCCTTCAGCGTTGTGACGCATTCTGAATCTTAAGTGCTTATCTTCCGAGACAATCTGAGGTTTATATAATTATCCTTCCCTTCTCTCAAATCTAAGTTCACTAAAAATAGCATTTACACTTTATACACTACCCATCAGCCTGCGAGTTAGCTGCTTCTACTCGTCATTACTGAAACCACCCCATCTGACACTTCTCTAGACGATGCATCTCCCCGTCGCGAACGTCCTCACTATTCTTGTCCTCGGCCTAGGTAGCCTACCTACCACGGAAGCCGTGAAATGCAGATGCGACGGGGGCGCTCGACTATCTCGAAACGCCTGTTATCAAGTTGGGGGCAGCTTTGGGAATTCCTGTGGATTTTCTGGATGCTGTGTGAGCGGAGTACAACAGGAGAATTTCATCGACACCTGCAAGTTACTTGGGTATGGATTTAGGCGGTGCGATGATTGTGCAACGTGTCAGACATGAGAGCCATTGCTGTAGTAGAGTGGTCGAAATATACGAGAAGGTAGTTTGCTGAAGTTGAAACCATTGGGATGATATTGGCGTGCCATTATAAAATTAATCAAGCCTTTTTTTTGACATGAACAGGTATGTCGTATTGCGAATTATGTTCTAGAAAGCCAAGAGAAAAATAAAGATGGAAAGAGACATCATCTTTTGCCTTGGACCAAAGACGGTCCTTGCAAAAGGAAATGGGGTATCTTCCAAGCCGTCTTAGCAAGGACGCGCTGTATCGTAAATCTCATTTCAGGTCCCTCTACTGGGAGACCATCTCGCCAGTCTCAGTCACAAGGTGCTCATCAACAGTGATGGGGCCCTCGCCAACACCGGTCAGAATAACACGGCTGACGCCATCCTTCAGAACATCTAGAACACGAGAGTCAATGTTCTCCAGAGCAACGCCAGGAGCAGTGACACTGGTCAACTTCTCGTAGAAAGCACCTTCCCAGCCAGTGGTGTTAGCACCCAGAATGGCCTTGACAGTGCCAGCAACCAGCTCGGAGTCCTTCTCCTCGTAATAAATAACGGCGTTGGGGCCGGCGTCAAAGGTGTAGGCAGCAACGGTCCGGCCGACAGCGCGGTTAATGTCGTGTACCAGGCGCACGGCGGCGCGGGAGACGTCGTTCATGTAGAAAATTGGCGGCCACGAGTCCAGGCAGGTGGCATGGAAGGTGTTGGAGTCACGCATGGTGATCTCAGCGAACTTGGGGAAGTCCCGGTCTCGGATAGCAGCCTCAATAGCATCCATGCGCTGGGGAACAATGGATTCAGCTCGCGTAGCAAAGAGCTCCGAGGTGTTCACGGTGGTCTGCATGCCCTCGGTGCTAGGCACGTCCTTCTTCTCCGCGCTGACGACCAGAACCAGGGCCCGCATCTCAGGCCAGTGAGACGCAGGGGCAACCTCCTCTGCGAGACTGTCGCTACCGTCCGCAAGCTCGCCAGTGCGCCATGCGACATAGCCGCCCATCAGGGACCGACAGGCGGAGCCAGACCCTTGACGTGCGATGCGGCTCAGCTCGCGGGGAGACTGAGGCAGCTCATAGAGGTTGGCGACAGCCCGGACGAGGGCAGCGAAGCCAGCGGCGGAACTGGCAAGACCAGCGGCAGTGGGGAAGTTGTTCTCGGATACGATGCGGAGAGGGTGGGTGGAGAGCTTGGGCAGCGAGGGGTTGGCATCTTCAAGAGCCTTGCGCAGAGCACGGAGGTTGGAGAGGCAGGCAAGAGTGCGCTTGGAGGACTGGATCTCCTGAGGCTTGCCGTTCAGGTTGAGGGTATCCTCAGTGGGGTAGTTGGCGGAGCAGGAGGCGGTGGTCAAAGTGCGGAGAGATTTCTGGGAGAGGGTGACCGAAAGGGACGAATTGGTAGGCAAATTCAAAGTAGTATCACGCTTGCCCCAGTACCTTGAAATTTCACTATTAGCAAAACAAGTCCATTGTTGGGAATTCAAGAGGGGCACAAGCCCAACTTACTTGATGACGGCAATGTTGACAGGGGCAGTGGTGGTGGCCCGGTAAACGGACTGGTTCGATTCAGAGGCCATGCTTGCTTCAGATTCAAGGAATTAAAGAGGTTGTAAACAAAAAGGCAGACCACAATGGGTTCAGGAGGGGCGGTGAACTTCCTAGTTGGGGAACGCTGCGTTTATACGATGGCGGGCGGTGAGGACAAAATTATCCCGGCGATCGCCCGCGTTCTTCGTACAGCGCCGACCGTCAATCTTCTTACAAACCACGATATCCATGGGTGCCGGTGCCAGTACTCCCTCCGCAGAGCCACCTGCGGCTTCGTGCCCTGTGGACCACAAGACACGCGAAATTTGGTTGCAGCAACATAAAAACTCACCACATCCTCCCTCCGGTCCCTCCGGCGCGGCCGACCAAACAGAAGGGCCTGTCAAACATCAACGACCCTTATCTACAGACCGAGAAGTCAGTACGATACCCCGGGCCGGCGAAGCAGGTGCCAAGCCCTGTCCTGAAGCAAATAAAGAGCCACCGTCGCCCTATGCCTCTTCCCCATACGCCGCCTCGCATGGCTTCCCGTCAAATGCCGAATCCGAGACGGGCCACGATGAAGCCTCCGGTAACTGGATCTATCCATCCGAAAAACAATTCTTCGAAGCCTTGATGCGCAAGGGCAACTCCCCGGAATCCACCTCCTCCGCCTCCGAACTTGCGACATCTGTCGCCTCAATCATTCCCATCCACAACGCTGTCAACGAGCGCGCGTGGAAACAGATCCTCGACTGGGAAGGCAAAGCCCCTTCATCTGATCCCGGAAGCACAAAGTGCGGAGGCCCTAAGCTGTACTCATTCCGCGGGCTCGGAGTCGATCCACAGTTTTTGAGTCCCCGCGCGCGGATCAATGGATGGCTTGGCTATCAACGACCCTTCGACCGACATGACTGGGTTGTTGAGCGCTGCGGTGGAGAGCGAGTTGAATATGTGATCGACTTCTACCAGGGCAAGACGGGAGGCAACGGGAATCCAGGCGGCTTAGCGGGCAATGCTGGCCCTGGCAAGCTCAGTTTCTACCTGGATGTTCGACCAAAGTTGAATTCCTATGAAGGCTGGAGAATGAGATTCAGCAACTTCGTTGGCCTGTGAACTCCTATTCAGGGACCAGGATCAACGATATAATTCATGTATAAACACACCTGTACGATATTGCACAATATTAAGACTTAGAGGAGGCGATGTTCTCCATTCCATATACGCCAGAGTCAAAACACTAAGAAACTATGAGAACAAGAGGAAATGCTCACGGAGACCGTGATTGCATGATGCTTCGGGGATATCGTGCGAGGACATAACAGAGAGGATCAACCGCCAAAATGAAATCAAAACTGCAAGATGAGAACGAGAAACCAGGTCTATCCGAGGACGACAGCAAGGATGATAATGGCCAGAATAACGCCAAGAATGAGAAGCAGACAGCACGCCTTGTTGCGCGCATTCTTCTGGTATCTGCTGGCACTGCGCAACTCGGTATTCGCCCCGCGAGTGTCCTGGTTGACGTTCTGGACGTTCTCGCTGATAATATCAAGCTGGCCGCCCTGCTCATGGACGATATGTGCGACATCACGGAACAGCTCGTTCAACTCGCCCACGCTCTGTTCAATGTTGCGGATCTCGGTCTCCCGCTCAATGATCAGGGACTCTTGGAAGTCGACCTCGCCCTGGTCTGCCAGGCGAGACTGCTCTTCCAACTGCTGCTGCTGGAATTGGCCTTCGCTATCAGCAACGCCTGCTTCACCTTCATCCATGGCTGTTCGAGCAGCGACTGCCGATGCGCGTTGCTTCTCCAACGCACGGCGCTGGACGGTCTGGAATTCATCCAGGCTTGCTTTGAACTCGGACGAGAGCTTCTGCTGTGTCCATTTTTGCGAAGGCTAAAAGAAACTCAGTCAATAAGGGTCAAAATTCAAACGTGATAGTCCTCGACATACATTGACATCCTCCCATGTCTGGATCTTCTTGAGGCCCTCTCCAACATCCTTGAATCCCGTTCGAGTCTCCTCCAACAGATTGTGGACCCGTTCGCGCACGCGCTCAGTATCCCGCTTCGTTCCGAGGAGTGCAATCTGGTTCGACAAGCGAGAGATGTTGGAAGTCAGTGTGAACAACTGATCCGAAAGAGATTCAGCCAGATTGTCGAAGCCAGGGTCGTCACGGTACTGCGGGTCATCTTCCCGGCGGAAGTTGTTTTGAGCCTCAAGGGAATTCAAGCGGTCGAAAGACATGGTGGGCAACGCTGAGGAACAAACGTAGCAGAATGAGGAGACATGCACCGGGCACGAGATGAGGTGCTGCTGCCTCCGCCGGGACCTGCGACTCACATGACGTATGCGCACTAGTCATTGTTAGGTTAGTGCAGTGTGCCACAGTCACATGACCTGGAGTGGCTGGTGTGTTTTGATGCCTCAAAATATTCCATCATGGACTTGATTTGCTACTGCTCCCATCGGCACTGCGCACCCAGCTCCTAGTCGCCCTCGACTCACCCCAATACCGTCGCCGAACCCCCAATCGGCACCGGCAGGTCTTAAAGCTCCTGGGATGGTCAATCTGATCATGCTCTAAGCCTGTCCACACCCTCTCTTTCAGAGCACCATCCCACTCGAGCTTGCACGATGGCCACCCCTCAAACTCGCCCATATAGGCGCATCCTGACATCGGCATTGCACCGCCGGTTCGTCCATGCATCTGCGTTGTCCCTTCTGGTCTCATATGTCGTGGCAATTGCAATCGGCGACAAATCATCCTGTACGTATTGTGGACCCAGGCCGAGTTCTACGGGAGCTCTCCCATCCGTTCGGGAGCTATAAGGATTAACATCAGTACCTTTTACAGTTTTCTGGTCATGGTTCCCCATCGGCGCTTGTGGAATCCGTGCGGTTCTACTCTTCGTTACGTCTCTCGTCGTCTTCGTCCTGCGCGTCGGCCAACTGCACCTTGGCTCCCGAACGACGATATCCTCGATCGCAACCTTTAGGTATCTCTTCCCCCTTCAGGTTGCTCAGACATTCGGATGGTATATCTTTTCGGCTTGGTGGTTCACTGAGATTTACCTGTGGTCGTCCTCCGCCGATGCGCACCTGGAGATGGTCAAACGGGGCAAGTATGTTGTCAAATACCAAAACGAACTTTTGAGCAAGCGCTAATATTATACAGACTACATGAGCGGCCAAGTCTCAATGAGCGCCCTATCTACATCCATACCTTCCATTTACTCCTGGCATGCTGGCAGGCCGTGGTCCACCTGGCCAATGATTACGACCGAGTTCCAATCCCCACCGTGAAGCCAGCTTGCGATGCGCCCGATGTGCGGACACACCCTGTTCCTCCAACTTCAAAACACATTCAGGCCCTGTTGCCCCAGACACTCATTGATGGTTTCACACAAACCGTTTGGGTCGCGGTTGTTACGCCCCTCGTGTACCAATTCGTGCTTCGACAGACCGCGTGGGGCTGGGCTTTGTACTTTGCCAAGCTCTTCTGGAACTTCCCGAGATCATCCGCGGAGCCTGCTTCGATTATTCCTCCTGGTTTCTTCTTCCTGATCGCTCGCTCTATCTTCTCTGGATCTCTCCTCGTGCTCTGTTGGCAGGCAGCTAACCTGTTCTTCTCCATCTTCATTGGCAAGGAGCCTCTGAAGCGTGGCCAGCCGCTCACAGCGGAGGCTAAGGACCCCAATGGCAGCTTGATCACCGGACTGAAGGCCAAGAAGGAGGCTGTTCAATCTTTTGCTTTCTGGGAACTTGGTCTCATTAGCCAGCGCTTGCCCGAGCGCCGCAAAGCTATCTTCAATGAGATTGATCGAGACGGTGGCTCTACTTGGTCGCAGATACTGGCCTGTACGACGGATGTAATCAAGGGCATTACCACACGTATTGAAGCAAGCAAGGCTCCTGCTCCCGGTGCTAAGCCCGCAGTCCCAGCAGATGACCCTCAGCCCGTTCTCCAGACTCTGCCACGGTTGACCGAGGCGGCCAAAACCGACAACGTTTTTGCTGCTTCGCCACAGGCAAGCTCGCGTCAGCAGAAATTTGGCGAAGCTTTCAGCTCAACAGCCAAATCATATGGACAGTCCGCAGACTGGACACCCAAAGCACGAGCCCGCGCTCGTCAAGTTTTGGACCAAGCCTCGTCAGCAATGTTTAGCCCTGAGCGGAAACAAAGGTTCCTTGCCGCCGGAGAGGACTTGAAGCTGCTCACAGGAGGCCCGTCCTCCACATACAAACCGGAGAACATCAACCCAACCATCGCCCAGGTGCTCCGTTCACCCGTCGGTCAGCTTTTCCAGCAAACCTTTGCCCAGCGGGCGTCAAGCATCGTCCTCGGCTCCCCGGATTCATCTCTAAGCCCAATTGTCGACGCCGTTGACTCGTTAGCCCGCCTCCTCATCGCCAGTCTGGCAGAGGACCAGTACGGTAAAGTCCAGGCCGATGTGCCTGATGTGGTCCGTCTATTCACACGAACTATCATGACTGTAGATGCATTTGTGCACCAGGGTGGTCTTGATGCGCACTGGACAGACGTCAACTTCCCATCTTCTAAGGACCCCGAGGCGCAGGCTGTAGCCCGCCGGGTCCCGGAGGTCGAGCTTGTTCTTGATGCCCTTAAGTGTAGCCTTCGCGACTTGCTGTCCTCCTTCAAGCCATACCTGCGCGATATCGGTGTTGTGGGTAAGGACCTCAGACTGGCCAAAGAGGCAGCTGGTGTAAACGAGGAGGGGTCTTCATGATGTACGATGATTCTTTTGGCTCGAGGCTTTAATTTTTATGTGTATTCGAAGCGGCGTCGTCTTAGGTGATGGTCGCGAAAGCTAGTCGCTGTATTCCCGTTGCCCAGGTGGGTTTGGTTCCAGTGGACAATTGCATGGTCAGGCGTTTTTTTTTAATGGACGCGATATCACTTAACCAGCTTGGGTCCGTGTCTATGAAATAAAAAAATTAAAACTCATATGGCCATTTGTAGCCGTGTAAACACACTTCGTCCATGAGTCACATGACAACGGACTCCGCAATAACCTCATGTTGCGCCGCTCTTGTATCTGCCCTCGTTGAAGCTGTCAGTTGCGGTGTCAGTTGTCCTGAGCATTAATCAATAGCTTAGCAGAGAACCTGGATCTAGAGAATGTCGCTCAAGAATATCTACCATCTGCGTCGGGTTGCAGACACCTCCTCAAAAGCATGTTTGATCTGTTACAAGCCGTCGACCAGCGTGTTGATCACGCCAGACAACAAGGTAAGAAATTATTCCGAAGATCGATTAAATTCATTGGGCATGCTGAGAATCGGCCGCTCTGAAGCGGTACGTCTATGTATCCAAAGACTGATCTCAACCCAGGACTTCTTCTATGTGTGCCCCGCACACCTACAAGACCGGCACTTTTGCTCGCCGATCATCAACGCAGAGGCAGAAGCAGCGCGCCGTAAAGAGGAAGAAATGGCCAAAGAGATTGAACAGGTGAAAAAGGAGTATGAGGAAAAGCAGAAACGCAAGAAAGAGCGCGCTGCCAAGGACGACAAAGAGAAGAAAGATGACAAGGACAAGAGCAAGGAAGATTCTAAGGACAAGAAAGATGCAGAGTCTAAAGATGATGAAAAGGACAGAGATGATAAGGTGTGTGGTGATTTTTGATGTGACTTAACTCGTTATACAGTCGATTGATGATTGCCTGCAGATTGACTCGATTCGGAAAGCTGGAGAGTCTAAAGCAGACGCTTCTCCGAGAGTATTTGCTCTTCATAAGTAAGTTCCGGTGAAACTATTTTGTCTGTTCCTGTTGCTAACAAATCCTCAGGAACTTCTATCAGATGCGCATTGATCGGCTGCGAAATATCGAAATGGCCAAAAGGAACCAAGACAGAATGAAGAATCCTGCTCTTTTCCCTTCTGTTCCTAACCGTGGCCTCTAACTCTCAACGACATACCTATCCAGCTGAGCCGGATGCATGATTTGATCCCAGCGACGTGGGCAGTAACCTTCATGACAGCGTGGCTCAAGCCACGCTGGCAGTCATACTGTCGGGCGCCACAGATGCTTCGCAGCCCTGTGGTTCGTCGACACAAAGTCCCCTTTCCTGCATCTGATCGCGGAGGATAAAGGGTGCAACCGCGAAAAGCGCAAGGCCATCCGTCCTACACCCCTGCATATCATTCCCCCACACAGAACCTCCGTAAGGCCGAACCGAAATGGTGTCAACGCAGCGCGGTTGCATTCGGCAAAGCATGATCCACCATTTCAGCAGTGGGCCTTACCACAGCAACAGACTGCGCAGAGGCCATCACTTTTCAGAACCGAACCATCTGTATACGTGAAACTACCAGGTTCTCAATCCTGTTACAAGAATACTGGCTGCCTACCGTCGGGCTAAGTCTGCATATACCCAGCGAAGATCAGCCAACTAGCATCTCACCACATACGTACTTCAATACCAATCCTTTGCAAGGCCCCTTCAATCTATCCGTCCACCCGCAGATTCCTCGAAAGACATATCCTAAAAGAGCATAACGTGATCGCCCATAGAGTCATCACAAGCCATAAGCGAACCCTGACACTACGTGTTGCATGCGCTTGTAGTGGGGAATGCATCTAGGATAAGCACTAGAGCGAACCCCGTCAGCCTTAGTGGATCGTCGTAACGACTACTGGATAACGGGTACTTTAGCTTGTTCCCGGGGCTTGCGTTTGCGAAACCCCGGGAGTCGAAGGCGCGCCTGAAGCGGGGTTTCGGTTGCGAAATGTCTTTGGGGTCAAGTTGGCAGGTCCGATGGGGGCGGAGTCTACTAATCACCAGGGCTGTGTGAACAGGTTCGTGCAAGCTAGGGCAAAGATGGAAGGGCCGATTCCCAAATCTCATACTCCTTAAGTTTTAGCTTCTATATTCCCCCTATTCCGAAGCATCCGTATGCAACGGTCTCAACTAATTATAGGTCCTCGCATAGGTCAACACCATTTTCGTGATTCGCTCTACAATGATCCAGTTGCCTAGCAATGCCTCATCCTCCCTGGGTATAGAAAACATCTAGATGCGTCGATGAGCCCCGCGTGAAAATTAGGTACATATGCGTCCAGAGGATGCCTAGAAGGCTCTCGAAACTAGTATATTAAACTTACCCTACGGGATTTAGCGTAGCCGATAGCGTATTCGGATAGGAGTACCAGCCACTACTTGGCTATGTATGGCTGTGCATCACATGTGGCACGGGAGGCTAGGGTGTAGTTCATTTTGGCAATATTGATTGAATTTTTTTCAACGCGGTGTAAGTAGTTGGCGTCGCCGTTCTACATTAGGATAGCTCGAATCAACAAAACGTAATGACCTTCCCAGTTCAGTATATGGTCAGTCCATGGCACACGAGTTGCCCAACAGTACAGTACCTTGGTACATCTCAATATCAGATCCAAAGCAATCCGAAACGGACCCGACTCACAAAGCGTCAGAGCTTCATGCAAGGCGATCACACCAACCCTAACCGAAAAGGGGGCCAGGGGGCGGAACTTTAAGCGCTAGCTTCACGGAGAGGGGGGGCAAGGTAGCAAGCTATGATATCAGCGTCAACAAGACCCCATAGTGTCGACACAGGTAGTATGTAGGACTCCACTGCGAAGCTGAGAGTTCCCCTGCAAGGCAGTGTGCACTGCCCCACCCCCACCGAGGCCGACCCGCCAATAAGCGTGTGGAAGTATCTCGTTGGCATTCCTGACCTGAGCCAATTGTCCACGCTATGAAGGTGTTGCGCGGGTCCGAGTTATGGTCTTGGCCTCGCGGGCTGTCAGTGTTCGTCTTGGCTTTTTGTTTTTATCTTTATTTGATTTTTTTTTTGGTTCCAGGGAGGACAGCCCCTTAGAACTCCGTAAGTAATGACGGAGCGAAACGGGTGGATGACGGGTAATACGGATACGCGCGGTGATTGACCCAGGCGCCAATCGGGAGGCATAGGGAGACCCGCTTTTTGCACAGCCTTCTTCTCCCACCCTTGGAAAATTGTCCTCCACAAGAGGGAATTAATCACCGAGGTCTGCATCATTTGTCAGTGGTGATCTTGAAACACATTGAGAGCTTGTGTTCGAGCTTGTGTTCGGACAGGGTATGCTTTGTGGGGAGCGCAACTGTGACACCGAGTCATGTTTGCCTCTTTGGCGCGCGACTGACTAGATAGGTTTCGGATCACGAATTTAGCTCGATGCAGCCCTAAGCCTCGTTCAGGCACTGTTGACGGCGCTATTCATTGGCTGTCGCATATCGCCGTGTGGCCCTGAGATGTGAACTTGTACGAGACCGTGGAGCTATGGGCCTCTACGGTGTATACTTGCTATTGGAGGATGATGTTGGAGAGGCTTAAGCCCTGGGTCCTCTAAGAATAGGCTGACATTGGTGATCTCGAATCACATACTGCATCTGCCTATGGAGCATACGTAGCTCGCGATTTAGGCGTCAACCGAGCCGCTAGTATATTGTCTAGTGTTGCCTTTCCAACACGGATATCTTCGGGGCTGAACTTGTGCCTGAATGGACCAGTTCAGGAACCCACTGTGTGTGGGTCTAGAATGCCGTCCTGACTATGTATGTTTAAAAATGCTGCGCGGAGCTGCGACGGAGATAGAGCCTCACTGTTTTCCTTGCTGACAAGTGTATATCCACCGTGGAGCAGGTACGCATTGCTTTCCACAGAAAGTGATCTCGAGCGAGCTTTCGCCTCCACTGACGCAAGTGGCCGTGAAGATGGCGGTCTCAAGGCCGAGCATCTTGTGAAAGATCATTGCAGGGCTGTGGTGTGGCTTGAGGATGTACTGCAGGTCGACGGGATTCGCCATTGCCCTGTGGAGACAATCGACCAGCCCTGTGGAGACCTGGTCGAGTGTCACCTTTATGCATTGTGCAAAATAGCATACTGCGATCCAGGAAAAAAATGGAAAACAAAAAGGAAAATGCGTAGATTCTTCGCTTGGGAATGTCATCGCTCGTAAGATCTATTATGCATGCATGCCATATCATCGCTCGTCAACATCACCTCATATCTCACAAGTTTCCGCGCCCAGGACCATCGCCCGTTTCAGAAGACCGCATCCCTGGAGGCATACGAATACCTATTGCGGCCGGGGAAGGGTTCCCTGCTCCCCGGGTAGGATTAACCTTATTGGCAATGTCGACTCGGGCTTTGGCAAGGCCGATGGCCGGAACCACCCAATGACCGCAATTGCACTGCATGCCCTGCCATGCGAACTTGCCAATGTTGGCCCCGCAGGCGCCATGAGGGCATGTCAAGCGGCCGGACAAGGGGGCATCGCCCTCATAGTCATTGGGGCCCGCTTCAGGGAATAAGCTTGAGCGCATCCACTTCATTGGGTGTAAAAACACATGGGCGCACTCCGTATTCGATCGAATTTTGGCGCTCTCTTGCTTCTCCTGTTCGTGAGAAATGATGTATGGAGTCGAGGCAATCCCACGCCTTGATCGAAATTAGTCTTTCAACTTTACCGCATTGGGAAGGGGATACGAACCGGCACTTGCGACACTTAATCTCCACCGTTCGGCCGGTATCCTCCTGAGGCCGTTGAGGCTGCTCGTCTTCGAAACGGATTGACTTGATTTCTGGGGCACGCCCGCATGCCACACTTTCCTCGACCTCGCGACGGTATAGCCAGCGTTGGTACACGGGGTGATCCGCGACCTCCTCTGGACATCCCATCTCATGGTAAAGGTTCAGCTGTTCCATGAAGCCGTCATTGGGTTCACAGAGTGGCCGGCACTGGCGAATCAGCTCGAGTGCGGAGTCCGGTGTGAGCCCGCTACGCTGCTGGTGGAGCAAGTAGGCAATGCAGACAGTCGCGGATCGGGACTTGCCCATTGCACTAGTTCATCGTGTCAGCCGTCACTTTGCCTCAAAATGCGGGCCTAGCGCGCCGCGTGTCCACCGCAAACATAAAATGCAAAAAAGCAAAGAAGTATAAGTGAATGCCCAATAGGCCGTGTTTGCAGAAAGTATACTTCCGCCACGTGTAGATCGCAATTGATGCAGCACGTGATGACGTATGAGGCTGCCACGAATCGACAAAATCTTCCCAAAGGCAGAGACGGCGGAGAAAGGGGACGTGACGCAGGAGGCGCGGAACATGAGAACTTACCAATGCACAAGGACACTGCCGCCGGCGTCTAAGCCGGCCTGAATGAACCTGATAGCAGCCGGGATATGCTCGAGAAGATTATCATCGTCAACATCGTCAACATCGATCTTGTGATGCTGATAGCCTGCGAAGATGTCCTCGGACGGAGAGAGTCTTAAAACAGACACCACATGAGTGACATTGGCCCGTTCAAGAGCCGCTTTGTTTTTGAGGCAAAAGATGCTACAAAGTGGGGATGCTGGTCAGCGATATAGAAGACATGGCGATATGGTCCCAGCACGAGGCCCACTCCGCATGAGGCAATAGTATAGCATCCAGGTGCAGGGCGGTAACTCACCCTCCGATGTAGATGTTATGGCCGGGGATCTGGTTCATAGCCATGGCGCTGAGCAAGACAGGATCTTCCTGCAAACGAGACGTCATGAAAGCCGAAGTACAGTAATCGTAGACTATCAACAGAGGAGATCCAACTTGCTTAACCTGACTGAGGTTGCCGCGAGCCTCGGCCCTGCCAAACTCAAAAATTCTGTTAGGGCAAGGGCTTGGCGGAACCAGGTGATGGTTTCTGCCTCAGGCATGATAAGGCATTTTATGGGAACCCCTCAAAGGGAATATCAGCATCCGCGGCAAATTTCATTTACGGTCCACAAGGAGGACCCAAAAGGTCAAGTACAAGCGTCGCAGTCAATCCTGGCTTCGAAATGATAAACCACATTCAATCCTACAGTAGATGTGGGTAGACCCGACGCTCTGGAGTTACCCACCCGCAATGTCACTCCGCATTTCAAGGATTGAACTGGAGAGTGGAATGAACCACTCACACTTCTCCATATCCCCGCCACCAAAGTCTCGTATCTCTTTCCAGAAGGGGGAAATTCCAGAAACCCGAATATCGGTGTAGAAGCTGACGCAAAGACTAGCCGAGCGGTTCACGCCGCTGTGGGGCACCTGGGTTTATCGACAAGGTATGTACAAAAACACGCGAGCCGATTCGCCGGGCTGCCAAGGGATTTGGGCCCAGTATTGGCTCTGACTTGCCGCAAGTAAGTTAGAGCGAAAGGCAGGAACATTTCCATTTGCATCGACACGCCCTCAGCACGGCGGGTTATAGGCCTGGCTGACTCGGTCAGACGGTCACATCGGCCGAGACGGAGGCGTTGGCGCACACGCGCTCCTAGGCTGCAGCCTTCTAATAAGGCTGAGGCCCGGCACAGCCCTGTCTGACTGCGTCCGATGGATGTGCTGACGGTGCCATGTCGGACAATCACTGCCCCATGCTACAGTGGTGTTGCAAGAGTTTGAAACCACCTTATGTACCTTTCTTTACCGCCTGCTTGTTAGAAGCACACTAACGCCCGTTGAGAGAATATGAATGGTGGAACTACTAATTGCCGGCAGAATAAATAGCTCGGTACCTAAAAGGGTTTCAAACTCTTGGAACGCCACTGTATGTAGAATCATGGAGCCCGGTACGTCTGCTACATACAGTACGCTCTACAGACGTGCATGTACAGCCCCAACTTGTATTTGTTGATGGCCAAACCCGGACTTGACTGCGCCGATCCATAGAATCCAAGAAACTCTATTGCGACTAGTGGACTTGGAGCTTGGGGAACCCGCAAGCCACAGCTCGAGAGACGGTGATGACGCTGAGGAGTACCAAGAGTATATGTCCTGTCGCCATCCTGCCTCGTACGACTGCGATTTACGGGTCGATCGAGTTAGTGTCTGGGATGTCGGGCGATCTCATTTAGAGGTTTATGTAGCGTACGATAGTGTACGGTGGTCAATAATGACCATGCGTAGGGCTTACCTGGCCCATCCGCCCTATGGGCTCCTAGGCTGTGGGGGTGACTGTACATGTAGCCCCTGGAACTCGAGGTGTCAACTATAGACGAAACCAATTTATCGTTACCAAGGTTCCCCTCTTGTATTTGGTCTTTTTCGGCGAATGATGAATCAGGGCAAAAAAGGAACAGAAATTTGACCCTCAAGCTGATGTGGAGCACGAGTCATGCACTTCTGGTCCACGTCCCAGATGAGCCTCGATCTACGTTACCGTTGGCGCTAGGTGACCTGTCCGAGGTAAAGAATGTCCGACAACCTTGTCAGTGTCTAGGGATCACCAAGTATTCCTGAGAGGGCCCTTCCCCTTGCACTCCAAATGCTAAATGACAGCGGACCGGCAGTGTGGCAGTGCATGCATGACTGGGCCCAAAGTGGAGGGCGCTAGGAAATCAGTGGGTCTGCTTCCACGACTCAGCACTGGCCGTTTAAAGGAAGGGGTGTTCTCTCTGGCTTTTGAATGTTACTGAACCCCCAAGGCACATCGTGAATGGGAGGGATCTGAATGCTCCGCTCCAACTCGATCGGATCGGGTGCGCAGACTGAAGGTATCCCTGCAGATACCCTGCTATGACATTTGGGGAATCTTCTTGGGCCAATCCCAGCAGATATAAGCCTACCGCCAAGACTCCTAAGATTCCCCGGTGCATATGGTCACTGGTCGTAAATCCGTTCACGCGTTGCTCAGCCTGTATGATTATCGAGCTGTTGTCCATTGCATTGGCTCGTCGGTCTCCTGGACGCCAGTCAAATTGGCCACCCACTCTAACCCATGGCTTTTCCAAAACGGATGGTATCTCTTTCCCTCTGCTGCTGCTGTGCTGGGGTCATTGATTGCGTACCCAGATGAAGCACTCTGCATGCGACACTCTACCTCATGGACACCCTGACGAATGATGCACATCCCCCCGGTAACCCCTCCACCTCCAAGCGATCATCGCGAGGCGTCCAATATACGAGACATGAAAAGTGACACCCCACTCTGGCGTCAACCTTGCACTGGAGCCAGGGTATTTTTTATTACTCCGTGGTTGGCTTCAGAAGATAGATTTATCCAGGAGCTCATTCCCATTTGTCCGCAGGGGACGGAATAAAGGGAGGGGGTCCACGCTTGGAACCTTGAGGAACCCCTGTCGGCTTCGATCATCCCAGTTTCTGGAAGACCCAATACCCTAGGTAGCCGACAGCTGAACCACGGATGATCAGCCAGCGCCGGTGAGGGGAGGGGCGTACCTGGAGACGCGGGTAAAATTACAGGAATTCCGTGTACTCCCTAAGGCTGACGGGGAAAGGCAGAGTTTAATCCCAGCCCTGTGCCCTACCTACAGGAGGCGCAACACGTAGTGTGTCATGTCCAACGTGGCGACCACCCACGCGGGTTGGACAATGCCATCAAGATCTGACGATCCTATCATTCTCCACCCGCAACGATTTGTACGGTATGTAAGCGTGTAAGCCGATTACATACATATACCCGTACCACGCCTTTTCCAGAGTTGCCTCCACGCCAAAACGTCAGGGCCCAGAAATGCAGCTTTAAGTCCGGGTGAAGCAACGGTTTTCATGTTTCAATCATTTTTTTCGCCTCTTTGCTGTAGGCTCCGTTCCAGAATCCTACCGTTCCCACCAACTCCCCACCCCTTTCTCCTTGGCCTTCAGCTCGGTGAGGATGAGATCACCGAGATCGCCTCCCTTTCCTTAATTACTTCGGCTCGAATCCTTGGATCCAATCAACTGGTTGCACCGCCATCTTTGCCCGAGACTTCCTAACTGCCCGATCTCTTCCTCCCAATTCCTCTTTTCCTTTACTTGACTAGTGCCACGGGCTGCATTTTTGGATTTGTGATCTCCATTTTCATTTTCATTTTCATTTTCAGCTGTACCTTCCTTAAGCCAGCCCCGATCATCCCCAATTGTTCAGACGGTGGCGGGGTGCCCGGGTAGACCATATACTCGCTTCTCAAATCGCATTGCCTTTCCCTGTGACTCTCTGACTCTCTGACTCTCGGTCCCTGCGGTTCATTCGGTCCGAAAAAGCATTCGCGGCTCTGATCCCGCGCACTGCCATTGATTGGGTCCATAGTATACTGACTGAGGCTTTGTGTGTCACTTGCAAACGTCTCATCCCATGAGGCGATCGCTCCAAGGTCCCGAGGTGTGTTCTCCAAATTTCAGCCCTATTCCTTGCGCGCGACATCAGCTCGGTTCCACCGGTCTGACTTGGAACTAGTTCTCAGACCGCAACCACCGTGACTCTCGCCGCTTGACTTTCTCGCCCTTGGAAGCTGGACCTTCTACTATCGGACGTGGGAAGTGGTTAGCAGTCCGCCTCGGAATCGGCGTTTCACGACCGATCGTTTGCACTCAACTGGATTGGGTTATCGCTGCGACTTAGGATCTTGATTCGATCTGCTTACTGAACTTCTTGCCTCTTTTTTTTTTTTTCTTTCGCGCCTCTTCTCCCGTCTCAGCTCGTCCATGTCCGCACGCGGCGCCCCGTCGAATGCGCTCTAGAATGATCCTTCGACTTGATCCCTCGTCGAACTTCTATGAATCCAAAGGTCGAGACCGTCACGACGATAGATCCCTTCACATGATGTCCGATTTGCCATTCTCATCCCACGGCCCGTTACCTATACCGTCCCGACCCGTCATGAATACCGCGCCGCCGCCACTTCCCCCACCCCCAAGGATCCGCGATCTAGAGAACGGTTATGATGCTGGCTGGTTGCATGGGAATCCCGGACGACCAACAAACATACTCCCTCCGATAAACCCAAATTCGAGCTTATATGGCGGTCATCGAAGGCCTGATTCTGCACCGAAGAGCGATCCTATGGTGGTGGATGAACTGGAAGGAAGACAGAGCGGATTGCCGATATCGCGCAGTCCGGAGGCTCAGATTAAGATCGAGCCGCCACCTCCAACAGATGACGGATTCCCGAATTCTATGGCCGTTAATTCGACAGGTCCAATTCTCAAAGGCGAGCGTGATTTCTCACTGCGAAGCGTGAAAGACTCGTCAAATGCTTATGACCAACATCTTCTCTCGAAAATTGGAAGCTCGCTTTCGCCGCGGGGATCTATTAGCCATGGATCGGACAACCGGGCCTCCATTGACCACCGGGGTTCTATTCCCGCACTCACCGTTCCGTCGCGAACATCAAGCAATCTGCCTTCACCGGGGCCTTCCGAAGGCTCTACTCTCGATGTAAAGTGGTACAGCCCTCAATCTGCTGGAGCCGTATCTCCCGGGAGTAAGATGGGTTGGAGGGAGTATATCGAAGGTCGCAGCCCAAGCGTGGAGAGCAATGCTCCTTCAATGGCAATGGACTACGACACGACATACATGCGAGATGTGAGCCGACGACGGTTTCGCGGAACGACACCTTCTCGGGAAGATAGTATCAGTCTACCCAGTCGATCAAATCGGGGGAGTTATGACCAGGCAGTGTTTTCAGATATTGAAGGCGACTTCTCCGAGCCCGCGGCTCCGCGACAGTTCATTCTGCGCGAACCTACTCCGCCGTATCCGGATGGCTCGAAGCAGGGCATGAAGCGAAGAGCATCTTCGCCTCCGCGGGAACCCATCAGCGATGATAGGCATACCCTTCACATGGCTACGAGCAACGGCGATCTGTCTCAACGCAGGACGAGTGGGCATCCTTTCACAAATACGTTATCGGTAAACAGCGGCTATGCACCAAGCCAACGGACTCTCTCCGCTGCGTCTTCCCTGAGCATTCGGACCTCCGGGTCATACTCATCTGCTCTGTCCATAGGAGGAAGCAGCATGACTAGCCTCTCGCCTTACGACAGACTATCTCCGGGGGGTCTATCTCCCAGCTCCGACCTTGATACCTACCACGAAAAGTCCATTTTGAACCCCAGCTCACCTGTGGCACCCGTGCTAATTTCACGGAGTGCTAACTCCCTCGAGCCCCCTCTCACGGATTCCACCGGTAAGGTATCCATGGCGCCAATCCTGAGCGTTCCCAAACCTCCTACAAAGATCAGTGGTCTGTACATCTGCGACTGTTGTCCCAAGAAACCCAAAAAGTTCGACAATCCTGACGATCTACGGTGAGATCACACCCACCACTTTCCCAGGAACCTCAACTAACCCCAACCCAGGGCCCACGAGATGGAAAAGCAATACGCATGCCAATACTGCAACAACCGATTCAAGAACAAAAATGAAGCCGAACGCCACCAAAACTCCCTTCATCTCCGCCGCCACTCTTGGTCCTGCGCCGCCCTCCCAGGTTTCCAAGCCGCCTTCCACGGCTCAGTCACCCCATCTTGCCAAACATCCGCCGGTCCTTCACACGATACATGTGGGTACTGCGGCGAAGAATTCTCCAACTTCCCACGCCCCAACTGGGACAGTCGTTTTGAGCACTTGACTACCGTCCATAAGTTCGGCGAGTGCAATAATGCGAAGAAGTTCTTCCGTGCGGATCACTTCCGGCAGCACTTGAAGCATAGTCATGCTGGGACGAGCGGCAAGTGGACCAACATTTTGGAGAATGCTTGTATGAAGGAGGAGGAGCCGCCGGAGCCGAGGGATAAGGCTGGCTCAGGCTCAGGTGGTGCATCTGGCCACTCTCAGTCGAATTCGGGATCCTTGACATCGAATACGATTGAGGAGGTTCTTAGTGAACAATGATGAATTGCGTTCGCCTGGAGTGGATAGCCTTTTGGCAATCAATGGCGCTCTCGTAAGCATTATCCATCATCGAGAAGCCAACCACAACACCCATCCACCCACCTGCGCTTCCCAGGATCTACATATTCGATCCATATTCGTTTGGCCGTTCGCCGGCGCCATCTACCATTCAGCTCTTACCGGTGTCATACTCATCATCTCACAATCTTCTGCTCCGCAGCAAGATCCCCACCTCTTCATTCTCAAATTGAACTATCCAGCCTAGAACTTCCTATTCCCAAGTGAAGGGGGAAAGCACGGATATCACGAATTTACACGAATCAATCATTTTTGCCATATCGCCGGGAGGGAGTTTCGAGTTTCCTGGGATTTAGGTACCTGTATACCTAGTTGCATTACCTGAGTGGAATTATCATTCCCCATCAGGAGTCGTTTTCTTTTTTTGTCATCGGTGGAGTCGGCTCACGGTTGGCGGTTTGGCTTTGCGTCTTGTCTCTTCTTTCTTCTGCTCACATATACCCTTCCCTAGGCTCCCTTGGCCCACCGTAAACATACATGCAAGTGTGGCACGTGTTAAAGGCGACTTGGAGCGTTGTATATAGAATTACTATGCGGCTCTGAAAGGACGAACTGAAAAAGTATACACTGTTATATTATGAATATATTAAGGTAAGAAACTGGTGTATGAAAATGGTGAAAATTACGCCCACTGAGGGCCATGCCTGAGGTGTATAGAAGAAATTATTTTATCAGCAGTACAGTCCACGTGTAATGGAGTCAGCCTTGGGTACTCTATAAAGGGCAGCGATACGCAGTTAATATACGGTTGAACTCCTAAACGTATTCGGATTTATTTAAACCTCGCCTGCGAACCGATAGTCCTAGTTCCCTTTCGAAGAGCAACCATCAACTTGCTAGTTCCACAACTCCATCCACTTAACCGGCCCCAGGGTTGTTCTCCCCTATATACGCCACTCCACCTTATTTCTCGCCCTCGATTTTACAGGTTCTTATTTTCTCTATGTAAAAATTTGACTTTGGAAAGGTCACATTATGATCTATGTACTTTCGTCATCTGTGTTGGGCTTTGGGTCATCTCGGTAATAATACACCCAAATAATAATGTTGGGAATTAACATTCAATTCCACCTCGCATAATGCACACATTCAAACTGAAGGCCTGTAAACCATCTATTTAGCCTATGATACACATTCTACTCAGTAACACTATCCTGAATACTCCGCAACGCACTGCTCTTATGCGCCGGATCGATCGCAGCCGCATTCCTCGCCCTCCGGCGCGCATCAGTCCACAACATAAACTCCCCATAGCTCTTCGGCATAACATGCACATCCTTCTCAACTAGGAAAGTGTAGTTGAACATGCCAGTCGACTTCCTCGTGCCACCGTGCTCAACGTCGCGGACCTTAGAGTCAACGCGCACTTGCACGCGGGTAAATTTGCTCGCGTCCTCGCGCTCTTCGGGCTCGGTGTACGCCACCGTTGCGCGGAGGTACAGCACGCTGCCGACGGGAACGGGGTTCTCAAATGTTGATGGGTCGAGGGCGAGGAAGTTAGGTCGCGCGTGCGCGAAGGAGGCAGCGCAGCAGAAGGCTAGCTCAAAGGATTGTTTTAAGAGGAAGCCACCGAAGATCATGAAATTGTGGCGGTTGCGGTCTTGGGGTTGCATGATCATGGCGGATTTGAGGACGGTGTCACTCATGAAGACTTGGTTTTCGGGGCGAACGGCGGGGACTTGGGGGTCTGTGGATGGGTGTAAGTACATGGGTGTGGGTTTGTGCAGGTAGACACTTACTGAGATAGGACATCTCTTTTGTCCACATTGAGTGGATCAGATTACTCTCCTCGTTATCGGGGGCTTTCTCTAGGAGACTGCGGGTGCGGAGGGCCTTTTTGGCTTTGGAGTTTGCCTCGCCCTTCTTGAAGATTGCCTGCTCCTCTTCCGTCTCGATGAGCAGAGGTGCCACGGGAACCGGCCTATAGATATTTTAGTATGAACCTATGCAGCGACGAGTATGAAGAGAACGTACTTCTTAGTAGCCGGATCAAGTGAGACCATAGTAAAAGCACAGGTTATCAAAACATCCTCAGGTTTAGCAGCCTCGCCCTCGGGGCGGACCTTGGACACCTGGCAAGAAACCTCCATACTGGACCGTCCCGTGGCATACGAGACCTGGCCAGTAAGCTCGAGATCGCAAATCTCCATCAGCGGATGCTCGATAGTGATACGATCCACGGCAGCAGTAACGGTGCTGACACCATCGCCGGTGTGGCGGTACGCAATGACTCCAGCAAGGGCATCGAGGTCCATCAGCAATGAACCAAGTCGGATGTGTCCACTAGCATTGAGATAGTGATCCAAGAGCCATTTATCTTGAGCCAACGGAAGAATCTGTACAAACAATATTAGCAGGAGTTTTGTTTTAGCATTTTCATTACATACAGCACTGTAATAGCTATCCGACATTTTCTTTGGCGTCAAATCTGGCTTGACACTCGGCGCCGCAGGCTCACCATCCTCAGCAACCTTGGCAGCCTCACGACTAGCTGTCAAAGCATCAATCCAAGGCGTCTTGACGCGCATGGGCATCCAGGTAGGCCGGAATGCGGCATTTGTCGGCGTTGAGTGGAAATCCCGGGGATGCGTGCTCGGCGATTGCGTGGCCGCAATGGCGCGTGCAGACAACACGGCCGGAGCTATGCTCTTAGAGCGGACAAGTGCAGTCCTTCTTCCCGCGAGACCCAACATTTTAATTGTGTGATAGAGCGTAGATGCAAGAATCAAGATATCCAACGATTACGTCGAAGCCGAGAGACCGGCCCGGTCGCGCCCAATCAGGTTAGCGCCCGGCATTCCGGGGATTCTCGGGGGTTAAGTGCCGAACGCAGTGTGTAGAGTAGTTCTCGTTGACAATGGAATCTTGTATGACTTGGAGTAGATATATGTATGGTTAATGGATAAATATTTGAGAAATTTGCGCTAGGGTCTAGCATTTCCTCTTAACGTAGGAGTAGACCGCCATCCGCAGATCTCGGGGACCCGTCGTTCCAACTCGCGAGGTCGGTGCCGGCATTAAACCCACCACGATTCACCCCTGCACAGAGGAAAGCTTGGCCTGCATGGAGAACTATATGCATGCTTATTCGAGTATTTGCCAAACTCAAAGCAACATCTCTCAACCATGTAGCTCTCGACCGAGACCTAGCATAACAAGAGGTCAGTGATAGATAGCACCGAATGCACCTATATAATCTTGAATATGACCGAGATTCAAGAAATAGGTTCCGTCAAAGATATCCTGAATATATACATTGAAATAATATCTAAACAGTCCAAGTCACCCCGTAACAATGAGGCACCCTATGAACTCGAATATCAAGAACCGGAACACTCCACAACGGGGACCCTACCAGCGCGAAAACTTCCCGAAGGCCAACCGGGGCCAGATGTCACTCTTTAATACCAGTACGTCCCAGTTTCCTGCTCATTGAGGGTTTATCTGTTAGTGCTTTTACAGAGCCCGGCCCTAAGTCTTCCTCGATGATCCCGGAGAAAGTTCGGTGATGGAGGTTGAGAGGTTACAGGTATAGATTAGTCAATGATTACAATTGATATTGGTCTTTATCAAGGAAATTTTGTTCTAAGTGTACATGGTGACATGACGGACCGTTGCCGGGCCTGCGTCAATTTGATCGGAGTGTGTGCAAAGAGGCTGCAGCTCTAGGTGCAAGAAACGAAGGTATTAACAAGCCCGAGAGACTCGGGCAGTATGTGCAGTGGGTATCACCCGATGGAATGAATGTCGGTGAAGTGGGTTGAGACGGTCTTAAACGTGTGCGCCAAACTCAGGGGTATGAAAGGAAACGCCGATATGAACTGTGGACGATGTGCAATGAATTATTGGAAGGTCGAGGTCGGTCAAGGGCCGTGGGCAGGTGATACGGCAATTTGGTGTTAAGATGGGGGTGGTTTCACTTTAAAGGAAGAACATCGATGCAACGGTCATGAGCAGTGACGAGCCCAGACTGAGGGAAAGATGAGATGCCGAGCCAGTGGCAGGGGCTGTTGAAGTAGCCGATTCTGAAACAGCCGTAGCACTCGCAGTACCTTTGGTAGCACTCGCAGTACCTTCGGTGGCAGCAGTAGTGGAGCTGGTCATGGTGGTGCTAGGAGCAGTGGTGCTAGGAGCAGTGAAGGTGCCGTTTCCAGACGTGGAGTTGACAGCCGGGGATCCAAAGCCGATCCGTGCGTTGTCGTAGTCGAACACTGCGTAAACGTTCTTCAAGAAGACATCTCCGACAAGCCAAGTATTAGGTCCAAAAGACTCGTGGCCGACGATAGTCGACACACAGCCACCGGTGCTGGTCGCACCGATATAATCCTGCGGCTCGATCGAGTACTTGATTCCCGAGAACTCAAAATCCAAAGTCGCAGTCGAATCGCAAGGAATAATGTAGTTCTCTCCCGACTGCGAAGAGCCGGGAATCATGGCGAACAAAGTAGCTGCATCCGCCGGAGGGATCAAGATGTAGGTAGTGCCAGTATCGATGGTGGCAGATTTGCCGGTGAATTTGCAGGGTTTGTCGTTCACGTAGGCATCATCCAGGGGAATGGTCCAAGTCGCTTGGTTGGTAGCGGTGTAACTGATGTTTCCATCGAACCTGGTGTAATCTATATCGCCAAAGTTGACCTCGCCGTCTTTCGGATCGACTGATGCACGCGAGAGACTGAACCCGATGATGTTAGAGCTGAGCATATGCTTCTCCGCGACAATGTCCATGAACGAAGGAATGGTCCAGCCAGCGGTATGCGACCGTCCCAGACCCAAGATACCATCGATGGGGTAGCTTGCAAAGGACTCGTTTGCCTGGTTTGCCGATCCAAAAGTGAACGTCACGTCCAGGCCTGCGACTGACATGGTGTCCTGGCCGAGGTTTCCTTCCACGGTGCCACTTCCGTAGCCGACGCTGAAGGCAGAGTTGTTCGAGATGTAGGAACTGGAATCAGACTTGTCCCATGTGTGATGGCTCGTACAGACAGAGTCGGTGCAGCTTGAACTAAACACCCAGCTGCTGGGGGATCCAGTATCCAGCGCGAGCCACATTTCCTCCTTCTGCGAGCCGACTTCCACCACGGCAAAGTATGAGAAGTCCTTTCCACCCTGGTCCAGTGGAGCACTGTTGGGCAATGTGGGGGTATTGGCTTGGACGATCGAGTAGGTGTCCTTGCGACGGACGGGCGATTTCTTGATGTCGAATGTCAATGGCTTCTTGACGGAGAGGTCGTCTTCGGTGTCTGGAAGCAGAGTCCATGGCATGAAGCGGCGCAGGACTCCGGATTCCACCTTAAGTTCCCATGGATAGAAGGCGTGGACGCCCGTTGAAAGGCCGGCAATAAGCAAGCATGGCGAGAAACGCATGATCCTGGAATGGATCTAGGAATGAGAAAAGCTAGGCGTCATCTGTTTCAGTGGCAGCAGCTTCGACGAGGAATTCCTCCAGCTGCGTGTACTATCGCGATGGCCGTGATACGGAGATGAAAGTTGGTGGAGACGTGATCAGCGAAGGATTCGCTGACACTCAGGAAATCGGAGCGACAATTAAGCAATGTACAAGCGAGAACAACTTCAAAAGCAAGAAAAAAAAGTAGATAAAGCACAAAGAAAAAGAAAGAACGACGAGAAAGGTAGACGAACAGGAGGTTGTAAGAAGTTCCAATCCTAATGTGAGGGGGAAGAGGTGGCCAGCCGGGCCCACCGACCCCCGAGACTCAGTGACCTCTGCAGGAGGAAAAGGCTCCCCTGACAAGTCCGCCTATGCCGTTCGTGGGTTGGTGCGGTGGAGCCAAACTCACGGTTCAAGCTGGGATCGTCCGTTCGCTCGGAGCTAACTTGACGCTAGAGCGCATTACTTTCTTGGATCTTGGATAAAACTTGGAAATTCCGGACAGCAGATGCCTAAGAAAAGCGCTTTTAGATTGCATTTTTTTTTTCAGCGGGACCTATTCCATTTGATTTGTTCCGCTGATAACCATAGGTGGCTGCTGGGAGTCCCCAGGTGAGTTCGAGGTAGCGCAGGTGTTCACGCCCAGGTTCGTGATCCTTGCTCACAGAGCCCCGACTTTTTCAGGGGTTCGTCAATCTTCACCTCTTCTGACTGGCCTCGTTATTCCACCACAATAGGAAACTGGTTTGGACTCACTACATCTGACTGTCTAGACTTCACAAGTTCATCGGGCTGAGTTCTGGCCAGTCTTGCCACCAGCTGGGTCCAATTCATTGCGTGGCTACCACCCTGCACTCCACCGTTGCAGACTGGCTAGGTGCAGATCTTGTACGACGATCAATGTTTACACCCCCGAGTCCGAATTTTGACCCTGAGGCTAGTCTGGAGTTCGGATGTTGACCAAATGCGACCGGTGCCGCTTTTCAGGGGTTTCAGCGTCCTCAATCACTATGGGGATCACCCGCCACCTGAAACACAATATTGATCAGATTATGCATGGGGTTGAATCATGAACTCCACACAGATGAACAATTGGCTGAACAGTCTAATCAATCTGTCAGGGCAACCACTTTATCAGCAGTTGGCTGTGTGGCTTGCCAAGGTTGGGCGGGTGTTACAGAGTAGTTAATGGTCGCATCAAGGTGCCAGGATAGGGGTCGGACCACTTCGATAGACTGAGCACTTGAGTACGGAGTACACACGCTCTAGCTATCGGTTAAGGAATATCTCGACCTCTCGACATCCATGTTCTTATGTCCTTTTTGAATTACTTCCCTGGTGACGGAATCGCTGTGTGCATGAGACCCGCTGTAGATATTTCCCTACTCCTTAGGGCGATCACTACATGGGGAATCATTACGCAAATGCGCAATAGAAGCGTCCAAAAAGTCTCTCATAACAGCGATTGAGATCACTAGACATTCATTTATCCAAGGCACATCCACCTGGATTTGGAACAAAAAATAAGCTATCGCACATCTACGTGTGGCTGCATTCAATGTTGTAGGAAAGACACCGACGATGTCCGATCAGCTAGGAGGTGATGCATTAGACCAGATGGTTCGAAAAGTCAAACCAATAGTCTAATGAGTGCTTACTTGAATCTATGGACAAACACAAGTTGGTCACGGCGTTCGGATCTGTCCATGGCCTTACCTAGTATCGGAAGAGACCGGAATGCGACCCAGATGTGATTGAGTCATCGTCCACTGAACAAACTACAAACTACAAACTAGACTTGCTGGAATTACATTGCCAGAGGTTCATATTGCCCTGAACACGGACAAAACAACAATTTCTCATTCATGTGCCGGTGAGCAACCATGGACGTTCTCCAGTTGCACGCCACACTAATTATAGCCTCCAACTCTATGAATCACTCCCATCGTTACCTTCAAATGTTATTTTCGAACAATGGAGTCATCAAGCTTCCAATTGACCCAGGCAGATACCCAGCTAGTTAATCTATTCCCAAAAATTGAATTGAACTCGAAAATCCACAAAATGATCCTGACCCGCCGACACCATCCACATCCCCATTCCATCTACCTCGGAATGGCTAAAACAAGTGTCGCATCAAGTGACTAGACTGGAACGTTGTTTCAAAGCCTCACAAAAATAGCAAGACTCTACGTCACGCCACACTCGCCTAACCGAGTTCATCCGCGTCCGTAGAGCTAAACCGAGCGAATCGAACACGGTTTCGACAGATCACCCGAGTCTCATGACCTCGGGTCCCGGCGGTTCGGGAGTGTAGAAAATGATCGGAAGGCATCCCGGGCGTTGTGTCTCCGTAGATCGTTGCGGGTTGGTTGTGTCGGGGCCTAGTGTGGAGGGACCTCGGCAAAACGAAAATTGGCCACAGCACAACCATAGGACTAGCCATGGACTAGAACGGGGACTACAATGAATCGTTCAAAGGTAGGAAACGGTACAAAGTATAGGGCTGATTTGGAACTTTGAGTATTTGAATTGAGTTCCTGGAAACAGAGTTCAGGCCGGTGCTATTCTAGTAGCATACCATGCGCTAGGATAGAATGAAAAAAAAAGTATTACATCACAAACGCTAGTCGAATAAATTCTCAAGCAAAAGAATCAGAGAAAGGTGGCTAGCACCAAGAAGAGTCATAATCACAGGCCGTCAACAAACAGATCCCAGATCTACTTGCGCGCAGCAGTCTCCTTTGGGCCGAGGACGTCATCAAGGAACCCGGACCAAAGTTCCCGCATAACACCCTGGTTAGAAGAGGAACCGTTAGTCCGGCGCTGGACCTCCTCTCCGACAAACGAGCGGCCCACAGCCTCGGTAAGCGAGAACGGGTCGATGTCGATGGAGTGGTTGTCGACGACCTCGCTCATGGGACTGGCGGCGATGATACCGGTACCGGAGACGGTGTAGATCTGGGGCTTCATGAGTGGGGCGGAGGTGGAAGCGGACTCGTGGTGCGAGTACAGGTCGGGAAGGACCGGGATTTGGGGGGCGGGTCGAGAGAAGGTCGTTTCCATGTCGGCCATTGAGGGCATGTAGACTAGGTCGACTGTGGAGGTGTCGCCGATAGCTTTGGAGGAACGGGATGTGTTAAATTGGCGCGTTGAGGGGGTGCTATTTGGGTGTTAGTTTCAGTCTCGTAGTGCATGTGATAGGTATGGGGTATATGGGACGAGTTGGGATGGATGAATTGGAGAAGTGATGAGTGATGACTTGGGGGGAAACGTACTCAGCGAAAGCATTGCTGTTGATGCGGCGCATTGCAATGCTGAAGGCACGAGACTGAAGGACGTCGTGGTTGGAGAGGCGTTCGATCAGCTGTAAGATTGGCGGTTAGATGGTCGTCGATCATGACGCGGGGTGGAAGCACGAACCTCGGACTTGCTGCCAGCAGCACGGAGCGAGCGTCTTTGGCACTCGGACTTCAGGTCTGGCAGGCTGCGAGCCGCATAGAGAGAGGCCTTGTCGGCGGGGTTGGCAGGCTGAGCAGACTGGACGCCAGTGATGTGGAGGCCACGGCGAGCAGGGGCAGCGATGGGCTGCTGAGAGAGCTGGCGCAGAGCGCGCAGGGAAGTGGAACGAGCAGCGGCCATGGTGAGGGAGTTGTAGAACGTAGAGAGTTGCCTAGATAGGCCGGGGTAGGGTGAAGTACAAGTAGATGTGGGAGATAGAGTGTGGAATGAAGAATGTAGATAAGCAAGGACCGGAAGTGTTGGGGAACAGATCCGGACAAGAGTAAGAGTCACAGGGAAAGGGACTTTAGAATGGACGGGAAAGGAGAAAGGACAACAGCAGGCTGCTTTATACCTGGGAAGTACGTGAGCTTCGGGGGAATCGTTGGGGAGAGCTATGAAACCCACTCTTGGCGGTCTGGACCCGTTTATCGATAGCGTGCGGGATCAACGTATCCACGGAGTGAGTGTTGACGTCTTCTACTGCACAGGGGTAGTATCCGTGTACTCAGGTCAAGATAAGTACTGCCGGGGAACAGAATGCGACGAGAAGAGAGGGAACCGAGGTCGACACACACCTTATATAGGGTGAGTTGTGCAACATACTCCGATTCAACAGTTCAGGCGTAATGAGATCTACGGCGTAACTGGGTACCCGGTACCGGCAGTCGGGACGCGGTCTACGGGGTACGCCGTATACCCACACCCAATTGATCGGGTGACTCGATGCACCCGGTACTTCTCCTCCTTTCGACCGCCCATCACTTCCACTCTATCTTTAGCTCCCCGCCGCCCGCCGGGTCCGTTATTGGGTGTTCTTTTCCCGCGCGCTGCACGGTGGAGTAAATGCGATTTTCCTAGGGAAACCCGGGGAGCCCTCCATACCTCCGAAAGTGGCTCTGATCCCCAATCGTCGCCCTGTCACTGGCCGCTGAACCCTAGCAAACGGGCCTTTCCCCGCCCCGGCATTCGCGCCAGTAATTCGACGAGTCGATCATCGACCCCTCAACAGTCGAGATCTCATGACCTAGAAGCGGTGAGACACACGTGTCTCCTGTGACTCGTCATGCTTCGTACTTTTTCTATTGATGTACTGAGTAACCTAGGCACCTATGTTTCACTGCGGCGTCCCGATGAGTTTCTGCATATCCTCCTCTCGCGGATGCTCTCGGATGCCGATGTCGTGATCACCAGACTTTTGACCGCTCACTGGCGGTGGCGCAGCTATCTCCCATTCTGCAGGGAAGGGCTAGGGGCGACAAAGCTGCAAGGGCCAGGCTGGGCAAGTGTCAGAACCGTCTTGGCAGGATTCCGAGCATTCTTTAATCACCCCTGGATTGAGAAGGGGCGATTGATTAGATATAGCAGTGCATTGTGTGCTACCCCAGGTATATGTATACTCTAATCTTACGACCAGTCGCTTCTATTTGCCAAGTCCAGTTCCCTGTCCAGGTGATCTCAAAGCTTGGCTGCTCGCCCTTTAGCTATGGCCCGAGCGTATGGGTGCGAGCGGGATGCCGGGACGAGGTGGTCGATGTCTGCTGTGTGCACAAAATCGGGCGATGCCTGGTCCAAGGATGTGATGCCGATGTTTCGCATCGCGGTCTCCAATTCATCTTGCATGACTGGTGGGCCCGATTAGAATCTCGTAGACTGTCGCGCCACCCGCGCAAGATCTTCACTTACTATCAATCAAATGCTCCACTCCTTCCTGTCCGTAGTTCGTCGCGAATAGCATGCTCCGACCCATGCCCACGGCCGTTGCGCCCAGACATACGGCCTTGAGAATATCCGTGCCGCGGCGGATACCACTATCCACATACACTTCCATTTTATCAAATACCTCGGGGCATCGCCGGTGGATCTCGAGCAGGGTGATGATCGACGGCGGGCTGGTGTCGAGGTTGCGGCCGCCGTGGTTGCTGAGCAGGATTCCATCCAGGCCCGCTTCCATGGCCAGCATTGCATCGTCGGCGGACATCACACCTTTAAGACAAACCGGCTTCTGGGTGTGTTGCCGCACCCACTTCAGGTCTTCCCAGGTCAGGCCCGGGTCAATGAATGAGGCCATAACCCGACCGAGACCACCGCCCTTCTTGTCATTTTGTGCCTTGGAGGGGGACATGGGTACTGAGAGGCTCTCGTCGGCCTTGACGCGCTCGTCGGCTTCGCGCTTGCCGGGCCAGGCCGCGTCGACGGTCACGAAGATGGCTTTGATGTTGGGATTGGCTGAACACTGTCGGAGCAGGGCAGCGGACTTTTCGCGGTCGCGGTTAACATATAACTGGAAGAAGAAGCTAGCTGATGGGGCAGCTGTCCTCAGCTCGTCCATGGTATAGGAAGAGTTATTGGAAACCTGGAAAGACATGAGTACGATTGATCATTGCCAAGTCCCGTTCAATTATACTCACACCCTGCATGATGCCTTTGTTCTCGCAAGCCCGCGCAATAGCACACTCTCCATCAGAATGAATCAGTTTCGCCATGGCCGCCGGGCTAACGAAAAGCGGCAGCTTGTAGTCGCCTCCTAGAATCTTGGTGCGAGGGCTGACCTCACGAACATTTCTCAAAACCCTCGGACGGAACCATATACGGTCAAAACACGACTTATTCGCATCGCGCGTAATCAAATCTGTGGCTGCGCTCGAGTAAAAGGCCCACGTCTTATTGCTAGCCGTCTTTGACGCTACAACCTCGAAATCGTGCGAGTTGATCAAGGTCCCCAGCGGCGGTTTCTCGTTATCTAGAAGCACCTTGAGATTCTGGCCCGGTGGCGGTTTGATCCATTCTTCATCGATCGTAGAGTCGTCGAGGATGCCTTTGAACTTGTCGACGTTCAGGTTTGTTTTCAAAACGCTGGGCGGGTGCACTTCTGAATAAGCTTGCGTCGCATCACGGCCTGCATACTTCATGATGACTATTCATCGCGAAAATGATATTAGCGTTGCGCAGGCAGTTCTCACTTGTGGACTTCGTACTTGTAGATCCACCAGGGTGTTCCTCCAGAAAGTCGGTCACGTCCCACACTTGATTGTCGACAACTATCCAGCAGTCTTCGGGTGTTTTGTGCTCTGCGATTTGCTGCGCAGACAAAAGTTTCCGACCCGCCATTTTGCTAACCGCCTGAGAGGTTCAAGACCCGCGGGTATGTTCACTGGCACCAATCGAGCCAGTTTTCTGAAGTCCGGGAAACGCGGATCAAGGCGATGTTGACGGGGGACGTTGAGGGCAAAATGAGTGAAGGAAGAATTCAACCAGCCAGAGACAGCTAATACTCAGCAAAGGCCTATTTCGCCATCAGCGACCCTATCGCGGTGTTTCTCCGTGCGGGCAACGAGTCTCCACCACGGCAATGTACCCGGAGTTAACCCCAGGCTTGGCTTCACCTGCCACTCGTCGCGATGTAGCCTTCGTGGGGGCACTTGTCCGTTCTCTAGGTACGAAATATTTTTGTTCTCTCTTCCGTCCCATCAAACGGGCGATGCGGTATCTCAATCCAAGGCAAGAGACATTGAAGAACCGTTGTTGGCACGTTTTCTTCATGGTCTCTTCCAATGTCCCTTTCAAGAATGAGCGTTCAAACAACTCTTATGCAAAAATTTCGGCATTCAGCTTCCCCAGGACATCGTCGATCTGTCTAAGCGTGGGATGCAAGACCCCGACACGACCAGACTCGGGGAATCGCCGACCGCAAGTCGGAGTTCTCTCCGAGGCTCATCGACAGCTTAGTAACGACCATCGCAATTGCGCACAGCCACGGGCTCGGGAGCTAAGCCCTAGCTGTGGCTGGTAACTCCCTTTCCTGAGTCAACACAAAATGTTCCTCGCATATACAACGTTTTCTTGTGTTGAGTCATAAGCCTCTGACGACATCGGAGATATTCTCGACTGTACGTTTCTCTCATGCCCATCGCGTCTGCTCGAGGCTCTGCCCTGAAGACTTTCGGCAATTTCAGCACCTCCATCGTCAGAACACGGGGGATCAAAAATACATCACTCGTGTCAAGCTCTTTAACTGTCGATCACATTAACCGATCAGGTATGTAGCAAGCTTGATGTAGCCTGATTTCCTGCCTAGCATAATACTTCTTTCTGATCTGCCGTTTTGAGACTTTGAGGAACAATTGTCTAATCATTGCCCTAGGAATTCTGCGAGGAAATACTTTCATTGGTCATTCGAATCCTCATTCAGGCTGTAGTACCGGCAAGGGATTTTCCACATTTGCAATTAAGCAAGCCCCGGCAAACATGAGCGAGTCCCCTAAGCCACTCCGATATGTTGATGTATGCTCGGCGTCCTGGCCCCCACTTCTCCCTCGCTGACTTTCTTGATCCTTCAGATCGGGATCAACCTGAGTGATCCCATGTTCGCTGGAAGCTACCACGGAAAGCAAGCACATGAAGCCGATCTGGATGATGTCATTCAACGCGCCAAGGATGTTGGCTGTGAGAAGTTCATGGTGACCGGGTCAGATCTTGTCGAGTCGGAAGAAGCTATCAAAATCGCCCAGAAATATCGTGAGTCTTCCTCTTTCGCTTATCTCCATGCTTTCCGTTAACCACCTTGGCTGCAGCCGGCTTCTGCTATGCCACAGTGGGTGTGCACCCCTGCCAGGCCAAACTGTTCGATGAGTACCCTGGAGGTCCATCAAAGATGATCGACGAGCTCCGCAAATTGGCTATCGAATCAAAAGAGGCCGGTCTTGCCGTTGCGTTTGGCGAAATTGGTCTGGATTATGACCGACTGTTCCACAGCGCCAAGGAGCCCCAGCTAAAGTACTTCGAAGCGCAGCTGGACCTTGCGATCGAGATCCAGATGCCGCTCTTCCTTCATTCCCGAGCTGCTAGCGAAGACTTTGAAAGATTGGTTGGCTCGAGGCTCGACAAGCTCCCCAAGGGCGGTCTTGTTCACAGCTTCACCGGGACAATCGAAGAAATGGAGCGCCTCGTTGCGCTTGGTCTTGACATCGGCATTAATGGCTGCAGTATGAAGACGCAGGAGAACCTCGATGTCGTCAAGGAGCTTCCATTGGAGCGACTTCAGATCGAGACGGATGGACCATGGGTATGTAGCCTTTCGTCACCTTTTGTATCTCCCAACTAATTCGGTGGCAGTGTGAGATCCGGCCCTCGCATGCGTCGGCAAAGTTCTTGATTGGCGCTCCTGAATTACCTAAGTCGGTCAAGAAGGAAAAGTGGCAGAAGGGTCTCATGGTCAAGGGCCGGAACGAGCCGGTGGCTATTGCTCGTGTTGCCCACGTTATTGCTCAGGTGAAGGGCATCTCCGTCGAGGAAGTCTGCGAGGCGTAAGTCCTGATTTCACCAAAACACGTCCATTGTGCGTATCCGCTAACATTTGACACTAGTGCTTGGAATAATTCGATCAAGATGTTCGGACTTGGGGTAAAGTCCCAGTAGCCGATACATTCGTTCCGCATCTGGCCAGCAAAACTTGAAGCTCTGTTGCCAGGTGTCTCGATGGTGATGTGTGTCCAAGGTTATAGCTCATCCGTCATCATTCTCGGTTGTCTTGCCACAAGGCAACTATATTTGGCTATGAAATATGGCGATTTAAATTTGTCCTAGGCTGGTCTTTCTCTTCGGGGTGGTTCTTTCACCCCGGAACATGACCGGTCGGGCATATCTATTCCGACGAAGGGACATTTTGCTATCTGGGTCAAGTCTCGTCGGCAATTTACTCACTTGGGTAAGTTGAAATTGGCGGAGCCATTACCATTGGGGGAGATCACCCGCCTCATGGATGAGTGTGAAGAGCGAACCTTCGCGAACTTTAAGACAACATCATCTTGGTGATTACTATGTGATCTGGATTGTCTCCCTGCGCAAAGGTATCAATGAAAGAACATGCCCGATGTATGTCCCCTCGAGTCCTGTCATGGCGAATTTGAGCCCTTCTATATGGAGGCCGAAACGATTCTGGTGCTCGTCATGGCGTGCCTGATTAGAGAAACAAAAGATTTGGTCTGCTGCAGCTACGTATCCCTGTAAAATTCGTTTGTGCCTCCTTTGTGGCTGGCATTCGCTACGGTTTAGCATGGTTTGGCGGGCCTGAGTAAAGGACAGATAGAATATACAAGATCAAAACTGCCAGCATGTTTTTGATGTCAATATCTATATTTGCGCATAATCGCTGTGAGGTATGGTCTCATATGTCAAGAATGTCATGGTCAAGAGGGAGCATTTCGGTATCACTATGTAGTAACAAGCAGGGTTCACCATACTGAAAGGTGTCGTCCAGGGCTGTGGGTGCTGAATCATAAAGGTCTTCGAAGGCGGATTCGTTGCCACTCTCAAGGAGTAGATCTTCGTCTTCAGGGGCGAACTGCATGTAGCCATGTTCCATGGGATTATAGTTGTCGCTGTCCAAGTCGAGGGGTTCGCTGTCGGAGAAGAAATCTTCCACAATGGGTGCTATGGATGCAGGCTGGATTTGGGAGAGGTACGGTGTAGCTGGATTTGCGCCAAATAATGCCGAGGTTCCCTTTTGCACCTTGGGCCTGCGAGTCCTTTGCTGGGCAATACGCCACAGTGATGAGTGGATGGTGGAATACAGGCTTGTTTTATGTAGCCCTGGTTGAGGGGTTCCTTCGTTGGGGTTATTGGATTGCTGAAGCAGGGTGGTTACTTTACTCTGTATGATTGGGTTGCTGCTCCTTTCAAGCATGGATATCAACGCCTTTGAGATGATAGGGTTTGATGCCGCCCTTTGATGCATTGCCTGCACAGAATGAGTTTTCGGATTTTTGCATTAGATAGAAGTTCAGGCTTACCTCGCGGTATCCCGGATTGAACACTGCAGGAGCAAGATTGGATAGGCTTTTGAGTGTGTTCTCGCCAACGACCTTAATTTGGCGGTCCTTTGTAGTGGGGGAGATGATCAATTTCCGAAGACCCAGGTCCATAAGTCGAAGCATGACCTCCGATGTGCAGTCAAGCGGCACATGTGGTGGCAAGAGTTGTCCCAGCGCATGATTTTCGAGAAAGGTGTAATGTTTCGCAGAAGGCATGGCAGCCTTAACGGGAGACAAAGATATTGCTGCTACTTCAAAAGTCTTTGCGTTGACCGGATAGTAGCACCCTGCAAAGGGGAAGGGCAATTGCAATTGATTCAATGGCCCGACATTGTACTGAATCGTCCTGCAAGTATTTTCTTTCGGGTGTGGGAATGTGTACTCCGCATAGACATCGATCGACGCCAAGGAGATCGTCGGCACATCAGGTGGAGCATGGGCATCAGGTGGATGGCGGAGCACATCGGGCAGGGCTCGACCTTTTGTAGGATTGAGTCTTCTGGTGGCTCGACAAAGACCAAATGTGAAGCAGTGGGCTATGCAGTTATCGGTGTGCTTGTCGCTGCCTCGAGTCTTGAGTATGATGGTGAAGCCCAGATTGGACCAGACCTGTGACGCATTGTTATTGTAAGTGGCAAAATTCAATTCAATCTTTTGTCATACCTTGGAGTTGCAGATCTTTTCTGCCAAGTCGGAGATGAACCCAGACGCCGCAAGTTTCAACCCTGAGCGCATGACAATAGAGAGACGGATCTCCAGTTCTGGAGCTTCCTTGATCCAGACTGAAAGGTGATCAGTCCATTGCAGAAAGTTCACGGGCAGTGAGTTGCTTGGATGACCATTTGACTTGGTAAAAAGCGCAATTGCTGAGAATTCAAGCTCAAGATGTGAATCGGTAGCATGGTAGACGCATCGACCCAAATTGACTGACTGGCTCATTTCGGCGTTGGTTTATCACAATTGGGTTGTCAATTAAATGCCAAGTCTCCCGATTGGTTTTTCGGGCATTTGGCAATTCTTGAGTGAATCTGGTGGTTGAAGAGAAAGCGAGAGACAAGTGCGAGTTTGGGATGGTTGGAGGCCTGAGGCCCAATCCGGCTACCCACCTGATGTCGCTTCTAACGTTGGGATCGATTCACGACGCTTCATGTTTTGGGCTAAGAAGTATTGATATATCTCTCGCTTCGCTCACACTTTGTGTCACCAAATTCTGGTCAACCGACATTTGCTCCTCAGACTGTATATTTTCTGGAGCTCAAACTCGGGGCATGCATCCATCCACATATGCAGACCTCTAACGCTCAAGGTTGACTGGGATATCGGGCCACGGCGAATGGTCTTGGCAGAGGCATAGAGCTAGCTCCAGAAGGAGCGCAATGCCAAGTTTTCCCTGCTTAGTATCTATCACAATTGCTTAAAGTACGATCAATGCACGACCGACAGGAAGTGGAGCCTCCGATCAACAAACAGCTCTTATCGATAAAGGTCACGTGCGTTCCCATGAACTGGCCTCAAGCAACCACCTCTATTCTTAGTCTCCTCATGGTCAACTATGCCCGTGGAGGAGGGAGATAATGATCTCCTGACTGGCCAAGATGGCCAGCATGAGAATGAATCAAATCCCCTGCTATCTCCTACCATCGAAGATGAGGAAGACCTTATCGCCCACCCAGATCCGGCCGTTTCACCCTCAGGTCCCGCCGACAACCGTACCCGAGCGAATCACCAATCCTCGATATCCCAGCCTGCGCCTGATGGACATCCTCGCACACCCCGAACGATGAACCGGGTTCGTTTTGTGGAAGAGTCGCCGGAGGAGGATGACCAGCATTCAGACAGCCGGGCCCACAGTCCCGAAGACGCGCTATGGATCGACGACGAAGATTACGAGCTCGGCGACCACTCCGGGTCCGCGAATCGCAATGGCGGACAGTCTGTGCCTCTTCTTACAGATATTGAAGCTCCCAGCGTGACCCTAGCGACTTCGGACGACTTCTTTCCCGAAGACCATCTTGAAAACGCGCGTCCACGAAGCGGGATGAAGATGGCGTTCATGAACATGGCTAATAGCATCATCGGAGCCGGCATCATCGGTCAGCCATATGCACTGCGCCAGGCAGGTCTTACGATGGGAATCCTGCTGTTGACAGCATTGACCGTGACGGTGGACTGGACTATCCGATTGATCGTTATAAATTCGAAGCTGAGCGGAGCCGACTCTTTCCAAGCTACCATGCAGTACTGTTTTGGGAGGAGCGGACTCATTGCTATATCAGTTGCGCAGTGGGCGTTTGCGTTCGGTGGTATGGTCGCGTTTTGTATCATCGTGGGTGATACGATCCCACACGTTTTTGCCGCTCTCTTCCCCTCGTTGCGCAACATGTCTTTCCTGTGGCTGTTGACTGATCGACGAGCTGTGATTGTCCTATTCGTGCTCTGCATCTCGTATCCGCTCTCACTATACCGGGACATTGCCAAGGTAATTGTTATACTTCTCCATTTTACGGAACATCAGCTAATGGCTTTGCAGTTGGCGAAAGCATCGGCCCTCGCGCTGGTCAGCATGGTCGTGATCGTTGTGACGGTCATCACTCAAGGATTCCGTGTGCCAAGTGAGTCGAGGGGGGATATCAAAAACATTGTCATTGTGAATTCGGGCTTCTTTCAAGCCGTGGGTGTTATATCATTTGGTAAGTTGTGTCCCTTTCCGGTCGGTTCGACTACGTCGCTAATAATACAATGCAGCCTTTGTTTGCCGTATGTTGCCCTTTTCGTGCCGTGATGCTCAAAATTAACGTCTCCGAAGATCACAACAGTCTTTTGATCTATGGATCTCTGAAGAGACCCACACTAGATCGGTTTGCCACCGTCACCCACTATTCGACTGCCGTATCCTTGTGCATGTGCCTAGCAATGGGGGTAGCAGGCTTTCTATCTTTCGGGTCGAAGACACAAGGCAATGTGCTCAACAACTTTCCTTCTGACAACATCATGGTCAACATCGCCCGACTGTGAGTAGCAGCTATTGCGGATGTTGTTCTACAAATTCTAACATACAACAGATGCTTTGGCTTGAACATGCTGACCACGCTTCCTCTGGAAGCCTTCGTTTGCCGATCCGTCATGACAACTTACTACTTCCCAGATGAACCCTTCAACCCCAACCGGCACTTGATCTTCACAACAGCTCTGGTTGTCACTTCAATGGTACTAGCATTGATAACCTGCGATCTAGGCAGCGTGTTCGAATTGATCGGAGCAACTAGTGCTGCTGCCCTGGCATATATCTTCCCCCCGCTCTGCTGGATCAAACTCAGCAGCGCCACGCGGCGGGAGAAGATACCCGCATATCTATGTGTTGGATTCGGGCTTGTTGTTATGGGTGTGAGTGTGGTGCAGGCTGTTGCGAAGATGATTCGGAGTAAGTACATCGCTGCCCCACATACGCGTGCTTATTCAAGTGGCCGTCAACTCCATGAAGATGACCCATGCTAATTTGGTTCTGCAGACGACGGCGAAGGCGGTTCTTGTGCGGCTCCTTGAATGCAACGCAATCCATGCTTCTTTTCTTTCATTATAGACTCAAGCTGCCATCTATGGGGTCGAAACCTTGTATATAAATTCGCCAGGTGCATATGGAATCACTTTAAACAATTGCATCTCTTTCCAACATATCTGATCCCATATTGGATATTTATCCTATCTGGACTTTCATCCCGCATTGCACTAGCACATTTTGATTAATCTTCTTAGACGGGATAAATTCGACAGGATTTGCAGCAAATAGAGATCACTCTGGGATGCCTCGCGAGGCACAGCTGAATATTCCTTTGAAATACCCGAGGACCTGTTTGATATTGGGATCACACATCTCATATTTACGTGGAACTATTCGACGTCTCATCTGCGTTCTGCCCAGTTGGGGATCAGTGACAGCATACAGCTCATATACATGAGTTAAACTGGAATGCGGAATCAACCCTGGTCGTTGTCGCGTATATACAATTGGTGGCCTATTTGGCAGTGCATAAATGGCGATACAATCAGGGAGAACAGTGTGGAGTTCTCGGGGGTTTCCGCGAACCTGTATTGAATGCCTTGGGATGGAATAAGATGGCCTGTCGCGAACAATGTGTATTTACCGTGATCCCCGCAGGTATATCGTTCTCACCTTCCCTCCTCATTTCGTCATTCCTTCTTACCCTTCCCCTCAACCTTTTGATTTTTGCCAACTTGCTTCCTGAAGACAGGTAGGTCTACTGAATTCTCCTCTTTTTCCAAGGATCTTCAGCGGCTCTCCCGCGGAGCTTGGCTTTCTACGAGACTCTCGTGACATCCGTGGAATGATTTCTGCCGTCGACACCTATGACCACTGGTCTCCTCTGAGCCCTTCGGACCATCGGCCTCTCTCCTGAGGCTTGTCTTACACTGATTCCTTGCCCGCAGTCCTACCTTTTCAATCCAAGCCCTTCGGCAGCTTTGGAGATGTTCAAGCCCAATAAAAAGGGCGAGGACCACCCAAGAGAACGCCAAATGGTATGTCTTCGTGCGAATGTGATATTGCTTCCTGCTTTCTGCCATACTGAAAATGACTTCCTACAGGATGACCCGGGCCCAATTCGCCGCCCCCGAGCTTTCACTAACATCAGTCCGGAACACCCTGACCATGTCCAGAAGGTAAGTTATTCCACGAATCTGTCAGGGCTCCCTACGCACTGTAATGCTAAACATGGTTTCCAACAGGGTGACATTGGTTCATCTCGCCGCGAAAGGCTTTTCACCGAGGAAAGCAAGGAACGGCTTAGGCAGATCCAGCTGATGCGGCTTGGCTCGAATTTTATATTGATTCTTGCGCATTGCAACGCTAAACATGATTTCCTACAGGATGACCTGGGCTCAGCGCGCCGTGAAAGGGTTTCAACTGAAGATGATCCACGGAACAACTCCAATGTACGACTTGAGGATCTTGAAGCCCGACGGCAGTCCAACATTCCGGGAACGGAGATGTTCAAACGTGCGAACAAGGAGCGGTCTGCACTGGCCGCATGGGCTAGTAAGTCATCCAACATGGAAGCCGTTTCCTGAATCTCACTACTTCTCTCAAGGCGTACGCGATGATTCCCAGGATACACGATATGAAGAGCTGGAAGATTTGAATGGTGGTCAATCTCACCGGGCTGGCCTCAATGCCCGCTTCGATAGTATTCGTGATATCCCCGCAAAGCGCGCTTGTGCCAATCCCAAGGCGAACTTCCAACCTGCTCATTCCCGCCGCTTTTCTAGCATCGCTGCTCCCCGTGCCAATCCCGTGGTTAACGCTGATTCCCGTACCAGAGCTACCCCGGCTGATTCAACCAGAGCTGGCAGGGGTCAAATCATCAAGAATCCCCCTCGCGGTTCTGCATCGCTTGATCGTGGGGGTGGTGTTACCGGAAGTCGCACTCGTGTGAGTGGCCCTGTTGCGACACGTGGACATGGAGCTTCTAGAAGTCGGGACTACAGTACGCCTGTTAGGGCTCAGCAAGACTTTTCCAGGAAGATTACAAGCCCGGACGTGTTTATGGCCCTCCTTCGCGATCGACGTCACGCGGCTGAATCTCTATCTGCTCCCGTACTGACTCCTTCTCAGCGCCCCCAGCGTGCTTCTCAGTCGGAAGCTCCAGCACATGCAACTGTTAGCTCGTCTCCTGCCACGGTTGCAGCCTTCAATGTCACTCGTCAGTCTGCCTCGCCTTTGCGGACCCCGCGTGCTACGGCCCGAACAGCTGCACAACAGCCTATTGTGAACACCACTTCTGAACACCCTCATCCATCTACAACTCCCCGGGATGCACCCCGAATTGTGCCCCAGTCTGGTTCCCCACAGCCTTTTGTGGACACCCTTTCACGATCTACTTTTGCGGAATCCGGACCGACTAACCTGCTTCTGGATCTCGCCGAGCCTGCTAGATGCCAAGATGTGGCAGCGACTTCCGACTACTCCCAATTGCAGGGCCTCAATTTTGGAGGCGTGCCCATGCTGGACTGGTCAGTTTCTTTCCGTCCAGTCAGTCAGCAGCAGACACCCGTGGACCCTTCTTTTGCCATGAGAGCTCAAGTGCATGAGCACAATAGCCGTCGTGACAACTGTCCCCCTGTGATCACCAAATTTGGGAGCAACAATCCTTTCGCTGAATTCACTCCTTTTGTGAACTCGACCCCGGCAACTGGGCACAATCCTTTCACCGACCCGCCTCTGACCTCTTCAACTGGGAACAATCCGTTCCGAACCGACAGCTCTTCTGTGATTTCTCGGTCAGCTGACTACGACAGTTTCCGTGACTATCGTTCTCCTGGGGATCCTCCTTCTTCCGGAGAATCGAAGCTGAGCACATCAGGTGCTCCTCCGACGCCGTCCTTGTTGTCGCCGAAGAAGACCAAAGGATCCGATTTCACACCCAGCTTCGAGAAATTGTGCGTTTCAGGGTCACCGACCCGGAAACCCGCCTCCATCCCAAAGCCTCTTGGTACATTGGCCCACTCGGAGCATGCAGTCTCATGGTTGAATCACCACGCAATTCGAAAAGCGAAAGTGATTGGTGTGAAGGCTTCATTGGACGCCAAACATCGCGAAGCTCATGTTTCAGTCTATGAACACCCGGTACAACTGCAGCTCAAGCCCAAGGCTCTCGGTCCCAGCCTCGGGTCATCCGTGACAAGTTCTCAACGTTCATTGACCAGAAATGGACAGCAGATCGCTGGTAATTATCAGTCCCCGCAGCGAGCTACGGTGCGGGTTCTAGGTCCAGCTCCTGGCCCGTTGAGCGTACGTTCGCAACGCCAGGATGATCTGAACTTGGCTTCCCATGCAGCCACTGGCTCACAACAGAGAGACACATCGAACATCAGTGTCCTTGGACCCGCCCCAGCCCAGTCCAGCTCCCGTTCCCAAGGTCATATGACTGAGAACCGGAACTCCTCCACCGGAAACCCCAACCCCGGCACTAGTGATTCTCGCTCAACTGCTACGGATTCTCAAGGTAGAAATGGGCCGAAGCCCAAGGTTCTTGGCATTCAGCCATATAACCCGCGGAACAAAAAGGGCAAGTTGTGATGGTGTCTAGGAGTTGGACTACAATGTTTGTCATCCGTCGGTTGAATTCATGGTCGACACGTCTAGCCTAGAGATGGATTGGCAGTTGAAGGTTCACTTTGGCCTATCGGGCCCCTCGCGCCGTCGTCCGTCGTCCTCCATGGTCACCTATTTCCTGGTTCTACCTCTCCGGTCTAAAGCAAGCCTTTGATCTACCCCTGACTTTCAGTACTCGGATCCCCGTGGCCTTCTCTTTTATGCGTTTTTCCCTTAGTGCCCTGCTTCCTCTCTCTGATTTCGGAGACCCTCTATTCTTATCTTTAATATCCACTCATAGGCACATTTGTTGAATTAGCTGCGATTTGCGTTGCGGCCGATCTTCAATAGTGAAATGAACTAAGAAAAATCCTTTGGCTCTTCGTAGCGTTTTATGTAGTGTGACACGAAAATTACGGTCCGGCCCTGCAGTGATGTTGATGGGTCTAGTTAGGGCACGAAATAAACTTGCGGGCCGAGCGGGTTACTCCGCTTTATCCACCACGTGTCCCCGAATCTAGTTCGTGTATATCGGGAGTTCAATTGACTTCCCACATTGGCGACGGACATGAAGAATATTTGCGATATTGTGGTATACTATCAAGTCGAGTAGCACTTTCATAGGCGTGGGTCCTTGGGGCGTTCTTTTTTTCCTCGTGCGCCTTCTCATGCTTCATGCAAGGGGCTCACCCTTGCATAAAACATGAGAAACCGCATGAGGAAGCAGGTTACATTGTGAAATTCGACTAAAAAAGAATAGCGTATCTCAATGCCGGAAAACAAATCCAGAAAAAAGGTGCCGGTCGGCATTGCCACCCATGGTGAATGTCGCGCAGTGGATCCGGAAGGATAAAGGTTCTGAAACAGTCTTCCACAACAAGAAGCATGGGAAAACCCGCTTTGTCTACAGACGCCCTTGGATGCCGAGTGTCTGAGACTCCGATGTCTCTCTGTACTGGTAACACCTAGTGACGTGAATTTAATAGCAGGCTTGCAAGTCCGGCCGAGTAGCGGAGACCGTCTGCAACCTTGTTTGGGGGAGGCGCGAGGTGTTATTTTCAGTGGCAAAGTTAGGTTGTAGCCTGTTTCAGATTTAGGCTGCCCCGGGCCTTCCCAGGCCGCCGTGATTGGTGGCAAGCCGGTCAATTCTGAAAGTGTTCCTGGGAGGCTTCCGTTGGGGATCACCGTCCGAGATCCGCGCCGAATTTTGCCAGTGGATCCAATACCCGCATTCCGATTGGGTCACGCGCCTGTTCGGGGAAATTATCAGATCTGTTATTTACCGAATTCAGGGTCTAGATCAGGGACGTGGAAAGTGGACTACATCCATCCTTGGTCACTGCTGCAGAAGTCTATCTCCGGCGGCGGCCTCGCACGTTCCGAGGCTGCGACGGTTTTCATGCTCCCGTTTTTAACCCGGCTCTCTTTTCGGACAGAACTTGGTTGTCAGTCACAGTAACCTTTTCTCTCATGGTCCATCGTGAGCCTGGAGATAATTTCTACTCCAGAAGAAAATTGTCTTGCTCAAAGATTGCTTTAAATCATATCGGAGAACGGAATAGAACCCTCGTCACTAGTGACGCTAGTTGAAAATCACTGCGGAGCCACGCCGACTTGACCTGAGTCCCTTAGAACTCCATTGGTCTCCCTAATCTCCACCTCATACAGTAGTGTGTTATTCCAAGAGTTTTCGAGAAAACCAAACTAGTCCCCACCCCCCCCCCCCCCCCAACAACAACTAACTTCAGTGTGGAGACGGGAGAATTGCCATAGCCACTGTGGGTGAACAGTACGGGGCGTCCCAACCGCATCAGCCCAACAAGACGGACCCCGTTACATCCAGACATTCAGACACAGGGTAATATATCGATTGGTCAACATAATTTCCACAGATCTTGGCAAAGAGAAATGTTTCTATTGACCCGAATAGTTCTGCTCCGGGTGATCGGCAATGTCGTGGGTTCCCCGAGTTCGAATAACACGCTAACACCGGGTCTGCAGCCGAGCTGTCCTGATCGACAACGCCGAAAACTCAAATCATTTCTACTGCCTGTGGTCGGTATTATGAACATGTAAATCTTGTTTATTTTTCCGTATTACTACAATCGAACTCCTACCAATCGAACTCCTACCAATCGAACTCCTACCAATCGAACTCCTACCAATCGAACTCCTACCAATCGAACTCCTACCAATCGAACTCCTACCAATCGAACTCCTACCGTTTCCCGTCTTATATTACATAAACTTCATCTGCCGTGATGCAACGACTAACAAGCCCTGAAGGCCACATGGTGCATGCACGCCGATGATCATTCCGGAGTGACGCCCATCTGCATTTCCCGTATTGACCTTATGGCGTCTCATTGCCAGCCTAACGTCCATGTCTTATGCAACCTCATAGCCGATCATCTCTAGATGTCTAGGAACGTAAGTAATAACCCCTCGTGGTCCCGAGAAGCCACAATGCTATTATGTCTTACCGTGAAATGTGTATGGCGTTCGTTTTCGGGCCTGCGGCGCGAACAGAGGAAGAGGACTAGGATAGCTTTCGATCGGGGGGATGCGAATCGGAACTCCCTTGTGGACAGATAGCATTAGATCAATATGTAACTCTGTGACTAGTAGACTGGCTGTGACTTACCTGCTCCAGATCGTCTCTCTTTCCCCCTCGCTTGATAAATTCCCAAATCCTCAAGACAATTCGGTGGATTATTGGGAGCACGTAGAAAAGCAGTGTAGCAATACCGATACCCAAAGTGGTAATTGTTGCAGTGTCGGTCATCTTTAGCAAGCTTAAGGTAATAATGGAGAATTGAATCGGACGGAATGGCAGGTGAAGAAACTTGGAATTAGACAGCGGCCATCTTGATCTTATATACTGCAGCCTCGAAGATAGGATCGAAGCCATCCTCTTTCGGTACCTTACAGGGCTGTGCCCCGTACAGACTATGAATGGCCCAGGTCGCTCCCCAGAGCGCGACTAAAGGCCACATTGGGCAAGACCTGTCGAAACAGCGTTACAGAAACGGGGCCGATTAGCATTGTGACGGCCCATTGGTGGGAAACGGGGCTTTGTATGCCCACACCACCCCAAGCGGGTCTTTTGGTTGAGGCCGATTGGCCTGTCCCTTTAGCGGTCCGGCCTTCCGTGCAGACAGAGCGGAGGTGGGAGAGGTGGGAGAGATGGGAGAGACGGGAGATCTCGTGGTTTGAGTTTTAGCTCGAGTTTCCCAGTATTATTCCCCCGACCCGGCGATCAACGCGCCGTATTGTTTCTTTTGCTTTCCGGTACAGTGGCTCGGGTCGAGTTTGATTATTTAAGCCTCTTGTTCGCGTCCACGAGGACAGCGAACGTGTCAACTACGGAACCTAAGCAGACGTGTTTAGTAATACCTGTTCGTGATAAGCACCCTAGTGCCCTACTTCCCTCGGTCTGTTTTATCTTTTGAACCCCCCATTTACCACGAATTGAGGGAGCCTGGGTGCCTTCAGTGGGCCTAACGTGTCTAACCACGTAATAATCATGTGCAGGCAGACTACTTCGTACAGCGCGATCAATAATAGAACAATTTCCATGGCGCTCCTTGGAGGACGTGAGATTTCTAAGTGCCGATTATCAGATGTGGAAAAGTGGGTATGGGAAGGGCATGGTCAACTGAATCAATTTCTGTCAAGAATTGCCTGAAGGCAAACTAAGCCTCTTTTTTCCGAGGATCTGTGGTTCACATTTTAATCAATTAAATATTAGTCGGTGTTGTAACTGCAGGAATGTGGTATGGGATCCCAAGAATGCACATCCCATCCTAGGAGGTGGAATCAATATTTAGGACAGTCTCTGAGAGCTTGCACATATGGCTGAATATCCGACAGCCATTTAATAAAACCTCTGTCCTAGCCTTCTTTCCCTTTGCTAGTTTAATATAAGTCTGCCTATTTGACTTTAGAGCCGTGGATTGCGGCGTATTGTATCCGTGTGCCGTTAATCAAAGTACGATGCAGCGGGTAAAATCCGTTCCAAGGGTATATACATCATTAGTCGACTTATCACATAGATGACAAGCATGGTCGAGGCAGCATGCGAATTCTAAATTTCATGGTGAACCGCTCGTGCATTTGTCTTGGGTCGGGGATGAGAATCCGGCAGAAAGCTAAAAGATACTTCCGGTGATAAAATACTCGGAGTGGATCGGTAACTTTGGATCTATCACATCTGTCTTTAAGACGACATGTTTGCTGACAGTTCACCTATTCTGTATTCTCTCTGCTTGAGACGACGTCCTCGACATTTTTAAACAAAGATATTCTTTAGCCGTTATTTCCGCTGCATATTTTTGCCGGTACTTGGGTCGCAAAAGAGCTTCACTCGACTAGTTCACCCACTGCGTAGAACCCAACATTTTGTCCCCTTCTCTTATCATTCGTCGACTCAGGTATAGATGGGATGGGTGATGAAGGACGATTTGGGTCTTTGATGTCTCTGAATTTGCTCATCAGATAGCCAACGTCGCCCAAGTTATCACAATCTTCCGAATCTGAAGGTTCCTCGGGTTCCCCAGGAAATGTAACGCCCTCGAGATCCACAATCATCGCTTTGTCATTGTCACAGACTAAGAAGTTGTCCGGTCTCAGGTCTGAATACTCAGCTCCGTATTGGTACAAGGCGGAGAGAGCTTCCTTAAGTTGACGTCGCAATGAGTCCTCTCGGACTTCGACTTTGTTGCGAGCGAGTTCTTCTAAAGTGAACCCAGCAATCTCTGATAGAATAAGCGCTGGAGTTCCATTCAGCGAGCCTTCACCAAATAGCTTCGGAATGACTTTTCCTTGAAGGCTCTCAAATATGTTGTAGGCTTCTTTCTCACGCCGGAACTCGGCTTCCCATCCTTCCTTCTGTTGTTTGACAATGACCGATCTCACGTTCGATGGAAGAGCACTGTGAGATGAGAATGGCTCAATTTCAAGGCGATGTACTGTCTGACGCCGTCCATTCAATGGCTTGAGCGTTTGCGCAGCGATAGGCTTGCCATTTAGATAGACTGTCTGATACCACGTGAGCTTCGGCATGGGTTTTGACATCAGAGATCTTACATTAGAAGATTTTGTACCGGGAACGATAAAAGACATGGCGTCGAGAATTAAGGGAATGAAGGGGATGGTAAACAAGGGGCAATGGAAAGTTCCCAGGCTTAGAACGGCTGATTATTAATAAAAAAAATCACTTGTAAACCTGGTGCAAGGGAGAGCGCGGTTTGATTGGCTTGCTAAGTCATCAGGGGAAATAGCTTTACCACTATTACGAACTCCTTGAGGAAAGAATTAAATAATTCGGCCTGGCGAAGGAGCCTTCTCATCAACGCTATTATCGAGAGAATGCCACTTGACCCGCCGAGTTTGGGTGTGGTCGTTTGCGCTGAAGATTCGTGAAATCATCGAAGATGTAAGGCGAGACTTGCTCGTTCGTAAGAGACGAAAAAATATCATTAGAGAGCACCATACAAGGAAAACCAATTGGCACAAAGCGAAGGCAATCTTGCAAATGGATGCTCAACGTGAAAACCAACCATTTCACGACTTTGAGCCCACTCAGGCCCTGTTGTCCGCGTCAAGGCATGGATTTCCCACTTGATATTTAAGCAGAAGGCTGTCATTTCGTAGCCTTGGAATTCTTATGCGGCTGTTGAGTATGGTACATGTGGTGATATTTTGTGTTCTCGTTACCGAGTTTCTGTTTGCATTGGAGCGTCTGGTAGGGTGCCGATTTTCCCAATCTTATAAGCAGACATTGTTCAGGATAGCATTAACTGCCACGTTTCTTCTGTTCGGCCGCACGACTTGCTCATCCCTGCCTCACTCCCCTAGCCCCTTCATCAGCCACTCGTCGTATAAGAGTTCCAAAGCCGTTGGCCGGTCCTCGGGGTTCCACTGCAAGGCCATCCGGAGCCACCGCAAAAGTCCTTCTTTGTCTTCCCCTTCAACCTTCTCAGCAAGCCTTTCAAGAGTGATTTCTGGAATTGGAACTACTTCTTTCCAGTTGCCTGACTCATCCCAGAAGACCGAGCTGAGATGTCTCTGTTCCCTGAATTCGGGTGGCGGAGGGCCTAGCAAGGCAACCAGTTCCGCCATATGGACTCGGTCATCAAATACGCCATTTGAATTTTTGCCATTGATAAGTGTGCGAGGGCTAACGATGTCCCAGGCCTAAATGTACCAAAACATTTAGCATTTCCTTTTGAGTCAAAACTTGGAATATTCCCACTTACGACCATCGCAACATTCCATATATCCACCTTATAGTACCAACTCGATCTCAAAATCACTTCAGGAGCTCTATAAACGTTTGGCATGATATCATCTTTGTGCTCTTTGCCGCCCAATCGAGCTTCCCCAAAATCAGCGAGAACCGGTAGCCCACCTCGTGGAAGAAAACCTAAACTTTTGTAGATTGTTCGGTCTTTGAGGATTTTCCTAGGTGATGGGTGTGCAACCTCAGCTTCCTCGAATCGGGAAAGATAACTTTTCTCTGGCCCGGGAAGTAGTAAGTTCTTTAGCTGAAGATCTGTGACAGCGTTAGGCCGATAATATGAGGTCGTCGGGCGAATGAGGCATTACCGGTGTGGATAATATGACACTCCGAGTGCAAAAAGTCCAATGCGACTAGTAGCTGTCGGATACCAGGCTTCATGTCATCAAGACTCATTTTGTGCCCAGGAGACATCGTCACCAGAACATCTGCACTCGTTCCGAGAGGCTCGTGAACAAGACAGATGTGGCGTCCATGAGGACCCTGGACATAAAAATGGTCGAGAAGTTTGCGAATGAAGTTTCTGCCAGGATGTTTTGTTTCCACCAGATTCATGTGCTTGTAGATGTGCAGTTCTCGCTCGTGGTTTCGGTCTTGGCCCGTCACATATAGTTTTAAAACAACATATGTCGATGCACTAGTTCAAACGAAAGTTATTAGAATCGCACCGTCTGGTTGAGCCAGGGCGAATCCACCGCACCTACATCAAGCCTTTCGCAAGCCAAACTGTAGAGGTTACTCCGTATCCTATTTTTGCTAGTGTTTGATACCGATAATTCAATACTTCGCCCTGGTTGACTGGGTAAAATTTCTCCAATCGGTAATTTGGCAGTGTCTCCTCTTCAAGTTCAATGGACTGTTTAAGTAACTCGAATCCCGATGTGGGTAACACCCTCGGTGTGCACGTCTACTGAGGTGACGAAATAACTGTTCGATGCGGCACAACCGTGGCTGTTGGACTCGACCGTCGGGGAATTCGGTCACAAGAAAATATGGAAGGTAGAGACGTAGTGAAACTTCTGCGGGGGGCGGGGAAACAAATGGTCTAGGCATTTCGCACTGCTCGCTGCATCATGAATTTATTGAGCGCGAGAAAGACCTGGGAAGGTCCGGCGCGTAGGTCAAGGTGGTAAGGTAAAGATGTTATCGGAAGAAGAAGGGGATTTGGGCGGAGTCAAGGGGTACTGAGCGTGAGCTCAACAAGCCGGACCCCTTTACACTCAGACACAGTCGGATACATCGATGGGTCAACATCATTTCGGGAGTGTGAACGGATCTTGGCAAAGAGGAATGTGCCTATTGGCCAGAATAGTCCTGGTCCGATCGGAAACCCCGTTCCTCGAGCTGGAATAATACGCCAGCAACCGGTCTGGAACCAAGCTGTCCTGATCGACAACGCCGACAACTCAAATCCTTTCTACTGACTGTGGTCGGTATTATGAACATATAAATCACTTTTTTTTCCGTATTACTATAATCGAACTCCTACCGTTTCCCGTCTTATATTACATAAAATTCATCTCTCTGTAATACAACGACTAAAACCCCCAGAACTTTATATGGTGAGTACACATGGATAGTCATTCCGGAGTGGCCACGTCTACATTTCCTCATTGAATCTCAGTCCGACAGATATGTCTCTGTAAGCCGCATAGGCGATCATCTCTAGTTGTCTAGATACGTAAGTAATAATCCCTAATGATCCCGAGAAGTCCCAATACTATCGTGACTTACCGTGGAATGTGTATGGCGTTCGTTTTCGGGCCTGCGGCGCGGCCAGAGGAAGAGGATTAGGATTGTTTTCGATTGGAGAAATGGCAATTAGAACTTCCTTATATATAGATAATATTAGACCAAAACGCCACTCACTGACTAGTAGACTAGCTTTGACTTACCTGTTCCAGATCGATTTCCTCGTTTGTAGGGCCCTCCACGATGAGCCTGAGAGTATTCCAAATCCTCAATACTGTTCGGCGGATTCTTGGGAACACATAGAAAAGCAGCGTACCAATACCGATAGCCGAAGCGGTAATTTTTGTAGTGTCGGTCATCTTCCAGCCAGCTATAATGTAATAATGTAGAATTGAATGGGACGGACTGTTTCCGAGGTGAAGAAATTTGGAATCCAGGGGATTTAGAAAAACAGAAAGCGGCCATCGATCTTAAATACTGGAGCCTCGAAGATGCTATTGAGTGAATCCTCTTTCGGTAACTTACAAGGCTGTGTTCTGTACAGCCTATGTTGACCGAGCCGTCACATTGGACATGACCTGTCAAATTAGCCTTACAGAGAACGGCGCCCATAGAGAATTGTGACCCACCCAACGGTGGAAAATGGGCCCGTTGTATACCCACTCCCAAGTGGGTCATTCGGTTGAGGGTGATTGATATGTCCCCTTTGGGCCCGGAGCCTGCCGTGCAGACAGAGGAGACAGGATGGAAATGGGAAAATGGGAAAATGAGAAAATGAGAAAACGAGAGAAATGGGCGAAATGGGCGAAATGGGCGAAATGGGCGAAATGGGCGAAATGGGCGAAATGGGCGAAATGGGCGAAATGGGCGAAATGGGCGAAATGGGAGAGATCGGCAGAGATCGGTAGAGATGGTGGAAACGGTGGAAACGGTGGAAACGGTGGAAACGGTGGAAACGTTGGACACGGTGGAAATGGTGGAAATGGAGTGGATGAAGTGGATACGTCAAGGTCTTGAGCCATACTTCTTGCCAGTTGCAAGAAATGCCCGGCCAGACCATATCTCGTGGTTTTAGTTTTAGCTTAAGTTTCGCGGCACTATTTCCCCGAGCCAGCGATCCACGCATCGTGACGTTTCTTTTTGTTTCCCAGTACAATGGTTCGGGTCGAGTTTACTTATTTAAGCTTCTTGTTCGCGTTCGTGAGAACAGCTAAAGTATCAACTATAGAAATTAAGCAGTCGTGTTTAGTGAGAGCTATTCGTGATAACTAACCCAGTCCCCTATTTTTCCTCGACCTATCTTATCTTTTGAAAATCTCATTTATTCTCGAATCGAGGGAGCCTAGGTACTTTCAGGGGTCTAATGTGCAGGCAGACTACTTCGTACGGCGCGATCAATAATATAACAATTTTCTCAGCTTTCCTTTTTGGATATGAGACTCATACGTGCCGATTATCAGATGTGGACAAGTGGGTATGGAAAGGGCACAGTCTAAAAGCAACGTGAAAACTTCGCCCTGTTTCCGGAGAAAATAGGTCATGGCGCCTCTCGGGGCGTCAAGTTCGGAAAGAAACGGGGATTTCGTCTACCCCTGGAGACCCCGGCGCACGGATGGAAGCCGCACAAAAGGATTTGTTTCTTACACGCCGGGGTCCTAGCTCCAAAATCGGGCGTGATTATGTGGTTGATAAAATCTTCCGAGCCAGTCTCTTTCTGTCCCCTGACATAGACCCCAGTTATGTCGATTTTGTTCCTATTTTCTCCTTATTAATTCACGGGGTTATTTTTCGATTGGACGCATTGACACACCGCTAAGTTAATAGGTCAGTCCGGATTAAAATACATGACTCGTGCGCTCGCTGAGCGGTCTAGCATTCTTCCTTAAGGAGTAAGAGCAACAGTTCGCAGTCGCCCCTACAGGTCACATATGGAGCACGAGGCTACCACACACCTGGGGTACTAGGGTCTGCTGATCGCACGTTCCCTACGTCCGTTTTGTTGATCGGTCATGCAAGTATGGCGAAAATCCATGTTCTTGTATCGAACCCTGTAATTTCAATGGTGTGAAATCGCCCGAGACTTCATTCTATCATTCTAAGGTCTTGCTACATTGTAGTTTGGAAGCTAATATTCTCCAGCATGTCGAGCAGGGGTATGTATCTTCGATACAATCGTTGTCTTTATGTGTGACAACTCAAGTATAGATTAATTATTGTGACCTGTCAGATAGTGTAAAGCTGCTACTCCATGTAGGCCATAGACCCATAGATACTGATCTATCCACTTCGAGTATTTTAATACCGGAAGTATCTTTTAGCCTACAGCCGGCTTCTCATCCCCGACCCAAGAAAGAGGCACCAGCAGTTTATCGCGATATTTATGATTTACATCCTGCACTGATCCCTGCTTGCCATCTATGTGATAAGTCGAATGATGGTGAATTTATCTTGCCACGGATTTTAACCCCGTTGCATCGTACCTTTGTATAAATGGCACATAGGAGTAATTCGCTGGAGCCAACAGCTTTCGAGTCAAATAGGCAGACTTGTATTAGAATAGCAAAGGAAAAGAGGGCTAAAGCAGGGGGTCTATCAAATGTCTATCGGATCTTCAGCCACAGATGCAAGCTCCTAGAAATTGTCCTGAGTATCAATTCCTTCCATCTACTAGGATAGGATGTGCACTCTTAGGCTCCTATACCCCATCTGCTGTTACAATGTCGACCAGCATCTAATTAGTATGCTACATAGCCTCGGAAAAAGGAGGGTTAGTTTGCCCTTAGACAATTCTTGACAGAAATTGATTTTGGCCGTAAGGTATATAGCACGGATGGGTAGGTACCTATTACTTATCACATCTCAATTCATTTCACCACATTTTATCACATTTTATCATATTTCTAATCCCAACAAGAAATCATAGCGAATGAACTGCTCGTATCGTCAGTGGAAAAAGTTGGATTTTGGGAGACAGCCTAGCAGGGGTCAGAGTTTTTACAGGGGTGAAAGGGTCCATCATAAGTATGACGAAAGTGCCAAAGGTATTATGACAAAAGTACCTAACGAGTCTATCTACGTGTCAGGACCGCTTCCCGCTTAACATTTCGTATTTTTGTCATGCCTATAACACATGAACTGGCCGTTGACTTTCTTTCTATCTTTATTTTTGTTCCTTCATTTATTTATCCTTTCTAGTACCACTGATTCGCGCAGCGTATCGGACAGATCATATGTTCTGCACCACATGACTCAGTCTAGGCAACACGTTTATATTTAAAATTAAGAAAACTTTAACAACATCTTTCTGCTAGAACCTGCCCGGGATATACTAGCCGACAAAGTCAGAGACTATTACCCGTGAGTTGGCAAAACTCGTACATTCCGGTTCTATATCCCACGTAGTTGTAGAGCTTTCTTGTAACCCCCCTGGATACCTGCTAATGCACTATGCTATTCGACAATTTAACTCTACAAGTTAGAAGAGATGTTGATCAATAAATTAAATTCCTCGATCTAGCTCTGAATTGAGCCGAATGAATATCCGAGATCCAAAATCTGTAAATCTGGTGAACTCACGAACTAAATAAAGTCCACGCTGACAATGTACCCGTTCGATAAATTCCTATCACCTTGTTGTTTCCAGACACCGAAGACCCCCTTGAATTTCCCAGCATGATAACTCGAATAAAAATGACGCCTTGCGCGCAGATCGAAACAAGCTGGTATGATGATAAAAATACCCGTTATTGAGTAGCAACGACCCGTGTCATGACTTTCAATAAAAAAAAGCCAATTATTATTTTCCCTGTGGCGGCTGCTGCTGTCCGGGAGGGCCATCGGACATCCGAGGCCGTTTGGGATCGTTTGGCCCAGTAGGAGGGGCGGCGACATTCACACCGGGTGAAGTGGTGGCATTTGTGACATCGTTCAAAGGAGGTCGTTTTCCATTAAGATTTGGTGGGGGTACGCTGGCCCCTCTGTTCAAAGGTCCGGGGCTGGGCACATTGGGACGAGTCAATGGTCGGTAAGAAGAGACAGACGGGCCTCGAGAAAGAGGACTGCCAGGTGCGCCAGGTGCGCCGACTCGTCGTTGCAGGTCGGTTGCGGGGTTCACGAAATCACGCGAGTTATTCGGTGCTGGTGAGCCTGAACCACCAGCGAGCATTGGCCTGGAAATTGGCACGCTCTTAGTGTGATCGACGCCGGCAGTTTTACGGATGGATGGGCTCTCTGCGTGCGGATCAAATTGGCTGCCCTGTAGTGGGCCGGCATTGGGGTTATCACGGAGCATGTCTGCTGCTCGAGCGGAAAAGAACCCCACTGGCTGGGAACCTGGCGGCTGGTTTGGGTCTTGGTTGGGGGCTTGAACTGGTTCCCTTTTAACCTGTGGCGGTCCGTTTGGGATCTGTGGGTTGGTATTCGGGACGGGATGCGTTTGAGGTGCAACATTTGGCCTGATATTAGGATTGTTATTGGGCACACCAGGTGCAGCCATCGGTCGTTGTGGTCCAGGGATGGCTAATGAGTTCGGTCGCGCATTTGGGGGTAAAGACTGTCTGGCAGCAGGGTTCGGCCCATTCCACCGTTCAGGCTTCGACGGTGTCACTGCATTGGTGTCGAATCGTCCTCCAGGAGGTCCCCTCGGGGGAATTGGACGGTTCATCGGTGTGGGTGGTTGTTGTCGTGGTCCCTCTGGCTCTAATGATATCTCGTCCGGGTTGCCTGTCTCTCCCACCACGAAGTCGGCTTCGTCGAAAAGATCACCTGGGCTTGGTTAATCAGATGACTAGAGGGCCGTTGGGCGAGACTCACTGCCAAATTCTCCGTCGCCATCGAAGGCAGGCTTTGTCTCTGACACACTGCTCTTAGTCGGTTGGGCCGGACGTGGAGGAGGTAATTCGTCATCTTCTGTTATTCGTGTTGGCGGAGGGAGCTTTCTCGGAACAAAGTCAGGGTGACGGTGGAGGTCTTCGACATCCCATTTGCCCGGTCCTGATTTAACCTTCGTGACTTTGGTCAGGTAGTCTTTGTCGTAGACACAGTTGCCCAGCACGTTGCCAAAGTTCCTGAGGGTACGCTTCAGGGCATCCGTTGTCCCTTCTTTCTTGGATTTCTCGAACGCCGCGGCCTTTCCCTTGCAGTTCTCAATATGACCGTAGCCAATGTCCTGGGGCAATCAGCAAATGCCAACTTATCTAGACATAATTCAATGGGTAGCTCACCTCGTGAAACGTCCCATCTCGGAGTGTGACTCTGACAATGACGGACAGTCCCAAACTGATCTTGCCAGTGTTTTGGTTTTCCTCGATCTAGTCGATAGATGTCAGCCCGAGTCCTCCACGATTGGTTAGTTTGCAGCGACTCACAAAATCGATATCAATCTTTTGGATTGAACTGGACCAGCCATTGAACCCAAAGACCTCGTTTGCAAGGTTGATGCATTTATCCGCGGAGAGATAGTGTACTTTCTGTCCTGCGGCACCGGGTCGTGAGGAGATGTATTCGGGGCCCAATTTCTTATCTAGTCGCGCTTGAAGGGTGGCAATTTCTTGTGCGGTATATTCGCTGATCCGTCGCTCGGGCTCTTCGAAGGGATTCGCGGTGACAGCACCCGGGGCGTTGGGCATCCCGATGGATGCAGATCCGCCGCGATGTTGGTCACCCACACTAGGAAAACGCGATCAGTTCTCGATCCAGGTGTCAAACCGCTCCGAAACAACAGAGGTATCTCACGCTGGCATATTGGAGATGTGCTGTGTTGTTCTTAACGTGGGTGAGGGAGCGTGTCGAGCGCGTCTAAACCACGCGGGCAATCGCGATGTCACGTGCTGATAGGCACCAAATAAGCAGGCATCCAAACAGTGCAGAGCCTCGTGTTCGAGAGCTTCTTGGTTACAAATAGCTATTACCCAGTCTATCCTTGCTTGAAATACGGTAAGTCATGTGTTTAAATAGTGTCGTTTACTATTTTCCGAGGGGCTATGTTATTCCTCGTTCCTTACAAAGCAATGTATACCCAAGGGTCCTCAGCGGGACAGCGATGTCCAATCATTGAACAACAAGACTTGCGCTGGGCACGAGTCCGAGCTCCTTCAACGTCTCCCCGAAGAACTCAGCATCATATACCTTCCTAGGGAAGTTCTGAACGAAACTTTGCACCTCGACGCCATCTTGCTTTAGCGCAGCGGCAACCTCGAACAAAGTGGTCTCGACGGGAAGGGTCTTCATGATGTTGCCCTTAGGAGTCTGGAATCTCAGACGAGCCTCGGTATAAGCCGACGCAGGCTTAGACGCCACTGGGCCAGACGTTGTAGGAGCTGGGGCCGCAACAGGCTCTGGCGGAGGGGCCTGGCCTGCACGCTCTGCGCGTTCCCGCTCAGCTTTCCGTCGGCGTTCCTCCTTGTCTGCTTCGATCTTGGCCTTGATGCGCTTGCGAGCGTCGATTTCGTCCTGCTTCTCCTTCTTCTTCTTGGCCGCCTCCTTCATCGCTTCTTTCCGCTCGAGCTGTTCCTTCGCGTCCTGATTCTCCTTGGTGCTCTTCCGTCGGATATCCTGGATGATGCATGAGCTAGAGCCTCCGGTACTTGTGGTAATGGTGCACATACCTCATTTCGCTTCTGGTCAATCTTGTCCTGCTCAGATTGAACCGCCCGCTTGGCGGCAAGTTTTTCCCTCAGCTCGTTCAGGCGCTCCTTCTTCTGATCCTCCGTCAACGGCGCGAGCTCCTCGGTGGATTCTGAGAAGTCCACATGCTGGGACTTGGATGCGTGGAATTCAGCCTGCGCCGTGCTGCGGAACTTCTTGCCACAGTCATTGCAGACCAAGCTGCGGGGCTCTTCACCCGGTTGAAGAGCCGGTCCTTCCTCTTCTTCAGCCTGTTCCGCCTGTGCCTTGATCTCCTCCAGCGATTTGTCCTGGTTGGTTTCGAGCCATTCTAACGCCCCTTGGACTGCGCACTTTGTTAGCACATGCCATCACGTGAAGGGTTCCAGGGTAATTGACTTACGGCCACCGGTCTTCGTGACTGCGAGCTGTGCTCTCTCCTTCTCGAAACCCATCTCAATGAGCTGGTCCAGGTCGGACGCCATGGTGAAGACGGTGGAAGTGTGCTAAGGCGCGGGAATGCGAATTGAAAGGGTGTGGATAAGAGATTTACAGAAAACCGAATCTGATGTGGAAAGCCCCTGGAAAATATTGGGGGCAAAGCGACTGATGGAGAGGATTGATCGATGAAGGTGGGAGGTCTAGCGGGTGACGTATCGTGAAGGCGGCGAGCGATAAGTCCGGGCCCGCCCCACACAATTCTTCCCGAGTCTATCACAGCACTGTTTGCTGCATTTTCAACATGCTAAACGGCTATAATTGGCAGCCTGAATGGTTATTCTTGACAGAATCTCGAGCATCCAAGGATTGAGGTAATTGATATGCCTATTACTCAAATGATCCATTTTTCATGGCAACAATTCTCATCAATCAACCTCCGAAACAACAGTCATACCCATGCACCTGATGAGTCGCAACAAATTCGCGATGGGGAAGCGAGGTCGGCCTCACCACTGAGGATTCATCCAAAGATATCAAAGAAATAGCGCTCTCTCCAGAGGATATAGACTCAGCAGTGACCCGGAGCAGACATTGCGGACAGCACTTTCCTTATCGTCAAGGCCCACACAAGCAAACGCGGCCGAGGCACACCCATAGAGTCGGACACAGACATATTCGCGACAGCTGCATCTCCATTCACCCTGATTCGAGGCCAATCAGGACATAGAATTCCATGTGATATATGGCGATAGCCCGGGGGAAAGGAACATGAATATGGAGAAGGCTGCGTTCTCCGAATTACGAAACTGTATCTCCCTGGATCGGAACTCAACGTGCCATCCACCTGAGTCAATTTCGTAACCATAAGCTACCAATGACAAACATCTAAGAACTAAGCGCCCAAAGCTAGATCAATCACTCTGCTATCTCGCGTGCCTTCGTTAAAGCCTCCTTAACTCCTGCCCTTGTCTCGTGGACCTTTGCAGCCTTCCCAACATTCTTCAACTCATGATCGTCCTTCTCAGTGTTACCGTCCCACTCCAATTGCAGGATCAAGACCCCCTTCTCCTCTGGTTTATCGTTATCACAGCAGATAAACACATTTTTGTGTAACTTCATCCCGTTTGTGCGCCAGCCTCGACGCTCATCGTCTCGACAAATAACAGGAAACAGTTCCTTCATTCTCTCCCAAGGCATCTGAAATCGACTCGTTTCTGGGTCACCAATGAGGTCAAGCGTCGCTTCCGATGGTTGGACTTCGTCAGTCGAAGGATCAATTAGGGCTGGTAGTGGGAGTGCTGACAACAGCCCGGTGCTGAAAACGGCGAAAGCCCATTTATCGGTTGGCCGGGAGTCAGAGTCACCTCGACGTTGTTCGGTCGAGTTTGCGGGGCCGTCGCTAGGGTACCGGTCGAGCAAATCCTTTGCAGTCTCGTCACCCATCCTCAATCCATCGACTGACTGGCCTAATTCAACTTTTACCGGGACTGATCGATGCTCTAGTTGCCATAGACCACGGGCCTTGTATGCGAGAACGAGGGTCGCATTGCGCGGCAGCTCATCTTGTGAGAAGGCAATGAATGCATGAGGATATATAGGAATCTGCTTTGGCGGTGATGACTCAAAAAGATCCCGCAGGTATTTGACAAAGTGCTTGGTGCATTCGCCAAGGTCCTCGAAAGTACCTTCATCCACCGGGCTGAAGATGTCCGGCTTCGCGAGTCGTCCGTTGGGCCAATGCAAGATCTCCTTGGCATAGCTTTCAGTCACTTGGTTACAGGTCTCCTGAACCATAGCTGTTGTGACACCCTTTAAGCCATACCCGAGTAGCTTGCCATCCTCAAGGGCATATTGGTTGCCCCGATCAAACACGTCGCTAGCATCTGAGGGCGAATCAATGCTCATGGTTGGGTTTTTGTCCTATGACACTCAAGTCAACGAATAATATGTATTGAGAAGGTCTCTGGCCAGAGAATAGAACGGATCCCTTAAGGTATAACTAGTCACTCACCTCCCTGGATGCAAGCATATACGTAATGCGTTTCCTTGAAGCCTTTTCCTGGCGTCACACTTGCACACCACAGCCGTTTGGTCACGTAAGTAGACGTCATTCGCATCTGCAAAGCACGGAGGAGTAGGTACAAAGGATCCTGTCAGGCCCCCCGAGTTGTGCTCAGGCTCCACTTGTGCTGACGGTGGGGCATCGGCATTTGGATGCCTGATCAACAATGACGTCCTCCGCAAGTTCAGCCTTGGCACATGCAACACAAACCGAATAAGGCGATAGGTCCTTCGGTGGAGAACTTAAATTAAAATAAGACTTTCACTCTGGATTCGTCTCATCGCAAAGTGGGACTCAAATCAATTGTTTACAGTGCTTGGCCTCGATGAATGAGACCAAAGCAGGCCAAACCCACTATCCCGTTTTCTACGTACAATGCATAAAAGTAATGCTACGGATTTGCTCCCTAAACCAAATGCTACCTATAAAATTAAAATTTTCAGTTTCCCCCTCTTTTATCTCATTTTTGAGGCCAAGAGTGGGTCGTCAAAGTCTACTTTACTAGGCACCTTGACGTCCTGATGGAGCAGAAGTGGATGTACTTCGGACATTAAGCAGCCGGTCTCTCCTCCAGCTAATATGTCTGCCTTGTCTAGTCAAATCTGCCTCATCAAATCAATTGACCAGCCTGGATTTGACCTGATTGGTTGCTTTTTCATCATGAGGACTTCGCCTCCTCCTAGTCTGAACGCAATAAACTCAGAATGGGAGTTGCTGGAAGTTGGCCGGCTAATCAATATACGAGGACCGCCATGTGCAAGATACTAGTTTGCTGTCAAGGATCAATGGTATAATGTAAAGGGCCAACGACATCCATAAATTTTGGTCCATGATCTCCACGCGGCCCGTCAGCCGCACTTCTTGGAGGCCTGAAGTGATGCAGAGGTGCAGGTGCAGGGGTGAACAGGTTTTTCCAATGCCTTCCGCGACAGATGGTGGGGTTTCCTTAAGCACAGTAGCAAATCATTGGCGCTCCTCATGCACTTTTATGCATGATAGGGGGTGGGGAACCCTCATGTGTGGTATGGGGGCCAGGGGCGAAGTAGAGGTATACAGGGCAAGAACAAGTTTTTTTCATTCCTTTTATGAAGGATTGTGGATTAAAGTAGTACGCAACAGCACATCATTGGTGGCCAGCGTCGTATTCAGGTGATGGAAAGGGAAATCTATGCTTACACCTCGGACAGAAGTTGGGGCTGTTTTGAGACATACTAATGATATATAAAAGATATACAAAATGGCCATTCATGGAAATTCTATAACCATCTTTCAGGGCTGTGGTTTAACACCCTCATTACCCATTAAGAACAATCAACTATTCATTATCGTACAGGCAAAATGCATACCTCTAAGTTTTTCGCGTTCGTTTCGCTCATCGTGGGGGCCTTCGCCCCGCCGCCCAAGCACTTCCTAAACTGGGTCTGTACTGGTCAGGACAGTGATGATATTCCAGGTATGGCGGCATTGAATGTGGCTAATGTTCTACAAGATCTCCGCTAATATCTTGGCTACTAGACGTCTGCAACAATATGTGCTACGGTATGCCCTATCTGGCATTCTATCTTCTCGGATGAATAATAACGACTTGCAGGAGCTACTTGCAAGAGCTTGCCAGTCCAGATGTACTGGGACCAGCCTGACTCTACCACCCGTAAACGTCGTGGCCGCAATGCGGGCTGTGGTACTTCGCACACTTGCAGCAGCGGTCAACAATGCGATGAATATCCCTACGCTTCAACTAGCACCGCTGATCAGGTTACTGCGGTCAGCCGCTGTGTTCCTAGGGATCAAAACAATCGTGAGTCTGCCATGAAATTTAACATTCGAGCGGGCCCCAGCTGATGATAACTCAGGCCAGGGCCAAGGCCTTCGTCAGTTTTACAACTCCCAAGGTAGCTTTAAGGGTGACGGGCTCGGTGGAAATAAAGGCGGCTATACCGTTGGATTTGCCAATGCTGGTACTATCCAGTACTGCATCGGTACCAACTGCGCCAACGATGGCAAAGAGTACACGCGCAATGGCCTAGCCAAGCGGGACCGCATCCAGCGGCGCAACGCTGGTGGCCTCTACAAGCTTAACAATGGTGCTACTTTCTACGCTCCGAGCGGTGCTGAGGTTGGCGACATTGTCTGGACTCCCAAGTCTCACAATAAAACATTGTCCCTCGAGATGTCCAAGAGCCATGTTTTCGATCCGGACCAGGGCCTTGAGCAATATGAATACATGATGTTTAATATGTATACGGAACGAAGTGAAGTTGTTGGCCCTGCTGATGGAGACGAAGCTTAATGGTTTAGCTCTTCTAACCGGCCTAAAGCCGGCAAGAGTTGGGTTATATACAAGCTGGCTATATTTCATGTTCAATCGCCTATACTTTAGTATCCTCTATAAGCATTTCTGCTTGCTTAGAAAATAAATGGTTTTGAACTGGCAAAAGCGTCGTCTGCTACATCTGGTGAACACTTACCAATTTAGACATTATGTAGTGTTAAGACATTTCTACTTAATCGGTTGCCATTGTTTCTACGTTGCTACACTTTATTGAGTACTCAGATGCTGACAGACCCACGATGGATTAGCCTATTATTCTAAGCATGACCACACTATAAATAATTCAGTAACTTCTACTTTGCGTCCAGGTGGCAGTCATTTTTAATATGGAAGATTAGGACTACCAGCTAGGTAGAGTACAGCAAATTAATACATTGTCCGTAATACTATCTCTTTTACTGCTTCTTGACGTATTCATCGAACCAGGACACCGCCTGTGTGAATGCTTGCTCCTTAGCGTATTTCTGCCGTGGCTTAGACAGATCACATCGCACAGCGAAGCCATGCTCGACGTCCGAGAACATATTGATCTGGTACGGGATCTCCTTCTTGTCCAAGATCTCTTCGCTTTCGTGGCGCTTGGCCGTTGTAAAGACAAAGTCACGGACTAGCCTTTGCGTCAATCTCAATTCTGAATAACATTTAGGGGGAAAGAGTGGCCATCGACGTACCTGCAGCTGCAATGCTAAGTGGGCCCTCCACGCCGCGCAACTCGTCGGCCTCCACCAGCGAGGGATGGGCTGTGTAACCGGCATCTAATTTTCCCGGCTTCAGGTACCGGCAGACGTACTTACCGCCGAAGCAGTAGCCGACGCCCCCGATGCGCTTACAGCCCAAGTTCTCGCGCATCTCTTTTAAGACGGCGTCAATGATAGGCTCCGTCTGCGCAGGAAGGTGGTTCTTCAGCCAGTCCATGATGCTGAAGCCTTCGGGACGGTTCAGAGGCACCGCGTCGCCTGAAAAGAGGTCTGGCATTACGACGAAATATCCGGCCGCCGCGAACTGATCGGCAATCAGCTGGGTGTTGATGAAGCGGTGACCGATGACATCCGTGAGAATCAGGATAGCATTTTCTGTGGACCTGTCGGCCGGGTACGCGAAGTAGGTCGAGACTATCTGTGTTTAGAGGGCAACACTTCATGGCCTGATTACGGGAGCACTTACTGGTGTCAATATTTTCGATTTCGCCCTTGGCCTCCCCGTCGTGCAGGGAGCCAAGGGTACAGCAGCGGGAGAGGTTGTTTGAGGTCATGTTGACAGTGGGAGCTTTCGGCAAATACGAGGTGGTTGAGTAGATGGTGGCAGATGATTGACCAAGAGCAGATATCTCATGGATATAAACAGCGCCAACTAAGAAGGCCAGGCTAAAGAGGGACCGAGGCGAGGGGTGATCACAGGCAATAGCTCAGACATGCTCGCCCTCACTATTCTGCCCATCCCACTATAATCTGACCGGTGTATTTCTCGGTTAGATCAGAGCCTCCGTCGGAATCCGGACTCAGCTAGTGAGATTAACTATGCCGCTAGTGGTTGTTTCGGATATAAGCACTAACCCCGCCGCCCAACACAGACCATGGTCTTCAAAGAGGTTTGGAACAAAATGCTTTAAAGCGTGGCTCAGATGGCGGAAACCGAAGCAAAAGCACAATATCCGATCTTAGCCGTCACTGCTCGCGTGATAAACGCAACACTCAGCGACATTCCCACGGGGATGACAAGAGCAGACAACAGTTTCTTGGCAGCTGTCGTGGAACGGCGCCCCCGTTGCTTATATCCGCTAGCCGTCCCAGTCCAGGATCTCCGCCCGAAGATTATAGCGGCCCCCAATTCCTTCAACAGCATGTTTATCTGACCAGCTAGGATGTGGTTCCAGCTTCCCGGCCTCCCACGCGAACAACTCTGGTGCTAGAGTCCTTGATCACCCGCAAAATGATATTAGATAGGGCTATGGTGTTCGGGTGGCTTGGCGATATAACTGGATCTCGGCAGGACACGCTTGAAGTTTTTAGTGCAGCCGCAGAGTTGCAACGGGGCTAGTCACTAGCGAGCACACTGTTAGAAAGGTTATGCAAATGAAGTGAGTAGGATCCACAAGGATGAAACGTGGATCAGATACCAGGATTAACTGAGATATTTTTGAGGATACTTGTGAGTTAATCCTTTGCTTATGACGCTGGGCGAAGAATTGATTGACATAATCGAAGGACGAAGATTCTCCGATCCAGGTCCCGCTTTCTGCATTACAAGGTAAGCATAAACCGGGTAAGAATCCATCGGGCTGGTGCGCTGACGGCACAGACTGGTCTGCGCGGAGGTTCTGAAACATTCGCCTCTCTGCATCTGCGTTCAGCCATGCCAGAGCTTTTTGGATTGAGGACTTTACTCCAGGCAAAGTCCTTTTAACTTGATCGCCGTTACCCTGAGCTGTCTGACTCCGTAAGTCCGGCGTCAATCTGTGGGTGTTGGGATGTGTCGAGGCTGAGATTCCATGACTGCATGGTTAAAGTGTCTTTGGCCTTGTCGATTTAGCGATTTAGCAGCATGCATCGGTTTGGAGGAAATCTGTATGGGCTAGCATCACACACGGTCCAGTGGAGGGATGATCGATTAAAGGCGTCCCGATCGGTTGAATGATCTCGAGGGAACTGGATAATCAATCTCCGGCGTGTCACGGCACCGTACTTCCGAGCGTATCCGGAGTATGATACAAATACGCGCAGGAACTCGATGAACGATGGATTAGCCTGTCTTGAAGAGTTCTAGTGGTATTGAACCACCCGCGTACATAGCCAAGCGTGGTCCGAAAATCACACGCTTCACTCTTCATGGTCCTGAAAATTTTGACTATCTGCAGACCACGCTCGCTATTTTAAGTACGACGCTCCCTTCCTTAGTCCAACGGGCAAAATGGAGCAGGTGGCTGTAAATGTGACGGTCACACTAGAGTTCCTTAGGTGTGGGTCTCCGGGCCGAAAACGGTGTCGCGATCGAAGATTGGCATCTCCGGGCCGGGCCGAGGAAGACCGGATATAGGAGGCATGCGTCGAAAGCAAAGGCATTCTCTCTATTTCTTCTATTTCACCGTGACACCATAATTGATAACAGTAAGGGAAAGAGAAAAGAATGCAGGAGAAAGGAATGAAGGAGAAAAGAATGTTATTATAAGGGGAGAAAAGAATGTTATTGCGAACTACTTCCACTAGCTTTGCGTAGCTATAGATATGAAAACTAGAACAGCAAGACAGTCCCTGTAAGCCAAACGGCTGCAAATTGATTTCCGTCTCCATTCACATTAAGGTCTCTTGGGCCACCCTTGAAACTGATATATGGGTTCTGAAAGAAGTTTAGATAAAACCAATAGCCGGTCTGTTGTAGGATGACTCACTTATCTACCACGGCTATCCTCAATGAATAGTGGCATTGACGAATGAAGTAAGATTTCTGCCCTCATTGTCAGAGAGCAACTGGAAGATAATTTTGTTCATGAACCGTGGGGCTTCGTGGCCATCTGCGGTGCTTCTTCCAAGATTGAGCTTGTTTCTGTCAAAGACATAGAAATCATCATCGACCCTTTGAAGCACGTTATCAGCGACTTTATCCTGAACAGCGTTGTACCACTGGTTTAGGGTATGCAGGCTTGGTGCAACGATAACATATCGCCAGGACCAATCATCGTTGCTCTATCCTTGTGATTAGCATTGCCTTTTTCCTTCTCATTGATAGAGCCGACCTGAAGGCTGAAGGCTGAAGGCTAATACTCACGTTTTTGGCATAAGCGTAGTAGACCATGATTACAAGTCGAACAATTGATTATCTCGAAGCAAGAGAAGAAAGAATTGTGCGCGTAGCTTTGGTAGATAGGATTTAAGCTTTGCTGGTGAGCTCGATGAAGAACGGGAGCGCAGGTCAAACGAATTTTCAACCATTTTTATAACCATTTCAGCCTCTATAAAATAGTCATGATATCACTACGGTCTTACTTCATGAAACTGTAGCATTGCGCGAATTTCTTGACATCAGCATTCAGCAGCATGTTGATTACTTCAGAAAGTTTGTTGAACCCATGGCTGCATGCCTCGCGTTACATGGCCAATTATATGCCACTGGACCGCATCTAGACTGCGTTGGTTCTGGATATCAACGTGTCATCTAAATTTCCACAGCTATGCAGGCTTACCCAGCACTTTACAAGGGTAATCTTGCATATCATGGGAACTCTGCTTAGTCTAATTTAGTATCGCCCGTTTTAACAATCCTGAAGGATGTGAAAGTTGAGGGGTTAAAGAATGAGCATGGCGCAAGCCAAAATGGCAGAACTAATAAATAGAACAATTGTACTCAAATCTCTCTTGGGTTCTACTAGTTAACGTAATTGCCTCTATGTCAAGCAATGAATTTCGCGCACCTCGCATTCCTGTAATAGCCTTGCTTAAATTAATCTATGCCAACATTTTGCCGGAGAGAAGAAAGAGAGCTCGTCAAAACTCAGCTTGTTTCAGAGCGCCTAAGCGACTATCCTTCGCATTTTCTCCAATAACCCACACCTCCACCAGATAGGTGCCCAGGCTTTTATTAAGACTTTTACCAGACGAAAGTTATTTTCCTCTGCCACTTGGATCGCCGACTGAAGAGCCCTCGCGCCATTACAGAGCCTCGTACTTTTTGAACAAGGGAGACATTTGCTATGGTTGAGGCGATGATGTCGCGGAGGTTTGAGACCCAGACTGTGTCCAAGACGAGTAATATAGTATATGAATAACATGTTGATTGCTACTGGACAACACATATGCGAGATCCCGATCTTCAATCCATACGATGTGAAGCGTTGGCTCTGGCGGGCATCCAAGGCCGATCTCCGGCTCAGGATAATCATGGGTAATTCTTCGAGGAATGTAAGTCGGCAAAACCCACCCGCTTTTTGCACTGCAAAGTTAAATGCCCAGGACAGCCATACCAAGCATTTACAGTGAACGTTTCTAGCGTCGTGTACTGAGGGATATTGCTATGAAAGACTCCAAAGATTGACTCGCCGGCGCTAGACATACATTCTATCTGACAGGACTTCTGTATCCTTACTTAGAATAAATCGACAGGTCGCTGGAAGTGTTAATAAACTTGGGCCAGGTGTTTTGGAACACCAGGTTCTTGACAGACCTGTCGGCCTGGTCGAAAACATGGACTGCGAAATCCGCAGGAATGATAACAGAATCCGGAAGACGGGGCTCGATATTAAGGATAGTCTGGCTCTCGTGACCATATGCATCAAGACACAGAGCGTGGGTGTCTTCCTCGACGGCTATCAAAGGAGACAACTTTTTTCTGTGCGTCGGCGGCACGTTGTAAAGCTCAGGGGCATTCCTTGTTGATACAGATTGGCCGATGGACTGAGCAGCTTCACCAAACATTTTCCTTAGATCCGAATAAATCCGAGATTCAATGTTGATGGGAAAATCCGCCGTTTTAAGGTCGACGCAGACTGCGTAGATCTCGACCGCGATCTTGAACAAACGAAGTCGGTGGTACTGGGGATCGTGGTTCCAATCGTATTCCGGCTTCGATTCACTGATTTTCGCCCAGGAATCCTTCCAGTCGCGCACGTAATTCAGGAAAATAATATTCTCGCCGCTGAATTCCTTGGCCGCGGCAAATTGCAGAAGCGCGCTCGAGTCCTCTTTTAAGCACCTCTCTAGAGCTTTTCGAGAATAAGCATATGGCACGTGGCTGACTTCACTTGGACTTCGCGATACTCTGGAATCCAATTCGTCCGCGCTGGCTATCTTCTTTTCATTCCATGCTTGGAGTTCCCCGAGGATACGATTCCTCCGCCTCCTGGAGACTACAAGCTCATAACACGGAATGAAGATAGTAACAGCCTCCATCGTCATGATACCGGGAGCAAACCTGCGAGAGTTATCAGCTACGTTGTTTGCATTTAGTGATGGGGTTTCATTACCAGAGAGACGCCACCCAGTGTCTGTTGATAGTTTCCCAGATTTTGGTTGGCGAATACAGTGCGGCGAACCACATAGGCGAACCCGGTAACCTACGGATTCGTCAGTAACGTTGTTAGTGGCGTGGATGCCAAGGAATGTTGTCAGGCGCTCACGCAGCGATGACGCAGCAAGTGATCTGAAGCCGCCAGTGGTGTATGTCATGGATGTTCCGGATCTTCCACAGAATGCATGGCGCGAATATCCAAGACCAGAACAATTGCCAGAGAATCGAAGGAATCCTTGAAAGTCTTTGGTCAGACGGAGTCGACTACATCACCATCCAAGCCAATCTTACCATTCAGGACCTCGCCGACATTTCTCCGGGCTCACATGTTCGGAGAAGGTGCCGAAGGTTTGGAATTTCCGCGAGGTGAGGAAGATGGAGAGCGACAGAAGCAGCTAGAGATGAGAGATGAGAGATGAGTATGTGAATATCAACGGCAGCTGGCGCGTAGGATGCACTGACTTGAACCACCATCCCAACAACAATACCCAATTCCGTTCGTTGGACGAGGTTCAATTGCCTCCATTGAAAAAGGCTGCGGCTAGAGGATCTTGCACGGGCGATGAAATGGGGTCTGTACGGTTGTTGTGCGGTAAAAAGTAGCTTCTCTTGAATGCCAAAGACGCTCAGGAGCTGCATGCTGTTTGCTTGGAAAAGAGCGATCCCCAGAGGCAGATAGATGCTCATGATCCAGTATTCTGCAGCACAGGGGTACTTAGTACCCAATGAATATGCGACCATGCACAGAACCCAGTAGACATGGAGACATGACACGGCGCTCAGTGCAAGCAACAGGTTACGAATTCGAATGCATTGCTCATGGCGATTGGCAATGAGAAAGGCGGAGCCGCAGAGGATGGCAGTTGTCCAAATGATAGCGACAGAGATGTAGAATTTGGCCAAACCGTCGAAGGTAGGCACGTCAACGTTGTTTCCTCCGATGCCTGTGGAAGCCATTATCAAGGGTCTCAGAGACCAAAAAATGCCATCCAGAAGGAACTGGCAGTTTGGTTTTCCAGTTTTGACAAATGGTTTTGGTAAAGGAGTGACTGGGTTGACGAGATGCAGTCTGAAGTCCAGCTTGGAAAGGATGACAGGGATACTGATTTTGGGGATTCATTCTGTGCCCCGGACCGAATCAGTCTGCACACATGGCAATCGGCAAGGGAGAGAACTAAATTTGGCCTGTCACAATGCCTAGATCCCAGCAAAGACCTTGCTGAAGCCTGTGCACTCCCCAAGTTTCAACGGCTCCGGCCGGAGTTCCCAGGAACCGGTGGCTGCGCGAAGGAAGGTTCGCTAGTGCTAGCACCGCCAAAGCGGCCCCCTGAGTCGTTCCAAGGTGCGTAAGTGCGTTTCACTCTAATTGCAGGATCTCTGACTTGGACTGGTCTAGATTTCAGAAGGATTCCGAGAGACAGACAAAATCCTGGATTGGGGAGTCCGCAACGCACTGCTGCCGCAGGTATGGCCCACGACTCTCATCTAGCAATGACTTGTGTAGAGAAGGCATGAGCAATACTGTCGGCGGGGGCCGCTCGTATAGCCCGAGTATTCTGCACTATGACAGATCAGTGGTCTGATCCGATTGGCAGTATTGGGATAGTGGGTTTCGCCCCGCGCGGGCCGTCGACTTTCCATAGAACAGAAACGTGGGGCGACGAGCCAATACTCTTCCGGAAGGGGGACTTGGGCCTCTCGGCCGCGGCTCCCAAAGTACGAGGGGCCTTTCCTTGACAACACAGTATTTTCGCGTACCGGGGTCGCAAATTATACAGAAACGTCTCTTGGGACGAGAGAGTTGTAGCAATTATATAATAACCAGAAAGCCGTTGTAGGCTCTACCTAAAGATCGGGCGTCCTGCGAACTGTCAGAAGATGTTTCACCGCGCATCCTTCTCTTGCCAGGTTCGGCCTTTAAATTTGGGTTTTCCGAGTCAATATTTGCTCACTAGCATGACCAACGCAGTAAGCACGTGGAAAGTCATTGGCAAAAGACCCGACACCAGTGAACTTCTGAAAGGACGATCCATTTTCATTCTCTAGTTTTAATTTTAAGAGTCAAAGATTGGCCCAAAGGCAGGCACTCCGCTTGCCTTGAGCTCAAAGACTACTTTTTTCGTGAGCCGCGGGTTGCTGATCACACACACGGCCTCCGCATCAAATTCCCGGACGAGTTCTTGGACAATTGGCACCATATCCACTCGCCCGCTGTTGCCGGTATCGATGAGAAGTGGGTCGGGATCGAGCCGTCGCACTAAGTTGAGCACGTCAGAACCGTACGTCCGGTTCGGGTTCCGCGTCTGCCAGATCAGTCGTAGTGGGGGCCGATTCTTTTCGCTCAGAAATGAGAGACATGGCCCTATGCCGGATCCCGTGGCAACCACCACCACCCTGCGGAAAACCCGCATCACATGGATGAAGCCGTACATGAGCACTCCGCGCTTCCACAGCTGGGTTGGTTGCTGGTCGATACACCGGGTGGTCCAGTCTCCTGCCTTGGATACTATGCAAGAAAAGCTCTTGCCGTCGGGATCAGGGAACGTTGCAAAGCTGTGCCAATCCCGGAGCGGATGCTTGGTGAGTGCGATTACTTTGCCAAATGCAGTAGATGCGTGATCGAGGTGGAGTCGGACAGCATGGGGTGAAAGATACTCTGGCCGAACTTGTACGCGGCGGAGAAGGAGCCAAGGGTGAACGATGGAGATAACGATGATCAGGACGAACCAAAACGCCGGGAGTTCAAGCAGGTATTGTCCGAGAGACAAGCCTTGCGCATGTCGGGCTTGGTTAGAGAACACCAGCAGCAGAGCCACGAAAAGAGCCACTGCCAACCATCCAGAGAATCGGTGCATAAGCTCGAAATAGTCATGTCTTTTTGTCCGGAATGTAGGATGTGCAATCACAATGATGGCGACGAGGACGACGAGTAAAACATAGGATAGGACAATGACGGGGACGGAGATCACCCCCGAGTCGCCGTCAATCCAATATTCCCGTGATATCAGAGCCACGAGGCCGGTATACCATAGGAAGGCTGCGACACCGCATCCACTGTGGACGCCACCATAGTGGTATGCTTCCGCGGCTCTTTTGCGCAGCACGAGAGGAGCTGACTGTGGGATACTGCAGATGCCCACAAAGATGGCGTTCACCACCAGGGGGTGTCGCGCAAGCCCGCATACTAGTAGATTGATGGCCGCTGCATTGACGAATGCAAGAATTTTCTGTCGGCTCTCCACCATAATGATAACGAATGCGACCGCATTGGCGCAATAAACCAGGGAAAACAGGCGGCGGTAGATGGTGAAAATCAGATATCGTATTGAAGCAAAACTCATCCGTGGATTACGTTGGGCCTCAACATCTGCATTGGCAGAAAACCTTTTCCAATCCCAGGCACTGTCATTGCTAAGATATGTATCGACTGATGTTGCAAAACTCGGCTTGCTTGAATGGGTGGGACGGGGGGCTTGGGGCGGGGGAGACATCCTGTGTTATCGTGCTGCAATTGAGGGCAGCGGAGGTGTGGAAAATCGACCGTATTTAGAGGATGGGGTGGAGTTGCATGGACCAGCGTGTTAAATTAAAATCTTTAAACGAAGTCAATTGCCTTGGTTTATGAGATAAACACCGGGGAGGCAGGCGGGATATTCCACCAGAGACCCTGTCTAGTTCATGACGGTAAGATAACCATGCTAGAACAGGTGGAGTCTAGTGGATCATCTACCCGCTTCCGTTATAGAGCGTTTATTCTGGGATTAAGCCGATATCTTCCGTTACAAAGTGTTTGTGGTGGGATTCAGCCGCTATCTGTATTCCCATCACCCTATCCTGAGGAGATGGGCGGGAACTCGGTCATTATGCATACGGTAACTGGAGTATGCCTTTATGCGGTCAGGTCAAGGAATTCACGCTCTGAATCGCACTGACACTGGTTCAAAGTTCCTGACCCCATGCTTAGTGCTGGCTTGGCAACTGCCACCCAAGCCACCATCCTCCGTTTTAAACCGCGTTTTCGCCAGATAAATGATTAGCGTTGCACTCACTCACAAGCCAGACAGGTTTGTGGACACTAGGGATTGTTGATTGCTGGGGTACAGGCCAGTGGAGGGGCCCTCGCTTATGCACCTGCTCCTTGTAGTATTTGTGAACCGTCTCGCTTTGTTAACTGCCATCGAATCTCTTCTTTCATCTTGACTCATGCTCTCAAGATCCTCGACCCAACTTCGTATTTCTCCTGGTCATATTCCACAACTCGTTCATGGTCAGTCACCGGCCCAATGGAAAAGTCCGTCAGACCATTGTTCTCAATAGCGTGGAAATATGTGTCCTGTGCTTTCCCTGATGGGGAAAGCAGATGGTTTTCAAAATAAATTCAACCGTGCTTGCCAAAGGTAATAGTCGTGAATGTATTCTCTAAGTCAACTACTTAGGCCATAAGTCGAAGCTTCAGGTCCCGAGGCTACTGGTTCTAGACAGAACAAAGCCATACGCCGAGAAACTTCTCCTCAAAAATGTATTTGGCCTTGACTAAGTTCTTTACAGAATTGTAATACAAATAAAAGCATCTGAGAAACAGGAAAATTAAATACGTGGCGAAGCTATAAGTGTTAGCAATATACCGGCGGCTCTTATGGGAATGAACAGGACTAGCATTGGGGTTCGGGAGTTTCGAAAGATCTCCGACCCATTATCAATTTCCAAGATAAAGGCTTGGTTGTGCAACCCCTCCGCACATTTAGTGACTCTAGTGTCTATTGGGCTTAACGCATCTCATCTCGCAAATTTCCAAGAGCACAACGTACAGTAATAGGTGCCATCACATGGATGAATGGCAACCCTGACAGGTTTTTGTAGATTAAATTTCAGGTAATATTGCGACAGATGGCTCTCTTCGTTGAATCTAGTATTGGGGTAGAATTAGCGATTATCTAAATTCGGTGTTTGTATACCTACAGCCATCGATGCTTAGTGTATAGATACAAGTCTTCTTCACAAATCAATTCGTCTATGCGCCAGAAATGAGAATCACCTAGGCGAATTGTTTTTGGAAAAAACTGAGAAGCTTTACTCAGGCCGTCCGGCCTTCCTAGATAGATCAGGTCTGCGACCTGGTGGCTCACATCCAACCGACTGAAGAAACAAAACGAATGTCATGTTCCAAACAGAGGCGATAGGGATGAGGTCCAACAAGTAAATTTCCATTACTGAGTTCACAAAGCTTACTCAGAATCTTATTCATTAAATTCAAGGCCGGGCACGTATGTCGTTGGCAGGATGACTAGATGGTGTTGGCAAGGAGATCCCACCCGGGACAATATATTTCCATCCTCCGTTCCTGTCTCATGAGCAGCCGCCAAATTCATACTTCACGCAGGAACCAGCACATGGTGCCGCCAATTACGGAGGCTCATTATTTGCCATCTTTGTTGCAGCGCCAAAACGGTTTGGCAAACATGACTTTGGTGCTCCGAGCCCCCGTGGGTCAACTAATCCAGTCTTGGCTCTAAAAGTCTTGTGTCGGTATTCTTCAAAGACCCTGGACTCGAGATGGTTTGTTTGCCGTACACAGTTTTGACTTTGCTGCATTCTGGATCTGCTCCGGTCAGCCGATGAATGATAACTTCGAGCAAAACTCACGGCTAGGCTCTTTTCCGCGGCGGCTTACCCAGACCTTATATTTACGTATGAGTACTTCAACTTCCTGTATTTTTCATACCTGACCGTTCTTCTAGAATCTCAGATCTAACTTGGTGGTGGTTTCAGACTCCTCCCCCTCCCAACAAGCTTACCAACTAGTTCGGGAATTTAAGCATATAATACTTATTGGACTTAGATCATGGCCTTGGATGTTCAATGAATGTTTGAGAGCTTCAAAAGCTTCAAGCCTTCAGCTCAAGCCTTCAGAGGGAAATCCATATCAAGGAGACAAGCAGCGTCTTTTTGAGTAAGGCAAAGATCTTGAATGCCCCTCAGATTTCTTTGCCTTTATTACTACTGCCGAGCATGCCCTTCGAGCAGGCGTACAAAGAGAAGAACGCTTCAAACTTATATCTTGGGCGCTAAAAAGACGATATATACCGATGGTGATATTAAACAGCTTCGTGAATATGAGAAAGAGCTAGAGACGCTCAGAGAGGGTTCGCCTGGGTATCGCAATCCTTTTACGATTTTGAGATGGATCTCCCTCGACAACCTTTGAAGAAAATATACGACAATATAAGAGGGAATTCAACCTGGTATTTCCAGAAATTTCTGATTCAGGATTGTATAGGGAAGGGTGGATGCTGTGTAACCTGTTGTCTACGAAGCGAAAGAATGGTTGGAATAGGGCATTGTACAGAAGAGTGCGGGTGTTCTAATGCCATAGAGGAAGAGAGAAATGATATTATGGATCATCTGGTGGACGCACTTGCGTCCCCGAATCCCGCATATCTTTTAACAATGGCGGAGGTCTACTTCTCAAAGCCGGGAATTTTAGGGCTTAGAAGCCCGAGGAGATCTTCTTATAATAAGTGTAGTTTCATGGCAGTTGAAAAGACTGTTTGGAATTACTTAAGGTTTAGGGGAAGGTTCTAGTTCGAAGGGTTCTACTCTTTTTGTCATTCATTTAGCCCGAACCAATTAATCTGATCACGCTTTCTCCTAGATATGCAAATCTAACTTGGTTGGGCCTCCTGTTTGTTTCTTTGGAAGACTTGTAATCCCCTGTAGATATGCCGTTTAATTGTTTCTGTATCAAAGAAGGGAAACAGAAGCTGTAGAGTATACTTAGCAGCATAAATTTTGCCGTGCTATGTCACACGGTGACTGATCCTCGGCCACGGACATCGCAGACCGATTGAGTTTCCACCGGCACATGCCGCCAATAAAACGCCCGAGGGATAAACGTCATTTGGCAGCCACCGCATTCCAAGCTTGCGATAAAGGGTTTGAAGGTATAGATCCCCGATTAAATGGATCTGGTTGCGATTGAATAATATTTGCCCCTCTATACCGTAGTGGAGAATCGAATAGACCATTCCTCGAACACTGCCGTCATGCGGAGAACCCCACCTCGGATGGCATCACATGCGGTAACAAGCGCGTGCTCACAGCCCGAGGGTGACCCTGCAATCACCGAGGCTGCACTACGTCAACTCACAAAAAGTCAAAGTAAATCACAGCATGACCGAATTATGAAAAACGTCCAGACAGGAAAAGAACTCGAGACTCAACGCGCGTCACCTGATTGCTGAGTCAGCAAGTCCTCAATTGGAAGTGGACAATAATCAACTCCTGAGGCGCCGACTCCCTTGACTGATAAACCTGCCGTCATACTTCTCTGCCGATTCGCAACCTCTTCGCGACAGTCTTTGTTGCCGCCTCTCAATCCCCTCTTTCTCCCCGGTTCCCCAATACCTCCACGATCACGATGTCTGTCGATGTCTGTCCGCCCGAACTGGGCTTCAAGCGTGAGTCCTCGGATACAGACTTGCTGGATCGGAACTCGGCGATCGGAGGAGCAACGGGCTGATATTTCGTGATAAACAGGGCCCTTCAACCAAGAAGTTTGCCAAATCCTGCAACTGCACAACCCTGGCCGGGAAGCTGTCGTCTTCAAGGTTCGTTTACATTTCCGCCTCGGTCTATGTTAGGCAACACCGAGACTAACTGTGGCTTCTTTTCCGCCATCCAGGTCAAAACCACCGCCCCGAAGCAGTACGTGACACTCATACTCGACAACGCGATCCCGCTGCAAACCCGCGAACTGACTCTCCATCCAGCTACTGTGTCCGTCCCAACTCCGGCCGTGTTGAGCCCGGCAAAACTGTCGATGTCCAAGGTTCGAATCACCTTCATCCTGCGACGCGCACAGGATTGAGCTGACCAGGTTGTTATAGTGCTGCTGCAGGCCATGAAGGAGGAGCCCTCTGCGGATGCCAAATGCAAGGACAAGTTCCTGGTCCAGTCCGTGGCGGTCACTCGTGAGATGGAATCCAATAACGTCACCTCGATTGTATGCTTCCTCGTCACATCCTCGAGCGCTATCACGTCGGCTAACTGTCAGCAATAGTTCGAGAAGGCTTCCAAGTCTGCAGTGATTGAGAAGAAGATTCGCGTGAACTGGTTGGCTTCCGACGCCAACCTTGCCTCTGATACCTCGAAGCTCGGCGCAAATGACTCGGTGCGTCGATACCCACAGCCCGCAGCCCATGCGCGCAAACTAATTACCCCCACGCAGGTCCTCGAAGATGAGCCCCCGGCCTACACCTCCCCCGGTGGAAACTTCGAAACCCCAGCCCCCGGCAAGAAGACCGCCGCCGACCAAGCATCGCCCATCCCTCCCCCGGATTTCTCCGAGAAGACCAAGTCCGAGTCCCCCCAACCCAGCGAGCCGGCCGGCGCATTCGCAACTGCCAAGGCCGCAGTGGTCGGCGCCATTCCCTCAAGCGACGAGCTGAAGGCGCAGCTTGCCGACGCGAACGCACAGATTCAACGACTGAAGGATCGACTGGCAGACCAGGGCTTGCGGCAGCGGAAGACCGGCACCGAAGCAAAGGCCGCACCTGCAACAATGACGCAGCAGCACGCACCTACCGAGTCAGGAGTGCCCGTACAGATGGTCGCGGGGCTGTGCCTCCTCAGCTTCTTGATCGCCTACTTCTTCTTCTAGTCTCTGGCTAGTTTTAGAGGTGGTCCTCTTTAGCTGTTTTCCTCCGATCACGTCGCGACGCCCCGCTCAATCCCCCATCTACTTCTCTTCTGTCCGAAGAGCCCGTTTTGTTTCCCCAGCATCAGCCTTTTCCTCGTGTCTCCTTTTTTTGGGGCCCTGCTTCGGTATCCATATTCCTTTTATTTCGCTGTCTTTCGGCTTTCAATTGTGTCGAAAGCGTCTCTGTCCGCCCCTATTCTTTTCTTTTCCCTGTCTTGTCTAATATCAAGTTACGATGAACGGACTAAACGTCTTGCTTCTCTTTGTGTGATAAACGATGATCAACCCTAGCTTCAGCAGGATAATGCATGCTCTTGCAACTAGCTTTGCTTGCATTGAAGTCCCTTCTATGAAAAGATGTCCGCAAGACCCATAACTCGTGTATTGTTAAGCATTGTTGACGGTTACGTATGTGGAGCTGGATGGAGACTTGTTCTAAAAATAAATCATTTTCGTTACCGACCCACGATATGTACTCCAAAACACCAGTCCATGATCAAGAAAAGTAAAAAAGAAAACTATTTAGCACTGGATCTCGCTCTCTTTCCATCCATCACCTTCCTCGCCCGCCGGACCCGCCGACGCAGCCGATATCCCCTCGCCTCCACGTCCAGTGGGCTGTTTCTTTTCGGTGCTGCCGCCACCGACGATTCGTCCGCCTTGCGCACGCTTCACACGGCACCAGGGTCCGACATTGCTGTCCAGAATAAAAGTCCAGATAACCCACACCCAGCTGCGGTGGCAAGGCAGCGGCTCATAGAACTCACTAGCGATAGAGTGTAGCTTGTGCAGTCTGGTCCAGGGGATAGCAGGGAAATCATGGTGCTCGTTGTGCAATCCCACGTTGTAGGTGAGAATATTGAGCGGGCCGTAGTAGGAGTAGGTCTCAGGCGGGGCCAGGTCCGCAAGGGGGTGGGGAGATTCAGTCTTGGAAGCGGGCTTGGTCTTCAGCGTTTTCAGCTCGGACAGGGACTCGGTGCCGCCGGATTTCACCTTCGAGAAGAAGTAGTGCTCGGCGATGAAGTGGCCTGCGCAGGGGTGCAGGGATCCGGCAAGGAAGGAGCTTGCGATTAGGTAGTAGACTGGTTGCCAGGAGCCGGTGAAGCGGACTAGGACGTAGTCGAAGCTCAATTGCACGAAGAGGTTCAGCAGGTGGATTAAGGTGAAGGGTGGGCTGTAAATGAACATGGGCCGCACGGCGTAGAAGAGGATTTGGAAGGTGCAGAAGAATGTCTTGCCCAGGATGGAGTTCAGGAAGAAGGCTTCCAACGCGGTGGGGAGATCGGTGTCGAGGCCGGTTACGCCGAGAGATTTGTGGTGTGTCAAGTGGTAGGGCTGTAGAATGACATGTCAGTATTTGATTGTGTTCAATTGACATTGGACTTGGGGGGATTTGCGAGGTGTAAATATTTCCCCGGGCCCAGGTGGACTTACCCTGAAAGCAGCGCTGTATGGCAGTCCGATGGGGAGGTTCGCAAAAATAGCCAGCAGACGGTTGGCCATTGGGGACCGGAATGCCAGGTTATGAGAAATCTCGTGGATAGCCAGGAACAGGTTCTGGTTGGAGGTGGCTCCGATCACGTATGCTGTGGCTAGGAACCGCCAGTCGAAGATGGAGGTGTTGCGGAGGAGGTATGCGCAGGTGAATTGCAAGGAGACAACGCCGAGAACGACCCATTTTGTGAGGGATTCAGGACCGCAAAGCTTCGTAACCTGGAGCGAGCCACGCAAATTAGCATCAAACCCCTGGAGATATTATCGGTGAAGTGCCAGGACCAAGGAACCAGGAACGGGAACCGGGCGTGTGCCAGGTACACCCGGATTGCCATCCCAGGAACTTCGAATGAAGACAAAATCAGAGTAAAATTGAAACATACCTCTGGATGAGCCTTGATGATTGCCTGTCGTCGTGACCGGTGGGGTTCTTCAGTATAGGTCCAAAAGAAGTGATCGTCCACCGAGGAGGTCTCCGGCGGCGAGATTCTTTGCGAGCTCGTTTCTGCGGCTGCAGCTGCGGCCGAGGCTTTGGCCTTCGCGGCGGGCATCCGGAGGTGCGGCGACGCTGTTTCCACGACCGAAGACATGATTGAGAGTAACGGGAGAGTGTCGTGAGGGAAAAGAGTGGACCGCGGACGCGGACTGCGGCCTGCAAAAAGGCGGAAGGCGCAGTTCCACGTGGGGCGACTCGGCAGAGTTAGATGGTCCGATACACTTAGCGTGATCTACGCTTTACTTTACCTTACATTTGTTCGCATTATTAATGTCGCCTCCCTAGGTCATTGTTTTTATTTGCGTTTTGATCTGCATATACTATTTCACACCCATCTTAGTAGTCGTCTCCGCGACTGATGACCTCCTTCACATTGGGACGGAGCACGATAGTCTGTAAAGAGGTTAGATACGGCACATCAACATCAACTGGCGAGAAAACGTACATGTTCAAACTGGGCGGTGTAGGAGCCCTTGTTATCGCAAAGAGGCGGGTAATCCTGGACAATTCCAGCCGAAACGAGGTTATTCAACTGTATACTTGTTAGCTTCTTGTACCTTCTATCGTTGATCGGGGGTCAGCATACGCCAAGCAGGTACTTTTCCTGGCCCAAACGATCCAGGTAACGTCTGCACCAAGGCAGAGTACCGAAGTTCTTGTTGATCACGCTCAGCAGATTCTTGGCCGATGACAGGCGCAAAGGAACGTTGGGCGCATCGGCTGCGAGGGCGTAGTGTGAGGTTTCCATCTACTAGAGTCAGCATTCGAACAATTCTTGCCAACACGTGTGGACTTACGTCTTCTCGCACGTAACCCTTGCCGGTACTGCCAAAAGTCTCAATGGCGAAGACCTCGCCTTCCTCCATCTTAGTCTGGTCGCTGCCCTTAACAATGGGCACACTCTTTCCGCCGTGGATAACGTGCTGGTCAATGTTGTGACCGTTGAGGTTGCGAATACACTTGATGGGGTGCATGGTGCCGTTGAGCTCGATCTCGTAGCTCTCCATGGCCTCTTGGATAGCAGCACCGATGTCGCTCATGCGGACGTCAATACCAGCTTCCTGTGAATGCATTAAAATCGTCTGTATATCTAAACCTAGAGGGGAGGAAACTCACCCGGATACCGGTATTGGTGGCATCCTTGACGGCCTCCAGCAACGGGTCATAAACCGGGTCGAATGTCATAGTGAAAGCACTGTCCACGATGCGGCCATTGAGATGCGCACCGAAATCAACCTTCATCACATCTCCCTGGTTCAGGACCATCTTATTGCCCGCATTGGGAGTGTAGTGTGCAGCGCAGTGGTTGATGCTCAAACCGCAAGGGAAGCCCATACCACCCTTGAGGTTATCACCCTCCTCCAGACCCGAGTGGCCTGTCAGGGCACGCACGGAGTCTTCAATGCCTTCCGCAATCTCGGTCAGGGTCTGACCGGGCTTGATGTTCTTCTGCGCATATTGGCGGACCTGACGGTGGACCTCGGCACCCTGGCGATACTCCTGCAGAAAGTCATTGTTCATGCGATCGAGATAACGCTTCTCCTCGTTGGTGGTGCGGTAGGCGTTATCGTTCAGGTATTCGCAGATCTCGCCCTCGGGGTATTGGTTATTGGGGAAAAGGTTGGAGACAGGGACCCGTGGAGGGGAACTCTGGACCTTGGCGCCACCCTTCTTCTTCTTCTTGGACTTGCGCTTCTTCTTCTTCTTGGCGGCTATCGTGCGATGGTGTTAGCAGCCTTGTTTCGACTCCCCTCGCGTGAGCGGGGTTGAGAAGCGGGGTTATGCGCCGCGCCAGCAGACGCAACAATCACTCACCACCGGCGGCCCCGGCATCTGGAGCACCTTCACCCTCTTCCTGGTCATCATCCGAATCATCTTCTGCTTCATTGGAGGCTGCCTGGTCGGCCGCGGGAGCGTCGGTCTTCGCGCCGTTCTGGCCGTCCACTGGTAGGTAAATTGTCAGTTGCAGAGCGCGGTACCCACAGCTTCAGTACGTACGGTCAAGCTTTTGCAGCTTCTCAGTCGCCTGAGCTGCCATGATGGAATGTGGATGAGTGTAGTGGCGTGGAAAAAGAGGGGAGGCGTTAACCGGAAGTCGGGGAAAGATTTTCTGCCGCGATAAGATAACGCGCTCCCAGGGTTCATCAGGCGGGGTTTTCTCTATGAAAATGGCTCTGTAATTTCGATTTAATTTTTGTTTTTTAATGTGATCTATCTTTGGGTTACATGGCTAAGGCCCCTTCAATAATAAGATATAATGAAAACTGCATAGTGATTTGCTTTGGTGTAAGATGAGGCGCTCATCGTCAATCTACAGAATATAATAATAATGATGATAATTCGGAACTCGTTTAGAGGCAGGAAATATGATAGTATGGTTCAGTAAGCCTTAAGAAACTAATGAAAGTGAAGTAAAAGAACGTTGGAGGTGTAAGAAATGTGGGAGGTTGAAGAGAATCCGTTAGGTTTTAATACTTCCAATTGGCTATCGGTTATTTCTTTGCCGTATGGAACATATGAGATTATCAAGCAAACTCCTAGGAACATGGATATACACGTGGCCAATAGTATCGCCACAAGAGCCTAGATATCGTTTGTGATTGGGTCGTAGACGCAACTCGCACGACCGACTCTTTAATCTGCTTGAATGCCGCATCTCCTTGCTTTTCGAAGAACTCGATCAGAACTTTGACAACTGCAAGATCCATAACTCGTGCAGCTTCGCTCAAAGGAGTGTCTCCGTTTTTGTTGGTGAAATATGGATTGGCACCCAAGTCTAAGAAAAGCTTCACACCTTTCGAGATCCCCAACTCGAATTCAGGAGACGCGGATATCAACATAAACAAGGACGATGCTTGGCCTGGCTCATCTATACCCTCAATATCTGCACCATGCTCCAGAAGAAGGTCCACTGCTCGTCTATCCTCGTCGTTGTCTTGCGCAGTTGCAGCCAGGGCCAGAAGATTCAGCCTCTGGAGATCATCAGAATCATCACCTAACTCGCGGGAGTTTACATCAAATCCAGCATCCAGAAATCTCTTCAGAATAGGGGCGTTGGCCTGGATCGCAGCGTGAGCCAGTATCTCCTCATGTCCTTCACGACCGGGCTGAAGCTCAATATTGAAATGCCTCACCACAAGGTTGAATGCATCTTCGCCCCGGCTCACAGAGTCCAGTAGAATTTGGTCAACCATGCTGTCGTCCATATCACCTACATTAAGATGGTCATCCAGCACCATCTGGAACACCTCAAGTGTCTTGAATGAATGTAACGCATCGTAATTGAAAGAGCGATCCAAATCATCAGGCGGCACAGAGCCTCTCTGAAGCAGTAACTTTGTGATTTCGGTGAGCTCCTCACTGTGAGGCGCTGGGCATTCCATGACTACCTCCAACGGATGATTTCGCCGGCTATTTGGATCTGCTTGGTAATCTAGCAACAACTTCACCATGCCGACTTGACCTTTTTGAATTGCTGAGCATAGAGGAGCGTTAAGTTCGTGGTCCGCACTTCGTTGGGAAAGACAGCCAGTTTCTTTGAGGCGTTTCATCACGTCTTCTAAGCCAGCCGATGCTGCCCCGATCACGAGATGCCGACACTCTCCCCTATCTCTCTTTTGAATTGCTTCCTCCAGGTCAAGCTGTTTCAGGATGAGCCTGGCGAATTCAGGAGAGTGGAGTGCTGCAAATTGAAACAGTTGGAATGCCCCCAGCCCTGACGGCAGGAGACCCGGCTCTTCTTTGAGAAGGAACTTAGCTGCAGCTATATTGCCACGCTCAACAGCATTCTCAAGTGGATTCGGGTCATATTCGCTTAATTTGAGATCTGGCTTCGCCTCAATGAACATTTTCAAAATGTCAAGATCCAGGGAAGCGGCGAGGGAAACCGCAGTGTTCCCTTGAGAGCCATATTCATGAGGATTGCACCCCTTCTCAAGAAGAAGCTTGATAACCGGTATATGCTTGTTCATAGTAGCCAAACAAATAGGCTGCTCGACTTTGATTTCTTCGTGGTTGATGATAGGGTGTCGGTATATGTCGGTAAACTCAAGATCCACACCATGATCGGCGAGCAGTCTGACGACCTCTTCGTGGCCATTTTCCGCCGCCGCAGTCAACGGATTGCCATACCAGAGAGGAGTCTCTCTGTTGAAACCGGCTTGTAGGTTCGGGTCGACGCCGAAATCAATGAACATTTTGACCACATTCGCATGTCCGTTTTGCGCAGCTAACATGATCGGCTTCCATGGCTGTACGCCTGAATCCGGCGGCACACCAGCTTCCAATAGCCTACGGACGCAGGCTTCTTTTCCATTCTCTGCGGCCCAGTCGAGTGCTGAGTGGACCCCGAATCGAGTAACTTGGAGAACCCGACGATACAGCTGGGGATTCACCAAATCATAAAAGAAGCGATTCACTCGGGAGAATCCATTGAGGTCGCTTTCATATTCGAGATATTTAGGGATCCCTAATATCAATTCGGGGGGAAGATCGAGAAGACACGGCATGGTTGAAGATGGGGTGATGAAGAGGCTGGAAAGGCGATCTGACATCCGAACTTTGAAGTCGTGGCCCCACTCTTCTCAAAGGCAGCAGAAATGTTGCCTTCTTGAGCCGCATCTAAAATTGGAACCAAATTCGACGAAATTGTGATAAGAGTTGATGGCTCGTGCTCCCTATACATTTATCTAATTGATCGGTATCTCTGACTATCGTCTGGAGGGCATGCAGCTATTTAGGATCGGGTCGCACGCGGGAAGTCGCTGGAGGCGCTCATGTAGCCTGCCGACTCTCTTCGGCCTTTCTGTCGAGTTCTCTCCATTCTGCCTCAATCACCAGCAAGTGGCGGTATAAGAGAATGTTTCGTCTCCAATTTCCTGAAAAATTGTTATCCGCAAAAGCCAATTGCTGAGTTGACAATGTGCCTCATCGCTCTATATCTGTTTTGTGGAAATGGCATCCAAGCCACTGGAAAAGTGGTCTGGAGAATGATGATCCGCGTTGCCTTATTTCCTGGAGCTCCAAGACCGTGGATACTGCTCTAAACAATGCCCCTTCCCTGGTCCGCGCAAGACAAGATGGCCAGGCGTATCAAGCTATTTGGCAACAAGATCTCAGATTGTGGCAAAGCGGCCAAAGTGTAATTCAATGAAGTATCTTTCTAGACCAGAGGAACTGGTACACGAAGGGAGCAGCCCTAAACCACTTTGGACCAGTTGGGGAGGCCTAGTGTCGTTATCTAATCTGATGATCAGCTGGCCCTCGTGAGCGGTCGAACAGCCCCAAATCGCCTATATTGAACAAATTAGAAGGCTATTCACCGTCAAAAAGGATCAACGCACGCATATGAACATCTTATTTCCTAAATATTTAACATACAGCCAAACGTGGTTCCTCCCAGAGGCTATCAATCCGCAAGCTCCACGATGACGCCACCCTCCATCTGCCGCACCTCGCACTTCACAATCCACAACCTCCCCAACTCCTACAGCTCCCCCTCCCCTCCTTTGATGTAACCGGCTCCAACCATCCGTACCCGGGCAATGCCATCCTCACGCACTATTTCCTTTTTCCTCCACTCTCCCGCGCCCGGGATCGCCTCGCCGTCGCTGCACACGTGCAGCGTCCGTTCCTTGACCTGTCAGCATGGCACGACCCGCACGCGACCACAGCCACGGCCACAGTACAAAGCACGCTTCAGTCCAGCGGCACGGCCCTCAATGGCATTCTTCACTTCAACATCAGCTCGACCCCGTGAAAAAAACTTTTACGAAGTCCTCGACCTCCCACCAACCGCCACAGCAGCTGAGATCAAGAAGTACGCCCACATCACCAACCCCGTCCAATCCACAAGCCCGAACCCCTACATTTAACTCAAACCCCCAATCTAACACCCGCCAGGCAATTCTACGCCCTCTCCCTCCGCCACCACCCAGACCGCAACCGCGCCGACCCGGACGCCTCCCAACGCTTCGCCCGTATCTCAGCAGCTTACAACACCCTCGGCAACGCCTCCAAACGCGCAACCTACGACCGCGATCACGGCCTGCAAACCCAACCCCGGCCATCCCCATCCGGCAGCCACAGCAGCCACTCCGCAAACCTGCACAAAGGCTACGCCGGCTCCCGCCCACCATCCGGCCTTAGCAAACGCCGCGGCACATTCCGCGGCCCACCACCTAGTTTCTACGACCAAGGCGGCTACGGCAACACCGGCCGAACAGAGAGCGGATCCTGGACCGCTGGCGCGGAATACGCAAACGCCGCAGCGGGCGGTGGCGGCGCGCACAAGAAACGAGATCCGGAGGACTATCAAGGGTTTATTGAACGGAATCCGTTGGGGCATTTTAATGCACGGGGACATTTTAGGACGCAGAGGGCTGAGGATATTCGGAGGAGGGATCGGTATGTGAGGGCGCGGCAGGCGAGTTTGAAAGAAGATGGGGCGAGGGATACGAGTGCGAAGGGGGAGATTAGGGTTGTCAGGCTTATTACTGTTTGTGGGATTCTGGTTGTTACGGGGCTTTTGGGGGGCTTTGCGCAGAGTGTTATGCCTACTACTCCAGCGGTGCAGGCTCAAGGAGTACAGGCGCAAGCGGCGGCTGCTACTGCCAGTGCGGAGAGGGCGGCCAAGAGGAGGAGGGAGACTATGTCGGGGTGAAGCAGGTTGTTTGGGACCCATTGGCCTCGGTTGTAATTAGCGCTAGACTTTCCGAGGGTCCAGTCTTACTGTATACCATGGCTTGATAGTGGCGCTGGATATAAGCTACAAGCTACAAGAACAAATGCATATCAGAAATGAATACAATCCGTTACAGTATTACAAGGTAAAAAGGCAAATTTCCATCAAACAAAGGAAAGCTTGAGATTTGATATACAAGATGTGCTCGAGCACAGGTCTACGATACACACAAGATCATGAGAAACCAACAAAAGATAAGCCTTCGCTCTGCACCATCTCGTCAAAGCAGGATATATGTAGCAGCGAAGAATTACACATTTCCACGGTCAGGAAGTCTGGAAGACGCTTAAGCCTCGAAGGTGAAGCTGGCGCCAACCTTGTGGGCGGCCTGGTTCAGGTTCTGGGTATCGAAGGAGGCACCGAGGCCGAGGGTGACACCGGGGCGGAGCAGGACGTTGTAGGCCAGAGCGGCGATACCACGGTCGTTGATCTTGGCCTGTAGAGGGGGAAACTTGTCAGTGGCTAGGCTACAACGGCATCGATAGGGAAATAACGCACCTTGGCGAAGGAAGAGGGGTCCAGGCGGTACTTGCTGGCGACCTCGAGGCCGACGGCGTTGCCGGAGGTAGAGTCCCAGGAAGCCTTGGCACCGGCCTCAACCTGGGCGTTCACGCGGTGGTAGTAGCTAGCGGAGAACAGAGACAGGTTGTTGCTGGCGGTGATGGCAGCGGAGTACTGGGGAACGCTGTAGCCGACGGCAGCGGAGTACTTGGTGATAGCAGCCTTGGTGACATCGTAGCCACCCTCAGCACCGACCAGGAAGCCCTCGTGGCCGAGAACGGCGTCGAGGTTAGCGGTGGGGCCGTTCAGGAGGTCGAAGAAGGCGCGGGCGTGCAGGTTGGGCTGCTTGAAGTAGAGGTTGAGCTTGGCACCCTTGGACTGCTTAGCGGGCAGGTACTGGGTCAGGATCTCAGCCTTGAGGCCCTTGGCGATGTTGTTGTCCAGCTCAAGCTTGGTGTCCAGGGCGTTGGCGGTGGTCCAAGCCTGGGTCAAGGTAAGGCCTGGCCAGGGACGAATCATTAGCTTGATTGTGTGCTTGGAAGAATTGGAAAAAACAAAAAAGGTCACTCGGCGCGACGCGAGCCCACCACACGAGTAGAGAAACGTCATGGGCCGGGCTTCGCGCACGCCGGGATCGGGTGGTTTGCGTCGGAGAGGGCCCTTACCGGTGGGGGCATCGACGTACTTGGCCTCGAGCTGTGGACGGAGCTGCATTAGCGACTGATTGCCTTCTTTCGCGATAAACCCCGAGGGAGGAAAAAAGCTTACCTGGCCAGCGATGGGTCCCTCGTGAGCGGACTTGCCCTTGACGGTGAAGGTAACACCGTTAGGGGCCTTGGACTTGACCTCGAGGTTGGCTAGAGAAATCAGTTAGCTGGATGATGATATCATGTGGAAACGCGAGGCAAAACAAACCGGCCGAGGCGTGGTAGAAGTCCTTGTTCAGGAGCTATGAAACCGAGGGGTATCAGCTATCAATTCCGCGGGAAAGCTATGGCAGCAGTTTCGTACATCATTGGCCGCCTTGGCGATGTCAGAGAAAGCAGCGGGAGCAGACATGATGGATGGATGTGGATGAGGGAGGTGGTGTGAGGAAAGAGAAGGGAGAAGAACTTCGATGTTGGGGGAGGGTGGGAACAGTTGGAAGGGGGCTCCAGTCCACGGGCCGCTGGGCGCGCGCTGATTGGTGCTCATTCGGTTGCCGGAAAAGCCCGCCGATGGCTTTTTATGTAAGCACCGGTATTTCCTTATTTCGAGTCTGTAGCTGTTGGATATGCGTTTGATCTTGTTGAAGAAGTTAAATGAGGGTGAGTGAGGGTATATACACTCGCGTTCTATCTATCACGGCTACACCTAATTCGATTCCCTTTTTATAGCTCCCAGTTTGACTTTTTACTCGACGTGCGTGTACTTTTTGTTGTGGTAGGCAATCGATCTGCACTCCTAGTTAGTATTATCCCGCGTCGAAACACTAAATGAAACTCACCTTCCACTGGGGTCGGTCTGCTTGGACCAGGTAGGGGTCCAGCGCTCCACAGTGCCCGCGCAGTACGGAGGGAAGTGCTCGTCGAACATCGTGCGGTACCAGTAACTAAACGAAGGTCAGGAACAGAACAGTGCAAGAAAAAGCAAAAAGGAGGTACATACGCTTCCTTGGTATCCGGAATGTCGCTGCCCCACTCGGGCTTGGGGTTCTTCATCATCTCGTCGGTGACGTGGGCCTCGGCAGCGTCCTTCAGGCCGTCGATCCAGCTGTAGCCGACACCGTCGCTGAACTGCTCCTTCTGGCGCCAGAGAATCTTCTCGGGAAGGTAGGGAGCGACGTCGGGCTCGTCGGAGGTGTCGAAGGCCTTGCGCAGGATGTACTTCTCGATGTGCTCGGAGTCGATCATCTTGTCCTTGGGGTCCACGGCCATGGAGGTCTCGAGGAACTCCTTATCCAAGAAGGGAACACGGGCCTCAAGACCCCAGGCGGAGGTCGACTTGTTGGCACGCAGGCAGTCAGCCAGGTGCAGGTTCTTCACACGACGGACAGTCTCCTTGTGGAACTCCTCGCGGTTGGGAGCAGCGTGGAAGTACAGGTAGCCACCAAAGATCTCGTCACTACCCTCACCGCTCAGAACCATCTTGACACCCATAGCCTTGATCTTGCGGGAGAGCAGGTACATGGGGGTAGAGGCACGGATGGTGGTGACATCGTATGTCTCGAGGTGGTAGACGACATCGGAGAGCGCGTTCAGGCCGTCCTCAACGGTGAAAGTGAAGGGGTGGTGCTTGGTGCCCAGGAATTTGGCGACCTCCATGGCAGCCTCTGTATCGGGAGCACCGGGAAGACCGATGGAGAAGGAGTGCAGCTGCTGGAAGAAGGGGAGAGACGACAGTTCGCTGTTGTCATCAATGCCGACCAGGTCCTCGGAAGAGGCGTTGGTCTTCTTAGCAGCCTCCTGCATGCGCATAGTCTCGCGCTGCGCGATGGAAGCCACCAGACTGGAGTCCAGACCACCGGACAGAAGAACACCGTAGGGCACCTCGGCCATCAGACGCTTGCGGACGGACTTCTCCAGGGTAGTCCGGAGAAGCTTCAGGTCGACCGGGGTGGAGGGGACGTTGGTAGGATCCCACCACTTGGGCTCGAAGTAGCGGGTGAGCTGGTCGGTCTTCGAATCATAGACGTGTCCGGGAGGGAAAGCAATGATGTTGTCGCAGACGGGGTGCAGGCACTTGAGCTCGGAGGCGAAGTAGACGGCGCCGGGGGTGGTGGACGAGCGTCCGAGGTAGAAAGAGGTGATACCGATGGGGTCACGAGCGGCGATCACACGGTCCTGCTTCTTGTCCCAGAGAACCCAGGAGAACATACCATCGAGGTACTTGGGGGCATCAAGGCCGTGCTCCATATACTGAACTAGTGTCAGCAATTGCTGTTGATGAAGAAATAGCCAATACAACATACCAAAGGAATGATAACCTCGCAATCGGAGTGCGTCTTGAAGTTGTACTTGGTGTGCAGGTTCTTCCGGAGGATACGGTGGTTGTAGATTTCGCCGTTAACAGCGAGGGCGAGGGTCTCGTCATCGTTGACAAGGGGCTGGGCGCCGGAGTCTAGAAATATTGCAATGTTAAAAAATGACGTTCTAGCTCAATTGCATTTTGGGGTAGAACATACCGACACCGACGATACTCAGACGCTCGTGCGCGAGGACTGCGGCACACCATGGTTAGCCGTGATCACCACATCTCCAGCATTGATAGACTCACTGGTCTTGTCGCCAATGAAGTTGCCGCCTGTTAAGGAATGTTATGTTAACCCTTCCAGCTCCCAGTGTATATCGCGCTTCGATTCAGTGACTCACTCCAATCGGGGCCGCGATGACGCACACTATCAAGGGGCAAGTTAGCGACAATTCCCACAATTGAAATATACAATCGCGCAGGCGACAGGAGACAAGATACTCACGCTTTGGCCATGCGCAAAGCCGTGGGCTTGAACTTTTGCACATCGGGGTGACTATGGGGAACTCGAGTTAGTACTGACTTAAATTACCCGCGCCGCTCGCGGGGGAGGGGGGCGATAGCGGGGCGGAAAAGTCAGGGTAAAGCAGAAACGCACTGGTGACACGCGAAGATTCCACACATGACGGGCAGAGGACACTCAGTAATGAGTGAAAGAGTCAATTGCAGATGGGAGGATGAGAAGGAGGAGGAATTGATTAAGCTCGGGTTTCTATGGGGGAGGAGCCGGCAGAGCGATTTTTTTCGTTTGCCCGGCGGGGCGAAGGGCGATGTCGGACTGAGTCACCGATAAGAGATAACGCCACCCACTGGCACTCACGCAATTACTCTACTGTTATACTTAGTATTGTAGGGAATTGGGGTAGTAGGTCAAATAAATAAGAAGTTTGCAACTTGTAAACACCATCCATTTTGTTAAGAAACGCCGCGCTGGTTGCTAAGTAAAGCAAAAATGCTCACTTGGCGAGGAAATGCCATGCCAAGTCTTCGTCGCACCGGATTCCCATGAAGAAACCAAATTCAAACCCATGATAATGCTATTGGAACCGCCGCCTACATGGGCGGGTTCTCCTTGACGACCTGCTTGACGCGCCGCTCATATGCCGGGCGATCCTTCTTGAATAGGTTGTAGGCGTCGGCCTGCGCAGGCGACTCAGGGTTCGGGTCATTCAGCAGGTCCTGGATTCCCAGGAGGATCTGCTTGATGGTGATGGCCGGGCGCCATGCTTCCTCCTCATTCAGGATCGAGAGGCAGACGGTGCCGGAGGGGTAGACGTTCGGGTGGAACAGCGGAGGAGTGAATTTGCCTGCAGACATATCCCGTTAGCGCAATCCATGGAGTCGGTGGTTGTGGCTGTAAATATGATATGCGCGTTCGCATATCTCAGCAGCCAGTGGACGAAGTTGTCAATACGTACATTTGGGAGGCTTGGTCGGGTATTCTGGAAGCGCAAAAGATCGTCTGCATCAGTACGAGGATCATCGCGTGGAATGCGCAGCGCCACTCACCATCGGGGAAGATCACGTCCAGCTTGAAAATACCTCCATCCCACAGGGTGTCCTTCTTTCCGGGCACAGCGCACTCCCAGCGCTTCAGGTCCAGAGTTCCCTGCGCAGTCTTCTGGGGCTTTGCGACAAAGCCGAAGGGGTGGTCACGTCGCCACTGCTTGCTGTGCGATCCAAGGTGGTCAGCGCATTCCTGACAAAAGATTCGCTGCTTAGTTGTATGGCACTTGGGGGGTATCACATACCGCTCCTCTTGAAGGCGATTCAGGCAGAGCGACATCTTGAAGATCGGTGATAGATGATCGCACGTGGTTCCAGGGACAGGAAGTGAGGTGTTTCTATCAGGAAGTCGCCGGGGTCGGGACGATGAGGGGGCGAAGCTGGTGAAGAGGTGAGAGAAGAAGGAGGCGCTCCAGAGGTAGATGAAGAGCAGGCAAGCGCCTTCAACTGCATGAAATCAGTTCGCCCCTCTAATTGGCTTAGTAAGCTGTTTGTATGCGCCGACGGCATTGACAGTTGCTGCACTTCCTAAGTTGTCTTTGAATATGGCATGATTAGCTTTTCACAGGCCCTGTGCTAATTTCCAAGCTGGGTGCAATTGTCTCTGTTTAGGACAAAGAATCACAAAGAAGGTTTCCAAAGTTAACCGTTGACTTTCTTACACCAGCTAAATTGAACCCAAGCCTATTCGAGACAATGACATTGCCTCAATTGGATATAAATATAGATTTAAAGAATTTCCCAGAATCGAGGGTTTTAATGCCATCCATAGGGTAACAAGTTTCCAAAGTTAAATACAGCGTTTTCTTCACTCTGCTCTTCAGTCCATCTGACTACAACACTGGGTCTGAATTCCTTTGAAAGGGTCTTCGACACAAGACTCCATCTGAGAAGTAGACACTCATGACTGTCGCAAATTGACGCAAGCACAAACCTTGGAGTATTTGCAATTACGCCTCACACACAGGCACTTTCAACTGGAAGCTTCAGCAATACTGATCCCAATGTGTCACAGAGTCACCTTCTACCATGTTCTCTGCGGGCACCCGGACCACTCAATGTCAACAACGATCTACTGTGATGAAGCCATATTCACAGGTGAAGTCTGTATGTCATGCGTTGACAGGATTGACATCCCAATGCCAGGAAAATGTGACAACTGCGAGATCGAGAGAAGACGCCGTCGGGAAGCTAGACGTAGCCGGGAAACGCAACAAGGCGCAGAGCATGCCGCTCTAACCAAAAAAGATATCAATGAGGCTGCTGTATCAGATACAGGCAGCCAGAACCAAATTGAGAAGAGCCAGGGGCGTGGTATAATGTATGATGACTGGAACGATGAAGAGGAGATTGTTACAGACCAGCATCTTTACGGATTGGGCCTGGTGACTACTCCGTATACTAACAACATTGTCAAGGAATGGATGAACAATACAGAGTTGCCCGGTTCTCCTTCGGCATATACATCAGTTTCTTGTAATGATAGGTCGCGACGAATGGGGTACGCGCCCAAGGGCCGGTCCAGGATTCATCGGTCGTACATCCCGGCGCCAGTGAGGAAGCTCCAGCCTAGAACTCAGCGTTCACATATCCCTGTTCCAGTGAAGATGAACCACAGGTGGACCACACGGCAAAGTCCCCGGCCATTGGTTGCAGATGAGATGCAGTTGTTTGATCTGGTTACTTTCTGAGCTTTGAAGGGTTGTAGATTTCCATGAAAGGGGCCCCGTACTCTAACCAGGCATCTCAAATTGACTTCTCTTCGAATTGAAATGAATATTTCAAAATGGAGATATCATTATCAGGCTAAACTAGTATGATCATAGCATCAGTCCACATAGACTCCATCCTCGAACTTCTCACGTTCAAAGAACCGAGCCTGAATGGCATTCCCGTTGAAGATCCGGCCTTCTAGAGCATTTACAGCCTGTACCTTGTCAGTAGAACACTTAGAATATCTTCAGCATGAAACGTACCCGTAGGGCCGATAACGGACTGGTGAACTTGACAAAGACCGGAATGGGTGTGCCCACGTCACGGGCAATGTAAACTCGCTCCACACTCCCATACTACATCAACGTTAGTACCAAATGCCTTCCTTGTTAGATAGGCACATACCTTTTCATTGCACTCTTCCCCAATCTCCTGCATCAAGCCACCACCCTCAGCAGTATGCAACTCATCTTCAAGGTCCATTCCATCCAACATCCCTTTGAGAATGATGACTTCACTCATAGGTCCAAACTTCCCTGTATCATCACCGCCCTTCTTCTTCCCGCCGATGATCGTGCCCCGTCCAGCGGGTGTCACGAATCCTCCGCCCTCAGAGTCGGGTCTCTTCTTCCGCTTCTCGGCCTTTACTTGTAGCGGCTTGACGATACCAGAGCCGGTGGCTCCGAGTCCGGATCCCTTGGTCCAGCCGTATTTGGAGAGTAAACGCTCTGCGAAGCCCTTCTGGCCTGGACGCAAAGAGCGAGGTGCGTCCGAGCCGGATTCGTTCTCGTTTTCATTTTCCGCGGTTTGTTCCTGAGCGAGGACTTCTTCCAGTTCGGCTTCGGAAGCTGGAATGCCTTCTGGAGGCGGTGGGAGTGTGTAGCGGACCGGTGCGCGAGATATGGTTGCTGAGTTGGGTTGGAAGACATCTAGAGGGCGTGTTGGGGGCGGAGCGGGAGGTTCTTCAGTGGGTGGTGGGGGTGGTGTCTGGGTGTAGGCGTTGGGCTGTTGGCTCAGGCGTGCGCGGCGTGCAAAGGCATCTTCTCCGGACGGATCGTCGGGGACAGAGCTTGGGGGTGGAGGTGGGATGTCATTGAGGTTCGGAGGAGGCGCAAAGTTGCTCGGCGGAGCAAATTGACCTTGAAACAAAGTCAGCAAAATCCCTTCCATCATGAGTAAAGTAAGCATACGATTGATTGGTCGGTCGTAGTCGTCACTGTCCGAGTCCTTGCTCAGCGAGCGTCTCATCCGATGCGCATATAGTCGATCCTTCCAGTCGCGAACTTCGAGAATCTTCTCATCACTATGCCGGTACTCTTCATAGTTGTTCGGTCTCGATGGATCATAGATATCACCCCAGTCCTGCATGACTGCTTGTGGCTCGCGGTTCTTCTTGCGCTTCTTCCTCCCGCCGCGCTGCCGCTTTTCGCCCATGTAGTACCCGTAATCATCATCTTCTGTGGTTGCCCAGTCCGCCAGGGAGGTCTTCACGGGCGCTGCAGCAGGGTCGGTAGCCGTAGCCTGGCCTGGGTTAGGTGGCGCAGCCTTGGGAAGTGTAGGTTTGGGCCTAGGCTTCTGGTTGGCGAACTGCGGTCTCTTGGTGGGTTGGAATCGGAGAGAAGCTGTTAGGTGGAGAGAAGGTGAGTTGATTATGTCCGGGTGTGTTATAAAAGAAATTCAAAAGTACCAGCGTTGACTTGTTGCTTCTTTGCAGCCGAATCGTCAGATTGAACGTCGGGCTCGGAGCTTTGTTTGAAGACGACGGGGGCGCGTGAGATGGTCCCAGGGGTTGAATCAGCGGAGGGGTCGAGTAGATTGGCATACAGCGACATCGCTCCCCCTTTTGACGGGGCTGACTCGGGAGCCATGATGATTATTGGAGGTATACGAAGCGCGGAGGTTGAGATTCAATGATGTTCGCGATAAGCAGGATGTTTGTCACATTTGCACCGATGGCATTTTGTAGGGATGGCAAAATGAAATTTCAAAATTTCGAAATTACTGAAATCTGGCTGCTTGAAATGAAATTTGAAATGGGCCTTGAAATCTTGAAATCAAGCTAGTCCCAGAGAGGTAATTATCATTTTATTTACTATCAATCAGAATCCTCGAACACGGCGAGCGTGACATCAACATCAACTGTTCTCTATACCCCGCCGCCGAGCTGTCTGCTCGCAATGGTCTGCAACTCCTTGAGACCATTCAGATACACGCTTCGATCTCGTACCTATAGGGCTAGCTGAATCTTGATTTGTTGCGGATTTCGTTGAAGAAATCAAGGGAGGCTCTGAAGTTGACTTCAAAGAGTTAAGCCTCGAATTTAGCGCAGAAATGAGGGCAGGATTCGTTGATCCCGAAGCCGAATTTAATGCGGAATTCAATGCTAAAATCAGCGCAGAAGTCGGTGCGGACATTAAAGCTGGGTCTAGCGGTGGATCTGGTACTGGATCTGGTGCTGGGTCTAGTGCAGGGTCTGATGCTTGATCTAGTGCTTGATCCGGTTCGGGATTCGAATCGGAATTTGACACTGATCCTGATATAGGACTGGATGAAGGACTAGATACGAAATTGGATGATGTACCTGTGCCCTCTGATAGATGGTCCTGTACCTACTTTCGCTGCAAAACCCTCTCTATCTCGTCATCCTCTTCCTCGAGGAGCAATTCCTGTGTGACCTTGGGAGGCTGCTCTGCCCGGAATTGTCGTTTGTTGATTTGCACAAAGAGCAATTTTTCAACGCGGTGAGGCTCGAGTCTATTTCGGATTTTTGTGTGCTGAAGGGTCATCTGTGAAAAAGCTCTCTCTGCTGCTACGGAGTTCGCCATAGTACTGCAAAGACGACGAGCAAAAGGAGCGAGAAGAGGAGCAAAGTCCGCCTTGGAGAGAGTATTAAGATATAGACTTTTGTTTTCGTAGTTAAATGCTTTAACTTACGGCTTCAAGCCAAAAGAGAGATGGGCATTTGGCCTCCTAGCAAGAAGCATTGTAAAATGCGCCTGTTTTCTGTCGAAACGATAGAAATTCGTGCTAAGCTGACGATCTCTTGTTTTCACTCTGAAGCGGTCGTAGAACACCCTCAATATGATATCGAGAGCTCTCGTCGACTTTCCCAGGGACTCTAGTAGGGTCAAGATGATAAGCTACCTAGTGAATGGGCTCTAGCTGGCGCATTATTCGACTCTGCTAGCCTGTACCATCTAAATAGGATAAGAAGTCATCGCTGAGAGATGTTTGGGAGGCTAGCGTTCTTAGACTCTCATGGAGATCCAACCACCTTTGCGTTACCTCTATGACTGACGAGTTCTGAGCTTCGGATTTTTTCTGGGCGACGTGTAGAGGCTTGAGAATCTTGACCAACTCCTTCAGTTGCCACTAGAATGAATGTGAGTTGGCGGTCCTAATGATTTCTCTTCCCCTAGTATTCGACGCAGCAGGAGTTATAAGAGACCACTCACAGATAGCTTCTTGGCAATCGTGAAGAGAGGAAAGCATATTATATTGCGTTCCCCATCTTGTAATGACGGACGCAATAAGCGCTTTTCTCTGACCCCATTTCTCAATCTGCTTGGCTTGCATTCTTGCGTACTCAAGTGGTGAGTGGTGGAAGAAGACAACGATTGCGAGGGCCGACTTGAACACCTCCCCGGCCCGTGGGACCTTAGAACTCTTGGGATCAACAATATCTTTCATGATAAGCTGTAGACCGTGAGAGTCACATGGGATCATAAAGTAGTGCTCTAGTTCTGGCGTTGCCTTCAGTTTCTCCCAGACTGATTTCATAACACAACACGTGTCCGTCGATATAGAATTGATTCTCTTCCAATCAGCCGCTTTATCCAGCTGTAGTAGGAGGTATTGGAGCCTGTCCAAGACCCAACTACAAATAGCAGGAGCATCAAGAGTCTGGTCTTCCATGTCATTTAGGTGAATAAACCACGATTTTGTAGGCGTTGTGATAGTCATCACAATCACCCGTTGAGATCGGATATTGGTGGTCTCATCAACCGTGACATTCAAGAATTCGGTTCTCCGCAGCTCCTTCAACACCTCCTCCCGTAGTCCATTATATGCTTCATCTAGCAGATCATCGGCGATTCGGTGACGGGAAGGAATTTGGTATATAGGACTTAACGCGTGAATAAGGTCTTGCATCTCTTGCTGTTCAAAGAGATTGAAGGGCCTGGCTCCGGTAAAGCAGACCTGGGCTAATAGCTGATCAATACTCCGGGATAGCTGAAAAGTTGAAAAACTTAGCAGTTTCTGTTTCTTCCCCGTGGCGGTCTCGGGATCCATCATAGCCTATGCTTTCATGCATTTATTAACATGCTCGCTCTGACGTGTGGTGTTTTTGGCCCGGATCTTCAAGCATCCGAGGCATTTTGCTTGGGGCACCTAGCTATAATCAGGGGAGTACAGAGTGCATTCGCAAATCAATTTATTACCTTTTTATCACCCTGTATGATCTCAAAGCACCTCTGAAGTTCGAGCTCGGTGTAGGAAACCTTTCCAGAGGAGTGTTCAGCCATTTCCAAGGGCATGTACTTACGAAAGGGGGAGAACATCACAAGCATATTGTAGATATATATTTAAATATCTGTTGCCAGGAGCTACAACATATTCGAAGAATATCCTGGCAAAACCATGAGTTCATGGCTCCTATTGGCTCAAGAGTTCCACCGCCTACGATGACTCAGCAGCACCAGCCCCTTGAAATGTAATTGAAATGAGAAAAAAAAGTGAAATTTCAATATTTCGTAATGCGTTGGCTAATTTCGTTATTACACCATCACTAGCATTTTGGGTGATGATCAGCGGGCTTCTGCGCCAACTTGTACAAGAGTAACACTGAAATCCCTTGAGAATCTCATGAAGAACAGTTTTTGTTTTTACTGCAGGTCATCCGAATAGTCAACACCATGCTGCAAATTCAAACACGAATCTCTGGAGTGTCGGGATATAACGTGATTAGCTTGTAAACTAAGGATCCCCCGGCATGCCATGAAATATCGCCGAGTTTCAGAGCAGAAACCAGATTGGCTTGTCGGTTTGGATTAAACTGTTTAAAAAAAGGATAATGCAACTGAGTTAGGACTTCTATACGGAAGGATCTTTACTGCTGTGCTTTTTGCTTATGATATGGCTCTGGATCATTGTTGGGGTTGAGCCTTCTTGTTGCGGGATTTTCGGAGTTCTTGGTTTGGAGTAGTTGTCCGTTAAGGGGAAGACGAAAGGCTCTAATATTTGGTAGACTGGATGTCTGTGTGGGTATTGATAATGATAATGACTCGAATGCAATTTTATTATTCATCAATCACAAATCACAGCTTCAACTGCTCACGCACAGCCGACTTGAACTACACACGGAAATCGATTAGCAACAAGCCCCTCTCCCAATATCTCAGAGATCGAATCAACATACCGGAATAATCTGAGCCTTCTCCATATCCCACACGCCACTAGTAGCGTAGATATCTTTCTCCAGCTGTGCGCGCACCTCAGCCACGCTCTCAGCCACCGCGAGCATCATGCTACCTTTGAAAGACGGGGTCTCGCCCTCGGCGGGATGGGACTCGAGCATGGCGCCTGTCAAAATCGCGTATCAGTATCGCACAAGCTCGTCCATGGCAATGGTAATGTATAGCCGATAAAGCTATAGCAAAGACGGGCCGATCTCGGCCTGGACAAAGACAAAAGACAGAATCACGTACCGCCAGCGACGATGGAGCCAGAAGCGACGGCAGGCTTGACACCGGCAAGGTGAGCACTGTGTTCAAATCAGTTAACTGTCTTTCTCTCAAGTGGTTGTGCTCAGCGGGCGACGGCGGGTAAACTCACGGCCGGACCTCGAGGCGCTTGGCCTGCGCGCCGGGCTTATCCGGGAGGATGCAGAGGAATTCCTTCTTAGTGGGAGCGGAGGACATGGTGCGTGTAATGAATGCTCGAGGTGAGAGGAAAGGAGAGGTGAAAGCTGGAGCGGGAAATCTAGAGGAGGCGCGGAGGAATGATTGCCGAGCGTGGGGGAGAGCGGGAGCGACGCGTTGCACGGCGTGGGTCAGCATTGGGGCCTTTTATAAGGTGCCTTTTGTATGTCTAGGCTTGGGGGTGACCGATTTGGTGTAAGATCATAGGCCAATGAGGGTTGATGAAGGTGGTGAAGAGAGCTAGAGGGGTCGGCATTTGTTCCGAGGCTTCGGGCTCGGGGAAAAGATAAGTTCGTGTACATCCGGGTCCGGATGTAGTGCCTTACCGGGGAAATCGGAAAGGTCAAAGTGGTTCAAATTATATACACGAACTTGATGAGTGGGACATGCCTGTTTCCACTGTCGGGGCTTCTACGCTAGCCCTTCGTACTAGGTCACAGCTAAAGACCAGACACAGAAAGCAAAGTGGAAAACGATTTAAACTGATCCGTTCAGGATACTTGAAAAAGGAAATAATCACGACATGACAGTGACGGTCCGGTTCTCGGCCCTTAGAGGAAGTTGGCAATTAAAAGAAAAGAAGGAAAGAAGGCCCGTCGCATGGCTAATCGCCAAAGACACCTTCCCCAAGTATGCCTCGGGGAACGCAATATGATCACAGGATAGCAACAACTTCAGCATATAAGGTCTCGAGAACCGGACGAACTCTATAGACCTGCAGTTCCTGCCAAACAGCATTTTCCCCGTAGCGCCAGGTAACAAATACACGCACACTCCCTAGAACGCAGCATGAATGGATTAGGGAAATCATTAGGCTTTCCGTCGACCATCCCAATCCCTCCAAGAGAAAGAAAGCGGGGTGTGGATCACAGGTGGGATATCAAACGCACCGCTGGCACGGACCGTGCTGTTCCGGTGATAAGGAGGGTGGGAGAGACGGTAGGACTCAGAGCTCTACTTGAGCCCCGAATAGGCCAGTTTCCCGGCGAAAGAAGTGCAGGTTGTGCCGTCTAGTACGCTTTACGATCTCCCAGGTTCCCGGGCTTCTCGTCCGTGTCGATGTGCCAGACCACGTAGTTGGGGAGGCCGACGACCTGGTAGCCGGCGCGCTTGGCCATCTTGGCGAAGCCCTCGGTTTCGGCCTGGTTCTCGAAAGCGTAGGCGGGGAAATTAATACCTGCAAGCCCATTAGAATGGATTATTCGAAGGTCTCGGGGGGTACTTACCAGAGCGATGCACATCGGCCTTGACGAGGATGTTGACGCCACCAATGCCGTCAAGCTCCACCTCCTCGTCCTTATTCTTGCGCCAGTCACCCATGCTAACCAGGTATGTGCGGCCCGTATTGTATTCCTTGTAGCCTTCGGCCAAAACGACGTTCGGGTCAAGGTTCTGCTTCAAGCGCATGGCCTTGTCGGATTCGATCCACGAGTTGTAATCGACTATTGAAACGGTCAGAAACAAGCGTATCGAATGAAATCCACGGGGTATGACATACAGCGACCCTCGACATCACGGTTGTCACGATAACGGTGGAACCAAATGTCTGCATCAAGAATATTAATTGGCCATCCACAATTCCTATACAGCCATATATCACTTACTCGGCACCAGAATATCCTTGTCATGGGCCATGAAATCCTCCAAAATGCGCTCGGGGCAATCCACGATATCCACATCGCGCCAGTAGACCCAAGAGTGATCGGCCTTGAGAGCCGAGTAGAGCAGGTAGTTTCGGGCACGACCGATAGCCTTGCGACGAGGGCCTTGAGCAGCAAACGAATGTCGCTCCTCCACGCTCATCTCGACATCAGCGCCGAAGTCCTTGCGGACGACGGTAGCGCTGCGGAAGCGAATTTTCTCATCGGCGTGGTTCTGGATGCGATTCAGTTCCGACGCAAGATTGGCTAGAGTCTCATCCTTGCAGTCGCCAACGAGGAAAGCAAGATCGATCAGCTCGTGCGGGTAGGTCAACTTGTAAAGGAGGTCGAAGTATTTCTCGAGGTAAGGGGCGGCGTCGCGGAGGGGGGTGAGGATGAGGACACGCTCGCGGTTGGACACGGCCTGAATTGATGACTTGATCGGGTTGAGGTCCACCTCGGTGATAGAGGTGCTGTTCACTTCGTAGGGTTCGTGGTGGTTGAAGAGGACGGGGGTCTGGGAGTGAGCGTTCCACTCGACCATCTCGTTGAGGGACATCTCCATCGGCGACTTATTCGAGCCATAGCAGTAGAAACTAGAAGTAACAGGTAAGCACACACGGCATAAGCTAGGCAAGGACACGATGTGCATACTTTTGCATTTCTGACGCGGACTTGCTGACGCCGCGCCACAGCAGGATAACCAGGCCCGTCACGGCGATGGTGACCAGAAATCGCGTCCGGGTAAGCAGAACCAGGACTGCCCGCCACGGTGGTAACCGGGCTCTGGTGGATTTCCAGGTGACTCCGCCCTTTGGCAACAACATGATGGATGGTGTGAACGAGTTCTTGGAACTCAGGAGCTTTGCAAAAGGGCGATCCCGGGGTCTCGATCGCAGGCCCGTCGAAAACCCCTTGCCGACCGAACGAATGAGGCCTGAGAGGACGCGCGAAAGACCACGGTCGTGATTGACGTGGGTCGATGGGGACGAGTCGTGAAGGCAGAGATAGGGAGGAGGAAAAGAGGAGGACGGGGATCGTCGGGGGATTTGCCAAGCGGGAACGGCTAAAAAGAGCAAAAGCTGAGACACGTCAATCTCACGCCCCCAAAAGCAGAGATTTGTAGGTGATAACTTTCACGAGTTATTTCCTCTCTATTGTTATCTATCGTTATCCCGAGGTTCAATATATTATGACTTTCCTGGCCGAGTGCCCGGTCTTCATCCCCGAGCGATTTTTGACGGCACGGAGACCCTTAAAGCTTTATTTATAGCACAGACTCGTATCAGGCATATTAAGCCACCGAAAGATATAAGTGTCAAGTGAGATTTCATCTATTCGTCTATAGTCGATGCAGCTTTCTCTCGAGGACAAAGAACATCCTAGGCCTCGCCCCTGAGATTACTTTTTTTTTGCCAGACATTGCGCGTCCCTGATGCACAGCACAACATCATTGTCGGGTGTGGCGTTTACTGAGCCGATCGAAAGTGCAGGGATTCAGAACATAGAATTGCAGAACGTTGGATTGTCGAGTCTCAATTTGTTGCACAGGCGTCGTGCCTGGGACAATGAATAAACTCCAAAACAAAATCTAAGACATCCGCGGTTAGTGCAGCGTGGCCTCGACCGGGTCCATTTCATGTACAGGTAGGGTATACTCTGCACACCCCTAATATAGCACCACAAGGGCAACTATTGGGTACATTATTAGACCTGGAGACATCTGTTCCTTTCTTTTATCCCTTGTAGAACATGTTTAGTCTGCTAAGCACTTGGCTGATTTTATGCAGATTTTCGTCTGCTTACGTCTTCTCCACACGGGCCCACTCTGCATCTCTGGATTCTGCATGTCTTCCAGTGACAACACGATGACTACCGACACCCATAAACTATTTGTCTAGGCATTCCTGCATTGTGAGAATTCAACCAAAATATTACAGGAAGATTAAATAATTCTACAAGAGGCCAGCGTTGCCGTCATAAGAACATTGATTCACAGTCGTGACTATAGACAAAAAAAGAAAACCGAACCAAGTAACAAAGGAAAGAAAAGTGTGCTTAAGAAGGGAAGAAAATAAAAGGGACCACCGGATCGCATATCCATATCATAAACAACTCCAAAAGAATCCACAATAGAAATGAAGAAAAAAAAAACAAGAAAAAAATAAAAAAGCCACCCATTTGTATAGAACTTGCGGAAAAATTGACGAGAAGTGAACCAACGAAAAGAACATCGAGTTGAATGGGACCACGCGCCACCCAAGTCGAATATATTGTTACAATGGTGATGCTAAGGGGCATGCAGCAGGCAAGACGAAGACGGAGATTTTCAGGGTCAAGGTTCGTCAAGATGCAGGGGGTAAATGTTGAACACCGCCATCTGCAAGGGGGAAGCGTCTGGTGCGTGGCAAAATAGAAGGGTCGTATCACATCAGGAATCAATATCGGCGTGCATCATGTGTCTCTTGGTTCATGGCGAGGGGATCAGAGACTGGCGGCGCGAAGCCGGAAATGTGAAGGAGTTCTGAGATGATGGGAAGGCAGGGGATGAAGGACCAGTCACTGGCGGCGTCGCTGTGAGGTATGCGCTGCCGAAGGTCTGGGAGGTGGCGCTGTGCAGGGGTTCGTGATGGACTGGTGTTTGGGGGCCCAGTGAGGCACCGATCTCATCGCAGAAGACTCGCAAGCCCGGAAGGGCCTTCTTCTGGCGCTTGTGCTCCGGGACTTCGATCAGTGGGCGAGGGCTGGTGCTCTCGGGCTTGGGGGAGCGGAACATCTGCTCGTAGGATTTGAGCTGGAACTCCAGGGCTCGGTTGCGGTCTGCCAGGAGCTCGTTCTCGGCTTTTGCGGCGCGGAGCTGGGACTGGACCGTTTGGTTCTGTTGCTGGAGGGAGGTGACCAGCTGCTGCAATTGCATGCAGCGAACTTGAGGCTGCAGCTTCTCTGAGAGCTGGGGTGTGACTTGCTCCTGACGAATGAGGTGCATGATAATGGCCAGCATGAAGTCGATCAGATAAACTGCTCCTTGCACGATGTGCTCCTTGGATTGGGGCAGGCTCTTGGATGGGTTCCAGCCGGCTCGCTCCAGGAAGAAATCGTGGATGCGGCTGTCGAGCTCGCGGTGCAGCTGGCTAAGGTTCTTGCGGCGGTTGCCCTCCGCGATGCGGTGCTTTTCGCGCTGGTCATCGGGTTCGTTGCCATCGGTGCTGCTCTTGCGCTTGCGTCCGCAGAGCTGCTGCAGAGGAGCCTTGCGGTTGATGTTCTGAGGGGCAATCAGAGCCATGATCTCGGGTTGGGAGAGATCGTTGGGCCAGTCGGAAGAGACAGCCTGCTGGGCTGCGAAGGACTCCTGCCAGGAGCTCTCGGCAGAGTTGGCAGGCGATGGAGGGGCAACAATTTGCTCTCCACTCGACCAGGGAGACTTGAACTGGAACGAGTCATTGGGACCCGGTGTAGTGGGGAAACCCTCCTTGGCCTGGAACGGGTTGAAGGGGCCCCGAGGCAGCGGCTCCATGCGTGGCAGAGGAGGAAGACGGCGGTCCTCGCCGAGGTTGGAGCCCACATCGGAGGTGGAAGATTTCAGAGAGCTGAATGATCCCAATCAGTGAAATTCCAATTAGGTATACAGTGATGGTATACTCACGGGAGCGAGCAGCGTCGCTGAATATCATCAGTCATGTTGCCCATTTCATACATCGTGGGAAATCGTCAATCAAAGCGTGGTGGTATATGTGCAAAAGCGAGGGATGCCGTCGAGTCAGGGTCGAATCTATGTACGAAACAATCAAACGCGGCGGCTCGGTCCTTCGGAATTGCCCAAAACGTGGTCGAAGGTCAACGAGGCTGGTGATAAACACAAAGGCGATGTATATGCACAACAGACAATGGGATGAATGAACAAAGGGGGAGGGGGAGGTGGAGTATAGATATGAACAAAGAAAGCGAGGGGATCGAAATCCACGAGGCGAAGACAATGAGTGAGACACTTCTGATCCGGACAGAGGGGGCTGGATTGCATGTTTATATGTGCACGACGACGGGAAGTGGGAGGTACTTTTCGACGGGGTATCTGAAAAAGGTCCAGTCCTTGAGGGCCCGAGGACTCGTACCTCTCCGGTCCCAGGAGAGGGGAACGAACGATCATGGCCGATCATGAACATCCAGCGGAGGACCGGGATGTCATACAGACGGTGCATGATGCATGGCGTAGGGACCCACGCTCGCGGGGAAGGGAAACTGGGCTCCCGAGTGGCATCTGGACCGTCTGGCTCGCCCGCTTTGGGAGAAATGGCAGAAAATTATCAGAACGATCTATGGCGAACGCTATTACAGAGTATCTGTCACATCCTGCACGGACGACCTTCTCGTCACAGCCCATAAGATCGACCTATTGGGATGGTTCGATCGTGCCCGAGGGGAAGGTTCAGGGCGAGGATCCACGGCCCTTGATTTGTTATCCAAGCTGATGGTGTCGAGATCGACACGGGGAAGTCCTTAAGACGAGGCTATGGCCTTCTAGGGGCGCGGCGTGCCCTTGCATCAATAGTCCCCAATTAATACCATTATCTCCCAAAGTTCCCCGTGCATGGCTAGTCTGTGAACCGTTCATGCCCTTTCCAAAATCCTCCGGGATGCATGTGGATGTGACTGTTCACAGAGGGGGCGAATGGTCTAGTTTCTACACTGGTTCCTCTCTATCCGGAAAAAGGACCCATGGCTAGAGCTGTCGTGCATCAATCTCGCCTAATCCCCCGCCTCGGCCCTAGATGTAGCATGAAACGCTCGTTGTAACGTCCTAGGTACCTGGCAGATGCCCATGTAGTTTCAGTCTCGATTGCTTGCATCGATATTCAGGAGAACCTCCCGTGGCCATTCGGGGAACCATCAAAGGGGGGAGGGGGGTTCTCAGGCCGATCCCCCTGGAGGAAGCTCCTAGATAATCTAATTTCTTGGTAATCCAAATAGAATGAAGCAAGGATTTCGTCTCATCGTGAGACATGCGAGGAGGTTGCTAATTGATAGGGAATTATAGAACGTACTTCGCCAAGGATAATGGCACCGTGCTTTCAGGATACAGCGAAGACGAACCATTGACGAGGAATGGCGGAATAGTCGTGAGTGATCATGACAAGGACTTATTGCTTCCAAATAGATCTAAGCCCTAGTGAAATAGGCGTAATCCCAGGGCAAGCGAATCAAGGCTGGCGAGCGGAAGAGACCGCTCGAAGACTACCAGCGAGACGGGACCGACCCAACGACCAGGATACGTTTCCTGTCAGTCGCCAAATCAGGAGGATCGTGGTAATTTGGAATCGCCGAAAACGATAGATTGGCACACAGACGTTAATATTGTTGGCTCCTAGGCGAGTCCGAGCGAGTTAACCACCGCCCATCACAGCCTCGATGGGGTCAAGCCCTAAGATTAGCACGTTCCCCTCCCTGATGGCACCAGGGTCCACTGCACGATCTCAACAAATAATCGAGCGAGCACTCGCTGCATCCCGTGCATGTTCGCTCCGTGGGTGTGGGTCTCGGGGTTCTTGGGATCAGAGCTGTCATATTTCTCCGTCCCGTCTCGGCCCAACCTCGCACTAGTCCCCACGTTCTCGCACACTCCTCAGGAGATCATGATATGGGACTCTGGTTCTTTGGGGCTTTCTTTTCTATGGGGAAGTGTGAATAGGCAGGGGAGTGTGAACAGGGAATAGGGGTACTTAGGGCGGCGTTGGCAGGACAACACTTCTATAGTTCCTCGTTCTTCTCTTCCCTCTCCACTGCCCCCCCCCCCCCCCCTCAAAACCTCCACTGCAAAATTTCTGTACCAAATTGTATTCGCATGCAACCGGAAACCTCCCAGGAACCCGCGGCTGCGCCTAAGAGGAGTTTGCAGCCAGCACGCAGCAGCGGCTGCATGAGGACGGACTCGAAAGGAAAAATAACCAGGCACGAACCATGAGCTCACAAACTCAGTTCTTCCGGTACTTCCCCGGACCCATCAGGCCAGAGATCTTCCGGCTTCCTACGTCTCCCTGCTTGCCATTTTGAGTGACGTGCATCTAGGTCGCCCACCGGGGAGGATGCACTCCCGAGAACCCGACAGGTACAGCAGAGGCGGATTTGAGTTCACGGATCAGGGATCAGAGCTCTGAACCCGATCTTCGGGTCCAGGGCTACCTGGGAGTCGGTCCATCTACTCTCGGCGACCAAGGTATCAGTCGTGCGAGATCAAAATAGTCATCGCACGCAGTGTGTGGACGGAATCTGATTCCCATGTTGCGCCACTTCATATAGCATGAGGCCGTGCAACTCCAGGTGCAAGGGTCAGCCCTGCCCTGTTACGCTTCCACGGTGTCTGACCAGGTACTCTCCACAGCCGATGGCCAATAGTTACCTGCCATTGACTCTCCTCACGCCAAGATACTCCAATAGTAGCCAGTAGTAACTTCAGCCGCGACCCGCTTGACCTGTCAAATTTCAACCTTTGCAATATGACATTGCAGCCCGTATACCGAGCAGCAATAAGAGACTCCGGTGAGTTACCAGATGTAGCGTTACACAGCAGGGCCACTCATCTCCATCTCCGTCAGAGATCTCAATTCTTCGGACTCGACCTGCTCACGATCTCCATCCTCCCACCCCACGGCGGGGCCAAGATCGGCCAAGAAAGCGTTCAAAGGTACCGGTTTCATGCACCTCACATCCAGATGCAAGATCCATGATCCCTGCTACTTGGAACCGCCACCCTAGGTACTTCTACTACGCCAGACTACTAATGTACCTATCCCCGCCCGGGTCCGCTCCTATCCACGGATTCCCACTGCACAGCAGACGCAATATGAAAAGTCCATTCTCCGAGCCTCGATCGGTTTCTTCAATCGCAGATCGATGCTGTTCCGCGACCACGTATCCCACTCGAGTGGCGTGGGTGAAAACTCGTGCTAGTCGTGATGGGTTGCACGGGTCTTACGAAAGGATGTGTAACATTATTGAGTCATCGAGAAGAGGCGAATGATGCCATCATCGCCATTGGGCTCTAGTCATATCCCGATTTGCGAGTAAAGCCTAACATGCCACTATACAACGTGATATACTGTGCTATACCTACTAATAATTGCATCCCGTACATGATATCGATTAGGACGCGCCGCAAGGGCCAGAAAACCATAATTGGCTTCGTTGATCTGCAAAGATCATGACGTCTTCCCCATACGAGCACCGTGCAAAGTGTAAAAATATGTACATTTAGCAATTCCCAAAATAGGAAGCGACTGTACCTATTGGCTTTTCGGAGCACACCACGCCCTCGAGAAAATAGCCCCAAGTCTATTCCCCGATTGTCCAGCACCTGCAAGGACCACAGGTACCATACAGCTCTAGTAGCGCCAACGCACATAATCTGGCATATAGAGGAACTCAATTTTGCCGCATCTGACATGTCGCGCCTACACCACTTCCCCGAGCCCGTGGGCCTGCTCCTCGATCGTAGCCTGCGTTCCTACAGCGAGATATGTACGCTGAGGATCAGGCACGGGTCCCCGTTACCTGGATCCTAGGTTGCCTCCAATGCAAGGTGAACGTATGTCGCGGTGGGCCTGGCGCTGTTCGCTTTATTCAGGTACCCTTTGCAGATGCATCGGGATCAAAGGTTAGAACAAAAAAGTACCCCGAGTACGCCAGTACTGTATCCCTTTGCCACCGACTTCCGGTAACTTCACGAGGCACCACTTCACCTTCTCTTCTTAGCTTCACCGTGTGTGCTCTCTGTCGCTACGTGCCTGCACTTACGTACTCGGTGGCGTAGTGAACTCGAGGCACGGCCTTGTCTGCGGAGTCTCCGCCCCAGACCCCGATCACCTCGTTGCCGAAGTCGATGGATATCCACCGTCTGGTTTTTCAAACCCCGCGAACACACAATCGTCGAAATCTCGATCCACCGTTCCAACGATCGATGACACTAACGGGGAGCTTATAGCACATCCGGGCTTCCTAGCCAATCAATCCCTCACCTCGGTGCTATTCGGGCTCCAGAATTGAGAGGGCCTTGTCCAAAGTTTATTCTCCTCGGCAAAAACAAGGTGGCTGGACACCTAGAAAAAATCAGAACGAAACCACATCGCTAAGCTCAACGATGATGAAGGATAAGATCGCAGGTTACCGATTCAGCCACCCCAACGAGTACCAGTTTCCGACTTCAAAAATCGACCTGGACCCATCACCCCATCTGGACGATCGCAGCTGCGGGACGTAATCCTGCTGATACGAACACCCAAGCCCTAGCTCGGTCCATTCCAATTTGATCAGTCACGCTTGCTGAGTTGTACCTACATCCGCGCTGTCGTGCAGCCACGGTCCAGACGTACGTGTTGGTGGTGGTGGTTGACAAGGGTTAAGATCCATGCACACGTATCCTCCCCTTCAAGCTCCCCAGAAATTTCCCCTTGATTTGTTCCTGCTTTTACAATATGCAAGATGGAGATAAGATCTTTTTCAGGTTTCATTCCCATCTGCGTCATACCAAGCACCCCGTTCCTATTCTTCCTAATCTTCCCCTCACCTTCTTCAACCCCAGCCACCGAAACTAGCACCGCCAACACCAACGATCCCTTCTCCCCTTTCTAGACGCCCTCGGCGCCCAATCCCCATAACCCAATTGGCCCAAATCAGCCGTAATATACAAATTCACACCTGTAAAATCTAGAGCCACAACTACCCCTCTACACAACAGCCCTAACCACCCACCCCATGCCTCTTTCATGCTAGTACCGTCCCATCACCGAGGTCCCGGATGACAACCCTCGTCCCGCGGGCTGAAGTAACCCGAATAACCCATCCTAGCACCTGATCCTCGAATCGGATCGCGCACAACAAACCATCCGCTCGGCGTGCGATATATCCCCTTCGGGCCTAGCCCGCATGTCACCGTACACTTTCAAAGCACATGGATGACGGGCGGGGAAAAGAAAAGTGTTGACGTCTCGACTTTTTTCTCGACGGTTCGGCGTCGGGGGCCTGGGTCGAGATCTGGCTCTTGAGGGGTAAATATGGGTACTTGCAGTGGGGGTCTCATCGTGATCGTGTGGCTGGATCTATTCTAGGTTTCTCGGATCGAGAATCATCCACGGTTATCGCTTCGGGAACTTCTGCGGTGTCGTCTTACGCTACATGAATGGCGAAGTGGGACTCCGATACTGTTTTCACCGACCCCTCTTCGAGGTTTAGTACTTTTGTACTCTCGGGCACCTCGGGGTCCTGTAATGGGTCCCATGTCATGGTAGGCCTGATGCGAGCAGGTGCATTTTGATAATCTTGGTCAACTTGGAGATTTCCTGGTTGAAGCATGTCTGCTTTTTGGGAGCAGTGCATTTCATGGTTTAGGTTTGACTTGCTGTAGGGACTTTTGCCCCGGTTGACCCTTTGGTATCTTGGTGCGTAGTCCGGTGGGGTTTGGATGTGGTGATGGCATATGTGATGAGAATGTGAATATGATCTGAGGTTTTGGTGTGGGTGGTGCTTTTATTATTCTGATGTCCCTTTTCGATTTCATATTTCCCCAAGTTGTATCATATATCAGGGGTTGGTGAGTGTAGAGTGGTGATATATTTTGCGTCCATTCGGCCGGGATAAGTTGGGGATGCGTTGCAGTGGTGGATAATGATATCAGAATCCCATGAATAATTCCCTGAACTACTTGAATATTTAGAATGACATGACATATCAAGTCTGGAGAATCTATGGAAGTGCTGGAGTTGCGATTTTGAGTGTCTTGTACTTTAGGAGATGTCGGTTGACCAAAAACAATGCTTCCTGGATTAATAAACAGTGCACTTGATTTGCGCTTACCAGTTAATTAAGTCTACGAATGTGCCTTTATAGATATCGATTTGGCTGGCGTATGTCTATGTGGGAGATATATTTCGCTTTGCGGGTTGTCATACTACACACCTAAACATCATACATATGTACCTGACTCCAAAATGTATTCCCAAGAACCACTGCCCCGTCATTCCTCGGATACAAATGTTGCAGGGTGTCGAATGTCGATGCAAGGCAAGCCTGGTATCTACTCAACAATGCTGAGCATGAATTTCACGCACCAGCGAAGGTTTATCCTCGGACACGGGCGCATCCTAGGAGGCCAGGGCATGCTGACAAGGACAAGAGCACAACACGAGGTGAGACATCGGAATAGCTCCCAGGTTCAGACTACAGAAATGCCTACAGCATGCTACACATACAAGGGAGATATCGGAGTTCAGGGAATGGACGGATTACAAACAGCAACCGAATACATTAGAACACGATGAGCGCTCCATCAAAACCATATCGAGACAGTAAGGACAAGGGGGGTAATAAATAAAAGTAAAACTCCTTTCCGATGAACGGCGATAGTGTTTGTCTCCCGAGGACAGAATCCAAATTGTGAATTTTCCTCACAAAAGACGGAATTATTATCATAAGAACAGCAGTGTAAAACGAAATGGAACCCGTTGCTTGGTGGAACTTCTGGATCTACAATTTCTCTGATAGAGAACAAATTCTGCGCACTCCAATCCGCGCCTTGGTTTTTTCAACGCTTAGATGAGCTGAGCAATAGCGAAGAAGAAGGCGGCAACACCGGTGGCGGGAACGGCGTAGTTAGCAGAGGCAGCACCAGAGGAGGTGGCGCTGGAGGAGCTGCCGCTGGAGGTGGTGCCGGTGCCGGACTTGCCGTTGGCGGTGGTGGGGTCATTGGTGGTGGCCTTACACTGGTAGGTACCACGGATGGTGTTGTTGTCCTTCAACGTCTTGAAGGTCTGGCAGTTGAAGGTACCGTCGGTGGACTGCACGTTGAAGCCACCGTCAACCTCCTCGAGGGAGCCCATATTCAGACTGTTCGAATTGTTAGCAGGTGCATCGGAGTTAAGAAAACTGGTACTAGTGGTACTTACGTGTCGAAGGTACCGCTGAAGTCGATGGCACCGGTGACGGTGGTCAGCTTGGGCAGATCAATGTCACTCAGCTTGTCGTTACGGCTGACAACGAAGCCACCGTTGACCTTCTGGAGAACGGGCATGCTGATGTTGGACAGCTTGGAGTTGTCGTTGAAGGTCAGATCGGCGGTGGTGGTCAGGTTGGGAGCGGAGAAAGTCTCGAACTCAGTACCCCAGAAACCGAGCTGGCCCTTGAGCTTCTCCAGGGAGGGCATGGAGACAGAGCTGATGTTGCGGAAGGTCATGTTGTAAGCAGTGCCGAGGTTGGGGAGATCAATCTCGAGCTTGTTCCAGTTGCCAGCGATGTTGACAAGATCGGTAGCGTTCTGCAGGTTGTTGATGTTGATCTCCTTCATGTTGGTGTTGTCGGTGATCTGGAACTTGCCGACGGTCTTCAGGGAGATACCCTGGAGGTTCTGGAGACCAGTGTTGGTGATCAGAACATCACCAGCGTCGGTAACACCGGTGGTGAAGGCCAGGGACTGAAGGGCGGGAAGGGCCTCCCAGTTGATCTCGCCGATGGAGGTCAGGCCAGAGAAGCTCAGCTGGGTGAGGCGAGTGCACTCCTTCAGGGAGAAGCTGTCACCGATCGACTCGAGCTCGGGGGCGATGATGCCAGTGAGCTGAGTAGCGTTGTTGCCAGTGATGCTACCAGTGATCTTCTGGACGCTGTTGATGGTAAGGTCACCAGAGTAGGAAGAGTCGATGGTCACGTCACCGCTGAGGGTGGAGCAGCTGGCAATGCCATCGGCATCGCTCTGGGTCTTGATGGTCACATCACCGCAGGCTGAGAGATACGAATCAGTCCATCTGGTTGCGATATTCAAATCTCGATTCCATCAGGGTGTTACTCACAGTCGGAGTCGGAGGCGAAGGCGAGCTGGGTAGCTGCCAACGCGGGGAGGAGGTACTTGGCGAAGGACATGGTGATTCTTCTGCGCGACCGTGTTAGTCCGTGTTGACCAAAAAAAGTCAGGGGGGGGAGGGGGATTGGAGCAACAACATACCGATGTGTGTAGAATTAAAGGATGTAGGAACGAATGTCGAGAAAAAGGGAAACGCTTCAGCGAAAGGGAAGCGGAGATGGGTGGGAAAGACTCAGAGAGAAAGAACGAATGGACAGGTTTGGGGAGGAAAGAGGAAGGAATAATAAGTTCGGGGGTCGAGAAAGGAGGCGCCGGTGGAGACGGGTGTGTTTTCCAATTTTTCCCAATGTTACGGGCGAGATACGCTGGATTAAATACAAGGCACACCCGCTGTACACATAACACAGTACCGAATCCGGCCCCCAGTGTGTTCTTGGTATCGCCGGTTTCAACACAATCCGGATTTCCTCCGCTTAGTGGCGGTTTAGCGCTGTTTCCGTAACACTTCGCCAATGACCGATTCGCCCGTGCGGCCCCCCTTTCTCGTTGTGTCTCCCCTGTGGATCCAACATTGAACTCATTTCCTACACACGTGTGCTGCCTGTTTCCATGGTTGCATTCATTTTGCGTGTTTATACTGTCTGCCTGATGCATTGCTCAAGTAGAGTATATAGTATAACCATTCGTGTTAAAGAGGGCTATATCTCTGTCGACCTGAATAGCTTGCCCTACCTACTACCCACTACCTAGTACTTCTGTGCATGGTTTGCCACCGTGCATAGATTGTTGCACAAGCGAAGATACCATACCGTCTTGCCTGAAGCAGGACCTGCTACATTGACAACCAAACCAATCACTTCTTCAGTAGCTGCATATGTACATAAGGTTTGCGTTGAAGATCTGGCTACCCAAGTACTAAATACGCGTACTGTAGAGCGACAAATCTGTAATACTCGACTGACTTGTATATATCGATGGGTCGACCCCATTTATCAAGCCCCATCCCGCTATCTTTGTAGGTGCTGTCGTCATCACTCCTCTCGAGCTCGACATGTTCCTGACCAACGTCCCGCAAGGTTCATCAACTCAGACTGAATAGGATATATTACCATGCTTATCCCAGCTCAATTCCCCATCTACCACCCCCCTGAAGCAGAAACCATTTAATCAGGCCTTGCGCTTGGATGGCCGATCGGAATTTGCAGGAATTCAAGCCTCCACGGGCCCGCTCCCCCCTGCCGCTATCGTCGACGGCGCCGGTATGCCCGACCTCTGATTGGCACGCTGGAATGATTCGCCCTAGATTAATGTCAATCCTCGCTGCGTTCTGACATGCCCTTCTATCTTAAGCACATCACTCGTCCCTCGCGATCGCTAACCCCGACACCGCCCCCCTGGCACATTATTAGTCGGTGGCAAAATGCGATCGCTGAGATGCATGTTTATTATTGTTTGATTCTTATTTACACTGCTCATCTAGGGTACAAGCATGTGTTAATTAGGCCGACCGAACGATATCTCGGCTTCGGCATTTGCGAGGCTTGATTCTGCGATAGAAATGAAAACGAGAAACCCCTATAACTATTTTGAGCTCCGACCCGCCGGAGCTCCTGTCACTTGAATAGTTGCGATGATCGCCCATCTAGAGCTTCGTCGAGCAAGATCGGCAAGGTTTTTACCTTACAGGTCTTCTGGACTGATCGCAAAGGGTCAATTCGGAGTCAATGGCAGATTTTGACAGATATAATTATGCCGGTAACCACTCTCAACCGCCAAGGTCTATATAACCATCAATTGAGGACGGTAGTCAATCGTGAATGTGATGGTCACATCGCGCATGTCCAGTTGTTTACAGTATTACGTATTGTCGAGCTGTGTATCGGCGGAACTGTTCGTACCTGTACTGTAAAATAACAATGTTTCAGGTCCCACGGAGCCGAGCTTGTCTCCGCTTGGAGGCGTCGGGCCTGCTGCTCATCACTCCACAGATATTGTTCCCCACCATCGCTTATGTTGGATCCGAAGAGTTTTATCCTACACGGGTATAATGTCCAGAGACCGCGTTGACCAGACCGTGTTGACCTGCAGCAGGTCACAGGCAAAGGCCGTGTATTTTAAGCCGGTACAAAAATGATTTGTGCCCCCACGCCACTCGAATACCGCGCTGCCTCGAGCCCACTCCAATCTAGTCTAGTCCAGTCCACTGTCTGCAAGTCAACGGCTGAGCCATCATGGCATTTTGACTCACATTCCAGAGCGCCCGTCCGTACACATGTTTCTCTTTCCGGCGGAGAATGAATAGCAGACATCAAGGGAGGTCCAACGTAAGCATAGAAAGGGGGAGGCGGGCTACATTCTTCAGACCACGAGACCCCAATTCCCTCACCCACGCTCTCTGGGGTATTTTTGACGGATTCAGAATGGAGCACGCCACTCGCCCAGATCCTGCTTAGATTCGGGGTTGATGTGAAGCTTTTTTTTTCTTCTTTGTAACGTCGACTGGGATACGTATTGTGTTTCTAACTTGCTCAACCTTCCAGGATCTACCCAGCAAACGCTTCAGTGGTCCTGATTGGCGCGGCCAACTTTTATCCAGTGTCTGTTGATCTCTGCCCCGCTTCATATTTTTTTGGGACTTGTGTTGAGCTCTCGCAGAAATTGGCTGGGAATCGTATGTCGCTGACGCAAGTCGACAGACTAGCGCCGACGCTTGCTTTTTGCTACTGCGCACTATGCCCGGCTAAAAGCTGGATTCTCCAGCTCGACTCGGGTCAGTGCAGCGGCCTCGAGAATTTGGTTGCATAGCAAAGAGTTGGTTGGTGGCCTACCGTGGTTGTTGATTAAATTTTGCCTGTTTCTTGAGTTGGATCCTTGGGACGGTGGCCGAGCGGAGTAGATTATGTCCAATCGCGCGACTTTATTGCACACACTGTCTCCCTAATTCCATGGATGTAGTATTACCCAGTATCCGCCAATCGACCGGCTTGAATACGAGAGTTAGATCTGGATTGGTAGCGAATCATTGTGGGTGTCTTAAAATAGTAAACGGTGGTTTGTTGACCGGGAAATGTTATTCGGACCACCCTTCACTACCATTTTTCAGGCTAGTCTTGGCTTTGTTTAATGAGTTTTCGATTTCCCCAAACTGGGACCGCCAAGCTTGAATATTCTTCAGAAAGTCATGGAGGACGAAGAGCGTTATCGGCATTACACCTTAACTTCCAACCTATCAACACAATAAACCCATCCATAGCATATACATCAGTTCTCCCATAGCTTCCATGATATCAACCAACCAATCCTCTTCTCGCCAAACTTCCAAGGTTCCTACGGCCCAATAAAGCCCATTTCTTGAATTCCTCATCTTCCCGTCAACCGCAGGGTGTAGAGAATTATTGGCAGAAGTCCCCAGTAAAAGTCACGACTAGTGAAGACCCCATATGCAACGGGACTGTGCCGAGTCTGGCCGTCCCTTCTGTAGAGCTTGCTGAAGGAATCGAGAACAGAGTTATAGAAGACGCGTGCCTCATCCCTTGACCAATAATAATACAAGTGGGATGGCATTAAGAATCCATCTCGTTTGAACTTTGCAATTGCCTGTGATCTGAAGAATGTTAGGATACGTTAGGCTTTGCTCTAAGAGGTATAGGCTCACGCGAAATCGCGACATCCTAACCACATCCCCCGTCTTGTGCGAACCTGAACGGGATGAGCCGTTCGACTCGGTACAGCAAACCTAGTCCTTCGATGTCTTGTCTCACAGACGCGGATGTCGATACGCTTTCAAGCGCTCCTTGAAAGGCCCTCGTAACCAATTGTTCTGATCTTGAGGCGGTCCGGGTACTGTCGAAGTCCCCATCGGGACTAATCCTATCCTCGATTTCAACCCAAAAAGCAGAGACTGACATCAACAGGCAGTGAAGCATCAACAACAAGCCTCGACAGATAGGGAAACATCAACGGATCGGCATAAACAAGAGTTTCTCCATCAGACAAGCTCGCAAACATCACGTTGTAACGGGTATAAGGGTATGAACGGTGATCGTAGGACCAAGAGGTTGAGACATACTCAAAAAGCACAGCTCGAAGGAACTGAAAACAGAAATCGATTGCAAGAAAAGCCAGGAAGGCGCGGGTGAAATATTCCAAGACTGCGTTCTTTTGTTGGTGCCATTCCTCGATAGTTGCAGGCGGCTGCGGCAAATAGGCCAAAATCAGGCTTAGATATGCCCTTCGCTGGCTGCGTACAATTGCAACTTAGCGCCATTTCCTGGAAATAGAGTTGTTAGCAGAGGTCATACCTTCCGAACTCTGCTAGCTAGTAGGGCGACCCACTGAGTATGTGCAAGGGTGTTTATCTGTGCTCCTGGCCCTCTAGCGACCCTCATCATTGACCTTTATGGCGAGCGCGACATTCACTAGGCCATTGGATTCGCGAACCTAGAACATCACATCTTGTTGTAACTTAATTCTGGTCTCAGCTCATCCAACTTCCAGAATGATTGTGGGTCAGTGCCGATCTTGTCCACCTGGTATCGCTGCTGGTTTCCAGGAACAATCTGGGCGCTTGTTCCTGGTTAGTCCCTGAATCTGTGCCTGCAGGGTCGTAAGAAGTTGCGTCTGCGCTTGGCAATGCCAAGTGTCGACTATGAAAATAAGGCCGAGATGGCCACCTCGTGGATGCTGCTTGACATTTTGAGGATGATAGTGTGAGAGGTGAAGCAAGAGAGAAGCAAGAAACAAGAAGCAAGAGAGAAACAAGAAGCAAGAGAGAAACAAGAAGCAAGAGAGAAACAAGAAGCAAGAGAGAAAAGGAGAAGTGAGAGATAACCAAGGTTAAATTCAATGTAGTATACTATTAGAGTGAAAATAAAGCATCGATGATGAACACAGTCATTAAGCCTCGCCCTACGCAAACTTCTATTTTAGTTAGGCTTTTGGGTTAGGTCGGTCTATATACGCACATATATGCATGGCTCTATAAGGGTTTCCTGTCAATTCTGTCTAGATGCCCTATTCTCTTAGACATAGGTTGCCGTTCTCAATCTACAGATCTTCTCCACTATGGAGAGCCGCGATTGGTTGCCCTGGAGCGGGCTTGGCATTCGTCAGTTAGAAATCCGGGGTCTTAACTTGATCTCGTCAACAGCACTTCCTCCGTGCAAGACCCTGTGAAACGCACGTATAGTTTCAATTGAGTACAGAGCATTCACTTTACTCCGAATCCAAGAATGTCTCTCCGGAGATCCGCCCGGCTGGGCTCCATCCCAACCATCAAAACGCCACTACAAACCGCGGCGCCGAAGGTGACTCGAGTGCAAAGCAACGGCATCACCAAACCTCGCAAAGTCTCCACAGCCAAGAAAGCAGCATCTAATGCTACTGAAGAACCACCGGCCAATACAGGGGCCTCATATTGGTCTCCAGAGCCCCCTACAGGGTTCATGAGCAACAGCTTCGATAAGCAACTTACTGATAGCCTCACGAACAACAGACCTCACACTCCACCACCACTCGACCGCCCAGTCGACCCTCACCAAACAAACGCAACCCTCCTCACTCCACACGGCTCTTCAGTAACAGCCTATCCCGCCAAAACAGAAGATGCCTCGCCCTCAAAGACCGGAATGCCCGGCCCGTTGGCTACAACAGGGACATTACTCGAGAAAGCCACAGCCCACCTGATCGCGACAGACCCCCGCCTGAAACCAGTCATCGAGCAGCACCCATGCCAACTATTTTCGCCCGCAGGTCTAGCAGAGCAAATCGACCCCTTCAACAGCTTGGTCAGCAGTATCATCGGGCAACAGGTCTCAGGCGCAGCGGCGAAGAGTATTCGGAATAAGTTCTTGGCGCTTTTCAATATCACTGATCCGGCGGGTGTGGCGCATTCGCGGTTTCCTTTGCCCGAGGAGGTTGCGAAATGTGATATTCCGACGTTGCGGACGGCGGGGTTGTCTCAGCGTAAGGCGGAGTATATCCAGGGATTGGCGGAGAAATTTGCGAATGGGGAGTTGAGTGCGCAGATGTTGGCGAGGGCTAGTGATGAAGAGCTTCTGGAGAAGCTTATTGCTGTGCGGGGACTGGGGAAGTGGTCTGTTGAGATGTTCGCTACTTTTGCGCTTAAGCGTATTGATGTCTTTTCTACGGGTGATCTCGGTGTTCAGTGAGTGGTTCGATCTTATTCCTCGGCGGATGCATCGGCTGACATGCACCTAGACGTGGTTGTGCAGCATTCGTGGGTCGAGATGTGAGTAAGCTGAAGGCGAAGGGTGGCGGTAAGTTCAAATATATGGCCGAGAAGGACATGTTGGAATTGGCTGCCAAATTTGCGCCGTATAGGTATGTGACTACGCAACCGCAATAACTATCACCCTAATAGCTCTACCATAGGAGCCTTTTTATGTGGTACATGTGGCGGATCGAGAATGTGGATGTTGCCGTCCTGGGTGGTTAATTGACTTCGCGACACAAGGATTGTGGACCATCTGTTACACGTCAGGGGCTAGAGTCGAATTTGTATAGTGCATAACTTCCGCCAATCGAAAAATAGACGGAAACATCAATTGGAACATCTGAAGATCTCGTATGAGTCGGTTTCTCGAGTCGAGTGGGACCTGTTGGGAAGTTTGAGTCGACGAGTACCACAAGTCCAGCAATACCACCAGGGCCATTGATAAACAAATACGTAGACAAATTCAACCTTCGAAAGGGCAGGTTTATCGAGGAAAAACGAAGAAATCGATTTGTACAGTATCAGTACACACTTGAATTAACCAGACATCCCCGACAACGGCTGGAATCCATCGCAAAAATCCGTCTATATCATGCAAACAATCATGTCGCCCTTAGTCCCGTCGCTTTTCGAATCAATTGGAGTAGGGGTACATGTCAACCAGAGACAAGTTTACTTGCGGACGACGAGGTTGTCGAGGTCGACGCGCTCCTTGTTCTCCTTCTCGATCTCGCGGATGATGGGGCTGAGGTACTCAACGTCCTAAAGAGTTCATTTGATCAGTATATTGCTGGCAGAAGAGGTATAAGGTGCCAGGCATGAACGTCCCAAAGTGACAAATCCTTGCAACAGGATTGGCCAATTCAGGATAATGCGGGGAGCGCGAAATTTGGATAGGAGGAACTCACCTCGGAGACCTTGGTCTGCTCAGCAGCGGGAAGAAGGGTGTGGGAGATAGAGCACTGCAATTGATGGCTTTGTTAGACTTGTGCCGGTCGGTGATTGGGGCAGGGGGTCAGGCGAACCTGGAATGCGCGGCGGATGCGGAAGACACGGTCGTAGGCCTCCTTGGCGGGAAGGCGCTTGATGGCCTTCTGGACGGTCTCGCTCTCCTCGGGGATGAGGTCGTCGAACCTGGAAAGAGATTAGCAATTGGGTTGTGGACGAATGTACCCGCGGGTGATATCCGAAGGACCGGGAACGGATGCGACACGGCAGCATTGACGACTATAAAAGGCGACAGTGGCGGGTGATCGCGCACACAAGGGTCCCCGAGTCTTCCTCAACTGTCTGCGGCAAGAGATTGGCGGCGTGGAGGGGGAGGGCGATAATTACTTGAGTCCAAGTTTCCTGTAGCCGGCGGCGTCGGTGTACCAGTTGGCCAGCGGGGTCATCCACCGCTTGAGCCAAGGGCGCTTGACAATGTAGTTGGTGATGGAAGGGGCAGACATTTTGGATCCCGGATATCCAGATAGAGGAGGATTGGGGAAGTGAAAAGGGCGGTCCGGCTGAACACGAGATGACCCGATGTTGCGAGGTTGTGCAAAACGGAGCTTCCGCCCTAGGCCCGATGCGGCAACTCTATACCTGAGGCTTCCGATAGTCCCACGTGACGCACCCGGTGCTTTGCCTTAGGCCGCGAGGAGTAACTCCACCTCGCACCACTCAATTCCCAATGTCATAATCATCTTTCGCTCCGTGGCTCACTTAACCCTCCCTTCTTGTTTGATTAGACGATGGGGCCGCCTGACTCCTGAGACGTTGCCAGACCCCCGTTGCGACAGGGGAGCTTTGCTATCACACCCCGCACCCAGTCCGTGCAGCAACATACTAGTCGCATCACCGATTCGGTAACCATCGGCTCCAAAACTCTCCTCGCTCGAACCCCATTTTCTTAGTCACGGCTTTTGTTCTTTTCTCCCACAACTCTGTGCCCGACGACGACTCTTCCAGGCTAGTTTTCTCCCGTTCTTGGGTTCCGGATCGAGCTCCCGATATGCTTGTGTCCGGGAGCCCTCGGTGATCAAAACGGACAGACCAGCGTGAGCGCCTGCCAATCCACGATGCGCTCCGATGGCAGAGACAGCTCTACAGCTGCCAGCAACTCCTCCGATCAGTCGCCGGGCTTTCATTCTGAGAATGTAGCCCCGTCCGCTTCCCACGTGCCCGCCGCCGAGCCGTCACCGAGCGCCGATTTCATCACTCGCCTCGAGATTCTCTCCACCAAAGTTCCCAACATTTGGATCGCTCCTTTTTGCGGAGCTATCGCAGGTGTCGCTTCCGGAATCGTAACCTGTCCCCTCGATGTCATCAAAACCAAGCTGCAAGCCCAAGGCGGGTTTGCCCGACGCGCTGCGCAGTCGGGTGAGACGAAGGCTTTATACCGTGGCATGATAGGAACTGGAAAGATAATCTTCCGGGAAGATGGTCTGCGTGGATTGTACCAAGGACTTGGTCCGATGCTTATGGGATATCTTCCTACCTGGGCTGTTTATTTGGCGGTGTACGACAAGTCTCGAGAGTACTTCTACGAAGAAACAGGTCAGTGGACTTTTTTTTGGGTATATTTGGCTTCGATATACTGACATCTCACAGGCAGCTGGTGGTTATCACGAGGATATGCTTCTGTTACTGCCGGAGCTTGCTCGACGATCGTGACTAATCCCATCTGGGTGATCAAGACACGGCTCATGTCACAAAGCTTGAAACAGAATAATGAAGGATGGAGAGCTCCATGGCAATACTCAGGCACAATAGATGCTGCCCGCAAGATGTACCGAATCGAGGGTTTCCGCTCGTTTTACTCCGGCCTCACACCTGCTCTTCTGGGGCTGAGTCATGTTGCCATCCAATTTCCGCTCTACGAATATCTGAAGATGGCTTTCACCGGATACAGTATCGGGGAGCATCCAAACAACGGCAATTCCCACTGGATTGGGATTTCTTGCGCCACGTTCCTTAGCAAGGTCTGTGCTAGCACCATCACCTACCCCCATGAGGTTCTTCGCACACGACTGCAAACCCAGCAGCGTACTGCACCCGCATCTTCGCCAGAGGAAATCGCATTCCGTGGCGGCTTGCATCACCCGCATGACCGTGGTCTGCCCCGGGTTTTCTCGTCATCAGACGGGATGCCCATTCGCCCTCGATACACAGGAATGTTACGCACGTGCCAAACGATCCTCAAAGAAGAGGGCTGGACTGCTTTCTATTCTGGGATCGGCACCAACCTGTTCCGGGCCGTCCCGGCTGCTATGACGACCATGCTCACTTACGAGTATCTGCGGAAGCTTATCCACAACTTCCAGCATCAAGGCGACCTGAAGCTTAACATGGCAGAAAATGGCGCCGACGCAGAAAGCGTGATTTGATGAAGATTCGTCGAGACGAACAAGAATTCCCTCTCCCACCTCCAGCACTGATGAGTGCTCCGCTCTTTCTCCCCTCTCCCTCCTCTCCTTCCTGTATAGACCTGGAAGTGACCATCTTCCAGTTAGTGGCTCTTTCAGCGAGTGAGCTTCAGGCTCTTTGCATCAACGTCTTTTGGCCGGAGGATTCTCGGCTTAGATTGCAGTTTCCTTTAGGAGGCTCTTGCATGTGAAGTCCCCATACTATACCTTGGCTCACATGCCAGAGATCGCATTTCGCGTTCACGCAAGTTCTCTGTTATTTGCAGCGCTTGTTTTGACCTCATTTACTATCCTTCCCGCATGGTTACTTATATGCCTGCTTTTTGTACATATGCACCAGGTTTACTATGACACGCCTTGGCTTTCATTTCCAACTCTTCCACATCATCTATTGGAACATCAAACGTCATCTAAAGCGTAAGCGGAATATATTCGTGAACTATTTGCCAAGAATCACTATCCAGATCACGCCTATTCCACGAAAATCTCAGAAACACCTGATCCGCACTCGGGTTCCACTTCACGAGATCTTTCTCCTTCGTCCCCGGCGGAAGCCCGTCCCTCGGTCGAAAGACATTGATAGGTCCCATACGCGCCTCTTCCGGAATGAGCTCCGACGTCGGTGTCAATCCCAGCTCCGTAGGCATGGTATCCAGACCCGTAGGATATTCAAAGTCCTCGAGAAACTTGGCCAAGTCGAGTTTGGGAACATCGCTATAGTTCGACTGGGATGCAGAGGATGCAGTTGGTCCTGGCGTGGAATTGCGACTTGCGTTTATTGCAACTCCGTATGTTTCTTCTAGCACCATCACCCGTTCGCTGAATGTGATTGCAGATTTGGTTTTGTAGAATCCATGGACCAGCGGTGCGCGGCGTAGTAGGGATAGGGCTGTACGTCGGATTCTAGGTTCACGGCATCTGAGACAGGTAAACCAGAGCGGGCCACTGATGCTGATCTCGAATGTGTATGGTGGTTGTGTGCCGTCTGGTCGGGCGGTAGCGTTGAGAGCGATGGATGACTGGTCCACTATGGTTTGGAAGTTTGGTATATACGCGTCGGTTATGGTTTGGGATGTTGTGAGGGTGGTTGGGAGTATTATGTATAGGACTTCGTGATGAGCGATGAGCAGGGCACTGATGCTGATTTGTAGTGGGGATAGCCCTTTGGAGCGAAGGAGTTCCATCAAGTTGATAAAGGCAGTGTTCCAGCTCTTTAACTTGGCTGATAGCATTGTTTGTTGGGTCGTTAAGTCCTGGGGTATGTTCGAGGTGCCGTGCTCTCGTACATGCTCGACGGATGTGAATTGGAAGAGCTGGACTTCTGCGCTAAGGAGGACGAGGGCTTCTCGGGCAGATCTGAGAGAATCGAATTGCTGCGCCAATTTGTATTCGGTGTGTGATAGTAAAATGCTCAATGGGGCCCCAGTGAGAGGGAGAGCGAGTGATCCTAGACGGATGAAGATTGGGACGATTGTACCCTCGAACCAGGAAGTGTCCGTTGCTGGCACTGTCCCGCGAGCTATTTGCGCGCGAAAAGAGAGAAGAAGATGCACACCCTGGCTATAAAGCTGCAAGGCCTCCTCCACACCTCCCTGGAGGGCCTCGATGCAGATAAATAGTATACAAGTGATCAGTCCGACAAAGACGTCCAAGCGACCACTCTCAATCCGCTGGCGGATAGCAGAAACCGAACGCGAGTACCAGCCCAATGCGTCTTGGTGGTTCTGATTGAGAGCGAAGGAACTGGAAGAGCGAGAATACCCTTGGCGTATGGAAAAGAGTTCCGGACATGGCTCGGGACTCTCGAATAGTGCACTAATGGAGATAATGGCGTCCCACACAGCAGGTTCACGCCGACAAACCTGTGGAACGATGGTGTTCCAGAAATCACCATCCAACCCACCGCCGATAGAGGATGCAGCGTTTTGGAAATAGTAGGCAAAAGATCGCCGTTCCCGCCAGACCGTGTTCGGTGATAATGAAAGAGGATGTTCAATGACGGAGATTGTACCTTCGTAGTCACATTTACGACCCGTGCTAGTGCACCGGGCACAGTGTGGCTTTTCTTCTCCGCATTTGACTTTTCTTATTCTGGAAGGGTTAAGCTTAATATACCCCGTTCGGTAAGATTGGAAGCTAGAAGACACCTACTTGCAAGTTTTGCAACCCCCTCTTGATTTCAGATGCTTTGTCGGACTAACCATTGAACAGGCCCGGCCAAGAAGCATATCGACATTCCCCAGAGCAGTTGCTCGGGCGTTGTAGCAAAAGCACTCGTGAGCAACTCGTGATTACAGGTGGAGAAGGCGCTGGAGATCACGTGAGTGATCGGCCACAATTTTCTTCGCTTGGCTTTTCCCTTCTCCTTCCACAACTTCCCTCAACCACAAAACGTCTTGAGGATTTTGATGCTTGAATCCCAGATGTGCTTCCAGTGGCCATGATACTATGTCACTAACCATTATGTCCTCTTTATTGTCTGCATGGTCCCCGATGAAGGGTCTTGATTCTGACCTCAAAACATTCTCGACACATGAACCTAGCTGTCAAAACACTAACAGAAGGCCAAAAATCATCTCTACGAGACTTCATGTTTGAAGCTTGAGGCAGCATTCTCTGGTGATGCTTATTTTCTCTATAGCACCCCATTCCCGTCTACATCCAGCGTGTCATCCCTTCACCTTCAATTCACCTCATTATTCACATGATGATCTTTCTTATGAATATTGAACCAGGCTGTTATATACACTTGAACTCCTGGGTATGATCATTCAATACACTGAAAATTCTGATTGATGATGAAGTGAAATTCTTTTGTGATTTCTTTGCACTGTTCTGCCCCCCCTTTCGAAGACTATGATCACTCTTTAAGAATAAACCCATTAAATTTGGATCGATTATGACCAATTACCTCGTATGATTCAAGTAGTTGTAGTAGTTCATGCAAATGTGTATTGGTATCTTGAATATTTAATCACGAAATTGCAATTGTAATACATGTAGGTGGTCAGGTCTTCCATGCGAGTCTGATATCACCCCTCCGACTTCCTCCCTTTACCCCCATCAGCCCGACTCTCCTCAAGAGCCTGTTGAACCCACGAGGAATCCTTCCTGTCCGGTCGTGACAATCGCTGTGAACTCGGTGCTGTTGGCGACTGCTCCTGTGCTTCACGCCTTGCTGTGCGGATAGAGCTGAAGCAGTAGGAGCAAAGGATGATAGCCATTGTGAAGGCTGCAATGGGTGCATTGATAGACTTGGATTGGGATTAGTCATTTGATTGCCGCGAATGAGTATACAGAGCATAGTCCATGGATCTGGGGCTTCGCCTTGGCTGCCCGTAAAGGTGCACGTACCCCTGCGGTCCTGCCCAGGGTTTTGGGATTCGGTGTGTTCTTTTGTGTCATTTTATGAGCTGAATCGAGCTGCTAGAGAAAGGCTTAGAAGAGCATGGTAAGTGCTCGAGGGCAGAGCAAATCCCGTACATTTTCGATCCCTGGATCCAATCAGGAATAAGATTGGCAAGTAACCAGATGTTCTTGTGGGAAGTCTACCTTGTGGTAATATCATAAGGTATCGGAACAATGGCCGACTCTCCGCATGAAAGTTAGGTATAGCGCAGGCACGGCCGGCGTCGGCTTCGCAGGTTGACGGTGAAGAAGGGACGCTAAGAATTATGGACGTTGAGGCCAGACTCCGGGGTGTTTGTCATCACGTCAACACGACCCGCGAACTTCACCTTTGGAGAGATTTCCATGCTTCAGGAAGATATTAATTGAGAATCAAAATTATGGGTGATTAAGTCATGTTCCTGGTAATTGGCTCCAGGTCAAAAGCTACTACAGTATGATGTTATAGGGGCTTAAACTTTCAGACATCTTCAGCACCAATAATATTGCAGCAAGGACGGTCGCAAAGTACAAGAAGAGGCGTTCCCAAGGACACGAGCTGTGATTCATCAACCGAGAATCGCTCGGGCTGGACTTGGGTGCATATGCATCCTTCCACCGACACTCAAAAAGAAGTCCGGTCAAATGATCGGGCGTCGCGCCGGGATTTGATACTCCGGGAGAGTCCGTATGGTGAATTTACCGAGCACCGACGGTGGGTTAACTCCGAGCCGCTTCGGACTCGAAGTATGAGTCCGAGGATAGAATAACGCGAGCAGTCGACAATTCACGAATATTCTGGCAAGGACTCAAACCGGATCAAAGGGGGAATCCAGAACATTAAATCATAGGCAAACTGGCATGTCTATCCTTGCTGTGAACGTCATCTCCACCTTTGATATCATCGGCATATAATTGGGCCGCGCCCGTGCATCGGGAAACAAGAGATTCACCGAGTCCACCGCGGACAACGTGAATGGAGCTCCGGATACCCTCGCCACCGTAGCCCCTCGACACTGATATCACCGGTCTTGAATATCGCCCACACAATGTGAATATGACATTCAGAAACTAAATTCAAAGGGGACTTCGACGTAGGAACGGAGAGAAAACGAAGGATGAGTCAGCTCCGATGGCCGGTTCCGAGGTCGCATGGTCCCGATCGGGTTTAGCGTACTTTTACTAAGGAATCAGATTATTTAGCAATGAATTCATCGCCTCCTCTTCCATATCAGATCTCTTTTCGCCATCTCCCACTACTCATCACTTCTTCACATCCACCATCACAAGTGAACCCAAATCTATCCTACAACCTTCCACACACAATGTTTAAGCGTCTTGTCACCGTCGCTCCCCGCGTTGGCGCTGTGGCGCCTCGCTCCTTTGCCCCCCTCTCAGGCTTGCAGTCCGTCCAGTCCGCCCGCCGTGTTCCGGCCCCTGCTCCCGCTCAGCGCAGAGCATACCACGAGAAGGTCCTGGACCACTACAACAACCCCCGCAATGTCGGCTCCTTCAAGAAGGCCGACCAGGACGTCGGAACCGGTCTTGTCGGCGCCCCCGCCTGTGGCGATGTCATGAAGCTTCAGATCCGTGTGAACAAGGACACCGGCAAGATCGACGACGTCGTCTTCAAGACTTTCGGCTGCGGCAGTGCCATCGCCTCTTCCAGCTACCTGACCGAGCTGGTCCGCGGCATGTCCCTCGAGGAAGCGGGCAAGGTTAAGAACACCGATGTTGCTAAGGAGCTCTGCCTGCCTCCTGTCAAGCGTATGTAACTCGCCCTGATGATTTCGGAAACAGTTTGCTAACATGTAAACAGTGCACTGCTCCATGCTTGCTGAGGATGCCATCAAGTCTGCCATCTCTGACTACTACACCAAGAACCCCAACGCCCGCACGACCAACCTTTCCGGGACGGGCGCCTCAATTCCCGACGTGAAGGTCGAGATTGAGCAGACTGCTGGCAGCCCCGCCGCCGCCGTATAAATTGTTGGCGGAGGCCCCGGGTTGAAAGAGACCCGATAACATTCATTTGCGAGCTGTGATACTCCAGACGTTATCGTTTTGATCGATTTGCAGAGCCAACCATATGAGGCTTGGAATGGGTGATTTCAAACAAATGGTCCAATTTGTTTGCTGTACAGATTTTCCTTTTTCTATTTCTTATCTTGTTTTTGACGACCTTTTTTTTTCTTTTTCTGGCGGCGCCTCGGTTGGGATTCTCGATCGATATTCTATTCTTTAAAAAGCTGCCGTGATAGTTTCCAATGAAACGATGAAACCAGAACTTTTTCGTAAGATCGTAGTGTCGTATATTCAGATCTGGTCGTGGGTTGAGCTTCCCGAGCTCTTAAACCAACTTCGGAATAATCTATATCTTTAAGTGTCTATCTGTGAATCTATCTGTACAAGACTGCCCAGGTGCTTGGATCCATGGAGGCCAGAGCATCGGCATGATAAACATAAGAACCCTCATCAGAAAACAATACAGGGCCAAGAAAGGAGATGAAATATGGAAAACGCCATCGCTGATGCACAGATAGAAGACAATCCGTGCCCAAACCAAACCAGGGATATATACAGAAAAGGGAAAACAGAACATGCTCAGACTCAGACACCCGTCCGAAGACCGAAGCGGCTCTTGAGAGAAAGCATTGTCTCGTACACGGACAACTTCACCTCGACACGCAGGAACCCAGCCCAGGCGGAGAGGAAGCGGAAGAAGTTGAAGAAGACGCCGCCCGATTCGCGGATCGACTCCATTTGCTCTTCAAACACGGACCGTGCAGCGTACCGTGCCAGAATGAGGAATGTGCGCATGGGGCCTTGGCGGGTGTGTAGGTTTTCGTCAAGGCTTCGGGCTTTGTGGGAGTTAGACATGGTTTAATGATGTGGTTGGTGGGACTTACTCAGGTCGTTTGTCTTGAGAATTAGTAGAATGATACGAGGGACTTGGCCGAGCATTTCGACCAGCTGTTGAAGCATGCCCTCGCCCAGAGCGCCGGAGATCTCCTTCTTCTCTTCTTCAGTGCGCGCGGAGGCGACATTCTTCTTCGTGAGCACGCTGTAGTCTCGACCAGTGATGGCGCTGGCAAAGAGCGGGAACTGCTCGTCCGTGATACCGGCCACCTTGTGCGCGTACTCACGCATGCGCGGGACATCCGCATCGATGACGGCCAACCAGAGCTTGGCGTAGTTGCGGCGCAGATCGCGGGGGATGTTACGGTACAGACCGTGGTCATAAAGGACGATATCAAAGTTCGGGTGACGACGGCTGGAGTTCGGACGAATGGCAATGTTGCCGCCGTGAGGATCGCAGTGCAAGGGGGCGTTGTCGCCGAAGATCATCTCGTTGAAGATGTGAGCGAAGGCTGCGGAGACTTCGTCGCGGTCGATGTGGTTTGCATCCAGGAACGCGAGGTCGTCAGGACGGGCACCGGAGATGAATTCCATGACTAGGATGCGCTTTTGAGACCACATCACTTCGGGGATTACCAGTGGGATATCTGAGTGCCTTTTGAAATAGGCGCTGGCTTCAGTGGCGTTCTGAGCCTCGCAACGGAAGTCCAGCTCGATAGGCAAAGACAGGTCCATTTCGCGAGACAGCCATTCCAGATCGTACTCGGGGAAGAAACGCTTCAGCATGGAGAAAGTAAAGCGAGTCAAGGCCAGATCCAGGGGCACCCATTCGGCGAGCGCTGGGTGCTGGACTTTGACAGCAACCTTTTGACCAGTTTCCCGCAATGTGGCAATGTGCACCTGCGCCAAGGAAGCAGCACCTGTCGGGGTCGGCTCAAAATAGCTAAACAATTCGTCGATGGTTTGGCCAGTGTCGGCCTTGAACATCTCGCTGATTGATTCGATCGACGATACGGGACATTTGTCCTGGAGTGGGATGAAGGTCGAGGTCCATTCAATCGGGAGCAGGTAGCCCATGCTACTCAGATGCTGGCCCAGCTTAATAAAGATCGATCCGTTCTTCTCCAGCACACGCAGAGTGCGCTCCGCACAGCGCTTGTGGCAATCCTTGATCAGAGCGTCACGGTCTTCGGGAGAGGAGGCTTCTTTATTGAGGGTGACGCGGTAGCTGTGGGCGCAAATCACGTTAGCAAGATCAAATACTGAGGATGTAGCGAATAGAACCATTTCTAAGTTCCAGCTCGACTTACTCGTTGATACAAACGGCCAGTGTGCCAACCACGCGACCACTTCTCGCCGCCGCACGGTACGCATGCATGTACTGATCCGAGAAGACCACTGCACCCAAACCGAGCACGCCGAGGACGACTAAGTACCTAATCGCCTTCCGCTGGCCCTGATTCGAGCCCGAACCTCCTGTCTTGTTCTCCGAGTTCTTCTCCGCACCTAACCCGCCCTGAGGCTTGTCCGAGTACCAACGCCCTCGAACAAGCGCCTTAGGCTCAATCTTCAGACGATTCCATGACAGTGTAGTAATCTCGCGGGACAGCGACGGGCGCAGCGACGACTTTGAAATCGAGGGGAACGAGGCGCGGGAAATCGAGACTGGTGGTTTTCCGATAACCGCGGCGGGACTGGCGAATGCCCGCAACGGCATAAAACGCAGCGCGCTCATTTAGACCGGGTGTCAATATGACAGGTGAGCGCGGGATCTAGGATCGAGTGTAGGAGTGCCACGTTCACTCCATGTTCAATTGCAGGCTCTGCTGTTGATCGGGGATATTTTTTTGCGGTTCTCGCCGCCAATCGGGTGACCCGATCTCGGGCCGTATGGCACTGCACGTGATCCCGAGCGATCTATAACAACTGACGTCATAAGAGGCAAATATTGAAGCAGATGTGTTATGAAATAGCATGTTGTGTGAGAAGACTCAAATAGCGCTCACAAGTCTGATAATAACATAATTGGCAAAACATTAGACCGCGCCAGGACCATTTAGCACAACTACTGAAGTATCTTGAGCGAAGTCCCTAGCGAACTTGGAAGTACAGGTGTGCTACCACCTGGTCTAGAAGTTGAAGCAGATAATTATGTCTCATTCAGAAGTTTATGTAGTCTGTATGTGCAGCAACCAGTGCCCGTCAAAGTAAAAAAGAAAGACGTTTTGACAAAGAAACGTAACTATTACCCCTTCCCACCACCGGGAGTTTCGACGCCATAGTTTTTAAACAGAAACAAAGGAAAATAATCATAGTGTGACAGCAGGAAACAAATATTTCTTCATGTCCATTCGGAATCAGCAGTAGTGGGCCGCCGCCTCCGAGGGATCACTGAGGGCCGACGACTGAGTGAACTGGGGGCTTTCTCGTCCTCTTGGAGTAACTCGACATGCGACAGTCGGTTGGAGGATATGCCTCGCGAGAGTCGGGTTCGTGGCACCGCACTGCTGTTCACAGCAGGGTTCAGGGGTGAAGGATTGCCATCGCGGCTGCCTGGCCGTAAAGCCAGGGAGGAACCGCTCAGGGCATTTCGAGGGTGCCGGGGTGTCTCTCGTCCGTCGAGGAATGCTCTCGACTGGCTAGTGCGGTTTGCTGAAGGGGTAGAGGGAGTGGAGCCGGCAAAGGGATTGGGTGGGGCGGTGGAGGTGCTCTTTCTCCGACTTGTAGGTCTGCGCTTGAGGCCGTAAGATTCGCTCATTTCACTTGATCGAATGAGTTTTCCTGCCATGTCTCTGACGAGAATGGCTGGATCGTTCTCTAGTTCGCGGATGGCATCCAGAAGGCCATACATAGCGAGTAGGCCGCCTTGTTGCTCGCTAGAATCGCAAATGCTCGATATGATGCGCAAAAGGTTCAATCGGATGGCAGCTTTGTTGTGGTGGAGCTTCTGCCCAAGTCTGGTAAACAGATCTGGACGAGCAAGTGTTGATGCAACTGGAGGGCTCAATCGAAGAAGCTTTTGCAGGGGCTCAAGCAAATTCTCGAATGCATTCGCCTTTGAGAGTGTCAAGCACCGTACAATGGCATCAGTGAAAGACATCTTATCCTGATGGTTATCCAGGAGGTGCTCCTCGACTTTAGCAGTCTCCTCTTGAAGCCAAGTGAAGATGGCGTCCAGAGCAGTCACCTGCCAATATGGATCCGCAAGGAGAGAGATGTAAAAGGCAAGGCCCTTATTACGCCACAACTCTCGGCGGCCAACCTTGCCAGACTGTGCCATATCGCAAAGGATCGGGAGAGCAAACTCTTTCAATGGTCGCTCCGTGTTGACAACCTTCTGCAGCAACGGTACAATACCATTAAGCGCGGCGTCCTCTTGCCGAGACTTGTTCAAACGGCACATGTTGTAAATGGTGTTGAGAATTTGGTTAGAAACTTCGCGGAAGTGGCCCCTTCTCATGGTTGACCGGAGCAGGTCAGTGAGCACATCGATGGCATTGGAATTCTGGAGCGAGTCCAAAGTGGTCGAAAGCATGGACAAATTCTTTATGAACTTGAGCATGGTGATCTGGTGAATAGGTGACATTCGTCGCAGTTCTTTCAGAACACCTGGTACGAAAAGTTAGTAATTTAAAAACACGAAGGTTCAAGCAATTCTCACGGTGCAGGACTGTTCGCTCAGCCACCATCTCCTTGACATGGTTCTCGGCTTGCGAGAAAATGAAGAAAATGTTCGCAATGCGACCCTCAATGACTTCCGCCACCTCCGCATCTTCGTCCAGGACACGGCTGAGAACAAGGGAAAGGGGATCGAGAACAGAGTTACGCGACAAGATTCGACAGAAGTCGTTCTTCGGAGTTGAGCCCTGAAGCTCAAAGACACTCCAAATACCATTGACGCCGATCAAGACCAGATCACCTTCGTCCTCATAGTCGTCCTCTAAGAATTCGACCAAGACATTCAGACCACCGGCACTGACGAACATCTGGAGCGTGAGAGTCGAGGTTTGATACATCTGCCGCACAAAGGCAGCGGCTTCAAGTCGAATCTCACGAGGGTACTTCTTGGAAGCAAACTCATTGACAATGGGGATACCGCCAACAAAGCACAAATTTTCTTGGACTTCGTAGTCCTCGTAGATGATCGCATTGACGACTCTGAGCAGACAAAAGACAATGTCACGGCGACGAGACGTATCTAGGATCTCTAAGATAGGCAGCATTCCATGAGCACTGATGATGATATTCTTCGTCTCTGGGAGATCACAGAAGATAATGAGAAGCTGCTCAGAGATGTCCGCTAGAACATCCTCATCTTGAGATGTCTTCAGAGAGCCCACTAGGCCCTCGACCTGGTTGCGCAAACGTGCATATTTGTCACGCGCGATGTTGGCTTCCAGATCCATTTCGTCAAAGCCTTCTTCCAACTGAGCAAACGGGTCGTCATCATCGTCTTGGTCCCCAAGCCATGAGTTATTAGATAGTTTTGAGTTCAGCATCAAGGTGCTTCGATCTGAACCATCGTCGCTTTCCGGCTTATCTAGAGCCACTTGGTCTGCCCCGATGATGTCCGAGAAGTCTTCGTCAGTCTCGTTCTCTGCAAATTTGTGAATTTCAATGGTGGGTCGATCACGCTTCACAGAAAGTTGTTTGCGTAGCTGAGGATGTTGCCCACTTCTATCATCATCAAATGGATTATATCCCTCGTGGGCAGGTGAGGCGGGATCCTCATCGGGCTCCTGAATTGGACCAAGTTTCCAATCCAGGACATCTTCGTTTGCTGCGATCAAATCTGTGTAGTCTTCGATGGAGTTTTCCTTGTAGAGAACAGCTGGACGAGATCGACGAGATGGTGGCATGGGGTTTTGGGTTACATTCTGTAGGGCAGATGCCGAGGGTTTGGTGGATTGGCGCCGAGATGGGCTTTGGGATTTCAATGGTTCGGCAGCTGACGGTCTAGCTGGCAACGGACGTATTGTCTGCAATGAATCGTTCTCTAGGGCATCTTCGAATTCATCAAAGCTGTCATCCGGCCTCATCATCGTCCCATCAAGGGATGCAAATGCCTTGAGTCGTTCCGATGAAAGCATGCCACCAAAGTTATCATGTGGCCGCAGGTGAGGCAGTTGAAGGGCACTAGGAGATATCGCAGTAGCAAAGTCATCGTCCCAATTGTCATCCTCAGCAGACTCGAGTGATCGAAACCGGTCAGCCGTCTTGATCGAGGTTGGAGATGGCAACGTATCCACGAGCGAGCTATTCCGGCCACCAGGAAGAGCAGCAGTGCTGGGATCAAACCTGCTGGTCCTTCTTGAGGTGCCTGCATTAGGAGACCGCAGCGCCTCGTTCCACTCCTGCACACTTTTCACAGCCTCCTCGTACTCTGTGGACTTCTTGGGAACAACGGAATCAGTCCGTCGCGCATTGACAATCCATGGGTGCTTGAGCAGCTTCCTCGCCGAGACACGAAGGTTAGGGTCTTTCTGGAAGCATTGCATCAAGAAGTCTTTCACAGCCTAGAAATATATTAGTCTCGTGGTGTTCATTCGAGAAGGAGAACACATACCGGCGAGGCACCTTGTGGAAGCGGAGGGTGGTCATCGTTGACAATGCGGAACAATGCTGGCATGGGTTGCAAGTTGTGGTAGGGAGGCTTTCCCTCCAGCAACTCAATGACCGTGCATCCCAAACTCCAGATATCGGAAGCGGTCGTTGCGCCTGAAAGTTCAATGACCTCGGGGGCCATCCAGTATGGAGTACCGACAACGCTCGATTCGCTCAAGCCAGTCGTCCGACTCGCCACACCGAAATCAGCCAGTTTTACCAGTCCCTCTTTGGTAGTCAAAATGTTAGCACCCTTGATATCTCGATGGATAACGCCCTGTTCGTGGAGATACAGAAGTCCATGAAGGACCTGAGACATGTACAACCCCACCAGGTTCTCCGGGAAGCGGCCGAAGTTCTTTGCGATTGAGTGTAGTGAACCATTTTCGCAGTACCTGTCTTGACATTAGCTTCTTCGTCTCTCCGAGCGCATTTCAGGCACGTACTCGAGAATGATGTTTAGAGTTTCAACAGACTTCACAAATCCCTGGTACTTGACAATGTTTGGGTGCTGTTATCTGGTTAGTCCGAATGCAGCACGTCGCGAACGGTTGTCTTACGTCGAGGTTTTTGAGGAGGTCAATTTCCAGCTGAGGCGCCAAGAATCAGTAGAGCTCCAAAGCCATGGTTGATCGACCACTTTACCATGATAACACGCAATTCGCTCTTGGGAAGATCGGTCAGCTTGATCTGCTTTACCGCAACAGTCTCCCCAGTATTCCAGTTCAGTGCCCGATAAACCGATCCGAATGCACCCTTCCCCAAACAGTCGCCGAGTTGCTGTGATATTCAGTAAGCATCCATCCTGGGTTCGCCGGATAGGGGAATCCATCCATACATAGTCCTTGAGCTCCGCAACATCTTTCGCGGACGACTTGTATACTTTGTCCTCCTTGTTCTTCTCCTCGCGCTTGTTCGGACTTGTCTGCACTCGTGCCAATCGCGGCTTCAGCGGCGTGCCGGGCGTCCTAGACGGGGTGAGGGGGGCGCTGCCCCTCATTCCCATCGCCGGAGCGAGATACCATCACGGAGCGCCGAGCAGCCTGTGGACGATCCAGTTTGCGTTCGATCCGATTGCCGGTCTCCAAATGTGGTTTCGGGTTGACAGGGGTGGGGTGAACGGTAGGGAAGGAGGCAGGAGCCGATCGCAACGGTCTTAGTGATCATGTCCGCCGGATCTAAGCAGATTTGGATGGTTAATTCATCTGTGTCAAGTCTGAAGAAAATTGCAAACGCCACGATGGGGTTTCGTCTGTATGCAAGTGCTGGGGGTGGCTGATGGTCTCACCAAGCGCACATCACCGAGAGGACTTCAGCTCTCCCTATCGAGCCAAGGGTTGCTGATGGTCGCTGCGCAGACGAGTTATGCAAGCCGCAAGTAGTTAAACCGACCCTGGATCACACCGTCGTATCGACGGGGGCGCGGGGGGGGGGGTTCGTGGTGGTTGTTTTGAACTTTCTCTACTCCACAAGCCGCCCCATCATGCAGCGGCTGTGCTCGACGGGCGCCGATCAGCCCTACGGAACCGCTTTTTCGCGTTTACACCTTTCCATATTTAATTGAGCAACTTCATGTAGTATATCCATTTATATTCAGTATTCACATTCACATTCAAGCCCGATTATGTACAATACCATGGACGCGGGGCACCATCAAAATGGGGTATCATTGGAGCGCATCACGAAGCAAACGGTGCACGTCAGAGACTAGGTACAGACTACCAGCTATGACAAGCGGTCGGCCTTCAGAGACTTCACTGGCCCAGCGGAGTGCAGGGAGTAAATCACCCTCAAAGCTTTTTACTTGCCCTATTTCGGGAATGGACTGTATAGCTGATGCAAGTTCAGTAGCATTAGTTGGCTTCACCCATGGCATTCCATCCACGGGACCGAACTCTGCTGTTGCAACACTGTCTCCAGGTCGAATGATTGAACGGAAGACCCCAGCGAGGTCCTTTCCACTCGATGCTGCAATGACCCAGGTCACCCCACCGGGTGACTCTGGACGCAGTTTCCGGTCAACGTATCGGCCCAAGACATCGGCTGACTGTGGGTTATGGGCCCCGTCAATCAGAACTTGTTCTTTGCGGGGTATCAGAGGTTGAAGAGAAATGTGTTCTAACCGGCCGGGCCACTTGACATCTGCTAGATGAGGAAGCAGGCTGTACACATCGGCCTCCGGGCGGATCTTGGAAAGGGCGAGACGTAGTGCCGTGACTGCACTACACATATTTTCCTTTTGATGAGGCTCGAGGTCCATCTTTCGGAATAGCTGTGCCAGTGGGGGGAGCTGCTCCTCTGCTTTATCTGGTGAGACAAATATCGCGTCAATCCCAAGTTCTTGTATCCGACTTGACAATGCCCTTAGCACGGCTGCCTCGTTGGTATTGTCCACCACACAAGGTACTCCAGGCTTCAGGATCCCCGCCTTCTCTCGAGCTATCTCCTCAATTGTCGATCCCAAGAATGCTTGATGGTCCATGCCAATCTTAGCAATGACGGAGACGAGAACATCGCTAAGTATGTTGGTGGCATCTAGACGACCACCCATGCCCACTTCGACAACGCCGACTTCGACCCGCTCATGGTTGAAAATCTCGAATGCCGTTGCGGTCAAGAGCTCGAACTCGGATGCGCCAATGCCCAGCTTTCGGTCTCGGAGTTTGACTTGGTCTTCGATCTGGCGGAACAGCGATTCCTGGACCACACGTTCGCCGATTGTAATGCAATCCCACCGGTCGATTAGGTGGGGGGAAGTGAAGCGGCCGCAGCGAACTCCTTCAGCTGACAGCAGTTGGGAGAGATAGGCGCTGATCGAGCCTTTCCCGTTAGTCCCCGCAATATGAACGGCTTTCCATGTCAGCGAACTCTGTTGAAGGAGACTCGAGACGCGACTCAATCCTAGCTCAATCATTCCTCTCGTGTTGTGTAGAAAGACCAAGATGGATCGTCATGATCAGATTGTAGACGGTAGATTATTATCGCAGCTCCTCATTGGAGAGCGCCGATTGCCGCATGTTTCAGTCACGTGATTAAATCCATTGCGGCCTCAGGCAATCGACTTTCGGCGTTTGCCTTCCAGAAAGCAAAAAACCCAATCTCGCTGTTCCCCTTCCGATCCGGCTCCATCTTCCCCATCCCCACAAGCGCCTACACATCTTGGGGGTCGCGTCAACTCGTGTTTCCAAAATTTCTTTCTCTCACCTTCCCCTTACATTCTTTCAGTCCTATCTTCATCAAAAATGGGTATTCCGTAAGTGACTCCGCTCCATTTTCTTGCACGCTATCGCATGCGCCACCTCATCGTCGCGACTGACTTGGAACGTAGGATGTGGCGCGAGCCTATCCAGGCCGACAACCTCAAAACTGCCCGGGATAAGGATCCCTCGGCCGCTGCGCGGTCCGCGATTCGCCGCCAACCCACCATCCGCCGCCCGTCACGCCACGGCTCCTCTCGCGCGCGTGGCACCGGTGTCATGTCATCTTTCCATTCTCAGATTCTCGATGAGATTCAGCGCGGCGTCGCTGAGCCCCAGCGAGGTGTGCGCTCCCCCGTACTGAACCTAGGCGTCAGTGAAGATGGAGTGAATCTGGATCAGATTCGCTTGGATGCTTTGAATCAGCGCCGCACGCGCGCGAGTGACAACCGACGGCCAGAACCGTTGACCCGTAGCAACCAAATCACTCGCGCTGCCGATCCTCCGTTTCCCATTCGTGACCCTGACACACCTCCCCCATATCGCATAAATGGGGATTTGTCACCTTTCACGCCGAACTTTGCTCCCGCCACTGGCTACCATCAGTCGTCCTCGCGGCCGACCCGTCTCCCGATCCCACGCCTCCCGAATTCACGTCACATGGAGAGCCGCAATCACGATCTTCCCTCTTACATCCCTTCTGTCCTGCTCCGAGACTACCGCAATGGCAGCGGTCCGAACCGATCTCACCGTGAAACTGCCATCGACGGACTTGGTGACCGCCAGCGGAGCCTGAGCCCGGATGCTGAGCGAGAAACTGACGCATGGGAGACCTTGCTTTCGACTATCACTCCGGACACGACTCTTCCTTCTACTGACACCTCCTTTTCATCTACATCTGCGTCCGCAACTGACCCTTCTCGCAACCAAACTTCTCACACCTCTGGTGCCTCTTGGCAGACGCAGCCATCTCGCGCTGCTCACCTCGCCCTCGATCCCTACCCTGATTACCTGAACCCATGCGACTACTCCTCGGACGATGAGGATACCCCCGTCAACTACCACAGGGTGTTGGGATCATCGAGTCTCCCGCTCTCTCTTCGTCGCTCGCCGGGCATTCACTCGACCATGAGCAACCACCCTCCTATCCCTACGATCTCCTTCTCCTTCTCGGACTCTGGCGAGTCGGATCTCCAGCAGATGCAGGCCATTCTGGACCGACTTGCTCGCCGGGAGGATATTCCCGATGACTGGTGGGCTGGCGCTGGCCTCTCGCGCACTATGGGTCGTGGCTTGAGCACTAGTGCCGAGGGCAATGAGAACAACCGCACCGAGTGAACTTCTTTTCTCGTTTTACAGCACAAATCGGATAATTACGGCGTTTCGACCTTTTTCTCTCTGGGACATAATTCATCTTGCGGGTGTTTCAAGCCTGGTTATTTCCACGCGGCGTTACATAGGAAGGACGATAGGGGAGGGGGGGTTTCATTTTATTTCATGAGCCATATGAATGATTTCTATCTAGGCTGCACGGGTTGCAGTTTTCATTTCATTCGCATGGGACTTCGTCCAAGGTTTTTTCATAATTCGATGATGTACTCCTATATCTCTTGGTACCTTCTCAAAACATCGAATGTTCTTGACTGTTCTTTTTAATTATCCAAGACCTTCCTCAATTACTGTATGAATCCTTGGTTCTTCTTTGGAGGCTATTAATCTACAGTCCAATCAACACGCGCATCCTCGCTGAGAGGCTCAAATGATGTCATCCTCGAACTGTATCTATTCATGTGATTTTGAATATCATCGAGTCTCGAGTCTCCAGAATGATTGTTCTACACGATGAAGAAACTGGACGGGCAGCTATTGCCGAAGACCGGTTCGGCTTTGTGACGTAGGCGTCGGAGCAACGGAGTCCCCACCGGAATCAGTCATAACGTGCCCCGCCAATTCGTTATCGCGCATTTTGAATAGACGAATCCCCCGACTCTACTTAGCGACCTTTTCCTCTCACAACTTTCCTACTTGCGCATCTCCTTTTCGTCTTTGACTCAATTGCATTTACCCTTTGTATAGATTACTGCAGGGTCTCACTTCGGGTCTTTATACCACCACGGCACGCGACAAAACACGTTCCAGCACCCCGCCGAGTTATCCATCCCGCATTCCGTGTGATCATTCCCATCTCGTTGGGTATCTCGAGGCATCCGTCACAATTTCCCAGCAAAGCATACCCGTCATCATGGAAGAGCAGGTCGAGCGCCTGGTCGAGAAGACCTGGGGTAAGTTCCCCAGACATTGATACCCAGCCCAGGACAAGCAGGGTGCACGATCCACCCGAATTGCACACAATCGTCCAAATTCACCAATCTGCAGTGCATATGTACTGACCTCTCTAGCAAAATTCCTCTCCACCCCCTCCGACGCCCGCCTCATGATCGCCATCAGCGGCATCCCAGGCTCCGGCAAAACCGAGCTCGCCAGCATGGTTACCAGCCGCATCAATAAGAGATACATCCTCGAGAACCCCTGCGCCGTCCCCATCGCCACATCCCTCCCAATGGACGGCTACCACCTGACCCGCGCCCAACTCGCCGCAATGTCAGACCCCGAATACGCCGCCGCCCGCCGCGGCGCAGCCTTCACATTCGACGGCCACAAGTTTTTACAACTAGTGAAAGACCTACGGGAGCCGCTCACAACGAGGGTAAACAGTATCTTCGCGCCCAGCTTCGACCACGCCGTGAAAGATCCCGTGGATGACGATATTCCGATCCCAGCGACTTCGCGGGTGATTTTCTTTGAAGGGAATTATCTCAGTTTGAATAAGGAGCCGTGGAATGAGGCGGCGCGGTTGATGGATGAACTGTGGTTTGTGGATGTAGATTTCGAGGTTGCGAGGAAGAGGTTGGTTAGGAGACATGTTAAGGCGGGTATTGCGAGGGATGAGGCGGAGGCGGATAAGAGGGCAAAGGAGAATGATTTGGTTAACGGGAGAGAAATCGTGGATAATAGGTTGGTGGTTCAGGAGGTTGTTGAGAGTATATATGATCCGGCTTGGGAGAGGTTGTAAAGGTTGTGTTTCCATAGATAGCAGGCATTGTGTCGGCGCAATGGATGATGTTGTATAGAAAGTTAGTGCAACTTGAATTTCATTATTCTGTTGGTATTGATGAAACCCTGGACTATGGTTTGTAATTGTTTTGATATGTTTTCATAATCGCGACAGATAGACTTCTCATCAACTGACACCCATAAACCTGGAAGAAGTACATACCTAGAGATGTATAGATCAGGACCCTCTCTTCTGCTACTTTATTTCTTCCGTTGAGACCAAGATAGTACCATGTTCTATGCGATGACAACTGATATTTTGTATGAACTTAGGGAGCGTACATTTTTTCAGGATTAAATTGACAAGGCAGCTTTACTCCTAACTTTGAAGCTCCTAGCTAATCCGCCGCTGGTTTCGGAGACCTATGTGATGACAACAAGACTCGTTGCATCGTTGCAGTAAACATCCAGCCGATGCAATAAATGAACGTTGTAGCGTTGTCAATTGGCATTAGCACGAAAATTGCTTCAATTGGCCAGTAGACAACATGATTGGATTGCCCGAGATACGAGCTACGGCAGGGTCCCTGGCACTATCCCGGATCAGGGTCCAGTGCGACCCAGCGTGGGGAAATTGTCACGGCCGTTACTAGTGTCATACAGGGCCTCAATGGTGCAGAGCCCATATTAAAAGTGGGTGGAGCCCCTTAATATACAGGGTACAAACGCGCTGATGACCGTCAGGGACTGAAACCCATCCTAAGACCCTGTCTCCCACTCCTGGACGCCTTCCACTTCAAGATCCGCTTTTAGTCTCCTTCATCTCACTCTTTGTCTTCTACTCGCGATCACTCCTTATCATCGCTGTCACTCTTTGCTATCTTCACGGTCCTTACACCCCAATCAACGCACTACTAGCTTCACCAGATTCGCTGCGCGATCTTGTATCTGTCCGACTCCAGTCTTCTCCTTTCGCTTTCCCTGTTTCACCATGTTCTTTAAGAAGTCGACTTTCGCTCTGGCCTTCGTGGCCCTCGCTAGCATCGCCTCTGCTGCCACGACTCCGGCCTGTCTTTTGTCCGTCATTGGGTACGGATCTCCACAAATCTGACTCGGCAACCCCCGAACTACTTACGCGCTGACACTTTCCTTCTAGGGACACCAACAACCCGGCCAACCTTGTCGCCATCTGTGGTGATGACGCGAAGAAGACCGAGTCTGCTATTTCCGACCAGTGCGGCAGCGGTGCCGACTCGGCCCTAAAGTTCTTCGCTAATACCTGCACTGAGAATGGTCACAAAGTTGGTAAGGATCTCCGCACCACCTGTTCCTGATAGCAAAAGTGCACATTTGGCTCACATCGCTCCACAGTGATCTCCGATTCCTCGAACTCCACCAGCACCTCCGGCAGCGCCACTGCTACTGGAACCGGCTTCACTACTGCCGTCTCGACCTCGGGCTCCCAGGCCACTGGCTCTGGCTCCGGTGCTTCTAACACCAGCAGCTCGTCGGCTCCTGGCGCGGTCCACACTGGTGCCGCTATCTCTGATCGTCAACTGTCCGGCACTACCCTGGCTGCCGCCGTGTTCGTGGGCGTTGCTGCGTGGCTGTGAGGCTATGAGGCGATTCTTTGACCTTTATTCTGACTCCGATTCTTGCAATATGATTTCCGATCTGTTAATAGATAATTGGCCTGCCCATGCTGCGTTTCAATTGTTCTCATCTGCCGCTTCGTCTCGTCTCGGCTGATTCGAACATTGTTGGATTTGCTTGCCTGTTATTGTATGGAGAACCCACACCGCTTGTCATTTTTAGAGCAAATACCATTGCTTTTCGGTGTTATCTGGATTAGTCACACCCCTCGGTCCCCTTTAATGTAGATCTGGAAGAAGCGGTCTGTGAGCAGTAAGGAGAGCTGCACGGACATGCACCATAGCAGTGATGCCTGGGTAACTAACACTAGTGTACAGAGTTACTACGGCTACTAGGACAAGCGTAGGTTGTTACTACAGTGACTAGGGAATTGTCTGAGTTCGGGATGGCATTCTCCGTCGGCCACAGCGGTGCCGATGTCAGGCGCTTCGTTGATCCAGTCGTCGCGTCTCCACGTGACTGTCGCGATCCAATATTACTCAGCACGGTAACCAAAGGGAACCGAATTAGGCCAAACACGAAAAATCGCGAGTAAAAACGCGTCTGCCCGGGCGACATCAAATATCCACGCCCCTCCGTCCTCTTCTTTCTTCCTCCCCCTCGTCCTCTACACCCTTACCTCCCTCTTGACATCTTCCCCCCTCTTCCTCCCACTCAATCCCTCTCTTATCACGTTCTTAATACCCCATATTGTTCTGATCTTCTTCCTTTCATCCTCTCTCCTATACACTCAAGATGTTCGTCTACAAGCGAGGTAAGCTGCATCCGCCCTGCCGGCATCTCCGTGGCCCCAGCCGCGGGGTAGGACGCTTCCTATGCATATAGGAATGCTTCCCCGGCCTTGCCACCGACGTCAAGATCAGTTACTAACACGGAATCACGCAGATGGACGCAAAGAACGCGTTCAGTTCGACAAGATCACTGCCCGTGTCTCGAGGCTGTGTTACGGCCTCGACCCCGAGCACGTCGATGCTGCTGCCATCACACAGAAGGTTATCTCTGGTGTCTACCAGGGCGTGGGCACTATCGAGCTGGACAACTTGGTACGTCGTCGTCCACCACCTCATCGGCCCCCTATACTAATAAAGTTTGCAAAGGCTGCCGAGACTGCCGCGTACATGACCGTGACACACCCCGACTACGCCATCCTGGCCGCTCGTATCGCCGTTTCCAACCTCCACAAGCAGACCAAGAAGCAGTTCTCCATGGTCATCTCCGATCTCTACCACTATGTCAACCCCAAGAACAATAAGCCCGCTCCCATGATTTCTCAGCACATCTACGAGATTGTCATGAAACATGCCGATGAGCTTAACTCGGCTATCGTCTACGACCGTGACTTCAACTACAACTATTTCGGCTTCAAGACTCTTGAGCGTTCATATCTTCTGCGCATCAACGGCAAGGTTGCCGAGCGTCCTCAGCACCTGCTGATGCGTGTCTCCGTTGGTATCCACGGCGAAGATATCGAGAAGGCCATCGAGACCTACCACTTGATGTCCCAGAAGTTTTTCACTCACGCTTCCCCTACCCTTTTCAACGCTGGTACCCCCCAGCCCCAGCTGGCTTCCTGCTTCCTGGTTGACATGAGTGCGGACAGCATTGAGGGTATCTACGATACTCTGAAGACCTGTGCCATGATTTCCAAGACTGCTGGCGGTATCGGTCTCAATGTGCACCGCATCCGCGCCACTGGTTCCTACATTGGTGGAACCAACGGTACCTCCAACGGTATCGTCCCCCTCCTGCGGGTGTACAACAATACTGCCCGCTACGTCGACCAGGGTGGTAACAAGCGTCCTGGTGCCTTTGCCATCTACCTTGAGCCTTGGCACGCGGATGTCTTCGAGTTCCTCGACCTCCGCAAGAATCACGGTAAGGAGGAAGTCCGTGCCCGTGACCTCTTCTACGCTCTGTGGACGCCCGATCTGTTCATGAAGCGTGTTGAGGCTAACGGCGACTGGACCCTGTTCTGCCCCAACGAGGCTCCCGGTCTGGCCGATGTCTATGGCGAGGAGTTCGAGTCTCTCTATGAGCGCTACGAGAAGGAGGGTCGTGGCCGTAAGACCATCAAGGCTCAGAAGTTGTGGTATGCCATCCTCGAGGCTCAAACCGAGACTGGAAACCCCTTCATGCTGTACAAGGATGCTTGCAACCGCAAGAGCAACCAGAAGAACTTGGGTACCATCCGCAGCTCCAACCTGTGCACTGAGATCATCGAGTACAGCGCTCCTGATGAGGTCGCTGTTTGCAACTTGGCTTCCCTTGCTCTTCCTACATTCGTTGATGCTGCTCGTGGCGAGTACGACTTTGGCAAGCTGCACGAGGTTGTGCAGGTTTTAGTTCGCAACCTAAACAAGATCATCGATATCAACTACTACCCCGTTCCCGAGGCCAAGAAGAGCAACTTCCGCCACCGCCCCATTGCTCTGGGTGTTAACGGTCTTGCTGATGCCTTCCTGGCTCTGCGTCTGCCCTTCGACTCGCCCGAGGCCAAGCAGCTGAACATCCAGATCTTCGAGACCATCTACCACGGTGCTCTGTCCGCCTCCTCGGACCTTGCCAAGCTGCACGGTACGTACGAGACTTACGAGGGCTCCCCCGTCTCGCAGGGCATCCTGCAGTACGACATGTGGGACCGTACCCCTACCGACCTCTGGGACTGGGCTGCTCTGAAGGCCAAGATTGCCGAGACCGGTGTCCGCAACAGTCTGCTGGTGGCTCCCATGCCCACTGCCTCTACCAGTCAGATCCTGGGCTTCAACGAGTGCTTCGAGCCCTACACCTCGAACATCTACTCCCGCCGTGTCCTGGCTGGTGAGTTCCAAGTCGTCAACCCCTGGCTCCTGAAGGACCTGGTCGACCTGGGTCTGTGGTCGGACAACATGAAGAACCGCATCATCGCCGATGGTGGTTCCGTCCAGAACATCCCCAACATCCCCGCCGATATCAAGGCCCTGTACAAGACCGTGTGGGAGATTTCCCAGCGCTCTATCCTCCAGATGGCCGCCGACCGTGGTGCCTTCATCGACCAGTCCCAGTCCCTTAACATCCACATGAAGGAGCCCACCATGGGCAAGATCACCTCCATGCACTTTGCTGGCTGGAAGATGGGTCTGAAGACCGGCATGTACTATCTGCGTACCATGGCCGCCTCCGCCCCCATTCAGTTCACCGTCGACCAGGAGGCTCTGAAGGTCGAGGACACCAACGTCGCCCGCGCCAATTCCGCCTTCAAGAAGCGTGCCGTCGGCACCGCCGGCTCCTCTTCCTACTCCGCCGTGCCCCGTGCCAATGGCGCCGGGGCTGTTGCTCCCATCGTGGCACCTATCCTGGAGAGCCCTCGCACCGTCGCCGAGCCCGTCGTTGCTGTTCCCGTCCCCGTCGAGGCGACCGCCGAGGAGGAGACCGAGGAGACTGCTGCTGAAAAGGATGGTCCCGCCGGCGATATCTTCTCGCAGGCTGTCCTGGAATGCAGTATCGAGAACAAGGAGGCCTGCCTCATGTGTCAGGGCTAAGCCTTTTTCTTTCTAAACGATCTTGATGTTTCACTGACCCTGGTCTCGCACACGTGTGATTTACGTATCTATATCATGAGTTTGATGGTTTTATCTCCTTTGTTTCGCGATGGTTATGGCGTGGTTTGATTATTTCTTTGTTCCTAGATGGTTAGTTTAATGACCTTGACATTATTCTCGATTCTGTAGATCTATATCTAACCCCACTAGAGCATATAGTTTAACAGTGTCTGTATTGCCTAGATCTCACGGCTCCAGCATCCCCGCCTTCCCCATCCTGCGCTGACGCATCTAGTAAACACTTCGAGAGAAGAATGGAAGAACGGGAGAACGAGAATGGGCTGCTCCTTTACCCTCACGAACCCATGTTTTCAACCGAACAACGAACCCCCCCCCCCAAAAGTTCCCAAGGTTACACGACCGAACTCTCCCCCTTTGAAGAAAGTATCCCGTTCCCCGTCACAGTCGGACCCGTGCCGAACACCTTTCTTTTTCGTGTGTTTTGGATGTGTTGCTTTGATGTCATTGTTCAGAATCTATTCTCTCCGTGATTCCCTTTCCGTCGTGATTGTGATGCGCTCTACCTTGAATAGCTCGGGCCCAGAGACTTTCTCTGAACCATGTTTCGCTTTTCGAACATGCGCTGAGTGAAAATCGGGCCTCGTCATTTAATCTGTTTCGCGGGGTATGAGTAGTGAAAAGGAATGTGGTATGATGCTTTGAATGGTTCGTGTAGCCGCCGACTAGTGTTTGAGGAATATGATGACAGCTGAAACGATCGGATCTTCAGCATGCCATGCATACCCATTCCTCATCGTGCCGAGTCCTCGGTACGATCTGGATAGTTCCCCATAAACCCGATTGAAGGGGGGTAAAGATCAAGCTCAATAGCCCGGGATACCTGAACCAGCGCATTCCCAATACGATGTCTCGCAGCAGCGACTCCGACTCTCACAGTCCAATTTTCAGTGCCCGTGGTTCCCGGCTTGCTCAAACCGTTACCCCTCTGCACTGGAGATCGGCCGAGTGGAGTCGGACTGACTGGCGGAGTAATGAAGAGATGGGTGGTTAATCAGATTCCAGATTGGGCCTTGCCATTTTTGCGAGGGGACACGCAGACTCTGGGCATATCATTGGTCTGACATGTCCTTAGGGGACCCGGTCGGGTCTAGAATTTGGGCGGAGATCGGATTGTTTCATCTTCACCCGCGATCGGGGCTCTCGTCACACTGGGGTTACCCTCTGTTTTTTTGGTGTCTTCGTACAAGGACGCATTACGCATTGTCGAGAGAACACCACAGTACGTAACTGCTGGAACAAGAAGATCGAGTTGAAAATAAAGAACGGATTATTTGAGGTTTCATCGACGATGATCGCCACCAGAAGCCACAGACCCACCCGAAATAAAAGACGCGGTCCGGTGAGGGAAGAGAAATCCGCTGCGGAAACGTCATTTGGCGAACAGGGCCCCTGTCATCTCGGGCCCGTTATACAACGAGCCCAGTGAGATCCCTGAGATTTTCCAGCTGCAGGCCCCATCTCGCACCCAATCGCATCACCCGCAGGGACCCGCCAGGCACACAAAAGCCGACTGCAGATTCAATCTGACCGGTCCAGCGTGGCAGGGCGTGGTTTGCAAAGACGCCGACCCCCTTCTTGGGTTATTTCTCGGGCGCGATGCGAAACACACAATGAGAGACGGCTCGAAAGAAAGAATAGGCTTCGGCCTTCTGCCAGGTACCAATGGGTGGGGCCTGGCTCCAACTACCGTCGATTGGCTCTCGGCTCAGCCGCTAGGTTGAGATGGCACAGATTCAGCCCCTGCGCCATTCGCGCTGGCGCAACCTGGTGCTCCCAATCAGCAGTCCCCGGGCCTCCCGGATCAGGTACCCTTAACAGCGAATTCGATTTGTAGAGGCACAATTCATGAATCAATCCAGGATGTAAAATAAAAGTACGGAATCTACCGAGTGGAGAGCGAGAGTGGAAACGGTGGCTGTGGCCAGTCCACGGGTTTGTGGAAGGTTGGTGGGTCAACCGAACGGTTTTTGGCGACCCCCGTATTTAATTCCTCCTCCCCCCTTCTTTCTCTCTCTATCCCCAACGGTCCTTTTATTTCGTCTGTACACTCACGCTCCTTTGAGTGCATTCGATCGTCTTTCCTGCTGTGCAGTGATCCAATCATTCAATACACCACCTTCCTTTGAAAGAATTCAAATCTTACACAATGGCCCCCATCGCTAAGACCATTGCCCTCGCTGGCGCTCTCTACTCCGTCCTCGGCTTCGCTGCTCCCATGCAGAAGCGCGCCGTTGTGTGGGAGACCGTCACTGACATCGTCTGGACCACCATCGATGTCACCACCACTCTTTACCCCCAGCAGCTCGACGCTGCCACTGCTACCGTCGCCCCTGTGACCACCGCCGCTCCCGCTGTTGCTGCCGTCACCACCACCCAGGCTGCCCAGCAGCAGCAGGCCCAAAAGGAGGCTGAGCCAGAGCCCACCTCCAGCAGCTCCACCTCGACCGTCGCTCCTGCTCCCGCTCCCGCTCCCACCGAGCAGCCCACCCAGGCTCCCGCTCCCCCTGCCGCTGTGCCCACCACCAGCGCTGCCCCCAGCTCCACCTCTGAGGCTCCCGCTCCCGCCAGCTCCAGCAGCTCCAGCAGCTCCTCCCAGGGCTCCGGCTACGACGGCTCCTGCGACGAGAGTTCGCCCTGCACCGGCCAGATGACCTACTACGACACCGCTACCACCTCGACCAACCCCAGCGCCTGCGGCACCACCAACGACGGCGAGACCGAGTTCGTGCTCGCCCTGCCCCACGGCATCATGACCGACGGTGACTGCGGCAAGAGCGTCACCATCGAGTACAACGGCGTCACCAAGACCGGCACGGTCGTCGACAAGTGCATGGGCTGCGACAACACCTCCATCGACCTGTCCCGCGCTCTCTTCGGTGCCTTCGCCTCTCTCTCCGAGGGCCGTCTCTCCGGTGCCAAGTGGTACATCAACTAAACTCCCTGCCCACGTCGATCATGCGCGTTACGGAGTTTCTGGGTTTTTATGAAAATTTAGGGGACGATCTCTGGTAGATTGGACAAGTCTCACATATCTCTTATGGTCTCGATGACTATTTTCTGCTATTCTTCACTTCTTTCTCGACTATCTCTCTCCGAGATGCTCGGGCCCTCTTTTATCCTTCTTCCATTCTCTTATGAAACACCCTTTTTTATCCGTGCACCCAGTGGGTTGCGTGTTTTTTGAACTTTTCTCTGTTCATAGAATTTATCTCTTCTTCCCGGAGACTTGTGTCAATACTACCTGCGATACTACCCATCCAAAAGTGCCTCCGCCTCCCGCCTCCCCATTTTTCATGTACTGGGGTGAGTATGTAACCGTCTGGATGCATGTCTCATTCCTGTGCTGGGGAGGTGTGATGATCTACACGAAGACCATGCTTATGTGAAATGGAGAAAAGAATGATGCAATGCACGGCGATTGGAAATGGCTTTGATTAGCTTCCGGTTTGAATGCGATTGAACCAAGTTCGTTCTTTACACTTCATCTGTCGTATTCTTCAAGTGCCTATTTAGCGGCCCTGAGACATGTAAGACTGCGTGCTGGAATTAGATCAAGACATGCTGAATCGTGTCCAATCATGTCCTTCGACTCGCTTTCTCCGGAGCTAACCTCCCCCAATGCTTGCTGATCCACATTCCACAGCTCATGTGTCTGCCGAATTGAGCAATACCCCTGAAACTTGTGGCTGTGCTGGGGCTGGTTGAGACCGATCGAAATAGGACTTCTCCGTACGTGACATTTTGTTCCAACGAGCAGAAAGTTGAACAGCGGAATAAAGATCCCTTGGGTTTTTTAATATAGAGCACATTCTACGTAGACCGTGCAGTTCCTGCAGGGCCCAACCTTGAATCTGTCTACCCACTTGTCCGCCTATCACTCAGAAACAAGATTATTTCTCAACGTGTCTACCCCAGAAATCGACGTATCCTCTGCGTCCCGGGAATAGGATAGATCTGCGGGTTAAAAAGAATGAATGGGAAGGGTAGCGGTGTTCGCCCTGCTTCGTTGACTATATACTTCGTTACCTTCGACGTGAGATATTGTCGCCGGACAGCTTATAACCCCGTACTTTCCCCGCGGCCCGAACTACAATTGGGGATGTCTTCCAGTGTATCCCTCTCCTGCAAGAAGCAGTCTGCATTGTATCATACTTCAAAACACATCTACCACGTTGACAATATCGTCTCCTGGGCAGAGACGAAGGCTTAATTGAATAGTATGCACGGGGACTGGGCAACACAGCGGTATCTCAAAGACAATGTGCATATACGTGTGTTTATTTGCCCTGCGTATCAATACGAAGCACCTGCAGCTGATCTATAAAGTGGCATGAGTTCTCGGCGGATGCGCAGTGTATTTCCGCAGGCTCATCTGCGCCATTCCGAGGGAGACAACCTCACCCGTTTATCACGTCGTCTCCGGGAACGGGCGTTCGATCATCGGGGATGGGGAACACGAGTGCAAAGCGGGTAACATATTTGCATTCCCTCGTGGTACAAGTACCAGCTTTGCGCACGAGAAAGTAAATTTGTACCGGTTGGATGACCGAGCTATGCTCGACGCCTTGGGATTTCCATCGCTCCGATGAAATGGACGTGGAAGCGCTGGTCTCTGGCCGAGAGTTCTCCTGTTGATCTCCGGTTGATCTTGGCCGATCTCCAGGTCTAGACGGTAGTGACAATCTAAGAAAGTTGTGTGACGGATCTCAGCCACAACGTAGATTGCGTCTGCGGATTATTTTCATGTCTATCCCCGGGTCCGTTCGCCCCACTGTTTGACGGAGCCATCGCAGGTGTCGCGTCACCCCCCAATTCCTACCCGAGGCTGGTCCCAAGGTTCCACGCTTGGCGTAGAGCTTCAATTTTGGGTCCGGGCGAAGCAACCCCACGAGGCCTCCTCTTGCACAGTAAGCCGATTACGGGCCATGAGGGTTGCGCTAGTGTGAGGCGATGTCTCTCGAATCCCCAGCTCATGTACAAAATTAGGTACCAAGCCACCTAGGAATAGAACAGACACAACCAGTAAATATGTGTCACATTTAATTCAGCCCTTGGGGGCAAGTTGTGAGTTCTGGAGCCCTTAACCCTTAAGGGCCGGGGTTCAGGGGCAGACCCACTAAACACACGCCGAGGTACTAGTTACCTCGTTATCCCGTGCTACGCACTCTAAGAGAGCCCTGGCAATTTAAAAATTAATGAGCAAATTAACACACATCGCACTGCAATCTAACTCGCTATCACAGTGACATGTAACCCGAATCTCGCGGCTCGGGCTCCCCCCTAAAAGGCTACTGGTGGCACCCTCAAAGCTGATGGCTGACCGATGATCAAAGAACCGACCCAATCAGTTCCCGTGAATGGGGTCCCATTGTATGCAAGGCCGCGGAGTCCGCCAAAGACCTCCCCTCAAATCAGCTTCACGCTCCTTTAATGATCCATCAACGGGCCCACTTGAAACTAGCGATGGCCGCCGCCCATCTTTGCCCTCGCGGGCAAATCCAAGGCTGCCGTTCCTTCCAGGTGGACTCGCCCTAGAGTAGGGTGTTTCAGCCTCTGCAACGCAAGGTGGCGAATGGCTGGCTATTGGACCGCTACGCGGTCCTCTCCGCAAAGAAAGTGTTCCTGGATGTTCCTGTGGAATTGCCCGAGCCGGGTGTCTCCACACTATGGCCGTCCGTACTTATATACCGCAAAGATGATCTTTCCCCCACGATTTTCCTTTCAAGCAAGTCTTCTCTCTCACTCTTTTTCGTGCTGTGCACTCCTTTTGCAGCAAAATGTTCGCCCTTCCACTCGTACGTCTATATCGATATCTGGGCATGGAGCTATCTGATCTTGGCTAACCTTTTCTCCTCTAGCTTCTCGCTGCTGGCAGCCTCCCCCTCATTTTTGGGGCTCCAGTGCCATCCTCTCTCTTGCTCGAGTCTAAGGATACAGTGTCCACTCACTCTCTCAATGGACGCAGCAGCAACTTGTACTCTGCAGTTTTCGGCGGCGACGGTTTGGTGTCGGACGGCTGGCCCGCTTTGGACCAATGGATCTCGAGCTTCGACGATATGTTCGAAAGCAACCGCGATATCATGAAAACGAGCTGTGCTCAATTTGACGTGGAGAACAACTCCGATCAGGAGATCGATGACATCAAGAGCGCTATCAGCTCCATCGCTGAGTCTACCGGTGTCGACTCCCGCTTCATCCTGGCTATTGTTATGCAGGAGAGCAACGGTTGTGTCCGTGTCAAGACTACCAACTACGGCGTCAACAACCCCGGTCTGATGCAGAGCCACGACGGAACTGGTTCTTGCAACGAGGGAACCCCTATGACCCCCTGCCCCATGTCCGAGATCCACCAAATGATTCAAGACGGTACCGCGGGTACTTCTTCCGGTGCCGGTCTCAAGCAGTGCATTGATCAGTATGGTGGTACCGGCGACGTGACCAACTACTACAAGGCCGCTCGCTGCTACAACTCTGGATCAATTGCCTCCAGCGGTAACCTGGGCGCGGGTATTGCTACTCCCTGCTACGTTTCGGACGTCGCCAACCGTCTCCTGGGCTGGTCCAGTGGTGCTAGCAAGTGCTCCGACAGCTCTGTCGCCGACTTGACCGGCAGCAACTGGAGTGGTCAATCTTCCTCTGACAGCAGCGACTCTGGCAGCTCCAGCTCCAGCTCCAGCTCTAGCTCTAGCTCCAGCTCCAGCTCCTCCAGCGCTGCTCCTGAGCCAACCACTTCCGCCCCCGCTGTCGCAACCCAGTCTGCCGTGCCTACCATCACCCAGAGCGCTGCCCCCGTCGCCACCAGCAGTGCAGCTCCCACTGTGCAGCCCAGCGCCGCATCCACCGTGGCACCCACCGTGACCCCCTCTTCAGCCGCCGCACCAATGTACCCCCAGGCTATCTCATCCTGCAAACAGTACACAACCGTTACCGCCGGCGAATTCTGCGACTTCGTCGACACCCTCTTTGGCATTTCCCTGTCCACCCTGCAAAGCCTGAACCCAGGCCTGGACGATTCATGCTCAAATCTGTGGCTGGGATACCAGTACTGCGTGAAGGCATGATTTGACTACTCATTTCGGTCCTTTTTTATCTCCATTTTTTTTGGTACTTCGTTCCCTTCGGGGCCTTCTTTTGTATCCTACAGACTCCATCTTGACGGTGGAGGGTGAACATTTCTCGAAAAGATGTCTTTGAAAGACAGTTGGCATTTTTCACTGCACATGCAGACCGGACTAGGCAGGTCTTAGTCTTGGTCTCTATTTAGCGAGCCAGCACGATTTTACGATTCTGATACCACTGCGTTTCTGCATGGATATTCAACACATTCTCTTCATACTACGTCTCGATTGTAATCGTATCGTAATCTTGTGTTTCTTGTATTGGAAAAGACGTAAAGAGATAAAATAAAATAAAAAAGCAGGGTTGTAATGCTAGGCGGGTCTACCGGTCTTGCATGTCTCTCCGATTCTAATGCAGCTTTATTGCGACATGCGGGGGAATGCTGTGCTTTGTTCTGCATTGCCCCGAGACTGCCAGTAAGGCGTTGGAATGTGTCGCGGGGGTGGGGTTGGGCGGGCGTCAAGCGGCGTGGTCTTATTCGTTTTCGGATTGTCACACAATGCGAACAGCCCCTGGCGGGTTGTTCCACCTATGCAGTCCAGATGCAAAGTACTTTATTCATTTTCTGCATGTGCTGTTCTTGCTCGGTTGTGGTTGGTTCGTTTTGGATTTTCCTGTGCTGACGTCGTAGTACTTATACTGATGGGAATCATGCGGAGTATACATGAAATGATCCTTGGCGCCTAAAAAACTTGGAGTCGGAGTCAAGTCTGGTCCGCGGGTCAAGACTGAGAAACATGTTGGAATGATGTAGAGAGCGCATACGAGGTCTGTACTACAGTTCTTGCTATATTAAGTCTTCCACTTCAAAGGCATCGATGAAAGGTCATTCAACTATAGTCTGGTAGACAGTGCCTTACATAGCCTGTTCGCTGTTATGCAGTCTTCCGTTATTCAGATAAAGGCGCTTTTGTCCGTTGATCCAGGTTTCTGATCCAGGTTTCTGATCCGGCTTGAGCACTCGCAGGGATGATATAGAACTGAATATATGGAGTATTAGCTACTTCAATTACAAATATGCTCTCGTCACCATTCCGACTCCATATAACACTCCATCTCCCTAGCCAAACTAGCCCGATGGGCAATCTTCACCAACAAGGGCGCCATCCCTGCATGATTACACTCCGGCTGGGACCGCTTCTCCAGCAACACACTCCTCTCCTCACGCTTCTCAAAGCTAAACCCTGGCGTGATTTCAACACAATTATACTGCGCATCCGCACCACGCAGAGCACAAATCTCGTTACTCACACAATCTCCCTCACACCCCGGCACCTCAAACCCGCGCGTGCGTCTGGCCCAAAACTCCTGGAAGAGAGCATCATCTTTCTCCATCGCCACAGTAACATTATGCCAAAAAGCTGGTGTCAACTCACCCCCTTGGAACGGAACCTCCAACTTACTCCCATAAGCCTTTTTCGCCGAATAATATTCCACCCACTGCGGCTCCGTCTTCAAATCAGTAATATTAGCAATAAACTGCGTAAAGTCCAACACAGCAAACGTAACAGGATCAACCTCATAAACCCTAAACGAAGGCGGCCCCGACGTCGGCGTCATCGAAGGCGCAACATATCCCATACCCGTCGCCGTATCCCAGGTCCGATGCTCATAATCAGAATAGGAAATTTGGAACTCATCCGTATGCGTATGTCCGAAGAACAAACCCGCGATTGTAGCCTCGTACCGCTCGACTATCTGGTCCAAGTAGTGCGAGTAGTCGTGGAAATGGTCTGCATTGCCGCTTGGGATGTGAGCGATGAGCCAGACGCGCTCGGAGGCGGACTCGGCGGCGGAAAGCTCGGAGATTAGCCACGCGAGCTGTCCGTCTGGGTCGAAGGCCATTGGTTCTTCGTAGGAGAAGAAGTTGTATTTGTAGTAGAACATGCTGTTGTAGGAGATTATGCGCAATTTGGTGTTTTTGTGGAGGGCTGAGTAGGAGCCGTACTCTTTTGCGGTGGAGATGGCTGGGTTGTTGGAGGTTAGGGCCTGCCAGGCGGTCGTTAGGGTGTCGTAGGCCCATTGGGGGTTGTAGGTGCTTGGGATGTTGGTTGTGGGGAAGAGGTTCAGGGGTGCGGCGTCGTGGTTTCCTATGGCAGCGTAGACCAGGCCGAGGGTTGATTCCATGGCGCCGTAGGTTACATTGAAGTCTTCGAGGACTTCGGCTTTGGTTATTTCCCACACGTCGTGGGCGGCGACGTCGCCTGTGTAGATTGAGAAGGCGGGGTCGAGGGAGGCGATGGCGTTCATCATGCTCTGTTGGAGTTGACGCGGTGGGTCGCATTTGGCGTTGCCCCAGGGGCCGCATGGAGATGAGGTTTTTCCCGGGGCATCGTCTTCGGTGTATGCTCGGCAGCAGATGGGTTTGGTGCAATCGAAGCTGGAGCCGGTCTCGTAGAATAGGTCGACATGGGTGTCGCTGAAGTGGACGACTTTAATCGGGGGTTTCCCGCTTGGTGGTGGTCGACTTGTTTTTGGTTTCGGTGAAGGGAAGGGTAGATTATACGGTCGAACCGCTGGATAGTCGCAAAGACCGACCAGATTGGAGCAGAACGTTTTGGCTGTGTGGGAGCCCAGTTCTAAGTTCCTGAGAGAGTAGTACACCGCTGGCCCTTCGGCTGCGATGATACCGGAGCAGACGTCAGAGTCTTCGGCCTGTTTTCTCTATCAGCTTAGGTAGTTCGCAGCCACAGGAAGAAACTCACACCACTGATATCACACACACCAGTCAGAACATCCTGCAGGAAAGATTCACCAAAATCAGCAACGAGCTTGAGACCACCCAGAAGAGCCTGGTTACAAAGGATACCATTAGCCGGAGGTCATGTAGGTATTCGCTTTTATTAGCTGTACCTGGCAACTGGCACAGTCCACGGCCTCCTTGAAATCATCCCAAATGGCGGTGATCCAGATATCAGCATTTGCTTGGACGCCGCTCAGCGACGCCAGAGGGGCAAGGGTAGCCAAGAGCACGGCCTGCTTCATCTTGGAGGAATGAGACTGGGAAAAGTGCCTTCAGTGGCAGTCTCAGCGAAATTCCAGAGAGGTGAAATGGAGACTCGCTTGACCTGAAGTCAACTGATTTGAAGCCTGCATGGCTTATATACCTCGTACTCAAGCGAGAAGATACATGCCTAGGATTTCACAGGTGATTAGTTTACTTCGCTTAGGAGCGGAGATGTTCCTGCAGCTAGTTCATCTAGAATAAGCGAAGCGATCATGCGGAACGTAGTCCATGTAAGTTGGCTGCGTTCTGCATCGACGGGCGGACCGCGCATCCCCGTCGGTGCAAGCAAATGTCTCAAGCTACTCTTTTAATAGAACCATATAAAGAGAACGTGGAATCGGTGTTATGGAACGGAACTTAATGCAAGCCGATCGGGTGAGTGAGAGGGGAATGGCAAGGGCTTACCCGAATGAGGGCTTGTGCCAAGCAGCTAGCGGGTTGGCATCTGCAGCCTGCACGGTGAAGTCATTTCAAAGTGGTTCTCGGGGTCTAGTTATCGACCGTGAAGATGAAGCTTGAATAATCACATGAAAAGGTGCCGATAAACCGATTGATAACGAGTAGTTCACTGAGCAGTTCTATATGGAGCCTTATGATAAGATCATCGGGCGTAAGCTAATCTAGCTGCAACGCCAAGCTCATGGCCCACGTGATAAGCTCTAGGAATGTCAGATCGTAGATCTGTTAGCTTTGGCTGAATACAGTGCCCTAAGGTAGGTTGTGGTTATCGGTAGGATTGAAGTAAAAATAAAGATTAGAAGTGAAATATATTGCAAGCTCGCAGACCCTCGAAATGAAATGTATGGCTGTGTCAATAACAAAAACCATCTATATAGACTTCACAAGATAGACAGCACAAAACTGACCTACCCGGGAAGATCGGATACGGTGTTCTCGTGTCAAAACGGAGAATAAAGCCTAACCAAAGAGTGGCCCAGGGCTCTATCCCGCCACGTACTACCTCACCAACACCGTTCGGGTAAGCGGAAGCTCACGCTCGGATTTTAACCGACCTGCCTAAAGCGCTCCCGGTGCAACTCGTAGAGCCAGGGGAAGAGCTCCTCGAGAAGGTGGCGTCGACCTTGATTTGGCAAACGTCGTCACCGGCGTCCCGGTCGACGGGACGAGAAGTCTCTCTTTTCGTTGACAAGGGGTGGAATCTCGATTCGCAGAGCAGAGTAACAAGACAGCATTGCCGAAGAGATAATAAGAATGAAAACGAGACCGAGAACGAAGACAACAGGAACAGTGGCGGTGAATAGACCCTTTTGAGGGAAAACGGTCTTTCCGATCGCGGGGGCCAATAACACTCGACGATCCCGGTCGCAAATGCGAATTTGTCACCGCTGGTCTTCGATCTACTTGTTGAATCTCCCCTCTGTCTCTGTCTCTCTCTCTGTTTCTCTGTCGATTCGACTAGTTCATTTTAACCCCATCCACTCCGAAGCTCACCTCTCGGACCCTTTTACCCCGGATTCGCCATCTTTACGCTTCTTTCTCCTCACACAAGGCACAGGCACAAGACCATGGAGCTTTGCGACCCGGACACGACTCCTCCCTCCGTGATGCAGTAACCCGCCAAGTCTCATCGTTTCTTCGACGCTACATTTAAGACCTACGACCCCAGCTGCTCGCCGCCGCGGCGGTGCGCCCGGTCAAGATGGAGACGCGCCGACCGGCCACCCTCGGTGTCTCGATCACCTTCTTCGTCACCGCCAGCGTCTTCGTCGCCCTGCGGTTCATTTCGCGCATCTTTGTCGTCCGTAAGATTGGGTTACACGACTGGTTGATGCTGCTCGCATGGGTATGTGGGATTTTCCAGGCCTGGACCCTGCATGTTGCCGGGGTTGGAGGGCGTGACGCGCCCCCAATTGACTGGCACCAAATGCGCCCGCCAGGTCGATTGCGCTTTGGATCGTTGGCTAATGCTATCTAAGATAATTGACTTTGGCTTTTCATTCTCGCTGTTCTACGCGACTTACAAAGGACTCGGTCTCCATGCGAGCGACGTCCTACCTGAGAACGAGGAAGCCCTCAACAAGGCCAACTATGCCTTCACGGTGCTCTACGTGAGTATACCCCCTCATACATCGGGTCGCATGCTGACGGGGTTAGAATCCGGCACTGATGGCCGTCAAAACCTCGATCCTCGTATTCTACTTGACCTTGACGCAAAACCAGAAATTCTTCCGACGGGCCAACTATGTCACCCTGGTCGTTGTCAATGCGGCAGGCTTCGCCTTGACAATGGTCAATGTCTTTCAGTGTCATCCCGTCTCCGCAGCCTTTTACTCAACGATCCCCTCTTCTGCGAAATGTATCAACATCGTCACGCTCTACCTCTCCTCGTCTCCTGTGAACATCGTCACCGACCTGGCGATCCTTTTTCTCCCCATACCACTCTTGACGCAGATGCGTCTGCCATATAAGCAAAAATGGATCCTCGTCATTACTTTCAGCTTTGGTTTCTTCGTTGCTGTTGTCGATGTCATTCGAATCGCTTTCCTCCAACAAGCTGCTACCTCTCGTTCAATGGCTGTGAAGACGATTCATCTTCAGAATGCTGACGGCGCAGACTTCAGCTGTATGATCAATCCGTTTGATGATTTCTGGCATGGATTGAGCTAATTTGGTGACTTTTGTAGGGTACGCATCGCTCTCATTCATGTGGTCAGTTGTCGAAGTCAATATCTCAATAATATGCGGCTGCGTCCCAAGCCTCAAACCTCTCGTCTCTCGTCTCATGCCCAAGTTGATCAGAGGCAGCAATGACACTCAAACCAGCCCACGAAACAATTATGCAACAGGAGAAAGCCCGGTCGTTTTGCCTCCAGCAGCAGCGACCCTGGGGGGCCCTTCTGCCTCAACATCGCCAGCAGACAGCAACGGAAGCAAACCCTCACAAAACAGGAGTGGAAACACGGCCCGGCGACGAGAGTCGAGTGCTCCTATGAGTATGATGGATTTTTTAGGCCACCCAGAACCTCGTCCTTCCGATGCCGAGGCATACACCCATACCACTACATCCGGCTATCCTCCTAACGTCAGGTTCTTCGATTTCGTCAACGTAAATAATCCAGAAAGTATGCTCAAGCTGAATAACAGAGAGTCAATTGCACCTATCGCATTGACTACTCTCCTGTTCTTTTTGTGGGGTTTCGCATATGGATTGCTTGACATCCTCAATACACAATTCCAGACTATTGTCAGCCTCAACGCGTGGCATTCACTGGGTCTCCACGGCGCCTACTTTGGTGGGTACATGGTCGGTCCTCTGCTAGTCGGCAGGCCGGTCTTGAAGATTTGGGGGTTCAAGTCTACGTTCATCACGGGGCTTTGCATCTATGCTTGTGGAGCCCTGGTCTTTTGGCCATCCGCTGTCCTCACTTCCGCAACCGCGTTCACAATCTCAAATTTCATTGTTGGTTTTGGTCTTGCTGTTCTTGAGACTGCAGCCAACCCTTTTATCGCTCTTTGCGGACCCCTTGAGAACTCTGAGATTCGACTCAATATCTCCCAGGGTGTACAGGCCATTGGCAGTGTCGTCTCGCCGCTACTTGCAAAAAAAGTCCTCTTTAAGAATGTCCAGGATGTCGCCTCGCTGGTGAATGTTCAATGGACATACCTTGGCATCGCTCTCTTCGACGTCCTCTTAGCGGTCGCCTTCTATTACATGCCAATCCCCGAAGCATCCGATGAAGACCTTAAAGAACTAGCAAATCGCCGCCGAGAAGACAATATGACCAAGGTCCTCGGCATTCCCGTGGTCTGGTTGACCCTTGGTCTGGGTATCTGGTCACAGTTCTTCTACGTGGCTGGACAAGAAGTCCTCTCAACCAGTCTGGAACGCTTCGTCATGAGTGCAAACGACCGCACTTCTCTCACTCCATTCGATATCCTGACAATAGGCCACAGCGTATTCGCCATCGGGCGCTTCCTTGCCGCTTTCACGCAATGGTTCCTAAAGCCCCGCTGGATTCTACTGGTCTCCTACATCGGCATGATCTTCTTCTCCATACTCTGCATGAAAACCACCGGCTCCGCCGCAATAGCCATGGCAATGATGGTCTACCTATTTGAAAGCGGCGCCTACAGCATCATCTTCGCCATATCCCTCCGCGGCACCGCCCAACACACCAAAACCGCCGCAGCGTTACTCACCGCGGCAGTCAGCGGCGGAGTCTACTTCCCCTTCGCTGAGTACGCAGCCTACCTTTCCCATGGCACCCCGTACTCATTCTGCGTCCTCGTGGCCGCCTTCTCCGCGGGTGCTATCTTCCCCTTATACCTCAACCTCGTCCCTGCCGTCAAGAAACAAGTTGACCCAGTACCTAACGAGTACCTCCGCCGCCACCGACGCCGCAGCCGCACCGCTGTCAGCACCGTCCATCGCGAGAAAGAGAACCCGTCCTTGGGCGGCGTCCTCTCGCGCCGAAGAAGTCTCGTCTCCCATCCAGACCTCATGCCCGATCTTCCCATGCCAGGCGAGACACATCAAAGCCCGCAATACCGCAGCACCGGGCACTCCGTATCGCCATCCAATTCTAATGCGAATTCTTCGTTAGAGTCTTCAAAGCAGAAGGATTCTCCGAGCGGGTCAACACGATGACACGATTATGACCTACAAAATTTTGACTCCCGAATTGTACATACTTAGTACTCGATTCTTTTGATGACCCCAAGATACCCTTTTTCAGCTCGCTGTTTAACGAGTTTTATCTTTTGGCTTGAATTCTAATTGATACCTTGGTTGCTATATATCTTGGGTGCTCGATTTTTTAGCATTTAGCGTTGGCGTTTTGGTGGTTAAAAGGTAAAAAGGTTGATATGATTGCACAGTGTATTTTAATTCAACGAAATCATGATTTGATACTCAATGCTCGTTCCATAGCCTCGATGCTCTAGGTAATCTCTTGTGTCTGGTGAGACACTCCTTATTCATTTCATCTTGAAGAATCGAACCAGACGGTGTCCCTTAAGGGCAGTGTCCATGCACGAGAAGGTGCATGTTTTCCCTCGGAAACAGGTGTGGGCGCTCAACCAGCATGTAATTGCACGGCGGCCGCGACCTTTGAAAGTTTTTTGATGGCTCTGCCCCAGCGACCTTCAACAGCCTTGATAAAGTTATAGCAATCCGGCACTGTCATTCGAGGAAACCCTGAAAGTCTCTAAGAAATATAAATGACTCGTTCGTAGCATCTTAGTCATTTTCAAGTGACGGGTTGATTTCGTCTTTTTAGCCACCATGTAGGGGCCCGAAGCGCAGCAAGGTCGCATAATGAGGTACAAGCTCAACCGTCTTGTGTGAATTTTGGGTTGTTTTCATGAGGCTCAGCGAAGACCTTTTTCCAGTGATCCTCGACCCACTGACAAAGACCTGGCTTGCCCTTCCACGATTCAAAGACCGTTTCCAGATCGCAGGTCGACCGCTTTATTACTTCCCAGTAAGCCTTTTCCACGTCAAATCCGAGTCGTTGGAGAACTTCCGGGGGACCTTGCCATATCCGTATATCTGTCCCGTTCTCATTGACCGTAGGTGACTCCGAACCCGCATTGAAGGCGTTGTCTCCGGGGTTGAATTTCGGATAATTTGCGTGGACAAAGAAGATAGGTGGAGCAGGGGCCACGGAGGGATCCTTTACTCTCCATTTGCCCTGCGAGGTAAGGACATAATCTTCTCGTGGGTCCGATTGGACCATAGTCGACCCCGAAAACTTGGTTGTATCTTTATGCCCAATTGCTTGCACTTTCTCACTCACAGTATAAAAGGGAGCTTTAAGTGCACCGGCGGCAGCGATAAAGGTCTCTTTGTCTCCTTCCCCGGGTCCTCCCTGGGTGAGTAGTCTGAAGTAGTGAGACGGACCGTAAAAATTGTAATAGGCAGCGAGCAATAGCGGAAGGAAATGTGTTTTCTTTGAAATAAGAATAACACCGGCCTCGGTCGATTGGCGGGTAGTCATATGCGGGATCTCTTGTTTCGAAACCTGATAATATACGGGAGACGCCGAAGAATACCAGAAATCGGGCCAGGTGACCATACCGATTGAGGTGTATGGCTCCGAATCAAGTAGATCCTCGGGTTTGTCTAGCGGAAAACAATCCGCATCCATCCAGATCATATCCTCGAAAGAGGAGAAAAGCATAGCAAAACTCTTGAGCTGATAGTGTTCAATGGCCTCGTTGCCCATAACATCGCTCATTATTAAGCATTGCGCATTCATGCCTGGAAGCACATCATTGCAAAGGTGTTTCTCATACTCGTCTGCATCTTTCATATATACCTCGACCGGCAATTCGGACCCAGTTCGACGAAGCATAAGAAGCGAGTTAACAAAGACCGGCAGATACGCCGCGCCAGCCGTCGATACAATTCCTCGCGTTCCTAGGGTATGGACGGGTTTAAACTCTCGCCCCGGTTTGGTGATTTCCTTTAGGAATTGGTCGTGAGACCCTTCCAGCAGCCAGAGACACTCCTCGGTCAATTTGGACAGGTTAGGTCGAGGAATCTCCTCGGTGGGGTTGAAATGGATTGAGGGTGCATTTTCCTGTCTCACCGGGGGCGGACAACCGGGATTATAACGAGTGAGGAGGGGGTGGAAGTCTTTCCAGAAGTCCTTTTGGCGTTCGACTAAGGGGACCTCGAAGGCAATGCTAGGGACGGTAGAGATAGTGGGCGATGCGATGGTTGGGGTCCAGTAGAGATAAACCATGCACACGAGCAAGGCGGCCAGCATAGCGGAGAAGATGGACCTCGCCTGGCCCAGCCTAACGAAACCCATGGTGGATGGGTCCCAGCCGAGGCTAGGAAGTGGGTGCGTGTGGCTAGCTCTGGCGTCACGGAGCTCGGCACAACAGTGTACAATATGTTCTGAGGTTCCGGAGAACTGGAGATACAGGGGGTTCGAGCGAGCCGATGGCGCACGTGCGCCGATAATGAACGGGCTAGTTGGGGGACAATCAGGAGAGTTGGAATTATTGAATTAAAGGCGGGGACTGAATATTCAAAGAGAAGGATGGTTGGAACGGGAATGAACTGGATAGGGGAAGAAAAGAGGTGGAGTTAACGGGGAGCGGCTACCGCTTCGCATGAATCGAATCGAATTATCATTGAACACGATGATTCGTACGAATTCGTATTCAAGACCGGTTTGAATTAGATTCGAGATTCGGGAACTTTTTATACGAAGCCTCATTTGGAAGGCGGTAAACTAAGACTGGCAGTACCGTAAGACAATGCTGGGAGTAAAGTACATATGTTAAGATATATTGCAAGAGAATGTAGCAAAAATTGAACTAAAAACTTGAGTCGCCAGCATTTCATTCCCCTTAATAACAAGCGACGGTTGGCACACCGAAGACGAACTCTACATGGCGCCGGGCAGTTTAGAACTGTTTTCAACAACCCTATCTAACTTAACCATTATAATCCGACAAAAACCACTGAACGCTAACATATATATTTTGATGTTTTTACAAACGGTTTCGCGATCGCAATATGTACCTTGCGCACGAGGAAGATCGTACAGGAAGAAAAAAGAGAGGTCTCTGCTAGTAGGTGGCCGGTTTATACGCACTCCGTGGAAAAGGACTGACTAGTATCGAACGCTCCAGCCCATCTTCTATTAGATGGTCCACCAGCCCCACTGACCGTTTTACGGGACGAAGGTGATATGGTCATCAAGGGATCGGGAATAAAAAAAAATCATGATTTGATACTCTCTATAGCCTCGATGCTCTAGGTAATACCAAGCGTCATGTGCAGGGCGCAGCAGCGCCGTCCAATAAAATCTAGAATAGTCAGGTGCTTGGTGGGTCATCACATTGAATGCCAACGCAGAGCAGTACCCCTGTCTGAATGAGGCTCAGAGCAGCGACCCCGCGCCGTAAGTTATAAAAGATCGCACCAGTCACCTTCGTCTACCACAAACTTGATCTAAGGCCTTTGCTTTTGTACTACCGCTCAAACCACTATGGACCCAGCATCTATCAGATCAGGCAAACAGCGAGCATCTCCGATAGCAAATAACCCAGAGGACTTCGGATTGGGAGCCTGGGCGAATGAACGTCCGTCAACTATACTGACACGGTCGGATATTGAACAGGAATTCAAGAGCCACAATCGGGATCCGGCGGATTTTGAGGAGTTCTATTTCAATAAATTATTTGAACAAATTCTTCGGGGCGATATGAGTTCGTTGAATCTCATCGGACTCTTTAGAGTCGATGTCAATATGATATCAAGGCGCCATGGAAGCCTTCTCTCTTGTGCCGCCAGAGTGGGGTATACAGATATGGTTAGGCTTTTGCTCGATGCAGGAGCGGATGTGAATTTGCAGTTTCCATGCGGTGATTACGGCAGTGCTCTCACTGCAGCGTGCGCGGGAGGCGAAATGGAGAGTGTCAAGCTTCTACTCGACCATGGTGCAGATGTGAATTTGCAGTTGACATCTGGAATATATGGGAGTGCCCTTGCTGCTGCATCACACAACGACAATTTGGAAGCAGTAAAGCTTTTAATCACCAATGGGGCAGTGGTTGATCTTCAGCTTAAAAATGGAGAATTCGGAAGCGCTCTTGCTGCTGCTGCTAACAAAGCAGATTTGAGGATCATCAATCTTCTGCTCCAGGCAGGAGCAAATCCTGCGCTTCCACTCTACAGTGGACCTTACGGAGATGCTGTCTCAAAAGCAATACATGGGGGCAGTTCTGAACTCATCCAAATATTCCTTCAAAGAGGGGCCTCTCTCGGCCCAATGGGAAAAGTTTTATTGAGGAGAAAAGTGTACGAGTCAAAAAAACTTGCCGAAAACCTAACATATATGGGTGTTGAAGTCGAAACTTTTGACTCAACGTCATTACAGCAAACAATTTTTTGGGAGCTTCCAGCCGTTCTTTGGGAGCTTCCAGCCGTTCGTTGGAAGCCTCTAGCCGTGTTGAGCGATGTGAAGGATAGGAAAACTTGGCTGTTCGATTATGGGACGTCAGCCGCGTTGAGCGATGTGAGGGATAAGAATACTTGGTTGTTCGATTATGGGACATTGATCAGGAAAGTGGACACAGTGGAGTTTGATACACTGCACTGTTTCCTTGAAAGATCATACGGAGATTTGGGGCCTCGGGTGTTGCAAGGCCTTGCCAGAGTGTCATCGGACCAGGGGGGCTTTATGGTAAGTTTCTTCATATGCATCTGCAATAGTGCTAAGAATTGTCTCCTAGTTGATGGATACATGAGCCTGAGTGTAGTTCGACGTCCCGCGCGGGCTCCGAAAAAAAGTTTGCATATCGAGACTAGCGCTTCGACGCCAGAACTGTTGGAAATTATGCAACTCATATGCCGTGTGGTTAGGACTCCATCGCCAGATTCAATGTGCCTTTCAACAACAGAAATCAACGGAGATTGTGTGAATCTCAGCAAGCTTTTTCCAATCCCAATCTCTTCAAAAGATAACACTTGCTGGCATGGCCTTTTCGACTCGGCAGTAATTGTAATGCAGCCAAATGTTGAACAAGTTTCCTCGTGTCGGGGATTGGAGTTGGGTTTTAAGAGCATGCTCGGACTGTCGGCGGTCGAATACCCAGTGCTAGTCAACTCTGGTATCATCCTCATGGGTTACTCAACAGCGCTTGTTCCTATCCGTGAGACGGAAGATGGAAGGATTCTGTGGCACTTGGAGATAGCCCAGGATGATTTTCAAATTAAGGTCGCCAATCTCGAAGCAACACAATATGAGTGGCTCCAAACTGAATCTTTGGACTACCTACAGTCAAAGAAAGCCCTGTTGGGATGGTGCTCCCGAGCACAGATTCTTCTCGGAACTGATCGCTTGTCTCCTACTGTGACTTGGTCTTCCGCTCGCAACAAGCCCATCACTTGGAAATGGAAAGGGGCAAATCTACAGGGCGTTTTTCAAACTGCTTCGCCGGTACAGATCGGTCTTCAAGCCGGAGGTTCTTTTGAACGAACGACCAACAGCCTTCGATTTGATCCGTCCGCGATGTATCTGAAGTGCCTGCGAAACAGCGCCGTGGAGCAAATCATCCTGTACGATGTTCGCGAGAAGAGAGCCTGGATGGTCCCGTTGCTCTCCGTCTTGCACCATATGCTGTTGGTCTATACGCACTCCGTGGAAAAAGACTCACTAGTATCGAACGCTCCAAAGGCCGATCTTCGAGCAAGTAGCCCACTAGCATCATTGAACGCTTTACGGAACAAAGGCAATATGGTAATCGAGGGATCGGGGATACACACTCTCACAGTTGCCCAACTCATCATGAAGTTTTCAATCAACATGGGCAGATTATCCCCACAAAAGCCCAAGCGATCCACGATATACGGATATGAATTCATGGACATTGTGATGGACTCGACTCGATCTGAGCTCAAAAAAGAGCATCTGGAAAAGGAAGGCTTGGCCTGGTCGTCTCTTCTGGGTGAAATCAATTGTCTCTTCTGTTCTGGTCTTGGGGAGGCAATCTTTGGTGACCGTGCCCGCAATACGTCCTCGGCCTGCAATATATTACCGAAAGGCAATGATTTCCTAGCTGCATCAATGCAGAGCATAGAGAGGTTATCCATGAGACATGGTGGCAGCGACCAAATGGACATTCGTCGATTATCACACGATCACTTTTGGCAATTGAATGGAACCCCATTCAAGAAATGTGATCATGAAACCCACCAGGGTTCTTGCTGGCGATCCCCTGAGTTTCTACAAGAGATTCAAACTCGCAAATCTTCTAGTCGATCCAATGACCAGATTGTCTACCATTATGCCCACGGCGCCTTGGTTTTCGGTTCATCGGTGAATTCGAGACCGGCCGATCAAGCTTCAGTGCCACTGGCTTTCCTACAAGGCAACCCTGCACGTGGGAACACTCGCGTCTTTCAACCGCCTCGGGTGAACAACGTGTAACTAGCATTCTCCCGGTATTTCTGGTGCTCTCTTATAGACTTTTCTTCAACATTCTTCATCCGACGTTTTCAGTAGACCAATCCTGTACTCCAAGCCCCGGCACCAACAAAAACCCCTATGAAGCCACTCCAGCTATATCAGTTACTATCACCTAGATAGGAAGCGTTCAACGCACGTCCCGAACGATCCCCATCCAATCTTTCTGGCGCCGCAAATTAGACTTCGAATGCACCCCCACGTCACACGAGACAGTCCTCGCGGAAACATGCCATGCGGACCTCCCGGACTACCATCCAAGCAGGCAACTAGAGTTGCGCTCTTCTTCCGAACCATGTTTGGGACCGTTACGGACAGGACGATGAATGGAGTCGATGGAGACTCGACCCAAGATTTCAGCCGTGTGCCGGGAGGAGTCCGTTCCACGATTACTGATTCCACGATTCCAGATCCACTTAAAAGAGGGGGGAGGGGAACGGTCTGTATCGTGTCTAGCCTTGACAACGAACGGCGTACCGGTAAAAATGATGGTAGATCTGTGGAGGCATAAATGTGCCTAGTGAAAGAAAGAATCCCTCCCGGTAACCCTTTCTAGGAATACACTTACGCTATCGGTCGACAGGACGATCGCGCGATCGAAATTGAGTGGCGAGCTAGAGCTGCACGTCACGAAAGCAAGGAGTCCACCGATAGCCGTTCTCACGCTTGGAGCAAAAAGGCCAAAATCAGGTACATTGCATTAGTGTCGTTTTTCACGAAAAAAAAGCCAGTTTTGAACCCTGAGCTGTAAAAACCCGCCTCACCAGCTATTGGGAGGGACAGTGTTAGTATACGCATACGAAACGATTACGTAGGGGGGCGGTGCGAAGGCTAAGTGGAAAAGAATTCCCGAGGGGCCCACGGCAATCTAGAAGCGAAAATCTTGAGCCTCGTGTAACGAAAGTGTAACGAGATCTTCGGAGAATTTTGGATCCAAAGATCCAATTGGCATCGGGCTCCTCATTACTCAGGAGTGCTAGCGCCATGTAAAGACCAGCTACGTGCTAGGCCCCCGTTTCAGCCACGCCACATGCTTCGGCGGCACGGACTTTTTTATGACTTCAATCTCCCCTATATGGAAACCTTGGCTTTTTTTGGATTGATGATCTTCCCCGATTTGTGAGTGTGGTGCTTCGTATCCCTGTCCCCGAGTTACACTGGACTAGTAGGTTTTTAAGAACCATTCATGAGTTAAGGCTGGTTCCTGCATTTGCTAAGTCTCTGGCCTGCAAGATGGGTCCTACCTAGCTAGGAAAGTACCTACCTAGGCACCTAGATAAGTATCGTATATCCCCGCCAGGGGTCGGTCGGGACCTCCCCGTTACACGGACCTGAGATTGCACGATGCTGGCACGAATATACTCCGCGAACCATAACCTCCGAATTCACCCTTGTAAACGAGGATAAATAACACGGAACCCCCACCTCATCCAAGGGACAGAAATCAGCGGCCGAGCCTGGGATTGGATCTGGGGTGCCCACAGAGCGCAAACTGGTGGGGTTCGGAACGAAAAAAAAAAGTGCCGGTTCACCGATGTCACTTGGCCCCCGTTTGGGCTCAACGCTCCTTTTCTGAAGCAGTAACTCCGGAATAAAAAAATGGCCCTCCCAAGGTACTCTTGCTGACAGTGGCAGTGATTTTCAAGAATTGCCTCTCTGCCTCCACCTCGGAGCCGATCCAGTCGCCTTCCCGACCGAATGACGTCCGCGGGATGTCCGCGGATACACGCTTGTTGATTGCGTTTGTTCTTTCCCAAAGGAGACATTTGAGAATTTGAAATACCTTTCCAAGGTTCTTGCTATCTCCGCCTATCCCGAATAGATGTTGGTACGGGTTTACATCCGTAATTTTTGTTTCTCATGACCCCTACGGCCCCCGATTGGTAGCGAAGCTTCATTAGCGGTCGCTCGGAGCCGCTCCGTAGCCCCTTGAAGTTTCTTGTCCAGCATATGGAGAGAGTGGCATGCTATGTGCATAGGATTGGGGAGTATATAGGTAGCATATATCCATCGAAATCTAGTTTTGGAGCGCAATTAGTTTCCCCTGTATTGCGTATACATGCCGGGGGGTTGCGGGTGGCGCTCGCCAGTTTCCGGCTCGGTGCCATAAATGATTTCCTCGTGTAATGCTGTATTAGACAGATGCCAGGAAGCCGCTGGATGTAGAGAAAACAGGATCGCTAGACAAGACCAATGGGGTTCGACTCAATGGACGCCATGTCACCCGCCGTGGATGCCCAAAAGGAGAGGTAAAAAAAAAAAAAAGAAGACATGTCGTAGAAGGGAAGGGAAAATGTGTGTTTTTTGTGTTCACCCGCGTGCGCTTCGAGGTCGTGAGTTCTGCGAGGACGAGTCGTGAAGGTTATCTGGCGCCCGTGGTCCCACCATCCAGTCTTCCATGGCGAGCCATTCACTCCAGCTTCGCTCGGCGGCTTCGATCTCGGCGTCCAAGGGTCCTTGAAGCGGGCGTAGGAATGGGACTGTTTCCAGCGGCGCCATGTCGTATTCTTTCTTCACTTCGGCCCAGCCTCCGCTCTTGGCGGCGAAGAGGTAATTGCGCCGCTCCTGCTCGTGCAATGGTCCTACCCCGCTGCCCCAGTCGTCTCCGAAAAAGCCGTGCAGAACTCCCGGGAAATCCATCCCCGTAGCGACTAGGCGGCGTATGTATGGAATCAATGAGATGAAGGCGGGTCCGGGTGGTGTCTGGCCGGAGGATGACGATGATGATGGGGTGGATACTGGGTTCGAGTTGGGGACCGGGCTGGGTTGTCGCTGGAAGGGTAGTCGGATGTTCAAGAATGCGGATAACGCCTGGACGGGGACGCTGTGCTGTGCATGGTCCAGGAAGTAGCGTTGACAGCTTTGGTAGCGCGGATACCATTCGAAGATGTCGAAGTTGTCGTCTGTTCTCCAGGGAGAGGCACCGGCCAGGCCGATCATCGTAGCCGGATCAAATTGTTGTGAGTTCATGCGGGACGGTGACGAAGACGGTTGTCTAGAGGGCTCTACTGGTTGTCTGCTGGTTGGATCACGGTCTTAGTCTGACATTCTCTTTTCATTGCCGCCGGGCTCTCTGGCTGTGCCGCGTTCTGCTGGGGTGTTGCTTCCGGCGGGGTTGGGTCCGCTTCCCCCAACAGTCATCTGGCAGCCCGAACAAGTGAACAAGAACAAAAGCAGAGGAAGGGAATGATACTTCGAGAATAGATCCCTTCCTCGACGCACCAGAACGGAGACTTTACGCCGGGAGGAAGGGGAGGCAGGGGGAGGCGCGCGAGCAGAGCCGAACAGGTCTCTGATGGCCCCGAGTCCTCGGCCAGATTGAGGCTTATTCATGGACATCTGTCAGGAGAGGGCCATCCGGGGAGATAACAGACAACTCATGACATTCACAATGGAGGAGGGCAAGGCGGCCGGGCTTAAGAGGTAAAAGAAGAGCAGACATACATGGTCAGACGGAGGGGGACAAAAGAAGCCCGAAAGAAGCAGGGCAGGAGGAAGATAAGAATGAGGTCAAAAGAAAATCGTTAACTTTATTCTGGAACGTTCATAGAAAAAGAGGAAGGGGAAAGAAACCGTGCGGAGAGTGGATTCCATGTATACGGAGTATTTTTGGTTTTGAATCGGATCCATCAGAACGGGTCTATCCGGTCAGGCCAATCATTGCCACTAGGTCCATCCCTCAGATCTGGCTGCCCACGGGTCGCTGGTGGATACTTGGATCGATGGATCGATCTAGACGGGAATTACAGTGAAATGATTCCGTAATGGTCATTCTACGGTATAGGCCGGTTGCACGTTCCACACGGAAATGGGGATCCCTCATACTTCCATCCGGGCAGATAGCGGTGTTCGGCTAAGGTATTCATGGGCCCCGGTACCTGGATACACCGAGTTTGGTAAGGCTGCGTCCTTGCGGGTGACGCTGCATATTTTCAGTTAGAGAGATCTTGCCGTCCACTTCATCCATCCCATTGGCCCGCCAGTTCACGACGGCGTCGATTCTAATTACCATCCTACCCACCCGCTCCTCCTTTTCTGGCCTTTTCCCCAATTGTACCTAACGTGCCGATTGACTAGGCTCCTTTTTTTCGTTGATTTGATTTGATTTGTCCTGAATCCTCTTCCCGGGATCAGGGTTGGTTAAAAAGGGGCTGCCCTGGGACCGAGTCCTACCTGTTCAGGGAGACGATTCGCCAAGCTAATCCCGAGGCGGGAGACTTGCTGCAAGGTGCCCGGTCGTGATTGGAATCAATCGTCCACGAGGACCCGTTCCCGCGGAGACGAATGGTCAGATATCCTCATTTCCATATATTGACGACGTGCCTTTCTACACATCGCGCGTCTCCGGTGACCAATCGATCACGGCCCTGGAGTTGACAGTCATAGAACACATGCTAAACACATGCTCACCCTTGCCACTGGCTCACCCGGACGCTGCACAACAACACCCCTGAATCCAAAAGGGGAGAAGAGAGGCGACGACTTCCCAAGAGCCGATAGCTTAGTTTGCGATCGCGTGGCGCACCGAGAGGGTCCGAAGTCGTACTCGGGAACAAGCACAGAAGGGTCGATCCTCCACAGCTTGTTCAGGATGAGGTGCGCAAGCCCAGAGTCAAAGCCAGCCGCATTTTGCCCCCCCTTGGAAGACCAGCCATTCAGCGTCTCGACACGCGGGAAAATACAGTAGGGATCCCCAAAAGTGGCGTCATCAGCTCTCATGATCTCGAAGATCTCACGACGAAAGCCCTGGCGCGAAGCAGGGGCCACCCATCGAGCTGTGGTCCTTCTTCCCTTTAGGCGGAAACCTCACAGTTTCGGCCCAATCGCCATCTTTCCCGGATGAGAAAGTGACAGAGCTGATCGTCCTGCCATGACGAATCGCATTCGCGTGGTTGTTAATGTCTCCTCGGTCTGTAATTACTGTTTGGACCTTAGGTTTCCCCTTTTCTGGAGTCGAGATCCGGTGGGCCCGTCAGCTGCACGAAATACCAAACGCCATGTCCAGGGGTTGTCGGCATTGATTTCAGTTTTGAACAATCGCCTATTGCTCGCCCTTTCTACTAGCTGACAATCCCTGGCAAGTTGCCTTTATTTGACACTCATCTAATTTGCCAATTTGCCACGTCCGGATCCACTCCATTCCCACATAATAGATTAATTCGAGGCAGTGTTTGGCTTTCCCCCGTCGCAGTTATGCAAGACCTGCATTTCATTTCCGGATGGGGGAACAGTCCGGGTTCAGCTCAGCCTTCTAGCGATCGGATTTGGATCTGTAAGCTCCTAAAGGCAGTGCTCTAGTCCATACCGCGCGGTGTACGTCAAAGTACCATCGCGAAAATCAGAGTTCACCAGGGCGATACGCTCTGCACGGATTCTGCGGCCCGTGTACCAGGATATGCACGAGGACCAGTAGTATGGGGCAGATCCTTTGGCGCCAGAAGCGCATTGGCCTAAACCTGTTTCTGCAAAGCCGACCGATTCGTGTCTTGTGAGGGATTCATGACTTGAATATCCGCAGCTCTTGAATTTGGAAGACACGCCCTATACTAACTAATCAGCTAGTGTATAATGCTTGGGCCCAGCGCTACTTTTGATCATCTTTTCACTAGTGGCAGCTGGTCACGCTCGCTGGCCTGTGCTGCTGCGCAATGGTCGGTAAGATGATATTCTGCCGGTCGCTCTCTGCACTGGAACCTGTCGAGTAAGATACATTCCTAGATGACACTATGCACTGCCATGCTGATATCAGCGATGCTCTCCGTTTCCCACATCACCCTCATATAGCTAGCGTATTGTAAGAATAAGAATCGAAAACTGCCGACCAAGAACCACATGGAAGGCCTGGTATTAGCCAATCTTTATTGATTTCCAAACGCGACTACAAAACACGACAACTGCGGTCGTGGACTGGTAGGTAACACGTAACGGGAACTACCTTCCATAGGACAGATTGTATCTTACAGCTTGACTTCTCAAATCCCGACGCTCCAACAAGTGCGTATACAGTAGCATCCCTAGTGGGACCTCGGTACCTAGTTACTTCAAGGCCACTATTCCAAATTCCAAATCACCGCCTCTCAGTGCTTTTCAACCACTCGCCCTCGAAATGTGATCTATCAACTCCCCCGTCACCGCCAACACTGCGCTGCCGTTACAACCCATGACTCGCGTAGCATAGACCGTAGGAATTTCCCCGCACTGTTCCGGTCGGAAATGTGACCCTAGAACCTATAGTTACTTCGGCATTCGGAGAATTATCACTGGCAGTGGGGGAGGCATTCACCCCCTCCGGAGACGCTGAGTGAAACGACATGGCGCGGGGTTCGCCTCATTCTTTCATGAAACCTGGTCAAAAGAAGCAAAATGAACTTGTTCGCCGAGTTTGTTAAGGTTTCATAGGGGCTAAAACCACGTGTGACTTTGACGTAATATATCGGCCACTCAGAAGTGAAAAGGGCTACGTATGTATTAATATATCCCTGAATCCGGCAACTGTAGGGAGATCCGATGCCCAAAGAAATACTGTATCTCTATCGGATGGCCAATATATCCGAACTCCCACTGCAGTGTTCCCTCCGAGAGCCATCAACATCCCCTTCGCCACGATGCGGGGAAGAGCCAACATCTCGGCCGTAAAGTAGAAGCAAACACGCAGATCTCGAGTAAACCAATGTGTCACGCTAGACTCTCGGAACTGTTAGGAGGTGTCGAGCTGATAGGAAAACCGTAAGTGGTGTTCTTCCTATTATTATTCGCAGTGTTGAGGAGGGGGGTTGCGGAGACCGCCGATGCCCTTGCTTGGTACCACTAGCCACTTTGGGTGGCTGAGCGGGGCATGCACCTTGTTTTCGTGGGATGGGTTGTGCACTGTAGTTGATGGAACATTTCTCCGTTGCTATCTTTTTGGATGTTTATTGGTGTTGTTTTGAGGGTGGTGATGGGTCTAGGGCACATGGGTGGTTCGGGCGCTAGGAAAGGCTTGTTCGTGGCTGTGGGGTTGGAGGCCCAAGATTTGGAGTGGATAGCGGACTTTTTGTATTGGGTCACTTAGATCGATTTGCCTTGCGGAGCTATAGAGTTATTAGAGTCTTTAATGACAGTTTTGTCTATGGGTGTCGGACAATTGGAAGCTTTCGATAAATACCTAATGCGGCCTTCTCGTAGTCCCGGCGTTTTGGTGTGCCTTGGGTCTCTGCGCTGTAGTTAAGGTGAATTGAACCGTGAAGGCTCGAGTTTGATTCATTAGTCCAGATTCTATTCTTTTCAATGCAGGCACAGGCACTTAAGATGACTTTTTTCCAACTCTGAGTGATTCAGTATACAGCCTCTGGTAGGCACCAGTAATCTATAGAAATTGATATGACCTTCTGCTGGTGCCCATGGAACAAGGCCCTCACGGGGATGTGAAGGAAGCAATTGAAATACATGGAACAGAGGCTCAGATCATTTAAAACAATTGAGACGCTATGCACGTGTCACTCTTCGTTACTAGCTCGAGACTACACCTTAAGTACCTTGTATGGTGCAACATTTACATCAAATTAGAATTCTGGCAGCCGGCATGAGTCAAAACCTCGAGATTGATAAGATATGCCACATGCTGGTGCATGCGCTATGCGCAGCCTAGCGAGGACTGAGCGACTAGCTGCTTCACCCAGAAGAAACTAGAAGCTTAAACCGTTTCAGATGTACATCGGAAGTCATTGAACCTTATTTACAGAGAGAATCTCCCACAATTCATTTGAGCTAATCTTGGAGGGTAAAAAACCATATAGGTGGCTCCGATTTTCGGCTGCATCTGTCCGAGACTGTTGGCAGGTTGTTACTTCAGTGTATGCAGATACACCTGTCCCGCAATTGGCTATTAACCCGAGCCAGAGAATGATGTCCAGCGCCGGGTAAACGGTAAAAAGTAGTACTCTAAGCCCGGTGAGCTTTTTTGTGCCGTCGTGCGTTGGAGAACGTCATGAAAAGATGACCGTCTGGATCTTGGTGCCGGATCAGCGGCCAGCGATGAGGGGTTAATCGGCGTAACGGATACTGGGAAAGCGGGCTTTGGGGCAGATCATCAGTGGCACGCAAACGGATAATCTGAACGCCGCTGCCGCCAATAATCAGGCTGGCGCTGACGGGCTGATGCCGCGTCCCAGGGTATCTAAACCCCGGCCGGGGACATGCCGATGATCGGACCACAGCAGCAAATAGGGTTGGTATGGAGCCTTGGCATCACACGACAGGGCCGTGCCTGACCCGGGGACCGTCAGAGCTTAACCATGGGGATAATGTGTTCATATTCGAGCCGCATGTTAGGTCGGCGCCGTGGCTTGTCCGAGACAGGAGCTCGGATCTTCTACCAAGGTACGAAGTAGAAGAATGGTGTGCAACAAATTGTATTAACTTTACTCATAGTGATATTATGAGTAAAGCTGCTCTTGTTCCCTCGCGGACTGCCCAACACCGAGATCAACCCCTCAGCCCCTCCCTTTCTCTCAATTCCCCGCGGTGGGGAATTTAGATTTGCCGAGAATGGAGAGCCGGTGTGCCGATTTAGTCAATAACGACTTCGGCCGGGTGGCATGGAAAACGGGGGGTTAAGCATGGGAAGGGCTGATAAAGATTGACCAGTGTAGAGTGTTCCTGTGAGTCAACCGGATTAAAAAAAGGAATCCCAGGGATCAGATAAGGTGGTGGGTCATTACTGTCCTCGGACTAGCGTTACGCTGCTTGCAGCGTGGCACGTGACCATCGCACCCGACTCACATGCCGAAGCAGGAAGCTTGTGGCGGATTCCCCAGAGCGGATTTCTTCGTCCATGAAGATCGCAGGTGGGTTCTTAGACTGTGAATATCATTGCATCATGCACAGGCATTGATCCCCGACCGGTCTTTGCTAAGCTGTGCTCTAGGTTACATTAGTTCGATGCAGATGTACAGTCATCGGAGAGGACCGATCCGATGGGGCAGGAAGTCACCCTGGGCCAAAGGAGCCACCACCAGCACCCGACGAAATTAAGACGGAACGAGAGGATGGAAGATCCAGGATCCGAGCGGGAAACCCCTTGTTGGAAAGCATTAATTGACCGGTGTCAAGAGCAGAGAGAGGCTGGCGGGTGCCGCCACCGCAGATAAGCAATCTGTGACCTTAAAGGATAAGATAAATTCGCCCTGTGGGCCCCGAACTTCGGACATTCTTCCCAGGGAAACCATTGGGTTTCATGCTTCCAAGCTTACTCTTCACCTTGTGCTACCGTACCTACGTAGCCTCGAGTCCTCTTTCGGGACTTGAGTGATCCTCTGTTCCCATTTTACCCGTCCACGTTGTCCGGACTCTCTCGTCCGAGTCCGGCTCCTGTTCCCTCCCCGCCTACTCGTATATAACTGTTGAACCCCTCCCACGTAGAATTTCTTCCTTCTCTATCCCATTCTCTGCTTCTCAAGTCTGCCCCATTAGCATTCTTGATTAATACCTGATCGTTGACGATCGATTATACCCTATACCTATACCTATACCCTTCAGCAGAGTAAAGCATCTCCAAAAATGACCGCCCAGAACCTCCCCCACGAGCCCGAGTTCGAGCAGGCCTACAAGGGTAAGTCTTCTATCCTCGTTCCCCTCCTACATGCCCCTTCAAATGTTATTCACGGAACACGGAGTATTCCGCGCGTTCCCCGGGCCCCTCCCGACTTCATCCTTTTTCCCGGCATTTTCGGCAAGTGGCTCTTCGGCAAGTGGCTCCGCTAATCACGTTTCCCGAAACAGAGCTCGCGTCTACCCTCGAGAACTCCACTCTTTTCCAGAAGAAGCCTGAGTACCGCAAGGCCCTCCAAGTGGTCTCCATTCCCGAGCGCATTGTTCAGTTCCGCGTCGTCTGGGAGGATGACAAGGGTCAGGTAAGCTTAATTGTCGCCCCCCGGGGAATAAACAGGAGTTCGCCGCTGACAACCAAAAAAGGTCCAAATCAACCGTGGTTTCCGCGTTCAGTTCAACTCCGCCCTCGGCCCCTACAAGGGTGGTCTCCGCTTCCACCCCTCGGTGAACCTGTCCATCCTGAAGTTCCTCGGCTTCGAGCAGATCTTCAAGAATGCCCTGACCGGCCTGAACATGGGCGGTGGCAAGGGTGGCTCCGACTTCGACCCCAAGGGCAAGACCGACAACGAGATCCGCCGCTTCTGTGTCTCCTTCATGACCGAGCTGTGCAAGCACATCGGTCAGGACACTGACGTCCCCGCCGGTGACATCGGTGTGACCGGCCGTGAGGTCGGCTTCATGTTCGGCCAGTACAAGAAGATCCGCAACCAGTGGGAGGGTGTTCTCACCGGTAAGGGCGGCAGCTGGGGTGGCTCTCTCATCCGCCCCGAGGCCACCGGCTACGGTCTCGTCTACTACGTTGACCACATGATTAAGCACGCCTCCGGCGGCAAGGAGTCCTTCGCCGGTAAGCGCGTCGCCGTCTCCGGCTCCGGCAACGTCGCCCAGTACGCCGCCCTGAAGGTCATCGAGCTCGGCGGTTCCGTCGTCTCCCTGTCCGACTCCCAGGGTGCTCTCATCGTCAACGGCGAGGAGGGCTCTTTCACTCCCGAGGAGATCAACACCATCGCCGCCATCAAGGTTGAGCGTAAGCAAATCTCCGAGCTCGCTACCCAGGCTCCCTTCAGCTCCAAGTTCAAGTACATCCCCGGTGCCCGCCCCTGGACCAACATCGTCGGCCGTGTCGACGTCGCTCTCCCCTCCGCTACCCAGAACGAGGTCTCCGGCGACGAGGCCAAGGCTCTGATCGCTGCCGGCTGCAAGTTCATCGCTGAGGGCTCCAACATGGGTTCCACTCAGGAGGCTATCGATGTTTTCGAGGCCCATCGTGAGGCTAACCAGGGCGCCGCTGCTATCTGGTACGCCCCCGGTAAGGCCGCCAACGCCGGTGGTGTCGCTGTCTCCGGTCTGGAGATGGCTCAGAACTCCGCTCGCGTCAACTGGACTGCCGAGGAGGTTGACAGCCGCCTCAAGGGTATCATGGAGGCCTGCTTCAAGAACGGTCTCAGCACCGCTCAGGAGTACGTCACCCCCGCTGCTGGTGTTCTGCCTTCTCTGGTCGCTGGTTCCAACATTGCTGGCTTCACCAAGGTCGCTGAGGCCATGAAGGACCACGGTGACTGGTGGTAAATCAGTCATCCTAAAAGTTGATGACTGATTTTCGGCTGATATCCTGTGGAGCGGCTTTTTGAGCATTTTCTTTTGTTTGCAGCTTCTTTTTTGTCGAGCGGGTACGGATAGAGGCGCTGGATTCCCTTTGCATTTGATGATATTCCCACTTGAGCTTCATTGTGTCGGGATCGTCATGATGATAATGAAATTGAATGAATTATTCTAATTATCGATTCTTTGTAAATGATTTTGTAGTACAGACATGAGCAGTAAAAGTTATGTACTTGCGGGTCTTCGGTCAGTGTCTCCGGGCGGTTTGTAGATGGATTCGAATAGCTTCATCTCCCTTCTTTGAATCCATCTGAGCTCCAAATTGCTTCTCTTAAAACGTATCGCCTGTATCCCCATGAGCTTCTAGTTAATCTTCAAGTTTCCTATCGCCGCGCAGAAAAATAGCAGTCTCAGGTTAGGCGGATAACCACACACGTGACCAAGATCCCGTGACCGACACCAAACAGACGCCATCCTTCGGCCCAATTGGGATTTGATCTCAATCACTGGCGCCGAAATGTCGGGCATCGCCTAATAATTGAATAACCCGTCTATATACCACATCAATCCGCGCATTCCAACCTGGTATGCCCTGAACTGCCACGATGCTGCCAGGCACGGCATCTTCAGAACAATGGAAGACCTTCCTCCACCGATGTTTGGCCCATCGCGTAGATGTCGATGAATTCAAGGACCTCACCAAGCTGATGCTTGCCCGCTCCCCGGTCAAAGAAAATGAACTCCTGGATCTGCTCCTGGAGGCCCGCGCTTCCTCGGCTATCGCTTGGGACCCCTTATTGCCTGTCTATGTCGACAGCCTGTGCAAGGTTGGACAGGTTAAGTCGGCATCGGCGCTGAACTCGCTTTTGAAGCATTCTTCTATTCGAGGGAAGGTGGCGATGAAGCGAAAAGCGTCGACTCTTATGACTGATATTAAGGTCATTCAAGATGTTATGATGGCTGTCTCGACTGGGTCTATTCCGAGGTCTGTCGCCGAAGCGGCGGATCTTTATGCTGCCACTGTTGAGTGGATCGTGGCTGTTGTCGCCTGGCACAATGATAGCCTGAATGAGTCTCAGCAGACGGGTGGCTTGATGAGCTCGCCTGATGCGGTCTCGTTGTTTGAGTCGCTGGGTATCCTTCTTGCTGCGCTGTCGGGGACCGCGAAGGGTCTCGAAACGTTGTCCAGTGATAACTGTCAAGGTATGTTTTCGTCTCTGGGCTGATTTGGTGGCATTTGCTGATAAACATTCTCTCAGATTTGAAAACCAAGTTGGGTCAGGCGCTCTCCAGTTATCTGCCTCTCTGCGTGGACGTGTCTCTGCCTTTGCGTCATCGGCTGGATACGCTTCAGAAGGATTTCAATATGTACGGACAGCAATCTTCCAAGTCATTGGACCATCCTGCGATCGATGGCATGAATGTCAACGCTCTCCAGTTCGAGGCTTCGGTGATGGATGGCCCGGTCATCAATACTAGAGTTGGTCTCTATGTCTATCTCAACTCCATGGTAAGTGGCCATGCTGGTTCGTCAAGACGGGAATGATGCTAACTCGGACAGCTTGTGGGTCGTCCTTTGGTTGATGATTCCATACTCATCAATTACCTCACCAATCGCTACGAGGTAAGTTTATTTTCGGCTGTTTGCTCTTACTTGCCTGTCTTCTTGATTGCAATGATAGTCTGACAATCTATCAGGGGCACCAAGAAGTCCTCGTCGCAGAGATAATCACGGCCTCCTTCGACGTACTGTCTAACGGCGTCTACCGCAACGAGTCCAGTCGTACAATGTTCTTGTTCCGGTCCTTCCTGGTGAACAAACTTCCAGCATTCTTTGCAGCCATGACAGCAGCGTCTATGGTGCCCATCCGTATCGAGATGTGCATTACACAAGCGCTCAGCCGACTTGACCCGAACGCCTTCCCCTCCTTCTCTCAAATGTTCTCCATGCAGGGCAGTAGCGTTCTCTCAGATGCTCGCCAGGAGTTCCTATTCGCCTGCGCATCTCACAGACTCATTCCCGAGTCCAGCATCGAAAGGCTTCTCGGAGAGAATCCAATGCAGACCTTGCCCGTTGGAGGTCCTTACCAAAAGGACGATCTTGTTTCGCAAATCAGCTCTAATTTTGAACGTGCTGATCAATTGATCGGTGAGATTGAGTCTATGGAGGGTAATGCTGGTGCCATTGTTGGTGCGATCACCGAGGTAAGTACCAATACAGCCAACAGTGAAATTATATTTTGGCTAACGTGGATAGGTCATGTTCAACCTATGCAATCAAAAAGAGACCATGACGTTGAAAAATATCTGCAACTCCCTTTCTCGGCGCCCGCAAGCGTTGGACGTCATTCTCCTCTTCCGAACCACGAAGCAGGTCTTGCAGCCCCTCTGTGCCCTGCTGGACTCCTGGCGCTGGGATGACGACCAAAGCGAGAACCAACCTGTCTATGATGAATTTGGAAGCATTCTACTCCTGGTGCTTGTCTTCAAGCACCGCTATGACTTGACTTTATCTGACATTGGTATCTCGAATAACGATTCTTTCCTGTTGAAACTGTTGGATCGTGGCTCATGCAGCCAGAAGCTGAGTGAGCTGAGCGAGAAGCAGAACAAGGACATTGGTAGCTGGATTGCGGCTCTGTTCATTGCTGAGGGTATCAGTGAAGAGACCATGTCTGCCTGCAGCCCTCAGGAGTTCTACATGCTTGTGGCGACGCTGTTTGATCAGAGTCTCGGTGCGTGCGAGTCAGGGAAGTTGGACTTTGAGACGTTGAAGGGCGGTTTCGAATGTGAGTTGCAACCCGACCTCCGCTTGCATCGCTACTTTACTAACAATTTCAGACCTGCTCGAGCCCTTCTTACTCCCATCCCTGGTCGTGGCATTGACTTGGCTCGGTAATCACATCTGGGAATCCGAAACCGAGCCCACAATTCCGTTGCAAACCCTCTACTCCCTGGTCAAACCCAGCTCCATTTCCGGCGAAGCGCAAGCCATCCATCAGACCGTACTGAATATCACTGCTCGGCCCCTGGAAGAACAACTCAAGGACGTCCGAACGCGACACCAATCACGTACAGACATTAAACCAATCCTCGAGTCCCTCGAGCCCTACCTATCCTTCCGCCGTGTCGGCAGCTGCCACCGCTCCGAACTCGACAACTGGGCCGCCCAAACAGCAGGTGGCCTTACAGGAAGCATCCGCAATACCCTCCAATCGCTAGTCCTCTGGAGCTCAAACTCCGAAATCACAATGGCGCCCCAGTCCTATACCCACCGCCAGCTCCTCGCCGGAATACGCATCCTTGGCTCCGCACGCGTCCTCAACGCAATGCTAGACGAAGTAAAACAACAAACAGAAGCCGGCAGCGGCGATCTCGCCCTCGACATCGCAGCAACAATGATCTGCGCACCAATGGCCGAATCCTTCGCAGTCGACCAGAACATCTGCCACCCAGTCGACTCGAGCAAAGAATCCCTCCCCCGCTGCTCAATCCTCACCCTCCGAGACGCCCTAGCTCTGCAACATGACAACGTCCCCAAAATCTCAGAAAAAGACCCCGTCCGCGCACAAGTTGTCGTCCGCCTCTGGCGCCGCGTCAGTCTCCTCTCTACCCCGCCATCTCAGGTACCCAATATCGACGTCAGCAACATTATCCACAACATGCATCTCGGCGTCGAACAAGACCGCATGGATCTAGAACCCACCACCGGCGTTGGCGTTGATGATGATGATGCGGACAATATCAACCAGATGCTGGATGATGCTACCGCTGCCGCAGCAGCAGGCATGGATAGTGGAGTTGTCGGGCATGACATGGGTCAGGATCTAGGCCAGGATCTGGGCCAGGACATGGGGTTGGATGCGGGTACAGGCATGGATGCTATTGATGACGTTCTTAATGCGGCAGATATGGCGGTTGGAAACCCGGAGTTTTTGGATTTGGATATGGAGGGCATGTTCTAGGGTCTTGAGTTTAGTGGAGATTTCTTCGGTGTCTACCATATCTCGAATTGTATAGGCTTGTTTTGGATGGCGATTAGGTCTCATTGTTCGGTATAAGGTATTCGACACTACTGATCCAGTCTAGCCCCGCAAGGGAATACGTCTGGATTTTACTTTAAAATTGCATGTCTGCATTACACTCTTCAATTCTCAAAGCTAGAGTATCATGAAATTTCCACGTCCATTCGGCAATCATTCTGGTTCTTAATCTCGTCAGTAACGTCCTCAACATCCACATCCCGCTTCTCAAGTATGACTTACAGATGTGCAACTCGTTCTCAACCTTTCCCGCAAGCCTCGGGATTCCAGAGTTAGGATACATCTTCTCGATAATGTCCATTGGAGAGGGGATGCCTGGGATCAGGTACCGGGGCTTGTTCTGCACCGGGGCCGCTGCGACGACCGAGGAGAGCGACATTGCGGCGAGGATAGCTGTCAGCTTCATAGTGTCGGTTGGGGCTGGTTTGAGATCAGTCGTTTGAATATGAGTCCAAGAGTTTCCGGTGTGTACTTACTGAGATTGTGTGAATAATTACCCGACGAAGTGATTATTATTGTAGGTGGAAGTTGGAGTCGCGTGTGTTAGGTTGAGGTCGAGGTTTGATTCTTTCTTATTTCTTCCTAGGATCTTAGCTGTCAACAGGGATTGATTAGAGCGCTGTTTAGTCCCATTCCAGGGGTATGAGATTTCAGGATCTCGTAGACGTGAAGAATCCAGGTACGCGACTGGAACGAGGGTAGTAATGCGGGTTCCTATCTAGGCTGCTTGCCAGGACTGTAGATTTCGGCAATGTTGTGACATGGCTCAGAACATTGTTTGACTTCCCTAGTGAAACGAGAATCAGTTTCAGGGAAATTAAATGGAATGGATTGTGAGCTGTCCTCGTTGACATAGAGTTGTTGTGGCTTTTGACATGTAGGTTTCGTCGCGTCGAGGCGTATGCAAGGGGTTCCTGGTGGCTCTCGGTCAACTGCAACAACACTCTTATGGACAGCTGGGTCGGTGCTTTACAGTGAGTACAGGATTACTATACTGTTCTGTGTTTTTAGGAGAAATCAAGTTTTACTTTCCAATGGTGTCGGTACGACCTGATCCGTGGACTTCACTCAATTTGATATTTCCAAGGGGTATGTATGTACATGCCAACAACTATTGCCGATAAAACAACACGGTCTAGTCGAATAGAGGATCTAATTGATGTCGAATTTATCTCGTTGAGCCTTTTTGTTCTTGGAAATAATTTACAGATCTAATTTCCAGTGTTGCATGGTTGAGAATAGCGAGAGCAAAACTGACACTTCGGGATATTTATCGATGTGAGGAGTTCAATTGCATAGATAGCATATTTTGAACATAAAAACGATGTCCTGGCCTGGAAATAATCCTGCTCACTTCATCTCAATTGCGTATCGATTACCTGGATTGCACTTTTGTGATGCCCAGGTGACGTCGTCGCTGTTGGATATAGATAGCTGCCTTGACTATCTCTACATCTGCTTCACCTTCGAGCCGATCCATCTTGGAAACTCCCATCCGAGGTCCACTCGCCCGATTGGCCTCTATCTTAAACTATTAAGTTTATTCAGTCCAAGTCTGACAAGCGTCCCAAGGTTCTCACTGTAGATCATGGATACAGCGTAACTCGTATCGTACACAATGGGAAACGCCGACTTACGGAGCTCAGAAAACCAACACGATCATCCCAGAACCAACACGGTGCCATAAACCGCAATTGCATGACCCCGTGCACCCTGTAGACGGGCTGATATCCGCCGGGGGCGGCCCCTATGACACAGGAAAGATTCACCTTCCTAACTGGGACCCATCAGATCCAGTCGCAATCGAGGAAAGCATCATGCCACCACCATCACCCATTGCCGAGCAGATACATATCCCCCGGGAAAAAGCAATTACATCGTCATGACGCTTGCCAACGGACTATCACGACTAGCCCGAGCCGGCGCGGCTTTTTTCTTTTTCTAGGCTTTCCACGATATCCATCATCACTGTCTATCATTATTTAACGGTCCCGGTGAACTGGTACACTTACGACCGGGTGTTCGTCTGACGTGTAGCTGAACGTAATCCCGCGGGCGCCGCGTGCGAAAGAAAACGGGGCCCCAGTCCCGAGACAATCGTGTTCCCACTTCATCTCTACCCCAAGCGTTTACTGTAAAAGGAGGAGGGGCTCTCAAAGCTCTGGTGGACACTGACGTCCTGCTCGCCAGCACGAGCTCCCAAATGAATCTTTGCGCTGCGGTAAAGAATGATTTTTGCTCGGGTTATGCGCGCTTTCCGGAAACCCTGTCGCTTTTGGTTTCCCAGAGCGGAGATTAGCTGTGATTTTCATTTGTGCACTGGGTGATGGGTATTGCAGGATGCGCCCGAGGTTTGGGCTGATCGCTCAGCCGGATTCCCGATGAGGAAAACTGCTATTGCTCGTGGGGGGGTGGCGAGATGTGGTGATGGGCTATGATGCCCGAATCGGACCCCCTGGGCTTATAGCCCTGAACGGCATTCGGGGCGTTTTTTTGACGTGATCTTCCTGCATATGAGCCTGTTCCTAATTTTCAGGACATTTCAACTGAGTGCGCTGCCCTGCAGGCTTCTGGCTGTCACGCCTCTCACTCCCGAACAGGCTCGGCTCTGTACGGGAAAGGATCTTCAGTGAGAAGTGGAGGGCGGCGCACGTTCTGGCATCGTCATAGGGGGGAGCTTCTGAGGCCCGCCGACCTCTCTGTCAGTGGTCAGTATCCACTGGATCGTCGATACAGTGGTCCCACGCGAGCGAACTCTATGCTCGAGGATGAAGGCATCTACTTGTGGTTAAGCGTCGGTGGTTGCTCGATCAACAGAACCAGGTGCGAGACTCGAAGGCGGTTCTCTGCGCTCCTCTTGTTTTGATGTACGGAGAATGAAGTGTTAGCTTGGTTCTTTGTGGCGAAATCTGGCAGCTCTACAAGATTCAATGTTCGCCTCAAACCCACTGACGCAGGCACCAGCCGATTTGCCACTGATCGTCGAGTTCTGGGGATCCACAGTGAACGTGAAGTGGAGGTACGATCGAGCGTGGAGAACTCTCAGCTTGTGCCGCTTGAAATGTTTAAGCAGTGCGAACGGTGTAAAGCATGTAAAAGCGTAAAGGCCGAGAGAACGCCGTGAACCGTATTTTCGTGTACGATGTTCTCACGAGAGTTTTCACTCCGAGACGAAGCGGTACAGTTCTCCGTGATTCCCGAAACTGAATTATGAGCTCACCTGTTGCGTGATGATATCAATGGCCAACGGTTATGACAAGGCTGAAATTACCAATTTCACGTTGTGTATTCCACGGGACGCGCGATGATCCTCTTACTTCCCGTCCCGGGGGGGGAACTCAACGCTTCCCTTTGATGGTGATAAGAGCGAGACCTATCATGCCCCTGTCTCCATCCCGTCCCAAGGGCCCTGCCGCGCAAAATGTGGGGGAACGTTACCGCTAATGCCTGAGAGTTGAACTATCGACTCGCCGGAAGCCATCAAGACATCCCCAATCCTTACGTATGACAGCATCCAATCCAGCATGATGATCGACTATTTAAGAATTATCGTCCTGACGACATTGTTCTGGATGCAAACTATCGTATTCATTAGACGTGTTTTCCGGTAGGCTAGCATCTCTAGTCTCCCCACATCCACTTCCGGCGGTTCAGGGGGCGACAGGAGGCCTTAGGTCGCATCCACCGGTGAACACGTGCCCGCCACGGGTGCCACAGACCGTACGGTAGCTTGGACTACTTGGACTACTTGGACTAAAAAAAGGGGCGATCATCGAACTCTTCCAGAAGTTCTGGGCCCAATCTGCTCCCCATTTGGAGCACCGCGGCTGCCCCCAACCCGCCTTGGACGTTGAACTATTGAATTTTAACCAATATGCCGAGTTACAACATTGTAACGGCGTTTCCGTTCCATCCCAGGGACAAGGTACCCCGTCTACGGCGCTGAGTCCAAGGGGCCCGGTGATCGAAAACCGCAAATATCGTCCCAGATCCAGGTGGACTCAACTGTGGACTCACGATCACATCGTACAGTAGCACCATCGAGAATCCATTGTGCCGATCTCCACCCGGTAGTAAATCAGCAAATTTCTAGAACCCCCTGACAGGCCCCAGGCATCGACAGATCCAGGAACCGATTCTCACTGAACGGAAGGCCCATCCGCCAGCCCGCAATTTCGAGGCGTGCCGGCCCAATTCAATTTTGCGACCAGAACCCGACGCCACTGAGGGGATAAAGATCTCACACAAAGAAACCCCCCAAGGTTGCCTCGTGGCGCGTCCCGGTCGGGATCCAGCGACAGGTCTACGGATTCTCGCGCAAAGTATGGATAAGACAGCCGGATTCATCCGGCGCTGTTCATTCGATCGTCGCGCTAGTGGCGCCGCGGTCATGGGTATTGGGAACAGGGGGTTACGCTTTGCGCAACGCGGAAGTACCGGCTGGACGGTTGGTGTGGGATTATAGCGGCCAATCCGGTGCTCGGCGCATTCAGATTCAATTAGGTGTGGATGTGTGCTTCCCTTTCGCTCTCGCGGATGCTTTCCCGGGTGCTTAGGCTGTCCACCATTACACAATCCGTGAGGTATTGTGGAGTTTGATCGGTGGGGTCGTGGCCGCCTTGGGTGTTCACGGATTCCCGGCCGAACTGTATTTCTTGCTCAAGGCTCGGTATTGGTAAATTGGTCAGAGGCCGCGGTATTCTTTTTGTCTCTGATACGACTTACTCTGTACGGATGTCTGGGTGCCCGTGAGTATGTACTTTTAACGTGTGTGGTACTGAGATCAGTTCCGTGTACTGTACCCACTTATCCGGATCGACTAGCCCAAATTACCGCACGCTCTAAATTCCTTCGGGATGGAAACCAGGCACAAGATGATCTGCTCTTTGAAACACTGTAATCCATGGATCTCGACGTGCTAAGCATCGGCTTTCTCTGGATATCCAGCCGACGCCACCCCCAGCTTTGGAGCTACCCCGCGCGGTCCACTCTTTTTGTTCCATGGCTATACTGTAGTTGCGATTAAATCAGAGTCTGATATTTGGGTAATTGGGTTTAATCCGTTTACTTACATCCAAAAATACCAGGTACATTTCAAAGTAGATCATCCTCTTTCTGTACACAGTGTTGGTATACAGTGACGATACGTTTTCTATCCCATTACATTACAAGCATCTCTTTGATCAATGATGAACACTCGTGTTATACGCATTCTGTTACATGTGACACATAGCGAGTGTACTGTAGTTATTTGAAGCGATGGCTCATAGACGCACGGTGATGCACGGTTGTGTAACAGTAGATTACAGTAGATTAAACGGTGTAGTTGGATCTCGCCGGGTAAACACCAAGAAGAGGAATTGTCAATACGTGCCGGAGAGACGATATTCAGCGTTAAGTTGATCATTTAGATAGAGGTAACAATAAACAACTGACCAGGTGTGCCGGTGAAGCTACACATGAGTTAACAAATCGAAATCGTTGAAGATCTGACCCGACTGTTTCAGGTTTCGTTCCGAATGCAGGTACCACATGCACACGCTCGTTATCCCGGCCTCGTTAATCCTCGGTCAAAAGCCACGAGGTTGCACAGCATGAGTCTGGACACAGTTGGGAGGTGATGCATGATATGCATCGTGGAGATTTCAAGCCACGGTGGCGGGGGTCTGGTTTCAGTACGTTGCCACGAGTTAGCGGTGTATGAATTGGAATGCCGAGTGCTCAAACAACATCACATTTGGGCATTTTCTTTCGACATATCTTCTTCGTATGCTAACTGCACGTTGATCGTGTCTTTTCCGTGGTATTTTCACATGGTCTAGACTCATCCCATGTGAGCTTCCGCCCTGTACGGCTAGCTTTACGCGCTGATATATCTTGGATTTACCGAGGCCATCTTCAAAAGAACAGACCACCTCTTGATGGCAGATGCAGCCAGTAGAGCTCTGTAAATGATCAGATTAGCTGTTTTGGTGTCTCCTCCAGAGCGTTCACCCCTGCTATTTGTCAAGTTCCCCGTAGATCTCGGGTGATTACCTTCAATTCGATCCTGGCTTGAAACGCAAACCGCGACTCAGATCTCCCGCATGCGACCGCTCGAATATCTCGTGCTGGAAACTGATTGGACTGTACCTGGGTGATGAGTTCCTTTCGGTACTTGACATTGGATCTTCATACCCTGCAAACCAGTCGGCCAGTCGGGACCACCAAAAAGGGAAGGAGATAGACTATACTAATATGTCGGATTCACCACAGGAATTGAATCAATGACTCTGAAATTACATCCCTATTCGTGATTACCGTGTCTATTCCTGGGGTTCTACAGTATGTAGCTTGTTGCCATCGATGCGTCCGGGTACCATGTGCTGCCTGAAGCACAACCTCGGCGGAATGAAGCCGAACGATGATCTTTCGCCACGCCGGTACATAGAACGTGATGGCAGACAGTCGGACGTTCAATTCGTCAATTGGAAGCACTAAAAGTACCTGCATATTGGAGAAGTGCCATTGTTCCGCCCCACTGCTTGGGCACGCACTAGTCTCGTATCCTTTTCCCGATAATGGGTGCGCAATGCAGGATGAGCAAACTTGCCGGTCAGCACTAGAGATTCGCGACGTCAATTCCAAGCAAACGCACTTGAAGGCTTGAGACAGGTCCCGATAGCCCCGTTTCTCACCTTCGATTGCGTTGCGCCACAAGTAAACAAACACCTGAGACCTGGGGCCGGAAAAGGTAGTTTAGTCATTGAGGGAATGGAAGGCTTCAAATTTGGTCCGAGCACGGCCTCACCCACACTTCGTTTCACGATTCAATGCCGAGCCTACCACGGAGCTTCTCCCTTTTAAAGCCTCGCCCCGCCGTTCGGTTCGTGACAGGGAAGCCGTGTGTGCCATGAGCCACTGTGATAATGTGGAGAGCCCTTGCATCTTGGTCATGGCACGCGAAGCCTATTGGACACGCGAGTTCGTCGGAGTATTATTTTTGTGATTTCGTACTGGCAGGGCCGTTCTTCCTTCTAGGCACATGTGATGATGAGCCATGAGGAGAGACCTGCGTCTGAAAATTGCATTGCGGACTGGCAACTGCAGAATTACTGAGTCCCCGCAGGTTCAAGCTGGAGGGGAGGGGATCTCCTCGCAGGGTTGTATTTGGGTGTATTACGGTTGTTCCGCTTCGGTTACCGAGCTCCCGAGTAACCCAAGTAACTAAGGTACCGAAGTCTAGACCGTTGGGCCAAGTGCTGCTGCTGCCTTCCCTGGAAATTTCACTATTTTAGAACTTTTGACTGAACTGAAGCCCGGACGCTTATTTCCCCATTTGTTCGCACTGGGATGTCTTCATTGCCGCGATGGCATGGCATTTCGCGTATTCCATTGCGTATTTCGTATTTCGCAAATTGCATTGTGGCCATTCGCTCAATGCCAATGCAAAAGAACGCTGCCTTGAATTGGCATTCCTCCGTAGCTACCTCCCGGCTAAGCAACTTGATCCTCGCACAAGACGGTGGGTCCACGTCAAGATTTTCCCGCTGCACCTCGATAGACTATGCCCTACTATAGATGCGCACCACAGGCTGTCTGCAATGGGCCGTGATGTTGCCTGGCCATTCGATGCGATAGCTCCAATTCGGCCCGCGTCGCGTTTGTGGAGCTGCCAACGCGAACCTGCCTGGGCTTTCTTTCATCGGGTCACATCTCAATATCCACCGTCGCCCCACGCGGGAGGGGGGGAACAAAGAAAGAGGGGGCCCAAAGATCGCGTTGGTGATGTGGGTGAGTTTGTTGGCGCAGGGATGATAATTCGGCGCGTTTGCGCGTGTCTGCCGAGGCGAGGGTACAGTACAGGGCAATCAATTCGAAGGCAAATTCCAATCACGAGAGCACACGGATTATAGCCACTACAAGAGTACTAAACTTCGAGTGTTGGTTGCTGAGGGGGAAAAAAGACTTTGTGGCTGCTGTCACTTGGGGGCCGGACGCTGCGCCGTCGATCCCCGGAAGATACAGTACATAGTTGACAGCTAACGTGAGGAAACCGAGTGACTGATCGAGTCCGTGTTTTGGGGGTGCACACGGTCAGTGCATTTCGAGACATGGTCGGATTAACCCCACAGGATTTATTTGCGTACGCCACCCTGATAGGTGCGCTAGCACGGTTTGTGGATTTTTGGATAAATTAAAAACGACATTTTCTTTTTAGGAGAGCCTAGAACGAGAAGCCTTCGGCAAATGGTGTGGATAACTAAGTCATAGCTATCCACGATACGGGCCTTAGAATACTAGTGTAGACGGCTATCAGAGCATTGCGAAGCAATAGCTAATAGCACGACATTAGTCCAAGTACATTTGGGTTTACCGCAGAGGATGAGAAAAAAAAAAGGAAAAACCAAAAAACCAAAAATCAGTCATGGACGTGGGGCAAGGACTATTAGATGGATAAAGTATATGGTCCGACAGTATTTTTTACCAGTACAAAAGTACCGTAAGGCGTCACCAGCCGTGATACATTAATTACGGATACAGCAGATACCACAGAGGGACACAAATACCCCAAATACAAGGACAGTACACCGGTGGAGTCCACATGGATCGTCCCGATCGAGTCCCAAGGAGAATCAACTGGGTCCTCGACTCCAGAAGCTCTTATTCCCAGGCTCGCCCTCCTTTTCCCTCTTACTCTAGTCCCTCTTTTTGGCTTCTCTTGAATCCCTTTTTCTTACTTCAGGGAAGTTCACTAGTACTCATTGCCGGTGGCAATATAACATTCATTCATCCCTTTCCTCCTTGCGTGTGAGGATCCGACACTCTAAGGATTCCACCGTCGTCATCCGCTATTGCACAGGTCCGCGGGTTACGTCCTTGCTGCGATCTTCAATAGGGCTAGGGTTTCCAAGGGTTCCAAGACTTCCCCTTCATAGACGCTGGTTATCCCCAACCACGCATTGACACTCGACCCTGTGTTTATCGATTGCGACTTATCACACTCGGCTGGGGCATTTCGGTGTTCCGACTCCCTTGGAAGTTTGTTACTGTTTATAGTTTGATTACTTGTTTATCGAGGGTGTGTCTTCCTGTCCATGATCTTACCCCCAGCATTCCTTATCCACCGTCCTCTCTCCCTGGAATCGACATTCCACCCCATTTGGAACAAACACCTTTGATCCCTATAGGGTTCTCACTCATTCAGCCCTTGGGACCAGCAATTGACCTTGTGTAGGATCACACCCAGCCATCTGGCGATCCGATCCTTACCCCTCCCACCATCCCTGACGACTCGCCACTCCGTCTTCTATGAATTGGGTCGAAGGATGTTAGTTGCTTCTTCCTACGCATGAACGCCTCGGTCCGTGACCACACCGGCTATTGAGAAAGAATTTCAATCAAGTGAATAAGATATGGAATCAAAAAAGCCGAACATCCCACCGTTAAAGATCGTCAAGTCGAATTCGAATATAGTCGTGTCGCACACGACCTCGGAACACGAATCTCGACTCCCCCCGGCTCGTTTCTATTCGAGTCACGGCCACTCTGAAATGACACCACCTGTGACCCCGCTGGGAGCGACAGAACACACCATGGAACAAAAACAACCAGAACAACAACAACCAGAACCGCAAGACGCCCCGAGGGCCGTCTTTCACAACTACCTTCGCGCATTTTATCCTTTTCATCCGGCCGGCAATGTTTCACCATCGACGGTCACTCTTCCTTTGGAGCAGGGAGACATCATCCTGGTCCACTCCGTTCACACCAATGGCTGGGCCGATGGTACCTTGTTAGATTCTGGGAATCGCGGCTGGTTGCCGACGAACTATTGCGAAGCATACGACCAATTGCCAATGCGCCCTTTGCTGAAAGCCTTGACTGATTTCTGGGATATCATTCGAGGAGGATGCGGGTCATCATTGAAAGATTTTGGAAACCAAGATTTGATGAGAGGCCCGATTGCTGGCGTTCGGTTCCTTTTGGTAAGTGCCTCGAAGATGCAAAGAAAAGCCGGTGTCTGACCCCCTAAATAGGAGAAGTCAGAATGCTTGACTCGGGAATCATCTTTGGTTCGGAAGTATGACGGGCTCCGCAGGATTCGGAAGGCTTTGCTCTCTGATCTTTCGTCGCTTGTCAAGACTGCGAAGAGGTTCCAAGATATTGCTAATGGAGACCCGGAGGAGGATGAGGTCGAATCCATTCTGGATGAGATGTTGCTGAAGGCTTTCAAGATCGTGACTCGGGGAGTTAGATTCCTCGACGTTTGGAATGAAGAGGTCGGTCTGAACAGGACTATCGCCGAGCTGGAAGGTGCGAACGATAGCCGTAGCCAGTACAATATGCCGCCAACACCAGCCTCGGAGAGCTTCAACATCGCTGACTCCGAGACTTACCCCGAGCGAAACGAATCCCGCCAGATGAGCCGCAGTCGTATGGATATGAGCCGTGCGTCAGTGCGGACCGAGATGCTCGACTACAACCCTCGGCCTGTCTCAGTATCAACAAAACGGATTTCTGTGTCTCACAGGATATCCTATTCTGGCCCCTCATCTGCTGTTCGTGCGCAAAATTTGGCCTCGGAGCGCTTGGGCACGTCCTATGACGCCTTCCTCGGTGTGCTTGGATCCTTTATCGGGCTTCACATGCAATCGCGCTCCTCTACCGAGTTGGTCGTTACTACTCAACAGGCCGTTGAATCCTGTCGCGCTTTGTTGAACGTCGTCGAGACTGTCTGCGAGCACGACAGTCAGCGGGCCCTGTTTCTGGAGGAAGCACGCGGGGCAATGTGTGAGAAGCTCTCGGAGCTTGTCCACGCCGCACGCGACGTCTTTCGCCCGGCCAGCGGCCAAGACGACGACCTCATCTTCATGCCCGACGAGGGCAAGCGCCTCGTCGACGCTGCGACCGACTGCGTGCGCGCTGCCGGTGCCTGTCTTGCCAAAGCTCGCTTGGTGTTGGAGCAAATTGGCGACATCGAGCTCGACCCTGTTGAGGAATCGGTGAACGAAAAACTGCCTGGCATTGTGGCCTCGCAGGAGCCATCCGACACTCCAAGTGAACAGGAGAAGCCGCAAGAGCTCTCACTTCGCCTGCCCCCGCCGCCTATTCAGATTCCAAATTCGACCTACTCACCTTCCACCCCTGCCCTCACCGACGCTACGACACCCTCTTCTTTCCAATCGCACCTCACTTCCTCGACCCGCCAATCTGCTCTCTCTTCTCTTCCCAACTCTGCGATCCTCCCCACCCACCTTGAAAGCATGTCCTTCTCTTCCTACGACAGCGGTTACCGTGAGAGCCACCCCAAGTCGGACGTGAGTGAGTCCTTCGGTCGAGGTGTCACAAGCACGGGTAGCAGCTTCACGTACAACAGCCACGCTCGCGACTCCGAGATGAGCGGCGTCTCTCGCACTTCCACCCGAGCCACCTCCCCTGAAATTGGCGGCAGCTTCAACCAGCCGTCATTGAAGGAGAGCTTGAGTCACTCAACTCTGGCTGAGGAGAATGAGGAGACTGAAGCTCACCTCTTAGAGAAGACTTATGCACATGAGTTGATCTATAAAGAGGGCCAGGTCATGGGTGGTAGTCTCCGAGCTTTGATCGAGAAGCTCACAGCTCACCAATCCACTCCCGACGCGATGTTTGTCTCAACCTTCTATCTCACCTTCCGTCTGTTCGCGACACCCCTGGAGTTTGCCCAGGCTCTGGCTGAACGCTTCGAGTACATCGGTGATACCCCTCACGCCGCGGGTCCAGTCCGCCTACGCGTTTACAACATCTTCAAGGGCTGGCTTGAATCTCACTGGCGCCACGACCGGGACAATGATGCTCTGGACTACGTCGTGAATTTTGCCAAGACACGCCTGGTTACCGAGCTCCCTACCGCTGGCAAGCGTCTCGCCGATCTGGCCGAGAAGGTCTCCGCCGTCCACGGCCCGGTCGTGCCTCGTCTGGTCTCCTCCATGGGCAAGACAAACACGGCTATAGCCCAATACGTCCACCCCGATACTCCTCTTCCCGCTCCCATTATTGGCAAGAAGGAAGCCAATCTGTTGAAGCAATGGAAGACTGGCGACGCCGCGATTACCATTCTCGACTTCGACCCGCTGGAGCTGGCTCGTCAGTTGACCATCAAGGAGTCTCGTATCTTCTGCTCCATCCTTCCCGAGGAACTCCTCGATACGGAATGGATGCGCAAGTCGGGCTCGCTGGCGGTCAACGTTCGTGCCATGTCGACACTCTCGACTGATCTGGCCCACTTGGTCGCTGACTCTATCCTCTACCTCGAGGAGCCCAAGAAGCGTGCGGCTACCATCAAGCACTGGGTCAAGATCGCGAACAAGTGTCTCGAGCTGAACAACTACGACTCGCTCATGGCTATCATCTGCTCTTTGAACTTGTCAATGATCTCTCGTCTCAAGCGGACTTGGGATATCGTGTCCCAGAAGACCAAGACATCCTTGGAACATCTTCGAACCATCGTCGATGTTTCTCGGAACTACGCGGTGCTGCGCCAGCGTCTGCAGAACCATGTGCCACCGTGTCTTCCGTTCGTCGGGACTTATCTCACTGATCTGACCTTTGTCGACCACGGCAACCAGTCTCTCCGCACCCTACCAACGGACGAGGGTGAGATGGCCGTGATCAACTTCGACAAGCACATGAAAACTGCCCGTATCATCAGCGAGCTCCAGCGCTTCCAGATCCCTTACCGCTTGACTGAGGTTCCCGAGTTGCAGACGTGGATGCAGAACGAGCTTATTCGCGTCCGCTCAAACGGCGAGACCACCGCTCAGACCTTCTACCGCCGGTCCTTGGTGTTGGAGCCCCGCGAGCCCTCGCGCAGTGGCACCAACCTGCAGTCCCAGGCCCCAGCTCAGTCCCAATCCCAAACTGAGTCCAACCCCTCTACCATCCTTGAAAACGCCAAGGACAAGTTCGACTTCCTCTCCTGGACCTACCCATCCAAGCCCAAGTCTGTTGCGACCCACGGCTAAACGACCAATCACCTTCATCCAATACCCCTTACATTTACGAATAATGACCTACGCTGTTTACTTTGCGTTTTTGATGTTCTATTCAGCTATTTTGACCATATCCTTATCTATGTTGGCTGCGTGACCTTTTCTTCCTGAAATGTTTTGTGAATATCCCTTTTATTATCGGCCGGCGCTCGTGTTTGTTTTATCGTCCCATGGACTGGCATCGGAAAAGCGACAGGAATTTGGGTCCGGCTGGACATGGAGTACCACAGGGCCTTCTTTCGTTTTTCTATTCCATGGCTTTCCCTTTACGAATTTTATTTGGTGGATACAACGGCTTTTGTTTTCGTGACCCCTTTTTTCCTGTTATCTTTTACCTGAAAAGGTAGAAGAGACAAGGGATAAGCCTCGCGGCTTCTGTACAAGTGATATATCATAACTGAATTGTCAATGCAGAAAATGCTTTCATCGAACTCTGTCTATTCTCGTAAATCTTAATTTTGTCCGTACAACTTTTTGTAGTGGGTGTACAACGATAGACTTGTTTAGTTTCACCCCAGTGACCACAGGGGCTACTTATCCCCAGCACCGCGAAAAGGTACAAGTCTCGCTGGGGTGTCGTGCACAGCCCCGCACGACTAGGCCTGTCATCCCCTTCGCCCATTGGAACGCAGAACCGGAGATCCCAAACCCTCCGGGGGTGAAACGCAATTTGACTTGAGAGAAGCAGCCCGATCCGCGCCGGGATTTGAAAGATTCAGGTATAGCAGAGTCCAGTTAACGGTGGCTAACTATCGATGTTTTCTTTGGTTTTCGTTGACTTTCGTGGTTTTCTGAGTGCGCAGGAATTGAAGGCGCAGTTGTGGAATTTGGAGCGGCCCACGCCGCTTCGGGTGAAGGATTCGTAGAGGTAGGGCTTTGAATATCGTTGTTTGTGACAGGCGTGCATGATGTGGATGGGTTGTTGGTTGTTCGACTGCATTGCTTTTGGGGTTGTGGTGGGTGGCACTGTCGGGTCCTCTCCTTCCTCCTCGAGAATGGGCGGTAGTGTGACGACTCGAGTAGGATCGCCTTGGGTTTCGGCCATGTTCCACTGGAGAAGTCTCTCCATCATTGGCTCGAAGTTTTCGGTTGTCACTTGCTGGGGCTCGGTGTACTGAATCTTGAGTGAGTCGTCCATGTAGCCGTAGATAACGCGGACGTAGCCTCCGCGGTAGATGGTGGTGACCAGTGTCTATGAGATTGTAAGTAGACGCTCCGATATGAAAGTGTCGGGGAGTACACTCACTGGGAAGACGTATTTGGGCATTCTCTCTTGCCAATGCCTCATGCGGCAGTCGCTGAAATGGCCCAGTTTTCTCTCGTTGACCATGGCTTGTCGCATCATGGTGACGAGAACTTGGAGCTCGGTGATTGACGGAAGAGTATCTGAGTACTCGTTTGGGGAGATAGTGATGATCTGGTGGTTTTGACGGATCCGATGGTTTTTTGATCGGAGTCGATGAGCAGTCAGTAGTCGGAACTTGGCTTTCTCGCCGTTGTGGTGGATCAAGCCATCAAGGGAGTTGTCGTTGCTGTAAGTCATGATTAACCAGGGCTGAATTTGTCGAAATAACGGGGGTCTTACTCGATTGAAAGCAAGTCCGGGACTACATTGCGAATTCGAGTGGCGATGGTCCGGTAGTCCTTGAAGGCTGTGATGAGCGCGCTTCGTAGGAGACCGTCACGCTGGCGCACAGTCTTGTTTTGGCAGTTGGCGCCTTGACCGAGGAAGCACCGGAAGAAAGTGCTCTTTTCTAGCATCCACCGACGTTTCTTGATGAGTATGTGGTCGTCGTCGCGGGGAGCGAAACAAGGTGTCACGGAGGGTGAAGTGTCTCCAGTGTGGAAGTCGAGAGGTGTGAGTTGTATGCCGTAGAACTGTGCCTTTTTGGCAGTTATTTGGTCGTCTGTCGACACTTGTAGAAGCTTGAGTATCAGGTCTAGTTTCGCTTCACGGAGCTTGTGGCTCCAGAGCCAATAAGGCTGTTGTTGTCTTCGAACTCTCATTTTGTTGGATGTCACTGTTGACATCTAGCGGGTTGGTGAAGAAAAGAAGAACAGGAGAGGACGGGCAGTCTATTGTAGTTTTGCAGACCCGGGGCCTCAAACTACTATGCCTATAAGAGAAGCGGAAGTAGATGAGGTAGTATGTTGAGCCGATATAGAAGAGGAAGCTTCCCATACTTCAGATCGCCGATAGGAGCTTGGAACCGTGGAATGGAAAAGGTACCATGCCCAAAGAAGGTACTACATACTGAGAGAGGAATAGGAAACAAGGAATAGCATATATTACCAAAGTATAGACGAATATGGGCCCAATACCCGCCATTCCATCTGACACTGTAGGATTGAGTGTTCCAAGGTTGACCCAAAAGGAATCGGTGGTATGGTACGGCACTGTCCTCGGGTATAGCGACCCTCAAAGCAAATAACTCATGGAAAATGGTGGCATATTGAAACTTGTATAGCAAGGAGTGAGATGGTCTGATATGAAATTGCAACAAGTATTCGCGTAGTTTGTGCGCTAAAGTTCTCGGAAACGATACGGCGGTCGTGGCACAGGACGAACCCGAACGTCAAATGTCCTCATGTACACTCAGCTCTGGATACAGGGCGGTCTATTTCATGCCATACAAGCAGACTACGGGTGGTGTAAATGTATACCTTGAAACAAGGCACAGTCGTAGTCTACCGAGTTCATAGCCAGTCAGTCTATATTAGTTGTGGTCCAAGTGGAGCTGGGCTGGTTGGCACTTACTCTGGTCAGCAGGTAGCTTAGGCCTGGGGCTTTTGACTGTAAGCGGGCTTTGACGGTAAGCGGGCTTTGACCCGTAAGATGAAGGCCTGAAGCGATTTCTAGCGTACGGATGGCCTCGGTTATCTTATACTCAATTGAAAAACCCCCATGTGTTGCCTCGCGAGCCGGTAGCTCCGCGGAGTGTCCGGTGCAGCACGGGTCTGCGACCCAACACTATAAAAGGACCTACGATCTCGACATTTTGACGATAACCAAATTAAATCGACCTCAGTTCCATTCGGCCCGCATAGTGTTGATTACGAGCCCTTCTATCGTAAAGCACCTTTACACTGTTCGCTCATCACTACGTCATGTCGACCGAATCGCTTCAAGAGACGAACAACAAGACTCTGGGCACAGAGGCAGGGACATTTCCTATCATTACACTTCCAGATGGCCGGAAAGTACCAACTGGGACTATCGGAGCTTTGATGGTAAACGTCAAAGCATTCGACGATGGGACCGAGGAACAGCGAGTCGAGCTGGAATCTGCCATTCGATCGGCCATCCCAACGCTCCACAAAGTGGGCATGTTTGATCTATTCACTCCGGACGAATGGATTACAGACCGCAGCCCTGGCAGAAGCCTCGTTGGTAGGCTAGCACGGGATTTTATCGCGTGAGTTGTGATTTCTAATGTCGGATACGAGTGATATTTCACGTAGTCGGCCTATCACTGACTGGGGCATTTGCTCAACTTTCTAGAGGGAACTGAATCTCATGAAACAAGGTCTCCCGTCCACTCCACTAAAGGCGCATTTGATGAACACTTCTACCACTTCCGGAAAGAAAGCTGTTCTTCCTGTACTTGCTCAACTTCACCCTGATACCGTTTTATGAACCGAGATTGGCGATGTGCGGGGGAACATAAGCGTGGAGGGTCTGAGGGCCAGCCAATCCGGGGATACTGCATATGATATTTCCTGAATTACAACGGCTTTTTTGCAAAGCGAAGACTTGTTGAATACCATACACCTTCTTCCTCAATCGAGAATTCCTCAATCGAGAACATCTTCTAGCCTCAGCTACCTAAATCGAGTGATAGGCAAGGCAGCGGATCTGGATACCTTGGATATTGTGCGTCCTTTTGGTGCTATGAGTTGTGAGTGCATATGGCCAGAAAGAAGGCAACCGACGATCGAATAGATTGTCTGGTCTTCCGAACATCTCCATTCGTTGGATCTGGGTGTTGTATTATGGATAGAACAACCTACGTATCTAAAAATCTGCGCCTACATAACCAAGTGGAAATACGCGCTGAGCCTCCCATGTAAAATTACATACATACGTCGTTTTATTCCCTCCGTATCGACTGATAACTAAGATTTCAAACGTCAACTCATAATGATTAATACAACCTCACCCCCACCTTCGGGGCCAAGTGACACATCTTCATCCATATCCCGAATAAACGCTAATCCCAGCACACAGCCCCTCTAAAAAGTCCGTGCCAGCATCTAGAATTTACACCACCGTCATAGCAGCACCTGTAGGGGATACGTCAAAACCGGCAGCAGTATCCCGTATCCGGCTATGATATGTTCGCTGTCACATCGCCGATCCGTAGATCGGGGGAGGAATACGAATGCCAAGATCTGCAAGCTGCACCTCTAGGGTTGACCAAAATCTATTAGCGCCTTGTGTGGTTGGCTGCGGAATAAAGCTCACATGTCGGAATGCCGGAGATGTTCGTGGCTAGTTCATGCGGGTCAAGACTTGTGAGGCGTCGAGTGGCGGGCTGAGGGGTTTAAGGATTTTCGGGTCGGATTTTGGTTTATGTGTGTATTTGTATTCCAATGGTTTTGAAGACAAGGGAATACCAGTTGGGTATTGTGTATTTTCGTGGATCTTCTGGTTTGGAGGCGAGTGATGTGATATGTCAGTCTTCGTATGCGTCAAGTCAGACTTGGCGCTCTGGGTGGCATAATTGCTAGTAACGAGGAAAACTAGAGAGATGTACTGTACGTTTGCAACCAATCTGCGGGAAGTGAACAGACTTTGGATAGTGATGGTTGTTGAAGTTGTTTATGGTCCTTGTTCATAGGCACAACTAGCTCTGGTATCCTGGCCAATAATCTAATTTACATATCGTTTCCGGAACGCCTCTAAGAAACCCAATCCTCCATCGTTACTTTCATCATCATATATATTGATGTCTTCATCAGATGGCACAAGGCCGTGTGCTGAGTGTGGCCGCAGATCCAGAATGGGGATCATCGACGGTCGCCCATGGGCACACTGAAATGGGAATGCACATTTGGCCAGCCGTGAGACCAAGACCTTGCATTCTTCGATACTCAAAGGATCATTGAACATGACGGCTGTGCGACAGGCACGAGAGTTGAGGAGATCCAGGATGCTCTGGGGGCAGCCACTCATTTGCTGTACCCATGAATGAGCATCAGCCGGTTCGTCAGGCGACATATTTGTGAAGTGCTTCATGGAAGATCTTTTTGAGCCCAATGGCCTCCGATTATCTTCCTCGCATGTCCAAATCTCACCACGCAGCAGATTGGCCGCCAGATTCGGCTCAGATCGACAGCGCTCAGCGATAAGAGCTGGAAGTGAATATACATAGACAGTGATGGTGTCAGCTGGCTTCGTATCTATATCATAGTGAATGCCCCAGGTTTGGAAGTGATCCAAGTACTTCCGAAAGAGTGCACTTTCAGTAGCCGAAATATTGAACGCTATAGGATCAACTTCAACCACTCGGACTTGCGTTTCTCTTCCGGCAGGGTCCGTTGAGATAAACATGTCCTCAAACAATCGCTCGACACGACAGCGCTCATCCGCTGCATGTTGATCAATTAAGATCAGAGTGTCCTCGGGATCATCGCCATTATGCTGAGGATATTCTGAGGGTATCTTGACAAGAATGAACTTGTGATCCACTTGGGCAATGATTGAAGCGGTTGCTAGTCTGTGACGCCGTATTTTACCCCTGAACTTGGCAAGATGGGTTCCATCCAGGGATCTGATGTCTTGCAGACAGCCATGAGAAATAGTTGGAACATTAAGAGTTGCCAATGGCTTTTCAGATCGAGCGAAAACAGGATTATCCCAAGATTCCAGGAGGCCATCAACCCACTGGTTCCGAAAAGGGTCGGTCTCGGAATCTTCCTCTAGGGAACGGCCCGGTCGTTGCCTACTAGCAGCTAGGCTACCGGGCCAAAAAGAAAAACCAGCAGAAGTTTTTCGATGAACAGTCTGACCTGTGCGTGAATTAATCATGTGCGTTTTCCCTATTTGCGGATCTACCAATGGAATTAGCGGGTCTTTCGATGGCTCGTCGCCTTCCGTCTCATTCTCGACGAAGTGTCTCCTGATATGGAATGACGTTGAACCCTTGGGTGGTTGACCAGACAGCAGCAAAGAAGTCGAACCGCGTTGTTCATGCTCAGTGGCGCCCAGTGAAAGTTCTGGCAACGCGTGATTTTGCTCATCTTCCCAAGTCTCATTTCTGGCACTGATATTCTCATTTGAAAGTTCGCCTGCTGACGCACAATCCAAAAGATCTTTTGCAGACTTGACCCTGGACCAGTTGTTGAAGCTCTGACCTGAGTTCACACGTGATTTTTGAAAAGATGGAAGCTTGAGTCGACTACTAAATGCCTCTTCTGTACTTGAATGCGTGCCCGTGTCTCTGAAGATTGAATGCGACCCAGTATCTCTCTGATCAGGGGTGGTGGTTGATAGAGTCCGATCGGATCCCTTGGCTTGCCGCCTTGTAAGACGGGGTCGCATATGTTGCTGTTTCAGAAACTCCAAAATCATAGCACTAAGAACATCGGTGATACGCTGTATCGACCTTTCGGAATCTGGTGATAATTCATCGCCAGATAAATCTTGGATGTTTCCTGCGTCAATCCGTATGTAAAACATTGGCCATTTGTTGATCGGCTTTGCCCAACTTCTGCCACTCGCACTTGCTGGGCCATGAGAGCCACCCAGTAGAGGCGATGGACAGACCGAGGGCGTGCCATCAGACATTGAGCTGCTGTTTCCGAAGTCTGACAGAGACATCAATCGATTGACTTCGTTGTATAGGATGTTCGAGTTGCTCCGTGAGAAGACCGGGTCATCTCCCAAAGAAATGAACTGGAGCTTCTTGGAAGGACTGGGCACAGTGGAAATGGCAGCTCGAATCGTGAGATCGGGAATAATAGCCGACAAGACATGCCAAGAGTCCATGTTTCGAGAGCTGATCATTCCAGATTGTGCGAGTATAGATCCGATTCGCCCGAGGTCGATTTCGGATGTAGAATGGTCCACAGAATCACCCACAAGTGAGGCGAGGCGAATGGAAATTCTTTTGTCTCTTGTCACGTCGGTCATAACGAGCTTCGAGAACTGGGGATTAGCCAACATCAAAGAGACCAAGGAATATCTGAGATTCTCCCATTCTTTCTCCAACTCATCTGGCCTTTGCAGAGCCAATGCTCGACTCTTGACCCGCACCGGCATATTCCCGAAGAGATTGTTGACCGTGACACTCGTGCCATGCTCACCAATCCGAAGATTTTGATGTGATGGTGCAGGAAACAAGCGCGCAACGGGTTTCGAGTGATGAAAGATGGCGGAATTCGTGCTCTGATGCTGTCTGTGACGGGATGTCACGGTCAACAAGGACAAAGAAGCCAGGGAAGCCAAGAATAGGCCTCGACGCCCATATGCATCTGTGTTTTGGAATCTTGACGTATCTGTGAGAGTTGTGAGTAAAAGACACATGTAGACTGGAAATCTCACATACGGTGCGCCTTTCCAAGTCCACCGGTCGACTCGAATTCAACAGGTCGGATTCCTTCGCCGTCATCTTCAACGATGCAGCTTCCACGCTTGAAGTCAACTGAGACGAGCACCGTCTGCGCGTTTGCATCCAATGAATTTTTGACCAAATCTACAATCACTCCATTCAAATGGGTGATTGATGTCGACGATTTGATTTTGGCGACGATATCAGGAGGAAGCTGCCGGATTCCAGCTCCGGAAGACATGACGCGAAAGAGCTATAAAGTCGTGGATGTTCAAGTCATTTCTATTGCGTCAAGGGTGGGATTCCGGAGACGGCAGGAACGTTGCCACTCGATCATTATTGTAATATGCCAAGGAACTTGTAAAGGAGATCCTATCAAATTAACTTGGAATCCATCATCAAACAGATGAGAAGAAGATAAAAGATGAAGTGAAGGCGGTTGACATCAAGGGCGAGCACATGACTCGGATAAACAATCGTCCCGCACTGATCTCATTTGCCTCGGGACCCCGACGATGTTCTCGACTGCAACTCCTGAGTGACACCTGAAGCTAATCCTGGCGAGATTATTTGCATCGAAGATGGCTACAGCTGAAGGGCCTGCGCGGGCACATGGTCAGTTCATTGCTGGCACTTGTTTCCTGTGAAACCACTAATCCCCTGGTATACAATAGACCGCAACGGGCGTCGCCACCCCTTCTCCAGCTGGATGAAGCGATTGGCTAGCCTGAAAAGCTCTTCTGAATCCTCGAATCGTTGGTCTCACAAGCGACACGCGGCTACGAAGGCCAAGAAGAACGGAGGAGGAAACAACCCCTACCCGCTGTCTGGGACCGTCAATCGTCAGGCAGGAAATCCCAACCCAAACGACTCATACCCGGAAGTTGGAGAAGGGCAAACCTCTCGTTCGCGAAGCGATCCTTCCTTCTTTTACTCCAGCTACGAACATCCAGTCCCCGCGACGAGCGCCAAGTCGAACGCCCCTACCATTTCCACGAACGGTGACACCGCGATTTCGGATGCCGGGTATTCCAAGGCGGGCACACTGGCAACTGGTGGAGGGGGCATTAGCACGCACGATGGAGGCGAAGGCAGCACATTTTCATCTCCTGCACCGTCTGTCCGATCCTTGGCAACCACCTTGACCACCGTGCAGTCCGCGGCACCCTCCACCCAGCTATACCCCACGCAGAACACGCAACAGGGGCATGCACATGGAAGTTCAACGCAAAGCTCCGGGACCCAGCAGGTTCAATTCTCGCACCAGTTCCCTATCTCATCCTCGCCCGCCACGGCGTTGCCCGGGCACCTGATAACCCATAGCCATACCTACAACACGGCGACCGCAAACAATGTCTTGACCGATAATGCATCCATCCTCACATTGGCCAGCTCTTCCAAGCGCCGTCGCCGAAATTCCCTGGACACCAATGCTTCAGTCCGTGCGCTCGCACCCTCGTCGATCTTCGGCGGCAGTCGCGAAAGCTTGCCTCTAAGTGTTCTCAGTGGAAACGTGGCAGAGCCGTCCAATTCCTCTGCCTTCAATGCACAGGGTGTTCTGAGCCGCCCTAGTTTGGTTGGTCTTGCCAGCGCCGAGCGTATCAGTGTCTACTCATCCTCCGGCACCGCGCCCATTGCCGCCACCGGCGAGCGGAGCAGCTTCTACACAGCGAAGCAGGCCCCAACAACAGGCGACGGAGCAAGTATCCGCAGTGGCGCGCCTTCGCACAGCCGGAATGATAGCACAGCAGCTAGCATTACAGGCGTGGGCAGTCCCTTTGCAATGGCTTCGGGCCGTGTGAGCCGACGCAGCTCCGGCTGGGGGGAAATCACCGGCGACGAAGACGAAGAAGGCCGAGCCGAGCGAATGGACGAGAAGTCCACGGTGAAACCTGAAGATGGTTTATACGAAGAGCCCAAAGAGGGTTAATTCACGACAAATGGTCCTATCACTTATGGCTTAGAAAGGGTGTCAGCCGAAGGCAAACGATTTTACGCAAGACCCCTGCGAGCGGGGTCAACACGACAGTACACTAATGAATACACGCATGGGAATTGGGAAGCTGGGGTTTATTTTGCTTTGGTTCGGTGTTTTCGATGCGAAGGCGTTATCTTTTTTTTTTTTTTTCTTTTTTTCGGATGGCAGTTTGATACCCTTTGCGGTATGTGCGGTTTGTTTTCTTCTTTTCCTCTACTTCATGCATCCATGAACTTGCAAATTGAGCCGTGTTTCAAGATAGCCTACCCATAATTACTATACTTATTACGTGCATCCTCCATGCTTTTGACGCATCCTATCGACGCCGGATAGTCATCGGCATGTCATACTGGTACACGAACCAGGCATTCCGATACGTCCACTCGTGCTTCGAGTCCACCAGTTGAACCTGATACGAGTTAGCTCCGCTTCATCGCTTTTTTTTTCAAGTATTGACTCACATCGAACTGGTTATACAAAGTAGCAATCAACTTCTTGATCTCCAGCTCGGCCAGGTATCGACCCATGCAGACGCGGCCACCGCCACCGAAGACGAAGTCGACCGTATCCTTCATGCGTCTCAAGCGAGACTCGAATTGCTCTGCGCTCTCATTCTTGCGCTGGAACCAGCGGTCTGGGTTGAAGTTGTCCGCATCGTCACCGAAGACTCCATAGTCGCGGTTCGTCACTGCTGGATTGATACCCATCTTGGTACCAGCAGGGATATACCGCCCGTCTGGCAGGGTGAACCCGCCCTCTGGGACGACGCGTTCAAATATCATGGCGATACCGGGGTTAACCCGCATTGCCTCGCGGATGACAGCGTCCAGGTAAGGTAGGTCTCTGATTGACTTCCATGGAGCAGGGGTGGGGAGACCGGCCTTTTTGAGCTCGGCCACGAGTTTCGCAGATGCGGAAGGTGACTTGGCGAGGTAGTAGACGACGGCGCGCATTGTTGCGGAACTCGTGTCGCCGCCGGCCAGGATGCTCAGCATCAGCCAGTTTACGATTTGCTGGTCGTTGACCATGTCTGGGTATGTTTTCTTGAGTTGAACATATTTGTCCAGAGTGTGGTCGACGGTGCCGGCGGTAATCTTCTTCGAGGCGAGTTGGGCTTGGTATTCGGCGACGACTTTGAAGGCGTAGAGGACTCCGGTGAGGGTTGGCTTGGGGCCGATTCGCTTGATTGGGTTCTTGTCGAGGAAATTGTCGATCCATGGGACTTGAGAGACCTGGTATTTGGTCGTTGTTAGTGGAGTTCATAGAGAGGAGGAAGAGTGCTTCCGTACAGGTGCGAAATACTTCAGGCCATCGGTGGAGTCGGTTATCAGATTGTCAACATCCTTTTCCTGGTCAATGAAGCCATAGTGACGCCCGAAGCTGAAGTTTGCGGTGACATCCCAGGCAACTTGTAGATGTTAGCAACTGTCGTCCAAATATGGCGCTTCACACCTCAAACTTACAGAATCCAATCCACTCATCTGCGGGGCATACCGTGCCTGCATTCGCGCCATCCACAAATTTGGCTGCAAGCTTATCCACAAATTTGTTCAGGGTCTCATCGATAAGGGGCTCGTATTCAAGGACCTTGGTCATGCTCCACAGACCACGAATGGGCCGGATGTTCTGATTGTGCCAGTCCTCATCTTGCGAGTTGAACAGGTTGGACATGCGGTGACCCTCGATCAGGACATCATTCGGCCGGTACATTTCACTCTGCAATGGACATTGGTCGTCAGCAATGCAATGCGCCACCACAGGGATACGAGTTGTTGCAAAATAAACTATCCCTTACCTTCTTCCATGGGTTGCGCGTGGAGTAAATGGTGCGGATTAAACTGGGATCCGAAATGCTCACGCAATTGGGGCCAATTCGAACAGCAGTTCCATACGTGCGGTGCAGCTCTACATGCTTGAGATCAACATGGCCATGGTGAGTATGATAGGCACGCCAGAAATTGGTACTCTTGGCCAGGAGCGGTCCCGGAATGGCCCTCAAAGGCGACAAGAAAATATCCCAGACAAGCTTCGTAATGAGCAGCAAGCCAAGGGTGGCGAGAGCCTGGACCCACAAGTTGGATGGTAGCGAGGCTAACAATGTCATTTTCCCGCGAGCTGTCTCAAACAAATGTACGGCAAGTGACGAAGAAATTGACAGCTGAGAAATTGCAGTCAGAGATGTTTGAAGGGCAAAGAAATATGTCCAACGGTGGCGGTTATGAATCGCGTTCTGCTATGTAACCTGCGTAGGCTCAGGGATGAAGGGAGATCCATTTGTCCAATGGTGTATCCTCACGGAATCAGAAGAGGGGTTCGCTGCGCAGGAGGTCTTCCCATACCGTCGGGGCTTGATTAATACGCTATACTATTTTTTAGCGTGTCGGGAGACAGCGGAATGTGGAACCCGGAGATGTACTTATCGTCGCGATAAATGGCCAGATCCAAATCCATACTTTCTTAGTGGCTCGTGCAACCCGCGTTTTGACAGCCACGCCGCACCAGAGCTCGTAAACTTCGTCTTAGCTCGATGCCTTGCCAGTTTGAGAGAACGTGGCTTGAAGGAAGACGGTGCGTCAAATCCTGCCAGAACCCGACCTGGTCTTCGCCGGGACGTGGGCCGCGCTATATCCCGTGCATACGATGTGTCCACAGTGGTGCAGTCATATTGACCGGGATGTACCAGATGACATATCCACTATGCAAAAGCACCCGATGAAGCGACCCCTGCACGATGGCAATTGTGGATTCCTTTTGTGATAAATGCAGCGCCGATCCAATATACCTGCCAAATCCTGGCCCGAGCCGATACGAGAGCCTACTGGATGTGAAGCCGTGCAAATGAGACCCCCGACCAGATCTAACCATTCTCTCCCTATCATATTCCTGAAACCGCTAGCCTGATACGGTAGGGTAGCCAGGCATGACAGCCAAGCGACGATGCTTAAATCTCTACAACCACCCATGGCTACGAGGTGTCCATGTTTTTCGGGTCTACCATTTCCCACGGGTCCAATCGGCCGCTTTGACTTTGTGAGACTGTGAGATTGAGACACCGTCCAAAATGGAGGCCAATTTACCACCGTCCTACCTGGATGAGAGCCGAGCTCCAACTTTGCAGGGCGTGATGTGGACAATGGCCATCGTTCCACTGGTGTTCGTTTTGATGAGGTTGTATGTGAGGGTGGTTTTAAGGCGCGTTTTTGGCTGGGACGATTTCATCATCATCGTCGCCGTTGTGAGTATAGGACTCAATCCATCATCACGAGCAGGATGAGACTCACATGTCACCAATTCTAGTGCTGCCTCATTTCTTATTCCGCTGTGAGTCATGTTGCCTCTACTATAGGTCTGGGAAGACACCTTATTGTTGTCGAGCAAAATCCCAATGATCTTATTAATGTCGCCCTGCTGTGCGACATTGGAGAGTCCTTGGCCATCATGGCGTGCACCCTGGGAAAAACCTCCTTCGCCGTGACTCTGCTGCGGATTGTGGTGCGGAGGTGGATGGTAGCCTTGTTGTGGTTTGTGATTTTCACGATGAACGTGATCAATGTCCTCGCGGCTGTGTTTGTGTTTGTGCAATGCAAGGACCCTCGACACTTGTGGAATCCAGCGATTCCATCCAAGTGCTGGCCAGACAGCGTCTTCACGAACTTCTCACTATTTGTTGGAGGTAAGCAGTCAGTCCTTGATCCATCTTGCTCAAAGGCTAACGTTGCGGCCTCCCTCCTCCCGCTTAGCATACTCTGGCGCCCAGGATTTCGTCTTGGCACTCTTGCCATGGACGATTGTGTGGAATTTGCAGATGAAGAAGAAGGAGAAGTTTGGTGTTGCTTTTGCTATGAGTCTCGGGGTGTTGTAAGTTTTTCTGCAACATTGAAAAGCGTCGCCAATTGAACGCTAACATGTGCTTCACAGTGCCGGTGCAGCTTCCATCGTGAAAACAACATACCTCGTAGCTCTATCTGCTAAGGCCGACTTTACATGTAAGTTTCAACCTGACAATATCGGCGAGTTTTACAGTGACTAATCAGCCCTTTTATTCCAGGGGAGCTCGCTCCACTGCTCTGGTGGGCCGCGGTCGAGGACGGACTCGCCATCACCGCAGCTTCGATCCCCGCCCTAAAGCCTCTCCTGAGCAGAGTCTTCCCGAGTTCAACAGTCAGCGACTACGACATGATATCCTACCCATCAGTCCCACAAGACAGGGTCTTCGACAACTCGAAGGGCGAGACGCAGACGGATATCGGTCATACAAGTATTCATGACAGTGAAAGCCAAACGGCAATCTTGGAGCCAAGCATTCTAGGAAAAGACGAAAGTATCAACTTGACTACGGAAGTCTCTGTAACAGTGCAACATTCGCCGTGACGCAGGGTATGAACTGCGGATGTCGTGAGTTGCACTGATGCATAGACACCCGTTGATCGTGTATACATCGTGATATTATCAACGAGAGACTCCAAATTTTATACGAAGCTATTACGAGACCAACGAGAGGAAGTAGCACGTGCATCACCCAGGCACAGTGGATAGAATCGGGATGTTCCGTGATCCGACTCCATAGATGGCTCTCACTTGATATGTAAACAACTTACCCTTCTCACTTTTCCCCTTCGCTCCGCCGACTATCATCGCCGCGGCGACCTTTTTTGCTCGTAATCTATCTACAAACTCACCGAGATACCGCAGTACAATGTCTGACCATCGTCCTCCCCAGCCTCTTCCGAATGTATTTTGACTTCTCTTTTCACGATGATACACAAACACTGATTCGTTTTGTAGCAGCCCGTGACACGTTATGGTGATTATCTGAATGCTTCACGGGCAGCCCCGTCTCCGCCTGGACCTGGACTGGCACATGGCAATGTCCAGTCTGATTCTCAAGCCAACGGCGCCCCGTATGTCGGTCCTCAAACTGGCCCTCCGACCCGTCAACAGTTTGGGTATCCTTCTGGCCTCCACGCACTCCTCCAGCCCACTGATGCTCTTGGTCTAGGTGACCACGTTGATCCCAACCCTGGCCCTCGGCTTGGTGTATCTAATCAACTGACGAGTCAACTTCGGCTGCCAACCCAGGGAAGCCGCCTGCCCGAGATCAGTCGAATCACCTTTCCCAGCATCATCCCTAAGCTTGGAACCGACCTCTTGATGAATGTCTGGGTCAGGAAGGTACATGGGATCCTTCGACGCCTGGGCTTGGACAATGTCATCGGCTCGAATATTCCTCGTCCATCTCGCCAAGATACAACCTACACCAAATGGAAATACTGGTCCTTTACCGTGGGACGTTGGCTTCTAGGTCAAGTTGATACCGGCGTGATCGGGAACCTCCGGGCTTTCGACCTGGTCACCGAAGAGTCGTTCACCAAAGAACCTCCTTTCTACGCAGATGACACATTCAGTCGTATTCAGAGCTCGGAGCTTTTCCAGGAAATGGGCTATGCATCCAATGACTTGCACTCTATCCGCCGTGAGGATTTTCCCACGGCTGCATCATACGTTATTGCATGGATGCAAGCCGTTCAAATCGCTAGAGATCTCTCCCTTTCTGTTTCGCCCTTCATTGCTCTGATGAAATTCAATGCTATCAGAGATGAGGTGCCCGAAAGTCGTCATCTACTGAACGGCATCCTCTGGGGAGGAAAAGCAGCCCACCAGATCACCCATAATGAATTTCTTATGTGTTGCGTGAGACTACTCGCTATGTGTCATCGGGCTGAGAGAGAAGCTAGGATGGGCGCGCAGAAACAACCCTCCGAGGGGCAGACCGTCAACGGACTGACTACTGAGAACCTGGAAGCCGCGAACCTGGCTGCTGAGAACCCAACTGTCGAGAGCCCAGTTGTTGACAAACCGATGGCTGGAAACTCGGCTGCTGCAAACTCGGCTGCAGACCAAGCCCAACCCGGAACTTTATCAGCAGCTCCAATCGTCGACGAGCTCACCTCGAAAAATGCCGAAGGCCAGGGAGTGCAAATGAATCAGCCACATGCTCCGGTGGACACCACTGATGATGTCGCAACTCCGGCTACAAACAAGCCTCTTGACAAGGCCTCCGAGGCAGTCCCACGTATGGTCCCTCTGCACAAGAGCGGTTTCCAGAAGGGTCTCAGAGAGCAGGAAGCCGTCGCCAGCTCGTCGCGAGCTCACAAGCGCAAGCTTTCTTCCACTTCAATTGGTGAAAAGCTTGGCTCTGTCGGACCGCAGCTTCCTGTTTAGCCGGAATGAGACCTAAGAGATCCTGTCAGGATGCGTTGATGATACGTGAGGGTTTCAGAGATGACTTCGACCGAAACATGATATGTACCTATGTCCGAGTAGGTTGCTATTTTTTTGGTACAATCATATGAATCCCATTGTTTATTAACATTTTCCGTAATTTCTTACTATTCTCGTTTCCGATTGGCCCTCGCTCTCGCTCTCGTAAACCAAGCTGACACGCGCCCCTGAACCTCGGCTGCAATAGGCTGCATGTCTAACATCCTAGATGGGGGGCTGAGGGTGTGAACATGCAACATAGAATGCATGTACGTCATGACCGGAATGGAAATTCAGTTTACAAATCGAGAAAGATTGGAGATGCCGACTCATCGGACTTCTGGGATCGAGACACAATAGTTTTGATGAGACAACAGGGGCAGAATCTCCACACGTGACGATGACTAATTGCGCAGCATCACGGTGCGAAACCACTTTACAATCAACGAATTCGGGGACTCAACGATGTGCTTCATGTGGCTAATAAAGGTTAGAAGCGGCGAACGGCATAATAAATTTGCCCGGTGATGTAGAACCAATGAAGGGACGCCGATCGTGACCGATCAAAATGCCAAGTATTCAAGACCATGTCTTTGCCCCAACGGACAGGGGATTTTCGCGTACCCATTTTTGCAGAGCACATACCAACCCGCTGCTCGTTCTTGGCCCCACGTAGCCTGGCCTGATGGTCTACTGTACATAGCGGCATTGTTCACCTAGTGTTTGCACTCGGCATCGCAATCATGGAGAAGACCCAGTCCGGCCGACCGAGGACGGTCGCTGTTGTGGGCACGGGCATGGCGGGCCTGACCACCGCGCATCTATTACACCAGGACCCTGAGAGGCGATATGAAGTCACACTACTCGAGAAGGTAAGTTGATATCTGAGCTTTCCCCTTCCCATGAATGATTCTGCTCGTCGGGGCATTCAAAGGAGTGTAATATATGGCTGGACTGACACACAGTCCAGCGCCAACAAATCTCACTCAGCGCGGAGTCAATCTCAGTTCCTTCCAAGGATGAGAACAATTCGGCCATTTGGGCTGATGTGCCCATGCGTGCCTTTGCGGGTGGATTCTATCAGAATCTGATTCGCATGTATGACTATCTGGCTGTCAAGTACCATGCACAGCCATTCCTCTTCAGCTTTACCAGACTGCCACGGCCTCAACAGGCCTCATTAGCAACTTCATACATCCCCGGACCACAGATGGTCTATGCGTCTAATTTTCATCAAATACCACCGGTACCGCGCACAGTGGACTTGATTAACTGGCTTGTGGGGGCAGTATATGCCGTGGCCTGCTATGTCTGGTTCACCTTCTGCTGCTTCTTCATTGCGCCTTTTGAAGAAGACCCGCAAACGGGAGCGCCCAGCGAAACTCTTGATCACTACTTACGTCGCATTTGGCTTCCGCAAACCTACGTGGTCAACTACCTGCTTCCTCTCATCTCAAGTGTATGCACCTGCTCACACCAAGAGCTCTTATGCTTTCCAGCATCCGATATTCTGGCATACAAGCGACGTACCCATCGCCAGCAACACTTTGTTGTGACAGCTGGTGTCCAGTCTGTTCAGCAGAAGCTTCTGCAGGACATAGACGTTCGTCTCGGCGTAAACTTGACCCATGTCACTCCTCAAAAGGAAGGCGTTCAGATCGCATACTCTACGCCGGATGGACAGACGGCAACAGAACATTTTGACTTCGTCGTCCTCGCCATCTCCCCAGATGCAGCCGCATCGTTGTTCTCCCCAATAAACTCCCAGCTTTCCGCCATCCCAACAACAACCGTGGAGACGATCGCACACACCGATGAAACAACCATTGTCCCGATGCTGCGCGCGACATCTTCACTGTCACTCAAGAACCGCAAATCCGGCTTCAGCTCTCCAACACAACGAATCCACTTCTTCTCAAACGATTCCATCACCGAAGCAGTGCACGAACAACCCAACTCCATCCTCGTCACCACCAACCCTCTCTTCCCTCTCGACAAGTCGAAAATCATTCGCTCGGCGAGTTTCATCCGCGTGCTTCGCAGTCCTCGAAGTCGCATGATCATCAACTCGATATTCCGAGATCGCAGCCAGCGCAAGGTCTCCCCTGAAACTTGGCGCAGCGGTGACAACGGTGTTTACTTAGCAGGTGGCTGGTGCTGGGATGGAATGGTTCTGCTCGAGGGATGCATCGTTTCTGCAATGCGGGTCGCTGCTGATCTCGGTGTCACTGTACCATGGGAAGGTATCGATTAGTGATAGATCTATTAATACGGTAACCCTTTGAAGCTCTTGATGCTCATCGAGCGGGGCTTTCGTTGCATATCTTTGTTTTACCCGTGACCGTGTGCATGTTGTTTGGTATATGTCTACGCATTGCTAGGCTCCTACCATCGCATCGCGGTCTTTAGATATATCTTTCGGTGGAACATATTATAATTACATATAATAAAGTGCATAGAATATGGATTTCACGATGAGATGACCCGTTGACAACGGCAGATATCAGTCCTTTGGACAGGGGTAGGCTTTTCGCTAGTAAAAACGCCATAAAAGCTTCTCTAATCCTGGATAGTCTTGGGCACATACAAAATACTATTTTCACTTTCACACTGAGAGTGTTGAGCCGAAGATATCGACGGGATGCAGGAGCCACAGCCAACCTCATAAATATTGCCCATCATTACACTGATGGTCTACGGCCGACGTTCATTGACACTACACACAATACACTAGCATAGCACAGGTGATTCTCTGCAACAATCAATTCAAACACTATCAGATAACTCACTTGCCAAAGTCACCGGTCAAATTCTACCCAGCTAACCCTCCTTCAACCGCAATTAGGAGCCTGCACAGGTCAGAGGTACCCCGCTACATGGTAGCGCGCACTAGTTCAAAAGAATTAATCATCTCTCCGTGGAAAGGCTCTGGGAAGCAGAATGTTTGGCAGGTCACTTACGCAGATATTAGGACCAGTGGGGTTCGACTCGGGGGGACAAATGTTCGTACCCAAGCAGCAGCCAGGAAGGGGTCCAATAGTGATACACGACGTGCCAATTGGGCACTGCCAATTATTAGTATCGAATTTGTGGTTTTGTGGAATGGTAGTATGTAATGACTTACGCATATTCCTGCCACGGCGCAGAATGGTTCGTCTGCTGCGCACTGCAGGCAGATTCCGCCAATACATGCTCCTCCTCCGGGTCCTGGAGCACACTATATTCCCTTAGTAAAGTCTCGAAACGGATGACGGGGGGTGAGCAGCTCCTACCGCGTTGAAGCACTGTCCGCAACTGACTATGCTCGTTGCCAAGTCCGCACAGACTCCATCGCAGCAGGCCGGATTGACACCGGTGCAAGTAGGAGTCGTGCAAGATCCACAGAAATATATGTTTGACGATAAATCTTGACATGTTGAGTTGCAACACCCGGGTATGACACCGAGGCATGGAGTGGCAGTGCAAGAGCCGCAGTGGTCGACGCTGGTGCTGAGATCTGTACAGACTCCTGAACAACAAGCAGGAAGGACACCGGTGCAAGTAGGAGTCGTGCAAGATCCACAGTGGTTTATGTCTGTCGATAAATCTGTACATGTTGAATTGCAACACCCGGGTGTGACACCGAGACACGGAGTGGCAGTACAAGAGCCGCAGTGGTCGACGCTGGTGCTGAGATCTGTGCAGACTCCTGAACAACAAGCCGGAATGACACCAGTACAAGCTGGTGCGGCGCAGGAACCGCAGTGGTCGACATTAGAAGTAATGTCAGTGCAGCTTCCAGAGCAGCAAGTAGATGTCGTTCCTAAGCACTAGATTGTTTCACCTTGTCAGCATATGAACAGCAAAATGGCAGAGATGATATTTACAGCGAGGCCGCAGATTCCGCAGTTAGTATCGCTGGAAGCCAAGTCGACACATGACGAAGAGCAGCATGCGGGATCAACACCCACGCAGGGTAGTGAGAGACAAGCTTCACAATGGTTCGGGTTGGAGCTCAGGTCAACGCAGGTTCCCAAGCAGCATGCTGGCTGGACTCCAACACACTAGTAAAGTGAACCATGTCAGTGAATTGACTTGACATCTCTCGGGATACGTCACTTACTGTTGTGGTACAAGATCCACAGTGGTCCAAATCTGACGCGAGGTCGGTACATAGGCCAGTGCAACACGCAGGTGTGACTCCCGAGCAGGGGGTCGCATTGCAGGCGCCGCAATGAGCAACACTCGAAGCAAGGTCTGCACAAACTCCTGAACAACAGGCTGGTTCCGTACCCGAGCACTAGAACGAGTTATATATTGAATGAAAAATGCCAATTAAGAGAAGGACAGACTTACCCTGATACCGCAAAGCCCACAGTCGCTGATACTGGAAGTCAAATCAGCGCACATGCCACTACAGCAAGCTGGCAGCAATCCGGTACACTGTTTACATTCAATTGTCAGCTCAGTTTCACCTGACGACTTTAAGAAGAGTTGACTGACTGGTGCCGCAGTGCATGATCCACAGTGAGTAAGACTCAAGGCTAGATCAAAGCAGTGCCCTGAACAACATGCAGGGTTTAGGCCGATACACTAGCTGCCGATTAGAACCGTAATATAAACAGCTGAAGGGGCAGGAAGGGGCTTACAGGAGCCGCGGTGCAGCTTCCGCAGTTAGTTATCGAGGACACCAGATCGGTACAAGTACCGAAGCAGCAAGCAGGCGAAATTCCAGTGCACTAGGCACGGATAGGGTTAGCAAATTATTTGGATGGGGAGTTTGAATCTCAAGTTTTTAACCCACCGGTGGGACACCACAGGCACCGCAATCAACGAGACTGGAACCATGGTCAACGCAAATTCCTGAGCAGCAGCCAGGAATTTGCCCCTCACACTATATGGCATCAGAGACAGCAGTAGAAGATATCAAGATCCAGATATAACCATACATTGACACCACAGCTTCCGCAGTTTGTTGTACTCGATGAGGTATCCGCACAGAAAAAGCCGCAACATTGCTCACCAACTGCGCACTGCAGCGGGAAGGCGATGTCAGTAAATTGGAGACAGGATAGTATAGTAATTGATGGTATGATGGCATGATGGCATGGCAGTACTTACATGCTTCCATGGCAACCACGATGCACATTCAAAATCTGTTCCATGAGTCGCTCCAGCACTCGGACTAACCACCGTCACGGACACGTTCAAAGGCTTTGCCTGAGCATGGTTGATGATCACGATGCCTGAGACCGGATCAGACCTTGCCTTATATACTGTCGGTAACGATGGTAATCTGGGGTGGGGAGGAAAGAAATCTTCAATTTGTCTCACCAAAAGCAAGGAGAATGAAGATAGGCAGCCTTGCCATGTTGGAAGATGACAGGCTCGAGACTATATCAATAGGATTCCAGATGAGATCAATCGTGCGTGAAGCGTATGAGATTCTGTGCTTAATAAAGTTAAAACTCTAGGCTATCATTGAGAACTATCAAGCTTAAGTGTTATAGGTAGTCACCCATAAAGGTTTGTCCACATGAAAATCTCGGTAGGAGATGGTGTGTACAATGGGTATTTTGTGTCAACTCATTGTGACACTCATCTGCAAGTGTCCGGATTTCGGTTATATAAACGATCAACCATCGAGTTTTAGGTTATCGCGGCTCGCTTCTTCAGTCGACTCGGTCCCCGTGTCGGCGTAACGCAACGGTCTCTACTTGCAAATGAGGGGCAAATCAGCTAGCATTTCAAAAGCATGCTCTGATTTTGTGTTAAAGTGATTCAACCGCATGAACAGTTGCGTGGGCGTTGCACGAATACCAATACTTGCCACCGTCTATTTGACCGAAAAGATATTGCAGGCAATTGACGAGTATTCCACATCTGAAGGTTTAGGGGGAACGCGCAACAATCCATTCGATTCCAAGAATTACCACAGTCAGTAATGAAAGCTCCAAGCCACTTGGTCCCGCAAATATTCCCAGAATGAATTAGAAGAAGGGGGTGTTCCCCTGCCGCATAAGCACTTTATGCTACCTCGCCCCACGTCGAATGCCACAGTAGCAAGAGCTAAATTGGTGCCACCTCAAACTTTGCTTGAATTTAGATTTCCTTCAATGTCGCTTTCTTCTAGAATACAAAAGAAACCGTACTCGGGATCAGCAAACCATGGTGGTCACAAAAGTGGAGAAGTTGGAACCTGTGCCACTGCGTACGAAAGGATTGGATGAACGATCTCGTTCATGGTGACCTAAGACCACCTAAGACCTGAACAGAACATATCCTACTTGGTCGCAACCGAGTAAAACTATCCGACTTTGACTGCACGGCGGAAATCGGAACAAATTACGAAGCTTGCATGGCTCCATACGGCAGAATACTCAATAGCAACGAGACGGACCAAATCGGATTCACTTTCGATTAGTATAAATACAATCTTTGAGGCTGGGTGGTTGAACAAGGCATCATGGGAGTCACCTAGTTCTAGCTCTTTTGGTAATTAAGAGTCCACAAAGGACATTGAGACTCTTCTCTTTTACTCAGGCCAGAGCCAGTCTACAACCCTATGAACTAAGTCAATGTTGTAGATATAAAAGTGGTTGTCTATTCAAACACTGCACTGTAATCATCATCACTCATGGTCTGTTTCCATCCCCGATCTGCAGAAATTACCAACGGTAGCTCTGGCTGGGAAAAATAAACAAGATCGCTCAAAACATTACTAACAAGAAGCAGAAGACTGGACTTCATAAGCAGCAGGGGATAAGAGTAACATGTAATCAGACAGCGGCGACTCTTTTTTTTGGTAGTTTTAGTCCTTTTTTTACTATCTATTGGCACTGCTTTACGCACTGGTGCCAACGCCGTGCTTAGACTCGAGAGGACTTGACTCGGCCTTTTGGGATGCCATGAAGGCCTTGAACATGTCGGAGATGGCCTTCTCGGCGTGCTCGTCGCGCTTTTCGTTGCCGTTCTTCTCCATGATCAAGCCGCGGAGCCAGTGGTTCTCGAGCTCCAGCTGGGACACGCGAGCCTCGAGAGCGTCGTTCTTGTCGTTGCTTTCCTTGAGGCTGCGCTCCAGAGCCTGCTCACGCATCTTCTTCTTGACGCGGAAGCGGGCGCTGGCTGCGGTGTTCCGCCGACGCTTATCCTCCTCGGCGATGTTTCGTGCGGCTTCCTCGGCGCTAGCCTGAGTGGACTTTTGGGTGTGTTTGCGCTTGGGGCCAGCAGCAGCAGCGGACATGTTGGGGGCCGGGGCGGGGGCGACAGCCACGGGTGCAGCCGGCGCAGGAGCAGCGTAAGGCCCAACCTGCGGCACGGAGGGGGCATTCTGGTAGGACGTGTTCGGAACGGGCATGGGTTGGGAGTTGACGCCATTGAGGTCAGTTTGGAAGTCGGTGATATTGTCCAATCCATCTGCTGAAAATCAGTTAGCATCAAATTCCGTAAAAGAGCATACACATAGTCGCATCGCATGTTGGGTGACCCGATGTAGGCTGCACCAGTCCCGGTATACCAAGGCCGCCCTCTCACGTGAAGTGGCGCGATAGCAGAGGGGGCGCACATCATACTAGGGCCAACTAGCGATGCGACCAGTAGAAACAAAAAGCACCCTTCAACTTACCATTTAAGAAGTCCAAGAACTTCATATCCGCGTTTTGTGTCTGGTCCTCCGACTCGACCTGTGCGTCCTTGTCCTCCACGCCATCGAATGTAGGCAGATCCAAGTTGGCGAACTTGTCGAAATCGAAGAACTCGGCATTGGTGAACAAAGCCAACTCATCGTCGAAGTTGACGGTGTTCTGTTGCTGCTGCTGTTGCTGCAGAGCCTGGTCGTAGGGTGAGGGGATCGTGTTCAGATCATCGAGGTATTGGGAGAAGTTCGGCGGGCGGCGCCCGTTGAAGTTGGCCATAGCGAAGACCTGTCAACTCGGGTTGACTCGAAAAACCGAGAGATCAAGTCGCGTTTCTTTTTTTTTTGCGGGAACAATGAGGGTTCCGCGTTCACGGTGGGCGATTCGACGTGGCCCGGGCGTGCCGGATGCGGCTCTTGACCGAGGCGAAGTAGATTTTGGGAGCCCTGGTGAAGCGAGCGGGTTCGGTCGTAGAGTTCAAAACACAATTCCGACGATGTCGAGATGGAATCGAATGTGAGGGGGGTAGATGGAGAAGGGAAGAGGGTTGAGTTGGTTGGGGCCACAAGTGGGTTTTTTTCTTGGGGCTTCAGGTGGTTTGCAGGTGGGGGCTTACCCCCCGAAGAGGGGTGATGAATAATCTCGCCTTGTTTTTCAGATCCTCAATGGGGGCGTTTCTCTATGATTCATGTGCTGACGGCATTATTAATCACAACATAACTTCTCCTCAAATGTCTCGCATTCATGTCAATTTTCGCAGCCATTGTTCTACAAACGCCCAAGTCGCACAGCCGATACCACCTACCGGAGGCTCATTTTCTGGCGGCCGAGAATCGGAGGCAACCCACTTGGTACCCACATCGGATTATTCCTCTACAGTACAGTACAGTAAATGAGGGCATGGTGGCATTCGCACATACTGCAATCCATCGCTTCTCCTTACTCTGCCCTCTCGTTCCTTGTAGTTGAACTATGGTACCATGAAGACGCATGGCAGCATTTCTAGCGACAAAGCGCGGCTCCTTGCCTTGACACGGCGAACTCGGTTGCTGCTGCTGCTGCTGCTGTGATTGGTGGATGTTAAAGCCCGCATTTGTCAGCGTAAGAAACAGCCAAATCGGGGTTAAGTCATCTCGGAGTCATCGTTAAGTTTCCTGATTCTCCCGACGAAGTCGGGCATTATTAAGCACCCTGATGCGGCAACTCTTAACGCGGGGAGGCATGAGAACAATGTGGAAGGAATGAAAGATTAAAGTGACTGTCTGCTGTTTGCAGGGAGTACTGCATGCCATGCGCTCAACGTACGGGTTCAATCTCGCTTCAACTAGTGGGTCCCGTAATCCCGTAACGTGCAACATGTGGCATTGAATGCTGCCCAGGTTGCCTTGGGATAATGCCATAAATTATGAGAGTTATAAGAGTCTTTGGCGATACCGCAGGATGTGTCTATGTCATAAATTGATGTACCCAATGGAACAATAGGATCAGAACATTGAACCCTTGACGCTATGGGACTCTAAATTAAGGATGCACGTGATCCTTATCTACACGTGACCTTGTTGATGCCTCAACGCGTGAATTCAGACTGAAGAGAAACAATGCGACGAGTTCACCCCTCACCTATCAAGTTATGCGATCCCGCTAGTTGATGCACGAGTGATTGTCTCGCTATCGAGAAATCTTCGTCGCCTACCATGGCGCGCCTCAAATCTGTCCGAGCGCCAACAACAGCCAGTCTCCCAAACAACCTCCGCATTCCCTCATCCACTCCCTCACTCGCAAAGACTCTCGGCAAGCTATCGCGACAAGCGCTACTGGAGCTCGCTTTAACATGGCTTGACGACCGGAATATCGCATCGTTTCCGCCATATTTACAACCCGACGAAACCAATGGCGACGAAGACACTCTGCCATACCCCGCCGCCGAAACTGTTGAAGAGGTTCGCCAAGCATACGAGGGCCTGCAGGATAGAAAGGGCGGAAAGCGTGAAGTTCTCGAGCGCATTCTCGAGGGCGATTGGCGACATGGCATTTCATTGCGACAGCTCGCAATGGCCGACCTCCGTTACATGGACGACCACCCGGCCAGTTTGCGATGGACCGCGCTCGAGCTCAGTCGTATCGACGCGAGGAAAAATGCGACCGAGAAAGTCACACCAGATGACTGGTCGGGTAACGTCCCACGCACACAAGCTTCAACCTTCGTGAAAGCTCTCCAACATGAGATTGCCCCGTTGGTAAAGGCACACTACCACTTAGCCCGCTCATCCACTCTCCCTCTTACACTCTTACGAATCTTCATCATTGACTCGCCCTACCAATCACCTCGACAGACACCCGAGGTCTTCGCCGACTCCTCGCGTGTAGTCTATGTCGCATTCCCCGACAGCTGTCCCTTCGTCTATACCTCCATCACCGCAACAACGGGCTCCAAACCGGCTGGTCCCACGACAAGCTCCGTGGCAACGGACCCCCGCAGCCTACAACGCCTGGTGCGCGATGCGATTCCTAAGGCGCTCTCACGTCCGCAGGAACGATATACCTTGAAGCCAACATCATTAGCCGCTAAGAATCTCCCAACTCTTCTTGCACTCCGTGGTCCCGGCCGGTCAACCGCGGCGAATGGCGCATTTAGCATCTTTGCAGACTCTGCTATTGAAGGAAGTCCATTGGATCCGCGTCCCGCAAACACGGTCTCTGCAGAAGAGCACGTGCGCAGTGGCAAGACGATGATCGAAGACAAAGAGAACGAGATCAGCGCCGAGCAATCGATTGAATCTTCAACAAAACGCAAGTCGGCGGATAGCAACCCGAGCATAATGTCACCGACGTCGAAAAAACGGCGCTTGGCTGTAGACTCTCGCTTTGGAACAGCGGGGGGATCACTAGCACCAGCACCGTTGGATCGTCTGGACGTTCGACTTCTGGATCAGCCTGTTCCCGACGACGAGGAGGATTATGGAAGCAGCTCTACTTTGCCTGCAGTGTCACTCACGTTCACTGGGTCGGATGTCATCGGCGGCATTCGCAAGCTTGCTGAGCTCGGTATAGTTGATCCCGAGCGAATGCCATCGTGGATGACGGGTGAAGAAGGCGTTAGTATGGCGGTTGTTCGTGGGGGGAATCGACTTCGGAAAGATGTTTAACTTGGCATCCTCGTTGGCTTGGCCGATTGTATTTCATGCGGCGTCTGGTTTTTGGATCCTTTTGGTGGTCTTTGCTATGATACCCCATTCTCAGCATCCTTGGCAATGAAGATATCAATCATATTATGAGCTTCTCCAGTTAGACTTGAGCCAAACAGCTTGGTTTTAAAGATAACATCTAAAGGTGAAAATCAAATAAAATTGCGAATAAAAATAGAATTCTCGTAACAAAGCATGATAGTCACGTAGGGTATCAGGGTATCTTTGAATTTGAAACGCCCTTCTCGAACCTCAACTGCGTCATTGTCACCAGTAGCCACCATGCCCAGCATCTGAAACCATCGTGGGAATGTCACTAATTGAAAGCAAGGTCCTAGTAGCGGTTAAAAGCACCACGCTGCGCATAAGAGGACGACCATCGGACAGTTGATCGAGGCGAGTAGACGGAAAAGTCTGTTGAAAGATGATCACGGTTAGCAACTGCAACTAGAAGGCCCAATGGAATTTTGGGGATGGGGGTGAGCTACAGGGACGGTTTCATACCACGTTCTCCTGACAAGCCGAATTGCTGCGCTACGTTGACGTAGCCTTCGTCGTTGCGTTTGCCGGAGGCCTTCAGAGCTTGGATGTCGATGTCATTGTCATTGTCTTCGTAGCCCCACGGGGTACGACTGTGGCAGCCTATTAGTTGTCTGAAGGCGTGAAATTTGTAGTGTTCAGACTTACCAGTAAACGCAGCGAACACCCCTGTTGCTTGTTGTTGCAGCCCATTGTTCGAAGCATTTCTTATGGATGTTGTTTCCGCACGCGGCCTTGCACCAGATAATGTCTTCATTGGGTTCGAACTCCATGAAGCAGACGGGACAGTCGCCTTCCACGGGCTTGCGCTTGCCATCCTTGTCTTCTGCGTTGATGCCCTCGATCCGGCTGAGAGGGGAGTCCTGGTACATCTCTCGGAGCTCCTATTTGGGCGAAGAGGTTAGATTCCCTGAGCACTGGCGATAATGTGTTTGCAGGTTCAGCCATGCCACTTACCGAGGACAGGAAAGCAAGTTGGTACTGGAGGTGGGCAGCCGCTTTGAAGGCATGGAGAAGGACTTGATAGGCCATTAATAAGAATATCATAGCTAATGATAATTGATACGCCATAAGGAAAAAAGGGAAAGACTTGTTGAAAACTCACCGTAGCAGATGTGCTTGCACTGGTTGCCTTTCCGTCCATCGGGACAATCGCAGGCCGGCTCTTTCCCGATGACAACTTTGTAGATGTTGCCAGTTGACCCGACAATGTCGAACGAAAACTCTGGACATTCCTCTGTGCCACTCACAGTGTGGCCACTTACGTACATCCTGGGTACAATATGTTAGCTCAAAAGGACCACGCAGGTAGGTATCGTGGAATGTGCAAACCTTGTCCGGCGGATTCGTTCCAGTCGCTCCAGGTACGATTGTGGAGGCTCTTTTCGCCATCTGCGTGCTCGGCGTTCATTGTTCTTGGGAGAATTCTGGCTCTGAGGAGTCTGAGCTCGTGGTTTCTTTGCGCTTGTAGGTGCATCATCCGTCAAATCAATGGCCTCGACGTCAGGACGCGGGCCTGTCTGAGTGGTGGCCTTTCTCTTCCGTGGGTTCACGGGGGACGACTGGGTACCCTGGCTCTTCATAACCCGGTATGTCTGTGAAGCCATGTTTGGCGCTCGTGGAGTACGAGTACGAGGCTTGGCAGTCGAAGCATTCATTGTGACGGCTTCGTTCCATCAACCCTTACTTACTCGGGTCGTGGGTCTGCCAGTGGCAAAGGTACAAAAGCGAAGGGGGATTTTCAAATCCGCTTAATGAGAAAAAAGAAAAAAGGTTCAAGAAGTGCAAGTCCGAGATGAGGCAGCTGTTTTCATTGATCAAACGCCCAGATGAAGTGATCTACGAAGTGACGTCACACGCAGTCTTCACGAATGCAGAGGACGAAAATCGATTCACCGGGGCAGAATCTCAGCAACAAAGCTCTTGGGTTTCCGGATGTCTAATGAAAGACAGATGTAGGAGGAAGAATGAAGGGGAAGGTACGGGGTAAACGCGGTCGTCTGCATTGTTAGTCAGCGTCCCTGTCACTCCACCTATTACCGAAGTATACGCAGTTCTCCTGTTCAAAAGACCTCATGAGATTGGTATTCCTTGATCGCAAATTATCTACATATACTTTTTGGAAATATGTATCAGGCTCGCTAACGTGTACCGCAATTCATCATTCTGGCTGGGTATGGTGTATTCTAGGTCTTGGCAGTATGGTCGAACTCAGGTGTTGGTACCTTATACTGATCTCAATTCCTAGGGTTGCCATCAACTCCCCATTTATATCAATTCGCTTTCAGTTTGCGTCAACTGTGTAACTTTTCAGGCCAGACTTTCAAAGCGCAAGTCCAGATCTCAGCCGTTCAACGAGTACAAATTGGCCTATTCAACTTTAGACGGAGCAAAAGCCTCCATGACTTCACTTCTCACAGTCCCCTCAACAGGAACAATCCACTCTCTCCGATTCTTACAATAAACCTCAGCCTGGGGCGCCCAATTCTCTCTTGAAGGCCCCAAATCCATCGTCCCGGACGTAATGGCGACCACTTCTGCAGCGGACGGATCCGAGTCTCTGCTGGTGAACAACGGCGAGCTGCAGTTGGAGCAGAATTTCCGAGAGGTAGTATTTCCTGACTCCGTGTTGCTGTCTTCGTAAACTTTGAGGACATCCTCTCCGGATATGATGCGTAGTTGCTACATGCCGTTAGTTTCAACGAGTTAGATAGTTTCGAGGGTTGCGATAGAGAACTTACGTCTTTTCGATAGAGTGCATTGGCCATAAAGGTGGATCCTGTCACTTTGCGACAGTTATCACAGTGGCAAAGCAGTCTCATTTTGGGGGGCCCCGTCACCTCGTATTGGACTCTCTGGCAGAGACAACTGCCCTTTATGACGCTAGCGGTAGACATAGGGTTGAGAAGAATAGGGGGAAATATAGAAAGTCGGCTCAACGAGTAGTTGACTGTTTGAGAGAAACCTGTATTCCTTACGTCAAAGCTCGGCGGGGAAAGGTCAGCCGGGGCGCGGCATGGATCTAGATAGGGAAATGTCAAAGACTACAAATGACTCACGGACTGCATTTCACTTTGCATATCACGCGAGACTTCGAGAGCCTTCCAGCTATATCCACCCATGGCAGATGTACTATGTATACATTGGTCGCCTGGGCGTTTGGCGGGTTTGGTGGGTTTGCACTGTTTGGCGGGGAAGCTTCGCTATCGCTATCGGGTCGCTGCGAGACAGCTGCCTCCATCAAGATCATCAAGATGACTCGTTGAGAAGCTGCAACGCCCATAGGGACTGCAGTACACGAATAACACCACTCGCCAAGTCCCTCCGAATCCCTATCTTAATAATGGCACGCCCACGAGCGGCCTCGGGCGCGGATGCCTCGAAGGAACCTCATGCGGTCTCTCTTAAAGGTATTCATGCAATTCAACAGTCTACTAGCAGACCGGACAGAGAAGGCTGACAATGATTCTATTTTATAGTCCTACGGTAGGAAGAATAGCCCGTACCAATCGATTAGTCCCTAACGTCTCCCAGTCTCTCGCGACCTTCGCTGTCTTATCAATCCCCTCTCCCCGCGGCCAACACGAAGATATCACCAAAGGCCTCTTTAAGCCACCCATCCACAGAATCCGATCCTCAATTCATCCTCACCCCTAATGTGCGCATCCCGCCTTCAAGCTACTTATTAGAGTGCCATCTCGCTAACAATGGGAATAGCTCACTCTTCCCCCAGCATTCGGATCAGTCTACGTCGGAGAAACCTTTGCCTGCACCCTCAGCGCAAACAATGAAATTGCCAGCGAAGAGACAGGACGAGCCGTGACATCGGTGCGAATCGTGGCGGAAATGCAAACCCCTTCCTCCGTCGCAACTCTGGAACTCGACCCCGCTGGTGACGCGGCCCAGACGGACGGACTCCAGACTGGCGAGTCCCTCCAAAAGATCGTGAGGTACGATCTCAAGGAGGAAGGAAACCATATCCTAGCTGTTAGCGTCAGCTATTCGGAGACTAGACTCGGCCAGGATTCTCAGGCGGCTAGCAACAGAGTCCGGACCTTCCGCAAGCTGTACCAGTTCGTCGCGCAGCCGTGTCTCAGTGTACGAACCAAGGCATCCGAACTTCCTCCGTTGGAGGTAGATAACAAGTCGCTGGGCCCTTATGGGAAAACGCGTTTACTCCGCTTTGCCCTGGAGGCGCAGCTAGAAAACGTGGGAGATGGCGCGGTCGTGGTCAAGGTAAGCATATTGTCTTCCCGTCTTGTATACTAGCAACGAGAATGCCCCACGAAACACCAACAAGGATATAAAGCTTATCTGACGTTTCAATAGCAAACAAGGTTGAATCCCAAAGCACCGTTCAAATCCCAATCGCTTAATTGGGACACAACTGAAAACGAGTCCACACCACCAACCCTAAGCCCGCGCGACGTGTTACAGGTTGCATTCTTAGTGGAACAAGAAGAAGGTCGACAGGAGGGCCTCGAAAGTCTACAAAAAGATCTGAAGCAGGACGGCCGCGCCACTCTGGGCCAATTATCGATTGAGTGGCGCGGTGCCATGGGCGACAAGGGGTTCCTCACAACGGGCAATCTGATGAGCAGAAAACGCACCTGAAACACGGTGTGAGCCTAATGGGTTGCCCCCGCTGCTGTACAACTGCCATACCAACCGAGTCACTGGTGCATACAGCCGCCTTGGTTGCAGGACACAAGCGTACTATCCGCAGGGATCATGCCGCAAGGTCGGCTTCTAGTCCTTAGTACATAATCGAAACTATATTCCGATCAAGTTCTATGTCTAGAGAGGCTTTCTCAAACTAGCGCTCGAACTCCACTGTAGGGAAAGTAATCTACCGAGCCGCACCCCGGAACTGTTCCGGCGCCACCGGCATGGGGAATACAGGGGAGCGGAAGGCAGCTTTGCGTGCAGCTCGTGCGTCTGACGATATGTGTTACGCAGCAGCCACGCACTCGAGCATGGACCTCCGAAAACCGGTTTCTTTCTCCCGGAAGCCGCAGGTTGTTCTAGATGCGAAGACAGAAAATTTGTCCGATGCTGTAATTTTTTGCTATCTTTGTGCGATGTCAGTCGCAAAGTTGAGTCATTTGTAGTTGGGTATGTATACAGCAGAAGTCACCAGTGGTCGCACTCGATCGACCAGTAAAGTGGTCGAGGATGTTGTTGGAAGAGTCTAGGCCCGGCTCTTCCCATCACTGATAAACCAGGGATCCATCCCCCCGGGCCTAGTTTTCAGCTCTTGTCTAGACCGGACTCCAAGGACTGTCTAGATGCGCAGGGTATTCTCCACGGCCTAATCAGGCTAATAATAGGGTTAACTCTACACGACGCTAGGGCTCTATGGCCCGTCTGGATACATGGCACGAGGTCTCGATGCCGAAAGCCCTTGTCCACCGCCTCTTTGGGATCGTCCCTGGGCTAAGCGGGGATTATGCAGGTTGGGATAACCTTGCCGTAGCTTTTGTGTCGTATGCAAATGCTCCAAAAGGGCAATTTGAGCATCGATACCTGACACCCGACATGTAAGGTTCTGCTGCACCCCTCAGCCTGGTTTTACGGTGGCGGGCTGAGGGCGTCATTCGTGATTTGGCCAATCGTTGGACTCCGATAAAAAGTTCCGCCGACATATAGAAAATAAATGGTCAAAAGTGGTGTGCTGGCTGTATGATGAGGGTTGTCCTCCATTACAACAGTGTATACATGTACCTTAGTGTACCTAGATACAGTGTACACGTTCCTGAAAGTTTGAAATTCGCGCCCCTCTGCTCCACACGCGCTGCGTTCGGCAGCGATCGGCTCCCCCAGAGGCACAGACCGTATACGCTCCACTTTTGACTCCTGACTCAAGGTGCGACATCGTCCACGGGGTCTTCTTGAGATCCGTGACTGTAGATTAAGGTGGATATCAAAAACGTAAGTTCTCCATGTCGACCATGGAATCGAATCGATCACCCTCGTCCGACTGTATAATTCGTGCAAACATCCGTATAGCCATAGATATGCTATCAATGCATCGGGACCCCCCGACAATTTGCCTATGGGGGATAGACCTGAAATGATGGTTACATACCAAGCCCCGGGGGCAGTTTCCAGGCGATAAAAATAACTTTTGAAATGCCATTGCACAATACGGGCACCGAGTGATCAGCGACCCTAGCAGCGCCATGTCTCACGAATGTCAGTTCAGGACAAAAGTCTGCCCCTATAACATTCTTGGCCATGAGAATCACCGTTGAAGGATCATCATGCTAGTACGTGCCCGATGCCCTTTCTGGGTTGATGGACTCGTCAACCATGGATCTCGGGCATCTGGCCCTGGGCCTAATGTCCCCGTAGCCGACGGTTCGCCCGAACGGTTGGACGGATTGCAACGAGAACACCAAGTGAGCCGAACACCGGTGTGCGATGATCCCCACCACCGATCTTTCTCCTAGTTCGAATCGTTCACTGTTTTATGTTGCGCAGTGGAGACGTCGCGGAGATTGCACTTCCTTGGGTTGGGGGATCCTCAGAGCTTAGAAGAACAGTTAAAAGCCCACGAACGGAGAGCAAGATGCTCCCAGTCAGGTGAAAAGGGCAAGTAACCCGGAAATCCATTTTAAATCATTCAGTGATGGTGCATATTGGCTGCATTTAAAGCCGCAGGGCGCAGCAGGGCCAGGCTCTTGTGCATACACGGGGCCGCCGGGGTTCTTTCGTTTCCTTGCGCACAAGGCTCCGGAGGGATACATCCTGAGACTGGGATTCGAGCGCTCATCTCTCATTGGGTATATCTTCAAAGCGAAGAGCAGTGGGGAAGTCGTTCAGTGCGTGCGCAGAGAAGTTGGCCTGTGCAGCGCCCGCTAAAGTAGGCACCTTACCAACTAGTAATCGCATTACACTGCGGCCTACGCAACCATCCGCTTCCGTGAATAAAAAGAAATGAGAATTCAAGCTCAGCCTAGCATTGTGAATGAACGAATACCTTTTAATTAATTTCTTTTGAATTTAATTTTTTTTCCATTGTGTGGTTCAATTGACAGAAGCCTATCCGTCTCCCCTTTTTTCTCCGTCACCGAAAGTACATATGTACATACGACATCAAACCCACCCCAAAATTGATCTTCACTCCCCCTCGCCCCTCCCTCGTCCCGAAATTCCCCTGTCCCCGTCCTTCTCTTCTGACGGCTCCTCAGACCTCCCACAACCTCCCTGATCTCTCACTGTCTGATTGAATGCGGTCGGAGTCCTGCGATTGATGTGGTGACAACGGCTGGTAGAAATTGACCAGTCCGGGTAAATTGGTTGACTGCGATAGAGCCCCCGATGCCTTCGACCAGCGCTACAAGCTCCCCGGAGGGTGTCCCTCTCGCCGACTACTTCTGGATAGCAGGCGTGGACGGATCTGAGATCTTGGACACCTTCCGACGACTGGGCGACGACTATCGCATCAACGGCGCTGCCTCGCCGGGCCCCGCACTCACGGATGCTATCCAGGAAGATGCCGACGCAGAAGAAGAATACAACCCGGAGGGCGCCTCTCGGCCCCCCTCGGCATTATACACGGGCCCTACCCGCCGCACCTCCAACCAGCGATTGTCGACACTCTCCCGGGATTCGGGGCAAACAAATGGTACCGGCAGCAATCGGAGCAGCGTGACCGTCAAGGGTGCGTCGTCGCCCTTACGATCGTCGGCCATGTTTGACGGAGATTTCGATTTCGACCAAGCGTTGTTCAAATTCGCGAATGAGCGTGACACATTCCTGACCGACTTGAGTTTGAGCGCCGGCGCGATCACCCCGAATACCCGCCCTCGATCACGCGTTCGGACACAGAAGATCGTTGCGGAGGATTCGCCGTCCCCTGGAGGGTCGGGTCTGCTCAGATCGGGTATTGGTAGTGTTCGCCGGCACATGGCGTTTCGGGATCTGAACAGTATGAAGAGGCAGCCGTCGATTGCCCGCCAAGGTGAGTCAATTGCTGTGCCCGACGTCCTAACTTGCGCGACGTGGAAATGAGTCGTTAACGGTCAATCGTCTTCCAGCTTCTGTGCGAACGTCTCGGCGACTCAGTAATTACAACTCCGTGATCCCAGTTCCGCAACCGCTCGAGATCTCCCCCTCCATGCACCCGTTGAAGCGACGATTTGAACCCGTTCTGCTCGACCGATACCCCACGCGCGACATGGCAGACGATACCAAGCAGCGCGGTAAATTCCCGGACTACGTCCCAATGTTCGCTTTCCCGAACGATATCAACATCGTGTCCTCCGACGAGCGGCCGCGATCTACCTGGCATGGATTTGCTATGACAACGGAAAATGGTTCCAAGATTCATGCGATCTGCGTGATCATCTGGATTCCCCTGAACCCACAGGCTGCTGATGAGCTTGAGAAGCGTTGTGAGGAATGGCGCAAGGATAACATGACCGACGAGGAGCGGGAACTGGCGGCCAGTCTAGGCGAGAGGCTTGCATCGGAGCGAGCCAAACTGTCGCAGCTTCTTGCTAAACTACCGAACGTGCCCTCGGGTTCCGAATCCCGTGAAAAACTTGAGGATGAGATCAGCGCTGTCGAGGAGAAAATTGGGCTCATGACCGACTTGCTGCGACCTGTGCGACACGGTGCGGCCTCGAAAATTGAGGGTCTCACCGACGGTGATACTGGATTCTGGATTCCCCGTGCCTACGGTATCCTGGGCCGCGAGGCCAACATGACCACCTTCTGGAAGGAATGGCTCAAGGCGATGATCGTGCCCATGACTGAAGGTGGTGTTCAGCGCATCCCGCCAAGCTCACCACGAATGGGTGTTTGGCAACCGCTTGAACGTTATGTCATGAACCTTTGCACTGAGGCCTTCTGCCCGGTCTCTTCGAAGACTCAGGTCGAACTTGCAGTTCGGGAATTGCGGCTTTTCGCGCGACAGGAGGCTTCCAATGAGCTTCCTGGGTCTCGAAACACTGATTTATATGCCCTGTTCAGAACTCTTTCCGTTCCCAACATTGTAATTCTGTTCGAGTATGCTTTGACGGAGTCGCGCATCATCTTCTTGTCCTCTCACACCTCCATGCTTTACCTCGCAACCCGAGCCTTAGTTGATTTGCTGTTCCCCATCCAGTGGGCCGGAGTCCTGATTCCAGTACTTCCCGCTCGTTTGGTCCAGGCTATCGAAGCACCGTGCCCGTATATTGTGGGCATTGAGCGCCGTTATGAGAAGGTCGAGTTGCCAACCGACGACTTCGTGCTGGTGGATCTGGACAATGATATGATTGAAAGCACCATCCGACCTACTCCTCTCCCTCGCCACCAACGCCGCAAGCTCCTGTCCCTCTTGCAAATGGCTGCTCCTCACCATAGTCGCTGCGGCGTTCCAACAGGCCCTCCAGCATATGCGATTGAGACTTACCCCTGGGACACATACTTGACAGAAAGCGGAGCAGCTTACTCCTCAAAAGCTCAGCCCACAAACCTGGCCAAGTATGTCGGTCTCAATTCAAGCGCATTTGGCTCGACCGCCGTGGTTCCAGGTTCCTACCATCCGCCAATATTTAACGCTTTCCTCCATGCCCGCCATGAACACGGATCCTCCTCTCGCGGGTACTCTTCCAGAGGCGCTGATCGGCCAGGAACGAGCTCAACATCCAGGCCCGGTGCCTCTCCTCCTTCGCCTCGGGAGAACTCCTCCCCTACCTCGGGTCACTTCCCCCCTCCCCCGCCTACTCCTTCGTCTCGCAACGATTCCGGAATGGCGTTGCAGGCTTCGTTGCGTGAAAAGCGTTCCGGTCATTTCGATGCCGCGTCTAGAAGAAGCTCGTCTTTTGGAATGACTCGTCGCCCGAGTGCACCGTTCCTTGGACATGCGTCCAACCTTTCAGTCACTACTCTGAACACGGATTACGGTCAAGGGTCAACTTATGCCCCATCCGTATATGCTCAATCCACAATTGCCGCTTCGACTATTGTCCCACAGACCAGCACTCAACATGTCAACAATGCCGAGGGAACCTGCTGGGTGGAAGGACACTACTTCCAGACCCAGCCATGGGATGACAAGTTGATTTGTGCCATCTGTGATGACCGAGCGGAGGAGGGCATGTACAAGTGCCAAGCGTGCAAGTTGACCGTCCACAACCGTTGTGCCTCTCAAGTCTGCCTGGTCTGTGATGCGGCCTTCCATCCTGATCAGATTCGCGCGGCATTCGTGAGATGCTTTGCTAGTTTGTTCTATACTTATAAGAAGTATCTCGTGCCAGCCAGTGGTGAAAAGAAGAAGTCGGGAATGTACTATGTTTTCAATATGGAAGCCTTTAAGAAGAGTCTTCCTAATGAGCATGCTGAGTACATTGCTGTCTTGCAACAGACCCAAGGCTTCAACGAGTTCATCAGTGAGCGAGAGCGGACCAGTCCCAAGGCCAAGGACTCGAAGATGGCTCTGTTCGACGAGATTGTTCTCTCAAAGCGTAATCGTGGCCGCACATCCATCTTTTCTGGCCGTTCGACGACCGACTTCTTGTCAGACACTTCGAATCATCTGTGGCGGACTGCCAGTGCTACCTTCTTCACCCCCAGCAGTCGTAGCCAGCAGAGCCTCTCCGCCGATTACACTCGGGTGGGCACCAGAGGTGAGTTTTGAGCACTTCTTTCAGTAACTCCTTTGCTAACATGTACTTCAGCACCGGCGAAATTGGACACAAGTCTGATGAAAGAACCCCGCATGATCCACGGGGCACCACGGGTGTCCAAGTCGGCAAATACTGCCCGAAGGAAGCCGCTACCCAAGCTGATGAACGGGCTGGCGATCTCTCCGTCCTCGCCGCCGAGTTAATTGGTGTGATTTTTCGATTGACCGTCCGGATAGCCTTCCTAATCACCTGGCCATGAAAGGCCCCTCCTGCATCTGTCTCGACATCTTTTCCTATTCACCTCCTGAAACACCTATCTCGGCTCCGGCTCGGGCTGTATTATCCCAACGGTTGATGATTGGCATGGTTGACCATCTAGTTGACAATGCATGGATGATGCCGGTCGTCTCCACTTGAAATGGGCGGTTGCAACCTGAGAAAGACAGACCGCTGGTCGGACTGAGCTTTTTCGTTCCACCCCTCTTCGATCTGTCAGCGAGAGTGTGTTGTGGTGCTTTTTATCACCGCTGACATACTACTCGCAAGAGCGGATCTCTTGGCAAAATGCCATCTCTGATGACTTTTGGCTTTCATTGGTGGCCTTAATCCGGGCCATCATTGTAAGATACCACCTACGTGTCTCATATTTCTTTTCTATCCCCAACCTGTGCTGATACCAGCCCTCATCCTGGTGAACATCCCCGACCCGTGATCGTCCGACGATCTTAGATTGCGGGCTTTTCTCGTACATAGTGATAACTCCGGCTTGATGCCCGGTGGAGTGAACAAAGCAAAAAGCGCAATGTGGCCTGATATGTCGTTTCATTTTGTCCCATACATCGTTGTGATTTTTTCCATGATCTGCTCTTCCTGCGGCTTCTATTTTGACCTTGTCTTTACCCCCAATACCCCTTGAATCGGCTGGTATTTTTCTCTCGTTTGTTTCCAATACCCCGAGCCGAATTCTTATTCCTGGCCGTTTTTATGCTGAAATGTGACCTATGTCATCTAATTTCGTGTGACATCTGGGCTGTCTATGAAAGAGCTTAACCCGTATGTTGGAGGCTGTATTTGAACCCCGTGGATACGGATGCACCTGGATTGTCCGATCGATACCCAAGAATATATGTATAGGTAATTGAATACTCCTGCGCCAATTGGCCGGTCAGATTTTCCCTACAGAGCTTTTCCCTATCGTATCCACAGTCATGTTCGAGTGACTGGCTTGGTTACGGACCGAGTTGTATCTCGTTCCACATATCTTGTGCAGTGGATAATCCCGGAGTTGGGCCATTGGCTCTGTCTAGCCGTGTTTCTGTTCAAGCCAGAGATTTCCCCCGTATCAGATCTTGGATATGGCAGTGGTGGTCATGTTCGAAGTGACCCCAAGGTTCCGGTGTCTTGACGATGGAACGTAGACATACCCAGGTGACTGTAGTTTTCGCTGCCCAATCTATCAAGCAACACATTCTACACCACAAATCGTTCATTACTTCCTCCTCGGTGCATAATCAATGCCCCCACGGCGACACACATCTATCTCCGCCGTACACGCACTCTGATTGGCGGAGAAACCCAACCCCGTCCATCCCCGCGCGCCCCGGATGAATACGCCTGAGCGCACCGTTTTCCTTGCCATGTCGCACTTCACGGTGGCCACTTACTCGTGCTGTGTCGCAGCCCCTTTAAACGCTATTAGCATATCTGCCGATGAGAGAACTGTTCTGATTCCATACCCTGACACTCATTGAGTCCTTGCGCCTGAACCTAAAGCATTTGCTACCTCGGACAAAAACCCGCTCGACATATGCGCCGAGGGTACTACCTTCTCTGATATTCGATTTCCGCCTTCTTCCTCTTGCGACAGCTCGTTCGGGTTGTCCAAATTTCAGGTCCTTCTTGCGCGACGCGGGGAAAGGTCTTTATACTGGCTTGTTGGGTCTCGCGTGACCCTACATTTCCTTCGGGCTCGTCGTCTGCAGCCCGTCTGCTCAAGTATGAAATCGTCGGCTTGTGCTATGCGATGATGCCTACTGCCCTGCCGCCCATGGCGACGCCGCTACTCAGCGAGACCTCCGTCTCCGCGATGATGCTCAACCAAGCTCCGCTACCCACCTCCACTCCCCATACCAATACCTCCGCCTTGAATGTCGCCTCCAGTCTCTCGTCTATACCAACCTCATCGCCTCAGAGACATGTCGCCCCTCCCGTCTTACCCCCGACCAATACTCCGACTGGAACCATCGTTATCGTCTTCGGGGCCGGGCAAGAACATATAGTGCATATGGTCGCAGAAGTACTCGGCAAACCATGGACCACCGAAACCGCTCTTTCAACTTTGACAAAAGCCAGTGATGCGGTTGTAGCCGGGGTGCTGGCGCAAGACTTAGAGCCGAGCTTGGAGGGAATCGACAGGTCGGCTCTGATCTTGATCAACACCCATTGCGTGGAAGACGGGTCTGCACCCGAGGACCGGCTCACCGAATGCTGTGACTATGAGTTTTTGTATTCGCGCAGCCCGTTCTTACGGCGCGACTTGACACGGGTATTATCTCTCATTCTGGGCCAGACAAGACCGCATGAGGATCTGCGCACGAAGACGAGGACGAATTTCATTTCTACCACTTTTCCCGATGTCCATGCTGCCATGCCGAATTTGGATATCCTGTCCGTTGGCTCAGATGCGGTTGAGATTCGCGTGGATTTGCTGGTTGATCCTGCGAAGGATGGAGCGGAAGCTGGTTCGGTGCCTAGTCTGAAGTACGTGGGTCAGCAATTGATGCTTCTGAGGCAGCATACCGAGCTTCCTATTATTTTCACCACGAGGTGTACCAAGGAAAATGGCAAATTTCCTATGGATGACCCGGAATTGTTCTATAAATACTTGCGAAGGGCGATCCAGTGGGGAGTCGAGTACGTTGATGTCGAGCTGTGGCTTCCCGAGGATATCAGACGGCGCCTGGCTGAAGTTAAAGGCCACAGCATCATCATGTCGGCCTTTCACGATTTTTCAGGGACGTGGAAATGGACGTCCCCGGAAGCACAGCGTATTTTTGACGAAAGCGCCAAGTACGCGGATATCGTGAAGATGATCGCTATGGTTTCGACTATGGAGGAAAACTATGAGCTGGAGTACTTCCGCTCGACGATCAAGAGTCGCGGCCCTGGACCATTGCTCTCGGCAGTGAACATGGGCCAAATGGGCCAGCTCTCGCGTGCGCTCAACACCGTCTTCTCTCCCATCACCCATCCTCTCCTGCCCATGATTGCGGCTCCGGGCCAATTGACTGCCGCGGAGATTAACGAAGCATTGCATATCATGGGCCAACTCCCCAAGCGCGATTTGCACGCGATCGGCTCGTTTAGATCGACGCCTCATTCCATGTTCATGGGGAAATGTCTCAATGAGCTAGGCCTGCAACATAACTTCACCTCCATCGACCGCGGGCCGACGGGGTCTATGGAGTCTGTGCTGAAGCAACCTCAATTTGGTGGTGCTTCAGTCAACCCTCCAATCTCCAGTTCAACTGCATACATCCCCGCCATTAGCGATGCGGCGCGCGCCATCGGCCTCGTAGACACCATCGCTATGGCCGCTCCCGGAGACGGCAGGAACGGCGCCCGCTTCATCGGAGAGAATGCCGCATGGAAGGGTATCCGGGCGACTCTGACTAGAGAGTATGTCCCATCTGCATACCGTGGCCGGGCAGCGATCATCTTGGCTGGATCAGAGACCGACGCATCTGCTGCGATCTTCGCACTCCGCAGCCTCGATGTCGGCGCTATCTACACAGTCGGTTTCAAAGCGAGTGGCCCCCTCGCAGCAGGCTTGGAGCCATTCACGTCAATTCAATCCGTCAAGCTTGTCGAGCAGCCTTTCGTGATCGTCTCGGCTCTACCTCCCGAGAAATCACTACTCGTGCAGCCTCTCCTCCGCCACTACCGCGCCAATGGCCGCTCGTCACCCCCCTCAACACGAGGCAAAGTATACCTGGATCTAACCAGCGGTCCTCGCAAAGGCGACCCGCTAGGTGTAGCAACCAGCGCCGGATGGACAGCGTACGGCTCCGAGGACGTCAGCGCCTGGACGACAGTTGAAACGCTCCGGCTACTAGTCGGGCAGAACGTGCCGTTTGATTTTGTGCGCATGGCATCCGGGCGCCTTCTATTCTAGCATGCAGATGGAACATTTCCAGCGATATTGGCCTTTCATTCGATGCAATAGATGTTGACATCGATTCGAGTTTGGAGTCTGGGATGGATTTCGGGGAGTATATCACTTTTTTTTTCATTGAATGTACAGATGAGGCATTTAGACATGCACGGCCTGTCTTTTCATAGCTGTTTATGGAATTCATACCTGTGCCTGAGATCCGAAGTATTGCCGGTTCCCCGGCCCGGCTGATAAGCTATCGCTGAAATCTGGGGTCAACCCCTCATACCCCTCGTCCGTTCCTGTCTTTCTTTTACGTCTTTCTTTTATTTCCGATTAAGGGCACAGCGATATAGAATGCATCTTCGACCCGATCACGCCGTACGGGACCTCCCAACCCTCCACGCCTTCATCCGCGCCCACCCTCTCGGCGTGATAACAACCTCCCTCCCATCGGACAACTTTCCCACACTGCAATGCAGCCATATCCCCTGGGTCCTGGACTCAGAACAGAAAGCCCAGAATGGATCGAATGGAAACAGTGAAACTCCATCACTCGGCGTACTACGCGGCCATATTGCCCGCGCAAACCCACAAAGCAAAGCCATGATCGAAGCCGTCGCCCAGTCCCAACCCGACACAACGGGACACGTTCTCCCCGGTGAAGTCTTGATAGTATTCACCAGCCCCATCGACCATTATATCACACCGAACTTCTACACCGAATCCAAACCCGCCACCGGCAAGGTTGCTCCGACATGGAATTACGCCGCGGTCCAAGTCTACGGCCGCGCGACGATATACCACGATTCGAAAGACGAGGCTACGGGCGAATACTTGCATCGGCAGTTATCAGACCTCACTGTACTAGGCGAGCAAGGCGTTATGGGTTACGGGGACGGCGCCAAGACGGCGCCGTGGAAGATCGCCGATGCGCCGAAAGAGTACATCGCGACGCTCAAGAAAAATATTGTTGGTATGCGGATTGAGATTACTCGTATCGAGGGTCGGTTCAAGGTTAGTCAGGAACGCCCGGTGAATGACCGTGGTGGGGTTATTGAGGGTTTAGAGAAAATGGAGACTGGACGGGCAAGAGATATGGCCGAGTACGTGAGAAGCGGTGTTATGTCCCCGAACCGAGAGTTTTAGGCTGCTGCATAGTGGGAGCTAAATAGCTCAGAAAGAGAGTGACGGTACACGTTGTGATGATGTAGACCTCGGTTGGATAAATGCATGTATAGACTCTTACCTAGGACCATTTCTGCAGCTCGGGAATTCCGAGGGGTGCACAGGCTGCAGGAGGTAGGAACGTGGAATACACCCTGAAGAACTCAATCAGAGTTCGGGAGCCTTGATCAGGAAATGTCCGTATCCAAAACAGTAGTGTGGGTGGTCGATCGAGGGGATCCTAGTTCAGTAGTGTAGAGTAAGCACCCCGCCGGCGCTCAGGTGTTCCCTTTCATCTCTCAGGGTTTCATCGCGTCCCAATCTGGAAGTATGCGGTGCATTGGTCTCGAGACTGCCGAACGCGGGGTTCTGCATGATTCTGCAGGAAACGGTGGCGGAGTGGACAGAGCATAATCTAGCATGCGGCAGGCACCGGCCCCGTGATGAGGAAGGGCGTCGACTTTCCGGACTGGTAACTAGTATACAGGGGTTGTATCCCAAATGATCGTTTCGGAACTGCAAGCGACAACCCTAACACGGAGGAAGAGCGAAAGGGGAAATATCCCCTTTCTTCTAGGCCCGCGGTATATATTAAGGGTATTAAGTACTTTGGGTGGGCCAACTCAAGCACGGTGACGATGAAATAAACACGATTGAAGCAGAGTAAAACCAGAGGGCCCCAAGGCCAATGATTAAAGCCAAAGGCTAGAGTCAAGTAAATAGAGCGCGGGAGCCAGAGCCAGGGCCAGAGCCAGTTAGAAAAAACTCCGGCGGGACAGGCTTTCTCCGCATTTCCCTCCACATCTCCAGGGTCGTGCCGACACTAGAGGATCGGCTCTCTTATTTCCCTGTTTCCCTCGTCTTCCTCCTTTCTTCATGCCTTTCATGCCTTTCACCTAGATGCGCGATGTCTCGTCCGCAGGTCAGCATCAACCGTCTCATGCCCCGCCGCGCGACGGTCGAACCGCGCGAGGCAATGAACTGCAAGTCTTGTCGCAAGAGAAAGGTCGGTAGTCCTCAATTCGATCGCATTCACCCGGCTAAACTCTCCAGATCAAATGCAACCGTCTGCGCCCCAGTTGCGAGGCCTGCAAGATCTTCCAATGTCCCTGCGTCTACGGTGAGTTCCGTTCCCCTCATTTGCCGATCACATCGCCTGATGGTCTCCGCAGATGCGGTCCCCAAAAAACGCGGCCCCAAAACAGACGTGTTGGAGGCTTTATTGAAACGCGTCGATGGACTTGAGAAAAGACTCCACGATGAGAAAAACCCTATCTCGCCCACTTCCCCGGATTCCAATCCCGAAGATATCCCGCTCAGCAGTCAAAGTGCCCGTCGCAACACTATAGACGCCGCCACATATAATCAATACACTCCCTCAGACTCGCGACCGGCGCCTTCGAATCCGTCATCACAAAAGACGGAGACTTACACAAAGCCGACCGGCCGTGGCTCGTCATATGCTCTGTCGCAGCCGTCACCGAAGCAGAATGGTATCTTGTCGGATATGCTGCTTAATGCATACTTTGCGCGATTACATGGCAAGCCATTCTTCATCCTGGATGAGCAGAGCACTCGACAGCGCCATCAATTGAGTCAACTACCTGCGTGCTTGTCTATGGCCATTTCGGCCATGACGCTCAGGTATATCTTCGGTCGGGAGTCACGTATGATATGGATCACTAATTCACGACAGATATACTTACTCGGTCGGCCAGCCGGATCACCCATTGCGCATGGGTCTAGATGCTGCTTTGCAAGCGCGACAGATGGTTGATGTCGATAATCCGACGGTGGAGGGCTTGCAGACCCTGCTACTACTGTCACAGGCTTACTTTGCCTATGGGTTGGGGAAGAAAGCGTATATGGTATTCTGTAAGACCCGCACGTTTCATGCACAGTTCGAATGCTAACAGTTGCCAGCAAACTGCGTGGCCATGGCGGTGGCATTAGACCTGTTTCGCGAAGTACCATCTAAGATTAATATGTCGCCCGCCGAGCGCGAGATGAGGCGCCGCCTATTCTGGTCCGTATATCTTATGGACCGATTCATCACCTGTGGATCTCGCCGTCCGTGTCTCATCTCCGACCATTCAATTGTTTTGCGCTTGCCGTCTTGGTCGCCACATGCTGCGGGCCTCAGCGTGGATGGTGAGCTTTTCCACGTTGGGCCCAACATTCAATATTCTGCAGACTCCCGGCGCAAGTCTCCCAGTGCGGCATCATTGCTCATCGATATCACCCGGATCCTCGGGGTCACTAATCGGTACTTGGCTGCCGGGGGCGTCAAGGGCGACTCACATTTCCCCTGGCATGCACTTTCGAACCTCTCGAAAATTCGACAGGAGTTGGACATTTGGGCAGCGGGGACGCAGGACGTCTTTGCATCCATTGAAGTTATGTTCAGTCACCCAGAGCACACGACATTGCTTCTCAGCAAATTGATCTATCATCTGGTGCACTGTCTGCTCTATCGTCCATTCCTACCTATCGACCTTGCGGAGCTGCGGGGCACCGGTCAGCACCAGTCATGGCAGATCGATGCTACCAATTTGTGCTTTTCGCATTCCAATGCAATTGCAGAACTTGTTGAGCTGGGCAGAAACTCTCCTCTCGTTGAGTGGCCTGCATTCGTCGGCTATTGTGTGTGTACAGCTGGTACTGTACACGTCCACGGCGTGCATTACAAAGGCCGCGAAGGCGAGGTATTCTCATCCAGTGGTGAGTTCCTAACTCGCGAGATGCACCAACTGGCCTGGTTGCGCAATGTCTGGGCGGGTGTGCAGCATCAGCGTGAGCTGCTCCAGTCGATCTACACTTGCCACGCTGAGCTGGTGCGTAACCTTGCCAGCAGCCCGATGCGGTTCTCGCCTGTTTTCCATCTCGAGGATTTCTTAGACCGTTATCCTGGCTTGGCGGTGGATGGAGAGCATGTCCGTCTGGTTGACACAGGGGACGATTTGGTATCAAAGTACATTTCCACTCCCGGATATACCATCCCACGCCAACTAACATCGATAACAGTGCCAGCTTTGTCGATCGACACGACCAATACTACCAACGCCCGATGGCACCACCACCATACCAAAATCCATGGTTCTTCTCCGACACCCGTCCAACACCATCATCCTTAGCAACCCAACCTGAACCCGAACGACGCAACTCACATTCCTCATTCACCAAACGACACCGCCAGGCATCATCCTCCTCAGCTCTCCACTTCCACCAACCCCCTAATAACCATCCACAACCTTCCCCGTCCCTCTCCACCATCTTCCCCCAAACCACGGAAGATAACATCCACAGCGCCTTCTCCCCTTCAGCCTTTCTAACTGACCCATCCCTAAACATCGCTCCAACGCCCTCCTCAAACCCCCAATACGCCACCTTCCCCTTCGACACATTCCACAATCTAAATGGAAACCATGGCCCTGGGAATGCACTGACGCCAGGCGCTCAGTCCCAAACTAGTGGCTCGCACACTGCGGCTAGTGAAACAGGCTCTCTGGAGAAAGATCCTTTCCTCAGTTTGTTGGAGCAGCTTGCGGAGAATGAGAACTCGCAGGTTGGGCCTAGTGAGTTGGATTTCTTTTTGAACGTGGAAGAAAAGGTCGGGAATGGGGAGATGTAATGGGGTGAAGATGCCCAAGTGTGGTGTTTATGTATATATTAATGGAGAAGTGTTGAGGGCTGTCAATAGGCCGTTTGGGCCTAGGTTCTGTTTGATGTTGGCGATTCGATACCCAAAATATTCTCCAGGTTTTTCTTGGAATATTTTTACTCTTTGAACTACTTCCTTGTAAGATGAATGCCGAAGTTACCGTAAGATTCCCATTTCGATAATCTCTCAACTTTTTCCCCCAAGGTTGTAAATATAAGAGATATGAGCAAACTACAAAAAAGGTTCAAGATTCAATGCAAGTATGTTCTTTATAACCATAAACAAAAGAAAAAAGGCTTATTTACAATGTCCTCATATGATGCCGTATCCAATATTTTTTCACAAGCTTCTCACCACTTACAGTCTCGACACACTAGCCGGAGCATTAGCGGCACAGCAAGAAGACGAGAATGCATTCGTGCTCTGTGTATCAACACAGATGGCACTGGGGGGCACCCAAAGACCGGGGTTCTTCTCAAAGAAGTTCGACGCGCGCAGCATGATGCTGACCGGCTCCGCGGGCATAATGGGGAAGTCCTCCGTGCGCGGGAAATGCGTCAGACCGAACTGCAGATAGCAGACAATATCGGTGTTGTCGATGTTCTCGTTGCGGTTGGCCCAGTCCAGGATTGTGGAGTTGTGGGGGTGGTTCTCTTCGCCGGTGGATTGGCAGACGTAGTCACCTGCAGGGAAGAGCTCGTAGTCCTTGTACGGCGTTACCCAGAGAGGCTTGCGGGCGAATGCGGCGCGGTTGTAGACTGTGCTGCCGGGCTTGGCGAGGAGGGGTGGGCAGGAGTTGTTGAGGATCTTGTAGCCAACGGGCTTCTTGGCGATCTTGTTAAGGCGGTTGGGGTTGATGATGTCCCAGGAGCGGTTGGTCTCGTAGCAGTAGTCTGCGGCGCCCTCGAGGGAGGTGCGGAGCGGGGTCTTCTTGCTGAGGAAGGCATTGCCATAGGGGTTCTCTGGGGAGCCAACGGCGGCGTCGGCGGAGACCGCGTCGGACTGGACGACGGAGTTGTTGGTGCCGTCGATCTCGGGGTCGATGCGCAGGGAGAAGAGGTGCTGGTGGTTGTGGGCGGTGATCTGGGGAGCGACTTCGGTACCGTAGGGAGCGGCAGTCTCGGTGGGGTGCATGCAGTAGGTGTTCAGCATGCCGGTGAGCTTGATCTCGAGCTTGTAGGTGCCGTCCAGGGTGAAGGTGTGGTAGAAGCCGTACTCGTAGTTGGCGGCGGTGATGATTTGTGAGATGATGAGCTTGCGGTCACGGGCTGAGATCACGGTGCCGTCGCGGTAGTCGGTGTGCTTGTACAAGAGGCCGTTGTCCTCTTCGTGGATGCAGATGGCGTTCTTGATCACGGCGGCTTCACCATTTCCGGTCGACATCACTCCGTCCATGTAGTGAATGGCGCCCTTGCAGTCACAGCCCAGCTTCAGGGAGTTGGTCATCAGACCTGTGCCGTACTCGCCGACATCGAAGGCGTGCTTCTTGTGGTGAGGCTTCTCGGGGCAGCCGTAAGGGACAACCATCTCCACGACGGAGACACGGTTGAAGAGGGTGCGCTCGCGGTCCTCGTACATGTCGTGGGAGCGGACGTCGGAGATGACGATACCCTCGCGATAGTTGAAACCGATGTGCATCTTGTAGTTGGCCCAGGACAGCTCGTTGCCGCGGATCTTGAAGGAAACACCCTCGGGCTGGGTGATATCAATGGGCTTCAGGCGGTCGTGGTTGTACTTGTCGCTGATGAAGTCGGGGAGATAGTTGTGCTCCTTGAGAGGCACGGCAGTGCGCTCGCCATTCACGTAGCGAACATCGACGCTGAGGACCTCCTCTTTCTCGGTATCGGCCACCACGGTGAAGTCCAGAGGGTGGGCGTACTGGTTGTCGAAATCGGAGGTACGGTAGTAGGCCAGACCCTGCTGGAGACGGCGGTCGTAGCCCCAGCGCTCGTCAATGCCGATGGCCCAGGCATCGAGGAAAACCTTGGACATGTCGGTGATGCCGATCTCCTTGCAAGCACGGATAACGCGGGCATCTGCGCGGGCAATGCGCTCCATAACATCCAAGTCCTCGAGAGTGAGGGTAGGCATGACATTGCTGACCTCGTTCCACTCCTCGACCTTCTTGGACTTCAAGTTGACAACGACCTCGGCGATCTTCTGAGTCTCGCGCTCAATAATAATCGCAAAAGCGCGGCGGTCCGGAGTAGGGATCAGACCCTGCTTGAAGGCCTGGTACTCGGCCTTTCGGGGCTCCCGCAGAGTAAGGCAGTTGAACTTGATAGTCCTGGGGGCAGCATGTTGGCGGATGAGCGCAGCAGCCTCTGGGATTTCCTTGATGGAAAGCTGGTCTATGATAAAGTCAGTGGTTGTAAAAAGAAAAGAAAAAAAGGCGTGCAGATCGTACCGAGCGGGTGGGGAGTTCCCTGCGGGAGCATGGCAGTCGCAGCAACGCTGTCATAGTCTCCCTCCCGGAAAATTGTGTAACCCGGGATGGTTGTGGTATCAGGGGCAGATGCCATGGTGTAGGAAGGTGAAGATGAATTTGGAGTTAACGGTCTGAATAACTTCGTCCCAGCGGGCCTTATATAGCTGATTTCCACAATCTTTCAAGAAGATAGAACACGCATGTACCTGCCCGATCGGGCAGTCGGGATGTCTGGTTCACAGAACTTCGCCTTCACGACTGTTCCCGAGCCCACTCGCGGTGGGCTCTCTTCCCCATACCTTATTCAGGCGAAAGCCTGGAGAAGCTCGTTACGACTTACGTTTTGGTTATTTTGTACTTTCCTATGCCATAATATTTTTTGCGTAACTGTCTTATAGCGGGCGTTGTAGCCAATCGCACCCGTGTGATACCCCGGCTCCGATGCCATACCCCAGGTGACTCCTATCGGGCAGGTTGACCCTACGGACCTATCGTGGTTGACCCCGTGCAATGCCATGCCAGGTGTCAAAGACACAAGCTTATCTTTTCGCGGGGAAACCACGTGATGGCCGTGGAGGCGATGGAGGCTGTTGCCACTCCTTGTCCTCGGTAAGGGTAAGCACTCGCGTGCATTGGATATGTTGAACCAGGGTATCACGGAAGTCAATAGACGCTGGCTCGCCAACTCCGGACTCTTGTCGGCGTCACTGAGATCTATCGCTATCTCGTGCTATCTCGTATCGTGTTATCGGCCCGTCGAGTGGGCTGGACCTCCCGGATCCAGTTTAGCGCCCCGAACCCGACTTCTCCACGAAACTTCGAGCCTCGACCCGATCTTCTGGAGATGCCGTGTGGGTCCGTGGGTTATCGCTTGTTCTCCATCTCATCTGCCTTCTCTTTTGGGCAAGTCGTGCCGAACCCACCTTTATCGTAGTTGCAGCTTAAGAGCTGCCCGTCTTCAAATGTACTTATCGCATGTTCTTTCCTGGGTTAGATCTCGATCACACGGATTCTAAACACATCATGTCTTCATTATCTGTTCAGTTGACTGCTCCCAACGGCCGTGTTTGGACGCAGCCTACCGGCCTCTTCATCAACAACCAATGGGTGAAGTCGTCCACCGGCGACAAGATCGCCAGTATCAACCCCTCGTATGTTCAGATAATTACATTTTCAAGAATAACTTGCTAACTACTATAAAGTACTGCCAGAGAAATCACCTCCGTCCATGCTGCTTCCGCGCAGGATGTTGATACCGCCGTCAAGGCAGCTCGTGCCGCCCTCAACGACCCCAGTTGGCGCGATCTGCCCGGAACCGAGCGCGGCAAACTGATGAACAAACTGGCTCAACTCATCGAGGACAACCGTGAGACCCTGGCTACCATTGAGACCTGCGACAACGGAAAGCCCTACACCGTTTCCCGCGACGATGACTTGACCGAGACGGCCGAGACCATCCGATACTACAGTGGATATGCGGACAAGATCTTTGGTCAGGTCATTGGCACCACCCCCGACAAGTTCGCCTACACCGTGCGCGAGCCCGTGGGCGTCTGCGGTCAGATTATCCCGTAAGTACTTCCTTCGAAGATATGCATCGACCGGGTAACTAACGACTTTCTTATTTAGATGGAACTTCCCTCTCTCCATGGCCGCATGGAAGCTCGGTCCTGCTCTGGCCTGTGGCAACACCGTGGTGCTCAAGCCCGCCGAGCAAACCCCTCTATCCATCCTATTCCTCGCAAACCTGATCGTGGAAGCTGGCTTCCCTCCAGGTGTCGTGAACATCATCAACGGCCACGGCTCCGTCGCCGGCGCCGCTCTTGCCTCCCACATGGACGTCGACAAGATCGCCTTCACCGGCAGCACCGCCACCGCCAAGCACATCATGAAGATGGCCAGCAACAACCTGAAGAACATCACCCTCGAAACCGGCGGCAAGTCCCCTCTGGTCGTTTTCAATGACGCCGACCTCGACCTGGCCGTCGAATGGGCTCACATCGGTATCATGTACAATCAGGGCCAAATCTGTACCGCCACTTCCCGTATCCTAGTCCAGGACGAGATCTACGATAAATTTGTCGAGGCGTTCAAGAAGCAGATTAAGAACGTTTCTATCGTCGGTGATCCCTTCGATGAGAAGACTTTCCAAGGTCCCCAGGTGACGCAGGCCCAGTACGAGCGTATCATGTCCTACGTGGATGTGGGCAAGTCCGAGAAGGCCACTCTTGCTTATGGTGGTAAGCCTTTCAAGGGCGTCGGTGACGGAAAGGGCTTCTTCTTCGAGCCCACCGTTTTCACTGATGTGACCCCCAACATGCGCATTTACCAGGAAGAGGTCTTCGGTCCTTTTGCCGTGATCTCTCGCTTCAAGAAGGAGGAGGACGCCGTGCAAATGGCTAATGATTCTACATACGGTCTTGGAAGTGCTGTGTTTACTACCAACTTGACTCGTGCTCACCGTGTTGCCAAGCAGATCCAGGCGGGTATGGTGTGGATCAACTCTAGCAATGACAGTGATTGGCGCATTCCTTTCGGTGGTGTCAAGCAGAGCGGTATCGGTCGGGAACTGGGTGAAGCTGGTTTGGACGCGTATTCCGCGGTCAAGGCTATTCATGTTAACATGAAGTCGAAGCTTTAAGCGGTTACCGTGAGTTTAAAATTTGTACAGTCTACTAGATATCAAAATGCATTCGTTTCTTTGAGATTCTTGTTTCTAACAGGCATATCCCATACTTTTAAACGCAATTCTAATCTAGCCTTCCCTTTCTCGGTTATTGTTTATACCTCGAGAAACTTTCAAGCATCTGAATGCAGTTGTATTTCAGTGATGAGCTCTACAGCGAGGAAGAAATTTCATAATAGTGGTGTTTCAAAAATCAAACGCTAAGTTGCATAACCGCAGCCCTGTCTATGTCCAGTCTAGGCCTTTTATGTACTTGTTGTCTATATACAGTAAATTTCACTTTCACATTCTTTCACTTCCCACCAGATATCCAACTTCCACCAAACCTCATCTACCCCACAATATTCTCGCCTCATTGAATATGAGGCAGAATCAATTGAGTCCCTCAATTATCCTCCTTCTTCGGCTCAGGAGGAACGGTGGGATCGTTTGCCACTTCTTCCTGAGCCAGAATCACCTGGGCCATCGCAGCCTCCTCGGTATTCAAATAAGTCCTCCTGCCCTGAATAGCCCAGAATCCCAAAGCAATCACAAGCATCACTCCAAATACAGCAATGGCGTAGTTCATGTTACTACCCGACGGATTGGGACTGCTCGGGAAGAAGAAAAATATCGTAGTGATAACGCAGTAGACCACGGAGACCCAGTTTGCAGGAGCACCGATCTTTCCAAGGTTGAACTCTCCTCCCGCGGGAAGCTTGTCGCGGCCGACCATAAGCACTGTGATGATTGGCAGGCCGTACGAGATGGTCAGGGCGATGGTGCTGACACTCAGAATGGCGTTCAGGACCGTTTCGGCAAAAAGGAATAGAATTCCGACCAGCGCGATGATGATCCCCTGGAACCAAAGGGCACGCACGGGTGCCTTCCAGTATGGGTTGACTTGGGACAGGTATCGGCTGAATGGCAGACCACCGTCGCGGGCGAACCCCCAGGTGAGTCGGGATGCAGTGGTGAGGATACTGACGCTCTGACCGAGTCCATTTGCGATGAACATAGCCATGAGAACGGCAGCACCAGTCTGACCCACGGTCTCTTGACAGAGCGTCATGAAAGGCAGGCCACTGGGCGAGTTGATAACGCTATTTACCTGCTGAATGCAGAAAAGACACACCAGCATCAAGATAAAACCACTGACTGCCCCAGAGATGACCGCAAGGTAGATGACCTTGGGAGCATTCTTCCGCGGGGCAGGAATCTCTTCAACCATGTGGATGACTGCGTCAAATGCGGTCAATCCATAGGCAGCCTGCACCAGACCGATAAACCAGACGACACCGTCCGGCCATCCAGTCTGGTTAATCCACTTGCCAAAGGCAAAGGAAGGAGGCTGGAATGAGAGACCCGATTTGGTTCCAACGGAAATAAGGAGAGCCAAAGAAAAGACGAAGAACAGGCCGAAGAACCAGACACCCACGAAGTTGTTCAACCAGGGCAGGAATGACTCTCTGCGGCATCCGACAACGTTGACCAGTGTCAGGAGAAAGACACATCCGATGTAGACGACAAATTCAAGCCATCCAGTTGAAGCCCCCTGCCAGTCTGGAGCGAACATGACTTTCATGCCCAGCGTAAAGTTGGTCATGAAGGCAACCTGCGACGCCGCGAGCGTCCACCAGCCAAAGACGTTGATCCAGGCACACATGTATGATGTGAATCGCCCCCAACGGGAGTTCCAGAGTCTGTAAATCCAATACGCCTGACCTAGAGCCGTGGGCATGCTACTGCAAATCTCCCCCAGGGAGATGGCCACGCATGTGTTGCAGAATAACACCAAGCAAAGACCCCAGAGGATAGAAATGGGGCCGCCGTCGATGAGACCATCCGATAGATCTTGTGCAAAGGTGGACCATGTTCCTAGCACGCAGAAGGCCATGGCTAACATGCTCCAGATGTTGAACTTGCGCGCCAGGCTTTGGTCATGGCCAAAGGCAGCGAGGTCATGAGCATCTTGATCATTCTGGTCGGTCGGTTTCAGTGTCGTATCGGTTTCCACGTCCATAACTTGTTGAGTATGTTTTTGCAAATTTGCTGAGTGATATCAGGATTCGAACGGGCTCATTTCCGAGTTGTAGGTGGAGGGTATCTAGTACACGACCAAGACCCAGGAGCGCACTCGTGCTTCTATCAATGGATTGGGAATGACAGGCCCCAGCCTACTCCGCGGTTTTTGCATTTTTTTCTGGGGTTCCCCACGCCGAGAATGTGTGGGTGTCGAGGGGTAAGCTACTCGTGGACACCGAGACTGGCCCACATGGACCAGAGCCTGGAATCCTCTTGACGAAAGAGAGTGACATTTCTACAGACGTTTTGCCGTCACCATCTCCACTAGCGCCCGCTGTAGGCAGTAAATTCCTCTTCTGGGAGGTAGATGCGGGCTTGAGCAGGTGCCTTCTCGTGCATGAAATCATCTGCCGCGCGATCGACTAGCTTAATGGATCATGAACCCGACTCGGTTGCCTTTCATGGCACACTACGAACTGCAACACCCGAATCCATGACACACCGGGGCGCATCTGGGGTCCTCGGATTCCCGAAGTGGCAACGCTCGGTGCATTGCAGCAACGCGACAGGTTGGCGGTGCCGAACCGTCCACCTGGATCTTAGGTATCTCGGTTTTCACGATTTAAAGTTGTAACCAAATCGTGTTTCCCCAGGGGCAAAAAGATTCTCATCTCCGGTCTGAAATGTCATTGTCATGGTGGGCCCTGGCGGATAGCGCTTGCTTGTACCTGCCCGAAACGTTCGCGGAGGCGAAAGGTGCCGAACGCGCCACCGTGGGGGTAGGCAGGGGCCGAAGGGGGAGGCCGAACACGGACCGACTCTTTTATATGTCCCTTCGCCTGTTATGCGAGGGAATTTGAGAGCGAAATAGATTCAAGGAGCTTGCAGCTTGGCCCGGAAGGCACTCCCTTTAGAGGCTTAGAGCGCGCTATTTATTCAGTCGTGAGAACATTGTTTGGCCAATCAGATCCCGTAGATCTCGGGGGTGCGACATTTGCGACATTTGCCTACACATATAACTGTGCGATGGGCGAACACGGCACTTTTCACGTTAATTTCTTTTTTCCTTGCTCTTCGTGATGGCCTCCTCGAGTAACAAACACAAAGACACTTCCTCTCGCCACCGTTCTCATAAAGGCTGCTGGACATGCAAGAGGAAACGAATCCAATGTGACGAAACTCGGCCCGGCTGCCGAAGATGTACCGAGCGAGGGCTCACCTGCGAAGGCTATGAAATCCGTCTTCGTTGGGGCGCTGGAATTGCATCGCGAGGTCGCTTCAGCGGCGCTGAGAAACCCACCAAAGAATCTATACCACCTCCCTCAAAGCGAAGATGGGATCTTCGAACCAAAGGAGAACACAGAGAAGAAGGGGATGGACAGGGCCAACCCGTTCTACTTCTTGGACAATCTGCCGAAGGTATTACATCCAACTCAAATTAATTATTTTCATTACGAAGCTAACGCCATACAGTCCAATCACTGAATCTACTCAACCAACCAGTCAATGCGCGACCGACAGTCAATATCCTCAATACTCCATACGGGCAGGACCCAAATGAGTATATCAGTATTATTAAACACTTCGAGCTCCCGGTATCGGTGGCAATTGCAAGGGAGCGAGCTGAGATCTTTAACGAGAACCAAATGTCGCAGAGGGAAGGCATGTCGGGAAGGGCGATCATAGCTTAAATATGAGCTACATTTGACATACCAATCATGTTTGTTTTAGCTTTGGACGTTTATGAATAATGAGGCATTTTCGAAAGTTTATTCGTAAAACTGGTTCTGCTGCATCGTAAATCCCTCAAAACTTGTAGATCAACACCCGGCTCTGTCGTCATCTTGCATTTGGAGCTTGCGGGCTACGTTGAGTTACAATACATAGAATGGAGAATGGGATGGCTTTGATGAAGGTGGCTCGGGTCACGAGACTGCGGTCGTATAGCGAGCCCAGCGTTGAAGAATCCACAGAGAGGATTATGGGTATCCCCTCTGGAACACTGGAAATCTCACCAGGCAACACATTTCGGACTTTTATGCTCCATATTTCTTTATTTTAGATCGTGCCTTGAACGTATTCAAATAAGAAGCAATTTGAAAGACTCTTTCTGGCCTTGGGAACCTCTTCTCATAAGCACTCCCAACCCATAACATCCCCGCTTCAATCCCAATCTGACCATCTACAGGCTCTAGATACTCTTAACCAGCTGAGAAAAAGGTAGCCAGGTCAAGTCCCAGTGGTGGGAATTTACCCCAGTCTCGAAATCCCACGACGCAGCTGTAATAAATAGTTAGTCAGGGATCTTGCGATAAGATGGTTAGCACACAGCTTTTCTCTCTAAGTACAGGATGAATCGAGATCAGTTTCACCAAAATATTCTCTTTGATTTGCCAAAACAGCATTCATGAAAAACAACGTCGTGGCTGAATAATTAGACTTCATCAGTCTAAAAATAACAGACGTCTCCCGAGACCAGAAGGGAAAGAAAGCTTTCAAAGATCAAGTCATAGTAACTAGTGGCTTTCATGTCAGCTTCAGAATCCTTTTAGTAAATTTAAGGTTGCTTGCTATTTCTTCCCAAGGGAAGTTGAGTGGGAGCGGGTTACTTATCTTCGGTGTGAGCGGCATTGGCCCAGACAGTCCAGCGCCTGATAAAAAGTAGCGCCATGCCACATCGTGGTTTCTACAGTCTGACAACAGATATAATCAAAAGCCACAAATTTGTTACTCATTCTGCACGTTCTATCTTGCTCATGTGGCCACTATGACCTCTCAGACCACCATATCGGTCTCTAGGTAGGTAGGCGGTCGAATAGGAGCTGATACCGTGGGTCATAAATTTTTGATTACATCTGTTGTCGGGCTGTATGGCCAGATTCTATTAAGTCATGCATGATCCAGTGAAGAACTCAGATAAGCTACGTGCATTCGTCATATCGTATATCCTCTGGTCGGCTTGATGCGCCGCCCAAAGAACCCGACTGATTGGCCACTCGCACTTTTCCGCAATCATCCCTGTCCGGGCATAAGATAATATATGCCTAAATGATAAACTGGAAGATCGAAATGGATAATGTACTCCGCGCTAGCCGTTGCCCAGGACATACCCTGCGCACAAAGGCAAAGACTGAGAGAGGAAGCTCGGGCTTTTGGATCTACCCGCTCAGGTTGGAATGAATCGGAGTCTTCAAAGATGTTCTCATCCATATTCATCTGCCAATGGTCCGCGATGATTATGGAGTTGGGAGGTACGGTATATCCCATATATTTGTTGGCTTCTGAGGCAGAGAGAGGGAAACCAATTGGAGCTAATTAGCCCCATCTTAATACCTCAGTGATGAATAAATTAATGTAAGGGAGTTTGTCCATACCCTCGCATTGCTGCATTGTGCATTGCAATATTTCTACTCCATGGACTAGAACAAATGTCCCTTCACAAGCCATCTCACTGTGCCAAACACCACCCCACCTAGCGCAAGCCAGGAGATTACACCCCGAGCATACAGAATCCGCGCGATCATTCGAACCTCAGAAGCATCGTTGCGGTGAGGGAACGGCTCATCTTTTGGTGCCTCCTTACCAATAAACGTACACAAAGACTCCCATCCATCTCGAGGCTCGAACTCAAAGACCTCCCTTCCGCGTTTAGCTGCCTCGGCGTGAATCCACGCATTATGCGCACCATAATGCTTTGCCGTCCAAACCTCGTCCGCAGCTATACCCAACGTTCTCTGACAGCGCTCCGTAATACAGCGCCACATGGTATACAAATTGCGGTCGGTCTTCCATAAGTAACAGAGAGTGTAAAACACTGGTGAGCCTCCCCAGGAGAGCACCTTAATCGACTGCTCCCACTGGCGGCCGCCCCCAGGCCGCTTGTTCAGCACGATCTTGGCGTCCGGGTACATGTCCATAAGATCATCCATGAGCATAGCGCCAGGGAAATCGGTGGTTGCCTGGAAACCATCAAACAGTTTATGGAGTAGCTTGTGACGTCGTGCTGTGTCATTCTCCCGCAGTGCATCTAGGAGGATATCACCGCGATCGGCGTTCGGTGCGATGTGTGCAAAGTGCATACAGGGACTTAGGCCGATGTGTTGCGACTCAAGTGCGGCTTGCATCGAGCTTGTTGCGCAACGAGGGAGACCTGCGGCGAGAACTTGCATAGAGACCTGGTCGGTCCGGTCGACTACGAGGGTGTCGCTAAGGAAGCGCATTGCGTATGGTGATTGATTTTGGAAGATGGAAACAAAGTTGATGGTTTCTGAGAGCGCAGTTCCAGAAAGAACGAGGGTACGAGGTTGGAATGACAAAATCGCCTATTGAGGTCAAGGCCATTTCTTTTTTTTGTCTCGCTGTCAGCGTCAGCGCTAAAGTGAGGGCTGAGGGCTGAGATTCTCGTATCCAAGCCCTGACTATACGAGAAACGTCGTAATTAGCCTTTAAAAAAGCTTAGTTTTAAAATTGCGTAGAAGGGTAGTTAAAAAGTGGGAATAATGTTTTTTTTGGGCTATCATACCTGGAAATAATAGAAATCAACCAGCCGGCAGAGTATACAAAAATAGGCCAAATCTGGTGTCCACGAGCGACCTATCCCACTGTCCACTTACTGCGTAAGATCGAAGTCAATAGCTTCGAAGATAGCTGTCTAACCTAAAACATAGAACCATCTTGCCGGGGTGCAGTGGCTACCTAGCTACTTCAGACATTTCTCATTTCTCATCAGAACTTCGAACCTCCAGTCAATAACGAAACCCGGTGATTGTCTTCAAAAACTGCTTGGCAAAAAGGGGTTGCAGGGCAAGCCTACGTGTGTGCAATCAGGATGTGTTGGGGTATAGCGCATGGAATCCCCCAACTACACTCAGATAGATATACAAGCCGTGATACAAGCTAACATTAAAATTGTGCGTATTCATCGACTATCCACTTCGGAACAAACGGGAAACTAGAGGAAAACCCCGGCAACCTCGGAACCCGACAGCTCCGATACACCCTCATGATTCGCCAGCGGCCCCATCGTCTAGCCCGAAGAGGAAAAATGGGATCTGTACGATGAAAGGAACTACCCCGGGTCGTCATTGAAAAGGGGGGCTGGGCGGAGCTGGGCGGTCGGGCACGATCACGTATATTCTCGTTCCCGGTCCAACAATACTTCTACTACTTCTATACTCCCGGGTCTAGCTGCAAGATGGCCGCATCCCACATAAACACCTCGGCTAGCCGGCCGCCAGCAAATGTCGCACGCCAGAGAAACGAGGCTAAAGGATCACACGGACACGCGCGCCAGACATCGGACTCCAGCGCCCGGCGCAGATCGCGTCGCTCGTTCCTGCGCAGATTCAAGAATCATGCCGCCGAGCATACCTGGCTGGTTCCGCTGGTCCTGATCCTTGCCTTTGTCTCTCTGTATGCGATCAATCCCTCCGAGTCAAATATCATCCATCATTTCATCTTTCTGTCATACAAGCTACCGGCTGTGGACGGCGAGCCCGCGCAGTATGGAAAGGGACTGTGGGATGTTGCTTTCGTATCCTTTTACACGATCGTGCTCTCCTTCACCCGCGAATTCATCATGCGGGAACTTTTAAGGCCCTTGGCGCGTTTCTGCGGTATCAAGTCTCGAGGCAAGCAGTTGCGTTTCATGGAGCAGATGTATACGGCTATCTATTTCGGGACGACCGGCCCGGCGGGTCTGTATGTGATGCGTCAGAGTCCGGTGTGGTATTTCGATACCCGGGGCATGTATGAGCATTTCCCGCATCGGACTCATGAGGCGGCGTTCAAATTCTATTACTTGTTTGAGGCGGCGTATTGGGCTCAGCAGGCGATTGTTATGTTGCTTGGTCAGGAGAAGAGAAGAAAGGACTTTAAGGAGCTTGTCGCTCATCATATTGTTACCTTGTCTCTTATTGGGTTGAGCTACAGGTTTCATTTCACTTATATGGGAATTGCTATTTACATCACTCATGATATCAGTGACTTTTTCCTCGCTGTAAGTTGATCGAGTGTGAAATGCGGTTCCACATGCTAACCTGCCAATTTGACAGGTGTCCAAGTCGTTCCACTACATCGACTCGGACTTGGTCATCCCCTTCTATGCCATCTCGGTGGGCTCGTGGATCTACCTGCGTCACTACCTGAACCTGGGCGTCCTTTACTCCATTTTGACCGAGTTCCGCACTGTCGGTCCTTACGAGCTGAACTGGGAGACTCAGCAGTACAAGTGCTGGATTTCCCAGGTCATCACTTTCGTCTTGCTGGCCTCGCTTCAAAGTCTCAATCTTTTCTGGTTGTACTTTCTCATGCGCAGTGCGTGGAAGCTCCTCGCCTATGGTGAGAAAAAGGACGACCGGTCTGAGGTTGAGGAGTCGGAGATCGAGGAAATGATGCAGAAACAGCAAGCGAAGGCCAAGGCTTCATGAAGTTATGATGAATGATGGATTCGTCGACTGAACGGTGTGATAAACGCTACGGATAATGAAATATGATGGACGATCATCAAATACAAATGTGGCATGAGTGAATTCCGGAGACAGGACGGGATCGAAATGTGAGATCAGCTATCAATTCGAGCATTGGTTGAACCTGTCTCGAGGTATGCTCCAAGTGAGTAAGGATCATGGGCATCGGGGATTGAAGAGATGGATTTACATTCTTGTTGCATAATTTTTCTCTATAACATAATCCTTAATTTAGAACAAATGAACAAACTTATCTCTAATATGCATGGTATTATCTATAGTCAAGAACTAAACCATCGATCTATCCTCCTAACCAACGCTACGCACCGATTATCCACATATATCGTATAATAATGTGCAACACACACTGCTACCGCTCCCAGTAAAACACCCGTCACCCACCAGGCGACATGAAACGAGAACGGATCAGCACCCAGCGCCTCGCCACTGCTCCCATAAGCATTCCCGCTCAGGAGCAAGTAAACAAAATTTCTTAACGGATCCCTCCACAGCTGATAAATTGTCTCATGGAGCAGATACAGCGCGAACGAGATCTTACCCAGATACTGCACTGGCCGCGTGTTGAGCGGTCGTTGCAAGCATGGAAACTCCCCGATCGCATAGACGAGCATGGCTGATCCGATGGATTTCCAGCACCAGTGGTATATTTCCCACTTGTCTTTCCAGCGCGCTGGCTGGAACGTGGAGAGGAAGCGGTATCCTGGAGGTAGGGAGCCGTCGTTTCCGAGGCAGAGAAGGTAGTAGCCCATGATAAATGTGAGGGCGATCCCTATGCGCGAGAGAGTAGTGCACTTCCGAGGCATGAGCCTAAGCCTAGACTGGAAGGCGAGATGAAAAGCGGGTTTGCGCTGTGTTCAAACTCTGCCATCTCGAATTCGGTACTGAGATCCTCGCTTGAGGTCAAAGAGGCAGCAATTGCCCTCTGGGCCAGCCAAAGTCCCCAGATGAAGCCGAAAATATCCCAATTGCCATACCAGAGGTAGAAAACTGCGATAACTGGCAGTATGTAGAGCCTCGACCTCGTTCGCCACGCTGAGAGGCCGATAATGAGGAGATAGACGACATTCGATCCTCTAAACTCAAGCGGCATAGTCCACAGTTGGCCGTTGAGGCAGCCGCGATATTCAAAGGCAATGACATTGATGCTGTCGGCCATGAAGTTGAGTAGCCATTTGACGTGGGCCCACGGGGCTGTCCAGGGCTGGGGAAGGTCAGCCAGGAGGCCTTCATCGAATTTCCAGGAATAGAGATTGAAAAAGAAGAGAAGCTGGGCGAGACTGGCCGTCACCAGAACTGGAAGGTAGATGCGAAACCCCCTCCGCACGATGGCGGACGACACCCGCGCCACGAATTGAGGATTGTTCTGCTCTTTCAGAAGGCCGATGGAGATGGCATACCCGGAGATAACCATAAATAGAGTTACCATCCCATGAGCAGAAAAGAGGATTCGGATAGGCGGCAGTTGAACCAGGTGGCGGTTTCCCTCGGGCGGATCGGTCCAGAATGAGACGAAGGGATGCCACACTTCGCTCATGAAGAAGTGATCAAAGGCCACAATAGCGGCTGCTATGCCGCGCAGGCCGTCCAGCCATGTAGTGCGCTCCATGGAGGAGCAGATGATACAGGGGTCTCCTATTCCTCTTCTCCTCTGTTTCTCTCTTAGACCTTGTTATTCCATGGAGTAGGGTGATGTTTGTTGAGGCTCAGCTTTGATTACTCTTAGCTCAGAATTGCTCGTATTCATCAAAAACTTTCCCTGTCAGACAGATGACCAAGTCTGGTTTAGCGTGGACTTGGCCCTGAAAGTTCCAGTTAGTTTGGTGTAAGGTGGGTAACGGTAACGGAACCAATTCCCGGGTCCTGTAACCATTCCCGAGGGTTCGGAAAGCGGCCCGCTCCCTAGATCCACGGGTGCGACCTGAATACTTCCTGGAGTGTGATGCATGTCTTCAAGACATAGCCCTCGAGCGAGTGAACGGGACTAACCGGAATGGGACTGGTGCATCCCTTTTGTTATCAGATGCTTCCGCCACCCCGGCCATTTTCTTCTATTCGGTTTAGAACTTTTCGTGAATGCATACGGAGAACTTCCTCTACTTTTTTCTAGGTCTTGTTGAACTCGGAGTTGGAAGGCATTGTCTATGAAACTACAGAGGATGAAGGGAGAAAGGAGCAGGGAAATTGATTTGAAGTGGATTAAATTGAAGTATGGAAAATCTTATAAATATCCCATACCACTGAGTGGCGCATTGTGTCGGTTCACATCTCGGAGAAACCCCATCATATCATCACAAGGTCCTGCAAGTCTTAGGAGAATGGAAGTGTGGATTGTGTGTGAATTTTGGAGATTGTCATAAACCGCGCGGTCAGGTGTCATACCAAAGTATTGACAAGTGATACAAGACAGAAGTGGGTCGTGAAAGGGTGGAGATCGTGGTGATCGCGCGGTCAGATATCATACCGAAGTAGTGACAAGTGATACAAGACAGAGATGTGAATCATGGGAGGGTGAAGAGGAATCTATACTTTGGTCAGCAAAGGTTGAAAGTCGGGGCTGCGTAGTGGATTGTGCCTTTTCACGGATACCCAAAGCCGAAGGCTAGACGGATCTCAAAAGATCAGGCAGACGGAAGACTGGATGGACACGTTGATTGTTGTCCTTGGTGGCTGAGATGTGATGCAAGTCTTGAGATGTGATGCAAGTCTTGAGATGTGATGCAAGTCTTGAGAAGTCATGAAGGTCTTGTGAGGATGGAAGTGTGGAGTGTAGAGATCGTCGTGAATCGCGCGGTCAGGTGTCATACCGAAGTAATGACAAGTGATACAAGACAGATGTTCGTGAAAGGGCGGAGAGGATCTATAGGTTGGTCAGCAAAGGTTGGAAGTCGGGACTGTGTGGACTGTACCTTTCACGGCCCGAAGACCATCTAGCAAGACTCGATGCATGTGTGGGACACTTGAACTTTGTTGTGTTCAGGGTAGGAGAGAAGCCATGCGAGTCCTGAGTGGAGGTGTCAAGTAGAGGAAGACACGAAGGGATGTCTTGTAAACAAGAGATGTCATGGTAAGATGTGATGAAGAGATGTCATAGTGAGATGTGATGAAGAGATGTCATGGTGAGACGTGATGAAGACATGTCATGGTGAGACGTGATGAAGAGATGTCATGGTGAGACGTGATGAAGACATGTCATGGTGAGACGTGATGAAGACATGTCATGGTGGGCAGCGACCAAGACAATCATTGATATGATAGATGATGGACTATCATAGATCACAATGACTGATGACGGGGACTTGGATGATTGGAGGAAGATGGGAAAGTGGGGAGGGTATGTGGAGAAAGAAAGTTCTTGGCAGGGAGAATTTTCGGGGAATTTTCGGCTTTATTTATACTAGTTCGCTGCCCGATTACTCAGGCATCAATAATAGGCGAGGTCATGTGACTGGACATTGGTGCCTCGGGCACTCAATAAGGCGGTCAGCTTTCTGCCACGACGATAATCCCTCTCCGCCTAAAGAGGGCGCCAAAGGGACTTCAGAGCCCAATTTACCGTCACCTAGCGTTGGGTGTAGATAATACTCAGGGTTTGCGCATTAACTGGATGATATTGGATAGAAGAACAGGAGAAGAGCCTAGTCTTTAAACTTTTTATTACCAAGACTTTCAATCCATCTTGCATGATAGTCATTTGTCTATCGATTATGTACAAACAAAATAGAAGTCCCGGGAAAAGAACAGCAAAAACTCCGGGTTTGCGATGACAGGAAGGAAGCCTTAATAGATTCAAATGAAACCCAGAAATAAACAAAGACCCAAGGGCGCCAGGAATGCAAATCAATCAAGCATGATGGCCGATCCGGTCTGGTGCGAATTTGGCATTGCCGGTTCCTGATGTCCCGGATCTCCCAGATCGCTGAGAGATGTTGGAACGGGTTGGGATCAGGGGCAATGTCGGCTCCACGGGGTCGGTGAAGGGTGATCGCGGGGGCCGGTTGAACTCGCCGTTGGGATGGGTGGGAGGTGGTGTTTCGATGATATCCTCGCGAGAGTTATGTTCCGTGCTCGGTTCACTGATTTGAGCGGCCTTCTCTAGTGGGGAGAGCTCGGTCGTCAAGCGGTTTTCGGACACTCGGAAGGAGTCGCGATTGTCAGAGAGGGGCTGGTATTTCGCTCTTGGCTCTTTGAGAACGATGACGTAGTAGAAGCCGATCAGGAGGAAGATCAATAGTGCTAACATGAAGACCGCATTGTACAAGAAGAACAAAACGCCCATGATGCCTGTCATTAGGGCGGGTTGGTTGAAAACGTCGGTGAAGACGAGGATGAAGATGGTGTTGATGAAGTTGAGGACTGTGACCGTGATGCTGAACCCGTTGGCGGGTCGGTCCATGTATGGTCTGAGCACGATCGTTACGATCATGAATGCGGCTTCGACAATCATAAGCACGATGGCTTGGGCCAGGGGATTACCCTGGGCGAAAGCGATGACCATGCCTTTCACGATGGTGTATGCAAGGAGCGGGAAGATGAAGTAGTAGCTCGTTGCTTTGTAGTTGGTGTAGATGAACCCCCACTTGGTGAGGCACGTGGGGTCGGAGTAGAGAGCGTATGCTGGATATTGCTTCAAAGCCCTCGCGGCTCGAGCACGCTGCCATACCTTGAATGTCGCATAACCTAGAATGCTACTCATCACTAGCCACAAGCAGATGGCCAAAACAATCTCAGCGGCAGAGTCGTGGTGATAGAGCTCCCACATGCAAAGAACGCACATCTGTGGGTATCCAAGCGATGTCACGCGATAGAGACCTCCTCGCATGTAGTCTCTCCACTGGGCGGTAGCGCTGATGGCGCGATCCAACTTGGGGTTGTCCACCTTCTTGGAGATACGCGGCAAGGAGCATGTGAGCAACACGATGCAGATGACCAAGACGACGGCGATGAAGTAGAAGAAGAGATAGCCGGTCATGAAAACGTTGGTAGGGGTGATATCTGCACGATAGGCCACGCGCTCGATGCCTCGCACAGTGAGTTCCTGTCCACCGCTTGTAGTGAAGGAGGATCGTTTGAGGAGAGAGCCCACGGATCGCTTGGAAACCACCGAGATGTGATCAGCAGCTACTTCAGTGAGAATGTCCGAAGGCGTGCCTCCTGTTGCGCGTTGAAACCAGGTGCAAATGGTTTGCAGGAATCCCACGTGGATGATACCCATCGTCCACTGGAACAATTGAGTCCAAGATTGGACGATTGGGGGCTGGTTCACTGAAGTCATCCCCACCATCGCCATGCTCTGCATATATCCCAAGAAAAGTAGAGTCCTGAAAGCCATGTGGGTGGCAATGTTGGAGTATCCGATAATCGAAACGACCACGGTGGCCAGCATGCCCAGGCCGGTGATCACTGCAAGAACCCAGGCCACGGCCTTCTGGTCGACCGTCCTGCCATTGTAGACTCGGGTCTCGACGCAGGTGACCTGTTGGTTGGTAGTGGCGTCTCTAAGCTTCAAGCGGACCACGGCATCGAGGTCGGGAACGGTATAGGCGATTTCTATAAAAAGAACGTGGCAACATGTCAGTTAAAGCTCCTGAGAACGGGACCGAGGTGGTAGTTGCAAAACTGACTCGGTATAATGGATAACGCATCGCTGTCGATTGTCAAATCCGTCTGTTTGATATTGAGAGAAGCGGATTTCATCGGACAAAGGAAACTGATAGTTGGAGAGGCGCATGGGTCGAGAGTCAGGGTTTTTGCTAAATATCCGTAGACCAAGAGTTCCACATCGATCACGACATTCTGAGAGCTCGATTCGGTGAATGATCCGGTGAATCCGAGGACCACGCTGTTATTATTTGGGGTGAAAACGATGTCGAATCGGTTGACCGAGACGGTGTTGTCATCCGAACACTGGCTGAGAGAATGCGCTTCGAACAGGTTGACTGCGTGTGCGCCGCGAACGAGACTGAAGGCACCAAACAGGCCGGCAGCAAGCCATGACGCAGGTCTCATGGTGAAAAAGGGCCGGGTTGTCAAGGCTGAGGGCTGGCACGGCGAGATTATTGAGTGCCCGTGGACGGAGTCAACATGTTGGACCGAAGAATTACAAAGAGAGATGAAAGTTCCAAGGCAACCAAAATCCCGAGCGTGAAAGGCAGGAAGCTGGGGAGATCAACGTAAGAGTCGGATCCATCGGCGATCGCAGCGTGACACTGCCACCAATCTCACCCGAACGGTTGTCCTTGGGCTGTGCCCTGTTTCAAATCATCACATCATCCGGTGGGGCATGTCTTTACAATCCAACAAGTCATATTCCACCGTGCATCCACTAGCTCAGTAATGTCCAACTCCCTTCCAAGATGGGTTTGGGTCGAGAGTTTTTTTCGATTGATCCGTGCTACCCTCCCGGCCCAACCGGCGCTCGGCAGACACCGGCTAAAATAACCTCGAGGATTGGAGGGTTACTTGAGATCATTGAGATTCCGAGTCCAAGAGCAAAGCTCTCAGACTTACGTACCCCCCTGCCCGAGCGAATTCGAATGCAATGTCACTAGTCGCAAAAACTCTGCTTATCTCCGCGATTTCCCATATACGAAAACGGCGTGCACGGGGTCATGTTGTCATTCACTTCCGTACCGCGGGCCATCGCTACTCCATGTGAGAAGGATTGTGGGAATATTGCGCGTACATACATCATAGCTGGCTCCAACGACATGGGTCATATGTATCGGGGCCGAGAATCGAGTGGGTCCGTGAGTGCGTTTTCTCCATCGGGACCCTGTCTGTATCGGTTTCTAATTGTTATGGTTAATTGTCTTCCAGATAAGGAATGGCGGTTTTTTGTCGCTTCCCTTGCTTCTCTCCTTCGAATTCCGGGGCTGGTGGTCCTCAGGGGCGTCGAGAGGGGAATGCAAGGCCAAGCCTGCACCCTTGACGGACGGGCCCCTGGTGGGACAAGGTACGCGCGACTTCGTGTTACTATTATTAGAAACACATTTCATTTTTCATTTGCTATCGGATGCGAAATATTCAACGCTCGTCTCGACTGTATATGTATTGGCGTATGCTAGGCTCTTCAAAATGTAGACTGTACGGAGTATGTACAACATGCTAAGCCTCGTAGATTAGAAAATTGATACCGTCTCACGCGAACCGGATGCCCTGGTTGGGGTCCCAGGGTCCCGACTGCGCCCCGCGACCGGGCTGCCCACTCGGCGCTGTTCCTGCAGGCGGCGTCGCGCCTGGGGGTGCACCGGCGGAGCCAAAACGAATGCCCATCTCTGGAGTCCAGATGCCGGGCGTGGGGACCGACGGCGGTGCGACCGCTGCCCGCATTGGTTGAGGCGCTGTGAGGGGAGTTGCCGTATCTGATGGTCGATGAGCTTGAACTGGCGGTGGGGGCTGCGATGGGGGCTGCGAGGGCGGGGCGGTCGCCGCTGCGAATGCTGATGGAGAGTGGTGCGCACGAGCGGGCTGGGGAGCGGGCTGGCGGAGATGAGGCTGGGTAAGGTGCAGCGAGGCCATGGCGGTGACGTTCGAGATGTCCCTTCGATCATTGTCAGTATATACCAAATGAGTCGAGCCATTTGAACGTACTCTTCCAGCTGACTGGCTTCCATCCGTCGCTGATGCACGAATGCCTTTGCGTCATCGCGGAATCGGCCCACGATCTTGGCCAGATCGTTATAGAACTTGCGTCCGACCTCCAGGTTGGAGATGATTTCCTTGTATTTCAGGTACCCGTTCTCCAGATCCTGAAGTGCCGTCTCTCGTTCCTTGGTCGAGGCATCACCTGTGTGTGCTCGTGTAAAAGCACGGTTGGCTTCGCGTACTTGATCCGAGAGCTGATCCTGGTCTTTGCGTTCTTGGGCCAGCATGTCGCGGTCGACATCATACAATCGCAGTTGCTCCTCAAACAGATCCTCGAATTGACTGGCTTGGATGGCCTGCATGGGGAACTCCCGTTCGAGTCGGGCGGCTGCTTTGAGAAGAGCCGGGTCTGTACGATCAGTCAATTATGAACTTCAAAGAATTAGGACCGAACCTACGAATGTCATCAGCGCGAGCCTTGTCCTTCCACGTCTGAACTCGTCGCCTCCGTCGGTTTTCCATCCGACTGACTTCAGTAAGACAGCTCCGCAGCTTGATGATCTCCCGCTCCACTTGCGGGGGAATAGCAGCTCTGCGGCTGCTCGGGACATAGGACTCAAGGTCGCGATTGGTGCCCGTCAAGACGCGGAACACGGACTCCGAGTCCCGAAGCTTGCGCTCGACTAGGTCATCGCTGCTCTGTGCAGATGAAAAGTAGCCATTGATCTCGGTTGAGGAGTTGTAAATCTTGGGCGCAGCAGCCTCGGATGTCTTGCGATTCCACCGGTCGGTCCCATATTTGCGACGGGCGGCGTTGTCCTCGGCCTTCTCAGCAGCTAGCAGCTCAACGCCTTCGTTGTAGACAGATCGGTCATTGGACTTGATCGTTGCGGTGTCTTCGACAGACCGGCGAAGACGATTGAGTCCATCTTGCTGTCGCATCTCCTCGGCATGAGAAACCAGGGTAGGCGGGAGACCCAGTGGCTTTTCTAGTGCTTGCAGAGATCCTGGCAAATTCAACGATGAAAGCAGGTCTCGCAGTTTATCCGTCATCGACTCCAACTCCCCGATGAGCGATTCATTGACCAGTCGGTCTCGACGGTCCGAGTAGATGCTAGCCGCAATGTGCACTGCATAAGGAACCAACTTGGCGAATAGTGGCTGTCCTAGTGGCCCATTGTCCCCCAGCATGGAGATAGCATCGGTGACTTGCGAGGGTGCCTTGGAAGCAACCATGCTAGCGCGACCAATAGTTTTAAGCTCGGACTTGGGCGGCACGGGACTGATGTAAATGACATCGTTATCCTTCTCGGCACGCTTCAAGTCTTCTGTAACACGGCCCTTGAGCCCGTTCAGATCGCCCAAGACTGTCCGGTTGATCCACCGCGACTCCTTGAGCCCTTCATTGGCGCAATTCAGGCTATCACGTAACCTCGCCACCTCTTCACCATACTTGCGCTTTTCCAAACAGTCCAATGATTGCCGGTACTGTGCAGCAGCCGCAAAGTGGTGGTGCTTTGCCGTCATATGGTGGATCCATTCCGTGCTAATCGCGTTAGACTTGACCGCCAAGTCGCCCGTATCGCCATAAAAGTCAGAAACCTGGGCTGCGAGACGTGCAATTGAGGCGTCTTTCAGCCCGTCCTTGACGGCCTTCTGCCAGAAGCACTCTTGTCCCTGCGCAAGCAGAAGAAGCTCTAGGCTTTGCAGGGTAATCTCATCCATATCTTCCGGCGGGGATGAGCGAAGGTCGGGGATTATATCGGTTCTTAGATGTTTCAGTACACCTGCTGCTTGGCAAGAGTAGTTGCAGGCCTGTTTGAGTCCATCCGCAGTAGTTCGATTCAACGCATATGCAAGTTGCGAGTATAGGGCCGCGAGGTTAAAGAGGATGTTCGCCAGTTCGAACCGTAAGTTGTTCTGTGATACTACATGTAACAAAAGTTAGCAGAGCTGCGCGGGTGCGTATTTGCCCGATTTGTTTCGAGACTTTGGAAGAGCTTGACACCACTTACCAGGCCGAGTAGTATTGAATCCCAATGCTGGATACCACGCAAAGTCTATCCCCACCTATAATAACACAGACCGTCAACCTTGATCTTCAAAAAAAGCTTTTAGGACCTCGGGAAGACCGCGCACATCGATCGGAAACTTTCCTCCCAGCCATTTCAGCTGCGCCGAGTACGTGACCAGTCGACTGATCCCGCTCACGTGTGGTTCCTGGACATTGACAGCCTCTGCTCGGAGGCGGTCGATGATCATCAGATCGTCCGCGAACATATCCGGGCGCTGATCATATTTGGAGGAGATGTACTGCGTGATCGCATCGGACAGCGACACCGTGTGGGAGCGTCGGAACGGGAGCTGTAGGATATTGCTGCAGTCGCAAAGAGCAGGGACAAGTCAGTCAGGTACATTTGAAGCACGGTCATGCGACCAGTGAGGAACCCACGATGCCATTGTTTCGAGGAGGGGTACAGCTGGGCGAAGAAAAAGAGGCTCCGAGCTTTGTTGACCGAAGTCAACCCCCACCGGGCAATGGGAATGACGTGTGGCGCGCCTGAGGCATCAACTCCGCATTTATGTAGGCCTGGCAAATGTCTAAGTTCTCCTTGAATGATAGCTTGGGAATATGAATTCATTCTCCTATTTCTGATGACTAGTATGAAGGTTGTCCATGTGTGGCCCATATATGTATGTACGTGAAAGGGGGCATCTCAGATATGGACGGGCGAGAGAGATCGTATGCAGTGTGTAAGAGGCGCTTGGCAGATATCCTAGGGGAGGTTATTGATCTGGAACTTTATGTACTCATAAATGCTGAGCAGAATCATGTTGTTAATTCCGGTACGCAGGACGACGATGGAAAGTCCCCTGTACATGCTGGACCCGGCCACTGCCTTGGAGGCTGAGGCGATCTCCTGGGCCTTGCCAAGAAGGACACTCTGGGCACGAGTTTTGCGGGTGTCGAGGGGGTAAGTCTGTGTGGAGTATGGTCAGTGTCTGATGCTATAAATTATTGGATTATTGGATTCCATACGCAGAACCAAGGAAGAGTGCTGCAAATAGCGCCGGCGATCGCGGGCGGTCCGAAAGGAGATTGACTCTCACCGAGCTGTCTGACGACAACCTGCTTGACAGTCTCGTAGATGCTGAAGTAGAGGCCAGACCCGATGGTATCACGCACGCAATGAAGACCGAAGCCAGTGTATAGACCACGGAATCCGTGACGCGAGATGATCTGTCTGATAGCCTGGACGGTACTAAGGCGAGGCATATTGCGGAGAGCAGGATTTCGGACAGCACCGGGCGCAGCCTGAGCACGGTTCTGCATAAGGACTGAAGTCTGGACAACATTCTTGGCTAGCTCGAAAGGACCTGATTGAATGTTAGTCTCATGCGAAGACAATGGAATCAACTCTAGGTGAAATCATACATGCAAGCGGGGAAGAAAGCATGCCAGCGGCCAAGCCCGCAGTCGTGAAGGTGACGAGCCCTGGAATTGTCGGGGTGCTGCCAGGCTTGTTGTACTCCGCGAGAGGAGAGACACCGGTGAAATCTTGGAACACGCCATCAACGGTGTCCTTGGTCCAGTTATAGGCCGTAAAGTTGAGAACCCGGACTGCGGTTACGCTAACTAGGGGTGGAAGACAACCTAGGGCATGGTCGTTAATATCCTGTGTGCACACCCTCGCCCAGTGAAACTTCCGTAACGACACATCCACGCGATGCAAATTTCATATGGGCACGCAATATCAACTTACCAGCCACGAATCCACGGGGGCCTTCATTGCGCCAGATGTAACGCACTACCTCAGGGATTGAACTGAAATCATGTCTGAAGATACCAGTCAATTAGCATGTGATATTCTGTTGCCTCAGAAGATAAGAATACTCACGTTTGCATGCGGGTCTTGACGTTTTCCAGGGGGGTCTGTAGAGTAGATCGGACTCAATGAGTATTCATTCCAAAGCGCAGCCTAAGTTGCGATGAAAGGACTCGAGAATGGAAACTTACGACCGCCAGAGTGGCACAGATTGTGGACGATCCTGAAGCCACCTGGGTTTGGTACTTTTTCAGCAGTTTGTTTCGGGTTGAATGATCCATGTTCCAGGCGTTAGGAGATGGCATGACGGCAGGTGCGGTTGTGGAAGACGGGGAAAAGGGTGCATGTTCAGAGCGTTTGTCAGGAGTCATGCCTTAACTTTTCCATGGGAGCAATCACAAAGGGAGCCGTGTGTGTCCTTTGATTATTGAGATCGTTGACTAGCAGGCTGGGGAACCCTATGGAACGCAAAGCGGCCTCTCAACAATTAGAGTAGACCGTCCGGCGTCCCACAATTGTCCATTCGCCGGACTCGTGCTATTTCAAATGTTTTCCAATATATTTGGATGCGATTTTGAGGATCTATATCCAACAAATGGCCTGTATTATCGATCAGGTTGACCAAACAGTGGACGATTCGTTTCGGACAAGCGAAGCCGGGACGCAGGCGAACCCCGCGGCAACGATCAGACGGCGAACAACGTCGAGAGCGATTCAAAGGGCCAGGTGACACTATCCAAAGGTCCACTATTCCAAACAGTTGGCTATATGATCCTCCAGGGAGTTTGTCCCGTTGCAATGGAGGAAGATCGGGAAACTGGCAGAAGGCGACCGATTAACGTTGCTGCCGAAGGGCCATCCCTGACCCACCGAGCTGCAGGAGGGCAAAGGCCAACTCACCACAAGCCAACCCTGGTATCCCGATCAGATATAAAAGAACCAGCCCAATCAAGCCGACGTGCTGCGAAGAGTTGAAGAGGAGGAGTGCAGCAAATCGACAAGTGGGCCTAGCTTTGGAGACCCCTCAATGCGGTCTAGGGCGGAACCCAGTGACGTCGTCGTGAACGTCCTCGGATTGGCCGCTTTGGAGTATGGGGATGGTTTGGTCGATATCGCCCGTTCTTTCGGTATTTTGGTATTTCCTTTCTACTGGTCCGTGAGGGATTTCCGACGCCCAATGCATTCGTCTAAGATGACGGGGTTGCTCATATTGCGCAATGTCGCGGGTGGTAGCAGCCCTACTCGGTCGCCCGCATTACCTCCTCAACAGGTTTCGGACACCCCGTCCCGGTCAAAGCGGACTATGGTCTACGTAGGTATATCCAAGTACCCAAGTACCGCGGCGAGTTTCTACCTGGAGAATGAACGAGCAGATGAATAATCAGGTCGATGGGGGCTCAAGCAAGCTGCGATCGTCGATAAGCAGTGGGCGGGACCCGTGGAACCGGTGCATGATATCCATGATCTCCATACTCAGCACTTTTTCAGTGGAGGACTGTCCTCCGGGGGCGCACTGTGATGGGTGGAGGGGGTCCTCACAGGGATGGATCCTTGGCAGCATCCATGAGTGCATTCGCAATCCACCAATAACCAGACCGGGTCCAAACCTTGAGAATGGAATGAGCTTCTTTCAGGCTTTCAGGCCTTTGGTGCTGAGGATTCCAGATTCGGTTTGAGTGCTATCGACCAGAGATGATTGGGGAAGCGCTGCAGATCATGGAGAACTGTCCGGGGCGAACAGTGCACGGACTTCCAATGAGAGCTGGGGTACTTGCAGACGCCGCCCAGTCAAGATGATGTTCTGTCTAATAGCACCTTCATTTCATAGTTGGACGGAAAGCGTATCTCTGCACCTGGGCACCTGCCTTGTTGCCTCCCTTGGTGGAATGCGGGGTGGCTGGGGTATTCCACGAGTTCATTTGTACGAAACACCGTGAGACTCGGGAGCGTCTTCCTATCAGAAACGTCGCTAATAATTATACAACCCTACGTGTTGATCTCCGGACTCGCAAATACGAGTGCTTTTACTTTTCACGGAACTGGCCATGCGTTCGGCCGTGTAGAAAGGATACCTCATAGGACGGCACAGGCCGGGGGATCGCTGCACGTGATAGTCACCTTCAACTCCGAATATGCGTAGCACATGCGGGAAATGGCAAAAATCAGCAGAAATTCCAAAACGCTATCCGTGGATCTCCATAAAGGCTATTAAAAAGGCTGAAGATCTCCGGAGTTTATGCTGGAGATTTGTGCAACCGCACGCCCTCGGGCCAGCTTCCTCGGGACCTCGGTCGCTCCCCGCAAATTCACGGCTTCCCCCCACCCGTGACATAATGGCCTCTTATATAGGCCCTTTACCGCGGGTATCTCCGACTTTGCGACAACCCCCATACCCCTTCCATTTAAAATTCCACTTAAAAATCCAACACAATGGTCAAGAAGCAAATCAGCAATGCCTACGTCCTGGGCGTGGGCATGACCAAGTTTATCAAGCCTCGCGGCAAGGTAGACTACAATGAGCTCGGCTACGAGGCCGGTGTTAAGGCTATGCTCGATGCGAAGATCAATTACGACGATGTCGACCAGGGCGTCGCTTGCTACGTTTACGGTGACAGCACTTGCGGCCAGCGCGTCTTCTACCAGTTCGGTCTCACCAACATCCCTATTTACAATGTCAACAACAACTGTTCGACTGGCTCGACCGGTCTGGCCATGGGTCGCACCATGGTCTCCCACGGTGCCGCCGACTGTGTCCTCGTCGTTGGATTCGAGAAGATGAACCCCGGTAGCTTGCAGTCGATGTACAACGATCGCACCAACCCTACCGGTCTCTTTGGAATGATGATGGCCGAGACGCGCGGAATCACAAACGCCCCCGGTGCTGCTCAGATGTTCGGAAACGCTGGTCGTGAATATATGGAAAAGTATGTCGGATTGCGATTGCTATGAAAAGGGCGACAAGCTAACAGAGGACTCGACAGGTATGGTGCTAAGAGCGAGGACTTCGCTGAGATCGCCCGCATCAACCACGAACACTCCAAGCGCAACCCCTACTCGCAGTTCCAGCAGGAATACACCCTCGAGCAGGTGATGAAGGCACCCATGATTCACGAGCCTCTCACCAAGCTCCAGTGCTGCCCGACCTCCGACGGCGGTGCCGCGGCCGTCATCGTCTCCCAGGAGTTCCTCGACGCCCGTCCCCACCTGAAGGACCAGGCCATCCTGATCGCCGGTCAGACCCTCGCCACCGACTCCGAGGCGGTATTCAACAAGAGCTCGATTGACTTGATGGGCTTCGCCATGTCACGCCACGCCGCCCGCACCGCCATCGCCGAGGCTGGCGTCAAGGTCGGTGATATCAAGGTCTGCGAGTTGCACGATTGTTTCTCGGCCAACGAGATGATCACTATCGATGCTCTCGAGCTCTCTGAGCCCGGCAAGGCCCACGAGATGGTTCGTCGCGGCGATATCACTTACGGTGGTAAGATGGTCATCAACCCCTCAGGTGGTCTCATCTCCAAGGGTCACCCGCTCGGCGCAACCGGTCTGGCCCAGTGTGCCGAGCTCGTCTGGCACCTGCGTGGCTGGGCGAACAACCGCCTGATTGACGGCACCTCCGCTGCCCTGCAGCACAACCTCGGTCTGGGTGGTGCCGTCGTCGTCACAGTGTACAAGCGTGCCGATGGCAAGGTTGCTGCCGCCGTACCTTCCGATCAGGTTGCTAAGATCACCGGTCTCGGTTATAACCCGGCCGTTGAGGCTCGTGGTTTCACTGCGGAGCAGGCTAAGTTGGTGACGAGCAAGAAGCACAGCAGTGAATATGCCCTTGCTGATACCCAGGAGCGTGTTCTGGCCCGCTTCTAGCAGATTAATATTCTGCTTTCGGAAATTGTATATAGTATGTATCACATGACGGAATCAAATTATATCCAACGAGTATGTACAAGACCGTACATTCCAGAATAGGTCATGAATGCAGTATATCATGAATGAATCTCCGCCCAATTATCAGGAAGCTTGAAGTACTCAGGCACCCGGTACTGACCCCGACAAGTTCCCAGGTTAGGACACTGAAGATTGCAACGTCCATACAGGCGACAATAGCAGACCTCCGCACTCGGACAAGCATCCTTATTAAGTTTGTCAAGATCAATCTCCCCATCAGCATTCGGTTTCGCAAACAAAATATGCCACACGTACGACAAAATCCGGCCCGCAACCTTGTCATTCCGAGGCGCGACCCTCTCATTCCGAGACCGCGGATTAATCTCATCATCAGCTCCATCAAGAAGCCACTGCCGCAGTGCAATGTACTCGTCGCGTGAATGCTGCCACACTCGCTCACGCGAAACGACAAACTGTGCACAACACTGCGATCGAATAGTATCCGTCCGACCAAGATGCAGATGTAATTCCACGTCCCGGTGCACCGCTTGGTACTCATCCATACTGCCACCAAAAATGGCAACGAGTGCTTTCGGCAGGGCGACATCAGACGCCGCGCGTTCACTCCACGGCGCTACCGCAGACTGTAGCCGCATCTCTAGACTTCCTTGAGCCGGTGTAGAAGGCAAACATGTACTGGTACTCCAATCGCATCGGAGATTATGGTATCCGGTTGGCTCGAGTGCTCGTTCGATATCGAGTGATGCTAGCAGAGCGGCGTTGTCGTAGTCAGGCGCATCGTTATGCCAGGCCCAGCGCGAGCCATGCACGAAGACTGCGCCCGATTTGGGGATTTCGGCGTAGTTGTCAATTAGAAACGTCAGGTACGTGATTGCTTCGTGTCCGCGGTTTGCCGGCACTTGGAGGTAGTTCGAGTTCTTGTCGAGCGTAGTATCGACATTGTACACGCATAGGTGGTAGCGTTTAGTTAGGGCGTCGGTCCAGGCTGGATCACCATCCGCTGCCACGCGCGAAATGACGAGTGCCGGTTTCTTGGACCCGGATAGGTTCGGGCAGATGCCCCTGGCTTCGGGGAGTGTGGCAGCCGCGGTCTTGTAGCGGACTATATTCCATGAGAATGACCTGTTCTTGAACTGGGGGTGATTCGAATATAAAATGAAGAATAGTATAACGGCGAAGAGTACCAGTTGAATAACAGACTTTTGCACTTTCCGTCTCATTTTGTGGCATTGAAGGGGGATTCTGAGCATCTGGATATTTCTCGGATGAGACGGGTCTCAAGTGGGTCTGAATGCCTGAGGCAAAAAGCTTATACTTCGTACCTTATCTGTTGATGATTACAGGTCAATACTGGAAGTTTACTGTACGGTAAAGGTATACACATGCTACAAGGCACGTAACCTCCCCTCGCACCGCACGACATAAAAGACCCGACCTCGCCCTCTTCGTTTGTCCGTTTTTTCTTTCCCTCCTCCCTCCATCCTCTCCATCTTGCACTCATCGCTGCGCCCCTACAATTTTGCCCAGCTAACCGGATCACCATTCCCCCCCCCCCCCCCCCTCCGGCTCCCATTTTTCCCCGATCGCAAACTGCGGCTGAGTCCTGGTTGCCTCCACTTTTGCAGCTCTTGGGTCGGAACTATCTGGCCTCTAAGCAGGTGATGGTGTCAGCACAATGGCCAGACTCTCCTTAACTCAGATACAAGACGTTTCAGTGTAAACACAAGGTAAACATATCAAGGCGAAACGTGTACAAAGCTATATTGGGTGATGAAGAAGTTATCACCTCCATCTGTAGTCGGGGCTTTAGCAGACCAGGATGATCAATCCCAAGTTCAGTGTATGACGATGTCTGATCGATACAGAGACTGTGGCCGCAGAAGGGATCCAAAGTCCGCCAGCGCCTTGGCCTCGCCAAGAGTAACTCTGGATATCTTCATCAAAAGCCAAAAAAAAACAAAACAGCCCAACACGCGTGCTTTCCACCAAATACCCGTCTTTCTCTGCTTCAACTAGTAGATTTCAATTCCTTGTCACGTTCTTCCATCTACTCCTTTGCCGCAGCTATTGCGTCGTGTGAAATGTACTCTAGGTACTTCAGTCGAACCAGCAGAATCGTGAAAAGGTACCCTGTCCATTGTATAACAGTCTTGCGGTGGTGCCGGCATAACTCTCCATCACAATATTGACGACAGACAAACTCATAGAGAAAGAGACACGTAAAATAGGTAACTATAAACCTATATAACGTGGCTTTAGTCACTTGAAACATATGAACAGGGGAATAGGCTTACCGTATTGGATGTTGGAAAACTCCAAGCTTCTCCATAAGAATCTCTGGGTAACCAATCTGAATAGCTGGGCGAGGGCGGCCATCCGTTGATACAGGAGAGACATTTAAGGGCCTCTCGTCCATGGTGGGTTCGGCCTTCATAATAAATTTCGGGTCTATGGTAGGGTTTCAAATATTGAAAGCAAAGAGATTTGAGGGAAAGAAAAGGATGGGGCCAAGAGGTATTAAGTCAACATTTGTATCGGGTTTAATTTCGGGTGAAATGGGCCTAATAAATCCTAGCTCATCCCTAGTTATATTTCGATGGTTTCCAGGTGGAACCAAGGTTACATAATTTGCTTAGCGTATAACTATTTAGAACTTAAAAACATTTGAAGTGGATTTCAATATATTTAGGGAGTTCATACTACCACCACCCCACCACCCCACCACCCCACCACCCGGCCTGAACTTAGGATGTGGTGGCCCGAATATTAAGCTGGGGGGAGAGGGGGGTTGATAGGACCAAACCCCTTTTCATATTTCACATCGTGCAAAATGCTAAATTATTTACCAGGTCCCAAGTAGGTTCCCTCTATGTCCCGACCTTAGGTCTAGAAGTCAGACCCTTACCCACCCGCGCGGGTCGTGTGGAAAGGTCCTTAGGGTCACCGGCGGGTGAGTGCCAGGTCTACGCATAGATAGCGTCTCTAATAATATCAGACTTTATGATCTTATTATCTAACAGTATCGGTTCGTGAGTCTCGTATAGGAAATGACGATTCACTTTCCTCGTTCGCTAAGCGAATTTCTGTTGCTTCTTAGTAAGCTATCCTTTAGATCCAAGTTCTCTCATTGCTGGGTGCCGCGAAGGCACGACATGGCTTCAACACCTTGCATTGACTCACCCGAGGCACTCGGGTCGACTTTAGATCCGCATGGCAGACATCCTCTTCCAACTGCGGTGATTACTTGTGGAATTGCAGGTATGTCTTATTATGAGCCATCAATTTCTGACCACAGCACCATGGTTAGACGCGACTTCATATGGGTCCCGGCAAGCCCTACTACCGAAATGGATCGTCTCAAGATATCCACCCGTCTTTCTAGCGTGTCTCAATAGGCTCATACATATCAGATCATTAAGGCCTATACGGAGTCGGCTACGCTGCGGAAGAATACAACAAATACCAAGAACAGGCCGAAAGCGAGCTCCGAATGGAGTTATCCAGGCTGCTTCTCCAAGGTTTCAATGATGCGATCCTTGTTGTTTTATTTCTATTCCAACGCAACGAGAAATGAATCGAAGAGTCTAGTTGAGAGACTAGGAGGGCTCTGGGCGCTGGTGTATCTAAATGTGAAGGCTGCGGAACTGCGTCGGCGGGTAGCGGTGAGAAACCAGCTGGCCGTCAAAGACCGGTAATTCGGCATTCCCTGTCATTGAAGATATTCTGGAAACTTATGTTGCTGGCTTTGAGAGACCGGCTGGGGAAGGAGAGATTGTCTTATGCATGCCGTGCAAGCCATACTAGTAGCCATGGATAACTGTGCGATGCACTATACAAAAAGAGATCTCAGGTACATGTCCGAGATCTCCGTCCAATATGACACCTCAATTGTCATACGAACATAGTAGACTATCCCCGGCTGACACCAAATAAACAACTCAACCAACAATGCTTCTTAACTCCGAAGATGAACCATAGCCGCTAGAAAGTTTCGGGTCTGTATCAATGATGTCATAATCCTATAGAAGCCCGAGATAAACCTCAAGGTCCGAAAATCATCGGACTCGAAAATTGTTCCCCGTGAGAGCTAATAAGTATAAAGAGGACGGTGCTCGCCCTCATAATACTCATCAGCAACATTGTCATACTTCTCTGATAATCACGTAACCATGTCTTCGCCTCAAACTGTCAGCTTTCTCTCCCACAACTACAAGATTGCGGGTCACTTCTACCCCCCAGTTGCTGGCTCCCCCAACCGCTCTGGTGCAGCTATTGTTATTGCCCACCCCTGGACTTCAATCAAGGAGCAATCCCCCGCCAACTATGCTCGCGTGCTCACCCAAGCTGGCTTCACCTGCTTGACCTACGATGCCGCCTACCAAGGAGAGTCCGAGGGCGAACCCCGCAACTTGGAGGACCCTTATCAGCGCGTTGAAGATATCAAGTGTGCCGTGACATATCTCGTCGGCCGCAAGGAGGTCGACTCCGAAAAAATCGGTGTGCTCGGCATCTGCGCATCAGGCGGCTACGCCCCCTTTGCAGCCCAGACCGATCTGCGCATTAAGGCCTGCGCAACCGCAGCCGCCGTGTGCGCCGGTACTATGGCCCGCCGAGGATTCGAGAAGGACTCTTCCAACCTGGACATTCTCAAGGCCCAGCTTGAAGCTGCCGGCAAGGATCGCAACAGCGATGTTGGCGGTGAGAAGGTCCCCATCGTGCACATGCTCCCCGAGAAGCCGGAGGATGCACCGGCTGAATTCCCTGATTCTTTCCGCGACTTGATGAATTATTACCGCACTCCCCGGGCTTTCCACCCGCGCGCAACCAACACCTGCTTGCCGCGCAGCTGGGATATCATGGGCAACTTTGATGCCTTTGCGCACATTGACATGATCAGCCCCCGTCCTCTTTTGATGATCACCGGTACTAAGGCTGCGACCAAGTGGTACAGCGAGGATGCTGTGGCAAAGGCCAAGGAGCCGAAGGAGTTGTACGTTGTGGATGGCTTGACCCACGCAGATCTTTATGACAAGGTCGACGAGGCCGGTGCCAAGTGTGTTGAGTTCTTTGCAAAGAGCCTGTGAATTTGAATTGCGGTTTCGCCGGGAAATTTAAACCCGAATGAGCTTGTGAACTTGGATGAGACAATGCCTGATGATGTGTTATAATTTTGGTGAAAATCTGAATTTACCTTCAGACTCGATTAAACCTCGAATACCAAAAAGTAAATTGACAAACCCATCCTTGATTTATGGACTAGTCAAGATCGATGTAGAGGCCTCTTTTCGGGCCACCCTGAGACACATTGTTGGCACGTGATGTGATGACATAAGCGAATGATTGTGGCCTATTTTTTCCTCCCGCACACCATCTTCTCTTTTCTCTTCTTCAACTTACTTCACGGTCTCCAACATACCCTTGCGAGAGGACATTATTCCCCTGGCAAATTTATAGAGAGACCAAGAGCGATGCATGCTCGTTCTAATCCCGACACCTGACTTGGCACGAGGTGAACGGGTTCGCTTTTGAGCACACACACCCCTAAGGGGCAACGAAATTTTGTTCCCATCGGAATCCAGACACATGGGTCTCGGGTCTCGGAGCTTCGAGAGGGGAATTTGATGCATTGTTGACACATTGTTCGGCTGGGACGCGTTTTCGCTTTGGTCATAACGGACGCGTGCAAGCCACCCATGCCATCGCTATTGTTTGGAGCTCTCTCGTGGTCATTGCCAATGCAATTGCAGATGTGATGTTTTGTCTGTTCAATTACTTCGACAGTGCCCTGAAGAGTTAGCCTACTTCATGACCGCAATGCCATTCACTAACATACAGGACTAGACCTCGTCGCCGAGATGTTGTCAACAATCGTAAAGCAACCCCCCTATTCATTCCATCCCTTCCCTTCGGCACATTCGAAGTCTTGTTCGTCATATCTCCATGATATTCGAGGTCAAAATTCGTGCCAAAAGCGAGCCCTCACAGTTGGACAAGATCCTTCTGTTGACTCCTTCGTGTTACGTCTGCTCCTCTACATATGGAGTTGTTCGTGTCAAAGTAGGGAGATACATTCTCATCCAATCAAGCGCACCTTGCGACGGCCGTGCAGAGTCCGTGGAACTCACGTATTGTCTCTCGGAGGCTGCGGAATGTAGACACGCTGCGGATCCGCATCAATTCTCAAGGCTCGGGCTGGAACTTTCATGATAAATTAGTTCTCAATATATTCCTTCTTCATAACTTCCATTCACCTGCCTTCGCGTATTCACTCGATTTGAATAAGCACAGCGATCAAAGTAAGGCTTGTTGGCATTGGAGAGAAACATGCCAATCGCGACCTGAGACATGGATATGCGGGAAATGCAACCCAAAACGTGCGTGTGGAATGTGTAGCCTTTACTGCCAGGTACCTCAAAATTTACAATTGTACAATTCTCCCTCCCGACATTTACTCCCACTGGAGGATAATTTCCCTTGCATGGAATACCCGAAGATCATTGTCGTCTCGGGAGAGTCCAAGCTTTCACTGGCCGACGCACACATATTCACTTGGGATAAGATATGATTCCTAGCCACTGAGCAATAAGCGGGAGAGGAATCTATTATGTTTGTTCCATTTCTAGTTACTACGTCTCTAGAACGCGTAAGATACCGTCGAGACGCTCCTAGGAACGTAGGCTCCACGCCCTGTGGAACTGTGGCCCTTCGCCCCTCATTCTCGCCCTGCACTGTAACAACAAGGGGTTCAGTATAAATTCATCTAATTTCCCTCTTGGCTCGGGCATACCTTCCGCGGCTGTTTGTCTTTTGGTTATAGACGACACTCCTTTCGCCTATCTATACCCGTCGCCAATCATTTAGAGACTCGACACCTGAATATACTTTTATTCTTTGCATCAACTTGTCTAATATACAACATCCATCATGGCCCGCTTCAGCCTCTTTTCAATCACCATTTTTGTGGTCCTCGCCGCCATCGCCCTGTCCATGCCCACCAAGCCCGACTATGCCCAGGGCCTGACCCTCGCAAACGCGTTTGCTGGCCTCAAGGTTGATTTGCCCTAGATCATCGGTATATTTCCAGTACATGCTGACATATAATCAGACTGCCACAAAATCTCTGGAGGGGTTCGGCGACAAGAAGGATACCAATGACAAGGAAAACGAGGACAACCAGGCCCTGGCGGCCGCCCAAGCCGCAGTGAAGTCGGTCAAGGGTGGAAATGACGACAATGACGATGATTCTGACAAGCCCTCCGGTGCCCAGGATGAGGTGAACGACAAGCCTACTCGCACCGAGAAGAAGCTCAGCTCGGGCAACTTTGTCACTCCTTCCGCTACCCACACCCACCACCCTAGCTCCCAGCCCAACGCTCTGGGCAAGCTCCCTCTCGTTGGTGGCCTCCTGGGTGGCACCGGTGGTCCTCTGTAAATTGCCTAGGTGATCATACCCCAGACAATGTATAAGAATGGAACATCAAGTGATGTTTGTTGATGCGACGCAACTCAATCTGTTGAGTGGATGGATGACTTGCTATTCCTGTACTTTCTTTTGTCGTGTCGATGGCGACGAGATCTGAATTATGAAAACTCTAGATTGACTGCTTATATCCCAAGCTTAAAATGTTCTTCTCATTTCGATCCTATTTTAAATCCAATTGTATTTGAAAGACCGTACGACCCAGAAGCTGAGCTAGTTGGGCGTTGATGTAGTGATGTGCACTGTGTTTTGCGCCCCTAGTACAGGTTCGAGCAAAATGTGGAGGTATTCATAGATTAAGTTAATGCATGTAATATCAAAATATACGCCATATGTCTTGTTGGATGTATTCAAAAGTCAAATCAGCTCTTTCCCTGGTTGGCTTGTTGTTGACCTTCGTAGAGACCGGTGTAGTAGCCCGCAAAATACCAGGACATCATGAGACGTTTCAAAGTTTCGTCTTGAACTGCATAAGGGTCAGCTTGGATCTCCCTGAGCGAGATATATATTCAAAAAGCACGTACCTTGAGATAGAAGCGCTTCAGGCATTGGCATGTTACCAATTGAGGACGTTGGGCCTGGGGCAGCTGCGGGAGGTGGCCCCTTTTCAGTAGACTGCTGTGGTGCTTGAGTGACAGACTGTGGGAGCTGAAGACAGTCAGTATGATCCATATACACATGGTTATATTTTGCATACCTGCGATGCGGAGCCGGTAGCTGTTCCGTCCTCGTCGGTCTCGACCTCCATAGAGACATCGCCAGCAGCATCCTCTCCTGTGACAAGGGCACCATCCTCATCGGCAAGGCCTGCCTCCTCCGCCTGTCTCAAGACATCTTCAACATTTTCACCCTTCGCTTGAATGCTGTGGTAGAGCTGCCATCAACAGTTAGATAACGGTCACGTGAATTGGACCTCGCGACGTACCTGGTATTCCTCAACTGCGTCGTCCCACGATCGCACCAAGGCAGAATCATCCCAGATCTCCTCATGCGTTAGGTCCTTGGCTCGTTTAGACTTCCCCATGGCCGCCACCCGAATTTCTGAAAGAGTAGGAAGGGAAGCGCTGTCCATGACCAGCTGGGTGCTTTGTGAGGACTCACCGCCTTCCGCAAATCAGCGAAAAAAAAAAGTTTCCCGCAGAAGGATCGTTCGATCTCCAGACTTCAATTACCACAATTAAAGTCGAAAATGGCCCCTGATAAGAGAGAAAAGAAGCGCAAGGGTATGTTGATTGTCTCTTAGTGCTCATGAGGTTTTTCATTTTGATTAATCACATCTCAACAGCGCCCGCCGTCAGCGATCCGCCCGCCAAAAAGACCAAGAAGGTCGAGGCCAAAGCCGCCGAGGCCACCAAGAGCGATGCTCCCAAGCCAATTCTGAAGAAGAAGGAGAACGGCGCCGTAAAGGCCACCAAGACGAAGGCCGCCCCCAAGACCGATGGCGAGTCTGCTCGCCAAGTCAAGCCTCGCAAGCGCGCTTCCGACTTCCTCAGCGACGAGGAGAATGACGAGCCTGCCGCTCCCGCACCCAAGAAGGCCGCAAACAAGAAGTCTAAGAAAGAAGACACTGCTTCTGCCCCCGTTGCTAAGAAGGCTGCCGCCAAGGTCAAGAAGGTAGAGGTGCCTGCGGAGTCTGACGAGGACGATGAAGAAGAGGTCCTGTCTATGCCTTCGGAGAGCGAGGAGGAGATTGACGATGCCGAGGATGACCAGACCGCTGCTCTCATCAAGGGCTTTGAGAGCAGTGGCGACGAAGATGAGTCGGGCGACGAGGGCTTCAACCCCGATAAGCCTGTTCCCAAGATTCCCGACACCACGAAGGCACAGAAGAAGATCGCGAAGCAACAGAAGGGCAATGCCCCCGAGGAGCCTGGCACTGTCTACATTGGGTAAGAATTCGCTTGCATGTCTGTCTGTGGAATCACATACTAATAAGACCTTTCCAGTCGTATTCCCCACGGTTTCTACGAGCACCAGATGCGCGCCTATTTCTCCCAGTTCGGCGACATTACCCGTCTTCGTCTTTCTCGCAACCGCCTCACCGGCCGGTCCAAGCACTACGCATTCGTGGAATTCTCCTCCGTCACTGTTGCTAAGATTGTCGCCGAGACCATGGACAACTACTTGATGTACAGCCATATCCTGAAGTGCAAGTATGTTCCGGCGGAGCAGCTTCACCCCGAAGTCTGGAAGGGAGCCAACCGGCGATTCAAGAAGACTCCGTGGAACCGCATCGAGAAGAAGAGACTTGAGAAGGGCAAGAGCCGTGAGCAGTGGACCAAGCGCATTGACCAGGAGCAGCGCAAGCGCCAGGCCAAGGCCGACAAGCTCAAGGCTCTCGGCTACGAGATTGATCTGCCTCAGCTCAAGAGCGTGGATGATGTCCCTGTCCAGGAACCCAAGGCTATTGAGGCTTCCGAGACACCGGCTGAGGAGCCCGTGAAGGCCGTCGAGGCCCCCGTTGCCAATGAAGATACCCCCAAGGCCAAGAAGGGCAAGAAGGCGGACAAGGAGACACCCAAGCCGGAGTCTGCTGTGGAGTCGCCTGCGGCCACCAAGACCACGAAGAAGGTTAAGAAGGCTACCAAGACCAAGGCGTAATGGGTGTACAAAATTTGTTTTCGTATTTTTCTGTCACATAGCCTTTCTATGCATTTTGTTATGTTCCAGTAGTCTGGATGAAAAGAATTCCATAAAATGATTTACACTCCAACGCTTCCCGACCGTTTCCTTCTTTTATACCTAACAACGCATTGAACTAAGCAAGAGAAACGAGCAGTTCCAGCTCAAAAAGTCCTAGTCCCCATGTACACTAAACCCATCAACGTTGAAGCCAAGTCGAGTGCCAGTGTATACAATCACATGACCGCTTATCCAAACTGGACCTAGCTCTATCACATGACCCGAGCCCGACAAATAAAAAAATTAAAATTCCCACTTGCCCTTCCACTCTTCAACTCCTCGCTCAAAGAATCGCATTCAAAGCTTACACACAAAGAAGCTTGCTTCTTCTACCTCTTGCTTTGGGAGAAAGTCCCCGGACACCCTGCGCTTTGGTTCGCCAAAGTTGTCCAAGCCAGGCAATGCGGAAACGCGCCGCCATAGAAGCAATTCGATAGCGGCTTACTGCCCTACTCCCTCCCGGCTCTGCGCACCATCCGACGGCCTCGCCGGTCACAATGGGGTGTGTGTTTGGGGTCGGAGAGGGGAAGGGGGACATTCGTGTCTTCCTTGTATCGGGTTGCCTTTCGTCGTGGTTCGATAGTCATGCGATTGCCTTTCATTCTACGGAATGGGGTAACTCAATGGGGCTCATTCTTGAGGCGAGGAGTTCCTGTTCACTTTTTTCGAGTCTGTAGCTTATGGCAAAGCGGTGATGGGGTATGATTCCTGTCGCAGATGCCCTGTCGAAGGGGCCGGACTCTTTTGAACTTTTTTTTTTTAATTTCGCCTGCCATGAGCTTCCTTGTTCGCGTGATGATATACCAATCATAGAGTCAAGCCCTGAAACCCCCAAAGGGGGTTCTTGACGAGAAACGATTTATTCTATCTGATGAACAACATCCTTTCATAGCTTTTCTGCAGATACTATATGATACCCAATGAAATTTGAATATTATTTCTTGAATGCAATGGCTATGCTATACTCATTACAACGTAGACCTCCCACGCCTGATATTGTACACCAGAGCCTCGCAGGGCCATGTCATGTCTTCATCACTGCGTCTTCTTATCATCGCCGTTAGCCGGAATGGCATTGTTTTTCTGTCCAACAACCTGCACCAGCATTGCCCCCAAAACCTCGGCCACAACTCCGATGGTCGTCGCGCACACGTTGCTCCAGACTTGGATGCTCACGGAGCCTAGCGGTGCCCTCGGGAACGAGAGCACCCATTCAACGTAGTAGGGGAACCAGCCGGCGGGGAGAGCGAACACTGGGGTTTTCGAGTACCAGAATTGTAGGAAGATTTTCAGGCCGTTGGTGCTGAGCCAGCGGGCGATTTTGATGCTCCACTCGAACGAGGTTTTCTGGGCGGTAATCATCTTGTCTGTAGGGGAATACCGAGTCAGCTATATGTCTACACAGTACCCCGGTCAAGGTGATGCGTACTCATGTTTTCGTACTCCTCCATGGCCTTGTCGTGTCGTCGTCGAAGCTTCGCCCACTTCGCGAACTCGTCTTGCGAGCTGGTGCTGTTCATCTCGAGCTTCAGCTGGACGGCCTCACGCTTCTTTTTCTGCTGTTCGCGTGCATTTCGAGAGGTCGATGTCGGTATCTTCAGGTAGAGGAGCCATAACTAGATGTTGAAAAGGGCGCGAGTCAGTTGGAGCTATTCCGCGACGAATAACCAAGTCCTGGGGCTGGCCTATCCCGATTCCAACTCGGGATATTCGGGATATGACTGAACATACCAAGTTATCGATCGTAGACGCGCCGATCGTGTTGACCAGATAGATTGCGAGGTGGACAAAGAGGACCGTTAGAACGAGCGACAGCATGATGGCGGGGGTTGGACAAGGCGGCCGGGGGTGTTTGAGCTCGGTAGCGCGGGCTAAAGAGCCAGAAGCGGAGTGACAAGCCTCGTAGAGGTCTGGCCTGCCTGTGCGGTGTTTCGAAGAAGCACCTGTCGTCGCCGGGCTTCGCGGGTTGATGGCGAAATGACGTTCGGGCGATCTGGAAGGGTGAAGGTCCAGCGAGCCGCAGAGTTGCGTCTCCGCCTTTTTACATGCTCCTCCACACCCGCATTTCCTCCGATCTTCAGAGCTGACAACAACCCGAGTTCAAGGATCATGCTGCCCTGAAAGCTCTCTTAGAAAATTATCCTTGGCGATTCCTCGATTTATCCATGACGACCCCCGAAAATGCATTCCAGGACCTCGCTGGCGTCTTCTCTTCTCGAGACAACAAAGTGCTCGAGCTCGAGATCATTCCTTCCAGCTTAGAATCTTCATATCTCCAGGATGGAAACTCAATCGGAATCACCAAAAAGGCTCTGGTTCAAGCTTACACGGTCGCACGACAGCTTTTTATCAAGCGTCTAATGCCCATGTCCGAACATGACATTCGAGTCGAGCTGTCGGAAAAGAAGACCGATTCTGCAGCTTTGCCTGGATCAGTCATCACTGAAATCATGCTCCTGTTTGACTGTGAACATCTCACGGCATGTACTTGGCGGAAGCGCCGGCTGCTGGCAGCCGTGACGCGTTGCATGAAAGACACGGATCAGGCCTCGACGATACATTTGCTGGAAACGGAGTTGACGCTCATGGCGTCTTATCAATGCTCGCCACTGCATAGACATACTAAATCTCCGACGATGTGGTCCCACCGACTATGGGTGCTGGGTCAACTATTGCGGATTCAATCATTGAGTCGGGAAGCATTGTTGAGACTCGAGCGAGCAGAACTCGATATTGTTCTTCGTGCTGGAGAACTACACCCGAAGAACTACTATGCATTCAATTACATGCGGCAACTGCATCTTCTCCTTGCGAGCACATCTACGGATGTCAAAGACCGCTCACGCTGGACAGTTGATCTGGCCGGGATCTTGGTGAACCCGGTGCTGGACTGGTGTCTTGCTAATCCACGAGATATATCAGGTTGGGCATTTGAGAAATATATACTTGAGAATTTCCCTGACCAGGACATCCGAGCAGACACCATTGGTCGAGCTCTTCGCTTTGCGCGGGATGTCGGGTGGGAAGGGGAAAGCTTGTGGAGTTTTGTCGATCAGGCCGTCCGCCACTTTGACCTCGAGACCGTGGTCGACAATGTTCTGCGTCAGGATACACAGATCCCCGTATCGGAGCTTCCCGCAGGTCAATCTGGTTCGCCGAAATGGCCCTGGAAGAGTCGATTGGCCCGGGCGAGGGTTTATTGGGATTCTTACGGACAAAGCAATGATGTACAATAGTATCAATTCAAATTCCTTGATCAAAGAGGATTGATTTCAGGAGGTCTATCATGACTCGTATAATTTGTTCTCGCTATGGTTTTCACATGGGTATTTGCAGATGGGGAATGAACGCCTTGGGAGTCAACTGAACGCCTCGCTGGACACCGGCACAATAGTAACGCTAGAAAGGAGCCGGCCGGTCTAAGTCGTGTAGGCCTCTATTCGGCCGATATACCTTGCCTCATCGTACCCACAAAATGCCAATTGTATAGCCTGCCTGGTATTCACCTCGGCGTATATATTCCAATTCAGACCAGACCATTGAACTCGGAGGAAGAGAGGGCGAGATATATCGGGATGGGCGCATCGGGGTTATTTCTTTTTCCCGGCTGCTTCGGCTTGCCTTTTCTCGTCGGCTGTAAGGCAAAAGGGTCAGAATGCGTCGTCTCAATGACAATGAAATTGCGAAACTTACCCTTCTTCTGCTTCTCGCGCATAATGGCCGCTGCATCCTCCTTGGACTTCTGGTACTGCGTACCCGACATTGTGTTCTTATTCTTCTATTGGGGGAATCAACCATGTTAGAACCTGGCCTTGAAGATCAGGGGATATCAACGAACCGAACCAGCGGCCTTTTTCTGGGCCTTGGCCCGATCGGTATCGCGCTGATTACCCCGAGTCATGGTGTATTAAAGCGTAAGAGAGAGGGAAAGGGGCTCAGGGCTCTCAGGGCGGATGCGATCGGGGGTGGAAGAGGAAAAAAAAGTCGGCGGGGGCGGGGCCTTCATCGCCGGCGTTAAATGCAGAAAAGCCTCAGTCCGCGGGCGAATCAGCGCCTCCCGTGGCAAGGAACTTCTTTCAGCTTCCATGCCTCAATTTGGGAAGATAAGATGCTATTCAGCATTCTCCAGTCTATCGACACTGATTAATATTAAGCCCGGAAAAGAAACAATTTTGCCAGGTGCTTGGAGAATCAACTTGACTGGGCGCGTGAACAGCGGCATTTGTTTCACGCCTCGGTCCGATCCCCAGACTCATGAGTGTATGGGGATACATGTGTATTGCTGGAGGTGTTAGTGTGAAATCTAGGAAGAATAGAAACAGATACCAGAACAACTATAAATAACAGTATTTATAAGATGAATCATTAATTTTGTACGTCTGAAATAGGAAAGGCGCGGAGAAATTATGCATTTGAGGGTCACGTAACCCCCAGGAATATGGGGGTCCTTATATCAAAGATTTCATCAAAAGCTGCCTATCAAAAAACCCACTCACGCCAGCTACTTAATATGCGTGATGTTAACCCTGCGGAGCTTTATCGACGTTTCCGGGCAATGAGGCCTTATGGACTCTCGCTCCGGACCTGGATTCTCGTCTTGATTTCCGTCGGCGTATCCATTGCCATTGCCGCCTGGTTGACGCCCACTGGAAATTATTCGCACATTGGGTACACCGGTTCCGTCATGACCAAGGCGCACCATGAAGCTCAGGATCTGCCTGTTGGTACGTGATTGGATCCCCTATAACAAGAGAGAGAGATCATCTAACGAAAAGAGAACAGTCGACCGCATCTTGGAGTTCCAAACTGTTGAACATTTCCTTTCATTCCTGGGGGGCAGCCAACTCCCTAATGGTACCCAACCGGCAGCACCCCATATCACGGCAGAGGAACTGTCTCTTCTCGATGGTCCTTGTCCCCTTATCTCAACCGGTGAATCCATCCTGGACCGGATAGCGATCCGCATTGGTTCCGAGGAGGACTCCAGCCGCCTGACCATCGTTGGCAAAAACATCCAATCCATGAAAACTCGTCTCTGGGAAGGCATTCATCCAATGTCAGAGGAACGCTGGGTTGAGAAACAACTCTCTAAACCTGACAATTTCGTCTTCGCATGTCAGCACCTCACAGCCGTCATCGCGGTCTTCCAGTACTTGAATGAGGCCACAGTGCGCTGTCATCTACGCGATACATTCAATCTTATCCATAATGAGTGGACACTTGCGAGCGAGATGCTGAACAGTCTACGAGACGAGTCCGGCTTGCCACGTGTTGATCTCGCCGCTTTGTGGACCCTATACATGACTGCTCATTACGAAGTTATGACTGAGCGTGCGCATCGTTGGGTCATCGATCATGTCAAAGAGCTTCGTGCACCGATCATGGCTGCCCTTAAGGACCATGTACCTCTTGTCGAGGAAAATGGCGACAGGTTGGGGGAGCCGGATGCGGCGCAGTGGAAGTTTACGAATCGGCTGCATGAGCTCGTGGAAATTGCAGCTAATGCGGATTACATTATCCTTATGCCTATGGATGGGTATAATGGGTATGTGCCAACGCAGACGGAGCAGAGTGGATCTAATGGGTTATTTGCTCTCGATTGGCGACAGCGGGAAGAAGCTTACGGAGAAATGTTGAAGTTGTCTACCCGAAGGACAGTTGTGCAATTAATGATGGAGGATATGATGACCAATGGGGATTTAAAGCTCCTGCAAGAGACATCTGGAGAGGAGTTTTATCGCTTGATCTGGGCGCAGGTGAAGGCTCAGGACCAGATCAGAGAGGATATGCGAAGTGCGTCGGCAGGGCCTCTTCTCCAGGAGCCGTGGGTCAATGAACTAAATGCTGTTCAATTTGATCAAGAGGTCGAGGAGGAAGGGAGAGCAATTTCCCTTGCTGTTTATCGGCTCACTTATGGACAGACGGATGAGGAATGGAGTGAATTTGTGAAGATGTTTGAAGAGCACAGTCAGAATTGGGGCTTAGGACTGGAGGGAAGTGACCAGTTGAAGGGTTTTCTAAAGTTCGAGTGGATTGATGGGAGGAAGGCTGGAATCCCTGCAGGTGACCTTGAAGGTGCCAAAAGGTATGCTTTTTCTCGATTTATAGGGTTCAAATCTAACAATCATGCAGGAACTATAATGAGCTCTTAGGGCTCGCCAAAGATGAAGATCAGGAATGCCTGAAAGTGAAGAATATCATCCTCGTCATTGATGCCGCATCTTATGCTTCATACACAACAGACATCTATCGGCCCACGTCAAGGATATTGAATCCCGGTGATTTCACGGGCTTCGTTGTTGCCGTCGACCTAGAATACAATCCTGACCTAGGTCTCTCGAGACCTGACGAGTCGCCAGGATACACCGGGGAAATGAGAATTCTGGGAAGTCTTGTGTGGTGTGATGTTGTCGCGCAGCTGGTGGCTCAATCGATCGGGCTCCATGATTTGTGGCCGTTGGCTTCTGATCATCCCAACCAAGTTTACACCGGACCAACAGTGCCGCTGGAGGTTGTTGCTTTGCGAGAAACAAAATGTCGCGCAGTGCATTCTGCTCGTGAAGGCTATGGGGGATATTGAAGGGCCGTTTGATCGATCTCACGCGTTCTCATTTCACACTATGCATATGCACCTCATCCCCTATCATTTCAATGAGCTTGGTGCGGGGAATTTTTCCTTTTTTTTCATCATTATTTTTACAGTGGCCAATATAGAAAGGGTTTCCGCTAAGTTGTGATGTAACGGGAAACGGAAAAGTAAGATCGAACCCAGAGACTACCATAGAGCCATAACAGGTGATAAACAAGTGCCCCCGTGCCCCCTGTTACAACAATCCGGCAGTTTACGATACACCAATCAGACCACATGGGTATTTCTTGGTCATTCCAAAAGTAGTTTAGTGGTCTTAGCATTAGAGCTTGAGAAACAATGAAAGAGTGAAGGTGGTGACACCGTCTCCTGGAAATACTGTACTCTGGAAGATTTGAATGTGTCCAAGGGTATCAGGTGTGGAGCAAGCCAGAAGTTCCTTAGGTTCGGCGCTTGCAGTAGAACGGGAGCTAACAAGCACGCGCCCGAGTACGGGGTGTCGGTTTCACCACCAACGATCATCGGCACCCGTCAGCCACTAATTATCCTATTGTGAAGGGCAGTCGAGAACATAATAAAGCCATGTCCACTTTGAGCCTAGTGAATCGGGCCGCCGATTCAATTCCTAATCTCTGCACTTAAACTATGCCAATCACTGCCTAGAACCTAATTTTGAAACCATTCATGCCTGAAGAAAGCCTGTTCGGTCCCTAAAGCGGCTCCCTGATAACCACTCCTTTGTCTCGTTGTGCATCACTTGCCTTCTGAGGATTGTTTCAGGTGCTATTCATAGGGGTCTCCCATTGTCGCCCATTGTCGACCACCCAGGCGCCGTAAATAGGTGTGAATGGAGTAGATATTCTCAGCCGCCTCTTCTTTTCCTTTTCCTTATGATCTTTCTTCTTGACACTTCCCCGAGTTGACCTCGCTTCTTTTGTTCGCTTCTTCTTTTATCTGAGACTTCAAGCTTTCTGCTGGCCGGTTGCTTCCTTCCCTCTCTTAATCCTAGACGCCGCCGCTTCCAAGTCTACTTTTATCTATACCGCTTTTACAATCTCTTCTTTCTGCGGATTTAGAGACTGCCAGGAATCATGATGGTGAAGCTCAGAGAGTCCTTGGCTGGTCCAGGGTACGTGATTCTGAATGCCATCCGTGTCATCAATATCATCGTCTTTCTCGACACGATCGCCGCCTGCGCCGTGATGCTGGCCAAAATCAACATGTTGAATGGCTTCTTCTTCTTTCAAGCCGTAACCCACGCCGTGGTTGCGCTTATCAGCAGTGAGTAGCAACCTGCGATGCCCGAGGGGCACGCGCTAACAACACATAGTTTTCCTCATCCTTTCTGAGCTCCCTGTTTTCCGGGGCTACTTCAACCGCAACTGGCCTCTATTCGGCGAAGATGCGGGTTTCATCGCACTTGCGGGCATCATGATGATCCTGGGAATAGCCACGCTGGGCAACCTGAACATAGAGGCCATGAGCCAGACGTCTCTGGGGCTGGCATTCTGGCGGATCGTGATTTCGGCGGGTATCCTGGCCATGGTCATGAGCGTGATCAACATCTTGACTGTAAGTCGACCTTGATCTTGCAACAACAATAATACTAATTCGGTTCTCAGACTTTCATCTTCACCGACCGCAAGCAGGGTGTCAGCGCTCGCCACGTCCGAGCATACGGTGCCGTTGCTCCGCAGAAGGTGCTCAGCCGATCCATCAGCGGAACCAGCAGCCGCCGGTCGCTGTCACTCCAACTCAGCTTGAAGCGTGAAGAGGGCCTTCCGAGCTACTCGCCGCAGCCTGCCTTCAAACGTATGACCAATCGGTTCTCGCGCTTCCCTCTGAAGATCTCGAGTCCCATGAGGAACAACAATAACGGCAATACCCACCTCGCTCCAGGCCATCCCGCAAACGATGACGCTTCGTCCAGTTACTCTCGAGACACTGCTGGGGTCACGATCCCAGATCTCACGCACCACCCGGCAATGTACTCGAACCAGGTTTAGCTACTCGCGGCGCGCACCAGGGAAAGGCTTAGGCGTTGGCATTTCGGGAGGGGGATATGGCAATTTCGGGCTCGGATTCCTCGAGCATTGTAAACGGATTGCATCTACTCTTCACTAGTTCTGTTGTATTGATTAGCCGGCGCGTTTTTTTTTTCTTTTCAATGAGACCCATGTTTATGATTAAAGTAAGCAGAACGACGTGGGCCAATAAAACCAAGACCAAGTAGAAAGAGAGATTGTAGGTTTTAAGGACGAAGTCTAGACGCCTTAGCCATTGAAGATGGTAGATATGAGAAGAAGAAGGAGGGAGGAGTTGGTGAAAGGAGAGTGTTGACCCGGGGCCGTTGGAAGTATAACCGCCCCGTCGCCCCAGTCCCGCACCGCTTTTGGCCCCGGCGCGCTGATGCTACGTGTTGATGGTCGTTCCACCCATTCCCCTCCACCTCCGTGAACTGACGTTCAGCAACCAATCTACCAGGTTCCAATGAGGCAGGAGTCCTTTTGCTGGCTGCAGACATGGCTGGAATCGAAATCTCTTGGGGAACGTACGTGGTCAACCTCCGCAATCCGCTCCGCATTCTCTAACCGCCAGCAGCGTCAAGTCGCTCCTCATCTTCTTCGGTCCCATCATCCTCCCTCGCCTGATTAATGCCTACCGTGGCCTCCGCGTGTCCATTGCGAGTCGCCCGCCCGCGTGCTCACTGTCCGCTGCCGCCAGTCGATCGCTGAACGTCCTGTTCGCAAGCATCGTCTTATTTTTCGTCCTCAGCTTGCCCTTTAACCCCCATGCCCCCGAACCCAACATCTTCTCATTGACGCGGTCGCGGATCAATACCCCAACTGATGTCATCTTCCACCGACTCATGAGGCTCCGGCCCGGTAACCTCTTGACCGAAACCGACACGCTGCTTCGCGACAAGCTTACCTCGGTTGCCGCCCGCAAAGTGTACCTTACGTTCGGACCCGATGCCTTGACCTCGTGCCAATTCTGCTCTTTCGAAAACCTCAACTCATACCTTATCTACTATCTACCGTTCAACGTGCTTCTGCCGCACCTGGCGCATCTTCTGATCCTGGGCGTAGCTACATCCGCAACCTTTGGGGGCCGGGAAGCTGGCCGCTGGCGTACCAAGTTCACATTTGCCGGCCTGGCGTTGGCAGCTCTTGATCTTTGGATTGTGACTACGTATGATGCACTCCAATCGGCTTCTCCCGCCGTGCGGGCTGGGCAGCGACCTCCTTCTGGCCTCTACTACCTTATTACCTTGTTGCGGCCGCTGGCATTCGCGCTCTGTGACGCAGCATGTTCGCTAATTATCTACCTCTCGGCGACCAACCGATTCTTCTTTAAACCGCCGTCTTCGGTAGATCAGCTTGATAATGCGGTCTCCGCGGCCCTGACGCAGTTGACGAGTGCCAACGCCAAGCTTCACGCCTCGAGTGTGGCTCGCAATGCGGTTGTCCGAGATAGGGCCCTGAAGGGTCGCGACGATGCCTACTGGCAGACCGTGGCTGCGGCGGAGAACCCGAACCGAAGCGCACCCACGGAGCAGGGAGACGAGAACTTGACCGTGATTAACAATATCTGGGACGAAGAAGAAGTGGCTCGAGCCGTGTCGCGGGCGATGGCAGGCCAGGGAGGAGTGGATTTGGCGCAGCTGGGGATGAATGCGAACGAATTTGTGCGCGGGGTGACGGAAGGTTTGGAGTGACGCATTTGTATAGATATCAACAACCAAAATTAGACACAATTGGACTCGAGCACTCTCTCAAGCTTGGACCCTGTAAACCAACGCCCTTTTACACCCACTCCAATCTTAATTCAATATCGCCACATTCATTCAGATGAGGCGGTGTGGAGCGTCGATCATCATGTGTTGAAAGGACTTGAAACGAGTTCACCGTTTCCCCCCTCACTCGCTTCGCTGCACAACGTGGGATTCGCCCTTTGTTTTCGGTCTTTTCTTTTCGTCTGATCTTCCACCGATCTTGAACATAAGATCAAGGGGAAATACTAAGATCAACGACCAAGCCAATTAAAAAGTGTCCGCGCGGTGGCCTCGCCCATGAGGTTTCCAGGCCCATCCCGCTCCTCAGATTAATTAGTGCCGAGACCCAACCCTCGCCTTTTCTTCCGCGACCCTCTCCGCTCCGCTTTCCTCCCCAACACATCTCTGTTGTTCTCTTTACCACACTGTCATGTCTAAAGAGACCGCTGCGCCTGCGCAGTCGGCGCCGGAACTCTATGTTTCCAGCCCGGGACGGCCACCCAAGGAGACCACGTTCCGAGAATGGGTGGTTGTCAACCAAATCGGTAAGATATCAACCAACAATACCATCCCATGTTTTGCAGCCCAGAAGGCACTCGACCCGCAGCTGTCCGCGCGGCTTCTTCCAGGTAGCTTCGGCATGAAAAATACCTTCCCTCGGCTAACGCTTGTCTCCGCGCTGCAGGAATCTCGCTGACCATCCTGGCCATGCTACTGGCTCTTCACAACCTCTACCCCTCCCTCCGCCCCTATACCCAACCTTTCTTCGAGCTTTCATACTACGACTCCGCTGCAAACTCATACGTTCAGGGCTGGGACGATGTCTACTTCGTCGCCAGCGCCGTCCTGGCGCTCACCGCAATCCGCGCAATTGCGATTGAATGGATACTCCAGCCATTGGCTCGCTGCGCCGGCCTGAAACGAAAGGGCTCGGTTCGTCTTGCAGAGCAGGGCTGGCAAGCTCTCTACTACGGCTTTATCTGGGGCGTGGGATTGGTACGTGCTTTCTGCGGGACAGTGTGCAGAAGGAATGTGTATGGCTGACTCGCTCCGTGCCTCTATATAGTATTTGTGGAAGAACTCTCACTACTGGTTCGATTTCGGCGCCATCTGGGACCAGTGGCCCGCTCGCCCGCTCTCGGGTCTCATGAAGTGGTATCTCCTCGTGGAGCTGTCTTTCCTCATTCAGCAGATCTTCGTCATCCACGTGGAGGAAAGGCGGAAGGACCACTACCAGATGCTGTCTCACCACATCATTACCAGCACTCTTCTGAGCTCGGCCTATATCTACGGATTCTACAATGTGTCCAACGTGGTGCTGTGCTTGATGGACATTGTCGATTTCCTGCTTCCTGTATGTTGATCACTACATGGATGAGACGATTTGTCTTGCTAACATACTTTCGATAGTCGGCCAAGATTCTGAAGTACCTGAAGTTCCAGAACGCCTGCAATGTCGCCTTTGGCATCTTCATGTCGACATGGTTCGTCACACGGCACATTCTCTATAATGTGCTCACCTGGTCCATCCTCAAGAACATTCCTGCCAAGATGCCCTACGGCTGCTACTCTGGCGGCGAGTTGACCAGCACCAACGGCTATCCCAATGCCCTTGCATACATGTTCGCGCCTTTCCGTAGCTTGGAGAACCCCATCTGCATGAACGGCACCATCAAGTGGATCTTCCTATCCTTCCTCATATCTCTGCAGGTGCTTTCCATCGTCTGGTTCGCTATGATTGTCCGTGTCGCATACGGTGTAATTTGCACCGGTGCCGCAGATGACTCCCGCAGTGACGAGGAGGATGAGGTTGAAGCCAACATCGAAGATGCAACTAACGGTTCCGTACGGCTGGCCGCTAAGGAAAGCGTTAGTGCTACTCCCGTCGTCAACGACACCGCCCCTGGCCTAGACGGCCGCCGGTCCAACGGAGCCGCTTCCATGCGTGCCCGGGGCCGGGGCAGGGTTCCTTTCGACCAGAGTGACCGCAAAGCTCTCTTGGGTCGTATTGGATGCGATAAGCCTACCTAGACGGCAGGCTTCGTTCAACTCCTTTTTCCTTCATTCACGAATCCACTTCATGACCTGTATTTACTGGCATGCCGTGACGTCTGCTTATTCATTGTTTTCCCTGCCTGCGATGCGCGCCTATGTCTTAACCCCCTTTAGCTGCTTCTGCTAGTTAGGATAAGGTGTGGGCTGCGACTGATGAAAATGAAGTGCTCGACTCATGATTTTCTTTGATTTTCGTACTCGTGTGCCCGCATGCCTCCTTGCCAGGCCCTATATCCATGCGTTTTCTGTTTTTCTGTCTGTGTCTAGTTCTGGCCTGGATTGGAGGGCTCGGGCTGTGCTTTCTCTTGCGTTCGTCCATATTCCGATTAGAGATCCAGACCATAATACCCAACGGATGCGTTTGAAATTCTTTAATTAAGCTCTACGTATGGTTGAGCTTCTTCATCCTGCATGCATTGGCGTGGCCAATCATTTTAGTTTGCGGTAACACGCTTACTCGTATGAGTCTTTCAGTGGCTGGTGGCCTGGGACCCTGCATTTTTAGCGTAGAAATCCCTGCTATTTCAAATGAAAACGGTTCAGGATATCCTCGGCTTGTTGCCTGATGTGTCTCGTAATGGTTTGTCTTCAAATTGTCCAATTCCCAATCAGACCATTAAAAGGATGATATACCAGCTCATATCGGACCTGTATTGTCACTAGTCCTGTCATTCTCAAATGCCCTTATGCAGCGCTTTTAGTATGATCAGCAACTGGCATAATCCCCAATTGGAATTAAGAAGGTACATCATGAGCTTGGAAAACTACAAGTTTCGCAAATGCCTAATACAGCAAGGAAGCCACTACAGAACACGGCCTATAGCCTGTGAGAGTGGCAGGTCCCCCTTGAAGGCCTAGCGAGTGGTATCCTTAGATTGGCTTGAGCACGTTTCAGGTCATTTCATACATAGATCATTAATTTCATAGAGCTCCTATCCAGTCTTTACCCGCCTGTATCTCTCAACTTCGCCAAGGCAGCCATGACACCCTCACTCATCTCTTCTTGCAGCTGTGGCTCATTCGTGGAGTATTCAAGGGCGGAGGCAGGAGCTGTTCTACGGCTCTCTTCCAACACGGCACGTAGTACCTCTTCATCCTCGTCCATGTCTGCATCTTGCGGCCTGCGAGACACCGGCGTCCCGCTCTGACTTTTGGATGCAGTTGTCGTGGCTTTCTTGGTTGCCTCAACCCTGAAATCCTCCCTGACGGCGTTGCACCATTGTTGAACCTTTTTCTCACCCCACCCAGGTACGGCGCTGAGCACCTCTGGCGGCGCGTTCACGGCATTTTGCAAGCTTCCAAATGTGGAGATCAGACTTGCCGCATCTGACTTGTTGATGGTCCTTGGTGTTGTAACGAATTCTACCAGTGACTCCTTGTATGATTGGGCTTGTTGGGCGCGAATCGCCGTGGGCTGTGCATATTCCGATGACTTGAAGAGTTCGAGGTAGTGTGCGGCTTCCGGGGCGGACCAGCAAAGGAATAAAGTAAGATTGTTGATTATGGATGTCTTTGATAGCTCTTTTAGGGCGTCTTCATGATTAGGAATGTCGACCATGACCAGCACGACGCGCAGGTTGTATTTGCCCGCCAGGAGTCGGACTCGGGAATAGATGTATTCGGGATGTAGACGATGATATTTCAGGGAAAGGAAGAGAGCACATGTCGTTGTGCCGATAACATAGTCGGCAGGAATATCGGCGTACTCCCAAGGAAGGAGTTTGATATGATTTAAGATTGGATTGCCCTTCTGTCGCGTGGACACGAGGATCGCCGAGGGACCGGGTCGGTTTGGAAGGGCTTGGGGTTTCGGTTGTTGGACTTTGTATTGATTTGTGGATGACCTCGGTGTCGCAGGAGTAGATGACCCAGCATTGGCTCCGCTCTCCGAACGAGAGCCAGAGTCGCCTCCAGATCGATTATCCATGGTGGCAGTTGAGCTGCATTTGATAAAGCTCGCGCCTTATCAGCCCGCCCAGACCAGCATTCACCGCCTGGGATCCGCAACAGCGTTTTTCTGCCGCCAATTTTTTTGCGCCTCTCAACTTTGCTTGACTTTCGTTTACACCAAGTCCAACCTTTGCGAATTTTTTCACAATGGTTGAGTCAAACAAGAAACGGCGCATCTCAGATGAGAGTCCCGTCCAGGACACTGACGCCAAAATGGAAGAGATCACCAAAACCGACAACCCAGATGCCTCGACCACCAAGCAGCCTAAAAGAACTCTTTTTGTTCGATCGCTACCAACCTCCGCTACTACAGAGAGCCTGGCCGAATTCTTCTCACAGTCCTACGTGATCAAACATGCCACTGCCGTCATCGATCCCAAGACGAAGCTGTGCAAAGGATACGGTTTCGTCACATTCGCCGATCTCGAGGATGCCGAGAGTGCCTTGAAGGAGCTGAACGGATCCAAGTTGGACGGAAAGCAAATTCGGGTCGACTACGCCCAGGCACGTCAACGTGAGATCGACGAGAAGCTTGGAAAGAGTGTTCCCTCCGCTGCTGGTATCAAACAGAAGCAGGATCGGGAGGACCAGAACGCCCGGAATCAGCCACCGAAACTGATCGTCCGCAATTTGCCATGGAGCATCAAGACTTCTGATGATTTGGCTCTTCTTTTCCGCAGTTTCGGAAAGGTCAAGTTTGCAACCCTCCCCAAGCGCGGAAACACGCTCGCTGGTTTCGGTTTCGTCATTATCCGAGGCAAGAAGAATGCGGAGAAGGCGCTCCGGGATGTGAACGGGAAGGAGATCGATGGTCGTACGTTGGCTGTTGATTGGGCTGTCGACAAGGATGTCTGGGAGACCCAGAAGAAGGATGAGGAGGAGGAAGAGAAGGAGAAGGAAGACAAAGATGTGGACATGGAAGACAAGGAGGATTCTGTGGAAGAGAACCCCGAGGATGTAACCTCATCGGAGGGAGAAGATGATGATGATGAAGATGAGGACGAGGACGAAGACGAGGATATGGAAGGCTTGGAGGATCTGGAGGACCAAGAGGAAGAAAAGAAGGAAGACGACCGAGACGCATGTACGATCTTCCTTCGCAACCTTCCCTTCACCTGCGACGACGAGGCACTCTACGAACACTTCAAACAATTCGGACCTTTGCGCTATGCTCGCATTGTCATGGATCACGAAACTGAACGACCTCGTGGTACCGGATTCGTGTGTTTCTGGAAGCCCGAAGACGCATGGGCCTGTATCCGCGAAGCCCCCAAGACGACCGAGATGCCTGTCGGTGACAAACAGCGCCCTAATCCAGCAATGAAGCATTCCGTCCTGCAAAACGACAACGCCGACCCTAGCGGACGGTACACCCTGGACGGCCGAGTTCTCCAAGTTGCTCGTGCTGTCAACAAGCGCGAGGCTACAAAGCTGGAAGAAGAGGGCGTGTCTCGCCGTCTGGTGCGTGACAAGGATAAGCGCCGTCTCTACCTGCTGAACGAGGGTACTATTCCCTCGAACTCTCCGCTGTACAAGAAGTTGTCTCCCTCCGAAATCAAGATGCGCGAGGAGAGCTACAAGCAGCGCGAGGCCGTCATCAAGAAGAACCCTGCTCTGCACCTGAGTCTTACTCGACTTTCTATTCGCAACATCCCCCGCCACATCACCTCCAAGGACCTGAAGCAACTTGCTCGTCAAGCTGTCGTTGGTTTCGCGACAGATGTCAAGGCCGAAAAGCGCCAGCCTCTTTCCAAGGAAGAGCAGCAACGATCCAGAGAGACCATGAAGGAACTCGACTACCAAAGAAAGGCCAACAAGCAAGGTATTGTCCGACAGGCTAAGATTGTCTACGAGACTCGCGAGGGTACCAAGGTCCCCGAGAAGGGCGGTGGCGGTCGCAGCCGTGGTTACGGTTTCATCGAATACCACAACCACCGACACGCGCTCATGGGTCTTCGCTGGCTCAACTGCCACGCCGTGGAAATCCCCGCCAACCCCGATAATGAGGAGCGGGACAAGAAGAAGCGGCTGATCGTCGAATTTGCCATTGACAACGCGCAGGTCATCAAGCGCCGCGAGGAATTGCAAGCCAGGGAAAAGGAAAAGGCCATGGAGGGCCCGAAGCCCGAGGAGGAAGTTAAGGAGGATAACGATAAGAAGGGCACGAAGCGGAAGCACTCGCAAACTCGCGGTGGCAAGGGCAAGGGCAAGGATGCCGAGAACCAGGATGAGGAGGACGAGGAGGAGAACAAGATTGCCAAACGCAACCGCATTATCGCTAAAAAGCGCATGCAACGGAAGGGCCGCAAGGGCCGGTCGTGAGTCCCTTTTTTTCTTTTCTTTTTTTTTGTTGGCGTGTATAGAGTGATGGTGATGCCTATATACTCGAGCATTGTCCAGGCGACTTTTACTTGTATCTCATGAGCTGGCTGTCCGATACCACCATTTTTTGATCTGAATAAAAAGCATTGTGATTTAAATATCGGACTCGAGTCCAGATTCCTCCGGTATATTTCCATTCAATCGGCCCCGGACCGGGTCCTGTAATTCCTACATACTCTTCATCGATGTCTAGGTGTTCTTGGCACCTTCAACCTTGCCGACGATATTATACCGCTTGCTGAAGAAGGTGAACCACTCGTCCAGCACCTTTTTATCCTTATCGTCCAGATCGTACCACTCGGGCACACAGTCTTCGGGCTTTAGCGATGACTGGGCGAGGGCGCGGGAGGCGTCCTTGCCGGCAAAGACTAGATTCATGTCGCGTCAATGGAGCTGTTTCGACATAGGGTTCCACGTCGAAGCTTACCGCGATATTGTCCGGAAGAGCCATAGGCGGCGTTACGGGTCACGTCGAAGACAGTGCCCTTGATAGCGACGAGAGTCGGGCGGCTGGGATCGGTGCCTGGATGTGAATGAGCTGGAGGATTTCAAGAATGAGCCGAGGTAGAATTTACCGTCGCATTTGGCCAATTCCTCCGGCGAGATAAGGTCGTCCTTTGGCGGGTCCAGCTGGACGGGCACCTTGGGTGTGAAGCGCTTGGACTCGGACTCGTTGTCGGCCATTGTGTAGGTGGTGAAGTTGGAGAATTGGAGAATTGACGGAAGCTCAGATCGTGGGGCAGGCGGGGTTCGGCTGCTGACGAAATCGGCTGCGTTGATTGCCCTGCGTCCCCGGTGTGGATCATGTCTATTTTACGGAGTAGATGGCTGTCATGGTTAATTAGTCCCTAGGTAGTATAATAGTAGCCTAATTATCTACATCCATGCATTGAGGGCCAAGATCGTGCAGCACATGACGTCAATGTTTGGTTGCGTCAGATGACCGTGGACTTGGTACCACGGTGTGTCGCTGAGTCTTCAGTCCTCACTTTTGACTCGGCTCATCCGGTCATGCCCATTCCACATCCGAAAACATGTCTTCATCCAACGCTCAATCAAGTTCGCAAGCCAGCTCAGCCAAGCCTCACCCACACATAGCAGTCCCACGGAGCCAAGCTGACCCTAACCGGGACTTCAGGGATGACGAGGAGCTGGTTCATCATCTCTATTTTGAGGACAACGATCCCTTCTTCCCACCAATCTGGTTGGGCAAGGACATCCTACAGTCTGACCGGCGACCTTCAAATGAAAGTGCAAGTAGCGGTGGCTCCAAAGACGACAAGTGAGCTCCCAGAAGGATGATGTCTGCTGGGGCTCATTATGAAACGATAACGAATTGCTTTTTTTTTTTTGAATTTTTTTGTTCATGATGGCTTGAATGGCAATGCTTCGTTTCGGCGAATTGAATTCATTTGGATAGTGTGACAAGGTCTTACTGGGTGAACCTCGACAACACTCTCTTCTTCATTCGTCATTTTTTCTGTCTGACTTCTATGAGGTATTACATGTGTGAGTTCTAGTATGACCTAGGAAACCGGATTCGAGCCTTATTACGGCATACATCTCCACAAACTACCAGTGTTGCTCTCGGCTGTAAACGTCCGGGGCAAACAGCTTATAGACTGGGTAGGCCGGGGGTGCCATGGGGCATTTTAAGCGGGCTGATAGCTCGAGCTTCGGGAGCTGTGGCCTCTGGTTTGCTCCCCGGCTCGGGAAACCCCGAATAGGTTTGTTGTGAAAACAATACAGTGATGGCCTGTCTGCCAAGCACCGATATCAACGCCAAGATGGAAAGAATTTTTTACATTTTTCTTGTTTCTCCTCGCTTGGACATGGAGTTTTATCCCTCTTTTCATTTGTTCCAGCTACAATAGTCTCTCTTCTGACCATTAGATAAAACCCATCAACCATGGCATATCCAGGTCCTAACCTGGATTCTATCTCGCATTCACCACCGGATGCTGCCATTCAATGCACCGAGTCTACCCGCAGCCTGGCTGACACTGAGTCGAAGACAAAGAAGCTTTACAATGTTGTCGAAACCACTGAAAAGAACCCACGACAGAGTCGTGATGACTCGATTGGTGGAGGGTGTATGGAGCCAACTTACGACCACACCCACCGCAGGCTGAAACCCCGCCATATTCAACTAATCGGCATTGGTGGTACGATTGGTACGGCGCTTTATGTCCAGATCGGCTCCGGTCTACGCACCAGTGGCCCTGCGAGTCTGTTTCTCGGGTTCAGTATCTGGTAAGTTCAATACTTTGAGTTTTGGTGATCTGGTCCATTTGATCCCTGGGTTCTCCCGACAATGCATGAAGGACGAGTCTCGCTACACTTTAAACGTTGAGTACGGCTTTCAAGTTTCCCAGACGAGTCAACAAGCAAGATTTGAACGAGAGCATCCAATTCGAAAAGGGAAAGACAATCTTCCAATTCCGAGTAAAGCATTGAGGGATGTAGGCAGACTTCTAGACTTCGTCTTTCCTCGGTCAAGTGCATGACATCAATCGATTATAGACCATCCGCCCTACGCGTCCCAGTGCATCTCTGGAGAACCGAATGGCCAGTCGGACACCCGTGGACCTGGCCCAGACTCCGGGATCCCCATCTACGAACTCATTTGATTGTTGCTATAATAACTTATACTGACACTTTTAAGGTGTGCGGTGATCTTGATTATAACCGTTTGTATGAATTATCCCCTCCCCAAAGCAATATCTCTTTTACTATTCGTGGATAGTATACTGGCCCCCAACAATCATTTGCCCCAGCGACCTGTTTACTTAAGTTCATCGAAGAGCACATCAGGTCTTTTTGAATTGAAACTAAAACTTACGATGCTATCTAGGCCTCGCAGAGATGGTTACTTATCTTCCCATTTCCTCCCCGTTCATTCGATTTGCCGGCCGCTATGTTGATGAAGCACTCGGCGTGGCCGCCGGATACAACTTTTTCATCTTCGAGGCTGCTCTCGTGCCCTTTGAGATTGTTGCGGTCAGCTTGATCATCAAATACTGGACTAGTGTGATACCAGTAGCCGCAATGAACGTCATTGTTCTTGTTCTCTATGCGTTCGTTCATCCCACTCTCCAGTTGCGTCATTGATATTCCTGGAGCTTACAATTAACCAGTGTACTCAACGTCTTCGCTGTAAAGTGGTACGGAGAAGCTGAGTTTTGGCTATCCCTTGGCAAGGTCCTTCTCAGCACCGGTCTCATATTTTACACCTTTATCGTGATGCTGGGTGGGAATCCACTCGGCGACCGTTTTGGTTTCAGATACTGGAACGAACCAGGTGCATTCGCGGAATACTACAAGACTGGAGATACGGGCAAGTTCCTTGCCTTCTTGTCTGCGCTTATCACGGCCAGTTTTACGATTGCGGGCCCTGATTATGTGTCTATGGCTGCTGGCGAGACAATCAACCCCCGCGTCGTATTACCCAAGGCCTTCAATGGCGTCTTCTATCGTCTCACGGCCTTTTTCGTTCTCGGCGTCCTCTGTGTGGGGATTTTGGTCCCGTACAATGACAAGACCATGGCTGCGGCTTTTGACAACGACAAGCCCGGCGCTGCGGCTTCGCCCTATGTCATATCCATGGACCGGCTGCATATCCCCATCCTACCTCATATTGTCAATGCTGTTGTTCTGACGGCTTCTTTCAGTGCAGGTAATAGCTATGTCTACTGTGCCAGCCGTAGCTTGTACGGTCTTGCGTTAGAAAGAAAAGCACCCCGGTTTCTGACCAAGTGTACCGCGCAAGGCGTGCCCATTTACTGTGTTGGTGTTGTCCTCCTGATTGCCCTGCTCAGCTTCTTGCAGGTGTCAAATGGTGCTTCGGTTGTACTCAGTTGGTTTGTCAATCTTGTGCGTATCAACTTCGTAGTCTCATACCACATCAAACCAGTGACTGACATCAGCCTAGGTTACTGCCTCCCAGCTAATCAACTTCTCCGTCGTGACCTTTACATATATCCGCTTCAAGAAAGCGCTCGATGTGCAAGGGATCTCCCGCGACACTTTACCATACAAGAGTTGGTTCCAACCTTACATTGCTTACGTCGCCTGTGCCTCCACGACGGTCATGGCTTTTGTCGGTGGCTACACGGTTTTCTTACCTGGCAAATGGTCCATTCCTACTTTCCTCTTCTCCTACACCATGATCGGTGTCTTTCCCGTTCTCTATTTTGGATGGAAGTTCTCCCACAGAACGAAATTCTTGAAACCCGACGAGGTTGATCTTGTCAGCGGCCTGGCGGAAATTGACGAGTATGAGAGGGAGTATGTGCCCTCGCCTCCCAAGTAAGTTCAGAGATCGAAGATTGAAGGAGTGAAGTTGTGCGTTCAATGACTGACTTCGTCTGTAGGAGCACTCTTCACAAGTACGTCAACAAACTTTTCGACTGATGCAATGGATGGTTCCACTCTGAACATCTCTTGGGAATACGGTGGCTGTTCTGGACAACATAATACCAATATTCAATCTTTACGATAGAAAACGCGACTCAATTACCTTGGCACATGACCATAGATCAAATGTGAAATTAAAATAACGCTTATAAACACCAATCCATGCCACGTAACAATATGTAGTACACTGTCTGTCGATCTCAACTACTCCTCGCCCCGAGCAGCCTTCAAAGCCTCCAAGCGCTGCTTATTCCGCTTCCCGATGATGCGAAGAGTATTCTTGCGCTCAATCTCAGCCATCTGGTCCCAGTTCGAGATTCGTGAAATTGTTCCATCCACATTGACCACCATGGGACCCAGGTGATCAAGGGTAACGGTCGAGCCGCCTTCGGCGCTGATGTCAAGCTTTTTGTCGCCGGAGGACTCGGAGGGTGGGAGGGCGAGGCGCTCTTGGGAGGATTGTTGCGCGTCTTGCTGGGACTCGTTAAGTCCTTGAGCTTGAGCGGCAGACTCAGGTGCAGAGGAGTCTGGTCCGGTGGACATCTTGCGTGTTTGAGTGTTAAGTGGTGCGCACTGCGGGAAGAGGACGGTGTAGAGTCGGGAACTCTGTGTCTCGGGAAGATGCGCTGGGGCGCAAAGAGCAGAGGCGGCAGGAGTTGAGGCACGGATTAGAGCTGGGTTGATGCTCAGGTGAATAATGGCGGCGCGAAAAGCTGTACGCGATAGTAGCATGCTGAGAGTGGTTGTGGCGGATGTCTGGGGGAATTTGAGAGGTTAAAGGTTGTGGAGATTGTCAGAGATGCGGAGACGTTTCTAGAACTGCCCGGGCTACACGTTTACAATTTGCCAGCCAAAAACCTTCAAATTTTAAAATTGTGTATTGTACATGTCGCTTGTGAATGATCTTATCTATTCTACAAATTATCTCGAATGTCATTTCTTCAAGACTTTACCGAAACCACCAATTAACCTATTACAGCCTAAGTTAGCCGGATATCAAGCTATCACCAAGCAAATAAGCACTTACCGAAGCAGTCACACCTTCACCAATCCCCTTGATACTATGCCACCATCCTTTGGGGATAAAGAGACCATCCCCAGCCCCAAGATGAGCTTCGTATCTAGCCCCATCTGAACCAGCAGACAGCGGGACACTCCACACCATCTCATCCAACAGCGCACGCTCCTGGCCCTGCATCATTTCCTCACCTCGAAAGGCCGCGGCGTCCTTCCCCCCACTTTTCCCCAGTTGTTGCCGGACTGCCGAAAATACAGCCTGTCCGTCCGCCGGAGCCAGCAATCTCACTACCTTCTGCCCAGCCAGCTGAACGAAGAGGTTCGGATTGGGATCGCGGTGCAAAGGGGTATAGGTTGGGGGATGTCCGATCCAAACATTCGTGTCATACACGTCGCCCTTGCCAGCCTGTGCCACGACGTCTGGAATTGGAAAGTCTTGTCGTAGGACCGCAGGTAGGTCGAGGAGCTGGCACTGGGCTAGGTATAAACGGCTCGATTGAGGGGAGTTCTCTGCCATGCGCATCCACTCGAGAAACATTGTCAGCGGTGCGTGGAATTGCCGGAAGCTCAAAACGTCAGTCCCGCCGTGCCCAGGCGAGCCCGCATCGCTCGAGGGGTCAGACGCAGATGTCTCGGTGAGCTCTAGCGGGACAAACGCGTCGCCGGCATGTTTCTGCAAGTATTCGATGTTTAGGCGAGTGGCGGGTTGGCCATGAGCACCGGTCGGGGGAATGCTCTGGAACCAATTCTTCAACGCAGGGAAACCCTTGAATTGTGATCGCGTGAGAATGGCGGGCCGTTCGGGGGCAAAGCATTGTGCTCGGAAGGTATCGACGTTGGCATTTTCGAGGGGTTCAAGGGAACGGTATCGATCGGCCGACGATGTGGAGAAATTGCGCTCGAATAGCCGGAGAGTTCGTTGCGGTAGATTGGTCGATGATCGCGAGAGTCCCAAGACTCGACTGCTGAAAGGGCGCCATTGCTGAAGCTTCATTCAGGCAGTTCGTGGGGGAGTGATGGACAAAGAAAGAGTCGCGCGGGAGAGCAAACGCGGATTTAGGTCACCGAGCCGGAGATCCCAAGCTCCCATACTGCACCATACTGTATGGGGTACACGAGTATAGGTTGTAGCGTCGCGGCCCCTTTGGGATTTCTGTGGACTCCAGACAATATTACCAATTAGATCGAAGTGAAATAACCTAGACTTTACCTTTACGATGATCAGGTTCATTCTCGGTAAGGCGGGCGCATAAGTACGTTCCAATGATTGCATGAGACAAATTACCGAGGTTGCGAAAAGCTTCCCCTCTTCGCCTTTCCAAAGCCGAAAGCTCACCCATTTTAATTTGATTTTCCCCGGCTTCTATTTACCTCGTTTACTATTCTGACTTAGCTCTGCTGCACAAATATCGCTTTGGCCGCTGGGGGGCTCAGGGAACTTTCACATGTTGTGCTACTCCTGTCCCCGACGTTGTAAATCTAAGTATCGCGCAGCTGTTGGGTCTTTACATCAAGCTCGGCTTACGACAGTTCTAAACCATTGATTTCGGGTTGAAACGTTGATCTTCACGATGCCTTCGATCGCGAATATCCATAAGCGTCATGCCTATGGCAAAGATGCCCATACCTACTACCCGGTGCTCATTGTTGGCGCCGGGGAGTCCGGTGTGGCCATGGGATGCCGTCTGAAAGAGGTTCTTGGGACTGACCAGTTTCGAATCTTTGAGCGCCAGTCAGGCATCGGTGGCACTTGGTGGATCAACCGGTATCCGGGCGCTGCTTGTGACATGTATGTATAGTCCGCTCGGTTTGTCGTCAATATCTAACATAACTTTTGTTGCAGCCCGGCTCTATTCTACTCTTTTTCCTTTGCGCCGAAGAAGAACTGGTCGACAGTGCACCCTTCTGGTCCCGAAATTGCACAGTATCTCGCAGATGTCTGCGAAAAGTATCAGATCGTCGACAAGGTCCAATTGAACACCGATGTGAAACATCTTCGATGGGTCGAGGAAGATGAGGAGTGGGAAGTCACACTCTCTCATCTTGTTCCTGGAACGGGTGATCTTTCCAGTTATGATCGGGAGCAGCTCGCAATCCGGGAAGGCCCGCACAGTGTGTACGTTAAAACCGAGATGGTGCGAGCCAAGATCGTCGTCAGTGGTGTGGGAGGCTTGGTTGAACCCAAAACCTGGCCGAAGGATATCCCGGGCATCGACGACTTCCAGGGTGAAATCATGCACACGGCCCGGTGGAACAGTGATGTTGATTTGCAGGAGAAGGATGTCATCGTGGTGGGCTCGGGGTGCAGTGCCGCGCAGGTAGTTCCTGAATTGGCCAAACCCGAAGCCAATGTTCGCACTATCACTCAGCTGATGCGCACGCCTCCATGGGTTCAACCGGATCTGCTACCCCCTCATTTGCTGGTCTATTGGGAGAAGTGGATGCCCAGCCTGATGACCCATGTCCCTGGACTGTCGGCCTTCCTACGCAAAGCTCTGTTTTGTATGGTTGAACACAATTTCTTTGCTATGTTTACGGACACTGCGTATGGTCGCTGGCAACGGCCTCGCATCGAGAAAGCGTTCTTGGACCATATGCGCGTGATGGCGCCCAAGGAATACCACGAGGTCCTTACCCCCAACTACAGTCTCGGTTGCAAGCGGCGTATCATCGACGGCACTTGGTATCGAAGCTTGAATGCACCAAATGTCGAGCTGACCACTCAGCCACTGACTCGGGTTCACGCAAAAAGTGTGACATTGGGTCCGGGCTCGCATTACCCGCCCAACCAGAAGGAATACTCGGGTACAGTCAGGGAAATCCCGGCAGACGTGATAATATTGGGCAATGGCTTTGAAACCAATCAGTGGCTTCATCCGCTGAAGGTGACCGGAAAGGGCAACAAGGACATGGAAGACGTCTGGGCCGAGCGTGGAGGTGCTCAGGCTTACCTGGGCATCGCGATGGATCATTTCCCGAACTTCTTCATGCTCTTCGGGCCGAACACTGCCACCGGCCATACCAGCGTCATTTTCGCAACCGAGAATGCAGTCAACTACTCGTTGAACTTCATTAAGCCCATTTTAGAAGGCAAGGTCAGCTCGTACGAGGTCAAGGAGGAAGCCGAACGGGCTTGGACCAAGTCAGTGCAGGATCAGCTGCAGAAGACAGTTTTCCGACGCGGTGTGTGTTCTAGCTGGTACATCACGGCGGATGGTTGGAACTCGACGACTTACCCGTAAGTATACTACACATGCTGACTGGGGCGGTTGTGCTAACCCGATATTAGATTTTCTCAAATTCATTACTGGCTGCGGTGCTCATTCCCAGTCTGGCGGGATTGGACTGCAAAGCGGACTCGCAAGGGCGTCCTTCTGCAACGGATCTACAAAGCTATTCAGCTCTCTGTGCTTGTCAGTGCCATTACCGCAATCGGCTGGCTGCGGAAGAGCCCGCAGTCCCGAGGCCGAATTTTACAGGCGCTGTCAGCTGGCAAGGACTGGATTTTGTCGAAAGCATAAGAGATTCCCTGCCCGAGCTTACCCTTTCTATATAATTTTCGGAATATACTGCTTTCAACAATTGTACTTGAGATATAGTGATGCCTGTTATAGTTCATTATGCTCGTGCGAATAATAAGAGTATAGCGGCCCTGGCCAATGAACTCGCAGTTAATGCGATGAGTCAGCCCCATAATCTGGGGAAACGGCAAACCCCGCGAGGAATCTCTCCGCACTTGTTGCCGCCATTTCTCTTCGGCTGGTTTCCCCAGTGCTCCTATCTCCTGTGAACCATGGCTTCGGAATCACCTCAGATTGAGAAGACACCGTCGCAGACCGGTCACCAGGACCGGTCGGTCACTCCAGCTGCCGATTCAGCTAAGAGGAAAGCGGAACAGGCCAACGGAACGCAGACGCGCACAAAGCGGAATCGCTACATCTCTATCGCATGGTATGATAATGGCCTGATCCCTTCCGAGGTGGTATTCCTCGGCTCCTTTACGTGTCACATTTCCCGTTGCCTGCAAAGCATTATTCCTTGCATAGTCATGCCACCTTTCGCCCACTCTGGAAGGACGGAAATATGCATTCCGACAGAGCTAATGAGTAGTCGCTTTCTTTAGCAACGAATGCAAGCGCCGCAAGATTAAATGCAATGGACAAGTGCCGTGTCAGCGGTGCGGTCATTTGAACCTGGAATGTATGTGAATTACCCACCTTATCTCCCCTCATGAATTGCGCAACGGCCAGCTCTGCCCCCCGCTCGGTATCGAAGGGGTATCCTAAGCTAACCGTCAACCCAGGCCGATATGCGCCGAATTGCTGCAGTAATAACTTTAAAGACTCCGAGTAGGTCACGGAACTAGATCCAAGGACTGTTTCAGATACTAACGCCCCAATCAGCGAGTTTCGTTCCATGAGCTCACAGTTGACTACACTTCAAGATCAAGTCAACAGCCTATTCAACAATTTGAGGGATCTTCGAGCGCAGAAGCCTGCATACGAGTCTCCGCCATTTGACCATCCTTCCCACGATGGGTCTCAGCCCGTCTTCACTCCCATGCCGACTGGCATGCCAAAGACGCGGTCCCGTCACCCACGTTTTCATGGCCCGACAAGCTCTGCTTTCAACTTCGATGTTGCTAAATCGAGTCTGCAGAGTATGGGTATTAACCCTGCAGAAGATGGGATCCCCGACGAATTAACTACAGCGCAAGTCACCCCGGTAGGCTCTCCGCCTCCTCATCTCGTTCCTCTCATGCCCACGATTCACCCGACCAAGGATCCAATCTGGACTATCCGCCGCGAGGAGGCCATGCGCCTGTGTAAGGTCTATGAAGAGGAAATCGGCATTATGTACCCCATAGTGGACATCTCGAGCGTTACCAACCAAGCCAATTTGCTGTACACATTTATGGAAGCCGCCACGCGGACAGGATTCGCGCAACGTGCTCTTCCGGGCTCTGATGGTCTTTCAGATGACAATTCAGTTCTTTTGAAACTGATCCTTGCAACCACGCTGGTCGTGGAAGCGGGCGGCCAAAGCGAGCTTGGTCGGCGCCTTTTTCTATCCGTCAAGCCTGTAATTGAGTCCAAGCTGTGGGAGCCTCATGATATCAAAAACATTCAACTCTTTGCTATTGTGGTATGTCTTGTTTACCTTTCATATTTTAATGCGGATCACTCATACAATCCAGGCTACCTATCATTTCCATACTGATGACGATGCCATGGCCTACCGATTGATTGGCTTGGCTGCACGCATGTGTCTGGAACTGGGGCTACACCGTCGCGATGCCGTGATGAAATCATTCCCACTCGAAGACCAGTGGAATGAGATTACTCGCATTTTCTGGACTGTCTACAGTTTAGACCGGAGGTGGAGTTTAGGGGCTGGTTTGCCTTTTGTGATCCAGGACGAGGACATTGATCCAAACTTGCCAGAGCCGGTAACGTTCTCACATTAAATATACCGAATTATCGAATTATTAAACTAATCATATTTCATCATCAGGGCGCATCATTGCCGTATTTGCGGTGCATGATCTCATACAATCGGATCAGCTCAAAGATCTGGTATTCTGGCATTGGCTCCGAGGGCTCCACTGATATCCGGCGGGATGAGATCGGCTACCTGGACTACCAGGTCTTGCAGTGGTATAAACAGGTCCCGGATGAGCTCAAGTTTTATCCCGTGGAATCCCCGAAGAATGGCGAGTCGGCAAGCCGGGGCATGAGGCGTCTCCGGGTCCTGCTGTATTTGCGCATGAATCAGCTGCGCATTCTCATCTACCGGCCCGTGCTTCACTCTGCAACGAGTATTGCCGAGGACCGTGATCATTCACAGACCGTGGTGGACGTAGCCAAGGATACGGTGCGAGTCCTGACTCGACTGAACCAGATGTCCGACATCTATCGCACGCAGCAGATCACCTTTAATTACTTCCTGGTGGCTGCTTTGGCAGTACTTTTCCTTGCGGTGTGCCACGCTCCCGCTGATTTCAATCGGCAAGTGCGTGATGAGTTCTACATGGCACTAGACTTGATCAACGGGTTCAGTACCAAGTCCTTCGTGTCCAAGCGACTGTGGAAGACTATCAAGGGTCTTCGAAAAATTGGAGAGAAGCTCGGTGTCTTTGCGCGTACCTTTGGTCCGGATTCCAATGATCCTCACTCTACGGCTGCAGTGGCCATGGCAGGTCTTGCGGGACATCCGATGGAAGACATCTCCGTGTATGGGCAAATGAACGGAGTCGACGAACTGGGGAACAGTCCTATGAATGGATTGCAGATGAGTCACGAGCTCACGAATCTGTTTGAAGCTATTGGGTCATACAATGACTTCTTGCCGCCCACCAGTGGTCCCGATGGCATCCATGGGTTCGGTGGCACGGATGGGGAAATCCATAACACCGGAGAAGGTCTTTCTGGAGTCTTGGGTGGCGAGGAGGAGTTTTCTCGCGTGATCCGCGATCTGTTCTGAGCAGTGTAAATAAAATTGTACCGAGTAAATAATGAATCGAGCCGTCTGAGTTGTATAATTTTCGTCGGCGAAAGTTGTCGTTGCGTATGTCTGCACGTGACTGCCGCCTTCCACTCGCAGCCATTTTCTTCCCCGCCAAATTTCTCACTGCTAGGTTTCTCTCAAACGCTCATCGACCTGCAGCTCTTTGACTTGCTCTGAAGCTCCGGGTTTGATCTACGAGGTCGAGCATCCTACAACCCCACGAACCGAACCGAGCCGACTCTAGCGTAAACCGTGCGATCAGTGAATACGACCTTCAGCGAAGACGAATATCACCGAGCCGTGATCGAAAGAGACTTTGGAATTTTCGTAAGTGATCCGACGTGTTGAGCCAGATGCCGGATTAGAGGCTGATAAGGTGATGGTGGGGCCAGCAGTGAAAGATACCGGAGTTCTCGACTTCGCACAACCTCCCCCTCCCACCCAGTGTCATGACTGCGCAGCTTCCCCGCTGAACACCAACCATCACTTCAACATTGGGCCCATGATCTCCAGTTTCGCCGTTCAATTGTTCTAATTGCGTGAGGTTCTTCGATTCGATTTGCCCCCCACTTGTACCCACGCCAGCTGCGTTGATCTCTCCCGACCACCAACCCTCTCGTATTTCGCGTGACGAGGTCGCTTCGTCGCAACCCTTCTCCAGCCAATTTTATCCACAATCTCGGCAACGTGTCGAGAGAGACAGGTTCGGCGTTGGCCGACGGCCTGGACAGGCTGGATCTGAGTCAACTGTCTGAATCAACCCTTTCGTCTTCCGTGTCTGCCTCATTCGATATGTCGTCGTCAGAGGGTGCACCGGAGTCATGGATCTCCTCATTCTGCTCGTTGATGGGCCATGAGTTCTTTGCGGAGGTGTCGGAGGATTTCATCGAGGATGACTTTAACCTGACTGGACTCCAGTCGCAGGTGCCAAGATACAAAGAGGCGCTGGAGATGATTCTCGACGTCGAGCCTGAGGATGACGAGGAGGAAGAAGAGGAAGAGGAAGATGACGATGACGAGATCTTGGGTGATGAGCGACCGGTCGAATACCGAAGGGCGGGCGAGCGACGACACGCCCGCGTGGCCAGCGATTTAAGCGATATCGAAAGCTCTGCAGAGTTGTTGTACGGCCTAATCCACCAGCGATACATCACCTCGCGGCCCGGTATCCAACAAATGCTGGAGAAGTATGAGATGCAACATTTCGGCGTTTGCCCGCGTGTCAACTGCAACGGATGCAAGGTCCTCCCCGTAGGCCGATCTGATACCCCGGGCCAGGAAACCGTCAAGCTCTTCTGCCCCGGCTGCATGGACATCTACACCCCTCCCAACAGCCGCTTCCACTCTGTCGACGGAGCCTTCTTCGGCACCACCTTTGGTTGCCTGTTTTTCATGACTTTCCCCGATCTGGATATTGGACCTCGCCTGGACGCTTCGCTGGCGTCCGCCGTGTCACGCAATGCCTCACAACCGAACCGGTCCCCACCCCCTCAAGTACCATTCGAGTCGCCTACACCAGACGACCAGCCGCTGGAAATTAACGGCGTGCGTACATCTAATTTCTGTCCGGGACTCGGACGCGGCAAGATCTACGACTCCAAGATCTACGGATTTAAGGTATCCGAAGCCTCGCGCGTCGGTCCCCGGATGAGATGGCTACGGATGAAGCCCAGGGATATGTACGAGCTCGACGAAACGGACATCCATGAGAAAATGGCCGCCCGCCAAGGGCCGGGAGAATTTCAACCACCGGGTGACAAGGACGGTGACATGGAAATGAACCCCGAGCAAACTCAAGAGATGGCCATCGCAAACCGGAAGAAAGCACCTATGCGCCGGCGGCGGCGAGAGGCGGGAGACCCGACACCGTCGGACCGCATGAGTGTCCAAGGCGCTGAAATCGGTTGAAGGGAAATAATTCTAATGAAGGCTTGTCATAATTACAACGTTTTTCTCGGCCAAATATCTGGGACTGGGTCTTTTTTCCTGCATCTTTTACAGCGGCAGCAGTCAAGGTCAACATTGCTCATGTCGGGAGCGGAGTGAGCTGGGAATTGATGACAATCACGAGTTTTGATTATTTACTCTGTTTGAATGGGATGTTTCTTTTTTCTTTCTAGAACAATATATGCCTTTGTGGATTTGTATTTGTCTGCAGTCTCCTACTCCTACTGCCTTTATCGAACGACAAGGAGCCGTGCGTACTCCAAGGGTCTCGGGGAGATCTGGAGAATAGTAGCAATGGGATTCGACATGACACCAGATACCAAGTACCAAGTACCCGTATAGTTCGCATTCCGATTCACGGGTTGTGTCTGGTGTAATCTAGACATGATTCCTACCTAGATACTAGGCATCCTCAAAAACGCCACTGAGGATTCCCTGCGTTCTACCCAACAGGCAAGTGACACTGCTCCGTCACCGAGAGGCTCTGGGAGCAGGTCACGCCCCGGATTTTCAGCCGATGCTGCTTCTGGTCCACTTGCAAATCGTCACGGTCACGGTAACCGTAGCATACCGGCCAGAAGCTTGGAGAAATAGGGTGTCGGCCACGTCGTAGACCACCAGTCATGTTTAAAACGCAGTCACGGCCACTGTACGGCTTGCGTCCGTCTTTTTTCCCGTTTGGGATTCGTATAGACTGGCAAGGATATTCCAAATCATTCCAAATCAACAAGGATTAAAGAGTCATGTACCGAGTGGTGTACCGTATATCCACGATGCGAAGCGTGCGTTGTATACTTGTAGTATGACTGCGGAGGTAGTAATTGAACGTAATTGGATAATCGCAGGGTGATTGATTCACCGGTATGGCCCGAGTGAACATTTCAATAAAGTAGAGCGGGCGCAGATCGTGATTCCAATCCTGGTCGACCCTTCAAAACGGTGTCTTGACAGGTTCTCGACTTCGGCGACGCCGATAAAAGCGACGCACCGCATGCTTTTGTTCCACCGGCCCACGCGTCCGGTGCCTGCGGACGTTGATTTCCGATGGCTTTCCCACTACCCTGCCATTCGTATCCCGATAACAAAGAAAAATGAAATTATCAAAAACACCCGCTGCGAATCATGAAGCGTCATGGGAAAGGGCCAGGCATCGGCGTATGCACCCGGAGGCGCGTAAATCAGGCCCCCCGCTCTAGTGGATAGGGCGTGTTGGGAGTACAATCACGCAGGCTGTGCGAGGACAAGTCACAGGGACTGGAGTCGCGGTTTATCAATAATCGATTATCGATGATTGATTATCGATTTTCGATTGCCGGGGGGGGGGCTATGTAGAACCTGTAATTTTGACTTTGAATGTTTCTCGGAATGTATCCGGTGTGAAAAACAAGCAACACCTCAAATGGAGTAAGTGCTTGATCAGGTGGGCCCGCATGGACCAAGGTCCATTCTATTTCCCTGGGGCCGTTCAACCTGTAGAAGTATCCCATCACACCATGTACGGAGTGCCCGGTGAGCAAGGGAAGCTTAATGGTGCTGGAAGAAGTACGGAGTCACCCATTCCTTACGGTTTGATCACGGATCCCCCCGTTCCGAGCATAAATCATGAATCAGCGGCACCGGTAGGGCATTTGGAAATGACTCAAAGTCGCCCACCGATCTGATAGGGAGCGGACGTTTCGGCCCCCCGCCTCCGAACCCTCGTGCTTTTTCGACTTTGTGTCAAAAAGCCATGTGGAGTCCTTCGGGGCTCGGTGGGATAGTGGCCCGATAGCTGAAGAAGTTGGTCCGAGCTGTTGGTTTGACACGTTTTACTCCCTACCGACCAACTTGACTTGCTAGGGAAACCGACTGTTTTGGCCTGTTTCCTATGCCGGGGTTCCCGTCCCTCCTGATCTGCATGTCTGGTGATCTTCTCTTCGGGATTGTGAGGATCGAGGCGCCACCGACCATCGATCCTTGGATACTCGAGCAGCTTTGGGGTTAACAAAAAGGGTATGCTACTCGGGCGAGTTCATCGCGAGCTCCGTTTCGCCCAACGATAGCGTTCCAAGGGTTTCACCAACGCACGTCGCCTAGCGAATCTAGCAAGCGAGGGCTGGAATCATGAGCCAAGCATGCACGCTAACCCGCAACCGAAAAAGCACAATATGGACCCCCCAAGACGTGCATTGCAATTGAGGGGTGGACGTCTCTCCGTTTGGCCCTTGCCCCAGGGCTGATCATTTTTCCCCCTGTACGCTGTACGCTGTACGCCGTACGCTGCACGTGCGGATACGTGCGGACACGAAGGGCGTCACTCGGCGCCGGGACAACCTTTCAGCCCTCCCAGCCCGTCCTCCGAAACTACGGACGAGACTACGGGAGAGGGGGAGAGAGGGGAGAGAGAGGGGGGCCTGGGGGCCCTAGACTTGTCTTGTCTCTAGCGGTGCACCGACCATCGCCAGCTTTGAAGCTGGTTCGTGCTTTGGGGTCCCCAAAAGCTCGGTTCGGGTTTGGCTGGATGTGGTGAGGCGGCTCTTGGGGATTGGAAACATTGCCAATCCTAGGCTGCTACCCAAGGATCCGGTCCCGGCCCCGGGTTAAGGAGGCGCAGCATTTTACCCATGTGGTGGTAACCGAACGCTTGGGAATTGCATCATCTGTTTGGTTTTCGGGTTTCGGGCTTTGGGTTCTCTTGTGCCCGACCACCGTTTTTTTTAATTTATTTAAATTTTTTTCCTTTTCTTCTTCCGGACGTAACGATTCTGCAGCAATGACTCAAACCCGACTACTCGGTTCATGGCCACATGGGCTATGCTCCCCACCGGCTGATCCGTGAAGCTTTGGGAAAGAGTAGGTTGTGCAGGTGTTTCATCGCCCGTGGGGTGCCTGAAGGGGAAGACAAGTCTTGGACTGGTTTCTCAATTAGGCATGTGCTGCGACTATTCTTGGGGGCCGTGGCTGCAACGGGACGCCTGAAATGATTCATTCTGCGCGGGCTCGGCTTAGGTCCGCTTCGTGGGTCTTTTGCTGGGGCCTAGGGAGTTTATGTCCCGCCCTGCGAGGCCAATCACCGCCGTAGATCGAAAGGTTAATGAATGGAGAAAATTGAGAGCGGGTTATTTCTTTCTATCAAGGTGGATTCATGATTCGTTGCCGTTAACGGCTCTTTCCCCACATAACACCGTACCAATACACACAACGCCAATGATGCTCGCTTCGTCACACATGTCCCTAGGAAACAGGAAATCATACTAACAATCAAAACAGAGAAAGGGCAAAAATGAAAATGAAAAAGAAAATGAAAAGTGGAGAATCCGGGAACCAGATTGAATAAACGGGTCGACCAAATTATCCCCGATCAACATTCAAACACAGCCCTTTTTAAGTCCGGACCCAGCGGAGCGGCACTACCCGCAAGGCTGGGGGTGTACGCGTCCCGAAGTCCCCGGGGTCCGGTTCTCACGGCCGTAGCTCGTACTCATACAGCCCCGACATGGAGCGTGGCGAGCACGGAGGGGACTCGGGCGTCAGGGGCAAAGTAAAAATCGACGTCTCGGGGGACGTCGAAACCGCGCTCTGGTCATCCGAATAAGCGTAGGAAAGCGATGGCATCTGCAAGCAGAACACGAGAGATAATTAGCTTCTGCAGCCGCTTTTTTTTTTTTTTTTTGTGGTGTGCGTCTTTTCAGCGAGGAAAATGTACCGAAAGACAAGGCTCCGGCTGCGACGGCTGCGGACAGATGTCGATGCCTGCCATCGAGGCGTAGCTCATACTGAATGGACTGATGATGTCCTCGTCGTACGTCGGTTTCCTGGAGCCTAGTGTGGACCCTGGGATCATCGGTACCATGGAAGGTAGCGACTCGCCGTATTCTGTGGGGTAAGACATCACATCACCGTACGTGCTGGGCACGGTGTGATAGACTGGAAGCTGGCTGTAGGTCGGCCGATAAGTATCATACGTTTGCAGTGGTGGGTATGAGAACACCGGCGGTGGTGATGCAGAGAGTTGGCGAGTACATTGCTGGCCGAACATGGTTCGCTCATCCGGTGTGTAGTAATCGTACGACGCCGGTCTCTCTGGCTGCGGAGCGTGCAACATGTGTGATTTAGCATCCGACTTGTTGGTTCGCTGTTTGGAGCGATTCTTGGAGGTGGCTTTGGCAGGCGGTTCGGCATGTGACTGTTCTGGGGATGGGGAGGAAGCGGCGCGCCTCTCTAGATCTTCCAGGCGGCGCTTTAGTTTCTTGCCTGTTGAATGAGTTAGAGCTGCTTCGAAGACGGTTCAAACCGTGCAATACTCACGATAGTTGCGCTGGGCAATTCTGTTCTGGATGCGACGGCGTTCCGCCAGATCAGAGATCTTGGTCCAGTCCTCGTTGGGGTTTGCGTTGGGACTGAAAGCGCTGCTGTTGCTGTGACTGGAAGAACGCGAGCCCGAACGGGCATCGTACGTAGAACGATGCATGATTTGGGATAAAGTGTGTGTGAAGGTATAGAGGAAAGTGGAGTGAAGTCAGAAGGGGAGGGGGCCCGGTGTTTAGATTGATTATATACTCGGGGTCGGAGATGGGGCTCCTAGTCCCGGACGATCTGCTTTGGACGGGCCTTGCAGACCCCCCCCCCCCCCCCCCCCCAGTCCCAAGTGAGTAGCGATAGCGAGGGTGCGTGGAGTCGAATGCCATGTGTATTTTATTCGGGAGCAGGGATCATTTTGGGCTGTTCAGCCTCGACTGAGAGTGGGCCCAAACCACCAATCTGGACCACGTTTTGAGGGGCTTGTATCACCCTGGCACGGACTCTGGAATGGTGTCCTTGGGTAGATTACCGGGTCCCCAACGTGGCCCCTTTCAGTGCGAGCTTCGGTGGGCCGGCCTGTTGCGGGATCGGGGATCTTAGATCGTCGTACGTCCACGCAGATGTCATGGGTAGGCAAATGCCATCTGGACCGGGGACAACGTTCAGAGGTCTTCCTGACTGGCCCGAGACACGAGGTCAGGGGGATGAAACGGCGTGCGTAGCCCCGACTATGGCAGCGGTTACACTAGCAATCTCGCCTTTTTCGCCTTTTTCGCCCTTTTCTCGCGTGGGTGCAGGAGCTGAGGAGTAAGGAGGGGAGTGGGGAGGGGGGCCATTTCCTGCCACGTTTTTTTGAGTTATATTTAATTTATTATCTGTATCCATGCTTTAACCCCATTTTGGCAACGGACTAGGGATAAAGATCTGACCAGCGGGTTATGCTGATCGTGGTGATCAGACAAGCGTTATCTAGCCCGAGTCCGGACGCGAGAGTCCAGTATAATACGGTACCAAGTTGAAGAGGGGGAATTCGAAGAACGAGACCAAATACGGAACTGCTCGAGCCATTAAACGAGGTCCGAAATCGTACGTTTGCCAATTTCCAACTACGTTGGACCGGGGGAAAGTCACGGAGGGTGATTGGGCCGCTCGTATCTTCCCCCAAGTACAGCCCTAAGTTTGTAATCCACTTAACTCCAGCTCGGTCTCGGCTTTTACACCCTTTGTCTCCGTTCTCCGTTCTCTTTCCCTTTCCCTGTTTATTGCATGTTCTATTCATGTGCTAGTGCATCTAGTGTTCATCTAGCGCTCTAACCACGTTAACGGGCGCATCCTATATTTGTCTCCCCTTTTGCCTTGACCATGTCCGCGCGTGGTCGGGCAGCCTGATTGGTCTAATTTGCAGCCCCCAAGGGTGCCGTTACCAAGGTGCTTACTCGTAGCCTGTTTGGGCGTAAATAGACGAATGGAGTCGGGAGGGGCTCGGTCACGTCGAAAGGTGTGCCCCAAACGGGTAAGTGTATCGGAGTCATATCGGAGTCATTGGGGGCCGCAGAACAGGCAAGGATTGCGAAGGCCGAGAGGCTCTCGGGTGGATATTAGCCCAGATGCCAATCCATACCGTTCCTGTTGGCAAGTGCGTCGCTGAACCGAACCCCGCGTGTGGTTAAGGAACGTAGGGCTGAGAGTACGTCGACCTTATTCCTCTTCGAGTTTAAGGAGGGGCACCGCATGACACCGTCGCTCTGCTCGTCCTGCGGGCTTCACCGCTCCTGAGGCCCACGTCTCCCGCCGTGTTTGCAAGCTTGCAGCCCTGAGCCCGGGGTCCATCCCCTCTGTTGCAGGGATCGTGGCCAGTGAGGGGCCGTGCTCGACCCCGGATGCTTGGGTGGGATTGCATTTCAGACCTTCTAGTTACCATCTAGAAGAAGCGTTCCTGGCGGTGGACGATGCAGCCATCCTGGCCTCGGAGACTGATGACACGCAGTCCTGCAGCCTTTTGTCTCTCGCGGCCCTGTCCTTTCTATTTTGGTCCGTGTCACGGGCTATCAACACGGCCATCTCCGAACTCGACCTTTCTTTGACTTCCCGCATTCTCAGTTACACGGGAATGTGAAATGGACTGAGTACGAGCCGGATCCGGGAAAAGCTCCTGCCTGCCATTCGATAGCGTTCCCTTCGACGCCAATCGCGTGGTTGGACAAGGCCCCCCGGCGCTGCCAGCATTCAGGGCGTCCATGGTGTCTGCGGCGTCCAGAAATAGAGCTACCCCCGAGCCTCCAGAGCAGCTTGGGTATGCTTCATGCAAGGCGAGCATGGCTTGGCTTCACTATTTTGTTTCCCCAATCAACACTGTTCGGACTGAACTTGAACCACATGGGATCCGAGCCACGGGCACGTAGCTACGTAGGCTTTGGAAACATTCTAACATAAGCGCAATATACGAGAGTCCTAGGTAGCAGCTTGGGTAACATCAAGCTGAGAGCCGCTTCCCAGGTCCAGCTCTGAACTGTGAATACGAACAACGCACAAAATGACGAAATCACCCGGCTTACCGTACCCTATCTCCATGGAGAGTAGCGGCGGTACCCCGCTCTCCTTCTAAATTATCTCTCCTGGAGCTTGCAAACCGAAGATGAAACGTATCTGCACCCAGCACCTTTTGCTCCTTTTGTGACAAATATTGTTCGATTCTTTTTTTGTGTGTCATTTCCACGTGGCCCACACGTGCTGCAACTCGGCTATTCTGCATTCCTGCGAGATTAGCCTTGCCTCCAAACTTTTCGTCGGTGTCACCCTCCCTTATACTCCGATAGCTGAGTCTGTAGTCTCACGGTTTCGAGAAGTCAGATGTTGGTACGATGTTAACTTTAGGGAGGCTGAGTCCAGGGCGTTCTTGTTGACGTCGCCGAGTTGCTCGGTCCCCGATGAAACAGCTGGTTTCGGTGGCTGATGTGTGTAAGCACTGTGTTTGTGCAAGGCCAAGATCTACTATCTAATCAAGGGGATGTGCAGGTTCTGGGTGCATTGGTGGTATAATTCCTGTCCAGGCTATTAATGGTCATGTTACAATGGGTGGCTTATTTTGGGGGAACTCCTCCGAGCTTTTTACTCCAAAAGTATAATCTGGCTAAATATATCCCAATTTTTACCGGAAAATAATGCCAAGCCCTCTTTGGACCAGGGTGCGGGTTGATACTTTGACTTCTGCAAGGCTAAAAATGCAGATGCAACGTTCTTCAAAAAGACCTCGTATTTGTTTACCTTATCTCCCGTTCCCCACGATACGGTAACCAATCGTTTCTTAACCTCGGGATAAACTACTCAAGTTCGAGTTTCCTAACGCTAACACGTAGTTGTGTGTTCCAAGGCGGGAAGTAACAGGGATCGGCAATGTCATCTTGTGATAGACCCTTTTACGTACCTTGTACCGTATTTTTGGGAAGACATGATAACCCTCTTAACCAACATCCCGATTCCATTTCAATTTAACTGAGCTGGGGATGCTGCTAATGAAGCTTCTAAGGTTGTGCGAATCGAATGTCCTGGCTACTGGGAAGCAGTTTCAATTCGCGCCATGTTGAAATGCTCTTCCTATTCGACTTGAAAAAGTCGACAACTCGAACCTTTTGACACATTTTGTATGTCCTCAAACCAACTCTTAAGTTTCACTTCCAAAGGCTCCAAGTGATCAAGATGAGTCTTCTTGAATTCTAGAAATATTTCTTTACATTAAGAATGTTCTAGTCCATACTTCGTTATCAAGCGCCCTGCAAGGGCGATCGGAAATGCGAATACGATGATAACCGACTCAGTCCGTGTACTCGACGTGATCCTGTCGCATGTCACCCTTTGAGCCACTCCGAACAGCTGTCTGTTCAATATCACCCGACGCCTCTGCAAACCCGGCCCTCTTCCTGGCTTTGGCCTCATTCACGGCCATTCTTGCCCTCGGCACCACATTCCACTGAAGGGCCTTGTGATAGAACTTCTGCTTGGACTCGATCTCCCGATCTCGCTTCTCGTCTTCCATGAAAATGAGGTCCACGGACTCCAAGTTCAGGTAGGATGTCTCGGGGTAGAAGCAGTAAACAATCATAGCCGCAACAAGGTTGAGGACTGCGAAAATAATGTAAGTCTGGTAGCCGATATTTTCCAGAGCGGGCGGGGTAATTTCCACAACCTGGGGGAGGGCAAATGATTAGAACTGTTCATTGTTTTCGTTGAGATGTACTCACAAGGAAATTTCCCAGAAAGTCTGCTGCTGCCGCCAGAGCTGCTCCCTTTGAGCGAATCTTCAAAGGAAGGATTTCCGCCGGGTATACCCACACGGTGGCCATCCAGCCTGTGGAATGCGTCAGAAAATGCCGCGATGCACAAATTTAGGTAAGGGAATTAACTTACCCCAAGTGAAGCAGGCCTCGAAGGCAAAGACGAAGAACACCGCTGCGACTCCAGACCGCGCCGTTCCAATAGACACGGTGATGGCCTCGCAGACCAGGACAACACACATCCCAAGTGCCATGATGATATACAGGCGTCGTCTGCCAACCGAGTCGATCATGTACCACTTTTGGAAATTAGCCCTTGTCTCTTGTTTCTTGTGGGGGGGGAATGGCACTCATACCGTGAGGAATGAGGCAATAATATACCACACTTGCAAGAAACAGCCCAGAAACAATGCCTCCTCCTGGGACATGCCCAAGCTTTCCTTGAACAGCGTGGGGGCATAATAAGTGATAATGTTGATACCTGTATAGAGAATAATTGTCAATAAGATGAAGGGAATAGCAAGCCGAAGCAGCTTACCAGAAGTCTGCTGCATGAACTGAATTCCCACAGCCAAGAAAAAGCGCTTGTTGGCTGCACATCCTCCATCCATGAACAACGATCTCCATGAGCCCTCCTCTTCCGATTCAATATTAATAGCCGACAAAATGTCTGATTTCTCATTTTGCACGACCGGGTCATCTTCTGTCGTGCCGCGTAACTTGGCAAGTACTTCGGTTCCTTTGGCCGGTGAGGTTTCGTGCAGCATGAGCCAACGAGGAGTATCGGGTAGGAACGGCGTGACAACTAGGACATATAAGGCAAAGACTGCTTGAAATATGATGGGAAATCGCCACTGAACCTGACCGGGGTGGAAGTAGAAGGCGTAGTTGATCCAGTAGGACAGCATCAGCCCGAAAAGCATCATCGTCAATTGGCAGGAAACATGCCAGCCTCGTTGGCTGGGAAGGCAGATCTCGCTCTGGTAGACAGGCGCAACGGAGGTCAAGAATCCAATTCCTATTGCTTCAGTTAGTCGAGACTTTTGATTCCTTCCGACTGCACCTACCCAAGCCGGTTACAATTCTTCCCACCATCATCTGGATTCTCTCCACGGATGCACCCATTAAGATGGAGCCAATGACGATCAACGATGAGCCAACCAACAGACTGCGCTTTCGTCCCAGTCGTTCGACAGTAAATGCAGCGATGATCGCCCCGAAAACAGCGCCAACATCATACAGAGCGGTGATAGTGCCCGTCATCACTGTACTGGGGTTCCCCATCTCGTCCAGCCAGTATTGAGAAATGACTACACCGGACATGACACCCTGATCATAACCAAATAACAGAAAAGACGAAGCGCAGACCGTTGTGATGGCCGCCACTAGCGGCCCACCCGTGAGGCCTTTCAGGCCGGTTTTGTCGATCATAGTGTTAGAAGTTGGCGGTCTTTACGCGAGATTCCCACACTCGGCGTCCCACGCAGGGAATCGGCTTTTATATAGGGGACTCATGCTCACAATCCGGCCCGTGTCTGTGAGGCATTTGACCCGAGGCCGAAATGCGTGGGGGTTGACCTGGGGAATGTGGAGGTGGAGGGGAATCGCCAGCTAATCATACCCTCGGACTTTCCGTATGGAACTCGAGGTCGAAGATTATGGGTTCATACCACACCGTGAAGTGGAGCCACAGAGGATCGCAGTGTCCAATTGCCGTATCTAGCGCAAACCCCCGCGTGTCGATCGAAGCTTCGCCACAGGGAAACACATTTCCATTCGGGGAACAAAGTTGCTTGACCTCATTGCTATGCTCCACTATCGGACTTGAGCCGTTCCAGCACTACAGTACTAGTCGGTGTTGCAATTCAGAAATCGCCGGTCCCCATGCGGTAGGTGGTCGGACGGTCTATCCAAAAACTTCGCTGTGGAAAGCCTTGTTGATGAGATTTGTTTAAGAGTAGGTACTAACATAAACCAGTGAATATTCAAACTAAAAACCCGGCTTCTTTCTTATTCTCATTAGCTAAATCATCCTCCCCCCACGTTGTGGCATGTGGGACGTCATGGCCCCGCAACACCCCGACTTCAGCCTTCCTCAGTAGGACACTTTTTGTTCCGTGGGGTCACTGTCCATGCGCCTTTCAATCTTTGCACTCTTCAGAGCTCTCAGAAGTCCAAAGCCCGAATGCTTTGATTCGTTTTTCCTGTCTTCGTGCCGGTCGGACTTAGTCCGAGGAGTGCGTTCCAAGACCATGCACCGATATCAGGTGAATACACTGCGTATGGGGCACATAATATATGGACCTTTTCAGATACCATGGATGTATTACTAGGAATTCGTAGTCATTCTGAGTCCAGATGGGGTTTGCTGGCTGAAACCGTTCAACAGATGGCCAAGAGTGCAGAGAATATCACGTCATACTATCCAAAACTTTGGTAACTGGAAAATGATTAGCAGATTCTCCTTTACTATTCCTTGTCTTGGTTTGAATGGTTCATGGCAAAAGGGTTTTGTGTGGGAGGTGGGAGGTTTGCAAGCAAGTCAGGATGGCTGGGCACCCTATATCAGGCACATTTTGAGGTACATACAGATTTCCCAAACAATACCTAAGTGATTCATATTAATTGCCAATATCTACTCGCCACTATCTTAATCGTATATTTGCGTTACTCGTGGGGCTTGTTTGCGCTGCCCTCTTGCCACTTCTTTTAAATTTTCTAAGGTAGGTACTCTCTCACTTGTGGGGTTCACCTACCAAGGCTCATTAACCACACATAAGAAGACGATCTCTATTTTGGTTATCCTTCATCTGAAACCGCGAGGTATGCAGCCCCTCATTCTTCAGCTGAAAGCTCGTAAAAAGGCAAGCCAAAGCTTGGCTTTACCCCTCTCTCAACCTAAATAATTGCTATCCTCATGTCGGGCGTCCGAAGCTTTCATTGGGCAATTTCAATGCAGTGGACATTTATACGAGATCGCACCCGACCCCTGCAGATCCCGACCTATGAGCTTAATAGGAATCTGTGAGCCACCGCCCAGAAACCGTCTGTAGACCCTGGTCGTGGGCTCTAGTTTTGCTCTAATTGGATTTAAACGAGTGAAGAATGTAACCTCGTGTCTGTGGGCAACAGAGGAAACCTTGAATTCTTCTTCCTGAAACCACATTTGTCCATCGCCGCCCGTCATCTCGTGTTGATTTTTCAACATACATATTTCTCGTATAGTTGCGGGATGATGGCACCCGGGCACGAAAAGCTCGTGTGGAAGCAATTAGACGGGTTGAGCTATAAAGAGCCCTGGATTTGTCTCCGTTGATTCAAATTAATCACAAGTTCAAAATCAAGAATCAATCTATCCAATATGAAGATTTCTGCCCTTGCTCTCGCGGCTCTTCTGCCTGCTGGAATCTTCGCTCAAGATGCCAGTGCTACCAATCATCCTGACTTCCATGTTGTCGAGGCGCGCGAAATCGAGAAGAGAGATGTTAAAGGGAAGGTCCTTGTCGATGGTCTTCGATACAGAACTTGCCCAAGGACATCTTGCCCTGCTCTTGGCCAATATGCTAGCGGCACGGCTATCGAGATTCAATGCTTTACTCGAACCGATACCACTGTGGTAGATGGTGATGCGTAAGTGCTTAACTGAGGCGTTCTTGAGTGAATTAAAAGCTCATTCTTTTAGTGGTTGGGCCAAATTGAGCAACGGTGATTGGGTAGCTATGGCGTTTGGAAAATATATCACTTGGTATTGTATGTACCACAACCTTGAAACGAGATACGATCTCAGCTAACTATTTCTATTACCAGCTACCCTCTACGCCTGCTAGACTGTGGGTAATAAGTGCCTGCTGGATACCAGTTTGAGGGACTGAAAAGCAGGATGCGAAGCATGGAAGACCTGGAGGTTATTGATTCGCCACGGACAATTACGCTTTATGTACATGGTTTCCTGTTCTGAAAAACCCTTTCTAGTTGAAATATTCAGCTGAATAGTTTTAACCAATTCTTTTCAGTATGATAGCAACGCACTTTTTGCTTGTGGAATCTGCGTATGTTTGGGGCGGAATGTTTCCTACCATGTATCTCTGTAATTGTTTGTTTCAATGAGCCTCCCATTTCATGCTTTCAGGCTTAGGTATGAAGCATAGAGGAGGGATCAACGGAAGTTTTGGTGTGCACGCGGCTCCCTTGTTGAGTCTGAGATGGATGTGTACCTAGGTAGTTCAGATTTCTTTTAAAAAATCAAGCGTAGGTCCCCAATAATGCAAATCTGCTGTGCATGAATCTTAATGCGCGTGATAGATAACCCGAAAGAAATGACATGAGAAGACGTCTAGACATCCCGGAGAAGGAACTTGGGCCGAAATACCCAGTTCCACAAATGAAGGAATCCATGGCTGTTGATAACATCGATTCTAGAAAGCAAATGCCAGAAATACGCATAACTGAATCGAAGCCTTCGAAAAAGCCCACAAATATATAATCAACCGGGACACAAAACATGTCCGCAACCTTTTGAGATGAACCGGCATCCGATTAAATAACGAAACTGTGAGATAATTAGTACTCACAATATTTGTACCTTCTTCAATGATTGACTTACCTCCAGGGGTGCTGCTCGTCTCCATACTGGATACGCTCGATCCAGTTCTTCATCTGGAGAGCGATCTCACCAGCTTCCTCATTCTCCTTCAAGCCGCAGTCAACCATCTTGCCCTGGTAACTGATATTCCGGACCGGGCTGACGATGGCTGCAGTGCCGGCGCCGAAGACCTCGATCATGCGGCCTTCCTCGGCGGCCTTGGCAACATCGGACATGCGAATCTTACGCTCCGAGATCTTCCAACCCTGAGGGATCAGTCTCTCCCGGGCAAGAGAGAGAACCGAATCTCTAGTGACACCCTCCAGGATGGTGCCATCGAGAGGAGCGGTGATCAGCTCCTTCTGACCGGTCTCCTTGTCCTTCAGAGCGATAAAGAGATTCATCGTGCCAACCTCGGTCACGTACTCCTCCTCGCCAAAGAGCCACAGGTTCTGCTGGAAGCCACGGGAGGCAGCCTCAAGTTGGGGCAAAATGCATGGGGCATAGTTAGCACCGAGCTTCTTGTCACCGACACCACCTGGCCAGGCACGGACGGCGTAGTCGGTAGCTTCCAGGGAGATGGCCTTGAATCCAGTGGGGTAGTAAGGTCCGACGGGACTAGCGATGACAAACAGAAGGGCGGAGCCCGGAGGTCCAACGCCCAGAGTCTTCTGAGTACCAATCATGGTGGGACGCAGGTATAGTGAGTAGCCGCGGGCACTGGGACAGTTAGCAGGAGATCACCATGATAACAAGGAAGATAGCGACTGACTCCGGAATGAACCGACTGTCCAACTTCACGAACTCCCCAATCAGCTTGGTCAAAGCCTCGCCGTCAAAAGTAGGAAGAGCGATGCGCGCAGAAGACTTGTTCAAGCGCTCCATGTTCTTGTTGGGACGGAACAACCGGATTCCTCCATTTTTATCCTTGTATGCCTTCATTCCCTCGAAACACTCAAAGGCGTAGTGGAACACACAGGTGGAGGGGTCCAGGCTGAGGTTCTGATAAGGGATGATTTGAGGAGATTGCCATCCGTCAGTAGCGGTCCACTCAATGGAAAGCATGTGGTCTAGAATATGAAGTCAAGATCAGCAATGCGCATAGCAGGGTCGGAATTGGTATTCATACCGGTGAAGGTCTTTCCGAAGACCAGGTCCTTATTCGGAGTAAGCTCCTTCGGGGTGGTAGTCGTGGTCACGGTCAGCTTGGATGCATCCAGGGCAGGAAGCTGAGAAGCCGCGGTGACCGAAGCACTGAATTTACGCTGCCATAACTGAGTGGAAGCGATTGTCCGAGAGGGCAGGATCCGAGGCGAGACAAGGCCGGCGAAGGCCTTGTGGTGAGCCAATTGCTGAAGTGATTTCATGGTTGGGAAATAATAGCAGTCACCAATTGCGTAGGTGAAGGTGGACGGTATTTAAACCCGAGATGACTCCGCACGAGAACAATAATATTTCTACGGTGCCCTGTACCAACTCCGACGCGGCCAGAAGAGGACACTGCATGCTCACCGCCCGTAGCAGATCCCATGACTCAGCCGCCGATGTTCCAATCGCACCAATCAACAGGCGTAGACTTGGGGGGACCCGCCGACTTCGGATCTGGTTTGTGGCCTGTAGCACCAGGCATCAATATCAAGGCCGATGCAAAGCGGGGGGATCACATGATATGGGAGCTATGGTACACGTGATCTAATCCGATAGGAGCATTGTTAGGCTGTTATCGATTCCCAGGCCTCGGTGGCTTTGAAGGTGCCGTGTTCTCACTTGGAATTGGACTCGAATTGACTGTGAACCCAATTGGGCTCCCCGATGTCCACCGGATCTTGCGCTATCCTTTCTCTCCGAAGTCTATAGGCCCATGAATGCCATGCCGCTTACTGCGATCTCTGTCACGACACTGTGAAACGAATCACGACCGCCTGAATCAGTCCGATTCCTCATAGCCCGCGTTCCCTCTGCGCATTTCGGTACATCATGTTCTCGTCCGCGCTGAAGTCTTTCAGCTCCAACATCTCCGCCAACTACCAGATCTCCCCCCACCCCACTGTATATTCCGGCCCCTGGAAAATCCACGATGCGACGAAAAAGTCTACGGGGACACCGGCGTCCGTCTTCATATTTGACCGCAAAGTCCTCGAGCCGCGGTCTGGGAGATTTGGCTCCCGGTCAGGGTCCTCGTCCAAAAAATTACAGGAAGATGTAATCGAGCGGCTCAAGCGGGAAGCCAGCAACCTCGCCCGGCTGAGACATCCATCCATCCTCCAGGTGCTTGAGCCGGTCGAGGAAACTCGCAGTGGTGGCCTAATGTTTGCCACAGAACCTCTCACTGCCTCGCTCTCCGGGCTTCTGCTGGAAAAGAGCGAGCAGGATAGCACGTCGGGTGCTGGTTCGCGGTCCAGCCGATATATGGTCGAGCAGGCCGATGGAACACGAGGAAGACGGGACTTGGAAATTGATGAACTAGAAATACAAAAGGGGCTGCTTCAGGTGGCAAAGGGTCTTGAATTTCTCCACGAGTCCGCGGGTCTTGTTCATGGCAACCTGAACCCAGAGGCCATCTATATCAACGCCAAATCTGACTGGAAAATATCCGGTCTCGGGTTTGCAGGACCTCCTGATTCCTCGGAATCTCGATCATCATTGCCGCCCTTGGCTGTCTCCGAGGTGCTCTACCAGGACCCAAGACTCCCTGCTTCGGTTCAGCTAAACATGGACTACACGTCTCCGGATTTCGCTCTGGATTCCAATGTGTCCTCTTCTGCTGATATGTTCTCTCTGGGTCTCATAATTATTGCCCTTTATAATTCTCCCCATGTCTCCCCGCTCCAAACACACTCAAACTTGTCGACCTACAAGAAGCTCCTGAGTTCTCCATCAACCACTCCATCTCAGGGCAATAATTTCCTTTGCTCAACGCCTATCCCCCGAGATGTTCTATCCCACGTTTTGCCTAGATTGATAACAAGAAGGGCTGCGCAACGGATGAATGCTCGAGAATTCCAGCAGTCCCGGTATTTCGATAATGTACTGGTATCTACGATTCGGTTCTTAGAATCATTACCAGCCAAAAGTCCCAATGAGAAATCTCAATTCTTGCGTGGCTTACAGCGGGTTCTTCCTGACTTCCCTGCATCAGTGTTGGAAAGAAAGCTATTGGGGGCTCTTCTGGACGAAATGAAGGATCGCGAGCTTCTATCTCTTTTACTACAGAATGTTTTTGGGATCCTCCAACGGATCCCCAATGGGCGCCGTACCTTCCCCGAGAAAATCATTCCTCGGCTCAAGGAAGTGTTTGGAACAGCTTCTGGCAAAGGGGCCCAAGAACGCGATTCAAAGAAGGATGCAGGTCTTATGGTGGTGCTGGACAATATGAAACTTATTGCGGAAAATTGCTCAGGAATGGAGTTCAAAGACGGTAAGTTCTCGTGTACACAAGGGTGTCGTCATGCCACTAACATTTTGAATCAGACATTTTGCCTCTGATCCGACTTGGGTTGGACTCCCCGACACACTCCTTGGTAGATGCCTCCATAAAATGTCTTCCTGTGGTGCTTCCCGTTCTCGATTTTAGCACCGTGAAGAACGAGGTGTTTCCTCCCATTGCGAGCACTTTCAGTCGCACCAGCAGCCTTGCGATCAAAGTTCGCAGTTTAGAAGCTTTCTGTGTGCTATGCGGTGGATCCGCCGATGACTCTGACGGGTTGGAAGATGATCTTACCGGCGTAGTCAAGCCCAGCAAAACGGCGAAGTCTTCTATTCTCGACAAGTATACCATTCAGGAGAAACTTGTCCCATCTTTGAAAGCTATCAAAACGAAAGAGCCCTCGGTGATGGTGGCTGCATTGAAGGTCTTCCGAGAGGTTGGCAAGATTGCTGATACCGATTTTCTTGCCATCGAAGTCCTGCCGATTCTCTGGAGCTTCAGTCTCGGTCCACTTCTCAACCTTAGCCAATTCAATGACTTCATGGCGTTGATCAAGTCGCTTTCCGCCAAGATTGAAAAGGAGCAGATGAGAAAAATACAGGAGCTTTCCTCCGGGGGAGAGTCCAGTGGGTTTCAAAACGGCAGCAACAGCCTTTCCCAGTCGGCGACAGATCTTAATTCTCCTGATACGGACGGCGCTAGGAATACTTTCGAGCGTCTCGTTCTCGGCAAGAATGCAGCGCCTGCAAACGGTAATGACATGGATCTCTGGGGTAGCGTGGAGCCGGAACCCGCCTCCAAGAGACCAGGCATGTCGCCTGGCTTATCATGGTCGAACAACGGTTTAACGTCAGGCCAAGGCGGGGCTTCAAACCAACTTGGCTTCCGCTCCATCACTCCGGACCAGAAGTTGAGCTCTTTCCCATCTCTCCAGCCTGGACCGCAAGCCGCCCCCGCGGCACCGTCGTTCCCTACGATGCAACCATCCTCACCAACTTGGGGCGCTCAATCTCAAGGAACCAGGCCCAGTCCCACTTTAAGATCTCTGTCTGGTATGGCAATGAACACTCCCATGTCTCAGCCACCATCACAGCAAACATCCAACTATTCCGCATTCTCAATCCCTCCCCCGCCAGGCAATATGGGCTCGAGCAATGCTATGAGATCTCCTTCCTTGAGTACGAACATGAACTCAGCGCCATTTCAAACCCAGCAACCACCCCGGCCTAAACCACCAACTCAAAGTTCGGGATTGGATAAATACGAGAGCTTGTTATAAACGGGCAGTCGCTTTAAACTTTCATTGTTATCCATATTTCTGTCCAATAACCTGAGCGGTAGTTGCTATACCCAATTTGACGCCTTTTGCTGGGTTACACACTACATTGACATTTCGAAATGAAGCACAATATCCGCATATACATAGTGACCTCCCTAGGTATGTACGGCCAAACCAAGGATATATTACATATGGGTTTCGATATTTTATTCTCTTGGTCCTTTTAAATCTTCTCTTAGGAATTTTTTTAAACGTCTTTCTAGAAATCTTTTGATACCAATTTCCAAGATACCTTTCTAAACGTCTTTTTCAAACCACCCGGGCAGATAGTTATGACCGCCCAATTAGGCCCACTTAAAAAATCTCCTTGGTCCGGCTGTAGCTTTGTACAGAAGCCCATTGAAAGTGATCGAATAATCATGGATGTGGGATCGAAGATCAACCACAACCAACCCGAAAGGGTATTGGCGCACAATGCCAAATGTGGAGCAAAATGAGCGATGGGTTACAGTTTACAATTCTCTCATGTCATAGCTACACTCCAGAACCATCCATGTACTCCATGCGTGGCATTGCGCCGCGTCTACCCCTTAGCCGCTCCGCGTTACCTCCGTTACCCCTCAGTCTCTCTTCTCACCGATTGTCCCGCCCCTCCAAACTATTCTCCCTTTCCCACTCGCGCCGAGCATCCACCATGGAGGACAATGTCAAGCAACACTATCTGGCCGATTCACCCCCTTCGGTGGTGCGGCTGGAAATTAAGTCCCACTTTGACGCCCTCAAAGATGAGAGCCTGCGGAAATATGCCCATTACATGAGCCGGTATGGTGTTCTATCTAGCGCCCATTTGCGGACAATAACCTTGTCCACTCCACAGAACTTGAGCTAAATGCTGTGAACAATTCCTAGGGCCGCATTCGAGGGCACCCGTGTCACGCTGCGTCAGGTTTCCCCGGAGTCCGAACCGATCTACGACCTCATCCTCGCCCTTCATCGAGCCTGCAATGGGGACTGGAACAGTCTGGCCCAGAAGACTCAGGTCAGCGACGAGCACCTCCGTTTCTTCCTCGAATATTCTGCGCAGTTCCTAGGTAACTGCGGCAACTACAAGGGCTTTGGTGATTCCAAGTTCATTCCCCGGATTCCGGCCTCTGCTCTGGAGGCTCTGTCATCCGCCACCCCGGAGACGAAGGCGGCTTTCCAGAAAGCCAGCACTACTGGAGGTGGTATTTACGAGACAAGTGATCAATCCATGATGCATCTCGGGTATCCCACAGGTGGCCACATGACCACCTACTATCCCGATTCGCCCTCAATCTCCAAGGAGGAAATCACAGCTGTTGGAGATCTGATGGAAAAGAAGGGACTGGCATTGGAAAATACGAGACTGCGCAAGACATCTTCGGGTGATTTTGAACTTCTCATCGCATCTGGTGTGACTAACCCCCCTGTGAGGGATCGTGATCTCGGCGAGGCGAAGACCTTTGAGCTGGAGGGCAGCTTGAAGGGGAAGACACTGCACCTTGTCTTTGGAGATTACCAAGAACAGATGTCAAAGATTGCCCACAATATCAAGCTAGCAGAGCGTAACGCGGCGAACGAAAACCAAAAGCGCATGCTGGACGCGTACGCTCTCTCCTTCGGTGCGGGATCTATTGAATCGTTCAAGGAAAGCCAGCGGATCTGGGTCAAGGACCAAAAGCCTGTCTTGGAAACGAACTTGGGATTCGTGGAGACCTATCGGGATCCCCACGGTGTACGTGGAGAGTGGGAGGGCTTTGTTGCTCTGGTAGGAACTCTCAGTGTACTTTTTTTTTTTTTATCAATTTCTCTTGCTGACCCTGATAGGTGAACCTGGAGCGGACACGGGCCTTTGGTTCGCTGGTTGACAGCGCGGAAAGCATGATCCCCAAGCTGCCCTGGGGTAAGGACTTCGAGAAGGACACGTTCCTCAGCCCAGATTTCACCTCGCTCGAGGTCCTCAGCTTTGCATGCTCTGGTCTCCCAGCTGGAATCAATCTCCCCAACTATGATGATATTCGCCAGAACCTAGGCTTCAAGAACGTGTCCCTAGGCAATGTTCTTAGTGCAAAGGCACCCAATGAACCCATTCCCTTCGTTGCTGAGAAGGATCAGGAAGTTTTCCGCCGATGCCGTGACCCCGCATTTGAGGTTCAGGTTGGTATCCATGAGCTTCTTGGCCACGGAACTGGGAAACTGCTGCAGGAGACGGCGCCAGGGGAGTACAACTTTGATATCTCCAATCCGCCCATCAACCCTGTTACGAACAAGCCCGTGTCAACCTGGTATAAGCCTGGGCAGACATGGAGCTCGGTGTTCGGGGCCATTGCTTCATCTTACGAAGAATGCCGTGCGGAGTGTGTTGCAATGGTCCTTGGCTGTGATTTCAGCATCCTAAAGATCTTTGGTTTCGGCGACGGGAAGGAAAATATGGCCAGCGAAGCCGGTGATGTTCTTTTTGCTTCCTACCTGCAAATGGCCCGCGCGGGTCTGGTGGCCTTGGAGTTCTGGGACCCCAAGACTCAGAAATGGGGCCAGGCTCACATGCAGGCCCGATACAGCATCCTGCGTACCTTCCTGGATGCTGGTGACGACTTTGTTAAGCTCTCATATACCAAGGATGATCTATCTGATCTTGAGATTCATCTGGACCGGTCCAAGATTCTGACCCACGGACGACCGGCCGTTGAAAAGTACCTGCAGAAGCTGCATGTGTACAAGAGCACGGCGGATGTCGTGGCAGGCAAGGGCATGTACGATGAGATCACTTCGGTCGACAGCTGGTGGGGTAGCCAAGTCCGTGAGATTGTTCTGAAGAACAAGGTCCCTCGCAAGGTCTTTGTGCAGGCCAATACCATTCTGGAGGGCGACAAGGTGACTCTGAAGGAGTACGAGCCGACCTTGGAGGGTCTTATCCAGAGCTTTGCCGACCGCAATGTCTAAGATTACAGGCTTACATAGTGGCCTCTAGGTAACTTATAACTAATGTACCACAAAAGCTTATCAATCATTAGTGTAGCTCCTTCTATCCACGATAGCATTAGCTAAGGTATCACCTATCACACACCCTACCCTATTCTCTTTGGGTTTGCTTTGTCTTTTTTAAAAGACATTCTTCCTAGCGTCTTTTTGAACATCTCTAGATACTTTATTTAGCTATATGTTTCTGAAGGTCTTTTTAAACGTGTCGCTCTGAAAATTGACTATGGCTTATAATTGAGCTTGTCGTTTTCACTAGTGGCCCCCTATAGTGTAGACGTGATTGAACAAGAATAGTATTCGGCCTAAGTATCTTCAGCATCTTAAAAATGAATTGCGGTAGTTCTAGAAATACCAAAATATTTGGATTCACGTATAAATCAACCCATAATAAAGCACCGAAGAGTCAGTGTGATGGGGAAGTCGGCACTCAAGCTGAAATCACACGAGGCGGTGATGGACTCGCCATCGCCTTGTAAGCGCCTCTGCTTTCCCCTCCCAGCTTTCCGCCCAGTTTCACCTAGCTCTGTCGGATTTCCCACTGCTCCACGGCTCTACCGGATGATTCTTTTGGTTTGCTATTCTTGAATGATCCACGGACGTGATTCCCGTTCACTCATATTCAAACGGACCACTTGGACCGAGTTCCGGGCCCATCAGATCAACCGCATCGCGCGATTGAATCTGATCCCTTCGCACTAGCACCGTGTCGGACGAAACTCGTCTTTCGCTAACAACCACGGCGCGCGCGCCCTCTCCCACGGACTCCATCGTGGAGGACGACTACTACACTGCTCCCCCGCCGCACTCCCCGTCCGTAGCATCTGCATCAACCTCCTTCTCTGTCGGACCTCCGCCTTTCTCCTCACTCTTTTCTGCATCTCCTTCGACCGAGTCCAATCAGCCCAAGGTCACCGAGTCTGGGCCAGCTTCGCTCCCAGCTTTCACGCCGCCACTACCTGTCGAGGAGCCTCTCGACTCGGCCCCTTCGTCGTCGGTTGTCGCAGACACCAAAGCCTCCTTCTCAGAGCCAAAGAGCGAAGGGCTTGGAAAAAACACCGACGACGGGGAACCGCCGCCGCCGTATACCGAAGGTTATAGCCCGCTCGAGTCCTTTACATACGCGATGGCTGCTGCGGGAGGTGCGTCGAGCATCATCACCCAGGTCCAGCAGACCGGAGGGCCACCTATCAATACACTCGGAGGTATGAGCGACATCCCCTGAGAAGCCAATTCTATAACCCATATTAACCTCGTTTTGACATGCAGACATCGGTGGAGATGAGCACATCACTCTCGACCTCCGGTAGGAGCTCCCAATCTGCCCCCACCTGAACCCTGTACTGATTCGATACATAGGGGTACCCGGTTTACACTTTCTCGCGATGAACTTTTGACTTTGCCTGAATTTGTCCTCCTCTCCCTGTTTCCGAATGGTCTTCTTCCTGATGGACATATGGGCGGATTTCACGAAGGCGACATCTACCCTGTTGATGTGAGTAACTATCAACACCACGTTGTAGCCTCTACCAAGGTCTTTCGATCTGACAGCATTTAGTACGATCCGGCATCGCTCCAGTACATGCTCGATTTCTTCCGTTCCGTTGCTCAATCCATCCCATCATCGCTTCCTTCCGCATCGACATCGCCGGAGTTGGAAGTTCCCGACGTGACGCAAAACTCCGCGCGTGATATGCTTCAAGATCGCGCTGGGATTATAGTCCTTCGCGAAGATCTTGACTTTTACGTCATCCCGCCACGACCAGAGATTGGGCATGAGGAAATGCTCGAGGTTAAGCGGGCTGCGGGCCGCGCGCTGTTGAAGCAGGACGGTATCTTTTCCGGACTACGCAAGAGCGAGGAGGTTGGCTCGACCGAGCAGCACCTCATCGAAATGCTGACCGCTGGGTATGCTCGATTTTCCTTAGTTCCCAAGAACATTGTGTACTGATTACTTGAGCAGTGGATTCGATCGCGAAGACCAGTGGGGACACCGAGCCCCGGAGCCAAACAAGGCAGTCATCTGCAGCCTTGCTCTAGCCAAGCTTCGCACTGATATTCGGGGTGATCTATCCAACAACAACGCGGTCGGCATGGCTCAGAAACTTCTTCTTTTCTGGAGAAAACCTGCCCGTCGTTGCTGGTGGGAGGGGGTTGATCTGGACGACGTAGAAGGTGTAAAAGGTCAACTCAAGGTCTGGATTCGCAGAGTCTGGACGCTAGAAATGGTAACACACCAAGTCTCTTCATCTACATACTGAATGCTAACTTCTTCCAGAGCGTGATCGGACTCAGGTGATCAACCCGCAATGTGTTTTTGCTCCTGCATTTTGTATCTATACCCAGATCTTGGCCCTCTGCCTCGACCTTTGTCGTCCCTCCTTTGCCCCCCCTATTTTGTCATTGTGCGACAGTTCCAGTCAGGTTACTTGTTTGCTTCGTATTTTTCCTTTCCACAGCTGGGCTGGCGTACTTTGCAGTTTGGTGTCAATTTCGACCTCCTATGGTATACTTCCTCTCTATATTAGTGGACATTCTCAGCAACTGATTATTATGCCATGATGGACATATATATGAATGAAACAATCGTTAAGGCCAATTTCCTTTTACCTTTTACCTTTTTCTTTTTCCCACTATATCAAGAATCAACAAAAATGTTCAGTTTGTTCTTTCACCGTGTTGGCCTTAGGTGTCATTCACGTGATGCAGGAATGAGCCTGTCTTGATCGGGCAAAACGCGACGGCGCAAAAGAATCCCATCAGTGAAAGCAATCTCCATCCCCGATCTCCTACTGCTGCACGGTCTTCTCTGGCCTCGGATTTCCATAGTTCCTCCAGTGTCCCGGTTTTGTGCCCTTCATACCCCCAATTATCCCCCCTCCAGCGCAAACAACCCTTTCCGAACTCCGTCGATCAACAGAAGCCTTTGCGATCTAAATCCCCGGCAAAGGGGCATGTATTTGTCGACCTAAATCGCCAACATGTCCCCTCTCAGAGGATATATCACATCCTACCCGCCGCGCGTACGCCAATATGGGAACGCGTTGCTCACACCCGTCTACCCGGTGCAGACTGGCCCAACGCCGCGCACGACGAAGCGTGGTACCACAGCGATCAATTACGCCGAAGATGGCTACGAAGAGGAGGATTTCGATGAGAGCGATAACCCCAGGCGACCGACTGGACTGAGGAGCCTGCGGCGCGAGGAATCATCCGGTGGCATGGTGCCGATGTCCGAGAAGCTGGGCAAAGAAGCGCATGCGCCAGTGGAGGTGCAAGGAGTCTTTCGTGAATGGATGATCAAAAGGATGCTACGACCAGCGTATGTTCATCCACAAATTTGTTTCTTTCCCTGCTTCGCTATCTGCGTGGCCTGGAAGAACCTCTCCCTCGTTTGGAGACAATCAAGCTGACAGGAACTGCGATCCTATAGGTGTGCGGACCAACTACAGATTCAAGCGCAGCTTCCCTTGACACTCGTCCCAATCCGAATCGATGTGGAAGTCCCTGCTCATCAACCTCTCGAACCTTTCCCTCTGCCCCGTGGGGTCATGGATCCTAGCATCAACCCAACTCTTCCCGCATATCGGAGACCCGAGCCATTACCGCCCTTCAGGATCAAGGACACGTTCCTCTGGAACCTCCATGAAGCTCTTGCCACTCCGGAGGAGTTTGCCATTGGATTCGTCCGCGATCTCGACCTTCCCAACCCCCAGGCGACCGCCATGACCATCAGCAACCAAATTCGGCAACAGCTTGAAGAGTTTGCGGGTGTGGCATTGCATCCGTTATTCTCAAGCACTCAACTGGCCCCTGCTCCAAGCGCGCCTCCACAGACTGAAGCATCTCGAGACACATCCATGACTCCCGCTGTTACCAATGTGGAGACCCCAGATAGCCGGCCCGCTGGAGCTACTGTCACAGCGACGAAGGATGCACTTGTCAATGACAGTCTTTTGAACCCGGATGACGCGTATAGGTGTCTGATCAACCTAAATATCAACCTACAAAATAAGCTCTACACCGACAAGTTTGAATGGTCTCTGCTCCATCCTCCCGGCATGGCCGAGGAGTTTGCGAAAATCACTTGCGCCGATCTGCATCTCGGAGGTGAATGGGTCAGTGCCATTTCGCATGGGATATATGAGGCGGCCTTGAAGCTCAAAAAGGAAGTCTGCGAAAGTGGCGGTCTTATGAGTGGAATCAATGGATACGGCAATGAGATCGACAACCAAGCAGCAAACGGGGTTGAGGCTGGTTGGCGTTATGACCCCGAGACTCTGGGTGATGAGTGGGAGCCCAAGGTCGAAACCTTGTCGAAGGAAGAGATCGAAAGACGAGAAGGTGACCGCGAGCGGCAGATCCGACGCCTCCGACGAGAAACGGCCCGTTTCTCTTCTACTGCTGGTATTACACCGGAGGCTTCTCGACAAAGCAGCGGGTACTTTGAGGTTGACAGTGAAACACCCTTGGGACGAGGCGAGCGAAACAAGCGAAAGCGTCGATTCCGCAGTCTCAGTCCGTTGGGCAGAGGAGGTACACCCGGTGGTCGCGGCACTCCAGACACGAGCTCTGGTGCTGGATACGGCGGTGGTGGTGGTACGCTTTCAGAATGGTGGGTTGCTCGCGATGACAAAACCAAATTCCCTTGCTGATCTAAACTACAGGGAACGGCAAAACTGGAGGTGCAACAACTGTATGGTATGGGGCACGGCAGTCTGGGCAGTGCGAGATGGTCCCGATGGTCCCCGGGTAAGTTAAACTCCATGAGAACGATCGAAAGCAATCTCTGACTTAGCTTCGTTAGACTCTCTGCCACAACTGCGGTTTCCTTTATGAGCGAGACAAGATCGCCCCCGAATGGTCTAAAGACCTACATCGCCACGACGTTCCTGTCGGCCGCTTTAACTAGACTTTGTGCAGCCACCTTGATTCATCATTTGGTTGGCCATGGTCTTCTATATCGCACGCTCCAGGTTTTTAAACAGGTCATCTCTTGGCCGTCTCTTCCCCCGTCATCCGCCCATCTTACTCATACATTCAAAAACCGGGGTGCTTTGCGTTGTCATGAAGTCTTGATATAGACCTGGCATCAGGCATATCAAGTCGAATTTCTTCAGCCTTCTTTTCTTCCATCATTTTTTCTTTTTGGGTTCTTTGGATCAACTTTGATCCTGTATGCAGCCCTCATGCTTGGCAAATCCTCCTTCTTGGGATATTATAAAGAGGCAAGGAGATTTAACTGTGAAAGGCGCAGTGGGTATAAATGATGATTTGGGGATAACCTGCCAGGCTACTTTTGTAGTAGTCTTGTACTCCCGTCTTTATGGGACTTGGAATTGCTCTTTTTCATTCTTGACGGGGGTTCGGTTGACACGACCAAGTGCTTAGACAGGCACTTTATGTTTCTTCTCTTTCCTTGCGCTTTAAAAGGGTATTCATTGGTGGGCGTGGGGATGGTGCTTTTTTTTTTCTTAGTTAATGTATGAATATGACTGGGCTGGTTATAATGCTCGTTGCTTGTTCTATCAACACTGTCATATCACACTACATTCTAGGATCAAACATCCAAATGTTGTTTGGCACAATCAGAGATGTCAGTGCAATTGAGTAGAAGTCATGGTTCTTTCCCACAAACTTGCAGAAGGTTAGCATTTTTATTTAATATTGGAATGCGGTTCAAGTAGATGGCCAGCTGGATGTAACACCTTAAACTAGACGGCAATCACAGGGAATTTCCAAGGTTTTCTGTACCTTTGCACCTTTTATAGATCCTGGACTTTGGCACTAAAACATGATAAGGGTACAATATGTAAAATAAAAAGACGATGCAACTATCCTTATTTACTCCATATACTCCATCGAAACACCTTTACGGATACATTACATTGAAATAGGACAAAAGGCTTAGAAGAATCCTTCCAATTGAAGCAGGGTAATCATAAAAAGGCAGTGTGGAAAGGTATCGTTCAAGAAACCAAAAGGCTCACCAAGCAGAAGATAGGAACGGATGAGAGAAGAGAGAAGAGAATGAGAGATAGAGCATCAGTCATTTCAGTGGTAATATCATTGCAGCATGCTCTTCCAATCTGCTCAACGGCGATGCTTGGCCGGCGGTCCTGGGGCCGGAGGTTCCTGTATCAAGTCGGGTCAGTGAGGTTTCTAACGTGGGCGTAGAAGGGTACATACCGACTCTGCACACCGTTTCTCACCAATTACGACCGGGGACGAGTAGGCAAAAATGCGACGGGGCTGCCTCTCCCCAGTACAGACGGTGTTATTCTTGCCGTCGATTTTGATGCCAGAATTGATGCCGATTTGGATTGGCCGAGTGCGCCCCAGGTCATCGGTCAGTCCGCCGGCCTGCTTCAGGGCAGCGATGATGACGGCGGCCGGGTGGCCAATTTTGGCAGCGCGCCCTCGCTGAGCGGATGTGGCGGTTGCGGACGACATCGAGTCGTCTGAGTCGGTGCTTGAGGGTGTAATGCCTTTCGGAGAACTAGCTGACGGCAGAATCACGGTGTTATTGTTGCCGAAGACATCGATCGAGGAATCGATGGTGATGTTGATGGGAACGACAGGGTCATCCCAGGAGGTGTCATCCATGATCATAGAGCTGGGAGTCATGAGAAAGCTTCTGCGTGGGGGATTCGATGAGTATGGAGAGGCGGCTGTAGAAGTAGATGTGCAATTTGCTCGAGATTCTGCGAGCTTTTGTATTTGTTGACACAGTGGATCTGTCGGAGGGAGCATCTTGAACAATACAAGATTTCTACTATTGGTATTGAAGTAGCAATTGAGGAACAGGTGTGGATGGGTTAAGTCAGAAGAAAACCCAGGCAGCGGGCAAAGTATTTGTAGTGCAAGAGTTCAGAATGGTTGCACACACAACCAGGCAGCGAGAACAATGGCAGGCCAATCATAACAGTACAATGGGTTATGGTTATTGAATGAAATGTTTCAATCGGAAGTCGATTGTTCTTTCAGGTCTCAATAGTGTCACGTGATCCCGTCTATTGACGCATTCACCAGTTCACCTATTCATGTTCCCTGACTCATCTATTCACCAAATCTGGTCTTCACCAAGGAAACAGAAGGTCGGGCGCCGTCGGTCCACCAATCCCTAACTGTGGATCCAACCATCGTAGAGTCCATTGCCGTCCCCAGTACCGAACGGGTTGGTTCCCAGGCGAGGCGATTCTTCTTCTTCAGCAAGGCTATCTTGGCTGATCTTGGCTGATCTTTGGCGTATCTTCTGACCGGAACAACTGGGGTCAGGTTTCTGAGGCACTAGATCCCGTCGACAGGGTGGGAAGGCTCCTTACTGGGACTGGCGACCTGTTCAGTAGTATTCCCAGGATAGGGTGGGCCCGGGTAGAGTCGCCCGCCAGGATGGAGTGATTGTGCTGTCTGCATGGAGTTTAGCAAAAACTGAGGTCGGCATGTATTCGACTCAATGATACCGGTATTTCTGTCGCGCTAGACAGCCAAACCGTTACGGGTTACTGACTTCGCGAAATTCGTCCCCATTCACCTCCACCTCCCGATCACGAATTCTGCGCATCAAGGCGAGGAAGTTGCTTTGCTGGAACTTTTCACTTTGCTCATGGCGAACGCTATCGAGGAGTTGACCGGCCGTCTGGGCAAGAGCATCTGCATCGCGGGTTTGAAAAAGTGGATCTTGCTTGTCGGTCTGGACAATAGTATCGGATCCAATTCGATGTTCTTCATGAACAGGTTCGGTCGTTTCAACCTGATTGGTATCATGTAAATGCTGTTCAATGTCCGGCGTGGTCTCAGCACCCTGAAGCTCCATATCTGCGCGAGCTTGCTCAAACGCCGCCTCAAAGGCAGACTCATCAAACTGTTCCTTTGATACGGAGTGCTGTTCATGTGCTTGCTGTGGGACTTGGTGTGCATTCATCGGGGCGTTATACATCGGGTAGTTGGGAGCGAAGGCAGGTTGGAATGCTCGATTAGTTGTTGCTGGCTGGGCTTGCATATGATGTGCAGACGCCCGCTGCTGGTGCTGGCTCATGAATTCATTCTGCCACCCTGAATGGGCTGGCGCAACATTTGGTCTTTGTAGTTGCGGGGCCGGTGGTCCGGAGATATGTAGATTCTGAAAGTCTGATGCCCAACCATTGCTCACGTTGGGGGGAATGTGAACCTGTGTCGGTGCACCAAAATGAGCTGGATGTTGAAGATCTGGCAGCGCGGGTCCCCCGATGTTGGCTTCGAATGCCGCGAATTCCGGGTCTAATATTCCATCCCGAGGGCTTTGTGATCGGAATCCCTATAAATGATAGTGTCAGTCCGCAGAGACCATAAGCACGGCATATCCCAAATTACCTGAGCCGGTGACTGCCTGGAGGTCAACCGATCTTGCTGCAGAGTCCGGTCGACAGACGCATGCTTCTGGAAGTTCTGAAGCGCGTTGGACGGACCGCACAGTGCATCGCTCATGGTTTGAAGGGGGAAAAGTTAATACGCAACAGGTGATATCAGGGCAGAACAAAGAGGAAACAGGCTTCAGAAACTATATGCGAAGAAACAAGAGTATGTACAAGAGGCAAAGGAGTCGTGGAGCAAGCGTGGGGTTACCGATAGACCGAGGCCGCGGGCACGTGCTCAGAACGTGACCTGCTGAGTCATGAGATAAGATAAGTAAAGCGGCCAGGTTGTTTGGTGAGTTTGGTGAGGTGTGTCTTGTCCGAGCTCCCCTCGTCACTTGCTCCTGCTGTTGTTCTTGCTCTACCCACAGGGTCTTTCGACAAAATGGTACGAATTCCTCAATCGTCTTGGTTCCATACTGACTCCTCACCCCCAGGCGGCCGCTCAAGTTATTTCCAATTCGGGCCACGAAGACATGATTGTACGTACGCGACGCTACTCGGGGGAGCATTCAATTGGCACCACTTGCGCCTCCTTGTTGTTAATGCAGCTTGACTGACAATCCTGTCTCTATTGCAGCACGATGCCGGCTTAGACTACTACGGCCGCAGGTTGGCTACCTGCTCCTCTGATAAAACCATTAAGATCTTCGAGATTGAGGGGGAATCACACCGCTTGGTGGAGACCCTGAAGGGGTAAGTGCGCCTCATGCATCCATGAAGACGACTGCTTGGAACGAGTGGAATTACTAATTTGGATTCGATTCATACAGTCATGAGGGCGCTGTGTGGTGTGTCGCATGGGTGAGTTGGAACAACTTCGCAACTCGATCGTGTTTCGTGATCTAATTTGACTGACCGTGGTAATTATTTCATAGGCGCACCCCAAGTTTGGCACAATTCTGGCCTCCTCCTCATACGATGGCAAGGTCCTCATCTGGCGCGAGCAGCCCCAGAACGCGACCTCCCCTGCGGGCGGCAGCACATGGACCAAGGTCTTTGATTTCTCTCTCCACACTGCTTCCGTCAACATGGTATCTTGGGCTCCTCACGAGTCTGGGTGTCTGCTCGCCTGTGCTTCCTCCGATGGTCATGTTAGTGTTCTCGAGTTCCGCGACAACAACTGGACCCACCAGACCTTCCACGCGCATGGCATGGGCGTGAACTCAATCAGCTGGGCCCCGGCTGCTTTCGCCGGCAGTTTGATTAGCTCCAACCCGGGACCGGGCCAGCAAAGACGGTTTGTGACTGGTGGCAGTGACAACCTGATCAAGATCTGGGACTACAAGTACGTATTCCGCGTTGATCGCTACGGGGAGCCATGCGTGCTAACCTTTTATCCCTCTAGTGCCGAGTCCAAGAGCTACAACCTCATTCAGACTCTGGAGGGCCATTCGGACTGGGTCCGTGATGTGGCCTGGTCGCCGAGCATTCTGTCCAAGTCGTACATCGCCTCGGCCTCGCAAGATAAGACTGTTCGCATCTGGACCTCCGATGCTTCCAACCCGGGCCAATGGTCTAGCCAGACACTCGAGTTTGATACCGTTCTCTGGCGTGTCAGCTGGAGCCTTAGCGGCAACATTCTCGCTGTCAGCGGTGGTGACAACAAGGTCAGCTTGTGGAAGGAAAACCTCAAGGGCCAGTGGGAGAAGATCAAGGACATCGAAGAATAGAGTCAAGATTTGTTATTGACTTCATGTCATTTATATCCTTTGATATCGCGTAATTGTCGAGATTCACCCGTCTGCTATGAAGTTCACCTAGATCCGAACGTCACATCTGTGCTAAAATCGCCGGTCTGTATGAATAGCACTCAACTCCTTATAGATCACATGCCTTTTCATACGTCCCAGAAAATAAATGGTCCTCTGCCACTCGTATCTTTCAAGTCCAACCACCTCCCCAGCATGAAACCGCCACCGGGGGCAACCACACCTTCGTACCCATGGACCCAACTGTCATCGTCGTTGAAGGCCCATTCACCATTCTCATCCACCTGCTCGCAAATGCAAAAGCATACCCGAGCCCAGCCTGTGAATCCACCATACGAGGAGGCGATAGACTCGGTGAAGCCAAACAGTGGGTTTGCAGCCTCGCTGGCGCCGTGAGTGCTCTGCGCCCCTTTGAAGTACACGACGTACTCTGCGCCCTCATATCTGGGGATGACACGGTTGCATTCATCTGGCCATGTCTTCTCTAAGACAACTTCAATTTCCAAGGACTGAATACGATTAGGTAATGCTTTCAACACAAAATCACATTGCGCACCATGATATCAACTTGATGCATATGATCCTCTAGATCAGCACAAGACTCGCGGCGGGAGAATTGCTCTATCGTCTCTGGCAATGGATGAATGCATGCTGTTCTCAAAAAGCAAAGTCAGATATAAGACAACTCAAGCCGGGAACGAGCTTACACCAGAGTCCAAACCAAGAAGTTCTGAGACTTGATCTATTGGCACCGTGTATATTCCGTGCTTTGGGCTTGTGATGCTCAGAGAGCTGTGAGAATACTCCGCTGAAGCATGTGCTTTCCTGTGAATTCACTAGATGGTTCTGCCAGAAGCTGCGGATATGCAGCAAATTGGCGAGGTCAAGCGCGGCGTGATTGATGAATGGACCATCGATATTCTCCTGGAAAGAATACACTATGCCGATGTCGTAACCGGATCGACCGCAGGCTTGAGTTACCGTCGGGTCTAGAGAAATGGGCGTCAGGCACTAATAGGAGAGAAATCGTTAGTGAATTCTTCCTCCGTTATTGTGTTGAAGAGACGGACAAGTTGAACTGCACAGAACATATCCGACGGCGTGTTTCTTTTCGGGTGGCTCAGAAATTCCACCTGTGTCATAACCTCCCGGATTTTCCCATAGGTCTTGGAGATTTCGATTTGAACCGGCAGAGTGATCGACTCCTTGACCATCGTTTGAATGACTTCGAGCCAGACCTTTTGCTGCTCATTCTCTGCTTGTTTGAAGTCCAGCTTCCTTGGGAGCACAATGGCGCGAGTTTGATATTCCGGTTTTAGTTCCCTGGAGGTTCGGTCTTTCGCCAGGTCGTATTTCTCTTTGAACCGAGTCCGCCATATACCGGAGTCCGCGGCCATCACTCGCTCATTGATCTCCTTGCAAGTTTTGCATAGAATGCTCAAGTCGCGGTCGGTCGACATGAGGGATGCAATGTGCTGGAGGATCTGCCATTTGGTGTCAGTCACTAGAACAAACACCACTCAGTCAGAAGGACGACTCACTTCATTTGGGAGTTTAAGCAGAGAGCCCCTGGAAGAAACCATTTTATGCTCTGGCTCTGGAGTGTTGTCGTGCTTGCTTTCCATGGTTACCATCGGTCTAGTATCCAGGTCTGGGCCGAAGGTAAAGTAGGGAGAATGGAATTCTGCATGTGCTAGCGAGAGCTCACGGAGACCGAAAGTGAAAGTGACCCTGGAAGTTAGGGCTTGCGGTTTTCGCATGCTCTTCTGACCCGTTTCTTTCTCCCCAACAGCAACCTATTGAAATTGTGTTGACACACTAACTGGTGTCATTGTGATTCGTTCTATCGAGGCGAATGCAAGTTAACTCTATGGTCGAAAAGGATTTTTTTCCTTTTTCAAACTCATGTCTTGTCTATGATTCCTGAGAGTCCTGTCGTCGCTGAATACTTTCCTCCACACCCCAGCCATGTGCCAATAGGCCCTTCACTTCCTCCAAACCAAGGCCACTCATCTCCGGGTAGATCGCCCGTACAGCCACCCAGCCAAATGCGCACACCATGGCATAAGTGAAGAAAGTCCATGTTGGAGACAACCACTCCATCATCGGCAAGAAGGTAAGTCCGACGATGAAGTTCGATCCCCAGTTGGTCGCGGTGGCGAAGCCTGATCCCAAAGATCGCACGTTCAGAGGGAATAACTCCGACTGTTGCCAAGGCACGTTGCCGAGTCCGAAAGCGTAGGCCGCAGTGTAGAGAGTCAAACAAAATAGAATCAGCAGAGGATACAGTGCACTCTGGTTGTCGGGACCGTCCTGAGGGGGCTTGGGGGAGTGAGGGTCCAATGAAATGTCCAATGACGAGAATGCAATGGCGCAAAGACTTAATGCAAGGATCATAACGGGTATCGAATAGAGCAGGATCCGCCGTCGACCAATTCTATCGATTAGCCAAAATGCAAGGAGAGTGAAGAAGAAATTTGTCACTGCAACCGTCAGAGATGTCAACGTCGGCGAGGAGAACGAGAGTGCCGTGAAAATGATTGCCGAGAAGTACATCAGGCTGTTAAATCCACACAGTTGCTGTAGTCCCTGGAGCATCATGGCTATTATCAAGGCCCTCCTGTTGCCACTGTCATGGAAGAGGTTATGAGCGCGCTCGGAAGCATCATGCAGCCACTGTGCCTTGGTCCCTGGAGCCTTGCTCTGGTCCATCTCCAATGCTTCCCGAATAATTTCGCCCCTAATATTGCCCATGACCCGAGCCACGATGTGGTCACGGTCTGGACGGCCTTGATAGATCCGAGTCAAGACGTTCATGGCACGGGAATCGAAGCCGGCCTGCACCAGCCATCGAGGGGTCTCTGGCAGGATGATAAGAACGGCAAATTGTAGGAATGCCGGGGCCGCCCCGAGGCCCACAATCCAACGCCAGCCGCCGGCGGTCTCGGAAAACAGCCAACCGACGATATATGCGACAACCTGGCCACCGGTGATCAACAGGCACATGATCGTAACGAGTCTTCCTCTTGCATGCGACGGTGCGATCTCTGAAATATACCTAAGAGTAATCACTCAAAATAAGCCCCATCTTTGCTACGGTTCGTTGATCGCAAGGTGGACTTACAATGGGGTCACGGCACTAGCGCTCCCAACCGCCAGACCAACAATACTGCGCCCTACTATCATACCCCATACCTGGCTGGTGGAGGCCTGAATCAATGCTCCCAGAGCAAACAGAGCATCAGCAGCGAGGATGACACCTCGCCGACCGCACTTGTCTGCCAGAATTCCGGTGAAGGGGCTTGCCACCAGCGCAAACAAGCTAGTACAGGATGTAATGATGCTTTCATCGAGGGTGGTCAGCGGTCGATTGGAGAGGTCTGAGCCAATGGTCACGAGAGTGGAAGATATAACACCGGTGCTGTGAGTTTGGAGTTGTCAGCCTCGATTACTATGTTACGAGGAAGACGGATGTCACGCACTCGTAGCCAAATAACAGTCCACTGAGGCCCGCCGAGAATGTCAAAATCCATATAAACCATCCACTGGAGTAGTTCTCCGAAGGTAGAACTGCGTCATCGTGGTCCGGTGAGGGGTCGGTCGGTGCAAGTAAAGGGGCGTGAGGACCGGACTGCTCCAACTCCTCTCTTGGAATCATGTCTTGGAGCTCTAGGTTGTGAGTGTCATGTGTACTCCCATCGATTGACATGAGGAGGTTGGAGGAAGGGAGATGATCCAGATGATCTGGGGTTCCGCGATAAAGTCGATAGGCGGCACGGGACCCACTCGGTGGAGACCGAAATCTACTGCAACGCTTGGGAAGTATGTGACACTACCGGTCTTCAATTGCTTTAAATTCTACCCCTAATGGCGAGCCACAACACCGGCCTCATCAGCCTGTGCACTGATCATCTTTTTGTATGCCTTAACGTCACCGTCAAACTTGTGCACGGTTCCTTTGTCGCAGACCCAGAGGCTGGTGCAGACATTTTGCAGCATCGTCACGTCGTGAGACACCATCACCACACCTCCCTCGAATCTCTGCAAAGCATCAGAAAGAGCATCCATACCCTCAATATCCAAGTGGTTAGAAGGTTCGTCAAGAACCAGGATGTGCGGGTTAGTCAAGGACAGGCATGCAAATGCCACACGGGACTTTTGACCTCCAGACAGGAACTCCATCTTCTGGAGACCAGTCGTACCAGTGATACCGAACCTAAGTGGGTAAAAGCTCATTAGTATTTTCAGTGATTGTCAGGCCAGAGAAGAACTTACGCGCCCAGATGTCTTCGGTACTCCTCGTCGCTCTTGCCAGGATAAGTCTTCGCCATGAAGCTCACAGCACTGGTGGTCATGTCCAAAGCATCAACGTGGTGCTGAGCGAAAAACCCAATGCGCAGTCTCGAGTGCGCTGAAATCAAACCCTTCGTCGGCTGCAGTTGATTGGTGAGAAGTTTCAGCACCGTGGTTTTACCGGCACCGTTCGGCCCAACAATGCCAATACGCGAGTCCAACTGGACATCCAGATCAACATCCTTCAGAAGAGGCTTGTCCTTGGTGTAGCCGAAGAAGACTTCCGTCATTTGAACAATAGGGGGCGAAATTTTCTCGACTTCAGGGAACTGGAAGTGCACAACGTATTCACTTTCCGGGGCTTCAAGAACCGGCATGCGCTCAAGCTTCTTAATTCTCGATTGGGCTTCCGACGACTTGGCGGCATTGTATCGGAATTTATCAATAAAGGCTGAATGGCGACTGTTAAATCTCTGGCCAGCAAGCAATGTAGGGTAAATGACAAACCTTGCAGATGAGCTCTCTCCGCCATCTGTTTCTCGTACTCGCGCTTGGCCATTTTCCTCCGCTCTTCCTTGGTTGCATAGAATGATTCTACAGTGTGTCAGTAGGTAATAGGGGAAGATATGTCCGAGGCGAAACTTACCAAAGTTAGCTCCCTTGTAGTAGTCCAATCTCTCAGAGTGTTGATGAACGATATCAGTGGCAACTTCATTCAAGAATGCACGATCGTGAGAGACCACAAGAACGGTGCTTGGGTAACCCTGGAGGTAATTGGCCAAGAAGGTAATGGAGGGAACGTCCAACATGTTCGACGGTTCTTTGTGAGGTCAGCCAATGAATCCGCTAGAGCAGGCGGGAGTGATCTCTTACCGTCCAGAAGAAGGAGATCAGGCTCGCAGAACAGAGCTCGAGCCAATGCCAGACGCATTCGCCAACCTCCGGAAAAGGTCTTGGTTGCATATTGCTGCCTCTCTTGAGAGAAACCAAGACCGGCCAGAATGCTGGCTGCGCGAGATTCAGCCTTGTCAGATTCCATCTCAGAGAGCTTGGAGTAGATATCGCTTAAGGTTATATCCAAGCCTTCCCTTTCATGATCCAGTCTGGCAGCATCTTTGGATGTGTCTGCCATCGCTGACCGTTCTTCTTCGATAGCAGCCAGCTGTTTGGAAATTTTCTGCGAGGGTTCTGTTAGCTCGATACGTTTGGGTGCCTCTCGCCCAGGTAACTCACTTCTTGTTCCCCGAGAAGATGCTTCCGCCACACATCGGCATCCAAGACCGCTTGAAGGGCTGGAGTATCATCGCCAGTGATCTGAGAAATAAATTCAATTAGTCAAATATCGGTATCCATGTTAGGGGTTCGACATACCTCCTGTTCGACGTGTAGAATCGAAATGTGGTGCGGAACGGGAACCTCTCTGCGACTCAAGGCCCGCAACAGAGTACTCTTACCGATACCGTTCTGACCCACAAGACCGTAACGACGACCATAGGCGAGGGTCAACGCAGCGTCTGTCAAGATGCGCTGGCCCCCAATAGTAATGTCGATATTGTCTAGCTTGATATCTTTGCTCTTGGACTGAGATTCCGATCCCAACTGCAGGGGGTTGACGGCCATAAAGAACTCCTCGTAGCTCATTGTCTCGTCTGGTTGGTTGAGGAGGCGAGAGGCCTCGTAGGTAACGGTCTTCATCTGTTTCTTCTCCTGCTTGGCCCGAATCTTGCGCTCGGCCTTTTCAAGCTTCTTCTTGTCCACGCGCGACTCCACCTTTCTGGCATTTGCAGACTCCAGGTCCACGTTGCCTCCCGTCAAACCCAGGGTGGAAGACATATTCCGCTGAGCACCGACATTGATGGCCTGGTCAAGTTTCTTGGCCTTAAAAGGCATTTGCATCCTCTCTGCATCTATGCCATTGGAGGAGCTCAGCGAGGTAATGAATTTTTCGACCAGATTGCCAATTGCGTCGCGATTCTGAGAAGTGAAGTCTCCGGAGGCAGAAACCAACAGCTCCGTCACATTTTCGGCTGCCTCAGATAGGGGAGAAGGGGCATTGACGTCTTCGACATAGAGGTTTGAGGCATGAGTCAGGTAGCCCTGTCTGCTGTGAGCTTCCGAGAAGATACTGCAGCTTCGCAATGTGAACATACCACCGAGTATTCCGAGATAACACGGTCCAGGCCCGGAATCTGCGCCTGGAGTTCAGCCTCCATGATTTTGTCTGCTCCAGTCGAGAGTGTGTGAGCCACGGGGTAGAGGGGTCTGCTCAGTGAGATACTCGTCGTCCGTCCGGTGTACTCTTGACCGCACACCTCGGAGGGGACGCCATTTTCGATGCGTTATCGATAAGATCACATGACCGGCCAGACAGGCAGGTTGTTTTGCTCTGCAAATGCAACTCCAACACCGGAAACTCACATCTTGTCCTGCCTTAAGGTACCTTTCCTTCATGTCTTATGGGTTTTGATTTGACGAACAACTGTTTGTGGCGCAACTCTGTATACCCTCCGATTATGATCCAACACACAGATCCGTCAAGTTCTCAAGGGATACTTGCATGGTGACCTTTGTCCGGTCATCTCAATTTCTCATGATTTGCGTTCTCTCAGGGTGCACCAGATTTACAGCGGAAATTATGAACATGGACAGGACAGGTTTGAAATCGCAATGGCGTGTTTGCATTGTACGGACCTGCAGAAAACAAGCATAAGATCACCCGACCGTTACACAGCCAATAGACAGCCGAATACAGATACTCCAATGCCCGAGATGCTGAATGGCATGAATATTTTGATATTGGGACTTAGTATCGATGAACCAATTCTACTCGTGCATGGGCTATGTCATATAAGGTATCACCCTACCGAAGATCACCCAAAACTGCTGACTCAATCGCCCCTAGTCTGCACTGTAGACCTGTAAGACCACCTCCGGTGATGTTTCCAGAGACATTTTAGTCCCAGCTACGGAATACGATGAGCCGGGTGATGTCGTCTGTGGCTCTCCATTCCAGTAGTCTACACCACAGTTACAGCTCCGACAGCTCCTTCCAAAAACAGACATCTTGGAGCGCATTGGTAGCTTTTTATGACCGGCCAAATAGGCTCCGGTGGATAAATTAGGACTGAGTCGAGGAACTTCAAGGACTGGTTTTCCTAGGAGCAGTTTCATAGAACAAGGTTCTCGGAGAGTCAATGCTACTTCTCTCATTTGAAGGGACACCCATGGCTTTGTAGCTTCAAATATACCCTGTCTCACTAGGCACTTACGGAGCCGTCGTGATCATGATCTATGCCTCTTGAAGGCTTGACTCTGAAACCCTTCAGCAATTGTAGCCTTAGCCCACGACCATGCCGCTGTTTGTTTGTTTTGGAACAACTGTTTCTTTTTTCCAAAATGAAATGAGGTCTTGCGTACATTGGAGATCTACAATTGCCCAAAAAGGTATTTAAGTACCAGAGGATTTTAAGCCCGTGTGGTGCAAGGAATATCTCAATTCTGTCTGCAGTGAACTGTAGACGAGGCCGACAAACCGGATATAGACAGCGCCCGGCCAGCGCCCCTATCGGGCGGCAGCCATGGACAGAAATACACATCTCACAAGGGTCAGAATCGACGGCCTAGAATATGCATTGCTTCAGATTTTCCTAGAAAGTCGGAAAGTCCCAAATCAAGTACAGTCAGAGAGGAAATCTTGAGTAGTTGGAGTCCCTGGAAGCCGTGTTATTGCCGTGCGTAAGCAGCGGACAACGATATCCCTGCCAAATCTGATGTATAATGGGCGCTTTTAGTAACCCTCCCAAGTGGATGATAGGCCATGCCGATCACCCAGCCAGTGAAAGGGTTAATCATTTCGGCGTCCGGCCGTGATGATGGCCCTAAGTGTCTGATACAAGGAGAGCACGAGCTCTCGCAACAATTTTTTGAAATTGCACTCCCAAGCTTTTCCAGTCGGAACCCTATAATCGGCTTGAGCTACGGTCCCATCTGGCTAGCCAAACGGAACAAAAGCGGCAGCGGAGGCCGAATGTCGTTCGCGTTAGGCCCACCGGGGTTTCCTCCTCATTTGCAAAGTGGAGTGAGTGGGTATGACGATATGAATCGGAGTTCCATCGAACCTGTCTATGTATATTTCATTATATTGGCGATTTCTTTTCAAACACTGGTCTGTACCCACGGGGGAATATCGAATGGCAAACTTCCTAGCCGATAAGGATAAACATGGGGAAAGAATGGAACGAGTGGATGCCACGAACTTCGAGAAGGATGGAGCCCCGGTTGAAAGCTCCTCCTCCTCCTCATGGTCCCCCACCCCCCGGCAGACCCAGGGCGGTGTGTTTAGCATATCCGGTTGGAATTCGGGATAAGAGGGACAGATTGGACATGCAGTGTTTCAGAAGTTGGCAGCTGCACGCAACGCAGGAGACTAAAAAAGGGCCCTCTGCGTCGGGAACGGGTTCGTCCAACCAGATGGACAAAGATCGGCCGCACTGGGCCCCTGCGATCGCGCGACTAAAACCAAGCAGGAAAAGGCTCGCCCGAAAGACGCGATTCCAGCCAGCCGAGACGAGATATGTGGGGAATTCTGGATCGCATGGCTTTTTCCTGCTTTTTCCCTTGTCCCACAGCCACTCGCCCACCTTGTGCGGACTTCTCCGTAAGCCTGAAGCGACATTAGTTCCAGTCTGGACACGAGCAGTGACGCCAAAATGCTGCAATGTGAGCCGCAAGGGGGGGCGCAAAAGTGGGCCGCCTACATTTCTCTGGGATTTCGCTGTCGGCTGGAGTCGCCCTGGAGGGTCGGAGGGTCGGAGGGTCGGGAGGGTCGTGTTGATAGGGTAAACAACCTTAGGAGAGATCTCTCAAGAGATCTTGCGATCGAGATCGTAAACAAAGTCGACAGCGCACGAAACACAACACATAGAACCCAAAACACAGAACACAGAACAAGGAACAAGGAACAAGGAGGTATCGACCTCGTGCAGAGAACATTGGAAATATTGATTTGCTCCTAGCGTACCCAATTGCCCTGGGCGGGAGCTGAGTCTTAGCGTTAAAATCCCCGATTGTTGTTGTTGACCTCCACATCTCCTCGTCATCGTCTTTTTCCCTCCAACGGCCCTCACAGGCCAAACTTCCCCTCTTTCGCCCACGGCCGCCTTCCTTTCCTTAATTGCGGTCGTCGACTTTCTCCCTCCTTGTACACCTAACCAAATGGGATGTCACTCGCAAAGACTCGAGACCCTGCGGAGCTGAGCTGGAGGGTGCTTGCCACTCTTCTCAGTGTCCTCTGAGGATGGATCACATATCAACTGTAAGATTTCCCATTCCCGCCACTGTTTTCCCCCGACTAACGCATTTTCAGCTCTGTGCACTGAGCACTGTAGGCATCGCGACCAGCGGTCTTGCCCTCGGTCGCGTCGAACGAACCAAGTCAAGCATCTTTCGGCGGAAGACGCTACAGTACGATTCGCTCCCACCTTCACAGCCTACACCGGTCGATGTGCGACCGAAGACCTCTCGATCGGCCTGGCCCAGCCAAGCGCGGGTGGAAGGCCCTCTCGGTGAGACTGGGCCCGATGGAAGTGGTTCGCGCACCGGCCAATTCCCGGGTCCTGAACTCCGGAGAGCATCCCTCTCCTTCGGTGCGGCCAGGCTTCGTCGTCGCGGTCAAACATTGACCAACCGGCCCTTGCAAATTCCGGAACATGGACAGGCTGATTCCTCGACGGAATCGCACACACGACGGCCGTCTACGAGTTGGCTGCGCCGGTTATCGATAGTTTCCTTTCAAACCGAAAGCCAGTCTGCCAACAGTCCGGTGACCCCCTCCTTCAATGGGTCTTCAAGTCCGATTCTCCCTCGCCCATCCAGCCAGCGTAGAGCTTCCAACAAACTCGTGAAACGCTCGTCTTCCCAACATTCGAATGCCCATCCCCTCTTTGTCAACACCTCTACGCGCCCCACCTCCGCTATACGCAGGCCAGCTACTAGCTATCAAAGGTCGGAGACCATGCGATTGCAGTCTCCTTTGACCACCGATTTCGAGCCCAGTTTCTCAGAGCCTTTTGAATTCCCGGCAGCCGACCAATTCGAAGTAAACTCGGACCATGATTGGCAGCCCTATTTGCTCCCAAAGTCTGAAGGTCTCCCAGAAAGATTGGCTCGAAGGTTTTCCACAGCTGGAACTCCACGAGTCCACAGTGTGCGGCGGATCTTTTCCGATCAAGATTCACTTCCGGCATTGGTGCTAGCAACCACAATAATAAATAAGACCTCAACACCACCTCCACTCGATTCGTCCATGTCCACCACTCCAGTTCAATTCCGTGACCCTTTCCAGGCGAGCACCGCTCCTCCAACCGCAGCACCGGCGCAGAAACCTGTTCACAAACCTTCATATTCCCTCAACGATATTGAACCGAAGAGGATCGTTGTGAACACGGTAACAGGCTCTGGTACCCCTCTTTTAGGACGACCGCGGGGCGGTTCCTTGAAACGGGTCAAGGGAAGGACCTTCTCAATTCCTCGATCGGAGCTTTCAGAGCACGAGTATGTAATGCCCGGCTCTCATCCACTGCCACAACGGAGAAATATCACCGATCCCGCTGTATTTCGCCGACCAGCTGTCCCTTCCGATTTGGCGCCGTCCAACTTTGCTCCTCGGTCGGTGTCTCAAGATTACAATGTTGGCTTGCGTGGGCGTCGCCCGCTGACCTCCGATGCCGTTGCCCTGGCTACATGGCAGCACGCATGTCGCCCGGATGGCTATCCTTATTCCTCTCTCCGCCGATGCCCCAAGAGACACTCGATCGCAGCGTCGGATCCATCCTCCACCGTCATTGGCTCCGATGTCACACGAGTCTTCACCACGAGTGACGAATATGAAACTGACATGATGACCGACTACTGGGACTCCGTCCGCACTCGCGAGACAAGTGGCAGTGGGCTCAAGGGACTGCGTATCGAGACGATGTTCGACAAGGCAGGAACGCGTCTGTCAAACGAGGAAGTGACGACCTTGGAAGAGTTACTCCCGCGCGGTTCCTTTGCGTCGCGCCTGGAAAATGACTCCCCGCTATTTCCGGAGCCTCTCCTCGCCTCTCCTTTGGCACCTTTCCGTATGACCAACCATACACCTGTCCTGTCAGAGGAAGATGAAGAAAATCGTAGCATGATCGGGGCATTACCTAGCGAGGCTGAAGGCCCTTCACGCCAGACGCCTCTGACGATTTCGTTATCAAACACCTTGGCAGAACGAGATCCGCGCACTTCTCCCCAATTTTCTCCCGGCTCCCCCGTCGAAGAGTCGCATCAAAGCCAAAAAATGAACATCTTTGACTGGTCTGAACAGTCCCGAACAGAACGTGACGCCTCTGATTCCGAAGCGCGGCCAAGGACGGTGCACGGGAAGCAGAATGCTGTCAACAGAGGCAGCCGTGCAGCCTGTCGTAAAGTGCCTTCCGCCATCCATCTTCGGAGTCAAAGTGTGCCTGTGGCGAGAGAACTTCCTGCCAACGACACGCGCCAGGGTTCTGGCAAATTCGGTACGTGGGGCCTTGGCAGCAAAGGTGTGAGCGAGGATTGGGATAATGATTTCGATTTTGACGCCGAGGAGACGAGTATCAGTCAGAATATCAAGTCTCCCTCGAACGCTCCTGCTCCTCAGAGCATGATGGTCCCGAAAGCCATCCTTGAGCGACAAGCAAGCCTTCGGGGTCAATTCGGTCAGGTACAGGAGCTGACCATGCTGGTACAAGAGCTGAAGCGCCTTCGGCATCAAGCAAGCATCTTGGATCTCGTGGGTGGACCATCCAGTGAGCTGTGGAAAGAAGCCGAGGGGATTGTCAACCTTGCGACCATCGACGACGAAGATGACCGCCGCTCACCCCCGGGCTCACCTTCGTCTCTCACGTTCAGCTTTGGTGACTCGGACGAGGAGGGATTGAATGCTTCATCCAAAAGGAACAGTGAAGTCTCCTGGCACGGTGCTCAACAACAACAAAATCAACTACCCTCCCCGCCATTTAGGCAACCCAAGGGGGAAAGTGAGAGCTCATGGCAAAGTGGCTCACAACCAGAGAGTCAGCTGTATAGTCCGCCGCTCAGGCAATTTTCCAAAGGCTCTGCAAAGTCGAAATCAGTCATCGATATCCTTCAGTCTAATCGACGGTCTGAGACCTCGACCCTGCCTGAGCTTACCCCCGCTCCACGTACCCAGAAGCTACCTTTTGACACGCAGTCTCTCCGGGACTTGGTGGTTCGAGCCGGGGTGGTCACTCGTGCTTTGAAGGAGGTAATCCGAAAGGCAGAAGGCGTTGATCCGAGTCCGCAGGATGTATTCCCTTCTGATCCGCCTTTCCGGCGAATCTTCGATCAGCCCTCTCATGACGACCTTGCGAGTTTTGAGGCGGCCCTCGCTGAACTGCACTAAGGGAGACCAGCCTTCTGTGTCTGGTGGCTGCAACCACAATATACTATCGATTTCTCACGTTCGAAAGCCGAAAGAAGAACCTAGATTCTCCACGAAACTCCTCGTTCTTGAATTTTCGACGCTATGTTTCTTTCTCGATGCCTTCATCTTTTCCTGAGCTCTTTGCAGCAAATGACTATTCCTTTCCCTGTCCGGCGTCAGTAAAAGCCTTTTTGCCCCTCTGTACAACTTTTCTCCTCGTGTACATTGCCCTATCCTACCTTTCCTTCCTTCTCTATGTGCGAAAACGCACGCTTGATTCTTTACGAGCCCTCCAGGAGGTTTATGTCTATTTTTTTTTTCACCTTCTGTTTTGACCCTCAGCGTCACGCTCCGTTTCCTTTCGTCTATGTTGCATATTTGCGCGGCTCATATTTCCATAATTTCGCTTCATAATCACGGAGGGCTCCTGGTCGAGGATGATCTGTACTGTGATGATGTTTGAGAACGAAGATCGAAAAACATGAAGAGCAATGAGGTCCAATGTCATGCATATTTCTTGTTACCCGGGCTTCGGCCCGGTGGCTGGAGCATTTCTAAAAAGCGACAGTGATCATTCCCATTCGGAGATATGGAAAATGCATTGCGCTATAAGTTAATACACTTTTCGGTATGTTGTATAAATGTAGGCACTTCGCTAAGCAAACAGAGGGGTATCAGAAAATAAAGAACGCTCAGACCATACAATATGAGAAACTGTTCGTCAACGAATTCGCCAGTCATTTTTCTACCCCATTGATTCGTCGACAGTGTGGATTTGCGTCGTCATCATATAGTCTGTCGCGAATTTGCTTCTGGCCCGGAGTCTGGGACCATAGAGATAGAAGAGGATAGGGAGAGGGGTCAGTAAAGCTGCGACGCAGCCGAGCAGTGTGCTGGCCCAGTTGACACCTAGGGTATCAAACTATAGATAAGTATCAGTATTGGATTCCCTATGTATGTAAGAAGATTCCACATACCATGTAGGTCGCAAAAAGAGGAAACCCTGCACCAGCCAAGGACCGTAGAATACTGTTGGCTGCCAAAGCAGACGCGGCACTATAAGGAGGTTTTGTCAGTGACTGTCGGGTATGAATGGTGATGAGTAGATAGGATCAAGGCACTCACAAGAGGAGATAGGCATCAACGATGTAGTTGAACGCTTGCATGAAAATGCAGAGCAGACCGAATCCAATCATACCACCAGACAGCGTCGGCACAATCCAGTGAATGTCGGCTGTGAAGCCCGACCAACCAAACCAGAATAAACCTCCTGAGAAAGCCAAACTGCCAACAATCGCTGGCGGCAGGCGCCACTCTGGAATGGGAATGCCGGCGTTTGCGTCCAGCTTTCTGTTGTACCAGGGCTGGGTAAGAATGATAAAGGTTCCCCCGATGAACTCACCGACGATGAGGCCAAGGTAAGGGAGACCGCCGACGCCTTTCTCAAATCCATGGACCCTCTGGAACACGATCGGATAGGCTGTCAAGAAGAGATACAACAAGCCATAGAGGAATGCCATATAGATGCTGAGAGAAAGGACAATTGGTTCGGTGAAGAGGATCTTGAAAGGACGACTGAAATTCTTCGAAAGCAATTCTCGGAGGTCCACTTCGACCTCCTCTTGTTTGGCGTGAATTCCCCAATTCTTGGTGCGCCGGCGAAGTTCTGCAGCTTTCCCGATGAGAACCACGGGTGGGTAGGTCTCATCTAGAAAGAAAATGTTCGCTATCAAAGCTGAGGCACCCATGATGCCAGTGAGATATTCGGTCCAGCGCCAGCCCAAAGAGCTTTGCACAATGAAACCGCCAACTGTCGAGGCGAAGAGAGGACCGGTGAAGACGGTCATGGCAAAGACTGTTATGGCGAGGCCACGAATGCGATTATTGAACATATCGGAGAAGACCGCGGCGACAACGGCAACAGGACAGGCCCCAAAGAAGCCTCCAAAGAAGCGGCATATCATGATGGTCTGAAGATCCTTCGCCGTTGCGACGGCAAATTCGAATACAGTGAAGCCGAACACCGATATAAGAATTGGCAGTCGTCGGCCACGCAATTCGGAGAAGGGAGCCCAAAGACAGGGCCCGACGGCAAAGCCCAGCACGTACAAGGACAGCCCCAAAGTCCCAACCTCGTTAGAGACGTGGAACTCCGGTGATATGACGGAAATTGCAGGTGAGTATATGCTGCTGGTGAAAGTGGCATTGAATGTAGTATATGCAAGCATCACTGCCATTGCAATCTTCCTCCTCATGGGCCAATTCTGGGGATGCAGGGGGTCGTCCGGTCCTGCAAATTCCACCACGTATTCCTCCTTTTCGGGTAACGGAGGAGGGAAGGGCTTCCCGGCGCCAAATTCTGGTAAGGGTATGTGAGATACGCGTGCATTCAGACCGGCTCCCACGGTTTCAATATGTTGACTTCGCTGTGTTGCAATTCGACTGAGTGCAGTTGGGTGGCGCTCCAGTATAGATCCGCGTTGGGACACCGCCGTTCGGACTCGGGACATATATTCCATTACCTCTTGAGACGAGGCGCATGACGAGGAGGTTTCTGAGTGACATTCCGACAGGGTACCGCTGCTGTCAAGGTTTTGGATTGCTTGGATTGCTTCGCGGTTGGGCCCGTCTTTCTCTAGGTCTTTCGAGGCCGAATCCATGGCGTCGGTTGGCCGGAGTCTGCAAGGCCTGATATCTGCAAGACCTGCAATTTCTGGAAAGGGAGGAGAAAAATATACAATGGGGAGGAGGAAGAGCAAGACAGGTACAGAAAAAAGATTGAATTCTTTTTACGGCATCCCGTCCTTTCTCACTTTCGCATGGACTCGGCATCTTTCAATAAATTTAGCGCTTGGCCACACCAAGCGGCAAAGATGGAGACACCAGAATGTTCTCAAAAGGCACGAAAGTGCGGATTGCATCGGCCAACTGCCCAAGCCGGTGGATCTCAGGCTTGGCTCCGCCGACCTTGAATGGATGGGACTATGTCCAGCGCCATGGTTCTTTTGCCTTGTTTTGTCCGATCCGTATAGATCTGAGTGTGCTCTGGCGTGCTGGCGTGCTGGCGTGCTGGCGTGCTGGTGTGCTGGCAGGTCTCATTCATACTCGCGGGGACTTTAAGCAACAGGAAGACTTCACTATTTCTCGGCCAGCCGACGGCATTGCAATTATTCTGGACCTCCCAACCGGCATTGGAGCATCGGGATATCCAATTGATAACGGTCTCCGCTAATCATGAAAATTTTCCAGCGATGGGGCCTTATCAGGGCTTTGTCGAGGGTATTGTGGGCCTGCGCGCGGCCGAGCTCGGTTATTCAAGGCATTGACGTCATCCTGTCTTGGGCTCGATCAAACTTTTCGAGTCTGATGATGGTCGAGATAAAGTATGCAAATTGGAGGGGGGTTGTTATCAATAATATCAGGTAGAGTCTGGAACACAGGGAGATCAGTATTGGGTGAGATTGGGGGTGTGAAGGTGATCGACATATATATTGCGGCCAGTCCACCCGTGTGCCCCGGCCTCTCAACTTCGCGCAGAACAACCGCATGTCACTCTCAGCTTGCCAAATCGACATTGACTTCAATTTCAACCACGCAGCTTTTATTTTATCTTATTATTTCCCATGTCTTTGGGCGGAGGTCTGACTACAGCAAAGTGTCCTGCGTACACCATCCACCAGAGAAAGCTAGGCCGCACAAGTAGAATACAGCAAGCGAAAGAGGGACAGATATAGAGTCATACCCATTCAGTCAAAAGCAGAATTAGCAATGCAAGTATTCAACTCGATATCTTATCCGATAAAGTTTACGCGGGGTGTTGCATGCAGGCCATCACGTGCATCTTCACGTGACCGCGCTCGCCCCTTATGGGCGACTCGCTCTTAGTAGTTAGTTCGAGGAATCAGACTTGATTACCCTTTCATCCAACCCGGGGAGCTACGTGCAGAATGGAGAGGTCCGAGAACGTGCACATCCACTCGGGGCTCATCGAGATATGGACCAATCCGCTACCCAAGGATCACACGAGAAAGACAAGAGCGAACACCAGGGATAGTCAGAAGATTATTTGGGTATCATCTCCCTAGTGAGTGTGCAGGTTGAAATGAATTGTTCCAGAAGAAGTACCGAGTAAGGCCCAAGTGAAATGAGATGGAATGAGGGGCAGTTCCGGCGTCTCAGGTGAAGGCGAAGGGAAGTCCAAGGGTGACGGCAGGCGATCTCAGGTCAAAATAGAAGCGCTCCAAGCCCCAGTTAGAAAAAAGCCCCTTGTGGCCCTTACCGACCGATGATACATACATGAAATAACGCGGTGGCTCATCTCCGGTTCAGGGGCAGCGGATCCATGATTGGGCCGCTGTGGCGGGTTCCTGACGCTAAGATTTTGTGTGCCCCATCGGTGGTCTCATACGAGCCTTGCAGACTGCATCTCGGCCAGGTTCGAGGTGAGGCATGACTGAGAGGGAGAGAGAGAGCCACGGTGGAGAAGGAGAAACAAAAACAACGTCCATATGTAAACACGGGTAGGAAAGCAGGAGGAGCCGGTGAGCTGTGGAGCTTTCAGGGGTGGAAAGTGCGGAGGTTCAACCAGAATAATACACCGGATACACCAGATACGGCAGGATACGCCACAGATACGCCACAGATACAGGAGACACACCAAATACACAGGTAATCTACGGGGCCAGAACTTAACTCCCTTTCTCCTCTTTTCCCTTCTCTTCAACACACTTCCGACCCTCGTTCACTCACTCTCCTTGGCTTCCCGCCGCCACTCTTTTGCTTCCCGGTGGACTTTTCGTCCCCGTTCACTCTTTCATTCCTTGGCTTAAATGACTCCCTGCTTCTAATCTCAGCGGCTTTTGCCCAGACTTTATCAACCGTCGACTGGTTCGCGTTCTGTTTCGATCTTTAAATCCATCGCACTCGGTGGGCCCCAAAACCATGCCTCACCATCATGCCGATATGGTGATGAGGCATACCCTCCTCCCACGAGAGGTCGTCCCTTCACACCGAATACCATTCCTGGTGCCCACCGCCTCTCAGAATCTCAACATGCCCTCTCTGGTAGCAAGAGCTCCGGCCTCGTCAGAGACGGGCTCGAGTGGAGGTGAAAAGCCCACCAGTTCGATGACTACCACGGTTTTGCCCGTCGTTCTAGGTGCTGGGTACGTTGGGAGTATCCAAACCTGCATAGGAGCCAGAAGCAGATAGGGCTAACCATCAACTAGTGTGCCCATTCTATGTGCCATCGTGGTCTTGATTTTCCTCCACCGACGACACGTGAAGAGGCTGTTGCGAGAGGATGCAAACGACAAACACAAGTCTCTAGACTTTGGCATGGACGTCGTGGGTCCCTCAGGAGGGCGCAAGAAGAAGGGCATGCCCAACGGACTGCCTCAGATGATGGAACCTAGTCATACCAAGGGCATGTCTCTGGACGTGCATCCCTACCTGCTTCCTCCGGGCCTCCACCGTTCCAGAGACTCGCTGCACTCGCTCTCTCGGTCCATCGATGATGACAAGTATCTCCCAGCTACCTTTATAACAAACGATAATGGATCTGTTCGATCGTTCCCCAGAGGCCGGGACGATGCCTCGAGCTTCACCGGGTCAACCAGTCGTTTCGGAGTGGAGGAGCCAAACTCGGGACTTTTGCGAAATGCCCAACGCATGTCCCGCTCGTCCCCCCCGCTCTATCCCAGCCCTTCGAACGAGTCTACTCCGCAACCACCTCCAACACACCAGAACTATCTCGGTCCGCTACCAGGGTCAACGCCGAGTCCTTCAGAGCACGACGAACGTGGATTAGCGATTGGAAGCGCAACCACTGATGCTAAGAGCAGTGAACGGGCTGCTCCGTCGGAGCTGCATTTCAACCTCAACTCGGAAAATAGCCTTCATTTCGAAATTGAAAGTCCCCTCGACGGCACCGGCAATGAAAACACATACCACGAAGAGCGCCTCAACTTTCCCTTGCCGGAGGCGGCGCCATTCCATGAGGAGACTCATCATGAGCAAAGCTCCACGATGCAGCTCCCCCGGATTTCACTACCGGCAAGCGATGTGACCAGCAGCGATTATGGAGATGAGCGCAAGTCAGAGCTCATGATCCCCGCGGTGAATGTGCACAGTATCGAGGATGGCGAGCACGATGCCAGCAGCGACAACAAACCGCCGGACCTGCCAGAGGAGTCCCCGAACCCGGCCCTTGGTTACGACAACCGCCGTGACACCCGTCGGCTGACTCTCGGAGTGCGCCCGCTCCCGCCAGATGATCCGGCCGACAACCCGGAGCAGCGTGCCAACCGAATTCGATCCTTCTACAAGGAGTATTTCGATGACAGCAAGCGCGAAACCACCTACTACGAAGACTACGGCTCCGATTTCTATGACGGAGGCTACGTCTATGATCCGGTCTCCGGTGATTATTACGATGCAGCTCCACCCGTTCCGTTTGCCGAACCCGTAGGCCGTCGTGCCATGACTCCTCCGCCTCGCGCTCCTCCGCGCTTCCAGGGGGCCGCCCGTCATATGGCAACCAACTCGGCCGGCTTCAACGGCTTCACACCGGGCCCGCGCGCGTTCTCCTCGGCGTCTGGCCGACTTCCCGGTCCCCGGGGCCCTCGGAAGCCGATGCCCCCTCCAGCACCACTTCAACTCCTCCCTACTCCTCACATGCTGAAAGACGACTCCATCATGATGGCGACTGATTTCGCACCCGGCATGAACGTCAGAGACCGGCGTGGAGGTCGCCCAGAGACTCCCACGGGCGGCATGCATCCCTTCAGCCCGGGTCTCCGAGCTCACACCCCTCTGGCATCGGCATTTGATGAGCTTGCTGTAATCCCCAGCCCGTAAGTACTCCTGTGTTTTTCTTCGTTTGCTATGGACCCGTTGCTGACCTGATTTCCAGCCACGCCTTGCGAAAATCTGGCACGTACACCAGTCTGGACTTTGCCCCGCCGCCCCGCTTCAAGAACAGCGACACTGGCAGTGACGCCGGTAGCATTCGCAGTAACCGGACCGGTATCTCGAACACCCACATGAACAACATTCGCATGGGTAATTACCGCATTAGCCGGCTGCCGGCGGACACGGTGGGCACCAAGGATGACCTGATGGCCAGTCTGCGCCCGAACTGGGGTATGCAAAGATAAAACATCTCTGCGCATCTTTCACTGTCACGACTATGTTGTTTTGAGGTCCTTGAACCTATAATGACCTGCGTTTTATCTCATGGTACCCCGGTGCTCTCGACTCTAGGGGACCTTTTATTTGTCTCCCGTCCGAAACAGTTTCATTTTTTGTCATTTTGTTTTTCTATTCTGGAACATCTGCCACGGCGTATATAGATGATGGTTGGATCCTCATTGCCCCCCATACTTTGGGAATTTTATTTTCTTCTGCCCCGGGCGCTTGCTCGTCGGGCTGTATATATTCATTGAATCATTCGGCCGGGCCTTCAGGGAACCGGTCCCGTTCAGACTTGGCTTTCTCCGCTATTATCGATCTATAGAAACGGTGTAGATGAACGGTGCTCGTTACCATGGGCTAAGAGGCAGGTCCTAGGGTTCTAGGCCGTGTTTTCAAGGCGATGGCGCTAGAGACTCCACAGGCAACGACTAGACCTGGAGGGCTACGTAAGACGAGGACATCACCCATCTGCATATTGCGTGGGCATTCCAATGCTCATCACGACACGTCGTGAAGATAGAACGAGAATAGAATAAGAATAAGAAAAGGAACCACGAGCGGATTGTGTGTGTAACCCACCAAAAACGGTCGGACCCATTTCCTATCGCGTCGAAGGGAACCGAGGATCCCCCGGGGCCAAAACGGCCTCCGTCTCGTATTGTTCGGTGGCAAGTGAGTACACCGTGCATTATCGGAAAGAAGCGATCATGCAAAAACTTAAATATGGGAGAGAGAGAGAGAGAGGCTGTGCGTGGGAGAGAGTGAGAGAGACAGAGAGAGAGAGCGATGAATTGAAATGGAGACTCCTGTTCTTGTATTGTTTAGGTGACTCTCACGCAAGGGCTCAAGTCGCATGGCCGCATCTAGGGATATGCTCCAGAAGCATAAACAGAGGTAGGGTATGGTCAACAGAGAGAACGTCCGCAAGCATGGAACGGTAATGCATGCGGGCGCTAGGATAGCACCAGACACAGGCAGCGCGGGAAGAGAGAGACGCCGGGATCGTAACGCAACTCCACTTTTCCTGCCCGGTTTCCCTCTTTCTCTCTCTTCTCATCCACACAACGGGGAATTCACCCATGGCTCCCGACTAGTTTCGGCCTTGTGTCTTGTGAGAGTAGTTGTTCTTTCTTCTCTTCGCTTTTGGATATTTTTCTCGTGAATCGCCGTTTTCGATCTGTTCCTAGCACCCCTCCCCCCCCCTGAGCCTCCAGGCTCCGATCCCGATCTCCATATTCTCTCCTCTCCTTATCCATTTCGAATCGTCACTCGTTCTTCAGTCCTCCAACTACTTTTGATCCTCTTTGTTCTTTTCGTGCGCCTAGCGACCCATCAACCCATCAACCGATTCAACCCCCAAACCCGTGGAGTGCGAAACTGTCCGTTCCGATCGTCTGACCGAGTTTCGAGTGGCCGGAGATCTCTTATTCCCCACGAACACGACCGAGCGCTGAAAAGTCTGAAATTGTCACTACAATCATCGCAATCGCCATGCCGGGATCGCAACCTGCCAAGTCGACTCCGGCCGACGTACCGACTGTGAGCACTACCTCCACTACTTCCAGCTCGGATGCCCCGACCACTACGCCCGAATCGACTTCGACCTCGTCTTCTGCGTCTCCCACCCATGAAAGCACAACCAGCACCACCAGCACAACCAGCACAACCAGTAGCAGTACCAGCACCCACACGACCGAGACCACCTCGTCCACTCCCTCCCCGACTTCTACCACCTCTTCCGAATCGACCACCACTCCGATATCCAGCACGCCAAGCGAGGTTGTCACGACTTCCGCGAGCTCCAACGGTCAGACAACGGTTTATGTGACCGAAACTTCCACCAATCCCACTAGCAGCACCATTGCCTCGACAACGAGCTCGTCTTCTGCAACCGGCTCGGCCGCATTGTCGACCACTGCTGCGTCCTCTAGCCATGGCCTATCCCCTGGTGGCACCATTGCCGTTGCGGTCGTGGTTCCTATCGTTGCTGTGGCGCTGATTGTTCTGGCTGCAATCTTCTTCTGGCGCAAGCGGAAGGCGAAGAAGGCCGCCGAGGAAGAGCGCCGTAAGGAAGTGGAAGAGTATGGCTTCAATCCGAACAACGACCCGACTCTGCCCGGCATGGCAGGCAGCGTGGCTCCCAAGGATGATACCTCCGGTTACCGTGGCTGGGGAACGACCTCTGCTGGCCGCAAGGCCTCGACCAACCTGTCCAGCGGTATGGGAATGGCCATGTCAGAAGGCAGTGGGCCTTATCACCACCAAACGACCCCTAGTGAAGGTACCGTGCAGTATTCAGACGGTGCTCGCCCAGACTCGGGTGAGGTTGAACCCATTGGCGTGCTGGGTGCCGCTCCCGTGGCCGCTAACAACCGCAATGGCGATATTCATCGTGGTCCCTCGAATGCGTCGTCGGCCTACTCGGCCGCCAACCGATCCGAGGCGTCGGAAGAGAGCCACATGTCTGCTGCGCACCCGTCCGGAGGTTACTACGGAGAGAATCCGTACTACGGCGAGATGAGTTCGCACGGAGCATATGGCGATGATGCCTACCAGCCAGTGATACGGGATGTCCAGGCGCGCCGCAACACGCGCATTGAAAACCCGGGTGTCTATCCCCGGCAAGGGAATGCGGGCATTGCCCAGAATTTCTAGACGGCCTCGCTGCCGATGATTTGACTGCCAAAAAAGTTCGGCCCTCTCCCGATCTTGGACCATCTTCTCCCTCTTTATGACCATCGCCGATTTCACTCCTTCTGTGTTGGGCCTCATTTCTGGTGATCTCTTGGCCCGATTACCTCTGTCTCATATTTCCCGGCGTGATGGACATTCGCTTCGCCATGTGTTTATTGACCTGTACTTCTTTTACTCCCCTTTTTCTTTTTCTTTTTCTTTTTCTTTTTTCCCATTTTACACCATAATCGGCCTGTTGGTTTATTTTCTTTTTCCTTCTGTGATTTCTCGCGCTTCCCGCTGATCTGGTTTGATATATCCCTCGCATCTGATCCCACCATACCCGTTGTTGAATTGGCCCGCATCTATGTACATTGGGCACGCCGTGCTCGGAATGAATTCTAGGGTGAGGGAGCTTTCTTTTATTTTCTTTTTTCCCCCCCGTTTCTATAGGATATTTGGAATGAACTGGAGTTCCGTACAATGACTGCAGACCGGTCTAGTAAGGTTGTAGACGTGGCTAGAGATATAAAGTAGGCATGTGGAGACAATAGAAGACCGCGGTCTCGACTTGCCTATATAGGCTACACTGTAGTACGAGATGGAGAGTACAGTAGCGGACAATAACCGAGAATTTCGGGCCAACCGTTCCTACCTAGCATCGAGCGGGAGCATGACTAAGGCACGTAGTCAGCAAACCGAAACGTGCGCCGGATATCCGCGGTGATTGGCGAAACAGAGCTCCCCACTTCCGGCTTAACTTGAACCTCGACTTCCCACGCCTTGTCCTCGTTGGCCGTGGTCTTCGACTAAAGCGACTAAAGGGTACATGGTACCTTTTGGGGCGTTTATCCTGGTGACCCTCTCTGAAATTGAGCTGAGTGAGAAAGCAGCACTTGACCTCTGGGCCTGTGACTGTGACTGTGAACCCTTATCTACCTTACTCTTACTCGCGTACTCCTCCATTTCCCCCGCGCTTGATGGAATGCGCAAATTGGAAAGGGCGAATTTCCGTTACACATCCTGTCATACACCCGGTGACACGGCGTCTGTCCCACCATCATCGTTCCCCACCTCGTTGCGCAGACGAGCCCCTCCCCCCTCGTCTCGAGATTCCCGAGAGTGTTCTTGACTCTCCCCTCTCCTGCGTCTCGTGTCCTCTACTTTCCCTCGAAACTGTGAATCCCGCCAATTCGTCCCGACGAGAGCCCATATCCCACCGGGAGAGGCCGACGCGCTCGACCTGAGAGTTTGCGAAGATGTGAGCAGCGGCCCCTTGCAGCTCAGCTCAGCCTCCAACGGAAACTGACCTCCTGCAGGAAGTTCGGAAAGCAGATTCAGCGCAGGCAGCTTGATCTCCCCGAATACGCTGCCAGCTTCGTCAATTACAAGGCATTGAAGAAGGTAGGAACCCACTGTCTACACCACGGTGGTTCGAGGAGTCCTGGCTAACGGTATCCTGCAGCTCATCAAACAACTCAGTGCCACGCCTAATATTCCTGCTCAGAGGACCGCGGAAGAAATCGCCCAAGATGGTGCCTTGGATCCTCAAGCCGCACTGCGCGCGAACAAGGAGGTCTTCTTCTTTCGACTGGTAAGCTCTAGACGGTGCCTCCCAACCCCAGCGCAGGATTAACGCGAGACCGAACAGGAGCGGGAAATTGAGAAAGTGAATGCTTTCTATCTCCAGAAGGAGTCGGAGGTAAATCTTATACAAAATATACAGTGGAATGATTTCACTGACCCATGCACATCTAGTTCTCGCTGCGGCTGAAAACGCTGGTCGACAAGAAGCGCGTAGTTCAGTCTCGGACCATCTCGAATTCCAAGACCCCGTCGAACTTCGTGTCGTTATTTGACGGCTTCCAGCAATTTGACGGTGACCTCAATAAATTGCAGCAATTCGTCGAAATCAATGAAACGGCCATGTCTAAAATCCTGAAGAAATGGGATAAAACGTCCAAGTCCCGGATGAAAGAGCTCTATTTACATCGCGCAGTCGAGGTTCAACCGTGTTTCAACCGCGAAGTACTCCGTGATTTATCCGACCGAGCAACAACGGCTCGGTTAGAGTTGGAGGCATGGGCAGAGGGCGAAAACCTACAATTTGACACGTCGCGGCCATTGGAACGCGCGGCAGCACCTGGCTTCGGTACGGATGAGGAAGAGCTGGATCTTCAGATCTTGCAGTCCGCTTCCGCGGGCAACCTACAGACCCTGCGTGAATGGGTGGCGAGGCTCCATTCCTTTGCAGATGCCCGCGATCGAGCAACACGAACATTCCTGACCGCCATCAACGAGTTCTCCGATGACGTTCTAGCACTTCTGCTTGAAAGTGGCTTGGTTGATATTCATGCAGAAGATGATATCAATGAACGAAATTGTCTCCATGAAGCTGCTATCTCTGGCCGTGATTTTGTCTTCAAGGCTGGTCTCGCGGCAGCCGTGGATATCTCCCGGTCCGATGTCTATGGTCGGATACCTCTGCACTACGCCTGTATGCACGGCCGGGTAGCTATGGTGAAGGATCTATTGACCGTAGGCCCGCAGACGGTCGATGTGATGGACCATGACAACTTCACTCCCTTGATTCACAGCATTGTCAGGGGTCAACTCGCATGTGCCGAACAGGTACTGTGCAGCAATGCGCGCATTGATCCGACATCAGACTCAGACCACATTCCGTTGAATCTCGCCTGTCAACATGGATCCCTTCCAATAGTGAAAATGCTTCTCGAGCGAAAAGCAAGATTACTGCCCGATGCCGAGGGCCTTTACCCTCAGCATATGGTGGCGCGAGCATCGCAGTCGCCGGAACTGTTATTGCTGCTGAAGCAGCACGGTGCCGATCTAGACCAGAGAGACAAGCTTTATCAGTGGACACCACTGTTTCATGCGGCAAGCGAAGGCTGTGTACCGTGTCTACGAACCCTCCTTGAGCTGGGCGTCGACGCGAAGGTTGCAGACGAAAAGGGCCTCTCTGCCATGTACTATGCAGCGTGGGAAGGGCATCTGGAATGCATGCTTCTTCTCTGGACCCAGCCCTCCAATGATCGGCCCGCGCAGCGGCCGCTCGATGTCTTGAATGGCATGCAATTCCAGCAACCTGACTTGATGGACGAAGAGTCCACGAGGCGAGCTAGTTTTACCGAGATGGATACCGCCGATGGCATCCCGGATCTTTCTCTACCCCCGCCTATCATTCCGCTGCGACGCTACGGCCACAACTTCCTCGACAAGAAGGTTTTCATTCAACTCTTGTTCGACCAAGGAAACTTGGGCTCAATCGCCTTCGATCAGGCTGGACGCCACCCTGCCGCCCGGCTCACCATCTCTTCGAAGCTGTCGGACTTGATTCCCCGCACAATTGTACTGCCAATCCAGGACGACTCTCGGACAATATCGTTCCATGTTGATAATCTGGATACTTTTGCCGTGGATTTTGAGATCTTCCCAACGTTCGGCTCTAAAGTGATCGCGAAGAGCGTGGCTTTACCCGTAATCTTCCGTGCCGAAAGATCCAGCACAGGGTTATGCTGCTTACCTCTCTTTGACCCTCGCCTTCGGGCTATTGGCCAACTTCGCTTCAACTTCCAGGTCATCAAACCGTATCATGGTGACCCATTGGAAATCACACATTTCGCGACCTACTGGAAAGCTACGAGTGCTCTTGACTCGGAGCACAATGGCCTGGTCACCGGCTCCAGCTTGTCAGGCGATTATGTCCAACTCTTCGTGCAGCTGACACGAGATCGCGTGCCAGTGCTTTACCCTCAGTTTATGATCAACTACCATGGTATTGATATCCCCGTCTGCCAATTGTCATATGCCCAGTTCCAGACAATTGGCGCGGGACGATGCGCCAACCGGGAAGAGATTCTGCAATTCCTGAAGACACAAGCAGTCAACGATATGCCGCAGACCCATCGACTTCTGGCGGAATCGTTCATGTCTTTACGGGAGGTCCTACGACAAATCCCTATCGACCTCAATGTCAATCTGTCGATTCTCTACCCATCCGGTGCCGAGGAGAGAGCCCTTGACATGACTTCGTTGGCCGACGTCAACAGCTTCGCCGACGCCATTTTGACTGATGTATTTGACCATGCCCGTGTTGCTCGCGTAAAGAACCCGGACTTTATGAGGTCGGTTGTCTTCACATCTTATAACGCCAATATTTGCTCCGCCTTGAACTGGAAGCAACCCAACTGTAAGTTCTCCCAATACACCACAACGCTATTCATCCACTGACCGCCTGTTTAGACCCGGTTCTTCTCTGCAATGATCTGGGGCAGATTCGGGATCTTGCTCGCAACGTTGACTCCCTCCCTCATGTGAACAGCAGTGGCAGGGCATCAATGTCGATCAAGGAGTCTGCACGGATCGCCCAGAGTAATAACTTCATGGGCATGATTTGCCGGTCGAGTCTCCTCGTACGTTCATATCCGTTTTCTCATGTCTACTGGGAATCATCGTTGCTGACCGCTTTATCTAGAACGTTGTGCCTGCACTCGTGGAGACCATCAAAGAACTTGGCCTTGTCTTGGTGGCAGACACATCGGACGAATCCGGTCAGCAGCCCGACCACGGCAATGCCCTGTCCGCCGCCACCATGGGCGTGGCCGATTGGGCATATCGGATGCCCGACGGCGTTAACGGCGTGATGAAAGCCAATGGCGTGCTGAGATTCAACGATATGATCGACATGTGATTGCATCTTCACCTTTGCTTTAGCACATCTTACACGTTGCATGCTCTGTTCTTGATTCTTATTTTTCTCCCCTGAGACGAAGACCACGAGACCTAGTAGCTTATGCCGTTGATGCTTACGATTTACTTTGGGGAGCCAGCACGGGGCGGGTTTTTTCCAGCGAGTTGCAATCTCAAAAAATTTGGTCTTTCGCACCTGCAGTTTTCCGGTCTCATGTTAGCGCTGTTGGCGCTGAGATGGGTGATTTCTTCCGGGGTTGGCTCTGGGAAGTGTACGGGAGTGTATCATATCTCTAGATTGAGTGGGGAGGGCACAGGCTGTGCCGGATTAGATCTATGTGGCTAATGTACAATTTCCCCCAAACACCCGTTCACAATCTTCGCTATGCTATACAAACAACGTCCCCCTTCATAATCACGGGTTCTTGGGCTTGCGCTTGCCAATGTCCCAACCCCAGCGCCGTAGAGTCTTGACAATCTTGGGGGTCACAGCCGCCGTCAATGGGACCCGAATGAAGATGAAGCTCTTGTGGATTGCGTAGGCAAGCGCCAGTTGGGTCCAGATACCTAATAAGACAGATTAGACAGTGTCCACGTATGCACACAAGCAGATAGACCTACTGGCTTCCTCCTGATTCCGCTCCTCTGCAAGAACAAGGCTGTTCTGCGTATCCTCACCCTCACCTTCACCCTGCGGCTTTGTCTCTGACTGGGGCCACACGGAGTGGAAAGCATCCTTGGCCGATTGCACCACCACATGTTCAAAGTGGCCAATCCGCTCCACGCCCAGCAGACGCACGGCGGCAAAGCAGAACGGGAAGTCCAATGCGGAGAGACCGAAATACACGCCGACGGCTGCCCAACCGTATTCGCGAGATAGTTTGCGCAGTCGCTGCGACAGGGACGTTGCCTCTTTCTCGGATTGTGACGAACTGCTGGAGGATCCCGAATTGTAGCGCCGGTTCAGCCGTTGTTTGGGAAGCTGGATCGATCGCACGCCCGGTCGAGAGTGCGCTCCCGGCCGGCTGATATAATTTGCCGCTGTCGTTAAGGATCGCCGGGTGGGTTTGCAAGCTGTTTGGCTGCGAAGGAGAGGCAGGTTAGGGTAAATGGTACCCGTTGGCGATGGGATGAGTGCGGCTCTAAGTGTAGGTCTTCGTAGGAGCTCGGCCGGCGAGATCCAGCGTGACAAAAGCGAGGGCCGGAGAGGCATCTCGTTGAGGGATACCGATGGGATCAAGGGCTGAATGAATTGAGACGTGACGTGAAGTGTACGAAGCGGGTGAAATGGGTGGCCGAAGGATTCTTTATCGGGGCGATCTTTTCCCGGCATTTTCGGGCGCCGCGGTCCCGATCTGACATGCGCCGGACTTAGGATGTAGTCTGCTGGATATTCATGGAATCATGGAATCACAGCGATCATTTGGGAAAACGATGCCTCTATTTCATTGCCTTTCATTTTATTTCTATGGTTTGATATTCCTGCTTATTTGCACTGTCGTGGTACCATCGGTCTACTGGGCTACCGGGATGATGACTCAGCCACCGACCAAAAACTTCGTGTCGCAGATCGCCGGTCTTCAAATCCCCAAACCCATCATGTCACCGCGCCTCCCAGGGAAGCTGCTTCAGCTTTCCTCGTCCATTTGGGCTGCTCAATGCACCCTCCCTCGTGGCCCCGTGCGGTCATTCGGCATCAAATCCCTCAACGAGGCCAAACCTAGCCGCTTCAATGTTGGCCCCGGCCTGCCCGTGCTCGAGTCGACATCGACTGCGGCCCTTCGCCGCAAGGCCAACTCACTGCCCCTCCGATCCGGAGCCATTGCTACCAAGAAAGGCATGACCGCCGTCTACGATCCGGAGACGGGCAAACGCACCCCGTGCACAGTGCTGCAGCTGGACCGCGTGGAGGTCGTCTCCCACAAGACTCGCCAAAAACACGGCTACTTCGCCGTCCAGGTCGGATCGGGCTGGAAGCACCCTAGCAACATGACAAAATCGCTCCTCGGCCATTTCTCCGCCAATGGACTGTCGCCCAAACGCCACGTCTTCGAGTTCCGCGTCAAGGACGAATCCGGTCTTCTCCCCGTCGGCCAGAGCATCCAGGCCAATTGGTTCCAGGAGGGTCAGTATGTCGATGCTCGCTCCAACACCAAGGGTAAAGGCTTTGCAGGTGTCATGAAGCGTCACGGATTCCACGGTCAGGACCGTAGTCACGGAGTCAGTTTGACGCACCGTTCGCTTGGTTCTTCTGGACCCGGCCAAGGTGGTGGTTCTCGTGTCTACCCGGGCAAAAAGATGGCAGGAAACATGGGTAACACACAGAACACGGTCCAGAATCTGAAGATTCTCAAGGTGGACTCTGAGACCGGGGTGGTGGTTGTGAGCGGTAGGACTCCTCACCCAGCCATCTTGCCTCCGATCTTTGCTAATAATATTGTCAAAATCTAGGTGCTGTCAGTGGCCCCAAGGGATGCACTGTGAGAATTCAGGATGCGATCAAAAAGCCGTGGCCGGAGGTCGCACCGGCAGCCGAGTCGGTAACGGCGTGAATTTACGCGGGGACGCCCCGTTTGGGGAAGCATGTACTACTACACCATTCGCGCAATATTCTTCACTTGAGCGGCGTTTGTATATGATACAACAAATGATATCCTTCTTTTCTTCGCCCCCTGGTCATCGTCATCACCTTCGACCCCGGTATTTCCGCCAGGCTTCATATTGCACAACAAAAGAAAGAAAGAAGCAGATAGCGTAAACGATGTCCCAAAACGCCAAATCCCATGCACAAGGTCTTCTATTTGTACAAATCTTCTTCACCTCCTGGTCTTTAGAGAGCTCACTCTTGCCGGAAAGGATCGCTGTCTTTGTCGAGCAGCTGCACCACTGTTCCATCCTCGGTCTGTAGACTCCATTCCTCGGTGCGGAACTGGAAAATCGCGGAACGTTAGCCAATCTGAAGTGCTTTCCACTGAACACGCCACACGCATGTTGGGCAGCATTGAAGCTCAGAACGATTCGGGGTGACTTACGAAGCTCATACGGTCCGGTCGGATGCTTCTAAACCTCATCTTGCCCTGGCTCTTGGTGCCTTTCACCCAGAAGGTAATGTCGATGCGACCATGGAGCTGGTTCATCTCACCGCTGATCCATGGAATCTGTTGCGCGAAATAAATTTCGTCGCCGAGAATCTCACGAGCCCGCGGCGACGTCCGCAGTGCGTACAGCGTGCTGCTGACCACGCTCGAGGTCGACTTTTGATAGTTGAAGATACCCAGCATTGCAGCCCCGACAACCACCACAAAGATCGGGAGGCTTCGCAGCCAGCGCCGGCTGTTGTCAATTGACGGCAGTTCGCGATCTGCCCGTCGCTCCATCAGTGGCCCCGTATTCGGACCCGGGGCGGGGATCATGGTGCGTCGTGGAGGGTTGCGACGCACGCCCGGGAAACGAGCGAGCCCGCGCCGGGAAATCGAGCGAGAGAAAAGCATTGCTGGAGGTAGGACGTGTGTGGAGGCAGAAGTTGGATGATGAGTTGGGTTTGAGAGAAAAAGAAACAAACACTGCAAACGGTCCCACGTCGGAGAGTCAAGCCGTGCGAAGTTGACTTGTGAACTCGACGATCACTCCCACACCTCATGGATGTTCGACTTCGCAAGGCATTTCGCTATCCCGATGATTTGGATGATGAACGTGAGGAGCTTGACGAGGAAGAACAGGAGCGAGTGATCCAGCAGTTGCAAGGCCAAAATGAGGCGCGCAACGCCCAGTACAGTGTAAACTCGCACCCTCACCTCACGTCTTGCTCGACCGAACGCTTAAGTGGTTTAGATGATCTTCACTGGAATTCCATTGTTCTCGGCCACCGTCTTCGTGCCCTCGATGCTGTCTGCCTCGACTGCTGGTGAGGCTTTTCTGTCTCTGCTGGGCATCTTCTCGCTGTTGAGCTCGGCCTACACCATGAGGCGTGCTCCTCTCTACCCCGATCGCAAGGGAAAGAAGCCCCTGTTGGCTGAAGATGAGCGTTTGACCTGGCTTTTATCTGCCCTGGTTCCCGTCAATGGCGCAGTATGCTTGTTGCTAACGGCCTGTTTCTTCATCGGGGCGGGTTCATCCTATACGATCCGCCCTGTTCTCTACCTGATTCCTGGAGGTAGGCTTTTTCCCATTTCTTCTACTTTTCTGACTGAACAATTTTGTAATCTTACTCTGCTCTATACAGCCATGCTCGCCGTAATCTTGCTCGCTAGAGAAACAATGCTCTCGGTTGATCTATCGGCTCTCAAAGATCTTCAGTACGAGTACAAAGGCGCCTAAGTCTTGTTCATGCAGCTTTACGTATAAAATCATTATTTGAATCTCATGATATCTTCATCATCTAAGTACAGCCTCATTCCATTCGAGGATGGTCCTTGTTGGGGGAATCATAGCAGACATTGCCGGGTTTTTTCAAACATGCAGTGTACAATAAAAACGAGATTGGCTTTAGGTTGCCATGGGATCCTGCCACAGGCTCATGAAGCTGCTGTTTGCCTCCTCCAGTGCAGGGTCTACGGGAATGTCATCGGGGTTGGTCTTGGGAATCTTCTGGGGGCCGGTGTGTGCCTGCACATCGTCGCCAGTTGGTGTCGATTGCTGCAGGGATTCCAGGATAATTTGAGCCTCATGCAAAGCCTCGGAGCGTTTGAGGTTGTCCTCGTGCTGGCCTTTCATCAGGCGTTGCTCGATATCGGAACCAAACATGGAGACCCACCGGGCATTGTTCAAGTTCATGTTAATGAGAGAATCGGTGCTCCGGGGATCCGCGACTTTTCGGGTATCGTGGCCCACGAATGAGCGCACGGGCTCGTGCGGTACCATCGTAGGGTCCCTTCGGCACACCGAGCAGTTGCATATCTTCCGGCACTTGGGGCAGACCCAGTGGGGTTTCTCCAACGCCTCCTGGGGCAAAATATTGAACGCACGGAATAAGTTGCCGTAGCAGTACTGCGTGTAGCACTGCGAGCACGTTGCCAATTTCCAGGCAGGGCCGCTATCTCTGCAATGGTGGCATAATCCGTGGGTTTGTCTGATCTTGCGCTTGGGGCGCTGAACTTTCCGGCGCTTTCGAGTCCGCCCATAATCATGGTCATCGGAATCACTTGGTGTTTCGGCTCTCACCTCCTCCTCTTCATCCTCTTGTGATCGACCGGTCTTGCAATCGATCCACGGCCGCAAAAGCAATTGCTCCTGACAGATCTCGGCGATGGGTTTTCGGCCCAATTGGCCCCGAGCCACATTGAGCATAGGAAATCGCACTCTAGGCAATTTACTGCCGTCGTCGCTGGCGAGCGCATCGCAAGAACTGAGTTGGTGACGCCAGGTATCATGTTGCTCAGTCAGGTCTTTCCAAGGAAATTGTTCCACCCAGGCAAGTTTCGAGATACAACCGCAGCTCCGGCCCATCACGTAGCAGTCCATGCACACATCATAAGCGTCTTCTTCGCTCGTCTTGCACCATGGACACGTCAGGAACCGATTGAAGATGTTACAGCGACAATAGGAACATGTCACATTGCCGTCAAACTTGACAAACTCGATTTGATCCTGCGGGGGCGGTGTTTTCGAAAAGATTTCTGACAACAAGATGTCGGTGTACAACTTGAAGAGTCGTCGAAAGTCCGACCAGAGACTTTCCACTTCGGGGTGGCTTGTCACCGGAGCATACCGTAGCAGGTTTGAGTACTTTTGGAGGGTAAAGTAGACAATTGCTTTATTCTTGTATTGCTCGTCGCGACAGACAAGCCGCGCTTTGGGCAGTGCTTCACCTAAAGCCAACTCCAGGGTGTCGACGGTTGTTCTGTTCCAAGCCACCTTGATTGTTCTCGTGCCACGGTTCCAAACCTGATGTGCAGCCAAAGGGGGAACAAGGACGAGGTCGCCCGGCTTTTGTTCAACAAAGTAGGTCTTAAAAGGAGCCCGTTCCCACGCCCTGAGCTGAGAAAAATGATCCTCGAGGTCGATGTCATGACCTAAAGTCGATGCCCAATATTCGCTTACGGCGTGGCGATCTTTAGTTTCAGTCATAAACCAAACAGAGGAACCTTGTGTTGTTGCATGGCCATTTTCAAATGATTCCGCCGATGCCTCCACCATGAGATTGTGACCAAGGCTGGCACACATCTCCTGGTGCGCTGGAGTGTAGGTGCCTTCGTGTCCGATATAGCACATAAGATTCTCTGCGCGCATGTCGGCGGGGAGACTGCTCATTAGATCACCTGCTCTGGCAATGGGGAAGCCGTCTGGTGTGGGAGGGCATTCGGGTAGCTTGCTGAAAGTCGAGCCAGGCCCAAGGTAGGGCTTGGGAGACTCATTAAGATAGTAAAGCTCTGGTGCAATCGTTTGCTCCAGGGAGCTCTGCCATTCAGCAGGGCAGTCAATATCTTTGAGGTAGAGCCTCTGGATCTGTGATTTGTCGAAGGTCGATGTATTGATCCTCCCTGCAAGCGCGGGCATTTTGTTCAAATAATGTCCAATGGTAAAACGCAGGTTCGCTCCTTTGCTCAAGTCCCGAACGTTCTCGACTGGGAGATACCTGTCAGAAGGGGCCAGGTCAACCCAAGGAATCATGCTGAGAGGCCACTTACCCTTCTTTCCGTAGTGCTTCTGTAACCACTCTGATGAGAACAACTCTTTGTCCAACCGGTCCTTGAATCCTTCAATCACGAGGGGCCGCCCCAGTTTGACGACCCAGTGATGAATGAAGGACGCGAAGTCCTCTCGCGCCATTAAATCGATACCATCACACGTAATGCGCCTCGCGAACTCAAAATTTGAGATTGTTTTAACTGTCTCGTCGACAATGATGTCGGGAGGGAACGGCTTGAAGACCGCACGCGCATTCAGAAGCATCGCACGAGGAGCCGAAGGGTAGACGGGTAAGTTGGTCACTTCGTAATCGAAAAGAGAGGGGAAAGGGGGGTGTTAGAATGAGGCTTGCTATTCTGAACCACAAGGGCCACAGGATAGAGCTTTCATCGAGGCCAAATGAACAACCGAATGATGTCGGAGCGGTCAAGAAGATGTCAAAGGCAGGAGCTACACGCGATGCAAAAGGAACGTACGAGGTTGCAGGAGGATGGATGGAGGAAGAAGCGAGGAGAGAGGTTCGATCTTCTCCCTGGCGATGCCCCGGTGTGTCCTGCACGAGTCCCAGAGGGAAGAGGAGTTCACTCTCGCGAGAAATTGGCAATGACGAGAGAATCATCGGCGCGTCGCCGTTGAGTGGGTCCTGCATCCCTAAACTAGGTTTAGGCCGATCCCTGGCACTTTTTCTCTTGATCTCTCGATCTCTATTCTTGTCAAACCTACATTGCACAACTATGAATCAATTGCGGCATTTGTGACCAACGTATCGCTCGAGCTCATTCTCTCGCTCTTCTCGCCACTCTTCGTCATGCTATTCCTCACCTCTTCCCGCCTCTCCCTCTCACGCGCGCGATTATCTCCATGCTGCAGGAGGACGTACATCGGCAGTCGACGCAGTGGAAACTTGTCGCCTATTCCCTCCGGTCCATCTGCAGTAACGCAGCGTGCTCGCCCTTCCCGATGCCATCCTACGCGTGCGGCACAGATGGTCCCGGGACACGGCTCGCGGGTCTATTCTACAGCGATACACCCTTTGGAGGCGAGCGCAAAGACGGATAACCCGGTAACACATTATACTCCGCCCCAAACGGGCTTGATCGCTTCCTTGCCCCGTTCATGGATACCCTATGCTGAGTTGATTCGGCTCGATAAACCCACGGGCACGTATTATCTGTTCTTCCCGACGCTCTTTTCCACCCTTCTTGCGGCCCCCATGGCCACCGGTGTAGCTCCGATACAAGTGCTTGGAACAGCAGGGCTCTTCTTTACGGGAGCGTTGATCATGCGCGGCGCGGGGTGCGCCATCAATGATCTGTGGGACAGGAATCTGGATCCTCATGTTGAACGGACCAAGTTCCGTCCCATTGCCAGAGGGGCACTATCGCCGCCAAAGGCAGTGCTCTTTACCGGCACTCAGTTACTGGCCGGCCTCGCCGTACTCCTTCAATTCCCTTCCCAGTGCCTTTGGTATGGAATTCCCAGCCTGCCCATTGTGGTTGCTTATCCGTTGGCCAAACGCGTTACCAACTATCCCCAGTTTGTCTTGGGCCTAGCGTTCTCGTGGGGTGCAATTATGGGATTCCCAGCATTGGGTGTGGATCTACTGGCCAACCAGGATGCCTTTCTGGCCGCAGGGGCCCTGTATTCCAGCTGTGTGGCGTGGACTGTGCTGTATGACATGATATATGCGCATATGGACATCAGGGACGACGTGGCTGCCGGAATCAAGTCAATTGCTCTCCGCCACGAACACAACACCAAGGCGGTCCTGACTGGTCTGGCACTGGCTCAGGTGTCCCTCCTCGGGGCCGCCGGGTTTGCCGCAGGTTGTGGGCCCGTCTTCTTCGTCGGAAGCTGCGGCAGTGCCATTCTGTCGCTGGGGCTCATGATTTGGAAGGTTCAGCTGAAGAATGTGAATAATTGCTGGTGGTGGTTCAAGAATGGATGCCTCCTGACTGGTGGAGGTATTACCTTGGGTCTCCTCGGCGAGTATGCGACACAATACCTGGGTTTGTACGATAGCACTGGACCTTCAGAGTCCGAGTCGACATAATAACCATGAATGAACGGAACTCGTGATTAAGACTCGGTCACCGAGAGGCCCAAGTATTCTTGAACGGTGCGAACGATATCTTTCCAATCCATCATTGCACCGGTGCCAACGTCTCCGCACGCCAGAGACTTCTCTATTGGCGGCAGGACGGTTACCCAACCTTCCGGGTTGAGATCACTGCATCCCCACTCTTCTCGTAAAACCTTCAGCTGTTTCTCGGTGACGGGATGCCTCCACATGGCGGTGTTCATCGCCGGAGCCACGAAGATTACGGGCTTCCGGGCCTTAAAGTCCCCGTCGACCAGGCCGGTCGTATCCCAGGCCCTGATGACCGAGAGCAGAAGGTTATCCGCAATGCCCATCGTCATCTTCGCCATGGTGTTGGCCGATAATGGCGCAACCAGCAAAACATGCGCCCACTTCCGTAGCTGTAGTCTAGTGAGTTTCGCTCAAATCCCGCAGGAGTACGTCGACTAACCTCAATGTGCAAAATTGAAGATTCCCGTTTCCACGGCGTCGCCCATTCATCCTCGTTTCGATAAATACCATCGACGCCGTTGATCTGTCGAAGACAGTCGAGGACCGGCTGCTCGGAGCTTTGACCGGTGAGGAACTTCTCTGCAGACTCGGTAACTATGATCCGGATTGAGACACTCCCGTGACGGGTCAAGGCCTCTGCCAAGTTTGGAAGCTTGATAGTCGCTACCGAGCCTGAAAGTGATTGATTTCGGTCAATTCAGGATGTAAGAATTGGATAATAGGGTAATAATACCAGAGGCAGCAAGCAAGATGTGAGTCTTGCCGTCCTGCAGATGCTGTTTGGCAGAGAAAGATCCTACTCGTTCAGAATCCATGAAGGTAGAAGTGCAAAAGGTAGACAGCGAGTGTAGAAGCACAGAATACAGGCAGACGCTGCGAGGTTCGGGATAAGGAAAAGCAGGTGGGGCCCACCGACGTAACGGCCAACGGCCAACGACCGATTAAATAATACTAACATCGTCCCCGACGGCCTCTTCCTCTTTCGCTCGTCTTCCCTTCGGCATCGCAACAAGAGCGGAAATCATGTTCTCTCGAACTGCATTTTCGGTGCGCCATCCGCGATCTTCCTCCAATCCAACCTACAAAAGCTGATGCTCTCTAGGCCTTCCGTCCGGTCGCGCGGCCGACCTTTCTGCGTCCCGTTCGCTCCCCGGCCTTTGTGCTTCCCTCTGCCCTTCATGCGCGCCTCTTGTCCTCGGAAACCAAGGCGGCAATTGAAAAGGCAGTTGCCTCAGCGCCCGTGGTTCTCTTTATGAAGGGCACTCCGGAAACGCCGCAATGTGGCTTCTCGCGCGCTAGCATTCAGATTCTGGGTCTGCAGGGCGTTGATCCCAAGAAGTTTGTCGCATTCAACGTGCTCGAAGATCCCGAACTGCGTCAAGGTTAGTTGCTCCATCAGCTTGCGTGGTCCCTTCGTCGGTATACTTAGAAGTCTTCTTTTCGTCAGGTGTCAAGGAATACTCGGATTGGCCGACCATCCCACAGCTGTACCTGGACAAAGAGTTCGTCGGAGGGTGTGATATCTTGATGTCCATGCACCAGAATGGAGAACTTGCCAAGTTGCTTGAGGGCAAGGGCGTTCTGGTCGCGGCGGATCAGTAAATTGGTAAGCCCGTACTGAGGATGCAAATGGCATCCCCGTAGCGGGTCGTATCTTTGTACAATTAATCGGATCAATCCTTTGCTATCCATATCTTGTCTCCTTCTTCTCCACTCCGTGCCCGTTTCTATCTCTTCCCGTCGGCTACCCCGGGTCTCGAACTCTGTGACGCTCAGGCAGGGGTGGCGAGAAGAAACACCTTGCCCTAGGCTTGATCTAGTGCGCATGTGAAGTTGTAGAGGTGCTGCAGGGCCCTCGCACTACAGAAAATTCTACTCAATCACTGGAACAGGTGGGCACACGTTAACAAGAGATGTCCGGTATTGATTATGCTTCATATCATGAATCCCCAGTTGATGAGGCTCATCGTATGTACAGTTGATTTAGCTCCATTGCACAGGAATTGGCTTTGCAGCGGTAGTGAGAGTCGTACTAGGCAGGTGCCTGTTCTTTCGACTTGACGAGGTCCTCGGCAACCCCTTTCTGCAGCTTGGCACGTTGCCTCGCTTCGTAGGCTTCGCGGCTCTTTAGAATTCGATCGACAATTTCACCCGCATTCACGTGCTGGAAGGCATGCTGTTCAACTTCCTGGAAGATTCCCATCTTCTTGGGGGCGGTGTAAGGATCGTAGGTCAAGGGAATAAACGTTGTAGGCCCATGATAAACGACATCTGGCGTGCCCAGGGGCATGGCCTCGAGGTATGGTTGAGTAGGAGTAAAAGGAGCAGAGAACACCACCGCATGGATATACTGATGCCTGTTAGCAAACACATAGAAAGAACAAGAAAATGAGGACTTACCCGGCACTGGAGAACGCAAAGAGCACGCTCGAAGATATTCATGATGGGGTAGTTGAGTCCCTTCCAATGATTGATCACGTCGTCATCATGAATTCCGGCAACGATATAAGCAGGGGCGTAGTCCTCATCGTGCTCCTTGAGTCTCTTCTCTCTTTGACCAGGCTCATACCAACCTCGCTGGCGGCCTTGAGATTCTTCTATTTTCATAACTTGGCGGAGGAATTCGATGTGGCCAGATGAGAAAAGGTCAAACCCACCATCAACATAGACAATACGCTGTCCAGGTCGAGGGCCCTTCCCGCTCACCAAGTTGTCAAACGACCCGGCTTCTTCGACCATATGGTCAATTTTCGCCGCCCCGGAACCGGCCCACGTCCAGACCTGAGGGCCAGGTTGCAGGCCACTTTCGTCCGTAGCATAATCCCGGATCCGCTGCAATAGATCCTCGGCGGACTTTTTGCGCTCATCAGGGCTTCCCGGTACTTCCTTGCCTGCTAAAGTGTTTCTGACGGACTTGACGAAATGATTCTTGGTGCAAAGAAGCATACGCCCAACCAGGTCCGTAGTAGAAATCCCCGGGGTTCGTTTTACCACCTTGAAGCGGCCTGCAGCTTTGACGTATCGGTAACAATCATTGCCATCGCTGTCGGACGTGATATCGTCGCCGTGGACAACATACTTACAACCGTAATGGGACACCCAAGGCAAAAAGGTCACGTAAGGGGCATGAGGGACGCTTTGAGTGGCCCATCGACAGGCGTCGACGGCTGCGACTCTAATGAAAAGAAAGCCCGGTTATCAGTTGGGAAGAAGCAGGAGCAATTGGGGCCAAAATGAGAATCTCACCGTTCATCCAAAGACATCACCGTCGGGCCCTTGTTCTCCAAAATTGCTTGGTCGGAATGAATCCCCACATACAATTCTTTTCCGAGCCGACGAGCCTGGAGCATAGCGCCAGCGTGGCCTAATTCACACAGGTCGAGTCAGTACGGCTGCAGATCAAGAGAGAGGTGCTGATCTCTTACCGTGATGGCTGAAGTCGAAGCAGCCGTCAACCCAGATGCGGTCCTCCGAGATGGGCACATCCTCTTGAGGATCTACTGGCCATTGTCCCGGAAGAGGGATTTGCTCATCCAGGGGGTGTCCATTTGCAGGCTTTGGGAGCTCTCTGGGTCAAAAGAGTGAAAGGTGGACAAAGAGGGGCAGCGGAAACCAAAATATTCACATGCGCGTTGGCCCCAGGGGGATCGGAGGGGCTGGTGGAGAACTCCAGAGCTCCCGATATGCTTCCCCTTTCTCGTCCCTCATCTCCCCCTCCCTCGTCAGCTTCGAATCCCTCATCGATCTGAGTTCCTGGACCTCTTACGATTCGCCTGGGTCTTCTGTGGTCTTCTCCCGTCCCGCCTGGGCCAATCCCTGGCTCGCGAACCCCTGTCCGTCGCCCGGCATCGCCTTAGATCTCGGCGTGAACGAGACAACCGCAAATCACAATGATCTCATCCTCATTCGCCCCGAGTCTGACACGAAGGGACACTGCCAAGTCAAGCGGTGGCCATGAGTATTCTCATGGCGGCATTCCCCCGGTGAGCGGAGGAGGTTCATTTGGGCCCCAAAGTGCCGGTGCCGTCTACCAGCAGATCCACGAAATGGCTGCGAAAAGGATCTCAACTTTAGATTACCTGAGAAAAGCGTGAGTAGCCTTTCTTCAATGAAGAAGACCCATCGGCAACAGCGCGATAACTAACCGGTGCGACTCGCTTGCAGCCTCGAGGGACGGGTTTACTGGTTCAATACGGTGCATTTTTCTCGCGCTGATATTGGTCGCCTACCATATTTCGAGCCTCGGAAGCTTTCTCGCCGAGCCATTAATTACCTTCTCCTGGGCTTGTCCCTCCCGCCAATTCTTGATGTGAATTCGACCCCATTCGAGTATTTGCGAGCCCTTAACGCCCTTCTCCTCGAATTCGAAGCCTTCCAACAAGTTCATCCGCCTGATGGTAGCTCGTCATCGAGCCTTGCCAGAGCGCGCATTCCACAGATGTTCAAACGAGCAGCACAAGCAGGCACAAAAACTCGGCGAGCGAGCTCTGCAACAGAGATTGGCCTACCAATGCAGATCAGTGACCCGTCAGACTTGAAGAGCACCGCTGGCAATATCACATCGCCCTCTAGTGCAGCGGCCTCGGTCATCTCGTTCCCACTCACCGAATCATCTGATCTTCTCCCTGGGGAGGAATACAATTACCTCCTCACGCCTTCGCTGCCCTTTGAGCCTGACTTTTTCGAGACCTTTTCAACTCTCTGCGATGTGTTGATTGACTGCTATAGTCGAATCACGGCGCTAGTATCATCGCCTTCGGTCTGCTCAGTAGCACTAGGGGAGATCTTTTCTAAAGCGGATGCCAAAATACGGAAGATCATGGTAGCAGGTGCGGTGCGGGAATTTGAAGATGCCAGCCGGAATGGCGTCAAATATGAAATGTCTGGCGTCGGTCGGGTGGTTCTCGGGGGCCTACTAGGGTAACTTTGCCAAGTGCTGGTGCTCCAGATTCGAGGGTGGGTCGAAGCGCTGATACGCCTTGGCTTCAACATGAATCTCATTTACACGATCTACGAGGGGCGTTTGGGACTTATTTCAGATCGGGTCTTGCGATATATCCCTTATCAATACGGAAACACAAAGCCTTTTGTACAGAAGTAGAGACTTCGTATGTATGCTCGAATTCTTCTATGCATCTATGTCATGAAAGGTGGGATATTCGCTGGTGTGGAAGGAAAGTAGAAAGACAAGACACGCGCTGTAAACCATGAGACTTTTCCGGCCAGGTCGCGTCGTGAAGCAATCGGCGTGGTATCCATAACAGAAGAGTCCTCTCGCGCCGGGACATGTAAAAAGAAAATTCAAAACCAAGAGGAACTCCGAATCACGCCATAGGCTTTCGAAACGCTGAAAATGAACGCCGGAATATGCAATCGCTCGATGCAAGAGAACGCGGAGGGGAGGTGAAACTTTGGAATATCGACGGCATGGAGCAGGTTTACGACTGCAGTCGTTGGCACTCGAGGGCTCGCTGTTCCCCGAATACTCGACGGCTCATTTCGAGGACAGTTTCAAATCCTTCACGGCCGCGCGAGGCGTTTTCGCGGAATCGCTCCACGCTAGCCTCCTCGACCTTGTTCTTGATCTTCTGCCACCCACCGCAGAGGGCGGTGATTTTCGCTTCTTGGCTGAATTCAGTCGTTGTGTTGGGTTGAATCGACGATGGCTGGTACACCACCGTCTCGCGGACGTTGAGCACATTCGACCAGGTGAGGTTGGTGGAGCACATGGTGACTTTCTTCACAACGGGATCGACGTAGGATATTTCGTACACGTGGGAGGTGGCACTGCCGCCGAAGAGCGAGAGAACCCACTGGGGTACAGACTGGTTGCAGGTAATGAGACGTTCGGTTCGCAACTAATAAGGTCAGTTCATGGTCCATTGTATATCTTCAAAATACCACTCACGATGCCAGTCTGAGGGTCGATCGTTCGGGAGAGCGTGTCTACACCCACGACGTGGGTGGCCTTGTCATTCCATGGGCAATATTTCCGCCAGTTTGCCGTTGACACCTCGTCCCAGGAATAGTCGAAAGTGCATGTAGAAGAAAAGACCTTCATGGTGTGCGGTCAAGAAACGCTCTAGAGAGGAAGGAAGAAGCAAATAAGAGATGATGCAGAGGCAAGGAATCTTCAAGTCTCAAGTGGCAACTGAAAACACAGAAAGATGAGTCAGGCTCAAGGGGCCGATGGGGAAGGTGGGTTTTTTTCGGTGGCGATCGTAGAGGAACGTCAGATCGAGTTTTTCCTGCGCGGGTCAGGGCATCCCGAGAGGAGCCGTGGGTCGGGACTTCCCGGTTTGTGCTTATGTAAGGCCCCGTTCCCACCCAAGCTTCCGGGGTACACTGAGCTACGGAGTAGGCAGCGCCCTGCATCTTCGACCTTGTCAACCCTTCTGCCCCCTCACAATGGTTGAACTCCGCAAGCGCAAGGCACCGGCACCTCCCCCGGTCGCTACAAAGAAGTCCAAACCAGCCCCGAAGCCCAAAGAGACCGATACAAAAACCCAGGCCGTGGCGCAAACTGTGCCTCAACTGGACGATATCCTCGACCTAGAGGGCTTCGGTGGCGAGATTGAGACCAACGACGGCACAAAGACTACTCTGAAGAAACTTGTGGATGATAGCACGTCCGGCGTGGTTCTATTCACCTATCCTAAAGCCTCGACCCCTGGCTGTATGTCTCTAACCCAACTCATCTCCTAATAGCCTTCATCCATTGTCACGATTTGATCTTCATGGCTCACATTTTCTGCAGGCACCAAACAAGTCTGCTTGTTCCGCGACAATCACAAACATCTCACATCGACGGGTCTGTCTATCTACGGTCTTTCGGCCGATGCCACCAAGGCCAACACCACTTTCAAGACAAAACAGAATCTACCCTACCCCCTCCTCTGTGACTCCAATGCCACTCTGATTGGCGCTATTGGATTCAAGAAAAGCCCCAAGGGAACAACCAGAGGCGTCTTTGCAGTGGACAAGACGGGCAAGGTTTTGCTCCGAGAGGCCGGTGGCCCTGACGCCACTGTGGATGCTATACAAAAGCTGGTGGCTAAGGGAGCTGCCAAGAAAGACACCCAGGATGCGGATGGTAGTGAGACAAAGTAATCGAGCGTATCGTGACCGTGAGCCTTGGGGCGTGCAATATCATAGCCCTTCATAGGTCTTCATAGAGGTCATTCAATATGGCGATCTCTGCTGTATCAATATAACATGTCTGTTCGCCGGCGAGGGATTATGGGACCAGTAGGGTCGCGGAAGCCAGTGGGCTCTGCATTCTAAAAATGCCAAAGCTCATCCAATTTGGGGAACTCATTAGTAATGCACCTGCTCCCGAGGGGCCATCGGCAACACGATAATCCGCGCCGTTCAATTGCACCTCCGGAGTTACCTTACCGTGCCGCATTGTGATTCTCAGGGCTGTTACAGAACCATTGACTGATTAAAGAATCTTAGGAGGTGAGTCAGACAGCTGCATGGGCAAATACACTTTCCCCAAATTGTCAGAAATTGAGACACCTAGAAACAAGGCTCACCAAGGCGTACAGGTCAGAGTCTGCATCATGGCTCGCGATATCTTGAAAGCCGCCCAGTCGGCATCCAATGTTATCTCGATCTCTCAGGTATGTGTTTGCTGGCCGTGACTTGACTAAGAGGTTGAAATTGAGACCCGTGTGCCGCAGAAATACTCCGTCCGATCTACCGGTGTGTGGGAGCGTATCCGCCGCCTTCTCGCCATTGACTCCAATCGCTCGACCGGTATTCCTCTGAACTCCCAGTATCGGCTTCCCACTCCTGGATCTCTGCCTCCCCTGTCTTACGATGATCCCGTCACTATCCCGGCCGGTGACATCGCCGACAACCCGTACTGGAAGCGCGACGCACGACGAAACTACCCGCAGCTGAGTACCGTGACCCAGGCCGATGCTGTGGGCCTTCTTACGGTGGGGAGCCAGGCAACTCCCAAGGACGACGTTCTGCGGATCGGAGAGGCCGGGGAAAAGCAATTGGTCGCTGTCAAGGAGCAGGGCGAGGAACGAGGCCTCGCTGCCCTCTTTGAGAAGGACAAGAAGAGCATCCAAGGTGTATTCGGAGCGAATGGCCTGCCTCCCACACCCACTAACATTAACACCTCTTCTCGTTCCTCGTCTCAGTATGAGATGGGCCAGGAACAAGCCTACCCTGCAGTGTAAGTGATTACCTCGTGGTGTTTTTGTTCTCCTTGTGTTTCTGGACTGACAACACATGTTCAGGTACCCCTGCCGCAGCTTTGTTTGATTATATTGTTTTCTGGAAATTTTCAACCATGCTCTCAAGCGGAGCATTCTAGTTCTGTCACAATCGAATTACACTTTTTTTGTTCATCTCTTTATATCAACAGTTCCGATGGCTAGTCATTCTAGTCAATTACCCTATAGTCAATTACCCTAACTTACTCTCTTTTTCCCACCATGGAGTCTCCACTGTCATGTATGCTCACCCCGTGTTACAACCTCCAGACATGCGGGAAAGGCATATTTTCCTGCGGGGGCACTTGGAGTTCACTTAACAAACACTGTAGCTACTCGATGATTGATAGAAGATAAGGATTGGTAATACGTGTTCCGATGATCTACGATGCGTCATTCTCAACTAAAGAAGGCACTCATTGCCCGGTTGCAATGGACTTGATATTATAAACTCACTTCGAGAATCCAGGCTGAATCTCTCGATGGCGCGAAAATAAGGTTCTCCAGGTATTCATTTATAATAACAAAGCAAAAATAAGACTAGATTGTAGTTACAGAGACTTCACCTTATCTCATGGCTCAAATCCTGTCTGCTCCCGATCAAAGCAAACCGAGTGCCTCCGTATCAAGAGAGATGTTTCAGCAATCTGACAATGGGAAAATGCCCGGCAAGTGACGCCTGGATTTAGTCAAATGGGTGAGTGCGAGTTCCCCACCAGGTCAAGAACAAACTGAGACCAACGGTCTCAAAGACTCGAGAGACGGCTCCGACAGCGACGGTGTCAAGGGGCCGTTTCTCGGCGAAGACCTGGCTCACGAACTGCAAAGGTCGTTAGCTTGTAATCCGAGTACAGCATTGGGGGATGGGGTATCGTACACTGGGGGCAGAACTAGCAAAGAAGATCAAGGTGCCGAGGTAGGCAGCACCTTTGTAGCTGAGAGTACCCGTAGCATTGATCAACGCGGCAACGCCATAGGTCTGCACGGCACTCCCCACGAGAGAGCTTCCCCATGCAGCTGCGGCGCCAGCAGCTTCCTTCGACTTGATAAACTCCTCCTTTGAGTTCGCGGCCTGGGCGCGGTGGTAGGTGTCGCCGAAAACGGGGGCGAGGATTCCCAGGGATGCCGTGTGGGTGAAGAAAGCACCCATCGCAATTGCGGAAGGCTTCACCGGGGGCAGGTCTACAGCACGATCTGGTTAGTTGTGGACTTGTCCTATATTTTCGGTGGAACTCACAGTGCAAGGTCGTCATGATGGATGGTTGATAGATTGTTTAGAGTGATAGTTGGTAGAGGACTAAGGGGAGACAGGGGGGAAAAGGAAGCTTTATGAAGAGCTATACAGGATTATGTGGGCGGGGGGCGGTGGAATGTACAGCGGTGACGTCGTCATGAATCAGAGCGCTCCCCGAGGCGGAGAGAGCATGACGTCAGGTTTCATGGTCGAAAGACCAAGGAAAAGGAATGAGCCATGATGAATGCGGCTGTTCGCTTGGAAGTGGAAATTGAACAGTTCCTCGTTTTTCGTTCTTGTTCGCCAGGGAAGTTGACCGAAGGACTGGGTCTCGAGCCAGGCCGTGACACCGTGGAAGCGTGGATGCGTGTATGGATGCGGAGGATGCCGATCTCAGATCTAGACGGTGCGCACGGCCGCAAGCTTCTTTCGTCTTTTGGTCGATTTTGATTTCTATGCACCGTAGGTGATCCCCTGGCTGACTTTTCCTCCCGTACGTTCATTTATAGATTTTGGTTGAGATCGGGGAGGAGATGGAGATGGAGCTGGAGTGGGGTGGGGTGGGGTTGATTCGTATTTTGTAATTCCAACTTCCTAAGCTCGGATTCCCGCGTGCTTCTATACCTTCGACCTGTGGGATATTTGTTGCTGTCAAACCAGGTCCTACCAGGTCATCTCCAAACTGCGAAATGAGGCCTCAGGTTTTCCTCATCGAGGATATCATGTGATCCCCGATAAAGCCCCACCAGATTCGCGGCGTATTTGCAGGATTGCTACTCGTCGGCATTCGCTTTTCAACTTTTCTTATTTTCATTCTTCCTTTTACCCATTTTCCCACCTTTTCGGCCTTTCTCCTTTTTTTTGTTTTTTTTTTTGGGCACGCACGATTGCAAATTTCGGTACAGATGTCGATGGAACGACCCGTGAGTCCCTCGAATTCCGATGTATTCGACGTGAGTGACTCGTTGGCACCATCACGGGTCAACAAAGTCGCGAGCACCACTACTCTGACTTTTGACGGACTCTTGAAAGATCCTCTTCAACTCAAGGAAGACCTGAAGGATGGCTGCGGCGGCCAATTATGGCCGGCTGGGATCTTTCTGGTTAAATATCTGCTGGGTCAACACTCCTTAGACCTGTCCGGTAAATCCATGTCGGTATTCCATTTGAGACCTCGTATCTGGCCTGCATACCCTGGAGATCCTGAGATCCTGAATTTTGGTCGCTGATGGCTTGTCTAGCGTGGAACTTGGTGCCGGTGGTGGACTCGTCGGTCTTGCAGTCGCTCGCGGGTGCCAAGCGGCATGGCCGATCCATATTACCGACCAACGGCCGATGTTCTCGCTGATGGAGGACAACATCAAACTTAACCAGCTCCAATCCACCGTGACTGCTTCAATATTGAACTGGGGAGAGCCCATTCCGGATCATCTGCCATCGAAGCCCGATGTGATCCTTGCCGCCGACTGCGTCTACTTCGAGCCCGCATTTCCCCTCCTTATCACGACGCTCCAAGACCTCCTGGGCCCTGATTCGGTGTGCTATTTCTGCTTCAAGCGGCGAAGAAGAGCGGACCTCCGATTCATAAGGATGGCCAAGAAGGTCTTCGAGTTTGAGGAGATCCGTGATGACCCGAGCGCTACAACGTATAACCGGGATAACATATTCATTTACACCATTCGGCCCAAGCGCACCAAGAACTAAAGAATCATTCGATGGCCCGGAAGAAAGAGGGTGTGGAACGCACTAAATGCAGACATGATGTATTATGCAAGCGACAGACTAATGATCTTTACATTTGGGCTAGACATCTCTCGTCATACCGCAACTCACAATTTCAGAGCATCAGCGCTGGTTTTTGCACCTGCTCCAACTTTCCCTCCACTCATATCAGTAACCTGGCCCTCTTTGTTGATGACCTTGACACCGCCCTTCTTCAAATCTGAAACGAGCTGCTGCTTCTCGGCACTCTTGCCGGTTTTCTGAGTAGGCTCGCCGTCGTTCTTTCTCTGACTCTTCTTGTGCCGTCTAGCCCGAGCTTTGTCCTCGCGGCTCATTTCGTCCTTGGAAATAGTGGCGCCGGTCTTAAGCACCATCTCTCCCGCAACTCTACCGTCATCGCCGGGTGCGTAGATCTCGTGGGGTGCAAGTGCCGATGGCCCACCGGCAGCACTGCCAGCCGTAGGGCGCGCCTCTTCCATCATGATGGTGGGGGCGTCGGTGACAACGTTGATGCTTGCCTGGGGCACCTTGGGCTTGTAATGCCAGTTGCAAAGAGTATCCAACTGAGAACTAATGTCCTTCCAGAGACTGTCGATCTCTGCATGCTCTCGCATCAATTTGCGGTCTTTTGAATCGACGTAGTTCGGGTCAGTAGCGCGTAGGTGGTCTGTTTCGTACATTTCCGCCAGACTTTGCTGAGGCTTGGTGTCTTCCAACTCGAACCGGCTCTTTCGCGTAACCTGTGCATCCGAGGCGCCTGGGCGACGGCGAACCACTTCATCAAACTCCTTGGCAAGTACCCGGCGTTTGACGAGCTCTTCGATATCCTCAGTTGTTTCATTCGTGACAACAGGTACCGGTTTGCCAACTCTCTCGAAGTCGAGGTCTTCCTCGATTAAAGAGTTCATAGGTCTCTCGACCGCTCGTGCTTCACCGGCGAGCATCCAATCCTTCTTGGCCACGTTGGCCGCTTCCAGGCGTCGAATCTCGTCCGCGATCCGGGCTCTCTGTTTCTCATGGGTAGATCGTTGATTCGGCGCATCGCCTGACTCGTCAAGCCTGTCGTCCTCCTCTTCTTCTTCAGACTCGTCGAACAAATCACGCCGGACATCAGCCATTGCGCGATCCACGTCGTCGTCCATGATGGCTTCGGACGGTTGTGTCTTGGGGAGTGCGCGCGATTTCTTAGACGATGCCTTTCGTGGGGGTGGCGCAAAGAAATCGGCGTATTTGATATCGCTCGTGTCGATCCAGCCGGCAGCGTCTGCATCACCGGTATGCGAGGCATCCTCGTCGTCATCAGAGTCGAAGTTACCCTTTAGGTCAGCATTGCCAAAGGTCGGCCCGTCCTCCTCGCTGCTACCATCCATGTCGTCGTCATCTTCCGATCGGCGTTCTTTGCTTGGGGCGTCATTTCTGGCGGCGGGCATGGCGTTTTCAGCAAGGAGTGGGTTTGCATGCCAATCCACTTCCTCGTCGCTGTCATCGTCGTCGTCGTCGTCGGCGCCCCCTTTCGCATCTTGTCTTTCCAGCTGTTCGGATTGTTTGTTGAAGTCGTCGATTGAGAAAAATCCGTCGTTCAATCCAAACCGATCCTCAACGTAGGTACCGGGATCTTGCTCGGTTGAATGCATTGAGGCATCGTCATCGCTCATGTCTTCATCGATCTGGCTCTCGGATTCGGAATCCTCCTGTTCCAAGTGATCGGGGCCGTCGCCCAGCTTCTCATCGATATCGTCTTCGCTTGCGTCCTCCGAAATATCGTTCGAGATACTGTCGGCATCGTCACTTTCGGACCCGGTGGCTTCAGGATCAGAGACATCCAACAAGTCCGACTGATCATCATCGCCCGATGACAGATACCCACCGTGTTCCGCGAGTAGAGCAACATCGCGCTGGACCTCACTGCCAGCGGACTCGAGGATCCTGATCGCCTGTTCCCATATTTGGTTGGAGGTAAATCCGTCCACGTAGAGGTTTTTCAACTGCAGGGGCGGATTTGCGATATCCAAACCGGCCTCGGATCTCTTCCGCTTCTTGTTGGCTTGTCGGCGGGCGGATTGCTCCTCAACGACAGATGCAGCAAGCGGGTCCAGGATCCGTTTTGCAGAGTCTGCAACAAGGTTATGAAGGTCGCTGGTGGGACGAAGGAAAGTCCACGGAGTGGAAAGCGCTGACGGGAGGGCCGGTTTATTAGAGGCCTGGAGGGCCTTTCTTTTCGTCATTATGAAGCGGGCGTAGAAAGGCAGTTTTCGGAAGAGAAGTCGGAGAAGAAAGAAAAATTATTGCACGGAGCACGGGCCGAGAGCCAATCACAGCGGGACCCGATAAGATAGGACCATCGACACGTTCCTCGTATAAGTAACTTCAATTGCTTTTATTGCTTCGTTCACGCTGCTACCTTTCGGGCATTTCGTGGATCCTGGTGACTCTTTGAGCCGTACATTGCTGCGTCTTTATCGGTCCTGGGGTTGCGGTGGATCCAGGACATGTACCCAGGTATATATCTACGCTATTCCCGCACATGATATTATGTTCCACTGGATCGTGTCGACCGATTTGGATCTGCTAGGTTTAACTGCTGCCCGATAGAACAAGAGCCCTGGATAAGGAAGTTTCGAGGATATGACAAAAGACCCCCGTCATATTGTATGTCAGATCGACCCTCATGGGTGGCGTGGCCACTTTGCACACATGTATACTTAGAACGAGTACCTATACACTCGCTGGCGCGAAGCAAAGAACGTCATCCGGGAAAGGATACCATGCGAAAAGCCTAGACATTGAAATATAGTTGGTGGCCCAAATTCCCCGGTGGTTTCCCTGGTTCGAGAGCCCTACCACATGACGATTGAAGCTCCGGTCTTGAACCGTCATAGTGACGGAAAGTCTCTAGCGGTAGCTTAAATAGCAACAGTATCTCTTGAAAGTCCTGAGATAACAATTTTTTTTTGGTAACCTCCACCGTCAATATTATTTGACACAATTCGAACCGGCTTGCCGTATCCACCCATAGAGCACCCGAGAACAATCAACATGTCGCCAATTGTTCAGTATACAGAGAAACCTGCCAGCGGGTCTCAGTCGCAGTTTCAGCCAGGTGGGCATCGACATTTATCTCGAGCATATGTGGAGCATCAGATCTCATATTGGGTTCTGTCTAGGCCATAGGATCCCGATTCAGCATCTAACAAAACCGGGCCTGCAGGCCGACATGGAGGACCCTAAACCTGTCTCCGATTACATCCCAACCGAGGATGGAGGGTATCAACTCTACAAGGCTGCCGGTAAACTCGAAGGAAAAAAGGCCATCATCACGGGGGGTGACTCCGGCATTGGACGAGCCACTGCGATTCTCTTTGGTATGGAGGGCGCATCAAGCTTAATTATTTACCTTCCTGAGGAGGAGAAAGATGCACAGGAGACGAAAAAAAGAGTGGAGGAAACGGGGCAGCAGTGTCACTGTCTGGCTATCGATATTAGGGCGAAAGAAAATTGCAGGAAGGTGATTGATACGGCCGTTCAAACCATGGGCGCTGTCGATATACTGGTCAACAATGCGGCCTTTCAAAACATGCTAAGCGATATTAGCGAGCTTGACGAGTTAGTGGAAGGGTTCGAATCCTATCGAATAGGGAATTTGTTGACGATTGTCACAGAGAGCAGTGGGAGCGGACCTTCGACACCAACATTCACTCGTTCTTCTACCTTTCCAAGTATGTTCTCCCCCACATGAAACGCGGATCGACCATCATCAATTGTGCATCGGTGAATCCTTATATTGGCCGGGGTGACCTTTTGGACTATACCTCGACCAAAGGGGCCATTGTGGCCTTCACCCGAGCGCTGTCAAACCAGCAAATAAAGAAAGGTATTCGGGTCAACTGTGTCTGCCCGGGTCCCAGTATGTCTGCTTCCTTCACAGGTCAGAATTAGCCGCTAATGCACCTTAGTCTGGACCCCTTTAATCCCGTCGACGATGCACACCAGTGCAATGGAACAATTCCACGCTGTACCCATCGGTCGACCAGGACAGCCAAGCGAGGTGGGAACCTGCTTTGTTTTCCTTGCAAGTCAGGACAGCAGCTATATCTCCGGTCAGTGCTTGCATCCAAATGGAGGGGTCATGGTCAATGGCTAGGAAGATAAGTAAAAGTCAATAGGATGAATGTTTGGCATGTATATTTGATTCAAAATGATCAGCAAATCAGTCAGTTCGCATAAAATTCAGTTTTCAGGCTTTCCCGTGGGATACCAAGAATCCAGCCCGCGTTATCACAGTCTCGTACAATTCCGGGTTCTACGTTTTACCTCGCTACAAGGGGAAACTGCGGTATGTCGCTGATGCATTTCTACATTTGCAGGCCACGCTCAGGAACCGCCGCATCTGATGATACCAGCGTCTTCTTTACCAAGGGCAGATGCTGTAACCATACACTTTTGAGGGAGAGGGAAAAGAGCATTTCCCAGAACTGAAAGCAAGGAAATTGGAATCACAAAAGCAGAAGCCTAAGGCTGATATACAATGTAATAAGACACAAAGGGACTCCACGATGGCTGAATGGTTTAAATTTTGAGTCCACCGTGAAAAATGGTTCAGGCATAAGATGAAGATGCATCCCACATAGGACTCAACGCCGGTACCACATGCGCGTGATCCTAGTGTGTCTCATCTTCTTTTGGAGCTGGAAGATACCATACATCAGTGCCTCGGAGGTAGGCGGGCCTGTACACGATTAGCAAACCTCGAGTGAAACCGCCGAGGTACACTCACATCCAGGAACATAGACATCCACGGGAACAATGCGATCACAGCCACGGACAACCGAGTAGCTGTAGTGATAGTAGCCGCCACCGTTTGCGCAACTGCCCATACTGACAACCCACCGAGGATCGGGCATCTGATCATAAACCTGGCGGAGTGCGGGGGCCATCTTGTTTGTCAATGTACCCGCCACAATCATCACATCGGACTGTCGTGGCGAGGCACGGAAAATGATTCCCAGACGATCCTGATCATATCGGGGAGTGGAAAGATGCATCATCTCGACGGCGCAGCACGCAAGACCGAAGGTCATGGGCCATAGAGAGCTCTGGCGGGCCCAATTCGCGACCTGGTCAAGGGTAGTCCTGTAGCGATGTCAGCGGAGACCCGGGGCGGCAAACGTGGGAAGAGGCACGAACAAGACATATTGCATAGCACCCTCCTTCTTCTCTTGACTGGGAAGTGCCACTTCCTTCCGGATCTTACCCGACGCAGTGAGTGACTGTCCCGAAGGTGACTGGCGTTCAAGAGCGGTCGCTGATTTCACGGTCGAGGTCGAGAGGGCGGCAATGGGCTGGGCACGAGGAAGGAGAGCCAGTCGAGGACGCGCTGCTCCAGTTAGTGGGCCGTTGATAATGAGAAGGAGAGATCGAAATACATACCACACAGGGTGCCAGACATGGCGGGTCTTGCCATAGGCAGCATGGTTGAAGAGGAAAGCAAAGTGATTCTGAACCCAGCAGCTTCACAGGTGGCGGACTCTTGTGGTTAGGGAGGACTTTTGCCGGGTTGGAGGGCGAACGGTAAGGATGACGACGGTAAAAACCCGGTTTTAGAGGATCAAGTAAGCACCAAGGGAGCATATTATTGGACCGGACATGGTATTATTTTCAATGTTCGGTAAAGGCGGTGAGATGCTAGTAAACGGAATTGGATGTGTGATCATTGGCTCACCCGGGGTTGCTGCCTGGGAGACCAGGCAACGATCATGGGTCCTAACGTTGGTTACTGGACCTTTCACGGAGGCACCGATGGCGCTGTGCAACTTACATCTTCTACTACAGAATGAGATGGTAAAATTCACCTTGATTGCTTGGAAGTGATACAATCAAGACGCCGGGGTCTATCTATTTACTACAAACCACGGACTTGGGGGTGCGGGAAAAGAAAAGAGACGACAACAAACCCCTCTTCCAGCTTGAGAAGGATCAGGGCCTTTCGATTCAATTACACTGCAGGATGGCTGGCCCGAGAATTGCCTGTATCGGAGTGATTGGAAAAGCTGTAAGTGAGCTTCACCGCGACCGTGGGGCCCAGAAGCGCATTTGACGGGTTCAATGCTAACTCTCGACACCTAGGACAACCCCCTCCACATATCTCTATTATTCCCCCCATACACGGATGCAACGATCGAATTTTCCTTCCTCTTGAACTCCTGCCTTGACATATTTGAGATACGACGCAAACAGACCTCCATCGACCAGGATCTGGGTCTACTCCATGCGATTGATGAGAGATTAGCCACTTATGGCTGGCTCACAACTACAGGCGTGAAGTTTTTGATTATCGTGGACCTTTTCGGCCCGGAGATGGCCAATACTGGAAAGGTTGCCGGGGCCGCAGTAAGTGGCTTGAGGGATTCTGATCTGAAGCCGGTATGTTGAGAGGTGCATCCATTCCAGCTCAATCACTAATTACCGAGCCCAGGCCTTCCGAGCCCTGCAAAGCGCGTATATCCAGCTCTTGCAGAACCCATTCTATTCACCGGACGATCATGTCTCGACGCCTGGAATGGTAGCAGGTTCGGTGTTCAGTTGCCAGCCCATATCCAATCCACGATTCACAGCAGATGTTCAGCGCATCGGTGGAACATGGACACCCGGAAATTCCGGGTAGATAGTATTGAATGAGAGCCGAGATACCACACAAGTATGAGTTTTACAAGCCCTCGTAAGGCCCGATTGCCACCAGTCGCGAAGGCGTCGGTGTATGGAGTTGCTCGACTACGTATCTACCTAAGGAGGCCCGTATGAAACTTTACGAACAGTGGCACGTAGAGAAGTTACATGAAAGTTATTACAATATACCAAGACATCACATACTGTATTCCAAATGATCAGACAGCTCTGACTTCGGACTCGGTCTGCTCCAAACCAACCATAGTGTCTTCCATTTCCCTGGGGTTGCAAACAGCCCACACGCCGCCTCCTTTGATGTCCACTCGCCCGACTTCCTTGCCAACAAGATTTCGGCCCACTTTCCCCGGCCCGATGCCAATCCAGCGTCTCACTCCTCGTTCCTGATGAAGATAGCGAATGCTGTCCCACCATCTCACTGTATCGGTGCACTGTCTGGACAACAGATTTTTAAGATCTTCTTTAGACCGGAAAGGCAGCGCCGACACGTTGGAAATGCAGGGCACAATGGCTGGGAAGGTAATATCAACTCCCTCGACTGCGGTTTTCATGTAGTCGGCCGCGGGGGACATCACGGGACTATGGAAAGGGCTGTCACTTTTCAGCCTCACGGCGCGAGGATCGTGCCCCCCAAACTGACGGAGTTGCACTAGAAGGGTTCTGATTCTTTCAATGCTCCCACTGAGCACTATCTGGTTGGGAGAATTGATGTTCGCCACCATCACCCTCTGAATCGGTGGTGAGGCGTGACTTGTGTCATCGAGGCTGGAGGTTCCTAGTCCGAGGAATTCGTGCACGGTTCTGAGTAGACTCTCGATATGATCGGGTTCACAAATGAGCGCTACCATCCCATGCGTTTCGCCCGATTGCTCGACCGCGCGTCGGGTGCATTGAGCCATCACCTCGGCTCGGCGACGGACTAATCTGAGGGCGTCGGCAAATTTGAGGTAGCCAGCTGCGACCAGCGCAGAGAACTCGCCCAGACTGTGACCTAGAGTCACGTCCACTCTGGACCCAGTGTCAAAACCAAACTCATCCTCAAAGATTCGAAGGATGAGAACGGAGACGGCCATGATCGCAGGTTGAGCATTCTCCGTCCGGTTGAGATGAGAGTTAGGGCCGTCGGATATGATACGTGACAGATTGAATCCAAGAATGGCATCCATTTCGTCCAAAAACCTGGCAGAGGTCCGAGGGAAACGGTCAACCCAGGTACTGGCCATGCCAACCCGCTGAACTCCATGTCCTATTAAACGGGGATCAGCGCACGTTGATAGCTAAGGACGGGGAATAGTCAGACCTGGGAAGAAGAGAGCCGTGTGTAGCTCTCGTCGCGGCATGGAAGCCACGGCTGTTGTTCTTATCCTTCTCAACATCCCAGTCCTCGAGCATTCGACAAGTTGCGGCAGGTGACGCCTCGATTCCACGAGGGGGAGCATGTTCGACTGTGTTACACGGCAAGCCTGGCCTTCGTCATGATCTCAACACGACACATGGGCATTGTGAAAGTTGTGGTCTTTCGCTCAGCCATCCATACCGACGGCATGTCAAGCATGCCCACCCCCCAGAGTTCGCGTGGGGCTGGGACTGCACGTGAGCACCGGTTCCGCGTGTCGGTAGATTCGGGCCCGAAGAGTTGGGAAGCTGGCGGAGACGAGATTCAACGGTGGCAGATTCGAATTTCAAGAACCTTACTGATGGTCTCGTAGCTTCAATAAATCACTGGAATCCACTTCCAATTAAAGCCCGGGGCAATGTGACATTGGATGTATCCTTGTATAGACGGGGCGACAATACCCCTCCTCTGTGGTATTTTAGGACTGACCACATCTGGTACCTAGGTAGACGACGTAGCGTGTATGAAATATTGTTTGACTACGCTACTAAGCAATGAACATAGTACCATCTACACACAATTTTAAGATCGCAGTTCAGACTCGCTCGCAGTATATGGGTCCCGATCGCTCTCACCGCCTTCAAGCATCTTTTGTTATTTACTCCCTCTTCTCCCCAAGGCGCAAATCGTTCGTTCTTTATTTTTCAGCTTTGTCCCACCCGAGCATATCCTACTTATTAGTGTCATTCCTACCTTCCTGGCTTCGGCCAGTGCGTCAAATGCGAAGTCTGTTTCGAAGCTACAAAAATGTTCGTTCCCAGAGCAGCATCACGCAACCCCCGAAGGCGCCCGAGAACCAGCTCCGATGACTCGGTGAAGCCGCCAAAAGCCAAACGCCAACGATCGGTTTTGCGGCAGGCGGGCGACTCCCCTGTCACGAATTTGGACCGGAATGAGACAGCAGAGTCCGCGGCTCCCGTCCCGGTCAACCAGCACGACGCGACTACGGATGTCGCTGGTGTCGATTGCCATCTACCAATTCGCAACATGAAACCAAGTGAAGGATCCAAGAATGACCTTGAGGGGACGGTCACTTTGGTGAGTGTGACCTCAATATTGCCTCGCCTTTGGAGGTGTGCGTGCACGGATCATGGCCGCTAACGCCGCCGATAAAAGTCAAGCACGGATTACTACACCGTTGACCAACTTCCTTCGTTGCCGGATCAAATCCGAGGCTCACAGTCAGGTAAATAGCTATTCGGGACTTACTTGCCATAGATGATTAGATTGATTTTGAAAACACAGACCAGCTCAAGTGCTTCTTCGCCCCTGGTCATGACCACGCGTTAGCCTTGACTCGCTCGCATGCGATTGTATGGCCCTACTCTGTTCCCACCTCGGCACCATCGCCTTCAGAAACGTTTACGGTGTCGATTCCTGAGTCCTGCAGAGATCCCAGAGGCGCAGTCCCGCTGGGTGTGCTTTTGTCAACGGCCACAGGTGAGCACCCTGGCCTACTGGTGATCATCCCGTCTACAGGTAGAATCATCTACTGGGAAACTGTGTCAAGTGCTGCATCATTAGGACTGTCGAGACAAAAACAGAATGGGATACAGGGCTTCAGCCCCGGTCTGTTTTCTGGTGAATTTGCTACTGAGATCATGAACTGCGAGCCTTCGGGAATTATCGCAACATTTTCCTCCGGGCGAGTGGCACACATTACCCTCCGGGATTCGCAAGGAAAACCTTCTGTCCTCGTAAATTTCCTCCGAAGCACGATAGGCCCCGGGGGGGTGGAATTTTGGGCGGACTCAAGAGTGTCCTTGGGGGGGGTTCCTGGAGGAAAGAGGTTACTGCTGTTCGCGCAGGTGGGTCTCGTCAGCGAGGTCAACGCGATGTGATCATCGCTACATCGACTGGCTTAGTGGAGATCTGGGATACTCATTGGAACCATGGAAACGCTATGAAGAAGAAATACGATGTCAAAGATGCCATTGTGACGGCAATCTCCCATGATTCTGTGAAAGTCTCCGGGGAAATGGATCTTAAGATTATGGATTTTGCATTCTCCGCCCAACAATCGAATGATGAACCTGGTTCTCGAGAGTCCGAAGAATCCTGGCGGCTTTTCTTTGTTGTCAGCTCCCCTCAGCTGTTGGAATCCAAGACCTTGTTCGTGGTTCAACTGTGTCTGACGGGGACCGAGACGCGTGTTATGTCCACTTATGCTGTCGACATTCGCAGCATTCCCGCCACGCACGATGAACCAAAGCCTAAAATATTGGTTTCGAAATCAGAGGAGACTGCTTTCATTCAATTCGCGCAGTCTCTGATTATTCTTTCCTTATCTACCATTGAAGAGACCCCCAGCTCGCAACTGCTTCTGGATTCACAGAATATTCCCATGCCTTTCCAGGACATCATTCATCTCCGATCTGGCAGAGAATGTGAAATACTGGGCTACGGCTTGGAAGATCGATCGGAAGATGAAAACGCCATTTGTGTGATGATGATTCGAGGCTTTGGTGTTGTTCGAGTCAATGTGACGCCCCAATACCCAGCAGAAAACGATTTGGAAGAAGGCCAAGTCACTGCTAAGCACAAGCTGGAGCAGGCCATTTTCTTCGGTACCATGGCAAAGAACCCACTAAACCTGGTTGGCGAGGGTGGTTTGAACTTCCCCGCATCGGAAATTGAGCAAGCCTCCCTGGAAATATGTAGGGAGCTTCTTCGCTCGGAAACACGCTTTATCCCCAGCACGGCAATCTCGGTTGACCAAAATTTGCGACTAAGGGCAAAAGCACTAAACGACCTCGCATTGTTCCTGTCGCGGAACAGCAATCACTTGAGTCGCCCGGCAAGATGGGAATTGCTTTGGGGGGCGGAAAAATTGTCCGCGCAACGGGCTATGTGGAAGCTGGAGGAGATGCACAGGGCCAGCAACGATAATCTTTTCCTTGGCCATGTCATCGAGTCTATGAACGACAAGTTCAAAACTCGTTCTGAACTAACGCAGAGCGAGACCGATCCAGTACGCCACTGGTTTTTGAGGGACACTTATCAAATGGAACATATCATTCCCTGGATCAAAACCGCTCTCAAGCATCGCAGGGGTAATTCGTCGAAACAGGCGCGGAAATTGTCGGAGCAGATACTGGAGGCCAGTGAATTTTTTCTCGCGATCATGGAAACAGCCTTCCGTTATCGCGACGAGCACGCTGCGCTGTATGGGCTGAGCGATGACTTTGTCGAAGACGGTGTTCTCGCTGATGGTTACGAGGGTCTCCCTGAATTCTGGACTTCCCGGGAGATGGGATACACCGAGGCGGGGCATCTGCTTGATTTGGAGCTGGACAGCTGTCGAGCTTGGAGTCAACAAAAGACATCCAGCGCAGACGCCCCTGACAGTCAGATTTTGAAGAAGATTGCAGACAACAGCGCACGGCATCTTCGAGTACTCGGCCAGATGCACCGTGAGCGTACACGCTGGCTTATTGCACAGGGAGATCCCAAACTAGCCGATGCAAGCGCCTCCATCGAGCAAGCCCACGTCAAGGAGCGCAAATGGCAGCTATTCAAGTTGGCAGGGATTGGACATCTTCAAGATGCCCTGAGCCTGGCCGAGCGATTCCGAGACATGGGAGCTCTGGTCGAGCTCATCATTGAACTCCAAGATGAAGTGAAGACCCAGCCAACACAAGACGCTACCGGGGAGAGTGTCGGTGCCGTGGCAGACACCGAGGCAGATGTGATCCGCAGGATCTCGCAATATTTTGACAAGTTTGGCGAGCCCTGGGCGGATGCGTACTTTGCACGACAAATCTCAATGGGGCACCCAGGGGCATTGCTTTCCATGCGAAAATATCAATCTTCGGTAACGCGATTTCTCCGGAAAGCACCTGCATATTCCAAGCTCAGCTGGATCAATGATGTAATAGGCGAGGACGACTACAAGAGCGCTGCATTGTGCTTGGAAAAGCTCGCCCTCGGCAGTGAGAAGGAGCTATGGAACCATCGCGTGGAGATTTCATTGGCGAAATTGGGCACATTGGCCTCATTCGAGAAATCATCAATAGGCTCGAGCTCTGCCTTGCAAGAAGATGTCAAATGTCTCGACGATTACAGCGAGATCGACGAGGTCCAGGATACCCTCTATTCCTACATCAAACCCGTTCTCGAGGGTGCGATTGATCGCAAGGCCGAGGCAGAGCTCGCCCTGGATTACTTTGGAGGGCCTATCGTTGACGATCGCCCTTCTCTCCATGAAATCTTAGGTGATGCCCTTTCTACCCTGGTCAATCGAAACGTCATTGGTGCCGATGGGTTAATCGATCTGCTGACACTGATGGGCCCTCTCCAACCTTCTGACGACTGGGACAATGAGTTCCGTGGGCGTGAGTTTTTCCAGGCTCTGCGAGTACTTGATCACAGTCGCTACGCTCAGCAAGATCCTTCGTACGTTTCGGCGTTGCGCAAACTGATATGGCGACGGTGCATGATCAAAGACAACTGGGCAGCCCGCGGGAAAGCAGCTGAGGAATCAAATGGAAACTCGGAGTTCGCGGCTCGTGACACGTCCCTGGGACTTACACTCGCCTCTTGCTTGGCCGGTGAGACACCACCCGGATTCTTTTTCAGGACTTCCCTAACATTATCAACAGAACAATCCGCGACCAATATACAGTTCGTCTACATGCCTCTCTCTCCAGCCGAGGCTCTCATGGCTGATTCTGAATCCGATATTCTTCTGTCGCGCTTCCGTCCCGAACAGAAGGCCCGTCTGACCGCCGATCTCATGCGAGAAAATGAACTTCTGCACGAATACATCGAGATCGGTAAAATTGACTTCTGGTTCCAGGATCTCCTAGCGTCCACAGGATCCCAGGCATCCGGGTCAATTCCTGACTCCGGTGACAACGAAGCCAACAACTTGGCTTCGGTAGGTTCCAAGGCGCGATTGACGTGGGTTTGATTGGGATTTGCGGTGGTTTACGGTGCCAATGGTCGCCGTTGAGCACGAAGGATTTGTATTACGTCCCACACAGGGCTAGGTTCATCGGTATTTCCTCCTTTTTGTATCAATTTAGTTAAGCCTAGGCATCTATTGCCCTCGTGTCACACTCATCCAGTATCCGACGGAGCATTGTGTAATCCGGCTCCGTTCTACAAGGCCGACAGTCGTATGGGTCAACAATTCAAATTTCTTGGTACTTGTCATAGAGACGTAATTTTGGCATCTCAGTGGTACTCCTAATATTTCACTCCTCCCTGATTGAAATCGCTGTCATTGCTGCTGGTGCTTTCAACTTTGGTCACCGTGCTTTCGTTCGCCACGGTCACCTCGGCGGGCTCACGAACTGGCTCCTCGAAAACAGGCTCTGGCTCAACAGTTTCAAATTTGGTTCTAAATTCTGCGAGGCCCTGGGTGCTGCTGTTTGAACGACGCCGAGCATTGGCAAATGTATACCCATAATCCTGCACTTCGTCCCCAGAGCGGCCCCTGACAGCAGTCAATATCTAATTCCGTTATATAAGGCATACACGACTCACCAGTTCCCTTTTCCACCCCCATCTTTCTTTGTCTTGCGAGGATCAGCATCGGTCGGGCCTGACTTAGCAAAATAGCGAGGCAAGTGATCACCACGGGTGCCAATCATGCCATCAGCCGGGTGGTCCCGGTCATTGAGCTTGTGCGAACGGGTCACTTGATGGTCAGTCAGCGTCAAGCTGAAACGAGACTCAAAACTCACTACTGAGAAGTTGAAGTAAACTGATGGATAAGGAGTGGAAAGGGGAAGGGGGAAGGCCGGTTGAACGGGAATGGAAGTAGAACCCATGACTCGTGACCTCATACCCCGAACGGTCAACTGCGGGGGTTGCACTAATCCCGGCCCCACCAACCTTATTGTATCAATGCATTGATGAGTGGAGTTTTGATACAAAATAGGTTCATTGAGTATCGTGTCGCGGATACAGTACCGAGCCAGTGCGAAAGTTGAGCTGGCTATGAAATTCTTTCATGGAGTATTGACCTCGACTATAGCGCGTCCTTGTCTTTCTCATGTCAACCGTACACGTTCCATTTGTGCCTGGTACGACTGGTACGCCATGATGAATTTGTATAGAGAGCTGGATGAACCTGCATACTTCGTCGATTTCTTCTGGTGTATATTTGTGTGCTCTAGGTCCTCGGCTTGGAATTCTAAGACACTACTAGCAAATGCTCCTACTAGTCAGGATCTTGGTTTCGATCCGCCTAAATACTCGACACGATATATCATGCTAAAGTTCCCAGCTCCTCCAGGTCCTCGACGTCGTCATATTCGAGATCAGAAGCAAAAGCCGAAGTATCCGTCGAATGCCGAGGCCTACGCATACTCAAAATGGCTACATATTTCGATCGTCCTTGTGAACTTGCTTCATTGGAATTAGTCTGCGCCATAACCCGCAATGCGGGTCAAGACCTTCAACCCGCACCCGAACCCAACCTAGCGGGTTATAAATTTATATTTAAAACCCGCAAATAACCAATCTTGACCCGAATTTACTTTAAAACCTTAGTCTTGGTGTGTATAATTCGGCTGATTCATCTTAATTAAATACTATTGCTTAGACCTGGCACTCACCCGTCCCGCGGGTCCAAGATCAAGAACCGTCACCCGACCCGGACCCGGACCCGTCGAGGTTCCCTTCGGGTCACCCGCGACGGGTCCAATATACCCGCATAAGCTACGCTTTACCTATTTAGGACGCACAAAATTGATGATTCAGCTTAGTAAAATACTATTATTTACAGCTGTTCTGGTATCCATTTCGATTATTTCCTAATCGTTCACTAATATATACGAAATTTAAAGAAATTAGATTGTATATAGATAGCTCGTATGTCGTCACCTAAGTGTTCTGAAATTTGACTAGACTGATATAGTGCGTGGGTAGTTTTTAAGTGGGTTATAGAAAGTTGAGAGTTTCGTTGCGGAAATATATATTAAAGGTAAAGTGAGAGTGCTACATTTATACGACGGTAAATATATCTTTTTCTTTTAGTACTAAACATACTTTAAATCGAAAGCTTCCTTCGGTTATTGAATTACTATAGTCTTATCTAATTAGTTCCTAATTTAGTTTTCTCGTAGGTGTTGTAGTTCTGGTACAGAATAAGTTTAAACATCTGGATTGTTGGACTTAAACATTTTTCCATCATGAAACTTAAGACCACATGACTAGAGGACCGGGTCTTAAGGGTCGGGTCTTACGGGTGACCCGTGAGACCCGATGTATAAACCAATTAGACGAGAGAATTTTAGCTAAAGTGAGGGGATAGGATGATGTATCAACTCGCGTCTTCGCGCGACCAGGGTAAACGGATTCCCCTTATACGATAGCCTTTTTTGTCTAAAATCTTTATAAGTCCTCTTGTTCCACCTCTTTATGACCAATGTCTACTATGTCTCAAACCTCTGACCTATACTCATCCTCGGTGATCGAGGGGGTTGGAATAGATGAGTTACAATACCTTATCCTAGACGATACTCTATTTATAAGCCTATTCCCACTAAGCTAGTATACTTTCGATACGACACTTAATACTCCACGAAGAGCACCTTTAGCGCCCGAGAGCCTTACACGAATCAAACCTGACCGAGTGAACCAATTCCTATTATACGAAGATAAAATAAGTAAGGAGTTTATGACTTAGTGGCTCTAAACAGACTACGGAAGGAAGAAACGGATCAATTGGGATAGAAAGTATTAAGCAAGTTGCTGGGATAGCTTCGAGTAAGTGGCTTATACAAAGGATGGAAAGCCTAGCGTGATATATACGAGATGCTGGAAGGTTCTTGACCATCTAGCCACTAGAAATACTAGCACCTCATCGATGTATAAACATCTTAAAGGGCTATAATATTAGAAGGGAACAGATAAGCTAAGCATCCATAAGCTACTCGTACAAGCTATACGTATAATCTCTTAATACTTAGCTTAACACTAATGGATGGTTTACCTACTAGGGTCAGCAAGCGCCTACTTAAGTGTTTAATTAGAATATTTGGGAACAAAAGCTTCTAAATCTGGTTACTGTCTTATGTTTACCCTTTCTCTTCCTTAAGCATCAAGAGTTCTATAATCTTATCTCGTACGCGCGATTAGCTCCAATGACACTAACTATTCCTTCTCGGAAGGTAATACGTACAAGGCTCCACTAATTCGTTACCGAAAACTAAACAACCACCCTCTAAAGCCTACCGCTAGGGGCAAAGCTATCACTAGCACTCGATTGCTAGACGTCGCCATTCCAGCAAGCCTTTATAGCAATCACAGCGTACTTCCTAGATCGGAACTAGGAATATCGCGAAGTCCTCCTTGGTTTTGAACCACTTTCTGGTACACATTTAGGCGCCAACCTTGGTGATGTTATTATCTAGATTCTCCAACAATATAAAATCATTAACCGCGTACTAGCGGTTACTACTAATAATACGTCGAATAATACGACACTTATCGCTACAGTGAATAATACAATCCAGGCTCTTCAGCTTAACATAGACTCAATGATTATTTAAGTGCCTTGTATTGCATATATTATTTAAATCAGTCTTATAGATCTACTCGGAAAGATGAAGGTAACCCTAAAGAATAACACCGCGGAACTAGAGTGGAAAGAGGGTCGTATACGAGCGCTTCGTGCTCGACAACAAAAGCGAGAGATCGCTAACACACTAAATAAGATGAGTTTCTTAATTATTATCGTATAGTAATTAGATCCATAAGCTTACTATCTATATACGAATCTCTAGGTTCGCTGTCTTGCTATTTACATCAACGCAAGCCCACAACGTCGCGAAGCCTTCTACAACCTTTAGCCCGATGAGCCAAAGCTTATGCCTATCCAGGACGTACGAACACGTTGGAACTCGACGTATCTTATGCTTCGCCGGGCCAAGAGACTCTAAGCCACTTTCGATACCTTTTGCTCGTAGTACGACTAGCCTCATTTTGCTCTTAGCGCAGAAGAGTGGCGACAAATCGACTATCTCCTATTTATCCTACAGCCATTCTTTAAATACACAACGATCGTTTGTACGACTAAAGACTCAAGTATCCACTTAGTCTTTAGTTTCTACAATAAGCTTTTCGATTATCTTGAAAAGGCTATCCACCAACTCCAGCGAAAGAAGGTTGCGTAGAAGTAGCTTATACTTTCCTCGCTAGAGGCGGCGCAACAGAAGCTATCAAAATACTATAGTATAACAGATAGTGTGAAAGGCAACCTTTATGCGATTAGTACGATCTTAGCGCCCACAAATAAGCTATAGTTCTTTTCAACAAAGGACTAGGAGTCGGACGACCTAGAAAAGGACTAGAAAATAATTTACCGCGAGAGCCTTAAGTCTTTCTTTATATCATACGACGAGCGTCTTCCACAAGATAAGCTACAATCAGATAGCTAGGTATCAAGGACAGCGATGACAGACGCGGATTTAATATTTGAAGATTCGCAATAATCACTACCTCCACAACATAACGAGCTCACGAGATATCTTGAAAGTCGTATGTGCTTCCTTCTTTCTCACTAAACTATCACTAATGTTCTCTTCTAGCAACCGTACGAGGTTCCCCTCGGATATTCTGGAAAGAGCATCAACACGAGTTTCCTATACTTGCAAGCCTTGCGCGGGATGTGATGTCGATTCTAGCAACTAGAGCAGGGGTAGAACGCCTCTTCAACTCCGCCTAGGATATCTATCATTACCGACGTGGCTCGCTACAGCCAAAGACAATCCGGGATATTATGCTCTGGATGTATACGACAAGATTTGACCTCTAAGAGCAGAAGCGGCTTATCTTGCAAGAGTATCTCTCGCATTAAGAGATCGCAGCGATGACTAAGGCTAATAAAACCCGAGAGGAATCCTTTAAACCAATTAGTGATACCGAGGAGGATGACATATAGCCCCAGGATAGGGAGCCCCTTCCACAGTCTTATACGACGACGGTTCATCTTGAAGGGATAGAGGCTAGGGATTATAATGAGGATAATGACGACGATGCTAATCTCCCTCTACCTAATACCCAGCAGCATATACCTAGTAGAAAGCGGAAGCGCTCAAAGCTACTTAATGGCTACATACTTAGGTCTCAATGATTTGTTGTTTTATTCTGTATGCTAATAAAATCATACGATGTTTTTCTCCGAATTCAAGAAAGCCAATATATAGCTCAAGAAGCGTAATTTCTGACGGCCGTCAAAAAACCAGTGCTATAGTTAAAGACCATAATTCTGACGGCCGTCAGAAAACTCGACCTACTCTGTATTAAATATTACAAATGAATACACAGAAAAACTCCCTAAATCTGTATAACTTATGCGTAAACGAGCAAGTCACGTTTTCTACCTGTTTGTCCTGTTTGTGGACCCTGCGGGTCACCCGCGGGTCAGGTAAGGTTCCTTAGGGTCACCCGCGGGTGAGTGCCAGGTCTACTATTGCTTATATATATTCTAGTCTCAGTCCTCCTAAGTTATTGACTTTGGCTCTAATCACTTAAAACAAAAAGAAATCTCTTTATTAATTAATAGTAGTAATTAGTTATTTATATACTTCTAGTAGGGTCCGACTATATGGTTACGGTGTAAGTATAAGGATATAGAAATATATCTAATATTAGACTTCGCCAAAGCCCACGATTGGGCCCAGAGTCCGGGCCCACGGCCCAACCCGCGTGGGCTTTGGGCTCAACCCTCCGGGCCCGAGCCCAACCCATAGCCCACTGCGGGCCCCTAATGGGCCCCCTCGAAAGCCCAACTTTTCATAAAATCAAGGTCTTGGCGGTCATA